GATCCGCGGAAAGATATATATGCCCCATCATGTACTATAGCTTCCTCTTCCTTAAGCATGAATGTAAACTGCATGTCGGCCTATATCGTTCTGCTTCAGACTTTATAGAGCCCATCACAAGGTGTGCCTTATATGGATCATATGATCCTCCCTGGTATATCTGTTAGAACTTAGGACTACTAGTAGTCCCATTCTCTATCACCTTTTACTCTACCTTCTTCTCCCTAACTTAAAGCACCCCTAATTCTATCACCTTCTCTCTTACCACAACATATAATATATATAGGGTATATTCTATCTTTATTCAGGTCTTCTCTCACAACACAAAATTATATATATCAACAAGATGGTATATATAATTAGGAATTTTTAAAGTGATAGTAATACACCCAGGTATTTTATATTTACAGAGAAACTCATTCAGGTATAAATAAGTGATAAAATGCCTTTAAAGTATATCCTTACGACTATAAATATAACCTCTTGCCGCTGGGTGAATATAAGGATTCGCTCCTAAACATTCAGGATATTATAAGTCCGGTGCTCCTTTTGATGTAGATACAGAGAGGATAGATACAGTGGTGTAACATAAGTATTTAACCTCGACTACTTTCGGACCGGAGGACCCACTTTTTAATACTGCCATGCAGAAACCTCCAAAATTCATGTCCTATGCTAAGGCCTCAATAGCTAGTATGCCAGCCCTCATACTTGATAACATCTGCCACTCTATGGGGCATAGTGTCTGATAGGTGCTTAAAGATCTCAATATCTAACGCTTCCCATGCTTCCTGCGCAGCTTTAACCAATAGATCTAATGTAGATGTGTTATTTGGTAGGTGCATAAGCTCAGGGTAACGCTTCAATATTTCAGCCTTTAGTAAAGCCCATAGGTTCTCAATTGGATTTAAATCAGGTGAATAGGGAGACCATTCCATAATATCGCAGTTTAGGTCATCAAGAGTGTTCCGTACAATCCAAGCTGTGTGTACTGGTGCATTATCTTGTTGAAAGATAGCATCATGATCAAGGCTATTAAGAAGGGTAGGTAAAACACGCCTATAAAGCTCTTCAATCGTACGAGAAGAGACACCACCCCGTTGAGATGTAGGATCTCCAAAAAGTGGAATAAGACCAGATCGACGTGGTTGACCAGAAAAAGCAGCCCAAAACATCTGTTTAATTTGCTTTCCTCGTGCTGGAATCATTTGGATCTGAGACCCTTCTTGTGGATGCTGAAAAAGCTGGTCTTTTGGGCGTATAAAGCTCCATTCTTGACGCTGGCCAATTCCACGCTCAATTGTACATTCATCTGACCAATAGACACGGGCCCAATCTGAAGGTGTAAAATGTTGGTATTGTCGGGCCCATCGTAGGCGTTTTTCCGCATGTAAAGGTGTTAAGGAAGGCCTTTGCATCTTCCTCCATTTTCGAAGGCCCATTTCATGGGTTAAACGCCAAATTGACATACGATGGACCTTAAAATCAACCTCTGCAAGTAGGTCTTTGATTAATATTGATAGGTTTTCTTGTATAGTCTCGTATATATGGTCACGATCATCTTCGGTGAGCTTCTTTGGGGCGCCTGAGCGTGGTAGGCTCTCTTGTTTTTGACGCTTTTTCTCTTGGGTAAGAGTATACTGAATAGTTGAGCGTGGAATATCGGGAAAGCGCATCTTTTTAATAGTAGTTGCGCCCCAGCCATTTGTAGCATGTAGCTCGCAGATCTTAGCCCTAGTAAGGCAATCAAGCTCAGGGCCTCTTTTCCCACGTATAGGGGGCATAATATAGCAATATAACTGTAGGCGATATATGTTCGAATAATAATAGATTGTGTATAACAGCAGGTTACGCTACGCGTGGGAGAACGCGGTGTACTAATATAGTAGGCGGTATAAAATAGCGGTCAGACTCAAAGTGGGTCCCAAAGTAGTCGAGGTTAAATACTTATGTTACACCACTGTAGTCCCTATGCCCTCTCCTGATATTATATATAATATTTTAAAGCGGAGGATATATATAGCCCGATCATTTCTAGCCGTATTTCCAGAGAGCGAATACGGTCTTTAAGTAACTTATCATTATTAGTTTCTTCACAGTCCCTGTTCTTAAACTTAAGTTTGCTAAGGGCTAATCTCTCTGGCTGGACTTGTGATATATCGGGCTTATACTGGATCGGTTTCCCTAGAATATTTGCTTTGATGATCTGGTTACTAATTTCTTTAAAGAAGGTCTTTTGTGTGTTAATTAATTCTTGATTATAGAGGTGTTTTCTTTTTGACCTAAGTTTATCTCTAAGTCTTCTGTGTTTATATTCTTCCTTATCTATAGCCTGTCTGGTGTTCTTTAGTATGGCATGATTTTTGATAATAATTTCTTAAACTTCTACAGCTTTCTTTATGGTTTTATATATAGTCTTATTACTTTCAATCTCTTTCCTCTATAAAGATGTAAGATAATCTGACGCTAACATATCTTATGTTATTTTCATGTGGGTTATAAGATCAAGCAGCTTCCTTCTTGTAGGTGTACCTATAAAAACCAATTATGTATTATCGATAACTAAATTTAATATGTAGTGGGTAAAGGTTATTCCTTTACTATGGCCTATATGTGATGGGCTCTATAAAGACTGAAGCAGAACGATATAGGCCGACATGCAGTTTACATTCATGCTTAAGGAAGAGGAAGCTATAGTACATGATGGGGCATATATATCTTTCCGCGGATCACGTGTGGGGCTGTAAGCGGAGACGTCCGTGGTCAACTGTCGTCGAACGTGACCGTACGTGATCGTGGCTTTGGGCTTCGTCGAGGATTGACAAGCCCTCGTCGGGTTCAACCCGTTACAAAAACAGGGATTTCCATTATACTTTCCTTCCAATAAATAGGAGTACTAAGGCGATGATCTGGTAGTATAGTCTAGGTCTAGATGTGATAGGGTTCTTAGATATAGTGACTAGAGAAAGTATTATCTAGGAATATAAAAATAAGGATATCCTAGATGATATAAAGTCTAAGGTTAACATTTTACTCTGTATATATAAATGTGGGCCTTTCTATGTCTGTTAGCCTGGGGAGCTTGAAGATTAGGAAGGGGATTAGCCTAAGGACTCCTTGATTTTGTTTGTTTTTGTTCAGTCTATACCGCACCTTTATTATAAGGGCTATAGAGTTCTACTACAGCACTCTCACCATCAAGAGTTTAATACCTTTCCACTTCAGAGAGTCCGGTTCTTTAATATAACTTATCGACTCAATCAAAGTTCCAGGCCAAGCCGTTATACTATCATTTTTCGTAGAGTATTCAATTAGAAGATTGTTCGTATGTTTGGAAAGGAAATATCGCCCCAGACAAACAAGTGGTATGTCGTGTAGAGCATATCGTCAATATTGAATGATGGTTGCTCTTCCGTGGTTAATTTAAGCTTATAATCATCAGCCACAGAGTCTTAGAGCTGGGAGAAGTTAATAGTAAGACATAGTGATATAGCTCGAACGGCTTATATTCGAATAAGTATCCAAGATCTCTATTGGGATTCCCTCCTTTCTCTCTTGCTTACAAACCATCATGAAATAGCGCGACATAGTTACAAACGCCTTCTTTTTTTTCAACCTAGTATGAGTGTCTAGATACCATCTGAGATATCCTTTAACCCAGCGCAAGGTAAGTCCCTTGGTTAACCAGTAGCTATGGTCTGGTGGCTGAAGCTGGTTCGCAAATCTTCTCTCCGAATTAGCAGAATTCGACAAATGATGCAAGGATATCAAGCCCTACTTTTTAACCGACTCAAGTGATTGTCTCGCTCTATCCTTGGTAGGCTTCGCCAATTTTTTACCAGGTGGTTTTTCATGTTCCTCGTTGACGAACTTGTTCCAGTCTGTGACTGAATTTTTTGTTTGGCGAACAGACAGCATAGTGCAGAAAGCAAGAGTTAGATATGTAAAGCGAGAAAGACTGCCCGTGATGGGTGAAGTTTACAGAAAATAATTCTGCAGGTGAACTAATAGGTTTGACCCATGATGGAGACGCCAGGGTGGCATTCTATTATTTTAAAGCGACCCATGATAAAGGCGCCAGGTCACCGTGGTTTTTCCCCCTGGATTTATTAAAAAAAACTTATTCGCCAACTACCACAAATATGGGCAAGCCAATAGTGCCTATTTCTGGAAAAAAGCCTACAGAAGACAAGACGCGCTCGGTGATCCGAGCCAATAGCAAAATTCTAGTTAAAAAAATAAAGCGGGCAGGAGAAGGTCAGTTGGTATGGGCAGGTCAGCCAGAGATATACAGAATATTGAACGCTGGACATAGCTGCCAGTGGTCAACAATATGTGCACGCACGCATAAGATTACTAGGTCGTGGTGTAATCACACTTGAGTTCTATGGTTAATTCTACATCACCTCTATTATCCTTAGGTCGATTAAACTCCTCTCGTAATAGATTTTGACATGAAAAATGTCATTTTACCATCCAGCAGCACCTGTAGCTTTGTGTTGCGTATACCATTACTTCTTAATATGTCAATGGGCAAGAAAAAATAAACACTCAGTTCATGGTTCGCACGGGGGGACCAAGAACCAATCAGATTCAAGACCCACTCCGCCGTTACGGTAGGATACGTGATAACCAACTATGTACACCATCCGGCCAATAGATATTGTTCATTTCCAGGAAGCTCAATAATTCCAAATTAATCTATCTGATAAGGTATGTACTATGGAATTTCAATCCTGGGGCTGGATGGTTTATACAATTTTTTTCCTGACTTCCAAGGTGACTACAGTCAAATTATCATCAAAATCTAAGGACTTGAGTATTCAAACAGGTAATACTCGACAAGAGCGAGGAGAAGTACCACAATATAGTAGGGACCAACCCCTGAACGGGGGTCCTCCCGTAAAGCCCCAAACATGTACGTAATAGAATATCTAAATACCTTACCTTTCTAATTTCCAAGGTTACCTCGTTTCCATTAATTGAGCGGCAATACTAATATGGCCTCTCAGAAGCTCCCCGAGGCACCATCTATGATGAAACCCTCTCTGCGCGGTATTTGGTATGACTCTCTGGATTGGGAACATTTACCCGCCACCCCGATTCTCAGTATCTTCCAATTTGAGTTTCTATCACTTGTAAATCTGGAGGATACTTCACAGACGGTCTCAGTTCTCTGGCGAAAGTCTGTGGAGTTTGCGTCGACACTCCCGGGCTTCCAAGGACTCTATTGGGCTCCAGTCAATCAAAGTGCCGTCATGGTCTTGATTTAATGGGATAGTGGCCTAGCTTGGTGTCGATTCCAATGTTCATTGGGTTTCAGCATGCTGTTAGGCTATTTGAAGCATGTTACCAACCGCTGTGTGCAGCTTGCCCTTCCTGATTATCTCTCTAATACTGGATCTCGCCTGGAGGTATTCTCTTATGGCTTTCCCGCCTTGCAAAACGCGCCCATACAACGTGAATCTAATTTCAAAGAGCGCTGGAACTCATCACTTCAACTTGATGAGATGGATAACATGTTATGTGCTTTTGGAGACTGGATAGAAGATGATTATCGAAGTTATAAGAAAAGTTCCGGTACTTTACCCTTGATGAAGGAAGGCTTCAAGGTAGAGAATCATTACTTTGTTGGTCTCCTCTTCTGGAAAAGTGATATCGACATGGAGATGCCCTCCAAACTTGCCAATCAATTTGCCATTCTAGCAAAGAGGCAAACACTGCGATTACCCCTAAGACCGAACAAATGCGCTATGAAGGACCAAATACTTCATTGCAAAAAAAATTGTCAGGTCCGCTTTCCAATCAGTCCAATTGGGATTACCCGCTTTTAGATATATCAGTGACTCACCGATACGACCTAGAGGACTCTATTCGTCTTGCCTGTGAAGACAAGGTGCATATAGAATCAATGAAAGCGTCCTGGGAACCCCATAATACACGTCTCGTTCCCAGTCCGGCTGGCAATTGGAACCGAATGGGGTCAATGACACAGTACGGACTGCCTCAGATGTTCGAACAGCGCACTCGTGAATCGAACACTGTACTTGAAGTGATCGCTTTTCGCATTCTGCAACAAAGTGCCCATTTCGAGAAGCTATTTGCAGACTTTCGTATTGCTATTTGGAAGCTACGGGACCGCCCTGGTGTCTTCCGGGCCTCTGATCATAATAATCCTACTCGAGTATTCCTACTAGCTGGTGCGTATTCATAGTACTGTTGTTAAGAACTTTGACTCACCAAGATAGGCCTCGGCAACATGAAGTCTGCATCGAAGGAGGACAAAGACCATTTCCACCAGCTTATTCGAAATTTTGAAACCGCATGCAGAAGGACCATCGATGATTTATCATACATGCAAATACCTGGTCCATATCTACCAGGTGTGGGAAATTTAGAGATAACCAGTTTCTATGTCTCAAACCGGGACCTTCTTGCATTTGAATACGCATATGAAAACCTGCTTCAGCATGGAAAACTTACTACACTGCTCTTCTCTGCCTCTTTACTAATGATCCAATTCACTAGAACAACACACGTCCAGAAGTTGTTCATACCTCCAGTAAGCTACGCCCGGAACAATGCAGTATCTTTTGTGGCCAGTGATTATTATGGAGATTTGCAGATAACCAAATTTACGAGCGTGTGGTTTGGGGTGAGTGGTTCGGATGGTCAAAAACAGTGGTACGCCGAGTTCGCCTAGCGTGCTCAGAGTGAATATGAAAACCTCGGACATATAATTGACTGGCTTCAAACTGTCTGTAAGAGCGCCCATAACGTGTTCTTGGAGATTCAACAATATGACCCAGCAATGCGGCCCTTCGCTAACCGGCTTTTTGGTGGCCTGAAATAGATTTCTATAGATGCAACAATTTCAAATGCTGTCACTTCTCCCCTGGGTTTCTCCTTGAATTTGGGAGTTAAATAATACAAGCACTGGCCTTTGATCATAACACTGGCAGCCCTGGAGGGAATGACGGCGCTCAAATCAATGTTATAAGCTGAGACAATGATGGATGATGGTTCTATAGCACTTGAGGTACCTGCTGTACGAAGTAGTAGTATTCATATCCAGTGTGGAATCTTCAAGTTAACGGCCGCAACCTTGGAGCTTTCCTTCACAATACATATATGTATACTAGTCAACTGGTACCTCCCAGGTGCTCCAATATTCAAATCCGCCTGCTGATACCTAAACAAGTTACTCCAGAGTGTCCGGGCTTGAAAAATTATGCTCTCCAAACATCAGATATGGTTGACGTACAATGCATCCTTCCACAAACCTTTCCTATAGCCGTAGTTATTCATTCGGGGAATTAATTATCACAATTAATTGGAGACAGCGGTGGACTAATCAATCATTTTGCATGAAGGCAAGGGCTGTATTTATTAATCGAGCCCTGAGGGAAAAAGAAATCGGAATGATTCATCTATGTACTTACCGGCGATATAATACCTAGGTCCATGAGTCCACAAATACTCACAAGTAAATGAGCATTCATTTTCTATGTGGCTTGATTACAATCAAGCTTGTGTAGACTGTGTGCTGACTTCTTACCTTGGGTGATATAAAATTTTGATGGCCTGAATAACCTTGGAAGTTAATAGGGAGGAAATGGCGTATTAGAGACTCGGAGTAAGCCCTTGTGGCGAACTGTAAGAGCACTTGAGATAAAGCTAATGGGGTTGAGAGTTTTTGTTCCTTGATTCAAATGTTGTACATACTGCACGTAATGGTCTAGGTAATGGGTTGATATATGGCGACTTCAAGTTACCAGGTGGTAGATGTGACCCAGATAATGGATATGATCCATAGCTTGCGAATCGTAGACGGTGTGGTCGGCTTCTCCAGGGCTTTAGTATACTGGTAAGATTGATGAGATCGACTTCAAATGTTGGGCTGCCGGAGCTAGAGGGGGCGGGTTCATACTGTATGGTACATATATCTCAAGTGCTTGCTGCAGTGTCTGTTCTATGTCAATCTGAAGAGAAATAAACTAACCTTGTGATGACTGGTATTGAAATCTTCAAATGTTAATATATGAGACATTTGGTTTATCTTAGCTGATTTGGTATATGTTTGACTACTAAGGGTTCTATATGGCTTCCAAGGTTCATGCCTCTGCATGAGGGCTAAATACGGTGCATAGTCAACCCAGTAAGAAATCCCATCCCCTGTAAACCTTGGAAGCATAGCAGAATCCCAGCTTTTGAAGGATTTAAGATGAACATAGAGCATACGTGTATAAGATATCCAGCCTCAACTCCTCATGTATACTTGACTATGTACCTACTTTCCTGCACGTCTTGCTACGCTTTCTTTTACAGTCTTCCGCGCGTCCTTCTACCAATTTCCGGGGCCTTTTTGATTACTATTTGCTTTGGCAAATTTAAGAGCACTGGTAGCTTATTCACCTTGGAAATATTGATGAACCATCAACTAGTAGTACTTGAAAGAAGGAGGTAATGATTTACTACCACCTGGGCACATTTCCTTTCCACTGTATTTGGTAGGCGGTCGGATTCTGCTAAGGTGGCCTACCGCTTATCGTAAAGAGAGCATGTGACTTTGCGGCTCCTGATCATTAATTTACAGTGATTTACGGAAGTTCTGCGACTGCTAATGCAGCAAGTAAGATCAAAGCACTACCTCGTAACTATTCTACAACAAGTTTATTTCAGAAAAATAAAAAGAATTATGCAAGCGACGTGATTCGAACACGCGAAGATCGCTCCATCAGGGTACACGTGACCGCTTAAATCTGACGCCTTAAACCACTCGGCCACACTTGCTAAAGACTGAGAAAAATGATACCCTGTATCACGTGTTCAAAATGAAGGAAAAGTGGTTCTGCCACTCGGCCACTGGGGCCTATATTGATATCCATATATAGTGTGAAGATCTATGGTAAATTAAGCTTAGCTCAAAGCCTACTGTACTGTTGCCGTGTCGGCCATACCCACTCCTCCCCATTCCTCCCGTATTAAATGATGATTGACCAACCTATAATAGGCTAAGGCTTTATGGCAGTACGATCTAGCCGCACGAGTGGCAAACAAGACGGAAAACCCCCATCTTACAACTGACGGAGGCCCAGTTCGAGGAATATGGTCTCTCAACCCCCTTGATGGTATCGCAACACCGGTCGTGAATAATTTCCGAGGTCGTCACTGGCATCTCAACAGTCCAAATGATCTTATCTTTGACTCGAAATTCGAACATATGGTTTACCGATCCTCCATATGGCTAGGGCCAGGGCTTCTCTGATGTACAGCCCCCTGAGCTCCCCAGTGGGATATATTCCTTCAATAACAGGACAAAAGCTTTGGTGACTATTTCGGAATCGGGTCCCGAGGTCTCGCAACATTTAATGGTTTAGCGTTCTCATTAGACGAATCCACACTCTATGAGCCCCTTCCCTGCTAGTTTGCGGAACATCTGGGCATTCGATGTCAAGGGCTCAATTCTTAGCAATCTAAGACTGATACATTTTGGAGGAGAGTGGTTGGCCTGATGGGCTCCAGGTGATGAAGAACGGCTATATCATAGTAGCATGTTTTGGGTGGAGTGGATGTGGTTGATCCCAGCGATATGTACTTGCTGGGAAAGATCAGTACTCCAGACGATATTATCTTCAATCTTGAGCAAGGACCTACTAGTAGTTGGAAAAATCGCGCAATGTGGTTATTGACTGGAAAAAAACTTTATCTATAAACTCATGATTGATGAGCGATAAATTTGATTATGTGCATGATATTTTACAAATTTCCGAGAATACCAAGGCTTCCCTGACATAACTTCTAGAATTTGCTACGAAAATTTGGCATGCTGCATCAGTGAAGTATTTAATCCTAGTGAGAATAAACGACTAGCTGTTACATATGTTGATTTCATTGACCCTTTGGTCTCTATATTCAGTAGAAAAAAGATTTGATAGAAACGACTAAAGGCCCATGCCACGTTTCTAATTCTTGATGGTACCTTTCACTTGTTGATATGTATTGTAAGATCTAGAGCTAACATAGCTAGCAAAAGGTGGTAGGATTAAGATGGAGGAGATATCGTACAATAATTTGGAGAAAGAGAACAATAACCCCCTGTTGTAGAACTAAATATAGGATATACTAGCTGACTCTAACTTTTTTCTGGGTAATATTAATACATCCTCATATTTTGGATGACTGCCAGTGGTACCTAATGCAACGAGTAGCTCTGACACCAAGTCCGTTCCAGAGTTCTTGGCCCACCAAACCTTTCCATCCAGCTCACATAAAAGGATTCCCCAATAAATGATTATCAATATTGGGAGCCCCTGCCGACGCTGTAGGGCATGAGCGAATTGTTTGTCGAGAGTCGTAAACCATGAAAGAACAGAAGCTATATCTTTCACGTCATTATATCGGGAAAAGCAGAAACGGAGCATTGAAACTGCGTCCTTGAAAATCTGTTGCTGCTCTAAATCGCAATCCGCTGTATTGACCAATGCATCCAACATTTTCAAAGCGACGTCTATAGCGCTATCTATTTCCTTGGTAGGCGTGATCCAAAAATTGCGTGCTAATAGAACCAAATCAGTTTTGAACCATGATTGGCCAATCCTCGAAATTTCACGGACGCCTTGGAGCAGTTCAAATATTGTGGCAATCATCGTCGTAACATCTGTTTTTTCTTGTTTGGAGATGAATCGTCGCATTGCTAAGTTAATCAATATAGTGATGATTGAGTGAGCAAATACGGCATCACAGTTTGACGAACTTAGATTTCCAATCGCTTGACGAAATGGGGGTAGTGCTTGATTGTTGTATTCGATGGCCGTGTCAATATATGATGAGACTTTCTCCGGTGATTCAGAAATGACCGCAATGTGCAAGGACGAAAATGCCAGGATCCCACTCATCAAAAAATCGTGATCGAGGGCTTTCTCTGGCACAGTAAATTGCCATCCATAATCATCAGAAGGCGCGTTGGGAAGGCTTTGATATGTTTCCGTAGAAACTTTGTGCATTAACTACAAGGCTCGCAAGGGGAAACGGTTAATTAGTATAGTCCCAGTGCTATTTGTGGCCTCAGAACTCGTTCCAATGACTGGCGGAGACAATGAGGGTGTATCCACCACGTCATGTTGCACAGTGTGCGCAGAAGAGCCTCCGAAAGTACATTCCAACTGCCGAAAGCTACACACCGAGCATGGTGGTCCTGTCTCATCACACTAGACAAGATGTTAGAAGCGAACATTCAAAATTCGAGGACTGATGCTTAGCATTGTATTGCACGAATAATAAGAGATGATTCAAGGGTGACTCGTCGTTTCTTACATTGGTCACAACCGTTGCGCGACTTTTTATGGGATCGACGGGGGAGGCATATCTCCCTCCAGGCTCTACTTGGTTGAAATAGTCCTTGTGGTGAATATGACTTTGAAACCTTAGAATAATTGTCATGGGGCAAAATACAATAACAAATCAAAAATCCCGCCTACTAGTCCACGTGATCTTTTTATGATTTTTTTGAATCCTTATTTAGCATTGTTATTGTTATTGTTATTATTATTTTTTTTATCATTTGTTGTCATCTAAAACACGGCTCTTTATTTACTATCTATGACTTGACACACCATCAAATCCCATTTGACTGCTGTTTGAAGCCCATATTCACAATATTAATTTGTCATTGTCGCGCTTTCCGGAGTTTCCGAGATAGCCGAAGACTGATGAGATCAATTATATTCAGTAAATCTCATGCTCTAATCTTAGACGGAAAATTTGAAGAAGGGACAAAAGCTTTGAAACTACACAATTCTCAAATGTTTGCATCAATATTGCCAAGGTTGTATGCCCAGGTGATATGTGCTGATCTGGCAATATTTGAATGTCGTGGACTCAGCCCTGGATGTGAACTACATGTATTTATTTTCCAACATTTGAACATTGTCTATGTATAATATATATACTAACTTGAACCATCCATATAAATCCCCATCAAAAATGATGATGCCACATCTGTAACTTGAAATCCATCCAAACGTTTCATATACCTAGGTATCATAGGAAGATACAGTCTTGATTTCCTTCTCCGAAATCTACCTCCAGTCGGGAGGTTTTAATGGTTGGACATAAGCTTGATAATATATGGACACATATAAAGGGGATGAATGATTGATAAAGTCAAGACTGCCAGTGCAACCATTCTGAAACAAAAAATATCAGTATTGCCTTATGTGGATGAGTGAATCCCATTGCTCGGGTAAAATGAACTTACATGCCGTCCAAAACCAGAAACTCGGTCTCATCCTGTATCAACGGGTTTCCCCAACCGCCTGCCATCGCAGGAATACTAATTGTGGAATTATGTTAAAATGAAAATCGAGGGAATATAAGGAGTTTTCACAGGAGGCGGAAGGGTTCCTACCGATAAATGCAACAGATCAGAACAGTGAGGTAGGCAAATGCCTCTCCCACACAAAATATGAGAAATCCACACGGATTGGTTGCAGCCAACTTCTCGTCAAGCGAAAGTCCTGCGGAGGCACGAACTACGTGAAAAGCAAAGTCTAACGCCAGCACTCCACAAACGGCCATGGTCACAACTTGGAAAGTAATCCCAGCAATCATAATATCATTGCCAGCATCCAAGAGAGATTGATTGGTTTTCTTTGCGGCTGCAGCAACACCTCCACCGGCCGCTTGAAGAAGGATTGATCCTAAATCACAGCCAATGAAGACCCACGGGTAGAGGTTAGGTTTGATTCTGGAGTGTTCTGGACCAAGACATAAGACAATATGTTTCAGTGACCAGTAAATAGCGGCCACCACAAAGGAGGGAGCAAGAATCAAGCAGATAATCTGAAGCTCAAATCCTCCATTGTTCCACAGATTGTAATGCATCAGAATTCGGCCGATGTATCCAGCCAACTCCATGAGAGAGCCGACCGTCAATGCTACCATAAATTTCCATGCTTTAGCTTTCAGGCCCATGGCGAGGTTATAGATTGTGCAGATGCCGAAAATCACGGCAAAGAATACGTTTCCTCCTAAATTGGGAGTGTAGCCGTATGTTGTCGCGGAGACAGGACAAGCTAGACTGACAGCTGTGCAATTCGATGTGTCGCTCATGGCAGATTGTGTGCCTGTTATTCAAATGTTTATGGTTGAAAACACTCTGGAGGTGGGAAAGACCGAGTCAAAGATTGAAAGATTTTCACAGAAAACAAATTCGAATCGACTGAAGAATAGGAAAAATATAACACAGAAATAATGATTGATCGAAGCAATATTTTTTATTCTGTTAGTTTTTGTTGCCATTTCCGTTAGTATACTATTCGTTATAGTGTTCGTTGTCGTGTTCATTATCGTTATCGTTTTCGTATGCCAGTTAGGCAACATTTGAATAGGTATAACCCAGCGCTTTTACTATATGTACTATGTAATTGGGATGCTAATTCTACAAAGAACTGGTCGGTTACTCTACGCACTCGGAAATGTGCGATTTTTCCAGACGTCTTGACGAGAGTGAGGAATTCCATCGACGGGCGCTTCAGCAATTTCAGTCAACTATCGGAAACCACCATCGCCGTACTGCGGATCTCTGTCACAGAATGGCCCAGCATTGCTTGCGTAAAGGACTTCTTGATGAGGCTTCTCGCTTTATCAATCAAGCTCTCAATATTTGAAGCATTGACACAGACAAATATGAAAACGAGATAGCGCGGACTACATATTTGAAAGCCAAAGTCCTGTTCACAAGTGGTCAAGAAAACGACACCACCAGGCTTTTCCAAAGTGCAGCTTCAATGAGTCGCGAACTGGGAGTCTTAAGACCAGATGATACGGACTTGACTGAAGATGATTTTGATTGTCTTGTCACATTCTGGTCTCGACGAAGCTTACGACGTCAAGGTTTCAAATGTTCGCTCTATCGAACACTGCTTCTCAAATTTCTTTTTCAATGTTGAATTATGATATCTATTTACAATTGATTCTTAATGCTTAAGACTGGAAGACTCTCGATCCTGTCGTAACACTAGCCGGCCGCCCTGATAGGACCATGGTCTTTTCGATCGCCTGCAAGAGCTCCAGGTTTTTTGTTGGAGCGCCCATGATGTCAATTACAACTGGTAAATATTCAGTTCTCTTGGTGATTTTTGACACATATGATACCTCGCCAGTCGGAATGGCGATATCAGGGGCGCCTAAGATGGGTGGAAGAAAAAGCTGATCTAGCGCGGACTGCCAAAGGGGAGATGGCGACGGCTCGTCCCTATAATTCGGAGCAGCATTTGCGATGGGAAGAACAACCAGGATCTCAGCCTCACTGGTGGATTCGGCTAACATTACGTTAAGCAACCATTCCTTGTAGGTGTTCATCCGCTGTACGGCATCTTTGTGCTCTTCTTCGGATACAGCGGCACCCTTTTCCCATCGGTATTGCAAGGAGGGAAGTACATATGGCGGCTTCCTATCATGTTTCTCAGCGTACTTTTCGCGAAACACGGTGAACGAGTGATAGAACACATAGTAGTAAACTCTTTCCACTGTGTTGATCGGGTAGTCATCGAAATCTTCTGGGGTTTCAGGGGGGTGAGATCGCTTCCAAGCTTCTCGTATAGAGAACTTTGTTATCTTTGCTGGTAGTGCAGCTCTCATGTCCTCAACAAAGCTATCAATGAGTTGCATCTGCTCAGTGTTTTCCACAGGTAGGTAGTCAAAGGGATAGATTATATTGTATTCCTTTGGACAAGGCGTCGGATTGATGCTTTTTGAGATCCAAACCTGAGCAGTAGCTTTAAGTATAGAGAAGCTCCTGGCAAATACAACGGGTTTATCAAAGCGGGAGCAGGTCCGGACCATACCGCTAAGAGATATCAAGTTATGAGAAGGTCGGAATTGCCAAACTCCATTTGCCATCGCCGGACGTCTTCCACTGCCACTGCTATCTGTGCCGATAGCGCAATCAATCCAATCATATGCTGCAACGCATGCGACACTACCATTGCTGTTGCCGGCTGGGGACTGGTATCCGTCTCCACGTGGATTGAATGAAATTTGAAAGTCAACGGCCTCCAGGGGCTCCTCGCGGCCAATCATCGAGCTGAGTTTTGTTAGGCCCACGACGACAGCTCCCTGCTTTACCAATAACTGCACTACCTCTGCCGTAAATGGGGCATGGTCGCTGAAGTCATAGTAAGAACGATGACACAGAGTTCTTCAGTCCTTCTAGGAAGTAGCAGTCCTTGGCTCCCACGCGAAGCCGTGAAAGGGGGCGGTTGTCCCGTGCTGACGCTGCCCTTGGAGGAACTGCCACGCTAAGACAGTCATAAAATGTCCCCCGGCCTTGAGTTGCTCATATGTCGTAGATGGAGGTCTGTTTCTGCCAAAAACCAGGCCGCTGAATTTGTTTTTCATGGCATACTCACGAATTGAGCTTCGGCTTGACAGCCGTGAGAAAAGTTCTATGTGTGTCATCGCACAACCGATAAACAGGCTTGAATGACTTGTTGATGTAGAGGTATGGACTTGGCTGTAAATTCAAAGAATAGTCTTTGTCCTTCTCAATCCGAAGACAGCGGTTGCCGAGTAATTCCAGATACTGTCGGCAGCTGCGTAACACGGTATGCGTTGCCATGACTCGGGTTATAATCAACCCCGTCAGAAATGATTGTTTTGGCTGGAAGTCACTGCTATATAGTCGGTCAAGGTAATCGTCCAACCATTTTTTGCTAAGGGGCGTTCCATCATCGGCCTCCACTATTGTCACGAGGAGCGGCCCGGTGTCCCCAGTAAGATCTTCGGTCGATTCGAACTACAACGATCATCTGTTATTTTATTTGAGGGATGGAACCCAGGGGAATAGGCTGTTGCTACCGGAGTGTGCCCCATCGCAACATATCGCGAGTCTCCAATGGAAAAATAAACATCCGTAGATCCTCCTCCAGTCGGGCAGCTTTGGGTCAGCATGCTCATTTTACCAAGCCCTCCTCCGATCGACAGCCTATCCTTGGTCTTATGTCTGGCTGAAAAACATTGTAAGCGTCGCAACATTGTGTCTATTCGTGCCCTTCCACTCCTTTTTGCTCGGCTCCACGATACGACGTTCGATCCAACAAGTGGGAGGAAAGGATGTAATACGTGTCAGGAGAAAATGGTGTTATCCACACGAGAAAATATGTGTAGTTGAAACCAGGGTTAAATATTGGCTGCGAGATTGACAAGTAAATTACGAACAACCTTGGAATTGGGACAAAAGGGGGAAGGGACGGGCTGCACAGGTCAAGGGTCGGTCAGACTCGGAGCCTCAGAGGGTCTTCAAGACAAAGAAAAGGTTATTACTACCTCAAAGATAGTGTTAGAAATCTACGGGGATTTAGTCAGCAGCGCATCTTTCTCCTGACTTATTATATTATACAATAGCGACCGCTTTCGCCTTCCATGTGCACAACACAGATAATCACATGCTACGCTAAGCCGGACATGGTTATTCGTGTATCCAAGGATTCGTCACAATGGTAAATGGTATAATACCTCCAGGGCTTCAAAGGTTGTTGCTTAGGACTTGATCACCTGATCCTCGCTGTTGAGAATGAGACTCATTTTGTCGTTCTCAAAAATGAGTCGAAAACAAATTACCAGAGGCACACTTTCCTGTCGCATAGGCAACTCGGCGCTCTTTGGTTATGAATGACATCATTAATCAGTTAAAAATAGTTGACTTTCGGCCCCTTACTCTGCGGACAGCCTGGTCATTGGAACACTCAAGATGCTAGATAAGCCGGATTCCAAACGAGTCCTTTATCCTACTTCAACGGGATTTCCAAGATCTTACTTCTCAGCTCATGAACTTGTAAGGTCTGAATAGAGCTTCTCTCTCACTGTCTCCCAGATGAACTCGACTATGATGTCGCCTCTTTGCGATAATTTCTGGTCCTGGGACTCAAATAATGAATCTTGGATCAAATTCAAGGAAAACGGCACAGTAACTGTAAATTAACCTTGGAAGTCATGCAAGTAGAGCATGCGAAGGGCTCGGGAAGATATCATGACTGTTCACACCAATCTCATCCAGCTTTTTGCTTGCCGCGAGTTTTGCATGTTTATCGCCGCAGAGTTCGATTGGACAGCCCAGAATCCCGAGATACTTGGCTCTAAAGTCGATACCCAAAGCTCTCTAGTGTGTTAATGTCAGATAGAGATATCTCTGATAAATCGCTAGATTCCGGAGCTCACGCTGTTCAAAGAGAACAAATTGGTCGAATTTGGCAAAAACAAAGGTAACGCTGCAGTCAATTTCTTTCGGCTCTATGACGAAGCCTTCACCCGCCGGAAATTTACAATACTTATCGAGAAAGGCGAGTTTATCACAGGTGAAGATAAGAAACTAGGATTGTCGACTTGGACTGCGCCGAACTTCGCATACAGGCTTGTCTTCGATTCGTCGCCGTATCCTCCACAAAATATGTGGAAAGGAGATAGCTGGGGGAAACCCATTGGGTAAGCTTTGGCTCTGGGAATGGAATGAGTTTTGTACGCAGCAAGAGCCGCGGAGTTTATGGATGTGGAAGATCTTCGGAAGACTATTTAGATAGATGAGAAGAATGGGAGTCGTTCGGCCGAAGATGTCTATTGAATTTTAGTTTAGTTATCACAAATTTGTATAGAGGAACCCAATTACAGTCAGTTGTCCGCGAATTTGAATCTCGCGAGAAACTTGAACATCCTATAACTATGTAGTAGTTGTACCACACTAGGGTTAGAGGTGGCGACCGGGTCTAAATATTTGAATCACATAAAGATTCAATATCTAGTGGCTGTAGTATTCTCTTACATAGTTTAATACCTCTCTAGTAATTAGCTGAATAGACTTTATCTTGTACAGTAGCAGTCGCTTTATGTGATGCATGGGATGGATTAGCACGAAACTCTGCTAGTACTGTAAGGTATGATGGACAAAGACTAATTTCTAGGGCTATTGTTCATGCCATTGGCTGGGATGGGATCGCTTTAGGAGACAGTAAAAAGGTTCATAATAGGTTTATAAATGGTTCATATTATATAGTTAGAATAGGGAAGTGTTTTGTGATGAGATTGAGTTAGTGGTACTCTCAAGAACAGCAAGCGTTTCTGGTCAGAAGCGCTGAGAAGACTTGGTGAGCTTGGTGGAGCGAGTAATATAGCGTAATTGAGCATGGGCTATAGTTATGTATAGAAAGCACTAAAGACAAGACGACAGTTTGATTATTTGAAGAGAGGGATGGAGAAAAATGGAGAGAAATGAGAGCGACTTGGAAGGTCAAGCCTTTCCATCCAGACCTATTGGAACAAACGGGGGGATACCAAAATCCCGAGATTGTTTAAACCCATAGTATTCCAAGGTTAGTTACCTGGTTTGGTACAAAACGAGTCATTCCCGCGCTATTCGAATCTTGAATAGGGGTTGAAAGGATCTCTCTGTTCCTGACGTGGAAGGCGATACCGGTCGTTACTGTACATGTGTAGGCTGTAAAGATGACGAGACGGAGGCAGTCTCCGCCATAACCTTCTGACGAGTAAATTCAACAACTGCCGCCTTCTGATAATCACGAGTTTTGTTATGGTAGCCGGGGGTGCCAAGTGCTCGTGAAAGTGAGTAGTATGCCTCTGCAAATTCGCCCATTTCGATGAGATTTCTACCAAACACATAATAAGCAATACCGACGAGGTCTCTGGACCGCAGGTCATTTAGCAGAGAGTATCGTGAGACGGATTCTATAATAACACCTAAACGTCGATTAGACACTTCAAAACGTCCCATGGAATGAAGCACTGCAGCAGCAAATATCCGACAACGAATGTCTTCCGTTGCAGATAGGAAGGGGTTAGCATCGATCGCCTGAGAGACGATTTCTAGGGCACTTTGTGGAGATCCATTTTTCCAATATGCTTCTGCCTCTTGGATGGGGATGTTTTCAGCATCATTACAGAGCCAGATATCATCAATCCACACTTTAGATGTCTTATTTGAGGGACTCACCGCGGGACTTGCTTGATTGACCGACTGTTCATCAGTCTGGAATGTTGGAGGTGGAGTTTCACCGACTCGACACTGGGCATGTGCCAAAAGCATATCGTACTCTGCTAATTGAGCTCTGAGTAATTCAGTTGTATGATTTGATTTCTGGAGGTCTTCTTCTAGAGTGAAGATTCGACTTGTCAATTGTTGGACCCTAAACGGAAAATTTGTTTCTTCGGTTGACTCGAAGCGAACTGTCTTCCTGCTCCTTCGACGATAGGTCTTCCATCTTGGAAGCTTGATAAATCCCATGTTTTTTGAGATTCAGGATAAAAGATGATTGTAAAGTAAGGATGAATAGGAGCAATACTTGAATATTGTCCAAGAACTTAAAAAAATCTGTATAAGATCGCACTCACGCTAGCATAGGCAGTTTGTATGATGAAAATTCTAAAAAGCTAACAGATGATGGAGCTCTCTTAAATAAGGGAATATCTGGAGCAATTATTCTTTGACGTGAATACTATGAAAGAAGCTTTAATGCTGGTGTACAATGATGTTCTAAGACTTTCGGACAAAGTCCAGGTGGTAGAACAATGAGTACAATCTGCTTTGTTTCATCCATTCTACTCTATACACTCTTTGATCCAATTCTGAATTAGATAATATCATCAAAGAAATCCACATTATATTAGAAATCAAAGACATTATAGAATGACCTAGGTGTTTTGCTTCCAAGTATAGCTCGGGGCTATTCCGAAGTGCAAACAAGACAAACGAAACAAACAATGAAGACAAACCAGACAAACAGCGCTATGACCTCAAGATGTCGTGGGGCTCTCCACATCTCCTCACATTTCCTCACAAATCTCTCGAATCTTACGGATGTGGTCGGATGCAAACTACCAACTTGGAGATTGTAACGTCAGACGGCAGATTCAAAGCTGAGTCAACCAATCTGATACTGTGGATCGGCCTTCTGTATGGTTGAATGTCGCGCTCTAGACTTGCGGGGTGCCTGATGCAAACATGTCCTACGAGTCAAAACCGGGTCTCGCAAGCCAATCTTGCGTCGATATCGGTCATCAACTTACCTAGGACATTTACAAATGCGAGACTGAGCTTAGTTTTTCCTCTTTAATTGCTTTTGTTTAATTTGTTTCCTTGGTCTGAGCCCCTCTTCTGGTGTAGCATCCTTCATTATGACTGGTTATGGAATGTATCTCATGGGGATCGCTCCTGCCGGTGTCTTGTCACTCCTGTGTTGATTCGTCATAGAGTTCAAAATAGTTATTTTCTATACCGTGTGTCCAAGGTTAGCTTAGACTTCTCAAATCCCTCTAGCTGTTTGGAGCTTTTAGATTTAAAGTCAACAAGTCTCCCATGCATTTTCCCCTCTTATTTCACTTTTACCTTTCCTTTCTCGTTTCTCCTTCCCTAGAATCTGGATTTCTGGCATATTCACAACAGAATCATGTCTCCAACAGCTCTGGAAAAGTTTGACGTGGTTGAGATTGTCAACATTCATCAAGATGACATGGAGTTTTCTCTCGTTGATGAGCTCTATGAGAATCTCAGTCCGCCCGACGATGAACCCCGCTCATTCCCTACGCTGTTGCTATACGATACCAAGGGTCTCAAGTTATTTGAGAAGATCACTTATTTAGACGAATATTATCTCACAAATGCTGAGATCGAGGTCTTGACCAAGCATGCAAAGAGAATAGTGGAGCGGATCCCTGAAAACGCACAGCTAGTTGAGCTTGGGAGTGGGTATGTGATCCTACACCGAGGACAAAGCGTCTGATTCATTGGTCCTTGAATTTTTCTAACTAATTCGTTTCTAGAAATCTAAGGAAAATCGAGATTCTCCTCCGCGAATGCGAACGTATACAGAAACATGTGGATTATTATGCGTTGGACTTGTCTTTACTGGAGCTACAAAGAACATTCTCGGAGATCTCACCCGAGAGCTTCAATTATGTTGGCTTCCATGGATTACATGGAACATATGATGATGCTCTTGACTGGTTGAAGAACCCTGATAATCGGACAAGACCAACTGTGGTACTATCCATGGGATCCTCAATCGGAAACTTCAGCCGCACCGATGCCGCAAACTTTCTCGGGAGCTTCTCGAAAGTTCTTCAACCATCCGATTTCCTTTTGATCGGATTGGATGCTTGCAAAGAACCTGAGAGAGTTTACAGAGCCTACAATGATTCATATGGAGCAACGAGAAAGTTCTATGAGAATGGTTTGTTACACGCGAACACTGTTCTTGGCTTTGAAGCTTTTAAGCCCGAGGAATGGGAAGTACTGACTGGGTACGACAAGGGAAAGGGATGTCATCAAGCCTTTTATTCACCTTTGGTTGATGTTGTGATTAACGAAATTGTAATTCGGAAAGGCGAGAGGCTCAAATTTGAAGAGGCATACAAATACGATCGTGATGAACGAGAGGAGCTATGCCGTGATGCCGGATTGATATCCCAAATTGAATTTGGAAATTCGCATGACAACTATCGTGAGTACTTGAAGAAGTTGGGGTTTTGAATTTCTTGCTTCGAATTATTTGTTGACTTGAATTTTGATCAGATGTTCATCTTCTTTCGCCTGCCACCCTTAATGTGCCGACAAGGGCCTCTGAATATGCAGCTCATTCCATCCCAACGCTTGAAGATTTTCAGACTCTATGGACTTCATGGGATATTGTTACGAAGACAATGATTCCCCGTGAAAGTCTTTTGTCTAAGCCAATCAAGCTCCGAAATGCATTGATATTCTACCTGGGTCATATTCCCACGTTCTTTGGTAAGGAACATCCTTTCAACCTATTATTCAATTCCTCGGTGGCTAATATTTGTTATTAATAGATATTCATCTCACCAGAGCGCTTCGTGGGAAACCAACAAACCCCAAATATTACCAGCAGATTTTTGAACGAGGCATTGATCCCGATGTTGAGGACCCCGAGCAATGCCATGCTCATAGTGAGATTCCTTCCGAGTGGCCTCCTTTGGATGAAATCTTGGATTACCAAGAGCGCGTGCGCAGCCGAGCACGATTAATCCTTCAGAGTCACTCAGAATCGAAAGATCGGAAGCTAGGCGAAGCTCTATGGATCGGATTTGAGCACGAAGCCATGCATTTGGAGACATTCCTCTATATGTTATTGCAGAGTGAGAAGACACTCCCGCCATCTGGAATTAAACTTCCTGATTTCACTCAAATCGCCCAAGATGCCAAAATCAATGCGAGGCCAAATGAGTGGTTTCGCATTCCTAAGCAGACTGTGATGGTAGGCTTAGATGATGCTGATGAGGCTACCGTGCCTAGTGACTCATATGGGTGGGATAATGAAAAACCCCAACGAAAGATTACTGTCCATTCCTTCGAAGCACAAGGTCAACCAGTTACGAATGGCGAATATGCGAAGTACTTGCAAGCTAATCGCCTCCGTGCTATCCCGGCATCATGGTTGCTGATCTATGCTGATCAGAATTACCCGATCGCCAGGGGAGTGGACAGATCAAGCCCGGGTGCTTCTGACGAATTTTTGAACAATTTTGCTGTTCGAACAATCTTTGGATCTGTCCCACTGGGTCTCGCGCAGAGTTGGCCATTGATCGCATCTTATGATGAATTTTCAAACTATGCCAAATGGGTGGAGTGTCGAATTCCTACTTTTGAAGAAGTGAAGAGCATCTATCAGCACTCTGATCAATTGAAGATGGATACTCGTGAGAACTCAGAAGCTTATAGGTATGTATACATTCCATGTCCAAAAAATGCATCGCTAATCCCATTTAAAGCAATGGCGTAAACGGAAGAACCCCGTCGAGCCAGATCTTTCGCGATCTCGATGGTTGCAATGTGGGCTTCAAACACTGGCACCCTACTCCTGTGACACCTTATGGCAATCAACTTGCTGGACAAGGAGAGCTAGGTGGAGTTTGGGAATGGACCAGTTCCCCTTTACTGCCTCATGAAGGATTTGAGGCCATGGAAATCTACCCAGGCTATACATGTGAGCTCTTCAGATCCACGGCTTTCATGAAGAATCGTTGAATTAATCTTTAATATTTGCAATAGCCGACTTCTTCGACGGAAAACACAACATCGTTCTCGGTGGATCGTGGGCAACTCTGCCTCGAATTGCGGGAAGATCCTCATTGTGAGTACTCCCCGAGGCAAATCTATGACCACTTGCTAACTGAACAGCGTTAATTGGTATCAACACAACTACCTCTATGCCTGGGCTGGAGCGCGTTTGGTTAGGGATCTTTCTGGATAATTACCGGACATATGTAGAAGGGAGCTGGTCTTTTGATACAGTTTGTTAGTGAGGAGGTTAAACTCTCATAATATGAACCGTTTCCCCTGGGAATGGAGCTATTTGAAACAACGTTACAAGTCAAAGAGACTTCAAATGTTGACAAGTGTCAGAAATTCCTAATGAGTCTGGTAAAGTATTATTATTTCATCCGAGTTTCAATGTTTGTAGAACCGAGGGCCCATTCCTCAATTTCTGCCAGTATCAATATCAGAGAATTCGGAATTATTAACTAAGTCCACAAGTTGACATCATACTACCAGTTGACTAGAAATCTCATGGGGAATATTCATATTCAAAGAAGAAACAATTAAAATGGAACGTGAAAATGCAAGGATTTGGAATATCCTAAAGCAGAAATCAAGCGGAACCTTCTATGAATGGAGGGAAAAATGTAAGCCAAGCTTCTTAATGAGACCCAGTTTCTCGGATTATTATTCCAAAATTTGTTGCTAAGTGCCCAGATTCAAACTGGGAGGGTGTCTGGCATATCTTAGGACCTTGCGTTAGGAGAACTCGGTCTCTTTTACTCCGTACATGCCATTTTCATCTTAACCTTGGAACACTTGTTTCCCTAACCACCAAGGATGCTATATCCGGAGATTGGAGACCATGATGGAAAGGGAAGATTAATTAGTACGCTGAATACTGACAAGACTGTGAGTCTTTAGTCCTTGGACATGTATCAATGATGAGTTTCCATGATCTCTGGACTCCAGTTCAGTTAATTACAGATTCAAGCTACGGATTCATTGTATCTTGTTCGGTCTGATCATGGTCTTTTTGATAATAGTTTAGATCAACTTAAATCAAAAAATGGAATATTGTTTGTATTAATTCCATTTCCATTGACTCTTCCAAGGTTATCTTGGAATGTGTTATTGCGAGAGTCGGACGAGGTTAGCCGATCTCGCGGTGTTTCTACGGCATTACTCCGACGCAAGGGAGGAACGCGAAGAGTGATTTTTCAACACTCAATGCGCAAGGATTTTCAAATCCGGGTTTCTTTCGTCTTGAATCTTAATTTGAATTTACGAGGAACGGTAGTTATTTGTAAAGTTGCAAGTATACGAATGAAAAATGAATTCTTTGTTGAAACCGAGTCCAGAAAACGCATAATTTATTCATAGAAAAACAAATAATCTTTGAACACAAGTCCAATTCCATCTAAAGAAAATTGAAATGAATGGGCCTCTTCTATTAACAGACATAATACAAGTAGATTTACTGTATACAAACTAGGCTTCCAAGGTTGTATAGTTAGAGCAGTGTTATGGACTGATAAGACTATAAGACGGCAAATAGGATCCGATCTAGGTGGTATTGACTAACCTGGATCATCCCTGTCAGTGAGAAATTCATGATTAATCGGCAAGACACAGGGAGATCCGCGATCGACCGCATATCCAGTATGTAAGATTAACATTGCGAGCCAGAAGGTCGGATCGGCTTTTGTCTCGCTGACAAAGAGCCTTCGAAGCAAAGGATGATGAAATTAATTCCAATGTCCTGGATTCAAACGCCTATACGAAGTATTGTTGTCAAAGACCAAGTAAGTTGAGATTCTAGATCATAGATCTTGAGAAACAAGCTGGCTGTAGTCTCAAAGCACGGTTTCAAGCATGACATGCATACATCCGATGCTGCAAACGGCTTCCTGTTGCCTTCACCATTCAATGTTACCCGTAAACTTTAAAATTGATAGGACGAGCTTAAGCCGAGAGGGATAGAAGCCAAGAATGAGGTATGATGGCGTTTCTAGGACACGAGCCACAAAACCTTGGAAGGCTCCCCTTTTACCGCATTGGGAACCCAGTTTCCCAGTATTGCTCAACCGACTCCACTATTACCTGAGTGCCTCTGATGCACGGGTCTGTATTGACGCATTTTCTTCCCTGCGGACTGCATGTCATCGTGACCTTACTGCCTCGTACTTGCAGAATTGACATGCTTTCCCTGCACTGGGTTCCCGTGTCTCAACGAGGCCATACTTGGAAGAAATTGTGCATACAGATAGCGCTGCATTCTGTCATAGTTCTGAGAAATTACACAGATCTTCTCCGAAGCATTTCCCGGCGATCGATCATCTCCGAAAAGAAGACTCATCCCGCAATTGCCGCTAGGGGAGCGGGTTGTCGGACTGGAATGTGTCACAGACCTAGTAGAGGGATTCCATGAGTGAATCCTGCCGAGCCTGTCACTTAGATGATCCTAGGTCCATGCCACAGGAGCGGCCGGCTGTCGCCTAGTTCAACCTGCATGAGTGGATCCAGCCCGTCCTCGTCAAGCTGGTCCTAGTATGGATTTGCATACTGCAGGAGTTGCCTGGAACTAGGCACAACTTGCCAATTTTCTATATGTACCCTGGTCCGACCTCATCTTTGACATCTTTGTGTGGACAGGGCGTCAATGGCATAGAGCAGTTGCAGCTCACCGGGTACTTTCGTTCATTCTCATTTCGACATTCTTTTTGTCGCTAACCTCTCGTTTCGCATTTTTGTCTCTCGTTCCATTAGCATTTCGAATTTTACCGGAGCATTGCCGTTCTACCATTGATTGCCTTCGACCATCAGTCAAGTCATGAGACCCGACTTCACATAAGTTGCATCGACCGAGCCCACCGATATCTCGATCAAAGAAACCCTCATAACTTTACTCCGCGACTCAATCACGGTGTAATCCAAATTTCAGCAAAAATGGAATGTTTTCGTCAGGTTTTTCGCTGCTTCAAGGCTCCGTTTACAAGGAGGAACACAGGAACAGTTATTGAAATTGTATGTTCAGAAAAATATTCTCTCGAAGCCTTGAAGTTGAGGGTACTGGCCACTAACAATTCGGGACTTGCAGGGACCTCCAACCAATTTTCGCAAGGAAGAACTACCTGCCTGCTTCTCAGATGCAGAGTCAGTGATATCGCCCAATCAAAACCCAATCGAGCCACCAATTCTGACAAAGGAGCTACAGCACGTTGATGTATCAGGACAGCCGGGAAGCGATACTGGAGAAGGACGGGACGATGATCGAAATGGTGGATCTACAGCCTCTGACCGAGGACAAGATTCGGGCTCATGTGCAGGCAATGAGCATCTTGTCATCAAGCCCAATTTTCGAGAGCGTATGAAGCCCACTAGATGGTTTAAATCCACCAAATGTGAGGCTCGCGGGGAAGGTCATAAGGACGACCAAGAGGATGGCCATGAAATAAACGCCATGAAAGAGATTTAAATCCTGGGATGGACACGAAACCAGGAAGTCCTAAGAGACAGAGAAATGAAGAAGAGGGACTAGGACATGGAAATCTTATTCTGGGGGTATCATTAATGATCAGAAAAAAAATATTGGGACATCTTTATAGCGGGATTTCGACTCCAAATTGTTGTCGCTAGGAGCTCTTTGAGGCGTGTTTGTTCCAGAGTTGACGTCTCTTTTCCTGTCAGAAATAGAACTAGACTGAGATGGCTCTGGTAGCTCATCGAGGTCATCAAATAACATTTGTACTTTTGATTTGAACAGAACTGCCGGTTTTCTTGACTTTGTGCTCGCCTGTGCAGGAGCCTGTGTCTGTTTGCTCACAGTAGGAGTATTTTGTCGATGGGTTGTATGTGTCCTAGTAGTTTGTGGTTGTGGCTTTGTTTGTATTTTGGGTATCTTGCTGGGAGGACTGTTCATACGTCTATTCGACGATATGGTAATCGGATAAGAGTCTCCATCGAGATCATCATCCTCCGATTCTGTTTCCAAGTCAATTTCGACGGCGTGTGATTTTGTTGCCCTAGATGGAGAAGCCATGGCTGGAGAACTAGACCGCGTGCTTGCGGTGCGACTGCTACTGGCATGGATATGAGACGTCTGCCCAAAGCCTGCTGCGGCTCTAGTGGAAGACTTGAGACGCTGTACTCCAATCAGAGATCGCGATTTTTGGGGGCTTGTCATCAACCCGTGGAGGTGAGTACCAGCCCAAGTATCGTCGTCGTCATCAGAAAGCTCCTCCTGCTGATCGACCAGTCCAAGTTGGGCCATGCCATCTTTTTGACGAGCCTGGAGCTCTTCCGCTTGCTTTTTAATCTGGAGTCCTTTTGAAATTGCCGTCCGACCGTCTGTAGGTCGTTCCACCTCTCCAATAGCTGCTTCGCCTCGAGCCTTTGCTTCTTTCTTTCTCCGAACGTACTCTGCATAGTGTAAATGCTGCGTAAATGATTGGGCAATAGTATAGAATTCGTCTTCGACCATTACCCAAGCGTCGTCTCGATCTAAACCTTCCAAGATATATCTAAGGAAGTCTTGTGAGTATAGTAGACTGATCTGGGTTTGTGACACGTCAAACTCACTCTTCAGTGGGCCCCGGACGCGCAGGTGAGGTCGGAGGAGTTTGTGCTATTCAGGAGATTACTTCATCAGATTAAATACACAAAGGGACATTAGATGTCAAAAATACTCACATGATCTGAAAAAGTCTCTCTTTTCGGGTGACAGTGGTGGTTGTTTCGGCGTCACGTCCGGGTCCACATCCGACTCCCGCTTCACGCGCTTTCGAGGTGTCTCCTCATGTTTGACGCGTTTTTCCTTAGCTTTATCGAGAAGCCAGGGAAGAGTCCGAGGCATTGTATCAGACAGCAGGGTTCAAGGACAAGAGGTTTAAAGTGTTACGGGGAGAAAGTCAAGGGAAGTTTAAGATCGGCACTGATAAGAGATGAGGTCACCTGCCATGCGGCTCTACGTCTCTGCTCTACTGCCCTGCTCTACGGTTCGCTTAGTAAATCAGCGTGTAAAGCCAACATCAATTTATTGGGTATCTGCTTGGATAAAGACAATTTCGTTTATGTCTTAAAAAGTGAGAAGAAAATGCTGGTTGAACGCCATGAAAAAGGAAAACCATCATAAGCCCATAAGGACATGCCAGTCAAACGCCTCAAAGCCACCTCATTAAAATGAAAACGCCGGTAGTTCTCAGTCTAGTTTTATGGATCAAACTTCGCCAGGGCGCTTGCTGTTGCAGCTCACAATCTTGACCTTGTCGGCGGTAACTGTGGTCTGGTTGTCCAGCTTGAACGATACGTCCTTGATCAAAAAGGTCCACACTTCATCGCAGAATCGGTAGGTATCGAGGTGACCCTGATAGAGAGAAGGAGAATAAGTTAGTTTTATTGAATGGGTGATAAAGGCTTTGCCTAGATGAGGCTCGATCCTTGAGGGAAACTGGGCTCAAGGAGTGCATCTGGTGTAAGAGAGATGATACCTTGAATGTGAGTCTAGCCCGGACCTTATCAGCCAGAACTTCAGTCACGACTTTGTCAAAGGTGGAGAGAATCTTCATGGCCAACTGTGGCTCGATGCGACCTTCATTGATCAAATCATCGAGAGTGTCGGTAAGTGACAGACCAAGGCTAGTCATCTCTCAGTCAGCCTGTATCAACAGAATCTGCTACTCCCTGAGCTACCATACCTGCTCCCTCGGTAGAGTTCGTAGTAAGCTACCTGTTGTGCAGCCATCTTGTCGGTGATCGCCGTTGGATGTCGTGATGATGAGGAGGCTGAGTTACGTTAAGCCGGCGGCGGTTGACACTGCGGGGATCACACGTGACGTCACATGATATATTCTGGGCCTTATCGTCAGATTAAGAACTTGTGATCGACAACTATTCCACATTGTTTTTTGAAGGAAAGAATTAATATCTTCTTACAATTCAAAGTCTTTGGCTATAATTATGTTGAGAAAATTGATCTACAAATATCCAAAGAGCTTCAGGCCATTTGCGTTACCTTCAACATATCTTACTCGCCAGTTCTCTATATCGTCGCCACAGCCAGCAGCCTCCAGTCCAAGTACGCGCTTAATCTTCTGAACTCTTCGGTATATTCTGAATATGCCAATCAAAATGATTGCTCGTTCACACTATTTGTAGCATCCGGCTAACAAGAGAAAAAGAAAATGCAGACATCTCCAGCACTAAAAAAGACACTCCCGCGGACCCTCAAAATAAATCCTCAATCCAAAAGAAACCCAAAACCGTAATGCAGGCCGACTCTGAGCTTCGCGAGCGACTAGAACAAATTTCTGGCGACGGAGGAGCAGCAGGAATCGAATATGAAGATGGCAAGCCGACTGCCATGAAGCGTAGCGTGCGAAACAACATGTTCCGTCTGATCTGAGCTACAACTCAACAATCGAAGACCGATAGTTTTCCGTGACTCAAACCCCCTCCGTCAGGAGACATGCTGTCTAAATATAAGACACCAAGGTTCAGAGTGTCGAAAGAGCTCAGAGTGCCTAGGCTTGGCTTCTATGCGCCAAGACAGACTGTTGGCTAGATCGCCGATCAGTCCAGGATCCCAGGACTAAAGAAGCTTCAGAACAATCCAATGCAAAGAAGATATGGCTGGTCGCTGAATCCGGTTGGCAAATCTACACGTCGAGCGAAGGATCTACAGATCCTCGAACTTGCGGAGCTGCCACGCGTCATTATCCAACGACATTCCGAAGATGCTGAGCATTCCTCGTTACGCTACCTTGATGGAGCCGCGCAAGCGACATGAACGTCCTCATTTGTGAGACCTCCGCTTAGGTTGCAAAGTGGAACTGATGGCGTGTAGCTTGCGTGTCGGATCTGCTTATTTACGAATTCTCGGCATCGTTATCAAAATGCTGCGTACGTGTGGACTATGTGTTACTCGTAATCACATGAAGTATGTTGTACAATGAACGCTAAATTGATTCCGTCAAAATGGAGCCTGAATATGACAAAGACCTATCGAAATGCTATTCTGGTGCCAGAAATGTAGGCTGAAAGATATGAAGGGACATGAAATAAAAGTAGTAATCATAATAAGACACCTTTCATAGCAAGATATCATATCCTTTTCTATGTGGTGAATTTCAATCCCAATCAAAAAGAAATATCAGAAAAATTAAGATGTCCTTGCTCTTTTCTCGTCTCAGAAACTCCACTCCAAAGAACCCCGAGTTTGCATCAGTCATATTGAGTAAATCTACTTGCTAACAACCATACCAACCAAAACACCAGCACCAATGACGCCACCATCTGAAGCCTCTCGTAGAAAAACCGACTTGCCTCCTCGTTGCGGACCAGTCCGCATAATGAGGCGATCGATATGCTGTTGGCACATTTCTTTAAATTGCGGATAATGCTGAATGATACCACCGGTGTAGGCTACTACCAATTCCTCTGGACCGGATTGCCAGTCCACTGGAGTGTGTTGTAAAACCGGAACCACATGTCCATGAACATTATTCAGGAAGGAAGGTTGAGAAGTGGCATCGACTGCATCAGTGATAGCAGCATGATCAGCATTAGAGGATTCACCGTTACTTTGAGGCGAGGCTGCATTATCTGGTGTGTTGACGTTGCTATCTTCCTTCAATTCAATTTCGCGGCAGCAAGCTAATAGCCCAATCACGGCAGCAGCGATCAGACCCGCAGATCGCTTTTGTACCGCTCGAGCAATTTGACGGAATGCGCCGGCGGTTCGGGCATCCCAGCGCCAGTCACTGCTCTCTGGGGGAGGGAGGGATTCATTGAGTTCCTTTGCGAGATCTTGGTCTGATCGCGCACGTGCTACATTGTCGGAAATGTAGGTGGTGGTCAGGGCGTATTCTTGAATAAGGTTTGCGGGCAGGATGCGCTTCGATAACCCGGTCACAGTGGTGAGGTAGTCGAAAAGAATCAAACGGATCAATTCGCCAATGTATCGACCTCCGGTCATGTATTCGAATGGCTGAAAGCCTGGACGTGCACAAGCCTTGTCTAATTCGATATCCCAACCGGTTGTGATGTTGAGTTCCCGCAGTGGTGGTGCTGCTCCAGAGATAGTCCACTCGGTGTTCACAATGGTCTCCTTGGCCCCTGGCTCCATGGTATTGACGCTTCTGGCCTTGGATTCATGCAACTCGCTGAGTTTCATTGGAATGGTCGCATTACAACCAGTGCCCACAATAATTCCCATGGCAACTCGACTATTCGGTAAGGACTTGACGGAGTATGCGAGTGATGCGAGTGTCGCAACTGTGTCGTTGGTAATAGCTTGGATCTTCAATTTTGGCAGGGCGAACAGCTTCCGGCGCTTGGATGACGGCTCATCTTCATCATCTGGTCGCCTTGTGTGTTTCTCATACCCGTTTAGAAGGATGTTACGTAGATCGAGGTTTGATGTGATAGCGAAACCTTTACCCATTGGCATCAATGTAGCCTCTGCCAAAGATTCTTGCCTGTGATTCAGTTAACACCCCAATTCCAAATATGCACCACACAATTTAAGAGGTCAAATAACGCACATGATTGGAAAACTGAATGTGATGCCCATATCCAGTTCTGCAGGGACATCTTTTCGGGTTGCGTCTGAGGTAAGACTCTCTGCCACAACCTCTGCAATGCAATCACCAATCCAAGCGAACAGATCTTCAGCTTTATCCATTTTCAAATGCTCTTGGATGGGCCAGGCACGCTCCAGAGTCCTCTTCACCCGCTGTCGCTGAGCCTTGCGAATGGTATCGCGCGACCTCTCCGAGGCATCCGCAGAACGAACATCAGATTCGTCCACTTCACCCAGTAACTCAATGAATGCAACCCGGAGATTGCTTCCACCCACATCAATAGCTAAATATCGGCCTGTCTCTTCGCCTGTTGGGAGCTGAGTGACTGGTGTTGGTAAAAACTGTTGATCTGACGTCAAGGCTAAATGGCGGTATGTACCGGAGAACCGACGCGCCAGCCTGTACAGTACAGCGTCACTCAAATCTAGTGGTTTCAAAAATCCACTCAGTCGCGCTTGATATTCGAGATGTTCTCTTTGAGAAGGATCCATTTCCATTTCTGTATTGAGTTCTTCCTGCTCTTCATCGTCGATTCCCTCATCATGCATGATTTCACGTTCCTCCTCATTGTCCTTCTCAGATGATATTGAATTGACCGAAGCCATTGTGAATATTCAGGAGTATTCCGAGGATTCCCTCTGACTTTTTGCAAACTGGTGTTAAAGAAGAGAAAAGAAGAAATCCTCAAGACTTGCAAGGTTATACTAGCCCAGTGGAGTTAAGGGTCCAAATTGAGGTAGTTAAATGTATCTTTTGTTTGGCGGTGGCGGGAATCAAAACAAAATAAAACAATAAAAGCCGGTGCCTTTCTGTCACAGTACCCGCTTCGGGACGTTGGGATCTTAGGAATGCGAAGCAGGTACAGGCAGAAAGGACGGCATGGATCTTTGAGAAGCGCGGCTGGAGCTAAAAATAAGTCTAGTTCACGGGGGGGATCAATTAGTAAACCATGATGACGCGGTCTGTAAAAAGATCAAAGTTCCAGTGCGGGGAGGGATAAGGGTTTGAATAAAATAACACATTGATGATCATGCCGGGGGAGTACAGAATGATCTTCAGCTGTCATTTTTTACGTACTTTGGAAGGGGAACTTGGTATGTGCGCGTGATAAGGAGGGGAAAGGGTGATTTTTTAAGGGATTGTTAACCTCAGTAGGGATCTACCAGGGGGGGAGATGAGCCTACCTTATATGTGGAGATCGTCGATATCCCTAGAGATGCCTGAGGCCAAATAGACAAAAGGCACCAAAAACTCAGGGAAAAACGAATACACGACCACAAATAAAAAAATAAAAATAAAATAAAAATAAAATAAAAATAAAAATCAAAGTAAAATCCCAGATAAAGTCCCAAATTCTGATTGATTTCCTATGGTTCGGATGAAATCAATTTGTAAAGTGGATCACTCTCTTAAAGCATGGGGTCCCTGCGTGGTAATATCAGAATGAGTAGTAGTGTAGAAGGAACTAAAACCCCCCCCAATGATCAAATTACCCAGGTCAAGAAGGTAAAAGAGATCATAAAAGAGAAAAGAAGGGAAAAATCCACTGATTTATTTGATTCCACCTATTGGAGATGCGACCATCGGAGGACACGAGGCGATGCGACGCTGTTCTTTTTTCGGGGACGTGGACGACTTGGAAATCCCGGTAGTTATCGTCGATTGGATCTTCCTCGTGGCCAGCGGTTGAAACTCTATAATGTCATAATTCCCGGGTAATGATCGTCTGGTAATACTAGTAGACTAATAGACTAGTAGTAGTAGTAGTAGCAGTAGATGATCGCGGTCGGAGATGTTCCTCTCTCATGTGCTTCTAGACTACCACAACCCCTCAAAAGTGCTGTGATATAAGAACGGGAACTATGTAACCCTACTAACTATCTGACGCCCTCGAGACGTGGATTTACTCTAGCTCGGTTAGAGATTTCGGTTCTACATCCCCTCTTCGTTTCACTCGTACTTCTCCATTATTCAAGTTCTTGGCTCCAAAATAGAGAAATAATATACGAGCATCGGAGTTTTTGGGGGTACGCACGGTCAAAAAGAAAAGAAAAGATCAACCCAACTTGAACGCCATGCGACAACAATCAAGTGGGGCCGGATCACGGTAAGCAAAACGTGGGCAACTCTCGTCATTTAGCGACGCCTTATGGATCTTCCTATAATCCTAGTTCTTTTTTTTTCTCATGGCGAGAAAGTGTCTCCGCTTCGGAAATAACCGTGTTGACAACGTGGTAGCATGAACCCACTACCGCGAAAGGCCTCGATCGTTCGTGTTCAGCCACCAGATGTCAGCTCTACCAATGATGCATTTACTCCTCATTTTGAAACATTGGGCGGGACCTCTTCGGAATAAATGACCTACTTTTTGTCTTGTGCGGAAAGGCCGCCTTTTATGCCTATGCATAGATGATATGAGAGCCTCAAAACAAGACGGAGTACTCCGTATTGCTTAGGTCGGTACTCATGTATTACATTAAGGCGGGAAATCATCCAATTTCCATCTTTTAACAATCCCAAGAATTCTATGGATCAAAAAACGGCCAATCGGAACTTTGAACCAGAAAAGAAAAAACCATCAAAGAGCGAAGATAAACACAAGAAGCTTGGGCATTAACGTTTAGAGTATCTCCGAGATCGGAGCTATGATGCATAGTGTTTGGTCCCATCAAGCCTCCCCCATCGGATGTGTCCTTCTAGCGGGGGTCCATACGAGTCAAGCAAGGTTAACTGGTAGAATTCGAGTCGCGTGCTCTGGCTTGAGAATCAATATTACGATTAATCTTGTTTTATAACATCGCCAAGATGCGGGGATAGGTGGTCAATCTTCGAGTCAGATATCCTTACTTCGCGTACATCAATTGATAGCATGGAAGTGCCTTTCCCGGACTAGTAGACTTCTTTAATGCATTGTAATCCTAGTATTGCTACATAACGCACTCGGACCAATGCGCTAATTATGAGAGAGTGGAGTATCATGATATGGCTACCTATCATATCAACGTCAGCAATTAGGATTAACTTGATAGGGCATCGGCAAGAATCCCGCATCTAGCATAACCTGAATGGATCTCCAACATTGCGCCTAGTCTTGTAGCTTACCATCTTCCGAGCTTACTGTGCTTCGTACCTGGGCCGCCTCACATTGGAAGTGTTAGACGCTTGACTGGATCAGGCGACTGATCCGAAGATCAGATTGCGCAACCTACCCTAAGCTATTTCAGGACCCGCTTTGATAACTGATGTATCTCACCGACTGGCTCAAAATTACCATGACGCGCCGACTCAAGCTCGAGCTGATGTGCTGATTATTTTGCGATGAGCTGGTCCTCAAGTGCTGGCTTCGCACTAGGAGCCTAGTTTGTGAACCACATGGTCTGAGATACTTGAGCAATTTACTTGTTCAGAAACATCCATGGATGCTACATGCTCATATTAGAACAGATTGTTGTCAATGAAGATCCAAAATCTTGTAATATCACATCTCAAACGATGTAACTGGTGCTAATCAGTATCGAATTTTCATTGTGAGCCTGTGCTAAAGTGGATAAGTTGCTCAGGCCGGTGCACTTCAAGTTTCCATGTTCATTGAAGATTCGACCCAAGTCTCTAGTATGTAGTATTTCTCTCTCGAAAACACAAAATCTTTCAAAACGAGCCAAATTAAATGCAGATCTTGAAATGTCCAATTTTAGATTAGTCTGCAAACATACCAGTTGACAATTTACCTTTGCCAAACTATCTTGTGTCCAAATCAGCGTGAGCAGCATTTGAGCATTTGAAGGTCTATAGCTTCAATAAACCATTTCAATTCTGGATATTTGGAAAATTGCAGTCTTTTGTGAAAACCCAAAACTATACCTGGGCAGAATATTAATAAAATATAAAATAAATCTTAGAAATGCTCAAGTGATAGAAATTCCACATTGGCAGAATTCATAGATCTAGAGCGGTAAACCCCATCACCCCATATCCCCAGATCTTACGTAACTGGTCCCGTGCTTTGATCCACCAACAGCCAGCGGGGCTCTTATCAGGATCAGCAAATCCGTTTGAGCTCAACCCCAGATCCTTGGACTGCAGCAGCATGGAGAAACTACCACTTCACACTGGGGAGACCCAAGGTGCCCCTATAGTGCCAAAATGGATGACTCCAAGGCAGCGACCAAGCAGAGCGACTTTTTTGCGTCGTCTCTTCATTGTTTTTTGTTTTCTAGGTGGCTACTACATGCTGATCCGACCACCACCATCTACAGATGTACCCTGCGCTGGATGCGCGACTCCAGGGAGTGGGTACGTCCAGGATCAGGACTATCAACACAAAGAGGAACCGAGCGAAACACCCCATCTTCCTATCGCTGCTGATTCGAAGAAGATCCCCCTGGAGGCCCATATCATGAGCAAGTGCCCCGATGCTCAGGGCTGCATGCAAAAACTGGTTCTTCCTGCCATGGAGCAGATTAGCGACAAGGTGGACTTTCAACTTTCTTTTATTGCAAGGTGAGTGGCAAGTTGAAAGAACAAATTTCACGGATCCATGAGCACCCTTCTAATCTCTAGTCGCTATCAGTGTATCTAAAGAGACCTCTGATATCCAATGCATGCACGGACCAGCTGAATGCATCGGTAACATGCTGATGCTATGCGCCGCCAACCTGCCCTTCCCTCCCACAGAAGACAAGTCGCTCCTCCCGAACACATATCCTCGAACCCCCATCATTCGATCATTAGGGTTTGCAAACTGCCTTATGAATGACTACCCTCGAATTCCAGCCCGGGAGCTTGTTCTTCAATGCGCTTTGGAACACGGTATTGATTTCGACGCGCTGAATACTTGCGCCAGCCAACAAGATGATAATCCTGACAACAACCCTGGTCATGGATTGTACGGATCTTCCCTTAGTGGAATCGCTCTTCTACGCGAGAGTGCCCTGCACAGTGAGCGTCTTGATGTCCATACCAGTTGTACTGTGCGTGTGGATGATCAAGTCTGGTGTGTTCATGATGGCGGCCAGTGGAAAGATTGTGTTCATAATGGAACTGGCAGCAAACCTGGAGTATTGATTGATGAGATCAACCGACTCTGGGATCAAAGGAACTAAACCCCATTAAGACTGCTAGAATACTCTATGAGACTGTATATGCTGTTAATAACCCATCCTTACCCTAGCATTACAACTGATATTTTGAAAACTCAGGCAAATTCATGAAATGATCAATAGTCTTCACTGAAAGGTAAAGAAAAAGGGCCAGTGGTTCTGGCTGTTTTGATAAGTGAGGCTAGAAAGACCAGACAATCTATGGGCTCATATATGTAGCCTGAGCTATTTTAGAAGGATAAACACCTTGCTTTATTTGATCTATGATTATGAGCCTGCAGCTTTGACTTAGAAGCCTGGTCATGAATTAATTTGGCACTTGCCGAGACTGATATTGGTGTCGTGGGATCCCTCACTTTGCGATTTCTCACCTTTCTATTTCACGCTTCACCGGAGACGTTTTACTTCCGTCCCATGGATAACATATCTACCCTCCTACGACCTTCACGAACCCTCTTCGTCCTTCTCTACTTGCTGTTACTTTTCCTTTTCCTGTCATATCTTTTCTTCTTCTTCTCCTCCGCACGAAAGGCTTCAAGTTCGACAGAGATTCTGAACCCCCAGAACAAGGCCTTCCCTCATTGAACCTCACCCCACCACCTCGAAAGATATCAGAACCCAGCTTTAAAAATGGCAACTTCTCGCGTCGGAGGTGCATCCGCAGTTCCACAGCCCACGATGAACCTTAGCAACCCGGCTACAAACGCACTACCCGATCTGGCTACAGTTGACTTCGGTCTGACTGCGGTTCTTGAGGTTTTTGGTGACGAGACCTCCAAGAAGACACTCCTAAACATAATCGCACGCGAGGTGCACATGTGCAAAACACACAACGAACACCGTGCAAACTACCCTGACGGTCGCCTTGTTCAGCTCTTCGGAGAAGATCCGTCAATTGAGAATGAGCTCCTCTTTAAACACTACATCACCGAACACATTCCTGGTATGGATACCGCCAACAATATCTCCCAGAGAATCCAAATTGCCCGTGCCTGTTTGGCTGCTGGTAAAGCTTGGGATGAAGGTTAGTGCGGATCAGAAATTATTTGTTTCCTGCTTGGTGTCCTGACAATAGCTCTCTAGCCATGCAAAACCCCCGGGGCACCGGCCCAAGCAACCGCGAAACACAGGATGGTGCTGAATTCCAGGACCCAAACCGCCCAATTGTGAAGCTGAGCAAGGTCTACCGAGAGGCTCTTGTGAACTACTACCTTGCCGATGCCAACAAATCCGGCGTCTCTGACAAGGCAACTGACAAGTTTTCCAACGTCCGCTTTCTACGTGATACCGCTGAGAATCTTCTTCGCACTGCTGGAGATGAGGGTATGCGTGGTACACGGTTCTACGAGGATGTCGAGAGAGTTCGAGACGCGAGCTGCGAACATGCACAATGGCTTGCTGGGGGTCGTAAGCGCACCTTTGACGAAGGTGGTCGTGGTAATCGTGATCACTGGGAGCCCGGCTTGCCCGATGAAGAAAATGATGAGCAAGAGCCGCCTGCTGAGTACAATCCTCGAAAGCGCCGTGCCCCTCACCGAACTGGACGGAGCCAGCGTGATCGTCGTGAATACTATGATTCTTACCGTCCTCAGTAAATTCATTTTCTCAACCTGATTAGCGGAGGTCAGTGACCTCACTATCTTTGGACTTCTAGTTTGGGTGATTTCTCATTCCATGAGGTCTTGGAGAACTGAGCTTACTCCCACTGCTAAGGATGATGGAATGAATACTGGGTAATTACGTGACATATGGAAGAGATATGGAGGAAAACCAGACCGATCAATAGGAGAAATGATTTTTGACCGAAAAAATCGATTTGAGCATGTATCATTAATATTTTGAAATTCACCAGAGGTTTTCTACATCTTTATCTATATGTAGTTCATAGTTCCTCCAGAGCTTTGTCCATATAGTTCGGCGTATACTTTATCCGACACACGAACCCCTATCATTATGGATCCACGTAAATCCCTTACCTAATCATTTAAGGGTCAAGGGACCACATCAGCTGCAGAGGTCCTAGCAGACAAATTCGACAGAAAATTCCTGCGGGATCCCTCCTCATGGAGCTCACGTTATTTAGGTGGACCTTATAAGCTCTATCGACGCAGAACCCGCCGACGTGGCCGACATGGCGCACCACCTCCCTCCGTCCTCGTCCGCTGCGGGGAACGCGTCCTCCGAGTCAGGATCATCCTCAACTCCTCGATACACACCTGTCTCCAATGGTTCCGACGAAGACGATATACCGGTGCCAAATTATAAACGCCACAAGGCCAAACAGTCGTCTTTAGGGCCGTTGCGTGTGCAGACCGATTTCGGAGAGTCTGGGGCTGAGATTACGGGTCCCGTTTCAGATATTGAAGATGATAATGGGCTTGAGTCGGGGGATGATTCTGAAACGAAGAGTGTGAGGGCTCCGAGGTCAGGATCAAGATCTAAATCTGGACCTAGATTTTCACCAGAGGAAGAGAAAGAAGTTGTGAGGATGTTTGATAAAAGGCTTGTGCCATTTCTTGCACTTTTATATTTGCTAGCTTTCTTGGATCGATCTAGTATGTTATCTGTTCCTTGATTTTTTTTCCCTTGGCAATTGGATTATGTGTGATTTTTCATACTGACCATTCATCCAGATATTGGAAATGCCAAAATTGCTGGATTGCAAGAGGATTTAAAACTATCATCTGTCCAGTATGAATGGCTACTTACAGCATTTTATATCACCTATATTCTTTTCGAGTGGATGACGCTCATGTACCGCGTTATACCTCCTCATATATACATTTCAGTTTGCGTCTGTGCCTGGGGCCTGATCGCATCATTTCAATGCCTGACAACTTCGTTTGGGGCGTTGGTCATCCTTCGTGCCTTGCTGGGCATTGCTGAAGCTGCATTTGGCCCAGGAGTCCCATTCTATCTATCATTGTTTTATCGACGCCAGGAGCTAGCTTTCAGAAACGGGCTTTTCATTTCAGCAGCTCCGCTGGCAACTTCGTTCGCAAGTAGCCTTGCCTGGGTTATTGTGAAATTCAGTAGCAACGGACCGATCTCACCATGGCGCACGCTTTTCTTGGTTGAAGGCTTTCCAAGCGTGATTGTTGCTGTGTTTGCATGGGTTCTAATCCCTGATTCGCCTGGTCGTGCTCGATTTCTTACTCGTCGACAGCGGGCTGTCGCTCGGCTCCGGTTGGAGGACAGCAACAAGTCGAACTATCAACAGTCAGTCGAGAAGGGATTCAACTGGCGTGAAATTGTCAAGACGGCCTCTGACCCCAAGGCGTACATGGCAGCGGTAAGTGTATGAACAGATAAGACTTGCTTGGTGCTAGTGAATCTAACTCTATTCAGTTTATGTTTTTCAGCTGCAATGTTGCCTTTAGCTCGATGCCAGTGTTTCTCCCCACGATCATCAAAGAGTGGGTTTCTTCCAGGCGTCTTTTTTCTTCATAGTTCTAACCATGTCATATAGTATGGGATTCTCATCGCTACACGCCCAGGCTCTCTCTGCCCCGCCTTATCTGATCGCATTTATTGTTGTCTTGGCTACTGCATGGGCTTCCGACAGCAGCCGCACTCGCAGTCCATACCTCATCGCCCACGCTCTCATCTCCGCCGCGGCATACTTGGCGATTTCTGCAACAGGATACTTCCATGACCACCTATCCACAGATCTACACATCTTTATCCGCTATGCCTGTGTGTTTCCCGCGATATCGGGTTTCTTTTCAGCCATCACTCTGATTATCACCTGGTCAATGGATAACCGAACCGAGAAAGAAGGTAAGGGTGCGAGTATTGCGATTCTGAATATTATTGGACAGTGCGGACCGCTCCTGGGAACAAGGTTATACCCAGAGAGTGATGGGCCATGGTATGTCACTGGTATGGCAGTCTGTTCCTTTTTCATGATTATCGTAGCTATATTGGCTACTATTCTGAGGGTTCTTCTTCAGAGAGCGAATAAGGCTGCTGGAGACGGGGCCTTGTTCGACGTAAGCCATGCTAGTGGTCATGGGGATGATGGAGAAGAACGAGACGAGCTCATGGGTGGTGGACGAAGGGAAGATCTAGAAGATCATACTGGAGACCAGAAGCTTGTGTATATCATTTGATCTGATACAAATTGGAAGAGCCATCCGATTTCTATATCTATAAAATAATTTTGGAAAATCAAACCCTCACAACTGGCACCAAAGATGCTATTTCTCAGTTATATCAAGTTTCAACCCACAGTGGTATGATTCAAGTTACAGCTGCCCTTTCTCTTTCTCCAGCTGTTTTCAATTTATTCTACCATTGACTCATTATATTATCTATTGAATTCATCATATTTCCCATGCCTCGTATAGTCAATCGTATAGTCAGTCGTATCCAATGGATAGTCAGTCGATAGTCAATGAGTCATATTTTGGGGTTTGTACCCGTGGACCTTTGCGACTAGGTATAGTACTAGGCTCCCGGGCGTAGAACAAAAATTATTTCATTGATATATGAAAGAAGAGAAAACTTACCCTTTGCAATTATCCAGAAATTTGTTGTCCACAAAAAAATAAACAATATTGAGAATGACATCCGATTCTTCGATAGACACCAGCAACCCAGTTTACTTTTGGAAGCCGGAAGGAGAGACCGGATACCTAGGACAGTGGTGGCCATCTTCATTCTCATTGGACCACGACGGCGTGAAATTTACTTACGCAAATGTTGAACAGTACTTGGGTCTATTACTGCCATTTGGTTCAAAATCGCTAACATTTCATCTATTTCAAAGATATATGATGCATCGCAAAGCGCTTCTCTTCGCTGGTGCAGACCATCCAATTACCCAAGAGATCCAAAAAGGTTGGAAAGTACATCCAAGAGCACTACGGGATTTAGGAAGGAAAATTCCAAACTTCTCAGATGATGTGTGGGAGGCAAATCGATTTGATATCGTTGTGGAGGGGAGCTATCTTAAATTTTCACAGAATGAGGAGCTCAAACAGAAGTTACTTGCTACAGGGAATCGAGAGTTGGTCGAGGCAAGCCCAAGGGATCGAATCTGGGGTGTTGGCTTTGGGGCAAAAAATGCGGGTGCTATGCGAGAAGAATGGGGGTTGAATCTATTGGGCCAGGCGCTTATGAGGGCGCGAGAAAGGATTTTGGAGGATTTTGGCGTGGCTCAAGTCTGATCAGTCTGTATTTGTCTTAATATTGATAGGCTGGGATAAGCGCAGCACATCGAACCTCGGACATCTGGATATAACTCTAAATAAAACATAGCACAAAGCACTATTTTGAACATTCAACAACCGCTACTACTAGTACCTCTCAACTATCGAACATGAAATCAAGGCGCTTATTTCCTTCATCTGTGGTTGTCTCCAAGTAGGTGACTTTCTCCTCGGCACTCATCTTCTCCCACTGAGCCCTCTTCCAACGGTTCCTCTGCACATAGTACACCTTAGCCAGGGCGTAAACGACGATATTCGCACAGTTGATAGCGATCAGCTGTTTGTTACCTCGGCGATACAGCGGGCTGTCATCAGAACGGTAAATATTGGACGATGCGATTCCAGAAAGCTGAATCATGATGTTGAAGGCAGCTGCGCTCACTGCTCTTGTTCGGACAGCGTTACTCAGACGCGAGCACCATCCAACCTGTGCAGCCTGCGGCGAGGGCCAACCCAGTAGAACAAAACTGACTGCATACATTCCCCAGTTGGAAAGCGACCCCGCTGAGGTGTATAGAACGATGAGCATTGGAAGCGACCACACCTGAGTTAAGAGACCAACTATCGAGATTTGGTGCGTCCTTTCAGCAAGCTCGGTTACAAGAAGCAGATTGATGGCTGCGAAAACAGTGACAGGGATCGATAACAAAGTTGTGTGGAAAGTACTGAATCCGATATCCGTCAAGGAGAGCGTCAGGTATGACTTAGGAGGCGAAGTCGGAATCTCGAACAAAATTCCGATGAGATAGATTGGCCACAGATCATAATCCTTAAGACTCTGCCACAGCATCTTCAAAGAAATCGCTTCTCGATTGTGCATGCCACCCTTGGATGGATCGTCTCTCAAGACCCGATTCACGATGATGGATTCTTCCCGCTCGGAAAATATGCCCTTTGGATTCCAGCGAGTCTTTGTCTGTGTTGGACCCGGGAAAAGCAGGAAGAAACTGAGAATTCCAATCACGAAACTGATCAGAGCCTCGATAAGAAACAACCACCTCCAACCTTCACGACCCGCAGTACCACCCATGTGGAACACACCATACGCGATGAAAGAAGCGATAACACCAGAGATCGAGTCCGTAAACCAGAAAAGGGCCAGGCGAAAAGGCATTTCACTTTTCGTATAGAAGTAAGAAAGGTACAGAATCGAGTCGGGAATGAAACCACCCATGAAGAGGCCAAGCAAGAATCGGCATGCGAAAAATCCAGCCCGGTTATGCATGAAGAACTGTCCTCCTGATGCGAGACTCCAGCAAATAATCTGAACAGGAATCCAACGATCAGGACCCAGTCTCTTGCCAATCATCTGGGACGGGATTTCTGCGATCAAAAAGCCAATTCGGTACATGTTGGTAGCATTATTGTAGTCGTCGGTGCTCAGACCCATGTCTTTCAGCAGACCATCAGAATTAGCATTGCTAAGATTTCCACGATCAATGTTCAATCCAAAGAACATAACGAGGATCCAGAGGAGAATCGCCCAGTCGGTTTTGCGGCGCACGGCGGCTTCTTCACGGTATGTCCATCGAGCGTTGGGGTCAAATCTATGCAAATTCTCATAGTCGGCATGAGGCAGATAGAATTTACCGATATTTGGATCATCGAAGACACTTCGGACGGTGGCGATCGCATCCAGGTCGCGACTCTTTTTTCGGTTGAACAAGGTGGAGAAAAATGACTGCGCTTGGGGAGCATCCTCCGGTTCCACAAGAGTCACTATAGCTCCATCCTTGAGGTTTTGCTCGGTCACGGTCGATGTAAATTCATCAGTTATGGGACCTTTGGCCGATGAAGTGGTTTCCTCGATGGCCATTGTCGCGCTTTGACAACCAGTCAATATAGCCGGTAGCTGGGCGATGCGGCGGGCTGGCGCTGAGTATAAGGACCCAGCAGAGGCTGTGTTTGTATGTTATAAGGTGACCTGTAAGTGGATGTCATGAGGTTTTATATGGTTGTCTACAAATATACAAATAGGATTCAAAGTAGATTCGCGCGATCTTTTCAATGTATGATACCATCAAGATAATGTATCTCGCGAGGTCGAAGCGACATTCCAAGCTTCATAAATTTGTCTTGGCGAAATCTTAGACTATATTCATTTAGCCACAATACCGACCATAGAGATGAAATACTTTCAACTGATTTGCTCGTTTTGATCTAAATGTTCACATGGCGAGGTCAGTAATCATCCGTCCCGCATCCTGTTGGTCTCTTCGTTCGCCATGTAAGCGTCGATGGCATCAACGGCTATTGACCCTATCAGAGCTCTCAAAAATTTACCCTTCGCCTGGATCTTGAACAGCTTCAACTTCGGTTAATTTAAAGACCCTATTCCAGCCCCGCCCTACAGAGAGATCGTTTGTGAAGATTGGTGGAAAATTCAATATAGAAAGTAAGCTGGCTTTTCCCCTTTGTTAGTCTCCCAGCTATTTGGTTTTGTGGAAGCCTTCAGTTAACTTGTTATGGTCACCGCGAGATAGGTGAGCAATTTGAGAATCAGGATAATGGCATGTTGACAGGTTTGGTCTGACCTTCGTATTACAACAACTATCAGGATAATGGTGATTATGGGCCGCCAAATTTCACCATATCAGATATTAACGGCAACATCAAGGCAGCAATCAAAAAGCAATACTATACGTGGAATATTTTTACTATGCAGGGACTCATGCATACGTGCCATTTCCTGTTTAAAAAACTGGATTCTTTGTGACTTAGATACACTATGAACCTTAGATGATAGCGCTTGGAGGGATAATTATTTACTCGAACTTTCAAAAACAACATGGTCTCAGGCTGTGTTGCATTTAGCACTCTACTAGTAGTCTAGTACTATGGAAATACAAAACCTCGGAGAACAGGTCCCTTAGAATATGCAGCATATTCTCTCCGAATCTCTCGTCTGACTTAAAAAGCACCCCAGTAGTGCAGATCGTAATCCACACCTCCAGGTCGCCACAAAGGCGCAGGGCTGTAAACTGGTATGGGCGATGCCGCTTAAAGTTTATTAGCCATGCTTCAGCAATTTGAAAATCTCGATTTTAACTTACTTCCATATCCAGTACTAGGAAGAGCCCAGCTTGGCGAAGTTGGCGCCTGCCAATTTGTAGGCGATGCGGTCACTGTGTAGGTTGACGTATAGGTATAAGGTGACTCTCCGGATGCAAGTGAGACGATTCCATCATTTGTGCCATAGCTATCATCTCCTGTACCGAAAACGTTATTGATCTTGTTAACAACATATGTACCACTCTCAGTCCAGACAGAGAAATCTTCCAAAGTAATATTCGTCGCAAAGGTCAGGTCATTCGCAAGCAGGTAGAGCGGGGGACGCTCCGCTCCATCCGCAATGGAACCTAGCAAAGTAAGTATATGAACAAGGTGCCTTTGGATACAGACATACCAGAAAAGTTGCGGAAAGCTATGTTGCTCAAAGCAACAGACCCAGTGTCGGGGGTAAATGTGTTTTGCCAGTATTGATCTAGATTCAAACCATAAAGACTGCTAAGAGATCGGAAGTTGGCAAATGTAACATTTGTCACGTATCCCGATCCTCCTGGGTAGGTCTTGATGAATGCGATCTCATTCCCCTGGATGATACTGATGTTCCGGGCTTCCTAGTCAGCTTATTAGCATGATCCAGTGAGTTTGGAGAATAAGCTTAGAATGGGCGTACAATATTGGAGATCTCAGCAGATACGTTGAGGCTACCGATTGAGACACCTGAGCCAGCTTGGTTGCAAATGAGATTCTCGACCAGAGCATGGTGAGAAGGACTCTTGACGGAGACACACTCATCCCTGTTCGTCACCTGGCCATGAAAGTCAATATAGCTCGTTGAAATAATGAAGGGGAATTTTAGGCTTACCTCGTTGTCGTGGATATAGTAATTCGTTCCAATAGCATCAATGCCATCATAGCTTCCAAGATTAGCTCCACGAATTGTGAGATGATAAGTCTCCACATTGACGGCAAAATCCAAGACGATATGGAATTTCGGACTATCCACAAGGATCAAATCATGGACTGATGCATTTGTTGGTGAAATCAATCTCACGAGACGTGGCCGATCAGTGCTTGAAAATGGTTCTAGTCAGTTTGATTCTTTTTGTACTCTTGTTGATTCAAATATTATTTCAATTACTCACTTGTCAAGGATGCGATAGATATAGCCTTGACCTTGGAACGCTCCTCGGCCATTTTCGGAATAAAATTCAAAGTCCACAGCTGTTTTACTCATCAGTATCATCCTTAATAGATAGTCCTTTTCGAATGTGTTGACTTACCATTGATGATCACAAGAACGTCTAGTAAAAATTCACCGTCACCTTCTCCGTTGATTGTAGAATTCAAGTTTTCAACTCCAGCGAATCCTTGGAGAATCAACTCACGGTCAACTGTCCAATTTCCTCCATATGCAGCAGTGATGAGCCCATCAAGCTGAAATGCCCAATTGGTTGCATTGCTAAGAACGATCGAGCGATTGACCAGGTATTCTCCTTCTGGAACTATCAGCCTGCTTCCAGGATGTGCCTGAACACATTCTGTGAATGTTTTTTCAATTGCAGTCGCCACGTCCGTGCTGTTATCGGCGACGCCTCCATAGTCAAGAATGTTGCACTCTATGGTCTTGTCACTGAGGCTCGTAGTTGGCCCGACAGGACCAATCAGCTGGCCTGCTGTGAGGCAAGGAAGCAACAAAAGAGGAAAGTAGTGTATGAAGAGCTTCATGGTAGAAGGGTTTGAATGTCAAAAGAAGTTGATGTTTCGGTCAGATCTTGTAGTAGATGACGGATAGTGCCTGCATTTGTAGATAATGCACTATAAGCACTAAAATAATCTTCATATGCAGTAACAGGCTCAATTAAGATTCTTCAGCAATAATATCCCGCAGAGAAATTCGTCATTTGCGCTCTCAAATCAGTGATATTTTATCCCTCCAATAATGGTCAGAAGTAAAATTAATTTTGATACAATTTCTGCAGATAATCACTCATTTTAACCGGAGCTTATACCATCCGAAGCCCTAAAGTATTAGTAAGTAGTAGTTGAGACTGATTTACAAACAGACTTCACAATTTTAGCCTATAATCGCATCACATCATACTAAATTTCCGTGCTTCACGAAATTCAGATTAAATTAAATCGAGATAAGCCTCCAGATGTTCCGATTGACAAGCAACATGCAACGGTCTCGGTTAAAGTCCAATAGACCCTTGTAACTTGAGCACATCATCAGCACAGCAGATTGCGTCGTTGAGGTACCGGAAGCCAACCACGTAGCTGATGAATCAGCTAGGGTAACTAAATGAGAAATAAAGTCGTATAAAGGTCAGGTGCGCTCTTTATTCGCTCTTATTCGACCATTTTAATATCTATTAGTATCAACTAAGCATTTCTGTTCCCCGCAGCCAGAAGCGGGGAGAGGACAGTCCATCTTGATACTTCGGGACTACAACGAGCAATTTACTTTACCTTTCCAACTTGCTTTTATCATCACCCAACGAGGAGTTATAACGAAGATGTCCGAACGGAAAAATGTTTTGCTCCTGGTGGCAGACGATCTGGGAAAGCAGTTGAGCTGCTTTGGCGCAAAGAATATCCAAACACCCAACATCGACCAACTCGCAAGTGAAGGAACTCGATTTGACTATGCGTTTGCAAGCACAGCATCTTGCAGTGGTAGTCGCTCTGTGATTTATACAGGTCTTCACACCCATCAAAATGGTCAATACGGACTTGCGAGTCACCGACATCACTTCGTGACGTTTAACGAAGTGGAAACATTACCCCTGCTTCTGAATCAGTCCGGTCATCGAACTGGAATCCTGGGAAAGATTCACGTTGGACCAGACCCCGTTTATCCATGGGAGGAGAGGAGAGAAAGCGATACTCGAGATGTTTCCGTGATCGGCGACCAAGCAAAGCAATTCTTTGAGGAATCAGTGGAAGATACGCGCCCTTTCTCCTTAACCATTGGATTCATTGATCCTCATCGCGATCGTACCAGAGGAGGCTTTGGAAACACCGATGACTTCGATCCCCGCGTTACAAAGGGACAGTACACACCGGAAAATGTGGAAGTTCCTCCGTTTATTACGGACACTCCTGGGGCTCGGTATGAACTCGCCGAATACTATAACTCGATTCACCGACTCGATCAGGGAGTGGGTTTTGTATTGAAAGCGTTGGAGGTATCAGGCCTGGCAGACTCGACCTTAGTCATATTCATCAGTGACAATGGTCCACCGTTCATTAACTCCAAGACAACTCTGTTTGACGCGGGGGTGAGACTACCTTTGATCATCCGACACCCTCACGTCGCCCCTGCAGTAAGCAACAACATGGTGTCGTACGTCGATATCCTGCCAACCATTCTCGATTATGTCGGTCATTCAGGGCAGGTGGATTCCACGCAGAAGAGACTTGGTCGCTCCTTGCTTCCTAGTCTTGGCACCACGGATCTACCCGATTACAACGAGGTGTTTGGCTCCCACACTTTTCATGAGGTGACAAATTACTGGCCAACTCGGTTTGTTCGAGACCGCAAATACAAATACCACCGAAATCTCGCATGGAGACTTGATTTCCCCTTCGCTGCTGATCTGTATGGCTCGTTGTCCTGGGAGGATATTCGGAACTCCACCGATAGTGAGATCACGGTCGGTGGAAGAAAGCTCAAGGATTACTTTTTCCGGGCTCCAGAGGAGTTATACGACTTGGAGAATGATCCAAGTGAGCTTCATAATCTAGTGAATGATCCGGAACACGCAGAGGCGTTGGAAAAACTGCGGTCGCGATTGGAGAAGTGGCAACGACGAACAGAGGACCCATGGCTATATAAAGATGGTGTCTCTGTTTGGTTTGTGCGTTATCATTTGAATGCCGGTCTTCGAATTCCTGATCGACTGGATTTTGATGCGGATCGGCCCGGTAACCAGAATGGTGCCGCTGTCGCCGCAGATGGTCCCTGGGGAGCGGATGTAGACTTGTCGAAGTGAAGGTATTCATAAAAAGTGAGCATCATAACACAAGTGTGAAATGGAAATAAACACAACCCATATTTCAACTAAAGATCTTTCTTTCGTGGACGTAACACTACGTTGACAATAAATTCTTTATCCTCGTATTCAAGACCCACGCAACACCTACCTATGGGCTACACCCGTGGACACGGGCATGAGTAATAAAGAGTAATCGGCACTAATTCTCAGAGTGGGTACCTACTTACACCTTATGCAGTACACCACACTGTGTTCTAACCATACAGACGCCAGGAGCTATTTTGTGACTTCTTTAAGGCCCCTAGCTTCTATAATCTTAAGTTTGAAATTTTTCAGGTGGTACTCTGTACATAGTAAAAGCTGAAAAGTGGGTACTAACAGCACAGAGCAGCAGTCATGTTGTACTAGGGATCGATACCTAGCATAACTATGCACATCTCGACATTCCGAACCATCATGAATCATCCTGAATCATTATGGATTTTTTTTTAAGTGCTGGTGGTACTTAATACCATCCCTGTATTGATTTCTCTTCATCCCAATTTTTTTTTATCTTTTTCTTCCTAGCCACTGGCACTCTCCTTATTCCACTATGGAGGCAGAAACAAGCAAAGATGTATCCCTTTCCGAGACAACCCTCAAACCATCTGATGAAATTGAAGGCACACGCCCAGCGGAAGATGTGGCTGATCCCGGAATGACAGGCCTGTCAATTATCGCGATAGTCTCTGGGCTTACGCTGGCTATATTTCTTATGTCGCTAGACTCATCAATTATCGCGACAGCCATCCCTGTTATCACATCCCAATTCAACAGTACTGAGGATATTGCCTGGTATGGAAGTGCATATTCGTTCGCAATGTGCGCAGTACAGCCTGTGACCGGCAAGCTATATTCAAATTTTCCTATGAAAGTAAGACTATTGAACCTATTGATCAAGACATCGGAAAGAAAAATGCTAATTAGCTTCAGCAAATGTTCCTTGGATGTTTAGCCATTTTTGAGCTCGGATCCCTGATCTGTGCCCTTGCTGTTAATAGTCCTATGTTGATCATCGGACGAGCAATCGCCGGAGTCGGCGCTGCAGGGACATGCACCGGAGGTTTCTGCATTGTTGCAGTTGCTCTACCCCTTGAGAAGCGACCGTTCTGTATAAGCATTCTCCAGTCAACGTTCGGTATTGCGACTATCATCGGACCATTATTAGGTGGAGCATTTACGGATCATGCAACATGGAGATGGTGTTTCTGGATCAATTTACCTCTGGGTGCGATCACCATCGTTTCTATAATCTTCTTCTTTAAGCCGCCTGCACGCGATCCGACAGAGCAGGTTCCCACGTTCCTCCGCAGAATTGCAGATCTCGATCTACCAGGCGCATTTATGTTTGCTCCCACGGTGATTATGATTCTTCTGGCTCTTGAATGGGGAGGATCGAAATATCCTTGGAAAAGTGCTACTATTATTGGCCTTTTTATTGGAGGGGCTGGACTGGGTATTGTCTTCGCTTTCTGGCAAATACGAAGGGGTGATAACGCCATGATTCCACCACGTTTAATCACAAATCGTACACTCTTTTTCGCCTGTGCGACTGAGTTCTTCATCATGGGCGCAGTTATGATATCGATTTACTACCTGCCTGAGTGGTTCCAAGTTATCAAAGGGGCCTCACCTACGAAATCGGGCATTATGTATCTGCCCCTTGCATTATCGGATGTTATTGCTGCTCTCTCCGCGGGCGCATCGCTCAAGTATCTTGGATATCCGAATGGTTTGATTCTCTTCGGGACAGCTCTGATGAGTATAGCTACGGGGCTATTCTCCACGTTTACTACTAGTACCGGCCATGAGAAATGGATTTCTTACCAAGTTCTCCAGGGTCTTGGCGTGGGAATGTCCATAGCAATGCCCTATGTCGCAACACAGACAACTCTCGATCCTGTTGACATCCCCGTCGGCACCTCTCTCCTACAGTGTTTCCAGTTCTTTGGCGCTGCCGTGGACCTTGCTATTGGGGAGACTGTTTTCTCAAATAGACTGGTGGCACGATTGAATGAGCTGGGCTTTAACTCTGAGGATGTTCAGAAAATTCTTAACGCAGGCTCTGCAAAGGTTAGAAGTGTGGTTTCGAAGGATCAGCTGCATGGTGCACTGGAAGGCTATAATTATGCCTTGACGAAGACTTTCTATGTTGCTGCGAGCTTTGTTGCTGTTGCTTTCGTCCTGTCTCTGGGGTTGCCTTGGAAGAGTGTCAAACCACCTAAACCCTCGGCATCTATGGATGAAGAGAAAAACAATCACCCTACTAGCTAGATTTTTCGATACCTATATGTTATGCATGATAGATCCACATGAATCAAGGTCTTAATATCTTTTATGATTCCAAATACAAACAGCACTTGAGGTGTAGGAACTTGAAAGTACGAGCTTGATATCTCTATTCTCTGATAAAAGCAATAACTTGATTGGCAATAACGGCTACTAGTAGTAAGAAAAGATCATTCAAATTCGCTGATGCAAGCTGATTAAATTTTTGGAATGCTTCACAGTACTCGCAAAGATGCATTTACAATTGATGATAACATGAAAGAGCAAAAGATTTTCGATACGATTCGTAGACTTTTTGTCACGCAAAATCAAATATTTGACAATAGTTTCACCTCGAGCCCGAAAAAGAGATGAAACACAGAAAAAATGCAGGCTTGCATGCATGAGCCAGTGTTACCAAATTACCAAATCGAATCCACTTTAACGCTGTCTATCGTTGGCGCAGTGCCCTTCTCAAAAGAAAACGCCTGGTGAACGCCAAACCCATCTCTACAAATGAATATGCAAAATCGAAAACAAGTGAGCCGAAACCAAAAGCTTCATATTCATCATGAAAGGCGTTCACCAGGCAGTGTGACCACCATCGATCAACATGGTGCTACCGGTCATGAAGCTCGAGGCATCGGACAGAGCGAATAGAGCACAGCCACGGAACTCTTCAGGAAGCGCAAGACGACCAAGCATGTTCTCCGCCTCCCAAGTTGCACGCGCAGCAGGGTTCTGTTGGAAGACACCCTCCACCATAGGAGTGATGATGTGACCGGGGCAAAGTGAGTTCACACGAATACCGTGACGACCCCATTCCATAGCGAGAGAGCGCGCAAGCTGAATAACTGCCGCCTTGGAAGAGTTGTAAACAGGAGAGGTCATACCCTTGTTCGCGATCAAACCACTCATCGAAGCAACGAGCAATATGGAGCCTTTCTGCTGGTAGTTGAACATCTGGCGAGCGGCAGCAGTGGCAGAGTTGAAGACACCATTATAGTTGATAGACATCACATCGTCGAGAGCAGCGCGGTCATAATCGAGAGCAGATTGGAGATGATTGATTCCAGCGGCAGCAATGAGACCATCCAGACGCTCATGTTGGGCACCGATCATGGCGAATGTGTTCTCGACTTCCTTATGGTTGCGGACATCGATCTGGATATACTCCAGCAGACCACCATATTCGTTCTCGGCTTGGCTCTTTGCGGCGAGGAAATCGGCACCGGGCTGTTCGAGGCGATCAAGTGCGTAAACTAAAGACATGATTTAGCTAAATTCAAATTTGAGGATAAATTGAAGGTGTTGCTATTTCGTTCATACCCTTGCCACCGGCTTCAATGATAGCTTCCGCCATAGCTAGTCCAAGACCACGAGCACCACCGGTGATAGCGTAAACACGACCCTCGATATCGAACTCGCGGAAACGCTTTGCGTTGCGCAATTCCTTCTTGGAAGGCAGCTTGGTTTGGATGTGATCCGGGTTGTGCGAGACCTTGTGGATATCGTGGGGGTTGAATACATTCTTGGTGCTTGAGTAGAGGCGAGTGGAAGACGATGCCAGCACCTTGGGGGCAATCACTGAAGCACCGGCGAAGCGAGTGCGAGCAGGGTTCAGGACTCGAGATAATGAGAAAGACATTATTTAGATAATTATATGCGAAAGTGAACAATAACAAAAGGATATATCAAAGAATGAGAAGAAACAGCGTCCTGAGAAGAGGGACGAGGTATATAAAGAAACGAAGGTTTCCTTTTCAATTGAATAAGGCTTGACACTTTTGAACGCTTTGGATTTTGAATCTGGAATGTGAAGCAGACTTATATGTGTCGTGGAGACTCTAAAGCTCCTACCATGGAGTAGAACTCCCGGTACTTCCTAGCAAAGTGTCCCGAAAGCAAAATGATAGATTCAACATTTGAACTAGTTCCACAAATTTCCCCATGAAGCTAGACAACTGAAAAAATAAAACAATAAAAACAAAAATAAGGGAGAAAATATCAGGAAAAAGAAAAGAAAAAAATAAGCAACCCCGCGTGACCCATTGCAAAACGGATATTGCCTTACTGTTTTCACCATGACTCAAAGATCCACGAATCCACGGATACACTTGCCACACGAACCCCCCCGATGAAGACAACCAAATCGGTGGGCTGGAAGAGCCCACTGATCGGGCGGGTCCCCCGAAGTATGCACGACGGGATCGACAAGGTCCTTGCTCTCGGACTGTCGGGTCCGGGTCTGCTGTCCAATGACAATAATGTAGGTTGGCATTGAGTTTAAGGCCTGGTTCAAGTTTATTTTTATTCTACTAAGATCAGGCTTCATATTAGGCTCATATAAGACTTGGATACTACAGCACAATTATTGATTAAGAGACGCATTTTATGAATTAATGGAATATAGGAGACCCAAAAGAAGAGGCGAGGTGCTCAAGATCTCACTTCGAGTCCCATATCTACTTCATACAAGGAGGGAGTACTCCGTGTATGTTCCAATACCTTGGTTGCACTGGGCTCCACAGGAAAAATCTGAAGGATGTCCATGGTCGGGGGATCAAGTCAGTTGACCATCAATAATTTCACATTTATTTTTATATCGAAAAGCTGGAAAGATGGAGAAACGCCCCTGCAGGAGTCCGCCGGGATCTCCTAATTAGGCAATTCCAGGATACTTCCAGACGTCCCGTTCGCACACCGCTGCATTTCGCTGCATTTCTTAACGGAATTTAGATTTTGAAATTTTCTTAGTGCTTAGATTCTTGTGTTGAATAGATTGGCCAGGAAATGACAGGAGAATTTAAGTACAGGGATGTTGGTTTAAAGGAATAGGGAGAGAAGGTCACCTTGTTCTACCAGTACACTGCATTTGGGTTCCCCGGATCCCCCACCATATATCCCCAGTGTTCGATTTTTGGAACTTGAGCTCCGACCTCGGGGCCTATATGTAAAGAGTACATTTCACGGATTCAATATTCCGCTCTCTGCCAGTAAAAACCTGAAGCTTGAAAGAAAGAAACGGCATATGTCTACTAGTAGATCCACTCGTCTCCACTATCTCTGCCACAACCGACAGAAACATACGCTTGTATCCACTTTCTCCGATCAACTCTAAGCTCGGTTTCTATGCCCAAGTATAATAACATTTGAAATTTGCAATTCCATTAAGCTCCTTCATCATTGGTGCATCTTTCAGCCACGCCGGGTCTCTCTAGCCTAGGCCTAAGCCCTGTAGTATTCTTCTAAGCTGCCAGCTCAGCCTAACAGGGGGTCAATGGTTCGAACACGATCTCGAACGGCCCTATACGGGGTCACCTGTTCAATTGGCGCGGGGTCAAGGCAGATCAAGATAAGGAGCGATTCAGTGGATATTTGAACGCAAGTACCTATTCTGGATTCGGGATTCCGTTTTTTTCGGGTTACGCGGCAATATGCTCGGAATTTCAGATTCAGATTTCAGATCCCAAGCTTGACAGGAATTATTTTAGGCTTAGCTTGAATGATCCCACATGTGCAGGCGCCTTGGGCTCTAACCAGGTGATATTCAGGGGATTTCCAAAGTTGGCACCTGGATGGACCAAATGTTCACTCGCCTCAGTACCTTCTAGTTGTACTCCATACAACCACCCATGAACAACGCATATGAATATCTCATGTTCTACAAACTCAAATACTAAAATCAAATTGATGTTATTAAAATGCTGATTCAAGACCACCTGAAATCAAATTTTTGTCAGTTTTTGTTTTCAAGCACCTATACTAATTAGTAGTAGCCCTAGTGGACACCTCTAATGTTCCAAGGTTCTTTTACTCTGCAGATCTCATTATTCGATCCCAGCAGATGGTATAGCTACTATATCGGTAAGGCTATTGGCACCTGGGTATATTTAAAAAAAATTCAAATGATAACTTGATTTAGTAGACTAGCTTAGATAGTTCCAGATGTCAAATGTTGCTTGGATATCTGATGAGAGTGCGCTCGTATGATCAGATTGCGGTGGGCTCGTTCAACACCAAATATGTCATCATCCCCTGAATTTCCTCCTCATCATCGCGCATTTTCAAGGTGTGTTGGCCCGGCTCAGAAGGCGGACTCATTGGAATAAGCCGGTGGCCTGCAGGAAGATCTCGGTGATACTCATAGAACCTGAGCTCAAGGCCGTGAAAGAGAATCGCCCAGAGTCGTGAAGGCATCAAGTTATTAGTTTCAACTTCAAGGTCACGCTCAAGCTGTTCCAAGCCTGTCGCCAAATCATTTGCTGCCCTTGTTGCATTCACCACAACATGACTATACATCGCGTGGGCACGTCGGGGATTTCGGTTATCTCGAGCAACGCGTTGTACTTGACGAATGACGAAATACAAATGGCCATCGAGTCGACTTTGTATCTTCATCCTCGGTGCAACATTCCAGTCATCTTCAAGGGGGAAGAAGAGGTTGAGAGTTGTGTTTGCCAATGCCATCACAGAATTTTCAATATCATGACCTCGAGCAGACTCAACATCATGACCGTGACCATGTGGCTCCTCGGCAGCGTCCATCAAGGTTTGAAATAACGGCAGGGATAGATAGGAAACCATCTTCAAGATAAAGCTGCTTCAACGTTAGTAGGAACACAGAGATCGAAGGATATCATACGCTGTGAATTTTGAAAAGGGATGATGAATTTTGAGGGTCATGGAGTATGAGAAGGCAAAGTCAGAGTGTAGGGTTTATCTACTACTCATATGCAGTGATAGAGTCACATGAGACGACCACCCAGCAGGAGAACAGCAATAAAAACTTGCAATGTGCAGAGTTCCAAGATCGGTAGATCACTGAGAGTTGGTTTCAATGGGCTTGCAGGGAGAAGCAGCTGGGTTTATGGAGTGGCCGGTGAGACAGAAACCTTGAGCCTTTTGAATGCAGAACTGGCATCTACTATTAAGTAATTTATATTGAATCATTTGCGGGTTCTTTGAAATAATACTATTGGAACTGCTCAGCCCTGATTGTGGCCTCTCGCAAATGGAGGTGATAACAAGAGGTAGGAAGCTAAGCGTAAGCTAGGTAGTCTACAGGCTGGTTATTAATAGCTGTAAAAGCGACAAAAAAGTTCCATGACGGAATATTCAAATTTTCTAGCGTTTCATCATCAAATGGTTAGTGCAAATTTGCGAGCCCCGGTGCAATGGCCATGCCACCCGCACTACGCAGACTCCCAAAGTCCAGCTTCATCAAGAGTCGATCCACGCCGGCTGGCTGGCGCGGTACATAGTGGCCTATCAGGCCTGTGTTTGTATCAGGTCGATTTCCCCGCCATCCTAGTCCGTGAGCAGGATTTGTGCCAAGGCCTGGGCCCTCTCCAGAACGACGATCATCAATATCACGCAAGCTCGCAACCAGATCTTCGATACCACTTGTAACATCGCCGTGCGTGGCTTGCAACTCATTCCATATTTCTCGCTCTTCTTCGGCATAGTCGACCAATGCATCCACTACTCCTTCATCGGTTTCTAGATCCATATTGCGCTGGATCGTCTCTAGTCGAATCACTAGGGCCACAAACCGATCGACGCTCGTAAGAAGTGCTCGTAGAACGCTAGTAAATGGAACATCTGTCAAGAACAAGCACTGAATAACCATTGACAGATGTCGACGGTGGGCAGTGGTAAGTGCTTCGGGGTCATTGCGTCCCATGGTCGGCCCTGCTTGGGAAGTCGGTCGACTAGACGCACGGTCAGGCGAAGGTAAACGGGATTGTCTCTGTGCTTTCATAGATCCTGCCGTTCCTGGTCGGGAGCTAGGTGCCGATGCGGTCGACGAAGGACTGCCTTGAATCCACTCACGAAGATGTTGCCAAGACTCGTGAACAACCTCGCCTTGGAAAAAGCTGCCAACCTCCGAAAGAACAAATAGACTGGCACTGGCAGTAGCCCAGATTGGGCGCATCTGCTTGGTACGAATGTTGTCCCTCTCGCGACTTGCCCTAAGTCTGTTCTGGCCAAAGGGCTTGTTACTACGCGGCGGCCCCCAAGGAGTGGGATAGTTTCGTCGTAAAGAAGTTCGCTTCCATAGATCTCCTAGACGTATTTGTGCTCGTCGAATGCCAAGTAAATAAGAATGAATCTTGGAGTAGGTGGCAATATCAGAACTGGAAAGGAAGAGGTCTAGGGGAGCGCGGATCTGCGCAGTTAAATATGTGGGTGTCGGGAACAAAATATCTTCGAATGAGACTCTTGAGATCTCTGGGACGGCAGTAGAGCCATGCGAGGGGGTCATCGCACGGCCATTTTTCCGGTCGCTGATGGACAGTCGTAGCAGCTCACGAGCCAGTTCTAATTCTTCATCAGCCGGATCCTCCTCTTTCTGTATTGAGAAAAGTTCCGCCCATGTATGTGCCAAAGAAGTCACCACATCGCCTTCTTTGATAATAAGGCTATCCAGGGCCGGGGTGCGACCTCCTGCAGCTCGTCTGCGGCTTTCTTCAATACGCTTGTCTGCATGACTCACGAGAGCCACGGCAAATTCTCCTCGCCCCAAAAGGAAAAAGTCATGCAACAGTGTAAGCGTCTCCAAAATCTTGGGGACCGGGAGCAACTTTGATAGAGTGGACTGGGACAACGAAAGGCGAATCCAGTCTACGGCAGTAGTCAACTTTGAGGAGGAGATAGGGGATTTCAACCCAGCAAGTTGCTCGATATGTTCCTGATACAACGTAACTGGTGCCGTGGAAATTCCCACAGAAGTCTTCCTTTTGGATCGAATGTGGTTTAGCGACTTTCCAATAAACAAAATCGATCCAGCAGTTTGCTCTGCGACAAATTTCGGAAGCAGGTCAAGTTGCATCTTGAATTGAATGTCGTCCTCCTCGCTGTTGGTATCCTCTTGGACAAAAAAGTCTTCCTTGCCATACATCGGTAGGTTTCCATAGAGGAGCCACATTGATAATTGTTTCATCCATGTTGTCTCCGCTGCGGTCACAAGTTGCACGGCCATGTCCTTAATATCTGCATATCCTGTTTGGAGCTCGGCTCGCAGGTAATCAATGAGTGCTGCCCCAGTACATCCATGAAGACGTCTAGGATCTTGGCTCTGTGGGTGAATAAATTGAACAACCTCCCATAACCATTCCAGACGCCGAGTCCATGGCGCAAATTCTCTCACGATGGTCGATAATGGGACAATCCCGTATCCGCCAACATATAAGCTGTCTTCTGAGAGAATAGCCTTTTCTACCTCGAGTATTTTCTTCTGGAATTCGCCAAGGTGGACAGTCACTATGGTCGTAGAGACGGAGCGGCAGATAACGGAAACATGGGAGGAAGATATTTGAGAGGTACGCTCGCGTAATTGAGCATGAAGGTGACTTAAATGCGCAATCGATCCGAGGAGAGCTTTTTCCGGAGGTGAGAGAAGCGGGAAATCATCTTGCGAGCTCGTCTCTTTCCCGGTTGTAGCGAAGAGGGGGGACGGCTGTCCAGAGAGGGAGAGGAGGATCTCGTGTAGCATGTTGGCTCGGGATGCCTGGAAGATTTCAGTAATGCAATCCTGTGTCCACGGGTATCATCCGTACCTTGAGTACTGGCTATCCACTTCGGAACTGTGCCGTTGCCAATATAGTAAACCACGCCCAAGAAGCTCGAAGCGACACATGAGTGGGCGAAGAAGGGTTAGGCTTTGATTAAGGTAAGTCGATAGAAAGCGCCAAAACTTTCCATGAAATCAGAGGGGTATCATAGTTTTGACAGGTTTATATTATCATAAACCTGCGAATCGTCTTTGAAAACATAGAAATTCCAATGTGTTTATAGTGTAGTTTTCGCGATCACCAAATCGCGTTCAAGGGACCGTGCTGGACGCGGGGCGAGCCCATTAGTCAGCTCGATAGCTCCCTCTTACGTCGATGGTCCCGCTTCGTATGATCCTCCTCCTCTTCCTCCCTTACCTCTACTTCTTCTCTTAACTTCATCATACCTCGCCCTTTATCTTCTGTACAGTGATCACGCCCATTCTACTGCTGGAATCTTTCTATCCAGCTTGAGTTGCTAGGTACCTGGTACGCTAGATTTTTGTGACTTGTTTTATCTGCACTGTCGAAGGTCTTGCTCGTGGGGCAAGACTTTCACCTTCTGTTTATCACAATTTCTTCCGATCTTGCTGTTCGTGAAGCGGCTAAGCCGGAGAAGCGCAGTGCGCCTGAAGACGAGATCGCCGCTCGGCCCCAGAAAAAGACCATGACGGTATGCGATGTTATATCTAAGGAAATCCCCGCATTGCCACTAATATGAGCTCGTACCAGGACATCGCGATGCATGTGGACAACCCACAGGAGACTGTGGAGTTGATTAAGCAGGGGGAAATCGATGAGTCCCTATACAGTCGCCAACTGTGAGTTCTAGTTGGTCCTTGTTGTCATTTCTCTTTAAGTCAAAATTAACCGCCGGGTTCTAGGTATGTACTGGGCCATGAAGCCATGAAGCGCATGGGCTCTTCGAACGTACTGGTTGTTGGTCTCAAGGGTCTTGGTGTGGAAGTCGGTAAGTATCACGGCGATATAGTGGCAGCGTTGCAGCCCATCTAACATCTAATGATTCTCAGCCAAGAACATTGCTCTTGCCGGTGTCAAGTCCCTCACCCTCTACGACCCCGCTCCTGTCGCCATCTCAGATCTGTCCTCCCAATTTTTCCTCCAGCCACAAGATGTCGGCAAGCCCCGCGCTGAAGTCACCGCTCCTCGTGTTTCCGAGCTCAACTCTTATGTCCCAGTCACCATCCACGAGGGCGCGAATCTTGTGGACGATCTGGAGCAGCTGAAGCGGTACCAGGCTGTCGTGCTCACACTTACACCCTTGAAGGAGCAGTTGGTCATTGCGGACTTTTGCCACAAGAATGGAATTTACCTGACAATTGCGGATACATTTGGTCTCTTTGGTTACATCTTCAACGACTTCGGAAAGAACTTCACTGTCGGCGATCCTACTGGCGAGGAGCCTGTCAGCGGAATTGTTGCCGATATTGCCCAGGATGGTCTGGTTTCTGCCTTGGATGAGACACGGCATGGACTCGAGGATGGCGATTTTGTGACTTTCTCTGAGGTCAAGGGAATGGAAGGACTAAATGAGAGCGCACCCCGCAAGGTTACCGTTAAGGGTCCATACACTTTTACCATTGGTGATGTGTCTGACCTTGGCTCCTACGAAGGCGGTGGTATCTTCGCTCAGGTCAAGATGCCAAAGTTTATTGATTTCCAGCCCTTGTCGGAGCAGATAAAGAACCCCGAGTTCTTGGTCTCGGATTTCGCCAAGTTCGACCGCCCGGCGCAGTTGCACATTGGTATCCAGGCCCTTCACAAGTATGCAGAGAGCCATGACGGCCAGTTTCCTCGTCCACACAATGACAGCGACGCTCAGGAGATCATCAAGCTTGCTACTGAGCTTGCGGGTGCCGGTGAGGAGAAGGTAGAGCTGGATGAGAAGGTGATCAAGGAATTGAGTTACCAAGCCCGTGGTGATCTTAACGCATTGGCTGCTTTCTTTGGAGGTATCGCTGCTCAGGAAGTCCTCAAGGCTGTGTCTGGAAAGTTCAGCCCTGTACACCAGTGGATGTACTTTGACTCTCTTGAGTCTCTCCCATCCTCAACTACTCGATCCGAGGAGAGCTGCAAGCCTCTTGGCTCTCGCTATGATGGACAAATTGCAGTCTTTGGTAAGGAGTACCAGGAGAAACTTTCCAACGTTCGTCAATTCTTGGTCGGTGCTGGAGCCATTGGTTGTGAGACTTTGAAGAATTGGGCTATGATGGGTCTGGGTACTGGCCCCAAGGGCAAGATCTATGTCACCGATATGGACCAGATCGAGAAGAGCAACTTGAACCGTCAATTCCTCTTCCGCCCCAAGGATGTGGGCCGCCTCAAGAGTGACTGCGCCTCTGCTGCTGTGCAAGTGATGAACCCCGACTTGAACGACAAGATTGTAACTCTGCGCGATCGTGTTGGCCAGGACACAGAACACATCTTCAATGAAGATTTCTGGAATGGCCTGGATGGCGTTACCAATGCCTTGGACAACGTTGACGCCCGCACATATGTTGACCGTCGCTGCGTCTTCTTCCGCAAGCCTCTTTTGGAGAGTGGTACCCTTGGCACCAAGGGAAACACGCAGGTCATCCTACCCTTCATCACCGAGTCTTACTCCAGCTCCCAGGATCCTCCTGAGAAATCCTTCCCTATGTGTACATTGAAGAGTTTCCCCAACCGCATCGAGCACACAATCGCCTGGGCTCGTGATCTGTTCCAGACCTATTACGTTGGACCCCCCTGAGGCTGTCAACATGTATCTTTCCCAGCCTGATTACATTGAGCAGACTCTCAAGCAGGCTGGCAGTGAGAAGCAGACATTGGAACACCTGCGTGATTTCTTGGTTACCGAGAAGCCTTTGACTTTTGATGACTGCATTGTCTGGGCCCGCCAACAATTCGAGGCTCAGTACAACAATGCTATTCAACAACTGCTCTACAACTTCCCCAGGGACTCTAAGACATCCTCAGGCCAGGCGTTCTGGTCTGGTCCTAAGCGTGCTCCAACTCCCTTGAAGTTTGATAGCTCCAACCCCACTCATCTCGGATTCGTCATTGCCGGCGCCAATTTGCATGCCTTTAACTATGGCATCAAGAACCCTGAATCGGATAAGAGCTACTACCGAAAGATTGTGGATGACATGATTATTCCCGAGTTTACACCCAGCTCCAGCGTGAAGATTCAGGCTAATGACAATGAGCCCGACCCCAATGTTCAATCAGCTGATTCTGCCAGTGATGGCGAAATTATTCAACGTCTGGTAGACGCCCTGCCATCACCCAAGTCTCTTGCCGGCTTCCGCTTGCAGCCTGTGGAATTTGAGAAGGATGATGACACCAACCACCACATCGACTTCATCACGGCGGCCAGTAACCTGCGTGCCGATAACTATGAAATCCCTCAAGCGGATCGGCACAAGACTAAGTTCATTGCTGGAAAGATTATTCCTGCTATTGCCACCGCTACAGCTCTGGTCACCGGTCTCGTGGCCTTGGAGCTGTTCAAGGTTGTCGATGGCAAGGACGATATTGAGCAGTACAAGAACGGTTTTATCAACCTTGCTCTTCCATTCTTTGGTTTCAGTGAGCCGATCGCCAGCCCCAAGGGCAAGTATCAAGGCAAGGAGGCTGAGGTCACTATTGATAGACTGTGGGATCGATTTGAGGTGGACGACATCCCTCTCCAGGAGTTCTTGGACTATTTTGCCAATAAGGGCCTGGATATCACTATGGTTAGCTCTGGCGTGAGCTTGCTGTATGCCAGCTTCTACCCTCCTTCGAAGGTCAAGGACCGCCTTCCACTAACGTAAGTTGTCTTGTCCATCCCCCCTTATCTATAGAATAGCTCTAACATTGAACAGAATGAGTAAGCTTGTGGAGCATGTTAGTAAGAAGCCTGTGCCAGAGCACCAGAAGAACATTATCTTCGAGGTGACCGCGGAGGACCAGACCGAAGAGGATGTGGAGATTCCCTACGTGATGGTCAAGTTGGGAAAATAATTGGGAGACGAGAAACAAAATAACATATGGAGGCGAAAGACAGAAGTAGATTTTACGATGATTCTGAATGAGCTCTAGATTTCTAACACTCTCAATTCCAATTTGCTCTGTTTATGCAAAAATTTGTGATTGCTTATAACTTCGTAATTCTCGATGAGTTGATGCTTTGTCAAAGCTGACCGAGAGTGGCTGAGTAAGCGTCTAGTCCCCAATGGACGTCATTCCCCGCAGCTACAAAGCTCTCTTCTCGTATTTTCTTCTCTCTTCTTTTGACTGTCAGTGTAGGCTATAAAAGCTCATTAGTTAAAGCTCATTAGTTCGCCGATGCTCTTGAAGCTCTTCCGCTCACCAGCGTTGCAACATTTCTCACGACCTTCAATTCTTCGCGCGGGGTACCTTGCATATTCTCATCCGTGCTTCTCCGCAGCAACTCGAACTATGGCGGTACGATCATTCCATATATCTTCATGTCTTCTGTAATGTCAATGTCTGATATTCTAATACCATATATAGACTGGAAACTCCGGCAAAATCACTGACTGGGTGAACCCCAATGACAAGTCAGGCGAGTTCAAGCGACAGCAATCTGTCTTCCGCAGCTTTATCTCTCGCGAAGCTGGCGCAGAGTTCCCACCCGAGAAGGGCCGTTATCATCTTTATGTCTCTTATGCCTGCCCGTGGGGTAAGAATGATCTGTGTCTTATAGATTAATTCGCCGGCTAATCGTTTCAAGCTCACCGAACACTCATCACCCGGAAGCTCAAGGGCTTAGAGGATATCATCTCCTTTTCGTCGGTGCACTGGCACCTAGCTGAAAAGGGTAAGCTTTGTCCAATTCTTGTTTGAATATTTAATACTAATCCCAAGTAGGATGGCGTTTCGCTACTCCAGATGAGAATATCCCAGGAGAAAACACTATTCCAGATCCCTTGCACCCGGAGTTCACTCATCTACGTGAAATCTACTTCTCAAATGACCCGAATTACGGCGGCAGATTTACTGTCCCTGTTCTATTCGATAAGAAGACCAAGCAAATCGTCAGCAACGAGGTAGGAACTCTGCAGGAGAATCACAATGCACAACTAGCATGAATACTCACTCATTGGCAAACAGAGCGCCGAAATCATCCGCATGCTGTACTATGAGTTCGACGGCCTTGTCGAAGAGAAGTACAAGGCTCTTGATCTTTTCCCTGCTCACCTCCGCCAGGAGATTGATGCAAGCAATGAATGGATCTACAACGACGTCAACAACGGCGTCTACAAATCCGGCTTTGCAACCACACAAGAGGCCTACGAAAACGCCGTCACAACTCTCTTTTCCTCTCTCGATAAGATCGAGGCTCATCTTGCTAAGCAAGCCTCTATTTCACCCTACTTCTTCGGTAATACTGTCACCGAAGCCGATATCAGACTCTTCACTACCATTATTCGCTTTGATCCTGTTTACGTCCAACATTTCAAGTGTAATATCCGTGATATTCGCTCTGGATACCCTGCTATTCACCGCTGGGTGCGTGATCTTTACTGGGATGTCCCTGCCTTCGGCGAGACAACCGAGTTCGAGCATATCAAGAAACATTATACCAAGTCGCATAAGCAGATTAATCAGTTTGCTATTACTCCTGTTGGGCCGGTTCCGGATGTTTTGCCCAAGGATCAGGAAGTCAACGCTGTTAAGGGAGCTTAATTTTAAATTTGAAGATCTCAGGTGTTAGTAATTGAAATGCATGCTTTCTGTTCTTCCGTTCGATTATCACACTGTACTCCAAGTTATCAAATTCATCCTAATTTACCCCCATGGATATATATTTCTGATGAAATCTTCAAAATCTAAGCCGGGACACTACATACTGACATTTTCCAAGGTTGAAGACAAACTTTGGAATTATTAACCTTGGAGGAAACCTTGGTCATTTCAGTATCTAAAAAAATAATTGTAAATTTGTAATATTGACAAACAAAACTAGATATAGATCGGGCAAAAAGCCCTGTGGTATTACAAGAATCCACATGCCACGACGCCTTGCCATGCTTATGATTGCTAGATGGGTTTCCCCTGATTTTCCTTTAGCAAAAAGCCTCTGATGTGGAGGCTTCATGGCCCAAATGAGAATAATCAAATGATGCCAAAGCAAAAGCAAAACAAATGCAAAATGTTCAAATATGACTTAGTGTAACCCACAGAAAAGCTACAAAGTAAATCAAAAATGAGATATATGAGGCATATACACAAGATTGTGGCATGCTGTATGTTGGCCTTTTTGGGGGTATCTCGAAATAAAATTGCTCTAAATCAAGGCGGAGGAAGGGAAGGAGTGGTAGGTGATCAGGAAAGATCCGAAAGCATCGGCAGGTGAAGAGGAAGAAGGTGGAGGATTAAAAGAGCTAGAGAGCACGGGGTGTTGTAAGGTGGTGGAAGGTGTAAGGTTGTGAGGTGGTGATACATGGGGGCCGATCATTTCAAGCCGAGGAATCGCTTCGTGTTTTCGTAGACCACGTAGCTAATAGAGACTGCTGGCGCCACTTTCATGAGGTTGGGCGTAAGTCCCTTGTACAAGCCACGAGGTCCCTCTGCTGCCAAGGTTTTGCGGGCGACGTCAGCAATACCGGTATAGGTCGCAGGATGTAAAACGGTGCCTTGGGCTTGCAATCGGGTGCGAAGAACATTCAGGGGATAAACGAATGAAGCACTCAGACCTCCACTAAGTGCACCAATGGCACCAGTGACAAAGTTGTTGAGCGGTACATCATCTTCATGGCAGTTGTTGAGGCGCGCCTGGCGAGCTAGGAGCGCTCGTTTGAGGTACTCGAAGGTGCTGAGATCAATCGCTGCGTAAGGGAACATTCCAATTAGACCAAGAGGAAGACCACGAAAGAAGCCGAGCAGCCCATTAGCGTTCCAGACTTTTCTGGCGGTTGCAGCAATAAGCTTGTTTCCTTTCAAGCCACCTTCCACGGTCGAGCATTGCATTCGGCTATTATATGTTAGTGACAAGTCGGTCTGATGTGATAATAAATGATACGCACAACTTCAACGTATCAAGCGGATAAACAAAGCACCTAGAGAATAGTCAGAGCATGTAACTCCCGCGGCATCAAGTCAAACATACTGTGCAACCATTCCACCAATACCACCGGACAAGAATTGTGACGTTGGCTTGAGTCGCTTTGGGTCGTTATGGCCCTCCATGCCGGCGAACGCTCGTTTCGCAGACTATATCAAATTAGCTCTCTACCCTTAGCACCCCAGGCTTCCAATGGAGGTGCATTACCTCATAGGCTCCAAACTTAATCGCTGACTCCGGCATAACCTTGACAACATTCAGTCCATTTCCTATAGAGAGATTAGTGTCACATCTTTGGATAAATGAGATCATACTCACCAGCAAACATGCTGCGAATTCCACCTGCTCTCCATAGCTCCTTGAATGCAACTACCAAGGTTCTTGAGGCGTTCCCCGCTGCGACTAGAGGGGCACCATCTTTCGCCGCACGAACAGCCTGTTTCGTTACACCAGTCTTCGCGATAAGATAGACTTTGAGACGATCGAGAGGCGCGGTAGCCGTCCTGGACACGACACCAGCGACACCGCCCGCGATGAAGTAGCCTAGTTGAGGGGTATTCTCGGTCAACTTCCGTTCATAACGGCGGAGGGACATCCACATGGCGGTGGTCTTGGGGATAGGCAGCCACTCCAACTCTAAGTCAGCGTCCATCGAAACCCATTCCTTGCCAACGGTCGAAGACAATTCTGCGGCCGGGATGGATTCTGCTTCGACTGACGGGAGGAGAGAGGCCAGGGTAGAGAGAGAAAGAAGATTGTACAAGAGGGACTTGACGGCGAGTAGGTGAGTTTTAAGAAACGAGTGATCTGTACCTAAGCCCTGCAAATCATTGATGTGGACATCTCCTTCCGGGTTTAGATTTCCTGTGGCCGAATAGTAGGATAGAACAGCGCGAAGATTCGACGATGAGTTTAGAGGGAGGAAGAGAAGGAAGTCCCTATAACACAGAAAGAAAGTAAGGGTTAGCGCCACCAATTCTCATGACATATTTTTGTTCAACTCTGCATGCGAAGAAAGAAACAGGGCGTTGGTGGGGTTTCGAACCTCCATTCAGCGTAAGTGATCACTCCGTCATTGTTTTGGTCAACCTCGGCAAAAAAATTATCCAATTTTGCGTTGGATACTGTCACTCCGGACTGAGCAAACGCAGTTCGCAACTCAGTCTTGTCTATCTCCCCATTCTTATTGTGATCGATATCTTGGAACATCCGCCATAATCCAGACTCGGTATGGTTGATGAAGACTTGGAACTCTGAAACAACGATTAGGAGGGTCCCAAATATATAGCGCGTAAGCGCCTCAGAAAAAGCTCAAGGAGCTGCAAAAGTGGGAGATCATTACCGTCATAATCTATCCACCCATCACCGTTCGTGTCAACTTCGCGTAAGATGCTGTAGACTAGTCTATCTGCATTTTTAAGCGCTATAGCGCGTCAGTCGGAATCTTTCGGCATGAGACCGGGATTCAGCAACTCACGATGGTCGATCTTCTTGAGTCCCTTCTTTAAGCCATTTAGATCAATATGACCTTCTTTCCGCACATCCAGCGTTTCCCAGAGTCGAGCAACTCGTTCATCGCGCTCATCTTTCGACTCGCCGGGTGCCATACTTTCGGAGGAAAATTGTTATTGAGCACCCGGCATCATTCAAGGGAGCATATTCTGAGGTGATAAAGGAACAGCTTCGAGGGAAAGGCGGTGGGAGTCACAGCATTCAGTAAGGATCGTAAAAATCTCGAACTTGAAGGTTCGCATTGAAGAGTGGGGTGCTGACAGGTAATGATTAATCGGCGCCCGATCATTGCTTGCTCCTTTGGACGCTTGACGCCATCACCGGGCACGGGACCAGGGCTTGGCCCTAGACCTATTTGGGATGTATTTTGTATTATGTAATCATGGTTTTATCATAAGACCTCATAAGCAGGAGGGGAAAGCTCCGAACTATACATCGTCTAGACATTATGACTGCATGACTGCATGAAGTTCATTTTCTATTCCATGACCTATCATGGCTGCCAACTATTGGGTCTCGACCCAACGTCGTCATTGGCTCTTCTCAAGAGAGAAGCTCGCCGATATTCGGGAGAGACTACGTGAACGAGATAAGCTCACTCATTCACAGTTTCCGCTGCCAGATCAGCGGCTATTGAATATTTACTTCAACCAACGTAGGGATAAATCAACTTGATATTTCTTCCCTGAATTTTCTAGTGCCCGCTGACCTCTCCTCCAGAGCTCATTAAATTGGGCAAGCGCATGTCCACCCGGCAACAAGCAATTGCCACTGCTCAGGTCTATCTCAAACGGTTCTATATCAAGAATGAAATTCGTCAAACAAATCCATATCTTGTACTCACAACAGCCTTCTATCTGGCCTGTAAGATGGAAGAGTGCCCCCAGCATATCCGCTTTGTGGTAGGAGAGGCTCGCGGACTATGGCCAGGTACGAGATATTGATTCGAATGGTCTCCAACCAAAGATCTAACTAAGAACCATCCCCACAGAATTTATTACTCCTGATGTAGCCAAGTTAGGGGAGTGTGAGTTCGCCTTGATCTCTGAGATGCACTCTCAACTCATCGTCCATCATCCTTACCGCACTTTGTCCGAGCTGCAAGGCGAGTTAGCTCTGAGTTCCGATGAAGTCGCACTAGCCTGGTCTGTGATCAACGACCATTATCTAACTGATCTCCCATTGCTGCATCCCCCACACGTGATAGCCATCATGGCCATTATTGTGGCGGTCGTTTTCAAACCGGCCCATCCTGGCAACTTTGGTAGTTCTGCCCAGTCAGCTTTGGCTGGTGCCATGCGAGATGGCGGTGGAATGAACATGCTAGCGGCTCTTTCGGACAAATTGGGTTCTGGCCCACCACGCATTCAGAAACTGGTCCAATGGCTCGCAGAAAGCGAGGTGGATATTAAAGCTGTCATTGAATGTACCCAGGAGCTTTTGTCGCTGTATGAGGTCTGGGAGCAGTATAGTGAGAAGCCCTGCAAGGAATTGATTGGCAGGATGGTGAAGAGTAAGAACTTGGATAAGTAATGAGATTTTGGGCGGTATTTTGTATTTTCTGTTGCACGGCATGAGCATTCAATTTTTTGGAGTTGGGGTTCAATCATGCTAGTACTTGATATTATATTTGCATACCAGCGATTCCCTGCAAATTAAAGTGTGATTATTCAATTGATGTTCCGAGTCTTTGCTAGTATCATGGTGATTTCCAAAGTCAGCGCTACGGTTCAAGAATTACGAGCAAAGCCACAGTGGACTCGGATCGAGGACATTAAATTTCAAACATCGAGGTGATTTGAATCCAGTAATAGCATCTAATATCATGAACATGTGTACCACTGGTACGTCAAGTTCAATCATGATGTTCTAGTATGTGTAGGTATACCCACATGCACCCCCACTGGCATGTACAAGTAGGCCAGGCGGGCTGTGAATTAAATTAGCCGCCACTGGCACTGAGAGCTAGACGGCGGTGGTTACAGATTGATACATATCGAGTTCAGTGTGAATTACATCACGATATCGAGGGGAAATTTTAGAGCAGTTGGAGCTCAAAGTGTTTCGAAATTTAAAGTGTCACTGTAAGAACTTTGGCAGGGTGTGGCAGTGAACTACCCCCATCGGCATCGCCGTAATCGGTTCAGACTGGTTGCACCACATACGCAAGTGACACCCATGTGCACGAGCAGTACTCGATATAAACATAACATTGGAAAAATTTCAGTGTTCAAATGTTCCAGTCCCTTACAATAAGCCTACAAATCGTTTTAATGATATAGAGTTACACCTCCCCGTGGTAAGCATTGACATCCCACCTTCTGAAACCCACATTCGAACTGTAAACACGGCCGCTTGAAAATCCGCCAAGGGCAACCGAATGGCCCCGTCCCTTGCGTGGCTGGTCTGGGGGATGACCAAAGCTCCTACCTCTTCTCTCTAGCCCCTCACTGGAGATATACATTATGCAGTCAGATCGCCTTCCAGGGGAAAGCAGGCCATGCTATGCACGCATGGGTTCGATCTGTCAGCTGCATGACTCAAGCTTTCAAGTTAACGGTGCCTGCACCTAGCTACTGCGCCCGTGGGCTACGGAACAAAACCTGTCTAACTCCAGCCCCTAGATGGACATGTACAATGCCAGTGGCTAGCTCACTCACGAGAAGGAGAAGGTTTGGGGCACATTGCAAGGTTCATGGCTGGTCCTCCATTCCCTTGGCCCCAAAGGAGCGGTGAGCATGGGGTTAGAGGTTAAGTAGCGCTTCCGCCGGGAACCGGAGGGCCTATTCCCTCCCTGAGAGGACAAAATATCTGAGCGACCGGGCTGGCCGAGCACCTGCAGGAGAAGATCTATTTCGAGTACGGACTCTGGGTACAAATAAGGAAAACAAAGACTAAGGGGTGAAATCTCTGTTGCAGTAGACGCTCACAATTCCCGTCTTTCTGGAATTCCATCCCTCATGGAACATGAAATTAATGTACTGTAAGAAAGAACAGTCCTTATTCGGCGCCACCACAATGTGGAACCCTGCAGTGACAAGTGGTACGACTGGAGTCGAGAGTTGGGTATTAGACAAGTGATAATGCTACCCAAACGGTCTCCTCAGCGCTTACGGCAGGAAATGCAAAAGAATCCGAACGAATCGCCATTAATTTGATACTATTCCTAGTTCGGATCCTGTAGGCAATAGACTTGGCCGTTTCGGGAGGTCGGGGAGGAGCTGGATCGGGTCAGATAATGGCCCTACCAATCATGAGAGGAAAGCACCTGCAGCTAAGGATTGTTAGCGGGTTGGGAAGAAAGAAGAAAAGGTTCTATTTGGGGTGGTCAAGGCGCTGCCCCAAATTGTTGACGATCGCTGATCAGCCACAACCGAATTGTCCCTGGTCAAGGCTGTGCAGAGAGGAAGATTTCCCCATCGTCCGGAGGTTTCCCAATGTTTTCACTGCCGTATTTCCGTACTTCGTAGTTTTCCAGTCTTCAAAATTCGGTCCCCCCGAACAAGTTCTCTCTCAGATTGATCATGGATGAGATATCTCCCTGAACCAGTTCACTTCAAGGAGATCATAGGAGAACGAATAGGGGAGGTTGGTCCCACACGTTGAGGATGGTGGAGTGGAGACATGTAAATATGGAGCATGGTTACCAATGATCCTCTGCAGAATGGAACATTTTCGGGAGGTTTACGCACGAGTATCCATAATTTCAATGTTCCATAGGGGGTGATCAAGGTGGCCAACTGAAACGATGTGTACTGAGAGTACGGAGTAACCATCCTCCAGGGCTGGAAGATGTAGATCTCATCACTCCAGATGCGGAATAGCTTTTTGCGTCATACGGTTCAACCGGCATTTGCATAAAAAGTGAGTAGAGTGGATCATGTTAACTTTGTAAAAGGGAGGTTGATTGGTGAATACATTCTGTCTTCGCCACTGCGTGACCCCCGAACCAGCTAATACCATCCTATACCGTTCAATACCAATCTTTCCATAAATTACCTTCAATGAAATCTCGATCTCCTGCAAATTATCCCTATTCAAGGATCAAAATTGTGACAATTGTTACCATACCTGACCATACCGTCCTTCTCAGCCCCATAACACCCCTCTTTTTCTGTTCTTCCCTTTCCCACAACCTCAATTCTCTTCCCATCCAACTAACAAACTTCTTCGCACTTTTATTTTTCATTTTTCCTTTCGTTGTGACTCTCATCTACTTTTGATTTTTATATCTGGGTGCTGGTTTCCTAACTCAATACTTATTTTCACAATGTCTGCCTTCATGTACTCCCACCAACAACAACACCACCAACACCAACACCACGGTGCCCACATGCCCTCAAATAACCACCATGGTCGTTCTCGCCGCGCTCCCAAGATGGCTGCTCAGAATGCCCAGCGTCAGTTCCGAGGTGTCAAGAGTATGCGTGAGCTGGCCGAGGCTCCCGCTGTCACTGCCTTCCGGGCTCGTTTCGAGGCCGGTCGGTCCTTCGACCTCGACGATGACCTGGAGTTCTGCCCCAACCTTTTGACCGACGAAGATGTACGTTGAAATATCAATCATCGATGATTCTCTGGGCCAATCCCTTCCCTCGGAATACTTTCATCGTCGGGTTCACCTTTTTTACCCCCTTGTGGTCAATTGGGATGAATAAACCTCGAGAGCCAATCATATTGACGAATTCCCATAGCTGCACTCTATCCACTCCGCCTCTTCTGACCGTTCTTCTTTGTCGAGTGGTTCGCCAGATACCTCGCCTCTGCAGCACCAGATTCAGCCTGTGCAGCAGGTCACACCGGCTATCTCGCTTTCTCCCGGTTCCGCCAACTCTTTCGTTCACGGAGTCGGCAACCACAACCAGATGAGCTACCAGCAGCAGCAGCAACAGCCTGCTAACCGGACCCGCAAGGTCATCCCTATCATCAACCCCAACACTGGAATGTCTTTGGCTAGCCCACCTTCATCGATCTCTCCCGCGATGATGCAGACAGCTCAGCGTAGATGGTGAGGTTCTTTTGGTTTGCTCGAAAATACGCGGCGCTTGCGCCCTCTCCTGCCCTAGCGGCATGTTCTTTGCACGTCACCTGAGTCTATCTGCATCATCGGAGGTCCTTTAATCGCAGGCCTTAATCACTTTATCACTTTTATTGCATTCTTGTCCGATACGACCATTTTGCATTCGACACGACCCACATCGGAAAAATATCTTACGAACGGCGAAACAAAAAAATCATACACAAAAAAAACCACTATCGAAAATTTGGACAAAATCCGGCTTTGTACATACCATATACTGGACCATCCGCCGATTTACGACCCTATCGCCATATATTTTAGATCCCTTGTGATGCTTTCAGCTTGTTGCGAGCGACGGCGCCTGCGATTCGATTCCCTGCATCTCTTCTCTTTTTTTATTATCTACGATACCTGTGTCTCTCGGGAGGGACTCTCTTCTCTGGCCTCTTTTTTTCGCTCTCGGCTGGGCCACCGATGATGTATAGAATTTGTGGTGACCTGCTTATCTTTTATTATCGACGTGCATGTCCCTGGGGACAGGAGTTGAATTTTCTTTTTTTATTCTTCTGGGGAGGGTCGCTTGTAAAAAGCGCCTTGTTTTTTTGGGCCCGACTCACCTACGCTGTGATCTATTCGACGACTTCTTGCTTCTTTGGATTTGCTTTTTGTTTCTCATTGGGGTTATTATTATCTTGGGTGGGATGGATATCACATTTTTTCAAGGATCTAGAGGCGGAAACGATACACGTCTGCATTGCTTGGGCACTCTGTTGAAATACCTGGGTTTGTTTTCTGCTTTTTGTTGGTTTGCACATCTTGTTTTCATCTTGGCTTTTTTTTTCATTTTGGTTCCTGTATATCGGTTTGGGGATGGGTAACACGCCTCATTACTTCCCTGCCACGGAGGCAGTGGCTGGTTGGGTTTGGTTGCGAGCGAAACCATGGGATGCGGAGTTGTTATTTTTGTTTGAGATCGATATCCTGGGGGTCTCTCGCGGGTTGGGCGAGTCATAGACCATATGCGTTGAAAATGGCTTTTTATTCGGATTTTGACATTCTCTCATCTCCATTCTCTTTTATTTGCTTCTTATGCGTTAGCTCTAGCTCCCGAGGAGTTTCTTGAATAACGCTGTATGATCTTGATCTACTATTCGGCATACTGTCATTTCCAATGCACATCTCTTATGTTCATATCTTTTTTTTTTCAATGGCTTTCTTTTACACAGCTTTGGGATAATTCTTTGGACAAATTGATGTGACCGGTTCTAGTCTTTATTACATACATTCCTCCAAGATCATTTAATAAGACAGCAAAATTACCCACTGTCCATGCCTCTGTCACTTGTGGATTAAAAAGGGAGGCAATGCTGCCAGTGGAATTGCCAGGGGCAGGCACGATACCCTTCATACTTACCTAGGCAGGTCTCCTAGGAGGTGCGAAGGACACCACTCCTCAATTCCTGCACGATCGCATTGCATTATGACCATTCTTCGATACGTCATCTCGTCTGCGTACATTGCATGATGTCACTAATATTCTAGACTTTGAACGTAGCTGAACTTGAACTCAAGAAGAAGTGGGGGCGACATGTCATCAATGATGTATCAGATGAATATCTTGTTAAGATAGGCTCAATAATAGGCCACCTGCATCTTTAATTGAAACTATAGGCTCGGCCCGTTGGATATATGGACAATAGGGTATGATATCAATTCTCTAGGCCACGTGAAGATTTTCAGGGGCAAATACTACATGACTTGAATTCATGGCTGTTCCAGCATTTGAAACTTATATGCACTTTTGTAAAGGATGCAAATTTTAGAACTGAATTAACGTCGAAATAGATCCAAGCGCTTACATAGAAACAACACTGAGAATAATAGTACGTACCAGTAGTTGTCGAGTGTTTCGAGTCTAGATTCTCAAATTGAATCAATATCAAGCACTTGAGTACACATTACGGATGTTGAATCGTTATCTTTAAAGTCGATCCCATTAATTGATCTCACATCTTTGGCCCTAAAGTTTGTATGTAATGCCCACCTGGACAGATGATGCCCCTCTGTGTCTACACACGTATTACCTTTCGATGAAAGCACTTGAGGAAACAGTTGTATGCAACACTACGTTTTGAACCTTGGAAGAGAAAGTCTCAGGTTTGGATCAAATTATATCCAGGATTCTGACAACTCTCAACCAGATGATTCGAGTTACGAAGTATTTATCCACCAAGAGCCCAGTAGATTTCCACGATTAGGCCTTTACAAGTAGTACCTAGGTAGTTCTACTACCTCCCCTTGCACCACTTCTTGACCCTGATCGAAGATTGAAAGGTTAACTCCTCAATCACCGAATTTCAAAAGGCAGGCTTGAAATCGACCTGGGAGGGATGATTCTAACAACTGGGACCAAGCATAGTATTCTAGTAGTCCATTGACAAAATCAGCCCCCGTAAGCTGGGCCAGTCATGTAGCCACTTTTTCGAAAATATAACATCAAGGCAGTTTGGCCGAGTGGTCTAAGGCGATTGACTAGAACCGGATAGCAATTTATCCCATCGATATCAATTCTCTTCGGAGGCGGCGGTTCAAATCCGCCAGCTGTCGATTCTTCTTTTTGCTTTTTTTTTTAACTCTTTTTACTACTTTTTTTTCTTTTTTAAAAAAAGGAAATTTCCTGGTTCTTCTCTCCTCTATCAAGATTAATGAATGGCATCATAAAATTTAAGTCCAAAAAAATTTCATCTATACTTTTCACTCAAAAAAAAACAAAAAGAAGAATCGACAGCTGGCGGATTTGAACCGCCGCCTCCGAAGAGAATTGATATCGATGGGATAAATTGCTATCCGGTTCTAGTCAATCGCCTTAGACCACTCGGCCAAACTGCCTTGATGTCATATTTTTGAAAAAGTGGCTATATCAAGGGTGGATGAAGTAAATATTTAATTCCAAGGTGTCACATGGGATGAAGCCCTTCCGCTTAATAATTGTCCGTTCCCTCCAGGGCTCTGAACTCAGTCTTTTCCCCCGAGTCATGAATGCTCTGAAGCTACTCCAACCTGGAGTTCCTTAAAAACTAAAAACCTGGTAAAGTGATTGTGGTTCAACTCTGTGATGATTCATTGACTGCTGTGATGGGTACAATTACTTTATGGCTCTGAGTGCCAATTTCCTCGCTGGTAATCAATAATCAGGTGCCATGGTCTAGTGGTATGACGAAGCATTGTGGTATAGCAATACTGCTTTAGCCCCGGTTCGATTCCGGGTGGCGCCAATATCTTTTTGTCCCTTGTTTTTTTTTCCATTCTAAGTGTCACTTGGGTCTCAAGTGTTCTTCTTTCCGGTTTCTTTGTTTCTGTTTTGTTTTTTTAGGATGAGTGTACTTACTATCGAGGTAGTAAGCAAGATTTGAGGACCACTACCTATAGGTAAATGGCAAGTGCGATGTGCATTAATTGATAATCATGATAGCATACTCAATATTCTGTAAGTAGACACTTGAGGCATTGAAATCGACAGTTTCATCTCGCTCTCAAGCTCTAGTCCAAGTCAACCTTGGAGCTATATCACATCATCGTACAAATGTTCTATCTCTCCATTTCATTCAGAGGGGGAAAAACTCAAAGTGGCTTAATCGAGTCTGTGTTCGCCGGGTCCTTTTGATAATACTACTGTGACCCAGCCTCCCAAATCTTGCACCTCTTGAAATCAGCACTTCACCCTTGGAGCCATACTGAGAATTCATCTTTTTGACTTTGTTGATTAATTGCTGCGTTTTAGTGCTCTACCTAGCTCATAGTCTCAATAATCCCGAATTCAATAATCAAAGCAGCCTTTAATTCGCTGAAGGGCTCTTGGTAAAGATTTGCCTACTTGAGAACCTCACCATTTGAGCTATAAAGAGCATCCGGAATTTTTGACTAGTCACAGGTCAGTAAAATCTCCATCCATGAATCTTGAAACCCTTCCAAGGTTGGAAATGTCAAGCCAAGACTTCAGGGTTTTTGTAGATCTGTCTGCAGCAAACAAGAGCAATGGTGAATGAAAATGAAATCAAGCAAGGAGAAGGTCATTGAGAGTTCAAGAGGTGACAAAACTATTCCGGATAATATTCCCAGCACTCCAAGATCCGTAGTAGCACTTGAAATAGATAGATGGTTCCTCCAAGGGTATTTGTCATGTAGTCGACCAATTCGCTCTGGAATGGTTGGAATAGTTAGTGACTGTCCGATATAAAGTAAGACTTTACTATTTTGTGCCCCACATGTCTGGACCCTTATACTTTCAAGGTCCATAGTTGTCACCGACGAGCACTGTGGCACTTCCTCTAGCCCTAGTTAAGTGTGTCAGTTTCTCTTGGATAGGGGAACCATGATTTTTGGTCATGTGGTCTTGTATGTATCTTAATTGAGCCAGGCTATAGAGTTGTCAATAATAGAGACATGTTGCTAGGCGTAAGAGCAGTGCTCCTAGATGAATCGAGATTTTTTCGTGCTATATCAAGAAGTTGTCCGTTTGTTCTATGATGCATATAAATGAGTGCTTTATCAGAGGGGAACTTTCTCAGATATCTGGGGCTCGCATATGTGCTTATCAGAAGTCATATAGTGGGTTCGACTTGCTGGTCAAATCTGGTCTCCATACTGAGGTGAGGATTCACACCTGCACATGTGGGTAGTCACCGGCTTCAGATTATTATCCTAGTTTGTAGCCTGAGAGGAAGTGGACACTATGTATACAATTTCATACAGCCTATGAAGTCCGAGTCATGACTAGAAGTGCCGGTTGTGAAGCTCAGCCCTGTCTACATGCTACAGTGAATACTAGTATTTCCAGATTTTCCTGCATCTAGATATGGATTTATGTATGCCTATACATGTGCACGCGGCAAGCTCAACTCTGTCAGTGAAATGTGGCCACTACGACTGGTAAGAGCAAGTGCATCCCAAAGTAAGGTTGAGTACCTAGGTACCATATGGATGTCAAAATTTTGGGGAATCATGGTTGAGAGAGCAGCCCCAGCATCAGGACCAAAGCCATTGTCTGCCAGGTCTGTGCAAGGTATTCATGTTGTATAAAAACCTATTGCTGTATGCCTAGTGCATGTAAGATTTTTATAGGCTAGTTGAATAATGACTATGAATTCAAAAATGTCAAAAAATGTCAAAAAATGTCAAAAAATGGCGCCACCCGGAATCGAACCGGGGCTAAAGCAGTACTGCGATACCACAATGCTTCGTCATACCACTAGACCATGGCACCTGATTATTGATTAGTAATACGCAGACAAGATTCATAAAAGGAGTCTAATTAGCTGACCTGAAGAAATAATTTTTGAAAGACAAAAAAGAAATGGCGCCACCCGGAATCGAACCGGGGCTAAAGCAGTACTGTTATACCACAATGCTTCGTCATACCACTAGACCATGGCACCTGATTATTGATTGATTGCAGAATTTTGACCTTATTAGCCATGATCATAAATTATGCCATAATGCCATGGCTGTTGAGCTTGGATGCCCAAGCTGTCACCTCAATTTATGCTTTGTAGGTGGTCAAGAGTTCAATAGGGCTTCCAACATTTTCCAATGCGACTTTGCAAGTTCGAAATCACTGGCATGCACGTGGTGCGGGAATGTACGTTTCGTACTATCAAGGTGCTATATATACTTCCAAGGTTATGTATGTAGCTGGCTACCTAGTAAATCCCAAAACTGCCGGGTGCCAATCCCCGAATTATCTTGGAGGAGATAGATAGGTATTGAAACCCATGAAGATCACCCATAAAACATTGGAATAGTTCATGTAGTCGCCTCAGTGGATAAATATGACCTGTGCCATCATGTTGGTGTGTTGGTGCTCCACCCGCACACATGTACAAGGCTCGTCAATCGCACCTGGCACCCGTGGACATGTGCAGTGATAGCGACAGGCGTTCACTCCAGAGTATTTACTCTTCTAGACATCTCAATGGGTCAGATATTCTGCATGGTCCAAAATAGTAAGTCGATTCAACGAGTACTGTAATGGTATTCTTCCCGGCGTCATTGCCTCGACTTACATGGGCATATCATGATGTCATTCCCCATATCAGAGTTGAATTGATATAGATATACCACCGGCACCCAGTATGTACATGATACTACTAGTACATGCCAGTGTCTGCATCTGCACGTACAGAGCAGTGATAACATAGTACATGAGTCACGGTATTGATCTTTGTGTATCCACTTGATTTTCCATACTATTATTAGTATTGTTCTTTGTAAAACGGGGATTCCCACCGAGTCTGAATGCTCGTGAAGTATCACTGACGTCACTTGTCTTTTCATTATCCCAAGGATCGAATCAATTTAAAGCAATTATTTAGTCTACGCGGGGTTTTTAAATCTAGGTTGTGGGGATTTGGTCATTTGATTTCCTGAATCTTTTTCGCCTTCCTAGCTTCGCGGATATTTCAACCCAGACTCTTACATCTGACACTTAAACAACTCCACCTCTACTCGTCTTTCACATAATCTGCTTGACACGAAAGCAAAATGAACCCTCTCGCCTCACTGCGTATGACCTCTGGTCGTCTGGCTCGACTGAGCAATGCCATTCCAGCAACCTCATCACTTCACACAACAGCTGTGCGGACAGGCTTGAAGGAAACCGATAAAAGTCAGTGCTTACTCTCTCAGCCCAGGGAGATAGATATCAGCTAACTCTTGACAGGTCGAGATAACCTCTCAAGTCACTACGAAGCCGAGAAAGCCGAACACCTAAAGAGGACAAAGGATGGCACAGCGAAGTGGACAGAGGGATTGGCTAGTAACAGTGAGGCTGATGTATGGATGTTCTATAATCTGCTCCATGGAATCAACCATGACTAACATGTTGGGAATTTACAGGTGAAGGCAGATCGGGGCGATCTCGACGCCGATTGCAAAGACTTCCAACAGACGCAGGAGCAATTAAAGAAGGGTAAAGCGACTGGGAAAAATCATTGATTCAGATCATATTCAAATCAATTCATGTCGTTCGGCAGGGGCGGGTATGAATGTCGATTTACGATGGAAAAATTGAGAATGGCATGTATCTTGAATCTTGTAATGAAAGTTTCCTTTGACACACTATCAAGGATGCGCTTGCTGGTAGATGTAGTGTAGAAAGAAACACAAGAGTCTAAAAGGACTCGTCAAATCTCCAACGCCTCAAGTCATTCATACAACCCAAAAGGAGTGGTTGATTCTCATATAAACCAAAGAACGCCCGCTCATAGAAAGCCAGAAAAACAAGAGACATCCAAAAAGAAAACAGCAAAGTACATAGAGACCGGCCTATTTCAAAATAACAATCAAGATGACAAGGATTATAATCAAACCAATGATAGTCATCATGCTCCAATTCTCACCCGCCTTGCGCCGAAACCGGTCCAGCCGGCGGCGTGCGGTATCCAGTCGACCTTGATGTCTCTCGACATCGCCGTCCAGACCATCCAGCAACGCAACATGACCATCCAGCTCATCTCCAATCTGGATACTCAATTGATGCTGTCGCCCGATTGACTCTCCCAGCCGATCAAGTTGGTCATCCTGGTCGCGCATCGTTTGATCGTGCTGCAGATAGATCTGTTCATTGCTCAGATTTGACTGGTCGGGACCTGGCGGAGAAGGCTGATCGCGATAAGGACGGAAGAGGTTCTGTCGGTTACGATCTTCTTCTTCATCGATCTCCTCTTGCACAGCTGCAGCAGCGGCCGAGTTATCCATAAATCGCACGGATTTGGATGGCGGATGTTGAGGAACGGGCTGTTTCAGATCGGGAGAAGTGGAGTTCGACGCCTGCGCCGATTCACCGTAAAATTGGGATGATAGATCTCGGTATTGCTCGTGGAGGGGGTCGAGTTGATTTTTGAGCGCAGCTGCGCCGGCGCTATCATGGGAATCTGCTAGCCGGGCTTGCTCGGCTTCGATGGCTTGGATGCCCTCTTGAAGGGACTCAAGGGAGCGAGAAATTTCACCATCTTGTGCGTTTGGTTCAAGATCCAGAGATATAGCACGTTGTCGCTCTAGTAGAGAGAGTTTGATATGGTCGGCGAGGAGAAAGAGTTGAGATGGGTTCGTCATTGTGAAGGAGGTAGGTGGTTGGGGTCCGCTCAACGGAGATTGGGAAGTCAAAGCCCGGATAGAGCTGAGGAATGGGTCACTTGTGGAGACCGATGGAGACCTCTAGAGCGGCTGGGTCGATCAGTCGGAAGAAATCGTTTAGAATGGATGAATGTTGTTGGAAAAGGGAAAAGGATGAGGAAGGCAGCGATCAATGCCGAGTCTCACGGGTTATGCGATCTCCCGCTTTCCGCCTTTTAGTGTCCCTGATCCCCCCCGCATAATACACCTTACGCATTCTTACTCCTTCAAATACTCATTGTTGAGATATTGAAATTATTGCCTGTGGTTCATAAATCCTTTTTTGGAGAAGAACCTGGAGTTAGATGGTTACCGGGGAATCTGGTATTACCCTCATGGATCCCTTGTGTCCTTTACTCGACCTCGGTATCTAGTTCCCAGTTCTCCATTCACCTGCATTCCCGCATCCCCGCCTCTTTACGGTCCCTGCAGGACAGAACAAACAAGGGTGTGCTCTTAGGGGCAAAAATTGTACAAGCCTAGGTTTGGAGCTCAATCATACACGCAATGGATATACAAGAATTCCTGGCTCTCGGGGCCGAGTCCAACCCTGAAGGACAAGTCGACCTCCGCGCTCTCGATCATGTTTCCAGCTACGATTCCCACCTTATGTGCCCGATCTGCCACTGCCCATTCATTCAACCGGTGCGACTACAATGCGACCACGTTTTTTGCGAGAAATGCCTGCGATCAGCCATCACCACTGTCCACTCGGCCGACTCGGATCAGTTCCCGTGTCCCTCCTGCCGAACCCCCACCCGACACATCTCGATGAGTGTACCCCGCCTATTGATCAACATGTGCGATGAAATCCAAGTGCGATGTCCACTGGCTGAGAATGGGTGTCAGGAACTTGTTCCGAGGGGCCATATCCAGTCGCATGTGGAGAAGTACTGCGGGTATCAGTTGGTGCCATGTCCGGATGAATCTTGCGATAAGAAGACCCGGAAAAAGGATCTACAGGCGGAAAAGAGGTGCAGACATAGCTATTGTCGGTGTTCTCGATGTGAGGAGGATGTGATGGAACAAGACTATGAGGTTCGTTCTCATCCGTACAAATTCTTTTTGAAATTTCGACGTGGGAAGAGAGAAAAAAAGACACAAAAAAACTGTAGCTAACACAGCTGGCAACTTAGGAACATGATCTGGAACTATGTCCTAATCTAAGGGCAACCTGCGTCGACTGCGGAACAACGGTTGTACAACGGACACTGAAGAATCATATTGAGATTTGTCCTGAAGTAGTCAGTCCTTGCGCGGGATCGAAGTATGGATGTCAAGCCAAGATTCGGCGGGCCGAGATTGGAGCCCACGAGCAACAATGCTCTCTTGTCGCGATCGGTCCCTCTTTCGAGGCACAGAATACACGAATCAACTCTCTCGAATTGAATATGCGGCATCTCCAACAACGAAATGAGGTTTTCGAAGATGGGCTTGCCAATATTCGAACCACATTAATGGAATCATCACGGATTAATAGTCGTCATAACCCAGGACCGTCTGCAGATACAGAGGAATCAGCGGATCGTGCCTCTAATGCTCCCTCATCCAATGAAACAACGTATCTGCTTTCCCTTCACGAGTCCCTACGCGAGGAGGTTAACCAGATCACGTATGCTCTTACAGACCTAGATGCTCGCGCCAGCATGAGCATCATGAACGAGTGTTTACGAATCAAGGAAGACATGGCGCACACAAATGCTGCAGTGAATACTGTTCGTATGCAGGTTCAATGGTTGATGAATCCTCGACTTCACAACGACACACGGGCTGCAAGCTTGCGTGCCAATGGTGCAAATGCTGGGGCTGAAACCCGTCAGCTAATGACTGCATCTGCGCCTGGACCCAGCAATGCTGCCGGGGCCTCTTTAGGTCCATTACGGCCAAGGCGCCCCAGCGATGGTGGACGTGAGGGGAACCAAACTGTGAGGATCAGTTTGTCAAGATGTGTTTATGAGCGCTGCATTTTCTCCAGTCGATTAGGAGAGGGAGTTCTCGAGTTTCGGCTACTATATTTCCCAATAATTGGTAGTTTTAATGTTTCATGATAGAAATGGGTGGATTGGACTCTTTACAATTTAATCAGGTAGCTCAGGCTATTCCTACATATTTACTTTACTGAATAATACTCTTCATCAACACCCTTGGAGTCACCCAAGTATCAATATGTAGCAATATTATATTAGCTATTACTAGATAAAAAAGTAGTTATGCGCATATTATACCTGAAGACTGGTATCGACCTGAAAGCAAACCTTGAAATACCGGTTTTATCGCATCCATCTTCCTCCATATGAGCTTTCAAGCAAGAAATACAGGGTCATATTGATCCCCATCACAAGCAACCCAGCTGACTTCCATCATTTCAATTGTTCATCATGTTGTCGTTTTAGAGGTATGCTTGATTCAACAGTCTGTTGACTGGATACCTCAGTGGGTGAGTAGTTCCGCGGAGCAATTTCAACCGAAGAAGCAGGATACACCCAGTTTCGCGTGGACGTACTCGAGGATGGAGCCGCTTGGATGGGAGTGAAAGTATAAGTATAAGGGAACACCGGGTACGACGACGCCGTCTGAACACCTGCACTTGGGTAGTTGCAATATTGCGACGCAGACAGGGGATTCTCTTGAAATTCAGGTTCCTCCTGTTGTTCGTCCTCTTGATCTTCCTCCTTTTCCTCTTCTTCATCATCTCCTTCTTCCTCGGATTCATTCCCTTTTACCCGTTTCGCAGACACTTCAGTCCAGAGAGCACGCATGATATTCAACGTGTAGTGATCATCCTTTGAATCCCGCATTTCGCGCAGCTCCAAAGATAAATTATCATCCTCACTGTCAAGACTTTCCGAGATATGATCTGGAGTAGTACCTGGGCAAAATTCGGAGGAAGAGTCATGCTCGTGGGCGGGCTCATCGGTTATGCCCAATACACAAGCTTCATCATGGGCTAATTTAGTCTCCGAGGTATGATCTTCTTGAAGCCGAAAGTATTCCAGCTCCTGGTTTAAGTCATCCCGCTGCTTAATCAAATCTCCCTGCTCCTGAATCAAGGATGCCTGCCGGCAAATCAAAATTTCCCGTTCCTCAATAAAGTACTTCTGCGCCTTATTCAATTCTTTCCGGTCCTGAGCCAGCGCGGTAATGGTTGCATTGGCATGTCTCAACAGGTTCATCACGTAGTCGGTTGGTGCTGTGGAGTCGGAGTTGAGATTTTTGAATATGGCTATATTCGGGTCGGAGAAAAATTCGTTGAAGTTATTGATCATCTTGTCTATGGAATCATCTTCCAAGTTGTTGGGGCCATACAGGTACGGCCGATGTACCCTGTAGTCACTGTAGTATGAGTCTGCCATCTTGGTGGTTATTCAAGCTTGGAAATATTCCTGACACTTCAAGTTGTCTGTCTGGGGTCTTCAAGTTGAGGAGTAGGTGAAAGGAAATGCAAAATCCAAGTACATGGCTTCCTGTTTCTTTGGAGTTCTCGATTTTCATCTTCGCGTCATGGATGACGATGTGGGAAGAGCATAGAGACCGTGGGCTGAATTGTTCAACGTTTCATATTTCTATGGATCTGAAGTTTTAATGAGGAGCGGAGGTTTGGTAGGTTTAAATAGCTTATACTACGCACAACACTCTACACTCCACAAATCCCATTCTCCATCTTTGGTGATAATAAAATAAATCAAGTTCAAGAACTGAACAAAATATTCAAAAAGCAAAAAAAAGAATTCTCAGGTCTTTGTTTTTAGGAATAGCCGAAACGGGGGGGTCGAACCCCCAACCTTGAGATTAAGAGTCTCACGCTCTACCGATTGAGCTAGCCCGGCAGGGCTGGTTGGAAGACGATCAATTTATGGCTCCATAAACCATCAAGCTAAAATTCGATGAATGTTCAAGTTCCAAGGTTGTCATATAAGCACAGCTTGGAGAACGCCGACCAAAAAAAAAAAAAAAGAAACCACCACTATTTTTGAGTTTTCATGTTTAAATTATACGACCTCAAGGGCTAGTAGTAGTAGTAGTACTTCAAAAAAGTTTTGATAAGGAAAATACTATAACATCAATTTTCAACTAGAACATTGATCGAGGCAACATTTTGAATAATCAATATCTGCCATAACCAGTCTGATATCCATGATCCTCCTGTTTTCCATGATACTGCTGGCCCTGCCGAGGTGTTGAGCCACTTTCAGTCTCATCTCCATCCACACACCTCACACCATGACCTGAGAATCCACCGGGAATATAATTGGAGATCTTCTCCAGCTTGTTCAATTTATTCAGATTCGACATACCCGGAAGGTGAGAGATCTTATCCCAAGGTAGACTGGACTGAGATTGCTGTGAGCCCGAGTGCTGCTGCCCGGAAAGGAAAGAAGAAAGTCCACTCAGGCCACCGGACGAGTGACCCTGGCTTTGGCCCTGACTCTGACCGTGTCCACCAAAAAATCCACTGAATCCACTAAATCCACCAAGGCCTCCTAGCCCATCTGACGAGTGAGTCTGGCCCTGGCTATGTCCATGCCCGTGGGAGCTACCGCCAAGCGCAGCAAAGCCACCTTGTCCACCGCTGTGTGTATGTGGAACTCCACCAGTATTACGACCTGCCCGGACGCCTTCAGCACTGAGGACATCGTTGAGGTTTGCACCTCGATCTTCACGCGATTGAACCCAGTTATGCACGGCGTCGAACATCATGCGGTGGGCTTCGTTGTTCATATTGCGGAAGGCAGGGTGGTGAAAGATGCTCATACAGTCATTCAGAACCTCGTTATCGGAGACATCGATATGCTGCCAGGCATAGAGGATGCGAGGGGCAACGTATTTCACAATGACGGAGGCGACCTGACCGGCAGGTTCATTTAGGATATTGGCGAAGTGATCCTTGGAGAGTAAGGAGTGTGTAGGATCCGTGCAGTGAGGGTCAGTCCAGGGCTCGTACTGGTGTTTTCCTGAGGCGGTGATAACACCAGAAGAGCCGGATTGTAGAGACTTGGAGGCGAGATTGATCAGAGGTCGTATGAAGGGTGCAAGAAGCGACATGATGAATACTGTTAACGTCTCGGAGATCTTTTCAATAATAGTCTCTAGACCTGGGACCTTTTCAATGATTGAGTTGAGTTTACGAACAACTTTGTCCCTGAAGGCTAGAATTGGGTAGATCTTTTTGACAGTCTCTTGGGGATTGAAATTAGACTGGTCGGCACCTGGCGCTGGGGATGCACGGCTTTCGTCGACGCCTCGGAAGTCACTCATTTGAGCATAGCCCATATGAGAGCCTCTAGAGCGGTTGGCCACCTCTTGTGCATCTGAGATTTGTCTCAAATGCTCAGCTTCAGAGACCAGGTCCCTAGTTCCTGGGATCTTGCCCAACAAGCCAGTCAAGGCATTAAGAGAACCGTTGGATTGTGTGTTATTCTCTGCATCACCAAGGGCAATATCCATCTCATTGACTTCCGACTGAGTAAAGTGATCGGTAGCCTCACCCAGTACAGAATGGAAGAAATCAACCATACCAAAGGTACCAGTCACCAATGGGAAGATTTGACGTCCACGGACATTGATCTGAGTAGCCGAACCCGTATGCGAGAAGACGTTATGGAACCCCATCTCTTGAAGACTAAGCTCGCAGTAATTGGTATGTGCCGCAAAGTCCTCTAGAGTGTGAAGGCCTTGCCCAAGACACCGAAGAGCCTCACACAGATCCTCTTCATTACCCTTGCGATCTCCACCATGCGTATACATCCGTCCGTAGTGAATGCTGCGACTCAGACTGTACTTAACATAGGCAGAGCTGGTGGCCCAATCACCTCGTTCATTCGCGATGTAGTTTTTCATACCGGTCTCCATATCGATATCAAGTTCAACCTGACGGATGGGACCTCGTAGACGCTCGTCATATTTCCGGGCATCTTCATTGTCGGCATAGTCCTTAGGGTTACTGAGAAATGTCAATACCGAAATCCAATACAGGTTCTGGAAATTCCTCATTTAGAGCTTCACTTACTCGATATGTTCCTCAGGACGGTAGACTCCCAGTCTCTCAGACGTGACTTCAAATTCGCCAGTAGCATAACCGAAAGATAGGAAGGAGAGGACCCACACCAGGATACGAATTGTCTCGGCCTGGAGATTTTTCAGGGTCCCGACATCCATAGCCTGTGAGCTACACCAGTGTTAGCGGGGTAAATAAGGGTTTGTAACACCACAAGCCAAAGTCACTCACTAATCACGTAGCCAGTTCCCAAAATACACTCGCTTGATCATGGTCGAAGTCCATTTATGACCGGAAATAAATGCGATCGTTTTAAGCACATCTTCGATATCGCCATGGCGCCAGTTTTTACCCTCGATAGCTGAGATGGAGGCGATATCTAGTAAAATATTAATATTGCTATCAAAATTTGAAGAGCATGAGCACTTACTTCCAGCACCAAAGGCGTGGGCCTGGGGTAGGGAGCACTAGTACGCATAGCAGCAGGGCGGGGATGCTCGCGTGGAGGGGCATGGTGGGGGCGGTATTATGAAGTCTGCACAATATGATAGAAGCAGGTGTCACTCGCAATAGCTCATATGTGAAAGAGAAAATTGGGAACACTGAGTTCAATGGAGAAGAAGAAAATCATTGAACGTGGATTTGTCTCAGCTCGACCAGTCTTGGCGTAGATCGTGATGCCGCCCGTGCGTGCAGTTGGCGATGTCATTGATACCTGACGTGTACCAGTTGACTGCAGTACAAATTTAGAGAACACTGAGGTAACTATAAATTTCAGCCCAATATAGACCTAATACGATTCATACTTCCAAGGTTACCTAGATATAGATGGACTACTTCCATGATTGACTTATACTTGTATCATAATACTAGAGAAAGAACAGACGTACCCTGAGAAATGAGGATCAAGATATCTATTAGAATCCTGATCGATAGGAAAATTCAAGTTTCTGGCACAGAACTATGTTCTGCATTTGGGGGCCGGACTATCGATTTTCTCACCGACCATCTTCAAATCAGCAGGAATTGTTTTGCGTTGAAGCCAAATATCAAATGCCTGTGAGTAGAAAATAGCTTTTTACTGATGCTACCAAAATGTCTGCCTGTTGAGTGTGTTCAAGGTGCTTTGTCTCTCCCATATTGGGGGGTTGACCCAAGAGATTTGCAATCAGCCTGAGAGATGCCAATGATCAGGTATGAAATAAGTGCCCAATATCCTCAGTAGATAATGACCGTTCATCGTCGCCTAGACCAGCAGTAAATCGTACTCGCTTGGGATCTTGCACTCACACGAACCAGCCAGTAGATCCAATGATAAGTATTTGGCAGCACTAGAAGCTCTGGTAGTTCGGGGGCAATATTCATATCGCGAATGAACTCGAATTTGGGTGGAAGTGGAAGTGAAGATTAGCAGAGGAGCGAAAGAGTTCAGTATTATGGCAATACAGATTGGCTAAAAATTCCACAATATTGAATCATGATAGACGTAGGAGGACCTTCAGATATGCAATAATTGTGCATTATAGGGATGGACACTGGGCTCTGAAGCCATCATATCCATGTAGGAGTATCCATGCGGCTCAAAAAATTATTTGGACCCTGGATCCAACCATGTAAGATCCGACGGAATTCCGGATCAAGGTGACTCTTTTATCTGCAAAGCGGGTGTGACCCCCAGATCATGGTAATGCAACATACTGTGGGCACCTTCGAGGTCAGATTGCGGAGAACCTTGATGAAACTGAAACCCGGAGGTTTAATATGCTCCGATCTGCCATGCTCACGATAGCCACCTGGTTTATGGGGTTGTGGATCCACAGTAACATCGGGTATAAAAGTGGGATAAAAACAGTGGGAAGTCACAGTAGCAGTGGAGGTAGTATCATTACAAACAGTACCCCGCAGTGATTAAAGATAAACACCCAATTTGAACTTCAACTTCAAGTTCAACTTCTTCAGATCCTTTATATCAGGTCTCATCCGTCATTAGAGAAGAGGGATCTTGCAAAAGAGTCCTACAAAACCCACCATCTCCACAAAATGACTGAAACTCCCCACCTTGACGCCCTCCAACGCGACGGCTTCGTTGTCGTGCGCAACCTCCTCAACCCCTCCGAAATATCCCACTACCACACTATCGCGGCCAAAGCGACAACAAAGACTCGCACCGGTAACTGGCGGCACTTTCGCACCGTCCCTAAACAGTTCCCTCCATGGCCATCCACCCCTCCACCCGCCTCGGAAGGCGGTATCTGGGGTGTACAACACCTGCTACACCCTGATATGGAAGACCGCCAATCCTTCGCGCAATGCTACTTCTCCTCCTCAATTCTAAAAGTCGTTGAGGAACTAGTCGGTGTCCAAAATGCTGATGCAAACTCCGAGCCCCTCGTCATGGAACTATTCAATTTGCTCGTTGCGCCAGAGACCAAGGACTTTGAGTTGCGGTGGCACCGTGATGATATTCCCGAGACTGCAACAGCCGAAGAAGAACTAGCACAACTAGCAGCGAAATCGCCTGGTGGATGCCAATCGCATGCGCAGTATAACCTTGCTCTTTGCCCTGATGCGTCGCTGATCGTCGTACCCGGCTCTCATCGACGGGCGCGGACAGATATTGAGCGAAATGCCGACCCGCATGCGTCTCATTTACCAAACCAACTGGTTGTGGAACTTCAGCCTGGAGATGCCGTGTTTTATGATAGTAACATCTTGCATCGTGGTGTCTACAAGGCCAAGCCAGAGGGTGGAGAGGAAACAAGGCTAACGCTGCATGGTAGTCTGGGATTGAAGGCAGCAAATGGAGCGGGAGATGATGAGAAGAAGAAAGTCAGAGCTACTGCTGTTTTGCAACATGGAGTTGGGGCCTGGGTGCATCGGGATGATGCTGCGTTTGGAATTGGGGAGAGACCAGAGAGAATGAGGGCTAATTTGGTGGCCATGGGAACTGGAGAGGGAGTTGGATTCTCATTGCAGGGTTAAATTGAGAACTTGAAATTATCGATTATTTCTTGTATATCCCTTACTACTTACATAGTGAATGAATTAGACGTTGTGCAGATGACACTACTACTACCTTACAATTTTCTGCTCGGACAGAATTTAAAACTACTAGTAAGTGAAATAACATTTAGAGGAAGATACTTCAACTTTTCAATAATGGCAATTGAAAGCTACTGGTGAGTTGTTTGCTCACTCAACTAATGATGATATCAATGATTGAATACGTACCTATATACGACCTTCAATTTTAGAGCTTCTTGCTTTCTTTTTTCCATCTTCCAGCCTTCCACTTACTTCCAACAAACCTCACACTTGTCTGAGCGAGATACTCACCCTAATGACTGGCGAGGAGATTTGAGCTCTGGATACCTCGATGATTTCTCAATTATGCAGAATACCCTGAAACATAAAAACAGGGTACTCACTTCCCTTTCGTTCACCAAAAAATTATCGAAACAGATGAAGATATTCCATTTTCACCGGTCTCGATAAAGGAAAGATACGCGCAGCGACCAAGCACCACCAACGCAAACACCAAATACCCTCCCACCTTCGCGGCCAATTTAACTTCGCTACAAGGCTAAATGGCCAACTATCAATGACCAAAGCCGAAGAGAGCTTGAGATTATCTGGGGTCTTGGTACTGCGCCTTATAGAAAAAGGAGTCAGTGTCAACTCTTATCAGTTTGAGGTATTCTGGGCATGAAATGCTTGGATTACTGCCATGTTGAGATATGATATCGTGTCCTGCATTCGAAAGGAAAATGGCGCTCACCATGGTGGAAGCATTCCAATCCATGGTGGCTGCAAGATTGCTACTCTGACGGCGCTGCCTAGCGACTGTGGACATTAGCTGCTTTCCGAATAGTACTCAGTGTACCACAGAGGATAGTCTTGCTAACCAGGTCCAAGTAACCGATAGGGATTTACCGACCTTATCAGCATTGTCCCGTCCGAAGAGAGCACTCGGATTTTGGTCATTGAAGAGCAAATCGCCCTCATCAAGCAACAACGTGGTTACTTTACCTATTCCATTCACTCCAGTGCCCGAGATAGGAGGACCAGACGAGGGAAATGATTTGCCGTTAACGGGAGAAAGAAGGCGGAAAATGCACGGAGAGGTTTTGAGCTCCTCTCTGCTTTTTGACGTGATTGTCACTCGTAGAGAAACTCAGTGAGAGGCGTGAAGAAAAAAAAGACAAAGGCAAAGGCCATCTTGGAATCTAGGTGAGGAAAGAAATCTATGCTGTTATGCTGGTGGAATCACTCTAACCCTCGCTCTGAAGACAATCCTGAGCTTTTTGAGGCTTTGAATGCTTTGAGCGCCAGACCGCAAAACCTGCTGCAAGATACAATTCCAGAATTATTGGTTCTATCACAAACCATCAGGATTTCTTGCAAAATCATTCAAATTCAATCTATATTCAACATACAGAAAACAAGATTGAATTCAAGCCTTTCTGAATACCTTGGAACATGGCTGATGTTCATCAGCGGTCGACTGTCGTGTCAAAAACAAGGACATGCGAATCTGGAAAGCACTGAATCTCCAGGAGTTTCAAAAAATCATCCTGATAACTGCAATCCCAGTATTCAACTCAATTGATGCAAGTTTTTGGAAAGGTACAATCCATGGAATTGACCATTACTGACTCATTTTCTCAGCGCAATTTTGTGGTAAGCCCCAACCTTGGAAAATAAAGGGCTGCAGAAAGAGATCTCGGAGTTAAGGGAGATGATTATGCCAATTCTGTTGGGTAACCCAGAAGAACCTCTATGACACAGAAGATGAAGCAAGGCATATCATCCGCCTGATGCCTAGCGACGAGGCCGCCCGCTGGCGCGACCGCTGTGACCTCTATTCGCTACCCTACTCTCAAAACTGCTTGTGCTTTTGCGATCACCTACGATCCGCCCGCCTGGTTATGCCCTTGAACTTGCTATTTGTGCTCTTGCGATCACCTATACTTTGCCTACCTTCTTATGCCCTTACAGTCGCCTAATTTGCCTACTTGTTTGTCCCACGCCGAGGACGCGGTGCTTTCTTTTGTTTGTGGCATTGTTGGGTGACGGCACCCTTGTCAGATGTTTTGACGGATCGGAAGCAGCCCGATCGCGTCCACCTAGGTATGGGTCGTGCCAGATAACAGAATGAACAACCATCTTTAGATACCACTACTCGTAACCGACCTTACAAATTCTGGCGAGTAAGGCAACCTCGTCTGCCATAGAGCCGGCAGTGTCTGGAGGATCTACCACCAGAGAAACAGCCATGGTCAAAAGAAAAATGAGTAAAAATGAGTAGTCAGAAATTGATACAGGACAATCCAGGTATCTTCAAAATGTTGAAAGAGGCCTAGTCAATTGATTCAAGTTCAGAGGAGTTTACCGCATATCGATTTACCACTCCAGAATAATGGTTGTTCGGTAGAGGTCACATCGCTTCATATCGACTAGTTTCAGACTGAAAGCTCCGCGATTCATACAATCGATTTGGCAATTTGAGACCCTTGGAAATTTCCATAATGACGCCCTACCTCGCTGATCACAGCTAGCAAGGAAGGAAAATGGTTATGCTTGATCCAGCTCGAGGACAGACACATAGCTGAGCAAACGAGATTATCGCCACCGGAGACGACACAGGAGTACAGGAACGATACTTTGGTCACAATCTACAGTCTATCGACCTTATATTCGCTAACTGCAAATCTCCTCCGTCCCCAAATGATCCTGTCCCAGATTTTGGACTTATCGATCCTTCGGCCACTAAAAAGGTAGTCGGTGAATTGAAAGTTCTGTGGCTCGAGGCCCATAATCTTGGCTAGTCAAAAGTTATTGTGGAATGCGAAAGGAGAATGGTCAGGGGTTGCTCCAAAAACGACAAGGGGAAGCATAGCACATGAGGGCAGGGTCTCCCACTGGACTCTAGACAGGACTCCAGTTATTGATCCGTCCTCTCACGTCTCATTCTGCTCAGCCCACATGATAACCAGCCATTACCCTACATCATCCCAGTCTGAGCTCCGTCTATTCTGCTGCTATCCAGCAAGCTATCGTCATTGCTGCTATGTCACCGAAGTATTACACAAAGATTGTGTAACGAAATGACATCGATGAAGAAACATCGATCTCATCTTGCCTGGACTGATTTGGGAATCGAAAGCTAGTAACTCATCACGCCGATCTCAGGTTGCGCCCGTTGACAAATAAATTAGCAGCATTGAGAAACCAACACTCACCATTCAGTGGAACTGGGCTGATTGATTAAATGCACCTCGATTCGTGGTGATTTCAGAAGGCCTTGGGGCATAGTAAAGTGGACTGGGGCTTTTGAATAAACAGGATGAATCAGTGTCTATTCAGTCTCGTCAAATTTTTCATCAGTAAGATCAACAGGCCTGGCAAAACACACTCATATATTGCTGCTTAATCGCTAAGGAATTAGCTATCGGACTCGATGAGGTGAACCCGGAGGGTAAAAAACTGGCCCAAAAATGAGCCCAAAATTTCATGTCGACTTGGGGGTTTTCGAACACTTCGTCGTTATGTACTACGGTACAGTTGGCTTTCACAGTTTTTTAAAAGCTGCGCGGTGGATTAAAAGCACCAGAATGACAGTGGAAAATTCTAGAGAGCTCTTAAGGCCGGTAAAACGGTCCCCCAGGTCAGCCTTTCCTCCATCTAGATAGGTTTTTCTCCGGATACAAGACTAACGGTGCTCGAGAGGCGAGTTGAAATGCTTAAACAAACTTGAAGTCAGATAGTTGATAATCGGCACAGAAACCTTGTCAAGCTGTATAGGGACTCAACGCCATTGCAAAGAAAATCAGAATCGAACTGGACGAATGACACAGATTATAGAAAGATACGACTGGGCGAAGGTGTGGTTTGACTAAGTAAACACGGAACTCATGAGGCTTAGTGAGTCAGCATTGGGAGAACTCAGCAGCCTACCTAGCGGCTCTTGAAGAACATTTGAAAGCCTAGACACCCCGAAGGACTGACACGTTCTCCCTCAAGATTATGGAGAAGACGTTATTAATCAATGATATACCTACCCTCTCGGTTATTTTTATTATCATGGGCAATGCCGGTAGTACATAGTACTAGTATTTGAATAATTTAGTAAATTATTAGTTGCGCTTTAATAGCGGCCGTATTTCGATTTGTAGGGCAATCTGATAATCAGACTGACCACATAAGAACTAGTTTCTAGTTTCATGAATCTTGCTACTGATATTCTCAAGCAGTACCGGTAGCGAGCTGAACACCACTAGGCAATCCCATGATCTGTCCCGCTACACCCTGATCGCAAGTCCCAAGGCTTGCCCCAACAGAATCAACCAAGCAGTCTCCACTAGCACTCTTCAGATGGCCGGTAATAAAGTGTGACCAGCTGGTACCAGAACCAGAACCGCACGCCACAAGCAGAACAGACTTATCCTTCGAAGCAAGACACTTCGAGGTATCCGATAACGGGCTCAAAGTAAGTTTGCTACCTGAACCAGACACGGACCAGACTTGAGAGTCTGTAGCATCGCAAGATGTGAATGTAGCCTTGCCTGATGAAGCAGTCAAGCAGCGTCCGGAGGCTGTGTTAAAGATCATACCCGTCGGCGTGATCTTGATACATCCACGCGGAGGCGTGATGCGGTAGACACTTGTAGCATGTGTATCCAGAGTAACCTCAACAGAGCCCTTGATAGTTTCCACAATACCGGTCCAGAGATCCCGTGCACGGTACTTGCAGCTGGAATCCAGACCTAGTTGTGTCACTGGGATAGTTGTTGTTGCAGTATTGTTCCCGCGGTTTAGCACGGTTAGCAGTCGATCACCATTTGCCAATGAGCGAGTTAGGACATCGAAATTGGAATCCCGGGTAACTAGAGCAGCCTGTTGAGCCAGTGCATCCTGATCAACATCGATGAGATCTTTGTTCTTCAGGAAAGTAATGACCTCTTCCGGTAGTGCTGGGATGTAAGCACTGATGATCAATGGCGCACCGAACGACGCCCACAGGGCAAAGTGAGATTTCTTCTCATCTTCTGTCAGACCGGGGTGATCGGGGATTAGGAAGTCGGGATCATTGTAATAGCCTGGCTGTTGATAGCGGACAAGCTGAATCTGGTACCCGTAATTCGTCATGATACTTTCCCATGCACTCCCAGCACCACTGTACACTAGGATATCGTCTGAGTGACGGGCAAGTTCGCCATTATACGGAATCCAATCCATGACCCGAGCCCACTCTGTCTCATTTGTGGAGAAGTATGCCGGTGCAGACTCAGAGAAGATCAATGGCTCAGACATATCGCTTAGGATCTTGTGCCACTCGCTGTAGAGATACTTGTACTCATCTCGTAGGAGACGACCATCCTCAGCGTAGACATTACACCCATCCAGCTTGAGGTAGTCAATTCCCCAACTGGCGAAAGTGTCGGCATCTTGTTGTTCATGTTGGTAGGAGCCTGGGTATCCACCACAGGTAGCATTTCCAGCATCCTCATAAATACCCAAATGGAAGCCGAGCTCATGGGCATAGTTCGCTAGCCATGGTATACCATTTGGGAACTTGGTTGTATCCCACTGCAAGGAGCCGTTGGCCGCACGATCATGCTGCATCCAGCAGTCGTCGAGATTGAGGCGGTCATATCCTGCATCAAGTAGACCACGGCTCAACATGGACTGGGCGCTCTCAGTGAAGAGTGTCTCATTGAGATCACATTCAAATCGTGCCCAATTGTTGAATCCCATTGGAGGACTAGGAAGTAGACTTGGATTTTCCACTGATGCCTGAACTGGCAGCAATGGAACCATCAGAAGAGCCATTCTTGTCGGCCAAAGGGTGGATGAGCGTTTCATGGTATGTAGTCTTTGAGAGGTAGAAAAGAGAGTCAAACTAGGTAGAAGCTGTAGTATAGAAGAACTGCACTTTCAGAGCTGATATTTGCATCCAGGGTCCTCCAAGCTGACATTTTAAGCCCTGACATGCCTTGTACCTCCTCGTTCCCCCGCACCGGAGTCCCGTCGCTGCAGATCGGCAAACCCAACGTCGCCAACAAACAGTGGGGGAAGTGGTACTCAGGGACTGTCACGGTGGCATCGATGATAAGGATATTAAGTCCTCAGATGATTGTCAGGGTCGAGGCTAGTCAAGTGTCAAGTCCATGCAGAAGTTGTACATGTACCCTGAATCCAGAACCTAGCATGGACAAGTCTGAGCGTTCCGGATCTCGGAATTCCTTTTGTCAGTGCAAATATGCGGAGATGCACAAAAGCACAGAAGCACCAGGGTCCAATGTACTCCGTACACCGTACTTTGTGTGATACCGCCTCTCTCTCTCAGCCGAGATCAGGATCAGCGGTCTTATGAGATGCATCACATCGTGGTCTGTAGAGTCTCCTTTCTTGTTTTACCCATGCATTTCCCGGATTCCAATTTGTTTAATGCATACGCAGCACAAGAAGTTAATTCATGTTCAGCTCAGCCCTGTATGGAATGTCATTCCTGCAGGGGACGAATTTCCCCCCAGTTTTTAAGGTCCAACGGCTCAAGCGGGGACTCTTCATGATCAACTCCCCATCTTTTTGAGAGGGAAAACTTGGAATATCTTTAATTGCTCTCTTCTTTCTTCTCCATTAAATGTGGAAATGCCCCAAGATTCCAAGACGAAGATTCGACCTCAACAATCTTGTTTGAAATGTCGCGAGCGCAAGGTTAAGGTAGATTTTCCCCTTTAACAAAGGACCCTGAAACCCCGAAAAACCCCACTCATCTTCAGCAATTTTGATTGCTTTTTCTTCTTCCTTGCATTCGACTTTTCTTTATTCCAATTTATTCATATACGCTAGTACTAACATATACTTTATCTATAGTGCGATCGCTCAATCCCTTGTCACGCATGTATCATTCGTGGCCTAGAAGCAGAATGTACATACCTGACTACACCTGAAGACCGTGAACACATTAGCCAAGCAGAGATCATCGACCGATTACGCCGTGAAGTCGCACAGCTACGTACACAATTATCGCATGGTCCCAAACCAAACCACAAACCTAAACCATACCCTCAACGAGCATCGAGCGCAGATCGCAATGCTAGTCGTAATCGCGCTCCGTATGCGCGACCGTCGGGATACGATCGGGGAACTTCCCAGGCGCCTGGATTTATCGGAGTGGAATCGTCGGCGACAACCTGGTCAGGATCGTCACCTGGGTCTACAGACACAATGACAAATTCTGCAATGACGGTTAATAGTCCTGAGAGTACGGGGAGTGGGAGTGGAAAGGGCAGTGGCTCTGTTTCGGCTTCTGTGTTTCCGGGATCGACGGGTCCATTTGGGATGCAGATGGGGGATGCTACAACAGGGACAGCTGCAGCTTTCATTGGAGCTAGTGAGTGGATGCTTTATTTCCTTTTCTTCTCTTGACGAAGCTAACTTGCCTGATTTGAAGATTTCATGGACGATGCGACCTTAGCAGCCTGTCACGGAGGAATACCAGCATTTATGCCGGCTGATACTATCCCAACCTCGATTCCATTGCAGAATATACACCCACACCCAGTCGATGCATCAGAGATGAATAATACACACCTATATCGAGATGAAACTCCACACTCCTATACTATGCATAATGGAGGCAGCTTGAATGCGCATTACATACACCCAATGCATATCCCAGACTTCATTCAGATGGGAATCGCCCCAGAGATGGCTAGTAATGACTACAAACAATCTCAAATATATCCCCAAAATCAGCAATGGGGGCTGGGACAAGAAGCTGTACCAACACACCCATACGCAAACTCATATTATTCATCTTCATCTATCGGTGCTTTTGCTCATACAAATGCAGATTCAAACGCCAATATCTATCACTTGCAGCAAGGGCACACCCAGAGTCCGCCAACTCAAATCCCTCATCAAGATAACCAGCCACCGGAATTTCAGATCCCGAGTTCTTGGAAGGTAGACGGGAAGGAGGAACTGCTGGAGACCTTGCTTGAGACAATTAGTAGTTGTGATGAGGCGCGGGTGGCGCAAGTTATACAGGTCGTCAGGACTAGTGCGTCGCCAGAAGATGCTGTGTCGGGCATCTGTCAAGTGTTGGGGATAAGTGCGAATGGGCGATGATCGCTGGTCGAGAGTCACCCCAGGAAACAAAGACATGATTCCATATTGACTCTTCTGAGTCATGTAACTCTCGCGGTCTTTCAAGGCACCGCCCATGATTCGGTGGTATAAAACCATCACTGATACCGCCTACAGTTCTCGAGGCCATATCAAGTCTAATGCATAAAAAAAGTAACTCCTTTATAGTGATGCCCGACGAATGTCATAATGTCGTAAGTCGTCAAAGGTTGAACGCGTCTTCGGAATCATCGTTGTTGTTCGGTTAGGCCTCATGTTGGAGTATCGGATGAAGATCCATTGGTCTCATCCACCGGGCGCTGTCCATAGATGAAATGGAAAAGCACATAGAGATGTATCTTCGTGTTCATCAACTCGGCTCGCACCTTCTCCATATGCTCCTGCGCCTCTTGAAAGGTGAATCCCAGCACGCGAGTAAATAGTGCCAGGGTATACGGCTCGACCACCTCCATGACGGTGAGTTTCCCCAATCGACCGATTTCTTTAAGACGACGATCCTTTGCCCACCCTCCAATGGGACACTATAGAAACCAGTCAATCAGAAAAGTTCACTGTGTTTCCTTCCCAAATTAAACCCACTTTGTAAATATCATCTGTAACATTCGCAAACCCCTCCGCCTCCATCCAAGGCCGAATGTGCGTGGCAATGTTGATTTGCTTCCCAAACTGCTTACTCGCAACATTCAATCTCTCCAACCACTCCATCACCGCCGGTGCATGCTGATGTGTATTATCATCCGACGTAAGCAACGTCTCGAATTCTTGTATCTCAACCCAGCCACCGGGTCTTAGATGCTGAAAAGACTGTCGAAGTAACCGTGGCCAATCCCCAATACCACCATTTAAACTCCTTGCGTGAATATAATCAAATGCCTCCCCCGGCGCAAAAGTCCAATCACTCTCTGCATCATCGATATAGAAGCGGCAATTTGGTGGGGCCCAATTAGGCTGAATGGGACTTAGATCAGTACCGATGATTTCAGCTGTGGGGAAGTCTTCCGCTATTTCCAGGGCCCATTCCGCGGTACCGGTGCCGATATCTAGGATTCGGCGGGGGAGGGGCGTTTGTTCTTGAGGTTCGTCACGAGGACGGATCGGAGCACGGTATAGGTCGCCGCCACTGATGAGTTTGAAAAGTTGGTGAACTAAAGCGAGTCGGTCTTGTTCTTCTTCATCGTTCGGAAATGGGTATTGGCCATGTCGGTAGGCGTGATAGCGGCGGCCATTCTCGTAGCAGTAGTCGCGGACAGAGGAGGCGAAGGAGAGGTTGGATCCTACGCAGGATTTGGTCTCGAAGAGCGAATCATCGTCGCTTGTCTGTTGGGATGATGTTAGGTGAGACAGATTGAGGGGTTGATGGTAAAGATGAGTTTGTTGATATCGGCAGAACAAGGGGGAAGAAGGGCGGAGCTTGGGAATATAATCCACCAGTTGACGCAGATGGTAATGATATGAAAGAGACAAAGGCGATAAAATAAAATAAAAAATTAATAAAAAATCAGAAATTTCACTTACATCCACTTGTATTTGTTGATGAGGATTTGGTTGGGACATGATAAAGGGGAAAAGAAAAAGCCCCAGAAGAGGGGAAGATGAAGCTATATCCACCTGAGCAGGAGAGAAACAACATAATACCGAGAAACAGGATCCCGGGAACCCAGAAGAGCGGGTGATCCATCACAAGGTAAAAGACTCCACATTATGCATATTAAGGAACTAGTCCATGTATCTGGTTTAATTGATCGCTTCTGTTACTACATCGGGATATTGCCCGTGGTGTATTTGGGGTATTTGAACGGACTCGGAGTAATCCGTAGTATTTATTCAATAATTTACCATATTGACTTGGATTGGCCTATGAACTCTTCAGAAATAGACAAAGCCTGAAGTATTTGGTACAAAGAGAACTCAATATACAGAGATCAGGTGACACTATATGATAGATCTATCAATCTTGTCCATGTGGAACCTTGGAAATGATATAGCATGCTCATAGGATCAGATAGAATGAAACCCTTTGCGAATTCAAAACTCAATGATTTCTTGATACGTACTGGCGAATATTCACTTGTCTGAAGGCGTGTAGCTCCTCGTATCACAGGTTCTACAAGAAAAGGCATCAATGATGACTAGGGAGTTGATTCAAGTAGTTCCCAGGCTTGCAGCTTCTCCAAACAATTTTGATATGAAATCTGGCGAACTGGGAACCCGACCTCGCTGAGAAGAGTACAGAGTCTTTCCATATTTGTCATAAGATCTATATGTGGCTCGCTGATAGTAAAAGAATGCCCGATATAGGATTATCGGGAGCAATATGCGAAATGCAGCGCATACTCCGTACATAGTCAACAGTGACGTAGCATGGTTCTCAAAGGGAAGTTCAGGCCAACAGCCCAGCTGGATACATTCAATAATCATTCGACTGAAGAAATCATCGGGATTGCCTGCTCCGGCCTTGCTATCACCGACGACAACCTTGGAAGTCCAGGACGGTAAATAATAAGCGGGAGGCCCTTTTTGCGAACTCGCTGCGCCATTCAATCTGCCATCTACTGGCTCTGTGCATAGTCTGTATTAAATGGCAATGAAGCGAGGTGAATATTGAAGGTCTAACTAATCCGACTGCGTTGTCATATCTGAAAATACAACATCAGACTAAATACCGTGTGCCATCTCGGCCTGGATATTATCACCCACTATAGCAAGCGATATCATTTGAATGTTCGAGATTCAATCCAGGGCTATACAAGCCATACTATTACTAGCAGATGATCTATGCTGTGAACGAGTAGCTAATGGAAACAGTCCATCATGACGAATCAAAAGCAAACAATTGCGATATCAGGTGTCTCTTTTAATCTAGAACCTTGGAAGAATGCTAGTGGTATATCAAACTTGAAAGAATCGATTAAAGTACCTCAGGACCGATCTTGTCTATTGGAAGCAGTTTGAATCCTTGGATATCCTGATTCTTACTTTCTTGAAAATGTTCTGAAAGTACAGATTCTGATCCATGGATTCTTATAATGCCAGATTATGGCAAACCAAATTGGATCCACGGAATCCTTCATTGAAGAGAACCGAGATACCATGTAAAGGGATGAGATGATTCGAACGTCATACTTATTTGGTTTTAAAAGGTCCTCAAATGCACATCCCATAGACTACAATACCCCTTTACCAGTTCCCCCGAGACAATGACAGACATAACCCAGGAACAATATCTGGTGGATGCGGTTCCATTTCATCTGCACCCAATACGAGAATATCCCTATACAGATTCAATCAATCCGCACTCCCGGAAGTTCCGAGTGGTCAATTTGTCATATTGGAGCCAAAGATGGTCTACCTTCACTGAAAATAAAAGATACATGATTTTGAGAGACGACCTGAAAGCCAACAAACAAAAACTTCAGACCAAAGCTCTTGACATCAAAACACAGCTCCTTTCAGCGCTTTCTGGAGCCATAGGACCAGGTCCTACTCCCATACTCTCCTTGGAAAATGAGCTCCTGGATAAAATATACGACCATATCCTTCTTATCGACAAAGTCTGTCTATCTCTTACTTGCAAAAGATTCTACGGCCAATTCAGGACAATCTCAAAGCACCCTGAACTGGTCTTCCCTCGGCTTTTATTCGTTCGAGCCCCGATCCTATGCGTGAATAGTAAAGAGTTACTACGAAATCAACTTTTACTTCGACTTGAGAATCGCAAATGGGTATATTGTGGCGACTGTTTGAAGCTCCATCTTCGCAAAGAGTTCCCCAAAGCTGTTCTCAGGGCCCCAAGAATAGAACGGCGATGTCAACCCGAAGCCGGAATAGTGGATTTATGTCCATGCATCGCCTTGACGATTCGGCAACGAGATAAAATCATTGAAATGCTGGAATCATACAAGGGATCCTGTGAAACGCAATACGGATCTCTGAAATATGGAGCCGACGGAAAACCTGCAATTATACACAATTGTGTATTCAGCCTTAGAGATGGCTACACAATAAACATCTTGATGAGGCTCTTCTTCCAAACGTCCAAGAATCAACCTCCAGCTATTGGTCTATGCGCTAAGGGCCTTATAGCAGAAACGGCATACACGGTCTCGTTTTCTGGAACCAAGTCCCATCTCACGGCTGAGCCGATCTTTGCATGTCCACACACAGACCTTATGTCCTTGATTCGCTGGCGGGATGTGTGTAAAGCTTGTTCTCATTGTTGGAGCTGGATTGAACGATCTCCACTGGTATGGGGTCGTACAAGCCCGGTTGGGTATAAGGTCACACGATGTCTAGGAGGGTATGAGCAGCCTGCGGAGCTCAATGGGAATGAAACGCGGACATACTGGGAGAGGAATTGTCGATTGACAAAATCAGAATTTGCGTCTTATAGAGATTATTGGTATGTGGAAGAATGTACTTGGAATGTTAAAAATTTACTGATCCAATAATGTTTTAGGCAATCGTCGCATGATTTAACCAGGAGTCTGCGGGGAGTCCATGCTCAATGGGAAAGAGATTATTGTCTGGAACAAGAAAGATTAGTTCGACTCAAGATGGAGAGGCACGAGAAACAGTCGCAGCTCTCGAGGGCTATACCTGCCGTTAGGAATAATGACTACATGGTAGCGACAATGCCAATCATGGAGGCGGCGATCATGGGGGCGGCGACATCAACAACAATACTGGCTGCGAATCAATGTATCAACCCGTCTTGTTGACAACCAGTTCTGAGAGTACTCGGCGAGTGGTCATAATTACCCGGCTGCTATAGAGATTAATGACAAATCGCAGGTTTAAGGTCCTCCGAGGTTTCAATATTTGAAGTGAATCAACTGAGCTTAGGCTCTAGAGCAGTGATGGGTGTAGAGATTGACTCAAAATGGAACCTCTACTAGGAGAAACTTGATATGTGGAGATTAATCTGTATCATGATGTAATTTGGTATCTGACAGCTCACTTCACTCGCAAATAGACTCGTTCACATTGGAATGGATGACATTTCTAGGACATGACTTATGTTTTGAATTGTACATTCTTCCCGATATCAACCTAAGCTCTGCAGCTTAGCCTGCTCATTCGGTGTCAAGGATGCATACACCTCCTGGAATCCAGGTTGAGTAGATGCGCGACGGAAGAAGTCAGCAAGGAATGCCTGGGTTTGGTCGTCTCGGCGTCGCACCCCGAACACACTCTCAGAGCCCCCCTTCACCCCAGCTCATCAGGTCTTGCTTGGTCATGCCCAGACCAAGGTCCAAGACCTGACCAGGCTCATCCTCCCAATCATCATCGCCATCATCACTGTCAACATCGTCGAGCTGGCGGCGAGCAGCCTCACTATCGATGTCTGCATTACCTGAAGCCGCTCCCAGCTCTTCTACGAGGACCTTGATAATCTTCAAGGGCGCCGAGACGGTTGTGAAACGGTCGGGGTTCTGACGAGCCTGCGAGCGTGTCTTGATGCGGCCGGTCTCCTGGATGATCAGGTCACCCTTGACAGGGACCTCGGCCAATCGTGGGTCGGAGAGCTCATACAGATGCGCCAGCGCGAAGATGTTCTGCTTGATCTCATCGTAACCCGCGAAATTAACCGAGTTCTCCAACCACTTGCTGAGAACCACCACGAGGCCGCTGGAGCCATTCAGGTTGATCTGAGCAAGGAAGTCGACCACCTCACGGGCACTGATCAGGGTCAATCGGGCGAAAACCAGAATTAAACTTTGAATGAACTGGGCCTGTCGTGCAGTTGCAAGGCGCTGGGCGACAGCTTGGAGAAGCTGGGGCAAGTAAGGACCGAGGCGCTCCGATCCAGCCCGTTCAACTAACTCCGCAGCAAGCTGGCCGACTTCAGTAGCAGCGTTGTCGTCCACTGTTGGTCCCAATAACCGGTCAATGATCACTAGCACAACCTCAATCGCCTCCTTTCCGGACTGAGGATCCCTCCATGAGATGATCTGCGCAAAGTCGTGGGAAAGCATATGGCGAACAGCCTCAGTTGCGGGTCTGATGAGCTCGCCCTCATCGGAGCCCAAAAGAAGGCGGTTCAGCTTGGGCATCACTGTTTCCACAAATCCAGCAGGCATAGGCTCTGGACTTTTCTCGGCCAGAGCTCGGAGCAGGTCCGCCGCGAAGTTGGTCAAGGCATTTTCCTCAGTAAGGTTACCAACATCAATGGCACCCATGAGTGAAGGCAACACCTTCTCGCAAAGTTGCATGTATGCCTCGGCACCATGCTCGGAAATCCGATCCACAATGTCCTCAAAGGCCTCCGTTACGGTCATGGTCAACTGGAAGTTCTCGGCCCCGCTACTGGCGATGTTGAAGAGAACGTCGATGGCAACTGATGACAAGACCACAGCTGGGTCTACCATGATGATTTCACGGACGGTTTCTGCCAGTGTGACCTTGAGATCATCACCCTCGACATCTTCGCGCAGGTCGTGTGCAGAGATAAACTCCGAGACGGCGGAGATAACAGTCACCTGGAACGGACGAGACACGGAAGCAGGCAGTGACGGCATCAAGTCTTGCAATACTCGAATGCTGGCAACCTGTACGACCTCCGAGGGATCCTCAGAGATAGCCTTCAATGTAGCCTCCAAGTAGGAAGTTGTAGTCTGCTGGAAGGCATTGCCTGCAACTCTGGCAAGAGAACCGGCCACAAGGTAGCCTCGTGCGCGCAAAAGCTCTTGCTCCTGCTGAGTTGCGTAGTTCACAAACTGGTTGAAATGAGTGGCCAATTCCGGGGAGATCTGCTGATCCGTCTCAGCGAAATCGCGCAGCAAGACATTGAGAATGTAAAGGGCGGCCTCGCGAGATTTCCAACTTCAAGGAGCATTAGTATTAGCCTGAAACATCGGTGAAACCCACTGGGCATATTTGGTAAATACTTACGAAGACGTCGGATCAGCAAAGAGCGCGTTCAAGTGAGTCAGAAGGCCTTCTGCTACTTTCGTATTCAACCACTCTCCTGTTTTAACGACCAGATCACCACTGCATGTTCGGGGGGTGTAATTGGCAGTGACGGAGGTCTCCTCCGAAAGGAACAGATTCACATCAATTTCCCAAAGACCCTCTTCTTCTGAGGTGATCTGAGCGTAAGAGCTAGCGAGCTTCATGATCTCAGGCAACCAGCCAGAGGAGCTGGCGGCGGCCCCGGCGTTCTGAAGTTGCTGTTGTAGTTCGGCCTTAACAGGGGGAGCCTTCAGCAAGGTCTGAATTAGGTCCAACTCTTCGAGAACAAGGAAATCAAGAGAGTAAGGAAGTCCATCGGCATCTTCCAAACGGGCTTGGCGCTCATCCTCGATGAAGAAGTTTTGATAGAGAGGCAAAGCATTTGTGAGTTCTGACCAAATAGTCGAAAAGTAGTTCGGGCTCTGAGGGGTCAAAAGACCTGGGAACACCATGCGGATCTTCATAATGGTCTAATTTAGACGGATCAATTTGTCAGTAAATTGACGGGCTAAGTGATCAAAACCAAATTGAGATCTTAATAGAACGAATTTCATACCTTGACGATTTGAAGCTTCAGACCAATGATGCCGCGCCACTGCGAGGCAACTTCGCCTTCCTTGTTGGCCTCTTCCTCACTTGGTGGTTGAGGCAGTGGTGCCTTTAAGGTCTCAACGAAGAATGGCGACCATCCACTTAGAACCTCATCTACAAATTCCTTGATAGCAACCTTGTGCTGCTCCAGAACCATCTCTAATGTATCAAAGCAAGACCGGAAAGCCGCGACCGACAAAGCTCGCAGCATCGGGCGCCGGGATTCGGAGGTAGCTACAGCGAACAGAGCTGAGACCAAGTCACGAGCAACACTGAAAAACTGCTCTTCGCCAAATCCTGTATCGACCAGATCCAACAGGACCTTGAGGGCGCCATGTAACGCGCTGTCAGTAGCGGCGGGGTCGTTGATGATGTGCAGCAGCGAGGGAAGTAATTCCGGCCAGTCGTCAGGGAAATCGGCACTGGCAATCTTGCTAACCGCATAACTAGCAGAGGATTTCACCTTCCGCTCCGGGGTCTCGGCGGTAGTAGCAAGCTCGAGCAGTGCCCGTCTGATCTGTGCCTTGTTTGCATCGTTCACGAAAATCTGACCCTTGAATTCGTCAAGGTTGGGGGACCAGGTGTCGGCAATAAAGGTACGCAGTACGGATAGAGACGACTGGCGGAGATTGACGGGGACCGACTCGTGGGAGGCAATAGCTGTGAGAGAGATTGGGAAGGATTCATTGGAGTACAGGTTCTGTAATTGAAGCTCCGCGGCCTTTCGCGTATCCGCCCCGGGGGACTGAGTGTCTGCCAGGAGCGACAGAAGTTGTTGCTCCATGATGAGTGAGTGATCAATGGATCACCAAGTTAATGTTATTTGAAAATTTGGCTCACGGCCACTGCGTCGCGCAAGGAGTCAAGTTTGCGCGCGCGATAAGGAGACACGAGGGGCAGAGGCGGTCAAGTCACGATTGCTATATTGCCACTATAGCCTGCCCAGGTATTTACTTGAAAGATGTACCTAAGCTATAGAATATGTTTAGAAATTAAATTCAAGATAAATTCCAAAGACTAGAATATATCATAATATTCAATATATCAATAGAAATGAGACTTCTAATTGATGTGTAGATTAGTGCCCGCACATATAGAACTGGAGTAGTCCACCCCGCTTTTAGTATGGAAGCTGTTGCTATACTATACATAGGGAAGTAAACCAGTCCTAATATAGCCCAACTTGAATGCTTGCCAGACATTGAGGGTTTACATAATTCAATTCGTATCCTAAATGATATCTGAAATCAGAGTCATAAAGAGAAGGCAAAATGAGCCCCTCAATGTAAGCTGCAGGAGACCCCATGACCTTAGCGCCTGAAATGTTAGGCGAAAACATGCGAGGGGGAATGTCTCCGGCTCCACGATAGTAGGACGGTATTTTTGCTCTCACTTCAAATGTTCTCACTTGGTTGTCTCTAAAAAGGATCGACAGTAAGATCCATCGCACTTTTCTCAAGCCTAAATTGAGTCAGAGCAGGGCGCAGTCCCGAAAGGTTGGTATTTGCATCCTTGCTTGGTATTCGGTCTGACAGGGATCGAAGCCCGAATAGTTGGTTCATAGTCCTGGTCCAATCGTGAAAACCCAAGTTCTCCGCTGGAGTAAGCTTGTTGAGATTGGGTAATCGCACAAAGATCCTGAAAATGCAGCTAGTAGCTGTAGCCTTCTCGAGAATCCTTCCGTATGGTAGCCTTGACAGGGCTTAGTCAATTCAACACGTCACGGTGAGGCAAGGAACCTTCCAGTATGTAGCCTGACTCAACATGTAATCTGGGGAATCCTTTTGCATTGCATCATGCCCGAGTGCCTTAATGTATCTAGTAAATACCGAGGGTACCTGGGTGAAATCGGATCCGCATCAGAGAGCAGACTATTTGCCTGTTAGAGATAGATTGGAGAGAGGGGATTCCACAAATGTATTTTTGTATTTTTACGGCTTGACACCGCTGCTCGGTCCCATTGAGTGGATCAGGATCTTTCGGAATCGAGAAAAAAGGGCCCACCTAATTGACTCAGAGCACTTGCAATGGGTAGCGTTGAAATATGGGTATGAGGTGCCTAGGTATTTTTGTTCCAGATGTGATTTCGATGGCTTGCCTTATAAAAGTTTGGTTGTATTACAGTTTGTCAGATCTTTAAATCCTTTTAAATCCTTTTAAAATCAGCCATCAATGTTTAAGAAAATATCTATAAATAGAAGTTCACTATTGAAAATGGTCTGATATCCCCATTGACTGTGTATGGAATGGTAACTTCCAACGCGTCATATGTGGACATCCAAAAGGGCGTTAGTTAGTTGCCCCTCACTAAAAGTCTCCATGATCACCAAAGAAAGGGTGAAGATCATCGTTTGGTGGCGGTGACAGACAAAACACGGAGTAGAAACGTATGGAATATTGAGTAGGATTGATAATCGTGGCACATGGAGTCTATCTCACACACCTCATTTAAAACAGCGGTAATCGTGTCTCTCGGGAGTGTGCCTTTGTTTTGTCGCCGCCACTGCCGTCAGAGATTGGAAGATCATCGGTAAAAGGGCCTCATAGGTAGTACGAGAGGGGTGTACCCGGTACAACCCTGATACATCGTGCTAGCGATCCAGTCAGTGGTACAATGGGCATTCCGAGTGAGTCCGCAGTGTAATTCTTTTGTACCACTTTATTATGGGGTACTCCGATGGGTCCCTTGCACGGTATCAATGAGGAAGCGGTATTATTATAGGCTATAGAAATGCAGTTCCCAAGGAATAATCTCTCTGTATTATAAAATTCCAGGTACAGTCTGTAATATTTTTTTGGAGTACCTGGAGAATTTGGAAAAAATTGATATTTCTTCTGGAACACTTAATGTAATATTTTTTCTCCGAAGAGAACTTGAGAAGAAAGGAGGTCCAAAGAAAAAGAAAAGAAAACGTGATACCATTTTCAAGATCAAATCCAGATAAGCTTCATTGATATCTCCAATTCGCACAATGGGGGTTTTTTCCCAAGTGGTTTTCTGCTCGGCTATACCCCGTTCTATGTCGCTCCCAAGGTTCGATGTTCGTGGTTTCATGGTTCCCTTTTACGTGGGTGTATCCATGTACAACAGCTCCAACAAAGTGCTTGTTACACTTTTTTCTTCTTCCTTTTGGCCTTGGCGATGATGATCGCCCCTCGCCGCTAGAGTGTTCCATCATCCCACTTTACATTACCTAGTGGGGAAGAAAAAGAAAAAAGAAAAGAAAAAGGCAAATGTATTGTTGAAAGGGATAAAAAAGAAAGAAAATAAACTTGTGTGCTGTGATTATACAAAAAGGAACTCCATCTATATGCCTATTGCGGTGGCCCCTATACTTCACAACTTCAAGTTTCGGTATACCTAATAGAGACTCATAGTAGGTACCTACCTCTATTGATGGATATATGGTACCTAGGTACCTAGACGAGTAGTACATACATACACGTATTATTCCGAGTGTAGGTATAGAGCATCGCCGGTATTATCTAGGATAGTCTCTATCCTAATCAATTATCAATTTCCATAATAACACGTGAAACTATTTCTTTTCATTCAGTGCTACAATATACTTGATCTGGAAGTACTCCTCCCATCAAACTAGACAGAGTTTTTCACCTGCATTGTGCCGGTACCGTTTTGTATCCGACAAGCAGTATGCAGGCAGCATACTATCAGAGAGGGAAACACATAGTAGTACAAGATACCTACGTAGATAATTTATAGAACCAGATCCCTCAATTTGAGAAGACATTCAAGCAAAAAGTAGAAAGGTGAAGTTGAAAAAAGCGAAGTTCTGCAGGGCCAACCCATGACGCAACCACGTGACGGGAACCGTGACTTCCACTGACCGTCGAACTTCCACTCCTGCTTTTCCCTTCGAGCGAAGCCACTGGGGAAACCATCGTGACCAGCCATCCGCCTCATCTCTCTTCCGGCTCGACTTGTGCCTTTCACCTTCGCTAAGGTCTAAAGGCCCCTTCACGATCTTCCAACCCCATTCCAGCGTTCTATCTACGCCTCCCTTCGCTTGAAAATCCACCCCTCCTCGCCCTCCCCTCAAAACGGGAACATCATTTCTCCAAAAAAAAGTGACTCTCTTTTCTTTGTTTTTATTTGGGATCGGCGCCTAGGGTCATATTGTTTTTCTATTCCTCATGCTTTGAGGGTCTAAAATCTTATTGTTTTGTCCACCCAAGCGTATGTATTATGATTTTCCCTTCAAAACCCCTCCCTCCCACCAGTTCAACCCACTATTGGTCCCGTCACCACCATCAACTCCCATTGCACGATATGCACCAAGGAGCCTCCCCCCTTCCTGTCTTTGACCTCATATACATCATAATTTAACCCAGCCCATTTACAATTTTTTTTTTCTATTCCGAATCCGATTTGATGTCACCCGACTATCGACGGAGGAAAAAAAAATTGTTGATATCGTTTTATTCTCTCCTCCAACCGCCCATTTGATCACTTTCTTCACACCTCCGATAGTTCCCTGCGTTGACTGATGGCTTTAGAAAAGCAGAGCGATGATTAGCTTCAGGGTGGAACATCATTCAGATTCCTCGAGACTTCGTCAAAACCATACTTCCCGCGGAAACGACTTCGGATCGTTCAACGGCAATGCCGATGGCCAGTGAGATCAGTAGTACCACCACCATGACCACCTTTTCCGCCCCGCTTCCCGCTACCAGATCGCTGCCTACCAACCAGTCGGCCCTGGCTGCTTCTTTCACCAACTTCCTTACCGTGTCAGTCCACCAAATACTCTTCTTACGTTCCGTCTACCCACGCGCAACCTTCCTACCCGTGCGGGCATACAACTACCCTGTCCGACAATCTCGTCACCCAAAAGTGTGTGACTATATCAACGATGCATCTATCGCAGTCGGGACAGAAATCTTGAAAGGCACAATCACCGCAGTCAGTATCATTATTTCATCTCTTCGCACAAATCAGCCCCTCGAACGATATGCCTTTGATCTTTCAGGCTTCCCTCGGGCTCCTGCCGGAGAAGTGAACACTACATTTGAAGACAGAAGTGAAGATTCATCCAGGCCAGGTGCCCCCGCCTCAGATCTGGGCCCAGCGCCAACCTCGGTCGACCTCGAATCACAATTCCGGGCCTGTCTGGCGCGTCTTGCGTCTGCATGTGCGCGCCTGACCCCACTACCGCGAGATGACGAATTCAGCTTCACGGTCTGCATTGAAGTGCGCGAAGATGCACTGCCTCCCGCGGGTACCACCAAAGAAGAACAGACATGGATCGTCGCCGAACCCGGCAAAGTGCATTTGAGATCCTGCACCGCTCCTTTCTCCGTGTCAAAATTACGGAATGGTGAACCTCAACAGCCACCCCCTCGGGTCTCGAATGGCCGTGCCAAAACAGTACCGGTACGACGTGTGGAAGCAGGAGAACTTCGGCTGGAGTTGTGGGTGGAAGAGGCGAGGCAGAAGTTTAATGAACCGGTGGATTCAGAGCAGCCTCCTTGAAACTATTCATTCTTGTTAGGAGGAATATTTGTGTCAACCTATGGGAATTGTTCGTTTCTTACCTGTCCACACCCATCTCAGTCTCATACTTGATTTAGCGTGACCAATGATCGAACATACATGATGGACGAGGAAATTTAGGAATTGCCGTCCGCCAGAAAGTGGCGCAAATATATAAAACGGGGAGCGGACAAATTTTTTGGGACTCGCATGGCATTTACTTACATAGATCAGGTTCATATCTTTCTTTTTCTTTTTTATACTTTTTTGGCTCTTTTACTATTCTCCTCTACCCTCTTCTGCCTTCCAAGGTTCCTCTCCGCCCCTCTTGTTTACTTCAAGCTCTTCCTTCTTCATTTTTTCTTTCTTTTTTTATATCTCTATCCTTTCTTCACGACATTCCTTTTTCATTTTACCCTCTTTCTCATTACCCTGAGAATCTTATCTCTCCTCTTGCATTTGTGCTGAATCCCTCGATCTTGACTCCTCACTGATCTTTTTATTTTGCTGCGGTCCGGCCTCTTATTTTTCTCATACCATCTCATTTTCTGTATTTCATTTCATCTCTTTTGTTGGAATTTCTCAACTACATGATTCTCTTTAAGCTCTTTTTTCTTCCTAGCCAATCCAATTATGTATCAAGTTCCAATGTCGTTTCGTTTTGGTTCTACCTCATACTATTTGGGTCCAGATTTTGATCCATTGAGCCCCTCTCATACTTCAAGTTCTTTCATGAGTTCTCTTCCAAGATTCTCACTTTATACGCTGCTTTTCCGGTCTTGGTGCTGGTGGCTACGCTGTAATGTCCTGCGTTTACCTGGTTTTTCTTCATGGTTGTATTTTCTTGTCTTTTCCATCTTCTATCTATCATCCGGGATCTAGTTACAGGGAAAGTTGAGCTGTCATGATTACTTTAGTCGATATTTCGTAGGTAATGGATACTGTGGAAGAAAATTTTGAATGCATAGTCTGTGTAGCCTTAGAATTCTGCCTGTGCAGTGGCTGCCTAGCCTGTTGCCTGTACATATGTGCTACTATTACTGTATAGAGTGGAGGTGCCACACGGACCATGGCTATATGGGTGTCCACACGTTTAATTTGGTGGGTTTGATGGACTGATACTCGCACCTTCAAAAATCGAACATCCCAAAGGTTGTTTCAGGCAACAGGGCACGCAGACACACCACCTGGGCATGGGAGTCTGCACCTGAGAACTGACTCGAAGCTAGGCTATGAGGTCATAATGCATATTTCGAAAGACATATGAATCAGAATGTTGCATGTATTCATGCACTCCTGATTTCACCATCATGCATCATCATAAGACAGAGACTTTGTTACGTACACTGCAGATGATGCCCCAGGAATCTCCAGCCTTACAGGTACATCAAATTTCTTTTCCCGGCTAATCACACAAAGTATTGAACCATAAACATGGTAAGTATTTATATGCTTAGAGGAATAGAGACTGGAGACAGACATCAACAGCGCTAGTTTCAGAAGGACAACCAATCAGGTACTATAGAGGTATGGAAAATGCAAACGTTAACCTTTGAACCACGACCAAACATTTGAACTTTGGAGGCTATAGCTTATTGTAGATATCTTGATTTGTAGCTGTTATTCTTGAAAATTGATCTTAGTATTAAGCTTCACATGATCATTCATGCATGGATATTGACATGGATCACAGTAGTAAAATAGAAAATGATACTTTCAAGTTGATACTCGGAGCTATCAGAACTTACTCCATAATAAATTGAACAAAACCCAATATCAACTTCAAAAGTAACCACCCCAACTGCACATTTCATATAATAAAAAACAAAAATCTCATCTATGTAAATATTGATATCAGATCATAACATTTAACCCCACAAATATAAGCCTAAACAAAGCCACATCACCATTTCCATGGATTTAAATGAAGTCTAAAGAGCCACTTACATAATCCATCCACCTGACCCGCTCATACCCTACACGCACATGACCCCAAGCCCTCTTACGTCAGAACATGTTCGTGGTTCTCGAGCCGCTTGTCATCGCTTGTCCTCGGCCCGGTTGACAAAGAGAAACCCGCTTGTCATCGTATAGAGCAGGTGTATCCGGTCCGGATCACGATGCGGAGAGCACAAGGGAGCGGGGTTGGATGTGATTGATCGGGTTCATGAATGTTACACTTCATTTGATTGCGAGTTCCAATCGCTATCCGGAACCCCGCCGGATTTGAGAGATGGAGCAGGGGGGATGTGGAATGGTATATATGATCATGGTTTAAGCCATTGTTTTGGATTCGTTCCGTGGTGTTGTGAGGCGTTATCGTTATCTAAGATAATTATCCACTTGAACCCCGGGTTCAATTTGCTTTTTTTTCTTTTTGCTTTCCTTGGACTCTGAGTGGTTTCTTCTCTTCTCATACTTCAAGTTCCTTGCATGAAGAATTGAATTGAACTGAATCGGCCAAGCGTTTACACCTGCTCGTCTGGAACTACTGACGTTCACTTGGATTGATCATCTCTGACTCATTGGACTTGAGCTTGTTGCACGACATTCTATACAACCTCTCAGGAGAAGCTCAGCTGGATATAATTCAAAAGAATACTTTCCTCTACTTCTCATCCCAGAACCTACTACCTTCATATACTTTCCACCTTCCTCATTTAATCACATCTACCGAACCAAACATCGCATCGTAGTAAACCAGCAACAATGATCGCAGCAAACATTCCATCCCTCCCACCAGGAGATTCACCAGACCTGATCCTTGTCCCTGCTACCCCGGAAGAACGAATCGCCTCAATTAAACTCAACAGCATCGCATGGAAAGGTCCATTGGATATCGACACCTACATTAAACGCGAGGACCACCTACTCTCGCAAAAGCTGACTCGAAATGGCCTGACATGCTGGATCCTAGTGGATAAGTCCGAGCCCGAGGGCGAGCGCACTATTCTCAGCTCATGCGAGACATACCAGAAGAAAGCACTTCTAGCACACAGCGGAAATGTGGAGGATGTCTCTACGCACGGGATTGGGAGTGTCTACTGTAGACCCGAATTCCGAGGAAAGGGGTACGCGAAGCGGATGCTGGAGGACTTGAGCGTGAAGCTTGATACATGGAAAATGGAGAAGGAGACCAGAGGTCGATCCCTATTTACGGTTCTATTCTCGGACATTGGAAAGAATTTCTATGCGCAGTTTGGTTGGATGCCGTTTTTATCTTCGCATATTGATTTGCCGCCGCTTGCGAAGCAACGACTTTCTAATGGGGCTGCGGCTAAGGAGAATGAGACAAGAAACCTACTTGCGCAAGACGTACAGATGTGCATTTGTAACGAGGTGGTCATTAACAAGTTGCGGGATCGCTTGCGTGATGCTTCGTTGTCTTCGACTGGTAGTAAGATTGCTATCATGCCTGATTTTGACCACTTCGTGTGGCACTGGGCTCGTGAGGAGTTCTTCGCAGAGAGACTTATGCCGCAGCACTCTCCGCCTGTGATCAAGGGTGCTGGAAATGATCAGGCTCGTGTGTACTGTTCGTGGACCAGAAACTTTGGCGAGGAACCCGAGGATAACGTTTTATACATTCTGCGGTGGGTATATGATGATCCTACTTCTGCGGAGGAAGAAAAGAATGTGGTCGAGGCAATGGCTGCTATTTTGCGACGGGCTCAACAGGAGGCGGATGAATGGAAGCTGAGCAAAGTCGAGTTCTGGAATCCGACACCATTGCTGCAGAAGGCCGTTGCTATGCTGGATTCAGACGCCCGTGTTGTGCATCGCGAGAAGAGCAGCATTTCTAGTCTGCGCTGGACTGGTGCGGAGCAAGGGCTCGGCAATGATGTGGAGTGGTTCTTGAATGAGAAGTATACCTGGTGTTGATCATTCTTCTCTATCATTTCGGGTTTTTTTCTGAATTTCTTTTTAATTTTCTGTCGTTTCCGTTTCTCGTTCCTTTGATCATCTCGTTCGCGCATGTCGACCGTGGAGTATCACATGATTTTGGGTGGCAGAATTGACCGTTATGTTTCTAGAATGCTAGGCATCGTAGATTGAGGTCACACCATCAAAAACCCCAAAGGGCATTTGATGTGTCGCACTCAATGGCGCTTTTGAGTTTTTAGCAATTCATGCCAATTCCGCGTGGGTTTGGCTTTTGTCGCAGCAGCAGAGCCCGCAGCCGCTTTAGCGACCTGTTGGCGCTGTGAAGGTTCCACAAAGAAGATCGTTGTAGGATCAGGGCTTTGGTAGATTCCATTTTGTAGCTTCGATAACGATGCCTCGCCTCTCCACGACTCAGGTAGACAATCTTTCCATGCTTGAAGGAATTCGCTCCGTCCAATAGCTGAAGACGCTGTAGGCGCCGTGGCTGCTAGATAGGTCTCACCTACCCAGCTCGAACACTCAACCTTTTCTAAGTTTGCCCCTGTAGTTGTCCGGTTATTAGTGGCACCGTAACTCGAGAATCGATGAATCATGCGCCGTAATGCACTTACATTTGATCGCATCTGCCAGTGCTGGTCGCTCATCAGTAGTACACAGCTTCCTGACTACTGCCTCAAGAAGGCCCCGTGGAAAAGGTTCCGACTCATCATCATCCAGAACCGACTTCCACAAGTCTTCAACGAGAAACTGCTTCTCCAGGTCAATTCCTTGAAGAATCGCCCCCTCCAGCATACGCTTCCACGCATTCAAACGCATGCGTGCCGAGGGTCTCCAGCCCGTCAACCCGCTCTTCGCATCCACAAACGCACAGATCTCAACCCATCCCTGCTCGCACTGTTCCGCGGAGACAGGCACATCCGCACATATTTGCTCTCTAACCTTCTGCACCTCAGCGGAACCCACATCTCCCATCCCACCAGACTCCTCCATCATAACATCCTCGTCCACATCCCCGGCTCGCCGGTCATACAATCGAAGACTTTTCTCCAAGAACGACACAGCCGAGAATCCATCCGATGGGGTATGTAGCTCTAGGGTTGATCCGCACTTCGCAATAGCGCTCACAGCATCATCGGGAAGATTCAACGCCCCGCTTTCTCCAGCCTCCTCTTCCACGACCTTGATATCAGCTCGCGAGATTCGCCCAGCACTTGGTCGTAAGAGGTGTATGGAGTTAGATGACTGGACTTGCCGAATTCGGTAGGTTTTCGTTGGGGTGCAGAGATTCACGTATTCCTGTCCACTGGCATCGGGAACCGCCTTTGCGAGGGCACTGGAGGGTGACTTGAGTTCCAATCTAGGGAATGAACCTCAATTAGCACACTTAGTACTCATGCAAACTCCCACTAAATCACTTTTTGATGTAGCGTCGATTACACTCATGCCGACTTACACTGGTGCATCCTTAGAAGAGAGCAGAGCGTCCAGTTCTGGTGAAAGTTCCAGTAATCGGAAACCCTGTTGAGGATAGGTATGTGTAAACAAAATAGCTCGTGTGTCTTGGGTCGCCATTGGTACGATATTATTTCCCGCGATGATCAGCTCGAATATTCTCTGTAATGTCAAGGGAATGACATTTGACGCGGGAAAATAATGGAGACGCGAATGGACGCGCTCCGGTGCACAGACCACGTTTTAATGGATCCAGGTCTACTCCGTATACTATGGATGCAAGCTGTATGAAGGGCTCGAAAAAGAAACATTAACGTTTCATTTTGCTTCAATCAAAATTAACCCGAGCAAGTGATAGATCCAGAGAGCTATTCAAAATAAAAATTCAAATATCGAACACCTAAAGAGGAGCTCTTCAACGCCTCACATCATCTACACATTCTATAGAAAGACAATCATCATCACCATCATGATCCTCCTCAGCAAGAGCACGAACAAAGAACAAACCCAACACACATAACAAAAATGCCGCTGCCAGCCCAAAATAAGGCAGTCCAATAAATAGTCCACCCTTCTTCAACCCAATTTCAAACAACCAAGCCAACGCAGGGCCAGCAAATAATGATCCCGACGTTTCCACAATCCCCATTAAAGTATTCAGCTTGGATACTTCCCCAGGCGATACAAAGCTATTCGCCAATGAACGACAAAGTGGTCCCAAACCACCCCCAAGACTCTGAATTCCCAGTCCCGTAATAGTAATCTCAATCTTCGGCGCAGCCATCCAAAGAACTCCGATCGTAGCGATAATAACAGAACCTCTCGCAAGCGTAAGATCTCTAGCAGCTGGTGTTTGCCATCGAAGAAGAAATTTCGATAATGCAGGCAGAATAACTAGAAGAACAAGCATTTGTGTAACCCCGCGTAAAGTACGGAGGTAGCCTGTTTCTGCGAGAGTCCAGTTAAAGCGCTTACTGACGTATTGGCCGAAGAACTGAGATGTGCCGATGAATTCGGGTTTGAGAATTAGACAGGTTGCTATGATGATGCTTATTGAGCGAGACTGGAGAGATGCGAGGGATTCTTTGAAGAGGTGAAGAGATTGTTTGAGGTAGGATGTTATATTGCGGGGTTGTGGTTCTTCTGGACCAGTATTGGGTTTGGACGGTTCTTCTTTGAGAGATGGGAGTGTTTCGGGTACGAAGAAGAGTGGAATCAGGGTAAATGGGATCAAGATCATGCTGAGTATAGCTGGAGTCCAGGGGGAGTAGGACTCCATGAGTTTGGATGCAAGGATGGGACCAATGGAGATGCCGAGGAGACATCCTAATTCCAAGAAGAAGAATGCAGATGCCCTGATTATGATCAGATTTGGTCGAATTTTCTGTTAATATGGAGTTTTAACCCATACCGTTGAGAGCTGTCGACTAGATCGGATGTCATGGTGTAAAGAGTGGCTAGGTGAACAGTAGGACCACCACCTATGGCCAAAAGCAAAGGTGAAGCTATGATTGCAGAGATGGGTAGTGTTTCCGGAAATGCCAGAACAGCTAATTCCGATACTGTAAATAGAAAATTGCCGAGAATGGCGAAATAAAGAATAGGCTTGCGGCCAATTCTAAAATGGATTTAGTTCCAATATCATCAGGTTTTCTGCTCAGGGAGATCGTACTTATCGCTCATGACTCCATACGGAAAGCCAACTATGAGACCTATTCGCGCTTGTCAATAACTATGTTTTTCTTGAGGTGGGGCTGAGCCAGAACACATTATGCACTTGATTTACACACCGACAGTAGACTCCACTGTAGGAAGTAGACCAGTAATAAAGGCCAACTGAGTCTGAATGTGATCATTTTTACAGATCCCCTCTCCCAGCTCTATAGATCTCTGCCTCACATAATGACGACAGATGTTATCCTCTATGAGCTGGGTTATAGGTACAATAAGTAATGTGTAAGTTCCAGCCAGGATAAAATAAGTCAAACAGAGCAAGTAGACTGAGGTCCATGTCGAGGGTTGTTTTTGTTGACCCAGCAAAGGAGATACTTCGGTAGGCATGGTTCCTGAAGGAAACACGATTTCAATATTCGTGCCGAAGTAGGGATTAAGCGGTTATAAGAAAGTTCTGCACGACCTATATGGACATAACTAAATGAGACTTTCTTCAGAACGGAAGAGGGGAAGATGGCGGTGTAACGGGCATGATCCCGGTGAGTTGTTCGCGTGGCAGCGTTGTGGAACGTTGGAATGTAGGGCCACCATTGGTGTGAGGAATGCCTATCAGATTGCCGTTAAGATTCAAATACTCTATTGCATCATGTGGGTACAGGAAAAAGCAGCTTGTGTTGTAGTCTCATGTAGATCAGTAGTTAGGCCGCGACTGGCGCTGAAGACTATGATCTGGTGGTCCATGATTAGTGCGAGTGACTGCGAGATCTTCAACGGCCCAGGGGCCTGAGCGGCTCTGTCCGATCTAGGAGTTTAATAGATGCTAAGGACTCGGAATAGATTAAGTCAAGTTTCAGATCTGCTGCATTATAGGGAACAGTCCAGATCGCTTGGATTCATAAAAATCAATTGCATTTCAAAATACCACATTGCTAGTTGACCATATCACGCCTTCTAATATGCTTCTAATACTCCGCGCAAAACACCCAATAAACGGAAATGTACAGTGGAAAAACACAGAAACAGTGAGAGCAGGACCGAAAACATTGATCAATTCAGCAAATATCGCCCGATCGACCCAAGGGTAGTACAAAACTCGGCATCATGACTGATACCCAACGTGTGATGACTCAAACTGTACCAGTCTTGTAGTGATTGAGAGAGGCTTAAAATATTCCAGCCAGCTGGACGCTCTTCAAATGTAGCGTAGGATCATCAGGTAGGCAACGAACAATGTACGAAGCAGCATCGTAACATGCATTATTTATTGGAGGAGCCCTTTACAGCATCCTTCAATGGGTGCGCTGCTGGACCTTCATCAGAGCCCTTAGCAGCGTCACCATTCGCAAGATCCTGAGCCTTCAGTTGACTACCCTCATTTTGTTGGGCAAGTTGGCGCTCCTGTTCTTCGCGCTCGCGAGTTTGTCGTTCCATTTCCATTTCTGCCATGTGGCGCAGGTCATCCACGCTAGGCTCGTACTTGTGCCAGATGACATAGTGGGGTAATCCAACTACCGAGAACTTCATGCGCCTCGCCATCTATAAAATATTAGCTTGAAACCCATTTAAGAAAAATGTGACATCAATTCTTACCTTGCCGAAGCCCTCTGTTTCAGCATGTCTCTCGAAACTAAAGGCCGGGAAATGAACACCAGCGCGGAAAACTCTAGCCTTTGCCAGGATACTGACACCTCCGATGCCATCTAATTCCATCTCCATGTCTGGATCCCCGTAGGGATCCCGCAGGTAGGCTAGATGAGGTCGCCATGTCGCATACTCTGCATATCCCTCGACGATGACAGCATCTTCATCCAAAGAAGCCGCCAACTCCAGCGCAGTATCTGACTCTTGCCATGAATTCAGATCATACGGCTGTTCTCCTCCCAACCAATCAGGGAGCGGTCGCCAAACATCTAATCATCCTGTTAATATAGATCGCGGGCAAGAGGGCGAGGAAGGTTCAATAGGGATTACTCACTCGGGACAGTAACATCTTTATTATGACGCATCAGATCCTCAAGAATGGTAGGTGGTGCTGTCTCTACATCTGCATCACGCCAGTAGACCCAGCTATGCGTAGGACGTAATGTCGCACTCAGCAACCAATTTCTCGCCTGGGCCATCAATTTACGCCGGTCCGCCTGCGCCTCAAAACCATGTCGACTCTCCACATCTTGTTGAACTTTCTGACCAAAGTCCTTCTGAATCACAGAGATCTCACCAAAAGCCATCTTCGGATCCTTAGCGTTCTGAACTTCCTCCAGCATACTTGTGAGCAGCTCCAGTGTGTCATCGCGGGAATCCGACACTAGGAAGGCCAAGTCGATCAAGTTGTGTGGGTATGTAAGGTTGCGAAGGTGACTGAAGAACATATCGAGGTGGGATGATGCATCGCGCAGTGGGGTGAGCATGAGAACGCGCTCCCCGCGCTCCCAGCCCTTTTCGGTGCCTTGCACCTCGGAGAGATCATAGTATCGAACGGTTTGGAGCTGGAGGTCTGACGAAGGGTGGAGAAGACCGAGGGAGATTGCAGGGAGGATAGCGGCTCGCCATGATGGGAAGATAAAGACAGCTAGCAGTAGTGAAATTCCACCGAGGAGAATCAATCGCTGGAAGAGTTGGCGACGACGGCGAAATGCGGGTTGGGAACGAGGTTGGAAGCTGGCAAGACGAACTAGATTAGCATTGAGAATGCCCAGGGTCTCTTTCAATGGATTGACAGCTTGGATGGAGCAATTCCACCTGGAGAAAGGGAACGCGCGGCCTCTTTGATTAGACAGACGACGCACCGGTTGGGAGAGATGGAAAAGGCACTGGATCCGCGAGGGTAGGCCGAATAGCCCTTGGGATAGGCGGGGTGCCTGTTCATTGCTTTGAAGAGCTCACAGCATCGAGAGTCTTGAGGTTGAAGCTGGAATTGTGGGTTAGGTGGGCTCGGCCGTTACTGCTAGGGTCTCGCCAAGGGTCTTTCGAAGAGGCGATCGGCGGGGAAGATGACGAAGATCGAGAAGAATAGGAGATGGCAGAGAATATAAAGATGACGATAGTCGGGTTTCTAGCGGGTTTTCTTTCTTTTTTTTAATCTCTCTTAGGCGAGTGTTACAGAAGAAGGAATCGGTGTTTCGCCCTTGAACCCAAATCACCCGAATCCGGATTTCCGCTTGCAGCTCTATTTACTATTTACTCCAATTGTATGCCTGACATACTCTCTATTTACTTTCACTTTTCTTCCAGATTCATTGAAAAAAAATCTAAATTATTCTAAGACTAAAAAATTATACCATTCAAAATGAATATTCTAATAAATATCAATTCTATTACTTATCGGAGTGATCGACCCTTTGACTTTTTAATCTTAGCGGCTCCCGGCAATTTCATGTCTGGGCATCGCGCCCCACGGTACTACGGATCCGGATGTACTTGGTGGCGTTTAAGTGATATCTCAGACTACGGTGGACTCAAGAAGATCCATTGAACCAATGAATTGTTCTCATCATATAGATAAGATCAAAGGAACCTTGGAAATAATATCCAACGATACATGAACATTCTCTAAATATAGATGTTCAATGAATTTCTAAGTGAGATTCATCTTATTCATCTTCATACATATGGGTGATACTACCACCTACTACTAGTAGTAAGTACTGACCCCATAAAAGATGGCACGGTGTAACCAAGGAGTATTTAACCAGTGATATCCTGGTTATTACTAGTATTTACACTCGACCAGGATCACCACTTGGGCAGAGATCTAGAATTTGTTTCAATCTACTACTTAGATGCTAGACCTATGAGTCAAACTTCAAATGTTGAAAACCAGCAGAGCACTACCTAGGTACTAGTACTAACCTTGCATGTGGAAGTAACTATCAACTTGAGCGTAGTAGGTAGAGCTTCAAATTGAACATTGAAGAGAAACATTCCGATGATTCACTTAATCAATCAGGCGGAAATATCAACCAGGATCTTCACATGGCTCTCTTTCTCGTGTATAAGCGCCTTGATACCCCGGTCAACCACATCCTGCATCGGAATCTTACTCGTAATCATAGTTCTGGGCGTTATTTTTCCTAGATAGCATTAGAAACTTGTACCACCGTTTGGAACTGGGATGCATGACATACCAGATGAAATAGCGTCAATAACAGCCTGAAAATCTTCCGGTTCATACACAGCAGCGCCCACAATGTGTCTCTCCCCATGAACCAAAGCCATAGCATTAATAACAGGTGGTTTTCCCCATAGAGAAACAACAACTGCTGTCCCCCGAGCCCGAGTACCACCAAGTGCAGTATCCATCCCAGCCTGGACGCCTGTGCATTCAAATGCTACAGCCACACCTCTCGCATCACCCGTAAACTCGCGGATCTCAGCAAGAGCATCTACCTTATTCGGGTTTAGTACTTTCGTTGCGCCAAATTCGTGAGCGAATTTCACTCGTTCCTCGGAAACTTCAACTACGAGGATCTTCTCCATACCCTGAGCTTTGAGTACTTGTAGGATTGCGAGCCCGATGGGACCTGCACCGACTATAAGTGCTGTATCACCTTTCTGCACTGGACTGCGGCTGACAGCGTGCCAAGCAACGGAAAGGGGTTCCACCAATGCTGATAATCTGCAGTTAGACAAATAGGTCATCCGAAGTGAAGCATGTAATTTCTTACCTCCAATATCCAAAGGCATCGAATCCGGTAATAGAACGACATGCTTTTTGTCTAAGACAATATGGTCTGATAACCCACCAGCCTTACCTAGTTCCCAGAGTCAGCATCTATAACCCGTTCTCTTGTTTCTGAATGGAAACTTACTGCTGAATCCAATAAACCCAATACTATAGCATGAGTTATGTCTTCCCATCTGACATGACCCGCATGTCCCATCACTTAGACTAGGATTCACAGCCACTTTATCTCCTACTTTGAATCCTGTTACCTCTTCTCCCACTTCTTCCACTGTCCCACTAAACTCGTGGCCTAGTGTTGTTGGTAGTTGATCGCCTGTCACTTTGTGCGGGGTGGTAGGTACAGCGAATGGGCCGTGAAGATACTCATGTAGATCTATTATCGTTAGCATCAATACTACACTATCGGACAAATTACATACCACTGCCGCATATTCCTACAAACGCAGGTTTGATCTAATTTAAGGAAGGTATTTTAGTTCGAGTTCATTCATTGAGTCAGAAGGAATCAATAACATACCTTGATCTGACCAACACCACAAATAGGCTCTTCAACCTCATCTACTCGAACATCTTCTCTTCCATGGAATCGAACAGCGCGCATACTGGTAGTTCAAGATGGATTTTAAGTGAAGCTTCAGGTTTCTTCGATACCAATTGAGTACTTGAAACGATTTGGATTTGGTCAATTGAGGGAATTAAAGGTGCTTCCCTGATTACGTGGGGCTGTGTGTTCTGGGGCCGAATATGAATGTATCAAGAGCGGGGAGAAGGTGTCTCCACATGAACTTCTTTGTTCCCGAGGCCGGTGCGATTTCCAAGTCGTGGGGCTACATATAGTATACGTGCACACGTCCCGAAGTCTGGATGAAACTATAGGAAAGAAATTGCGTCATCCCTATCGAGTGGGAGATGAAACTGAAGCTGCCAGTCTAGATGGACGGTTTACCAAATTTGTTTGGAATGAAAAGGTGTAGTACATGGTACGCATGGTACAACTAGGTCTAGCCCTGGATAAATTGCCAGTGGATTTACAGACTACAGGTTTCAAATAGAATGGTTTCAATAAAATATTGAGCGTCGCAAATCAATTATATTCATTAGAGACCAGCTCAAATTATTGTCTTATTTATCATAAACTTCACTTGCTCTTTCGAGAGAGAAGTGTCTTGAGAACCTCCGTTTCCCCTTCCAGTTTCGAGACCTTGAGTTTCAGATCATCACGCTCTTTTCGGATACGTTCTAGCTCTTCTTCCAGATTCTTCATCTGATCCACACGCCGCTGTCGACATCTCCGAGCCGCAAGCGTGTTGAGTTTGCGCTTTTCCACGCGAGAGGACTCAACACGACTTAAGACGACATCAACCTGCGAGACCGCAGGACTAGACTGAGATGTTTCAGCAGAAGCTGAGTATAAAGATGTAGGTGAAGGTTGAGAACGCCCGTCTAGATTGAAGTTAGAAATGGCAAGCCCATAGAACACAGCTCACTAGAGATATCTCACCTTGGGAATTCTCAGAGCTAAGAGCGACCGAGGAAGCATTTTGATACTGATACTCGAAGGAACCCAAGTCTGAAAGGGAAGCGAAGGCCGAAGCCACGTCGAAGCCTGGGTCCGTGAAAGACATTTTGACAGAGGTCTCTCGTGGAGCCCCGAGATAAGGCGTGACATTGTCGGGAGATAGGAAATTCCAGTCGGTATCGGCAAAGGACAAGTCGGGTTCTGTCCAGAGATCCGACCCTTGCGCAAAGGTATCACAGGTATCAAAGGATTGAGTAGGTGAGATTGTCGTGGGAAGACATCCTGAAGGAGATTGTAACGAAGAAAAAGAATGTTGTTGAAAGTCGTGAGAAAAATTAAACCATGGTGAAGACCCCGTCGACAACGCCGTCCTCGGGGAATTGTCTTGAGGGACGGAGCTGAGCGGGATGCCAGAATGTGGAGGTCTGGATAACGGCCGCGCTGCAGGAGCAAGAGCAGGCCGCCATGACGAGATTATTTAAACGGGCCGAAGCGGGCCCGGGGCGCGTAGTCGCGAGGGAAAAAGGGTGAAAAAGGGTCGAGGGAGTCCGATTATGGGACCTGGGAAATCAGGTAATATTGCTCGGTCACTAGGGCCGAGGAGTGGTGTCCTGAGGAAAAAAAAAGAGTAAGAATAGGACGAGATGAACGGTTGATAGTTATACCCGGGGGTGGACTCACACCTGGGGGATCAGGCCCTCAATAGGATCCACCTGAATATGCTCATGATTGGATAAAAGTGCTTCGCCCCCTTCAAGACTCACAATGACTCATTTTAGCGTCTAAGGAATTGACCAATAATCATTGCAGTTTATAATGGTCTAACTTCATCCGGGATTAGTCTATTGTAACCCATTGATAACTGGGAAGATCTGAGCAGATCTGAACTGATCGACCATCTGCCATCATGAGCGCATGATTTTTCCTTAAATAGAGAATGGTGGACCTTGTTAAAAACATAATGATCCTTGGATCTTCAGAGATCCTTAAGGGAATGAACACGAGTTTAAAAGGATATACAGCCTGAGGTGAAGTCTCACTTAGTCACTGCTACGGAGTTATCTCTGAATCCTTGTGGCGCATATCACCTCAACCCCCGCAGAGATTATGAGCAACTTGAACCTCGGAGTAGATAAGCGACTCTGACCCTGTTTGATAAGCTACCAACTATTAGGTAGGAGTAAATCAATAGATTACGAGAAGAAGTAGTAGGCTCAATTCATGGATGTTATCTCTTTCATCAATTTATACAGAGAATCTATGTTTTTTGAATATAATCACTCTCGAATGCTCTTGGAAGGCATCCTCAGGTAGGGACTGGCCAAACTACATGTATCAAATGGTATACCCTCACCATTGTAAACATTTTGAATAATCTCCTCGCAGCCTTCTAAGGTTTGCCTTACTCGCAAGAGTCGTAACACTAGGAGCGCTGCTCACCGTCCTGTCGGCACTTGAGGCATGGTAACCTGGACTCCGGCTTCGGTCTGTATGTACAACGCAAGACACGGGCTAAATACTTACAGTGGCTCAGACTGGACAGAATTTCTGCACTCCCACTCTTGAACCTTATGAGAAATGATCCCTCTGGCGGGCTTCCAACATAATTTTAGATTTTCCTTTGGTTGGGGTTTGAAAAAAATCAATATCAACAGCCTGAAGGGTTCGTTCGTCGTTCGACTTGTTCTCGGAGTCTCTATTTATCTGGGTATTGGTGAATATAATGAATTCCCGAGATCAAACAGGCACAGAGTTCAACAATTCAAGCTGACCTTCGTCATCGAAGAAACTCTTCGACAAAATCTTTCCGACAAAGAACCAGATCGGCCAAGGCTTGTCGAAATCGTACGGAACTCCAGCAACAAACTGCATAATTGAGTCCAATCTCCTATCAGAAAGTCTAATGCAGATATGTTAATAATATCATACTCTGATTTCCATTTCTCAGGAAGAGAGATAGGAGACCCCTTACTGAACAACCCAATAGCTTATATTGGCTACTCAGAAAGACCTGAATCGCTCTTCAGTCGTCACCTCGGAAATAGGGACTGGGACGGTAATAGCTTTATTGTTGATTTGAGAGTGTTTCATCCATGACTTCCTGCTAGAACCTTGGAAGCCTAAATAGGATTACATACAATATGATCCAGAAGACGTTGATGGTATTTGATCGAAAGATTTATCGCAGACTCCGTCAACTGGTCGTTGGGCAGCAGGAGTACGGCTACAACCCTGCATGAGGTGCTAAGGTGATTTACGATCATTTTTTGACAACTCTAGATTTCTGGGTGATTACTTAGACTGGACCAAAAGCCTTGAAATAGTATATCATCCTTACTGCACTCTATCAGAGCATGGATTCAGTATGGTAGATAAGTAATCAGATTCACATAATTCTAAGGTTCCAAAGAATGAGAACATAATATTCACTGGCAGGGCGGGGCGAGAATACATGCACTTACATATCGTGATGTGGAGAGCAACTTGAAAATGATAATCGAGAGCTACCAGTAGAGAATGAGCTGCCAGTGGTCCCATATGTGAGTCCAGAGAATATTCGGGCTATTGGACCTACTAGTATAAATCTGAATTCATATACGGAAGATACTATGATGATTTATTGATACTAGAGCTTATTCACATTTTATTCTCTCTCTTTGTCTCCTTTAGGTAAACTAATTTGCACTCTGGCCAGCTAATCACTACTAACTAGGTATATGATGTTAATTTTTATATACTAGTAGATATAAGACGACAGTGATTGCCGGTATAGTGAGAGGACTTTCACAGTATATTCACAGTATATTCACAGTATATTCACAGTATATTCACAGTATATTCACAGTATATTCACAGTATATTACCCGTTTTTTGAACAATTGAAAACTGAAAAGTGTGGAGCTTTCAAGGCTCTTCTGTATCTAGGAAGAGTCGATATTATACTTATCAGGAAGTCCTTGTCTGCTAGTATACTATAACCTAGACAGCTGGTGATGAAATTGACTCCGCTGAGTCATCAAATCATCCGATGCCGAAAAAAACCTCAAAGGGAGATGCAGAATCATTTCAGGATCACATAGAAGCAAATATTAAGCTCTATAGACCAAATCTATGGTCCTGGGAACCCCCGTCAAGTTAACGCTCTTCAGGTGCGTGACCCGATTGCGGGCCCGTACCACAACCCCGCGGGTCCAATCGTTGACACAGATCCGTGCCCCTCCTCGAATTTCTTTTCTTTCATCTCCTCCCCGCGCATTCACCATGGCGACCGCTGCTGCTCCTCAGTCTTCTCTTCTCTCCCTCCTCTACCGCTCATACCCCTCCGCCATCTCTCCAGATGCCACTGAGCCCGACTACCTCCATGCCTCACCCAAGATTTTCCCTCAGGTGAACTTCACCGAGGCCGAGGAAGCCGACATCAAGCAGTGGCTCAACACCGTTGCTGGCTTGAACACCGCTATCACCAGCAATGAAAAGACTGTCATTGAGACCATCTTGTCTCAGCTGAACACCCACCTCGCCACCCGCACCACCCTGCTCGGTGCGAAGCCCTCGGTCGCTGATATCGCCGTGTATGCCCTTGTTGCTCCTCTCGTTGAGAAGTGGACTCCTGAGGAGCGAACAGGTGAGAAGGGTTACCACCACATTGTGCGCCATGTCGACTTTGTCCAGAACGCACGCCTTTTCGCCCTGCAGATTCCCGAGGAGGAGAAGGTCGTCATTGACGTGAACGACGTCAAATTTGTGCCCAAGCCTGTCGACCCTAAGGAGGAGAAGGAGCGTAAGAAGCGCGAGAAGGCTGCTCAGCAGAACGCCGGCGCCGGCGCCGCGGAAGAGAAGACTCTCGTTGTTGGCCAGGGCAAGCCTGAGAAGACCGCTAAGCCCGCCAAGGCTGATGCTGCTGCTGCCCCCACCGATGCTGCTGCCGCTGCCGCTGCCGCCGGTCACAAGACTGGCAAGAAGGAGAAGAAGGAAAAGAAGGAGAAGGCTCCTAAGCCCGCCCCTGCCCCCGCTGCTCCTCCCTCCCCCTCTCTTATTGACCTGCGCGTTGGCCACATTCTGCGTGCCATCAACCACCCCAACGCCGACTCCCTCTTTGTCTCCACAATCGACTGTGGTGATGCTCCCGGCTCTGACAACACCTCCCTGGATGAAGAGACTGGCAAGACTGTCCGCACTGTGTGCTCTGGTCTGAACGGTCTTGTGCCCTTGGCTGAGATGCAGGGCCGTAAGATCGTTGCCGTCTGCAACTTGAAGCCTGTCACCATGCGTGGCGTTAAGTCCGCTGCTATGGTTCTCGCCGCTTCCCCACGTGTTGCGGAGGGTGAGGACTCCCACGGTGGTCCCGTTGAGCTTGTCATTCCCCCCGCTGATGCCCCTGCTGGAGAGCGCATTACCTTCCAGGGTTGGGCCGATGGCCAGCCTGAGAAGCAGCTTAACCCCAAGAAGAAGGTCTGGGAGACCTTCCAGCCTGGTTTCGGTACCAACGACGATCTTGAGGTTGTCTTTGACAGCAATGCTGTTCCCAGCGTGCAGGGTCAGGAGGGCAAGCCTGCCATTGGCAAGCTTGTTACCGCCTCTGGTGTTATCTGCGTTGTTAAGACTCTCAAGGGTGCTACCGTCCGGTAAAAAGTTACATTGTTGAGATATCGGGAATTTTGGTCAAAATAAACAGCTATTGAATTGCATACCCACGAGAAGATAAGAAATAGCAAAATATTACAGTTGACGTTTCATGTTCATGACTTTAATGTTGTCTATAATGTACTCAATTACTCTTGGTAGCTCTCCCATTGATTGTATGAAGAACTTGAATGCGATGGCCAAAGCCATCAAGTGTTTGTTTCTGTATAAATTATTTACAAACTCTAACAATCTAGCCCCTTGAACTCTAACAAACGTATGTCAAAACCAATGCCCAGTGATGACCCGCATCAGCTGGAAGAGGCAACCCCCAAAGATGGTCCACGCTTATCGAAGACAACATAGAATGACCGGAGGAAGATGTCTCCAAAGATTTGGAACCCATATCCAGCACAGGATTGTACACCACCATAGCACACTACAGTCAAAAAACCATTAGTAAAAACTCAACACATCACTATACACAGTCCTCGAGAACAGCAACACTTACTCGTTTCACCGGTGGTGGAATTCGTTCCAACCTCCGCATAATTTAGCACAGACCCAGGAACAACCGCCTGGTAAGAAGACTCTCCCATACCCAACGCCAAATCAGGTAGATCAGCGTCGCATGGATAGATATATCCACCAACCTTACTGGAGTAAGTCGAGCCAGAGACCTCTCCATAATAATAAGAGACCACATCCGCACTAACCAACAACAAGGTAGTGCCGGTATCAGCAATGGAAATCGTCGTATCAGAGATATTCCACGAATGACCATCGCCAACCTTGAACGTAGTCGAATTGAATTGCCAATATCCATTTGACGAGTCGACACTGACATTAGCCAGGGTACCACTGTGCAAGCTATGATCGATTGTCCCGAATCCATACTCTCCAACCCCATCGCTACGCAATCGCGACGTGAAGACAGGCTCGTCGAGGTCTGGAGCGACGTTATCGAAGAAGGTCTTCTGTGGTCCAGGGTTGAAGCTGTTGATCGAGGAAAAGCTGAGTCCAACTAATCCGTTCGAGCTTGTGTCTTCAATGAATGTACTGGATACCTCGACAGGAAGACCGAACACTTGATCGGCTACTTCTACCCCGCCGATACTGACGGTGTCTTTTCCTAAGTACCCAGCTACGTATGAGCCGTCGCCGTATTCAACTTCGAAATCGCCTTCCACGTATTCGAAGGTACTGGAGGATGATGGGTCGTAGACTTCGTGGCCTTCTGTGTCTTCGGATGGGAGCTCGGAGTTGATCAACCACCTACCAGTAAAAGAAATTGTCAGTACCATATCCATCCCAGATGAATAATTTTTGAGGTAAGTTGGGATGAAAGGAGGTCTTACATATCGGCAGAACCAGTATCAAAATCCAGCGTGATGTTTTGACCTCCGATGAGAACAGGAGATACAAATTCCTCGCCATCATCGACGGATGTCACGCTAACAGTTCCTTCTTGGTCTGTACTGGTAGTAGCGCTCGAGCTACTTGACGCAGAGCTTGAACTACTCGTCGTAGAAGAGCTCTGGTCCCTCATGCCACTGGGATATGGGTCGAAATCACCATCGTTTGAGTCGGGATAGTCCATGTGAGATCCAGTAGCGCCGAATTTGCGATAGGCTTTGCGAAGAGCAGCGGGACCATTGCGAACATAGCCACTGCGCTTGATACGCTCGACCTTGAAGGACTTGCCTTTGCGAAGAGGTCGATAGAGAGCTGGTGCGGCAAGAGCCTCGTAGCTCAAAAATATGATAAATAGAATGGAAAGTAGACGAATCATTTTGTCCAGTTAATATACTCGAGTGAAGCTGTCAAGGAATGATATAGCTTGCGAAGAAAACACTGGGAAGATTTAACGAAGAGCGAAATAAATGCTCTTAGTCTTCTGTAAAAGATAGAACTGTTTTGCTGGTGTCTCAAAATGAATGACAATGCCACTGTACCAAAGAGAGACAGGTATTCTTGACTCAGTAGATGCCTGACCAGCAGGTGATGAATGGAAGATAAGAAAGAACTTGAAAAAAGAATGTATACAAGAATAAATGAATGAAAGAGACAGCCCCAGCTATCAAAAAGGAGGGATTGATCTCCGTAAGTTTCTGGGGATCGCAGATCTATAAAAGCTACAGGATATAAAGGAACCTTTCCGAGCATCGAACCGCCTGAAAGTACATTCCAGCAAAGGAAAGAAAAGCGTACGTAGTCCATTGCATGGCCGTTTCCAATCCGAAGCCATAATTTTTCATCGAACCTATCAGCGTTATGGAACCCAGCTGAAAAGTGACGGTCTAGGTCATCTGTACTGGGTACTTCCTCCCATCTGTACCTGTCGGAGCTGTCATAGTGGGCCACTAGTAGTTGGCGCCTGGAATAGGGTAGACGCTTACTCCTGACAGCTCATTTGTCTCTAACTCAGCATTGTCGGATGATAGTGGAGTGAATTCTAGGGCATTAGTCTGATAGGCTATTGTATGGATTAGGGGTTTGTTGGTTGGGCGCTTCTGAAACACCACATGGGCGCGTTAGGGCCCAATCATAGTGCGGGGTTTACCTTCCCCTTGAAACAGTAGAGAGCATGGGGCCAATGACAGATTACTATGGATAATATTTTTTTTCATTCGAGTTTTTGCCATGCAACTTGGGCTGTTAAAGACGTTTCAGGACGTTTCAGGTGAATGGGTAATGGGCTACGTGAGTTGTAGGAAAAGGGGTTGGGCTTGGCTTGCGTGGCTATAGAGACATGATGTACTGGTTACTTATCCTGTATTGGAATTATGAAATGAATGAAGAATTCATAAAATTATAGGTATCTTTGATACTGGTAACGTCTTGTATTTGGTAGATTGAATGAAGTATAGATCTGAAGAAACACGCATCGTCTATAGGCAAGGATGCTGACTTCATAGAGCTATCTATAGAATGTGCCACCAAGACAAAATTTAATCAATTCGCGAGCACAAGAAGGATTTCTGAGACTGAAAATGTATCCAGTAGAGGCTTCAGGGCTATTTTTTACAATATGACACCTGTCAGTCCTGGTCCATCCGCAACACTGATAGTGCCCACCCATCTGGGCACCTGGGCAGTCTCCATGCGTCGGTCAATGACCGCGACCCAGTTGCTGCATTCGTGCTTAACCTGGAAGCGCTGACCGAGTTTAGAAATCACATCATCGTAGTACGCATCATTGATCCCTGTCGGACATTGAGTTCAACGGAGCAGTTCAGAGTAGTGGAAAGAGGTCCGAGTCTCTGACCTCTACTAGCAGCCTGGAAGACCCGCAAAAGCTTGTCAATACTTGAAACTTGAGCCCAAACTCTATAATATCCAGATTTCATGAGTCAAGTGAGTCAAGTTCGAATATTACCTATACTTAGTCAGAAAAAAAGGGATGGTTTTTATTTGGTCCTAAATCGATAGTAAAATCATGTTGATCATGCCCGTATGGTCGTATAATTCATGGTATCAAATCAAGCTCTATGTCCAAACGCCAGATGGATCCCATCCATCAAAACCAGATGCATCACGCTAGAAAGAAAGTAAAATAAACCATCAGCCGCAGCAATTTTAAGCAATCATATCCTCGGGGAGAACATCATCTGGGTTCTCTCCAACTGCTGCACCAACTGCCCGGACAACACGCTTGATAGCCTTAGATGCTGGGCTGTCAGGGAAGTTCTCCACAAAACTCTCTCCATAATCGCAGGCCATACCGACACGAGGATCCAGAGGCACAGCACCCAAGAAAGGAATACCCATTTTCTTGGCCAGACGACGTCCTCCGCCTGTAGTTGCACGGAAAATCTGTGACTCGTGAGTACAGCTCGGACACACAAATCCAGACATGTTCTCCACTAATCCGAGAATACGAATGCCAGCCTTGCGACAGAAGTCAATTTCCTTGCGTACGTCCAACAACGAAACCTCCTGCGGGGTAGTCACCACGACGGCTCCGTCAACACCAGATTCCTTCAGCAGGGAGTTAACGGAGAGATGCTCGTCCGAGGTACCGGGAGGTGTATCGACAATCAAGTAGTCCAACTCGCCCCAGTCCACATCCTTGAGGAACTGCTTGATCAGTCCGTTCTTCTTTGGTCCACGCCAGATAACCGCGTCATCTCGGTTCGGCAGCATGAACTGCACACTCATCGCACCCAGGTTATCTGTGACCCAGACAGGACTCCAGCCAGCGTTACTGATGTGGATTGTCTCAGCCTCCACTCCCATCATCTTCGGGATCGACGGTCCACAGATATCGGTATCCATGATTCCAACGGTAGAATCCGGGTTTGCAGCGAATGCATGGGATAGAAGGGTTGAGAAGGTGGATTTGCCGACGCCACCTTTGCCGGAGAGGACGAGGATCTTGTGTTTAATGCCGGCGAGGCGTTCGGTGATGATTGCGATATCGGGATCGGGTCCCTTGGGCGCGGATGCACAGATTTGCTGGTTTGGACATCCTGCGCAGGCATCACCTTGTCCGGCCTTCTCAGACTCGGGGCCAGGGCAGTGTTCTGTAGTACTTATTAGATTTCTGGATTTGATGGATATTCCCCGCAGTGCGCTTAAGTATGATCGTACCTGGCTCTGGGGCGACCAGAGAAGGGGCGCGCTTTGCAGGCGCCTCGAGGGACGCATCCTCATTTGGCTCCTCCACGTAAGGTGCCATCACAAGTGATTTTGCTATGATTCAAAGAAGTTTGAAGACCACAAACGTTCAGTGCTCAAAGGAAATTCCCTAGAGTGGCGGAGATTAGGTGCTTGATAAGCAAGATGACTAACCGTCCTTTCCCCATTGGTGTGAAATAGCCACCTGGGCATGGATGGGTTCATTCATTTGAGATAAACATGAAATTACTAGGAACAGGTCAATTTGTAGCAAGTTAAGCTATACATATGAATGCTACAAAGAATATACTATAGACAATTTGAATATGCAAATATTTGACTCGTTGTACCTCTCAACGTCTCCTCATATTTCGTCTCCCTGGTGGAGCCATGTGCATACAATGTAGTACATAGTCTTGTCCCGGCATTCAGTGCTCACCATGCTTACCATGCCTACCAATCTATAAGTGGCAGACCCAATCCTTTGCCTTGCACTAGTAGGAGGCCTTGACGCCTGTGATGAGACGCTAATAGACTTGGTCTTAAGGCTAGGCGATGATGAAGCGGGGTGCAACCGTGCAGGTACCAAGGCCCATTGTCCTGTCAGAACCTTAGTAGCGATGGAAATCTTGATTTTGCGCCCCTAAATGATCCCATGTGGGACAATCCGATGTGGTTGCACATGAGAGGGTCTGAGCTGTGCAGCTGAATACCCGGCATGATTTGACTGGCTGATGTGAAGAAATAACCTTCCCGTTTTGCATGCGAGATTAGGAGGATTATGAATATCCATTATCAATCTTGGTGGGCAGTCATTGACGACTTCTCTGAATAGCGGTGTCTATTTCTTCATTCCTATGATCAATTCCTAACGAACATGACGCCAAAACGCTCTCCGGCGGGATCCACTCCAACTTTGGGGCCCCAATTGACAACTTGTCGGGCTCGCGTACCTCGTACATTCGAACCCCCCATCATCGGGTGCAAAGAGAAGTAAAATAAATGCGTGCAGAATAATTTAAAGTGGATTGGTCCATATGAGAGCGCTCTTGCCGCATACTTCCCCGCTTTGTCCATCTTAAGGTGTAACCCATACTCCATGAGAATTGGCCTGAGGGTGTAGTAAAGCCGGAAGTCGGGGGACATGGCGTACATTCGTTTATACCCATAGCGAATCGCCGGGAGTAATTCTCAACAAAACTGAAAAGGAGATAGCATGTGTTTCCTTTCTGTTCTGCTTAATTCGAGGGCCCGCAGTCACTAACTCTCTTGTGTACAATTCACCTATGGGAGGAGACGCTGTTAGTCGAGGCTTCGCGGGTCCACTATGGCTAATCTCTCACATAAATACGTCCCACACACCCTGGACATTTGAATCTCATAACACAACTTCATTAAGTTCATGGATACTAACATTCTTTGATCTAATCTCTAGATTTTAGAAGAAAATAATCTAACCTAGTTGAAATCACACTAGATCCACCTGATCTTTGTTTAACTAACAACATTCTTTGACAACGATAAAAACAAACACTGCAAACAGCACAGGTCACGTTGGGATCCCCACTGTCACATGCTCTACAGGTCACTTGCATCTCGTTCTCGTATCCCAACAATTTCCTTCTAACCATCATCATCATGGATCAGGGCCGTTCAACAGGTGCCCTGCAGCCAAATGGGCTGAGAGAAAGAGTACCGCACCTTGATTCAACTGGAGGTCGCGATGCTCTAACCTCCCATGCTGAACTGGAGATCAAGGATACTGACGGGAAGGACAAGAAGACCTTTGGCCGCACTCCAGATGGAACTGGTATGTCTTCCTCCTCTTTTTTTTGTCCAGGTTTTAAATTCCAGCATCTGTTCATACGCTGCATTGCAATAACAGGGCTCTGTCTGCCTCAATGACCTCCCTGAGCAATCCTGCTTTGTCGACTATGTCATCGCCCAGATTTGTGGAGCTGTCCCCGCTAACCTGTCGATCCGCCCTTGATAGTATTCACCGTGCCTCAGACCCATGACATGGTCTCCCAGCTTTTGTCCCCTTCAGAACCAAAGAATCTTTCTGATGCGGTGGTTTTACTCCTACTGGCATCTCATGTGTTTCTGCTCTGGGCTCTTCCAGCATGCCTCAAAGTCCCGGTTTTCGCTTTCGTGTACCTATTTTGGCGCGCTGGCTACAATGCCGGGATTGGATGGCTGCTGCATAACCAGTCGCATCACAAAACTATGATCCGGTGGGCAGAGAAGACAAAAATCTTTGTCAATCCGGCCACTGGCAAAAATCCTCACCCAAAACTGTACAATTGGATCAAGTGGGAAATGGAGACCAAAATTCCTCACGATTATTCTTTCGAAGAGGCACCTATTGAATACAATACCTGGCTAGTCTTCCGCCGTCTAGTTGATGTGATCCTGATGTGTGACTTTACCTCTTATTGTCTCTTTGCGATAGCCTGTGGTCACCGTCCTGTTGATGAGAGCTTGGTCATGACCTCCCTTCGGTGGATAGCCGGTATCGTTCTGGTCCTGTTCAACCTCTGGGTCAAACTAGATGCTCACCGAGTAGTCAAGGACTATGCCTGGTATTGGGGAGATTTCTTTTACCTCATTGACCAAGAGCTAACCTTTGACGGAGTCTTTGAAATGGCTCCCCACCCTATGTACTCGGTCGGCTATGCGGGCTATTACGGTATCTCCCTGATGGCCGCCAGCTATAAAGTCTTGTTTATTTCGATCATTGCCCATGCAGCTCAATTCGCCTTCCTCGTCCTCGTTGAGAACCCGCACATCGAGAAGACCTACAACCCACCCGCACCCCGCAAGCGCTCAGTCTGCGCCGGTTCTTCCACCAGTCTCCCTGCCTACTTAGACAGCCCATCAGCGCCAACACCGTTCGCGACAACTCCGATTGCAGCAACCCCGTCTGAGGAATTACAACCCAATGCGCCACCATCGTACTCGACCAAACCACCACCCTCGGTCCACAATCTTTTGGGCTTGAGCAATTTGGATCTCTTTAGAACCACGGATTCCTCGATAATTCTCATCGAGCTACTTGTATTCGCAGTCACTGTGTTAAGTCCATCGACCCCGTTGTACCAATTCTTTTTCGTGGTCAATGCAGTTGTGTGGCGTGTATGGTATTCTGTAGGTCTTGGGCACCTTCTTAACAACCAGTCTAGAGACAAAGCTTGGACCAGACACTTCCTCAAATTTGGTGAGACTCCTCTGGAGGCATGGAACCAGTGGAAGGGCACTTATCATCTGAGCATGGTCATGTGCTCGGCCAGTTTTATCGCTGCAGCATGGAAGATGTACACCGTTCCTAGTGATTGGAATTACGGCTTGGTGCTTTTCCGCCACGTTGTTGGTGTCGGTCTGATCAGTTTGCAAATTTGGACTTCGATCAGTATATACGATTCTCTTGGAGAATTTGGCTGGTTCTACGGCGATTTCTTCTTCGATGAATCTCCCAAACTCACTTACGAGGGTATTTATCGCTTTCTCAACAACCCAGAGCGCGTGTTGGGTTTGGCTGGTGTCTGGGGTGCAGTTCTTATCACAAGCAGCGGCGCGGTCACCTTCCTGGCCTTCCTGAGCCACATCCTAAGCCTGGCTTTCATCCAATTTGTTGAGCGCCCTCATATGCAGAAACTCTACGGCCGCAGCCTGCGCCAGGATGGTGGTGTCGTCAAGAATTTGAAGAAATCCCTGCCCCCATCCCTCAAGCAGCTCCACGGCAGTGTTGACAAGATGTTTGATGACTCCTTTGACTTCATCGAGGAGCTTCTTGATAACGCCCGTCCAAAGCTTGCTGCTGGAGTCACCACATTCGTCAAGGATACTACGGCTCTGTTCCAGAAATACCCAGCTCGCGTAACTATCTCTCGCATTGATGCTGATTTGGCTGGATATGATGTCCGGGACTACTCCTTGTCTGTTGAAGGAACGGACGCACAGTCTCCAGAAGAGAACGAACAAGGCAAAGGTCGCGAGGGTGCTAATGCCCGTATGCCCCTGGATCGTCGTGGTGATCTTCAGAACTTGACATTTGAATACGGCTCTCCCATCAAGGTCAAATGGACTGCGCCACTCAATCACAGCAAGAAGGACTGGATTGGTCTGTACCGTGTCACAGACAATACTTCTCGAGAGGTCAGCCGCGTCTCCTCACAGGGCCGTTGGATTGCGACCAACGAGGGTTCGTATGACAACCTGACCTGCGAGAAGGGGATTCTAGTTAGCGATGTGGTTACCAAGGCATCTGAGAATGGCCGCGAGAATCACGAGCTCGCATCTGGAGAAGTTCTCTTCTCGGGTGATAAAATTTTCTGGACTCAGGGTGTTTTTGAACTTCGCTACCACCACAATGGCGTGCACAATGTCATGGCTATCTCTAGACCATTTGAGGTTCGCATCCGGCACTATGACGAGTTCGACTTCTTTGGCGAGGAAGGACTTGTGCAGAGCACCGTTGAGAAGGCCTTGCTTCCTGTCGTCCGCAATTGCTTCGATCGTAATCCTGAAGTCGCGCCTGAAGCTGCCGATGAGCAATTTGGTGGCCTCGTCGAACGAGATGGCAAGTTTGCCAAGCGGGTTGTGTTTGCAATTCATCAAATGTGAGTCTTTTCCTAAGTCTACACATGTTAATGATCTGTTCCTAACCAGAGGGTTCCACAGGTTCGGCGTTGAGTTGGCTCCCGAGGTCGTCAAGGCGGATGGCAATGTTTTGAATCTCGCATGGCGCATCTGTAATGCCAAAAAGGTCTTGGTATGTATTCTATCATCTTGGGAGCAATGATGACTTCAATTCTAACGGCTTTCCCAGGCCCCCTATAGCATGACTCGATCCAATGGCAGAACAACGCCAGTTTAGGTCGAGAAAGCAGCTTGATCAAGCCTTCAGCTCCGAACGGTGGTTATATCTTCCTCTTCCAGGGCAACAAGTTCTTGATACAACGAACATGGTGATTGATGGTTAGAGTGGTTGCGGCGTATTTATAGGCGGTGCCTTATTTTGGTTTTTTTTTTCAATCTCCTTTTCCTCAAGTGCTCTCTCAAAGACAAAAAAGAATCGCCTAGATTATCTAGGCTTGCGCAGACACGAAAAAGAAAACTTATCTCGTTTCTTGTTTTTAAATATTCCCATGTTTTGTTACCAAGGAGTTCAGAAGCTCTATACCTGTGTTGCCTATCTGAGGACCTACCAGTATCCACCTTGGCTTTGTGGAAATGGCCTCATGTTTTGGTTTTTGTCTGACTTTTCTCTCCTTGTCTGGCTCTTCTCACGTACATAGCTTGGCTCAACTACTCTACGGATTTAATTTGATCAGAAAAATTCAAGTCATGAAAATTCATATTTATCATTATTCATATTTACTATGCTAAGTGACCAAAAAGTCTTGAAATCTGCAGACAAATTGTCAGCATTGATCACACAAAAGATACAATAGAATATTGCAAGATTGATCAAAATATAATCAGTCAAGCCAGTTTAATTCATCCCATCCCCTGCTAGATTCCCAAGCTGAACTGGCATCCAAGACGGACGGTCAGCCCAACGCAGGTCACTAACACAAGCCAAGCATAGTAAAACCAACACCAACCAGCAATACCAGACAACGACTTCAGCCCATATATTCCGGTGCTCCACAACCTTCCTCCCAATTACGTCCATGCCGAAGCACAGTCATAAAAGGTCCAGTATAAGGGAGTCGCAAGATATAGATCGTTGCCTGTTAATGCATCACTGGTAGGTATGGCTACGTACCCGGGGGGCGGTTCTCGAAAGATCATTGAATGGATTGACTGGGTGTCATCATAAAGATTGAGGGAGGTGATGGGAATCATGAAACATCGTTTCCGATCGTACCTTTTGGATAGAAGCTTGCAGTAATGACAAGAGTCATAAGATAACCTGTAGGGGACTTTGAATTGTCAGCTTGATTCATCGACGATGACAAGGTAGAAAGACAATGTGATTGAAATGGTATTATCAGGAGTTTTTGGTAAGGTATTTTGTTATCTTCAAGGAATTTGCAGAAGCAGAACTGAAAATGTTTTCTCATCATAAAAGGTGCAGCAGAAAAAAAATTGCAGAAAAAAAATTTCAAAAGCTTACATGTTAGTGCTAGAGATGGCGAGGGCTCGCTTAATTGAATAATCGAGCAATCCGAGCAATCCGAGCAATCCTGTCTGAAATCATTATTAGTTTTTGAAACCAACGATGAGAAGGATCATAATGGTATGATTTGTGAAGTCGATCAGATGGTGATGCATGTTTTGTTCTGGCCCATTCGTTTGTCGCCGAACATAAATTTTGGTAGGTTTCATCATAAAGACAGGGGGATGGGGATGTGAATGGGGGTGAGGTGAAAATTGAGAGGCAACTCACAAGTTAGTTGTAGCTTAGTAGCAGCCTTCGTTTTACATAAACATTCCATGTTTCTCGACCAGCTCCTTCGCCATTTGAAGGACTTTTGTTGATTTCCCATGAATGTGAGATAGAAGAAGAAGAGAAAGAGAAAAAAAAGTCGCGGGAACGAAGAAAAAGTACTCACCTTAAGTGGGGCCCTCTGCAAACACTGCAAACACCAAGATTTCCATTTCTGGGATTCGCGATAATGGCGAACTTCAAGCTTTCTTCCATCCAAGCCAAAATGAATGACAGACGCAGAGTCAATGGCCCTGCAGAGGGCACCAGATGCCCAGTATTCTCTTGCCATGTTGATACAGCAAGCACCCCGACCCGGCCTCAGCGCCAGCGTGAGCCGAAAGCCTTTTCGGAAAATCGGTATGAATCGCCGAATGCCTAGGTTAAGCCTTTACAAGACCTGAGCTAATACGTATTTTTTAAAATCTAGCACTGGAGACAGGACTCACACGCTCAGCTTCTGGATCCTCATACATTGAGGTCCAGCCTTCACCACCTCCCGCTTCCTACAAATCTCTGATCCCACATTCCTCATCTTTGAAGCTTGCCTGCTCAGTCCATGGACCAAAACCTTTGCCCAGATCTGCAGCTTTCTCTCCCAATCTGGTCCTCACAACACACGTTAAGTATGCAACTTTTGCTACACGCAAGAGAAGGGCTCATGTCCGAGACGCAAGCGAGCGTGATCTCGGCGTCCATCTTGAGACAGCTTTGCGCGGCGCCATTATCGCAGACCGCTGGCCCAAGTCTGGTATCGATGTTACGGTGACTATTCTAGAAGCTGAGGATGATCGCTGGTGGGCTGATGCGCCAGACTCACATGATGCCTCGTGGGGAATGATGAATGTTCTGGCCGGATGTATCACTGCTGCATCTGCTGCTCTTGCAGATGCTCATATTGATTGTCTCGACTTGGTTACTGGTGGTATGGCTGCGTTGGTATCGGATGATGAGACCCCTGGGGCACCCCCGAAGCTAGTCCTGGATGTTGATCCTTCTGAGCATCGCTCTATTGTTGCTGCTTGTGTGGTGGGTTACATGCCTTCACGCGATGAGATCACACAGCTTTGGTTGAAGGGAGATAGTTCTCAGGCTGTACTTGAAGATGGCGATAAGAGGACTGCTCATGAGGCATTGATAGATGGTGCAGTAACTGCTGCAAAATCTGTCCATGCTGTTCTAGCAGAAGTTGTCAGAGAATCTATCTTGGCTGCTTCTCAGTAATGCTATGCTCAGTAATGATATGCCAAAAACAGTTACATTAATGAATGCATGAACTTTTTGTCTAGTTCCCCGTTGAAGCTCGTAGATGGATAGAGAATACCATTTCTCTGGATTTGAGTTATTTTTGGTCTTCAAGTTGTTACTAAGTAGAGTATTCCGCGCAAAACACTCCAGTGCTATTGGTCCCACACAGGGCACTGCTAGGGCGACTCCGAGTCCCTGGCAGTCATGGTGCCCTGCTTTCCCTTGGATATCAGAAAGCGAAGCTCTGACGTCCGGGTATTCTCAGCATCATCTAGCCTCTCTTTCCTTTCTTGCAAACCTTTCCATTGTCGGCCTCTGAATGGCTTTGAATATCTTGAGTCCGTGGACCTGAGTCGGGTTCACTTTGTCCCCAGCGCCTCTTCCCCCATTGGCAGGCTATGAACTCTTTACTCACTTGTCCCTGGCAGCAGTTATTCCGTGATATCTCCCGCTTCCTACCAGTCTTCGTCATCAGACTCTCTTCTTTGCCACTCGATAAGCCGTGAGATCACAATTTCATACCATGTCACAGACCTAGACCTGAAGAGATTCCGCAACTCTATGAGCCTGCATCTATCTTTCTCGAGAGTTTTCTCATAGGCCTTTTGACCTGACCGAGAATTCTTTTACTTTTCAGGCTACTCAGACTGGCAGCCCCAAACGTGATTGGTCTACTGAAATAAGCTGGCGGTTCAAAAACCGACTCGTCACTCTCATATAGGAAATAGGACGCCTTGGTACATTCGCCGGACCCGATAGCCTGGTAGTTGCTTGAGAAGCTGGAGGCCTTAAAGCTGACACAGCGAGGGGCGGAAAGCCATTCCACTGATTCAGGTGTGATTCAGGTGGGGTCTATCAGACTGGATGCACTACTTAGATCAAGCGGTGGATCAGCCGGGTATAATCCGTCCAATGCTTGCTCACAAACCGCGGTCCTTGCAGCTGGCACGACTTTGAGCTGTCACTGGAGCCACTCATGATCGGAGGACTACCGTACTTCGTATTGGACTTTCTCCCCTTGAACTCATGCATGGCTAGGACCGAAGGAGTATAGTGGTCTAGAGAGTACGGAGTATTTCGGGGTCATTTTGTTGCTGCGGGGTCAGGATGTACTCCAATCGGCATAAATGACCACGAAATCGGCATCACCTGCATACTCCGTAGATTTCCTGAGACAATCCTTCACGATGCCTGCGCTTGCCCTCGATAGCTCTTCCTGGTATCAGGTTGAAATTGGTCCTCGGTTGACTGCGACTGCTGAGTTTGTGTTTCTCAACTGGAGTGGACTAGCCGGCGAAGAACTAGTGTCCCATCTCTACCGTGTTGTAAGTTCTATCCGGAACTTGATCTTTTATCTTATAAACTAAACGAGTCATAGCGTGATCAAGCATGGACCGTGAGCAAATATCCATGTGTTGGTCTTTGGATGTTTCTCCTCGATGGCATCGCAGGATTTCCCCAATTTCCGGCAATTCTCGAAATAGCTAAACAACCACAAGCAAAAATCATCGACCTGGGCTGTGGACTCGGTCAAGATCTGCGGTTACTCGCCGCTCATGGAGTATCTACAGAGAACATGTGGGCGCTGGACATTGACGATGGGCTATGGAAGGTTGGCTACGACCTCTTTCGTGATCAGACTCAAATGCAAGCAAAATTCCTCCACGCAGACTTCTTGAAAGTGGATCCAGCTTTGAATCAAGGCCTAAGTCCGCTGAGGGGCGAGGTAGATCTGATGCTAGCGTCGCAGTTTACGCATTTGTTCGACTGGGCGGACCAGCTAACTGCGAGCAAGAACATGGTCGATCTCTCTAAACCGGGGACCATGATAGTAGGATTTCAACAAGGCCGCGAAACGGCACGGGCTATTCCCAGACCCTGGGGAATGATGTTCTATCATAATAAAGATTCTTTCTTGCAGCTCTGGGACGTGGTTCAGCAGCAGACAGAAACCAAATGGAAATTGGATATCACAGAGATTCAATTGAAAGACTGGGGAATGCTGGATGTGGATGTGGCATGGATGCCAGACGACCATATGGGTCTTAATTTTATACTCACGCGAGAGGCATAGCTTGAAAGTCTACCGATATTGGGGATAAGAGGAGCAATCAATGGGCTTTGCTATTCTGACTAGCTCAAGATCCAGAATATGGATATCTCATCTTCTATCTTCTAGCTGCTAGGCGCCGGGAATCTCCTTAAGGATTTCCTGAATCAAGGCAACTGTCTCCTGCTTCTTATTAAAAAATGGGGAACAGTGACCAGCTTCGATTTCCTTGACGATCCATGTTTTCTGAGTAGCAGCCATCATACCGAATTGGGCCTCCTTCGGCACCGCGCGATCATTGGCTGTAACAATGAAGGCAGACCGTCCCTCGAACTCCTCATCGGCCCATGCAGGATGTGGTTGGGGTGAAGTAAAAGCCAATGTTGCGTGGGACCTGAGCTCCGCCATGAGCGACTTCATCGAATCAGGGTCCATATCTGCCGCAAAATTACCAGCAGGATCATCTGCGATGTTCAAATGAGGCAATGGCTGTGATTTGTTAGCAAGCCCATAGGATTTCCAGAGATGCGCTAGTCACCTTATCGAGTAAGATCCATGGGGGCAGATTTCCACCCTGGAGACCTGCACAGCTAAGACCTTCGGGCACCACAAAGGCCCCAATAAACACCAGCCCAAAAACGCCCCCACTTTGACCCTCTTTTGCTCGTTGAGAGCGACTCAATCCAACCGCAGCCGCAGCTCCAGGCATGCCCGCATACGAATGGAGAACAAGTAGTACATCTTTGCCCTCCTCCACGAGAGGGCGAAGTACAGCTGCGATTGCCTGGGTATCTGTCTGACAATCCTGGGTCGAGGGGTTCTTTGGGTCTAGCGAAGGGTAGCCGGCATATCTGACATCGTGACCCTCTGCTCTCAGCGCTTGCATAAATGGTTCATAGGCTGCAATAGTGATCCAGGCACCTGGAACAAAGAGGATGGTTGTCATGTTGATTGTGGTGTATAATAAAACTTGAAATTATTGCTCGCATGTGCAAGAATGCGGAATGATCCAAGGTTGGAGAATGAAAATATTGCTATTAAATATGGTACATATCAGTGTTCTCACTGGCAATATGTAGAATAATGAGCTATCAGGTCTCGGCAGGAGCTGGTGCCTATTTCGGAGCCTTGCACATGGTATCTTTGCCTTCGCACTCTAGTGACTCCGAGTCAGGCTGTCGGGTTCAAGTTAGCGGAATGGTGCAATTTACTAGCTCCTGGAATATATATTAATCAGGTTTTAGTTTTTCAAGAACAGAGTCCATAATCGCATAAGATACCACCTGAGCAGGAACGTCATTTGAACCTAGAATTAATGTAATAAGCTCAACTGGACCATTTGGACACCGCATGTGCAGTACCTAATCATCTCTATACCCATTTTACCACTGCCAAACATCAACACCCTCATACACACTCTTTACCCTTCCACACTCCAACCACAACTGCTCCATACCACTATGGAGGATCTCTTAGTCAATCTTCACACCCATACGGTCATTACATGGTAGCCAGCCAGTCACCACTCACATCACCAGTGCGACTAAACCAACCACCACAACACTTCTCTAGCACTGGACCTCATCCATGCCGGGGCCCTCCGCCTGCCGCTGCCCAGCCACACTTCATCACCAGCTTGCGCTTCCGAATTCGAATCGAATCCGTTGGCCTTGACCTTTTTCCTTCTTCATGTTCCCACCTTCCTCTTCGGTTTTTATTTTCCTCCGTCCTCGTCACTCGTCCGTCCCGCGTCCGGTCAACTGGTGGAGTCGACCGCTGCATCCACCGTGAGGGACTTGGAACTTCAATATACAACTCCAACCTGGATCAATTGTTGCAAATTCAACTTCCTCTCACATGTCATCCGAATTGGTGTAGTGGCTAACATCGTCGTCTCTCACACGACAGCCGGGGGTTCGATTCCCCCATTCGGAGTTTTTTTGCTGCATCTCCATACGGGACCCACAACGAAGGCCTGGCAGATTTACCATCTGCTTGATGCACTGTCGACGGATGTGAAGTTACACTGCGCTCGGTAAGTGCTTCAACGCCATGATTCAAGTTGAATTTTTGCCATCTGATGGATGCGCTATTACAACTTGAGCTAGGTCAACTGGTACGTCTGGATGGAACTTCTTTCCAGCTTAAGTTTCCAAGATCCCTTCTCGTAATCTTTTCCTTCGCATTTATAGTTTTGAAGCGCAGCATCTCAAAGAACACAAATTGATCCCCTGGCCCTGCAATTCTTGCTTGACGACCTGGATAATCTGGAAGATCGGCAGAAGAGAAAGCAGAATGAAGATCACCATACTGTTCTTGAACTTGCTATCCAATCTAGGAAAAATGAATTCTTCGCCGCGAAGCCCTCTTTACAAGACAGATTATGGCCCCAAATCCGCGCATTGAAGTTGCAACTGACCAAAACTTCCTTTGGAATACAGTGATTTTTCTTACTGTTGGGTGCCAAATTGTTTTTCGATCGGCAACACCGCTCCAAAGACTATCTGGATGGATCTTGCCCCTTCCATATATTTGGAAGATCCAGCGTCCTCATGATCATCATTTTTTATAGATTTTGAGTCTAGGCTTGAAATCAGTGACAAAATCAATTTGGTATAGTTATTCCATGCAGCCTTTCAAAATTTTACGCTGACACCATAAATGCCATATAGTGATACCATCATGCTCCCTCACCGTCGCGTCGCGCCATGTCCCAACATAAATAAATTTTCCTGCACTCTCAGAAATACTCTTCTTCAAAAATCCCTTTGCCTGCGCTTTGCACGTCCTAAAAACGTACAACACTATATTTTCTCTTCTCTTGGCCTTCGACGACTCGTGCATTCCAGCACAAAGAAGAACTTACACATCTCAAATCTCCTATTGGTCACCATCAATATTTTATTTTATTTTGAGTCTACATAGGCTTGGAATCAATAAAAAGCTCAACTTGGTATCATAATTCCATGCATCCTTTCAAATTTTTACGCTGACACCATCATGATTAGCCATTTTTCCTCTTCTTTTTTTTCTGTTTTTCTTTTTAGATTTCGAGTCTACATAGGCTTGGAATCATCTGGGCAATAAAGGCTCAAATTGGTATCATCATTGAACCCAGCCTTTTTCCCCCATCATCATCAATTTTTTTTTATAGATTTTGAGTCTAGGCTTGGAATCAATGACAGGCTCAAATTGGTATCATCATTGCATGTACATAGCCTTTCAATTTTTTACTGGCACCATAAATGAAATATTCCATCATATAGTGATACCATGGCATATTCACTATAGACCACCTGGGTAGAGCCTCCATCGCTACAGGGACTCGGAATGGGATCAACAAAATGTCTAGGGAGTCAGTGTTAAGGGATACCGGTGTTGTGGTTAAGAACTAGTACGGAAGAACCTTATTTGTGGGGAAGGGTGGGGAGCCGAAGTTCTAACACGCGTAAAACAACAGCAGTCGTCCGAACTAGGTGTTATCTCTCAAACAATCAAGGGCCACGTGCTTGAAAAATTTCGGGCACACGCTAAACTTTACGTTTAACTTTACGTTTAAGTTAACCCCCAAGCCCTAAAAACATGCTTCAAATATAAATCCGCAATCTTGGGATTCCGGAAACTCATAGATCCAGAGCCCCGTAACTTCCCGTGTTGCCCCCAGCCCCTAGCCAAACAACCTTCCAACCCTGTAAGATAAATATTAGGCCTGTAGAGTAATATTAATCAGCGATTGAGTGAGCTTTGACGATTTTGACCATAAACTTCGCTGTAGAGCTTCGGCTTCAATGCCGTATGGCTCTAAAAAGGGGCCAGCTTCACTTCAATCGGGTGCCAGTGCAACAGTCTAAGTTTTGGTATTAAATATCGAGCTATAGAAGTTGAAATACTGTTAAGAACCGTTCCTACAACAGTTTGATAGTTTTCGGGATACGGGCTTGCGTTTTCTTTATGAATGGTTATCCGCTGCATCTTAACTGGGCTGCATCTTAACTGGGCGAGAGGTTTGGGTGTTACCTCTAGATGGGCAGTAAAATCAATCTTTCTTGGGTACCAGACAGAATCCACCAGACACAACCAGAAACCAATTGAATCGCTTGGAAACTTTTCACTTTATTACTTTTCCTACATCCTCCAACCCGATTCTTCAGCTTATCCCGCCCGCCAATGCAAGATACCGGTCATATGGGTAGCAACATGATCCTCTCTCTTTTCTCTTTTCTTTACGAAGACCAGAAAGCTAATTTGGGGACTAGGAACCAAAAATATCGCCGGTCAAGTCAATCTTTCCGTCTCGCCATGTTTCCAAACGCGAAGCCGCTGCAGAATCGTTTCTCGACCTCTCGTCCTCCATACAGCTTACTTTTCGGACCGGAAAGTGAGAGAATCGCCAGTCACTTTTCTCGTTCTCAACCTGACAACTTCTCTCACTTCGGAGAGCTATTTTGGGGCCAGGAAACAAGAGCATCGCCAGTCACCCTTTCACTTCGCCATTTTTCTGAAGCTCCTACATACGGATTCACATGCATTATGTGATACCAGGACATCTTGAAGATGCTGGCCTGATGCTGGGCTTGATGCTAGGACATCTTGAAGATGTTGGCCTGGTTCCTGCTTGATGCTAGGATTGATATTGGGCTTGATGCTGGGCTTGATACTAGGACATCTTGAAGATGCTGGCCTGGTTCTTGCTTGATGCTAGGCTTGATGCTAGGCTTGATATTGGGCCTGACGCTGGGCCTGATATGAGGCTTGATATGAGGCTTGATATTAGGCTTGATATTGGGCTTGATGCTGGGCTTGATACTAGGACATCTTGAAGATGTTGGTCTGAGTCTTGCTTGATGCTAGGCTTGATGTGAGGCTGATACTGGCTTGATGCTGGGCTTGATGCTGGGCCTGATATGAGGCTTGATGCTAGGACATCTTGAAGATGCTGGACCATTCCTGAGGGATATGGGTGAGTGGTGGAATCTTCCTGTTGATGTTACATCTACTTCTGGGACTTTATACTGAAATCATCACCAGTACTTTCTCTTTTACTATTTTCCCGCATCTCTTATGGCATTTGTTTGAGATTAATTAGGTGATATGACGAGATGCTGGTTTGCTGCTGGTATTTTCCTGGTATTTTCCTGAGTGATATAGGTAAGTGGTTGAATCCTCCTGTTGAATATCAGATGCCGCATCTACTTCTGGGACTGTATACTGAAATAATCACCAGCTCTTTTACCGTTTTTTGGACGTTGTTATGGGATTTATTTGAAATTATGCAGGCAAAATGATGAGATGCTGGGCTATTGCTGGCAATTTCGTGGACCGTTCGTGAGTGATATACGTGAGTGGTGGAATTCTCATGTTGAATATTCGATGCCTCATCTACTTCTGGGGCCACTTATAGAAATCAACTTACTGAAACCATCATCAGTGCACTTCCAAGTTCTTTTTTATCATTCTCTTGAAATTCTTATAAATTTTGTTTGGGATTAATCAGGTGACCAGACAAATTGCTGGACCATCCCTGGGTGATAGAGGTAAGCGAAATAGGCAAACATGAAGGAGCAAACATTGCAGCTAATTTTGGGACCAGATCCAGGACAGGACCCTGAGTTTACGTTTAAACCTTTTGCCGTCTTTTCTATAAAAACGTTTCGTCAGTTCACGATTTCTCTTCTTCTTTCTTCCCTCTTCGTCTCTCCACCCTCAACATATTTTCTACCCAGACCCCAACCTTTTACCTACTCCCACAAAACTCAACTTATTTCATATCTTTATTATCCTCTTGAATTTTTCCAAGATGGCACCTACCAAGGACAAAACCCCTCCCTCCAAGACCGACAACAAAGTCGTCAAGACTCAAGCCTCCATGCGAAGCGGTCGCAACCGCAAGTTCGGTAACGTCATGAGCGACGACAATTTCCGCTTCATGTGGACTTGCCTCGAAGGTGTTCAGGTTCGTGACCAAAAGAGTTGACTGAAGTTTCATTGACCCGACCATTATCCCACTGACCATGATTTCACGCCAGGTTGACTACCGCACTGTTGCTGGAAAGCTGGGCATCTCTTACTCTGCCGCGAATCAACGCTACTACAATCTGCGTGACTACTTCAAGCACCTTGCTGAGCTTGAGGGCCGTCCCCAGCCTGCCACTGTTCAGCCTTCTGGCCGTCCCAAGGGCGCCAAGAAGGTTACGAAGAAGGGTTCCAAGAAGAACACTAAGGGAAAGGGCAAGGGCAAGGCTCCTGCTAAGTCTGACGACGATGATACCTCCATCGACCTGACCCAGGATGACGACCACGTGGACCTGACTCGCGATGATGATGACATGTCTGACATGGATGAAAACATGAGCGACGCATCCAGCTCCAAGGGCGAACTTTACGCTCTTATCAAGAAGGAGATCGAGGAAGCCGACAAGGATCAGACTATCTTCCCCAAGACTGAAGATGCTCAGGCTGAACCCGCTGAAGATGCCCAGCCGACTGAAGAGGCTGGACCTGCTGAAAAGGCTGGACCCATTGAAAAGGCTGCCCCTGTTGAAGAGGCTGCACAGACTGAGGATGCTGCAAAGGCTGGACCCATTGAAAAGGCTGCCCCTGTTGAAGAGGCTGCACAGACTGAGGATGCTGCAAAGGCTGAAGAGGCTGAGGCTGAACAGCGCGATGAAGATTCTCTGCCTGATTATGAGGATGCCAAAGATGTTCAGGATGAGGAGGACGTTGATGTTGCTTAGGCAAACAAACACCTCCCGCATCGTGAGTCCCATTTTACTTTCTCATCCAGTGATTTGGTGCACTGCGGGTGGAACATTTTGGGAATACGGTGCGATTTCTGATTTTTTGGCGTACGGGGTTTTTTATTTTTTTTTTCCTTTGCAATATTGCGGTGCGGTGGTTGCGTTTTGCGAGCAGCAGCGTGTTTTCTAAATTCTTCCCATACGGTTGAGGAATTGGAAAATTGCTGTGCGGTTTTCTAAATTTTTCCCATGCGGTTGAAGAATCTAGAAAATTGCTATGTGGTGATCCAGTGAATGTTTGGACTACGGTTCGAACTTTTTTTTTTTTGGAAAACTGCTATGCGGTTATGCATTTACCTTTTGCCTTTTGCAATATTGCGGTGCGGTGACCTTGGTGACTTTCTGATCTTCCACTTTCTCTTCTGATCTTTCAGTTTTTGGTCTTCTGCAAGTTGACCAGCCTTGATATTTACATTTGCGTTCGATGCCTATTTACGATACCCCGCTGCAGTTTTCCGCAGGAATTGAATTTGCGTTTCTTTTTTTATCCAACTTCATATCTGTAATTGATCTAGATTACCTAAGTGTAGATGGATGTATCTCATAATGATATTGTCGACTAAAACGGGTGCTGCCTACTACTACTAGTAGGTGTACCACCTGAGCAGCAGTCAAACAAGGTAGATACTAACTAAATTTAATCCTCGATGAATATATCAACCTTGGAAAACTTGAATATTTTGTTGACCAGTCAAAACTTTGAAGTTCTACATAACAAGCACTGGTTCAGATTATTATATCTTTCGTGATAGGGAATTTGATCGTGATCTCGTGCGAGATTGAGGTTGCATGTGTAGTACTAGGTATGAGATGATGACATACCAAAAAAAACCGAAGATCTTATAAGTTTCTTTACAATTTTTTTTTATCGCTATTGTTTCATCTTTTCCAAAGTTTTTTTTTACACATTTTTTGTGCTGTTCCAATATTTCTACATTATTTCCTAGCTCATGCATAAGGACCAATCTTGTTGAATTGCATTAAACGAGGCATCCAGGCTGTCAACTATGTACTCCAAGTCTGTACATCCATAGTGGAGAGGATAGGAACACACTACTGCACAGCGGTATTTAGCGCAGGTCGGGTCAGGCAATGCAGGTGCCCACTATGAAGTAAAGTCATATTATGATAGATCCACATACTCGGCCGATCGGAGTGTTCACCATAAATCATCTATGATCCGTGACTGCATACATCGAGATTTGGAGTCATGCAGATTTCAATTTCAAGATCCGGGATGATCTAGATTGGGTAAGACATGAAACAAATCCCGGATGCAGACCGAAGACATCTGGACAACTGGTGGGGCTATAGACTCGCCGAGTCACGAGTGTGATGGAAATTGTTAGCGACATAATTATGGCGCACTACTATACATAGTGACTTAGAAATGCAGGGGATATTTGAGATTGACATTTGGAATTGAGACCCGTATTTGATTGAAATATTTGATCTTTTAATGTACGAGAACATGTACAACCAGTTGACTTGACCCCACATGATTGTATTGATCTCTATGACTCGGGTGTATACTCCGGAATCCGTGCAAGGTCTGAAGACAGCTTAATAGAAACAGTACGGGGAGCTCCGCATGAATTATTGTATACGGAGGGCTCCGTGCTACATTCATATGCATTGCTAAAGTTATACTCTGGATAATCCGCATAAGAATAAAAGTCTATCTGCCACAATGTATTGCAGTTTGCCGTGGCTGAAGCTCCACCATAGGAGAAGTTTGGGACCAATACCCACCTAAAAGATACATTTTTGCCGCTCATCAATCAATACCATTCTGGACATTTCATCGAGAGCAGCGTTAATTTTTCCTATCCGAGAAAGTTGCTTGGTAGACGCCATATGTCTCAGTGCGTACCAAGTATATGTGTATATATCGTCCAAATTGGACAAAAGTACGACGATCGATATTAATGACGGACCCATTTTTTAAAATCGGTATCGAAATCGGAATCGATCGATCGCAAATGAAAGGAGATACGGTGGAGTAATGAAAAAGATTGGGCACGAGCACAGAAGACGGAGGATACACCCGTTGAACCCGTGAACATGATGTTTAAGGGGAGTACATACATGTTATCTGCACATACCAAGGGAAAAACATGAACGTCTGGACTCAACTGAAACTGCAGTTCCAAGGTACATAAAAGCGGATCATGGGGGTTCTCTTTCCTATTTTTGCTTATATTTATTATTTTCTATTTATTTATTTTTTATCATTTTATTTTTTAATTTTAGCTAGTGTTTCGATTCTTTGAACATGTTCAAACCCCCCCTGAGTTCATGACCCATATAGCGCGGCAAGCGGGAATCCAATCTCTTTTTTTGACTCCGTAACTGGGCGCAACTGGACTAAATGGAGTAAATGGAGTAAATGAAGTTACTTTTCCACCCAAATCTCAAATTTTTTGAACTTACGTTTTCTTTCATTCCCCGCCACTGACAAAAACTGAATAGGCAAATCGGATGTGTCGAGTACCAAATTTGGCACTCGGTTCGCGGGCTCGTGCCGCTAAGAACGAGTATGATCCACCACAGCAGCTTGTCGATCACTACTATACGCCAATCAATGGCAATCATCTCCATACCGGAAATTGAGGTGTCCACTTTATGATTTCCCTCCTCCACTTCCCTCGGTCACTTCCCACTTGACGGTTGGTCCGGCATTTGCTCCCTATTCGAGACCTTGCAGTATTCTAAGCTGATGCGGCCATTTCCCGAGAATATGGTCCAAGACAGCCTCGCATATCTTTTTCGGATTCCAAGGCTTTTTCTGTTGGGTCTGTCATGTGGGTCTAGGAAAAAGGGAGCGGGAGGTGATGAGCTACCAACCTACAGCTGCAATGTGGACGTTATTTCCGGAGAATAGCTTCCTGCTAGCTGCATATTGACCCAGTGTGACCCGACTTCCAAGGCTCCCGACAGTTAGGGGCCTATCTCTTACTGGGTCCAAAAAAAAGAAGAAAAAAGAAAGGGGCAAAAGAACAAAGAAAATTCCTGGAACTGCAGGAACAAGATACGGGGAAACACGGATATCAAGGTAAAGGAGGGAGAAGAGGGAAAAGAAATAAGAGAAAAAAAAGCAAGAAAAAGACAAAAAAAGAAAAGAAAAGACTCGAGTTTGAGTTTATTCCAATACAATTTAAATAATTTAGATAATTTAGACAGCCGTTCGTGTGTCAAAGCTACCAAGCCGCGGCAGATGGAGCACTCTTAATTTCTTAGCGTATGAACCGTCACGCTGCATCTGGCCCCATCACTGTGATGGATCTTGGAGTAAATAACACACCCCCCTGATCCAGAGAGGGTGTTGGATCTGCATTAGATTAGTATTGGTCTCCGCTTCGTGCTCTTTTTTCCCTTTTCTTCTTTCCTTTTCCCTTATACCCTGGAACTCTGGAACCATACTACAGTATACCAGGTTTCCATAATCTCGACATTTTTAATGCTATCATGACTATGCGCACTTCTGGGATTCTTCACGGCCTTGGCTAGCTGGTCCACAATCTGTTAGCTGGAAGAGTACTCGGTACTTTCTTCCCTGACTTCGACGTCACTTGTTTCAGGCCCCGGTTTCCACCAAAATTCTAAATTCTTCAATCCTGCGGTTCTTTTGCACATGAGATCACAGATCTAATTTCAACATGGTTGCTATAAAGAAAATATTTCAACAGGAGAGGAATGTCAGACCATCAACGAGTCCTGGCTTCGCGCCAGATGATTCATACTTGGGCTCTGTCGAGTCTCCTACTCGATCAACCCATCTAGATCCCGGTCATCTATACCCATCTCCTCCGTCACCGGCACTTCCATCACCTTTCCTCAAAACAGGACGGTCTATGGATGTGTCTCATCACTTTGAACAGATTGAAAAACAATTCGAAGATCTACATCAACATCTTGGTGATAGACCATTCTCCTCACAGTCATCCTTGGCGCCAAATGTACCAGGCCGCTTTCCAATTCCAAAACCATTGACACCCAATGCTCGACATATCGATTTAATGGATGCTCTTGCATCTGATCCTTATTATCAGGAAACCACTCCCATTTCGCCGCCTACCAGTCCATACAATGAAGATGTTGCAGAACGAAATATGACGCGCTTCTTGCGCATTCAATACCAAAGTGGATACGCTAGCTCTCGCATATTGTCTGCGTTGTACCAAGAAGATGTGGCAGACAGAAATATTGCAAAATATAGTGGGCCAGCTCGATCTTTATCTGCACTGAGCTCCCGCTCCTCTCCACCTGCACCTGGAAGGGTACGCAACTTGAGCCCCAACACACAAAGACGCAAGCCAAAGAAACCAAAGAAACCAAATTGGACTTCTGATGGAGATTTGCGCAACCGTTCCTCACCAGATGGATCCGCAACTGACGGTGAAGTTCGCGCCCGAAGATCAGCACCGAGCTTGTATGCGGATGAGGACATCGAAGATGACGATGACGAAGCTGCACCGCCAGTTATTCAACGGTTGGGTGTTCCTCCCGCCCATAAACAGGGCAAGAGATGGAGTAATACCCCATTACCAGACAGCCCAACCTTACCCCCTCCAATGGGCGATGGTGATGCCGATGAAAAAACCAGTAATTCAGGAACTCCGCCGAAACTTCAACAGCCTCCGTCTCCAACTGCGCGGAGCTCGTCATTGACTAAAAGATCCCTCTCTCCACCGGGAACATCATCAAGGAAGAATGTTCGAGATCTGTCAATCAACACCCAATTGGCTGCAAAGGGACGGGCAAAGATTTCTCATCGAGCTATCCAACCTCCCACCCCCTCTGCCAGTGATATGAAGCGTGCACCTAGCATTGCAGAGGTCATGAACAGTCCATTGGCAGTCACAACCCCAACACCTCCTCCACCTTCACCACGATTCAAAGTTTCAGAGATGATGGAACTGTTCACAAAGGCCTATAAATCATCACATGCCTTAAGTGCACATCCCACCTACGAATCTCTTCAAGATGCAATTGTGCGCGAAATTAATTCCCATGATGCATTCAAGCGAGTGCCTGTTCCTACTGCTGCTGGGCCGCTATTTACACCCGCAGGCCAGGACTCATTCGATAAATCCAATCGTCCAGAATTGAACCGCAGTGCTTCAGCTGGCCAATTCTCAAAAATCATGACAAAGAGCTCCTTCAAGAAACACAAGCGAAACACGGAGTCAAGTCGCAGTATCTCCTCCACCATTCCTTCAAAGGGACCCGAATGGCTTTTCCGCAAGGCTTCTCCCTCCCCTGCGCGCCGCAGACACACCGATGCACCAGCCCCATCACCCGGTCTCTTGGCAGAGGTCCAAGGCTCCACTGAGAAGAAGCTGCCCCAGACTTCAGCAGGAGAGCAAATTATCTATATGGATGTCCTGATGCGTGCAAGTCACGATAAGGGCCCTACTTCCCACCCTGCTGTAACTACCACCAGCGCCTCCGCGCCGAATACACCAGGAAATGTCTACTGCATGCAGGCCCATTCGAGTCCATCCAGGGATAGCAGAAGTAGTCTCTCAGCTGAGGATAGCGATGATGACATCATTCATCTCCCCAGCGTCACTGCTCCTCCCCCTCGCGTGCAGATCGAAGGCGTCGATGATAACAATGTTCGCTATGTCATCGATTCTTCCTCTGCGACTGATGCTCAGAAACTCATGAGCTGGCCACAGCGACTCCGTCGTGCCCAGAGTCCTCAACCTTTCTGCGAAAATAGTCTCTCCCCACTATCTCGTGCGAGGATGCAGCTTCGTGGAACAAGGTCTGTTGAGACTTATTAGCGGCTGGAATTGTGAATCTGGAGTCTAACTCGGACGAGGATTCACTGTCTTTTAGCACGATAATGATTTTGCATGATACCTGCCTCTCTCTTCTCAAAAGCTGTTTGATTCATCTCGCAGTTTCTGTTCTCTATAGCGATTTTGAAAATCCTTGGTTTGAAGTGTCTGATCTCCAGGCGTCTTGGCCTTCTTTCTCTTCTCTTCTCCTAACTGTATACCCTCTACATACCTTTCATACAGGTCTTTCCTACCGATCATAGCTCTCTCTTACTCTTGACCCTCTTCAACCCTAGTCCATCCTTGTCCTTTTCCTGTCCTTCCTCGTCGCCAACAAACGTGGCACTCAAAATCCCTTTCTTTTTTGTCTTATTACCATTAAAGGTGCATCTTGTGATTGGCGTTACATGCACTTCCTGTATTATATCCCGAGTGGCTCTCGATAGCTTTTATTTCAGCGATTGGATTTCTAGTTCAAGTCTTGATTACCTCTAAATGATTCAAATGTTCCTCACTACTAGCAACGTAGTCTTGTTCAGACTGTCTCCGCATATTTAGACTCGGATGTATACTTAAGAGAAATGTCACTACTACTCTACTAAGTCCAGGTCCGCAGTCTTCATTTTAGATTTTTTTTTATTTGGTTTGCTGAGAAGAAATTTAAAGAACATCATCACTCGTTTCTTCTCGTAGACACATTTCAACTACAACCAGTTGACCCATCACCCCCGACTCCCAAATTCAAATGCCACAAAAACTGGGGGAATCTTTTTCAAGATCTTCAAAACTACACGCGAAATATCCGGATGCAGACTTTTTGTGCAAAAGTAGTCGCTAGCTTAGTAAGAGCGACCAAACATAGTCCACTTCTCAGCAGGCTTAGTACACTTGGGGTTAATGCAGGGAGTACCAGGAGCGATACCCTCACCCTGGTCAGCAAGGATACACAAACTCTTAGCACCCATGCTAGGAGCCTTAGCATCCTCAGCCTCACCAGTCTCCTCAACGGCCTTACGGGCAGAGGCATCCTTGATCTCTCCCTCACAAGTCTCACCAAGACAGAAGGGAACAACCAAGACGCACTTCTGGTTAAGGGCAGGGCAGAAATCATCCCACTTGGTGACGACCTTGCGGTGAGCGGAGAACTCTGCATCAGCACGCTTGTACAGATCCTCGTGGATGGTGTCCAGGAGAGCGGGAACAGCAGTTGCCAGCTCAGGGATGGCAATGGTACCCTTACCGTCCTTGCCGGGGATATCACGACGAGAGGTGGTGACGAAGTGACCGGCAGACTCGCCGGGACCGAACTCCAGACGCAGAGGAACACCGCGGAGCTCCCACTGGTTGAACTTCCAGCCGGGGGAGTAGCCCTCGCGCATGTCGCTTGCGGCACGGATACCGGCAGCGGAGAGGACGGTAACGAGGCCGTCGATCTCGGCGTACAGCTTCTGGCGGTCCTCGTCGGTGGTCTTGGCGGTGACACCGACAGGGACGATGATAACTTGAGTTTCGGCAACTCGGGGGGGAAGGACCAAACCGCGGTTGTCACTGTGGGTCATGACCATGACACCGATGGAACGGGTTGACAGACCCCAGGAGTTCTGCCAGACATTGAGAGGAGGCTTCTGCTCACCAGGCTTGGATGTGGGGTCTTAATGAATGTAAGTATCATATCTTCGGATAAAAGGAATTGTTAAGGGCCAAAACTTACCTTCAACCTGGATGTTGAACATCTTCGCGAAGTTGGTTCCGAGACAGTGAGATGTAGCTAGTATCATATTAGCCAAGTTTAAATCAATGACGGGATTATAAATGCTTACCAGCTTGAATACCACGACCAGTGGCGGGAATGTAACCCTCAATGGAGAGGGAGTAGTAAGATCCAGCGAATCGCTCCTTCTCACTCTTGCGACCCTTGATAACGGGGATGGCAAGGAGCTCCTTGTAGACATCGGAGTACCAGTCAAGAATCTGGAAGACCTCCTCCTGGGCACTGGCCTCGTTCAAGTGGGCAGTGTGACCCTCCTGCCACAAGAACTCACGAGTTCGCAGGAAGGGCTGGGGGTTCTTGAACTCCCATCGTACAACGGAGTTCCACTGGTTCAGACGCAGGGGCAGATCACGGTGGCTTCGAATCCAGCGGGAGTAGTATGGGTACATAACAGTTTCGGAGGTAGGACGGATAGCGATCTTCTTCTCGAGAGGGGTCGATCCACTAGATTAGAGTCAGGTCAGCAAGATTCTCAACAGCTGTCAAAGATGGGGAATGCATACGCGTGTGTAACCTAAAAAATGCCCGATATAATTATTAGCATTTAAATCACAATGTAGTTTCGCATCAAGATTGGAGGTATATCATACCCAGGCGACCTAGTATAATGAGTTAGCAATGGATCATCATGTCGGAATACTGTATTATATTTACCTCAGGACTGAATCCCTCGAGATGGTCCTTCTCACGCTCCAACACATCCTCAGAAACGAACAATGGGAAAGAGCAGTTCTTGACACCGAGGCTCTTAATGCGTGTGTTGAAGAAGTTCTGGATTTCCTCCCAGATGAAGTAAGAAGCGGGCTAGAAAGCACGTGTGCATTAGCAAGGGCATAAGTAGATAAGAGATTGGAAGTAAGATAACATACTCGGAGAATGAAACAGCCAGACACATCATAGTAATCCAGCATCTCACTCTTAAGAAGGACCTGGGAGTACCACTCAGGGAAATCCTCCTCCTTTGCAACATCAATACCAATCAAAGCGGCACCCTCGACCTTCTTCTTAGGAGCAGCCTTCTTCTTGGGCTCCTTGGGATCCTTAGGAGCCTTGGGCTCTTGCTTGCCCTTACCAGCGGCCTTAGCAGCCTTGTCGGCAGCCAGCTTGGCGGCCTTCGCAGCTTTCTTAGCGGCGTTCTTGGACTCACCAGCCTCGCCCGCTTGGTTATCAGCGGGGTTTGCAGTGCGGTCGGGAAGAGTTTGAGGAGCAGCGCCAGGGGCGGCGGTTTCGGTGGGAGTCAGGTCGGCCATAGTGATTGTAAACGAGCGCCGGGCCTCGAAACTCAAGAAAAATTAAAAGGCAGTTGAATGCGCAAAGCAAATCGGGTGCAAAGGACAAGAAAAATAAGTATGACTCTGAATCTGAAAGTGGGATGTATCGGCGACACCGCTCGGCAGAACTTTTAGCGTCAACTCAACCAAAACCCCCCGTCTCCAGCAAGAGAGCTTAGCCATCCCACTTTACTCTATTAATCTCTTGAATTCGCCATGGCAGGCATCTTCGAGGCCCCGCGGAATGCGGACACTCTTTGTGGGTTTTTTTCCGTACCGGAAACTTGAGGCTCAGCCCGACTAACGGATCTCGCACACAGTCTTGGGTGGTCAGAAAATCACCGGTGCCGATGTGAGGGAGCAGAATGGTATGTCGAATCCAATATCTCGAATCCAATCCATTGTGCTAACCAAATCCTGATAGTTCTCGCCACTCAGGCTATCTCAAATGTTATCAAGAGCTCCTTCGGTCCCTCCGGACTGGACAAGATGATGGTCGACGACATAGGGGTACGAAACAATCAACTCCCCCGCAGAGCTATCCCGTAGCTGCTTCTAACACTCTTTCTTCTATTCAGGACGTGACCGTGACGAACGACGGTGCTACCATTCTGTCTTTGCTGGATATTGAGCATCCTGCGGGCAAGATTCTTGTTGATCTCGCCCAGCAGCAGGATAAGGAGGTACGAATTCTAGGCTTTTCTCACGGACTATTTCCAAGATTCTAATCTCTTTACCTTTCTCTAGGTTGGAGATGGTACTACCTCCGTCGTCCTGATCGCCGCCGAGCTTCTGCGAAGAGGTAACGAGTTGATGAAGAACCGGATACACCCTACTACGATTATCAGCGGATACCGTCTTGCGCTTCGGGAGGCCGTCAAGTATATGAACGAGAATGTGACAACAAAGGTCGAGAACTTGGGTAGAGACAGCTTGATCAACATTGCCAAGACCTCAATGTCTAGCAAGATCATTGGTGCTGATTCGGATTTCTTTGCCAACATGTGTGTGGATGCCATGCTGCAGGTGAAGTCGACAAACCAGAGGGGCGAGGTTAAATACCCTGTTAAGGCTGTGAACCTGCTCAAGGCCCACGGTAAGAGTGTTCTTGAGTCCGTTCTGGTCCAGGGTTATGCTCTGAACTGCACCGTTGCCTCCCAGGCTATGACGACTCGTGTTACAGATGCCAAGATTGCTTGTCTGGATATGAATCTGCAAAAAGAGCGCATGAAGCTGGGTGTTCAAATCACAGTCGAGGATCCTGATCAATTGGAGAAGATCCGTCAGCGTGAAGCTGGTATTGTTCTGGAGCGTGTTGAGATGATTCTGAAGTCCGGCGCCAACGTTGTCCTCACCACCAAGGGTATCGATGATATGGTTCTGAAGCTGTTCGTTGAGAAGGGCGCCATGGCCGTCCGTCGTTGTAAGAAGGAGGATCTTCGCCGTATTGCTAAGGCTACTGGCGCTACCTTGGTCAGCACCCTCTCAGACTTGAACGGTGATGAGAAGTTCGATGCCTCCAACCTCGGTCACGCCGAGGAGGTGGCTCAGGAGCGTATCTCGGATGACGAGTGCATCTTGGTCAAGGGCACCAAAGTTCACACTTCTTCCTCTATCATTCTGCGTGGTCCTAACGAGTTCAGCTTGGATGAGATGGAGCGCTCTGTTCACGATACTCTCTGCGCTATTAAGCGAACTCTGGAGAGTGGTCGCATTGTCCCTGGTGGTGGTGCTGTGGAGACCGCTCTGCACATTTACCTGGAGGAGTTTGCCGTCACAGTGGTATGTATCAATCCTATTCTCATTATCGGGAAATTTTGTCTTTTTTTTCTTACTAACTATATCTCTCAGGGCTCTCGTGAGCAACTTGCCATTGGCGAATTCGCCCAGTCCCTTCTCGTCATTCCCAAGACCCTGGCTGTCAACGCTGCCAAGGACTCATCCGAGTTGGTTGCCCAGCTTCGTGTCCGCCACGCCCTGTCACAGCGTGTGCAAGACGGCGATGCCAACGAGGAAGAGAAGGCCATTGCTAAGAAGAAGACATACCGCAACTACGGATTGGATCTTATGAAGGGACGCGTTCACGACACTCTCAAGGCCGGTGTTCTGGAGCCTAGCATGAGCAAGGTTAAGCAGCTGAAGTCTGCTGTCGAGGCTTGTATTGCTATTATGCGCATTGACACAATGATCAAGCTGGACCCGGAGCAGCCCCAGGATGATGGTCACGGCCACTAAACCCTATGTTAACTAAATCCGGTGTTCCTACGAAACAAAAAAAGACAGTAATTGAATGTTACATAGAAATGATGGATATCGCAGAGAATGAGTAGTTTCTGCAACTACATATGATCTTCCAAATAGTGCTACTAGTATAAAGCTGCCAGTGTCTGATAAACCGAGTACTCGAGGTAATAATGCATATGAAATTAAGCAGTGAATCAACTTCAATGTGGCCATTGACAGGCATAATTGAGTAACATGTATATACACCAAAAAGATATTTCGCCAGGAACTTTGAACATCATATTACAACTCCTTTAAGCTGCAGGTGCACCCCGTTTCTCAGCCATCAAGCGTCGGTACTCCTCAACAATATTCCTTCTCTCGCCAGCCAGTTCCTCTCGTCGTCTCAAACTACCCACAGCATTAGGAATGTTCGCAACGTCCACCTTAGCACCACCACGAATCTTGAAGATCTCCCTCGGCTTCGCCAAAGTAGGCGGCGCCTTAGCTGTTTCAAACGGATTGGCCTGACGCTCCTTATCCTTCTTCTTCAGCTTAGCCCAAGGATCAGGATCATCATCTTCACCATCACCCTTTCTGAGATTCTTCTTCTTAGCCTTTCCACCGCGCATATCCCGTTCCCACCCCTTAAGCATCTCCAACTCATCCGCCATCTCGAATTCCCTCTCTTCCCGCTCCGCCTGCTCCTTCTCCTTAATGCGCGCATCATCCTTCCTCCACCCCTCCTGCAACCGGCGAAGATGCTTCTCATGCTTCGTCATCTTGTGATCTTTGGTCTTGATAGCACCCTTAGCGGACTTCGTCATCTCCGAAAGCGGAAGCATACGATCAACGCGCGCCGCAAAATCAGAAAGTTTCTCTCCGGGTAGAATCTTCGGCATGGCCTTCTTAGCCTCTTCCGCAGCGGTAGCCTCGGCCTTTTCAGGCACGTCTTTGGCAAGTTTCTTATTCTGCGAATCATTCTTGGCGTCTGCGGCTTCCCGCTTTCGCTTCTTGTTCTCTTTCTTTTCGCCGGTTTCCAGTCCTGAGGGTGCCCGTCTTCCCGTTGTCGTGTATTGCATTAAGCGCTGGAAGGCTTTCGGAGTATCATTGTCTTTGGCATTCTTGGGACGGCTAACTGCCTGTACAGGTTGCTTGGGATCGCCTGGCTTTTGAGTGGGCTTTTGATTGGGCTTTTGGCCGTGCTTTTGGCCGGGCTTTTTGCCGTCTTTCGGTTTGGCTTGTGGGTTGCGCACTGGAAGTGACTTTGCGATCATAGAAGGTGGGAGATCGAAGTGCCTGGATGAATTGATGTTAGATTAAATAGAGTAAATGATAGAGATTATTTATTCAGTATACATACGATTCATCTCGCTCTCGTCGCTTGTGTTTGTGAGGCATTGTGATTGATGATTGCTGGTGTGGAGGAGGATCGGAGTTCTCGAGTGGAACTTTTTTCTGCACTCAATCCTTATCTTATCACCGCCTCTACTAGAACAGCAGCTGTATAGACCTAAGACCACCACTAATAACTACACACGAGTGATGTATATAACTGACATTTTACAATATTTTCCAAGGTGAAATGGTACATATGGGAACTCATTATTCTATACTACTAGAAACTGGGAATTTTGAGAATGATTTCAATTCAAGGGTATCCAACGCCGGGATAACTAAACCATAGGTCATGGTACAAAAAAACCCCCAGAAATGCAACAAAAATGCAGACGGGTATGTTCGCTAAACTATGCTCCTGGAATCGCCAGTAAAATGCCCACGCAAAAGATATCATCAGTCACCAACTCCATGAAAATGTGGGGAAAGAGCATAACGCGAAAAATAAAAGGAAAGGTGCAGAAATCATTCGTCTTCATCATCATAGGTGTCTGCCGTCTCAGCCCAGCCACATTTGTGACGTCGACCCCCGGTTTCACCACATTTGCGGAGTTCACGAGCTTCGGGGCCTTCACGCCAGCAACGGATAGTGTAATCATCGCTAACGGTGACGAGATCACCATCATAAGTCCATGACATGGTGGTCACTTCCTTGGAGTGACCTTCAACAAGAGGGGTACCTGATTGGTAGATAGGAATAGTATCCTCTGCGCGACCAGACTTGCCAGTTCCGGAGTTGGTGCGTCGAAGTCCATATCGATTGGTAAACAGAGAATTGCGGCGAGGGAGATTATCATCAGAGAGGGTCTTAACCGGACGCTGGAGGAAACGCTCATCGGTAGGGAAAAGAACAGGGCACTGATCACTGCTGCCAACTGCCAGCATTTCTGGGTGATCGTGTGTCGGTTTGCGCAGAGCCAATTTAACATAAAACGAAGAGACTTGCATACGTGGGTGACGGAATCCGTAAATGGGTCCCAGGCCCTCTTTGTCATATCCAACAGTACGACGGAACCGGTCATTGTTTAAGGAAAGCTCTGGGGCATGCCCGGTAATCAAGTGTGAAGTAGCATATGAGTAGACAGTGCCATCCCGGCAGAGAGTGTAGAGTCGAGAACCGTCGCCGCCTAACGCCATTGAAGTTACGCCAAAGCTTCGGTACTTGATATGAGTATCAGGCTCTCTAGTTGTAGACAACGGAATAACAGGTCGACCTCCTCGACGGATACTGTATGCCGTTCGCAGGTCCCAAAGTCGAACACTAGCACTGGCTTCGGACGAGGTCACAAACAGATTTTCCTGACCAGCGGGGAGGAAGGCAAGAGAGGTAACAGTGATATCAGTTCGTCCCACAGGGGTGGGTTCGTTCTTGTCCGCAGACAATTTTTGAAGCGTAATGTCCCTGTGAGCGCCGTGGATGGTGTTGAGTACATGGGGATAGGTCATTTTAGGAGCAGCCGGTGGAGTCCATGGTTCGGTGTCAGCCCCGGCCTCTGATTCCAGCGAGCACCGGACCTGTTGAGCGGGACGCTCGAAGCCTTTGCAGCGGAGGTCCCAGATACTGACATTTCCATCACGACTGCAAGTAGCGAGGACTTTATTGCCAGAGGCGGGTTGGAATTGGACTTGTTTGACCGAAGAAGCATGGTTGGCCAAACAGTGGATTGCCTGCTGGGTTGTCATGTCGATAATCATGGAGGATTGGTCACCAGAAGCTGTAGCCAGTAACAGGTCGTCGGACGAGAACTCTAAGTCCATGATTGAGTTCTGGTGAGGGCGAAAATGAAGAAACGCGCCGGAAAACCCTTGCTTGTCGTCTTTAGAAGAGTCGATTAATCGAATACTTCCCTCTTCATCACCCACAGCCACCAATGAGTTTGCTTTGTTGAATTAGCCATCGCCCAAGCAACCAAGGCGAGTTAGGGTTTGGACTTACTGTTACAGGAAGCATTGCAAAACGGCATTGTGTGTCGTCCAGGCCTCAAATAGCTAGTACATTTGTATCGATCTTCAGGTCGTGTATGAAAATTTGAAGTGAGATCCTGCCAGCCTATTGATCTGTTAGAAATCGAGTACTTCCGTTTGATATTAAGGTAGGAAACCAACCAGCTCCGTAAGTCGACCGGATGGTGAGTCGGTTTGCGCGGTTTCCTTCCAATGTTCGCATGAACAAAGTTCCAGCCGTCTGTAATGCCCGTGAACGAACAATTGGCAGCACCGGTTCCTGTTTTGGCGGAGCATCTGCGTGGTGTTCCCGAGTCCCCAAATCCATATCCCGAATTGTGTTACCAAGCTCTACATCTTGGCCAGCCGGAGATCTCAAACGAACTTTTTTCAATGGCGACGATTGTATTGGGGAAGCGACAGAGGAGAAAGAATTTTTCCTTTTACGAGTTGGAGTCTGGAAAGTTTCTTGCGGCAGGTCTTCATAAGAGGTTTGAGGGCGACTTTCGGACGATCTAGTAAATGCTGGAGCAAGACGATTGAAGGCCGGCGAGGTCAACGCCCGTAGGGCCTCGCGACTGGCGGTTACATTTCCATGACTTTCACTATTTAAGAGAGATCTTGGTGTAAAAAATCGTCGGAATGATCGAGGTGTGACAGAAGGAGGTTTTCGAAGTTTGCGTCCACTCCCGATATCCGATGCAACTGATGGCGGGGAAGATGGGATTTGTGGAAGGCGAGGTTCTTTATGGGAGGATGGTAGAATAGGCTCTGATTGGAAGACGTCGGGGAGACCGGCAGTAGAAAACCGATCCATTGTGAACAACAATGGACGGTGAGGGTGAAGGGAACCTTCAAGAGTAGATGGGTGGAGATAGAAGGAAAGAATTTAACCCAAGGGGGTAAGATGGGGACGGGTCGTATTGCGCGATTGGGACGTGACGCGAATTGTGTCGTCGAAATTGTATCGTCGAATATTTGGGAGAAAATTTATGTGAAAGAACAAACTTTCTTGTTTTTCTTTGCATGAGAATAATATCACTCACAAATGAAAAAAAAAGAATTAGAACTTGATAATGAATTTAATGGAAGAAATCAAATTTCTGTGAAAAAAATTCGTGTAGTTGAACTATAACGTGTAGATTACATGCACGCGACCTATTAAACGCCCTGTATCATGGATAACTTGGACTTGAGAAAAGCAATCAAATCAGTGAAATCAATAAGAATAAGAGTATCAACGAGATGATTCTGGAGTCTCGAGTCGATATTTCTGAATATGAAAATTTTGAGAAATAACTCTCGCGCGCGAAGTAAACAGCTTGGACGAGTACTGCTCATGTATGGTACGCGCAACGGCTATCAACCTTGGAACCCCAGAACTATACTACACGGCACCTACATATCGATGCAAATGTACGCGGTTTTTCCAAACAGCCCAAGCAGTTATTTCCCTCAGACTAGGGTCAAAATTATTTTTGAAACATGAGTGACTGTTGCCATGGCCTTAGAATTGAGAATATTTTCCAAGATAGCTGATTGTTGTCCTCAGCCAACAAGGGTGATTAATGCCATGGGCTTAGAGCTGGAATATTTTCCAAATAACGAGAATAATTATTACAATCCGTGAATTTATACCTACCTATGTGGTAGTATTCAATTATAATTCATGGGGACTTCTGCATGTATGGTGTCCTACTACTATATTCTCCTTACTAGTGGTACCTAAAAATTCGAACATTTGAATCAATTGATGATACTTTATATAGCAAGTTCAAGTTCTAATATGGAACTTGAATGACCCAAATTTCGAGCATTAAAGAATATACCGGACGACCTTAGGCTGGTCTTTACTTCGCAGGTTGGATGTTAATCTGAATCATTATTCTGGAATCACTTGAATTGTTGACATCTAAACTGAACTCCTTACTAGTAGTGCTAGTAGCATTTGAATCGTCTAAGCCTTATATCAACCCATACATCTTAAACACTGAAGCTGTTCCAAGGTTTCTTCTTCATCCATGATCTATAGTTCCAATGTTAATTATGCACCGATCACTTCATATGACCACCTAGTCACTTTTCTGGCCGCGAACTTGATCCCCTTCTTGGAATCACATCTGGGTATTTAAGGCCATAAATTGGATCGTCCCATCCAAACAAAAATGAATGAAAAAAGCGATTTAAATGGCACACTAGATAGTATCTAGGGCTTCAACTTGAGGCCAATTGCGCTTACATAACCAAAAAGAAGTCCCGAGGTCAGGTGATTCTTGACCAAAGGCGGTCCCCTCTCTCACCGCTAATGATTCTGCCGAGCAGAATCGGATTTTTCGATTTTTTTCTTTGCGAAACAACGAGATTCCCCAACCGTGTACAAGTCGGTCTTGCCTAGCAACAATGGCACCGATTAAAAGAAAGGGGAACGCCCCCCGAGGAAACGGCCGCTCGTCAGCCGCAAAAGCGCGCTAAGGTCGCTACAGAAGAGCGGAAAAAGGACCAGAAGCCTCAAGATACCGCCCCGAAGGCTTCGGAGCTCTCTGTTCTGCGTGATGACGAGCCATCGTTCCCTCGTGGTGGTGCTAGCGTCCTGACCGCACTGGAGCGCAAGCAAATTCAAATCCAAGCTACCAAGGATGTCCTGTTCGAGCAAAAAGGAAAAGCACCCAAGAGACCTACTCGCGAACTTGACGACGACAATGACGATGATGAGGACGACGAAAATGGAGGATGCCGATTCCACAGCCCCCATGAAGAAGTCACGCAAGAAGAAGACTAAGGGCAAGAAGTCTGATGGAAAGGAAAAATCAGAGAAGGAAGGTGTTCGCATTGAAGCTCTCGGATTTAAGGTATGAAGACCCTTGTGCATCGGAGGAAAACCTCTCAATTGGGAGACGTAACGGCTAATCCATTTATAGCGTATTGTACCCGGATCTATGATCCTTGGTCAGGTCTCGAGTATCAGTGCTCACGATATCGCAATTTCTCTGCCAAATAACCTTGTTGGATACGTTTCCCTCACCGCCGTCTCCAAGATCCTCGACGATAAGATTCAGAAACTACTCAATGATGAGGAAGAGGATGGAGATGATAGCTCGGATGAGGATTCTATTGAGCTTAAGGATTATTTCTACCTGGGCCAGTACCTTCGCACCTATGTGGTTTCTACTGGCAGTGAGGACACCGAAGCCACGGGTCGCAACAAGAAACGTCTCGAACTTACAATCGACCCCAGACAAGCCAACACCGGTCTCTCAAAGTCCGATCTGGTGAAGGAGTCCGTTGTCCAGGCTGCTGTTGTCAGTGTCGAAGACCACGGTCTGGTCATGGACCTGGGTATTGAGGGTTCAGACCTGAAGGGTTTCATGTCCTCCAAGGAAATCGACCCCCGCGTGGACTACCACAGTATTAAAGAAGGATCAGTTTACCTGTGTGTTGTCACTGGACAAAATGCCAGCGGCAATGTCATCAAGCTTTCCACAAACCTTCAATCCGCCGCTTCTATTAAGAAACAACACTTCCTCAGCGCAGCCCCAACAATCGGCTCCTTCCTCCCCGGTGTCGCCGCTGAGATCCTTTTGACCGAAGTCACAGAGACTGGTATGATGGGAAAGATTATGGGTATGCTTGATGCTACAGTTGATCTGGTCCAGTCTGGCGCCAATGATGGCAAGCTTGACCTGGTGCGGAAATTCAAGATCGGAGCCAAGATCAAGGGCCGTATTGTATCGACTTTTCCATCTGCGGAGCCTTTCAAGGTTGGCTTCTCTATTCTGGACCACGTCCTTAAGCTTTCTACCGAGCCCTCAGGCCCCAACTCATCCGCCGATGCTCCTGCTATCTCTGCTATTATTCCCGAGGCCAAGATCATCAAGGTCGACCACGGTCTGGGTGTCTACGCTCAGATCGGTGAAACTCAACACCTCGCATTCATTCACATTTCAAGACTTTCAGATGGAAAGGTTGAGTCCATTTCCGATGATGAGGGCCCCTTCAAGGTCGGAAACACCCACGAGGCTCGAGTTGTTGGCTACAGCATGGTTGACAACCTGTACCTCCTCTCTTTCGAGAAGACCGTCATTGAACAGCCCTTCCTCCGCCTCGAGGATGTCAACGTCGGAGCTATTGTCAAAGGAACGGTTGACAAACTCTTGATTGGTGCCACTGGCATGGATGGCTTGATCGTTAGCCTTGCCGATGGAATCACTGGTCTCGTGCCGTCTATGCACTTTGCGGATACTAAGCTCCAGCACCCGGAGAAGAAGTTCCGCGATGGCATGAAAATCTCCGCGAGAATTTTGTCCGTCAACTTTGAGAAGCGCCAAATCCGTTTGACTCTGAAGAAGAGTTTGCTGAACACTGCATCTGCTATTTGGAACGATTACAAGGATATTATGGCGGGAGCTCAATCCCCCGGAACTATTGTTAACATTCAACCCCACGGTGCTGTTGTCCAGTTCTACGGTACTGTGCGTGGATTCCTGCCTGTCTCTGAGATGAGCGAGGCCTACATCAAGGATCCCTCCCAGCACTTCAAGTTGGGCCAGGTTGTCAATGTGCACGCCCTGAGCGTGGACGCCACTCAAGGCCGACTTGCCGTTTCTTGCAAGGATCCTTCTACCTTCACTGAGAAGTACCGCAAGGCCTTTGAGGACATTCACCCTGGTCTCCTCCTTACTGGAACTGTTTTTGAGAAGTCAAACGACGATGTTCTTCTTAAGCTGGATGAATCTGGCCTTGTTGCTCGCCTGGTTGTGCAACACGTTATTGATGGTTCCCCATCCAAGCAGAGCTCGACTTTGTCCAAGATTCGTGTTGGCCAAAAGCTCAACGACCTCATGGTCCTCGATATCCAGCGTGCTCACCGTCTTATCCGCGTTACTTCCCGAGCCAGTCTTAAGAAGGCTGCCAAGCAAGAATCTATGCCCAGCAAGTTTACTGATGTCCAGGAGGGCTCTAAGGTCACTGGTTTTGTTCGTAACATCACACCCGCCGGACTTTTCATCGAGTTCTTGGGAGGCTTGACCGGTCTTGTGCCCAAGCGTTTGATCGAAGAGGCCAACCTCTCCCAGGTTGAGTTCGGAGCCTCAAAGGGCCAAACTATCACTGTCTCAGTTCACTCCGTTGATAATGATGCCCAGCGCTTTATTCTGAGCCAGAAGTCTGCTGAGGCAGCTCAGTCTGATGCCAAGAAGACCAAGACCCTCAACCAGCCGAAACGACGCTCTCGCCAACGCCGTTGACGAGACTGTGTCCACTCTTTCCGACCTTAACTTTGGTCGCCTTGTCAAGTGCAAGGTCGCCAACGTCAAGTCGACTCAGATCAACGTTCAGCTCGCAGATAACATTCAGGGTCGTATCGATGTCTCTGAGATTTTCGACAAGTGGGATGATATCAAGGACCGAAAGCAGCCTCTCCGCTTCTTCAAGGCGAAGCAGGAGCTTTCCGCCAGAATCCTCGGTGTTCACGATGCTCGCAACCACAAGTTCCTTCCCATCTCCCACCGCAGCGGCAAGTACCCCGTCTACGAGCTTTCTCTCAAGCCCAGCTTCCTCAAGGCCGCCAACCCCGAGCCTTTGAACATGGAGCAGGTCAAGGTCGGATCATCTTGGATGGGTTTCGTCAACAACATTGCCGATGATTGCATCTGGATTAACCTGTCCCCCAACGTCCGAGGCCGACTCCGCTTCATGGATGCTTCAGATGATCTGTCTCTTTTGACCGATGTTGAGAAGAACTTCCCCATTGGTTCCGCTCTGAAGGTCCAGGTCACTGCCGTTGATGCTGATAAGGGCCACTTGGATCTTTCTGCCAAGCAAGGTTCCGAGAAGCTCACTTTCAACGACATCTCCGTCGGCATGGTTTTGGCTGGTCGTGTCACCAAGATTACAGAGAAGCAGCTCATCATGCAACTCAACGACGCACTGGTCGGTGCCGTCAACTTGATCGACTTGGCCGATGATTACTCCAAGGCCAACCCAACTGTGCACCAGAAGAACGAGGTTCTGCGTGCTTGTGTTGTTGCTGTTGACAAGAACCACAAGAAGATCTACCTTTCGCTTCGTCCCTCCAAGGTTCTGAGCTCCTCACTCCCTGTTCAGGATCCCGAGATCACCTCTATCAAGGACCTCAAGGCCAACGATGTCGTCCGCGGTTTTGTCAAGCGCATTGCTGACTCTGGTCTCTTCATCTCTGTTGGCCACGACGTCAACGCCTATGTTCGTGTCTCCGACCTTTCCGACTCATATCTCAAGGAATGGAAGGACTCCTTCCAGGTGGACCAGCTTGTCAAGGGCCGTGTCACACTGGTTGATGCCGAGCAGGGCAAGCTGCAGATGAGCTTGAAGGAGTCCGTCCTGGATCCTAACTTCAAGGCTCTCACCACTCTCCAGGATCTCAAGGTTGGACAAGTTGTCACCGGTAAGATCCGTAAGGTCGAGGAGTTCGGTGCTTTCATTGTTGTCGATGGGTCCAAGAATGTCAGCGGTCTCTGCCATCGTAGCGAGATGGCTGACAAGCGGGTGCAGGATGCCCGCACCCTGTACGATGAAGGCGATGCTGTCAAGGCTAAGGTCATCAAGATCGACAGTGAACAAAAGAAGATTTCATTCTCTCTCAAGGCCTCCCACTTCCAAGATGAGGAAGACAGCGATGATGAAGACATGAGCGAGGATGGCCTCGGCGGTGTCGAGCTTGGAGAGGACGACAGTGAGGATGACGACATCTCCATGGGTGGTGTTGATGTTGAGGATGATAGCGAAGAGGAGCACGACGAGGAAGAGGACGAGGATGATGAGGATGAGGAAGAGAGCGATGACGATGTTGCCATGACTGGTACCAAGCCTTCCAAGGATGGCGGACTCGGTGCTAGCGCCTTCGACTGGGGCGGTAACGTCCAGGAGAAGGAGGCTGCCGCTTCCGACAGCGAGGAAGAGGATAATAAGAAGAAAAAGAAGAAGTCTCGCAAGGCTGAGATCCAGGTTGACCGCACTGGTGACTTGGATGCCAATGGCCCTCAGACTGTTGCCGACTATGAGCGTCTCCTTCTGGGTGAGTCCGACTCCTCGCTGCTGTGGCTTCAATACATGGCGTTCCAGCTGGAGCTGGGTGAGGTTGAGAAGGCTCGCACCATCGCTGAGCGTGCTCTGCGCACTATCACCATGGGACAGGATGCTGAGAAGCTGAACATCTGGGTGGCCCTGCTTAACTTGGAGAACACCTACGGCAACGACGATAGCATCGAGGAGATCTTCAAGCGCGCATGCCAGTTTAACGAGCCCTCCGAGATTTACGACCGCTTGATCAGCATTTACATTCAGTCCGGCAAGAACGAGGTATGTTTCTACTATTCTCTCTCACAGTCTCTTCGATATCTAGATACTAACTATTCCTTACAGCAAGCGGATGACCTCTTCCGAACCGCCCTGAAGAAGAAGATCTCTACCCAAACCCCCAAGTTCTTCCTCAACTACGCCAGCTTCCTCTTCGACACCTTGGCTGCCCCTGAGCGTGGTCGCGGTCTCCTCCCGCGTGCCCTGCAGTCCATCCCCGCTCACACTCACGTTGAGACCACATCTAAGTTTGCCCAGCTGGAATTCCGATCTGCAAACGGTGATGCTGAGCGTGGTCGCACTGTCTTCGAGGGTCTTCTTTCTTCTTTCCCCAAGCGCATGGATCTGTGGAACGTGCTCCTGGATCTGGAGATCAAGGCCGGCGATGCAGACCAAGTGCGCCGCTTGTTTGAGCGTGTTCTTGGCTTGCAGCACAAGAAGGGTGCTTTCAGCATCGATGCTAGCAAGAAGCTGAAGCCCAAGCAGGCCAAGTTTATGTTTAAGAAGTGGTTGGCTTTCGAGGAGAAGCTTGTTGCTGATGGTGGTAATGAGAAGATGGTGGAGGATATTAAGGCTCGGGCGGCAGCCTATGTCAAGTCTCTTCAGTCAGAAGAGTAAGATTAAGATGTGTATGAAGTACTCAATCCTGTTTTCTTTCTACCCTGTTTTCCTTCGTTCATTTTTCAAGTTTTTCCTGCATTTTTTTCATGTTCAGAACTAAAAAGAAAAACGGGTCCAAGTGTTGAACCCGTTGGTGTTTGGGATCATCGCATTCGTTGTATATAAATCGCACAAATAGCCGATCTACTAAGAATTTCCTGGTTCATATTTGCATTACGTATGTAGTCCTATGGGGTTGAATAATATAAGTAAATAACAGTACTACTACAGGGCTAGGTATCATGATATTACTAGTAGTAACCTTGGAAGTTTAACTCCAGGGCTGCCCAGGTGTTCTCAACTTCCAAGCTTGGAGTGCTCTTTCCAACTGGCAACATTGAGGGTATACTTCGTACAGTAGTACATCTGTTCTTCCAGGGTTGCAAGGTCCATAGAAATATCTAGCTTTGGTGGACTCGAGAGGTATCAATATGACTGACACCAAATTGAATAAGAGATCCCGAGGTCAATCATGAGGGACTCGGAATACCTTCCAAACATTTGAAATATCCACTAGTTTAATCATTTCCAAGGTTCTTCATTTCACGTTGTTTTCATTGTTGACTCACGTGCATGCTCAGAAGTAAAAAGAAGAAAGGGTCCAAGTGTTAAGCCCGTGGGTATTTTGGATCACCGCATTCGTTCCACATGAGTATATAAAATCGTACCAAATAGCCGATCTACCGAGGATTTCCTAATTCGGACTTACCGCATGATGCAGTCACTAGTAGTATTAGTCAACTGGCGTCAGTGATGGAAATTCCGCTTTCCCCGGAGCACTTCAGTGCTACATATGGTTAATAGTACTGATTATATACTACTCCGAGCTCGTAGTTATCCTAGTGATGATGTCAAATGGTTCATATGAATTGATCGACGTCTATTCCTCCTATGAGTGACTTGGTATAATGCACGGGCACCGAGTCAAAGATAAGGATATACTACCTTCACATAGTTAACCAGTACCTAGTAAACGACTAATATACTCCAATCAGAGAATTTTACTCTTCCATGAAGTGCATTTTCCTTAATTTCATTGGTTGAACCAAATGCAGAACCCTCATGGGACAGAAAAGAACCTTAACTTAGAGTAGCTCGTTGCCGTTCCCTTTTCATCCAATCATTTCCGTCATTCCCACAACATGGTTGCGTCTATTGGGATTTATCCGCTTCTCACCTCTATTCAGGGTTCGTTAAACTATTCATTCTTCAGTGGAAGAGTGGAAAAAAACGAGGAAAAAATTCCTAGCTGGGACAAGGGTTCAACACCTGAGCAAAGAAATATAGTATAACTGCCCTCCCTTTCCAATGAAGCCTTCCTTTACCTGGTCACCTCTCCACTCTTTTCCTTCTCTTCAGAATGGCGGTCCCGTTCCAAACACAGAGCGGGAAATCCGACCTGTCTTCTGATTATCGAATTGATATGCCGTCCGAGGTCTATACAGATTCATCAGTCTTTACTGAAAATGTAAAGAGTGCGGCCAACGTTCAAGTGAACATCCCCCACGGCCATGTGGGGCCCCGCGCTAGCCTATGGCATCGGGTCCTGGCATGGACTCCTTCATTCTCCACGCGCAAGAGTAGTGGAGCCGAAGATGAAGACCTCCCATTATTGACAGGGAATATACTACGACGCAGAAGGCTATCGTGCGGCTCTCGTTTCTCACGATACTTGGGATGTTCATTGCTGTTCTTCTTCCTTATGCTGTATGTCTTCCAGCCCCCTTGGCTCGGACCCGATGCTGTTCAGATCGATCTACTGTAGATCTAGATGGGCAAATCAAACTCAGTACGATGATCTTAGCTAACACAATCAACCATCTCTCTAGTGGCGTTCTTCAGTTCATATCTCTCGCTTGCGGTATCATACTCTCCTTTTTCCCGGACGAATACGATCGAGCAGCTTCTAGATGGGCCCGAACTGGCGACCAAATAAATACTAAAGACATCAACGAATGGCCTACCGATATCTCCCGTGACATCATCCCACTGGGATGTCACTCTCACAATGATTATTGGCGCCGGGTTCCGCTATACTCAGCCCTGCAGGCAGGCTGCATCGGAGTCGAAGCCGATGTCTGGTTCTTCGACAACGAACTATACGTAGGACATACCTCTGCATCGCTTACGTCGCGCCGGACCCTTCGATCAATGTATATTGAGCCTTTACTTCGCATCCTTGAACAACAGAACCCCACATCCCGGTTCCAGCCCTCCATTTCCAACCCTCCCCACGGTGTCTTCGATACAAACCCAGATCAAACTCTCGTCCTTCTCATCGACTTCAAAACAGATGGTGAATCGACCTGGCCCGCCGTCGAAGATGAGCTTGCACCGTTTCGAGAACGTGGCTATCTTACATACTTTGATGGTGAGAATCTAGTTCCTGGTCCAATTACCGTTGTTGGAACAGGCAACACACCGTTCAATATGGTTACTGCGAATTCCACATATAGAGATATCTTCTTCGATGCCCCACTCGACAAATTAGTCGATGCAAATAAGATGGTATTCGGGATGCCGGGAAAACAGTCTCTTGACCTCGGACAAGGGCAATCTGGCATGCCGGATGTTATCACTGCACAGACTTTCAACATGACGAATAGCTACTATGCCTCTGTGTCATTTCAGAAAGCTATTGGGTTTCCTTGGCCATTCCATTTGTCACAACATCAACTGGGTCTTATTCGATCGCATGTTCGTATTGCGCATCAGCATGGTTTGAAGGTGCGGTACTGGGGGCTACCTAGTTGGCCGCTGAGTTTGCGAAATCATATTTGGAGGATCCTCGTGCAGGAAGGTGTTGACATGTTGAATGTGGATGACTTGGTGGGAGCTACAAAGGGAGATTGGAAAATTAAGATCTTTGATTGGTGGTGGTAGTAGATTTTTTTTTTCTTTTTGATGCATGATGTGCCAGTGGCTAATGGGTGATGAATGTTTCTTTTTGATTTGCGGGTTTATTACAGGCGTTGGACATGATTTATGATACCTTGATACTCCGAGTCGGCTCTTTTTGTTTTAAAATGTCGATAGATTCACATGCTTTATGAATATACAGATCATTTACGATTTCGATTCTTCATTTGATTGTTCTCACAACTAACATTTGAAGGCTGGCACTTGGAAACTATGCACTACTAGCATGGCATGCATCGATTAATCGTGCATACTCGGAGAATAGTACATATACACTGGCATGTATATTGACCATGCCAGTGTCATAGGGCCCCATTACTTCAAGTTTTTTTTTTCTAGAGTTATGTGGATCTCCATGTGGTATGTGGACATCTGGACCTACTGTAGACTCATTAGTCAAATAAAAGAATCAAACCTAGCAGGGAACCTTGGAACCATCGAAAAGAACCAAGAAAAAAAGAAATTCCTTGAGAACGAATTGAATATATTGAAATGCAAAAAGGAAAAAAGAAATGATAAGAGGGAGATTCGAACTCCCGCCCCGAAATCGAGACACGGATATTTGGATCAGGTATACCTGAACCGTGCGCCTTGGACCGCTCGGCCATCTTACCAGGTTGATGTAAGAGGATGCAAATTCTGCCATTATATAGCGCTGGAAAAGGAGATAAGCTCACATCAGGCATTCAGGCACACAGGCGCGTCCACCTCCTTTCGCACCTGATCCCCCGCCCTCTGTTCCGACAAGCGCCAACTTTGCCCTACTTTCCCAGTATTGTTGAACGTCCTATGGGGCATCGATAGTCGATTATCATTCAATCTGGTGACCGCCTTTCACCCCCAAATTTTGCCTTTTAGCGCGTGACGATACATTCAACTTTGTTTCCTGCTGTTGTACGGCGCGTTCCACGAAGCGCGTGTCGACCTGACGTACGGCGCTGCGCACCTATTTCCTATTCGAAAACCTCTTGAACCCGCGCACGTCATCCAATAAAGGAGCTCCTTATTCTTTCGCCACAAAATTCCGCCACCATGGAAATCGATAGCCCCAGTAATCCATCGTCCACTCCCGCGGAGGACCGGCGCAAGTCTGGTCGAATGACGCGGCGACCAGACATATTCTCACAAAGCACACACTCTAGCCACGATCAAAACTCCGGCGGGAAGCGCAAGCGCGATGATGCACATGGTGCTGAAGATACCGACGATGCTTCATCAGAATCAGAGAGCGATGGTATGGAAGATTATGCTGATGAGGAGGAGCTAAAATCCAAGCGACGTGCTGCTCGCAAGACTAAGACCGCCGCGAAGAAAATTACAACAAAGAAACGACTCCCTGCTGCGAAAAGGCCAAAGGTCGTAACTAATGGCCTGGGAAGACAACTTGCGTTCCGACCTGCCCTGAATGGACGAGCTCCCACTGCGCGCTCCCGCAAACCCCAGGTGCGCCCCAGTCTGGCGGCGGGCGAGCATGGACTTTATGGTGAGTAAATGTCCTCAAAACATGTGTCGCACGATCTCTAACCAAGCCAATACAGCCGAGGTTTTTGGAAGAAACAGCAACGCCGATACTGTAGCCGCGCAATGGTTGAGCTCATTTCAGCGCCATAAGGGAGAGGCCCTTCGGGACCTCATCAACTTTGTGATCCGATGCAGTGGTTTCGATCAGGAGATAACCACGGAGGAAATTCACGACGTGGACGCTGCCCCGGACAAAATTGAGGAGCTACAGGCCATCTATCAGAACCAGGGCTTTTCAGATTATCCTCTGATTTCCCGAGAAAAGAAATACAGGGCATTCCAGCCTACGCTGGAGGAGTTCGTTGTTGCGCTCACTCAAACATTGCACCACTCATCAGTCCTGTACACTGATGAGGCTTTGATGGAGAACATTGAAATTTGGGTTTCGACTATGACCTCGTCTCATTGCCGTCCGTTCAGACACACATCAACAATAGTGGCTCTGTCTATCACAAACACATTATGTACCATTGCTCAAGAAGTTGCCACGACGTTGACGACCTCTCGCAAGCAACTCGAAAGCGAAAAGAAAAAGAAGACTGTCAACAAGGGCAGGGTGGATGCTATCCAAACGGCAACCACAGAGAATGAAAAGAAAGCGCAATATCTGGATGAATTGATTCTAGACTACTTTGATGCTGTCTTTCATCATCGCTACCGCGACGTTGACGTCCATATTCGTGCCGAGGTCATTGCGGGCCTGGGTGGTTGGATTCGCACCTACCGAGAGATCTTCTTTGAAGGGCAGTACCTGCGATACATTGGATGGACTCTGTCCGATGAGGTCGGAAGCATCCGATTGATTGCGCTTTCACAGTTGCTTCCCCTCTACGAGAAAAAAGATAATGTTGGTGTTCTTAATTCATTCACCGAGCGTTTCCGACAACGCATCGTTGAGATTGCAGTCCAAGATGCAGAGCCCACAGTCCGTGTGGCTGCTGTTGAGTTGTTGATGCATATTCGCGATGGAGGTCTGCTTGAACCAGGTGATATCGACTCTATCGGAAGACTTGTTTTCGATCTTGATCCTCGTGTCCGGAAGGCGGCAGGTGGATTCTTCGTTGCTAATGTTAATGATGCGTTCGAGTCGGTCACAGAAGAAGTCAAGGATGAAGTCAATGAAATGTTCCCCGATGACGACGAAGATGACTTTGAGTCGCCTAAGCGGCTGTGGATTAAGATCAAGTGTCTAACCGACATTTTCCAAGCCTATGATGAGCAGGAACCCGAGCAGGCTGAGACTCCAGCCACATCGCGTGGTCTGCTCCTTGGAGCCTCAGCGGGCTCGCGTTTTGCTTTGGCAACTGAGGCTATCTACCCTCACATGGAAGAGCTCTCCCAATGGCAGTCTCTGGCTGGATACCTACTCTACGACCACTCGCAAATCGATGAAAGTCCGACTGAGGACGACACCGCAGGAGTTATCCGGAGTCTGTACAAAATGCAAGAAGGCCAGGAGTCAGTGCTTCTGGAAGTGCTCTGCGCTTCCGTCAAACTTCAAGTACTGGATATCGCGAAATCCGATGTTGACAAGCGAGGACGCAAGGTCAAGGCATTGACAGCCAAGATTCCCGAGCTCCAAGAGGAGGTTTCCCACAACCTTGCTCAGATTATTCCCCAGCTTCTCAACAAGTATGGCTCATCGCCAGAAGCCGCATCTTCTGTTCTTCGACTGGAGCATCTGGTAGACCTTGATGCGATCCAGGATCTCCAGAGAGACGCTACAGCCTACTCTGCTTTGCTCAATGATATCAACAGGCAATTCTTGACCCACTCCGATCAGGATGTCTTGGCTGAAGCTAGTGTAACCTTCTTGCACGCCAAGAGTTCCGAGGAGATGCGGGAGGCGCTTGAAGGCAAGGTTCAGGAACTGTGGGATGAGTTGATTGAGGCGCTTGGCGCCTTGGCCCGCAAGAAGGACGTTCAGAACGGCAGCGCCATTTCTGATCCAACGCTGACTGAAGTTGCCAATGCTGTAACTCGCATCTCAAGCCTCGCCGGTATCACGGACTGCACCACGATTCTTGAAGTGCCCACCTCGCGGTCAAAGTCTAAAAAAGATCAGCCAGAAACTCCATTCAACACTCTCATTCATCTTGTCCAACGTGGTGTTCGCCCAGAGGATAAGGATGAAGATGTTGCCAAAGCAGAGACTGAAATCGTGACTAACAGCATCCGCACACTGTTATTCTACTTCATGTGGAAAGTCCAGGGTCTCTCCGCTTTGAGTGACGGCCAAGCCTCCTTTAACACATCCTACTTTGAAGCCCTCACAAAGAGCCGCGAGACTTTCGCATCCTCACTGGTCAAAATCATGGAGAAACGCCCCAACCTCGACGACTTACGCTTCATTGCTGCCACCACATACCTTGATCTTCAAACATTATTCAGCACACTTCGTAATGCAGGCCAAGGTGTCGGCAATGATGAAGATGTCATCTTCCAAACCCAGAGCCTAGTCCACGAAGTCCCATCAGCAGCCCAGGGTCTCATCACCAAGATCCACAGCATCGCCGAACGCACCTTCGCCAAGAAATCAAGCGCAGAGATTGAGCCTGCAGAGGATGACGAACCCGCATCTGACGATGAACCCGAAGACGATGAGGATGAAGATGAAGACCTCGAGGACGAGGCCGTAGCCAACGAGCGTCTTCGCGAAAGCGTAATTGCTGAACAGCGCCTATGCGAATTAACCGGTAAGATTGTCTTGGCGATCATCGGACGAGTCATCGATGCTTCTGGCTCAAAACGCGGTGCATTGAAGAAACGACTACTTCGCAATAAGACTTTCCTGGGTCAAAACTACCGGGAAGTACTCTCATATGTTGAAGAGCGGAAACCTCGTCCCGCACCCCGGAATAAGGGAAAGCAGCCTGCGAAGCCTGCTGCAGAGGATCAGACATCTGGTCCCTCGGGAAATAAGGACTACAAGTCTGCTGAGCGTGTGGATGATGATGAAGACGAAGAAGAGAGCGACCACGGTGAACCTGTTGAAGAAGATGACGAGCAGGACTTACGTGCGCGCGAACTTGTTGAGGAAGATATCGATCGTGAGAATGATGAGGACGAGGAGTTGGAGAATGGTTCTCCTGAGCCAGATGAGGATGAGGACGAGATAATGGGTGATTAAGTCTGTTTCTTTGGAAGTTACACCTACCTTTTTTCTTTTCATTTCTTGCTTAGCTCTTGCTCTTTGCTGCCTTCCCCATTTACCTTTTCTCAATGTCTAAAATTCAATGTTATTTATTCTTCTTCTGGCTGGATAAGAACTGTATGCTATGACTTCAACTTTCCCTTCTCTACTGTTTCTACTAGTACATCACTGGCTCGTAATAAACACTTGAATGCACATGTGCTTCCAAAGTTTGCTTCAATCTAGTGTAGATTACCCATTGATATCCGACGTGCGAGTCCTGCCTAAAGCTTATACTAACTTCGAATTCCCTCACAACCAACAGTGGAACTTCAAGTTAGAACGAGCCAGAACAAGTAATTCCTAGATACCAAACTAGCAGGCCTCCGAGCCTGTTACTGGGCCTAGATTAAAGAATGCACATGTACACATGTGGGCATAAGTCATACTAATTCAAGGGGTTTAAACTTCAAGTTGAAGCTGATGACCTCGGGAGTGACTATGTCCCCTACATGCTCTACTAATATGATCAATACTACTGGTATGCATGTACTTAAAGAAGACTTGGCTTTTGTTTTTGGCAAACTGCGATAGATACGACGGGAAACGTAGCGTGATCGACAACCATGGACAGGAACTTGGTTTGGCTAGACTACCGGCGACACTATTTACACCAGACTGTATCATTACAGAGCAATGACACTGTCAAAGGTGAGGTCGCAGACAGCCGCGCCCCTGGCGCCAGTGAGCAAGTGCATTCCCAAAGGAGAGCGAGACCCCCAAAGGAAACCACCCGTAGTTCGGAAGGATAAGATGGGAGACATTAACATAAGAAGTAACGAGAACCAATCCTGCAAACAAAAGACGCCTGTGTATGAGGATGCTAAGAGGGGTTAAGGGGGTTACATGACGGTGAATCTTGTTTATCGTGAATCACAAAAAGGGGGGAAAAGGAAGAGAAAATCGTGACAAGGAGCCGGGGCGAAATAAAGTGGAAAAGGGAGGTTGGATAGAAGGAGAAAATAGAAACAAAACCAGGTGCCGTGGCACAAGGGTGGGTGAAATTTGGAAGGTGGATGACAGAGAGAGAGAGGGAAACAAGACAGTTAAGCCCTTTACATGTCCATGGAGTCACCACCGTTGGCGAAGTTGAAGCCGCCAGTGGGCTGCTGGCCAGTGCCGAGAGCGAAACCGGTCTGGGTCTGTTGAGGAGCCAACTCGTCAATGTCACCACCAGCCTCATCCTCATCACTGAAGTACTTCTCAATGATGTTGTAGGCCTTCATGTAGATCTCCTCGTTGGCATTGTTCTGGCAGTCGTGGATCTTCTCCATACCACCGGCCTCCTCGATGAAGAGAGCGTAGCGGTTAATACGAGCCTCACCCTGAGCAGCCTCCTTGTCCATGTCGCCAACCTTCAGGATGTTCTCCAAACCATCCAGAGCAACCTGAATGATCTTGTTATCGGGGCAAGCCAGAAGGTCACAGAGGGGCTTGATGGAGCCCTGGGTGACAAGGTAGCGGATCTGCTCAGGCTTCTGCAGACCACCAGAGGTGGCGTTGGAGATAGCCCAGCAAGCCTCCTTGCGGGTCTTGAAGTCACCGTTGGCAAGCAGGTTGATCAAGGGAGCAATGATACCGGCATCGATAACAGACTGAATCTGGCTAGAGTTGCCAGCGGTGATGTTGGAGATGGTCCAGCAAGCCTCCTTGCGGATACCGTCCTTAGTGGAGCTAAGAAGGGACAGAAGGGCGGGAAGAGAGCCACAGTTGATGATAACCTGGGTCTGAACGTCGTCACCAGTGACAATGTTGCCGACGGAGCGAAGGGCGGGGGTCTGAACAGAGGTAGAAGCGTGCATGAGGAGCTCCACAAGGCGGCGAGGGATACCAGCCTCAATAACAGCCTGGATCTTATCATTGGCACCATCGGACAGGTAGGAGATGGCCCAGCAAGCATCAATCAAAACCTCATCATCCAGCATGTAGATGAGCTTGGAGAGGACGGGCAGAGCAGGGGCAATCTAGTCAAAATGTTAGCTAAGTAATCCACCAGGACGGTACAGTTAATTCGGTTGGTACATACAGTGTTCCAATCGGGCTGAGGAGTCTTTCCACGGCAGAAGTTGCTGAGGGTCCAAGTAGCGTTGCGGAGCATGCTCAGCTTGCGACCATCGTTGATCAAGTTGAGCAGGGGGCGGAGAGCACCGGCACCCAGAACGAAATCACGGCAGTGAGGGCTGTCACCAGCAATGTTACCAAGAGCCCAGACGGCCTGCTCCCGGACATCGGGCTCAGGGCTGCTTAGAAGCTCAACAAAGATAGGCACAGCACCGGCCTCAATGACAACCTGAGTCTGCTGGGCAGAACCGGAAGCAATGTTGGTCAGGGCCCAGGCAGACTCAAACTGAACAAGGGTGTGAGGAGAGCGCAGGAATTCAACGAAGCGGCTGACAACGCCGGTCTCAATAACACGCTCGATAGGAGGGTTACGCTCCTTGGACAGCAATTTGCGGAACTTAGTAGTGGCCTGGATCTGCTCCTCAACCTGCTCTGAGAAAACGCCCTTCACCATCTGGGGAAGCTCGACATTGAGCTAGAAAAAAGTATAATGTTAGCATTGTGTTTGATTTCATTTATGGTTATCAAATCTTGATAGTGGGGCTGGTGTATAGTAATGGTCCGTGTTGGAGGGGTTGGCCCCATGGCAACAGGGCGGTGAAAAAAATTCCATGTTGATGATCGCATTATAAAAACAAAGCATTATGAAAGACTGAGTACCATGGGAGATATGCCATGGCTGGATCATCAGGTAATCCGATCGATCGATCATGTAGTACCCATGGCATGGGATCAGGGACATGAAAAAAAAAATAGAAAAAATGGCAAAAAAAAAAAAGCTGCATCAAAGCTTACCTCGCTCTCAATAGCACTGGCTTCATCGTCACTCTCGGTGGCGGCAGCCATGCCACCACCAACACCGATACCGCCATCGCTAGTCTGAACACCACGTCGCTTGGCCATGTTCTCCTCACGCTTCTGCTTGCGAATCTCCACCTGCTGTTCCTCACGACGGCGGCGGAGCTCATCGGGGCGGAACTGATTCCTAGCCTTGAACTGTGTCCGGCGGTGCTCGGGGATATAACGTTCCGCCATGTTGGGTGGTTTAATCAACAGAAAATTATGCGCCCCAGAAAGTAGAAGAAAAAAAGGCGGTAGATAAAAAGGTGAAGGGGGAAAGGCGCGTTGTTGATGGGGGGGAAAGAAAGATGTGGGGGAGGAAGAAGAGAAAGAAAGGATTCGTGTGTGTAAGGAGGGGGGATCATGTGACAGCTCCAGTATTGATTGCCGCAACACTTGGATTTCTACTTCCTTTGTCCAAATTCACCTTCTACGTCAAATCTTAGACAACAAATTGAACTTTGCCCCTTTGAAAGAATTCAAGTCAAACTTTCACCTTTCATTGTGACATTGAACTTGCAAGGGTCTACTTTAACCGTGTTTTGCATGTTCAATGGCCTCCATAATGGACATTGATTGAGTTACTAGTACACTCTTATCGGGCTTCAATCACTTTCACCGCAAGTCACTGAGCTTCGTCCGAGACATCTGTCAAAGAGCTGCAAATCTCACCTAATCAGGTGGCACATAATGGCTGGTTTGATCGACATCGCCACAGCATGTTCTAATGGTGGAATTTCGACTGTAATTGGCGTCGTGGTCGATAAGCTGGATATCTTTCGTACCAGAGGATCTTCATCATGTATCACTTTTGAACTCAAAGATGAGGACCTCGATGGCTGTGCCTGGGAACAATGCTTGAAAGTGAAATATTTCAACGATAATGAGAGCTGCCTACCACACGTCATGCTCAATGATGTAGTCTTGCTCCGAGGCGTCCGAGTAAGACCTCCAACTGAAGACAAATAAATCAACATCCTCTCTCTAAGCAAAACTGACTCTCTCTGGATTTAGGTCAATCAATACAAGGCAAGGCCACATGGCACTGTATCACAGGCACAGAGAGTTCCATGGGCAATCTTTCGGGTAGACGAGGACCCTAGCAAAGGCCCCTCTATCACTACGGGGCCTGTTACTTTCGATCCGACCCCGGGGAAAAGGCAAGGGCTTCCGCTTTACTAGAACGTGTGCAGCCTAAAGTGCAGCCTCAGACACCACACCGGACACGGCGAGGTACTATCCCACAACAGCCAACCACGGTGGTTGAAGCTTCTCTGGTGGCCACCCTCACACCAAGGAAAGGAAAAATGCCAATCTCTTACGTCAAAGACGCCGAACCAGCTAAATTTTGCCAATTAGTCGTGCAAGTGGTTAAAGACCACCACTACGACGACGACAAGGGTACCATATGGGTCACAGACTACACATCTAATGAGGGCCTGCCCAACCATGAAAAAGATGATGGCGTGACGGGAACTGATGGGGATCCTTACGGGCGGCTCTCCAAAAATTGGCCCGGCCCCTGGGGAAAATTGACCATGGAAGTCACGCTCTGGCATCCGCATGCAAGTTTTGCAAGGTCGAGTATTAAACTCGGCGACATTGTTTTACTTTCATATGTTCGCCCCAAAATCAGCAGGAATGGAGATCTAGAAGCAGTTATCCACGAAGACCAGAAGTACTCACATAAGATTCATCTGAAGATCGTTTCGCCTGAGTATGATGTCCATGCAAAAGAACTAATGAAACGCCGGAAGGAATACTGGAAGATTCACGGTGATCGGAAAGATGATCGGGAAGATGAACCCAAGCCAGCAAAGAAACAGAAGGTTGACGAGCCGAAAAAGACTCCGCGGAAAGAAGGAAGTCGAACGAGTTTACCAGTCGCAGCTGTGGTTACCTCCTCACGTGTGAAACCCAACCCACAGGTTAAATCACGCGACATTGGCATTCCAACCAGCTCTGTGGATTCTATCCTGGCTGCTGAAACGCATGTAATAGAACTCCCCAGTAGCGTAAGCTACAAGGTTCCTTTCCAGAATGTGGGGTACAGCCTTATTGCCCGAGTAGTTGACTTCTATCCTCCAAAGCTGGAGGATTTTGCAGTCAAGGTTTCATCAAAGCCTGTTGTTAATTATGGCACCGAATCTGTGACATGGGAATGGCGCTTTTGCCTTTTGGTAGAGGGTACTGAGCCTTTGATGTCGAAAAATCAGCAACGACAACAGTTCAAGATCTTTGTTGCGGGTGGAGAGGCAGAGTTCTTGCTTTGTCTCGATGCTACCAAGTAAGTATATGGCCTGCATCCATTTCTTATTAGAGAACGCTCGCTAATCTAGCTCACGTATAGTCTTCGCCGTGACCCGCAGCGATTGAGTGAACTGCGGGAGAAACTGTTCATCCTGTGGGGCAATCTTGAAGAGCAGAAGCAAGCAGCGGCCGAAATTCCTGTTGACGACAAAGACTGGAAACCGGTCAAGTCTTCCTCGTTGCCCTTTACTTGTTGTATTAGGGAATACGGTGTGCCGTGTAGACATGTCCGAGATTCAGATGCCATGGCTATTGACGGACAACTTTGTGTCAAGGAAGAATGTTTCGGGTGGGAAAGACGATTTTCTCTTTATGGTACGACGATTCATGAGTGACGCATGGGAGGATATTGGAGCAAAGGACATGTCCAGCTGTTCATCTACATAGTGCATAATCAAGTGAACAGGCTACGACTCAGAAGCTGTAAGAGACCCTGGAAAAGTTTCGGGAATGTCAAATTATTTCGAGTTGAAAATATCTTTTGAACATGATGTTTATACTAGTACAATTTCCCACTGTGCTTTAGGCAACTCAGACGCTCGCATCCGATTTTGGTGATAGCCCTGCATTCGCTGGGATGGTAATATGGTGGTAAATATCAATGACCCTGGAGTTAATCCTGTGCGCCAGACAACTCCGAGAAATTTCCCAATCTACCATGAGTCTTGACAATCTTTTAACCACACTGAACAATAATCCTAAACCGATGGCCCCATATAAAAAGAATTGAAAGGAACAAAACGAACCGAACGAACACAACAAAGAACTTTGGACCCGAGAAACTTAAACTGCAGATCCTTTTTTGTTGCCGAAATTCACAGGAATAATTCGTATGCCACGCCGCATAAAAAAAGGATGAAGGGATATCCTTATGAAGAAACATGAAAATACCAAATAAAACCAAAAAAAATCAAGATGATAATGTTAGTCCGAAAATAAAAATTCAATTTAATGGAATCAAGAGAACTTAGATTTTCGTCACTTTGACGATATTCGTGTCGATCCCGTGTGCAACAGGCTCAAAGCGACAGCTATCACCTCGGAAGCAAGTCTTCTTGCCAGGTTCGCTCTGCGGGCAACGATGACCATAGATGCACTCGGGGTCATCACATTCTAGACCGAAGCGGCAAGGAGTCATACGGGCAATGGCAGACAGAATGTGCAGCTCCTGCTTGGTCAACTTGCGGTCATGATCATGGTAGCAGTTCTCCTCATTAGGGCATTCTCCAAGGAGGAAATAATAATTGCAGAGCTTGAGCTTCTTCAATCGATTCAAATCATCACGAGGAATGCTCTTGAAATCGAGACGATCAACACGTTGTCCATACTTGTTTCGCTCCACAGTTTTGACCGGGCTTGATGGAGATGCTCGAGAACGAACAACCTGGAAATCCGGTGATTCATTGGTTTTATTTGATGTTGACACTGCAAGAGGTGCGCCCATACCCGACATATCTGTGTTGGTAGAAGCGCGAGACAGGGGTGGTGGGTTCAGCTGCTGGGATGGCGATGGAGTGAGCAACGATCGAGACGGTAAGCTGCTCTTCCAGGGAGCAACATAGATTGGAACCGGTTTGGTTGAACGGAACACTTCCGGGAACTTCGCGATCCTATATGAGCTCTTCACGGTCTCCAGCTCTTTTTCAAATGTGATGCCCTCAATGAGCGAAACACGACCCGTGATGTCACCATCGGTCAAAGTATCTTCAAGGAAACGAGCGTATTCGGGATTGGAGGCGCAGCCCACGAAGACCTGGTGGCAATGGCAATTGTAAAGGAAGACCTGGAAAGTCTCTGCAAGGGAGAAACAAAGAAAAAGCATGTTAGCTCATGGGGGTACTCCACAAGGGGGCTGGATCTGGGCTTTGATTTTTCACGAACCTTGAATCTTATCATTGGCCTTGTTCTTAGCCGATCCAATGTCAACAATCTCAGAATATGACATGGTTTCATTAAATCCTCGAATAAAGTCATGAACGAGTGCGGGATCCGAGATGATACCACTCCGAGCGCAGTTCTCCGCAAAGCCCTTCACATTCAGATAAAGCTTGGTAATTATCTTGGGCGTGTGAATACTGGAGAGGTTGCTCAGGATATATGCGTGCATTCCGGCGTAGAATTGCTGCGCGGCCAGTCGACCTCCTTCTTCTCCTAATTGCAGGAAATCATCCTTGAAAATTATTGCCTCGCCGTCCAAGAGTACCACGACGAAAGGTTCTCGGTCCTGTAGGAGGCATTGACCCCGGATCAGTCCAGCCCTATGGAGAATCAGATAATGTCATAGTCGCCCACCATAATATTCTTGATTTGTGCTATCTGTTGCATGAGTTCCATCTCATGCAACTGGATATCTCGATTGAACCGAGTCTCGCGCTCATGGTCCAATTTCTCGCGCTGGAAGGAATTCTCCAGTTCGGTGACTCGTTGGAGGAGGTCCTATTTAGGCGCATTCTCATGTTAGTTTTCTCTGATCTTGCGCATCGTAGAAGAACTGGTATCCTTGATTATGACCAACCTCAATGAGCTGATTCTTCTGCTGATCGACAGCACCTATCTGACGATAGCGGTCCAGATATGGCGTGGAATCCATTATGAAGAATTGATGGGGAAAATGGAAATGTAATATCGAGGATGAAGTGTTGAAAATTAAAAGAATAAGAAGCTTTGGTGCGCGATCAACGCGATTCCTTTTGAATCCTTTAATAGAGAAGGAGAAAAGTGAGAGAGAGAGAGAGAAGAGGAAGCAGCAGGAGAGGAGTCTAATCTTCAATCCGTTAACCTTAGTAAAAAAAGACCTTGTTTCGGATACCTACCTTTACTTTTTTCTTTCTCTTTCTTTCTCTTTCTCTTTTCTCGTAAATGTCTTCTCTTCTTTTTTTGATCTATGAATTTGATTTAATTCAATTTCAATTCAATAAAAAAAAATTAAAAATTCTCGGAAATTCCCAAGAACGCGCCTTTGGCTGACTCAGCTTCCCCGGTTGTAGTGGATCTTGATCTCTTTCCTAATTGCAACGTGTGATCACCTACTTGTTTTCCCCTTAACAACTAATCTACCCTTCTCCCTCCCAAGATGACTCGCTTTGGTTTCCTCTCTCTGGCTCTGCTCTCACTCCAGGCCTTCGTTGGTACCGGCTTTGCGGCTGTATGTTTTCTTTTTCCATCGCGTGACTCCTAAATACAGAGAAAGGCAATCCTCAAATCGATGAGAGAATCAATTGACTGATCATTTGCGATCTATAGGATACTGAGAAGGTCCGAGATGAGGCTCACAGCTTTGCTGTCTCTGCTGAGGCTTCTTTCCCTTCCTCTGAGATCTTCGGCATCAAGCTTGTCAACGGTCACCCGACCCAGGCCCTGATCACTTTCACCAACGAGGAGCCTAACCCGGTCACCGTGAACTTCGTCGGCGCTAGCTTGTGGACTCCAGAGGAGGAGGGCAAGGTCGTCCGTAACTTGACTACCACTCGTTACGGTATCGAGATCCCCGCCGACTCCAAGGAGAGCGTGAGCTACAGCTTTGCCACTGAGATGCACCCCCAGGATCTTCGCCTGAACATCGCAGCTATTCTGTCGGATGAGGAAGGCCGATTCTTCACTGTCCAGGCCTTCAATGGCTCTGTGAGCGTGGTCGAGCCCGAGACTAGCATCTTCGACCCCCCAGATGTAACCTATCCCCATCCTATCGCAAATTCGTGTACTGGGATCAATTGGCTAATGCAATTCCAAATTATAGCATCTTCCTCTACTTCTTCCTCCTGGCCTGTGCTGTTGGTGTCGTTTACTTCTTCTACACCGTCTGGGTCGCCCCCTACTTTCCCCAGAAGCGCAAGAGCGGCAAGCCCGCCGAGAAGCGCGCTGCTGGCTCTACTAAGCGCACCGAGACCCCTACCGTCGAGGAGAGCGCTAGCCCTGCTGTTTCCTCCGCCAGCGCCTACAACGCTGACTGGATTCCTTCCCACCACATCAACCGCCCTGAGGCCCGAAAGGTTAAGGGTGCCGGCAAGACTAAGGTTCGCGCGTAAATTTGCATGCTTGACAAACCTTGGTTATAGAGAGAAGGATTGGAGGGGAGGAGAGGGGAGAATCATTTAGCTTGATTCTGAGCTTCCAGGGCAGGAAAGCGTGAAGCGCAAGGGCCCCGTGCTGAAAATGCATGGGGACATAGCGAACACGCTCATTCCACTTTATACTGGACCCATGTACAATGTTTATTTTTTTTATTTACGAAAATTGGAAACTTGGTATAGCTATTCCATTAAGCAGCCCTCTTGGAGGCTCTCTGGAAATGGTATATTCAAATACAAATTCGAAATGTGACTGCTTCTTGTTGCAAGATGAGAAATTGTCTGTATTTGTACTCCGTATACACTTTCAGTTTCATAACTTTTTCCATTCTTCAAATTCCTGTTTTAAGTGCTCCTTCAGTTGCACAAACTGGTTTCCAAATTCCTCTCCACAGCGCCAGCACACAAAGTCCCGCTTCAAATACCCTTCTTGTGTAGGATGCCGCCGCACATCATCTTCTGCCAGCGGAAAGTCATCAATGGGCACAAAGAATGGAGTCGAAAAGCTGTTGTAGTGTTTTCGATGCTTAAGACGCTCGCTATACCTATCCACTGCAATGACATGCACGTGTAGATGGTTCATAGACGGTACAGCATGTACTCCACACACTATCTCCTTCTCCCAGTCTCTTCCTGCCGGCAATTCGTCTGGTGGGGGGGTCGGCAATTAATGCTTCTTGTCTCACCCGGTCCTGCTCAGAATACTTGCCGTATTTCCGTCGCAATTCAGCGGCAGCATGAGTGCGTAGTTTGCGGACTTCGGCCTTGACTTTTGTAAGAAACTCCGCGTCTTCAAAGGCGTCGAATGGGTGGAGGCGTGTTTTCGAACTGTCTCGGGGGAGGAGTAGAATGTGTAATGAGGATTTGGGAAACATATCATGAATTGCGACGAAGTCTGTGTTATGGTAAACTACCACACTGGAAGGATAGGTCTCTGGCTTTGCGATGTATGCACCCAGCCCGTCGCGAGCGCCAAAAGAATTGGATTTTTTCGATTGTGGTAATTTGGATTTTGACATGGCTTCATCCGAAGACTTTTGCTGCTTATTTCGGGGCGACATAAGTTCTGCGACTTCATAGATTGTTAGCTGTTAGTTGATACTCGATCGCGTGTATAGTGATCTCACAGGCGTTTCTCTTCTCTGCGGTACCAGTACTAGTTTGGTCTTTTGAAGATGTTGAGTGGATATCACTCTGATTTTCCTCAGCCATGATGCGACTCAACCTATGGTAAAAAATAGACGAAATAGAGGTGCAGTAGGTACAGAGAAGAGGAAAAGAGTAGAAAGTCATGAATTGATACCGAAAGAACTCCCCGCAAAACACCCAAAGCGGTCTAGTGCGGGACAATCCCAAAAAGCCCGATTAAATTGTCGATTTCAACTTCCTAGAAATTAATCCAACAATGCCCCCCAAGAAGAAGGCCGGTAATCCGGGAGGTCCCAAGCCTGGTACCAAACAGGCAAAGGCTGCGGCTGAGAACAAAGATAAGAAACCTGCTGCCACACTGGAAGAGCCCAAGAAACCTACGGTGAAGGAGGTAATTGGTGGCGCATCATGGACTGGCAAGTTACCTGTGAATATGCTCTCGGAGCATTGCCAGAAGCAAAAATGGGAGAGACCAGAGTATAGCATGGTATGATTTATCGCAAATTTCAAGATATTTTTAAACGTATACGACTATGATACCGTTCAGACCACTGATAGTTCCAATTGCGATCCACAGATTCATGTTTCCGGCGGCCATGTCTCTGCGGTGACGCTTAAAAAAGTAGACCCCAAGACTCGCGAATTGATAGTCCTTCCTCCGATGAAACTACCTCCATCCTATAAAGAGCTTGCCGCTCAAGCAACAGCGCTCGAGGCCCGTCATTTCGCCGCAGCATGGGCACTCTTCCGTGTGTGCAATATGCGTAATATCCATATGATGATGCCACCAACTTATAAGAAGCTCTGGAAAGAGGAATTTGCCGAAATAAAGGTAGCAGAGACTCGAGAAGGAAAGGGTTGGTTGTATGAGGCAGATCCATTCTTAGCCAAGCAAGAACGTGAAAGTGCGGCTGCGGACCTGGAAAAGAAGAGGGTGGAACGGGCCAAGATGCAAGCTAAAGAGAAGGTCTCCTCTACTGACCTTGGTCTTGGAGGTGGTGATAATAAGAGCAAACGTATTTGGTCTCAAGCGCCCAAAGTCGATATGGGTACTCGCATCCGCCGCGATATTGAGGGTCTCTTGCGACAGCATACAACCTGGAATCCATATGAGATCAAGATTCCAGACGCAGATAAGAAAGCAATCGTCGAAGAATTCTCAAAACTGGGATTCCGTCGAAGCCATGTGGAAGAAGCTGCAGCGGAATGTAAAGACCGGGAAGAAGTACTGGAATGGCTCTTGGTGTATGTGCCTGAAGATGATCTGCCTCGATGGAGTTTGCCGGAAGGGTATTCGGCTGGTGTAAGTCTCGCTGCTGGAGACCTCGCACGAGAGGCTAAGATTAAACGTCTTGCCTCTATCGGATATCCCGCAGACCTATGTACTCAGGTTCTTGATAAGAATAATGGTGACGAGCTAGCAGCGGCAGAGTATCTACAACGCACACTGGCATATGGGTCCGACTTTGCTTCTACTTCGATTCCGGAAGGGAATCCAGAGGCATGGGCAGAGGAGCAAGACACCTTAGAAGCCATTTTTGGAGAGCGCTACCACCGTGTCTCTCCTAGGGTCTGCGAGATCAAGAGCGAGGCGCCTGAGATCCCAGAGGGCACCTCGTTCCGTTTCCAGGAGCCATCTTCACATTACCCGTCTGCACCACCGATAATCTCAATTCAAGGCAAGGGATTCCCTGCTTATATCCGACTCAGTGCTATTCGTCGAGCCGTGCAGCATGCCGAAGAGAACTTCTCAGGCGAGTCTATGATTTTCAATATCATGGATTGGCTAGAAATTAGTCTACCCTACATCGTGGAAAATCCAGGTCGACTTCGTGAGATCTCTGCGGTTAGTGCTTCTCCAGCTGCCAACACACACGAGATCCCTGTGCGCTCGTCTCGTAAACAGCGCCGAGGCATTGACTGGAAGGCCTTTTCGCCGGCTAGCGCAGCACTCCTTGACGCCTGGGAAGCCAAGCAAGACACTGCTGCGCAAGTCGAAATGTGTCGTAAGAGACAGTCACTTCCTGCTTGGAATACTCAAGATGCCATCATTGAAGCTGTCAACTCACACCAGGTAACCATTATCTCTGGTGAAACTGGTAGTGGTAAGAGTACACAGTCTGTCCAATTCGTACTGGATGACATGATTCGCCGAGGACTAGGAGGTGCTGCGAACATCATATGTACCCAGCCTCGTCGTATTTCCGCCCTAGGTCTTGCGGATCGAGTCAGTGATGAGCGTTGTTCTACCGTCGGTGATGAAGTTGGTTATGTGATCCGTGGAGAGTCCAAAGCTAAGCAGGGCACGACCAGAATTACCTTTGTCACTACCGGTGTTCTACTACGTCGCATTCAATCCGGAGGTGATGCTGATGGCAATGTCGCCAGCTCGCTGGCTGATGTGTCGCATGTTGTAGTTGATGAGGTTCACGAGCGCAGTCTCGATACTGATTTCCTCTTAGCGCTGCTACGGGATGTTTTGCGGGTTCGCAAAGATTTGAAGGTCATCCTCATGAGTGCCACGCTGGACGCCAACATCTTCATGAACTACTTTGGTGGAAGCAGATCTGTGGGCCTTGTTAATATCCCTGGACGAACCTTCCCAGTCAATGACTACTACTTGGACGATGTCATTCGGGATACTGGATTTGCTCCAGAGCTAAATGAATGGGACGAGGATGAAGAGGACTCTTCTCGAGGAGAGGAAACATTGGGCAAAGCTTTGCGCAGTGTTGGAATGGGCATCAACTATGATTTAATCGCAACCACCGTTGAATACATCGATGCTCAACTGGGTCACAACCCGGGAGGCATCTTGATCTTCCTTCCAGGAACAGTGGAGATCGAAAGATGTTTAAACGCAGTCCGCAGACTTCCTAACGTGCACCCACTGCCACTCCATGCGTCTTTGCTACCAGCAGAGCAGCGCCGTGTTTTCCAAAGCCCACCTCATGGCAAGAGAAAGATCATCGCAGCAACCAATGTAGCCGAGACATCAATCACCATTGAGGATGTCGTCGCCGTCATTGATACTGGCCGTGTCAAAGAGACTAGCTACGATCCAAAGGACAACATGGTCCGACTACAAGAAGTCTGGGCATCACAAGCAGCGTGCAAACAGCGTCGTGGTCGAGCCGGCCGTGTCCGTGCTGGTACATGCTACAAGCTATACACTCGCAAAGCCGAATCCAATATGGCCCAACGACCAGATCCAGAAATCCGCCGTGTACCCCTCGAACAGCTCTGTCTATCTGTCAAATCCATGAAGGGTATCGACGATGTAGCCACATTCTTAGCCAACACAATCACCCCGCCAGAGAGCATCGCCGTCGAAGGCGCTCTCAGCTTCCTACACAGAGTCGGCGCCCTAGATCACAATCGTCTCACCGCACTGGGTCGTTACCTCTCTATGATCCCAGCTGATCTCCGCTGTGCCAAACTATTGATCTATGGCTCAATTTTCGGCTGCATGGAACCATGTCTTACTGTCGCCGCAATCTTAACAGTGAAAAGTCCATTCGTCTCTCCTCGTGAAAGACGCGAAGAGGCCAACGCTGCGAAATCATCTTTTACTCGTCCTGGAGACGGTGACCTTCTCACCGATCTATCAGCCTACCAGTCCTGGTCCGAGCGAGCCCGTGCTCAAGGTTACTGGCAGACCCAGTCCTGGTGCGGTGTGAACTTCCTATCTCATCAGACCCTGCGTGACATTTCGTCCAATCGAGCTCAATTCGTCACATCTTTGAAGGATGCTGGTCTCTTACCAGTAGATTACAACGATGGAGCAGGCGCATGGAACCGCAATGCCTCAAACCGGAATCTTATCCGCGCGCTCATTGCAGGTGCTTTCCAACCGCAGGTTGCTCAGGTTTCGTTCCCAGACAAGAAATTCGCTAGCTCGGTTACTGGTACAGTTGAAGTTGATCCGGACGCTCGGACAATTAAGTACTTTAATCAGGAGAACGGGCGAGTTTTCATTCATCCGAGCTCGATTCTCTTTTCTGCACAGGGATACCCTAGTTCTGTGGCCTATCTCAGTTATTTCACAAAGATGGCTACTAGCAAGGTGTTTATCCGTGATTTAACCCGTATGTTAGACCCTTTCATCACAACACTGATATTTGTTCTTATTCACTTACATGTTTACTCGCAGCTTTCAACGCTTACTCGCTTCTTCTCTTCTGTGGCTCTATTACACTCGATACTATGGGCCGTGGACTCCTGGTAGACGGCTGGCTCCGACTACGTGGATGGGCGAGGATCGGTGTTCTTGTTTCACGGCTGCGTACCATGTTAGATGAGGCGCTTGCTGCACGAATTGATAATCCTGTACTAGGAGCAGATGGCGGAGCCGGGGATAGAGTGATCGAGGCTGTTAAAAGGTTGATTGAGTTTAATGGTCTGGACCAGTGATTGACTCATTCAATAGACGAAGGATTAGAAAGATAGAGGCTAGAAATGTTACATACAAAGGACCCAGGTTGACGGCTATCTTACGATATCGTTGCTGCCTGTCTACTTCAATCTAAAGTCACTAGCGATACGAACAACCCTACTGGAATAAAAGAATCATGGAATAAGATCATGGCACTAAACCGATGCAATGTTTTTTTCTGGGTTTCTGTTTTTCGAACGATAACTCCATATGCAGTATCTGAGTACAAATAAATGCAAAGGCAAAAGTAAGAAGGGACAGCAACTGGCTCGGTGTGCAAAGGGGGTAAAATCAGTAAGTAAAAACACAAGAATGACCGTCATTAAGGCATGGGTTTTTTAAAAAAAAATGCCACGGACAAAGAAGAGAAAAATATGCGAAATTCTCATGATCCGCAGGTATGTATCGCAAGGGAATAATGGGGAAAAAGAATATCAACGCCGCCCGACCGTGAAACTCCCCGCGTCCGGAATAATGGCGTCAAGTCATCTCGGGATCGTGAGTATCGAAAATAGAAAAGAAAACCCCCATGAAACTGAGGACATAAAAAACGAAGAACGCCACTGGGCCCCCTCCATATTGGCTCCAAATGTCAGACTCCCTAAAGCACGAAAAACAAAATGAGATATGCGATAGTGAACGTAGGGGTATTGATGATTAGTGGTAAGCAAGGCTGAAGCACTTTCAACCTGACGAAATCCAGAGACTGAGCTTAGTAGTGAGCAAGGCCATCGAGGCGATCCGGATTGCGCCAGGGGGTGGATGCATCGAGCTGGAAACCACGCTGCATCTCGCCCTCGACAAAGAGTGAGGCGCGCTTGAAGCGACGGTCGAGATACTTCTCATAGATAGCCTGGTGGTGAGTCTGGGGGTTCTGGCAGCAATCAAGCATAGTTCGCATGAGAGGAATTAACTGAATGTAGAGATAACCACTCCAGAATGCGTGGGCAGGGGTCTAGAAAAGATGTTAGTGAATGCGGCGACAGAAAGGCGGCTTATTTGCCCATGATATAAAAAAGCTTACCCATACTCCCTTGCGCAGCATCATACGAGCTAGGCAGTGGGCACCAGCAGCGGCATAGCTGGGGAGGGTTGACACGAAGCGCTCATCCATGATTGTCAGTTCAATGAAGTACTTGGCGACGGTTCGAGTGTCGAGGTCATAATCGTCAGCCTTGCTGATACGACGCAGAAAGCTCATTGGGCCAGGCCATCCCAGGTCGTAGTTCAAAATGGCAAGCATGAAGCGTTCGGCCTTCAAAATTTCATCGACTGTATAGCCTCCATCAACCATGTAGACAATCTCCTGCACAGAGGGAGCTGTAATCTCCTCATACTTGGCTGCAATGAAGAGAGCAGTAGCGCCCACAAGCTGAAGCTTGCCAAGGGACACAATTTTGTGAGAGAGGAAACGATCAATGTAGTTCACGCAGAGATACAGAGTCTCAGGAAGGAGAGAAAAGCGGAAGTGAACCTGGACCAGCCAATCCATGAGAACAGCGCGCATAGACCACTGAATTTCCGCCTGGTTGTTCATATAATCATGAACGGGAATCATGGCAACCTGATGAAAGTCAGTATATACACACATCTCTATGATCGAAGGATAGTTAAACAAACCTCCTTTGTGCGCAGGTGGAGAAAGATCTCCGAATCGTATTCGGCAACCATGCTGGGATCCCAGGCTTCTTCTTCAACCTCTTCTGGTGTACGGCTAGCATCCACAATCTTCTTGGCTTGGAGGATCTGGCCTTTAGTGTTCGATGAAAACATGGGATAGATGATGGCAGTGGTGCTGCAGGTAGTGTTATCCATGCGCGAAGCAGACGCGTCATGGCTAACTTCATCTTCCCAGTACTCGTCAGGCTCCTCCGAGGCAAGATGTGTAATAGTTGTTTGCTTCAAGGCGACAGCGGCGGTGTTAAGTTCTTCCGCCTCAGAATGGATCGCATCAGACTCAATAACCACATAGTCATCGTGGTCAGACTTCTCTTCAGCAACAGGCACAACTGAGATTTCCTTCTTCGAAATCTCTTTGGTCTCCTTTGATGGAACTCGTCCTTCGGTCTTGGGGTTGGTTTCGCGAACAGGGTGGGCGATCGTATTTTCCTTGGATGTCTCCTTTTCGACGACGGGTTCAAGCTGATCACGGAAGACAGCGTTGCTGTGCTTGATTGTCTTGGAGGTCTGAGCCTTCCCAGCGGGGTTGACGGGCTTCGCAGTGGCATTCGTCAATAGATTTTTGAGGCCGGACATGGAAGCTGGGCGCTGCGCTGGCTGTGAAAGGACTGGCTCCCCAGAGACCTCTGTAATTGGCTTCTTCAAGACGGCAGAGTCATCGCGACTAGCTTGCGAAAGTTTCTTGGTATTGCTAATGTCACCAAAAGCTCGTCGGGTTCCGGTCTTTGTGTCCTGAGTCGCATTCAGCGCGGACATGGACTTGTTGCGCTGGTGAATAGCTTTATTGTCTTGTAAGGAAGGAGGCACGTTCTCATCCCCACGGACGCGAATACGCTGCGGCTTTTCATTGCTTGTTAGTATACTTGCAATTGTCATGAACAATAACCTGGTAAACATGGATCCCGAGGCCCTTGATACTATACCAACACTATGCCTCGAGAACCAGACTTGGGGTAAATAGAGAAGAAAGACGTGAGTACATACCTTGGCATCCATTTTTCTCAGTTCCCAGATATTTTTTGTCAAATTGACACGTTGGTTGTCGATATGGACTGGGGAGTGGGTTTGTTTACGTTTTGCTGAGTTGAGGATGAGCAGGTCCGTAGCCAGGTAAAGTGTGTATGATTGGCTGCCAAGCAAAACAAACACTCGCCCTGGAGGATGTCACGTGCAGACACGCTGGGGCCCTGTAAACAAATGTGACAAGCCGTGACTGGAATGGGGCCGCAGCAACCGGAAGCCCCACCAGTGGAACGTGTTGGTCGGGTCCACTCACAACAGTGGCTCAAGGCGTGCTTTGATTTCTGAATAAGGAAGCTTTGGAAATGGAAGAGGCTCGGTGAAAACGAGTTGAAAGATATATCCTAGAAAGGAAATGATAGGGGAGGAAGTGAGAGAAAGAGAGCAACTAAATAGAAACAAAGTACATCTCACCGCCCTGGTAATATAATACTGGCAATACACGTCCATCGAGTTAGGGCTACCGCCTTCAGACTTCAGACCGCTTTATTCTGCCGGCATTACATCTGCACAATTTAGGATGATACAACATTCAATTTTTTTGCAAACATTCAACAGACTGGTGAATTGTTTTTTGAACTCATGAATTTTTATTTTCAATCTCCTTGAAGATACCAGTTTATTTACCAGAGCAATCATAATTTTATTGCGATGAAAAGGATATGCGACATACCTGAGAAGAATGGAGTTGCAGTTGACCGCCTCTATGCTCAATTATTCTGCCAGCCTGATATGCGCAACATACTCCGTACAGCTGGATACAATCCATTTGGAGCTTACTCTGAGCGTTGTTAAACGGACACCCTTTACACCAAATTATGCTTAGCCTGTACAGATTCATATATGTATCAAGGCTCTGATAGAGGAAGGTACCTAGGTACTGTGGTAGTTTCGCTTCACAGCGCCAAAGCAACCCATATGTTTAGACCGCCTCTAATTTCTGCCAATTTTTGCTTGGCCAATCAAACACCGGAAACATAGTTATAGCTTCACTGCCTTTTCCCTACATGCAGCGAAACGACTCGAATTTTCCGTCTATTCCATTTTCTGGACATTAGACTAATTTTTGCCTGGTTGGTATAGATAGTGTTATCTCCCTCCATAAAATCTCAACTCCTATGGAGATCAGAAGGGCTGAGGTGTCTCGATTGCTCAGGTCGCACCCACGTGTGCATGAAGAGGTTGTTAGATAAACTATGTAAACTCAAGTGCTTGAATGTCCATACTCAAATATGAACATCTTGAATAGATTCATCATAGAGATAGGTCAATATGAAACTTGACATGACAGTGTGCAGATGATGAGACGAAAGGCGGTCTAGGTTTTAAAATTGCTTTATCTGTCACTAGTCCTATGTGTAACTTCAAGTTCACCCAACATTTGAACATAAAGAGATAAATTAGACAAAACTTTGCAATATGTAGATTCAAAATACAACTGCGACCTTGGGAGTCATAGATTAATTAGTATTGTGGATGTTCATATCCGTACTAGCACCACATTTTCCGAATTCCCTTTGCTGAGGTGGAGCGCCACTGGCGAGACCTGCCAAGAATATATTCCGATTAATCAATCCATTAGTCCATGTATGCCCAGGTGGATCATGCACCTCAGGCTGCAACTAGTACTCCGTACATACTGAATAACTGCATACTCCAGAACCAAATGTTAGAGCAGGATGTTTTGACTCCATATTTGTCGAACCACCATACTCAAGCAAAGTGTACCTGGTGCCATGTATAATTTGGTAGCCGTGGAAGCTTAACTTGTTTGACCTGTTTGACTCATAGTTTGGTATGTTTGCACCATTTGCATGATGCGTTGTCCACGCCAAGATATTCTTATCAGCTTATCAGTGACGTCAAGAGCTTATCGTCACGTCTTCCCCCGGGGCATCAATTTTCTATATAGATCAATATCTCTCCCATCTTGAGAGGGAAAGATAAATGCTATTTAACCTCTTTTAAAAACCTATCTAATAGTCGAATCCACTTAATTTTTATAAATTCTTAGTGTTATATGGGGCCACAATCGCCAGGGCTGTCGATCCACCCTCCCCAACGCGCTAGTTACGCGGGCCCACGTGATCCACACCGCTTTACAGGGCCGGATCGAGCGGTAAACGATTTGGCACTTTCTAGATCAGCCGAAGCGCATCCGAACTCGCTCATCATTGCGACAAAGTTGGGCATCGTTTTTTGTTGACCCGCTCCGAAAATCTAAACTTGTGCGGGGATCTCAATTCGGGTTTCCGCCCTTTAAGTGGTCCCTAATGATTCCGTTAACTGCAATCTTCCTGCACGGTCTGGTCAATCCATTTTCGTAGTCACTTCCTATTGGATCTTATGAACCATTCAAATAAGCCCTGTTCCTGCTGGACATCTAACCTGCGAATTATAGTAAGATTCATTAACTCCGTAACATGTACGAAACCTTGTGATTTCCCCATCCTCCCCGGTCTTGCGTCTTGCAGAGCATTCTCTGTGTTTTGTACCCTGTAACTCTCTTCCTTCCAAATGTCTTGTTTCCCCTCCATTTGGTCTTTGCGCTTGGCTTCTCTCCTACTGTATTTCCTGCAAGGTTCAAGAGAGAAATGCTCTGTAACCCATCCCTTTGCTATTCTTACGTAGGTCCCGAGGAGGGGTAAAATCAGCCGGCGCAGATCATGCGAAACATGCCGTGACGACCATCAGTCATGCGATTGTATCTTTGGGAGAGATTGGTTTTCCCTAATCGTTATTTTTGGTGATTTGGCTGATCTGGCTGCTTTGGGGGCTGCGCGCTATTTACCTGGGGCATATCGGGCTTGCTGAAACCGCCGCAACCATGAACTCTTTCCCCGCGCCTTGCGATTCTTGCCGAATTCCAGGGCGCTAGGTTTGTCGCATCAGAATTTAAGGTATTCTGAAAGGCCTGGATGGGTGATGCGACAAGGATCCATGCGATTTGCATGGATGCAAATGGTCGCCAATGTGCGACAAGGTGTGGCCACCCAAGCAGTTGGGGTCTGTTGCGAATATTGGCCTATTAAGTCATTCCATTGGTTATGAGTTGTTGAGTCTAAATTTCGGAGTTAGTGTTCATGTTTATGAACAGGCGTTGGCCTCCGACAAGGTCCCCGGGTTGCGCAAAGCAGGATGGCCACAAAGCATAGTTTTCTTCCATAGAAATTCGAGCAGTAGTATTCTATTTAAGCAGACTGAGTTGGATCTACATTGAATCTTTACCGGATGGTTAGACAGGATGCTCGGCGCAAGAGCATTACGGCTTGCGACAGACATGCGCTTTGCGAAATGATCGGGTGAGGTCAATCAATGTCAATTTGACTAAATGTATAGTAGAAATTTCAACTTAATTAAAAATGAATAATATTTCTTTTGTCTTAAATCTACTCTATCGTCTGTTCTAATTAGGTAGAAGGAGGCAAAAACATGGAATGTGATGAGAAAGCTTGGGCGGAAGTGCAAATCGCCATGTCACCGACCCAGACAGGCCGTTTTCTCGCTTTAGGTGAAACCATCGTACGCACCCACTCAACCTTCCTCCTTCAAATCCCACCTCCCCGCCTATCCCGCTTGATTTATCAATTTGGGATATTCTCTGCTATTTGGTTGTTGAGGTACCTGAACCTCCTCTCGGCTACTGTGAGAGTCACCGCTGACATAGCCCACCCCCCCAAAGCGCTCTTCGTAGAAGTTCAACGACAATCCTCCACCCACAACTGACTCGACTGCCAACCATCGTTTTACCCATTTAACCTCGCAGTAGACATTTCGGAGTCTCTGCGATCCGGTTGAATTCGTCTGGATCTTTACTAGGTGTGTCTACGTTTCTCTCCATCCTCTTCCGAGTCTGCTGTCTGGCTCTCGTCGTCCTCTCCCCCCAAGGTCGGCCGGACTCGGCTAATCAACGACCATTTTTCCATCCTCCTGAGACGAACTTCATCTTTTGGATGAACTTGATTCCTTGAGATTACCATTGTACTAACATTGGGTTCGGAGTTCGTGCTAGGTCGTCCTATTCTGCCTCTTCCGGGTCATTCTCGGTTGCGACACCCAACTTCCCCCTCCATCCCCATCGAAAAGCCCTGCGTCCACCTATTTCCTCCATCGCCAACCCGGGGGTGGTACATCCACCTGCCAATCTTTCCGAATCCCTATAACTGTGGTAGGTTAGATGGATCCTCCCCTCCCCTCTGCACCGAAAACTTTGCCTGTAGCCCCAGTCATGGATCCCATCCAACCCGCTCTCTCCTCCTCCTCCTCCTTCTCCTCCATCATAAAAACAGTGGGTTGATGCAGTCATCGCTTTTTAGCAGCAGAGGACTTCCTGATATTTTAGACTTGCCCACTATGCAAGCGGTCTTGAATGACGGGTACTCTGCTCTGACAGAGCAGTCGGTTGTGGTGGATGGCTCTCGAGACCTGTCGCTCAAGAGCCCCGTGCCCAAGAACGTCGCATTCGAGCTGCTTTTGGACGAAAACTCCAAAGTACGAGCTCGAATTCCTATGCGCGTCCAAATTTACCCGCATGATACAACGGATTCGATTGTGACGACGGTCAAAAATTTCTATGGCATCTACGATGGGACCGCCAGTGGGGTGAGCTTTGAGGATGAACATGGCACCACCCTGATCGCAAGGTATGAGAACCTCAAGAATAACATGACTGTGTATGTGCGGGTCATTCCCATTCAACCTTATACGGATCACTTTTATGGTGGTTATCCTGTGGAGCGCAAGCGGCCCAGTTTGGGTGAGCCTTTTGGGATGGATGCTGTAGCGCCGGCCCTGGATCAGCCATCGCGGCCATCCTCTCGCCTCGCTAGAAAGCGCAGCACATCTCCATCTAACCGAAGTCTTCGAAGCGCTTCTCAGCACAAGCAAGGCTCACGTAGCGGTAACAAAAGCCGTGGTTCGAGTCATGCTGGCTTCCCAGATGAGGATCTCATGAGCGATAGTGAGGACAGCTATAGTCGCAGATCACGAGGCGATGCATTCGCCAGCTCAGAAATAAGTATGGAGAATATACTTCAAGATGGTCGTCGCAAACGACCAAAGTTTGACAGCTCGGTAAGTATCCCACTACGATTGACATCGAATGCCTTTCGTCTACTTTTTTCTACTCACCTAAAAAATCCCATAATATCATTGGCTAATCATTCTTTCTTATAGGAACTTCCACTCTTCGCTCCTCCTCAAGTCCCTCTCACCACCTCGACCTCCTCCATCTCTCCTCAGCGTCGGTCAGTTGGACAAGAAGGTGCCGGCTCACCTTTTGCTCGTCCCACTCATCGCCCATACGGGTACCAACAAGCTCTACCATCGCCTCAAAGCTATGGTCACAGTGAATATGGGGTACATTCAGGACGCAACTCAGTATATGCGACACCAGTCGTTCCCGAAAATGCGAACCGTGTGCCCTTCAGTAACTCTGCCCCACGCGTGAGTGGTGCTGGCGTTCTGCCCACCCCAGATCCAACTATCGCAAGCTGCATCTCTGATGAAGATGTTGCAATGCAACTGATCCGCCTGGGCGATGCTTCAAACTTCTCCCATGGGCGTACATCGGCATCAACACTCGATGATGCCTTCAGCGGCGCTGCTGATGCCGCCTCATCGACTGGTGCCACCAGCGATGGCGAGGACTTTAGCGAAGAGGAAGATGACTTGCCAGCTCGTCGCAGACTGGAGTCATCTCCAATGCTTCCTCCTGGCGCCATCAAACGTCATCACAAACGTCTTGATGACATTCTGCCCAGTGCAGACAGCAGCGATCACAGTTCAGATGGTCTTGACGACGGCATCAAGAGCGAGGCCGAAGAGGATGCTTTGTACAAAGAATTTGCTCCCAAGGCGAAGAAGCCCAAGAGCCGTCCAATGTCCGCAAAGCCTCGCAGCCAAAAGTCTTTGCCCAAACTAAAGACCAAGACTGTAGCCCCTGCGCCACGCAAGCCGTCTGAAAAGGTCGTTGCGCCTGTCCCGCCTCTCAGCCCAGTCTCCTCCCGCAAGGTTTCTGGAGGATCCGTTAACTTCCAGCATCAACTCGGCGCTGATGAAGAGGATCTTTCTACAAAGCCCCGCTGCCAACGATGCCGCAAGAGTAAGAAGGGCTGTGATCGCCAGCGCCCATGTGGTCGTTGCAAGGATGCTGGTATCGGATGTGAAGGCTGCATCAGTGAAGATGAGGGCAACGGACGCAAGGGCCGTTATGGACGCCACATGGGCGTCCCTGTGAAGCGACTCGATGATGGAGAAGAAGATTTACTCGACTTTATAATGCCTGGTACTCCCCTGGCCTCTGCTTCTCTTGCCGACAAGAACAAGAAGCGGAAGCGTTAGTCTTCAGCTCATACGTTTCCTCCCTCCCCACCAACATCATCTCATCATCATCATCACCATATCTCTCTCTCCTTCATTCTCACCGCCATCTTCTCCACCCTTCTACTCTCCTTTGAAACTTTCTCCTCGCTCATAAAAGGGAGGCTTGACACTCCTTTCTCTCTACATCTCACCCTTACACTCTTTCTTCCCCAATCCCGATTTATACAAAGTCTAGCGGGTTGATTTTTTGTCGGCGTCTACGTGTTCGCGGATAATTTTTTTATCATTCCATTCACTCTTTCCAGACCAATAGCTGCCTGCTTGTCTTGCTAATCTCGGATTTTTTTTGTTTTCCTTGTGGTTCAAGTCAACCTTGAAGTACTAGTAGCGGGAAGATATATACTTTCGGTGGATGCAGGTAGCGGAGGGGCCAGTCCGGGCTGTATAAGGTGTTACGGGTCTTTGTTTGTTCGCATGAGTAGTTTGGGAATCAATTCAGTTTTACCATTTCAACTTTCTTCTTATCTCAAAATTTTAACTGATTCTAAAGCTATTTGCATACTCGGAGCCCTGAACTCGTCGCGACATTCACTGAATATAAGTCACGTGACTAATGGCGGTGAGATGGCTCCGCAACATTTTTGAGCTGATCAACTTTTTGACGTGGGGATACTACGACTTTTACGACTCTTACCTTTATTCCAGTCTTGCCAACTCTCAATTATCTCCAGCCTGTCTCAAATTCACAATCGAGCTCTCTACAGACAAATAAAACCTCGCCTGCGAAAACTTTTCCACAGCTTAGTGCTGTGCGCATCACCACTATGCCTCCTCCGAGAGCAGGTCCCAGACGAACAATCGCAAAGCCAGAAGGCTCCGCAGAATCTACAAATGCACCCGGGTCCAGCGCTACCCCAGGCCCCTCAGGTCGCCCTCCAGTGCAACGTCTGCAATCATTGACGAAACGCGCGCCTCCAGGAGGCAGCATCACACCCGCATCGCGCGCGCCCTCAGCATTGGGCGCTGACACCGGTCCCAAGCCACTGAAATTCCGGCCGAAGGCAGTCCAGCGAAAGAGCAAGGAAGAGCGTGACGCCATCGAGAAAATTGAACAAGAGCGAAATAATGAACGATTGAAAGAGGCTGCTGCTATTCAGCGAGGAAAAGATAATGGCCGAGGCAGAGGTTCTTTCCGCGGACGCGGTGGAGCTATGGGTGGTGGAGTCGGTGGTCCCTTGGGTTCTACATTCGGCGGTGCTTTCAGAGGTCGTGGTGGTGGTCAAGGACGTGGTCGTATGCGCTCTACATTTACTGCTGGATCGCGGGGCCGCGACGATGATTCCTCGGGCGATGATTTGGCGACAAGCATTGACCAGATCAATATCGAGAGTGATGATGACTGGGATAGTGCAGAAGATGTGAAGGGCAAGATGCCAAGTCGGGGCCGTCGGGCGAGAGGATTACGTCCTGTTCGTGTGACGCGGCACGAGCACGAGGAGAGGGTGATCCATGTTAACATGGAATCCAGCTCTGCTAAGGCGGCGGAGATTCGGGAGAAGGCTCAACAGGAGGCTGCTGAGGAGATTTCGAGCACCGAGGAGGATATCGCTACATCCCAGCCTGAAGTCAAAGAGGAGCCCTCAGACGAAAACGATTTACCTATGGAGGATCTTCCAATTGCTGAGGATGATGGATTGCCTAGACAGAGATACCGCGTGCGTCGAAAGACATCGGATCCTAAGTCGGCGGAGCGCAAGCCTGTGGAGAGCAAGGAAGTCATCCCTCCAACGAAGGTCAAGCGAGACCCCCGCGAACTTCTACGCACCAAGGAAGAGATCGATGAATACGACCGCCACCTTGCAGATCTCGAGCATATTCGAGAACTTCTTACTCACCGAGAGCCGGAGCCAGAACCAGAGCCCGAAGCACAGCCACAAGCAGAGCCAGAAGCAGAAGCAGAGAAGTCACAACCCGCCGAAACAGACACAAACATGGACGATGGTCTCGACCAAGATAATGAAGAAGCCCCCATTGAGAAATTGGCGAACGAACATCTCCTTGGACATCTTTTCCTCATGCAATTCCCGCCCATGACGCCCAACCTCTCACTTGCAAACTCCAACGACGCACCCGCCCCACAAACCACACAATCTCAACCCCGGCCTCAGGCTCAACCGGAAGTGAAAACCGAGAATGGAGAGGATGCCGATGTCGAGGTAACCGGTGAAACCGTTTCAGATGGTCCATCTAAGCTCATCACCGCCGCAACAAACTGGTCCTTACCAGCCGGCCGCGTGGGCAAATTAAACGTCCACAAGTCTGGTCGCGTGACGATGGACTGGGGTGGCATCAGCTTCGAATTGGACCGTGCAGCTGCAGTGGACTTCGTACAGGAAGCGCTGATCGTGTCTCAACCCGAGCCCGATCAATCTGGTCAGTTGGCGAAGGATGATACCAGACACCAGGCTTGGTCTATGGGTCAGCTTTCGGGCAAGTTTACGGTTATGCCGAACTGGGATGCCATGCTATGATAATACAAAGATGAGTTGATTGAGTTTATTCTTATGATGTAAATAGAAGTTCTTTAAAACCTATGAATCAATTCCTCGAATTTACGGACCAAGTTTCCCTTACCTCATGTGCACTCCGAGTCTAGGGCTCCTGTAAAATGCTTTCATAGCATGCTTTCTCGAATATAGACAAGGGTCCACGCATCGAAAAAGATTACCAGGGGACCATGATGTGCTGAATCCGAGTCTACTGAGTAGTAAGAAAAAGAGACTCAGATGAATGAACTTCATATGTATTCGAAAGCATTTAGGCTGCTCTTCAGCCATGCCCCTATCCTAGACTGATTTCACCCTATAACAGACTCGGACACATGCATATGCCCCATACTCCATAAATAGCTCCTCAAAAATAACCATAGAAGACATCCCTCAAATGCTAATAATAGCCACAAATAGTATCTTAATAGTAGGGACTACTATTAAGATACTAGACCCAGGTACTCCATAACAAAGATACCAACTATTTCCTGGATTGATGCAACCTACAAGACCAATATATTCCGCCATTTATAAGTCATCCTTTGATAGACCCTCCATGGCAAATTTATTGGTTTGTAGATTGCATCACTTCAGAAATAGAGGATATCTTGTGTATAGAGAAACCTGTGTGAGAAATAGAAGGGATGAGGTTGGGCGTGAGGAATAAATTCCATGGTTCCATCGTGAGTTTTAGTAAGCATTTCGCTTAGCGCTTGGACGTACTTACTGTCCAGACCTTGCAAGCTTGAAAGCTTTTCTTTTGGAAGACATATGAGCTTGTGATTTATAACAGGATTGTCTATTTAATGATTTGGATGCATCAATGAAGAATAAAATGCTGGTTATCATTCTCGCATATAGTAGGTACCTAATCCCTGCAACATGCAGGGTTGTCACGAATTAAGAAGGCGGTGTCAATCTGCCAGACAGTACTTCCGGGAACTTAAAGTATGTAAACACGCGTGGGCGGTAAGCCAATCTAATCAGCCTAAATTCAACTGTGCCCTACAAGTCCCAACAAGACTGGGCGTACGAAATGTAAGAGATATAATAGAATTCAATTCTGGCTCGCGTCTCCAAGTTTGCTCACTTAAGTGCTGGAAAGTGTTCAGCTTCCAGATGTTTGAACATATGGATACGGGGTTCAATACTCACCAGTTGACTAAATTCAAAGTGGGCGAGGTTTGAACGAGGTTTGAATGTTGCAAAGTTTGAACCAAGCGAGGTTCGAATGATACATATACGTGTTAAAAACCATGCCGTATTAAAACCTTGTGCAGTGGACTCCATATTTTGTGTGAAAGTTACATGGTTCGATCAATGCAATATTGAAACTATACACAATCTAACGGTACAATGTTCAAACCTTTCGAGGTTTTATCTATGAAGTATTCAAATTGTCGAGGGTTTAATGTCATTCAAATTTCTCAAAGAAATGAATGGAGTTTTTCGATGATCAACTTGAATTTGAATCACATAAGATCAAAGTATACATTACGTGAACGGCCCACTGTATAGCAGAGCGATAAAGAGAGGGTATATGCATAAGCTGGACTGGAGTACAGTCAAGCTTATTCTGTGGTGGCAATGTACATATCTCAAGTGCTTGAACTAGAGCTACTAGTAACATTTGAAGAGAGCTTGAGGTTTGATATGAATTACTATGATTCAGATGTCTGTCCAGATGTCTCTTGATCTCAAAGAATAGCTCCCAAGTGCTGCAAATAGAAGTAATCTTAAGGTCAATGATGGACAAGTAGCAGTGCAAGTTATCATTGGGCTAAGTTGAGAGTAATCAAATTCTAAAAGTTCAGTTCATCCGAGTCTGAGTCCCATAAAGAAAATCGGAAATATGCTTGATTTGTCATATCATGATAGAAAAAAATATCCGTGTCTGACTCATGGAAAGTTCCAGTGTTGCAGGCGGGGTAGAAAGATTTGAAAGCATGCCGAGGTCTTGTCTTTGATAGTAAATGTAACATGGAGCAAACAAATTCCTGTTTATCCCTCGTTCCTTAACAATATTTGATTAGCGCTAGGGATAAATTCGAGTTCAAGGCCAGGCATTACGATGGCTGCATTGACAGACAAATCTCAATCTTATATTCCTCTTGCGGGGAGTGCCGAAGACGGCTGGTCGAAAGAGGATGAGGCAACAGCCACATGTTACTGTGGAGCGGTTCAGCTAGCTTTTGTGGGTTTTAACTCATATATCCCAGCCTATTTGAGCATTAGAGTCCGGTAATACTAATGTGGCTATTATTTAGCCGACCAAAGGACCCGGCTTAATTGATACCTTTATCTGCCACTGCACAGACTGCCGCAAAATCACGGCATCAATGTTCGCATCTAATTTCATCATCGCAGACTCACATCTTAGACATCTAAGGGGTCGTGAGATATTGAGTCAATTCAGCCAGTCGAAGACTATCGACTCTGGAAAAGCGATGACGAATTACTTTTGTTCGCGATGTGGCTCGTTAATGTATCGCGTTGGCGAGGCTTTCCCAGGAAGTAGTATTCTGCGCATTGGTACAGTGGATGATTTCAATTTGCATGAGACCAAGTTGAAGCCTCGGATTGAGCAGTATACGAAGGATCGAGTGGCATGGTTGTGTGATGCTAAGGGTATTGAGCAAGTAGATGGATCGGCATATGCGCCAAGAGGACCTCGTCGAGAAGAGTCTCTATGAGAAAGACGAACTATGGAGTACTAGGACTGAGAAAGTGTATATGATAGTTTGTCATCGTTTCATCTCCTTATGAAAATTTAGGTTCATCGTCCTCTATGTTGACCTTTAAATGAGGTGTGTTCGTTTCTTAGAATGCAGCTCAATGTCAGTGGAGAACGGGATATCATTTTTGTATCCCCACACATTCATACTGGTCGAGAAATGGAAGAAAGCCAACTCCTCATCCATCTTGGCATGCCAACTCTAGCCCACCTGGAGGCCCGTGTCATAGTCCAGAAAGAGTGAAGCTTCCACGTGGGCCGCACCCGCACTTCCGGGCCGCGTGAAGATTCCCACATGGCGATATATCAAATCATCACAACTGGCTCATCGAGATTTTTTACATACATCAAAAATACAACCCAAAAAGCCTGAGCACGTTGATACCATATTTCCTGGGTGATCATACCACGAAGAGAACGATTTCCGGCTTGATCCCATTGGCTCATTGGCCCTGCCCCTGAAAAATGTCAACTGACGTTTCGGCTCAGAGTCCTTCAAAGCTATGGTGCTTCATAAATGATATCAAAGGTCTCAATTGGAAAACTGTAACGGAAGAAGATGTGCCCCAGCAAGACATACGGGGCAAATGGGCGATCATTACAGGGGCCAACAATGGAATCGGGTTGGAGACTGCGAAGACCCTTGCAAAATGGGGCGCAAATCTGATTTTTGGGTGCCGAGAGCCGCCCAAATGGGAGACATCCCCTTCTGTTGCTGTAGAACAATGTATTGAATTGGCTAAATCTGCGGGTCACTCTTCAATTATCGAATGGTGGCCAATCAACATGACCGACATGGATAGCATTGATGCATTTGCCCAAAAGTGGCTCGACACCGGCCGAGCTCTGGATATTCTCTTCAATAATGCTGGGATGGCTCCACACTCTGCAGATGAGCAGCTTGCAACCAATGATGGGTTCCAGATCGTGCACCAGGTATGTTCAGCTCTCTCCATTTCTGCCATGCGCGACTAAATATTAATAATGGTATAGGTCAATCTTCTCTCTCATGTTCTTCTGACCTACCGAGTACTTGATTCCCTGGCTCAAAGCGCGCAGCCGAGAATTGTTTGCAGCGTTTCATCCAAGCTATTTGAAGGTCACTTTGACCCTGAAAATATGAATCGCTGCGAGGAACTGCCCATCCACGCAAGAGGACACTTGTATGCAAACAACAAGCTGTATCTCCAAACTTGGATTGGAGAGGTCCAGCGCCGTTTCTTGTTGCATGAGAAGTACCGTCATATTACCATCAACGGTACACACCCTGGATTTGCGCATTCTGGTATTTGGAACTTCTCGGAAAAGAACAACGTCACGACCTACGCAGGAGCTTTGAAGAAGTCAATCAACGAATTTCTGGTGCGCAACATTGGCATTTCCATCGAGCAAGCCAGCTTGTCTCTGATTAATTTGGCCACCAACCCAAAATTCGGGCCGAATCCAGACCTTCAGGGGGTAGGAGAGCAGGGCGCATCTGGAGGAGGCAATTACTTCAATCGTATCTGGAAGGAGGTACAGATGCCATATTGTGAAGACCCTACTTCCAGACTGCAAGTCTGGAGTAAGGTGAATGAAGAACTGCTTTCGGTTCGAGAGAATTTGCATGCACTCGATGAGCTCAATTCTAAGAGCTAGGAATAAAAACAACAGCTCGAGTACCTCCAAGCTTAGAAGGTCTGTGGGCGCATTTGATAAGCAATGACTCGTGATACCTGTCACATTCTCTATAATATGAATCAACTACTCCAGACCTTCCGCCCCTATAATTTAGCCTAGATATGACAATTCTAATGAAAAGGCGTAAGAACACGGATGATCAATACTGACTTTAGTTTAGTCCAGATGCGCCAAATGTGCCCAACTCGGGGACCGGGGTCGGGGTTCGTGCGCTCGGACTGCCCGAGATCGTTGCATTGATTGCCTGTAATGATCAGATGCACGAGACTTGTCTTCATTCTGGCCGTAATATCAATCATAATAGTAACTGACACTTAGTGTGAATCCTGGTACATCATCTTCAAATATTTCTCGTATAATCCTTGTCTGAACACCGAGACGGTCCACCTATCATTAACGCCACAAATGGGAAAGGAATATCATTCAAAGACCTGTCCCAAGTCCACGGGCATTTTAATACACAAGATGAAATTTCTGTACAGTGTACAGGATATACTGACCAGTTGAGAATTATAGCTTGAGATAAACTCATTCATCTCCAACTCCAAGACATGAAATTATACTTGCCAGTATATGCATAATGCATGTCGACCCCGGGGGTCATCAAGGACGCATGAACCCACTAATTGCCGGATACGACTCCAGAACGCTTAGGTCCCCGACCTCTTTCTTATTGGTCCAAAGGGCCCCAGCCAAGTGTCGCTGATGCGGCTAAAACGTCTTAAGTTAATAGAGTGTCGGGTCAGCGCTTCTCAAACCTTGGCTATTATCCCCCCGTCTTGGAACCCCATCTTCGTATGTGGAGTTTGACTTGACGACTGATCTCTTTAAATGTCGATAAATGATTTAAGAGCAAAAGATCAGAATGCCTCCACAACCGTGGAAATCACAAACATGTGAGCCTTGTCGCAAGAAAAAGATCAAAGTACGTTTGTTTAGGTGGGGGCGGAGGCTTGAAGCCCCTACAAAGTCATACTTGGTCTAATCTTGGTCTTAGTGCGATAAAAAGTGGCCATGTCAGGCTTGTACCAAACATGGTCGGCTCTGTGAGAGACCTATTGGAAGTATTGCAAGTCATCACCGTCAGATTGTTCGTGCGACCCCGCCCCCTCTCCAACCGCTCAAACTCGAGAAGCTTCAGGTATCCAGTCCTTTGAAACCGTGGCATATCAAACTTGTGGGCTGGTTCATTGGGGTATATATGCCAAGGGACTTCCTACCTGCCCAAACACCTCAGAAGACGGTTTCATTGTGGTATAAGCATCTCCCGCAGTCGCTAGGACAATCTGAGCTTTATGACCAGGCTCTAGTGGCATTGAGCCTTCTCGTCATTGCTATCTCTGACGGCAATACTGAATTTTTTACCAAAAGTCTTCAGCTCTACAGTACAGTCTCGGCGAAGCTGGCGGATCCAACTATAACTGAGAAGTTGCACCCTGAGCATCAGATCGGTATTGCGATGGCGATGAATGTCTACGAGGTAAGTTACTCTACAACACTTGATTCATAGTATGTTGTAAGCTGAGAGGTTAGATCTGGGAGCCTACCGGTATTCAAGGGTGGACTCAGCATATAATTCTTGGTCGCAAGTTCGCCGAGATGTTTGGCCCTGAGAAATTATACAAGGTATTCAGCCACAATGTCTACCGTCGACTGAGAACTTGTGCAGTAAGTCTTGCTCCAAAAAATGAGCTGTACTGCCTATTCGGAATACTTCTAATTTGTAACAGTTCTGGCACTCAACCGCATGTCGAGAAGCCACAGTCTTCTCCGAGCCAGCATGGCGAAAAAGAACCCAAGATAGTCACAGCTACGACGAGCTCCTCGATATTCTCTTGCAGGTTCCTACTTTCTCTCATAACATGAATCTCTATACCTCTAAATACGGCTCTAAAATTCCCAAGTCCATACAGGACCAAATGTCTTCGGATTTCACCTCCCTGGAGCTCCAACTCCTACATTGGTACTGGAATATGCAGCTCAACCACCCAGCGCCTATCTTCGACCTTGATCCCTATAACCCATCTGATACTCTCTACGTCCCTCCGGGCTCTACACACAATGTCCTCTTTCCAACCTACGAAACTTACGAGGCTCTCTGTCTCTGCTGGACTGGTCTTGCGAGTCTGTACTTGGTCGGCGTGGAGATGACCTGGCTTGGTTCTCCAAATGATCTCCAGGATACAACTTCTCCCGCAAATTCACCCAATTCGACTCCATTCACGCCTACATACTTCTATCCTTATTATTCCAACCCAGATATCCCGCTCATCACCTCACTCCTTAATCAAGGAGGTAGCCAATCAGCCGCAGAATGCAACAACCTAACCCAGTATTTCTCAACTCGGATCTGTCAAGCTGCGGCGCAATGCATGAGAGATGGATTTCCGAGATGTGGACTACAGCTTTACGTGGCACCGATGTGGTTTGCCGGCGAAATCTTCGCTGACAGATCAACCGAGAAGAGTAAATGGTGTAATATGGTGATGGCGCATATTGCAGATCGTGGTTTGAAGTTTGCTAGGATTGCTAAAGATGTCAGAGGTTCGGAATATATCAAGATGAAGGAGGGAAATTATCAGCCTCAGACTTTACCTGATCAATATTGGACTTGGACTTCTAGTAGTCCAATGATGAAAACTGAGTTTTTACTTGGGATTGATTGATGTGGTTTTCATTTTAGTACTTAATTCAATATATTTCTTTTCAATTTTGATTGGAACCACTAGGCTCATCAAGCCTAAGAATGAGATTTAGACTCAATGATAACTTTCACGATGCGAACTCTTGTTTGAAATCACGCTGTATAAATTATGACTTAATATGGAGAGACGAGGCCGCGCTGCCATGGAAATGAGCAAGCTAGTTGACTTTCATTCTTCCAGAATTGGGTAAAAAACGGCTTCGATAAAGTACTTCAGAATTGTGGTGTCATGCCACCCAACCGCTTCTTCGAAAGCCTCTTCATGGAGGGAGTCACCTCTTTGAAGCTTGATTCCCATATGTTGTATCACAAGCTGAAAAACTTCAGCTCCCCCGTTGACAGCAACTTTCAGAGTATTGCGAGCCTTTCCTTTTCTAGCTGTTTTAGGAGTAAGGATATCTCTTTTTAGTAAAACGCGAACAATATCTGGGAGTGACCTGGGATAATAGTCGGTTGCTATCTCAAAGAGGGTTACAGGTTGACGAGGGAACGGATTTGCTCCTCGATCGAGTAACAGCTCGATTATCTCGGTGTGGCCATATCTAGCTGCCGTGAATATCGGTGGCCTATAGCCATCTCGAGCCAGTCTGTCTTTGACGGCACCCCTTGGATCTGCTCCGTAATCAATGAGCAACTCCACCACGATTGATATGACCTCTTCGTATGGCAACTGCCATGCAACAGCTAAGATGGTCTTTCCACTCCAGAGGATCGACTGTTGGGCGTTTTGAGGATCGGTCTGCATCCAAGAGAAGCTTCGTCAAGGAATACGCACCACCAGAGACAGCACCAACCATAAGAGATACAAGGTCGCGCAAATTGTCTCCGTTCACGATGCCGTCCAAATCAATTTTCTCTGACAAGAACTCAGCATTTTGAGGACTTCGACCTATTGCAGAGCCAATTCTATATAAAGGGTCACAGTCGCCGATATGATCAAGAGCATGCGTATACCAGTTGAATGGCTGCCAGCGTTCGAGCTCAACACCTTGCTCAAAAAGAAATTTCATGAGTGGTATATCGACCTGTCTAAGTGCTGTCATCATCGCCCAGTGGTATTCATTTTTGAGACCAGCAGATCCACTTGGAGCAAAAAAGACAGGCTCTGCGCCCCTATCAATGAAGAGCTTGAGGATATTCAGATCAGATTCCGCAGCTGTTCTCCACGCTGTTCTGCGTCTGCCAGGCGTGTGGGGGTCACATCCATGATCCAAGAGAACTTTGACCACTTCTATATGCCTTCCCTTTGTCGCCAGTGACAAGGGCTGGTCATCGACTTCTTCTCTGTCAAACTCCAGCTGAACTCCATGTTCAATCAAGAGCCTGACCACTGATACACGACCGTGCTCAGCTGCCACCGTTAAGGGATTACCAAACATTTTCCGGCCCATCCAACCCAGGAATTCTGTCAGGGGATTCGGGTCTATGCCATATTCCAGAAAATCTTGCACAATTTTCGCATGTCCTTGTCGTGCTGCAAGAAGGATCGGATGCTCTTCGGACCCATGATGCATGATTTCAAGCCCGGCCTTAAGGAACTTGCGAACACATAAGTCCTTTCCGTCTTTGACGGCCCGGCGAAATGCCTGATGCTCTCCGTATGTTTTATTCTTTGACTTGAAAAGGTGGTGGAGATTTGAGTTGAGTTGTTCAGTAGCAATAACATACAGGCGATGATTTGCCCGTGAAAGTGCGCAGATATCTTTGCTGAGAGTAAGGTATTTGATTATTTCGCATAATAGCTCATTTGGGAGATCGGTAATATGTGTCATTGTTGATGATAATTTGGTTGAAAATTGAAATTGTGGTATTTTCACAGCTTCTTCGGCAAGAACCCGAGAATTTCAAGGTTATCCCACTAGGTATTCAACTTGAAGGTCAGTGTCAATTTCAAGCTTCAAATGGAAGTTTGAGGTTTAGTGTCGTTCAGATCAGAAAAATCCTCTCGTGACTCACTTTCGAAATATTCGATTGTGGGGTGGAAGCAGATGGAAAGGGTTGAAATTCGTAATTATTATATTCTTCATGGGGGCCGGATTGATCATAGCCATCTGTTGACTTAATAGACAGTAGAAAAAAAAGAGTGTAATATGTACAAGTTGGGTGAGATCTTCATGCTGACCGGCAGCAAAGTTCAAAGTGAAAGCCATCTGGAACGCCATATCCATGCACAAAAGTTCAAGTAGAAAAGAAAGGAAAGAAGAGATCTATATCTATCCTAGACGAACACGACCAGGCACTGCACTGCCACCAAACATTCTAGTAACGCCACCTTCCTCTGTTGTGGTATTGTCGCCTGACATCCAACGAGGAAGGCGGAACGGTTCTCCTTGAAACCACTGTGGTGTATTGGTGGTTTCGAAGGTGTTACGAACACGGTGGGCAAATGACTGGAAGAAATTTTCCTCCTCTTCCTCACTGTCGACAACAGTAGGTGCGGTAACGGGTCGCTGTGTGGTTGCGGAAGATCTTGAGCCCTCGGCAGCGGGGACTCGTAGACGAGACGAACCTCGGGAGTCACTCTCGTCGCGGTCCGCTGCCCAGGTGGAGCGAGTTCCACGCGAGGAAACGGCCAAGGAACCGAATCCATTCAGCTCGCGCTCGATGAGATCACGACCTTCGCGCCAGCCACCCATTCCGTAGCCAGAAGGGTTGTTCTCCACGTCGTTGAACTCATCCTCAGCGGGACCAAACCCGAATAGTTTCTTGATGCGGCCATACAGGTTGAACAAAGTAGCGCAGACAGGTAGCAAAATGAAGATGGGGAAGATGTAATCGAATCCTGTGCCAAGGTATGTGAGGTTGATGAACTGGCCCAAGAAATCGTAAAACGTAGTTTCTCTGCGGAAATCTTTCGGTAAGAAAGTCAAGAAGTTGTACGCAATTGGCACGGTTAGACGAGCAACCAAGCTGGCATACCAGCAGGCACTCTCGCCATATGTATTCCGACGCACAAGAGCTCGATTACCCCAGACCTTGACATCATTCACACCCACAAGGGCCGCAGAACACATGTATAAGAGCCAGAGAGCAGTAATCACCTGGTTACCGAATCCAAGAGACTTGCCTGCTTTCCAATTGGGAACCACAGTTAGGCTCACCGCAGACAACTGAGGAGCGACAGACTTGATCAACTCTGACCAGACGACACAGGCCGAGGCTATCGAAAATAGGACTCCGAAAAGCATTCGCACGGAGGGGATGGCATTTGAATACACTTGATAGCGCATATACGGTGTCAAAACCTTGACCCGGGGGAGGCATGAGGACCGGCGGGGCGTGGGACCAAATTCAAGTTTCTTAGATGCGGATGAGTTGATTATAGCCTGAAGATCCGCAGCCAGTTGAACGAGACGATCCCACTCATCCACGAATCGGGCCTTCATGTGCCGGGCGCGCTGCAGGCGTCTAGTCAAGTCTGCCAAGTAGCGTTCGGTGATCACTGAGGGAACGGTAGTGGATGACTCGGGAGCCTCGAGGATGGGGACCCGCACATCGGCAGACCCTGAGCCCTCAGAAAGATCCTCAATCCATTCCTGGAAATCCCGGGCGGTGCCTGTCTTGCGTTGCTGGAGCTGAGCGACCTGTCCGTTGAGGCTTTCCAACTCATTGACCGCATCCATCAACCGGTCATGCACCTTAGGCGCATGAGCCTGGATCCGTCGCAACCGACCGCTCACGTTTCCGTTGCGGATTAGATTGCGGGGGATGGAAACCAGACCATGGCCCATAAGATAGATGGCTAGAACCAAACCCCACACATATGCCAGTGCCATGACCAGTCCTTTGATGGAGGTGGTGAATCGAAAGCCGTTGGAAATGGACACATAGATAAAGCCCACCACTGCGCAGGTGAGAACAATCAACTGATGCCGAGCGTTCTTGCGGAGAGAGTATATGATGCGGGCTTTCGGTTCGCGGTATCCGGAATCGACATAATCGCCGAGCAATGGAAGGATAGCCCTAGAAGACGTTAATATTATACTCAATTTGCGGTTTCCAAATAGACTTTTTCCTTACCAAGTCAACATGAAGATCAGCCAGTATGAGATGCGCCAGCAGACCAGCACCATGCGATCAGGCAACCAAATTGCCTTGGGGCCATTGCCATCGCGAGAGCTGGATGCTAAATCAATGGGGACGAGTAAAACAACACTGGCTGGTAGTGCGAGGGCCAAAAAGATAGGAACTATAAGGTAGGCTGGAGTGGCTCGGAGAGTTAGGAAGCGGCGCAAGAGGAAAAGGACGAGAATGGAAATTGTGCAGAGAGCGAAGGCGAAGAAGACATTGGATCCCACAGAAATGGGTGATACTGAGATCGAGAACATGATCAGGAAAGATATCAAGGGAAGGAATTAGCGATCATGACTCTCAGATATGAATTAGAATTAACAGGAGAACCTGAGGCGGGAAGATCCTAAGTTTCCAGGGGACGCGGGCGGTGTATTAACCATTACGTGCAGCGTACGCGGCAGGTTGAGCCCAGAGCGGCCCCGCCGATCATTACGAAATCACAACAAGGGAGTTCAAATCGTTACCTAGTTTGGAATACGGAGTAGTGGGGCAATTGTTCTATATGTAGAATGATATTTCTTTGACATTCTCTACTAATAGGTAGATACATAGGTAGACTAGTAGGTACTAGTAAAGAAATCAGTCAAAATACACAGTACCTATCCATGTTCTATACTCTTCGAGCAATCATGTTGGAGCTAGCTTCCAAGGTTAACACTAACATTTGTACCTAGTATAGGTACTAGTACATATATCGGGTGCATGAGCAAGTTCGATTTCTTGAACTTGAAGTACATGCTGAAATTGTATTTATTTATATAGGAAAGTGTTCACTCCAAATGTTATCAAACCTGATCAATCTATTGCTTGAATGCTTGGAATAAACCTTAATTGAACACTTCAAATGTGAAGTGCTCTTTTAGGTCTAACTCATACAAACTAATGTTCCTCCATTGGTGGCATTGAAGGCGGGTCGATCAACCAGTTGACTCTGGGACGCTCGAATGTTTGAATGCGGCGACTACACATGTGTATTGACCTGATACAGATAATACTGTAATTTCTTAGAATATTGAACTGGAATTAGGACACAGCATTTGAAATCCTGAATATACATAAATAACTACGTATGACCACCTCCAGGGCTGGGCATAATGGATCGTATTGAGGCAGTATCCGTTTTGTTGGAGCCTGAAAGAACAGGGTTGATCCACATGTGCAGCTACAATGAATGGAACCATCTCCCGAGGTTGGTATATGTATATCTATTTTCTTTTTATTAGGGGGGACCTCGAGAGTATTTTCATGATAGAGATCATGATCATTGTTGATATAGTAGCACAACATATGAATAGTTATTTATATACTGTAACCTTGGAATTTGACGATGACTAATATGACATTCCGGATTGGGAGATAGTGTCTTGGATCTCCAGCACTAATCAATACTAATCAAATACTAAAATACTAAACATTTAACTAACATTTTAATGATCGCGATTCCATGTGGGATCTAGACCTTAAGAGGATATACTCCGTCCATGGAGACTCAATTCCATCCTCGCTTCTTACTTTCAACTTCCTACCACCTTAATATACTTCCTTACAGCTCATTTTCATTATCACTTCACTTCAATATCATATATTCCAAGGTTTGGGGCCCTGGAAGCATTCCTGGGGCCGTGAAATGAGATCCACAATTATGACGACGCTGGGCTCGGGAGTTGGGCTTGAACAACTTGAACCAGTAGAGATTATTGTGTTTTAGAACATTTGAATATATAACATAGAGCATTCAATTAAATTATTTAATATGTACTACAGTATACAAAAAATCATTAACATCAAAACAATGAAAGTCACGAGGATCACGGGGTACCTGAATTAGGAACCTGGGGGGCCCTTGTGACCTTGACATGACATCGTATCCTTACACTCCTCTGTGAATGAGCCCATCAGTGAATGTCAATTCTTACTATTAGGCCTCGTGGACTTCTTCTTTTTCTTCTTCCTTTAATCCTTCAACTCTCTCCATTTTCAACTCTCTCTTGTATCCTAATCCTTGAGGTTGTCACAACTGTTCTGCGCCACTGAACTTTCCCGTCCCCGACCTCATTTTGCTCCATCTCTCCACCCCCTTCACTAAAAGCGTCCTGTGCACGAAACATCCCGATCGACGGACCTTTTCTTTTTTTTTGTTTCGTACTCGGGACTCTTTACTCGTGGAGTTTCTTTTTTGTTTTTCTTTTCTTTTTTTTTGGTGGTGGCATTAAGATTCTTCGTGTCTACCATTTTTCAATCTTCTGGACCTTCTTCTCACATCTCCCCCGAAATTCACTCCGTCCTTGCTCGCTCTTGCAGACCCGGTGCGACTTGACCAGCTGCAGCATCCCTGTCACGGATCCCATCAACCCTACGATTGCGCCCCGTCTTCTAATTCGCTGTAAGCCACAACTCAGGATTTCGTCAGCGAATTGGGTCCAATTGACGCTGCTGCCCGAACGCCTTGCTTTTTCCGCCGTCCTGGTCGCTCATTACTTCCTCCACTGACGGGCCTCCGTTTGGACCATTTTGAATTCATCCCCACCCTCCCTGATCGACTCGACGGCGGTTCCACCCCAAACCACCGTTGTCCTCTCTTCTTTGATTATTCCATTATTATTTTTTTTTCTTTTCTTTTTTTTCCAATTTTTTTTTTACGTCCTCTGGGTAAAGGCTTCGATCCTCTCCTTCCTTTTCCCTTTGGCGATCTGCGACTTTGAGCACGATTCCACACCTTCGGTCCCCCGACCCTGCAGTACCTTCTTGTCAAAACAACCTCCACCACAATTTGTCCCCCCCTCATCCTCTGACACGCATCTCGTGTTTCACACCTAGCGAATGCTGGTCACAACCTTCGCCTGCGGATTATTCTCAGACCCCCATTAATGGGGCTCTCGACATGAATCCCAACCCTCAATTCACTAATGCCCCAGGCGGTGGGGGCATGCCCGTCAAACCCATGCAGCAGCCTAACAAAGAGGGTCCGGCAATTGTTATGAATCATGTTGCCCAGGTGTTGCAAAATCAAGGTCCTTTTAGTGGATGGAAAACAGAGGTGCCCATGAAAACTCGTGCTATGAATGTTTGGCAAATGTACGTGCAACGACCCCTCCTGCCCGCGACGGGCGCGTCCCCGGTCCCGTTCCAAGTTTGGCCCTGCTGACTCTTTGCTGCCTAGGATAACTTCTCTCCGCCTGATCCAACCTCGTATCGATTACCAAGCCGCTGCGTCTGCTGCGCTCAGTTTTGAACACAAAGCCTTTGCCAAGGCCAACGAAAAAGTTCGATCCATCTCTTCGTATCCCTCCTCTGCTTTTGACTGCGTACTGATCTGAGGTTTTTTTTCTTTCTATTATAGAGCGATTACGACAGGGAATGTAACGAAAAGCTTACCCACATAAGAGACACTCGACAGAGACAAGCCGCGGTCGCTCTCAGGCATGATGCCCCAGGCGGGTATGCAGAATCAGATGCAGGGTGCTTTCCCACAACAAATGAATAGAGGGATGCAGTCGTCACCGATTCCCGGTCAGCAGCAGATGGCGATGGGCATGAACGATCCGAACCAACAGGCTGCGATGGCACAGCGTCAGCAACAACAATCTGCCATGTTACAACAGCAGCGCGCCCAGCAACGTCCAGCAAATGCCGGTGCCCTGCCCGATGATCTCAGTACCCTTTCTCCTCAAGAACTCGAGCATGTTTCTCGCCTGGCCACCCAAATGCAAGCCAAAACATCACCAGAAGATATGCAAAAGATCAAGATGAATCTTTCGAATATGAATCCCGAACAACGACAATACCTGGCCCGCAAAGACATGGACCCGATGACATATTTCTTTCGCTCGCAAGCTCTTACACAATTACGCCGACACCGCCGAACGCGCTTGGAGATGGGCCGTGCAAACAACCCCAATATGGAGCCTAACGGAGGCATGATGGGGGATCCTATGATGGGCCAACGTCAAATTTTCCAAAACATGATGAATCTCCAGCGTAACACTGGCTTCTCGGGTAACCAAGGTCAGGGCATCGATTCAAATTCGTTCATCGGAAATGTGGAAAATATTCAGGGTCAACAGGCGGACGGATTGCGGTCCCAGGAGGCTGGTCAACTAGTCGTCCCTGCGAGCTCATCGCAAATGAACCAAACCCCTTTCCCCAATCAGCAAAATATGTTCCCACAGCAGATGGGTCAGAATGGCCAAGGCCAAGGTATGAACCCTCAGCTTTTCGGCCAGCAGCACTTTGCGAACGGCCCCAATGGTCCTCAGAGCGGCATGCAATTCCCAAACCAACAGTCCCAAGCCCAGGCACAAGCTCAAGCCCAGGCGCGCGCTCAAGCAGCCGCTGCTCAGAAAGCACAACTAGCTCTGTCAAATCATGGCGGACAGGCGAACGCTCAAGCTCAGGCCCATATCGGCCAGGCCAGCCCTGTCATGCCGATGCTGAATCAACCCATGGCTCCAGGTCAGATGTCTCCCATGCAAGTACCTGGTCAAAATCGAGTCTCGTCTCGCCCACAAAATATGGGCCAAAACCCGACTGGCGTACAGGGTCAGCCCAACATGCAAGTCCGACCGCAAATACCGCCGCATCTCCCACAAGCAATGCAAGACCATCTCAACCAGATGCCCACTGATCAACTCCAGGCTTTCTTTCTGAGCCAGCGCCGCGCTGCAATGGCGAACGGCATGGCTCGCAATACCGGTCAGCAGCCTCTTCAGCAGCCGGGATCGCGACCAGGGCAGGGCCAGGGAGTGTTCAATGGTCAGATGGGCAATAATGCTGCAATGAGAAATTCAATGAGCATGCCTCAGGGCATGAACCCCGCCGCATCAATTCAGACATCGCAAGTTGCTCAACAAATGACGCCACAACAACGTGCACAGGCACAGGCACAGGTACAGCAGCAGCAGCAGCAGCAGCAGCAGCAACAACAGCAACAACAGCAACAGCAGCAGCAACAGCAACAACAGCAACGTCAACAAGAGCTTCTCAAAATGCAGCTATTGCGTCAGAACGGCGGTCTCGAAATGAGCCCTGACCAGATCAAAGACATGGACCGCGCAGCTTTCCCGCCTTCTATCCTCAACCACAATCATGACCCTGCTCAAGTGCCCAAGCACATTAAAACTTGGGGCCAGCTTAAACAATGGGTCGCCGCGAACCCTCAAGCTTCAAGTGGAGTTGATCTCTCAAAGCTCATGACTCTGCAGAAGCTCTGCTTTGCGCAGATAATATCTGCCCGTGCCGGCATTGTAAATCAACAACACCAAAACCAAGCCATCATGCCACAAGGTCAGGGCCAGATGCCCAATGCTCAAAATTTTACTAATGGACAAGCTCAAATTCCCGGAATTCCAGGAATGCGGCATATCACTCCCCAGGATATCATGATTGCTCGTCAGAAGCTTGGCCAGGCTGCTGCCCACATGGATGATAACAAAGTCCGTGAGATTCTTCTCAATCGCCAGAAACAACTTATCATGCAGGCTGCACGAAACCGCCAATTGGGAGTGAACATTCCCCCTGGCCAACAAAATCAACCCATGCCAGCCCAACAACCTCCAAACGTTCCTCAGGGTGCAGCCCAGGCACAACAATCGACCGCTCCGCAACAACCTGTGACCACCGAGCAACAGCCATCGAATGTGAAGGCACAACTGGGCGGAGCTCCTGCGAAGAATGCCAAGTCTGCTAGCAACAAACAAGGATCGAAGAACAACAAAATCAAAATGGAGGAAAATGTCGAAGCTCAAGCTTCAGCTACTCCCCAGCAGCCCCAGCCGGCAGCTATCCCTACAGCTGCGCCTTCCGCTGCCCGCCCCAATTTACCGGTCTCTCAAGATCCGCTTACTTCAATGACGCCTCAGCAACGAATGGCAGTTGAGGACCGCATGCGAAAACAACAGCAACAATTCCTTCGTGGTCCGATTCTCTCTCGAGCTGCTGCTGAAGAGAACTGGAGTAAGAATATTCCAGCTCCCATGATGGAGTATTGCAACGAAATTGCCAGAAATGCACCGCCTGGCAAAGCTATTCCAATGTCCCCAGAGCAGAAAGCTGGCATGGCGCAGTTGCTCATGGACTCTTTGGATATCCTTGGGAGATTAGATGTGCTGGTCGTCCATGGATTTGCTAAGGTGGCTGGCCAGGAAAAGAATATCAGAAACCTGATTACTATGCGATTTCAAATCATGCGACAATTCCAAAACACGCCAACGTGGGCTCCCAATGACGAATTTTCCATTACTCATGACTACTTGACTAGTGCTATTCTGTTCATTCGAAAGTTGTTCCAATTGATGATCGTCCGCATGAATCAACAGCGGCCCAATGCAGCTCAGGGCCCTGCGCCTGCTGCCGCCCAGCAAACTCAGGCTGCCAACGCTTTGAACGCATCAAACCTGCAACAGTTGCAGCAACAACAAGAAGAAGCTCTCCAGCAAGCCCGACGAGCCTCTAGCCAATCTGCTGCCGTCCCACCCGCACCATTTGGGGAGCCTTCTCCTTCAGGTGTGCCACATGCATATGGCCCTGGCGGTCTTGCACCCGAGAAACTGAAACTTCCTCCGCCCAAGAAGAGAAAGCAGTCTCACGCTGGCACAGTCAACGCTTCCCCTGTACAAGCTAGCGCCGCCCCGGTTGCTGCGGCAGCTTATCAACAAGCTATGAACAATGCTAAGACAACGGCGGCCGCCTTGGCTGGCGCTTTCAGGTGTAGCATCGTTGAATGCCAACACCATTTCCAAGGATTTCCTACTCAAGCAGCCTTGGATAAACACGTGGAAGAAAGTCATCAACCCGAGGAAGAGGAAGTTGTTGCTGATCCTTTGCAATACTACCTGGACAGTGTTTCCATTGGCCTCGGATTGACTACTGATGGGAATACTGATGGACAACAACCTAAGCAACCAACTGATCCTGCTGTCGTGGCCAACTCTGGTGCCAAGCCTAATGTGATGTACTCCCCTGCCAAGCAAGGTATCCCTACACCTGTTACTGCCGGAAACACACCCATGGCACGCGCCACTAGCCAGCTCGGAGCCAAGACTGCATCTCCTGCCATTTCGGCTCAGCAACTCACGCCTAATCAACCACATAATAAGAGCGTGAAGCTCTCACCTGGCAAGCAGCCTGAAAAGCGTACTCTTGACGATTTAGAGGGCAAGGATTCATGGGCAAATGCTCCAATGGATCTTGAAAAGATTCATGATACGTTTGCACCCATTTTCTCGGATTGCCGTCGCAAGGCCCTAGGCCACGATCCGTTCGACGAATTTATGAACACCGATATGTTCTCCCAAGGTCAATCCGATAACACACCTGACTCTCGTGACATTGCTCTGGCGACCTTGACCCCGAAGGATGACGATCCGAAGACAGTCACCAAGTTTGGACAACCCGGCGCTTGGTGTGACTGGATGCCTTGGGATGCGGAATCCACGAAAGAGGCTGCAGACTGGATGGAGATTCCTTCTGATGAATATGTCACCAGTATCTTGAATCCCACTGGAACGGAGCCTACTCGAATTGACTGGGCGAACCTCGAGCAACAACAGAAGGAGATGAACATCGAGAGTGGTGGTATTGCCATTGCTGCTCTGTGATCTAATAATGTCTACCATTCGCTTTGGCAAAAGAAAACTTACGACCCTTTTTCCCTTCTCATATCCTCAAATTCTTCTCTAATTCCTTTTCTTTCTTTCTATCTCCTCATTCCGGTGTTTTCTCAGGGCGTACATACGGATTTCTCTTTTCTTTCTTTTTTCCTTCTATGGGGCGAAGCGTGTGTACCATACCCAACGCAGGAGTCTTGGTCTTTATGATCTTCTTTTCTTTTTCCTCCCTCTTCCTTCACTTCTTCCTACATTTCTTTTTTCTATTTGAGTGGCCCATTGGGTTGCTTTTTCTTTTCTGTGATTTCTCCATCAAGCTCCAGCGATGGCGTTTCGAGGGACCAAAAGATGGGATTGATATGCCAGGAACTTTGGTGGCCACTATCTGGCAATAACCTAGGCAGCAAGATATGAACACAATTCAGTGATTAATATCCAAATTACTTAATTTTCCATAAACACAAATAAACATAAAACATGCTTCAGAAGTCATCAGATGCAGGGGGTTGTAGATCCCGCTGCATTCCCGATCAAGGAACCAGTCGATCATCACGCGGACAAACCCGCAGATCCACATCATGTCAGCTTATCAGCTGATCCTTATCGGCTGAGATAACAAAGCGGAGTCGCTTTGTTACTTTGTTAACCCTCTTTTCTCTCAACTCCAACTTCTCCTCACCATCCCCCCCCACTGACTATACGGGCAACATGGCGAGTCGAGCTTTAATCCCTTTCCTGGTCACGATGATGCTCGTGACCGGGGTTTGCAACACAATTCTCAATAAATACCAGGTACGTTGACCAGACTCGACTCGATCGCGTGTAAAGCCTTGGGGTTCAGCCCCTCTGGTTAACAGTCTTATGTTCCACAGGACATGCAATGTGTTAGAAATTGCGATTCGCTAGATCCTAAAGAACGGAAAACGTTTGAACAGCCCGTAATTCAGACGTAAGTTCTTCACCACATTCAACTGGAATGACCCTACCACCTAGGGCGAACTCCCCCATTCTCCACGCAAATTTAGTTTTATTATGTATTGATCCTGACTACCTCTCCAACAGTGCACAGATGTTCGTCGGTGAAATGGGCTGCTGGATAGTTGTCGGCTTATCAATTCTGTACAAGCGATTCGTCGCACCCCGCTTGTCCGGCGACCAATCTCCTCTCCTGACAGGTGGATATCGTCCTATTCGCGGCGAGGACGGTGATCTGGAAGATGACGAGCGTACCCTCGATGGATTCGGACCATCAACGAATAAGCCAGGTGACGATGACCGTATCCCTCTTCGTGGATGGAGAATTCTTCTTCTCGCTGCTCCATCCTGCTGTGATATTGCAGGCACAACCCTTATGAACGTTGGTTTGCTCTTCGTTGCAGCTAGCATTTATCAGATGACACGTGGTGCCCTCGTTCTTTTCGTCGGACTATTTAGCGTCTTGTTTCTGCGCCGAAAGCTGTACTTGTACCAGTGGAGCGCTTTGTTCGTTGTTGTTCTGGGTGTCGCCGTTGTCGGTCTCTCTGGTGCCCTCTTCGGTGATAAATCAGGTGATGACCTTGCCCAGGATACTGGTGATGTCTCTCCTAGTGCAGGAGCTCCTGAGGCAGTGAAGACTGTTATTGGTGTTCTGTTGATTGCTGCCGCGCAGATCTTCACGGCCTCGCAATTTGTCCTGGAGGAGTGGATTCTGGAGAACTACGCTATGGACCCCATTGTGGTTGTTGGATGGGAGGGTATCTTTGGTTTCTCGGTTACTATGATCGGCATGATCCTTTCTTATATCATTGTTGGACGCACGGAGGCTGGTCGATTCGGTTACTTCGATATGAAAGAAGGATTCCACGAGATGCTTTCAAACCGTGCTGTGGCCGTGTCTAGTATGCTTATTATGATCAGCATCGGGTATGTTATTCTCTCTCCGACTCACCTTCAAAATACTAATGAATTATCTCTAGTGGCTTCAACTTCTTCGGTCTGTCAGTTACACGCACTGTATCTGCCACATCTCGTAGCACCATCGATACTTGCCGTACCCTGTTTATTTGGCTCGTCTCTCTGGGCCTTGGTTGGGAGTCCTTCAAGTGGCTCCAGGTTGCTGGTTTCGCCCTCCTCGTCTACGGAACCTTCTTGTTCAATGATATCATCCATCCTCCCCTCAAGGCTTGCCTTCCCTCTGAACACAGGGAAGGTGAAGTCTTACTTCCCGAGGAGCCGATTGAACATTACTAGGTGATATATAGGAGGTATTTCAGTGAGCGACTGGGCTTGATCACTGTTTTATCACCCTACAGACCAACTTTGCATATGTTGGTAAACATATGATTTCACAGAACCTTTTGAATATGATCTTGCATTCGATTTGTCGATTTGGAGTTTTCTTCATCTAGTTCTATCCGAACTAAATGGCTTATTTTAGTTCATTGCTTGGGATTTCTTTATTGATATTGAGACTTGAAGCTATGCTGGGCTTAGATTCTCGTGGCGTAATACCTCTTCAAATGTTTGTTGCTTTCAAATGTTGGTTGCTTTCAAATGTTTTCATTGACCATTCAGTTTGTTCAAGGCTTTTTTAGTCTCGGGAGTTTAGACAATATAATTGATACTGGAATTTTTTACTTCACTCTCCATTCTCATTCCAATCTACATGAGTGGATGTGCCAACGCCAACTTAGTTGGCTACTAGAACCTCTCAAGCAGTAACAGTAAGATTTGCACCGCGCAACACTTGCTATGCGTTGAATCTCATCTACTTAAGAATCATGTACAAGAATTTCCTTGCAGAAACAGGAAGCAAGAACGTAGGCAAACAAGAATTGTCTAAAGTAGAGTAGGCGTGTGAAAGGGGAAACTGGGGAACTGGATATGAAGGTAGGTGTATAGAACTGAGATGGGGCACAACTCATGGAAAAATTAGACATTTCATCCGCCAAAGTACTTTTTGAAAATTTAAAAGGATCCTTAGACTGAATAGAGTCGAGTGCGCATGAAATAGGGAAATTGCATTGTTGATTTGTTCAAGGTTCGGACCAGTCAACCTGATCAGTGACTGGGTCTGCTGTATCTTGTGCAGAGGTGACACGAAGACGCAAGCGGAGTTTAGGTGGCAGAGCCTAGAAGATATCATTAGTTTAAAGATCAGATAAGAAAAGGAACAGGATTCAAACATACCCCATTCAGCGCTGTGATACGCATTGTTTGGGTGCCATCTTCGCCGGCCTCGAGGTCGGCCTTGCTGATGGCACTGAGTTGAAGACGCTGGCTTTTTGGCACGGCGGCTTGCAAACCAACATTTTTGAAAGTGTCAAAGTTAGATTCGTTACGGAATCGAGCCAGGATCTGGGCATTGACACCACTCCGTTGAACCTGCAGCGAAAGCACAAGACCGTTCTTGTTGAAAACTGTATGGGCGGGAGCTGAGGCAGCGGCAGGTGCTGGTGAGGCGGATGGCGAGGGCGCGGATGCTCTCATGCCACCACCTAGAAGATCCATCGAAGCTGAGGATGGCTGCTGGGTGGGTTGAGGAGATGGAGAGGCACCATTTGAGCCAAACATGTCCATGATAGAACTGTGGCTGCTCGTGGCATTCTGGGCAGGAGTGGGAGCGGGAGATGACAAGCCTGAATCACCACCAAGGATATCTGCCAGCAGATCGGCGGTGTTTCCTCCAGTTGAGGATGGGCTAGTCACAGGTGCGTCGGAGCCACCGACCAGGTCAAGAAGCAAATCGTGCTCAGCAGGCTTGGATACCTTGGTGGGCTTGCTGCGAAGGATCTTGCTTTGACGCTTCTTGGCGGGGGCACCGAGAACACGCTGCTCCTCCCGAATCTCAGGTGGGGGCATCCGCTCCAGAACACCACGGCGGATTTGATCATATCCAAAGAGGTTGGTGTATTCAACCGCACGCTGCTGGATTTCGACGCTCAAGTCGGCCGTTCGGCTAGTGAGGAAAAGACGTAAGCGCTCAATCTGAGCTGGTTCAGACATACGCACTGTCAACTTCATGGAGGCAGTAGTAATGTACTCGACAACGATCTGAGTTGCATAGGTGCTGTTGAGGATGTTGGTGAACAAATCGACAATGTCGCTCTCCCGAACATCCTTGACTAGTTCCTCCTCCTCGTATTGACCACCTTGCAGCAGGCTATCAGCGTATTCACCAATCGTCCAGGTTGCGGCCAAAGTCAGACCCTCCTGTGAGATATCCTCTTTCAGGGAAGAGTACAGCTTCTGAACAGCGTAGGTCTGCAATTCTGAAGTGGTTGCGATCAAACGAACGAATGAAGACAGAATTTGTTCCTTCACGTAGTTCCCAGCCAGCTTGAGAACCCTAAGAATAGTATCCATATGCCATCGCTTGTTCGGGGCGAATCGATCCGCAGCGATGCCAATCTGAGTGGTCATCACTGGCTTGAATTCGTTGTCTGCGACCTCGAGGAAGGCCAGTAGTTCTCGAACGAGCACCCGCACGTTATCCTCATTGATCAACAGGAAGCTGAGATCGAGCGCTCGCCGGCGAATGCTGATATCGGGATCCCGCAGACATTCCAAGATTGTGTTACGATGTCTTTGGACCGCGTTGGGTTCAATAGCCACAACCTTGTTCAACGTGTTCAATGCAACATAGCGGATGTTGTTGTCCTTGTTGGACAAGAATTTACCAAGGATATTGACGCCCAGGACTCGCAGTCCAGAATCAGCCTCAATATCCAGGATAGTGAGCACAGCCTCGTACAAGATGGCATTTCCCACGTTCTTCGACGAATCGGTGTTGGTAGCCACTTGAGCCAGGATATCATTAATGGATTCACTGGTAGCAGCATCACCGCGACCCAATACTCGTAGGAATCGGAGGATCTTCACCTGGAGGAAAGGGTCCGTAATTCCAGACACATCATGTTCTGGGGCATAGCCCGATGTAGTCAGACCCTTCAAAGCGCGAACCAGACCTCCGGCAAGAGGTCGGAAAAGCTCAATCACACCTTCGGGGCCCTCCTCCTCCTCGTCCTCCTCCGCCTCGCACAAATCCGTTGCGAATGTCAAGCCGCAGAGCAAGACGCCATGGTTTCGGTCTCCCAGCAATGTTTTGGCCTTCTCGAGGAAGTGCTCGTGCAAGTCGGGCACCTTGCGGCAGATTCGCATTGCGCAAATTGCCGCTTTCCGGCGAATATAGGGATTGGCGGTAGACATAAGAGCTTCGACTTCGGGAAATAGGTCACGAGACATTTCGACGGAGGCAATGTTTCCGAGAGCGCAAAGTGCTAGACCGACGATGTATTGATTGGAATGATTTAGATCACTGCGCAAGTCAGTATTGAGGCGGTTTAGTCCATGATAATAGGCACACATACTTCTTCAAGGAATTGGTGACCAGAGTCAACACCTCCTGATTCTCGTCCAGCAATAACATTGTACCCAGGTAACCTAGCCGTTTGTCGGCGAACCGGTGCGACGCGAGTAACTTCAAACATTCGATCTGACCAAAGTGAGTTCGCTCACCCAGGGTGAAGAGATAGAGTAATTTGGCCACATTGTTCCTCCTGTCCGGGGTTAGATGTCGATGTGCGGGCAATGATTGGGGGGGTTGCGGTGTAGCTAACCGGATATTAGAGTCATGGCTCTCTTCTCGAAATGATGCACGAATGGCAGCACTTTCTTTCTGAATCACAGCTCGCTCATCGGCAATAGTCTTGGCTGATCGGACATTGCGAATAAATTGCTTGACTGGGGGGAGCGGAGGTGGGTTAGTCGCAAGTTCAGGGGAGGGGCGGCGGGCAAGCACTCACGAGAAGCCATGATATGAGACAACCCCCGGACGGGGTTCAGGGGAAATAAAGAGAAGCAATGGGAGGAAATTAATATGAGGGTAGCAAGCCCAAGAAGATGAATAGCAGTCAGGCTTCTCTAGTTTACTTGGGCTTAGTGAGTTTGGGGTCATCTGGGTTGGTTGACCTGGCTTCTTGGCACTCAAGGGTGCGCTAACCAGATTGGGAATCTACATTATGCCTTATTACTAAGGTGTCAATTGACTAACTTAACTATTATATAAGCATGGTTATGTCATTTTCACGTGACCTTAGTATTATGGCCTCGGAAACCGTGAAGATGTATCATGTATGAGCACCCGCAGGGAAGACTATCATACTAGATGGAGATATCCCACATTCGACCTCGGAAGAACTGGAAACTCCTGGATACATGTACTACATCTCTGTCGCGTGACAAAATATGCAACATGCAGCATGACCAGTATCGGATTTCGTCATTGTCCGGCAACCGTTAACAAAGAGATTCAAGTCCGAATCCCGGTTCCCGCTGGACGAACCTATGACTACAGTTACGTAGTATATCAATCTTGATTCCTGGATTTTATTTCTTGTTAGGTATTCATTTTAACTATAAATTAAAAATTGAAAATGAAGAATGACATCTACTGGCATCATCATCGTCCCCTTGCTTGATAAAGGCATAGAAAAATGTAACTTATAGGAGTGCCTGAATAGAACCATGGAGCTGAACTAGATGAGACCGAGGCTGATTGATAAAGGTCTGTACTCTTTTACTCGGGTTTAGCGGGAACTTTCTGAATTTAGATTTTAACCAAGAAATGCCTCAATAATCATTTGCCAAGCTGTGAATTATTTATATTCTGAATCCTTGGCCCCATAGTCAGAGTCGCCAAATATACTGTAAGGCTGACATTACGTAGTTAGCCCCGTTTTTCCACTTCGACTGCTCTCCTCCGTCTTCGACCGCAATTCCTTCAAGCGATACAAACAGTTCCACAGTTACCCGGGCATTTCTGCGGTCGATGTGAACCTCCTTTTTTTAACAGTTCCGCAATTGCGACACTTTCATTATGTCCAGCGCCGTCTCTCCAAATGGCGCTTCCACGTTGCGGCCGCGCGCCGTTCCCCTCCAATCCGAGAAATCCGACAAGAGCCTCACCCCGCCAACCTCACAGATTGGTCAGGATTTAAGGTAAATTAGCTCGGAAAGGCCCTATTCCCTTTATTTCTTTATGCCAATGGCTAATTAATACCCCTTGTGAGCTGTAGTGGCCGTTCGACGCCCGTCCCTGAAGATGCTCCCCCTCAGCGCATTCAATCTCAACTGCCCGTAAACAAGTACGAGCTCGAAACCGTCTCTTCTATACAATTGACTATGTACCCCGAGTATCCCATTTCGATCCGGATAGCGATTATCATAACTTCCGCGGATTCTTCATACTCTTCTGGATCTCACTTGTCATCATGGTCGTTACCACCGTGCTACGCAATATCAAGGATACCGGATACCCGCTGCGCGTACAAGTATGGAGTTTGCTGAGTGCTAATGTATGGGAATTGGGTTTAAGTGATGCTGCTATGGTTGTGAGCTCATGCCTTGTCCTACCATTGCACCGGATCTACCGCAGCGGCCCACGCTGGCTGCAATGGTCACATGGAGGAATGGTTGTACAGAGCATTGGAGAGGCCATTTGGCTAGCCACTTGGATAAAGTAAGTCATAGAAATATGTATATCTATTGTTTTATATCATTGATAAGCGCTAATCAATCGTAATTCGCAACAGTTGGCCGTTTATGCGTCTTTGGACTTGGACCGCCCAGGTCTTCTTCACTCTTCATGTTCTGACCATCCTCATGAAGCTGCATTCTTATGCCTTCTATAACGGTCATCTCAGCACGACCGAGCGTCGCCTTGCAGATCTCGACAAAGCAGGCGATGTAGCTCCCAACTCACCCCAGGCAGTCCATTACCCGGAACCGCAACACCGCCGCCCGTCCATGAAGCATCTTTCCGACGATCTCCTTCCCACAGAGCCTCTTATCCGTCTGCGTGAGGATCTAGCTACAGAGCTGACTTCCCCTCTGGGTAACATCTCGTACCCACAGAATCTCCACATTGGAAACTATGTGGACTTCCTCTTTTGTCCCACTCTCTGCTACGAGCTCGAGTACCCGCGCCGACGAGAGCGCCGCTGGTCCGAAATCGCCTACAAAACTGCAGCGGTCTTTGGGTGCATTTTCCTCCTCACTCTCACCAGCGAAGAATTTATTGTTCCTGTCTTGAACGAGGCGAATAATCAGCTCCAATTATCCCCGAATATTACCGACAAAGCACTCATTCTCGCTGAAACTATTAGCATGCTCTTATTCCCATTCATGTTGACTTTCTTATTGGTCTTCCTGGTTATATTTGAATACGTACTTGGTGCATTTGCAGAGTTGACCCGTTTCGCCGACCGACACTTTTACTCAGACTGGTGGAATTCGTGCGACTGGTAAGTTTGTTCTACTACCATGATGAGATGAAGATACTAATGGAAAGAATCAGGCTTGAATTCTCTCGAGAATGGAACAGACCTGTTCACCACTTCCTTTTCCGTCATGTCTACTTTCCCTCTCGATCGAACTTTTCCCAGCCTATTGCCATGTTCATTACATTCGTGATCAGCGCTATTTTCCATGAACTGGTGATGAGCTGCATTACCAAGAAGCTGCGCGGTTATGGATTCATGGCTATGATGCTCCAGCTACCTATCGTTGCCGTACAGAAGTCCCGTTTCTTCAGAGGCCGGACTACTCTGAACGTAAGTTTGACTCTATATTCATTTTGATACATGAAATTAACATGCGCTCCGTTGAATAGAACGTCTTCTTTTGGTTTTCGATGATTTTGGGACTGTCGATGGTAAGTACTTTTCCAATATCAAGTGTCTATTTACCATTCTAATTCGGGATACAGATGTGTGTACTATACGTCTTAGTTTGAGTTTATTCTTATTACTTTCTTTGGTTGGTCTGGATCAACCATGAGAACTATGTACGCTTTACATATACGGAATTTGGAACCTTAAGATTCTGTGTTGTTATTTTGGAGAGTTGGATATCGCCTCGTGTTTTTGCCTGGTTTGAATACCCTCTCAGCTTTGGTTTCATTCGTTTACATATTTGGATAATTCTGGTACTCGACTTGTATATAGAATAATGTGCAGGCACTGCTGAGATACACTTTCTTTATTCCAACTTGATTGGTTGCGAAGATTGTCGATGCAGAATTTAATCTCGTCTTGCGAGTTGCATCATTTGTGTTGAACAATAAAGAGGGGAAACCCTGGGGGTTGGAGTGTAGATGAGAAACATGGATCTAAAAGAGAGTAAATCATGATGGTATCCACCTGGGCTAGATAGCTACGAAAGGCCAGACAGAACCTCGGGATGGACCCTCAGGAACCTGCAGAACAGCGAAAACGGGATTGTTGCCGTAGTTCTTGCCAATTCCCGAGTTCCAGCCACTGTTTATAATAGAGGTGTCCATGGACTGGATATGGACCATGTCCGTGTTGGTCTGATAGTTGTGTTGAATCTGAAACTCCTGGGCGCAGGGAGAGTTGCGGGGTTTGTTATTGTTGAATCAGGGGGTTGTTGAGCCTGCTGGTAGCCTGGAGGTGGGAGAGTTTCGGAAATCTCGTTCAGGAAGGAAGCATAGATGGGCGCGACAAAAAAAAAAAGAAAGAAAAAAAGAATAACCGGCCTGGGAGTCGAACCCAGCTACCTCGGTTTCAGGCCCCCTGGCACTACCCCTTACTGTGTAGCAACCAGCAGTCATCCCCTCGGCCGTGCGCCCACACCGGCTTTTTGCTTAGATCTTCGCTCGAAATTATCAAGTACTCTCCGCAGGTCATGTTCAATGGCGCAAAAAAAGCGCAAATGGTGCTGAGGTGGCACGCAAGTAGGACTAGGTGTTAGAATTAATTGTTTTGATCGGGGAAGAGAAAATTAACGAAAAAATTAGAAGAAGTTGAATTCAGGAGGAGGTTGTAGAAGGAAGAAGAGAATGCCAAGATGGAGCGGGGTGATCTGTACACTAGCCCTAGCCCTAGACTCCACCCCGCCCCATAGCGGAGAGCCAGTCAAATCTAATCTGTACGTAACACGAGGTCCACTTTGGAATAGTTTATCTTGTTCAATGTTCAATGTTCAATTTTCTAATAAGATACAATCTGTAGAGTAAACAAAACGAAGATATTTAGAGCTGTACTAGTTAGCAATTACAGAATAAGTGTTATCAGTTAGTCATCATGACTTCTTATGGTAGCACCTGGCAAATGATTTTTTTTTTGGCTTGTTTTCTTGCCATGGATATAATGGCAAATTCACTCACAAAAGACGAAAAGACCAAATGACAGAGAAATAGCATAGCAATCATTTATATCATTGAGAGGCATGATTTCATAAGGATTCCCCAGTGATGGTCCACGGGTATCTAGATGGCTTGGTCCGGATGAAGACACCCCAAAAGACAAAGATGTAAGATCCAATGAAAAAAAAATCGAGAAGTAGAAACGAAAACTGAAGACCGTCAAGTTGCGCCAAGTAGATGTTTAGGTTAATGGTGGATGTTGAAGTGAGATGATCCATGAAAACACCGAATAGAATCCCAGATACGCCGACAAAAAGAAACCGAGCCCTCAAGAGGGCGTATCACACGCACATATGCCAATGCCGAAACCGAAACCGAAACCGTCCTAATGCTCGGGCTGTGCAGGAGACCATTGATTGACCCGAAGGATCAACGGGGAAAAAACACTGAATCAACGACAAGTTCCCCATTCTCAGGGTCAGGTGTCAGGTGAGTTCAGCGATAAGAGACTGTAGGGGGACAGTCAAGTATAAACAAGAAGACAAAAAAATAAACATGGAGATAAACATGGAAAATCACATTTTCCCTTGACGACAGCCGATGACGTCCATGCATGATTCCTCAAAGGGCGTTATAAAGTTTTATAGAGAGATTGGACAAAGATAAAAATTGAAATAAAAAGAGACAAAGGGTATAAGAAATCATGCACGGACGTCATCATCCGTCGTCAAGGGAACATGCGCTAGACATAGCCTGCGGTGGGGCGGCGCGGGCAGATACCGTTCAGTGTACGGCAGGGCGACGAGGAGATCGAATATGTGTAGAGTAGAAGGTAGCCGAAGCATCGGTAGGAGGCCGAATCTCACGCGTGGTATATCTGACATCTTCCTTGCGGGTAGACGTAGGATAGTCCGCCTCATCATAAGTTCGACTAGTTCGCGGGCGGACGCGGGTCACGCGTGGCTCCGTCTCAACATAGGTCGTATAAGTGTTGGTGGTATTTGATCGCTTGGGTGGAGCGACCCGAGGAGCGCGTTCTCGATCGAGATCAGGTGATCTGTATTGGGTTGACTTGGAGGATGGAGGTTCAATGATCGTATGCTCAGCATCGATCTTGTATCGTTGAACCTTGGCAGGGGCACTCTTGGTCGGCATGTCCGTGTTGGGACTGGAACTCGAGTAGCCCGAGTCATACTTAGAGTCACGAGACTTGGAAGCGCGAGGCACAGCCTCATAAACCATTCTGTGAAGAGGCGACTCCTTCTCCTCGCGAATAGAGCCTTCACGCGGTTGTTTGGTACGCACGTATCCAGCAGCGGTGGCGGCTGTGGCTGAGCGACCAAGCAAGCTAGGTCGTAGCGAGGATGTTTTCGGACTGGGCGAGGTTGCCGACGTAGACATCTTGGGGCGTTCAAAGCGAGGAAGATCTTCATAAGAGGCATCACGGGAGGATGGGTGCTGGTTCGACCGGGAGGACCGTCCCGCGCGCCGCGAGGCGGTCTCTGGTTCGGGTGACTCGTAACCACGGCTACGCTGTGGAGACGACCGAACCCTTGTCCGTTCGATATGTTGTTCGGCTTCATTGAGTTTCGAGTCGAAGTGGTGGTCATACTTATCGTCGTCGTAGTGGTCGCGTTCCCGACGTCGAGAGGACTCTGAGGGACGAGCGCGGGATTCTTTAGACGGCCGCGGGGACTTTTCGAATTCAGAGTCACTCGAATCGGAGTCTTCCAATACTACACGAGGACCGGTATCAAACGAGTCATACTTCTCTGCACGTTGTCCTCGTCGTTCCTTGCCACGGCGTCGTGATTGCTCGTACATGGTGGCTTTGGCGGTTTCCCGGAACATCTCCTTGGCGGCACGTTCGCTGCTCACTGGGGTGCGGGGTTTCTTCTTCTCCTCCTTCGCCTTGGGACGTTTAACGTAGTCATCCTGTTTGCGAGAGTAGGATTGAGGCTCTTCGTATATTTTGGGCTCATCTTCGAAGTAGGTGTTGAAGGGTACTCGTTCTTCCACAATGTGACCTTCGCGCATCTCATGTGAGCCGGTTCCACGTGGTGAGTAGGCGGCCTCGGCCCGTCTTCTTTCGTCCAAATCTCGCTTCAATTCGGTGAGTCTGGCCTTTGTATCGTAACGTTCTCGGCGAACAGGATCGGATAAAAGCTCGTAGGCACATTGTACCCGTTGGAATTCTTCTTGGGCGACAATCTGTTGGGCTGGGGATAGATCTAGAATCTTGTCGGGATGACACTTTAAGACCCGTTTGCGATGGGAGGCCTTTATTTCAGCAAGAGTAGCCTCTTTAGAGAGACCAAGTTCAACATAAGGGTCTATATCGGGGGATGACATGATGTATAGAAGTTAAAGGTGGGTGTAAAATGATCATCGAGACCCAAGGAATTGGGGGGTATTCCGTTGATGTAGGTTAAAAAGAGGGGGGGGAAGGGAAAGAGGCGGTGGAGAGTATGCGCCAACCTGACGTTGACGTTGATCGGGCAAGAATCCACCTCATCCAGAATGTACTGGGACGATCAAGAGGGTTCTGGGTGGGGAGATTTTTGGGATTTCCAATCTTAAATAAGAAATTCTTCCCAATGCACGGTTCTTTGGTATTCCAGAAGACCAGGAAAGACCGCGCAAATTCGGGAAAACGAGGTACGGAGTCAGAATGAGCCACAGGGGTCGAATAAGATCGGGTAAATGAAAATGAAAATAATCCAAAAAATGATCGAAAATAGTAGAAAAATGACCAAATAAAGTAAATTGGTATAATTGTAATAAATCAGGGATAATACAGGATGATTTCCAGTTTTTCTGTACTTGTCCGTAAAAGAGGGGCGAAATGGAGAAAAAATGGATTTAATGGATTTAATGGAAATGGAATTTGGTACATTCCCGCAGTCCGCCACTTGAGAAGTGGGAATCAGTGGGATTCACTGGGATTCACTGGTAGTGGCGTCCGCCTCACTACGATGCCCAACCTGGGTTTGACAATACTCTTAAATATTTATCATTTTGCTTCATTTTATAAGGTATATGATGAAGTAGTTTTTAAATTTCATTTTCTCTTAGTATATGGAATATATGACTTACCTATGATAAAGCCCTTGAAAGTAGAAAAATGAGTGTGATGACATCCTTTTTTCGGTCTTATTTGGTCAGTGCGCGATATCCGATTCGTTATATGCGATCCAATCAGACTCTAGCCTCATTTTTATTATTTTCTTTTTGCGTGAAACTGGGACGAAATGTACACCTTGTACACCTGGTACACTGACACTTGTACACTGGTCTCCATAGTGTACATGTGTACAAAGTGGGGTATGACTATCATGTATGGGTGTCGCCTCTAGTTAATGATTCGCTATAAGATGATCTAAAGAGTTGGCTTTGGATTTGGCTTTATTTTATGATTTCGAGATTTCGTTTTTTCTTCATTTTAGCCTTTTTCTATGTATCTTCCTCAATTCAGTAGCCCCCAGGGTTCATCTAAAAGCCCCCAAATTTACATTTGGCCACCACCGCCCCCCTGCCCGTAATCCGTATTAGAGGGGGATAAAATCATCGTCATTGATTAGCACTCTAAAAAACTTAGACTTGGGGTTCTCCAGGGCTTCAGGGCTATAGACCCCAGCTCAACCCTCCTTTTCAGCTCGGGGCGCCCTATGCCTGAGACTCCTGGGCAAGATCCCGCTCCTTAGGTCTTACGGTAGCAATTCTGGAACATTTGAACTCAGCACATGTGCACTTGAGGGCTGTGAAGATACCTATATTTAGAACTTTGAACTTATGGAGAGTATCATTAAGTCTTGAAGATCGCAGATTCATCCTCAATTGATATCACTATTAGATTAAACCAAACCTTCGAATGTTAGGTTGTTCTGGAAGTTCGGCAAGGCACCTGGATAAACGGCCACGGGAACTTGTCTACCTAGAGAGGATAGAGAGTTTACTACATAGTCACAATGTACACGCATGCCGCTTAACCATCAGCACTTGAGTGCTGCGATACTCAAACTATTCGATCGCACTATTTACTGGCTTGAGGTCAGTGTACTCAAGATGTCACATCGGATATTCGGATCTGATCTCTTCCTGCAGGACCCGAGGATTGGTACAGTCATCAGTCATCACGGTCATATTGATCTCCCCACCCCCGGCACTAATTCAGTAGTAATTCAGTGTCATCGGACATTGACCCGAACCCATCCGCGGACTTTCCAGTACTATGTCGCATGTCCTCATATCAGGTGGAAAGTGCTAGTCAACTCCAAAGATTAATCATGATTGCCAGTTCACATGTGCGATTGAGTAATCAATTGAGTATCTCCGGCATCAAGTAGATTGAATTCCCCGAACAATCCAAGATAGTCCAGAGTCCAGAGTCCAGACTGTCCAGTCCAATGAATCTCAGAAATACCAATCATCCCCCATCATCACCTGGTTTGTTCTCTCAATTTTCTTTTCTTTTTCATTTCTTTTGCCGTGTCTACGTAGTCATTTGACTGGAATGTGATAGCTACTGCAGTAACCCATGTTTCCATCTTAACCGCTTCACCCTGGTCATTTCTCGTAATCCTCCGGTCCCAGTCAAGACGATCACGCAGGTTCCACGAGAGTCCCGCTTGCCGAGACACAGGGCTTCAACCTTAAACACTTTGGGAGAGTCGGTGAATTCACTATTGGACGTACGAGGTTCAAATGTTGTTCCGTCGTATTAGAGAATTGGCCATCCAGAGGCCAGAACAATCTTCTGTTTTAGTATGTCCTATATTGACCAGGTGCTTCTGGATCTACTATTCCATATGTCCGGGAGTTGAGTTCCGCACCATGGTACTTTGAACAGCGTGCCATATCAACGAATGAATTTAGATCTATCATGACAAGCTGAAGAAATGCGGGTGTTTCATCATTTTCCAACGTCTGCTCTGCATAATATGGAGATGAAGGTAGCGGGGACCTGATCGGCTGCAGTTTCTCCTGCGTCATGATAATGTGAGCTTCTCCTTGTTTCAGCGTGATGGAATTTCCTGGACCAGTCATTCTTTTGTCGGGAATGGCGCTAAAGAGATCGTGGAGGGGTGATGTGTGTCATGCATGTACATTTTTGGTTTATGGTATGGAGATCGTGACGCTATAATCCCTCGACCCCCTCTCACTGGAACGCTCAAACCATCTGTTTAATCGGAACTGACATTTCTGGCGTTTTGTAGCCTCAACTTTAGTTTTGGCCGTATCATTCTGATTCATTCATTCCTTATCTAACACTAGACTCTGGAGTATGGATACCTAACCCCTTTGGCCTTTTCATCTCTAGGTTGTTACATACCCAACTGCATGGAACCTATCACTTAAATGATACATTTAGGTTAAGACAATTTGTTCTGTATCAGACGGATCTTCAAATTGACTTGGCACATATGAGGTACATGATACTGCGTCTTAGTGTTCCAGGATTATGATTGGCATTCTCATCATCACATCACCCCGGGAAGCCCTAAAGCCAACTAGTCAAACGGTCGGAAACAAGAATATTTTAATTTTTCTTGCTCTATTCACTGAAGAAGATCTCTTCATGATCGGCCTCGCATCGTCACATCCGGTGTGTCAAGAGGTGGTGGGCGGCCCGAGGGTTGGTTCATAGACTGCTGTGTGTCCTCCACTCACGTCGTGCGAGGAAGCGCCTGAGAATGTGATTCGGGTTCTGGAACCCACATTTAACTTTTTGAAAAAGCTGTTGCAGATGACTGATATCCTGGACTTGTGGAGACGCTGATATCACGGTGCGGCATTTATTAGATTTTCTTGTGGAGCGTACATGTCAGATGGGAAGATATGCGCGGATGAAGTGGTTTCCAGGGCTACTAGTAGATTTGGGGGGATTTACCGGACACGAGTCCTATCCCGTTTGGAATAGATGTAGATGGTACAGATGAAATACATAGGTAATCATCAGTGATTGTTAGATTATTAGGTATCTTATTGCCTTGACGGCAGTTAATTTCATAGTGAAGCTCGGCTCGAAGGATCATCAAAGCCCTCGGTCGCATCATTCGGATCCATAAGCCAGTCTAACGGGTCTACCACACCATCCCCCAAGCGCTTTGTCACTCCAGTGTGATGTAAGCGTTGCATGGTCGCAGGAGAGGGAAACACAAAGAGTGGCCATCCGGCGAATCCTAGAGCATGCATGCATCAAAGCGCCCAACCATAGCTGCAGACGGGGCCAAAGCTCCTGGGGATCATGCACGTCCGTGGGAAGATAGGATCGAAGCAAGCCACCATGCACGAGGCAAGCACCCAGTGCCGTATCAGGATCCAGATTGGAGCAACCGGGGTACAAGGGCCCGTATCCAAACAGAGAAGGGGAGGGGGAAACAATACGTACCCATCAATAAAGAAGCAAAAGAAGGTTAATGTAGTGAGGGTAACAAAAGTTCCAAGACATGAAATTACGATCAGAAGTCAGATGCAATGTAAATCAATCCAATAGCGACCGCGACGCGTGGTCGCCCTGGCGAACTGGAAGCTCCAGATCCACAATGATCGGTGCATTGAACCGCTTGCCTCCCCGGTGCGGCCAGCTAGTAGCTAATATGGCGGCATTTACAATGCATGTTTCCCTTCTGAGCGTTTGTTCAGCATGAGCATCCGGCCTATCACTATCATTGCAGCCCAGATCATGGGTACCCGCGCTCAGCGACGGAGCCTGATACAGGATTCGGTTTGCAGCTGATCCAACCAACGAGACTGGTGACATCGACGCCCTGGTCGCAGGATCAGGTGTTATCAGGGAAGACGAGGCTGAAAATGAATATCCCTCGTTATCCAGCTTGTTTCCTCTTTTACTGGTCAAGTCAATCAGTGCCTGTTTCTTGCTGTCCGGCGGCGGCAAGGCCCCTTGAGTGATAGTATCGCTGTCACCATCAATATGACTATCATCCACACCATCTCCATTTCCATTAATAGGCGTGCTTAATTGCCAACGAACTCGCTGGTAGCCCCGACCCTCATGCACGTGGCCACAAACAGCTAACGGCGGCCTGACGCGTCTCAGAGCCTGGCGAAGCGCGTTGCATCCGACATGCTTGCCGGTCGGTTTCTGGTCGCAGTGAGATTGCGGTGGCGTATGCGTAACGACAATATCACTATCTTGGGGGATCTGGTCCCAAAGTGCCGTTGCATCCTTGCCATTATTATATCCGAATGCCCATTTCCCTTCGAATTGTGAATATGGAGACCCGAAGATCTTAAATGAGGTGTTTGGTCCACGAGTCAAGTTGATTATAGCGGCCTGATGTTGGAGATAGATGACAGATGGCGCTGCGTTTGTGACTATCTCGAGACATTGTCTTGGGTCTTCGAGCTGTGAGTTGTGGAAATCCCGTCCGTGTTTCGCATAGAACTCGGGATCCAAGGTAACATCATGATTCCCTGTGATGAAGAGATATTAGGTGGTGCGGATCTTCATAGACAGACAGATGTCTATAATTGGAATCATGCAAGTTTCTGTCATGACCAAAAACTCAAAAGAAGCGAACAAATCGGTTGCTTGAGCGTGCAGAGCCTTTGGGCACCATGTTTTGTTTATAACTAATACGAGAGGAACTGACCAGCCACGATGATTTTAATTTCAAAGTCGGCTTTAGATATCCAATCCATCGTTCGGCGTAGCTCGGCCAAGCTTCCCTTGTTTGTCAAATCGCCCGCGTGTATAAGTACATCCCCCGCTGGGAGCTTCATCCCTGCTTCCGAGGGTATATAGGCATGGGTGTCGGAAACACAGACGAAACGTGTCTTGCGGAGCATAGCTTTGGGGTGACGAGGCCTGGCTGAACTTGGCTATTTTCGTATTTAAAGCTTCAGGTATTCCGATTTATTTCAATCAAGTCCAGGCAAGTTGATGCATGTTGTTCAAGTCGTGTTGAGTGTAGACGAATGGGCTGCACTGGAACTGGAGTTCATAGGGCGTGCATCAGATTGACTTTGATATGTCTAACTTTGGAAGAAAAAAACACCATCTTGAACCCTTTGTACACACGGACCCGGCGGTACTATTGACCGGATTTCGGTGTCGGCTCAATGGGTGTGTGCCCATATTCTATATGGATCAGACGAAAAGTAGGAATAGACTACAGAGCGCCGGGAGGGAAAGTGAATCTTCCGCATTTCGAGAAAGCGTGGGTACTATCAACTTTTTATTGAGTTCTTTTTGTCCCTTTTATCTTTATAGTACTTTATAGATCCAGATTGCCCAGGTGTTGATGCATGGTAGATATTAGTCATCGGGCCCAGTCTTTTGATGACAGCGATAGAATGCGATAATGATCTTCTAATTGCCTGTCATTACTTCTAAGTATGGTGGATTTGAGAAGGATTTCAATTTGTTTTTAATTTTAATTTTAGAAAGATTATGTAGTAGGCTGGTGAGTATAGAATGAGTTGAGAGAATCGCCACTTGTGCCTTGCACCACATAGCAACATCCTACAGTCACCGAACGCTTGAACCATAAAGTCATCTCTATGGTCAACTTTCTAGACCAAGGGATGAACAGCCCTAATAAAATGCCCTAAAGATCGAAGATCATTGACACACACAATTGGGGGATGGATAGTGGATTAGTCACCTTAGTCAGCGCCACGAGAAATGTCGGGCTGATCGGTGCTGAGGTAAGCTGATTTGATTGGGTAATGTTAGGGCTGTCGCCCTCCCGGCTAGTCCACACACAGCAGACTCTGGACGGGGCTCGCTTAGCCCCTTCGCCTGCGATCCATCCGACTTCGTTGTGTGCGTGCCTTTCGACTCCATCGACAACAACCGCCGACAACCAACAACTCCATAACACGGTGACAGAGCAGGATGTCCACCTTCGAATCAGTGGTGCGTTATTCCTTATTTATCGACCTTTTGCGCCGCCTATGCGTCAATCATCAACCAATCTCGAAATCCATAAATCGCTAACTTGAGTGATATTGAACAGGTCGTCATCGACGGCAAGGGACACCTCCTTGGTCGCCTGGCCAGCACTGTTGCCAAGCAGCTGCTTAACGGCCAGAAGATCGTCGTTGTGAGATGTGAGGCCCTCAACATCTCCGGCGAGTTCTTCCGCGCGAAGCGTACGTTCAAATCCTCAATCCGTTTCTTTCGTCCTCAGTCAAGGTGTCCAGTCCGGGAAGGAAGAAGTCTATGATACAAGAGAAGGATATTATCTGGGAGGAAGAGAAGGGGATGGTTATCAAAGATGGATTCCTACAGGCCTGGACAACCACGATTCAAATTCGACACCAAGAAGAAAAAAGACCTCAAAACTGACATGAACTTCGACCTACAGTCAAGTACCACGCCTACCTCCGCAAGATGACTCGCTTCAACCCCACTCGCGGTGGTCCCTTCCACTTCCGTGCTCCTTCCCGCATCTTCTACAAGGCTGTCCGCGGCATGATTCCCCACAAGACTGCCCGTGGTGCCGCCGCTATGGAGCGCCTTAAGGTCTTCGAGGGTGTTCCCCCTCCTTACGACAAGAAGAAGCGCGTTGTCGTTCCCCAGGCTCTCCGTATCCTGCGTCTGCGCCCCGGCCGCAAGTACTGCACCGTTGGCCGTCTCAGCCACGAGGTTGGCTGGAAGTACCAGGACGTCGTCGCCAGGTGCGTTATCAATATTTCCCGCAACGGGAACCGTTCATATTCTACGTCGAATGTGCACACTAACTTATTTTTCTCTATAGACTCGAGGAGCGTCGCAAGGTTAAGTCCAAGGCTTACTACGAGCGCAAGAAGGCCGCTCGCCGTACCCTCGCCAAGGCTGAGCAGGGTGCTAAGGTTGACAGCAAGACCAAGAGCCAGCTTGCCGAGTATGGCTACTAGATACCAAATAAAGTTCGGCCGGTTGTTGTGTCTTGAGTGACGGGTCTGGGTTGGGATCGCGGACGGTTTTATTTTCAGCGACTTGAACGGCAAGCCGGATCGACCTTGTTCCTATGGGCTTGAGTGTCCTGTCTCTTGCCCATGAAGATCCACATTAACTTGTGATGCACACCCATGGGCTGGAGACTCGGGATACTTGAGTTCCTTCGGAATTTTTTCAAAAGCAGGAAAAACGGAGTCGCGGGATGAAAGGTTGTTCAAAATAGCTGGCTGTTGTCTCGCGCCGTGGCGGTTTAATCCAAAATTTCAAAGTTCAACATGATCTTACGATGATGCAGGTTCATTACTCTATCACTGTCTTGTCTCCTCTTGTAAGAGTTTGGGCCTGGCGTATGCTGTGTAAACATGGTAGAGTACCCCAGGTGTCTGCCCATAGTGATGAACTGGAGTTTATTTGGATATTCGATGGTCTCGCTCAATATCTTGGTATATTCCTCCCCCAATACGCCCACGCCCACTGTGGCACTGGCAGAATCAGCCCCCAGATTCCCGATCTGTCTTATAGTGTGGGACTTGATCTGGGTGAATTCCAAGGTCATTAGTGTAATCTGTAGAACATCCTCGTATCAAAGTTGAAACCAATATTATGTAGTATTTTTAATCTCGAGCCTAAACTCCATGTTCACAATGTCTCTTATCTTCTAGATTCGTATGCCGATTTTCCAATTCTCGGGTATGATACTGTGTGGTCCCTGTGGATTTCCTCACTAGTTCCCGCCAGTGATCCGCATTAACCTAGGTTGAACACCAAATCTCAGGGCCCGCGGGCGCTTCCCCGCATTTAGCACCTAGCACCGATTCTCAGATTAGCAATGAACTTTTAAATTTCCCTCATTGATCGACTTCTCCGCATTCCTGCTTCACTTCTGTGTAACCTCAACCTCCTAGAGACAACGTAGTCCCTGAATAACACCATGTCTGGCGTTAAAGCTCGGCTTTCGAGTCTCCTAGCACATATCACCCCGGGACAAACCTCGGCTTCGTTTGAACATAACTTCAATCGCCATACGCTTTCACCGACTTTCTTTCTCCCTCGAGCAGCGTCTATTGAGCCAGATGTCAGTCAGCCCCTTGCCTTCCTTGCAGATTCTATGTTCCTCTTTCTTTCTATTTTTAGCTTTCTTCTCAAGTCAATTCCTACTTTTCTGCGGAATCGCTGACAAGATGGGATACCTAGGCGGAAGCAATCTACCATGTGACGACTGACAACCAAATCCTCCGTCGAACTTACCAAGAAACCGCCGCCCATGTCTGTGGATTGGCGTATTATCTCAAGAAAAAGGGGTTTCGTCGTGTCGGCATTCTAGCACCAAACACCCCGGCATTCCTGGAATCGATATTTGCAATTGCCGCAGCGGGAGCCGTCAATGTTGGTGAGAGTACATAAAAGTCTGCGTGAATTGAGCTCGCGTTACTAACCAATGGCAATTAGCGGTAAACTATCGCCTAAAACAAGATGATATAGCTTATATTTTCGAACATGGCGATGTGGACATGATCATCGTGGATAAGGAATTCGAACCGCTTCTCGATACTTACCGGTCGAAACACCCTACGATCCCATTTTTGGTCGATTATGATCAATTCAGTGAGGCCTCGTCACCGAGTGGACCTTTTGGTGCTGCTATCCAGGAAGGTTGGAACTATGACAAAGAAACCAGTCAAGATGGATGGGAGGGTCTGGAAAGTCAAGCCGCGGATGAAGATTCCATTATCGCACTTGCATATACCAGTGGAACGACGGCTCGCCCTAAAGGAGTTGAATATACTCATCGGGGCTGCTACTTAGCAGCATTGGGGAATGTGGTTGAATCGGGCCTCAGTTTCCATAACGGGCGGGCTAAGTATCTGTGGACTTTGCCTATGTTCCATGCCATGGGTTAGTCTCATTGAAGAACCCTGTGAAAGTTAATTTCAATTTCCCCCGTGACTAATATCAAATAGGATGGACCTTTCCATGGTCTGTTACGGCTGTCCGAGGAACTCATTACTGCCTTCGAAAGATTGACTACCCAGAGATCTGGCGATTACTCAAGGAAGAACAAATCACCCATTTCAACGCAGCACCAACAGTCAACACTCTGCTCTGTAATTCTCCAGAAGCTGAGAAACTATCTCATTCCGTGCGTGTTACAGTAGCCGCTAGTCCACCCACACCGCATCTATTCGAGCAAATGACGAATCTGAATCTTCACCCGGTTCACGTATACGGCATGACCGAGACTTATGGACCGATCACCAAGGGTTACCATCTACCACAATGGAACCAAATTCCTCTGAAAGAGAGGTATCAGAAGATGGCGCGACAAGGTCACGGGTTCATCACTAGTCTCCCTGTCCGCGTTATCAGAACCGAGGTGCCGGAAGGAACGATCATCGATGTCCAGAAGAACGGGAAAGAGATTGGCGAAATCGTGTTTGTTGGTAATATCTGTGCTCGTGGATACTACAAGGACCCTGGTGCCACGGCGAAGCTGTTTGCTGGAGGTGTATTGCATTCTGGGGATTTGGCTGTCTGGCACCCAGACGGGGCGATTCAAATTCTGGATCGCGCCAAGGACATAATCATCAGTGGTAAGTTCCATTCTTGGGGGGATATGATAGGTGACTTGTGACTAATTCCCAATTAGGTGGTGAAAATATTTCCTCTGTGGCCCTGGAATCTATGCTCGTCACTCATCCTGATATCCTCGAGGCTGGCGTCGTCTCTGTTCCTGACAGTCACTGGGGTGAACGGCCTAAAGCATTTATTACCGTAAAGCCTGGAAACAAACTAGAAGGTCAAAATGTGATTGACTGGGCGAGAAATGCCAGTGACATTAGTAAATTTATGATTCCTCGTGAAGTCGAGGTGGTGGCTGAGCTGCCGAAGACGAGTACCGGCAAGGTTCGTAAGAACGTGCTACGAGAGTGGGCGAAAGGATCTGATCGAGGGAATAACTAAGGGAGTCAGATTTTGGACAAAGTATTCAGAGCCGCATGTGTTCATATCTAGGTGAAGATGTACTTGCATGTGAAAGGGATCTCGGTATTTTAGTAGATAGAAACTTGAATGGATATAGTATAGACTCCGAGTCAGATTTGGACTAGGACCATTAGTACATCGAGATAAATTCAATTAAAACCACTGGTCTGACACGTGGTAATAATAGTACTATCTGATGTAAAGATCATATACTAGCATGACCCTTGTGTAGTATGTAGATCATTTAATCTTGAAGTGAATAGTGTTAAATAGTATATTCAAATACTTTGGAGTTTATATATCCACCCCGCCATTAGTCCCATGAGATCAGTACATGCACGGGATCACGTCAAACGACTTCATCACATCTTCATGTAGGATATTACCCCGGTAAAACCCCCTAATCAGCTGCATAATATCATGTACTAATGTATCCTGTATATAAATCTATTTTTATCAATTTCTTCTGACCCCTCTTTTCCATAGTTCCTAGTACTTCGAGTCCCCTCCATTTGCACCCATTTGCACCAGTTGACTTGATCCAATTTGTACTAATCTTATCACCTCGATAAGTGTCTTGGCACATCTTCCCCATTCCACCCTACATACTACAGGCAGTACTATCTGCTTCCCAAGTATCTTTTTTTTTCTTGAAAGAGTACAGCTTATGCATGGTTGCATTCTCTCGTATTAAAGGCTTTTTGCAACACTCTCTTACTTGGTTCCAACTTGCGCCTTTCCCGTGCAACTAAGCGCTGCGGATCCCACACGACTCCATTTACCCTCTCGCCCCATCCGATTACCACCAAGAACCAGAACCCCTCCCCACACCCTGGTAAAGCCTCATTACCTTGCGTGCATTCCGGGGATTCCTTTTTTCTCTTATTAGGACCGGCGGTCTAGGCTCTTCCCTGAAACCTTCCGAGTCTTCAATACACACCGCCCATGCAGATATCATTCTGCAAGTGATGAGACATCAGCCTTGAGACGCAACCCTTTCAACCCACTTCATATTGGATCTTTTACTTCCTACACCTCCTATCTCCGACCATCCAATATGCCCCGTCAAAGACCTGTTGCTCGATTACCGAGCGAGGCTCCCTCTGAAACCTCTTCCTCAACCTCACCCGAACGCGCTGCAGATGACGACACCGACTTCTTCATGGCTCAAGCCAACGACTCGGAATCCTCGATCGGAGTCGCTAACTTTCGCGACCTCCACATGCAAAATGACGGATCTATTCCCTTGCCCCCGATCGGCCACCTCCCACCCGAGATTCTTATTGCGATCTTTTCCAAACTCGTCTCTCCGGTGGACATGCTAAATTGCATGCTGGTTAGCCGCACCTGGGCAGCGAACTGCGTCGGAATATTATGGCATCGACCCTCATGCAATAATTGGGATAATCTGAAGAGCGTAGCTTCATCCGTGGGCAACCCGGAAAGCCTCTTCATGTACGCCGATCTTATCAAGCGACTCAATCTATCCGCATTGACCGGTGAGGTCAGTGACGGCACCGTCGTCCCATTTACCCAATGCAAGCGCGTCGAGCGATTAACGCTGACAAACTGCTCCAAACTATCCGACAAGGGCGTTTCAGACCTCGTGGAAGGGAACCGGCACTTGCAGGCACTAGATGTATCAGACTTACGCCATCTGACTGATCACACCCTCTTTGCGGTAGCCAGGAACTGCCCTCGCCTACAAGGTCTCAATATTACCGGATGCAACAAAGTAACGGATGACTCGTTGCTCGTTATATCACAAAGTTGTCGTCAGATCAAGAGACTTAAACTCAACGGTATCGTTCATGTCACAGATCGATCCATTCTATCATTTGCAGAGAACTGCCCTGCGATCCTGGAGATCGACTTGCATGACTGCAAGCTTGTTACTAGTCCTTCGGTCACGGCGCTGATCAATACCCTTCGTCATCTTCGAGAACTGCGCCTCGCACACTGTACCGAGATTAGTGACTCGGCATTCTTAAACCTACCAGAGCAAATGACATTTGATAGTCTACGCATTCTTGATCTGACAGCATGCGAAAACGTGAAAGATGATGCTGTAGTGCAGATTGTAAATGCGGCTCCTCGTCTACGCAACCTCGTGCTGGCAAAGTGCCGCTTCATCACAGATCGCTCTGTGCAGGCTATTTGTAAGCTGGGCAAGAACCTTCACTACGTCCACCTTGGCCACTGCTCCAATATTACAGATGTTGCAGTTCTGCAACTAATCAAGGCCTGCAATCGCATCCGCTACATTGACCTGGCATGCTGTAATCGCCTGACCGACTATAGCGTACGGCAATTGGCTACTTTACCCAAGTTGCGACGTATCGGCCTGGTCAAATGTCAGTCTATTACAGATGAAAGTATCAAGGCCTTTGCCTATCCTCCTCGTTCAAATTATCCATTGATCAGCAACCTGGAGCGTGTTCATCTCAGTTACTGCACTGGGCTGACCATGGATGTACGTTTATCAACACCACCCCCCCTTCTCCCTAAAGAATCCCTTATGCTAACTTATAAAACTTAGTCTATTTCGTCCACTGATAAACAACTGCCCTCGACTCACCCATTTAAGTTTGACAGGAGTCCCGGAGTTCCTTAACCCATTATTGACCGTGTTCTGTCGAGAAGCTCCACCTGAATTCACGCAGCAACAACGAGATGTCTTCTGCGTATTCAGCGGTGACGGTGTATCACGACTGCGGGATTACTTGAACCGAGGTACTTCGTCAGGACCTGGGGAAACCGAAGCCACTATGTTTGATGATGATGAGGAATTGGACGAGGACGCGGGGCAAATGACTGGCTTGATGGATGCTACGGGCATCAACGACGAAGATTACATCGACGTTGAGACAATTCAATGATTGATACGATACCCCCTGCTACTTGTCTTCTTGCGCTTTCAATGATTATAAGTGGCACTTCAACAGTTTCTTTGGCATGGATTTATTCCCCCTTTTCCCATTTCATTTCATTTTCTTTTTGTATTGTATCCCTCTTCCTTAAGGACCTTCCAAATAGCAATCAGGTCTGGAAGTTGGGCATGTTTGCAAGCCATCATCCTTCTACCCATATGAGCGAAGATTCTTACCCTTTACCCTACGGTGCCTGTGTTATTCCTAGGAAATGCATTTTCTCGTCAGTAGAACGAGACCTTTCAAATTCTCTAATTGTTTTGCTTGTAGAATTTAGTAATCTTTTAGTGCTGTCTTTATTCCTAAGATATTTATTTCTAATCTATAATATTAATGTATTAGTCTATTAATATTTTTTCTTTAGCGGTGCATAAGCTCTAGTTGATGCAAGTGTAGATGCGGCATTAGCGGTGCAACCTTAGCTCAAGATAGATAGCAACTCCGAGCTCCCCGCATTTTCTAGATTTTCAACCCCCCCTACTCACGCCATTTGGTGCTTACCCATGGCTTCCCCCAAGGGTAAAAACCCTGTGGCCTTTACGCCATGGCCAGTAACCATCATCGTCACGGTGGTCTACCTGGCCTTGCTCATTCCTGTCCTCGTTATCCATGAAAATGTTCCGTCCGCGCCCCGAACCAGCCCCAAGGGCTTGAACCTTACCGAGGCATGGTCCGACCTCCAGGTCTTGACCAACGGCTTTCACCCTTACAATTCGCACAAGAACGACGAGGTCCGCTCGTGGTTACTTGAACGCGTCGACGCGATCCATAAGTCCTCTGTCAGCGCCGCCGAAGACGAATCTACTCCGGACTTCTTTGTCTTTGACGACTTGACTTCCAACCTGACCTCAATCGACGGCCAGATCGGTGTGTACTTCGAGGGCACAAACATCCTCGTCTACATTCGTGGTTACGAAGACCAGCAGGACAACTGGTGGGAGGTTCCTGGTAAATCACCCACTGGAAAGGGCGGAGTGCTCGTCAACGCGCATTACGATAGTGTGTCCACCGGATATGGCGCCACTGATGATGGTGTTGGCGTCGTGTCTTGTCTGCAGCTTATCCGGTACTTCTTGAGCCCTGGACACGCGCCGCGCCGCGGACTGGTCGTACTTTTCAATAACGGTGAGGAGGATTACTTGAATGGCGCGCGCGCGTACAGCCAGCATCCGATGGCGAAGTTTGCGCACACCTTTGTTAACCTTGAAGGTGCGGGTGCTGGTGGTCGTGCTACTTTGTTCCGGAGCTCGGATGCGGAGGTTACGCAGTCATATGCGAAATCGAAGTATCCGTTTGGTTCGGTGCTGAGTGCCAATGGGTTTGAGAAGGGTCTTGTCAAGAGTCAGACGGATTATGTTGTCTTCCAGGGCATGATGGGTCTGCGAGGACTTGACGTGGCCTTCTTTGAGCCTAGAGCTAGGTACCATACTGATCAGGATGATGTGCGTCATACGAGCATGGGCTCTCTGTGGCATATGCTCACCGCTGCCGTTGCGTCTACCGAGGATTTAGTCCAGGATTCGAGTAACCGGTTTGATGGCGAGGCTCGGGATGATGGCCTTGTGCCAAGTGGTAAAGGTACCAAGGCTGTTTGGTTCGACCTCTTTGGTAGTACATTCGCTGTCTTCCGTCTCCATACTCTCTTCGCGATATCTGTGACTATTCTCATTGTGGCGCCTTTGACACTGTTGGTCACTAGCATTGCTCTGTCTAAGGTCGATAAGATGTATCTCTTCCGATCTGCTGTGCGTGTTGACATCAGTGATGAGACCGTTTCGATTCGAGGTCTTCGAGGCTTCTTCCGTTTCCCGTTTCTTCTGGTTATTCCGACCGCTGTGACCGTGGGATTGGCCTACCTGGTTACAAAGGTCAACCCTTTTATCGTCCACAGCAGTGCTTATGCTGTGTGGAGCATGATGATTTCCTGCTGGGTCTTTTTGGCCTGGTTTGTCTCCTGCGTCGCTGACTTTTCTCGACCCTCCGCATTCCACCGCGTGTATACCTGGACCTGGATGTTCGTTCTTACATGGGCTTTGCTGGTTGTGACCACTGTCTATGTGAATGAGGATGGACTGGCTGGAGGATACTTTATGTTTTTCTACTTCGCTGGCACTTGGCTGGCTACCTGGATCTCCTATGTCGAGCTGTTCTCCCTTCCTACCCAGTCGGAGTACATCGATCACACCTACCAGGGCTCTCGACGAGCAATTGCCTTTGGAAGCCGACTTGGAACATCTTCTGGGGATGAACCCCAGGAAGAGGAGGATGCTGTTGTGGAGGAGGCAACTGAGTCTACTTCGCTCTTGCGTGGTCAGCACCGAACTACATTTGCCAACTACGTTAATGTGGCTGGAGATAATGCAAATGAAGAAAACGAGGAGGAGAACTACGACCCCAATGTGTATGGCCACGAGCAATCATGGAGTGCTTCCCTTCCATCCTGGACCTGGATCCTGCAGCTACTCCTCACAGCCCCCGTCATCATTATGCTGGTTGGTCCCATCGCACTTTTGTTGACCAGCGCCCTTCATCAGACCGGTCAAGATGGCAATCCCCAGTTGTTCGTGTACATCTCCATTGCTAGTCTGACAGTGGTTTTGTTCATGCCGATGCTGCCTTACATCCATCGCTACACTTACCACGTCCCGATCTTCCTGCTTATGGTCCTGCTCGGCACCCTTATCTACAATCTTGTTGCATTCCCATTCTCAGATACCAACCGCGTGAAGCTGTACTTCTCACAGCGTGTCGACCTGGACCAAGGAAACTCTACTTCCTATCTGACCGGCATGCCTCCATTTGTTGGAGACGTGGTCCGCGGCCTCCCAAGCGCAGATGGTCACGCAGATTGCGTCTGGAATGATGCTCTCTCCCGTGCTCAATGCTCCTGGAATGGACCCGAGCCACACGTTGTCCCCACTGATGATGATAGCGATAGCAAGAGCCTCTCATCTCCCTCTGCTGACTGGGTCTCTTTCACTACCTCGCACCCAGAGGAGATCGGTCAATCTTCTATCCGCTTTGACATTTCAGGCCAGAATACGCGCTCCTGCCGTATCACCATGGATCACCACCCCATCCGAAACTTCAGTGTCATCGGAGGCTCTGCTCCTGACAAGCGTTTCACCAAACCAGGCCGTGACGGCATCCATGAAATCCGTCTCTGGAGTCGTACTTGGAAGAACCACTGGACTGTCGATCTTGATTTCGGCGAATCCAAGGATGGTGGTTCCTCTAGCGACGCTGCTGTTTCCCACAAGGGTCGTGTTTCTTGTATCTGGAGCGATACCAACACACCTGGCGTTGTTCCCGCTCTTGATGAGCTGATGCACTATGCTCCTTCTTGGGTTGGTGTGACCAAGATGACTGATGGTCTGGTTGAAGGATATCGTGAGTTTGAGCTCCGTTTGGATGCTTCAGGTGTCTACAAGCAGGTTTAGATAGTATCACCTATGAGGATTTTCATGATTCTCTAGAGTTATCTGCAATATGTCTCTATTTTACTCTCCTGCTGTCCTGTGGCTTGTCCTACTATGATTTTGTTATTGTGGGAGGTGTCTGTCATGTATTTAACAAACAAGTGCAATAAACTTCTTTTACTACAAGAATACAGAGTACTACTATTAGGTATCTAGGTAGTAATATCAAAATCATTTGGAATTATTGATTATTTAGAGCTTGAATTTTTATTTTTATTTTTATATTTAAATTAAATGGAAGGATTACAGTAAACAGAGTAAATAGTAAAGAGTCAACTGGTTAAACGCCATTCAAGGAATCAGAGCTCCCTTATATTTGAGTAAAAAGGTCCCCAGGTAACCTCTCTACCCGGCTATAGTCTAGCGGTCTAATGACCCGTTTGGGGGACATTGATACGAAAATTAGGTATGCAGGGCCTGATTTTGGTGGGAGAGATGATCCCTGCGGGCGGGAGGGAATCAGCTTCGGCTGGAATAATGATTTTTTGGGGGGATTTTTTTCCTTTTTACCCATGATACTTCTAGCCTTTCCCTTTCTATTCCATCTTTCAGATCCTCAAAATAAAAATAGTTGAGCGAGCTAGAAGGAATTATGTCTTGAGGATGGATGTATCAAGTGAGAGCTGTTGAGGCTATTCACGTATTTCTGATTTTGAAGGTCCTGGGTTCGATTCCTGACCTTGCTGGATTTCTTTTTTCTTTTTTCTTTCCTTGTACTCCCTTTCTCCATAAAAGAAATAATATCTGATCCTAATCCTTTATTGATTTGAACTACTCCTATATGGTTCTAATATGCCGCTCTGAGTGGGAGCTTGTCACCTTCCTAATTAGGCACCCGGTGTTTTACTGGTATATTAATATCTTTTCAGATACTAAGACTTGCATTTGTCCTTTGAATTCGGTATAGATCTTCAATATCTAGTTGGATCACTGCGTAATCCTGTATTTCTTTTGAGCACATGTGGTACTAGGGCACCCAGTGACGACATACTAGTAGGTCAAGAAATAAGAAATAGAGAAAAAGCTTAGATCTATTTATGCTATAAACTCAATGAAATTTCAAGTTCAAGGTCTCAGATGTTATGCTGGGAAAGTTCTGATTGACGTCGATGGCGCGGAGAATTGTCGGGAATCTTGAACCCTTCATACTCCACATCCCCGTGGGGAAATGTGGCGACCCACTTCTCCTCATGACTGTCATTGACAGCTGCTTCTTCAGGAAGGTCCATAATGTGCATTTCTGTTTCCGTCGCACAGAACTGGGGTATAAGAACAGCATATTCCACTAACATGGGCCATCCCTGTCTCTTCGATTTGCAGTGCTAACCCCATCTGTGCTATGAAGAGCCGAATCAAATCGTCTCTACTTGGAGGAATCGCACTCACTGCCACTGTGGTCAGTGCCGATGTTGTAAGTGGCGTCTTGAACAGCCCAATGAACGGGACTTACACTGACCGGAATCTTTTTCAGAACCTGTACCCACGTTCCAATGCCCCAGTGTGTAGCAATTCAGCTTCGACATTCTCTTTAAGTGATCCGCCATATGATAACTACTTCTATTCCGATTGCAATGTTGCCGCCCAGGTCATTGTCACCAGTCCCTTGTCAGACAGCAATCTTTCAACTATTAGTCCTCGGGTGATTGTCGCATGGCCAGCTGGGGACAGTGGCGCGTGTGCCTTCTTCGCACCTCAGAATGGAGTTAACGGGACCCTGGGCATTGAATTTGTCAATTCAACTGTCGGTAGCCCGTTGGCCCCTGCATATAACGCATCGTCTACAGGAGACTATCCCAGTGTTGGCGTGCAGGGTGTTATAAGCTTCAATTCTTCGGCGATCCTTTCTCTGCCTATTCTGGGAAGTATCCGTACAATCCGCGACTTCGTGGAGGGTGCTAGTATCCTTTACCCCGAAATCCAGGATGCCGTTGAGTATACATCAAACAGTGATGGAAGTGCCTCACTGCATCGGCTATGGCTGGATAATGTTACTACAACTAGCATCCATTTTAGCTCCTGGAATAATGGCACCGGTACCAATACCAGTGTCACGGTTTCAAATGGTACATTGGCATTTGAGGCGGGCGAGTATCTCTTCACTGCAGAAATGAACTACCCACAGCTATCCCAGCTGAACTCAAGTGTAGTCCTCAATACCCAGTCAACTAACTTGAGTCAAACTATGCCTGGTCAGACAATTGCGCTTTCGTTCTTGTCTTACTCGGAGAAATTGCTAGCAGGTGCTTGGCGATTTTTGACTTACTTTGGGCGTGACTCGATGATCTCAGCACTACTTCTGGAGCCAGTCCTGAGTAGTGGAAATGGAAGTGCTATGGAAGCTGTTATTGGGGCTGTACTGGAGCGGGTGAACAGGTCAGATGGAAGTGTTTGTCACGAGGAGACGATTGGGTGAGTTTTTCTTTCCTTGAGCTCGCTGTATTACTCGCACACATCGTTATACTAAACTCAACCTCTCAGTGACTATGCGACTTGGACAAATTTACAAGATAACATTACAAGCAATGTGATGGTCTGCGACTACGCAATGGTCAGCCTCAACTCCCATACTCTCGGGTATCCACAGAATGTCGATACTAACGCGATTTCCAGATTGATTCGGACTACTACCTCCCCGTTTTGATGCAGCGATACTTCCTAGAGAACCCGGTTGGACAGAGGAGGATTTCTGCATTCTTCAAGTGAGATTCAAGCCTCATCATATCGAATACCTGCTAACAAGCTCAAGCACATCGGCTGGATCCATTAATGCGGCAAATCAGAATTTAACGTGGGGCCAACTAGCCCTCATCAATGCCGAGCGCATCATGCGTCTTGCAGGACCGTTTGCACAAAACCAAATGAAGGACAACCTCATTCGTCTAAAAGAAGGACAAATTGTCGGCCAATGGAGAGACAGCGAATTCGGTACATCATCATATCTTAATCAAAGGGAAAACATTCACTAATCACCGTTTCAGGTATTGGGGGAGGTCGAATTCCCTTCGACGTAAATACAGCCCTCGCACCCGCAGCTCTACGGTCAATCGCCGCACTCTCCAAAAAGGGAATCTACAAGAATAGACAAAATTGGACTGATCTAGCGGAAGAGTACGCCCAGATATGGGAAGACACTACCCTCTCATTCTTCGAAGTTACAATCCCAGAGTCAAAGGCCAAATCCCTCGTTCAGTCCTATCAGAATGCGTCATCATTCACCGGACCTGATCAATCGTCCTCCATCGATACAAACGTAACATTCTACTCCTTATCTTTGGACGGATATAACAATCTTTCTCAAGTGGAGGTCATGAACACAGATGACTGTTTCCGACACTTCCTCCTAAACACAACCAACGACGCCCAACTCTCCACGCTACTAAACTCGACAGCCACCAACATCCGGCGCGAGTTCCCAGCCGGATTAATGACTGATGTGGGAATGTTAATTGCCAATCCGGCATTTGGAGAGAATCCCGTCTACGCGCAAAATTGGACAACCGGTGCGTATCACGGTACGGTTGTTTGGTCGTGGCAGTTAGCGATGATGGCGAAGGGACTTGAGTTGCAGATGGGAAGATGTGAGGTGTCTGTGAACTTTTCAACTTTGAGTACTTCTCGAATTTCTGGTGAGAGGATGGTAGGAAGAAAGGGCAAGGATAAGGAAGTTGTACCGGCATTCTGTACGGATTCATCGATCTTCGACAATGTCAAAGCAGCCTATAATGCGCTCTGGGACTCGATTGAGGAGAACGGTGATCAACTCTCGACGGAGATGTGGTCATGGGTTTACAAAAATGGGACTTTTGAAGTTACGCAGCTGGTGAATTTGCCGGCGCCGCCTGGAGTTGGAGGCCAAACTGGTATGTTCGATCTCTTTTATTTCTGTATTGGTTGAGGATATGGATATGGTACTGACTACTCTTTAGAATCTGATATTAGGCAGCTTTGGTCACTCGCTTTCTTGGCTGTGACTAGGAATAATGATTATAAGTAATTTGCTGAATGTTATCATAGGTAGTTTGCAAAATTGCTAGTCTAAGGTTGTTGGGAACGAGGCTTCAAATGTGGATATAGTACATGCAAATTTGGATAAACAAAGAGAAAGTGTCCTTGAGTAGAGAGAAAATAGAGAACAACTTAAAAGTCTCACTGACAGTGATAATACCTCAGTCAGAGAAGTTGATTGATGTGAAATCACAACATTTGAATCAGCCATAATCGATATATCGGTCCAATCAACACTACTATGAGTTACTTCGCCACCTAGCCTCGCATTAGAAGCAAACAACTTTGTAGGCCGCATATACCACTGACGAATTATGTACAAAATTTTTAGCGCCCATATGCACGGACACCCAATGAGCCAGCTACAAGTCCTCATGCCGCGCTTCGCGCGGCACTGTATGTAGCAGTGAAAAAGGGCAAGGTATCTACTCAGCACTCAACATTTGAAGTGCTTGGCTAGGAATCTCGGTCAAGTAGACACAGTGACACTACAGCCATTTTCACATACTTAAGTACCCAGGCAGTAGTATGTACAGGTATCTGGTGACATCCCCCTCTTTGCATGTAAGTACCTACACGGTTACCTACAGGGTTACCTGAATGATTACCGGGAAGGGAAGGCTAGCTGCTAGGTAGTTGGATATAGGCAACTGGTAACCATAGGGATGAGCTATAGGTTAATTATGCCCCTCTGTTCTGCCGGGGAGGAAACTCGAAAACCCACTGCAACCCAAGTAGGAAAAAATGTCTATGGAAGATCCCTACCAATCTCATACTGAGTCTCCCACTGGCAGTGCCGCATAGCCCCAATTTTGCGGCTGATGACTGGTTAGTGGTTATTATCTACGAGAAATTCCCGCTAGAATTCACTATCTAGCGAGCCCATACAATGTCCAATGCAGTAGACAGTACAGCAGGAGGAGGCAGCGGCAGCGGCCCAGTTCAACTTCAAGTTGAGATCACTGGTATTGCAAACTCGATATTCAGACTTGGTATTGACACTCTCATGCGGGTTTTCGATGCCAGGATCGACGCGGGTACTTTCTGCATTGCATCCAAAGTATGCGAAGCTATCGAATGCACCGAGAAGGGCTTGAAAAGATCCAACGATGCAGTCACCAACGCACCTGTCCTGGAAAGCTTTCAAAAGCTCATTTGGTTTGGCTTTGGGATCAAGAGCCCGATCCAAATCCTGCGCGCAACAGATGATGGCTCCAGGTTCGCAGCTCTGAGCGCCTGCCATCTAGCTGAGGCATATTCGAGAGATGCGCCTGGTCGCATCATGCATTCATTTCTACGAAAACTGGTATCCGATTTAAGATCTGACATACCAATGCCGTCGCCGAAACAGGTGAGTATCATGGTGAGCAAATGTGATGGGGTTTTTGCTTTGGGAGAATTTCCTGTCAAGGCAGAGAAGATGATGTCGTTTGATGGGGAAGCAATTGTTGGACAGCATACATGGCCACATGATAAGAGCACTACACGTATCACTCGTGGCATTGCAAGTCCTGAGGATGTAGCTGGGGCACTGCATAAAATCGTGAAGTTGAAGAGAGGGGAATACTCTCATTTAACGTTTATTGGTGTCGCCGATGCTGCCCTTGTCGCGGCTATCGGAAGATGGCTTATGGAGCTCAAGGTTGTCTTGTACAGCAGCGAGAGAGATGATGAAGACAATTATTTTTACCGGAACTATACTAACGACGAGCCACAGCTGACGGTCATCCATTCACGAGGCCACGGAAACGGCACCCTGGTAAACACAGAGACAACTATGCGTATACCTGATACCACGACGTTTTTTCGAACTCATTCCGAATCCAACCCAGATAACAACAACGCGATCGGTGGCCGACTTGAATGGAAGAATGCTTTGACCAAAATCTTTCGGGGCAAGTTTACCAGTCTGCATCATATGCCTCAAGATTTTGGCAAAGCGCTAGGAAGTGCAGCACGTATATTCCAGGCTTTTGCCGAAGCAGACCCAGCAATCAAGGATCCTGCTCTATTTCGCGAATGTCAATATTACTTTCCTGCAGGTTACGGCGAGGATTATTTCATTTTGCTCAGAGCACGTTCCCTGAGCTGAACGACGACGATACAAGTCACGAGGCCGATGCGGAGGTCAGTGATGACGAGCCTATGGAGCATAAGCCACTGACACGTGCGATGATGCACGCCGCTCGCCTGGAGACTTTTGAAGAAGCAGAGAGAGTATTTGAAGTTGCTATCGAGAATATTACCCGCTTTTGCCGCTGCGCAATCTGTCATCCAGAAGATCACGCGCCTGGGCCTCCGCTGGATGTCAGAATATCAAGGCGACTTACATTCCCTAATTGGATGGTCCATATTACTGCATTTATCATTCGGGTCATTCGGAGACTGGCTGGGATTGATATACTCCCTGGTCAGACTCTCTCGAGAATTGGCTTCGAGTATGCATTCCGGGCTCGTAGAGAATGGACCTCTAGGGTAAGGTCACCGACGTCTCAACGCAAACTCATTCGAGAGAAGAGCAAGTCTCATGGGCCCCTAGATCTAATTATTGAGGGCTCGATCAAGCAATTGAAATAAAAGGAAACATCTCTTCTCCGATTCGCTGAGGTGATATTCGGTGGTAGAAAGACACTACTCGATCCAGAAGATCCAGGCGTCACTGCAGTCTCTATCAATGGTGTCTGCTTGTTCTATGACATTTTGAGGCAGCCTATGCAGGATGATCCTTCCACTTTATGCCGAGTGAGGGTTATCCTGGAGAAATTGGGGTTGGCACCCAGACCTTTTCGATTATTCGGGAGAAGAGTACAGCTTGTTCCAGCATTGGGCTACGTTACGCCCGCCCGGCAAAGACTTCTGCGCCCAAAAAGTGCTAGATAATGTTACTGAGTGCTACGACGCAAAATCCAGCTCTTGGTCACAGAATCAATGGGGAGTGATCGGCAGCCAGCTTTGGAAGCAATATATGGCATTAAAAAAAGGCAATGATCTGAATGAGATGGTTCGAATCAGGCCAAGTCTCGTTGTGACTAATGTTATTCGTGGATCTGGTCAGGTCTCTTGCTATAATAATGAATGCAAGCAGTCTCAGGGATATGCAGAGGCTCTGCTACCGGTTACCAGCCACGAAGGGTTTGAAACAGCCTGCCAGATGGACCTTGGAGGGAGGCAGGTCACTCTTTTTCGGGACCATCTTGTAGCTCGACTGTTTATTGCCACGGAATGCTGGGAGCCTTGAATTATACGAGATGAATGTTTACCTTGTGCTTTGCTAGCGGGTCGGACACACGAATATGAGACATTTGCTGTTGTCCATCAAGGCATGCAAAGATTGCAGCTTGTTGATGATCATGAGTCAGATAGTGACAAAGAGCTGGACTCAGATTTGTCGTCAACTCACTGAAGATATTTTCCTTCACTGTTTGCTTCCAGACTTCTCTTTATTACTAAGACAATGACACCTACCTAGGTAGCGCAGTTGAGACTTTCCAGCGAAACTAAGTAGCACTTTCCATGTTCCTACTTGGTAGATCTATATCTTCTACTATAAACCTATCTATATCACTCATCTTGCTACATCTTAGTATACTCTTCATGTTTTGAGTTCAAATTGACCCTTGCTCAATGACCTCTTCATCTATCAAGACATTCCAGATGTCGACTCCCCACACGGCACAGAGAGAGGGGCAGTCCGGCCATCTCCCAAGGTCGCACATCTGGCACGCCTCGTACTCCACATATACCATCATTTTTTATATAAGGTTGCAACTTCATCTGCGCACATGAAACTCATCACCTCCAAGGTTGTTTTACAACTACCTCATTCTCTATTTATTCCTTCTTTTCTAACTATGGCTTCATTTCAGAATCAGCCTGGCCTAACAAGTGGGCTTCACTACTAAACACTCTCAACCTATTTTCAGGCAGATGATTCGCCAAGAAAGATGAAACCTTCTCTTAACCTCTGAAGCCGGACATCAGGTAAGTCTTTTAACTTGATGAAGCTTGTCAGATCACCTTTTTTATATCTTGTCACGTTCCAATTCACAAGAACTCTGCTGATAATCTGAAAGAAAGAGAACATGTTCCGCGATTGAAACAAAGCAGCCCTAGGAAGCTGAAGAAAGTAACATGTCTGGTTAATGCTTTGCGTGAAAGACCTCATGACAGAGCAGGAAAACAGGGTATGATATGTTCTTCCTTTCCTTTTACTTTTACACTTGATGTCATAGCTAAATTTGAGATATTAGGAACTAAGTCCTAGTCTCTATCTTCCTTCAAGGGGGAACCATGAACAAAATGATTCAGCTTGGTAACCTATCAAACCTCTAGTTAATCATGAACTTGAGCGTCTCTGATAGACCTGAGACTCGACACACGATAGGTGGTAAAAGCTTTTCCAAATCACCCAAGAGATTCTGCACCATTTCCGAACCCTGGAGTATGTCGAAATAACAAAGATACCTACCAAGGCCTCGCCAGTGGTTTCCCTGGCATGAAAGAAAAGGTAATTGAAGCAGATGCTTGGAGCTACCCTTTGAACATCAGGGAATGCTTGATTTTTTGACTTCATCAAAGACACACTCTCGTTTATACACAAATAGAGCCCAACAAACCTGAACGTACCCCAAACTCACGAACAACACTAACCCCATCTGCAACCTGGACTGGAACAATCACCAGCCTCGCAGTCTGCCGCCTGACAATGCCCGACTCACGGGCGAACAAGTTTATTTGATCGCGAAGTCAGTCTCCCAACAAGAGCGTTACAACCGGTGGCCGGATGTCTTCAACAAGGCTGGAGATCTCAAAGTTGCCCGGGAACCTCAACCGGGCTTACCCACCAATTAAGACAGCTTCTACCAACTTGACGTGTCACATCGTAAATTCAAGCATGCAGTGGTGCTGCGTGGAAAAAATCGTGAGGACTGCAGCTTGGTTGAACCCGTTGTGTATGTCCTACTGATTGAGGGCTGTCATTGACTTCTCGGTCTTCTACATTCTGGATACTGGGAATCGCAAAAATGGGGGACAAGTCCAAGCTCTTTGCTTATGCAAAGAACAGAGAGGAGAAAGACCGATTGATCTTTTAACTGGAGGCAGACCTGCATACCGAAGTGCCTGAACACATGGAAACGTTGTCTAGATGTCAAGAGATTGGACAACTTCAAGCTGGGGCCGAAATGGATAATCAAGAAGTATTTATCAACGACAGGTGGCATCCGGAGGATCTTTATTGAGAAATTTATTCTGGGATTGAATAACGCCACAGATGCCAAAGCTGCTGAGAACTATCGACTCTCAAGTGATTTACGAGAACAAGGGCCAATACTTTGGACTTATTGGAACCTAGGATATGGAAAAAAGGAGATGGAGAAATGTCAGCAAATGGCTGTTCCTGGAATTTGGTCAAAAGGAACTTTCGCCTCCTTTCGCAAGGGGGAGACTGTTATCCACCCTGAGAATGGCCGTCACCAGACATATAATCAAGTCACAGAAGATCAATCTCGTGTCGTCGTGCGACTCCGAGTCGTTCTGCCAATCCTGTAGCCGACCAGCAGCTTCAAAATGTCCACCTTACACATCAAACGACTCATTCTGTACGGCCCGTGGCATACTGGCGTTTTTGTTCCCTTGATCTCTTCACTGGAGTTTTGCGTGACCTGTCTCGACCTTAGGACAAAGATCCTGCAGAACACTGCAATCTGGATAGTTCATGATTAAGAACAAGGTATTTAATTCAAACTTGAACCATAGATCACAATCCATGTCACATATCTTATTGGATGAAGCTAATCTCCAGCTCTCATATTTAGTGGATTCTGTGTTCAAGCAGTAGACATGGCTTTCTACTGGAAGAACAGACCATAATACAAGTGTGGAAGGGTATGGATGCTATTCGAAAACTAGAAGACGACATCGACATGTGTTTCTTCTGCTGCTGTGAGGGCATTCTCCAGGGTGTTCTGCATCGTCCTTGAAACCCAGCATCAGGAACGCTCATGAACTCTTTAATATCCAAGGGACAGGCTAATGAGAATACTGTGTGCGAGATGTATATGGTCCATCATTTACACCTTTCAGCATGATGATGTTACAGTTACAGATGCCCTCATTCCTGGAGGTATCACAACTTGCCAGAGAGAGGTGAATTGAGAGATGTGGTTATAATGGATGCTGCTTTCTCAAACCTCCTTGGCCATCACCATACGCCAGTCGGAATGTGTGGGATAGCTTTAAGATCCATCCAAACTCACCTATGAAAGATCGCAGATCCATATACTCTGCCTATCTTAGCACATGTGCATCCTGCTGCGTCAGATGATTCGAGAGCGTGCAGGTTTTCAAGCACAACCTACGCTCCGGGTTCAAACAATTTCTCATACCCGAAAGAAATCAGTCGATGATTCTCAATTACGGCGGTACAAACGCTGAGACGGTGACACGACATGTTCCCCGTCTCTGATTTTTTTTTCTAAGTCAAAGTGCCGTGGATTGAGGCTATAACGGCGGTTGAAAGGATTCCCAAAGCATCACCACTGTGTATACCCTGATTTCAAGGTTGCCGGAATTTTGATATGTCTAGAGAGATGTGGCCTAGATGGAAGTCCGAAGTGACCCAGCTTAGGCTAGAGAAAATACTTGTGTCTTCAATTCCTTCTTTCAACCCCAAAATGACTCAAGAAAAGAAAGGCACGAGCACTAATAGACATTAAGACAATGCTTTTTTTCAGCTGGGTTGTCCTCACCTACAGGAATCAAAATGACATCATCAAATGAGAACTACAGGCAGAAGCAGACCTGTGGTAGTCCTGGAAGTGGGTATGGCCGAGATCAAACTTGACGAAGACGCGAAAATGTGGGTTGATCCCACAAGAGGACAACAACATTGCGATTACAATCAAAGACATGGTCGGACAGACCGCTTATCAAAATCGATAAGTTGGAGTCAGATAAAAATCACAAATAGACCATGTCACCCAGGCATTAAACTCGCAGGAGGTGAAGGGACTTGCTCGCAAGTACCTTCAGATGACATTCATTCCCATTGAACCTGCCATTCCTATTTACCCTGCTCTTCCAGGGCCACGACCTCATGGGCATGAACCATGATGCTCTGGTCGATGCTCGGCAAACGGCAATTTTACAAAGGCTCTTCTTGGACCTTTGCGAGGTTCCAGAGAAAAGAGTTCTTTTCAAAGGGACGTTGCCTTACGGGGAGTGCCTATTACTGGGAGGTTCTGTACCGATTTTTTCGCACCATCAGAGTCAAAGGATGACACATCCGACTATAAATGATCTCTCCTGGATCACAATCGAAGTATGATCTCCCTAATTCAAGTTAAGGATATCGAAAAATGGATTTTTTTTAATTTGAACAAATAGTATAGTATATTGTGTAACAAAGGGTATAGAGCCGATCCCTCCATCATGGAGGTCCACCGACTAGGTATCATAACATATAAGTCTGTACAACATATTCAAGACATCTAAGTTCCAGATAGATCTTGTCCGTGCATGACAGGTGGCGTGTCGCTGATAAGCCTGCATCACCATATCAGATGTGCATGGTGATCAACACGGAATCCGAGGGCCGGGCGCTGGGATCCGCAAGGGTTGAGGATAGAGACCCTCGTGACGAAACTTCTGTAGGCGGATGTGGAGAGAGATAAGGTGACCGTTGATTGAGGAATATCACATACAAACATATCTCATAAGCCGTGAATCGTTAAAAAAGAAAATCGGAATCTCATAAACACACTCTCCGCTTAGCCAGGATCCTGTGGCTTCTCGGATAAACGAGACGAGTGTCGCTGATATTTAACAAAAGGGTTGGTGAAATCGATAAGGTGGACCGCATGCCTCTCGGTCCAGGAATTTGAGGTATCGGACGTGTTGGTTGGCGGGGAGTGCTCGAACATGGCGATGGAGATATCATCAGCATCCATCCAGTCTGGTGCGCGGTGGCTCTGTCTTGGGGCAGCGTGGGTGACATCGGAGGTAACACGAGTAGCGTCGACGAAGTCGGGCAAGTCTTGAGGACCGGAGAAGGATTCGGGCTTCCAGACGTGGTTGTGGACGAGATTGACGAGTTTACCCAGGACGGCAAACTCGAGTTTCAGTTTGATGCTGTAGACGGCGCCCTTGAGCATGGTCTCCATGATATAGTAGTTCATGTATTCGGCGACTAGTAGGCCCAGGTCGAGGATGATGATAATCATGTTAATGATCAGGAGCTGCCACTGGATCTTGCGTTTCGTACGGTCTGGATCGAGTCGGAGCATGCGCACTGTCTCCCAGATGTAAAGACCCGAAATGATGAATTCTTGGAGACAGAATCCAGTCATCTGGATCTTTTCCATGATGTTATAGCCGTTCACGTACCGGTCAGCATGTGGCTGGGCTATATTTGTACCATAAGTCAAGACGGTGGTTGGGATGTGTAGAATGACGGCGTCGACCAGAATCATTATTAAAACGCGCCGTAGGATTCGCCGATTATCAAGGACCAAGTGCAGACGAGAGTATAGAACGATAGATTGGCCTGTAACCATACACCACCAGCCGATGGTGAGCAAGGTCACCGAAAGGCCGGCAGAGGTCAAGTTGAAGAACTTCAACAAAAAGCCCAATGAGTAAGGTACCAGACCGATAGACGACGATATCAGTAAGCTCCAGAAGTATAGACCGTGATACTGCGAAAATGTAACGAAGACGAGGGTGACCAGTTCGAATGCATTATACCAGGTAACACCAGCGAGCGTGGCGATGGTGATTTGCATTCCTAGCGAAGTACCGGTGTAGCCGCCGGTGATTCCATTGCCGGCGGCAGTAATATTCGCCATAGCTGAACCAGCTTATGGGGGACGGCGCATTCTGAAAAAGATGGTGTGAAGAAAAGAGGAGATTAGGTGCAAGACTGGCGTTGATATGGACGTTGCGGGGCTTGTCGATCGTGGCTTTGAGTAATAAAGAAAGAGAAAAGTGGAACCGATCGATTTTAGCAGAAAAGAAAACGCCCATAAAGCAAAAAAAGCAAAAAAGCGAAAAGAGATGAGGTCCCAGTACTAAAAAACACAAAGAGCTCGGAATCGGGGGTGGACCGGGGGGGCTTAATCCCTGCGCCAACCTGGGGCTAAGGCCTCGTATTTGTTATACTTCACATTGGAGTCCTCATATTTTAGAATGTTATATTTAGATAACTATGTGTTCGAAGTCAAGTTCTATCAGTCTAGTAAATCCCCGTATACTCCAGTAATTCAAATAAATTCAAATATCAAGACAGCAAAGCACACCTGGGCACAGTGCATAACTTGAAATTATAGAGCGACTTCATACCAAGTATTTCATACTCAAATACCGGTATTTTCGCCCCATATAACCTGAACCACTCAACTCGACTCAAACTTGGAAGGATTCCGGGGTGGAGCGCCTCATCCATCCAGGGCTGGCAGGATTTATTGAAAACTCGGGGAAATTCCTCACTTAAAACCTACGTAGGTGGACTCCCTAAGGTTCAAACATCCTGAAAGTAGGGAATTTACGGAATTTAATAGATCACGAAAACCTGGAACTCCTAAACGGAAAACCTGGGGGAGAAACCGGAGAAACTGGAGAAAGCTGGAGAAGGCAGTCTGCCCCACCTCAACGGGGAGTAGCCGGCGTATCCAGATTGTGCGACAGGGATTCCCTGCATTTGATTCTCATTCGATGCTTTGGAGAGCCGCTGGATCCTGTGTGCGGAGTATACACTACCCCCAGAACTACGCGTCAACTCCACGGGATACGGACCGCATTGGCCGTAAGAGCATCCCATATTGGAGCACGGTCCTAGCCTATAAACATTGATCGTGTGCACCTTGATATCCCTATATTGATACTTGTGTACTCAACTTGAACTTGTCCATTTTAACCGTAAAAGGGAACTAGGAAGAGGTCCTCATGTACCCTGTACAAGGCAACCAGGTACGGTGTAGGTACACCCTGGAAGTAAACGTGTTCCTATAAGAGTGGCAGAAGTGCAGATCACATATAATTTTACCCGGGCGATATTAACATTGAGTCATGTATTAAGATCATTACCATTATCAGTCAAGGTTAATTAGATATATTTGGCCACGCGCGTTCCATTAACCATTACCCCGGACTCCTAGACTCCCAGAAAAACACGGAGAAACTCATACCGCTCTGTAATGTTCATACTTCATCTGCATCATGCATGGATTCTCGATCCGCAGGCTAGAGCCTTAGCGATCGAGGTCGGGGATGAAAGCCTTCCATAAACCAAATCCCCCAGCCTCCCTCAATACCGACAGGAAGTTTCCGAAATGAGAGGAATACAGAGTAAAAATCCATGGATCATCAAAGTCTGACACCAGGGCAACATACGCCCTGGCGGCTCGTGGACCGTCTTTCTCCGAAACGCACTGACTTTCCCATCGAGGTGATCGTCTCCGTGATTGTCACGATTGTCACCGCTCCACGTTCAAGCTCGGAAAATCTCCGAATATTTCATCACTGAAAATATCATGAACCTGGGAAAATAACGCCCGAGTCTGAAACTCGGCCGGATGCCCTTGGGCCCTGAATTCTGTGTTACTCGGCATTGGTGATCATAGACACGGCCACTGCAATCATCGTGGCCCCCAATTTCTTTGTTCTCGGCAATAACCCATGACAAAGAAACCCCCGCTTGAAACGGCGAAAACATCATAATGATATCAAGCATTCGATCAAAGAACTCAGCCCGTGCCTGTTTCTATTTCGGTCCAGATGCCATGTAAAAAGAATCGCGCGATATGATGTATCCATCGGCATGGATACCATCTTTGGCTAGCTGTATAGCTACGGTAGCAGTGCGGCGACCTACTGCGCCGTATTCGACATAGTGTCAAGATCTGAAAAATCGCCCGTAAATGCATATACTGTAGTCGTATTCGTAAAGGACTCCTGAAAGTCAGCCTGGCAATGATACATGACTGAGATAGTCACGTAGGGCCTCCTGCAGGTACTTCGTAGAGCAGTTACAGTGTCTGTGTGGACTCTGCGCCCTCCCGATCGACACTTCCACCCGTTGCAGCAACTACACGGTCCACTTCGCCGCGGCATTCGGGCATCGCACTTCTCATTTCACGCGCGAGCACATCTCGGAACCCCGCGAAGGCCTCCCGCTTTCCCTTCAAGTCTTGGTTTCCGCGCTGAACAAGCTCGACGAATTCACGGGTGTAGATGTCTGGGTTACGGGCTGCGTCCACGTAGTCGATAATCTCAGGAGGGAGTTGGATGCTGGAGAGAGGAGGATTTGAAGGGTCGTGGGTTGCTGATTGGGTATTGGGCGCCTGGGTTGAGGTCTCTTGGGTGTGATTGGAGAGGCTGGATAATGCCAGGGTGAGGTTTTTACTGCGAGGGTGATTAGTTTGTAAACTTTTTCTCAAGAGCGTATGAAATCTCACATTTTGCGAACTAGTTCTTGCTGTGTCTCAGGACCTAGGTAGCCGTGGACAGCGGATTGGATCTCGAAGAGGTGTTGGATCACATCTTTGAGCTCGTCTGTGGTCGCAATTAGCGCTAGTCTTGAGGTTTCATGATAACAAGAATCGTACTATCGACTGTCTGTAATGTCACTGGAGCCATGATGTAGGAATATTCGGTTTCTGGTGAACTCGGTGCGAGCAATGAAGTTTCACGGTGGAGAGTGAGAGTGATAAAGAAGGCGGTGTACCTATTCAGATGAAGCCTGATAAGATGGGGTTTCCACACATGCAAACTCCAAGCCAAGAGTGAACAGTAGACCCCAATTCTACAGTTACTATGTATATTCATTCAGGTAAAATAAGACAAGTAAGATTCTAAATTTTTAAAAATTGATTCATCACTTCATGGACGGATTATGTGCCACTGGCACCTGAGCAACCTTGGATCACCACGTCCTTATATAGCGTCGTGAGATACAAACCTTCGATTCATATACAAAACAGGTCTTACTTGAAGCTTGAGGATAGAATCTTGGAAAGATGTGAATCATGTTTATTCACTCCAGTCAACATAGACCGAAAGATCTGCAAAGAAGAGCTAAACATCCGGTCTTCAATATGTAATTCTATATGCACACCACCTGTAGGGGAACCATACATTCTCAAGACCCAACACAAGCCCATCAAGGGCTCAAGCACGCTAAAAACCACAAAGCACATCATCTATCGACATATCTTTACACTTCGCGGGTCCGCAACTTCGGATACTTAGCAATCTCAATCTCTGTCTCCATTTCCATCCCAGACAGGCTGGGGAATCGTCGGCTGAAATTAGCCTCCCAATCTTCACCTGATGGGCTAAGTGGTGTTTGCTGGGAGGAAACGCTACGCCCCTGGCTAGCGCTTGTGCTTGGCCGCGATGTGTCCTGTGTACCCACACGGAGGCTCTTCGGCTTAGGGGGGCGCAGTTGGCGCAGCTGGTCGTGAGGGAACAGGACGCGCGGAGGAGCTCGCAGATTGCGGAAGCCCTGCTGGGGCGCTGGCTCCCTCCCTCCTATCTGGTGGAGCTACAACGACAGGAGCCTCACGGCTGCCGTAGATAGGACCTGGAGTTCGGGAGATAGGCAATGGACTCGTAGCAGAGGGCTGCACAAGATCCTGCTTTGCCTGCAAAGCAGTGGTGTCCGTGTACTTGCCATAGCCAGTTGCAGTCTTGGGCACAGCCGGTTTTTGCGTTTCGCCAAGCAAGGTTTGCACTCTGTTCAGAATCGCTTTGGACCGAGATCCGTCATTACCAGCTCTTCCACTGCCATCTTCTGCGACTCGACGGCGATATTCAGCCGCGGCATTCGCTACTCGTTTCTCCTCCTGGGAGAGACGGCGGCGCTCGAGTTCACGACGCATCTCGGGTGAAATATCATCGCGCTCGAGATCATCCAATGGATCATCGTGGTAAGGCGAAAAGCCTTCGCTCGGTGAATCCAGGCTCTCTGAGCTAATCGTTTGCGGCTGGGGGAGATTCTCTTCAACTGGAGTCCCGGGTTTATCCTGATTGCCGCCTTCGAAGCGACGGAACGCATCACCGAATCGGCCAGCGAACAGGTTTTTACCTCCCGAAAAGGATAGCGTAGACAAGCTGCCACGTTTGCTGTGCTTGGCCCCGGTACTGGAGCGTTTCTCCCGCTTGCGATTGCTCTCTTCCTCCTCTTTAGCCCGAAGATAGTCCATATCAGAAGAGATATTTGCCTGATCGTAGTCACGGTCCAGTTCAGTCCGAACAGAGCGGAGTGGTGCACCACCTTCATAACGCGAGAGATCCAGAGATGACCGTGATGGCTCAAAGTCATGGGGACGGCTTGACGACTGAACCGACACAGGACGAGCTTTACCAATCGCAGATCTCGATCTTGCGGCAGGCTTCTGCACATCTAATGTTGAAGGTCGTCGTAACGCCTCCATGGAGGGCCGTGCCGAATTAGAGTGATAGGAGAGTCGGTCAGATGACAATCGAGGACTAGCTTCGGGTCTCAGACTCGAAGAAGGAGGGGATGGGGCCTTCTTCTCTTCCTCTTGTATCCATGGCTGACTTGTAGGTCGCTGTTCATCCGAGACCGGGAATCGATAGATTGGACGACTAGACAGCTTCGGGTCGGGCAAACGAGGTGTCTGAGCTGGAGAGGTCATCGTCCCCGTTGAGACCATTGCAGGCCGCTGAGGAGTTGGCTGGTACAATGGAGTCGATTGGCGATTGGTGACTTCCTGGGTGGGTGTCCTGATGGGCGATGCCTGGGACCGCCGATTAGACGCTGTCACCGGCCGTTCAGGAGAGGCCCGCCTAGCAAAAGCATCATCTGCCAGGGCATTGGTAAGTCTCTGCGAGAGATCTTCTTCCACTGAAGCAGGCTCTTCGGGAGTTGGCTCAAAATCAAACTTATCGCCTTTTTCATGCAAAATGTCAAATTGCTCCAAGGAGGGGAACCGGTTCGACATGTCCTCCGCGATCTTCTTGTTCCGGGAACCCGCATCCAAGGTTGCGAACGGGTCGGATTCGCCGCGATACGGCGAAGGGCTCGCTTTAGCAGAGTCATACTGGGAGGACTGTGGCTTTCCTGGACGTCCCCGTCGCATCGGCGCAATCTCGGGGATGATCTGCGTCTCTTGCATAGGAGGTGAGAACTTTGCGCCAACCGCGGGGGGGCTCTACCGGGGTTGGAGGTAGTTCCTGGTTTTTTTCGTGCCTCGGACGTAGTTCGATTGGAGTAGATCTAGAGAGGTCAGTTAGGTACGTAATAGTCGCCTTCGATCATTCAACACGTACATCTCGAATGGGAACTTCCTTCCCTTGCATCTTGCATATTTCCTGCACAACTTGGTATATATTCGGGCGCTTCTGAGGCAGTTCCCTCAGCATAGAGGCTATGGCCGTTAGTTCCAGAGCTTCAGATCGGATGTTCGAGGGTTGTCGAAGTATCTAACTCACCAATGAACAGCTTCAAGCGGTCCGAGAATTGCGGGTAGGCGGGGTATTTGAAGCTGGCGTTGAGAATCGCCATCTGTCCAACTTCTTCAAACGGGGTGGTATAGTAACATAATTTGTACAAAAACACACCTAGAGCCCAAATGTCACTCTTCTCATCAATAGGCTGTTTCCGGTAGACATCAATCATCTCTGGGCTTCGGTATTGAAGTGTTGTGTGTCGCTGTACATCATCCTCGATTAATCGACCCTCCGCGGCAGACGTAGCTGCTGGACGCGGGGGGGGCAGTTGATCCAAAGTCGCACAGTTTATAGCAGGACGAGCCTGCCGTCCGGGAAATTAACACGTTCTCTACCTTAAGATCACGGTGTAGTAGTGGAGGCTTCAAGTAGTGCATACAGGCTACACCCTCGGCCACGTCTGAGAAGATCTTGATGATCTCCGGCTCTGTTAATCGGTTCTGCAGGCGGGTGTTCATAAAGTCAATCAGACCGCCACCCCCGCAGTACTCCATGAGCAAGAAAACCTCGTAACCACCACCACGCAGCTGGGAGGCATGCGAATCAATGTATTTAACGATGTGGCGGTGGCCCTTCAGCTTCTTCATGGTCTCCACCTCGGTGCGCATGCTCGCCAGCGCCGACTTATCGGGGACAGCGACGCGCTTCAGGACCGCGGTCTCGGAGCCATGAATTGGCTGGGGCAATCGCACGACGTAAACATGAGCAAAGCCTCCCTCCGAGAGATACTTGTCCACCACAACGCGGTGCTCGCCCACCTGGACCTTGGTCCCGGGAAGGAATGTCCCTGCGGGAGCTGTAGCGGCGGCGACAGGATTATAGGCGGCGAATTGGCGAGATGGTGCAGCTTGACCCTGGAGGGACTGAGTGGAGGATTGAAAGGCGGACATGGTGTTTTGGGGGGAGAGTTGCCCTTCAAGGGCAGGAGGGATGATGGGGATCGGGTGGGACTATCGATGCGGCATAGGAGAAGGGGAGGAAGACCGACGCCTGGGGCCAAAGAGGGCAGTGGAGAAGAGGAAATGAGGTAGTGCCTGACCACCACGAGCAAGCGAGGCAAAAAGAGTTTCTAGACCAAGCACAGAGCCTCCAACGTTGGAAACGAGATGCAGAGAGAGAATGAAGGATGGGGATTACGATCCAATCACCGGGCGCGGGTCACGTTGTGGTTCCTGTTTCCTTTGCGTTGAACCTGTATGTAGTAGTAAACGTCAAGGTTCTCCATTTTTATTACTTCGACTTGGTTTATATTTTGATATTTTAGAAATTTTGATTTCTCTTAATACTCTTCCTTTCCATATATATATATATTCAACTTTTGCCTGACCTTGTTCAGGCGTGACTCGAGTTGAACTCAACACTGAGTTGGCTTGATCAGGGTCCCGCACCGCCTGCCCCGATCATGGGACATTCCGTCGCTCTACACTTGGCAAGAGTATGACGAACTTGAGAATCTTGAAAACGTGGCGGCCTACTGTCTCTTTTCTTGTCAACTTAGGGCCTATCACCATGAAGCATGTTTCGCTATTTACGATAGTCTCTGCCTATTCCCCATCTCCCATTCTGGATATCTGCTCCGACCGCGGGTTGACTCCGAGTCGAGCGTCATGATGGACCCACTATGTGCATTATTGTGCCTCAACCGCTTGACCGCAAAGTCGACACGGTTTCCTCCAGTGATGCCTAGTGATCTTCGCCCCCACGAGCTGGGGTTTCTCAACACCCCAAACATTGTCGTGTTGGAAGGAGACCATGAACCCTGGATACGAAATTCCCACATTTCCAATATGGGTTGTGAATGGATGAAGTCTGTAAAGATCATATGAGTCTGACCCATCTATCAAGTTCATACTCGGTAAGATCTCAATAGATCTCCAGGATTTAATGGGGAAATGCATACGGAGTGCACTATGGAGTACTAGCGGCATACGAAATCGATAGTATGCCTGAGGCTGCAAGATAAGGTAAGCGGCGATAAGCTATACCTAATTAGGAAGGATCACAACAAACAGGTTGCTGGGGTCATTACAGAGTATACATCCAGTATGTAAATACAGAAAATGGAAAGAGATAAAGATCAGAAGAGTCTGAAAAAGGTTAAGTTTAAGTAAAAGTACATTGACACAATCTAAGAAGCCAACAAAGAAGACAATGCAATCATTTGAGCAGATAAAGAATTAAGCAAGGTGTAGATCACATCGGTATCCCTACTGTGACACTGGCATCTAACTCGGTCCACTCAACGGCGGTCTTACCCTCGCGTGGTCAACGAGGAATTCAACATGGCTGAATATTTGAAATCGATCCATAAGATCGAATTATCTTAGAATTCCCTTGATTAGACTCGAGTGTGACATCGGATCCGATGCGCCCTTGTTTTTCTGTGTGTGATGGCCACGTCTGCCCTGCATGGAGCCGCCGATCGTTAGCGGCTCCCACTTTCTCCTAAACAAACCGATCCCCCGTAGCAACGCTCCCGGATCCTCTTCATCTCACGGTCCCCTATACCCTTTTCCTTTCTCGGTTGCCTTTCCCCGGTCCGTGAACTTGTGTTTTTTGTGGTGATCATATTATACATATCTTTTTTTTCCATCCTATACCACCCCTCCCATCTGATTCGGCTTCTCACGCACTGAGTGGCCTAGGGCCTCAGTGCATATATTCTATTTCGACGAACATGACCTGGCGATCAACTCGTTTCTGCGCTACGAACGTCTCCCGCTAGACCCGCCAGGTTACTCGAATTCGATTTCACGAGATACACATATACCACGAAGAATTGAGAGTTTTTTGACGACAAAATATAAACACCAAACAGTACAGTGTACATTTGGAATACGATCTACTGCTTACGACCTACGACTTTAACTACATATCACATTATTCATCATGGATGATGGTCCGCCGCCGCCTCCACCTCCTCATGGTGAGAATCCTCATACCACCGAAGGCGAATATCGCAAGTCTTCCGATCTGCCACCTGGGAACTACGATATTTTCGTAATACCACCGCATTCCTCCGGCGCCGGCTTCCTCTACTTACCTTCCTTGCAAACAAATCGCAACAGCTTTCTCGCGGGCGTCGCAAGCACACTAGTAGTAGTCATGATCTGGTCTCTCATTTCTCCGGCACTGAAGACATGGTATATTGCGGCTGTCTCCTCCAATGGCAGTGGCAATAGTACAATGGCAATGATAGTGGTGGCGCTTGGGGTTGGTATTGCTGGATGGGCTGCTGGTTTATCGCAATCGAAGGCAGAGAGTTTCTTCGGCGGCAGTGGTAATGGAGGAAATCGCTTTGGTGGTGGTTTCTCTGGAGGCCGAGGATCGAACGCCAATGGCCAGTCCAATGCCAATTTTGGTAATGGACAACAAAACCATAGTGGTGGGCCGGGACAACAGCAGTACAACGGAGGATCAGGACAACAACGACAGCAGTATGGAGGAGGACAACATTCGGGCAATCAGTATGCTGGCAATCAAAATAAGGGCCAAGCCGAGTCTGATTCAAAAGCAGATAACGCCGAGAAAGAAAAGGAGAAAGAACGGGAGCGGGAGAAGGAGAAGGAGAGGGAGCGAGAGAGGGAACGGGAGAGAGAGCGAGAACGGGAGAAAGAACGACAGAGACAACGGGAGAGGGAGGAGAATGAACGGCGAGAAAAAGAAAAGGAGAAAGAAAGAGAGCGAGAACGGGAACGAGAAAAGGAACGGCAAAGAGAGAGGGAAAGGGAAAGAGAAAGACAGAGAGAGATGGAAAAGGAGAAGGAAAGAGAACGAGAACGAGAGAGAGTTAAAGCCGAAGAAAAGAAAAAGCAAGAGGCCGCTGAAAAAGAGCGTCAACGTGAACGGGACGAGGCCAAGCGCAAAGAAGATTTGCGCAAAAAGATGGAGGAATTTAAGCGCAAACGAGAGGCAGAGGCCAAAGAGAAGCAAAGGCAAGCGGAGCGAGAAGCCATGGAGAAGGAATTAAAGGAGCGTCGTGAGCAGCTTGAGCGAGAAATGGCTGCTGCTAAAGCCACGGCAGAAAAAGAAGCTCGCGAGCGCTTGGAAAAAGAGGTTGCAGAGGCCAAAGCCGAAGCTGAGAGATTTGCTGCTGAAGCCAAAGCCGCGACTGAGCGAATTGAAAAAGAGGCTAAGGATAAGGCTGCCAAAGAAGCCGCCGAGAAAGAAGCGGCTGCAAAAGCCGCAGCGCAGAAGGAGGCCATGGCCAAGTTTGCTGCTCTCAAAGAGGCTGCCGCGAAACGATATGCGGAGAAAAAGGCCCAGGATGCTAAAGAGAAAGCAGCCAGCGAGGCTAAGCCTCCTGCCCCTGCTGCGAGTGCTACAGCTGCGCCTCGGACACCTTCGCCCCAAAAACAAAAACCACCATATTCCACGACCAGGACGACCGTCGACGAAGATGATGCATATTCCTTTCGACCCTACGACCGCCCCCGGCGTCCTTATGGCGGTGCTTCCGGATCCTCCTACTCCGAGTCATCATATACACCCTCTCAGTCAACGTCTCGCACAACACCTCCTCCATCTCAGCGCAGCTCATATTCCACCAAGGATCCTGACAAGATCGTGATCCAGGGAGTCTACCAATTCACTAATGCCTTCATGAAGACTCCAGTTGCCCAGCTGGTCTCGGGCCAAGGCATGGTGACCGACGGCCTCGTGCTTCGCATTACTACCGAAGGTCTCTTCGTTGATGACGACTTGCGAGGAGTTGGTCAGCGCGAGTGGGACGTGAAGGCCTGGACTCTGAAGCTGACTGAGGTCTGGTGTCCGCAGATGGGCGCCCCAGCCGCTAAGCCGGGCTCCAGCAACCCCTTCTCGTTCCGTCGTGGCGGTGCTCACTCAGTGCCCACCAGCGAAGAGTCCGATGCCTTTCTTATCAATTTACTCAAAGTCTGCAAGAACACTTGTCGTCTCGCATCTCCAACTGCATGCTTTGCTCGAAGTGCCAATGCCAGTGGTATTAACGGCGGCGGCGTGCGTGCTGCCCCTCAGTCTGAGTTCCGTGGTCTCCATGTCCTTCGTGCGAGCATCCGCGATCAGGAGGGTAAGCGCTATGTCTTTGTGCTACAGGATACTGAGGCCTGGAAGGTGGCTATTGGTCTGCAACGTCTTCGCGCTGGTGCCCTTGTCCGCAATTTGGGTGTAACCCATTTGCCAGTAACCGATTGCAAGAGCGTTCTCGGTGGACTTGGTTACATTCAAGTTTGAACATAAGAATAGATCTAGGTCTATTCTATTATTTGCTTTGACTCCCCTCATTCGATTGATATACAATTGGGTACTCTCTACGACTGAGGGGCATGCATGTTTGGATTATGTTTTCCCTATATTTTGATGATTATGTTTTTATATTTCATGTTTCTTAATCCTTGTTTTGCGCACCCATCCCTGCACTGTCATTTCTCATTAGCGGCGGAGTTTGCTGCATACTCTTCTCTGGTACATTCATTCGCTTTTGGCTCTCCCCTCCACACATTTTTGAGATTCCCCCCTATCATATTGTTTGCGTTTTTGTTTTTATTCCTACCATCTAGTACAGTTGACGAGCATGTGGATGACCGAGGTGATTGGGGACGTACATAGCACAGAACATTATCAAGTGAATCAGCGATGTCGCTCTTACATACAAACACCTCTACATGGATTTCTCTACTAGTATCACCTGGGCAGTATATTATGACTCCTAGTCAGTGTATCCGTACTAAGAACCTTGGAAGCTTTAAGCTTCAAATTCAAATGTTCATCCGCCTATATTATTAGTACCAGATGAAGTGTGGTGGCATCATGATAGTACTAAGTACAGTGCCTTCGGTCCTTCCAAGATTATCACTACCGTGGACGAATGGTCAACAGTAATCGGCTCTGGAGTTGAGTCTTCAAGAGGCCTACTATGTAGTAACCTTGAATAGGATGTCATAAGTCCTAGGGGCGGTGTGCTACATAGACTGTCAGATTCGCATTAAAATAGTACTCCAGGCTATTTTATTCGATTCGCTAGTAGAAATATTTACTTTCTATTTTACTTTCTATTTTCCCAAACTTGTTTGTTTACGGAGTACTCCGTACACGGTCGTCATTTAGGATGTGGCTTTCCTTCGGTCATGTGGGTTAGGCCAACAAACAGGCGCTGATTTTAGGAGTCTGCGCCTGCACCTGGGTATTTGCCAACCACAAGAACGATTCGAAGATTCGAACAGGAATTCACTCCAGATGACTCTCGCCGAACTAGAGGTTCTTATCTATACTCTAAATCACATAATACCAGTCAAGTACAATGCGACTGCTTAACGCCAAAACTTTCGAGTTGGAAGAGTATATGGACAGTCAGATCCTGAATATGCCATCCTGTCTCATACCTGGACTACCAACGAGGTATCCTTCCAGGAAATGCAAGGACTGAGCTCCAAAGAAAGAGATGCGCTGGCTTCTGACTCGGGAATTGAAGAAATAGCTGCTCAAACGACTCCGAATACGGGCTATGCCAAGATCAAGTACACTTGTCACCGAGCTATCCGGGAAGGAATCGAATATGTGTGGGTGGACACATGTTGTATCGATAAGACAAGCAGCGCAGAACTGTCTGAGGCGATCAACTCGATGATGAGATGGTATGAGAACTCGGAGATTTGTTATGTCTATCTGGCAGATGTACCTTCAGGGGTAAATCTGGAAACAAAGGATTCTGCTTTTGCAAAGAGTCGATGGTTCACTCGTGGATGGACGCTTCAAGAGCTGCTGGCGCCAAGGCGACTGGCGTTCCTCGCTTCAGACTGGTCATATATCTCCTCACTGGAGAAAGTATCCATACTCATTGGCAATATCACTGGTATCCCTCTGTCGCTCCTGGGGCCAAGAAGGAGTAAATTCAGCATTACCAGGCGAATGAGCTGGGCATCTCGGCGCATAACGAGTCGAAGAGAAGATACGGCTTACTGCCTCATCGGGATATTTGGGGTAAATATGCCACTTCTTTATGGTGAAGGAAATGAGGCGTTCCTCCGTTTGCAGGAAGAAATCATCAAGCATTCAGATGACCTGTCTATCTTTGCCTGGAATGATGACTTTAGTAACAAATCCTTCAACTCCTTCTTACATGGGGACTTTAGCGACAAATCTGTCAACTCTTCCTTACATTCACCTCCACGAACCAAATACTTCGACTTCACTGATAGATATTCGACGATAGGATTTCTCGCCAGCTTCCCCTGTGACTTTGCTGATGGAGGAGATTTTGTTTCCTTTTCTGTCAGCGAATCAAATCCTTCCTTTTCTATCACCAACAAAGGCCTGAGTATGAAGGTTCCCCTCTTTAGGGGAGAGTGGAATGTCGGATTTGTTCTCCTTGAATGCCAGACCAGCAGAGATCTGACTCAATTACTCGCAGTCCCCGTCAGGTGTATAAAAGAGAACATATATGCCCGGCTCGGAGCGCCAATACATGTGACCGAACTGATTCTTGGTTGGAATGGCCCACGACACAGCTGTACTTGCTCACTGCCAACTCTATCAGGGAGACTCGGCGTGCCAATCTTTGGGATTTTTATGTCATTCATAACATTCAATCCGGTCTTCGCGTTACCGGACTCGTCTCTCCCTACTTGCACGACCAAGGCCACTCCGGACCAGCAGTGACCAATAAAATGGTTTTGATGAAAGGGAACGTCGCAAACGAGACTAGGCCTTGGCAGTCAAATGCCCTGATCTGGTTCGAAGAGGAAGGCGAAAATTCCCCCTCTTTTGTGCTTTGTTTCACACTATATTATAATGGTGATAAGTCTAGCGCGCTACAATGAACGGGTTTCACAACATAATGTCGGTTAATACATCTCCAGATCGAGGCTAGTGAGATGGATAGGGCGATTAATGATGCTTTACAACTGTGGGTAGAGCAACTTGCAGAGTTGTCCAACATTAGTGAAGGAAATGAAGTATCATGGCGAGTCGAAACCATTCCGGTGGTTTTCTTCGGCGAAAATTTCGAGTTTCACATTCAGCTAACTCCTCTTGTTTCCTCGAAAAATCACACCACTAAACCAAAAAGAGAGCCACCCACTTGTTTACGCGATTCGGTTCGTTCACTTTTAGTGCCTGGTGCACGCGAGCGGCTGTTAAGATCCAAGGTGGATCGTGTCTTGTGAAGCTTTCTTCGTTCCCTTCGGTTTCTGCGGTTTCTGCCCTGGTATCTCACCTTTATAGTTGATCTGGCTATAAAAAGTGCCTATACACTCCCGATGCGATCTTGGGAGAGCTCTACGCCCGTGGTATGTTTTTTGCTAGGCTATTTGGCATTTCAAGAACTAGTGGCGTCCAGGGCGCTTTTCCCTTGGTGGATGTGCTATATCTGGCAGAAGCTATCTTCGAAAAATTCTATGTTCAGTCTTGTGACATTATATGTGTACGGCAGGCTTTCTACATGAGTCTATTTTTCGCGATCTCCTTGATTGAGTTGGAGACTCTGCCTCTTAGAGAATCATGAAAATTATCTGAAGCACATGTGCATGTTGGTCAAATGAGATAATCATGAAATCCAAAAGATCTCAATTCATTCCATGGTTTAGAAAAGTCCCAAACAATGTAAATTAAAGCAAAACGCCACGAATGATATTTAGCATATCCAGTGATCAATAAATAATCAAACATGGAAGTATGCACTGCGCTCATTTATTCATTCCCATCCAGCACTCATATACACTCAAAGCTCGTAGCGTAAAATCAAGTTTAAAATGGGGGGAAAAGGTGAAGAAAAAAAATGTAAATAAAAAATCAGGACAAGGAAGAACAAGGGGAGAAACAAAGCTGAAACATGTGTCTATCGTTGGGAATCATTTTGCTTTGTGTGCTGAAGCGTGAATTGGTGACATGAATATAGTGGATGTGTCCACGTCTTCTTGTTAATACCAGGGATAGGGTGACGTTGTCTTCTCCTGTAAAATCGAATGGTTGGTTTGATATGGAGATATCCGTGGAACTGAATTGGCACTTTGGATATGCCCTCCAGGAACCATATTAAGAACAAAATGCGGAAAGGAGTAAAAATTGTTTCCAATCCAACATTTCAAATCATCTCGAATATGGCTCAACTAGAGAACACGACAATCGGGACTACCCCTGGCTTGAAGTTGAGGGGGTGGGCGTATAGGTAGGAGGAAAGGGTTCATGATGGTAGACTCAAGAGGTCGTTTAGAAGGGGAAGCCTCCAGGGAAGCCACCGGCGCCACCGCGAGACTGGCCTCCGAAGGAGTGACCGCCGGCAGAGGCAAAGCCACCACCACCTCCTCCGTTCATCATGTTGAAGAGGATGTTAGGGTCAATGTTGATATGGCTGCCGTTCATGCCGCCCATACCACCCATACCGCCCATGCCTCCCATTCCACCCATGCCGCCGAAGCCACCACCACCGAAGCCACCGCCACCGAACATGTCAGAGGGGTCCATCAAGTCATCACCGTTATCGTAGGCAGCGCGCTTCCTGTAGGCAAATTTGTTAGTGAACTGGGCCATGGCAGTAAAATCATGTGAAAGACGAAACTTACTGAGAGTCCATGAGAGTCTCATACGCCTCACCAATCTCCTTGAACTTCTCATCACCTTGCTCACCATCACGGTTCTTGTCAGGGTGGTACTGGATGGCCAACTTGCGGTAGGCCTTCTTGATCTCAATTTCGCTGGCATCCTTGCCGACTCCTAAGATCTTGTAGTAATCCTTGCGCTGGGCCTTCTTCAATTCAAACTCAGCACGGCGGATGTCCTCCTGGATACCCTTCTCGGAGGGGTTCTTCTCGGCAACGCTCTTGTAGTCACGAGAAGCCTCTTCCCACTTATCAGCACCACCGTAGGCCTTAGCACGAACCTTCAGAGCCTTCAGGTAGTCGGGATCCAAACGCAAGGCCTCAGTGCAGTCCTGAATAGCGGAATCATATTCCTTCAGGTTAATATAAGCCTGGGCACGGTTTTGCAAGATCTTCGAGTTCATATCCTTGTTGTTAGGATCAACCTCCAAAGCCTGACCCCAGAGATCAATAGCACGGCGATAATCCTTAGCCTTGAAGGCGGTATTACCCTCCTCCTTTGTGCGGCTAAGCTTCTGCACAATACGCAGAAGCTTAATAGCCTGCTTCATATCCGGGTCCAGCCCAAGACACATCTTCAGCAGCTTCAGAGCCTGCTCGGTCTCACCGGAGGCATAGTAAGCGCGCGCACGAATCATCATCGCATCAGGATCCTGGCTATTCTCACGCAGCATGCTGATCGCAAGATCCTGAGCCTTGCCTAGCGAGTTGCTGTTGTTCATCTTCAACTGCGACTCGGCTGTCAGCAGGGTCCACTTGCGAGGCTCCTTCACGCCCAGTCCGAGACCCTGACGAGCCTGGTCCAAGCAGAAACCAGCCATGGAACCACCGCGGTCCTCGGCCAAACTCTCCTCGGCTTGACGGACAAACTTCAGCATCTTCTCGGCAGGGGCCCGGTCGGTCGCGGTCGCGGCTGGCTGAACTCGGGACAGGACATCGAGGGCCTCGGCGGGGCGACCCAAGCTTGTCAGGATCTTGGCCCATCGGTGCATGATCTTCGCATTGCCCGCATCGAGTTCGTTGGCTCGCTCAATATCCTCGAGGGCGTTAATGTATTGTCTGGCAGACATGTGTGCGGCCGCCCTGTTGGACAGGTAGGCGGAGGAATTAGGATTAATTTCGATGGCTGCATGGAGGGAAAAATTGAAAATTTAGTACAGGAGACATTTTTGAAGACTGAAAAATTGTGGATGGAAGTGGGAACAAAGAGTGAACGATCGGAGAGGTCGAGATGAAACGTGTCTTAAAATTTGTTTGAGAGCGAAGGGGTGAAACCGTACCCTTGTTATATTCTTCAATGGCACGAGCATAGTTGCCATCTTTGAAAAATTTGTTACCAGCCAGCTTGAACGAGTCAGCCTCACCAGCATCGGAGTTAGAACGATGCGGAGGAGGAGTAGGACTACGCTCTTGACCGTTCACAGCATTCTTCTGTTCCTGAGGATCGATATCCATGGAGCTCCGTTGGTCATCTCGAGCCGCCATTGCGGACAGACGGCGATGTAGTTCGTCTGGGGGAAGATTAAGCGGATGAGAATCCTGGTCTTTCGAAGACCGGGTACCGAATTTAAAAGGAGGGAGAGTCGGGTTGGAAGAAGTCCGACTGTGAGAGAATCGATTCTTGGTGGGAGATTTGGAAGAAGATTTGGTGGGAGACTTGGAGGGGGATTTGGAGGGGGAAGATTTAGCGGAAGATTTGGCGGGACGAGATTTAGAAGGTGATTTGGACAAAGACGGTCGAGGAGATGAACCGGCACTTGGGGGGTTGGATGGATTGGAAGTAGTTGACTCTTTCTCCTTATCCTTGTCCTTTTTGAAGATATGGGCGAGTTGGACCATGGGGAACAACGCCTCCTCAGTGGATTTTTTTTTTCTTTGGATCGAAGGACGACGAAGGCGGTAGAAGCACAAAGCAACCAGTCAGTAACACCGAATCGGACGGGTTCAACCACGGTTCAACTCTGATCTTCTATAAGGAACTTTGTTCTTTACAGATTTTCATAGATCATTCGGTGTCATTGTCATTCCTGAAGTCTCAGGGGAAAGATTTCAATGTCAATGTTGACTGGGGATGATCTGTTAAGGTAATCAGGTCTCGGGAAGGGGAGAGAAGGAATAAGAAGAGATGTATGGAGGGAGGGGAAGAAAAAGGAAAAAAAAAAGTACAATGTTTTTTTTCTCCTCTTATATCACACGTCTTCGTTTTCTTCTATTGAATTACTACTGGTGGACTCCCATGTATTTATTCCAGAGGCTGGAAATGCTTTGCTGGTCTGTGTTAGCGCGCGAGAGAACTGGGGACATGGAGTCACTAAATCTTCCCGCAGGATGACGCTGCAAGTCCAGATGACTGAAAGATAAAAAGAAAAACTTGAAGAGAGAGGGAAAAAATACGATTCGAGAAGTTTCTACATATTCAAAATGATAAATGAAACCAGCCTCTCCAATTTTATATCACACCCTAGCTTATATATGGGACACGCGCCCAAATACCAACGGGGCTATTAACCAGCGGTGGAGAGAATATGTGGATCCTATATGCAGTTTGCTGTGATGGTAATGGGCAACAAACCAAACACTTGGGCCAGGTTGCGTCTTTTCCCCTTTTTCCCACCCCTCATTGATGAATGACACACATAAATGAGAGGGGAATATGCATCCCAAAAATGGAGGGGAACCCTGGTCTTCTTCATAAGAGATTCCAATAAGATTGTGATCATTGTAGATTCAATTCCATGTCATATATCATGCATGGCAAGAACGCGTGGTCATTGGACCGGCCCCATGGGACAGAGGGGTAAACAAAAATGAGAAAAGAAAAAGCAAAAAAATGAAATAGGAAATAAAGAGGAAAAAAAATAGTAAACAAGATCATCCCCGAGAAACCCGGTTGAGGTCCGGTGGAGAGAGAAAAGATGGGGTATCAAATTGGTGCCTCATCACCCAGGCATATATCCGTTTGTATTATGATTGTTGACATGCTCCAATGAGCTAACTCGGTTCAATATGAAAGGTTGTCATCGAAATCCAGTCGTTTTGAGTCCAGCACGTTTGCTGGTATCATATCATCATGTATTTCATCATTGCCCTCGATCTGCACGGGCTACACTCCCAAAATGGTGGGACAGAAAAAAATAAAAAATAAAAATAAAAACTAGCAGGAACCAATTTTATTTTGGTGGCGTCCTCAACTAGCCGACACATTTGGCGAAAGAGGTGAGACAGGACTCCATTCGGATAATGGACCATCCTGTAGTCGCATAAAACAGGTGGAACTGAACGCGTGACTATCGTATGATGGTGGTGCCTCACCGCGGGCACTATCGATATGAACACGTACAGTATCGCTGGTGACCGGAAGCCGTTGTTGGTGGAACCATCCATCTGGAATCGCAGTGAAAGCAGTTGATATCGAGGATCGACTTGGACTTCGGAGAGTTGGCAGAGAAGTTCGTGATGGCCAGCGGCACGGGACTTCCCATAAACCTTCTTCTTCTAACCACATGATTGGATCTGTGTGAGATCGTCTCGGTGAAGGAGCGGTTAGGGTATGCCAGTTGGAACGGTCGGTCGGACAGAGCCCTCGCTGAAATACTCCTGTACCAGGATCATCTCTTCAGTAGGGCTGACTCGGCCTCGTCGAGCGGGAGCGCGTTTGAGATTGCTAGTATTTTGGGGAACAACTTCCTCACTGGAACTCTGAGTCTTATCAGGGGGAGGGACGGGCTTCCTTCGCAGTTGTCGCGAAGTCGAGGGATCTGCAGAGGCTGGTCGTGGCGGAAGAGGCTTCGAAAGTATATAATAATGTGCCTCGGATTGTGGGGTTGGTTTCTCTTGGTGAATACGAGGGAGCGTGGGATCTGGGGTAAAGGTCATCCAGTCGGATATGCGAGGACCATCCAACGATGAGTAATCCACCAGTATTGGAGTTGATGAAACATGAGCTGACTTTTGATCCAGTATAGGCGGACCATCGAGAGAGGAGAGATCCATCGGGGGAGTAGAGCGGGATCTCCTATACCCTGGATGACATCGCAGAAGAAGAGCGCAGAGGGGCATCATGGAGTTCCGCCGGGCACTATAAAAACAAGTGCCCGGGCTAGATACACTCAAGTGCTTGACTCGGATTCAAGAACCAAATACCAAGAACCTTGGAACCGTGGAAGAGATTTACGCTATTGATGAGCGTAAATAGTGGAGATGGATGAAAAGCTCCTATCGGAAAATCAAACGTCCAAGCGTGAGGTTAAATCTTGAAACCAACGACGGCAGACCGAGATATATCACATGTGCGGGATGAAACACAAATACTGGTCTCCGGAGTTACCTGGGCAGCCTTCTCGTTTCATAAGACGGAGTATACCCTATATATATCGTGTGGGAACCGAGTTTAGTTGACTTTGCTAGGCCTCCCGGGGCCGATCCTTGGTGTACGGTCAAAATCCTCCAGAAGAGGTGGGCCCTTGGGGCCTTATGAACCCCCCATCCTCTAACACTATTAACTGTGTTGAGCATGGTGGATGGAGACGGTGAATTCTTTGTTCGGATCGCGTAAAATCCACCGCCACTATATTGGGCAACATCATGATGTTGAAGTGCCCCGAACCGAGGGGAGATTTTTACTTCCCGCTTCAACTTACACAAAAGATCAAAGTTGACCTATAGCGCACAAGCCATGGTGCCGGAAATTGCCAGTGCTCATATGCCCCCCCTCTTTCACTACTTTGAATGCTTTGAGGGCATTGTGAACATAAAGATCGCGTGCCTATTCTTAGACCAAGTATTTGAATCCTTGTGTTAGTTTAGATCCCACTTGATTCCACTTGAAGCTACTGTGAAAAATTCCTTGATGTTTCCACTAAATAGCGCAAAGGAAGTATCCATCTTATGAATTTGAGATGGTTCAGATGGGGCCAGGATCTAGGAACAGTGGAGGAACAGGGGCCCAATGCACCACTACCATTCTTTGAGGATGTCATTCTTCCCAAAGTGGTATCCAAGACCGGGATAAACGTTGTGGTTTCTTCAGATATTGCGGGTATTGTTGTAGAGTAATCTTCTGAAGAATTAGAGGCGTCGTACTTCGTATCAGCAAGTACGAAGAAGATCACACACTGTTCAAAATTTGGAGTGAGAAGTGGAAGCGAAGGTAATCTTGGAAGTGGATATTCTTTGATCGTGAAAGCCACTTAGATCATCTGTAGTGGAGTTACCTATTTTTGGCGAACCAATTGTATTCTAGTTTAAGTGTTAAAACCCCAAAAAGGAATCTCGTCGGAAACTCCGAATCCCATACTCTCATCGAATTCAATTTTCAATAGTATTTACTCCATAATGCTGATCAAATTTCAAGTAGGTCGATAGCGTACGGAGTATTCCGTACGACTATACTCCACGCGTTCAAGAGTAAGCTCATCTTAGAACCGCTGCCGACATGATGCACATGTGATTACCATAACTCCGATCTGTTCCCTGTACCTCAAATTCCACTTGCAGGATCAGGGACTAGTTGCTAGCAGGGATAATCATAGAAATCAGAACTTTGTTCGAGGTGAAGCCGCCAGGATTCAGGCTACTACATAGTATATGCATTCCTGTTCCAATATCGAGATAAAAACAAGAATTGAGGAACAATCTACGTTCCTTCTATCATCCATCCGATGTGGGTATCGAAAAACTTCAGATTTGAGATCACCGCCCCTAACAACGAAACGAGTAAATGATTCCCATATCTCCTTTCTTCACTCTTTTTTTTCGGGAAAGCCACCGAGTCTTACGCCCGATAATGATGACCTCATATACCGTATTCCGAAAAGAACTATACTAAGGGAGCCACTATCAGCTCCAGTTTATAGTTAATTCACTGTCATTTTGGGGGCAGTAAGGCAAGTGACTTGCATGGGATATGGGGCCAAAGGGTGAGCCGCAACCAGGGGGTTTGAACTAGTTATGCAGTTTAGATCCAATATTAACCCGCTAGTTACCCTGCATCTAACGGTTGACCAGGTTGATTGTCGCTAGCTCCCTCCACCAGTTGACGGAGTTAGCACAGGATTATGATGGAATCCTGTGCAGTTTCAAAATCCAGTCATTTCAGGTTATGCCACACCGACATTCCTTTCTATTCATAATTCAACTACTAGTATGATCTGATCCATGCTAATTGGTTGAATGAATAGAAACTAAGCTACCATTCTAAATTCTAGCTATTTATAGGTAACAACTTTTATGCACGATTTCTCCGAGTTCATCCAAGTTACAGCGGAAACGAAATTGAAGCAATGGAGGCACGTTTCGATATTGACGATTGACGAGATGAGATGATAAGCATGACTTTCAGACCAACCCAATTTAATTTACCAAGGTGTAAGCTGCTTCATGGGGAAAGGCACATGTGTATGTGGCGTGGAGAGGGGAAGACCTCAATATGTGGGAGAGCTACCGCTAGGATCCCAGAGAGACTACGGTTTTGGTCTGATTGATAAAAATCTCGCACTTTGGCTCAGAATAATCCTGGGTTGGACAGCAAGATTTGACAATAATGATAGAACAGCGATTAATCGATTCACGTTGCTAAGTTTGGCGACAATTGTTACTACACACTCTGTGGAGTATTTAGGGTTCATTTCAGGGGCTTAACTACCGGTAGTCGAGAACAATAATCTTATTAACTTAGAAATGCTATGAAACTGCGATGGAGCCACTCGGCAACTCAAGAAACATGGAACCCACACTAAGAACTAGTACTCGGACACTGGTGGAGTTGGGTATAAAACGGAGACATGTATTGACATTCACACATCTAGATTAAAGAAAAATAGTGTAAAGTGGTATGGATACATTCAAAAAAGGGTTACGGGAGACGCTGGAAAGCGGGGAAGTGAAAGCTGTCATGGTTTACATTAAGGTCGTGCTCAAGCCACCAAGCGCTTCACACAACGCCGAAGCTATCCAGGAAGCCCAAGAAGGAAATATGTATATCGAGAAAAAAAGCAAATAGGGGATAAGCATATCCAATCAGAAGCAAGTAACAAGAGGTTATCGGTCAAGGTTAAATCACCAGAACCCAGTTAAATCACAAAGAAATGTTCTCCAGTCCCACCATACCATATCATTTTGGTTTAAACTATGCTAATAAACACCCGAAGGTGTCATTAGAGAGATTAAGCCACTACGTATGGAGTTATTTAAGCCAGGATGTAGGCAGCGGCGGCGAAGAGACCGGCGAAGCCCATGGAGCCAGAGATGGCACCAGCACCGCTGTAGACGGGAGTGCTGGAGGGAGAGGCAGAGGCGGAGGCACCGCTGAAGAATGGATTAGCATATGTTTATCCAATTGATGGTCGAATAGTGATTCTTGATAATGCTTACCTGGGAGCAGCCTTGCTAGAGGAGGGGACGTGGGGAGCACCGGAGCCGGCGGGGCCGGAGCCGGAGCCAGAGCCAGAGCCAGAGCCAACGGGGGAGGTGGTCTGGGCAATGGGGATGGTGGAGTAGACAACGGTGGGAACACAGGTGGTGTGGGCGATCACAGTGTAAGACTGAGCAGCGGTGTTACCGCCAGCAGGGGCAGCGGCACCGGTGGTAGCGGGAGCAGCGGGGACAGCGGTGGTCCAGCTGGGGGCACCGGAGGAAGCAGCACCAACACCGTTGGGGACAACAGCGGAGGTAGCGACAACGGGAACGGAGGTGGCAACACCGGAAGAGGCGGGGCAGTTGGTGACCTCAGGACCGCAAGAGGTGACAGTAACCTGCTCAGTCTCGAAGACGGTGGTGTCGGCGGCAACCAGGCCAGCGAAGAAGGCAACAGCAGCAATGGTGAAACGCATTTTGAATTTGTGTTACGGAAAAAGGGTTGTTGGTTTGGAAGGTGATTAGAAAAGCGGGTAGGCTTTTAGTAAAAGAATGTAGTTGAGTTGGTTAAAGAGTGGATGACCGAAGTCTAGAGAGTGACAGATGCGTAGGCAACGAAGAATTGTACTTGGGAAAGAAGAAGAAGGAAGGGACTACGGGGGGATCCAGGTCCCATTTGTATGAACAGGGAGATTAGTCTGAACGATCAACATCTGGGCATCATCCAAGTTTGGCCCCTAAAAAAAAATAAAAATTATAAAATAAGAAAAATAAAAAGGGGGGACAACTTTGAAGCTGTGGGTGAGATGCAGGTCCCAGGTCCCAGTTTCCACCCCCAAAATTGCCCATTACGGATGAATTACACTTCAATGAGAAGTTTTTAGTTACAATTAGTGTCCTTGCGGAGTCGTCATCAAGGTGAAAGTGACTTGATCGAGTAGTAACATCCACTATAATATAACAAGTATCTGGTACTCGAACTAACCGCTTTGCACAGCCTGAATGAATGGGACCCTGATACTTCATAGTGATTGGATTAAGGAGGCGCGTGGGGGAGAAAAAGGTATCACTTGTGACCAAAAACTTTCATTCAATTTTGCATTTTAATTTTTTATCATTTTTTACATTAAAAATCCGTAATTTATTCTTCCGCTATTCTTTAGCGTAAAATGTCGATCGCGGCATTTCTTGGTTCAAGTTTCCTAAGACATTATATCTCCTTACTCTATGCACAGAGAGAGAGAGACATCGTAGTATCATCAACTTGATGCTCATAGTAATATTATAATACTGAAATACATCAATATCTCCCTAAATGGTTTCTTCAAACAACTAAAATAAGTTAATCTCCGACTATACAGCTTCCAATCTATTATCACTCGTGTTGGAAATGAACCCGTTTTCTAGTGGTTTCAGCCCACTTGTATTGAACCAATCCACCTTGTTCACCGCCGATCCACTGCTTGTTCCTGATTCTTTTCAACCACTTATGAACTTCATTTATCATCCACTGTGGACCCTTTCTCCACTTTACCCCTGAGCAACCCGTGGATGAATTTCCGTCGTAACTTGCCCAGGGCGCCTCTACAACACAAATGACGGCACGTCTCCCCCGCGACTGAGTTCATGTATGGATGCTTCTATCCCGTTTGTTCTTTCTATCTATGGTACCGGTCCATCCGAGGCTCAAGGTTCAATCTTCCCCCCAATTATGAGCCGCTACTCATCTTTTTAAGGAGCACGCGCGAATCGCCTACTTCACTGCCCCCTTGGTTCGGTTCATTATTTACAGGGGAGTTTTATGAGGGATCTATGGATAGAACACGCCCGTATAATGAGCGTATTCAAATTCAGATTTCTATTCTCGTCTTAACCCCGAGACAATCCCGCCTGAATTTTGTATTTTTCAGGTCACAAAGTGGACCTCTCCACGATGGTAACAAAGCCCGATACTGATACTTGCGACTCCGCTATGCTCGAGTACAGGGTATGATATCGTGCACGATTTGTCTGGACCTCTCTTCTTTCTTTCAACTTGTCCTATCTTCTACAGGGTAAGCGAACCAGGGCGTATAGAAGTGTCTCCGCTGCGGGCCTCGTGTGGTGGTTGCGACCATCCACTCTTCCACTCTGATCGGTTGGTCCATTCACTAAGGGACGCCCGTGCAGTGCTTGACTTAGCTTGTAAACTCAAGCCCCCGGAACGAGGTCATCAAATCAGGTTAGCCAATTGCCCAATCGTACATCTAGATGCGAGACTTGTTGTCTTCCCAGAAAGGGAATTGCCCGTCATACAACGCAGTGGCAAGCCTCCAAAGCCTCTGGCGCGTGCCGATCCAGGAGGCCCGCGTGATGGTCCCTGGCAGAGCGCATGGTTCTCCAAGATGAGTAATTTTGCCCCTTCCTTATTACATATGATCTTAGATATTCCAAAGTTCTTAGTGTGTGTGTAACGTTTGGTAAGTCAGAATCTGTGCGCACTGTTAATCAAAATAATCCTTCCGGCTCTTCGAGTCGAGACCTCGAACAATACGCCGTCGGACCGCACCTCCAGCTTTTAGATTGACCTACCAAACCCGAGGCCTATTTAGCGCACTTATGGGGCATCCACATAAAGTTCAATACAGAACATAAATTGGGCTTTTTTAGGTCCTTTCTTGATCCCGTATGGCTCCATGGTAGGGGGTGTGGTTTAAAGAAAGACTGATGGCCTCGTGGCGCCCCCAGACTCCACATTCCATAACTATTGAATTTTGTTGCATCTCACTGGACTGATATCACGCCCCCCTTTTCAAGATATCGTTTGCCATGCAGATGCGGGCCTCGATCTTACTTAAAATCTATGAGCGTTAAACTATTGAGAGTTCGTAACCCCATATGAATTGCTATGTTTAGAATTGCCGAACACCCAACCGATTTCAAATGTTAATCAAAATAAAAGGGGGGAGCGTAGCACTCGGCAGATAATAATAGTGTGCAGTGGATCTCGACTCTCAAAAAATCGTTCTCGATCCTAGCACAGACCACTGAATGGTCTGTCATGCAGGTACAAAGTCTCCATCTTGAAGCTAATCATGTACGGAGTCCCTACCACCTGCTATATTTGCATTGTCCTCCGTGAATCAAGAGAAGAAAAGGGGTCAATGGTTGGTAAAAGGCCTCTCCAATTCCTGGTTATCTTGATCTCTTCTCCGTAGGTACGAGTACGAATCCAGTGGGGCACGATCTTCTTTGAAAGCGACATCAAATCACAGTCGAAAAGAAAAAAGAAAAAGAAAAAACTTTACTCCGTATGTATTCCCTACAAAACACCGATTGGTTCATCAATTGAGACCTCAAGCCGTGTGGACCATTTGGCCTGGACTCACATGTGCATGAAAAAGAGATGAGGATCACTGCATTGCAGATCAGGTACGCAAGCAAAGAGTTTGGCTCCTGGATTGACCGACTCGCTTAAGAGACTAGCAACTTTCCAAGATCATCTCTCTGTCAATTTTTTTTCTCTCACAAAAAACCATTCAGGATAAACATTGGGGTTTGGCTTATACCATACGGGAGGTCGTTGTTGCATGCCACCTGCAGCACTCATTGTAATTGTGGTTGATCGGCAACAACACGTCACTCAGGAATACAAATCACGATGATCTTGATCAACGACTGAATCCACTGTTGTCGTCCACGCGTTCTATCCTTCACCACCTACTCTATACAGGTTTGAGCTTGACGACGCTGTTCTCGGCATATGTCATGCCCGGTGACCTGCGGAAGGTCAGGCCTCTCTGATGTAGACTCGGAGCTTTTTTCCTTTCTTGGTCGACGGAGGGTTCCCCGGAAGGATTTCAATTCATGTGCTGCGGTATCATGAGGGATATTTTGTAGCCTTGAACTTGAATACCTTCAAGTTCTGCCTTCAATGGAGCGTCAGCTCCAGTGGCGAAGATTCTTCTGATCTCTAGACATTTTGATCGAGTCTCGAGCCTTGCGTCAGAAGCAGACACAATACTCGTCTAACCTTGGAAGATGACATCGCTGCGAGTCATCATTACTCCGGATGTTCTGCAAGGGTTGATGTAGAACGATGTCACGGTGGCTCCCTTGCGCCTGTGGCTCCGACAGCTAGCGTCAACTGGTGCTTCGTAGAGCCTGATACATTATTTGAGGGAGATGTGGCTGTACACTCGGGAGCCCGGACCTAATTGATCGATCAGGGGTTCAGATTGATCCAGAAGATGCCGAACGTCTCATAAATTCCTCCGGAATTTCCTCCGAAATTTTTGCTGTGCCACACTCAGCCACGACATGTTTCATACAAAGTAGTAAATCTCCCGAATGTAATTGCCATATGGTCCACTGTTTGTGTATATGCAAATGGTGGATTTTCCCAGTAAACAAACATTTCAGGTTTATTTTATTGGATGACTTCATTATTCAGCCACATTTGATGTACCATGGTACCAGGCGAAACATTTGAGAGATCGCCGATTGAGTTGCCTTCACGCGAATGACGATATCGCCTTGTGTCTATACACAATACCACACTTGAATGCTAAGCACACGATTACTATGTGATATAGGCGCAATATTCAAGTTCCTAATGACTTGAATTCACACCGTCTATGTCAACTTTACCGAAGGTCTCTGATAGACCTGCACCGCCCCCAAGAGGGGTTCCCAATACCCCGGTCTCCAGGGATTTCTGATACATCAGCTGAAGGAGATTCGTGTTTATCACTGGTCTACAACTATGTTCTATGCACAGAGCACTTATGTATGCTCGTATTGTTTATCGCCCGATCTCGACCAGCCCCAATAAGCATAATCATACGTGGCTTAATGGGTCGCAAAGATTCCAAAACATAGCGGTCGGGTAGATTCAGGCCGTTAGGATGATGTGAGTTGCGAGACAATATGGTATCCCCTCAAGTGGAGTCCTGTCAAGTTGTGAGTTGGCAATGATGTCGACGCCACCAATATCATCAAGTTGACGGAGGGGTAAGTGGGGGGAGTCCGGAGAAGATAATTTGCGGCTCCAAGGCAACCACATATTGCGCATATTGCGCATCTTGCACATCTTTGTAGGTACTTTTTACCCAGCGAGAAGTAACAAGTCCTGGTGTGGCTAGGTAGAGAGAGATGTGAGTTGAGGGTTATTTGAAAAAGACGAAACCGGGTACCAAGCAAGTGTGATTCAGGGCACAGGAGGATCCATTTGACCCAGTTGATAGGGCCAACGAATAGAGGGGGGGATCTGTGACATGTAAATCCTTTGGGTCCAATGTGATCTGGATTCTCATACGTCCATTCCCCATTGCGTTGCCTGTATGTTCCATGGGTCTGAAATGAGAATTCAATCGCCCCTCTCTTCGAGATCTTTTCGTGAGATCTCACGTTGAATTACGATATATATTAAAAAAAACTTGTAGTCTTCTTGATCACCATGTTTCAGTTGAAGGCGCCTTCTGAAACAGCCCCACCATCGTAGGACCCGATCTTGTCGTCGCCCTGTCCCACTCGGCGGCTGTGTTGCCGTCTATTAATACTCATAAGAGTTGTTAAGCTTCATAATTTCAAGACCATCGTTGGAAGGAAAAGTGTGAATTTTAAACACAAGAGACTCCATTTGTCTTCAAAAGTTGTTTATTTGTTCTTTTGACAGGTGGAACCCCTCAACGTTCCCACGTTGTTTTAATCAATTTTTTTTTCTTAGGCATTTATTTTGCCCCGAGTCACCTGCTTTTCCCCTCTCTTCTCTCCCCTGCTCATTCCACTCGTTTGCGTGTCCCTTTTTAACCATCACACTCGCTATCTTTCTCAGAGGCCATCGTCACTGTGGCTACCCTGGCTGATCCAAACGAGTTGTTCTTGCCTGGAAATAGGCAGAACAATCTCGCTATGTCGTCCGTACCGCTCCTGCGGACCCCGGTCCCTAGCAATCAGCGCAACGGCAGTCCACGAGTTCCGAAGCTCACTCTAGGCATTCCGCCATCCCCCAACGCCAAACCCGTCAATGGCAATGGTGTTCCAGCCATGACAGATCTTCCACAACCTCTACCGGCTCCTTCCCGTCCGGCTCTTCGTCCTGCTTTGCGCTTGGCAACTCCCATGGGCAGCAATCAGAATGCCCCGCACTCCAACTCCGTGCCTAATGGCCGCCCAGCACGTCCATCTCCTCCTACCCTGGCTCTTTCAACTGGAAATCTCGGCGTAAATGGCCAACCGACGTTAAATGGAAATGGTCGCGGAAGTGGCCCGATCTCTGCAAACTCATCGGTCTCCACAGTCGATGTCGCGAGGGGTCTTCGTGAGTCTGGTGGCTCGGATCCTTCATCTGCTATCAGCTCCTTCAACTCCGACAATGAGGGTAGTTCCCAGTTGGAAGGTGAAGATGGTGTGAGCGCACTGACTGTGGACCTTGATCAAATGAGTATTGAGAAAGGTCGTCCCCTCGATGTCGAAGACTTGGACGATAAGGGTTGGCACGCGGCCAGTGAACAAAAGAAGATCATTGAGCTGGGCAGTCTTGGTGAAGGTGCTGGAGGAGCTGTTACTCGGTGTAAGCTAAAGGAAGGAAAGACAGTCTTTGCCTTGAAGGTTAGTTCCCATCTAATCCTAATATTCGTGTCTGTTTCTTATCAATGACTAACATTTTTATCATAGATCATTACAACCGATCCCAACCCTGATGTTAAGAAGCAGATCGTTCGTGAACTCAACTTTAACAAGGACTGCGCTTCCCAACACATCTGTCTTTACTACGGCGCCTTTATGGACAAGACGTCGGGCACAATTTCCATTGCGATGGAATTCTGCGAAGGCGGCAGTCTTGACAGTATCTATAAAGAGGTCAAGAAGCTTGGTGGTCGAACTGGAGAGAAGGTGCTTGGAAAGGTTGCAGAAGGAGTGCTTAATGGCTTGACCTACCTGCACAGCCGAAAGATTATCCACCGAGGTATGAAATCGCATTCTGGTTTCTAATGATGAACGCAATAGGATGAACTAACTTATTTCATAGACATCAAGCCTTCCAATATCCTTCTTTGCCGCAATGGCCAGGTTAAGCTCTGCGATTTTGGTGTCAGTGGCGAGTTCGGCACCAAGGGTGATGCCAACACGTTCATCGGTACCTCTTACTACATGGCCCCAGAACGTATCACCGGTCAATCCTACACTATTACTTCCGACGTGTGGTCCCTAGGTGTCACTTTGCTGGAAGTTGCCCAGCACCGATTCCCTTTCCCTGCCGATGGCACTGAAATGCAGCCTCGTGCAGGATTAATAGACCTCTTGACCTATATTGTCCGCCAGCCCATTCCGAAATTGAAAGACGAGCCAGAAAATCGGATTCGCTGGTCGGATAACTTTAAGTATTTCATTGAGTGCTGGTATGTCTTACGTCTACTCTTCAACTTATCATTTATTTTCTAACCTATCTATCAGTCTCGAGAAAGAACCTCCTCGACGAGCAACTCCTTGGCGGATGCTGGAACATCCTTGGATGCAGGACATGAAGACTAAAAAGGTCAACATGGCGAACTTTATTGCCCAGGTCTGGGGCTGGAAGAATTAAAGCTCAAAAGATTTATCTAATGGCCTGGACTCTGGACTCCCTACATTTTGTTCTTCCGTTTGGACTTTTGAGTATGAGTGGCTGGACCCTGAGAATTGACCTGGCTGTCAACACGACTCAAATCAACGACATCCAAATCCCAAATTTTCCCCAAACGACCTCATTGTTCTCCATTTTTACCTGTTTCACAGTTGGCGTCATCCATTCGGTCATGATGCTTCGTCCCGGGCAGGACCTCGATGAAGCTCACTGTCTTTTTCTGTCATTTTTTCCCTCATACCCTGTCATTGCTTTCATCTCAGCGACATCGACATGAATTTTGATCCGGCTACGTCCAACCGCATACGATCCTTTTTTACGGCCTGATACCTATTTTTGACATTGCATTATCTCAATTCTTTCCCTCTTCTCCTCGATGCTCCCTCCTCCTTGCCCCCCAACCCTCCTTTGACTCATAATCATCTTCCTCCCTCCCTTGTGCTGTTACATTTCGAGCCTGGACATACCATATTGATTATTCTTATCATCATATATTGCCTGTCTTCTTGTTCATTTTGGTTTTTGTTTATGTCTTGTTTTCGTATATAGCTCTTTTCCTCCCTGATTAGGGCGTTGTTAAAGGGACCTTGGGATGTTCTCTTTCCCTTGTCATGGAAATTATCTGGCATTGCTTCTGTAGATGCATCTAGATAATAGGATTCCGGTACATTCAATGTTGTACCTTTTTTTCTCAGTATATGACCTCTTGTAAACACCTACGGCATGGGCTTGAATTAAACCAAACAGCTAATGGGAGTTCTTTTAAGTTCTACCTCAACAGTAAATAGGTCTTTAACTTGAAAATTGCTCTGCGAGTGTTCGCATGCTCTTGGTATATGCTAATAATGAAATTGATGAATATTCGTCATATGTATTCGTCTTGTCAAATTAAGACGGCGCTAATTGATCATCACTATCATAATCTTCACTACATACCAAACTCCAAACCAAAGCTAACCGTGCTGAGAAGAATCAAAAGATTAAACTACCGATTCACAGGCTCAGCACCCAAAACCCACCCAATTCCACTCGCCAATCCTCCAGTTACCATATTACTAACCATATCTCTCTTCCGCACTCGTCCCTCACCCTGCTCATACTCCTCACTCTCGCCTTGTCTAGCAGAAGCAGAGACATTCGCAGAAGCAGAAGAAACTCCAGAAGCAGCTCCCCGCAACGGAAAAGCATTCTTATGTAACGCCATCGCTGCTCCTCTAGCAACCTCAAATAATCCCATCGGCGCCTCATGACCATGCGAATGCGGCATAGCAGCACGGGCTCGAGCACGTCTCGCTGCGCGTTGCTGTGCCGTGTCGAAGGCATCGCGCTCGGAATCTGATGGTCCAAAGCCACCTGGAACAGTGGAAAGATGGTCTGCTTTTGCGTCCCAGGCATCTTCTTCGCTTTGTTCGCGGGCGCGAAGGGATGAGAGTTCTTCATCGCAACGGCGCCAAGCACCGAGGATTTCAGGGAGGGGGTCTGGTGTTGGAGCTAACACTAGGGCTAGAGAAAGAAGTTCCATTCTTTGAGAGAGGTGATTGATTTGTGTTGTGAGGGGGGGTGTTAGGGTTTGGAGTTGTGGTGCGATAGCGGCCGGCGTTGTACACGGCGCGCCAAGATATATCGTCTGGTGTTGAGGGGGGATTTGTGAGGAGTTGAGAGGTGGATGAGGAGTTTGATTTAGGTGCGAGACGTGTCAGGATGTAGGAGTAGGCTGTACCGAAGTCGTTGGAGGTTAGGGCAGAAGAGATGGCGAGAGAGGTGATACGGCGCTCGGCTGTGAGGAGAGCATCATTATTGGAGACTTGGCTTTCATCATTTGATTCGGTGGAGGATGGGTCGATCGTGGTGGGTAATCCTGCGGAAACAAGATTGTGGCCAATGGAGATTAGGTCGTCTAGCTTTGTGTAGCCTTTGAGATTTTGATCGAGGACTTTCTCAACTAGTGAGATGGGGTCATGATGAACACGAATGCTGACTGGCTGGAATGGAACCCCGTGTTGTAAGGTTAATGCATAGAATGACAGAGCATGAGTTGCTGCAATGAGAGCGCGGATCTCCTTCAATGGAGTGGAATCGGGGAAATGCGGCTGGAACGCTTGCAAGCTGTTTGGAAAGTTAGATGATGAATATAGCATGTGCCAGTACATATATGCTTACATATCAAAGGCTCTCTTCATTCCTCCTCGAGTCCGGTTACCGTTACTTGCATTATCGTATGCAGTGAAGATGGCTTCTACCACAGCAGCTTCCACCTGAGTGCGACTAAGTGGCGCCGACTCAGACTGAGTATATAGATCCACAGCTAATTGATATTCTAGGGAAAAGTCAGACCTCAACTCATTAGGCCGAAATTAGCTTTTCTCGTACCTTTCGCCCCAAGAAGCGCTTTCAAAATTTCCGTTTCAACTGCGTCGCGTGATATTTGCCAGAATAGGCCGTGATGAGTAGATGGCTCTTCCCAGCCATTATCAGATTTCTCAGCTTGCCAGTCTCGAAGCCAGAGTAGATCCTGGCGAACTTTTTGCCAATCTTGATATGACTTTGGTTGCTTCACCATCGATGCTACAACGCTTTGCAGCTCCGCCAACTGTATCTCTTGGGTACTGTGAAGGCAGATATTTGCTGCCACTCTGCAAGAAATGATATGTCCAAGACCGGTCAATACACGAAGTGATAGGAGCAGTGCACTGGCAAAGGATATCGAAGAGGGCGATGGGATGGTCAATGGATTCCGCCGCGACATGAGCGCGTTTTGCAGTAATGAAGCCCGGGAACTCGAAGATATCAATTCTGTATCAAAATCCACGGACGGAAGAATATCATTTGAAGACAGATATGAGCATTCTTCAAGGCCAAGAAGCTCGGCGACCCGCGACAGAATCTTAAATGATCCTTCAAGCAAGGTATGAGATGAGTCTGGCTGGGCATAGACCACCGATAAACCAGACTGACCATACCGATCGAGTAATTGTTTCGCGCTTTCTGATGATGAACGTGATGAATGTCCTTCTTTGTCGCCGTACCCGCCCAAATCAACATCGCCGGGTCCAGCCCAATTGACGAAAGCATTGACTACACTATTGTAGTCCACCATGCTACGTGATAATAACCATTCGTTCACGTGCTCCCATCCAACAAGATCAGCAGCTTTGGGTTTTGATTGTCCCTCAAAGAAGGAGATTGAGGTCTGTTCGGCTGCTTCATTCAATCTTCGCCGCTTTGCTCGACTGCTTCCATAAAGCCAGGGGCCAATAAGTCCCCGCAGGTTGGTAACCAGATCCATGTTGTCTTTTTCGGGATCAGACATAGACAGCAAAACATTGACAGCAGTCCGATCATCCATTAACTCCAGTGTATCCAATGATATGATCTCTTCGCGGTTCGGGTAGTATTCATAATTGAGTCGAAGCGCTGGGAGCAAGCTAGAGATGAGCCATGTCCGAATAAACGGCTGTTGTTCGTAGAAGGGAAGGACGAGATTTAGAATAAGCGGTTGGAGAGAGGTTTCTGTGTCAATCAAATTTGCACGATGAATAAGAAACAGAGTCAACGGATCTGACAATTTCTTTTCCTCCTCGTCTTCCCCGTCCTGCTTTAGAGGTCGTAAACGGAGCTTCCGCACACGCCTTCTTGCCTCTTCTTCAGAGATATATTTGACAGCAGAAGTATCGATTTCTCGGTCTTGGGATACGGCCCCAGCCGTACCATTCAGCTCTTGCAGCACTCCAACATATTCCGAGGGTTCTGTACTTTCGGGTAGGAATGTCAAGATGATGCGTAGGAGGCGTTCAATCGGGAAACAGTGGGGGGTATTGCGCTTGCAAGGCGGGGAGGTTGTGTATATCACCACTTGCACATAGATTTGTTGCAAGCAAGATCGCATGTGCATCGGAAAGCCCTTCCAGAGCCATGGCAACCGAGAGGAAGGGGTGTAATAGTCTGGGGATTTAGTAGCAGCATACGTAGCTGGAGGATGCGGGTAATCATGTACGGTAGAGCGCACGGGCCATGTAGGAAACGAAAGGGCAAGCGTCGCATCCGCCAACATCTAACCACCTTCTCCGCTGTCTCTCTGTCCACCCATTTGCCAATTCCTTTCTCAATTACTCGAAAATGGCTTCTGGATTCGGTCTGAACGGCGGTACGTGTTGATATTCCCCCCATCCCCCCTGCGTGGCCACTCCGCGGAGGGCATTGCCGACCGGGTCACATCTTGCGCAGAGCCTCCCCTCCCCCCCCCCCACGAACCTTTTTGGCTGACTTTCTATGACTGTTTTCTAGGTCCCGGCCGCTGCTACGCCTTCTGGCAAGAGGTTCTCGGATGCTACGTTGTCAACTCACCCGAGGGTGAGACTGGAAAGAAGAAGTGCACACCGGCTCTGGACGATTACTACGAGTGCCTCCACCACCGCAAGGAGGTACGTACAACCATTGTTTATGGAGAAATTATCAGACAGAATACCTGGAGGATTACACAGGATATAGCTGACTGGTTACGATAGGCCCTCCGTACCATGAAGATGCAAGCCGCCTACCGCAAGGCCGAGGCTGCTTCCCCTCGTGAGAACGCCCCGAACGCAGAGCAAATCCGCAGCTTGGGTCTGCTCGGAAAGGAAGAGGAAGCTACTACAGTGCTGTCACAACTGTGAAATGGGTACCTTGAAGTAAAGAAAATCGAAGAGCGCGATGTTTCTCTTTTTATTCGATGCGTGTGATTCCTTGCCAGCCTCGGAGCATTTGCCCGGGTGCCTGTGACTGTATAGAAATGCTCAATTTAGTGACCAGTTGGTCCCGTGCTTGAAATGATACTCCAGTTCTATGACAAGTCATGCTCTGTCTTTATTTTGGATGAAGATACTGGTTGAATTCAGGATTGCCATACATAGCCGATCCCCGGGAGCTTGCAGCCGCTGGCACCCTGGGGAGAGGCTTTCGGAGCACATACCTATGCAGGCCTCCACAGCCCCTGTCATAAGTGATGGGGGCCCTTTGATTACTGGCATAGCTCAATTCTCCAGGGCCAGCTCTCAAGTTTGTATTCATAGATACATTATACGTCACCATGGCATCCATGATCTAGAATATTTGGACAAGTCATACATCATTCCAAACTGAGCGGCTAAGTTAATTAAATGGAGTCACTGGTAATTCAGTCTCAATTCAGACATCTGGAACATTGAATGAAGCATATATTAATATACATATGTGATCCATGCCAGTGCCATGTACACCGCACCGCGATCATTCACCTGGGCAAGTTTACACCCGTGGACATGTGCACGTACCTACTACTACCTATAGATACGTGGAAGAACTCTCATTGGGCTGTACCAGTAGTATATAAGCGTCTCTACATAGCTCTATTAAGTCTAACAGTTGCAGATTTATATTCAATTTGATGGATAGGTAAAGAAATACTAGTAACTAGTACGTGATTTTTGTAATTTATTGTGTTCTCACTCGTTGAATTAATGTTTCCAAGGTTCAAGGTGTTAGGTGTAATACTGCGGTCATCCTATCCGAATCTCGATATATAGTTCAAGTTCAAGCTCCCGCAGATTTCCAATCTGTATTCGTCTATTGGTAGAACATAAAATAAACCCCCCCACTGGCATTTGTAATTCCGACATCTGGAGTCAGGATTATGTGCGATTACTATAAGAAGCTCATTTATACAGAACACATCATGATCGTTCCATGAGGAGACCCGGCAACATAGAAATTAACCACATGTGCATTAAGGGTTCACCTACTAACTCAAGCGCTGAACATACTCCGGTTGATCCCTTACGATCATCAGGGGGATCCTTTGGCGTTCTAAGGCCATCTGGCATGTCTTGGCATTTTCTATGTATTCTTGAGGTAAATAAATTTCCTATTATCTTTCAGGGTATGATGAAAAAGAAGGGTCAGAAACCAATAAAATCAATTAAATTCTTTGTTCAAATTTTAAGCCTATAAAAGGAGCCACTATCAGACCAATGGACTGCTGTTAAATCTCTGATCGAACGCGTCGTTCACGTGATCCGTAGAAACCCGGGAGTGGAGGCCCAACCACCACTAAACCAAATACGGACTAGCGCCGCACACCCAAACATGGACCAGCGCGCCAGTCCAGAGCCCCCCAATGATATAAACCCGGCTGCGTGACCTCGAATCTCGCTCTTTGTGTACTGAATCTAATCCTCCCTGGCTGAGTCAGCTCCCGGCTCTCTGGTGTTGGGCGTTGTTTTTATTGCATTTTTTTTGAGACTCAAGTTTCGGAGAGCTCGGTGCGCTCAAATAGCCGCCTGACTCTTCCTTTTTTATTTTCCCTTCACCTGTTTTCTTCAACTAATTCCGGCGGTTGCTGTTCACTCGGCATCAGAGTGACGGCCCGCCATGACTTCCCGGTAAGCTCTTCAACCAATCATGACGCGTCAAACACGTGATACTGACTCCACTTTACAGACTCGACCGCCTGGTCACGTGAGTACCTACATGATCCTACTATATTGGGGTTTATGAATTTGGGGATGATAGTCTCCCTTGTACTAACATTTCTCACTTTACAGTTTACTTGAGACCGGCAGTACCCAGTTAATCCGGAATACAGCAGCACAGCAGTTGGCTGATGTACAGAAACAACATCCCGATGAGCTCTTCAACCTTTTGGGTCGCATTCTGCCATATCTGCGATCCAAATCCTGGGATACCAGAACTGCCGCGGCGCGAGCTATCGGTTTGATCGTTGCAAATGCCGAACTTTTTGACCCCAATGAAGATGACGGCCTGCAGATTAAGTCTGCCGCTGACGATGAAGATGTGGAAATCAAGTCCGAAGTCAAAGGTGAGGAGACTCTCATCTCAGTAGATGACTTCCTTCGCCTTGACATGCTCGATATCGGGTCTATCTTGAAGTACGGAAAGCGACTGCTTGGAAGTGCCGGCAAGGAGTATGAATACTCACTAGCAGCAATGGATCCGGCTGCGCGCCTTCAGCATCAGAAGAAGACACTGATGGGTCGCCTTGGCCTTGCTGGAGAGTACTTCGAAGATGACCTACTTGATGCTATTGAAACCATTCCCAAACTCTCAACCCCTGCTCCGAAGCGAGAATCTACAACATCTCTTATGCGGGACAACAATCTGCCGGATGTGGCATCGGGGCGTATTGCGTCACCGGATGCCAACGCAGACGAATCAGGCCTTAGCAGACGACAATTGAATCAACTCAAACGCAAGAACAAACAAAACGCAAAGATGGGCGCCAACAAAGTTCGTGTGGTGGACTTATCCTCCCGTCGACCCTCGGAAAATGTCTCCACCCCCGTCACTCCTCACCCTATCAAGGCTGAGAACGGCGATGACCAGAATGGGGAAAGCAAGCCTGACTATTTCTCTCTTGAAAGAGCCGCCGACGATGACGACTCCAAGATTGTCGCAGAATTCAAAGGACCAATTGCACCAGAACGACCGATAATCCAGCCTGAATTCGTGGACCAAGGATCCGGGTGGCCTTTGGAATGCATGTGTGAGTTCTTGACTATCGACATCTTTGATTCGAATTGGGAGGTTCGTCATGGTGCTGCAATGGCTCTTCGAGAGGTCATCAGGGTTCAAGGCGCTGCAGCTGGTCGCATGGAAGGCAAGACTCGGGCCGAAAATGATGCATTGAATCGTAAATGGCTGGATGACCTGGCCTGCCGACTGCTTTGTGTTCTAATGCTCGACCGATTTGGCGACTACATCTCCGACAACGTGGTTGCTCCTATTCGTGAAACCGTTGGCCAGACCCTTGGTGCTCTGTTATCTCATCTACCGCCAAAGTCCGTTCGATCGGTATACCGAGCTCTTTACCGGATCATCATGCAAACAGACCTTGGACTTGATCGACCAGTATGGGAAGTTTGCCATGGTGGTATGATTGGTTTACGGTATCTTGTTGCCATTCGAAAGGATCTCCTTATCACGGATTGCGTCATGATGGACGGCGTGCTTGAAGCAGTTATGAAGGGTCTTGCAGACTTCGATGATGATGTGCGTGCCGTTAGTGCTGCTACACTCGTACCAATCGCAGAGGAGTTCGTATCATCACGGGCCGGCAGCCTTGGATCTTTGATGAATATTGTCTGGGATTGTCTGTCTAACTTGCAAGACGACCTCAGTGCTAGTACAGGATCAGTGATGGACCTCCTTGCCAAGCTATGTACTTTCACTCAAGTACTCGATGCCATGAAAGCAAACGCCGCACATGACCCTGACGCCTCATTTGGCAAGCTGGTCCCTCGTCTCTACCCTTTCTTGCGCCATACCATTACGAGTGTTCGTTCGGCAGTTCTTCGAGCTCTTATGACCTTCCTGAAACTCGAAGGAGAGGGCAGTACAGACTGGGTCGACGGCAAAGCCCTGCGTCTGATTTTCCAAAATCTGCTCGTAGAGCGCAACGAAGGTGTTATCAAACTTTCTCTTCAAGTCTGGTCTGAGCTGCTGAAAGCTGCCAAGGGTCATGGATTGTTCAAGAGCGACGTTGAACTTTCCCCATCTGTTGCGCCTCTTGTCACCCTTACACTTGGCGCCTTTGGTGTTCCTCGGAGCCTCATTCCAATCAATGCAACTCTCTTCATCAAACCTTCTGGACTTCCCTTCGCCATTGCCGCTCCACCCCCGGCCAAGGTGTCACCTCCTGCCACTTCTGGTACAGAACCTGCAAAGCCTGGCCGAAGACGCAAGTCGGAAAAGAAGGAAATGCCAGCTCCTTCCACCCACAATGTGGATGGGCATATGTTGTCTGGGGACATCGAACTCGTTGGCACTGACACTATGCTGCGATCAAAGATCTATGCGGCAAGAGCTCTGGGAGAATTGATTTCCGTATGGGATCAGCATGAGCTCCCGAGTCTCTGGTCTACGATCTTGGAAGGTCTCAACATCCCGGCTTCTACATCACAGCTTTCTGCCGCCATGGTCATTGAGGAGTATGCTCGCTTCGCCGGACAGGAGAGCAAGTATGTTTCACTTCTCACTGAGAAGCTCCGCCCAATTATGGAAACCGACCGTCCATCCTGGTACTCCGATATCGCCAGCTACCTCACAGTCGCTCGCGCCCACTGCCATTCATTATTGAGCATTTTCAGAGATCATGCACATGTCCCTCCATCCCGGTTGCCAACTTTGGCTGTCGTTGTGCAGGGTGACCCTGAAGCCGGCCCTAATGCATTCTCACTTGCGGATGCCCAGAAGCTTGTGGGCCCTGACTTCGACCGTTTGAAGAAGAACCTGACGCCCGCACAGCGTATTACTGCTACTCAAGTGTTGACTGATACTCGTGATACCGCGCAAATAGCTGTTGATGACGCCTGTGAAATCAAAGAGCAACGTGATATGCGGGTTTTGGCAGCTGCCGCCGGTGCACTGGTCGCTTTGCGGGACATTCCCAAACGGCCTGGTCATATCATCAAGGGCATGATGGACAGTGTGAAAAAGGAAGAGAATGTTGAAGTTCAACAGCGCTCAGCAACTGCTGTGGCTAGCCTTATCGAACACTACACTTCCGCGACGAAACGTGGACCGGTTGACAAGATCATTGGAAACCTTGTCAAGTATTGCTGTGTTGATACCTCTGAAACTCCCGAGTTCCCCCATAACGCTCAGCTGGAAAAATCAATCTTGTCTTTGCGCAAGGAGGAAGACCGACGAGAACATCCCGATGCTGCCAAGTTTGAACGTGAGGCTAAGGAGGCCCGTATCATGCGTCGTGGTGCCAAGGATGCTCTAGAACAGCTGACCGTCAAATTCGGCGATCAACTTTTAGAAAAGGTGCCAAACCTTGCAACATTGGTCGAGCGACCATTGCAAGACGCTCTGACAGGCGACTTGCCAGAAGACATCACAAACCCCGAGAATGAGCTTGGTCAGGAAGTTGTTGATGGCTTGTCCACTCTCCGTGCCCTCCTCCCTAAGTTTCATTCTGGCCTTTACCCCTGGGTCTTGCGTCTTATGCCTATCATTGCCAAGGCTTTGCAATGCCGCCTGTCAGTGATCCGCTACGCAGCTGCCAAGTGTTTTGCTACGATCTGCAGCGTGATGACCGTGGAAGGCATGACAATGTTGGTGGAGAAGGTTCTTCCGACCATCAATCGCGCCTTGGATGTCCATCATCGCCAGGGTGCCATCGAGTGTATCTACCATCTTATCCACGTTATGGAGGATGGCATTCTTCCCTACGTCATTTTCCTTGTCGTTCCTGTCCTTGGTCGCATGAGTGACTCTGACAATGAAGTTCGTCTGCTGGCAACTACTTCCTTTGCTACATTGGTGAAGCTTGTGCCTCTGGAGGCCGGTATTCCTGACCCTCCCGGCTTCTCTGAAGAGTTGCTCAAGGGCCGTGACCGAGAGAGAAAGTTCATGTCACAGATGCTAGATGTTCGCAAGGTTGAGGAGTTCAAGATTCCCGTTGCAATCAAGGCCGAGCTTCGCCCTTACCAACAAGACGGTGTGAACTGGCTTGCTTTCCTCAACCGATACAACCTTCACGGTATTCTTTGCGATGACATGGGTCTTGGAAAGACACTTCAAACCATTTGCATTGTCGCTAGTGACCATCACATGCGTGCTGAGGAGTTTGCTAAAAGCCAGGCCCCGGACTCTCGCAAGCTTCCCTCCTTGATTATCTGCCCTCCTTCTCTGTCTGGTCACTGGCAGCAAGAGGTCAAGCAGTATGCTCCTTTCCTGAAATGCATCGCCTACGTCGGCCCGCCAGCAGAGCGATCGAGACTGCAACCTCAGCTTGCCACGTCTGATGTGATTGTTACGTCTTACGATGTGTGCAGAAATGACAATGAACTCCTGAACACCATCAACTGGAACTACTGTGTGCTTGACGAGGGTCATTTGATCAAGAACCCGAAAGCCAAGATCACAATTTCTGTCAAGAAGCTGTTGAGCAACCACCGCCTAATTCTTTCAGGTACTCCTATTCAGAACAATGTCCTTGAGCTGTGGTCGCTTTTCGACTTCCTTATGCCTGGATTTCTTGGTACGGAGAAGGTTTTCCTGGACCGGTTTGCCAAGCCAATCGCCGCAAGTCGCTTCAGTAAGTCTTCATCGAAGGAGCAAGAAGCTGGTGCTCTGGCAATTGAAGCCCTGCATAAGCAAGTATTGCCCTTCCTCCTTCGTCGCTTGAAGGAAGAGGTCCTGAACGATCTGCCTCCCAAGATTATTCAGAACTACTACTGTGACCCCAGTGAACTTCAAAAGAAGCTTTTCGAAGACTTCTCAAAGAAAGAACAGAAGGAGCTCCAGGACAAGGTTGGCAGTGCTGATCGTTCCGACAAGGAACACATCTTCCAAGCCCTGCAATACATGCGCCGTCTTTGCAACTCGCCAGCTCTGGTAGTTAAGGATGGCCACAAGCAATACAACGAAGTTCAGACCTATTTGAATGCCAAGCGATCCAACATCCGTGATGTCTCGCATGCACCGAAATTGACTGCACTACGTGACCTGCTGATTGACTGTGGTATTGGTCTTGACAACCCAGCTGAGGGTGAGCTTGATACCGGCGCCAGCTATGTCAGCCCTCACCGTGCCCTTGTCTTCTGTCAAATGAAGGAGATGCTTGACATTGTTCAGAACGACGTGCTTAAGAAATTGTTACCATCCGTTCAATTCTTGCGCTTGGACGGTGGTGTGGAGGCTACTAAGCGTCAAGATATTGTCAATCGTTTCAACACCGACCCAAGTTATGACGTGCTGCTTCTGACCACTAGTGTTGGTGGTCTAGGCCTGAACCTTACAGGAGCAGACACTGTCATCTTCGTCGAGCATGACTGGAACCCACAGAAGGATATCCAGGCTATGGATCGTGCTCACCGAATTGGTCAGAAGAAGGTTGTCAATGTGTACCGCCTGATCACCAGAGGTACTCTGGAAGAGAAGATCTTGAAGTAAGTTTAATTCCCCGAACATGTACAAAATTTGTTAGTAACCTAATGTCCTACAGTTTGCAACGATTCAAGATCGACGTCGCTTCTACAGTGGTCAATCAACAAAACGCCGGACTTGGCACGATGGATACAGATCAACTTCTTGATCTCTTCAATTTGGGCGAAACAGCGGACACAGCAGAAAAACCAGGCGACCAAACTGGCAATGAAGTTGACATGGTCGACATTGATGGTGAAGTTAAGGAGAAGGGAAAGAAGGGCTGGCTGGATGATCTGGGCGAACTTTGGGACGACCGTCAATACCAAGAAGAATATAACCTGGATTCTTTCTTGGAGACAATGAAAAACTGATCCAGTTTGAATCCATATCTGATTCAGCTTGGTTTTCTCTTTCTTCAACTCGTCGCCATGATACCCCTTGTTGCAGCATCTTCGTCATCCAAAAGGACCTTCTCCACGATTTTCATGCCATTTCTCACGTTCTATGCTTCTTTCTCCCTTAAACAGGGCTTCTCGCTTACCAGAGATTAATACTCATTCCCACCATTCCAACCCTGTGGCCTTGCTGTGGCTGATTTTATCCTCCACACTGCCTTTGTTTTTCATACTTCCTTTCTACCCCTTCGTGTATTTTTAGCTTGCCATTTTCGACGATGAACGAGTTTTGTATGTACATAGAAAAAAAAACATCGCTTGCGCAGTCTTTAATTGAACTTTGTACTAGTAATGTAAGCTATAATTAATATTGCTTGACCTCGATGTGTCCCTAGGTCTTGCATCTGATTCTCAACATTGGAAATAGTAGTATGAGCTTCTAAACTTGAAGTTGGATTTTAAGAATAGGCATTTTGACTGAAAATGGATCTTTACCTGAACCAGTGCTACATTATGAGACGACTGGAAGTAACCTTGGGGAATATTAAACAGCATTGGAAATTGTGAAGTCATTATGTCATGTCATAAGCAACGACCTGCATCAAGGGTTTCTTCCCGAATCAACATCAACTACGCAATCGTCGAACCAAATTACAGCCAGACCTGAAGATCAAGGCTCATGAATGGAACAGGCTATCGCGAAATTCATGCATCATCAAGATGAGAAACATAGAAGAAAAAAAAACAGGGAGTCATTCCTCCTAAAGCGAAACAACAACCCCAAGATAAAAACACAGTGAAACACCTCCTCACGCCTAGATTGAATATTGCGCGGCACCGGCGAGCCATAGATGCACACTGAGGCGCTGAAACGAATCCACAATAAGAACATAAACCTGGGAAATCTGATGAAAACAAGAAACCCCATGGCATCAGCTCCATGGGGGAAAAGTGGTAGATACAAAACCCGAAGGTAAAAGAATCCCGGAGCCTGCTAAGAAGCAGAGCCACAGGCAGTGACGAAGTAGAATTAAAAAGAGAAAGACCATGAAGAGCATGAGTTATGAAGAGTTCTGCCAGGGTTATGCATACGCAGCCAGACCAGCCCACATAGAAACCTGAACATCGATTCAGCAATGGCCAAACGCGCCAGGCGTTGTTGTTTTGGGAAAAATCAAATGTTTACGCCCGGTTCTTTGGCTTAGACAGCAAATTCAGACGACTCAGACTCAGCATACCGCGCTTCTTGGCACTTGCATCGGTAGGAGTGGCCATCCGACTAGAGACAGAACGAACAGGAGTCTTGATGGGTCGAGATTTGACCGGGCTTGGAGTAGGCGGATTTTCCTTAAGTCTCTTGGCGTTGCGCTCATCGGACCGGGACTCAACAGGCGGGACATTTTCAGTATTTTCAGCACTTGGAGCTTCATCATCGTCCATATCGTCCCGACGTCTCTTCTTATTGCTGATTCCGTGGGAAATTCCGTGGGTCACCACAGGAAGCTCAGGATAGGCGGTTTCAGAATTGCATGCTGCGGACTTGCGGACATGACGAATAGTGGGAGACTGAGTTGGAGTGGTGCAGTCTTCCTCATCGATGGTAGCTTTAGCCTCTGGTGTGAGGGCAGGGAGGGTTGGATAGACAATGTCGGAGAGATTGGAGCGAGATGGTGTAGTTGGAATCTTGGATCGGGAAGGGGAGGCCTCGGTTAATTGATGACGAGATTTAACGCTGGGAGTGAATTCAACATGTTTCTTCGGCGAGGGTGTCGGAGCAGACTCAGCCACATCAGTCTTTCCGAAGAGCAAATCAGGATTGAAGTCGGGAGCAGCTACGTGAGTCCCGGCAGCAATTTTGGCTGGGTCGCGGGAGAACAATGGCTGACGTTTGCGGAGGATAGACTTGAGGTTGGCCATAGCAGGGATTTTGGTCTTGAACCGCGGGTTGAACTCAGTTCGAGGAGTTCGTGGAGACGCCAGAGCGTGGGTAGAGGGAGAGCGCGCCAAAGAGGGAATCAGAGATGTTTTAGGAGCCTTAAGGCTGAGGGTAGCAGAGGTGGTGCGCGCCATGGAAGCTCGCGTGGGTGTCATCAGAGAGCTTCGGATTGCGGAGCGAGGCCGGGCGCGAGGGCCAGCAGGTTTGGGAGTAGCATGCTCCGGCTTCTTAGCTTCGTGATTGTCAGGCTCGGTGATTGTGACGTCGCTTGCTGAGCTACGCTTGACACGCTTGTTGGTGGTAGTAGGCGTAGTAACGGCTGATCGTTTGGCAGAAGGGGATCGTGATGGGGATGTATTTTGAGGCTCTGGTTCGTCCAGCTGAGCCTTGGACTTGGTACGCTTCAGTGACTTTGTCTCAGGCTGGAAGCGACCCGGAGCAGCCCTAAAGGAGGAAGCGTGACCAGCAATTGAATCCATTTTCTTAAATTCGGCCATATGCACCTCACTGAACCGTCCAGCCTGGCCTCGAGGCTTTGCGATCTTTCGTTCTCCGCGAGTCTCAATGCTCTCCTTTTCCTTGGGGGGGATTCTCCAATGCCATTTTGGCTCTAGCTTGCTTGGCATCTTCACGAACTCTGTCCATCAGTTGCTTCGCTTCATCACTGAGCTGAGACTCTTGTGCAAACTTGAACTCGTATCCAGGTGTACCGAATTGGGTGGGCGCAGGAGAAGGCTTAGACTTGGAGGGTGTGTTTTCAGCAATATTATCCTTCACAGGATTTCCGTCGGCGTCTTTCTTGATAGGATTGAACCCCAAGAGTAGACCAGAGTCGACTTTCTTGGCAGTACTCTGGTGTGCTTTGCTGGGGTGCATCTCTTCCAAAGATGGACGGACAGCGGTTGTGCTTTTCGGAGTTCGGGTCTCATTGTTTTTCTGATGGGAGTATGCGAATGTGGGTTTCTGAGAAGCTTTTTTGGCGACAGGGGTGCGTAAAGGCTGAATGTCATTAGACGTCTCGTCGCGTTCCTCAACAGATTCAAGACGGGTTGGTGCATCTGGCTGCGGGGTAGATTCCTGACTCTAATACAAATAACACAATGTTAGTTTGATCGCTCTCAACAAAAGTGACGTCGATGAGCCCCTCTCTTATCGGGCGTTGCTAGGACACGCACATCGGGAGATGCCGACGCCTGGGTACGCAGACGAGCGGAACGCCGGACCGCCATGGCTGGAAATTGAAGGATTAATCTTTATTCTTCTGGAAGGATTGATGCGGAAGTGGCGAGTCAAAAATTCGAGGGGAATTGTGGGATAGGGTGGAGAAGAAACGGGGAAAGAGTGAGATGATGTTAAGCCTCGGAGAGAAATTTCGAAATCGAAATGTAAACAAACGCCCTGACGCGCTTGACGTCACATGACTAAGCATATATTTCGGATTGATGGGCTTACGGATGCAAGCTACTAAAATAATTATCAAGTTTATATTATCTACCATACCCAACCCTCCTCAATAAATTCCGGTGATTTTCAAGGAATGAAATACAGTTTCAGACTAGCCATCGCCGACGCTGTGATACTCTCTTGTGTATCTTGGCGGCGGTTAACCTGCTTTAGGTGCAGATCATTGATCAACATCCGCGGTTCCCACCTCTTGAGCGCCCACTCTGGGGCGTTTGGAAATACAAGGAACTTTTTGAAACACTTTAACAGACCTGGAAAATCCTTGATATGAAAGCTGCTTATTAACTTGATCTAGATCATACTTAGGTAGATATAGTATAGGTAGGTATAGGCCTCCTTTACTACTCGGGTGCCTGTGGTTTTTCTTCTTCTTCTGCCACTGCCTCCAGGGCTGGAGGGCTGGCATAGTAAACAGAGGGGTAGGAATTGTAGGATCAATTAAGTACAACTACTATACACATGCAGCAGTCAGTTTTCCTTCTCTTCCAGGTAACCCCGTAGGTAACCCTGTAGGTACTTACATACGAAGAAGTGTAGGTCACCAGTCACCTGTATGTAGATTGATACATACTGATTGAGTACTTGAGTATGTGAGCATCGTGCCTGTCTGAGAGGATGTGAGCACACCTGGCCAAGCACTTGAGTGCTGAAGACATACCTTTCCTAATATGCTTACTACGTCACATAACTAAGCATCCATCTCGCCGCCGCCCATGGGGCCACGGGCGCCTAGAGCTAAACCAACATTGGAAGAAAGTCTAGTGGTAACAAAGTGGTCAATGTGAAGATTCACTTTGATGACTGCTCATATGACAGAGTAGGCGTGGTAATTTCCTTTTTCCTACCTACTCTTCTCAATTTCTCTTTCTATTGCCAACATAACCATCAAACATCATGTCTGGCACCGGTTTCTTTCCTCCTCCGCGTTACTCGCTGGGTGCGGTATTTAAATTCCAATATCCAACAGATAGTGAGTGGACCATTACCGCCAAGAAATCCCAGAAGAACCATCAGCTGGGTGAGAAGGATGCCCAAAATCTGGATAATTACTCATATTCGACCGCGACATTCATGGTTAAAAGCAATTTGGATGCACGAGAGGGCTTTATGCGTGTCTATGTCCAGGTTCCGCACGAGGGCCAAGAGTTTTTTCCGCGTGAAGAACGAGCCAAGCAAGCAGCAACTTCATCACATAGGGAGGTTTCGGCGATGAAAGCTTTCCACGCAAAAGAATCGACCATAACACCACAAATTTTTGGTCTTGAAGAAGCTACACAAGACGATGAAGGATTTGTTCCTGGTGGGTATGTCATTCACATGGTCACACAGCGTCTTTCAGGGACCCGACTTGCTGATGACCTTTTGGCTCCCGGGTATGGACACCTGAATACGTTCTTTCAGAAGTTTACTCGGATCCAACGAGATAAAATTCGGGTATGCTTTGATAACGAATTCCTCAAACTTTTGGCCATGGGATGGTTGCCAGATTTTGAGTGGGCTACGCATTTGATATGGAACGAAAGTTTATCAACACTGTAAGTTTCGCTATGGATATAAGGATTAAATTATAACTCACTCATATATAGACATTTTTTTGATTTCCGATGTGCCTACAATCGTAGCGAGGATTATTTGCAGCCTATAGCTCTCAAGACTACAAAATTGGATACCTGGAGCGATTGGGGTCTTGCTACCCCCCTCCCCCGCCTGCTCGGCGTGTTAACGAGGCCGATTCTTCAAAGTGGACACTTTAAGTAGGGATTAACTTACTGGAGCCGAGAGGGGTAGTAATTGGATTATGGCAACTGAAATGGTTGACCAGATAACTCTGTTCCTCCAGGAAAGTGGGGAAGCAACCTCGGGACTTCTTAGTATTGAGGATAGAAATCTATGGCTTTTATGAACGATCTTAAATGAACACCTTTCGCCTGATAAGTTTAGTCTATACCTCCAGGGCTGCCTTGTACCTAGGTACGTATCAAGGTCCCCGGGGCCACTATTGTTGCTACACAGTGACACAGCTTCCTCTAGTACTAGAGCCTGATTGTCTATCCCCTTACGTTCATAAGTAGGTACATATATGGGTACCTACCCTAGTATTTATTACTCCATGGATGGACCTACTACTAGGTAGTACTAGTAGCCTCAGGCTTCAAGTTACAAGATCCTCACTTGAGTGCTTGAATCTCTTTTATATTTACGGTAACATTGGATGAAAGCCTGAGGTACATCGTTTAGCTGATTGATATACTTGATTACTTGGAGGCTTTGATGCATGCACATGTGTATAGGCTCAAGTGCTAAGTCTAAACTTGAATTTGGCGAAGGATGTCCATTTATCCATGGATCATTTTTCGGGTGTTCATTTAACATTGCTCGCTCTTATCAAATTCACTCCATCCTTTAAATGAGCGATTGGTGAATTTGTAGGTCTAACCTAATTTCAAAATTCCTTCAGTTGCCCTTGGATCAGACGGATTCAGGCCTCATCAAGACGATTATCAATCACTGCATCTTCAATACTCGGCGGACCAACATATTTCTTCCTACCCCATACCCAATACCAACCAGTAGCTAACATGATGAATCCAACGAATACAACAGGTGCATAGTTGACTGTCTGTGCAGTAACGGGTATGTAGGAAGGCATACAGAAGAGGGGAACCGCGAGAACACTCCACGCTGTGATTTAAAACCTGTTAGTCCTGGTATGATTTGATTCAATGTGCAGAAATTCAGAGTCTGTCAACTCACCTAAAGCCACAATATTACAAAAGACACCGAATTTTCCAAGATAAAATTCCCCATTCTTGACTTGCCGGCGCCCGCCAAGGAATGAGACAGCAATTGGACAGGCATAGCTCACCGTTAAGGTGATGACACCAACACCGGAGAACGCGTTAAAGGCGGTGCTTGATCCGAAGTAGATAAGCCCGAGAACAATCTCGATCACCATACCTAACATCATGGCATTGAAAGGAATGTTGAGGGTGGGGTTTACTGTTTTCCACTTGTTGGAGTATGGGATACCTCCATCTCTGGCAAAAGCCCATACAGACCGGGATACAGCAGTGGTACACCCAATACCACAAAGCAAGGATAGCACAATAAGTGGAATCAGTAGAACGAAGGCCCCGGCTGAATTTCCGATTGCAGATTTGATGATAGTGGGCACAGGTTGGCCTGACTGAAGGGCGATGAGCTCTGCTGTATCCGGAAGCACGTAGACCAGTGGAATCAGGAATAAAAGACCGGCGAGTGTGTTGAGAATGGTTGTGCCAACGATTGCTTTCGGAACTTGTCGTGACGGTTCTTGGACTTCTTCGCACATACTATGAGTAGCATCGAATCAATCAGCATGGACTAATTTTTCAAGATTGAATTATAGCTTCTCCAAGAAAAAGGATTTGGAAGGAATAATTGACACGCACGATATAACCATTCCTGTTGATGAAGTAGTATAGGCAGCCTGTAAGAGTCCAACACAAAATGACCAACCCACTGGCCAACCTGACTGAGGCTCAAAATTTGTAAACACGTATTCTGCATCATGTCTGCCATTCTTGGCAATGACCAAGACGCAAATCACAATTGCTAAGACACCAGCGAGTGTCCAGAAGATAGCAAAAGTCTGGAAAAGTGTCAGTTAAATTACCAAGCGTTACGTTTGAGACTCGGAGGCCCTTTTGATAGACTTACATCAAGAAGGGGGAGCCACCGATTGCCAAAGGCTGAAACGGCATTGCATAAAAGTGTAATTGCGAGAAAAACAAGAAAGACCTGATAGGATTTCCCCTCAAATATCCCCACTCCTTCTGACGTCTCAAAGACATTGATGCAGGCGATCATGAATTGCGCAGATCCAAAGTTGACAGCGAGGGTGATCATGATATTACCGGCCACATATGACCAGCCACAGATCCAGGCAACAATTCTTCGATATGATGATGGTGAAAGCATAAATGTCTGATAATAAACGCCTCCAGCTGTTGGATACACCGAAGTGATCTCACCAAGAGAGACACTCACACAGAGGATAATCATGGAAACCATCAACCATCCCCAAATTATATTGACAGAGCCTCCACCGAGAAGCGGGTAAATGAATGTGGTTGATAATCCATACGGAATGGATGCGAGAACAAAGGACATAAAGGCAACTTGGAGCGTGGAACGGTTTCTGGTGAGCTCAGGCTCATATCCTAATGCTTCCAGAAGACCGTTCGCTGCTCTCATGTCAGACTGTTCAAGATCAACATCGAACTTGCCATCCTCATCATGAGAATTTTGTTTTGAGGCTGAAACCCCATGTTGAGGGGTTGTCGATGTTTTCTCCATTATCAAATAGGTCAGTAGACCATAAGACTAAAATGATGGAGACACTCTGGAGAGTATTGAATTTGGAATTTTAGAGAGGGAATAAATGAGACGTAACAGCCTTTATAAACAAATTACTGTGTGCCACTGGCCACCTGGATACCAGTAAACAGAGGCGATTGGAGGGTTTATCATGATGATTGCTGGATCTTCTCCTGTAAGACAAGATGCGACGAGTTATCTGGCTCATATCCGCTTTACTAGCGGTAATCATATTTTTCGTATTTTGAATTGGGATATTTGATTATATGATCTGCATTTGCGATGTAAAACATGGGGTAATTGTCTATCATCCTGTTTTGATTGGATTAAACATGATGACGCAGTTTAGTGCGGAGAAACTTGAACCTTGGGAGACTTTGACCATACGATATAATTTGCTGGGTATATTGATAGGATATGAACGAGTATATTCAATTGCTAAGTATAAAATGCACGGTATTTTAATGAAGGTATCTGCTTGATCCCATGGATGGAAAGAGCTTCGGAGAACAGCTTAAACATGCATGTTTTTAGATAACCTATCATCCCACATGAAACATCAATAGTATTGGATAAATCCAGGTGCATCGGAGTCCATATTATGTAGCTGATTGTACTTATTTTCATACCAGTAAAATAGCTTTCTATGGCTGATTGTCTCCGCATCTAATGCGGAGACTGTAATCCCTCCCGTGGTCATCCATACTGTATTTTGGTTGTATCATTCAAGTTGATCACGATCACGCTAATGCACAGCGGCTACGCTAGTCCAGAGGAGGATACGTCCCGGGCGAGTTTATGGATCCAGCTGCTCTCTTTAGTGTAATTAATGGGGCATTTCGGACATACTCCTATCAGTCTGAGGTGTAAATACGCTAGTAATGAATTAAAAAGTGGATTTCGAGTCCATGGGGTAATTGTTTTCCTATCAATGACATGGTTTCGGGGAACTTGGAAATTCCCCCGCACGGAATCTTTGAACCTGAAGCCTCCCGAGGTTCAGCTCTAGTAAATCCTAGGTAGTACTAAAAGTATAGACCTTAAGTCCCTACTATTGGAACTGCGAAAAGGCTCAAAGATAATGGTGGATTCCCATTACCCAACTTGAATCCGATATCAATACGGAAGTGCAGAATTAGGAGATAAGAATTGAATTATTATTACCCCATCATCGTCTCAAGATTATGCTCCAACATTATATCAAGCCAAAACTCCCCAAGACCAGCATCCGCTTTAGCCCAAGTTTCATGCACAATGCGTGACATGCGTTGCAATCGTAATTTTGGAAGAATCAAAGTGAGTTCCGATAACCAAGTGCTGACCTTTCGCCGTGCCTGAGCAATTTCAACATCTAAAGAGCTTAAACAAGCAATGGCATTCGCCGCAGGACCAAAAAGAGATTCGTTTGAAAAGACAAGATCGCTTGAGATGCAAGTAAGAACTACGGGGTGCATACATCTAGTTCCAGATGTCGGTGGAATTTGATCCAAAAGAGATACAATATGGAGTGCCAAGATTTGGCGTGCTTCCTCCACTGACGGTGGTGAAGACTTTGCTCCGAAAAGTAGTGTGAAAAGAACGGAGGGATCTTGACTACAAGCCTTTTCAGCTCGGAGTCGGTCATCAAGAATGCCTGGGTAGACATGATAGATTTGAAGTAAGGCAGTACAGCGATAGGCCTCTGCAAGAGTAATGAAATGAGATGGAGGTGTGTCAGTGTCACCAATATCAACAGGACCACAATATGATGATATTCCAGTAAACAACATCTCTTCTTCAAGTCTTTCAGCTGTTTGGTGTTGGTCAATTTCTTCGACGAGGAAGTTGAAATCGATATTGGTTACATCAAGATCTTCTCCACGGGTGCGATAGGAAATTCGTACAGCTCGAACTAACTTCGCCGTTTGGTAGAACAGACTAATTGATTTGGAGAGTGGCCCTGTCCACGGATGTGGAAGAGCTTGACCATCCACCAAATAGATTGACATCTCTGTATCGGGTCTTTCAAGAACTTTTTCTTCATTCAACAGGAGAGAATCTTCTGCCACAAATGCTGCCATCATATTCCAATACAGCAAACATTGCTGGAACAGTGGGTATTGCTTTGAGAATGTGGATTGAGGATTATGACACATTTGTTGCTGACTCACAAGATAATCCTTAGCCTCCTTGAGGTATTCAAGTCCCAAGTCAGCAGCATTATGCCATGCGGTAGTTAGCCCAATCATCAGAAGGGCGAGGAAGAACTCGTCATCATGATCATCTCGATGCAGTGAGCCTATTCGGGGATTATTCCGAAGACAGGCTATTGCTTGCTGTTGAGTTTGGATGCCAATTGCCCTCATACCTGGGAAATCATTGGCAAGAGAGGCTGCAGCCATGCTTTGAATGGCGTAGTAGATCGCCGCATTTTGACTCCAAAGACGACTGACAATAAGTCGAAATGGATTCAAAGGAGAGTCAAATGATGACCAGGCCTTGCAAACAAAGTCAAAGTAGTATTGCACTAGGATAGCTGGCATGTGAATAAGGAACGAGGGAATTGCTGTATTCGACAGTCGTCGATGGAGACTTGCCAGGCTGTCTGAATGTGATGTAGTTTTAAAAACAGTCCCGCCATGCGATCGGCTGTCTGTTATAGATTTTCCATCTATGGAGGAGTCAATTTCGGGAAGTTGATCGAGTATTGTTGAGTTTGCCTCATTCCAAAGCTCTTGTAGTAGATTGTTGTTATCGTGGCTAGCTTCGACTCCCATTTCAGTGGGATCATTTCCGAGAACAGGCAATGACTCCGATGGCTCTTCTATTGGTGGTGAAGTTTCCTCATCGAGCTCATGATCCCCATCCTGGAAAACATAGCGCCATTCCAGAGGTTTCTTCTGATAACCAGGACATATAAAGCCTTTCCTCAGACACTCCTGACAACTGGGTCTAGATTCATCACATCTTCGCTTGAGACAAGGTTAGCCATGCCGCACTGATGGGTGGACCATACGTTGTTTTCACCTCAACTTACTCGCCGTTCCTTGCATTTCTGACAACCTCCTTTCGATTTGGGCTTGCACCGGTTCGGGTTCTTCTGCCTTTTTTGTCTAGCAGTGGACTGATTTGAGGTTGCGCGTGGCATCTTTGGCTCATCCAAAAAGTGAAAAAGTGATCTGGAGACTTCCGCAATATGGGCAAGAAACACGCCTTATCATTTCTTGAAGGTCTTCAGGTGATCGGGTCGGATATCGCCTCCACCGTCTACCCCGCACATCAATTTCCGGATCGAGAGGAACTTTCAAGTGCTTTCACAAAATGTGGTCCAATGATCTCAAACAGTTATTAAAAAGAAGAAGATTGACCGCAATTCATAAAACGCCACTAGTTACTCAGAAATGACTATAATCCTTGTCGTTCTTGTACCCCCGCATGTTTGATGTCGTGGCATCATCACAACGCCGATCCCCTATCGTGTTGGAGTTCCCAATTAGGTTATGGAACCCGCCGAACAAGCTCCACCAAGCGTTGAGACTAATCCGAAGAAAGAAGATCCACATGAAGTCCCCGAACCATATCTTGAAGAATCTCTCCTGATACGTTGTGCTGGAGATGATATGAACTACTTCACTGATCTACAAGGGATCGCCGAGCAGTATACATCTAGAAGATGTTTATCCGTTGCACTGATTTTGACGGCCATTCGGGGAAATCCTAATATGCCCGTGGCAACGCCTCGCATGAATTCCAATTTGGACCTGAAAGAAAAGACCGATGCTTATCAGGAACCAATGAGATCTTGATGGCTTTTACCAAGTGGCGATAATGCCCTATCACGATACACTGCACAGTGTACAACGGAGCCTAAAGGATACCAATATTTGAAACTAAATTGAAAAGCCTCTTAGACCCCGTGATATTGTCACTTGACCTAGAATCTTTAATCGGGCACATGACCGAGGAATTCGGTTGACACACCGACTCTAAGAGGAACCATCTCGCATACGAGCGAGCACTGATCTACTTTTAGATACAATGTGGATTGATTCAAAGGGATAAAACCAAGCTTAACATATCAATAGCAAGTTATTTTGACTTATGAAGAATCTGCTCAGAACATCCCGACCAGGATTTACTTCCCAGATTTCCTCTAACTGATTCAACGCTGTGGACATGACACCCATTCCGAATATTCCCACAAGGGACTGCAAATAGGATCGAATCAGGATTTTGCAATTATCGCGAGGAGCCATGAGTCCAAAAACAAAGAGTGGCCAAGTCGCTGTGGTGGAGATGGATGAATTTGGAGGCAAGCGAGAAAGAATTGACTCAAGATCTCGAAAAGCACGCTCCACGAGTTCTTCTGTCTTATCACCCGCAAAATGGTAGTCTAAGAGCAAAAGAAGACTATGCTGGTAGAGCTCCGCGCAAAGAACTAGATCTTGTTGCGCACTACGTGGTTGCCATTGTTCGACTTGGGATCTCAAATCACGATAAGTTATGGCAAAGTATCCCTGCGGTAGGCTTGCGGTCTCGTGTGATGCAAAGTCCCACAACAAGGCCGAGACCGTCGGTATATGAAGAAAGAGTTCGTATGCACATCCACACATAGCTCCGGTACCGCGGATAACAGATCCTGGAGCATCCAATAAGCTAGATATGGAGGGCGATATTGTTCTGCCAGTCGTGAAGGTAGCAAGAGAAGCGTTGTACACAAATAAATCTGTAGTTAGTGAAACAATATTGGAACGAGGTCTACTTGAGGTAGAATGCACTAGATGGGTCATCAAATGATGTGCACCATCGAGATGTCTTTGCATTGCCTCTGAATCAATCCCTCTGGTAGCCTTAATACGAATGGGTAAGCTTCGAAGTGAGAACGATAGTGCAAAGCCTACCTCTAAAAGATAAAATATCAAGACAACTAGCAAAATGCGCCAAGCTGCATCATCGCCATTCGTGTCGCTGGATAATGTAGAGAGAGCCACTCTGAGTTGCTTCAGTGCTCGAGTATAACTTGACCATGTCAGGGTTTGTATTTCCTGACCGAGTGAAGGAAGTCGTTGCATCATATGCACGCCAGAAAGAGCCAAAATAGAGTTCATTAGAAGCTCATCATTGTGAGCTGCTGGGAGAATTGTATGTAGAAATGGATTTTGGTTATCTTGTAAACATGTCAAGCGATTGGCTGTATCCTGTAGGTAATGATCAAGAAGCGTCCACGTTTCAGGTGACGAGGCAATTGAGCCAGGAAGCGCAAAGTGATATGGAGTTGGGGGGGATGGTCCTAGCCGGCATATTGGGGTGCAGGCTACCCGATGCGAGGGCCCACTCGTTCAACTGGATTGCTGCTCGAGTGCCCAACCCCTGCAGTCGCGTTGCAAAATTTCCATCCCGTGAGCTTGACCCTGGCCAAATACAGCCAAGATTATTCCGCAAGCAGGCCGTGCATATAGGTTTCTCTTCATCGCATTTCTTTTTTCGACGTCGGCAGGACAAACACCCGGAGCGAGATCGAGCTCCCATATTGAAGGGGCTGGAGGCTGAGGTTTCATGTCATAACGTTTTCTTCTCAGGATATTCCACAGGTCTCGATGAGGAAAAATGAGCTCATTTGCAGAGAATGGGGATTCATGCGTGTATTGACTTGGGACCGTCCACGTGATCGGAAAGTCGTGTTCATCTTAGGGAGAAAAGGCCAAGCCTTCAATTACTCCACTAGGTCTGACAAAAGGGCTCTAAATGTACATTCATTCAATCATGCAGGGGGTTGCAAAGGAGAAGATGTGCCAAAGTCGGTGTGGACATGAACAGGTCGCAACATCCAAGACTAAAAACGGATACGAACTTGAAGTAAACACATGTGATCTGCCATGGTAAATTTTCGAAGAAAATGGGTTCATAGACAGTGGGGTCTGGCGGTGCAGCCTCGAAGTCCTTGAGAAAAGACAATCCAATACCTTTCCCAGTTGGGAGCACTATGCGGAGAAAAAAACAATATAGAGGTGGAAAAAGGGGAGGAGTCCCGGGAGGACAATACCCCAGCGCTCAGGTGACTAAAGTACATATACCAGTTGACTACGATGAGACCCAAACCAAAAATATAGAAATTGAAAATAAATTATAAAATTATCGAATTCATCTTGGAATAACTATGGAGCCTATTTGAAGACTAAGAATCTGGTCTAGACCCTCATTGAAATATTCGATTAGTTTAAATGATTTATCTGTTTATGAACCACCAGGCCCGATCAAGCCTCTACTGGTGTATTCCAAGGGTCATCACTTGAACATTAGAACTGCCGCAATAACTAGTATGACAAAAATCGGTCTAATAATTTCTGGACCAAAATTGATACGCCAAAAACGATTTCATTACCATTGGACCTAAGTTCTCGGGACTAAGTGCCCCGAGAAACCCCGCCGTGCGGATATCTCGATCCGAAAATGCCACGGATTTGCCGCGATTGTGTACCATGGCCATATATACGGGTTTCAAACCACCCCAGTACTGTGACTGACACAAATTGTTTTTCAAAAAATCATTTCGAGGCTGAGCCGGATAGCAAGTTTACGTGCGCTAGAGTCCATAATGCATATTTCCCGTTGCGGTATTCATGGCTTCCATGAGGTTCTCGGCATCGATGCCGATGAGATTCGTTTCTATTGGGCTATTGAGACAGATGTGAAAGGCGAAATTCAACGCGCTTATCAAATTTTACTTTCAACAGACTCTGAATCCCTGGAATCTCAAGATCCCGACAAGTCAAAGCTCGCATGGGACTCTGGTCGGATAGAAGGCAACGCTCAAAGGAACGTTTTGTGCAAATTGCCAGACGGCTTCAAATCAACCTGCAGTTATTTCTGGCGAGTGTGTGTTTGGGATAGTTCCAATAATGTACACCAAAGCTCGATTCAGCACTTTTTCACGGGATACCCACGATCTCGCCTGCTACCGCCCTACAGTATGAATCAAACATACATGCCTCATTCCAGCCTCATTTTCCGGACCTGGTTCGAAAATGAACATGATCGATGGAAGGCAGTTTGGATTGGAGATGGAGGTGACAAGCCTATTTATCTGAGAAAATCATTTCCACTCAAGCGCCGACCGACTCGCGCAATTCTCTTTGCTTCTGGATTAGGACATTTCAACATGACTGTTAACAGCCGTGCAGCTTCCAACCACCGCCTCGATCCTGGCTGGACCAATTACCACCGCAGAGTCCAATTCACATCTTATGATGTAACTGAGCATTTGAATTTGGGAGAAAATGCCCTAGGCGCTCACGTGGGCAATGGCTTTTACGCTGGAGACAAGGGAGAAGATCGCTTCTTCTGGCCCATGTATGAAGACAATACCTATGTTCGATATGGGAACGAGCTTTGCTTATTCTGTGAGCTACACCTCTTTTACAAGGATGGTACAAGTGAGACTATCATTTCGGATCCCACCTGGAGCGTCCGAAAAAGCGCGACAACGTTGGCCAACATCTATGCCTCAGAAACTCATGACCGACGACTTTATCCTCATGGGTGGGATAGCCCCGCCTTTGACAACAGCAGTTGGGCTCCAGCTAAGCCTCTCACCGGACCTAGAGGCCATCTATCTTATCAGACCCAGCCACCTGTTGTGTTGCACGAAACATTCGAGCCTGTGAGAAGATACTCTCCTAAACCAGGAGTGGTCTGCTTTGATCTTGGTCAAAATGCATCCACAATGGTCCAGATTATTGCTGAGGGTGCTTCAGGTTCCGAGATTATTGTTCGATATTCCGAGACTGTTGACGGGGAGGGTCTTGTTCTTATGCCGGATCCTCTTTTCAAGGAGTTCGAAACAGGCGTATTTTCCAGAATTTATCTTGCGGGTGACGGCAAGCCTGAAACATGGGAACCTGACTTCAGTTTCACAAGTGCACGATACATTCAGGTAGAAGGCGTTTCTCTAAACCCAGGCGAAGACCTCCCTGTTATTCATTCTGCCGTGGGGCGTCATATCTCATCGGCTGCTAGAAGACTCGGAACTATGAAGACAGATAAGGAGGATGTGAACTCTCTACTGAACGCTCTGTTTTGGACTTTCAACAGCAACCTCTTCAGCTACCACACCGACTGCCCACAAATCGAGAAATTCGGTTGGTTAGAAGTAACTCATCTTCTGGCGCCTGCAACCCAGTACATTCGTGACATGGAGTCGCTGTATACTAAGATCCTGGACGATATCCTGGACGCACAAGAGCCAAATGGCCTTGTTCCTACTATGGCTCCAGAGATTCGGTATATGTGTGGTCCCCTCCATGACACTATTACCTGGGGATGCGCTTTATGTTTTCTGCCAGATATCCTGCTAAGATATTACGGCTCCACACATTTTATTGCTAAGGCGTATCCTGCGGCTGTGAGGTATATGGAGTACATGTATACTAAAGAGCGCAAGGGAGGACTGATTGAACATGGGCTCGGTGACTGGGGCCGCGATATTGCTTTTGGAAACCATCAAGCCAACATCGAAACGGCTATCTACTATCGCTGTCTTCAATGTGTTGAAATGATGGCTCGTGAGCTTGGAAAGGTGGAAGAAGCACAAAGATTCAATCAGTGGGCGGCGAGAATCTACAATGTCTACAATCAGCACCTCCTCGTGGCGGATGATCCATCCCGTCCTTACGCCTACTACACCTCATTGGATAACTTCCCAGAGCGTGATCGAACCACCATCGCCCAGGCAATGGCCCTGCAATACGGATTGGTTCCGGATGAGCACAAGAAAGATGTCATGGCTGCATTTGTTGATGATGCCTCAGATGGAAAAATCCGCGCCGGAGAGATTGGCTTGCGGTATCTTTGGAATACGTTGGCCGATGCCAGACGTCCCGATCTTGTGCTGCAAATGGCCAGACAGGAAGAGCATCCATCCTATATGCGATTCATTCGTCGTGGAGAAACCACGATTTTGGAGTTTTGGCAGGATGAGTGCCGTAGCAAGTGTCATGACATGCTAGGAACGATATATGAATGGTTCTATTCTGCTGTTTTGGGATTGAAGCCTATCGAGAATGCCTACCGCACTTTTCAGATCGATCCTGCCTACGAAGCAGAGTTTGACTACGTCGAGGGCACTGTGGATTGCCCTTTTGGTTTGATTTCTGTCAAGTTTCAACGAGAAGGCTCCAAGATGACCTTGAACATCCAGGTTCCATTTGGGACTTCCGCGATTGTTAAGCTGCCCCAGGGTGTGACAGAGGCGCAAGTTGCCCGAGAAGGAGAAGTGGCGCAGAAGTTCTCTGGTGATAAGATTCGACTCGACCATGGTCGTTACGAGATTCAGATTTAGAATTATGTTTTAGATAGCACGAGTCTGCGCAAAATGAAGCTTTTCACTTCTTTTTCATCTAAATTGCTAAACCTATACGTATACGACCTAACAGTAGATCTGATCATGAAACATATAACGGAATTTCCGAAGAAAACAAGCTTAATCAATGTAAAACCAGTAAAATGTGATGATCAGCGATTTTCGGAAGTTCCTCACGAGTCCAGTCTTTTTTCACTTTTCTCATCCTCGGGTTATCCGGGTTGGGCTGCAGCTTTTGCGTCTACTAGTAGTACGGAGTATACCTTCGGCAATTGCGAGCTGACACTGAGCCGTGTCACGAGGTGAGCTCACAATCTTGTACATAATATTCAATACCTTACTGCCCCTGATTGGCTACTATCTTGATACTTGAAGCCGATGCCAAGTCCGGCCCCAGGTTTCCGAATCCCTCAAAAATTCGTCCTAGAGGCGACCTCGGGAGCTACCAAGTGTCGTATGCTCATCCGGGATGAGCTATACCGAGAGTCCCATTGCTCCATGATCGCTTCGGGCCCTTTGCTTCAAGTGGGAAACTCAGCTCCCTCTGCCGCAGAAATCAAGAAGAAGTCCCGAGAAGTTCGAGGTTAATGACAAGTCGGAGGACTTCTCCACTCAAATGGCACCATATGCGGGGTATCTTGAGGGCTCTTTCCCGTGGAGAGAGAGATTGCGGGTGATATAGACTGATTTGTCCAGGTGGTTCAGGCCCTGGAAGGATATGTCCTCCAGTCACGGTTCTTCAACTTGAAGCGCTTCCAACTGAAGCTTTTGCTGCCAGATGTCCAACATTTTTGAAGGCTGCAACCCATATATAGGTACAAATGTATGTGTCTACTCGTATAGAAGTCCAGAAATGATCATTAGGAAGATTATTAAGGTAAAAGTTAAATTATTTTAGCATTGATAAATGTGATTAACTGGTTTCCTCTGCCTTATTGAGCAAATGTGATTGGAAAGTTTGTACTCGGGAGAATCATCTCTCCTGACCGATGACAGACTCCTTCGAAATTGATCTCATTAGAGATCTCATGACAACATTTGAATATACTAGTCAACTCCTGCAGCACCACCTAAACCTCTCTCTCAACCTCGGGAGCTGATAGCTTGCGCTCCGTGGCATAGGCTTCCGCGGCACGTCGCTCAGCAACTGTCACATACTTCTTGAACTCCCGTGTAGGCACACGGTTCATGAACAATTCATCCAACTCCTCGTATGTTCGCATACGCGTTTCGGGCACAAGGTACCATGCGCCGGCAATAAAAAATAACATGAAGCCACCGAAAACGAAGCCGATCTTGGCTTTGAGATCGCCATATCCAGGGTTGAACATATATGGTGCAACAAATGACCACATGGTGTTGACAGCGTTAGAAACGATCAGGGAAATTGCCAATGTCTTCGTGCGCAAAGCAGAGGTAGGCACCTCTCCAGCAATGGCGTAAACGTTTGATCCCACGCCAATGTTAAAGACGAAGTTATACATAGTGTAGAAACCGACAGCGGCGGTAATTCCTATGAGTAAGTTAGTAACATTCGAATATCTTTTGTGTCAATTCTTTTATCGATTGGGAGGAACATACCAGCAGTGGTATTCACTGAGCCTGCGATACCCATACAGAGCAATAGAATGGTGAGAGAAATACAGCCTCCAAGGAACATGGGCCGTCGACCGTAGAAATCGCCAATCAGGAATGAGAGTGTAGCACCCGAAATCGAAAGAATCTGAGCGCCAATCTGGATCAGGAACGATTCTCGATCTCCAATTCCCAGGAACTGATACATCAAAGATCCATAGTTTTGCACGAATCCTAATCCCGACATTGGCTCGGCAAGGAAGACAAGGACGGCGATCATAGTTCTGCGAAGATTTGTACCACGGAAGCATTCAGCATAAGTAGCCCTCTTTTGTGTCTCTGCCTCCTCGAGAGTGAGCTTGATACGCTGAAGGTGACCCTCTGCATCGGTGGGCTTGGAGTAGAGACGGTTCAGCACCTTACGGGCCTCTTCGTCCTTATTCACTCGAACAAGATAAACCGGAGACTCAGGCATGAAAAGCTGACCGATGAATCCAATGATAGCAAAGCCCCACTGTGCACAGACGAGAGCCTTCCAAGACCAGTCATTATCCCACTGGGAGGTATAGTAAGACATGATAGCGGAGATGAAAGGCCCAATGCACTGTGATAGGTTACAAAAACCAATGACTGATGCACGGATGGCTAGTGGTGAGATATCGGATACATAGGCCGTGCAAAGGTTCAGGAACACGCCGATGGCTACAAAGTTCATCATCTTGCCACCGAAAAACATGCCAATAGATGTGGTCGCAAACTCGACTCCAACAGAGGCGATGTTGATCGCACAGCCGGCGATCAGAACTGGCTTGGTACCGAAGATGTCTGCCAAGTAGGACGAACCCCAGGCACCCAGAATGGCTGCCGCATTTCCTCCACCGCTGAGAGCTGACTGCCAAGGAGTGGCGATAAAATAGGTTCCGTCAGATTCTTGCTGTCCAAAGCGGCGCTTGAATTCGGCGATACTGATCACTGAACCGGCGGACTGATTCTCGAATCCTCGAATGATCAGGGTCCATAGCATCATGCCAATCCAGAAAAGCAGCCATGGGTCATTGTTCAATGTCTCCCAGTAGCCTCGATTATGTTCCTGTTGCTGGATGGCACGACCGTGGATCTCGTTGTTGTCGATCTCACCGGTGGCTGTTTGTCCCTCCACCCAGTGCTCGTTTTCTTCATTCTTCTTCTCCATGACGAGAGCCTGGCTTCAGTCGATGGGGTTGATGCCGAAAGTTCACGCCGGAAGGCCAGTAGGCTAATATCAAATAATAGAGTAAAGGTTTTGAAGGCTGCTTGGAGGCAGGCAGGTATTTGTGAACAAAAGGAGTTGATCGGCAAGGGGAAATCGCTGTTCTGGTCAATCTCCCTCAAACCGTGATAGAAATAAGGCCTGCGAGCTAAGCTTCCTTTCATATAGTCTCTTAAAACTTGGGGTAACGACTGCGGGGTCTGCCTCGCTCTAATTATCACCGAGCGAGACCACGCGGCTCGAACTTTGTTTGAAAATCATGCGCCTCCATAAGGTGAAGCCCAACATTTGAAGGTGATGAGCTCAATCGGATCTGAATCTAGGCAGGAGTAAGGATTGAAAGAGTTCCCGTAGTCTTAAAAATGACAAGAAATGACATCGGAGCGACCGCTTACCCATCAGGTCTCTGTATTTGTTTCTATTTAGCGATACTCGAGACATTTTCTCCCCGCAAATCTCTCACAAAAACATCAATCCCGGAATGGCACGAGCCGCTTATGGAAAATCCGAGCCAATCACAATCTTCTCCCCACATTTTTGTTTTACTCCACACTCCCCGGTCTCTTTACGCGAGGCGAGCCGAGTACGAAGTACTGTAATTTAAATCTTAAAAACGACGATTAAAGACGCAATTATGATGAGAGTAGCCATCAAATATCTAATTAGAAAGACATCATCAGCGTCGAATGTTTTATACATAGAGAAGGGCACATGGTCACAGGTGTATGAAGATGAGACCAGAAGGCCCGGGGTAACGACCTCGCGGGAGGTGATACACGCCCAGGATCAGGCCATTTACAGATACATCAATACTAGCCCTGGAGTAGTAACACGTATCAAGACCACCCGGCCATTGAGCGAGCAAGGCTATATGGATTACCAATGTGACTTCAACCTCAAGGCTTCGGTTCATTGTAAACCGAAGCTATCAGACCACGGTGGAGGTCAGTACTATGTATTTTGACAGCTCCGACATCTAGGTAGAGTTGAACAATTTGAAAGACCTCGGTTTGAGTACATGTGTGAGTTTGGTCCCAACTTGAAAATCACAACAGGCTCAGATTTTTCAACCTGTTTGCTCTAGTACTATGTTCACGCGAGCCTTCAAGTTGGAAACACTGAACACCCTCAAGGCTGACCGCAAATGTGCATATTCCTACATGTAGTAGCAGCCAAATTTCGGCAACTTCTATCGGCAGTTAGTGATGTCGCCGAATTTCGTAACGGCTATCCGCTACAGACGCGGAATCCAGGCACAGGAAGTAACTAGGCCGTGCAGCTAAAAGCTTGGCTTTCTAGTCTTAGTGGATCTGGGGAGCCATATGTTCTCAGGCTGTTGACCAATCTGGGAGAAAATCTGGGGCATGGTGGCTATACAACTGTGACCTACGGGAACTGGACCCGTTTCTGTAACCGGGAACCTCGTACACAGCACTTGAGTAGAATGCCCAGGTGGGTTTGGTACGGGAACAAGACTCCTGTGGTAAGTAGAGGTACTTTATCAGCGACTTTAGGTGACGGAGAGTCTGAGTTCTTGCGCTTGATTCCTGCCTAGAATAAACCAAAAACCGTCAGAACAAATCCAATAGAAAGGATTCCTTTTTTTTTTCTTAAGCAACACTTCAAATTAATTGATATAACGCAAATTCCAAATCCAAATAATCAAAAATCACCTGCGCAGCTGACATGAAAAAGGGTAGGAAGTAGAAGAACTTTTCTTGCAGGGGTACATGTATCCGCAATCTACCAGATCGCGGGCCGATCCGGTATGTGGGTTTTCTAAGCCCGCTCAGATTGATGATTTTTTGGTCGTCATGGGGTTTTTTTGCTGTATAGCAAGAAATAACCCCGATGACAGAAGTGCAAGGCTAGTATTTGAACTAACAATTTCATCCAATCGACACTTAACTCGATGAATGATTGGAATTTTCAAGGGATGGATATTGTTTTTCTCTGGAATGTGCAGAGTACTCAGTCTATTGGGTGGAAGGACTGGTTATATTGGATTAAATTGCAATTTCTCGTATTTCATGATAATTATTGAAAACTGGAATTCAATGTTGGCTCCTGATAGATATTTTAACTGAAAAGTACGATTCTCAATTATCTACTAGTGTTTAATTGGTATGCATATTTCATCCCAGCTTGGCGCTTAACGCAGGCCTAAGCGGAGGCCCGTGTGCCACTAGCATGGCCAGTAACATTTTTGAAGGCCTGGATTTCATTCGATTCTAGCTCCAGACTACTGCCGGCAGTGATCATAAGGCGGCATCTGCTAAGGTGGCTTGCATTCAAATGTTGTAACTTCACCTGATCAAGATCGGCGTGGTCACACAGATCCGATGCTAAAAGTTCGTACAATTCTTGATCGTGAATCTTCTCAGCCTGAGGTTCTCCACTTGATGGATATAATACATCAAGGTAAAAGCAAACAAAGGTTTTGAGCGCATTCTTAAGAGTGGGTCAACTGTGGAAGTTCCCCGAAAACTACGCGTTTTCCCGTGGAAGTGTGGAGAAAGACACATTTTCTAGCGCTAACAGCGCCATTCAATACTCCACTTACCAATAACAACCTCTCGTGAATTGTACAGAAAAAGCAAGTATATCAAAAGCACCTTGCAATGTCATCTGACATTGTGATCACGGAGATCGGGAAACATCAAGCGGCGAATGAACAAGCTTCATTCTTGAACCTAGATCCAGGAACAGAAAGGAAAAGAGCGGGCCAGGCTGGTCCAGAATCATTGGTTTTGGCTGGAATTTTTGCTTTATCTTGACTGCCATCACCCACTGTTATAAGTCGCCATTTACCAAATTCTTCTCGCAATCTCGCAATATCACAATTGAAAGCTCTCATTCTCAATTATGCCATTTTCACGCTCTCTCACAGTCGTCGGTTGCCATGCAGAAGGTGAAGTCGGTGATGTCATCACTGGCGGCGTGCTCGATGTGCCTGGAAAAACAATGTTCGAAAAGCTCGTTCACATGTCGACCAAGAAAGATCATATCCGTCAACTTCTTCTCAATGAGCCCCGAGGCCGAGCATCGATGAATACAAACCTTGTTCTACCACCCTGCGACCCGAGAGCAGATGCTGGGTTCCTGATCATGGAAAGTGAGGAGTACGCACCAATGTCTGGATCAAACATCATCTGCACAACAACTGTACTTCTGGAAACAGGCATGATCCCCATGAAGGAACCTATCACAGAGGTAGCCCTGGATACCGCTGCGGGACTGGTGCCCGTCACCGCAGAGTGCGAAGGAGGGAAATGCAAAAATGTTGAATTCAACAACGTGCCATCATTTGTCCTCGAGCTTGATTACAAAGTTCAAGTTCCAGGCCTTGGAGAGATATCAGTTGACATCGCTTATGGCGGCATGATGTACGTGTTGGTGGATGCTGGGTCCGTAGGCTTGCAGGTCCACAACCAACAATCTCGTCAATTGGTAGAAATCGGAGAGCGTATTAAGCGGGCTGTTGAAGCTTCCTACACTCCAATTCATCCCGAGAACTCCGGTATCACAGGATTTAGTGTCCTAGCTTTTACAGAGCCTCTCAACTCAGAAGGAGACTGCAAGGTGTCTGTGAATGCTGTGGTAGTTTCTCCGGGAAGATTCGACCGTAGCCCCTGTGGCACTGGAACATCCGCTAGACTAGCAGTGTTGCACGCACGTGGAGAAATCAAGGAAGGAGAAATTTTCAAACATCGAAGTATCTTGGGTACTGAATTTATCAGTCGTATCCGTGGGACCACTCAGGTCGGACCCTACCAGGCTGTTCTCCCCACAGTTAAGGGTCGAGCTTGGATTACAAGCTTCAAACAAGTTGTTCTTGACTCGACAGATCCATTCCCAGAGGGCTTCCGTGTGGGAGACCAATGGCATATGCCACCAAACTAATAGCCTTTTTGTTCAATGGTGCTTCTCGATGATTGATTATAAAAAGTTGTTAGTCAATGAAATGAATCAGCATAAATATCACAATGTTTTGAAAACAACACGGATGATTACCACATGCGCATGTGCATGACTTAATACCTCGTAGGACATTCAAATGTTACAAGACCATTGAAGGAATGTGTCCCATTCGATTTGAAGTATTCGATGATCTTCCACTCTGCTACGTGCCTCGGTGCTAGTACTACATAGTCTGTTTTATTGTACCAAAAAGGTGAATACTTTCGGGATATATTAAGGCTGACATTACATAGGACAGAAAGATATGAAACACTTGGAAAATAAAAATCAACATCTCTGGCATTAAGGAACTTAGACTAAAGTACATGAATCTAAGTTACATGCGATCGTATAGTAAGCGCGCTCAATCTGAATCCGTGAATGTGCATGGTGGGGCATAAATTCTTTCAGGCATCAGTTGGTCATAGGTATCATAGGGAAAAGGGTATCCAAACGTCGTTCTGTCATTCGTTCAATCAAGAGTGAGTCGAGTGTACCTCGACGGGGAACATCTTTCGATATCGTGGACAAGGAGATGGCGTGAGGATCGTATGCAGTATATTGCGTTTCCTGGTCCATCACATCTGACTGCGGAGTAGGATCATACTTTTTGCCGCGCTTGAGGAAGAACCATCTGTAAATAGAAGTCAGGTTAGTCATAATGAGATAGTATTTCAATGATATTGTGAAGGGGGATCTTACAATCCTGCGGCACAGGCTGCGAGGAATGGAATACCAAGTCCAACACACAGTCCAATGATGAGTTTGTTGCTTGTTCCATTAGTCGTGCCATCTAGTACTCCACCCTTACCAGTCGATTTGGCGTTATATTTTGTTGGTGAGCCGGATATTTTATCCAGACTGCGGACGTTGCTACCAAATGCTACAGCGTTTGTGACTGAAGCATAGGTAGCTGCCGGGTACGTTGCCGAGGATCCCGATGCGACAGTCACATTTGCCATCATGGTTTGCTCGTAAGAGGTGGTGTTCTGGCTATTCACAGGACAGTTGACCAGCCCCGATGACTCGCAGCTGACGATGGTATAGGTGGCCGAGGAGGTCACTTGAGTTGTAATGAGATCGGCTCGCTTATCAACCTCTGCCCGAGCTGTGGTAGCAGCGCCTGTTGATGTTGCTGATTTGGAGGAGACACATGTACTGGCCAGAGTGGTGTACCAGACAGGTACAGTTGTGTATGCATTTGGCCCCCATTGATATGAGTCCACTCCGATTGTCGCTCCAGCTGCAGCTCCAACCGCTAAAGTGTACTCGGCGACAGCAGATAATTCGCACTCATCAGTGCTATCAGCGGAGTTGTGGTCGATATCAATGAGGAAGTCGGCAACATAGGCAAATACGTCTGCCTCGACACCAACGCTGAAGCTCAAGTCGTCATCAAAGAATGACTTAGTATCAACTTCGACGCCAACGCTCGCCTTCAGGCTCAAAACCGCCTGGATGGTACCTCCTTCACCTTCAATTGTGATGGGTAGGAATTCGTAAGATCCTCCGGGCCTAAATCAAATAAAGTCTCAGTAACCTGCTTTACCAGAATTTGAGGAAAGGGAAGGGGGAATGTTGAGCTTACACTGAGATCGTTGACAATTCATGATCAAACAACTCCAAGTCAAAAGACAACCCATCATCGAGCTTGAGATGGATACCGGTTCCAACATTGATCTCGGCATCTGCCATCAGGATCAAGTCTACGCTGAATATAGCGCCCACTGTGGCACCCGGAACGGAGAACCCAGCTGCTGTCTCTGAAGTAAACAGGTTCAGAGTGTATGTAGCTCCCTCTGACAACTTAATGTCAAGATCGATGTAGAGCTCCAAGTTGTCAAACTTGAAGTTCACCTCAGCACCTGAAAATTTAGAGCTGGTGTCCTCCAAATTCAGATCATAGTCAATGGATGGCCAAGCTGGGACCCCTTGAAGTGTAGCAATATCTTCAACTGCCTTCTCAGCGTAATCCTTCAGAGTATCAATAAAAGTATCTGTATCATTCTTAAACTCATCATAAATATCCTCTGCAATGGCACTGATGTTGAAATCTCCCTTGAAGGTGAGTTCACCAGTGACGGAGCCGTTAAAGTAACAAGTTGAACAGATAATTTCTATACCCCCAGTGGATTGCCAAGCGTCGGTCACAGAGTCTGTATCTGGGATTTCATCGGGACTATGAAATTTTTGTTAAATTTGTTCAACTTTCGATCCAAGAATCAATGTAGAATTCTCACCTGTCGCCATACAAGACCGCATTGTCCCAACTTTTTGCGAGTGAGGTATCATTCATATGATACACAGTGCTACGGGATTGAAGCACTGCTCTGCGAAAAGCTTGCCCTACTGTGTTGACAGTATCAAAATCTGTCGTTCCAGGAGCATTCCGAGTACTCAGTGCCGCATTGCTAGAGCTAACAGTGACAGACTCAAAGGCACTCGACAAAGAAGCGAGGGATAGAATCCCCGCAGCAATCTGAAGAGGAAAAAGCATGGTTGCAAATACCTGCTAATGGTTCTGCGCCAGTTAATTGAGCTGAATTATAGAAATTTGAAAAATTCAGAAGCGGAGACATCGAACAATTTAAACAGTTATAGAGCCGTGAACCCTGCCCAAGTGCACGTCCTCGTACATGTGTAGGATCCAAATTTACCCACAGTCGGGGCTCAAATCCCATCTGGTCAATGCTCCGGGACAGTGGGGACATGACAGGGGCAGTGTATGCACTAAAATTGGGGCTCAGATAAGTATGCATATATGAATTGAAACGGTTCGTCCAGGTGCCAGGTTTTGTCCAGTGAGCAGCCCTGCGAGTGGAGAATCATGCAGCTCTCCGTTTAAAATTGCACATGCACATGTGGCAGGTGCATAGAGCAAAAGAGGCTGGTAATAGCTGAGAGATGTCTTGGGACATGTAGACTGTTGAATTCAAAGTGTCTTAACTTGTTGAGTCCCACAGGTGGAAGCGAGACTAGAACTTAGGCCTAAGGAATTTGATAGGACAGGTACCAAGAAGGCTGGGAAATCGATGCTTTGACAAAAGAGTTCCTCGTATACGGGGAAATATGGGGCTCTCTCGGACGAATTTGAAATAATCTAAGTAGAAAAGTTCAAATGTTGGGGCCAATGTCTCTACCCCGGGGCGGACCCCGGTGGAGGTCTTCAAGCTCATGTCCTTAATAATTTGAGATAAACTCCGGTACCAAATCTCTGGGATGATGAAATGATCAAAAAATGAAACTAATCATCCAGATGTCCTAGAAGTCTCTGATTAGTTGACGTGCGTTGACTTGTCTGAAATTGGGTTAGTTGTGGATTATTTTTATACAAGTAAGTGCCGAAGGAAGCGGGGGCTGCCGTGATGGGATAAGCGTCATGCGGGTTAAGAGAATTTTGAACCGGGGCCTCTAAAGCGAAATTTGCATTGGGCAAGAATCCCGTAAGATGGTGCGCTATCATGGGGGCCATCTTTCCAGCCTCACTCTTGGAGCGGGATATAAGTATCGTGTAAATTGTGGAAATCGGAGCAAAGCCAAGTTAGGAAAACTTCTCCGTTTTCATCAACTCATCAATGAATGTGAGCCTCTATGTCTAGCCACTAAGAATCTGTGCCTAGAAAGCATAGGTAGCCTTGGGTGCTTCAAAGTAGGAATAGGAGCTTACCAGTATTTCCGTGGGCAGTTCAAAAAGTTGTCCTTCAAGCGTTGAGCCCAGTAATCCATAGTAGTGCTTGAATAGACGGTAACCTTCGAAACCAGCCACTGCATCTATCTTCATGAGTACCATCATCATAAGAACAAATTCAATGCACACAAGCGCAAATGTCCAATCGAACCTGGGACCTTTTTGTTGCTTCTTGATTCTCTATTTTTCCAGTTCAAAAGTCTTTCAAGGTTCAAATTGGATCCGTCAATTCTGTGAAACACTTCTCATCATGCACCTTGAGATACATGCATTTGAATGTGCATATGACACACAATGTACGCGTAGTTAGAGGATTGATCACTTAGCGAATCTTGGAAATATAAGTTTTCAACCTTGGAACCAATCAAAGGATGAAAATAAACTGCATTTGAGATTTTAAGATACTGGACAAAAGCACTGCAGTGTAATGCTGCTAACAATGCAAGCCTCTGGGTCAAGGAAGGTAAGCATTACCAAACATAGAGTCAAACATTCTAAAAAATAAAGGTCGTAAAATATAACGAAGTATTCATGGGTCACCATACTCCGTGGATCACCGTACTCGATGTCTACGACATCGAAGACACGCCCTCATATCGCAGTTTGTGCAAACGAAGACGTAATCCAAAAGGTCCTGACATATCTCGCATTGCGACTCATCTTCGTCGTCACGGTACCATACCCATTGTTCTTCTAGGTGATGGTTGCAGCCAATCTCTTCGTGGTTCAGGAGGTGATCACGGACTTGGTTGTATGCTGCCTGGCGGTCTTCATTTCTGGCATTTGGTGCAACTCTATCATTCATTCGTTGGTGAGCTCGGCGGAAAAGCATCTCCTCATGCCAAACTTCACAGTGGCAGGTTTTCCAAACCAACCCACAAACGTAGCAAAACTCGTAACCGCACCTAACAGACCTTTAGCATGTCTCTTCAGTGGCCGAGTAGATTTTCGCTCAACTTACACACAAGTGATATGGTTACACCCTTGGGCAAGCTCCACCATTCTTCGACATCCAGCACATCGTTGCCATCTCCTTTCCTCTGCCATGTCCAAAACTTGGTCCAAGCCGACCTCCATCGGACAATCGTAACCAGGGTGAGCAAAGGAATGACACGGTTGATGTGTGTGTTGGTTACATTTCGGACAACTTCCATTTTCGTCTTTGATCCTGAAAGGAGGGATGAAAGCTGAGCATGTTTGATCTGCACAGTAAAGCCGGTTGACCGTCATGTATTCAACCGCCTTATCACTAAATGCAACCAGCTCCTCATAATTCAAAACCGAAAGCACCATCATTGGGCGCATCACACCTCGACAACAACGAGGTGGGTACAGCGTCTCATCCCTGGTGGCTGCGAGAAGCAGATTCCGAGTGCACTCATAACAGTAATCGTGACCGCATACTCCACTGAAGGTAATTTCATCACATATTTCAAGACATGATGCACATTTCTTTCTTCTCTGTGGGTCTGAGGATGATGATGGGAATGAGGGACCCTCTCCGCAACCTGGCTGATCTTCTCGTAGTATATGCTTCATGAGGTCCCCCATCATCGCGGAAATTGAATTGTCATTGGCACCAGCCGATGCATCATTGTCGAATCTTCGAAAATGGATGTCATCCTGATTAGTTCGACTCAATGCGCGGGCGTATTCATGGTCACTTTGAGCGAGCGACTCGTCATTTTTCAGAAATTCCAGGATTTCCTGGTCCGTAGAAGTTGCTTTTGTGGTGCTTAGCGCCATTTGTCGATTGCGGATGGAAGTCTGAGCAGCCAAAACATTCTCTCTCATGCAAGCCAGGGCACATTCCAGATCAGTTAGCTGTCCCGAGGTCTGTTTGTCCTTACTTTGCTCCTCAACCTCTGCGAGATCGTCAAGTAGAAGCTTCAAGGCAGAATCCATACTCTGCTTGTCCATCACTGCGCGTTCACGCAGGGTGGATGTGGAAAAGTGGTGGAATGAAAGAAAAGGGATGAAAAGGGGATGGGTGAGGATGGGGGATTGGAAAGAGATAGAAAGAGAGGTGGTGGGAGATGATGAGAGATGGAGAAGGGATGGAGAAGGGAGGATGGATGGGTGGGAGCCTGAGGGGGAAAGTGAGGTTCGTCTAATCTATACACAGAAATGGGACGAGGACTCCTCAAATCTCGAATTCAAATTCATTTCTTCAGCCTCAACTTTTCTTCGCAGTTTCATGGTTCATCTAATCGATTTCTTTTGAACTTTATCTCAATGTAGACAATTATGCAGCAAAATGGGCCCACGTCGATATGGACTGGAAGCAATGACTTTGTTGTCTGTACCAATATGACTTCCAAGGTTACTACCACATGTGCCACGCAGACCAACTCACAGTCCGAATGGGTATGTTTCCTCTTTTCCAACTGGTGTTTTAGGCTGGATGACTTCCAGAGGCTTCACAGCTTCTGTACAATCGAACCAGATATAACCATCGAATTGTTTATGAATCAACGCCTGAGAATAATGAGAGGCTCTTTCTGTCTCAGGACGATATATGACCCCGATGAAACGCTGAAGACGACGCTCTTGCGCCAACACAGCACGGAGAGTAGGGTCAACGCGACCCCTTCGAAGATCGATGAGGAAACTCGGAATCCCAGAATCATGCGCTATTATTTCCCAACTGTCACTTCGCGAAGGACGGACATCCATGATTTGCATATCCTCATCCCATTCATGGGCCGCAGCTACAGTTCCTGTATGGGTACCGCAGCCAAGAATAGCGACATTCTCTCGACTGAATTTCTCACGACATAACTGGCCGATATTGATTTCGCTGCGTCGCATTCCCATGCTCGTATATCGAGCATCACCAACGTGCGAATTATGGGCCCATACAAGAGCTTTGTGGGCTGGAGATGGGCGATGCTGTATCAGACGACAGAGAGTATCGAACATGTGTGTATCTCTCAAGGTCCACGAGCTAGCTGAGCTCCAATACATTGCCTTATAGTACCTCTCAGCATCGCGGACGAGGTAAGCGTTCTGTTTCCCACTCAGGTATTCATCCTCCTCTTGGACATTCTCCGATACATATTCCAATCGTTTCTCCAGGAGGTCTCGCAGAATGGTCATGACTGCAGCTTCACAGTCTTCCATTCCATGCAGCGCAGCCAACCCATATGACGTGGGATCCTCAACCCACGGATCCAAGCACCCATACCGTTTTCGCGCCTCTTTCCCAGCTTCAGGATTCACTTTATCAAGATATTCAATCACGGCTCGAATCGAAGTTCCCATACTATAAAGATCCAGTCCATAGAACCCGACCCGTCGATTTGGTGGGAGATCCTTGTTCCAGTCCCGCATCCACTCCACCAGATCTTGCATTTCACGATTGCGCCACATCCAAGTTGGAAACCGTTTAAACGGCTCGAATCCTTTTGCTGAACCCCCGATTCCCGCTTTCGGTCCAGGACGCATGCGTACATATCGATCGATTGCCTCAGCGTCGGGCCAGTCAGCTTCAACAGCGACCATCGTAAATCCGTGTTCCTGTATGAATCGTTTTGTGATCTCGGTTCGAGCACGGTAAAATTCAGATGTGCCATGGCTGCCGTCACCCAGCAGTACTATATTTCGATCGGCATAACTATCGAAGTGGGCTGCAAAGCTCTCGTCTTCGATTGCTGGAAGTGGCTCTATAGCCCTGTTGAATGCCTCCTGTAGTTCCGTCATGGCTGTTGACAGTCGTCGAATGGAGATCGGTCGCATTCAGGAAACTTGAACGGCTAATGTTTATGAACTAGACATCAGAATTTTGCCAGGCATATTTGAAGTATCTAATTTCATCTACATTATGCCCATACTATTGAAGGGTCTTTGGGAGGTGAAGCTATAATGAGATCACTTCCGTGTAAGCGGCCAGTAATGATGACTTCACGCCGACCCAAGCCCAACCTTAATCCGACGAGCTCCTGGTACTACGAACACACATGATAAAAAAAAATTTTGAGATGATTTAATGTTTTTAACACGGTACTTCAGATGGAAATTAACCCATATCACGTTATATAATTCCAACACCACTTTTCAACTCCATGCGATATCAATCCGTCGTATCGCAAGTGTCACAAATATGGCTCTCCCAATCAGTAGTCCATCTCCTCGACTGGACCGATTTCAACAAGCCATGGAATCAGTGTACGGAAGCTTCAGTTTAATAGACGATCCCAAGAATTGGACTCCACCCTTGAAATCCGGCGGACACCGAGGCCGATATCTATGGACCGATGCATTCGGCGTGATCAACCTGTTAACCATGCACAAAGAGTACTGTCGGGCCGGAGCGCAAAGCACAGATGACGATAGATATGTTCAATTAGCGAGGCGACTTATTGAGACCGTCCATGATGTATTGGGTCGCACAAGAGATGGTACGGCACGATTGCCTGGAGCGACAGAGTCGAATCCTCTCGGTGGAGGGCTGCGAATCGGTAAGACGGATGAGCATGGATCGGACTGTGATGGGCAATACCACCACTATCTCACTGTGTGGATGTTTGCCCTTAATCGGATGGCGTTAGCTACTGGCAATATGGAATATAATCGCCAGGCTGTGGCGCTAGCTTGCGCAATTCATCCCAGGTTCTTCGTGGACCGTGCAGCAGCCCGTCCGCGCATGATTTGGAAGATGTCAATGGATTTATCCGCACCTCTTGTCTCATCCGAAGGGAATTTGGATCCTATTGATGGGTTTGTGGTTTTTCGTATACTTCAGGCGACTGCTATTCATGCAGGAGATGGTGAAGTCTTGACAGAGGAGATTGGTGATTATAAACGAGTTATGGAGCGCAAGGGAGAACATTTTGTTTCCAAGGATACCTTGGATCTGGGCATGACATTATGGACGGCTCATTGGTTTTCTGAACAAGAGAACTGGGCATCGAATCTGGCGAACAGATGCTTTGAACAGCTATGTACGTTTTTCATTTGAGCGTTGCCTTTACTGATAGTCCACTCTAACAAGCACCTTGACAGATGACATTTTCGAGATCAATCGGTACCTTGATCGTAATATCAAATTCCGTCTGGCCTTCCGCGAATATGGTACATGCCTGGGGTGCTACTGCCAATCGCAGCAAACAACCGACAAGGAACGGGCAGTTGACCTCAAGACTTGGGCGGATGCCATCATCACAGCTTGGGATCCATATATGGAACTTTCCATATCCGAAGACTTGACGCCTGAGGACCTGCGACCCATTACTCGCGTGATGTACGCAACAGCTTTGACACCCGGTGGTATGGCACTCCCATGATGATATCCAAATCTGAAGCGCATTTCAGTCGCTAACTTCGTGAAAGCATTCTGTGCGGGATATTTGGGCGCGGAGCCTCCAATTCCCAAGAAATAATTCAAAGGCGAACCATTATTTGAGATTTTGATGGAATACTGAGAGGCATTTGATAGGTATTTCTGAGTATATGAGATGAGTGTATTGTCTAAAAGCAATCAATCTATGTGATGTCCCACTGGAAGAGACAAGAGACAAAAATGCGGTTCGCAAAGGAATGCATTTTTCATACAATATATGCGAAACCAAAACTAGCAAGGACTCACTCAGGCCCCTGGTATGCCAACAATGTCTCTCCAAGCAGGAAGTTTCCTCGGCAGTATGTAAATGGCATATATGGTGCTCATCGCAACAAATAAGCCAGACCACTATAAGTAAATAGATGATTAGCTCCATATTCAAATGAAAACAACTACTAAAAGTGATAAAAACATTTTGATATTGATAGGGCGATGCTTACCTTCTCCAGCCATGTGTGGAACCAAATTGCGGTCATAAAAAGCATCCACCAACCCAAGCCCACAACACCCCAGACCAAGCGTAATGACCATGTGACGGCCAAGCCAGAGCCTTCATCTTGATCGATACTTCGAACAGCATCATGATTAGGATCGCTCGCCTTCCTCTCGCGCGCACAATCCCCTTCAACACGCGAACCGAAGGAGAAGGCTCCCACGCCGATCGCTTCGAAAGCAAGCATTGCTGTTGTCAATACTAACATAAAGACATGTCCACTTATATCATGTCCACCTCTCCAAGCTCCTCCAGCAGCTTTGCAGGTCGTAGCAGACAATAAGGACTCCAGCTTACTAGGCGGGCTCAAATATGGGCTTGCCTTTCCTGTCTGTATCAATATTTCTTGACATTTTCCGCCCGTCATAACAAAGCCCCTATCGATAACCGCGGGCCCGAAAAACCATTGCGTCATCAAGTACCAGACAGTCGTTGCGAGGACATATCGTAAAAAGGCCTGGAGGAACCGTCGAATTCGCGTTTGTTGTTGTGCGGGGAGAGTGAGGAATAGAATCGGTAGGCAGGTTGTGCGAGGAGGAGCGAGGCGAAAGCGACAGTTGTCCACAGCCATCCGATCTTTACAAAGTAGAGATTGAAAATGTTGTTTTTCCGAGCGAAATAGTTGACCGGACTCTCGGAGATATGCAGGTTGGCTGCGAGAGAGGGGGCCAGAGGACTAGCCGGTGAGGTGGATTGAGATCTAGATGATCGAGCGGTTGGCGAGATGGCAGAGAATAATGACCCTAATAGCAATGTCGCAGGGTATACGAGGAGAATAGCCGGGGAGGGAGGAGGTCGAGCGGGCGTGGCCATTGTTAATGATTTGAGAGACCGAAGTCGAACAAGCCTCTCAGGGCCAAATTAGATCGTGAACACAGAGTAGGATTATGAGGGAGTTAAAGCATCCGGATTTTCAGTCTCGGAACATCTCTTGTGGAATTGGAAAGGTTTCAAAGTGGTAAACAGGGAAGGCTAAGGCCGTGACAACGGGAGGATGACATCAACTTCAACTTCGCCGAGGCATTAATATTGGTGCCTCAGGCATAAAAGTCTCATCTTATAGTCATGAGTCAATCCCAGAGTTAGAATGTTTATTTTTAGACGGTTGCGAATTTTAGCATGTTCAAAAAAATTCTAGTGATCTATTCCAGGTGATTTCATATGATTTGTCCAAAAATGAGCCTAGGTCGAGAGGTAATTGGTCGCGTATAACAACACATTATAACGCAGCGATAGATATCGAGAGAAATCGAGAGAAATCGAGAGAAGGAGAGTAGTGATGCGCTACGAGGGATGTACAGACGAAGAATTCGCTCCTGCAATGATCAATCAAACGTTAATGGAGTAAGCTGAGAGATTTGACTAGGACCTCTCTATTTCACTATGTATTCCAAGGTTCTGAGAAGGGTTTTGTGGTAAATATGCCGCTCCTGCTAAGGTACTTCGAAATTAAGAAGCTGTCGACCTAAGTCAGATATCAGCCGCATAATCAGAGAAATCGAAGGTTCCCTGGGCTCCAGAGAAACAAGTTCGCTTCAGCTGCCCGTATACAACCTCGCCGAATCCCACATGCGGCGTAATGTATTAGTAGTAGTAGCTATTGAAGAATTAATCCTTGGTGGCTGGATCACCAGCCCAGGGGTCGAAGTTCAGCGGAGACTCAGAGCTCATGCTGGAATATAATCGTCAAAACTGAACCGTCGAGACGTGTAGCAAGTTCAGCCTCTAGGATTTCATTTTGCTCGTCCATATCATGATGTCTACTCACACTCTGGATGGTGATGCTTATTGTGACATCCTGCATCTTTGGACTGTGATTGTGCTCTTTCCAACTAGAAGGAAGCTAGTAGGCAGCCCTAGAGTGCTTGTCAAAAGTGAGGCCGATCCAAGCGGCGGTCGGACATCTAATATATTGGGGGGTCACATCCAGTAGCTCAAATATTCGCGAGGTCGATGCAGGTGAATACTGGGGGAAATGATTCCGCACGGATTGGATTCAAGTTAGAGAGAGAGTCACGGTATTGTTGAAAAGTATTCGGCAGTCGGAGCAGTGGTGTCCGCCTATGAAATGTGAAGTAAGAGATAGGAAACATTAACCATATTGTAGTACGGAGACGGCTACGGAGTAGAACTGCCCAGGTGATGCATATAGGTAATAATTAGATAGATCGATTTGAGTACTCCGTCCACTCAAATTCTCAGTGTCTCTACCTTGGAATACATGTACGCGTGGACGAAACCAAATAATTTGGTAATGCAAACTTGCAACTGGAACCTTGGAAGCTGCGTTGGGAGTACGTCCCGAGGCCTCGAATCGGCTCTAACTACATCGAGTCTCATCGAAATGCGGCTCGGGTTGATCGTATGCTTCCAATCGGAACACTCTGATCGTTAGTAGGGCTCAATTCTTCAAAATTACTATAGTATACCACTCAGGTGGCACATAGTTTCCTTTTTTAGTTATAATAAAAGTATGCTCCGTACTGAATAGTCACCCACATGATGGATCATCGATCTTAGTAAGGGGTAAGGTATGCATAGTATGTGCTGCCACCAGCAGACATGAACCAGGGCCACTGCGAGCTAACGTTTCAACTTGAAATGTTCCGATATTTCGGTCCATCAAAATGATTTACATGAAAAAAAAGTTCCATTCTGGTATGGATATTCGAATAGTTTATCCTCGATCAGATTATGACCAATGTTTAAATCGTCCCGACTTCCAAATTGCCTCTCCATAGAACCCTGGATTCCACTACACACAACTGGAAAACCTAGTGGTGCCGAATCATTGGAGTGAAATCTGAGTTGGAATGTATGTACCTGACGGCTGCACACTCTCTTTTTTGTTCAACCCATAGTTTCTTTTCCGAGGCGCCGGACCCACCTTTGGAAGGTGCTAAGGGAGGGGATAATAACTCGCATAAATGGATAGATCCCACTAGTGACATTGTTGAGCACCCAAGCTAGGGCCATGGAGGGGTACATACGGTAGCGAATAAGGCTTGTGCCGCATGAGGACCCATTCCCCACCGCGCCAGCCCTGGAGTGGAAACACAATTCCATTATGCATGAAATTAATGTGACTAGCTATCGACCGAAGTTCGGATTTAAAAAATGATGTGCTAGTGTCATTTTTGTCATTTTCTGTGTGCATCCATGCTGTAATAGACTCCATGGCTTGAATTAATCCCCACTAAGCTTTTGGTAGCGTTAACTTGAAGTCAACAAGTGCACTGGCATCCCTGACAGGTATATCGGCGGTTAGATCTAAATCCTGTCTACTTTATTGGAGATTCATGTTGAAATTCGCCACACATACATTTTCCGAGACGAGGATCTTTTGCAGAATTATTCAGAATTGTTCATATCCCGGAACAATGCAGAAAACAAATCTCCTTCGCACACAGGCCACTAAAGTGGACACATTAGTTGCTCATCTCCACGATAGTTCGGGATTCGAGCGCGACTCATCTCCGCTTTTAGTGGCCATGACCCAGATTGTCGGGTTTACATTCGCATCCACCTGGAGTACATACAATACGGATGAGACGAAAACCACACCGTATCTCGAGAGAATATAGAGAGATTTGGGCTGATCCTCATTTTGCGAGATCAGGCTGACTTGCACCATCATCCAGGCATCTCTTATCTAATGTTCATTTTTTTTGGTCACGGTACGCCTAAGGAAGTGATTCCAAGGTTGTATCAAGCGCACTCAGGCACGAAAAAAATTATGTACATGTTCACTAGCTTAGCGCTATGGGCGACCCGAATTCCACACTGGCACTGGAGCGACCGACATTAGCATTGCTCAATGCTACTAATCAATCAATCATTGATTGTTATGAAACTCAATGAGCAGCTTCAGGCTAAAATGGAGAATAGACAGCGGATCCGTAACATTTTGAATAGTAAAACAAGGCATCGCACACTTTCCGTTGCTTCGACCCACTACGGGTGGTGATTGGGTCAAAATTCGCCCCTTTTTTTTGCATCTGCGGATCTGAATACGGTATTCAACTAATCATGTTTAGATGGATAATTATGCCTTTCCCTCCTTCCTAGAAGATGAATGTCGATGGAGAGAGCCTGACCCGCCAGACTGGTACCGCGGCGGAATTTTTGTGGTAGGACCACTTAGTCGGGGATGGTAATAACAATACACCTTAAATACACATAAATACACTCCAGTGGATTGAATAGCACTGGACCCGACATTCTGGTTCACCAAACTGTTTTTAAGCTGGAGTGGAGGGGTCATAAAGACTGAAGTCGGTGTGGCTATTCTACGATTTTACAGTTTCTCTTTCCCCTTTCAAATATCATAGAATCCTTGCTCTTTTTGAAGTATCCCTGTGACTTCCAAGGTTGGCACGTTTCACCAGTTGACATCGGAAGATCGGAGATGTGCACCAGTATGGCAACTGGCTCTACTCACATTGAACCTGATGTTAGTCTCAATTATTTCACTGTATAAACTCCCCTCAATTAACCTATAAATAGATATCAGATGCAGATTCGTCATATCCCAGCTCGTAAGTATGGTTAAAGTCAACATCGCGACGCCCTTGCTGACCAGTTGACGCCATTTAAAGAGAGGGGGCCTATACCAAGAGCGTGACTTCGAGTGCTTTAAATTACAGGTATATTTAATCAGAGACTTTATAAATCATGTCCTCTTGATTTGCAATTGCTAATTGTGATAGATATGAGGTATACATACCCGCTATGTCGCGTGATCTCTATGGTCACTCCTCACTACTAGTACTTACTAGTATTATCTAGAACGGCCGGAGGTATCATTCATACCACGAAGGAGAATATGTTCTTGTGAGTCTTTGATTCTAGTCGATCTCGACATCATCATTTGCATCTAACCTTCTTTTGGTCTAGCCCAATGATGAGCAAGAACAAGAGCGTCTTGATCTGGTTTAGTATACCACACTCTCGGTGTCACCCCTGGGCAACAGTTCTAACTAGTAGTATGCACAGAGCCATCATATTTATCTCTTGCTATTAGGTGGAGAATTGTTTAAAGCGCCCATTCAAGAACCCAGAAGAATTCTAGACCTGGGTACGGGCACAGGTCTATGGGCAATGGATTTCGCAGAGTAAGCATCGCCTTCATGTCAACTCCCGAGGTCCAAGTCTCAGTACTAATAAGACTCAAGTGAGCATCCTGAAACAGAAGTTATCGGTATGTCATCCAGGCTGTTCTTTCCCTCCAGATTTTGGGGTTCTTTCTCTCCGTAACGAAAACTAAACCTCTGCAGGAATTGATCTCAGTCCTATCCAGCCTTCATGGTAAATGCCCAGACTACGCACATCTCTATATCATGACCTTCAAGACTAATGTGAATCTCAGGGTCCCGCCAAACTGTCGTTTTGAAGTCGATGATTTTGAACAGCCATGGGCGTACGGTCAGCCATTCGACTATATCCATGGACGCGAACTCGAAGGATCAATTCGTGATCACGACAACCTCTTCCAGCAAACATTTGACAACTTGAGCCCGGGTGGGTGGTTTGAAATGGCGACCATTGCTGTCGATACCAATTCAGACGACGGCACACACCTGAAAGCGACGTATTTACTTGAAAGCGTGAAGAACATGCATGCGGCATCAAAAAGCTTCGGGAAAGACATGACATCCGTATGTACGTGGAAAGAGCGATATGAAAAAATCGGATTCGTCAACATAAAAGAGGATATTGTCAAGGTAATTTGCCTTTAATTCTGGAGAAACTGACTCGTGCTGACATTTGAACTTGTTCTAGCTCCCCCAAAGTCCGTGGGCTAAAGATCCCAAATTGAAAGAGCTCGGGCGATATCATCAGCTCAATATGCTCGAAGCTATGCCCCCTTACACCTTCGCACTATTCACCCGCCAACTTGATTGGAAACGCGCAGAGATAGAGGTTCTGGTTGCTGGTGTGCGGCGCGAACTGAAAGACCTATCCAATCATCTTTACACAAAAGTTTATACGGTATACGGACAAAAGCCGTCATGATTTATGGGTTTGAGAGATGTAATAAATTTAATGACTACCATTGATGATTGAACGAATACACATAGACAAATTTTGACAGTTGACTCAAAAAAATGAAAAGATCGGACCAGTTCATCGTAGTATCGAATTCTCTATGTTGAACCGCGATTCTCATGCTCATCGCTAAATGAATGACAGGGTATATCTAAACAAACTGACAAGTAAAACATCATGATAAAATCAACAACCCATTTGAACTCATTGAATCCGATTATTTTCCATCTCAGACACGATCTGAGCCAATGACTCCGTTTGCTGGATCTGAATATCGTTCTTTGTCTTTTCCCGCTCCGTCGATTCATTCATCACTCTGTTCTCGTGACTTGACTCTTCACCCGCATCATTCCTTTCCACCTGTTCAGCCGATAGATCATGTGAACGCTTCGTCACATAAAATTTCGGTACTGGCTGTATGGGCTTCCGCCTGATATGGAACGCATTTCCAGGTAACTCGGCGATAAAGGTTTTCTTGGAGGACAGAGTTGTCGAGTCAACAGGGAGCTCAACGATCGTTGGCAGAGAAGTCATGACTTCATCATCGACTGCAAGCTCTGCAAATGGCTTCATTTGCACTTCCTCGTCGACTGAAAGTTCCGCAAACGGGTTTGCCATGGGTGTCTGGACAGGGAGCGGCGGAAACTGTTTCTCTTCGCGTGGTGATGGCTCCTTGAGAATGGCTACCTTCTGAAGATGACCAAGCACCTTTTCTAACCGACCTTGATACAGAACAAGACGAGGGTATTTGTCTCCGGCAATTTGACAATCTTGTGTTCTCCAACGCTTTCGACTTGATCTGTTCAGCTTTCCTTTACGCTTCTTCACACTCAACACAGCGCGATATGACTCGAGAATTTTTTGTATCTCTCCCAGTGATTCTTCGGTATCCGTCATTGTCGTATTGCTCCAATTATGCTCAACATCGCCCAGCTGAGCTGATTTTTGGTCTCTCAAACTTTTGGCTTGTTTCAAATCGGCGTCAATTTTATCCGCCAACTCAATCAGCTCTTTCACTTGCTGGTCTGCCACTTTCTTCTTCTTCTTTTTCATGTCGAAGTCGAGTGGAGGTTTATTTGGGGCTGTTGAGCTGATATCTGATACAGACGGCGCTGACTTTTGTGGTGGTGATACAGGCGAGTCTACTGATGATGCTGATTGCTCCGATCTGGAAAGTGATGCCAGTCTGGATACTGACGATGATTTGGATGTCGTCCGCGATTGCAAAGTGCTCAATGATCCAACAGAGTCAGGAGATTGCGGATAGGGATAAGAGTTTCGTGGACTCTGTGTTGCTGGCGGTTGAGGTGTTTCGAACGTTTTAGATCCAACAGAGTCACGAGATTGTGGATAAGGATAAGAGTTTCGCGAAGGCTGTGTGGCTAGCGGTTGAGATGTTTCAAAAGTTTTGGTCGTCGTCGAAGCTGACCGTTTTCGATCTTCGGTGGGCTTGGTCTCGCTGGTCTCGCTGGCCATGATGGCTAGCTTGTTCGCCTGGTCTGCCGATTGGGCTAACGTGTTTGTAGACCGCTTTAATTGATCTGTCGCGGATGCAATTTGACGGTTCTTTGAGCTCGAAAATGAATCTGCGGACCGAAGCCAAGTTTCCATTGTGAGTCTATGAGCTCTTTTGAGTTATGGCACAGAGCTGTGGACCTACACCTTATTTTGCTTGCCGACTCCTATTATTTAGTGGACTGTTTGCATAAGTTCGCCGGTCGGGTTTGCGAATCAGTTGATGCCGTTCTAATTTGCACAACCTTGCTCTTGATAGATGCAATGGCAAAAACAATGACAACGATAATGACGATGAATCTGTGGTTGGAGCGAGAAAAGGAGAAGCCGGCTGTAGAGGCTTAAGATCAAGGAATTTCTCGGCGCCCCAATACGGGCGGCCCCCGTTATAACCAAAGCGGGGGTTTGAGGTCGCCGATCGGCTGAACAAGTTATTTGCGCGATTTGGCCATTTCAAGTTCTCTAAGTGCGTCTCTTTGTTTGGGAAGACTGAGCTAATGCACTGTTATGGGGGCTCGGGCCTTACGAGGCGATATCACCGTACCTTAGCGCGAAACACAGCGATAGTCTCAGGAATTAGATTCAGAAATCTGATGGGCCAAGCAAGATCCGATCCTTGTCAAGAACTACATTAGATTGGGGCCAAATGCAATTCCAGGCCTTGCCGGTGTGATACCATTGGCCTTGTAGGAATTCGACGGTCAAGCAAATACATCATCCCGCTGCTTGTCTCCGCAATTCCTATTTTTACCTTACTGGATGTGGAATACAATGCGGCCGTTCAAAGATGGTTAGCATTTATAGGGAGACCAGATTGAATTCCAGATTAAGCATTTGAGTGTGATGAGCAAAATGCTTAAAAGAAATATGCAATCCAAATAGGGCATTCGAATGGTTCATTCTATCCTGATACCTAGTAGTGGTGTATTATTTTTGAGCCCCCGGAGGACCCTGGGAATGAACTTGAACTGCTCATATGCACATGTGCATCACCTGGACAAGGCTGGAGACGATTTTTCCCATACAAAAGTACGGTTCAATACCAGGTTTATGTCTTCCAATCCAGATCCGGTTAACCCAAGGCTGAATATTCCGTTTTGCAAGCATCTAGGTACCCTTGTACGGCTTTCGTGGACAATTTCATCCGCACAGCTATCAGTTTCCGGTACTATCGTTCAAGTTCCCCTTGGGGTTACGGTTCACTCCAAGTAAGATACTCAAGTAAGTGCCTGCATAGTACAAGCGTGGTGAAACGACAAGCAAATATAATATTCTCAATCAGGAAATAGCTCAGGTTCGACAAATCTATGGAGTCAACTTCAAAAAATGCTGGTGATCAATTTCAATAAACGCAAAAATTGACTTGTGGCTAAGCAATATAGAGAAATATTGACTTCAATATTGGCCCCCACGAGTACGCGCGGCGGGAGGTGGGGTCAGCCTACAGCCCTGCCTAGGTGGAGGGCTTGTCTTACAGCTTTGACTCTGGTGGAATATCCACTTTCACGTCTTGTACCAACCGAACAACACCCTTCATGAAGTTGATTAGTTGAGTAATCATTCAAGTTGATTGATATATGAGGCTCCAGGATTGAGGGACCTACCTCTTGCACACATGTAGCAAGTAATATGCCACTTTGAGTCCACCAACTCTGAGCAACCAAGCCTCGTCCCTCTCCAGCCCATGGAGAAGACATCTCAGAAAGCATCCACTCATCGGCCCGAAAAGAGTGATGGTGGAAGTAAATTGAATGAGACAGACTGACCATCATCCCTATCTGTTCATTCATGCCGGGAGTGTATTTAAAGTCTGCTAACTCCTGTTCTGCCAATCCCTGGAGATGTCGCTTTGCTATTTTACTTTCGTCGTCATGTCCAAGTCCTAAATTTTGAATCAACTCAATAGATTGAGAAGAGGAAAATCGAGGAACGTGCTGAGCGCGAGCAACTGTTCCGATGAAAAAGTTATCTGACATGTAAGCCAATGCACACGAGTGCATTGAATCGCCTTCTGGTGCCGAAATTTGGCCTCGTGCCTGCATCCACTGAAGGAACTTCCGATTCTCAGGTCTACAGTGTGGCTCTAGTTATATCATGTTAGTGGTCTTGTTCATAAAAGTTGATGTTTTTTGATACATTATCGTCAGTCAGGGGGTAAATACCAAATGCTTGTTCAATTCGTTTCGTCTGGAATGGCCGGTCTGTATCCCACTCCCCCTTACTGTGAGACTCGGAGCTTATTGGTGGAAGAGGAATATGAGGCTTTGGTGTAAAATGAGAAAGCACATCTGTTTGGATCTGTGTAGCCCGAAGGAAGCTTATTGACGCCTTGAAAATGGGACTTTCTTCTTGTTTCGCGTGCACGGTTTCTGTGACTCGGTCGCTAGTATCGTCCATAACTTCGACTTCATATATGATAGGAATCCCGGCTCTGCCTGCATTGATAAACAAGCAATGCATACTATGAACTGTGAACCCGGAAGATACCATCTTCTGGCCTGCAGCCAAGCTTTGTGCTATTAAGATACCCCCGTAGACACCACGGGCCCCAGGTGGATTCCAAAGAGGATTCGCATTGGTGAATTGACCCTATTCCATGAATTCATTCATCAGTCTCGGGGTTTGAGGGGAAATGCTATCCTTTCGTTTGCACTTACTCGTGTCGCGCCGGCAAGCGGGGTAACCTCAATGGTGCTTTCAAGGGGGGATCCCATGATTCTAGTCTTCCTTTCTGTTTTTGCCTGAGTATTTTAAGACGAATGACTTTATGATCGCATGTGGCAGCTTGTGTCACTTGCAGATAGAGCTCTTCTATTCTTTGTTTGTTTGAATTGGAGATTAACCTAAGCCGAGGCTCATCGTTAGTGCCAATAAGCACTGCCGACCGAACAACATCCGCCCGGTTGCAAATGAGCCACAGGATCAACAAGTTTGCAGACTTGAAGATATTGCTCTAGTACAGTAATTTTCGAAATCAGTTATACCGCTACACTCCTATCCATGGATGACTTCTTTCCCGGAGAATAAATCCGGATTATAGTCCACTTTAGGATACCGCTTTATAACAATGGCAGAATTGAAATGGTAACACCCGTACTGCGCAGGGGTATACATAGGTGCCACCGCACCTGGGTAGGGGTTCACATCGGATGATTTACAACTTCGGTACAATTTCGGCCTGGATTGCTGCCTGATCTATACACAGCCCTGGCTACCGCTCTTACAGTAATCTGTATTGGACATGCCCACCACTTCATTCAATCTCCGGGGCTATTCCACACGCCGACAAGATCAACTACCGTGACCTCAAGACCTGAAGAATTCTCCAGATCTCGACAGCCCGATTTAAAAAAAAACTTTAATCCAGAAATTAATCATCTTATCTTCAAAGCCCTGTATTCTCACGTCAATACTAGCCTGGAGCGACGACAGCATTATACCCTGTATAGCCCCTGGAGGAGTTGGCGGTCTAGCCTAGACCAATGCTATTTGGGTGCCTCAGGTGTACATCATAAACATGGATGGTACCTAGGGCTTATGATTTTAAATACCGTTATTGTATTTCTGTTTTAGAAGTTTTCTGCCTGTCTAAATTCAGGTATGAGAATGAAAAATAAGGCATCAATTCCGACAAAGGTGGTAAATTATACGATGTGAACCCCTGGCACCTATACCCCTGCGCACCCGTACCCTACCTAGGTATTAACCTTGGAATGTGTCATCGTAATAGCACTGTAATTCTCATGGAATCAGTCCTGGTGATATGGGATGATCGCTGGCCTACTCTCGTACTCTTCCGTTCGGCATCGAGGTCTTTGTACTACGCTACGAGTTATAGTACCCAGGTCTATGCTTATAGTGGCACTTGAGCTTTTTCTCAGCCCGCATCCAAACCGACCCAGACTGTACTAAAGACAGCTGCAAATGGCGAGTTGTATTTCTATCGCCTCCTTCGTCAATCGTAATGCTAACTATAGATTGATATAAGCTCCCGTAGAGTTCCGTCTCTTCCTTCTACCATCCAACCACAGCATCTCATATCGCCATTTCATCAAGGAACAAGATGTCCCTCACCCAAGCCCATCCTGTTGTCGATGTTATTTGGTGGACGGATTCCGATCTTTACGTCAAATGCCCCTATTGCGAGGAACTCCATCGCCATGGGTTTACCTCATACGAAAGTGCCCTGCGTGTACCACATTGTGGCTTACCTCGACCTTCATATCGGTACAAATTTCCTGTTGCCTATGAGATTGATAAAACTCGAGCACGGTATATCAATATCAACGCTCTTGAAGAATTCGCCAGTGAGGCCCAGTATGATTCGGAAAATGAGACATTTTTGTCTGATCAATTATCCAACATGAATTTATCGGTGATGTCAAGTGGGTTCAACAATCGCGAGATCAGTTTCGACGATTCCACGGAGAGATTCATCATCCCACTAGAAGGGAAAGAGCCCTTCGAGGGACGGCGCATACTTTTCACTATATCGAATTGTATCAATGGCGAAATATCCAAAGTGAGAAATTACGTTCAAGAATCAGCCGACAAATCTATTTTCCTTCATGGGCGACATTATCACGGAGATACATGTCTCATTATGGCTTCTCGAGAGAAAACATCAGCCATGGTCTCCCTGCTTCTTGAATTTGGCGCTGAAGTTAATGCAATGAACAAGAACGGGCGGACTGCGCTTATGGAGGCATGCCTTTGGGGTGGACTGGAGTCCGTAAAGATACTTCTTTCTAGGGGCGCCGATCGATCATTGCGTGATAGCAGAAATCAACGAGCCCTAAATCTTACTGAACCAACTCGCAAGAACCACAAAGAATAATACACGGTTGGGGGCGGGATCTGGGGCGATCCGTCAAGAGAGCCAATATACAAGGAAGATGTCTTCAGCCGAGATATTGATCGACGAGAGATTGCACGCATCCTCCACGGGGTAAATCCATACACCAAGGCAGATCTCGTGCCACAACATTCTGAAACAGCTCATCACTCCTTCAGAAGGTCACCCACTGGCCAATCAGTCACTCTGTATGGTCCAATTCAACAGTATTCCATATCTAAACTCGTGAAGACAATTGCTTTACTAGAAAGGGGTATTCCTTTCCCATCTATAGCGGCGATGAGTGGCTGGGGATACTCGCAATCGCTCTCAACAAGAGTGAGCGGTAAGGATTGGACTGAAAGGGTTCTGAAGCTAGCCGCCATCGTTAGTCATTCTCTGGCTGTTGATGCTTCCAAAGACCATGGTATTCGGGGACAATATCATGCATCTCACGCGGAGAAGCAACTGATCGCTTATTTTCTTGACAGACATGTATTCCTAGATGAGGACAAGACCCTCGATTCGCGATTTGAGAAAGAAATCGTGGAAGAAGAATTGAAAATCTCGGAACTGGCCTCTATAGACCCCAGTATCCCTCGAATCTATCAGCTCCAACATGATAGAAAGCAACTTAAAGCTAGGCTATGGGACAAAGATGATCGATTACTTGGTGACAAATACGACGAGGCACTGGTTCAGCGCTTGAAAAATGAAGTGGCAGTTGCTGATGATCAGATTGCTCTCCTCAAAAGTTGTCCCGACGTGCAGAAATTAAGGGCTCAGGGGCGTCAGATACGGCTGTGGGAAAATAAGGAAACACTTCGTAGACGTCTTAACCGCATGTCAACAAAGGAGCCAGAAAGGACTTTGCGTGGGGCAAGTATTCTGATAAGCTCTCCTGGGCGTAATATTTGTGAAGATTGTCTGCTATTTAAGGACAGAGTGAACCACTGTTTCGGTCTCTCGATTGAGTTGCGTGAGTGTACAGTACAGCGTGACATTTATTAGGGTTGAAGAAAAACTCGCTCCGGATGAGACTAAGCAACTTGTTGAATTTTCTTTCTATCGTCAAACTTCCTGCATGTCAAAAATGGGCCTGGAAATCCTCTTCTTTTGTCCAAACCAGATTGATACACCAATCTAAGGGATATAGAGATTGTAATTATGGGTCAGAACTTATCCCAGAGGAAAGCAGCAATCTCATCGACTTAGAGCAGAGGAACGTAGCATCAGCCCTGGAGTAGTGTCACGGTTCATTCCGGCTTCCAAAATTATTCGGGTTTCCAAGGTTGGGGGCAGAGATGCTTCCAAATTGCCGCAAGCTTCTGCGAATATTAAGTGTAACTCGCTACATTCAGCTTCTTCGGCCACCTGGGACGTAGTACGAGACTGGCTTTCTATCATGTCACGAATGAGGTAGATATTCAACTTAGAGAGCCTTGGAGCTATGCTGTTAGGTTTCCGAAAGAAGATTATACTTTGGGTTGGGCTGAAATTTGAAATCGCCAGGGTGGTTGGTAGACAAGAGTAGCCCTCCAAAGAACTAAAAGGACCTCGGAGGCCCGCAGAGAAATCGCTTATGTAAAACTGTTACATATAACCTTGGAAAATACACATTCTGAGGTCTCAGGGGTATAATATATTATAAGGTATCGATACATTTCTAGAAGGCGCCCGTCGGTCTAGGAAAGGGTCATCTTTGTCAATAGTATAGCGGAATTGTTTTCCAGGAGAGAAGCCGCAAGAGTTTGGATGTATAACTGAATTCGAAAATTACTGTATGAAAAGACTAAAAACTTGAATAATCGGGTGTAAAGATTCATCCGATCTCTGCTGGCGACCTCGGGATATCTTCATCTCTCACTTCGCCTCTTTCCATTCCTTTGGATTTCGGTCTATTGGCAGAAATCAGCCCAATATGAATCTAAATTCCTGTGTAGTTTTTATGGGGTTTCTGAACATTTTGAAGGGATTTCCTATTATTTTCAGGTTGAGGGACTTGGAAACGATTGAATGATTGAGGACAGAATATAGAATATCACAAACATAACTCCGACCGCGATGCATAGGTGTAGTAGAGCTAAAACGAAAACAAGAACAAAAAAACATATGAAAGAGCATAAAAGACTAATTTTCAATGGCCTAGCAATATCAAATAATCAAACTGACAGGACTCGGATCTTGATGATATCCCAGCCAAAGTGACAGCTTGAAACCTTCTCCTATTTCTGTCGACGAGGCTGGTACCCCTGGCCTTGGTGGTATGCGGGCAACTTCTCACTGTGGTCTCGGTAGCCCTGATAGCTCTGCTGGGCAGGATCTTGCTGGTAGGGAGGCGGAGCGTTCTGTGATGGACCACTTGTGTTTGCATAGGGGTCCTGGATCCCACGACTAGACTGTTGGGGTGGTGCGTAGCCACCGTTGGCACCGTATCCTCCGTAACCCTGGCCCTGGCTCTGGTAATTATAGCCACCGTATCGAGGATCATAGGGAGGTCCTTGTGGAGGATAAGGTGGTGCACCATATGGAGGTTGTCCATACTGCTGTGGCGGGTAACCACCATAATAGTACTGTTGAGGAGGTGGAGGTGGTGGAGAATAATTGGATGAGCTGTTGCTTTGTTTATCGCTATTACCGTTTTATATTAGCATAGGACATCTCAAACAGTGGTTCTTTCATTTTGGAACATACCTTGAGCCCATCTTGTAGGCGATACCGCCAATAAGAGCAGTTCTTAGAAGTCCCATGGTTGTTGTTGATGAGGACAGTTATTTGGAACTTGAATGAAGAAAGATTTTGAAGTGTGTTTGTCACGATTGTTTGGATTGAAGAGTGATATGAAATGAATTCCTCCAGCTGGTGATTATGGGCATATTTATAATAATTGAGTCCATCTCATATCAATGGCACCTGGGCAGTGCCCACGGTAACTAGCGGAACTTGTTATTTTGAGTGTTCAGCCCCCAAAATGAGACCACAGATCTTCAACTATAACTGGTTATTCTGTATCCACTTTACTCTTTATAGTATTGGAGCCGAAACCGAACCTTTGACTAGTGGGGCTGAGTTCATTGAAAGACCCACGTCTGATTCCGCGAATAACTCAGATTGAGCATCTTTCCCGAAACCGAGCACTTCAGACCCAAATCCCGCTCTTCCTTACCATATCTATTAGAGAAAACCTCGAAAGAAGGTCCGCCAATCCCTCAAGTTGCACCCGCCTCACATCTAGTCCCATGCACTGGCATGCGATGCCCCCGCGCCTAAGTCACCGCAAATCAACCACCGGGTGTCTTAGATGTAAGTCCCGGAAAGTCAAGGTGAAATCCAGTCTCTGTTCACGACTATAAGAAGCCGAAACCAATTCAACCTGAATAGTGTGATGAAAAACGACCAGTATGCCGCCATTGCAATCGACACAATGTAGCCTGCGAATACCTGTCATTGACTCCTCGAGTCTATGACCCAACCCAGCCAAAAGGATCAAACGCTCAGGGGCGTGAGGCTATCGACGTTTCTAAATCCGAACCTCCTCGTGGGAGTCTGCCGGTAACCGAGCTGCGTCTGATGCATCATTGGGTAACGGCGACTGCGGCAACGATGAGCTCCGCTCAAATTCCTTCCGTTCATGAAATGTGGAGTGTCGCGATACCTGAGATGGCATTCGACTATGAGCCGCTTCTCCACACCTTGCTTGCTATAAGTGCAGCACACCGCGCAAAATTATTGCCAGACCAAGAAAATAATCTACGACCTATTCAACATGCCTATATTGACTCAGCTCTTCAGGATCATCTCCCTATGACCGCTCATCTAGATGGAAGTACCAGCGAAGCAGTCTGCATCAATGCCATCATGCTCTCCTTATATACCTTATATTTGAGGTCCGAGCCATTCTCTAATCCATATGAACCTCCACTCTTGTGGCTTTCCGTATCACGTGGAGTCCGAACGATAATGAGGACCGTTTTTCATCGGTTTGTCGAATCAAACTCGAGGTTGAATCCCTTGTTACTAGCGAAACCGATCATTTTCAATCAAGGTATGAGCGCTTTCCAAGGTTCCAAGAAACCATTTCACGCGATTCTTGATTATGATCGAGACAAAGAAGACTTCGATGAGAGGACACTCAGAGCCTACGCAGAAAGCATCGAGTATCTAGAAGGCATGTATGCAGCTATGCAGTCAAACGAACCAATTTGGGTTTTACGCAAAATATTCACCGCGTTTCCACCAATGGTTCCTAGACGATTTAGTGAACTTGTTGCTGAGAAAAGACCCCGTGCGCTTGTGATTTTAGCGTACTTATTTGCATTGGGCAAAAGAGCGGATGATGTATGGTGGCTTCATGGGATCCCTGAGCGAGAGGTTCGGGGAATCAATAGTATTTTGCCTATTGATTGGCAGTGGGCGATGATCTGGCCACTCAACCTCATTTCCGATGACTCTGGCGCTATAGCTCTATCTGAGGGTTTCAGTCTCTCTAATTAAGCAGGGCCCAGCTACTAAATAATGGTTTTTATATTCTAAAACGCTACAAAATGCATCAACTTTATAACAATATCTCTTTCGCGCCCTCGAAGATCAACGGACAATTTTAGGTAGATCATGAAGGAAGTTTGCATCAAATATCGTTCAAGAGATGTTGGATTCATATCCGGGATCTCCGAATTCGTTCTCACTCTCCCGACGTCATATAAAGAGGTGAAAATAGAACCACCCGGGTGTCACATGCCTATCGCATTTGCAAATTGCTCAAAACTAGTTTCCCTCCTTCAATGGGACTCCATTACAAATTCGATGTTTGACAATACTGATTGGAGTGACAGCGTCGTTGAGGCCCAAGTTTCCTCGATACGACATTGGATAAATATAGGCTGGTAACGACCAGGCCAAGAAAGAGCTCACCCACATATACCCAATAATTTTCTGGCCCCGGCTTAGTGGCTTATCTCGCGAGATACCGCGAACAGAGAGGCATATCAAATCTTCGAGCAAGACTCCTAGAGCCTGAGTGCAGAAGAACGAGATGGCGCCAGAGCTTGATATCAAGAGACTCATTGAAAGATCGATCAGATAATGCATCAAGGCCGAAGTCATAAACACAAATATGATGTGCGCATAACGGTAGATCAAGCTCTTCGAATTGATACCAAGGATATTTTGTACAATATAAGAAGATATGCGACGAAGTTTGTGCGTATTGCATTAGTGCCAAGTGCGACTATTTCATGTTAGTCGGTTGCCAAATCTCTTCATATTACAGCTCTTTAAAACAACAAACTTACTTCCAAAGACGTCAAAGACTATACGCATCCGATAGTGATCCGTAAAATGGGGGCCATTCAGATGGGTCACTCATTCCACTCAAAACACAAATGAAGGCAAACATGCTATAGATTCCGCCCTGGCTGCAGACAAGCCCTGCACCCATTGCAATTGTACTGAAAAATCGAACAATAATCTCTTCCAGCGTGACTTCCCACAGTCGCCGGAAAATCGGTACTTTAGAAGGAACTAAGAAGCGGTTCCCCACTTCCGAGTCACTCATGAGCTGAGCAAATCAAGACCTAGGTAGCTGAGAGTCGCTATCCGGGCAGTGCGACGAAGAAAAGCCGATCGGGATAGGATATGCTTGGGATCTGTGTTAGAGAACCGGGGAACACTTTTCACTTGCTCCGAGGTACCAAGACACCGCGAATTGAATGCGGCCCAAATCCCAAATCGCAACCGGTCTTTCCATGTCCCCATTTGATCTAGTGATGCTTTTCTATGAGAAAAACTAGAGGATGCGGTGATGTGCTTGAGATGAATTCCCATCTAGTCAGGAGGCCGATGTCGATGTAATGAAACAATAACATGACAGAATAGCCTCCCAGAAGACTGGCCCATGGCAGTCGAACGAAGAATCCCAATGATGTATTGAGGCAATTCCAAGTACAGAGCGCAATCAAAACGATTATACCTATTCTGAGCGGAGATTGAGCCGACGTGTATCCGATGGTGGTCACCACGAGGGCTATTTGGATACCTGCAGTGAACAGGGGATTGAGAGGCATCTTAACTATGAGAGCGAATTCCCGACGCGGTAAGGATGTCAAGAGATCAAAAGGCCATAGTTTGAGATGGACTAGAACTTGTGTAGCACATACCGCTAATTACAGGAGCTCATATCTTCTCCTTAGCCTGTCAATGTGCGAGGTAGTGCGAGGCTCGAGCCTACGTTCATTAGTGAGGTCCACTTAGCCCGGGGCCAATCCTTGGAAGGCTTCAATTCTGGGGGGGCCAACGGGGCTATAAGAAACGTAACGGGTCCACCAGGCTAAGAACCGAGATCATCCCGAGGTGGGCTGAGACATCTTCCGCCATGTCCCCGCTATGGGATTAACCTCCTCTGCTAAATTTTCGGATGAGGATTCCAAGGTTTCGGAGTATCAACGTATATAACGATATCAAAACTAATATCATAATCACTTATTTCGCAGCGTGCAGGCGTTTTTCTGATCAGAGGAAACCTGCAAATTCTATTAGACAAAACGCAGTCCCAATCTTGAGGATAAATCCAAGATGATTTGAATCTCGAGACATGATGTTGCAAGCCAGGCAAAAAAACGATAAGTCTTGTCTAAAAGCACTACTATTAATCAAATGCATGGTCTAGATATCTATATGGTGGACTCCAGTTTGAAACCCCCTCGACAGCCTCTCTGGAATAGCCCGTCCGGATCGTATGCTCTGCTGACATCCCTCAGAAAATTGAAGTTCTTCTCTCCGTATCCTTCCAACGGTCTTTGACAATTGGCACAATAATTCAAGTAGCGATATGGGTGGCTAATTCCTTTCTCTGTGGCAGCTGCATCAATGCACTCGATGACTTTTCGTATCGTGTTGGATACCTGGCTGTCATCCTCTGCTCGGTCCCAACGCAACGAGAAGCTAACTATGATGAGCGCATCGCTGGTGCTTTCGGATATTCCTGGTATGCTTGGTTCGCCTTTTTTAACCCAGGAGGGTAGAAGCGGCTGCATGTTAAGTGTGTAGAAGAACCCTTTGATCTTAGGCAGCGTGGCAATAGAATCATCGAAGATAGCGTAGGTGGCCATAATAGTGGACAGATCATTCTTGATAGTTGTCGTAGCAAAGGGCCATCGTTGGCCTGCTGGAGAAGTGCTGCTTATTACGTTCGAGGCAGAAGTCTGACTGTGAATTTTGAAATCGCTCCAGTAGCGCCAGAGCTTTGCATACCCCGACTTCGGCCATTGTCCAGATATTTCCGGTACTTTGGTGTAGCCAAGATAAACTGATATCACTCGAATTCCCATCGCTTGGACGTAGTTAAAGCAGGTGATGGCTCCTGCGGCATAAGGATCGGCATCTGTACCATTCATCTTGGAGTCAGCACGCCTGGCAGCCTCGTGGACGGCAGTTAGTGCCTTTGTTGACTGAGAGCCTGGGGCGTGTATAAATCCAAACCATATATCAGTGGACGGAAAGCATCGTAATGTAAAGCGCGTCACGACACAGAAATTGTCTGAGCCGCCTTTCAGAGCTTTCGAAATATCGGGATAGGAGGATGCAGTTGCCGTGATTATCTCCCCAGATGCGAGAACCACTTCGTATTCCAAGACATTCGAGCATCCGAGACCAAATTGAGGTGTAAAGAAACAGATATCTTCTGCATAAACGGTCAATGTCAAATCCACAGGAAGTTGAAAGGACTGGCTTGCCTTCCAGCGTGAAACCGGCCACACCAACCTCAGAGCTTCTGCCTCCCACGACATTCAACCCCTCCTCATCCAAGATCCGTGAGACATCAATCCACTGGCATCCGACGCCGACACTAACCTCTATTCCCGGCGATCGTTATCTCACGAAATAGAGAAAGATCGATCAATATACCCCCGCTAGCACTTGCACTACCAGTAACGGGAGACCGACCACCACCTCTTATAGCGAACAATACATCGTCAAACTGTTTTTCCTTATGCAAGCATTGCATGTCATACTCCCTTCTAAGAAAAGCAACCACTTTAGCCAACTCACTAGCATTGTGTGGCTGCACAATAGCCGCCTGCGTTACTTCGCGTTCCTGCTGCGCCCAATAGCCCTCGATGGACTTGTCAAAGGCTTCTGTGTTACCACGCAATAACACGACATCCGATAGCTCTGTGGCGAGACTTTCGATCACCGGATTTGGTTTCAGAGGATTTTGCGACTGACCACACACTTGGGGCGGAGTGCCCGTTCGTTGCGCGAACCACAGCACCATGACCATGACCGTCGCAACACCCACTGAGAACAAGAGTAAGGTCATCATTCTCGATGGCACTGCTGATGGCACTGCTAAATTCAAGGCCACAGCTCGGTTAAAATTAGTGCAAGTTGAATATCTTCCCGGGAAATCATAGCATATGGCGTTAAGTGAAGCCTTGCTCCTGCTCCACTCCTATCTTTTGGCCCCCATCCCCTGAAGCGACCCGAGATGAATTCCTCGTGGATATATGTGACTTAGCTTTGGGTCACAGTATGACGTGTTCAAACGATCAATCTCTTCTTCAATTCTTTTCGCCAACCGTCGTGTGATAGCTTATAAGTTACTAGGCGCATGAAGAGACATCATAATGTGGAAGCTGGGTGGCCTAACATGAATAGCAATGAAGTGCGCTCCGGGAGATACCAGGTCGAGATCAGTAATCCTGAATTCATTCCATACGACCACATATTCACTCGTTTTTAATTGAGACCTTCAGAAATGCTTGTACTAATAGCCGGTTTCATTTACACCGACCACTCGCAAAGTAAAACCATTAAGAGCAACTTGACTGTACATATCCAAATATGTAGTTTTGCATACAAATAGAGCAATTTGAAATCACTTGAAGCCTCGCGAAGACCTCTCGTGGCAGCTGCCGATCGATATAAGGCGACCGCAATGATGCATAGGCGCACGACTGCGAAACTTCCGTGACATCTTGGTGGATCTTAGCATGCTCTAGACTATTCAGGTTCCTGCAAGTGCATGCTGAGACTTCATTTGGATTTCCCTTTATTTTCGCTATTAATTAAATCTTCTGGTAGACCTATGTCTTAAGCTTCTCTTTGACCATTTGAACAAGGAAAGCTTCCCATCCCCACTCGAAGCACTTCATATACTGCAATACTAACTTACTGGACTAAATACCTGCTTTTTATCCCTTCAAATCTTTACCAATCTAAAGACTGCGGGTAGATATCAACTATTTTCCACTGACTCAGAGTGTCTCCTAACCTCCTTACTTCATGCCAGTGAAACTTGAACTATCTGCGGAGACTCCGTCTCCACTATGTTCCTAATGATTTGTTATCCCCCGCTTCAGTCTTGAGTGATCGTCTCAAGGCTAATCGGTTAATCTTTATATCTAATCGAATCAGCAAGCTATAGACCTTTGAATCTGAGACAAAAGGCTGACAAAGTTCAAGGGTGAGGAAATGAGCGCTATTTGTGAACACCTTTAATCATCATGAGCATCTTCCAAGACTTAATTCATCCCTACATACTCCGTACCCGTGGGAATTAGAGAATTTACTTGGTCTTGACAATACCCCTCCAGGGCTCCTTGAAGCAGGCTGGCCGCTTCATCGCATTCTTAATGAATCGTCGCCATCCCCTTTCTCGATGTCTCCTGTAAACTCTTGCACCGTTCGATTTCCTAGCTAACTCGTCACAATGGGCTACTCTCCCATCGAGTCTCTCGAGCTAGCCAACCTGGTTTTCTTCGGTATTGCAATCTTACCAGTCTGTTATTGCTTTTACATGCATGGTCTGAATGGCATTGGACCGTGGTTTAACGCGTTGGTCTGGAACACACTTCGACTTGCCGGCTATGGCATCGCGTTCAAATCATTCATGACGCGAGTCCCGGATATACTCACACCTATTGCTATTAACGGATGCGCCCTCTCACCAATTCCAATAGTTTGTCTGGGCTTCCTGTATGAGTCGTAAGTGGCACCATCATTCCTGAGTCAAATATCATATCAGAGAATCTAATTTCAGTCTGGGTTAGTAATTTCTCCATTCGAAAAGACCTTCCATGGTGGGCTGGTCTCTGGGGCGCAATCATCGCCCACACACTACTTATTATCGGCATCGTTCTTGGGCTTTCAGGCCTTATAAAACCTATACTCTCGAAGGTGGGATTCATTATTTGGATTTCTGGTTGGCTCTATACGGGCTTCATGTTAGCAGGGAGCTGGGTCTCGGCTGCACACAAGAGCCGACTTTCTGGCGAGAAAATTGTACGTGATATGACTCAAGCTATTGAATACTATTCTTCTTTCAGGTTTTTGATATTTGGACTAACATATATATCTGAAGTTAATATACGCCGCCACATTTGCTTGGCCTCTCGTTGGAGTCCGTCTTGTCTACGTTACATACGATGCCTACGTATATCACATTTTCGATCAAGGAAGCATCGCGATTCAGGCAGTCTTCGGTCTGCTACCAGAATTTCTATGCATGATTGCCTATCTTGTTGCTGGCATATGGACTCGAAATTTGTCTTGTGCTCACAAAAAGCTCCGTCGGGAGGCGAGGGAAGCTAAAAGGCAAGTAACAGTGGCTGTTGAGGTTAGAAATGACTCTGTTACGTCGAGTGCAGCTCCACTCAAAGAGGTCTCTTCGCACTCTGGCTCTGGGGATCAAAAGTCAGCACCTGGTACTATGCCTAGTATGGCTGAGGTATGATTCTCAGCTTCAAGTTCAAGTTCAACTCATTCAAGTTCTACTTCTGCGTACTATACCAATTTTAGGTAACCCTTCACATGTGCAAGTTGAGGGCAGATTCAAGTTATTGTATTATATTTTAATGTTAAACTGTGTACACCATTATCTACTAGATACCCATGCACCTAGTGACTCGGAAGAGTAGGATGAAGCTTTGAACTCCAAAATTTTGAATCTAAGCTGCCCAGGTGTCAATGAATACATGGATTGATGTGGCTTGTTATTGGTCAGCCATATCCATTCCAACCTTGGAAGGTTACCACCTGCACTGGCAGTATGTACGCATGCATAGTAGTATGTGCAGAGCTTCAAGTTCGAGCCCGAGTCAAGTTGGGATGGATACATATCTTAGCCGCGACCCGGGCCGTGGACTTGCCGGGTTCAAGTTCGCGTCACGGTACTACTAATAGTACTAGAATTTCTTTTTTAATCCTATTTTTATTACTTCCGACCTTTTCAAGACAAAACATGATTGCAGGAGATAATCAAATACCGCTCAAATATAATAAATATACAAGGATCTCTATGCTGTAGGAACATTGCCAAAGTCGAGAACCTTGAAAGTTACTAAGTGGAGCATTGTAAATATCTGAGAAGCTTCACACACATTGTGGGTCCATAATGCCAAAAATTGAGCCCTCTACAAGAACTAGCATCATTGGTCTAGTGGTAGAATTCGTCGTTGCCATCGACGAGGCCCGTGTTCGATTCACGGATGATGCACATTTCTTTTTTGTCTTTTTCTTTGTTTCTCAACATTGAGAGGCTAGGACAACATTGTTGAACGCGCAGTCTCCATTTCTCTGTTGGACAGTATTTAAACTGGAGGTATTTACGAGACTAAGTGTCATTCCTGGGTGGTATGTACTACACTGCTTTGTCTCACCTGGGCATTGGTTCCATAGCTCATCATTATTGGCAATCAATTGATATCATTCAAATGGTCCATAGAAATCTCCCAAAGGATAATAATGCATGAGACAGGAGTGAGAATATGTACAGAAACACGTGCACCCCATGCTTTTAACATGGAATCAAAGACAAGACAAAAAGACACCATCCATTATCCCAGAATCCAATATCCACCTCATTATAAACAGTATTTTAACACCACGTATCGGTCATTGAAAGGTAGTAGCAAAACCAAAATGGAGTCACGCTACACATGACGTGAGTCTTGACCCATATCTGGTCCACCTAGACCTAGATCGTAGGCACTTAAGGGAAGACTTCCAGTTCCGCCAAAAGCAGACATATCGGCAACAGGCGCGGACCCATTGCCAGGAGCGCCACCTGAAACGGCGCCTGGAGGAGGACCCGGAGGTTGTGCGCTCCCGGTAGGTGGGCCGCCCATGCTACCACCGAGAGGGTCTAGATTGAACGGTAGGAACCACGCACTGGGCTGATAGAATTCACCGGTCCCAGAGGGAGCGCCTGGATCAAGCTGACCTGTGAAGAGGGACTGGTCTGCATTCGGGGCTTCAACTCCGTTCACCGGTTGAGGGATGGATGGGTTGTTCGGAGGCATGAAGTTGGTGGGGTCAAATTCGGAAAATGAGCCATATACAAATTGCCGGTCAAGTTGGGGTAGCTGATCTGGTGCAATATTGAAGTCGAATTGGCCGAAGGACATGCCCCGATTTTGTGAGTACATGGATGGTTGAGGGAATGCACTTCCGGGAATACCTGGTGTATTACCCATGGTGACTTCCATTGACTGTGAAGGAGACGTTTGATCCACACTGGAGGTGCTGTCTGACAGCTTACTATTCTTGCGTGAGCGCATTTTGCGAGGGAGAACTGGCTGGGGCGTTGGTGAAAGGCTGGCGAAGAAATCTTCGACGCTTTGAAGATCCGGCTTCTGGCCCATCACGGCATCCTCGCCTGTCTCCTTGTGTCGGGTATCCGGATCTTCCCAGTGCAACCTTGAAACACCGTGGGGGTATTTGGCAAACCAGTCGCCATATTGGAACATCGGCGCAAGTGAGTTGCCATTCTGCGTTGCCACAGATCCTTTGATAGCGACATCCGCAAATTGTCGGTACCGATCCTTGGCACTCTCGACCATATAGTGAAACATTCCCCAATACTTCTTCATCTTATTAAGATAACGGTAAGTGTGGCGAAGATTCTCCTTTGAGCGAGCCTCGAGCTGAACATTCTTCGAAAATATACCCCAAATGTGGACGGTACTGGCTGTATATGCACAATAGCCAGCAAAGGGAACAGTGAGTGGATAGGCGGATGCTCGATCGAAAAGCACGGAGATGTGATGGGCAGCCTCAACAGCAGCTCGACCAGCATTGCTTAAGAAGGGCTTGGGCATATCTCTGGGTGGCCGTCCTCCTGGCGACAAAGGGATGGCGAACTGGTTCAGGAACAACATGTTCTGATGTATGATGATATGCAGAAACAGAAACTGATTTGCAATCTTCTCGGCAGCATGAATCTGGAGATTCTCGTATGTAAAAGTAAGGGAAGCGGGCAGTGAAGCCGAGAACTCCTCAATTTGTCGTTTCAGCCGTGTGTAACCAGACTCTGGATGCCACAGTGGATGGGTGTCTTTTCTCTTCCCACCAAGATTTAGATAATCAACAAGACGACCCCAGATGACTATGGCACGAATGATATATGCAGAGACTCCCATATTATCTCTAGCATTGGACAGTTGCCCAGAGTCATCAGGTGTGGGATTCAATATATCTCCGTCTAAATCTTCCGTAGGACCTGGTATCTCCATTTGGAAGTGGGTTTCCTTGATGGGCAGTTGAATGTGTAGAAACTTCTCGTTCCCAATAGGCGGACGTTGACTGCCGGAAGAGTTGTATCGATCCATCAAAAAACATGCCCACATGGTACGTCGTCGGATTTCTCGATCTGTAAAGCTCAACTGCGAATTGCTGTTGCCCTGACCGAGTAATGGATCACGTTCGAGCTCTTGATGCAGCTGCAAGGCGTATGCCATCCTTAATGCCTGTCCTCCAAAGGACCAACTTCGTCCACCATGGCAGGTTCCAAACTCATGTAGTCCCAACAAGAGGAATACTGTCAAAATCGTGATATTTGGTTCGTCATGTCGACTGAGCGCAATAGCCGCAGCTGGATTGGCCCAGTTCTCACCGCGCAGAAAAGGAGGCTCCGAATTGAGTTGGGGATGTGTTGAAAATCGAGCTGAAACCGCACAAACTGCCAGAATCAGTACCGGGGGAACTGTACCAGCTTTGAGCCTCCGCATGAAGCTAGGCTTGTGCAAAAGGAGATATGACTGGCCATAGACACAGTCGAAGAAGACCTCCGCTAAATGTTCCTGTATTTCCAGTGAAGGTAGGAACTCTGCACCCTCGGTGAGAAGTCCCGATCCATCTGTGGACTTGATTTCGCGATTCATAGGGAATGTCTCATGTGGTGGGCGCCGATCTCCATGAGTCCACTCTTCCAATTCTGCAGCGAATGCCTCATCTGCGCTCCGTTTTTTCTGTTTGGAAGGTTGACCCTGTGTAGAGGGCTTGACAACCGATCTGCCGATAGACGCCATATCCCTCTTTTCGTCCTTGGGAATCGTTTTGATCACGCGATCTTCCATTCGTTTGAGTCGCTTATCCAGCATAGCCATATAATCCGTCCGTGGTGCAGCTTTTCGAGTGGTAACTTTATATACGCAGGGAATGCGTGAGCGCGTGCAGTGCTTGCACGCAGGCTTTTCGCCTGAACAGCGGATCTTCTTGCGGCGACATGCGATACAGGCCAGCGGTAGTCGCTTCCGCTCCTTTCCAGCTTTAGTTTTCATTTCGCTCCACGAGGGCTTGTCGTCCATGTCGGCGGTAGCGGAGTTGGGGCCCCCGCCCGCATCATCACGGGTAGTGGCATCATGGTGGCCGTCTAGCGCACCGTTGTCGGGACCCCTCGCGGGGTCAGCGGTTTGTGTGCTACCGAGGTCGCGGGAGCTTGCATGGCTTTGAGTATCAAAATCGTCTAGAAGAGCTGTAGAATCCTCCTGGCCTAAAGGAAAGCTAGTACCAGGGGTCCTCAATGGTGAATCGTCCGAGTCCGGAGGGATCATGACGGGTGCGGGTACCCCAAGACCCAGATCCGAAGCATCGTTCGGCGCAAAGGACGTGGGGGAAGAAGAAGAAATCGACCCCAGTAAGGAGCGCGATGGGGGAGGGAGAAAGGGTCAACGATGAAAGTGATCGAAAAAAAAGGTCGGGGGTTTTGCAGGGAAAGGGAAGATGAATATGGGGAAAGGTTCAGCGGCGAATGGCGGCTTGGCACTAAGCGTCCACTGGCAGCACTGGAATTCAATATTACGAAACTCCAATGCCCTCGGTCCTCGCTTGAACAATAGTTGCTCAACCACCAAAATTTGAAATTAATGATAAATTATGTTAAATGAGTTAAGAAAGAATGAACCGCTAGAGAAGAAAAAAAAGCAATGTGCATAACAGGATCCACGGGATCTCAAGGTTACATGCAATATCCGGACTCGGTTATCTCCTGTAGTAGAGAGAGATTGAGTATGGAGATATTGAAGTTCATTTATTATATTCGCTTATGCCCTAGAGACCACAAAAAGGTCCTAATAATGCATATGTGCTCTTTTGATAAATTGTAGCCACGAGGCAGATGGGTATGCACTGTGCTCTAGCGCCAAAGTGGTTTGGCCCCTGCAGATGGCCAGGTGATCACGGAGTGTCCACATTCGGCCCGATAGGGTATCAATTAAGTAAGAATATGGAAATTCATAATAGAATAAACAATAGAATTTCATTAATTGATTGTACGAATCAGCGGTCAACTCCATATCCCATAACAAGGTAGCCTTGGACCGCCTCTAGGTATCATCTTAATAAGGATAGCTGTTCATCATCCACTTTCCTGCATGTCATTCGCATCATAGGACCCAGTAACTTCGCTGTTCAGCTTGACCGGTGTCCACGAGTCACACCTATGAGGCCTTTGGACGTCCCACGCGACCACGAGGAGAAGCTTGTTCTAGGGAGGCCAGAATTTCACCACCAAGGGAATAGATGCTATACGAAGGAAAGACAATCCACAGGCCACTGTTTGAAATTAGTGATCATTCTGACTTGGCCTGGATAACAGAAAAGAACATACTTGGGAATAATCCACAGAACAATTAAAGTCAAGGCATCGTTATGGCCGATATTCTCAAAGTCAGAGAAGAATTCATTCAACCCTAATTAATCAATTAGAAACTTTGATTCATGCAGGTTTATACTCTCCCACTTACAGTATAAGATGGTCTTGCTGAGAGTCATTACAGACGCAGTGTATGCAACCATTAGCGCAATTGCGCCAGTGCGGCCAGCCACAACCTTGTCACCTGTCAACAACCACACGAGTCCCTTTTGCTGCTTTTGCACGCCACGACCACTGGTGACTGTCGCACCATAGCGAAAGACGACCAACAGGTAGTAAATGTAACCCAACGTCTCAACAACATTTAGAACAGTCTGCGCGGCCGTGAAACCATTATGCGCATTGTATGCAGGCCACCCATAAATATAGTCGATTGTGCCATAAAGCGCGTAGGGAGTCCAGACTGGAGAGTGCAAGCGACCACCAGGCATACTATGCGGTCGCAATAAAACATATGCGGCGTCCCAAATGACCAACGGCACAGAGACAACAAGCCAGACGGTAAGTGCGACCGAGGGAGTATGAACCCATTTGCGCGAAGTGCCGTTAGTGGTCGGGGCAGGTGAGGATTTCGCCAGCTCCTTTGCAGCTTGTGTGGGGGAAGGAAACTCCTTGGGATGATGTCGAGTGGAGACCATGCTGACCGGGATGTGATATTGAAGTCGACTCGCAAGGGTGTATGTGATTGTGCAATCAGGAGTAAAGAGGTGGATCGTTTTATTCGGTTTGAATATGAAGGAGGGAAGTTTGCGCACGAGGCAATCGGTAACTAGTTTGATTTAGCGCCCCCGAGAGAAATGCTGGGGGAAATCCCACAGTTTGCCGCGACTGACGGCCAGTGACGTCGTTGCAGCGCCCGAGGTGTTCGTTTGCGGGCAGCTATGCAGCTCAGCGGCACGCTTTGGGTCGTGATTCGCCTTCCACAAAACCTTGGGGACCTCAGCTACTTTTTGAGATGTTAGATTTGATCCATGTACAGATCATGATCTTAATACCCCACGACAAGGCTCGTGCATTCTGGGGCTGATCCAATAGGCACAATTTCCTCCCCTTTTATAGGTAGATGAGGAAATATCACCCCTGTTGAAATATAGAACACGACCGGGAGTTAATTCCTGGCTTGTCCTTTGTGATACACCATATTCCCGAAATCCTACGAGAATGAAATGTCCTCTCGGGTATTTTTGAAATGCCTTCTAAGTTCCCTGTATGCTCCAGGCCATAGTTAAGCCAGGTTGTGATGTCTTCGTCAATTGGTGCCCTATAATTCAGGCACCAAGAAGGCAATCAACCTAGAAGGGTATAGCGTGAACCTTTTAACTTCATGCAACATTGGGACGTTGGATCGTAAATATTCCAATACCCGATGAAAACTAGCAAGTATGGATAAAGAGACTGATCAGAAGGTCCGAGACTATCTTTATCTATATCCCTCAAATGGAAACTGACACACAGCAAAGAACTCGCAGAGACTTGCCCGGGTACGTGAGAATCAGCGCAAGAGTCGAGCGAGGAAGCAGGAATATGTGCGAGAATTGGAACAGCGCATAGGAGCCTGTAATGAGGAAGCACAGCAGAAAGATATCGAAAATAGGTTAAAAATCCAGAAAATTGAGGCAGAGAACCGTCACCTTCGAACTTTGTTGCGCTCGCTGGGAGTGTCCTCGGACCTCGTTCAACGATATGTTCAGTTGGCCAGTGAAGGAGCCGCGGTTGATCGCAAAGTTGCAATACCCGCAATTTCACGATCGAAGGATATAAATGACTCCGAGTCAACCTCACAAAAAGCAACCAAGTCCGAATCATCTCTTACCCCGGAGCCGCTCAAAACACCAGCATCAGAGGCCCAAGAAGATCCATCACCACCACACGAGAATATCACAAATCCATCATTATGTGGATGTTCTACGGAGGAACAAATCGCAAACTCATGGCCATCTGATGATAATTTATTGAACACGACACTTTGCTCTATCGCAGACGACCTGGTCCGCCAATATAATGCTCGTGGTACGGATATAGACGAAATCCGACACAGGCTTTGGGCCGGCTTTAGAAGAGGACAGTCAGGCGATGGCTGCCGCGTGCAAAATAACATCTTGTTTCAAGTGCTGGACGAGATTAGCAATGGGATTTGAGTTACTTCTATGCTGCCACAGATATCATGGCAGGACAAACCATCAACTTTCATTCTCAGGTTACGGACATCACTCATAGTCAATGAGCTACATGCCGAACTTGAGCTATAAAGTTAAGAGAAATAATAAGGAGATGCTCGATTCCCAACTGGGAGTTAATCCGTGACATAGAGTTGTCTTCATACCACGCCCCTCCCACTGGATTGCGAGGACCAATCTGCGCCACATTACAGAAACAACTTGAAACCAAATGCGATCTTATCCAGAGCTACTTGCCAGAGAGATCAAGTCGAACTATCACATCGCACTGGATGCAATATACAGAAGCAGAATCACGGCCCTGGCATCCTGCACTAAGAGAATACTCTAGAATATCTGAAATATCTTCTCTTGTCCAGGGGTGTTGTTCGTCTGTTCATATCCATTTATTCCAAGCCCCACAACTTTCTCAATTGATCGATACTACATAGTAATTACCGACAATTAGCCATTTCAGAGGGAAAATATCCATCATTTCGTCGTATCTGTGTGGGCCTTCGGCTTTAAGATTGAAATGGCAGTGGAATTACTGGCGGACTTAACAAGAAAGCTCACTACTACCTAAGCAGTACGGAGTTGATGACCTATACTCCGTACCTAGGTGAATAATTGCCTGGAACCTCCACTCCACAATTTTTGGACCCTTGGAATCTTGCAAGGGTTGTATTCGCGGGCCGTGTGCTTTTTTGGTGTAGCGAGCCGCTTGAGGATTCTCCACCCTTCAGCCGAGTCAAAAAAGCTTCTTCGGCAATATTCATGGGAAAAGATATCCAAAGTTACTGTAGATGTGGAAACATTACAATAATCCCAAGCCATTACTGGTAAATTTGTACCTCTAGACCAATCTATATTCTTCCTGGCTTTGAAGAGGGCTGCCTGAATGATTTCACTAATAGTAGTATGCACTGGCAGTACTTAAAGTTCAATATTGAAATGTTTGCTCTGCTATGTACCACCTAAAAATGCGGGGAGAGCCTGCCTAGGTACTACCACCTACCTATGCTGTAGTAGTCTCATAAAAGCACGCGTAAGCATATACTTAAAATAGTAAAAATAATAATAAAAAGAAAAGAAAATTGAAATGGTACCCGTCCTGGCTGAAACAAGAAATCATTTCGTCTCAAAAAATTACCCAGACCGGCAACTCGGCATTTGTGAGATGAGAGAGATCGGACCAAGCCGACGATGGCACGGGCGTTCCCCGGGCTTGGAAGATCGGAGTGACTTCATAGCGCATGGTAAATAGGACGGAATTTGAGCGTCGCCAAGAGAAAATACCACGATCTCAGTTAAGAAACCCCTCTTTTTCATATAGGAAGTTGTTTTTCTCATCCCGTAATCAATAGTAATCAACAAGCCCCGCCGAAGTTGCCGAATGGGGCCCGTTAGATACCCAGGTGACGTTGAATGTTGACTCTCCGTATTTGGTGCCCAGATGCCCAGGTGATTTCGGGCTGGGGACTCCGCATTAGCAAACCCCGGCTCCCCACACTTTGTTCCCCGACCCCGGAACACTCGGGTCACCTTTAACTATACCGGGTCAAAACATCGGAATCCCTTTTAATAATCAGGAAAATTTGAAGTGAAAGATATGACACACCGGGTAAAAATTATTCAGAGAACCACTAGTCCCCGGGGCCCACTACTGGAAGACACTTACACAGAAAAACCATGTAAATACTGATTAAGCATTCAGTTGCCGACGTACTACTGCCATGACGCTCCTACATACTCAAATTTTGCGGGGTGACTGTGTCCATATCATACATTTGCATACAAAGATTGACCTCGGCAAAAATGTAAATCAATAGTCTTGTTTGACAAGCATGAAATTCAAGTTTCCATAACTCTCCAGATAGTAAGACAGGGAGTACTGGAATCATCTTTATTTTGATAGGCAATCTCTCTTTAGCATCACCGCAGAAACATTATACTGCGGATACCTTCTGCAGATGATCAGCTGCCGAGAACATTCCTGGAATTTTTCAAAAGTTGAAGCTAAACGGAGAATTAGCGGACCTTGAGGATACGCCAAGAAGTGGCGTAGCAATAGATTTCACCCGAACTTTAAGCGGCGACTGGTTCAAGTTCTACAATACCAATTTGGGCATCAAGGAAACCAGATACGACGATGGTACGATTAATCTGCCATTTGTAAGTGAGATTTGAACCAATAGAACTGCAGTGTGATTAATTCTGGTTGAATCAGACAAATCCAGCACCTCTCTATACAATGTAGGGATTGAATAGGTATCACCCAGTTATCCCCCCTTGATTGGACCATCCCATGCATGGTTCATACTCAGGGCTCTCCTCGGGTATCCAGCCACTCGCATTGCTTTCTCCCTTTCACAGGGGAAATCTTAGAAAGTAACATTAACAAATCATTCAAGTTGATCAATCGCGTGCACTGATGCCAAGCAAAAACAAATACCCCATTCGCTATGTAATGGGGGCGTACATCGCGGTACGCCCCTAGTCATCAGAATCCAACTATTTGTCGATCCTTACTGGTTTCACGCTCCCACTCGTCCCAGCTTCCCCGTCTTGGAATTCAGGTGGAGCAGCGACGATGGAGAATCTGATGTCTCTGTATGTCCGTAAATAACCCACAATCTACCATTTAAATTGGGCCCAGTCCCTGCGCGGTGACCGAGAGTTTCCCCTCGAAGTTGTTCACCCAAATCCTTAGAACACCTCCCCGCGCAATTCAGTATCTCTTCACACGTGAAGACCCTGAATTTGCTGATCATGAAGTTTGGCTTGCTGGAAGCGGCCCTCCTGGGCGCTGCAACGGTAGCTAGTGCTCAGGTAATATCTCTCGTGTCTGGCGTGTTATGAATTTTGGCGACTAATATTCCTGTCATCATTTAGGAATTGGCATACTCGCCTCCTTTCTACCCATCGCCATGGATGACCGGCGAGGGCGAGTGGGCCGAGGCTTATAGACGCGCCGTCGAATTCGTATCTAACTTGACTCTCGTTGAGAAGGTTAACCTGACAACTGGTGCTGGGTATGATATCCACATATATTGGTTTTAGTGGCGCCGACGCAGCTGACAAAAAACAAAGATGGGAGCAAGAACGATGTGTTGGAGAGACTGGTGGTATTCCGAGGTACGTCCAAGTCCAACAAATTGGGAAGTGACGATAATTGACAAGGCCATAGACTAGGAATGTGGGGCATGTGTATGCAAGATTCGCCTCTGGGTATTCGCGACAGTATGTGAAGCTTAACCGAAACACGAAGTTTGAATATTGACCATCCATGAAACAGGTGACTACAACTCCGGCTTTTCTGCTGGTATCAATGTTGCCGCCACCTGGGATAAGAGACTTGCCTACGCCCGTGGTATGGCAATGGGTGAGGAGCATCGGGATAAGGGTGTGGATATCCAGCTGGGCCCTGTCGCTGGTCCGCTGGGCAAGAACCCTGACGGTGGACGTGTTTGGGAGGGATTTTCTCCCGATCCCGTTCTCACTGGTGTGATGATGGCCGAGACTATTAAGGGTATGCAAGATGCCGGTATTATTGCCTGTGCAAAGCACTACATTGGAAACGAACAGGAGCACTTCCGCCAGGCCGGTGAAGCTCAAGGATATGGATACAACATCACTGAGAGTGTCAGCTCTAACATTGACGATACCACGATGCACGAGCTGTACCTCTGGCCATTCGTTGATGCTGTGCGTGCCGGTGTTGGTTCTATCATGTGCTCATACAACCAGATCAACAACAGCTACGGTTGCTCCAACAGTTACACCCTGAACAAGCTTCTCAAGAGCGAACTTGGCTTCCAGGGCTTCGTCATGAGTGACTGGGGTGCTCACCACAGTGGTGTTGGTGATGCTCTCGCTGGTCTGGATATGTCCATGCCTGGTGATGTCGTTCTGGGTAGCCCATACTCATTCTGGGGCACAAACCTGACTATTGCCGTTCTGAACGGTACCATCCCTGAGTGGCGCATTGATGATATGGCCACTCGTATCATGGCGGCCTACTACAAGGTTGGACGTGACCGTTACCGCACTCCTCCCAACTTCAGCTCCTGGACTCGTGACGAGTACGGCTATGAGCACTTCATTGTGAACGAGAACTTTATCAAGCTGAATGAGCGTGTCAATGTGCAGCGTGACCACGCCAGTGTCATTCGCAAGATTGGTGCTGACAGCACTGTTCTCTTGAAGAATAACGGTGGCTTGCCCTTGACTCACGACGAAAAGTTCGTCGGAATCCTGGGTGAAGATGCGGGCTCAAACGCCTATGGCGCCAATGGCTGCTCCGACCGTGGCTGTGACAATGGTACTCTGGCCATGGGCTGGGGTAGTGGCACTGCCAACTTCCCTTACTTGATTACTCCCGAGCAGGCGATTCAGAATGAAGTGCTCTTCAACGGCAACGGTCAGACTAATGTCTTCGCTGTGACTGATAATGGAGCTCTTGATCAGATTGCTGATATCGCCTCCCAATCAAGGTACAAACTTTCCACCAGGTAGCCTGTTACAGTTACTGACTTTTTAATTTTAGTGTCGCACTTGTATTCGTCAATGCCGACTCTGGAGAGGGCTACATTAACGTTGACGGTAACGAGGGTGATCGCAAGAACATGACCCTCTGGAAGAACGGTGAGGCCGTCATCAAGGCTGCCTCTGAGAACTGCAACAACACTATTGTCATCATGCACACTCCCAGCGCTGTTCTCCTTGACGACTGGTACTTGAACCCCAACATCACTGCTATTCTATGGGCTGGTCTGCCTGGTCAGGAGAGTGGCCGCAGCTTGGTTGATGTGCTCTACGGCCGCGTCAACCCCGGTGCTAAGACTCCATTCACCTGGGGCAAGACTCGTGAGGCATATGGTGCTCCAATCCTGACCCAGCCCAACAATGGTGTCGATGCGCCCCAAGACGATTTTGAGGAGGGTGTCTTCATTGATTACCGCCGCTTTGACAAGGACGACACCGACCCCGTCTATGAATTCGGCTTTGGTATGAGCTACACTGACTTTGAGTTCTCTAACCTGAAGGTCAAGGCCTTGAAGGCAGACAAGTATGCCGATACAATTGGCTGGACCAAGGCTGCTCCTGTCCTCGGAAGAGCTGGCCCTATTGCTGAGTACCTTTTCCCCGCTGGTATCAAGCGTGTCACTCAGTACCTCTACCCCTGGTTGAACTCTACCAACCTGAAGGCGTCTTCCGGTGACCCTTACTACGGAGAGAAGACTGAGGACTATGTTCCTGCTGGAGCTACTGATGGCTCTGCTCAGCAGCTCCTGCCAGCCAGCGGCCCTAGTGGTGGTAACTCAGGTCTCTTCGACGACTTGATTGAAGTCACCGCTACTATTAGAAACACTGGCTCCCTGGATGGAGACGAAGTGCCCCAACTGGTGAGTTTTTTCGAGCTTCCATCTGACTAAAAAGGAATGCACTGCTAACTGTTTCGAACTACAGTATGTCGCTCTTGGAGGTCCTAATGACCCTCCTAAGGTCCTCCGTGCCTTTGACCGTGTTACCATTGCCGCTGGAGAGAAGGTCCAGTGGACTGCCACCCTGAACCGCCGCGATCTTTCCAGCTGGGATGTTGCAGCCCAGAACTGGGTCGTCACTAGTGCGGCCAAGAAGGTTTACGTTGGTAACTCTTCTCGCAAGCTGCCTCTGTCTGCCGACTTGCCTCGTGTTCACTAAGTGCATGTGTATGTAATGTGGGACATAGACCGGGTTTAGAATCTTACTTCTTGACTTGTACAGACAGAATTACTGCTTAATGCATATAGTTTTAATTGATACTTATCTCTGAAATAAATTTTCAAGGCGGCGACGAGTAAGGTAGGTACTGATACTGGATTATTGGTAGTGTCACATGCATGTGTGCAATTCCAAGCCTGACACTCATCAATAACCCGGATCGCCTAGTAGTATGATTCGCGCGGGTTCACCCAAAGCATAATTTCAAGCTGTCAGGGGATCTATAACTTGATTACTTGCAGAATTGTAGTAGCATGCGCCGGTCCAGGAAAAACATTGAAAGAAATAAAATTTGAACACCGTGACCTTGGTCTAATCAAGTATCAAGTTATCTCCCGTTGAGCACTATTATACAAAGACTTGAAGGCCGAGCCTTCTGTTGACAGAAGATTTTGTGGAGTATCAAATTCAACCACTCTTCCCTGGTCCAAAAACGCAATCTTATCAAAATCCAAGATACTTTCCAGCTTATGAGCAATAACAATAAGTGTCTGATCTTTGAAGCGAGTCCGGATGACGTGTTGCATGAGCTTCTCAGTCTCAGAATCCACGCTATAGACCAATTAGCACTAGAAAAGACATCAAAAAATAGATAAACATACCTGCTTGTAGCCTCATCCAGTATGACAATTCTGCTCCTCTTGCAGAGAGCTCGTCCCAAACACAAGAGCTGCTGTTGTCCGTGAGAAAGCAAATCCTCTGACATGTCGGCATCTAAGCCACCTTTCGATTCGAGGTAAGACCACAAATTGACTTCTCGTAGTGCGTCAATAATAACTTCATCTGACACATCCCCATGTGGGTTTGCATTTAGTCGGATAGAACCGGATAAGAAGAAGGCTTGTTGTGGGATAGTATTCAAAGAGGAACGAATGTGTGACCTGGAGATTTTGGAGATGTCCATGCCATCGATGCAGATTGTGCCATTGCTTATCTCGAGTGTGCGCAAGATTGTGGAAATGAGTGATGATTTGCCGCTGGGAAATATCAGTATCCAAGTATCTAGTCAAATATCAGGAGAAGAGCTGCTGGGTAGAGACCGACCTTCCAGTTCTTCCACAAAGAGCGATCTTCTCACCGGCGGAAATCTTGAGATTGATATCCTGAAGAGCCGGTTCCGGAGAACCACTAGAAAACTTAGCATAACCCAAGAATACGGTGCTTGCTGTTACTTACTCATATGAAGCAGAGACATTGGAAATTTCAACATCACCATTCAACGGCCAGGCTGTTGAAACCACTTCAACCTCACTCTCCAAATCCTCGGTTTTGGCCTGTTGCACATAGGATCGGATTTGGGCAACACCACCAATTGAAGTCTCGAGTCCAGTCCACTCCTGGACTAGCGATTGCAGAGTCACACTAAAGTTGACGATGTTGAATAACGCAATTCCAAGCAGATTGGATGAAGATTGGCCTTTCATGGCAAATGCTACTGAAATGACGGTTACAGCAATAACGGCTACTAGAAGATCGAGCGCAACGTTCATCCAGCGCTGTATGCAGCGTCTTGGATAATAAGCACGCTGGGAAATATCAAGTGCAAATTGACTTCGGTGTTGATAGTCCTCGGACCAACCATAAGCACGAATACTAGTAAGTCCGCTGAGTGACTCCAGGAAATGTGAGAATAAGGGAGCTTTTGCTTCCATATCAAGGAGTCGGAGTTGACGAGATGTTTGAACATAGTGTCTTGCAACGTAGTAGATCACAAGAGCACAGAATGGGATGATTGTTGCTGTCAGGTAAGATGCTCCTGCGAAGACTAGGAACCCTTCAATGATGCAGCTTATACCTGAGTTAATTGACAATTCAAGTGCAGAGGGGAGCTCGTCGTCAATTAATTCCAAGTCCTGACTAAATCTGGGGAGTATTAGTATCTGGTATTCTAAGCGAAGGCTATTTCGGTGGTTCAAGGCCTTGAGGATAAAACGATTTGCGTCATACCTGTTCGTCGTTGTCCCAACATCAGTCGAAGTGAGAAAAGATGTCGTTGCGCTTTAACAATATTAGCACAATGATGATTCCTAGTTCTGGTCTAGCCATTGGTATTGGTGTCATACCTCATGGTTGTGTCTAACAGGATATCATGAAATCTGCGCGCTGTTCTGGGAACAATGACCATTCCAAAGACCCTGCATGAGACATGAGATTAGTATTCGAAGAAAGAGCAGCCAGAACAGAAGGCTTACGTACCAATTTGCAGAGAAAGAGGCAGCAAGGGTCAAGACGGCCAGGGCAGCATAACCACCAAGCCAGTACCCAATGTCCTCGTTCGGATGCTGCTCATTTGCACGAGACCACCACTGAAGCCATAATTCTATGAGCAGGGATTAGCATGTTACAACCACCAAAAGTTCAGCATTCGGGATTAGAAGTCCAACGTACGGGGAAAGATCAAGCCAGCAATGAACAACATAGAGCAAGCCAAGCATAGAGATAACAGAGGCCACCCGATGTTTTGGAAGTAGTATAGGTAAACAAGCCAATCGCCTGTCTGTCGGCTGGTATGATCAATTTCATCTTTGTCCAGGTTAAGCTCTTGCAATGTCTCCTCGTCAAAGACAACTTCTGGTAACCTAGTGGGTTTCTCTTCCCCAGTCTGGTCAGGAAGAAAAGGCACGGAGCCGCGTGAGACAACGAGTTCCTCGTAGGATCCTTGTTCCGCAAGTTGTCCGCTTGAATTGATGGAAATAATATGATCAGCGCAAAGAAGATGATGAGCTATGATATGGTTAGAATTAAAATGTCATGAATGAGTCAATGGTATACTGACCAGAATTTGTTGCCATTATGACAGTCCGGGAATTTTCCTTCAATAGCCCGTTTCGACCAAAAACAGATTCCAATATGAATTTTTCTGTCTCACGGTCTAGTCCTGTTAGAACATCATCCAAAATGAGGATCGGTTCTCTTGAATAGAGAGCACGCGCAAAGGCCTAGAGTCTTATGTTATTTAAATGCCTCGAACGATACGGTGCCGAATTCTCTTACAACACGCATTTGTTGACCACCGCTGAGACTTGATCCACGCACTCCAACCTTTGCCTGGTCACCTGCTGGAAACTGCTGAAGATCAAACTGCAAGGCACATGCCTGAATGACGCGGTCGTACCACTTTTGATCCCATGGCGAGGCACCAACAATGTTTTCTTGAATAGTACCGAAGGCAATCCAAGGTGACTGACTGCAGTAAGCTGCGTTCTTATATGCCACAGCTATTGACCCAGTGCACTCTGCAGCTTCACCCAAGAATGTTTTCAGCAAGGTTGACTTGCCACATCCAACTGGTCCAACGATCATGGTAGTTTTTCGAAATTCTAAGTCAAAGGTCAAGTCCCTGAGAACAAATTCGTCATCGATAGACCATGCAACCGACAAATTTCGAGCCTTAACACAGGACGCTGCTTCGTGGTTTGAATCATCGATGGATTCTAGATCAATTAAACTGGGCTCCTCGGACTTGATACTCGAGCGATGATCCGTGCGTTCTGTCTCAAGTAAGTAGCTCTGAATTCGTCGAAAGCAATTCACAAGTGCCATAAAATCCTCGGCCTCATCAGAGATGGAAACAACTGCTACATCCAAGAGCATGAACAGAGTCAATGCAGAGAATGCAATGCCGTTAGTCAGAGTTATCGTGTCATTTGCTCGGGCCATCAGGATATAGACCCCGAATCCAAACACTGGAGCCAATGCGGAAGACAGATAGGCTGAAGGAGTTCTATTAGCAAGTATTCACCTGAAGAAGCATCACACTAACAGATAGTCACATTGAGCACGTTGAGAAGCCGAAATGGTCGCGAGCTACTAATTTCCCCAAGTCGTAAACTGCGAAGGGTGCTGGCCACGACTTCCGTCAAGCCCGTCATTTTGACATTTTTCATTACTCCCAGAACCTTGGAGGTCACTGCGACTCTTTCTTCGACAGCTTCAAGCCATTTTCCTTGAGCATTTCCGGTAGCTATGGCAAATGGAATAGCCGCAGCGAGGCAAACTGTTTCCTAAAAGTCAGTAAAGGATCTATATGGGCACGCCGCAAAAATTAGAAAGACGGCATACTCAAGACAATCACCGTGGCCGCGATCGTTGCGATTCCAAGAAGTCTTGCTAAAAACCACAGAGCAAGTGCAATCTCTATGAAGTTAGAATAGACCTCATGAATCTCCACGAGACTAGTCTGAATTCGTTCAATATCGGTACTCATCAAGGTCACCGCAGTAGCATCAGATACAGCCGATGTGTTTAGACGCAGCGTCTTGTCAAATATCAGGCTCACTAAGCTGCCTCTGATCATTACTCTGAGGCGATGTGTCTTATGCTGGTAGACAGACCATGTGGCCTAGTATGATTTTTATTAGAATACCAGCTGTTTCGGCGATCAAACTGCAGCGGCTACTTACCGCAATCCCGATGTAAACTATCGCATACGCTATAATGAGTCCGTACGCATAATTTGAAGAGTTCACATGCTCCGGTTCTTCCATAAAATCTAGAACTCTCTGTACTAGAAAAGGCTGCGCGAATGCGAAACCAGTGTATGCCAGACGAGGCAATAACCCTACCAAGTACTCCCACTTGTAATGGCAGGTGAGAGTCCATAGCAGAGCATTTCGCCCATTCTTGTTAGCTATTAATAAGTGTCAGCATTTGAATCCTTCAATTCTAAGGAATTGATTTTACCTCTCTTCCATTTTTCCTTAATCGTCTGAGGATCTGAGGCTGCCCGCAGGTCCTCAGCCAGGATAGGCAAGTCGTCAACTGTCAGAGTAGTATTCGAACCTTTCCATAACAGGTCATTTAGCCACCAAAAGACAGTCCGACTGAATACACCACTGGTCTCTTCAATCGCAGTCTTTTCAAATCCTTTCCTTAGGGATGACCTCTTTTCTGTGGTCTCAAGAACAAGGATCACAGCCTTAGCTACCCAACTGGCAGCAAAAAGGAGTGTCACTGTATTGTTGTACGGTAGAAAAGAGAGAGTCCTTAGACGCGGCAGATCAAGAAGAAAAGTCAAGGCCTGAAATAGACATAGAATTGTCGAAGGACGAACGGAGAAACGATGCTCTAGATGCGATAAATAAATGCAACCAAGTGATGCGACTAGCGATACCACTGCTGTTGGTATTGTAGCTCTGGTTTTTGGGGTGGACGATTGAGACCAAAACAGAAATAGAGTAAATTGAAGAGATATATGAATTGAATAAGTTATCTGATTGTAAATGGGTCAACAATTGTCACGACCGAAACAGTCAGTAGTCACCATACTCCCTTGGCAGCGTATAACCATGAAGGCTTGACTTTTTCGGAGGACTTATAGAGCTTCCATATTCGGAATGGCCCTAAGACAAAGAGAATTGACAATGGAAGTAGTGCGAGAATTGTCTCTTCGAACAAGAGTGTGAAGTCAAAGCCGTGGTGACAGGAATCATTTACAATTGGACCAAATGAGTCCTCATCAGCCACCAAGCAGGGCAAACCTGGAGTTAACATGATTAGAAGATAACGACTACATAAAGAGGAAAATGAAGAATCAATCATAAAATTTAGGTCTTAAATAGTAGAAAGGAGTCTAGAAATGGAACTACGATATTTGAAATGTGGGTCGCAAGGCTGTCCCTTCACTCTCGCTTCATTGGTTCATGGCTGCTTTGAGATCGATTACACAATATGACTCTGATTGACTATGATTGACTCATCTTATGTATGAATCGAGAGATAATTATCGTATTAAATAGAGTATTTGTGTGTCATTCCCAATGCTGGTAAGATAAAGTAACATTGCATATTCCAGACTGATCACTATGTAGGATTATGATGACTCGTTTAGGCTCCAGGGTTCAAGTTCGTAATTGGAGGCTTCACATAATAAAGAACCTTGGAATGCAAGTGGACGCCTAACAATGCAGTATTTGAACTTAAATCATTTCAACGATACGCGGCTAGTACATTAAGCTTGATTTGGGTCGCAATCTAAATTGAAGTTTCGAGTTTTATTGCGGCATCGCGTCTCCAGCGAAAACATGGAATGGCTCATTGAGTGTACACCTGAAAGAAATCAAATCTTAATCGTCCCACTCTTCATCTAGCTGGTCGATCAAGCGATTTTCAGCGTCGACATCACGTCGACCACCAGAGCCTCGTCCTCCTCGACCACCAATTGCGCCAATGAATCCTCCATGGCTGTCAGAGCCCGCGCGTGTGTAGCCGTCGTGTGATGGCGAACGTTTGAAGCGCAAACAATTGCCCAAGGATGAGAAAATAATGACGAACATGTCCTGTTTCCAAGCATCGATAATTAGCATTCCATCATTTTGCATAGGATCTCAAAAACAAATCTGTAGATGGCAACAAATGGCGTATAATGAATCAACTACTTGGAGCGGTGACTATCTAAATGCATCCAATATCCTGCTCCCAAGTAGAAGAATCGAGTTCACCGGTCATCCTCATGGTACATGTACATCGATCAAGTAGAAAAAAGTGACTGGGCGCGTTGCGCCCAAGGAGCTGGAAGAAAGGAATAGTCGAACCATGAAAATGAACGCATCAATAAAAGTATCAAACTTTGTCTCAACGTAATCGAACCTCAGACCAGCCGAGGCACGCTTGATCCAGCCGCGAGACAGGAAGTCCACTAGAACTTTTATATTGATGCGAAGCCACGTCGCCACCTCTAGATCTTCGAGACCGACAAGGAACTAAAGACACAAGACATACCTTGACAAAGTCGAACATTCCAGCCCATAGGCTGAAATTCGGGCATTGGCGCCAACCGCGCTGGTGCATAACAGTGCGCTGATAGGCGCAACCTCCAACCATGTAGACAGCGACCGCAATGAGCATGCTATATTTGAATAAGTTAGTTCTGAGTTGGTATGGAATAGATGCTTCTTCAGAAACGAGGGAGCTTACATGACTCCGAATACGCCGGCTGGGCCTAGTCCTCCAGAGTTGGGATCCGCAGCAATACCACCGCACACAGCAGAGCTCCGGATTTCAAAATAGTAGGAGCAAGAGTCCATGGTACCGACGAAGGAGGTAGTCGCTTGGTTTGCAGGGGCGTCGCGATCGCAAAGGAAGGACATTAGCGTAGACTTCGTTCGGACAGAAGCATTCGAGCCGGCAGCGCTGGAGTCATCAGGGCACGGAGAGCCATTCGTGTAGTTCAGGATAAGTTTGCGACCACGGAAGAAAGGATCGGAAGCTTGTTCACTGCGTTAAAATAAAGGTTGTTAGTATGCGACGCATTCCGAGGAAGCTATCCAACATACCCCAACGAATATATCTTCCCATGCTGCTCGTAAAACGCGCTAATATTCTGCCATCGCGAAGATGATACACCAATGACATCCGTAAAGTTCTCAATCACCGGCGCGCATATGTTAAGCGTGAAATTGGCGGGGTAGTCGTGCCCCTTCGCGGTCCAGCTTTCGTCCCGATCGTCCTGCGATACTTTCTTGCCATTCTTCATTTCCGGTGGAGATAATGAGATTGAACTCAAGTCATAGTAGAGACCACTCGTAGGAGAGTGCGCCACACACGGGGACTCATCATCCAGGTGATTGTTACCTGCAGCAGAGGATATGCCCAGGATAGATGATAAGAAGAGGAGTGAATAATGAGCGGAGCTAGTCAGTTTCATGATGGGATGGTAAGATAAGGTAATGCCAAGTTTTTCAAGTAAGAAAAGTAAGAAAAGGAATGTCTAAAAAACAGGGAGACCAGCTCTCTCTCGTAAAATGTGGGTATAGTAAAAGAGATGGTTGAATGAGAAGGGGGGGGAAGGTGTTGAAGAAAGGCTTACGTTGCATGGAGTTGTGATTGGCGATGCGGAGAACCATTAGCGGGAGCACGGGATCCGGTATCGTACGCGCGACGATTAAAAGTTACTCGCTTGGTTATTGATGCCTATTTATTCGCTGCTTCTTCCCCCCAATTTTTAGGAGTTTAGCAGGGTTCAACTGATTCGATCCACTTCGATCATTACCTTGCGCCACTATGGCTCCTACAAAAGTTTCTAAGTCCCAAGCTGGAGTGCAACCTGTCCCTGACAAGCATGGCTATGAATTCGGTGGGCCGTATGTTTACTCTCAGTTCATATCAAAGGAAGCTTATATATTAACCCATTCATAGTCTAGGTGCCTTCGGAATCGTCTTTGGTCTGCCAGTCTTGGTTTATACGTTCACCTTCCTCTGTAACGATGTGTCTGGATGTCCCGCACCTTCGTTGCTCAACCCCTCGACCTTAACCCTCAATCAACTGAAACAAGAGGTGGGCTGGCCCCAGGATGGTATCACAGGACTCTTTGATTTACAGGTGACATTATGGACTTTGAGTTACTATGCTTTCAGCCTGTTCTTGCAAGTGTTCCTGCCTGGTCAAGTTGCGGAAGGTGTCTCTCTGGCATGCGGGGGAAGACACAAGTACAAGTTCAATGGTATGACGAGTTCAGGAATATCCTAAAATGGCCTCGACCATTACTAATGATACTCTTCTTGAACAGCCTTCCCCTCCGCTCTCATCATTCTCGGTAGTTTGGCCGCTGGAACCTACATGGATGGAGCTGATTTTGTCGTGTGGACTTTCCTGTGGGACAACTACGTGCAAGTTATCACTGCGAACCTGGTCATATGTTCGGTGATTGCATTCTTTGTCTATGCCAAGAGCTTCTCAGTTCCTAAGCCTGGACAGCCCAACCCTGACTTTCGAGAGCTGGCTCCTGGCGGTCAAACCGGCAATGTCCTCTACGATTTCTTCATTGGTCGCGAACTCAACCCTCGTATCCGTCTGCCCATTCCATTCGTCAGCGAGGCCTCACGAACCCTTGATATTAAGGTGTTTATGGAGATGCGCCCGGGTTTGCTCGGATGGACGATTATGAACCTCTCCAATGTGGCTCACCAGTACCGCACCTACGGGTATGTTACTGACTCGATCGTTTTAGTTACTATCTTCCAGGGTTTCTATATTCTGGACTCCCTTTACATGGAGCCTGCAATTATGACAACAATGGATGTGATTATGGATGGTTTCGGTTTCATGCTGTCCTTCGGTGATGTTGTCTGGGTCCCCCATCTCTACAGTGTGCAGAGCCGCTACCTTTCGATCTTCCCTCTCCAGCTTGGCTGGTCAGGGGTCTCCTTGGTTCTGGGTGTTACTGCTGTTGGATACTCTATCTTCCGTGGTGCCAACAACCAGAAGAACCGTTTCCGCACCAACCCCAATGACCCTCGCGTGAAGCATATCAAGTTCATTGAAACTGCCAGTGGATCGAAGCTGATGACCTCAGGTTGGTGGGGTCTGGCGCGTCACATCAACTACCTTGGTGATTGGATCATGGGTTGGGCCTACTGCTTGCCTACTGGCATGGCAGGCTATGCCATTATTGAGACCATTAACCCGGCTAGTGGTGCTATCCAGAAGCAAGCTGTGCAGAACCCTGAGGCGCGTGGCTGGGGAATGATTTTCACTTACTTCTACATCATTTACTTCGGCGTTCTATTGGTCCATCGAGAAATGCGTGATGAAGAGAAGTGCAAGAAGAAGTACGGGGCCGACTGGGACCGTTACACCTCGCTGGTACGCAGCCGAATCATCCCAGGCGTCTACTAAATAGAGCTTGCCTGCACTATTTCCTAAGAAATCGGAGGCCTGCGAGGCTAGGCCATTAGGGACAGCTGGTCTCCTCCGATCAAAATGGCTACTTTGTACATTAATTGTGATGCGACATTTTTATGAGCGTGGAAACAAAAGATAGAAGCTCCTGTGCCCCACGATGCGGTTGACTTTACCAAATATGCGTTTTTAATATTATTTAATTATCTTTTTCGGTGTGTTTCAGCGCTTTCGTTTCTTAGCATCTATCAAAACGTCCAATCCCCAATTCTCATCACCAAAATTTGGAGCCCAACCTTTGAGAGCCTCTCTGGCATCTCGTATCGCCTCTCTTCGGACTCGGAGGGGAGCTGAGGCTATATTGTACTTTATACTCTGGTATGTAGTTGTGTTTTTGAGTTCAGAGCCTGACCCTTCGCAAGGCCCATGCGATGCTGCAATATTCGTCTTAGTGCTCGGGATTTCAAGCTGATGATCTTGTGCGTCACCACTTAGCCCGACCATGATTTCCACGAGAGCCCATAGCTTCGCTCTAGAAAGCACTGAAGCACCTCGTGGGACGATCGAAGATGCCTTGTAGCCCTGCTTCACCCCTCCAATGATTGTTTCGTATAAGCCGGTTGTAGATTTTACAAGTGACGGCAGCTGCTTGCTACCAGTTTCTGATAACTTCATGGTATTCATATGTGAAGATGATGGTGCTGCAGCCCAAACTCCACTCACATTCCCTGGCTTACTCTTTTTTGGTAATGCCTGGGTTTCTGTAGCCAGTGTATGGTCTTTTGGTGGAGACGACGTCTGAGTTATAGATTTTGGCTTCGCAAATCGCCAAAGAGCTTGAATCTCCTCAGCGGGCACAGAGAGGACTTGGAATGGGTGAAATCGGTACCCAACTGTATCGTCTGTAGTCTCACCAGTCCAATGCCGCTCTCTCAATGCTTTCATCCGACCATTCTCTCCGAAGGATCTCTCGCATGCAATGCGACTAATTTCATCCTCGGGAAGAATAAGCCCCGCCAGGTACGCGTTCTTCGTTGGAGCAACAAGGTGACTAGTTTGCCATGAAAGCAAAGAAGAGACCTGTTTCAGGGCAAGTTTATCTGAGCAGGATTTACTGCGTGTGGACTCAGCGTCTGTTCGTGATGGTTTGCGGCGTACAACACCCAGAAGAGAAAAATGAGCTCGACCATCCAGAAGATCGTCATCCACCAAAGTGGGACCTTCTTGTGTTTCTGGATCTTGTTTGGTCTTGCGAACCACCTCCCATGGTGTTGCATCTTCTTGGGATGCCATGCAAAGCTCCATGCTACCATCGCCACATGGAGCACATGTGCAGTACATGTATAACTTGACGTCACGCTGGAATTCAAAAGGCGGCCAGTCTATTGAAGACTCCGAGGAGGTATTGCATTCATTTTTAGCTCTCCTTTGGATGAATGACGATGATGAGGGGTTCGAAGTGCTCCTATCTTCGGCCATCAAACCTTGACATTCCGTCAAGAGCCAATAGTTGAAAGCACGAATAGCTAATATTTCCGCATGACAATCATGTAGAACAAGGCCTCGACAGCGCTGCATTTGAGACGCCGATAGACATTTTGCTCCACTCCTACATTTCTGTCAATTATGTATGCAAAAGATGCCCATTTTGGTGATACCTACGTGATACTTATGCAGTGCAGACTCTCCGAAGGTGTATCTTCACCTAATATTAGATTTTCGTTATTTGAAGTCCTACATTTCTTAACGCTTCATATCTCAGCACGTACCCTTCACGGCTACAATACCAGTCATGGGGATCCACTCCCTAGAGCCATCAGGGAAGATCGTTGGTTTACTGCGATTTGGTAAGGCATCGAAATGATCGTGCACCAACGAAGCTATCCGGGACGGCAGCGGCGTCGAACATGTTGAATCAGGCATATGGAAGATCTCAACAGAGATAAAAGTCTAAAGAACCGATAAAAAAAATTATGCACTTTCATCCCAAATATCAAATCCGGGGAGTGCGTTAAAGTGTGATTTTGATATGTCATCACGTGATCTCATAACCTATCACTTCTCTAGACCTTCTTCATCTCCAACTACATTCGAACCACCAAACTCCACATCCTCAATCCAAAATGGCCGACAAGCTTCGTACTCTCCAGAACCTTGAGGCGCTGCAAGCGCGATACATTGGTACTGGCCACGCCGACACCACCAAGTACGAGTGGACCTCGAACATTATTCGCGACAGCTGCGCCTCCTACGTGGGCCACAACCCTCTGCTTTCTTACATGTCCGTTGGAATGGGAGATTCTAAGGAGAAGGTTCGAACAATGATGCTAGAGAAAATGGTTAGAGGTGCTGGGAATCCTCCAGAGGTAGGGGCAAACTTTCTTACCCCTCAAACCAAGAGAAGCTACTAATCATTCTTTGGCTTTTAGACGCAAGAGTGATGTTTCTCTTGAATTATACCCCGATATACGGACAACCCCCATCAGCACCGGCTCTTATTTACGCGCAATGAGACTGGGTCCTCCATTATGCCCTCCGCACCGATGTGCTCTCTGAAATGATACCCACCTTAAAGCTCTACCGGAAGTGTACGATATCTACAATACAATCTGCAATTCCAGTCTTGGAAAACTCTTCATACATGGGACTCTTTGAGCTGAAATTGGATTCTGGCATCCCACTCTTGGATGGTAATTTCCCAGGCCTGGCTATCTATCTGGAGAACGATAGATTCGGTATGCTACAGTTGCATTGCAACTATTTCATCTACATTGAGCATCTTTGCATGATTGGACTTTGGGATTCTGCGGCCACGAGCCCCCACTGAATGTTGGCCCGCAAAGATAGACCACTTCTTTCTACTCAAGACAATAATACTATCTTCCACGAATCATGAAAATTAGGCTCACTCGCTAGAAAACATAGTACATTGAAAATGCAGGGATACAAGAGCTATGAAACGGCTCAAAAATCAAAGATCACACTTCTAACCCTTCAACCACTAGACTCTTCTTTCGAGTTCTTTGCAACCAACTTCGTATTCTCCGCCTGTAAAGAAGCAACAAGATCCACCCATTTCTGTCGCTCAGTGCGTAACTTCCCAACTTCTTTCTTCAAATCCTTTACCTCCTGTCGTAAACTTTCAACCTCAGATCTAGTCTTAGTCTTCTCCGACCGCTGGGCATCTTTTCGCTGACGCGCCTCAATTTTCGAGGCAACTTTAATCTGACTAGCCTCGACCTTGCGGAGCTGCTTCAGTAGCTTCGATTCCTCATTTAAAAGCTGCGAAGTGGCCTTGTGCCTATGGGACGGCAGTTCAGGCGTTGGGGTCAGAGACTGAGACCCATTCTGCCCATCGCTACTGCTACTTTGTTTGGAGCCACTGTTCGGCGTTGCGGAACGGTTTTCGGCAGCTCGTTTAAGCATCCCGCTTGTATCACTGTCCGCGTCATTCAGAACACCCTTTGTTGGTGTTAAGGGGGCGCTTTGTGTTGTGATATGAAGATTGCCAAGTTCGGCGCGAATTGTATCTAGCTTGAATTCGATTTCCCGTTTCCGAAGCGCTAGCTTTGCTAGGTCTTTTTCGTTGGATGTGAGTTTTCCGTTCTTTGTCAGTTCCATTAACTCTGCTGGTGTGGCATTGTTTTGGACGACTTCATCAACGATCGGTGTTGCCGTCTCAGAGCATCCGGAAGCTAAAGAGGCTCGTTCGGGCTCTTTTTCAGTGCTTGATTGAGCATCGTGATTGTATTTTTCGGTAGATGATTTGGTACTTTGAGCTTCCATCTCGTCTGTGCTCTCCTCATTCATGTCGAATGCTCCTGGAACAGATCGGGGTGGTTCTCTGTTACGTGGCATATAACCATAGACTGAGCGTGGAGCGTAACGCTCAATGCTGGAGTTGATCAGGCCAGTGACGCTGGCGATAAGTCCGTGATGGGAGACAGTGTCCGAGTCACTTAGGTCATAGTCTGAATCATCACTTTCTTGTTCATCATTATTGTCATCACCGTCGCAGTCGGGTTTCTTGGTTGATTCCTCGGGAACCGAGTTGGGACAATCAGCCTCTTGATTATCCTCATCTTGTGAATTGATGGGTTCCTCATTAGGACCGTCTGTTTGCATAGCCCAATCAACAAACTTGGCGGCATCGGCTCCTACACTTCTCGGGGTGCCTTTGTCAACCATCCATCTTGGAATGCTGCCACCGGGGTCACTCCTCGTAACCATGATCCATTCAACTGGGTTCAAATCCTCGTCCTGGTTTTGAGATTGCTGGTCTGTAGTCTCACTTTTCTCGCTGGTCTCGGTCTTGTTCCCACCGGTTGTGCTCGCAGCAGAGCTACTGCTACTCATAGAGAGACTTTTCCTCGGGATCTCACGGATGAGTTCAACCGACTCATAGTTACCCCTGGTATAACCTTGCTTGGGTGGTACATCGGGATGATCACAAGGTTTGGAAATCATCAACCAACTCCGACCAGGCTGTTGAGTCCCACCGATCCGCAACCCCAAATCAGACGTAATTATCATCGCCACAAAGTCTCGTGGTGCTGTAGGTTTTGGAAACTGCGCGGAGACATGGTAGACCGTTATTTGAGCAATCACAGTATCGTCTTCGTCCTTGACCTCCATCGTCTCCACCTTTTCCTCAGCTCCAATTCCACGAATACTCTCATCGGGAGTGCGACCTTTTTCAATCTTCTTCCTATTGGCCTTCAAGGTCTCATCGTACTCCGATGAAAGCTTCTCTTGCCATCGTGTAAATGACATTCCTTCATGTATACTCCGTCTTCCGAACCATGAGCCGCCCCCGTCATTAGCGGAGACTTTCCAAACGTGTACACCGAGAGGGTTGTCTTTCGGGCCTCCCATCTTTATCGGCTTGCCCCATTGTTTCTGTAGAGGTATAATTTCGGGATCGGTCTCGCCAACTCGTACGGATGAAGGGACGACACGGGCGGAGGATGAGGCATTCGGGGTGTTTTGCACTCCATTCTCGTAGGGTGGGGGATCTGGAAGGGACTCTGCTACTAGACGACTGCTTTTGAAGATATCTCGAACGTACTCCCGTAGTTCTTCGGGGGATTTGGGGACTGAATCCCACTTCGTCGGCTGGAGACAGCGGAGCGCATCGTGTAGAGAGGCCATAGGGGCCCTGGTATCACGTCAATGGATTGAGGTTTGTCGAATGAAAGATATTTGTTCTGATGTTCCTGAGTCCTTGATTAAATAGTAATGTCAACCGAAAGCTCAAGATCTGGAGACCAGCAGGCAACCGTGAATCATGAGACACATATCCAGACGTCTCTTGTGATGGAACATTAAGCTCAGACATACCAGATAGGGTCGAATAGGAGATCTTGTAGAAGAGACCGTTGATTCAGTGATTTAATGACACCAATTAATCAGGATCGAGGGGTCTTTGGTATCAATGATAGTATGTAGAAAACTTTGCGGGGAAACGGAGTGGGACGCTTAAGCTGTCCGGGAACGGTGATCTAAGAGTTGCTGCCACGACTGCCATAAATGACTTTTAATAACACTCTATGTTGAAGAAAATGAGATTCTTTGCCACGATCACTGAGATAGTAAAAGCTTACTCGGCATTTACGGCATCTTTCTCACCTTGATGATATTCAAATATTCCAAGCCTGCTTGACAACCCCGAGATTCCTGACGTCATACAGTACAAAGTGGAGCGAGTTATGCTATGAACTATATCTCTGCCCTGAATATTTGTCTATTAATGCCCCTGATTTTCAATGATCTACAGAATTATTCATACTTATTCTACAAGACTTGTTTTATAATTCTACACTTGTTTGAAATTGATCTGAAATCATATGCTGATCAAGAATGCTGCTTACACGGGTAAATCGGAAGCCGGCGGCGAGATTACTGTGCAGCAGAAGCCGGTCGAATACACGTAGAACAATCATAAATAGATTAGACTAACCGTTCCAATTTCAAATATTTCTTTTTTTGATCTACTTTAATTTATGATCGATCATTTTTTGTACCTTACTCGGAGAGTGGAGCAGTTTGTGGTAGTATGCACCTTTCAAAAGAGTTTACTCTAAAAGATACGTACAAATTGGAGTTAAGAGTTGACAGATTGACAAAAAGACAAAGATAGACAGCCAGCGCGGGAAGTCTTGCTTCCCGGACTTGACAAAAGGAATAAAACCTGCATCTGATTCCCGGTGTCAGGATTAAAACGAAGAAAAGCTCAATCACCCAGTGAAGGAGCTCCTGACACCCGGGCTTTTCCAGTAATGCTCAAAGCCCAGCCTGGATAGTATAGGAGATGAACCTAAAGTGCTGGTCAAGGCGATTTAATGATGAGATCGAGAAAGTTGAAAAGAAACCCAGCGATCCAACCCATGCGTTGAAAGGTGGGATGTATGAATGTTTCAGGTCACAGACCTAGAAATTCAACACCAGACCCTTCGCGACCATTATCCGCCACAGGCGAGAATTTCATAGTCTGAAGAGGGCAATTGCCATAGTTTTCTTCTCTCTTTTCTCTGATGCTCATCATCGTAAGCCATGGCCAGCGAAAAATGGGCGATCAACACCCAAGTCACGTAGACTTGTCCCTCAACCGTCTCAATCAAGAGCAGGTTGCCAGTCCGATATCCTGTATCAGAAGGAGAGTCTTCCATGGTGATCAACAAAAAGAGTAGCACACGCCGAATCCAGTCAACGATAGACCTCATTGCCACCAGTCACCATCGAGCCGTAACAAAGAAAAGAAGACATAACGATGGACATTGCACATCCGAATTCATATCCCAGCCGCGAGGCATCCTGGTCTTCATGACATATATTTGGGACATGAAACAAAAAAAAGAAAATAACACAAGAGCCGACCCGCGCTTCTCGATGCAAAGGAAAGCTGCATAAAAGGACATAATGCTGACACTGGCTGAATATAACGCGAACAAAAAGTCAAGAAAGAAATAACAGAAAAAAAAAGCAAATGCCAAAAGAATTATTCTGATATGATGCAATGCCAACGAGGTGGAGTATCACAGATGCAAGGTCCATTGCAGAAGAACGCCGTCAATAATGCCAATTAATCAGAGGATTTGATGCGATCCGGGTAGGATACACATAATGATTGTCGGAGATTGCTGAGTCGTACGGGGGCAGTCTGACCAAATAAAACGATCCACGTTTTAGGAATCAGGCGTAGCGAGTCGAGGCTATAAGAGTCATCACCGGTAAATGAAAGAGAATCGACACCATCGAGCCAAAACGTCGGAGACGGTGGGGGAAGATCTTAGATCGTCGTGCCGTAGGGCAAGGGAGCGAATTCTCCCCAACCAAAACCGCCCATATTGAATGCTGTGCCGCAAGGTTGTACAAGCATGCTGGGAAGCGGGAGGGGCGCGAGGACCATGGAGGCCGTTACCATGTCGTACTGCGAATATGGCGCGGTGGTGAAGGGCTGGCTATAGGACGGGGTCGGCGATGGCAGCTGGGCTTCACTGAAACTGAGACTAGCCCAAAGATTCGGATTAGAATCATCCGTGCTGGCTGGACTGGGCGACAGTACTTTCCACGACTCGATTGGCGCGGATGGTGGAATAGGAGTATGCCACCAAGCTTCAGGGCCGGTCGAACTAGGTAGAAGAGGAACGGGACGCATCACCTCCACCACCCGTGGTGGAGGTGGTAGCAGCGGCACGAACAAATTCGAGATCGCCTGCTTTGCCTCTTCGCTCAATCCACATAGTAACTCTCCGGCACCGTCCTCCTCCAATCCTTCCAAAGCCTCGGCATTGGCGCGGTACACGAACTTGTTAGCGGCTTGCACAAACTCCTCCTGTAGCTTCTTCAGTTGGCCTTGCTTCCCCGACCAGTCCCAAGTGTTGGCAGCGGTATCTACTGAGTAGATCTCTTTATGATAATCCACCAAGGCCTCGATCGTCTCCGGGGTCAGCTTGAATGCCACCTCATTCCGAGAGACCATGTCAACATGTACAACGTAGGCCTCGATATGGATCATCTGATAGTTAAAGAGACCTTGAATGAGTGGATCATCATCCTTCCGTAGTTCCGCCTCGGGAGCCTTGGTGAACATCATGGAGCATAGGGTCCAGATCGCATTTGCCGATGATAAGGTCTCTGTCAAGCACCGGGTGTGTTGGGTGACATTGTTCAGAGGACGCTTGACCCGATTCACTCTCTTAAGTGTCGCTGTCAACCATGGCGCAACCTTCCTATTCAACACGACATTCGGGGAGGAGCGCGGCGCAAAGGCCGCAGCGGAAGAAGGAAGTAAGACTGTTGGCATTATGTTTCTCTGCGAATGAGGATACGTCCGGCGTTGGCAAAGTAAATAAAAGAATGTAGGGATTGAAGACAAGAATCATAAAGGCGACATTCGCCCACACAGTACACCAAAGTTGATAAGCAATCGTGGATAGGATCAAAAAAAAAAAGTTGGTGACGTTCTGGAATAATTCTCGGTTGGGAGTTAGATAAGTCGCATACTCTGATGAGAATATTTGGAAGCCAGATGGGAATTTAGATACTATTAATGTGCGGGCGAATGCGCGAAGAAAAGAAAAATGAAAGAAAAGAAGGAAATTATAATATCAAAGGAGAGGACATGAACCGTCACGATGTTATAGAAAGATAAAAAGAAAGGTGGAAGAGAAGAACACCACCATAATAGTCGGGAGGGACGGGATCCGCGATACCCAGAAAAGGCAAATACTAGTGGAGATTTGAATTCTCTACTTGAAAAACTGAATACTCTAGGGCTTGTCGTATCTGTATGCAGCCAAATGGAGTCGGGTATAATACAAGTAATATTTTTCTTCGGACTCCCCGGTCTACGGAGTACATTCAGTACAATCAGTACATTCAGTTACGGAGTACATTAGAATCGGGATTTCGGGTGGCAAAAAGAAACCATATTATGCATTGCCAGAGTATTATGCATCAAGCGGGAATTGAAACAATAAAGTCCATTGTGAGAACCAACCGAATAGATCATGTTACAGTTTCCAGAAATATTAAATAAAATAATAATAAAATAACCAGAGTATCATGATTTTGAAACTTCCAAGGTCCTAATAAAATACCGAACTTTTCACTCGTACAGTATTTCTTAGTCTCACGGCCTGCGCGTTGCACATCCATTTGGTCGGAGCCATATGCAAGATGCCCCAAACTGCAACAGCTAAGCCCCCAATGATCCGCGCTGCGAAACAAGAGACATCCTTCTTGAAAATCTTCCGAATAAACTAAACATTTTGGAATTAGGGGGGCAAAATAAAAAGGAGAATGGCGTCTTGGCTTGCATTTTGCATGTTTATCTACATGAGATGTATGCACCCCGACCTATTGTCTTCATCTTCTCAGCTGGTATGTGTTCAAGAACCATAATAATCTTAGAATCAACCTGCATGTATTTTCTTTCAAAACCTTGTAAAAAATACATTGGATTGTGCGATGGAGAATCAAACTGGATCTATGGAGAAAACAGAAACAATAGCAACCATGGAAACCATGAGCGCCTTTCTATGCCGCTAAGAATTACTCCACAAACCCTAACCAGAATGATCTTACGGCCCTATCGCACCATATCTATTCAAATGTTGATCTCCCACGTTCCTCTTCGAGAAGGGTGTTTCAAAGTCCAATATAAGGGAGATGTTACATTATACTCCGGATCCAAAAAAAATAAATGAAAAAAAATAAAATAAAAATAAAAATAGGGGGCCCGAAACATTCGAACAAAGATACGTAGATGATTCCCTGTTTGGATTTTTTTTTCTCTCTAGCCCTTTCCTTTCGACGAGTTGAATACCGCTAGGACGGTGGGATGTGGACGACCTCAGCTGATGGAGGGTCGAGCAGACGTGGGGCAAGTTGGTCTTGGGCCGCTTCTGGTCCCGGATTCGTCGGCCATGACCGAGTCCGCCCGCTGCACTAAATGCTGAGATCCCTGTTACGATCTGCGATTGGGCTGAGCCTCGATGACCGCTCATAGACTTTTTGGAGAGGCGCCCATCCGGACTCCCAGCGGTAACAATACCTGTTTTGTTGGTTCTTCAGGGCCCCGACTCTTTTGTGTGAGGGCCACATGATTGGGAAGTGATCTCATCGTTCTCCCTTCCATGCATGAGGCTTTCTTCGTTCAATCAGAATCCTCGATTCCCGCAACCCTGGAGCCTGGCGGCATATGATTTCGGTCATGTGGTCTTGGAGGTTGCAAGGGGGGGTAGGGACAGAACTGCTCGGTTGGAGACGGCTTTGATAGAGAAACCTGCAATATGATTCTAAATACAGATCAGTATGGAACCATTTTCGGGCTCTATGGGGACATCTGAGCAAGATTTTTCAAGATTGTGTTGGTATATCTCGGAGAAAGCGATGTAAAGTGATGTAAAGTGATGTAAAGCGACGTAGGCGTGGTATTTTTTTTTTTATGTATAGCAACTCCAGTATACTGCGCCTCACTTAGCGCCACGTCACTCGCCACTCCAGCCACGTGGCACAGCCACATGTATAAGGTATACGGAGTACATACTATAATGCATTGACATTCAGGTTGCTACATTTAAGCGCCTGTCAGAATTTTCACCAGCCAGTTTGCACTACCTTCCAATCGGTTAAGCTCAAATGCTTGTTTTTAAAACTTGAATGACTCACACTTGCATATTCGCGGGTTGAACCCAGCTGACATCAACCTTGAAGTTCCCGCAGCATCACGCCTCACTGTGCCGGTTAACCACAACTTCAAGTTCAAGTTAGTATCTCAAATATTTTCTGATACTACACCAATAGCCCTGTATCTGTATTTTATGAGTCATTGGATGGGCGACAAATTTGAAACTGGACTGTCGTCATTCTTCACCGACAATATGTCCCGATATCGTTCAACTTCCGAGTCGGAGTGATGCCCAACAACGCTTCATCCGCATCTATTTTGCGTATATTGAAATATTTGGTTTCAGAGAGACTTCATATTTCAATAACTCATTTTCGGGACGACGTCATCACTGTTTTCTTCATCCCTATTCCATGACATTTTGAACGGATACCTGCAACTGGTCAAAACTTGTCATCCAAACCTCCGAGTCCTCATCCCTGGAGTACTATCCGAACTTGAATGCACATGTGATGAGTTCAACGCGGGCGCCTAAAATTTCCAACTTCAATTGACGATCTTTGCATGTGACAGGTGATAGGTATACTGCTATATTCATCACTTACATATTCAGTCTATACTGCTGTGATACTATGGGTTGAAATGAGCTTGAGTTTATTGAAGTAGTATTCATCATCTGCATGAAGACTTTTTGGGACTTCCCTATACCAGGATATCCCAGCACCTCAATCCTGGAGGAGGCCTCGCTCGCATTTACTAGTTCCAGTGGACTCGGACAAGACTCACTTATTTTGAGTTCACATCCATGAATGTTATACCTATACGGCTGTGTATGTGTGCCCGGGTGTATCTATAGGTATGGATTTGTCCTCTAAGTTTTACAAGAAAGTAACGCGGGCATATCCGCTTGAATTTACTTTCAGTATGTCTCTTCAAATGTTGAAAAGTCAATTTAGTAGTCATAGAGTTGAAACATTTTCAACCTTGGAATGGATCCCACGAATGCCCACTGGAACTAGTATGCCACTTCAAGTTTCAAACCCCGACTCGAGTTGTGCAGGCTCGGCGCTGATCAAAGCCTTCAAGTTAGAACAGTGCTAAACGGAAGTGCATGTAACACGACTCAACCATAGGCCAGGTGTGATTTAAGTTTGTATGCATCGAGGCGCCAACTGGTGAATAATGTATAGTAGTCGCAAACTAGAGAGGATTCCTCATCATGCCCAGGTGGTTATCTCTTTCAAGTCTTTTCAGACAAAAGGCAGTAAACCAGACAACGCTACACAGATAGAGCAGAAACATTTGAAAAGTCAATCTATCATCGGAAAACTTGAACCTCACTCTGGCTTGTAATACGACGATGCATGGATATGGGTAACAGGATATATCAAAACCTCAAAAGTTCAAGTTGGGCATCATGATCATGCTCAGGCTTCAGGCCTTACAAGTTCAAGTTCTTGCAGATGTCAGTTTTCATCCATTTTCAAGTCTCATTTCAAAGTTGATACAACAGACGAATTTTGAGGTTATTATCCATGTTATTGTCCAAGCCTTGGCATTTACTGAGCTTGATTGGTAATGGATTCAAAATCGGGCACTATAGCCTTGGCCATCACGTGAAAAATAAGCCTCACAACATTTCCAGCTAGAAAACCCCCAAATTCTTCCAAGATTCAAGTTGTAATTGCAAGCTATAGCTCAGAGATCTTGGAAGTTGAACACATACGAATGGACTCCAAAAACACAGAGTCAATAATTCAGAGCTATGTCACCCCGAGTGATCAGCCGCCGGTCTTTAGTGCATGCAATGGAGTAGAAAAGCCATTGCTGATTGTTCTTTTGACAACTCTGAGCCCAGAATTACATCGAAAGCTTGTCCATTACTATAAAGCCACACTGAGTGAGACTGTGGACATTCAGACATGGGCTCCCTCTGGGGCATTGCTCCAGTCGATAGCAAAACAGGGCCCACACATCGATAGCTTGGGTAACATCTATGCGCTTGCAGTGTTTTTGCATAGATCTGGCTGGACTGGATTTGTTGTTGCTGACGAGCTGACGAAGCGTCAGGTCACCACCACTTGCCGTGTTGGAGAAGACACCTCTATTTCAGTCGTTGTGGTCACGGTTCAATCGGAGGCTGCAACACCGACCCAGCCACGTGTGTCCGCTAGGCGAACAAATCCGGATTTCAAGGACGAAGTGAAGCTTAGTGAGCTTTCCAGCGGCACAGTGAAAGAGGTGCACCGAGTGCAAGATAAGACACCTGCTTATTTTTGGTCCGAAGTGGGCGGTTTGCTCCTAGATTCTGATCACTCAGTGTTTGCGCCTAACACCACCGACTGTTTAGGCTGGGAGAAATACACCGAGTCGTTGAAAATGCCGCAGGAACTACCTCCATCAAGGCCAGGGCAGACAAGCCCTTTACATCTGAATAACGATAACACAGTTGTCGACATGCCTATTTGGGATCGTCCGCAATGCGCGGAGCACATGCATATCTTTCTCTTTTTCCCCACAACAGCGGAGGACTTTCAAATCATGCAATCGATTATCCAGGAAGCTTTGTCAAAGCACCTCGAAGGAAATCCTTTTCGACCTACGAACATGACAGTGGAGTTAATTGGACTCGAAAAGCATAAGATCAAATCTCGTCGCGAACTTATGATCTTCCGAGCAGAAAGTTACAAGCAGCAGGTACTGTTTGAACCATTTTATTTCCTCATGGATCCTATCAAGAATGCGACCGATATCGAGAATGCAACTTTCGGCTATTGTCGTGACGAGGACCCTGCTGCATTCATCGCTCTCACATCTTTCGCTGGAATGGTCAACTTCTTTCCATGGATATCACCACGGATACAATGGCATTTACAGCGGCAAAAGCTGTCTGGAACGAAGGAAATTGAGTTTCTTCATAGTCCTGGAATTCCATTCTACCATAACCCATTTCCATGGGAGGCCTGTCAGCCGCATGAAGACTCATTCGATTGGATACCCGTGTTCTACCTGACGAAACATTTGACGGCAGAGGAAGATGGAATTGTCAAAGCCGAGATCAATCTTGATATTTTTGGCGAACCTGGAGAACATGTCGCATCCTGTTATGTTCCGTGGGAGGCAGAAGAGGATGCCACGCTGGAAGATATATGGGAGCTTATATTGATGCAACATAGAAGAACCGGGTTCGTGCCTGACACATTCTTCTGCATTGATCGACAAGCACTCGAGAGTCATGATTTTCTGACAGTCGAGGCGGATGTCTTTTATAAAGAGACTGGCGAGGAGTACCCCGATCTTCTAAAAGACCTAGAATACCCCCTCCTGCGAGGTTTCTGGTATTGTCGTATCAGCGGAGATATGTGCCACGACGCGAAGGTTCAACGTGGTATCGACAACATGGCTTTTGATGAGCTTACAAGGGAGAAGCCAAAGTGGTTCCGACGACCTGATTGGCCTGCATCATGATCTGAACTGACATATAAGCATTTGAATGAGGCTACACATTTAGAGTTAGAGCGACCGAATTATTCAGAGATTTTTCGAGGGTCTCTTATACAGTGTAGATAGATCGACTCCGGTCATAATGATCTGTTCAAATGTTCCATGTTGATTAACGGAAATGGTGCAGGTTGAGTATTTTTAAGGTTCACTAAAGTACTAGGTGCCGGGGTCAGTGCTAAATACCCCTACACACTGAATAGCCTGAATAGCCTGGATACATCCACCTGGGCATGTAGTATACTCCGTACTAGTACCTAGTATAATCAGAATTTAAAGGTGATCAAGACTTAGCTATACTAGCTATTTAGTCTCATACGGAGTACTCCGAGATCGATATACAGATCATCACGAACCGATGATCATCGTACCTCGTACGGAGTAAATGCTACAAACAGCATTTGAGATGTTTGTAAGGGGGAAAAACGGAGATTGCGTGGGGCTCAATGGATCCACTTGTCGCATCTCTATGTCTATCATTTCTACTCCTGTGGACTCGACCGCAGGATTCTTCATGTGCCCAAACATTGTGCCCGTGTCATCTTCACTTATATTTGGATTTCAACTTACCCCTCAATGTACATTCCAAGTACATACATGTGGAAAAAAAATATCAAACAATCTACTCCGCATTCCAAACTAGTTTCGGTTAACCTAGAATACCGAGGTCAACATATGACTATAGCGGCTGAATGAATTCCGGTTTTACTTTTGGCCCCCAGGCCCCTAAAAATTCAAGAGGTAACCCGCACTTTATGTAGCCTATCATCATCTTAGGCTTGAATCAAAATATGGAGTCTACGGCCTCCTCTATGCTGCACCAGCATTCCTTCAACCCCATATTAACCAATCATCAACTCTGGCCACGCACTATAGACGGCGCAGCATCTTTTCGCTAAGCAGAGCAGAGGCTTATTCTAGTAAGGACCTCCGACTGTGCAGGGGTTTCAATGTAGGTCCGATGTAACTATTTGCCTTACCAGCCCCGCACAATCCTGGTGCTTTTTAAAAGCTAGGGGGATCTTTACATCCAGATGTCGCGTTTCGAGTTCCACTTTCTGTGATCCCTGTCACAATTCTGCCCCAGGTGGTCCTTTGGTGCTTTTTGTTGGGCTTTCTAAGGATTTAAATCGGTGGGACTGCCACTACTGGATTCTGGTGCATCTACGGGTTGATACCCAATCTTCATTTTACGCCTTTATATACGGTCGGAGTTGTCCTCGTTAATCCGGGGGTTCACCCGAACCGCTTGTCATGTCTGAGCTAGCGATGACCGACATCGAACGCTCGAATGAGGAATCATCAAACCTCATTGCAACAAAAAATGGAGATTCTACGGTAGATGCCACCCCAGATGTCCCATCAGATAGCCCAACACAAGTCGAGAAGGCCAGTGAGGAGCGAACGTTTGATGGAAAGATTCAGTCCGATACCAACGATGAAGAACAGGCTCTTTTAAACGAGGCGAGGTCTTGGAGTCAAGGCTACAAGCTCTTTGTCTCGTTCAGTGCGATCTTTGCGATGTTTAATATGTGAGTATATGCGCGCTCTTGATTAATGTCCCAGCATCATGATATAGACAAACAAAAAATGTTCAATTACTGAGAACTATAGCACAATGGCTACCTCGGTATACATCGCAAGTATCTACGGAATCATGGCCGAATTCAACGTCGGTCTAACATTGGCAATTTCCCCGATTACGTTCTACGCCATCGGTTTTATTATCGGACCAATGGCTACATCTGCACTCTCAGAAGAATTCGGCAGACAATACATTTTCAAGGCCTCATTGTTTCTCCACTTGGTATTCACCATTGTCGGCGGATCAGCTCAGGAGTTTCGAACACTCGCCGTCGCCCGTGGAATTTGCGGTATCGTGGGATCGCCCTGTCTATCCGTCTTCGCAGGATTGTTAAACGACCTATGGAAAATGCCCGAGGATAAAACCGCGACTGTTCTTTTCGCGGTGTACGGTTTGATGGGGGGAGCAGCGAGTGAAATCGGACCCATTTCTGGCGAAGCGATTGTCTCGGATCGGAACTGGCGTTGGAGCTTCTGGCTTACAGCTATGCTAGTCGGAATCAGTTTCTTACTTTTGGTCACAGTTCCAGAGACATATGGACCGGAAATCCGACGAAAGAGACTCGGGCAGCCTCGTAAGGGCTTCATGAAAACTCTCGGTCCTTCCTTTGCTCGCCCTTTCCATATGTTTATGGTCGAGCCGATTATTCCCCCTACAGCTGCTATTGTCACCATGGGTCAGATTGTTGTCTTTGTGTTCTATGCAAGCTACCCTGATATGCTGTCGTCGCAGTATGGCTTCTCGTCCTATGAGCAGGGTCTTTCATTCATTCCCTTGCTGATTGGAACTCTGCTCGCATTACCTGTTCTCTCGGCAACAATGAAAAAGAGAGAGAAATCCGGAAATCCTCAGCCAGAAGATACTATGCCTGCTGCACTGATTGCAGGCATTGTTTTGCCCGTCAGTCTATTTTGGTAAGATTATATTTCTCCATCCGATCAGGGTTTACTTCTGTATTCTAACGCACAACAGGCTTGCATGGACCGCTCGCTCCAGTATTCATTGGATTTGTCCCCTAATTGCAGGTGGCTTCTACGGATTTGGATTTGCTTTGTCACAGGTATGTTGCCGAAAAATGAAATGTTTAATGCTGTATACTGAGACTCGATCCCACAGCTTGTGTATCCACTCTACAAGAATGAAGTCTACGGAGCCGAATTGGGCGCCTCTTCATTTGCGATCGACGTTGCGATACGATACACCTTCTCCTCAGTTTTCCCCTTATTTACCATTCAAATGGTTGATGCCATGACATTCAAATGGGCAATTTCTATGTGCGCGTTTGTATTACTGATATTGGCGCCGGTTCCTCTGATTTTGCAGAAGTATGGCCCAGCCCTGCGAGCTAGAAGTCAGTACGTCAAACGCAAGGAGGCAATCAGTTGATGATCTATCTGTGCGATGACCTTCAAGTTTGCATTGAAAATTTGGCGATTCCTTCTGCGTTATGTTTATTGACTCGGGCAGAGATTTCATATCGTTCAGATTTGTATTATGAAATCAGTAGATATTTTTGTAATAGGATTGGATTCTATTAATTATTCACGAATTGAAAATGGGCTAGACCCGAGCAATGAATTTCATATTGATCATGTTTCTCATCTATCTTCTCTTGGATAATCTCTTCTAATGGTATTTTTCGTCACAAAACCTCAAGAGTGGTAGCGGAGGACAAAGAGCTATAAAAGCGCAATTATGCCCCGAATAGGCAAAAACATCGGGTAGACAGAGTTGCTAGAACAACAGAGAGCTAGATTTACATATGACGTGTCGGATCTCAGTTTTGTGGATCTTTTGAACAAAGAAATCAGTTTGTGGATGCAAGAAATACGTGTTCCTTTCAAAGGATTTTGACCCACTTACATTACATTGTTCAAATGTTTGGGGCGAAATCAGAGTTGAGGTTCAACTTGAAGTTTCATGAAGCGCTTAGGTGATGACATGAAATCCACTGGGCGGCTACATAAGAGTTTATTATCCACATCTGGATCGTGGCGTGTTTCAAATACCTGACATATCTCAGATGAAACCGAAAATGTATAGTCTGAAGAATCCCATCTTGAACATCCTGTTTCATGACTCGGATAGCCTCAAACTCGAATTGTGCCAACAAAACTTCAGCCTAGCCCCACCATCGCAGAGAATCCACCATGTCAGGAATGGTGTCATGTTTTAAGATAGCCGAGCCTAGCGGCATGGAAGGATTCACTACATTCCCCCGGTGCACCACCGCATTACGTCTCACTCCAGAAACTCGCCTTGGGTTTCTTTCAGTAGCAGTTGGTACTCAGGCTCGAACTGCATGTACATAGCCTCGGGGCTACCTGTTCCCTTTTTAGTATATGACGCAGTCTCATCATCGACGATAGTCTTTTGCAAATTCCCCAGAACGCTTCCCACGCTTCCCGGTGCAGTAGATGCCTCCACCAGAAGCTGAGTCTGACATGCTCATTCTAGTGCAATGAAGAATGCAGCTGCCTCAGCCACCGTTTCACCAGCGGTGAGAAGGCCATGGTTTTGCATGATCAAGTTCTTATTCTTCGACCGGAGGTATTTTGCGATTCTTTGACCCTCTTCCTGGGCAAATACTACGCCCCCAAATGCCGGATACACAGACAGGTCATTGTAAAACATGCATGAGTCTGCGATAATCAGCAAGGGATGCCTCTACTAGGAGCCGATCACTCTGGATGGCTTCTGTGGAACATTCCATACCTTGATTTAGCATGTCGATTGCCTTCCCGAATGCGCTCCAGGCCCTGCCATATGGGCTATGCATATGGCATGCCGCGTGGATATCGGGCCATTTCTGATGGATCGCAGAATGAATCAGAAACCCAGCAGCATTAACTGGCTTATCTGCTCCTCCGACTCGATTTCCTTGCTCATCCACTTGAACCATATCTGACACCTTGAGTGTTGCAAAATGAACACCGTATGGATTGAGCCAAAATGTTTGAGGTTCAATAGGGTCTGTCTGGTTAGAGCATGTAAAGGTAGAAAGGAACCTGTAGACACACCTCGAAGACTGATGTGGCCGCTACTCCCACCGGCAAACCCCAACTTTGCAAATATCCGAAAGGCAGCTGCCATTTGCCCAAGAAGCCATTTTCTCTCTGCTTCTTTGGTTGTGGGCCGAGGAATGTGGTGTAGCCTTTTCACCTCCCCATCGCCGTTGTGCTTTTTGTTGAGCGCTGAAGAGCGTGTGTCAGTCTTGGTTGTCGTGATACTAGACATTCTCAAAGGGTCAGTCTTTTCTGAGCTCCCGTGATATGATTAAAAGTGGTTGGTCTGTAAAGAAGTGTATCATCCACACTGGCAGATTTTAGTGAGGAGGGGAAGTGAGAGATTCAACCCCGCAAGTCCCCATGACGTGCTAAATCCGTGTATCAGTTCGGAAAAGCAAAGGGGCTCTCTTTAGAATATCTTGGAGAGCTCCCGATTCTACTTCATATGGAAATCGATTCTGATCAAACGTTCTATTCAGTACATTTTACTACGCTTGGTTTAGTTTCTTTCCGCGTTGAATTTGAAACGGCCTTGTGTTTCAATAAACATGGAATTTACTGTTTATACAACAATCTAAGACATTCTTCTGATTGATCGTCAAAAAGAAATGAGTCCATCTATCTTTGAGCCTTGAGACTCACTCGCGAAGTGCCCAAAGAGGCAACTCGTCACAAGACTGCCACGGAAATCCGGGGTAAGCGACTTGGCGAGCGACTGCGCCTCCTTCATGATGCATCGGAGCAGACAAAGCTCCGCTCATGCAAATACTATACAATGAGGTTAGCGGCTAAGGTCTTGGGTCCATGGAATGCAACAGTGTTTTATAAGGATCAGTCATGAGACCAAACGACCCAGCATACTAGTATTCGCACTCGTCACATCTTTCATTTGTCTGCTTCCAAGATGACTGATCAATGATAGCAGGAAAAATATCAATTGATTGCATGGTACCTCTCATTTATATCATTTGGTACATTATGCCTCATGCAAGACATTGCCCCGTGCCAGTGGAGTTTTGTCTGGGGAACGGCTCCTAATTGAACCCCGACTCTCCCGTACGCGAGCCCCGAGATTGCCGATCATCATAGCACTAACTGGACCCATGACCCACCAGGAACGAAAACGAGATCTTTCTACCTGTTTCCCGCGAAAAATTATCTGGTACTTTGAATAGCTTCCTGTTTTAAACGACTTTCGGGCAAAATTAGATGCCATGAAGTCACCCGTGATATAGATAGTATTCAAACATCAAACCCATTCGATCAATTACACCCGTTGGCAGTGATATGTACTACTAGTAGTAGTACCAGTACTCAAGTCTGAGCATTGAAGCTACATAATAGTTACTAGTACCCAAGAAACTTGAAATACTACTGTGATCATCAATGTTTTCGTTCAAATCTGTAGATATGAATGTGTATCTAGTCACGTATGTCGAAAGGTCCGACTCGGAGTGGACTTTGATGGTCAAAATTGAATATGAATTTGGATGCGTGACTGATGCTAGCATTCTCGTTGAAGAGATCTATATCACAGCTGGAATAATACCAATGAGCGCACATGTGCAGGCCCTTTCAAGCTAAGCGAACTTGAGCGGGATGCCCAGTCCAGGATACTGTTACATGCAGATCATTGACATTATAGACAGCCCCGGTCCTGGACCCTGAATCAAACGGAAAGCTAAATTACAATTTCCAAATTGCCATAGTTTCCATTGGTCGTATCCGCAAGTCCAAGCCACTAAATTACACAGGAAGTACCTTCACTGGCAGGAGAGAGAACCATATCTCAAATCGCGTTCTCCACATCTGGTCTCGCACCAAGACCCTGGAGATGAATTACGAACTATAGACCCATATAGTTCTGAAGACGGAACAGAAAAGGAAACTGATCGGTTGCAATAGGTCAAACCACTCTTGGGAATGACCTCAGGGCTCAGCACGGCTTAACTAGAGCCCGATCACCTCACATGTGGAGTTCTAGCGTCCTCGGTTCAACCCATAGAATGGACCTTGGGGAGAGAGGCAGAAGGGACATAAAAAGGGGCTGCATATCTTTGTAGAGAATGGTATCTAGTTGCTTGAGGTCGAGTACTATTCCGGCCAGCTGCCAATCCCAAGGGGCAGAATTCAATCAAGATGCGTTTCTCAGCTGCCTTTATCTCATCCCTTGTCTTGTCTAGCACTGCGGTAGCTGGGTCTGTTAATCAGACAACTGCTGTCGGAGCAGCTCCTTCATCTCAGGCTGACTCCGAGACGCAGTCAGTCACGCCGCAGAATGTCAATGCGGATGCCGTATCCGATGTTCCTCCCGTCGATACTGCCAAGGCCACCTCGAGTTCACTGGACTCCATAGAGGCAACTCAGCCTCCTGCTGCCACATCTGATCCCAGTGGAAGCAAAGATAGTGTCGCCAACAATGAGCCCACGGATATTCCAAGCGGAGAGCCATCACAACATACAACTCAGCCCGTTGCTCAGGATCCTGCCACTACCAACTCTGTTGCAGCTAGCAACGATCCTGTGAGCCTCGACAATACCAGGCAAAACTGCTCAGCATACCAAGGTGCCAGGTTCAAAGCCATCCGGTACTCCTTCCACAGAGACTGCTACTGTGACTCGCACTGGTACTGCTGCCGCAAACACTAGTACATATAACGGTGACGAAGATGATGGCACTCTTTTCAGTTCTTGGAATGACTTCGGTGATTTCTTAGATGGATTGAACGGTCTTCTGTCGCCCACATTATTGGAAGATATCGAATCGTTCTTCCATCACGTTTCTTGGTTGCTTGATGATCAGACAACGACCAACACGAAGACTTTGATCAACACGGCTTCCGGTCTCCTCACTAAGAGTCTTATCAACAAGTTGGAGGGTCTTTTGGACAATGCTAGCGACCTGCTATCACCTGAAGTTGTTCAGAACCTTCAAGCAATTGCTTCCTGAGCTCTCGCCTCAACTTCTTAAGGACGCAACCAGTTTGCTTGACAATGCAAACAAGCTTCTTACTCCTGAAACCACTTCTGAGCTCCAGAATCTGATTTCAACTGTGGCTCCAATCAGTAAACCCGAGTTCCTACAAGAAGTTCATAGCCTGCTTACCAACGGCAACAAGCTTCTTACACCTCAATTCATCGACGAGACTCGCAGCCTGATCGGTACTGTGGCGCCAGTCATCACTCCAGACTTATTGAAGGAGGTAAACTCTTTGCTCTCTAATGGAAACAAACTGCTTTCGCCTGATTTCATTGATGAGACGAAGCAATTGATTGGCGCTGTGGCACCTATCATCACCCCTGCCTTGTTGAAGGAAGTGAACTCCCTCCTCTCGAACGGTAACAAGCTCCTCTCGAACGGTAACAAGCTCCTCTCGCCCGATTTCATCGACGAGACGAAGCAGCTCATTGGAACTGTCGCACCCGTCATCACTCCTGAGCTCCTTAAAGAAGTCAACAGCCTGCTTACCAATGGGAATAAGCTTCTGACTCCTGATTTCATCAACGAGACTCGTGGTTTGATCGGTACTGTGGCCCCAGTTATCACACCAGAACTATTGAAGGAAGTGAATTCTTTGTTGTCCAACGGTAACAGCCTGTTGTCGCCAAACTTTGTCAACGAGACCAAGGGATTGATTGGTACAGTGGCACCATATATTACTCCCGAGCTCCTCAAGGAGGTCAACACCTTACTCTCCAATGCAAATAGTCTCTTGAATGAGAAGACTACTAGAGAGATGACCAATCTTTTTGATATGATTGGTCCGGCATTAACGCCAGAGCTCTTGCAGAATGTGTCTTGGTTTTTGGGTAACGGTACCACTCTGCTGAGCCCGGGTTTCGTCAACAAAACAATGGGATTGATCGATGGAATTGCGCCCGTTATCACGCCAGAGCTTCTGAGCCAAGTCGGCGGATTATTGAATAATGCAGATGATCTTCTGACCAAGAAGTTTGTCAATGAGACACAAATTCTGATCGAGGATGCCTCGGATGTAAGCTAACCCTCTTTGGTTCGATTTTTTGGAGCTGTGCTGACATTTCTTCCCCTTCAGATACTTCCGTTGGTGACGAATCTGCTGAGAGCGCTCTGATTTTGACTTCTTAGCATGCATGTACATATAATTCACGGTGGTTCATGATTAATGTTTTGAGAGTGTGTAATACGACTGGATTGACTGGGATCTCGTGATTCTTCAGCATCAATTAGAGACATCCGCGTGGATCGTAGGCTTGCTGATGATAGATACATGAAAGCGGGGCGACCCCGTTCACTTAGGTGCCCCATAAGGTAGATAGCCAAAAGGTCTTCTTCTCATCCATTCCAACTAGGAATGCCCTATCACTAGACAGATCGAAGGTTCATGGGAGATTCTCAAATTCCCATGTGCAAACTTGATTGTGAGGTGTTGGGCTATGATGCCGAGTTGGAAGCCAAGGGATGGGTCCATGCCTCCTAGCCAGTGGTGTTGGATGGCCTGCGGAATTGGCGTGGAGTGCTGGAGCTGGAAGAAAGACTGAAGACCATAATCAAAATCCCACGCTGCCGAGCCGTATCACAGGCTACAACAAGACATGAAGGGTTGATTGGCATGATTTTGAGTATTGAAGGTTTGTGTCTTTTCCCCAGATTCGATAATTTCAGAGCGAACCGTATCGTCGAGGTTGCCTCAAGACGGGATGTCCGATGGCTTCACATGGTGAAATTTGGAAACAACCTTGAGTTCTGTATCGCGTTCCTTATTTTTCTTGTCCATTTCTCGTTGGACGTGTTCTCTCTTTTTCTCGGCCTCCTCAATTTTCCTCTTGACTTCCTTGGCGGCTTGTTCCTGTGCTCTTAAAGCGGTTTCGCGTGTTGGGAATTCTTGCCGCAATTGTTCAAGCTCAGAATGTACATCTTGCTCCTCAATTGGTTGGCAGGTAAGTGGATGGTAACGGTAGACTGGTAACGGTGCTCCTGGGACTTGTATTTCAGGAAGGTCGGGGTGGATTGGAGTAGTTCGAATGGATGAGTCAAGTGGGACAACCGCAGCGCCCTCAGATGGCGGAGACATAAGGGAGTTTTCTTCTTTGACCATGATTGAGTAATGAGATTATTCCAAGGTTTGGAATGAATTGGAGGAAAAGATAGTATTGTTCTTTGACTTAAAAGGTAAATGTGAGAGTAGAAGATGCGCTGCAGTCGCACCACGGCTTGGAGATTCTGCCGCGACACCTCCACACCGCCCCCTATATGCGGCAACATGCGGGGAGACTAACATATCCCCAAGCTTTCGGATACAACAATGTTGATGCTTTTATTGGATTCCTCGACGAAACCAAGCTAAGTTCCTTGGCCAAATCCTAGGTGAACGCTGCTGTGTCTTTGATACCTTCCAAGGTTGCTTCTGGCTGTAAAGGCTCCCAACCAAATATCTGCTCACAGACAGCTATATTGGGCTCGTTTGCATACACTTGGCAATCATGCAGGCTTTCGGTGAGTTCTGTCCTGGAATTGTGAGCTCCCAGTCTTTTGGCTCCACAACAAGCTAATTGATTATGCTGTGGTATTTAGTTCCCAAGACTAGGAGGGTAAGTCTCCTTTAATGCAGCGACTAGGGAACAACCAGCATGAAATACTAACACGATATGTCTCCTCAGCCCCGGTTTGAGCTTGTTCTAAGGGTACGCAAGATCTATTTAGTCTTTCCCTAAGTGGTTCTCATTCTAACCTATAGGAAGATCATTGACATCATCAACGTTCCCTTGGGGAATGGCACTGCCTGGGTACGATGGCGTCTCCCATCCTCGAGTGGTGCTACTGAAAAGGATGGCCACACAGAGAAAGCGCCTCTTGCAGATCATCGTGCATCCTGGCATTATGAAAAGACTTCTTTAATAAGGATCACTATCGACAGAAATTCCATGCTGCAGGAATGCGAAATCAACTTCGAAGTCATACAAGAGTTCCGCTCACCCAGCAATGAGAAGAATGTACTGGGCAAGATCAAATTGAATCTTGCCGAATATGTGGACAAGGTTGAAGAGGACGAAGGTGTAATCCGAAGATATCTTATGTTTGACAGCAAGGTCAATAGCACAGTGAAGATTGGAATTGCCATGCATCAAGTAGAAGGAGATCACAACTTCACAACGTACGTATTCGCCAAAAAGTTCTTCTTGTTCTACCACTGATGGCTTTCAGGCCCCCATTGAAATCTGCTACAGTCTTCGGAGGCATTGCAAGAGTTGTTCATACTGGAGAACTGGGAGATTCAGATGACCCTGGTCGTCCCCCATCAATCAACAAAAAGACCAATGAGGTGTCAGATATGCAAGATATGTACCGGCGAACTTTGGCTGCGTCGTGGATGTCTCGGGCATGTGATTTGCCGGCCGACAAACTTATTGAAGAACTGTTTGCAGGGAGCTCTTGCTGGAACAACGATGCTCATCACAACAATTCTCAGGACAGTCATGGGGATAAACGACAAACGGCCTTACTAGGTGTGGAAGCAGCTGAAAGACAACCCAGGACAGGGAAGAGGTTATCGCCTAGCTTCGAACGCCGACCCAAAAGCACATCCAGCATTCACTCTCAAGGCAGCGGGAAAGTCCCTGAGTCTCTGTCTGCCCTTGGAACATCTCAGAAAGATGGTGATCTTGATAATCCACTATATGATGGGAAAGGCAGAAGTTGGAAGAACCGAAATGCAGAGCATGAACGGTCTGAGTTTTCAGTGCGAGAGGATTTACGCAGTTGGGAAGTTACATCAAAGTAGAGTGCTTCTATTTGAGTGTTCCTGGTTTAATATCAAAGTCAAAAGAACTGGCATTGATCGTTACTTGTTACCGTCGCATTGTTGAGAGTAGAAATTTGAGATCTGTATAATACTAGCGCAGCTACAATATTTCAGTTTGAACCTATTTCAGTACTGTTATTATCGATAATTTCCAACAAATTCTAGATAAAACAAAAGTGAAATATAAAGACTAAAAGAATATTAGTCCTAATCCTTAGAATAGTCTATATTCAAGTTTCGTTTAATTGGTCTGCTGGTCATAGATGATTGCAACTATTAATTAACAACCCGGGGAGATGATCTAGCCCCACCGGAAGAGTCGGGGAATCGGAGACCCGAAAGCTCACCTCCAGGTAACTCTTTCTCCCCAACCATCGGCTACCTTGCTGCCCGAATTTTTTTTTCAGCCCCCGAGGATCGGCTTGATTGATCCGATCAAAATAATCTCTATCTCACACGTTCACGATACATTGACGCCCAGTTTACGGCTTCTTCCGGCAATCTCGACGTTGTTATTCCCCTCATTATGAAGATCATGCGCGCATAGGGAACTCACCCGTTCACGGCATGGAGCGAACACGGGTCGCCAAGGTTAGCTCCCTACGCGCAATGATCTTAGTAGCTTTGAGTTCATGATCTGATGCAAAACTTCACTTTTATATATAGGTTGACCATGTGGCCTTGGCTCGCCGTGGTGAACAGGTCGACGGCGCCCTCCACTTAACCCCTCATCATCTGATATTTTCACATTCTCCTCCTCTTTCGACCGAAGGTCAGGCCAAAGGGACAACAGTCAAGCCAAAAGAACTTTGGATAACATACCCAATCATTGCTTATTGCACCTTGCGACCAGCGCCCGCAGCGTCGCGCCAACTCTCCTCCATCCGTATCCGATGCCGTGACTTCACCTTCGTCTGCTTCTATTTCACCAATGAGCAAAAGGCACGTGAGGTGTTTGATAGTATCAAACACTGGACATGCAAATCAGGCCGTCTAGATAAGCTATATGCTTTCTCATACCAACCACCGCCTCCCGAGAAGGAATTCAATGGCTGGGACCTTTATGACGCGCGAAAGGAATGGATGCGTCAAGGCGCCCTAAAAGAGAACTCCGGATGGAGACTTTCAGAGATAAACGTTGATTATTCTGTATGTATATGGGAAACACTTTTGTTTACGCTATACTAACTTCATTTTAGTTCTCCAACACCTACCCCGCACTCATTCCAGTACCCTCTACTATCTCCGATAATACCATCAACTACGCGGGCCCGTACCGTTCCCGAGCACGAATCCCTGCTCTGGCATATTTCCACCCTGTGAACAACTGTTCCATCACACGAAGCTCACAGCCAATGATGGGTTTCCAGCGGAAGCGCAGTATTCAAGACGAGAAGCTAGTGGCCTCTATCTTCTCGACTTCTCGATCAGAACGACCTCTGGCCAGCTTTCTGCAGACTCCTTTAGAGAGGGAACCATCACAATCCAGCCATGAGAGCTCTCAGTCTAGTCAATCCGATCCCGATATGTCAAATGCAGAGGAGATCGACGCGGATACTTTAGCTGCTGCCCGTCAAGGGTCTGCGGAACAGCAGGGCTTGGTCTATGGCGCACAGCAGCGAAATCTCATTGTTGATGCTCGGCCAACTGTCAATGCCCTTGCCATGCAAGCAGTCGGTCGAGGCTCTGAAAACATGGAAAACTACAAATTCGCCAGCAAGGCGTACCTTGGCATCGAGAATATCCATGTCATGCGTGAATCCTTGAACAAAGTAGTGGATGCCTTGAAGGAAACAGATGTTACCCCACTTGGCCCCAATCGTGATCAGCTAGCTCGCAGTGGCTGGTTGAAACATATTGCGGGTATTTTGGATGGTGCTGGTCTGATTGCCCGTCAGGTCGGACTTCAACATTCGCATGTTTTGATCCACTGCTCTGATGGCTGGGATCGAACAAGTCAGTTAAGTGCTTTGAGTCAGATCTGCTTAGACCCATACTTCCGCACTCTGGAAGGCTTCATGGTCCTGGTCGAGAAGGATTGGATGGCATATGGTCATATGTTCAGACAACGATCGGGTCATTTGAACAGTGAAAAATGGTTTCAGATTGAAAATGAGAGAGTTGGTGGTAGCGGTGACACCAACGGCGGATTTGAAGCTAGCGGCGCAAGTCGGGCCATTGAGAATGCATTCCTGAGTGCCAAGGGCTTCTTCGCCCGAGACAACAAGAGTCGCGACTCACTAGGTGACACGGAGGGTGAATCGCAGATTGATTCTGACAGCGCAACGAACAAACAGAGCTCCTCTTCACGACCTATGGCAACTGAAAAGGAAATCACCAAAGTCAATGAAGTGAGCCCTGTTTTCCATCAATTCCTCGATGCGACCTATCAATTGCTGCGTCAACACCCAACACGCTTTGAATACAATGAACGTTTTCTGCGTCGCCTCTTGTACCACCTCTACTCTTGCCAGTTTGGAACGTTCCTTTTTAACAACGAGAAAGAACGCCTCGACATGAAAGCACGAGAGCGGACTCGCAGTGTATGGGACTATTTTCTGGCTCGCCGAGAGCAGTTCACCAACCCAGAATACGACCCCGAGGTTGATGATCACCAGCGTGGAAAAGAACGCCTGATCTTTCCTGCTGCGAATGATACTCGCTGGTGGAGCGAATCTTTTGGTCGCACCGATGCTGAGATGAACGGACCTCGACGCTCTGACACATCAGCTTTGGGCAGCAACGACAGTCCTGACCTCAGTCGCACCCCGGTCCTGACTGGTATTGATACTGTGCAAGAGCAAGTTAGCACCGGATCTTCCAGCGCTAGTGTTTCTCATGCTGCAGCTTCTGGACTTGCAGCTGTCACTGCTGGCATATCCAGTCTTTCCGTCCTCCAGAATCCAACTGAGGTTAAAAGCGATGAGAACCAGAAAGACATGGCGGTCGAAATGAAGTAGATACCTCAAAGATAGTTATCATTCCAATTTGATATTTTTAAACGTACATCATGGCCATCTATGAGGCCGAATTGTTCCTTGAATACAAAAAGTAGTTTCAACAGAACATTGAAATAACATTGAATATATTTTAACCTTGGAATACTCCATAGGTTGAGATACATCTGGATCTACCGCCAATTTTATAGATTGTATCGGGAAAGTATTTCCTTAGATCAGGAGTAATTAAACTACGTCATGGAGATCTTGGCGTTCCGGAACTTATTGACACCTGAGAATTGGGGTGTCTACACTAGGCCTCATTTGTTCTTTAAAGTAAGCGAGGGTTGAGCCCTATCCCGATTGGGTAATGGCAACCCTACGCCCAAAAATCCCCACTAAATCAAACTCGCAACCGAGCGACCAACTCTCGACCTCGACTACGCCCTCCCCCTCGTCGACACCCCAATTCCACCAACCAGGAACGCAAAAATGGCCGCTGTCCAGGGTGCTATCTCCAAGCGCAGAAAGTTCGTCGCTGACGGTGTTTTCTACGCCGAGCTGAACGAGTTCTTCCAGCGCGAGCTCGCTGAGGAGGGTTACTCCGGTGTCGAAGTCCGTGTCACTCCCACCGTGACCGACATCAGTACGTTCGCCCTTCGCCTTTCCCTTAAATCGATACATCCGGGTTGAATTGGAGATCTGCAAGAGCATGGAATCGCAAGAACCGCAAAGAAAGAATCTTTAAAGATCGTCCATATGGAGGGAAATTATGATCGAATTTCTTGATCGAATGCTAACCGGCCGTTTTTCTTTCAAACAGTCATCCGTGCCACCCACACCCAGGAGGTTCTCGGTGAGCAGGGTCGCCGCATTCGCGAGCTCACTTCCCTCATCCAGAAGCGTTTCAAGTTCCCCGAGAACTCCGTCTCCCTCTATGCCGCTAAGGTCCAGAACCGCGGTCTCTCCGCTGTCGCTCAGTGCGAGTCCCTCCGCTACAAGCTGCTGAACGGTCTTGCCGTCCGCCGTGCCTGTTACGGTGTCCTCCGCTTCATCATGGAGAGCGGTGCTAAGGGTTGCGAGGTTGTTGTGTCCGGAAAGCTCCGTGCTGCCCGTGCTAAGTCCATGAAGTTCACTGTATGTCTATCTACCGATCTCGAGAGGAATGGCTGGAGGAAATATGGGGTGGTTCTGGCAATCAGTGGATCGCATATGCGGTTTTGAGGATCAAATGCACCGCTTCCACTATCCGGCCAGACTCTTCGCGATCAAAAATACTTTTTTTGGTGGAGAATTCATCACTAACATACTCTTCTCATCAGGACGGTTTCATGATCCACTCCGGTCAGCCCGCCAAGGAGTTCATCGACTCCGCCACTCGTCACGTTCTCCTCCGCCAGGGTGTTCTCGGTATCAAGGTCAAGATCATGCGCGGTTCCGACCCCGAGGGCAAGTCCGGCCCCCAGAAGACCCTCCCCGACTCTGTCACTATCATCGAGCCCAAGGAGGAGCAGCCCGTTCTCCAGCCCATGAGCCAGGACTACGGTGCCAAGGCCCTTGCTGCCCAGCAGCTCGCCGAGCAGCAGCGTCTGGCCGAGCAGCAGGCCGCCGAGGCCGAGGGTGGTGCGGAGGCTTACGCTCAGGAGTAAATGTTTCTTTTGCATTGAACCTGGCTATACCTTTTATTTCTATCTGTCCTAACCTAACCTCATACTCTCTACCTGCCGCAATCAAAATTACATGAAGACTTCAAAAAACTTGATAATGAACGTACATCTATGATTTGCTATACATCTACTACTTTCTTTCCCACTACTTGTCGTAGGCTGTTGATAACGACCTTGAAATTTTGGAAATAACTGCCAGTGATGGATGAAGTGGTTGAGCCTGGCCTCCTAATCTTGATTATTGGTATTGGACGTGCCTCAGATGTTTAGCACGTGTCGATTTTAATTGATCATGATGTTACATGAAGGTGCCCCACTCGTTACCCCAAATATTTTGAAGCCTTTAACTTGAACCTCGCCTCAAACCTCGGGCTACATTGATAGTACTAACTACTGGCATCATGCTAAGATTTGAACTTTGACCACTGTGCAGTCTGGTGCACACATGTGCATGCATATACACGGTGGAAACTTGAACCTAACTCCAGTCTGCAGTTTTTTTTAATCAATGTGTCTAGTCCTCATCCATCTGGGGCCTTCCAACCTTGGAAGGTTGAATTCAAATGAATAAACTGAAGCCCTGGCATTACCTCAAGTGCTGACAGTGACCACCTGGTACTTCCTACTAGTACAACTTCTCCAGGTGAACATGGATCTCTTGTGTATGTACTAATGCCTAGCCCTGGAGCACTTGAGGAGAGACTCGGACCCAACCTTAGACCCCGGATCTCCAGCGCTGCAACTTACTACAACATTTGAAGTGTGAACCTTCCAAGGTTGCAAATTGAAATTGAATCACCTGGGCAGGCCTCGGGAATTGCTCACGTATATGTAACCGAGTCCGCATGCCCACCTGGGCAGCCCTGGAGGTAGTAGCCAAGTACTCAAGTGCTACTACCTATGTACTTAGGTACCTAGGTAGTCAACTACTACCTAGTAGTAGTACTAGCACTTCAAGTTGAGTATGAACTTGAATTTGAAGGATATATTTCTCGAGGCCACCAGCCCATTGATGCAGCACAAATGTTCAACATTGAAGTTCCCATCTGGGCAAGGAGTAGGACAGCCTGATTATCCAGATTGAGTTGGAATATATCCATAGTAGTTTCATATGCCTGGGTCCTCTGTATTTTCAGGCCAGCTCTTCAATCGTTAGAAGCCGATTACCTGCATAAACAACAAATGGTGGACAATCGTGAACTACATAAGGTTAAAGCTTGAGTCCACGTGGGGCGGCTATCAAAAAAGTGGGTCCCAATATATTTATGCGCGTAAGGATGCGGGAAACAGGATTCAGCTATTGGGCGGCAGGGTCAACTGAATCTTCAAGTTGGGAATACTCCAAGTTGAAAAAGCGAGATGGTTCAGAGAATACAGGAACAACCTGAAGGGGGTAGCATAGATGATAGGGAAGAACTTGAAGGCAAAGGGGAAAGAGAGGAGTAAGATCAATCAATGACATTCAACTCTAAGATTCAACGATATAATATCAATGTAGTATGTGCTAGACATATGTCTTGAGGCGAAGTAAGAGAAAGAAGCCTTGAAGCTTGATTTATATACTAGGCTCAATCAATCCCAAGACCTGCCGCTTCTTGAAGCAGGCGATGTGAGAGAAGCTTCAAATTGCAGGAAATCATTATAAACAAAATGGATAAAAGAAAAATCATATCGGGTATCAAAAGAATGCCTTCTGGAGGAGAGAATGATGAACCCACTAGCAATTTAATATACTGAAAAAAAAACTTGGAGAATCCTCCAGGTGTAGTCGTATGGGTGAGTATACCTAGGTAGTGTCTATGCATGTCCACAAGACAAACAAAATTGGAGTGTTGTGAGATGAAAACCCTTTGTTCTATTCCAAGGTTAATTTTAGCTCGTAAACTTTGATAGATATGTGTATCACTCTCGCCAGAGTGATTATCTATAAAATGACTCCATCCCGATTCTACCTTACCTTGAAGGTTACCGCTCGCTGGCAGGTGTAAATATCAAAGAGATTTCTAAGGTTACTGCCTACAACTAGTATAGCAATAGCCTGGAGGTACACGTCCACGGGTGTGTGTACTTATAAAACAAACATTTTTGAAAGGGGTACCTAGGCAACCAGGCGCCGTGACCGACAGAGAAAGCATTTGGAAGCACTCCTAAGTTAAACTCGTTAAGGACATGGGGTCTCCATTCAAATGTTCAACAGGGCTCAAATTGGGCAGCCCACATGATTTGGACAGATAGTACTTGCTGTCTCAACTGACCCTGACTCTATGCATGATTATGACTCAGGCTCCTGGCTTTAACAGCCCGAGGGAGGAAAAACAATGATTTACATGTTCATTTCTTCTTGGATTTAAGATGCTTGTTTATTTGCTTTTGGAATCTCCGTAGCTCTAATCAACATGTAGCGTATCAACAAAAGAGCACTCCTCATTCATGTCATCATCTGCGTCAATTTTCACAGGGCATCGCTATATCTGGCCTACAGGAAGGGTTCGATGTTTATCTCGAGGGTGCTGACGGGTAACTTGAGGTCATACTTCTCCAGCACAGTGGGGTGCAGGATACCGAACTGTCCAATAACGTGCTCCTTGCCGCCAATACGTGCGTGGATGCTGGCAGCGTGACCGGCAAAGTAGGTAGGGTCTACAAAAGAGAAGTTAGCATATCAGTGCGGGTGTGGACGAATACGGAATCCTAGAAACTTACTGTCCAGCTCCTTGATGAAGTACTCTGAGTGAGCCGCCTCGGGGTTTTGCAGTCCCTCCTCACCGGTGATGAAAGCGCTTCTCAGCATAGCCATCACACGGTCCAAGAGACCGTGAACGACTTCGAAACCACTGGTACGTCCGTACCATGCAGCAGCAAAGTGACGCTCGTTGCGACTCTTGCGCTCCAATGTCACGTCCTTGAAAGCAACATCGCTGACTTCGAAGATCTTCATGGGCACAGAGTGGGCCTTGTTCTCACGGATGGTCTTCAACAGACCGGGCAGTAGACTGGTACGGACAACCTGGAACTCCTGGGTCTTGGGGTTGGCAAGCTTGACAGCAGTGTTACCATCGTCCTTGCGGTTCAACCAACTAAAGTTCTCATCGTGAGAGCACAGGATCAGAGGAAGAACTTCTGACCAGCCGGCCATGGCGGCCTCAACACGGATGATGTCGGTCAGCTTGTTGATGGGAAGGGGCTGGGCAACGGTTCCAGACTTGCTAGGGAACGAGCGAGGAAGTTGGTTGAAACCGTAGGCAATGGCGACATCCTCCATGATGTCACACTGGTGAAGGACATCGGCACGAGTGGGAGGAATCTCAACCTCAATAACGTCAGCCTTGGTAGACGAAGGCTTGGCGCGGAAGGCCATCTTGGTCAATCGGTTGCTGATATCGGCCGCAGAGAGATCGAGGCCACAGCATTGGTTGATATAGGAAACTTCGGCCTCAGCGATACGAGGGGTGAGATCGGGAGTGATACGAGTCTCGTTGTTGTGCTCCGAAACGATCCTCACGGGCTCAATACTGTGTAGTATGGATTAGTATATATAGATGATAATTAGACACCAGGGCTTACGTGAACTCCTCCGCGGTGTATTGAGAGAACATGGTAACCACCATGCGGTTCACAATCTCGAGTTTTGTGCGGTCAAGAGCGGTGATCTCGATGAAGACGTTGGTGGTGTTGAGGGAGATTTTGGAGTGATCGCCATTGATAATGGGGGGAAGAGAGCAGACGGTTCGGTTCGCATCGTAAATGACGGGGTACACGGGGGAATCGCGGATGATGTGCAGGTATTTGCCCAGCTGCTGGTGTTTCTGTGGTGCCAAAGGCGTCAGCGCCTGTATTGCCTTCAAATCATATTCGATCTATCAAACCTCGTAGAAGTTCATCAATTCCTCGCCGTTCATCTCCTGGGTCTGGTTCAAGGGAGCAAACTTGATATCCTTGGGAGGGAGAGCCTCATAGGTGAAAGGCCCTTGGATGGTATCCAAATCATGAGTACCAATGGAAACAAGGGTTCGTTGACGAGCCAGGTTCTGGTGAAGCTTATCCTGGAGAGCGATGAAAGACTCGTAGCGAGCAGCGTCGAACTTGACATTGCGGAGGATTGCACCTGAGACGTAAGGGCGAATCTTGGTTGTCTGCGCAGAGTCGATTAGTATGTTACTAGCGAAAAGCACCGCATATCACTCACATCTTCCTTGACAATAATCTCCTGCAGCTGGCCATTGGGCGGCGGGACCAGCTTGTATTCAGGCAAGCTCTTCCGGCCCAGGAAAATGTTCAGCATCAGCTGGATACCTTCGAAGCAAAGCAAATCATATCTGGACGAGATCTCAGTTTTCCCCTTATGCTGATATAGATATTTCGGACATACCGGTTGGCGGGGATTTCAATCTTGAGTTGCGGGGGCTCCTGCACGCCGTCGACGATCGGTCGGTCGGAATCGGTGGTCTATAGAGTCTCAGTCGCAGAGCCTCGGAGATATTAATGTAAAGGACATATCATACATCTTCGTCGAGTTCAATGCCTGGATCATCGTGTATTAGCGCATGCCCCGCAAGAGACTATCAATGATTGACTCACCGAACTCGAAGCACAACTCGTCGAATTCCTCCGTAGTGTAGCTATAAGGAGCCAAGACGGTCAGCATATACACAACCGACCAAACTCATATTCTAGCAGGGAAACACACTCTCGACCCAGCTCCTTGAAGAGTGCGGCCTTGTCAACCGAGATAGTGGGCATGGCGGGGGATGTTCGCTATGCGACAGAAATCTGCACAAGAAGAGGTTGGGATTAGCGAATGTTTGACAAGACCCGGATAAAATTGACACAGTAAGCTAGTATTGAGAGAAAAATGTACATACCAAATCCCAATGGAAGACTTTCCAATGTTAGCGAGAGAAGAGAAGGAGGTTATGACTCCGAACAGAAATTCTGCCCATAAGCCACCACCGCCACGGAATCCCCCTCTTTTGTGACGAGGTGTATGGTATTGTCACAATTCCATGAAATGTGAGCTGAAGTAGTAGATTTTATATTTGAGGTGGTCCGTGCTTACTTGTATGTAAATTACACCAAGCCGCAGTGTTTGGTCTTTTGAAAGCTCCTGGAGAGTCAATATGATCAATATCATAGTTAACAACTCCATTACTAATTTATCGTAGAGTATTTCGGAGTAAACTGCAAATCAATTGTCTAAATGTGTGTGTTCTATTACTCCTTTACCTGGCGTTTGTTGCTTTGTCCCATCTAGCTTGGTAGTCGGCGGCCCAAAACCCCACGAAACCTCGCTCCTCTCTCTCCAACTACCGCTCACTCCCTTCCCATTTTTGATCCATCCCCCGCGTGCGCGTCGGCACTAATTTTCCTACGGACGTCAGTGTCATAAGCTCATGCTTTCGTTCCTATCTTAATTATCCTCGATTTTTGCTTCGCTGGGTCGACCCAACCCACTCCGATATCAACCCTGCCGCCAGGACTGGGACCTGCTCGCCGAGAACTCCCAGCAACGCCACCTAAGATACCCAATCCACCCCAATATTCGTAATGGAAGGCCCGAACGAGAATGATGAGCTCTACCCTATTGCGGTTCTCATTGATGAGTTAAAGGTATCTCGATCTCTCAACCTTTCCCCCCTCCATCGGGATCGGTGGAGGGGCGGAGTCATACGTGTCAAAGCTCACCCATCAATCTCTTAGCACGATGATGTCCTCCTCCGTCTCAACGCTATCCATCGCCTATCGACCATCGCACTTGCTTTGGGTCCCGAACGAACCCGAGAGGAGCTGATTCCCTTCTTGGATGGTTGGTCCCCACTCACCGACTCCTATCATCTGGATGCGCCTAACAAGATTTGTCCCGTAGACTCTGTGGAAGATGAAGATGAGGTTTTAACTGCCCTTGGCGAAGAGCTGGGTAACTTCACAGAGTATGTTGGAGGACCAGAACACGCGCACGTGATCATAGCGCCGCTGGAAAATCTGGCGGCGATCGAAGAGCCTTTGGTGCGAGAGAAGGTTGGTTAGAAAAGCCCAGTGACCACTTTGATACCTTGCTGATTTGAATGTCTAGGCCGTCGAATCTCTTAACAAAGTCTGCGAGCAGCTGAATGAGAGCCAAGTTGAAGAACGCTTTATCCCCCTGGTCCTTCACCTCTCCAAAGCCGACTGGTTCACCTCCAAGGTTTCCGCAACTGGACTTTACTGCACACCATACCGAAAAGCCACGCCGGCCACCCAGCAGATCCTGAGACAGCATTTCGGGGCCCTCGTACACGATGAGACCCCTATGGTGCGGCGACAAGCCGCCAATAACTTGGCCAAGTTTGTCAAGGAAATGCAAACACCTGTTGTGATCGACGAGATGATTCCCTTATTCCAATATCTGGCAGGCGATGATCAGGACAGCGTTCGCTTGCTGACTGTGGACATTCTCATTGCGATTGCAGAGGAGATCCCTAAGGAGCAGCAGCCTAGCCACGGAGTGTTGCTGACCTCATTGCGTAATCTGTTTGAGGATAAGAGCTGGAGAGTCCGATACATGGTGGCTGATAGATTCGAGAAGGTTTGTGCCCTTAAAGAACAATTGGTCCCAATTTCGATATTCAATCGCTGACTTAATTTATAGATCGCTAAAGCAGTGCACGAGGAGGTTATCACGCGTGATATGGTGCCCGCTTTTGTTAAGCTCTTAAAGGACACTGAAGCTGAGGTTCGCACTGCGATTGCTGGACAGATTCCTGGTATGGCTATATTACCTTCAATTTTGTCGTGTCGAGCGGTAATTGACAATTCCACTAGGCTTCTGTAGTCTGATTGACCGCGACACCCTGCTCAACGAGATCATGACCAGTGTAGAGGATCTTGTTTCTGACCAATCCCAGCATGTCCGAGCCGCCTTGGGCACTCAGATCAGTGGTCTTGCCCCTATCCTTGGAAAGGAAGAGTAAGCTACCTTTGTCGCCATAGTTACATTAATTCTTGCTGACCAAACTGATCACTAGGACAATCGCCCATCTTCTGCCTATGTTCCTTTCTATGCTCAAGGATGATTTCCCTGATGTCCGTCTTCATATCATTTCCAAGCTTGAGCAGGTTAACAAAGGTAATCCCTACTTTATCAATTCCTTTCTTTTCATATTCTCGATCTAACCTTTCGTCTTAGTCATCGGCATTGATCTCCTCTCCCAATCCTTGCTCCCCGCCATTGTCCAGCTGGCTGAGGACAAGCAGTGGCGTGTGCGTCTTGCTATCATTGAATACATCCCTCTCCTGGCGAGCCAACTGGGTGTTAAGTTCTTTGATGAGCAGCTCAGTGACCTATGCATGGGCTGGTTGGGTGATACTGTCTTCTCAATCCGAGAGGCTGCTACTCAGAACCTGAAGAAACTTACTGAAGTCTTTGGTGTTGAGTGGTCCAAGGAGTCTATCATTCCCAAGGTGGTTGCCATGGGACAACATCCCAACTACCTTTACCGTATGACAACATGCTTTGCCATTTCTGTGAGTCTTATTATAACCATTCTTATTCTGGCCTGAGCTAATTTTTTTTAGACTCTGGCCCCTGTTGTTACCCTTGATATCATCGAAACCTCTATCCTTCCCATCTTGGACCGACTGGTGGCGGATGAGATCCCTAACATTCGATTCAACGTTGCCAAGTCGTACGCTGTCCTTATCGATACGCTTCGCCGCTTGCCAGCCGATAAGACTTTGGTTGAGGTTGAGAAGTCGGGAGAGACCGTGACCCCATCACCCCACAGTCAAGAGCTCATTCAGCAAAAGATTCTGCCCAGTCTGGAGAAACTGCAGGCAGATGATGATGTCGATGTCCGATACTTTGCCACCACTGCTGGTGGTATTCAGGATGAGGCCATGCAGACTTCTCCTTGAATTTTTTCTCCTTGAATGAGTGACTTCGCATGCAAATTTACTACTCTTGTGGGAGTTTTCCCCATGTGCGCAAAGAAATAAGAACACAAACATCCTTGCAAACACTATGGTGGCCCTTGACCATAGGCATCCTGTCAGCTTAGAGAATAGCCAGCTTTGGGATGTGATATCTTGACGGCGTTTCTTTTCTTTTTAATGTAGAGGCTTTTTCTTTTTTTATTATTTGACCATATATAACCGTCGCTGCCGGTCCGAGGTAGCCATAAAAGTGACAGTATTAATATTCTTGCTTTTTCCACTAAAGGGAAACATTAATCCGTAAGGGACTTAAAAGGCGTATATAGTAGTTTTGAGATGGACGAGTGAAATCGCTTCATTTGTCAGCTGACGGAGATGCCCACCTGAGGTGGCCACCTGCATGGGCTCCCAATGGCCCGGGAGTCATTCTACGTCAACACTTGCTTATTTAGGGAAAGAAAAGCTCAAGATTAAATTCTTATCCCGACCTCAAAATCATCATACTTGACATGTTCATGAGCAACTAAGTTTCCGAGCTGCTGAGGTCTCCGGGTGATATCTTACACGGAGTAGCTGCATTGCCTACGCACCAAGCATTTCACGTTTGACGCAGTTTGATTCAACCACCAATCATTCAAAAGCATACAACTCTAATCAAGATGGAATCGTTTTGGCCGTGGCACTTTGTGTCAGTCTCCGAGGAGGAGCAGCTCCGTCGTCGGTATCTACTTGACCTACGAGGTAGCTTCGCGCAATGGTCCATCATGCTCGGCATTTTGATCATCCGAGTTACCTATCAAGGCTTGAATTCGGCATCACAGATTGGCTATAGAACACAACCACATCGAGGTCCTGTCTCATGGTGGGACCGGCCTCTCGTCGCCGGATGGCTTGAAACCCGCAGACAATATGCAGTGTGCGGGCTTTGGCTAACGTGGCTATTCGGCCTTTGCGTGTGGAGCAGTGATGAGGGTATGTCTTACTTTGTTCTTCTGTCTTTCGTCCTCCGTCCTTTGAATGGAGCATTTGTTCCCTTTCTAGCCATTTTAGAGCCTCGTACTAAGCTCACTATTCCACAGACTATCTCCACTTGACCAAAGCCTTGGGTCATGTTGGTCTCTCCCAAATACCCCTGCAGGTTTTGATGTCACCCGCAGCATACATATCAACATCCAGACCCTCGGCGGCTTCAATCTTCTCGTTTTTGACATCAATTCCTCAAGGCACTATCACCCCGTACCACCGCCTTTTCGGTCGTGTGGTTATTTCTCCTCTACTTCTCGGACATGCCACCCTTTACCTGCTGTTCTTCGTGCAATCCAGTCACCCGGAATATGGTATCCTTCTAGCGAAGCGTGTTCGTGATTTTGATGTTCAGTGTGGCCTTTCCGCTCTCTTTGCAGCAGCCGCCTTACTCTTTTTTGTTCGACCTCGTGGTGGTACCATGCAGAAGGGGTTGGCCCGCGGTTCGGCAACCGCAGGATCCATGCAGGAACGCCGACGAGCTTTCTACATTGGCCATGTATCATTGGTTGGAATCCTGTGTATTGCCGCTTACTTCCATGTTGCCCAGGCACAGAAGTATATGCTCCAATCATTTGGTGCCTTTGTAATGAACGGGGTGGGCTCATGGGTCATGGTGCACTGGGGTAGGTGATTACGCGGTCACACCCTCCATCTGGTCTACCTAGGTATACAGCCATACAACCTGAGAGTAGCCAGACATATGGAGCACAGATTATATGATGGATGGATCCGATGTCTTAGTTGTCTGATGATTGGGGGGGCCAATGGCCCGTGGGAACATAAATAGGCGGCAACGAAAGACTCCGTACTCGTACTCCGTAGTTTGTCTCCACTTTACAAGGGTGTTTAAGGGATTTAGCCAGGCACCAGAACCATTCATAAATAACTTTATTTTGCATCTCCAGACTACCAGGGTTGAATGATTTAGCGGGGAAGAGAATGTCTATGTCTCCATACCTTAACCCTTTTAATCCTTCTCGAGGGCCCGGGCCCTCTTAGATCATGGTGACATAGACAGTGATTCACACGAACCTGTCGCCACCCGTGGTCAATGTAATTGAAGGTTTTGGGCCTCCCTTGGGATTTGATCTACCCGAAGGTCAAAAGAAAGAATATATCAAAAAGGAAGATCTACAGAGTAAGAAAAAAGAAAAGCTTTTTTGTGCTGACTGGCAAAGTGCTAGGATACGTGGACAATTCGAAGGTTATGTCAAGCGTCTTGGCACGGGTGTGAACTTTGGCCTGGACTCCATACCTACAACCTCCCTTAGACCCTGTTTTTTTCCCACTTCGCCTCCTTCCACACCTTCTGTTATTCCAGGCCTAAAAGGATCCTCCATGCCTTCCCCAGATGGCAGGATGCGAACTCAACGTTTGATCATCCTGCTGGCAATCGTCTTGCTCGCGTGCTTCTCTATCGTGTACCTCCATCCTGCGGACCCCCCTCAACGGCCAGTATCCATCCCTCCTCCCGAGCCTATTAAACACGCTCAACTACACGATGCCGGTCAAATATTCATGCCCGAGTCGAGTCACCCGGTGGCGAAACTGATCGAAAATGCCGGTCAACAATTCAATTACGTACGCTCGCGCCAGTCTACTACGCTGAAAGAGGCCGTTGAGGAGTACAAACGTCGCTACAAGATGCACCCCCCGCCCAACTTCGATAAATGGTTCCATTTCGCTCAGTCAAAAGGCGTCCAGCTTATCGACGAATTTGACTCGATTTACCACTCCCTACTTCCCTTCTGGGCCCTCAAGCCGGCTACAATTCGCGACCGCGCCCGGGAGACCTTGGGATTCGATAACTCGGTTCTGGGGATTCTGATCCGTGATGGCAGGATTACTCTGAATGAGGGTGGCGGGGATGGGCGAGAATGGCAGCGCAAGGCCACAGCGGGTATGATGGCGGATTTTGTGAAGTACCTGCCGGACATGGACCTGGTCTTCAACGTCCATGACGAGCCGCGCGTGGTAATTCCCGGGGATGATCTCCAGCGTCTTGTGCAGATTGCTACAGATCAGGTGCTCCCTGCTGCGTTTCAGGAAACATTCCCTGCTAACGCATGGTCGCCTCGCGCATCGGATTTAAATAAGGGAGATCGAATTGATGAGGTGCGCACTACTCGCTTTAACCGATTTGCGCATCAGCCGACTTGGACGAATTCTCGCGCCTCTTGCCCGATTGATAGCCCCGCACGATCCCTCGACGAAGCTGCCGCGGATAACGAGGACCCTTACGCATATGGAGAATTGGGCTTCATTTACAACACTACTGCTTTCTCGGATATCTGTCTCAGCCCCTCTCTGCGGTACAGCTACGGATTCTTCGATCGCCCGAACGCTTTCGATGTTGTCCATGACCTGTTCCCTATCTTCTCGCAAAGCAAGATTTCTAGCTTCCAGGACATTCTTTACCCTAGTCCCTGGTACTGGGCTGATAAGGTGCCATACGCCAAGAACAAGGACTATAACTGGGAGGCTAAGACAAACCGTATGTACTGGCGTGGATCTACGACGGGTGGCTTTTCGCGTGCTGGTGGTTGGCGTCGACAGCACCGACAGCAATTTGTCGATAACGTGAATTCTTTGGGTACAACCAAGATTCTCGCCCGTCAAGCTGATGACATGTGGGTCTCAAAGGTGGTGAAACAAGACGAATTCCGGGAGTCCTTCGATGTCAAATTCACATTCGTTGGACAGTGCGACCCGGATGACTGCCATGCGCAGGAAGAGTACTTTGAGGTGGTGAAAGCTGCGGGTCAGCAGGATGCATGGGCACACAAGTTTTTGGTCGATGTGGACGGGAACGCCTTCAGTGGTCGATTCTACGCTTTCCTTCATAGCAACAGCTTTGTCTATAAGGTTGCTCTGTTCCGCGAGTGGCACGACGAGTGGCTGAAACCCTGGGTGCATTATGCACCGCTCAGCCTTAAGGGCAACGAGTACACGGAAAGCATGCGCTATTTCTTGTCCGAGGAAGAAGGACGTAAAGCTGCGCCATTGATCGCAGCTCAGGGCCAAGATTGGGCTCAGAAAGTGTTACGGAACGAGGACCTGGAGGTCTGGTTCTTCCGTTTACTTCTAGAGTAAGTTGATTATGACTCTCGCCTCTCACACATTACTCGGCTAACACTACTTGCTCTCGCAGATACGGACGTCTTGTAGACGATAACCGTGAACGACTCGGATTCTCCCTATAATCCCCATATACCGAGTTCCACCTCCTTTCCTCCTAATCCACTCGCCTCTGCTGTACATACCCTAATTTCCCACTCCTTCTCCCGCGCGCTGGATCGATCTTCGGCTCTGCGGGAACTCGACGAGATCACGGCCTTTTCCTTGGCATCTTCAACGTTCTGATGTTATTACCCTGCCCTTTCTTGTTACGTTACTGTTCCCATCATGTGTTAATACCCTTTTTTCTCGTCATCATCATATTGGTTTTGGATTTTCATTCCTATCTCACCCATGCAAGTTGTTGTTTTCTTAATTCACTTTTATTATCTGACTGCATGAGGATGAGACGTGGCGTTGTTTGGGATGATTTGACTGATCCGTGAGCTGTATTCCACTGAAATGCTAGAAGCAGTTCTAAATGAATGTGCATAATTCCAGTAATTTTAAATCTGTTATATCATCTGAATACTTCAAGTTCAAGTTCCAGGGCTCAGCCCACTCAAGTGGCAGCAAGCAAACATTCCCTCCAGGGCTACCAACTTAGTACCTACTAGGTATCATTTTCGTCTAGCATTTCACCATCCATTTCGACGAAATCTAATACACAGATGATTCAAATGTTGGGCTCCCGCGAAGATAGAATCGTAATTGAGGATGGCTGGAGCATTGCTGTCATCGCTATAGGGAAGAGACCCCAGTAAGCAGATAGGGAAAAGCCTTGGCTATGCACATGTGCCTTGGCATTTGACCCCCACGCGTGATTCTCTCAGCATGTCAAGCTGGTTAGAGGATGTTTTAGATATCCACTGGCAGACCTTGCTGCTTCAATAGTATAAAAATCCCACCCCCATTGAGTTAGCGATGGCTTCAATGTTTGCACGTGTGCATTCAAGTTGTTGGCCTTGATATGGGCACCCTGGGTTATATACAGGGCTATTCAGAGCAGGTCAACCGATATCGGAGGGTTTGAAGTTGAATCACTGGCAGAAGATGGCTGGCAATATCAAACTCCGAGTGAAAGCTATTCAATTGATTTACTATGGGAAATCGAACATTTGAAAGGTTTCAAACCCCAGGCTGGAAGTACTTAAGCACTATGTACACACTAGTGGATGTAACATAGGCTTGGATGGAGATGCAAAATCCATCAATTGATCAAGATGGTAATTCTAGATTGAAATACTCTTGGATATATAGTTTATCTAGCAAGGCTCGTATATTGAACATTCAAGTTGAATGTTTTTCTTATTCCTAGTCCGGGATGATAGCCCTGGAGGAGTTGTTGAATTGATAACAATCGTTGAAAGTACTTTTGCAGGGATTAGAGATATTCCGTGACTATTTTAATACTTTTAATCTTTTTAATTCCTTTTTTAATTAACCGTTTTCCGGAGCTTTCTTGTATTACCTTAGTCTCCAGGACCCGGTGGCGGTTTCGCACCCCTGGCAAACCCCGAGAGGATACGTTGCTCATTTTTAAGTGGAATTATTCTAGAAACAATGAATAAAGGGATAGATAATCATCAGATAGCTTCAATTTCCTCACAGCTCTCTTTTGAAGTGATTTATTTCCATAAAACAGGAAATAATACGTAGACCCCTGTGTCAGTGGAGCTTTTAAGCTCGGATCATCCGTGGACTGAGGGGAAAATCCACTTTCCCCTCAGCAAGTTGCTCTCCTGATGAGTAGCTTACAACTTACAACTTACAACTTACAACTTACAACTTCCCATTCTTTAAAGCTGTTCGAAGCTTTGAACCCCCCTGATTGCCACATCGACTAAGAGTTACCTTGCACAACCGAACAGAATGCATTTGTGAGAGCAAGTGGTTTTCGTCCTGCTCGAACCTGCGTCCGGTCCAGGTATCACAGTTGAAGATCCGCTTTGTTGACGGGGACGCCAGTCCGAACTCGTATTAACCTGGTACCAAACTCGGATACCGCGAGGGGCTATTATATTCTTGATCTTGGCTTGTTTTCTTGTTTTTTTTTTCTTTCTTGGGTTCCTTGCGCGATCTCGGTGAGATCTTTCTTTGTTTTTTTTTAAGTCGCTTGCCCAGGTGGTTTCGGGGTCTTCGGAGTGTTTGTTGTGCCTGTTTAACGGCGGAATGGCTTCCGAACAGAGGGGTGTCTATTGCACGGTCAGTTATGTTACGTTCTAGCCCCTCGATTCTTGGTTGAGTGGGTCGATAACCGGGTCATGGAGCTGATTTTGAGCAATAGCTCCTACTGAGCGATAATTACTTACCAGGTAAATGACAATTGCTTCATTATGATGAAACGGAATCCTGATTTGTGCTCTCTCTAGGTGCTATGGTATTGGCGCATTCTCTGCGCGACAATGGCACGACGGCTAAGTTAATTGCGCTTTTCACCCCGGATAAACTCCGATCGGAGACAGTCAATGAGCTTCGGGTATGGCTTATGAAAACATTGCAATTCTTCTTCTAAATTGGAAGCTGACATTTCCTTCCTACGAAGACGGTATACGATGAACTCATCCCCGTGCATTCCATCACCAATGCCACACCCGCGAATTTGTGGCTGATGGACCGACCCGACCTCATCGCCACATTTACAAAAATCGAATTGTGGCGCTTAACACAATATGAACGGATCATATATATTGATTGCGATGTGGTGGCTATTCGAGCCCCGGATGAGCTGTTCGCATTGGATGTGAACTTTGCGGCGGCGCCAGATGTGGGCTGGCCAGATTGCTTTAATAGTGGGCTCATGGTTCTCCGGCCTAATATGAAGGACTATTATGCGCTCAAGGCACTGGCCGAGCGGGGAATTAGCTTCGATGGAGCTGATCAGGGATTGCTGAATATGCATTTCAGAGATTGGCATAGGCTGAGCTTCACGTATAACTGTACTCCCAGTGCAAACTATCAGTACATCCCTGCGTACAAGCATTTTCAGAGTACCATCAGCCTCATTCATTTCATTGGTTCACAGAAGCCTTGGAAATTGCCCAGGCAGGTAATTCCATTGGATTCGCCGTACAATCAGCTGTTGGGCATATGGTGGTCGGTTTATGATAGACATTATAAGCCGCCTTTTGTGAGTATTCTGGCGAGACTAGATGACAGGACACAGAGAAATACAGCTAATATCAGAATTAGGTCACCTACTCACAGCCAGATCATCTACAGCCTTCACACGGTTCGGATCATCACACCGAAACTATACATTCTGCAGGCCAAGCGTTCAATCAAGCTCATCATGAGCAACAGCCCGAGTCTCATCACTATCATCATGGAGACGAGCCAGCAAGCTCTCATTATGAGGGAGCTCACTCGGACGAGGAGATACCAACTCTGGTCTCGTCAGAGACAGCCCACGCTCAACCAGATTCATGGCATCAACCACACCAAGAATTCCATGAACATCAACATCATCAACATCATCAACATCATCAAGATCATCAACATCATCAACATCATCAACATTATCAACATCAGGACCATCAGGACCATCATGATCACCATCACCATCACCATGAGACCCATCACCATGAACCCCATCATGTATCGAATATCACAGACGTGCCGGTTTTGAGTGCCGTTCCACAGTATGTCCGTGGAGAAGAGCATGTTTCGGCCTTCATACCACCGATGCCTTACGCACCCGCGCCAGAAACTCATGTACATCACCCAACATACGGTACACAGCCAGATACTAATCATCCCCACTACCAACGGCAACAACAACACCAGCACCAACACCACGACCATGATCATCACCAAGATTATCATCAAGAGCAACAACAACAGCAACCGCAACAACAGCAACAACACGACCAACCGCACGAGCATTCTGAGAACCCCATACATCACCCCCAGCCGGGAGCCCCGCCAGTGACCGAGCATTGGCATCGACCTCCTTCCCCCGAACCGGAGGCTGAACCAGGGACTCCAACTTTCGAGGCACCAAAGGCAGAATGGGATGCCTCACGGTAAGGCATAGATTCTTGTTTGCTAGTGATATACATTCAAAGGTGACCTGCTTACACACTGACACAATAGAGAACCGCCGCCACTCAATACTCGACCCGAAGGAATCAGCCTCGCAGAAACAATATATACTATGTCCGAGGATACAAATCTATTCCAGCCACCACAGTCATACCCGGAACCACCAAAGAATATGTACTATGAGGTGCCCGAGACAAAGCCCGAGCCGCAACGAGTTATGCAGGTCTTCCCTTGGGAAAGTCATGCACCCCAGCCCACCCGAGTCTTTGCCGACGAGCAGCCCATGCTCCGAGCTCAATCCCCAGAGCAGCCTCCAGAACAGCCATCATGGCAGTCTGTCGAGGAATCTGTACCAGTTGAGCAATCTGATAGCGAATCATTTTTCCAATTCCGCATGCCTTATGAACCGTCGGCTGAAACATGGGAACAATACACTCGCTCCAACGCTTGGGACGAAGATCCGCAAATTCAACGGTACATTGAGTCCCTACAGCAAGCTCGGCGTGGGAAAACCCAGGTGATATCTGGCTCCGCACACGCAAGTCCAAGTCACAGCACAAACACCAGTACCAGTACTAGCTACTTCTCATCTACCACAGCCACCACGACTGGCACATCTTCTAGCCACCGGCCAAGTATCAGGCTTACCGACTTCCCTTCTGAGATTGAAAGGCCTAGCCTCCCTGTTACCCCGGCTCCTATCGAGCGGAGTCGAGGTCCGCTGAGCGATGATGAACATGAAGGCTCCACTGTGACCACCTTGCCCGTTGCAGAGGGTGTCCCGAACCAGGAGGACTGGGTGGGTGTAACAGTTGATGCATTCTCTCATCTTCTGGAGGCAACATACTTATTGTGGCGGTTTACAGAATCCCCTGGCTCGACTCGAAGAGCTCCGGCGTCGACAATCCGCGGCCTTGGAGGATCCGGAGCTCTTGTTTAGGAGGCTTTCAGAGTCCTGGCGACCGGATCTATGATTCAGCAAATCAATTCTCACCTTACAACTCTTCGATTGGATCTACTATTTACAGCATCGCGAACGTTTGTTTTTATTTATTTATTTCCTTTTCAACAATTCGCTTGTTCCGAATATGAACCCCGTGACCTTATTAATTCTTGACGCACCAGTTTGGCTCTCCGAGGCAAATTCCTACTTGTCTGTTTCTTCATTTTCATTTTTATTTTCATTTCATTTCATTTTGTTTCCAATACTTAGTTTGGCCCGCGTTCATAAGGCGATTTGTACATTGCATTTGCATCTTGCATTAGCAGCTCGGAAATTGAACCCAGTCTTTCTCTGTATTCCACTCAGACCCATATTCAATCAGATATCAACATCCAGATTTGACAAATAGCATGTCGTGATAAAATGGAAAAAAAAAACAACCCCAGATAATATCTACCGCGTAAAATCGTGGAGAATACCGGAGACCCCAAGTCTAACCCAATTGTACGCGTCAAATTTAGATGAAAAGGAGAATAAAAACAAACAAATAAAATAAATCCGGAATGATATTCCGAGAATGGGCTGATTAGGGGACTCACTAAGCCACTTGAGATTAAAGAGACTAACGACCTTCCTAATCTGGTATACGAGTGGGTTCCAAAAAGCCAGGAGCTTTGAAAGTCTTCATCGGTTGGTATGAAGACCAATCGGGTGGCAAGATGAAAGGACTAGATCCATGCTTATCTTATGCCCTATAACCTAAAATCTTCGGGTGAACCGGTGAGCGAAAGAAAATGGTCGATCTGGGTCAGCCACTGTCAGCCACTCGGAGTAAATGTCAACCACGCGAGATGACCGGAGTAGTATTTTGTCCAATTCATCTAGATTTTAAATGTTTCAAATGAAATGTTAAGATTTTTGAGATTCAGTTTTATTATTTAGCTAAATAGGACATCGGGGTAGTCCATATAATATGGGTCATGCGCAAATGCTGGTACTAGTAAGGGAATAATAGATTTGATAATAAAGATCACAGTAGAACTTGAACACGAGAGACATGATTCAAATACTCAATGCCAAGATCTTGGAATTGATATGTACGCGTCGTAGATTTCAAGTTCCATTTTCCTTCTGGAATTCTCGGGGTGAAAGGGTTGAATTCCGGGAAGAGATTACAACCGTCCCGTCTGAAAACGGCATTCGTCCGAAGTGATCTTGATGGCAAAATAAAATAAAATAAGAAAAAAAAAGTCTAACAGTTGAAAACATTAACTTGGTAGTTCATGGACTTATTGTAAAAGAAACTATGTGAAACTATGTTGAAGTCTGGCCTTAGTAATTGTAAGGCAATTATCAGTTCTTCGTACACTGATTCGCCTCAGCGCCTCCTCATCATCCAACAATCATACGATCATGCTAAGCACCACATTAGCAACTAACATCCCCGCCGCACAACATTTACGTGAAGAAACTCAATTAGTCAATTATCAAGCATACCGGTGGCTTGATTGGTCAACCACCCGATTTTCGGCCCGGGGATCTCTATATGCAGCCTATCATCATCCTGTATGGATCATTCGGCGGGTCTTCCATGGACCTTCCGATCGCGTTCGCCTCCAACGGGGCAAATATCGGCACGCGGAGAGCATTGGGGTAACCGAAACTCTATCATGGATTTCTTTTATTAATCGAATACCACGTCGCGTGGGATCTTCTCCTCTTCCCCGTCATTCATTCTGTGGAAACTTGAATCCCCGGGTTCTTAATATCGATCTACTCGAGAGTCTATTCCCTTTCGTGTGACCGAGTTTGAATTCCAAGTTTCTACAAGTTCATTCATCATGGACTCCGTGTCAGCCCAGCCTCCTGCCTATCATAATGATAAGATTGCTCAGGAACAGAAGAACGAGCCCGGGTTTGAGGAGGACTTCAATGCCCTCAAGCATGGTGAAGTCTCTGATGCCTTTGGTAATGAGGAGTATGCCGAGATCAAGTATAAGACTTTGAAGTGGTGGTATGTATTGTCTCTCGCCAGATGTGGTCATTCTCGAGTGCATTTACTGACCAATTCATAGGCAATGCGGTCTGCTCATGATTTGCGAGTCTGTCTCGCTGGGTGTCCTGTCACTTCCTAATGCAGTTGCTACTCTTGGCATGGTTCCGTAAGTTAAGCCCTCTATTTGAGATGAGTCGCAATGAGTCCAGGCAGATTCTAACATACCTTCTAATAGTGGTGTCATCTTGATTGTCGGCCTTGGTCTTCTCGCCACCTACACCGGATACAACATTGGTCTTATGCGTGAGCGCTACCCTCACATCCAGAACCTCGGAGACGCTGGTGAGATCCTCCTGGGTCCCTTCGGTCGTGAACTTTTCGGTGCAGGCCAATTCCTGTTCTGCATTTTCGTCATGGGTAGTCACATCCTCACCTTCCGTGTGATGATGAACACCATCACCGATCACGGCACCTGCTCCATTGTCTTCGCCCTCGTCGGCATGCTTATCTCCCTGGTTCTTTCCATCCCCCGTACCATGAAGGGAATGACCTGGATCTCCTTCGCCTCCTTCATCAGTATCTTCAGCGCCGTCATGATCACCATGATCTCCGTTGGTGTCGAAGACCACCCTGGCCGTATCATCCAAGCTACCACTGAAACCACCCTCTACACCGCATTCCAGGCCGTCTCAAACATCGTCTTCGCCTACTGCGCCCACGTCGCCTTCTTCGGTCTGATTTCGGAGATGGAGTCTCCCCAGGATTTCAAGAAGTCCCTTTTCATGCTCCAGGGTTTCGAAATCTCTCTGTACTTGACCGCCGCCGTTGTCATCTACTACTACGTCGGCAGTGACGTCCAATCACCCGCCCTTAGCGCCGCCGGTCCCTTAATGAAGAAGGTCGCTTACGGTATCGCCATCCCCACTATCGTCGGTGCAGGTGTTGTGAACGGCCACATTGGTCTGAAGTACATTTACTTCCGTCTTTGCGCCAAGTCCGATCTTATTCACCAGCGCAGCTTCAAGTCCATCGCTATCTGGATTGGTCTCGGTGTCACCTGCTGGGTTGTTGCCTGGATCATCGCTGAAGCTATCCCTGTTTTCAGTGATCTGAACTCTCTGATTAGTGCCCTGTTCGCTTCTTGGTTCAGCTACGGTCTTAGCGGTATTTACTGGTTGCACTTGAACAAGGGACAGTGGACTTCTTCGCCTCGCAAGATCGCTTTGACTATTCTCAATGTCGGCATTGCTATCTTTGGTCTGGCACTTTGTGTGCTGGGTCTTTATGCTTCTGGTACTGCTATTCATGATGATTCTAGCAGTGCTAGCTTCAGTTGCAAGAACACTGATACTTAGATTTGGGATTGGTGTTTTATGTTTGTTTCTTTGTACTATATCGCATTTGCATTAGCATGATTGCATTTGGGTCTTGTGTATAGATTAGAGGCCTCATAGATTACTGGTTAATCGATGTTTATGAATATTTAAGTTTTATTCCAGACTTATTGTGACTTAGGATTAATAACGATAAAGTAGGGAGTATGTACATGCCTAGTAGGATTAATGCCAGTGGCCATTCTTCACTCTTGTCTCCAGTCAAGGCGCTTGCCACGAACCGAATAAAAGTGAGTTTGTTTGATATGTTTGGCTTTCCCAGTTTTCTCATCAAAGAGACAGAACCCTTCTTTGGCTGCATTCGGTGGTGTGTAAACTGGATATGTGAGCACCGTAATATGTAGTATAACTTCGAGTCCCATAAGTATGAGAAGTGGATATGAAAACTTGAACTCACGATGCAGAGAGATGGCAAAGCCTTCTGGGTCTGGGTTGGATATTTTGTGTAGACCAAGCTTTAATGCGTTCACGAAGATTAGCACATTGTGTCATAGTTTGAAGAGCAGATTGAACATACCTTATCAGACATATAGGTTACTTGGTTCTCTTCGTAAATAGTCTGCCGAGTAATCTGTGGTGGAGACATCTCTCCATGCTCTATCCTCTCTTTGTCTGGCCAAGAATATAGAGTTTCTTGAAGTCTGCCCTTAAGGATCTGTAGGAGAGAAGTCAATTCATGTTGGATGTATCAGGGAGAGTTTGGAGCCGAGCAACTCATACCTTCATAAGACAGTGTGCATTAGCATGATCATGAATTGCGCTTCCTTTTCCGGGACTCCAAACGAGAATCAACTATTCTTGGTAAGTAACTTTAGCCAGTCAATTGGAGGAATACGGGCAATGCGTAAAGCATATCAATTTACTAGATTGCTTTTGCCATTTCCCTCATCGATCAAGTTCCGAGTGTAAGATCTGCTAGCGTCTCCCAGCGCATATGAGCTCCACTCCTCCGAGTGAGAGACGTATTTCTCCATCAGAAGCTGGATATTCATTGGGTCGACATCTTCAGAGTCAAGGCCAGAGCTCGGGCCTAGAGCCGCGCTAAGGTCATGCACGAGCTTCTCGAATGCATTTATATCATTTTCAAGCGCAGAAAGGGACGAATTCCCATTTTCGAGATATGGCATGACGGTCGAGGGAGTTTGAAAGATCACTCAAGACCGTAGTGTTGGATGTCACTACAAGGGGAAAGAACCTTGGAAGGAAACCGTTATCGTAGGTTGACGATCCAGCCGGGGATGCCGCTTTCTCCACTGCGCTCTGGGTTGCAAAGAGCTTATCATACAAATAAAAAGTATAGCATGATGATTGAATTGAATGAGGATAGACTCTAGCAAATAGGTCACCAGTCACCAGTGATACTTAAGTATGTAAATATGGCTTTCTGAGAGAATGTGAACACGCCTGGGTAGGTATGGGCGCTTACAAGTTATATCTGAGTAGGATGATATAGTGTTTACATTTAAACGAGCTTGCTAGCCAAGTACCCATGTGCTCAGTACATAGATTTCCTAATTTCGCTGATACAGTGCCCTGCGATGCGCGGCGTGACAACTTCCAAGGTTGTGACCTGGTGAATGTGATATGGGAGATTGGTGCAGCCGATAAGCGATTGAGGCCTGAGGCAGAATAAATTTAAGCCCACTATTTCAGGCATTATATGACATAATTTCTCTCTTTCCTGCCTCAGGCTTACACCCCGCCCTGACTAAAATTCAAAGATTGTGGTCTCCGCAACCCTTGTGCATTTTGTTCGCCACCACTTGCAAGTCGCTTCATTGCACAGGAAATACACTCGAGAAGAGAGTGGCCTGTGTATCATCTACCGGGACAGTCCCATTTAATTTTTTTTTCTGTGTTTGCCGTGATTTTCAGCCGCCAACATGTCTACCACAATGGACAAGGTTAGTGCGAGGTTCATCAAAATGCGCTCGATTCATTACTAATGAAGATTTTTACTGGTTATAGATCAAGGAGGTAGAGTCCGAGATGGCTCGAACTCAGAAGAACAAGAACACCTCATATCACTTGGGTATGCATCCCGAACGAATGAACGAACGAACGAGCCAGCGAACAATAGACTCGATTACGATTCTGGACATGGTTGACGATAAATATAGGTCAATTGAAGGCTAAGCTTGCTAAGCTCAAGCGAGAGCTTCTGACACCCACTGGTGGAGGTGGTGGCGGTGGTGGTATGTTGACCCATAAATTATTTTGAGATATTGGTTCAGTCGCTAATACGGATTATCTAGCCGGTTTCGATGTCGCACGTACCGGTGTTGCTAGTGTGTAAGTCCTAATAGAGTGGAAAACGAACTTCATTATAGGCATATGAATTCGACGTGCATGCTAACAAATCATGAAGTGGCTTCATTGGCTTTCCTTCCGTTGGAAAGAGTACATTGATGAGCAGACTCACTGGCCAGCACTCCGAAGGTTCGTCCTTGACAAACAATCATTTTGACGATGGGAAATAGACGACTGATTCAATTACAGCTGCCGCTTACGAATTCACGACCCTTACGACTGTGCCTGGACAGGTTATGTACAACGGTGCCAAAATTCAGATTCTCGATCTTCCCGGTATTATTCAGGGTGCCAAGGACGGCAAGGGTCGTGGTCGTCAGGTTATTGCTGTTGCGAAGACTTGCCATTTGATCTTCATTGTTCTCGACGTGAACAAGCCTTTGGTCGACAAGCGAGTTATCGAGAACGAATTGGAGGGCTTCGGTATTCGTATCAACAAGTCACCCCCGAACATCAACTTCAAGAAGAAGGACAAGGGTGGTATCGCCATTACTAGCACTGTGCCTTTGACCAACATCACTCCAGATGTGAGTTTTCAGTCTTACAAATATCGTCATAAGGAATATGGGCGTGGTACTAACTCGCATCTCAACAGGAAATCAAAGCTGTCATGAGCGAGTACAAGATTACCTCCGCTGATATCGCTATTCGATGCGACGCGACCATTGACGATTTGATTGATGTTCTCGAGGCTCGCAGCCGAAGCTACATTCCCGTGGTCTATGCGCTCAACAAGATCGATGCCATCTCCATCGAGGAGCTGGATCTTCTTTACCGAATCCCTAACGCCGTGCCCATCAGTTCTGAACACGGCTGGAACGTCGACGAGCTGTTGGAGATGATGTGGGAGAAGCTTAACCTGCGACGAATCTACACCAAGCCTAAGGGCAGAGCGCCTGACTACACAGCACCTGTGGTTCTTCGTTCCTCAGGATGCACAGTGGAAGACTTCGTAAGAGATATCCGACTCATAACACAGTCAATTATACTAATATGATGCAGTGTAATGCCATTCATCGTACGATCAAGGATCAATTCAAGCATGCCATTGTGTATGGCCGTTCCGTGAAGCATCAACCCCAGCGTGTTGGTCTTGCCCACGAGCTGGCTGACGAAGATATTGGTACGTACTTTCTCACCCAATCACTTGATATAAAATCCAGGAAATTAAAGCTGACGACGCTGTCCTATAGTTTCCATTGTTAAGCGGTAATGGAATTATTTTCAACACATGACCATCTCAGCCCTCTGCGCGAAGTGATGAGTCGATTCATAAGATACTGGGGGAGAAAGTCCGGGCAGATTTGGGGCCCTGTGTCAGAAACATCCTTACTTCTGTTATCGTCATGCTGACAGGTACGGCTTCTGAGTTGCAGCCATCTTCCCTGTAAGACGCCACGGAACCCAAGTGTGGTTGGATCGCGACATTCTCGCACGGACAACCAAGCCTATCGAATAAGGCCTCGAAGAGCTATCCTGTCTACTCCGTACGGCTCTTGGAGTGGAGATTGATCGCTGGGCTGTGAGCGAACATGCACCATGCATGGGCTACTTTGCTTATTGTGGTTTTTTTCAATTTCCATCCCCTGGTGCCTTGATTTGTAGTGTGACCTGAACCCACGAGGACCTCGACAAATTAGAGAAATGTCCAAAGGGGTGTCAGGGGCAACATGGAGAGCCATGGGTGTCTTGTTGAATGTCTTGGCGGGCGCCATGTTTCAATCTTTTTCTTTCTATTTGTTCTTGTTACCCTGGCCTTTGAAGCGACCGGTCCATATTGTTATGATTACCCATTCATCTTTTTGTTGGGGTAGGGATGGAAGTTCTTTGTCCTCGTGGTTCCATGAAGGTAATTCCGAGGAACTTTCAGCCCAAAAAAAATACAAAATCAAAAGTTCAAAAGTTCCAAAGTTCTCAAATGTTCTAGATCATGGTCGTGCATCGTCAAGAAGACCCAACCGATGCATACTTCCCCGGAGTGGCGCCGCCTCAAACAGGAAAATTGCAGGGCTTAGACAGGGCTTAGACATGACGATGAATAAGTTCGACATCTCCAGGGCTGTTGCTGCATAACCAGCTTTCACTTAATAGGCGATCATGCAACGTGGTCAAAGAAATATTTGAAATCCCAGCCACATTTTACCCCTCGAGTAAGTATTCCGTACCTATGCAGCATGCACGGCTTGCTTATGGACCAATAATGGCTCTCGTATATACTGCGAGTACTTTGAAAGTAGTAGTACATCATAGGCAGGGACAGATCTCCATGACACCGTAGCTACTAACTAGTATAATCTGATATCCTTATCAGTCCTAAGTATCTTTACCAACTGGGCAGAGTTGTATGCATATATTCCGTGCTACTAGTTAACAATGCCAGCCTGGCATTCCCAATTGGAGTCTCGTACTTCTCTTTCCGTGCCGTCCTGCACAATATCCTTGCTAGCAAGAATCTCGCCACTTGAATTATCCAAATGGATTTCCAAGATTAGGAAAAGAATAATAATGGGGGCTGGAAACAGTCTGAGCAATACAGATGTACATATGTGCCCTCCTCGTCTCGGTCAACGTCTCCCCCAGGCGTGCCAGTGGGCCTGGACAAATCTGGGTAAGACCCCAGTTTCCCCTTTCGCTGATCCACAGGTTGCCACACCTTGCCACAAGTCGAGAAAGGTCGATATGGCCTCAGGTCAAAGCTTGGGAAACTCGATGGCTTCGACCCGAATTCAAAGGCAATTATGGTGTGCATGCGTTGCAGAGAGAAGGGGCCGGGACCACTACGCATTGACCTACTGCTAATAACAGCTCCCACTTCCGTACAGTGTAGTACCCACATCGCTCTTTTTTTTTCTCCTCCCCGTGCTCATTCGGCAATGGTGATCATGGCTATGCTGTACTGATTCGGGGAGGGCCAAAAAGAAAAATAAAAAATGATTTTATAAAAAAGCGAAAGAGATGAGAGAGGGGGGGTGATGCGTACACCCGCAAGCTCCACCACTAGGGCTAATTAGTCCGAATGGAATGATCTTTTCCGATAGGTTCACTTAGAAATTGGAGGAAAAAAGCAAAAAATATGATATGTCCATCAGGTCTAATATACATTTTGTCCAGATGTCGTATGGGGGGAGTCCGTGTCCCCCCCCCCCCAATACCCAATACCCCATTCTGGACCTGATTCTCACCTTCCCTGCTCGGTACCAAAATTTGGATCAGCCATGCCAAAAGTACCTCCGAAAGGCCGTGCTTCAGCTCTCGACGGATTAGTTGTGAAGGATCTGCAAGTTTCCGAATGATTGAATGCCATATGTTCAAGTTTAGGAGGAACGACAGACAAAATAGATTAAAAAAAGCCACCTGAGCACTAAGGTAGTGCTTTGAATGTTTGGGTAAAAAGGAACAAAGAAAGAGAAGAAGAAAAAACATTTGAAAGGTAATAAAGAGATGAACTATAATGCCATTGATGCACACAGGATCATTGACAAAAAGCGGTGAATCCTTAGTTGGAATAGTGATATCTAATATCTATACGGTCTGGTGACTAGCAAAGTACGAGGATTCGGGTGGCACAGCAGGTGTATGGTCAGGTCTTCTGGAGGTACTGCCCAATAAGGTCCGGACCTGTCCATATTTGGGTATGAAATTCGTTCCTTGCGGAGGGTCACGCAGTAACTGGAGTCTGAGGGGTCTAAGTGGAGTCTCGCCCACAAATCGCCGATCTCGATAGCCCAGACCACAAGGAGAGCTGTTCACGATCTGATGCAAGATCGGCAGGATTTGCTCTTGTCAGCTTTGACCTGGGACTAAAACATTTTGTCTTAATCTAATGGAGTATACATTACGCATTCCTCGTGGGTGAGAGAAAGAGTTATTTTAAAATATCATTTTTTCCCCTTATACATTATCAGGTGACTATCACCGATGCCGGGCATGTGGTTCTACTTCTCGTGGAGGATCCATCGGTCGACCCCGTTGCATTGCATTGCATTAGGCGGGTCTGCAATCTTTCTTTTCCCCAGAGTTAATCACTCACGGACACACACGCACGCAGGCACAGGTTCATGACTCGTTGAGACAATTTTCCAGATGTCAATTATGTCATGGGCTTAACAAATTAGGGCTGGTTCGTCAAACTAGACTCCAGTGACTCCACCATAGTTACCCATGCTTTTGGGATTTATGCGATCGACAAGAAAAAAAGAAAATTGCGGTGGGCTTCCGAGAATGCACGGCAAGCCCGGTGAAGCACTACCGTTATTACGAAGTACTCTGTACTCCATAAGAGATTCTAAGGTTGTGTATCCTAGAGGTCGATCGGTACCTGACTCAACCCAACCATTAACCCTGTTACTTTACCCTTGTCCTCGCAGACTCGGATGCACTTCCCACCTTCTCTTCCCCCGGTATTGTTCCTGAATCTAAACGAGGCTTTTCCTCGGAACCGAATCCCTCTTATCGCGTCAGTCAATATGATAGGATCAACTAAAAGAAGCGGGAGAATCAGGCAAGACAAAGTGGATAAAGGTAAAGAAGCAAATATTACAAGACTGGGCAGCTATAGGACCTGATGATTTTAATCCTGACTAGTCTAGGCTCGTTTCTTCTTCTTCTCCGAAATAATCTCAGGCTGTACTGGGTACGGGGTACGGAGTACTGAATACTGAATACATCGTATCTGTCTATGCATAATATTCTGGTTCTATTACCAGACCAGAAAGTAAATATCAAATTCAAATCAGAAGGTAGATCTTCAAATCTTCCCGGAAGATTTCAATTCTTTACAGCGAAAAAATGGCGTCAGCCCACTTAGTGCTGATCTACTGCGATTCCACTTTCTAAGGATGCACGAAAAAAGAAAAGAAAAGAAAAATCTCGGTCAAGAACGATATGACTGGCGTAAACTAGCGAAAATACCGACGGTACAATGCAGGATGATTTTGGATCTGGACGAATCAATGGGCTAGAAACCAGACCAGCCACGGTTAATTCATGCGCCCCTGATGGGCTTGACCGTCAAACTTACTCTCGGGTTTAGCAAAGAATTTGTCAGACTTGCACTTTGCTCTTGTTTCATTGTTGACTAGACTTTCCATCCCCAAACATTTTAATTGAAGGTAATAATAATAAAAAAGAAAAGATAAACATGGTGAGACTTTTGATTAAAAGTCAAAATTTTAGTCCCATTTGACATTTATTCCCTCGTGGGCTTTCAAGGTTGTTTTTTTTTTCTGTAGTGGAACTGGCGGGGAGGAATCCATAATGATGATACTAGTACGGAGTAGTATTTCAGTTGATAAAACCTAGAACATTAAGTTATGTATTCAGTCCTAATAATAGTATTCAATATGACATCTGGAACTATGATCCTAAATCTTCTATCTCTTCCATATACTGAGAATCAAGTATTCAAATGTTAGCTCAATGCGAGCCAGATCGCATCATAATAATTTATACGGAAACTTGAACTTAGTAAAAAAGAAGATCCCGATCAATATGGGAGATTTTGTACTATAGTAGAGAGAAGGCGCCGGGTCGCGTAACATTATGGCATAATGGCCCGGCTGCCTTTCCCCCTTCTTCATCCCCCCATGTTTATTGGCCTCTTTCTATACTCTCCTCCCCGCCATGTTCCGTGGGACGCCTCGCGTCCGGTGAACATCCGTGCAAAAAGCTGTTAGACGGACTATCCGCTCTTGTCATTCTTTACTGAAGGTTCCCGGCCCGGAGAGGACCGCTGTGGGTCAGGGTGGAAGTGGAGTCAACCAAAATGAAGTGGAAAAAAAAGGGAAAAAAGCGAGGGAAAAAGTTAGCGCCAGAAAAGCAAGATCGCATCATTGGGGAGTTCCCCCCTCTCTTCGCCGAGAGTCCATCTCTGCCCTGTGATAGGGCCAGATGAAGCGGCCATGTTCGGCCCTTGTATTGAGCTCGTATCGTGAACAAGCGAATGGGCGCGGGGGATTCGCCCAGATGAAGAGGATCCACGCTGGTCCTCATTTGCCTATTTGCCGTGTCATCTTTCGAGGATGTCTGATGCGTTCGGATCCTGGCAAAATGCAATAAGAAAAAATGGCCCAATCCAGGGAGATCGGCATGTCCTTCAGAGATCCGTCTCCTCAATCCGGTAATCTAGCCTTCTCATCCAATCTAGGGATTTGCTCTCGCCCTGCTCTTGACTCCGAAGTCCGGATGCTCAATTTTATCGCGGCGGTCCAGTCATACCGCAGATTGCTACTTCGCCCTTCTTATTCGCAACCTTCATCTCGACCGAGGCGATGCTCCGTGCCCCTGACAACATCACATGGTATGGTCCAGAAACTTGGACGCCAGCCTCTCTTTGGCCGCTTTGGTAAACAGACCGTTGAAAAAGCTTCCCATCTGAAAAAAGAATTGATGGGATGAAACGATGAGCGAAATGCACCGCCGCAGTCAACCTTCTTTTCAGGGCTGGATTTGAGTCTCGGTCCAGTGAATATCCATGTCTGGCCTACACAGCGCATGTCATGCGGGCTTTAAGTTCAGCGGTTTATCGATCCGCTATCCGGCCCCTAGCAAATCATGGATAGGATCTAGGATTTGAGCTCGGAGTGTTGAACATCATTCCCCCCCCTTCCTCCCCGCGGATGATCTACTGCTGATTTGCTCCGTTAGTGTTCCGTTCTTTTTCCTTCTTGACAAGGTTGGGATCGCACCATTTTTTCAAACAATGGTCCAGTCATGCTGAAGAATCAGCCCGTCTCAAGATGTCAGAAAACTGGGGGCATCCATTAAGCAAGTAAGCTGAATAGGCAATTGAAAAATACGTTGAACCACGGATCCTATCAAGAACTAAAGAACTAAAGGGAGAACCCTCATTGTACCAAGGGTCAACTATGGAGTATATGGAGATTTGGGAATGATTGGGTGCCCAACAAAAAAAATCTCCAAGTTCAAAAGCAGATGAATTACTCTCCCGTATACTCAAGTCCAAGACCAAGTTTATGTCCACAAATCCCGATACTCGGTTCAAGTTTGAAGCAGAAATCTGATGCCAAAGCAGAAAAGAAATAAATTAAATTAAAAAGTCTTTTTTTAAAAAAGAAACATTTGAAATTGGAATTAAAATAAATGCAAGATAAAGAGATTTATAATCCAATAATACTAAACAGAGAGGTAGAAATATGAGTAGAATTATAATATCATGCGTGTATTTTTTCTTTCTTTTTTTTCAAAAAGAAAAGAAGAATAATAATAATACTAGTAGATAAGTACTAAAAAAACGAGATGACTATGAATATCCCTCGGAGATCCCGCGTTCAATGGATCAATTCCAAGTATTTTTAAAGATTGATATTTCCCATTCAAAAGATTTCCATTGATACAATACCAAAAACCAGGTAATACATTAACCAGGTCTATGAAACTAGATGCAACCTCCGGCCAGAATTATATCTCGCTTTGGACCAACCATACGCCGTTCCCCTCTTCATTTACAGGGGTATTTTATGAAATTATTCGATTTTATTCTTTTTTTATTATAATTATTATAATTATTATAGTTTCATTTTTTATAATTATAATTATTCCAATTTTTTTTATAATTCAGAATATTTCTATTTTATCTATTTTATTGGGTTCAATGTTTTATTTCGTCTAGTCCTTTTTCAAGTACTCCAACCAATCATCCTATAGATCGGCTCGTCTCTTCTCGGGGGCAGAAGGTTATCATGGATTTCTCCGGACTACTTTCTCGTGCCAGTTGTAATCGAGATTCAACTTGCTCAATCCACGCGATTTGGATCGTCGTGTCTTGTCCTGGTTTTCTTTTAACTCCGTCCATTGCCTAATCCCGCATGCGCACACCCTCAACCCTTTTCACCTCCTGCATATTGTATACATACCTTTCGCGCCCACCCTTTAGTAGCTTGCAACTTTTTTTTTGAAGCTTGCTAATTCTAAAGGGATATCTTGCGCGGCTGATTCTTCTTCCATATCTGTTCCTTACAGCTCTTAGGGCTTACGGACTCTGTTGGGGAAGAAATCGGCAGTTTTATACAGTTCGTTAGGGGTCTCTCTCTGTGTGCGTTGTATGTGGAACATGCATTATCTCTCATTGTTTCATTTCTAAAACTGTGTCATTGTTCTCATTGTTTCACCTCTAAAATTGTGTCATTGTTCTCATTGCCTCGAGGAGCAATCGCTTTTTTATCTATTATATTTCCTCAGCTTCTCTTTTTTCTCCCATTGCTTCTTCTTTTTTTCCATTCACTGGAACCTATCAGCAATCGAGATATCCCGGAGTGCGATTCTTCTACATTATCTTTTTTTGACCGTCCCATGGAAAACTCGCCCACCATGGAAACGGAACCTCATCATGCACAAGAGGGCGAATTCCCACATTCACCATGGGTCGAACTAGGTGCATTTACCTCTCCACAGCACTCGCCGCCGATGCCCGAATATACTGGGTTTGAGTATGGTCCTTCACCAATCATGACCGTTGACCCCTCTTCTTACGGCATGTCCCTGCCGCCACCATATACATCGATGCCACTACCAATGCCCTCGCATGCCTGGCCTAGTATGCTTGCCCATCACTCTCCATTCCATGAAAATGGTCTTCCTCCTGCTCCTATGCCAACATCGGTCTCTCCTTCAGCACCCCCACCTCCAGTTCGAAAGACCTCCACTGGAGGTTCGACGCCGCGCAGAACCTTGACCGATGAGGATCGCCGACAGATGTGTTTATACCACGAAGAGAACAAAACTGCAAAGCAGACTGATATTGGAGGTAAGATTATATGTTAAAAAAATAGTGCAGAACTATATATGTGGGGACAGCCATGTGGGCTAACATGGGTTCTCCTGCAGCTTTGTTTGGTGTTGAAAGAAGGTAAGAAACATGATTTGTTCAATATTCCACCGCCCCATGATCCTAGGTTCCCCCTAACGCCAATTATTTTTTAGTACCGTCTCCAAAGTCCTGCGCCAGAAAGAAAAGTACCTGAACCCCGATGATGGAAGTCGATCACCGATCAAGCGAGCAAAGGGTCGAGTTCCGGATATTGAGAAAGCGCTATCCAACTGGGCAAGGAACTACTCACGTCAAGGGTTTCCGATAAATGATGAGATGATAAGGGAGAAAGCGCTCTTTTTTGCGCATACTTGTGGATGTCCTGAGGGTAAGGATAGAGTACTTACTCAAAGTTGGCTGGAGAAGTTCAAGCAGAGAAACAACCTATCGGGCGCGAAGTCACGAAAAGGATCTCTGAGTACCCGACGAAACAGTTCTACCAGTCCTACTCGCATTGATACTGGTTCTCCAACCGGATCTGCCTCTCAAAGTCCCATTTCTCCAGGAAATCCATTCGGTTCTCCCATCTCTCCAATTCAGAGCCCGAGTGGTATCAAGAGGGAGTCGGATGGATGCCCCGAACTTTCTGGGGGTTATCTTCACATCCATTCGAAAAGTACTACTTCGCTCGATACTTCCTCGACTGGAATGACAAGTCCCTGCTCAACCTTGGTCTCAGACAGTCCTTTCACTCCAACAAGCCAGCATCGTCTCCCATGCTCAGTTGGTAGCAACACAAGCCGACCACGCAGTTCTACATTTCCTCTCGCCCCCATCGACCCGACTCTGCTTACTGCGGATCATTCGATGGATGGAGACTGCTCTAAGATAGATGTCACCCAACCGGTTGCTATTCTCGAATCCCCCTTGGAGTTTGGCGATGAGGAGGCTAGAACTGCGATCAAAGGAACCGATCCCAGGAAGTTGATCAAGCGGAATCGCAGCAATCCTGAGATTAAGACGCAATCCATGCAACCGCCTCCTGTCGTTTCGAAGTCCACTGCGGTTTCGCCTATCAGTGCACCCGAGTCTCCTACTCAAGATGAAGCCCGTCAGGCCTTAGAGCTTGTGATGAATTACTTCCAACAGCAACCTTCCGGTCTCGCTGCACAAGAATATGTGACTATCGGCAAGCTGATGGAACGTCTCGAACTAGCAAAAAGCCAGGGACACATCCTAGGAGGCCTTACGCGGATCGATGAACATGATGATGTTCCTCGAGTCAGCAAGAAGCGGAGTATCCATGGTCTTAGCTGAGACCCACGACTCCCGATTTCTTGAATGTTGTTATTTTTTTTGATTTTTAATTTTCTATACTTCGCTTTTTCTTGTTCCTTGCATTTTTATCCCCCAACTACTTTTTTTCTCCTTCTCTAACGCCCCACCACGCACTCACCTCACATATACTCTCTTTGAACGCTTCTATGAACCCCGCCCGTTTCGTTTTTCATTTTGGCCCCATTTTTCAATCTTCATAGGTGGTTTTCTGTTTCTTGTTTTCTATTCCGTTTTTTTCCTATTTGTTTTATTTGCATCACTCTGTATTCCAGTTCCACGCCGATTTCTGGAATCGGCGAGTATCGGAACATCCCAAAATCCAGAATCAGAATCAGAATACATCAGAGGGCGACCTCGACCTTGCTTTGAATGGGGTTTGGATTGGCGCTGGTTACACGCACACGCATTTGAGCCGGGTCGATCTGTTGCAGGATTTGCACATCTCTTCTCGGCTACATGGGATATGGTATATGGGTTATTGGTATGGAATTTCAGGGCTTTGGTCTAGGACCAATCTTGTGGAGTTCTTTTGACTCTTTTGTTCGGTTCTTTCTTTTCTTTCCTTTTGATTCCCTTATTTTATGTTTCTTTGTGATTTCCCCATACCCATACCCCCTGATCTTTGTTTTTATTAGTTCGATCTATCTCTTTCTTCTCTTTATTCTTTCTTCACCGGTTCTTTACTGGATCTTTTTTATTCCCCTTTCTTATCTTTCTTACATTCTCTTTTAATTTCAGTGCTTCTTAAACTGGGCCCGCTCGCGCGGAAAGAATTTCTTACTGGGATCTTTATATTTACATGATCCTGGTGAATTACCACTGTCAGATTAATCACTTTTTCCTTACGTTTGTCTTTTTCATCTTTTTTTCCTTTTCTTTTGAGTGCAGATGTCAGGATGAGTATTGATTACTCTATTGGTATTTGTACTCGAGGACTCGGATTTGACACATTATATTATACCCCCTTACCCCTGGAAATGTCTACTTATGTTTAGTTACAATCCACGCGATTTCAAAAGCTATCGGATATTGAAATTTAAAAGTAAAGTTAAGCTATAATGACTGACACTTTGATTCTCGTACTCGTAAATCTCTACATACTAAGAAAAAACTCCACATTGAATCCAATGTTTATCAGCCCGAAAAGAATATTAAGTCTTGAACGTTATATTAATATAAGGAAGCAGTACTTGGTATAATAAACCGCTCACATTACATGAAAACAAATGTATCATAAAAACTTGATTGGGAGCACTTGAGAAAGAAAGACTAAAAGGTGCTAGGAGCGGAAGAGACACCTCGATCCTCCATCAAATCCGCAACGCTACGCTCAGCAAGTTCAGGAAGGACCTTAGCTAAGACAGTCTCGAGGATGGAGTAGATAAGATGTTTGTTACAATACTCATCCGCCAGGAGATCCAATAGATCGGTCTCGATCATCTCAAGTAGGCATAATTCCTCCGGAGCAATTTCGGCCTCGTCACCAAGTTCGTGCGTGCGGGGCAAGCCTTTCTCAGCGGCAATAGTGTCGCCACTTCCTGCTCCTGACTCTCGCCCTGACATGGTAGACGCTGCCTTGGCATCAGAGACTAAAGGTGACGTCCTCGTGTGCCCCTGAGATGAGGATCGCCTGGTCTGGTGTCCACCATCCCCCTCTTTCTCCGTTGGTGGAGACGGGGAGATACTGGTGGTGAGGAGGGATGAACTCCCAGTGGTGGTGCTGCAGGTACGATCACCTCTGGAGGACACCGGAACGCCAAAGAAAGTTTGTGCGATACTGGGCGGAATCAGAGCCAGAAGGTTAGCTGCACATTGCCGCTTAATAGCGGCGATCTCCGTGACCGCGGACGAAGGTTGTTTGTCCGATCCGGTTGGTGAGGCTGTTGGGGGCTTGTTGGAATCTGCCGTCGGTTCCGATATGGTAGATCCTGGTGATAGTATGGTCACTGTGGGAAGCTGATGATCACCGCCATTACTACTAGCAGTAGCACCACCACCACCACCACCACTAGTACTATTAGTAGTTAGACCAATGCCACTAACTTGACTGTTACTACCGGCATTAATTTTTTCAACTGGATTATTTCCAGCCACCCCAGTAGGAACAACCTTGTCTCCTGCCGGATTAGGAACTGGAGAAGGAGCACTAGCAGATATCGTGAGGGCTTTCCCGCTAGACGTTAGGGATGGCACGGACACGTGCGGAGTCGAAACTGGGGCACTTGAATTTCCCACAGACACAGCTACTGATGCAGGACGTGCATTGGCTGGAAAAAGAGTAGACCTCGTTGCGAGAAGAAGGTTGGGCAACAAAGTGGGGGGGCAACATGTACTCCTCAATGGTTTCCCGGAGAAATCTGAAAATGAGGAGTGGAGTTAGCTAAAAGATCTGAAATGATGACATCGGATGAACCGAAGCGGAGTCAAGTGAAAAAAAGCCAAAAAAAAGGAACGAAGCGAAAATTCCTCTCGTTTATTATATTTCCCGGTTCGACTGTGGAGCTGATCGGGAACGTTCAACCGCTCGAAAGAGGTCAAAAATGGAGCAGTTCAAATGCAAGACCTCCCGCTTCATACCCTACTAGGGCGAAGACGAAGTGGGGTTGGGAGAGGCGGAGCAAGATCGGCTTCGGGGAGAGAAGGAGCTTGGGCCATGACTAGGATGACACTCCTTCAAGAACCTCTAGGGCAACTCAACAAGAAATTGAGAGAAAAAAAGGACTGGAATCCCTGCCACTTCCTTTTTTTCGGTGCCCAGTTTCGGTGCCTTTTTTTTTGCCCTTGCTTTCGGTGTAGTTTTTCCCCTCTCCTTCAAGCGGGTAAGATCCCGGTTGTGTGCCTGGCCCTGGCACCAGTACCTGCGGGCTTCATGCGCCAACCTCGGTCAGGATGCACATTCGAAATCTCGCTACTAGGAATTTCGCTGATTGGACACAGACTAGAAAATTCGCTAGTCTCGGCGATGGAGTCTTTTTTTTCATGCAAGTTCCCAATAGGGGATGGTCATTCATCGTCCACCGATCGGCATCAGACGATTTCTGCTCGTGCACGCGATTTGCCCCGTCCGGCCGAAGTAAAGTTTGGTATGTCCTTTCGGCAGAGAATAAAAAAATAGTTTCCTTTTTTCTTTGTTGAATGACACTTTGACAGCAATCAAACAATCCAGGGGCAATGTTCTTTTTTCTTTTTTCTTCTTCTTCTGCAGATCATTCACTTTCCACAAAGAATGGATCTTGGCTTGATTGTTGATTCATGATCCATGGTTATGATCCCAGCAAAAAGCGGCACGGCAAGGGCCGGGCCCCCGGCGCTATCACACACACCGCGACAGAAAAATGAGACGCAGCGAAAGTGTGGATAAGAAATGAGAAAAAAGTGGGAAGATAGTCCGTAAGAGGAGTAGAGAGAAAAAGCAGAGATCCCTGCACTGCACGCAAATCAACGCCTCGCTCGGACCAGGTTGGGGCAACCAATAATAGATCAGAATGACTCCGTCAGTCAAACGGTAAATGACAGTACGGACCAGTCAGGGTCACGGTACATTACGAGCAGTATTTCGTATGGCGTGCGCAATATTTCTTACAGGATCAAGTGATCGTTGCTGCATGCGAGAAGGTCCTTTTCGTCCCACCCATGACTCGCAAATAAGTCACACTTAATCCTCGTAGATCGTAGTTCGGAAGATCGCAAACAGTTTGCTCCACAGTCGAACGAGAGAGTTCATGCGGTCTCGGGAGGCCCGAGACCAGAGGTACAAGGGCAAAAAGAAACGTTAAGGGAAATGCTCCGGGAAATAGACTCACCTGTCAAGGACCCCGTCCGTGTCACCAAGCTGACCTGGTCCTGCCAGAATCAGATATTGAAAAAGGGCGATTAATCCGGAAAACCATGGCATTCTTTGGGATACCCCAAATAACTGAGAGATCATTGAGACCACTCGATAGTCGAGAATTGGGCGCTTATTGGTGAGGCTGTCCGACAACGACGACGCGACGCCCTCCTTCGGGGACTCTGGTGTTGCAGCGGGAAATGAAACACTGGCTCCGTGCGAGCATCCCGGCTCTGGATTCGATGTGACGCGGAATAGACCCGTCGCAATGAAACGCAAGGCAACGTAACCAAGATAGATGAATTGGAGAACTTTCCACATCCAGGCTGTGGCCTGCGATTGGCTGTATGATGATGGACTAAGGGATTCATCGCTGTCCGAAAGGAGACCAAATTTCTCCAGTCTATTGGTGGAGATATCGTTTGCAGGGCTCGTATCAGTTGGACTTTTACGGTCTTTCATTATCACAGTGAGCTTAGTGATGATCTCATAGAAGAAGACCGGTTCACAGACTCGGCCGCCAACCTCTTTACCCAATATCAAGTCTGCAATAATATCTCCGACTAGTGTGCGCAGACTGCTATTTTCCAACTCTTCCGTCGGCAACAGAACTGCCAGGGCTCCATGGGCTAACAGCCGTCGGTATACAGCCTCATTCTCAGATTGCGCCGTAATTGTTTCGGGATCTGCCGAGTCTGGGACTGGCGATAATCCTGGATGAGGGTTCAACTCGTGGTAGAGTGCACGATGCGACGTTGACAAGCCTGATAGATACGACTGTTGCTTGGATAGTCTGTAGGCTATGGGAGAAAATTTACCGTCAAGGTTAGCGTTATGTCTGAATAGAATACCTTCTAACGCGACCCCAGTGTACAGCCCAGTGTTATCCGGGCAAAAGGGATAATTTGAGAAAGGTCGGGTCTTACAGATGATATGTGCTTCCACCAATGCGGGAATCTCATCAAGTAGAAGCTGTGCAGCATCAATCTCCCGGATTCGTTGTTCCAAAGCACGAGTGCAATGTGCAACTACTTGGAGAATTTCATTGACAAGAGCTTGATCTGGAGTGATCTTGGAATACCATGAATAGAGGAATTCTTTGAATATAATGGCGAGAATGGCGTAAAGTTGACGATCAACGTCATTGGAGCTTGTCAGCGGAGGTAGCAGCTCTCCCAGAGGCTGCGGAGAAGACGCGCCATGGCTACTTGTCTGAGGACAAAGTACGCGTCGTATCAAAGCACTTGTAGCTCTTTCACTGGTTCCATCTGACACATCTTCTCGATGAGAAGCTCTTTGAGTCCGTAAACGAGAAGCAGGGCGTTGAAGTGGTTGGTGGTTCGAGGGCAATGCGGTAGACCTGGAGCTAGAGGTTGTCGGACCAGCCTTGAGGTGGGAGATCGGCTGCAAGCCAGGGCGAAGAGGGTCGGTCATGGCATCGCAGATGCAACGGATATCTCTGAAGCCAGTTCGGGGAGGTCGTAAAAAAAGGAAATTCAAGGCGTTAGCCTTTCTGAATGGGATGATCGCGAACGCTAGCTGTCACGGTCACCGCGAAGTCGGGCTGAAACTGCCCAATATGGAAATTAGGGCATAGGGTATGTGATAAGAAGCTTATCGCGATGCGGGGAGAGAACGTGTTGTTGACCCGATTGTAGGCTAAGTTCCAGGGTTAGTTAGTTGGCCCCTTTGACTCATCAACTCCTCTCTCCTGACCTTAGAAGATAAACACTTGAAAATGACAGCCAAAGGCATTGACTCTCGAACTCCATTGTGGCTGGATTGTGATCCTGGTATGTACATTATCCATGTCTGTGAAGAGACCAGTGTAGCTAATCCTTATCAGGTCACGATGTAAGTCATTCTTATGATTGAATCGGAGCGAGCCCGATGATACTGACTACCTCTTTCAAGGATGCGTTCGCAATTCTAATCGCAGCCCTTCACCCCGCATTGAATTTACTTGGAATCACAACTATTCATGGCAATGCTTCACTGGCGAAGACTACTGCGAATGCCGGGAGCGTTCTCGAGGCGATTGGCAGGCCGGAGATTCCTGTCTACCCGGGAAGTTCAAAGCCATTCTCTCGGCCTGCTTTGCATGCGCCGGATATTCATGGTATGTATTCCCTCTTGCTTTTTCGTAATTAAATTCATATCTGATCATGTCACCTTCTAGGTGAATCGGGCCTCGATGGAACGGATCTTCTTCCCAAGGCCTCCGTAGCACCTATCACAGATCAGAACCCAATCTTGGCCATGAGAGATGCTCTTCTAGCTCAACCCAAGGGCACCCCTTGGGTGATCGCCACGGGAACGTTGACCAATGTGGCCCTACTCTTTTCAACTTTCCCGGAAGTTGCGGAGCATATTGCAGGCCTTAGTATCATGGGAGGCGCTATTGGCAATGGTTTTACCGATGCTCCAATGAGCAAACTTCCCGGTGAAGAGGCACGAATTGGAAATGTGACCCCATGGGCAGAATTTAACATTTACGTGCGTTTCCCGTTTCCCGGTCTAGTTTTGGTTGCGCTTGCTGACTCGGATAAACTCGCAGTGCGACCCAGAATCATCTGAGGCTATCTTCAGTAATACCGTTCTGGCATCTAAGACAGCTCTTATGGCCTTGGATCTTACCCACCAGGTCTTGGCTGATTCAGAGGTTCAAAGCCGTATCTTGCATGGCGCTAGGGACTCTTCTAAGGAGCCCACGATTATCAGAAAAATTCTCCACGCTCTTCTGATTTTCTTTGCAGGAACATATGATAAAGTTTTTGGTCTCTCCACTGGACCTCCGCTGCATGATCCTCTTGCAGTGGCAGCTATGTTATCAAATCTGAACCCAGAATTTGCCAAGAAGCATCCAGAGCAAGCGATTAAGTTCGACGATAAAGGTGGTGAGCGCTTTGCTGTCAGTATCGTGACTGATGGTATTCATGGCCAGGATGTGTCTATTACTGGACAGCTGGGACGCACTCTAGCTACTCCGGTCAAGGGGCCCGGTGTGGCTATCCCACGAGGCGTGGACCTTGAAGCATTTTGGAACCTGATTCTTGAATGCGTGCAATTGGCGGATGACTGCAATGCAGCCCGCGCATGATGACAACACTATAGATTAGACCGTGCACATCTGTGTCTGGGAGACTTGCTGGTTTAGAGGGTACATTCATTGCACATATACGCTCATTTATTTGATATTAGAATATAGATTGGAGACATTTTCAATTTTGGCTTTATGATGAATGAATGTCCTGAAATTCTGGATTTCAAATATTCGTCAATCGATCACCTGGGCATACTAGTACCAGTAGTATACCGACAAGTCCTCACGCCGCGCTTCGCGCAGCACTGCCAGTGTACATAGCAGCGAGCATTTAAAATTGGGAAAGATATGCCCCCATCACTCAAGTGCTTGGCCAAGTGCGTTCACATACTTAAGTACATGGCTCAGAGTCCGAGTCAGAGCATCTACAGGTGACTGATGCCCGACTCTTCTTTGTATGTAGGTATCTACCAGGTTACCTACAGGGTTAGCTGGAGGGTTAGCTGGAGGGGTAGCTGGAGGGGTATCTGGAAGGGAAGTTTAGCTGTTATATTGTTCCAAGTTTGGATATAGGCAATTCAAGCTGTAGGCTCCTCGAGTATCAAGACAGGCGGTGAATAAAAGTGCAGGAACCCAAGTAGTAAAAGAGGTCTATAGCTCCAGCTGGGCATTGCCTACTAGTATTCAAATGAAGTCCGAATCCCGAGAGCTGCCTTGGTGGGGCCAGATGGATGCCAAAGCTCCGGAGCTTCCGCGACTTCATATGTGCAAATTGCTAGCATAATCTCGAATATTTGAGTTCTTCAAGTCCTCCTCATACTATGAGTAAGAGTATAGACTTCATAGATATTGTCCAGGTGCCTTGATGACAACTTGAAGCAATAGGTAGGATTTGATCCTTTTCACTTATTCAATTTGATACATTCAAATGCTTGCACTGGCCATTATGACTATGTCATTGTTCATTTTCTCCCAAAAGGATATAGTCTACCTCAAGCGCGCATATAGTGACAGCACTTGAGGGGGTCCATAGTCCAATGACAGAGTCCCCATGATAGACAGATCGATCGAAATCGTTCCGGAATGGGCGCAAATAGTGACCACCAGACTGCCGTGGTTGGATAATCAATTACACCTTTATCTCCTGTTTTCTTCTCTGAAGAAGTAAGAGGTAATTGCACATGTGAGAATTTGAATTTAAAGAACATGAATTAATTGATATATGTCAACTGGTATCGATTTAAGAGTTTAAGCCCTCTAGCCTTGGATTATGGATACTAGTAGTCAAGTGACAGCGTGCCCGCTGCTTCAGGCCGACTCGGAGTCACAGTGCTAAGGACATGTGTGCCAATAGCCCTGCCTAAATATACATGTGACTGCACTGGTAATCAACTTCTTCGCGGCGGTCCGAGTCTTTCAAATCTCCATACAGGTCTTTGTATAAATTGAGCTGCTCTAAAATTTAGATTAGTTGAACGAAATCCATAATTAGCGAGGTGTAATTGTTGGAAATTGTAACTCACTTTGAAGGGTCTCGATCTCCTTGTCTTTCGACTGAAATTTGCTTTCCAGTTCTCCGACTCTTGCAAATCGTGTATCAACATTTTGAATATTTGTGGAGGATGGAGGTGCTGCTGTGTGGCAGTGTGGAGAGGTGAAGGAAGGTGTGTTTGCAGGGCTAAGGATCTAAGGCCTCTCGGACCTGCAGTCCAATAATATTGTCCACAATCGATTGTAGCTTTCGATCAATCAATCCATTTCGGATAGTAGCTTTTGGTATCGCTTGCAGAAACAGATCCTATCTCTCCAGTGGTAATCGATTGGTCTCTATCGAACTCAGGGGTTTTTAGCGTCTTTTCAATCATTTTCAATCGATCATTTATAGAACGCTGTTCAAGTCTCTGCACTGTTGGGGTCTCAGGGGCAGTTGGCTCTTTTCCCTTTCCAATGCCGGTGTAATGGAGATGTTGGGTAATCGATTTCAATGTATCGAATTCAATGGACCTAGAAGGAAATGGAGATATGTCATCCCTCTTGTTTTTTTTAGCCGAGGGTGTGGTAGGTTCGGTGGATGCGGGGCGTTCAGTAGTTGTAATCGACGGATTCGATGGTGAGAGTGGTTCAGGGGTTTTCAAGGTGATTGCAAGGTCGTTCATCACCGTAAGGATTGGAGAAGCCTTCACTGCCATTTTGAGCCATTCTGCATCGCTCTAGATGCCCTTGCAATCTAATAGAATCCTCTTCCTGCTTGTTCGTCTTTCGTTTTTCAATCGAGTCCAATATCAACTCTTTGGATCCCAAAAGTGTCAAACTTGAAATCCTTAAAACTTCGGCCAATGGGTTCGGCGTTGGAAGGATTGAATCTTTTCCATCCCTTTCTGAACGTTTGTGTACACTCTTTTCATCCATTCTCCAACAATGGGCGAAAGAACCAGCAAATTGGTTGCGGACCAGGTGGCACCACAGATTCGGTCGGTATTCACGTAACCTGGCTCGCCAGGCTTGGGCTCGGGAGGACAGCTTGAATTATTTGACATTTCGACGGTCAGGGGCAGTTGATTGAAGTTTGGGATGCGAAGGTGGTCATCGATTGGGCACGCAGAATTATACTCGATTTAACACGAAACGTACGAACAAAATTTGAAGAAATGATCAAACTTGAGCAGGTCGGATGGTGGTGGATTGAAACAGGTAGTATAGGAAACCTCGGAACCATGGAAAGAACTTTGGAACCTCCCTTCCACCATTTGAAATAGCTTTTATCTAGGTATTAATAAAAATGAGTGCAGTCTTCCAATTGTCTTCAGGAGTTTCATGATGGTACTCAATGAATTGTAACATAACTGCAAGTCCTCACCTCACTAGTGGATATGGCTGGTGATTCAAACAAAGACCGAGGTGGCCGATGAAGAACGATCACGGCGGAGTGAAACAGCATACTGTCGAAGGCATATCAGCGTATGTTTCATAGAATAGGGGGCGCTCTGACTGACTTTAAATAGAGAACACATGCTGGAGCATAACCAGTGATCCATTCCGTCCAGTGAAGCTTTGCTGGTAGATCGGCTGCCCATTTTGTTAAATTGAATGATGGATTTGTTCCGTTGCAAGTATAAGGAGTGAGCTATTAGTATCCTGTTAGTGATTCTTAAATACCCCTTTTATTATACTGTACAAAATCTTGTAGAGTTCCACACGGGCATGAAGTACCCGACAACATTTGAAATACAACGCCATCCTTATATGAAGGGGGCCGAGGCAATGCGAAGTACATTTGTACATTTCGAGTAGCATTTCCCACCTGGAAGTCGAAATGGATTTATTAACATCTAATTTGTGGGGAGGTAGTGACGGGGGACGTCCAAAATACAGACTAAGATATTAAGGATGAAAGAATGATAGCGAAGAGAATCCTGGAACTAAGAGTCATTCTCTATAGAGCTGTAGACCCCATCCTACTAGATTAAATCGCCAGGGGAGTCTTGTTATTTTATAAATAAACTTCTTCCATGTTTATGTAGAAACATTAGATAATATTTGATCTCCTTTCTTATTTATAATGATCACTATGACGTTCCAAGGTTACTACCTAGGTAGTGGCGGTTAAGGTCCAAGGTTAAACCCCACTACATCCATCTCAAAGAATTTGAAGACTCGGATCTTATGATATTCTATATTCTATACCTCATGAAACATTCCCATTCAACTACAAATACTATCTTTGATCAGCTTCAAATATTGCTATATGTATCAGTACCTATCGAACTCAGAACGCGATGGAATCATCTACAACTATTCGAATGCGCGTATCTCGTATCGCTATTTGGGCTTTGAAGATCCTGGCTCAATGTTCATTTAAACTTGAACGTGAACGTGAACGAAAGACCTACTTAATTAATCTTCCTGTCGAGTTGTTAGATGAGATTTTCCGGCTTCTTCCTCAACCCTGGCAAGGATGTTTCGCACTTACTTGCAAACGATTTTATGAATCATACAAGCCTATATTCGACGAGCCCATGTTTAAATATCCTTATTCCAGCCAGGGCTTTGATCGCTCTGTTGATATCATAGCCCGAGAAAGATTTCTTAGCAAGATACAAAATGAGGGTCCAAGCCTTTTATCGTGTATATGGTTAGCCATTACTACTTCTCCGCCTCGGAGTCGCTGGGTAGACTGTGGACCATGTCTCAAGCTACATCGACCAGAAGAGATTGATTGGCCAGTTTTATATATTGAAGATCTCTTCAAAGATTCACCCACTCATGATATCCAAATAGCTAACCTTAGCTGTAGGCGGCGGGGTATTATTGTTCTCTGCTCCTGCCTCAGAATATTCCCGAAGAGATTATTAGATATTGGAAAGCAACTTGAAAAGGCAGATTTTGATGACGATCATTTCTTAAGAGAAATCCCTGAATGGCACAAGTGCAAATTCGTCAATGCACATGGACAGCTGATTTATCAGGCAAATATTTCCGCTCTTCTGACACAAAAAGGGACAGTCATCTTTGATTTTACCTATCTGATCTTCGGAGATCAGATACGGACTGGTGATGAGGAGACTCGCATGAATTATGCCCGCTGGCAGGGACCAAAGCTTATGGTTTGCCGTCACATGAGTGCTTTTATCTAATTCAAGGTTGTGGTGGTGAAGCTCTCGGCGATAAACCGTACTCTGGAGATTGCCGGAGGTGCAGCTACTCTTGTGCTGTATCACGCTTGGATAGCCCATCAAGCTATAAAGTCAAGTTTAGAGGGTCATTCTTGTGGCCAAAGCCTGAGAACCTGTCCAAAATTGATGGTCGTTTTCATGGTGCTGACTATGACTGGGAGCGGTATGTTTTAACACATTGGACTTGAACTACTGAACTCTACTTTAAACATTGGAAACTGACATCTGGATGGTTTCGATCATGATGCTCTAGGCGGGACTCACCATATGTATAAAAATTACAGCCGAAATCGACAACTTTAGCTTCTCGTGCTTGAGATATTTGACTAAATAATTGGCTAGATGTGATTTCAAGTTTAACGAGCCTTGCAGAAATCCAAAAATTGCTTTTTTCAGCTTCAACTTGAAATTGATAGTGTTCGAATTTGTGCACATGTCCACGACTATATCCGGATGTCATGATCGTGTATGATATGAGTTTCAACTTGAAGGTCCGGGCGTCTAGCCCATGTTCACAAATGGGTCCTACGGCCTATGCCATGCTTGCATTTTAGTTGGAATTCTGTTCAATAGCCAGATCGATAAAATTGTCGCAGATAAAAAGCAGAATTTACCTTTCTACAGTGGGTATACACTGGCAGGTGGCCAGGTTATCAGGTCTTCTATAGTGGTGTGGATGTCCACATGTCCTTTGCTCCTATTCACACTTGGTATACGGAGTACTTTGTATCATTGTATGTACCCCGTAGCGGGACCACATCCACTTTGCAGTTGTGGCTCCGCCTAGACTCGTGGCGTTCTAGGATCTAGATGATCGGCACTAGCCAGGGGGCAGCGACTAGAATAATGCAGATAAGCCGATCGGGCGTTTGAGGCTGTAAAGTACAATGATATAGTAAGCCACAGTACCTTTAGTACTTTCAATATCGGGAAGATCTTTGAGAAAAGAGGTGGAGGTACCTAGTTGCTGGTGAGATTATCGCTGACGTGTGTACCCCGGTAAGAACAATAGATTACATTAATACTACATCCTACCTACCTAGGTATGCATCAATAGACTTAAATCTGACTACAGTCCATTGTTCGAAAATCTTGATATTATTCTCTGATCATTGTTGCTGCCAGACACTGACACAATGCCTGTACAACAGTCATTGTGGCCCATTTATGTGGAGTTTCCCGCGGTCAATAGTCAGATAATTATTGAAAGTTCAAATATTAGAGAAATATTGCTACATATTAGATGAGAGAAATCTACATTATAGTAATATTTTCCTCCTCAAGTGATATAATAACCCTGACAAGTGAAGGTTGTGCCCAGTGGCAAAGCTTTGAGCTTAAAGATGAACCAGTTGACGTCGACATCGGCAGAAAGGAACAACGTCAGTTTACTTCAACGCTTCTCCACATTTCATGATACCACTTCCTCCTTGCGCATTCGCGGCATTCCCCATCGCGTTTCATATTTCTTGCCCATACTGCTGGACTTGGCCTTACTGCCCTTGTTACTCCTATCTGGTGGATTTCAATCCTAGTGAGGAGATGCCGCCTCCAAACTCGGCATCTGTACGTTCTAAACTTTTCGAACCCCGTGACATTTCATCTCCGTCTTCCTTCTCCTTAACTTCTACTCAACTCAAATCTACTCCGATCTCCACTAATCTCTTTCGCTTCAGCACGGCACACCAGCCTTATCGCCGACGGCTCTTGTTCCTGAATCCTTGTCCCGAAGAGCCTCCGATTCCGATTCTCCAGTTCCTACTGAGAGCGATAACGCCCATGACGATAATGTGAACTTTCTTCGGTCTCGCGCCCTTCTGTACAGCCCTTTAGTACCTGCAATCAGTCGAGCTCGCCGTCGCCGGGGACCAACATCCCATCCAGGACCCATGGAGGACGAAGAAGACCGCATGGATTTGGATGACCCTGGCAATCTGCGCCTATCAGTCGAGATCAATCGCCGCATACCTATCGTCCGCCGCGAGCGCGAAGAGACCACCCCCACGAACATGCCTACCTATGATGGCCGCCGGTCAAATCCCCGATCGCTAGTCTACGGTTGGGCACCAGCTTCGGATGACGAAGAGGAGCCTCATCGTCACGGTCGTGGCCAAGAATCAGACGATGATCAGATCCAACCATTCCTCCACGCTGTGTCAGATCGCAGTTCGTCCTTAAATCGACCCCGAAGACAAGAATTGACAGGTCGCACACCACCGATAATTGCTGCGGATAGAGATGATCCAACGGAATCGCCCGGTCGGTTTCGGAACTCAACTTCATCCATCTCCACGATGGAGGCTTTGTTGCAATCGGCAAGAAGACAGCCTAGGTTATCGCGAACGCGCAACCTGGAGAGCTATCTTCTGGAAAGATACAGCCGATCCAATGAGGATTCCGAAGAGACTCAACCGCTTCCCGTGATTTCATCTTCGTCACGAGCGTACCGATACCGACCTGCCAACCGGGCTGAATCTCGAGGACTCACACATGCCGACTTGCGCCCGAGAGCAACCGCACATCGACGAGTACATTCTGGAACACCTGGGGATACAATCTTGAAGGATACGATTAAATATCTTGACTGCTTGCGCTACTCCAACTCCGTTGAGGAAAGTATCAATTCGGCACACGCTAAAGGCTTCCTTCCAATGGAGAACGTCTCCAGTGATTTCATCCTTGATACCTATACCATCGCTCCTCCGCCACCCTGTTCTTGGCTCCAGCCCGGAGTGATCTTCGGGGGGGTTTCAGAGGGCAGCGAATGCGGGTTGCTCAATATTGTCCCAGCGAATACCTAGTCCTCATGCTCCTCCAAGTGATCCAGTCATTTTCAATGGAAGTGATAGCAGCGCTCGAGTCGGCATTTATACTAGCACCGGACGCCGCTACATTGCAAACAACCCCAATCATCGCGACGAGAATTGGCCAGTGAAAGTGACCATTCATAACATTAACTACGATGACATGACACTTTCTGGCACCATGGAGGCTTATAATATTCCCGATAAAACCTCTCCAACACACGATGCACATATCGTGACTTTCTTAGAAGGCGAAATCATCGACTTCAACAATCATACCCTCGAAACCAAGAATTTCAAAGCAGATGCGGACGTTGATAGCACATATTGGCGAGAGCTACATCCCTTCAAGGATCTTTCTGATGCTGAGATCGCCAAGAACCTCGTGAGTCGGAAATGGATGACCGAAGAATTGGCGAAAGGATGGATTTTGATGCGTTGGAAGGGTAAGTTCTTCACCTTTCAGAGTACTCTATGCATGATATACTAACCCCCCCAACAGAGCGATGTTTCATAACTCCAAGTGACTCGCGCCAAGGTCTTACTATCTCCGGCTTCTATTACATTTCTCTTCGCCGAGAGGATGGCCGAATCGGGGGTCTTTACTATGATCCAGGTAGCTCTCCCTACCAGGAGCTGTCTCTGAAACCCGAAACTGTGAAGATGACCCGCCCATCCTATTCTTTCCGGTAGGCACAGCCGGCACTAGTAGGGTTAATGCCGAAAAAATGACGCATTCTCTGTGTTTCGCTTTTACTCGTGGCGATTCTCTTTTTTCTTTTATTTTTTTGCAGCGGTATCAAACAATCTTCCGGCTCCGGTAACCAAGTGGGCTATGAAAATCGTTTTCCTTTTCTGATTTTACTTTCATTTTGGCGTTGTATAAACTACCCTTGGTTGGGGTTTCATATGATTTCTTTTGCATAGCTGGACGGTGTTGTTGCGTGGCCAATGGACATTTATGGGAAATAAGTCAATGATTCTGCTCGGCTCGCTTCATCTACAGAAAAATGGCCGCTTCTTGTTTTTTCTTTAACTTTTTTGATTCTTATCTTTTGTAATTTTTCTTCTTATCGATTTAATGACTGGATAAAAATAGCTGACATGCAGTCTTCCATATCACCCCATCAATAACCTCTACGTAATAGAAACTAAAAGGATATCCCCTCTTTATCTGGGATGCGGGGGATGAGACTCTCTTCCCCAGAGTGTGTCTTGAAGATTATTCTCCACAGAGTATCCCAGTGGATGATCATCTTGTCCCAATAAGCAGGTTCCGCATGGACTTACCCGATCTCGGGACAATCTTAGCAGGGCGTTACATGACCCTGCCGATCCTATTTGCATCCATGTCAGAGAACTTGAATTTGATTTCGTCGTGACATCTCACTGTTGCGCCAAGCGAGGTTCTATATTGCATATGTGACACTACCCATGAATACTATTTAAGCCATGGATGCACCACAGCCTCTCATTGCAATCGCTTCCTCAATCCCTGACAAGCGATATGCATTTAAATCATCTTTCTTTCCTGGCGGCCGTTGCTGGTTGTATACTTCCTGCTACGGCCTATGTGCCTCACCAGCCAAGGAGTCAGGAAGGAACCTGCAAGAAGACTATCGTCGCCATTCTGTAAGTTGGGGCTCCTACATTTTACTTCAACGGAAGCTAATGAAACGAAGTGGCGGTGGAATGGCGGGCATCACGGCTGCTGCAAGTTATTCTCACGACTCAATTGCGTGCATTAAACTAACCATCTGCAGCAAGCACTTTCCAATGCCTCGGTTCATGATTTCGCTATTCTGGAGTATCGGGATACTATCGGAGGCCGAGCTTGGCATAAGCCCTTTGGAAAGAACCCACACACCTGGAAGCCATATACCATCGAGATGGGCGCAAATTGGGTATGTTAACGTATCTGTCTTCATGAAACTTGAGCTGAGAATATGCAATCATAGGTGCAAGGTCTTGGGAGCCCAGGTGGTCCCCAAAATCCCATCTGGACCTTGGTATGTATACGTGACTGGTATCTTTCATTGATCATCAGCTCATAGACTCGACAGGCTCAGAAGTACGATCTGAAAACTCACTACTCTGACTATGATAATGTCTCGACTTACAACGAGAATGGGTACTCGGATTATAGTCACCTTCTAACCGAGTATGACGAAGCATACAGTATTGCTAGTATGAAGGCTGGAGAGATTCTCACGAATAATCTTCAAGATCAAACGGCTCAGTCTGGTCTGGCTTTGGCTGGTTGGAGTCCCGTTAAGCATGATATGGAGGCGCAGGCAGTTGACTGGTGGAAATGGGGTGAGTCTTCCTGAATAGAGCCCTTCCTTGCGGCTAATTCTAGGAATACTTCAAGTGTTCATGACCCTGACTGACATACACGAATTTCGAAGATTTCGAGGACAATTTTACGCCGCTAGAAAGCTCCCTTGTCTTTGGTTGTGCAGGTGATAACTTGACTGAAAACTACTTCAGTGATCATGACAACTTTGTCATCGACCAGCGTGGATTCAATACTATTATCAAAGGAGAAGCCGCTACATTCCTCAAACCAAACGATCCACGACTACATCTCAACACACAGATCTCCGAAATCGTATACTCCGAAGATGGTGTCACTGTACACAACAAAGACGGCACCTGTGTCACTGCAGCATACGCAATTTGCACCTTCTCTCTGGGAGTTCTCCAGAGCGACGAAGTAAAATTCAGTCCTGCACTCCCAGAATGGAAACAAACTGCCATTCAAAAATTCACAATGGGCACATATACTAAGATTTTTATGCAATACAACGAGACTTTCTGGCCGAAGAATACTCAGTATTTCCTCTATGCCGACCCAAGTCTCCGGGGCTGGTACCCAATCTTCCAGTCGCTTTCAATGCCGGAATTCCTACCAGATTCCAACATCCTCTTTGTCACGGTAACAAATGAGTTCTCATGGCGCGCAGAACGCCAATCAGACGAACAAACCAAAAACGAGATTCTAGATGTCCTCCGCAAGATGTTTCCCGAAAAGACTATCCCCGAACCAACCTCATTCTTGTACCCAAGATGGAGTACCGAGCCCTGGGCTCACGGGAGTTACTCAAACTGGCCACCGGGGACAACCCTAGAGATGCACGAGAACCTGCGCGCTAATACGGACCGCCTTTGGTTCGCTGGCGAGGCGACGAGTCCTACGTACTTTGGCTTCTTGCAAGGTGCCTGGTTTGAGGGCCAGGATGCAGGTCTTCAGGTTGCAGCTGCTTTGCAGGATCGATGTATCAATGCTAATTCGACCTGGTTGAAAGAGTGTGGCTCTCGGAAACACTATGAGGTTTTACATGGGACCTCGCCTTTGGCTGATTACTCGGCTACCAATGGATGGACGACGAATAGTTTTATTGACAATAATATCGACTAGGTGCATACCTCATGCAATACAGGGGCTGTCCTTGTCATGCCCCCTTTTACAAAGGTGATTTTATCTTTGTAATACAAAGGAATCCATGTGGAAGCCTGCGCTGAGCTTATCAGACTTTGATAGAAATGAAATTCATCCATGCTCACTAGTATCAGCATGGTAACAGAATTGAAGAGCTCAATTGGTCAGATGTGCAAATCCAGAATAAGATCAGGATTGTTATGCATCTCCGCGCGACAACTCGGACTTGGGATTCGGATTTTCGGGCTTACCGGGTGATGAGCCATCGGCCGGAGCCGACCCCAGATGACTCCCCAGTTAATTGAACCTTGTCTTATCTGATTCTTCTCAGATCGTTTATACATTGCTTTCTCAATCATGAGATTTCTTGAACAAGCTCCTAAAAATTAGCGTAGACATACAATAATCAATATGGCTTCCCAAGAACAGGAAGTTCATCCAGACACAATTACTCCCATAGATGTCGAACTAGCGCCCATAACAACTCATCCCAGCAAAACAGATGATCCATTCCTAGTCGCATTTGCAGAGCCATTCGATGCGGAGAATCCAAAGGACTGGCGCACTGGTCGCAAATGGGCCGTCACTGATGTGCTCTCCGCGACGGGCTTTAATCGCATCATGGTATCGACCATCATAGCACCAGCCCTTGGAACTATCGCCAAGGAATTCGATATGAATTCTGCTGAGTCGGCGATGGCTCTTTCAATCTATGCTTTGGCGACTGCATTCGGTCCACTGGCTATCGGGCCCTTGTCTGAGGTATACGGCCGTGGTCCCATTCTCCATGCGTCGAATATCTGGTTCTTGGTTTGGAATATTGCATGTGGGTTTGCGAATAGCAAGGGAATGTTGATCGCTTCTCGATTTATGGCTGGATTCGGTGCTAGTGCAATCTATGCGTTGGCGAATGGCGTTTTGGGGGATGTGTGGCGACCGGAGCAGCGTGGTAGTTCGCTTGGTGTTTACCTGCTTATTCCTCTACTAGGCGCAGCAGTTGGTTTGTGTTTCCGTTTCATACAAAGGGAAAATGAAAATTCGCTAATTCTTATATTCAGGTCCAATTATTGGCGGTTTTATGGCAGAACGCACCACCTGGAGATGGATGTTCTGGTCGACTTCGATCTTCCAAGCCGTAATGATCATCGTCTCATTTACGGCCTTCCAGGAGACATATGAGTCCCTGATTCTCCGCCGTCGGGCTGAGCGTATTCGACGCGAAACAGGTGATCCTCGATACTACACTGTTGATGAGCGGATCAACGCGAACAAATCAGCACTCAGAGTCATAGGTCGAGCACTGAGTCGACCGGTCCGACTGTTGATCTTCCATCCCATTGTCCAGATATCCTCACTTATTTCCGCATTCAACTATGGTATTCTGTACATTGTACTCTCAACCTTCTCAGATCTATGGACCAACAATTATCACGAATCAGTCGAGATCAGTGGATTGCATTACATCGCTGTTGCTCTGGGTGAAATTGCGGGCAGTCAACTATGTGCGAAAATGATGGACAACTTATACCACCGACTAAAAGCCCGAGCAAATGGGGAGCATACTCCAGAACTCCGTGTACCTTCAGTCTTCCCTGGTACTATTCTCGGATCGATGGGTCTGTTCTTATACGGATGGGCTACTCATTATCGTTTACATTGGGCGGTTGTTGACATTGGAGTTTTTATCACAATGCTTGGGCTACAGATGACGGGTATGCCACTCCAGGCATACGTTATGGAAGCCTATCCAGAGTACACTGGCAGTGCTGGTGCTGCACAACAGTTTATGCGCAGTCTTACTGCCTTCTCGTTCCCGTTGTTTGCACCAAAAATGTATGCCACACTTGGTTATGGGTGGGGAAACAGTACCCTGGCGTTCCTTGGGTTATTTGTTGGACTTCCAGCTCCGTGGCTTCTTTGGCACTATGGTGCATTGCTTAGAGGAAAGACTAAGAGACTTTCTTAGTTGAGGATACTCAACCTTTCTTCATTTTATCTTAGTATCTGCAAACCTGGAAGCTGAGGAAGATCTGTTTGACTTTTTGTGGGAAATTATTTTGTAAAATCAGCTCTTCTGGAGGGAAATAATTCAATGCTTCAAGTTCAAATGTTGTTAAATCTATTAATGAATCATAAAATCTATTTTAAAAACAAAATAAGCATGAAAACAAGAGCACCATTCACCGGATCTCCATATTTTCAAATAACCGATGGTAACGAAGTCTTGCTTTGGAAATTGCAGGGATTCTCGATTTATCCCATATTTGTGAGCAGCTGAAGCCTGATCTATTGAAAGACCTTACTCCTTTCGCGCAGCGATTTCCCATATGACCTAAAAGCATAGGGAATTGGGATCATTAATGTGGCCAGGCATCCTAGGAGTGTACAAGCCCACTGAATTCCCAGTTTTTCGAACATTTCAGTAGTAAACATCGGAAATCCCGCAGCAACGGACGAACGCAGGATAATGTTGGCGGCAACAGCAGATGCCGATCTAAACTTTCGTATTAATTTTGGCTTTGCAGAGCTCTTGTCATGGGAGGACTTACATGGGTAAATAAGAGTCGACGATATAAACGAAGCATGGGACAAAAACACAAATCAAGCCAAATCCAATGAATATACCCGCTGCAGCAGGGGCTTCCCAAGGAATTTCAGGTGTGAAGCCTGTCCATCCAAGCCTACAAATATCATCTGTCAGCATATGGGTGGTAGAGGTTCAAAGGAGTAACTCACCAGAAAATTCCAATAGTAAAGGCTGGTCCTCCAAGGAGAGGTGGCGACAAACGCCATTCCGGTACCGGAATGCTGTTGTTTTCAGCTAGCTTTTTGGCGTACGTCTTCTGCTGGGAGATAATGTAGCCACAGCCCAGTAACTGGCCAAGGATTAGACCAATGAATGGAAGGCTATCAACTCCAAGACTCATGCCGTAAACCTTCTGGAATATGAATGGATATGCTTCCAGTAGAGCATAGACCAAAGCATAGATGAACGTCATGTAAAGGGAGACGAGTAGGAGGATGAGCTCAGTGACTAGAAGTCTCAAGGGTCTGGTGAAGTACTTTTCGGCGAGATTCATAAAATCCAGCTCGATCTTCTCTTGCTTTGCATGAATACCCCAGTTCCCTGTCATTTCACGAAGTGCTTTAGCTTTTTTGATCAGTATGCAAGGCGCATATGTTTCTTTCAGGAAAAATATCGAGAGGACCCCGTTCAGGAAACTGCAAATGGCAGCGATGTAAAGAGTCCACCTCCACCCCAAGTAACTCTTTGTGATGAACCCTCCGAGTATTGGTGCCGTCAATGGCCCGACGAAGACCGTCAGAGCATACACCGTGATAGCTACACCCCGATACATGGTATCGAATAGATCGGTCAGTAACCCCGGGACAACAGTGAGTTGGCTTGTGCCACACATCCCTGCGAAGAAACGGCAGATGATCAATGTTTGTATGTCCTTTGCAACGGCTGATGCTATGGTAAAAATCCCACCTCCAATCATAGCGATTGCTAAGGGCCATTTTCTTCCATATAGCTCAGAGCTAGGTGCCCAAATTATAGGAGCGCAGGCAAACCCCAGTACAAAGAGAGAGGTTGAAAGGGTTCCAACTTCTGAGCTGACGTCGAACTCTTTGCTAGCGATGTCGATTCCAGGTGCCAGGATTCCACTTGTTAATGTCACGATAAAGGTTCCCGAGCAGGAGATGATAGCGCTTAAAAGTCTAATGTAAATGACACGTTAACATGGATCTTGTAAGACAGTCAAGTAAGCAATCTGAGGGCATACTTGGTAGATAATTTCCAGTTGTAAGGATGGGTAGGATCATCAGGCCCATCGAAAGTAACAGCGTAATCTTCGGAACTTTGGAGGGGAGGAGGAAGCAATTTTGCCTTTCCAATCAAGATTTTCTCATCTCCCCGTGTAGAAGCGGAAGTTGAACTCATAGTTGATAGGTGAGGTGCTCCCTGCCCAAATGTAGCTTTTGTATTGTTGTAAAGGTTTTAATGGGTACCTAGATAGTAACTTGAAATTGAACTGGTAAGCCTGGAGTGAAAGGTAGAGGGAGGTACTATGTAGCAATACTTATACTACTTATGCATAGACACATGTGCGTACATCCATGTTCCAGATGTCAGTTTTTGACATCCGTATCCTAGTATTTAGATCGATCGATCAAATTCCAAAGTCGTTAGGTTATTCAAGTTGTGAATTGACTACTTTATACATCTTCATGGGTGAGTAGCCAAAGGCATGTGGCGCTTGCTCCCAGCAAATCCCGCAAGAACCGCAGGAAGCGCTTCTAGGACCGGAGACATTCTAGATCGGTATTTACCGCAACTTGAATTTAGTCTAATAGTATTTCCCGTGATAAATCGAAAAGCTATTTCAAATCCCGAGGTACTATTTACGCGTCACTTGAACACTACCATCCATATTCAACTTCAGAATTTATAGCGTAGTTCAAAGACACCTGAGGCTCTAAATTGAATGCCTGAAAATAAACTTCGACCTATCATAAGGTTGATAGAACCTTATCTCTATAAAATTCATACGTGGATCTTATCTGCACTATAACCTCTCTCTTTTCATCCTAACTCCTTCATAATTATTCGCCTATCCTTTCCATTCTGACATATTTCTTTCAGATCTTATCTTTTCGGCCATCTTAATATCTTGCATAAATCTAATAACCCTCAGGCTGGAGCTCGTTCATCTCTATTATCTATCATCATGTTCGCTGCCCCTTTACTCTCATGTTACTACACAGATAGCATATTTCGGCAAGTTGCAACTGCTAGCCGATAATATGACGTTATTCCTTCCCAGAACGAGCCTCGAACAAATCACCTCGTGCTACAAAAATGAAATTGTATCCATCATATCTGCATTCAGGAATTGATCGAGATCAACCCGCTGCAACCCAGGTAAATCGGCGACGAGAGCACCCAGCCATGTGTATTCTTCAGAACTAGGATGAACTTCTGGCGAAGACGGAGCCAGCATGTCTGGTTGATGGAAACTCAGTGCATCTCCCAGAATGGCTATGTCATCTTTTCTGCGCTGCCGATGCAACAATACCAACAAGCATGCAGTTCTATAGGCCTCCGTCAACGTTTCAGTTTCATACGTCGATGCTATCAAACTCAGCGTCTGCATTGCCTCGGGCAGAATTGCTAGCGACGATCTTGAATCCAGTGTCAGAAGAACACAGATTATTTGGAACGGAACGTTCGCAATTTGGTGCCATGGTGAGCAGTTTAGCGCCATGCGACTTGCGCAACCAAGGCTTTTCTTCAGTAATACCAAGACACGCTCTGCGAGGCTTGATGAAATATCGAGGTTCTGGGTATGAATGCGCCGAATGATGCAAAGAGCGAGATTGCATTGCGCAAGCACTGATGGAGGCTGCGTATGCGTCCCATCGAGTAGCTTGGAGAGGGTTGAAGTGAGATCGATCTCGATCCCATCCTTGGACTTGCCTGGATCGAGACTCAGTGAGATGGGTAAGAGACCAAGAATTTCACCGGTGTAATCGCCATGCTTGGGGAATGGAAGGGACGGTAGATCGTTCTTCTGGAATGAGACTCGTGATAGCCCTAGATCAAATGAAGTCCATACATTCAAGTGATGGGCAAGGCCAACTAGTCGTTTCTTGATTTCTGGATCGCATTGAGCAATTTGTGGCAGAAACGAGCCCTCCGATGGTTCAGGGTGGAAGCCTGAAGCTTCGAGAAGATGCATAAGAGTGGAACTGGCGATCCAAGTAGCATGTGGTGTGTCTGTTAGGCGAAGATAGATCGACCTTAAAGTCCATCCTGTCAGGAGATCTATGGAAGGCGGGCCGTAAAGATGGTGCATATCCAAGCAGCCCTTAGCCGTGTGAACTAAATGCAATTCTGTGGTCGTAGCCTGGAGCTGAGAGAATAAGCACCCAATAGCAGCGACGCCAGCTAGAACACTGTCATATAAAGTAGGTATCATGGAAGACTGCCAGCGTTCTTCTAATCTCTCATTAAAGATATCCCGATCGATGAACCCATAACAGGGATCCACCTTATCGAAATAAACCTGAGCCAACGCTTTCATGTGCTCAAGGGACGTAATTTCAATGATCGAAAGAGCGGGACTTGGAATGATCGGAGCTGATAAGTTTCGTGCTCCAACATTCCAGCCAAACAAATCAAGCTTTGGTGCTTTTGCTGGATCGATCTTTAGACCCAATTTTCTCACAAAAGCAGCGCCAGAATTAGCTTCTAAGCGACGGATCAATCCAGCTTGATCTGAATGAGCAATCTCTGATTGTGTTATGGGCTCCGAAGATGGCTGGGCTTCAGGTTCAGCCCCACGTGCTGGTTGTCTAGGAGTTCGGGGTTTGCGTTGTCGAGTTTCATAGTGACACTCGTAGCCCCATTCAGAGCAGGTGACGCAGGGCTCGTCTCCATCACATTTCCTCTTTCTCTCCCTACAGGGAGTACAAGCCAATCGGGATCTCTTTCTTTTCAGAGCTTGCATGTGGAACCAATCCGAGATTAGTGATGGTGTTGTGAGTAGGTGAAGGAGGGGAAGTGGGAAATGCGGATGTTGCGGGAATAGAGGGATACAGTGGCTACTAATCCGGCAGATACTTCAGAAGTTCAGATCATCCTACTTTTCCGAGAAAAATGACATAGTAAGAGGCGAACTAATTGAACAGTGATATTGTATCAAAAAAGCTCTATAATTATTAGTTATTGTAGAATTTGAGTACTAGGTTTATGCGAGATCGCCGTACTACATCTCACTTCAACGGGTGTTGCGGAACGAATTAGTCCGAATGACTTCATCCAACAACCTCGGTTTATGCTTATGAACATCTGAGACAACGCTCAAATACAATCGAGCAGCCTTCTTCTATTTCAGTTTTTGATGATTCGCACAGTCACTATAACCATGACTGCCAAATTATTATCGCATTACCCGTGGGCAAAAGCCCCGTTTATTATCGGTGCACCAATGCGCGTCATGTCTGGGCCTTCACTCGCTGTCGCTGTCTCACGCGCCGGTGGACTGGGTTTCATCGGTCCTAATATCAAAACCAAAGACATGGGTGTTGACCTGGAAGAAGCCTCAACCATGATTCAAAATATGCGTCCTCCAATACCAGCATTCAACTCCTTGCCAATAAGTCCACTTTTACCAGTTGGAGTCGGGTTTCAGCTTTGGGGAGACGATTTGGATATTGCCACCGATACCATTGAGAAGTTCAAACCATGTGCTGCCTGGTTGTATGCCCCTAAAGACGGATCAAAAGACTACGACCGGTGGTCTCGTCACATACGCCAAGTATCGCCGGAAACCAAGATCTGGATCCAGATTGGCACCCTGAAAGAAGCTAAAGAACTTTTACAAGTATCAGAGAAGCCAGATGTTATTGTCGTTCAAGGAGCAGAGTCGGGTGGTCACGGTCGGGCGACAGATGGGATGGGCCTCATGACACTCTTCCCTGAGATAGCGGACGCGATGGCAGCCAGTCAAATTCCTCTGGTAGCAGCTGGAGGTATCGCCGATGGACGAGGAATAGCAGCATCCCTGTGCTTGGGAGCTTCTGGTGCGGCGATGGGGACTCGATTCCTAGCTGCGAGCGAAGCACGGATTAGCAAGGGATACCAAAATGAGATTGTGCGTGCATCAGATGGCGCTGCGAATACGACGCGTACACTACTTTACAATCATTTGAGAGGAACATTTGGATGGCCGGCTGAGTACAGCCCGAGAACTGTCATCAACAAATCATTTATCGAGCACCAGGAAGGTGTTTCCTTCGACGAACTCAAAGGCCTGCATGATGAAGCTTTGAAAGCCGCTGATCAGGGATGGGGTCCAGATGGCAGACTTGCAACGTATGCTGGTGCGTCTGTTGGGCTTATCCACAATGTGGCTAGTGCAGTGGACGTTGTGGAAAAAGTGCGCAATGATGCAGTGAAAAGGGTTCAGTCTCTCGGGCTTGGATTTCCCAAAGAATGAACATGGTCGAGACTCAGTTGACGTCTCTTCCATGCCCTTTGATTCATCTTTTCGGTCGAGACTGCGAGACTTCAAATGCCAAGAGACTTGTGCCTTGTATGATTACCTTCCATGATCATCAGTGGAAACTGTGTAATTTTTGGAAAGAATTACGAATTGAAAAATAATGAGCGCCAATCTACTCCATGTTCAAATATTTCCAATAGTACGATTCACATGTGCAGGCCCAGGAGAACATGCTTGATTGAATCTTATCATAGTTAGGTAAATTCATACACATGTGCATACTTCCAGGTTCAAGTTGCAAATCAGGTTGAGTATCAGAAGCAAAGTCTATAAAATTTGCTAGTATGGTCAGTTTAAATGAACAGATATTCAAGAAGTACAAAGTATCGAAAGAGAGCCCTGGCAGGGGAGGTCGGAGAGCCCGAGTCTCACAACTGGCAATTTTCTCGGCCAAAGATCCAGGCCTCGGGGACCAATGAAGCAGGCCGTATCAAGAGCTTCAAAATCTCCAAGCCTCCCGGTCACGGTAGTCGTGGTAGAATGCTTAGTTTGAGGGCTGAGGAGCAGCACAGACCTTGCTGCCCTTCTTTTGTATCCGAGGATAAGGATTAGCGAATCTCATCATGTAGAGAGTGAGTTTTGGGAGTACATACGATCAACTGGCAAGTCTTGGCAAGTCTGGTTCTCGATGGTGCAGTCGTTGTCAGACTGGCACTTGTCACCGGCCTGGTCTCTAATTAATTTCTTAGTCCTAGTTTTTTTTTGAAGGAATTGACGTACATCGCGCTTCTGCTGCTCGTTCTGGTCCTGGTCGTTGCTCTTCTGGTTGGCGACGACACAGACGCTGTTGCTGCAGGAAAGGTTCACACAGTCTCCGTTGACATCGCAAGCACCCTGGAGCTGGGACTTGGAGTTCTGTAGGACAAACTTTAGCTTGCTTCAGACTGTGAAAATTATCTTGTTGTTACCCACCTCACGCTTGCTCTTGGGGGCAAGGCAAATATCCTTTTTCGCAAACGAGGCCCTTGCGGCAGTCATCGATAGTGTCTCACTTGACGTTCAGGTCGGCGTCGAGGCTCTATCTCGCAGTCAGATTCATTCAATACCAAAGGTTTTCATGGAATACTTACAAGACCACGCTTGCTCTTAGGAGCAAGGCAAGTGTTCTTCTCACAGACCAGACCATCCTGACAGTCACTCTTCTTCTGGCAGTCCTGGCCAAGCTGTGAGGTGGAGACATCACGCTGTTGCTTCTTAGGGGTAGCGCAGGTGTCATCCTGGCCACAAACAAGACCCTTGACACAGTCACCAGAGACCTTGCAGTTCTGGCCGTGCTCGGACAAGGTCTTTTCAGTTAGCTTTGTTCATTTTCCAAGCATAGTAGATATCCACTCACATCACGCTTGCCGTTGGTGGCAACACAAATGTCCTTCTCGCAAGCAATGCCCTTAACACAGTCACTGTTGACCTTGCAGTCACCATTCAGGTGAGCAAAAACATCCCGCTTGTTCTGGGAAGAAACGCAAATATCCTTCATGCAGCTCAAGTCCTGCTTGCAGTCGCTGTCGACATGACAAGCCTCGTTAAGCTTAGCCAGAGGAGTGGCACGGATGACTTTGTCGGCAACGCAGGTGCCAGTGTTGTCACAGCTTTCGTTAGCCTTGCAGTCGGTGTTGGACTTCCAGGTAGCAGGGCGCTGTTGGGCAGGAGAAGCCATAGCGAGACCAGCAAGCATGGCAGAGATAAAGATAGAGGCCTTCATTTTGATGAATCTGAATTGAAAGAGTGAAGTTGGGAATAAAGATTGAAGATAGTTGGACGAAAGATAGTTGAAAAAGAGATTGATAGAGAATGAGTGTTTGATTTTCGAATGATATAGAATCTTGAGAAAGCAAGAATCCTTTATATTTTCAGATTCAACTACTATCTATTCTTTCTTCCAAGTTTCCTTATTTGATATTGGTTCTTTTTGGCCGATCTTGAAGTCAATATTATCCCGTGCCACGCGTTGTAGTGTCCATACTGTGTGTATTTCATATGATGCTACACGCGTACAACCAATTCTCAACATTTGAATTGTCTAGACAACTCACTCGGTCTATGGATCCATTTAAGCGGCAGTGCAATTGGTCAGTTCTTTTTCTCCATGATCTCAGCCGTCTGCGGAGTATCAAACCGTGTGATGAAGTGGATATCTGGAGAACAGACTGCCAAGAAGATCAGCACCTGGGCATGCGAAGATGCTCATTATTTCTCTCATTTATCTCAACGATTCCAAGGTTCCACACTGCGTAGACCCTCTAGGAGTACATGTCTAGGTAGTCATGATATCATGCATGCCAGTGCTTAAACATATAACAATTCCAAGGTTGGACTACTGATCCATGTACACGTGAGGACCACTGCAATCATGACTTGGAGTCAATATCACTAGCATAAGGGAAATAATGAATCAATTAAGGCTAATACCCCATACTAGTATGTATCTCCATGGATATCAATGCAATTGTCAACAATGATTCTATCACCAACATTGAAATGTTTCACAACTTGAACGCGCTCAGAGAATTGCATCATACATAGCACTTGAGTTAATCTAAATGTTTACGTTCAATGTTGACTCTGCGAACCTACTTGAAGCACTTGAGCTTATTTTAGAACGATAATCACTGCCAAGCGCTAGAACTCCACCTGCCGACGAAGCCATTCCATGTACTCCATATTATTGTTATCCAGAATATGTCTGGTGCCGCTGATCCACAGTGCGGTCGTCAAGAGAGGTACGTAATCTTCTATGTTAAACTTCTCATTCGGAGTTAAACTGGATTAATTGCCCAGGTGGTGATCATCAAAAACGTACGTGTCTTCGGACTATCTTGATATCTACCACTAGTCTTATTATTATCGGCGATCACATATGAACTTGAACTCAATGTTAGAGTTGATGATCAGGGGCTCCAAATTCAATCAGCTGAATAGTGGGACTTCTACTCATAATTCTATCAGAGAGCAGTTGAGTGAGTGAATTCAGGAATTTCCTTTTGATTCGAGATTCAAGCTAAACCGAGATCCGGATGAGATCATCAAAAAGCTAATAACGCTCATTGCCAGCCATTCTATATACAACACAGAGCTAGAAAGAGAATTCACATTGAGCCAAAAATCTCCATCATCCATGCATCATCCAGACCATTTAGGGACATGAGATTGGAGAGATCAGGTGCAGGTGGAACAAACTCATCACCGGTACCACTCAGACCACTTGGGGGTAGACTGGGATACCAAACCTCCATAAGCTTCGGTTCCCAGCCCTGTTTAATTGACGTGATCATTTTCACACCCTTTTCAAAAATGGAAAGATCCTGGTCATTAGCTGCTACGACCATCTCCGCAGTTTTATTCATATTGAAATGAATTTGATCGAGGATTTCAAGGACGTTCGCAGTGTTGCGGACCACGTTCCTGTCCCAACTTGGGTCTTCGAGGGTGGATAGTTTGAATAAACTCATGAGGGCCCGTGAAAATTGGAAAAACATGGTAAATGGGAGACCGTAGTATAATTCTGGAGGAATCGATAGCCAAATATCAAGCCAGCGTTTAGTAGCGTGAAGTGCCGCGCAGAGACTTTCCAGTCGTTGGAGTTCAGGGGAATGAGGTAATGCAGGTGTTTGGATAGCCCACTCGTGAATGACCAGCTCGGCGTTTTCGAGATACATCATGACGGTGTCTAGTACATACACTCAGTAAGGATTATATGAATGAGCATGGTTGCAGATTGATAGACTCACCCTCTTGTAGCAGATGTTGAGGAATTTGTTTTCGAATAGAGTCAAGTTGTGATTGAAATGATTTTACGTAAATTCGCGATACTGTTTGATCTTCGCCGTCACGTCGTGAATGATATACCTTATCCATGATCAATTGGATTTTGACCAAGGTTACCAGGATCTCATCCTCAGGACATTCTTTTGCCTCCGATAAAACAGTCAAACTCTCTTCCATATGCGGATTCCATCTCAGAGCATCGATTCTGGACATCGACAATGCGACACTGAGTAGATGAAGAAAAGAATTTTAGCCCGGCACTCAAGGACAGGTACCTAGTAGACCTTGGATGAACAACTTACCTAGATGTAATGAGAAAACACCCTAGTGCAGCTCTTCTCTCTTCAAGAGTTCTGGTTGTGCTATTTTGCTGTCGGTAACCAGTTGCGCTTTTAAAAGCTTGCATTGTTGAGAGATCTTTTGGGAGTGCCTTGTTGATGCCCATATCGCAAACAATTCCCATAACTACATGAACATAGAAGTTAAGGAACGGCCTCTTTGAATAAGTTGTCCTAGTAGAGAGAAAGTCTCAGTATGACTGCCATCCATATGTTGAAAACGAGCAAAGACCCGAACGCCTTGTAGCTTTCCAAGGTTTTAACTTACCACGAAATGAAAGTCATGATGCCCTGGAGAATATCAATGCTTGGAGCTACCTCAATAAAAATTTCATGGAAAACGAGTTCCGTGATTTTACTGAAGAGCTTTTCTCGTTGATTATAGCCCGGAGTGCTGACAGCCATAATACATAACCAGAGAAATGGTTTGTCTTGGCGAAGTTGTTGAGAAGTGACATGGGGAGGGATGTGAAGAAAAGGAAGAACTTTCAAATTCCGGCGACGAAACTCATGAATTGTCTGTTCTGCCCTTTCCGGTGGCATTATGATAGTATTACAGACATTCATGATTGAATTGCTGTTAGGAGTAGAGACTGTTGACGGTGGGGATGGCATAGTACCCCCACATCCTGAGTGTGGGTGTGGATTAACTGGAGAAGGTTGTTTTGAGCCTGGGGTATTTAATTCCCAATCAAGTGGGAGACCGGAGCTAGGTCCATTGGTCTGAAGTAAAGAGACAATACTATCAAGCTTTGCCTCCAGTTGAGCAGTCTTAGATGCCGTGGAGCGACCGTTTCGCTTCCGCACCATTGGTGAGGGACGACAATCTTTCTTGAGTCGCTGACATCTATGGTCTAGTGAGACTCTTGAACTTGGAATGAAATATGGTATTATTGATAAAAAATTATTCCTCACCTTTCACAGCCTCCTCCAGTTGCAAGTAGTATGCATTTACTCTTAGCCCGAGAGCAGTTCACGCAAGCCCGGCCATAAGGCGCCGGGGTCCCACTTAGGCTGGGGCTAGGGTCCTCCATACCGTCATCCGGAGGTGAACGTCAGCAAGGGTGAAAATCAGAGATACACGGAGTTGATTGCAAGTGAAAATCGACACTAGGGATTCAGTGAAAAGAATAGCCTGAATCCGAAGAAAGACAGGAATTGGGGGGATATGGATAAAGTGAGAGTGAAAGAGTGAAATATTGAGCGGGATTCGGACTTGAACTGAAACCCGATGCGGGTCTGACTCAGCCACTTTTTATTAAGAGGATCTCAACCTCCTCCTTCAACTTGATCCTGCCGGTATTCAAGAGTCCGAGTCTCCTCTTTAAAGTGGAACAATGATAAGTCCGAATGACAGTGAACACAATTCATTTGAAGCTGTCGAACCACCTAGCTACTGGTCTCTATTATGGTGGATTTCTACTCATTAGCTATAGGGGTTTGTGAACAACTCGGACCTATCAGGACACCTCCTAGGTCACCGAGACAACTTTTGGAACTTTTGTACGGAGTCTGTGCCTACGGAAAGGCCGAAAGGGCCGAGTTCTTGGGCTCTAGCCATTAATCGGCTTGAATTTTGATTCCATAATAAACAAAATGGACCCATCACAGATCGCTATATGCACAATGATCTAAAAATCGGAATTCGGGAAGATGGAAACCCTTTCCTCCGACGCGGAGTCATGGAGAGCCTTATTCGCAAGTTTTACACTGTTTAGCGGTCATTTTTAGCAAATCGCATGGTTTAGTCTATGATTTGAAACCAGCATTTGGACGAGAGGCTGTTATTAATAATCAGTGTGACTTTTAGCCTGTATAATAGAAGATCAGCCTAGCCATACCTCGTCGAAACAGAAGAATCTAGGATCTTGTCGTTTCAACTCGCAGGTGGTTTAGCAGTCAATATGGAGAAATCCGAATCGTCTCAAGATAATGCCGTGGAGGTTCCCATCTCTTCACCAGTCTCTAGTTCACATTCTCTATCCAAAGAACTTACCCCGGACCCCTCACCACAGGAATCAACAATGGACTCTCCTGACGCATCCGAGTCCGCGACGGACACAATAATGATCCCGGAGGAAGAACGAAAGTATCTTACAGGCATGAAACTTTATTTGGTGACAGGCGCAGTTACCTTGGTCTCTTTCCTAATGCTTCTGGACCTTTCTATCATTGTCACGGTGAGTTTTAGTTCATTCTTCTGATATCATCTCTCATACTATACAGGCGATTCCAAGGATAACGGATCATTTCAACTCTCTTGCTGATGTTGGATGGTACGGAAGTTCATATCAAATTGCAAGGTATATGATAAGCTCCCTCTCTGCATGTGAATACGAAATCTAATTCGGTCAATCAGCGCTTGCTTGCAACCACTCACAGGAAAGGTCTACAGCAACTTCAATTCCAAAGTATGTTGGCACTATGTTCATTTACATCTACTATGTTGAGTATAAAATACTAAATTGAGGCGCAGTGGACTTTCTTGGGTTTCTTTTTCGTGTTCGAGCTGGGCTCATTGCTCTGTGGCATCGCAAACTCCTCGAAGATGCTCATTATCGCTCGTGCGGTTGCAGGTATGGGAGGATCTGGCCTTATGAATGGTTGCTTAACTATCATCGCATCATTGGTGCCACTTCACAAATCTCCGGGTATGTGACATATCTTTTTTGACTCTGAGCACGTACTAACAGATCATAGGTTTAATCGGAATGGTCATGGGCTGTGAGTAAGCTGTTAAGCCTTTGCTTATCTTACTATCATACTAACCTAATTCAAAGTTTGTCAACTTGGAATGGTCGGTGGTCCACTGATCGGGGGTGTTCTTACCGAAAAAGTGTCTTGGAGATGGTGTACGTCCATACTTCGACTGAATTTCTCATGACATTTCTAATGTCGCGACTCTTTCTCTATAGGTTTCTACATTAATCTCCCAGTTGGTGCTGTTGCCACAATCCTCCTTCTTTGCATTGAAGTTCCCGATCAAATTGTTAAACCTCCAGTCAAAAATGCAGCCACAACAATCATGCGCGAGCTTGATCTAATCGGCTTCGCTCTCTTCTCCCCTGCAGCTATTCAACTCCTCCTGGCGTTGGAATACGGCGCGGGTACATATGGATGGAAAAGTGCCACAGTCATCGGTCTCTTCTGTGGAGCCGGCGGCACATTTATCATATTTCTTCTCTGGGAGTACCGTATAGGGAACAAAGCAATGATCCCTCTCCAGATGGTTGCAAAACGCAAGGTCTGGACAAGCTGTCTTGTCATCATAGCTATGTATGGAGCAGGACTTGCCGCATCCTATTACTTGCCGATCTACTTCCAGGCTGTGAAAGATGACTCTCCAATTATGAGCGGTGTATCTTTACTACCAACCATTGTGATGCAGATTATCTTCGCTGTCATGTCTGGAACCTTGAGTATGTCATCTCTTCCCTATTTCAGCTCAAACGCAAAGTTCGAATAATGGCTAACCCAGTACAGTTGGAAGACTAGGATACTATACTCCTTGGGCCATCTTTGCAGGAGTTACGAACTGTGTCGGCGCCGGCCTCTTATCAACATTGGCACCAGAGACATCCACCGCGAAATGGATTGGGTACGAAATGATATTTGGCGCCAGCCGAGGAGCCGGTTTTCAAACGGTATGGATATTGGATCTCGAATAGTTACCATAGAAAAATAAGCTAACTTGACTATGCAGCCTATCATTGCCATCCAACACGCCGTACCCCAAGGCGATGTTTCCGTCGCCATGGCCCTACTCATTTTCAGTCAAACACTCTCTGGCGCTGTATTTCTGACAATCGCAAATGTGATTTTCGACGCCGGTCTGAAATCCCTAGTGAAAAAAAGATGCACCAAATGCCGATGCAGCAGCGATTCTTGCTGCCGGTGCTACGACCTTCAGATCTGTTGTTTCGAAGGAAGATCTACCTGGAGTCTTGAAAGCCTATGCGAAGAGCTGTGACTATGTCTTCTACATGGCTACAGGACTTGGTGTTGTAATCTTTGCATTTGCATTTGGCATGGGCTGGACTGATGTCAGGAAGAAGAAGCCTTCCGAGGAGAAAGCGTAGACTTTTCCAATGACATTTTTTACCGATGCATATGTATCTGCGTCTCATCGATTCTTTCAAGGTTATCCGTCTGGAGGTTTTTCAGATTGATGCTGTTATGCGACCCATGTAATGCACATCTCTACTACTAGAATTTTAATGAAGATCTCATTGCCCTGGTTCCAACGAATACTACCTTAGCACTTCATCAATTGTATGACCAGATGAGAATAGTCTACGAATAAACGAACTCTACAAGTAGAAAAAGAAAAAGTGTCATCACATCATCGTGTTGATTTTTGTCCATTGAAAGGCGGCCAGAATACCACAGCACCACACACCCGAACAAACGGGGCACAGCGCAAACCGCAAGCGGTAAGATTCCAATCAGAACAAAGAAGAAAAAGAGCCGAAAGTAAAAGACCCTTCCATCTGAGGCTATGAAACCAGCTGATATGCACAATCCTCCTCCATATCCTTTTCAAGTCGTCTTATCAAAATCCTCGATATCTGGGTGCGCCTCCCCCCTAGACCGTTACCACAGCACGACTAGTCCCGTTCAATTAAGCACAGGTGACTAGTTTACTGCTCGGTCTGGAAGTAGTTAAGGAGGACGGAGCGCTCCTGGGACTCCTCACCCCAATCCTTGACAACGACGCAAGAGCAGTTAACGACCTTGCGAGCGTTACCCTCACGGTCCAGAGTGCCTGTACAAAAAGTAATTAGTCCAAGTGTTCATTGAATAATATATGGGTTATTTGTAGTGGAACTTACAGAGACCGACCCACTCGCCGAGCATCTTTCCATCGGGAACCTTGATGAGAGGGATCTTGTGCTCGGAGCACAGGGCAACAACGAGCTTCTTGTAGGCCTCCTCCTCACAGCCCTCGTTGAGGACACACATGTGAGCCTCACGGCGGTCAAGAGCCTTGGCAGCCTCACGGAGACCACGGGCAAGACCATCGTGGATCAGGGAGATGCGGAGAACACCCTTGAGAGCGTCGAGGACGGACATCTGGCCGGAGCCAGCGTCAGCGGAAACCTCGACCTCATCGGCGGCAACGGGGGGGGTTGGACATGGTCTCTTCTCCGTCCGACTAGAAAAAGGAAAAGAAATGTTAGTGGGGTTCAGTGGACAGTGAGGGGAATCTGAGATTGCATGTTCAATTGAGCGATGAGATATGAATATCCGAAGTGAAAGACCAAAGTAGACTCTGACGCATGATCTTTGGTCGAAAATTTCGGCCTCGAACAGTCTTGCTCTGGCGGCGGCTATATAGCCTCATTTTTTTCGGATCCTTCACTCGGTGGCATATCCAGATATATCCAAGGCGCATTGTTCATGTTGTCTCGACTGCAGGCAGAATCGAACTTGACGTACCATTTTGGATGCTACTTTGTGTATTGGGTAGCGGGGTATGTAAAGAAATGTCGGAAGATCCTCAAAGAGGTGTTTTGTGTTGTGGAGATGGTTTGGTTGGAGCACGGGCAAAATTTCGGGTTTTTCGAATTTCGCTGTGTGTGCCCTACCGCTTATGTCATTTGCTTGAATCCGGAAGTCACGTGCGTTTCTTATACCGCCTTCCTAATAAAAAAGTATAGAACCAGCCCTCCAGGTCCGGGGCTCTAGACTCAGTCACACCAACCACTTTTTAATAGCCTTCAACGGTTACACTACATGTACACAAGAGAATAAAATGTTTCAAGCTTATTGTAGCCATTCGGGGTCAACCCCATACCGAACTAAAATAGATTCGTTACATGAACGCAAGAAGGTATCATAATCGTACAATCAGAATCCATCCTTTACACCGCTGGAATTCTGCCGATCGCGCCGTAACCTGCAATAGCGAAGACGCTGCAAACAAGGACACTAGAAGGGACTAGTAATATGTACCGGGTCGAGGTGGATAGCCATGACCATTGGGGATTCCGCTGCCATTGGTTTCAGCGAAGACTGTCGAGAAGTGACCGTTGAGGTGAGGAGGAACCTCTGCAGTAGTAGCAGAAGGCTCCGGATCGATGTGCATTGTCAAGAAGTCATCGAGTTTGAGGCTGTGTAGATGAGGAATGTGAGGAACGAGGTCCATGAAATCAGAAAGCTAGATATATCACGTTAGCACAGAGTATTACTAATTTCATAAAGAACGGGACAAAAACTCACCCTGATCCAGAACACATGCTCCATGCCAAAATACTTGGGCTCAGTCTCAGAATCCAGCTGCATGATTTCCCCAAACGAGGCATCGCGGTACTTGGGGTCATCTGTGGCCACCAAGTGACGGCGTGTGCATCGCCAGAGGTTGTTACGCTGGGTCGGAGTAGCTTTGCGTTTCTCCCAGCTAGCGTACTGCGATAATTGGAGATCATTCGTAGCTAGCAGAGGTGCAACCAAGTAATTCGGAATCCATCGTTCTTCCGCCATATCCGCAGCGCAGGTGGGCTCGAGCTGGCGAGTGAACACAGAGACAAGAGGCGTGAATTTTGAAAGCCACTCCCGGCTCTTGGCATAGGAGTCATTGGAGCCAACCAGATTGGCAGCAATGCGAAGGCGACCTGGAAGAGCATCACGACGACGCTGCTCCTGGGCCTCTTGGTCACGGCGGAGCTTGGCAATGCGAGATCGTTCCTGCTCAAGCCTCTTCTGACGTTCATCTTCAGCCTGTTTAACTCGGCGCTGTTCGGCTTCTTTACGCTTGCGCTCATCCTCGTCGGCCTTCTCACGAGCAGCTTTGGCAGCTCGCTCTGCTTCCTCCTTTGCAAGACGCTCTCGTTCAGCTTCTTCTGCAATGCGCTTTTCTTCTGAAATACGCTTCTCTTCTGAGATACGCTTCTCCTCTGCAATGCGTTTTTCATCTGCGATGCGCTTCTTCTCGTCTGCGATGCGCTTCTCTTCTGCAATACGCTTGTCATCTGCAATACGCTTCTTCTCGTCTGAAATGCGCTTTTCTTCAGCCGCTCGTTCTTTCTCGGCCTCTTTAGCTTTAGCCTCGCGTCGTTTCTCTGCCTCAGCTTGTGCCCGCTTCTCCTTCTCCTTCTCAACCGCAGCAACATCTGCCATTGAGGTTTCAACGGACTCCAATGGCTCCATTTTGACATCGCTGGTTTTCTTGACAGGTGGATCTGGGTGCGCGGACGACTGGGACAAGGGATCTGATTTCTTAGATTCGCCCGATTTACGTACTGGGGCATCGGTATTCGTAGTATCTTCACGAGGTCGGCGAGGCTTGGGTTTGTCGCCATCAAGGACGTCTCCGGGTTTTCGATGATGGCCGTTTGAAACATTAGATAGCTTGTCATCAGCAAGGACACGTCGTTTCTTTCGAGACTCGGGGGATAAGCGATCACTATCGGCACCACGCGAGCGAGATCGCTCTGGAGAATTGTCGTTGCGGATACGCTTGAGAGAGACGTTGGCATCGGGGGCGGTATCACGAGATTTTAGAGCTTCCTCACGACCAGAAAGAGAATCAGACGAAAAGAGGCTGGGGCGGCGATCTTGGTCCTGAGGGCGTCGTCCTGCAATTAAACGACGTTTACGAACCTCATCCGGACGATTAACTCCACTGGATTCGCTGTCTCTGCGCGCCGAGGCTGTAGATTTGGGCTTTGCGGAGTCGGGCTGGGTATCATGATCAGAATTGGCAAGAGCCTGCTTCTCCTGAGCATCTCGGTTCAACTTGGCACGAGCGCTAATCAACCCCGTCCTCTCCTTCTCACGTCGCTTCTCCTTGATAACCTTCATAGAATCCATATCCTTGGGCAGACGCGAGGGTTTGCTGGTCGGACTGTCGTTAAGCTTCTTGGGGCGAGCCATGGGGGAAGAAGACTCGCGTCGAACAGATCTTTTCTCGTCCTTCTCTTTACGTGACTGGCGAGGGGAGGTAACAACTTTGCGGCCTTTGCTGCCTGAATATTTCTCGTAGGCAGACTTCAGTATATCATATTCATCCTCCCAGTTTTCGCCTTGTCGGGATCGGGAGAGTTCAAAGTAGGTTCGGTCTTCGAATAGGCGGCGGGTAGGGTTGAAGCCTGGTTGGCTGAGTATAAGATTTATAACGGAGGTGTTGCCTCTCCCGATGGCAGCGAGCATTGGAGTATTATAACCAGCCTTGAGGCCGGCGCCACGAAAAGGATTAGGGTCAGCATCTGCATTTCCCATGGCATACATCAAGGATAGCACGTCATGGTGGCCTCCCTTGGCCGCAGCGATCAAGGACGCATTGTCAGCCTTCTGCAGCACATTGAGGATGCTCACCACTCCCATTTCATCACCCTTTGCCGCAAAATTCATCAAGTTCTCTGGAGTTGGTTGGGTCCACAACAGATCATTTCTAGTCGCCTCACTCCGGCCCGTCTTTCGGCGACTCGCAGCAGCTCCAGTAGGAGGCGGACTTCGGGATTGACTGGCAGCAGATGCCCGTCGAGACGAAGGGGGCTTGCTTTCTGAACCGACTCGTTCTTCTGATCGTCGACCGGGTCGTGCACTGGCCTTGGCATCGGAAAGCGCTTTCTTAATCTCTTCGTATTCATCATCATTCAAATCGGTTGATACCAATTCATATGGCTCATCTCCAGAAGCATTGACGGTTCGCGGGTTCGCCCCGGCTTCGAGCAAGAGCTTGACCACGTCCACGTGACCATTTTCTACCGCGTCGATCAAAGGTGTATCTTTATCAATATTTTTGGTGTTGATCTCACAGCCTGAGTCCAGCAGGAATTTGACGATTGAAGCTTCACCGTTGAGAGATGCGATTTGTAGCGGAGTGTTGCCGGCATTATCGGGGACATTCAGATCTTCTGGACGTTCACGGTGACGGAAAACCACTTGATCATATTTTCGATCGGCACATGCCCTGGCGAGAGGAGTTCGACCACTTTTATCACGTAACTTCTTAGGTCCCATTTGCTTCGCAGGAGAGGCTGATGCGCCAACCCCGGATCCCAGCCGACGCAACGAAGCATTTGGTAAAGGCGAGCTACCCGTGGAGGACGATGTTGATTGTCGATCCTCTGAGGGAGGTCGCGGGAAGCTTGATGGGATAGGCGCAAAGCCTCTGATTTTGGAGGATATATGAGGTCCTGATGAAGACCGTTGATGGGAAGGGCGGCTCGGGGAGAGCGAGCGAGTATCAGGTGGATGGGGGAGGTGTATATTGTGCGCATGTTTAAGATCAATGTGTGAACCCCGACGACGCTCACCCTTTTCGTCCACATCACTAAAGCTCCTCTTGCGGTAGATTCGTGGTTTGTCGGACTGATTAACACAGGTTTCATCCAAAACATTCCTCGGTACTGAAGACAGATCCTCTGTCCTCTCAATCTTTACTACCGAGGGGGGCGAACCCGCTCGTTCGGATGGGCTCGGCGACCGTGAATGCGAATGCGAATTCGAGTTGGAATGCCTCCGTTCGCCATCCAAACGTAGTCTTTTCCGTTGAAGCCCGTCGACGGGATCCACAGCTTGTCGTAGCGGGTCATGGCGAATATGTTTTCGTTTCTTTTCTGGAGAGAGCGACTCTCGACCGGACTGAATGATGGTTTCCGCCTCTGAATCAGCCTTGGGACTTGGCGGACCCTGTTCATCATCATCTGATCCCCCCCGGATTGGAACCCAAACTCGCGCGCCGTGAAACAGGCACTGGTTTCTCTGGAGATCTCGAACGATCACGATCCTTCCTCACGGCAGCGAGCGTGTTGGTCCCAACATCCAGGGTAGCAGGCAGTGAGACAGCCTCAACATCACTCATAGCGATAGCACTCGATGTGTGACAATTCCGCTCGTCATTTTGGGAGATACGTGACCCGAGTCGAAGCTTCGGCAACGCCAGCACCTGCAGACGCTGATCACGGAGGCGAAACGTGGGCAAGACCGGCTCCCCCAAATGAAGATTCAAGATTTAGGGGTGATGTGGATTTGGATTTTGAGTAGAGGAAATTGGGAGGGTGGGTATATTATTATAAAATATTGGAATTATACCAGAACAAGAAAAGGAAAGGAAAAGGAAAAAGGAAAAAAGGGGAAAAGGGGAAAACGTGGGAGAGATGTTGAAATTGGAGGGGAGGAGAGAGAGAGAGAGGAAGGGAAAAGGGAAAACGGGAAAGAGAAAAAGAATGGGGTTTCGGGGGGGGAAGTTGGCAGTTTAGCAGTGTTGGCCACTGTACATAGTAGAGTCACCGATTTCATCTACATAGTAATATTTACAGATGTTTTAAAAGTCTTCATTAAATTTTATTTTATTTAATTATATTATTATATTTTATTTCTCTTCTTACTTTTAAATTATTAGTATTTAATTCTCTCTAATAAAGCCGTCTGCGTACACAGCACGGACCTTCTTCATTCCCACAGTCAACTGGACTCCACTGAAGTGGCGATCGTCTCGATGCGGTCTTATCGATCGAATCATATATTACTGCAGGGAAGCTAATACTATTAAATTGCTCTAAATCCTGCTTAGAAACACTATCATACAATCACCATTCAGAATCAAGCTCATCCCACCAAAAAAAAATAATGAAAGAATAACAATCTCATAACAAAGCGGGATCGGCGGGGCGCACACCTTGGACTCCACCTTCCCAGCTCTTCTCAGCTGTTTCTTCCTTACTCCGCGTAGTTCCTTTAGTTCCTTTAGTTCCGTGTTGTCCTCGGCTTTGGTCTCTAGTCCCCTTTTGCCCATCATGGACCTTATCAATAGGGCTTTAGAGGTTATAGAGATCATAGATATGGATCCTATAGACCTTTTACGAGCTTTTTTTATTCTTGCCGCCGCCACTGTACGCTCTAGCACACCCCCTCACATGTGCATATAATCCCTTCCCAAACTTGGACTAACATATGTGATAAACCATTTTCTAGACCTTCTCGGTCAGCATCCCCTCCGCTTTACGCGCCCGTTTCCTTGTCTATGGTCCTCGTGCAACACCAACACCTACATCTGAATCCCGAGATGCAAATTCCAAACCCCCCTCCGCCTCTCCTCTATTAGACTACCTAGCCACCTGGCAAGTCCCACATAGCTACTTCACCCAATTCTATGTCGCCTCCGTCCTCTCCTCGGTCTTCTGGGCTTTCCAGCTAGCATTTCGAGGCAATGTCTTCCAATTTATTGCTACCAGACTTAGCAAGGAACACACAGAACAATCCATGACCCTGACCCAAGTGCTCATTTGCTGGATTTTACTCGCCATCCAGGGTTCGCGCCGGTTATGGGAATGCTACAAATTCGCGAAGCCCTCCACCTCCCAAATGTGGGTGTTTCACTGGATCGTCGGTCTCGCATTCTACTTAGGAGCTGGAATCGCCATCTGGATTGAAGGATCTGCTACCGTCCTCACGCGAAGCCTTACCCTCAGGGATGTGCAGATGTCCAACGCCCCAACATTACGCACCTTCTTCTGTGTTCCGCTTTTCATGATTGCTTCCGGCTTGCAACATGACTGCCACCACTTCCTCTTTTCGTTGAAAAAATATACCCTCCCAGACCATCCGATCTTCCGCTCAGTCGTATGTCCTCATTACGGTGCTGAATGTGTGATCTACCTCTCGCTGGCTATTCTGGCCGCTCCGCCCGGACAACTTGTGAATAAGAGCATGTTAGCGTGTATGGGTTTCGTGGTTGTGAACCTCGGTCTCACGGCGCGGAATACGAAGGACTGGTATATGAAGAAATTCGGAAGGGAGATGGTACAGGATCGATGGCTTATGATCCCTGGGATATACTAAGCTTGACTAACGATACATGATATCCCAATAAAAATAAGCTTCCCGTTATGCACGGATAATACTTCTATTATCGTTTCTGTCTGATCACTTGTTTAAGAATTTCAGTGTATTCCCCATCTTCGCAACCTGAAGCACATCGCGATAGGTCAGACTTGTTCTCGTTTGTCGTGTCACAGACCCATCCCGATACGGCTCCTGCTCTCTCAACAGATCCCAATTACAGATAGAATGTGGACCAAGATCCTCATCTATGACTGTCTCGGCAATCCCATGCAAAAAGTCAGAGTATACCCTCTTTCGCATAACTAGTAAACTTCGTCTCTCTTGTAGAATCCGGAACTGTGGTTTGCGCTCATCTCCTATATGAGTCGCACTATCGGAGTTCCCATTCTTCGAGTAGATGTCAAGAATAATCGGTGCACCTAGACTAACAGTCGCCACAAGTGGGTAATATGCTGCCCCATCTTCGTGTGGCATGATTCCCTGTCCGGGTTGATACTCATTAATCAAAACATGATTCGGAGCGCCGTGTGGTGCATCGGCGAAAATACCCAGGGCCTCAAAGCGAGGTGATATGATAGGGTTTGTTAACCATGATGGCAGTGGTGATGAGAGAAGTGTTTTTGTTTTTGTAAGTGCTGATGGCCAGGTTTGTAGACGTCGATGTGAGAGTTGTGTCCAGCGTGGAAGTGGTGCTGATTGGACCTATATAAGTTTAGCCAAGCCGAGATAAAGCACACGTGCATGATTACACCTGGGTATTCGAGTCGGAGTCAAGGGAATGAGTCTTTGCAATGTGTGAACTCGAATAATGGTGAGGAACATTTTACAAGACTTAGAAATAATACTCACTCTTTGTAGTAATCGAGCTTCCTCATCCTCTGAGATGAAATCGGCTATGTAGAATGCATCTTCGGGTAACGACGCGATGCGAGCTGCATCCAGATTGTAGCTCATCGATTCAACACCAGTAGCCCCCCGACTGGATCATTCCAAGCTGAGTAAATTCAAAACTGAAGGCAATCTTGAAGCATTCGGTGCTTTAAGTGGAACGTAGACTAAGAAACAAATCCAAACGCGATGTCCTGTTGAAGTGTATGTAGATTGATTTCCCCACGTCACTATTAGCCTCAGGCATCAGCCCCACCTCAGATTTGATTCCTTCACAAACACAGCATCTGTACAAGATACCAGTCTCCCAAACACACATAATGGCGCCAAAGAACAACGCTAAGGGCGGCGATAAGGGCAAGAACGCCAAGGGGAAGGGCAAGGAGGGTGGTGATGATGCTGGGAAGGGGAAGGGTGGGCAATCAATTAACGTCCGCCATATTCTTGTACGTTTTATTTCTTTTCCCGAACTCTGCAGGATGATGAAATCAAGATATCGATCTCTGGATCGAAATCTAACGGCTTGCTTTTATTCAGTGCGAGAAACACTCCAAGAAGGAAGAAGCACTGCAAAAGTTGCGTGATGGAGTCAAGTTTGATGATGTTGCCCGTGAATATTCCGAGGATAAGGCCAGACAAGGTATGCCACTTGATTTATCTGACATTGATTGATACCATCATAGTCTAATTCATCTACAGGAGGAGCCTTGGGTTGGAAGGTTCGTGGTAGTTTGGACGAAGCCTTTGAGAAAGTTGCATATGATTTGGAGCTCAGTACAACCGCTAAACCCAAGTATGCGGAAGTGAAGTCGAGCTTCGGATACCATATCATCATGGTCGAGGGAAAGAAGTAGTTTGACTTACATATGGAAATACTAGCTATAGTCTTGTTATACGACTGCAGTCTACCATGCATAACCTATGAATGATGATTCTATTGGCCTTATTTCTCGTAGCTTGTTGATGAATAATTGAAGAATAGTTGCATTTTTGTTTTTCTTTTCTAGAAACTCTACTCAACAAATCAAATGCAGAAATATGACCAAATGCAAAGTAAATTGGCTTATTGCGCCTTCTTCGCAGCTTCACTCTTCGCCTTTTCCTTGGCCTTCTTCTCTTGTCTTTGTACAACAGCCTCAGCGCCAATTCCACCAAAGACCAAGGAAATACCAACCCATTGTCCTGCGGACAGGGAGTGGCCAAACCAAAACACGCTAAGAAGCATGGTAAGCATCTTACGAGTGACGGTGACAGTAACCAGAAGAAGAGATGAGAAGCGGGACAGGGTATAGAAAATAAACAGTTGTCCGACAGCACCACAAGCCGCAAAGCCAAGAACATTCTTAAGGGCCTCGGGGTGACGCTGAAGGAATGAGATGGCAGACCACAGTTCCGTTTCGTTGGATGGAGGAATAGGGAAGGGAAGCAGGTTGTGTAGAAGGCCACTCTGGGATAGATGCGGCATGATCAGAAGGTATCCAGCAGTCAAGGCAGTTGAGAGCACATTCTGCGCAACCATCATCTGGGGTCCAGTGAAGCGGGTGTATAGCTTCGGAGAAGAAAAGACATGGTCTTGAGTTGTGTTGGTCAACCCATCCAGAAGCAGGTTGATGGATAGGAGGAAAATACCCCATATAGAAGAGCCCGAGCCATCCTTCTCTGCGGCTGCAGCAACCTTCTTACTTGTACCAGGGTGGTGAAGAGTAAATGTCGCTACGCCGAGAGTAACCAGGAGCACAACACCGTACTTGTACAGTGGATACTTTTTGCGGAAAATAGTAAGATGCAGAAGCATAACAGGGAGGAGCTTGCATGACTTTGCGAGTATGAAAGTAAGGTAGTCGATATGCGCGAGACTAGCGTAGCCGAAGGGCGAGGCGAGAGACGAGGAGATGCTGACGAGGAGCAGAGGGAAGAGGATTTGGCGGGTAGGAAAGATGGCAGGAACACTCTGGCCTCGAGGCGTCGAGATGAAGAGATAAAAGAAGCCAGTTATAGCAGCGAATGTCGATTGGATAGTATTCAGGACCAGAGAGTAAGTGAATCGCTCGGTTGGAGGTTGCGGTTCACCGGCACTAGCAGGACGGACGGGGTAACTGGTTGTCGTAATAGCTTCCTGGAGAACACCCCATGACAGACTTGAGATAAATTAGCATACTATATCCACTTCGACGCTTCGGATGTATAACAATACTTACAATGCGGCGTATATACCCAGAACGCAAATGAGTAGTTGCATCAAGCCCGGGGTTTCAGCGACAGTTTCCACCACTGCAGTCGCAGTTTTGACCGGTGCACTAGCTTGCACATCTGGCTCATTTGAATGTCCGTTTGCATGCTCCATTTGTACCTCTACTTCATTCTGCATCACCGGCGAAGACGGAGTCCGCTGGAGGGGTGTTGTTTGCTTTTGTCGGCCCATTGCAGCTAATTTGAGATGTAGGGACAGGAAGGACGGTCAAAGAAGAGACTGATCTAGCTGTTGGAAGGTATATTGATCCGTGCCAGTGGATTTGACAGTAAGTTTCCCCTGAGACTTGAAACGAACTTAAGAAAAAAAAAGTAAGATGATGCCATGTGTTCTTAGTTCGCGCACGCGCGACTCTTATCGGTAATCAATGATCGCCAGGGGGCCCCACTCCAGCCCTGAAGAACGCAGCGAAATCAAATTGAAGCATCTCAATGCCATTCAGTCAAGCCCTGTATCATCATAGTCATTAAACTCAAGATATAAATCCATAGCTCAATCAATTCCTCCCAACCCATACTTCCAAGGTTAAACCACAAATACTGTTTTTGGAAAGCGGTAGCTGATGAATCCAAATTTAGTAGGCGGTCAACCTAGAATATTTAATTCTGCACAACATTTCAATAATTCGATGAGTCGCAAGCTTAATCTCAACCATCTTAACAATCAACCTTTCAAATCCTCCGTACCCATACCCCAATGTCTCTCAAACAAGAACAAGTTCCAGTTTTGGAGCCATCTGCGCTCACAAAACTGATTGATTCCGCCTCTGCCTCTGGAAACCCAGTCGATGCAACCACAATTCAAGTCCTGCACAACCTCCAACACCAGCATCTATGGACAAGTCTACAAATCCACAACCTTGCGGTCCCAAATACATCCAATGATTCCTTTCCCGTCCGAAAAATATTATCTGGCATCCCTCCAAATCGTGTCTATACCCACCCAGATGAACAGCTCTACATGCTCCAAAAGGGTATCCGTGAAGATGATCTGCGCCCAGAACGACTATTTGTCATCCCTACAGCCCAAGGACAGCCATGGAGCTTGCGACGTATGGCCCTTGCATTCGAGGCGTTAAATGATGTCGAGGTTACAGATGATGTCAATGAATTGAAGGGACCAGAAGTTGACGCGGAAAAGTCGAAACAATTGGATGAATACTATGAGAAGAGAACGGAGGCTATCGCAACACAGGAATGGGGTTCAAAGCGCATGTTGCTTGCAATGGTGGATAAGGGAATGGGTGGTGATGGGACAGTGGTTTACTATGTGGTGCAAGAAGGCGAGGTCAAGCCGCGACAGAACTAGATGAACTATCTGGGTTATGTTCATTGGATTCAAAGGTATGTATCTTCAATTTCCCCACTGATTGGGTGTTGATTTTGCTTCCAAAATATCTGCTAAGAAGCGAAGGACCAAGATTAGGAATATATGCCAGACTCGTACACGGAACATACAACATGAGCCACTGGGTATAGTGTTTGCACGAAAAAGGGAACATAGCGAAAGAGAAAATGAGGGGAATGAAAAGCAAATAATCAGAAAGGGCTCGCAAAGATATATTCAATGTACAAAGCAAGGATCAGCCCAGCAAATTTGTGGCTTCGTTTTTCTGGACATGTTCGTGTTCCTGTCGACAACTCATGCAATACCTGTCATACCACTGCTTCACATTGTCGGCGTTTTCGGCAAAAATGCGTTGCGCCTGTGCGTCTGCTTCGCTGAGATCGTTGCTGCCTCCGAGAAGGATCTCAACTTGACGACAACGTCGCAGCTCTTCACCGAGCCATCGTTCCCATTCTGTTTGGATCACTTCCTTTTCAATGCTGTTCAAAATGCGCAGTGATACTAGAAGGTTGTTTCGATAGGTCCCGAGGCGTTCTCGAGTCTGCATGAATCGTTTTGTGGCACTCTTGCCCCCGCGTCTCGGGGACACGAGGTGCTGAGAGAGAGGGGAAGCTCCGCATATCGCAAAGTATGCTCGTGAAATGCTCCGAAGCAATTGCTAGCATTCCCGGTCTGAGGCCAGAGGGTCGAATTGGCGACTGCCTCATCAATGTCTCGAATGTAGATAGCTTTAGTCATGACCATATCTGGCTGGACACCAAGCCTAGCCATGAAGTTCCGTGCATATCGTTCATGCCACCAATCCCAAGAATCTCGTGAAGAATAGAAGCCATTCATGAGTGCGCTCGTGATCAGTAGCACTAGGATAACCTTGTGTGCACTTACTGTCTTCCATGCCCATCGTACCCCGCTAATGAACCACATCATAAATAGTGACACAGTGCTTTCAAGGAAGGATAACGTTGTCTCGGTGACGAGTTGGGGCAAGGTGCGCTGGACTCGTGGCCTTCGTGGTTCCACCTTCATATTTGCTCCAACCCCAGTGAAATGAGAAACGTTGCTCTGTCGTCCAACATGACCAAATATAGTGATGGCCTTCTTTGTACGACTGTGTGCACCCAAGCGTCGTACTTGATCGCTCACCAGATCAATCAGATCTAACGCGTCTTCTTTTAGATCGTCGCCGGCCCTCTTATCGATCATGTCTGGTGTACAATATTAGCAATCGAAGTGGTTGAAGGATAAGAAGGTACTCACTTCCTAGACCGTAGCTAGTCTTAAGCCATTCGACCTTGCTGTATATAGCAAGTTTACTCTTCGACTTGGCGACAAAAGTGATGACGACCTTGCTAACCAAACGGAAGTGTCGCCGGAGTGGGAGATGCCAGGGCGTACGCTTATCAGTAATCACATAGCACAAATGGTCGTTGAGAACGTCAACGATTTGGTAATCTGAAATAGCGTTGTCATGAGTTTTACCTATACACCTGTTAGTAAATGCGCCGAATAGACACCGGATTGATGAAGCATACCAAAGACATCCGTTGCTGCAATATTATAATGGAGGTCTCGTCTGAGATGTCGTGATTCATTACTCGTCCAGGGGCCTTGCTTGATATCTTTTGAAACGTTAGTGTTGAGATAAAGGAACCAGCGGGTGATGATATTTTACCTCGAGCTTGTCTCTCATGGAGCAAGAGCTGCCAGACAGCACTTTTGTCTCCAAAAAGGATATGGAACAGTGCCTTGGGGCTGACATCGAGCACCTTTTCAGTCGTAAGAACGAGGTCGCCCTGGGGCACATACTCCACGGGCTGGGTAGGAAGCCTAAACTTGGGAATATCTCGCCCGCTTTGGTTTCGGTCCAGATCAAGGTCTTTGTCAATGTAGATGGGAGCCCGGAGGTTATTGCCCACAGCTGAAAGTTGGCTGTCTTGCCTGGCATCAGATGAAATGTCCTCCCAACTGTCTGCACTTGTATCACGCTTGGCACTTCCACTGTCCATCTTGATAAGCTCTTTTAACAATTCTTCGAGGCTCAATTGTTGGACCGCGATCGATGCTTGGATCAAGAAGTTCAAGCGTTTTTGAAGGAGCTTCAGCGGCTCAAGGAATGTCTTGATCGCGATTCGGCCAGGTGTATCGCTACCAAGAGGCGGGACAGTGTGAAGGAAAAGGAAATCACAGTCTCTGCCGGTGGCGGCCGTGACTTCCTTAATATTTTCTAAGCTAACACTTGTAGTCAATACAAGACCAAAATGATGGCTGTAGAAATAAACGTCCCTGGTTGTAATGTAAGCTCTACCAGGAAACTCCTGTTGGTCATTCGGACTCCAAGTTGCCCGGAAGACCATAACCAGCGCTTCTTCTTGTTTGACGTCAGGGAAGAGCAATCTAAATTGCGCATCCTGGATTTTCAACTGTTGCGGATACATTGCGGGATACTTGTTCTCAATCTGCTTCTTGACTGCAGACTGCGCGGCTTGCTGAATCTTAGTTGCCGCCTCCCCGTCAAGACTCACGGTCTGTCTATGCCTTGGGCCAGATGGGACAGACCGGGCAGCTTGTGTTGCATTTGAGCTATCCGGCTGGGCGATGAGTCCACTCTTTGACGAATCAGTCACATCAGATGAGGATTTATCATCTGCGGAATGAGGATGGTCACCATTGATCTGTCGGGGCTGCTCTAGCTCAAGCTTATTTATGAAGCCCCAATTAGAACTTCCCCAGAGATTTGCCATCATACCACTGGGCATGCCCCCTGTGCTATCAACAAGCCCTAGCCCAATACCTCTCTCGCTACTCACTACCACTGCAGCCTTACTCATGCTTGTAGGCGCAGGTGGGTTTGCGAGTGTAGCGGGGGCAAGACTTGCTCCAGGCTCATCTAGAAGGCTCAAGCTGCGACCACGATGCGCATCTCCATCCTTTATGCTCACAAAATTGGCACCATTATACGAAAGAATATTGTGGCTTGCAGAAATGAGACTTGCGATGCCTCCTGCTGGGCCTGGAATGGATGGTGATGCCGGAGGGGCGTTATTCGATTTGCGATGAAGGTCCAATTTCTGGATAATGTGCGCCCTGGTAGAGCCCTCGCTGTCATTACCAGTGAGTCTTCGGCTCCCTATTTCTGTGCTTGCCCTGAAAGACAATGCATCACGGTCTGGAATTGGCAGGGTTGCGCTGCGATCCACCGAGCTTGACTCGTCGTTCGGATACGGCGTGAGGGAATCAGTTGGGTCTGCCGTAAATTCGGGAGCAGGAGGCTGAGAAATGGCAAATGCGGGGTCCTGAACGGTCATTTTTCCAGAGACAGACAAATCGGTGCTGCTGGGGTTTTCGAGGGCCTTTCGCTTCGCCGCTTCAAAGGCACCAATCCACTCCATTAGCTCCTTCTGCGTTTCAGCTTGTAGGAGAATACTGTTGTTCTTGGTCTTAACTTGGAAACAGAATCTCCGCTCCTCCTGGAAGGCAGGACGAACACTACAAAGCAGAACACCGATGCGCTCACTTTCTTCAACACCGCCGGTGCGGGATCCTTGAACCAAGCATCCAAAAATCCCGTGTTTCAAAAAGGCCCAACGTCTCACCCACACAGTACGAGTGGGTTTTCCAGAGAGTGTTCGCAAGCTGAGCCATCCCTGCTTTTCTGGCTTTGCTTCCTTGCCCATATTGAGAGTCGAGAGGGGACGTGAGCCAAGGTATGGTACAGTTGAGATGGAATAATCCTCCAATTCACGAGATGGCCTCGCCACGATTTCAGCGGCCTCCTCAATCTGCTTTCTTGTGGCTAACAGCTCTCGTTTTGAGGATCTATCACTGCCTTCCATTTCGTGCGTCCATCCCTTAATACGATCCATCTCGTGTGTCCATTTGTTAAAAGTCACGCCGTTATTTTTGTGAAACCCTCGAAACTCTCGCCATTGATCAAAGGAGACTCGAACAAGAAGTCTATCAAGAGCGTTTCGGATCTGGGGTGCTTGGACGGAAAAGTCCATCGACGCTCTTAGGTAAAGTTTGCGAGCTTCATGGAGCTGAAAGGCTTCCTCTCTAAGGGCAGAGGTATCTTTGGACTTTGACTGTGAAGCATACCGTGCGTGTAAGTAGTCATATTGTTTCTGGGTTTGTTCAAGGTTACGGCGAGTTTCCTATCCAAAGGTCTTCGTTAGCCGCCGTACAAAATTCAGGTAAACAAACAGAGGAGACAAAGCAAGAGCTGGTTATGAATACCCTGAAGTTCCGCAGATCCTCGTGAATAAAGGCACGGATTGGTTCAGCAATCAATGCCTCCATTTTTTTGGTTGTCGTTACCAGCCCACTCCACATGTCCTTTGAGCTCTCCCCGCACCTCCTCATCGCCAGCAGGGTGTAGTCATGATCCACCACAGCTTCGGAGACCACCAAAGGGTGAGTTGAATAGGAAAGGAAGCTGCCAACAACACTCTCGATCGTTGAAAGCTCCGAGGAGAGTTTTGTGGCAGCTTTAGCATATCCGTCCAGCCATTTCTCGATAAACTCGATTTGGTCGCAGAAGTGGAGGGTAGTGGCGCGAAAGGTCGGGGAGTCGAGGGCGGCTTCTTTCAGGCCGACTGGACTATAGGATTCAAAGAAGGTATTAGCATTGTTGATTCTCTGCGGTCTGGATATTCATTTGGAACTTACACCACGCTCACCAGCTTCCCGACTTGGGCTAACGGAGTGTGTGATTGAGTCGACATCTAGTACATGCCTCCAACCATACACTTGATAGGAGCAATAGGAAACCACAATGAGTGATAACAAGATAGATGGGGTCTCTCTGCGTAGTAGACTCGAGTTCAAGCAACAAGGAAGTGCTTAAGGAACCAGGAGAGAATTACCCACGTGCTGGTCAGCTGGGGATTGAAGCCTCACAGCACCATGATCTAATTGGCTACGTCAGTTCGGGGCTAAACGCCAGTATATCACGTGAGCACATCACCCGGAGTGTGGGGATGTGATATTCAGTCGTAAATACATGTAGGACGGAGTTTCTACATATGTGATACATTCAAAACTCGAAGCCTATTTAATCTAGATAAGATGATACAACTTGGAATGAAGATTTCCTTCAATGGTGGTTGGAATTAACTATATTGTACAGCAGTTTGAAGACGACACTCTCTACACAGTAGAACAAACATCGGTAGAGGAATCACCAAATAAATATCGGAGTTAATTTGAATCAAGAATTTGACAATGCATTTTCTTTCCTCTGATATTGGTAGAAATTACAGTCAAAGCATCCTTCTCCGTTGGCGCAGTCTTCCAAGATCACACATGAGTATTTTAGTGCCTGAGTCTCCAGGCACCAAGATCTTCCGCGGGCGGGTCAAGGCGGTGTAGACTTTTTTTTTCTGCCAACCAAACTCTTACCGGGCAACAGAAGTACAGATTTTGAGTCTTTCTAAGAGTAGCTCTCAGATCACCAAAATGGACGCCCCCCCTCAAAAAAGATGCGCACTCTCATGGACGACGACAGCTCCAGCGACTCTGGCGATGATGCTGGTGGTGTCTCCATCAACAAGTCCGCCGATGTTGGCTTCAAGATCAACGAAGACTACGCCAAGCGATTCGAGTACAATAAAAAGCGAGAGGAAGTTCAGAAATGTATGTTGCCTCCATGCGAATTGGTTTAGTTTTCATTGCAAAAAATCTAACATTTATCTTGATTGCAGTGGAGACGAAGTATGGCAAGACCACCAGCCTAGGAAGACGCCACGCCGATGAAGAATCAGACGAGGATTCTTCCTCCGACGAGGACGAGGATGATAATGCCGAGCTCGCAACGGTGGCGCTTGATGCCGAGATTATGGCAACTTTGAATGCGATCCGCTCCAAGGACCCCCGTGTCTACGACGCCAGCGCTACATTCTACTCCAAATTCGATGAGGACGAGGCCAACGCCGAGCCCAAAGAAAAGAAAGAGAAGCCCATGACACTGCACGATTACCACCGCAAAAACCTACTGAGCGGTGCCCCTGTCGAAGATGATGTGCCCATGACCTTTGCGCAGGAGCAAGCCGAGTTGAAGAATGCGCTTGTCAAGGAGCTGCACGCGTCAGACGATGAGATGGAAGATGCAGATGATTTCTTGGTCCGCAAATCTGCCCCCGAAGTTCTCGACAAGTCCGAGATCAAGCTGGATATCAAGAATGCCGACAAAGACCCCGAGACTTTCCTCTCAAACTTTATGTCCTCTCGCGCATGGGTTCCTGAGGATAACACACGAGAGCTTCACCCATTCGAGTCGGATGATGAAGATGAGGTGGAACGGGCCGATGCCATGGAGGAGGCTTACAACTTCCGCTTTGAGGATCCGAACAAGCTCAATGAGGTGCTGGTTACCCACTCTCGTGAAGCTACCAACAAACAATCAGCCCGAAGAGAGGAGAAGAGCACACGTAAGAAGCTTCGTGAGGCCGAACAACAGCGTAAAGAGGAGGAAAAGAAGCTGCGTGATACTGAGAAGAACCGACTTCGCAAGCTCAAGACTGAGGAGCTGCAGAACAAGGTTGAGCAGATCAAGGAAGTCGCTGGGCTCAAAGCATCCAGATTTACTGATGCTGACTGGGCTCGATTCCTTGATGATGCTTGGGATGATAAGGAGTGGGAAAAGGAGATGGATCAGCGATTCGGCTCACAGTACTACGATGAAGGTGTCTCTAAAGATAGCAAGAAGCATCCCAAGAAGCCCGAATGGGACGATGATATCGATATCACAGACTTGATCCCAGATTACAAGGAAGATGATGAAGAGGCACCTGCTCTTAACTCTGGTGAAGAAGATGAAGCTGAGGACGCAGAGGCCTCCAGCTCTAAGAAGCAGAGCAAGGCCCAGGATAAGCGTGACCAGAAGCGCGATGCTCGCAAGGAGCGTCTTCGTATCCAAGAAGCCGTCGACCGCAATCTGGACCTTGATATCACTCTCCTTCCCGGTGCTACCAAGAAGAATGCCACTCAGTTCCGTTACCGTGAGACTTCACCTCAGAGCTTTGGCTTGACAGCACGGGATATTCTGATGGCCGACGATACCCAGCTCAACCAATTTGCTGGTCTGAAGAAGCTTGCCTCTTTCCGTGATGCCGAGAAGAAGGCCAAGGATGAGAGGAAGCTTGGTAAGAAGGCTCGTCTTCGCCAATGGCGCAAGGACACCTTCGGTGATGAGAATGGTCCTGCTTTTGAGTTTGGTTCCAAGCCCCAGCAGGATGAGGTGAATGAGGAGGCAGATGACGGATTGAAGGTTGATATCCGTGAAGGCGATGGACGCAAGAAGCGCAAGCGATCTAAGAAGCATTGAGTGGTGCATATGTTTCAAAACGAAAAGTATTATTCATAGCTAGTCTGGGATTATTGCACCGAGGGAGTATGGAGTTTGATATGACAATAAATTCTAGTATATATTACTGTCAATACCTAGTTTCACATTGATTCATTCAACTTGAAGCGAGTAGATGCAGATGCCTATTCAAGTTTTTTTGTAGGAACTCAGACGATTTTTCAAGAAAGACTGGATCGATTCAAGTCCAAAGTTCTTGTACGCCCGGGTCCTAATCCCAAGTGCTATGTACCTCCGGGATTTTATGTATCTGACTGTCACCTGCAACTTGAACTTCCAAGGTTGTCCAAACCGTATACCTATATGGACTTATTCAATTTTAGAGCACTTGGGTGCATAGCTTAAACTCACAGTTCAAACCTTGGAATGTTCAAGTTGAATCATCCGAGCACCTGAATATCCCGGCTTCAATACCACCTGGGCAGACTGTTTAACTACCCATGAGTTCAAAGAATGATCGCACTTGCACTACTTCCAATGATACTGACTCAGGGTAGATAGTGATACACCTATCTCCAGGACTATTCTTTGAAGTTTTGAGTCCGAGTCCAAGTTTTGAGTCCGAGTCCAAGTTTTGAGTCCGAGTCTGAGTCTCATACCGCTTCACATATCGATATCCGTGGGTGTACACTACATAGTACGCATCTAAGCCGCCGGGTACATCAGCATTCATACATTGATAGTAGTACATAAGATCGAACACTTGAAAGTACTACGTCCGAGTCTCTACTAGTATTCAATAGCCCAGTGAGGTATCTGTACATGTGCCCAGGTGCCCAGGTGTACTTTCTTACCTACCTAGGTACCTATAGGGTTACTACATGGATACATATGCATCGGCATCATGATCTATTGAAGTTTGAATAGTACCTATATTATTGATATTTTGCTTTATCATAAATACAGATATCATTCCAATGATATTTCGAGGATTGAGTTGCAAATTTCTCATTTAGATCTGCAAACTTGGCTATTGGACTAGTCTAATGCCCCTATCTCATGCCTGCAGGGTTTTCTCCGAATCTAAAAAAAGCAAATCCACGTAGGGTTATCGTGGCCTTTTACTCTTCACTACTGAACTATTGACATCATGAAGAATAGTAATACAAGGTACACAAGGGGACAAAGCCTTCCAAATTTATGAGCCATATTGCACTGGTATCTCAAGGGCTTTACCACACTCACATGTGCATATTCACCAGATTCATAACTGTGTACGGCTGATGAATAGCATAGCCGTTGTTCCCGGATCCCAGTGGATCCACTTATTATTGGCAAAGTGCCCGTACCTGGCTCGGCCTGGGTACATCGCATATGCGGCTCACCTCCACTATGAACCTTGTACCCGGTACATCAACGATGAAAAAAAATGTCTCATAATGGTATTGGCTAGAAAATACTTGAGTTCTCCAGGGCTGGTTCAGATGACCCTGGATGTGCCGACTAGGGTGTGCCTTTGGAGCATTTTTACTAGTAGTCCATATGTATCACTCTGGATAAAAGATCTCCACGAATAGTATTCGGTCACATGTATGTATTTGATTGTTGTAGAGATATATACGGAGAGAGATCTAGCTCAATTGACGGAATTGACCAAGTTTGTTATGTCCTCTACATGCACTAGGTAGTACCTACTTTTGGTTATCGTACTTGATGACTATGTGTTATCTCCCAGGACATCAGAGCGACGACTAATCACCGCTGGTGGATTCCTAATCTCCCCCAGGAGAGAACCATCAAATTTCTCCAGTAAGGGTGGCAACCTGAAGTGAGGTCCAGCCTCCAGGTCGGGTTGCCTCCATCGGATACTCGGGGCAGGGAGAAAGGAGTGTTGCCCCGGTGTAAGAGTGGGCCGGCAGCGAACGGGGAAAGATACGCCCGTACCAAAGCATGACGGTGTCCACCAGGCGCTTGGACACTGGCCGTTGCTCCGGGCTACGTTAATTTTTGGGGGCAGACAAGATGTTGGTGATTATTGAGAAGAGTGACCAGACTGTGAAAAAGATATCAATTGACTACAAAGAAGAATATAATATCATCTGTGATATTATATCTACATCTTTTTGAAGTTTACTCTTCTTCTACTGTATATAAGTTATGATATATAAGAGTTGATAAATCCATGCAGATTTTTTCTTTCTTCCGATCGGGAGATATCGGCAAGGCGAATATTACCAGTCAAATAGCGAGATAATACAAGGCAATTACCGTATTAAATTCCCTGATTGGGTCCTAGTGTGTTGGCGGTCGCTTCTTCCCGTGTACGGCAGTATTTTTCTTCCCCCTTCCGCCCCTTCTCTTACTTCTTCTTCTTTTTCTTCTCCATCCCCGGTGTTCTCTCTTGACACTTCCCCATCTCCTCTCTTTTTTTTTTGTTGTTGCTATCTTTTTTGCACAACCTTCAAAATGTCTGCTCAGGATGACAAGAGCCTCTTCGGCATGCCCGTATGTGATTCCCCCTACATGTGAGAACTGGCCTGTTGTCGTCGCAGGCGCGTCTTGAAGTCAAATCCTGCATCATCACATCCAGGAAGTGACTCAGGGATTGCATTTGCAACGAACAATGGACCTAATTTGAACATTGAAGGTATCAAGCAAAGGATCAATGGCTAACAATTTTTTTTTTTAGGGCTTCGTTGTCGACTTCATGAGTACGTGACACCAAATTCAGTTTTCAGCGCCACGATCTGAGAACCACCCAGTTCTCACAAAGGGAATAATTTGACATTGATGCTAACACTGTTTATAGTGGGTGGTGTTTCCGCCGCTGTCTCGAAGACCGCTGCTGCCCCCATTGAGCGTATCAAGCTCCTGATCCAGAACCAGGTTGGTTTTATCCCTGCAGACAATGATATAACGCGGTCGCTTTGAATCAACCGTGGAATGAAAAGCGCCTTGAAGCCTACATGGGTTGCAATTGAGCTATTCGATGGGAATCCCATCATAACCACTTGCTATATACCCCTTGAGCCGAAAGGAAAATTTTTTCTTTGGTTTTCGGCGATCGGCATATATGCCCCTTTTCAGCCACTCTGATCAGTAATTAACCCGACCTTCTCCCTATAGGATGAGATGCTCAAGGCCGGCCGTCTCGACCGCAAGTACGACGGTATCGTCGACTGCTTCAAGCGTACCTCCGCCCAGGAGGGTGTCGTCTCTCTGTGGCGTGGTAACACCGCCAACGTCATCCGTTACTTCCCCACCCAGGCTCTTAACTTCGCTTTCCGTGACACCTACAAGGCCATGTTCGCCTACAAGAAGGAGCGTGACGGCTACACCAAGTGGATGATGGGTAACCTTGCCTCCGGTGGTGCTGCTGGTGCCACTTCCCTCCTGTTCGTCTACTCTCTGGACTACGCCCGTACCCGTCTGGCCAACGACGCCAAGTCCTCCAAGGGCTCTGGTGAGCGCCAGTTCAACGGACTGGTTGATGTCTACCGCAAGACCCTCGCCTCCGACGGTATTGCCGGTCTCTACCGTGGTTTCGGTCCCTCCGTTCTCGGAATTGTTGTCTACCGTGGTCTGTACTTCGGAATGTACGACTCCATCAAGCCCGTTCTCCTGGTTGGTCCTCTTGAGGGCTCTTTCCTCGCTTCCTTCCTGCTCGGCTGGACTGTTACCACTGGTGCTGGTGTTGCTTCCTACCCTCTGGACACTGTCCGTCGTCGCATGATGATGACCTCCGGTGAGGCCGTCAAGTACTCTTCCTCCATGGATGCTGCCCGCCAGATTGTCGCCAAGGAGGGTGTCAAGTCCCTGTTCAAGGGTGCTGGTGCCAACATCCTGCGTGGTGTTGCCGGTGCCGGTGTCCTGTCCATCTACGACCAGGTCCAGCTCATCCTCTTCGGCAAGAAGTTCAAATAGATGACTCGCCCTTAATACGGTGATAATCTAGCCTAGCCACCTTGTAGTTCTACTGGAGTCGGGGATGTCTTCCCTGCCCTCAGTACAACCACTGGGCGCGGGAAGATGAGGTTGTGGCAACAGCAAAAGATAGATGCGTCAAGAAATGGGTGCGGGGGGATCTTGAAGCATAGAATGGTGATTCTTCCCTTTTTTACCCGATGTACTTTACTGCCTGCAAGCTCTTTTTCTTTTTTCTTTCAAAATCTGTATTTTTTTCCATCTACTGCTCTTTGTAAATCCCCTCTATCTTCATTGTAAATTTAGCCTCGTAGCAAATGTTCCTCCAGATACGATGACGAGGGGCCTTTTGTCTCCCAACATGTTGGTTGACTTGCAATGAGACGCAATCTTTAGCATCATGTCTCTCGTCTTTCGAGTCCTTCAATGAACTTGGAAATCCTGCGAGGTTGTAGCTTGAGTACCCAGTCCTGGCCCTATCTGGGGTGAATCTGTGACGTATCCCTAGTATCACTAGGCAGATACAATGCCTCTTCTTTTAAAGCTGACATTTTGAAATAAAAGTCATTTGTTTTGAGTACTTCTTTCTCACACTCTATGAACTCCTCAGTTCTTTCATCAATCCTCTGAACCCTTGATTCCACATCGAGCCCACTGAATAGGCCCCACTGCGGAAAGCGCATGACGTCTGGGGCTGAAGCTTTGCACAGTTCCTCCAACACATTTCCCTTGATTACACTTTTCTTCACCAAACACAGTGACGAATAGTACCTACTATCATGTCGGCTCCAACTGGAATTCCAACATACACATCTGCGCCTCTGAACTCCAATCAGAAAGATGAGAGCACCACTGCTGCCAAACCAGAGCCTCAGCCCGCCACCGCAATCGAGACCTCGACTACCACATCTCCCCAATCTCCTAACGCCGCAGCTACTGCTACTGCTACAGCACCCTCATACTCTCCAATCTACGCCACAACCTCCAATCCTCCTTCAGCTGGGCCCGCCGCAGCGGCAAGTCTGCCAGCGCCAACGGCAGCTCCCTTCTCCCAAGCATCAGGGAACCTCACTGCAACCCCAACTACCATTCCTTCTTCGACTTCTCAATCACCACCCGCACCACAGCCAGGATATATTCCAACTCCACCGGTAGCCGGCTACACCCCAACAGCTCCTTCGCCGATACCTCCGCCTCCCAAGGTCGGTGAAGCCGTTTCTCCATCTACACAATCTACAGCGCCACCTACCCAAACTCCCTACGCCCAATCATACGCCTACCAGCGTCCTTCAGTCTCACACACTGCTGTTCCAAACTCCACGTCCTCACCCTATACATCGGTCTATCGTACTTCCTCCGATGCAGGTTCCTCGCAGCCACAGGGCTTGCCTTTGCACTATAGTGGTGGAGGTGGAGGTGCAGACAATATCTTCCCCGAGGACGAGGAACCAGGTTTCTTGAGCTCGGCGAAGGGCTGGATGCAGAGTGCTGGTACAAAGCTGGCGGAAGTTGAGGCAGAGGTGTGGAAGCGCATCAATGATGTCCATGGGAAATGATCTTGACGCAGTGGCAATACTTTAACTCATGGGTGTGTCAGAAATCCAGTATTTCCGGTTATTTTTATGGTTTTTCATATATGGATACGGGATGGTATTGACTCGGGATTATGGGGATTGGATGCGTGTTCATTGCTGTATTTTGATATTCCAGGATTTCTGGAAGCTGATGTAAGGATTTGAGGCTCGGTACCTATGTATCTACAGGCGTTGATGGGGTTACTTTTGCGGTCAGTAAATGAATAATGGAAATTTTTGAATTATACTTGCATTATCTTATTTCCAGTCTAAAGCCTATAAATAACCGTACTCAGGAGCCACCCTGATGTCAAGGTTTTCAATGTTTGTGCTAGAATAGTGTGCTAGAATAGTGTGCTCCGCTATCAAACAGGATATAAAAAGGTGCAAATTTGCTAATAATGACCACTCAAGTGCTAGTATTCTACTTCAATGTTCTACCATCTCCTTCTCTGTACACCATCAACAGTATACCATGCCACCCATGGACTCAACCACTGGCACCATACCCGTCAATGGAATCTCTACAGCAGCTTCCAAGGTCAATGTCCTGTATCAGCTCACATCCAACCTCGTCATATACATTTTCGCTTTATCAATAATGATTTGGTTACCTTGGACTATATCCAGAAGGATCGGTATCCTTCAATTCTCTGAAATCTATCTGATGCCTTAAAGCATGACAACTTGAAAGCAGGCCTGGAGGCACTTGAACTTTGGTTCCCACCACCGAGCTTGAGATTGATGTTCAACCCGACGTTGGCGCAATGGATACTGATCTTGAGCTTATTGGATCTGATTCGTCTGCACCTTAACGTTGCAAAAACCGCAGCAAGCATCGCAAAACTGCTTGATGGTGTTATGAAGTACGGTATATTTGCCGGCGAGGATTCCCAAAATCCGATTCAGATCGGCCCTATATTGAGCTTGTCACGTTGCTCAATGTACAGGCAGGTCCAGTTCTAAGAAGTATGTTGCTACCTGGGTAAAACTGCTGCCAACAATTTCATCAGATAATGGCTAACCTACACTCTCGTCACGGTTCAATGTCTTCACCCCTATCTCAATTTATTCGACTACACCTGGGCATCACAGTCCAACCCCTCAATATCATGAAAGTGTAGGTCAATACCTACCCATTGATGGAAGTAGTCCAATGTCCGCTTCTCAGGATCAACAAAAGTAACCATATGCACTTTCTTCCTTTACTGGCGTTCACTCACTCGAAATGGATTCGGAACACGCATCGGGGTGATTATTCTTTGCGGAGAGTCACGTTCTTCGATGAGAACTATAGTCGTTTGAGAAAGGTGCCAACCCAAATATCTGTAGTCTTGAAAGGGGACTATCGTCAAAGCGAACTATCATATGGTGACTGTACCAAATGAAGGGTCAAAAGGCCAACGAAATCATCCACTACTTCCTTGCTATTCTGACCCTGATAATCCACACTACCTACAAGTGGCCGACTGTTGAGGACTGTCGGGATGCGTTGATAGCCTTCTACGAAGACAGAAGACGCGGATTCCCGCACATACAGCCACTACCCATTGATAGCAGGTTCAAATGTTTCTGGCGTGGTTCTACGTCAACCGAGAGCTGCACATGATCCTCTTTGAAGCCAACACTGAGAAAGGAAGATTACTCCACGTCTCCTCTCACTCCACACTTATGGCCAAATACCTACAAGCTTGTATACAAGTTGGAGACATTAAAGTCACTCGTCAGTCCAAAGGAAGCACTTGCATCTGCATTGGCACAAATGGAAAGCTGCTATAAAAGGCAGAATATCCTGATTACAAAGAGAATGCAATGTGCGAAGTTTTGGTGTATTCCACTCTCTTCTTTGCGCAGAGCTTCGCCAATACACTATTTCGACCAACAGGAGGTGCTCAATCTATTCCCTGGTCTACATACTGGCGAGATCTACCAAACTTAGCCACGAGGGGAAACATTATGAAGAACGACCAATACCCGAACTGTGAAGGGAGAGAAAATAATGTTTCTACTATGTATGTTTTGAGTTATATCTCACATTATATTTTTTTTCTAACGTGATGTCTGTCTTTTTTGCCCTGTGCTCTGCAGAATTAGAGTGGATGGGTCGCAGCAGAAAGAGATGCGAAAATACTACTTTCTGCAAGACAACCTTGGAACGTCCAGCACGGAAAGCCGAGGGTAGGATTGCATGAGTGATGGAACCAGGATATGAATTTCCCTTAGTACCCAAAGGACACGTATTATCGAGATTGGTTGATAGAAGCTACTGCGCATTTGAGGAATGATGTTATCTCAATGAGAGACAGGGTCTCTTGATTTAGGATACCAATATCTGTAGATCACACCGCAGTGTAATCCAACTACCTAAACAAGACCAGGTACTATATACTTCCTGGTCATCAATCCATAATCCATTATCCATCATCATCCACCCAATACTCCCGACCCCCATCCCCAGATCGGAAGTGTACATATCTTCAAAACAACCTCGGAAAACCAGGAACCACACAGGAACTCAGTGAAATCAGTGAAGATGACCGAGAACGCAAGAACAAAACAGATACCGAATAAACCAGAAGTCAAGATAAGCGCGGGCCAGTGCTGATCAGTCAAGACGACCGACGCCTCGCAGTCTTGAAATTGGTTGACAGTATTCGACAGTCTGATGTAATTGGCATGGAACCAGGAAAGACCCGAAGAGACAGAATTGGAGAGTTCACATATTAGAAAAAGTAAGATAAAGAGAACCAGATTTCACGGGTAGGTTGAAGCCCGGGAATCGATGCGATAAAGAAAACATGTCAAAGGAAGTTGGAGACCAAAATAATGACAGATCCCGAATGCCCAGCTGGTGTCCAGCTGTTGGCGTTTTCGGTATCATGGAGCCAGCTGTGTTTTGAAAAGTCATATATGGTTGCAAACAATCCAATATTAACGCCAGAATCCAAAATAACATAAATCCGTAACGCCGAAGGTATCATCAGCGTCGTAATGTTGAAAGACAGCCCAATATCAGTGGGATATGGAGACTGGCTTTTCTGATGAGTCGTAACAGAAGAGCGTCAAAGCGGTCCGGACCAGCCTCGACGACCTCATTATGAAAAGAAATTTATCTCATGGGAGAGATGAAAATGAAAAACCCAATCTAACGCCGGCCCAATGTGTCGATAGAGCTTTACATAGAGCCCAAACGGAGAAGCGCCTCTACCGCAGCGCGTTCCTGGGTGTCAAAGTTGTGGGGAGTAGACTTGGCCAAAGTGGATGGAGTGGGTCGGTTGGCGTGGGTATTACCGAAAAAGCCAGCAGGAAGAGGCTTCGCTCGAGCAGCAACATTGTTACTCCGTACAAAGCCACCACTACCAGTCATGGAACGAGCTCGCAGCGCATCCGCTCCAATCTGCGCCCAATCTTCTTCGTCGGTAACATCGCCTTCATCCCACTCTCCATCTTGCACGTCGTCCGGCACCTCAGAAGAAGAGCAGTATTCCTGTTCATCGCCATCCAGAGACATTTTATCGGCCTCATGCTCGAGCATGTCGAGATCCTCGTACTCACCCCGCGCACCATAATCCTCCGCATCAGCGAACGAGAAGGCGATGGAGTTGTTACGGCCCATACTAGCCCCGTACGGATCTCGACTGTCACGTCGGGCGTCCCAACCTGAACGACCCTCGATCTGCATTCCACGCTGCTGGAAAGACCCGGCGATACTGGAAGGGGAGAAGATGGGTTGAAGGAAAAGGCACGGTCGCGCACAACTTCATTGCGTCGACGCGCATCCCAGCGTCCCCAACCGATCTTCTCAAAGACCACATCACCCTGCACATCTGCTTCTCCGTTGCCACGGTTCTCAAGTGCGGCCACTACAAGGCGACGCGCCTTGGCGGGTGGAATGCGCGAGAAACCAGGCACCGAGGTGGTCAGGTATCCCATGACATGACGGATCGCAAGCGGACCTTGCTGCAGAAGGATCTCAGGCAGGTGGTATTTTGCCAGCATGACTGGGGTTATATCACCGACGCTGTCTAAATCGTGCGCGGGGGCCGAACGGTCCTGGCCGTGGACATGGTCTCTCTCGTCATGGAGATCGATATCCGAGTCTAGTTGGGGGACCGTTGATAGTGGCGAGCCCGGCGACAGAGTCGGATGACCCTTAAAGGCCTGTGGGGGAAGAGTGGGGGAGATGGAGTTGGGTGGCGTTGGGAGCATGGCCGGGTGTCCGGGGCGAGACTGGGACTTGCCCGACAGGCCCGCACGCGGTTGGGGGATATCAACAGAGGCGGTCTTGGTCTTGCCAGCAAGAGCCATCGCGATGCTGGAGTTGGACTGAAAAGCCATGATTGCAGAGGGTTGAAGAAGGGAAGTTGAATGTCTAGTAAAGAAGACGCGCCTTATCAGTATATATGAGTCAGACAGGGGACAGAGCCAGACAATGCGACACAGCCGCAACGCTCAGATTGGTTCCTTGCTCAGTGGCAAGCCTGAAAGGGGGATCTATTTCCAGGTGCGGCCCAAAGAAAGTGAAACTGGGTGAACCACACACAAACAACTTACCTTCTTTAATTCTTAAAGAGACAAAGAGAGACACGCAGGTACGCGATTAGCTTCCAGACGGGGGGAGGGATGAACAAAGAAGCGACGCGGTAAGGGGATCTCGCGTAAGCGTGATCTCGTGAAGAAGAAAAGCCAGGGATGTAGAGTAGAGAAGAAGAACTTGAAGAGGGAAGTTGTATTATTCTTGTAGTTTGACTGTGTGCCCCTCTCCTTGGAAAGGGAAAGTATGGGACTCCTATGACTCCGCAGGTGCTGCCCAGGCGTTGCTCGTGGGTCGACTGATTGGCGCGTGGATCAGGGCTCTGTGCCCGGTTGGTTCCGGTACACATGTACATCATTATAGTATATTGTAGTATGTATAGTATAGTATTAGAATAGTCTTCTATAGTATCTAAGTAGTATTAAGTAGGGTGCTGTTGTGATTGTTGTGGCATTAGTAAATTATTCTATTTCCTCATTTACTATATCTAATTATTCAAGTACAGGCATTGAACACTGAAATGATTCTCTCCTATCTATTTCCAATAGTATGGGGTCCAAGCATAAACCCCTCAACTTATCAAAGGGTTGTAACCCTATATGGGGTACTGAGAACGGAACTGGAGTCCATAATATAACCTTCAGTATATGGTACTATGCACAATGACAATGCTTCATAGTATGGTACCATATTGTATACTGCACAATCACTGATAAGCCTCCCGGCACGTGGTACATTCTGTACTTTTCACTTGAATCTACTTCTTCACTTAGTCACTCGCTACCAATTCATCAATTACTTCTTTCTCTTTTTTACCCTACTCGCACAACGTTTTCATCTGGATTCAATCCCGTCAAATCCCTCATTTTACCCATCTTCATCATTTATCTCCACTTTAATGGATCTGACATGGTCATCTAGCCTTGATTGACCAACAGTACTTTGACGTCATGTTGGTACCAGATACTTGATCACTATGTACACACTACTTTGTACCCACCCCCGTGGCCTGGCTAAGACCCGAGATTGTATACCACAAAAAGGTCCGCTCTCACTCCCGTATCCACTGTGACACGACCAGAAAAATTCAAAAACCCTCGACGCGTGTCCCGGATTGCGCTTTTAGCGCTGCCAATAATAATGTCAATCACGCGCAGCTGGGCTTTGGCCACTTTAGCTTTTGATCGACCATGAGAATGTGCGCTGCATTTCCCGGTGACTGCTTCAAGTGCATTCTTGCCCGGTGGACCGAATTAATCCGAGAATGCCGAGCTGCATGAGTACTGAGAGTATCCTTCATGGAGTCCGAAGTACACGTATGTTTATCACATCCAGATTTACAGATTTACGTATGATAGGAATATACAACCTTGGAAATGACGCGCCGTACTCCGTTGTATTTCTTAGCCGGGTGGGGGTACCCGTCGTGGGGTTTCTGCCTTGATCATAGAGATTATGGATGTACTGTATCCACTGACCTCGGGAGGTATACTTGAATGACTAAATCGAGGGGTACATACTAACTATGACTAGTATGTATCTCAGGTACACTGAGGGGCAGATCTCCAGGGCTAAACTTGATCTTGATCTTGAACAACTGTATGTATACTCACACGACCATTCTACCTCTACCTAATGAGTTGGTGTATCTCTCGTGAGACCGGCATTGGTCATCGGGAACATTCGGCACAACTTGAATATTGGACGCTGTAAGACCCTGCGGGCAAAAACAAGTCCAATGTACAACTCAGAAACTCAGAAATTCAATAGAACACAATGGAAGAAGAAAGCAACCAGATAGGAACCCCGATCATCGGCCGTGAGGGTCCAGCAATTCTCAACGGAGGGTTATCTGTCATCAAAGCACCCCGAGGTACGGAGTACATTGAACCCTCGGACCCTTGCATTCCAAGTATGTACTCCGACTCTTCGCCTCCAACTGCTCCAGCGCAGCATATCTCCCCACTTGTTTCAGCCATACACTCAGATCAAACAATCCCTCACTTAAATCCCTCGGATTCCCCACAAAAAGAAATACACTCCCCATCTGCTGTGCCGGTTCTCGCCCATCTGTATATCGAATGGAACACGAGACGGCTTGGTAGTTGTCTGTCTCGTACTTTGCTAATTTCTCCGCTTCTCTCAAACAAGTTACATTGTACACTGTCCCTTCAACTGTGTTGGTACCTGTCGAAGATACCAGAGCTGGGTATTGCCCCCACAGCTTACATTCATACCCATCCAGTGAGGCGGGCCTTAACTTGGGCTTATGGTCCAGTCCAAGGATTTCGCTGAGCATGCATGGATCTAGAAGAGAACCGTAGAAGAAGTAGAGTCCTATCGGCGTGGTCCGCTTCTCTTTAGACACCGAGAAGAATGGATCGTGTGCCTTGCCTTTTAGTTTTAGCACCACGGGTGATATCTTTGTGCGCGGGTCAATGGGTGGTGGAGGCGGGGGCGGGGCTGAGGTTGGTGGTATTGAGGTTCCCTCAATGAGCGGGGTATCGGTGCTTGGTAATTGATTCATTCTAGATGGAATTGATCATGATGTTGACTTGCGTGGACTGAGAATTGGATAAGTGGGTAAATTCGAGTTGCATTAGCCGGCGTTGTGTGGGGTGCTTGTCAGGTACGTGGGATTCCCCGCTGAAGAGTTGCAGGGTATTCTATAGCCTGATTTAGGATTCTGTGCTTGAGACGAATTAGACAAACATCCTGCTATACTAAAGTAGTCTTCCATTGATCCTATAGGAACGTTTGGCATTTGACATCTTGAATTCTAGTGCATCCCTTTTCGTGAAGGCCATTGATCCGCGCGGGGCTGGGTAAAGATACTGAAATTATCCAGAGCTTTCATTGACAAGAATCTTAATTTCATATATTACTAGGAATAAGGTGAGTAGACTGAGTAGACCACTCGATAGTTCAGAACATTTGAAGATATCAATGATATCAATGTAGCGAAATGATCGAGATCTTTAGTACGGTGATCCTCTGGGCTACCCTCGCAGCTGCGACGGTAGGCCCCAACTCGCTAGACTCAGATATTTCACTCATCATTCACAATGATCTGAAGGGTAAGCATCTTTTGCCAGTGGTTTGGGGATGTGAACTACCGAAGTAACCATTGGGGACAGAAGATACAAGCTCGTGGAGTGAATCTGGAGTCTTGCTCCTAGATCCGATGCCATTACAAAAAGCCATTGAAAGCTGTCACAGTCTTGGAGAATCTCTTTGGTCAGGAAAATTTGATGAAATCAAGTACGATTTGGACTACCTCACATTTCAGGGCAAGTATAGCGATGATCAGAAGTATTGGATTGCCCCAGTCAATAGCGCTGCCTCAACTATCAACCTGAGTGGAAAGGTACAAAAAGCTTCCGCAAACACTGATCTCCCAGCTCTATGTACCCAGACAGCGCCATATTCCACCTCTGAGACCCAGGATAACAGCTCAACTTGGCAAGTCTTGGTTCATTCTAATAACGAATATTTGACTGGGTAAGCCCCATACCGAAAATACTGCAACAGTCATACTGATATCACGTCAGGTTTCGTGATCGACTGAGCTTTCGTTTCCTTGGTATCAGATATGCCCCAGAAGCTGAACGATGGACGTATCCCCAGCTTTATGAAGGAACAGGAGATCATGTTTCCGCCCTGGATTATGGATCAATTTGTGCTCAGAGTTCAACGGGTACAGAAGACTGCTTCTTTTTGAATGTCTGGACCCCATACCTACCAAAATCTTCAAGTCAAAAGAAAGAAAGTCTGAAGCCGGTCATGTTCTGGATCCATGGCGGTGCTTTCACAAGTGGAGAAGGCAGTGACCCTACATTTGATGGAGGAAACCTAGCCTCCCGTGGCGATGTAGTCGTCGTCACGACGAATTACCGACTAGGAAACTTGGGCTTCCTTGCTCTAGATGACGGTACAACAAATGGGAACTATGGTGTAGCAGACCAGATCACTGCACTGGAATGGGTCCGCCGTAACATTCAGGATTTCGGCGGTGACCCAGACAGGGTGACTATCTTTGGACAATCAGCTGGAGCAGGATCAGTGAGAGCATTACTTGCCTCACCGAAAGCTCGGGGTTTATTCGCAGGTGCTATCATGGAAAGTAACCTAGGTGGATTGGGCTACGGCACATCATATTCGAAATACTACACCATTGCGCAGGAGATGGAAGTGGCCGGGAACGCCATCCTCAATGAAACAAACTGCACTTCCGCGAGCTCTAGAGTCGACTGTCTACGACAGATTCCAGCTTACACCCTCACAAACCTTGAAGCTAGTGCCAGATATCTCGTCGTCGATGGGGAATATCTCCAGAGTTCCGAGCTGGGTCTTACGAATCCTGAAACCACAGCGAACGTCCCTCTCCTCCTCGGCACAACCAGAGACGATGGTGCAGCATTCATCAGCTACCCTTCCGCCGACGAGAGCATCCAGGAATTTTTTACAGAGAATGATCTCCCCTCAACCGAGGTCCCAAGTCCGCTCTTCCCAATACCCTCTGGTGCAAATCACACCCTGGATATATTCAACACATCAGCCCGAATCGCCACCGATTCTATCTTCCGCTGTATCGACCAAGCAACCGCTTACGCAGGATCGAAGAATAAAATCTTCCCCAAGATATTCTTCTACGAATTTAATCGCACTTATCAGATGACGGGTTGGTCGCCTAATCCTCCGCTTTGTCAAGCACCAGTTACGGCTGCTTTTCCAAACGGAGATCCTAATCTAGAATACTTCAAGTGTCATTCTGGAGAACTATTTTTCGTCTTTGGAAATGTACTACGTATGGGAGTTGAGTTTCGAGACGATTACGATTTACCCTTCGAGCAGTATATTCTTGATTCTTGGACTGGTTTTGCGCGCCAGGCGAACCCGACACCGGATATGGGGTTCCTAAAGGCGAGGGGATACGCAAGTACTATTGAGGTGATTGAGGGCACTGCGGCGTGGGTACCATTTCAGGATAATGAGCTTAAGCTGAGGAGATTGCAGTGGCCGGCAGAGACAGTATCGCTGGATGAGACGCCTCAGTGTCGGGCTTTGAACTTGTCTTTGGATTATTATATGACTTGATTTGGAGAACTAGACTTTATTTGGATGATGGCTGTGCCGATGCTTAATCCGGACGAAAGGTTCATCTAATGTACTTACTTGCACTTTGTTGGAAATCCGTATCCATTATAGGCTTCGGCGTCAACTTCTAGACCAATATGGTAACAGCTATGGCACTGGTTCTATCTTCTCTCACTACCTACATCTTCTTCTCTTCCCCCTCAAGCACCTTCCGCGGCAAAAAGACGGCCTTTGGATATAAACGGCCCTTTCTCCCACGAAGTCCTCCCTCCTCAGACCCACTTCCACTGACAGCAAGACGACCATTTCACCCAAGAAGTCCTCACTCCTCAAACACTATTTCCCTTCAAAACAGCTCTCATCAACATCGCTCTTATGCAGCCTTTATATGAATCAATTTGGGAACTTGTCTTGGTCTTGATCGGAATCCTCGTCTTACTTGCAATCACCGGCATTCTCACTTTCCTCATTGTCGAATCACTAAACCGCTCTTCTGTTAGAAGTTGGGAAGAGGAAGTTCAAGAGCTTTTAAGACTATACTCAACATTACACGCTACGTTCTCATAATAATCCCATCGGCAATACTCATCGCTCTTGCATTTTGGAAATTATTCCCGACTTCAGATGTCTGCCCACCATGTACCACCTATACCTTCTGCGACTCGACATAAGGAAAGGTGAGTATCCTTTGGCGCGGTAATTGAAGATATGATGGCCACGATGTACATCATGCTTCTTTTCACAGTTATGGCGGCTGCGTTCGGGTTCAGCATATTTTTCGCCGTTGGGGTTATAATACCCTTCTGGAGGCAGTGTGAATGCCACTTGGATGCTTCTCTTGGTATGATCTTTCAGTGGTTGGAAGGGTTTGTCTTTACGGTGCCTTTTTTGGCGGCTTACACTGAAGCTGATTTCTGGAGACGTTGTCATGCAGCTCACTGAGGAAACCTCGGGATGGAATGAGGGCTGCAAGATTCAAATTCTTTTGGAGAGGAGTGTTTTCTAGGATGGGGATTCGAGTTATTTTTTTTTTCAAGTTTATGTCTTGCGGTATAATTCTCTTGGTTTTGGAAGTCTGGCTGGACTTTATTTGCTATTGAGCCATTGTGAGCGACTTCTAGGTAACATAGACCAAATGGTCGGATAAAAAGTTCAACATCATTCCATGTATGATTCTAGAACCTGTTCCCTACTATAGACGTGGATACTGGAGTATTAATATAGTAAATTCTCGTAGAATAATACCCATTTCTATTGAGTTACGTATTAGTACTATAAGCCCCACGTTAGTTCCAATGGTGCCCAGGTGCCCCATAGAGAAGCGCTTGACACTTTGACCTTTGACCTTTTTCTAATATCTAAACTAGACCTTATTGGACAAATCAGCAATCCGAACCATAGAAATGACCAAAAATTATATCCGCGCGTCCCCAAGTTTGGAACTCGGTACCAGATGTGATAGATTATAAGCTTTTATATAGCCGCAAAGATGCAGATTTTACAATGAAATTGACTTCAATGATTAACTTTGAATATAATTGACTTGTATTTGAGACATACTTAAATTTCAGATCCTTGTTCATATCCTCATAAATGAATATTTGTATCATCTCAAGTTGAGTAAATGTAGTAAGTAGATTGCTGATGACGTAAATTCAGCTCTCCAAGCGCTCAGACCCTTTCTTGTCCCATTGATCTATTTTTTCTAGTGGAGACCGCGTCAGCTGGAATCAATTTCGATGGAATAATAATTAATCTATTTGACAGTTTCGATGGACGAATGAGGCGAATCCCCCCGGCCGAGAAACCGGGGCGCACGAACTAGTTTCAGTTAACAACGCCGGAGACCAACAGAAGGTGGAAGAATCTAGCGAGACTTTTTAAGCGGAGTCCGAATCTCGTGGTTTCATTGCACGATCAAACTCAAGTGCTGATGGAGGATTGATAAAATCGTAAAATCGTAACGAACATCTGGATTTAAGTATCCACTTCCCACGTTCCTTATGGCTTATTATAGGCTTATTATAGGGCAGGCCATTATAGACCCAGTAATCGCGGCAATTTTTTTTTTTCCTCCTTGAGACTTCGCTTAGATGAACCAGTTGAACCGCCAATTATTTCCTTTTACCTAGGTACCATGCATGACATTTGAAATTAATATATTAATATGCATGGATCGGGGGGGGATTTAACCTAAATCTGAATCCAGTCTAGGTAGTCAAGGTACTGGACAATATAACGGGAAATTACTCGGCAAATGGGAGGCTTGAGAGTAACATTCCATCAGGGCTGGAATTATTATGGAAGAGTGTTCGCGTGGTTCAATGGATTTAGTGGAATTTGGTGAATTTCAGTGGATTCAATTGACCATCGGGAGTTGATTTCTATGGTTTATCGGTCTTTCCGGATCCACTTCTGCGATCTATAGGCTCGCAACCGCCACCCATGTCTTTCGATTCTATGGTTAACCCCCCCTCTCCACTTGAAATCAAAAAATCCATTTGCGGTATATCCGATGCTTGCCGGGGGTTTGGTCATTTTTGGGTTCTCGCCTCCATGCATCATGGTACTGCTATATAGTATCATCTGCCGCCGCATTATGGCCGACGGCTGATGCTGGACCCTTTTTACTTCCCCGTCACTTTATCATGGGTCTAAGTGATCGCTACCCTGCCTATGGTGGTCGTGGTCCCAGTGACCTTCGACTGGGTCTCGGTCTAGGTGCTGTTGCCACCATTTTTATGGCACTACGAGTTTATGTGAGACTTCGTGTTAACAAGTTTGGAACAACGGCCTTGATCTGGTCTCTTATTGCCTGGGTATGTACTACATGTGTAGTAGTTGAATATCCCCGATCTTGATCAGATCCATTGATCGGCATCGACTCCACTGACATGTGCTAATCTCTCTCCGCAGTTTTTCACGGTGATCACCCAAACTTTTGGTGTTATCTCCATTCTCCACGGTCTAGGAAACCATATCAAAGTTGTTGAGGATGAAGGACAACTGGGTAACTACCTGTTGTTCACATGGATCACGGTCTTCTTCTTCAACATGGCCATTCCAATTGGAAAGGTCGCCGTCGCGGCATTTTTAATTGAGATGAATTCACAAGGCAGTACGTCAATACCAAGCACCTGGATAATCTTGGACTCAAGTGCTCTCATATACTAACTCTCATAAAGATCTTAAGATCCGTCGCAGTCTAGTCGCCGTCGCCGTGATCAACATCGTCTTCAACATCCCACAAGTTCTCCTTGCCTGGTTCCAATGCAGTCCACCAAACGCTCTATGGAACCCCAACGAACAAGATAAATGCAACCACGCCACAAGTGTCCACTACACCTATTTCGTCGGAGCCGTCGCCGCTCTTTCAGATTTCTACCTCGCCATCATCCCCGCAACCATGCTCGCCCCACTCCGAATCGACCGCAAGTTGAAATGGGGTCTCAGTTTCCTGATGGGATGTGGTGTATTCGCCGGAGCAGCAGCCATCGTCCGAACATGGGCCGCAAGTTACATCATGAGCGCAGACCCTTCATGTGAGTAATGTTTCGAAACAACCAACGTAAAAAACGTATCACTAATTTTTTATTTCTAGACGGTGTTGGTACTCTCTTCCGTTGGGGTGAAGTCGAGGAATGGGTCGTCCTTATTTCCATGTCCATCCCACCTGTCTGGCCCTTATTCCGCCCACTTACAACCCGCTTCATCAAGTCCACTGGAATGTCGCGCAGTCCGCATCAATACATGCAGTATAATCAGTATGGATCTCGGGGTGCGCCACTTGGATCCACTGCTGGTGCTGCACCGCCGATCATTACAACTACGATCTCTATTTCCTCGACAAAGGGTGTCTCGGCTGCTGCGGAGCCTGTTGGTACTTCTTCATCATCCGCCGAATCTATTACTAGATACGATGAGGAGGAGCCTGAGACGCCGCATACTGTTTTGAGTGGGAATGGTGATCCTGAGGGTTGGGTGGAGATGTCTCATTATAAGAATCGTCGTCATTCATGACATCTTACTAGACTTATTTATTTTCTTATGTACAAATATCTTCAAAATTATGAATTTAATTAATAGAGGTTCATTATACCCGGATAATGATGGCATCTCAAGTTGTATAAGGTAAATAGTGCCAACGCATCATAAGTTGGTTCAGATCAATGGTCATAAGTTCTCATAGATAGTCATCATTTCCCATAACGTCAAAATATCTGACGCATTTTGTAACCAGCCTTTCGCGTCGATGATCAGCTTGTCATCGGACCCAGCAGAACAGCCCTGGAGGACACGAATGGCAAAAGCTACTCGAAGGGCAACTCCAGAGAGACAGTCGTTATGGAACGCCTCATGTATCGATTTTGCCACCACCAGCAAACCTGACCCTTATTTATGCAGCTGCCTTTTCATGGGAGTGGAAATGGACTTAGTTTCATAGCCATGAGCAAGGATGCTGATTCTCGTACCACCACCAAGAATGTTTGAAAGTGTCGTCCATATTAAGAATCATATTTACCTTCAACTTCTGGACTTGAGACGAATCGGTGATGATACAGGTCGTCATCGGGCCATTTTAATTTTTTCTTTGTTCGTCAAAGAACTCCTCAAATTTGTAGAACTCACAAAATATAGCCCCGTCCCAATCCAGGTTCATCTCAGAAATTCCAAGATTGTCCGAGAGGTTCGGGACAATAGCAAATTGCCCGCTGTCCACAGAGTGCTCGAACTCTTGACTTACCAAGATGCCATTCGGAGGTGGGAAAATATCACCACCTTTGCTAAGTATGGCTTCTGAGTCACATGAGACTCTCATTTCAAGACGAAGGCATATGGCGTCAGCTTGCTTGCGTGGCTTCTCCACGTCTATTGAAATGATGAACCACGACGTCTGGCACTTCTTTATAGCAATTGTTATTGACAGATTCACCGAACCCCTCATGTCACTTCTGCTCTGCCATCTCTCACAGCCTCATAAAGAACGAAGTTCCGATCAAGAGGTGTAGATAGTTATTGATAAATTGGCTATTGATGAGCCTGGAGTCATTAATGATGTGGATTGTCCCTTGGGAGTTGAAGAGAGAAGTTCTGAGGCGCTTGCGAATACCAAACTGCAGTCAAGGATGGACGGTATGTGCGTGGCGCCAACAACATATAGTTACTGTTATTTGACCAAAGCTCATTCCGAGTCGTTATCCAGATCTCACAAGAGATCATGATAAATTCAAGATCGTTGAGTTCCTTCAGCCATACGAAGCGCAGACTCGGGTCAATGGGATGGTGAGCGTTGTGAGGTTCATGCCCGGGGTTTCCACAGAGTCACCTATCATATGAGTAAATTTTCTTTCCATATTAACTCTCAAGGGTATGGTGACTCCACATGTGTATCTCCCATCTTCAGAGGATAGAGAAATGAGGACTATTAGCTTGAATGATTTCGGTCCATTAATGCCAATAGTGGTCTCAGACACTCTATGTAGCCACTGTTGCCCAGGTGATCGCTTTCCTCGCCACTGCGATTCTTTTTCGATCTCTTGATTTCAAAAATCAACCTCTATGACGACAATTGAACATGGATGCTAGCATTGCTTCTGTATGAAACTTAGAAGCTCCGACAACGATGAATGATTTTGCTATTGTCTCGCCGTGGGATAGGTTTCTGCACAATTGCCAATGTCGATATAGCTCGTTGGTAAACTTGATTTGACCCCGGGGCCGTGACACACATCATCTGTTCTCTGGAATCGATCGGGTGTGCTGTTGGAATCTTCGAACAATAGGTCTACTGTGTTTGTATTTGTGAGTGGTTGACTTGCTGGATATCTTTTGCCGATGTTCAACAATCTTCAGCTTTCACAACAAGAAACGGAGTTCGGCCAATCTATGTAGTTGTAAATTGAAACTCACAGTATATTTAGTACAGCGCATTTATACACCATCTTGAAAGATGGATGCCTGTTGCTCGAATCGGTCCCGCTTGAAAAGGACGCACGGGGCAGCTTTTCATCGATCCGTAGTTGTGATTGTGCGATGATTCTTTTTTCTGGTCAGATCCAGATCCTCTTGACCGGTATCCTCGTACAACCGGTTGAACATACTTGTCCAAAGATGGCTTGGTGGACTCAGAGTCTGTCGGCTGTCTTCGAATATGTGGTTAGTCAGAACGATATCTTAGTATTTGAGAAAGTAAATTACCGGGTTGATGGCTACTTGGGCTATTTTGTGCTCAATGGGTTCGTCTCTGGCCCACTGTGCAGGAGAGGGACGTGCTAAGAATCCTCGTCCACAAAATGGAGGGAGTAGAAACACATGGGGGAAGATGATGTGGCATGCATCCCGACCCCAGTATGGTTTTTGTTGCATCCACAGTCTCGACTCATCACATTTTCTGGTTGAATGAGAATGAGGAAAGTGTAACAAGTTTCACTCTGGGTTAGAATTGAGAAAATTCAGATGGTACAGTACATCATACCACACCTCCGAAGGATAGCGAATCAATAAGCACTTTTCATTCTATGTGTTTCAGTCTTCCAAATTGGCACCTTGACCTTCGGGGCCTTCGGGAACCGGCCATACTCCTAATAAAATTTGTCAGCCTGATCGAAATCTACTGTATACTCAAGACGGGATATTCGTCTAGGCTGGTGGAGATCATACTGGTGCCTAATCCCATGCCCTTAATACACTATCCATGGTAGAGCTGTGGACTTGGTAGCCGTAGCTCACCTCTGTAGTGGGGGCATCCTCTTCATTTGGGGCAGCTTCATGGTTCGATCGTGCGACTTGAGAGTTGGGATATGAAGGGCGCGATGACACAGGTGAGTTCTCAATTCTAGCCGCATCTTCCTCCTAGCGGCGTCCTCAGACAATTGCTCTTTGCCTTTTAGGCCTTCGCTAAGACCCGTCTCACAGCAGAACCCATCCTCATCAAGCTGGAGACTAAGATCTTTTATGTTCTGGTCTCTTACCATGTCCCCTTGAATGATTTCGTCCGGTTTCTGGATTCTTCCTCGTTTATCTGGGATATACTAGATGATCTACAGCAAGCTTCACGTCGGTATAGCTGAGTATGGTAGTCAGGAACTTGTTGGCTTGCTCAGCTATCTTTCGATGTGTCTAGTGCCACTCTTAGGTTCGGAGGAGCTGTACTAGGTTCAGCGAGAGGATAATCGTGGGCATACACGAAGCTGTCTCGGTACGGTCATTCTCGATCTCTCACTTCACAGTTCGGCCACTTTCTTGACGAAGTCCAGGCAGCTCCACTCAAGACATTGCATGCATGTGTAGTGGCATCGAGAAAAAGGAAGGAGCGAGGTCAAGAGCAAAAGGTAAGAAGGAAAGACATTGAGATATGAATAGATGAGGATTGAAACGTGAGGTAGGTACCTAGGTCGACTTATATAGTTGAGAGATCAGCTGCAGGTGATGGAAGCATGATAGAAGCAAGATGGGGATCTGTTCAGTGTTCCAACTTGAAGGTTGATAAGATTGCCCAGTGTCGAAAACTTGAAGAGCTATTACAAGTCGAATACAATTTCAAGGTTGAAGTTAGATCATTCATGATAAATTGAAACTTCAAAATGGTTCAAATTTTGTGGTTCAAGTTCAGACTCGGAGCACTCGTAGTAGCTACTCTGATTCTCTATGGATATCAGCCATCTCGTTTCAAGCACTTGAGGATTTACCTACTGGTACGTCCGATTAAAGAGGAACTTGAAGGTAGGAGGAAGAAGAAAAAAGAAAAGTCTTCTCTTCCCCTCCATTCACGATCATATCACAACCGCCTCAGTTTATGAGAATGTCGCGAAGTCACCTACTTGATGATACTATACTGACACCTAATGAGATAAATCTCAGAGCCAGCAACACATCAAAAGCGTGTCAGATTGTGTATATTTGGCTACAGAGCCAAGAGGCGTATAAGCAAAGATTGAGATGTCAGCGATGCTGCTCGGGCAATGTACTTCAAACTTCAAATTAGAATTTATAGCAGTTGCCATAGAAACTTCAATGAAGTACATGGGTACTACCCAGAACGAAAATTTAGTATTCAGGCATTGACAAGATCCATGTCGGCATTGACAATATTCGCGGACTCTGGACTATGTAATCAGCTCTACTTCACTTGCAGTATTCTTAGACTTATTCCAACTTAAGACTACGGCCTACGGACGACGCAGATTGAACGGTTTAAACGTTTTGTCAGACATGCTCTTTATTTCCAGGAGACCGCGAGAGAAATAGGAACAGAGACGCCGTAGGGTTGGTCGGGTCAAAGAGATGAAGGAGATCAAAAAGTATGTAGCAGGAAAAAGAAACTTCCCTTTCGCTTCAGAATAAAGGTCATTTTGAAGACCTCTATCCCTCAGACGAAAGTAATTGGAAGCCGATAATGCCTGTCTCGTCCTCTTTTCTCTCTCTCGCTCAATGCTCTTGGAGATGCTTCCTCCTCATGCATAAAACATCCGCCCCATGTCTCCGCTAGCCCCATCTGGTCGTCATGATAAAAAAGGTAGAAGTTGGTTGGATGAGTGGAAAAAAGGAAAAAGGTAAAAAGTTTGGGAACGTCAACAAGAATCGCCGGGACCTAGCTCCGAATTTTTTTTTTGTGAAATGTCATCTCAATTTTGCCCTGCTAATGCATTTTTAAGCAAACCAAAACGACCCCCGAAACACATTAAGCCCTTGGTGAATTCCGTTTACTCCTCGTCAGACTCCTCCTCGTCGACAGTGGTCTTGGCAATACGGTCCAAATCACGCTGGCCAGACTGGGTAATGCGACGGCCACCCTTGTCCTCATCAACCTCAAGGACACCGATCTTCTCGAGAGCCTGCATGGCCTTACGGTCAACGGAGCCGGAGGCGTCGACGTGGTGGGCGGGGCGGGAGCCGCGGTTCTTGGTGGAACCGTGGACCTTGCGGAGGCGGCCGACACCAACGGTCTTGCGCATGTAGATGTGACGGGCGACAGCGGCGGCGCGAACGTAGAACCTAAAAAAACAAATGGTTAGATTACTGGACGTGGGGTGGTTCGGCAGGTACACGAATCATACCAGTCAGCGTCCTGGGGAGGAAGCTCGTTGGAGGCAGAGGTCTTGACAGTGTCAACCCAGCCGGGGATGGGGAGCTTTCCCTGACGCTTCAGGAAAGCAGAGTAGGCAGAGATGAACTTCTGCGCCTATAGTACAGAAAGAAAAATATGTTAGCGTCGTGTGTTTTAATCGTGCATGTCAAATATCTGGTCTTGGCGAGGAGGGCGTAATTTTGGCATATGCATATCTGTGTCGGGTTCATTTCCAGTGGCTGTCTGATTCAGGTCCGGTCTCTTGTCGCAGCGGATCTTCTCAATTGTACTCGTTATGGCTATGGGTATCTGGTGTATTCGCTATACGATCAAAAATGATGAACATTGAGTTCAACATAACTGTACCGCACGCACACTCAAACCTCGGTCCATTCGGTCCATTTTTTGCATATAATCCGTGATAATCGAAGCGGTACTTCTCCCTGATGTAGTTCCTGATGCAATTCCATTCCTTTTTGATAGACACGGCCTCCGGAAACGAACCCAGACGCAGATATGCAATGGTGAAGACCAGGTTGACGAGGGATTGATCTCAGGGATCAGCGAGGACACTTACGTCCACATCGCGAACGGAAACACCACCCATTTTGGCGACTTGTTGGAGGGCGTAGGGGTTGAGAGAGTCGTTAGGCGGGAAGTCGAGGTGGGCAGGGTCGAAGTCGAAGAGTCCAAAATTTCGAGACACACAAACTCGCCCCGGTTGGGTTGCGCTGGCGTCTGTGTGGTTCGCTTAGCCTTTTTGGGTTTAGCCGTACCCTAAGTGTGGGTGCCTCAGGAATAACACTGTAGATCACGTGATTCGTCAATATTGTCCGGCCCTCAAAGTGGAGTAAGGCATCAGGGCACCAAGGCACCAAGAATAAGGCAGGAATCTTATAGTTCCAGTGAACGTTTATAAACACACTTCAGACTCTTAGATTCTACTTCGTAAACACCATACATATTGGAAAGATCACTTAGAAATAATATCGTCCATTATTCATTGCTAATAGCAGCTTGGTTCGTTTCTCATGACTGCGAAGGGAGGTAATAAAAAATAATGCAAGAATCCCTTCGCCAAATGCCCTCAACCTATTGAGTATCTCCTAACCATTTCTATCCAGAACACCGAGAAAACCGAGCCGAACAAAATATCAAATATAAAAAAACAAAGGGACAAGAAGACCGAAACCAAAAAAAAATTACAAGGTAGGAGCCCGCTGGATTCCCATATGGTATCGAACGTGCAATTCATCAATGAAATGCCCGTGTCGAATACCAGGAGGTCGGCACTCATTGAACTCAAGGACTGCATCCTCTACGCTGTAGCCCAACTTCTCAATCAAGTAGCAAACGATCAAAAAGCCTGTCCGGTTGTATCCATAGTGACAGTGCACACCGATGAGAGGACGTGGCAAAGATGGATCCTCCCGTTTCTCCATCCGGTCATCAATCTCTTTCTGTAGACGGTCGACCAAATCGATGAAGTCTCGCGCCTCATCAGGAGTGGGAGGAAGTTTCGAGACTGTAGGATGCTTGCAGTAGTGAATCCCACCCTTCTCCATCTGAGCGGGACTGTAAACTGGGCTTTCATGACTGATATCAATGACTGCGTAAATGCGATCATGATACTCGGCAGAAAATTTGACCGGGTTGTGGCCCTCATCCACCTCACGTAGCATCTTCATCGCGCGGAAGGTGTTGGCAATTGGATGGGAGACAGGTGCAACCTTCTTCCATTTGGCGAGGTTTTTCACGTCCCATTTGCCTGAGGTGTTCAGGTGCTGTAGTTGCCAACCAAGACTCAGTCGCTTGTCGATGCTTGAGGCTAGGAAATCCTGGATGATGCCTGCCAGAGTACGGTATGTGGCGCGGTCGTAGAGGAGAGCATGCGATGCAGGAGCAGGCAAGATAGCCGACTTGACTAGTCTTTTGCGTTCATAGCTGAATGCCTTGCCCTCGGTCTGCTTCTCATCATCGCCGCCAATGGATACTTCTTTGTGGACAGAACCGTTGACTGGTACGGTTCGGTCGTGTACTCGTGAAGCATCGGGGATAACACTGCTACCAGTAGTGTCGATTGTGGTATGGGCAGATGCATTTCCAAAGTATTTCAAAAGCGTCTGGATTTCCTCAGGCTTGGTCACTGCATCTGCTTCTCCTGCGACCAGCAGAATCGGCATATCAACGCCGGCCCAGACTTTCTCGCCCGGAATTCCTCCAGTGGCTTCGGTTCCCTTGTATGTGGGAAGGCAACCCCAGGACATACGGCGCCAGACTGGAGTTTTACTCTGCTTGTTGTATCGGACCTGCAGGCCTCGTGTCTCGACATCTGCGTCACTGCCAACCATTCTCGAGACACTGGTGCTCTGGGTACCACCACGTCGATCCCAAAGACGCCATAGATCAAAGACTGCTCCGGGAACATGCAGAAGGCGCGAGGCCAGCTTAGTCTGCTCTGGAGATGGAGGGGATGCTTTAGGACAAACAGCGATAAGTCCAAGAATATGCTCTTTCAAGTTTTTCCCAATGGGCGAGGCGGAGGAAGCGACCAATGCAGACATTGAGCATCCCATGCTGTGGCCGATTAAGACCACCTTTTGATCAGGATCGCGTTGTTTCTCAATGGCCACGGCTAGTAGCTCAGCCAGAGCTTCGATGCTGTAGGCGTCCCAGTTTGTAGGCGCAAATTTGGATAGACCGCATCCTGGCATATCAATACCAAAGCATGATCCGACATTTGACATGCTCTTCAAGAGGTGATTGAATTGTGCGAGTGAACCACCAAGTCCATGAACAAAGACTAGCAGTGGAACCGGAGTTGGTTTGGTGGGAAGACGGTCCAGGTGTGGGTGTCGGCAGAAGAAGGTTCGGATGTGGGGATAGGTTGCGACAGAGGTAGTGTAGGAGTTGTAGGAGGTGAACTTCTTCAGTAGTCCAGGGTCTGACTTGAAGGCTAGATTCCAGTTAGATGGAGAGAGTTTCTCTGAGGTATCTGCCTGTCACTTACCATCCGAGCTTTGTTGCTCAGGCTGTGATGACCAGTCTTCTGCTTTGGGAGATGCTCCAGCGGCATGATTCAGAGACCCATTGCTATCGTAGTCCTCATCTTCATAATCATCATCTGAGGAGGTCAGGGTTCTCGATGACGACTTGGAAGTCTTGCGCGAGGTTGAGCGCTGCGAGCGAGGCTTTTTCGCTGACGAGCGGCAGCGCTTAAAAGCAGCGAACAGACCACAGCCAGCCATGGTAATCACGCAGGTTAATAAAAACAGCGCTTGGCTTCCAGTCAAAGAATCATTTCCATGAATATTGCGGAGGGAAGTTGCAATAGACGACAATGATGCCCGTTGGGCCGTCACCCGCACAGAATTGTAAAGCTGGAGAAATGCTGCAATGCCCGACCGGTTTTGAGAGGTATTGTAGAGGCCGGAGAGCGCGTTTGAAGAGCCATCGTTGGCCATGTTGAACTTGGGGGGGGTTTATATCAGAGATCCCAGCAAGGAGTCCCTGGATCTGGACCCTCGGGGATCTCAAAGATAGAACCCGTGTATGAGTATCAAAGTGAAAGCGAGAGTGACACCAATGAAATGAATTCGATCGACAACGTTTGAAAGAAAAATAAAAAAAAGAAAGAAAAAACCAAATAGACTCGACCAGTCAAAATGAGGAATGGAGCCCGTGGGGGAAACAACGTGACTCAGAGGATCCACTTGTTTAGATGACGCGGTGGCGGTCGATCAAGGGGAGACATTTATTATGAGTAAAATATAGGGAAAAATGTATTTAAATGTATTTAAAATATGTAAAATAGGAGAAACTGGGAAATCCATTTCTTCTAGAAGAATTAATTTAGACCCATAGAACAATTCAATTCCCCACGATGAGAAGTGATTGGATAAGATACTTCCCCTAAGCATCCGAGATCGATCTCCTATTATGGTTCCTCTTTTTTTACTAACTTCCCGTCGGGAACTATATCCCTATATTATACTAGTAACTTAGTAGTAAGAATATCGTGAGATCGTGAAGACCTAGAATACGCCACTCAATATATCCACGTGATAATATTTCAAGGATTCGACAGATTCCACAGATTTGACCTATATGATCTTACATGCTTCAATCTGCTACTTCCCGGACAAATCCACAAATCGACAGGTCAAGATAAAGTTGCGGTGTACTAGTCATAGTATGCTGCACCTCTTCCCCCCCCCTTGTGGGCCTCTTACAGTAGTCTCCCCCCCTAGGCCGCTATTACCGCTTAATCCACTTCTAATCAGGGTACTATTAACAAAATGACAAAGAGAAATCAAAACAAGTCCACAAGAGGGCAATTCAGGTATGAGTCCACTGGTATCGTCAACGTGATACATGTGCACATGTGATGTCTACAGCGTGGTTCAGGTTTCATTCTACCATGTCTCCTAATGGAGTACTCGTGTCATGATACTAGTCGAAACCATAAACTTTCAAACTTGAAATTTGATATCCAACACTTCATGCAGATGCATATGCAGCCTCCCTATCTTCAGTGAGGCGTGAAGGATCCACCATTCATTTGGTGCGTACGCTTCTCAGCCACCAAGCCGTGACGACTCAAGACTTCCCTGCTAGTGTACCACACCAATGGAAACACTTGAGACAGATCCCGTTTGCCTTGCAAGTCCCCAGTCGACCAATGAAACCGGCTATCTGCACCCTAAGTTCAATTCATCCAGTCGGAAATTGGTCATTTCTTCCGTCTCTGCGGGTCACTTCTCCACTATCAATGATTGTCTTCGCAAATCATAATTTTGGTCACTAGACATGTGGTTAATACTCCAAGAATAGGGCTACACGGAACTACGGAGTATTCAGGGGCAATCGCTTCCTGTGGTGTTCCAGGGAAGCTGAATCCCTGATCTTCCGGGCTCCGCAATCCGGGTGACCACAGTATAGAGTATATCCTGGTACGGAATCCCTGGCCCGGAACTGCCCAGGTGCTATGATCGACCCGGCTACGAGCCTTGGGAATGTCCCAGGTGCTTGAATAAGTAGCTGTTAGTGGGCAGAATGCTGCGAAGGGAAGGCTTTTATATGAGAATGGTAGTTCCGTGATATATTTTCATCTTATACTTCGTAGATCGTAGACCCATTAAAACAGATCGGTCATGGCACCATGCGACGCATCACCCACCAAGTGTGCATATTTAGCCAAAACACCCCGCGTAATCTGCGGCACAGGCGGACTCCACTGGCGACGTCGCTCTTCAAGCTCCTCATCCGACACCGCCATCGAAATCTCATTAGTCTCCGCGTCAATCGTAATCACATCTTCATCTTTAACAAGTCCAATGGGACCACCAACAGCCGCCTCGGGCGTAATATGTCCAACAATGAACCCGTGACTAGCACCGGAGTAACGACCGTCAGTAATTAAGGCGATATTGTTTAGCTTGGCACCCATCAGCGCCGCACTAGCCTTTAGCTGCTCCGGCATACCGGGTCCACCCTTTGGACCTTCATAACGAACAATCAGAACCAGGTTCTCGCCACGAGGAATCCGGCCTTCATCCAGTGCATCATTAAGCTGGCGCTCCTTATCAAAAACGCGAGCCTTACCCGTAAATTTGAGGCCTTCCTTTCCAGTGATCTTCGCGACTGCACCACCAGGGGCGAGATTGCCTCGCAGAATCTGGAGATGACCTGTGGCTTTAATGGGGTTTGTCAATGGTCGGATAAGAGTCTGGTCTTGTGGGAGCGAAGGCCAGGATTCAACGTTCTCAGCGAGAGTCTTGCCTGTCACGGTCGGGATTCCACCGTCCAACAAGCCCGCAGCAATGAGAAGTTTCTGCACGGATGGAATTCCACCGATCTCGTACAGATCGGCCATGTAGTATTTTCCACTCGGTGAGAGGTCTGCAATGAAGGGAATCTTGTTGCTCACGCGCTGGATATCATCCAGCTGGAGATCTACCTCCGCGGTGCGTGCCATAGCTAGGAAATGGAGCACGCCGTTGGTACTACCTCCCAGAGCCATGGTCATTACCAGGGCATTCTCAAAGGATCGCTTAGTGAGTAGATCCCGGGGACGGATGTCCTTCTCCATGCAAACTTTGATGGCATCTGCAACGCGGACACACTCACGCATCTTAGACGGAGATGAAGCAGGAGTAGAGGATGATCCGGGCAAGGATAGACCCATAGATTCGATAGCTGTGGCCATGGTGTTTGCAGTGAACATACCACCACATGCGCCGGCGCTGGGACAAGCGTTCTTCTCAAGATCATCCATGATTTCGTCCTTGGTCTTGCTAGTATCGCCGCCGTCGTCGGGTTGTTTGAGGGTATCGTATGCGTAAGCACCGGAGGCTTCGAAGCAGCTTGAGACGTTGATAGGCTTGCGAAGGCACTCTGAGTATCCAATGTTGATTGTTCCGCCGTAGATCATGATCGATGGACGGTTGTGGCGGGCCATGGCCATCACGACGCCAGGCATGTTCTTGTCGCATCCGGGAATGGCAATACAGGCGTCGTGAGCCTGGGCACAGGTGACTGATTCCACGCTATCTGCGATAATTTCTCGAGTCTGCAAAGAAAATCTCATACCTATAGTAAGAGAGTATACTTTAGTCGAGTATTCTAGTTCCATTTCCTAGTGGGCTGACAACTTACCATCATTACCCATAGTAATGGCATCTGAGACACCAATGGTGTTGTACTGCCATCCAAGCATACCCTTTTCCATCACAGCCTTCTTCACCGTCTTTCCAAGATCCATTAAATGCATGTTGCATGGGTTACCCTCCCACCACACCGAGGCAACGCCTACATGAGGAGCTTTAGCCATTGCCTCCTTGTCTGGGACACCAGCAGCATAAAGCATAGCCTATAAGCTTTGTCAATATCGATTCAAGCCAGGCTAAATGATGATCTGTCAAACCTTTGCACCAGGGAAATCATGGCCCTTGGTGATTACAGAGGACCACCTGTTGAGTACAGGCGAGCCATCTGGATGCTTAGCACCCGCCGGCAGACACGGAAAATTGATATACTTGGCTTCCGACATGTTTGGTTTGTGAGAGAACAGAAGAACTTGGGAAGACTAGAAGATCAAAACAAAAATCTCAAGAGATCGTATCGTGGGGTTCGCACTTCTGGCCGAACCCCGGTGGACCCCGCATTCCGTGGATGTGACCACTCATTGTACCCGGATTTCAGATCTCGGAGTTGCGCCTATTCGGAACTTTTTGTCCTCGGTTGCGATCAGAATTTCAAGTTACAATTGCGAATGGGCACTTGAAATTCCAAAAAGTAGTTGGCTGTACATGATAGGTATAACGAGAAGATATCAGCATGGGCTAGTCTAAACGACTATGTAAATAATTTGAAGCCTGTCGTTCAAGTTGTCCAGGTGGTAACGTCATTGAGGCCCGGGGTATCCGTCGCCACAAAGACTGATATACTAGTATTCAAGTCGGACGAAACCTCGAATTGAACTGTCCCATTGCGTCTTTAAAATGTTCAAAATTTTGTAAATCGTCACTGAAAAACCTTTGGCAGACAGATTTCGACCACTTCTGTTGTTAAATTTTCAAATTGAGTATCATCCATTCATACTTCATCCATATTTATATACAATGGGCACGGATATCATTGTGGCTCAGATGATCGGAACGCTGGGCTGCGGCGTCGCGGCAGGTGAGCACATCCTCGAATGACACAGAGGAGCTGTAGCAAAAGACGAAGAAGCTAAGCAAGCATCCGCAGGTGGCATCATGACGCTCTCAGCAATTAGTATCCCCAACCTAGCCATTCCAGCTCGTCGACCCGCATCCACCACTATCCCTTCTCGCGAACCCGGAACCCCAATCCCCCATCTAACACATCAATGGCTGGATCTTTTCAATCGTGGAAAGACCACCTTTCCGGCCATTGCCATGGGCGCGTCAATTGCGAATGGATACCTTGCCTGGGTGTTTAGGGACACCCCTGCGCCTGACTCCGCGCTTATGGGTTGGGGCTGGTCTGGCTGTTATGCAACAGCCATTGCCTCGACAATGGGAATGGTCGTTTGGACAGTGACAATGATGAAGAGCACAAATGATCGGCTGACAGAAATTGCGACTCGAGATGACGCAGCGGTCGCGGAAGGTACGAAGGGCATGGTTGTGGGTGCGCATGACCAGGTTAAACGGGAGAACGAGGAGTCTGAAGTACCGGCGCTCCTACAGAGGTGGGCAGAATTAAATCTGTGTAGAGCTGTCTTTCCTTTGACAGGGGCGGTAGTTGGAATTTACAGCATTGTGTTGATGAAGTAGACAAGACAAAATTGGATAAGATGTATGTAATAGTATGTACAGGGTAGCTCCAGGTTGAATGGGTATTGTTGGAGCTTAATATAAATCAGATAGGACGACCAAGAGCCTTATGAATGGCGAATAAGAAGCGAAAAACTTGCGAAAGCTGCGAGTTACGCTCAGAAGTGCTCAGAGTGATCTTTTGAAAAGCCGGAGTCATCTTCAATCGCATCTCTGTTCGTATATTCAGAATCTTTCTCTTCAGTTGACCAATGATTCGAATGTTGTAGTGCCTCGTCGGCACTAATGTCTTGTAATAGACTCGATTCCTCAGGGATTTGATGACCCTGGTCATCCTCTTTAGGAGGTTGTTCTTCATCCATAGCAAAGCCGACAATCTTTCCAGTGCCAGGTTGGGATCGAGCTTCTTCTAGGACATCGCCATTCCAAGGTTGGCATTTCTTGACAATTTCACCACACCGAAGACAAACCCATCCCTGGCCTTCTTCTCCTTCTAGCTTCTGAACAATGCAGACAAAGCAGTAGATACACCCACATGGAACAGCTTCATACGGGTTGGTGATATCGGTTTGAGCGGAACCTGCAATACCACCAGCCGAAGCCGAAGCTGCTAGCACATCGCTTTCAGTTGTAGAGGTGGGATTTTGGTCCCGGTAGCAGATAGCGCATGTTCGTTCCGGTAGGAATGCCAGCTCGCCTTGCTTTTCGGTAGACTCTTCCTCATCTCCACTCGGCTTCAGCGCGTTCAGGGTCTTGCGCCACGCACGAGAAATCCATCTTCGCCAACGACCAATTCCGACAAGAGGGAGTAGAAAGAGCAGGAACTCGGTGAAGGCATGCCAGACCAGCTGTCGGTTGAGGTATTCAAAAGAAACCTCCCGGCTAGCTTGAGCTGATGGCGGTGTAAGGCGGATTCGGAGGATTCGATCGACCAGTGTGCGATATCGGCCATTGACCAAGAATACAAGGAAGGAAGTGAATGCAGCGATGGAATGCGTCGTGGAAATAAGGTCTGTTAGACGGGAGAACATGCGAACTTCCTGGGATGGCTTGAAAGAGCCGTCAGTATGTAATCTTCTTATATTAAGCGATAGCGACTCACCCCATCGTAGCCACCTTCTTGTCCAATCAACCAGCTCTCCCATTTATCCCACGCGTAACGTCCACCGACTGTCAAGAGGCCATACATTGTCTTCTGCCATTTTGTGGGAGGCGATTGTACTGCCCCGGTACTGCGGCTGTCGGTATACCGGAGACCCTGGAGAGCGGCGCCGTAGGACGCGTTATGATCCCATATCGATAGTTTGAAGAGGATTGCCCGCAATGCGAACAGAATTTCATGTGACCAGTCTTCCCGCATCTGAGACTATTCATTCTGTCAGCACAGGAAAACCGAGTTGCCAGCCCGCGTATCATACCCCAAAGTATTTCAAAGCATCTCCGACCTGTCCCTTCAACAAGCCCAGCAGTTCTTCATCCAGCAACTCTGCATCCACCTGACCAACTCGAAACGCTGGCCGTGTCCCGCCTCTCCCTTTCACTGTATTCCAAAGCGCCCATCCTGATCCTGGGAGTCTATTTAGCGGATACGGTAAACGCTCGACCGTCTGCGGACTGATCGGGGAAGTTCGCTGTTGTTCTGCTGCTCGGGCGCGCGCTTCGGCCTCGCGCAGTCGGCGACGTTCCAACACCCGCTCTTGTGCAGCTGCAAAATTGGTGGAACTCATTGTATCATCATCGTGTGATGAATGCGGGAGGAGATGGCGGAGAGGAGTCGGGAAGCGGGAATCGCGCGTGGGTCTCGGCTGCCCCATATAGTGCCGAGGTACATATCACGTGACATATAGATCTATGAGAATGACTGGTATCAATTTTATCATCCATCTTTTTATAGATGGCAAAAAATAATTTTTTTAGAACTCGGAAAGAGATACTGAGGAAAATTTTCAAATGTTGAATCGCAATTCCCATCACCGGTACCTACCTATAGATGTATGCCCATATGATGAAATTCAACATCTGGATATGGAATTTATATGCCTATGATATGGATAGATCTACCAGAAAATTGAAGTGAAGAAGAATCATATTTCAATTTGGTTTCGACTATTTCGTTCATCTCTATTGTTAAACTTGCCCAGGTGGAATACTCAAGTCTCGAGCCAAATTAGGAAATCTTGAAGCTTTCCAAGGTTGAAGCTTCGAACCTTCCGAACAACTTCTTCCAAGGATTAAAAAAAATTCTAAACTAAAGATCTAATTTGGCAATCTGGAGCCAATAAGGTAGCAAAAACAAACATCGTGCCTGAAAGAGGTGTGACGAGCCCTTGATCACTCCACTTGTTACTTCAAGATCATCATCCGGGGAGTACAAGGCGTATGCTGCTCAAATCAGGTTCTGCGGCTTCTACATGTCGTTTTCTACATATGGAACAGCTGTAAAGATACCATTAGGCATAGCAATACAGGATTTAGGAGTATTTATGTTGCCTATCAGATCGAGCTCCCACGTGCCTGCATTTCGTCCAAAAACTGCATCTTCGACGGGTTCCTTCATTCCCCCACCACTCTCCTTCTCACATCACTCTTCCTCTCACCCATCTTTCTTTAATCCGTTCCCCAAAAACTTCACTGTCCACAGTTGAATCCGGATTTTCATAACAATGAAGATAACTCTCTTTGTCTTGCTGCTTACCGCAGCGGTGGCTCTCGCCGGTGTGGCTACGACCTCTGAGCCTGCTCTCTCTGACATCCATGAGGCCCAGGCAACCACTCTCCCTGAGATCTCTACCTCTAAGGTCAAGGGAATTGCATTCAATCGCTTCTTCCAGGTTTGGCTGGAGAATATTGTAAGCGCTATGATCTTGTACTCTTCGGGACGTACTTGTGTTTAACCATCATATCCAGGACTATGAGGATTCCGCTGGAGATAAGAATCAGGACTTTTTCGCAAAGCAGGGAATTCTTCTGTGAGTATGAAGAATATCTCTTATAACAAAAGCATGCTAATCCAGAACGTAGGACCAACTTCTATGCGGTGGCTCATCCCTCCGAGCCAAACTACTGTGCTGCTGCGGGTGGTGATACTTTTGGCATGGACAACGACAACTTTCATCAAGTGCCTGCCAATGTTTCTACTGTCGTGGACTTGCTTGAAGTTGGAGATGTCTCGTGGGCTGAGTATCAGGTAAGGAAACAATTTATTCCCCACAGCTAAATGACAAGCACTCACAACAATGTTCAGGAACATTCTCCGTATCCCGGCTACCAAGGCTTCAACTACTCCAATCAGGAGACTTACAAGCCTGACTACGTTCGCAAGCACAATCCTTTAATTCTCTACAATTCTGTCGTTCAGAATGACACTCGCGCTCGGAAGATTAAGAACTTCACCGACTTTGAGCATGATCTCGAGGAGAAAAAGCTTCCTCAGTGGGCTTTCATCACTCCAAACATGACCAACGACGCGCATGACACCAACATTGAGTTTGGTGCGGCTTGGGAGAGAAAGTGGATGGAGCGTTTGATGAAAGATGATTACTTCATGAAAGACACTCTTGTTCTGCTTACATACGATGAGGACAAAACCTACAACAAAACAAACCGCATCTACAGTGTCCTTGTAGGCGGTGCAATTCCAGAAGAGCTCCGAGGTACCAAGGATGACACCTTCTATACCCATTATTCCACCATTGCGTCTGTATCCGCAAATTGGGCTCTCCCTTCCCTAGGCCGCTGGGACTGTGGTGCAAACATCTTTGAGCTTGTGGCTAACATGACCGGGTATGTGAACTACGACGTCGACACCACCAACCTCAGACTCAACAGTACCTACCCAGGGCCCCTTTCGGATGGATCTTACTCCAGTTTCTCTGCTGAGTGGCCAGTTCCAATGACTAGCGGTGATTGCTCTGGTGGTCCAATTAAGGGTGAGATCAGACAGGCCTACAAGGATCAAAAGCCAACATACAATTACACCTATCCTTTCCCATGGGATGCCAAGTCGAAGTACAACCTCAATGTCACTGCCAGTCGCAAAGTCAAAGGCCATGTGACTAACTTAGTTTCCAAGGAATCGGATACTAAGGATACTAAGAAAGGTGCTGCCATTACAAACGTGCCTGGAACTGCACTGATTCTTCCTGGCGTTCTCGCCGCTGCCTTTGTCTATCTGATTTAGGCCTTCTGCTACTTTTGATTATGGAAGCTTTATTTTTTAGCCTTTGGGAAGATTTTCTCCCTTTTTCTCTTTTCTTGATTTCTTAACTTTCATTTCTCTACTCTTCGGTTGCAAAAGGTTGACTCTTACCAGCGATGCAAGGCGGACAATGGGTTCTCCATCTATGGATCTCTAGCACTATGGGCATCATATCTTAGCACCTTAGCTGAAATCAAATGATATTATGAGCTTAAATCACAAAACAGGGGCTTCCATGCCAGATTTGCCTAGTAAAAGCTAGAATAGTGAAATTCGCTATCAATTTCTTCAATACATAGCTCACTCAACCCGACCTGATCACGATGGTCTTGGTCTGTAGATAATTCTCGATGCTATACAGCAGACCTTCACGACCAGATCCACTCATCTTATATCCACCAAATGCAGCATCACTCGCAGCACTGGCGGGACCAGTGGCATTTACCGCAATGGTACCAGCTTGGATAGCCCTTGACAGACGAATCGCCCGATCCAGATCCGTGGTGAAGACCGACGCAAACAGCCCGAACTCAGTGGCATTGGCTTTTTGAATACCCTCATCTTCTGTCTTGAACGTCTGCACGGCAACAACAGGTCCGAAGATCTCCTCTTTCATCACTCGTGAATCCTCTGACAGATCCTCAATAATTGTGGGCTTGATAAAGTATCCGTCATCGGGATTTCCTCCAAGAGTAATTTTACCTTCCTTCTCAGCAAGTTCAATGTATTCTTTTACTCGCTTGTACTGTAAGTGATCAATCTGTGGGCCATGTTGGGTGCTTGGATCGAGCGGGTCACCAATCTTCACACTAGCCATCGCCGCCTGGAAACAATGCATGAATTTTTCCTTTACGTTCTCTTGGACATAAACTCGGGAGTTTGCAACACAGACTTGGCCACTGTTGAGCTGGATACCGAACATGGTGTGCTGGGCTGCAGATTCGAGGTTTGCATCGTCGAAGATGATGGCGGGTGACTTGCCGCCCAGCTCAGTGTGCACATGCTTTAGGTTTGACTTGGCAGATGCAGCATGGATTCTTTGACCCGTGAGTGATGAGCCTGTGAAACTAATTGCGCGGACCTTCATGTGTTCTGCAAGAGTTGAGCCGGCAGGTTGGCCGAAGCCGGAAATGATGTTCACGACACCGGGTGGGAAACCGATTTTCTCAACCAATTTGGCAAAATAGAGAGACTAAAAAAAGAGAATCAGATCATGATTCAAAGATTGTGACATGGCACAAGAGAAAATTACCGTCAATGGTGCCTTCTCGCTACTCTTCAAGACAACAGTGTTACCTGCCGCCAATGCAGGTGCCAATTTGCCAGCTAGGTTAGCCATCGGGAAGTTCCAGGGGATAATCAGCCCTGTCACGCCATATGGCTCCTTTATAGTCATCTTGAAGAGTCCTGGAGTGTTGGTACTAGCTGTACCTTGTATGTTCCAGGCATGGTCGGCGAAGAATCTGAAATGGTCCGCAGCCAATTTCCCGTCAGGGTACATCGAGACTGGGCGACCAATACTGAGTGTCTCCAGTTTACCCAAATCGGGAATGCTTTCGCGAACAGCGTCGGAGAGCTTGCGGAGATAATCGCCTCTCTTTTCAACGCCTAGGTCTCTCCAAGCTGGAAAAGCGGCTTCAGCAGCATCGACAGCGTCATTCACATCTTTGACATCGGCTTCTTGGACTATTTTGAGATGATAGTTGGTATGATTCGACATTTGATAAAGAAAATAGCTTCCTACCTTGTGCAACAACCTCTTTCGTATAGGGGTAGATCACGTCGAAGGTTTTGCCACTGGAAGAATTTCGAAACTAATTGATGATCCGTATTAAAAAGGCATTCAGACTTGGATCAATTTTCAGTAAGTCGATGTATGAGTGCTAGACATACCTCGCCGCTAATAAACAAACGAGTCTCGATCGGCTCCAAGGATTTAATAGTTTCGGCCATGGTTGAAGATTGAAAATGCTTGTACCGGTAAGACAGTTGTTCAAATAACTTCCAAAGAGAGGGGTAGTCGAGTATTTAACTCCAGACTGTGACCTCAGGCTGCACTAACGCAATCTTAATGCTCCGTCTGGAGCCGGGAGATCCATTTGCACATGTGAGTGGTTTATGCACGGCGGTGGATTCTATACGGAGGGCCCTAGAGCACTAGTCAACCTTGGTCAGACCATACTTGGCGCTTGAGGGGTACTGCGTCGGAAGCCACGTATAACCTCAAATTTGATTTATTGCAGGGATCATGGTCATGCTAGGGACATCATACTTCAATTGTGATTGGAAACCCTGCCTCGAGCGTGTAGCGGTCTGGACAGACTCGGATGGATGCGCATGTGTGCTTTGATGGTGGGCCTAAGCCGCCTAACCCCTGCGCCTTTGGTGAGCTCTTTGTCATATCATAGAAAATTCTTACTGGTTGCTTGCATACCTAGTTCAAATGTTGGCAAGAATACCTTGTAATCATTGCTGCCGGAACCTGTCAATTCCTGAATGTCGTACTAATACTCTCTCTCATCAATTCATATTTTCCATATCGTCGGCGCTCGAGATGGGATCAAAGAATAAGTTCATGAGGCTGTAGAGAAGATTTAGAAATGCACATGTGCAGCTAAGGAGCTATATGAAAGCCTCATATCATTATTCAGATATCCATGGGTGGATATACCACATTTCAATGAGTCTTAAAGATCATTAGGACTCCAATGCTCTATAATACAATGTTTAATTCGCGATACCCCGCTTTTTCATATCTTGCAAGTTCAAGGAATCCTGATCACCCAGTCGGTTCTCAGATTCAATCTTCACATTATCCTCAGGACCACCGGTGCCCTTGAACTGACCGGCAGTTGGGAGTCTATTTAAAAATCGACGTGATTAGCGCTGATTAAGACATTTGGCTATATATTGGTCCTTGAGAAATCTTACCTGCCCCGGTCATCGCGAGTACCACCCTCATCCTCAGGAATCTTACGGTGATCACTGCCTGAAGCAGTAGCACCAGGGCCGTACTTCACACTGGCACCAGCATCAGCGAAGCGCTGGTTTGCCATCTCATCGACGCCTGACTCGAGAGCTAAAATCAGATGTTAGCATCATGCTTGTGGAAATTAATGTGACTGAAATGGGGGGGGGGGGTAGATTTACTGGAGTCGCCTTTTCTTGCCAAGGCCTTGCTTGGCCTGATAGGAGTTCAGATCTTTCTCGGCATCGAATGCGACTTTGCGCAGGTCTTCGATATGAGGAGCCATTTTGAAGAATTCAAATGTATAAGCAACGATGATCCACGCAATATTCGCAATTTGAATCTGGCAGGTAGTAAAAATCCGGAGTGATGAAGAATCGATGGGATGGAATGAACCTGTAGGTTCCTTTAAGTATTTCTACTTCAAGGGTCCTACTACATCCTGTAAGCTCCTCTGCGGCTGTTGCATCATGTAGATATCATAGATATGTCCCTTTTCTCAGCAATTGAAACGAGGAGAGCAACAAAAATTTCCATGCCACAACGACGGTAGATAGAAAACAAGTTAGGAGCTTGACAAGTATGATATAGAGATCAGTGACTTCATAGATCTCCACCCTACTTTAATCCCGATTTGGACATAAATTAGGGTTCTGACCTAGGGCTTCCGCCGGGCGGGGAAAACCATACTTCCGGGCCCGCTGAGGGGAGGAACGCGGTCAAGCTTGTTGGATAGTATTGTTGACTCGTAGCCTAGTAGGTCCCAAGGTTGAGCCGCTTCTTTACAGATCACCCGAACTTGATATATATATGGGAACTTACTGATTCTCATTCTCCCTTCCGCTTACTTCGTCGCTTGACGACTTTGTTGCGTCTGAGCTGGTGTAACCGCCGACATCAACTTTCTTTCAAACCGCAAACGCCATGTCCCACGCGATCGAGGTGGCGGGCGAAGCAAGCCCATTGAGCTACCACAATGTAGTCAACACATTGGTGATGGCTGCTAGCTCAAATCAACAACAGGTCAAGACAGGCACAGCGCAGCTGCAGAATTGGCAGAAACAGGCTTCATACCATTCTTTCCTTCAGGTACCCATTTCAATTACAGATGAATATTTCACAACAGCAAGTTTGATGACATAGCTGACATTTCATCATATAGGATGCCTTCTGCGATCACTCCATTCCCACCGAAGCTCGATACCTCGCTATCATTCAGCTAAAGAACGGAATCGATAAGTACTGGCGAAAGACGGCAACGAAGTGCGTTCCCCGATGGGCTACCCCAGGAAAGGCCCGAACAAAAACCGCTGACATTGGAAAAAGCGCCATCGGCAAAGATGAGAAACAGAAAATAAAGTCTACTGCTATGCAAGCAGGGATTATGGAACCGGCTCGTCAGCTTGCCCTCCAGAATGCTTTGATGATAGCCAAAATCCTCCGATATGAGTTCCCCCACGACTGGTAAGGTTACAACGTCGCTATTTCCCACGCCTCGTATTGATTTATTTTTTCAAGGCCCGATGCGATTACCACCATCATCAACTTCCTCCGCTCTTCGACGCAAACTGGCGCCGACCCACTCCAACTCCCTCGTACCCTTCTCATCCTCTTGCAGGTCATCAAGGAATTATCTACCGCGCGGATACAAAGAACTAGAGTTCAGCTTCAATCAGTTTCACCGGAATTGTTCCATGTTCTAGGAAGCATTTATGTTGACAAGGTGAACACATGGGTTTCTATCCTAGAGCAAGGCAGTGGCGATGAAACGTCATTGCTGGAAGCGATTGAACAAAGTCTGGTTTGCCTGAAGGTTCTCCGGCGTCTAGTTATCGCTGGTTTTGAGCATCCCGGTCGGGACCAAGAAGTCCAGAACTTTTGGACACTCACTTATAATCACTTTGTGAAGTTCCTCTCCTTTGTTAGCGAGCAGGGCAAGTTGCCCGAACCGGTCGAGAAGGCCATTCAGAAACATATTCTCCAACTCTCCAAGCTCCATGTGGATATGTCAAAGACCCATGCTGCATCGTTTGCGCACTTTGCCCACAGCATCGACCTTGTCAAGACTTATTGGAGCTTGCTCCAGAAGCTTAGTGAGGTATATGTCAGCCTCGGAGCTGATTCCGAAGCTGAAGGACAATCATTGCCTGAGAAGACAGGCCTGAGGGCATTACTGTTGATTCGTGCATGCGCACAGATGGCTTTCAACCCCGTCCATACATTCAAATACCAGACTGCAGAAGACAAAGAGGAGAGAAAGCTGGCTGTTGAACGCATCAAGACAGAACTTTTTACGGATAAATTTGTCCTGGATACTATGGAGTTGCTTGTGACACAGTTCTTCAGGTTCCGCAGCATCGACTTCGAGGAGTGGGAAGCCGAGCCCGAACAATGGGAGAAGCGTGAAGAGACTAGCAGTGCGGCTTGGGAGTTCTCCATCCGTTCGTGCTCAGAAAAGCTGTTCCTTGATCTCATAATTCACTTCAAGGCTCTGTTGATTGACCGTCTATTGGATGTATTCCACTCGTTTGCGCGTAAGTTGTTCTTCCGCCGATCTTCTAGAGGGATCATACCTAACAAATAATTTGCAGGTGTCGATAACCAGAATGTGATCTTGAAAGATTCCCTGTACTCTGCGATCGGCTTATCTGCAGCAAGCCTCGATCAGCATTTAGATTTCAACGCTTTCTTGGAGGGAACTGTCGTCCCAGAAGTTCAAATCCAAGATCAGGAGTATAGGCTTTTGAGGAGACGAATTCCCATGATTCTTGGGCAATGGGTGCCGATACAATACGAGAAAATCAACATCGATGCTGTTTACCAGATTTTCCAGCATCTGCTGAACAAGGAGGACCCGTTGAATGATTTGGTTGTTCGGATAACCGCAGGTCGGCATCTAAGCCATGTCCTGGAGCCTTACGAGTTTACTGCCGCTGGCTTCGTCCCTTATGCACCTTCTATTCTAGGAAGCCTTATGGCTCTTGTCCAGGATGCCGAGGTTTCTGAAACAAAAATGGGCTTATTGGAGACCGTTCGCGTCGTTGTTGTCAAGATGGAGCATCACGTAAGTCTAATACCGTGCATACTATGATTATTTGTCTAATGATCGAATAGATCGCCCCTTTCTCAGACGCAATCCTATCCCTTCTCCCACCTCTCTGGGAACAGTCTGGAGATGAACATTTGATGAAGCAGGCAATTCTCACCCTCCTGTCATCATTGATTCATGCGCTAAAGCAGGAGTCTGCACGCTACCACTCGCTGATTCTCCCACTGATCCAAGGCTCTGTCAACCCTGATTCTGTAAGTGCGCCTCTAGAAATTATCCAACCCCATCATACCACGTCTATCGCTAATACCACTTCCATTCCAGGAAACTTTCATGTATCTACTGGACGAAGCATTGGAGCTTTGGGCTGCTATCATGATGCAGACCCCGACGCCCGCGTCCACAGAAATCCTCTCTCTGATGCCTGCTATTTTCCCTATAGTGGAGCAGGGAACTGATAGCTCAGCGCAGGCTTTGAGCATCGTCGAATCATACATTCTGCTCGCACCACAAGAAGCTCTTCGTGAAGGTGTCCGAGACTCGCTATTGCACACTCTCAAGGAAGCCCTGGAGTATACGACTAGAATTCGTACTGGTGTGGTCCCTCGTCTCGTTGACCTGATGATTCGGGGCGCTGAAAACGTCGACGCTGGAAACAAGTCTACGTACAGTGTCATTGCCCAATCACTTCTGAGCACCTCGTTCCTTCCATCCATCCTTGAAGGCCTCTACTCTGCATACGAAGCCAGCCAAACCTCTGGCCCTAACCGGAAGGTTTCTAACGTGGTTGGTGTCATTGAAACAGATTATCTTTCCGTTCTTGCACGACTTGCTCTCGGAGAACCAACCATTTTCGCATCAGCTGTTGCAGTCGCAACTCAAACCTCTGAAGAACAGGCCTTGCAATGGATCCTCACTGAATGGTTCTCCCACTATGATAACATTGGGAGCACCAATCAGAAGAAACTCCATGCCCTCGCTCTCACTCAGCTCCTTACACTCCCAGGTCCCCCTTCATTCATTTTGAGCCACCTGCAATCCTACCTCACCATGTGGACCGACATCATTGTTGAGCTTGCGGATGGTAGCTCTGACCCTAATGCCGATTATCTCGTCTACTGGGACGCACCCAAGGGCTCTGAGACGGCCAATCCGGAGAATTCCGAGGAGGTTGAAAGCCCTGAGAACCGTCGACGTAGTGAGTGGGAGGCCACAGACGTGATCCACCGTCTTCCGATCCGTGATTTTGTGCGTCAACGCCTGGAACAAGTGATTGTGGCCTGTGGTGGTGTACAGCGCTTCCAAGAGGAATGGTTGGTGAATGTTGATCCTGAAGTCGTCTCGGCTTTTGGAGCCTTGGGATTGATATAATTCGAGTTAGTATGATATGGAATGCCGCACCGCTTTCAAGTTCTTTTCTCGATTCTTGACTCAACCCGCATATTCATCTCCACCAAGCTTGCATGAAATTAATCAGACTTTTCTAGCCACATACCCATTATGTATCTTCCAACATCAATTGATTTTCCAATTCATTCAAGTCTGGGTCTATCATTCCAGGAGTACTAATTTGAACTTACGATCCGATTCCACTCAAGTGCTACCAGGTATGGCCGGCTTTTAGTCCCGTGTTTAGGTTCCCGCCTACTAGTACTACCAGTAGTAATATGGTTCATGTCCACGGACATAGCTAGATCAAAACGAGTGTGTATACATGTCATGAGATCATATATCTAAAACTTTAAGTTGCTGAGTCGAGCTTGAACTTCTGCCAACTTGTATGGAATCCCCTTGTTGAATAGAGAGTCCGAAACGTGACGGTAGAAAGCCAGGTCTAAAGAATCCGAAGCCGCATCTCACGAAATTGACCTTGGAAGTGATGCATAGAAAGAATAGTCACTTCCTTCCAATCAACAGTTACCAGACTGATACAGGGAAATAGTTAGCAATTGGTCCTGAATTCCACAAGAATTCAAGCCCACTTACTGGGCAGCACTCAGTGTAGCTTCCGCCGCTAGAACATTCCTCAGGGTAGCTAGAGTCAAGTTGCTAATCAGTTTTTGTCGAGAAACAAAGACACGTAATGGTATGCTTACCCGCTGGGGCAGGTTTCAGGGAAATCCACCAGCTGCTCATGAAGCTCTTGGTTAATTCAAACATTCAAGCAAGTTGACCACATTCAGGAGGCGTGTTTCATTTCAAATACATATAACGCATTGGTCCTATCCAATAATTAGCATCGAAATATCATTAAGAATCAGATCGAGGATGATCAGGTATACATACTCGGGCTTTGATGGAATTTTCGAGAGGAACTGCGTATGCCACAGCAGCAAGGCAGAGAATGATATTGAAGAGCTGCATTGTACTAGCGATAGAAAAGCCTTGTTCTTTACTATATAGGAGGACTGTGATCTTATTGAAGACAAGTATGATGGAGTGATCTGTTTCATTCAGCCTGAGCGGAAACGTCCTTCTATACCCGGATTGACGTTCAACTCGGCCCTCAATAGCCACATGCAACACTGCGAACTCATCGATGAAGTTCACACCTAGATTCCAGGCTAGTATCAGGCCTCCAGGGTATCTAATTATTTTTCATACGAGGATCTCACGGAGGCGTCGGATGGCCATCGCAGCATGCACATGCAAGGCCCCCGAAAAGTTGCAATCAAGTCCTGTTCAAGGCACCGGGCGGCTCACTGCAGCTATTGAAGCCAATAAATGCTTATAAAAAACTTATGTCCGTGAAGCAACAAGATCTTGACCCAATAAAATCGATTGAGATAAACTGATCTGCATGACCAAAGTAGGAACATACGTCACAATACCTCAGGCTTTGGATGCCTCGATAGAAATGATCTTGGGGCCAGTTTCATCTGGTAGCCAATTATGACCTCGGGAGACACGCACATGTGGTCGAATTGATGTAACTACAATAAATTTCGGTAAAGAGTGTCCTCAAGGATCTCAAAGGGCGTGTTTGAAGGAATCGGAGATCTCTCCACGTCCCCAAGGCGTGACATGGCTACTTTATTTCTGCATGGCTTGCAGATTGTAGATCCAGTATGGAAGCCAACGTGCTGAGCCCGCGTCAAAGTTAGTTTCACTTCCAATTCCAATACACATAGGAGAAATGTGTTGTGTGTTGTGTGTTTCAAGTTGGATACTTATTATGTTCAGCCAAGAATAGAGCAAATGGTCAACATTTCTTCAATCTCAAGTTCCAGTGGTACGGCAAGTCGTTAAGGCCACAGCTCGCATGCCTATTTGGGACTAGTTTTAGCCAGCAGAAAATAAAATTACTGGAAATACAATTACACACTCACAGAGGTCCACCTGGGGGCTATGTAAGGCCTGGAGGTTGGTAATCAAGCTTCCAAGGTTGACCATCTAAGAGGTTATAAGCCAGAGAAAATAGATCCTATTAAAGACGGGTTAAAGTAATTAAAATTATGTGTATTCCTAAGATATTATGATAGAGAATAGTACTGTAAAGATAGGTTTGAATTGGTATTAGTACTTAGGTAAGTTGTTAAGGGGAATAAATAACTAACTAGTTACCTTAGGTGGATGGATGGATAATTGGCAGAATCTTACCGCCTAAAAAGTACCCTTCTAACTTCCACAGTTCTCTTTCTTAATATTTTCATAATTCACTTTTGGGACAGAGTACTCCGAGAGCTAAGCACATCTTCCAAACTCACATACAGTAGGAGTCGAAAACAGTTCCCCCTCAAGACACACACACTTTGTTTCTCGGCCCGTATCCGAAACCAGGCTAGTCTGTAATAGGAAGGGCCTGTAATTAACCTTTTTCTGAGAATAGATGCTTTCAATACCAGGACAAATGTATTGTGTATAAAATTGTATAATACACGAAACCCAGATGCCTCTCTCGCTCTTATTCTGACACTTTTCCTCCTAATATCTTGTTCTTAACTCTAACCCTGTATTGAAAGCCCATCGGGAGCCTGTGCGTCACTTCAGGCTGTTGTCAATCAGATGTGCGTCTTCGACGTTATGGTTATGTACATTACACGTTTCTCCCAGACAGGATTGCACATCACTTGATTCACTTCTGCGTTACAGTCATTCTCGAAATCACCTTGACCAGTGTACTCTTCAACTCTCTTTCTCGGCCCTACTGCCAAGGCCTTAGCTTCTATTATTCATTGAGCCTACCCCATGAAGTTGCGGTCCGGTGTGATCTCCCCGAGCTTGCACGGCGATATTTAAACTGCGGGGCCCCTCAGCTTGATGCGTCTAGCCCAATAGATGTTCTGCGCTAAAGTCTTGGCTGCGGGGCCAAGAAAGATAATCGAAGAGTGTACTAGTCAAGCCAATTTCGAGAACGACTGTATTTACTTGAATGGTCTCTTGTTGGATGTCCCTTATTTTTCGTTCCAAGGCTTTTTTTGTCATCATGGCTTTTTTGATATATTTTCGATAAGAATTTCTATTTCTTATTCATTATATGGGTTTGCCTAGGTGATCTATTTGGTGAAAACACGTGAGATTCTGGTGATTCCTTATCTTCAGGATGGCTGTATTGGCTGGACACCATATATGATCTGTTCTGGAGCTGAAAATGGAATATTTCCGAGCGTTAGGATGTAAAATAGTTGAGCTTGATCTGTAAAAATTTACTAATAAATTCATCTCCTTATAATATAATTGAAATCCAGAACGTCCCTAATCTCGCAGCCTAGTATGTGTGATCGCAAGCTTCATTGCTAGGAAATGCTAATAAAACTCCCCTTGAACCATGCGTAATGGCTTTCGGTCCTTATTCCTGTGATACAGATATAACAAGTTTGGCCAAATTTCGGTGGGGGCACCCTGGGAGGCATATTTCATCTGCGCCATATCCGATACGATCGTATAGCTGCTCTAGTAATAAGTAAAGGTACTGTACATGCTGGAAGAACTTTTTGCTAAACTTACACCCACCACCGGCAGCCTGAGCCTCCGCCAGACATCTCATACCTATAACGGCCACGACTATAGATAAGGTGTGCGAAGTGCGAGATATTTATTCCAGCTGCAACCGGGAAGTCCCAATTCCCGATAGCAGATGTAGTTTACGTGTAGCCAAGTTTGGTCCACTCGAAAATACCTGTTGGGTCTCTAAACTCAGCCCTTATGTTGATGCGAGTTGACGAGACACCATCGGGATGAATCAAGTAGATTGACCAATGATTGTCACTGGTGTTAGGACCGGCTGCACCAAGAGTGTGTACCACAACACGAACGTGTGTAATCGGCGTGGTGTCCGCTTGAACAGCTTGCGGGGATAATGGAGGTGGCATTGTACAAAAGACCACTGCTGAATATTATGTTGAGAAACAACCCTTCGAGTAAGAATACCAGTTCAGCTGAGAGCTTGGAGTTCATACATTTCTACGCAGGTAAGGCATCTGTATCAGAAAACCCAAACAAAAGCGCTGGGGTGACGTGAAGTGGTAGGTCTCATTAACCCCGCATCCGCCAACGAGTCAATGGGCGGGGTAACGAGGCAAAACATGCTTTTAAATTAACTGCCATCATTGGATAGGAATGATATTTGCGACATCGGCGGTAAGAGCAGTTTAAAAATAGAATCGGCGGTCCTAGGACGACTTACAAAATCGTTGGACGTGGAGCCCTTTGGATCAGTAAGTTAACTAACGCTTTTTCGATTAGATAACTTCGAATCCCCACTCATAGGGGAATTTGTGGGGACCTCACGGATTCCAGGAGCCAAAACATACACGTAAATGATTACAGGATAGGTAACTTCTCCCAAAAAAAGCCCTGATCTATGTTGATCAAAAGTGGCTAATTCTAAGAGTAGCGTGGTGGGCGAGGACAGCTCAAACCGGAATAATACGGCAGAATTCTACTCTTAAGTCCAGCAGCACCGTTGCACACCGCTCGACATCAGGATTTATATCTCCCCTTTTCCATCCCTGATTAAGTACCCTGCTACCCATTGTCCTCGCTCTTTGCCTTTTTATTTCTCTGCAAGGAGGTCCCTTAGATAACTTTGTCTGTCGCAACCTCATTGCAGAAGAACATGTCCCTACCCTCTAACTTTCAAGCCTCAGTGATCGCTTCTTGTGCAGATCCATCACCATGTGACATTGTCAGCCAGCACGGAAAGCGTATCATTAAAATATCCGATAACAAAGTGGTTAAATGGGGCCCAGATATAACGAACGAAGAAGCCGAAAACCAAAGGATAGCCTACAACATTGTGGATAGTCGCATAGCTCGTATTCCACGAGCATATGCCTTTTTTTCGGACGAACGAGGCTGGGGCTATATTGTGATGGAGTTTATAGAGGGAAAGATTATTGACCCCTTGGAAGACGATGCGGCCATTAGGAAGGTTGCGGGCGTGCTTGATCACTTCTCAACATTGGGGCACACCATCCCGGGGTCTCTCTGTGGGGGATCTTGTCGTGGTCTTTTGTTTCCGGAAACTGAAGATCTTTTATTTAACAGTCTCGAAGATATGGAGAAGTGGTTCAATAGTCGACTGTTCGAGCATGACCCGAAACTAAGTTTTCAGGACAGCAACCTTGTGCTTTGCCACTTAGATATAGCACTTCGAAATATCCTGTGGCAGGAAGATGGGCCTCCTTGCATTATTGATTGGGCATCCGCAGGCTTCTATCCAAGGTTATTCGAGTTCTGCGCGCAATGGGTGATTGAGGGAAAAGATGGTAGCTACAATTCCCGTCTGTTGAACTCTATGCAACCCCTCTCAGATCGAGAGACAGCACAGAAAGATGCCTTTTTGTGTTCCTGGAGAAATATTCAAAAGTATCCCTTGTAAGTAAACGAGTCTCCAGCTTTCTATTGATCGAAACTGATACTCCTAGTCAATCCAAAATCTTGAAGGCGCGCCAAACGCTAATAAGGAATCCGACGACCTTTACCCCTGTACCTCCCCCCCCAAATGCCGGAATATCCACCAGACTGGAATGATCAAAGTCAGAGCAAAGTTTTTGGCCCAACGAGTCCCGCACCTGTTACGCCCCCAAACCTGCTATCAGGAGTTAAAAAGCGCACTCGCCTTTGGCGTCAGTTAAGATCAATTTTTAATTTATGGACCAAGTAAATCTAAAGCTCCCTAGGACGTTACTTCTACAGTACCACCGTAAACGGCCATTCGGTTTATCCACGTAGTTTAGGGAGGCGGTGAGAACGGTGGATGGAGTGTTAGGATGCTAAAATACAGTATATCGCGTCAAGTGGAAAAATTTCCTCTCTTTTAATAAGATCGCAGGGGCCCTTCACAGCTTGGTGTTACTTAATTGCCTCTCCATGGAACTAGTTACAGCTCATGTGTCGTTTTCCCCCACTCCCAAAATGGAGACTGAATCTCAACCACTCCCCCATAATCGTCTTTTTGAATCCATAATTGAGGTTTTCAATACATATCATAAAGAAAAAGGGACCGAGTCGGAATTGTGACATTAGGCCTCTCGAAGAGAATCTACGATCACTGTAGAACATTCTTTAGTATTTACAGTAATTTACAACCGCCCACTGGACACTGGGAATCAATACGCGAAAAAGACACGGTACGGTTGAGCACGGGTATATTTCAGAGTAACTTAATGTGGTTTAGGGTGGTTTAGGGTGGTTTCGGGTACAAACCGAGAAACAACGTCTGTTTGTCTAAAGGGGAATCTGTTTTCGACTCTTACTGTATGCATTACAGAACCTTTGAAATAGCTACTACAAATCTAATATAATTCAATACAATCCAGAATGACATATGGATTACGAGACATGTAAAGGCGGTGCTGGAAGCGGTCTAAAAACTAGGCCCAAATAGGCATGCGAGCTGTGGCCATAACGACTTGCCGTACAGTGGTGTTTATCTCTCATTTTTATGCTGAGAAGATTTGTTTTTTATTCACCTCTCACTTTGTTGAAGTACAACTCTCTGAATAACCACCATGTATCGCCATCCAAAGTTCTTCCCCACATTCTAGTTCTCTCTCCACTATCTCCACTGACACTGACCAAGGCATCCGAGTTACTCGAATCCAGCCGATATTCTCTGACTTTATGATCCACGAATATCAACAAAGGAGAGTTGGATCTTGATCAGCTAAAAATACCACGAATTATTCACCTATCCAGGTTCATAAAGACAAGCCCAGCCTGGGGCCAGCCCCCGCTTGAACTTCTCCGCTCGCGTGCATGAGAGCGTCGATAGCAACACCATGAAATTCCCCAATACAATCGGCTAGTCCGGCATTCTTGGAATAGCTTTTGTCACCTTGACTTCTTACAATCTAGCACGTGGGGTCAGGTGGAGCTTAACAGCGTCAGGCAAGAAATTCAATATTTGAACTTGTGTTGGCGAGGACGCGTCACTTTAAAGACCTCCGACACTGGTAGCGGATAATGAGGGCCTATTACTGCGATAGGAGGCTAGCTACAATTTTCAAAAGTAGCATTAATTAACATAACAGACTGAGGCTGTTTGATCTAGGCTACATGTGATCTTGTGAAATGCATGATAAGTGTTTGGCGTGGATTTCAACTGATTGCTATCCTAATTTACCTACCATATGACAAGGATGAATGCCTATAGTTTTGGAAGTCACACATATCTTTCTCTTGCTAATCCTATACTATAGATTTCTACAAAGTATCAAGGGACACATCTTCAACATTCCCAAAACAGCATGAACTTCAAGGGGTCCGTGAAATACGAAAAGAAGGAGCATGGAATGCAGTACCCTTTTAACTCGATACCTTCCGACCTAACGTCTCCAATGTATCGTGAATCTGGGAAGATCGTCATCCATGTCGAATAAGTGCTCTATTTCTCTTCCAAGAAGTCTAAACAGCATCTCCAACGCCTAAATTCCCCCTTTAGGCCTATATTTCGTCTTCCCCGCACGAGTGAACAAGACGAGGAGTGGGTCCGGGGTAAGGGTCTGGGGTACAATCGCTAAATTTACCCGAATATTGGAGCATGTCCGTACTATGGTTTAAAGGGAAGATCAGAAGGTGGACCTTGACATAAAAAAGAGACTTCTCCCTTTGCATTGAGACTTGTCATAGTTCAAGTTCTTCCGAGTCTTTAAATACCTCTACAATGGGTGCAGTTGGTACAGCAATTGCCGGCGAGCATGCCATCTCATATGGGCCATCCGGCTATTAAGGGTCTGGTAAAAGAGATCCGAATCTTTGGTCTTGCCTGTTTTGCCTCGATTGGTGGCTTACTGTTTGGATATGACCAAGGTGTCATTTCAGGGGTGCTAGTTATGCATAACTTCGTGAGTCAAGATCCGTTGCTTACCCAGTAATCACTCTCTCATCATGAAGTTCAGGCAGCGCATTTTCCGAAACTAGCATCCGATGCTGGATTGCAAGGATGGGTCGTCTCGATCATGACTCTTGGAGCTATGTGTGGAGCCTTCATTAATGGCCCTATCTCAGATCGTCTATCGCGTCGATGGTCTATTCTCCTTGCAAATATTATCTTCTTGATTGGCTCTGTTATTCAGTGCTCAGCGCAGAATCTTTCAATGCTGTTCGTTGGACGATTCATCTTTGGTACTGGGATCGGAATGCTTGCTATGGTTTGTCCGCTCTACTTGTCTGAGCTGGCGCCGCTGAATATTAGAGGTGCTCTTGTTGCTCTTCAACAACTTTCGATTACGTTTGGTATTATGATTAGTTTCTGGATTAACTATGGAACGCAGTATATTGGCGGTACTGGTGTTGGGCAGAGTGCAGCTGCGTGGAGAATTCCGTTAGCGGTACAGTGTTTTCCATCATTAATTCTGGCTACTGGTACTTTCTTTTTACCTTATAGTCCAAGATGGCTGATGAATCAGGTTCAGCTCTCTTTCAATTTATGGTCCTCTGTCATACACTGGCTAACTATGCTTCAGGTCGCGAAGAAGAAGCTCTTCAAGTTCTAGTTAAAATGAGACGCGTCCCCGAAACAGACTATCGCCTTCGAAGCGAGTTCCTAGAAATAAAAGCCGCTCGAATGTTCGATAAACAGACAAAGATCGAAAAATATGGCGAGAATGCCTCTCGAGTTTATGTGGCAGTGCAAGAATACAAGGAGCTCTTCACTGTCAGTCACTTGAGAAAGCGCACAATGGTCGCATGTCTACTACAATTCATCCAGCAATTTACTGGAATCAGTATGAGCCCCTTATCCACTAATATCAACCCTGTCTAATTCTCATTTATCGCAGATGCCATAATCTACTATGAACCCCAATTCTTCGAGTCCATCGGTCTTAGCGGTAACTCCGTCAATCTCCTAGCAACAGGAGTTGTAGGAATTGTGTTCTTTCTCTCCACCATTCCTGCCGTCTTATACCTTGACAGATGGGGTCGACGAAAGACTCTTATCTACGGTGCGATCGGGATGTCCATTGCACAATTAGCTGTGGCGACTCTCTGGGCAGTCTACCAAGACACATTTATCATTCATCCTTCAGCGGGCTGGGCAGCCTGTGTCTTTGTTTGGGTTTATATTGGAACGTTCGCCTTTAGTATTGCTTGCGTTAATTGGATCATGCCCTCGGAGATGTTTCCACCAGGTATCCGAGGGAAGGCTGTTGGTCTTGCGATCGCATGCAATTATATTTCAAACTTTGTGGCTGCGCTAGTCGTGCCAAAGATGTTGAAGACGATTGCCTCTGGCACGTTTTATTTCTTTCTCGTCTTTTGCATTATTCTTGGGGTTTGGACTTACTTTTGTGTCCCGAGACGAAAGGTGAGTGAATACCTAATACTTCGATTCCCCTTCCGATCTTTACTCATGTCGCATTTTTCTCTCACAGGTGTGCCGATTGAAGAGATGGATAAGCTATTTGGTGGAAATGAGGGAGAGGCAGATTTGCGACGCATTGCTGATATCCGTACTCAGCTAGGTGTTGACGATGATAATGTGAAAGAGTCATTCATCGAGGAAATCAAGGAAGATAATGAGCATATTGAGGGTGCTTCATGAGAGGCGCATAAATTTACTTGTCGCCTCGAAGAGCACTACGCTAGCATATTTGGATCTTGCTAGCCGAATGATACTACCTGAGTGACAACTTGAACATTTGAACCTGGACAGATAACCACTGGCAGCACTTGATGATTTGAATGAGAGCTTGTATTGAATTTTCAAACGATAAACTTTGCCCAAAAATATGGGTTATAACTATACTCCATAAACACCTCAGGGCTGACTGACTCACTGCACAAATCCTTCAACTCGCAGCAGCCAATTCCAATCAAAATTCACAGCAAAGAAAATGCGACATCGGGAGTGATAAGAATACTCAAGTAATAGCAAAAATGGGGAAATCGATCAAACAAAAACTCCTCACTGGCACTGACCAGGGAATTGACGGCTGGTGACAGGGTTGGGGAAGACTCCTCCGGCAATCTGGGCCTGCATATCCCACTCAGGGGCACCCTCTGTCTTCCAGGTCCAGTAAAGCCAGCCAGCACCCTTCTCGAAAGCATCAAGTTGGGCTTCAATGAACTGACGAAGGTTGCTACGGTCGCTCTCAGAAAGGCCGTCGACAGTTCCGGTAGACTTGCCATCACAGCTGCCGAGTGCTGAGCTACTAGTGTAACTGCCATCATAGCGAGCACCAATACCCTTGCCATTCAAATACTTGGCACAGTCAGTCATGGCACCAGTCCATTCACCAACGACAGTCCACTTGTCACTGGTAATAACGTGCTGCTTGGCAAAGTTGCAGGCATTGGTGGCGTGGGCGTTAACATCCATGGCAAGAAGGCTGCTGTCGAAAACCTCATAGTGGTGAGTATCCATCATGACATACCAGACACCAGTCGACTCGCTCATGAAGCCGTTCCATGATTCTGTGGGCTGGAAACCATCGTGGAGAACGACAGTGGTGTCCTGGCTAGCCTCACGTGCGACACCCCAGGAGTCGTAGTAGTACTGCTTGAGACCGTCCTGGTTGACGCCACCAGGAACATTGGGTTCATTGAGGGCCTCGACAGCAGTCACAACGTCGGTATCGCCCGCGTATCGCTTAGCCAGAGCCTGGAGAGCAGACCTGGTGTCATTGACATTGTCACCTTGCTGCCATCCAATGTAGCCACGCTTTCCACTGTTATCGAAGCCATTCTGGGAGCCGGGAGCTAGGAAAACGTTAGAATCAATGACGAATTCTCCCGTTAAGATTGAACAACTTACCTCCGTGAAGGTCAACCATAACCTTGAGGCCAGCGGCTCGGGCCCAAGTGATTGCGCTGTCAAGGTATGGCAGTTGGCCATCGACATATGGGTCACCATCAAGGTGCTCCAGAGCCCAGTACCCGACTGGGATTCGAACATGGTTCATGCCAGTGGCAGCGATCTGGTTAAAATCATCCTGGGTAATGAAGCTACTCCAGTGTTGTGACAGAACAGATCGACATTCATCCGCACCAAGAATAGTGCAGAGAGACCACTCGTCGACAGCAGAATCGCCCGCTGCATCGAAGATTGAAGGAGTGATCCAGGGCTCCAGAACCAGCCAGCCACCGAGATTCACACCGCGAACCTTTGTATCAGTTCCATAGCCAAACAGAGGGCTCCTATTGAATGTTGATTAGCTTTCTATGAAGCTATTCATGATTGGATATGGCATTCAAGGTGCAGCCACTTACACTTCGTCAAATGCTTGGCCCAATCCTGCCAGAAGGGACAGTCCGAGCATAGACTTCTTCGAGAACGACATTCTGAACTTTATTCAACTAAGTTAATCCCAAATTCAGGAGGCTGGACTTCAAGAATGAATTGAAAGAAGAATTGTGTCAAATGATATGGTGATCGGCTGCTATAAGTAAATTCCATGTCGATGGCTATGCTTGAGGATGGCCGGATGCAGGCGGTGCGCTGGGAACGGAAAACTTGACGATTCAAAATGAGACAGAGCACATACCTACGATTGTTTGTTTGTAGATCACTCCTTAACGCAGTCTTCTTTATTTTGGCAGATTACCGAGGTGGAGGGAGGTTTGGCCGGAAACAGACTGGAGCGGGACCAGAGAGTATGGGGTATGGGGTTGATAAATGAGACAATTGCTTTCACGATGTGATGAAGTAACAATGCACTAACTTGTTCCGGGTTTCTTCTTAGCTCATAGTTTGCAAATCTAGAGTTTGACAATGTGGTTCAACTCACAATGCTTGGAGTACACGAAGCTCAGACCCGTCAACGGACGGAATGGGGATAGGTCACAACCGCGAAGATAATTATGAGATGGAACGGTCAGGAGAGAGTTCATCTCCGCGGTATGTGTAAATTTTTGCTCTTGCTTTTTGTGAATGAGTTTTATTTCTGCTAGTCTGGGTAAGTGCTACCCACTGGCAGTCCTCCATGGGGGTTTCCCGAGGGCTTAGCTATATGACCTACCACTACCTCAAAATAACCATGATACTTATCATGCAGTTCGAGAGCTAAACTTCTCCAAGCTGAATTATACGAATTCCGAATTAAATTTTGATAGAAAACTCATTGATACCTCAAACACTTCAGGAATCAGGATTGTTCGAGAAACCCGTGAAGATCAGGGTTGCCGCATGCGGCAAAGGATAATGCTGCAGGTGTCAAAAAACTGGGCCACGTGTGGGCTGTTCCGAGGAATGTGAAGATTTCAATCTGATCTTTTTGCAGAAAATCAGATTAAATAGATTGATCTTTGGTGTAGGTTTGACTCTCACCAGGACGCGGTACAAATTGTCAGGTTGATAGGTGGTTGTTGTACATGTACACCTTGGTAGTCATACAACGAAGACTTCGATGACTTCACCGGGCTGCAGGTTTCAGGTTCAGATAATTGCATTGTTCGGTACACCCATTGATTCTAGTATAGATCCAATGGTACTAGTACTTGCAAGGTTCGGGTGCTGCCGAGTTTAACTTGATGTGCTTGAGCAGTTTAAGTCCGTTCTCGGCGACACAAGGGTAGCTGTGGATTGTGACCACAGTCAGCGCCCGAGCGTGAAGCAGTGTTATGATATCCGATGGGTACCAGTGTCACAGTACTTGACCAAACTGCACTCTTAACGCCTGTTTTCTCTGCATTTTCGGGTCAGCTGCTAAGAAAAGCCGGTGGGGGAAGTGCAGCGTAGGAATCGAGATCTGGTTTGTAACGCTAAGATCTCAAGGAATGCAGGACTGGAATGCACGTGTCCTACATTACTCCACTCAAGCTTGAACAAGAGTAGAGATTGGTGGACAAGGACGCGAGGGGTTAAGGGGCTCAACATCTCCGCAGAGCGAACTTGAATTGCTTCAATTTTTCAATGGGTGTCAACTTAAACTGGTGTCGAGTGCATTGGAAAATACGATGCATCCCGGTCTAACCCCGGCTCCCCGGGTGATCAATGCGGGGGGAATATTGGAATTTCAACCTGAGCAGGTTTATTTGGGGTTGGCAAAAAAAATTTCGCGTTTCGCTGCAGCTTAAGATAAATGGATTTAAACATGTATGTTTGTTCACACGTACTAGTAGCACGACAGCAGGCCTGTTGATTGGGGAATATTTCCCGAAAGACCAGCCATGTCAGACACAGGTAACCGAAATGTTGAATAGTCTGAAACTGTCTGATACGAGATTCATGAATTTCCATTGAATCTCAATTAGGGGTTCTCTTCTCTCTTCCTCGAATGAAGATCCTCAACTGGGGCTTCAACTGTATAATCCATGACCCCTCGTAGATCGCCCAGAAACCACGACGCAATACATGCCACAAGACCAAATGGAGCGGCGATAATAAAAACGACCCTCACTCCATCTGCGTATGCTTGTTTAAAAGCAGCAGTTCCAGCCGCTATGATGGTAGAATTAACACCCGAGACATTGGCAAGTTGAGCCAAGTTATCGCTTGAGATATCTCCAATAAAGGCAGCAACTGAATCACTAGGGAGTCCAGCTTCCAATGCAGCCTTACCAACATATGCCGGTATATAGTCATCAAGGCGCATTTTCATTGCAGCGTTGAAAATAGCTGTGAAAACTGCTGCAGCTATAGCCCGAGAACAGGTGGTGGCTGCAGTCGCAGTTGCGATAAGATGATGAGGCGTGCATAGCTGGACAGCAGCAATTAGAAGAATCAAGGGAGATCCAAAGCCCAGGCCTGCTAGTCCAGCAAATGCCATAGAACTGACATTATCACTAGGCTCAATGGTGGCAAGACCAACAACACCAGCTGTGAGAAGGAGAAATCCCACAGACAATGGTGGTCGAATAGTTCGATATCTGCTACTAATGTAGCCATAGATCACAGTTCCTATTCCGCCAGTAATCCAGAATGGCTGCTCACGTGCAGCCATCAGAAGAGGGTCCTGCTCGAAAACTTCTGCTGTTCTACACTCATGTTGTTAGTGGTTACCATGATAACGGGGTGAGGTGTTCAGACTCACAGAATCGGATAAAAGATCGAGTAGGCGAAAAGGAGAATGCCCTCGACAAAAATGAGCGCAACGCAGATCGCAAAGGTTCGACCTCCACTTCCTTCTGTGCGAAAGAGATCGTGGTGTAAAATTCCCGTGCTCGTAAACTTCCACTCATAGATACCAAATAAGATTAAGCAGATGATTCCAACGATCAGCGTCGCAAGTACAGGTGCTGCACTCCATGCATAGATACCCCCTCCGAGATTCAGTCCAGCGATAAAAATTGTCAATCCTGCAGTCAGAAGAAAGAAACCAGGAAGATCTAGTCTGCCGATTTTTTGCCATAGAGTTAGATGATCGTACATCGTGTGCCTTTTTGGTGGCCTATAACCAATGAAAAGACCAATTGCTGTGAGTCCCCATAGAGTCATTTGAATCCACTGTCACAAGTCAGTAAAAATCAGAGAAGCGAGGGTTCGAATCTAACATAAAAGTTCCGCCATCCAGTATGTGCGTTCCCCCTAGTGAGGCCGCCGATTATCAATGGCGCTGAACAGGCACCCAATGCAGCGGCAACGTTCATCGCGGCTTGGGTCACTGCAAAATTTCATGCCTTGATAAGCACTGGACCAATATTTAGGAGTGAATGCTTTAACTAACTTGGTCGCCATTTTCGGGGCAATATTTCACTTGGGACGCAATACGCCAATGGCACGGTAGCGAACCCAAATCCAATTAAAACCTGTGCAGCAATCACTCTGTATATGCTGCTGGATCCAGGAGCAATTGCCGCGCCAATAAAGGATATAATCGATGGCCCAACCAGTAAAGCCTTTCGTGCTTGGAATGTATCCGATGCTGAGGAAATTAGTGGCGCCAAGACAGCTTGTACAAGTGAGAGAGAATTGGGTATCCAGCCACCGGCGACGGTATTATTTAGATCAGACTCGATGTATTGAAGCTGTAGTTGAGTTGAGGCCAGATTAGTCGGGTCAAGTTGAGGCTAATGTTCGCACTGAAGAGACCTACTCCTGCCGGCGGTCCCATAAGGCAAAAGACTTGAACCATATTCAGGAAGAACATGGCTGCAAGGGCGAAATATGTCCGCAGGTGGATTTCCGGCTCTTCCTCCCCTTCATAAATCAAATCTGTACTTTGTGTGTTTGAGAATTCTTCCTCGTGCTCATTTTCTGAAGGTTCTCTGATGTCCGGTGAACCCTCCGGGTCTTTCTCGTTTCGATCCAGCATCTTGATTCTTGCTTGCGTGAGGGGTTGGAGTAATCTTGAGTCGGAATAAAAATCAGCTGAAAGGTACGAAGGGGCACTGAAATAGTGAGTATCAGGGGATAGATCGGCCGGCTTTCCCCACAAACAAGGCCCGCCCAGACTTGTTAGTGACCAAGGGATGCATCTCGACTTCATGCTTCATTTAGATGCCTGGGAGATAGACCGCTTTCGGCACCGCTCTGTACAGCATTCTGTAACGGTCATGTCAACCTCGGGCTCCGGGCCCCGGGCCTGGAAATGCCCAATAAAAGCACATCGGCACTTGAGCCAGTTCTAAAAGGCCCTGGAGAAGCTCATTTCCAGTCCCAAGATCCCTTCCGTTTTCACCTAATGTCCTATTTATCTCTCTCCACCTTCAAATATTGGCTAATTTCCCACAAATCTGGCGCAAACTTTTCTCAAACCTCAAGCTCGATTTTCATACCGAGGCATTGTTCGGAGTTTTTATCTAAATGTACTATTGCCAATTATTGAATCTTTTCTAAGATGATTGGTTGATATAGCCATGAATATCTATGTTATGGTAATTCATGTTTTTTATTTTCTGCCAGTCTCGATCTCAGGCAAAAAGTGCAAAAATCAGGCAGAACATCAATATAAGCCTGAAGAATTGACTCAATTGAGTAACTTTGGTAAGGCCCACTCTTCCCCGCAAACCCTGATTCAGTGCGGAGTATAAGCCTGGGCCTTCTAAGGCTCTCAACCCCGATCGGCAATATTCTCCTATTCTTCTTCTACAGATTCTTCAGATTGTGACACATTCATGTATACGGTGCCCGAGAACATTCCCCCATCTTCAAAGGATGCCGACCGTAATGCTGATTCTGCCTGGGCAACAACTTGAATACACAACTTTAAGAAAGTAACTTGAGATTGGTTTATTGATATATACGGTTTCACTCCACAATGCCGGGGATAAGTCGGAACTTTATAGAACATTGAAGCGACCAGTGACCGCGCTTCAGGGCTGTATATCCGGATGCCAGTGCCAGTCACCATTCACATGTGCATAGTTACTAGTAGTACTAGTGTCTTTCAACTCGGGATGTTTACAGGACTGCACATGTGCATGTGGGAGCACTTGAGTAATCAATCCTTGAAAGTTTATTTTCATTTTCCGCCACTCGCAACGATGAAATAGGCCCCGCAAAAATACGAAGAATGGTTGAACGATGGATCATTCCCGAGATCCTCTGATCCAACGTTTCAAAACACAAGTGCAGTCTAAGGCCTCAGGCTTGAATCCTGAGTTCATGATAGCCTGAGAGAGTATTTGAACTGATCCATGTGTAAATAGACTGACTTCAAGTTAGAATCAAATGGCTAACAGTGTTGATATTCAACTAGACTGTGACAGAAACTTGACCTTTTCAAATCAATGTTGGAACTTCAAGTTCAACATTGGAAGTTCATGACTTGATATAGTAACCTTCTAAAGCTGGAAATATTGAGCAAACCTTGGAATGGAATCATGAAGCTCAACTTGGAAGTGCTGGGACTCGAAATATAGTTCACATGTTAGCTCGGCATGATGAGTCCTGGAGGAAATTTTCACCAAAACTTCAATGTCCAAGTTTCAAATGTTCCAGGGTTCAAGCTGTCTCGGTCCACTAGTACGACTACATGTGTACCTCCAGGGCTTTATCATGGTTCCAACCTTGGAACCATGGAAGCCTGGAGGCTACTACTAGGTATGTAATATAGGTGTAGTCCACGGGCACCTGGGTATACCCACGTCTGCACATGCATGTGTGCCCGCCGCGTTGGACACACTGGCAGTCTTCTATCGTACCGTGACAGTGACCCCACCAAGCAACTTGAACATTTGAAGAATATGTATGCACATATACGTTTTCATTTCAAGTTTCTTCTAGATGCCCATTTCCAAATTACTATTGGGAGAGGCCCGCGAAGTGAGGGAAAAAATATATGTAGGAAAGCATGGGAGAGTAAGACTCGGAGTTTTATTGGGCATCATGATATCGAGAGCTATTACCTACTACGAAAGCATAGGTAGTAGTGGTCCAATCTATAACGGCCACACGATCTAAAAATTACTAATACCTATGTATACCTTGGCAATAAATTCATACCTAGGTAAGACCAATCATCCATTCCAAGGCTTTGAATGATGAGAAAGATATGGATGCGACTCAAGATGGCCCACCCACATATGCACGCACAGCCAGAAACCTTGGAGACATTCCGTGGTTTGAGCTTCAAGCTTGAGGATATTGGGCCGTGCTGATGGTTGCGACTTGAAACTTGAACATTCTAGTTAACATTTGAAGAAAGCTAGCGTGCATACTATATAGTACCCTGAGAGAAACATCTGCAAGCCACAGGGGAAATTGGACATTTGGATGTACTACGGGATAGTGGAGAGAAAGAAGGGGTTAACCGAAACCACTAGACGGGTTCGTCCCGGTGGTGGTTCTCTAGTTAGCAAGTAGTAGTACGGTAGTATCGTATATGATTTGACTTTAATTGATCGCACGTGCGATCGACCGCTCATCTAGCCTATTGCGTCTCTTCAAATGTTAAACTCAGAGTCTCATAATATCATAATGCTAGATCAGTAGTGTCACCACTTTGAATATTCAAAGGTAATATTTGCCGATGGAGGAATACAAGTTGATGGAAATTCCAAGCTATTGAAGAAAAAATTCGGTTTTCCCCTAATTAGAGGGGTCAATATTCCACTGAAGTTGTTGAGGTTGTTGAACGACCCTGAGGTCAGGTTATGATGCTTACCTACATCATGATACGAGTACGACATCAACGAGACTAATTAAATGACTCGGATCTGGGTGCTACCTAGTAATTTCAACATTTCGAATGTTGAAGTCCCTCGATTCGTCACACTAGTGGTCCGCCTTGACATCCTAGCCTACTAGGTCAATGGTAGTTGAATTCTCAGTTGCTTCTACTATATTCTACTCAGTGCTGGTAGTATTCTCATTTTTCCAGGTCTCAAAGGTCCACGAATCTATCTCCAGGGCTGATTTATGACGCGTCTTTCAATGTTCTGGAATGTTTGAATTCAAGCTTTTCTATGCTTCAGAACTAAGTCCGACCATATGTACATCCCACTAAGCTCCTATTGTGTAAGTGCTGTCAATTTTGGAAAGTCCTGGCGGTATTTCCCGTTGAGAACAGGAATGATAGCATTTAAAAGATCACGAATGCGCATACGGACTCGGATACGAGAGGTGCAGATGCATAGAGCATCAGGTACGGATGGCGCGGGCGCTAGTCACTCGCTTGTGGTAATGAGCCAACATGGTTGGTCCTGTCCCCACGGGGAGCCCCAGTGGTAAGATTGTTTATCTAGCACGTGGTGAACTACTCAACTATGATTGCAGCTTGATCGGAGTGTTAATTATTCGGCTTTTCTTGCTCCGATATACCGGTAGCTGCCCTCACACCGCGAATCTGCCACTGCTTCAATCAATGGGAAATTTCGGCAGAGTCTTCAGGTTTATTCCATTGCTGAAATGCCCTATAAAAGCATGTCGCCGCTGCAAAATCATGCTAGGTATCGTGCTAACTTGAAGACGAGTCAATTGACCCTACAATAATGGCTGAACTCAAGACTGTTTTGATCTCCCTGGCTATGGCCTCGGCCGTCCAGGCCGGTGCAATTCAACAACGCGCCGCGTCCAAGACTCAGCCTAACTGGTTTCAAACCTCGCCAGACAACTATGCTGGTCAGTAAGATAGTCAGAGTGTTCCAGCAATTTCAACTAACATCTTTACCAGGTACCATTGAGACTGGTGCTGCGCCTTTCCTGGCACAGACCAACCCAGCTCCCTTTGGACAGGCTACCTATGTCCCTAACGCTCCGCTAGAGACATCGGAGCCCATCAATGGAGCCAAGGGTCGAAATATCTTCCACCTGATGGGTGATCAGTGGTGAGTGTGAGGAGTATATCTGCCTTAATTACTCTGAGAGCTAATTCATTTCTTTCCCGCTACAGCCCCTACTTCTCTCCAGAAGACGGCTTCGGAGTCGACGAGTACCCCCTTCCCAAGGGTGCCAACATTACCCAAATGCACCTGCTGCACCGTCATGGTTCTCGCTACCCATCTGCCTCTGAGGGCCTCAGCTCTTGGGCAGCAGATATTGCCAAGGCCTCCAAGAATGGAACTGGCTTCACCGGAAAGCTGGAGTTCCTGAATGACTGGACCTACAACCTGGGTGAGGAAATTCTTGTCCCTGTCGGTCGCCAGGAACTCTTTGACAGTGGTGTTCTTAACTACTATAACTATGGCCACCTCTACCAGAACAACACCAAGATTGTGGCTCGTACTACTTTGCAGTCTCGCATGCTGGAGAGTTGTGAGAACTTCTTGGCCGGTTTCTTCGGTCTTGGATGGCGTGACCATGCCAACATTCTCGCCACTATTGATCCTACTGTCACTGGTGACTACGCGTGCACCAATGAGTTAACAACCCTGGAAGAGTCGATCGAGATTCCTGTTGGCACTTGGGAGGAAACATACTTGGCTAACAGGACCGCTCAGTTTAAGACTATGGCTGGATCGTATGACTGGACTTTCACTGACACTTTCCATGCTCAGAGCCTGTGTCCTTATGAGACTATCAGTGTTGGCTACAGCCCCTTCTGTGAGCTGTTTAACTATGAGGACTGGGAGGGCTATCAGTACCTGATGGATATTGAGTTCGCCGCTATGTCTGGTTTCCTCAGTCCTACCGGTCGTGCACAGGGTATCTACTGGGTTGAGGAGTTCCTCTCTCGCGTTGAAGGCCACTATGTCGACATTCCTGCCAACCAGACCGGTTGCAACATGACTCTCGACACCAACCCCGTGACTTTCCCTCTTAACCAGACCCTGTACTTTGAGTTCACTCACGATGCAAACATTATCTCCATCTTGACTGCATTTGGCCTTACCCAATTCAACGATTTCCTGCCCCTTACTGGGCCGAAGAAGAACCAGCAGTTCTCGACTGCCAAGTTGGTCCCCTTTGGTGGTCGTCTGAACATTGAAATCATCAGGACACCCCACCAGGTCTCCACCAAGCGTTCCTCCAAGCAGACCAAGTCTGGTGACTACATCTCTGGAACCGGAGAGACCCTTTATGTGCACTTTATTCAGAACCAGCGTACCATTCCTCTGCACTCCAGCTTTGAGGCTTGCGAGTACCGCGAGGATGGTTGGTGTGAGCTGTCTACTTTCTTGGAGGTCCAGAAGAAGAGTGTGGCTGATGCCGAGTATAACTATGCTTGCTTCGGAAACTGGACCATGAAGAGCTATGGTTCAGTGCTGAATGGTGTCCCTGCTTAAAGGGCTCTTCAAGGGTTAAACCTGAGTCTTTGAAGTTTTGGAAGGACTGGAGGACTTTGGATCGATGTTTTAATGTTAATAAAATGTATAAAGCATGTCGCTCATTTTTAATGATCCTCTTGGTTTGATCGTTATGATCTTCCGAGGTCTGGATCTTGTTAAATAATTCCTACTATATTCAAATGCTTGTTTCTATTATCATATCCACTTGACTTCATGTCAGTTTTTAGCACATAAATTTATTGATTATATCATGATGATCGAACTGAGAAAACTTCCCTGGAATCATGATGCATCAAAGCGGTCGAAAAAACCCCCCCAAGGCGGGGAGAAAAACTAACATTAAATCTCTAAAAATCACACACCCAAAAACCACATTTCTGGAAAACTAAATTTGAATTCTCAGCCACTTGCAGGTTATTTTTCAAAATTAAGAAGATAAATATTTAAAAATTGACGGATTTAAAAATTAGGACCTCGGAATGAGGCTTAAAAAATTAAGTTACAAAAAGCGGGTCTCAAAAACGGGTTCCTACATTTTTTTTGATATCAGCCCTAATTTGTTTATTATTAGAACTTGAAATCCCTCAAAAACGTAGATCTTGATGAATAAAATAATAGAATAATATTTTCTTCTATAATCACTATTTCTCCTGGATCTAATGTTAATATAAAAGTGGTAGATATGTTTTTTAGTTGGGGTTGGGGCTGGAGTTGAGAGGACAAGTGAGCCCATTCATCGCATCTCACCCTATTTTTTTTCGTCTCAACTGCAATCCAATTTTTGATTTTCCTTGAGCTCGCGACCGCCAACGCTTTTAGGAAACGCTCCATCTCGTGACAGCGATACTGCCATGAATAGTCAATTTCTCACCTCCCCATTTTCCCTTCTTCTCTTCTCACCTCTCCTCATCCTCTTCATCCTCTCCATCCTCCAACCATCATTTCTATCATCATTTCATCAAATTCCATCAAGAATTGACCTTTTCCATCCCCAAATAGGCAGATTTGAACTCCGGGCCAATTTTGCTCCCCAGAGCAAGACCCCGGAGCTCATAATCTTGCCATAAGGGAGCCAATTCTTGCAGCTGCGATTGGATCGTATTGGATCTTCATCAGGACAGCACCTTGACCATTCCATCTCTTCCGACTTTCACAATCTCTCTATCCTTTCACGACACTTGCAAGGACCAATCTCTTGCAGTTGCGATTGAATCGTATTGGATCTTTATCTGGATAGCACCCTGACCATTCCATCTCTTCCGACTTTCACAATCTCTCTTCCCTTTCACGACGCCTGCCAATCACCATGGAGAACTACTTCAGAGCCTCCGGTCCAGGAACTGTGACCATCGAGATTGGATCTCCCGAGAATCAGTTCAATGTTCCTGTGGCCCTTCTTATGGAAAAGTCTCAATTTTTCCGAGGCATGTTCGGGAGCAATTTCCCTGAAGCTGAAAGTGGCACTGCCAAGTTGGAACTTATTCCAGGCGTCGTCACTCCAACCAACTTTGTCATGTTCTTGCGCTGGATCTTCACCGAACGAATTGAATATGATGGCCAGCCTGATGGATCCGACATCCCCATCACTGAGCGCATGACAATTCTGATTTCCCTGGCCCGTTTTGCGGACATGATCACTTGTCCTCAATTCAGTCGCGTGATTGCCAATAATGTTCGCGTCATTTTGAGAAACCATGCTGTCCCGTGCATTGCCCGAGCCGCCGCGTCGGTAGGCCTGGAGAATAATCAGACCTCCAATGAATCTAACGGCAATGATGACACTGAGACCCAAGATACTGATGACAACACCGATGATGCTCACGATAGCGATGACGCTCACGATAACGATGACGCTCACGATAACGATGCTGCTCACGATAGCAATGCTGCTCACGATAACAATGCTGCTCACGATAACGATGCTGCTCATGATAACGATGCTGCTCACGATGGCGATGATGTCCACCAGGCCGGCGACGACGGCAATGCCTCTGTTAGCCGTGATATGAACGACGACCATGCCTTGGATGACCTCGATCCTGGTTATGTCGCTCGATTTAACACCTTTCAAGAAGAGATCAACACAAAGCATTTGATCTCGGCGCACGTTGTCCAAGCCATGTGGCTCCCCAGCAGTGACCCTATTCGGCGTCTGATTATCGACGCGTGCCTGAAGGGGTATCTCACCCACCGTCCCTTCCGCTTCGAGTACATGATCGAATGGCACGCTGGATTTGCCAAGGACATATCCGCGAGAGTGTCCGAGGTCGTGGACGAGACAATGTGCTACTATGATGGCGCGGTGTGGTTCACCGACCCAATCACCGAACGGCGCTGCCTATGTACCCGGCACGGGGCAGCCGGTGGGGTCGCGCCCAGCCCTTTGATAGGCACCAGCCCCGGGCCACATTCAGCCTCAGGTGAAGGGGCAAGTTCATTTTTTTCTGGACCCTCATGAACTGAGGGTTCCAATTCAATACGGCCGACAGAAAATTTCGAAAAACAAAATAAAAAAAAAACAAAAAAAACAAAAAAAACAAAAAAAGAAAACAAAAAAAAAACACAAACACTGTCAGTGGGAGGAGATTTGGTGGAGTTTGCATTCCACCTAGGTGGATGCAACTGATAGCAATTATCTCTTTCGATGAACTCAATTTCGGCCCAAGTCACTTTTCTCTTAATCCATGTGTAAACATTGAGATATAAACATCTCACTTAAACATTGAAATTAGAACATACCATGTAATCACTTAAAACCCATATCATATAGAATAGGCCTTCAGTATAGTCCCAGCAGCTGGCAAGTGGATGACTACACGTAACCCAACTTTCACTTAATGTTTCTTCACCACCACCACCACACAATGACCCCAAATATCTTACTCATCTTCACATCCCCCCCCCCACCTTCCGTGCATCGAGAAGAATAAACTCCGACACCAAATAGGGAATCAGTTCAATATCAGCGGAGATGCGGAGTCATACTTCCAACAATCCAATCACCTGCGACCGATCGACACGCCAAGTCCGATGAGGGGAAAGCACTAAGCCCTTTCGTACTCCGTACTCTTATTAATTCTTGACCGCTTGTATACTTGTACGAGGTTGGAGTACGATCTGAATGAGACCCTGAATTGCTACGTCCGTGCAAAGCTGCTCACTACTCGTGGAAACCCTGCAGTTGGACCCTGAAGCGTGGAATTCCGAGTCGTTGTGGAGGAGATCCGTGCGTCTGCAAGGGACTTGGTGCAAGTCGTCTCACCGGATAACATGCCGATGGTCTTGGAGGATTCGGATATGGGCTGCGGAAGCTAGATCGGGTCTGACTCCGTACTACGAAGTACAGGGATTGTCATCACGATCTACGATGTCTTGAATCATAATATGTATGCAAGTGTCAGTACGGAGTAGTCCATGACTCTCCAGGAAAGACACATCGGCAAAGAGCACGAGTATATGCAGGACTCTGCTTCTCGGATGTCATATTGCCGAGTATTGATGACAATTTGAGTTTGACTGCAGCTCGGAAACTTGTCATTCGCTGTCCCCTGGCTGGAAATCTGGTTCCGCTGTGAACCAGTAGTATAACACTCGATCTATGACTCCACGCTTCCACTTACTCTTCATCATAACATCTCATCTCTTTCGTTTCAACAGAACCATAATGATCCCCGCAATTTATCCCCCACATAGCCATCGTAACGCGGTCTTAATCGGCCAATTCCAATTGGGATATCCCTAGTCTGGGCATTTACTCCACCGAAACCGCCAAGCAGCGGCCGATCCTCCCTACCATCGGCCCAACTCCAAACATCTCTGTTATTACGCGGGATGCACTGTCTTATGCACTTTTGCGGGGTTCATTGGCTTCATGTGGGGATTATGTCGCGCGTAAGAAAGGGCAGTGCTATGGCACATACCACTAAGAGCCCCGATAATAGTCCGCAGCCTTGGGGGGTCCCCTTTTCCATTCCTATGCTATACCAAGAAAAGCATGGTCTCACCTGTCGGTATTTCGGTCCTCTAAGGGTCCGGGATCCATTATGGAGGATTGTACATAAAGCCAGGGATGTGCCAGAACTAAAGTCGTTTCTGAAGAGTCTGGGTTCGACGTATATAAATTCCGATTAGTATTTTTGTTGGTCGCCTGGTGAGGCTCATTTATGATGCGTCTCTTGCGGAATACTATATTCTCTTTGCTGGTAGGCACTGGCCTCGCATATCCTGGAAGCGATAATAGACAAGCACCTGTTAAGCACCCTCGTGCTGCTGGGTACGCTCCTAAGGAACCGCCATTGACAACGCCTTGGACGGATAAAGTGGGCACGGATCCATGGCCTGAGTATCCACGACCACAGTTGCAGCGGGCCCAGTGGCAAAATTTGAATGGCGTGTGGCAGTATCAGAATGCTTCAAGTCTGGATGCTGTTCAGAGTCCACCATTTGGTCAGGACCTTGCGCAGGAAGTTCTTATTCCGTCTTGCTTGGAGAGCGCCTTATCTGGTGGGCATACCATAGGTATTCTATTTTTTCCGTATTAACTGATTGTTTTCTCCAGGTATTCAAGGAAGTTATACTTTGTACTCATGGTTCTCGACTTCATTCAAGGTGCCATCCGACTGGAATGGTCAGGATATCCTGTTGAATTTTGGTGCAGTCGATTATGAAGCCACTGTGTTTGTCAACGGTAAGAAAGCCGGTTTTCATCGCGGCGGATATTTCCGATTCTCGCTAGACGTTACTCGATTCCTGAAGGCTGGACAAGAGAATGAGTTGTAAGTAGTGTTCCGCCTCGGAAAGAAAAGTATCAAACTGACTTGAATTATAGACTTGTGTTTGTCCATGACCCCACTGACGATGGTGACTATGTGATTCCAATTGGAAAACAAACTCTTCGTCCGAGTCACATTTTCTACACTCCCTGTAGTGGAATCTGGCAAAGTGTCTGGATCGAGCCTGTGTCCACAAATCATGTGTCACAGCTTGATATTGATGGAAATATGGATGGTCAACTCAACATGACCGTGCACACCTCCGCTGCAAACACTACCAGCAGCGCTCTTGTTGTCGTGAAAGATGGCGATAATGTCGTCGCCACTCACAGAGGACCGACTAATCAACCATTCCAGTTCAAGGTCAACTCTCCCAGTTTGTGGTCGCCGGATTCGCCTAAGCTGTACAATATCACGGTCACTTTGGGTAAGGACAAAGTCCAGAGTTATACTGGATTCCGCACTATCGCCAAGGGTACGGTCGACGGCGTTGTTCGACCATTGTTGAACGGTGAATTCATTTTCATGTTCGGTACTCTAGACCAGGGATTCTGGCCAGATGGTATCTATACGCCACCTACCAAGGAGGCAATGGTATATGACCTGGAAATGTTGAAGGGACTTGGTTTCAACATGGTTCGAAAGCATGTGAGTGCTTCAAGTTCTATAGTGCTTGTTTTGGTTCTGACAAGCTATAGATTAAAGTTGAGAATGACTTATTCTACCGCGCCTGTGACGAGCTAGGTCTCCTTGTTATCCAGGATATGCCTGCTATGCGACCTCTGCAGAGCAAGGCCCTGCCTAACTGCGGTTCGGAGACCCTTCTTCCCGATGAAGCGCAGCAGGCTGAGTTTACACGCCAATTGGAGAGCTTGATCAACCAGCATAAGAGCTTCCCTAGTATTGCGGCCTGGGTAAGTGATAGCGACACGATGGTGGTATCAATGATTTCAAATAGCATTTTCTAACTATATCTCAGATTATTTACAACGAAGGGTGGGGTCAAATCACTAGTTACTACCCTGAATTCGAACTTACCGAGCTGGTCCGGCAGTTGGATCCAACCCGGTTGATTGATTCAACCACAGGTTGGTATGATCACGGCGCCGGTGATTTCAGCGTACGTACTCGTATACAGCATGCGGTGAAAAAAAGGAAATTAGGATTAGTTTTGCTGATTCTTGATAGGACAACCACCATTATTCCGACCCGCAATGTGGCACACCCTTTTACTCCACCGCTTCAAGCCCCTATGATGACACACGGATCGGATTCCAGGGGGAATTTGGTGGAATCGGTAATAATGTCTCGATCGAGCAGTGAGTACCGATGACAAAGTCTTATCTCATCGAACTACTCTCTAAATAGATTCACAGTCTTTGGAACGACCAAGCCGCTATCAACAGCATCAACCAAACTTACGAGCTCGATTTGAGCCTTGAGGCTTGGAACTATCGCAGCCACGTGCTCCTAAGCGAACTACAGAACCAAGTTCGTCTCTACGCTTGCAGTGGCGGTGTATGGACACAGACCACCGATGTCGAGGGTGAAGTCAATGGACTCATGACCTACGACCGCCGTCTATCCCGTGTTGACGAGGACCAATGGAAAGCAGATATCCAGGGCCTGTATGATGCCGCAGCGGCCAGAACTAATAAGACTATGACTGCTTCATAAGCGGTGTGGTGGACTCGGATTAGCCGAGCGGCCTGAAGGTGACGAGGATACTCCCTAGATGAGTACCTCGGTCAATATTCATAGAGCTATGACGAAATTCAGTTCTAGATCCTGATAGCTCAAGCACTTGAGTGCAGCATTTACCCTATTTGCCACTTATATTTCCTTTTTAAGAATTATGAAACTGTTCAGAGTTTTGAAATATGTGATAGACAGATCACAAAAATGACAATGTGGCGTATGATATCACACATAGGGGGACATGTGCACTGTAACCTTGATATCTTCAACTTCAATTGGTTCATTCTCCTTTTTCCGGGGAAGTCATGCACGGAAGGCTGCAGCTGTCATTTCGTATAGACAATAAGACAAAAACTCAATATGATAGCTTGGCACGGTAAATCCATTGACCAAGCCGTTGTCGGAATATGGGAACGCGGGGCAGATTAGCAATTCCTAAATTCAGAATGCCTCTAGACCAATATTTTCTGATTGATCATCGCAGGCATTAGTGATCGTCTAACGCGGCTGTTTAGAAATGAGAGTAGCGTGTGTCAGGTTAAGTGACAGGGGTAGTTAAAATGCGGTGACGGATATCAAAAACCAACTTTTTTGATACATCTACCAAGGATGAGTAGAATTGAAGTAAAAAAAAAAAATTAAAAGGAAAAAAAAAAATAAACAAAATGGGGTCCCCTTTTCCCCCTTTTTGTTAAAAAATTTTCACTATGACTTCGCGTCCAACCGGAAATCAGCCGTTTGATCAGGCAATGATTCCGACGAATCCACCCGGATTTCGGATCAGGCCACGCCATCACACGGTTCAAAGATCGATCGATTGGCTCTAAATATTGAAGATATTGGGTAATGCGGATGCTCTCCGTTTACTTCAATCTTAAATACTCCATTCATACTAAATTAGTTCGTTGCGGCCTTGTGATGTGTGATGTATGTTTAGATTTTTCCAATTTTTACCCATGAGAGAGAGACCCACCTCCATGACAATGCCAACCGTTCGGCGTTTTTTCTGGAAGCCATTTCTTCAATAGTTTACTTAGGCTTTATCGGGAGGCCTAAGCGGCAAAGGCGTTTTTCTGACGTTTCAACTGCTCTGGGATTGGTTGAGAGGAATAATTATATGGGACTGACATGTTATGTCGTACGGAGTCCACGGGTTATAGTTATCAGGTATGCCTTTTTTTTGCCCCCATCTTTCTCAGGGTAAATTCGGAGTTCCTTTCCATCATATTTACTCCGTTTTCTCCATTTACTCCATTTACTTCTCCGTAAATGAATCGGAAAACCAAAATAGTACCTCCCTTATAAACAAAAACCCGCGCCGGGCCGTCGGCTCCGAGTATAAGTGGAACTTGATGGGAACTTCGTTTCGGTTGGAAGCCGTTGGGACCACAGCGGAGTTCATTTGAACTTCTTCTTACATATTCTGCACATTCTGCACCGGGATCTGCTTTGTGCATAAAGAATTTGAGTTTGGATTTTCCACTGGGATCCAGTTCTAGTGGGACACTTAATTCTCTGTGGCGTTGTGCCTAGTAAAGAACACCCGAAGAAACTTGAACATGAGATCAAAGCGTAAAGGGTTGTCAATTGATTAAATTGATTAATTCGATTGATCTGATTCGTATCTTTAGTTTTTCGGACTTGATCAGTGTAAGATCTCCGCGTTTGTATCCCACGTGTATGATATTTTGTTTCAAAACTTGAAGCCTTCGAACTTTGTCCACAGGAATGGCGGTCGATGGACTTTTCCAACTCTGGTACGCCGTAGTGGAGGACGGGTGGAGGAGATTATAGGGATCAGCCCACACCTGATGCCTTGTTCTTTCCATACCCCCCCGGAATAAGCTGCCAGGATTTGTGGGTGGTGTGATTCGATGACCCAAACATTGACCTGTCTCCTCCATCTGGAGATGAGTTGTCGTCGTAGATGGGGTCCCTTTAACTATTCTGGGTAAGAGCTCTTCTCCACCTGTACTTGTTAGGGGCCCCCTTTTAGTGTACGATGTACATCTGTCCCACTGTCGTGTGCCAGGATCGGATCGGACCCATGACGGCCCAGTGTGGTTCAAGTTTTTTTCGAGAGAAAGAAATCGAGAGAGAGAAGGTTAAAGGTATAAAGATCTTGCATCATCCAGGTCATGCGATAGCCACGAGGCGCCCCGGTTTTTTTTTTCTCACTCTCTCTCTCTACTTTCATATCTTATATACCCTTTCGCGTCTGACTCTTCTGGAAAGAAGTCTTTAACTTATTTTTTTTTTCTCAAAACTTCCTTACATTACATCATGCCTCACGATTACGGCTTGGGAGATGGCTTTGAGCCGATGCATATTGACCGCAAGGGACTATATGTCAACCTGGAGGAACGAATCAGGTACTTGCATCACTTCCTTGACTGGACAAATGGTATGAATACAATCCTATCTTTATTCAAGTATCATGTTATACTAATTATTATTTTTCTATAGCGGATGTCGAGGCTCTTCAAGATGGAGCCAAGTACCTTAAACAACTCATTCCCGCTGTCGTCAACATGGTATACAAGAAACTCTTGCAATATGACATCACATCCCGGGCATTCCACACCCGCACAACCGTCGACGAGACCGAGCCCGATGACGAGTACCTGACTGAGGAGACCCCCCCAAATCAAACGACGCAAGATGTTCTTGCGTTGGTATCTTGTGCGTTTATGCCAAGATCCCACCAGCATGGAGTTTTGGCGCTACTTGAACAAGGTTGGGTAAGTACATCCATCATCCTAAATGTGTATGAACATAGACTAATGATGTTCTGAATTCAGCCAGATGCACTGCGGTCAAGAACGTCTAGCTCCGCTCAATATCGAATACATCCACATCGGTGCCTGTCTGGGCTTCATTTCTGATATTTTCATCGAAGCCCTCATGTGCCATCCTCAACTGAGCATGCGTCGCAAACTCGCCCTAGTCCGTGCTCTGAACAAGATCATCTGGATCCAAAATGATCTCTTCGCCAAGTGGCATGTCCGCAATGGTGAAGAGTTCGGTGATGAGATTTCCATGTATAGCTTTGGATCTGGAAATAAGGAAGGTTTCCTTGCTGGCAAGCGGATCCTTGGCAGTAGCTCTGGTAGCTCTCTTGATGATGATCAGGCCAGTATTGCACCCAGTATTGCGCCTTCAACGCTCAGTACTGCACCTTCTTTCCTTACTACCCACTCTGGTAGCTCGGGACATACAACAACTAGCACTCACACGGCTGCTCCTGAAATGCGATCGGCGTGTCCCTTTGCAGATTTTGCTAAGAACAACTCGTCCACTGAAACGAAGATCTGGGCCAATTGAAAATTTGGGGCATTAGGACTGGTATTGGAATGGCATTTCAGGCGCCTGGGGTGTTAAACCTTGGACTCGGACATATATACAAGATTGCATTTGCCGGTGTTTATTATTTTTGTTTCATCTGTTTTATTTATCATTATATTTTTGACCAAAACTAGGAAATCTCCTTTTATCTCGTATAAACCATCAAGTTTTTACACCATTACAATCTTCCAATAGTCCCAGAGTTTCTTCGGCATCGTCGTCATCATCGGATCGGAGGGGTGGACCACACTCTCTTCTTTGTCAGCAAGATTTCCCCTTGCATAGTGAGATTAATGATGAATCCTTCTTTTCCTGAGATCTCGGGACTTTCCCCCCACTCGGCTGCAGTTTAAGGCAATTAACATAGATTAAGTGTGAGTTCTTATTCGTCGAGCTAAATTTTGGTTCCCCCCAGAGTTCCAATTTCTCGGTCTTACGGATTTCCCACAATTGAAGAGAGAACTCGAAGAACGGAGATAAATCTCGATTTCCGTTAACTATCGATTGCTCCACTTATCACCCACCATTGACTCCAAACCAGGCAAGATCAGCTTACCGACTTCGACAAGAACACAAACCCCTCATTACTCTTAAATCCTACCCTTTTCCTTCAAAGAAAACTACAAGGATATTCATCGCGCATACTCAATTCTTCTCAAGTTTATATTCTATCAAAAAGCGCATCTGTTCATCCACAACAATGTCTGATATCGGTTGCAGACCCGTGACACCACTCATCATTAATGGTGAGTCCGTCGTCACGGATATCCAGTTCGAGGTTCGCGCCCCTGGATCTGGGGAATTGTCTAGTATCTGTGCTGGTGTCTCCGAGGCGGATGCTATCCGCGCTGTTGATAATGCAAAGGCTGCATTCCCAGCTTGGGCTAAGACCTTGCCCTATGCTCGTCGCGATCTCATGCTGAAGGCTGCTGATATCATGGAGGCTCGCAAGGAGGAATTCATCGCTTACCAGCGTGAAGAGACTGGTGCAGGCCGACCTTTCTCTGAGCACACATTCAACTTGGGTGTTAACTTTATTCGTGACTTTGCGGCTCGTATCCCCACGATTGAGGGTATTGTCCCTAATGTCACCAGGGAGGGGGAGGGTGCTATGGTCTTCAAGCAGCCATACGGAGTGATTCTTTCAATTGCGCCATGGTAAGTGTGAACTCAAATATCCCAATCACATTCTTCCTGCATGATTCTTTTTGTTCGGTCTGGTCTCGTTATTGGCTTGGATGTCAATATTACCTTCCTGCACTTCCGATCTGTGTAACATGTATCTAACCTTGTCCACCTACTTTTATAGGAACGCACCTTTTGTCCTCGGTGTACGCGCTGTGGCTATTCCTCTCGCAGCAGGAAACACCGTCGTCCTGAAGGGTTCCGAGCTTTCTCCTAAGTGCTTCTGGGCTCTGGGTGATGTCTTCCGCCAAGCTGGTCTGCCAGCTGGATGTCTGAATGTCATTTTCCACCAGCCTTCTGACGCCCCCGCTATCACCAACGCTTTGATCGCGCACCCCGCTGTTCGTAAAGTGAACTTTACTGGTAGCACCCTCGTTGGAAAGATCATTGCGTCTACTGCGGGTAAGTATATTAAGCCTGTGCTACTTGAGTTGGGTGGCAAGGCCTCAGCCATTGTGCTCGATGACGCGGATCTTGATAAGGCGGCCATGAACTGCGCCCTTGGAGCTTTCATGCATGTAAGTTTTCGCCCCATATAAAATATCCCATTTGTAATGGAATTTTCACTGACAACCACTAGTCCGGTCAAATCTGCATGTCCACTGAGCGCATTGTTGTTCAGAAGTCCATCGCTGAGGAATTCAAGGTCAAGCTTGCCGCGACTGCGGAAAAGCTTTTCGGCAAGGATGCCCCTGCTCTGGGCCTTGTTAACTCTGTCGCTGTCACAAAGAATAAGAAACTCGTTGCGGATGCCGTTTTCCGTGGCGCGAACGTACTCTTCGGTAATGCTAGTGCCAATGAGTCTAACGGTACCCTTATGCGTCCTATCATTGTTGATGGTGTCCAGAAGGAGATGGATATCTACGCGACCGAGTCATTTGGTCCGACCGTTTCGCTCATTGTTGTCGATACTGAGGATGAGGCCATCGCATTGGCCAATGATACTGAGTATGGTCTGACAGCTTCTGTTTACACAAAGAACCTGTTCCGTGGTTTGCGAGTTGCTAAGCAGATTGAGAGTGGTGCTGTCCATATCAATGCCCTGACTATCCATGATGAGCCTGTCTTGCCTCATGGTGGTTGGAAGAGCAGTGGTTTCGGTCGGTTTGGAGGTATTGCAGGCTATGACGAGTTCCTGCAAACCAAGACCGTTACATGGATGGAGTAAAGAGAGTTCTCGTGAATAGAATATGGTGGCAGTTTGTGACTTCGGTACTTTTGTGACGCTTTGATCTGTTTAGCAGGCGCCGTGGCTCATTGTCTTTGAAACTGCATGAGCTTAGTGAGATCGTGATTCTGAGATGGCCTGATCACATGCACTTATTATGTTAGGAATATGGTAGACGGGACTAGAGGCATGGATACCCAACTGGATTTCGGGATAAGAAATTTATGACACGCAATGACTTCAATGTGGCTTTCACAATCTTTTTCAATATTTTAGGGTAGTCTGATATCGTAAGCGAGCTTGATTCACGTTGCTTATGGACTTGAAATTGGTCTTTAGCGCTGACGCGGATATTGGATTGATTACTAGTTGTCGCATCGACTCCACACCTATTCAACTTGAAATCTGCCACGTCGTGGCATCAATATACTAGTACTAGTTGGATTTATTTCAATCATCGACCCGCCAAATGATAATTTAAACCTTGGAATAGACATGCAGACCCTGCATATGTGCATTTCAGGAACCCACTGCCTACAATCGACTGCCAACTTGGAAATTGGGTTGGACATGCTCACATGTGCATCTCACATTCCACAATCGTATCAGATGAAACTGAACTAACCTTTCTCTGTTCTCGATGGGTTGTTAGTCCTTTCCTCAGTATCCGCCTCTTTAGTGTTCCAAATATATCTGAAATCTTTGAACTTTGACCCAGGACCTTGAATAGGGGCCAAAGTGGAGCAGCGGATAAAGCAATCAACACCGACCAAATTTCGATTATATTCAGGACCAGCGTTAAGCCCATACCCCCTGTAATTTGACCAGATGCGAATCAGTGATGTTCTGAATATATGATCCAAGTTTGAAGTTGATTCAATATTCCACTGCGCGGGTGGGGACATAATACCAACCTTTATGAAGGATGGAAACAATCAGATTGGTTAAGCAAACAATAGTACCAATGGTACCTAGGCTTAACAAGATGCAGATTAAAATCTTTTCCGTCGTGCAGATTCGGCGATTCCACATTATCACCATTGGATAAATGAGTAAAAGGAGATCCGTAACTACGGACCATGCTGAAGACCGGAATTACGCGGTTAGGCAAGCGGGTCACTCGTATCAATAGATGCATTTTGCATTTACCTGCTGCCCAGGTCGATCCAGATATTTCTCTCTTTGCGCACATTGCTGTCTTCTGCGTCCCGGGATGGCATTTCAATACACCCATGAAAGTCAGTCCGATAGCCGTTGCTATCTATATCACCTCGGTGAATAGTCATCTTATTTGTCCTCTGAGATAGTTGAAACGTTTCAGTCAGTGGGAAATGAAAGAGTGCCTTACATTCAAACCGGACGCAGCTAGCAAAATCCACTTTCCCAATTTGTAGATCCCCTCTTGTATATGAAGGATATACATTGTCATAGCAAGCTTCATGAACGCCATAGCCCAGTAAGCTAGTAGATCGGCCGTCGTTGCGAGGACTTTGGAAATAGTCAAGTGCGGATGATATGGGAAAACGCAGTAAAATGCTGTACTTAGAGCGGCAAGGATCTAGTATGAAGTGTATGTCAATAATGATAAATTGGAGAGGATAAGAGACGGAAGGTAAATTCAGGACTTGCTCACCCAGCTCAGAGTAGCCCAAACCAGAGCCTGACCTCCCCTGTGGCGAATAATGTAGAAGTATGTGTAAAAGCGAAGGATCATGAGTATTGATCCCAGGGAGGATAGTACAGCTCCTAGCGTGATAACAATCTCTCTGTGATTGTGACTGTTGTTTGTTGCCGACCAGCCGGCTGCGTGTCCCATCATTTTGAATCAAGTTGACGGCGGAATCAATCGGATTGAGCCTCAATCACACAGACACCACTACTCCACGGGTTCTAATTTTGGCGTCAATTGATCATCATGTTAGCCTTCTCACGGCTTTGATGTTGTTTAGACTCACCGAGCACCTGGCACCTGTTTCCTTCGAGTTTTCATGAGAAAAATGAAGTTAGTTTGATTATGTTCACCGTGTTAGATGTGGAAGGGCATGGACTAATATCGGAATAGTGTTTCGAATATGATAATGAACTTGAATAGAATGAGCGGACTAATAAAAACTTAAATTCGTACAGAGTATTGGTACATATAGCCTGGAAGAAATGCGCCTGGCTCATATTTTGTCTTCAAGATTGGCAAGGGTTTTGCAATAAATGCATTCCAGATGCCAGTGGCTGATGAGCGCTCTACCAGGATAGTACTGGAAACTCGTGATTCGAGTCATTTAGGCATCCTGGGTTGTGTAACGACCTCATCCCAACCTCGGAGACTCCGATAAAGTCAGTTGATATAGTATGTGTTGATTCATTGAGGACCTGAAATGTCAGTAAGAACCTTGGAAATTGCAATTAAAGGGAGAGAGACTAGTAGATATAGAGCCTGGAGCTACTGGCAGGAAGTAAGATTACCCAGCCTACTTCAAGTTCGTATGTATCTTCCAAGGTGATACACAGCATACTAGTAGCCAAAGTAAAGAAGTATCAAGGGAAGCACTGAGCATAAGCTGACAAGATGTCGTCCGACGCATATGGTGACAGAATAAACCATAAGCAACTGTTTCTGATCAGCCTCGCGGGTCGTCATACCTGGTCGCCCGTGCTTCTATACACTGTCTCACAAGGGTTTTCATTATTAAGCATGCTTGAGCTCACAAAGGCTCCGAGGCTAGGCCTTGTCATAGAAAGCCCGAGGGACTAGACCATAGTTCCATGCCCGCAAGATAAGTCCACTGCATCGGCCGAGTAGCTCTGGTGGATATGTCAATTTAGTTAGGCAGCAACAGGTTGCACTCAGAAAAAAGTGGCGTAGAACTGGATGACATCAAATGCATAGATACGAGCAGTCTCGCACTCATGCTCGATTTCTCTCCGGGCTCGAACCCACCCCGCATGAATCGGTGTTGACCGATGGACTTGGCTTTCCGAGAACATAATAATAGCCGGTAGGCTCTGATGAATTTAGATTCTCCTTTTCACATCCTGGAAAGAATAGATCAGAAAAGCCACGATGGGCAGCCTGAAAAGAAGATTTATCTCCTGACCACTTAAGACAGCCCCATAGGGTCTCTGAGCTGTAGTATTATTAGCATCCACATCCCGAGTTTTCCGTACTCCATAGAGGGGCAAAACCACCATAAGCAGCTTAAGTGTGACTATTTTGAGGGCGATTTTTATTTTGCCGAAGGGAGCCGTCTTCAATAGCGCGAGAACTCAACCATTGTTCTCATGAGAACTCACGACATCAGGGCTCATTCAGGGTCAGGGTCGTGTAAGCGGCAAATTCAGGGCACCAAAAACAACACGGACCCACAACCGGATGTTCAGGAACAGGAAAAAGGCTAACCCCTAGCGAATCAGGCTCCCCAGGTGCGCTGAGACAATCCAAATTTCCCAGCGAAAAGTTAGTCGTTGGTGTATCCAATCAACCGCACACTTGCTCGCACTAGGCTTGGCTGCACGAATTCTGTATCCTCGGTTCAACTGTAAAATAATCTGTCTCTCGTTTGTCTTTCCCGTTTGTCTTTCTTCCTCCCCTGATCAACTGTTGATCCCTTCCGCGATCATCGCAGCCCCGATGAACCAACGGGATCGGCGATTTTTGGCTTCATGATGGGTTATGGGTTCGTGGGCTGGTGGGATGTGGGGGGGGTATCATCCGCATGTGCCACACCGTACACCGTTTTAAAGTGGCGTTCTGTACGGAGTACAAGTGCATACTTGTTCAGCCATGTATCCGAGTCTGAAAGGCGAGAGTTTTGCGGGATTCAGGGTCCTCGGGGTACCTGACAGGAAATGAATTATCATTGGTGGTAATTAGCAGGAGGGGGAAAATGGTGGAAATTGGGGGCGAGGATGAAGTGATTGAGGTGATTGAGGGAGAGATTGTGTGTTGTTCTTTCCTTGATTCTGTTTGTCTCATAATCTCATTTGCTCCCGGTTATTCTCCGGTTACTCCACTTTGAATCCTGATATCACTGTAGTTTGATCATTATTAGAGAAATTATGAGTACTTTGTACTTCTTGAATCATTCTTGAAATAAATAAATTGTGCAATTTCATTCTCAAATGCTTCTTATATTTACATTCATTATGAGAATTCTTTTTCACTTGAAAGGAGGGGTACCCCGTGGTATGGGACATTTTTAGTCTGACATTCCACTCGAAGAATGAGTCTTAGTCCTAGATCATAGTGGAGTTGTTATGATTTATCCTTTTTTTATTATTATGATTTATTTTGATTATTTTGATTTATTATTATTCGGAATTTAAGATTAAGAACACAATCAAAAAAAATCAAAATACTCGGTCTGGATTATCACAGCCTTACCCTTACCTCCAGGGCTAGTTCTCTTGCACCCATAACACGAGCTAAACCACGAGTAAGGCCCGACGAGGATATGATACCGTCGCATTGATGATCCTTTAGTATTTTATTTTATTTCATTTATCTGTTATTTCTCATTTATTAAGGGGAAGAAGTCTGGATTTACTATGTAGAATATACTATGTACTATTTACTAGTAATTTACTAACCTCATCGCACTCATCCATTTTAAATGCAGTGTATACACCTAATTTTAAGTATCACTGCGCCTCAAAAAAGCCACCATTTTGTAGAACCTCGCTTGGAAAAGTACTCGATGTAATGTCCCCACTATGACCGCAGTCCAAAGAGTCCCGGTTGGTCCTGTACATGCTTGGCTTGGGCCCTGAATGGGGCTCTGAAATGTCTCTCTCCACTTTTGTCCCTCTTCTCAGGGACGCTTTGGCCGTGGCACCTTCCGATTGTATCTCCTTTTACCTTCCTTCCTTTTCCTCTTCTTCTCCTCTTCTTCTTCTTCTTCTTCCCAACCCACACCCACCCTCTTTCATTCATTCTTTTGCAACCCAAAGTCACTCGTTCTTGCTTTGAGGCTCGCTCTTTTACACAAAACTCCAACTAAGTCATTCATTCGAATATCCAAATCTTCCAAACTTCAAAATGCGTTTCTCCACCGCTACTGTCTTCTCTGCCCTTGTGGCCTTTGCTTCCGCCTACACTACACCTGACTACAGCGAGGACCCCACCGGCAACCCCATTCTCACTCCCGGTCTCCAGCAGCAGGTTCCTGAGGGCAAGCCTTTCGAGATTACCTGGACCCCCACCACCCCCACCGATGGCAAGATCTCTCTGGTCCTCCTCCAAGGTCTCAGCACCGACATGCAGGTTCTCTATGCCATCGCTGAGGACATCCCCAACTCTGGCTCTTACACCTGGACTCCCAGCACTAGCCTGACCCCCCAGACCACCCACTACGGTCTTCTTCTGGTCGTTGAGGCTACCGGCCAGTACCAGTACTCTACCCAGTTCGGTATTGTCAGTGACGGCACTGTCTCTTCCTCTTCTAGCGCCGTTACTCTCGCCCAGACCACTGCTCAGGCTTCTGCCACTGGCACCGTTGTGACTGTCATTGACAACGAGACCACCACCATCTGCCCTGAGACTGAGACTGCCTCTCCTACTCCCACCGCCTGGACCACCATCCGCAAGTCTACTGAGATCACCACCACCATCTGCCCCGAGACCGAGACCAACTCTGTCCCCGCTGCGACTAACACCATCGTCGCCTCTGGCTCTCTGACTCGTCGCCCTACCAAGCCCACTACCACCCCCGCTGGCAGTGGTGCCGTTGTTCCTTCTGGCACTTCCTCTCCCAGTGCTTCTGCCACCCCTTACTACAACGGTGCTGGCCAGAACACCATTAGCTTCGGTGCCATCGTTGCTGCTATGTTCGCCGTCATGGCCTTTTAAATGTCATGAGTCGTTGTATGAAGAGGTCCCTTTTCTTTTCCTATCTTTCTGAATGAGTCTCAAATTGGTCAACATCTCTTACCTGTTGAAGCATCCTGATAACTTATCTTCTGAGACATGGTGATATGGACCTCTTTATGTTTTTTTTTCATTTTTTTAATTTCTCAGCTGAACTTGTGTTTATTTTTTGAATGGAGCTCCAAGTCAGCCATGCTTGTAATGTCAAGTCTTAATGCCTTATGTTTTCTTCTGGATACACTATACTGCGTACTGTAAATGATCAGATTTGTATTGTATAAGATCTTACAAGATTCCAAGATTTTAATGTGCTTGTAATCGGCGATGATACTACTTGCATGGTTATAAGATGTCGTTAAATCATGGTGCATCAAGGTTAGACTTACCCGGACTCGGTATTTCATAGTAAAACAGAACGTCACCCAGTGATGCCATAGTCTGGATCTCAATCTGCAAGATATTTAAGGTTGTTTCAGGTTCCTCCATGTGGAGGCTAATTGTAATAATTTACCCTGTCATACCTAGAGCTTCAGGGCTGGTTTGAGGGTTGTACCCCCGCTTCTCAAACATCAAGTGCAAGTGTGGACTGCAAGTGCGCTATCAAGAGTTGCGGTGATATCGCAGCAAACGATCTATGAACGTAATGAGTCGACCGCTTCCTTGTGGAACACTGTCATCTTCTTCCATCCTCCAAGTCTCCATCCTCCAACTCTTCCTCCAACTACCCTCATCACAACCCATACTCCATCCTTAACCCGAACATGCAACTCAACCAATATTCAGTCGTGCTTACACCCATGTTGCTCGTGAGGCGTTGAGTTTGTCTTGCAAGATACTATCTACATCAGTCAGCCATATCGATTGTGATCTACCTGCACAGACTACAAGTATGGCTCCAGCGGGTGGCCGGAACAGGGGGGGTCGTGGATTTTCTGGCCGGCAGACGGTTTGTCTCTATATTCATTATTGTGATGAATCATTTCAAATGAGGGGAGGGGACTTTCAAGTCTCACATTCTGATACATATTTCTTACTAGCAGTTCTGGAGAGCGACGTGATTCTACAACTCGAACATCTGGCGATATTACCCAAGGCTCGAAAATGAAGGCATCTGATAGCATGCCTCGAAGCCTCAACGACGGCAGCAGTGAAGCTCAACCCCGCAACAGGAACTGGAAAGACACATACAAGAAGATCACAAATCTTCGTCGATGGGGATCCAAGAAAAACCGATCTAAGCATGAGGACGAGGAAAGCGAGCCAGATGAAGACTCGGCGATGATCATTCGTGCAACACCCCATCGACCTCCTTCTCCCTACCCAGAAAAATCATGCGCCATCGGAATGACCTCCTGGCCCTCGAATATCGCGAAGGACCCAAACCGCCAAGGCCCAGACCCTTGGTCACGAACCGAGGAAGAGATGTTTCGTAAGCCTTCGCCCCGAAGCTTCGATAATCTTTTCTCTCGCAGGGTCAAACATTGCATTCCTAGCGAGCATGAGAATCATCGGATACTTCAATCTGTTCTGCCTACTGATCATCAAACTTCCGGTCAGCCATCTTCGAGACGAACGATTCGGTTTTCTTTGGATGGGTCCTCGGATGTTCCGTCGACTTCGCGTATTCCTGCTAGTCACCCTGTACTTGCAGACCCCGGAGCTCGTTCTGGATTGCCTTTTGGATCCAATACTTTGGTGCGTAAGACGCAGTGATGGTGGTTTTATCTTGAATGGTCTTGGATGAGGTTTCTTTTGGCGGACATGAGGATATTGCTTTTGGACTTGATACTTGGATTTATTTTTGGGATTTCTTTGCGATCTTTTTGGGCGTTACTTGGTCATTATTTGGCATTGTGGACTTAGTTTAGTTTGGTATTTACTATCATTTTTCACAATCTAACTTATCATCTCTTTTTGATTCAAGATGGTCAAAGGCCGAGGTAGTCAACTGATGATAACCAGACGAAGTTGTCATCAGAATTATCAGCTTTGGAATGGATATGACAATTATTCTTCCATCTCTCAAGAAGTTAATTAAGACGATTTCTACAATATCATGCAAAATCCACTTCGAAGAATCGGTACTATGGCAACAATTTCTATACTCCCACCATATCTGATTGGTCAAGATAACCCCAATCAGACCCACCACGTGACCCGATATCGATAAGGAATTTTCCAGACAACATTCATCCTCACTCTCTCCAACATTCGAATCTACATCCTTGATCTTGTACTGCTGGCAGTGCTTCTTTCCACACATCTTCATATCCTATATCCAAATCTACATCATGGCTCAGGGTCAATTGAAGAAGAGCAAGCCCACCACGGCTACGTCGAAGCGGTATGTCAAGAATGATTCATTCAACCCACACCCAGTGATTCTATTCAGATTATGCTAATTCTTTTAGACCCTCCGCTACTGCCGGCAAGGTGAAGCCCGGTCCTAGACAAATTGCGCCCAAGAAGGCTTCCCTGGTTAAGGCGGCCAAGTTGACTAAGGTTTGTTCAAGTTCCAACCATATTAGGTATTCTTCTGTGCTAATAATATCGTGTTGTAGAAACTCACATCCGGTCTTGTCGCGAAGACGGAACGCAGTTTGGCATCGAAGGCGGGTCATTTGGAGATGTTGTCTGGTGGAAAGAAGGATAGATTAAAGGCGAAGGGAGGGGACAAGGGCAAGAAATAAGGATTTCTGCAGTGACAGCTTAGTGAAGCCATGGATGATGGTACATTGCGAAACACGTCCAGGGCTGGGCATTGGAAAAGTCTTGTTCTTTACTGGAGTTATATTCTGTTTTGTGGTTCTACATCGCAGAAGCTGGCGATGATTCATGAATTCGATACCCCGTTCGTGACATTTTGATAAGTTCATTGAAATAATTCTAATCACTCGATGCGAGAAGACATCAATACAACTTGAAGTATTGAAGTAGATAATATATGTAGAACTTGAAGCCCAAAATCAATGTACAAAACCCAAAAAAAGAAATAGGCCGCAATATTCGAAGCTAACATAGCTCCTGATTAACAGCATTCGTCAAATCGTTAAAACTGATCAGATAAAATCATGATTCAGATAGATAGCCACCGGAAAACGGAAGGGGAAAAAATATGTCAAAAAAAACAAACAAAGAAATGAAGGGTATCTATAATGTCCAACTCCTGTCACCTTGCCAATCTGTATGTCAAAATCTTCACAATTTAGTGTTTGGGGGAGATCTTGCTGGGTACGCCGGCTTGCTCAATCAAGTCCCGGCCATGCTCCATCCAGTTCTGGAAGCCCAGGTCGGTCGGATCTGAGGGAAAGTCATCCCACACTGCGTTCTCAGAGTCTGCGTACGAGGACCATGTACCCTTGGGTACATCGCTAGTAGACCAGGATGGCAACTTGGCTAGAACGCAGGTGTAGTAGACATACAGGATGCGGCAGAGGAGCTCAACTCGGTCAACGTAGTGCTGTTGAGTGGGGTCAGGGCTTTGACCACCATCACCCAGACGCTTCCACCAGGAGACGCGCCATCGCAGTGAGAGCAAGATATGGCCCAGCTCGCTCAAAAAGCGGAGGTGGGTTTCATGGGAGATCTGCTTCCATTTGATGTTGTAGAAGTCTCGTTCGAGCTTACGGAAGCCTTCTACTTCGAGCATGCGACAGACAATACGAGATAGTTGCGCGGCGAGGAGGATATCTCCATGATCTTCGGGGTTGTTGATATCCATGTCCCGTTCTTGGCCATTCTCGTCGAGGGGGACAATCGTGTACTTCGCACGGCTAGGCATGTTGTTCCATTGGGAAAGTAGGGTCTGCAAGGGAAATGTTAGTTTTTCAATGTCAATAGCGGTAAATGATTGAACTCACGTAGGCTTGGTTCATTGGATCGCAATCCTTGACGCAAGTCAACCAATTCTTTGACTTGTCTTTTGACTCCACGATCCGACGATCAATAAACTCGAGAAACGTTGACTTCGAGTTACCATTGTAATCGCTGAGACTCTTCAAAAAGCGGTAAGTCTCGCCAAGGTCTAGGACATATAGAGAGCCCCAAGCTTGGCTAGCGCGGATGTTGAACCGGCCCTGACGCTCTCCAAGGAATGACAGGAGACGACCCATGTCAAACTCCGATGGAATTTCCATTCGTACTCTGCTTCTTCCATCCACTGTTGGGTGGTTAATAGCTCGTTGAGAGATATAATTGCATGTTCCAAACTCCACAATGCTAGAGAAGCACGCGCGTGCGCACGGTTGCTCGTGTAATGTGGGACGACAGGCATCGCATGGCGCGCTTCCATCGCACTTGCGCTTATTCAGTCGACATTGAACACATGTATCCTTGTTCTTTCGGCGCATGCCAGCGTTAGCCCTTCCGACCATACTCAGCGGGCCTTTACGGCGAGCGCCTCGTGGTGGAGAAACGAAGTCCGCCGAGGCAATGGAACCACCTTGACCATCCTCTTGAACAATCTGCAAGGGTTTTGGCAGGCCTTGGTCCATGGAACCTGGGGCGCTTCGGTTCTTGCGCTTCCGGACAGCCCCAGAGGACTGCATGGCCAGAGGCATGGGTCGGCCAGAGGGACGCTGACCTGCATTAGAGGAATTCCTCGATCGTGCAGGGATAGTGTTGATCATAGACTCAGATGGGGACTCGCTAACCATGAACGCGGTTGTCTTGCCCCCCATGGTGGGAAATCGGCGACCCCGTGTCTGGGGTAGCAGCAATTTTCCACTGGGCAGCATCATCCAGCTGGTGATCAACAAGAGTGGGAGACTCCGCGCTTGTTGCAGAGTAAGAGCACTCATAAATCCCAGACATATCTCCCGAGACTGAAGAGTTCTCCGACTTGTACTGAAATCCGTCATGTCCGGTCTGGCCACGTTTCTGCGAGGCCATCAGAGATGGCGCGGACATTTGAGTCAGCGGTAATTGCGACTCAAGCGAATTCAGCCAGCGAGATTCCAAGGACCGCATAGACATTCGTTGAAAGCGTGGCACTGATTGATCCTTCCCGGTGTTCTGGGAGTCAATTGCCAGTTGAATGGTATTTTGTCCTGGGATATTGTCTATTGAGATGCCGTGAGGGATCTCCCATTGCTCTGGGATTATAGGGAATCCTTGGGGCATTTGTTGAAACATCATGGCGTCGGCCGAGACATCCGGGAATCCTTGGTCTTGGGGTAATTCACCGACATCCTCCACGATCACGGCACCGTTCGATGGTGTCGGGGCTTTACCGTACGGGTACATCATAGGGTTGTCGAGGGGCATGCCGGCTGCCGCCGAGTTGAATATCTGGAAAGGAGACCAGGCCTCCTCTGCTTGGAAGTTGTCATCAGATGAGGAGGGCAGCGTACGTGGGCTGACAGTACCACTTCCGCTACTCTCTACTACACCCTCGGTGTAGTTGAAGGTGTCGGAATTCTCTGGGTTCACATCTCGCTTCCTATATTAGAATGCAACCCCAATGAGCACTTGATTCATTTTGATATCCTGCATTTCCGGGGTATAAACCAACCTAATTTCTGGGTGCGGGCGATCAATCAGTGAACCCGTTAGTTGGTCATGGAAAGCGCCCAGATCCGCAACATCGGCGCACTGGCTAGATTCCTGACTAGTATCCCACTCCGGAGGTTGATCGTAACCTATATGCTCCCACGAGGCGACGGAAAAAGCACCGTCAGATTGCCAATTATCGAGAATTTTGGGGTCGATCCCCGCAGCAGTTCCAGCAGTTCCGCAGTCCATACAGGATATCGGAAGGACAGGTTAAGTCAAAAGATTGAACAAAAGTCACAAAAAGACGAATCTTTTTTGCGACTTTTGCACTGCGGTATAAGGTATAATGATATGCGCGTTGGGAGAGATGTGTAGAAGGAAGAAGGCTGACGGGGTTTCCCCACCTACAAAGTTTTGCTACGATCGGCTTTAGCGTGTATCGCACAGACCGCCCCGTTGCGGTTCTTGCTCCGAAGGTACAAAAAAGTACATTGGTTATTATTACATGGTTGAATTAGAAATTAGTTGAATTTATTCTCGGCCGATCTTTATTTTTATTCAATAATTAATCCTTTTAAGATTCTGAGGTAGATCGTACATGTGTTCTACTTCGTATACTCCGTACTGTTGATCAAGTTCTAGGTGGACTGACCACCCCTGAATTAGACCCGTGGGACCCAACAAGGAACAAATTGAACAATGGCATACTGGATCAGAGTGGATGAAGGGTTTTTACTAGTACATTGTGGTTCTAGTATAATATTATAATATTATAAAATTTACTAATTTACTAATTTACTCATTTACTAATTTACTAATTTACTAGTATTATTACAGTGAAACTATGAATCATCAGTCCCATTCCTACTGTGTATTATGTAGCACTGAGCATGTGCATGCACTTATACTACACTATTAATACTTCCATGTACTAATTTTACCCTGCAGGATATAACTACATATCTGCAAATGTATGATCTGAATAGAATAATATCTATTTTCTACTAAGAAAAAATACATTATAATTCCAATCATATTCATCCTGCATTGAAGATCAAAAATTCAGATCCTTGGTCAACTGGTACTCTTCGTACTAGAAATCTCTGCATGACGATCTGGCTCACCGAGACTCCCCATTCCGGTCAATCAATCCAACTTCCTCCCCCGCCTCATGAGCTTCACCGCGACCAGTCTGGGTGAAGTGGTGATGGCTCAACGCTTACCCAGTTTACCCTCTATAAGTTTGGGGTACCCCGACCTGGGGTGATTTGGTGGTTTCTATTCTTAATATCTCTATATCATTTTATAGTCGGGAAAGATCCAGTGGAGGCGAATCCTACAAATTGAAGACGTCACTAAGTGGAAACCAACACGACCTGACGATTCCCGCAAGAAAAAAACACCTTTTAGTTGAGGGGCATTTTGAGAAATCCATTTCAATTCTCCACCTGAGCAGTTTACAAGAGCATTACCAGGTCACGATGCACATCCTGGTAAGTTCTTCAGGCTTTCTATTTGATATCAGGATATTCCTGGTAGCCAAAAGGCAAATAGGCAAATCAGAAAAAGAAAAAAAAGAATAAGCAAAAGAGAGTCATGAGATCTCTGCTATTCTAAGAATTTTATTACAGAGTACTCCGTACTTGCTACGAAATATTCTGTAGCTGCCAGTGATATCAGATACAAAATATACCATGATAAGCAAAGCTATGACAATTCAATCGCTAATCAATTTTAGGTCGTCAACGATGACGGTCCCCCAAACACCCGCCTCTCACCCTATATCCGACCCCTCGTGAACGAGCTCCAAAAAGCAGGCCACCAAGTCTCAGTCGCAATCCCCGCCGCCTCCCGCTCCTGGATCGGCAAAGCGCACATAATCGAAGCCTCATTAACAGCGCACTACGTCCTCCCAGACTCCTTCCGCGGAGATGGAACCTGGGATGAAAGCTATGATGAAAACGAAGAAAATAGCTCACCCTGGGTCGTAATCAAAAACGGTACACCGGCCAGTTGTACGCAACTAGGACTCCACAACCTCTTCACAGACAGGCCTCCAATCGACCTCGTCATCTCAGGCCCCAATCATGGCCGAAACGCCTCTACCATTTACAATCTCTCCTCGGGAACTGTGGGCGGGGCTCTGGAAGCGGTTTTCTGCGGTAAGCGCGGCATTGCGATTTCCTTCGGAAGTAAGGATCCACAACCGGACGATGTCATTCTTGCTGCGGCGCGGTTAGCTGTGCGTGTTGTACTGCACCTGCATACTGTGTGGGATGAGCGCGTGGAACTGTATAATATTAATGTGCCTATGCGTCTGGATGTGGAGTCTAGACCTGTGCTTTATACACGCACTTTGCCGTATTATTGGTCGCGTGGATGTCTTTATGCTGAGACTGAGGTGCAATCTACTCCAAAGTCTAAGTTGACGAATGGAGTTCCTAATGGGGTCCCTAACGGGGTCCCTAACGGGGTCCCTAACGGGGTCCCTAATGGGGTCCCTAATGGGGTTGAGCATGAGCATGAGCATGCGGATGAGAATGGAGTTCTGACGAATGGCTTATCGGAACATTGTAATGGGGTTAATGGTCACTCGAATCCCAAGCAGCGCCATTTTAAATGGTCTGCTGATTTGTCGGATATGAAGAAGCGCTTGCAGGAGAGTGAAGAGGGGACGGATGCTCATACTGTTCTGAATGGGTCTACTAGGTATGTCCACGCGTGTTGCAGTGATTCCAAAGTATAGGGTGATGTACTAACTATCCTAGTGTCACTGCCCTACGAGCCAACTTCTGGCATGTCCCCGATCTAGAGGGACCTATCTATTTGGATCAATAAAACCTCCACTGGTGTTTTGGTCCAGTAATGCGTAATGCATGTCATGATTCTATTTGTTTCGGGCGCAGGGCTTTCAGTTGCATTTATGAGCATATTCATCGATCATCTACGGGGATCATTACGAAGCTTAATAAGAAGATATACCTTGAGTCACCGTCTCTGTACATAGACTACATAGTAGAGAAGACTCAAGACAATATATACACCGTAAAACAGCATTGGCATTCAACTATCGAGGTGATGGGTTGGACAAGCGCATGAACGTGCTTATAGAAGCTTAGACTTGAACAATGTAGAAATAAGGGTGTATCACATAAACTGGCGTAAGGCCAAGACAAACAGAAAAGAGTGGGGGAAAAAACAGAGTTGGCTTAGAGTATATTAGATTGCGCGTGCAGCTTCACCAGCACCACTCTCAACAGTCGATGCTTGCTCTGCGCGCATCTTGCCCTTACCAACTCCACCCTCGCCAACACCCATTCGGCGAGCGACGTAGCGCTGCGCAATAACACCCGCAGATAGAGACAGAGTCTCCTCAATCCACTCGGCAATCCACTCACGGGGGTCGACACCACCGCTCTCAATGATCTCCAGAATAGCCTCTGGCACCTCAGCATGAGCGATCTGCGCATCCTCAGCATCCTCCACCGCGGGAGCGGAGGCATCAAGCCACTCAATCCACTTGGCCGGGACGGACTGAGAGATAGTGTGGAAAGCAATACCATGGACAGGGTCATGAAGGTAAAGCGCAAAGAAAATCTCATCCTCCGCCTCCTCAGGCTCAACAGCTCCCGAGGTGTCCTTCTCGCCGGATGCACCAGCCTGGAAAAGATCCGACGAAACAGTCTGTCTAATTGCCTGGATAGCCAGGAAAATATCACTGCTACGAACAGGGTTCGACTCGCTGAGCACCTCGCTGGCCTGCTTCGCTGCCTCCTCGATTCCACCCCGAGAAGAAAAGTACTCCGTAGCGTAGGACTCGGCGCTAGCACGCACCAACTTAGACCCCTCGATAGTCCCGGAGACTGCGTTGATAGTACGTGGGTTTCCTGGTGTCACGGTACGCCACCAGGGGCCGTCATTCCAGCCCGCACTGGAGATGTAGCCACCCACATCGAGAGTACGCTTGGGCGAGGATTCTTGGCCCCGCTGAATAACGAGAAGATCGCCACCCTCTACTTGAGCCATCACCCGTGAAAACACGGCGTATACGAGTGGGTCGACACCTGGGTAGCCGGAGAAGTCGTGGGTCACATGGATCTGGAGACGTTCGTGTGATGAGATAGGAGGGGCAAGGGTGTGGATCAGGTTTGTGAAGGTTGGGATAGCCATGTTGCGAAGCTCGCCACCTAACCAGTTAGGTTAGTTGTCACGAAAGTCTCGATCAATTTTGCAAGAGGTAGCAAACACATACCAAGGTCGCGGAGAGCACCAACATTGCCCTTGACTTGCTGAGCCCATCGCTGCGCTTCCTCGTTGTTCTGGATTTCCTTAACCGCTGCTTCAGCCTGCTTCATTGCTGCACTAGCAGTTGCGAAGATACCACCCCACCAGCCACCACCCTGCTGCTCTTGCGGCTGTTCCTGTTGTTGTGGTGCGGCATTCTCCTCTGGTTTAGGCTGCTCGGGCTTGGTTTCAGCACGAGAGGTACGACCAGTCTCCTCTGAGGGTCGAGGGGCTTTTTCTTCACGCTCGATCGTCGCACTGGGACGGGGAGAGCGTGTTGAAGATCGGGGCTTATCAATAGAGAGACGTGGCGTACCGGGGCCACTGCTCGGTCGCTGTGCAGCAAGGTTGTCCAGCTCAGCTAGGACATCTTCCTGGGCCTTTGCATTGTCGGTGGGGGCTTGAGAGGGTTTGGATGTTTTATTGGATTGGTCGATACCAAGGTTATCGAACTGAGCAAGTAGCTCGTCACTGGTGGGCTTGGAACCCTTGGGAGGCATGTTGTGTGAGATGTGTGCTTGTTCAGGAGAGGTGACGACACTGGTGGGAGCTCCCGTATGTGGAGTCTCTGTGCCAAGACTGACACTTTCCAAAGTTTTGTCTCATCTCAACTCTGTGATATAGTCTTAAAGTGAATATTTTCACTGTTTGTGGTAGTATTACTAGACACGTAGAAAATTGATATTTCCTTGGCTGTCAGCCTTGGTGTCCAGCTATCAATATAAGCGCATTATCAGAATTGCGGGTGGTACACATAGTTCTACCTACTGGTAATAGTATGGCCCGAGGTTACAACTTACGGTTAAAGGTCTTCGTACCACAAATTGACTATCGATGCATAAACGCACAGCACTTGAGAGCTGAATAATGTCTTATCTAGACCAATTTTGAACTGATTCCTCGGTCTTGATGCCACCAATTGGAGTGGCGGTGTAGATGTGCTTGAATGAACATCCGAGTAATAACAAATAACTTCGGCATCGCAATCCGCCAAAGGATAAGTTAGAATGGGTCATATGGACCTGACAGAATGGTTCTCGTATTCACATGATGCAGATCATTTACTTCAAGTTGAGAATATCAGAATTTTCTGAATTCTTCAGCTGAAGTCGTTCAAATATCTGGAGTATAACCCGCTAATCAAGCCGCAAAATTAGAATCTTGGTTGATCCCGCCAATCATGAACTTCAGATGTTGAAAAAGTTGTCGGAATACTTATGAAAAATTTTGACGATTTCGGATACAACTTTTTAGTTGATTCCGCAAACATTCATTTTTATCGTCAAAGTTTGCGTGGTTGTGGAGTTGGACTCGATCACGACTAGTGGGAAGTTCCAAGGTTCATGCCGATGCCTATTGAATACTCGAGCCTCATGAATCAGTACATATCCTTCTGTACGCATAGTCCGAGGCTTAAAATTCCTACTCTAATCATTCTAACCAAAAGCTATGACCATATCAAAGAATGAATGGAGATCTTTGATCTTCAACCGTTGAATATTTGAAATATGAAGGGAAAAAAAAGTGTCTATACTGTACTATACTCAGGTGCTCACCAACCCCCCAGAATGATACTATTCTCCCTTGCTTTGTCCAACTTGGGTAGAGATGATTTTTTGTGAAAGGGAACGTTCGGATGCAGCGATCATAGCTCATAGCCTAACATCCCCACTCTAACGCGCAAGACTAAACAGAGAAAAAAAAACATCGATCGGGTATTCAGCACATAGATCCAACATGATACTTTCAACATTGGAAATTAACTCATAGAGAAGCAGCTCAGTATTTCGAGAACAATTTTCTTTTATTTATCATAAATGATATCTCGATCTGCCTATCAATGTAACTCGATCAATTTCCTCTTCTTCCCTTAGGGCAAAAGTACCCACCTCATTGCACTTCTGTGAATGGTGAACTGTCATTGGCGGCATCTCAAGCCGAAAAGTTGACAGGGCCGCACGGGGGGGATTTCGATATGTTAAAGGTCAATAAATCTAAGTAGTCTAGTTAGTTTCATTTCTATACTTCTTTGTGTACATCAAATTATTGCTCTCATGACCAGCGAAAATAATCCAAATTCACCATTTAATCGACCGCATGGGGGTGTAAGTGTTGAAAATGACGGCTCGGGAAGATCATCAAAACAACAAAGTGCCCCTGCAACACCCAAACTCCCGGGATTGATTGAACCGACATCGTCAGGACCATCCCGGGGTGCTAATTTGACTCCATCATTGGGGAACACGAGGGCGAATTCTAACTCGAAGGTGGCCATTCCGCGTCAGAATACGGGCTATACGCCTCGCTATAACCGGCGAGTACCGAGGGCGTGTGAGTCTTGTAGACAACGGAAAACGAAATGCAGTGGGGATACTCCTGTATGTCGACAATGTCGAGAATTACGGGTACCCTGTCAGTATCCCGTGGGATGGAGGGATAAGATGAAAAAGTTGTGGAATTATCCTTCCCCTTCCCCATGGGAACTATACAATCCCTGCACTCAGCACAAAAGTACTAATACGGAACTATAGGGAAGTCGACAAGTTGGCTGCGGAAGTCCAGGATTATGAGAACTTTTTGGAGGATTTACGACTGAGTGCTGAGTCTCGCACGGCAGAATGGGTTAAGAGCTTGATGGACAAAGTGTGTTTTTTCTGCTATAGGTCTGGCCATGTACTAATGACCTGTGAAGTATGGCCTGAAAGGGGATCATAGAGAGCACAACCAATTTTTGATGCCTACTCCCCAAAATGAAATGGATGCCGATGAACCATCGCCACTGTCATCGATTGGATCATTGGAGGGCATTGATCGGGTAGAGGAGGACCTCGATCGGTCGGACAATACTCGAGCCACAGGTGTGATGGGTAAAAGCTCTGAAATCTCATGGATGCAAAGGGTTCAGCGTGAAGCAGAACGACGAGCTCAAGGGAATCCGGGTATCTTGGAACCAAACCAAGGCGATGATGAAGAGAAAGAGGTTTTTTCTCTTCATGCCTTGAATTACCACCTGGACGACCTTGACATCTCTGTTCCAGAGCCGGTCAATATTTATGAAATGCCACCTCGACAACTGGCCGACCGACTTCTTAATGAGTATTTTGAAAGTACACACCCTTTCTTCCCTATTATCAGCAGACCCCTTTACCGCGCACAATACCAAGCCTTTCTCGACGCTTCCTCGACTTCCAACACAACCCGACCTGGCGATAAATGGCTCGCTGTTTTGAATATTATATTTGCTATTGCTGCAAAGCATGCACATCTCACCAAATCTCCCTGGTGCGGAGAGGAAAATGATCATTTGGTGTATTTGACCCGTGCCAGGCGTCTCAGCATGAACAGTGACGTTCTGTTCAGTCATCCTGATCTTCAGCAGGTTCAAGTTGAAGGGATGATTGCATTTTATTTGCTTGCATCCGACCAAATAAACAGGTCTGTCTCTGCCCTTATTTATTAAGAACTTCCAAATGTCAAGGCTCCCTTGCTAATAAACTAAAGAGCATGGCGAATTTCAGCTTTGGCAGTACGGTCGGCAATCACCCTCGGCATCAACCTTAAAATCACCAGCACCAAAACCCCCAGTATCACCAAAGAAGCTCGCTACAGAGTATGGTGGTGCTTATACAGTTTCGAACATATGTTAGGCATCATGACTGGCCGGTCCATCTACAGCCTAGACGGAGGATATGCCACCCCTCTCCCACTTCCATTCGAGGAGGAACAATTGCAGGAGAACCCAGCAGCTGCCGAAGTTCTCAACAACGCCACACTACGAGATGCCTTGATCGGCAATGTGATGGCAAGCTCATGGATCCGACCGACGGGCAGCAAAGATGATATGCACAAGACCCGAGTTCGGGATCAGACATGGCTGAAAAACCTACCCGTCAATTTCGGACTATGCTACCTATACTACAGTGACTTGACGGTTGTCACGCAAGAGATTCTCAACAAAGTCTATACAACCACTGCGGTGCTACTGCCTTGGTCAGATATTGAGAGTCGGCTCGACGATATGAGATTCCGTATCGATCTATGGAAATCGAGTTTACCATCAGCGCTTGACTTCACACAAGATGAAAGCGACGATAGCCCAGACCAGCTTCGATGTAAACTGTTTCTAGCATTTCATTACTACAGTGCTCGAATAACTCTGGGACGACCGTGTCTGTGCAGACGAAATGCACGACAAACGGATGATCCGCAAACATTCAGTCATTCTATGGCACTGATTGCTCTTGAATCAGCCAATGGCATGCTTGACTTGATTCCGGATAAACCTGACGTTGTCCAGCTCTACCAAGTTTGTCCATGGTGGTGTGTGCTTCGGTATCTCATGCAAGCAGCAACTGTCATCCTACTTGAACTTTCATTCGGTTGTATCCACAGCCCAGAGGAGGAAGGAAAATTTGTCTCACTTTCTAAGAAATCCATTCACTGGTTCTTCGCCATGTCTGAACATAGCATTGGTTCCCGACGTGCATGGCAGATCTGTGATTCCAGTTTCCGGAACTTGGCCAATGGCATGAAATACCCTACCGACGATCTGCCTGATCCACCACATCAGCAAGAGCGCACTGCCGCAGATACAACGTCTCATGATCCTGCTGAGTCTAGTCATAACGTTCCATCTGGTGACTATTTCACTCAACCCACAGAGGACCTTCATCTTTTCGGCTCTGTCCAAGTTCCCGATGGAGGAGATTTCTTCCCAAGCTACTTCAACTTTTCGACTCCTGATATTATGTCATCGTTGCAAGGTCATACTGATATGACTGACGATTCATATTTTTCCCTATGATCCCCTCAGCGGCGAGTTTATCAGATCTTTCTTCCCTTCATCGGAAGAGGAAAGCAAGAATTGAATATCGCCAAACCCTATCCCTTAGCATCTACATTCCTTCTCCCCTTTATTTTCCTCCTCTTCAGGACGAACCATTTATTCCTATACCAGTCTCCAACTGAAAAACGATATTTGGACGACCATCTCATTTAGCGCATCAGCATTTTTCAGGATCAAAAGCATTTACATCAATCAAAAATTTGCATCATCGGCATTTCAATATTTTTTATCTTAAATAGTCTCAACTCCAATCAATCTTCCTACCCATTAGATATTAGATAGATGCTTGTCAAATATGCCAGAATGATTCTCAGTTCTATAGATCTGAGCTTTGTGGGGCCGCTTAACGGATGCTGACTAAACCGATCTCCTGTCCGATCCCGATCTCGGGGCCATCTGAGTCAACTGGTGTAGATCACAACACCTCCAGGGCTCTTTCAGTGACTCGAGATACTGCGTCGCAACTATGGAAGATTCGATCAATCTGCTGAAAAAGAGAGAAAAGCAAGGGGGCATTACCGGACGATAGAAGAGTGAAGGTCACGTCATTTAGACCCCCGTCCGAGCTTAAGGTAGATCTCAAAACTACCAGCCATTGTGCTCGCATCCAGCAACAAGACGACCTTCTACCACATGGCACACTCCAAAGCACTCCATACTCAATTTCATCGTACAAATTTATGTGATGAATCAAAATTCCGACCAGGCAAGGCCAGAGCGGAATGCAGAGTCGTGCATCCGCACCCGCGGCAGCACGGCTTATCGGGTTCCATCCGCTGCGGGACCAACGGGACCAACGCGGGGTCGGCGATAAACCAATGCATAAATAGGCGCCATCGTGCCAATGGTACCTGCGCGACACAATTGGAAAAGCAATATTCAGCTTTGAGCCACAGCAGCAGGGACACGTTTGGATCAAAATAAGTAAGTACCGGTGCACTACTTGTCCATAGCATTTCCCTTATCTCAATCATACTTCCACTTCTACTTCCAAGAGTCCAAGACTATCATCCAACATTCCCCTCAGCTTGAGTCCTAGATTTCCCAAACATCACCCTTGAAATCACCGCATCCACCCATCATGCGTCTTCCCTACGTTTCAGACCCCCCACAAACAACAACGGAAGACGAAGCTAGAATCCTAGCCGCTGTCCAAGCCCGCCGAGCTCCCAACCCCCTCCTTCCTCTCGACCTCGCCCTCCTACACTCCTTCCCCGTGACAGAAGGTTGGAACTCATTTATTGGTGCCATTCGCACCCGGACAAGTCTATCTACCGTGATCCGGGAACTAGCAATCTGTCGCGTAGCCGTTATCAACGGTGCCCTTTTCGAATGGGAGCAGCATGCGCCTTTACTAAGGGAAGGTGGATTAAGTGAGGATGCACTGGTTTTGGTGGGAGATAAGGAGGTTGATTTCTCGGATGAAAGTTCTTTGCGTTTACTGAGCGCGGGACAGAGGGCTGTACTGAAGTATTCAGATGCCATGACGAAGACGGTTACGGTACCAGATGAGGTATTTGCCGAAGTAAAGGGTTGCTTTAATGACCAGGAGGCTGTGGAACTTACAGCGACGGTGGCGGCTTATAATTGTGTCAGTCGGTTTTTGGTTGCATTAGATGTTGGGGAGAAGAATCATTAGATTATTTGGCGTGGGATAATTCTTGTTGTCTCCAACCAACGTACATTCAAATGCTAAGACACTTCTAAATCTGATTTAATTTTTTTTATCTTTCAGTTACCAAGTAAATTTGCTCATTTAGCTCTCACTTGATTATGACCTGTAAATGGGCACCTGAGCACGTGGCCAATTTCTCAACTGAGTAGGTATAAAATCAACGTTTCTATATATTCTAACCTTGATCTTTCCGAGTCACATATCTCACATCACCTGCTTTTTTCCCTGCTTATATCTACTTACCTGTTCAAGTTGAGTATCAAATTTGATGAGCGTCCGTCCTATTTCAAAAGCCTGCAATCAAAATGACATGCGCTCAGGTTTTCTACATACTACACTACGCCTTCCACATTACCACCACCCCATGTCCTTCTGTTTACTCGCAATGTCACTAAACAAGGTCGCCCATCTACAAAGTTCAGAATAAAGGTGAGTATGAAATCACATCTGTGCTATTGTGGAAATCCAGCTCTCTTAGAGGAATGCGTTCATTAATTCGTATGCGAAAAAACGACGACGAAGACGCCAATCTTATATGGGGTGTGGAGGATCATATTGACATACTTGCTATTCTCAAGGATTGTCGCCATACCATTTGTCCTCGACCTGGGGGACTTTTGATTGCGCCGTGTATCCGGGATTGGTGTTCTTCACACTCGGCGTGGTTTTTTTCCATTGGGTACACCTGAGAAGAAGTTTTACATACCACAGAGCTTGCATTTCATAAGCTCTAGCCCTGGACCTCGGGAGCACTACGGTTCGTTTTCCATCAGAACTTGAATGGGCAACTTCAATTTAGCATTGAAAAGTCCAATCTCCAAGGTACTACATACCTGCCTACTACTTAAATAGTGGATAGTTCCAAGGTTGAGCACCACTACTGGGAAGTCCGAGTCTAAGTTAATTCCCATTTAATATACCACTGGCAGTTTGAATGAACGCGATTTTTCACAAATTCGGGATTGCATAGTATTTACTATGTAATTAAATTCAAGTTGAGGACTCGGAGTACTAGGTAGACCATGATGGATATTGATTGTAGTACTCAACCTTGGAATACCTCATGACTGCGGATGCCAAACAGGAAAAATATATTGGCGGTCCGTGCATAAGACACGCGATAATCGGAAGTACAATTAAGGGGCTGACAAAGGAAGTTTCCAAGACAGGCTGAAACCGATTCAGATCAAACTATTATGATTCTTTGTTTTTTTTCCAAGATTAAGATCATACCAACCTCATGAATAGTATAATTCAAATATTCTCGGTTGTTTGATTCAAACTTGGAAATTGTTTAAAATTGTTCCGGTGGTCCGTATAGATGCGGTGGAGACCCTTGCAGCGGCAGGGGTACACTTCCGGGAGAGATGGTAACACTATGTAGTTCACCTAGGCACTTAGAACATTTCAAGGTAATAGGAGTAGTATTCAATATGATATACTTTGGTGTATACTTATGAGTAAAATCCTAGTATGAAGAGCTATACCTACTCTCCATAATGTTCAATCGAAGCTTAGACTGTCAAGTGTATAGTGTAGACAAAATCTGATTTTCCTAGGCCCACTTGCCCGAGATGAAAAGACCGAGTGAATGTGTAGGGAGTCTTGATTACCAGGATTGGGGAAGACTCGGGAGATTCGGGGAAGGATAGATAGTTAATAAGAATAATTTCCAGATTGAAAATATCAAGATTCTGGGGGCCATTGACCCCCAATCTTTGAATTAACCAAATACTCCGTTAGCGATCTGACGTCGCGGCTTACAGTGAAGTTGGGCAAAGAGAAGATGATTGGTCGGTTAGAAGAAAACAAGTGGATCCGTGTACTGGTCACCTTCACTACAAAGTAAACCACCTTCAATCAAGACTCAATCTCTGTTTCTTCACTATCGGGGGATTCATCATTCACTCTCGACCTAGGACCTATTAATTCCCCTGGTCTCGGGTCTCTGTCCTTTCCCTTCTTCATACAACTACTTCCTCATCTTTTTACCTCTACCCCCTTCCCGCAAGAATCCTCGCTTTTTTTTTCTTGCACTTTTACTTACTGTCGTGGCCTTGTTCACACTGTATCCACTGCATTGTCTATCTGAAAGATCGTGCCTTGTTTACTTCTATTCTGATTCCTATCATCTATCTTGTTTTCTCTTTAGCTTCGGACTAACTGGCCGCGACACTGATCTCGCCTCATTATCGCCCAGCTGGTTCCAAGTACACATCCCTGCCGCTCTCGCGACCAAGCGCCGTCTGGTACTGCGCATCGCATCTACTCAATTTCATGCTCAGAATCGTGAATCTCATCGCGATCTAAGTATCTCGACTATCTGTCTTTAGGTACGTGATTGTCGCGTGTGTTCCTGACCTCTTTTTCCCCTTCTGATTTCGATTTTCCCTTTTTTTTCTGCCCTTTTTTGTATGCGAAATGTACACTTCGGGGCGGATCCACTCCCAATTTGCCGCGACCGTGATCATCTACCGTGTCTTATGATGACCTTCCTCATGTTTACTGTTGTTTACATTTGGTTGGGTTGATCGAGGGCGACTTGATTTTACTTGACTCTACGCGCTGGGCCATCCTAACTCATACACTCGTGATCTGGGGAGTTCCCGCATTACGCGCTACTATTTCCATGGCTTGGCACCACAACCGAACCCGGCTAACCCATCTATACAGACAAAACTACATTTGGGATTTACAGCTTTGTTCTGTTTGAACCCATTTTTTTTTTCATCTGCTCTTTTTTTCCATCATAATATTTTATGATCTTATCTCTTTCTGTCAAAATGGCTCCTTTTCCCCGTGCCGATTTGATTGATATGGATCACCCTTCCTCTGATGTGGGTGACAGTCAGGATCAGGACTCCCCCCTGCGCCGTCAATTTTCAGAGCCATTTCGGCCACAGTCTACCTCTACTCAAATCTCTCAGTCTCCTGAGCCACTGGCTCAAAAAATTAAATGCGACTGGTGTGGAAAGCTACTTGAACTGCCCAATGATCACTCTATCTCGGCCAAAGATCTGCTTCACTCTCACATTGCTTCATCTCACCCCCGCTCCAATTCCTTTGGATACGATGGAGCTGATGATGAGGATGAGGATGAGGAGGAGGAGGAGGAGGAGGATGAAGATGATGTAGATGCCGATGAGGATGTTGATATCAATGGCGATGCTGATGTCGATGGCGAAGGAGATGTTGATGATGACCTCGAAATCGAGGGCGATGTCGATGATGAACTCGACCTTGAACAAGAAGAGGCAATGAATGAAGCACAATTCGAAGAAGGCGAGGAACTCTATCAAGCCGAAGAGGGTGATGACGCCGATCTTGGTGATGACGCCGCCGCTGATGATGCCGAAGAACTCCTGGCAGACGAAGCCGAAGACCAGGGTTTTCAAGATCCACAATTGAAAACCGAATCCGCTACACCCTTTGAGCAGGATATCGATGCTCTCAATGAACTCTCTCAAAATGCCAGCAGTGCCAGCAATAACCTTGGCCTACAAGCTCCAGAAGAACAACGCGACCTTATGGACTGGCTCGCAAATCCCCAGACTGGATACCCCGAAGAATATCGCCGCCGTCTAGCTGAATGGCAAGGAGATGATATCAAAGAGCGCTTGCCCAGAATTTGGAAAGTCAATAAGGTCACCAAGTTCTCCACCGACTATGAAAAGCAAATGGAAAAAGCTGAGACCAGCTGGAAATCCGCGTTCAATGATCCTTCGAAGAAAATAGATGGATCTCAATCAATGTCGCGACCAACCCCATACACCGAAACCGAGACCAGCACAGGCCAGTTTCTAGAACTTGGTTCATTCGATGATCTACTCGCAATGCTCAAAAGACCCAACTCTCTTACCCCCGAACAACTTTATGCAGCCACTGAAGCTGCTGGGGTCGCGATGAAAGCCTGGCAAGATGAATACTTGGCCCTTGATAAGCTTTACAATGCGGCGCACAGACACACCCGAGGTCCGGTTCCAATTACCGCCAAGCGAGAGCAGATGCTTGGTCACAAGAAGCGAACTAACCACCCGCTTGCACACGTTCCACAAGATGAACGTGATTTCGCGGAACGACACGAGGCGGCGCTATATGGATACAAACACAACTATAACCATCGCAACACTCTCGAATCAGTTTCTTGGATCCCTCAGGACCCCTTCGTGCAAGGAGGATTTGTTCCCACTGCTGCTCAAGCCCGAAAGATGGCGACAAAGGTTACACCTGGAGATCGGAACCCTGATGGCTGGACTCCTATCGTACAAAATAGCGTGGAGTTCGTTCCGAAGATGTATCAACAGCGAGCAGAGCCAGTGCAAAAGATCACTCGCAAACGCAAAGCCGTGGAGGTGGAAGCTGCCAAGTCCGACACTGAGGATACCCAGTCTGAAAAGGGAGACGAGACTGAAGATGAAACTCAACGTCTCGCAAAGCGCCGAACTCGAGGCCGTGGTGGTCGCCGTACCAATTTCGAAGCCTACCAACCTCCCGAGCCCCCTACATCTGCTCCTCGAGGTCGCGGTGGTGCTCGATCTCGTGGACGTGGACGTGGCCGAGGTGGAAATGCTGGTGGACGGACAGTCTCTTCTCGTGCCTCTCAAGAGGCCCCAGTTCAACCAGCTCTCACTCCGACTGCTACTCGTGGTCGTGGTCGACGGGGTGCGAGTAACATCTCCACCCCGCAGGCGCGCCCGGTAGAGGAGGTTGTGAGTGCTATGTCCCTACCAGAAATATCGCCAATGCCAGAGCCAGCATCGCCGCCCAGATCGACACCAGTTCCGAAGCGGGATGCAACGGTTGAGGAGATTGAAGAGGCGCGGCGACTAAAGATCGCCAACTCCAAGAACCCCAAGCGCACCAAGGCCATGCTGGATCATTGGGAGCGGTTCAACCGCGAGGGTCGGATTCGCAATCCGAAGCGGTCAAAAGCGCAAATCGAACAGGACCGACAAGTCGACGACAAAAAGCCGGAAGTGCCGCGCCCTACGGGCAGACGCCGAAAGTCTCCGTCGCTGGTGCCGATTCCCAGCGGTAACTTGGCTCCGAAGGCGCCGACCGTGGCTCCTATGCCCGGTCACTTGGCGCCTGGACCAACGTTGCCGCCTATTGGGATGCCGCAATATGCACCGCCAAATCCGTTCGCCGCGCACCCGCAGCCCCCTATGCCGCATTACGCGGCGTATCCCTACCAGTATGGCATGGGACACTTGCCGGGCCCGCCTCCAGGTCCGCACGACCATCACTATCGCGGTGTTTGATCGTGGATGTTCGAGGAGAGAGAGGATGAGGAAGAAGCAGTTGAGAGGAGTGAGGTGAGGTGTTGGAGATGAAGTGAGAGGTGCAGGGCATCTCATGTAATAATAAAAGGTATGCTAATACTATTTTTACTTCAAAATGTTTTCTCCTTATGAACATAAATTACGTGTTCGGTTCAGAACAAGGAGTAATATGTGCTAAGTCGATATAATCTCACTTTAGATGTCAAGAGGGGTGTTGTACATTATGATATAGAACGATTGGAGCCACGTCAATGTGGGGACAGCGGCTATAGTCATATCATGTCACTAGAGCAACACATTTGAGTTGATGTGCAAGACCTAGGGAGATGGAGGGAGTTAGGTCATCTCCAAAATGGCCATTTGGCGTATTCCATTGCTACAATGCATGAGCATTGTATACCCCCGTGAAAGAGAACCCCGAAGAGAACGAGCAAGGCCAAGCAAGCTGGGAGACAAAACAGTTTCCAATCTATATACACAGAAACTTCGGTCAGGCCAAGGGTCTAAATTCATTTTGCTGTCATTCCACGCCCAAAAGAGTGACGAATTGACCACCATATCACGTCTCAGACTAGACCCGAGTGCTCTCACTTCTAACCGGTCAAGGATGTGATGCGGGTCTTTTTCTTTCACATTTGTTTCAATTCGTTGGCCTTTTGCCAACACGTTTCGTTCGGCGTTCTGGACATGGGCTCTCGAGGAGCTCCTTCGTTTCTATCTGATTCTGGGAAAGCGCAAAAAAGGACATGTACATTCTAATGGGAAAGCCAATTGCTCGGGGATCTGTCCTGATCTCTGAATCTGGCAAAGCGTGTGTATTTTACTTTGTTTTCTGTGTATGAATAGGACATCAATGCATTCCAAGGTTCCTAATATGGTCAATATAGAAATGAAACCTCAGGCACCAACTTTTGTAGCACGTGCATTTTTCTCATGTGACCGTCTTCGGGCAGTTTGCATCACTTTCCAACTTCAGGTCTACCGTTTGCCAATCTTCAAGTTTCTTCCATTGTCGATTTCTTATCATCTTTTTTCTCGTATTTCCTCACTTCAAACCTCTCCCGCCAGTTCGTCCTTCAACTACAGATTGATCCATCATGGGCAAAAAGAGACGTGGTCCCTCCCTGGAAGAGCTCTTGGCTCGACCATGGTGCTACTATTGCGAACGCGACTTTGATGACTTGAAGATTCTGACCCTGCACCAAAAAGCTAAGCATTTCAAATGTGAGCGATGTGGTCGCCGATTGAATACTGCTGGAGGTATGTTGAATTCGAATTTCCCCGCTTTGATGCAATTTCGCGTAGAAATGCGATATACTGACTCATTTACGCGCCATAGGATTGTCAGTGCACATGAGCCAGGTTCACAAAGAACAGCTTACAGAAATCGAAAATGCACTGCCTAACCGAGTAGGTCTCGATGTGGAGATTTTTGGCATGGAAGGAATTCCCGATGATGTTCTCCAAGCGCACCACCAGCGCGTGGCTACTCAGTTCCAGCAGGCTGAAGCCGATCGCCAAGCTGCCACGGGCAACCCCCCCTGCTGGCAGTGGCGTCGGTGGACAGCCAGCTAAAAAGCCCAGACTGGAGGCTACATCAGATCTTAAGAAGCGATTGGCAGAGCACCGTGCTAGACGCGCCGAAGGAACTGCTGGTGGTAGCAGTGGAGACGCAACACCGGTGGGTGCGGGCCAGACCCCAGTACCAACCCCGCCTGTGTCGACCACCCCGAGCGCATATGTAAGTGCCCATACTCAATGTGACTCTTGCTTTTTCAGATCTAATGCTTTCTGTCAGGCGCAATCACCCACTGTACCCTCGCCTGCACCTGTGCCTATGCCCATTCCTGCGCCCGTGCAGCAATACTCTTATCCTCAACCTTATGGAGGCGCTCCGGCTGTTGCCCCGTACCAACAGCCTGTCAATTTAGGATATCCACCATTCTCACCAGCAGGCGCACAACCCGTACTACCTGGTGCTTCACCTTATCCTCCCACCGGATACTCACCGCAACCATTCCCTGGCCAACCCGGTTATGGAGCATCTCCCTCGCCTTACCCCTCACAACAACCTACCCCTACCGAATCCTCAATTCCTCGACCGGGCAGCTTGCCACCACCACCCTCCGGTCTATCTGGTCTACCGCAACGCCCAGCGTTTGCCGCGCCCCCAGTTAATGCGCAGCAGATGCAACAGATGCACATGGGCCACCCTGTTCCACAGAAAGTTGCAGTGCCTAGCTATGGAAATGGCAATGCTATTCAAGACACACCACAAGTCCCTCCACCATCTGATAATAATGTTTCTTCTGCGGCGACAGCAGCGGGGACTGAAAAGCCGGCTGACGGAACGGAGAAACCTAGCAAGAAGGACAAATCCAAGCCGACGCGCATGATTTACTCGGACGAGACGACCAGCCCCGAAGAGAAGATGGCTCAACTCCCTCGGTACGCATTCTCCCGCGATCAGTTCACCCAAGAGACAACGGTAGTGAGCGAGCTCGGTGCACCGGTGACGGGAACGATCCGCGACCAGGACACGGTGATCGACCCAGCGCATTAGAAGTCTTAATCCCAATATGACTTTTCTTTAATGTTTTCTGAAAATCCCACTTGGGGGAAAAACGATGGATGTCTACAAAAGGATGGACAACGGACTCCAGCTAAGTTCGACACATACTCTAGCTATGCATGAGCATTTTTCTGTGTTTCTACCTGGCTGGCTTTTATTCTGTTATTACCTGCCCTGATCTATTAGTAGTGTTGGCGAACACCTAATTCCCTTGTTCAAGATTCCCTTCAGAAGAAAAGAAAAAAAGGCAAACGGTTCCTCGTCTTGCGATATACTCCATGATCCTCGGTGAGTCCTGTCGCTTGACGGGCCCTTCTTCCGCTAATCGGGGTTATGTTGGGCAAGTTTTCATGAAGAAGGATTTGACCGTACGTTTTCTCTGCCCTTGTTCTGATCACTCTCCCGCTTGGTTCCAAGATTCCTGTGGCTCTTCACTTAGGTACTGAGATGCGAGGCAAGGCTCAGGGTTACATGCCATTTACTCGGATGTAAGTTTCTCTATTCTTTAGGTCCAAGTAGGGAATCAAGCAATTCCAAATCCACATTTAATGTAATTCGCATTCATGAACCACATATCAACGTAGTCTGGATCATTCTTCATATGTATGCAGATAACGCAACAAGCGCATAAATCCTAGTAAACAACCTTGGTTGAACCCTATTCCAAAAGCAATCCAATTCGCTTAACTTAATTCCATAACTTGAGCTCAGCTGACCCAGCTAACATTTGATGGCTGATAGCTGATAGCTTGTAGATGGAGCTGATCTAAGCCCGCTTACTCTTCCAAGCAAGTCCAAAGACAACGATTCCATAAGTAGCCAAAATAGACAGACCAACCGGCACAGCCTTTCCACCGGTCTTAATCGCACGAGGAATAGAGCTTCCACCGAGAACAGTAGAAGCAAGAAGACCCAGCTCTTCACCGTAAAGTTCACCGGAACGGAGACGGAAGAATGCGAGCGCGTAGAGGGCTCCGACGGAGAGTCCGGCTGCGATTGAGGGGATTGAGCCTGTGCGGGCGTATCCGATTGCGCCACCGAGGGAGGTGAGGAGGGAGAGAGCCAGAGCGGAGTTTGTGGGTGGTTGAGTGGACTATCAGTTGTTAGTTTTGGTATGTTGGAGTTAGAGTTGAGTTGGTGGGATGGAGATAATGTAGATGGGAACCGTGGGTTGGATTGGGGTGATACCATTTTGAAGATTGGTTTGATGTTGCTTGATGATATTTGACTTTGTGAAAGTTGTGTCAAAGGCTCAGTTCAAGTTGGAGATGTGTTCAAGTTCAGGTTGGATGAGGTGATTGTAGATAGTGGTGCCATTATAGCTCTGGTATTAGTCAGATTATGGGGAAATGGGCCGAGGTTACATGGAGTATAAACTATGGAGTATATTAAATGGGCTTGCATGAAAACGAAAAGAAGGAATGTTATATGCTGGATATTCTGACCTGGGATTGTCTAATTGAGATAATTGACCTTTTATGAAGGAGTGATTAGGAGACCTGTTGGCATTTCTCCGTGGCTTGGTTAAGCTGCCACGCCCCCACTTCAGGTACCAGAAGTGCTTAGCATGGAACCTGGAAGTATGTGAACAGTGCTGGGGATGTTCCTTTTTTTCAAAATTTTATTTTTGATGTTATTATTCAATTGATGCTAATCGATAGCCTGATCATTCCTAATTCTTTTGATACTAAGTAGATAATTATTTCAATTTTATTTGATTTGTTACGGATCCTCCGAGATTTGAAGCTTCTCTCATCATCGCCTCAAGCACACTCGAATCTACAAGTCTTGGGTGCCCAGTCCTTTCCTTTTTTTCTTCTTTCATAACAGAGACCTGATTCAATAACTGACTTGAAGTGAATATGAACCACCTTCGCTTTCCAATCCCGACTCTCAATCAGACTTAGTACATAGAGCCTATACTATATCTCTCTTTACACCTGGGTAGCTACATGAGGAGATCAAAGCACTAACACTATGTATTGGAGTCATATTCAAGATGACTCCTCCAAGGTTTCTAGAACGTATTGCTGTCTATTTGCTCAATCTGACAATTTAGTTAGCTTACACATTAGCATATTTTTCCGCCCATACCACGAACAACATTCGTCTCGTCATGACATTCCAGTAACTTCTCCATAAAGTCCGTCATTCGTCAACTCATTCAACGTAATGGTCTAGCCGAGTTGTTTGGAATATAATCCACTGAGATCGACTCTCCTAATCTGACCGTCAGCACCGAGTCAATTTACCCATTTCCTTAATCTCATCATCTCCCACTACCCTCTCTCGAAACATCAACAGCACCATATCCACTAGCAGACTCCGAATCCCGACTTTCCTCCACTTCCTCCACCTGATCCCGATGTGGACCATCTTGCTCAACAATCCAGAAAGCAGGAGCAATACTGACAAGCGCTAGAGCACTTAACAACCACCACGGAATAATCACATATCCCCTCTTGATACCATACGAAAACGCCGCTCCAATCACCGCTGGTCCTGCTGCACGACCTAACGCACTAACGCTCGTTCCAACTCCATTCAGCGTACCGAGCACGCTCATGCTGGAGGCGGAGTTCGTAAGTAGGATTGTGCAGCAGGGAATACCGAAGCAGGTTGCGGTTAGCTTAGCCAGCATGATTAGTAAAACCGCGGGGAGTCGGAATGGTTCGGGGACTAGTGCTGTGAAGGGTGTGAGGAAGAAGATGACTGGCATGGAGATGGCGGCGGCTTTGAAACAGCGGAGGATTCCTAGGTATTTCGCTATGGGTGGGAAAGCGAGGAATTGGATGACCATGCCTAAGACTCCGATGATGGTGTAGTACATGCCGATTGTTTGGGAGTCTGTTGAAATGTTAATTATATAGAATATCTGGGTATGATGAATGTATCGCTTACCGACGCCGAATCCACTTGCGAACTTGAATGGTAGCTCCACGTCTGGGTTGTTTTCGAAGTCTTGGACTGGGTAATTCAGGAATACAGGGAACACAGCATCAAAGGCCATGCCTAATCCTGAACACAAGGTGTAGGATGTAAGAACCAGACATGATTGAGGTGTGAAGATCTGGGACCAGCTAGGTCGAGTTTTGGGCTTGGTGGGTTTCTTCTTCGTGTCACGAGGAAGCAAAGTAGCGCGCTCTTCATCCAAGCTCTTCGAGTCCGCGTTTCCCTTCTGCCGTGAAGTACATGGTCGAGTAAGTGCCTGTCCTAGCTCAAGACCATAGTCACGCTGATTCTTTTTCGATTCAAGGGTTTCCTAAATCTCGTCAATGAATATTCCAAGATATCTTCAGAGACTCGACGTACCTGCAAGAACAAGAATCCATTCGTAATACCAACAATAAAGAAACAAGCAGAGGCAATATTCGGCAATGCGAACGGATACCTTTTCAGAAACTCCGAGCCGCCAAAGAGTCCTGGATGTTTATCCGCCGGTCGTGCTAATGCACCTCCAAACGCTGGTCCAAAGATACTACCAATGGTCCATACCAGAGGCATAATACTAAAAGCTCGAGGTTGAAGTTCACGCTCTGGTACAATCTCCGCTACCATGGTGCGGATGATACCGACATTACCGTTCATTAAACCGATCAGAGCACGTGTCACGAGGACCATCGTCAGAGATGAAGACATGCCGAGAACAATCGATAGAATCATAGTACAAAAGAGACCGCTGATGATCACGGGCTTGCGGCCTATAATATCGGATAATGTTCCCCAAGGAACAGCCATAATGGCTTGACTCACGGATGCGACCGCAGATGCGATGCCGGCCCATTTGGCGACCTCTGGTTTTGGGACGCCAACATGTTGAATTAATTCAGGCTATGGAGACTTGTTAGCAGAGGGTTCAAGTTTTGTATGTGAAATCATGTAATGTTGAAATGCGTCTCAGTAGAGGAGGTGAGGAGCTCGGTTGCGGCGGCATTTGATGTCGGTGGATCAGGACGCGTTGATGATAACTTACGAGATATGGAAGAATAGACGTGAAAACAACTAATCAGAAATTTCTATTCTTAGTGAATGCTTATGAAAAGCCAAAAGATTTGAATGCACTGATCAATAGCTATTCATGGACATACTAGGCTCAGCGAATCGACATATTGCTAGATAACTGATCAGCTTGAGTTGAAGACTCTTTAGACGGTGAAGAAAACATACACAAAATAACCAGTTGCTTAACTGGCAACTTGGGTTTCTGCATTTCTTTTTATGTCGTAAAACAAGTCGTTAAAACGTAAAACGTAAAACGTAAAACTTCGTCTATATTTCCCCCCAAAAGACAAAACAAAAACAAGAAGAAGCGCAGGGGGAGAAGAGTCAACAAGCGAGGAAGCCGAAGACTCGGATCGATCAACCGCAGATCGGCTAGAGATTACTACCATGTACGACTAAGTTGACTAAACCCCAAAGTTGACATGAATTGACTCCACTTGTCGGGGCCAGGCCGCCACTAATGTATCCACTACCGGAATTGTCGCCGCTATGCCAGTCAGCTTGCAGTATTACTCTTGTTGTATCCAATCGTGTGCCCCTTCACATATGTGCATGTCCAGGTGGTCTGTGGTTAATCACGAGTACGAGATCCTTCATAGTAGACTTGCTGATAAGTGTATACATTGGTGGGGTTAAGTCTGTTCTTTTGGTCCGCATGCCAGTTCCTGGATATTAATCCGGACTCTACATCATGATGTACCAAATACAATAGAAAGATGTTTGAACTGTTGACCTCAATTTATGATCTTCATGTAAGGTGATTATGCATGTCTCGTAATAGTGGGACCTCGAGAGATGTGCGGAGTAGGCAGGTATATACAGGGTTATGAAGTACAATGTACTTCAAAGGATGACACGTTCGGGACATCAAATGTGGAAAAGAAATCCAGCTGGTCAAGTTCACTTTTGTCAAGCGTTGTCCATCGTAGCATCAAGCTTCGAAAGTCATCTGTTCTGAGGGGTATAGCGTGGCTCATATCATGACTAACCTCTTCGCCTTCACGCTTGCGGTGGGCACGTAGTAGCTCCGCGGCACCAACTTCAACCAAAGCGCCTTCTGCCAGGTGTCGACGATGGTAGGGGTGATCTTGGTCTCGTGTTTCTCTGGGGTAGTAGTCTTCATCGTCGCTGTTGTATTCGGCGTCGTGATTTCGGCCTCGACGACGAGTAGCTTGTGAAACGGAATCGCCAGGACTGACATCGCGCCGCTGGCTTTGCTTTTCAGTCCATTTTGAGCGAGGAGAGAAATCTCTTTCATCTTCTGATTCGGGACGCGAAGTACGGGTATGGTACTTGGGGTCATTAACCACGAGGGAAGAGTCAAACCCGGCTTTTTGGACTTCAGCGGCAATAATTGCGGCGAATTCAGGATCTTCTCCGAAATTCTGCTGCTCATTCTCATCCTGGGGCCTCAGCTTAGTAGTAGGCTCACAGCTACTAGTAAACCCAAGAGAGGCTATTAGTAGCTATTCACTAACAAAGTTGCAATACTAGTGGCGAGCGGTGGCTGAAAGAAACTTACTCAAAAAGAGAATCTTCAAAATGGGTTAAAATCCATGGCCCATGGGTACGTTGAAACTGTACAATTTCGTTTGAGTGGATGCTCAACACTCCACCTCGAATTCTTGAATGGCGGGCATTATCGAGTTTCAATTTGCAGCAGTCGATCTCATGAAGCATCTTTTGAATGAGACTATCGTATTCCTCTAGCTCATTTTTGTCTGAACTAACAGGGCCCGAGTTGATAGAGGCTGTGGATACATTGACATTGGGCCCATTTAGCCCTGTTCTTGGTAACACAATTTTCAAGGATTGATGCTGCCCTTGATTTGACTTTCTTTGCTCCTCAAGTAACTTCTCGATTAGCTCATGCTGCTCCTTTAGAAGGCTTGATACATTATTACTGCATCAAGGTTAGCAGGCATAATATATCCTTCTTGGGGAAGTAGACTTGCTTGCGGATTTGCCCTGCGCACATAATCACATTCAAAAGCAACAGCGTATTTCTTTTGAGTGTTTCCAATTTTTCTTTGAGAAAATTCACATTTGACTCATTAAGCACATTTCGTAACTTGTCTGTCGCTTTTTGCCATCGAGATTTGCCCAGTGTGTCCGGGTCGTGAATTTCATCCCTGTATTTGATGAAGGACATCCGCACATTCTTTCATGACAATTTGCATCCTACCATGCGCTTGTTCTGAGCAGAGCTTAGATGCTCCATCTTGATCTAGGCTCATCCCCAGTTCGTGGAGAATGGCGCTTGTGAGAGCGACATCACTGGCTAGACTTTGAACTGATTGGTTCACTGATTGAATCTGGCGGTAAAATGTGAAGAGCTTGACTGATAATTTGGTACCAAGATCTGCAATTTGAATAATGTTTGCTGCTATTCCGGCGATATCAAGCCCAGACATGTTGGGTTATTTGCTTTGGGTGCTGTTGACAAGGGGCGAGAGAAGATACTAGTACCTCAGACTGTGGGGCTGTGTTTGGTCTGAACCTCAACTTCCAAGGCTATGTTAATGCATGATGACGACTCACCTGTCAGATTACGATCAGCCTCATTCAACAAGGTCTGCCCAATTGATCCAATCTGAATTAATGCTCGCAAAAATGGTAGTTTAAACTTGAAGTTCAAATCGAGGATGATAAAGCTACGGCCGCTGCCTGATAACCGCCACGCAACCTGGAAGTACGACCAGGTAGCTATGTCATGCCAGAATTTCTACATCAATTTCCATACTAAAATCACCATATTCAGGACAGGAAACAAACTAGGCAACTTCAAATGTTCAAATTCAAGTTATCTTAGTCCGGTTGATGTTGGGCAATCACCACCTGGGCATCCAGATAGTATCATCGCCCTTCAAATGTTTACCACCAACAGCGGGCGGAAGGAGGTGACGCCTGGGAGTCTGAGGACCCTTGATGGTTCAACCTTATGAGCGCGTACTAGTACCTACTAATCAATTGATCCTGGAAACATATGCATGCAGTACTTAGTACTAGTAGTATCATAACTAGGTTGGTATTTCCTATGCTGGATCAGGGACTCCGAGTCGGACGACTTCAAGTTCTGAAAATATTCCAATAGAGATAAATTCCATGTAATATGTGTAATGAAAACCCTGGGAAAGAATATGAAATAATAAAACAACGAGGTATCACAACAAACATTTGAATATCATATGCAACCGCTGAAGCAGAGGATCCATGTGGATGAGATAAAAATGCCAAATCAAAACACATAAGTGTATATAACAACTGGCACAACCACCTACTCCTGAGGCAGGTTTTCAATCTCATCATCGTCAATAACAACAACATCATCTTGCTGGGGATTAAGCTTTTGACCAATATCAATACTCTCTCTCATGATCTCACGCGCATCATCCGCAGAAACATTCATATCCTCCATGATGAGTCGAACAGCTAGTTCGGGTACAAGAACGGATTGTGCGTATCCGACAATGCCCACTTTGGCAGCAAGGCTGTCATCTTTAGTTAATCGGCGTAGCTTAACGGAAAATCGACCCATGACGCCATCCAACCTAATAGAACATATCAGTCATTGTACACGCATATAGAACATACTGGTTGCCCATGTCGACTTACATTTTGTGAGCACCCTTCCCGCCGTAGTATCCGCAAGATATGACCTCGAGGCCATTGCTCGTAATAGTCAGGCGGAGACTTGATCCAGCCTTCTGGGCACTTTCGAGGATATTCCGATAATAAGATGGAGTCTCGGGGTTCAGATACTTTTCAATATCTGAGTGATAGCGCTGCATACGTTCTCCCAAAGTGCTCCAATTGATATCCGGGTAGCCATGTGCTCGCCATTCCACCGTCGCTGCATCCTTTTTATGCGAGGCACAGAATCGTTGTTGTTCGCGAAGGCGCTGCTTCGGTTGGGCCTGGAACTCCCTCAGCATCTCCGGGTCAACCTCTGCTTTACACATGGGGCAAAGAGCCTTGCGTGGCGGTGATGTTGATCTTGGAGGATCATTTGATTTTTTCTGCAGTTCATCTTCTGAAGACAAAGGCGAGAGGGATCTGGTTGAAGAGAGGGACGACTGTGATGAAATCTCAAGGTCAAGGTCGAGGTTGAAGGATTGGGTATCCCGCGAGGATGCACCAAGAGAAGACATGGAAAATTCGTCATTCTGCAAAGTAGGAGGGACTTTGAATTTTGGTTTCTCAGGGCTTGCAACATGGAAATCCAGAGGAACTTTGAAGCTGTTCTCTGAATCCGAGTCTTTGGATGGCTTGTTTTTTTTGCTCGCTTTGTCGTTTCCTTTCTTGGCGGACGATTTCGCTGAGTTGAGCTTCGATTTCTGCGATGATTTCTCCGGTGTTGCGATGGAACGGGCGCTTGATGTTGGTGTCTTTGAAAAGGAAGCTTTATTGGATGACGATGGGAAGGTAATTTGCTTGGACCGCTTAGGATTGGGATTTTGCATCCACATAGGGTCTCCCTCGTTCCCACTCTCCAGCACACTCGACGTTCGTGCCAACCCATCTTTCTTTTTGTAGTCTTCCCAACCTGTGAAAGTGCGACTTGGCGCATCCCTAGCCCCAACGAGCTTTTCCTTCAAAGTGGGCAAGGCGGGTTTACTCTCCTCGACAGGGTCCTTCGATTGGTGAGATTCACTCAATTCACTCTCTTCGTCGCTGCTCATGGGTGCCGCATGGATATTGATGTCAGGCTCGTCCTCTTTGTGCTTCTCGAGAGCGGGTGAAGCGGGGAGCTCTTCGTCATTCTGCGAGGGTTTGCCTTGGAATGTTGACAGGAGATGCCGACCGAGTTTTGCATTCCTTGATAAATGAATCGATGCATCACTCGCATCTCTTCTTCGTCGAGACGTCATTATAGAAGCTTGGAGATGTGGGAGGAGCTACTTTGTGGAATTTCGGAGGTTGGGGAAGGTTTCCGCGACATATGCTCCGATTGGCAGCGCAATTCCAAATACCAAGTAAAGTGGGGTTGTCACGTATCCAAATTCAAGAGGGAATATTACTGAGATTCGTGAATCTGATCAAGGATTCACAGATGCAGGCCAAATTGTAATTAATCAATGGGATGAGAACAAAGATGCGTGAGGGGAAACGCGTGACGCGCGACTCGGAGTTTGATGGCTCCACTTACGGGTCCACAGAACGTTAAACTCTTTTATACATGATAATCGGATGAAATTGTATATACTGGATTCTATATACTTGATCTTTTGCTGTGCAAAAGAAAAAGAAAAATTCTCTAGGTTGACCATGCAAATAACCCAGAGACTAGCCATGACAAAAGGGGGGGAAATAATATGAAAGAAAAAGAAATCTGGAAATAGCCAATATGGTATCATACCAATCATTACTCAAATGTCATGGAGATTTCTCCATCACCATGATCATCAGCCCAGGCATTGTGTTCTAACGCCATAGCGCCAGATGCACTAGTACCAACGTAGCGGCTACTGCTGTTAGGCGTACTAACAGTGGACCGGAGCTCTGGGCGAGTAAGAGGATCAGGAGAGTACCGCGGTGGTTGATCATGGAAGGAGGTGTCAAAAGTCATGTCAAGTTCGTCTTCTTTATAAGTCGGATAGTCATGTGCGGATAGAGGAACCGCATTTAACTGGGGCTCTGATGCAGTTCGAGTGACAGGGGGAGGTTCAGGTATTTCAAGCTTGGATTCCGGTTCAGCTGGGGCCACATTCGGGGCCACGGCTGAAGAGGGTTCAGCTGGCGGGTTCAAGTCAAGTATTATTGGGGGCAGTGTGGATTCCAACTGTTTCACTTCGATCGCTTCTGAAGCTAGTTCGGCACGAATGGCCTCAATGTCGAAAAGAACTGAGCCCGGGGCACTGACGGGGTCAGCAGAACTAGATAGCGGAGAGTTACGATCAATATCGTATGTCTCCCATGCCTTCTTCTCTGCCATTTTGCCCCGTTTGAACAGACCAAAGCGCTTCTTTTCTGGCTTCAGCTCGGCTTCACGTCGTGCCTCATCGATCTCACGGATCAATTCTCGCTGACGCTCAGCATGGTCGTCTGGGTCAGGATCCTCGATTTCGGCAAACTCGTCTTCCAGGACCTCCCAGCCAACCTCTCTGAGAATACGAGGCATGGCAGCTCGGTAGTCCATATGGCCATTGACAAGGTTGGTCAAATCGAAATTCTCAATCCCAGGGATTCCTTCAATAGGAGCAAGACCAGAGACACGCATAATACCACCGCTAGTAGCGCGGAACAGGTAGCCTAAAATCCAGTCGTTCGTGGAGTATCCATTCACGAATCGGCCAGATACCACACTACGGGCTTTGAGGTAGTCATCCTTATTCGCCACTACCGGGGATCCCATCAGATACACATTTTGAATCAGTCCATTAGCACCCTTGTCAGCCAGTTCCTTGAGACAGGAGAAAATGACACGTGCACCCAATGAGAAACCGAGTAAAGTGATGGGCCGATTACCAAGATTTCGGTCTTGCAAAGAATCTGCCATGATCAAGCCTGCGTAGTGGGCTCGCGCCAAAGAGACGTTCCAGGGGTTGTCGATGAGATATGCAAGCTTCGTAAGAACGAGTGGCAATTGCAACGATGCCATCAGAGCCATCAGAATGGTACTTCCAAGGACTTGTTGAAGACCTTGAGTCAACGCCTAGAATAAAATCTAATCAGTATTTGAAAGCAAGAAACATAGTATTGACTGAAGAACTTACCTCGGTTGCAAGAATGTTAATCGTGTCACCCATACTTCGAAGCATTTCAGGCTCCCACAGAACGGAGTAAATATCACCCATTATGGGATCTACAGTACTGTATGGGAGTCGAACGTCATCGACCTTGCCAGTCATCCAGCCAGAGACTGTGACAATAAGATTGAGTTTCTTATTGTTGTGAAGTGGCCGGTATTCGAAGGTCTGAACGGCTCCCGTTCGGCGATGAGAAGCTCTCATACCAATGGCACTTCCACCAATTGTAGCCCCCGACGCAATCAAGGCAGTTCCACCAGCGCCTCCCAAAAAGGCACTAGTACCAGAAATCCCAACGGTAGTCAGACCAGCAGCAAGACCGGCTCCAATCACTGGAGCAAGCAGTCCGGCAGATAGACCAATGACCAATCCACCACCGACTGTAGCTAAACCCATGAGCATGTACTTGCGCTTTTGGGACATCTGTCGCCGCTTCTCCATGTGCTCCGTTTCATCCCACGTTTCTTTCTCAGCCTGCTCTTGCATTTCAAGTGCATCTGTCACTCGCTTCTCAAATCGAGAAATTTGCAACCATGTCACATCCATAGCGGCACCGACTCTTTCCAGCAAAGTTCGCGATCGAGCATCGTACGTCGAGTCTGCAATGAGGACAAGAAATAAATCACAAAGTACTGTCCATCGAAGATCTATGTCGATTCGATCGGAAGTGGGCATTTGGGATGGAGTGTGGACTTCAGGGACGTCCTCTTCGCCTTCATGAGCCTCGTATGGCGGAGGGGAGCCTGGGTCCGATGAAGCTGCTGTGTCCGAAGACATTCTGAACCGAGCATCGGATTTAAGAGCGGGAGATGAAACTGAAGAGGTAGAGGGTCTTGTATCGCTCTCTGCCATGGGATTCTTGACGCGAGCATTTTGCATGAGTGGCCGAATAAGGTCGCCGGGTTGTACACCATGGTCAGCGAGTTGCTCGATCATGATTTGTTCGGCACTGTTGATATCCATATGGGCGTATAATCTGCCCATCATTGCTTGTCCCCATTTTCTCATGTTATCACATGATTTCTGCACAACCTTTCGAGAGCTCTTGGTAGAAGGTAGCTGAGCCACCTCGCTGTTCATAATGTGGATTGCCAGTCGGACCACACCCACGTAGGCGATTTTTTGAGTTTCGTTGAGCAGATCCTTCGTAGCTTGTAGTTGGCTCATCGTGTCACGGAGTTCTTCGCCTTCAAATCCAGCTGAGTTGCCTCCAGCTTCTTGGAATAAGTAACTTGTGTCCTCGTCAAGACTGTTGGCAGATTGAGCATCATCATCCAGTTGAACTCTAGTATAACCTTTCCCGGCACCGCCGAGCCCTTGATAAACCGCCTCATCGTCCTCCTCTTTAGCCCCACGAGCGATCATTCTTCCGTAATCGTCGTAGTAGTCCAGTTCTCCAAGGGCGGGCATTGCCTTCCAGTCTTCGGACTCCTCCTCTTCTCCATCACTTTCAGCGTATGCATCCACAGGCTGCGCCAGGCGCATATGTGACCATTCTGAAATCTCTGCCTTTCTTGACTTCGAGATCGAGGCCCGAGAAGGCACTGATTCTTCAGCAGCTTTCGAAGAAGGTTGCTCTGAAGTTGTCACACCAACTTGCTCGGAATCGACTTTGGTGTCGTTTGGTGCTGGCTGTTCTTTGACCAAATCAGCGGTGCCAATTGTAGCCTCAACCTTGCCAGCAGGTATATTGTCCTCTCCCTTTGTCTCGAGAACATCTTTCTTTTCTTGTGAGTCGGATTTCAAGCTCGTGGTATCATTCGAGGGTTGAGCTTCTGAAGCTTCGGGGCAATTTTCGGTATTCTCGGAGCCGTCGGGCGGCAGTTCAGGCGTAGATCGCATTCGAATGGGGAGACCAAAATCGTCCAGTTCTTGTATATCATTCGATTCCTGTTCTTTTCCACCAGTGGTTTCTTTCACATCCCCCTCGTGGGGCTTTCCTTCATGATTCTCATTCTCAGGGTCGTTGTCTTTGGCGGGGGCGCCCGCACTTAACGGCTGTGGCGTGTTCGATGGGGAGGTAGGAGAGGCTGTAGATTGGTCGGGGGTGCCGCCAACAGTGAGACCTGCAGCGGACATGATTGTTCATGGACTAGAGGTCCTATCGAACTCGGGAGTTGGCGAAGAAGTCGACTTAAGGTCCCGATCCGTGATGTTGGTGCTTCCAAGCACGTCCCTTGCACCAACTCGAGCGGTCACCCATTCGGACCGGATCTTGAAGCTGCACAACGGTTAGAAAATTTTTATCTTCGGGTTGCCCGTTTGGTTGACCCGGTGCTGGTCATCGGATTGGGGCAATCTCTCCGCAGATGACGATCGGTGACCACGCGGGAAAAAAGGAGGTCGTGAGGGGCGGAGAGCAGCGGGGAATGACATCCACTGACGCACTTGAATCTTGGGGGCGGGTTAATATAGCAGAACTATGCAACTGGTCAATAAATCCACAAAAGATGATTATTGCAATACAAAGAGAGTTTCTTAAAGAAGTGAGTCTGGAGAAACAAAACTGAAAATCAAAAGTGTCAACTTGGTCTTCGGGTTTAGGCCGGAAGCGGAAGTATAGCTTGTGGAATGCTACAAACAACCAAGTACAGAGCTGGTCTGAATGAAAACAGGAACACGTCATTCATGATATCGATTATTAAAAATTATGCAGATCTTCAAAATGCTTAGGCTAGCAGTATCTAGAAATTTCCCTTCAGCCTCATTGCTACTGGAGCTCCAAGGCTATTAACAGCCCTAACTTCGTAGTATCCTATACAAGCCCTGAAGCACTCGAGCCCAGCAGGTTGTTTAAGTTGAGCTACTATTAATTCCGAGTAGACTAATTCAGACATGCGGCTCAATCTTAAAGTACTAGTATAGATATCATACATATGGAGTAGATCAGTTGTCATAGCAATTTAATCTCTTTGGACAAAAGCGCCTGTTCAAGTTGACACAGTTCCTCACTTGACCGTTCTTCCACGCACTCTACACATCTCTTTCTCCTCTCTATGAATCACAACAAACGTGTTTTATTGAAAAGACACGTCAAATCTGTTTTGCTCACGCACTTTTTGAACTTCTCCATCCTTTTTAAGAACTCAGAGATACCAGTACGATCCTGGCAGCACGTTTACGTGTTGCTGCTGCTTGTTCATTATGGCTGACCGTACGCACCGAGTGATCTTACATTTCACGTCTATCTTGATCTCTAATCATGTGTTTTTATGCTAGGTATTACCTCGATAATACAGATTGCAACTAGCGGATCTCGCCTCGGGTTACAACTGAATGCCGAAGCATGCCAGCTTGTGAAGCATGGAATTGATATTCACATTATTCCACAAGGCGTTTCACTCTTTGCCCTGACACTCAAGAATGCCGGTCGAATACTGGGTCAGATCAAGCTTCATCCGAGTCCTTTATCTGATGTCGTCGAATTTACCTGGGAAATTGCGCAACAAGCTCAGTTGATTTTTATCGACATGAAAACCATGGTCGACAGACTCCAAAGCTCGGGTCATGACAAGGAATTGAAAAGGGTTCCAATTGGAGATCGAGTCAAATGGTTTCTTCGGAAGCGTCATATCAACTATCTCCTGGCATGCCTTGAGTGCTTCAACCTTAATCTGATAATTATGATTCAGGTTCTACAACTGGCACAGCTGATCTCCACCTCATCACGCGCTACTCCGAGTGATGATGAAATTGCCCAAGAGAAAGCAGAGATTCAGACCATGATGGTGAACCTTTATTGGTCCAGTAAACGCCTGTATCATCTGTGGGATCTTGCGGAGCTGGATGCGCAGCATGCTACCCAGAATTCAATCAACCATAGAATCAATCAGAGCCATCCTCGCCGTATCCACCAGATACACAATATGACCTTCAAGTTTTGGAGGATTGATCTAGGACTCGGCGATCTCGAGAAATCTCCAGAAATCATGAGACAGCTCTCAGAGAGAGCAATGAATCGTCTCTTCTCACATTGGCTCCCACTATTGGATACATCAAGGCTACATAGTATCCAAAAATCGGTTCATTATGCCGACAAGCCACACACCCCTCACATAGTCATCCCTTCCGATAGCGAAAATGATTTCCAAGATTTGTCCTTCGACGGCCATGGCATTCACCCGACAGGGACTACGAATAACCGTAGAAAGCCACAATCACAGCAAGCTCGCCACGAGGCAGCTGAGGTACGGCAATCATACTCGGGATATCAGGCGCATGTGAAAAGAGAGGCTGGGGAGGGTCAACATCGGGGTTCTCATGAAGCAAGGCGCCCTCAAAGAACACATACATTTGATGAGGAGCGTAGAGCTAGTGTACGTAGGTCACTAGACTCTCGCAGGAGTGCAGAATTCATGCCGCCTTACAGCGCGACAGACGGAAATCCAGTGCACTACTATCATGACACTAGACGCACGCCTCGCCACCGCCGTCGACACTCAACACCGGCGATGGAGACCAGGTCCCAACGACAGTCACCCTATCGTTCCGTTCATCGGTCTCCGTCTCGCTCCCATCACTACTTTCACGAGGAGAGACGGGAGCGACACGGGAGTCTGAGAACCACCGTAGGAAGGTGGTTGCGTGGGGTTCTACACTCTCTCCTGTGAGGGAGAGTCCTGCATGAGCGAAGGATTCTGAGAAAAGAAAAGGAGAAATTGCCTGGCCAAGGGGGATCGGCCAGAAAACCTTGTAACTACTATTGCTTACTGTTGTGTACGAATATGGGGTGAGGGTAGTGAAAACGGTGGAAATAACGAAAACAAAAATCTCTTTTCTTTCTCTCTCACCTCACTTTTACTTCTTTGGCCTCTCTCTCTGGATTGAATTATCTTTCAATGTAGTAAGCAATGTAAAGTTGAAAATACTATTTGAAATAGTAGTAGTAAGAGAAGCAAAAAAAGATTGTAAAGAATTAAAATCGAGCCAGGACAAGGAATTTTGTCAATTCAAATCAGATGATACCAATTAGCTATCTGATCAAATCACCATTCCTGCAGAGTAGCTTCCCATCGCTTGATGAACTCAATGCGCGCCTCAGTTGCACTAAGAGGGCCATTGCCCCAAGAGTTACCCAACCACATGCACTTCTTCTTTTCCTCAACAGTGGGAGGGAAATAGGGTAGGTTCACACCAGCCTCGCTGCCCTCATTGGGGTTACCAGTGCGGATGAAATTGGCCCAGTAGTTCGACATGTGGTATTCAACTTCAATGTCCTTCTGGGTCCAGTTGGCACTGGAGTAGTCGGCGTAAGGGATGTTGTTGAAGGTATACCACAGCTCTGATCCGTGGTAGGCACCCTCGGACTTATCTTCAGCGGGGTAATGGTCGAAGTAGTAAGAATAGACATCGCTCTTAGCGCCACCATTCTTCCAGTCCACAGCCCAGTTCCAGGTTCCAACACGGCTAAGATCACGGAATAGCTCATTGCTCATCTGGTTTGCTTCGCTGGTATTGGATGCAGGGTAGAGCTTGAAAAATTCATCCTTGAATTCGTCACCAAACATGCCTCCATACAAAGTACGGAAAGATTCCAGGGTAAGGCCAGGGTCGGTCTCGGCGCCAGATTCATCCTTGTTGTTACCGGTGAGAATTGGGATATCAGCGTGGGCATTGAGGCGAAGAGCTTGTCCGTATGTATGACGGAGCACATAGCCATCAATGTTAGGACGCCACATAGGAGGCTCCATAAACGCGCCACTTGTAAGGTTTTCGAACTGGGTGTTCGCAAAAGTAGTATCATCAAGACTGTCATACTCAAGAAGAGCCTCCATTGAAACGTTACGCAGTTCATCAATTGAGGTAACGTTCATGGTCTTGAGGAATCGGACACCTTGGCGTTCAGCAGCGCACTTAGTACGGTAGCTCGTAGCAGCACTACCAGTAACAGGATCGTGGGGTCCACGAGCACCGCTCTCAGCAATAACACCCTGAGCAAGCCCATTGACAAGAGGACTCCACATAACATCCAAAGCACTAGCAGATCCAGCAGACTGACCACCAACGGTAATTTGACTGCTGTTTCCACCAAACTGGGCAATGTTGTCTACCACCCATCTCAGAGCAAACTGCTGGTCAAGAATTCCGTAGTTGCCAGAGCTGTTGTGGCCAGAAACGGCGGAAAGCTCAGGGTGAGCGAGGTAACCAAAGGGGCCAAGACGGTAGTTAATAGTAACAACAATGATGTCTTTAGAAGCGAGACCAGTCCCGTCGTAGGTGATGACATCGCCGGAACCACCAACGAAGCGTCCACCGTAGATCCACAAAAACACCGGCAGGTTCGCCTCTGCAATTTCGGCCTTGGTCTTGTAGGTGGGAGTCCAGATGTTCAGGTACAGGCAGTCCTCGCTGGTCAGACTTTTACCGCTGGCCAGGACAGAAGCAGAGCCAGAACTCTGGGCACAAGAAGGACTGAAACTGGTTGCGTTCAAAACATCACTCCAAGGTGTTGCGGATTTAGGAGGCGTCCAGCGGTTCTTTCCAGTAGGTGGAGCGGCGAAAGGGATGCCCTTATAAACAGTCACATTCTCACGAAAAGGTGATTCAGCACCCAAGACACGACCACCGGTGGTCTCGATGATGGGGAGTTTGGATGAAGCGGCTGCCAGGGCCGGAAGGGCCGCGGCTGCGGCAAAAATTGGAAGAAGATTCATGCTGCCACTCCTGTTAGAAAGACTTGGAGGAGATGAGCGTTCAGGAGGATGAGGTCGAGGGAATTGAATGATTTTCAGTGGAAACTCTTCATCTTTAATATACCATTCTCCTGTGCCAGGGCGCTGATCTCATACCCAGTCGAGCAAGGAACTTGCATATACTACTATGAAACTGAAACAAGTGAGTGGTACCGTAGAAGGGTGCAGATCACATACAACTTTGAGCAGGAAACGTGACCGAGACAAGCAATCGATGCCGATGACGATCTACCGAAAGTAGGAAGATACTGGTAATCCGCGTCAGCGGATCGACGTCACCCTCCGGCTTTTGCACAATCCTAAAACCCTTAAGTGCTTAGTGCCAAATCAATAATGCAGAAACTTGAAGAATCTCAGATAGTATGGAGTACAATCTATTCAGGCGTTGTACTCAGTTTATTCAAGGGTTGTAAGATTCTCATAGTAATGATACTATATTGAATGTGTTGTTCTATCAGAGGCTATGCAGATATCTCCAAGTTCCAAGGTTTCGTCCTGGATGGAGATGAGAGCATGGAACTATTGGTCATTACAGGTCCATTAAATCCACAATGGGTGAAAATCCCGCTGATGGAATATAGTACACAGTTAAATTTCCAAGTGGTGGATAATCAGATTGACGAAAATCCAATGTATTCGAATCGGATCCATCAACTGAGGAACCAGTGATGATACGAGAGAATTTCTTACCAAGCATTGCTCATACGGGGACATGCGAGGAAATGCGAGGTTCTCCGCTCATGTTGTCTCAATGTGAAACCGGGGCAGTCCGTCCGAAGCCGCATGGTTCCTGGTTGTTGTCTGGCTAAACGGGTAAAATGAATTTTATGGTTCGAAGGTTATTGTGAAGGAAAGCCGGCAAAGACCTCAAGAGCCCTGGAGCAACTTGAAGTGCGTAGTACTCTTAGTAAACCAAACGTACCACATGTGCACATGCAAGTAACTAATTCCTCAATCCTACCAGAAAATTTTAAAACCAATCATCCCAACGAACAATCAAATTAGCTGCCAGTGGATATACTAGTACCGATTTCACATGCATTGATCCTGTGGCCAATCTTCGGACAGCCAGTCTACCTAGGCGGAACCTAGTAGCTGGATGACTCGGAGTTGGCTGCAAGGCGATTTGCTAGGTGATGATGTGCTTCCACGGAGTAAGTTCTACCAAGCTTCAATTGCCGAATCATGCGTCCAGATGCCGAGTTTTGCAGATTGTGAAGCACTCTCCGTAAAATTTAAAGATACATATAGAGGCACAACCTACTAGTAATAGTTGATCACGAATTTTATTTGTTGCATTTGAAGGGAAGTACCTAGGTAGATGTCTACAACATTTGAATTTTTGATAAGATATACTCGATACGAGGCTGAGAATAAAATTTTCTGCCAAGGTGAACCTTATTCATATCCACGGCCCACGGGTGCGCACGTGGATCATATTGAAATTATCCGAGTTTTTGTATCATTGATGAATCATGATACAGTGGCAGTGTAATAGTACGGCAAAGAGTTCAAGCTCCCGGCAATTGAGAATATGTAATATCATGATTTTTGAAATGTCCACGTACACATGCACATGTGTGCAGTGTCTAGCATGAAGAATTTGACTGACCCGCTTCTCATGCTATACTGACTAGTATGTACTCCGTCCACGGGTATACTCGGTGTACTCGGAGTCCGTACTGTATCCTACATACCTGTGGACGTTCATACGAAAATATTCATACTGTGTAGTTATGCACGTAATTTGCATGCACATGTGTGGTGATTTATCATATATGTACTTGGTAGGTAAATTGTTGTGTCCTGGATGTATGAACTACTTCAAAACTGTAGTGCTTACAGTGACTCGGTCAAATTATGCATATCCATGGCCCACGGATCATCAACAGTGTAGCGGGGAACCTATTATCCAGCTCATGTCTGGAGAGAGAAGTAGGCACGTTGACTGCCAGTGGAGATAGAACAAAAAGATGAGCACTTCCAACATTGAAGGTTGAGGAAGGAGACCATTGAGCAGGGCGTTTTCACTGTCAGGTGTAATCTTGTACGTAATTCAGAAAAATCAATAAATTAGAACCTAAATTACATAGTTCAACGTGCCTGAACTTTTGTTTGAAAAATTCTTTCAGCTCCATATCCATGGATAAATGCCAATAAATAGAATATTAACCAAAAGGAAGTGGAAATGATTTAGGTATATCCACCTAAAGCTTGATCCAGTAACTCGGCTTAGTTTGCCTTAAAAAATTCCAAAACCCGAGGGACTTCCCAAGGTTAAAATACGGGCCGGGATGATTAACCACTGACACATCAATATGAGCACCCAAATATCCACTTCAGATCTTTAACATGACTCGATTGCCTCTCCTGGATCCTATTATTATACTACTCTCTACGAGTTTGCGGCTTGCAGATCTTACATTTTATGGTGTGGACAGACCGTTCAGTCTAGAGACTAACGTAAACGGCTGACGCACGTCTTTTCTAAGCATCAGTCTTAAAATTTACGAGTGGATAATTGGATAAGGTTGAACCTATGTACATCGAGGGCTCGCTGCTGGTGTAGCACTGAAATTGGAAGAATGCAGTGCCAAAAATAATTGTATTGGTATATTATAAATAAACACCAATTTTAAAAATAAAAAAAAAATAATAAAACAAAAACAAAAACAAAAATAAAAAAAAAACAAAGTACATAATCTTCACCTGGGCACGGCGTTCTTATTTCGAATCTTCCAAGGATAGCATCCAGATATTCTGGTAAAATGGAGTCTGAACAGGTAGATCATCGACCAGAGATGGCAGACTTATACCATGCTGGGCAGGATGATCAGAACTCAGGCGTCGATCCTTTTAATCATGATGTAAGAGCTCAAAGAATTACCTCGTTCAGTGATGAGCAAGAAGGTCCCAAAGTGTTGAAATGCAAAAGCTGATCTGTTTCGGAAAAAAATGAAGTCTGTCTACAGCGATTTTGACGACAGCAAAGCCACTGAGTCAGTAGCTGGCAGCGACCTCAACCCATTCAACGCCCCAGACTCTCTCCTGGAGAACCAAATACCATCCTTAAACATTCGTCGCTACCCGAAAAAGAAGATCAAACTTGAGCATGGCCACATCTTGAGCTTGGACTATCCCGTACCAAGCGCAATCCAGAATGCGGTACAGCGAGAATTCCGAGAATCGAAGGAATTGGGAGAAGAGTTCTCTCAGTTGCGCTGTAAGTTCTTGCGCCTAGCATTCTCAAGTTTTATGCTCACTGATATCCCATCCATTAGACACCGCGGCCGTTTGTGATCCAGACGATTTCGTGCCTCGACGTGGCTATAATCTCCACCCTGCGATGTATAACCGTCATACTGAGTTACTTATCGCTATGACCTACCGCGACGAAAACAAAGTCCTCACTTCTCGAACCCTCCACGCCGTCATGCAAAATATTCGAGATATCTGTCACGCTAGATCGGAGTTCTGGTCTCAAGGTGGTCCAGCTTGGCAAAAGATTGTTTGCACCGTGGTCATGGATGGTATTGACCCCTCTGATAGCGGCACTCTTGACACATTAGCGACTATTGGTGTCTTTCAAGAGGATATCATGAAAAAGGCCGTCAATGGCAAAGAAACAGTTGCTCATATCGTCAGTGCTTCAGGATCACTTCTGAATTTACTATTTGGTATAGAAACTGATAGAAGGAACAGTTCGAATACACCACCCAACTCTCAGTAACAGAAAATCAGGAGCTAGTCCAGCCTCAAAATGACGACCCAATGAGCTTCCCACCTATCCAAATGATACTTTGCATAAAGCAACGGTCAACCAGCAAAGTTAACTCCCACCGATGGATCTTTAACGGATTCTGTCGTATCCTCAACCCTGAAGTGGTGGTGCTTCTTGATACCGGCACAAAACCTCAGCGCAAGTCTCTTCTAGCTCTATGGCAGTCTTTCTATAACGACAAAAACCTTGGCGCTGCCTACGGTGAGGTGACCTCAAGCATCAATGGAAACTCAGATTATCTTAACCCTTATGTTGCGGCTCAGACCTTTGAGTATGAAAAGGCCAATGTCCTTGAAAAGCCGCTGGAGAGCAGTCTTGGCTATGTGACCGGAGGCTTGTTCTCTGCATACCGGTACCGAGCTGTGATGGGCCGGCCACTGGAGCAATACTTCAACGGCGATCAAACCCTAGCAAAGAAGCTTGGCAAAAATGGTCTTGAAGGTATGAATATCCTCAAGAAAAATATGTTTTTTGCTTGTGATCGCATTCTCGCCTTTGAAACGCTAGCAAAGCGTGGCTCTAAATGGCGATTGTCATTTGTCAAAGCTGCGAAATGTGAAGTACAAGTTCCGAAGAACTTGGTGGAGCTGATGGCTCAGCGGCGCCAGGACTTTAATGGCGCATTTGCTGCTAGTATTTATACGGCCATCCATGTCGGTCAGATCTACAAAAGTGACCATGGTCCTATACAATTGCTGCTTTTTCACTTGCAACTCCTTTACAGCCTGGCTCATTTCATACTGAGCTGGTTCTCTTTAGGTATGGAAATTCTTACTGAAAAGCCTTGGTGTTTCTCTACTAAAACTTCAACTAGCTTCCTTTTGGATTATCACACAGACGGTCATGCTCCTTGTAGGCACGGCTAGTGTGTCGAATGACGAAAAAGCATGGCCATTTGGCAATGAAGGCTCTCCGATCTTGAATAATTTTCTATTGCACTTCTCTACTGCCTTTCTAGGTCTTCAGTTCATTCTCTCACTCGGGAATCGTCCAAAAGGGTAATTATTACCTCTCTCGCTCCATATTCCACGCTCCTTACGCTGTATCTTTTCTAATCAACTTAACAGTTCCCGCATGGCCTATACTCTGACAGTCATGGTCTTTTCTGTGATTCAGATTTACATTGTGGTTCTCGTGGTTTATCTTTTGGTGATGTATACGAGTGGATCATCCGTCCATTTGATATTGGACGAAGAAACCATAAAGACCGCCCATTGGGGCATTTTAGGTGCTGACATAGCTTTGACTGCCTTGGTAGGCACCTACGGAGCTCATCTCATTGCAAGCATTTTTCAATTTAGGCTATGGCGCCTGATAACTACCTGGTGGGCCGACCTTATCGGAATGTCTTGTATCGCCAATATCCTGATGGTGTACGCCTTTTGCAACTGGCACGATGTCATCTTACGCGTGCCAGTCACGGAAAATGCTGCGGCCTTACCTCAGGCCACTTCTCAGAAAGATGAAAAGCATAAATTCATTGAAGAGGTGGACAGGCTTCAACTCGAAATTGATACCCAGTTCTCAAAAGCAGTCCAAAGAGCACTGAAACCCGCTGAGATGGAAGGCGACGGTTGGGAGCCGATGAGCCTAGAGGATTCGTATAAATCATTTAGAACATATTTGGTGTTGCTATGGGTTTTCAGCAATATCCTTCTTGTTATTTATATCAGCGCAACGGGTACGAACCGATTTTGCTTCACGGTATGTATCTACTCTTGGATATTGTCTCGTACAAAAAGAGAAGAAAGCTGACATTCCTTGATATAGGACATCCCAATTACACGTCTGTGGAATTATACAGTGGCAACTATGTGGTCAATCGTTGGCTTATCACTTTTCCGATTTGTTGGCTCGATGTGGTTTCTAGTGAAAACCGGTGCGCTTTCGTGCTTCCGGAAACGCTAGGTGTATATCTATTGCATGTCATTACGTCTCATGTTTTGAGGTTCAGCTTATTGAATATCCAATGTTAAACTCTGCTCCATATTTTGTTCGTGTTGGAAATCAGACTCGGATGATCGAAGACGTTTGTTCTATATTTAGGACCATACCTGGACTACTAGTAGAATGACCCCGGCCTCGGGTGATTGACCCAATTCTTTATGTTATTCCCCCCGCTTTTCACTCCTTGCCCCGACTTTGAAGACCATTTGAACTTAAATGTCGGTCGAATGCTGGATAAGACAAAGCTTCATCTTCTGAGCCAAGTTTGTTAGCGACGTTCACACCTGAGCACCTTATCATCTCTCACCTCACTTACATTGGCACTCTTCTCAATCTCTTAAGTAATAGAATCAAGAATCTTACGTTGCTTGTCCAATCAAAATTTGGCACCCAATACACTCCAGGGCTTCTAGTTCCAAGATTTATTCATAGTGACCTCGGGATATAGGCTTAGAAGCTTTGACTTTCCTAAATAAGTAACAAGCCCCGACCCCCCCTATAGAACAGTATAAATAGCACTTATTCCATCGAGGCCAGGATAGTGCTAATCACGACATCAAGACCCATAGAACCCTCAGTTTTAGGCTATTTTCAACTTTTCCGTCGGACTTGACGATCAGCCCGATAATCACTTCTAGTTCGGAACTTTCGTGTCTACCGACGCTCCGGTTCCACCGGACGATGTGCTATTCCAGGTATATCCGTGTGGAAAACTGAGCGGCTGAACTTGAGGCGTCGAATGAATGGGGTAAATGATATTCCATTGCAAATCTCGGTCCAGTTTGCAGATACCCAGTGTGGGTTTTACTTTTATAGTTTGACTGGCTCGCTGTAGGTACCAGTGGGGGCTGTTGATTCCTTCGCTCTTCATATTTTTCTTTCGGTCTTTCGGATTCAATTCCTCGTCTGAATCAGATTCTCATACTACTATAGTACCTTATATGTAATTCATGGTAAGAAAATATTGGAAATGGCATCGGGAGTCAAGTTTTCATACGAAACAATATTATTTACATAGCAGCTAACATATTTATGATGCAGAAATTATTACGAGGTCTTTCATATCGACATCCAATTCCAAACGCCCATATCAAAAGTCTGGCAAAGGAGGCATGCCAAATATACTTCCATCTGGAAGCCAACCATCTAACTCCATGCCGGTTCCAGTCACTTGACCACCTGACGCAAGTCTCTGCGGATCATATCCAAATTGCGGCTGCAAAGAGGCTGTCTGTGGATAATTGCCTGGGAGAGACTGGTAGAACCGGCTCTGTCCATGATGGCCATCCATGGGCCACATACCAGCACCACTCATTGCGACATAACCATCTCTCATGTTCTCAATTCCTGGTACCATAGAGATGACAGAATTGACAGGGAAATTTGGATCCAAATGTGATCCAGTCATCTGAGCAGAGGGATTTGAAATCGGCCCAGGATTCACCGATGAACCGGCTGACGCCATCCCCGAAGCCCCAGTACTGGTCTCCGATGACGACTCAGTATATCGTTTCTCCAATCTCTCATACCAGTCTCGACCCTTCACTGCTACAATATTGTACCATCGTGTCGGAATCTTATATTTACCACCTCCGCTTGCCTCTCCCAATTTATTCGCCATCGCATCAAGGTAATAGCTGACATTCACGGTTTCCGGTGTCACAACCTCGCCCAAGACACCTGTTCGCACCGAGAAATGAATCTTCAGTAACGATGTGACTGCCATCGTGAAGCGCGTATACATCAGGTTCGGAAACCGACGCATGGTCTCTGCGCTGCAGGTCAAGAGGGCATCTAGTAGTTCGTGTGCGGCGTTCATCCATTTAACATTGATGTCGATACGAATTACACTCATGGGGTTGTCTTGTTGTTTTCGATTGCCGTCTCCGTCCAAGGCAGGAAGGGTGAAGTATCGGCGGTTGACAGCGTCTGGGTCTCGGTAGCCTTCTCCTACGCCAAGTTCATACATGGCGAGGACAGCTGAACGGTATTCGAGGATCATGGGCACTATGGGAAATTACATGTGAGTTTGTGCCCTCAATCAAGCTTCCGGAATCGACATACCAGTAAGCATGTTATTTTGTGTGTTGTTTTTCCATGCTTCCATTCGCTTATCAAACCATCGCAGCACTGCTTGAACGCGCGATTCTGTCAGCGGTGATGAGGCGCTCGTGTCATCAAGACCAAACGAAGACATGGCTTCATCGGTTATCCGTTGAAGCTCAAACCATACTGCCAGACGCTGATCTGACCGATGAGGTGATCGCTCCAACTGATCCACGCACTCTGCCATCCAGTCATTGAATTGGAGTAAGTTTGGACGGCGAGTCTTCATTGCGACCCTATTCAAAGTTGGTTAACTGACCCAGCTCGTGCTTTCGATATGAAGATCCTGACTTACGTTGATCCTAGATGATAACAGCCCAGAACAGCTCTAGCCTGTTCCGCCAAATGCTCATCGTGTGGTTCAGACTTCCTGCGATCGGTCTTGCTTTTGGAGACGCGTCGCTTAGATGCTAGTCCGATCTCCAGTGCCATCGTCGACGCGATGTGAGTGTACTGGTAGAACTGCAATTTCAAAGGGGAGCCGGGCGGAAAATAAAAGATGATCATCAACAACAACGCCTGTACGAGTTCTAGCGATTTCTCGCCCTCGATGAAGAACCTCTCCGAGTACAAGCGAACCATCTCACGATTGAGAACTGCCGCCAGGGCTGCATCGATTGAGATGGCTGCGGCTGAGATAATAGAAAGGAAGAGCACCGGCTTTGTCTGCCGCAGTTGGGCTGCCGTGGTACTTGATGGTAGCACTACCAACGGGAAAATAGTTGACTGTTCGTGGATGAAGAATGTCACCAGTTGTTCAGCATCATCAAGAGATATAATGCCCCGATCAACAACATCGTCGGCGGGTGGTGTGTTCGACTCAGACACAAAGTTTGCATGCAATCCTGAGAAGGTTGGAGGTGCGGAGAGCGGTCCACTTCCGTGCATGCCTGGATGTGAAGTATCGATGAACTCGGGTGAGTATGTCACAAACCCGCCTGGGCCAGCTGTGCCCCCGGCGGACTCCGGGATGGGGCCCAAATCGCTCTGAAAATCCATTTCCGCAGAGTCATTGTCTTGGGAATTCTCGCTGCCCTCGGGGGATTCAGGCTCGCTTTCTTCGCGAATCTTATCTTTCAGGAGGGAGCGCATCATGCGCATCTCTTTCTCCAGCTGGGCTACCCGAGAGTCTGTTCTCTTACGAGGCCGGCGTCTCTGCGGTGCTACGAAGATGCAGGCTTTCTTGCCTTTGGCACATCGCTGACATTGATTTGGTGTGCTTGGATTAGGAAGACAGCGGACCTTGAGACTTCGACAAGATTCACAGGACCGATTGAGTTGCTGTTGTTGCAATGAGGACTGAACTTGGCTTTGTTCACCATGAGAAATGGAAGACTCTGACATGTTTCACACAGCAGGATGAGAACAGATGAAGATCAAGAAAGGTTCAAGTTTAGATTGAGGTGCCCGAAAAAGGCGGAATAGGCGCCAATGCACGAAAATGCATCAAATTTTCACCCTGTGAGTTTTATTCGACGGCAGTATTTCGACACATCGTATCGAATGCAAGTGATGGATGTATGAATGGTGTTAGCATGAACATGACATGAAAAGCCACGTCAAAACTCGGAGAAAGATACAGTCGATCAACAGCCACAGGGATCATAGATGGCACAGATCTCACACCACGGGCTTTTCCGCGATGAGAAGAATAATAGCGAGACAAATTCCAGCCCGGCTTGGCCTTAGACATGTGCAAAATCGCCAATTGCATTCGAGGGCCGAAGCTTAAAAGCGCAAATTGTTAGGTAAGTTGAAGGTGGGCTCATCTGGTGAGAAGATTGATTGGAACAGGTTCCCTCCACTATTTTTCTTTGAACTCCACTTCAACTGTCACCCTTGCGAGCTGTGTGGTTCTGGAGAGGCTCCGTATGGGGTAGCGAGGGTCACGGTGTGGCTCCTCAGGTACGGTAGAATTTTCAGGGTCCAACGGGCCGGTGGCTGGATTAGGGAGGAACAGGCACCAACCGACAGCATCCGATACCCGTGAAACTGGGTCAAAATAAATCTGGACTTTGCACTGGCATGGGTGTAGCCTGGAAGTCGAAATTATGAGAGGTTGACGATTGTGGAGTAGAACCCTAAAGCCAAACCTGACGAATCAGGCCTCATAATCCAATAAGATAGGGTCCATTTGTTGGTGACTGTAGTATATTGGACTGGCGATCATTGGTGGGCATTGACTTGGTAGTTGGAGTTGACGGTTACGACCGATTGCCCGAATTGGACCTTGTTAGTCACCCCCTCGCTGTTGATTGCCTGTTCAATTCCCCGAATTTCCGGGATTCACCGACATAAATAAGTATAATAAGGATCGGGATATTCGGATAGTTCCCGGCATTTTAGTCTCATATTTCGGGATATCGAAATTATAGTCCTAGTTAATAGCCATCTCAACAACAGTGCTAAATAGAATCATCCGGTCTATTCAGAATTCACCGAGAATTCAGTCTCGTATAGAAAATGATCAAATATTATAAATATACCAATAATCCTCAAATTATCTCTCCATATGAAACAGTATTGAACCTCAACTTCAAAGATACCATGGACTCGGACATCACCAACTTGATTAAGCATGCCAATGCTGTGGCTGATACACTGCCAATGGGGGATCTGGCAGACTCCGAGCGTCGACAATTACTACAAGCCTGTGATAGGCTCAAGACAAAGCTTGAGACTCCATTTGACACTGTCGCTCGTCTAGCCTTCTCAGTATGTCTACACCTTGGCCAGTGCATGTGGACCCAAGCCAAGCTAACGATACCAATTTAGCCTCACCAAGCGATTGCCCTGAGACTAGGTGTCAATCTGAAATTATTCGATGTGATAGCCGCAAAAGCGGGTCATTCTAACGAGCTAGTCAGTCTTGATGAGCTTGTAGATGCTACAGGTGCGGAGGCGTCGATTGTCGGTAGGTCCCCATACATGAGATCATGCGACTGGTTCTAAGGCTGATATCTATGAATAGCACGTATAATGCGGTTCCTAGCTGCTATGTCCGTGGTCGACGAAGTAGACCAAGGCTTATATGCTCCGACGCCATTTTCGGCTGCACTGGTGTCCAGCTCGCCATTGTCGGCAGGTCTCATTCACAGGTATAGAGGCTCCTCGGATCCCAGAGATAATTATCATAACTATTAAGGAATATCGCTGACAAAATCATACCTTCAGCACGCACTTTCTCTCTGTTCTGGCAAAACTCCCCGAGTACTTCTTAACTAACGGTTGGAAGAGCCCCGACGATGCCTTTAATGGACCATTCCAGTTCGCCATCGACTCGCCTCACTACTTCGACTTTTTGAGCTCCAACCCATATTACGGACAAGCATTCAATACAACCATGGCTATGTCATTTCGTAGACGAGGTCAAGATTGGTTTGAGTTCTTCCCAGTCGCTGATCGGCTGCAAGTGCCAAGTGATGACGACCCTCTGATTGTGGACATTGGCGGCAGCCAAGGTGAAGACCTCAAGAAATTCAAGGCCCAGTTTCCTGCCCTATCAGGCAAACTCATTCTGCAAGACTTACCCGCAGTAGTGCAGGGTGCGCAGGACCTTCCTGCAGGGATCAAAGTCCAAAAACATGATTTTTTCCATGAACAGCCAGTGAAGAATGCCAAGGTCTACTTTATGCGGACTGTCCTGCATGACTGGCCGGACAAGCAGGCAGCACAAATTTTGGGGCGAGTTCGGGAGGCAATGGGCCCTGATTCTATTCTGTTGATCAGTGAATTCATGCTTCCGGAATCGGGTGTGTTGTTGTCGTCTGTTCTGTCGGATATGCAGATGATGGGTTCCTTTGCTTCCCTGGAGCGTACCGAGGCACAGTGGAGGGGGCTACTTGAGAAGGCGGGGTTCGAATTGGTTCATACGTGGTTGCCGGATGAATGCGATAGAAGTGCACAATCCTTAGCAGACCAGCCGGCATTATTCGAAGCTCGAAGGATTTGAAGGAATGAACAATGTATCATGATAATACTAGTACATAGATGTGGGGTGCACGGGTCGGACATTATTACAGTACTTTTTGACCCCTTTACCCCGTACCAAGTACCATGTATCATACAAACTAGCACAACCTTGGAAATTAGAATCAGATAAAAAGGATTACAGAAATACTAGTTGTTACATCTGAAGAGTATATTAACCTTGAAAAGATCAGGCGTCCAAGGGTCCGGAAAAACTACAAATATTTCCGTACATGCTCATGTGGACCTAACGCTACCGTGACGATGGCGCGCTTTGAGGCTGGGATTGGGGAATTAGGGGACGCGTACGCACTTGAGAGTCTGACCAGATAACAACGGCTTAGCTCCGCCGAGGCGTTTTTGGTCAGTTCAAATGTTGATTTATAAATTATTGCATAAAAAAACCCTGTACATTACTAGGCATAATCAGACTCAAAATGAATATCATGCAGCAACCTGAATCAACGATGTCATCTTAAAGTGCCCCAGGCGCCCATGTGGCTATTAATACTTCCAAGGTTAACAGCCTCCCCTGTGCCAAGTGTCGCCTCGTAGTGATTTCCTTAATCGTGGAGATGACAAGCCTCTACGATGTGGGTCAAAATGATTGTGGCGGACCACGCAGAATCTGTTCATTCGACCACGGATCAGCCGGGTTCACAGCCATCATGGGTGATAGTGCCGAATACGAATACACATCTACGTCAGCATTTCTTAGTAGGAAAGTATAATTAACAGACTTCATTGAAATTTTTGAATTCTTCAGATCAAGAATATTCAAATTTTATAAGTAACATCAATCGATCTGAATGATTTTATCTATTTATATTGTACTCTAACTGTATGAAAGTCTCGTACTAGTATTCCGAACGAACTTCCAAGATCACATTGATTAAAACCCCCAATCAGGATCTCCGAGACATAGCGGAAGGACACCGAGCGGACCCTCAGACCCTTTTTTGAACCAATACGATCTCGTACATCTGATACATTGGATCAGAAAAGTCGATCGATTACGGTAGTTTCAATCCAATTTGGTCTGAAATTTCGCTGGAATGGGTAACTGACCACACGAGATTGCTCCCGTGTCCTGTGGTCTCCGCCCCTTCTTGGCTCTGGCATCATCACGCCTTTTTGACCTCTTATTCTCTTTCTTCTCATTGTACATTCGTTTATCTCTTCCCTATTTGTGCTGTATATATACGCATTTGTCGACCTTTCCCTGCGGATTTTTTGCGCCACTCCAACCCCCCCTATTCCTTAAGCGCCGGCCTCCCGTCCCGCCGAACTCCCAACATTTGAATCACTTTTTTGGTACCACCTCGGAACTTCCTCGAAATTGTACATATCGATAGAGGAAACATAGGGAAATCATTGGGGATACCTTGTTGGATATAATTATCATTGCAAAACTATGCGATTTCAGAGCCTGAACTGGTTGAGGCTCTATGGAGTTCTCTCAGCCACCGCCATCTCGTTAACGCTCGGACAAGAAGATACGACAGAGGTTCAACAAGACGTTCAGGAACCTCACTTTATGAGTGTCAGACCAAGCTTGGCAAAGCAATATGACAGCGAACGCAAGATCCCTACAGAAAAATACTTCAGTATGTTCAATCTTCTTTCCAGCCAACCTTATCACTCCATGATCGGGGACTATCGGTATCGGGCTTCAATTATGTGGAAACGTAGACTAACTCGTCATAATCTATAGCGGAATCTAGGTATGATTCAATTTGATGCATTCAAAAGATGATAAGCCCCTCGCATATACTAACATTACTTTTATTATATAGCTTCCATTATCACTACGATGGTCGGTATGTGGTCATCAATTTTATTCCAATCTCCCCTCGCATATGCTAATATCTAATTTTAGATTCGCCAACCAAACCCTGCCAGACAATGAAGTCACCCCATACCTGTCAAGCCTAATTCAAACCTACCTGGAAACTATGGACTCAATCGGCGCGGAGACATGGATTATGCATGGAACTCTTCTCTCTTGGTGGTGGAACCAGAAGGTACAACATGAATCGCATACGAAAATGGAAATGTCTGCTAACAACATTGGCCAGATTTTCCCCTGGGATAACGATCTAGATGTTCAGATTTCGGAACCCACGATACACTTCTTGGCCGATTACTATAACTACACCGATCACCATTTCGATATCCCCGGTGTTGAAGGCGGCCGCACCTACCTCCTCGAAATCAACCCCAACTATGTCGTTAAGAGCATCAAAGATCGGATGAATGTGATTGACGGTCGCTGGATCGACAAGTCATCAGGCCTCTTCATCGATATTACAGCTGTTCGCCCCGACGACGATAAGCGCAGGCTTGGACGCAAGGAGGCGTTGATGTGCAAGGACAGACATCACTACGAAGAAAGCGATATCTTCCCTCTTCGCGACAGCTATTTCGAGGGCGTACCCGTCAAGATTCCTTACGCTTATGCCGAACTGCTTGCTGAGGAATATGGTTCTTCTTCCATGACCAAGGCCGATTTCCAAGGACATCACTTTACCGAGTCGACCATGACCTGGGAAAAGGTGCACCGGAAAGTGAAGCGTTTCTTTAAGCGTGTCTGGGGTGGTGATGAACTTCCTAAGCGGGCTCCTGGCACTGAGCCTATTGTCCACATGGATGCTGTTTGAATCATGCACCAGGTCCGATCTTCCTATACGCACGGCCCGTTTCCTCTTCTTCCTTTTTCAACATTAAATGATCTTTAGCGTGGCCATCTGGGGAGGCATCCCGTATATTTTCTTTCTTTCTCTTTTCTTCTCTCCATCTCTCTCATTTCTTTCTGCATTTATACGGCGTTGGCAGTGTTCATTTTCGATCTGAACATAATACTTGTGGTATTTATCCATGGATTGTACTAACATGATTCTGCACTGTGTATATATCATTTTTATGAGCATCAGGGTATGCTGCCATCATGTGGACAAGTTTCGCCTTTACAAGAACCGGGGGTTTATAGGGGTTAAATAACTCAAAAGCACATCTATACGTTGACTATGTCAAACATTTGAACCACTGATACTCCACTCCTTACATGGTAGTACGTAGCAATATTCAAGGCCAAGGGCACGAACCTTGGAACAGGTATATTTGGCGCAATTCCTAGGTCATAACCTTCAAATTGGAACCATTTGTAAAGGCCCCTTAAAACAAAATTTAGGCTTAAGTTCTACGAATATGTCACTTCCAAGGATCGAGGTAGGCCCAAACAGGGAAGACCTAAAGCTGAGTCACCATGTCACATGGTCTGGCCCCATCCTAAGGATGGCTTACTTCATAACCTAAGACTATCTTATGATATTGAGCGCCTCTCATCCTTATCTGATGGAAGAATATAAGAGGTGAGCGCCGACTCTCCTGAGGCCATGTCGTCATTTCCCTCAGCTTCCCCGGAGGCGTTGAACCGATCCTCCCCCAGCGAGAACTCTCCGAAGAGTGTACAACCTACTGTCCCCGCTACCGCCCCGCGTCCTCCGCCCAGCGACTCCGCTACTGCGCGGAGCTGTGTAACCTGTCGCCGTCGCAAAGTCCGCTGTAACAAGCGTTCGCCTTGCTCCAATTGTATCAAGGCTGGCACCGAGTGTGTCTTCCCACCGCCTGGCCGTGCCCCACGAAAATCAAGGCGCCAACCCGATGTTGATCTCCAAGCCCGGTTGCGCCGTCTGGAGGGCTTTATCGCGCAGTTGAGTGAGAAAGGTGCGGATGTCAACGTCTCACCTTCCCAGATAGCTGCCTCCTTCTCGTCTGCCACGACGGCCAGCACTACCTCACCTGGTGCGAAGGATTCTACGTCTACAAACATCAATGGTCAGGATGCATTGTGTCCATTTGAGGATAATGATCCCAAGAAGCTTGTGCCACGCAAGTTCGAGAATGAGTTTGGAAGACTGGTCATCGATGAAGGCCGTAGTCGATATGTGAGCAACCGGCTATGGGCCAGTCTCGGGGATGAGGTATTTACCCCCCTAACGAAACCGATATGTTGTGCGCAGCTAACACCTATACTATCAGGTACAAGAACTTCAAGATATTTTGGATCACACTTCGTCTGACGAAGAGGAGGACCTGTCTCCTGAATCCACCCCCTCAAGCACACATGAGGGCTTCCTTTTCGGTTACCATTCCTTGGCACATTCGTTGCTCGAGTACCATCCACCGTATCAGAAAGTCTCCCAATTTTGGGAAGTTTATAAAGAGAACGTCGCTCCTTTAATTACGATTCTACACAAGCCCACCGTGAGAAACCTCCTGGTTGAGGCGGCCCAGCACCCAGAGTCCTTGGACAAGAATTCAGAAGCTTTAGTCTTCACCATCTACTTGTCTGCTGTGGTCAGTTTAAAGCCCGATGAATGTTATGCAATGTTTGGAGAGGATCGAAAGATGGCAGTGCGTCGTTATCGATTCGCTGTGGAACAGGCCCTGTCAAGAGCCGGCTTTCTTAATACTCAAAGCTTGGTGCTTTTACAGGCTGCTGTCCTTTTCATAGTCTGTGTCCGTCGGGAAGATGATTCCAAATTTGTTTGGTCTTTGGATGCCCTCGTTCTGCGTCTTGCTCAGGGGCTAGGTATTCACCGTGACGGAACCCAGTTTGCGCTGAAGCCATTTGAAACAGAGATGCGCCGTCGGCTTTGGTGGCACATCTGTCTCATGGATATGAGGTCATCCGAGGATCATGGAACCGATCCACTCATTCATGAGAGCATGTATGATACTCGGTTGCCTTTGAATGTCAATGATGATGACATCTGGCCTGAAATGACCGAAGCCCCAGCAGAGCGAGTTGGATGCACCGAAATGACCTTTTGTCTTGTTCGTTGTGAGATCACGAATGCGTTACGGCGAGCGAACTATACCTGCCCTGGTAGCCGGTTTCGGATTGGAGATTCATCTCCATCTATTGAGCGCTATGAGCGACTAATTAGGATCATCAACGATCGTGTTGAGGAGCGCTACATTAAACACTGCAACGTGGAGGTTCCTATACAATGGGTCGCTGCTACAGTAGGGAGACTGGTCCTTGCCAAAATGTGGTTGATTGTTCATCATCCCATGACACGAAGAGACCGCAGCGTCCCAGTGTCTCCAGAAGTTCGTGAGGGTCTATTCACGACTGCCATTGAACTTCTTGAGTTTGGTCGAGTGCTCGAACAGGATCCCAAAACATGCAAATGGGGATGGCTGTTTCGAACCAACATGCAGTGGCATGGTGTTGCATTCGTGTTGTCCGAAATATGTGTGCGGCCAATCTGCCCTGTCACAGATCGGGCCTGGAACGCTGTTCACTCATTATACTCCGATTGGATGAATGAGGCAACCCATAGAAAGGGTATGCTTTGGCGCCCATTAGAGGCTTTGATGAAACGGGCTACCGCTACTCGGGCCAAGCAAAAAGAGGAGCTGAATCAGAAGTATGGAGAAAACAATCCACCCTCGTTTAATGCTTCTGCGCCGAATTTTACACCTGATCACCGCCACCCTCTTCATCAAACCCACCTTCCTTTGGATTCTCAGTCTATCCCGTCATCGCAGCCAAATAACATTCCAATCGCTAATGGACCTGAAAATATCGATTTGACTGGGGGGGCCTTGGGATACATTACGCAGTATCTTCCCTGATACAAATATAATGGCTCCCGCCCCTCTTGATACTGTGACAATGCCTGAGCCTGTTTCCACAAACATGCTACCAACTGGTTTACCTTTTAATTTCAATACTTCTCAGCCAGGCATGAATAACCAATTCATGGTTCACCAGCAGACTATTCCAGAAGCAGCTCCACTGGGCTGGGAAGAGTGGGATAAAGTCATGCGGGATTTCCAGGTTGACTTGGACAATAACAATTCTATTCCAGGCAATGTTTCTAATGTCACTGAGTGGTTTGTGTAATCTCTAAATCATACATCCCACGTGGTTTTTCTTTTTCTTTTGAGTGTTTTGGGTTTCATTTTGTTTTCCCTCTGGGGCTGCATGTCCTCAGAGCCAGGCGTTCTGGCAGAATCACTACGAGATCTCTATCATACCCCGTTATGTGGCTTGGCTATCTGTGGTTATATCATTCTATTTGTGTGACTATTGGCGTTTTGTGATCAGGCTACTTCTCATCTCCTCCACTCAGTCTTCATACTCTGGTCTCTCGAGTTTTAAGCTGGAATAAGATGCAGCAGTACATATAACACTTGTTTAAATAGTGAATTCCTGAAGAAAGTCATTCTACATACATTCAGCATCCAGAGTCTTGAGACGATGACCCTTGGATTTCATCTGCGAATATTAAGTGTTACTATATCACGGTTCCACTAGACACTACACAGTAGTCTAACTTTATTGAATTTTCCGTTCAATCACATTCAAATAGAAATATTAACATGTAACTTATCCTATGTTCAAACGTTTGAGATTGTTATACTCCGAGTGGGTCAAACATACACGTGACTTCATCGATAACGAAGCTCCCAGCTGGCATCATTGATACCGATTGATCTTCCACCCCCCCCCCACGCCATTGATTCTCCCCAAAACTTCCAATTTTGTCTGGAACATAGACTTAACTCTGTGTTTTAATCAAATATTTTATTCCGCGACTTTAACTTGTCAATCCATTTTGAAACCCTTCCAATTCCATCACCATGCCTGCCAAACGACACGCGGCCTCAACCGCCTCCGCACCAGCGCCTTCTACACCCATTACTCTCTCCTCTGGCCCTGCGACCCTGAAATCGAATTCCTCAGTCGTTGACATTGCCAATCATGTCTGGCAACAGTACATATCCAACACTCCTCAGCGAACATTGCTCCTGGATGCCTTCATGGCCTTCCTAGTTCTCGTTGGCGGTCTTCAGTTCCTGTACTGCGTTGTGGCTGGTAACTACGTACGTTTTCCTATATCTCTGATATTCGCAAGATCTATCTCTCTCGATTTATATCTTCACACAATCATACACCCATTAGCCTCGAAGATAGTCATTCGGTTTTACTAAGTACGAACTAACAATGTATACAGCCTTTCAACGCCTTCCTTAGTGGCTTCAGCGCTGCAGTCGGTCAATTCGTCCTCACAGCTTCCCTCCGTATGCAAACCAGTGACTCCGGCTCCGCGGGCTCCTCAAAGCCCAGTTCGAAGGGAAAGAATGCCCGTTTCGCAGATGAGGAAACCGAGGAAGGTGGCATTTCGCATGAGCGTGCTTTCGCGGATTATATCTTTGGTTCTCTGATTCTGCACTTCTTCTGCATTAACTTCATTAACTAAGGGCCTGTTTTGGATCTCGTAATTGCTTATGAGAGGGCCTGCCAGGTGGGGAATATGAAGGGAGCGAACTGGCTGGATAAAATATACTTCAAGTTGTGATGCCGGATTTTTGTCTATGCGACTAGTCGAGTTTTTGAGGGAATATTGTATCTCGTCTCTTGGCTGTGATTTTGTCTTGTCGGTTACTTGAAGTTGTTGGATTGATGCATCATACCATGTTTCTTTTTGTATAAAATATCAATGCAGCGGATTAAGTATCAAACCTCGCATCCCAGTCAGAACGTGGGAGTTCTGAAGTACTATTGTTATTAGTACCTAGATCCATGTACACCCGTGGACGTAGTATGCCGTCGAAATTACCACTCTTTTACTTAAAATAGGAGAGCTCCTGAGTCGGACATACTATTAGTACCTACTAAAGCGGCACGAAATTTGCATCATGGGTATCTTGTATTGCGAATTGACATCTGGAGGTTACCAGTGGATGCTCCAATGTATCCACAGAATCTAGATTTTCTGGTTGTACTGTACATGGAATGAAGTGTTCTCTATGCCAACTTCAAACAACAAAAAGTGATTAAAAAGTACGTCCGGGTCGTCTGGGTATCTGGGGCTTCTTCACCACGCTACCTCCAGAGCTAGCGCCAGGGCGAGATGAAGAAGACGCAGTGAGACCTCCAACCTTGCCAGGCCTCTTGACAACTGGACGTCGCACCGCAGATCCAACACCTACTTCAACCTCTCTCTTCCGTCGAGCAGGATCATTGCGTTCCTCCTCGCGTTGTTTTAAAGTCGCGGCACGCTCACGGTCTGCAGCCATTTGCTCTTCAATTTCCATGCGCTTGTTAAATTCGAGTTCCGTGACACGTCGATCCCGTTGAGAGTAACCCTTTTCCTTGACGGAGTAGAAAACACCACCAAGTTCGGCAAGCCACTATTTTTTAATTAGTCAAATGGTACATGAGTCAGAAGAGAGTGATAGCACTTACATGTGGGTCGACTGCTGTCACAGTGGACATGTATTCCTTCGCAGTCAAAATCAACTCATGGTAAACGACATATTGCGGAACGTAGCCAAGACCGTACAATGCGCTAGTTGGGTGCAAAGCCATCGTCACACTGGTACGCAGATTGATGAACTCGCCGATTCCCTTGACGCGCGCGGCTTGGTGGTAGAAACCTGAGCAAATGCATTGCCTGATAACATCCCAGTCTGTACCACAGCTGACCAGGTTCATTTTCTGTTGGTTCATAATATCATACAATTGGTCACGGACTTCCTTTGCACGTCGCAGGGTCTTTCCATGAAGGAAGTGTCTGGTGCACCAGCCATCGGAGTAACCGTTGGACTTCCATTGGGAATAGACATGAAGTAAAGTGAGATGGTCAGATTCTGGGACGAAGAATTTCTCGCGGGCTGAGTCGGACTCCTCCTGTCGCTCTTTGGGGCGATAGAAGACGTTTGGTACTGAAAGCATGGAGACAATCGTCAACATCTCCTCACTACAACCGTACTCTTCGGAAGACATGATAAGGAGCTTAGCAAGAGGGGGATCCATAGGGAACGGCGTCATGCGACGTCCGAGTGCCGTCAGTTCTCCCAGATTGTCCAGAGCTCCAAGAGACCAAAGCTCGAAGAGAGAGGTGGAAATTGTTTCCTGGGGCGGAGGGTCCATGAAATCAAAGTCCATAAGGTCCTTAACTCCGAGTGATTTCAACAGCAACACAGTGTTTGCGAGACTCGTGCGCTGAATTTCAGGAATTGTCTGTATGTACAGCTCGTTCTTGTAGGCAGTTTCGGTATAGAGGCGGTAGGCCTTTCCTGGACCTGTACGTCCGGCTCGTCCAGATCTTTGATTCGAATTGGCCTGGGAGATTGGTGTGATTTGCAGGGTATCCATACCCATACGTGGGTTGTAAACCTTCAGCTTCGAGTATCCCGAATCCACGACAAACATGATACCGTCAACGGTTAAACTGGTTTCCGCAATATTTGTGGCCACGATCACCTTACGAACGCCTGGGGCCGCTCTTTCGAAAATCTTTGCCTGTTGCTCAGCCGGCATCTGACTGTAAATAGGCAAGATGCTAAGAGGCGCGGGATCGTTCAACATCTTCAACCGCTCCTCCACCAATTCACATGTTGCTTCAATGTCCTCTTGACCTGTCATGAAAACAAGGATATCGCCTGCTCCTTGAGAAACGTGGATGGCCAAGACCTGCTTGACTGCACTGTCCACATAATCTTCACAGGGGGTGCGGGAGAAATGGGTATCGACCGGGAATGTTCGACCGGGAATGATAAATTCTGGAGCTCCGCCGTAAAAGCGTGAAAACCGTTCGGAGTTCATGGTCGCAGATGTAACAATTAGCTTGAGATCTCTTCGGCGTGCTAGGACCTTTTTGAGAAGTCCCATCAAGACATCGGTGTTCAAGGCACGCTCGTGTGCTTCGTCCATGATAATGCAAGAGTATTTATCTAGGTCATTTTGTGTTAGGGACTCTCGTAGAAGAACACCGTCCGTCATATCTGGTTCGAAAAAGAGTCATAGTTAGTTCTGTGGACAAAAATAAGTGTATATACCATGATCTGATCGATACTCACATTTGATCACTGTTTCATCACTGGTGCAGTCTTCAAAACGAATAGCATATCCCACAGTTCCTCCCAAGTCCACCTCCATTTCCTCGCTGACACGTTTCGCAACACTCATGGCCGCCACGCGACGAGGCTGTGTACATCCGATCATGCCTTGCTTCGAGTAACCGTCCTCATGGAGAAATTGCGTTAATTGAGTAGTCTTTCCTGAGCCTGTTTCACCGACCACAATCACAACCTGATTGTCTCGAATGACTCGTAGTAGATCCTCACGCACTGCAAATGCAGGGAGATACTCTCGCTGTTCGCGCAATGTTTTGCTCTTACTGAAAGCGCTGGCACCGCCCTCATCCTTTTTCAGGTGTTTCGAAAACTTGTTTCCTCTACTTTTGTATACTTCCTCCACAGGCATAGCAACGGCACTATCGCCCTCGTCCTCCTTGACACCCATCAGATTTCCTAGGGCTGTACCGGCCATATTCGTAGCTTCCTGAGCTTGCTTTTGACGCTCGCGCTGTTGCCGACGTTCCCGGACAACCTTACTCCCCTTCCGACTGAACACTGCCATGTCACTCTGCGGGTCTCGAACGGCGGAAATTGGCTCCAGCTGCTTCGTGAAGATGGTACGGCCGTCGAGGAACGGTGGTCGAAGGTCGTGGACCAGCAGGTGAACTCGGGTTGCCTCTTCATCATCTGGCATAAATTCCCCTTCCATGTTTCGTCTCTGCGCAATACCCGATGTGAGCATGCGATTTGTCTCCCAGTCGTCATTTTCTTTGCGCCTGGCATCTCGGATTTGATGTGGGAGGTGCGAGTCCCCCTTCTGTCGTTTGGCCGGAGGGCCCATATCTTCACGAGGCATTTTGACCTTGGACACCCGATATTGCGGGTCAGAACAACTTGATATTAAGTTCAAACAATATCGCGAGAGAAGGAGCTTGATCACGATGGATATCACGGCTGGAATCTTGAGACAAACAGTGCAAACTGTTATCAACCACGTGACCTATATGCAATGGACAAGAGAGTCCTAACACCAGAGTGATGAATGAAGTTTCAGATATATTAAGAAATGTAGCGTTTAAATACTAAAGATTAACCTCGGGTTCTATTTCTATTATACCAGTGTTTGCCATCTGTGTGGCTGTAGTAAGAAACGGCCACTCTATCGGAGCCCGCCAACCACCAAGCGGCGGCCCCGCATCGTCATCTCAACTTTTGAGCTCCTTGTGCCGCATTTGCATTACTTTCAACGCCCCGCCATCACCATGTCGAGTCAAAAGCAGATTGATCCTAAGAAGCAGCAGGGTATGAAGAGACCTGGAATTCATGTAATGACAGCGCGCTAACCCAACTTCTCCTGTCTCTAGAGCTGCAGCTTCAGTACACGAATTTCAAGAACACCCTTCAACAATTAGCACAGAAGATCGGCGATATCGAGCAAGAGGCTGAGGAGCACAAGTGGGTGCCCCTGCAATCTATACCACACGATCAATTTTGAGGGCCCGGGGTCATGTCATGCTACGATAAACCGCGGAAATGCCTCAAGACCTCGATGGATTCATTCAGATAATTTGGATATTAATTCGAGATTTTTGTTGGTTTAGGCTCGTGATTGAAACACTTGGTCCCCTCCCTGAAGAGCGGAAATGCTTTCGAATGGTGAACGGAGTCTTGGTTGAGCGCACTGTGAAGGAGGTTCTTCCAAACCTTAAGACCAACTCAGAGGGACTGCAACAAGTCCTGGAGGATATGTTGAAGCAATACAAGACCAAGCAGACAGAGCTGGATACCTGGAAGGTGAGCTTTTTCAATTTTTATGAACTGCGGAGCAAGCTACGTCGCATTCCATTCCGATTTCCCGTGTTGCAGTAGACACTTGCAATATAAGCGCATGATGCTAACCTCTCTGTAATATAGAAAAAGAACAACATTCAGGTTGTGCAACCTTGATTGGAGACCCTTATATTAATTGATTTGATTCCTGGCTCCCTCTACTGTCAAATGGGGGACTCATCTACAAGGCTATACGGAAGCAAGAATTAGTACTGGCGTTAATGGATTCGACATTAAACTAGAATCTTAGCATGGTTTATTTTGATCATGACTGAATGAAAAGTTGGAAATCTCAATCAATCTACTAGTATAACTTCACATTTTTAAGTATCTGCAGTCTTTACACTGAGTAGATCATAATTCATCCAACTCACATATGCATACACAGCCTCCGAGCACTCAAATTTAATCCAGCGTCATTCTCATACTTCCCTCACTTCCAATACCGAATGCCCAAAATCCGGATTATCTGAGGCATACAATAAAGTTTGGATCCTCCTTATGCAGGTATGATTTATGCAAGCCTGAGTGCCTAAATGTAGAGTAGATCTTTCTAGAGACCGTTGGGTTGGGCCTTCAAACCCAACTCATGATGCAAGACGGACGGCCGAAAATGCCAGCATGGTAAGGCATGCTGGACTAGGTTCGTTTGACGGAAGAAAATGTTTCAAATAGAATTGATTGGGTAGCTATATGCATCTTGAATGTAGCTTCATCATAGGTTTAATGCTTTAAAAGATGTATGGAGACTTAGGTATGTATTATAAATACTATATAATACCATTTTTACTCATTAATTGAGCCACTATCTACGGCCAAATCTCAGGGCAAACAACTGGATCTGTAAATAACGGTAAATACAGAGCTCCCGCGATCGGATGGAACTGCGACCGGAAGCTCTTCTCCTCGTAACTTCTCTAACATTGTTCAACCTCCTTTCATCTCAGAGGGAGTTTTCATCATCTGGTCATCAGCTTCAAATTCTAGTTAATCTTTCGCAACTCGGTTAAGATCATAATTCTGACACTTCCCTGGAAACTGTGGTGGTCGATAATCTGATAAAACACGCGATATCTACTTGGTAAGTAGCCAACCCGAAGGCGTCCTTCGATCAGGGAGTTCTGGTTCGCCAATTGACCTCAGCCTGGATGGGGACCCTCTTCCACACCATTCGCGCGCTCTGACCTTAAACCATAACCCCAGACGAATCGGAACAAATTAGTAGATTCCAATCATTTGGATATTCTCTTTTACCCGATAAAGGTAGTTTCCATGTTTTAACCCCTCCCCCTTAAGCCCCCTGCGCAACGTGCGACCGTCAGACAGTTGGGCTCCTCCTCCAATCTGACCCACCGACGCTTTCCGCGTTGCATCCCGCGTCACAATCTATTAGCTAGCTTTCACGAGACGCGCATAATTGTTGTTTGCACTGCATTGATCGGTGCAACGTGATCGCAATCCGCTTGACGGCTCGAACCCTTTTCGATTTCTAATCCATTCCTTTTTTGGGACGAGAGGCTAATCGGGTGTCATTGCGCGCGTCAGTACAGGTAGCCACCACGCATTATTGCCAAATCCCCCGCTTGGCGGACACTGTTTCTCTTGAGGCTACTGTGAAGCGGTTCCCACCCAGCCAATACCCAGCCCCATTCCTTTTCCGGTCCTGTCCTTGCAGTCGGGCTCTCTATCGGAATAGATCGCGCGCCAGGCACTCAGATCTGACGTGGTCCTGCCAGCAGAGCCAAATCACGCCCCAGGCCCCGGATTTTTGTCGCCCAAAATCTTAAGACTAGCGCATTTTTCAAACCACTCATAACCATGTCGTCGGCCTCGCCCTCCAAGGAACCGGAAGTCGACCCCGAGGTTCAATCGGGTGAAGAGCAAGACCAAATGGACAAAGACCAACACGATCCCTCTGCGCATGGGCAGGGCGAGTTTGAAGTGAAGGAGCAAGATCGGTGGCTTCCGATTGCAAATGGTTAGTTGCGTCCACATGCAGCCTTTTCTGTTGTTCTGATTTGCGCGTACCTTACTGCTGGCTGGCCACTGCCGGTTACTTTTGGTCTTCCCCGCCTTTTACCCTCCCTCTTTTACAGGCCCACCTCATTCATCTCAATTATTGTTAAGTCTTTGTTCTCAACGGAATATATATTCTTGTTGTGACAAGGCCATTTGATTCGCCCCTATTGAGAACCCCAAAATCGCCCGCACCAATATCTTCGCATAGCTTCGATTTTCAAATGCAACATAATGCTAATGCTTTCTCACCATAGTTGCTCGCATTATGAAGCTGGCTTTGCCTGAGAACGCAAAGATCGCCAAGGAGGCCAAGGAATGCATGCAAGAGTGTGTGAGCGAGTTCATCTCTTTTATCACCAGCGAGGGTAGGTCTTACATACAACTTGATGTTTTCGCGGTCTGGTATTGATGAATTTAATAGCATCCGAGAAGTGCCAGCAAGAGAAGCGCAAGACAGTCAATGGTGAAGATATCCTATTCGCTATGACATCACTTGGATTTGAAAACTATGCCGAAGCGCTGAAGATTTACCTTTCCAAGTACCGCGAGGTGAGTCCTGCTTAACGGATTGTACCCCTCACAAGTCAAGAGACTGATCCTTATCATAGACCCAATCTGCGCGTGGCGAGAATCAGCCCCGACCCGGTAGCAGTGGATATGGCGCACCACCTGGGGCCGCCGCTCAAGGCCGCCCTACAGGCTTCCCAGAGGGTCCAGAAGGCGCTAACAGCATTCTGAACGCCGGCTTAGATCCATCAGACCAAGATGCCTCAGCATATGGGTATCCTCCTATGGTAGGCCAACCCCATAACGGTGCAGGTGACTCGTATTAAAGGGATTGAACGTGAAAGAGATGGCGTCGATAGATTGCTACCTTTTTTCGATCATTATGAGTCCAAACAGCATGAGGTGTGAGGGCGTCCTTGGTTTATTCTCATAGGGGTTCTCGGCACTCTGTACTGATCTCGCGGTTACTTTATGAAGCGCATGGGAGGGAGCAATATCTCAGACTCTGGCTGTTCATGAACATTACACAGTGGATATGCGAGATGGGGCTCGAGATCGGCTTCTGCCTTTGGTTTTTTATTGAATTTTTTTTTGACATTCTTTTTCTTTATCTTTTTATCTGGCGACATGCAGACTCCTTCAGTCGAGGACCATTCGCCTGGTTGTTATTGGAGTTTTAACGGGAATTCATGGGCGGATATATGATCTGGGCAAGCTTGTACTTATGATGTCTTTTCTCCAAGTCCCTTGAGGTCGATTAGAAGCAAGACAAACCCTACGATTATACTTGATATCCGCTTGCTTATCCCCGGGCAATCGACTTGAGCCCTGTTAAATGGGTTTAACTTGCAACTCCCCGTACAACCAGATGTCTCAGGCTGTATCCATGTCTAGGTGGACATATGGATGTACTATTGTTGCTACTTAAGTACTTCGTAGTAGTTGATTAGACCTTGTCTTTATCGACTTAGCCATGATTGGCCATATATATGGGTTGCAGATGGGCCCAATCCCACGCTACTGTACCGAACGAACTACACGTTCAATGTCTCAATTTCTCCTGATCCTGCTTCTTCTCTTAACATTTCAGCTCGTTCTTAGTCTATCTATCATCTTTTTTTCATCCCCCTATTCCTCTGTGAAAAATAACTAGGATTTCTCCAATTCTGGCCCTATCTGTTACATAATCCACCACAGAAAGTTCTCCGCATCCACGTGAGCTCCACCGGACCCGATCCCGCAGTCCTCGCTTTCCCGAACTTTTTCGCTTTCGCTGTCGCATAGATCGTCCCTCTACCCTCGGCAATCGGTTGGCCTGACCCCATGATGCCCTGAATTATACCAGCATCAGGTTTTTCCTCAGCGAAGAGAGCGAAGAATGCCGAGTCGTGGACAATCTGCAAATAGAATGATGCCGATGGTCCTTCTATCATGTCCTCCGTCCACGATAACGCCTCCTCGCCGCTCCCGGTTGATGGGGTGAGCAAGCGCAAACAGGGTAGGAAACCCCCTCATAGGCTCATACTGTTTGGAAAGTCGGCATTGCATATAGGGCATGGGCCTGCGTCGATCAGGGGGGGAACTTTGCATCTTACCCATCAAATTGGATGCCCGATGAACAAGAGAGATAAATGGATTCGCTGACCGGTGACTCAAAAATGCCCTAGGTTCTGCGGCCTGTGTTCACTGCCACCGGCGCAAGGTTCGCTGCGATGCCCGAGTTGTCGGAACCCCCTGCACCAACTGTCGCACCTCTGGCAAGCCTGACTGCCGCATCCACGAGAAGAAAAAACGTCTCGCAGTGCGCTCGATTCTTGATCCCGTTCCGATCCGATCTCGGCCATTACCGACATCTGATCATGCAGCCCACCCTACAACTTCAGCCGGCACGCCGCTGCCGCCAAGCTTTCCAACTGCATTTGGGGGTGGTGTCCCTGCAATTGCAAGCAATCCCCCGCAGCAAACCTTCCTGTCCAATGCCGCGGAGCCGTTTCGCCAAGGCCCAGACCTGTCACACGCCCATGAAGCGCACACGGAGATGGAACAACACCTTGTGAAACTGATTGATGAAGAAGAGTCTGGCCGGAGAGAGATCCAACGAGGCGTGCGAGCCTTTTATGTGGGCCATGAACACTCTAATATGTCGTTCCTTATTCGTCAGCAGCGAGACCAGGATGACGATGTATACCATTTCGCCAGCAATGAGATTCCCAGGCGACAAATGAAGACTGGCCATGATCAGCTTCTCATGGATGCGCTCACACTTCCTGAACCGGCCTTGGCGGATGAGCTAGTCCAAGCATACTTCAACTTTGTCAACCCAGGATATCCAATTGTCGACGAGGACCTGTTTATGACACAATACCGAAATCGAGATCCCGCAGATCCTCCCCCAATTCTGCTACTCCAGGCGATCCTTCTGGTTGGAGCTCATGTCACCCGTGGGAAAGCTGACCGCGACGCTTTGAAAGAGATCTTCTTCCGCCGCACCAAATACCTCTTCGACAACCGTATCGAGCGCAACCGGGATATTCTAGTTCAAACAGCCTTGTTATTGACTTGGCATTCGGATAGCGCCGACGATGATGTCGCGGCGGATGCTCATTTTTGGGTTGGTGTGGCTGCCCGAATCGCTACCGGCTTGGGAATGCATCGCAATCCCGTCTCAGGCCGTTTTGTTACTCGAGATAGGCGAATGTGGAGACGCACCTGGTTCATTCTAGTACAGTTTGATGTCATGATTTCTCTTTCATATGGTCGGCCACAGGCGATGTAAGCAGTTTTGATTTGATATTCTTTGCTATGATTCGATTCTAATATTCCCTTTGTTTAGCAACCTGGACGACTCTGACGTTTCATCATTAACACTGGCCGATTTTGAGAATTGTGGGCCTCACGTGCAAGCCGAATTCGTGATACACTTCACCGAGCTGTGCACCATGATATCTTATCTTATACGGGACCGGTTCGGCCTTAGGGCCAGCGATGAGCGACGGAAAGCCGTCCTCCAAGAAGCGGACGAGTCCCTGGCGAACTGGTCATTAAAACTTCCCGACAACCTACGGCTCCGAGCGTCTGATATGGATCCATGGTCTGCTATGCTGCATCTCACTTATAACAACTTCCTTATTCTACTTCATCGACCCCATCCAAGAGCATCGGCTTACTCCGACGACTATGGTCCTCATGACGCCGAGATTTGCAGTGCTGCTGCTGGAGTGATTGCTTCTATCTTCGAGGAGTTGAGACTCAATGATCGACTGAAGTTCTTGTGGTACACCGGTGTCCACACGTTGTTCACGGCCATGATCCAAGTCCGTGTGGAACTTCGCTTCTCCAATCCGGTCCTTGCAATTAATGCGCTCCGCCGATTCGACTCTGCGTCTTACTCATTACGAGAATTAGCCCAGTACTGGGTTCACGCAGGCACGATTCTCCGGCTCTTCGAAGACTCCAAGCGTCTCCAGGAAGACTTGCGAATGGCAACTAGCGACCGGTCCAAGTCATATAATGGCATTCCATCCTCCAGCAAAATGCCTCTCACGGCCGCCGAGGCAGCTGCCGCCTTGCAGGCTGTACACACACCACGGCCCATGTCTTTTGGTGTCCCGACACCTGAATCCTCACACACGCCAATGCAGCAGTCAACACTATCACCGCAACCGAACCCGCAATTCGATAATTGGATCACAGCGCCTCTTCGACTCAACGTCGGCCCCCTGGAAAGAAACGACCCTTACTCGAACGCCATCCAGGTCGACCAAATGGACCAAACCCGTGACTATCCTGATTGGAGGCAGCTGTTCTCCTTTACGGATTCTGATCTTGCAGTCCCCCATGCTGGCGAGAGTCTTCTCGAGCTGGAAGATGAATGGAGGCAGATCTACTGGCAAGATACACCGATGGCTGACCTAATTCAAGATACCACCTGGATTCCTGGTTAGATGTATTTTCATATTTTATGTTTATGACTCTCCTGGCACCAACACCAGATCTCATACATATTTTGGCTGTCTCAATCTATGGCGCCAATCACACAGAACACCGTGACGCAAAAACGCTCCAAATCTCATGATGCCCAAATGGCTTCTTCCCAACAAAGATGCTCCCCTTCAATGGCCACCCTATCTTCTGTTTTATGAACCCATTCGATCTACTTCGAGATTTGCCTGTAGAGCTTTTGGGCACGATCTACCACCCCACCATATGTCTATACAAAACATTTTCCGAAGACAATTGATTCCATGGCACCCCTCATACTACACCCTTCATGCCATTGCTTCGTAACCTCACGATGAGACGAGATACGCAAGGCACGGACGACTCCAGGCTCTCAAAAGCTTTCAGTACGATACCATGTCGTGATTGATGATATAAACATTTCCTTTTCTTTCTTCGTTTCTTTCGATAGAATTATATACGCTTGTTACATAATTCCAAGAGATCTACAGATCTGATTTTCAAGTTGCTATGGTCTTAAAGTTCCAATTTTCTTTCCCTATTATACTACTAGTACTCCAGATGTCCTGTCCACTAGCAGTGCTCCAGGAAATTACTAGCATAATCCGAGTCCTTTGCAATTCGATTGAACAATTGAGGTTAACATTTGAAGGAATATACTCTATGTGCTATATGATAAGAATAATGCCTCTGAACCCCTGGAATGCAACTTGAAACTCAAGTGCTTGAATGATTGAGCCCAAGGTGCTTCTAGCCAAATACAAAACGATTCCAATTGTCGGCGAGTTGTTGCACACCTTTTCTCAGCTCCCAGCCCCGGACCTCACAAATCTGACGAGTCACATCCTCGAGCAATTCATCCATCTGTGGCCCAGCAGTATGGAGATCACTTTCAATCAAAATTCGATCCTCGGGTAGCAGCTTGATCACATCACTAACCTTCCGCGACCCCACGCCACTGAAATTGATGAGTGAAGAGAATGAGAAATATACGTCAGAGGGGTTCTTCTTGTCCATGAATTGCCGAATAGGCTCGACAGGCCCAGCGTAGGAATGCATGCAAATCCGTGGAGGGAAAGGTGCAGGAGTTGAACACGCATCTTTGTTTGAGTTGCCCTGCTCCTGATCGCCTGCCTCATCCTCATCTTCTGATATTGCTCCCTCCGCATCCTGGCGCCTCTCCCGCTCCCGCCGAGACAAAAAGACCTTCTCGTGTCCAGACCATAGCTCTTTAAGGGTGTCGAAGACCGCACCGTGCGCCTGTACACTGTGTACCGAGACAGCGCGTTGCATCTCACCCGCAAGCCGAAGCTGAGCTTTGAAGATTGCCCTTTGGTGTTCTATCTTCACTCTATATGGCGAGAGTTTTCGGCCTTCTCGTGACCCGGGTGTGACTTGTTCATCTCGACTTTCTAGTTCTTTTGATGTCCATGCACCGGGCAATCGAAACGATTTGTCCAAGCCGATCTCGCCGATAAGCGCATTGGGAAATAATTCCAGACGTTCCCTGGTCTCAGCTATGAGTTGGGGGAGGGATTTCGGAGTTGGAAGGAAGTTGAGGTACTCTGTGTCTTCAGCTACTGCAGGTGCAAGAACTGCTGTGTAGTGTGTCTTTTTCTGGCTGGCTAGCTCTGCGTCGCTAGCGATATCTTTTGATATCGTCCCTACTGAGCCTGGGCTATCTATCAGGATTTGATGCGAGAACCATGGATGCCAGCCAAAACAAGGTACTATCCGATCTCGTTGATCATTTTGGCCGGATTGACCATTTAGAGATTGTGCAGTCTGCTGTACGAGGTCTTGGTCTTCTCCGCGAGTACCCATGATAGTCAATGTGCTAGCCTTCATGTGGGGTATGCTAGCAATGGAGGTCATGGTATCTGTAGGGTGGCAATGTGCATCGTGAATACCAATATCCCAAGGGAAATCATGACCAGACATATCGAAAACTTTTAAGTGTTAAACCAGAAGGTTGTTTATTCCGCATATCACGTCAAAGCTTTTGGGTGGGATGATGTAAGTGGGGGGGATTTCAATTTCCAAGGTTGTCACATGCAAGTTCTCCGCATTATTGAAACTTGAACCCAATAATAATCTTCAAGGATTTGAACATTCAGACCAATCTGACTAGATTAAACCTGGGGTTTATTGGTTGATTTGGGATGAGATATTGTACATAAGCTATGTTTGCCCTGTTTGTTGTATATGATAATCCGGGGTAGTGATTAAAAAGGCAAGAGCAACCCAGTTCAAATGTTCTTTCCCCTCTCAAGTCTCACTTTCCTTTCAGGGAAGGTGCTAACAACTTCAGATCTTTGGATCCTTCCTTGGATTCATTATCTATTCCATCTGGGGACATCATGGGGACTCTCATCACATTATTCACATTACCAATCCTTTTACTCATTTCAATCCCACTCGTCATTTCAGCTGGTCTGACCATCTCTCTAGCCGTATTCACCCTTCTTCTACAGATATTTGTGGTCTACTTGGAAGTGGGTGTTGCACTAGTCATCAACTTCTTTACTCCGCCAACTTCAACCTCGACATCGTCCTTTCTTACATTTGCACCATCTGAACCTCCAACACCAGCTGCTGGTAACTCCCGACGAAACTCAAACTCAACATACAATTTAATCCAATCTCGTCGTATCAATGATACACTCTCGTCCTGGGGGTTTAACGGATTCCAAGACGATCTCTCGAAAGGCAAGAAAAAGAAATATGCCCGCAGCATGGTCGAAGCTCATCATCTTCCCAATGGACCATTATCTATGAGCCATACCGGTCTCCCTGTTAGTGGAGATGAAAGACGTGATTTTGAAGGTGTAGGCGGTTGGCGTTCATACCCAGATATCTCATCTCGAGCCTCGAAACCACGCAGTGTCCACTCGGCACAAGAAAAGCCTCTTAGCTCGAGATCTTCATCATCAGCACATAGCATCGCTGGCGAGGTCGATGCTGATCCCGATGCTGATATTGACGCCGATGAACGCGCCTGGTTATCTCTCAACCACCGTCTGGAGCTCCCATCTCAAGTCGTGACTTTTGGAGCTAGCTCAGCACTGAACAGTCCTACACATCTGGATTCACTAGCTAGCTCATACGCACTACTACCTTCTGCTTCTTCTAGTGTCTATAATGCACGTGCAAATACTCATGCAAACCTTCAACCATCTTCATCAGATAGACGCAGACACCATCATCGTTCACATACAACTTCTGCTCTTTCTAGTTCGGATATTGGGACAGGATCTGGTCTTTCTCTCTCTTTGTCCACTAGGCCAGATTATTCATCGAGTCGTCCGGTCTCTCCATCTACAACACGACATCAATTTATGACTCCACAGCCCTACTCACCTTTCCAACCTCGTTCGACTATGTGCCCACAGCCAACTACTAGTGTATCGCAAACCAATATCCACGCCGCGGCAGGAACTAGTAACAGCAGTACAAGCGCAGGTGGAGGATATTTTGCCCTCTCGCGGCCTGGTGCAGGTTCTGTGCCTTCTTTCTCAGTTGTGGGAAGTCCCGTTTCTAGTGGCTACACGACACCTGCATCCGAGGAACGTGATTCCGCATTGCAGCTTACTCGCTTTATCGCACATTATCCTACTAGTGTGAGGCATCGAAGGCGGAGTCTTCCGGGTCCTCATGCGAGGAGGGTCTCTATCGGGGAGCGGTTGAGTTGAGTTGGAGGATGAGGTTACGATTTCCAAGAATATTAGGACTCGCCAACGTTGAATCATGAATGAAGGATCTACGTACTCATTTAGATCTCAATCATACACATACTATGTATCTTCAATTTAAACTACCTTGATTATATGGGATTGAAATAGGAGAACTTGAATGTAAATATGAGCCAAATTTCCGTTCAGATCTATGTCTAAAAACAGCCTGCGAGATACATGTTTGACACAGAGCAAAGATCGATGAAAAGAATCCCCATACACCGAAAACATACAAAACTCCCGGTGGGACATCAATACAAGAAGTCCCATCAAACGCTCCGAAACCATTTATTCATAGAGCATTATGCATGGACGATGCATTGCTCAGAAAGTGCATCGCCATAGGTGATCTCCAAGGCATATCTATGCCGCCCTCTCCCGCTTATTGACATCCTCCATCTCGGACAAGATCACTCGATTAAAGTCCTCCCATCCGTCCAAGTACAGGTGGTGTCCGGCCCGATTGATCACAACAACCTTCGCAGAACCTTGCTCTTTCTGTCGCTCTTCAGGAGAGGCATCTGCAAGAACGCGACGTTGCTCTTCTTCTAGACGAGCCACCGCGGCGTGACCACCTGTAACATCCATCCAGTCGTGGTCACCGTACATGAAAACAATAGGAAGACCGTTCTCTCGTCGGGGAGTAGGAGATACGGGGGGGGACATCTGAGGCAAGGACAGGAGGGGCAGATACACCATCTGATGTAGATTCTTGAGATACTGCTTTCTTTGAGAAGATAGAGCATGAGGTAGCTGTTTCGGTGAGGTTTGGTGGCGCGTTGCCGGATTCGATCATCTGGCGACCCACGGTGTGGATGCGGCGAATGAGAGGGCTACGGGCAAATGCACCTGGAGCAAGGATGTATGCCAGTGCATACTCGCCACTGCCACGTTGACTGAAAATAGAGTAGGAGTAGTCATGGAGCGCCTTGGCTTCCTCGGCTGGGAGGTGAGAAAAGCGGCGTGAGGTCCATCCGGACACCAATCGAGGACCAAAGGGACCTGTCCAGCGCACAAGGCTGAAAGGTGAGACATTAGCCTCCCATAAGTAGGAGAACCACTTGGGCATATTGCGACGTGGCGGTTGGTTTGATGCCTGTGCTTCGGCGTTGCGACCTGTGATGAAGCTGCCATCGCTGGTCTTGGGAGTCGCACCGGAGGCAGTGATCTCCCGTTGGTCCTGAGTGAGTTCGCTGGGGAGTGTTGATTCAGATGGCTCGGTCACCTCTGCAGTAACTGCATATGGGTCTTCTGGGATACCCACAGGCGAGGCGAGGATCAGCTTGTTAAGATGACCAGGGTATTTGAGGGCATACGCGACAGCCATGTAACCTCCCAAACTATGTCCGAGTAGAGTAAAGCGATCAATTTTACGCTTGACGCGCCATTCCTCCAATGCATCAACAAACCAAGCCTCTGCTTCACGAATGGCCTCTTCGCGGTCCTTTGCCTTGATCTTGAAAGGTGGCCGTGTGCTTCGGCCCATGCCCAGCATATCGAGCGCATGGAGCTGCCAGCCCTTCAACCGGCTCAGTGGCTCAAAATTCTTGTAGAAGAACCCAAGCCCAGCGCCGTATCCGTGCAGCATAACCAAATGCTGATCAGCCTCCTCGCCGACTCTCTCTACTGAGAACTCGTTCAGAGCCCGATCTTTTCCGCTCAGCTCCACCATGCTGGAGCTCCACCGACGAGGACCATAGGGATCATTGCGAGAGTCGGTCGAAATTTCGCCTTGCTGCTGGTGGTCCGCAGATTGTAGACTGCTGGGGGGGATTTCCGTTGGGGAACTCTGATGTGTTACCCGTCTGTAAATGGGTGGGGACTTGGTGACCTAGGTAGGGGAGATAAGAGAGGACTTTATGTTCAGCAGCAGCAGCTGGTAGTCGAGCCCACTGTAGTAGAGAGAAGAGAGCTTAGCATATACTTGTAAATATTAGGGCGCGGGATTTCCTCTTTACTCACCCATTGACTGAATCCCTCACGGTATCCCAACGGAAAGAAAGCGTTGGCGGCTCGAGCTCCAGCAGCAGCGCCGGCTGCATATGGAGTACCCTCGCGGCCTTGCTGGGATGAGCTGCGATTACCGTGTTCACGGACATCTCCGTCCGACGATTTCAGAGATTCTGACGCCATTGAAGAGGACTTGCGACGGCCAGTTGAGTAAGTGGCAAAGAGTACAAAACGTTGAGTGTAAGCCCTTTGTCGGGCCAGAAGAGGGGCAAGTCTAGTAAAAGTGACCTTATGTGAACCAGATAGACAGATATTTCCTGTCACTGGGAGAATTCGAGCCACGATTCTCATGGGAAAAGGGTTGAAATACAAAAGAAAAGAAAAAGGCGTTAAACCTTGGAAGTGACCGGAGACAAATCAGCCACGCCGCTTAACCCCGACGAGGCAACAAAGTATAGGGGAACGGAGGAATAAGAAGTCCGATTCCCTTCCAAATATAGAAAAAATGAAGTAGTATAGTCATATATTTAGTCAAATTTGATCAACGAAGAAACTATAGATAAGAATAAAATAAACAAGTGATATACCTCGGTATGGAGTATGCGACAAGGGGAAAAGGCGGAAGGAGAAAAGCAATGATGTCGCGATCTGCAGATTCCACTTCTCTTCAACTTGAACTTCCCTGAGTTATGAAGACTAGATTAGGCCACATCGGCCGTTGAAGTTCCAGTGTTTCTTCCATTTCTTTGTGAATTTATTCCTTATTCCTTGTTCACTATGGCTTCCCCTTTAGATCAACTTGTGAAAGGCGCTCCTGTCCCCGAGGTCCGCGCTCCCACTCCGGAGCCATTGTCAACTACTTCTACACAATCTGCTTCTTCCTCACAACGTCCTTCAACTCCTGATCCATTAGCATCCCTTCCTTCTTCGCCGCCGCAGATCTATTTGAACCTATTGATCCTCGAAGCATCACTTCGCGCTCAGTACCTGGCCCTTCGTGAACGCCGCCGCCAAAATACGTTCTTCCTACTCCTCCTAGCAGCTTGGATTGCTTATTTTGTATATGCATTATTCCTTCGTCCTCGAGAAGATGGCCGGGGAGTGGGAGGCTCGGTATATTGGGTCGTTGAGATGGGGGAAAAGGTCGCCCTACTTGGCGGGGTCGTGACGGCGCTACTCGTCTGGGGAACAGGACAGTGGGAGCGTGGAATCCGCTGGCCGCGGCGCTGGCTCGCTGTTGCTAATCGTGGGTTGCGCACCATGAACACAAAGATCATCGTGATTCGAGGGCCTTGGTGGCAGGAATTGTTCTCATATGTCTCGTTCTTGTTTCCCTTCTCCGCGCCCTTTTTCCCCTCACCTAGCGGGAACTTCCACTTCGTTGAACGTCACTCCTCCGATAGACGCGGTAGTCGGCAGCACTACCAGCAGTACTACAATGGTGGTGATAGTGAATCGGGACTAGTTGAGGAAGATCTGAGTTCCGGTGGCGATTATATCCGTTTGCTATTGCTGCCCAAGTCATTCTCGCCAGAGTTTCGAGAGAACTGGGATGATTACCGTACCGATTTCTGGGAGAAAGAGAACGAGCGCCGAACTCAGCTGCGTCAGAAACTGCGCGAGCGCGAGCGCCAGCTTGCTCAGACTGAAGGCGGCTGGCTCTGGCGACTTGGCCTAGGCTGGCGCGCATCTCAGCGCCGTCGTCTGGTAGCTGCGACCTTGCACCGGTCACTGGAGGCGGACACGCCCAAGCCTCGACACCAGCATCCCTCATCCGTCTCTTCTCGGCTCACTCAAGATCATCGACCTGTACGCCGGCCTGAATCTACCCATTCCCGTACTTCATCTTGTAGTCCTGCTCCCGAGGAACGTCCTCCTTCTCGATCTGGACCAGGTCGTCCTCGCCGCGGAAGCACTACACCATCACTCTCAGGCGCTGAGCAGACCCCTCAACGAAAGAGGAAGGGCTCGAGAGCATCACGGCGTGGCCCATCGCCTCTAACACAGGCGCAGGTCCGAGAAGGTGTACGGACGCCATCATTTTCATCTGATGACTCGGGAATCTTGCCTTTGACCGAGAAGGAGAAAGAGGCTATACCAACTTCTGTACCTTAATTCAATAAGCCCAGATGGACTTACTTATCTGTATTATTATTTTCTGATGTAATTCAAGTCTTGTATAAGGTACGATGTAGAAAACCGAGCTGGCGATATCTGGATGTCCTGTCACAATGAGCGTAAATTAGGGAACTTCATATTCAACGTTACAGAGTATTCGCATACTGGCACATTTGGCGAACTTGAAGTCAAAACTCGGTACCCAGACTGTACATAGAAGCACCTCAGGTTTTGATGGAGGTGGCAGCACATGTGGTGGACCTTGGCGCCTCCAAGGCATTCAACTTGAACCCAACATCGAAGCGCTTCTCCCAGAGTACAAACATTTAAACAGACTACCTTGAATGTTATACGTATATTCCGCACCCATGATCCTTGCATCTGATGATGTCAAGATGCATTCAAGTTGCTGATTTGGTCTATTTTCATCACAAAGAACAGATAAAATAATGTCTCGCCATTGTATCAGAGTACAAAGCGCTCACAAAGAAAGCTATTAAGACACCCCCTTTATCTAATACTAGTAGTTCAGCTGAAGCTTTAGCTCCTCTCCTTTCTTTATCTAGCAGTAGATTTCAATATTAAAGATTGAAGGGTCCTTAATCGAAGGTTGGGACTATAACTTCCTCCTGCAGAGTTCAAGAACCCTCCAGGCTTGCCCTTCCATATACCAGTAGTAGCCTCGGGACGCAAACACACTAACATGTCGGACATAGATTGGGTCAATCTATCTCAATATCCTTTCTTTGATAAAAGAAAGTATCCATCAGCAGCAAAATGCGACGATATCGCGCGCTCTATAACAGGCGCTACGCAGGTAAGTCCAGTGGACACTCTCAGTACCCTAACATACTGTGTTATCTGCAGCGAGTGTCCTTCAGAAGAGAACTGGGTCATGATATTTCGAGAGAACAGCCCCAAGGCTAAGCCTCTTGACCATATTCTCAAACTGGCAAACGATACTTTTGGTCATTTGGCTTCTCAACCGATCTATCATGGTGATGTGGAAAATGCAAAGCCACCACTTTCTATCTATACCACACCTTGTCAGCCAGGCATATCACTTCTAAGTACTCTGCGCTGTCAAGTCTATCTATGTCGAGAACAAAAGGAGGAACACATTTACTTTATTCGGGATCTTGCAAGGTAAGTATGAAACTCATAGATACTTTTATCCCATTTTCATACTAACTTGGCCTTTTCAAGGTACTTCGCCCTATCTTGGGAGAATCCTCAACCCATGAAACCAAAAGAACTACTCTACATCCGTCAAGCAGGAATTCGCTATCAACTTCGACAATTCAAAGAACTTGAAGTAACACCTTCTATCCTTCCAACCGAAATGATAGATGAACTCATAGAGCTTCTGCCCCAATTGTTCAGTACCGAATATCCCTCCGTCTTAACGAACGGTAATCTATCTCTAGCAAATATCCGTATCGATGAGGAAACACGTCAAATCACAAGTATTGTCGACTGGTCTCTAACAAAAGTCTTGCCCTTTGGTATGGATCTTGATATCCTTTCCCTTGTGACAGGTTATATGGGCTTAACGGAATGGAAAGATTACAATTGTAAGAGGGTGCTGGTGGATTGCTTTTGGGAAGAGTTCTTCGCTTGTTTGCCGAGGACTGTCCTTACACGGGATGTTAGTCTGGAAGATATTAGATTTCTTGCAGAACAGGCGGCTAAAGTTGGGGCTATTCTGAGATATGGATTTAAGAGACGGGCAGATGGATCTTCGGATGGAGAGGTTTCGATTTCTGATAGAGAAATTGTGCAGCTTAGAGCGTGGTTTGGGGTTTAGTATCATCTGATAGCTGAGAGGTAGTAGTTCAAATGAAAGAGACTGATGGAAAGGGATGTTAAGTGGTCATAGTATTAAACATTGAAATGCATATATTCTTAATAAATGACTCGTTAATCCTTAGCTCTAACTCCATACTCCATACACAAATAGAACTATGATATCATCCCAATGCAACGACTACAAAACATGCTCATGAACAGGCTAGAAAACTAGCCCAGAAGTTTTCCGTAAAACCCAGGGCTTAGATACGGTAGACATGGTCATCATCCTCAAGGTACCTAATCAAAATAAGTTAGTTAATTATGATATTTTCAAGATCGAATGTATAGGTCACTCACATCAGTAGATTGTCGTCGTTCATCTTCTGAAGAGCCTGCAAGGCCTCGGCTGGGGGAATACATGTGCAACACCATGGCTGGGGGAGGCCTGGATAGCATCGTTGACTTCCTTGATCAGTTCGGTGACAGAGGCTTCGTCGCCACTACCGAAAACACGGTTGCCCATGAGAGAACCCAACACCTGTCGGAAGACGCCGTAGCGCTCGGTTGTGATAGGGTTGATCGCCGAAGCGGTGGACTGTGAGTTGTCGGTCTCCGACTGCACAAGCTGCGAAGCCGGCTGAGAAGATGCCATAGACATCTGGGATTCGGACTGCTGAGTGCGCGTGGTTTGGCTTGTGCGAGTACGTGAAGCACGCGGGCTTGCTGAGTAGAGACTCTGGTCCTCATCGACGGTGGTGCTGGCGCCACCACGGGAGCGCGTAGTACGTGCTGGGGTAGTTGAAGGCTGGCCTCGGAAAGTTGTGTCATCATTATCTTCATTATCAGAGTCACTGTCATCATCTGAATCGTCGTCGAAGGTCTGGACCTTGCGACGCTTGCGGCGGCCATCTTCCTGCATTTCCTTGAACATGGCAAATCGGAGGATAGCCTCGGCATGCTTAGCATCCTTCTCATCGACACGGTTTGACAGACGGGCCTTGGCATGGGCGGTAGCTAGACGAATCAATGTCTCAAGGGTACGGGGAGTAATGGGAGAGGTACGGCGCTGGTTGTTGGAGATGTCTTCGTTTCGGAGAGCAGAGTATGCGGCGATGATGTGATCGGCAGCACCCTTGGTCAAGACGGGCTTGACTCGGGACTTGGCGTACTGAATGTACTTCTTGATGAATGGAATGCTAATAATTTCCACATTCTTGTTGCGGTTGCGGCCATTGGGGATCATGCCGCCGTGAAGCATGACGTTGAACTTTTCAAAGACCTCGGTGGGTTGGTTAGCATCTTGGCGGTCCTCAATGCCAACACCCAGGGTCTGGTTGAGTTGTTCGCGAACAGGGGCACCCTCCTCTGTTCCAGGCTGACGGTATCTGTGCATGCGGAGGACGTGCTCAGAGATAGTACGGTCCTTAGCATCCTCGATATCGTCTGTCACGACGAACAGCAAATCGAAACGGGAGAGGAGGGAATCTGGCAGAGCGATGTTCTTGTGAGGATCCTTGTGAGGATCATACTGTCCAAAGACCGGGTTCGCCGCAGCCAAGACACTGCATCGGGCATTCAGACTTGTGTGAATACCGGCCTTGGCGATGGTAACAGTCTGCTGCTCCATGACTTCGTGAATGGCAACACGATCCACATCACTCATCTTGTCAAACTCATCGATACAAACCACACCACGATCACCAAGAACCATGGCACCGGCCTCCAATCGACGTTCGCCAGTCTCCTTGTCAGAGGTGACAGCTGCAGTCAAACCAACACCGGATGAACCACGACCAGTAGTGGCAATGGCCAGCGGGGCAGTGTTCAAAACGAAGCGCAGAAGCTGGGACTTTGCGGTAGAGGGATCACCAACCATCAGAATGTTGATGTCACCACGCAAGTGAGTACCGTTGTCCAAGTTTTTCTCCATACCACCGAGAAGCATCAGCAGAATAGCCTTCTTAATGTAATCGTGGCCATGGATACTGGGTGCTAGCGAGTGTGACAGAAGCTCAAAGACATTCTTCTTCTTGGCGATTTTGTTAATGTTTCGGATATCAGTATCCGTGATGGTGGCCTGCGCAATACCACCACCAGATTTCGAGGAAAGTTGAATAATGTTGTTGGCCATCACAACTGTACGGAAAGTCGAGGATCCAGAACCAGCATTGCGGTTACCAAGGGTTCTATAAGTTCCGACCAACTGGATTCTGTCACCAGGCTTGGCCCTGTCGACAAGGTCATCATCCAGAATAACATCGACACTTCGGGGGAGCTGTCCTGCGGGGGCTCTCTCAGGCATTTCTTGGATGGAAATCGACTGGTGATCCATGTAGGTAGAGTAACCGTACTCGGTGATAAGCTTAGAGAGAGTTAGAAAAGTCTGTCTGTGCTGTTGAGAACCACACGGAGCATACTCACTGGGTTCTTCTCATCATCTTCCTGAGGGTACACATTCAAACTTGTGGCACCGCTCGCTGTCATAGTCTGATCCCGATACTTTCTAGACAAGAAACGATCCTTCTTCTCGCTGTAGTGAACACTCTGGATAATCTTAGGTCGGACCAATGAACACTTTGTAACAATACCCTCGAGGGATACCATGCGGTTGAGATGCTGGGATCCCAGCGTGCGTGGGTTGCAAGAAAATTCGCCAAATGCTCCGACATAGGCGCAGTAGTAGGTCTAGAATAAACAGTTAACTTGCCGTTCAACTTGATAGTGAAATACAGTACCCACCACTTCATCTGAGGTCTCCTTGGAAGGTCGGCCGGGCAAAGTCTTAACGACCTCTTTCAAAGCCCGATCGAAAGCTTCCGAGTAATCGAATGGGGAGGTGAGAAGACTATTATGACAAGAGAAAAATTAGCAAGTGAAAAAAACTTCCCATAGTTCAGAAATTCCAGTCGACTCTTACCCCTCAGCAAGTTCCCGATTGTGAGCTCGAATTTCGTCAATGCTAACCTGTGGGAACTGTTAGCAATTATTCAACCATCCGAAAGAAATAGCAAAAACACACTGTCAATCGTCGCAAGCCCCGGTTAAGCATAACCACAATGTCCGCTCGGTAGCTAATTGATTTTGTCAGAATCGTTCTTTCGTATTTTCAGTTCAATTGACGAACCTGCGCGCCCGTGCATCACCTGCATATCAAAAGAGCACACTGTTAGTAGACGTCCAAAATCATGTAAATTTTTTTAGGTATGGTTTTTCCTTGGCAAGGACTCACTCGGGTCGAGAAATTCGATAGCAGCACGCACGCGATCCTGCGCGGCCTCATCTCGTAGTTGAACGCCTTCCATGATGTCTGGTTGGGGGTATATGTGGTTGTGGGAAGCACCCGAGTCAAGGAGGTTTGGAAGGGGAGAGGTGAGATGAGTGCGGGTCCCGATCAGGTAAAATTGAAACGCGTGAAGATCGTGTCAAGGGGACGCGTTTCGCGTTTCGCTTATGTCATCCAATATATCTCGCGCGCCCGATAAACTGGTGAATTTATTCTCGGCTTTGGCACCTGGGGTGCATGAAAAAGGACTTCGGATGATGGATACTGATAACTTAGATTTAGATTTTATGAGATATATTATGCAATTGGACATCTGAAACCTGAGGGTTTGTATGAAATGGGTAGTTATACATTGGATCTATACAGTTGGTTTGCTATACAAAATAAGAAATGAGAACAATGATATACAATGAGAGGCACTTTCAATGCGCCATCTCCTTAAGTGATTCAGAAAACGCAAGGCCTTCCTAGCTCGCATCTAGATGCCTCTAGGAATCATTCTTCGGCGCATCCTTTGGAGGCCGAGTGTCCTTCTCAGCCCTGCGTTCTTGGGGAGGTGTCCTCCAATGACCTCGCTTTGTCTTTCGGGTCGACTTTGGTGGTAGAGGGAGTGGGATTCGTCGACGCGATCTTGCATGTTGAGTTTGACCTTGGAAATCAATCAGATCTTCCGGGGGAAGAATACCTGTCCACTCCTCTGCATTGGCGGCATCGGCCTCCTTTCGGGGATCACGTCGAGGCTCCTTAGGTTTCTTGGACTTTCTAGCAGGCTTTTTGGTTTCACTTTCTGGTGTCACTGGTGCCACTTGAGCATCTGGTTCTGATGCATTTGATGCGACTGGTACCTCCGGTGCCTCCTCGCTCTGCTGGTTTTCCTGATTCTCCTCGAGCGGATCGAACTCCTCGACTTTAGGACGTAGGCCACGAACACCAGGACCAAGGATACCGCCAGTTGCCACAGTAAGCTCCCTGGGGAATTTCGGCGTCTGTTTCTCGGGTGCCTCGGAGCGTTGTCGGAAAAGAACGCCCTGGAATTTGTCGCGCAGATAAGGCATTCTGCTAATTGCTTCAACTGTCAGGGGTGCCGTAGAAAACAGGACGTCAACTTCGTTGCCACCATGAGAAATACTCGCATCACGAATACGGTCCAAGGCGGATGCAAGGCAAACAATGGTCAAGTATGTGGGCTGCAAGAATTCTGGAGCCATATTGCCCCAGTACTTCCGTGCTGCACGTCCAAGGAAATGCTTAGACTGCTCGGGGTCATTGCGGCTTTCAAGCATATAAACACCACGTGGGGTGCCCGGAGGTTTGAATACCTGACCTTTCTTCAGTCGATTCCATCCTGGCCAATTAGGCATAAACTGTGTCTCGTTCAGACGGAAGGCCTCTGCCACATGCTCGAACTTGTCAGAGTCCGCAAGCAGCTGCACATAAGTTGTCCAGTTGAAGGTGGTCATTTCGAAGCCAATTGTTTTTACCTCATCCATGACTTGAGCGATTCTGTCGTGTTTATTTCGGTAGGCCAATGAACGCATGTAAACAGACAATGCCCGAGAGAGCGTGAAGCGACGTGCTGGGAGAATGTCATGATTTTGCCCAGAAAGCGAAATGGAGGAGGAATGTTCAGTCTTATCCGCCGCAGAAAGTGTTGGTAGACTGTGAGATGATGAGCCAGCATCAGATATAGGATCTGAAGGTGACGGCAAAGTCTCGAGTATGTGATCGACATTGATTCGACTGGCCACTTTGATGGCGCTTGATAGAGCAAGCTGCCAGCATTCATCCACCTCTTCGAATTGGTCCTCTCTTAGGTGTGCAGCCATCATAGCAGTAACCAGGCGAATTGGAGCCGGGACGGATTCACCACCCTGTGGGCTGGTAGAATCGGAACTGCTGAGATATTTGTCAAACAATCCACGAGCTAGTGACATGGCGCCATTTGCACCGTACTGCTTGATGAGATATTCGTGGTTCCAGGTGTTGAAAGACTTGGCAAGAGCCTCCTTGCGACCTTGTGTTGATGGGAGCTTGCTGGCCAGTGCAGTGAAGTCACGATTTGCTATTGACTCAATAAGCAAGACTTCTGCTTTCTTGAGACGTTCATTTGCATCGTCGTTGGTTTCATCCTGCTTAACTGCCTTCAAGTCAGGGGCTATCTCTTCCTCGAAGCTCCGGAGGCTTGACGCTAGGCCTGAATCAGGGAATCTTGAGATGACCTCTTGTAAAATGACATGAGCCATTTCAAGATTGCGAATTTTGATGTATGCAAGCAGAACGATAGCATAATGAACCTCCGTGGCATGGAAGACACGTTGTTTGTGAAGACGCCTGAGAGTCATGCGCGCTTTATCGGCAGAGCCAATCAAAGCCAGACGGAGCAAATCAGCTGCATAGGACGTGGCATCCGGAGTCAGGCCAACACTCGTCATACGATCCCAAACCCGGTTAAAAGACCGATAGTCAATCCTAAATGCATACTGCATGAGAAGCGAGTTCCACATTCGCATTGGAGATCCTTCGACCTTGCTGTCCAAACAAGTCTCAGCCAATTGTTCGGCCAAATCTAGCCGGCCACCGCTAATATAAGCCTGAGCTACCGTGCTAAGCATTGGCATAGTGACAGGTACTTTCTGCAGCTCTGCTTGTTGAAGCAATCGGCGCACGCCAGAAATGTCTCCTCTGTTTGCACATATTCCCATCATAATTCCAAAAGTGTGAGAGTCAAGTTGAACAGCGCTCTGGACCATCTTTGAGAAATGGGAGAAGGCCCCATCCAAATCATCATTGGTTACATAGGCAGTGAGAACAATATTCCAGCACACCGTGTTCGGTTGAAGCTGGAATTCATCTTGCAACCTTCTGAATTGATTCAGAGTTTCCGGGACATTGCCAACATTTGCATTGACAAGGAGAAGTGGAGTCACGAGTCTGCGGCTCTTGGGGTTGCCATGATCCGCGACTAGCTTGTCAAATACAAGATTCACCTGCGACACATCTCCATTGTGAGCGAACAGGTTCAAAGGATCTTTGTAGTTCTGAATTGATGGCTTCCCGTAGAAATGGGCTATCTCATCCAAAAAATACAAGACCTGGCCGGGCATTTCAAATTGCGTAAGAAGTTCGAGTTGGCGAGACAACATTTTCTTGCGGGCGTGGAACTTCGCGTCATGTTTAGCCAATTGCGGATAGAAGAAGAGCCGCATCTGGTGGTAAAAAACGAGTGAACGAGCAAAGTCGGTACGAACACTTGAAGATTGAAGGGTTTCAATGATGTTGACATAATGCTGCAGAGTCGAGATCTCCAGCGAACGAAAGTTATGCATGATGGAATTGAGAGTATCCATCGGGGTATCTTTTAGCATGTCGAGAGAAGTAGAGAGATGCTCTAGTAAGAATTCGGCGATATTTCGAAGGATGCGAGCGTCATACTCAGCAATGTCTTTCTTCCTCACGAGATAAGACGCCAATTTATTGATAACCTCGGAGGGTATACGAACATCCCAGTTGGGGGAGATGATCCGTCCCTTATGCTCATCGTTGAACTGCGAGCGAAGGACCCAAATTTTCTGAGCGTGAGGCCAGTCATAACGCTTTATAAAATGAAGAAATGACAAGGAGAAAACGGATCGTGCGCGTTTGAATTTGAGAGCCAATTCACATATTTCAATAAGCTTTGGTGGCTTCTTGACTTGAAGTTGCGACTGAGTAATGTGGAAGAAATCATTATCAGAAGGTTCTGAAATTAGTAAGAACGTTTCCCACGCTCGGTCTATGTTGACCTGAACGTTTGACTTGCTTAAAAAGGCGCAAAGGTCAGAAAGAGCCTCTGCTGGCCGTCCAGCTGCGAGGAACAGCACCCATACATTATCGTAATGTATCCGAGATCTATCTCGCGACTTCAAGCCGAGCCAAAGGTTCTTTATCGCCTCAACAGGTTTTGATGGCTCGTCAATGGCAATCTCAGAAGATGTATTGTGTGGCTGCTCGGCTTGTGGATGTTGTGAAATACTCGTGGCTTCCGAGACGTACGTTCTCCGAAGACTGGGGAGCGTTCTTTTCCTCCGACGTAGGCCCACCCCTTTGGACAGTCGTGATAGCCGCGAGGCCGCAAACTCTTGAGTCTTCTGGGGATAGAGGAAATCGAGGAATGGTAGATTGGCATCGCTCGAGCTTTGATTTCGTCGGGATGGATTGGGAACAAAAGAGTATGGTTGATCGGACGGTTGTGTGAGAGCTAGGAGCCAGTGGGCGGCATCCCCTCCGACATTGTGTTTCCAAAATCGTCGAGACAATGATCTTCTGGTCTGAATAGCGCCATTAGGATCTCGAAAGGAAACGCCGACCCGCCGTCTCAAAATAGCCCGTAGCCCGTTCGAGCATTACCCCCGATCGTCGCGGCGTCAAAACACTATAACCACCAAAGTAGTTCACCAAGTGGCATCATATCGTGTCCTCAGATACGATCTGATCGAATAACAGAGTCAGTGGTCCGATATCTTCGTCGTTGGGCGAGTAATAGCATTCAAATTGGTTGTTTGGAAGGTGTCTGGTCTTACCCAGAAAAAAGAGAATAGAGCAGAAACAGAGGAAGTTTTCGGGCAGGGAACTCGAAGAATTAGTCTGTAAAGAATTCTCTGAGCTTGAAATTCAAAGCAAGCCCAATGCAATTCCTGAACCAGCCTATTGGCAAAGGGGGCTAGAAGACGAAAAAGAATCGTTGAAGTTGAGAAGCTTCCGCAACAGAGGAAAATGCCCGGCACATCGGCCCATCCTCGTTTGCCCACCGCCTTTGGCGCAACCCACCAATCTGTCTCTTTCGATTCGATCATCGCCCCCTCAATCTTCAACGCGAATCCAATATTCAAGATGGAGATTACGGATTATATCTTCAAGGAGCGAGAGGAGGTCCTTCTTGTTGGGGACTACAATGCCTATCGGGCGCATGCCACTCGCAAGTTGCACAAACTTCGCAAGAAGCTGGGCCAGGCCACGGCTAAAGGCCGCAAGTACACTGCTAAACCCCCAGTAACCGCTGAGAACGTCAGGGACAATGTGGCGTATGTGCTATTGCTAGTGAATTTCTCCCGGGGTGTTGATCCAAGCTGACATATCTTGCTTCATGTAGATACGCGCATCTCCTGCTTCTCGCGTCCGAGCGAGCCTGGGCACAAGCTATGCACATGAAATCTACACACTCCGCAGACCCATCTGCCAAAGGCATCACTGGTGCCGCCAGACGCCATATCATCTCCCGCCTACAAAAGGCAACTGGTTACGCACAGCATCTCGTCTCTTTACTCCATGAACAATCTGCCTCCGGGGCGAACGATATTGATATCCTCGAGGCTCGCGCCTATCTTGCTACAATTTCCGGCGCACTGTGCCTCGAGAAGCACAAGTGGGAACAATGTCTTCACGACTATGCTATTGCAAGAGTTATCTACACAGCTCTTGGACAGCAAGTGAAGAAGGACGCTTTCCGGGATCTTCTTTCCGGAACCGTTGACCCAAGCTTGCGCTATGCTGCTTACCAGATGAAGCTCCCTCGTTCAAAGCCCACTTCCTCGTTAGCAATTGAATTCTTCCCATCGGATCCAGAAATCCGAGCTGAGGTAGAGAAAATTGACCCTTCCTGTTTGGCTGAAGAGGCAGCAGGAACCCGGCGAACTGCGGAAGGTGAGGTTCAAGAACTCCCTCAGTCTATTACTTGGAGATCACGCACCGTACCGCTAGAAGATGCATCTATCTCCCAGTCATTGGCAGCCGCTTCTGCTGCTGAGGCCCTTCTCACTACCTGGTTGGCCGGAGCTGGACGATCAGCTTCCGCTAAAGATCAGGCCGCTGCGTACGATAATGTAATCATCGCCAGTCAAGATGCAGTCGATGCCACAAAGACTGCTATTGATGACTTGGTCAATGAAGGAGTTGATGCTGGAGATAAGAGAATGCAGGCATTGCAGATCACCCGTACCGCTGTCAACTACAGCCTGGTTGGATGGCGGGTCGGCCGTAACCGAATCCTCTGTGGTGAGAAGGACGGTCTGACCTTCGAGGATGAGCAAGCTTCCACGGAGAGCAAGAATGTCAAAAAAAATGGTGGCAATGGGAAAAAATTGAACCGTCTCCGTGAACGAGTGGTTCTGTATGACTCGACTCTACAGAGCTTGGATTTCATTCTTGAGTTGCCAGGTGTTGCAGCTGATTCAGCTTTCGTTCAAGATCTAACTGCCAAGAGACACTACTTCCGCTCCCTTAGGTATGTTCCACCCCCTCTGCTTCTGTTTTGAATATTAGCTAATATTTGTTTTTTTAAGATGCCTGTCTATTGCACGCTCTCACAGTGTACTTGGCAAGTTCACCGAGGCACTAGCGCTATTGGCGCATGCCTATGAGCTTGTTGGATCCGCACCACCACAGTCCTCTGCCGACTCTGAGGGAGCTCCCCGGCTCGACGTTTCCAAGGCTCAGGTCAGTGCCTTGGAGATCACTCTGCGTGGATTGGTTGCCCATTACCGCGGTCTCGTTACCATTGAGCGCTTCGATGCCAACTCTGGTGCATCTCAGCAACAGCCTCTTGCCGAGCGCCTTAATCAGTTCACCGCCGAACCTAATCTGAACAACTTGGTGCCCTACCCACCCCAGATGCAGCCAGTTCCGGTGAAGCCACTTTTCTTCGATGTTGCATGGAACTACATCGATTACCCACGCAGTACCAATGCCACTGCTAATGCCGATGTGGCCGCTGAAGCTCCTACGCCTGAGGAGAAGAAGGGCCGTGGATGGTTTGGCTTTGGGCGGTCATAAATAAGATCAGCGTGATACATAGTCAAGTATCAAAGAGTTATGCCAATTAAACTATATGTTCTCTACCTCAAGTACATACATGATCATTCTTCTCCTTTTCATCTTTACATTTCTTTCATTATATCCAATTTATCCAATCAAGACCCTGGCTTAGTAAAGTGCACGTGCCCCCAAAACCCTTATGTATCAATAGCCAATCAGTGATCACGGGATTTCTCTAACCGAGTCACGCTTTGACTATGATGAGTATAAGAGTTAATAGGTTGATGATGCATAGAAATTAACCTTATAAATTGTGCACTGTTCCCCTTTTTTTTATGACCTTGCAGAATAAAATGAGTTTTGTTGAGAAGTCAACTGGGAGTTGAACTATATAGGTGTGATAGAATCTACTCCGTAGTGATAAGCATACTATAGAAATTTCTTTCTAACTATCAAAGCACTGTACAAGTAGAAAAGAAGAAACAAATAAGAAAAACTTAAGAAATTAGAAAATTAAGAAATTAAGAACTAAGAATCAAGAACTTGATAATCAGGATCAATACTGAACCAATTTCAGAATTGTTCCCCTGATTCTATGCCCAGGTCATACGGTAATACCATAGTAACCAGGGCAATAAGATGTGGGACTATGCACATCCGGGCCCCCGAGAGAGTGGGAATTGGCGCCGGCATTATTGACGTTTCCACCCCTGACCAATTTCGATTTCTTCCCCCTCTCCACTCTCTCCAATCTCCGATCTGCTCGCGGGATTCTTTCTCCTTTTCGATTTTCGGAATTTGGTTTTTGTCATTCTTTCCCTTTACAGAATCTCTCCGACCAAAAAACAAAAGTGAGAAAACCAGTGATCCCGTGCGACAGTATGGTCAACATCACTGGTAGCTTTGTCTCGCCTTCGGCAGACGCGACAGTCTCTCCCCAATTGATCGCGACAGGCGGTTTCTTGGCTTCCATTCTTGATGGCCTCACCATCTGGAAGTTCCTCGGAACACTGTTCCTTGCAGCTGTCGTTTATGATCAGTGTAAGTGCGCCTCTTTTTTTTTTATCAAAATCTTGAAAGGCTTCAGATCTCTCTTTGTCAGAATGTAGCGTCGCTAACCATCTCACCTCTATAGTCAAGTATCACTACTACAAGGGATCAATCGTTGGTCCTGCCTACAAGATTCCCTTCATGGGCCCATTTTTGGAATCCGTCAACCCTCAGTTTACCAAGTACAAGGCCAAATGGGACAGTGGCGAGCTCAGCTGTGTCTCTGTCTTCCACAAGTGAGCAATCCCAGACAATTTGCATACGTGTCGATGTTTTACAGCGATCTCGTCGAATTCCGACTGTTTATAAGAGATCAATCCTTCTCTCGATGTATACTAACCGCGCTTTCTGAAGGTTCGTCGTCATTGCCTCCACTCGTGACATGTCCCGCAAGATCTTCAACTCTCCCGGATACGTAAAGCCTTGTGTTGTCGACGCTGCGCACAAGCTTCTCGGCAAGACCAACTGGGTTTTCTTGGATGGCAAGGAGCACGTTGACTTCCGCAAGGGTCTCAATGGTCTGTTCACTCGCCAGGCCTTGGCCTGCTACCTCCCTCGTGTGGAGGAAGTCCTCAACGCCAGTTTCAAGCGCTTCGTGGAGAAGTCCGCCAACCTGAAGCACGAGCCTACTCCTTGGATGCCCGATTTCCGTGATCTGATGACTGCTCTCTCTTGCCGTACCTTCGTTGGATACTACATGTCCGATGAGGTCGTTCAGAAGGTCGCCGATGACTACTACATGATTACCGCTGCGCTGGAGCTGGTCAACTTCCCTATCATTCTTCCTTTCACCAAGACTTGGTACGGCAAGCGCGCTGCCGACATGGTCATGGCTGAGTTCGCCAAGTGCTCCGCTAAGAGCCGCGCTCGCATGGCTGCCGGTGGTGAGGTTTCGTGTATCATGGACGCCTGGGTCAAGGCCCAGCAGGATTCTGCCAAATACCGCGAGAAGATTGCCAAGGGCATTCAGGTCGATCCCTCCGAGAAGCCTCCCCAGGTTCTGCGTGACTTCACCGATTACGAGATTGCCCAGACTATCTTTACCTTCCTCTTCGCCTCCCAGGATGCTACTAGCGCTGCCTCGACTTGGTTGTTCCAGCTGATGGCTGACCGCCCCGAAGTTTTGGACAAGGTCCGTGAGGAGAACCTCAAGGTCCGCAACGGTGACCGCACTGTGCCTATTTCTATGGAGCTGCTGGACGAGATGCCCTACACTCGTGCTGTTGTCAAGGAGACCCTGCGTTACCGCCCTCCCGTCATCATGGTTCCTTACCTCGTCAAGAAGGATTTCCCTATCACCGACAAGATCACCGTCTCCAAGGGTTCCATGATCATTCCCTCCGTTTGGCCCGCTTGTCACGATGAGGAGGCCTACCCCAACGCTGACTCCTTTGACCCTGACCGCTGGATCACCGGTACTGCCGAGCAGCAGACCAAGAACTGGCTGGTCTTTGGCACAGGTCCCCACTACTGTCTGGGACAGACCTACGCCCAGCTGTCTTTGATGGCCATGATCGGTAAGGCTAGTATGGAGATGGATTGGGAGCACACCCCTACTCCTCTGTCTGAGGACATCAAGGTGTTTGCTACTATCTTCCCCCAGGTATGTTTAAACTTTTTTTCTACAATTTCATCTTGATTTGCACACTTACTAACAATTTCTTTTAGGATGACTGCCTGCTTACTTTCCGTCCCCGCCCATAAACTCTGAACCATTACAGAGCAAACATTAAAAGCCCTGAAGCTGGAAACCTGGCCCCAACCTCCGGATAGAAGGGCCTGGCTATCCAGCACAGCCGTTCTATCCTGGTGATGGAGGGGTCTTTTCACTTCATTCTATTTTCTCAATTGCACTTTGATGGGTTTGGTAGCACGACGGGTTGAAGTGAGGGTAAATCCCTCAACTGGACATAGACACTTAACCATTAGGAAGACACTTGGATACCCTGATACCCTTGTCCTTGTACTATGAGCATTTTCGGATGGTTCTCTATTTTGTCTCTTGCATTGAGCCCTGCGACCACTCTTTAGACTAATATTAATTCATGTTTTCATATTCTTACGTTCAAATGTTATTCAATGCAAACGCCTCACATCTTGATTTGTCCAAATTACGTACCATACTCGCTTCGACAAGCTTCACTATACCAGTAGCATATGCCCGTGGACTTGAGTGCTATTCGGTATGATGAAAAAATACAAATTCATTCTGCATAGGTACTTGAAAGGAAGTTGCCTTGGAATGATACAGGAAGTGAAATGGGCGCCGAAGCAAACGCGAGTATCCACCAAATCATATTCCAAGCTTACCTAGGAGGCAATAAACCAGCATTAGTCAAGTTTTCGCTCACTGCCTGTTCCCTTGATATTTCTCCATCACCGGCGACAGCACGCGTCTTAGGATGATGAATGTATGCCACCTCGAGTGCTAAAGTGACCATGGATGCGAAGCTATTGTCAAGATGGTAAGCTGTTAGCTTCAAGTCTGATATATGCAGTTGAACCTTGCATGGGACGAATCCTTACAATGCGATAAAGCTGAATGCTTCTGCAGTGTATTGGCGACTACACACAACCTCTCCATTCCAACGACTGATCCGGCAACTTTGTCTATTGAAATCCTGAGCCAGGAAAATGAACGACGTAAGCCAGCTGAATGACGCGTTAGATATCGATTTCAATGCCAGTGACTGATCAGGTTCTCACAGATAGGAAATAATTGCGTCAGTTATCAATATCGGGAATATGTGCCATCTCTGTCGTCTGAGCACAAAACTTATAGATGATGAGAGTACGGCGAAGACGATGGTGATAACAGCCTGTAGTAAGATTCAAGGTTAGGATCTATGCATCATAGCTCTTGCTTCTAACCTCGGAAGGCTAGCTATAATGTTGCTACTCACGATTGTCAAGGAGAATATCACAGTGAGAGTCTTCGTTCCTCTCGCAGCCCAAGCAGTGATTCCGAGGACGATGATTGCGCTGAATATCTGGAGTGCCCGGGTAACATAGCTGACCATGCCCATGGGATGGCTAAAAAAGCTCTCCATCATGATATTGGATGAAATGGATGGAATGTGGATATTCGAGGAATAGATCGATAAGAGTTATATTCGAATCATGAAAACAGGATTTCAGCGCCCGGCGATGGTCTTGGATTTATATAGAAATTAGAATTCCCTGTTTCTCTTGTCCCCGGAACCTTGGAAAGTCTATGATCCTATCTCTTGATAGATTTTGGCTTGTGAACCTGAAATGCAGGCGCTTACTTCGGACCAAAGGCCTACCAGCATAATACATACGCTGTCGATTACTAGAAGACATGCTCTCTATATCATGAACCAAAATATATTAATATTATGAGAATCCCATCATTATGTGAAGATTTGATAAATGACTCTGAACATTTGAAGTATGACAGTAGCACATTGTGCAATCCGATCAACTGGCCAATCTAAACCGCGCCCCACTCTTATAGGTACTTGTAGACGTCACGACTAGCAGCCCTGTATCAGGAACCATGTCCAGGTGAAATTGAAGTACCTGAGAATTAACGATCTGCGTTCCAAGACTTTACTATGCTCTCGTTCCTCTAGGACTGCCAGAAGTTCTGCTAAAAGAGCCCATACTCAATAGTACATCCATGGATGTATCTATCAACTATTGGTGTACTAGTAACATTTGAAAATTCTTCATATACATAACGATAAACATACTATCTATTAACTTTGGGACGTACGACTCTTCTTCTTCCTATGTGACTCTGATCCGAAACATTTCAGATATGCCAATCTGAGTGTTGGGATGCTAGAGGCGACTAGTGCGGTCGAGATCTCCACCACAGAACAAACGTAGATAGGCACAACATCCCAACTCAAGTCACGGTTCTTGTATAGATGCACTACATAGGCAAGCCGAACTGCAGCGGCGACAACCGTACTTATGTCCGGGTTAGTAAGTGATTTTAACTACTAGAAGGTATTTTTAATTGATGATTATTGAGCTTACCAAAACCCAGTCGAGCATAACAAAACCAAAGCCATGATCTTTCTTCTCTTCTTCAGATGCAAATCTTGGAAGCTGTCAGCATACAGTCATTTCAGAATTAAGAGAGTCCAACCTAGTATAGGTTTGAGTGGCAGTACCACCACTAGAATGTTGGTGACAAGGAATACAACAGCAACGTCGCACCAGAATATCAAAAGTGAGATGCAAGTGCTGTGATGTCCATTGGCGGGATGAGTCCAATAGCTACCCACTGGTTGACACTGAAATATTGCAACGAATATGAATGTCAGCGTCAAAATTGTGATGAGAACTGCTGAAATAATAGTGGCGATTCTCAATCCTGGGAAAATGCGATGATATAGAGTGAGTATCGAGAGTTTCACCAGTCCACTAGATGTGATATATAGGACTTGAATAGCGAGTTGGATCTAATATCAGGATCAACAGATAGGTAAGTACTACTAGTACTGTATTTCAATGTTGAATCAATTTCAACCTGGTTAGACTAACCTTTCCCAGTGTCCCATTATTACTTGACCAACGTCCCCCCATGCCATTCTCAACGCCTTGAACCAGTTAGCATAGACATTGAGCCGCCGAGATCAGTTGAAGTGAGTGATTATACCCAAAATTATAGACACAAGTATCCCGACAGATGCGATCATGGACCCCATCACACACCAATCATCTGTACCGTACGTTCTTAATATCCAAATACGGGATATTAGTCGCAGTATCACAGTGATCCCCGCGATTCCAATGAGAGCCGATGACACTGCGATGAGCGCCGTCCCAAGATCTTCTGAGAAAGGCGTATTAGTACTGGCTCCATCAAACACGTAACATTTTGAGATTGAACCTTGGAAATCACTCATAGTCAATCATTTGTTCTTCAATTTTATAAAGCGATAAAATCCCGAGTTGTCTCAATTGATAGATGCCAATCCGAGTTTTGGCATCTAGTGCTGCTTTCGCAACACGACCTCGGGATGGGATATGAATGAAATCCTAGAAGAATTTATTTCTATTGCCACATGGCGTATGATACAATTCAAGTTCAAGTTTCTGCTTATGATATTCCAAGGTTTTAGTCTGATCTAGGGGCCTATGTAATACCTATCTATCACTACTGGCAAAAATCTCCCATCTAGGCTATATTCCCGCGTCTGCCCGTTCTTGGAGCGATGCTTCCAGAATCACAACGTCATAGACTTAATTTCGATATATTGGTACACATTGCATAAATAAAAACATTCTCTGCTGCTATCATGCTAGCAAAATACATTTTTATACTCCAGAGCTCTAAATCACAGGACACAAGATCAATTGATAATATGCCAGTGTCAGCGACGTAGGTCCTCAGCATATTGTCTCACAAACATCATTTGAAAGAAACTTAAGCTTGAACCACTGACATTTTCTCAGTAATGTCTGCTGTTACATACTGGCAGTCATTTTCCCGCCTCTTGCAGTCCTTTTAACAAGAGGCTGTGGTGCGCAGCTCTTCATTAACATCATATTGACGTTGTGTGGTGATATCCCAGGGATTATTCATGCAATGTAAGTATTCAAGTTCCAAATTCCCATTCAATAATTTTCGTCTATATCATGCAAATTGGGTATTTTTAAATCCATCTTATGAACCACTGCTAATAGTTTACATGAAGATTCATAGTAGCGACGACAGACAGAAGACGCCAATACTACCAGTAATACCCAGTTGAAGGTACTTGATTGAATGTACGCACTATCTTCAACAGCACTTCAAGCTCGTGTTCAAGTTGGGCGTCTGGGTTATGTACCAGTGGGCCTATTTAAAAGAAATCTATTTTAGCACTTCTATACTTATAGGGTTAAAGACAACCCTGCAGCCTGCTTGGTCAGTATACAATCCGAACTAAGTAGGCGGTCACGGCTGACATCACGCTCAGCTCAACCGTTAACTCCGCAGCTACTAACGTTTGAATCTCCTCGGCTCAAACTTGAACCTCAATCTACTCAAAGTCCAACTGTAGATGAATACCAATACCAATGGCAACAGTATTACCATCCACAATGAGGTGCTCAATCACTTCCATTCCCTCAAAGGCCCTTAGAGCCTCCGCACCTTACCGGCTCTCGACCGCCGCACTTCCGCGCGGATCTCTCTCCGCAACCAACCGAGGGATTGCCTCTCTATCATCGAGATGTGGTTTCCTGGTATCTCTGGCCCAACAAATTTACAAGCCTGCGCATTACAAGCATGGATTATATTCACACAACCAAGTTCGGTGGAGAAGTGATGAGCCTGGCAGTTTGCGCGAATGGGGATTCGAAGAGGTAACTGCACATATCATATTCAAGTTCCATGAAATGACAGGATACTAATATGAAACAGATAAACACTGCTCTCCCTAGCTCATCCTCAAGTGACCCAACACATACCCCAGTCATTCTAATCGACGTCCGTGAACCCGCTGAACTAAAAGGCACCGGTATCATTCCTACTGCGATCAGTATCCCGCTCGCCTCTCAACCCGATGCGCTTTATCTTACACCTGACGAATTTGAGACTCGATTTGGATTCCCCAAGCCCGTCGCTGAGGATAACCAGAAACTTGTTTTCTACTGTAAGGCTGGTGTGAGGGCTAGAGCTGCGGCACAGTTGGCTGTACAGGCAGGCTATGATGCTGAGAGTTTGGGAGTTTATGATGGGAGTTGGTTGGATTGGGAGAGGAATGGAGGCCGCGTTGAACGCTGGGACGGTGACGATTTTTAATCCATACTTGACGACTGACTCTGGTCATTGTGCAGGTTGTATATACTAAATAAGGGTTTCTGGTGCCTACGTGAAATACAATTTAATGCAGGATAGAAGATCTTGAAATCAAATCTAGCAACATTCATTAATCAAACTACTATAAAAAAGACATGGCTGGTACCAGGTCATGCCCTTCCCTTGTCATGTACAGGCGACTTTTCTTTTTTGGCCTTGTCGTGATCGTTATGGTATGTCCACATCATAATCCAAAAAACACAAAGAACTTTTTCGCTTTTTGATGGTCATCGTCATATTTGACACTCAAAAATATTCGTGTCGAAAAACATCATAAAACATGCCACATATCGGAGGCCTTGCGAGCCATCTACGTAGGTATAGCAGAATAGAAGCAGGTTTCACGCTAGGGAAAAGTTGACCATGCAGACAAGGCGGGGGCATATCAGGACATCTCTTGGGGAAAAGATGCCCATCAATAACTTGTGGAAGTCTGAACCTCAAGCTCAAGGGATTTCGAAGGTACCCTTCAGCTTCTTGACCAGAGCCCACTCCTCTCTCGTCACCTCGGCACGGTAGAACTCCTTCAATGTGTCGATACTTTTACGGGAGATGTGAGAGTACAGTTGGTCCTTCTCCTCGAGCTGACGACCGTACATAGGCTGGTTAGGTCCCTCAATCTTGATAGCAACAGAGGGTTGACCCTTCTTGCAAACCGGGATAGGCTTGTGGTCACGCTCAATAGATGTACTGTAGAAATAAATGTTAGACTGAAACAGATAGCGTATACAAGTTGGTGGGGGAGACTTACACTCTGCCAAGATCAATGATTTCTCGCTTACCATCAGCACCGGTGCGGACAGCCGCCAATGGAGTGTGCATGCGCAAGCTACCCTCAAGAACATCGATACCGATGACAATGGGGTCCTTCTTATTAAAGACAGCAACAGGGTTGATAACACAAGGGAAAACAGCAAGCAACTTGCTCTCCTCCTTGCGCTGCTCCTGCAGTTCCTCCATGTGCTTAGTGAAGTCGTCGAACAGGTGGTAAATAATGTCAGCAGTGAAGATCTTAACACCGACATCAGCGGCGTAAGCAGCAGCATCCTTATCAACCTTGACATCGAAACAAAGCATAACAGCGAACTTCTTCTCCTTCTCCAGCATGGTTCCAGCCATCATGACATCACGCTTGTAGACCGGACCAATAGAGATGTTGGCCACGGGAATCTTGGAGGACTTCAAGAACTCAAGAAGAGCCTCCAGGGAACCCAGAGTAGAAGCCTGGACAGTGACACCCCGGTTATCAGTGGCGACACGGCTCAGCAGGTTCTCCAGATCGGACATGACCTCTTCCTCCAGATCATCCTCATCGTCATCAGGTCCAACAACCAACAGACGAGAACCAGCAATAGCGTGCTCCAGATCGTTGGCTGCAATCTTGACACCAAGGGCTGCCTTGACCTCCTTGTTGTGCACGTACTGAGACTTAAGACGCAGCTCCTTAAGCGGTGCCGGTGTGAGCAAGGCTCGGATATTGGTTACTATGGGACCGTTGAGACCGCACAGAACAATTCGGTCGCCCTCGCGCAAGACACCGTTGGACAGGACAACATCGATGGTGGTACCAAGACCCTCGATGACCTTGACTTCCAGAACAGTACACTCAACCTCGGAGAGATACATAAGGGAGTTGGTCATACGCTCCTGGGTCAGGGAGGTGATGAGCTTCAACATGTCAGGGACACCCTCACCGGTGTGAGCGGAGGTGGGAACCAGAGAGACATTGCGGGCCATGGACTTGTTCTCGTAGAACAACTCGGAGTTGAAACCCTGCTCGGCAAAGGCAAGCTTGGTGGCTTCGAGACGAGTGCGGAACTCGTTCTGAACACCCTTGTTCTGCATCGCCAAACTGTCCTCGAAACCGTTGTTATCGATCTTCTTCCAGCCGTACAGACGATCAATCTTGTTCAAGGCCACAATGAAAGGAGTCTTGCGGTCACGCAGCAAACGCATGGACTCCAGAGTCTGGGGCTCCAAACCGTGCATGATATCGACGACCAGAATGGCAATGTTACAAAGACCAGAACCACGGGAACGCAAGTTAGAGAAGGACTCGTGACCGGGTGTATCAATAATCAAAAGACCAGGGATCTTGAACTCGAATTTGCCATCCTTGTTCACAACGGCGGTCTTCGTCTGCAGAGCATCGACAGGGAAGTAGGTAGCACCAATCTGCTGGGTAATACCACCAGCTTCACCTTCTTGCACGTTGGTCTGACGGATCTTGTCAAGCAGCTTAGTCTTACCAGTATCGACGTGACCAAGAATACAGCAAATAGGAGAGCGCAGGTTGTCCTTAGAACGAGCCGCAAGAGCTTCCTCGTGCTTCTGCTGTCTTCGCTCCGCAGCCTCAGCCTTGCGCTGGGCGATAGCTCTTTGATTAGCAGACTGCTCTTCATCAGATTCATCCTCAGAGGAAGATTCGTCTTCGGAGTCTTCATCAGAGTCCTCATCCTCATCCTCCTCCTCCTCGTCGGTCTTCTTTTCGTCAGCAGAGCCATTGGTAGCGGGCTTCTCCTCCTCGTCGTCAGTGGCAGCATCCCAGCTGTCCTTGACATCATCGTCCTCCTCGGCAGCCTTCTCCCAGTCGTCGATAGCATCATCATCCTCTTCCTTGGGAGCCTTGGCAGCGGCGGCGGCGGCAGCGGCAGCTTCAGCCTTGGCCTTTTCCTCGGCCTCCTTCCGGCGCTTATCCTCAGCCTCACGCTGGAGACGGGCTCGCTCAGCGGCAGCCTCGAGGTCAACCTCTTCTTGCTTCTTGCCGCCCTTCTTCTTACGGTTATCGTAGACAGGACGCTTGTTTTTCTCAGCACCGCCCTCCTCAAGACCAGCAACCTTGCCAACACCAGCCGCAAGCATTTGCTGCATGCGCTTTTCGTTGCGCTCCTTGGCCTCCTTCTGAGCCTTGGTAAGAAGCTTACCCTCCTTGCGCAGCTGTTCCTTCTTTTCACGCTCCTTCTCCTTCTTTCGTTGACGGGCTTCTTCACGCTTGGCCTCTTCCTCCTCATCGCGGATCTTCTGGGCTTCAGCAGCCTTCTTCTCTTCCTCTTGGATACGTTCCTCCTCCTCACGCTGCTGGCGGAGCAGCTCCTGCTGCTTCTGCAAAGCAGCCAGATGGGGAGGAAGCTTCTTCTTCTTGCCACCGGTCTCGACAGGAGCAGCAGCGGCGGCGGCGGCCTCTTGCTCGGCCTTAGCGGCAGCCTTGGAGGTATCGGCCTTTTCTTGAGCAGGGGTTGACTTCTTCTTCAAAGCGGCCTAGAAAATAAAATTGGATAATTAGTGATCTTAAGGATGAGAAAAAAAAGCCTCCTCTCCTCGGAAAGTATATCAAAACACACCTGTTCCTTCTTTCGTTGCTTTTCACGCTCCTTCTTCTCCTTCTCCTTCTCCTTCTTGGACTTGACGCGGAATTCTCCCTCCTCAGGCTCGGCGGCAGCAGGAGCAGGAGCAGCGGCCTGCTTGATAGGCTTCTTGGGCTTTCCAGCGAAAACATCATCCTCATCGAATGTGCCTTCCTCGGGCTGCTTGCTAGCGAGATCGACAACAGGATCTTCACCCTCGACGAAGTCGTTGGTGGGATGCTTGCCCTTCTTAGCTTTCTTGGCCTTGTTCTTTCGCAGAGCAGCCATCAGACCACCACTGGCTTCCTCCTCGTCATTCTGGGCATCGGCCTCGGGCTGGTCGGCGGGGGCGTCGGCAGCGGGGGCAGCCTCACCAAGATCAGCCTCCCAGTCCTCCTCCTGGCGCTTGTTTCCCTTCTTCTTGGGAGCCATTGTGTCGGTCGGGTTGTGCGTGTGTGGAACTTATGTCCTTTTTTCGTTTTTCGGCGTTCCGGATCGGGTGTCGATCAGATAGACTTGATGGGCGCACAAACGGAGCTAACCGTTCACTTGCGGAATGCAGATACACTCTCGGATTGAGAAATGTAGGAGAGGAACAGATGGAAGTGTTCCGAAAACTTTGCACACGAATCCCCAGGAATGAAAGATTGGGGTAATGGTGGACCGAGGGGGTGTGGGAGAGAAAAAGAATTTCGGGAAGAATATCAATTTTGGTGGGGAAACAATGCTCTCTGACTTCACTCCTAGTGCGGCGTCTATAACGCCCACCCGAGGGACCAAGCCCAGATTCCCAATTCCTAGTAAATCTAGCGAGGAATTATGGCTATCTGATTTTAGGAACACTCATTCATATGTTTAGTAGGATAATCATTATAACACACAGTAAGGGACAGTATGTGAAAAAGTACTTGTACTAATTGCCACTGCCCAGGTGGCTATACTCTCGTATGCAACTACACATTCAACTTTTTTCAATAATAGTAATTACATACGATTGTGAGAGGATTGAGAACAGGGGTTCAAGTGAGTTATGTTCTCATTTTCTATCAATAGCTATTGATTCTACTAATTGGTAGCCGCTTTGGTGATACCTGGTTGATGGTGTATTTTGATAGGCATTATTCCTTATTTCAATTCCAGGGATCACGAAGGATAGGGACACCAGAGAAGTAATGAGACAGATATGGACAAGATTATTCGATGGATAGCGTGCAAATAGTAGAATTTTCTAGAGGTCAAGACTCAAGACCTAGACCTTTGCAAGTTAGCCATGCGTCTATTTAGGACCACTGGCACCTCCTAAGGGCCATATTCCATATAGCAGCTTGGGAAAATAAAATAAAGATAACAGCTTTTTATTGGAGCAAAGTTCTAGTCTACATGTCTCAGGTTATCTTGTGTCTTTTCTCAATCAACCAGCCTAGACTGACAGACACTCAACTTTCCCTTCAACTCCCAATCTCACCAGCACAAAGAAGTGAAAAGCAAGAGGTCAAAGATCTCTACTCTATCTGAGCGTCTAGGATGGTACATCAAGAAGTCTCCGGAGCCAGGCAATGACCGCGTCTGTCGACGAATCTCCCAAAGTTCTCTGAGCCAGAGCACGGAATATGGTTTCTGTGTGATCTGGCTCTGGAGCATCAACAGACGGCTGGATGAGACCATCCAGGAACTCTGGGCCACGCAGACCAAGGCGCGCAAGGATGTCTCCGTCAATGCGGGAGTTACTCAGATCATGGATCTTCTTTTGGTGTCGTCGGTTGCGCTTGGATGGGCAAAGAATATCATTGTTCTCGGCGATATTTTGCAGGAGTCTCAGCAGAGGCGTGTGGTTCGGATCAGGCATGGATAAACGATAAATGGAGCCAGTCACGCTCAGTCCGTAAAAAGGTCCATTCTCCTGGCCTCCAGAGACAAATCGTATGATCGATTGATGGAGCTGAGTCTTTGGCTGAATGTTGAAAAAATTGGGGGATCGCTCATCCCACTGACCCAAGTCAATAACTCCGGCATTAACTCGACCACGGTGGCTCATGAGAATCATTGGGTTATTCCCGTTGTGAAGGATGCTAGTGAGTCCATCAAGGACGACAGGACACCAGGAGCGACATATTAGGAAAGCACCCGAGTTTGATCCAGTCCCTTGTTCTGCAATTTCAAGGATACACCAGGAATGCCGAGCAGTCAACACATAGATCAAGTTCTTTAAGATGTGAATGGATACTATTGCAGAGGGCAATGCAGTCCCAGCATTTCGACGCCATTTTCGGTTCGCATCCTTGGATGACATGGGAACGAGCCTATTCCCAGCTCCAATAATGAGGCTGTCTCCATAAGCCGCTATTGCCTGAATTGGGCCTTCAAGTATTCGAGTAAGCTTAGTGGTGCAGATGATCTTGGAAGGATCTGATGGGTCACGACGAGGCGAAATCAGGACGAGTCTGCCCTGGTCCGGGTCGCGTTCACGAACGGATAGAACGTGTGTACCGATAGCCAGCATGTGGAACTTTTCTCCCGCTCGCTCATAATCCCAATCCATTAGGCAGGTTATCATCTCCCCAACGGCCGATTCAGGCCTCCAGGGATCGTCAGGTCCGCGATGAAGTATTGGTTTCTGCAAGTCAGGATCAACGAACTGAATATGGGAGGTGAGCATTCTCGTAAAAGGCATTTCCTCTTCTGCCTGCAGAGTCTGGTAAGAGACAACAAGGCACTGTAAATTAGGTGACCATATCAGTCTTCTGGGATTTCCAGGTATCTCAATGCACCGCGGCACGCTCTTCACTTCTTGGTTCAGTGAACATATGAGAAGTTGCCCATCTGTAAAGCAAAATAGAGGACCTATTGAAGCATCTGGTTCGGGATTTTCGGGACAGATCAAGCCAAATCCATGAATCGAGGTGGGAAAGTATGCAGGCTGCGAAAAAAAAAGAATTAGATCCTAATTTAAAAGCGCTGGAGGGGCAGGGTTAAGCTTACGTTGTTCTGGTCGGTAACCCACACTCTCCGGATGAAGCATTCTGATGGAATACAATCAGGGCTATATGACACTTGCCAAAGCTCATTGTCACAGGTAAACATCGCAGATGAGCCCGTGCTCTGAAGTCGAAGGGAGGTTCTGCCGATTCGAGTTGTTCCCTTTTGCTTCAGTCCTATATAAACACATATTTTATCAGTAAAGATTCAGAAAATAGTCAGTATTAGACAAATTAAACAAGGGCTAATCACCGATTAAATCATGGCCCTTGAAGTCAATCTCAAAGGGGACTAGAATTCCACTCCGCAAACCACATAGTAGAAAGGCATGCAAAGAACCATTTCTGGGAGTGATTTGGACGGTGACAATACTTTCAACGACGATTGAAAGATCAGCGTCATAATTGTCAAGCATAATCGAGGTTTCAAAGACCTGGGTGAGGGTGTTGCTTTCGAGGACGAAGGCTGTTACAGTCCCGTCGGCATTCCCCAGGAAGATGAATGTCATATCACCGAAAGTTTGCAGTGAAAGACAAATGGGTTCCTTCAAGATAGGAACTGGCTCATCAAGATCTAAGCGAGCTTCATCGGCTGTGACTATTATCCGAGTCACATAAAGATAAGATTTACTCTCGTGACGCACAGCAGTGGCAATCATCGAGCGTGATCCTTCGACAGCCACTGCAAGGACAGCTATCTGTTCCCTGTGTGCTATCCGGGTATTCAGGTTGGGATTTTGTCGAATAAACAGATGTGTGGCTGACTCGGTAATTTGAATGAGAGCACCATCTGGTGAGAATCCTGCAGCCAAGGTTTGTTCATCAGCCAATCCTGTCTGGTCCTCATTCAGAGCAATGATCCCTTCTTCTGTGAAGTCTGTGTAGAGAAGTAAGGATGAGACAGGGTCAGAAAGAAGAACGTAAATGCCCCCAGTGTAACTGTCGACCATGGTCCACATGTCTCTAATGCTCGGTAGGTCATCAAGAGGTACGTTGAATTCCAAAGCAGCTTCAACTCCCCATCGAAACTCATAGATACCACCTTTTCCAGCTGACGACTGAGAGGATGCAAATAGACGATTACGGGCAATGCCGCCTTTGATTATGTGTGTTGCTTGTGGATAAACCATGGCAGCGTCCCGTATTGGGGCCCAATTAACGAAACGTTGGACACATCTCGGGCTTTCTCTCGCCATTTGAACGAAGAGTCCGCCATCACCAGTGCTTCCTGCTGCTAGGATAAAATCGCCGCCCTCATGACCCATATCAAGGACGTCGAATGCCAAGTCAACATCGCAATGGATTTTGCCAAGGGAAGTTTGGGTTTCCAAGTCGCCATCATTGCCGAACTCCAGAAGATAGATCCAGCCATCTTCACGGCATAAATAAATTCCGTCATGCTGTTGACTGTACATCCAGTTGCGAGCTGGTCTTGCCCAGCGAGTCCACATGGAAGCATCGCTGATTTCGGAATTGGAGGCAGCCAGCGGATATTTCTTCGGGCGTTGTTGGCCGTCACAAGGATAGACCGCCATGCCCGTGGGAGACACCACCAGAAAAGAGGACTGTTTTGTCAAGGGAACAATCATGGTTGGCAAACTATGCTGCTTGCGGAGTCTGAATTCCTTTATTTCCGGTTGAACACTGCGCATATCTTGGTTCTCTTTCCAGGTGTATGTCATAACTTCAGTGTGACCCTCTCGCTCCACAATAATTAGAAGGATAATGCTGTTATCATTGATGGATTTGGGGTAAAGAAACTCGAGGAATAAGATCTTTCCTTCGATGGGGAAGAATTGCTCCTGTCGTAAATATTAGTCAAACTTGTTTTTGGGGTCTGTTTCTTGAAAGCTGAAAGGAATAGATTCTCACATCTTTTACTGGGTTCAAAACTCCTGCTTTCATTTGATCTTGAAGATTGTGAGGCGATTGAAGCCACAAGATACCAAAATACTCCACCGATGAGCTGACTGCGACCGCACGAGATCTGTGCTATAGTTAGCTACCAACCAACCTATATCATATTGACATTACTTGCCTTGGTTCGACTGCAATATGTTTCCCATACTGCCATTCTGGACTCACACCCTGTGGTAGATGCTTCCGAAAGGTAACAAGTCCATTGCCTGGCGAATAGTACAGAAACTGTAGCTCCACCATAGCCACGCAAAGGACAAGAATTTGCGAGGGACCATCATAGGAATCTTCTGCCCGGAGATGAGCGGCCAATGAAAGCTCTCTTTCCACATTGAGAACCTTCGCCCCTATGATAGGGCCATTGAAGTCGGCTTTGTGAATCACATCCTTGAGAAACTGTCCGTCCATCACTTCCTTGATCTGTACTCGCTGTGCGCTGACAAATACAACATCGTTGTGATTTTTGCTGCGAAGACGTGCTGGTAAAATCCATTTGATGATTGGACTTGCAAGGATTGTCTGCGCGAGAAGTCCCCGATAGGGCTGTTCTGTAATGAGTTGAACGGGCAACCCAAGGTCGGAAAGATCGTTTAACGTGGGATCAGCCATATTTGAGGATGATCATAGAAGAGTAATCTTTCTTGATGAGTTTCGATGAAAAAAACGCGTGATATGTGGTTAAGCATGCATGGAAAAGGAGAGGGATGGTGGGGAGAAGAGTGATGAAAGACGCAACAAAGAATGATAAAACGTCCGATATTAGACGCGTACTACGCGTTTCGCTTATAAGCGACACAAGGCTGGAAACTTGAACTCTCACTCAGAGTCAGCCTATGGATTTCCTTTTCTTGTCCAATAGGCTTTTGTTCAAATGTTTTGAAAATGTGTGCTGACGCCTAGAGTTCAAGACAAACTCATATTGGGAAGTGCACAGCAGAGAATGTCACAGTATCTCTTTGAAATAGTGTGCTCCTTATCCAGATTCCTGCTGTATATTATATTACACAGCAGAGGAGATTCAGGGATTTTTTGAAGCCATAAACCAAAGCTTTACTGCATTGGAGATATGCCCTTCTGGGCTGAAACAGTTGGCGATCGAGTTTAGATTTTGGTTCTGGTATCAGAGTCCATACACTAGCAGTAATCTAGCATAATCTTTGGGGTATCTTCTAAAATAAAATCAACATTGAATACATAAGAAATCCAGATTGAATGGAGGTAACCTACCCTGCACATATAAGGCACTAGAAGTTCAGAACAAGCAGGTTGGAGCCTCTATGAAAGACCATAAAAACAACCTCAAGTCTAATATCCCTTCCAGATGTTGCAAAAAGAGCGAGCAGCTGCCGGCTTAGGCTAGAGCATGTAGGAGTGTGCGATCTTCCAAGACTATCTCCGAACCTGCGGGGCGCTTTGCAGGCTCACTGCGGGATCTCAATTGCAAAGCAGCCAGGAATAGATCCGGTCTTAGTGTATGATCTTGAGTTATTCTGATATTCTCTGCAGCAGAACTCCTTTCTCCACCGTCCCTTTTTGAAGAAGGTCTTGGGGTTGAATCTGGATCCGTGAATGTTTTTCTCTCAAATGTTCATGCAAGTGGAGGAATCACGTTGGGCCTTGGTGCCTTAGGCCACTAAAAGTGGGACCGCGTCTATCTCCCGACTTGCATATCAATCCTCCTTTCTTTGTCCCTAACTTGTGATCAGCTGTGTCGGGATATAGACACATGGAATTTGAGGTTTCTTGAAGAGTGTGGAGTTTATTACCACCAGCCCATGCGCTGCACTGTCGCTTGAAGAGTGGCTGATAAAAGCTGTGATTCCATCTTTTCCAGTTCAAGATCATAGTACTCATCTTGAGCAAAGACCAGATGGCCTGATTTCGGGATTTCCATCTACTACAAATATTCAGCTTTGAAGTTTTTTCCTGGTTTCTTCTGCCTATCGGCCAACGCTGGAGCTTCGCCTGTCTCCATACATCTTGACAATGGATTCACCAAGTATCGAACATCCCAAAGAGCATCTTAACGAGAGTCCATCAGAGTCTATTCTCTATGATACCGAGAAACTTCCATCATCAAACAGTGATTTGTCAAAAGAATCTGTCGATGCACAGCTGAAAAGGAGCGCTTGGGCAGAAAAAGCAGAGGCTATCCGCAAAGCCTGCGACTCTCAAGATGTGGAAGCGTTGGCTTTCCATGCTATAAGCAAAGGGGGATTGCTAGAGGATGGCCTCCGACAAATCGCTTGTAAGTTCTTTGCTCAACCCATTTTTCAAGTGCTAACTCCTGTATAGGGCCAATTCTACTGCAGTGTGAGCAGGACTTGGGAAGTCTGAAGCCCTCAAATACACTTCCAAAGCATGCCGATGAAGAGCAAGTTGACCTGGATGTCAACCGAGCATTTGTCTACTATCCTACTGATCTCTCTGAAGAAGGGATTGCAGAAAAGAAAGAGCAGCTCTTGAGCCTCATCACTCAGATCCTCCGCAACTACCCAATGCTCTGTTACTTCCAGGGATACCATGATATTGTGCAGGTCTTTCTCCTGGTCATGGGCAGCCAGCACGCTGCACTGGCCATGGCTCAAGTCTCCCTTTTCCGCATTCGAGACTATATGCTTCGAACTCTGTCTCCAGCTATCAAGCATCTACAGCTCATACCTGCCATCATTGAAGCTGCCGATCCCTCTTTGCGTCAACATCTCTCCCACATTCAACCTTTCTTCGCGCTGGCAGCTACTCTGACCCTGTACGCCCACGATATCCAGGAATACAGTGACATTGCTCGCCTGTACGATTTCTTGTTGGCGCGAGAACCGGTAGTCTCAATCTACCTTTTCGCAGCCATGATTCTTTCCCGAAAGAAAGAGCTTTTGAATATCCCGGTGGATGAACCGGAGATGCTTCACTTCACACTTTCTAAACTTCCACAGCCACTGGATCTAGATGGCCACATCTTACGCGCAGAGCAACTGTTCAAAGACCACCCTCCCGAATCTCTTCCCCACGGAATGTGGAGAAATATTTCTCGATACAGCGTACTCAAAACATCCCGGGGTCCGTCTCAAATTTACAACGTACAGGAGGCGATAAGGCTCTTCGAGCAACAAAATCGGCAAATTCACAATGAGGAGCGCCGAAAGCAGGCTCTTGAATTTGCATGGAAGCACCGCCGGACGATGGGGTCTGTTACACTGGCTATTTTGGTCGGTGCGGCATCCTTCTATCTTCGCAAGAAGGGATTAGATGCGTCGATCTGGGCCTATATCGGTCGAGTTCAATCATTCGTTTCTTCATTTATTTGAACTTGAATACCTACAGAATATGTAGGTCAGTATCACCTGATACTTCAAGTTACTTCACGAGGCCATTCAGGCATGAGTTCACCCAATTTGGTTTTAAACTGTATAATAGAGACAAAAGGTATGGGTACGGCACCTGAGAAGCTTCAAGTTTCAAGGTTGAAATCTAGCAATTTACTTAATATTTGATATTGATTCCCTACCTACATATGGTAGCACTTGAGGTACATAGTACCTGGGTTCTGGTTACTTCAAAGTGGACCAGTTGACTGAAAACATTGATTATCTTCGACTTTGAAGTTCAACCTTGGCACCGATTCTAAACATGTACAACTGCCCAGGTGGGCATGATAGTACATATTATTTGAAGCTGACACGATTCAATGTTTTGCCGCTGGCAGTACTAGTAGGTAGTATGAGCTCCAAGGCTTCAGGCTCCGATTGATGGAACATGATTGAGCTGGTGCCCAGGTGATAGTACCTGTAGTAGTACCTAGGTAGTGTGTATATATCGGTGGAGGTGCTCGTACCTAGGTACTAATACCCAGGTCTTAAAAACGCACATTTGATGAATCCTTGATCGGTCACGGTTCTGTGAGTCAATAACAAAGGCTTGAAAAAGCCAACTTTTCAAATAAACAAAGTTATTCAAAATTGATAGTCGGAAAAACTGTTGATGTTGGTGATGCAGCTTCTTGCTGGGCACGTGTGGCTGAAAGGTGGCGCCTGTCGGGAAGCTGATGTGTACACTTCAACTTCTCCAACATCCAACCTCTAACTCCAAACACCCAACATGGCCAATCGGGGTTATGACGTTGTAGTTGATGTGGATGCAGAGGTATGGTCAAATTCATATATACCATTATGAACCCATTCTAACGCGCTCACAGGGTGACCTCGGTCATACAGACCTGCAGGAGGACCTTGAATTTCATCCATCCAGTGAGTATCAGTCAACGACCCAACACTCGAAAGATCTGATATCCTAATAATTTCTTCTTCTGCAACTCCAGACTTTGAAAACGACCAGCGCAGCGCTAAGGTCCAAGGCGACTCAACTCCGTTCCTGGGTGGTGGTTCTTCTTCCCGCGGCCGCGACCGTTCCCCTGGCGGCACATCAACCAAGCATAGCTGGTGGTCAATCCATTACTACGAGCGATTCTTTGACGTCGACACAAACGAAGTCCTTCGCCGCTGTGTTGCAGCTCTGTACCCACGCTCGAACTTCCTTGACGTTCTCGAAGGCAATGCCGACCTGTACGGACCTGTCTGGATCGCAACGACCGTAGTCGTGATTCTGTTCCTCACAGGAACCATCTCACAATGGCTTTCCAATAACGACGACAAGCACTTTGAGTATGACTTTACTCTTCTGTCTGGTGCCGCGGGCCTGATTTACGGATACACGGGTCTCTTGCCCATTGCGCTTTGGGGAGCTCTGCGCTGGTTCGGGAGCTCGACCGCTGATCTGATTGAGTGCTGGGCTTTATACGGGTACTCTAACTTGGTGTGGATTGCAGTTGCGTTGGTTAGTTGGAGTCCCCTCACAGCGTTGAACTGGGCGCTTGTGGGTGTGGGCTTTGCTTGGACAGTCTTCTTCTTGTTGCGAAACCTTTACCCCGTGTTGAATGCTACGGATGCGAAGGCCAGCAAGATTCTTTTGATCTTGGTTGTGCTTTTGCATGCTGGACTGGCTATTGCGATTAAGATCCTTTTCTTTGCGTGAGTCCACTTCCGTTTCTACTTTGGGCTTGTTGTCTGGGGTTGGTGATGACGGTCTTTTGCTAACTCGATATCTATAGCCACGCGAGCCCTGTCTCCAAGAAGAACAAGGATCAGAGCGATGAAAATGATAACGACAGCACGCGCCGGATGATGTTTTGAGCATGCCAGTGGCCATGAGTTAGCTCCTTAGTAGAGTGAAAATGTACACCTCGCTGGGTTTACTGGCGCGACATGGTGAACTCCTCATGTTTTCTTATAGCAGTGGCCTGAAGATCAGCCACATTTGTATCGTATCTGCGCTTACAAGCTGTTGACGGCTTGATCATTGCAATTGAATGTTTTCTCATAAGAATGAGGTTTGGTAGTTGTATGTATATGTATTTCGCAGTGGCTGGAAGTCTACCAGTTGACAGTCTTAGACATCGTTCCCACCCTAAGAATAGAGCAATTCTACTAAAGAGTGGGGCCTGACAGTCAAGAACTAGCCCCTCCATGTACTTATCGCACAGTAGATCCGGAGTCTTGGACCTGATCGTAATGATCTCAATGCCGAGCCCCGCACTCTCCAAAGAAATCCCACTCTATCAATGATGACACGGAAATGGAATATGAAACAATTGAACGTTTTGAACTTTTACTTTAATTCATGGATTGCGACGTGGACCTCAAGAGGAGCCAACTAACAAAAGGATGACTCTGGCTGTGATTGTTTCATCATTTCTAACGCCATGTAAAAACCTCTCCGTGTCGCATCCCAGCCAAACACCAGACCTGGAATCGGCACCACAGCACACCGAGCACAACACCGTAGAAGCGAGTCGTCTATTTGAGCTTCTTCTTGGGGCGGAGCTGGTTGGTGTGACCGCACTTCTTCTTACGGCAGTTGGTGGCACGAGGGGGAAGACGGGCCTGTGTAGAGCATGTTAGTCGAGTTGATTGGAATGTTGTGATTGGGTATTCGCCGCCGATTATTCAAGTGGCCTAGCCAAATCTGACTGGCGCACGGGAATCGAATAATGGGTTCAAGGTTGAGGTTCACGTACGTAGCACTTGCGGCAGATGGACTTCTCGCAGTTGTACTTGGAGGCAAGGGCCTTGAGGGAAGGCTCAATGATACCACCACGCAGACGGAGGACAAGGTGAAGGGTGGACTCCTATAGAGATTGAAACGAACATGTCAGTGACGGTTCCATTGATGTCGCACAAGTCGTCTGTTCTGTTTGCAATCGTATCGAATCATTGGCGGCAGTTGAATATTCCTCCTCTTTTCAGAAACTCCGCGAATATTCCTCCTCGTAGATCCAATCCCGACACATCCGAATCCCATTTCACGCCCCGAGCCAAGTCGATATCGAATACGAATGCGAATAGAATAGAACCGATAGTCGACCCAGAATCAAAAGTGCCTCATACCTTCTGGATGTTGTAGTCGCTCAGGGTGCGGCCATCCTCGAGCTGCTTGCCGGCGAAGATCAGACGCTGCTGGTCAGGGGGAATGCCCTCCTTGTCCTGGATCTTGGTCTTGACGTTGTCGATGGTGTCGCTCGACTCGACGTCGAGGGTAATGGTCTTACCCGTCAGGGTCTTGACGAAACTATATCGAGCCGTATTAGTGGCATGTTCTCCAGTTTTGTTCTTGTGCTTGGTTGCTTCGTAGCGGTGGTTGCGTTCAACGTTGACGAATTGCGGGCTATCGAGAGTTTGGGACGACCTACATCTGCACTGGAAGCGAGGAAAAAGGGAAAAGTTAGCTCGTCATGTTCACAGGGACTTCAGGAATGCGTAGCAACGTGTTTCGGGGCACATACTGGTTGCGAGTTTTCGTTGGTGTCGGCGGTCGGTCGCTGTGTTCGAGGCGGAGGAGTCGATGACAATTTGAGGATTTCTCGCTTAGCAAAGGTGGAACAACCGGACTTACCCTAAAGCCCTAGAATTAGCACCCGCATCTTACCGCTTTTGGGTAAGACTAACACGTGACCTCATAACCGCCTCGTTTATGACAACATCGTTATACTTCATGGCCTGGGGTACTTTCAATGTTGCCCACTTGCAAGGAACATTTGAATTGTATTCTCAGTGCTCATCTTTTAATTTTAAATTTCATTCTTTTTTTTTCAAATCTACAGTATCTCGAACACAAAACCTTCTAAAAATAAAATAAAATGTACTTCCATTATTCCGTCCGGTAATGGTAATCCAAGTAGCGCCATTATGCAATAATTCATACATCACAGATCCTAATCAACATCCAAGTCCGACCATTGTTCATGAAGTTCACGAAGTTGAAGTTCATCCAAATCTTCATTATCTCCACCTACCTCACCATACATATCATCATCTTCCTCATTAGAATCAAATCCAAATTCCGCATAATCCGCGCGACGTTGCTCGTCTTGCCAATGAGCAACCCGCCATTCAGCAACGGTAACAGCTCTAACAAGTGTTTCTAAGTCAACACCTGCAAGTTGAGCTGATATTTCGTAAAATAATCGTGCCTTTTCCGGAAGTGTAGACACCCAACGGTATCGATGGTACCAGACACCTGGCCTGGGAGGTCTCTTGCCCTCTTCGCGTGGCACTGAGGGCACGGCAACTACACTTTCCATAACGCGCTGGAGCATAGTATTTAAGGCTTCTTCCTCATTGTTCACCTCAACAGGGATCTCAGGCGCCTCTTCGGAGTCAGGTAGAGGCTGTGGAAATTCCTGGCTGACAGGGAACAAATCTGTGATCTGATTTGTGACTGCTTGGGTGCCCAACCAGCTCTTTTCATACCAGTCCATATACTCGTCGAGTTTGCTGGGGTCCATCCCCAAGACATCCGAGTCGGTCATTTGAATGATCTTTTCTTTGCCCATTTCCACACCGGTGACTTTCTCGGCATCAAATTGCTGCTGCGCTTGCATCCATGCCTGCCAGTTCATGCTTTGTGTGGCGGGTTCCATAGTTGTGGCTGGATGTCGCTCTATATCATCAAATGGGAAGAGCAGCTTCGTAGCCATTACGATAAGAACGACCATTTGGACTTCAGGCAGATGAAGTGAATGTTTCCGCCTGTTTTCGGCAAGTTGGTCGGGATATTTGAATGTGAATCCGAGGTAACTTTGCAAAGTTTTGATTATCTCGTAGACATCAACTGTTCTCTGTTAGTCTTCTCCATGTAAGGAATATTGGCATTATTTCATACTTGGAACTGCTAGTCGTTTGATATGGCGGTATAATATGATGGGAGAGTTCATTGAGGGAAGCACAATTCCAAACTTGCGTTGATAGAAGATGGCTAGATCCCGACATGTCCGATGAAGTGTTTCCAATTTTGGGATTTTCTATTTTGAGAATTAGTAAGGTCCTTATTGAAATTTCAGACACGATGCTTTTTTAAGGTAACTTACTTTGATATCAAGGATTGCAACAAACTCTGGAGGAAGTTTGTGCTTGATCTCTGAAGGGACGGTTTTCAATGCCCTGATATATGGAAGTTCCTGTCGGACTATTAACCTGCAGGACGAATATAATGGTTAGAATGATCACTATCAAGTTTTTATCATCCAAACTGGCATTGCATAATAGTTGATGAACAAATAACATACCGATGCAAGTCGTGGACGCAGATTGGCAACCGCATCAAAACAGATGCTAGATAGCAAAGACAGACAGCTTCAATCAATCGTGGCCATTCAAGGTATCTAGATCTTGACTTTAAACCCATTTCATCTGAATCTTCTGTCGCCGAAGCTTGGGAACTAAAAAGCTCTGGCTCACTTTCATCACCCTCATCTTCAGCAGACTGGGTAATCTTCAGAGAAAAGCCACGGAGCCTTAGAGCCCAAAGGTCGCGAACCACTCCCTATATAGTTAATTAGTACGTGACTCTAGAAGCTAGACAAACAGTTTATCTAAGCCATTTACCTCTAATTCCTCTGGGAAGCCATGTTCGTTCACTAAAGCATGACATTGTTGCCATAGAATCAATTGATAGCCCTGCAATAAAAGGGTATTTGCCTGCCGGCCTCGCGCAGCTACAGAATTAGGTTAGTAACGCTGAGATTTATGGCGTGAGCCCACTGGAATGCGATACATACTCTTTCGAGATCTCTCCTCCTTTTCATGCTTCACCCGATGGGTTCTACCCTGAGTTCCAAAATCATCTGGATCTTCTTCGATTTGACGACCCTAGGTAAATTTTAGTTTGAACATTCTTCTCATAGCAGCTTTTGAAGCGGTGATGTGGGTAGGTAGGACAAAGGCAGGATTCGTGCATACCTCCTGTAAATGGCCGCGCCGACAGAACCAGAGACCGTTATCGAGATAGTACCTTCGTTCACGGCATGACTCTTGGCCGCAGACCCCTCGCGTGACATAGTCCATGCCGGGGCAATGGGGTCATGCCGATCAATGGTACCTAGTGTGGTTGAGGTTGAATTTGACGGGTCGGAACGTAGTTTTCAATGTTCCCCCCGATTTCTGCCCTTGTCCTTCCACCGCCGATTTTTACCAGTCATTCAACATTGAACTTGAATCTTCAACAAGAAGTTTGCGGCCATCAGCGTGAGAGAGTGCCCTGTATTTTTGAATAGACATCATCTACAAAAATACGTAGATCGACCATTACTACTAGTCAATATTTGAGATCTTTTTTTAGCCTCAATAGTGGAGCGATTGATCAATTTACGGTTGACACTACTAGTAGCTCAGCAACATTTATTTATTCGTTCATCACACTATTATGAGACGCTGGGACTCAGAACTGATCTTCGGAGAACACATATTATGCCAACCAAAGCAATTCTTCTCGTCGGTCCAGCCTACTTTCCAAGGCTAAAATGATGGAAGGGAATCCTGAAAGCAAGAGACTTCTGTCAATTGGCTCACGGATTGAATCCGCCATTGAACCATTGAAGATGAATTTTTGAGAGGGAACAAATGCCCTTTTTTAAAACGTAACGGTTGACATAACAGTGGAAAATCCCGGGATATGGCGTTTATTTGGGAGCCTCCTTGGCCTCAACAGCGGCCTCCTCACCCATGGCGCTCTGGATGATAACGTCTGAAAGATGCATTGTTAGCGGGATTCACCACGGGAGAAAGAGATCGATCATGAATATGACATGATCTTGCCGGGTGTACTTACTGACGTCCTTGTTCTCATCCTTGAACATGCGGTTGATACGCTCACCAACCTCACCCTTGGGGATCTTGACATCATCCTTGGTGTCACCGTCATCCTTCAGGAGGGAGAGGAAGTCATCGTCGGTGATGTCCAGCTGGAAAGGGATATGAAGTCAGCCTGGGTCATTCTGATTTGAAGGGAATCTGTCCGAAGGACACTTACAAGCTGGTACTCCTTGCGGGAGACGTGGGGAACATCCATGTTGTGGGTGGAGGGGGAGAGATCCTCGAGCTTCTTGCCGGTGAAGATATCAATGGCGACCATGTGGACCTTAGCGTGACCGTGCTTGCCAGTCTTGGAGGTGGACATGTCAACGATCTTGCAGGGGCGGCCCTTGATGACGACGTGACCGTTCTTGCGCAGAGCGGAACACTGCATGGGGTAGGTGGTCGAAGCGCCGGCATCGGCCGACTCGAAGGTGACGTCGTGCTGCTATAGGCATGTTAGTTTAGAAAAAATAAATTGGAAGATGCTGTCCGCCGGACTCGAGAGAGGGGTTGTATAGTGGTGCACCCGAAAAAAAGAGGGGAGACTCTCGATGCGGGGCTCACGCACACAATGCGCTGGGGGGAAAAGCACAAGGGTGGGATCGGAAAATGGAGCTTAGGGGAGTATGTTCCATACCTCGTCAGACATTGTGAAGTGGGATTTGAGGGGCAGGGGTATAGAAAAAAAGGGATAAAGAGAGGTGAAGGGAATAGAGAGAAGAGGAGTTTTCTCTGACCAGAAAAGACAGAAAAAGCCTTTGTGGTGGGGGGCTGCGTCGCTATACCTATTTGGGACTAGCGTCCCCGGGAATTGCTGTTTGGTTGCTTTGGCTTCAATTCCATTAGTTACTTGGATAATCATTCAGGGAATAATATATCATCCGCTTACTCTTCCCCTTTTTTATACCCTTCTATGTTCCTTTCTTAATTCTAAAATGTGGCGCGACCGCATTTCGGGTCAATCAACCCCTTCAGGAGGTCCTCGAAATCCATCCTTGCCCCGACGTTCATCTTCCCAATTGTCTCGTGGCCCCTACAACTCTCGTCCCGGCAATGCTTCGAGAACTTCCTCCACGTCATTATTGGTTTCTCCGAATGACTCGACCGCTTCCATTACCGGCCCTTCAACCCGCTCACCCAATGATACAGGGCTAAGACAGACTAGTGCCCAGCGACCACGCCCGGCTACAGTGCCCGATCCGCTCGAGGTCTTGAATGGAATCATTCGAAAGGAGACTCAGATAAAGGATGTACCGCAGCTATCTACAAAGCCACAACAGAGACCATCGGAACTGATAGAGGTAATTGATTTCGATGGATTGAGCTTGGAGGAGTTTGTGACCAAGACGGATCCAAAGCCGTTTAGGAAGTCCGCTACGAGCGATGTCAATGCGCAAACAACACAGCAGTTCGAACAGGAGCGAGACAAATTCCAGGATCTCCATACGGCTATCAGTGGTTGTGATGATGTTTCCAAATCAGTAGAGCTTTACCTGAATGACTTCCAAACGGAGCTGGGTGCCGTGTCGGCGGAAATTGAAACCCTGCAAACCCGATCTACCCAGCTGAATGCGATGCTCGAGAACCGAAGGAATGTTGAACGGTTACTCGGCCCAGCGGTAGAGGAGATAAGTATCTCACCAAAGGCTGTTCGTACAATCGTTGAAGGTCCCATGGATGAGAATTGGGTGCGCGCCCTGAACGAGATTGATGCTCGGACAACAAGTATCGAATCTAAGGCAGCTTCCCCAGCAGGCTCCAAGGCCATTGAGGATGTGCAGCCACTTTTGGTCGACTTGAAGAATAAAGTAAGAGATACCGCCCATACTAACATCAAATAATATATCTAACCCAAGTCACCCCGTTTAGGCAATCGAACGCATTCGCGACTACTTGGTCTCTCAAATCCGGGCGATGCGGTCACCAAACATCAACGCGCAAATAATTCAACAACAAAGGCTGGTGAAGTTTAAAGACCTTTATACCTATCTATCAAAGGTCCACCCAACCCTTGCTGGGGAAATTTGCCAGGCATACATCAATACAATGCGCTGGTATTATGCATCCAATTTCACCCGTTATCTTCAAGCCCTCGAAAAGATCAAGGTCTACCCCAGTGACCGAAATGAGGTACTCGGCGGTGATACTTCAACACACAGAGCAGGTAAGGCTTTACTTAATTTTGTGCCTTTTTTTCAACAGGAATGCTGATCATCTCTAGGAAATATCCTCCCTGGCGGCCGAGCTGGCTCTGCTGCACACGACCCTTTTTCACTAGGTCGACGGATTGATATTCTCCGCAATGGGCACCAACCGGCTATATCATCTTACCTTGCTGAGGAGGACCATGCTTTTCATGGAATAGAAGTACCGTTTCGGAATTTCAATGTTGCTCTGGTAGACAACATCTCCACCGAGTACTCTTTCCTCACTGAGTTCTTTTCTTCTTTGACATTCCACCAAATCTCACGCCACGCTGCGGAGATTTTCGAACAATTGTTCACATTTGGCCGAAACCTCACCAAAAAGCTCATTGAAAACACGACAGACTCGCTGGGAAGTCTTAATGTGCGTTCGCTTGAACCAGCATTCGGCTTTTGAACTACAACGCCGCAAAGTCCCCGTTGTAGATTCTTATGTGAACGGTATCAATATGCAGCTGTGGCCACGCTTCCAAGTTATCATGGATCTTCACAGCGAGTCTCTTAAGCGCGTTGGATCAAATACCGGACGCAGTGCAATGTCTGCTCTTTCTATCGCAGGTGGTGATGATTTGAAACAGTCATCTGCACCTCATTTTCTCACTCAGAGATTTGGCCAACTTCTCCACGGTATTCTGGTGCTTAGTATGGATGCCGGGGACGATGAGCCTGTCTCCAACAGTTTGGCTCGTCTGCGCTCCGAATTCGATTCCCTCCTGGCGAAGTTGAGTCGAAATGGTACAGATGCGAAGCGTAGAGAGCGGTTTCTGTTCAACAATTATTCATTGATATTAACCATCATTAGTGTACGTCCATCCTGACTCTATCATATCCTAACGCAATATGCTTACTGGATTATAGGATACCCAAGGAAAGTTAGCGACTGAGCAAAGACTGGTGAGTGTCCCATTTTTCATTTCCATTGTGGATTCGAATTCATGCTAATACCATTACAAGCATTTGGACGAGATGCTTAAAAGCTGCAACAAGCGCTAGATCATTGTATAGTGCCTAGACCAAGCAATGTAAATTTCACCAGGTCTTTGGGGGTTGTTAGATTTATATTCTCTTAATTTATGAATTCATTTTCCAATCTTGACTTTTTTTTCTTAATTTGGCATTCTGAACGAGTTCTTCAGTGTCGTGCGCAATCATTTACATGGCGTGATGCCACGCTAATGTTGCGCAGAGTGGGCCTGGCGATCGGCGTCATCCCCGCCCCAAGATTCCTTCTGCCATCTCCAACAATGTGACCACAAAATTCCCCTTAACGCCAGGATGTTGCTGCGTGGAATTGGAAGCTTCCAAACGCGGAAATTTGCTTCCAAACGCTGTTTTTCAAGCTCGCGTGTCGCTCAAGCGGACTTTACCCATGCAGTGAGTTCCCTTAAGCTGCTCTCCGCGGCGGAATGCTACCGACGGTGTGGAGTAGTAAAAATGCTCCGGAGCCCCTAAATTAACGCGCAATAGGTCATTGGCGCCGGTGTGGTTGGACTTGCAGCTGCTAGACAATTAGCAGCCCGCGAAGGTACCTCTACAATTCTCTTGGAGAGACATGATGCGGTGGGAACAGAGACCAGTAGCCGAAACTCGGAGGTAAGATTGACCCGAACTTGAAGGCACAATCCACATGGACAACATAGCTAACAAACTATTGTTCAAAAATAATAGGTCATGCATGCTGGACTATACTACCCTGCGGACTCCCTCAAAACGAAACTGTGTATAAAAGGACGTAACATGCTATACGACCTATGCTCAAAGCACGATATTCCCCACCGCAATACAAAGAAATGGATTGTTGCACAGACAGATGAACAATGGGAGTCTTGTCTTCGAGTGCACGCGCATGCACAAAATTTAAGTGATGCGCCAACTCGACTCATTACAGCAGAGGAAGCAGCCCGCCGCGAACCAGCCGTTAAAGCCGATGCGGGTATAGTCGAAAGTGAAACGACCGGTATTGTGGACAGCCATGCCCTGATGACATATCTGCATGGTGATTTTGAAAACCGTGGTGGCGATTGCGCATTCAAAACACGCGTTACGGACGTAGATTACATCCCTGGCGAGGGATACAAAATCACAGCCGTATCCGACGAAGACGGCTCGGTTACTTCTATCACAGCGGAGACTCTTATAAACAGCGCCTGGGCACGGCGCATGCGCTATCAACAACCTCATCCTTCCAATTGAGCGACACCGCACTCCATTTTATGCAAAGGGTACATACTTCTCCTACGGCGCGTCTAACCCGCGAACCTCTGTCCTCGTTTACCCAGCAACTGTACCCGGCCATGGCGGTCTCGGCACTCATCTCACATTGGATATGGGTGGTCGTATTCGCTTTGGTCCAGATGTGGAATGGGTAGATGATCCCAATGACCTAAAGCCCAGTCCTGCGCGCCTGAAGGAGGCTATCCCGGAGATCCTGGCTTATATGCCTGGCGTGGATCCCTCGGCGATCTCACTGGATTACTGTGGCATTCGACCAAAGTTATCTCGTGGTGGTGGTGTAAATATTGGAGCCACTTTTCAGGATTTCGTTATCCAGGAAGAACAGGGCTTCCCTGGTTTTGTGAACTTGCTAGGAATCGAGAGTCCTGGCTTGACGAGCTCCTTGGCCATTGGTGAGATGGTTGATCAAATATTATATCGGTAGACCATACACAAGGCGAGAGCTAGGAGAGACTTGCCTCTACCAGTAAATATTGCATCTTGTTGAATACTATTGCTACATATGACCCAAACCTTAGAAAGACTCAGCATACCAGCGTTACAAAATTCAATATCTATACTATTCCTATATATGTGCTTTTTCGTAGTATGATGAAGTTAAAAATTCACTAGTAGAAAGGTATTGGTTGGCTTAATATTAGAAGTCTCCAAGTCAGAAGCTGGCGTTGATATGGTTTCTCAGTTATAGGGGTAAAATCAGGAGTCCAGATAACCAACCCCATCCCAGTAGCTTAGCGGGCTATCGTGTCTGTCCCGAGTTGATTTGACACTATGATACCATAAGTCTGGTTTGCTGGGACTGAGGGTTGTCAAGTAGCATCAGCGAGCGTGAGACTTGCCTAAGTGGAACACCACCGTGAGAAAGCATGCAGCGGACTATGTGAAAGACTTCTGCGGAGCTTTTTGCTTTTTGCTCTTTCTTTTGATATTACTTTTATATTTTTATCTATTTTATTGGATTTATTATGATTTTTTGAAAGTTGAGGCTGTCATCATCTTGCTCATTTTGATGCCTCACTTGACGCATTCATCGCGAAATCAAAAGTGCCAGGTTCGATCCCTGCTCACACCATTTTCTTTTTCAGTACCAGAGCCCTCTTATCTTGATATTTGGAACGACTCTCATCCAGTAATTCTAATAACTCAAAGCAACTCTGATTAAGGATTTGTTTAAAATTACTAGACTAGTAGTCTAATATGGATAATAGTTTTACCAGTTGCCAGTGATCAGTTCAGATGTTCATATTTTTCTAAGGTCTCAGGCTGAGTCGATGTTCCATCTCTTTGAAAGCCTCCAATCTACCTGAAGTAACATATAGAAGTGTAAAAAGTAGTATACAACAGCCTGAAGCAAGCATAGTAAAAGAAAACTCATTCCACATCCATTAGCACATCACTCATAATATGAAGCACATAAGAGAACTTCTTCACTGTTGATTTCCCCGAATCCTTCAAAAGACTCGCATAATCGAGCAAAATCCTTCGAGCAGATTGATAACCAGCTTGCACAGGGACACCACGCAAGTAGATAGTAGACCCGTTGCGAATGAAGTTTACAGCAGGATCATCAGCTGGTGAGAATGACTGACTCCCTCTCGGTTCCATAAAACTCGTGAATCCTTCCCTTTCGACTTTGCTCCAGTCTATATCATCCATCAGTTCGATAGAACTAAGGGTTGAAGACGTGTTGACAGTACTCGGGATCATAAATGTATACAATCCGAGAACGAGTGCAGCGGAGAAAAGCGCAAAGACAGAATGAAAGGTTGGATGATCAGAGGCCTTGCGACTGGTCATCGCTTTGTAGATATGTGCTGCATGAAGACAAGCTCTCCTAGCAGCTGGAGTCTGCGACCATTCAGCAATGTCATCAAGAGCCTTCCGTGCCGGTACAGGGCCTGCTCTGCCAGCCGCGAAGTCAAATATTTGAATATCCGCTGTCATTTTCATGCACATATAATGCCATGTAATCGGCGCATTGGGATTAAGCTGCTGGAGCATCTCGCCGTATTCGTTTGCGATCTGTGATTGCAGTGATGGGAGGCATCGAGCCCGACCATCCATGGCGTAGGTGTGACAGGGTGCGAAAGGGTAGCTAGCCCGATTGGAGAGAAGTCGATGATAAGATTCTGATTGACGGATTTGAACCATTGACAGCACCGCTTGGATGCAGAGTTCGTCCATGGAGCCTTCAAGTGGTGGGATGTGTGTGTTTTCTGATGGTGCCGGCACCATTGGCATGAGAATTCGTTTCCCGCTGCGGATGAGATGCGTCCAGCGCATAGATGAGTCTGCTCGGAACAGAGCCTCGTTGCAAGGAAGAATTATTTGGATTGAGTCGGGGACAATGATAGGACTCGTTGAAAGTAGCGATGAGTACCATGAATCTAGGAGAAGAAGGCTGATTATGACTCTCTTTGTGGATTCGACTTTGCTCCAGGCTTTCCATCGCATGTCGATGTCGGGCACGGCTTCAAAGAGACTCATATCTAGTAATTGGCCCTCTGTTGCGGTGAACAAGCCATGTCGTTGAGCGATCTGTAAAAATGTTAGAATAATGGGATAAAGTTGTTGCGGTAGGAGTAACGTACCGACATGAGGTTGACATAAAGCATTTGGCATTGCTCCAAATGAGATGTTTCCTTGCAACTGTTAGCAATGAACGGACAATATTATCAAATATAGCACTCACCCCCGTTAAAACAGCCAAGTTCAAAAACAGAAAAGTTGTGGCAAAAGTAGACACAATGTTGGTCGGAGTTTCCCCACCCAAACTGCATTTCGCGAGATCTGCTGTTGTTTTTTCTCTAGGACGTGTGTGAAGTTCTTCAAAACAAACATTGTTGTACCCTTCGTACCAAGGAGCATCATTCCAATAAGGCACATTACATAGAGATAAGGGAGATGGGTTTTCTTGGCCTCGAAAGTTGGAAGATGGACACATGGTACAAGCGGGTGAAAGTTTCTGAAGTACAGATCGAGAGCCATATCCAGGACCTCAGCAGGTGGGAAATGAGGAAAAGTTTTTAAAGGCGAGTCGTATGTTGTGGCGGAGACTGCATCGTTCATGGGTGACTGCATCTGCGAGAAAGGTATTGATGTCTGAGCAAAGGCTGTTTGCAAACGACGCCTGCAGTCATCATCAATCCCGTATCGTGAACCCTGAAGTAGGTTCAGATCATTGGGGAGGTGGAAAAAGTCGCGAGAAAAGATATTATCTCCATGAGTCTGGACAATCTCTTTCCAGAGGCTATTGATCAATCGACCAGTATGATTTGGAGCAAGCCAACATCGCTGGACCTTGGAGAATCGCTCGTTTGGGATATTATCACCAGGCGATCTTCCACTATCGATTGAATTTCGGGTTTGTTGGTCACAGTTCATCAGAGGAACGTGCCCCAGATCCAATGAGCCCGGATTAGATCCCACTTCGGTTCGAGGCTCGAGCCACAACTGTAGCATATCACTATGTGTAGTATCAAAAGCTTGACCGTTTTGTTGCATATTTTGATCAACATGTGTTACCTCACCCCAGCCGAAGAAGGACTGCTGCTCGTCGAGTAACATGGGATGGATATTTGGATCGGCACGTCCTTGCTGTGCTGATACGTTCGCAAGGAAATCCAGTCCAGTTCCTGCTACAGGAAGTGACATATCGCGCGGAGTCGGGAGATTCCCAATTGATGGTAATAAATGTGCGCCATTCTCCAGACTGGGTCCACCTGTCATTGGTGATACTCCAGAATTAGCAGAAGGGTGTCGATTTGGTATTTGATTTGCCACTGGATCCTTTGGTTTGGCTTTGGAAGTAGCAGCCCCTTGATCATGGCCTTTTGCATGGCGACTCAAAACATCGCTAGAGATTTGTTAAATACCGATAGACATGGTGTTATTTCATGTTGGTTCATACCTTCGTGAGAAACGCTTGTGGCAAACAGTGCACTCGTATGGTCGTTCCTTCGTGTCTATTAATTTTTTTGTACATTAGTCACATGTATTTCCTGGGTCTGCGACCGCAACCTGAAGGCTGCCTGTAGATAATTGCTCCATCTCGGATATTAATCGAGCATCATGATGTTTTCGGCTACACCTCGGTCGTCGGTTGGTATGAGGGACAATATGGATACTCACGGCTGCGCTCATGCCGTTTCCAGTGCTCTGTTTTTCGAAAACTCCGAGAGCATATGGTGCATTGTCTGATAGGCATGACGAAGTTTATCGATACATTGTTCTTGCTTATGGAGGTTTTTTTCTCAATCCCGTTCCCCCGGATTTCAGCCGGATGAGGCGGGGGAGCTTAGTCAGCTTGAATGTGGACGATCACCTCTCATTTAAGAGAGAGATTGATGCTTTTCTATTGGATCTTATGGATGTGGCCAATTTAACCGACTGGGAAAATCCAATCAAGCTCGAGCAGGCTAAATTATGTTACAAATGAGCGGGGTTGAAAAGGGGGTTTGGTCTTCCCCGTGGGGGCTGGGAAGCTGTTCCGAAGCCCTACAGTACCGTCGATCGCTAATTATGGTGACAAAGTGATAGGAGATTGAGATGGAGATATGCTTGTGATAAGTAGAAGATGATATGCCTCGCATGACAGGGATGATGTGTTCATACTCAATAATATTCATGCGGGGGAGATTTTCTGATTGGTGGTTTGTCATGTCGGTACTTGAAATAGTCGCCATTACCGACATGAACACATTAGGAGGCTGAATTTGATAGAAATATTCATCATTGATAAGAAAACAATAAAAGATTTTCAGACTGGTATACGTGCTTCAAGTTGGGTTGTATGTATTGGTCTAAAAGAAATCTCTCAATCAACTGTTAGCACATCGTTCACCATTCGCTCCGAAGCTCCCAAATAGTTGGCTGGGCCACAAATCTCACTTAAACGCTCATATTACTTGTAACCTCTTCATTCTACGTAAGTCATTCAAGTGAGCTATATTACTTCTCAATGGGCCTCCTGCAAGCTTCATCAACGATGTCATGGGCTCTTTGGCGTCCAAAATGCGGTGCCAGTCCCATTATAGTCGCCTCCGTAACCATAAGCCCTTGAGTGGAGTGAAGATTCTTCAGCATTTGATTGCTGTTGACTGAAAGACCAGAGAGTGCAAACTGAGTTTGTGATAGAGCACCAACAGCAATCGCAAAGCTCTCGGGGATAGCTACCCACTCAAGGTGCCAGGGTCCAGACGCACGCTCAAAGTCTGCGACCATCTCGTCACCCGATCCCAGAGATGATAGAGTACCCGCACCTCCGAATTGAATCATTAACGTTCGAGAAAGGAGTTGCTCCAATCGTTCGAGATGTCGTTGGAATCCAGACAGCCATAGCTGATACAGCTGCCTTACAGCCAAATGTCACCGGTCAGGCAGCTAAGCCTGGATAAAATCGAGCGAACAAACATTCATTGAACTCAATCGGACATGCTAAGATAGTTATTGGCTATCTTCGGGGCCTTCCATGGACTCCTAGCGTGGGGTCATTTCATGCCCCGCAGATGACATCTACACAGGTGGTGTGGGGTTGAATGAACATTGAAGTGGGCATTGATCAATTGATATCAGCCTATCAGTTCTTGTTCTGAGTCCCTGCACATGCGGTATCAGATAATGCTCTCAGGTACTATTTTGGGCTCTAATATCGTTCTTCGAGTATTATTATCTCTAGATGTAGGCGCTGCCAGTGATGTACAAAACAAGATATTATTTCTTTCATTTATTTGCACCGTGACAAAGTACATAACAAGAACCTTGGAAGAGAACTCAAATGAAATCCGTGTATCCCACATCTTAATCTCCAGAAAATGAATCACCTATGAAATTTCGCCGATTTGTGCAGTGTATGTAGTGGTCGTTAAAATGAAAGGTAGGAAAAAGACCAAAAAACCAAAAACCTTCTTGTGGGCTGATTTCCAGCAGCCTTCGAAGGTCCTCATTTCATTCAAGCTCAGGCCTTATGTTCTGCCCCGAAGCTCTTGTAACCATCCTGTGTCATCATCTCCAAATCCTCCCTTTCATCTACCGGACTCGATCCCGACAAAAGCCTGCTGGGGTGGAAGGCATTGAAGAGCAGACAGCAAAGAAGCATAAGGGTGGCATCGAATATGTATACGAAACACTCCTTACTCTGCAAATATCCAGAGCTTCCTTGAATGTATTCCACCACACGATAGGCGGATCTGACCAGGATGAGAGCACTTCCAGCATAGAGAACCATCATGTATCGTGTCCAGGGAATTTTGGATCGAATGAGTTGGTGGAGGGGAGTTGAAAGCATTCGACGGTGGAAGACGACGGAAACGGAGATGAAGATGGTGAAACTAATCACTTGGACAATGAGACCGGCAACGATAATGTAGTTTCCTAGATTAAGAGCTGATTCTGTCTTCGCAGTTGCGAGCATGCCACCTCCTAAATGGTGTCAGTATTCAAATGTTATGTCCCAGCTGTGAAAACAAGAAGGATCATACCGCCACTTTGCATCAAGAACGATACAACATCACCGGTGACAAAGATCTTGGTCAACCAAGTTGTGCGTATAAGAGAGTTTGATTCGCCGTGTAAGAGCCGAATAATTCGGCCCAGGATCATGTAGATTGAAGCCGCAAAGAATGATGGAGCCAACAAAAGTGTAAGCTCTTGAATAATATAAGGCATGGTGGTCCAGTTTGGAGTCTGTTTAGCACTAGCGTCTCGTGCTATGTAGCCAATAATTTCGACTATTTCAGTAAGGCCAACTGTTTAGCTTATGCGGCTTGAATAGGGTAAAGTACGAATAGTGCTTGAAAACTGACATATTGAACCAATGAGAAAAGGTATGAAAAACCAAGCTCTATTCCAAAAAAGTTGGAAAATATGACCTGCCGCTGTAAAGGCAAACATGATAGCGAAAGCAGTAGCAGTCGTGGATGATGGGTCATAATTGTATAGCTTGTAGGAACTCATTGTGAGAAATATGAAAGAAAATAAAAAATAACGAATTAAAGAGTGTGAGAATAATAACTTGAAATTAAAGAGTGTGAGTGAAGGCGATAAACACCTCGAACGAAAAGAGTACTAGATAATTGAAAGAAGGAAAAGAGAAATGGCTGGCAATTGCTAGCAAAAAACGGAATAGTTCCATACTAGTAGTATTTATTAGTCTCTATGGAGCCGGTATAATAATCTCAATGAACTTGGTCCGAGTCTGGGGTATTTTTAGGCAATGGTGTTATTATATTTTGTTGAGCCTGCATAACCTTGAAAATTTTACCAGCGCCTGAGGTATACGAGTACGGTGACTACGGTCAAAGATGCGTTGGATATGCCCCTAAGATTGGTTGGTTCTGAGGCTAGAGGCACGTACTTCTCCACTTAGGACAGCCACTGTGTGTCTCTAAGCTTAGATGCAAAGAAAAGAATGGATCTGCCTAATAGATTAACTCGGTACATAGCTCTGGAGTACTCCATGACAAAATAAACTACGACAATTGCATCAAATCAGGAACAAATAGGAGTTTTTTTTTTGTCTATTTTGGGATTTTCTTACGAGAACGAGATTAGAGACCCACTGTATCCACTTAAAAGGCGCAGTGATTGGCTATATTAGCACTAAGCTTGTATCCACTAACCAGAAATAGATGAACGTACGAGAACGAGACTCGGACCTTAATTAACATTGTACCAGCCATCGAGTATATTGTAGATAGATATCAACAAGAAGGCAAAGAAATGAGCGAAAAATGTGCTTGACATTGGATATTTAGGCATGCGACTTCCAGATTTTCAGGGTCTATGATTTTCAAGTTCATTTCAATTTCGCATATCCCATTAAGGGTCTCACATCTCCAGATTCCTTTAGCACTTCCACTCAGTTGAAGCTGTTCACTTCTTTTTACAATCTTTTGAACCCTTCAGTCTGATCTATAAGCAATGGCTGTGGATTTCGTACTTTACTATTACACGCCCTCAGCGGCTGCAGCGGCCATCTTCATTGTCCTCTTTGGACTGAGCTCTTTGTTGCATTTTTGGCAGCTTATTCGAACCCGAACATGGTTCATGATTCCATTTTTGATTGGAGGAATCCGTGAGTTAGATAAATTCCCTTCAGTCTGATCTACTAATAACATTTTGATCTCTAGTCGAGACAATTGGTTACGTCGGCCGTATACTCTCCTCCTTTCAAGCGCCGAATTTCAGCACGGGTGCATATACCATCCAATCCGCCTTGATTCTCATCGCCCCTGCCTTCCTCGCCGCTAGTATCTACATGACACTTGGACGTATCATTGAAATGCTTGATGGGGAGCGTTGCTCTATGATCAAGCTTAAATGGTTGACTAAGATCTTCGTCTTTGGAGATGTCCTCTCTTTCCTCATGCAAGCATCTGGTGCGGGTCTCATGGTCGCAAGCTCGAATAGTCCATCAACAGGCGAGCATGTCATTATTGGTGGTCTCTTCGTACAGATTATCTTCTTTGGATTCTTCACCCTTTCTGCGGTCATTTTCCAAAAACGTATTAACCGATACCCGACCGGCCGATCAACCGAGTTGAGAAGTGTCTGGCATCGTCATCTGTTTGCTCTCTACTCTGCGAGTATTCTCATCTTGATCCGTTCGGTGGTTCGAGTTGTGGAGTACATTCAAGGATATGACGGGTTCCTTATGAAGCATGAAGTTTTCATCTACATGTTTGATGCATTCATGATGTTCCTGGTCATGGCTTTCCTTCAGTACATCCATCCCAGTGAGATCAACTGCTTTTTGGGTCGGGGAGAGTACTACAGTGAGAAGGTGATCAAGACTCAAAAATTCGCGCCTCGGAATGTGCCTGAAACCCGCCAAGAGAGAGTATAGATCATAGCTCGTCCAAGATTTAATGATTCAATGATTCATGTACTTCAAGTTCTTTCATGTCTGTTTCCTCGGGGAGTCTGGAGCGTTGGAACTTGAATTTCATCTTTGTCTATTTCAAGTTTGGGTATATATGCTTGCTGAATGATTTCAATAAAGAGTCTTTTGACCAGTCCAACTTGAACATTCGAATGCTGTAATCACGGATCCGAGCTCATGATATGCCGTGCTGCCCATTCAATATGTGAGTGCCAATGAGGTTCTAGCTCTTGTGTAATCTCCAGGAAAACCTTGTATCCCCAGGAACCAATAGACCAGTTCCCTCGACCCATATGCAGGAATACGCAGTAGTGAGCCAGCACCACTAGCGCCAAAGGTCGACGGATGTTAAGATCATCAAGAAAAGCTGGACTGCAAGAGATTGCCCATCCACCTGCCATTGTTAAGGACAATGGCGAATCAAATGTGAAAGCAACAAGACGTCGCATACGCTGAATCGCGTGTGCATATGTTGCCGAGTCAATTGAAGGATCCGTCTCGCTACATTGAGCTTGAAGTTGATCCAGTTTATCCAACGCATCGATAACATGAGCTGGGATCGAAACATCAGGAGGTGTGATATCGAAGAGAGGGGCGAATTCGCCTTCTTTTAGTGAGTCTCCCGCCGCATTGACAATAATCTGAACGCCTCGCGCTAATTGAAACACATTGGTGAGGGAATTCAGTCCAGGGCCGTCTTCTTTTGTATCCAGATTCAGGGCAGTCGCCAGGCTAAACGCAAATGCCAGACCGCCGAAACTCATCATGGCTTTTGCGTTCGACTGACTGATGTTTTGAAGCTGCTCTGAAAACATAGTCAAGGCGGTGTTCTTATGTGCTATGGCTATGTCGAGCCACATTTCATATCGATCATCTCGGCGCAAGTATGATAGATGCAAAGCAGAGATTGCCAAGATACCGTGCATGAGGTATGGCGCGGTTAAAGCTTCCTGAAGTACGACTTTCTCCCAGACTTTTCGTGTCTCTTCACTCCGTGCGGGTAATTTGTGGGTTTCATTGATCCATTGCAAAATAAGCTCCAGTTGCTTCATGTCCAGCGTAGGTGCGTAAGAAGCAGTTGTAGGTGAATTACCTAATTGATTGAAGTCATGAAAACTTGGAGATTCGGAATTTGATTGTTGTCGATCTTCTGATGAGGCGATTGATGAGGCCCCTCTGCGGGATCTTCGACCTTGACTCCCTGTGAAAAAGAAGGGCCCTGTACCCGGGTATGCGCATGTCTCATTTCGTGAGGAGCAGTTACCACAGATTGGGCGTTGCTCATCACACTTTTTTTTGTAGTGTTTGTCAGTACTCGTTGAAATTCCGATAAAAATGCATTATGTCATACCTTTACCCGCCTGGTCTTGCAAGTCGTACACCCGTGGCGAGATTTGGTGTGCGCCCGCCGATGGTGCATCCCGATCAGGTGTGTACAGTGAGGGGCTGGAGTGAAGACTACTGGAGTCTGTGGTTTTAAATCCTTCTTTACCCCACAAGGCTACACAATTGATGCCAGGAGATGTAGGTTGACGACTGCAGATACGCGGTTAGAAATACGAGTACGATCCTGACCTGGACCATTGAGTTTTCCACTAATGCGATTGGTGGATCTTTAATAAGGCGATCCACTTATCAAAGACATTCAATTGGCTCATATAATTCAATAAAGAGCGTGGATAATGGGGATATTGACAGTAATTTGCACTTATAAATTTCTGGGAGAATGGCCATGCGGGGGAAGAGTCTTTAACTCGGAACTACCACGAATCCATGATGAAAATTGCAAGCGATTAGGCTTTATTTCGTAAGTAAAACTGAAAGAGATCAGGCTAACATGTGAATCAAATCTTAAAAGAACCAGCAACAGGATGTACTCCCTCGCCTTCACAGGGTTCATTCGTAGCATTCATCTCCCAAGCTCGTCCCCGATAACGAGCTGGCCAGACTCCTGACTTGCCAGGAGCCATGATTCCATTTGGATCCAAGCAATCCTTGATTCTCTCATTGAACTTCTGAAGGGCGCCATCATTCCAGTTATAAGTACCAGCAATCTGATCCATAAACGCAAGATGGGTGCGGTATTCACCGTACCCCTTCTTTGCCGCATCGTCGATCATTCCCCGAAGACTTGCCCGTGCCCTATCACGCATAACCGGGTCATCACGATTAAACACGATTTCGACAATGAGATGCATCTCGCGTAACCCCACCACAAAAGTTGGAAATAAATCCAAGTTGAATTCCTCGCAGTGTCGCTGTGCAATATCCCACAAAGCCGTGGCATCGCTACCTCGAACGGGAGAGACAGGACTGAATGCGATATGTCCGCCATTGGGATGCCAGTTGACCCAACGGAGTTCCTCGATTTCTGGAACACCAGATGCGATCTTATCACGAATCCAGAAATAGTCGTCCTTAGGAAGAGTGGATGGATCAATTCGTCGTGCGCCGGGAATCTTCATAAATTCCTTATCGATGATGTCTAGCTTGTACTTGCGGATTTCTGGAGGGCCATATGCCATCCCGTAGTATAGCCATGAGCAATCACCGTGGGAGAGCTTCTTGGCTGCATCGTGGATGATGCTGCTGGGAACGCGTCCTGTGCCGTTGTAGTAATGGCTTCGAGGCTTTCCTTCGAGACCAACCTGCATGCTAATGTGACGAAGCTGAGCGACATTCTCCAGTATCATTGCAATTCGTAAGGGTCGAATTATCTCAATCTATAACGTGGTTAGTTATTCATCCTAGGTTTCATCAAATTTGCAACCTACCAGCTGGGCAAGATCATCCTCTTTGGGGAAGGTGTATAGCTTAGCAAAGTTAGTGTTGCCGATTCAAGTTCTCAAGTAGTCGTCGAACATACATAAGCTTCATAACCACCGGGGTTCGGCATCAAGCCAAAGCCCATCTTCGTGACAATTCCCAGATTTGATTGCGAAAAGAGGCCGCTGGATATTTATGAGATGTTGCAGCCAAAACTTGAGGAAATGGGGATACACACTCAGATGTAGGTCCAAATCCAGGCGCAAAGAGTTGCCAGCTATTGTTCTTAGGCAAAGCACCCATGCCCGTTCTAATTACCTCACCTGTAGGCAAAACCACCTCCATACCAGAATGCATCCCCCAGTGATCCCCATATGGTGTATATCCCACGCCACGATCAAGAGCATTTCCCAAGACGGATCCTCCCCCGATATCCGGAACATCAACCCAAAGATGCTTATAACCACGATCTTGAACTGCTTCGTACAAAGCAAAGTATGTAACGCCTGGCTCGACTAGACAGGTACAATCATCGGGGTTTATATCGAGAATTTTGTTCATTCGTCGTCCGAGATCTAGGACCACTGCGCCGCGTACTCGAGGAGCTGCACCTCCATAGCCATCTGAACCGCGATCTAGGCATTAGATTTGCTTCCATATTTTATTTCACGAAATCCAGGAGAGACATACAGTTCCGGCCGATTGAGATGGGCGAAATCGGGATGCGGTATAGATTAGCCCAACGAACAATGATTTGGACCTCTTCTATGGTGCCTGGATAAACTATGGCGGACGCAACGAATTCATCTTCTGCTGCAATATGCATTCCATCGTGAGTATTCGGGTCTATTTGATATATTGCATCAGTACGTTCATTCCCACTTTCTTGCCGTCCTTAAAGTTCGGCCTTTGTTTTGCTTTTCTGCTCACTTTCGATGTACCTGATAAGAGGACCCCGTCAATCTGGCTTGTCCAATTTCTGCAGTAGTCTAGACATACCATCCGTCCACTAGTTTGGTAACAAGCTCCACATTCTCTTCACCAAGTTTGGTTTGAAGTTCCTCTATCGCTTTGTGGAACATGGCTTGACTGGTGCCCTGGGGAATCGCCACTTGGGTTCGATTTGTGGTAGACTTGGTGGCGATCTCCAGGATATCGTTCTTCACTTTCTGGGCTTTATCGAATAGCCGGTCCGGAATACCATTATGCCTCTCAGAAAGGCGGGGTGGCGGGGAAATATCCTGGGTGGATTTCATTTTAAATGGCTTTGAATATGGATCCTTAGAATACTTGGTATGTAATATACCTAGGTACTGAGTGGTCAAGTAGGTAACAATTTTCAATTGAATAGATAAGATTTTTTTGTGCGCGATATAGCTGCAAAGCAATTCTCAAAAGGCTTTCTTATATAGTCGACGTCAACGCGCAAGCCGCGGGACGTCCACCTCTCAAAGCACTGGCATGATTCTTCAACATGGCTTCATGACTGAGATTGATTGGGGCTTGGATCAATTAGTTGCGCTTTAGCCTGTGTCACAGAATGGAGATAGTATACCCCACAAAGGCGGGAGGTGGATTTCGTGGCTTCTCATGGGCTGTCACAGGGTGAGTTGTTAGATGGCCCGTGTCCAGTGATGCACACTATCCTCTGAAGGCACTAGGGAGTCGACATGATTGATGGGATTTAGCCATGAAGAAAACTCCCCATGCACATTATGCAGGCGTAGCGGAGAAGTGAGGGGATGGTCCCACATGGGTCGCCTTGTGTGCAGGGTTCTCCATATTCTGGACAAAATGCAGTGTGGTGAATCGGGACTCGGGAGATTCCCATAAAACCAGGGATTCTCAAATTCTTCTCCAGACACTTGAAGTCTTTTCCATTTGCCATCTTCAGTACCCCGGGTCATTATTGCCTCTCATGATCCCCAGGTACCGTGAATAATTTTGCCTTCCGGCAGATCCCCCATAGTATCGGGAAGACCAGGGAAGTCTCAGTGTGACCAGATGCCGAGTTGGGCCGATGTGAGTCCCGGGGTAAAATACATGTTATATTACTGTTAATTACAACAACTATTTCAGAGGGTCACGTGTTTCATTTGCAGGACTTTTGCACTGTCAAATTGCAGCAGTAGAAGGAAATATGTCTCTTAAATGATCTCCTGTTTCAAGATTGCATCAAATCACTGATACTATTAATCTCATTTACTATCAGATAGAGATCCCACTCTCCTCCACATTTTAGGCCTCATCCCCCATCTTTTGCCACCCCGGCTTTTTTGTGTCATGACTAAACAATCGGGTGGTCACCCATGGCTTGTGGGGTCACGGTTCCGACAGCCGGCAAAGCACTTAGGGGCACCGCCTGGATTTGCCCCATTTCGGCCTGCGAAGCGGCGGATAAGCGCTTTTTCGGCTTCTCTGAAAGTGTCCTAGCCGAAAATCGGGGTAGATAATAGCTTCGAGATCATGCACTTCTTTCCTTTCTTTCTCTCTTCTTTCTGCTGGCTCAGGAAGCATCTTCACAAGTGATTCTAAGGTCGAGACAAAATGTCGCGGCCGCTCGCCCCTGCCATGTCGGCGTTCCGCCCCATCTGGCGGCGAAACTTCTCTGCTTCAACCTCCAAGAGCGCTATTAACAAGCTCTGTGACTCCGCTAAGGAGGCCGTCAAGGAGATGAAGGGTTCTTCTACCCTCCTTGTCGGTGGTTTCGGTTTCTCTGGTGTTCCCCTTACTCTGATTAATGCTCTCCGTGACCGTCCCGAGGTTACCGACTTGACTGTCGTTTCCAACAACGCCGGTATGCCCGGTGTTGGTCTTGGTAAGTTTCAATTACGCCGGTGAGAGTTCTAATTGGGGTTCAGGACTAATTATATGACCTTAATATAGGTCAATTGCTCGAGACTAAGCAGATCACTAAGATGATCGCTTCTTTCATCGGCGAGAACAAGGTTTTCGAAAAAATGTATCTGAGCGGTGACCTTGCCCTGGAGCTTACTCCCCAGGGTACCATCGCTGAAAAGTGCGCCGCTGCTGCAGCTGGCGTTCCGGCTTTCTACACTCCCGCGGCTTTTGGAACTATTGGTAAGTTGAGAGTGATTCGGGTTATGGCGTACAGTCAATTGGACAAGACCGCTGACTGGATTTTCTAACAAATAGTGCAAACTGGTGAACTTCCCGTTCGTTACAACAAGGATGGTACTGTGGCTGAAATGTCCAAGCCTAAGGAGACCCGTGTCTTCAACGGCAAGGAATTCGTTTTGGAAGAATCGATCTACGGTGATTACGCTCTGGTTAAGGTTCACAAGGCCGACCGTCTTGGTAACTGTCAATTCCGCAAGTCTATGAACAACTTCAACGAGGCCATGGCCAAGAACGCCAAGTACACCATCGTTGAGGCTGACCATATTGTTGAGGTTGGCGCTATCGACGCTGAGGATGTTCACCTCCCCGGTATCTACGTCGACGCTGTCATCCAGAGCACTGAGTCCAAGCAATTCGACAAGATCACTTACGCCAAGGACCCTAGCGAGCTGATTGCCGGTGGCAACGGTGACGCTACTGCCCGCCGTGAGCGCATCGTCCGTCGTGCCGCTAAGGAGTTCAAGGACGGCATGTACGTTAACCTCGGTATTGGTATTCCTCTGATCGCTCCCTCCTACCTTCCCGAGGGTGTCGAGGTCGTCCTGCAGGCTGAGAACGGTATCCTGGGTCTGGGTCCCTACCCCACCCCCGGCCAGGAGGACCCTGACCTCATCAACCCCGGCAAGGAGACTGTTACCCTGAACCCCGGTGCCTCTGTTTTCGGCTCCCACGAGAGCTTCGGTATGATCCGTGCCGGTAAGATCAACCTCACCATGCTGGGTGCCCTCCAGGTCAGCCAGTTCGGTGATCTCGCCAACTTCATGCTTCCCGGTAAGGTCAAGGGTGTTGGTGGTGCCATGGATCTGGTTGCCAACCCCGAGAAGACCAAGGTCGTCGTCACCATGGAGCACACTGACAAGAAGGGCAACGCTAAGATTCTGCCTGGTAAGATTTCCCCCATATTCTGTCTTCTGAAAATGCATAAGCTAACTCAATACTTCTTTTTTTAGAATGCTCCTTCCCTCTGACCGGTCCCCGCTGTGTTTCCACCATCATCACCGATCTCGCCGTCTTCGATGTCAGCCCCACCGAGGGTCTGACTCTCATTGAGCACGCTGAGGGTGTTTCCGTTGAGGAGATCCGCAGCAAGACCACTGCTCCCTTCAAGGTCTCCGCCGACCTGAAGCCCATGCAGCTGTAAAATTGCATTCGACATATATACACATTAGAATTGGGTCTGGAACCGGTGTCTTGTTTTATTTGCGAATGTGAATACTTCAATCATTATATCATAGATTGAAATTTATTTTATTATCTCAATATTTTTACTATCCTGAAGTTCAACCTGCATCCTATACTAGTAGTTTAGCTCGTACATACTAACAGTTGCATCTTGTGCATCTGTGCCAGTGGGGCCAAATCCACCTAGATCAACCAGTGGGGCGAACAGGGTCGAACAAGGTACAAGATTGGCTTAGATACTCGATAACTTGCTGAAAAAAAAACATTGAAGTGGTAGAAGTTCGAAGTTGATACATCATTCAGCAAGGTAACAATGGCCAAAATCGCTTCCCAGCTGATGGAACCCTTTCAAGTTCCATACTCACCCAATTTAGAACTGATATTCTTCTGATCGCAACGTCAAAGCCTGAACGTAATACGCACGGTTGAACTGAGGTTACTTTGTGAGTTCTCTCTGGAATTCAAAGTTTTAGAAAGTGAAGATCCTATTCAGCAGAAAAAACATTGAAATGTACTTAAATCTCTGAGTCCACGAGGAAAGAAAGGGAAAATGAGACTATACTACTTTGACTCCCTTCATTTACAAAAATATGATTCTGAAATCTTCCATTCTTCAAGTTCTGTTATGGGGACTCCAAGGTGCAATCGCACTCTCACCAAGAGCACCACCTCAAAGTTCCTCTAGAGTGCCTCGTATAACACCCAATTCGACAAATGGGGATGTCAACTACACTGCTCCCTACTTCCCTCTTCTAGGATTTGAGCAATACGCCGGAAATCCCATTCTTTCACCCAACCCAAAGCACAACTGGGAATCAGCCTACTTGTATAATCCCACAGCCATTGTGGTAGACGACACGGTCTGGATGCTCTATCGCGCCCAGAACAAATCCAAAACATCCTCGGTGGGTCTAGCATGGTCAAAGAACGGGATCAATTTCACGCGATACGACAAGCCCGTTCTTTACCCGACAGAACCATACGAGATCCCCGGTGGATGCGAGGACCCTCGAGTAGTCCGAGTTAATGGAACCTTCTACATGACCTACACCGGATACGACGGGATAGCGGCACGTCTTTGCCTCGCAACCTCAACCGATCTAGTACACTGGGAAAAGCATGGACCCATTCTGCCTGATACATTGGACGTGGTATACGACTGGCAGAATCCATTAAACACCTATACTCCCCGCAAAGGGTGGAGCAAGTCCGGGTCTATTCTAAACGAAGCGCAATCTGACGGAACTTACCGCATGATCTACGGGGATTCTTTCCTTTATCAGGCTAACTCGACTGATTTGATCCACTGGAACTATCCCCAAGGTGGTCTTCCTTATGCCGCTCATTTAAATCCTTGGGAACAAGCCATCATGGAGTCTGGCCCCCCCGGCAATCAAGACCAGGGATGCTATGTGGATCCAGGTCTATAATGGTGTTGCTACCGGCCCTGGTGGATACACTTCGACGCAGTATAGTACCGGTCAGATGTTGTTGGATATCGCGCGATTCCCTAATGGTCCTCCTGTTGCTCGGTTGGAGACTCCCATTTTGCAACCTACGAGTGTGCATGAAGTTACGGGGCAGGTTGATAATGTTGTTTTTACGGAGGGGTTGGTGCAGTATCATGGCAAGTGGTTTATGTACTTTGGGCAAGGGGATGCGTTCCTGGGTGTTGCCACGGCTCCAGTTCAACCCTGAGCTATACTATTGTATGGGGTTTATGTCATATATGAAGCCAAGACACATCTGGAGACGTTGAACCGAATTTTTATTCCTGGTCTATGAAGAGTATGTCGATGGGTATGATGGAAACAGTAACTGGTCTTCCAGATATGAAATGCCCATGTTCTCCTCTGAGAGACTAGCTTGTTCATCCATGTGATGCCAATCTCGAGATAATATCGACTCGAATGATAGAGACCTCTGAGTAGAGTCTAGGAACGGTTCAGAACAGGAAGTGCCAATGACTGCACGGAATAGTCGGTCTAAAGACTCTTTGGTTCTTCTGTTGACAGGATCAAGCTGGGACATAGCATCGGAAATCGCTATTCCAATTTGAACTTTTGTATACCAATTCGCATAGTTGCTGTTCTCTCTAGATTCAATAGCAAGTGCCATAAGAGGTACTAAGCAGGCTTGAAAGAGAAGTCCACTCGCATGCCAGCAGCATACCTTTGTGGGACGCCACTCTGTTTGAATACTCAGAATAGTCTCCGCAGCAATCTCTCGACATTTGGATACTGCGATTTGCTCATCGATTGTCATCTGGTCGAGTGGAACTTGTCTTTCTAGAGTGTTGAGAAGAATAGGTCTGTATAGAAGCAGCCGGATGTTTTGATATCGCCATTTCAGAATCAGACGTGCATCCTGAATGTCGGGCAGGGTAGGTTCAGGTATTTGTAAGAATCGGGGGAGGTTGTCGAACCAAGAAAGTAGCAAGTTGTCGTAAAATTGAATCTCTTGTAGCTCTAACAGCGAGCTGATGAAGATTTTCTCTTGGATTTGGTTGATTATTCGGCACAAATCTATGTTGTGCAAGAGAGGCGAATGAATGGTAGGTTCTGAGGGGATTTCGGTGTTCTTCATTCCAAGATTGGGGATCAGATTTGTACATCTTCAATCAAAGTGAGAGAGAATTGGAATCAATAATCCTTACCAGGTTTGCGAGCATGCTTTGAAGCGAAGGGGCTGAGACATCAATCGTCGAAGACCTCCCTAGAGTGACAGAAGTCCAAGTATCAAGGACATAGATAGTCATCCAGTTTCTTCTCCTAACCTCTTCTCGAATATCAATAGTTCCAGACAAATTTTCTGAACTATCTGTATTGGAACCAATATCTCCTGCGACTCTATAGCAAGTGGCTATGATTGCGCTGGCCATGTGTGGTCGGTTGCGAAAATGTAGGTACTGTCCGCCCATAAGAATGAGAGCTTGTAAGATCTCCAAACGACCACTTCCAAAGCTCTCGACTGAAAGGTTTTGTTGGGCTGTGTGATAGTATCCAAGGTCTTTGGCAGAGTCGCCAGAGGAAGATGCGATGCTTCCTAAGGCGAGAACCATGTTGAGTAGAGCAAGCCAACATCGATCTTGATTATCATGACTTATTAAGTATTTGTTTCTGAAGCTGGGCTCGTGGATGATTGGAGTGAAGACATGAATACTGGAAAAGTAGGCGTCGATTAAGCGCTGCTCTTCCCGGTATGAGTTTGTTCTGTTCGCAGACTGGGTTGGAGTTGGAAGAGGCGCTTCAAAAGTACTTGAGAAGGGACTTCCTGGGGTATCGCATCTCTCGTTGGGCTCGATAGACAAAATTTTCATCAAAGCTTCTATAGCCATTTCAATAGATGGTATGCCAAAAAGAATTTGTGAAGGTGTACCCAGCTGGTCTTCTCCAGGTAGATCGGACCACGGGGGGCGTTTCATCCCATTCAAATATGATTGACTCCTGGCTCCTAAGGCTTTGTAACTGGGTGCTGGTTTCTGAATCAGGGAGTGATAGAGGTGCTACTGCAAGAGCAGGTGAAGTAACCGAGGAACTGTCGTTACTTGTGGCTGGCGTATTATCGAACTCGGTTTTTGCGCGCTCCAACAAATTCGCTCTTGAAAGCCCCCTCAACGAATGAATCTCTGTTGTTGGAAATAGGATCTTAAAGATGGATTCGTAGTCCTCCTTTGCAGCAGGTTTGACAGTTGGTTTTTGGCTCCTAGAAGGTGTTAGTCAACTTGAATTCCAACCTGAAGATTTGGGCATCTCATACTTTTGTCCTCTTCGACGAGACTGGGGAAACTCGCATTGAACATTGCAGGCCAAACATCCTGTACAAGGCTGAGTTCCGATGCATTTTGTCTTTCTTCTCCGGCATTCTATACAGGCCTTTGAAACAATAGACCGGCGACGTTCAGACGGATCTGTCGCGACATCATCTGGGTTTATCCCAATGAATGTATTGAACATCGCGAGGTTGATGAGAGAAGAGAGATCATGACCGTGGATTTAGTGATATCTAACGATATTGCCTGCATTTAATCCTGACAGTCAATAGATACTAGATAATCCGGGGCCCCGCATGGAAAGCTTGGGGCCCCCAAAGGGGTTCATCCATAGAAGGGGTTCATCCATAGCTTACAAGCGGCGTTGTGCATTGACCATGGAATATACCAGTCTTTAGATCTTCATCACCATGATTGGCTCTATTTTCCGTTCTATGTGGCACTATTCAAGAATGTGGGACCTGAATATTCCCTTGAATGCAACCCTTTGATTGTTAGCGGTTTGGCCCTGGCTCTTTATGCTTAAAACTCCACGCCTTCCATCCAATAGTTCCATTTTTAATAGCCACTTAGTGTGTCTTAATTGAACTCAGTCACTTCTAGAATAGAGAAATCGATCTGGCACATTTCAATGTAATTGAGAAGCGATTTGAAGCATTCTGAGTCATTAAATAGGAAACTTTGCGGAGCCTTCGGGTCTTGCCGATCGCCTATACGCCATGCGCTTAGACACTTTTAGATACTAAATCCTATAGTGAAATCAATGTTTAAAGAGCGGACTTTGCGGTGATATCGGGATATCGGAATCTTTCATCCCGATAATGAGTAGCTCTTCTCCGAAAACGAAGTCTCGGTGAGTAGTTCAATTAAGTAGAGTTTAGAATGTCACCTTCCTGAAGAATATCAAGCTCCATACTACTCAAATTCTCCCATTATCATTGGATCGCAAGTTCAAAGCACATTTCATGGGCCCAAAGACGTGTTTGGCCCGTTCATAAGTAGTTCAATATCCAAATGTTGCTGGTAGATCCCCTGTTCACTCGAAAACATACCTCAACTCCACAACCGAGGAGTCGCTCTCATGAAACGCCAAATTTGAAGAATTCAGGGCATTAGATTCGCCCGGAGTTTTTGCCGCTCTCCTCGGCAAGTTCAAAGCCCCGGCCAGACTATTGGGGCAAGCTTTGAAGTCTGCTTCCTCTCAAAGGTAGTGTTATTAAAAGCAGAATGATCCAGTATCAGAATGACCTTCAGGTTGCCAAGGTTGTGGCTCTACTGACTCACATGGGCAAAAACTCTCATATATTACAAGGTCTTTTATACTGTAATATCTCAGCTTCTAGCATCATGTATTTCTCTCAAGTGTTGACTCCTGAGTACTGACCGCAGAGTACATGTTGTAACCAGTTGACTTAAAATGCCGATATCAGCCTTTATAATTGGATTACACAAGATGATTTCTTTAATATATGGTATATTGATCCCATCAGTTTGCTTTCAGCTTGAAGGAGCTGCTAGTAAAGAATTCCAATGTTCTTTCTCTTGAGTGTTGTCACCGTTGGACTTCTATCAATTTCAAGTTGAAAGCAAGGCTGGTGGTCCGATCGGATCCGGCTCCCGGATCCGACGTACTATACAGCGAGACAGTATATAAGAAGCATTAACTGCAAGGAAGGATATCTTAGAGAAAATACTAACTACTAGGATAATTCGGACAAAATCCTCTATCTAATTATCTTTCATTGAGAAATTACTTCTCAACACCGGCAATAATGCATATTCTCGTGATTGGAGGAAGTGGACGAACGGGCAAGTTGGTTTTGGATGAACTCCAGCATCAAGGTATGTTCATTCTACTATGTACTACTAGTATATGAAAAGAAATAAAAGCGCCAATTTTTCAGAACATGAAATTACCGCCCTGGTTCGTGATCCAGCAGCTTTGGAAGGCTACAATCTGAATATCGTCCAAGGTATGGTCATTGTTAATTGATCAGCCGTATCCAAGTTCCAATACTAACCAACGACTAGGCACACCAACCAAATTGGAAGACGTTCGAGAAGCCTTCCAATCGAATATCCCCGATGTTGTTGTTGTTACCCTCAATGCACCTCGAGCCAGTGATAGCCCATTCGCCGCCCCGATTTCACCACCGCGACTGATGGCCGACTGCAATGCCAACATAGTTAACGCTATGAAAGAATTCGGAGTGCATAAGATCGTTATTCTCCAGGCATTTGGGGTTGGGACATCATGGGACAATATGTCATGCATTCTTCAGTTGCTTATGAGCAAAAGTAACATGCGTTACCAATATGATGACCATAATCAGACCGATCGTGAGGTCCGGGAAAGTGGTGTGAATTTTGTGTTTGTGCGACCAGCAAGATTGGTGGAATCAACCGATGGAGCTGCAGTCCGTGAGTGGCCCAATGAAGGGAAAGGGATGTCTATGATGGCGAGCTGTAGTCGAAGGAGCGTGGCGCATTTCCTGGTAAGGGCTGCAACGGAGAAGACGTGGGATGGCACGGCACCTGTAATCACAAATTAGATTACATCCAAGGAAGTGAGAGAGAACATTGAATTTTATCTCGAGGTCAGGATTATTTTTTAAACAACATATGTAGTAGATGATACTTCAAATGTTTACACCTGGTAAGGAACCCACTGCCATTGTCCCGAGGTCATTATTTCCATAACTTGGAAGCACTTGAGCAGTGATGAATGTTTCGACCCCTGACAAATACAATAAATTTCTCATCTCTCACAATTTCGATACTTTTCTGACCTGCATGGATCTTCTTATCATTATTATCGGATCTAAGATCGATCTTGAGGCAAAAAGATCTGGTGGGGGCGGATTCTTGCGGGATTCTTGGCATGCATTGATGACCGACAACTGGATTATCCCTTGATCTCTGCAGGCAACAGCCATGGATATTCCACTGTCTCGCAAGAGACCACGACCCGTTGTCTCATGCCTTAGATGCAGAGGCAAGAAATTGAAATGCGACCGTTCAAGTCCATGCTCAAATTGCGTACGGGGAGGATTCGAATGTGTCTTCGATTCAGGGATGCCAGGGATGCAGCAATGGTCCCCAAATCCCAAACGAGTACATGTAGCCCAGGAGCTAGATGCACAGACCCCATCAGAGTGTCCTACGACTGGTTCAAAAGTCGGGATCATCGAGGATCTGCAACAGCGGATGGCCAAGCTAGAGAATCTTCTCGCGGTGAGACCGCATGCTGGTAATTTCGGTCCGATGAGAGATGTCCCCGTTCAAGAGTCTTGGTAAACAAGGTCCATCATCGACTAGAAAAATTTCCTACTTACTAATTCAGAAACAGGCCCCGGCCCAGTATCTCTCATTCTAGCTCGCCATATCTGGGCACTCTTGTTGTCAAAGGAGAACGCAGCAGATGGCATGGAATGAACAATAGAATTACCCTTCTTAACCAGTTTGCAGAGGCCAAGACATTTATCAATCAGTCATTAAAGGACCCAGGCCTTGTGGGCCTTGCAAAGGAAGTTCAGTTCCTCAAGAGCAGGTCTCAGTCGTCGAACGACTCGCCTGAATCAATATCCGGCCTGGAGAGCTTCCCTGAGCTCCAGAATCTGCTTGGCTCTCTCCCGCCAAAACCAGTCACAGATAGACTTCTGGATGTATACACAAAGAATTTTGAGAGGAATCTCAGAATTCTGCATGTACCTTCTTTCCTTCGGCACTATAAAACATTCTGGGCAACAACGGACCATGAGCCCTCATTCCTCTCAATGTTCGTCCCTATTCTGACGGCAATTCTCTCTATTTCGGTAGTCATAGAGACAGAGCCATTTAACATGGAGTATTCATCATCCTGGAATTATCTTAAGCAACATGCGGTTGCCTCTGTCCAGGCGTGGATGCGGAAGCTTCCACGGAAACCGAGAACGGATCTTGCAACTTTACAAGTCGGAGTCTTGCTCCTATTGGCGCGTCAGCTGCGCTCAGTTCCAGCAGAAGAGCTTTGGAAAGAAAGCGGCCTGCTAATGCGGTCTGCAATGGTGATGGGTCTTCATGTCAATGTGACCCTCTCGCCTTCGAAAAGTCTCACTGTTTTCCAGGCAGAGCTAAGACGACGATTATGGATTACTATCGTGGAAATGGATCTCCAGACGTCGATTGCCGCTGGCATGCCAGTGTTGACACCAGCCCTCGAATTCTCACCCCTGACGCCTTCCAACCTAAACGATGCGGATTTTAGTGATACGAGTCCTGAGCTTCCAACACCAAAGCCTCTAGATGTGGAAACGGATACTCTTCCTCAGATTCTATTGGCCAATTCTCTTGCAAAGCGTATCAGAATTATGGGTCCCATGCAGCATACAACACCCAAAGAAACAATGGATGAACGGCTCAAGGAAAGCGAAGATATTGAAGAGATCTTACAGCATATCCCTCCGTTCCTACATCCGGACTATGACTCTGAAAGCGCCGATCTCTCATCTGTTTTGAATCGCGTACTTCTTGATATTCACATTCGAAGACCTCTCATTTGCCTTCTTAGACCAGTCACTAGCAGTGATAATCAGGATGAGCCTTCGTTCTCTGGAATTCAACGTATGTGTCTCGAGTCATCGATCACTATTCTGTCATACCAGGACCTTTTTGATCCTAACGTCGTGGATCCTGATACTCCTGGTTCCAACACATACTGGAGAATCTTCCAAACATTCTGTCAAAATGATATTCTGTGGGCAGCTTTGGGTGTTTGCGAATACCTGAAGCACACGAATCAACATTCATCCGCTCCATCACCATCCAACTTGAATGACTCTCTTACAGACGGCAGCTCTAAAGCAAGTAAAATCCCTGCTACCAACAACCTCGTCCACAACAAAGCGAGCCTGACCCGTCTAGTCGAGAATACACTCGACAGCCTTACGCGTCGAATAGGTGAAAAGGGCACCAACATGAAAGATGTGCTTCTATTATCCGTTGTCCTTCAATCCGTTCGCTCTCGTGGTCCATCTGATCAAAAGGAACGACGCATGTCTCAGGGCGCTAAAAAGGCTTTGTCTGTCTGTCGACAAAACCTTCTGTCCTCAGCAAACGAGACCATTGTTGATTCCTACTCCGACAATGCAGTATCTCAAATGGTATGTCTTCCTCCATCTAAGTCAATTCTTATACTTACTTTTTTAGTCCATTGAAACTATGGTCCAAAACAATACTAGTATTCCTGAACAGTTTGGGTCTACACCTTCCTTGCCTGGCTTTTTACAGCAGTCTCCGGCTCTTGCTGCAGAGTTTGACAACTTCCAAGGCGACCTTTTCTCATTCGAGGATGCATCCTTTATGTGGAATATATGAAATGTATATCGCTAATGTTGCGTTTCCTATTTGGAATGAGTTCAAAGATGTATTCCTCAAGTGCTCCTGGTCTAAAATGGAATGGTGGCTCAGCCAACGGCCACGACCTCAGAATCAGATCTAATCATATGACTATCCAGTCGGCAGCACCTGTAGCTCATTTCGTATAATATTGCGTCATGTCATGTCGAACAATATCCAATCCCTGTGCCGATTAGCAACTTGTACAACCAATAGGAGAAAGTTTATACCTACTAGGGCAATATCCTTCGCGACCTGTTCATCAGTCTCTCCTTTCACGCACAGCTTAAAGAATTCATCATTTTCTCGTGCCTTGGTCGGATCCTGATCGTGCAGTCTTCGAAAGTTCTCCCTTGAGATGGGATCTATTATCTCAGTCCAGATGCGTTTGCGGATTTCGCTGTATTTGTCCAATATGGATTCATCTGCGAGACCCTTGTGAATTCCAATCAATGAATCGAATAAGCTTCCAATATCTGCGATACCGCCCGTAAGTCCGAGTCCACCGCTATTCTCAGTGTCAGTAAGGAGCTCTGTTGATTAAAAAATACCAAAATAGAAAATGACCGTTGACTCACAATGGATTACAGAGATGAGCTGCATCTGCTGCAAGAAGAATCTTTCCAACCCGGAAGCTAGGCGCACATCGCTGCTGTAGCTTGTACGGACTGATGTTGGTTATCTTATACTGTCCTGGCTTGGGGTTTCCAGGTAGAAGAGCTTCGTAGCGTTGTGGCTGTCGCGCAAGATATTCCTCTTTGCTCAGTCCCGGTTTATCGCCATATGTGAAGCGCCAAAGTCCATCTGTGGTCACCCGCGCAGCCAGGTACCAGTTTTCCGGATCGACTATAGTGTTGCTGTCCCAGTATCCGAAGCTGTCGAAGTCGTAATAAACCTAATCATTTTCAGCAAACCATTCGCTAAGGGCAGAAGTATTTGAAATAGATGTTACTAACGTTTGTTGCGACGATCTGTGCATCCAGAGTCTCACCCGGATACTCAGGCCCAAATAATTCACGCCGCACAGTACTACTGGCACCATCACAACCAATCACATAGTCTGCCTCTGACCTTTTGACCCCATCTGGCGTTTCAATCTCAACCCATGCGCAGTCTTCATCTTGACCAACATGTACGACTCGATGGGACCATTTCACCTGTGCTGTGGGTTGTCGCTGGATATGCTCATAGAGTACTTCTCCCAGCCGGTCAAGTGGAAGCACTACCATTCTTGTTGGGTATTCTATCGGAAGCACAGCATGGCTCATACCAGCAATGAGGGTTCCGTCCAATTGTCGCCATGCAAATCCTTCAGGTTGGAAGCCTCGTTCCTTGACATCTTCTAGGACCCCAGCACGCCCCAATTCGTAGACCGCTGGGCTTGCATAATGGGCTGCGCGAGGTTGCTTGTCGATTTCAGATCCCGCATCTAATAGCTCAACTTCGATTCCTGCTTTTGCGAGCAAGAGCCCAAGAATCAAGCCCGAAGGCCCGGCACCGACGATAATTACCTTGAGAAAATTAGCAATGAATTATTATATCGCAGACTGAAAGTGAATACCTTTTTCATTTCTGCGCTTTTTATTTCTGTTTGACTTGCAAACAAAAATGAAGGCGACGCTTTTAAACCATGTTAGAAACACCATACATCCCCTCTTTCGGCGGAGACAAAAACCCACCTCCCCACCGTGGGGCTGCCATTAGATTGACATACAAGATGCTTAAAGAGGTAAAGAAGTTGCAAGCCAACTAGAACCGGCTTGGCTTAACTGCGGGGAAGTAGGAGATGGCGGAGAAAGCCCGAGCCTTCTCACAGCTATTGTTAAGTTGCCACTAAGCTCTCGGTTCATTGTCTGCTGAAGGATTATCACCAAAAGAACTGGCTCTGAAAACTGGTAAATGGTCCATCACCCCGGTAACTGTTAGTCTGTTGATCCTGATAATTCACAGACTCGCCACTTTTCGATCCAGTCGAGTCAATTGAGCGTTGATCGCGCCTCATGCCCCAATGAAACATCTCAGAAGATCGCGGCGGTTCTTCATACTGAGCCGGAGGCGCGGTTGATACCGACGATGAATGTCGCTTCCTGCTAGCCAATTGATTCAGCCCTGCAGGCAGAATCCCGAGTCCTTGAATAAGCATTTGGCTCTCAGTATCCATGTCGGCTTTTCTTTTGGTACCCGCAAGCTGTTGGTTCAAGTTTTCAATTGGTGAACTGTCCGGCTCGTGGACAAGCTGAGAACTCGGAGGTCTAGTTCCATGGCCTGTGCAGGCCTCAGACCATTCTCTGATATTTTCTGCAGAATCAAGAGGATATTGAGCCCAGTGCTCGATCCCTCTCTTCTCCAGCCTCTCCAGTGGTGCATAACCTAGTCCATCTTGTCTTTTTTGACCTGTGAGGTCTGGAAAGACGGTCTGCAATTGCTCATCTGAGACAGCATCGGTGAGAAGCTTTAGAAGAACACCCTCTGTGACTTGGAGACGATGTTCTAGATTCTCGACATACCCCTTCGCAGGACCTCTATGGAATGTGAGTAATCTGGGATTCCGGGGGCACTCTGGCAGGGTCACTCACCTTCGCATCTGCTCTGGCCATTGACAGGGACGATTGTACTCCAGGCATTGCTCGCATACCGGCCTTAGTGTAATTATCTGTCAGCCACTTATTCGTAGCATAAATGGTGAGGATACTCACTTTTCCCCACTGCACTAGATTTCAATGATCATCAGCAAATTGTTTTTAAAGTCTCAGAAATAAAATGTTCACCTTTTGTTTTCTTGAGCGACATGCACTGCAAGCTGCCGAAATTCTTGAGGATTTCTTCTCTTGTGATTTCGGCATATTGCCTGATCTTCAAATTGTAGATGCTGGGGTGTAGGAAGAAAGAAAGAGCGACGGAACGAGTTTCGGCTGAAGGTTCAGGCGAAATTTAAACACGTGGGATCACCAGAAGTAATTGATACAGTTGCATGAATGTGAATGGCAAGTGCTATTTAACATAGTTTTATGTCGCCTTCTTTCATTAAATCTCTTTCAACTTCTATCAAATTATTGAACCTTTGAATTTACCAAAAACATGACGCCTCTTCGAATCGCATCCATTCCCGGTGATGGAATCGGACCCGAAGTTGTTTCAGCCACTATACAAGTACTACAGCAACTATCAAAAACACTTGGAACCTTTCAGATCGACTTCACACAAATCCCATGGGGCACAGACTACTACAAGAAACACGGCAAATATCTTGCTGATGATGCCTTGACCACATTACGCCAATTTGATGCTGTGTTATTTGGTGCCGTGGGCGCTCCCGGTAAGTCAAACCCGAGTCTATCTACCGAGTCGCTTTGCCTAACGCTCTTCAGATGTCCCTGATCATATTTCCCTCTGGGGTCTTCTTCTCGCTATCAGAGGCCCTCTACAGCTCTACGCAAATGTTCGACCAGTGAGAACATTCCCGGGAACCAAGTCCCCACTCGATACGGCGAAGAACGGCATCGACTGGATGCTAGTCCGTGAGAACTCTGAAGGCGAGTACTCTGGACAGGGCGGGCGTTCACATGTTGGACAGCAGTGGGAAGCAGCTACTGAGGTAGCGATGTTCACACGCGTCGGAATAGAGCGAATTATTCGATTTGCATTTGAGACAGCACAATCTCGACCCAAAAAGCAACTGACAGTTGTCACCAAGAGCAACTCCATGCGAAATGGTATGGTCCTTTGGGATGAGATAGCTGCGTCGGTTGCTAAGGAGTTTTCCGACGTGACGTGGGATAAGATGCTTGTCGACGCGATGACTGTCAGGATGGTGATGAAGCCTCAGTCCCTTGATACGATCGTCGGTACCAATTTGCATATGGATATTCTTTCTGATCTTGCTGCTGCTTTGGCTGGATCTATCGGTATCGCGCCTTCCAGTAATTTGGATCCGACTCGGAAGAATCCATCTATGTTCGAGCCCGTTCATGGTAGTGCATTCGATATCACTGGTAAGGGAATTGCTAATCCGATTGGCACATTTTGGTCCGCAGCAGAGATGCTCTCTTGGCTCGGAGAGAAAGACGCATCTAATAAGTTGTTGGCATGCATTGAGGAGGTTTGTGCTGCCGGGTTTGTTACCGCGGATCTAGGCGGGTCTTGCAATACGCAGCAGGTCGTTGATGCCGTGTGCGCTGAGATTCAGAAGCTCAGGACTTGAACTCCAAGCTGCATGTGACAATTGCCCTCTTCTTTTTCTTGCTTGAAATCAAATCCTGCATTTAAATTGGTAGCTTTAGCAAATTGGTTTCTTTTTTAATATCATCTTGCTCTTGCTCACTCAAACATGAAGCACCGGCGGTAGCGCACTTGTGCAAGGTACTCCTCGTAAACTCAGCCTCCTCATGATTCAGTAACATTTGAATGATAACTTGAAGAAGCAAAACAATTCAAAGTTAAATTGGTTCCATTTTCTTCAGTTGGAAGGGGCCGGAGTTCAGAACATCAGGACAGATGAGAGCAAATGAACTTTGGACGTTTGAATAGGTTCACATATATAATAAATTTAGAAGCTGGGGTATTGCTGCCCGATTAAGTCAAATAGAGAATCAAAATTTGCGCCCTCAAGCAAGTCAACCATATTCAAGTCAAAGCTCGACCCTCCAGCTAAGTAGCCAGCGTCGGTACTTTGAATATTCAACTGTTCAGTCAAGCTCGAATCCGTGTTATCTTCATAGGACGGGATCGGGTTAATTTCAGGGCGAGGTTCTGGAACGAAGTTTGGATTCGGGCTCGCATCTCCCTGGTGGCGGTTCCACTCTCGGAGTCTATTGCCCATCGATACTGCAGCCCTTTCAGGCGTTGAGGCATATGCGAGTGGGTTGGAGGTATTTTGTGAATCGTGATCCAATTGCCTTATTTTGGAGGATAGCAGTTGTAAAGCTTGGCGGCATTGCCTAGCCGTTTCCCACTGATCAGACATTTGACGAAGGTATGCTGAGCATTCATCGATCTCTCTATTACTGGCGTTAGTGTAAATTAAGTCCATAGTTGCTTATTGAACTTACTGTAAGCCTTTTGCAAAGCCATATTGTTTTAATTGACAAGCAAAAGCAAGAATCAGCCCACTCATAAATGCTGCACTGAGAAAGCCAGGCCAAAACAGAGCTTGCTGGCTATCAATTTGAGTCTTCAGGGCAGCGATGATACCTCGTGCAGCACCGATGCATGTCTGCAGCCCAGAGCAGAACTCCGCACTTTCAGGATTAAGTGACAAGGATGGGCGATGGATAATGAGAATGAGGTGCTGGTATAGCACAGTGAAAAAGGGACTGAAATCAAAGGGTTTATCAATTGACCCAAGGTCTCCATTCCCATTCTTTGACAGGCCGTGGACCTCCCCTTGAAGCTCAAGTGGTAGGCCATTCCACCACTTGTGAACATCAGTTACCAAGAATAGAATAGAGTCCCGGCGAACAGCTCGTACAAGAATAGACTTATGGAAAAGCTCCAAGGCACGCCCCGTGAGGGTACCAGAATGGACATAGCTGGCTATGGTGCTTTCTTTCTTGCGGCGCTCTATCTCCTTAGGATCTAGCTCAGGGCCCTCATTGACAGATGGCGACGGAGATATTTCGCTCCCGGGACAACCTGCATTGGAAGAATGCATACTCAAAGTTCTGATAAGAAGCGGAGAGTGCATTTCTGGCGCAGCCGGCAAACATACATCGATATCAGAGTCTTGGATACCAAGTGGCAAGCCCAGTGCCTGACTTAGATACCGATCAATTGCGTAAGCACACCAGAAAATCCGCTTCCGCAGTTGCCTGTCATGCAACGAGAGCTGACTGTACCGGAATGGACAGCGATGTAGTCCTGCGTGGAGCATCGAGCGAAGAACACATCCTCCAAATGTAGATGCTAATCTGAGAGACATGGTCGCAACAAGATAAACCTGGATTGCCAGCATTGCCTGCAAGGACACCAGGTCATGTCGAGACGCAAGAGTGGAGAGTAAAGTAGTCATACTACTGAGTGATCGAATCTTGCATTCCGATGAAAGCTCCACATGTGGCTGTAGGAGGCTACCAAGATTAAATACACATTGAAGAATGACTGTCCAGCACGTATTGCGATGGTCGGAACTTGAATCATCGACGGATTGGTCGTCTGTAATTGGACCTCTAGATAATTTCTCCAAGACGGCAAGAAATGTCGGTCCGTGCAGGAAAGGAAACAATGGATGCCACACTTTGAAGTAGGACATCATCAACTCTCTTGCCAAAGTAGGCGGTGGTGCAGATCCTAGACAAGCAGCAATGTCTGGATCATACTGCCAAGATGGAAAGGGCTCGACGTCTGGAGATGTTGATTCATCTTTGGTTCCTGTACGTCGGCGCTTATTGTGTGTTGAGTCCTCTATACCGACAAGTGTATCTTCAGCCGTGGGAAATGCCGTTTCTTGAGACCCTGAGTCATCAAGTCCATTGGAAAATGCTCGCTTGACGGTATTGATGAAGTAGACACCACTTGAGCTGCCAACAAACTGGCTATCTTCATTTGAGTGGGCCGTCAGAGATCCAATCTCCGAGGTCCCGGGCGCATAATTGGGTGGATCCATCATGATCTTCCCCTGGGTTTTGCATTGCGCTAGATATGCACCATCGGATAACTGGTGGTGTCAATTTCGCTGGTTTGAAGGGGCCGCGGGCGTTGATTCATGGCTACATTACTAAGCACTACAGTGATGTTAAAAACATTATGATTTTTACCGCCTTTATCTCCGCCTTCTATATTAAGCTAGCTCTAAAGTATAGGGGATAGATGAAATGACAAAAACACGCGTGATTATATCAATATTGAATCAATTTGATAGTAATTTGATTCAAAGACTCATAATCTTCGAAGTTGTATACACTATGGATGGTGTGAAGGTTGTTCAATTTATTATATGTCCTGGCAGAAAGATAATGCGGCAGAATAAAGGCGGTAAAAAATCATAGCGCAAACATTTTTACCGTTACTGTAGGTCCGCCGCCGGCCCAGGTGTGGCGATACCTTTTCTGTATAGATTTTGAAAGGTACCTAGATAGAAGAAAAGCTTACATTAGAACTACTAGTAAACACACCTAGAAATAGTACATAATATCTGAAAGCTTTTGAACTCCAAGTTAGAAATCACTAAAGCAAAGCGGGCTCGTGACTATCTCATTCATATGTACCCAGCATGAGGCACAGAATGAGATCCGTGCAAGAAACCCATCCGTGAAAAAGGCATAACACTATGTTACAATTGAAAAGAGGAAAAAAGATACGAGTAGAGAGAAGAAGTAAAACCACCACGAATCGGATAAAGGAAGAGAAAAACGTCACAACTCCCTCCGGTAACAGTTTAAAAAAAGAATACCATAAGAACCCAGCGCCCAAAACTTTTACCCCACCCGAGACATAGTGTCATTTTTCCCCAATACGTCGAACTTGAATACCTTGCTCCCCAAGAAATCCAAGGAGTTCCGGAAACCTGAATTGTGTACTAGGTAGATAGAAAAGCGCAAGAAAGTGGAAATCAATGTCGTGCCGCGTTCCTACCTAGGGGGGACAGGCTAACACAAAAGAAACTTTTCAAACCGAGGGATATCAGGATCAATGGACAGGGAAAAAGCCAAAGGGTGACGGTTGAGAAATAAAAGGAGACAGAGAAAAAGAAATAGGAAAAAAAGGTCATCAAAACATGCATTCAGGTTTCCGAGAATGCGGCGGACCAACACGAGACATGTCCCTTAGGACTTGTTCTCCTCCGAGGAAGCCTCCTTAGCGGCCTCCTGGGGCTTGACCTCGCCAGTCGCCTCACCCTCGGTACCCTTGTTCTTCATATACTCGTCATAAACGCTCAGGGCCTCGTCAACCTTGGCGCGGAGAGCATCCTCTTCGTCAAGCCTAAGTGAGAATAGATTAGTACATTGTCTCATGGGGAATGCCAGGGGTTAAAAGAAAACTTACAGTCCGAGGAGCTCAGTGTTGTCCATCTCGAGCAGCATACCAGTAATCTTGCCAGCAAGCTCGGGCTGCTGAGCTTGGATCTTGGGGTAAAGAGCCTCACCGAGCATCTGCTTCTGCTGAGCGGAAGGAGCGGCAGCGAAGACTTGGTGGTTGATTCCGCTGGGAGTAGCGGCGGCCTCCTGAGCGGGCTGACCGGCAGGAGCGGGCTGGCCACGGCCACGACCCATCTGAGGACCACCACGGCCAAAGCCAGGACCACCACGCATCTGACCCATGGGCATGCCGGGGACTTGACCACGGCCATTGCCACCACGACCGAACTGACCCTGCATGGGGTAGCCCATACCGTTGGGCATACCGCCAGGAACCTGCATACCCATAGGCATGCCCTGGAAGTTGGGGGGAATCTGCTGGTTAGGACCCATGCCACGACCACCCTGCTGACCAGGGAAGCCACCAGGGTACTGTCCGGGGCGTCCACCAGGGATACCCATAACCATACCGGGCTGAGGAGGGAAAGGCATGCCACCACGCTGAGCACCGGGGATGAAACCCTGCTGACCGGGGCCGTAGAAGACGGCGGGCTGCATGTAAGGCTGGGGCATACCGGCAGCGGCGGCGGCCTGCTGCTGGCGGATGGTGTTGCGAGCCTGGATGCTGGCCTCGAGCTGGCTGCGGCGGACATCCTTGCGCTGGGCGAGAGCGACGTAGAGGGGCTTGCCGCCAATCATGCGCTGGTTCATCTCAGTGACGGCCTTGGAGGCCTCATCGGGGCTGGAGAAGCAGACGAAACCGAAGCCCTTGCTCTTGCCAAGCAGCTTCTTCTCGGACTTGTCACCCTCCTCCTTCTCCTCGCCCTCCTTCTCCTCCTCCTCCTCCTTCTTCTCTTCTTCCTCCTCCTTCTTAGCCTCGGTCTCACCCTCCTCCTTGGTCTCGGTCTCCTGAGCCTCGGCCTCCTCAGAGTCGGGGGTAGGGGTGCGCTCGCCGATGCTGTCGCGCATAACCTTGGCGGAGGTGATGGTACCGTAGCTGCTGAAGAGCTCACGGAGCTTCTCATCATCAACATCGTCGGTCAGGTTCTTGACGTACAGGTTGACACCCTGGTACTTGGAGGCCTTCTCAACGCGGGCAGCCTCGTACTGCTTGCGGAGCTCCTCCTCACGCTCGTGCTTCTTCTGGGCACGGCCAACGTACAGCTTCTGGGTCTTGACGTCCTTCTCGTTCATCTCCTCAACAGCGGCATGGGCACTCTCGTGGGTGGAGTAGTTGACGAAACCGAAACCACGGCTCTTGCCCTCCTGGTCGTGGCTGAGAGTAGCAGAGGTGATCTCACCAAACTTCTCGAACATGATGCGGAACTCCTCGTCGGTGATCTCCTGGTCAACGTTCTTGACGTAGATGTTGGTGAAGTTGGCCTTCATCTCCTCGAACTTGCTCTGGCGGTCCTTCTTGGAGATGTGGTGACCGACGAAAACCTTCTTGTCGTTCAGAAGCATACCGTTAACGTGCTTGATGGCGTTGTTGGCGGCCTCGGCGGTCTCGTAGTGAACAAATCCGTAACCCTTGGAGTTACCGAACTCATCCTGAGCAACCTTGCAGGACAGAATGTTACCGAAGGCAGCGAAGGTGTCGTGCAGAGCCTTGTTGTCAATGGCGTTGTCCAGGTTCTTGATGAAAACGTTGCCCTGGCCAGTCTTGCGCAGAGCGGGGTCACGCTGGGACCACATGATACGGCAGGGCTTGCCCTTGATGAGGGTGTAGTTCAGGTCCTCAAGAGCACGCTCACCATCGGCTGTGTTGTTGTAGTTGACGTAGGCGTAACCGAGAGAGCGACGAGTAACGGCATCACGGCAGACACGGATAGAGGCGACCTGGCCAATGGAAGAGAACAGCTCGTAGAGCATAGCCTCAGTCACAGAGGGGTCGAGCTCACCGACGTACAGCGAAGCGGAGTGGGGCTGAGCGTTGGCAGCAGCGGCCTCACCGGCGGTCTCGGGGGCAGCAGCAGCAGGGGCGCCGTTAGCCTCAGGGGCAGGGGCGGCAGCGGTGCTGTCAGCGACAGGGGGGGTGGTGGTAGCTTCGGCAGACATATTGACTGGATTTTCTGATTTTACTGCAAACGCGTTTTAGCACATGAACTTGGCCAAGCAGAAGTCATGATAATAGGCAAGAAAGGTTGCTTGTTGTTTCGAGGTTACACGGGTTTGTTCCAATGTTTTGTCCTTTTGTTTTGCATGGGAACCTTGCAGCCGAAGTGAAAGGGAGGATGGGGACCCAGAGTTGAAAGGGGACAGGCGCTCATTCAAGTAACGCTGTGTTTTCGAGAAACAAAGGACCCGGGTTTTTCCCCTCTCGCACTTGGTTTTTTTTTTTTATTCAAGTGAACAGAGGATGTCCACGAGCACAACAAAGCTGGAATGGGTACTAACAGAAGAAATTCCTGACCAGAATGGGCAGGCGAAAACTGGGGAAGGAGTGTGGTGAGGAGGAATAATTGCGCAACTAACCTGAAAGAGCGGGTGATAGAGGTTCGACACACCGCACAATGAGGGGAAGATAAGATATGGGATTTGAATTTTCCGAAGTTTTTCGAATTTTTTTGAAGATTTTTTTAAAAAGCTTTGGATAAGAGGATTCGAAAGGAAAACACGATTCCCTAGAGAGGAGGAGAGGGGGATGGATGGAAAAAATCAAAGTGGAAGGCGGTTTTTTTCCAGAAAACTCAGAGTAATGTGAGTGCCCCCACTATGCTTTTCGAGGAAGGCGGTGAATGCCTGAAGGGTTTTCTGCTTCATCACGGGACCTGATCAGTCAGCGCAGTTTAGTCATTCACCACGTTGAGATTTACATGCAATCTTATCTGATGTTAATTTAAGCTATTCAATTCTAACAAACAAAATAGAAAATATCAGTACTAATCAACTTCAATTTAATATAGGATTCCTAAGCCTTGTCCATTATACAGTTCAGTGCGCTTGTTGTGTCCCACTGCATTCCATACCCTCGGCAGATCCTCGTCCCGTACCCAATCAGCTCCGCGGTATTTCTTTGCCGATACAATTTAAATGGGGAAATATTATTAAATAAAGATCGTACTATGTAGTACAGTAGCATACTTATGACCTTGCCCATCTAGAAAAGACTCAAACTTACATGTATTCCCTGAATCCTTTCCCTGAACTATACTACTGGGGTACGTGTGCAAATTTGTCTTTTACTGTATAGCCCGAGACTAGACTTCCTTCTACATACTTGGGTACTGGAGGTTTCTTGGCCGCCCAGCTTGTTCAAATGTTCCACCTGGGCAGTTGATCCTTTCGTGTTTACATTTAGCTAATACTTCGATTTTTCTTCCTTATCAACATGTGTAAATTCAAGTTCTACATTAGGTTATGCAGCAGTTAGCCTACCCCTTTACTATCTTTGTATCATGCAGATACACCTGTAGGGACACCCGTAGGGACATCTACAGTTACAGTTACACCTATAGGTATTTATATAAATAGAGGAGCATCCACTGCACACCTGGCACGTGGCACTGGCAGCTAAGTACTACCAGCTACCTATGTAAACATGAGCACAAGTGCTTGAGTGCTTGATCAAATTTTAGGCTCGTCGTGACATCTGGATATATGTAGGGCGTCCAAATCCATCATGACTTAACAGAGCTTCATAGCCAGGTACATAATTTTCCAATTTTCTGGCTACATATAGCGCCGCGCGAAGCGCAGTGCTAGAACTTGTGTATGTATACTACCTAGTACGGACCCATGGACTCCGAGTCCGGGGCTGTAGCCGCCTGCAGGGCTGCCAGTGTCACTGGCATTATTCGCTCACCTGCCCAGGTGGCAGGCCTCCGAGTCCAGGCTGTGGATATATCCACCTGGGCATGGATGTATACTACTACGTAGTACATACCACCTGCGACTAGCAGTTACCAGTAGTACATTGATACTACTACCTAGTATTGATGTATGTGCACATGTGCACTCCGAGTGCCGCTACTACTCAAGTGCTATACTACTATGTAGTATATTCAACTTGAAGTCACCTGAGCACTACTACATGGTACTATTATAATACTACTCAGGCTGTACATAACTACATGTAGTAGTATGTCACGGTAGAAGACCTCATGGCCACTGGCAGCAACTTGAACTATGAATAAAAGTACTGGAATATTTTCGCTCTTCCCGACTCCATGCTATGTAAGAAAATCGCACAGATACAAAAACTGCACCCCACCGCACATGTGTGAGCTCTCAGCTCAAATCAAACCCTGCCCCTGCGCTGACCGCATACAGTAATTTCTCCCGAAGGGCTTCGGGAGTCCTGTAAACAGGTAGCTTGAGTAGGTTCACACAGGTACTCGTGGTGGGAAGTCGTTCCTGGTCGTTACCAGAGTCTCGAATACTGAACGGTGGGTTCAGGTGACTGAAGCCCAACAGGGGAGCCCGCGGAGTCGAGGTTACAAACCGTACTACCGCCTGGCGCTCCTCTGGAGTCATCTCGTGCAGCACCTGCCAGAAATGCATGATAGTCGGGTGCTCATGACCATCGTCTCCGAGCTCGTACACTCCTCCGTAGACACTGTTACGTCGTAGATCCTCAACGTTAATTTCATCTTCTTCTCCACTCACTAGTGTCTGGAGTTCCGATTGATTGAACATTGACAGCCAGGATGGTTGAATGATTTGTCCCAGACCTGTCAGAAAAGCGTTCGTCTCTTGCTGAGGCTGGATCTGAAGCCGGTAACGGGCAATGTATGAGATGTAAACGAGGCGGTTCTGATTGGTGACGGGCATGTCAGCTCCATTAGGTCGCAATTCTTTGGTAGTCGTCACGCGCGATGTGGATGAGGTTGGAATTTCATCGTTCACTGTGAAATCCAGAGAAAAGTCCTCAACGTTGCCATTGTAGTTTTTCAATTTGAGCTAGAGTGAGAAAACGTCAGTATGAACGTACAGCAGGTAGATATACAATGAACTCACCAGGCCCTTGTAGAGGCCCACATCAAGATCCTTCAGATCATTGAGGTTGGCACGATAGGAACTTTCTCTCAAGGCAGATCGCCGACCACCAGTCAAGGCCCATTTCAACAGGAAGAAAGGGGCAAAATTGACGTCAACTAGAATTCCTTCGTAAAGGCATTTGCCAATGACTCGTCCAAGGAATTCATATGAACGCAGATGGTTCCTCACTCCCTCGTTCCATTCCACACTTCGCTCCGGTATCATGAATCCCTGAAGCTGCTGCTTGCATGTTTCAGTTGACGTAGGGTTGGGGTACAGCAGATGCTGATCGTTTTCCACGAACATGCTGTTCCAACCATCAGTGCTGAATGCTTCGGTAGTGATGCTAGTTAGGAATTCCTTGGTGACGCCGCCGCCATCGATACCAGCCTCCAGGGCTCCAAAGCGGTCAATGAAGCTGATTTGAATGGGTTCTTTCAAACCCTCACCTAGCTCGTAGAACTGATCTAGGGCATCTTCGAAAATATTTTCCCGACGAATTCTAGCGTGCTGTCGGACGAGGGAGGTCTGAGCGGGCATATTCATTGAACCCCCAGTGACGGCTGCGCGCCATGAGTCGGGGTCCACGAGTCCATGACGACGTCGATACTGGTCGTGGAAGATGAATTCACGGAAAATATTGACCCGAGTCAAGAAAGGAATAAAAAATGGCATGTTGCGGAGGATTTCAAGCCTTGGGTTGATGGCTGCCAGAGTCCGCTTACGCGAAGCTCGTTTCTGATTGCGTCTCAATGCTTCATTGCGAATAGTTTGCTGAGCATGACCAGTTCCCACCAGGCCTGAGGAAGACGGAGATTCAAGGAATTGGTCCCCGGGGTAATCATCATCATCAGAATCCTCCCAGTCATCAGAATTGATCTGGAGCTCATGTCTCGCTTCCTCTTCAGCGACAACAGCAGGTATGAAGCCATTCATGTCAAATTGATCGGTCATGAGCCAGTGGCCTCGGGGCAAAAAGTTGCGACGCGAACTGGAGGCCATTTATTAACATATTTCCAATCTACACGAATGAAAGGGAAGAAACAAAAGGATTCAACTTACTCTCGTTCATGTAACATCCGAAGCAAGCCTGTAACCAATCCTTTGAAGTAATCAATGGGAACGCCTGTAATTCCGGGCAAATAACTTGTCTGGGATGGTGCGTGTGGCTCTTTCGAGCCTGAAAAGGGAGGATATGGTTCGGAGGCTTGAGTTGTGGTACTGAAGTAGGTGCTAAGGTTCGCAGGTCGAGGTTCCTGCTCCTCCGTTAAGTCCGCAGCGTTCCAGTAAAGAGTGAAAGCTAGGTTCTTCAAGAAGACCGTCAACTCTTTGACATCATCTAGAGACAATGCACTCGCTCTAGTCCATGAAACATTGTCATCGTCGGACAATGTGAAGGAGGAAGTGCCGGAAAAGAATTCTTCGTCATCCATAACTTTCAGAAGAAATGTGTAAAGCTCAAAGAAGAGCAGAATCGGTTTCCAAGTCTCGTCTAGTTGCGTTTGATCATCCCTGTGACGGGATAATTTTCTTCTGAGATCTTTTATTGGCCGAGGTGTTAGCGAATGGCCTTCTTGTAGTTGATTATTAGCTCGAGACCTACCATAGTCTTTGGCCGGCTCTGGTTTTTGTAACAGTCGGAGAGCCGCTGATGGGTTGGTGAAAATGGAAGTGAAAATACTATTGGATCTAGTCGCCCGCCAGAAGTATTTGACCGCTGGCAGCCTTGATTTTCCCCTCTCAAAGATCTTTTCGTCGGATGGTGCCGAAGCTAGATAAAGCCACATTCGAATATCGTCTGCACGACGAGGGAACAATCTTAGTAAATTCAATCCATATGTGGCGAGAACGTGGGCCTGTATTTCTGCATACACGTTCTCATTAGAATTCATGCCTTGATAGCCATCGCTTGACCCCGGCCTAAGATTTGATGTTTTAGTTGGCGATAAGAGTGCAGTGATGCTGCTCTGATCGACGAGACTAGTGACTTGATCCTTGACGAATGGATGCAAGGGTTCAGCACGTGGGGGCGAGTCTATACCATGTGGTTCATCTGCCTCGATTCCTTGTGCGATGTATGTAACAGTGAAAGTGAGCAGTTCGGAAACCAGATTTAAGAATTCTAGGTCTGGTGCTGGAGTGCTGGCTTGCCCACCTAAAGCATATCGATGAAAGAAAATCACATAAGCAAGCAGCCAAATTCGTGTTCGTACTTCCTCGAGGGTCTTTGGTTTTGCCGTCTCAGGATCAAGTTGGCTGGACACTGCCAATGAAAGTATACGACAGTTCATGCGGTTGGCCAGGTCGTCTAGTCTTCCCAAATACTGTTCCAAATCTGGAACTTTGAGGTAGTGTTGAGCAAAGGATCCGTATGCCATGAGGGTTTCAGACGTGATCGGTTCCAGGAGAGCAAATATAGCATTCTTGAGATGCTGAGGGTCAATACATGGGCCTTCTGGGTCAGGTGAAATGTAGGCCGAGGAGTTGATAGTTAATGAAGCCATAGTCTTGAAGTAGACCGCTGAAATGAGGGCCATTTGAGTTGGAATTAGACGAATCAGGAAGACTACGCCCTCTAGCAAAGGCTCAACAACATCGTTAGGAACCGCGGGGTCTAAAGAGTTCTTGAGGATAGATAGAATAACGAGGGCTAGCCGTCTCAACGACTTGGTCCATTCACCCTCCGTGGCGATGGAAGGTAGACTGTGAAAAGTTTGTTGTAAAGCATTCACAAAATAGACCAGACGTAGGGAATCCCACTTGATTCTGGCCCGATTATCCTTCGCAGACATAAACTGTATCAAAAGTCGGAGCTGATTCAGGCACTCGTTGGCGGTGGCATATGGAATGGGACGGCGTGTCGGGAATGTGAAATTCTCTGAGCCAGGAAGGTATTCCGTGGTATTAAGAAGAGCCTGCTCGTTGGAATCCCACTCAGATCTCCACATTTGATTTGATTCTTTTCTGCTCAAAATGCCCCGCCATACGCGTTGGGTGAGCCGGGCGGCATTCAGTCTAGCTCTTTCATATTGTCTCTCCTCTCGCTCCTTCTGGGCAAAGCTGATAGCAATCTCCGGGTTTGAGACACGTGGGGCCTGGCGCCCTCGAGCATTTTGGGCAAAGGGATCAGTGGTTCGGCCACTGAGATTGACCACCCGCGGGCGACGAGAGTTGCCGGTGAATGCTGGGAACATCGTGCCGAGGAGAGGAGGGGGGCTAGGTGCCCCAAGATGGGGGTTTTCTTCGAGAAGACAATCTATTGAAATCAGGTCGCTAAAGATGCAAATAAAAAAACAACAGGCGCGAGGTCATCTCACAGTGTTGGGGAGGCAGGTGAATTGGAAGAACTATGACATACGCCCCCGACGATATAGCGCGGTGGTGCCTTATCGCCTGTATACACACGGGCCACGCACCCACTTATGCGATATATGAGGCTTTTGCCACGGAAATACCACGCACCAGAAAAAATACTTCTTGGAGGATAAGTGAAAGATGGTTAAGAACAAATAGTCTACTATAGCAAGTGGAATTAAGGTTTGAGAGACAATGCTTGATTAGATGGTGCATTTGAGGGGGTTCCAGCTTTGTGAAAGATATTCTATGAACTGGGAAGCAGAATGTGTAATGCATGCGAAGTCCTTGTCCCAGTGTCAGAAGGACTGGGGCATCTGTAAGACGTCCATTGATGCTTCATGCTGATAAGACCATATATGGCCTCCGTCAAATCAAAGTAGGCTATACATATAATACATGGTAGGTATGATCGGCCAGCGAGCAGGAAAAGGTAGATCGGGAAGATAGGCCATCGGGAGGATATTGGTGGGCGACAGGATGTCTTGTCCAAGTTCTGAATGAAATATTAGAAATCAAAATAAGTAGACGTATGATTGTCATTAACTCACGATTGAGAGATCAGGAGCTATGGCTCAAAGGTCAATCATTGACTGGGCTGCGATGACTGTGCTGTAGATTCTTTCTCCGCATTCTCACGAGCAACAACTTCCTCCGCATTCTTGTCTCCCCAAAGATTGATATAATCTTGACCCTTGAGGCTATCAATCACTGTGACAACGCGGCCATTGCGATCAATCTGTTTGACGTATTGGTCACGCTTTGGCTGGACTTTCTTCGAGACAAATGGGGTGAGCTATACTCAGATTAGCCTTCAATCCGAGATTATATAGCATTTCAACTTCACCAACCTCGAAGCTTTCCAGATCATCAGGGACCACATAGTGGCGGACCTTCTCCCAATCAATCTTGTAGGTTCCGTTCTTCTCAAAATGACCCATGGACCCTGTCCGGTTACCCTTGTAGTAGCCACCATTGACCTGCTTGGTTGTCAAGCGCAGGCGCGCCATCATGGTCGGTGAGGGCTTGAACATCTTGGTGAGGATTTAAACGACGTTGGATAAATAGACCAAAGAGGACTGTACAGGCGAGTCAGTGGAACTTGAGAAATCCCACGCGCGGGCGGTCAGGCCAGGCTAATCTCCGCGCCGAGAACTTTTTTTTGCAGCAGAAAAAAAAAGTTGAACCAAACACTCTCCACCTTTTCATCGACGAACTTGGGGTGGTGTTCAACTTGGTTAAACTGAGTTGACGGGACTTTATTGATTTTTATTATTGTCATTTTGTTTTCTCACAACCATGCCTCGAAAACAAACTAATTTGCGGGGTCCCAAGGACCGAGATGCTCCCAAATCTAAGCCCGCCCAGAAGCGCAAGACCGGCCGTGCAATCAATGCCCTCTCAATCGCCGAAAAACAGATTCCCACCAAACTTGGTGTAAGGAGAAACCGTCTAGGATACTATGACGACGGCAAAAACCCTAAACGACACTCTACCAATGATGAGGATGAGGATGAGGATGACGAAGACGGAGATGGCCCAAGCTACAAGCGCCGCAGATTCAACACCGCTCCTGCCGATGAAAGCGACAATGGCGGCAATGATAGTGAGGGTCACGAATGGAAGCTGGGACAAGTGGATAGCGACGATGATGAAGAGTTAGACAGTGACGAAGCTTTGGGTGAGAGCGACGAGGAAAGATTTGAGGGCTTCACATTCCGCGGAAGTTCTACCACAAAGTCCAAGTCTAAGAAGAAACCTACAAAGAAGCGCGCAGATATCGACGAGTCCGAGGAAGAGGAGGATGAAGACGACGATCTGGGTGAAGATGCCGTGGACCTCTTGACCGCATGGGATATGAACACTGCGGAGGAAGAGGCTGAAGCAAAGAAAGCCGCAGCCAAATCGAAAAAAGCCGCAGAAAGTGATGACAGCATGGACGACTCTGGTTCTGAAGGCGACAGCGAAGGAGATGAGAGCGAAGATGATAATTTATCTCTTTCCGACGACGACGAGGCTGATGACCAAGGCGATGGCTTGTCCAAGCTTCAGGACTTTGTCAATTCTATGGAGACTGGCCGTCGCACCAAGGGCCATCAAAAGTCACAAGAGCAGGGCAAGCCAACTGAGTACGGCCTGACCTCTTCTCAAAAATTGACTGTTGCCGACCTCTTGCCCTCGATCACAGACTCCCGCCTCAAGAGCTCGTTAAAACATGTTGACGCTGCTCCTCAGACATCCAAGGCCGGTATTCCAGGCAAACTTGATGCTCCATTAGCGAAACGCCAACAAGATAAGCTTGACCGTACCGCAGCTTACGAAAAGAGCAAGGAAACATTGGATCGCTGGATTGAGACCGTCAAGCATAACCGCCGCGCTGATCATCTGATCTTCCCACTTCCTAACCCCGACGATGAGCAAGTTCATCGCATGGAGGTTGCGAAGCCGACGAACGATCTGGAAAGTACCATTCAAAATATCCTTGTGGAGAGTGGTCTGGTTGAAGTAAAGGGCAAGTCTGCTGAACAGCAAGTTCAGGGCTTCGAGGAAATTCAGTCTCGTCAGATGCCTATCGAAGAGATCCAAGCCCGTCGTGCTGAGTTGCGCAAGCGTCGTGATCTACTCTTCCGTGAGGAGGTACGTGCCAAGCGTATCAAAAAGATTAAGAGCAAATCCTACCGCCGTGTCCACCGCAAGGAGCGTGAGCGTCTTGAGCAACAAGAGAAGCAGGCACTTTTGGAAGCCGGTGTTGACATGGATGAAATGGATATTGAGAAGAACGAGCGGCTCAGAGCTGAAGCTCGCATGGGCTCCAAGCACCGTGACAGCAAATGGGCTAAGAGCTTGAAGGAGACTGGCCGAACAGCCTGGGATGAAGAAGCCCGCAACGGTGCTGCCGATTTGGCCCTCCGTGAGGAAGAACTGCGCAGACGCATTGAAGGAAAGAGTGTCTCTCGCGGTGATGAGGACTACCTGGGATCGTCTAGCTCGGAGTCAGAAGACAACGATGACCCTTGGGCGTCAGATGCCTCCGATGCTGAGAAGAGCCGGATACAGAAGAAGCTGCGCGGTTTGGAAAAAATGGACTCTGCCGAGATTCCCAAGGGCCCTCACTCAAATCTTTTTGCCATGAAATTCATGCAGAATGCTGAGGCTGCTCGCAGGGAAGAGAACGACGCAGAAATTAGACGCCTCAACCGAGAGCTTCACGGCGAAGACTCACAGTCCGAAGCTGAGTCGGAGGTTGGACGACGAAAGTTCGGTCAATCATCAAAGACTGATACTAAGGCTCCTTCCAAGGTATTGCCCAAGAGCGAGCTCGAGGAGGCTCTTGGATCGGATGACGAAGACTTAATGGATCAAGATATCGATATTGTGGTTGATCGTCCTGCCAAGCACAACGCTGCTGCTCCCTCCGGTCCAAAGGCCAATGCCAAATCTTCAGATAAGATGTTCAGTCAACCAGCCAAAGAGATTGTGGAGGAGGAAAATCCTTGGTTGGTCCAGACTGACCGTACCAATCGTCGTCGGACCGGTGCAGATGCTCAGGAGGCTATGGAAATTTCACTTGATGACGAACAACCTCAAGTTTCACAACAGACTGCTTCGTCTAAAAAGAGCAAGGCTGCGAAGGCAACTTCTGCCAAGGAAATCTCTCACGCCCAGCACGACAGTGAAGACGAAGATAGCGTTCCTGTGCTGCTGAAGAACCACGACCTTGTAAAGAGAGCATTTGCTGGCGACGAGGTGGTACAAGACTTTGAGCAGGAAAAGATGGATACTATTGAAGACGAAGGTGACAAGGTCATTGACAACACTCTCGACGGCTGGGGTAGCTGGGCCGGCGAGGGCGTGAGCAAGAAGTCTCAGAAGAATAAGAAACGCTTCCTGACTACAGTAGAAGGCGTCAAGGCCGAGAAGCGAAAGGACGCCAAGCTCTCTCGTGTCATCATCAACGAGAAGCGAGTCAAAAAGGTATTTGTCCACATTTCACCAGTCTTTTTATGTGTTTTACTGACATGATTTTCCTTCTAGAATATCAAGTACATGGCAAGTCAACTTCCTCATGAGTTTGAAACCAAGGCACAATACGAGCGCTCATTGCGCATGCCTTTGGGTCCGGAGTGGTCTACAAAGGAGACTTACCAGAGTGGAACCAAGCCTCGTGTTATTGTCAAGCAAGGCATTATCAAGCCTTTGGAGAAGCCTATGATGTGATGAACTATCTTTAAGCTTTTTTTTTATCTCGTGTTTGTTTCTTGTCTAGCATCCACTTGAGATCTTGACAGAGCTACATGCCAGGTATTGTATAGCACTGTTTTTTTCTCTAAAAAATACCACATAGACCACATGTGTCGAATTTGCAATTTTCCAATCTGGATTTTCCTAGAACCAAAAACTATCTCTTCATAATCCTTCGTACTGGTAATACATGCCTGTTCAAAAGTCTGGGTACACACCTCCTTGAAATCTCTCTCGGAACCTTGGAAGAGATTCCAAGGCTACACTGGCAGCACTTGAGTGCCTGGAACTTGAAGGATACATCCATACTATGTAGGTGGAGACTGAGTAGTAGGTACTGAGGTAGGTACCCATATATGTACTTATAACCTAAGGGGGTACCTAGGTAATCACTGGCAGGCTCTGATACTAGAGGAACCATGGAAGGTAGGTAAAGATATAACTTCAAAGGTCTACTGCCTAGGTAATACTAGTACCTAGGTATGGTACTAGTAGCGGTCCTATGCCCAGGTGTATACTATTTATCTGAGTATTGGACTTGGAAGGGACTAAGCCTATTTGGGATGTGAATCAATGACAGTGAAACTATATTCTATACCTCAGAACCTGGGAAGTAGATATTGCTTCCCATCCACTTTTCATTTCTTCTTTCCTTTCTTCCTTCACTTACCATTAAAATGGCTTCACCGATCAACCCAACGAACTCAAGCGGTTGGAAGCCATGCAAGGTCTTCAACCCTCCTCCTCTTGCAATATCAATTTTGCCAAGCATCTGCGTCAACACATACAGTCAGCTCTTACTAGTGATAAGATTGATTCTGACGAAACGCTGAATCACTTTCATACCTGCTTCATAGCCTTCATGGAAGATTACTACTACAAATACAATATTCTCACGGATGACTTTGACCCTGACGCCGTTTTCCCCGAAATTCTCACCCTCAAGGATCAACTCTCGAGTAACCTTTCATGAATGCTCACACCTGAGAAAGACATCATATTTGAAGATTACATCCTGGAATGCCTTACTGCGATGATCTATGGCTCCAACATGATCGAGGATGCAGGATGCAGTCTTGATGTCACATCTGAATTCTGCAAGTCAATATTTTCCGGTCAAGATAGCTCCAAATATGAAAATCACGGTGGATTATGCTCGGAGATCGAAGATTATCTCTCACAAAACAATCGCCCAAAGGAACTCGCCGATATCCAGCGTTGTCGTCGTGAGACTGTGCAACATGCGAATGCTGCATCATACATCATTAGCAAACTTTACCTCGAGGACCAAGATCTCAGCGAAGAGATCATTCTGAAAACACACGGAGTTCTCACCTGCGGTGTTGATGCAGATAGTACACCTTGGACACAATACAGTGGTGTCTATCGTACCGATGAAGTCCGCGCTGGGCTCCACTCGTTCCCTCATCATATTCTTGTGCCCAGCAAAATGAAGGCAATGATTCGCGACCTGAAACCAGACCTCAAAACAGCGACTAAAATGGGAGCTATTGACCAGATCGCCATTGCCGCCAAGTACGCTCATATTTTTGTCAACATCCACCCTTTTCTCGATGGTAATGGACGTATGTGCCGTTTGATACTGAACGCTCTCTTGCTCAAGCTCGGAAGCTTCCTGGTGTGTATTGGTGAGACCGAAGATGATCGCGCCATTTATCTGGAAATCGCAGCTAAAGGAGGTTCACTTGAGTCTTTCTATGAAAGTCATGATGATGAGGATAAGCCGGTGATTTGTGGAGAGCTGGGAAGTTTTGTGATGTCACATGTTAAGAAGAGTATGCAGGCACTAGTGACTGCTACTGATTTTTGAATCTGTGGACTTTTAGATTGAACCTTGGAAGGTTCAACCCGTGGACATCCACATATGTCAGGTCATATTGTAATAAAAATGGAAGAACTACTACTATTTCCATTATCAACTTCAATTTGAGTTCTTTGAGGAAGAAGTACAGATTTCCTAGACTATACTAGTATTTAATCAGAATAAGGAATACTACATGTGTAGGACTTATTAGCAGATAAGAGCCCTGGAGTACTGTATTTCAGTAGTAAGAGACTCAGAGGGTCATAGATTAGAAAAGAAAAGAAAGAATGGAGAGGGCAGGAATCGACCCAGGGACTTTTGATTTCGCGATGTTTGTACCAAGTGAGGCTTCAAATGAGCAGGATGATGACAGCTTCAACTTTCAAAAAATCGTAACAAATCCAATAAAATAGATAAAAAATATAAAAGTAATATCAAAAGAAAGAGCAAAAGAAAGAGCAAAAAGAAAAAGGCTCCGCAGAAGTCTTTCACATAGTCCGCTGCATGCTTTCTCACGGTGGTGTTCCACTTAGGCAAGTCTCACGCTTGCTGATGCTACTGAACAACCCTCAGTCCCAGCAAACCAGACTTATGGTATCATAGTGTCAAATCAACTCGGGACAGACACGATAGCCCGCTAGGCTACTTCGATGCGGATGGTTATCTGGACTCCCAAATTTATCCTCTTAAGGGAGAAACGCTACTAACAGGCAGCCATCATACCTGGGCACCATATATGCCACCTATTAGAGGTCATTTTCCAAGGTCCCTTTAAATGTTATTTACTACTCAAAATTTTTATAAATATTGGCCAAGTAAAATCTAACCTTAGGGATTCATATCTCATCAATTCATGTCTGTAATATGTAACTTTCAAGAAAACACCAGAACGCAATCATAGAGCCAAATACAAACAAATACATGGATATTTCATTTCTGCTCATCTATATGAGCTTTTCATCGTCTTGCACCGGAGGCTGTGTTTCCGTGAGTGGGAGATCTATATCAACTACCCAAGGAGCATTTTTCGGTTGATAAGAGAGCGTGCAGATACTCGCATTCACGAAGAGAGTCTCTGCACCGAATTTCAGCGGCCTATCACTATCAGAACTGGCATTGTAAAATGCGCCTCGGTTTTCCAGCATCTCCTCCTGGTTGGTATCAATGGGCTCTTGTCTGACTCCTCCATTCGCAAACATATCCCAGGTTCCACGGACAGCACCCCAGCCCTCGTGAATATGTCCAAATACATAGATCTGAGGCCGAACTCTTTCTGCGGCGCGAAGAAGATGCGTACATCCAGTATGGCTGGCTGAATCGTCGCCATTGCGGTCCTTGACAGAGCCGCGACCGACAAGATCGAGGAGCCCATGAGGAGGACCATGCGTGAGCATGACATCTATGTTCGGGTGCCTCGGGACTGGATTTGCTGGAGGAGGTTTTGTTGAGCCAGGATTCGGAGGGTTATAGCGATCTTCTGTGCGGGGATAGGCGAATGCCCAACGACAGAATTCAGGTTGATATGGAGACGCATAGACGGTGAGTTTAGCGCCCTTGGACAAAACGAATGAGTGAACTCCTTCCTCCAAATACCGAATTCCTGCATCTCGAGCTGATTGGTTTGTCCAGAGGTCCTTGACGCGTCGAACATAGGCTTTCATATCATCCAGATCTGGTACCGCATTTTCACGAATACTTTTCATATATGATGATTCCTCCTCGGTTGTTGGGAGGGTCTCTGTAGTGCCCAGACGAATTGGCTTGCGGTGACGCTTATAACCGAATGTTGTGAAGTGTTCCTCGTCGAGTGTGATATCGTGATTGCCAGCGATTACAAGTTTCAATTCGGCGTCGGCTGCCTTGAGCATATCGACCATCTTCTCATATTCGCCATAGTAGCCGACTTTGGTGAGATCGCCAGCATGGAGAAGAACGTCGGCTTGTGGTAGGGGGTCTCGGAATGCGTAATCCTTGAAGGACGCGGGGAGAGGGGTGCTGGTATGAGTGTCGGAGATCATGCAGATGCGGGTTTTGACCCGCTTAGGAGTGGTCATTATGGGCTATCAGAGACTTCCTGGGAAGAATGAGTACATTGGAAGTTGAGATTGGGAGGAGAAAGAGAGGAGACAAAAAGCAAGGGCCAATTTCAAGGTTCAAATCCAGATCAAATATCCGGTCTAGGCTCCGACATGGCGGGTAAGAAGGGACGACGTCAGTCTCCGCTTCACAGCCCCCTTCCTATATAGATCTAGACAAAAACTACATTTACCAAGGAGTACGATAACACAGAGATATACTTATTTAGTTTACTGAGGCGAAGTGGAAAGAGATGAAAAAATAACAGAGCCAAAAAATAACGTAAACAGAGTATCATTCCTATGGAATAGACGGCTCAGAGCTCTACAGACATTGCATCCGTGGATGCCCAGATCATAAAAGTTTTCTGGCAAACATAGCTGTAACTCCGATAACCACCCGTGCAACGACAACCCATGCGGCACCCAACCGTATGGTCTTCCCTTTTGTTTTTTCGTTTACTTGCGGATAGCCTTCTGGTAGAAAGCCAGCTCGTCACCCTCCAGGATGTAACCGTCGACACGGCCGGACTGGCCGGGGCGAGAAGAGACAACAGCGTACAGACGACCGGACTCGAACTGGCGCTCGATGGCACCCTCAACCTTGCCCTGCTCGGCGTAACGGGCAGCCTGCTTCTTGGTAACAGACTTGCTCTTCTTCTCCTCAGTGACATCGGTCTTCTGCTGGCGGCGACGGCCGACGCCCTGGCCGTAGTGGGCCTCGTACCATTGACGGAAAGGAGCAGCGTCAATCTGGACAACGGCGGACTTGGTCAGGGTGTTGGTGCGGACCAGCTCGTTGTTGGAGGGGTGGAAAGAGACACCGATGACACGGGTCTTGCGGGCAACGCCCTCGGAGCCCCAGGAGAAGTTACCGGACTCGAGACGGAGGGCACGGTACTTGGTGTTACCACCACGGGTGCGGACCAAGTGGATGCGCTTGGTGCCGATACGGGTGTTAGCGGGCTGGCGACCCTTCTCGAAGGCTCTGTTGGAAGACGGCAAGTCAGAATTTGCTGTCCATGAGAATGTAGATATGATCGTTTTGTTCATTTTCCCCGTGTGTGTTCTTGCGTGCCAGTAGATAGCATATACAAGATGCACACACAACACGCCATTTGCCACTCCTCACATCCATCCCCCAAAACAATGAACAAAAAAATCCGAATTCAATTGACAGGTGAATCGTACCTCTTCTTGCGGTAGAAAGCGCGCTTGGCACCGGTGGCGCTGCGCTTGTGGCGAGAATCACGAGAGATACCCATATTTGCGGTTGATGTCGGGGTCTGTTGGACACAAGAGAAAAATTAGAACTCGAGTCTTTCGAGATGTGTACTTCCAATCCCTTTCTTTCCAACACTTCTGGCTCGTTTCGAGCGGAAGACGCAAGGTTCAATTCGAATGGAGGGAACGGGTTGGCGATATGTGTTGTGGTCGAAGGAGTAAAGGCTCAATCTTGAAATCGATGGAATTCCCGGACGATAATTTTACTTCGAATAGTACCCGGTTGTCGACTCGAACGAAGCAGAAGGAAAGAAATGAGGGATGCGAAGCGATTCAAGAGGAAAACTCACCTCTAGTTCTGCAGCCCTTCACCAAAAGCAGAACGATTGTCGATGGGGTGTCGTTGGAAGTTGCGGTCGTGGAGTCCGTTGAATTTCGCAGGGCGCACTGTGTCGCTCGCTTGTGCGGTTGCCCTAATTGACACTAGCCTTAATTAGAATTAGCGTGGATTATATCATCCCCTCCTGGGTCCCGTGACTTCCAAGATGGGGGCTCGATGGCTGACTCATCCAACCTTGACTCGGCCCATCTCCACTCCAGGGTTATGGACATGCGGCAAGTACCATAACTACAGTATGGATTCAATTATTTCACTCAATGCCCATTATTGACATTCAAAAGGGACCAAATTTTCTATTTGCCAAATTTGATGCTTAGTTACATTCTTTATCCTTCTAAACCTCATGTCACTCTATTCCATTTTACTCTCGCTTCCCATGCTTCTTCGCCTGCTCTTCCTTTACAAAAGCTCCAATTCGCTGGAAACATCCAAACCCTTCCACAAAGCACGAAGCCATCCACTTGCACCACAGTCCTGAGAGAATAGGAACTCCATGCGGCTTCAATTTCAGCACGGCCAATAAGACGGATTCGAAGATATGGATTGCCACAACTGCCGGGAACAGGAAAGGCTGGATGTTGAAGACAAAATGCGCAAAGTCAGGAACAAACTTGTACCCGAGATTTTCGTAGACGAACGAGCCCGGTAGAAGGTTGCTGCGCTGGAAGCAGCTCACGTAGGTGAATAAGCACAGACCAAAGATTAAGGTCTGTAAAAACCCCTGTGGGCCGCGGTATTCCGTCAGCGTCACGTCAGAGCGACCCAGGCGCTGCAGGCTTTCCTTGTGTAGTGCGACCAGGCGGCCACGCGACTCGGTGAAATCCTTCATGGCGGGATCGATGGGGACATGATAGCGGGTACCGTTCGCTTGGATAACGAGGCTTGAGAGGGTGAGATCTTCGATTTGGGCCTTGCGGGCGTCGCGGGCGCTGATGTTGTTGAATGCTTGGAGATAAAGCTCAAGGGAATCACCATGATCGGCGTTCATGTGCTTGATAATGAATTCCTTCGACATGGCTGCGCGCAAGGTATCTGGATTTGGAGGATTGAAAGAGTGAAGATGGGAAGAGAAGGGAAATAGGTCGCAACTTGAAAACAAAAGTTGCGAAATAACCCCGGGAATTCCTGTAGACTTCAAGTTGAATGTTCGTAGGTTAGCGGTAGCAGAAACCCCATCAACGCCAAGCCCGAACCTCGGCCTAGCCTCATGTGTGAAGGTTCCGGCACGTACCAACTGACATATTATCACATCATGTTCAAAATATGAAATTTTCTCAGTCTATATTAGAATTTCTCTACATTTATTGGATCAAAGGGCGTGAACTATCCCTTGAACTCGGAGTCTCAAAGCTCAGTGGAAACCAGTAGAATATTGAACTTGAATTCCTTAAGAGATATATACATGTGCTAGTAGTCGTGCTAGTAGATACAGGGTCCAAGATGCTAGTAGGTAGTAATTTCCTGCGCCACGCCGATTGCAGACCACAGGAGCTAGAAAAGTTGAGAAGTAGATAGGGGATTAGACAATCAAGTCGTTGCTCTATGAAAAAATGAAAAAAAGGGAAAAGAGCTGCAAAAAAAGAATCGAAAATCAATCAGGTCGAAATGGGGATCGTGATAATCATGAGCTTCCAAGAGGGACAACCCATCTGAGTCGGTAGGAGATAAAGAGATGTTGAGTTGCAAGCACTTGAGTAATATAGATAGGGATTCGGTCCAAGATTTATGCACTATGGCCAAGGTGATCAACTCCTAGTCCCGGTTGAGCGCGGTTCACAAGAAAAAGACAGGGACGAGGGAAGTCAAACTTACATTAGAGCCAGGGTCAGATCTCCATGAATGCGAGCCTTAAGCTCTACTTCAATCTCCAGATTCAATTCCAATTTGAGCTTCATGCCTTCCTCATCATCAATGCTTTTCTTCTTCTCATCAATCACGTTCATTCCTCCACTGGGAGTGAAGTCGTCGTCACGCTCTCGATATCCCTCCATAATCTCATTTTCACCGTCGGAATATTCGTCATCATATTCATCCGAGTAATAATCATCTTCGTCCGAGATGTCCTCAAGTTCATCTTGCTGCTTAGGTTGTTGTTGTCGACGGCGACGTTGCAGCTGGTTGTTTTGGACTGGGACATTCTGCTCTTCCTCGTCCGAGTAATCACCATCAGCGCTATCGTAATCCTCCCCGGACTCATATTCGTCGGGCACTTCGAACTTCTTCTGCTGTTCCTGAGTCTTTTCGGCGGTGGCCATGATGGGAATGGGGGTAGCAAGAGCCTGAGGACCCTGGAATCTGAATTACGGAAGAATAAGAAGATTGGGAGATAGTATCGCCAGAGTGTATATTCAGGGACCAAAACCGCAGAATATTCTTGAGATAATATGAAAGGAAACTTGAAGAAATAGAAGCAGAAAGCGGTAATATGAATTGATGAATTAAGTCAGGTAAAAAGATGGGCAAATCAATGGGAGATCTATAGAGGGACAGTATCATGTTTTGAGCAATGACGTTGGCGGCGGCTGTTCTTCCTTCCTCTTCACCTTCACCGTCATACAATTTTGAATTCCACAGTATCACCCGCGTCATGCAGTACAGTGTCCCACATTATGGGACGTGGCTATACAATCATAACTGTGGCTCCTTGGGCACTGACCCTGACCCCGTATATGGGAAGAGATCGACTCCGGCCGAGACAACTTGATCAACAACATTCAAAAATGCTCCACGGCCCTGGCGGGACCCGTGGCTACAACGGTCTCCCTCGTGGCTTGAACCAGTCAAACAGACCTCCAGGACTGTCATTACAGTACAACTTTAATTCCAATGATGACTGAATTTCTGAATTCTGAAGGAAGCTGTGGTACAGCAGAATGAAGACCAAAAGCAGGGTTGGACAGTGGCGTCATTTGCCAACTTCTCTACGATTGCCGCGAAGATTGGCAGAAACTTGCAACTGTCTTACGTCTACTTAATTTATAAAAGTGGATCCATCGAGGGGGTCTTTGTGCCAAAATAGCCCCGAGATCGTCGTAATTGGCGTGTTCCGATCCAAGTGGGGTCTTCGATGTCTTTTTTCCCAGTGACATCTCTGGCTGTAACAACGACGCTCCAAAGGGATTGGATATCAAAATCCCAGATTATTTCCGAACCAAGGGATCGTCGTGAAGCACTATATTGTTCTTTCTCACAGTCTACAATTGAGTGACTTGATCTATCCGGAGGCGTTCCAGGTCCTGATCCCTGCCCGCCCCAACGTCATACTTCCTACTTTCCACCCCACATCATCGCGTCAAAACAGCTTCCCATGGAGTCCCTGGTATAGATCACATTAGTTGGAAGACGGACGTCGTACATCGCTCCATAATACGCCCCGAGCCACAGGTCCAGGTTGAATCAACCCTGACGTCGGAGGCGGTACACAGCACGCCCATCAACGCCGGTTTTGTACACTTTGGTGGCTCCATGATATAAACGGCAAGCGTACAAGCACATTGTCCCGTGTTATCTCCCACATACATCATACCTCCTCATACAGGGTCAATTTTACCCTAGTCACTTCCCGTACATCCTGCAACCCACCACCTTGCACCAGTGACGCTTTGTCCCTCATAACCCACATCTTCCGCGACAGATCACTTCATATTTGCCCCTCTTCCCATATTCTTCCTCTTCTTTTCTTTCCACCATGGCCGATCAAGATCCTCAATCACCTAATCCGGAGTCTGCATCTACCCCAAACAAACCTAAGCGTTCTCCTCCTAAGTTAGGAAAGAAGTCCCCTGCCAAACAAGAACAGACTCCCCCTCCTTCAGAGCAAGAACAAGACGAGAACAAAGAGTCGAAGGAAGAAGAGACTACTGAGGATCAAGAGCAAGAAAAGGAACAAGAAAAGGATCAGGAGCAAGAGCCTGAACCCCACAAGCAAGAGCCTGACTCGGACGAAGAAAAGCACGAGGAACAGAAGCAAGAAGACGCTCAACCCGAGCCCGAACCCCAACCAGAACCTCAACAGCGACGTCGTCGTCGTCCTCAGCGCAAACAAGAGTCAGACGTCGAGTCAGTTCACCGCGGCGATATGGACGGTCAACAGCAGCAGCGTCCCCGAACTCGGCGTACGCGCCAGCCCCAGCAGCAACAGCAAGGCAGTGGTCCCCTTGATAGCCTCGGTGGTCTTGGTGGTGTTGACCAAGCTGGCCAGCTGATCCAGAATACCGCCGGTAATGCACTGAACGGTGTAACTGGATCAGCAGGCAAGGCTGTTGGCGGGATCCTTGGTGGTGGACAAAAGGAGGAAAAGGAAGATAGTGGTGGTCGGGATGAGCAGTTGCGATTGCGATTGGATCTCAATCTGGATATTGAGATTCAGCTTAAGGCAAAGATCCATGGTGATTTGACCCTAGGATTGCTGTAAGTTTATCTATTTATCTATTTTTATGCATTTCATCGTATTGCTTTCCTCTGATCTTGCGCATCCTCATTCCTCTTGGGAAATTCGGGTGCCTTCTCTTTGGCATCTTAGAGGAACATTTCACTGACTTACTTTTTAGTAATTAATCTGTCCTGACTGCAGCGGTCAGAGGAGGACTTCGTCTTCTCTGCTTTGCTTCTTTAGTACTTCCTATGAGGCTCTTCATTTATTAGTCCGATTTTTACCTATTCCCGCGACGAAACGACTTTCACGCTTACGGTATCGCACGATGCAGAATATGCATGGCCTGACCTGGCCTGTTCTGGCTACCTTTTATTTTTATGTCTTTTCTTGTTCCTTATCTCTCTGGTTTTATTTGGACCTAGTGTTTCCCCGGGGTGTTTTGTTCAACCCCTAGATTTGGTCTATTCGTGTGTCCGATGTTGAATGTACAGTACACTTATTTTCCCAATATAGTAGCTGGATTCGGCGAATGGGATAATGAAGACTTGAATCTTTCGAAGTATCTATTTGCATCAGTGACTTGTGGACTTGGCGTATATGTACCATGTGTATTTCAACATTGTTTGTGCTTCGCTGATCCCTGCGCTGCATGATGAAGTCATAGTTTCAGGCTGCTTTGGCCCGAAGGCTGCAATAGTAGTAAAAATGTATGTAAATGGTAGTACTCACGGGTGACCCTGGCAATGTGAGACCGGGATGAACGGAAATCTCCCGTGAGACGTGAGACTTGAGACTTGAAGATATGTGATACTAGTACTAGTGGAGGCATCTCATCTCTTCAATGCTTCAGGACTTCAGAAATCTCGAATGTTAAAAGCTGACTAGTTCGGTAGTTCGGAACTGCTAGATTTTGAATTTCAAGTTATTGGGAAGATAGAGTGGGTTCAAGTTCAAATGTTGAGATAGTCATCAGTTCTGAGTAAAGACTGGTATATGTGCAATCCCATGTCAATCTATTCCAAATAATAAACCCACATAAACATAAAGAACCCGACACTGAGCAACAGCATCAAGCACGAGACGACTCAATGCTAAGAAGAAAAAAGAACTCGAAGCCTTCACCAATGGCTGCAACTCCTATATCCGTCTGAATAACCTTGTGCAAGTCATCAAGAACCAAGAGTACACACAAATGAAATGTCTACATCACCTCGCCAATCTGTAATCACAAGTACATGGACAATGCTAGGTATTAGAAACTCTGACACCAAAAAAGTCCAAAATCAGTTTATAATCCGGCAACGATCATCAAGCCGTATCCAAGGGTCACGATCACCACGAAGGCCATCAAACTTGAAGGGACACCACGGGTGATGAAGTGTCGAACCAAGAGATATCGTTGACCGGTTTGAGGAACTTCAGTCATGATCGCAGCTAGTGAAGGAAAAATTAGTATGATTCATAACAGGAAAGCAAAAGGGATATAACATACTCATATTAGGGAATCCGCTAGTTGGAAGACCCATTGCAACAGAGCACATTAAAGCACTTGCCATGACAAGCAGGTTCGGGTGGGGGTCCTCCATGCTAACACCAATTTGGCGGACAAGAGGCAGGATGATCAACGCCGCCACAGTGTGCGAGATGAAAGTGGCGATAACCAAGATAAGAGCACAGAAGACAATGAGAACACTGTACAAGCTGAGGTGCTCAACTCGAATTGTGATAGCGGTGGCAATGGTATGGAGCAGACCGGAAGATGTCACGGCTTTGCCCAGGCAAAGGCCACCGGCGGCGAGGATAATGATCGTCCAAAGGAAGTTATTGAAGTCTTCCTTGTTAAGGATACCTGTACCGAAGAACAGCACAAGAGGAATTATAGCAATCACGCCCATGTCACCAAAGACGTGCTCGAGTTGGTGGCTTACACACCAGAGAGCAATAGTGACAAGAGTCACGATGGTGATAAACCATTGAATGCCAGTGAAGCGGTCCTTGACAGGACGCATAGCGACAACGGTCGCATTGCGACCAGGCTGGAAAGTTACCAGCAGAAGACCCCAGATCAGCAGGATGGAAATTATACACACAGGAAGCGCGATGAAGAACCAAGTACCCCAACTGATACTTGGGTACATGTTCTGCAGGGCGATGATATTTTGGGGTGATGCAATTGGCGAAGCCGCTCCGCCTACATTAGCGGCAAGAGCAATACCGAGAACAAGTGCCTTGGCAAAGTCCGACTCCGCAGGCAAGTTGCGTAGCAAGGGCTGAATGATGGAGTAGCATAGTACTGGGGAAGCAACGTTGCTAATCCACATACTAAGGAACATGCTCACGAACATATTGGTCAACAAGACAATATGGGGTTTAGAGCCAGCCTTGCTGAGTACAAACATGGCCATACGTCTAGCGATATCATACTTGGATAGTGCGGCCGCAATGGTAAATCCACCAAGAAGAAGCATGATGACTGGGGTCCACATGGCACCAAAAACCACGCTGGTTGCCTCCTTGGGACCCAAGCGTTTATGCGGCTTATCCTCGGATCGCATGATTCCAAGAACCACAACCAAAAATGGGATCAACAGAGATGTCACGAACAAGGGGATGGCCTAAAGAGAATATGATCAGCAACACAGAAATTCCAAGGAATGGTATTAGGTAAAGGACATACTTCGGTAGACCACAAGATGCTAACAAGTACAAGCATGGCCAAGCAGTTTTGCTGCTCGGTTGTCTCCATTATTCGCAATGAAAGAAGGGCGCCGAATACAGCAAAGCTTAGGACCAAAGTACCAAAGCTCAAGCTACAAAACCAGAGAGGGAACTGAATCCGACCAAGAGGAGTGGAAACCTCCGTTGTGCGAATCTCTTGCTTGTCGCCTTGTCGTCGGGCGGTTTCTGGATCTTCATCGGGCCCAAGCAATGTTTGGCGAATACCAACATTCAGAGCCTGCCCACGGCGTTCGATGGCAATCATCTCACGCCAGACAGTGTTTCGTTCCCAGACAAGTTGCTCACGCAAATGGAGGCGCAGTTCCCGACTAGCGAGAGAGCGATTGCCCTTGGTCACTATGTCCGCGTATACACCTTCAACTTTGTCAATATAAAAGTCCACAGTTGCCATCGTGCTTTCGGTGAAAGGTAAAGCTGGGTTGATGACTGAGTTGAGATAGTCTCGGCGCAGATTACGGAAGAGAGTCTTGTCGTATTTCTTCAAGGCCTTGGAAAATCCCGTCTTGTTCAACTCAATGAAGGATCTAAGCTCACAAAGAGTGACGTAGCCTTCAACGAGACGTTTCTTCAGATCCATACCGGCATTATAAAGAGCGAGGAAATCTTGGTCGGCCAGTTGAGAGCCCATGAGGTCCCGATTGCCCCCCTGTCCGAAGTATTCGGAATCTGTAAGATCTTCCGGCTGTGCATCTGTTGTAGATTCACCGTCGGTAGATAGTCGTCTGAGTCGTGAGTTTGCGAGCGAGGCAGACGGCTCATCATCACTATCACCGTCATCATCATCGCTGATAGCAGCTGATCGGCGTCGTCGGCCAAAGCCGCCATTGCTGGTCCTACGACGAGAAGTTTTCACAGCTGTCTCACTGACAGGGTCCATGTTGACGCCGTCCGTGTCGTTGAGATAAACTACCGCATCTCGCACCAATTGCTCAGTACGCTCAAAAAGTTCCGCCTGCTTCTGCTCATAAAATGAGACGATCTTTTCCAGCTCGGCATCGAGGGCACGCTTGAAAATACCGTCCGGGTTCGTAATCTGAGGACCAAGCAACGGTGCGGATTCAATATCCGAAACCCCTTGGCCATCGGGTCGGTTGATCTGCTTTTCAAGCGTATAGATTCTGGACGAGAAATCTCCGAGTTAGCATTTCCGTCTAATTCTCCAGCCCATGCTTTGTGCTCATGCATCCACCCAGCTCTGTGCAATGTGACACCCGCGTCCGCTGTGCCTTGACAACTGTACATCGGGATGCAATGACAATAAAACGCATAAAAAAGAAGCACTGTATAACCCCACCAAACAGCCCACAAATTCCCAGGGAGCAGAAGGCACACTTCTTTCCGTCTCATCAACTTACAATTTTTTGAGGTTACTGTATGCAATGTAGGAATTACTCCAGTCAGGCACAGCATTGAACTGAATGCTATGCGAGAACTTCATCTTGGCCTCAGTCTCAAGGTCGGCTTGAATCCGACTTGTTTGATCTGCTAGATTGCGAAGTGCCTCCCGCCAGAACCTGAGTGGTGTGGACACAAAGCCCCTAGGGAGCAGTCCAGACGAATATGTTTTCTCTTGAGCTGCGTCCGCCCCAGAGCCAGATTCTGTCGATGGCTCTGTATTGACGACCGGTTCAGGCGATCCTAAGGCACGCGGGAATGATCGAACGAGAGCTGGTGTGGAACTATGAGCTCCTCTTTCGGACGGGTAGGTGACGTCGTTGAAATCGGCGAGCTCGAAGGATTCGTGACTCTTGGGAGAAGCCACTGTCGCAGAGGAGTTGGAGGGGTACTCGGCTATGTGCAATTGTGCCAGCAGGAAGGGACCCGCTTGAATCAAATGGGAAGATATTGCGGGGCGCTAGATAAGTCGAGGCGTGGTCAGCTGCTGGGCCCGCTTGCGTGGGTTGCACTGATGGTCAGGCTGGCAATAGAAAATGCACAGCAGGTCGGAGCTGGGGTGAACGTTGGAGTGTTTAGTCTCCGAGACACAAGATATTCCACAATCTTGTCGTCCACAGTATCATTCTCGAGAAAGCTTTCCTGAACGTTTTGCGATGATCTCAGGGACCGCTGCTTGCCTGATTGGGAATGGCCTATCATGTGCTGATATAAGCAGTATTCAGCCAATTAAGTATGAGAATTAACAAGCAGGGGCCCCGCAGCTATAATGGAGCATGGGGTGCAAGCATGTGGCCACCATATGAATTATTATTGGGATAAATATGGTGGCATCTGTTTGATATGGAAAACAAACTCTATATGTGGCAGGGATTCATCATATGGGAATAAAAATGAGATGTGTACAGATAACTTGAAGATCACGTCAGATCAATGTGGCCAAAACTAGATATACTACATGTACAGAAATGCTGCAAAAAAAGAAAGTGCTGACACCATGAGAACCCCTCCATCAACCCAATAGAACTAAAGAATACAAAATTGGAAGATTATCTCCCGACTGATTGATTTTAACGACGACGAGGGGCAATTCCCAGGTTCGCACGACCAGAGATACCAATCTTGTGCTGCTGGTCACGTTTTTCCCATACACCACTACGACCCTCTGCAACAGCCACCAACTCATTGGCAACACGGTGGGCGAGCTGCGCATCACGACGCTTGTTGGATGCATCGATGATCCACTTGATCGCAGCACGGCGACGCTGGCGCAGGGCTAGCGGGGATGGCACCTGAACGGCAGTACCACCACCAGCGATACCCTTCTGCTGGCGAATGCGGAAGAGGGGAGCCACCGAGTCAACAATCAAGGTGAGGTAAAGCACAGGGTCGAGGGGCAGCTGGGGGCCAGGTGGTCCTCCGAGAAGGGGTCGGCGGGGGTTAATGTTGGGAGGAGGGGCAGTGCGGAGGTGGTCGAGAATAATAGACATGTTCTAGAGCAGAGGGAACAAGTCAGTCAATATGATCACATACAGTGCAGTCGAAGGAAGTGGCTTGCAAATCAACATACCTTTTGTGCGCGGGCCAGTTTGCCATCTTGCATCAACATTTTAGTGAACTGGTCCTGCATCGAATCGTAACGTTTCCGGAAGTTCATAGTCCGGGTGACAGGAGCTGGTTCTTCAAACTTGAAGCCCTCAGGGAGTCCTTCAGCTGTCTTATTGTCGAGCTGCCCGATCATGTCGGCAAGGATAGCGGCGGACATTTGGTCATTTGACTCCGCGCTCTCCATTTCTTGCAAGTAGCTTCGAGCGGATGTGGAAAAAAGACCGGGAACCACCCTTCTTCTTGAATTGCTCCTGCATGATCTTGGGCATGAGTTTCCGGGCCTTCTCATCGCGCTGGAGGATCTCCTCAACGGGAGTTCCTTGCTCCAACTCCGGGGCAGATGGATGTCCGTCGCAGCTCTTCTCCTTCTCTATGATTCGTGAAGTCTCAATTGCCTCCTCGGTGACGGATGGCAGCGGATCCTGAGTGGGAAACTTCTGTTCCTCGGGCTGGATATTCTTCGAGTCTTTGGACGAGTTCCATCTTTTCTGGAGGGATGCTGACTGCTCGGGGTGGAATCGAAGGGGTAAGGCGATGCCACGAGGGGCGATAGAAGAGGCGCTCGATTGGCGGAGAGCAGTAGCCGCTCTACTGGCAGCGAATAAATTGAGTCGAGGAGGCATTGTGTGCGTGGGTGACCTTGACGACCTTGAAATGTAGTGCTCAAGATGAATGATGAAATCTTGGCCTGGCTCTAAGCGGTCTGCGATTCTGCCCAGCCACAATTTTGCATGCTTAGTCATTTTCACCAGTTGACGCCCGCCGGGCGTCGATCCACCCTCTATAGACATGAGGGACTCATTCCCATAGCTTATTTACAAATTTTTTTTTTTAAAAAAAAATTAAGAGAGAAAACGATAGTGCAAGTTTTGGAATGGAGGACTGGAATGGGTTACATGGAGATGTGTTTAGTGAGTAGTACTACCTCATGTCTCCCTTAGATCCTCTCTACGTAACTCCTCCAAAACTTGATCATAAAGCCCCATTTTTCCAATTCCAGTATATGCTCCATATACATAAGATATAACCTGACTCCTTTTGCTGCTAAGGCAGTCTGAGAGCAGATGATCCTGAAGCTCGGCTGATCTGACCATTTCGATATACTCTTGTCGCTCGCGCCATCTTTCTCGTGATTCCTCATCTAACGGGTACCCATTCTGGTCGTACTTGTCAGGAAGGTCAAAAGAGGCAGGCATGGCTGAAAGAAATTCAGGGAATGCGATAAGTTCCCAGGGAACTGTACATGCTCCCTCCCAGTCGATAATCCCAGTTACGTCAAAGCTCTTTCATCCACCATGATGTTACTATGGAGAAAGTCGTCATGGTCCAAAGGAAATGGGCCTTCGTTGCATAATGAGAGCCGGCTAGCCATGGCTTTGATCTGTGATGGGAAATTCTCAATAATGGTAATCATCTGTTCTGCCGAGATTGGCGCTCCCTGCATCGACTGTGTGATTATTTCTCTATCCCATCTGAACTTGACAGTATCAGCCCATGCCTCAAAGAATTCAGTTGCCGTATCAAAAGGTCCACCGATTCATGGTATGGGACCAGACTCATATCCACCTTCATGGTTTCGAATAATAGTTCCAATTTTCGGAAGTCGCAATGAAGTCAAGTGAACCTATACATTAATTAGGTTATCAATGTGAGCAACTCAGCCCCAAAACAAGTATACAGCTCTGGAAGTAGACTTACATGATACTTCGCGACAAAGCTGTAGAAGTTTGGTCTGTATTCTTTAGGTATCATGCCTCGATGGACCTCATAACCGCCATTCGGATCCATAGCGACAATACCAGGAAGCAGCTCTATCAGCATGAACGCGACTCCTACCGGATTATTTTCGTCAGCTTCATACGCAAAAAGTCGAGGCACTGGTAAGTCGGAGTGCTCCTTGATGAATTGCATCGTTCCAACCTCAGCTTCAAAGTTGATGCTGCTATCGAAGGATGAGTATTTTCTTCTAATATGAACTCGGGCTGCCCAGCGAGTCTGATCAGAAAAATGCAGAACTCGGACAATGTTATTGAGCCCACTTGCAACCTGGTCCAAGGCTATGCATTCTAGGTCTCCGGCAGGTCCTGACGCAGTTCGACATAGTTCATCCCATTTGGTTCGCTGGAAATAATCGACGGTTTGAATGTCACTATTTTCAAGAAACTTTTGTACGCTTGACCAAGAGCTGGACTCGGCAGACATGGTGATAAATTATCGTATGGAAAATAATGGATTGACTCGAGGTGGCTATCAAAACTTTCTATCAGAAACTATGATCCGTCTTTGAAGTGGCGCCTGGTGGTGATATTGGAAGGGGGGAAAGATGCAAAACAAGACAATGTAAGCCCCACCTGGGCACTACATAGCACGAGTGGGGGCATCTAAGCGTGTGCCCGGGCCTTGGAAGTTGGGCAGCTCCTTGAACCCGAGTTAGTACCTGCTCTGCTGGTTAAGGCCTGGTCTAGGCACTCGGAGGATAGGTTTGACCGCCTCCGTTTATCCGCCACGAAATTAGCCTGCGAACTGTATATGTAACCAGTAATTGTTTGATTTCACTGATACAGATTAGCAGGATCTGAAGCTGTTGAGACCGAGCTCAGGAGAGTTTCCCTTTGTATGACTTGAACGCACTCTTTCATTCATGTTCTGCATAAAGAAGCGCTCGCCGCAATCTTATACTGGTACTGGGGCACCAACTCATGAGAGAACTTTGATATTCCCATACTGCTAGGCGACGATCAGTGAAAAAGAAAAAAAAATATTGGCTGGATAATAATTCCCACACATCTGAACAGATGTTAAGCCTCTGAAGAGAAAATCTCCGGCAACTTCAAGAAATTCCTAGAGGTGTTTGAATTCAAGTCTCTTTTCATTGCCACAATGCTGTCAGACTTGCCTTCAGAGATCATTGTGCATATCGCCATATATCTGCCAACCATCAGTGACATCGTCAACCTCGCAAAAACATGTCAACGATTTTATAAAATCATTACCGCAGAAGAATCATCCATTTTTCGAACTTTTATTCAAACTCGTTTCCCACACATACAAACTCCACCTTTTTGGAAAGGTGCGGCTCGTGCCCTCGCATCGCGATCACGGGCACTGGACAGACTGGGGATTATTGGCCGTTTCGTCATCCCGCCAGATACAGCGACCAGAATTGGGTTTCAGGAGCACACGCGTCGCGATAATCCCACGCTTGGATACCGGCCTGCCATAGACTCGTACGAAGTCTGGAATGGCGAATGTTGGGCTGATCGAAGGGAGGTTCTTGCGTGGGGCGCGGGCCATCAGATATTTTTGCGATCCAAACAAACTGGCACCCGCTCAAAGGAGCAATGGGTATCGTTTAACGATGTTGAAGAGCCTACTAGTTATGATGATATCTGTGGATTGCATCTTCTCAAGCCCGAGGAGTCGAAACAGGATCCAGGTGTTGAGAATCTGATTTTTGCTCGCATGAGAGGTGATCTCGTTCATCTTTCTCTTTCCCTTGATGCGGCGACTCATGAAATCAAGAGAAAATTTACCACCAATGGATTGTTATTGGAAAAGACAGATCTGATTAGTGATACATTGGCTGCTCATTTCGATAATGGGTCGATTGGCCTGTACTCACTTGACAACGATTCTCAAGAGGTCGAGCCATTTGCCTGGGTCGGTGATGGATTAGACCATACAAGACGAAGCCGATACTCAAAACTTCTATCCCCTTCGCGCCTTGCGCTGGCTACTGGCCAAGTTAAAAACTCTCTCTCAATCAACACGCTCTCGCCTGACGGTGTATGTGTTGATCGAGAAATTGGTGTGGAATCCCTCGATCTCGAAGATCAAGTAGGCAGAACAGTTCATGCAGCTGTCACTGCCATCGCACCTCTCAACTCTCACTCATACGCAGGATCACCTGGTGATGTCTTTCTAGCCACATGGGGAGACCGAACAATAAGGTAAGACCGCAAAGAATAAAAAGCACCCCGAGACATCGCCTAACATACTTCGCATCACAGATTACACGATCTTCGTTCGCCACATGCCTACGAATCAACGTATAGAGATACAACCGACATAAATCTAATTTACAGCGTACATCCATTTGGTCACGACCGTTTCCTCGCTGGAGCGGGTGGCAACGCCGTACTAAAAATCTTCGATTTACGCATGAGCAACACATACAACTACTTGGGCGCACAAGTGCCACTCACAAAAACCCAATCTCAACCTAGCACCAAACTACCGACAAGTACCATACCAAGTTATCCCCGAAAGGATTTCTCAATCTTCCTCTCAACACAACTTCCATCGATAATACCACGGAATCGTCGCGCTCGCAACAGACGTGGTCCATATCGCGGCCCAATTTACACGATGTCCTCGCCATCTTCATCGTCACCAACAGTGTACACCGGTATTGTGGACGGTGTGGTTCGGTTGGACTTTGCGTCAACAGATGATCTGACAGGACCAGCGAGCGAGTGGTACGATTTCAATCTTGGATTAGAAGTCGAGAAGGGTAGTCCATCTGTTCCTGTTGATGCAGAGAACGTGATTAGGATAGCGGGTTATGAGCGACCGGATCCGGATGATTTTACTACTACTTCTAAGCTGAGAAATCAGCATGGGTTTTGGTATCCTGAGCCTAGGTATGTAAATACTGGGGCGGGACCTGGATGGGATAGGCGATGGGAACCGCTTGCGCAGGCTGGTGCTTGGAGAAGAAAGGGAGGATCGAGTTAAAAAGCATATGTATACTAGTAGAACTGCACTAGTAGACAGAGCAACAACTACTCCAGTGCATTGTATTAACATAAAGTTCTTGAATGTTTCAGATACACATTTAGCTCTACATACAAACGCTCATGGCTAAGAAAACGGGATTCATCTGTGGAATACTACTCTCAAGAACCGGATGAGGGAAAATGAGAAAGTTAATAAACTTTTGTGGTATTCTCGAAAAGCAAAGAGATAATAAGCAAATGGTAGTCAAAGAGTAACGGTCATAGCTCCGTATGCGCCATGCTGAGCAAAAGGTTGAATATGTAGTATCGGGTTGATATCAATAGCCAGCGAAATATGTGAATATGAGGAGACAAATCCTCCAAGTTGCGTAGCAAATATCATTACCATGGAAAGTTTCTTTATCAATGAGGCAGCTGGAGGGAAAAAAAACATCTCGAGACTCAAGATTCTACCGATGAAGAAGTCGGGTTGAAAGGATTGAACGGTCAGATTGGATGATCGGAAGCCCATGAGATCATTTAATCGTCGAACTTGAATGACTTGCCACCAGAGATATCAATGGGGCCACCACGGTAGGAACCACGCTTCTTCTTGTTCTTCTCCTTCGTGAAGCCCTTGCCACGAGTGACAGAGAGATCAGCAAATGCGCGGTCAGCATATGCGTAAGAGATGTAGTCGTTCTTAAAACCGTCGAAGGGAAGCTCGCTCAGAGCAGCGAGAGGAGTTGGACGAGCTCCAGTGTGCTTCTTCTTTGTCGATCCATTTCCAGGAGCCGGGCTGGCGTTGGATGAGGTGTTGCGAACCTCGTCAACAGCAGGGGAAGCAGAAACGGTGACACTAGACTCAGAAGCAGTGGCTACTGCAACGCCACCAGCCTTCTCATCGTCAGAGCTATCGTCGGAACTGGCGGAGGCAGACGAGGCCGATGACTCTGGAAGGGGGGTCTTCTTTGCTTCCTTCAAGGCCTTAGCATTCTCCTTCTTGACGGGCTTGGAGTCAGATTCGGAGTCAGAAGAGTCAGAAGAGTCAGAAGAGTCAGAAGAGTCGGAGGAGTCGGAGTCAGAAGAATCGGAAGCGCTTGAAGAATCAGAATCAGAGTCGGAATCGGAAGATTCAGAGTCAGAGTCGGAGTCAGACTCAGAAGATGAGTCGGCCTTCTTGGCTTTCGCTGCAGTCTTGGCCTTCTTGGCCTTGGGGGCATCGCTTTCAGAATCGGAATCAGAGGATTCAGAGTCGCTAGATTCAGCCTTGCGCTTAACACCCGCGGACTTCTTCACAGCGGGAGCCGGAGCAGGAACAGTCTTCTCCTCCTCCTCATCGTCAGCATCACTATCAGAGCTGGAGGATGAAGAAGAGGGCGAGGAAGAGCGAGCCTTCTTCGATTTGCCGGCGTCTTCCATTTCAACATCAGAATCGCTTGAATCGGAATCGGAGCTGCTGTCGCTATCCGAGTCGCTGTCGGAGTCCGAAGAGGAACTGGAGGCAGCGTTCGCCTTCTCCCATGCCTGGAAGACCTCCAGCAAAGCTGGGGCGCCCTTCACATCAGCCTTGGTTCCGGCCTTCTTCAATTCTTTCTCAAAAGCTGTGTTGGTGGTAGCGAAGCCATTGCTGGACAAGAAAGAAGCAATGGAAGCGAGAAGCTGCGAAGGAACAGTGTCGTTGGTCTTGGTAGGCTCAGACTGTCAAATAAGGGCTATGGTTAGTTTAGTTCTGACCACTATTGAGATGATATAACTTTACCTTCTTGGCAGGAGCCTTCTTCTGGGCTGAAATCTTGGCCATGATCGCGTAGAATTTAATCAGGGTTTGATATGTTCAGATACGGTCAAGAAACAAGAAAATTGGAAGTGAAGAAATCAACTGTTTATAGAAGTCGCCATCCAGGAACCAAAAAAAAAGTAAAAAAAAAGTATTGCCAGAGCGGTGAGGGTGATATGTACTGTCGCAATATGTGATTGGTCAAGATCACCTAGGCAGAAAGGAATAAGTGGATTCACGTGGGAAAAGAATGTGATGCCTCAGGCTGCAATAATATCTCCACTTTAATCTAGATCATGAACCTACAGTTCCAGTTGGGTATATGAAACTTGATAGACATCTGGATGATAGTACATATATCACAATGTTTGAAAAGGTTCACATGTACTTGTTTGTACCAATGACTCAAATTTTCAAAATACGAGAGGTCAACGAATCAGTAGTAAATCTGATTCCTCCCGGCCCCTAACATGTACATATCCCAACTGGAAGGTCCCAGACGAGATTAGTACTAGTTTTTCTTAGTATTGATGTATTCACTCTACTAGTACTCATCATAGGCAGACCGGTAAAATCTCGAGAACCCTCAGATTCAAGTTTGAGCACTTGAGATAAATCAATAGTATAGAACAGATGGCATAGACATCAATGCCAGGGCGCATAGTAATCACATACCTACAGTAACCTACTAGTACTAGTAGTGGGCTCGACAGGCTTCAAGTCATCCTCAGCAATCCTAGTAGTATAGATTGATCTGCAAAATTTTGACCTTTTGCAGGATGAATTGCAACATTCGAACATCTAAAAAACCATACATAATCGCTTCAAGTTAGTTTGGATATCTCGTTCGATGTTCAAATGAAGGACGTACATGTAAGTACGATTTGTTCAAATTATTATGCCTCTTTCATATGTATCCTCGATACTATCCAACTCAGGGACATCAATCATAAAGTAAAAAATAAAATAAAATAAATAAGTTGTTCCAGATCAGTCTTGTGACAAATCATGATGTTATGCCTAAAGTTTGTCGTGGGCAATTCCGGCAATTTAAGCTGCCAAGTGTTCCAAGTGTTCCAAGGTTAGCTGCAGAAGCCGGATCAACTCGATACTCCGCTCCCACGAGCTCCGCCTTGCCCGCAACCCCAAACATCCCGATGAGCTAATACACTTACTGCCAACGGCGATCTGGCATTGCTTCCAAATAGTCCCAACACTCTCTGTTACCTTCAGTCTGAACTTACATTGATTCATTTATCACAAACTGTTCGCGAAACCGTACGTCGAATCTGGGAACGTATGCGCATAGGACTCCGTCCTCATTTAGCCCCCTCCAATACAGTCAGCGTCTCAATAATGATTCCTTGATTTCGCACCCTACGCCTTAATTTCAGCGCATAAAATTGGATAATGAACGGTCAACGCCCACGTCCCCAGCCCCCCGGCGACCCACGGCGCGGAGGCGACGGTCGCAATGGTTCTGCCGATGGGTCCTTGTCGAGAGCAGACAAGTTCGAGGATGAGAAGAAAAGAATCATTCAAAGCTGTTACTCGAAGAAAGATAGTGACGGAACCTGTAAGTGAACTCTTGGGACTTTGCTTGGCGCCTCGCAGGGGTATCTCTAGCTTTACCGCAACTAGGGGATAGTAACCCCGGACGTGGATGAAGGCTGTCCCTGGATATTCTGCAAGGGACAAACAATTCACTTAATAGAGCTTCATACTGATTATTGTTCCGCAAAGTGGTCGAGTCCTATATCACACATGTTCGAATCACAGAAGATGCAGCACACCCTTCAGCCCCTGCCCCGCCTACATCGGCACCCGAGAACAAGAAACCCCGTGTTATCATTGTATCAGTGCGAAGATCAGGCAGAGTTCGAATGCACAAGGCCCGCGAAAACAATGACGGCACATTTTCCATCGGTAAAACATGGATGCTTGATGATTTGTCTTCAATCCAGTCATACGCTTCCTCGGTGCCCAAGACACCCGGAGAACAGCAGCATAAGGAATGGGCGTCAAATGTGGGATTTGTGGTGACCGTGGGGAAGCCGTACTATTGGCATACAGGGAGCTCCAAAGAAAAGGACTTCTTTATTGGCAGCTTGGTGAAGATCTACAAGAAGTACACAGGAGGCAAAGCGCCTACTCTAATTGGATTTGATGATAGAGAGCGGCAAATGCTCCTAGCGGGAGGACTCTCAGGCCCTTCAGGCCCGTCGTCGGCACCACCGTCACGAGGCCCTGGCATGGTTCCCCCAGCAGATCCTACAACAGCTCCATATCAGGCAGCTTCATTCGGAAGCCGTGAGCCCAGTCGTGATGGGCCCCGGGAAGTAAGGCGGAAGGCATCGGAGGATCCAATGTTGCGGGCACAAAGAAGCCGGGAGCAATTATCTCGGCCAACTACAGGGAATTCTAAGCCGGCCCCCTCGCCCTTCAATCTGGCCTCTAATCCACCACCCGCCGGCCCACCACCCCCTCTGCCTCCGCAACGGAAAGACTCCGAGAACAGAGAGCCGCCTGTGAGATTTCCCTTGAGTGAATCAAGGCCATCTTCATCGCGCGGCGATGGTCGATCTCCGAAAACCCCCACATCCGAGTTGGCAGCCCAATCTGTCGACACACTATCCTTGAATCAGAAGCGAAGCGTGGATGGGCTGCGACCTACTACTCCTGCCTCGTTTACTAGTGAAGCACGAGGCATTTCGGCCAGCCCCGCTAGTGGTTTTATTCCATATCGTGAAGCTGATAAAACACCAAATCTGGAGCCACTGCCACAGCCTGTTCAAGAAAAGGTCGTTTATGAAGAACCTCAGCCAGTAGCACCAGCTGATGATTCCTTAAAACCCCCCGAGAAAGATGGCCCACCATCCTCTCCGATTCTAGTGGACCCAGCAATTGCAGCGGCTGTAGCTCAATTTTCTGAACCAATAACTGAAACGGTATCAGAACCGACACAGGAATCTCATTCTTCTGATTTGGTGCAAGGTGATGGTGATGATGACGAGGCACACCGTCCAGGATTGGGCCCAATGGTGAAGAAGAAGAAATCTTCGAAAGAGATCGCAGGTGCTCTCCGCAAGGCCGCAAATGCCTACGGTGCCTTTAAGCCACGCCCTGGAGGTGCTGGTGAGCGTCTGCTAGCAGCAGCGAAGAAGCAGCAAGCTGAACAAGCTGAGCCTGATGGTATTACTGGCGTTGTTCCGGCCCCATCTCTTACTCGATCTGCAAACGAGGCACCAAAGAGCCCAGTCGATGGGCCTACAGAAAGGGAGCAGCATATACCGGCAGCTCTACCAATGCCTCCTGCAGACATCCCATCAACTCCTGCCAGCGCACCTCCAACCGTGGAGATTACCAAGCCTGAAGTCGAAGTGACTTCGCCACCGCCTGACTCGATTCCTGTCCCTGAGAAGAGTTCAGATTCTCTTGCTGATATTGTCAAGGTTGATGACCGCTCAAGGTCACCATCTCCAGCAGCCCGAGGGCGTCGCCGGAGACGTGAGGACCATACTGTCAAGTACTGCCAGGCGCTTGGGATTGACGTTACTGTACTTGATGGGCGCGGTATTGACTTTGATGACATTTTGACAGATCTTGGGTGGAATGGTCGTCTTAATGACGAGCAAAAAATCGAAGACTTGGAGGCTGATGTCCGCCGTGAGATAGGCCGCGTTGAAGCTACCAGCTGGCTTGGTAATCTTGAACAGCAAGAAGGGAAAGTTGAGCAGTTGGCGGTCCTCATTGATAAGACAATTGAAGAGTGTGAGGAGTTGGATGGTCTTCTGACTTTATACTCCCATGAACTGAATGTAAGTCCTCAATCATCAAACAAGATCACATGGTCTCAAATTACTGACCCTTGAATTAAATAGACACTACATGAAGATGTCTCATACATTGAGGCCCAGTCTCAAGGTTTGCAAGTGCAGACAGCCAACCAGAAGCTCCTGCAAAACGAACTCCAAAATCTCTTGAAGACACTTTCTATTTCTACAACAGAGCTTCGTCCACTCAATGAGGCTTCACTAAGCAACCCCGAAGGCTTAAGTGATACTGAGAGAGCTCTCTCTACCCTGTACAAAGCTATGCTTATGATTGATGCCGAAATTGGACAAAATAAAAAGCGCCTTGTTGACGCCAGCGTCGGTGTTTACGCCAACACAGAGATTGGCCAAATGCGGGCTATCAAGGAAAAGAAGGAGGAATACCGGAACTCTGCCTTGACATTCCTACAACAGCGTCTCAAGCAATTTATGTCATTGGCTTTTAAGATGGCCGAACAAAAACGGGTGGATGCCTCCGCAGCTGCTACGAGAGATCCTATGAAGCTCGATGGGGCCGCTCGTCAGCAATTCCGCGCAGAAGTGTGGCGATACAACCCATTAATGCTGTTCACCAAGGAAGTGAGCATGTCCGAGTGGCACGCTCTCGTGAACCTGTACGAGCGGCAGTCCAAGCCATCTTATCAAGGCGAGTTCCGTGAGAACAACGCAGCTTGGCAAAAGACGGCTCGAAAACCCACAGGAGAGGAGCAAGAACTTCTCTTCACTCATCAAGAAAAGGAGAAAGAGGGCGAAGGCATCACTATGGCGGCTCGCAAGCTTACCGTGCGACGAGGCAAGACTGTTCGGGCGGCAGCTGGCATTCGACTGGCGTCTGCCGAAAAGCAACCTCGGGGCAAGATTGAGCCCTGCGAAGCATTTGCTGGGACACTGCGCGAAACACTTAATATGATAACCGACGAACAAAACTTCGTCGTAGAGTTCTTCCACCTGAACTCACTAGCCAACGTCGATTTCTCAGACTTGGTTAGTGCGGCTTTGCCGGAAGCTCGTCAATGCCCCAATTTCTCGGCCAAACAGTCTCATGATCCTGATCGAGACATGGCCAAGCGAGTTGAGCACATCATGGATGAAGTATACTCCTTCTGGCCCAATGACATGCAAAGTTTGGTGGACTGGGCCATCCAAGCGAACCCTCTGCAAGGCATTGGTATCATTTTTGCTCTGGAATCTGCCATGAGCGATCTTGATGATACAAATCAAGACTTCATTATTCATTCCTTGCAAAAGGTGCATTCCCGTCTCATGGGTCTGTTTAACCGATTCGTGGATGAACAGATCCGAGGCATCGAGGACACCAAGGTGAAGGTCAACAAACGCAAGGGAGTGATCTCGTTTATGCGGGTCTTTCCTAACTTCTCCAATGCAGTTGAGAACATGCTTTCACAATCAGGCGAGGAAATCTGTGACATTCGACTGAGCGTCAACGATGCCTACGATCGTATTAACCGTGCAATGTGGGAGTCGCTCAAGTTCATCGCCAAGGAAGCACCTGGTCAACCCCCTGGTGTGGCTGCCAATGCGGCCGGAGACCCCGAAGACAAGGAAGTGCTCAACTACCACATTCTCCTCATTGAAAACATGAACCACTACATCGAGGAAGTCCATGTACACTCGCTGTCAGTGCTTGAACGTTGGATGGATCGGGCTCACCAGGATTTTGCCGAGCACATGAAATTGTACTTGGATGCTGTTATCCATCGACCTCTCGGAAAACTGTTGGACTTTATTCAGTCCCTTGAGACTCTCCAGGCGTCAACCAATAGCTCCGACATTGCGACTCGAACTAGTCACTCACGGATGGTGGCGAAGAAGGTGTTGTCTTCGTATGATGCAAAGGAAGTGAAGCGCGGGGTGGAATTGCTTAAGAAGCGTGTTGAGAAGCATTTCGGTGACGCAGATGACCCCGGTCTTAGTCGCAGCCTGGTGCTGAAGGTGCTCCGGGAATGTGAGCAACGATATGAAGATGCATACGACCGTACCCGACACTTGATTGATACAGTATATGAAGGACAACTGGATCTGGAATGGCGGAAGGAGGATGTAGCGGCTATGTTCCGGAAGTGAGCGAATGCAAAATATGTCTTTTCTTCTCTTCAAATGTTTCAATGTCTCTTTTCTTTTCAGATTCTCCTCGTGCATTCAGTTTCTGTGTCGTGCTTGCCTAAGCATGTTTGGAGCATCTTTAGCTAGGCGCTTGGGTCATGGTGTTTCCCGGTGGAATACAATTAGGTTCATACATAACATTTGAAACTGTAGGGATCTTGAAACTTGAAGTCATGACAACACCTAGTACTCTGGCAGTAGTAACTTGAATATCCTAACGAAATGTATATGTGCTATCGTCTATTTGTACTCAAGTGCTATAAAAAGACGCTCACAAAAGATGACACTAGGTCAACCCTACATATTTAACAACTGCAACTTCCCCATTCCTCGAACAAAGAAATGACATTTCGTTGGTCCAAACACAGCATAATTTCAAACAATCCCGACTTATCCAGTCCCCCGGCAATGAAAAAATTTCTTTCGTACCATGTCGTGAATAGACGGACTTATCGTCAATATTGCCATTCTCACCAAGAGACGCCCCAACCGAGGAAGTTGAAGCGAGAGTCTGACCGTGGTGGGAAGAAAGAGGTGGAAGTCCCTCTTGGTTATGTAGACGGAATTTTGCATGAAGTAATAGAAGAACTCTTTGACAAGAAAACCAGGCAATCTTTTTCAAGAGAACAAAGCCAGGAAGAAATCATAGAGGCTAAGGACCTTGGAAAAAGGTGGGAAGAATATGATTCCCATCCTTGAGCTGGGAATCATCACGAGAGGAGAACTGGCCTGAGAGGCATGAAATGGGGAAGTATAGTATGACTTTCTCTTTGAGACCCTTTCCAGCCGATATTTGACACAAGATGCGGGTTTTGTCATGAGTGAAAAGGACGCGATCAGTAACCATCTTATCTTGGCCAGAATCAATGTCCGATGAAATAGGTATATCATCTGGGAATTGGAACCGGAATGTGTTGATTTTAGTCAACGTCCAGTCGCATACGAGGATTGAGCGGGACCCAAATCCAAGAATGATCGTTTGATCGTGCGGATGGCAAACCCATTTGCATACATCAAACTTCAAATTCAAAGAATGCTTCACAGCTCCTGAAAGAATTGCTAAAACAAATACAGTGGTCGATGTCGAGACAAGAACGTGGCTGGATTCTGGATGGAATAGAAGTTGCGTTATGGGGCCTGTTCTGCTGCTTTTCATAGATATTTCGACTGTCACCGGGTTCGCCGCAGTATCTGATGTGGAAATTGAAGTAAAGAAAATCCTGGTGCTGGAATCTGAAAAACAGATGAGTTGGCCATTGGGACTCCAGATCATATGCTGAATGCTTAGGAAGGCAAGTTGAGAATCATGAACATACGAAACCGTTCCGTGTTGGAGATCGAACAATTTCACGAATCCGTGCTCTGTTCCACAGCAATAAAAGCAACCAAGAGGGGACACAGCCAATGCAGTTAAAGGATTGATGAGATTTGTAGAGACAGTACTGAGAGTATTGGTTTGCCCAAGATTTTCCATTTCGCGGTCGCTATCAATGCTCTTCTCCAAACGCTCTGCATATCGCATCAAGGCATTTGGTTCCCAAGCATTGCCGTAATGTCCACAAAGGTCATAGATTCGGTGGAGACTGGGGGGGATCTTGAGAAGCTAGCTGATAGAGAAGACGAAAATCTGAGGTGGTATACACCTTCATGGTTCCATATCCGTCGCCCGTAGCGAAAAGGCTTCCATCTTTGCTAATAGCCAACTGGGAAGCGCCAGTCACAACTTCTCCAGCACTCCCCTCGTAGGGATTCCATTTAAATACCACTCCTTCGTTATAGAGACCCAAAAGGTCAGGGGAGTGTGGATGCCACACTGCTTCAATAACCTCACTTCTGCCAGTGTGTTCGCGTACTCGGCAACAGTGGTTGATATGGACAGGTCCATCCACCTCCCATGCCGAAAGAGGCTGTCCCAGATAGGCCACAGCGGTCAAAGTTCCCTCCTCGTTCATTGCCATGTAGCTTGATGATTTCAGGAAGTCTCCTTCGTTTCCGGGGTCTTCAAGATCTGCCACCAGCCGCCAAGTGGGGGATGGTTCGTGTATGTTAAACGATCTGACTTGGCAATCACTTGCTGCTACCAAGAGTGACTGATCATTATTTGTGAATAGAACAGCAAGTTGTTTGGGCCGAGACTTGAGATTTTCAATCGAAGCCTTGCACTTCCCAGTTGAAGAATCCCAGACCTTTGTTGTATTCAAGCCGCATGTCACAACCATTGTTCCCGTGCGATTAAATGCCATCCTGTATACCCTCTCTCCATGCCTGGTTGGATTATTCGTTGTCTCTTCAAAGTCCGCTGAATCGTAGACTCAAACATTTCCAGAAGATACCAAGACGCCGATATGAGTTCCTGCAGAGGAGATTGAAGCCGCATATGTGCCAAATGAAAGCCGCGCAACCAAGTCATCCCAGTCCAGCATCTGAATACCCATAATTTCAAGGTTTTTTCTTTTGACTTCCGACTTCCCAAACTGTTGATAAATAGCAGAATTTCGGGGACAGAAAGGAGGGATTGCTTTGTAAATCGCTTCAGGGTTTCGTTGTAGAATGGTGCCGAATCTCCCAAGAATCTTCATAAAGTCTGTGGCCCGGGCTTCTAACAACTGTCGCTCTTCTATATGGGAGATATCACTTGAAGTTGAGGGAAGAGCGCTATTCCATGGGATAGAACACTTTGAGAGGGTTTTTGAGGCCCGAATAAGGACTCGCAGCTGCTTGGTTACGACAAGAGCATCCATCCAGGTGAGAACGTAATGACCCGTTAAAAATTTCTTCAGAATGTTGAATGTCGACTCCCTAATTAGAGATATCTGTGGAAGATGAGAAGACCACCACATAGCGCTGTAGTCGAGGAACTCGGGCTTATCATTCCAGCTGAGCTTGGCTCGAAGGCCAATGGCCATCAGACAACGCATGCAACTCAGAAACAATTTTCCGTGAGCTACAGCCTGGTTTATTGAAAATGGACGATCCTGATCGCTGAGCAGATACTCACGCGCAGAGTGGTGAATCATGGTCACATTGCCGCTTTTGCCAACAACAATAAATCCACCACACAAATCCGTGATTGATTGCTGAAGATCAAGCATACCAGAACGGTCATCATGCAATATTTGGGTCAACTCTATAACTGTCAATGTACGGAATGAACATGCGACACATTGAAGGATTGTCAATGCTAAGGCACGTGCTGAAGGGGAGGGATTCTCTGCAATAGATAATGCCATCCTGTCGTATAATGCCTCCATACCAGATGGTAACTCTTGTAAAATATGCTCAACGTCACCAAGTGTATAACACGCATTCAACTTCTCTACCGCCAATCGTACCCACTTTTTCATCAGTGTCAGTTGTGAGAGCATAAAGAGTGAACTGCACTTACGAGAAATTTATTTCGCGACCCCTCGACTATGCGCTGCACAATACTGTCCTTGAACTCTGAATTTCCAGACATACTGAGTTCCTGTCGGATATGAGTATATAAATCCTCCATGTGCCCCTCAACACTGATGTTGCCTTGCCGCACGGATAATGGGTCCTTTCCGAGTCCCCGAGAAATTTCCAAGGTTGGGCGACTGAAAAGAAGAATTCGGATGGGTGCATTCGATAGTCCGATTTCTGAGAAAAGTTTTATGGTGGCTCGAGCATCACTAGCCTCATCCAGACCATCTATGATCCAATATAGCGGGCTATTTTGCTCCATTTTGAAAAGTCTGGATTTGGAAGGACTTTCCCAAATGGTTTTTGGGTCTGCTGTCTCAAGATCAGTTCCTTCATCAACAAGCTCGGCAATTTTGAAACGGTAATCAGGCATTTGTTGCCCAATTTGATACGCAATCAAACGGAGCAACAGGCTGCGCTTCTTGCGATCTGAGAACTGTATAAAGAAATACTGGCAGTTGATCTCCTGCTCGGCCAGTTGGTTGATGACGAAGGAAGATAGAACAGACTTCCCAGTTGCTGCGCCTCCGTTCACCCAGAGAAGATATGGCATTGACTTTTGGGGATTGAGCCACTCAGAATAGGCTTTCTCTTGGACAAACCAGGGGCTAGGCCCCTCTGTCCACTGATCCTGGAAAAATATGAAGTGCACGTCTGGAAATTCCCGAATGGCCAAGATGGTTTTTAGGCCAGTGTCTTTCAAGTTTTTGGTCGGAACCCAGATCGTAATTTCCACGGGCTTTGCTATTATCTTCCTCATGAGCGATTTCAGAACATTTCTCACAGACTTATAGTTGGGATCATTCGGACTGTCATACTTGCAAACCCCATGGTGGTCCGCGTTCAAAGCTTTAGAAGTTTCGCCCGGGTATCCAAGCACAGATGAGTCTTTTTCCAGTATCATCTTTGTCTTTTAGCGAGAACTGAAGTCATGCGCTTGTGGAATGTATCAAGCTTACCACTCGTGCTCCTTCGATTCCCATAGAAGTGGGCTGGGTCTCGTAAAAAGAGACCATATCCAGTCTTGACGCGACGTGTCGGAATTGCTCATTGAGTTTTTGTAATGTAACTGAGTTTTCTGAAAGCTCTGAGATGTAAAGTTTTGACGAGCTAATACGGGTCGATTGCAATAATTGATTGAGGATATCTGCCAGGTTGGTTCCCCTATGCGGGGTGGCCAGAAAAACAACCCCAGAGATGGCCTTGACAACATTCTCATATTCAGGATCAGTTTGGCCCTGCATATATGCCTGCCAGTGCGCTTGGTCAGTGTTGTCATTGCGAGTTTGGGTTCACTGTAATTGACCTCCTTGACGATAAGTCCACCCATACTGTGGGCGACAAAAAGCAGCGGAACCTTGGTGTGCAGTTAGCTACGAACTGCTCTCAAATCAATGATACGATCCCTCATTCACATTGCCAATATTAAGATCGCTCTTGTCTTCATCCGTGGCATACTTGAGATCAAACAGTAGCTCTTTTGCAAAGTCTAGAATAGTAGTGCTCGCACTTCCTCTCTTACGAAAGTTTGCGTTATACCCAAAGCTGAGAATCCTAGCCAGACAGAGGTCAGGTTCTAATGGAAGAAACTTCGATGGCCAGAACAGTTTTTCACTTCTATACTTTGACCAAGTCCATCGACTGCTTCCACCTAGGCCGTGCACGAAACCCATATCAGCTCTGTGTCCATTTTTGGGTGTGTAAATCACATTCAGACCCAAGGGGCCCGAATCATGTTCAGCTTTGACTTGAATAGGTAGACTGTCCTCAGAGATGACTGAGTCCTTGTTGTCTATTTGATCGCGGAGTGAGGAATAGGTCGACGTTGGTTTATGACTATGATCTGGCTGCGTGACTTCATCACTCTTCTTCCGTAGACTAAAACGTTTCCAGAACTACAAAATGTCAGAGACAGTTGACCACAGTGACCGGTCGCCACTCACTATAACTCTGAGATATGTGAAACGAGCCTAGACCCTTGTAAGCATATATTATTGGTTGGAATCCTCTTTCCGTGACAGATCCGGTTCCAAGGTTCCAAGGTTGAAATGTTGAAATTGTAGGTTCTTATATCAAAACCATGTTATAGGTGAGTCCTAACTGTGAACTTGAAATATTTCAGGTTCACATCGATCGGGTAAGCAATTGGGCGATGAAAAGCCCGACCACAACAGACCGAGATGGGCTAGTTACAGTCGCCAGGATTCCACTTGCATACATTTGCATATTTAGTCAACAGGGTATGTACTCCAGACAAACGGCGATAAATTCCGCTTCCTTATATCGATTGAATTTTGCCAGAATTATCATGAAGCTTGCAAAAATGAAGTTTGAAGTCCAAATCGACTTGAAGCAGTCCATGCACCCGAATGAAAAACATCTGAAGACTTCTGAACAGATACCGTCAAATTTGCTCAGTTGAAAATCCGATGTGAAGCAAACATGTGCATGTTTCAAACATTGAGCAACGTAGCGCCCCGCATCAAGCAAATACCTGTCACATTCTCTCAGTTTCACCCACCAATCCTGTCTTGTTAGCCCGCCCCTAGAAGACTGCAACTTGATGGGGTGATGCTAGTGCATGTCCAGTAAAAAGGAGCGTAGAAACGCCCAAATGTGGGGTTCCAAGTTGAAGAGCCAATTGTTGACCTTATTGGTAGATTAGTACGTAGCTGCATCAAACCTCTTGAAATCTCCAGCACTGGAAAACATGCGTCTGGCAACTTCCAGCTCTTGGAAATTCGAGGAAAGGGTACAGAATACTTCTCATAAATGCAAAATTATGAGATTTCCCTTCCTCTATGAGTATATTCCGTCCTTCAAGGATGGTAAATACATCAGAAAAATGGGCGTCGGGAGTTGAAGGCATCTTCGAGCTTCATATGGCCCTTGTTCAAGGTGAAAATTCAAAACTCCGCAACTACTCATGAGCAAGACTGGTTTTTCTAGCTATGCCTAGCGGTACAAGAGTAATCTCTGCAAGCCCTTGGGGTGTATCTGCCTGGACAAAGACCGCCAAAGTATCAGTTATTTTATCAGATGGTACCCCAAAAAAATATTTTCTCAAGGTCAGATTGTGTTCCCTCAAAGACAAATACTTCAGAGACTGATCACCTTTCGGGAGTTTAGTGTGCCACGGGGCGAGGAGCACATGCACTGACAGAAGGCGAATACCATTCAGCAACCGCCATACATTCAGTGATGCCCGGATTTGTTCCAAAGCCATGTGCATGGGACCAATACTGGGATGAGGACTCACCGGTATACTTCTTTCTTGGAGATTTCTATGACATGGAAATCCAAAAGGCGCCAGAACCAGAAGACTTTGCGGCTAAAGGCGGCGAGTTGGTGCCAGAGCCAGAACGCTTTGCTGCTAAAGTTGCTGAGCTTCATATCAAGGGCAACTCTCCTACTGGTAAGTTTGGATTCTTTGTTCCAACTGCGTGTGGGATTTTTGAGCGAACAGTAAAGTGGGAATCGAGCTGGACCAAGTGCTGTACCAACCAGGTCCAGGATGTTATCAGATATGACAATGAGACAAACGGCATATGGCCCCAGTTCGATGCCGCCTGTAAGCAAGTCATCGATGCTGTTATTCCGCGGCTCCTGGGAGTTTTACAGTCTGGTGGCCGGTCTATTAAGCCGGCCTTGATCCACAGTGACTTAAGGGAGCAGAACGTCGGGATTGATAATGAGACTCGTGAGACTATTGTCTTCGACCCCGGCTGCACATATGCTCATAATGAAATGGAATTTGGAACATGGAGGTGCTCATGGGCGCGTCAGTTTAGAGTTCCGATATATATGGAGCTCTATCAACGATATATTAAACCTTCAGATCCACAGAGCGAGTGGGATGACCGGAATAGACTTTACAGTCTACCTCCATACCTCAATGATTCCGCTGGACACCCGGGAAGCATTTCAAGATCGATGTGTGTACTCTTTTATCGAGCTCGTCCAATCTAAGCAAGGAATTGGAGCTTTAATAACCGATTCAATTCAGAGCATACAACGATATGCTATACTTATGCGAAAAGTATGCGCCTCTGGAAAGCCTTGCAAGATATAATCCCGAGAATGATGTTAGCGTTACGGGGGCCTTTATCCAACACGAAACAAATGCTTAGTGAAGTATAAGCGAGTTCTAAGGTTGGATGCTTTGTTCCAAGGTTCCAGATGTCAAGTTGAAGTGAGCATGGCTTTGGGTTGAATCAAGATTGGATGTTTACTATGCGAGTTGCCAGTAGATAGCATATACTACCGGCGTGACGTGCAATGCAGGTCTAGATGCTCTCCATTTTTGGTGACAACTCTTGGAACTCGAAGTACAAAATATTCAAGTAATTAGGCAAGCATATCAGGTGACAGTAACTCCTCTACTCAAGTGCTAATACTTTCACATTTTTACTTGTTGAGACGATATGTCATTCTTCCGAGGTCATTCCTTCCACAACCGTCTCACAAACGTCTCACAACCGCTATATCTCTTATAACCCGCAAACCCCCACACCTCTGAATAAGTCAGCATACATGCTCCTCGAAGGCACTGACAGCTACCTAGGGTCTATTTAGACCATGGACCATATTACTCCCCGACAGCTCAGTGACATCCTTGTTGACTTCCTGAATAAGTTCTCTTATCAGGACAATATTTCCCTTCCCAGAGCCGAATTCCACGCGCTTCAAGACTATGCCTCAAGATTCCTTCCCCGCGAGAATAGAATAGTGGCAGGCATGAGCGAGTACGCACATGCTGCGTTCCCTTTTCTACCACTAGAGATACGTCAAAAAGCAACTGTCTATGATGCCTACCAAATGTCAGTTGATGACCTCGCCTTTGAACAGCACGACAGTCTAGACGGCCTATGTCCTCAGCTATCCGCTCAGACTGAGATCAAACACCCTGTGTGGCAAGGGTTCTTTGAAACGTTACCGGCCTTCCTTGAATTTTATGGCCCTTACTGTCAGACAACTCTTCTTTGTGGAGCCCTCGAATTTATCCAGGCCACTACAGTGGAGCGAACTCTGTTTCGAGGCTACGCAGGCTCCAAGTTTCCCGATTACGTGCGGCGGATGTCAGCCCAAGGCCCTGTTCAGGCAGCGATATGCTTTCCCGAGCAAGAGTTCCCTCAAAAACAATATCTTCCCATAATAGCATCCGTTGAGGCTGAACTAGAAGACTGGGTTGGAACTGTGAACGATCTTTTCTCGTTTTACAAGGAGAGTGATACCGCGGTTGACCGCATGAACTACCCGTTAAATGCTTCTGCATGTACTGAACGCACGCCTTTGGAGATGCTTTGGGAAATTTCTGATACTGCACTTGCTTGCAAGGATCGCCTCAAAGCTATCTTAAAATCTGCGGGTAAAGAAAATGTCCGATGCCGTGTGCAGGAATTCATGACCGGCTATGTTCGGTATCATCTCGCATGCGATAGGTACCGCATCAGCGAACTCTGTGAAAAATCCGGTGATGTGGACCTTCTCGCTTATTATAAAATGAGTTTACGAGCGGTCGGTGCTTTGCAGGGCTCTTTTGTATCTGTTCACCCCAAGCCACGAGATCGGGTACGCACAGACGAATGCATGGCAGAAGTCACCGAAGGTAAGCTATCTAATACAAAAGATAGAGCCGTAGGAGGAAAATTCACTTGAAAATTTGCATAACTTTGAACTTTTTTTTTTTTAGCAAGTGTGGTCGTTTGGATCATAGTTCACATGGCAAGTTGGTCTTATGAGATAGAATTTTGTGGATACTATGCAGTGGCTGCGCCGCTTCCACCTACAGTAAAGAACATCCTCGATCTGGGCATAGTATGAATTAGAAAAAAATGATGATAGTACATGTGTTACCCTGAACGATTTTTACGAGCATGTAAAAGCCATAAACCTTATAGTTACATCTATTTGGTAAGATCTACCTGCTGTGTATGTGAATTGCGCTAGCGTGGTCTCTTTGTGTGACGCTGGTAGTCTGGTGTCAAGTTCTTCACAATATGTCTAAGCTATAGTAGAAGGAGATCTGCAGATGACGATATTATGTATGCATCTTCTACGCAGAATCAGAAATATTTTGTAAGGCTCCCCCACTTTCAGCTTGAATTTTGAATTTGCTCTGTATAAATCGACCTGGCCCCTGCCGGGAAGCTGTCCGAAGCTGTCCGGGTAATTTTCCATACATGGGACAAAACTACAGCATTTATTACATCAGAGGAAACAAACCAGAATGTGGCTACTAGAATGTTCAATCCACCAAGTCTGTTTGAAAGCAGTGGAAATTCTCGAGGAGCTTGCTGAGCGGGTATTATTTCAAGGAAATTTGGTGGTTATTTTGTTCACCTTGGTATCTACTCCACTGGCTACTGATACTTGATCACTCAATGATCCTCAATTACTGATGAAACAAGCTAATTGTATGCAAGTTTTTTGCTTGGATAGCATTTGAATTGGTCTACAATGCCTTGATCTCTCCGTTGCGGTCATACCCAGGACCAAAGCTATGGGCCATATCCAATATACCCTCCAGTATCAGCATTTTGCGTGGGAAAAGCCATTTGGATATGCTGAAATTGCATGAGAAGTATGGATCTGTCGTTCGGATTGGTCCAGATGAGCTATCATTCAACAGCGCGCAAGCATTCCAGGATATCTACGGGTTTCGCCCAGGTAAGCCACAGCTTGCTAAAGATTTCAAGCTCTACGGCTCCAAGACGAATGGTATTCGTGATAGTATTGCAGGATATCTTGATAATGAGGCACACACAAGACAGCGTCGACTTCTGTCTCACGCTTTCTCAGACCGGTGTCTCCGCGAACAAGAAGAAGTGATTGTCAATTTCATAGATTTGCTCATTTCTCGGTTGCGCGAAAGAACACAGATAGGACCAGATAACAAAGCTAAGGAAGACATTAAGAGTTGGTTCAACTTTGTGACGTTTGATATCACAGGAGATCTGATGTTCGCTGAGACATTCGACTGTCTCAAAGATAGCAGGCTCCATCCCTGGATCTCGCTTATATTTGCTACCCTGAAGGGTATCACTTTCATAGCCGTGTTGAACCATTTCACAATACTACGGAAATTGCAAGAAGTGTGCATACCGGAATCAGTCAGGAAGCAAATGCTGAAGAATTTCAATCTCAGTGCGCAGAAGGCCGATCGTCGCCTTGAGAAAGGGACAAGTCGGCCCGATTTCATGTCTGCTATATTGAAACACGGGTTGAGTGACGAGAAAGAGCGGTTCATTGAAAATCAGCCGCACATGCGTCGAGAAGAGATCCATTCAAATTCCGTCTTGTATGCTCTCCCAATATCTACCCAGTTATCAGTCCAAAGACAAGGGCTTACAAGAGGGTATTTGTTTGCAGTATCACAATTGCGGGAAGCGAAACATCTGCCTCACTCCTGTCTGGCTGTGTTTACTATCTTTGTATGAATCCTAATGCCATGGCCATCTTGACCCAAGAGGTTCGCTCCGCGTTTTCCCGGGATAGTGATATCACATCGACAAAGTGTAGTCGCTTGAGCTACCTAAACGCGGTCATAGAAGAATCTCTTCGTTTGTATCCTCCATTGGTGACCAACCTAACAAGAATCATTCCCGACGGAGGTGATACTATCGACGGAAACATGATACCAGGAGGTGTACGTATATGCTTCTCATCCAATTTTGGATTAATTAAGCAGTAGCTAAACCCAGATGGCAGGTAACTGTTTCGACCCACCATTACGCGTCATACCACTCTTCAGCCAATTTCTTTGTACCAGAAGCGTTCATACCCGAGCGCTGGCTGGGCTCCGACGCGCGGTTTCAGGATGATAAGAGAGATGTGGTTCAGCCATTCAGTTTAGGGCCGAGAAATTGTCTAGGCAGGAAGTAAGTTATGTCTTCCACGTCCCTCTAAGAGTTGAACAAAGTATGTTAACTTCAAGATCCGAAAAAGTCTCGCCTATATTGAAATCAGGATGATTTTGTCCAAACTTTTATTCAATTTTGATCTTCAAATTTGCAAGGAAAGTGAAGATTGGATTGATCAGAAGGTGTATACTATTTGGGATAAACCGGCACTCATGATTGAGTTGCATGATAGAATGGCCTGATATAGAGTACTGCCTAGGTGGTAGTTCTCGGGTCTTCGTCACACTAGCTAAACATAGCATATATGAACAAAATTTAGGGTTTTAGTCTGAAACTTGATCAGCATGATCTAAATTTCACCAGCAGAGATAATGCACTAGACAAGTTGAATGAGATACGTAACTTGAACCACTGATGTGGGGAACATGATGGTGGACCTGCTAGTTGGGTGGGGAATAAATGCCTTTAGTGCCTGAGTAAGCGGAGATCTGGCCCGGAGATGCCCCAGGTGCCTGCCGACAGTGCCAAGGTCACTGGGTAGGTGCCTGATCCTGGGCACTATGGGCACTATGGGCACTACCAGGTGTGACCAGTTGGCACCCAACTATAATAGGCCCCACCTAAGTTGAACTCGTTCTCCTATATTTAGGACCACGGGTGTGTCAATCTTTGGTCCCGCTTAATTCTACTCAGGGGCATTCTCTGGTCTGTGCTTGGTTCTCGAGATTCGAGATCCGATTCGGATTTTTGGTACTAGTAATTCATATGTGATCATGTCAATTTAATTGAGATTATAAAATCGTATAAGTTTACTATATTATACGCGAGGAATCAAGCCATATTCTCTCAAGTATTAATAAAGGAGAACCGTTTTGTCTGAAAAAGGAAATATGCTTCCGGTGGCTTAAGCTTCCCCAACTTTTGTCCCAAGAATTATGATACATACATGATACAATATATCTATATGTAAATTGGTAAAAAATAAGATCGAAATATCTAGACACCTTAGGTCAAAATAATTACTCATGTGTGTCCTGAATCATAAGGTTAACTTGGGTCTTAGTGGAGCGAAAAACCATAAAGATCGATTTGCTTGGGGATCGTCGTTTGTCCCGACTCTTCTCATCTCTTTCTATCTTGGGTCAAGTTTTTTGTTTCTGATAATTCCCCCTTTACTTTTTTTTTTATCTTACCTCTTCTCTAATATCATTTTCGTCCTGTCTTTAAAGGTGAGTCCAAATCTTTAACTATTTCCTGGTTCCCCACTGTTCTCGCCAATGGACCCAAAATTGGTCTCCACCATGCGAAGTTCTCGTAAGGGGGGCAACGGGAGATACCCCAACTGCAACTTCTCGAGACCCTGCGAGACGTGCGCCGCACGAGAGAAGTCTCCCTGCGGTCTGGATCCAGCCTCTTCTCCCCCCTCGAATAAAATTATTTTCGCCCCCAATCACTTCCAACACTTTGTGCAACAGCTCCCCTAATCTCAATCGTGAAACCGTTTAGCTGTCGCATTCCTCGATCCCGCGCATTCTCCTTTATTCCTCCTCCCCGGACCCGATCAACAGGACCTTTGACGAATGTCGCGTGTCATTGAAACAATCGAACATTCTTAATACCGATCATCCATACCATTCATACCTTATTCATCCGCTCTCGAAATTATCCGACATTCTTTCGATCGGAGATTCAATTCTATTCGACCAGACCGTGTGGGGGGACACCGGGCAGATCGAATCTGACCCCAATTGAATTTTGAGACCGGCACTCTGCTGGATTAGCCGTTGCTTCTACAGTCATGCCCTGGAGGCCGCTGCCTCGCATTGCCTTTGCGGTGGCCATATACCCTTTCAATCCTTCATCTCCCGCGGACCTACCTCTCGAACTCGGTGACGAATTGTACATCATTGAACAAGGAGGCTCAGATGGAGAATGGTGTCGAGGATACCTAGTTGCGCCGCCGTCATTATTGGCGGGGTTGACTAGCACCAAGGGTCAGACCTTGGAAGCACGTGTTTTCTCGGGTATCTTTCCACGGAACTGCGTAGAGATTCGGGAAGTACTGGGCGATGGCGAGGGATACAAGCATTTAATGAATGGGAATGGGGACCGAAAGAGCTTCGATCGATTGACACTCTCCGGACTGGACTTTGAAGGCCAGTCACGGAATAGCCTGGCGTACTCGTTGGGTGAGTATCAAGCCGGCGAGGTGTCCGACGTGGTCCTGGCGAGGAAGGGAAAGCCATCGCAAATAACGATTCACAAGTCAGATGATTCGGATTTGGCGAGTCCGCGCTCCGTGCAGACCTATCGAGGTGGTTCAATTCCTCACACGCCAGTGTCTTTCGCGCCCCGAGATCCCGATGCGCCAAAACCTGCTGCGCCTGTTCCCATGCTCAAGATTGGTGATGAGACTCCGACTTCATTGACAGAACCTCTGGTGGATGAGATTGCTTCTTGTCTACGCGAATGGCACTCTACGAATTTGCACGAGCTCCTACTAGCGCGAAACTACGAAGTTTTGGAAGAGATGTCGACAATTGTACAGGAGTTGGATTTTGCCAGGAGACAATTATTGCACAATGTTTTGACCAGCAAGGAGAAGGAGGCACTACGGGATGAAACAGTTTGGAAGCTAGTTCGAGCAAACAAAATGCTCAGTGGAGATATTATTGTTCGAGATCCCGATCAAAGAGGCCGACTTTTAACCGGAGAGGACTCTGCAATTCAACTCGCCAAGTTACAATCGGAAATGAGTATGCTGGATAGTCGACCCACCAGCTCCTCAGATACCACAGCTTTGCATCATTTACTTCTCGAAATCAGTGCTGTATCTGGCAACATCCCGGGTCCCGTCTCTTTGGCCATCCAACTCTTCTCCCGGTCTGATGCCGGGGTCTTCAATCCATTATCGGAGACATTCAGTTTGGATATCCCGTCTCCGGAAAAGTTCGTCAGCTTGACCCAAAGCAACAAGCTGAAGACTTTGTTCACGGATTTGGCTGCAACGGACATTGGAGATGGCACTACCAGTGGCCGTCAACTTTACCTTGCCACTTCTGTGCGGGCTGCAGAAATGCGCTCAACGGTCGAGAGCACCCCAGCTCCACGAGCCTCCATGTCCCGAGATGGCCCTGGGTCTCCCAAGTCAGGTGTTGCAGCCGGAGGCGTTCAGCCATCTGTGAAGGGCAGCCTAAGAACTCGGCGCAGCATGATGTGGACTCCCAAGACCCGAACCGGTACCAGCATGGATGGGCCACCAAAGCCCCCTAGCCAGGGAATTCCGCGGTCTTCGAGTAGCGCATCCTCTGCCAAAGAGGCTACCACCGCCCAGCCTCAGCCCATCAAGGAGACCTCCGCCATCCGCACTATCGGTGTTGGAATCCTGGAGGTTTCCCCAATTCTCAAACAAGATCGCGATGCCGAGCAGGTTATCAACATCTGGTCGCCTTCTCGTGAGGGTGATGAAGGCGAAAGCAATGCTGATGGATTCGACAAACTCCTACATGTTCTCTTGCCTAGTCACACTGGTCGCTATGTGCGCTCAGATTACGCTGCCCGCTTGCATGTACACCTTCATCCTTTTGTGAGCACTGACCCCGAAAGCCTTGTGCGTGAGAACCCCACGATGATGCACGATGTTGTTCAGACCAGGCGCGTTGGCTTCTCTAAAGCTCCCACAAAGCCAAGATCCGATATCTATGTCTCCCTCTTCCAGGCCGTTTTCCCAACCGATGCTCTCCTCTCTCATCCAACCGCGGGTCAAATTCCTCTGCAAACAACTACTGGGTTGCAAAACTTGCAACTTACTCTAGAAGTGCGTGATGCCTCTGGGGCCCGTATAGATCGCTGCGTTTACCCGTCATCAGCCAACACGTCGCATACCGCTTGGCGAACGACAATTACGGCCAGAGGCTCTCCTTGGAACCAAACAATCCGTCTCAAGATTCCTACGGAACGGATCCCTGGATCGCACATCATTATGAGTGTGGCAGACGCACCTGAGTTCCCATTCGCCCTGGCTTGGATGCCACTTTGGGACCAGCAAGCGTTTATTCGAGATGGCAATCACTCGTTATTGCTGCACGCCTACGATAAGCAGACCTCCAGTATGGAGAACGGAAAGGGTGCTTACTTGGGTCTTCCTTGGAGTGCACTTGGCAAGAATGAATCCGCCAAGGATGAAGCACTGACAGGTCCACTGGCAACTCTGCGCCTGGAGACACATCTGTGCAGCACCGAGTACTCCCAGGACCAAGTGATTCTGAGTTTATTGAACTGGAAGGAGCGACCAGTTGATGAGGTGCTTGATACTCTCAAACGGGTGCTCTTCGTTCCTGAGATGGAAATCGTCAAGCAACTACGTGGCGTTTTTGATGCACTTTTCGGTATCTTGGTGGAGAATGCCGGCAATGATGAATACGAAGATTTGATTTTCAAGAACCTTGTCACAGTGCTGGGCATTGTCCACGACCGTCGATTCAGTCTGGCGCCTTTGGTTGATCAATACGCAGACGAGAAATTCGACTTCCCCTTTGCTACACCATGCCTCATTCGAAGCTACCTGCGTTTGTTGAATGCCCCTACAGACCCACAGCAGTCTCGTAACTTGCGTGCTGCGTTCAAGGTTGGCCGCCATCTGCTTAAGTTCATTATTAATGCTCGTGAGCAGCAGAAGGCCAAGGAAGAGGGCATTGGAATCACTTCCGTACAGTCAACATTTAACAGAGACCTGCACACAATCTTCAAGTCGATGGAGAATCTGATGAAGAATTCGAACCCCGCTTTAGTCGGTAGTAAGACACTGATTGTCCAGCACTTCCATTCATGGCTGCCTGAACTATCCAAGGTCTTTGGCCGTGACGAAATGATTATGATCGCGTTGAGTTTCATGGATTCATGCAAGGATGTGACCGGTATGCTTGTGCTGTACAAGCTGGTGCTCATCCAAAGTTATACCCAGTTCGACATATTTGCTTCCGGTGAAGAGAGACAGACACTTATTTCCAGCTGTGTGGGCTGGTTGAAGCCATACTGGGGCTCGACTGCAGGTGTTTCGGACCAATATCGTGATCAGGTCCGCTTGAGTAGCGCGATTGTTGCACAGCTTCTCACCCAGCCTGACTCACAACTATACGATTTCATGCCGAGTGTTGTTGCTTCTTACTGTGCTATTTCAACAGAGGGAGTTGAGGAGACGGAGTATCTGTCACTTCTATTCAGCAAGTCATTTCCCTTCCAAGTCAAAACATCTCAGACACCTCAGCCATTTGATGAGTCCTTGGTCGAGCTTTCTGCCATCATGGCTGCTTTGGCTAAGATAGTCTCGCCCAAGACCCCTCGTCTCAAAGAATTGGAGCTTGCAACCTTTGTTGCTCAGGCATTTGAGGCCCATAACTCCATCATGGACTGTGAGGCATACCCGGAGAGCTGGTTCAGTATCCATGTTTACAATCATCGTGCCGCTATAAAGAGTTTGGAGCATCTGGCTGTGATCCTGGTCGACCGTTTCCTTCCTGCCCCTGATGATGCGGATACCTTCGATACCAAGCTCTGGGAATCATTCTTCACTACCCTGCTGAAGGTTATCTCCAGTGACGCGCTTGCTCTTGAGACCTTCCCAGAGCAAAAGCGGCGGGCTGTTTGGAAGATCGCAGGTGATGTTCGAGAGCAAGGTGCCGATCTCCTGCACTCTATTTGGGAGTCTATCGGTTGGGAGACCACTGACGATGAGCGTGAGCGGTATAACCTGAAGCGCATGGGTGGATATCAGGTTCAATATGTACCCAACCTGGTGCCTCCTATTATCGGGCTATGCTTGAGTGTTCATGAAGGTCTGCGCCATGTTGCCGTGCATATCCTTAGGACGATGATCCTGAGTGAGTGGGATCTGAACCAGGATATTTCGATTATCGAAACCGAAATCATCTCTAGCCTGGATTCACTCTTCAAGTCTAAGCACATGAGTGAGAGTGTCAGTCAGAAAATCTTTGTCAACGAGTTGCTCGACCTTTTCGACACTGATGGCACTGAGGATGAGTTGTTGAACGCAGTCAAGGGTCTAATTTCTACTGTAGATGAGCTTCTTGATCTCCTTGTTGCTTCTCAGAGCAGTGCATCGATTCAGAGTCTGCATGCTCTGAAGCTCATGGAGTACATGAAAGATATGGGACGTGAGGACATTTTCATCCGTTATGTTCATGAATTGGCCGACGGCCAGGCTTCCGCTGGCAATTTCACAGAAGCTGGTTTGGCACTTCAGTTCCATGCCGATCTTTATGAGTGGGATGCCATTAAGCCTCTTCCTGAGATTATGAACCCGGCCTTCCCCGTTCAAACAGCGTTTGAGCGAAAGGAGTCACTGTACTTTTCGATCATTCAGCACTTTGAAAATGCAATGGCCTGGTCGCCTGCTCTAGCTTGCTACAAGGAGCTCGCTGCACACTACGAAGCCACGACTATGGACTTTGCGAAGCTCTCTCAGACCCAGAACTCCATGGCTCGCATTAATGATTATGTTGCTAAGGGTACTAGCCAGTTCCCGCGTTACTTCCGTGTTGTCTACAAGGGTCTCGGATTTCCTGCCAGCTTACGTGACAAGGAGTTTGTCTTCGAAGGATCGCCGACTGAACGCATGGCTTCGTTTGTAGACCGAATGCAACGGGAGCATCCTTCTGCGCAGATCATGTCCTCTGGCGAAATCTCCGATTACGAAGGCCAGTTCCTCCAGATTACCGGTGTGACTGCTTACCGTGAGGTTTCCCATCCTGTCTATCAGCGGTCGAAGATTCCTCTTTCCGTGCGAGACCATTTGTTAATCTCCAACCCCATTCGATTCACAGCTACATCGCGTAGACACACCAGCGGTTCAGATGTGCGCGAACAATATGTGGAGAAATTCATCTTCACTACTGCAGATGCCTTCCCCAACATTCTTCGTCGCAGTGAAATCGTGTCAGTTCAAGAGGTTGCTTTATCTCCCTTGCAGACTGCCATTGAACGCACGTGCCGCAAGACCCAGGAGTTGCACATTCTTGAGCGACGTGCAGTAAGTGGCGAGGACAATACCTTGTCGAATCTCACTGAAGCGCTGGATCAACTTTTGGAAACTACTCGCTCTTCGTCTTCGAATTGTGTTGCGCTATACCGCAGCTTTCTGACGGGTCCACAAGGCGCTAAGGATAAGCTTGACGAGACAGATGAAGATGGCCTCGACGAGGATGGCTTTAATGAAGATGAGGCTTTGCCAGAGACCATAGATCCCATGGAGAATGCGCTTGCTGTTGCCTTGATTGACCATGCCCTGGGAATCAAGCATGCACTTTCCCTCTATCAGCGCCCAGCTCAGCAAGCAACACAGGCAGAGCTGCTGCGTCGCTTCGAGCATGTCTTTGAACCCGAATTAGCGTCTCTCTCTTCATCAGCTTCCGATTACCGAACATCCCCTACTCCTATTCACACCGCTCGCCAGTCACCCAACTCAGAAAGCCGAAACCAAAATGCTCAAAGGTCTGTCAGTCCTGAGCAAGAACTTATGCGGCGACAATCCCGCTCGAATGGACATACTCGTAAGCGATCCGATCGCCACTCAGTCAGTCATCGTATCAGCATTATGAACCCATTCAAGCGGCACGGCCCCTCGAATTCCATCTTCACTATCCAACAATCAGACGTCAAGGCTCAGAATGTCCCTGTCGAGCAGGAAGAAAATGATGACGATGCCGCAACAGTACACAGCCGCGCAACAAGTCACTCGCGCGGTGGCAAGAGTGAGAAGCGCCGAAGCTGGTTTGGGGGTGATAAGAAGCATGGCTCAAATCCTTCACTTGCAGGTGTAGCGGATGAAATTCCCTTGAAGAAGAGACCATCGCGTAGCGCCTCCCGCGATACAGCAGCTCAATCTCATGAGGGTCGCAGCCGCGCTGGCTCCCAGCATCGTGGACCTCCTGCTCCTGGTACCTCTGGCACATCATCCGATCGACCTGCCCCTGCTGCGAGTGGCGGCTGGTCCACACTCCCCTCCACACGCGATTACTCTCGTCCTGCGACGCGCGATAGTACGCAACCCCCGCGGGAGTTATCGATCAATTCTCATTCCAGTGTGAATGCCAATGGTCACGGCAATGGGACTACCACCAGAGTTTCGTCAGAACAGACACACAGCCATGGCCATCCCGGAGTACGAGACTCTGTGTTCCGACGATTCAGTCTTCTGAAGGGTGTCGGTCGCAAGAGTAGTCGCATGGACTTCAAGTCAAATGGCACACTTGCAGAAGAGTGATTTCCTTCCTTTCTATTCCTTTGATGTATTCATTGATCTTTACCTTTACTTCCTTCCTTCTACCTTCCACTTAACCTTCTCTTCTCGATGTGATTTACTACTCCCCGATGTACTTTTCCCTTCCTTTCTACCCTCTATTTCTTTTCACTACTACTATTTGTTCTTTGTCACCGTGGACCGGGCAATCTTTCCGAGTGTTATTTGGTGTTATGAGATAGATACCATGTGTTTTAGTCCTATCATATCTCCGCATAGTCCATACAGTTTTGATCTGCTTTTGTACACTACCGTGTTCATAACAATATACCTTATTGCTTAATATTCGAGTCCATACTAGATTATCTCTGAGTAGATTACTAAAATAAAAATTCTCCACGAACTCGAGCTGCCATGTGCACGCAGCACATGTGCGTGAATTGCGGGTCCGGGGTTTCCGAATCGGGTTAAACTGAAGATGTCAAATTTGCATCAAGGAAAGCGTGTCCATACCAGATCATTGATCCCCTTTTCGTGCAAATATTCGCTCTTCAATCTCATAGATCATCATTTGGATAGAGATTGATGGTCATCATGCCTCCCAAAGAATCTCCCCCCTCAATCTTCTATCAGCCGCATTTATCTCCCTACTCTACAATGCCACTTGTGCAGCTCTATGGCTCCATATCCTGATCAGCACCATCCGTACCCTGATCTCATCTCCTGATATCTCAAGCGTATACAAAACCGTTGAGCCCTGGGTCCGATATACCCAGACATTGGCTATTGTCGAGATTCTACACGCGGCAATCAGTGAGTACCCCTTGCTCCCTTATCTCCGATACTCCTTACCACATACAGGCATTAATCTAATTGGATGATGAAACAGAATTAACTCGCTCACCTGTCTTCACTACCTTCACCCAAGTATACGCTCGCTCAGTTCAGGTTTGGGCAATTAATTATGCCTTCTCGGCAACAACATCTCCTTCCCCGGCTTACCCGGCCATGATACTAGCCTGGTCCTTGGCGGATACAATTCGTTATTTGTATTTTGCTATTATGCAAGCTGGGTATCCCGTTCCGGGGATTTTGAAATGGGCTAGGTTAGTGGAATAATCATTTGAGTCCCCAAGTTGCTGGTTTAGCTTCGATTAGTACTGGGTCAAGGTTTGCCAAGTATGTTGCTAACGGTTCCTAGGTATTCCTTGTTCTTGGTGCTGTACCCTATTGGTATTGGCAGTGAGTGGTGGCTTATGTATCAGGCTACCACAGCCACCACAAACTGGGCTGTGCTGGCATTATATTACTTCTTCTTGGGTCTTTATGTACCGGGTAAGTTCAGTTATACTTACCTCAGGCTGGGGTTGGATTATCCGGCTAATTTGAATAGGATCCGTTATGATGTATTCTTATATGCTTAAGCAGAGACGAAAGGTTCTGGCGAACAGTACTCCTAGTAAGAAGGACTAGCGATACGCAGAACAGATTACAAGAGCATTCATGATGTGGTCGATGTTGGATAAGCAGTGTTGGGTGTGATTCACTATGCATACCCGATAGCGCGAGTTTAAGTTTCAACGTTCGGGTTTTCATGCCCAAGATGCATGTGTGTCATTCAAATCATGTCATCTATGCATTCCAAGGCTCAGTGATTACTAGTATGAGGGAAAAGGGTCTCATAGTATGACGAGAATAAGGAAGGGCCACTGCAGGTGGGCAGGTGATACTCGTATGACCACACATGCATATAGCAACTAGTATGTACTAGTATTTGAGGTACTAGTAGTTCGAGTGTTGAATTCAGGCTGTTAATTCGGGCACCTTTACCTAGATGATCATAGTTCAAGTCTGCAAAGATTCTCAAGATTTTCAAGTTATACCAGTCATGCTAAGCACTTGAGATCATGTTTAGTAAATACCTAGGCACTATCTGATGCCCCACTCAGGCTACTAGTGGCTCATGTGCATGAGGTGGTATCAATCAATGCCAGGGCTCGAATATTAATACCCGCATATAGCAGGCTATTTAATACTACTAGTACGGAGTACATTCATTTCAAATTATCAAGTTAAGATTTAAAAATCATATAATAAATATAACTCCGTACTACAAGACTCCTGGAGGGCTATATACGGAGTACCGTATTTCGTACTCGTATGATGGCCTCAGGCTCGCCAACTTGGAATACTAAATGATATCTATCCGTAATTTATCCGTAATTTATCCAGAAATGCAAGAACTTCCAAGTTCAAGTTCAATAGTAAAATATTGAACTCTCCCCTTTTATGTATGAATTTTAATGACTAAATTCCACTTCTTTTAATATGGGGAATTCGCAGTTGTGGCAGTGCAATTCTCTTGGCTTTAAACGGGACCAATTATAATTAATCTTGGAATAACTCATGTGGGTCAAATGTGAGATCGGCGTCAAAGCTTCCCTTGCCAAGGTCGTGTGCTGTTGCAACTGATCCTCATCGAGGCTGTGCTGTCGCGGCTTAATTCGTTTCAGACCTTGCTTTGCACCGCTTTACACCCACTTTACACCCACGGTTCTCTTTCTTTCATACTGATTACGTCGTCTCAACCACGGATCCTGTGGCTCCAAGACCCCGCTCACTTTCCCATCGTCACTTCCTAAAAAGCTTGGCCCAGGTCGCAATTCACCATGTGTAAGTAGCCACTGATACCCGTGGACCTCCAGGGCTCCAGAGCTTTCATTTCCCCTTCCGCTATCTTCCGCTTCTCCAGTTTTGCTAGCCTGGGGTTCATCTTTCATTTAACTAAACCCGCTGCAGCTGCCGTTCCTTTTCGTAAGCAATTTCGAAGCCATACTTTTGGTCCAAGCAGAAGAATGAGCTCCGGTTTGCTGCAACCCTCCGAACGCGATTCGCTGCTGGGTCAGCGTTCCCTTTCTGGATTATCTGGACATGATCATGTCGACCATGGCAATCACCATCATCACCCCAAGGATAATCGTGCCTGGGTTCGATGGCCCCTGCAAGTCGTCCGCTTGACTTGGTTGACGCTGGTTCGTGACTACGTCAATGTGCTTCTCATCTTTGTTCCCTTAGGTATCGTGGCTGGAGCGCTCGAATGGGATTCTACTGCCATCTTCGTTCTCAATTTCTTTGCTATCATTCCGCTTGCTTCCCTGTTGAGCTTTGCTACCGAGGAGTTGGCAGCTACAATGGGTCAGGCCCTTGGAGGCCTGATGAATGCTACTTTTGGAAATGCAGTAGAGCTGATTGTAAGAGCTGGACCCACTGCATATCTCTGTCTCAATCCCAATGGCTAATCAGATCGCGTTTTATTGTTTTCTAGGTCAGCATCATCGCTCTCAGGGATGAGCAGATTCGCGTGGTTCAAGCCAGTATGCTGGGCAGTATCCTGTCCAATATCCTTCTTGTACTGGGCTGTTGTTTCTTTGTCGGCGGCCTCCGCTATCCGGAACAATCTTTCAACAGCACTGTGGCATCCACCATGTCCTCCTTGATGGCAGTTGCATCCGCCTCCCTCATTATTCCGGCCACCCTCTACGCTGCTATGTCCAAGTCCTCAGAGGACGCCGAAAGTAACGTCCTGATTTTGTCGCACGGCACTGCAATTATTCTGCTCATCATCTATGTGATGTACCTTTACTTCCAACTGAAATCTCACGCCAACCTGTTCGAGGAGAGCAATGGGAGTGATGCTGAGAACGGAGACGTGGAAGAGGAAGCAGAGGAACGGCTCCTGAGCCCCTGGGCTGCGACTGTTGCCCTGATTGTTGTCACTATTCTGGTTGCAATCTGTGCGGACTACTTGGTCGGCAGCATTGACAGCATTGTGCAAAAGACTGGCATGAGCAAGACTTTCATTGGTCTGGTGCTGATCCCGATCGTCGGCAATGCAGCTGAACATGTGACTGCCGTTGTGGTTGCTTACAAGAATAAGATGGACTTGGCTATTGGTGTTGCGATCGGCAGCAGCTTGCAGATTGCCCTTTTCGTCACTCCCTTCTTGGTCATTCTGGGATGGATCATGGATAGTAAGATGTCATTGCACTTCCAGATTTTTGAGACTGTCGCTTTCTTCATCTCTGGTCTGGTCGTCACTCTGTTGATTCAGGACGGCAAGTCGAATTATCTCGAGGGTGTCATGTGCTTGGGAATGTATGTTCTAACCCTTCCCCTATTAACCCCATCCATGTTAAGTCCATATCTAACCCGTTTCCCTAGGTACGTTATTCTTGCTCTTGCATTCTACGTCTATCCCGATGATGTCTCCGATGCCACCGGCATCTTCAGCAGTCTCCTCAACTGAGTTGAAGAGTGATCTTTATCAGGCGATTGACTTTGCTTGTAAATTACTTACGGCAGAGCCTGCTTTGCGTATGTGGACGTTGGCGTCTTTCGCATCATTATTCAGGTAGCGAGCTACTCTAACGTATTTACTCCTGCAAGCTCTCATTTTATGCTCCCACTTTACTAAAAAAAACACTGTTTCATATTTCTCGTTGTTGTAACTATGAGTCAATACCATATCTTCGATTTTGTATCATTTGGTGTCCGCCATCAATCTGGAGTCCAAGTCTCCAAGCCTGATGCCTACTAGTATCATCCTAAACCCACTTTGAGCATATCATGACATCTGTATGTATCGATCTCCAGGGCTGTTGACCGCCAGATCTTTCATTATGTCATTTTAAGTGCTTATCGCACACCTTATCTACTTCGTGGAGAAGGCAAGTAATATCCTCAACCTGGTTGGACACAGCCTTATCCCCAGATACTCTACTACATACCTCGATCTCAAAAGCTCCACATCAACAAGCCGATATCATCGCCTAACAAACCAATCCAGACCAAATCCGACAATAAAGATTCCCCTCGCGCGGGGTTGGGGTCAATTACCTAAAAGGCCGGCGGAAGCAGATAAGTGTCCGTGGGTTCCACAGAAATCACACTGAGATTACACAGTTCGACCTCGGGAGAATTGACACAGAAATTGTGTGGCTCGTACAAGACTCAGTCCAGTACATGACCATGTCGATTACCTCTCTGGCAGCCATACTTGGCCTGGCCCTCGTTCTATACAAATGCATCATTTACCCGGCCTTCTTATCACCGCTGGCAAAAATTCCAAATGCGCACTGGAGTGTTCCTATCTCGCCATTATGGATGCTTTGGAGGCGATTCACGATGAGAAACAATCGGACTATCCAGGCAGAACATGAACGGCTTGGTCCCCTTATTCGACTTGGGCCGTCTGAGCTTTCGATTAATTGTGTTGATGGCGGTATCAAGTCTGTGTATACTGGTGGATTTGAAAAACACGAATGGTATCCTCGTGTTTTCGGCTCCCTAGGGCAAGTCCTCCAATCTCTATAGCCAAGGTTATAGTAGACTAATACTACGACAGAACTGTGAGCATGTTCACAATGGTGGACACAAAGACTCATTCTACGCGCAAGCGCATGCTAAGCAATATTTACTCCAAATCTACCTTGCAAAGCTCTCCTCATTTGCGAGCAGTTTCTCAAGCGATTGTCTTTGATCGTTTGCTCCCTATCATCCAGGAGTCTGTGACTGCAGATAAGCCGCTAGACGTCCATGATCTGAACATGGGTCTTACATTGGACTTCGTATCGGCTTATCTTTTTGGTCTACGCAATGGCACGGATCATCTTCAGAATCATGCATTCCGCAAGCACTGGCTACACTTGTATCTCTGTCGCAAGCCATACGAGTTCTATCACCAGGAAATGCCTTACCTGGCTGGATGGTTGAATTGTATAGGATATCGCATTATCCCGAAATTCTGTGACTCTGCGAATGGAATGCTTGATGCATGGGTCTTGGATCTCTGTGCTAAGGCAGTGGCTTCGTTAGATTCTACTGATCCAGCTATCGAACCTATCGTATACAAGCAATTGAAACAGGGTCTAGACAAGCAATCTGCTAAAGAGAATGACTCGAAACCAGATCTGAAGCAACAGAATATCGATATTGCTTGTGAGATGTATGATCAATTAACAGCAGGGTTCGAGACCAGCGCTGTTGGATTGACGTACTTATTCTGGCAGTTATCTCGACACCCGGAAATTCAAGAACAGCTGCGTCAGGAATTACTTTCTCTTAGCCCGCCTATTTCATTCCCGCAATCAAATGAACTACCCTCACCCAAGTCCATTGATAACTTGCCTCTACTCGATGCTATCGTCACAGAGACATTGAGGCTTCATGCTCCGATCCCAGGAATCCAACCTCGCGTCACGCCCGAACCTTCTTGTTCCCTAGCTGGGTATGATGACATTCCACCGAATATTCGAATCAATGCCCAGGCATACTCTTTGCATCGGAATCCAGATGTCTTCCCCAATCCGGAGTCCTGGGAACCGAAGAGATGGCTGAAACAAGAGAATTCCACGGCAGAACTTGAAGAGCGGCGTCGGTGGTTCTGGGCTTTCGGGAGTGGAGGACGGATGTGTGTGGGAAGTAACCTTGCTTTACAGGGTAAGTTTGTGCTCCGCGTATTTTCATCGGATTTTGTAGGGCTCTGCTAATGAATTAGAAACGAAATTGGCCGTCGCTGCGATCTACTCCAACTTCCGTACTACCATCGTGGATGATACGGATATCGAAGCGATTGATGCGTATACCGTGCATCCGAAGGCCGAGAAACTGATGCTGAAGTTCCATGCCATTCAATAGCCATATAATCTGAACCTTGAACTTGCAAAGAGAGATATTCCATAATGGTACAATGAATTCTTTTAAAGACGATTCACGCAGGTATATACTGTACAGATGAGGATGCGAAAACAAACCAACTCCCATGCAAGAACCTCAGTCCCTCAACTTCGTGATCCAGAGGTTTCCGTGTCTGGTCTGAGGTGTAATGCAAATCCCAAACTCCAAACTTGTTCATATCTAGCCCAGAACACCGTCCTTCTTGCGAGGTCCGACGACCTTGGGGTACATTCTCATCAAGTGGTAGTTGACGGTGTTCTTCTTCTTTTCTTGCGATTTCTGTATAAAATGTAATTAATGACTGTCCATAGCGTGGAATGTATTGGGGATTCGAATCGTACCGGTTGGTCCATGCATTTGCGCAATTGAGTCTCCAAAGCAGCGCAGCCTGCTGCGTTGTATCCTTGCGAAGCCCAGCAGTCTATCAGAATTGTTAGCGCGTCATATTGGGTAATATATGAATCTTAGATAATCTGGCAAGTGGAGTGTCTAGAAATATCAGGAGTACGTACTCAGCATTGAGGACATGACTGTCACACAAGGATTCTGCTCATGTTGGTTCGGACGACGGACACGGAGGTGGTTGATGGAGTTGAGGCGGATGGGGTTCAGACGTGTGCTGACATTTTTGGGAGGCATCTTGACGGACCCAACGGTGACCGGAAGGAAAGAAGCGAGAAAGGGAGGTCGCGAAGAACAGCTGGACAATGGCCGGGTTGATTCGAGATCACAAAATCCCTGGAAGTTTTGGACTCCGCGGAAGTTGATGACATAAGCGGGACTCGGTCACATCAAGAATCTGGAGATGCGACTTGTAAGTTGAACCTGTGCCACTTTGGAGCTTGATTCTCTTTTTCATGGTCTGATTATTGTGCTAGTACTGGCCTTTGGCAAAGTTCAGAATACTCAGGAATGTCTGGGAAACAGATTTGGGGATCTCGAATTAGATCTTCCCTTCATGCATCTAGAGCTACGATAGCTCCCGTCAGACCGATTCCAGCGGAGATTCGATCTAGATACAACTCGTCTTCGAAAGAAACAGCACAAAATGAAGGAAACAGACAGGATAAAAATGAGGATAAGGAGGAAGGGGCTATGGCAAGGCGTTTGTCTCAGATGACAGAGGATGCCCTGCTCGAAGGTGGGAGAGCGGCGCGCCGTAACATCGAGCATGCGGGGTTCTCTGAAGATTTGAAGCGACAATTAGAAGAGCGAGTCAAAGCAGCATCATTTAAAAGTGAGAATGCTGCTGCACACTCGATCCTCGATATGCCTGTACGATTTCCCCATAATTCTGTCATTGTGCATAGCTAATCTTTGATTATCCTACAGGCTAGCGCAGGCCAAGGCACTCGGGAAACAGCGGCAGCTCCTGCATGGACAGGAAGCGAAAGCTTACACGACTCAGCTCTACGAATGCTCGACGATGCTAGTAAACCGATACGCACTCCCTACAAAATACCCAACCCTGTCAACCTCCAGCCTGCCCCGAAACCAAAGCATACGGCTGGTACCAGATTAGCCAGTGCGAAAGAGCGTACTTCGACCTATGCGTTTAGCCAGAGCCCTGGGTTATCGGAGGAGGAGCGAGAATCTATTCGTCAAGAAATGCGTGAGAAGTTATCGCCGGGTGCAATGGCTATGCCGATCTCGATCCAGGGTCTCTCCTCTCTGGCAAATGAACGGATAGAAGATGCGATTGCCCGAGGACAATTTCGGGGAATCCCTCGTGGAAAAGGTATCAATACGGAGACGGATCATAATGCCAATAGTGCATTCATCGATACGACCGAATATTTCATGAACAAGATAATTCAAAAGCAGGAGATTGTTCCCCCCTGGATCGAGAAGCAACAGGAACTGGCTTTGGAATTAAGCCGCTTTCGTTCAAGGATACGTGTCGAGTGGAGAAGACAAGCAGCGCGACTCGTTGCTAGCCAGGGCGGGTCCTTGGAAGAGCAGATGCGACGGGCGAGAGGCTATGCCGCTGCGGAAGTTCGTTTATCGGAAAAAGCCAAGTTGGAAGCAGCACTGCGCAATAGCAGCACTGAAGATGAAAGCGAACCTGTCGTGTCTGAGATCGCAAGCGACGGACGCATTGTTTCGAAGGTAGAGCCTGTTAGTGTGCCAGCTGCGCCCGAACCCCAGGAAGAACTACTCCATCTACCTCCACTGCGAGATCCGCAATATATGGGTATTGAACGCTCATATCATGAGCTCGCTGTGAAGCAGATGAATTCTCTCACACGCTCATATAACCTGCAAGCGCCTCGCTCTGCACAGAAACCGTATATAAATCTTGAGCGCGAATTGAACTCTTGCTTTGCAGATGTGGCGCCTGGATTAGCAGAAGAAATACGACGTCGGGCAACAGAGCGTGCTCGACCGCGGACTTCAGTTGTTGGTCCCTCGGCCAGTGTCTTTGGGTCACTTGGACCTGGTCCATCATCGGTTCGGGTGTATGAAGAGGACAAGACCAAGTCGTACGGGATGAAAGAAATGTGGAGGGATCTTTTTTCTAAGAAAGGCCAGTAGGATTTGTGATGAGCTGCCACTCGAAGTTTACCCAGATGTAAGTTACCTGGAGAATGCTATCAATATCTGAGGCTCTGCTTGATCACCGTCATTATGTATAACACTTGGACATACCAATCGAGACTGAAATGTAACTAGTATAGAAGAGATTTGTCTTAAATTGAACGAATCAGACCTGAAAACTTGAACAAAAGCCTTGGGGATTCCAAATAACTGAATTGCCATTTCCTGTCACTATAAAATATACAAAAGGAATCGGAATGCGTTTGAACTATAACAACTTGAAACTATAGGGGTCATGCCACACAGCAGGACGACCCACTGACATATCACAACTTCAACCCTGCACACTCCAGAAATCGACCAAATCACGAGTGCCAAAGAGTGTATACCAAACCCTGAAACGTATATCCTTCATCAATTCAGGACCCAAGATCTGTCCTACTCTAGAGGCACCAATCACGACTGGTATGCAACATCGGGCACTTGAATAACTCCCACTAGGGCCACTGTTACAGTTTGAGGAGGAAGGACGGGTACGATCTCAATGGCATTGATCCTCTCCCTGGACTCAAAAGCTTTTTTGTATCGATAAAATATGACAGCGCATCCGAGAACGCAAGTTACGTTCATCCAGTATACCATTTCCACAAGAGCTCGATATGCGAAGTTGATCGGGAAGTTTCCGACATAGAGAGCCGCCGCAGGCGAGGCAAAGAACAAGAGAATCGACCCGATAACCATAAGAGGCACTGCTCTCATGAAATACCAGCGCCCAAATAAAAGAGCTGCTTGACGATGAGACCTGATATTAAGAGGAATTTGAGGTATCGGTTTGGGCGTTCTCAGGTTTGAAGGCATGAGATCGTTCAACGACTCGCAGAAATTGTCCCATGAGAGGAAACGATAAAGTGTGAACCACGCAAACATGGCGAGCAAGAGCAAAAATGCCGCCCAAATTTGAGCATACCAGATGTTCCAGCTTCTGTACATGCTGTCCAACCCGGTCTCCGGATAGCCGATCGAACAAGTACAGGTTCCTTGGTCCGACATGGGTGCGTTTGAGAGATCTCGTTTGAGTGGAATGATGAATTGATGCCAGGGGATCTTGGGCCAGTTTCCTTTAGGCCAGCCTGCTTGACCGAGGTCTGAATCTCCAAAGGGTAATCGAGAGATAAGTTCGACGTTATCGACCCAGATTTCGTTTATGGCGTTTCCTTGTTCGTAGAAGTTGGGGGACTTGACACCGGCAATAGCAGAGACGTTATGTCCCATTATATGAAGTTAATGATGTTTGAAAGAGTATTCGATGCTGAGCTGATAGATTTAAAGAAGAGAAACTTGAACATGGTGAGAGTTGATTGTATGGGGAAGAAAATCCCTCTTGAGGAAAGAGCGACCGTGTTCTTGCTTAATAGTACTCCACATCTTCGATCTCAATTAAACAGTATACTCAACTCTTCATCTCTTCAACTCGACTTTTTTTTTGTCGTTGCTGAACTCATATACTCCACCTCTCTATACGTACTCTAAAATGTATAGATGTTCATGCCAAGAGTGGAGACAAGCTGATCACCTTCAATCACTTCATCACCTATTTACTACCACTGATTGGTTCCCGCCGAGTGACAACCATGCATCACGGCGCGTATCGGCGGCCATTAACAGGCTCTGAACGGTCAGTTTGTCTCATGCAGTCTGATCCCCCATTTAGCACCTCGTCACACTAGAGGACCTGGATTTTATACGATGATTCCCCCTCTCTTGGGAACAAAATGTGCTCCCTGTTCTCTCCAGATTCGACATCCCGGCATGTCGATCAGGCAAGCGTGATTGTACATAAATTTCAGCGCTTTTTCTCCCCCCTCGCCTCCTGATCATAGGAACTGGCGATGATTTCTCCGGGCATCTCCTTTTTTCTTCCTGCTCTTTTCATCCTAATCCTGCAGATTAATCCAGTTTCTGGAGTAGCGGTAGCCCATCTCAACCCGAGAAGTGCAGGACCGCGCCCGCCTCTTGATTCATCTTTACTGGCAATTCAAATTGGAAGCATCGCGGCCTCATACGTGGTATTTGTTGCAGTTGTCTTAGCTCTTGTCCTGTTTGTGGGACGCCGACTGCGTCGTACTGTCCAGTCATCGAACTACTCTCTGCAGATGCAGATGCTGAACCCAGCAAAGCATCCCGAATCTCTCGATCCTAGCCCTATCACTCCTATCACCCACAGTCTCCCAAGCCCAAGCCGATCCAGCGTATTCACTTCTTGGGGTAGCATTCCTAAAGGGGTTCGACCTTCACACGCATCTATGAACGGCAGTATGGTTACCGTGGATGAATCAGTGGTTGCATCCGATCGGCAGAAGGCCGAGGATGAGATGGAGCGACTGTATGCGGCAGTCATGCAACACGATGCACAAAAGGCGGCTGGTATCAATGTTGCCTCTGTGAGAAGCTCAGATTCGCACAGTCAGTCCCCAGATAGCCAATACACCAATCCTTTCACCGATCGGGCTGCTTCACAGGTTTCTCTTGGAGGACTAGCTGCTCCTCCTGTTCCGCCTAAGAGCCCACGACATACCAACCGCCTGTCTAAACTGTTTAGCTCCAAAGCAGCCACCCCTTCCAATCCCGATGCTGGAAGACTCAAATCTCCCAGGTTTCCCATTCGAAAATTGGGCATCTCATCTCCTTTGCCTTCGCCGAACGTGAATGCGACTCAGACATATGGTCAAGATCAGCCTCCCATGTCGCCACGCCTCTATACCCCTGGACCACCTCCTAGTGCGCCTCGTGTGGGACCGCCACTCGCGCAGGCTATGTCTCCTCGTCGTGCTCGCCCACCTGCCCCTCTTACCTTGTCCACTACTCCCTCATCTTCCTCGCCCATTCAACCAAAGTCATCATCGTTGCCATTCCGCGAGGCATATCCTCAGCAAAGTGCACCAGCGACAAAGACTACCTTCCTGGAGCGACCTGTCAAAAAGAATGGGCCCATCACAGGCATGCCAACCCCTTACACTCCGTACATGCCCTTCACTCCGGTAACTCCATTTACTCCTGGAAGAACCGTGACTAGACGTCAACGCAAGCGTGAAGAGCGGACTAATGGTCTCCGGGTCTTGGCGGAGGATGACTTGGTCAAAGACGATAATGACATGTGGGGTTGAGTTTCTGGAATTCTCTCATCACTGTCTTCGGTGTAAATGGACAAGGTTTATGATTTAAACGTTTTCGGAGGCGAAATCTTTATATACACTGGCTGTATTTTTCTATTCTACCAACTTGAAAGTCAACTACCATCTAGTACTATCTATTTTATTTGTATTCTCTATTTCTTCCAATGCTGTGTTCCCTTGATAATCGCATCTGCATACTGCGCTCTACTTCCTGCTCTCTCGAGTTCCAATAAAGCTTGGATAGTACATCCGCGTGGAGAGGAAATACTCTCTCGAAGAACAGCAGGGTGAATGCCCGCCTCCAACGCAGCTGACAATCCTCTTATACCATGCAGAACCATTTCCATCGCATCGGGCCGCTTGATCCCCTCCGCTACACATCCATCAAGAATGCCTTCCACGGGAATAGTCAGAGCTGCCAACGCTGCTCCGACAAGCACAGAGCCGGCATCCATCTGACTCTCAGGCAGATACTTAATCCAACCGACTTGATTGAACATCCATTCCACAATCTCCTTCATTTCAGCAGATAGCGGCGTCTGCGGTATCCGAATAATACTCATAGATTGACGAAACTGCGCCCCCATATTCGGAATAACCTGCACGACAACCGGCAAATCATCCCCAGTTTTCCCAGTCTCGGATGTGCTTTGAATAATTTGAACAAGGTTCTCTGGTGGCTGTCCCGCCAAGAGACTAATCACCAACTTCTCCGCCAATGCCTCTCGCACACCCCGCATACTTAGCACATCGTCCGCCATAAATGGTTTGAATCCAAGCACGAGGACATCGGCTTCGTTCATGGATTCGATGATCTTGTCCGAGACAACCTTCACATGTGGTTTATGTTCCTCACGGAGAGATGATTGGAGTCGCTCGGCTGAGCCTGCGCTCTTGGTGCATGCGATGAAGCGGGCAATTGGACGTGATTCTGTGGTTTCAGAGCTGGTAAACGCTGCCTCGAGGATTCCGGTAAGGATTGCTCCTCCCATGTTTCCTATTCATGGCAACTTGTTAGAAGAGGTCAATCGATTCAGTGCTCACTGGGAGGTTTCTTACCACATCCAATGAATGCGACGGTTTTTCCTGGAGTTGCCATCTTGATAAATACTTTCGATGTCAAATATTGTTGAACTAGAGAATTGAGAAATTATGAGATTCAGAATGAGATGCGCGATGGTGGGGATTCCCAAGCTATAGGCTTGTTGTATCGGGGCGGGCATCCGACTCTTCGGTAAGTATAGCCGGCTACCTAGCTTCTGCAGATCCCTTGCGCCTATATCCGCATATCACTAGCCAAGAGGCATGAAACAAGTTCATATAGATGAGCAGTAAGTTGCATTCGGAATTTCATACTAGGAGTCCTCGAAACCATTCCAAGCTGAGAGACGGGCTTGTTAAATGAATGGTCGTAGATGGGTGATCTACCAGTGAGTTGTCGGAGGAGAGAGGATATAGGCCGGTATTTAGTACATGGCAAGAATTAAAATGATTTGGCCATCATGAGTTGACACTAATAACTATACGAGAGATCAAATCTCCAATATTCGAAGGTAAAGGACCATGGCCTTATCTCATCCCTCTCCCTACTCTTGAAGTACTACTGAGTACTTCAAGTTGGAGGCATAGTACCCATAGTGGCAGCCCATAAAAAATCAAGCCCTTCACAATCTGACTCTGTAATATGAACGCCGGTATTTCCATAAATATGACCATTATTTCCTCCGGCCAAGTGAGTAAAGGAATTGCGCGATCGCTTTGAGGCCGGTGTTTCTGGATGGGAGATGTCCTGTGATTGAGATCCCAAGCGCTTACTGCTATTATAAAGCCGAACCCTTGTATCCCAGAGTCTCTGCATATGAAGAAGAAAACCCTGCGCGCGTTTTGCACTTTCCCACGAGGAACCGAATTCCTCCAATGCTCGAAAACAGATATTGAGATTGCTCAATGTAGCTTGATCATCTTGGACACTGTTATGGATAGCCTTTGCGAAGATGAGCATCAGAGCCGCTGAGCAGGTAATCGTAACGGCTTGGACGTTTATTCGTTGGAAGGTGTAGTATTTCTCGTATATTCGGAGAAGCTGTGCGATGGATGTGGCGGATTCGATACACATCAGTCTTGCATGGGCGTGGCCCGGGCCTTGTTGGGGTTGTGGTTGGATTGAACTTTTTGACATCCAAGGACGATGGGCATGGATTATGGCTTGGTGGTAGTGCATACTATATAATTTGTTAGATCATACTTTACAAAGGATGGGAGATATTTTCATACTGAAGAAGTAGTACATGAGGTAGAGGAGGAATCTTGTAGTCGTCGATGGTAAATTTGAGGGGGACTGGTAGGTTCTCTTTCCAATAAAGAAGCTTGTCTGTTACCTCTACATTCAGTCTTTGGAGCTCTTCTTTGGAAGTCCGAGACGATCCATATCTGGAAACCTAGTGTTAGCGACGATCAGGGCACGACGACGTCATCAGGGATATCTTACAGAACATGACTGAGAGGTGTCATTATCTCGGAAAGTATGACTCTATGTAGGCTCAATAAAGAAGCAAACAGGGGGATCGATAGACCTGCAGGGAATGAAGTAGCATAAGGTAAGCCGTAAGGACACCACCGCTGAGCTTCGATCCGCTTAGCGTTAAGACCGGGCTTTTGAACAGTAACATCTTCCAGATTGGTTCGGAATGGGCGGCCAAGAAGATATCCCCAATGACTATAATGGGTAGAATGTTTCAGCGATTGTCAATGAAGATGAACTTGGTGCCAACATACTGGTCCAAAGTATAGGCTCCCCAGAATACCATGCTCCGCAGGTCTGCTTCTGCTTGACTGATTGATCCATTCGCGACGTAAGGTGTCATATCCAGATGCAACCCTAGATCGAATGCAAGACGCATTGCCATGCCTGTCCCAGGTCAGTATAAGTATAGTAAGAATTTTCGACCAGGGCGAAATACCGCTATAGAGCCAGCCCCTGGCATCCCGGCGGCAACCAATATCATGCCCACTAAGAACAACCATTGCCTGCACGGTTGCCACGGTAGGAGAATCAAGCTCGATCTCAAGGATTGTCTTCGCTCGATCGGCGAAAAAGTCTGAAAGGGATTTAGGGTATGTGATGAAAGTGGGATGGTATCGAGCCTCAAAAGCAGCGCCAAGACAACACCTAGATGCGAGAGTTAATATCGCCCGGAATATATTCGAATATCTAAACTCACATTGCACTTGTCAGGGCCTCTGAATAGTAAGGCGTGTCTTCTATGTGCTCTTGCCATTGCTGCTTCGCCACCTCATACATGTTTCGATCCACAACATCAACGGATGGCCCGTGCCATGTGAAAAAGAGATTCGTCAGATGTTCCTCCATATCTCGGGGTACTTCCTGATCAATTCCCATACGAATGAGATAATCTCTTCCATCCTTTCTCACAGTTCGGTGAATGGTCATATTATCAGGCGTGGGCATCCGTAGCAGGTTGAAGTGGGACGTGGGTCCATAGTACCTAAACTGCCCGTCTGAGCCAATTTGGAGACTTCCCATACGATCGGATAACTTATGGACAAGATCTTCCAAGCCATCATTATGCTGGAGCTCCGGCTTAGAAAGATCGATGGGCTTTTCATTCATGTTTGTTCGAGCAGTGATTTCCGGTGAGACATGTTGGACATGGCCAGGACTATCGTTGACTTCAACGGGCAGATTCGTGGGGATCACTCCCTGATTCTCAGGTATGCTTGTATAATCAATGAAATCATGTGAAAGAACTGTCTCTTCAATGGTATCTTGTGTGAGTAGTTCACCAGAGGGTACGGGAGCTGAAGAGAGACTATCAGAAGGAGAATCTTCACCCTCCACGAGCAGAAAAGGTTCAGTCAGCATATTCGTAACAGAATCCAGGTTTTTGATTTCTGTATATTCCAGATCGAGGGCTTCACTTGGAAAAATGTTTCTCATGGGGTCTTGTTGGCTTTGACTAGATGGTCTTCTGTCTCTTGTGGCAATATCCTCCAAGGCCCTCTGGATCTCGTGAAGCTGTAGATTTTGCAGAGTATCTTTTAAAGCCGCTTCATCGGCACCAAACATGGGCGGAGGTGCGAGGTCATTATCACTTATAAATTGGTAAAGGTTATCGATTCGATTGACAAGTAAATCGACGACCAATTTGAGAGATATTCTACCGATGAATCAGTAAAGTGCTTAGGTGAAGAATTTCGATAGATGCATATACTTTCTCTTGTCAGTGCCAATCTGATAATTGCACGGCCTCATTTTATGAAGACAATTGGAGCAAGAGGGACGAACTCCATCACACTGTTCTAGTCAGTCTCATTTCTTTTCCTGCTTGGTATGGAAACCGGTTTCCGACCTTCACCTTGCCCTCTCGACAGGTGTCGCAGGCAGTAGTAACATATTTCCTCTTGTTTGGGCCTTTCGGTGGCCCCACCATAGCGATGAATTATTTATAATATGCAGAAGGTAATATCAATGAAAGAGAGAGAGGAGCAGACTATGCTGTCGGATGCCCAGGTGATCGTCATAGGATTTGAAGCGTGGTGGATGACCCCACGGGGATAACCGCTTAAGCGAGCAACCGTTCAACAGGTTAAGAAGTCAGCGTATAGCGGCAAATTCCACTGATGATTATCCCACGAAAATATGAACTTTATGTTTCAGGAATGGAATACAAGGTTATCCGAGAATAACGAAACAAGAGAATTTCGCTGGCAGAGAGCCGTATAGTGAGATTCCATAGTACTATGCTGTGACTTTTCGAGTTTCAACTTTGCATAGCTAGAGGGGGTGTAGTCGGTATGCTAAATATCAACATTGAACTGACAACATTGGATTAGAGCTGGGAACTTGAAAGAAAACTACTATGTCATTTATATCATGAAACGTGATATTTTCAAGTTTCGAAGGTTCTAAGGCCCCTTTTTAATGATCAATGTCACAACGATTTTTTGAAGTTGGTAATCATTTATATACTAATTACTAGTTATCCATCACTCCGTCCATTCTGCCCTTATAATATTCACCTTCTCTCCCTCGCATTTCGTAACAACTGAGCACAATGTACTTCCGCCTTGAAAGCAAAGATTTTCAGGTAAGAATGAGTTTCCAACCCTAAAGCAGAAACAATACCAACCTCACACCGCATTAGACACTCTATCATGGCAATAAGTTCGTAACTGCAATTGAAATCGAGCAGCTTTGTCCCGACCGTGGAGTCTATCAAATCAATATTGAAGCAGTTGATAATCTTCCGTAAACACTTATTGTCAAACAACAAAAGGAAGGATGGGAGGAAGAATTTCGACAGGAAGTACAAGCCTACCAAAAGTTGGAGATCCTCCAAGGCAAAGTGAATCCATACTTCTTTGGTGAAGGGATCTTCAATAGGCTTCCGGCGATCATACTTTCAAAGGTCGAAAGGGGTGACCTTATATGCCATTGCTCGCAACAGGGAGCTCTTTATCGAAGAGGAAACATTGAAAGTGCATCTTGAAACAGCATTCAACAAGCTATCCATATGTGGAGCCGTCTATTGGGACCAAAAATTGGACAACTTCTTGTTTTGCAATGATGAGAATTGCGACGGCGGCAAAGTCATGGTTATTGACCTCGAACAAGCCAAATTTGAAGATGAAGAATTTGGAAGGCAGAAGCTGGAAATTTATAGTGGGAACTTGGAAGAAGAAGAACTTGAAGGTGGAGGGTGGAAATATGAAAACCTTTCAGGTAAATAGGTTAAGTGAAGTCAAACTTGATATGTCACTGCTAGGATCTAGGGAGGGCTGATTAAGAATGAGGCTCGATCCATATATTGAGCCGCTCCAAAGGTTTAGCCATATTTAACCTTTTCAGCATAAAAGAAATATTTCTTTTTTTTTACTTTAATTAAACCAGTGTACTTAGAGATTTATTCATTAAGTTGTTTTTACCTCTAGGATATTTAGTCTATTAATCTTTCCTCTCCTATTCATATCTATAAGAGTCTAATGTGGTTTATTATCGCGTGACGCGTCAAATGTTTGCCCAGGTTTTCTCCCAGTGGCCAAGGTGAACATTTTTCGAATACTTTATTTCAATAAATACGGTAGTTGATTAAAAACCCAAACGAATACTACCTATGGTACCGAGGTAATATCGAAGAATATCATCTTACTACCCGTGGACACCTGGTCAGTATTCCACACGGTATTTGACTCCAAATACCGTATCTAAACATGCAGGTGAGTATATATCTCTTAATCGTGCTATCTCTTAAGTTCGATATTCCTAGGTTTGGTTGTTGCTTACATGTATCGAACTATATAACAGCTTGGCAGTCTGCGGTCCTGGAGGTTAGGGCCAGACCGTACCATTAAGAGCCTGAGGTCTACTCCGTAGTGAAATAACGGACCAAGGGTGGTTTAAAAGGTCGGATAGGCAGTGATAACAAGGACCGAACATGAGACCGAACACTGAAACATGAGAATTCAGATAAAGTGTGTATGAAAACAAAGAAGGAAACAAAATTTTTCGAAATGAGCTAAACCTGATAATAAGGGACTTGGGATTCAGGTGGTATATTCCCGAGGCATCATTTCTTCGGCAGAGTAAGTCCATCCCTTTGACGAAGAAGGAGGTAGGACTAAAATATGCTCAATAGAAGCAACTGTTGAGCATTCGAACTCGATAATCAAGACTTATAAAAACCGACCTTGGGATTTTATCCAGATATCTTAAACGAAGTAGAATTTGAATAAACCTATTGCAAACTAAACTAGCACTTTAAAAATAGGCTTCAGGTTTATATCTTCTAAGGTTGTTTACCCCGAAATCTGGGCTTAACATGGAGGATATCGACTGAGGTGCAAAATGGATATTCATTAAAGCTATCAAGAAACTAGCTGATTACATGCTGCTTCGGCATGCTACTGCTCAAGAAAATCGCTTTGAAATGCTTTTGAACAGGAATGGCTCCCTTCTAGTAACTTCCCGTGGCATCGGCAGCCCGTGTTCTAAGGTAATGAGCAGCGTCAATACGATTCGGCTTGCTCACTAGATAGTCCAGGGCAGTACGGCCGTCGACATCAGTGTCATTGATATCCACAAATTCAAGAAGGCGGCCTAGTATGCCAGCCGTGAGGGGCTGTTTCCAGGTAGACATGCAAAGCCTATGGAGAACATTGCGTCCCTTATTGTCGCATAAGTGTGCATCAGCCCCATTCGCCAGGAGGGTCAAAATCGGGCCCATTATCTGTTCTAGAGTGCCAGCAGGGGATGTAAAAGGCTGTAACATATCCCCAACAGCTGTTGCGCCTCGATGATTTCGGACATTCAAGGTATCGAGAGATGGCAGGGCATCTAGAAGCTTTTGAATAGCTCGAGAAAGAACCTCATGTCCCATAAGGTTCAGGCGGGCCGCATAGTGGAAAACTGTAGAGCCGTGATGGTCTCGTGTGTTGATCGTGTCTGGCTTTGCGTCAAGCAGAATTCTCATAGTGCTCGTCATACGTGAGATAATCTCATCCAAATTATCCTTTTCTTCACGATTGTCCCTGATACAAGTAAAAGCCCAGTGGAGTGGAAGTCGGCCATCATCATCAGCTTTAGAAGCCATAAATTCTAGCCCAACATCACCGCGGTGATCTATAAGCGCTTGTATGCCGTCTAAATTCCAGAACAAGGATGCAATATGCAGCGGTGTCACATTTTGCCCAAGTTCAATGCCTGTGTTCTGGCTAGACCAAGTCTGAGGAGTGTGAACATCACTTTCCTTAGTAATAAGACGCGAGACCATTCCGTAGCTGGCGTAAGGAATCGCCTGGCCTAGAACTGTAAACTCCCTTCTTAACACATCGTCTGATTTTCCTCGCAGACCATCGTCGTGATTTCTCTCAAAGGTATTAGACTCAGCGATTGAGCAACCATTGTCAAGTAGTCAATGGATAAAAGTCTCAAGACGCTCTCGATTCTTACTTGCTTTCTTTCTAGCAATAGCAGGAGCCTCTTCAACATCAGCATCTAAGATAAGATCACCTGCTATTCCCAGCGCCTCAGCAGCGTATAATAAAGGCGTCCAGCCCATGCCAGTGGGATCTCGATCGTGTAACGAACCCAGTGGTGGCTCATGGTTTATCAACCATTCCACCATGTCCTGTTCCCCGGCAGAGCAAGTTCGATGAATCAGAGAGAGCCCACAGCGGTTGGTATATGTTTGTAGTGGCTCGGTCATCGATGGGTCTGAAATGTAGATACTAATCAAAGCACGTAGCACATCGAAGCTACGGCAGCCCAAAGCAACACTGAAAGGATCTTGACGCTCTGAATCGTAGCTTTGCAAAAAGAGACGTGAGTTCGGGCTATTATTATATGAATACAAAGCTGTCACGTCATTGCGCTGGATGATTGAGGTAAGCAAAGATCCATAGGGAGCTTCGTATAAAGATGAACCATCTATATCACAGAAGATCGGTTTTTCAAAGTCCGGCTGAGGGTGGTGAAATTTTGTATATGCCATTGCGTGTAAGCATAAAGTAGAGGGTGCGGATACATATGATAGGAAGAAAGAGGAAGTTCATAGACAGCAGAAGAGGGGTAAAGGGAGATAGGGAAGAGGAGAGAAAAAAAGGAAGACAGGCGGGGCGGACATTCTTTTATACGTAATCTATTGTATCGTTGGCTAGCTCCTTCTGTAAAGCGAGTTTTTTAAGTACTTGGCAAATGATTAACGTCCTGTAGCACAGCACAGCACTGAGCATAGTTACTATCACACAATATATAATATTACAAATTGTATTGATGTATCGATCACAGTCTAATTCACTGTCCAACATATACTGTCAATTCAACCTTGGAAAAGGCGGTAGCTGACGAATCTTTTGACAGTAGTCAACTTTTTAAGCTTCTCTCCCCTACATCTTGGTACACGACTTTTATGTATAAGACGATGTCGAGCCTCGGATATTTACAGTGTTACCCGCACTGTCCCAGTTCACAGTAAATGTGTTGCTAGTGGGACTGTAGCCGGTATTACCCCTGGGAGGTATCACATTCCACCCAGGTCCATCCTCGGGCACCATCCCGCCAACTTGATGCCAAATGAGTCCTAATCTGGAGTTTAAGAGGATTCCTTCTCTAGCAAGCCAAATACCCTAGTGGTATAAAATTAGCTCTTGCATCCTCTGTACAACCAAGAATGATACTTACAAAATCATTGAGCGCTTGGGCATACACGACTGGGAGTTGGTGGTTCTTTGCATATTGGAGATCTGCCGTGGAGTCGATACCAATTGCCCAACGTCTACCGGGTACGCAACTCAGTGCTTGAGCTCGCGCATTATAGTTCTGTATGCTCCCTGAATTGGCATTTCCCCTATAAGACGACGAGAATCGGAATTCGGCTCGTGGAGCTTGGGCCCTTATTTGGTGGAGTGTCTGACTATGAGTCTATGATACACTCCTATCGCTGAAATTCTTGGGAAAACACCTCTAGCCTCAGTTGTGTTACTTTGGAAAGTATTACCGTCGCGTGGAATATGGATGTGGATGGCGACCCAACGGTCGGTCTGGATGGTATCTTCTGAATCACCATATGTAGAGAGATTCTCTGGAGTTGGTGCCACGCCAGGGGTCGGCCCGATCCAAAATGCCAGTTCAAGAATGACTTCCGGGACACCATCTCGCAAAGTATCTGTCGAGACCCAACGTCCGTAGTGGAAGGTTAGATCTCCCTATAAGAAATGAATCGTTATATTCAGATTTACACAAGTTGGGGATAGGCCGCAAAAGAAGAATGCGATGACTTACACTATTGATCCCATTCAAAACGGTGAGGATTGTGGGTCGAAGCCTATTGGCAGATCGTGCATTATCGCTAATGCCATCTAGCATACGCTTGCTTATAGATGAAGATAAGGGCAATTCATATAGAATATCGTTTGCAACAGCCAGACTTTCTATGCCAGCTTGAGACTCAGCAATATCGCATAGCATCTGTGAAACCATCGTGTTGGCTGGATAGACCGGTGTGCCAGTCCAGGGGTCTCCATATCCGTACGTTAAGTCTCTCATAATTGTAAGATTGGCCGCCTCAGCTGCATAACCAGCAGCAGACATGTCATCGGTCCAGATCTTTGTCAATGCTGGATCCGGAGATGAGGAGGTAAGCCAAGTAACGACATATCCCACGAGCATAGTAAATAGCAAATATTGGTCATTAGTACTCTTCGAGGTAGACAATGATGCTCGCTCGTACAGATCTCGCCTGCCAAAAGTGGCAACGTATTCATTATCTGAGGCTGAACAGGTGGGATTTGCAAGCCATTTCTTCAAATAAAAGTCGAACTTATATACGATTCCAGTAAGCTCATCGCTTGAACTTTGTGTATTCACGACTTTGGCCGTACCGTTGCAACAATAAGCCTCATTGCCATACACACAGCCAGCCGTCTTCGCATCCGGGTTCGTAAGAGGCACAGAAGTGGTTGAGATCGAGAAAGATTCCTCCACGATGCGAATGGCGCCGGATGGACAAGCGTCGCTGCAATAAATAGAGCTGGTACCTTGCAATTCACGACCAGTCCAGGCACAGTTAGTGAAGGCATCAGGGATCGAGGTTTTGCAGCAATAGTTGTAGTTCTTAGAACCGCTGCACTTCTTCCGTCCACCCCAGCCTTGGCGTGAGCCAACGACAAATTTATCGTAGCCAGAAGGACATGTATCATCAGACTCACAAGCGGAGATCCACGCACACTCCGACCAAGGCTCTATAGAATCGACGATAGTGCAACATGCCGACTGATACCCTGAACGACAGCCGGCAGTGTTCGTACCGACTTCAGCCTCACCACTGTCACAGCCTCCCTTACACTTTCCACCATTAAAGCCACGCCATTGGCAGGTAGGCAGTGTGCTCAACGTCGGACAGCACAGCGTCTGCGTCTGTTTGCTTCCTGTCACACACTCGGCTGAGTCCAGCATAAGCTGCTTCTTGTTATCTTCCCGGGTTATCTCCGAGAAACCACTCGGGCAGGTTTCGCCACAATTAATGAAACGACAGTAATTGTCTTGCCTGTATTCGGTGGTCGTTTCGACTGTGTCAACGACCAGACCTGTAGACGCTGTATCAGAGCTATTGAGATTGACCGTGTTCCTAAGCGTAGCGGCAAGTCCATTAGAGTAGCTATGCATATCGTCATCCTTATCGATTGACCATACCATCACGCCCCTAATGCAGACAAATTTAGCATAATCAGCCTTCAGCTTCCAAGTCTCCTCGTCGTCGTAAGAGACCCACTGATCGCCATCCCAGGTAACTGTCTTTACCGCAGCATCTTTGTATAGAGTAGAGGTGAGGTTCTGGTCGCTGATCAAAGCCTCAATCTTGCTGTTAAACAAGATTCCTACAGATTGGCTACAGTTGCCCATGGTACCGGCGGAGAGATATTGACAGCCTGGCTCTGAGCATGAGGAGCTTTAAAGGGTGTAACTACGGCCGTAGAAGGCCATGCCAAGAGTCACCTTGGACGATATGATGTTGACTCCCCATAGCAGATCAAGGGCCGATTTAATATCGGTCAAGTTTGTGTGAGCGTCCAAATAGGGTCCAGTCCATACGTCAGTTATATCCTATATACCATATAGGTTATAGCTCATAACGTTAAACCAATCCACCGAAGGCTCAATAGCAGTGAGATCAAAGTTTTGCAAATACCAGTAGCTAGTTGGCAATGTGATGGATAGACTGTATTTGTAATCAGACAAAGCCTTCTTCAAGCTAGCCAGGAAGGTAGGATAGTTCTTAAAGTCTTCCGCGCGACTGTTACGGTCACTGGCAACGGGATACTCCCAGTCAATATCCACTCCTGTGAAACCATAGGTGCTTATGAAGTTGATCAAAGACTTAAAAAAGGTAGTTTGTGTACTGGTATCCGCAGCAGCAAGATCAGAGAAGGTAGTAGCTGTCGGCTAGTCGCTGTCTGAGAAGTCCCAGCCACCGATTGACAACCATAGTTCTTGATCCGGATCACGTAACTAGAGGGCTGCTAGCCCTGCATAGAGTTCCTCATCGCTACTTTCAGCAGGGATAACTTTAAAGGTATCTGGATCGATACTGCCGAAAGCAAAGTAGATATGGGAGTAGACTCCCTGGGGAACAGAGTATGGTGCCATGCCATCGCAGCTCCGAGTTGCAGCGAGTACCCAATCACCCGGGTGATTGATTAGGTACTAGCGTCACACGAAGGGGCTGTGACAGCTTTGTTTCCACAGAATTCCTCAGTCCTGCCACAGAAACCATACTGGCTACAGCAGACATCGAGGGGACAAATAGTTGCATTCACATATTCTGAGGCCCAGCCTCCTGGGTTGCACTCGGCTTTGGCGTCACAGTTGTTGATACACACATCGGCACCACAGTAATCGGGCCCCATACCACAGACTCCATATTCACCACAGCAACCGATAGCACATGGTACTATTGCGCTGCAAGTGATATCTGCAATAACAGAGGGGAGAAGTCCTATGTAGAGGAGCAGCGTAAAAGGCACGCCTAGGAACATAGTGCTTGGTGGATGCGCTTATGCGCCTTATGAGCAAGTATATTATCAACAAGCACAATAAGTGGAAGCTGAATAGAGTTCAGGAATAGGGAGGGAAGCAAATTTCAGCAAAAGAAATAAAAATTAAAGGAAACAAAGAAACTGATATGCCAATATAGACGCTATAGGGGTACATATGCGGTCTTTAGAGCAGTACTAGCTAACCTCCAAATTATGCATTAATACATACTATATTATAGGGGATTATGAACTACCAGAACTAGCCTAGCATATAGTACATACTATATTCGGCTAAATATTAACACGCAAATCAACTCTGTATAACAGACCGGACCAAAAAAGCGGCATTTCTTTCATGACCTTATGAATTTAGCGGAAAGGCGGTTCCGGTAAACACCTTGGTCTTGGCCAATGCTTGTTACATATCTCGCCCCGGGCCGGCTCGGCCGGCGAACGTGTACGGCGGCGATTAGCGGCCACCCTCGCGACAAAATTCAATTTCAACTTTTTAAACCGGCAGAATTTAGATTACTAGTATTATAATGGTAAGATTAAATTTCATTGGAAATTTCTAAGGTTATATGGATGTAGTATAAGATCTTTGAAAATTATTGCTTCCGCCTAAATTACTGCCCAATATGTGGGATTGAATGACTGAGAAATTCTGAATTTTAGGATATAGCCCTCTTTTACAACTTAGGTTGTAGTAGTTTTTCAAGTTTCCTCACCGCCTAAAATAACACCCAACCCACCAGTTAGCTTTATCTAAAGGCAAACGTATAGAGCATAGAGCCAAGGCTTCCAAGGTTATTTACTAACTACAACACCCTATCAAGGCCTAAACCATATATTTTAGATACTTCAAGTTTAAGTTCAAGTTTTCAGTAACAGCTTAATTAGGGCTTATATTAATTAACACTATAGTAGTAAGAAAGAGATATATATTCTATAGTTATTTACCACCTTTCTAGATAGGAAATAGAGGCTAATTCTAAAAGTAGTAGTAAACAAGATCTTTGTTACTGGGATTTAGGTTGACTGTATACAATTTCTCAGACCGGAGGAGGGTAGGTAGTACCCGCCATACTACACGAGGGTAACTTGAATCCGAGATAATCTCTCTAAGTCACTATCAACTTGAAAATCTCGAGATAACTTCTTGCCATCATCCACTAATTCACATACGATTTTTGAATGATAATGACATTCCTAAATCCGCCTACAGTACTCCCGAATCCCGATATGATCTTATGTCCGCCTATCTCCGTCATGTCGCTTTTAACATCCACATAGGTATGGAAAAGTGAGAGGTATTATAAAGGGCTCTTGGATGGTCGTGCCCACTGATATCATTGTTAGCAGTGAAAAAGTATCATTGTGCTTGCTGAAAAGTCTCATATTATTCCGATAATCGCATCTGAACAATCAACCATGCCTGCTCAACTCAAGTTCAACAAGTTGGCCGGGTCTCGAATCCTCATTCTCGGTGGGACATCTGGCATTGGCTTTTCTGTCGCCGAGGGAGCACTAGAGTACGGCGCTTCAGTTGTTATCGCCTCATCAAATTCTGAAAAGGTTGAGAAAGCGGTATCCCGTCTCCGCGAGGCCTACCCTGAACTTTCATCCTCTGTCTCCGGTCAAGCATGCGACTTGTATGACATTCCGACCATGGAACCGAATATCACCTCACTCCTTGAATTCGCAACCAAGGACGACAAGAAAATCGACCACATAGTCAACACAGCTGGTGGTCCCGGTGCACTTCCGCCTCTATCTGAATTCACCCCAGAGCAAGCCGCAGCTGGAAGTCCACGACTCGCAGGTGTTTTGATGCTGGCGAAGCATGCACCTCAATACATGGAAGATGGACCACAAGCTAGCATCACGCTCACTACTGGATCTCTGTTGCACAAACCATCACCAGCATTCGCTACTGCGATCGGAGCAATTGGAGCGATAGATGCAACGGCGCGGACGCTTGCAATGTCGCTGGCACCATTGAGAATTAACGTGGTGGCACCCGGTGCTATAGATACTGAGCTTTTGCAGTCTATGGGGTATGGAGATGAGGCAGTCAGGAATGCTACATACCAGCTTTTTAAGGATTCGACAGTGTTGGGCACTGTGGGCCGCCCGGAGGATACAGCCGAGTCATACCTGTATCTTATGAAGGACCGATTCATTACTGGACAGACGATCTTGACTGATGGTGGAAGACTACTGAAGTAGTGGTCCGTGTTTGACGGCAAATTTTTGCCAGACCATGAACTCATTCTCGATGAGAAAGTTCTACTGTCGGAAGCCTTTGAATGTTTCATCTGAGTTGTTTGTGTACCATATAAGGAATTATCATTCATCTCAATTCAAAGCGGTCTATTCTTGCGCTATCTTCTCAAATTCCTCATTCACGATTAGAGTAAAGTTCGGAATCCTTGATCCAAACTGGTATCAAGCTTCAAGAAGTCGGCCAAACGGCCCAAGTGATCTATACCCCAGAAACCTTCCATGCTACCTTCGGTATTGACACATTCAAACCACGGCAACCCAAAGGCTCCATTGTCAAAGGCTCGCTGTGTACCGCTGAGCAAGACCTCGCTTGCATCCGAGTTCTCCAACTAACAAAGACTTAGCATAAATCACCAATCTGTGTTGGTTTCACACATACCTTGTTCTTGATACGTTCCGCGGTCTCTTGGCCCAGTTGACTCTCTATCACGGCCATAAATCTCTCACGAGTAACGATCTTGGTATCTCTCCTCTGCCCAGAAAATTTGGTAGACCTTTTCAGTGATTTCCACCAGTTTCTCTGGGCACTCTTGTCCAATGAGACACAGCGCAGTCTGGATATCACTTGTCGGAGCTGGGAATCCCTCAGGGATAGCATCGGACATTGGAACACCGAATCGGCGAGACCAGTACAGTCTTTCACGGTTAATCCATTGGGCCTTGTCTTTAAATTTTTCTTAGCTCAGTTTCAGAGGTAAACAGGTCCGCTAATGATGGATAAGCTCCAGTTTACTTACTTTTCACAGTGATGGGTGGGCTATTCTGGCATTTTTGAAACAAATCTCGTATTCCTACAGGAATGTAGTCGATTTGACACTTTGAGAAGACGGGGCAGTTCTGTCAATTGATAACATTGATCAGCTAGGGTGTCAAAATTCCTAATTCAATCCTTCACTGACCTTCAAAATATGGAATGCGATATAACTGAAAGGGCTGACAAGGTCAAAGAACAGTGTGATGCGTGGAGTTGCCATGATGATGAATTTTGAGTTGTTTTTGATTGCTATACAAATTCAGCATACCAGGCTCTTCTTATAATTCTTTCTTTTATTTTTTGATTATGCATCATTGTGAAGGATTCAAGTTCCCAACAATTGACAATGACTCAAATGCTGGTTTCTCAATATCTCGGGGATCGGAGAGATTTAAGTTGTTGAGTCGCTTCCCGTGGATTCAGGAGATCCACCAACAATTCCAGGGGCAATCCCGGATTCCCAGTACTAGAGATGCCGCGTTACTATGAAAACCACCTAGGCAACACTTTAAGTTACCCACATACATAGAAAATTTCAAGGTCATATTAACGTATCAATTCAAGTTCATAATAATGATCATTATTAGTAGGTGGTTACTAGCTTCAAAGTTCCCGAGATCATGCAGCCAACCCATACTAATATGTTCAATGCTTCCTTCATAAGTTCATAACATTCTTGAAACTTTTAAACATGCATTTGAAGAGAGACCAGACAAATGAAGCGTCTGTATTTATCCCAACACCCAGATTATGCCATTTGAAATTTACTCATGGATCTTAATTTCTTCCCTGATAGGAAAAAGACCCAAGGCACGGGCAACAATCCAAGTGCTATAAACCCAAGCAGGCTCGACGCCCAGCCGACACCGAGATTCGTATACACTAGCAAAGCGTTAATATAAATGCTTTCCCAAAATTCAAAACTGACTTACTTTGGATTGTAAACAGTGGAAAGGCAGCTGCGAGTACATATCTGGCCAGACTATTCGCACTGAAAGCACTAGCCACAGTCATCCCATGATAGGTGTCAACAATATACTGTGACGTAGTAACGAAGACACACAGATTTCCCCAAGCAAATACCATAATGGCGACGGTAGGACTGGCCCACGAAATGCTAGCTTTGGCTGTCCAGGCAAACCAAAACAACCCAACTGGTAACCCAATACTCCCGATTAGAGCTGGGTAGAGACGGAATTCTGGAGGCATAGGTTGACCTTTCAACTGTGCTGCTTTTTTCTGATAGATGAAGACGTCGCATGCCAATACTGTGACAACACCGAGCAGACACCCAACCACTATAGCCAGAAAAACGAGGCCGGAATCCTCTAGACCGAATCCATATAGCTCTGAGAACACGAGAGGGATGGCCGCAAAGAATGAAAACAGAGTAGCGAATTCACATGCAATATATAAGCAGGTGAAAGCCACAATGGGCTCTGTGAAAAGCATTTGGACCGGGCGGAGAAGCGCGACCGTTGCGAAGAGCTGGATCTTGGATGAAAGTGGTTGAGATGGGAGTGGTTCAATACCTAGTTCTTTGCTGCGCTGACGTTTGATCATGGGGTGAAAGGTCTCTCGAGATCCTAGCATGGTGATCATAGTAAAGATGAGGAAGAACAATAGAGTCCATTGTGTCCAGGGCCAACTTTTTCGGTTCACAACAAAACTCCCAATAACAGGTCTGCAATAACGTTAGTAAACATAATGAGGGGCAATGTTGGGAGCATAGTGGAAGTCTGACCCTAAACCTGGCCCTAAAAAGGGCATCAAGATGAATATGGTCGTTGGGATCGCTCGGTGTTCTTGCTTGAAAGTTTCATTGATTGTACCAGCGGAGATTGCCAGTGATGGCGCAAGACAAAATCCAGCTAGGAATCGGAGAATGCAAATTCCTGGGAATGATTTGCAAAATCCAATTCCCAAAGTAAAGAGACCTCCGACTATAGTCGTGCCGACAAATACGGGCAAGCGTCCAACTGTCTCAGAGAGAGGACCTCCAACCACTGGACCGAGGCCTAGAGCAAGGACATACAGAGATAGAGGCAGAATGGCAACGGTACTGCTGACATTGAACTGCTCCATGAAATCAGTATGGGCTGGTGTAAGGATCGAAACTCCCATCGAGCTATGGATGCTGTTAGTTTATTCCATATGTCCATATTCAGCTGTATTTGATTTTATCAGCTTCAGTTTCACTCACGTAGTGAATGCGAGAGCTCCAATCATCACGACCTGTTGGATCTTCACTCTTGTTGGCCAGTTGTACGGATTACTAGGATCTTCGTCCCAGTTCCATTCATCGTGCTTCGATACATCTTGTTTCTCTGCTAGACCTCCCTCCAGATCGGGGGTTTCACAGCTGAAAGACTCCTTGTCGAGTTCGGGCTCATCATCACGTTCTGACATCTTGTATGTTGTGTCCCATATATCGTCTGGGTTTAGATGAATTCGGATGATTCAACCTTTAGTTTTCTCAGACTCTCTTGTTGTACACGATCGGGATCAAACCTCCACCTGAATTGGCGTTCTCACCTATTGATCTCAAAGTACCCAGAATACCGTGCTACGAGCCTTAACTTGAATGACTTAAGGTTGGAAGCTCGTGCGCCTGACTGTGAACATTGTGTATGGAATACTAACTCGTGCTACGACATCTGTACGACAAGTGATCATGTTGACTATTAATATGATTTTCCCCCCTTGCTGAGAAATCGAAAAAGCAATTCAGATCCCGAGGTCATAAACTTGAAAGCCGAAGGGCGAGCTGGCTTGCATAACATGCATCTTGGTTTGAACTTTGAGAGGTGTCAGATTCCATGGTATCGATACTTTTTCAGTCAGCCACTAGATGTCAGAATATTTGATTATTCAACAAACTTCCGCTGAGATTCCGATTGGATCCACATCTACCACGACACCGAGGAATGGAATATTCGATTATTAAACAACAATTTGTTGAGATCAGGGTTCACCAAGTCAACAATTGTCAATGAGAAAGAAATATTCTATATTAAAAAGGAAGAACCCGTGGTAAAGAAAAGCTGGCTGCATAATCGAAAAAGAAAAAAAAATTAGGATGACCGGGAACATCCTTGTACTCGGCGATCTTCAGCAGGGATAAGCTGCGGCTGAACTGACTCGTGTACCCCCAAGATGCAGGAATTGGGTAGATCTAAGGTAGATCTAAAGCACCTTGGTGGACCTTAAAACTCAAGTTCTTCAGTTGACAGGCAAACAATTTTTCATCAATATCTCATCCAAAGTTGCCAGATCCATTCTTGTGACCGCCTTAGGCACGAAGTTGATGGGATTGAGCCATGTTAAATAATTTCCTCCGTTGGCAGGTATGATAATACTGTCAAAAGAAATCAATCGGTCATTCAACATGGGAACAGATCCAAAATCATTTTCAAGGTGCTCTGCATGCATAATGTGGAATATCTATTCCAAATCATGCATCTCTTGAAGAATCGTACTTCAGAAACCAACCTTTTACATGTAATTGGTCCAAAAAACGATTGCATTTCTCCCATCTTGATCGCATCATTCAAACCAGCTTTCTGGGTTTTCGACCCCTCACTTGAATATCCACTCATGCTTCACCGCGGCGCGAATCAGCCCTCTCTGGCCATGACCTAGGAAGTGATCATCAAATGTGCCCAATGTGTTATCGTGTGCGTACATAGTACAGAGTACTTTGCGACAGCCATTTGGCCAGGTGCGGGTATTCTCCAATCAGTCGATAACTAGCGATGTTTGCTTTTGTAGTTCACCGCTTCATGCAGCGCACAGGAGTACATCACCTTATCACCTTGTCACTTTGGAACCCTGAAGATTTGATTGGTTCTCAGCACAGATCAGATCAAGCACATAGCTCTAGGAGTGGGCAGGCAGATGACCCATGTCATTAAGTGCTCTGTATGGTTCATATTCGCAGTACCAATATTTTCTGTCCGCCAAGTTGGAAATGTTTGTATGGAAGTGGACCCAGTTCAAACTGTATCGAGCGCTCTCAGTACGGCCTCTTCTTTGCATTCTCAGATGGGATTTTGTAAAGAATTCAAGTTGTAACGTCAACTTCGTCCGTGTCTGCAGTGAAAGTAAGACATTCGACTTCTTAAACTCAATTTCCAGATCGAGTACTTCGTGACACATAAGTTGCATACCACTCGATATTCATTCACGAAGCCCCGGTGCCTCGGATTTTATTTAGTCCTGGTTGTGAGTTGATCATACCAAATGAGCACGCCAAACCGCCGAAGCTTGCTGTGGGGCGCTCGATTGCACTTGAAGTCTGTAGATGTGCCAGTGATTGTCTGATAGCAATACTAGTAGCGGTGAAATTCACACCTGGGCATTTAAGTTGATGTTTTGCTCTGAAGGGGGTTCGTGCATCCTGATTCTTGGGCAATCTCTTCGCCCCACAGAAATCATATGTTTTTGACACCGTTGAGAACTTGAACTTGAACGGGATATCATTGCTTCAGAATTCAAATGACTGGCGTAGACCCACTGAGAATGAGCGGTATGTGCGGCCTCGTATCGCCGCTCTGATTCAAGTTGTGGCTAAATGGGTTCCAAGGTTCTCGCGAACTCTGCAAGCACCTAGCACATATTTCATGGGCTATTCTGGTGCTGAAGATCACACAGAATGACCATAGTTTCAAACTGGCTACCACTCAGGTATTGGATTCATCTGCGCGGTCTGCTGTATAGTACTGTGCAGCCCAGAGGACACTTTCTTCTTCCTTCCAAATTAATTGCTTTTTTGTCTCAATTGATATTTTGTCGTGATGGCCGTACGCAAATGCTCGTTCCTGCCATCTGTGGGATGGGTAGTTTCCTATATTATCGAATAATCAAGAATTAAGTACTCTTCCCAGGCTTCCTGTTTGAAATTGTATTTGTTAGCAATACCGTGAACAGGAGTTGGGAATCCACTGGAAGTTATGATAAAAGGTCCTTTATATTGGCGATCTGGCAAAGCATCAATAGTACTATGCCGTGACATCTGGATGTTTAATCCATTGGTATACTGCCCATTGTGGAATGAAGACCCTACCTGGGTACTCTGGGTCAAACTCCTCGATACCACGATAGTGGGCTGGCTGTTAGTACTCACCCTGCATCATGTAGATAGACACCCCTCTCACTTCCCTTCTGCTGGGTGGAGTGTTTTGGGGAAGGAGAAGAAAGAAATAAACACATGTGATAGGTAAAAGCGATATATGCTGCAGATCAGCTGATAGACCACACTGGTCCCGACACTTTCAAGTTCCTCTATTCTCTGTAAGCCGTCGTCGGCATCCTCCAAAATTGGCGGGGAATTGGTAAATTCTTCCATGGAGACCAGTGGGTGAAATTTCAGTGGATAAATGCTGTTGGAAGTTGGAACCACCTCCCTAACCCCTTATGGTTGATTGATCGCAGTAGATTTTCGACACAAGTCTTCTTTATAAATATAATTTGATCCAAATATCTCAAAATTGCACCAAATCAATTTAGTTAAAAGCGAGAGTCATAATAATGTGTCTGGTCCGCAAATGGTCCTTATAGATGCATTCCTGCCTCAGGTTTCCGACATCGGCAGATCAGCGGTCCATATCCGCTTTAGAATGCATATGCTGCAAGCGTCGTTGTCAAGAGACCAATACTCCCTTTAACTGGGTATTTATCTTTCTCTCTTCAATAAACATTTGCCTCTTGCACAGACCCTTCAAAGTCATCTGCCAGCTGAACGTCTACACATTTGTGGGCGGATATTGATTTCTATTGCACCGCCTACGCTGATCACTCCCCCGCTCCCCACTCTAAACGCCGTGGCAGTCGTCACCATCGGCGAATTCCATTCGGTCTCATCGGACCGTACTCGTTTAAACTGGAGACCATTTCGACGCCTTGCGCCCGACCGGCCTTAGCGTGAGGCACACAGGCACATCTCGCGTATGCAGAGAAGGAGAGGGGAAGTTCTAGGCTTCTAAGACTGCCCTGGTGGACCCGCTATCACTGTATGTTTCACTTATCTTGGCGGCCTGCGCGGCCAGTGGCGGCTTTGTTGACGGAGATAACAGAAGATCTAAATTTATGACTCTGCCACTTTTCTTCTCTAACTTTCAATTTCAGCTTTTTCCAAAACTCTCAACTGTGAAGTCCTTTCTTACTGAAATTGAATATGCCACTCACTATTCTCTCCGGCTCGAACCTCCGCGAACTACTACACTCCCTCTCCCGCGACGAGATCCGTACTCTCCAACTAAACCTCTCCGAGGCGCTTCGGGAGTATTCGACGGGTGCCCAAGATAAGGGCTGTTCGGCTACATACCAACCTCAGCGAACTGCGATCACTCGTCAAAATGGCTGCACAACCTTGTTCATGCCTGCCACCACAGGCCAAACCCTGGGGATCAAGATGATCTCACTTCAGGATGGCGGGGTAGCGGGGTGTCAAGTTGAGAAGAGCGGGTATGACGGTAACGAGAGTGATTCTGGGTCACGACGACGAGCCTCAAACCGAAACTCGGTTGCCTCACTCTCTTCGGAGATGAGTGACCTCTCAGTGGGGTCTTCCCAGGAGGACGGCGGCTCCGTGAGCCCCACGGTCACAACTGGAAGTGGGGACAACAGCAGCACGGATAGCTCGACACTCCTCTCCGGGTGTGTCAATCAACAGCCCGTCACTGCCAACTTTTCTAAGACTCTTGGCGCTTGGCCTGGGGCGGGGACTCGGGATACTTCTCCGCGGGGCAGTGTCACGCTTCTCGATGGGGAAAGTCTCCCGTTTGCCTTGATTAACGCCCATGAGCTTACGGCGTTCCGCACAGCATTAGCGTCATTGATGATCTTCAATAAGCGAAAGAAGGTACGCACGCTCTTGGTGTTTGGTGCTGGCACGCAAGCATATTGGCATATTCGACTAGCAATGACACTGCGTGGCGATGAGATCCGTCGCGTATACATTGTCAATCGATCTTTTGATCGTGCCGCAAAACTTCTCAGAGATATCTACCTACCTGAGAATTCCGACTGGAGAGGCGATGTGAAGTTCTCCGCGGTTAGTAGTGACTTTGGTGATTTCAATCGCATCTTAAAAGAACATGTTCGAAAAGCAGATGCGATTTTCTGCTGTACACCATCTTCCACACCTCTCTTCCCAGCAGAGTTCCTCACATCCCGCGAGGGTCGACAGAAGGGCCGTCTCATTGTCGCAGTTGGTTCTTACAAGTCCCACATGACTGAATTACACCCGGATATCCTCCGCGATGAAGTTGACATCCAGCCTCCGCATCGACACTTCCACAAGCATACCCGACGTAGTGGAGTGATTATCGTGGACAGTCTCGATGCTGCTATCAAGGAAGCTGGAGAGATCGTGCAAGCTGGTGTGAAGCCCAATCAATTGGTCGAGCTAGGCGAGCTTCTGATGGTGCGCCATGCTACACTCAATGAGGATGGTCAAAGTGAAGAAAAGAGCCTGGTCGACTGGTTCGAGAAGGGCAACGTTATCTACAAGAGCGTTGGGCTGGGCCTGATGGATCTGGTTACTGGTGGAGATCTGGTACAATTGGCGCGGGCGCGCAACTTGGGCACCACGGTAGAGGACTTCTGAGTTTATGTTTTATGGATTTGGCATTTTCTTTTTTTGTATTAATGGGCATTGATACCCTTGGCATTCTGCTTTTACCTAGTATTAGTTTTAATGAATGTGCTCTGCTGAATCTGATTTCAATGTTAGTAGAATCAACAAGTCCACGCCCTTTGCAGTGAGGCTTTAAATCCATGTATACAACTGCCAGTTCCAGGCTCTCAATTACTTTTGAAATTCAAAAGATAATATTTGAAGATGGACCTACTAGAGCTGACGAGTATCAAGCCGAGGAAGACTGCGGGGATTTCCCCGCGTTAAGTCGGTGATTCTCGGTTGAAGTTGTACTACTTGCAAGTCTATAAAGTAAACTTATCAATCAACTCAACCTTGAACCCCAAATCCGCCAGTGATTCAAAGATGACAGCTCAAATCCTCACAAATGTAACTCGTCGAAAAACAGGCACAATAGCCTACCTCACGATCTCCCGCCCAAACAAACTAAACGCCCTAAACACACCTCTCCTCGAACAAATACCCAAAACCTTACAATCCCTGACATCCCAAAATAATGATCTCCTTGGCATAGTCCTCACTGGCGCAGGCGATAAGGCTTTCGTTGGTGGAGCAGATATAGCTGAGATGGCAGCACTGGAATCACCTTCTTCTGCTCGAACATTCATCTCGAAGGTTCATGGAGCGTGCAATAGTCTGCGACAGTGTCCTGTACCAGTTATTGGGAGGGTGAATGGGTATGCGCTTGGTGCGGGTTTGGAGTTGGCTGCGTCTTGTGATTTCAGGGTTGCGGGATTGAATGCTGTTTTTGGGATGCCTGAGGTATGTTCATTACTTCTATTGCGTTTGCCCAGGTGATGAATATGGAGAGGCTCAGCTCGGTTTGAAGTGTGCCATATCAATCATTTAAACTCCTTTTTGGTGCATGTTGCTAATGTAAACAGGTCAAGATAGGAATTCCCAGTGTTGTGGAGGCAGCTCTTCTCCCTGGATTGATCGGTTGGGGCCGTACGCGACAGCTTCTGATGCTCGGAGAGAATGTTGATGCTCAGGAGGCTTTGAGCTGGGGTCTTATTGAGAAGGTAACCAAGCCTGAAGACTTGGATGAGGCTGTCGAAATCTGGCTGTCACAATTAGAAAAGAATGGACCCCTTGCTGTGAGACGACAGAAGGCTCTCATGCGAACATGGGAGAATGTATCGATGGATGAAGCAATTCGAGCAGGAGTTGCTGCATTCGAGGAAGCTTTTATTGCAGAGAATGGCGAGAGGACTGAGCCTTCAAGAATGATGGAGGCCTTCTTCCAGTCCAAGAAAAGCAAATATTAATATACTAGTTCGCGCATATGCCAGTGACAAATTCAATTTCATACAATATGATTCATATTATCCATTATGTAGTAGAGTATATTGAATTCCTTTTTTCGAGTCTATCCCATCCATGACGCATTCTATGTCATCGAAATGACAATATTGCAATCATCATCACATATGCCAACCCACCAGAGACCAAATTCCGTAATATACAATTCACCATAACAAAACATCACCCCAGCCACTTTCGCGCTTGATCACTCCTTACATCTTCAGGCGCAGCAAGTTGGCGATCATCTCACGACCAGTGATGCGCGAGGTAGCCCACAGAGTGGGGAAATCCAGAGTGCTGGAGAAGGTATCGGCGTAGCCGAAGAAAAGCATGGGAGGGATCCAGCCACGAGCGTACTCGAGGGCGAAGCAGGAAGAGTCCATCTTGTACTGCTTGACCTCACCGCGGACGAGGTGGTGCACGGAGCCAGCGGGGTAGACCTCGGGCTCGAAGGAACCGGGGACGTAGGCCAACTGGGTACCGGAGAGGATGTTGAAGTAATCGTCGGCGGTGTGGCGACCGGTGTGACCCTCGGTACCGATAGCGGTGCCGAAGATGATCAGGTACTCGGTGATACCTAGAGAATGTTAGGGATTTCACAATTGATGAAGACAGTCGCTTGGAGCTTCTGTTCGCTGTATGTGTTTCTGGAATTGGAATTTCACGTACTGGCATGGATGATGTACATCGCGCCCATGGCACCACCGGCGTTGTTGAAAACCCACTCCTCCTCGGTGCTCAGGTAATCGGCTCCAACCTTCTCCTCCAACTCGGCAACAATGTAGTTGACGATAGAACGAGTGTCCTCGCCATGGGTCTTGATAGCGCGCTGGGAGAGATCGTGCAGATGCTCAGGATCGAAGATGTAGAATTGCTCGAGGCGCGCGTTGATGTAGCTGTAGACGGCGCTGAACAGAGCGAGGAAGATGGCCAGGAAGGTCAACTTGCGGATAGAGAAGCAGCAGCAGCCGGAGCCGGAGCCGGAGCCGGACGCCTTCTTGCTGGAGGATTTGGAGGGCATTGTGAGGGATTGAGGGAGAGGCGTAGGAGATGGAAGAAGTTGAAAAGACGAAATTGAATTTATCGATCCCCCTGGCGAACCCCGGAGTTCCACTGTGGGGCCAATTTCACAACGAAAATAAACAACGCAATTGGGCTACGATGGGCGAGAGGAGGTGAAATTGAATCTCTTTTGCATGCAATTGGATACTCATGCAATTTATGAGGGGTTTTATATGATTTTTTTGGTGGCTCTTAAGTATGGAGTAAGGGTCTAGGATCAGTCCGCGGACCCCGAGTCTTGTTCACGCCATCTCGGACCGTGATTGAAATTACTAGAATGGGTCTAGTCAGGTACCTATTATCACTCCAGGGATTGATTCAAATGTTCGATCTCTTAATTATTCCTGGATGAAAACTAGATTCATATTCAAGGTACACCCTAACATTGGTCTTCATCCATTTACTTGATATGTACGGAGGTCCAATCAATGTTTCAGGCTTGCATACTCCTGAGGTCCAAATTGAGTGAGTACGGAGTACAAGATTATCATTTTGACCTGTAACACAGTTATTCATACCTAGGTGGCTTCCAACCTTGGAAGGGTTAGGTCTCGCGTAGTAATTTCTTTTCTTCCCATGCCTTGTCTAGATATACATGTGTTGCCTTCCCTGTAGGTTATGAGCGCACCCCTACAACAGAGAGTAAATAATAAGAACATTCCGAACAATACAAAAACATCGAACTCGTTAACATCGGAGCACATTAATAGCCGACTAGTTCAAGTTGTTAGCTGATACATACTAGGTAGTCATGGAGGTATGGGACCTTTAGACTGACAGCTCTACTTCTTTCCTGAAACTCCAGTTATGTTCGCAGATCATTATCATGAATTTCAATAATATTGACCAATACTACTATGAATACCTAGGTAGTGTTCCTATACCTATGAATATGGTGAATGGAGTAATGCCTTCGCAGGTCAAACCATTCAATGTTGGAACTACTAAGTAGTACCCCGGTAGTAGTAACGAATCAATAATGCCTGTCAGTAAGGTCCAATAGATCATCAGGCTTTTACTCAAGCACTATCAACATAAGATTTGGTATTAGAGCGCCATATTCTTAGGATTGGAATTAGCGGTTATTACTGGTACCTACCTATGGTAGGCACCATTTAATAAGGACTCAGTCACAGTTAAGTGAGAGATATCTACTAGTAATTTCCTTAGTCTTTCGACTGGTTTAATTACCTTTAGTTTCACTTTTACTCTCTCACTTTTACTCTCTCACTTTACTCTTACTTTACTCTTACTCTACTCTTACTTCTCTAAGGTTATTTTGCTATGAAGAAATAATTTGAGAAATATTGTGATAAAATAAATGTCGATCTACATTCATCAGATAAGCTGTGGCTGCAACTTAAATTACAGTATATACCTACCTAGGTAATAGTCTTTTAGTAATTATTCCTGTGGGCCTCATCAATGCAGCAAACATTTGAATCAGGCCATCGGCAATCCAGAGGACTTTTGTTAGGTTACGTGGTCTATAGATCAGACCAATGAGCCTCTATAAATAGCTCTCTCTTCGCGACTTAAAGAACTTCTTCCTTCTCACACTTCCCTACACACATGGTCCCACAGATATTGTTCCCCTTCCTCCGAACAGCTTTATGTACGCTGAGCGTATCCGAAGACTTGAACTTTCGTCTTGCACAAGATGAGCTTCAGCGTCTTGAATTCCTTGCGTCTGAAAGTGAGCGTCATCGACGAGATAGACTTGATCCTCTCCGGCTGTGCCTGCCGCCAATATCCAGGCCCGATGATATGGCAACTGTCGATAACATCAAGCTGAATGCTGACACAGTTGCCATGGTGCGTGACATTCTGTCAAGCCATACTGACTCGGAGCTAAACTGGACCTATCTGTGTACATTTTGGCCAGCGTACTTTCAAGTTCCAGGTCTGGACAATTGGAAGCCGGATGTTGACCTGGACAGCCGGCGGATGGTGCGACCCGAATTAGCAATCGGGTAGTCTATCTTGAGTCGATGGCGATACACCGTGGACGATAGAGATCATTGCTTTAAACCCCCCCCCAATGGCGTGAGCATAAGCCATGCTGGAAGGGGCACGTTAAATATGAGCTATGTATCCAGAACGTGAAAGATGACGGCTAGCACCAGAAGGGCAGACAACCAGGTCATCGCCTTTCTGCTCTTTGGATGAGAGGTGTTTCTGCGCCATTTTGGGATTTGAATATGAAGAATTTTCCTTCGCCAGAAAATGGGAGCGGTGGCTTAGTAGGAAGATCTTGTACTTCGGCTTTATGTATGATCATTCTTCTTTACTACATTCAATGTTATGGAGTCCAGCGGCCATCAATTTGGTTATGACTACGGAAATCTCAGGCTGGAGTATAAGACGTAAATAAGAAGATCCAGTCACTATTAGGAACGTGGACGATGTAGCAAACAACTTCAAGTTCAAGTTACATGTGTCCGATTTTTTTTAATGTGAGCACTAATTTTAGTCTTTGGAATTATATTCGAGCTGCAATTTATAGAACTTTTCTAAGAGACTATGATTGAGCCATACACCAATAGTAGAAGTAAAGGCATCAATTTGAGATGAAGATATCTATATCTAGATACAACCCGCCCAATAAAAATGGTATCTAACATTATTAATATCCACTGGAGGCTAGGCCAGAGCCATCCGGTCAATCTCATCCAGCGTTCCAGCCCGGGTCAGATGAGAGAAGAAAAGAAAACAAAGACTCATTGCGACATCAGGATACATCAGAAATGACAAACCTCCAAAGAACCAATTGTGGAGATTATGGAAATTGCCATCCAAAAGGGAGAAGATAGGACGCTCCAATTGCGTCACAGACCCAACCCGCCCACCAAAACTCCAGTCAAACATAAATTATGAATAGACGGTTAGAACCAGATTATCCCGGCAACCAGGCCGATCACCACTGCCATACAACTCCCTTGTAGCTCCGAGGAATGCCGGCCAGCAGCGTCGGTAGTTAAGTCATATGGTGTGTGGGTTTTGTTCGATGCGGATGATAGCTCCGAGCACTCCTGGTCCGATGGGGGTTCATTCAAATGGGAGATTAGAATGATTGGCGCGTCGGAAGCTTCAGAATCGGAGAGGAAGATGGATTGGAGGTAGGGTGTGCCCCATTTGACAAGGTGTGGGAGTGGGGAGTTCGGCGCCTCATTTGCGAGGTTCCAGAGGTTGATTGTCCTCTGGCAGACCTGCTGCCACACCTCACCGAGCGGGAGCTGCAGTCCTGGGGTCGAGGGAGAGGAGGTAGATAGCAATGCCGAGTCGTTACACGTTTGGAATGCGGTGTCGGGCATTGTGATGTCAAGTGCGGTGGGTGTGGATGTGAGATTGGGTGCGAGAGTAGGATCTGGAGAGACAGCTCCGGCTGAGACGCGAGTGGAGAAGGGGGTGAGGAATTGGTAATCATCGAATTGCTGAATGAAGTACGACCGAAATGCACGAGCGCGCCGACTGAATAAGAATGTTGATTCCGCCGCGGGATGAGAGGCGCGGCTTGTATTATCAGATGCGATTTCGCTTAAGATGGTCGGCGCTCCGTTATTTAGTCGCGCAGACCGTGTGAAACGATTAAGACGCGATCGAGACGGTGCAGCCGGGTTCCATGGTGTGCGAGGATCGCCGAGGTGCGTCTCTGCCGATGGTGGCTCGGCGACGACATCCTTGAGGAGAGGCACTTCTAAGAGACTCAATTTTAGTTTCGAGGGAATCGGAAGACTTCAATGCAGAACCGATGGAACTTACGAGGAGCTCTATGAACAAAATAAGTCAAGTCGGCAAGCTTCAAGTTGTAGATGCTCGGTAACGACGGGACCAGAGTGAGCAAGGAGAACACGATCAAGGCCAGCAGTGGAAGCGCGCCCGGTTTTAGCAACCGGGGACGCATCGTCCACGAGTCACTCCCGGAGATCGCGAAGAATGTTATAAGGGGGGTAACGGGCAAGGTAGTATGAATGCCATAGGAAGGTTGAAAGGGATTCAGGGATTCGGGATTTTCACAAGGGGGAAGATCGTCTGGACCCTCTCGGCAACCGAGTTCCAACAGGGGGCAACAGGAGGTGGACTGTGCAGACCCCTAATCACTATTACTCAACCATTAAAATGAACAACGAAAATAATTACGAAACCCCCATAAGGCTGAATGAATCTAAGAGAGATAAAAAAGATGAAAAATAAAGTAAAAGAGGGGGAAAATTTGATTTAAGGAAGATCTCAGCTGTCAGACTCTTGTGGATCTTGGCACTCATGACGTCGTTGTAGTAACCTGGTAAGTAACATTGACCCTGGTACGGAGTACTACTTATCACTTGGTCCTGGTTCATCACTGGCATCTGCCAGTGATTCATCTTTTTGGATGCACAGCTCAAATCTAGCGCACCCCCGCCAGGATACCTCTTGTTCATACCTTTTAAAAGGATTAGTTCCATCGTCATAGACCTTCCAAGCACTGATACTCAATTTATAGCGCCATCGGTTCAAGATGGAACTCCCACTCGCGTCTTCTAGTCGCACCACCCGACTGCTCTCCGCTTCGGGATAATCCAAGGGAAATGGCGTGGGGAAATCTTCCCTGAGAAGACTCAAGTTCAGCTCGATCTCGTTATTAGGCTTTGACAGCAAGTAACGATTGAGATTGTGATCTTGGGCGACATTTTCCCATTTTCCAAAGTCGACTCTGTTCCACACAACTTGCAGATGCTGCATATTTTTTGGACGGATTCCGATAAGAAACACAGGCAGCAGATCGAAGGCCATGAATTTGAAACGATTCAAGCTATAAAAAGCCAGTCGAGCCGCCTCGTAGATGGCGCGGTTCACAGCCATAATCGCCAAAAGATTCTTGCGTGGATTGTGTTTTCGCAACCAAAATTTATCTGATGAACGTTTAGTTTCATCCTCTTTGTCATCAATTTTGCTGCAAGCCCAAAACTGCTCAATACGGATTTCATCGAAGCAAATCAATATCTTGAGAATAAGTCTGAACACGTCTAATGTACCGCAACTCAAAGTCAGTCTTCAAAAAGTTCAAATGGAAAGGAAACAAAAAATCTGGGGGAAAAGAACTCAAATTAAGGACTCAGAACTTACCATACGGAAGACCAAGATAATCAGATTTATTATTCGAGGAACTTGAAGTCTCGCTTTCCGGGTCCGTGAGATACCGTTGGGTGGACATTCTGCAGGTGGTACGTGATCGTTCTGGGTGTTGGGTTTTCAATACGTGACTGTTCTGGATGTGGGTGTGTCAGTACGGTGATGAAGGTGATGAAGGTCGCATCGAGCTGTCGGCTCGGCGGCGCGCTCTAGTCAAGGTATGTGACATGTTTGCTGTTTGACATTTTCGCGTATAGTTCGGACCAATTCACAGTTTGTACATTCAAGTTTCCTAGGCTCCTATAAGTGCTTACTGCCTTGCCCCCTGGTGCCTGATTGATATGCGGCTCTGTTCAATAGTTTGGATATACTTCTATGCTGCCATACTATTACAAAATAGCCATTTCCCATAATTGTCTACCGTCAAAATTACTTATATCTTATTCTCCAATAGCAATTTTATAGGAAATTATTGGTCTGCAATTTCTATACCAAAAGTTTTTCATTCTCATAGAAAAAGAGCTGTGGGTTCTCCAAGGGAAAATTAATATAAATTTCTTTTTTCTTTTTAGAAAAAAAAGAAAAACTACAATTTTAGCTCCTGGGTATTAACTTCACAAACAGACTTTTTCTCTCCTTTAAAAATTGAATGGAGCAAATGAAAATTTTAAATTCTTTTTCTATAGATCAACATTGAAGGTTCAAATGTTATTTTCAAAATATTATCACATATAATATCATGATTTCACAATTAAACATCAGTAAGAAAAAACTACTCTGAAATATAAGGAACTTCGAATATCTTACATTGAAGTACTACCTAGGCTTAAAAGTTTTCACAAAAATATTTATACCTACTGTCTGAAAAAATTTAATAATATAACCTTGGAAGCATTTACTAGCCTGAGTATACCCAAGCTTCCAAGGTTTTGAACATGTACATCCCTGGATTATAATAACGCGAAATAACTTCAGGCTTGAACCAGATTCATGGATTAAATCAAAATCTCATCAAAAATAATTAATCCAAATATCATGATAGTGTAAAAAACCAGCATTTTCAACCAGTTAACTTCGACTAACAGACCAGTATCGATGATGTGGGCCAAGGCAAAATGCCCATTCATCTCTATATGGTAATTGATTGACCACCTGAGCAATTCCCATGCCCGAGTATAGCTGTTTCTCTTCCTTCGATTTGAAGTCAAATCCTCCGAGGTCGGGCTTCTGAACAACATTCACATTCAAGATTACAACATTGAATGACCGAGTCTGAACTTCGAGTCTCTCTTAGAATTCCCATATTAACTTCAATTCTCGCAACACTGACATTCATGGCCACACTAACCTCCTCTACCTAGTCACCTGGACAGGTACCTACTTAGGTAGGTAGACATTCATGGGTATGACTTGGGACCCTGGAGCCTACAGATCTCGAATTGCCTCAGGCTTTGTTGAATTCACGCAGAGTTTCACCTTCTCCGAAACAGCGCCTGGAAAGCCAATTTCTACCAACTTCAAACAGGCCTGTATATAGTAATAGACAGTATAACTCAGACAGATCAAAACACAGCACTAGAGGTAGTACTTAGAGTGTGAAAGATACACTATTACTGATTTACACTCAGAAATGGGGAGCCTTACGCGTGAGAGTGGCTCTATTTTTCGATGTCACTGTCTTATCATCCTACTATTTCGGTGACCCGGCCTCTCTTCTTTTACCTCATCTAGCTTCGGGTCATTTTACTATTGACCTACCTCATCCAACCCACCACTTTGATAAGCTTGATCAGCTTGATCGAAATGCATGCCTTCGTCATGATTTCCATGGCTCTCATAGCCATATGCACTGCGGAGGGTATCGACAGTGACATGTACCTCTCCGATATGTGTTGGCCCCTGTTCAGCAACATCAGTCGCATTGTGGATCTCCACCTCACAGAAAAGGACCTGATTCCCACACTCGTCAATTCTCCCTTCCCATGTGAGCAAGCTCTATACATCGCCAGAGTGTGCCTATCCAACGGAACCACCGAAATCGACTACCTCGCCGAACAACAATGTTTCTGTGACGGCGGATTCTGGGAAGCCTGCCGCGGCTGCGACAACTGCTACATCGCCCATGGTCTCATTGAACACGGGAAAAATCGGTCCGAAAAAATGGCACTTGACGCCTCAATCCGCACTTCTCTCAGCTCGGCTGAATGTACGCGCACTCCACCAAACAAACCGTTCTCGGATCTTTTTCCTCCGCTTAACTTTTCGAAGATCTTCGGTTATTCTCCTCCTACTCTCACCTCGGATCTTTTTCCAAATCTTACGGAGGTTAGTGATTACTTCACTCCGACTGTTCTCTTGACACCGGGTGCGATTACGGGTAATGCAACCGCGCGCAATACGGGCTTACCGAAGTATGGTGCTGCGCATGAGACTCATACCACGCAGAAAGCGGGAGAATCTAAAAGTGAGGGTGTTTTCCAGGTGCAGGAGACGAGGGGATTTAAATTGATTGTTGTGGTTTTCTTGTGTTTCGTCCTGGTGATCTAGCTTTTCATGGCTATTGTTCTCTATTCCCAAGCTGGGGTTTGTCTGTGATGGGATATTATTCAGGATGGCTTCGCTGGTATCTTTCCCCTTCTATCTTTGTATGAATTCAATTTTTGTATTTTTTGTTATCTCTTTCTAAGTCCACGATTCTTCTTTAAAGTACCAGTATGGCACTCATTTCTGTCTCGGCTCATATTCCGTTAAAAGTACATGTCCAGACCCTGTCTCAACAGTTGAATCCCTATTCGAAGTACCAGCCTTCGCCAAACGACGTGCTTTCTTAATAAGTCGACCAGGATGATAAACTATCAAGACAAGCATAGAAAAGAACATCATGAACGCATCAAAAACATAGATATAAGCCTCACTAGTATTCACAGCCGCAGTTCGACTCGCTCCAAACTGAATCGTGCGAACCAAATTTCGAATCATGATAGCAAAACAAGCAACATATAGAGCCCACATATACTGCGTCCATTTCAAATTAGGGTATAGAAGCAGAAGAGGGGGTGGAGTTTTCAGTGCTTGACGATGAAACTTGGTCGCGATAAAAACAAACAGCGCGAAGATGATCAGTGAGAATATAAGACCCGCCAACACAACCTTCTTGCCGATATTCATTATGTTGGTATCTCCGGTGACCTGGACTCCTGCACCGCCGAGCTGGGTAAAGAAGCATAGGATATCGTTCAGAACGAAGATGACTGTCAGTCGCTTGGTTCGCATGCTGGAGAGATGCTCTGCATCGAAGGAGCGGATGATCCGACCGAGAACCATGTATACAGTTGCTGAGATGAGGGGTGGAGCGCAGAGGATAAGCATTTCTTGTAAAGCCCATGAACTGATTTCTGTACGGGATTGATGAGACCAGGCTCTGCCGTAGTAGCCGAATGTTTCACCTTGAAAGAGATGGATGTTAGTGCTGGAACCTTGGAAGTAGTCTCATATCGAGGGACGATTCATACATATGCCACCTATGATAAGAGGAATGAAGTATGCAGCACGAAATGGAAACATCAGGATGATTTGAACAACTGTAGACACTCCGAAAATCCCCATGAATGCATATCCGGCTGTCGCAGAAGGAGTATATGGGTAAAAGTCGACCCAGGGATCGGACCCGTTGACACCAGGATGAAAGACAATATCCATATTGGGCTGATTCTACTAGTAGATTGAATGCCAGTGGAGAGAGTCTGTGTCTACTAGTACATTTTTACAATGGAAATTGGCAATATTTAAGGTGACTGAAATTCTCATATGTATTAGAGATCTACCTTTGAGTTCCAGATTAGGCAATATTTGGTACGAATACGGGTGGGTATAGCGGAGCAATTGGTGAATTCACTGTGATAAACTCATATCATGGAGTGCATTAGACTGAGAAATAGTGGAGTCTTCAGGGTTGTTTCATGGAACGTATCATTTAGGCAGAAATAATCCTATTGAAGCGATTCTATAGGTAGATGGTTATCATGTACTATTTCAAGAACGGGCGCCTGAGAGATCCTAGATACGGACTGACGTATAACGAGACCAAGCCAAATTCTTGGAATTTAGTACCGAGCAAGGTTAGAATATTTCATAGTGATTTAATTGTTGATTATGGAGATTCTAAGACTTTCCGCAATGGCCATTCAATCCAGGGTCTATGGTCTCCATGCAGCGAACCTTCAACACCAGACAACACATGTGTAGACCACCCTTCCATAAACCACGTCGACTCCATATACTTCAACAAGACCGCCCAATAAGCAAGAATAACCATTTCATGAGAATTCTTCTGCTGTAATCGCAAGATAAATTCCTCTGGTCGACGATACAACCAGCCGATTACAGAATCCATCAGCGCCACGCCATTCTTTCCTCCAGAAACCCTTTCATAAACCTTCCTCGTGATTTCGAAGAGATCTGTGATTGCAGAATTATACATAGATCGTTCATTTCCGTCAATACTCTGCTCTTCAACAAATCTTTGCACGGCCTGTAGATGAACCGTATGTTCATGAAGCTCACTCCGCATCGCGGGTGTAAGTTCATACACCACTTCCTCACCCTGTGGCTCAAGAAGCCCACTGAATACTTTCTCATGATGTGACCCCAAAACAAGTTTCACACCTTGCATGAGAACGATCCACTCAGCTGGACCGGTATCGCTGAAAATAAGGTATTCACCAGCTCGAGGACCCCGTCCAAAGTAAATGAAACATATCAGGACGGCTGATATATAGATCCTTTGACAGTTTTCTGCATTAAGCTGAGAGATGATAGCCCTTACAGATCGGATCCCGAATGTGAAATGGTTATCTGCTTCTTGGATGTATTTGGCTCTGAGAGAAGGTTGCTCATAGCCAAGATGAAGAGCGGAAAGAGCGAGGATGAGATGTAATATGGGTGGAAATTCAATGCCTCATTCTGGCAGATGCTTTTGCCATAGATTGTGTGGATCATGTTCTATCTCTCTCATCGTTGCGAAGGTTGAGATTGTGAAATGGTGGAAGAGTTTTAGGTCGTTGAATGAGATTGTTCCGGATTTTTCTTCAGGAATGTCACATTGTGTTCCGATTGAAATTTTTGATGGGTTCGCTTGTTGGTTTTTTGGCTTGGAAAGCTTGAATGTCTGTTGTAATTCCCCTGTTGAGTAAAGGTATGGTCTGAATCGACGAGGTCGTGGTCGAGCCTCTGAAACATTATCGGATGTTTCTGTTTGGGGTGATTGTGCAGATGACTCGTTGCTTGTAAATGAACACTCAACATCATGATTGATACAATTGACACAAGATGGTCGTTTTTCATCGCACTTGGGATTATCAGTAAAAGAGTGTCGCCGCGGGAAGCAAAGTAGAATACGCCAGATTCCACACATCTTGTAATTAAAAAAAGCGACGTGACCACGTCGACAAGGTGCAGGTTCAGGAAAGAGGACCCCTGAGATAAAGACTCACCTTGATCCTTCGCTTCTTGCATTGAGCACAGCCCAGCCGCGACTTCCGGTGGCTGCGTCTTGGTCTGACTGATTTGGGGCTTGACGAATCCATTGCTCATGTATTAATATCTTCTTGAGAATGGACTATCGTATTCGTTCCCTTTTATTCCCTTCTCGGAGTAGATGGGGATATAGGGCGGGCGGCAAAGTGAGATCCACCTTTTCAGAGCGTTTAAGCTTGTTTCATCCCCGAGAAGCTAAAAATGGAAATCAGAATTAAGATCGACTCGACTAAGTCTGCCACCGCCGGTGAATTAGAAAGAGTTGATGTAGGAGGAAATCATGCCAGTGATACGGGTACGCAGAAATTTCCTAATTCGACTTGGCGGCATAATGCCCCACATCCAGTACCGTGGAGAATGAACATTTGAAGGTCTGCAATATTGATCATCCAAGTTTTTGCAGTGGTTCTGATTTATTTTTGGAATGATATTCAAGTATAGGGGTACCTGCTGAAGGCTACAACTGAGCGATAAATTACTGCAAATTGGAACAATGATAATTGAAGCTAATGACATTCAGTTGGTCGTAAGGCAATCTTCGTAAAGCTAAATCAATACATAAAGCAACTCATTAAGTTGTGGAATATTTTGTGCAAATCATTTACAGACGTGCAGGACGGCTGAAAGGAGCGGCGTAGGCCAGATCAAATCGATCCAGGTTCATAACCTTATCCCAGGCAGCAACGAAATCACGAACAAACTTGGCCTGGCCATCGTGGCTACCGTAAAGCTCAGAGAGAGCACGCAGCTCGGCGTGGTGACCAAAAATGAGATCAACGCGTGTAGCGTTCCACTTCTTGGCACCGGTCTTGCGGTCAACACCCTCAAAGGTCTCGTTGTCAGCGGTAGTAGGCTTCCACTCGGTGTTCATATCGAGCAGGTTGACGAAGAAGTCGTTGGTCAGCTGGCCAGGACGTTGAGTCAAAACACCAGCGTTGGAGCGGTCCCAGTTGTTGTTCAGAACACGCAGACCACCGATAAGGACGGTCAGTTCAGGAGCAGAGAGAGTCAGCAGCTGAGCACGGTCAACGAGCATCTGTTCACTGCGGACACGGCCGGTAGAGCGACCGTAGTTGCGGAATCCATCAGCGAAGGGCTCCAGGAAGCCGAAAGAGTCGACATCGGTCTCCTCTTCAGTAGCATCCATACGACCAGGGGTGAAGGGAACGGGGATACCGGCAGCCTTCTCCAGAGCGGCGGCACCAGCCAAGACAATGAGATCGGCCAGCGACACACGCTTGTTACCGGTCTGAGAGCTGTTGTAGCGGCGCTGGACATCTTCCAGGACGTTCAGAACCTCGCGCAGCTGGGCGGGGTTGTTAACCTGCCAGTTGTTCTGAGGAGCAAGGCGAATGCGAGCACCGTTGGCACCACCACGCTTGTCGCCACTACGGAAAGTGGAAGCTGAGGCCCAGGCGACAGAGATGAACTTGGTGGGCTCAACGCCGGAGTTGAGAATATCACGCTTCAACTCAGCAACATCCTCAACATCGATCAAGGGGTGGTTCACAGCAGGGACAGGGTCCTCCCAGAGGAGAGTCTCCTGGGGAACCTCAGGTCCGAGCCAGCGAACACGAGGGCCCATATCACGGTGAAGCAGCTTGAACCAAGCACGAGAGAAAGCATCGGCCAGCTGGTCAGGGTTAGCAAGGAAGCGACGCGAGATCTTCTCGTACTCAGGGTCAAAGCGCAGAGACAAGTCAGTTGTCAGCATGCGAGGCTTCTGCTTCTTGTTGGCGTCGAAAGCGTGAGGGATGATGTCGTCCGCGTCCTTGGCGGTCCACTGGTTAGCACCAGCAGGAGACTTGGTCAGCTCCCACTCGTACTTGAAGAGGTACTCGAAGAATTGGTTGCTCCACTTGGTGGGAGTCTTGGTCCAGGTGACCTCCAAACCAGAAGTGATGGCATCAGCACCCACTCCAGAGCCGTGCTTGCTAGTCCAGCCAAGACCCTGCTGCTCAAGACCAGCGCCCTCGGGCTCAGCACCAACGTTGTCGGCCGGAGCAGCACCGTGGGTCTTACCGAAAGTGTGACCACCAGCAATAAGAGCGACAGTCTCCTCGTCATTCATAGCCATGCGGCCAAAGGTAATACGGATATCACGAGCGGCAGCAACGGGGTCAGGGTTGCCATCAGGACCCTCAGGGTTGACGTAGATCAGACCCATAACCACAGCAGCCAAGGGGTTCTCAAGATCACGGGTACGGATATCACTCTGCTTCTGCTTCTCCTGGTCATTCTCGGCCTTGTAGCGGACATCATTGGTGAACCAGACAGTCTCGCCACCCCAGTAAACAGATTCATCGGCCTCCCAGACATCAGGACGACCACCAGCAAAGCCAAAGGTCTTCAGACCCATGGACTCCAGAGCAACATTACCAGTGAGCAGTAGCAGATCAGCCCATGAGATCTTGTTGCCATACTTCTGCTTAATGGGCCACAGCAGGCGGCGAGCCTTGTCTGAGACTGACGTTGTCGGGCCAGCTGTTAAGTGGGGCAAATCTCTGTTGACCTTGACCACCACCGCCACGACCATCGAAGACTCGGTAGGTACCGGCACTGTGCCACGCCATGCGAATAAACAGACCACCGTAGTGGCCAAAATCAGCAGGCCACCATTCCTGAGAATCAGTCATCAGGTTGTGGAGGTCCTTCTTCAAGGCATAATAATCAAGGCTCTTGAAAGCCTGAGCGTAGTCGAAGTCACTGCCCATGGGGTTGGTGGCGTCGGTGTGTTGACGGAGGATATTAAGCTTAAGAGCCTCTGGCCACCAGTCACGATTCCTGGTGCCATGGCCAGCAACGTTGGCAGTCTTGTGAACAGGACATTCACCCATGATGTGAATTAATGTAGAATATGAGGAGGGGTAAAGAGGGAAGGAATTACAGAGAAGAAGAAGAAGAGAAGGTAGAAATCAAGGAGGGTACCCCCGCACTTTTTAAGAGACGAATGACGGGAAACGCATTAGAAGCTCCCGATGGTCCTCGGGAAGATGTTTGTCATCTTTTGGTTGGCGGAGAAGTTCTGGGCCAACGATCATTCCTAAGCTAAGAGTTATAATTGGGCCAGAACGCCGGGGATTGTTAATTGCTAAAGCGGGGAGGATTTCTTCATGCGGGGGAGACTTATATGGAACACCACACTGCTTCTACGAATCAGCGGTGAACACCGGTAGCTCTCCAATGGAATCCAAGATGATTAATTCGAACCTGTCGAGGTGCCCAGGTGGTGCCCATGGTGGTACGACGAGTAAGCAACAAGGTCTCGATTCTCATTCCGAATTAGGATTCATTCCGAGGTAATTCCGCTCAAACTCTGTGAGTAGTGCTTGTGAGGTTTATTTTTATAAGGTTAACATATGTGCATAATCAGCTCAATTTGAAGTTGTAAAGTCTTCTTATTTCAACCTCTGGCACTTTTACTATGATCCAACTTGATAATGTCTGATAATGAGAATCAATGAATTTTTCATTTCGGAGCTCTCCGAGGTCCAGTCTCTGGGTCCATGACGTCATCTGTTTTGGAAATTATCAATCTCATCCAAACATTGCAAACATTACAAACATCCAAATCTAGAGCTATTACTCAGCCAGGTACTCTAGCCCCTGGAGGAAATTTCAGTAGAATTATCAATCATATCACTTGTGAATTCTTCTCTATGAACTACTTCACATCTTGAATTTCAACTACTTATGACCAAGAGGAAAGCACACCCTAAACCATGCGGTTAACCCCTACACGAATCGGGCAGTTCTATCCGAGGGATAACCTGCTAGCTTCAGATTGCTGTGGAGACCTTGTCTCAACAAAATATCCCGAGGTTCATTATGAGACTTCAAGTTGAGATCCACATCTTTGAATTAAGCTAATTGACATTGAAATATTTGAGAAGGATTTCATTATTCCTCATGACCCAAGGTGGTAAGAACATTTCAGGTGGAATATGACGTGAGAACTTGAAGAGTACCTTGTTGATACTCCACTTGGTGCAGATGAATTGAAGTTTGAGACGAAAACTATGTAGAACGCCTGATACTATGCAATTATGTTTAAAGCATTACCCAAATTTGCCTGATCCTCGGGCAAGTAATCAGACATATCGACATCCACCCCCAAGGTTCCACCAGACAGCTCCAATTCAGAACTATTCTCCTCTTTTGAAGTCAAAGAAATAGTATCCATATTGCGGTCATAGCCGAAATCACCTGTGCCGGCAAACTGCGAATGGGGAACATCGAGCTTGCTACGGTGCTGCTGATGGGTCTGGTCGGTGGGTACACCCTTGTAAATCAGCTCAGGGGTATCATGAGGCTCCGCGGAAGCAAAGTTGCCCAAATCGAAGAATTCGGGATCTAGACGATACATGAAATTGCTGCATAGATTGAGGGCTCGACGGGCCTAGCCGTCTGTCTGTCCCAGGTGGGATTGCCATCTTAATGCCTTTCTGATTGCTGTACAAATGATCTCGGAATTGGGAACTTCAGGGGAGTGTTCAAATTGACTCGGACTTGAGTCGCTGGGCGTACTTTGACTTGTTTGTGCTCGGGATGACTGGGTCATTGGGATATTGATGAGAAGTATCGTGGTGGCTTGCACGAGGAAGTGGAGAACATTCCACCAAGGAACACACCGAAACCAGAGGCTACTTGGTTGTTCTGGCAAGACAGAGATTAAGGCCAGAGCTGAGCTCAAACAGGTTGCTTCGCTGTATTTCCTGGCGCGAGAAATGGGGCCTGTGAGATCGTCCTCCGTACCCTGTTTTCGAGTGATGCATGGTCTGGTGAGGGTAATGCATTGCGAGGGAAACTCTATAGGCGTCTTGAGTCGAAAGGTTTGGGCCAGAGCCTATCTCTTCGAAGCCTAAGCTATCTGGTAAACCAGAACGCCAGTCGACCATCATTCTATCGTTGTGATCAATACAGCTTTGTAGTTCCTCCCATCCTTGTTGCAAGAAATCAATACTATACACTTTGGTAAATGCATCGTGTGACATGATAATCAAATCAGCAAGACAGAAAAAGTACAACTCTCTCGTAGCTTCCATCGTTCTCAGTGAATTTTGTTGAGCTTGAAGCTTCTCTTGTTGGCGGTCCATTGTCCACGTCATATGGGGTTTATCAGCCGGTCGGTCTTCGGACTCTTTGGAAGCATCTCTCACAAAAGGATCTGTCTCACTTGAGGCAAGAGGTGGAGGCACAGAGAAGACGCTAATCCCTAAGACGGATGTCCGCCCGGTCATTACTGAAAGACGGCTTTCCAGTATGAAAATTGACAACCAAAGCTTGTGTCGAGCTTCAATAGCTTGAGTATCCAACTTTTTATGCGCGACTCGTAAGTGTAGACCCAAAGAGATGCCGGAGCGAGCAGCTGTGCCGATCATCTTCCACGCTCTGGTAAAGGTCAGAATACCATCTCTTTTATTCTAGGCAGAATATAACTCACCTGTTGATGTGCGATGAAGCTAATAGATAGAAAGCCGCAAGCGCTTCGAGCTGCACTTGTTGCAAATCTTCATGATCCTCCACCAGGCTCTCCGATATATTCAGTGTTTGCGCCCGAGAAAAGAATTGGTGACCCTTATATCGCACGTCTTGGCCAGACAGTTGAAATAGCCTCGTCGTAATAGCGAAGATGACGTTTAATAAAGCCAACCACTTCCGACCAGGGTGCTTTGGTTTTCCAAAGTAGAATGAGTTGAATTGATCCATGAATAGATCTTGACGGATGACGGGTAGAGATGGCTGCGCGCTATCCATGAAAAATCTCAGCATTTGCTCTGCTGGTCCCTTTGCTGGTAGCGCGTAAATATTATCTGTCTCTAAGCCTGGGTACTCGGACGACTCCATGCGATAATTCATCGATGCTGTTGAAGCGGACTCTGGGAATTTCTCATTCCTCATTTCATTGTCGTGAACTTCTTGCTCTAGACTGCGCATCCAAGAAACCTCCGACGTTTTACCAAGGTATCCTGTAGCCCTGCTATCTTTGCTTTGGTTAATATCCTCATCAAGAACATCAAAGGTCTCCAAGGATCTCACAGAAGGTGACGATAATTCATAGGTGGAGCTCCTTTCATCTGGCCTGGGTTGAGGACTCCCAGTTGAAGGCTGCCAGTGCTATACACCCAGTCAGCATGAGTAGATATGTGGTCAAGGGCCTTTAAACAAACCAAAACTTGACTAATCTTATTTCCCACAGGAGTGTCAACCTGTTGAGATATCTCCAAAAGCAGTTTCTCGTATGTATCGACCTTCTGCTTCATCCACTCCAATTCGACTTTTTCTCGATCTCTTTTGGGCTCGGAATACACACATGATGCCGTATTTGCCCGGACACACTGGCCACATTTTGGCCTATGTCCATCACATTTGGCTTTACGCGATCGGCATTCATTGCAGGCACGAGCAACTCGACTTGGCTTTTTTAATGGAGACTGGTCTGGCAGACGAGGGATGGCAACGCGACCAAGCATGCCGTGGAAGTTGATACCTGTAGGTGTTGTTTAGGCGGATCAGCTCACGCATTTACAACGACCCGAACTGACTATTCATTACATACCGTTTGGGTTTTGATCTTGGGATCAATAAATTTGTCAGAGCTACTTTCACAAGACTAATGTATAATTTTTTCTTTAGTCCAATTTTTAAGTTCGAAGTTGATCGTGATCGCGTGTAAAGAGTTATGTCAGGAGTCGCCACTTCCCCGCCATGATCCTTAGGGGCCACGACACTGGGCTGTGTTTTGTAGATCTTTGCGCTATAATGATGGCGGGCCGGTTTCTGAATGAGACATCCCTGATGATATGTTGGATAACATCATTTAAATCAGTTCGCAGTCTCAGTAGACAAATATTCCAATCCAGAGATGAACATTTAATCCAACAAAGTACCAATATTTCGTCAAATCATGCAGAATCTCCAATATTGTCATTATACACCCAAGCCCGGATTCATTATTACTAGTCGTCCCAATTATTCCAATATCCACTTAATGACTCTCCTCAGAATTTTCTTCGTGAGCTTTGGTGGTATAGTTGCCAACGAAAAGAGCCGAGATGAATCCAACGCAAGCAAATCCCAGCGCGAGCCGGAAAGCGTCATGCAAAGCATCAAGATAGCAGGCATCTTCTTCCGTGCAAGTTGCTCCCTTCCCCATAGAGGCATGTTGGATTTGCCGGTTAAATATCGCACTCACAACAGAAAGCCCCAGTGTTGACCCCGTCGAACGGAACGCATAATAGGCAGAAGTGGCTGTCGCGTGCTTTTCATGCGGAACTGCGTGTAACAACGCGAGGATTAACATGGTTAAAGCACCTCCCATGCCGAATCCCTTGCAGAGTAGATAGATTTCAGGCAAGATCCAATACGTCCTCGTAGAAATGAGAGCGAATCCAAGAGCGGCGATGACTAGTAATAATGGCATGATATATCTGAACACGCCGTATTTGCCAGTGATCCTGATAATAAGACCAACGATAAATGATCCCACGCCCGCACCGATAGAGTCTGGAAGGAGGCGGAGACCTGTCTCGCTAGTGGAGTATCCGAGCATTTGCAGGTATAGTGGCACGTAAAAGCTGAGCGCGAAGAAGGCCATGGACATGAACCAGGCAGTCAAGCATGTTGCAACAACTGTTCGTCGACGGAAGAGTGACAAGGGTATGATAGGCTCTTTCGCCCATTTGTATTCGATATACAGAAATGCGACCAGGAGTACCAGTCCAAGGGGGATGGCAGTGAGGAAGAGCGGAGTCTCAATTCGCGGGCCCTCATGGTTTAGCCCCAGCATCAACAACACGAGTGACGAAACCAAAGTCACAGAGCCAGCAAAATCAACACGGCTTGACATTTCACCGAGTTTTTTTCCTTTTTCATGGTGACTCGGCACAAATGTTGCAGCACCTAGTGTAGCGATAAGTGAGATTGGAGCAATCCCAATAAACGCCCACCTCCATCCCAGGTGATCATTAACTAAGCCTCCGATCACTGCGCCGAGACCCATCCCACTAGTGTATACCAGCGCACCAATGCCCTGCCAGAGACCCCGTCGATTGAGGGGAATATTATCCGAGCAAATGAATGTCGAGATGGATATACACCCTCCGCCACCAATACCCGTCAGAATCCGAGCAGCAATCAGTGTGACCTGTGAATGGGAGAAACCGCAGGTAAGATTGCCGATAGTGAACATGCTTGTCGCAAAGCAAAAGCTCACGCGTCGCCCAAAAATGTCACTCAGTTTCCCGCTGAGTGGTTGCGTAGCTGTCAAACCAATGAGGTAGCCGGTACCTAGCCATGATACAAGTGCGAGGGAGTTGAATTCATGGGCAATAGTTGCCGAAAGGGTTGAAGTGATGGTGCTGTCTGCTGCAGCGAGGGAAGTGGCGACCCAGGTGGATGCGATCGCAACGATTATAGCAGGCTTGATCGACTTTTCAGGCTCTTCGGGTTCTTCGTAGCTAGGAAGAAGGGGCGATTGTAAATTGATTTCCGGCATGGCCTTGTTATTTCATCGCAGGATGTTCAACAATCACATGTTCCACCCAAAGACCCAGTAGGTTAAATGGTTCTCAGGAGACCGGGCTCGCAGTGGGGCTTTTCAACCTAGTAAGCTTCCCCCAGCAGCCGACAGGGGGTATCCCGAGCAGAATCCATGATCTGCAGAAGGGATGGCGGGAATGATAATTGGGAGACATCGGGGGTCCAGATATGACATATCTCCAGCTCGCCGCCTGGTTTGATTGGACTCGGAAAGTATGTATTGGAAGGATGCTTCAGTTATTTCATCCAATCCGGCATCACTAGCAGATCATGTGGATACTTCGTAGGGGCTTTAATTAGGCAAATCGGAGGTTCCGCATCGAGAGCTGAAGGATGCCAAGTCACTAGTTCATGCAATGTCCCTGTACTGGAGTTCGAATATTCCGCACTCTGTGCTATGTACCTAGTATGGGGTAAAGACTAGAAATATCTTTTCCAAAGTCAATTCCTTTGTGCAGCTTTAGCCTCTGACGATGAATGCCACCGCCTCCAGGGCGTTCACCTCCAGGGCTGGGCAGTCGGGCGCATGATAATATTTACATAAGCAGCCATGAAGAAACGCTGACACTAGACTAACCTCTTTGGACAAGTGGCTTGCATATGTGTGGGTCCAGTGGCTTAAAGTACTGTTCTCCCATTCGTCAGTTTTCGATGGCAAAAAGAGTGAGATTTGATGGAACTGATGACAAGAGATTTAACCCGTTTAGGACTGTATAACTTGACAAAGAGTCATCTCTAGCAGTGATGATGCTCATTTTTCCCAACGTTTGCACCGGAGATAGGCATTAATGGCGTTTTGAAGAATATTTCGGAAATATCTAGAATAACCACAGCCACATCACTTAGGTATAAAAGGATCAATGAGGACGAGAAATTCAAGATGTTACAACTACTATCTTTTTCATCGATCACATCAGTATATCCTTGAATCATATTGCTACTTCGAAGATGACTGACTACCAACTTCAAATTCCTCGCACTGAGGTTATCCTGAAAAAGTCCGAAGACATTCTGGAACAGTATGGCAAGTCACTTTTTGGAAAGACAAGTATGTACCGAACTCCACTATTCAATCAGGCTCAAGGAACATTGCCATTTAACTAACACCTTCACTCATAAAGTTCTGGTAACCGGTGTTTCGAATGAATCAATTGCTGGGGAGCTAGCTCTCCGACTCGCGACCGCCGACCCAAAGCTCCTCATCCTCACGGCTCGTGCTGAGTCAAGAGCAAGTCCGATCATTGCTAAGATCAAAGAGACAAAGCCAGATGTCGCAGTCCGCTTTCTTAATCTTGAGCTCAGCGATCTAAGCTCAATTCACAAGGCTATTGACACCGATCTGGCTGATATCACGAAGATAGATCATGTTGTCTTCACTGCCGGAGTGATGGCTTGTCCATACAGCATCACAAAAGACGGATTCGAGATGCAATTTTGTGTCAACTACCTTGCCAACTTCTTGCTCACCAAGCTTCTGTTGCCTAAGATTCAATCTGCTGGCCCGTCCTCTTCAATCATTGTCGTGGCAAGCTCGGCTGTCAGGCAGGGTATAATCAACTTTGATGACATTGGATATAGCGTATGTTGTGGACGCAGCTGCATAGTCTTTATTAGATCGCTGACACCATATTACAGAACGGAAGTACTTACGACAGTTTCACTGCTTATTGCCAGTCCAACGTTGCAAGAGTCATGTTCGCCAAGAGCCTTGGCGAAAAGTTGAAGGATCAAGGAATTCGAGTGTATAGTATCGATCCTGGCTGTAAGATCATTCTCATCTGCACCTTGCAATCCTAAACTGACTGGTACAGCTGTTACCACTGGACTCCAACAGCACATGGATGAGGATCTCCAAAAGAAGGTTGCGTCGATGTTCAAAGACGGCTGTAAGTTTCAACTTTCTCTCAGCCCCAGATGAATATACACTAATCTTCGGCAGTTATAACGGATGTGGATGGAAGGCCATGGCAGCCCCAGCAGCGTTCCACCCGCTCAGAGGGAGCGTCTACGATGATTACTGGCATGATTGACCCAACTATCTCAGGTAAATTTATTTTCCTCATCAATTTGGTAGGTCTTGTTAGCTAATGACTCATAATTTCCAAAGGTCACAATGGTGCTTATTTGAAACAGAACGCCCTGGCTGATGATGAGCTGCACCGCCATGTTCTTAAGGAAGAGAACTGGACCCGTCTTTGGGAGTTGAGTGAAGAGTTGATTCAAGAATCATTTTCTGTTTGAAATTCATTTGAGCGGTAGCAGATTATTAAAGTATGAATTTTGGTGATTATTCTTGAACTTCCTCTGGGTGTACAAATCCTGTACTACTAGCAGCCTGATCAAATCTCAACGGCTTTTCGCCACGTACCCTCCTCCAATAATTTGTAGTTTTCAAAATCTCCGGACACTCTTTCAAAATCCAGTACCACTTCCTGAATACAGATTCCGAGATCTCATATGCGTTGGGATCCCATGATTCTCCCCATACAATTAATCCAATGCCATCCGAGACACCAATTTGACCATGCAGATCCCCACAAAACTCATCCTCGTCATATCTGTCCATATTTTTCAATAGCATATCGCGAAAGGACGCCATAGGTATAAGGTCAATCCAGGGGTGATGAATGATTTTCTTTTGGGTCGAGCTTGGCTCTAGACTTGGCGGTAAAATCAACTCCATTGGCCCATCAATATTGAACAAAGATGCGATATCCTCTTCAAGTAACTCAATACTCATCCCCATGATCGAAGCATTATTAAGTAACGCTGAAATAACGTTGAGATGTGCGACCGGTGCAAGAAGGTGAATGTAATCGAGTTTCAAGGCTGCTGCAGACGCGACCTTTCTTTCTAGTTGGCAAACCAAATCAAATTTGCTGGTGTTCCATGATTTGATAGCCTCGAAGCTTATTCTTCCATCTTTGTCAATCAGGGATATTTCTTCCGGCGGGGTTGGTGGTGGTGTTTCTAGTTGTAAAACGGGGCTACTAGACGCCACAGGCCCTTCCGGCTTCTGAGCCTCTTGGGCCTCCCCTGTGTAAATAACCCATCGGCTCGGCTGATTCGTTGCGCCTTTGCCGGACTTTAGCGCCCTTCTCTGGCCTATCATATATCACTATGTTAGAGCCTCACTTCGTGTATAGAACTTGAAGATAGCAAACATGGGGTGTGTGCCACTTACGGCTCGCCCGTTGGTTAATGCGGTTCTGTATTCTTCGTCTCTCCGCTGGGTCCATTTCAGCCAGTTGTGAAAGCTGAGTCTCCCCCGATGTATCAATTTTCGATACACGATGAGTCGATAAGGGAGCCATTTTGGTTTGTAAAATTTCAGATGTTGGATGTCAGATGTCAGATCCAGGGACTGATGTCGTATAAATAGGATTTCGGGATTAACCACTAAACGCCGTTCATCTTTGGGGGCTGAGTGGGTCACACCCTGATTGGTCCCTGTAATCGATTAAGAGGCGAGTTGAGGCTTGAAAAAAAGAAGAAAGAAGAAATAGAAAATATTATGATCAAGAATTAATTTTCGACCAGTTGATGATCTACTAGTACACTTCCATGCACATTAAAAATTTCGGGCGCTAAATCGATGTACCCTGCACTTATGGTCAAGATCTGAACATCAAAAACTTGAGCCAAAAGAGCTGGGCTGCACATGTGATCTATCATATTATTTAGTATGGTAGATTGAAAGCTGGGATTTTGATGAAGAAAAATGTGATTTTTGATTTTATTTTTACTTTTATTTTTTATTTTTTAAATCTGTGCTGTACAAAATCATTAGTCAGAAAATGCTTTCAGGATGTGACCTGCACCATTGGCAGTTGATCTACAGATGAAAATGAAGCTCGCGACCATGATGAAGTCTCGATATCGACAGTTTCAACATTGACCTCTTTAAATTCAAGGGGAACAGGTGTATACCCTGACTCTTTGAAAATTTTCCCTTGACACGTCTTCCATACCCATCGAACTCCCAGCAGGATGCAGCACACGACCATGATAGCAGAGATGACAACACCTGCAGAGACACTGATACTAGGAAGATAATGGTGGAATAGCTTCTGCATACCCCAACGTAGCTGATGATCGAGAACGGCCGAGGTTCCAAGTACCACATTATTCTTGTCCAGCGCAACCACACGGAGATAGACGTTCGGTACACTATACGGGATTGCGATAAAAGTCTCGAATCCATCGTTCCTCACCACATCCGCTGTGAGGAAGTTCATGTTCGTCATATCTTTCCCATCCCACGTTTCCAATCTCCATGAATGAACTTCTGTAGCCCCGTTCCAGCTCACAAACAGAGCTTTGGAAACTATCACCGCTTCTGGATTGGTATTGGGTTTTCCAACCCAGCTACCCTTAGCAATGCGATACGAGACTGCCTTGCCAAGCTGAAACCAGTTTGACGGAGCGAAATGAGTATCACATAGCATCTCCCCATCAGCGGAGAACTCGGTAAATGCCGCACTGCTACCCCAAGCAACCATAACATTATCCAGCTCAGACAGAACTTGCATATTCCCCTGAGATGTCGCTCTGACACCCTCGGGATGATTGTATTCTGCGCGAACGGCCACAAATCGGTTTGGAACATCGATGCTAAGTATCAGTCCACGGCTTTGTACCGGATCGTCCATGAACTCTTCCGCCGCGTTGTCGAACAGAGAAATGGTATTGGCATCTTGCCATCGGGCATCATGTTGCCAGCCAAAGTCCGTAGCTCGGCCCTCTGATGTGTCGACGAACTCATTCATCTTTCCTCCTAGTGTCCATATAACATCTCCTGTTTGACTGTCAACGCTCATAATAGAGTGCGTGTGACGCGCAGAAATGAGATAGTTGCCCATGCTGTCTTTATGAATGCTGTTCAGGTGAAAGACGTCAAATGCCTCAGTGGAGGCCCAACCTCGGTTTTTCAGCTCCTCGTATGATGCATTCAAGGGCACATGCTCTGACATTCGCCATTCAAATATCAGATCACCCGTTGCAACATTTATTTCTTGGAAAAGACAATCCGAGATGTACCCATACTCAGGGCCATCGATCTCGCTGAGATCCGTGGGCTGGATATCATATACAATGAACAGGGCAGTTCCATTCTCAGTGATCTGGAAGTCGTGCATATCGCCATCGAAAGCACCAACCGCGCTTATCTCAAAGCGGGGTGTGTACGAAGCATCTAGCTGTGAAATGTGAGACCTTTGATCTATGACACGTGAGACCGAGGAATTATCTTACCATAGTCCAGGCTCCATGGCCATGTCCACCCTGTGAAACACCATGCCAATATGTCAAGTACTGTTTGCCTTGGTATTCCTGCACACGAAAATCTTGAATCTTTTCAGACTGAGGCTTCATCTTCCAAACTAGATTTCCTTGCGCATCGAGAATCATAGCGCCGGGGTCTTTGACGGCGTCACCATGAGGGGCAAGGAAGGTATAATCTTCACTGCATCTCGAATCCCATTTGGCGACTTCTATATCCGGTGACTCGTATTCGAAGGAATAGTATTTGCGCGTTGGGTATAGTCCGCGGAATCCATAGTCGAATGATGAAAGACCAAAGACTCGGAGATGTAGGCGTTGGATATTTGGAACGACGAGGAATCGAAGCGCGAGGATCAGTGTGACGAAGACAAACAACGATGAGGCTATAGCGGTTTTCCCAAAATGCCGCCTGCTGGGCCAGACAGGTCGAGGAAACTGCATCACGTTCCGGTGGTGAATTGTAGGTTGAACATTCTCAGGAGAGATGTTTACGCTTATCAATCTCCTGATGATTTATCCACTTCGAAAAAAAATGCATAGCACTTACACTTCAATGCTAGAAATAACTTGAATCCACTAAGTCTAAAGAGGTAACAAGGTCCGCCATATCCGTCTTGTTACGTCAATCTACCCCAGGCATACTATTGCTGTATCTTATTGGTTCGTTGTTGGCTCACAGGCCTTCAGATTACGACAACAAGACATGTAGCGGAGTGACTGGGTCCATCATATGGAGAAGAGGTACCGAGTTCAAATTAAAACTTGAAAATTCATGCTCATTTGTCTAAATTGGGAACTTAATTGCAATCACCAACATTCTCGGGTCTCATCTCATCTATTAGTAGAGTGAACATGATCATTTCCCGAGCTTTGTATGTTTTAAAGCCCTGTAGAGCGCCTCCCGAATTTGTCAACGCCATTTTCAGCATTGAATACTTAGGCTCTGGAGCACACGAGCACGGTATTCGGAGTAAAGGATTGCCGGGGTCGTTCTACCTGTAAAATTAAATGGAGATAGCGCTACGAGATTCGTAAAACATTGATCTCTGATCCAATAATATGCCATTTGAACTGATGCTTGGCAGATTGGGCTCCACACACCACGAGCCAACGGCGGAATCGCCAAGGCTTTTCCGGGTGGAGCCATGTTGCGTGGTGTTCCTCGCTTATTAGGAACGCGTTCACGAAACCGCACGTGCGAATTCGAGAGAAAAGAAGAGAAATAAAGATATTTTGACAAATGAGGACTTCAAATGTTGTTTTATGATCCTGAAGGTAGACGCGTGTGCAACTTCTTGAATTGGAATCTGAATGCAGCTGTATATGCGGGCAGCACAATCCAAGTACTATGGTCCTCTCTCAGGGCTCTCTAGAAATGTGCTTAAGCCTTAGCTTAAAAATCCCCTGCTTTCTACTCCGTGGTGAAATGAAAATGGTGGTTCTGGTGGCACCGTGACTCGGCCCAGCAAAATCTACATCAGTAACAAGCCTTCCGATGCCGTGGGCTTTTCCGAAAATTTGAAGCACTTGAGTGCCAACTGGCTTTGAAAGTGCCAGTGCGTCTGTGAACAGTGTTCTTAGGTAGCTACATACTACTCCCTAGTTAAGCCTCTTCTCTGTCCAATCGGTAACTAGGTACAAGTTGTCACGGTCCATCGTAGATACCACATGCGCACATCCCATACATCCTTACACACCCTTGAACACTCTCAATCCAAGGCCCCTGATTCATAGTTTATCGTAACCAGTATTATTGTTCGCCATATTAAGTGATGTCGGTAGGTAAAGTTTATTATTTTTGTCTTTTTTCAAATATGTAGGCGCTGGCTTCTTGCATCTGGCATTAGGTGGTTCGCCCCCGGTATCTGGCGTCCCGCACTCTGTATCTGGTGTTCTCACTCTCAATATCCGGTGTCTTGCGCTCTGGCTTATGGCTTCACTCTAGTATCGGGCTTGTCATTGGGCCTTTGTTTTGATTTCAAGTTGTGTATGTGTTTCGCGTCGTGTCATAGTAGCAGTAGTGGGTGGTCCCCTAGGGGCTACCCCGCCAGAGACGGCGAGATTCCACCTACCTGGGGCCCGTGATGTAGATAAGGGTCGACGTCGGAGTCATGGAAAGAAGAAGCACGACATAACCTGTTGGGGGATGATGCAAGTGCTACTGTGCGGCTGTGTGGAGAGGTGAAGGAATGTGTGTGCCGGGCTAAGGATCTAAGGCCTTTGGACCTACAGTCCGATACCTAGGTTTGTATAGTATATCCATTACATGCGATTTCAAATGTTTTTGGTTGGAGTAGGGAATGATCAAAATGAGAGCTTCGGTTTGCATTGTCCAGTGAGCTATATTGGAGAGTGGCAAGGAATGTATCGGGTCGCATTTGCAGTTATGTTGTTGGGGGATGGAGTGCTACTGTGTGGCTGTGTGGGAAGGTGAAGGAAGGTGTGTGTGCAGAGCTAAAGATCTAAGACCTCGGACCTACAGTCCGATAAATTGATGTGCTGGTCATCACCCCCTCGCATGCACATATGTGTTAAGACATACGAGCCCTTCAGGATCGGTCATCAGGATCAACCCGATCTGGAGCCCATGCGCGGAAATGATGAGTAAGACCAATTTGAGCAATTTCCTCCATCTCTTCGACAGTCAACATCAAGTCGAGAGCGGCCAGATACTCAGAAAGACGACTGGTATTAGAGGTTGTGGTAACTGGCACAACATTTTGATCAATCTGCCATTTTATCAGGATAGCGTTCTCTGTAATACCATATTTTGCCGCAATCTCTGCTAGTGGTTGATTAAGGGGACCAGGCCTGGCTTTTCTTGTCGGTGTTAGGTCATTAAAGCTAGCCACTTCGATTCCTTGCTCACGCATCCAACACAGGTAGTTCTCATAATGAGATCGCTGGAGATAGGGGTGAAATTCCAGTGGGTTGATGGCCGGGGTTATTGTAGCTACTTTTAAAATCTCCTCCAGATGAGAGCGTTGGTGATTGGCAACCCCAATCGGCTTTGCTTTACCCAAGGCCTGTACCTTTTCCATTGCTAGCCAGGCCTGGCCAAGGTCGGATAGGTCTTTTGCAATAGAACGAGAATGGATAAGATACCTATTATATAACTAAAGTCTTAGCACTCATAAGAAAGATAATAAACAATAAAAGATATTAGTATTATCACTCACAAATCAGCGTAGTCTAGCTGGAGTTTTGACAAGCTAGATTCAATGGCTGTTGGAATCCCATACAGCCCCTCTAAGACCTTGGTCGTGATAAACAACTCCTTACGCGCGACCCCGCATTCTTTGATGGCAATGCCAACTTCCTCCTCCGTTCCATATATATCCGAACAATCAATATGGCGGAACCCCCTCTGGATTGCAGTCTTCAGAACCTCAACTAATTTTAAGTTGAATGGTTCGCCGGGATCTTCTTTGAACCAAGCAGTGCCGGTGCCAAATCCAAGCTGTATAAATATTTCCAAGGTTAGTGGAAGCAAAAACAACGAGCACGATCAAGGAAGATCCCTCTAACCATGGGTATGGAATTCCCATCACTGAGAGAAAGGCAGGGAAGACTCATCGTAAGGTTGGTTGTGGTCGTAGTAGTGCTGGGAGGGGAGCAATGCAACAAAAGGGCTGGAAGTTTGTATTCGTCTTGGAGAGGCAAATATGGGCTAAGGATAGCAGTCTTGTGCAAAGCATCAGGTCTTTTGATGGTTCTTATAGGATTATAAGCCACAAAGTCTGAGAATGAGAGCGATTATATTATTGGTTGTATTTGCAGGCGTAGATCAACTCCCGGAAACGACCTAATAATGGCCTTACACACACGAGTCTTTTTTAAGAGGGAAAAGGTGGGGAACAGAAGTTGAAAGAATCAGTCACTCGCTGTGGTATCAATCTATAATTGGTCGCATGATATCCATAGCACCCGGGCACCGTGCAAGCGCTTTGTTCCGTTCCCCAGCCCTCGGGTATGTGCATCGTTGATCCGCGTGCGCTCTGGCCCTGTATACAATTCACTAGTGAATTACAGGCGCCTCATGAATGCAAAGGATTGAATGCATTCTGTTTGTGACTCGGGTGAGCACCAAGTACTTAGTATTGACACACGGCTCTCATAGAAGCCCTGGAGCTACGTCAAATTGGGTGTCATAATCTGTGATTATATAGTTCATGGAAAGACATAGAAGTAAAAAAGTCGATATATCTATGGATAATCTCTAGATGAACCGCCTTTTATTTATACCGAGTCACCATGCAGCAGACAAAGCAGGATACCCAGTTTACATCTCTCTCGATGTCAGACCTTGAATTCAAGTTGGGACTTACCCAAGTTCATCGCCGGGTGACATGCAGTTATGTCAGGACGAAAGGACTTTCTCTGGTTGTACTGCCGATCCAACGCTGACGCTTTTGCCTTCTTACAGGAATGGCAGGAGTATCTATCTCACTTGTCATCTCTTGTCGGGGAGGCGGCGATTGGGGTCTTCAGAAGCACACTGGAACCGACCTTCCCCAGACTATCAGGTAATAATTCGGACCCTTTGCGCAACTATCACCATTATTCGTGAAGATCCGAGAATATCAGTCTTGCGACTATGCGACCGTCTCACAGAGAGGGGAGCTTTCAAGATAACGACGACTGAGTCAACAGCAAGGTATTGTGTGCTGTCACTTGTCGGATGGTCCTCCCTGCTTTTCATTCCATCCCAAAAGTTCATCCATGGAAATTTTATCCTAGATACCCAGGGTGCGAAATGTTTTGAACGGCCCTCCATAGCCATATAATACGCAGGGAGGCCGATTCATGAATTACTTCGATCATTTGTATGAAATAGAGTCACTTTTTGTTGAGAATAGAAAGTGCAAAGACATCTGGAGAGAGAGAGAAATATGGTATCAGAGGTGATTTCACTAATAACAGCCCTGGAGGGACTTCTAACCCTTTTATGTCTCGGAGGTATCAAATAAAGAAGACATGGAGTCGCCAGTGGTATTTCCCAGCAAATCATAAACAAAAAGAGCAAAAAAACACAAAAACATACAACAGCATATCTAAGTTGGTGGTCACCTAGCGCCCACGAATCTGGCGTGGGCGGCTCGCCGCTCTATTCACCCTCTTCAGGGGACCTTTAGGTTAATCCGGACAGATATTCACCCGCCTGAATATTCTTTACCAAAACTTGTAGCCTGTGTATTGAGGCATTGTACATTTTCGCAATTTAAATTTACGCCTTTATGAGTAACCCCATCCTTCTTCTTTTCCTTCCACAATCTTTCCTACTGCTTAAAAGTTCCATCAATACAGCAGGATACCTACGAAGTATAACAAAACATTCCTCAACCATATTGTGGACTTTGAGGAGCATAATAAGCATGTAATTCAGCGAAAGGTCCTGCCATAAAATGAGTCTTGGTATAGGGATAAACTAGTCCTTTTTAATATATAAGACAGGCTATCTTCTTGGTATACTTCGGATAAAAATCACCAATAGGTTACTGATTTATCTACCTAGCTTTCTTACGTTATATCCACTGGCTAAAAGCTACCTTGATATCTAAACTTGCTGTGCTTTTATAGAGTGAATAGGATATGGAAAGCATCGTGACTCCCCACTATACTAGTTAATCTATTTTCTGCCAGGCCAAAACTAGTCCTAAAGAGGCATGCGAGCTGTGGCAATAGTGTCTTGCCGTACGCATAAAATACTCTTTTTAATTTCCTGAGCTTGACCAACCTCAAGTGCTTGGAAACTCCTGGATTTCTCTTTATACTTGGAAGATACTTAAACAGCTATTTACGAGTATTCTCAAGCCTTTTACATATTGTAGTGGGGAGTCATGTCCCACTACGTATTATACTTATCATTACAGGCCACGTTACCTTATGTCATGTTCCAAGGTTCTGGTGCTGTACATACAAGATTGGTCGTTGTTATAGTACTAGAATACACACTTCTACACCTCCCTGACTACATCCCTACAGGGTGTCCCATGCCTTATTTAGGTCTTGATTTAGGTGTTGCTGGATGCAGACGTCTATGTTGGATCGACCCGTGTATTTTGATTATACAGCATTATGTTCCACTCTTTAATATGTACTATAGAGCTAACAGAAATTACGTCAAGAAAGAAAAATAAGTAAAGCCAGATAATTGAAGCAAAAAGGTATAGTGCGAACAGACAAAAGAAAATATCCCTGCCCCTTTTCCGTGGAAGAGTAACGCGGTTCAAATCTTGCAATCAGTAGATAGCCATCATGGATGGCCTTAAGTTGAAGTACTGGTCCAAGCTTTTGTCGCCTAAATGTATGCGCTACCTCAATTAAGTGGTGGTTTGTTGAGTGATAAACGCAATCACAAGAAACGAAACATATGTCAAATTTTTGTGGCGCAGTCGGCCATCCAAATCCCTCCTCATTTCTTCCTTCTCATCTTCTGGAATTCTGAAGCCTCGGTGATTTGCACAACACCAACACTCTGGGGTACAATGGCCCCTGCCCTTTGGTCTTTTTGAGTAGGATCTTTGCTTGCAACAACCACAGCCTCGACCGCAGCATCCAAGGCGATCTGAGCATTCCTGAATTAACTCTTCCCGCATAAACCATGTATTTTTTTGTCTCAGGAGATCATAATCCTGTTTCAGTCGCAGTCCTGTTGTATATTCTGCGCGATAAAGGGCATATTCCTTTCGGGGTAGCATTTTTTGAGTGTTTTCTAGCTCGCATGCTAGCTCTTGAAGCCGAGATTTCTTAATGTCAATAGCTGCTTCTTTCTGTAATGCCTTCAACTCAACCTCGATCGCTTCCTCACGTTGTACAAGCTCACGCAACGCGTACTCAGCAACAAATAACCCAACTAACCTCTCTCGGAGAATTCTAGCCTCAGAATAAAAGAGTATCTCTCCATCATCTGACCAACACCAGTCGGCCTGTCTGTATATCGAGCCCAGCTTCAAGTTCTTTCTTTTAGTGAAAAGCCTCATACTTCTATCACAACAAGCAACTACCGAGGAGTATTCCTCTCAACCAATCTGGCAGATCGAAATCGATTAAAATGGGGAATATTAGCCTTTGAATCTGATACTCATGTATTTTGCCCGGTCCGTCTGGATAGTCGGAATTGTTGGTACAATTTATCAAGAATTGGACATGAATGGTATACCAATCTATTTAAATGTTCACATGTACGAAATTTCTGAGTCATCGCGTCATTGGTAACGGATCTAGTTTTACACATGTGCATAGACATTTTGTGTATGATTAGGAAATTCTAGGCATAGTCCGAGGTCTTTTTGTCGTCATTGTTTAGGGCCCGCTACAATTTAGGCAAAATCACAGTCTAACACTTTCTGGAAACCATGGTTCGATTCTCAGAACATTTGACCCTTGCTGTTTGATCAAAACACTGGCATCTTTTATTACACTCACAATTCCACGGTTGTCTCTCCCGAGGTCGCTTTCTAGGAGAAACCTTCCAAGGTTGGAGCCATCCATCCATGGTTCGATAATTACAACCATACAGTATGATCGAATCATTTTTTATTACACCTGGGCAATCTTTCTGATCTCTCCGCTTTCCAAGGGAGAAACTCTTGATAAACAGAAGTTTTTGTCTACCTCTACAGTAACTGGTCATTCATCGTCCGGATCACGTATGATCAGCCAAGGTGAAGCGGATCAACGGATGCCGTGTAGAACAGGATCAAACAATGTTGTACACCTGGGCATATAGTAGAATAAGCCAAATTTAAAGGCTTGATCTATAGAAACGGCAGGAGCCTTGGTTTAGGCACCGTGTTTATAAATAAACAATGCTCCAGGTTCCCGTTTCTTGTTTGAATCGAACCCATTTTGACAACACCCACCATGGCTTCTCTCAACCTGTCTCGCGCTTCTGTGGCCTCTGCCACCAAAATCTCTTCTCTGCCCTTCTCTTTGCCCTCTCTTTCCCCCCTGTCTTCCCCCCTTCCTCCCACCTCTCCCCCCTTCCTCCCACCTCTCCCCCTCTCCTCTTGCCATCGCCGCGCCGTACATTGCTGTTGGTGTTTCGGGTATTATAATCACCGCCATTGTCTGCGGGTTTCTTGCGTGGCGAGCCCAGTATGTGCCCTCTAATCGTATAGCTTTAAACTTTCTATCTCTAATCGAATTCTTATCATTAGCCGAGCCGAACAAATGGCTCTGTTGGATCACCCCCAGAGGGTGCTTACCCAAGAGTACTTGGAGAAGCGGAAGAAAGCGAAGGGTAAGCGACCCTTCAAGTTAGAAAAGAGCTTTATCCTCTGAAGCATGACCGTTATAGTATAGGGCTATGCTAATCGAGGATGAATAGCCCCAACCAGCTCCAAGGAGACCAAGCTGCCCAAGATGCCGTTTAAGTCGGTCAAGGATCCCAAGGGCAAAGAAAAAGATCGTGGTGATGGTAAGCTGCATTCATTGAAGGTATAGGCCCATATCAATGGCCCTATACTAACCAAATTATGCTTTCGCAGCCAGTCCGGAATCACCAGCGTCTGCCAAGTGCCCGCGACTCCCTATTGTGGTGGAAAGTTATGTGACCGACCCTCAAGCATCGCCCAACAAAGCCGTCGATCCCTCCGCCTCCTCCGTGCCAACTAGTCCTGGTGTTGAATTTCTCCTGACCCCTCATGGTTACCGTTTGCCCCCAATGACCCCAAGGCCTACAGACGCTGGCCTCACGATTGAATCTGTCTCTAAGGAGAAGAAATGAACTCTCACGTGTCATTGTATTCTTATTATATCCTCCATTGTTCTATTTCCTTCCAGTTTCCAATGAATGAGCTCAAAAAAACTTTCTTTTTCCATTTTTGGGCCGAATTATTGCTTCATTCTATGTCCAGTTGAACTATAAAGCACCATTCCACACGGCCAGAGATACTTTGAAGACTCCAGAGCAGTCGCCATAGGCTTTATCCAGCAGGGGTGGTAATGTCTTCATTGAACACGAAGGAATGACTATAGTCCCATGCCTGGACATATACGGCGGGGCCTTTCCCTTGGTCGTGGCAAGCTTTTATTTCTTCCCTCTGATATATCCTTTTATAAAGTTTTATATCGAGGCAGATGTCCATGAAGGCCACGGTCAAAGAAGTGAGAATCCATCCTTGCATATATCCAGTCTCAAGCTGCTGTTCACTGTCATGGTGTTAGTCATGTCCGTGGCTACCCCAGCAGAACGCGTACCCATTCTCCAATTCAGATGCAACATCCATTATACTATTCTGGAGATTGCTGGGCTGGTGGGCAATCGTTGGGGAAAATTGATATGATGGGCGAATGGAGCCAAAGTCGGGCAACTTCTACGAAGCGAAGTTTCCGAAGTTTCCGAAGGCGCCGGGATGCCAGCTAGAAACCTAATTTTCCCCTGACAATCGTTCAATCTCCTGTGAAAAATTTATCACGTTATTAAATTCATAGGCCAGTATTGTATACTTGACCCTATTTATACTAATAAGCGAGGGCCTAGGTGCTATATTGCCCTTACAACGTATATACACTAGCAAGGATTGGCGGGTTCTGACTATATTTCTGGTCTGGTAGATTCAAGTTACGCCGTGGCGCTTTTTCCGATAAGTCCGGGGCTATATATTGTAGCGGGGAGCGTAGTCCAACTCATGTCTGCGAACCACGAGAGGACAGAGATATAGGCTCGCCACTGAGAGTGGTAGGGATATAGAAGGAGACCACAGGGTAGATGGAGAGTTGGAAGAGGTCTGATGTTCAGCTATCACACACGTAACGACTATATACAACATACTTTTTAGTCACATGCCACACCGCTACTCCCCTCTACAATATGTATACATATAAGGTATAAGATGTGAAAATATATTAGTATTTAGCCTATTATTCTATTTATCTAGAGCCCCTATTAGAGACTATCTTTAAGTTTATTTAATAAGGAAGAATAACTATCTAATAAGTAGGATAGCTTTTTTAAGAACTAACAATAGAGAGCACTTGTTAATAAACTAGAAAAATATCCTCTGGGGGTAATAGGATAAAAAAGAGAGAAGATATATTATCGGTAGAAAGACAATCCGAGTTACTTATACAGAGTACCCTGGCTAGCTGGCGGTGGCTTTCTCCAGTTCAACAACACGTGCTGAGTGCTGCTGTTAGTGATGGGCTGTTCCTTTCTGCTACGCGATGGGGCTCTTTCCTCGTGATGACCCCGCACCATAAACCTCTGTTCTGATTTAACCTTCCCTACTATTCATCCTCAGATAAGCATAATTTTTGTCGCAAGACCGCTATAGCCTTCCTACATGGCCCGTCCTTCCAAAGATGCCTTCCAAATCGGCTGAATCTGTGCTCTTCCGATCGAGGCTGCAGCTGCAGCCGAAATGTTAGATGAGAAATTCGGAATTCTCGAGGAGCAAGATGCGGCGGACTCAAACACCTACACGCTGGGCCGAATCGGCAAACACCACGTCGTAATCGCCTGCCTTCCAGGAGGCCAGTACGGAACTACCTCAGCTACTACGGTCGCAAACAACATGGTCCGCACCTTCTCCAAGTCGCTCCGAATCGGATTGATGGTCGGTATCGGGGGTGGAGTTCCTTTCGCTGCTCATGACATCCGCCTTGGCGATATCGTGATTAGTTATCCGCAAGGCACTTGTGGCGAGGTGATTCAATACGACATGGGAAAGGTTATTGCAGGCGGTGAATTTGAACGAACTGGGTCGCTTAATAGTCCCCCGAGAGCACTATTGACCGTAGTTGGTACGATGAGAGCTGCCCGAGTCATCGACACTCAGGACATCGTGAAAGCATGACACCAATGTCATAAAGGTGGAAGACGAATTGACGCCGCTAAAGAGTGCAGGGACCCCACTATATACATTCTTGATCCGCTTTTGTATAAACAGACCTCGATTGACCATGGTGCGGAGCTTTTCGTGGAACCCGAATTGAGAATGAGTCTCCGTGGGGTTGCCAAATGGCAAGGAATATTGTCACACACAACGTTATATGAATCCTGGCTAGATCCTTCCAGTTTGTCGCAAGGAATTTGAATTTGGCATTGCAAGGCTAGGGCAATAGTTGTGGGATGCCCCATACTTGTGTCTTTGAATTGCCCATTCTGAAGATGTTGGCGCATAGTGACTTGAAAAAGTTGTAGGATACCCCTAACGTCATCGATAGTAACGGAATTTTTGCTGGCCGTTGGTTCCAGAAGAAGCTCAAAGATAGGACAGTGCTACGGTCAGTCTGGAATTGCACAATTGGACTCGGATATGTCATGCCTGCGTTTCTCCTTAATACCTCTTCATTTCCCTAGGTGCGCACGGTTTCTAGGTCTAATATGCGTTCAGTTTTACCAAGGACAGCTCTTATATTGTGAGGCTCTATGAATCCCACGGAAATTAAGTCGTAGACCTGTGTTGAAGTATCATTAACTTACTTGTGATGATTTGGCGGCGAAGACGCGAGAGTGCTATACTAACAGCGAGTACAAGCTGTGTAAGGCTCGGAAATTCTCATCCAAAGTCATTTTCAAGCTATTGTTGTATATTGCGGAGAGGTTATCCTGAGCGAGAACTCTGAAGAAGATATGCAGCTCAAGCGCCTCTTAACATGTCCAGCCTAGGGCTTGCAATTCAGATAATAGCCACTTTTGGGCAAACTGGAACGCATTCTGTTCGAGACACCGCTGCATCGTTTGTAGAATGAAATGCTGGGCTTGATACGGTATGAATCCCTCTGGCATTCCGGACAGCATGTAGTATTTGATGAGGAAAGTTCTCTATAGTTACTATTTCATGCGCGCGGGCTGGCGTTCGGATCACTCTTACTTCCGGCGGAGGAAGCGCCTGCATAACCGTTACGCGACTAGATAGGTTGCAACAGGTTAATAGAGTGTTGGTTGATTGATTGATAATACTAACTTAGAACTTCTCAAAGTCTTATCTACCCAAGCAGGATGTAATTACTTATATATGATAGCTAGGCTCTTTTTTTGCTTATCTAGTCTAGAGAATCTAAGTCGGAGATGGTAGTCTCTGTCACCGTGATCTTCGGCATGCTCAGCGTCTGGATCTTGCTCTGGAATTCGCTGAGCGCGGTCACGACGGCATCATTTGTCTTCAGATTCCGCCCATCAGTACGAGCCGCGGCGTACACTCCTGCAACGGCTCGAATAGCTTCGATGGCCCAACCTTTGGAATAATCGTCTACCATCTGGAAGTAGTCTGGTACCCACGCCCACCACCACTTTTGCAGATCTTGAACGCCGGTAGCATACTCGACTTGGGCCATCTGCAGACCGACGCTTTGGAGAACCCAGTTATACGTCTTAGAGACACGAGGGTCGGCGAAGAAGTCATACATACCAAACACCCGTTAGGTAAATTCAGTTAGCGAGAGAAGTTGAAGGGGGGGCGGGTAAGAAGGAAAAGCGGCCTTACGGCTTGAATGGTTGTTAGAACCTCCTGCACAGCCTCGTCAGTATCGGCATTGACAGCGGCATTTGCCAATTTTTCAATAGTCTTTGTGCTAAAAGGAGGCCCGAGACCCATGAGGGCGCCCTTGACTCCATTGATTGCAGCGTCAGTAGTCAGCAGTGGGTGCGGGTTATATGTCGACCCGAAAGCTTCCATGATTCGGTCATTGGGAGTCTGTAGCCGGGTTCCCTTATTATCACTGCCTACCACAGGAAGACCTGCAAGGACAGCATTGACCTCCTTCCACTTATTTGCCCACCAGGTGGCCGACATGGGTAAGAGACCATCTGGCTGGGCACCGGATTGCAAAGTCCCCGATATCACAGCCTCAATGAACTTTGTTATGACCTGCCTATCGATGGCGTGCTCCGTGTTCAAGCCGTCGTACAGGGATCTGGCGACCTCACCAGTCGGAAGAGAGAGCACGGATAGAATTCCGCCATTGCAATAACCTTTGCTCTTCCAAAAAGCCCATCGTTGAACTTGAGCGGCTCGGGAGATCGTGAAGAGTTTTCCGATTGGCGGATATGCGGCGGCGATGACCTCGATAGTCACACCGGCCAGTAAAACAGTGTATTTTTCTCGGCCACCCCCACGCTTTTCCAGTACGTTGAGCTCGCCTCGTTTGGGGTAGCTGACAGAAATCTCATCGCTATCACTTGGACACCAGCCGGGAAACAGCGTACACAGATCGGCAGCGCACTTGGCTGGCTCCCGTGCAGCCTTCTGGACTGTGCAGCAGGCGACCTTCTGGCGGCTCCAGTCGCACGAGGAGCTCGAGTCACCGTAACTAGCACGGTCAACTGCAAGCTCCGTGGAGGCGCACTTGGCATTTGCGAAGTCCTGGCCAGAACTTCCTCCGACCCAATGGCAGTCAGGCAGGTCGGCTGGAGACGTATAGCAGTATTTGTGACCCTTGTACCCGCAAGTGTCGATTTTGTTAAACATCTCTGTGCTTCCACTAGGGCAATCTTTGCCGCTATTAACTCGCCATATTTTGCTAGTTAGCCTTTGTTTCCGAGCGTTCGAAGTATCGCTCTCAGGTTCATGTAGATGGGACTTACCAGCCCGCGTAGGCACATCCGTCAATGACCTCTTCATACTCAGGATCGGGGCAGCAGAAAACCTTGTATCCGCGGCCACACTTGTCAGTGTTACCATCATTGGTAAAACCACCTCCCCATGACGATCGAATGCCGGCGATGTTGATTTCGTCATCCAAGGCCAGGTGTGACGTAACCCAAGATACTGGACTATTTTGGATTGTGGGGGAAGTGGGAGCCGAGCGGGAATTATCCACCTCGGTCGGTCTCCACATTAGTATGCTCATAACGGAGATGGACACAAAACTTACAATCAAAAGCCAAGGGTTATATTTTAATTCAAAGTCAATACTCGTGAAGTGGAAATACTTGAAGTTTGAGGCTTGCATTTGACAATGGCGGCTGCGGCTGCTCCTGCTATCGTGCTCTCGCTGGTGACATAATGCCCGCTTGCTGCTCATTGTCTGAAACGACTCGCCCATTATAGCTAACCAGATCTAGATTACAATTATTATAGCTCCTCGTTCCTAGAACAACGACAAAGAGGAAAAAGAGTCGTAGGCTCCAACTCAATATACGAGCTGCTCGGCTCGACTTAGGTATCTTTGTCAGTCCTGTCTCGATCAATCAAGCACGGAACGGAACCTTGATCACAGGTTAAGTTATACTCACTAGAATGAACTCATTTTGATTTTATGTCATTTGGCTTGTATGTGGTGACACTGAGACCTAGGTAGGGGGGTATCGACTCGTGGTCTTCTTGATCATCAAGGCCTTTCAAGAGTTTGAAAAATACGGTTAGGTGAAATTAAACATGGTCTTACATCTCCTCGCTACTTCAAATCCGTGCATCCTAGTATCTCTAGGTAAAATATCCGCCTATAAGATAATCGGAGTCCTTGTGAGCCCTTGAATGTATACAACGAACGACGATCATTACATTGTTCGTGATTCACCACGTAAGCGACCTTTCTGCGCAATATTATAAAATATTGTATGAATTAGTCGAGAGGATACTAATTCGGATCCCTCAAATTAAAATTCCGTAGGATCACGAGGATCACAATGTACATCAGGTACTTTTTTACTGACGGCGGTCTACAGAGGGTACAAAAGCGGAAGCAGCGTGGAAGGTCCCCCAGTTCAGTATCCTACGATGCGCGGTATCTGGTTACAAACTCCCACTCCTCGAATAGTCATGCTGTAGTAGTACACTTAATTAGATCATCGACTAGTGCAATCACTGTACTTGACCCACTGATGACATACACGGAGTTTGAATAAATTTACCAGTATGGCCGTTTCCAACCGATAATTCAAGCGAAAATGCTATTGTATTGAAAGATTCTGGAACGTGGTCTTCCCACTGAGCTTTAATTAGGAAAGCAAGAGGCAAATAAGAACAGTCCATTATTCCCCAAGAATCAACCCCAACGGGACGCGCCACGGTCTCTTTCATTCTGTAGAAGTACTCACATTGTGTATAATGCGGATCTTACAGGACAAAGTACCCGGGTATCGATTATGTCGTCAATTTTGTTTTCAGGCTCAGCGAAAGGACCACGGCATATCGGGCCAGCAGTGGAGACTGGCCGGGTATCCATGTCATGCCATGGCGGGGAGGGTATCCCTTGTTGTTTCTGTGACCGCTGCCGCCGATCTTTGATTATCTGGGACAGATGAGCGGATGGGATGCATTTCTCCACTGCTCGAGATCCGAGATGCATTGCTCTTCTCCAGTAGCGATCTACCAAGCGTTGCACATTTGAGAATGGTCTGGATCATCTGGTTCTGCTTAAGCGGTTTGGACAGGTACTCGTCCATTTGAGCCTGGATGCACTTCTCGCGATCGCCAAGCATGGCATGTGCAGTGAGTGCAATGATCGGGGTTCGCTGGAGACCACTCGCTCTTTCGTACTCTCGAATCTTGCGAGTAGCCTCGAAACCACCCATGACGGGCATTTGAACATCCATCAAGATCACATCATATCGGCGCTTCTTGACAGCCTCCACGGCCATTAGACCGTTGCCAACAACAAAGACGCTGTGGTTGTGTCTTTGGAGTATTTTCGTGGCGAGTTGCTGGTTAACGTCGTTGTCCTCGGCAAGAAGGATGTCGAACGAGAGGGAGTCGTCGGTGGCAATCGGTGTCGACCAACCCTCCAATGCAGGAAGCATACCATTGCCCATATCAATAGCCTGGCAAGGTGTTGTCATGTACGAACTGATACCAAGATCTAAAGCGGACTTCAAGCTGACACAGACCAAAGGACACACCAAAACAACAGGGATATACTTGAACTCGTCGAATGTTCGTAGGATACGAGCAGCGTCCACGGAGTCCACAATGATGACATCGTATGCATGACCAGACTTATTTCTAGAGGAGTCTTGGATTTCGGGTGGTGGAACATGCTCTTCGTTGCACACCACCAGCGGCTCCAACTCAATCTGCTTGAGCATCTTTATGACATTAGTGGCTTCGGCGCCGTTCTGGCCTTTATCGATGAACAACACCCTGTGATTCCTATATGGCAAGAGCTGAGAAGTAATAGCGTTCAAGGACTGATCGGCGAGCTTCACAACGCAAGTAAAATAGAAGGTACTGCCATGTCCATACTCAGACGTAACCCAAACATCACCACCCATGAGATTGACCAGGCGTTTGGAGATTGACAGACCGAGACCGGTACCACCGAATCTACGGGTGGTTGACCCATCGGCCTGTTGGAAGGTATCAAAGATCAAGTCCAATTTGTCCTCCTCGATACCAATACCGGTGTCGGAGACGGAAAACTCAAAGGCATATTCGTTGGTGGTGCATTGCTCATAATCGGATTTGCGGACAGTGAACTTAACCCCGCCGTGGTCAGTGAACTTGATAGCATTACCGACTAAGTTGAGAATAATCTGGCGCAGACGAAACGGATCGCCAATGACATAATCGGGGACTGTGTTGTCGACCTGGTAGGTCAGGCTCAGGACTTTCTCATTCGCCTTCACAGCCAAAGTCTTGAGCGCATTAAATACAGTACCGCGAACGGTGAATGGAATGCTCTCGATAACCATCCGGTTAGCTTCAATCTTCGAAATATCGAGTATATCGTCGATGATTGTGAGTAAACTGTTGGCTAGATTGTGTACCACGTTTAACATTTCCCGGGTATACTGTTTTAGGTCGTCGGTATCCAGTGTGAGCTGGGTCATACCAATGATACCGTTCATAGGAGTTCGGATCTCGTGGGACATGTTGGCCAGGAATTCAGATTTGGTGCGATTAGCAAGCTCGGCAGCTTCCTTGGCGGCCGTATTTCGTTGAATACTATCTCGCAGATTGGAAACCATCTTATTGATCTTGCGCTTCAGTTCGTCCATTTCTCCCGAAGCATTCACAGTAATAAGCTTGGTGAAATCACCATCCGTGGCGGCATCAGTGATTTCGCCAAATGCCCGCACTTGTGACGTCAGGTTCTCGGCCATGGTGTTCACATCCTCCGTGATCTCCTTCCAGGTTCCTGCGATCCCTTCCACATTGGCTTGGCCACCCATCTTTCCATCGACGCCGACATCGCGAGCAACCCTCTTCAGTTCAGTAGCGAACTTAGCCAAACGACCCACCATATGATTAATAGTCACTTTGAGGGTCAGCATCTCTCCATGCGCATGTACCTCGATCTTCTTGCTAAGATCCCCCTTGGCAATAGCCTGTGTCACGTCTGAGATACTTCGCACTTGTGAAGTCAAATTTTGCGCCATAGTATTGACGTTATCGGTGAGATCCTTCCATTTTCCTTCTACATTGTCTACTTTAGCTTGACCTCCCAGGGTACCATCGGTACCGACCTCACGCGCGACTTTGCTAACCTCAAAAGCAAACGTGTTGAGACGGTCCACCATGCCGTTTATGGTACTTTTCAGATCGAGCATCTCGCCCTGTACGTTGGCAGTGACCTTCATGGTTAAATCGCCCTTGGCGACGGCCGTGGTAACGTCTGCAATCTCACGCACATGAGTAGTCAGGTTGTTAGCCATATGGTTGACGTTCTCTGTAAGGTCTTTCCATGTGCCTTCCACATCATTCACGGTGGCCTGGCCACCTAGTACACCATCGGTACCGACCTCCTTGGCGATCTTAGTGACTTCTTGCGCGAACTGGCTGAGTTGGTCTACCATGGAATTGATGATATGCTTCAGCTCGGCAATTTCTCCTCGGCAGTTAGCTTGCACCTTCTGCGTCAGGTCGCCCTTAGCGACAGCTTTGGTGACGGTGGCAAGATCACGCACTTGCGTGGTTAGATTATGTGCCATCGCGTTAACATTGACCGTAAGTTCGTTCCACATGCCCTGGACACCTTCAATTTGGGCTTGACCTCCCAGCACACCTTCCGTACCGACATCGCGCGCGACTCGTGTGACTTCCGTGGCGAACGTCCCAAGTTGATCCACCATGGTATTGATCGTCTGTTGCAGTTCCAAAATTTCACCCTGAGCGCGACTTTCGATCTTCTGACTCAGATCACCGTGAGCGACAGCAGTTGTGACAACCGCGATTTCTCGCACCTGATCCGTTAGATTCTTGGCCATAATATTGACATTCTCCGTGAGCTCCTTCCAGACACCGTGGACATCAGTGATTTGAGCTTGACCGCCAAGTATACCCTCCGTTCCGACCTCGCGAGCGACTCGAGACACTTCGCTACCAAAGACTTGCAGTTGGTCCATCATGGTGTTAATCGTACGTTTGAACGTAACAATTTCCGGGTCCATCTCCAAGGGGTGGATCTGAACCTTCATGGAGAGATCACCGTTGGCAACTTGCGTGATGATGCCGCCAATTTCTCGCAAGGCTTTTTGGAAGGCCTCATTAGCCTGTTGATACTTCCGGAGCTCCTGCTCGAGAAGAACAACATCCTCATTTCCGAGCTTGGTGAACGCACGGCGGGTATGCTGCTCCTGCTTCTGCAACTCGTCGCGAACCTGCGCTATGATAATCTTCTGGAAGCTGATCTCCTCGGCTTGCTTTTGCACATGTTTGCGGAAGATGCTGATTTCTTCTTCGCGCACCATATGTGTGACGCCAGTCACATCTTCCTCGGCGGTGCTGCCTACGTCGAGGTCTCTAGCCGGGGCGGATAGATGGGGTGGATGAGAGAATTTCTCTTCAGGGTCCGACGTGGTCAACTGTCGCCGACCGGGTTGATTAAGTTTTTGCTGCTGTGTAAGGCAATAAGAAGAGTCAGAACCTTGACCGGACAACAAATGATCGAGCCCAAAGGTCCACAAAAAATCAGGATCCTTCTCGTTGGATTCGATAACAGGCGGGGTGGTCTGCTAGGGGTTGTTGGGAAGTTTGTGATGACTGACAGCTTGGAATTCCAGGTGGTGCACGCGGCCCATCAAGGCCTCCAACTCGGTTTCGAAGGCGACCTTTGCTGGGTTTGGTTCCCCGGGAAGTTTGAATAATTTGGAACCGTTAGTCGCGGGAGATTCGAAAGCAAAGGGGGGGAAGACAGAGCCCCTGGTGGGCTCGGCTTTGGCGAGATATTGCAGCACTACCGTCGCTGCCACGAGTGTCTCGTCCGTACTAGCCATTTTACCCTGGCACCTTGTTAGTCGATCATCCAAGGTCGTGATGATATGCAGAATCCGAAACTGCAAGTCCCCGCACCGTGTCTCCGGCTGTGCCGGCAAGGTTCGAATCCAGGGCGAAATGTCTTTCCTGGTACCTCAGGCGTTTGTGGGCCAGAGAGGGAGCCATATCCCAAGAAAAAAAAGAGCTGGGACGGTCGAAAGCCGGAACCAGCGTCAAGACGAGCACAACTTACTGGAACAGATTCCTGACACGACAAATCCAGCAAGCCGACTACAGCAATATAGGGTGATTACACCGGAGTTCTTCGGGGACGGGTGTGAGAGTATGATCCAGGGCCGTCCCGACTGACCCGGGAAATTTGGGATGTCGAAAGGGAGACCCTGAAACGGAGCGTTTCGGTTTCCAAGGATGTTCCCAGATGAAGAGGGACGGCCGCCCAGTAACGTAATTCCCGGTCGAGCGGCACACCTGGCCGAGCGGCACACCCATCGCCAGTAGACAAATTCAAATTCAAATACTTTAACCCAACACCGATAAATTCAGTTATAAATACGATTTTTACATACATTGGTCTGATGCCCAACCTCTCTACATCCACTACACCTAGGCTGAGCCCTAGGGGCTGGCTGATTCGGCTGAATAGGTAGTTCAACCTGGGTGTGTGGTTCGACCACAGGTTGTTCGACAGGCAAGTTCACTTGCGTAAGTAGCTGTAGGCCTTCTTCAACGGTCAACCCCTCTTCACCGGGTATCTGTCTAGCTGATCGATTGCGTTTCTGTCGTTTTTTCTCATTCGCTGCGCGTAAATTGGCGTTTTCTTGCGCTAGTAGCGCAGTGTTGTGTAGCGCTATGGAGTGGCCCTTGATGATTTGATCTAATATCAATTTTGATGGGCTGGGAAGACTGTTTGACCGTTGTTTGAGAAGAGATTTAAGCATTGAAGCTTGTTTTTGAAGGTGAACCACAGTTCTAGGTGTCTTAGGTGTAAATTGACTAGATCTGCTACTCGGTCGGCTACCTGGTGGTGTAGGTGTCCGTAGAGAAATATTCAATTTAGAAAGAACTCTTTCAGCATCAATTGGTACTAATCCAGTAGCTAAAAAGCTATTTTGGATAGTCTTCGGCCGAAAAGCCTCAACACGTGCACGTTGGAAATCAGCTAAGAAATCAAGCTTGTCGGTATGGTTATAGCCTGTACGTGCAAGGTCGCTTATAAAACGACCATATGTACGTTTTAATATTGCGAAAAAACCAACATCTAGTGGTTGTAAAAGATGTGATGAATGTGCAGGCATACAAAGTGGGATGATATTGTTTTCGGTGCAGATTCGGTCAAATTGGGGCGTGAGATGACTTCCATGGCCATCAAGAATCAATAGCCGAAATCGACCACGGCCGCGTGAATTTGTTGATGGAATGAATAGCTTTTCAAGCCATCGTAAACCAATCTCATCGGTAGTCCAGCCATTAGCTGAGACCTCGAATCGCCAATCTTTTGGAAGGTTATCGAACCAGCTAGCAACAGCAACCTTTCCCTTAAAAATCACACATGGTGGTAATGAATAGCCATCTACACAGATAGCTTCAATTGCCGTTACCCATTCACGGTTTCCGGGTTGCATACGATACTGCCACCATACGATACTGCCACCCATACGATACTGCCGCCCATACGATACTGCCGCCCATACGATACTGCCACCATACGATACTGCCGCCCATACGATACTGCCACCCATACGATACTGCCACCCATACGATATCGTGATTTCCCATAGTAAACAACCCTTTTCTACACGCGATTTCTCACCACCTCCATGCCTGAATCTAAAGAATCTAATGCATCTATTGAATCTCGTATCCAATTGACTCTCCTTGAATTGGAAAGTATCGAAAAGCCTACCGTACCAGCGCCTTCTTGCGCGTTACAAAGGGCGCCCATCACTCTCTGAAAGACCACCTAACGGTCGCAAATTGGATGAATCGCAAGAATCTGCCCTTTGCAGATACATCGATTTCCTCGATTCTATCTCTTTTCCACCTAAGCGACCGGTTATCGCGGCTGCTGCCAATTCAATTCTAGCTAGTAGCCATATTGGTCCAACCAAACCACCTACCATCGGCGACCATTGGCTAAGACGCTTCCTCCAACGCCATCCTGAGTATCTCTCTCGCCGCCAGCGGGCAATGGATATAGAGAGAAAGAATTGCCTAGATAGGCAGGTTGCAAGAGAGTGGTTCAATTCCTACCAGGAGACTATCGCCCAGTACGGTATTACTGCAGACGATATATGGAACTTTGATGAGACCGGTTTCAATATCGGTGTAGGCAAAGACCAGTGGGTTATTACCCGCGAACCAAAGCGCCAAATCTCTGGCGGCTTTAGTACTAATCGCGAGTATGCAACTGCAATTGAAGCGGTTTCAGCTACTGGTTCTACTATCGCACCGGTAGTAATCCTAAGCGCTAAGGTCCTTCTACTACGGTGGTTTGAGATAGTAGGCGATGAGAGGATCGCTGTCACCGAAACTGGCTATCTTAATAACGTCCTTGCCCTGCAGTGGATACAGCTATTCAATAAGCTTACCAAGGATTCGGTTAAGGGGACATATCGTCTATTAGTATGTGACCAATTCGGCTCTCATCTCACATACGAATTCGTCAAGTACTGCGAGGACAATCGAATTATCCTCTTCTTTCTTCCACCTCACTCGAGCCATATCCTTCAACCACTAGACGTTGATGTATTTAGTGCTTATAAGCACTGGCATAGCGAATGGGTGTACCATGCAACCGTTAGTGGATATGAGAGGATTACGAAGGATGACTTAGTGCAATCGCGCAGATTCGACAAAAGACCTTCAAACCTTCTACAATTAAGCTTGGCTTTCGATTGACAGGCTTATGGTCGATCAATCCTAGTATCGTCCTCGAGGTTTTGGTCGATTCAGTAGGAGAGGATTTCGGCTTCAATACACCAAGCCCGCCGTCATCAATTGGTGGTAGTGGGCAACATTCATCAGATCTCAGACACCAAAGACTGCCGATCGTGTAAAGCGATTAGAAGAGCACCTAGATCATAATATCAATCGCATGCAACAATCACCCTCTCGTCGCCTACTCAGAAAGATATCAAAAGCTGCGACCGAATTCGCCTATCTTATTGATGAGCTGCAGGGTAATATCGAGAATTCGAGTTATCTATGAGAGATCCGCTACGCTCGCGAAAATCACTCACGAAAGGCATCTAAATTGACTGAGGTAGTGCACTCAGCGAGATTGAACGTATGAAGCGAATTCTAAAGAGTGGTGATGATTTGAAGGCTCTTATGAAGCTACGCCCATACTTGAAGCGAGAGGTCTTGCCTGAATTGAAGAGGGCTTGTAAGAAGAAGGGTTACTTCATCAAGAAGTAGATTTCTGTATTATCCAATCAAATAGCTACATTTCGGTATATCAATTAACTTCTAAATCGCACTGCTTTGGTGGTTTAAATCGTATAGAAACTAGGTGGTTGAATTGTATGGTGATCCGATATCTTTTGGGTGGGCAGTATCGTATGGGTGGGCAGTATCGTATGGGTGGGCAGTATCGTATGGGTGGCGGACCATCGCCGCGAGGGTCCGTAAAATATGTAATATTTGTAAGCGGCCGGGTAGTGTGAAATAAACCAAACACAGAAATCTTGGACGAGTCCACTTAACGATCAGACTCCACTTATGGATGGCTCCGAGAAACATAGGGGCCCCTCTGTCCCAATTATCGGGCTCGGCATGAGACATACAGTGAGGCCCTGTCCCCACACCCCCAATTATTAGTATTCAGGAGCGCTTCGACAAAGTGGGGAAAACTGAAACCTCCGTCATCCTTTGAAATTGTCCCTCGTTGAATCATTTGCGTCATTCGACTTCCTAGTTGGACTTGTGAAATATATCTACCGTTTCCGTATCTCCGCAAAAGTGACATAATGAGAGTGTCTAGGGGAGGAGCATATCTCCCGATCGAACTTACCCTGCTTTTGGCCGAATATCTTATGCCTGTTGATCTGCTGTCTCTTTTATGTGCGGCCCCCGCGCTCGCACGACTCTTAACTATTCAGCATACCACGATCCATGACGAAGGAGGGAGGTCGATCCTACATCTACTCGCGAGGGAAGGGGAGGGCGAATTGATTGAGCTGCTGCTCGCAAACGCCGGTATCCCGACAGACCCGAAGGATAACTGCGATCGGACGCCGTTATCTTATGCGGCTGGGGGTGGATATGAAATGGTGGTCAGGCTGCTGCTGGACCGACAAGAGGTCGAAGCGGACTCGAAGGATAACGATGGATTGACTCCGTTATCCCATGCGGCTGGAGGTGGACATGAAGCAGTGGCCAGGCTACTGCTGGACCGACAAGATGTTGAGGCGGACTCAAAGGATAACTTGGGTCGGACACCGTTATTATATGCGGCCTGGCGCGGACACGAGGCGACGGTCAGGCTACTGCTGGACCGAGAAGATGTCGAGGCGGACTCGAAAGCTAATTGGGGCCAGACACCGTTGTCCTTTGCGGCTGGAGGCGGACATGAAGCAGTGGTCAGGCTACTGCTGGACCGACAAGATGTTGAGGCAGACTCGAAGGATAACTTGGGTCGGACACCGTTATTATATGCGGCCTGGCGCGGACACGAGGCGACGGTCAGGCTACTGCTGGACCGAGAAGATGTCGAGGCGGACTCGAAAGCTAACTGGGGTCGGACACCGTTGTCCTGTGCGGATGAATGTGGACATGAAGCAGTAGTCAGGCTACTGCTGGACCGAAAAGATGTCGAGACGGACTATTGAGACAACCGTTGAAGAGAAAATTGCTCGATCGCTCTCTGCCAAGCAGACGGGTCCAAATAGCAGAAGAATCGCATAATAGTGCAGTGCTCAGCACCGAAGGTACAGGAGATGTCAAAAAAAGGTCAAAATAGATCATCACCCACCCCGGGTGTCCAGAGGAGTGGAGTTGTTCGAGACAGAATTTCAACCTTGGGGTCAAAGTGGAGGTCTTAGAGCTTTCTTGAAGCCATGAATACTATATTCTATGCGTTTCCATGCAAAATTAATTGTCTGGTCTATAATTCTGTGAGTCCCCAACCCCGAGATAATTCGCCACGTTAGGTTAGAATCAATTTTTGAAACAATGCGAATATGGTTGGGCAATTAAAAAAGCATTAATCCATCCTAATAGTCATGTACATCAAAACTGCTAGCTCTGCCAGACAAGGGACTCTGGCCGGACTCTGGGCCAGGAGGGGCAGGCAGACAGGGGACCCCCGGACCTGCTGCCTGCGACACTGTTTTGGATCCCTCAATATGTTAAATATCACCTTTCCCGACTCCCCATTTAGCTGGGACTTAAACATGGATACTTCTGACAACCGATTCGGTCACCTGACGAATGAAATCGCATCACAAAGACTTCGTTTCTACCAAGGATGTGCTATTATTGAGTTTCAAAATTTGGTGTTTGAAGTAAATACTGTCCTTGGCAGCAGAGATTTTGAAGAATGAAATTTGCAAAGACTTCTTAGGGTCTTCGAGATTGAAGGATGTGGCAATCTTGAGCCGGAGCACAAGAGTCGCTGCGCTCATCGATCAAGAAAAATTGTCCAGGGCTCTTACAAAATCCAAAATTACACCGGAGTCGCTCTTAGATCCGACAAATCAACCGGCACTATCATTTGAAAGTGATATTCAACTGATATGTGTATATGGGAAACAACGTTTAAAGGCGGCCGAATCCTTTGGAGAAACAAGATGGCTGGTTGATCTCTATCTAGACAGTGGGTAGTTCAATTCTGGGGTGAAATAAGTCTGACACAATCTCCAGGTATTCCTTTGGACGCTCTCATTCAACTTAGAGAAGAATCCGCGAAGAGTCTCGAGTTTACCGATGGCGAGATCTATCGTACGCTTAGGATATACCAACTTTCGGGGAACAGCGTGCAGGAAAACAAATGGAGGGCGAGACTGAGTTCTGAGGGTCGACGTCAAGATATACAAGGCCTACATCGGAATGACCTTTGTCTCAATGGTCTGGATAAACTATTGCCATTTGTAGGTATGTGGAAACCGCTGAAGGCGTCTCAGATTGAGCGGATGCTTGCATTAAAATCTCCAGAGGTACGGTAGCTCTCCAATTTCCACTGCCTCGCTTACAGATGATATTAGTTGATTTATTGCTACTTGACGAAAATTCATGAAAGTTGGTCTCGCAGTTTTGAGTATCAAACTACATCATGCGTGGAATTCAGTTCTGTGCAGCTAGTTGAAGGTTTGATGCCTCAGTCATCGCTGGCGGATCGGAGACGCATAGCCGAACTGTTGGACTCAGAACAGATATTTCCCCTTGTTACAGAGGCTGAAGAAAGGGCTGCCTTGCGAGACTCTCTACAATCTACTCCAAGAAGAATCATCTCACTTAACAAACTCATCAAGGACACATTATTCCTTGAGGAACCGGCAAAAGCATTACGTTGTCTATGCCCACCCCGATTCAAGGGAAGCTTTAAACGGACCATGCTTCGTCAGTGGGACATGGTCGGGACGAAAGATCACTCGAAATTCAGCAATCTGAGCATCAATTTGCAACTATAGAGCGGAACGCAAATTCATTTCCACTTTGTATGATGCAACTTTGGCTCTTCGCACTCAGACATTTTGTCTATCAAAAACGGGGCTCGAAAAGCAATTGACGTCATTTTGGATGGTCTACAGAAGACCTAAGTTTGAGGCACCTAGCAGCCTTAGCTGAGCGGTTGGGCTTCCACTCGAATCAAATCACATCCCTCCAAAGTGAAAGCTTAAACCAAGATATCGCAAAAGGCTTCATGGAGTCGCTTTGTAGGCAGGATTTCTACAAACTTGACCAACGAAGAGTGCAATCGATGTCAAACCAGTTGCGCATCATTCTTCGAAATTTGCCAACGTATTCAGAGCAAGATGTCAATGTGGTTCAATTCACAACAAATAGCTCAGAAGCAGCTGCCAAGCACAGACACAATAGGCCAACACAAAAACAATATGATGAGCAGCAGAAATACCTCTTTTTCGAACCGCTCTTTGGTCCGCATCAAGCCCCTGAGGAATACCCCACTTCCTTATGGGTAACAAGAGAAATACTACTTTGTTTTTTTGGAGATGACATTCGAGGAATAGTCTCTACTCAACTACAGAATTAACTGGAAGAACTCACAAGGTCAACTGATGCGCCTAGTCAGGGCATGAGTAACCAGTATGAAAGTTCCACGGGAGCAATTGATTCCACTTCCCACCTCGTGGAAACAAATCAAATGCAAACTGAATCGATATCCGTGGACCGGGATGCAAGTCAATATTCTCCAAGCCCTGGCGAGCCAACTGTGAAAGGAAATATTTCAAGCGACCCGGTTGACATGGATCCTCATCCAAGCGGAACACCCGATCCTCCTCCGCCCCTAGCCGCGGGGTTTGAGGATCCATCCTGCAATTGTCCACTGGAAAGAAAAAACTATATCTCAGTACGTCGAAAGATTCCCGAAATTCTCAAAATGTGGTACCAGTCACAAAGAGAGGTGATAGTCATTGTCCTTTTCGAATTTCGCATTGATTATAAGTTCAATACGGCGGGAGGTTTCAATCTATGATCACTTCTACAGGATATTCCCAGGGATCACTTATTTATAGCCATCAATGACTTTGGCCTCGGGACACCAGACATAAACAAGACTTTTGAGGAGGCATTGAAGGATCGTTTGCTGCTAGTTGGCAAAAGAAATAGCCCTGTCCAAGGAAAGAATGAGATAGGGATGATATCATTGGACAAGCTCCAAGAATACGTGTTGAACTATGATATTCATTTGGAAAAGAGAAAGGCAGGTACGGATAATCGATCCGCAAAGCGCCCCGCAGGGCCAAGGAGGGAATCATCTGAAGAGGATTAATTTGTCATGCTATACTCCAATAAACCCGGATTGAAAACCTGAAACTTGACCTAAATAATCCCCTTTAACAATTTAAGTTGGCATTTGTACTTACATACTTGTTGGGAAAGGAGCTTTACAAGGACCTGAAACATGTGAGGGAAGCGCAGCGTGGAGAGAAGGAAGAAGTATAGGCTGCGAGAGCTATTTACATAGCTATTTACATATGGGAGCAGTGGTCAGAACTATACAGCCGCCACGTGATCTAACAGCTATGATGTTAGAGGGGGAGGTGAGATTAGCGGCGAAGGGATGAGATTTGTCAGACCAAAACAGACCTTATAGTAAAGGCACTCATTAGAGTCACGGTATGAGCTTGATTCTATGACAGCACCTGCTCTGGAACCAGAGCCAGAAAACAACGCCAGGGAGCTTCCTGTCTGCACGCGAGCTCGCTCATGTTTGTAATCATGCCAATCATCCCCAAATAGGCCACGAGGAGGTATTCAATGTCTTTAGCCGTAACCATGAAGCGTTCCCGCGGTTTAGTTCTCAGTCTGTATTTGACAGTCAGGTTGTTTCTGATATACTATCACAGGTTAGTCGAAGTATTTGCGGATGGGCTCTTGTCATTCATTCAGCTGTACATTCAGAACATCATTCTTAACTTGGTTAGGCAGAGAACGAGAAGTTCCCCGCTCCCATCTTGAAGTGAAATTGATAAAATTCTGACAGGCCGTCTTCTGTGAAGGCAAATCTTTCCTTGAAGCAATAAAGTATTCTGCGAAGGACTTAAGGAGTTGCGGGGCAGGATCAGGCTCATCTTTCGCAAAGTTAGCGTTGGCTGCTTCGTTACGGGACAACCTCCACCTGTAATTTCTTAGGGTCAGTGATGAAAATGTGGATTTTGGAAGGCCTGCTTACAATGCCCAATTCAATGCAAAATTTTCGTAATTTTGGAGCGTAGCCGGTGCTAGCTCCTTATGGCAAATATTATTTTCTTCCTTTTCCCGTTCGTTCTGGTAATCAAGGGTGAACCCACGTGATGCGGCACGAGTGTTCTCAAGTCCAACCCCTCGGCGAGCTTTTTCTGTATATTTTCTGGGAGTATCTTTTTTCGGCTGAAAGACAACAATAATCAAGAACGGCAGGCCTAAATGAGCGCCCCTGGGCCGCTATTTATCTAGAATGCGAGTACTGCGGTGGGTCATCTCACCCCGTTCTCACCCCGTTCTCACCTCTGTCACCCCCAGTCTCCAGAATTTTCACCCATATCACCCCCATTCACCCTAACACAAAACACGTTCTGTTTTAAGGCCGAGGGCTTTTTGAGAATGTGAAGCACAGAAAAAAAAGAAAGATAAAAACATACAACAGTCAGGATTCGCATGTGGTCACCCACCATACTACTAACTGACCGGCGTGTGGCTTAAACGCGGACAATAGTCGGGTGGCTGCAGCCCGGGTGAGAATGGGGTGAGCGCCGCTTTAGCCTGACGTCATCGGGGTGAGAAGGGGTGAGTGTGCAATAGACGGGGTGAGAGACGGGTGAGAGCGGGTGAGAATCACCCTACCTCTGTGTGACCCCGCACTGACCCTTTCAGCTGAGCTGGTGCTGGAATATGATTGGGCCACCTGCCTCGCCCTGGAACAACGGATCTTATAGTATCTGCACTTCGCCACAATTAGAAGGTTAAAGCAATTCACATTCATCTTGAGTGATTAATATTTCCCTGCGAGGGATATTGACTAAGACCTGGAATCCATCACTCCAAAATGTTGTTATAGTACCGTCAAGTGTATTATCCTATCATGTCTAATCATAGCTTCAGTACTTGTCCACCCCCTGCGTTGGATGCTCTAGTTGTTGTCAGAGTATATCCTTGAACGCTTTGAACGCCCCGCCTCTGTCTGGTACATCCGCCTCTTCCCCGGTTGTCGTCTTTTCTGAAATGGCCGACGATTTAATGTACAGTGATGAAAGTCAATGATCAGTGCCCGTCCAAGTTCTTCCAGAGGACATTGCCAGACCGAAGGCCCTCATTAATCTCACACCAGAGGTTCTCATGGATAACTCCCAAAGCTTTGGTTTTATTCTCTGACTGACGAATCTCTTTATAAAGCTATGGCTTCAGTTCTATTATTGCGAAGCTTTCGCCTCCCCAGGCCATGACAAGCATATGGTGAATATCTCCAGCCCCGTGAAGAAAGTAAATTTTCGCTAGATCACCGAGGAAGACAGGTACGGCAATCACTTAAGCCTTCTGCAAGATTCGATAAGCCTGTGCTTCGCAGGACACTTCTCTCCATAGGCAGAACATAGTTCCCTGTCCAATGGCGGTGTAGCTGTATCTTATATCTCCTACAGAGTTAATGCGCTCAACCTTCAAACCAGATACGGAGAGGCACTTATTCATTTATAGAAGTAGACAATTATAGTAGATCACAGCTTTCCTAGCATTTTGTTCCCCCTTTTGCGAACAAGCTTGGGGATTTTCATATCAGTATATAACTCATCATATGATTTACAGCTACAAGACCATGCCACAACCACTGAGACATCTCGACTATGGATGCACGGACTGGCGGATCAGTCCCAGATCTGTACAGTTTAGTACCAAAATTTTCACGAAAGAGGATTCCGCAGACATAGAGGAACAAATACGTCAACCCTATACGATGGAGCGGTTTTCAGCTCGTCGAATCGATGGAAGCATAATCCAAATTTCCAATCCCATGTTCCAAGTACAGAATCCTATCTGGTAAGTGGGTATGGTATTCTCATTCAGTTAAGCCCAAACCCTAGATTTCCTTAGTAAACCATATTTGAAGTATCTGAGAGCTTTTAGCACAGCCTACGCAAGTCCTGAAAAGAAACACTTGTTATGGCAAAACAGCGACACCTGTAAACATTTAACAGCCATGGTCCAAGATATACTCGGTACAAAAACCGTTAAGAAAGTTCTCTGTTTTGGGCTTGGTGACTTCTGTCGCTCTTCGCTTCAATGGCTGGAAAAGCAACATGGCTCTTAGGATGAGAAAGAGGAGACTAAGAATTTGATGGGCTGTATGATTCAGTATTCGATGGCTTTTACTATCGCTCAAATGTATTGTGGTGAGCTATGTACCTTAGTTGAGACATTAGAAAGACATTCTTATTATATGCCCGATGAAATTCTAGAAGGAATTTTTGGAGAGGCTGTTGGTTGTTCGTATGAGGTTAATTGTTAATTGTTGCTTATGCCGAGCCGTGTATACATTGTACCGGGTAGCGATGTTCAGCCGCGACCAACAATGTGAAGACAACTACCTACATTTGAAATACTAGTCCATCACTTGCACAGTAAATGAATCACGAGCATAATCATAAGCAATCTTGCTAGCATCTGAGAGAATAGCATTTATTGAATCTTACATTTCGCTTCTAATTATTGTTGCTGCCCGACGCTTATGATCGTCACGTGTTAGTAATCTGTCAGTTACCCCGCCGCAATCTGTTCAACCCACCATATTTCATATAATTCATCTTCCTACCACCCTCCACCCCCGCAAATCTGAACCCTGAGACCGAGTTCACATCCACAATTGGCTTTCGCAATGGTGCTTGACTTTTCAAACAAACCACATTTGTTTGAGGATGAGTTGGTAGGGGACGCAGACGCCGAAAGGAAACTATTCGCAAAATGGGCCTCCTCTGTTTCATTTAAGAAGAAAGCTGACGACTTTGAGATTCATGAGTCTGATGAGCTCGGTTCCAAGCTCACCATATTTCTGCAGCAGCTCGGTCTTCAAGGGAAGGTATACATTCCACTTTAGATTCCAAACCAGACAGCTCTGACAATGATTAGGGGTATTCATTAGTACAAATACCAGGCCCACAAAGTGCGCGCTTCCATTATATCAACGGCCACGCATTGATAATTCCCATACAAATACTACAAGGCGATCCGAAGGCTTCGGGTGTAGCTCTACGCGAAGGAAAGGTACTATTTATGAAGGCAAACCTTCAGGTGGAAATTCAACCAAAGTTACGCTTGCTTTTTATTTTACTCTAGCACGAGATTGCATTTGGCATAGGCGAAGGACTTGATCGCGGTGTTTCAGGAAATATAGAGTATGATGATCGTGGGTCTTGCGAGTTCTCAGAATGCAAACAGAAAATGTTTGGATCTTGAGGAAATTGATGCGAATCACCGGGGCCTGTTCTGGCGGACAACCCGTGGCTGTCTAAGACCGCGTTTGGATAGGTAGAGATACTCGAGAGCTCATGTGAGTTGATGTTAACATTGGGATAGTTGATAGGACACGGATCGACTTGTGCAAAGGTTGGAACGGTCGAGAAACTCGAGAGCTCATGTGAGTTGATGCTCATATTGGGATAGTTGATAGAACACGGATTGACGTGTTCAAAGGTTGGAATGGTCGAGAAACTCGAGAGCTCATGTGAATTGATGCTGATATTGGGATAGTTGATAGAAGACTGATTGACGTGTGCAGTGGTTGGAACGGTCGAGAAAGTTGAGAGCTCATGAGAATTTGCCGTTAAGTCAACACAAGATGTTTCATGGCCCAAAGATCTCTCGTCATCCAACGCACTGGCATTGAAAATCATGTCATATTCTCTTTCCATGCCACCAAACCAATCGGAGAAAGCTTTCGTGTTTTCGATATCAACTTCGCCGTATGATGAGTCGACGCATTTTGCAAGTTGTGCTAGGTCCACTGTTGGAACTTTCTCGAATTCGACATATTCCAAAATTGAGAACAAAGCCATGACACCTGGCACTGTGGCATATTTCTCCGCACCACGCCATAAATCTTCCAATGATTTACGAAACAGAATTTGGTTTGACCCTTTTTGGATGCCCTTCCTGTACATGTTGTGATGTTTTTTTTGAATGCCACAATCTCGGAGATATGAAGCCATCTTTCCACCCCGGCAGGATTTCTTCCCTTTTGCTTCCGCATTGGCAATTTTTTCAAGCCGAGGTTTTAGGCCATATGATCTTTCCCACTGAGTAAAATTATGAGCTATAAATGACTGAGTCAAACCTCTGACAAGTCGATCCTCATCAGTTAGAGCTCGCGCCGAGGACCCTCTTTGTAGAAATATGATTTTTTCGTCTAGCAACTCCGCGTCCAGCCGCATTTGGGCGAGGATTGCTGAAATAGAAGGGGTCTTTCGGCAGATTTCAGACAGATCAGCAAGACGAGTCTTCACTGCGTTGATGAAATTGGTGTGAGGTCCCTTATTAGATTGGTCTTCAGTAGATTCCCCTTCAGCAGATTGCCCTTCATCAGATCTCCCTACAGTAGATTCCCCTTCATCGGATCCCCCTTCATCAGATTGCCCTTCATCAGATCCCCCTTCATCAGATTGCCCTTCATCAGATCCCCCTTCGTCAGATCGCTCCTCAATAGGCGTAGGGCTCATGGCTTCCTCGATAGATGTCGGAGACTTCGAATTAGGGGAAGTTGAATAAGTTGGATGGCATATCGTTTGAGGATCCATTTCCCCGCCCTGATAATTGTTTGAGCCCGTAGAATGCTCAGTTGTGGAGAGCGCTAGTTTGAGTGTCTCCAAGACTTGGAATGAGAGATCACGATGGATTTTGAAAGTTCCATGCGGAGTATCGCAAAGAAGCTTCAAAGCAGAAAGAACCTGCGTTTCATCAGACATAATGTCATAAATCTAACAGGGCTGGGGATTTTTCCGTCGAGCTTTCGAACTGACGGAAGAGGGGTACATCGCTTGCTAAGTTTCCGAAATGTTGGATGATCCTCGAGTCTTCCTTATTCCTGACTAACGCACGCTGCATGCCCGAGCGCTAAGTCCATCATATCTATCCGCCAACCCTCACAGGGACGTAAATACTATGAAGTCTCACAGATACTGATCAGACTTTACGCTGAGTAATTCACATTTGGAAGGGACCTGCTACAACTCAACAATTACGGTTTGAATGGGGTTGAATGGCACTTGAGGTATTGGAACAAATAGATCAACAGTTTATGATGACCTTCTATTAGAAGGTTGAATGTATTGTTACAACCTCTTACGGAGTGTGATAGTAATTTGTTACGAAGGTCTATATAAAGCCGAGAACCGCCCAGGTATCTCGAAATTGAAAGCCCTTGGTGCCTGGCTTTGGTTGGTATGGCCTACTGCAGTATGCGGTAGAACAGATGTGTGAGAGGTGGATTACTTACTGGCCACTGGCTAGCTTCGTTGGCTTTGATTGGTGCCAGGAGTTTGGCTTACTGCAGCAGAACAGATGCAGGAGAAGTGCATTACTTACTGGCCACTGGCTAGCTTCGTTGGGTTTGATTGGTGCCACGAGTGTGGCCTACTGCAACTGGGTGATTGAGACTAGAGACCATTGATCCTGCACTGATCCCTTCCAATTTCAACTTGCGGTCTTATTAGTCGGCCAGAACACAGCCTCCACATATCTCAAATATCTAGATCTACGCGCTTCCAATTACGGAGGTCGACTTTGGATGTTGCGTTTATGTCAAATTTACCTCCAGCAAGGGGTCGGCTTCCCGAAATCCAGCGACTTCAAGGCATCGGAATCACCAGATATCTTCGCGCCTTAAACATCGAGTTTTACCCTCATATGGCGTTTCACTAATAATTTATTATCCAGTTAAATTAGTTCAGCAACAATGTAGTGTGTTTTCAAAATATTAGAAGTGGTGAAAAACTCCCCAATCTGGCAGAAACTGAAGTAGAAATAAAAGATGAAAATCAGAGCCCAGCCCGACTCCAAGGATCCATATGCACACCTTTCATGGTCACCAAACCCATCTAGAATCATATGTGATTTTATCGAAGCGCAAGTGTCAGCTCTTTTCGGGGTCTTGGCGCGCAATTCTAGATGCGGTTCGTGCATCGAGAAAGCGGGGGTAGATGGGCCTACGGAGCAACCTCCTAGCTCTATTTTTGGCCCCGTTCGGTTATCCGCAAATCTCAAGCAAATATAAGTAAATGATACAAAGTATGCCATAGTGAACGGCTTCGAAGGCTTGGTCTAAGCACTATTTAATCATCTGGGATTCCTTTTCTTTCTTTCTTTCTAGACCAAGACAAAAATTGACTCATACCACACCACCTCATCAAATCGTAAATCCTCCCTTCCAAGGTTCGAATCAAGCAAATTCTAGTAACTAATTCTTTTTAGCAACATTATAATGTGTCACATCTGGGTTACTACCACTATATTCGCTTGCGGACACCGAGAGATAAAACGAGAACCGCATCCATGCCCTGAGAATCATGCCGAGCCCTGGCCGGAAAAGCCCATGGGAAGTTCTCATAACCGTCGGGATAAATGCTCCACATGCCGGGGGGCTTCAAACGGCCATTAGCGTCCGATAGTAAGTGTCTCCTAATCAAATATTGCAATTCCTCGTTAACATGATCCATGGACAGAGCTTTGTGTATCTCGCCTAGGCTAAGCCGGTTATAGAACCTTGATTGAAGCTACAACGAGCCACTTCCCTCAACTATCCAACAAGAGGAAAGAAATCGGAGCTTGGGAAATCTCAAGGAGAACACTTAGTTTTGTTACATACGGGAGTAGGGAATTTGTTGAAGTATTGCTGAGGGTTTGGCTTGATACATATCAAAATCCAAAGTGAACGCAATTTCCCCTCCATAATATCTCAGCATCAAGAAGCTCTTCTTGAATTGCATGTCTCACAATTTGTCCGAATTTTGGCTTTATCATCCAACACCACGTTTTTATCATTATTTTCCTTGATTGATTGGCCCAGGCTACACATCTGATGCCTCTTTTATTCCTGTATCAAAACTAGTTCGATTTTCACGATGCCACCATACTTCGATATCGAGAAACCTCGCTACAGCATGACAAAGCAGCTTATGGAGTGCTATACACGCATAATAGATGACGCCAGAGTGAGTCGTAAACATATTTTGAGTAGATTTCAACTAAAGAAGAGTGCGTTTCATTTTGCAGCACACGCCAAGACTACAACGATCGCACCGTCACCCGTGGCAGATGCCCCCGTCAAAATTCATTATGCCTTTATGAGTCGAACTGCGCTGCATCACATGAAATACATTTTTCATGGAACAATTCCGGCTCGCCCGCTCAAGTGTAAGGTAACCTCATGTATTGACTACGTCGGTGGAACTATCATACTCAGATTTACCGACATGGTTTATCAAGTTTCCATGGCGGTATACGGGTCACGTGAGGAAATTATCATGTGACTCCAATAATTGCACGTGATTTGTTTGATATGAATCCTCTTCGCGCCCTTTAATTCTATTCCTTTCAACAATTAAGCTCACCTTCGACATGCTGTCGTATGTATTTAATCATGTTCGAAACTCACTTGTTCACTTCATATTACAGGCATTTGGATTCCTCGACCGCACGATATCTCCTTTAATAGAAAACTTCTCATTCCCAAGCCAACGTCCGAACGATCTCGAGTCCAATATCCAAGTGGATGTCTCAGACGGCACTTCAATTTGCGAAACATACACCGTACGCTTACAGCCTCAGCATGGTCTGGATATCTTGGGTGTCGGAGCTGCTGGGCAGGTCTATACTGTTAGCGACCAAATTGTCCTCAAGACTTGTCGAATTTTCGCACCCCCTAGTAATGATGCGTCTCGAAACGACCTTTGGCGTTATGCTTCGGACACACTCTTTCATTTCAATTTATTGAAAGATGAACGTACCGTTTTACGGCTACTACAAAGTAGACCACATCCCCACATCATACAAGCACTCGATACCACCCAGCCAGAGGGACTATATCTTTATAGATATCAACAACTACCTGTGCAATTAACACAGGCTTGCCGGATCAGATTATACTGTGATATTGCCGATGCTTTACGTCACCTTCACAGCCTTGGTATTATACACGCAGATGTGAGGGTTGACAATGTGCTTTTTGACGATCAGTCATCGGCCATTCTTTGTGATTTCAGCGCTGCCAGCCCTTGCGGTCAACCCAATCCCGTCTTTCCAGATCTTCCACTTCCGATCAATGGCCCTTCACCGATTTTATCTGAGGCATCCGACATGTTTGCACTAGCTTCGCTCATGTTTCACTTAGAGCACGGATACTCACCTCAGCTGTCACTAGAAAATGGAAAACTGGCTTTGCCTGAATTGAAATCGGGAAACACAGACATTGATAAAATTATCCAGACAGCTTGGTTGGGAAATTACAACCACACGTCAGAGATGGTAGATCATCTCACTTCAATTGGTGCCCATGAACATCATGCCGAAATCCCTGAGGAACTCCATGATTACGAAGATTTGAAGAGTCAGATCATAGAGTGGAAAAGCCACCGAAAAAAACAATTTGGTATGGTAACTCTTTCATGATCTTTGAAAATATTACCAATTATACTTACTAACTTCTACTAAGGATGTGTCCTCGAAGGAATTTTGTCTGATGAGCAATTGGCAATGTTGGCTGCACAATACGATATGGATGTAAATGCTGATGTACGGTTTTCCCATGACAGTTTGCCCTTGTAATTGAAAGAGTGCAATATAAGCCTTGGCTATAGATCTCTTGACTTCCTTTCCATCAACCGTGCAAGTCACACGCCTCTTCGCTATGCAGGCATGTCATATAACTGCGAGTAACGATCATGACAAACTTGCTGTGCTGATAACTTAATCACATACTCAGTTATCTTATCTACCCTTATTCGTTAATGGAAAAGTCATGAAGATTTGATTTGTGTCCTTTCACTTGGGACAATTTTTTTGCAAAAGATTCAAAGGTAGATTCTCGAAGACCGAGCCGAGTATAGTTACTCTATGTTACTATAGATTAAGCACCATATATACAATCATCTCCCCCATCTCCACTTTAGCTTAGCAATAAATTATTTTCCCAGATCATCTCATAAAAGCGAATTCTTGACACGATGTCATTTCTCAAGTTCATCAGGATTTGGTTTACATGGTATGTACAGTCTAATGCAAACGTGTCCCCATATCGTACTTATGCAAAGTCTATAGCTGGAAAAGAGACCGTTCAGATTCGTCCATGGACTTTCAAGATATAGGGCTTAAAGAAGATGACCTTCCAAGTCAAGTGAGGGAAAGAGCACTAGTCCTCTCCCGATAAATGTTCTGTTGGTTCCCCAATCCTCATACCCTTCAGTCATCCATCTAACCCTTTATAGCGACAATGGCTCGAGACACTCACAAAGGCTGAGATTCGCAAATTTGATCAATTCATTTGCACGACTCATTCCTCGAATATAAACAAGCCGGTTCTCCTCGCTCGGTTTCAAGGGCTATTAGAAGGCAAGGAATCAATGATTCATATTCCTCTGATGGAGCAGTGGGAGGTGGGGGACCATAAAATGAATTGTGTGACAGATGCTATCCGTATGATTGGGAAGGACCGCTTAAACCCAATAATAGACAGATTCGCGGGAGTTCCACATGTAAATAAGATGGAGATAGCATTGTGTCTGAACTGGATCTGATCTTTGTAAACTTAACACTCTATATAACGGGTAATGCAGTGCCATGAATCTAGCACGGAAAGCTGGCGAGAGTTATTTCCTTTAGAGCACTGAGATTTCAAAGAGGAATTCTATGAATAAAGGGCTGAACTTCTTACCTTAGTAGTGGTAAGGTATACAATGAGTGGATTGAAGAGCTTAACTGGCGGTCCAGACGCTCTGGAGAACTTTGAATGTATCAGAGGCGCAAAAAGAAGACAGAGAAGTATCTCAAAGGGACAAAAAAATTAAATTAGCGACTTTTCTGAATTTTTACAGTCGGAAGCTTGAGAAGGCTAAACTAACAAGACCTGGGACATGCGCCTATTGTCAAAACTCAGTATAAAGCAAAACCAGGCCCCAAATTATGTTATTCAATATCTATTTTTTGATTTCTGTTCAGCCTTCATCTACATATCTCACCTCCATAGAGGAGCATCATTCGATCACCATGTCTCAAAAAACCCGGCTGAGCTGTACTAAAACCATCCGGGTTTGGTACACTGATCTCATTTCTCAGCTCGATCCCTCCTTTGTAAACGAGATATACAGAGATCTTTCCCTACTATCCGAAATAGACCTTGTTAGTGATATGTTGAGATCCATTAAATCATTGTCGCGAGATGATATGGACACTTTGATCAAACAACTGGCCCAAAAGACTACTAGGAACAAAATTGCTGGGCTTCTTAAGGTCAAAAATGCTTGCTGGGGCGAATTTCTTCTCCTATTTACAATTGAAGAACGATGGCAGCTGTGGATGTTAATCAATCTATATTTAACTACAGCTAAGAAGGCAAAAAGGGTTGCTAAGGTGATTCAAGGTCTGCCTTCACGTCGCTTGCAGTGCATCTATTCTCGCTTGCAAGGCACCGGAACCCAGCGGGAGAATTTGAAGGCTATTCTGATGGTCCGAGAAATGGAAGAGAAATATGAAAAAGGAGAGCTAGGTAATTTCATTCTTCTCAATTTGTACCTCACCATGGGCAGCTCTGACCAATCTAGAAAACGAATTAGTCCCCTTGCCAAAATTTCAATCAGCTACCTGTCACCAAATTTAATGGAATTTATTGGGCTTTTTCAGCGGCACCAGTTTAGGTTCTTTGTTTTGATGATTGTTACTGGAGAAATTATCTTTCTGTACTTGCAAAATATCTGCCAACTTGATGGTAGAATATCCATCGAGTTGTAGCCAAACTTTTCCTATGAAAAGCTCCAGTCTACTTGCTTGATATCTTATTAACTTCAATGAACATTCGTTTTCTGTGACGGCCGTAATTATTAATGAATTAGGCTTATTTGTCTTTGACCGTAAGATCAACGCGTAAACCTTGATTGGGAGAAGTCACACCGTGTATATCCAGGTGAGCACTGTATCCGCGAGTTCTGTGCTATCCATGCTGAGATACATAGTAAAAGCGTAGCTGTCTCTCTGATTTAGCCCGAACCTAAGATAATACACCTTTACTCATACTATGGCTAGATTCCAAGGTATAAATGAAGAGCGTTTCAACGTCGGGACTAAAAGGCAAATCCCCACACCATTATAACCAGCCAGTATTTGCCAGTTCCGGTTGCCCCTTAAAAGATCTGTCTTAGCTATTGAGTGCTTCACAGGTTCAGTAGTAATAAATAGACTTACATCCTCCTAATCCCTGGACTGCTTTTGTACTTCACATACCTTGATAAGTGACCGGCAATATTAGAAAAACTATCTGGAACGAGCGAACTTGAACTTTCAGTGGATCCCCTGCAGAAATGTTTGATTAAGCATGAATCAATTCTACGAAAAGACAATCGGTTTACATAAGAAAACCTCTCCGACTGACTATGCTACTATATTATATATTTCACAGTCTACCACTTATAAATAAGAAGCAAGTGACCTGAAGGCTAGAAACAATCATCTGTTACAAGATGCCACCCCCTTATCCTTTTAACGCTGCATGTAAGCGCGGGGATAAAGCCTGTACTTGGTGTCACTTGAGGAAATCTAAGGTGAGTACTTCATACTTCAAAATGAAGACTTAGCTAACATCTTAGTGTGACGGACTAAGTCCATATTCCCGATGTCGAGCCCATAACAATATCTGTGACTTTGGTAGGAGAAAGAAGGCTTATAACAAAGTATCATATCCAAAAGGATGAGCTGGATCAGATCTATATATGGAGTATCTTGATTCCTTATAGCTAATATGTTCAGATATGTTGAAATGCTTGAACAGCAACAGGCCTGGCTGGTCCGCGGCCTCCAGGAACTATATCACCGTACTCGAGGAAGCGAAGGTTCTACATTGGCAGGCGATCAATTGAAAATACAACAAAACGGTCACCCTCTTACCTATGACCTCCTCACCCGTCTCGGTGCCCTCGATCACACCAAGGGTGAATATTTCGAAGAAGGTCCCGACGAAATACATCAAGAACCCTGCCCACATGGTATGAAATGCCAGGAACCAACCGACGGAAGCTCCGAACCTGAAGGAGGACAAAGTCAGCATTTTACATACATCCCACCATTCCAGGGCCAAGGGATATATACGTATGATTGATCGCACATATCCAATAATTTTCTTACTACACCATTACCTCATACGCAATCTCAAAATTCTAATGATACCTACTTTCAACGCCTAGAGTATTGGTGGAGCGAGATTCCCTCAGAAAGGCAACAGCGGGTATTTGGCCCTCTTTTGGAAAATATATCACTTAACCAAGATGATCCAAGCATTACCTCACCATTCTTGTCAACTGGGGTCTGTCAGTCCTCAAATCAGATGTCTGCTTCTATTAGACGGAAAGCTGTTTAAGGCACAACAAAGATGGAAATCAAAAATGGAGCAGCGAATCCGGATTCTCTATCTAAGTAACGGGAAATATTATTGCCTTGTATATTTAAACGCTATGGATGCGATTTTGTCTTTGAGGCTAAACAGGGTTGGAAGATCCATATCGAAGCAATTAATATGCAGCTTGATGTCTATCGCTGCGACGCCTACAAGTGCCACGGTAATGTACCAAAGGACTTTGGTCACAAAGAATACTTCCGAGGGCACCAGAAACGTTTGCATGGAGTTTCGAACGGACAAGAGATTGACGAAGCGTTTCAGCGTTGTCGGATTCAAATGCGAAACCCGCCACTTCAAAGTCTTTGTGGATTCTGTGGAGACTCTTTCCATGGAGCGAGCAGCTGGGACAGAAGATTGCATCATGTTGGGCGCCACCTGATGGAAGGAGACCAGTTGGAAAAGGAAACTGAAGATGTTTTCCTAAGGAATTGGGCTCTTGAGGAAGGTGTCCTGGAGATCGTTCACGATAAATTTCAATTAGTTGGACTGGCCAATGTGCATGAGGCTTCATAAGAGGACCCCGGGAGCTGAATTCTAATATCTTCCTGCTAGACAACCCTGAAATAAAATGGAATGAATTTTATCTTATGATATCATCATCCAAAGCGTCTTCATCCTTGGCGAAGCATCTCTTACCTAGCCAGATTTCATAGGATCCACAGGATCCACCCTGTTGAATGATTCCCCGGGTGTTCCGACATCAGGCTTTCGGAATAGAATCAAGGAGAAGATCTTCTTTAGTTAGTATGTTAATATAGATGGGCAATCTTATTCGTGTCTATTGGATTCGTGTGTCCTTGTATTCAGAAGGTGGGACTTTCCATATCAGGGATTAGGGGCCTGAGGGTATTCTTAAGATCTCTTTAGGGAATCCCAAGAAATATTTTGTTCATACTTTCTAGGAATAATGGCAATATAGGGCTATTATTCGTTCAAAAGTTATTCCAAGATGATGCTATCCTCAACCGTGCCAGGTCATCGAACTCGGCTATAATAGATCTACTACAAGGAGGACCAGCCATATAAAAACAAGCCCTTTCCTACAAGTACGTAGCCCACATTCGAGCATATTAAATCTTCAAAAATTTACTCTTCGGCAATAGTGATAGTCGTGACAAGATGTCGGAACAGCTGAAAAAAGCCTGGTATCCTTTTACAATTGAGTCCAACGAAAGCGCATACGATGATAGCTTCGAAACGAGTCCTTTGTCAGTTTTTAGTCAAACCCCAACTCTAGAGGACAACAACCCGGATGATGACAATATTATCAAAGAACGGACTGAAAGGGACAGGAGCGCAGGGGGACGCAAAGGGAGGGATTCGTTGCTCGAAAATAGTCCTGACCCTCTCCAATTTGAAGAATTCGCTGGATATTTACCATGCAAGGGATATATGAACAAGCTAATAGACCGATATTTCAAGTCGGTCTCTCCGGTAATGTGTGGTTAAACCCTGATTATTCCGTCAACTAACATGGATACAGGTTTTTTACTGTCTCTTACCGACGCAATTCCGAAAGGACTATATCAAATTTTGCCAAAGTCCGGAAAGGGTGCCTCTCTCATGGCTATCATTACTATTTGCGATTTTGGCATTAGCGTGTCGCGCGGACGGCACATCGGATGACCTCACTTGGGCCGGTTTTGAAAAACTGGCGAAAATTTACGAATCGAAAGCTTCAAGTCTTTCACTCAATGTGGAGCCGTCGACGAATGCCTTAAAGGCGTTGGTGCTGATCATTTATGGACGTATCTATCGAAGAGAGAATGTATCCGAGGAGCTTCAACTGGCGTGCAATATGGCGAATTTAGTAGCCTGTATTGAATGTGCCACCCAAACTTCAATTTGTGATGAGCATTATATACTGTTTATATGTTTAAGTATATTGCTCTTTATGGATAAGCAATTATCTAATGATGGTGGGGGAAATTTCTCGAAAAGCAGGCAATTTTTAGAGATGATGGACAAGAGGAAGAATGATGGGGTTTACAGCCTCGCAATGGATCTGGAAACAGGCGATTTGATGGAGAGAAAGTCTACAATGCTACAATTTCACGTTATCAAAATTTCACGCAGGCTCGGTCTAGCTGCACAGCGGGACACAGAGAAGCATTGTGTTGAGGTTTATAATCGTTTGAAATCTTCAGAATTGGGATCTTGGCAGAGGTGATCCTCATACTTGGGACTATACCATGAAGTTTACTCTTCTATGTGTTTATTTACCCTACCTTCAACATGACATTGATGAAAGCACCGCGCTCTCTACCAGGTCAGCTACCTTGAAGTGCGCTGATTACGCGAGAGATTTGATGTTATCAAGATTGTTTAGTCAACAATCCGGTGCTTTTGATTGGTATGGTCGAGGATTTGGACAATACTATACTGACCTGTCAAGGAAGACCCTCTCCGGAGTATACACAGAGCAGGATCTAATTCTTTTCATGAGGGCTTTGAGTTTGTCTTAGGGTAAAGTCAAACCCACACACAAGAGGGTACAATTTTATTGGTTGTCTGAAGTTGCTGTAAAATGTGGAGATGAAATTAAATGGACTGAAGGACATGTTAATAAAACTGTACATCTGATAAGGGAAATGATTGCTCTTTTGGAGGATTAGCGCTTAAACCATTCAAGTCTATTCTGAATTTGTAGTCAGAAATTCTCTAATTCGCCTACTTGCTCTGGCTTCCAGCAGTATTAAGCAAGGCATGGGCCGTATCCCGCATAAATGGGATATGTGCAAAAAGCTAAATTGTGTCAATTCTAATCAAAGGAAAGATAGTACAAGACGAAATTATTTAAATAAATTCAATTTCCTCTCGAACAGATGGTCCACAAAGAAGCCATTCTTCCCAATCAAGACAATGGAGCCAGAAATCTTTGAAGGTGTGTGTGTCTTCTAGTATCATATTATGCTTGCTAATTGGCAATAGTTGATATTTTGCGTATGAAAAAACACCAGGGAAGAACACTTGTTTACCCACCAAGGAGCCTTCTTTCTTCCTGCCAATCAATCTTTCAATCTCTCTGTCTTGAATTTACTCCCCAGCAAGTTTTCATCGCTATCGAAAAGAGTAACGACAATGGTCTTCAAAATGAGACCCAATTCCTTCTTCGAGCTATGCAGCAGAGACTCTGCGCTAATGGAGTTTATAACTCCAATGAAGGCCGTCTTATTCGGCTGGCCATAGCTTTTGTCAGAAAATGCCAAGTCACGGAGTCCGACGCTGATGTTCTAAATGAAGGAGGAACATTGATTGACTTCTATCTTATATATCTGGGAAATTAGGGAATGCAGATAGAGCTAGACAGTGGAAGGATTATCGAGAAACAAGGCAGCTTAGCAGAGCTGGCTAATACTATTCGTTACAAGCTTTATTGATTTTGTCGTGCTACGTTCACTGTGGGTAAAGATCGTCTCACGAGGTGGAAAGACTAGTTAAATCTCGAATATTGACATATTGTCTTCGTTCCTTGTGGCTTCGACTATGTACGAAGATTTCTGGACAAAGCGTCCAGATTTTCCAATATAATAACACAGTGGCTTATCGCTCAACTCCCTGTTTGCTTCGGCTAGTTCTATGCGAGATGTTTCTTTTGTATTTCATTTATCACTCTAGTAGACCTTTCTATCATTATTCTTCCAAGTCTCTCCCTTTTTATTATCAGTTTCCTGAACTATGTCCGAAATTCTTTTTGATACAATGATTTGGAAGGGCTTGAGATAGTTAGAAGATGGATAGCCAATTATCGGCAAGCGTCCACATGTATAATTGGGTTATATTTATATTGAAAGATCAATTCTTCTCGGTATCAGAAGGGCCTGTGCCCCCAGTATATTCCAAAGAGCACTGATACTAAGTCCAAAATACGAAACTGCGACAAGTCCATAGCCCAGCATAAATTCTGAGGATGGGAGTGCAATAGAGGTGATCTCTGGAGAGGTTTGCTGAGTAACATGTGGACTATTAGACCATAAGTGCAGGACGGTGCGAGCTATAAGAAGCTTTTTGGCACAGGGGCATTTTTTACAAAGCAAACGCTTCTAGATTATTTACCCAAAATAGAATTTGTCGTTTGAAAGTATAAAAGGTACGATTGCCCCCTGGAATGACTGAAATAAGCGGCCACTTTTTATCGCCCGTTCTGAAAAAAAAACCAGATCACCTGTGTATTTTGAAGGACGCCTGCAAAGAGTTCGCAGCCGAGATTGAAGCCCTTGTTTACAAAATATATTCCAAGCTGGTTCATTCAGAGGTATTTATGAAAATTAATTGGCACTGGACATTGCTAATAATTGACAAAGACGATAAGTGATCCGGCGACACAAGTAAAGGCGGAATAAATCCACATCACCGACACAACACGCTTATCAAGCGGCAACTGCGTCAGGGATACAATGGCGCCTGCAGAGAAAGCAATCAAGGATGGGAATTTGTTTGGAATGAGGACCTTGCGAAAGAAACTATCGCAACGTTTTGCCGGTAGGACTACACTGCCACCCAGCACAGAGTCCACACCGGCCAAAGCTACCAGGGTGCAAGCGATCGAATTCCACAATGAAAAGACGGAATTCGTTATGGAGGTTGATGAGAATGGTGAGGAGGCAGTCCACCTATATGACGCCTTTAGTGTGATGGAGCTTTATGGAGCAGAAGAGGCAATTCGGAAGTTCCGCTCCGATATCCTGCCCAACGGAGGGCTACAGCAAAAAGTTCGGCGAATAGAGCCAGGTAATGAGTTAACCTTGCGCTTAGTGGCCGGGAGTCAAGCGCCTATCTTCCTGAAGAGGGGAGTTGACGGCAACCTTTTAATATCAATAGAACCTGCAGCGTCTTGGACTCAGAAAGATGATCACGGAGACAAGAGCGCTATAATCCTAGAATCTGCAATTTCGACACCATAATTACATGTACGCGATTTATCTTGTGTGTATTGGAGAATGAATACAGAGTTTGAAAAGACACGAATTCTTAACACCTTAGCCTCACAGAATGGAATAGACAGAAGCACTGAGCTCTGACATTGTGATTATAACAAGAACCTGTAGGAGCTTGGATGTGTTTCGCGAATTTTCCAGCTGCATGATAAGCTTCAGCACATCGAACGCCGCGCTCAGTACAGGGAATTAAATACAGCAGGCCCGAGCATTTTTGGTCTCTCGCAGATCTCATTTCCCAGGCTCCGAGCAAGCCACTTATGGTGACTATGTGATAAACTCAAATTCTTTTTTTTCTTATTTGCTGCAGTAGTTGACCCCATCTCTGCCCGAACCAGTATCATTCCCCTGTCTAAATAGTGTACGGCGACCCGGAGATTCCTTAGTTCTCGAAGGCATGCTTATAGGAAAGAGCCTTTTAAAGCCCGCAAGCCTGCAATAAAGTCCTGAATCCCTCGCACTCTTCAACACCGAATACCAAGTACATTTTCAAGTTTGAGAACTATAACCCAATCAAAATGACTCAGCCATCTGAGACAGACCTGCTGGAAGCCCTTTTATCACTGGTCGAGACTTTGGTCCCTGGGCTTCCACAGCTCATCCGACTCCGCTCACTATTAGTCGGAGTCAATCCACTTTCTTACTTTTTCTACATTTGCTCTTTGGTTGCAATGTCTGTCATAGCTTTCAATTTTATCCTTCCATGGACTGTCGCGAGCCTGAAGCCAGTCTTTGCCATATGCATATCGTCGGCTGAAATCAAACATGCAAACAGCTTGTACCCTCAAGCTACGATGTGGATGTCCACGGTTCATTTTTACAGTTTGTCACGCTCTACAATAGTCGGACTTAAAGACGGGTTCAGCTTTCTTTGGGACTCGCACGAGGACTCTCTGGAGCTTCTTGATACCAATAACCAGATCTACTATGGAAGGGTGAAGAAGGTTCGATCTACACCTGGACAAAATTGTCTCCATTTCTTCCGGTTTGCAAATTGTTGGTTTGCCTTATACCGTGACCCGCAAGATGCTCGCAACGACCCACTGTCGAGAAACCGAGAAAACATTATCATATACCATTTCTCATGGAGCAAATATGCGTTTCATGACTTGATGGTACATATTCAGAAGGTCAATGTTGATTCTCGCCGTGGGAAAATACCGATCATGATTGGATACCAAAACAAGCAGATGGTTGAGTGGCGGAGGATGTGCGACGGACGTCAACGACAGCTGGAAAGTGTGGCATTAGACAAAAAAATGAGAGAAGAGATCATATCTGATATCAAGTGGTTCTATGAAAAGGATACCATCGACTTATATGAGAGGCGTGGCATCGCTCATCGGCGTGGCTATCTCTTCTACGGCGCCCCGGGTACTGGCAAAACTAGCTTTTGCCACGTGATTGCCACGTTGTTTGGTCTGTCGATTTCATCGTGAATTTTGCTGCTATTGATGACCATGGTCTGCGAGAACTCTTTCGCACGCTTCCCGAGTCCCCCGAACGCTGTCTGGTGCTTTTGGACGATTTCGATGCGGCAGGAATCACGAGACAGGGCAGTGTGGTCAATAACGGCAGTGTGGAGAAGGGTCAGGGACGGGTGACTATGGCTACCCTCCTGGGAGTTCTAGACGGAATTGGGACTCACGAATACTTACTTGTGGCCACTACAAACGTTAAGCCCGATCTGGATCCTGCTCTGAACCGCCCTGGGCGGATCGATAAGGAATACGAATTCGAAAACCCCGACCACTCAACTTTAGAAGAATACTTTAATTATTTCTTTGACTGTCGGAAAACAGGTACTGACGGACTCGCTGCTAAGTTTGCGAGACACGTCTCCGAGGGAATGGTGACGCCTGCTACCATTCAAGAGTACTTTTTGAAGTGCAACGATTCTGTCACGGCATTGGCGAAAGTAGAGCAGCTGGTGAGCTAGTAGCTTTGTATGAAATTTGAAAGCTTTTTCTTACCTTCATATATGCAAGCAAGGAAAGGTTTCCAAGCCAGACAATGGAAAGGATATACAGAATTGGAGTAGGGATGAAAAAAAGTTCACACGTGTATACCAGGTAGATAAACGTGACTGGAATAATACGACGTGTATGAGTTATTGTGGAAATCTTCGGTTTTATTGGCATGGTCAATTAGCACAGAGGCAAATCCAAACTTACTTTCTCTTTTCTGCAAGGATTTCGCTCTTGATTGACGCATAATACGGTTCTATCTCTCGAGTTATCAACCCCTCTTTGTCACATGTATAGGACTGTGCAAAAAGTGACAATGAGATCCAGACTCCGGGGCTCATCCACTCCTCGCAGTGCCATGACATCGCTCGGGCCTATGGATGAATAGGTAGAATGATGCAGCCACTACTCATGGCGATGTGATATTGAATGTGATAGGGAATTATTCAGACCCCACTCTCAACTGTCCAAAGCTGGCTTTTGTAGATCTAGAAAGGAGTCTTTTGATGACCTTGCAGATCGGAATCTGGTCCCAGATGGCATATAATTAAATATATCCCGCTCTGGCTCATACCTCTCACTGAGAAATCTTGAACATGAGCAGAATGTACATCTCGGAGCCCTCTGGGGAACTTCCCTTGATCCCTGGCCGCTGCTCGTTCTCTCAACTCCTCCTTATACTCTCGGGTTCTGGGGACTTCGAATGTTAAGATCAAGCGCAAACTCTCCGCCTGGCCGAAGCAACGACGAGTCCAGCGGAAAGCTGTGTAGAGTAGAGATCGCCAGGTAGAATCAATGGATATGATAGTAATATACTACATAGGGAAACACCAAACCGATTGAAATTGATACTAGATGATATGAAGAGCTTCTAGGAGAGCACAGATGTTGCCGATTCCCATTTGTTACTTCTGTGAACCAAAAAACCGTAGAAAGTCACACCTTGGACATATCACCGTTCACTACCACACAATTTGGTCCCACCCGCACATTCCTGAGCTCATAGGTCACTCGACGACCGTTGACTTGCCATTGCTGCGAGACCGCGGGCTAGCCTCGACTAGAGGTAGAGGCGATTGGTCGCTATCGGGCGGAGCAAGGCCCAGGAGTATTTATCAGTGTTAACCGAGCTATATAGATGAGCAGCCCGAGTCTATCATGCGTAGATATAAAATGCTTTCGCCATCCGGCAAAAAAGATCGCAAGCTCCCATATCGGCGTATCAGAGTCGCTGTAAGTACCAAGGTTATACCAACCATACATTGATCAAAAGACTGACATCGATAGTGCAACAATTGCAAGCACAGAATTTCCCGAGAGATCTAACACCAGGTTACTATATTTTTAGTGAGTATTAAAAGATCTTAAAGACTGTTGATGATCTGTTTATTGACTCATTTCTGGATCTAGGTATTTCAGATAAACTCAACCCAAATATCCTCAGATTCCACAATGGCCAAAATCCTAGATCTGGTAGGAGATATTGCAGTTATCGGTGTTATAATATGGTTTATACTGATTGGATGTATCATGCCTTTGAGGAATCTTTTGGCAAGACCGGGTAATGCAGTGCCATGAATCTAGCACGGAAAGCTGGCGAGAGTTATTTCCTTTAGATCACTGAGATTTCAAAGAGGAATTTCATTAATACAGGGCTGAATTGAGCCTTTTCCACTTAGAGCCTACTTTGTAGTTACTAGATAAGCCCTGTGAGTAACCCTGCATATTCCAAGTATTCGTTCATGCCTACGTCTGATTCTTCCAACATCGCTTGGGAATTGGGCAGTCCTGTTTCAAGATGGCCACTTATCAGACCACAAGAACCGGCTAGAGCACAAGGACCAGCCAGACCACGAGGACAGCCAGACCACGAGGACCAGCCAGACCATAACGAGCAGCCAGACCACGAGCACCGGCCAGACCACGAGGACTAGCCAGACCACGAGCACCGGCCAGACCACAAGGACTAGCCAGACTACAAGGACCGGCCAGACCACGAGGACTAGCCAGACCACGAGCACCGGCCAGACCACAAGGACCAGCCAGACTACAAGGGCCAGCCAGACCACAAGGACTAGCCAGACTACAAGGACCAGCCAGACCATTCTAATGGCCCCTCAAAGGATCGTTTTTGAAACACAATACCCTATCGTGTTTCAGTCTAAGCTGTAGGTAATTTGAGATAGATTTAGCATCCATTTCCTCTGCCGTTAGCTTTTCTTTTTCTGTATCCATACATCTCCATGAGAATAGTTTCATCCCATCCAAATCAAAAAATCTCTCGGCAGATACAAAATGGACTCCTTAGATAATGAGCTCGGAAAACAGGCAAACCAGGCAGCAGCTCACAGAAATCAGTATTATAAAGGGAGCGCAGTAATCCCTATTCGGCATATAATCTTCGATAGAGAGGATATAGTCGGACGAAGAGAGTTTGATGAAAAGAATCTTGATCGGCTTCAACGCATCTTCGAGGTTGAGGGATGTTGGAATCTTTACCCGGAATACCGCATTGCTGTTACCATCGATCAGTCGGATCTTGAGTGGTCACTCGTTCATAATAATGTTTCACTTGAGGTACTAATGGATCCTAGAGAGCAGCCTCTCTTGAACTTCCGCAATGGTACAAAGTTGAGGTGTATTTACGGGAAGCACCGCATCAAGGCGTTGTCTATGTGTGGTGAGACTAAATGGCTTGTTGACATTTATCTTGGAAGTAAGTACAGCAATGTGTCTATAAATTCCTTCAGAGATATTAAGGTTATCCAGCAATACCATATGAGGCACTTCTCTCTCTGCAAGTCGATGCGAAGAGCCAAATACTCTCGGACGGTGAGGTATATCGCTGTTTAAGGGAATGTCAACTCTTAGAACGTGGACGAGAAGAGGCAACTTGGTGGGCAAGGCTGGGAAATCGAGGCAAACATAAAGATATCCGCCGGCTCCAACGTAATAAGCCCCTATTTCGGGCGTTTGATCATCTTATACCGTGGAGGGGCTTTTGGAAACCCTTGAAATGTTCTTAAATCGAACGAATGCTTACTTTGAAGTCCCTAGAGGTATGTGTATATGATAATTCCGTCCCATATAGCTTCTAATGATGAACAGATTATCTGTAACTATCTTAATCGGATTAGACTTTAGTGGTCTGGAGTTTTGATAAGAGGGAGTCTTGTGGATTCCAGGTCTATTAGTCTGATAGAAGGCCTTATTCCAGAGCTTGCGGCAGATCGTGATCGCATTTTAGTCTTGGTTGAAAATGGAGAGCTTTTTCCACTTATTCCCGATGGTGCGAGGAGCCAACTACTGGACCGTATATTTGGTTTACGTGGAAGGATTCTCTCCCTGAATACCCTTATGAAAGATACACTTTTTCTTGAGAAACCAGCGAAAGCACTTCATCTACTCTGCCCTATAAGATTCAAAGAGAGCCTGAGAAAAGAACTGCTGTGTGACTGGGAACTTTTCGGCAGCGGCAAGGCTGTTCAGATACAAGTTTCTAAACGCCGATTTAAAGAGAGAGCATTCTCGCAAGACTCATTTTCGATTTGTTTTATGCAATTGTGGTTATTCAGCTTAAGACACTTTGTACAAAAGCAAAATGAGTTCCGGCGAGTTAAAAACGACTTTGGTTAGAGCTCCGAAGGTCTGAGCTTACTCATACTAGGAGACTTGGCTTATAGACTTGGTTTCTCCTCTCCGAGTATTGGCTAGCTTCGTACCCGTCAAAAAGATGTGCCTGATATGGTAGCCGAAGGGTTTATTAGATCCTTATACAAGGGGGATTCCAAGGCTCCCTAACGGGATGATGTTGATTCCTTATTGAGCCAAATTGGAAGGGCTTTTGAGAATCTTGCTGATTTTGACTACTTAGCAAACAACCATCCAAATACTACCACAGAAACATATAGTAAAGGTATAGGACGAAGGTTTAATGCACTATCACTCCCAGAATTAGAGGAATAGTCCAGTTATCTGTTCCTTCCCAATATTCTTCTTAAAGACCAAGCGCAAAAACGATATCCAACATCCTGGGGTATAACAAAAGATATTCTGTTCTGTTTTTTTTCTGACCTGAGTTCTATCTATCTTTCGACCTAAAAGGATACCAGCTATCCAGTCAACTCGGAGCCTTTGGTAGATAAGAGCTACCCTGGGCCCCACACTAAAAGGGGCATAGCCCCTGACCCAAATTAATATCCCCTGGGAAATAAAAATCACCAGATTCCAAGACCGATAATGGATGATACCTTGCCCAGTACAGACACCGATGAGACTAATGACGAAAACATATATAGCCTATCAATATATACAGATAATGACTCTGAGGAAGATAAAGATCAGTCACCTCAAGGAGATGACCTTGGAGCTATACCTTCTCAAGTTAACGAAGAATCCGTTAGCACCTCAACTAATGAGTCTATACATAATGATCCTCTCAGTCTTGTTCCTGGATTTGAGGATAATTATCCAGTAGGAGCTCTCAGAACAGATCTTCAAATCCTAACACTCAGGCCGGTACAGGAGATTCTGCAGGCCTGGTATGATGCTCCAGGGAGTCACGATCTAATAGTTCTGTTCCTCTTCGAATCTCGCTGCTATTATAAGTTTAGACTTAATGACAGGGATGCCCTGGAAACTACTCTTAAGACGCTTGCGGACCAGTATAACTTTTTCAGTATAGACCCGGAGTTTGGGTTTGTAACTCTAGGCGTCAATAAGGTTCTAAAGTCGGCGCTGGATCGACGAATTGTGCTAGTTGGAAAAATAAATAACCTAAAAAAGACAGTTAAGGATGGTGATTTGACGATGTCGGTGGAGGCATTAAAGGAACATGTACAGAGACATACCCTTCACAAGAAAAGGAAGTATAAGGATATTTATAAGGTCTATATCCGAGAGAAGGACTTGGAAGGTAGACTAAGAATAAGGAGGAGAATAGACTATGGAGCAGAGCCTGAGGTAGACTTAGCACCGGCTCATAGGGAACTGAGTCAGGGTGAATAGAAGATAGTTTACCGAAAATGTATAAGCTTTAAGAACAGAAAATCCAGTATCGTTCCATATAAAGACAGACTGTGTTTTAAGAAAAAAAAATAATACTGAAGATAAAAAAGCATCAAGTATGCAAAAGCAATACTAGGTTTAACTTCGAATGTACGGTGAAGGATCAATTAATTTGCAAGAAATATACTACACTAAATATGTGAAAAGGTTTCCGGTGCTTTTGTATTGACTTGCAAGCTGCTTAGGGGCTCGGCTCTATCCAGCAGAGGGATTGTTTGTTTGCTATATCAGATGTATAAATTCGTTAGATGAAAGCGTCTTGGGATGATTAGCTATATTTTATTAGGTAATACAGTGTTACTGGAGATTTGTGATAATTAACGAGATCTCAAGAGGCAGAACCATTTAAGAACTATCCTAGCTATGGTTTAATTGTTTAAGGTTAAATAATCTACCAATCATCAAGATATATATTCAAAACTTGAAAGTCTGGCTGAGTAGGATTGGTTAAAAGTCTTCCATAATTAGTTCATACCAAAAGGATTGTAAGAAGCTGTACGAAAATATAAAATATATCTGCGATATAATAAAAACTGTGTCTACTCAGGGCACCTGGGTAAAGAGAAAAAAGTTACTTAAAGAATCAAGATCATATATCACGAAAACTCTAAGACGCAGGGGAGGTATCCATCACCACTTCAGGCTGCCCTTTCTCATCCTCAATCTGATTTGCACCAAAATATGTAAATTCTTCTATAAGATCTTCCATATCCGTACAAGTTTCCTCTCCGAAGGCGTTCGGGGTGGTCTGCTTGTGGTGAATCTCCGAAGCAGAACGCATATAACCCACCGATAATTTAGGGTCTTTATGGGGGAACCTATCAATATTAAGGTCCGTATCAGGCTGCCACTTTCGTTTTCTGTTGACATAGTTGGTTTGAGTTTCTTCAATTGTATATACATCAAAGAAATAGCGGCGTAAACTTAATATGTCCTTATAGTCCTTAGTTTGGCAGCACAGATACGGGCAAAAGAAGACTGTTGAGCTGCTCAATGTATAGAGATGATCATCTATATATTTGAGAAGCGTCTTTTTGACCAACCATTGCTGGAATCTCTTATCTGGTTTCTTCTTCGTATCTCCCAGACAGAAAGGACAGAATCCAGGAGCGACAAGCGTATATCGGAAGGTCAGAAGGCCACATCGGGGGTATAAGTTATTAAGATGGCTCTGACAATAAGTCTGCCAGTCTACCTCGTCATAGCATAGCTCCACACATAGATAACAGAACTGAACAAACCAACGCTAAGCGCGCCTATGCGCCTGTTTTTCATTACGATAGTGTTGTTGATATGGAGGACCGCCTAAAGATCGTTTTTGGCACTGAAGAATATGCTTTGACCGCCCCTATAGCGTAATCCTGTCTGGGTTAACATGGTATCTCGACGGGAATTAAAAAAAAACTTACTCTGACATTGGCTTCGAGCAAATTGGACAGAGACCCTCGGTAGGTGATAGTCCGGGATAAAAGGCCACGCGCTCTGTAGATATACAAAGTCCAACCATGTCCTATAAGTATTGTTGGCCAACTGGACTATCCACTGTGGTCTCTGTGAAGAGTGACTCCTTCAGCCTTGCACGTTCTGGAAGAAATTTCTTGAAGATCCCGAATAAGGATGTTCTGTCCCGCTCGGTAAATTCATTACCGGAGACATATACTTTATAAGCGGAGTCCCACCACTCTTGTACAAAATTTGCTTTCCAGGATAATAATCGTTTGGCCTTTCTGCTATAAAGATTCGTGCGCTCTGCCACAAGATCCTTATGTATCTGAGGTTAACCAGCAATTACAGAGGTCAGATAAGTGATTCTCTGGTTCATTATTTTAATCTCTTCTGTCTCTTCGAATACTGCGATGGTGGCCGCGTCCAATTTCTGCGGGGCATTGAGGTCTCGGTGATAGGCTATACTTTGCTCTATGTTACAGTATTTGTAATCAGGCTTGAGATCGTGGATCAGAGCTTGGATGTCCAAAGATTTAAGAACGGACTGATATTTGAGATATATGTTATGGTTTTGATGGTTAAGGGCCTGGCCTCGAGTAGCCTCTGACGCCTTGGCTAAAAAGAATTAGTCAATATCCTAGTTTGTGGTGCTAAGAGGCTTACGATCAATGCAGTTTGCAATATTTGCTCGAATTCTATGGACGCGTAATTTATCTCTGAAGCACTGTCTCTGAGCCAAACTTGTATTGTTATGCCGGAGAGAGGAGAAAGTTAATGCTCTGTTGGGAGACGGCCCTTCTGGATTCACCATTCTAAAGAATGGAAGCTCCTTTTTATCCTTAACCTACTCAATCGTATATGATTCTCTTCCTTCTGGAGGTCTTACTGCAAGGACGTCTGCCACCGTGTTAAGCCCCTTAAAGGCACCATCGGCGACCCCATGCACGATTACCCAGAAGACAAAATTAAGTCCAAGGACTGGGTGCTCTCTAAACCAGTTTTTTGGCCTCATCCTAAGTCAGCATCCTAGCTTTAAGTCCAGAGAATTCACTCACAGGTATTTATCGTCTCGATGGCGCCATCCTTTGAGAAACTTAGAGTCGATCGTCACCCAACGCTTTGACCGGCCTGTTTCAGAGCTCTATTTGATATTGAAAGTGAGATGCTACAGAATCCTTATTAGCTTGATGACCTAAAGGTCAGAAGAGAGGAATAGGTAAGATTGGTAGTGAGGAGATTAAGTTTGTTAGATTAAGATAAACCTTGTAGTAGAGGCACTTATTAGAATCACGGTATGAGCTTGATTCTATGATAGCACCTGCCCTGGAGCCAGAGCCAGAAAACAATGCGAGAGAGCTTCCTATCTGCACGCGGGCTCGCTTATGTTTATAATCATGCCAATCATCCCTAAATAGGCCACGAAGAAGATATTTAATATCTTTAGCCATGACCATGAAGCGTTCTTGCGGCTTGGTTCTTAGACTGTATTTGACCGTCAGGTCGTTCCTAATATACTATCACAGGTTAGTTAAAGTTTTGCGGGTGGGTTCTTGTTATTAAGCTGTACATTCATAACATCATCTTTAACTTGGCTCGGCAAAGAACGAGAAGTTTCCCGCTCCCATCTTGAAGTAAAATTGATGAAGTTCTGACAGGCCGTCTTCTGTGACGGCAAATCTTTCCTTGTAGCAATGAAATATTCCGCAAAGGACTTCAGGAGTTGCGGGGTAGGATCAGGCTCCTCTTTTGTAAAGTTAGCGTTAGCTGCTTCGTTGCGGGATAACCTCCACCTGTGAATGTATTAGGGCCAGTAATGAGAACATGAATTTTGGTGGACCTTACAATGCCCAGTTCAATGCAGTATTTTCGTAATTTTGGAGCGTAGCCGGTGCTAGCTCCTTGTGGCAAATGGTATTTTCTTCCTGTTCCCGTTCGTTCTGGTAATCAAGGGTGAACCCACGTGATGCGGCACGAGCGTTCCCCTCGGCGAGCTTTTTTTGAATATTTTCTGGGAGCATCATCTTTCAGCTAAGGGACAAAAATGATTTAAAAACGGCAGGCCTTGATGAGCGCCCCTGGACCGTTATTTATGTCAAAAGCGAATACTGCGATGGGTCCTCTCACCCGCTCTCACCCCGTTCTCACCCCGTTCTCACGTCTCTCACCCCAGTCTCCAGAATTCTCACCCATATCACCCTCACTCACCCTAACACAAAACGCGGTGCTGTTTTAAAGCCAAGGGCTCTCTGAGAATTGACCGCGTTCTATATGTGGCTTAAGTACGGCTGAGCGGACGGGAAGCCCTGTTCTCCACACCCTGTGGTCGTATGTGCCAAATTTTTGAAGATAGGAAATTATATAGCGCTGGAGGATAATTATAGTAGGCCCAAGTGTGAAGGGCTGTAGCAAGACTTGATTCAATCTAACTAGGCCGGCATGCTGCTTACATTAATCTTGAAGAAAGGAGCTTTCCGTGTATGTTCGTGTGTCAACATGTGTGGTCGGTCACGTGCTTCCGTGACCAACATAGGGCTTCGGCCCGTGACAGATTTAATGCAGTATGTGATGGTGACGGTGGGCTATTTGAGCGTTGCTTGAGAAAAGCTTTGATAGAAGATGCTTGTTTCCAAAGCTCGTTGATATTTGTAGGCGTATGTGGGTAAAAAGTGCTTGATTGGCTACCACGGCTTCCAGGGGGTGTAGGTGTTCGAAGTTGAATATTAAGCTTAGATAGTACTAATTGAGAATCAAATGGTACTATTCCAGCTGCTTGAAAGCTATTCTTGATTGTGTCTGATTTGAATGTGTTGATACGAGCTTGTGGATAAGCTGCAAGAAAATCAAATTTATCAATATGGTTGATTCCAGCTCGTACTTTTTGGCTGATTAAATCACCATAGATATGCTTTAATACAGCAAAACACCCAATATCAAGAGGTTGAAGTAGATGTGATGAATGTGCTGGCATACAAATTGGTATAATTTGATGATCAGCACAAATTTGATCAAATTGTGGTGTAAGATGACTTCCATGTCCATCAAGAATCAAAAGTCGATATTGTCCATGTGTACGACTAGTTGTCAATGGAATAAAGTGTTTTTGAAGCCAACGAAGGCCTATCTCATCACTTGTCCATCCAGTTGGACTGTCTTTAAAGCGCCAATTAGATGGAAGATCTGTAAACCATGCTTGGTTATATTGTTTACCTTTGAAGATAAGTGTTGGCGGTAGTACCCATCCAGAAGCATTGATTGACTTAATTGTAGTCACCCATTCATAATTCCCTGGTTGTAAAACTGATCTCCGACCGTAGAATTCTGATCGGGTAATCACTTTTTGGGTTGCACAAAGACCCATTGCAAAACCAGTCTCATCAAAATTATAGATATCATTAGATAAGATACCATATTTTTGGATAGTAGATTGGACTAGATTAAACCATTCTTGAATGATTTTTGGATCCTCTTGCTGCGCTCGTTGGTAGTCATATCGTCGTAAATAACTAGACTTAAGCTCTGGATGGCGCCGAGTAAAGTTATATACCCATTTCTCGCCGACTATTTGGATAGGGATAGAACCACGCTTAGCAAGTAGAATATTTGCCATTTCTCGTACATGAGCTTGTGTAGGGGCAGCTCCACGTAGATCAAGAGAAAGTATCCGCTACTTAAGCGATTCCTCTTCAAACTGGGTCAATTTATGACTATTTGCGCGAGATTCAGCTCGAAAAGTATCACCTGTGATACGGCGACGGAGGGTTGTACGAGGTACACCAAATCGATGTGCAGCTTCGGCAACAGATCGTATTTCTTCATTTTTGATAGCTTGTATAGCTAACAAGATACACCCTTCTTGTTCGGCTGATTTTCTAGCCTGTTGCGTACGATCTGGAGGCATGGTGATTGATATAAAAGAGGTACACGAAGCGCGACGCGAAAAATTGGGTTGGGTGGCCACTCGCTTACCGCCTACGTTATACTAATTTAGCCTAACTTCTAAGGTTGGATTAGATGTTCAATACGACAACATATCAAAACATTGAAGTTACCGGCTCAAAACTCCCGAGGTCAAAATTATGGTGTTAAAGGATCATTACTGTTGATAGTTGAATTTTTCACAACGGATTTCATGGGGGAGATTTAATTGCCTCAAAAAGTGTGTTCAAATCTTATTACTGTGGACCCTTGTTTGCTTATTTTATCTATGAAAAATTTGCATCCTAATAATACAGACTAGGTACTAGCGTATAGGGTGGGTACAAATATAACTAGCTTCCGGGACTTCGCGGGAATTTTATCAATCTTCTCCTAAGAATGGTTCCTTTGTTGTATTAGCGCAGGAACAATCTATTTGTTTCTTCAAGTCTATGGAGATCTAAAGCCCAAGGCAACTCAAGCGCTTATTAATGAATTCTCATGCTTGGACCTTGGAAAGTTGGAAAATTTTTCTTTTAATCCCATAAATACTCTGCATGAATCGTTTACCGAGTCCCCTCAAAGTTTGATTTCTTACTCTGTGATTTTGTCAATATTCCCACAATGCAGTATAAGACACTTGCCATGCTCTGTGCCACTGCGGGATTCGCGGTGAGCTCAGAAGTTACCACTGGCACGATTAATCCCGCTTTTGAATCTTTGGTTTCATTCTTCCCTACATGGGTTGAAGAAGCAATCGAAACCGCTAGGCCAACCCGCTTGGCTCTCATCCATGATATATGACAGCGCCTTTGCTGATTCTGTTGCGCTTGAGGAGGAGGCTGGTACCATGCCTGCTTGGTGCAACAATCTTCCAGTGAGCGTGTTGGGATTTTTCTCCCACCGAGATGCGGTAATCGCCTCCTACTTGGGTGTTGACGGAGCTACTACCACTCAAAGTGATACGTTCACTTCCTATGGATCTATCGCTACAGCCACTACTACAACTGTCACTACAGCCGTAGAAACTGGCTCCTCAAACACTCACCCAATCTCGGTTTCAACTTCTACTGGTGGATCCCCTGCTGCCACAGGTGCTCTTTATATGAGTCTTGCCGGTGCAGCTGGAATCCTTGGGTTTTCTCTTGCCCTCTAAGAACTAGTTTATGGATTGATGTTAGTCTTTGATCTTCTGGCTATAGGGCTGTATACAAATGGCTATGGTTATAATGTGTTAGTCAATCAGGCCAGAGATCATGTGGCATTTCATTACCTGATTACTGACGATCAAAGTGGTGACCTGTATATTTCCTTTTGTTCCTATGATTTGCCTTGGTCCTATCTTCGGACTCAGGATCTTTTGTCAAGGACATCGGTATACCAATGTTCTGATGTTTTGATCATTGATCTTAGATCAGATAAATCACTAAGCTTTGGGCGATGAAGCTTAAAAACTTTTGGTTTATATGAGTTCTAGACCCTCCTGTTTTGTTTTAGGTTCTCAGTAGCTTTGATCATATGTCCTTGATTATTTTACACTCTTGGGCAGTAGCAAACATTTTGAATGTGGTAATAGTATCTTCCACTGTATTCATGGTAATCTCCATCACATTTTGCTTCTCTATAAAAATCGCTCAAATTGCTCAAATTGCTCAAATTGACGCTGATAGTAAGACTCTAGATATTACGATGATTTCAGCGATGTCATCAAGGGAAAGCCAAAGCTACTATATGACACGTTTTAGGCAAGCGCATTGGGAGAGCTTTGACGAGACTTCGATGGCAACTTACGAAGATGACCTTCGACAGCAATTAGCTGCATTGGAGAGTTAAAATGCTAGTCATTCCATGAGAGATTGAAATTCGAATTTCGGATAGTGCTTTCAGAAAGTAAGGGGTAGGGAAAGGCCCAAATTATGTCCAGACTCTCAATACACACAACCTCCCTCTATTCCCGGCAACCAACGCACCTATGTGAAATTTGTGTATTCAAATCTATTGAAAGAGCGGTCCAAACAAACAGATCGCACAGGCTTCAGAATACTTTGCACAGCATATAAGAACGAGACAACATGAGTTGTCAAGCAAAAAGTATTGATGATACGCGATCCATTGCTACCTCCATAGAACGGAGACATCGGGAACGGCTTGGTTCACTCCTGGCTGGCTATTCTGTGCCTTTTCATCCATGCACATATGAGAAGGTTCAGGATGTGATGACAGGCAGGGGCTAAATCTTTGTGCTCTCCCTCCCCCTCTCTTCCTCTTGAAGTCATTATATTTTCTTCAAGCCACCCTCACAATGCTACTATAAGGTAAAGACTTCTGGCATTCTCAAGTCCCAATTATAAATTCATCTTCAAAAGGCCCGCTTATCCTTTAGCCATAATTAGATAGATATGAATCAAGTTTATTCAGGTAAGCTAGCTTGAATATGAAAGTAACCACTGGGCTAAGTTACTAGATAAAATAGAATACCGAACCTGGTTCACTACCTTAAACATTCAAGTTTGAAGGTCCACAGATGAATTTTAAAACCTGGAGATAGTAAAGGAAATGCTTCAATTTTGGAAACGGGCCAGAATCGCACGCTAGGAGATTTCCGGACGTTTAGTATATGGTTAACAATAGTACCGTGCTTTTAATGATGAAAAGCTCTACATCAATCCCCTCCCTTCTCATCTCTCTTTGAAGGACCCTCCCCTTGACAATAAAAACATTGAATTTGGATCTATGAAAATGGCTAGACTAGGCGGAGCCTTTGCTATCTCAGTCTTTACAAACATAATACTTCTCACAGGCTCTAGTCATAGCCTGGTTACAGGTATTAGTACAATCTTGCTTAGTCTCAATATCAGCACCTAAACACTCAGGGTTGCATATCACATTAGTCCACAAAGTCTTATAAGTCCAATAACTACCACCAAGACATTTCTTAGATATCATATAGGTTGATGTAGCTACGGAGGATGATGTAGTAGAACTTGTAGTAGTCGAGGTGGATGATGTGATGGAACTTGCAGTAGAGACAGTAGTGGAAGAACTAAGATAGGAGACAGTGAACCCATCGACCTCGAGGAAGCTTGTAGTTGCAGAAGCAATAACATCTTCATAGGATTTGAATGTGGCTAAAGCACCGGTCACAACCACCATAACTACAGTCACTTAGGCGGGGTCAACTGTAGCCAAAATTGCGTCAAGGGTAATGGTCGTTGTACCCGTGACGCTGGTAGGGACACTAATGACATCGCCATTGCCGAGTGTGACGGCCCCATTGGAACCAGCAATATAGGTTGTCCCGGCTACAACAACCTCCTCGGGAATGGTTTCTGTACTGGTGGTGAAGTATTGAAAGCCGTTTTGACCTTGATCATTAGTGGACCAAATGTCGGTGAATGGGGTGACTGCGTAGTAGAGGCCTGTGGTTGTCGTAGTGGCTGTCGCATCACATCCAGTGACTGTGGCGGTGCTTGTCGTCGAGCATGATGTATAATCACAGGAGACCCAATAATCAGTAACTGTTGATTCGGAGGTACAGGTGGTGGAAGAGGTCGTTGTCGATGAAGATGTGGATGAAGGATTGCAGTTGGAGGTGCAGAGTAAACCGCATGATTTGGCAATCCTGGGAGAGCAAGTGGGTGATTCCTTTGCACTGGTGAACTTGACAGTCTTCTTTGAATGATTATTATCGTCGTCGGAACCATTATCATCCGAATCATTGTCATCTGAATCATTGTCGTCCGAATAATTGTCGTCCGAATCATTGTCATCCGAATCATTGTCATCCGAATCATTGTCATCCGAATGGTTGTCATCATTACTTCCAGGTGGGCAATCAATGGTAAAGATATCGAATAAGGTGAAGCAAGCGAGAGTGGGAATCGGCGCCAAATCAGGCGGGGGTGTGGGCAAGGGAAGATCTGGAATCGACACCGGAGACCAATAGAAGCCACCAGTATTGACAGGCACAGTTGCGGTGGTAGTTTTTTGATTGTTAACATTCGTTGTTGTGATGGTAGTTGTTGTGGGGATGGTAGCCAAGCTATCAATCTGCCGCTCTGACCAGGTATATGTGATCGTGCCCGATGTGGACGTAGTCTGTGGTAACGTATTCTCTGTCGGAGCCGGTTGGAGCAGTGGGTAAGACGACAACCACTACTGTGTTGTTGGTTGTTGCACTGGTTGTGCTGACTGGGTTTTCAACGTAAATGATTTTCGTGACTGTCTGGAGTGTGGCTGCTGGAGGAGGAATACCCGTGAGAATAGAAAGCCCGTTTGTGTCATTGACAGTGATAGTGCCGCTTATGACCATATAATTCATGCCATCAACGACAGCGTACGGGGTCGTAAATGGTGTCTCGATAAGGGGTGGATATAACACGATAGGCAGATCACCATCATTACCAATAATGGTTATGGGCGAGGGACTGTAGCTGGGAGTAAGGGTGTACGTTAAGGTTGGGATGCCCGAGGGTGGTCCCGACCATTGGAAGAAGCTCATTTCATCGACCGTTCTTGAAGACACAGAGTGCCAAGAGGTGTATGCATAACCTCCGTCGTTATAAAAATATGGATAAGGAGGAAAGTTGACGATCATTGGCTCAATAGAGGAGGTAGGCCATACCATCGTGAAGGGTGGGTAACCAGCCACTGTCGGGTCAGTCTCATTGAAGATAACCGGGCTGATGTAAATGACACCAGAGCCGACACTATCCTCGTTGCCGTCCTCAGATTGCAGATCAACGGCCCAGTCCGATATTCCCAAGAAATTCAGATTCTCGTACAAGGTGGTTCGCACTGCCTTATTGGTATCGTTCATGTATCCCATTGAGTCTTGTTGTAGACCAAGATGTTCGTGTACGAGCTGTCATCCCAGTACTGAACTGCGGATGGGTTCTCTGCTATCACCAGCTCGAGCTCATAATTCGAGATATATCCCGCAGTTTCTGTGCAAGGGCCTGGCAAGGCGCCGGACTCAGGTCCAGTGTAGGTGCACATGTTGGTCCAGCAGCCAGCCTCAGTCATCTCAAATGAGCGGTCATAACTGGCTACTCCAACGGCCACCTTGTTTGAAGGAAAACCTGCCTTAGTGATCATAGACAGGGCACTAAGGGTTTCGGTAAGGTTGACATGAGATCGTAAACAATTGCCATCTGGGCATCCAGGGTCTGAGTAAGCATTGCCATAGTCCCACTGGCCATACAAGTCATATGTCATATAAACAATATAATCAACAACAAGACTGATTGCTTCAATGGGAAATCTCTCGAGATACCAGAAAGAAGCTGGCGCAGTGAGGGATACTATCTTCCCCGTTGGCATGGAAGCCTTAAGCAGGTCCAGTGTGACAAAGTGATTAGTGCTGTCTGCAGTAGTCCCAGCTGGGATTCCTGCAATATCTGGCTCATCAGGATACTCCCAGTCAAAGTCCACACCATCAAGATCCCACTCATCCAAGAAATTAACAACATTGGTGATCAAAGTATCTCGATTCGTAGAAGTGACTGCATCCCGGAAAATCATATAAGACTCCGGATCAGTAGAGAAAGACCATCCACCAATCGACAGGACACGCTTCGTCCCAGTCATATTTGAAAAAAAGAGATAGCTGGTCTTCAAGGCCGGTGACATTGATGGCATAGTCACTTGTGATGCTGGCAAAGGCAAAGTGGATGTGGGAATAGAAGGTGGTGTTGATTTGGTCAACAGACATGTTCAGACACGGTCGAGTTTGGTCGTAGGCTTCAAAGTAAGCGATAGAATAGGTTTCAGTGGGAGCGTCACTGACGATAATCTCCGTACCGCAGTTGGAGATACATCCATTCTGATCCTTGGCTGCTGTTCCTGGGTTACCCGTTGTCGAGTTTGATTTGGTACAGAATTCTGCGGTGGTACCACATTGGCCCCACATATCGCAGCATGCGTTGAGAGGACATTCGTTGAGGGTGCTTAAATCGATACCATGTTCTGCAGCGAAGCTCTATAACATACCCCATACAACGCTAGCCGACCGTGTAAATGGCGTACAAGCACGCGTTGATCAACGCCTATCTAGCTACAAATTGACTCAGCTTGAAGAGGATTCGCTTACTGAATGGATTATCTCTATGGATCCCCGTGGAGCTGCGCCTAGGCCAGCTACTGTACGAGAAATGGCCAATATTCTACTAGGTGCACGCGGAAGCCACCCCCCCTCCCACCTACAGTCGGCAAGAATTGGCCATCAACCTTTATAAACCGACGTGAAGAGATTCGGACACGTTTCTCTAGGCGATACGACTACCAACGTGCCCTAAACGAAGACCCTAAATCGATTCAAGCATGGTTTACAACTGTGCAACAAGTTATTGATAAGAATGGGATCCAACTTGAAGATATCTATAACTTTGATGAGACAGGCTTTGCAATGGATCTTATTTCAGCACAGAAGGTTGTAACACGACAAGAATACTACGGTCGGCGATCTATTTTACAACCTGGAAACCGTGAATGGGTAACGGCAATTGAAGCTATCTGTGCAGATGGCTATTCATTACCACCATGTGTGATTTTTAAGGCAAAGGTTGCTATTGCTAGCTAGTTTGATAATCTTCCAAAAGATTGGCGATTCGAGGTCTCAGCTAATGGCTGAACTACTGATGAGATTGGTTTACGATGGCTAGAAAAGCTATTTATTCCATCAACAATTCACGTGTCCGTGGTCGATTTCGGTTGTTAATTCTTGATGGCCATGGTAGCCATCTTACACCTCAATTTGACCGAATCTGCTCAGAGAATAATATTATCCCACTCTGCATGCCACCACACTCATCACATCTTTTACAACCATTAGATGTTGGTTGTTTTGCTGTATTAAAACGTACATATGGTCGTTTTATAAGCGACCTTGCACGTACAGGCTATAACCATATCGACAAGCTTGATTTCTTAGCTGATTTCCAACGTGCGCGTGTTGAGGCTTTTCGGCCGAAGACTATCCAAAATAGCTTTTTAGCTACTGGTTTAGTACCAATTAACGCTGAAAGAGTTCTTTCTAAATTGAATATTTCTCTTCGAACACCTACCCCACCAGGTAGCCGACCAAGCAGCAGATCTAGTCAATTTACACTAAAAACACCTAGAACTGTGGTTCAGCTACAGAAGCAAGCTTCAATGCTAAAAGATCTTCTAAAACAGCGATCGAATAGCCCTCCAAGCCCGTCGAAATTGATGCTAGATCAAATCATCAAGGGACACTGTATATCGCTACACAACACTGCGCTACTAGCACAAGAAAACGCCAATTTACGTGCTACAAATGAGAAGAAACGACAGAAGCGCAGTCAACCAGCTAGAGAGATACCCGGTGAAGAGGGTTTGACTGTTGAAGAAGGCCTACAGCTACTTACGCAGGTGGACTTGCCTGTTGAAGCACCTATGGTCGAATCACACACCCAGGTTGAACTACCTGTTCAGCCGAATCAGCCAGCCCCTAGGGCTCAGCCTAGGTGTAGTGGATGTCGAGAGGTTGTACATAAGATCAATGTATGTAAAAATCGTATTTATAACTGAATTTATTCGTGTTGGGTAGTTAAACGAGCGGGCCGTGTAAGCGAGCGGGCCACATCTAATTGCCAATCAGATGGTAGGGTTTCGGTCGAGAACCCGGCTTGGTGAAACATCTTTGCCTTAAAGATGATATATGGCGGTAGTGCCCATCCACGACTGTTGATTGTCTCAATAGCAGTAACCCACTCACGATTTCCAGATGTAAGAAGGCGTCTTCTCCCATAGTACTCAGCACGTGTAACAACATGGGATGTACTTGTCATACCCATAGCAAAGCCAGTCTCATCAAAGTTATAAATATCCTCATTAAGGATACCATATGTGAGAATAGCTTGCTGTACACGGTTAAACCACTCCGTTATAGTAGCTGGATCTTCACATAAAGCACGCTTATATTCATGTCGACGTGATAGACGTGTAGCAAGCTCAGGTGTCCGTTGGATATAGTTATATACCCATTTAGTCCCAACTGTCTGCGGGGTGGACTCTCCGCGCTTAGCAAGCAATAGATTTGCCATCTCTCGTGCCATAGGCTGTGTGGGTGTTGTACCACGTGTATCCATAGAGAGTATCCATCTACGGAGCGAATCCTCTTCTAATTGGGTCAATTTATGGCCATTTGCGCGTGTAGCAGACCGAGATAGGTGGCCTGCTAGGCGTCGCTGGAGCGTGGTCCTTGGTATGTCAAATCGCCTTGCTATCTCGCGAATTGTGGATACTTCACCATTTTGAAAAGCCTGGATTGCAAGTAGGACCTTGTTCTTGGCTGCCTGATTTTTCGGCTGAAATAGTGCGTTTGGGTGGCATGGTTGCTGGTTGAAGATTGACGGTCGCGTCGCGTGGCTGGAAATTTGGTGGGTGGCCCGCTTGCTTACATGGCTCGCTCGTTTACGGGTTACGTTACAATAACGTAACCCATAAGCGAGCGGGTCATAATGGATATCTGGATATGTTCTATAGGTCTGATTTTCTATTTTGGAAAAAGGCCACCATATCTTCCTAATGTAAGATTTGAACAGCATCCCAAGAAAAAAAATAGCCCAGTCTAGACCAGATAGTCGTGACAGTAATAATACACCAAACACACCTGGAGGCAGAAATCAGCATAAGCAGGGGAAGGCCATGTCAGCACTTTAGGCATATGCGGATCCTAACAGCCAGGATTCATATGTGATCACTAAAAGATATCCTTACAAGATCTAAAGAACTCTTGTCGAATTTTTGGAATTAGCAAGAGCGTTCTTGGTCCTCCCCTCACTTGGAAATATTAATCGCTAGAGAAAGCTTGAATACCAAATGCTTTATGGTATAACCCTTCGAATTGTGGCGAGGTGCAGATACTACAAGATCCGTTGTTTCCGACAGAGGCATGTGGCCCAATTATATTCCAGCTCCAGCTTAGCTGAAAGGGTCAGTGCGGGGTCGTACAACGCCGGATGATTCTCACCTGCTCTCACCCGTCTCTTACCCTGTCTATAGCGCACTCACCCCTTCCCATCCCTAATGACGTAGGGCTAAAGCGGCGCTCACCCTATACCACCCGGGCGGCACGACCCGCACTCCCTATATCACCCCACAGCTTTACGTGTCTAGCACATACGACCACAGGGTGTGGAGAACAGGGCTTCCCGTCCGCTCAGCCGTACTTAAGCCACACGCCGGTCAGTTAGTAGTATGGTGGGTGACCACATGCGAATCCTGACTGTTGTATGTTTGTGCTCACCCATTTTTTTTTGATTCGTCCGGGAAACTGCCCTTGCCGCCCTACTATTCAGGGCGTTCAGGCCATATTCAGGCTCACACCCTGAATAGCCTGAATATTATTTAGGTACTGTTTTGTACCCGAATACAGACCAATGCGAATGTAGCCTTCCCCTCCTTCTCGTCCACCTGGGCAGAGTGCTGACGTGTCCATTATCCTTCCCCTGCAAAGCCACTTCACCTCCCCCACGCAACCTCTGCATCCCACACCCACAAGGCACCTCAACATCTACTTCCACTGCGCATAGGCGAATTCAAATCTCTTCAAACCCAGAACTCATCACCCCCTCTTTGAAGCCTGAGAATCTCGTTTGACCGTTGGATGCGTCAAGCTATTGGCTGCAGGCCGAATCCACTTTGCGAATCCACTTTTGATCGCCGATCTTGCTTGGTCCAAGGTATATACAGCATGTATCTCTCTTTGCTTGAATGTCAACGTTTGAGTTAACTCAATTTACAGATGGCGTTTTTATAGGCCACGGTGATGCCTTCCTCCTCTCTCGTGACGTTTTTTCCGACCGCGAAAAAGATGTTGATTTCGACTAAGGATCTTTTGGCTAAGGCCAAGGATCTTATACTGCTGGGAAAGGAGATCTTTCTGCTGGGAAGGGAAATCTTGCTGCTAGGAACGGAAATCCTAGCGATAGCCAGAGATCAGCTCTGGGAGGAAGGACGTTGTACCCAATGGGCTCAGTCTAAACAGGGTCGGCCTCAATGGGCTTACTCTCAATGGGTGACATTATATTTAGGATTAATTCTCTTATCCTTCGAATATCTCTTACAGATCAATATAATAATATATACCAGTAATAGATCCACCTGAAAGATATCACTGGCCAAGATACAGAGACTCTTATCAATCCAAGCTGATATCCATTATTCAGTAGGTAAAGCAGGGAATCTATCAGCAGAGCCATTGAAAGCTACTGCTTGGTCCATCTTGATATTGGTCTCTCTTGGTTTGATAATTACTTACTTCGCTACGACCCCGGGGTTCACTACAACTCACTCGAAAATATGTGAAAGAAGCTTTGGTTACGAAGGATCTTATTCAAGGTATGAGGGCTCTATTTTTGTTACCCAGGATCTTGCCTTGGTCATAAGGGTCTCTTTTTGGTTGTAAAGGATTTCTTCTTGGCTATCAAAGGCCTAGTCCAATCTGAACAAAGTCGTTTTCAATGGTCTCTCCCCTGTGGTCAACAAATACAAACGAATTTCCTATTCTCATGATCCATGGTATCATGTAGCGTTAGGAGCTTATTCCACACGTAATATCCAAAATTTGTCAATTTATTTCCCATAAACTGATTGTCCCGACGCTTTTTTTACCCGTGCTCTCGTACGTCGTAAGTAATATCTCCCACATTTATAACCATCCGAATATTGAGAGCTTTCCTTCACATTGGACGCTTTTAAATGGCGTTGCTGCGCTGTTTTGGGTGAGTTTACGTGGAAAGAGGAAGGAGGGGAATTAAGATAAGACTTACCCTCTAGATCAAGAATCTTATTTGATTTCATGAATTCCACGATAGTAGATTCTGTTCCTCGTATTGGTGAATTAGGTTCCGATGTGTGAGAGAGAGGAGGAGAAGGGGATGGTGATTGGTAGGGGGATTGGAGTTCGAAGACAGCGTCAAAATAGGGTGCAAGACGGCTCCTTTTTTCAGGCTTCTTAGACATCGCCAGATCTAGAGCATCACAAAGCTCTAAATGATTGATCATGGTGGAACGTTGTTGAATGTTGATATTTTCTGGAAGAAGACTGGTCCTCGATAAAGGATGGGAAAAGGTCATGTGATATTATCTCAGAGAGGAGTTGCCGATCTCTACCAAGTGGAGGCGAAAATCTGTAGATCATAAAGCCTAAAATAGTACGCGCTAAGTACATCAGTTTTATTCGCTAATCGTGTTTCGGGATTCGTTTCACAGCAGGTAAGTGTCTTTTCCAAACAAGAAAATAATCGCATAAATCCCCTCAATTTTTCTTCCCATCCGCCTAATCGACCATTATTTCGATATGTCTACAGTTGAATCGCCACCACCATCGCCGAATTCTCAAGGCGCGAGTACAGAACCAAATACACCAGAACCAAGCAATGATACCAGTTTTGCAAAGCTTCTTCCCTTAAACCGTCTTGCTCGCTTAGCAATTAATGCCACTGCTCGGAGTGGCTCGCAATATCACGAGAAATTTATCGGCAAAGCAATTTTCGATAATAAACCCATCAACTGCTTTGTTCTTTCACTACATAACATACCCCACTTTCCTCACATTGGGTGGAGGATCGGTCAAGGTCGCGATTCATTAAAGTATCGGGGTGTTGACCTTCACCTATGCTTAAACAATCAAAAAGATACCGGGGTTGCAGGTCTTCATGCGCGTTTTAATTGGGTTAAGGGAGCTAGTGGCTTCTTTCTCATTGCCGATAACAAAGCAGGGAAAAAGGTCATAATGGATGGAGAGCCTTTCGGAACAGATCGGTGTCTTATTCAGCCAAAAAATACTATTATGATCGGAGAGTGTGTGTTTACATTGCAATACACCTATCGTAGTCCAGACGAAGAGGAACAATTCCAGACTGAACTACGTCAATTTTTCCGCAGCTTCTATGGTGAGCAATATCCTTTGATACTGCCTACTCCTGGCGAAAACGATTCCCGGTTTAAGGATTGGATATTTCAACAACCACTTTCGAGAGGCTCATTTGGTATTGTCCATATGGTGATCAATTCACGGACAGGACGTCCTGCTGCAGCCAAACGGATCTTGAAATCGGAGAGGAATGAGTATAGTGTGGATAGAGAGATAAGAATGGCCAGGAAGATTTCTGAGCTTACTCATGTAAGTCACAACTCCCTTTTACTGTTTACTTATATTCTAAGGTTTTTTATACAGCACCGAATCTGTAGCCCCCAAGAAATCTATTATATTGATCTTAAGCGGTCAAAAAACGAGATAGTAAGTATTTTTCTTTCATCCAGGATAGATCTTAGATATTAAAGGTTCTAATTAACTAACCTTGAAATAGGACAGGATCAAAATATATCTCGACGAAAAGTGGGCACCTACAGCAGACAATCTCACAGCTGAATATATCATCATATCGCCATTACTTAATACAACATTCCGCTCGCTATATAGCTCTAATATGTCGATTACAGGGAGAGAAATTTTCTTCTCACAACTCCTAGAAGCAATTGATTTTCTTCACACAGAAGGGATCTCACATCAGGATGTGAAACCCGACAATATACTCGTGAGGAGCTATGATCCGCCAGACGCAATGCTTACAGACTTTGGATGCGCATCCGACAAGGCGGTTATTCTTTACGACAAGCCAGGAACAATCCCATATCTTGCACCGGAGCAAGTAGAAGGAGAGACACATGGGAAAGCCGTTGACTATTGGAGTTGTGGTATTGTTGGATCTGAGTTGATTCGCAAAAGACCAATTCCTGCAAGGCTTCTACCTGGTAATGGTCTTGCTGATTACCGGAACTCACTTGCGGACTCCAAATTGGCAAGATGCTCTAGAGCCATGTTGGAAGTTGATCCAGTATGCCGAATGACAGCTGCTGCCGCTTTGAAGTTTTTTCATACTCCTCAAGTGCAACAGCAGCATATGTTGAATAAGCGACCGATCGAGCTCAGCCAAGCTTGAATGCCTCCAGTTTCATACCCAAGTGTAACAGCAACACCTGTTTAACAAGCGACGGATAGAGCTTAGCCAATTAAATACCTGATATCTTGAATCAGATCTAACATGAGGTTGATTTAAAGTTGCATCATGATTATATTTTATCGTCTTTAAGTATCTTGGAACTAATCCATTTCAATAACTACTACTATCAACTTGTGTAGCTAGGTATATTTTAAAATACTAGTAGATGTCACCTTAAGCTAGACCTGGTCCGATCAAGTGTTCTGTAAAAAATTAATTATGCGCGCTAGAAGTCCTTATATGTTTATTCCACTCCGACTTTGATGGACTGTCTTGTCGCGAAAGGGACGGCTTTGAGAGTATGAGGGGAGGTTTCCCACGATGCCGAGGTTTACCATGTCCTACAGTGTGCCCAAGGATCGGCAGTTCCAACGTTCCTCAAAACTGCTGACCTTTCCGTAGACTTTTCTAAGTATGTATATTCCGCTATGAGTATTAAAAATCTAGAGTCATAGCTCCTCTAAGTGTTACAAAGTATAGATTGAACTGTTAAGCAGGTGATTTGTGCGGTCCCGTGCAACTGCATTTTCAGGAATAACAATAATCCGCCGGCATGTCAAATCGGTGACATGTGACTTTGTGCCTAATAGCGATATCCCACTTTACCCCTCTTAGCTGTGACATGATATAGGTCTAACTCCTGCTTTTATAAGGTACTGCAAATTCCTACCCTACTTGATTCTTACTGATCCTATTATCAGGATTTCAGGTGCAATACTTTCACACTCGATGGAACCTCAACCGCTGGAGGACGCAGATAAAATCCGAGAAGACATCAAGGTATTACTACCCGACGTCAAGACTTTCCAGAAGGATGCAACTGGGAACAAGAAATATGGCGGGGATATACTTCTGGCCTTGATTTCTCGCATGAAAACCGCTCTTGATATCGATGAGGTAGGCAAAAATGGTTTCTGAGCCTGGTTTATAGTACTAATCCAAATAGGCCTGGGAAGGACGTATAAGATACTGGTCGATATCTACAAAACTAGTAGATCTTCCAAACTCCGCATACCTTATCCCAATATCGGAGGGCATCGAAGTGAATGGGTGGTTATTGAAGGAAGGGTGGTTTGTGCAAGTGAATGGTGTCCCTGTTGTGGGTGCTGGTACGATGTTGATTTTTGCGCCTCACTGATGTGGCTCAATCTGTAAATAAGTCTTCTATCTTCAAATTTTCTTATCCATGTGACTATTTGTTTTATTATTCACATTACTTACACCAAACTCCGAGAATAACAAGTATTATAATAAATGGCGGTTGAGAATCCACAGACATAATGGCTATTCACCAAGTTCCGGCACAGTTTTACCTCTCTTGATGTAAGTGAAGGATGAAATAACCAATGATTCAAGACTCCGGAACATTCTCGAGAGAGCTGCAGCCTCATGGCCTAGGCAAAAGAGGGTGATGATGAGTGGCCTTGCCGCGGTATATCATCAACCGTCCACACGTATTGTTGCCCCCAATCGGTCGACGGTGGGCGGTCAAGGCTATTCGGCGCATGATTTTGCTGCAGTATATCATCAATCGTCCACACGTATTGTTGCCCCCAATCGGTCGACGGTGTAGGGTCAAGTCTCGGCGCACTATTTTGCTGCAGCATATCATCAAATATCCACGCGTATTGTTGCCCCCAATCGGTCGACGGTGGTGGGTCAAGGCTCGGCGCATGATTTTGCTGCAGCATATCATCGATCTCCCAACCGTATCGTTGCAACCAATCAATTGACAGTCGTTGCCACAAATCAATTGACAGTGGAGGGTCAGGTTCCGGTGAAGGGTTGAAAGCTTCGAAAGCATCGTCATTGAGAGCTTCCTCCATACCAGAGTCTGGCGACAAATTCGTTGGGAAGTATGCATCATTATCATGCGATGTGTTGTTTGAATCTCCAAAATTTTGATTTCCTGGAATGGATTGCTGGGATGCGGCCGAGGTGAAATGATACGACTTGAAGTCCTTGCCTTGCTGCTGATTGGTAGAGCTGGAGAGATGAATAGATGATATCGCCACGTAAGGTGATTCACATTCATCATTTTGCCTACTCCGAGTATCATCAATTACCGATTGTCTGCTAAGTGGGCTTGCCGCTGAGTTGAATGTGCTGTTTTGGTGCTCTGAAAATTGACCCTCTATATCGGAGCTTGAAGGTGATTCAGGAGTCGACGAGCAGGCGCTAGAAGGGGGGGGTAGGAGTTTGCACATAACAATCTACAATCGTCAACATGAAGAGTTGGTGGGGGTAAAGAAGCGCCATTGTCCAATACCTTCTAGAGACGGATTCCCACGATGCCTTTTTATATTTCCGGAGATCCCTTGTTTCTTCTTCCTTTTGGGTCGCTGATTTTGTTGGTTTTGTTTTATTTGTTGGAGAGTGGTTGTGATAGGTGACGTGGAGGGGCTAGTGACTGAATGATGAGTCTCGTTGCTGTTGATGTCTGTAATTCCGTTACTAGCTTCCGCCAATCGACCAGTACCGTATCTCTGCGTTGTTGTTGATATATCGTTTGAACAAGAAGTATTCCTTGAATGATGTGTTGAAGCTTCGGCATGATTGTCTACAAAAATCAACACCCGAAAGGATGATCCTGAGATCATACCTTACCTTCCAAGATGAGAATCGTATGAGTGCTTTTTTCTTGATCGGTCTCCAGAAGAAATCTTTCCAAACTAGAAAGCTCTAGTTCTTGATAAGAGGACCATGGATACCCCAGAGCTTCACAGATATCCTTTAGACTATATGAATAATCTCAGCAAATGTGCTATGTCATGGGTATGTGACATACGGTACATGATCTCCGAGAATCCTTTGTATAATAGAAGGAATTGCAAAGGGCACTGATGTCTCCGAAGACTTCTCTGAGTAGAATTGTTTATTTAGGCCATCTATCAACGCATCAGGTTGGATGTCAGAATTCAATCGAGTGAAAAAGTCGACCTGGTGTCCAACTTTGAGATGATCTAGAGTTAGCCCTGCCGATATATTTTCAGAATGAGCACCATACCAGTGTAGAGTATGTCCCAGCTACGTAGACCATATTTCGTCTGAGATAAGTGGTAAATAGCTTGGTTTGCCCATTTTGCACCACGAATTAGTCCATTAAACCGTTCCGAGCAGGCGTCAGATCCATAAACGGATCGCATACTATCATATACGGTTTCGACGTCGGTATTGATTTTCGCAACTGCACACATAGAGCAAAAGATAAGCTCTCGAAAACATGCAAATGGCCGGTTTTTCGACTTTGTTGAATTCGCATAACCTGGCGACGACATAGACTTTCCGTATTCATTTATGGCCGATACTGTAAGATTAGGATCAGGCAACAGTTTGGATGAAGGGTTGCTATCTGGTATGGCCAAGCCCGTCATTAAATGACGAACAATCTCTTTTCGTTTATTCTCATCGCAAGAGAACAACTCTTTCCAATTTTCAGTTTTAGGGAGAGACTCGAACTTGGAATAAATTTTCTTTAGATCTTTAGCATCTCCGTCCTTGTTACCCAAGTCACCGTCCTTGTTACCCGAGTCCCTCTTCGGTTGCCAAAATTCAATTTGCAAATCGCTGCCGCCGGTTTCGGCAGAACCAGACTGATTGTTGAGGTTGGATATGTTAACAGGATTGCCTGGGTTCCCATCTTCGATGTAACGATCGGGATTTTGGCAAACGTCACATGATCTGGACAGCATACTTGCCCATTGCTGTTGAGAATTCGGACGGGAGGTGTCGCAGGTGCTTTCCAAAAAAACGACCCGTAATTCAAGGTGTTTAATATAGGTAGGGCTATCATGCCGACATTGGAATAAGCGTTCAGAATCCATAGTTAAGCAGAGCAGTAGGGAAATTATTACAACGATCGAAATTTCCGAGATTGAAGGATAGCAGAGGTGCGGGGAAAGGAGTGTGGCTAGAGCCAGGGTCCGTGCGACGCGCCGGGCTGTACGTTGATCACATTTGAAGACTCCATCGCCCGCTTTCATTCACCCCCGAACTTAGCTCAGTTTCATTGTACAAATCTCTTCCACAAAACGCACCTTCAACGGCATTTTGGCTCACCACGATTAGGGGTGCACTGAGGGCAGCCCTTTCTTCAGTGCAGCAAGAGCGTCGTTGAACACTCTGTATCTTCCGATGAAATCATAGGTTGGTACTAGTCTTTCACTCTTCAGTTCGTCGGTTAATGCATGGCTGCTCCTAGGGGAACCACCCATTCTAGGTCCCAAGCAATGCTTGCATCTGAAATTGGTTAGTCTGCCTGCTCCGAGGGGGATCTAGCTATTCTGGGTCCCAAGCAATGCTTGCATCTGAAATTGGTTAGTCTGCTTGCTCCGAGGGTGATCTAGCTATTCTGGGTCCCAAGCAATGCTTGCATCTGAAATTGGTTAGAGACCTGCAATGTGACGTGTCGTGATACCAAGGTATGAGTGCGCCACTCAAAGTGTAGACCTCCGCTTCCTCCGCTATAGCCGCCATAATCCAAAAGTAGAAATGATCAACCGCATGTGCTTTTCCTAGGTATCATGTGGCCATAAGGATCTAATTAAGATTGATTATCAGTGCGAGCGAGATACGTCCTACATCATTCTATCGAATTGAGATAATATACATAGTATGTTGATGACGCAAAGACATTAGTCTGTCTGGATTTGTTATTCACCTTGTTGGTATCTCTACGCATACAGGTTTAAAAAGTGCAGTATGGGTTATTTAGCTATCTAGAGGCTCAGCCTTATCCCCTCTATTCAAGGCCCGGACCGGGCTACTCCCCGCATAAAATTGTCGACAGGAAAGAGCAAGCGTATCTAGAAATGCATACATTGCAAAGCCCATTATCCATCATCTTTGCCATAGATAAATTGATCCTCTTGCCCATCTAGCACCTCAATTGTAGGTAAACTGATTTCTTTGCTCATCATCGATACCCTCGATAGCTGTAGCAGTTTCAATACTAGAACACTGTGTTTCGAGTTCTTTTCGCCGAAGATGTCACTGCGAGTTGTCGATCTTTTACAAACATTCACACCACGCCCGTTATTCAATGAGTCTTCCTCAGCACTTTCTAGCAAGCCATGGACCGATACTTTTGCCCCCATCATGCCCGATCATATCAGGATACATGCGCCTACTTACCAATCCATTGATGCAATGCTAAGTCTGGGGGATCCTAGCGCTGACACTATTGGTCTCCAAAATCGCGTCCATCCATTGAACAATCGCCCACAAATGATTGTAAGCGAGGGTGATGTGACGGTAGATTTCAATCAGAACATTATTCCGGGAGTTGAAATGGCGTTTTTCTGCTCAGACCCATCTCGTGTAGGCTGTCCGACGCTCTGGTCACAGTCAATGAGGAAGGCGGATTCCAACAATCCGGATTCAAGTGTAAGGATTGTCGACTATCAGATGATAATGTCACACCAAGAAAGATCCCTTGAAGGACCGGTTATGATAGGGGAGATGAAAAGACCAGGGGTGATTATCGGTAGTGAGTGGAGAGGTGAAACTCGCCCGAGATCAAAAACTCTTCGTCTTGGCAAAGAACTTAGGGCGTAAGTATCTACTGATCTTTGTTTATGAGCCCTGTTAACCACGTCAAGGTATGCATTTCAATACAAGTGCACTCATGTCTTTGCATTCGATATGAATAATGCCCTTATCCTTCGATTTCGTGCATCAGATCGAGATCACCTTAAGGAGCCAAATTGCGAAGTGGACTGCTGCGTAATTCCTCGAGAACCTGATCCGTATACAGAAAATCCGTGTACTATACAGTACAGCCTGTATAGGCTGGCTGCAGAAGGTTGGATGCGCCGTTCCGCCACACTGGACGTGGACCGAACCCACAATCCCCCAATCCCGAGATCTTTGGGCCTGGATATCATCGACGGCTACGAGCGACACTATTCATGGTACTCAGGACGTCCAAAATGGATTGATGCAGCTGGTCGACTCTTCCGTCATCATCCACATCTGAGACGTGAATTCCGAATCACGCGTACAGAAGATCGACGAGGGATGGTCTTAATAATCGGGTACTGGGTATGGGTTGACCAAGACCGGACAATTGCTAATGACACCCGGAATTGTTTCCTTACTACCCACCCCCCTAGGATAACTCTACATTCGCCGCCTATATGCCTGCAGATGTCATCCATGGATATTTTTACTGCGTCTTGTTCCTTTCTTTCATATGAAGTCAAATTCTTGTTTTTTTCTTTTTTTTACCTACAAATTGTTTGAGACCCGCACTATATCACACGCACTTTGTTCTAAGGGGCTAAAATACAGTTCTAATTTCCAAACATATTCCATACATATTACAAAATAAGCCTAACCATATATAAAGACGGAAAGGATGAGGGGGAGGGAGGATGAGAAATTGATTAGTCGCCGTGGTATTTCAAGGGGACAGGCAATCCTTCAGTATTATGCAGTCTATTTAAGATTTGTGTTTTTAGTAAAGTCGTAGTCAGGGCACGGGAAAAACAAAATTGATTAAGCAGTCACCATGTCAAGCTTGAATAATCAGGACATGAGTTTACAAGGTTAGCATAGATCGCATTTACTTGTTTTTGTCTGAGTGGCTGGCCGCCTGGGAGTGTTAATATCAGCAGGCGGTGTACGTGCCTCTTACCCCTTGCCGATTCCTATATCACCTGATTAATGCGGACTGAAGCTCTATTTATTCGCAACGTAACCGCCCATGCCTAGTGTTGTGTTTTCATTAACACATCCTCAATGACTTCAACCTCACCCCTTACAAGCCACTCGGAGGTAAGACAGATACCACAAAGTAATACAACCTACTCACAGCTATAGATCCTGTTTCTCGATCATCAACCCCTCTTTGCGAGAAGGATCGATTTACTCGACATCCGGCGCACAGTATACCGCCTTGAACTTGAGTCTGGTTTATGTCAATCGCCAATTCCACCGCATGTGAATACAGTTATCATAAAGCGACAGAAGGATGGATGGGAAAATTGCTTCCAAGATGAGCGAGTAGCTTATGAAAAACTCTCAGAGCTTCAAGGATGTGTTATACCAAAGCTCTATGGCCAAGTAATCTATAACGGATACCCGGCCCTGGTTCTTTCGGACGAAGGTGGCTTATCTCTATATGACCTTGCATCCAACCTTAATAACCATATCGATTACAATACTTTAGAAGTTTTGTTAAGGGGGGTATTCGATTCATTAACCAAATGCGGCGCTGTTTACTGGGATCAAAAAATTGATAATTTTCTGTTTACCACCAGCGGCAATGTGACTGTTCTTGACCTTGAAGAGGTCCGCTTTCCTGAAGTATTTGACGAGTGTGACTATCTGGTGAATGAGGGGGGTGCGAGCACTCTACTGGATGAGATAAAAGCTCTTAGAAATACTCTATCACAGAATATTGTTGGATTTTGGTCGGCACACCACAGGAGGGAAATTATACTTCCTAAATTGGATGTAACTCCTAGAGTCTAATACTTATCTTACCGCTCCTTAGCCTCTTCTAAGTCAGGTGCAAAATCTTTTAATCTATTCCCTCTGGCTTGCTATATTCTTTACCTGATGGTGTTTTCCACAATCGTCAAACCTCTATCAACACGACACTTATTTAAGATCATATCAGACCCTATCAGCCGATTTTATTATTAAGATAAACAGCTTAAGCCTGGCGTTACCTAACCAGGTTCCTAGATTTGTTACATCTATTAATTACACTGTGTCTTAAGCCATTTTAATACTAAGTTATCTCTATATAACTACATCTGGTGTTAAAAATAGAAATCAGCTACCTAATATCGTCACATAGACCGAACCGCAATAGCAGTCTAATTTTTTCCAGAAGGGGCGATGTATTTTCATATCACAAGATTACTTAATAAGTATAAGTTCGCTTCTATCAATATCAACTACAGAGCTTCAGATATAGTTAAAGCATCTTCTGGCTGTTCTTACGCAGAGTCCCTCGGAGCTAGCAAAATTTGGCCTGTAGGAAGAATGCTACAATCGACCAAAACGACGGATAGAAAGCAGGGCATATATTACATTTCTCTGTTTCTACTTTTTGATAATATCCAATATGGAAAACCACCAATCTATTGACACTTGGGGTAATCATGATCGTATAGATACTTTGTCTTTATTTCTAGCGAAATCTCCACTGTTCTGGCCTAGAGAGATAGAAAATAACCAGTTAAAGGCAGTGCTGATTAATCTTCAGGCGAATCTGTCCCTGGAAGACGAATATTTAGTAATGCTTCTGTCTTAACTTCTCTATCTTGACGATTTAGTTAGTGTTAAGATATATTACAAAAAGGGTCTTTATACCTTAGCAGGAAGCGTCTTCCGCAACATTTAGCGAGAGTGGCTAGAGGTTCTTGCTTTAAACGCAAATGAAAACTTACAATCAGATAGGGGGTTGTTTCCACAGGTTAAGTATATGGCTAATTTACTTATAGTCTCTTAAATCGAAATCTCTGCTTATACTTTTTGTAATTTAACAAATCCTGATCTGCAGGTAATATCGGAGCTATTGCGAAAGAAAAAAATGTCCAAAGCAGATAAATTAGTCTTAAGAGAGATGATCCACATCAGAAAAGCTCAAATAATATCCCAGGGCTCGGCAATTGATGTTTTATATATCGCGCTTGACTAAACTTGCCGATAAGCGTTGAGATTTGTGAATACCACAGTTTTTGTCTTACCATTCTTCTATATATGAATAAGCTTGTTCGGCTTGGGATATTTCCAAAGCCGGAACTACCACTAGCGGCTACTATATTTGATACTACATCGTTATATTTTTTAGCTACAAGAGATGGTTTTGCATTTAACGGAAAATACTGGCAGAAGATTGACTAGCGATTCTTTAGGCCTAGAAGGCAAAGTCATGCCAGTGGTTTCTGCGATATATGGAAGGAGAGACTTGATCTCTTACAACCAGAGGAGTATGACTTAATGGATAAGTATGTTGAATAAAAATTGGAAGAAATAAAAAGAGACAAAGTTCTTATATAGGACCCGGATGAGAACACTCTGGATGACATGGCTATAAAAGAATGATAAATGGTGTCCTAATAGTCTTGTTGTTTATTGTTTTTTTGAAATCCTTTTACTAGAGCCAGGATCTTTTACTAAGTCTTACTGTAAGAAAGAGTTATGTTTGATGGTCATCAGATATTTTTAGATTTCTGTGTAGTTTATAATAATAAACTAGTATATAGTAACTTAAAATTAAGTACTTTTATATAGTGGTGAAGCTAGTCTGGTGGTATAGCTACTTTGATCTGGATAACTTCTTCCACTTTTGTAAAAGTTTGTAAAGCAATTTATGCCTGCTTAGAGATCTAGCAGAGACCAGCTTAAAATCCCCTATATACTGCTTACTATAAAGCATATATTTCGCTGTTTCTAAATGCTCACAAATACAAATTTTTGACACTAGGTGTATAAGTTAAAGTAAAGTACTCAAAGATGCCTTATGTTAACAACCATAATGGCCTGGAAAGTTTCTTACGGATTTGGTGTATGTACATTCATCCTATATGAGATTGAAGTTGACTAATTAACACTCGCAGTTACTAAGGAGGAGGGCAATTTGATTATCATTAACTATGAATCTGTTAAAGAGTATATCATCGAGTGTTTCAAGCTAGAATCCTCAAGCTCTCCATTGTTATCAGCTGTGAGGAGGTTTCTTCTGGATAAAATACGATATGCGCCTCTGAGTTTGACCGAAGAATTGCTAGACTCAAGGTGCAATATAGACAAAGAAGGAATAAAAAAGCTATAATATACTCTTCTTGTGTTGAGGCTTCTTAAATATGGATGTGAGCCTCCCCTGTTTATACGCTTATAAATTGCGGATATTTTTGAATGTTCTAAAGGAAAGGAGCTTGTGACAGAACTCCGAAATAAATCGGATATATTGGGGATCGAAGTTTATAAATATATGAAAATTCTTTGTGGATATTATAAGTGATAGTAGTTTTTAATTTTTTCTATATTTATTATAATCTTTATATCTGTTCTTAACCAATAGGAATACCTATATAGTGATATTATATAAGTTTTAGAACTACTAGAAAAGGTTGAATATAAGAAGAAATATCTGAATCTAAGTAGATCTATATGTATATATATAAACCTACTTAAATAAAAATCCAGAGATAGTATATATAGGATGATTAGTATCCTGAAATTTGCTATTTTATGCCTGGTGCTATCAATATATCATCTAGATAAAAAAATCATTGACTTAAGATATTGATTTCAAGTTTGGACTTTCTTAACGACCACGTGATTTGGATTCTCTAGATAATTGTGGCTTGGTATATCATTATTTTTATCCTTGTCTGCTCTTTATATCTCAAAAGAATTTTCAAACAGGATGAGATATTGGATGAGATAAAGGAAAAGGATATATAAGGTTAGATCATTTCTTGCAAACAAGAATACATCGGTCACCCTGCTCTTAACACGAAATAGACCGTTTCATGTTATAGCAAATTCCAGAAAGTAAGAACATATTTCTCTACCTGTTAAAATTTGAGTCAATTGCTGACGGGATAGTCCTGGTTCTCACTGATTTCGATGGATTTTTTGTAAATCCGTCACCTGAGCTTTGTAAAGCATGCATAGAGGAATTTATGTGGCTTGACCCTAGTCAGCCTATACCGACAGCCTATCTCTATCTTTTTATAGCCACAAATTCGCCCTACTATACGCTATAAGCCAATTTTGGAAGGAGCTTCCAAGAAGTCATGTGGCAACAATATAAGTCTGGACCAGCCTATACTGATTATTAGTACTTAACTGGTCTAGTAATTACTATACATCATAGAGCTTTGATACCTTACGATATACTGGATAGGTACCAACTTAAAGATTAGGCTGCTCTTGGTATCACCAGAGATCAAGCAGGAAAACTCTACCAAGAAGTAGTCCCGGATGGATTAAAGCCATCCTATTCTAATGGTAGAGCTACTAGAAAATGGGTTATTAGTCTTTCAACACCAAGTTTTTATAGAATCTCTAAGGAGGGATCTATTAAAGAACTTCATGATTTGTTTGACACTTCTGGTCATCGAGCTCACGTTTTTGTTATCTGAATTGCTTCCTGTTTTGAGAGATCTTGACCTTTTTATTGGAATAATGAATGAAACATCTAAAAAAGAGCCTGAGTGGTTTCTTAGTTAGTTTTGAGTTGCTGGTAGATTAGATATCAAGGTATTAATTGTTCAGATTGCTAAAATATTCCCCTATGTATTCAAAAAATGGAGGATTCTTAAAAATGCTGACTTCAAGTCTTAATTTAATCAAATACCCTACTTATTGAATTCCTAAGATAATCCGAGTTTGGTAAACAAGTAGTAGTATCCTTTTTTGCTTAGCGCATGGTAATTCTTAAGGGAGGAGAGCATACTAAACAAGAGGAAAATTATAAGAGAGACTTATCCCCCCTCAATGGTCAATTTAATCAACCGCCTTCAAGCAAAGACAGTTCTCACTTGGACATCAAACAAAAATTCAGCGAAACCTCTTCCAAACCTCCACCAATGGATCTCTTGATTGCCGAGGGCTTTAACAAAGCGATCGAAATTCCTACCAAGCTCACTCTACAACCGCTCATCGAGATCAAAAAGCTCCCATCATTTAATCGATGCTTCTCAGGAATCATGGTTATGAAAAAAGCCAGTGACGAGAGCGAAAGCATAATGTCACAAGATCTGGAGATGACTGAAATGGAGATAGAGGAGTCTCCGCTTGAAAAAGCAAGGAATGTGTATGGAGTGACAGCGTTCCATGACAAATGCATAACTAGTATGGTGCTCGATAGCGACACCGTGAAGCCGAACAAAGCCGTCACAACACTCCTATTTATCTTTGTCTGCGACCAAAATCAAGTATCTATACCTTGCACGCCAGAGGGTGACTGGAAAACTAAGGAGCAACTTATGAAGACCTATGCTGATGGGGGGAATGGGCATGAATGGAGTATGAAAAAAACTAAGTGCTTGGTAGTCTGTCTGGCATTTGACCTGTATCAGGCGATGAAAAACTCTACCTAGTGTAGTATGGAACAGTGTTCCTATACACATTACACTTGTCTTTTCCTTATGTTATGCTCTAAGGTTGTACGAACAAGATTGTCAGCTCTTATATTTCCGAAATGTTTCACAAAGTCTTATGCAGCCCCAAGTATAAGTACGCTTATGGGTCATCCCGATATAGAATTTTGTTAGTGCCCAGATCGTTTGATCCATCGAAGTGGAATTAACCTAGGCATCCTTCAAGCTTTGCATGCATAGGGTAGAGCCTCTTTACTAGTTAGTCCAGAGCGGGAATATTAAATTATAAATCAAACGCTTCCCGCTCTTCCAAGGTTGTTGAGACCTCCATCCACCTTCACTCTTTCTCAATCATGAACTCAGAAACCAATCTCAAAGGAGCGAGAATCCATCTCAGCTTTGCAATCAAAGCTCCACCTCGCGTTTTAAAAAGGCCGAATCCACTTTTTCAAGAGGAATCCCACGATACCCCAAAAATGCCAGTTTCGCTTCTGTCCCGAAAGGAAGCACGAGTCCAAGACCTAGCACAGCAATACACTGGAACCTCCGGCGAGAAACTTCTCATTACACCGGATCATTTCAATGAGATGTCATTCCACAAGAAGGTTCAATTCCGGGATGGCCAAATCCGCGATCTTTCACAAAAGATCAGAGCCGCCAAATACGCCGCATTAAATCAACCGGAGGCGGCCCAGCATGATTCCAGTCATGAGAAAGTGACTTTATGATACTATACCTAGGCAGGGGTAAGACGACCTAGTATGGGTGCCTAGGTATGATGAGAGGTTGGCCTATATAGGAGAGCTACTGAGAGAAAAGTCTCTCACTTTTCTTCACATGATAGATTCGCTGATTCATATCATTCAACTTATCAATGAAGTATAACTACCTTTCCAACTGAGCCTAGCTGTGGTGTATCTCTCTAAAAGAAAATGGACGAAAAAAAAAATCTCAAGTGTTGTATAGGTCGCGTTTTATATGGGACATACCTAGATAGTATGTAAGCAAAGCCAACCTTGGAAGGCAGGCCGTCTTGTACTAGAAAAGGCTTGAAGATAATTCAGTATGTTTGAGTGATCCTACAACGTTTTGGTCGAATTTGATGTTTCATTAAGTACTCCCTCAATCAGCCTAAGAATAAATTCCTCGTCCTTTCCGATCTTGAACATGAATATTTCAACCTCCAAGCTAAATCTTGACTTTGATTTCAGATTCGAGCTCTGAAGCCTTTCCTTCCCCTCAAGGATAAGAGTAGGCGGATTCTTACGTCTGTCCTAGAATAACCGTCCTTTACTAATGTGAGATAGGCACATTGGCTTTTAATAACACCAGATCTCCGCGAGGAAACTTTGAAAGCAAACGCAACATACAATTTTGGTTACCTGAGAATGTGCTTTTTTAGTCCTATTGCTAAAGAGTGGTACTACTCTACGTCACTGTTAGCTATAAGTCTCTCATAATTACTTTAACCTTCAGAAGCTGATAACAGGTTCCGTTTAGAAGATTCAAAACCGCAAAGACCAACTTAATTTCAAAGTTTCGAAAGTCTGAGCCTAAGATAGTTGTTTGTCGTGAAACCAGTTTACCTAATTGGGCTAACATATTCTATAGGACCAATGGGTTTTGAATGTTCAATCGGCTGAAATCTCAGCATTTCATGATGTTGTCCCTCATAGGAATATTCTCCAGAACCAAATTCTGTACGCTAGGTTCCGATTCAGAAGGCGGGGAGAGCTAGTTTTGATTCCACTCATGGTAGAATGGCCACAAGAGGCCTATCAGGAAAGCAGTGTGAGAAGGGCTTTGCAAATGATTGGGCAAGAAAAATGGGAAGAAATATGCAAAACATACAGTAACCAAATTCCAACTGAACTTCAAGTCCAGGTCAACTTGGTGTTCCAGGAACTTGTTGAAACGGATTTCGATTCATCATCATTTTAGCTTGGTCAATTTCACAATATCTACGTCTTCGTTTTCCTACTATGTATATGTCAGTTCTTGGAAAGTTTTGTTAGAAATAACTTCGGCGGAAGGTTTTCTAAGATCCTACACGAAAGATAACCATAACATGTATCTCTCAGTGGAGAGGTTTGAATATAGAGGATTTGAAGTCTTATTTAAAACATTCCATTGTCTTGTTTGACTCAGCATACTACATAGTTTGGTGGTTCTTGGCTAGGTTGTTACCAAATTAGCGTTTATCCCACTGTGTTCTTCAGCTGCGCTCAAGTGCTTTCGATTCAATAAAATTCAAGTGCAACTCAAATACCATCTCCGGTGGCGCTCGGAGTCCAATTCCATGGTTTCTTTTTCATAAAATGGTCATTTACCTCTTGAGACGAGGGTCGGCTTTCCAAGGTTCCTGCCCCCTCTAGGATGAACAGTATATCATCACCCTATCAACTTACAAAGTTTGCCTCGCCTGTTCCCTACACAGTATTTCAGGCAATACTGATACTGGGTTGTTTTTATCTCAATTCATCTCCTACCGCCGGTGAGAAGGAAATATCTGCACTTATCGCTCGGACCGAATGCGAGTACATAATACCGGAAGGTCGCGTTTCTAAAGCAAGAGATTCCTTGATGAATACAAGTTCGCTCCCCTCAATCTCAATTCCACAGCTCCAATTGCAGCTTGATCATCTTTTAGACATCCTTGCACAAGGTTTCTCGGAGCGAGTCAAATTTCGTTGCAACCATGATCGACCAAAACGCCAAATAGGAAGCAGGGTGTGTATTGCATTACTCTGTTTCTGTTTTTCCATCATACCGGATATGAAAAACCACGAATCCATTGATCCTTGGCTGACTGATTATTCGTTTGTCAACACCCTGTCATCACGTCTGGCGAGATCTCCACTGTTTGCAGGAGGGATCCAGAATGATCAGTTACGGAAAATACGGATCAATCTTGAGGTAAACCTATCAATGGAAGATGAATATTCGGTCATGATTGAGCCTCAGAATCTCCAACCTGATCTTGATAGCCTCGGTCAATATTATGAAACAGTCCTCTGTATCATAACACCAGACCTTTTCATCAAGATTTGGCAACAAGGAGATAATTGCCTAATCGGTAACCGCCAGGAGAAAGGTATTTTGCCCGGCTTCATACCGCCAGACACTGCTTACACTACGATTAGAGAAGATACAAATCCTTGCTCGGGCCTTTCGTGATTCGGAATTTGTTGATATACCTCAAATGAAGCAGCGACTGAAAAATACCCAATTATGCAAGGCAGATCGATTGGTCATTGAAGAGATGATTAATGTCAGAAGCTACCTGGACAATATCCGAGTATGGAGCGCGATTCCCATCTTGCATGTTGTAATTAAATGAGCCTTTTTCAATGACCTTCGAGGCTTAGATTTATACATTTTTCTGTGTGTCACTACTTCCTTGTTTAAACTAAGCATAGATGTTCAGAGCCGAGTTATTTATTGATTTTAAGGTGGCAGTCTTTAGCTAATTTAGATATCTGTGTATGTTGGAATATAAAATTGCAGGCAATTAAATGAGTCCTGATATCTAGGAAGTTACCTATTGTATATTGATGGGATTCCCATCTTGAACAGGCTGTAAAGCTGTCATTTTGTTTATGAGTTTTATTCCATACCTGGGAAGAGTACTCGGGGTCGTGCCGCTGATATTTGGTGAACTTTGGAAGGAGAGGTGGAACCTTGGAAGAAAATAATATATGATGGCATCCAGGTTCCTGTGTACATATATTCGGACATTCTAGCATCTAGGTAGTTAAATTTATGCTCTTCTAACATTTGAAGGAGTCTTGAGCCGTGGAGTAGGAGCACTTGAGTAGAACCTTGGAATGGAGAGTACATAGTAACCTCAACGTTGAATTTAGAAGAACTTGAAACTTCGACATTTGAAGCTTTCTCAAGAGAACCTGCCCAGGTGCCGAGATCTGAAGGCGATATTTGCCCTTCCCACCTGGGCGGGCAGCTTGAACATTTGAAGGTTTACGCTTTAGGAAATTTCTAATTTTACATATTGAAGAGGGGAACCGTTAGGCAGTGTATTCTAGATACACGGGTCGATCCAGCTAGCATGAATGGATAACACCAACCAACATGTACGGTGTGGCCGGACTACCCCGTAGGGGTGGGATGAGAGATGTGTAGGAGTGTGTATTCTAGACTATAACGACGGGCATTCTTGTACGTACAAAGACGGGACTGAAAACATGACAAAACAGAGATGTAACCAAACGGTAATTCTTAGCACGGTACGTGTAGTAGGGGACAGGGTACCCCACTACAATACGTAGCTTCTCGTTTCAATCCTCTCAAGGCTGCCGTGTCTGTGGTTCCTTTGAATATTTCCCCAATATTTATCCTACGTAGTGCTTAGCCAGAGTCTGTACTTAATCTTCTCTCTAAGGCCGTGGGATATGTCTATCTCATAAATCGAACAAAGTCATGTGATCCTGGGATCACGTATTATAGACTGTATTGTCGTATGTTGTATGAGTTATAAAAGGCTTTAATTATGTCACAGGCTGAATCCCTGAAAGAGTACAGGCCTTGCCTGTACAAAGCTCAACCATCCACGTGACCCATAACATTCCTCCTTTTCCTTGACGAATCGTGTCAAGGAAGACAAAGGGAACACTATATTGAGGATCATGCAGATCTATTGCCGTATTGTCTACGGGATTCGGCACCAAGTCCGGCCACACATAGAGGGGCATTCCTGTAGGGCCCGACTTACACTCCTCAAGTGTTAGTCGCTGTATCTAAGTGAACCACCCCCCTCGTGCTCTCCCCTTAGTATATCTCGCCTAGCCCACAGGTGTCACCCTAGTCTGATAAGTTCATTACAATCGTGCCCGAAGTCTACTTCTTCTCCTTAAGCTTCTTTTTGTACACAGTTCGTGGTCCGAGTAGATTGAATCAAGTCCGCTTCTACCCTTCACAGAAATATACTCTATCAGCTCGCTATGTTACTTTAAATTCCTATATTTAGTAGAGGAGCTATATAGATAGTTATTTAACCAGAGGTAAGTTACTTTCAGCAAGAGACTGTGAAGGGCAGAAGCGGATTTGATTCAATCTACTCGGACCACGAATTGTGTACAAAAAGAAGCTTAATGTAACGGGTTGAACCCAACGAGGGCTTGTCAATCCTCGACAAGCCCAAAGCCACTCATCCCGTACGGTCACGTTCGACAACAGTTGACTCTTTGTGCACAAAAAGACAAACCCCCACGAACGTCTCCAATTACGTAATCACACGGCACCACACGTGATCCACAGAAGAACATATATTCCCCACCATGTACTATAGTTTCCTCTTCCTTAAGCATGAATGTAAACTGCATGTCGGCCTATATCGTTCTGTTTCAGTCTTTATAGAGCCCTTCACACTTAAGGAGAAGAAGTAGACTTCGGGCACGATTCGTCAAGGAAGAGGAGGAATGTTATGGGTCACGTGGATGGTTGAGCTTTGTACAGGCAAGGCCTGTACTCTTTCAGGGATTCAGCCTGTGACAGAGACAGTGCAAAATGGGAAAAAGCTCCGTAGATGATATCAGCTGATCAGGGGCCTTGAAGTTATCGAATTGGAGGATAATGAGGTTAATTTGGACTAAAGGAGGCAAATACTAAAGAAACCAGGTTGATTATAGTAATCGAGAGAACCAAGTCTAAAGAGACTTAGAGGAGGAAAGAAAAAGGGAAAATATAAATAATAAATAGCAAATTGTATAACTTTAAGTAACGAACAAAGAGAACACTGGCGTCACTATTCCAACTTCCTCACTTCACCCTTTGGTCCATCATATTTATAATATATCTATGGTCTAAAGTTGTTTGAAAATAAGGTTAGGTGGTATGATATATATATCGCTACAGCATGGTATTCATATGGCAAAATAGGGTTATCAATTCAGTCCTGCCTCGTAATATGCTGCTAGTAAGGTTACAGTTATCTATCGGTATTATGGTGTGCTAATATCCTGAACAGAAGTCAAAATGAATAAGAAGGCCGAATTATCGCCCATACAAATATGTGATTCAAGATAGGGCATTGATCGTTGGTGTAATGCCCATGAACTAAAATTTTTTGGGTATTGTCCATGAAATCGCTCGGCCATCCGTAGCAAGGAAATCTTCCATCTTCGATTCGGAAAGCATAGCTATTATTTCACACCACTTAGCTTAGTATTTAAATTTAATAATATAAAGCCAGCTTTAATCCTTAATCCCAAAATTAGTTAGTAATATACCTCTGTATTTAATATCTTTTGCCATCATATTAGCTTTCTCTTCCTATTGTAGTTCCTACGCGTCGCCACTTTATACTCAAAAGTAGGATTAAGAACGTTATAGACAAATTTGTCCTTTTTAGTAAATTGAAGTCACAGGTCGCACCATCTAAGACTGGTTTAACTGCAGAGTAATAGTGTTCGGGTTATTTCGGGCATTCAGGTGACAGGGCTGAAGAGCAAGGCGGCAAGAGACGATTTCCCAACGAATCAAAAAAAATCGAAAACATACAACAGTCAGGATTCGCATGTGGTCACCCACCATACTACTAACTGACCGGCGTGTGGCTTAAGTACGGCTGAGCGGACGGGAAGCCCTGTTCTCCACACCCTGTGGTCGTATGTACTGAGTTTTTGAAGACATGGAATATATAGAGCAAGGAAATAGCTTAAGTGCTAATGATTTTGAGGCTTCAATGGCGGAATTTGAACATTCAATGTTTGAATGTTCAGAGTCACGACCTCGGAACTTCAAGTTGAACTTGAACTTGAGTAGTATGTGCTACTAGTACTAGTAGTAGGATATTTAGTGATATGTAGTGGTACTAACTCAACCTTGGAACCTTCAAGTTGGACTTGGAAGTGCCAGCGCTTGCTGACCTCGGGAATTGAGGTGGATATATATTGATGTGGTTTCCGTCTGATCTCGGCCTGGGGACCAGCACTTGAGATCAATCTCAACTTGAACTTGAACTTGACATCTAGAACTACTAAGTTTTCGTCTGAAGTCCACCAAACCTTAATAAACTTTAATTCATACTAAATGTATCTAGAGCAGCATGGCCCCGAGATATCATGATTTTAATGTATCAATACCTATCCTATGCAAGCCCCCGGGGCCTGGTCAAATTCTTGATCCTTAATTAGTGTACATATATAATAATAATACATTAGATGCACTTGTACACTCTTTGACTGAGCATCCCAGAGTGGACCACTTCACTGCCCTGCAACTGTAAATTGTCGCGGCAATACACCGTGGTCTTTTGAATAACAAGTTCGGTATACTTCCAAGGCTCCGGTCCGTATGCTTGACAGCGGGTCGGAGAAGGGCTTGGCGAACTCCGAGTACGATGATTTGATAGAAATAAATATATCCCAAAAGACCACGAGAGCTCAAGATAGAGGAGGACTAGCTGGGTCATATCCTAGGCCAGCTTATTTCTCCGCTTCATCCACCATCTGTTCCACCTCCTGTTCTGTCATTCGATGGAATAACTTGCGGGCATCAGAGAGGTCGGCCTCCTTCGGAACACCATTGTTGACAGACTGAATATGAAGGACGGGCACATCATAATCGTAGACGTCTTTCCAGGCTTTATTCACAGGGTCCATGATATCTTTCTCCACATATTCAAATGGTCGGCGTTTTTGGAGCTGCACCACGGTGTGTTTTGCGGTGTCACACAGTCCACACCCGGCTCGTGTGAAGAGGGTCAGACGGGCTTGACTAAAGAGGACTGAAGTAGGAAACATGATGAAGTTGGATATTCGAGGAGCAATTGGTATCTCAATACATATAACACATCAACAAAGTCTCCAGAGCTCCAAGTTGCAATTGAAGATGGCGGTCAAGAAAGCGGTGAGATACTCTCCGCAATGGAACCTTCGAGCTTCACCACGCTAAACTCAATTGGGCAACCCGCGCAAGTCTGTTCAAGCACATAGTCCATGTCAATCCTGGTTGTCGGCAAGTTTCTTTGACAATCCCCTAAGTCAATCACCCCATTCTAGTCCCTGGGAAAATTCGTTACACACCATGTCCGGCAAATGTGTTCACAAGGGATGTGGGAAGACTTTCTCCGATCCCGAGGAAGACTGCGTGTACCATCCGGGTCCTCCAGTGTTCCACGAAGGCCAGAAAGGTAAAGTACCCTGGGGGTGATGGAGCTAAGCCCACATTGACGATCGCTTTGATTGCCGAACGAATGGCAAATTCCAAGAGCAAACTCGAATGCCACTCGTCTTTGTGTCTTAACGCAGCTGCACTTTGATCTGATCCCCGCTAATCTATTTTAAGGCTGGAAATGCTGCAAGCCCCGCGTCTTGACCTTCGAGGAATTCCTTGCCATCCCGCCGTGCACCACGGGTAAGCACTCGATTATCGATGATACACCTGCGCCTGAACCTCCCAAAGCTACTGAAGCTCCTCCTCCCCCAGCCCCCGTCGACCTTGCAAAGACCTTGTCTGAGCGACCCGCCATCTCCCCCGCTATCGCACCGCCTACACCCCCCGCCAACCCGCCACCAGCGGAACCGGAATCTGATGACCCTTCATTGGAAATTCCTGCTAATGCGACATGCCGTAGAAAGGGATGTGGCGTTACGTATACTGGATCCGCGGCGCGGGATGACGAGAAATGTGTGCATCACCCCGGACACCCAGTCTTCCATGAGGGTAGCAAGGGCTGGTCCTGCTGTAAGCGCCGGGTGCTGGAGTTTGATCAATTCTTGAAGATTACTGGCTGTACAGAGAAGATAAGACACTTGTTTGTTGGCCAGGCCAAGCCTCCAGGTGAGGAGAAGGTGGAATCTGTTCGGTAAGTCAATTCTCAACCCAATCAGCACCAGGGCCCTACTAGTGCTTGCACGGATATATATTACCAAAAAAACCTACGTCACATTGCAGGTATGGAAAACTGTGCTGATTCAAGTTGTTTCATTATTTTTTAGAAACGATTTTTACCAGACAACATCCTCCGTGAATGTCTCTCTTTACCTGAAGAAGATTGATAAGGAGCGTGCCCGAGTTGATCTGGCTGCTACCTCTATTACCTTCGATCTCCCAACCACTGATAACAAACGCTTCCAGGACACCTACACCCTGTTCGCCCCAATTGACGCCGAGAAGTCTAGCTTCCGTGTATTGGGGACGAAGTTGGAGCTCACACTTGTCAAGGCAGACGGCACCAGCTGGCCAGTACTGCGTAGTGATGATAAGTGGTCTGGACAGCGCATTCAGATTGGAAATGCTGGGCGAGCATAATGGTGGACAAATAGAACATGGAAAATACGTGAATTGTACATGTCCTTATTGTTTGATGACCCCGGTAGCTAGAGCTGCTCGAAGAAAAGAATTGGTTTCTTCTATCAACGCCACAGAAAGCTTGGTTTAAATTGGGAAGTGCGGAAGTACAGAGTCTTACAAGCTTCACATTTGGAGCTGCAATACGACCGCTTGACACAGCATTAGGTAACTTTTGCCCAGTACTTCAGACACGCTAGTGGCGTCTGGAGCTTAAATTTTAAGCGCTTCGAGTGCCTAGGGAGCCATGGATTGGAACAATAAGATGTTTCCATCCAAAGATACCCGAGTAAGAATTTGACAGAGCCTCAAGATGAGCAGATATCAAAATTTGATATCAGATCCTCCAGGGGCTTGGCAGCCGGTTTATATCGGGAGCCAGTCTGGAGACTATAAAATCTTTTCACAACTCCAGACCTATCAAATCTTCAAGCATTTACGAGACCGTCCCGACGGTATATCTAAGCAAGACTTGCATCTTGAAAACCAACACGGATTCTAAAAAAAAGGAATGTCGCGACCCCTCCACAGCTGAAGCGCATGGAGCTCCCCGAAGGGAACCCTAGCCCAGCCATAAATTGTTTGGGAAAAAGGGAGACACTTTGCTCTGCGGAGCCGGGAACGGAGGAAAGCCCATGGAGGAAAAAGATCCAAGGACAGCCCTCAGCAAGCCACCGTAGTGGAGCCCCGGAGAAATTTACATAGTATGTAAACCTCTACTGATGATGAAGAAAGAAAAAAGAAAGGCCCAAGAGGCGGATGAGCCTGATATTTATACCCTGGAAAATCCAGAATACGCTAGTGCAAATTTGGGCGGGATAAACAGAACCTCCGATTCCGAGAACTAGTGTCGAAAGTGGACCATAGTTTACCCTAAAAGAGTAAATAGGGCTAATAATTATAGGGCACAGTGGATTCATGTGACCCATGTCTCATGTGAAGTGGAGTTCGGGATTAAAAGGAGTTTGAAGCTGTTACATAATTGAGAGAAATACATTTATCCGAATAAAAAGAGGATTGTTAATAGATAATAGATAGGATACTAACAGTGGAGAATGAGAAGTATAGACATACAGAACTTGAAGGCATAGAATATTCCATGGATGAGGTAATGTATACAAAAGGTCTCGAACCATTTTTGAATTGTTTACATGTTTATATGCAAATATATGCAAAAGGAAAAATAAAAATTCCCAAAAAGAACAAGGGTTGCATTCATGGATTGGCCATTACTCCAATCATGGGCCAGGGGCACGAGACCAAACCCCCGTCAACTTCCCGTCAATTTTAAACCTTTCAACTCTCCAGGCTACAGCCTTACAACTTGCATGCGACCTCTTTCCTCCTAAGGAATTGAAATAAAACAATAGAGGGAATATTCTCACTCTTTCCCATCACGCCTTCATCGCTTCCTTTGCAGATCTCCCGTGCTCCATCCTTCTTTCTCAAGGTAATTCGTTGAGCCTCTCCAAGGAATCAAGACCCTGTCTCAGAAGTTCCAGACTAACATTGTTAGCCCCATCAGTCAGTGCTTGATTTAAAAGCCGCGGTCTCGGTCCGGGACCCTGAAAACGACACTTTTTTCTCCCTCCGACATTCCCCCCCTATTCCACTCTCTCCAACCCCTCCCCCCACCATGGGTTTCTCTAAGAACCAGACCGCCACCCCAAACCTCCGATACATCCCCCTTTCTTACAGCCCCGCAGACTCCCAGGCATCTGCTCTTCGATTGATTCTGACCTTGAACCCTGACTGGGAGGGTCCCGAGAACAAGATCGAGTTCGTACGCTTCACGGAAGGCATCACCAACACTGTATGTCTCTTCGCCGCGGACCCCTGGCATCGGATTCACACCGACACGGTCACCCACTTCTTTGACTTTAGCTGACTTTGACTCTCCAGCTTCTGAAAATTATCAATCGCAAGTCAGGCTTGACAGATGAGCAGATAGACCAGGGTGCAATCTTGATGCGCGCATATGGAAATGGCACCGAGATCCTCATAGACAGAGAAAGTACGAAAGCCCGGGATTTGGGGTTGATACCCCTTGTCCAAACCCCCCCCCTCCATCCCCAGTATCTTTAATATTTGCACCTCTGCTGCCCGATGCGACAATATGCTAAAGTAGAATTTATTTTCCACCTATAGGAGAGACTACGTCCCATGCCCTTCTCGCGAGCTGCGGCCTCGCTCCCCCTCTCCTTGCGCGTTTCAAGAATGGCCTTCTCTACCGTTTCATCCGTGGAAAGCCCTGTGGCCATGAAGACTTGACTACCCCTCCTATCTACCGCGGGGTTGCCCGGCGACTTGGTCAGTGGCATGCGGTCCTCCCAAGCAACGCGCCCAGCGCTGCGCCGGCCGAGAACTCGAGCATCTCTGATATTGAGGAACGCCAGGAGGACTTGGAAGTGATCCAACTGCGTCGCGCGGGGCCCTCTATGTGGGCTGTCCTCCAGAAATGGGTTCTTGCTCTGCCGGTGGCCACACCCGAGCAGCGGGCCCGCCGATTAGGCCTACAAAAGGAACTCCAGTGGGTGGTGGAGAAACTTGATGATGGAAATGGCATTGGCGAAAATGGGGTAGGTCACAATCTTTTGCGTTGATCTCTCTTACATACTGATTACATACTGAGCTACGTTGAACTAACCCTGGTCTAGCTTGTGTTCTCACACTGCGATCTGCTTTGCGCCAATGTGATTGTCCTACCCACCGACGACAACTCTACATCGTCTGATGACATTGCACCTGTTAATTTCATCGATTATGAATATGCAGTTCCAGCCCCAGCAGCCTTCGACATTGCGAATCACTTGGCTGAGTGGATCGGCTACGACTGCGATTATAACATGATCCCCACACAATCAGTGCGCCGCCAATTCCTGACGGAGTACACCAAGAGTTACATTCAGCACCGTGGACTGGACGCTTCATCTGAGGAGGAGATCGTCGCTAGGTTATCCAGCGACGTGGATCGATTCCGTGGTATCCCTGGTCTGTACTGGTAAGTGACGTACTCCCAGCACATCATAATCCAATTCTAGCCTACGAATGAACCCCGTGACTGACATCACCACGCATATAGGGGCGTCTGGGCACTCATCCAAGCCCAGATCTCACAAATCGACTTCGACTATGCCAGCTATGCCGAGCTTCGCCTTTGCGAATACTGGGCCTGGAAGCGCGAAATCGAAGGCACCCGCCAATCTAGCGGTGAGGACATGCCTCTCCGCGAACAGCGCTGGGCGCAGGAGGCGTGAAATATCATCTGCATATGACCCTCACCTTCGCCCTCGCCCTTCTCTGCCCGTCGCTTCCATTCCTCTGTAAATGTCTAAATGCATGCGGGGCTATCATTCCTCGACAGAAGCCTTGTGCCCCTCTCACATCGCAATACCTCCAATCAAAAAAATCTCTCGGCTCGGTCGCACTAGATACCCCCCCCCCACTTTCTTCACTTTTTTACCCCTCTACATCTTTACATCGGGCGAATACCAGCGGATTTTTGCCGCTGGGCCGGGACCTTCATCATTTCAACATTACTCCCCGGAGTGTGTCGGGTTGAACTCGGATATGGAGCCAACCGAGACAAGAATGGACGACCACGTGCAGAAGGGGAGGATGTTGAAATTAAAAAAGGTCCATTGAAGACCTGAATGCATTGCGATGTCATCGGTTGGTGTTTAATCACTCTTTTTATTGTTGATACGGACTTTTGTCTCTTTTGAATCCTGATTCTGCGTTTCACTTGCACATAACTCCGTGGATCTTGCTTTAGAATTACACTAGCTCTTGCCCAGGTGCAGACTAGCTAGTCGTTTAATACATAATTTCTTTTTTACCAATAACTCTTTCCATGGATCAGAAATCATTCGATTTCCACGCACTAACACTGAAATTAACACTACCCACTCGAGTCGCTTGGCATATCTACTACATAGTATGATTGCTTCAAGTTATGGGGCCTTGTTATCAGAGCTTCAAGCACTTCAAGTTGAGTTTACGAGGTCCTGCTTTAAACCTGAGAATGGTGACTTTGAAAGCCGTAGAAGTAGGTGATAAATTAAAAATTAATGCCGTTTAAAAAGAGAGACAAATCATACGGAAACACAGGCGGCATAGCCAAAAGCCTGTCTAACCCCTCGCCTCCACCAAGACCCTCCAAACCAACATAATCAAAAGCAGATCCATGTGACCCAATCCCGAAAACATCAACATCAATAAATGACTGAGGCCCACCCGCAAGATCAGTGGATACCTCTTGAGTCCACACCTACACTCGTACTCGCATTCATCTCCGTAACACGCTGACCATACTGATCGCCTCTCTCCACACTAACCTGAGTACCAGTGCGCGCATTATCTGGACTCTGTTCTTCTCGATGGAACCACAATCTTTGTAGTAATTTTGCGTAGCGAGATGCGATGTGTGCGTGGTTCTCATTTGCAGAGACCTGCGCCAGGACGTTGATGAAGCGGCGCATTAGTTTCTTCGTTTCTTGGTATCGGGCTGGAGAGACTGCGCCTGAGAGGTGGGACTTGAAGAGGAAGACGGATGAGTGGATTTCGTATCTGTAATTCATGAGCTTAGCTGGATAACACTAGATGATTCTCTTCGTAATCTTAATTGATAACATCACCGTCCATTAGGAGATATGAGACTAGATCCCATACTAATATCAACCAACATGAGATGAGACCCCAACTTACAGATAAAAACGATCAGGCATAAACCGCAGATCTCTCACCGGGTCGAAATCCTCTATGAAAATCCTTAACAATGATTCCGCTGCATCAAGCGCCTCATAGATATGTCTCGCATCCGCACTAGCCATAGTCGAATACGGAAACTCCACACTTGTAGTAGTATCGACATTGGCACCAGCTATTCCCTGGAAATATTTATCGTGTCGCTCTTTCGAACCATGCATCCCAGGTTCTCTGAAGATCCACGATAAAGGACAGCCTGAAACGCAAACGCATTCACCTAGAGCCGAAGATACTCCCTCATTAGCGCTAAACAGCTGCGTAATGGCTTTGAAATAGATATGGATTGCCATTCATACTGCCATGCAGCAATAGCGCGGCTCGTATCATCTATGTACTTGACATAGTCACCGCGGGTAATTAGTTCGACTGTGCAAGATTTCGATGCGAAGAGGATATCGTGCGCGTTTCCGAAGAGCGTGGTTATTTCTACTTGGGCTTGAAGCCAAGGTGCGAGGTTTTTGTCTTCGCTTTCATGTTTTCCTGCCGAGGCTGTATCTTTATCTGTATTTTGTGGTTGGAGAGATGGGAAATCTTTTGCCGTAAACCGGGCGGATAGGGCAGGGCCGCGACACCAGAAGGCTTGACCCATGCGTATTGAGATTTGTCGGTCGGAGAGATATGTAGCTATATTTTCGTGAAGCATATGAGAATCGGGATTGTGAGATCTGGATTGCTGGGATATTACATGTTCATGCTAGGCGTTTTCGCTCGGCATCAGTGTTTTGGTCGTTATCACTTCCTGGAAATGAACTCTCCTCTAGACGTATTCGGTAGGCAAGTCGGACTGCTAGACCAAGAATGGACCATGGCGCTTCACTGCCTATTTCATCGACTTGCGTTTGGGTCGGCAGGGTCCATTCGCCTAGCAAGAGGAGACCTTCAACGCAGCTGATGTGGTGAGTTCCTGCTGCTCCGAGGGCGATGTCAAGTATCTTTTGGCGCAAGTAGCTCCATATTGCTTTATTTATATAGGTTAGTTAAGGAAGATCCTTAGATGCGATTAGGAGAATTGTTGTAAGAAGGAATGATTCGTTCTTTAGGGTATTCGCTATGTTCCGGTGATTCAGTACACTGGCGGGGACTAGAGGGAAGAATGGATGATAGTTGTCTTTGTACCTGAAGGAACGAATAATTAGATTTTCACAGAGGGAATTGATTCTTGAATGGTATGCTTACAGTGCACACAGTTTGAAGAGCAGGTTCAAGTTGATGGTCTTATCTTGGAGCAGTGGATGAAGGTTGTTGAGATCGTCACAGAGATCTGAGCCATTGCTATAGCCTGCTCCTTTGTCAGGCTCTTTTGAAAAACAATTACTTTCTTCAGAAAGCAACAATACGGGAGAATGCGTATTGTTATCAGATCCTGGCTGATTTCTCTCGGGCTGACCAGCAGCATGGGCCAAAATCAACAAAGCATCGGATGGGTTCTGCAGATTAGCATGGACATGTTGCTCTCCATTTCTGACTGACTGTGATGGTAAAGGTGTATCAAGATGCGTAGAAGGGATTCGAGGTGTGGATGCTCCGCTCACAGGCGTTGCTCGCTTTTTTGATCGTCGTAGACGGGAAAAGTTGCCTCCGCGCCGCGAATCTGCCAGTACACAATCGGCTCCTTCTCGAGTACATTTCACGCAAGGCGGCTTGCCTGGAGTTCCAGAGCTTCGCCTATAATATTGAACTTAGTCGGATCAAATATTGACATCATCAAAGGTAGACTTGAAGACGCACAGATCACATCTTGTCTTTCGAGAACGACATCTCACGCAAGCTCGGTACTCTTGAAGACCCAAGCCCTTAGTCATCACGCGTGATCTGACGTATTTGTATGCAATATATGTCAATCCTCTTGTTGGTAATAGGAAATGGTGAGTTAAAGACGGCTATAGACGTTCGATTCCTTCCCCGCATTAGCGACATTGTGGGGAACGGCACTAGACGGCTGAGGATAGGGATGGAAGAAACAGAAGACTCACGTTTTCCTCTGAAATTTGGTCTTTTATGACTTTTTTTAATTGGAGCTCATCTTTTTCAAACAGTTTGATTCGTGAATAAACTCATGGCGTAGTAAGTATCAGCCATCTCAATGGTTGTAATTTTGTGAGTATAAAGAGGTTATAGAACCCGCTGCATTCTCAGAGTTGAGGACCTAGTCTACAGAACCACTGGCATATTTTAATCCCTTTTCACCTCAAAATGGCACCTGGAATTCTCGAATCAACCCCCAGTAGTGCAGACTCTCAACAAGGTGCACGTAGAAAGAAACTCTTACGGCACCAACCCACCAAAGGCCGCAGCAGACGATATCTATGGTAGCTATTATCCCGTTGATCCTAGCACCCTTAATTTGGAGTCAAACTTTGGTCCAACGGTGCCCGGAAGTATTGGATATCTGCAGCCTACATCTTTCGATACTCCTCTTGACATTATGCATGAGCGCTTCGAACGCGACGGATACCTCTTCGTAAGTATGACTCCAGGTAGACCAAAGGAACCAGCTTCGCTAATACCGAAATTCAACAAAGGTTAAAGGATGCATACCCAAAAAAGCTTTGCTTCAATGCCGTGAAGCCTATTTCCATCACATGACTCCAAGTGGTCTACTGAAAGAAGGAAGCAACCCAATCGACGGCACATTCTCCCACAAAGATAGTCGCAAATTCCTCCCACCAGGAAATCTCCGCCGTCTATTCAGACTCAAGGACGACGAAGAGAGTGAAAAATACCTTGATCTCATGCTATCTGCACACGAAGCCCCATTCTACTTGCACTACTGTGAAACGCCCGAACTCCGAGCCTTCATCACTCGTTTCATGAATTGGGAAAAGCCACACATGCTTCAACGCACAATGATACGTGCTTTTGTTCCGAATAGCGAGTTGACACCCGTGCATTTTGATCAAATGTACTTGCGCGCTGGTCCACCAACCAGCATCGCAGCTTGGGTACCCATCGGTGATATTTCACTTGAAGCAGGTGGCCTAATGTACCTGGAAAAATCCACTGATATTGGCCAGAAAACGGAGGCGGATTTCGCAGCTAGTGCTCACAATTTATCTGATGAGGAGCGTGTGAGTGCGCTCAATAAGAATATGAATGATGGGGGCTTTTTGAGCCGCGATATTGTGGCATATGGCAAGGAGGCACGGCGTAAGTGGCTTATCGCGGAGTATGAGGCTGGCGATGTCATCTTTCATAATCCATGGATGATGCATGCAAGTTGCAAGAATAAGGATCCTAATGATCGAATTCGGTTGGCGACTGATTTACGATTTGTTGATCCTGAAAAGCCTTATGATAACGTGAGTTATGTCTTAGATCCGTGATCAAGATTCAAGTTCAAGTGCTAATATTGCAAAGCGGTGCATGAAGGTATGGCGACCATTGGATGGGCTGTAGATTGAACTCGAAATTACACGAAGGAGATGAATTTACGAGGATTTCGAGCTTCCAAGGTTTACTCGATCGCTTAGTCTAATTTTTTTTTATTTATTTCAAGTTTGATTCACATGTTTTCTCCCTTTTTTCTTGAAATGAAATGCAATACTGGACTAAATACAATCTTACTATCAACAATCAAATCATTAGATTTCAATCATCCTATTCATCCCCACCTGAATAGCGAACTAAAAACACACATTCATTTATCATAAATATGAATAATGAAGCCTCGCCACCTGATCGGGTAAGATTAAGAATCATTATATCGGATATATTCTATCCGCTTCATCTCCACTCCTCCGCAAATGACCTTAACCGCCCGTGGGAATTACCCCAGAGTGGACCCCGTCACTGACCGGATCCCAATAGTAGCGTTCACATTGAATGGTCTATTGAGCATGCCAAGTTAGTCATGAGACTCAATCCATGCGTAATTCAATGGTACGCAGTACTATTAGCAGTGGCATGTTGGCCCAGTTGCCTCCACCAGGATAAATAAAAGCCGCCTACTTCCGTGAACCATTTCCATTTCCATTCAAGTTTCCAATTCCCTCAGACCTCTTCAAGTTCAAGTTCCTCATCAACTTAATCATGTCTTTGAAAGTGGCCATCATTGGCGCCGGCCTCATTGGCCCCCGCCACGCTCAGTCTGTCATCTTCAACACATCAACCGAACTAGTTGCTCTTGTAGATCCCTTACCAACAGGCGGAGCCGTCGCCGCAGACCTCAAGACAAACTACTACCCCACCATAGCAGCTCTGCTGGCATCACCTCACAAACCCGATGCCGCAATTGTCTGCACACCAAACCACACCCACGTCCCCATCACCAAGGAACTTCTAGCAGGTGATGTGCACGTTCTCCTCGAAAAGCCTTTCAGCGATACCCTCGAGACAGGTCGCAGTCTCCTGGAATTCGCACATGCACCAGAGAACGCACACCTGAAGCTTCTAGTAGGCCACCACCGCCGTTTCAATCCTTATGTGCGCGCAACAAAGTCCGTCCTTGACTCCGGTTCCCTGGGCAATGTTATCGCCGTGAACGGTCTCTGGACTATCTATAAGCCTGAGCCCTACTTCGAATCGCCAACTGATTGGCGCGCATCCAGAGCTCGAGGCGGTGGTGTTATCCCCATTAACTTAGTTCATGATATTGATCTCATGCACCACTTCTTCGGTCCTATTGTTCGTGTCCAAGCGGAGAAGATTCTCCCGCAAAGACCCAGTCCTCCCCATGATGCGGATGAGGGTGCAGCGCTGACATTGCGTTTCGCGTCGGGGGTTGTGGGCACATTCCTCGTCTGTGATGCGACTCCCTCACCGCATAATTTTGAGACGGGCACTGGTGAGAACCCGATGATTCCGAGCTCACCGACCGGTGATGGGGCGGACTTTTATCGAATCTTTGGCTCTGAGGCTTCGCTTAGTGTCCCAGATCTTACCAGATGGAGCTATGATGGAAAGGCCGAGAAGAGCTGGCAGCAGACTCTGAATGTGGAAAAAATTGAGTTGCCGGATCACTCAGCGCCGTTTGATCTGCAGTTGGCGCATTTCGTGGATGTTATTCGTGGGGATGCGGAGCCGAGTTGCTCTGGGGAGGAGGGATTGAGGGCTTTGCTCGTTTGTGAGGCTGTTCAGAAGGCAATGTCCACAGGACAACCTGCTGAGATTCCAGTTGATTTATTGGCGTGAAGAAGATTATCAGTTAATGCGAGAGAATGCTTATGAATATTTAACGGATAGAGCTGGAATGCATTTGGATCTCTCAACCACTTTGAATAACTACTAGTAGAGCTTGAAACAAAGTTCAACGTGAAAGGTGCCACCAGTCAAGGACCCGATTTGAAACAAAAATAGTGTATCAGCTCAGACTGGAACCCATTGAGATAGTTAGGCAGAATATGCTTATTCCAAAGATGGCACTGTGTGCTTGAACAGATTGTCGGGGTCAAAGGACGCCTTCAAATCGTACAATGATGTAGCGGAGTCCCCATACACTTTCTTGACCCACTCGGCGCTCGAGCTAGATCGAGTCGAAGTATAAAGAGAGATGTACGAGGTAGGCAACAAAGCCCCAGAGCTGGAGGCAGCCTTCTCGACATCGGCTGAAAACTTGTCTGCCCAGCTCTCGGAATCAGCCTGCTTATCTGACCCAACTGAATACCCCAGAATCTCGATCATGAAATGAGGTTGTCGTGGTCCGAATATGGAATCACTGCCGGGTTCCTGTGGTGCGGCAGATGGACCGCGTACCTGATGGATGGTGCACATTGCGCCGGCATCTGCTGGCAGATGGGCTAGGTTGGATCCAATTGCCTCGGCAACTTTAGATGTGATATGAGAAAGGTTGTAGGTTGATGCGGAACCGTAGACAGCCTTGGGAACATGGGCGCCAGCGCCAGATACCCATTCAGGGATAGTAGTTGGCTTGACCATGTTTATTTTTGCGGGTCCTAAAGAGGCAATCTTTTGACTCCAGCGTTGCCCCTCTTCTAAATCTTCCTCTGTGCCTGTACCAGCCCAAGCAAAGAGAAATGCGAACGCAAGACCACGAGGAGAATAGAAGCTGACCCGCTGTAGAGTAAGTTGTGAAGGAATCGTTTCTGCATCAAGAAGATTGCTGTAAGCTGTATTAATTTTGGTAAACGATGTTGTTATATCGCTAGTATCAAAGAGTATAGGCCCAGCAAGAAGCTATATTTGGTTGTCAGTTACTAGTTCTTCTTTTGAACATATATAGTGGGTTCTTACTGTAGGGGCTGGGTAAACCTTGATGGTCAGATCAACAATAACACCAAAAACACCACCAGCACCACGAATACCTTTGAGTAAAGGATCGCTGCCTTCCAGTTTGATCAAATTGCCATTAGGGTCCACAACAGTAGCGCCGATGATATTATCAACTCCAAGACCCCACTTTGAAGAGAATGGACCATAGCCACCATATGAGGCCCAGCCAAAGAAGCCAACATGAGGGATGCTTCCAGTTGAGGTCGCGACACCTTTCGCCCATAGCTGGTTAATCAGCTCGCCTTGAAGGATTCCACCACCTACTGTCGCCGATTTGAGATCCTCCGCGACAGCGACAGAGTCCAAAGTCCGCAAGTCAATCAGCAAGGCATCTTGGACCAGGGCTCGCCCTTCTAAGTTATGACCGCCAGAACGTATGGAAAATGGAATCGCATTTGACTTCACAAACTTGATCAGGGTAGCGACATCCTCGGCCGACTGAGGTTGGGCAATTGCCAGAGGTTGATCGGGGCGCGAGCAGTTCCAGACCTCACGTACTGTAGCGAACTCAGCAGACGAGCGAGGAATATACCTGATGGTAGGATGACCCTGAAAAAATGTTTTCATGCTGGCAATGAGGTCGGTTTTCATTGTAGGAGCTTGGTTGGAATGTCAAAAAATAGAACTTGATCGCAATTGGCAGAAATGAACGACTGTGTTTATGGTTTCGGACTCCCTTAAATATGTCTGGAATCAAAAGACCTGCACATGTGAGAGACAGATGATGTGGCTAGTGGGAAAATTGAGCAAACAACACCCCCGGGGCCGTGGACGATCCAAGGCAGTCCGGAGGTTTACTCCGTAATATTTGCAGGGATCGGGTAGACTCATGAGATGAACAAAGAGAAGCTGCAGGATTGGGCACATCATTTTCTGAGTTGGAACCCCGCTGGGGCCGTACATTTATGTACAACGGAGCACACATCCATGTTCAGCAAGCTCCAGGGCTCCAGGCTGGGGCTGTATTGAAAGTATTTACCATACACGTATATCGGCGCAAATTTGAACAAGGTCTTTCAAGGTTTTATATGGTCATATACTGCATGGATAAATTCAGCTCCTGTACCTAATCTGCACCCTCATGTGCCTAGGTGGGCTCTTACTGCATAATGCAATAACAGCACCAGAGACTCTCCACCCAAGGATGGCAAAATAATACTTCCAAGGTTTTCATATGCCATCTTAGCCTTCTCTGCATTCTCGGAACTCGAATGCGCTCAAGATTGTCATCGCCCCCATGCGGCAATGTTTTCTGCCTCAAAATCAGAGAATGGTCAATACCTAGGTACTCATTACTGAGAGACCAGGAAAAAATCATAACTCTGATAATGGAGATGAAATATCAGATCAACCATTGCCGGCTACCAAGGCCCGAAAGTTGGTCATACTTGCTTCAAACGCTCTTGACTGGACTTCTTGTTCTCAGTATTTTCAAACTCTGGATTCCTTCGATATTCTCTCATTCAGCAAAAAGAGGCTCTAAGTCGATAGAAATTCGACGAGAATGGAGGACGCTGAGCGAGGCAGAGAGAAAAGAGTACCTTGACGCAGCAGTATGTCTGACACGGATGAAGTCACGAAGAGATCCCCGAGTCACTACTCATGATGATTTTTCCTATCTCCACAGTCGCGTTGGACACTATTGTAAGTGGTGAACTCCCCTTTCCTCAACACATAAGTATTCGATTCAAGTTCTTCTTTTAACGTGAGCCTTCAGCACATCATGATGATGCCGCACCATTCATTCCATGGCACCGCTACTTTATTCATTCGTATAAACAAGCATTGAAAGACCACTATGGGTATCAAGGTACTTTGCCGTGAGTATGGTGGCTGTTCCCGCGAGACTACCGTTGTTTGAAACTAATATTTTCTTAGATATTGGGACTGGTCAAAAGGTTACCAAAATTTTCTTGAATCGCCAATATGGCATGAGAATCTTGGTTTTGGTCCCAACGGAGACATAAGAGGCCCAGGGGGAGTTTCAAAGGGGCATTACGTCAATACCGGTCCATTTACTGGGTGGCTCAGCACAGGCTCAGCTAGACCCGACTACCTGGCGGTCCATCTATAATGATTATACCGATTTTCTCACTGAAAGAGGCGGTTCTAATGTGGGCAGCTCACTCGTCCTTTTGGAAGCCTATAGTCTACAAACGGCCAAATCAATGGGTAATTCTAGCTCGGCTTATGCTTGACGGTTGACGAACATATTAAATACAGTTGCTACTGCATGGTACGCCAATAGTAGTCTGGATGCGATCGCTAATTCGTGGGCGGGCAAAGTTCGTGACGACTGGCGTGCGACCAGTGGCCTGGAGATTAATTCGACGTGAGGGAACCTTTTTCTTCAGATTTCCTGTTCTGCTGCTGAATGATTGTAGATACATTAATTTCGGCTTTGGAGATGAGACCCTGGACGACATCTATGGCCCAAATGTTCATCTGCTTCGCAACTTGAAGACCCAGTAATACCCTGAGAACAAGTTTGATCAGTTCTTTCCGCTCTATTCATAAAAAGACGAAATTGGCCGTATGTTTAAGAGAAATGCAGAGGCCGGCTACTCTACAGTGCTGTAATATTTTATAATGATGTATGAATCACCGGCATTGGTTATTGACTTGATCTATGTAGTTAGTAGTATCGGGCTAATAGCTAATATGAGATAATCATGCCCGCCTCCAGCCCGGGTTACATTCAAGTTTTTTTTTTCTTTTTTTAGAATTTAGAGTATGCAGTAGTCAAGTTTAGTGCAACTGTGACTTCAAGAAGCTTTTTACAGGGTAAGAAAAATATGTTTGAATATTTGTATCATCCAATTCTATTGGTCTCTTAGTAAATTCGTGCTATAATCTCAAAAACATCATTCCATATACATCACATAATTTCCACACTCAATGTGTGGAAAAGTCAAAACCATTCATATCCATCGAATCATAATATCACAATCATTCATCAAGCAAACTTAGAAGCCTCAGCAGAGGCATCCTCAACTTGCACGGCACCAACCTTGCTAGCAGCAAGACCAGACTCTTCGATATCGTGACGGAAGCGCTCCTCGTCCTCGCGCAGCTTGGCAAGCATCTGGCTGTGAGCATGGTGAACAGGCTTGATCTCGAAGAGTTGATCCATGCTCTCAAGAGGAAGACCCTTAGTTTCGGGGATGAGGAAGTACACGAAGACGATAGAGCAGAGCATCAGGGAGGCGAAGAAGAAGTACACTCCGTAGCCCATGGTAGAGAACATCTGGGGAGTGAAGCGAGAAATGAGGAAGTTCCAAAGCCAGTTAGATGCGGCTGCGCAAGCCTGAGCAAGGGAACGCATGTTGGGGTCGAACATTTCCGAGTTCAGAACCCAGGGAGTACCGTTCCAGGTTGGGGTGTAGAAGACGGTCCACAGGTAGAAGAAGAACATGGCAGCGATACCACCACTGTCCATGTGGGTCTTGGGGTGAAGCGCTGGCTGTGCAACCTTGATGTAGGCACCGACAATCCAGAGACAGACGGAACCACCAAAGGCACCGATCAGGAGCAGGTTGCGACGACCGACACGGTCGATAAGGTACAGCAACCAAACGAAGGTGACAACAGTCTTGACAACACCGAAGATACCAGTGGTAAAGAGACTAGTGTTGGTACCAGTAACTCCGATACTCTGTAGATATGATTAGAATATGTATGTTAACTGAGACCTGATATTGAAACTCACCTTGAACACAGTAGGGGAGTAGTAGTTGATGGCGTTGATTCCGGATCCATTCTGCCAGAAGAACAGCATGCTTCCGAGGAACAGGCGGTAGAGGACTTTGTTGTTGTGGTAAGCAGCCTTGAAGGGGTTCCAGAAGCCAAGACCAATTTTCGAGCGCTGCTCTTCAAGAGCCTGATCAATGGCGCCAATCTCCTCAATCATGTAGATATCATTCTCATCCAGCTGGCGGATCCAGCAAAGGTTTCGGATAGCCTCCTCGCGACGGCCCTTGGAGAAGAGCCAACGGGGAGATTCACGAAGGAAGACACCACCGAAGAGCAAGAGACCGGCAGGGATCAACTGGACAGCAAAGGGGATAATCCACTGCTTGTGGCTAGGGGCCATAGTAGAATCGACACCATACTATACATAATATGTGTTAGCATCAGCAACATCGTGAGTACTTTGTTGGTTAACTTACGTTGATCCAGAAACCAACAAGACCACCAACTTGCCATCCAAGCTCGTACACACCGACGAGACGACCACGGATAGCCGGGGGAGACAATTCAGAGATATAAATAGGAGTGATATTGGAGCCAGCTCCAACACCCAGACCAGCCAAGACACGACCAGCGTAAATCAAACCAAGTCCACGGTCACCATTAGCGCCCAGCATAAGACCAGCACCAAGGATAAAGACCAGAGCGGAAATCAGCAAGGCGATCTTGCGACCCCAGAAGTGACCAAGAGGGTAACCAAAGAAGGCACCGAAGAAGGCACCGGCCTGGTAAAGAGAGACGATATTGGCGCTGAGCAAACCCTGGGCAGCTGTTGACATGGAGGAGAAATGGAACTCGGACTTGAAAGAATCAAGGGCCAAGGTGGTACCGATGAAGGCACTGTCGTAGCCGATCATGCATGATGTGCAAGATGCCACAGCCGCTAGAAGGTAAACCCTCCAGTTGTAGACGGCCTTGGGGGTCGGTCGGTCCTCAACCAACTTGAGGATAGACATTGTGATGGATAGAGATAAGAAAAATTAAAAGGGGGAAATGATAATATAGTACTCTGTACTACCAATGCACAAGGCAAAAGAGCAGTCAGATATACTACTGTAGATATCGCCGATAGGCGTGTAGTATAAAGTGTGGAAAGTGATGAAAGGGTGGGAAGGATGAACTTGAGATAGAGAAGAAAAAAATTCTACGAGGGCGAAGACGCGATCTAAATAGTTTCCCCAGACGGCAAAGAGTTATTTGGACGAATCGTGGGGAATGGGGGAATGGGAATCCGGGGATAAAGCTCTAGAGGGAAAATATCGTGGGGAGGCAAAAAAAAGCCACGCGGAGAATCGAATATCATTAATAACCTTTTCATATTCCTTGGATTTCAGAGTGTGTGCCAAGTCGGCAAAACGAAGAGAAAACAAGAGAAATGAGAGAGATGAATAGAGTCTCTTGGCCACACTTGGCCACGAGGGAAATATAGACCTTGGACAAGTTCAAGGGGCTTTTTAAACGAAGAAGGATTGGGCAGCCGAGGAAATAGAGTGCTGGTTGGACGAATCCTAAGAATGTGGAGAGCTTCCAAGCCGTGCATATGTGGATCCAGGGTCTTGGCCTGGGGGAAGAATCAGCTGGGCTTTGACATCTGGGGTAGTCTAGGTACTGTGAATTTGGTTCAATCTGGGGGCAAAATAGGAACAAAAATTCTAAATAAACTTCACTTTCTGATAGGCTATTGAAATGGAGAATTTAATACAATATGATTGGATGAGTCTAATTGACCCACCTACCAAATAAACAATTGAGAATAACCAATGAAAATAGAAGAATCAGTAATGGAGTGGCGGGGAAAAGCGATCCCCGGCCGCCTATTTAGTCTCAACATTGACTTTGGGACTAATGTCAATCTCTTAGTGAATCTTATTACTGTAATCCGCCACTTAAACTAAGACAAATTTTCTGATTGGATGTGGCAAACTATGCGAGACATCTGTGTACCCCATGGGGTGTACATAACCATGGGAAAAGCATTCAGCCCTCGGTCAGATGGGATAAGTCGGTGAGGCTCATGGCTGATCTGGCTGGAAGTATGCAATGAGGGGCATTGAGGGGCATAAAGTTATCAAGATATAATAGTTAGAAGTTTCCCTACTTCATAGTTTGAAGTTTTAGAATACTTAATGATAATTTCTCTTTTACCAACCTTGGAAGTTCAACTTGAAATCCCAGTGTTCCATACTCCGTACATAGCCCTGTCTTGTGACCCAGCGGAAAAACGATCTCCGGATAGTGTTTCTCCGCCTGAGACCGGATCTTCCTTTACTCGTGCAAAACCTGTTGAGATAGCTTCAATTGGTTGCCGCCCGGCCCGGACTCTTGTAATCACCCCTCATTTCTTATAATTTTTATACGGAGTATCCCCTCCTTTCTTCTTTATCACACTTTCGTTATAACAGAAAAAAAAACAATAATATCAACATATCACAATGGCCGCCCCTGCTGTCACCGCTGATACTCGTCCTGAGGAGCCCATCACCATTCCCGCCGACCGGGATGGTGTCGCTTACCTTTACGGTCACCCATTGCTGAACTCCCTGTCGCCTCCTCTGCACCAGACTGTCTACAATGCTCTGGGCCTCAACTGGACTCAGATTCCTCTGTCCAGCGTTACCGGCACATCCGAAACCTACCCTCCTCCTTACACAGTCTCTCCCCCGATCGAGAAGTACATGGCCTCGATCCGCTCCAACCCTAAGTTCGTCGGCTCGTCCGTGACGATGCCCCACAAGGTCGCCATCATGCCTCACCTGGATGACCTGACTGAGCACGCCCGGCAGGCCGGTGCTTGCAACACCATCTTCCTGCGCGACGACCCCGCCACCGGCAAGCAGCAGTACGTCGGTACCAACACCGACTGTGATGGTGTCCGTGAGGCTCTTCTCCAGAACTCTCCTAACCCCGAGAACTTCCGCGGCCGGCCCGCTCTCATCATCGGTGGTGGTGGTACTGCCCGCACTGCTATCTACGTTATGCGCCGCTGGCTCGGCTCCAGCGCTATCTACGTCGTTAACCGCGACGCCGCCGAGGTTGAGGCTATCCTTGCCGAGGACCGTCAGCGTAACCCTGACCCTACCGCTCAGGCTCCTCTCATCCACGTCACTGATCCCGCTGAGGCTGCTCGCCTTGAGGCTCCTGCCGCTATTGTCTCCGGTATCCCCAACTACCCTCCCAAGAGCCCCGAGGAGCTGAATGCTCGTGCCGTTATTCAGGCTTTCCTCGGCACTGCGGCTACTGCCGACAAGCAGGAGGGTGTCATCCTTGAGATGTGCTACCACCCCGTTCCCTGGACTGAGATCGCCAAGCTGGCCTCTGCTGGTGGCTGGAAGGTCATTCTCGGCTCCGAGGCTCTGATCTGGCAGGGTCTGGAGCAGGCTCGTCTCTGGACTGGCAAGGATATCATTGGTACTCCTGGTCTGGTGCAGCTCGTCAAGGATACTCTTTACAAGATTATCGCTGACCGCCAAGAGAACAAGCCCAGCCTGTGATTTATTCACAGTGTGTGATTTGTTTACGAAAAAAAAGAACCTTTCTTCATGTTGTTTAACGATTGTATAGAGCTTCGACATTCTTGCATATATTACTAGATATTTGGCGTCGCTTGTGGAATACATGACACTTTTACGGATACCACTGGATTTTCCAACCCTTTCCCAATTCGTCAAGTAAATTTCATTATATAACATAACTAGTAACGAAATCATAGATCTATAGTCTGTATAGTCTAGATCTAGATCGGCCTATAGCTTACGCACCAGGTCGAGTATAAGACAAGTGACGGACTCGCCGCCAAACTTCCCGCACAGTACGTTCCTGTGATTCGCGACCCGTCTCCGTCTCCGATGGTCCAGCAGGTCTAATGGCGAGATATAACCGGCTTCCAAGGCGCATATCTCCAATAGGCGCTGTATCAGGGTTCTCCGGTGGGTTGGCAGTAGTTACCAATCCACCCGCCTCAAGCAGAATAGCAATACCCGCAGCAACATCCCTAGTACGAAGTTAGTAATGCAGCTCCGAGAATTGCTTAGCAATTCAAAGGATTTGAAAACTCACCATTCCCAGCAACCTCCTTCCCACCAGATATCAAACGATCCCATGGCTGTATATGCCAAATCCAGTGTGGCGCTACCCAAACTCCGCATTCCATGCACCATGCCACCCTTCCCATCACGCGATCCCAATTCCGCGGCCATATTTATAAAACTCTCAATCTTGCGATGCATATTTCCGTCCGGAATATCGCGCCGATCTTTACCCCATTCGCAGGAGAAAATGCATTGCGAGGGTGCGTTCGCCGGCATGGGTGGAATGGGATTACGGATTAGTGGGAGCTGGCGCTTCTCGTTCAACCAGGCGCCACGGCCTGGGCAGGCCGAGAAGAGTTGGTCTTGGAAGGGGGCGTATATTACGCCGATGATAGGGCGGTGTTGGACTATGAAGCCGATAGAGACGCAGAACATAGGGAAGATGTGTGTGTAGTTTACAGTTCCTTGATCAGTGTTAGTGGACTTGCGACTAAAATTGATATTCGAAAGAATGGAAGGGTTGGAATTACCATCCAGAGGATCAATGCACCATGTTGGCTCCTCAGTAATTAGATAGTCGCGGGATTGACCCTTTGCGTAGGTTTCTTCACCGAGGAATCTGGGGATAACATTAGCGTGAATCTCCCAATCGCAGGCAAAAAAGAAGATCATACTTATGTTCAGGGTATTTGCTCTGAATTGCATTGCGAATAAATACTTCCACATCTATTACACAGACTGAGTTAGTTCATTGCTCTCTTGCTGATCAATAGCCGCTGAACCCCGCAAATCCTGGCAAGCTTACCCTCATCTGTCTGCGTCACAATATCAACGGAGCTATCCTTCTCCTCGAATTTCTGATCACCACCAGAGATACGCTGCTCTACTCTGTCCATCAACATGTCACCAGCTTTCCGACCGAGGTTCACGGCAAAAGCGTATATCTCGTCCAGCTCATCTTGAGTGAAGTTGGAGACGGGCATAGCGGGGTTATGCAGGTAAATGGGGATTCCGGAGCGGGAAATATGGGGGATCTGGGAATGGGGGAATTGGTGGAGGATGGTGTAGATGAAAGTTGATTCAAGGAGAAGGTCCAGTTCGTTGGGGTCTTGATTGAGTCACTTTGCCCGGTGAAAAAAGCACGAAGCTACCGTCACTAGCCGGCATTTGCCTTATCGGGTTCTCCACTTTGGTGGAGACACCGGATGTTGCTACCCTGTGATGAGGATGCAGATTCTGGGGCAATTGACATTTTCTGGTGATTTATCTAAAAATAGAAGAGATATTAGAATTGAACAGCTTTATATGTCCCCATGACTCATGTAAATTCATCTTGGAACTTGGTCTGGGGTTTTTGAGGCTGGATAGGACACACCGCTGAATATGGGGGCTAGGGGCAAAGTGCGGAGAACTGGACTGCATAGTGATATCCGGAGAGCATCATTTTCCTATCAGTTCTACTAGAGAGTACTATGTATCTGCAAAAGAGGGCAACTGGGAACTCCAACCATTTATCATGATTCATGAAAAGTGGTAGTCAAGAATTGACGCCAATGACTCGTACAAGACTGAGTAACATGAAAATACTCCAGTTGGCGGTACAACCGCTGGCATGCCACCACATGTATGGCTGCACATGATATCCATCTATTGACACAGTGTAGATCAATCAATTCGAATTTATGGATCAATGAATATCTTTTACAAAACCCAATTTTCTTTATAACTCAGACTGCCAGTGGTTTCAATTCTCCCCAGTCTTCCCAGACTCTCGAGCCTGCCCAGTGTCGGCTACTACTATTTCCTACTACATTGAGCGTGACTTCACCTGCACATGTGGGCATTCCTCATCCCAGTTCCCAACACCTGGCATTGAATCCTCCAGAGCTGAGCATGTGGATGCCAGTGCCAGTGTGTAACAAAATTTACAACTTCAAGTTGAACCTTCTCGCACCAGTTGACGCCAGCACTTGAGGCCCGGGGACTGTCCCACATGTGCATAGTATGCGCATGCTCCCACCATAACATCCATGTATTGAATCACTGGAATGATTTCCAACCTTGGAAGGTTCCGAGCATTCAAATGTTACTAGTATCTCACACACAACTTCACATAATGGATCAAGAGCTTTATTGGCAGCTTGAGTTGCCTTATTACTAGTAGTAGTTGAACATAGACTCGATTCTGATGTTTTATTCGGCATCCCAAGGTTTCAACTCCAGGGCTTGAAGTTTGAAAACATTTTGAATGCACATCCATGGATGTGGGGTTATACAAGTGCAGGACTTGGGGGCATTGGACATCTGGATGAGGTCATTGCTGAGTTCGATCTACATGACTTCAAGTTGAACCAGCACTGAGTTCAATCATTATGTCCACATCCTTGGAAGTACTGAGGTGTTCAAGTTGGCCTCGATCCACATATTCGTCCTAACCCTTGACCGAGAATCCCAATTGGAGATGATTGACACATAAGAATCCGACCGAGGTCATTTCCACGCTAATATAGGACTAAATCAAATCCGAGGTGCGGTGGACAGGGTTTAGCATTAGGGTGCACTAATTATAAAACAGTTCATAACTCCCCACAAAATCTCAGTCAAGTTTCAATTCAGCATTACATTCTTACTAACAGAATTGAAATAATACCAAAATCCAATACACACAACCCCTCCACTGTAATTCATCGTAATTCATCCCACACAGCCCACTATAGTCCCCCCCACACGGCAAAGCGCTCACCCGCACCGAGGGGCAATGCGGAGAACGGATGAAACGGGTACGCGCAAATGAACGAATAATTCACCACCAGCTCTATTATACACAACCTCCCACTAATTCTCCCACCACAAAACCTTCCTACCCAAAAAACCTTCTCATCAATTCAACCGCCTTACATCCACAATGGGCAAGTCAATTCTCCTCATCAACGGTCCCAACCTCAACCTCCTGGGTACCCGCGAACCCCACATCTACGGCTCAACCACCCTCCCCGACGTCGAGTCCAACGCCAAAGCCCAGGCTACCTCCCTCGGTGCTACACTAGAGTCCTTCCAGAGCAACCACGAGGGTGCGATCGTTGATCGTATCCAGGAGGCTCGTGGAAAGGTTGATGGCATCATTATCAACCCTGGTGCTTACACACACACTTCCGTGGCGATCCGGGATGCGCTGCTCGGTGTTGCCATTCCTTTTATCGAGTTACATGTGAGCAATGTGCACGCTCGTGAGCCTTTCAGACACCACTCTTACTTCAGTGATAAGGCTGCGGCTATTATCGTTGGCTTGGGTGTTTATGGTTATAAGGTTGCTGTTGAGCATGTTGCTCTTAACTTTAAGGAGTTGGAGAAGGCTACTCTGTAGTTTGTTTCTTCTTACTTCTTAGGTCAATGGTTATGATGTCTTCTCCGAAATTATGATTGGATTTTGTGAGATGATAAAAGTTTTATGTTAGGATTAAAGCCATCAGGTTGGAAGAATATTGTATATAAATGCTCAATTATCATCTACAATGAATGGGAATTTAGATGACAACATTTAAAGTTGCTTTGTGGACAATTGTACTGTCGCTAAACTGCTAAGTAGGTAGTAATACTAGATAGTATATATGATTGAGAATATTCCATCAATGGCCGTCAGCCTCAATTAATCTCATTAAACCTCGGTAACACATAGATATGTCTCTCTTGCAATCCCGGAGCACACGTATGGGTATAAATGCACTTGATCGTGCCGTATGAGTAGTGTGGAAGAGAGATATCTATCAGCCGAAAGGTGCCGACCAGCGGCTATAAGTAGAACGGCATACACCTGATCATACTGAGCGCTTTGGCGTCCCAGACATGCTGATTGATTGTGATTCTCTTCGAACTCCCGGTGTCCCGTTACTCGGTATCTGATGCTGTGCCAATAAGAATGGCTCGATTTGACTTGAGAAGGAGTACATTTCTGGAACACCCGGGTCGGCAACGAAGCCCAGGTTTTGCATGAACTCTGGTTGATGATCGGCCCTAGAAAAGAGAGATGCGGTTTAGATATTGAATGTTGAAATCATATGAACTAAATGGTACTCACTTGTCAGCACCATCCAACGATGCCAGTTCGTCAAATAGTGCATCCAGATCTGGTGCAATTCGTTGCTGTCGACGTGGAGGAGGACCGTACCCATCCATGTCGACGAAGGGACTGAGACCAAGAGAGGGATCTTGATAGGGTTGATGGTATTGTGCACCCGGAGGATATGGTGGCGCGAGGTCGGGTATCATGGGTGGACCGGGATGTGATTTTGATGGAGCAGATGTAGACTGACGAAGACCACTACCTAACCCTGCATCCATTTGACCTGGTTGTGCAGAGACCTCAGAGGCACCGCCAACAGTGGTCAAAGAAGGAGTAGGTGTAGGTAATAATGAGCCTGATCCGTCATCGATAGTTTGGGTGGCTCTGAGCCAGGGGGGTTGAGAGGAAGGGATCCGGGGTGGACGTGGGGTGTGCGGAGCCAGGGGGGGTTTCCATCCGATCCACTAAGATGACGAGGGGTACTTGTAGGCGGTAGGACATGAGATAATGTTGGATCCTCGTGGGCGGAAAGGTCTGGTTGATGTGATGTTGCAGGAGACGCCATCGTCCCCTGACTTCTTTGTGTAATGGTCTGACCGGTAGGTGGGCGGTCTGAGACAGACCAAAGCTGTACAAGGTGAGATGAAAACGATTGAATCTTGTTACGCAGACCCAACTCGACATCAGATACCATATCGCGGGAGAATGAACGCGGAAGACAGTATTTCAGAATCATGCCAAATATGGGAGCAGTGGCTGAGAGACTATACGTCTCCAAGTAAACCTGGAGGCAGTGGATCAACCGCTGCGAGCTATCAATAGCGCGGGCTTTGTGCGGCATCTCAGGGATGTTCTGATCACTCTCACGCGCAGCAATCTGTAAACTCAAGGCAGAGACAATGCTTTGGTATGTCATTTCCAATCCAAAGATATGCGGCGACGCCAACTTGATTGGGCGACTCTGTAAATCGACACGATAGCTCTTGGGGAGGGCAGCTGCCCATCGTTGCAAATTCAATTCTAGTGACTCTAGTTGCGATCGGGAGACGGTCGGGTCTTGCTTGTAACAACACAGATCGTTCAAGATAGAAACGAGCGATACCAAGCGATTAAACGTGCTCAATGCATGAAGGGGCCCTCGTTGCATGGATGCTCGAGATGCTTGAGTAGGTCGAAGACCAGTCATATCCTCCCATGGATGCCATTCTTCCAATCCATCTTCATTAATAGATCCCACACGGGCCAAATCATTTCGGCGTAACGAGGGGCATTGTGATGTTTGCTCAGCAATGAGAGTTTCCAGCACAAAGCATCCCAAAAACACATGTTTTGCTCGACCAAGTTGCTTGCCCTGTTCGGGCGACCGCGAAGAAATAGAAGGGAATGAAGGTTGATCCAAACCTAATGTCTGAGCAATGCGGACTGAATGACCAACGAGCATCCAGGCTGCGGTCCATTCTTGCTGACCAAACTTGATGAGCGACAGGATCAGCAAAGCTTGGACGTGGCCCACTTCAAATGGGCCTGTCTCGACGGGAATTAGGTCTCGAGCAGTGTTATACAGGAGAGATGGGTTAATTCGGCTATTCTGGGGGTCGGATTCTCGGGCGGTGATGGATGCATCTTGAAGGGAAGCGAGGGTCAGGACCGCCCACAGGGCGGCATGGTCACCGGACCCAGGTGCTGAACGGGTCATGTACACATCGCCCTCGGTATACTGAAATGCTGTTCGAAGGATATCGTGCTTTTCCAAGATGGGAAACCAGCATTGAGTGTATGAAAAGTATATATCAAGAAGAGGCCACGCATTGTAGGGTATTTGAAGAGGGGAATTGGTGGAGATCGCTCTGGGGTCGTCGGCATGGAGGGAGATGGCGAGGGTAGGGGATTGGAATTCATCGGATGAGGTGGTTTGAACACCCGAGTCTCGAGTACGGTATGCAGCGGGCCGAGGTGCAGAGCTGATCATGGACATGCGGGAGGGTGAAACCCCCCGGGAACGGAGTCTCACGAGCGTCCAGTCCATCTGGGATTTGCCATTCCTGAGCCTCCGACGAGGCCAGAATCCCATCCACGTCCAGCGGAGTATCTCCCTCGCTATATGCTTGTAGACTACGATCTCTCTCCTCCTCGGGCTGCTCCAAGACGACCAGCATCCGCTCAATATCCCTCAAGACCGTACTGTTCTTGAACGATGAGAGTAGAGTATCCGACCCTTCCGCCTCCTTGCCCATCGTGGCAAGATGGCTGGGCAGATTGATCGATCTCATCAAGGCTCGCATGACATCTTCACTACCTTGAATCTTCTGGAAGACCAGCCCCCAGAGCAGCTCGAGGGAGCGGATGTAACCTGTCGGCAAACCTCGTTTCTTTGGATTGGCCTTGTATGTGCAAGGCCTGCATAGCGAGGCGCATGTTGAGCACACTGGTTGGACGCCATCACATTTGTCTTTCTTCGATCGGCAGCTGTCGCATGCTCGTGAGACGCGCTGCCGCTTCGGTTGGGCTGCTAAATCCTCAGGGCCGTTCATTTTGCCATCGTCGTCGGGGTCGGTCCAGCGACGTTTGGATTTCCCGCTCGCGCCGGTGGCTTGGCGAGGGTCGGAGCTCATTGTGATTGCTTCGATGATCCACTAAGCGATTTTGGGCGCATGTTCCTGCGATGCGATCGTACGCAGCACGAGGGGCAGTGTTGAATCTTTTGCCGACGGGCTCGGGAACAAGGTGGGTGAGCTATGCCCATGCACAAATGGCCCCCACTGGCTTACAGATGGACCGTGCGAGTATAAAAAATGGGATGGTAGATTGGGCCTGGGGTAAACAAGGAAAGGCCGGATGAATGTAAAAAGGAAAAAAAAGTGACCAGACCAGGAACCGGAGAGCCGAGGTGTTGGCAGGATTCTCACTCTGTCTGTTCCGGGGAAAGGCACACACGGGCCTACACGGACTTCCCAGCGGTGAACCAGTCGCGGGTAGGCAAAATGTCAGAATGGGGACGGACTTGGTAGAGTGTTCCACTATGGGGAATTTTTATTACGTATCTGGTCTACATGTAGGGTGACTTTTTGAAATAATTCATACAAGAAGTAGTTTTTTGAAGTAAGGTTCTCAATATAAAAAATTACTTCAATTCTTAAGGTTTAAAGGACAGAATCCAGTTTTTTTCTCCTACTCATTTTAATTGCAAATTTTCTTTGTCATTTTTAGGAGATTAATGCGCCCCAGGCTAACCTTGCAGTTCCCCACGGGGGGAAACTAACTAGCCCAAAGTATATGTAACCGGTAGAACACTTTGCCCTAGTCAAACCAACCAAACCAGTCAAACTCATTCAAAGCTACTCTGATGGTTACTTACCGGTAATTTATTTTGTACCACCATCGTATTCACCGGGTAACGCTAAAAACCTCATCCCCGCAAAATCCCACCTACACGGTTCCTCTTGTCCCATCTTTCCTAGCTACTAGGTTAGTTTGCTTCTTCTCTTCTTCCTTTCCCCACACATTTCGCAACCTGTTTTTTGAGGGGGCCTTAAACGCCTGGTTTTTGCTTTTCGTCTTTTTTTTACTCCCTCAATTTGGGATATGGGATCGATTCCCTCTGCATAATATTTTTTGCGACCATGTCTATTCTCGTGCGCCCACCCAAGCGCAAATTACATGAGGCCGAAGAGGGACCTCGGAAATATAGCGTCGGAGTTTCCTGGTCTCCGGGAACTCGTTCTAACTCCCAGGGCAGTTCACGACGACCTAGTGAACAACCAGACTCCCAAAGCGATTCCCATCACCACGCCACTTCCCTCCGAGAATTACATTCCAATCGCGCTTCCCCTGTACTCTTCGACAAGGGACCGTTGCAGACACCGCGTCGCTTTAATCCTACTGCCTCGGTTGTTCTCATTGGAATTCGGGGCACCGGAAAGTCCAGTCTCGCAGTCATTTTGGCCGCAACATCCGGTCGACGCCTTATCGATGCCGACCGATACTTCCAACAAGTGACCGGCTGTTCCCGTGCGGCGTTCAAGAAGGACAATGATCATGCGGAGTACCGAATTCAGGAAGCCCGCATCTTCGAATCCATGCTGGCGGATAACCAAGAGGGATGTGTGATTGCGTGTGGGGCTGGTTCGATGGAGCGCAGTGGTCAACAACTGCTGAGAGAATATGCTCAGACACACCCTGTCATCCATGTGACTCGGGATCCTGAAAGTATTCAGTCCTATCTCAAAGCATGGGATACACAGAAAGTCCGACACTTCCTGGAGCTGTCCGGGCCAATCTACCGAGGTTGCTCGAATATGGAATTCTTCAATTTATCGGAATCGACCAGCGGCGAAAATATGGCTAAGGATGCCCACAATTCACCGGGCCCCAAGTTGGAACAGAGATCGCAGACGCCTACCCCCTTCTTGACCTTGAAGCGTGTGCAGCGGGACTTCCTTCGCTTCATTGCGTTTGTGATGGGGGATGCTACCGAACTTAACCGCCTGCACTCGTCATTTCCCTTGTCTTTGATTTCAGTACCGACTCGGCCATATACCCATGCCATTACAGTTCCATTTTCTGCTTTACGAGATAGAGACCTTGATATAGAAGAACTGGAGTTTGGTGCGGATGCGTTCGAAATCTCCATTGATGTCACTAGTCCGTCGGGGCAGCAGGGGACCGACTCGAACCTGGCAGACAGCATCAGTCTAGCCATTTCGAAAATTCGTCGCAACATCATCGTCCCTATCATGTATCATGTGGAGAGCTATACCTCGCCTCAAGGATCCCTTTCTCCTTCTCCGAGTTCACGGTCTACGGACGAAGCTTACTTGACCCTTGTCCGACATGGCCTTCGACTCGCTCCTACTTTTTTGACAGTTGATCTGTCACGCGACGACAACTTGATAGCTGAGATTATCAATGCGCGAGGACGGATCAGTATTATAGGTCATTTCGAGGCCTTCCGTGCTCCACTTGGGGGGTTGGGATGGCGACGAGTACATGGAGATCTACAATCGAGCAAAGAGGATTGGCTGCGATGTGGTACGACTGTGTCAACCAGCCGAGTCAATGGAAGACAATCTCGCCGTGGAAAGATTCCGGCATCGCGTTCAGAGTCTTCCAGGTGCCATTCCCCTGGTTGCTTACAATACTGGCCCTCTTGGACGCATGTCGCGCTGCTTTAATCCCATTTTAACCCCTGTCACCCATCCCTCTCTCACACAAAACAACCCTTCTCATGTCCGTTCTTCCATAACCTCCCGCGATGCGCAGCAAGCACTCTACAGTTCCTTCGCCTTGGATCCCATGCAGTTCTTCGTCTTTGGTGCCAATGTGACCTACAGTATGTCACCGCCTATGCACAACACTTCCTTCAAGCTGTGTGGGATGCCTCACACCTACTCTATACACCAATCGGCCACCCTTCGCGGCTTGAATGATCTTGTCGAGAATCAATTCTTTGGTGGCTCTAGCGTCAGCCTTCCTTACAAAACCGAAGTCATCCCTCTCCTTCACTCCATGTCTCCACACGCTAGGGCTATCGGTGCTGTCAACACGTTGATTCCAATCCGGAACAATGATGATTCCGATCCCCGCCTTTCCCAAGAATCCTCGATTTTTATGAAGAAGAGCCGCGCCGGCCCAATCAAGGGCTTGCATGGTGACAATACCGACTGGATAGGTATCTGCAACTGCATTCGTCGAGGTCTTTCGCCTGCCAATGCTGTTCGTCCAACTACGACGGGTCTTGTTATTGGCTCTGGTGGTATGGCACGCGCCGCTGTTTACTCGATGATTCATCTTGGTGTGCAGCATATCTTTGTCTACAACCGCACCCTCGCAAATGCCGAAAAGCTGGCCCACCATTATAATCGACAGGAGCTTTACTCTTCTGAGCATGTTGGAGCTGATGGACGGCCGCTGGTCAGCACCATCTCCTCCATGAATGAACCATGGCCTGCCGATTACAAACAACCAACGATCATTGTGTCCGGTATCCCGGCCCATAGCATCGGAGGTCAACCTGCACCTAACTTTCATGTTCCTACTCAATGGCTCGAAAGCCCCACTGGTGGTGTTGTTGTTGATGTAAGTTCCAACCTCTCCTGTCTTGTTGATTGTTATGAACTAATTTCTTCCTCAGCTTGCCTACAAACCTCTTAATACCCCCTTGATGAAGCAAATTCGTGCTCTCTCACACCGCGGCTGGGTCGCGCTGGACGGTCTAGATGTCCTTCCCGAGCAAGGGTTTGCTCAGTTCGAGCTATTTACTGGTCGTCGTGCACCTCGCCGCGTAATGCGGACGATAGTCCTCCAAGAATATGTGGAGGAGGAAGGTCTTGATGACCCCCGTGCTATCCGCGACCGACTTCAAAATCTGGACGGTTTACCGTCATGAGATATTAGCCGTCACCGGCCTTACATTGCTACGACTAGTTGATCATTTCTATTGTCTGATTATCTGTGTGATTGTGGATCCCGATGGATCGACAGCCGATCACCGGGCTGATATTGACAACTCCAGTCCTTGGCCCCCGCAGGCGCCACCTTGCCGCTGGGGCAGAAATAGATCGGGGCCTTTAGTCTAGAGCCATTGGCCCACGATGGGAAAGATGGACTCACACATCTTTCCCTAGATCGAGGTTATGGCCAGCTATCCCGATTCTACATTCTGCTTCGCAGCATGTACTTGGTGCAATCCGTGATCATCCTTCCATCTCTTCTTCGGATCGATGACGGGCCTGATGGGGTCCATTTGAGCTACAAAGAAATTATTTACGGAGTACACGAAAACAAAGCAAACATAAGGCCACAGCCTTACGAATCTTGAAATGGAACAATGTACATAGCTATACGAATGAACGCCAGATATCCAATCGGGACCATCGGACCATCCTGTACAGTCTTAATTCTTCCATCCGCTAACCCCTATAACAGTAGGTCTTAATGGCCCTAGTCATTGCTAGACCCTATTCTGGACAATAGAATATTCCCTCGAAGTTCTTTTTTGACCCTGCAGTTGACACCGTCATCCTTTTTGCCACTAGGGCAGAGGTTGTCCAACTGTAACCGATCAACCCGGGCGTCATTCCGGCCCCAATGCCCCAAGCGCCTGATGAACTTAATTCCCAGGTACCTAATTGACTAAGTGTACTCCAAGTATGGAGTACCGTGGGTTTATTAAATATGGTTATTGGATACCATGTGCAAAGTAAACCAAAGGCAGTCAAAGTATTTAGGTATAGAAAGTGTCATCCCGGACTTCCGATAGACCAGTCTCAGACGGATCCTGGTTCATGAAACACGGATATTTACCGAATATTAACAACATTGAATCTACATGATGTGATACTGTCGTGCAGTTCAAATTTCGGGAGACACTTCATTACTGCTGTGCAATTGACAGTTCATCAGTTAAAATTCCGGGGGCAACGATCTTCAATGAGAATCCTTAGCGCGCCACGATCCTGTTCCTGGATGATCATTTTCAGGGCTGGCCTGATGAACTATAACACCGGAAATGGTAATATAATGATAATATTCCGTGGAGTCCTTCATAGCCCTTTTCAATCTTGAATCATTTCCAATGTCCTTCTGAAACACGCCACGTGATACGTTTCAGGCACCGATGAAACAGCGGCCTGGGCTATGGAGTACAGTCGGGAGGATTCTCGCCCGTCAGCGGCGCAGAGGGCTGAAGGAAATGATGGAATAATGATGGCTAGCTTCAAGAATTCTGTTGGCTAGGAGCAGGGACCTGACGTCGACATGCATGAAAAATGAACGAGCATAATTCTTTTTTCTTTTTTTTCCTTTTTTTAGTCGGACTTTTTGGCGGGAAAAAAAGAGGAGCCCCAGTTCTGAAGAATGGGAAAATCTTTCTTGTAGGGTTGTTCCTGGATTGGACGTCCGTGTACACCGAACCGGAACTAAATAATAAATGGTTAGTCTGGTGGATAGGGAATGCCCCAGTTGTGCCGTAGACTAATATTAATCTGTGCAGGGGGTGGCCCGCGCAGCTCAGTTTGAGACAGACGACCCGTTCCATGGGACACATGATGGGGACTTGGACTACTGAGCACAAGTCGGTTGGGTAGATCCGAGCTGATTCAAGTTCTCAATGGGCATTTGATGCAGGTTAAGACTTAGAGTTGGTGACGATCTAAGGAGATCGAAGCATGTCATGTTCTGGTGTATATAGTCCATGGACCAGCCCATAGCCTTCAGGCTATCGCCCCTCACCCTCTTCGTCTTTCCTCTCATAGCTTCCTCAGACTCTTTTTAGATAGTAGCCACGAAGATCATGGGAAATGAAGTCCAAGTCAAGGGGCTGTGGCAATCTGATTGGGCCGTGCACCCCTCATGGAGTGGCCCGCACGTTCTCTTTGCGTAGTCAAGAGATAATCCACGTATGCTTAAAGAAAAAAAAGGTATTTTTTGAGAGTCTAGATACCGCTTGTCAGTAAAATTGAAGGATTGACTTTGCAGGGACCTGGAAACAAATCAATTGGAGGATATCGCGATAGTCAACATAATAGTTGTAGTAAAGAAAGTTGGTGGTCCAGACCTGGATTCTGCCACTTCATCACGCTCTCCTTACTAACTTCATGTTTCTTCAATCTTTCCCCCTGTCAATTCTTCCTCCCCATAATTTCTTTTCCTTTGTTTTCTATTTTCTTCAATGTTGAACAGTATTTTTGTTTTCTTTTTCCTTGATTAACTTGAATATTCTCCCCGGAGTTGATTCCCCAGAATTGCATTATTCCAACGCCCGCGAGGGGCAAATCCACCCCCCAACATCTCGTCTGCTGCGCTTGTCACAACACCCGCGCTTTTCAACTTGAAACCTCCACAACTCGCACTAAAGCGTGCTCATAGGTACGTTCCTTTGCAATTTCCAAATCATTCCCCTTAATTTTCGGAGAGGGGCAAAAAAAAAGGAACAACACACAACACACCCATATCTATTTTCAACCCAACTCCCCGTCCTACATCATATCAGCCCTCATTAGTTCAGCCGTGAAGCGATCATTTTCCGGACCCCAAAAGGGGGCGGATGTCTCACGCTTAAACCGTTCATGGGTCTCATTTTTGGCTAACGCCTTAGCAGTCTGCTTCAGCCACTAGTCTCTCTCTCTTTCAGCCCCCCCCTTGTCGCATTCTGTGCCCCCTCCCCCCTCCGATCCCACCCTGCATCTTGTTACATCTCATCGCAAGACTCTGGATACGTGATTTTCGTGATTTCAGATTCTGGAGAACTGGCACTGCATGTTTGCGCATACGTGTGCTCTTGCCCCTCGTCGTCACTCGCTCTCTGCCGAGCTGCGGTGAACGTAATCATTCCCGTCAACTGAAAGGGTTCCCTTAATAAACATTCGAGTGGGTGGCCTGAGAAAGAACAAGCTTCACGATGGAGTCTCCTACTCTGCAACCAGAGTCGCCGATGGACCAGGAGGATATCCCCTTCCCTTGTATGGGCTGTGGAGAGGTATGTTTGGATACGAAATATAATGACCCTGGAATATGCTGACAATGCATTTTTTTTATCGGGCATAGATCCTCGAGGAAGGAAAAGCTTTTGAACTATGTACGTGACAAGAAATCCTGGCTTCGCGTGGGGACTTGGGCTAACTTGAACCAAAAGCTGGACAACGATGGCATATTGATTGTTTCCGATGCAGCACTTGCAACACCCTCCTAGACTCGGATGCTCACCTCCTCCTACTCGGCGATGGCTCATTGATATGTAGCAATTGTACCTACAGCTGCAATTCATGCGGCAATAAAATCGAAGATTTGGCCATTCTCACCGGCGACCAGGCCTTTTGTGCGCAGTGTTTCCGATGCCGCAACTGCAAGAGAAAGATCGAAAACCTACGCTATGCTCGGACATCCCAAGGAATATTTTGTATGGACTGTCACGAATCACTAATGCAACGGCGGCGGAAGAAAAAGGCTACAGCGGCAGCTAGTAAAAAAACCCCAGGACCGGGAGTCAAACTGGACAAGTCGTTACCTTCGCTCCCACCCAACTTTGAAGAGAGACAGCAAATGTTGGAAGAGGATCCTAGTGAGGCATACCTTGAGAGCATACCAGAGCCTGCGTCTAGCAGGGCTGACGACGCGAATCGACCGGGATCTTCTGCTTCTCGCCCGACAACGGCATCAGGTAAGGAAACCCACCACTTTTCTGTAATTCCGGGGTATAGCCGGCTAATGAGATCGTTATAGACAACCTCATACTTCCCTCTAGTACATACCGAAGCAGCCGTCTTTTGAGCTCGCAGCGTGATAACGACGCTGGAGACGCCGGAGGAGAATTACTCATTCCACTCACATTCGATCCCTCCGAGAGTCAGCGTTCTTCACGAAGACAATCACAGGCACTTCAAGAGACCCCTCGCGATTACTTCGGCCACATGAGAACCGACTCGTCGATGGGAGCTCACCGTGACGGCCTCGAACCCCAGTCCCATGCATCCACAGAACATTCATCCCCTCACATCGCATATCAAGAGAAGGGCTGGGAGCATACCGAGCCGGAGACTGTTCGACGTGATTTGGATGGAGTCAATGGTGCAGGTGCTAAACCTCCCTCGGGTATTGACCATAACAGGTTGGGCAAGACCGAGTCTGCTCGGAGCTCGAGGTCAGATCTGCCATTGGCACTGAGAGAAACAAGTGCATTCTTGGGGCTACCAGCCCCGAAAGTTCTCGCTCAAAGGACGACATCACCCGTCACATTCCTCTGGAGAGTACTATTCCTCTGCGCCCCTCAAACGAGCTGCACAGACTTCACGACCATGGCTCAGCGGACTCTGCACGATCACAGCCCTCGAGTGGTCTGGCCCACCTCCCCAAGCGTGGTGATTCACTCGAAAGCAAGCATCATCAAATTGCACGGAAAGAGATGGGAAGCTCCCCCACATCATCTGCATATGGAGGATCGCCCACTTTACCCGAGATTGGTACAGAGCTGCCGAAGCAAAATATCACCTCGGGCAATACGTCACTCTCTGATACTCAGCGGCATATGGACAACGCTGGCTCGCCGTCCTTGCCGCAGTATACGAGTAACAGTGATTTCTCCCAGGATGAGGATCTGGCACGCTTCATCGGTGGAGATTACCTGAATTTCCGCCAACCCGGTAGTGCTTCCGCCACCCGTCACAACCGGAGCTTCAGTGAGAAGAGTGTGCGGACAAACAAGGAGCTGAAGCATGGCCGGTCGCCCATGAATGGAAGCATATCTGGAACTGATATGGCTAGCCCGACTATCGGTACGACTCCGACTGAAGAGCTCTCCTGGCTCCGTGGTGAACTTCGCAAGGAACGCCAACGTGTCAGCGAAATGGAGAATGCTCTTCGTGCAACGGCAGATGTCAAGCAAGTTAACACTGAACTTTCTGAGAAGCGATCAACGATGGTTGTACTGGATGCTCAGCGAGAGATTGTCCTTCGCGAGCTTACCGTACTCACCGACCATATCGAGTCCGAGAAGCGCGGTGGTAATTCTGGTACACCTTTGGATCTTGGGAAGCTCTCAAATCATGTTCTGCGAGAGCTTGCTGAGTCCATCCACAAGCTGAAAGATTCCTACACTCCACAGATTGAGGAGTTGATTCAAAAGCGCAACGACCTTGCCGAAGAGTTAGTAGAGATCAACCGAAAGAAGGAGAAGGCGTTCCAGGAGTTCGAGCAGCTGTCTTCCAAGAATGCCCAATTGGCCGAGCTCAACAACCAACTGGTCCATCAAATCCAGGAACTTTACAAGACAAACCACGCAGACCACCGCGGTCCTAACGGCCTGGGTATCTCCCATCACAAGGATAAGTCTGTTACATCTATTGAGGCTCTGAGGCCCATTGGCAGCCACGATATGGCAACCTCGATCTCCACTGCTCACATTTCAGAGGACGGAGAGCCCGCAACTGCCCAGGTTGTACCTGGACCGCAGGTAGTCAGCATTCGCAAGGGCCAGCCTCGCAAGTTCAACTGGAAGAAGGGCGGTCAGAACGTCGCGAAGGGTGTCAAGGGCCTCAAGGGAGCTTTCATGGGCAATGATGAACCTGGTGGCTTGCCTCGCTCTCAAACTCAGGATCCCAAAGGATTTGGCTTTTTTGGAAACCAGCGGAACAAACAGGGAGGCAAAATGTCGCAGGCTGACAGCGTATCAGCCCTTTCTGATACCATAGGCAGTACGTTTCCCATTCATTCATTCCTGAAGTTCTACAACTAACATCTTTTTTTAGATCTTTATGGTGTTGACTTGGAAATACGCATGGAACAAGAGAAGAGCATCATTCCGTACATTGTCACTCGTTGTATTCAAGAAGTGGAGCTCCGAGGTTCGTTTCTCTGCATTGTACTTTTCATCCTGCTTTATCTAACAAAATTTCTAGGTATGGACATGGAAGGTATCTACCGTAAATCTGGAGCTGCTTCAGCTATCCAGGGCATTCGCGAAGGATTTGAACGCCTTCCGTTTGATTACGATATATCAGACCCTGATCTTGATATCCACGCCGTCACATCGTCCCTGAAGCAGTATTTCCGCAAGCTGCCCAACCCTCTGATCACATATGATGTTTACGAGATGATCATTGAATCCGGAGAAATCGCGGATGCTCCCACCAGAATCGAGGTTCTGCAAAAGGGTCTCCGAGAACTCCCTCAAGTACACCAAGACGTCCTTGAGTTCCTTATGTTCCACCTGAAGCGTGTTGTGGAACGCCAGGAGGACAATCTGATGACAGCTCAAAACATTGCTGTCGTCTTTGCCCCAACCATTATGCGGCCTGAAAGTCTGGCTCGTGAGATGACGGACGTACAGAAGAAGAATGATGTTCTCAGATTTATGGTTGAGAATGTCCCAGATATTTTCATGGGCCTCGCCGTTGAACACCGATAAGCAGTCATTCCCCCTACCAAGTACATTCTTATTTATTTCGATTCCTATGCGTTCCTTTTTACCACGCATTTTATTAAAGGTTCTCGAGATATGTGACGACCTTTTTGCGCATCTTTCCCTCCCCCCTCTTCCATGTCTGTGTTTTCTTGCCAGCGTTCCTTGTTTTACAGATACCAACGTCTTTCTTTGGTCATTTGGTTTGATTCACTTTGTCCCTTTGCGCGCTCCCCCATCTCTACACTCTGTTTACGATCAGCGCTGCACGCTCGATACAGATACCCTGGTTTACCCCCTTGTTTTTACATATTTCCGCAGGTTCGAAGCTAGTCTTTCCCTCGGGTCCTCTCGGTCTCGCCAGATAAAAGCGCCTCGTCGGTGTCATTCGGGGGAAATCAAAATTCTACTTTCTGGGTGGTGTTCATTCTTCTGTCTCATACTTGTTCAATGGGTTTCTTTTCATTTGTTTCTCCTTGCGCTCTTTCTATGTCGAGCGATGGGTTATGTTTAGCGTTATGCATCTCTATCGCAGGTCGAGTACAGAGATTTGTAGATTGATTGGGATTCTTTTTAATTTTCTAGCTCATACTTTTTTTCTCCTTAAAGTCATTGTAATCCTCCATCAAATCATAAATCATTCAAATTTTCCATTAGTCCATGCAATGTGCATTATTATCTTCATGGATCTAGTCTTAAGTCCCAGTATACAGATTCTCCGCAGACAAATGTACCCGTGTCCGCATCCCGCACCAATCACCCCCGACCGCCTACGACATCACAGCTCCAGCTACACCCGTCCTAGTCCTAAGAACTAACTCCCCTCAACCCATGCCCGCCATAAGGGCCTCTCTTTTGTTCTTGGATATCTCTACCTAGCCTCTACTCTTGCCGCAATCTATCCGTCACCATGTCTAAACCAGGAAAATACCTCCTCCTCTCCCTCCCCACCTCCATCGTCCCCTCGCACCACAAAGACGACGCCCTCGCCGCTGTCTCGACAACTGTCTCTCCCGAGAATGGTTCCGCGGCCTCCTTTTCCATCCCGGAGTTCAAGATCGGCACACTAGATGCCCTTGTCCAGCAAGCGGATGAGCTTGCGAAGCTTGAGGGACAGTGTCAGGGAGTCGTCGCGAAGGTGGGCGATGCGTTGAAGAATATCCTCGAAGGAGATGAGGCACAGATTGAGCGGATGAAGGTTGTCAATGATAGTATGTTTTCTCATTATCCCTGAGGGGATATCGCTTAAGTTCCAATTGGGGTTGGGATTTGATCTGACTTGTTATTGTAGAACCTGTGGACCAGTACCTCCGCTCTTTCCAGTGGAATAAGGTCAAGTATCGCGCTGATAAGCCATTGGCTGAACTGATTGATCTGCTCTCGAAGGTGCGTGAATTTATGCAATGCGCATGGCGCATGGCGCATTATTTTCTATGATGATCAGTATGCTAATATGCGAGGTATTCAGGAAGCTGCTAGCATCGACAATGATATCCGGTTCAAGTACTCGCAATATAATCAGGTCAAGAATAACTTGGCTACCCTGCAACGTAAACAAGCGTACGTCTACCTCCTTTCCTTGAATATAGCACGGGACATTGTGTCTGTATACGTTCATTGCTAATTTGCTCGATTACAGAGGAAACCTCTCAACAAAATCCCTCGCCTCAATCGTGGACCCCAAGTCCGTCGTCCAAGACTCGGAGTACATTGAAACTCACCTCGTCGCCGTTCCCTCCCAACTAGTAAAGGATTTCCTGAAGACCTACGAGACCATCTGTGAGATGGTCGTTCCCGGTCCGCACAATTGGTTGCCTCCGATAGCGAGTTCTCGCTGTACGCCGTGACGACTTTCAAGAAGCACAGCGCGACATTTGTCCACAGGTGCCGTGAGCAGAAGTGGATTCCACGAGACTTCAAGTACGTTGAGGGTGGAAAGGAGGAGGAGCGGAAGGAGGTTGAGCGTGTTGGAGGGGATGAGCGTAAGCTCTGGGGTGAGACACTTCGACTTGGACGGACGGCCTGGAGCGAGGCTGTTATGGTCTGGGTTCATATTCTTGTGTTGAGGGTCTTTGTTGAGACGGTCTTGCGGTATGGATTGCCGTTGGACTTTGTCTGTGCTTTGATTCGGGTAAGTGCATTCTTATTTTCTTTTGCAGTGTTACATATGCTAACTCTCCATGCAGACTCCGTCAGTGAAGCAGGCCGACAAGGCTAAGCAGAACCTCGAGGAGAAGTACTCCTACCTTGCTGGAAATGCTTTCGGTCGTGACAAGAAGGGTCGCGTGAAGCGGGATGATCCTAATGAGATGCATGGAGCTGAGGGCAGTGCGGACTACACGGCTTATGTTTTATACGAGTTCGAGTTCCAGTGAGCATCCAGTCGAGTTTGAGAGATGTCGCTTGAGGGGGGGGAGGTTCAAGTTGCGTTGCGTACATATACCACCCAGGTTCATTAAGCACAAACTGTTCTAGCATTCAAATGTTTCATTGATATTCTTCGTGTGTAACTATCTGTTTCGAATTCACATCTACTTTAGAACTACACTTGTACAGCTTTTAGTTCATTCCCAACTTGAAAACGAGATAATTCAAATGTGTCCAATCTGTATCAATTGCTTCTATCCACATTCAGCGATCTATAAACCATAATCCCGATATTTACATCGCCCGATGCGAATAAACCAATCGCACCGACCTATACATTGAAAACCCACTTACTCAAGGACAAGTAACCTTGAGAACAATCAAAAGTTTGGAACAATTTACTCCTTCTTAGGAGGCAAGTAACCCTTAGAGTCCAAGTAATCAATAATCTGCTTCACAGCCTCGGGGATAGGCAGATCGACATTCTTAATGTGCACCTCAGGGTTGACAGGAGCCTCATAGGGCGCGGAGATACCAGTGAAATCCTTAATAATACCCTCACGAGCCTTCTTGTACAGTCCCTTAGGATCACGCTGCTCCGCAACCTCAACGGGAACGTCAATGTAAACCTCAACGAAAGGCAATCCAGTCGCCTCACCAGGAGCAACGACCTCGTGCAACTGACGAGCGGTATCACGGTCCTTCCGGTAGGGAGAGATGAAAGAGGTAATAGCGACAGAGGAGGAATCAGCAAAGAGCTTAGCAACCTCGGCGATACGGCGGATGTTCTCGTTACGGTCGGTCTCGCTGAATCCGAGATCCTTGTTCAGGCCGAAGCGGATGTTGTCACCGTCCAGGCGGTAGGCGTGAACGTTGCGGTCGCGCAGAAGCTGGTGCTCAAGCTCAACGGCGATGGTGGACTTGCCAGAGGCGGAGAGTCCGGTCAACCAGATTGTGAGACCCTTTTGGTTGCGGAGGGTGTTGCGCTCATCGCGGGTCAGAGCCGAGGCGTGGAAAGTAATGTTGCTATACTGAATTAGTATTGATTGTGTATATTGAATTGAATTGATAGCAATTGACTTACGTGGCCATTTTTGTGATGTGTATGATTGATGATAGAGAAAAGGAGAAGGGGATGGAGGGGCAATAGACGGTGAAACGGGGCCGCGTAAGAGTTCCTGGAGCGGAAACAAAGTGCTGATCGCGGGGCATTCTCGGTCCCTCTTGGCTTCTATACGAATAGTTTACGAGCATTTTATTATATTATATTATATTATATTGTAGATGTGGAATATCATGAAGTTATTCTATTGAGGTCTTATATCCTCATTATGCTGGTCATAATATATCTATACTATAAACAAAATGTACAATCCTTCACCATCAGTCCCTTCTATACTAGAAAATTCAAGAATGGCGCAATCGACCAACGCCAGGAACCAGGAACCCGTCAAGTTTCGCCACCAAAACCGGCAGAAATTTATTCATTTGCGCCACGGTACATCTTCGAAAGGGCCTGCGAACTAATCAGTAATGCACATAAAATTAAAAGTAGAGTAAAGGGTAGAACTCACCGCTGCCTGCTTAGGCTCAATGAACAATGCCTTAGCCTCAACCAATACCACTGGATCTGAGCCATCAGTAGGAAGAGTCTCAATTCTTCCCTCAACCCAAGCCTTCCGTCCATCAACCTTAACTGTCTCCGCCCGCAAAGCAACATATTGATCCGCCATAGCAGGTGCCCGATAATCAATATTCAAGTTGGCTGTAACTCCAATTTTATTCGGCAATGCAGGGAAACAACATCGCGCCAATCCCTCATCTAGCAAGGTAGCTAACAGACCACCGTGAATGATACCAGGGTGTCCACAGATATCCGAACCAAGGTACATCAGCGAGACGAGGCTCTTACCATCGCGCTCACTGAAAATGTACGGGGGCACAACGATCTTGTTTGGTCCAGCTAGCGTACCGGCTGTGAGACTGCGCGGGCGGAGAGTCGCGGGGATCTTGAGGTGAGGACGCGATTCTTTGAATTCGGGGTTTGCGCGCAGGGCATGCGCTTCGGGGTGGTTCTTCAAGGTGTCCTCGATCTCCTGGGTGAGCTCGTCGGGCGCGACGAAGGCGTCCAGGGTTTGTTCATCGTTGAGAATTGGTTCAGCCATTATTTTTAATGCGGCGCGGGTTGAATAGACAGCTGTGCCGGTTATATAGGCGAAGATGGCGATTGCGAAGAAGCCTGCTGTTCGGCGGAGTCGCGACTTTTTGGGGGCTGAAGAGGGTATTGAGGGGTTGAAGTTTGGGTTTGCAGCTGAGATCAATATGGAGTAATATGTTAGAATAATGATATTTATTTCATTTGCTTATTCTCTTTTTCTTCTTTCTCTCCTCATTAAGAATTTTAGGATTTGCGGAGTTGCGCATACCGGTAGACTCGAAACGGTGATTAGGGGCGGAGAAAGGGGAGAGTAAGCGGCGACTCTGAGGTGTGAAGCGTGAAGAAAAAGAAGTTGAATATAAAGGACGAGATAGTCGGAGCATTTTCCAGACTAGGATTGAATCCACTTGAGTACCAAAAGTTGAAGTTCAAGTTGTTGGGAGGCGAAGATGGTGGATTCTCCTGAAGTTACCTCGGCATCTGTGGGTCTCGGACTCGGAGAGGTAATCTCTCCGTGTGAAGAAGATCTAGATTCCAAGGTTTATAATGAAAATTTATGGGATATTTTTTATGCTATGTGGAGTGAGACCCTGAAGTTTTTTTGCATAATGCGCCACATATGTGTAGAGGAAGTTTGACCTTGGACGTCTCTAGGGCTGGAAGTTTGCATAAGGGGCTCGGACTCGGAGTACTCAGTAGGAACTATCCCTATAGTGTTAAAGTGCTGTTATAGAGTAAATAATGTCATGAGACTTCATTTCTTTGGCAAATATCGGCCTATGTACTATGATATACCGAATACTATACTTGAATATACTAATCCTCCAAAAATCTAGATACCCATTTATTAATGACCAGTACTATACCTGGGGTCCACGAGTGCTGCTAGTGAGTACTACCACATACTATAAATTGGCCACTATGGGTAGGAGAGCACACTAGTACTTATGGCCCGGGGTCAACTGATATTACTTCTAGCCTACCCTATCTTAGTGTTGAACTATTAGTATATACATAATTTCAAGTTGATTAGAATACTTGAGGTGAAAATGTGTCAGATTAATCCCAAATGTGGCGATTATCCACATGCGTAAATGATACTATAGTATGATACATAATATCACTATATCTGCAGAGAAGTGGTCATATGTAGGACTAGTAGATATATAATACTATCCCTGGAAAAGGCTTTCATTCTAGCATGGCAAGAATGTTTGGAAGAAATTCCAGGAATAGTAGTATCTTCAGCCTTGACATGGGCATGTAACATTCGCTTCAAGTTTGATGCTACACCTGGGCATATGAGCATGCGCCTGACTCTCTATAGTCCCAAGACCTACCTCTTCAGTTTACGGCGTTTTCCAAGCAGATCATATTCTCAATCTCCGGCTCCACTCACACCCAATAGCGACCTTACACAGTCCCTAAGCGTCGGTCATAGCGTGCAGAGAGTCCAATCTAAACCTCCAAAACGGATCAGTGCATCCCAAATCCCACCAGTCTGCTTTGGAACCATCCTATCACACACGACAAGAATCTATCTACGGAGTTTTGTTGCAGATAAGAGGTCCTCAATGCAACCCAGCGACGCGGGGTTGATCGACAGGGGCCCGCATGCCGGACAAGCAAGACGCGACGGGTCAAAGGGGGAGAGATCTAAATACCGGATACCCTGCGCTGATCCAGACCCTGGTTCTTTTTCATCCTTTAACATACATTCGCCATGCCGTCATGTGGAGTGCTGCTATCACTCTTTCTAACCAGCAGCTTGAATTTAGTCAGTGCTGCTCTTCCAGCAACACCTGATGATTACGATGTGCTCCAGTATATTGACCCGCTGATCGGCACCGCCAACGGAGGTAAGGGTCCCACTGCAGATTTAGGGCCGAGCCATCTACTGATCGGGTTAAATCTTTCCAGGCAATGTTTTTGCAGGCGCCACTCTGCCCTATGGCATGGCCAAAGCCGTGGCCGATACAAACTCGGAAAGCAACCAGGGTGGTTTCGCCTTTGATAATAGCAATGTGACTGGCTTCTCGAGTATGCATGACTCCGGTACTGGAGGCAGTCCATCTCTTGGAAACTTCCCACTCTTTGCTTATGCGCAGTGTGCGAATGATACCGTGGATGGCTGCGTCTTCCCGAAAAAGGCGCGGGCTACGCCATATGTGAATAGCTCTGTGCAGTCGCACCCGGGATACTTTGCGATTTCGTTGGCCTCGGGACTTGCTGTGGATATGACTGCTGCCCATCATACGACACTCTTTCGCTTTAATTTCACAGATGCTACTAGTCCCTTGGTTCTTTTGGATCTCTCGGACCTGTCTGATTCACGACAAGATAATGCAACTATCTCGGTTGACAACTCAACTGGACGTATGACTGGCAGTGCAAAATTCTTGCCTAGTTTTGGTAGCGGAACATACACGCTTCATTTCTGTGCTGATTTCAAGAGCTCTGGCGAATTACGAGATAGTGGTATTTTTGTGGATGCCCGGGCTAGTTCTGATGTTCATGATTTGAAGATCTCAAGGAGTATCAATGGCTATCCTCTTCCAGTAAGTTCAGTTGACCTTTCCGAAAAGTTCCTGGGCTAACGGTCCTAGGGTGGTGGATTCGTTCGCTTCAATACTCCTTCAGATGGTACGGTTCAGGCTCGTGTTGGAGTGAGCTTTATCAGCCCAGACCAAGCCTGTGTCCATGCCGAGTCGGAGATCAGTGACTTTGATTTTGAAGCTACGAAACAAGCGGCTGTGGATAAATGGACTGAGAAAATGAGTCCAGTTCGTGTTTCAACAAACGGTGTCGACTCATCTGTTCTCACTAATTTCTACAGTGGCATTTACCGTACCATGGTGAATCCCCAAAACTATACTGGCGAGAATCCTCTCTGGACAAGCTCGGAGCCTTACTTTGATTCATTCTATTGGTTTGTGATAATTATTCTGCATTAATGTTCCTGTGCTTACTATGATCAGCCTCTGGGACTCTTTCCGCTCTCAAATTCCATTCCTCACTCTGACCGATCCTAGCGCGGTCGCTGAGATGGTTCGATCGTTGATTGATACACAGCGTAATCTTGGCTGGCTTCCTGACTGCCGCATGTCTTTATGCAAAGGTAGGAGTTGTGTCGTGGTCCAATTTGAGACCCAGTTCTAACTAATTGTTCGCGTTACTCCTATAGGCTATACACAAGGAGGCTCAAACGCTGATAACATCCTTGCGGATGCCTATGTCAAAGGTCTCACTGATGGCATAAACTGGGACTATGGATACGCTGCTGTTCAAAAAGATGCTGAAGAAGAACCTTATGACTGGTCAAATGAAGGCCGTGGAGGACTTCAGAGTTGGAAAGAGCTGAACTATATCCCCGTTGAGGATTTTGACTACCTGGGCTTTGGAACCATGACCCGAAGCATCTCACGCACACTCGAATACTCTTATAACGACTTTGCTATTGCCCAAATGGCCCGTGGAATGAATAAAACAGCCGATGCTGAGAAATATGAGAACAACTCAGGATTTTGGCGAACTTTGTTCAAGAGTGACCAAACTTCCTTCCTCAATAAAACCAATACAGGGTTTGTGGGATTTTTCCAGCCTAAGTATCTCAATGAGACATGGGGATATCAGGATCCTCTCAAGTGCTCGAACATTGATAACAGTGGAAGTATTTGTTCACTCCAGAATACTGGCGCGGAGACCTTTGAGTCGAGTATTTGGGAATATCAATTGTAAGGACCTTTCACATTCATATCGTTGACTTGACTAATTTACTCCAGCTTCGTACCTCACGATATGGCCGCGCTCATTTCTCTTCTCGGGGGCCCTGATAGCTTTGTCAAGCGTCTGGACTACCTACATGATCAGAATATCACCTATATTGGCAACGAGCCTGCGTTCCTAACAGTCTTTCAATACCACTACGCCGGTCGCCCAGCTAAATCCACTGCACGAGTCCGTACATACATCCCAGAATACTTTTCTCCAACTCCTTCCGGTCTACCCGGCAACGATGATTCGGGTGCAATGGGTTCTTTTGTCGCTATGTCCATGATGGGTCTCTTCCCGAACCCAGGACAGAGCGTCTATTTGATTACCGTTCCTTTCTTTGAATCTGTCAGCATCGCTTCGCCGCTCACTGGCAAGACGGCGACTGTCAAGGTGATTAACTGGACCAACTTCAACTCACTGAATAACACTGGTGGTAATGGTTTTATTCAGTCGGCTACTCTGAATGGACAACCATACACTCGTAATTGGGTGGATCATGACTTCTTCACTGAAGGACAGGACTTGGTTCTTGTCTTGGGCCGTAATGAGACTACGTGGGGTACGGGCGCTGATGACCTGCCACCTTCTTTATCGACCTCTTCTGGGGTTCAAGCACGGGGACTTGGTGGATATGATAACCTGGAGAAACGAGAGCCCTTCATTGCTGGAGGACAGATCACTAAACAGTTCAATCGCTATACTCACGGGCCAAGAGATGGACACTGAGAAGTAGCTTGATAGAGTTACTACGGACTTTAGTCCTTGCATGTGTGGAGATGCTAGTATTGTACAGTGCATTGTTGCCTTGATTCAGCTACATGAGTCGCTTTTCAAATCTCCATCTAATTAAATTCCCGAGAATCCCTTCGCTGCGTTTGAGATCATGAATAGAATAGATGTACATGAGTCGTATAATCCTTATTCGTTACGTGGATACCGCTTGAGAGGCTCTTACCCTCCGGCGGTGGATCTCCTTCTTCTCCAGGTACACGTCTTTCCAATCCTGGCTATGAGGGATCATGTGCCAGGCTACCATGCGTTCGTCTTCCTCTGGTGTCAAATCCAGCCAAGCGAATAGATCTTGTCGTCTCTCTTGGATTACTCGTGGCTTTCTTTTCGGCGCTGAGCTCTCCAAGTCGGTCGCTGTTCTGTCTTGACTCCATGGCCATGAGGTCACCTTCTGCCTTGGCTCGACTTCTTTTGGGCTCAAATTAACCTGCTCTGGCTTGGCAGGCTCCCATTCAGAATACTCCTCTGGGTATGAGGAGATCGTGGCTTTCAATCGTGACGTGACCCAGCAACTCCACTCCTTATCTTCCTCTTCTGTGTGATGCAGCTTGCTTTGAATCGAAGTCGCGAGCTGCGAATCCTCACAGCCAACTTTGTAGGCTGTCAGGACGGTCGCAGAAATAATCAATACCACAGTACAGATCTGTGTATACAGCGCTGCCATACCAATACTGATAACATGGACCGCAAAGGCAATCCAACCAAGTATCCGACAAGCCAGATAAAAGCTTGGGTTTGATATGCGAGGATTCGCGGTGAAAGCAGGTTTCACCAGAAACGAAGGAGCATGAATCGTCAGGACTTTAGACTCATCCGTCACCACGACTACCTTGACAGGATCAAGATCCTTTGGGCGATTCGGCATTTTAACATCCCCACCATTCGGATTATTTTGACGCATCTCCGTGGTTTTCTTCGCCTGCTCATATTTCGCTAGTTTCTCATTCGCTTCGTCTTCAGCAAGGCGAATGTTCTCATCAATCCCAGCTTGATTCTCTGCGACTTGCACACATCTCACAAATACCGAGATAATCATAGCGATAACATTTGCAAATCCCCACCAATCAGCCGCCAAAATTGAAAGCACGAGAATTATCCCATAAAGCGGAACACTGATGAGAAACAAGCGGACGGAAAATGCCTTTCTCCTGGGAGGTCGATCCACAAGTTCCCATGTCACTTTACTGCGGATCTTGTGAAATTCTTGTGCTCGAAGCCATCGCGAGAACCAGCCAGATAGTTCTGTTGTGACGATACCGGCGGAGATATTGTATAGCGCATAACCGAGTTTCCTTTCTGTGAATCGGTCTCCCGAGACAATGAATGCGCCTAGTAGTGGGAGATAGTCAAAATACACACTTGGCATCAGTCTTCCGATGCTGCGATCCATTTCTTCGGCACCTAGGAGGGTGACAAGACCTAATGCATCGATTCGGAGGCCTGTTCCATTGGCCCAGGCCTTGAGGGTTTGATGCCAGGGATACATAGTGTGTTTTTCGAACTCGAGACTCCAAGAGGGGGTTGAATTAGGCTATTTTAATTTGCCTTTGGTCATAAGCCTCACTCTGACTTAGGTTCCACTGTGCATCTCGCAGGTTTTTACAGTGATGATGTGGTGAATGGATAAATCCAAATAAACACACATATACAAGGCCACATTAAATAACTAGGTAATCAAGTGGGCTCTTTGCATGTGGGGGCGGAAACACTTAGTACGAGGTCAAAACCTATATACATATAGGCTATAGCAGGGGAAAAAGAAAATCATACAACGTATATATTACTACCTAGTTATCTCTCACTTCAGCTATCTCTCACTTTAGGCTCAGATATCTCTTACTTTGGTTATCTCTTACTTTAACTTCGTCTTACTTTAGCCTTACATATTATTAAAGCTCCTATATAATAATAATAAAGCAACTGGCGGTGAGCTAGGTGGTCAAAATTGATTATAGGAAAAAGGTATTCTGGCCGCGTGGCTGTGTTATGGGACTCCATAGACTTGGCGAGAATAAGCTCCTCAACTTTGAACTTGAAAATGCGGCCCGAACTGCATCTCTCCTGCGCGTACGTAACTACTCATTTTGATTATTGATCATTGCTCATGCATCCCAAGAAAGTATTATTGTCTACATGATGACGGACTTTTATCAAGTCTACTACATGTACAATCTCTTCTTAACCCCAAAGTTCACACCTTGCCCAACCAGACATAGCGCCTTTGTGGCTGCTTACTAGCCAAGAGCAAAAAAAAAAGAGAAGAAAAGTGCGGCTGAGACATCCAGTCCATTCTTATGGGTACGGACTGATAAATTATAACAAACATTTGAACTTGAAGCACTAAATCCCTGATGGTCAGAAGATCCGTGCCATCAAGTGGAGATGTGGAAATTGCCGTGCCGTACCATGGAACTCCTGGTTCGTCCGCTGTCAGCCCTTGACCCTAATTCAGGGTCTGCACCGCTTTAGACCCCACTGAGTCACACTCAGATGGGTGTGAGCACTGTTGATCTCGAGTCTGGCCTCGTATTGAGCCAGTACATGAGAACTTTGCCTCGTATTTTGACAGAGTACCTGACATGATATCAGAACCATCCTGTTGCAGAGATGAAACTGGTAGGACTCAGGTAACTGACTGATTACATACGATGGAGTGTCTAAGCAACTTGAAAATATTAGAAATCTAGCCCAGGAGGAGCCCAATGCAGATCATGATATGACCCCTTGAGGCCCTTGAGGGTTGTCAGCCTTGCGCTTCAACCTCTAGGCTGTTAAACTCGAGCGGAACAGAACCAAGTTGAAAATTATATCCTTCATAGCGATGCCCAACGTTCGTTCCCATGCCCAAGTCTCTAGATGAAGTGACTGTTCTCATGATAATCTAGCAAACACCAATAACTTGGATTATTCTTCAAAAATAGGGTTTTCCAAAGCCGAAAGGATCATGCCGTAACCCTTGGCCCCACGCCGCAAATATGAACTAACTGTACAGACCAAAGCGGAAAATGGTTAGCATGCAGGATTTCCACGAGAAAAGGGGTCTGAGCAATCAACTTTGGGGTCAAAGCAATGCTATTCTTGGACTGTCAGGTTGATTTGTGTGTTGATCTCACTGCATTTTGCATTAGTCTTGTTGGCTCTTGCATGTATCCCCTGAGCCTCCACATAGAGATGGGGGCCACTGATCGCAATATCCACCAATATCCACCCCATACGGGGTGCTTTGAAAGCAATAAAGACGGCGATGACCCCACCATCTCTTCAGCTTTAACGCCGGTGTCCATACTGGACCGAGTTTATCACCATGGGTGCTGCTCAGTCCTCCAGCAACAAGGAGAAGCTGGGACATGATGAATGGAAAAAGAACCTGGAAAAGCAGTATAACGGTCACTGGCGCTGGGCTCCTGGCATCAAGTTCCGCCGTCCAGCGAAACTTACCCCCGACCAGCTCAATGATCGCATTATAGAGCTCGAACACGAACAACCCATCAACTCAAAACAATCATACCTCAATCCCAACGGAGACGACGAGCATCAGAAGTTTCCAGATCTCGATACATACTATAGTTCAACAAAAGAAATCCCGCGTCGATTAGTTGTACAGGCGACTAAGGAGGCACGACATGATTCTCGACCTCGACACTGGGGTCATGCCCGCATCGATGGCAGAACTCCGTTCATCATTCGACTTTCTGAACTCTGTTTGAACCCCTTCAATCTGGAAAGATACGATATTGGTTATGATGATTTGGAAGAAGAGGAACATTTGAAATCGAAACAACACGAAAAAAGTGTCCCGCGACGAGTGTGGTGGGTTTTCGTCAAGATCATGCACCATATCGTGTCAATATTCCTCACATTGACACTTGCCTGGATTATACAAGGGCTGCTTTCAGTCCAAGTCATCACAGAGCCATGGAGCTCCGACGGTGGTGACGATTATGAATATTACGAAAATGTAAACTGGGCTTGGCCTAAGCATGCAATCAATATCTTGGATCAGTCGCCCGAGAACCCACGACCACAGTCGAACATAACGAGACTCACCATCCCTCGTCGCTTAGTGGTATGGGATAAGGATGTGGGTCAATGGGTAGCCAAGGACACTTCCAAGCTTCGAGATCCGAAAACCGGCATGCTCCAGCCATACGTCTTTCTCAGTTTCTCGCGTGGAAACTTCGCCGCAGATGATGATACACTGAGACCATTCTTCCATACTGTGGCTGAGAGTATCTTGGAGCACGAAAATTCCACTCGGGGTCCGAAAGAAGAGCCTACCGAGGCCTTTTGGCTGGACACCGACTGTGTTTCACATAACACTAAGGCCGAAGAGGCTAGAGACATCAACACCATTTGCGATGCGGTGCGTTGCGCGAAGCGAGTTTATATTCTTCTACCAACAGAAAGTGAGGAGGAGAAGAGGATTTGGGGAAACCGTATTTGGACATTGCCTGAGGTCCTATTGGCCGCTGAGAAAGTTCGATATTGCATCACGCCTTCATGGTCGCAGCCTTTGTCGGCTAGTAATGATGCTCTTAAGAACACCTTCCACGACGTTGAATTGACGGATATGTACCAAAGCTTCTGGCCTTTGCTTCCCCCAGTCTCTGAGACAGAGACAAAGGATAACAACACAGAACGTCACGAAGATGCTATTTGTCATCTCATTGACCACTATACAAACCGAACCAAGCTCAGTGAATTGCAGCTATTCACCTTCGCTGTCCAGGCCATGGCACAGCTAAGTACTGGAAAAGATGTTGAAGGATACACCACAACAAGTATGGCGTATGCTGCAATGGGACTCTTATCTTATCGCATCACACCGGATGACGATGATGATACTTTCCAGGCTATTGCTCGGCTGTCTCTTGTAAATGATAGCAACCGACTGCTTGAACGTCTGCTCTGCCTGTGGCCAAGCTACACGCAAACTATCCAGGGCCCAATCAAGTCACACGATGAAGAGAAATGCGCAGTTGCTGGTAGCGAGGCTCTTCTACGGAATATTGCAGACCGGGATCAGTACTCCGTTCACCTTTGGGATGTTCAACCTTCATGCGATGTGGTCGGTATTGGCAACGACAAGTTCGCACCAACCGTCATCGTGGATCGCTGTCGAGGAATTCCCATTCGTTGGAAGAGCTTCCCACAAGTGCGATACGTCCAGAACTTTCGAGGATTCCGAGCGAACATCTCTCAAACTGTCGTCTGGATTGGTGCGTGGTTCCTTCTAGCTGGATTCAATCTCTTCGCAACGGTCATCTCTCTCGCGTTTGCATCTGTGGACACTAGTACGGAGACCATTAACATTCGCCAATATATGTATGGTATTGCGCTGTATGTCGGTATCTCCTGGATTATTTCCTGGTTCAGCCCCAGTGCGGTACGACAGCTCTGCAGTGGTGGATCATCTGGTCTATCGAACCACCTGGTCGGATTTGAGGGTACGATGACGCTTCGAGAGATCGAGAAGGCTATATACGGTAACTGGAATGGTCGTCTCTCATATGCCCCATCCTGCACCATCTTTTCTCGAAGTCTGCGTCACGAGACAATTCGCATGGGTGTCGAACCCCGTGATAAATATGGAGATCCCCTGGGCCCGGAACACTGGAAGAAACAGAAAGAGCTTCTTGGAATCCCAGACACACACCGCTTGTTCACAATCGTCGATACTGGAGATATGAGCGTCTCGGTAATTGCCGCTGAGAGACCGCCAGTTGTAGCATTGGTCTGTGGTCGCGAAGGAGGCATGCTCCGAGCACTGCTGTGCAGCTGGCGTTTTGAAACAAACTGCCTGTATCGGGAGTGTGTGGTTCGTATGCGGAGCTCGATAGAAGAACGTGCTACACCTAATGACTGGTTGAAGATTAGTTTGGCTAGTCAAGGTGATGTGGGCCGTACTCGGAAGAGATACTTGCAAAGGACCAGAAACCATGAGATGGAGAGTGTGCAGTCTTCTGCATCCCTTCCGCCCCCTACACCTCCGCCGAAAGAACCTGTCGTGAAGCAAGTGGCAAAATAATGAGCATTTGTATCATGGCATCTGGAATATTTCTTTGTCAAATGTTGTAAAGTTCAAGTTTGTATTATTTTTCTGATTCACTTCAACTTATTATGGATATACCCCTTTCAGATCAATCTCAGTAGTTACATCATCTTTTCAAATTTTCTCCAGGGCTGTTAACACACTCGGCTGGACTGTTACCTACCTATGTTAGATGGATCGGTAGGTGAATGGTTACCTGTTCCCTCTATATATGAAAGTACCTACAGGGGTAGCTAAAGGGGTACTAGGTAGTGGCCGCTACATGCTTGGATAACCTTGGAAGGACTCGGAAGACAAATCAGTATGTAGGAGTAGTAACGACTCGGATTGGATAAATGCAAAACTGCCCAGTACCTACCAGCGAAGATGTCAACCTTGGACCTCGGAAACTGCAATGTGAGAAACTCATGTGAAATACTAGTACATATTACATGGACAGTACGAAACACCAGCTGACGCTTAAAGTTCCAAGACTGTGAGATAACAGTGCAATATAACCTTTGAATAATATTAAAAAAATTGATAGACTTGAGGAACATTTGTCTTATATGGTTACAGCGACTACCCCTTCAGGCACATCGATCCTGTCCAGGATAGCTGGGTCTTTATCGAATTCACCTGGTTCAACATATGTCTTCATCACGCCTAGCAAAGACCGCTCCATAACCAGTACCGACGCCGGCGGGTCTACTGGCTTTGCCAGTGCTAGAGTCATGACTCGAGCAAGATAGCATAAAGCATGCGTCAGTGACCGTTCATCTTTAATCCGACTCAAGAACGCAGGCATATAAGTGGGTTGAACTGCAGGTTCACCACTTCGGCCATCCATATTAAGTGAGGATACCAACACCCTCCTTGTGCTCATCTCAAGAGAGTCCCATGTCTTCTGGAATAGAGACGCCTTGTCATGTGTCACAACATTTCCCATGCATAACAATCGCATAAGAGCTCGGTCCTCTGAGTTGCCGATATCCACCAACCTGAATCCCACTGCATGAAGAGTCTCTGATCGTCGATCAAGAATCATATCATATCCAGCTCGAGTATTCGATGTCCCCGCGATGATACTTTGACATGCATCATAAACATTCCGATAAGAATCAAATATCGGCTGGATCAATTTCTTCGCACAGGTGTAATCCATATGTCCTGCTGCACCCGCGATATCAAGTAACTGCTCCATAAAGCGCATCTGAAAGCAATTGGGGCGTTCTTTCATGAGATACAAGCCTGATAAACAGGCGGGCACATTTTCTGCTTGTGCCATCTGACCAAAGTTGAATGTAGCGCCGAGCTCCATACCGCGGATAAGGTCGTCTTTATATTGAGGAGGCAACTTTTCCAGTGAAAAAATGAGCCCGGCTTGACAGGCCTTCAGAAGTATTGCATCGTGATTGAGATATGCGATATCGGTGCCGGTCATCTCGTAATAATCGGATGCCAATTGGGGGTCTTTGCCCAAATCATTGATTATTATCGAGGTTATCAATGCATAAAGCGCATCCGAGTCTGCGATGACTTCATTGTAAAACTCCTGGATCCATTTGAATGACTCTCTTGTCAGTTGGGCATCGTGTGGCTGAGATCCGACAAAGTTCTCGTATTGCCCGAGGTGAATCCAACGTAGCGATAAGAACCCCACAAGCGTTCGATTCACTTCATCATAATCTGCTTGGTATAGGATATAAGAAGGAGAGTTTCTCGTCCGAGATATTGACTGCTCGTCGCGAATTGAATATGCTCTTTTAAGACGGTCGATGTCATGGGTAAACTCGCAGTAGATCATGCGTAGGAGATCATCCTGGGGCGTTGAAAATAAAGCATCTGGGGAGGTGCACGCATCTCGTACAGATTGCGATGAGTGCTCCATTTGCTTCGGAGCAGAATAATCTCAAAGAACTCTGCATTCTCGCAAGAATATAAGAAGAGTTTGTTAAGTGCACAGCCACAGGTAAGGCGTACAAATTGGACCGATCGCTTGTTTCCCGCACGGAGAGGCCGAGGTGGAGTCTTCAGCCCCTCAGATGAGATCTAGGTACACCGTACAACCGTACCATCAGTTCAACTTAACTGTGGGCCAGAACATAGATGGCGCGTGATATGAGATAGGATATTATTTCCCGGTTGCTTTCGCTGTGAAGATTTCTCTGCGGTATTAGTGCAAATGACAGAGGAAAAATGAGTCTCTAGTCCCATTCACTAGGAATGAGGATTTTAATGGTGTTGTACCTAGTAGTTCAAGAAGAGCAGGAGCTCACTCATGAGTTATCTTCAGGTACTATGATTTCAATTGAAATACTCAATTCGTTGCAAAAAGTGACAGCTTACTCTGTTCCAATGCATTGTTTACATGGTGTACATGAGGCATAATTCCACGAATCACCTATAATATTCAGCTGTCGTTGTCGTATCAATCCGACAACCCCACCTCTGCACAGCCTCTCTGCATGGGAATCTGTTCGTCATCTTTTATGTTTTATGAAATAGGTGACCGAACCCAAAACTTGAAACTCTGAACTCTCCATGTCTTACACCTTTTTCAGGTGGACGATTGTCGTGAAATGTCACAAACTTTAGCCACAGCATCGCGCCTCAAGCCAGAGATTCGTCTGGCACAGGCCCTTTCAGTGTTTGAAGCTGACCTCCCTAATGATCAAAAGAAATCTTTCCATAATGAAAAAGCGCAAGCCTACCAAAAGCCACCTACTTCACAAGATGTGCTGCGTCTTATTGCTTAGATAGATCAACGGGCATTGGCATCTAAGCGACGTTGTTTTGGTGCTAGAATGATGAACGTGATTGAAGCTGTCCAACAATTTGCCGCGCTTGGGGATATCGTCGTTGGCGGATCTCAGAATATCATCGCTTGTGGTATTTGGACAGCGGTGAGATCTTCATTGCTGGTCAGTACTCTGAGAGATCGCTTGTGGTCTCAGCGCTGATTCATGTCCAGCTTGTGACAAAACATTCATCCTATCTTGAAAAATTATCTACGCTGTTTATGGTCGCCGGTCGCTCAGCTCCACGATATGAGAAAATGGCTCTTCTATACCCACGGTCGAAAAACCTTCAATCGTACATGTGTGATTACTACATTACAATCGTTCAAATTTGCCAGAAAATCCTAAAATTCTCGCTAAAATCAACACTGGGACAGTTAGCAGCAGCTTTAAACGAAACCGAGCTCAACTCCTTCCAGCTAAACCTTGAAAGATGGGCGACCAATATTAAAGAGGAGGTTACATTGCTGATGGCGGAGAAAATTGAGAATGAAGCCTTGAAAACATCGAAGTTCCAGAATGCATTATGGAAAAAGCTTGGGAAATCGGATGATGATGCACATCAAGCAAGGATCAATGCTCGACTAAGAGTTCTCAACTTCTGTTCTGAATTCGATCACACCGTTATCTGGAAACAAACTCGAAAGGCAGGGACTACCAGACTTTTCAAAGAGAGTCCCGAGTATACAACCTGGAAAGATCCAGCTCTCTCTTGTATCTCCTGCACACTTGTCTACACAGGAAAGTTGGGGTCAGGAAAATCAGTCATGCTGGCAAATATGGTGGATGATTTATATCTTCATTCACAGGACATCCCAGTGGCTTACTTCTTTTGCCGGCATGATGTGGCCAAGACACTGCAGAGTCGCACCATTATCGGATCTCTCATACGACAAATCTTGAGCAACTTGGAGACATCATGCTTTACAGAGCTGTTGGATACCCTAATCCCATGTGCTGAGCTTGATGAGTACGACAAGATGGCTGTTCTACTCGAGAAAGGCTTTGAGTCTCGGCGATTGCAATGCTTCCTCGTGATTGATGGACTAGATGACCTTAGTGCCTATGAAAGAGTCGTGACAATTGCAGAGCTGTCCAAAATTCAAGAGAAAGTCAACATCCATCTTTGTGTTTCATTTCGCTCAGACCCAACAAGCCATAAGCGAAGATTTTGCTTCGAAGATTTTGACAATGCAACCGTGATGCCAATCCCAGACAATACCTCTGAAATCCAGGCCTTCATTTTAGAAGAGCTAGAAGCCTGTCTTGAGAATCAGAAGTTAGTGGTTGGTGACCCTACACTCATACTGGAGATCCGAGAGGCTCTGTTCAATGGTTCTCAGGGAATGTTCCTCTGGGCTGCTTTGCAAATTGAAACAATGTGCAGCATGAAAACTGACTTTGAACTTCGTCAATCCTTGCAGAATCTTCCACAGGATCTTGCTGAGACATTTTCTCGTGTTTTACAGCGACTTGATGGGAAGGAACAGTCTCAGCAAATGGCTATACTGAAGCTTATTATTGCTGCGCAGCGTCCATTGACAATATTCGAGATGCAAGAGGCTTTAAGTGTCATTCCGGGTGACACTGAATGGGATCCATCACGAAACTTGAATAATGTTTATGCCACGCTAGCGACCTGCGGATGCCTTATCAACATTGATGAAGAAGAGCTGACCACACGACTCGTTCATCCGAGCCTGAAACAATTCCTTCTGGGATCTGATGCTCAGTTGAAAACAGCTGAAAATCCATTCATTATTACATTAGATGCTGCTCATGGATATATGGCAGATATCACCATCACGTATTTGAACTATGATGTCTTCGAGAAACAATTGACACGAACACTTGTGCCTCGAGTTGATGCTAGCACAGCAGCATCAATGATCGTTCAATCCACCGTTTCCTCTTTTTCCTCCTCAACCAGCATTCGCCAACTTGCAATCAAACTACTCAAAGCGAAATCAACGACAGAAGTCGATTTCAATATTGGCAATTCTCTGTCTCAAGTCCGTCCTCTGTGTCGTAGTCACCCAAGGCGCGACTTTTACTTTTACGATTATGCTAGAGTGTATTGGCACTCTCATATTGCTCGCACAGTCAGCCACACAGCAAGGATGAAAAGTCTGCTGACTAAAGTCCTGAAAAGTAGAAGAATCGACATGGATCACCTCGATGAAGATGACCTTACTCCACTAATGTGTGCTGCCGCACTCGGAAACACTGATGTCGTTCGCTCCCTATTGAGTCTTGACGAAGTGGATATCAACTTCCAAAATGATGCGGGACTCACAGCCCTCCATTTAGCTCTTCTTCAAAAACACTCTGAAACCTTGGGGTTGTTGCTTGACGCTCCTGGGCTAGACATCAACCGTAAAGACGGACAAGGTCGCACAGTCCTTCTCATAGCAGCGGAACAAGGCGACTCATCCATATTCAAAGAGATCTATACGGGCCGTCAGCTTGATGTCACTTGTGCCAATATTAGAGGTGAAACAGCCCTCCACATCGCGGCTAAAAAAGGACTCCTCGAGATTGCAGTTCTACTCCTTAAATTGGACGAAGTGGATGTGAACGCTAAAGATGTCGAGGGCAATACACCTCTCCACAGAGCGATTTTGAGTGAGCAGATTGGTATCGTGGAGCAGTTCCTGATCTGTGAGCGTGTGAATATCGATGTGGAGAATAATCGTGGTCGGAGTGTACTTTCCATGACTATTTCCTCTGGCAATGAAGAGATGGCGCATCTTTTTTTACACTCACGACTGGATGAGAACTCCAAGGCCAGATTGAAGGAAGTGTTACTTCCCTATATTGGTTCTTGGAAGCATGTGCAGTATACAAAGTATGGAATAGCTAGGTGGTCATGAGACTTCAACACTTTCTAACACAATCTTGCAAGCTGTGAATGATTCCTGATGTTATCCTATGCTGCTTAATCCATGACGCCATCTCAACTTACTACTCCTATCTAGGAATCATAACCTGTATCTATAATAGATTGAACATAAAAGAGGATTCAATAGCCATTTTATCATTCAAATGTTGCTACTAGTAAGAGTAAAAGCTATGAATAGGAAAACTTTTGCTTTAGTTCATATAGGTAAACACAATCTCGGCCATGTCTTCCGGTTTGCTTTTAGAAACACTAAGATCTTGTTCCTGCCCAACTGGAGCCCCCCCTTGCAAAAATGTTCCAAGATATACGTAAGTCCTTTGTGATCTCAAATCCTCCATCCTGCTTCTCTGTTATCTTGATACTATCAAGTTCTTCGATCGGAGATTGAGAATGAGTAAATTGGCGTATTGTGGATTTAACCCAATGACGAATTATTATGCTGCGATCATCTTGATTCAGCTCAATAGTTATAACTGTTAAAACATCTACGGTATTCTGCAACCACCACTTTGAGTCAAGAATGAGCTGTTGTGTATTTTCTGACATGCCGACTTGAATGATTAAGGAGGCGCCCATTTCGTGAATCCTCCATGGCATTCAGGCAGCGTCTGCTTCTTTAGACCAGCCCTCAAAGTGGATTGTTGATCTGCCTTGATTGACAAATTTGGCAGCTCCCATACTGTGTAGTTCCAAATCAATTATTCTGTTCATCTCAGAAATGGCGAACTGATGACACCGGGATGATATAATGCGGATAATGAGAAAACCAACAGTGTGGAAAGTGGTGCATCTCGCAAACTTCAACTGATTCGATACTGATTCCGAGATCGACAAGCAAGATTCCAAAGGTAGACCGTGGAAAAGGACGTATTGATCGTGGATTCTTTTTGTAAGGAGATCGTCATGTAGATCGGAAATGGTCTGTCTGAGCTGAGGAAGTGAATTGAATTTGTAGGTCTGTTTGATACTGCGCATAAGTTCAAGAAAGTGGTCTCCTACTACAGCAGAGGAAAATAGGGGTGATAGGAGGGGTGGGAGGACTCAATCAGCCGACATATTGATAGTAGAGTGAGAGAAAGATACTAAGAGAAAAGCAAGAGATGATAGAAAAGGAAGATGGGGTGTTATGGTGTTAGTGCCAGTGGCTTGCGGTGAAATTACCAGTGGGAGACATTCATGGATAAAGATGATGTATTCAATCTGGAAGTCCGGGACAAACCAAGGTTGAAAGTCCGGCCCGGGGCTACTGACTAATATACGAGTCACGACTCACGACTCACAAGTCCCCACACCCCGCCTCGCGCGGCACTGCGAGTATTTGAAATTGAGAAAGGTATGTCCTCAGTACCTGAGTGCTTGGCCAGATGTATCCACATTCTCTCAGACAGGGATACTCACATGGATACTTCCAAGGTTTTAAGTACAGGTCTTAGTCTAAGTCAGTAGCATCTACGGGTAAATAATGACCTACACCTCTTTGTATATAAGTACCCACAGGGTTCCCTATATACATGATTACCTATATGATTACCTAGAGGGGGAGGCTAGCTGCTACATAGTTAGATAAAGGTAACTGCCAGCCCTATAGATACTATCTAAAGTAAAAGATAACTAAAGTGAGAGATAACCAAAGTAAGAGATAGCTAAATCAGGGAATAGCAGCAAGGGAAAGATATTGTAATTGGAACATGGAACCACCAGCCTGTTCTACCTGCTGTATATCACCGGTTCCCCCACCTTCTTCCTTCCCTTCCCCAAGCACCTTCTCTGACAAAAGTAAGACTTGGTATGAGAGGAGGGAAAGAAAAAGAGTAAGTACCAAGGAAATCAATCTCAAATCCTGATCTACCTACAACCTTCGAACCCGTACTCTTGATCCTCTCAATCCATCCAGTAAGTGAGTGAAGGGATGGCCATTGGAAGCCTCAGATTATGAGACAGTAAGCTAATAGTATTGTAGACGCAATGACAACATTCATGTCCAAGATTGTCCGCGCAAATGCAACAAGCCTCTGCCCGGAGTGGCCAAATCCAGGCCTCAAGGAGACCAAAGAAACCTCCTTAATGCGGTGAAGACCTTCAGGTGGGCCAGGGCCTTGAAGCATTTAAGTTTGGAGGCATGATACTCCTATTCAGAGCCCTCGACCAGTTCTTCCACGGAGTCGTCGAGCTCCTTTTCAGATGTTGCCAGTGAGGGTCCCACTGGGAGTCTAGATGTTCCTGTTGGTTGTTTCTACACACCTGGGTGGTTCAGCTTAGACCTTTTGGATTGCTTTGCTAACCGGTGGTGCTGCGTAGAATTGGTACACGTTGTTTTGAGGTTCTCGCCTTCCTAGGCGTATTATGCGGGGAATGTAATTGACTGGGCAAAGGGGAGATGGGATAAGTTGCCCTGCGTTAGATCTCGGGCTGATCAGCCAGCTCAGGCTGCCAGTGCAGGTGGTCCAGGTGCTACATCATAGATAGAAGTGAAATAAATGCTTCTTGAGGACAAGACTAAATCAATGCATGCTTTTTTATTGATACTGCCAAAATGTATACTACTAGGTAGAAACCTGCCCAGGTGAGTGGGATGCCGTCATTATGCACCTGTGATACGCTGAAATGAAAGCTTGCTGCTCAATGACGCTTCCCCTTTCAAGTTACTATTAGTATGTACTAAGAATCAAAAATAGGATCAATGATGAAATTTCCACTGGGATAATAAAATTTGTATAGCTTTTTTAAGCTATAAAGGACATATACGCTGACTGTTGAAGTAAGACATGCATTTAGCGGTTGAAAACACTTCCCAGGCAGCCTCTGGACATCAAAAATAAAGGTTGCGAAAAAGAAATTTATATACAAGTGCAACCAATCACCACGCTCTCTTAAAAGATTCATAAAGTATAACGGAATTGCAAAGCATGTTGACCACGCTTAAGATGGGCGGTGGAACTTGCTCTCAGTCCAAGGCATACCAACAACGCTCGCCTTGCGAACCTTGTTACGCACCTTCACACCGACCTCAGTACCCTTCTTGTGGAATCCTGTGTTCACATAGGCCATGGCGATGTTGATACCACCGAGAGAGGGACTTGGCAGGCCGGAGGTAACAACACCAATCTCAACAGGGTTGGCAGGGTCAGAGAGATCGACAACAGTGGCACCCTCACGGGCCGGAGAGCCCTTCTCAACGGTAAGACCGACACGGCGTGTCTTGATTGTCTTGGGGCTGGCGAGCTGAGGGAGAATAGCGGAAGCACCGTTGAAGGTAGCAGTTGCGGCATCGCGGCGGTCACGACCCACGACCCAACCTAGAGCAGCAGCTGGGGGAGTCTGTGCGGTGGAGATGTCATGGCCGTAAAGACACATACCAGCTTCAAGGCGGAGAGAGTCTCGGGCTGCGAGACCGGCCAGACGGACTGAGTCCTTGTTCTGAAGGAAGAGGTTGACGACTTGCTCGGGGAGACTAGCGGAAACGGAGGTGGGAATGGAGATCTCGAAGCCGTCTTCGCCAGTGTAGCCGGTACGGGAGATCAGGAGAGGCGATGGAGTGGCGGAGCCGTCGGGGAGAGTCAGGTGCAGCTCACGGCAGTTGCCGAAGTATAGAGTGCTCAGGTCAGTCTCAGCCGCGGAGGCATTGGCGGAGTTGATGAGAGGCTGAAGGACGCTGATGGCCTGGGGACCTTGCAGTGCGACCAGAGCACGGTCTTCGAGAATATCCCACTTGATGCTGTCGGCTCCGTGCTTGGAGCGGTAGGCATCGATCTCCGCGGTCAAGAAAGCCAAGTCCTCGGCGCGGCGACCGGCATTGGTGACGAAGTAGAAAGTGTCTTCACCACGGCGGGTGATAACAGTGTCGTCAATGATACCTCCAGTACCTTCCTCCAAAAGACAAGAGAGAGTAGAGGTGTTCGGGGCGAGTTTATCGAGGGATGAGGGAGTGATCTTCATGAGAAGCTCGAGGGCGCCGGGTCCGCTCAGGTGGTGTTGAACCCTAAAAATTTACCAATTAGGTCCCATTGAGCTCTATAAAAAGGATATCACGCATGAAAACTTACATGTGGCTGACATCAAACAAACTGGCCTTCTCACGAGTCCACATGTGGCTTTCCACATGGCTCAAGTCGGCATATTGAAGAGGCATGGAGAACCCAGCGAAGGGCACCATCTTGGCGCCGTGAGTATTATGCAAATCATACAGCTGGGTCTTGCTCAAAGGGTCGCTCGAGCTTGAAGCATATCGCACAAGTTGAGTCTTTCTCTGTGTAACTGGAATGGCAATTTGAGCCTTGGGCACACGAACTGTAGACCGCACCGAGGCGGTTGATAGCTCCCGCCGCAATAGTGTGGAGCAGATAGAGGCGCGGGGAGCGTGAATGACAGCTGCTCTCGCAGCAACAAGGTCAGCACCTTTCTTGAGAGTACGAACGCTAGCCATTATGTTTCAATGCTATGGGAATTGAATTGATAGATTAAAAAAGAAGGAGGGAAGAAAGACGAGAGAAAAAGAGGACCACAGACAACCCTCCGCCCTCGGAGAAGCGCTGCGGAAAAGTCACGTGTAGATAGGAGCTCTCAGCGCCCGCATGTAGATGAGTCAGCAGATAGCTGTTTTCCGGATAAGTGATATATGTGCTTGGCATAGAAAGCATTGGTAGATGGGTTCGAATAGTACTATAATGATGTTCATAGAAGCATGATAATAGCTCTCAAAATAGCCAGTGAAAGTCTCAGGCTAGCTGGAGTTGAATTCTTCAAGTTATATGCAAAGTTGAAGGCCATCGTATGGGCAACCAACACTCTCCGGGACACCTGGGCATAATTCCGACACCTCAGGTACTAGTATGTATTTGCCCAGCGGAGATGCCCGCCAAAGAGAAAAAGACATTACAGATTCTGATAGTGATTCAAGATGAGATAAAACTCTCATCTACGATCAGAAATATCTTAAAATTAGCACCAATCGTCTTATCATGATTTTCAGTCCCGGCTTGTTATTAGCCCAGACAAATGCAAGAAGTATGATATGAGAATCAACGAAACGAAGTTCGATCAAATGAAAGCGAGAATAAAAGAACAATAAAGTCATGAAGCCCCGCCCCGCAGGGTTTAAAGTGCATTACTGGCACAGGTGAAAACTCCACCAACATCACCATCTCGGTAGCTGATGACGACAGACATAACAGAGGCCTAGAATTGAATTAGTGACTGAGAAGAATGAACCAGATAGGGCGAAAAGCTGTCAAAGAGATAACTCACATAAGTACCAGGGCCAAGGAAGTAAAGACCCATGATGATCAAGCTAACATTGAAGATAGCACCCAGCCAACCCCGGATACCGCGCGTCTTGTAGAAGTCGGGACCGTGATCAGCTCTCCGCATGCGAAGATAGGCGACTCCCCAGAAGATAAAGCCAAAGAATGAGTCAAAGAGCGAACTCATAATGGATTCCAAGTCCGAGAAGAATGGAATGACCTCAGCAATTATCCAGGCGAGAGTCCAAAGAACGGCCAAAATTCCAGCCCAAGAGGCCCAACCAACCACGGTGTTTTGCGTTTTGTGGCGTGTTCCGTCAAAGATATTGAAAAAGATGAAACGGGCTGAGACAGAGGCATAGAGAACACCAAGGAAGATGAGTGTAGGAATCATGAAGGAGAAGGAGACCTTCTTGTATGTTTCGTTTGAAATGGAGCCAAAAGCAGGCGCAGTCATGTATCCAGACTGTGAACCAGTGTAGACATAGATAATAGATCCAACCAAGCTGAACAAGATCACCTCAGCGATAGTCACTGCAGTTACAGACTTCCAGAAATCGCGAGGCTCTTTCATCTCAGCAATGAAACTAGGCAAAGTAATCTGCCCAATGAAGGTGTAGCTAATGTTGAGGAAAGCACTCATACCACTCACGAAGGTAGTGCCTTTAGCCGGAATTGCAAGAACCAGAGGTTCACCATACTCAGGGTAACCGGCTGGGTGGCCCTCAATTCCAATGAAGATCATAGCCAAAAGGACGGAGATGAATGTGAAGAAGGCGGAAAATGTCGCTAGTGTTGAAAGGGCGCTGAATGTACGTGGTAACGACACGAAGAAAGAGATGATTGCTACAACAAGGCTGAACACGACAGTGCAGGCGCCGCTGTTTGAGATGGTGTTGAGGTATTCGGATCCGACGACACAATGCAAGCCCTGAATGAAGATGTTGTTCAGGAGGAACATGACTGCAGTAAACCACCAAGCCCACTTGGAGTCCCAGAACAGATACTGGCCAATATCACAAACATCACGAATTTCCGGATGGCGTAGGCAAAATCTCCTGCGTGGTGCTATCAGTACACATTATAGAGAAATTTTCGGAGCAAAACTCTCGGATCCGAACAATACGTACCAAATTGTCAACGATGTATACATTACCACACCCGCGATGAATACAGTCAAAATTAGACCTGGAACCAGTCCAAGAACAGAGTATGCCCAGGGAAACGACATCATAGCCAGACAAATGTACTCTGAGAAAAGTAGCGCGGCAGTCTATATCCAAACCAATCAGCACTTGCCGCGAGCCTTGCACATTGATTCATATGCCAGTCGCAAGGGACCCCCAACTTACCTTTTGCCAGCTGCATGTGCGGTATTTGATACCATTCTCAGCTTCCATCTCGATCTGACGGCCAACGCTCTCCGAGATTGAGGACGAATCGACCTGAACCCGGGAGTGTGACAAACGACGACCCTGTCCCTCAACATCGAAATCTTTCAACTTGGGATCGTGGTTGAGCTTGTCACTCAGATCAGGAGAGTGGTCACTGGCATTCTCGGCACTGCGATAATCCTCCATTGTGTTGTCTTCTGGTCGAGCCATTTTAAACTTAAGGAGCGAATAAGTCGCTGCTGGCGGTACTCAGTGGAGTTAAAAGGAACGGAGTCGACGGCCTTCGAATACATAAACTGATCGGTTGAATAATGTACAAAATTGAAACCGACAGATTATTGTAGAGTGTACTCTAGGAAAAACTGTTGCTTTGGGCTCCTTAACGATATTTTGGAGGTAAATTCAATATTGTCGCAACATGAATCGTGCAGCGGATCGAGTTTAGGGCAAATGAATCCTACGAGATCCGTCGATGGGCGAAGAGTCGCAATGGGATAGTAATACAAGGTATAAGGCGCGAGGGCAGGATTTTAAACAAGCAAAGAAAACATAAATTCTAAAAAAGCGAAAAAAAAAAAGGAGCCACGGTGACCAAGATGGTATCTGGTATACCGGGCTACGTATCACTGAGAGTGCAGTAGTTAAAGGCTAATAAAATGCAATGGTAATAATGGGTATACTGGATACCTGTCATTTTAGAATTCCAAAATTCCCCACTGGGAGATGCGACCGGAAATGATGATAAAACGTCGATCCGGTCAGGATTGCATGACGTGATGTCCAGTGGTCAGCCGCAATGGGACCAAATATCAAGCCATGGCGCAGCTGGCGCAGCGCCAGAAGGTAAAAACAGCCGGGAGAGGCGGTTGCGCCCCTCAAAAGGCTTGCGATCGGGCCACCTTAGTATCAACATTGGGGTACATGTAAATGTAGCTTGCTCGCGTACCATGATGGTTTCTTTGAGCATATTGCCAATCGAAAAAATTGAACTTGAGAGTCTGGCTATGTTTAGCATTCTATTCAAATGTCATGTTCCACTCCGATAGAAAAAGGGGAAACACGAGGGAAGGGGTTACTCCGTAAAAACGCCCGCATATCATATCGAGTTCCGCTGAAGCTACGACTTGCCAAAGTGGGTCTGGGTTGTGCCCCGCAAGCAGGGGTAGTCGAATGGAGTCCTTCGGAGACAGGAATCCCCGGTTGGGATCAAACAAGTGAATCCATTTTACGGAGGTCGGTCCGGAAAGTTCTCGCCAGAAATTATAATTTCTTTTTCTCACACTAGGCTATATACAGTAAATATTGAAATATATCGCGTAATCAAGATGTATATAAAACGGAAATATATAGTACTGAAATATAATAACAGCTTGAAACAGTAAATATTCACATATCTTCCCATATATCGCTGTCGCTGTCGCTGTCGCTGTCGCTGTCGTTGCCGCTGCCGCTGTTATAGGCGTTATCACCTAACCCGCTAGGGGCTACTTCACCTAATTTATCACGCCCCTCACCGTATTCGTTGCCCCCTTCTAGTCTAATGACTTGCTGTATATGCCATGGTATACGTTCAATCCAAGCTTGAATTTGCGCCTGTGGTAGATCACGCCACGCAGCCTCCCATACTTTAATCCCTTCTTTACGCGATTTAGGTGCTCCTTTTCGCGTAGTGTATCTCTTCATCCAAGGCCATGCAGGTTCAATCATATTTAGATCAGGCGAATTTCCAGGCCAGATCATTCGTTGGACCCCCATTATATCAAATATTCGCTGTTGGTAGTGATGTGAATGGGCTGGTGCTTTATCCTCTTGAACTATTGTTTTCGTTCGAATTCGAGCACATTCTTGGGCGAATGGAAGTAGTTTTGGGGCTAAAATCACGGTGTTGTATCGGTACCAATCGATTCCACCTTTCGAATTGCGTGCAAGCTTTCCATTCTTCTGAGTCCATCTCCACTGAGGTTGTCTTCCAGGCTTATTGCGTAGCCCTAATCGCTGTATACCTGAATTAAGCTCCCATTCTGCACGCATAATAGGCTCTAATTCAGTATTCCATTCGGCGATTTGGTGTTCTGCTTCACGCTTTTGGGCTGTAGTTTCAGGTACCCAACAATGACAGGGGCCCTTCTGATCATAAGAAAAAGCACCCCAAAACATGAACTCAGAGGCCCCCTTCCAACGTTCTCGAATACAGCTTCGGACGAACCGCTCACTAGAAGTACGCCATACACGATATCCACCCCGACGGTGTAATAAAACAACCGCAGTTTCATCAGTCCAAATCACATTCTTCCAGTCTTCTATAGTCCAATGGGCGTGTTTTAAACACCATTCAAGACGTTGTTTTTTCTGCTCAGCGGCAAGCCCAGGCTTACGTGTAGGCTTTGTTTTTCGTAGGCCAATTTTTCGTAGTACATGCCAAACTGTTGTTTTTGATATATTAATCCCTAATTATAGAAGAAATATTAGAGGAAATAACATATCAAATAACACACCAAGTAACACATCAAATATTATACTAAATAACATATTAAATAACACACTAAATAAAATATCAAATCTTAGAATAACTAACCTGATTCACTGCGTAGCTCTGCAGCTAGCTGTTCACATGTTTTCTCACGCCCATAGCGGTCTACACGGATTTTCGCCCCAAGTGTGGTTTTAAGCTCATCTGTTTGCTTAGATGGACGCCCAGAACGTGCTTTATCAGCTAACATTTCATCTGATATATTGAATGGTCGCTGATTCGGCTGAAAACCTCGTTCGAGTGCACGGTTCCATATGTCTCCTATAGTACGCCGTGGAATATTCATAAATTCACTGATCTCCTTAGGGGCATGTCCTTGGGCCCTTAGGTATACAATGACAGCACGTTGCGCAATATTGGTCTTCATTGTAGCTGTATAGGTGGGACAAAAGTGTAGCTGTGTAGGTGGGATAAAAGTGTGAAGGGGTGTACGGACTGTAGGCGGGGTAAAAGATAAAGATCTACGTGTCCACGGGTGTTATAAGCAATATTTAGCCTAGTACGTAACACGGCAATACATCCAATATACAGCAGGCTATACACCTGACATACAGGGCCGGTAATATATCAAGAAAAAGAAATTATAATTTCTGGCGAGAACTTTCCGGACCGACCTCCGTACGCCCGAAAACATGGAAGGCTACGCAGTGACCTTTTTGCTTGTGCTGATTCGATCGCGGGCGGTCAAGCTTAACCGGATGCGGAGGCAAAATGGATCCCTGGGGGGGAAGTCCTTGGCTGCTGTTGGGGCCATTTGATTTGTATGGAGGAAGCTGATTCGCGGGTTTAATGATGAGTAGCGAATCAAGAGAAGCAAGAACCGAAGCGAAGAATAACAAGTGACGAGTTCTTGGAGAGGATGAATCCTGGAAGTCTCAAATGGTGAAGTTTTCCATTTTAAGATCAGGGAATCTTGATCCTGATACGGTAATTATATGACCAATATGACCATACACCACGTGCAGAATGACTCAGCATTCTGGACTCAGCACCTGGGCACCTGGCAGGTGCTACCGAGCTTTCTTCTACGCTTCTGCCATTAACGGATATTCAACATCAATTTGAATCTACAATAGAAATATAACAGGGCTACACCTAGGTACCTAGGTAGATATTCAAAAAATATGTCAACTACGAAAAAACTGTACAGCCTCATCCGAACATCCGAAGACAATATTTCATGACTTCGACTTGCAAACTTGAAATATCTACAAGTCTCGGCCCTTCCGAGCTGCGGTCCACTCTTGCGTGCTCATTCCCCATGATGGTCTCATTGAATCCACATACTTGCCCTAAATTCAATCCCCTTTCGCCCCCAAAAGGATCTCCAGTCTAAATGAACACCTAGTGGGTTCAAGTGGCTGAATTACGTGAGATACTTAATCTGACATGGTTGCATGGCATACTTAGTGCCTTACAAGCTAGCTTCAAGCTTTATATAGCAGGATGCAGGGATTGGGGGCTACTTTTTACCTCCCTGTGAACTACTAGGTATGACATCGAAGGCATTTCAGTCTACTTCAAGTTGAATTGGACTGTTAGTCACACCTGTAGACAGTAACACTAGCAAACTTGAAGCCATCCGAGTCCGTCAACTTGAGCGATTCTATTCTGCTAGTAGTTACATAAACATTCACAGTTGTATCTAACAGTCAACATTTGAAGCAAACTTCAATGTTCAAATCCAGGTTCAAGTTCCTTCAAGTTGTAACTTGAATCTGGAACATGTATCATGAACCACATAGAGCTATAAAGGTAAAGCTGTGGATTGTTGTCAGACTCAAGTGCTCTTTGAAATCAGACAAGAAAAATTCAATTTCCTCCATCATCCCTGGCAAGAGATCTTTCAAATGTTAGCAATTTTCTCGTAATAGATACATATGTTTAGTCCTTACCTGATCTCAAGCAAACTTGAAGTACTATTAGTAGTGCTTGTATTTTGAGAGTCGGAGCTATCATCTTGCTTACACGCTGGTTCCGAAGTTGGGACACTCACTGGTAGGTCGCAAAAATTGAACTGGATATCGCTTTCAGGTCTCCAGGGATTGGCTTTACACTAGTAGATTGAAGTCCCCAGATAGTGGCGAGGTAAATTTGATACCGGTATCTGTTCTTCTCGTATTCAAGATCTTTTGTTATGTTCGAAAACCCGTAAAGGTCATCAAGATCGTTGCAAACTTCTTGCGAAGGCATTGCTCCGCTGCGGCTTTCGTAGCAACATGGACATTCAATAGAGCAATGCCCAATAGCAAGTTTAACAACAGAGCTGGTCAGATGTTCAGGAATTTCGCAGCATCCACATCCCCGTGCACAGCATTCACCTCGGAATACACAATCTTTGACTAGCGCTCGATGCATATACCATCGCTCATTTGATCTCCAAGTTTCAAATCCTCGTTGAAGATAGCCAGAACTGGATAACATACGATCTTTCCACCACTGATATCGCAGTTGCTGTTCCCATGGACTAGCTATTGTTTCTTCCAGTTCCTTTTTCTGAGACTCAGTCTGTGTTTGTTTTCTCAGCCGTATCTCCTTTTGGGAACTCATCCGCAACCTCGCTTCGAGGTTCAAAAGCGCAAGAACTTCTTCCGTATATGGATCCATCAAGGTATCCTGCACCAAAATCCGCGATAATTCCTGTGCCGAAAGTTCTGAAGTGCGTATATGTTTCCGCTGTTTTTGAGAAGGTCTTCTTGGAGTCGTCTTTTCTTCTCCTCGAGCATATGCACCACATCATGATAGCAGGGTTGAATATGACGAGATTCTTGACGGGTGGATTATAAAAACGGAGCACTTAAGTTGTTTGGAGGCTCTCTTTTGAAGAATAGGCTAAGGGCTATAGCAATTCTACTTGATTTCAAAGGGCTTTCATTTCAGCGTATCATAATGATGACACCAACAGGACATATACCTAGTGGAAGGGGAAGGCTAGATATTATATTAGTTGAATACAGGCAACTGCCCAGGTAGCTGTAGGCTGATTCTTGCCCTCTCATCTGGTCCACAGGCATTCTGCCCGTCAAAAAAACCATTGCAACACGAGTACATAGTAATAAAAGGCCTAGCCTATATTGCCAGGGGATTTGCGACATGTCACGGTGTACGGATGCCTAGCCCCGGATAGTACTACTTAACTACATGTACTACTCTATAATACTCAAGTGCTTGTCCACTGGCATGTAGCTTCCGAGGTTTGAAGTTCAAGTTGGAATCCCCTTTCTGCATGCATGTATCCATCCAGATCCATATCCTGTAGTACAAGATACATCCGAGACATGACTTCGGGATACTCCATACTAACTTGAACCTCAAGTGCTTGGAATCCGAGTCACTGGCACCTTGGGGTCGCACCCGTGGACAATGGTACTAACCATACTCCATTCTGGTTCAAAAGTCTGTGGACACTTCTCCTGCCCCCACCAATTTTCCGACTTGGCAACTTCAAAAATTTGCAACTCGGTCAATATGGACGCATTTGGCACCGCAATTAGTGCAAATCGTTCGAAAAATGCAGAATTATCAGATGTTCAGCGCAGTTCGATTATTACAGCTTATAAATTAGGTGATAAACCTACTCAAATTGCCCGCTATTTTCAAGTTGCGCGTTCAACTATTTACAACACAATCAAGCGATTTAATACACGCAAAGATATGCAATCAAAGCCCCGTTCAGGTCGCCCGCGCAATATTGATACTAGAGAAGAGCGCTATATTTATCGAATGTGTCGACGATATCCACGTATGAGCTGGGGTGCTCTAGTTGCGGAGGTTACAACTGGAGAGATTAGTATCTCAAAATCCACTATTTATCGCGTGTTACGACGATATAAATTACGCAAGTGGAAATCTCGACGCCCAATTCCATTGACTAAGGATGATGCTCTACACCGACGTCAATTCTGTCGAAAATGGCGGAATTTTAAGGAGACAGAGGTTAATCTTCTCAGATGAATACTCCGTGCATCAACAATCAAATTCGAGTAATGAATGGGGTTTTCGACTATCATCTGAAGCGTATCGCCAAGATTTAGTCAATTTAATAAATTCAGGGCATGATATCGCACAAATGGTCTAGGCAGCTATTTGGATTGGTGGTAGATCTGATTTGATTATTATGGAATGTGATCCAGAGTCCCCAAGAGGTGGTTTTTCAGTAGATTCCTATCAAGACGCCCTATAAGAAGGCCTATTAGACCATTTTAACCCAGAGATGATATTCTAGCAAGATAACGCACCGATTCATATAGCTAAGAGCTCTCAGGAGTTCATAATGCAACATAGAATTCATACAATGGATTGATCTCCGCATTCCCCTGACCTCAGCCCAATTGAACCATGTTGGCGCTTACTTAAACTCGAGCTTCTAAAATTGAAGCCTAGGTTTGGACATACCGGTCGCAGTTTAGCTGCATGGGACAAATTCCATACAATTTTACGACAAGCGTGGTGGACAATACCACAGCATACAATAGACAGCCTTATTCGATCATTTCCGCGCAGAGTTGAAGCTGTACGCCGAGTGCGGGGATATTACACCAAATATTAGTGTAATTAATCATTATGAATTAATTTATTCAATTTGTCAAAAAATTCCATGGAATTTGGAGCAAAATTCGATTTATTATGGATTTTTCAAATTGGTGGGGTGCGGGCTGGAATATGGAGTGTCCACAGACTTTTGAACTACTAGTGTACGTATGATCTTACATTATAGGCACCTATGTAGGTACCGAATCAGGAATTTGAACTCAGCAGATCGGCTGCAGCTGGACTATTCAAATGTTTTAATGGCTTCAGGTTGCAAGTTAATCCTTATGGCTTCGAGGACATGAGATGTCCATTTACTACTAGTGACAACTTTAAGGTTCGGCGTTTGAGATATAACAAATCCTGCTAGAAAAGCGCACAAGTCTTTCAAACTAGTTGGAGGGACGGAATTTCATATAATTTGGTCTTTGTGATTGGCTAGATACAGCCATGGGTAAATCGCCGATTTAAACAATATACAAACACGAGTAGTAAAAAAACAAAATGAAAAAAACCCGGAGAACGCCGTCGACAGTATGGTATGCACGGTGAAATGTCGGTGCGGCGTCACTTTTGAAAAAAAAGAAAAGAAAGAAACAAATGTGCAAAGGAGAAGACGAAGACAAGGCAGATTACATACCCTCGTCTTCGTCTGCAAGAAGAGCCGCGTAGTCGTCGGCAGAGGCAAAGGTTGGGAGGTGCTTGAGCTTGCGGCGCTTCTTCTTGTCCGAGGGAGCCTCGGTAGGTGCCTCCTCCAACTCGACACCACCAAGTTCCATATCGGATGGCAGATCGTCGTCGCTGTCCAAGAAAGCCTCGTCGTCCGAAACATCCATGTCGAAGGCATCTTCCTCGTCCTCTTCGACCTTCTCTTCCTTGGCGGCCTTCTTGGCGGCCTTCTTTGTGGCGGGAGGAGGAGCGACAGCTTCAGTTTCCTCATCGGAAAGGCCGCTGAAGTCGGCCATCTCCTCATCAGAAGGTACGTCGGACTCATCGTTGAAGATGACCTCATCATCACCGCTACCCTCGCCTTCAACATCCTCCTCGTCATCATCGTAAGCAGACTCCAGATCATCCATATCGAGATCGTCGTCGCTGATATCGTCGGCTTCCAGCTCAGGTCTGGAGTCCACAAGTGCCTTCCAGATCTCGTCCTCGTTATCGCTACCCTCGGCATCCTCATCGTCACCCTCAGTATCCTTGGCCTTCTTAGTGCGTGTCTTGTCCTTGTTAACACGGTTGAAGTACTCGTGGAAGAAGACATCCTCAGCCGCGACTTGATCGGCCTTCTTCTTCCAGAAGCTCTCGGAGTTAAGGGGCATGTTTTGCTGGGTTGTCTTAGCAGCCTCCACCAAGCGGTCTGCAGTGTCGCCACCAGCAAGAGGCTGCATGATGGAAGCACCACGGGCGGCGGCGCTGGCCTTGGGAGTGCGGTACACGAAACGGTCCAAGAAGTGAGTGAGGGTATGAATGTTCATATCGGGCTTGCCACTCATTGGGTTGTGCTCCAGTAAGTTCACAGCATTGACAGAGACAGAGGGATGGAAATGAGATGTGTAGGGCAGCAACTCCCAGAGACAGGTCTGGTCGGCATTGCTGTGCTCTGGGTCACGCTTGCGGGGGTCATAAATGTTGGACTTCTTCGGGGCCTTGGTCTCGATAACGGGCGCGGGTTGCTCGTCATCCTCGTCAGGGACATCTCGGAACACTTCCTCGTCGTCACTATCATTTGCTTGAGGTTGATCAAACAGAGATGAAAGACTGGGGAAAGTCTTCTCCAGCTCGCGGATCAAGTAGAAAACACCGCAGACAAAGGCGGGTTGATGCAATCCAAGAACTTGAACAATACGCTTCACAAATGCCTTGATCCGACGAACATTGAGGTCGCTCTTGAGTGACTTGAACAGAAGGTTGAGGTAGAGTGATTGCTTGGAAGAGGTAGTGACACGGGGATCCAGCAGAGACTCGTAAAGGGTACGGTAGAAGCGGTCACTGGCAACCTGGTGGGTTGCAGTGATCTGCTGGATCAGCATGAGAGCTTGAATGCTGGTGTTGAAGTTCGAGGAATGGGTGATGCGGAAAAGTGTGTCGATGTGCTTAGAGAGTCTGTGTTGCGTGTTAGTGTTAGATTCATCCATGTGTAGTAGGAATAAAGAAACTTACCGCTCCGAGTCAGCGTCAGTAAATGGATACGCGCGGTTGACACCGGTCAGGACACCGGAAGTCAACTTCTCACGCATTTCATCATCCTGGGCTTCTCCCTTAGCAGGACCCTTGTTCTTAGAGCCCTTGTTGCCATGCTTGCCGTGAGACTTGATGTTATAACTGGGCTTCTTGGGTTGAGTTGGCTTTAGAATAGTCACAAAAAGAGAGAAGTAGATGTCCAGCAGCTGCATAGCAACCGGCTCTTCCTTCGAGCTGAGAACAGTCTGGTTGAGAGTAATTATGGCGTAGTATTTGGCATGCTGGCTCTGACCAGGTCTGAACAGCAACTCTTCAACAGCCTTGATGATCAAAGGCTTCATCAGTGGATGTGTCTGTTGAAGTTGCAAAAGAAGGTAAGAACTGCGTGAAGCAATTTTCTTGCCTGGGTCTCCAAGCTTGTTGACCAGCAATCGCAACAAATTGGCTTCTTGCTCTGGCTTTTCCTTGAGAAGCTCATAGACATAACTGATGGCACGAGATCGAGAGAATTCAATTTCATCGTTGCACCAAGTCTCTAGAATCTTAAGAACCTCAAAGAACTGCTCCTTCACGAAGTCCTCAAAAGCCCACATCATCAGATGGCTTTTCTGCAAGCCACCGGGGAGAGGATCCCGCTCAGTCCAACGGCCGCCGGCGCCTTGGAACGCAGCAACAAGCGATGGCTGGTTGGCAAATGCCTTCAGACGACGGTCACTGGGGAGAAGTGTTCCTTGGGCGAACATATCCTTCAAGGAGCGCAGAACCTCGACCGCCTGAGCACGGCTACGCTTACGTCCTAGACCAATCAGAGTCTCCAGAGACTTTCTGTTGTGTAGAGGAGATTCCTGAACAGCCAGGGTCAAAGCAGAGATTTTATCACTCAGGGTACCGGAGGTCATGATGCTTGTGTAGAACTTGTAGGATGAAGAAGCCGAAGTTTGCTGGGCCTTGGCATACTTGTCGTTTTCCTCCTGCAGCAGCGTATTGGCAAGCTCGTGTATGCGATCAACCAGGTGTCGGGGAAGGGCGCTCATCTGCTTCGCATTTCCACTAGCAACGCGCGGAACAGGAGCTGCGTACCAATCGGAGCGAGGGAGAATGGCCTAATTGTCAAATATTAGCATAACCCCATGTGTAGAAGATCAAGATGGGTCACTGACCAGGTTTGCATATTCTTTTGGAATAACGACCTCCTGTGCTTTTGTCTTAACTGGAACAGGTTCCTTAATATCGGAAACATCGGAGACATCGTCGTCAGCTTCATCGCTGATGTCTTCGTCTTCGATATCTTCGATATCTTCGACATTTTCCTCCTCGTCCTCTTCGACTTCCTCCTCTTCTTCAACGTCATCATCTTCCAGGTCCTCTGGCACAACATGGCCGGCAGCCTCTAACATTTTCGCGAGTTCCTTACGAAGATCCCCATCACCACCCTTAGCCTGGACGCCTTCAACCTCCTCGCCCTCGGAGTCAATACCGGCCACAAGGTCGAGATCATCCTCGGTACCACCAAGTGCCAGAATCTCTTGTCGCAAAGTTTCATCATCGGCACACTTTTTGGAAGCTTTTCCAGCCTTGTTCTTTCCTTCCTTCTTATCGTCGCGAGCGATCACCTCTCCATTGCGATCACGCTTCTTGCCTTGCGCAGAGAGATCCTGGCTTTTATCGGCCTTGGGGGCAGTCTCTTTGTCGGCTTGAGAATCCTCGGTAGATGTAGCCGCCTTGTTATTCTTCTTCGATTTTGCCTTGGAGCTCTGATCTTTTAAGCGTTGCTCGATTTTTTGTCGCAGACCGGCGAAGGCGCTCTCGTCAATCTGGGGAACATCGGCGGTAGGTTTGGATTCTGAAATTGAAACACCTCCATCTGGGATAATCTGATTAGCGCCTGAAGCGCTCTTCCCTTTCCCTTTAGCCATTGTGGTGTATCTGGGATGGCGGTATGTTTTTTGGATGGAGAGAAAATTGAACGGAGAAATCTTTTGCGGCGGGCCGGTTATCAGGACGCTCGGACCAACCTGATAAGAGTCCTCCTGGACCGCGCCGTTTTCTCGGGGTTCTTATTTGACGACCTGTTGTGATTCTATTAGAAGGCCATTGAATTTGGCCTGCTATTGTATCAGATCGATGCTTGTGATTAATCAGACTCGCCATTTGTCGAGATTACGACAGGCGCGGAGACTTCGTATTCAACAATGCGGACTACATGTACGTGTTGAAAACCCTCCAGAAGCTCAATTGGAGATTCTAACCTTATACAGTATGATGGACGAAACCGGGTCTCTAACTTCTGGATTCCCACGGGTGGTATCTCTAAGAAGCCTGTTGATGGACAGAAAGGTGAGATCATTTGTTGACAAGGCAATTGAATGAAGATACTTGCTAACTACGTAGCAGAGGATGCCAACGATCTATTGATCCGAGGTGGCTTTCTTCGCCAGGTGAGTACGCTTTGGCATATTCAAGTTTCATCAGCTTATGAATTCGAGTAGGCATACTCCGGAGTCTTCCATCTGCTCCCACTAGGATTGCGAGTACAGGACAAGCTGGAACGGCTTATTGATAAGCACATGCGCTCATTGGGTAGGTAACTATCCTCGTTTCGCGAATGTATAAAAAAATCTAATATATCAAATAGGTGCTTCAAAGGTCTCCTTGTCCTCAATATCTTCGCAGGAATTATGGGAAAAATCCGGTCGCCTCAACGAGGGCTCTGAGGTATGTCCTTTAGACTTTTGATCTACATGATTGTCACTTATGCAATTCACAGGTATTCCGCTTTAATGATAGAAAGGCCACCCGCTTCCTCCTGGCACCAACACACGAGGAAGAAATTACCACACTTGTAGGTGGGCTCACTACATCGTACAAGAATCTGCCTCTGCGTGTTTATCAAATAAGTAAGAATAGCCCCACTTGATATGAAGCCGAAGATACTGATCCATGGGTAGCAAGAAAATATCGAGATGAACCACGACCTCGTCAAGGTCTTCTACGTGGCCGAGAGTTTATTATGAAGGATCTATACACCTTCGATTACAGTATTCCTGAAGCATTGAAAACCTACCAAGCTGTCAAACACGCATACACGCAGCTGTTTGACGAACTCAAGATTCCCTATTTGGTCGCAGCAGCCGACTCAGGAAACATGGGAGGTAACTTGAGCCACGAGTTCCACTTCATTAGCTCGAAAGGTGAAGACCGCGTGGTGAGCTGCTCCCATTGCGACCACGTCTACAACGAGGAACTGGCAGATGGAAAAACACACCATTTCGGTGAATCCTCCCAGTCTAATGCAACCCCAGGCTTCCAGACCGAGGAAAAATTGGATAATTTTGCACCGCCAACTGTATCCACTGGTATGTGGATGGCTTTCTCACACGATGGCAACACACTTCTGCGTGGCTGGTACCCGAAGTTCTCCATGCAGGAAGGATTTACAGAGCCGGTTGAGCGTCATGTCAATTCACACGCAGTAAAAGCCATTGCCACTGCAGCAGGAATTGACCTCGATCTCAGTGTAGAGAACCCATTGGAGAAATGGGTTGCTCGAGTCCAATCCCGTTCATCAGACCAAAAGCCGCGCGTGTTGGATTTGTATGACTCGCAAGTACGAGTCTACCAGCGTCCACCACTGAGCGATCTCTTGGAAAAGGCAAACTGTACCTCTGCCGACATCGAATACTCCATGTTGGATCGGTTCCCAGATACAACCAACAAACTCAGTCTCATCCGTGTGCACGATGGAGATAAATGCTCACATTGTGCGGACGGACTACTCACCAGCAACCCAGCCGTTGAGCTCGGACACACATTCCATCTTGGCACACGGTATAGTGAAGTTCTGCAAGCTTCAGTTTCGGTCAACTCGGCCTTGCTGGAGGGAGCATCGCCTTCGGATGTCAAGTCTAGCAAGGAGCAGATTGTCCCGATGCAAATGGGCTGCCATGGACTTGGCGTTTCTCGTATGGTTTCCGCCGTGGCCAACCGACTGGTCGATTCCAAGGGTCTTAACTGGCCTCGTGTGATCGCACCATATGAAGTTGTTGTGGTCCCTGGAAAGGGATTAGATTCCGTCGCCGAACAGGTCTACGATTGCCTTACATCGGGGGCCTCGCCGTCTGTGGATACGCTTCTTGACGATCGTGATAAGGGTATGGGCTGGAAGCTGGGAGATGCAGACTTGATCGGATATCCGGTCATAGTCGTCGTAGGCAATGGCTGGAAGAAGGACCAGACTCTTGAGGTTCAGTGCCGCCGACTTGGCGTAAAGGAGGATATGCCACTGGATCGAATCCCTGAGTTTGTTGAGAGTCTGCTATCTCAGTTGTAAATTATCTAGGATCTAACATCGATCCTTCATATCTTGTATTATTAATATCACCAATTGAAACTCCTCTGTACTATAATTATGCTTCCGTTGAATCAACCTTAGAATTTCATAGTAGATTGGTGATCGATAATTCGGGCGTGTGCATATCGTTATTACTATACTCAGTACCACAAATATCCGTGCACCACACTAATGCCACGTCCCTCACCCCACCTCCGCCCGCATCAACTTCTGTGTTGCGCGCTGCGAATCTCGAATTCTCCATCCTATCCCAATAGCCACCCACAATGGCCTCTCAAAACGAGTCAAGCTCCGATGGAGCTCCCCAAGGCACAGGTATGTCAGAAAGTGTCAATATCGAAACACCATTCAATCACCAGCGCAAGCAGTTCCGCCAAATCAGACTCAAATCATCTAGCTAAACTGGAAACCCCCTCAAATACACAACCTTCCAATACCCATTCCATAGTTTCCTACATATTAGATGATACTAATTATTCTACCATATAGTTAACCTCGCTTCTCTCTCCCTGCCTCAACTCCGCTCCCTCCAAACCCGCCTTACCTCCGAGTTGGAACACCTGACCACCTCGCACGCGAAGCTGCGCGCTGCGCAAGCCAAGTTCCGGGAATGTGTGCGATCGATCAACGATGGTGTTACTGGGTCTGAAGCACAGGGTACTAGTGGTCGCGACGAGATCTTAGTTCCCCTTACCAGCTCCTTGTATGTGAAGGGCCGGTTGACGGATCGGGAGAAGGTTCTCGTTGATGTTGGAACAGGATTCTATGTCGAGAAGGTAGGTTTGATAGTTTTCAATCCAGTGATTCTTGAGGATTCTTGTCTTGTCTTTGTGCAAGCCTTTTTTTTTCTCGCTTTTGAAAGACCCGGCGAGCTAACATGTATATGTTTAATACAGACATCCGAGAAGGCAATTGCTTTCTACAATGACAAGGTTAAGGGATTGGATGAGAATCTTGTTGAGTTGGAGAAGATTGTGCAGGGCAAAAGCTCCCAGCTCCGCGTTGTTGAAGAGAGTAAGTCGACTGCCCGTCACGAAATATATGGCCGAAAGAATTGTTTGCTAACTACATTCAGTGTTGAGACAGAAGATGCTTAGTGGCGAAGGTGCCGATGGAGCTGGTTCAAGTGCCTAAACCTACACACTTACGAAGCTTGATGATGGCTTTAGATAAGCCAGTAATTATAAAACAAAGTGTTTTTTTCTCCTGCACAAGATTCTCAAAATGAACCTGAATGTTTTAAAATGATGCCATTGACTAATAAATAGAAAACTGATCTACTAGTGTATTTTGAATGTGAATTTTAAAGCATATCGGTGGCCGTATGAAGAATAAAGTGATTGATGGGAAATTGGCCATGGAGCATGCAAAGCTAGAACAGGGTTCCAAGCTCAACACCAAGCACTTCTGGTCGCTTGATCTGCTGTTTTGGCTCTTCCGCGAACGCATCCGAGTCATTGGTAGGTCCGAGAATCGCGGATATCTGATCCACGATGTCCATCAGTTCCCAAAAGCCATGGTCATCGGGCCTATCGTCCATTGGTTTCTGAGTTGGGAAAAAGGACTCAAAACTGCCAACATGGACCTCGGATTTCTTCTGGACTTTTTCTCCCGACAGCAACCCGCTTCCTAATACCGTGTCCCAATTAGGATCGTATAAAGTTGCGCCCCAAGAAACAGTTGGCACCTTTACCCAACCAACTGACGTTCGGGTATAATGATCGAATCGAGCCAGCTCAAATACATATTTCGTTCTTCTAATCTGCAATCGAATCGACGCCTTTTCGGTGAAACTTTCCAGCGGTGCCCCAGAATTGAAAAGAACTTTCTGACGAGGTCTCAGGGTCATACCATGAACGCGAATTCGATTATCGAACCTGACTGTTTTGAGAAAGTCAACGAGATTAGGTTTAACCTCGGTCCCATTTAAAGGTTCAAAAAGCTCGATATCCCCTTGCCAGTCAGATCTGTGAGTAAATATGAGTATGCATAACATATTTTCAGGGATTGGGGATTCACTACCTCGAAAAGTCCACCATACTAACTTGCAAAGGCAAGCGACGGGTGTCTCCGGTGGTTTGTGAGTGGGCTTTAAACCATCGATGGCGACCTTGTTCAATTTCCAGAGCACGCTGCCTGAAGTCTACTTCCAAACGAAATTGCGACTCTGCAGGGCCAGTGAACTCAAAAGATGCTGCATAGGTCGGGATGGCCCGTTCCATATCCGAAAGTTTGCCCAGTTCATCCATGGGTGCAAACAGAGAGCTTGCACTCATACATCGAGAAAGCAAGTCATCACCACTGAGTTTCATTCTAGGAAAAATAGCTTTATTAGCGAGTGCCTTGTGTCCTGAAGAACACTACTTACCCTGGAACTAGCCTTCCTAGAACTCGTTCATGGCACATCATCTCACGGAATTCCTGGGGAGTGTATCCATCTGTGTGGTTAGTAGGTTTCCGATAACGGTCTAACACAAATGACCCAAAGTGCAGGCGCATTCGTAGATAACCAGCGAAAAAATGGGCTTGGGACAAGGCTTTGTGAAAGCTTTGAAGAATAATCTGGTCGTTTCTCTTCCGAACCACATGTGGCGCCTTAACATCTTGTGTGTCCAAGTCAATAAGAGGTTCTTGCGTTTCGGGAGGAAGTGGAAATGCAAGACGATTCTTTTTGACCAGTGTAACTTTGTTTTCAATGAGGCGTTTCCTTCCTGGCTCAACCAAGAACGCTTTGACTCGAACGTCGGATTTTGCAATGGCTGCCTTCCATTGTTCTCGGAGCTGAGCTGCAACTTGCTCCATATTGAGAGTTTCGTTTCCACACACAGAAATGTAGTCCTCGTGGTTGCTTTTCAGGAAGATATGCACTTTGAATGTCTTTCGAATCACATCTAGCTTTTCTAGCTGATTCCCTAGACTTTGCCGAGGAGATGGCCCACTCCTAGGCCAAATGAATAGCATCTACTCAGAAAGTTTAGTTACATTTTCCCCATAATCCAGCACGTATCTCGCAAGTTCCATGCTGTAACTCACTTCCTTCGGGTACGACTCCCTATCATCGGGCGCCTCTCGTAGCTGCACGACCACGTCTTTGATTGTCTTCTCGACATCTGTTCTCTCAACATCCTCCGTATACTCAGGATGAACCTTCGACCAGGAAGCACTTCCCTCGGGAAGTCTTGGGCCATAGTACTGTTCGATCAGCTTGAGTAGAATATCTCTGGCCTCCGCAACTTGCTTTGGTTCTCCCCAGATGAGAATGTGCTGTGAATAAGTCAATATTTAGCCTGTTGTAGGGACCATCCTAGAGTACTTACTCGATCACCAGCGTTTGCTTGCGAGATATATGCCCCCGTTGTCTGACTAATGAGCTCAAAAGTCCTTTCGCGACCTTCAGAGCGGGTGAAAGTCTTGGCTGTTCTGAGGAACTCATAATTACCCTTGAAGCTGCTACCACAATCCGTTAGCAATACCATTCTCAGCACAATTAAACAAGGCCTTCTCACCTTGGCTTGACTCGTAGACTCGGAAAGCCTGCAGGCAAACGTACAACCGCTATCCAAATGTCAATGAAGCTCTCTTGGTCTGGGCATCTCATTATACAAACCATCACAGTTGAGGCCTTGTCTCCACCGCTGTTTTGCTGGTGATTCCTGTAGCAACTCACTGGCTCCGAGATATGGTGGCTTCACCGGCTGAACATTCGCAATTTGTCTGAGACGGGACTGTGAAACTGGCTGTTGATCAGGCCGAGAAGGTTGCGTCAACTGAAGGGGCAAGTTAATTGATGGCGTAGAAATTTCCGAGTACCGATTTGTAACTGCAAATGGGCTTGTTGGTGTTATTAATCCTCGGTAGTCAGGTGGTCCTAGAGTTTTGGATGGCGTAACAAGAGAGCGATTTGACTTCTTCTCGGCCGCACTTTCACTCTGCATTGGTTTGCCATAACCAGGCAAATCCCAGTCTATTCATAATCAGCAAACCCTTCCAGAAATATTCATTGGTAGCGAGATGAGGGAATAAATTGGCGTACCCTTAGCTCCTTCTTTTTCCCATCTGTAGGTATGGTCAGGACAAGTCTCAATCCCCTCTGTCTCTCAGAGTCTGACTTACGACATGATGTGTCACGTGGGTTCTTCAATTCAACCGGGACAATGGGGTTAACTGTGTTCAGAGATGATGGAGTTGGCTGGAACAAGAGCAAAGGGGATGAAATGTGGTGTTTTAAGTTGACTAGAAGGGTTCAGAGGAGGTTAAGATCAATGGATGAAAAGCAAAATTGAAAGTGATGGGAGCAAAGAACTTGAAGGGAGAGAATCACATGCGCTGGTGATGAAATTGGCAAGAGAGAAAAGAGAGGTGAAAGTTGAAGGTGCTTTGGTACATAGTGAAGAGGGAAACACACAAGGGTTGGTCCAGCACAATAGACTAAATACCACATGAATAATATAATGAAGACGACCAGGGGACTGACATAGAGGGTTCTCCTGAAAGAGGAAAGTGATAAAAGGTGTGGATTCAACTATATCCAAGGTGCCGTCTTATAGTAAGGACGCATTTAGGACGATAAGACCAGAACAGAACGGCAGACCGTAACATGACAATACATAACCAGTAATCTCGGAAGACCAGTAACCTCGGAAGAGGAAGTACCTATCTACATATAGAACTCCACGGGTATCTATAGAAGTATCTATAGGAGTGGCTACAGCCTGATAAGTACCTACATGCACATGATGTGAGTACCGACAGGAGTATTTAGATGATACAAAGAGGGACCCCGGGGTACATAAAAGGACAGGCTCACTGCTTCAAGTTCACCTGGGCATCACCTTAAAATTTGCGTGTGGATAAGGAACAAGAATAGAGCTATTAGTTAACTGTAAACCTGAAGAGGTCAACTTGAGTGATGCTGGGCGGTCAAAAAAACCTCCAGTACTAGTCTATATTCTGTGGAAATCACGAGACTTACCCTTCATATAACCTTTCAGATCTAAGAGTATTGATGTTAAAAGATTCAATGCTCATACTTCTACCCAGTCTATTCCAAAATGTTCAAAAATGTTCAATCACTCTTGATCACTCTTATATTCACTAGAAGTATATTCCATGTAATTGATTGGCCAATATGCCATAGATAACGCTAAACCCGATTGGGCTCAAAGTGGACAACGCGTAGTTTGCATCTTGTTTATCTTGTTTGCATCGTTTACTTTACTTTACCTTTACCTTGCACGCGCTCCCGCAATTTCCTGATCTTAAGTTGGAGAACTTGTCTAAGCTCTACAATCAGCCTCGGTACATCAATCTCCCGATTTCTTCAAAATGGCGGTCGATTCAGGCTCCTCCAGCGATGCCGAACCCCAACCGAGCCGTCAAAAGGCCCGCCAGCGTGCCCAGCATTGGATGACCAAGGGCGGCTTGGTCCGTGAAGATTCGGATGATGAATTGGGAGAAGAAGATCATCCCTGGGACTGGATTTACGCCAATGAGGAAGAAAATCATGACGAACAGAAAGCAAGCCCCGAAAAGTCCAGTCGACGACGAACCTCCCGTGTTGCGAAAAAGAAACCAATCGGAGCTCGCATGGGTTCATTTGAATGTAGAATAGGAGATATTGTGTTGTTGAAATCACCTGAAGCTGGCAAAGATTGGGTTGGAATCATTGTGGAGTTTGTGGAAGAAGAGGATGATGATGCAGAAGGCGAGATCATCAAGTCAGCAAGCATTATGTGGTTTGCTTCCCCCGACGAGTTTTTGTCCACAAGGAACAAGCGAAGACAGGATGCATTACCGAACGAACAATACTTGACTGCGGACTTCAATACGAACCCCCTTTACTCCATTAGTGGCAAGGCCACAGTCATGTCGAAAGATGCTTTTTTTGCGAAATACCCCGACGGTGCTCCTCCCAAGGGAAATGCGGAATTGGCCGAATATAACAAGAGCATTGTCTGCCGCAGAGGTGTCAATCAAGTCCAGGGAAGATACACAGATGAATTCGTATGGGAGGATGTATACCGGGAAGACAACATCTACGAGCTTATCACAATGGTAAAGGAAGGGCTGAAAGCTGCTAGAAAGCGCAAGGCGGCGGACGCTGATGTGAGCAGAGTGCTTCCCAGGATCTATCATGCAATGGTACTAATAATTATTCATAGTTTGTGGAAACCAAAGAAGAGAGCGCGGTCCCGTCAACACCTCGCAAAAAACAGCGAGTAGCTTCTAATGCTACACCAAGTTCTCAGCGAAAGAAGGCGTTGACAACACCGACACATAAGAGGTAAGCGGGTTGATTGGAAGTGAACTTTCATACTGAAGAGAAATTAACCTGGCTCTGCTTCCTAGAATCGTTGTTAAAAAGCCTCTTGAGTTCACACCATTGGGTACTCGTGTTCTCTCCCAGGACCACTTTGCCTCTCCGTATCGCCAGGCCCGTACACTACTGCACGTTTCCACTGTCCCAGAATCACTTCCTTGTCGAAAGAACGAGTTCAATGAGGTCTACAACCACCTTAGTGCTGCGATTATGGAGGGCACAGGCGCCTGTATCTATATTTCAGGAACCCCCGGAACTGGAAAGACGGCTACAGTGAGAGAAGTAGTAGCTCAACTCAATGCTGCTGTGGAAGCAGAAGAGATGGATGATTTCATCTTCTGCGAAATCAACGGCATGAAAATCACCGACCCGCATCAAGCCTACTCCATGCTCTGGAAAGAATTAAAGGGAGATCGAGTATCTCCTTCCCATGCGCTTGACCTTCTTGAACAAGAATTCTCCCACCCTTCTCCCCGCCGTGTCTCTTGTGTTGTTCTCATGGACGAACTGGATCAATTGGTAACCAAGAACCAGTCCGTTATGTACAACTTTTTCAACTGGCCCGCTCTTCGCCATTCCCGACTTATTGTCCTTGCTGTGGCCAACACCATGGATCTTCCTGAAAGAACACTGAGCAACAAGATTTCCAGTCGTCTTGGACTTACCCGCATTACATTCCCAGGATACAAGCACACCGATCTGATGGAGATCATTGGCACACGATTAGCCAATGTACCCGGCAATATCGTGGATCCAGATGCAGTTCAATTCGCAAGTCGAAAAGTGGCTGCCGTCAGTGGTGATGCCCGCCGTGCTCTAGATATTTGCCGTCGCGCTGTTGAAATCGCCGAGCAAGAAGCAGAAGAAGCAGCTGCGGCAGACTTGATTATTCCAGAAGAAGATGAAGAAGCCCCTCCTCCAACGCCTAGCAAGACTCCTGCCCGTTGCAATAATCCAGCTGCTACTAGTGGTGTTGCGAATAATAATACTGCAACATTGAAGCCTAAGCCCGGCAAGGCAAAGGCTGGTCGTGTCACTATCTCAACAATTAAACAAGCCATTCAAGAGGCTACATCTACACCACTCCAGCAATCCCTTCGCTGTCTTCCTCTATCAGGCAAGCTTTTCTTAGCAGCCCTCCTAGCCCGCATCCACCGCACAGGTATCACCGAGTCGACCTTTGGTGATGTTCTCGACGAGGCACGCCGAATTGCCGATGCAGCCGTCGCTGTTGCTGGTGCTGCAGGCGCGGGTGTCAAGGATTTCTTACTTGGCGGCGGTTCTAGTGCACGAGTACGTGCCCTGGGCTTTGCAGCCATGGAGCTGATGAATTCTGGAGTTTTGGCTTTGGAACAGGGAGCCGGGTCGAAGAGTCTTCTCGGTGGCTCTACCATCCCTGCTCGCGGTGACCGAAGTAGCAAGATTCGGCTTAGAGTTGCTGCGGAGGATGTGAGATTAGCTTTTCGGGAAGATCTTGAAGCCAAGGGCTTTGGTCTTGGAATTGACCAGTAAGGGCCTTGAATGAATGGATTGCCTACAGTGACATGTCGGTGCTCAGGTGTTTTGATAAAGCTTTGTATTCTACCACATTTACCCAGTCATGCAGATGCATATGATACCCACATACATGGAAAACATGATACTCGATTCTAGTAGAATTAGGAAAACTTGGATTAAGATACATTGACGGTGTAAGACAGAAGAGAAGCAAATGCGGTGATATTTTGCATCGAGGTTTTAACCGTGATCTATGCCTCAGGCTATTCCAAGGTTGGTATGGACTTTTGCAGGCTTTTATTGGATCTGGATTTTAGGTACTGATATCTATTTAACGCCATTGAAAAAAAAATTATGCAGAACTTGAAATAGTATTGAAGTCGTTTGAAATATGAGCTTTTGCCCATCAGATATAGATTCTCTGAAACCCAGAATTCCCAAACAAATACATAGCCGTTAACTCCACACAGTGCCATAAACAGACAATTGAAAAAAAGGAATCACATAAGGGTATTAATGACACGAAACTGCATAGGTCTAATACCGCTGCCTACCCAGAGTAGGTGCCCAAGTAACAGGGTGAGTCTCAGGCGTAGCATTTTCATCCTCCTTCCAGATCTTAATTGTCTTATCGGCCTCACCAGTAATGAGACGGAGACCTGTGCGGTCAAAGGTCGAGGTCATAACACCAGCCTCGGCCTCCAGTGAACCAGGCTGAGCAGTGGTTTCCATAGACTGGAATTGGTGACCAGTCTTCCAATCCCAGAAGGACATGGAACCATTGTCACCACCCGAAAACATGACGTTCTCGTTGTTGACAGAAAGAGTATTGATAACGGCATTCTGTCCTTCGAAGTTCTGCATAAAGTCACCTTCGGGGCACTTCCACTGCTTGATGCTTCCTGTGCTAGCGCTAGCGAAAGTGAATTCGGACGGATGAATAGCGAGTCCTCGGATACCCTTTTTGTGATGTGTCAAGACGCCCATGGATTTACCAGCAGCCAAATCCCAAAGTCGTACTGTAGCATCGAGGGAACCAGAGATAATCTGCGGGTCGGCCTCTTGACACTTCACGTCTGCGACAGTGCCCTTGTGGCCAGCCAAAACGTGGACATTGCTTCTCGTACGCATATCCCACACACGACACACACCGTCACGACCACCAGTAACTAGTAAGTCAAGACGAGGATGCAAGTCCAGAGTGTACACACCACTCAGATGACCATGGTAGTGACGAATAACCTTATTGGTCTCCAAGTCCCAGCATTTGACCATCTTATCTTCACCACACGAGAAAAGGTATGGATGACGCGGGGACACCGCCAATCCACGAACAGTGGAGATGTGACCCGTTAGCGTGAGACGCAGAGAACCTGTCGCCATATCCCAAATTTTGATTGTACGATCACCAGCTCCACTAGCAAACCACTGGTTGTTGGGCTCCACGGCAAGAGCACGCACCCATCCCAAGTGACCTGAGATCACACGCATCAACTTCCACGGCGCGTGCCAATCCGGCTTCTGTTGCTTCGTCGCTGAAGGTCTCTGGATCAGACTCTTTGGCTGCTCTCCAGCGCCTGCAGCACCTGCTCCAGCACCCAGAGCCGCTGGCCTCTTCACAAGTGACATCGATGCTCCGCTTCCATCACCGGATGCTTGTTGCGTCTGTGGTTGGATCTTAGGTCGTTTCGTGCGTCCCGCGGCGGCCTTGGCCTGTAGCTCTGCGAGTGCGCGGGGCAATTCTTGCACGTCACCATATTCTGTTTTGCGTCGGTAGGAGATACCGATTGACTCATCCGCTAATGTCGTAGGGTTGACCATCAGGTAATCTGTACCAAAGAGATCGGCGGTTCGCTTTGCTGAGGCTCGGACGGCCTCGTCGGCCGAGTGGGACGCGAGGGAAGACATTTTTCTTTGGTATGAGGACTTGGAAGGAGTAATTCAGAGAGATGGTAGAATGATTGGGTCGGTGGGAGGTGGGATAAATTCCTCGTGCGATGGCTTCGGCGCCTCTCACAAGGTGTGCGCGCAAGCAAAACCCTGCGTTCGGGTGGCGATTTGAGATAAGTTATGCGTGTAGCTTAGCGCATTGAATGTATGGTATTGATTTGACTACGCGGGTAGAGACAGAACCCGTCGTGCGTAGAAATTGTCGAAGAGGCTTGCGGTGCAGAAGTTGAAGCTCATGAATCTGCGGGCGGAAAGAGTTCCTTCTTGCCTGAGGTGTCTATAAGGTGTCAATGAGGTATTAGACTTATCGCAGCTCTTATCGCTTACATGCATCTTTCCACCTCACTAATCATGGATTCCAACCAGAATGCAAAGTTCCCTCTTCATGAGGCTGCCCGAGAGGGAAGGAGTGAGTGTGGACGTATAAATCACTGTTTTGCTTCATGCTTATCCTTTCAAACAGCGGAAATTGCCGAATCACTGCTGAATGTACGTGATACCTTATATCAAGGTGCCCCACAAAACACATATCTACATTACGATCGATGGATCGATGCACCAAATTACAACGGCTACTCCGTACAAGCTAGGAATAGAGCTAATCATGATAAAAGGCAACCCCGAAATCCGCATCTGTCAAGGATGATGATGAGCGTCTGCCCATTCACTGGGCTGTAGCTTATAATCGACTACCTATCGTCGAACTCTTGGTAGCAGTCAAGAATTTCGATCCGGATGTTGAGGTAACCACTGAATTCCTAGTCCATGAAACTCTGTCTCTCTTGGTTTTACTGACATATTATACTCAGGATGGCTCTGGATGGACTCCACTGATGATTGCCGCCAGCCTGAAAGATGCCGCTGGCGATCCAATCATTGACTTGCTGCTTCGGAAAGGGGCTGACGTGACTGTAAAGAGCAGTTCTGGACAGGTAAGCACATATATTTGTACCTAATCTTCGGCAAAATATAGTTATTAATCTCTGGTAGAATGCTCTTCACTTTGCCGCCTCCAAGGCTAATATCTCCACCGTCCGAACTCTCATTGCCAACAAGTGCAGCGCCCGAGTTAAGGACATCAGAGGCCAACTACCGCTGCATCGTGCTGCGGCTACTGGCTCCGTTCCCATCCTGAAAACTCTTCTGGAAGAGGGAAAGAGCCCTGTCAATGCAACGGATAATGATGGATTTACTGCATTACACCATGCCGTCTCTGAGGGGCATGGCGATGCTGCGATCCTGCTTCTGAAGTCTGGAGCGCAGGCTGATAAGAGGGATATCGATGGGAAACTTGCTATTGATCTTGTCCCAGATGATAAGGTCAGTGTTGTGGAATACGTGGAAGCGGCTACATAACCTTCAAGCTTTGGTTAACCGCTAACTTGCTTCTAGGTTAGAAAATACATTCTGCAAACTGCAGAGCGAGAGGGAATTGAACTTCCATGAAGAAATGTACATTACGTTGATGTTATTCCCCACTTCTAAAAACAATGATCTTCTTCACGCGATTGATCCTCGGCGGATTCTCCTGCTTCCCCGCACTTCCCACCTCACAGTCCCGGTAGTTAATTGATCCTCCGAGGTCGGATATACTACGAAATAAATTTCTCCGGAACACTTCAAGTTTCAATTCATATTTGTCCACGCAGTCTTTTCACGATTACCTATAGTCACTTGTCAAATATATCCTGATCCTTTTTGGAAACTGATTTTTGAAGATCACCACAACCCATGAACTAATCGCGTTTTGAAATTTGAACGTTGAAGAACACTTGGCACTTGGCCTGGCCATTAGTGTCAATATGATCAGCCTCGGCAGAGTATCGGCATACTACTCCCTCCACTCATATCAGCACTTTAGTATACCCGGCTATGAGCTAGCCGATGAACCTGGGAAGAAGAGGGGGGACGCTTCACTGGCATCTTCCGAGTCTCTAATATTATTTGGTTAGTCCCGACGAGATTGAGTGACTTCGACTCGGAACAGATTCCACATCCCATGCAGCTATTCATCCGGTTACCTTGAAATATTCCATCTGCTAGTGCTCAATTACCTTTTCAAGTTTTCTTTCTACCTCGGGCTTGCCTAACATGACACTGTACAGTACAAGTCTCCCTGTTGGGAATAAAGACTTCACTAAGGCAACAGTAGTTATAATTGGAGCGGGAATCTCTGGTCGGTTCATTTTCAGGATCTTCAATATCAATGTTATCCGCTAACGATGCATGAAGGGATGTGCATGGCTATTGACTTGATCAAGAAAAATCAGTGTCGGAATTTCGTTATCCTTGAGAAGAGTAGCAGCGTAGGAGGAACGTGGAACGACAACAAATATCCTGGTTGCTGCTGTGACGGTGAGTATTGCCCCGTTAGATACTAGCAAGACGTGGTAGCTCAACCTTGGAAGATCTACTATGCTAACCGATCATAGTTTGGAGTATTTTGTATAGCTACTCCTTCGAGCAAAATCCCAACTGGTCAAGAGAATACTCCGGGCAAGAAGAAATATATGTGAGAACATCCATGGACTACACTGAAACAGCTACATAGAATGCATACTCACACGTGATTCTTTATTCAAAAGGCCTACCTTGTCGGTGTCGCTGAGAAATACGGCCTATACAAACACATTCGCTTCAACTCCAGCGTCGAGGAGGCGAGGTGGGATGATATCGAGTCAAAATGGAAGACCACAATCAAAGTGTCAGCTGGAAAAGATAGCGAGTTCGTGAACTCATATATTATCAACTCTGATTTCTTGATATCCGCTGTTGGTCAACTCAATGCACCGCAAGAGCCAAATATCCCTGGCCTGAAGGACTTCCAAGGAAAGATGATGCATTCTGCTCGATGGGATTGGAGCTATGCTACGAAGGACAAAAGAATAGCGATTATCGGCAACGGTACATCTGATCTCACTTTTAACTCTTTTACCTTCGGCATCTTGCACTATCACTAACAATCTGTTTCCTTAAGGTGCGACTGCCGCTCAAATCATACCCGAAATTGCGCCGACAGCATCCCATCTTACCGTTTTCCAACGCACTCCTAACTGGGTGATTCCTCGACGTGATGCACCGGTCTCTACCATGCAGCAAACCTTGCTGAAATATATACCTCCTCTCCGCTGGCGTAAGCGGGCCATGCAGATGGACTTTCGTGAGAGTTTCCATGAAGCCATTTTCGATGGTGACTCGCAATTCGCACAGACGATTCGTGGCTGGAGTAATGACATTCTCAAAGCCCAGCTGGCAGATAGGCCTGAGCTTTGGGATGTCTTAACTCCCAAATACTCCCCTGGATGCAAGAGAATCATCATTAGTGATGACTATTATCCAACTATCGGACGCGATAATGTGACTCTGGAGACTCGTGGTATCACCAGTATCACAAACAAAGGAATCAAGATTGAGGATGAGTCTGAAGAGGAATACGACCTGATTATCCTTGCGACCGGGTTCAAGACTGTTGAGTTTATGTATCCCATCCAAGTATATGGGCACAACGGAAGACCGCTTGCCGATATCTGGAAAGACGGAGCAATGGCCTATAAAGGTGTGACTATCGAGGACTTGCCTAATTTTGGCATGTTCTATGGTCCAAACACGAACCTCGGTACGTCAAATGGATGATTGTTTACTACTAGTAATTCATTGCATCACTTATACTGACAGAGTACAGGCCACAGTTCAATCATTCTCATGATTGAGGCTCAATCCAAGTATTTGAATACCATGGTCGGGGAAGTGATCCGAACTCGACAGCAAGGCCAGAGTCTATCCCTCAGACCTACCCCAGCAAAAATCAAGGAATTCAATGATAAAATTCAGAAGCTATTACGGGAAAGTAGCTTTGCAGACCCGAACTGCAACAGCTGGTACAAGACGTCTGACGGAATCATCACCAACAATTGGTCTGGCACAGTCATTAACTACCAAGTTGAGATGTCGTCTATAGAATGGCAGGATTACATCTCCGAAGGATCAGGAAGGGATTTGGTGGTCGACAAGCAGCCGACGTATTTAGGAAGAGTTAGAGAGGAAACATTCTTCTCCAACACAGCGTTGGTTGCTGGAAGTCTGAGTGCATTGGCTATTGCAGGAGGCTATCTTGCAACTCGATCAAGGCTGTTAAGATCCCGGGTCCGTTGATATTTACCTTTAAATTGTCATTCCGAGTGTATTTGGCACGATGCAAACTGTTTTTGTCTACGCCATCCATATGCTTTAGTCATAAGTAGTACTGGTAACTTGAAGCCTGGAAATAACCAATGAACTAGTATTTGATCTCTTGTAAACAGATTAGTATGTGAGCTCAATCCCGATGCTGTGAATATCACATTCAAATGTTGGAATTCACTCCAGGGCTTCACCTTTCCCTGCTTCCGCTTCCATGGGAATATTCACCCGTCAAGTAGGTATTAAAGCTCCATTCGCTCTTGCGCCGATAATATCCTCTCTTTTTCAAAACTTTGAAGCTCAAGCTTGTCAATATGAGCACGGTAAGGTTTATCATCTTGAATCTTAACCGGCCGACTCCTACCTATTACATGACCAGAAGAATTCAAAGCCTCAGCCACAATAAAATATTTCTGAAATTCCTCCAAAGACTGATCGAGATTTGATTGAAACCGAGTTTCAAAGCCTTTCCGCGACTGTGTGCCGAGAACATTGACCTTCTGGCTTGAACGACTGTCCTGCAGATAAAATCGCCAGGCCTTCGTCTCCGTATCGCCATTCCATGATACCCACATCATTAAGCCCTGCGATTGCAATTTAAAAGCTAGAACTGCGGGCTCTTCGCTAGAAATTCCAGTCCAATTAGATCTAAATCCACGATAACTGTGAACATACTCAGATGGATATGAATCAAGATAAGCATGGAAGAGAATAGTTCCATTCTCAGAGTATTCTGTGATTGCACCTGCCGAGCCCCAGTTCACAAATGCGTTCCCATTTGGGAGGAACTGAAGACTGCCCTGTGCCACAGCAATCAGGTCATCTGGAGCAGGATAGGTCCAAATTTCTGAGATTGACTTCGTTGTATGATTCAGCTCAATGTAGCGAATCCTGGAAACCCGCCCAGTAAAATGATGTGGTTGCGCATCGCTATTCGCATTGTCAAGAAATGATATACGTTCAATTGAGCCGTCTGGTGAGCGATATCGGAAACGGGCGTGGTGTTGGTATGCAAACTCCAAGTTAGAGGGGATTTGGAAATCTGATCCTTGTCGTCCTCCCAGCTGCCAGATAATATTCCCATTAGTACCGCTGATTTTGAAGATAGCGCTACAGTGACGACTGGATATAAGATAATTTCCTTGATCATCTTTATCAATGCTGTTGAGCGCGAAATAGTGGTAGGCGTCCAGCGCACTGCGGCCCGACCAGGGGCCAGTGGGTTTCAAGAAAAGATCGCTATCTGAGACAATATCAGCTTGGTTTGAGATATCTAAGTGAAGGTAAGACTGACAGTTGGGGCTGATATGATCTAGACTATACCATTCAAATATCAATTCGCCAGTTTCTAGGTCAAGCTCTATGATGATCAGTTTCTATACTTCAACACTGCACTCAGCGACAGGCATCATACCTTGAAACCCACTTGAGACAACCCATTTTTGTTCTTGGTCACCACCAATTAAGCTCAGATCCGTTGGTACTGGAGTAGATACCTCTATCAAAACCGATCTACCACCAAGTACGTTGACCTCATGACCCGAAGCCAGAAGATGTGATGCCGGACGAACAATCCCAACCGTTTGATACTTATTATTGAGAATAGCATGTTGCCCATTCATCTTCAGCCGGGAACCATCCATGGATCCTTGAAATGCACGCAAAGCCGGTTCGCCGTTGAGTTCCATGACCCCAAAGTTAATGACATAACCGCAGTAATACCCCATACCAGACCAAACCAACTCTCCATCGTCGCGATATATGTATGGTGCAGCTTGCATGGCCAGATTCTCGTACAACTCAGCGGCCTTTTTCGGTGCAACGAAAATGAAACCAGATTCTGTTTCAGAGAGAGCTGGGACTGTAATGTTGAGCTTCGGCGGGGAAAGATCGGGGCGTGAAAGGTACTGGCAGTCTGTGAAAGCAGACTCTAGGATAATTCCGAGCCAAGCAAACCCTTTGAGTAACATATTGACAGGTTGCAGGCAGTCGATGTTCCTGCTTTTGTCCCAGTGAGTATCTCCAGGTTTTTCCAAGGTTGAAGAGTGTCGGGAGAGAAGACCAGGGGATCTCCGAGTGAGGGGATGATGCTGTGAAAAAACAGGAAATACGAATATTTGCCATCGAAAACGGACGATGAGGTGACACAGACAGCTGGATGTTTGTCAATTCATGAGTGTCTACATATTTTCAAGTACTTCCAATGGCCAATCACGCTGCAGTATGACTGCATCATATCTACCCCGCTAGTAATGGGCGTCAGTCTCACTTCAAAAACTGAACACTCAACTTGAAGTCAGCACTCGACAATATCCATTTATTATTCCCCGTTTTGAATATGGAAAGCCAGCCTGAAAAGGCTCAAAATGACCAAGTTGCTCGTATCATATGGGCAGCCCATATCCTCTCTTTTCTTACCACTGCTAATCAAGGGCATAAAAGCGATGCTGAGCTCCAGAAAGCCAACGCGACAGAAGAAGAGTTTGAAGACTTCGAACTGGAAACTTCAACAAAAAATGCTACTCTTCTCACGACTGGCAATGAATCCGTTCAGAAGAAGTTCCTTGACTGTATAGCACAGTTATTCTCCCCTCAGAAAGGATGGCACGGCGTAACACCGGCGGCGCTTCGGGAGTATGAAGACTCCGTCGAGATAGATATTGCGCGAAACGATACTTGGAAAAAAGGAACGCAATGGGATCAGGAGGCTCTGAATCTTTGCAAACGCTTGGAGGGGTATCTCAGTGCCACTTCTGGTAAAAATTCAATTTTCCTTAAAAGGAAGTCATGGGCTTTTAATTTTCCCTAATTTCAGCACTGACGCTCACACAGAGAAAGATGAACCATTCAAACAACTCAAGAATGATTGTGAAGAGGATGCTATCACGTACAGTCGTGAGCGAGTCGATCACTGGATTGAAACCCTTCGGTCAACCTTGAAGAATAATATGCATGACCTTCGATATCAGCACTCCGTAGAAGTCTGCCTGCGATCAGACACTGGAACAAAATGGTTGATCTTCTTCGGCAGCGCGACCAAGATGGTGTCAATAAAGCAAGTTAAGGTCTTCAATAGTGTACCAAGCCTACGGACTTGTCATTTTAGATCAAACGCCCCAAATAGAACAACTCATGCAGGACAACTTCACCCCGTCGATGAGCTTCAAGCTTTCAAACTGTCTCCGCTTCATTGCCAGGCCAATAACAGACTGTCAACTTCTACTATCAATAGCAGAGCGGGAGCAACAGTTTCAACAAATTCAGATCTCTTTAATCACTCCCGAGGAAATGTCCAAGCTGGACAGTACTTACTGTGTCGGACTGGAAGATGCTTTTTCTCAACTGGGGCTGGATAAACCATCAACTTTCAGAAAATGCGATATAGCAAAGTCCTTTGGTAGGAAATTTGAGAAGGTCTGCAAAAAAGCATCGTGGGGGCCCTTCTCGTTGCACGCCGAGATGCAGCTCATATCACACTATGACGTGAACAAAGCATCTCCTCCAACATTTCATTACTTTGGATGCAGCAAGAAGACCTGCCTTCTATGCGAGACATTTCTCAGTTCTCTTCCTGTGCCCATTAATACTCGGGGAAGACACGGTATCTGTTATCCTACCTGGGGCCTGCCATCCTTAAAGTCAGCTAAAGCACTGATTGCAGCAAAATCCATGGAAGAAAGTCTAGTATCACGCATCAAATCCATTCTTCAGGTTTTGGAACGCGGTGACAAGCCCAGATTTCTTAATCAGATCGCCCAGTCCGGCATTGTTTCAGATTTCTCTGAAACGACTCTAGATGGCTGGAAACAACGAGAGCAAATCCTTACCACACTGAAAGCACAATCCGAAGCTCGAAGACGCGATTTCTCGCTCACGTAAGTCTATCACGGAATTTTCAATCATTTTTCGCATTGCACTGACTATCTTTATTTTTGTAGTCACCAATCGACACATCCCCGGGAGAGTATGGATATTCGTGCTCCTACCTCGATTAGAGGAGTAAAGATATGCTGTCAAGGAGAACCGGGACTTCATGGAACAGACTGGCTCATTTCTGTTGATTTTGACAGATCTTCTCTCAGACCAGGAGAAATATCACCTATTTCGGAGCGCCTTGGAATGCCAATCAGGCTCTGGAAAGGTCCAGATCATGAATTCTTTGCGAATCCGCCTGGGTGGGAAAATAACTGTTATGCCGATAGTAATGCGAATGCCGCTGCTTTGATGATGGAAATGGATCTTCGATCATCGAACTGGGGCTGGGCGCCTTTTTATTGGACCAGCGAAATTGACAACGTCTACGCTGTTCGTGAGGACGGGTTTGATCTTGATATCGGTGTTGTCGAAATGATGTGTTACTTTGCTAGAAGTGAGATCATGGAGATTATGCTGGAGAATGCCGTTTGCTCTCCAGATTTACAAGACAAGCAGAAAGTCTTAGATTACATTACGTGGGAGAATATGTTCCGCGACTGGAAGATGTTCGATAAGAAAGCAATGGATGGATATTGGAAGAATGATGAATGCTCAAACTAACTCGCCTCATAAACTTATGCCAGTGATCAGCTCTCCTTTCCTAAAATTTCCCAGAATTGCCTCGCTTCATAACTAAATAATCCAGGCCCTTGAGATATTTTTTCCATAGGCCACCTGCACCAAGTGCTTTGAGTCGCTTGAATCTGGAATATAAACGAACTGGCTCATCCTGTGCTTCTGTCTCAACCCTTTCCTGGGAATCAGGTCCCCAAATCTTCCACAGACTGAGATCAACTTCTTTTTGCCACGGCTCAAGCCCATATGCAAATCGAATCCAAGCGGTTTGGAAATCTGTGGCCATGGCACGCTCTTCCTCGTTGAACTCCTTATCCAGATTTTGGAATAGGTACAGAACTTCATAGCCATGATACGCCATTCCTTCAAGGGCATTATGTAGACGGGACCGCTGATCGAAATGATACTTGAAAAGTGCATCCTGGCTTCGGAGTCGCTTATTCACAATTGAGGTCTGGTAGTTTTCCATCTTGAAGACAGCATCAGCAGCCATGCCACATACTTTGTTCAAGAGCTCTTTAGGGGCGAGATCGGAAGTGATGCCATATTCCCCGAGGACAGCGTCAACAAACTTTTCATCCTGCACTTGTCCAATAAGAGTGTTGCGAATGGTATGAAACTTGTCTTTCATGAGATTCATCACAAAGATGACACCTTCATCATGAACGTCTCCAATAATGAGTGACTTTACCCACTTGGGCGCCTCCGTCAATTCTTGTGGATCATGCGCATAAAACCATCCATCCAAGCATGGATTCCCCGTACCAGCCGGCACACCTTGAATGATATGATCCGCATCCGCAAGAGCCTGTTGATCAACCTTACGAAGCTGATCCAGCGCATCAAAAGCATTCGGGTCAATAGAAAAGTAGCGACAGGTGTTGCGGAACAAAGCCTCATGTTCATCTAGCGGCATTGCACGTAATGTTGTCCCAATTCCAGACATACAAACCGCGCGATGAAACTTCATCGGATAATTCGATGCCATATGATGTCCAATAGAGACGCCTCCAGCAGATTGACCAACTACCGTGACATTCTCGGGATCTCCGCCGAAATTGACAATGTATCGCTGTACCCAGTCCAGGGCGACTTTCTGGTCTGTAAACCCGAAGTTACCATTGCCGGTGAAACCATCGTGTTTGAGCTCTTCTGCGATTTTCGATCCAGCTAGAAATCCACCCAGACCTAGTCTGTAGTTGATGCTCACGATGACGATAGGGAGGCCAATTGCCTTGCTGCGAGAGGCGAGATTGACGGTGTCGTAGATTCCATAGTTTGCGCTTCCGAAGAGCAAAGACCCGCCGTGAATCCAGACGAATACGGGAAGCTTCTGATTTGGCTTTCCTGGGTTGTAAATGGTAGCAATGTTTAGGACGAGAGCTGTCTTTTCATCGCTGATTGGAGTGCGTGTGAAAGTAGGGTTTTCTGGGACGGGCATGAATGGGTTCATTGGATTGGAGTCGCTCCCTGAGACCTGTGGGCGAGGACAGTTATTTCTATGGGACAGTCAGTCATCATTCCCAATTGTTCTGATAACCTTGAAATTAGATGAGTATAAGAACATACCCAAGCTGAGTTCCATCGTGATATTTGTTCGGCCAGGATGTCTTGAGCAGGGATCGGGTCCAGCGTTTGGGCAGATCAGCATATTGAATTCCGCAAAACTGCTCTACACCATCCGAATAGTGCCAGCCATCGATCTTTCCGAGGTCCTTGACGTTCAGAGAGCACTTCTTCTGAGGAGTCTGGAATGACATCTTGCGTAACAGATAAGACGGAAGTGATTGAGAGTAGTAAAAGCTTGAAATCAAATTCAGACGGGAACAGGTTGAGATATAGTCCAAGTTGTGAGGAGTATATGCTTTCGCTGTCAAGTTCAGTTAGTTGACTGAATGACTTCAGATATCTGCCGTATATGGTCAGTTTAAAAGCTTTGACTCACCACCCAGGTAGAAAACCGGAAGACCATGACCCACTGGACAAAGTATAGCCCGGGAAAGGGCCAGTGACTTTGTCCAGTTCATCTGATGGTATCCGGGTGGTAACATGAACACCCGAGTCCGCGATGTAACTACGGAAAATAATAATGTTCACTCCGCGCACAGGTGTACAGGAGATCATTCCTTTACTCTATGAGAAATACTATTCAATTATCAGAACTGATGGTGTGGTTTAATGCATTCACCATCTTGCGGGGCGCAGTGCGCAGGTTTACTAGTTCAATGAAAACGCGGCCTGGAGCGTGGCCTAGAGCATTGAAGGCCATGAGAACGTTTTAACAGTCACTAATATGATCAATATCCTCTAAATGACATAATAGGAATCTGAGTGATATCTTCGGCGAATGTCTACCTACTCACATGATTATATCATTTAACCGTAGATGATGAAGAACACGCAGCATGTCGAACTGCCGGTCTGACCAACTTGAACGTTTGAACTATTAGTCCTAGCTTGAGCTATGCCTCACTTAGCCCCTTTTATATTTCACTGAGCGAGAGCAAAGTAAATTGAATGTGGTAGTATGGACTATATGTTGAATATCAAATTTGGATTCGAATTGGTAGTCACACTTGAAACTTGAACCCATTTACCCGACTTCCTTATCTATATTTCCTCTCCTCCAAATACGCCCAAGTTTGTTGAGAGACACAAAGCCAATCAATGTCGCATTCGTGGATACCCGATTCAATTTCTACTAGTACGAGATGGACACGGGTGTTCATTGATTGAACAACTTCAAGTTGAAGACTCCCGATGCGTATACTAGACATACTAGGATCAACACCTGCCAGTGGGCACTGGCAGGATCCATGGATACATATATATACTTAGGTAGTCCATCTGACAGACTACGAAATGATGGTTTATACTGCACATGTGAACATTGAAAGCCTCTTAAAGTTTCAACGTGATATTCAATATCTCTATTTGACTATTATGAAAACGCCTTGGCTTGAAATGCGGTAAAGAATGCATAGAATGAAACCTTGGAAGCAATGACGTGTCCCACCTGGGCAGTGACCTCGCTTTGAATAGAATAATGCTGATGACTGCTAAAAAAATGTATGAATGACCCCAGGACACCTTCCAAATGCTGTTTTACTCCGATAGGCTGACAAACTAAAACGTATCCATTTCGTCATCATCATCCCAGCCCAGCTGCTCGTAGATAGACTTGGATTGTGACTTGTCCGGTGTCACAGGAATAACTCCAGCAGCTTTGACAGGGGTACCCATCACGGCTGGCGGAGATGGTGCACGAGGTTGGCTGACCACCATTGCAGGCATAGAGGGAGATGCAGGGATAAAGCGAGGAGCAGCCATGGACTCAGGTCCACGCTGCTTGGGCGGTGTTTCCATAACTGCTGAAGAGCGTGCACCTTCAAAGGGGTTTCTGAGCGGTCGTGAGAATTCAGGGGTAGATGTGACGATGTCCTTACGCCGTGATGAAGTTGGGGTTGTGGGTGCCATTGACTGGTTAGTCGAGGCTATAGTTGCGTTGCGAGATTCAGGAAGTTGAGGCACGCGGAAGAGATCTGCCGATTTGCCTGTAGATGACAGTCCACGGGATAACCCATTGTCGCCTGCATCTGGGCCAAATAAGAGTCTGTTTACTGGGCGAGAGGGCGTCTCTTGGATAGACCCGAGTTCTGTCGGAGCTTGTCGTCGTGCACTGTCGTTTCCATCAGTCCGACGGGACTTGAATGGATTTGAATCGGGACCTGAAAACGACGTTGCCCTTCTACTCGAAGACGGAATCATCACTGGAGATTCTGCTAGGGAGTGGTTTTCCATTTCTCCAGCAAATGATTTGGAAGGCTTCAGACTTCGTGGCAATGGCGGAAGCCCGACAACTTCCCTCCTGCGGTTCCCACGAGGCGTTGCCATGACCTGGACACCTTGACCATTGGGATTACGGACTGGATTTTTGGATTTTCGTGAGCTACCTCCACCAGTAGGGACTCGTTTGGTGGCATCATTGGCAATATCCTGCGCAACCAATTCTCGGTTTGGCTTGCGTAGAGCAAGAATAGCTGCATCAAGTTCTTTCTTTTGATCAGCCAGCATCTGAACTTTGCGCAATTTAGTCTCATGTTGTCGTGCAACAGCATTGAGATCAACTTCGCGGTTCTCAACACGCTTAACCTGGATACCACCACGCACATTGCCAGAGAGCAGCGTAGGCAACAGTGGTTCCATAGACTCACGCCGGATTTCTTGTTTGCTTGGTGCAGTGTTGGACCTGCTTAGAGACGGGTGTCTAATTTGAGATGCCGCTCTTTCATCGGTCAGCACACGTTGCAATGATCGGCGAGGCTTTTGTGCTGGGGCTTGTCGTTTAATCTCGGTTCCTGGCTCAGGTCGTTCTCTTTTGTTTGATTTCTTGCTCACTGGCGAGATGCCTCCAGAGACTCCAAACTTGCGGGTAATGAGTTTGCATTTGTCTGGCAGACGGGCCACATAGAACGGGATGATGACCTCGGTGCAAAAGTCGCGCACTGTGTCGCTTTCAACTTTTTTTCCCGGGCATTGCACCATCATTGAAGGCTGAAGCCTTGGCTGTATCAGCGGCGGTGGTTTCCTCCAAGCTCACAGCATGCCAGATACACATTCGATCCAAATGCAGTTCAAGGAGCACACTCAGATCTTGAGGCTTCTTAGCTCTAGGCTTCTTAGTTACATCCTTGTCTTCTCCAGCCACCTGATCAGAGGCAGCGTCCTTTTTCTCTTCAGTGGGAGTTGATTCCAAGGCAATCACTTCCAAAATCAAAAGGATCTGCAGCTGTGTCTCGCGTAATCGAAGGTCAGAGATGTACTTCCTAGCCTCTGATTCTCGAGTGTGCTCTTGTGCTGAAGTCTCGGACATGTTCCTGTCCTTCCACCACTTGTTGATGAAGCCATCCTCTCCAGGATACAAGCCATTTTTGCCAAGTTTCTTCTTTTTGCTCTTCCGTTTCTTAGTACGAGGCGCATCCTCTCCATCAGATACAGCAAGTATGGCATCTCGAACAGCCGCGGGCAGAGCTTCGCGGTATTTCAGATCCATTTTCTTGGCAGCCAAAATAGCCTCTCGATAGAACTCGATCAAATTGGCAGGTGTTTCTGAAATTTCACAACCAGCTGATTGGAATGCCGTACGGCAACGAGTCAATGGACCCTTAGCAAAGTAGGCTAGAGACGTCTGGGAATATCATTAGACACCAATTGCTCAACCAAACGAAGACATTTCTCATTTTTCTCACCTTTGAAATGTAGAGCGCTTGCAGATAATGATCACGCATGGCATCCAATAGCTCTTCTGGTGACTGCTTAACATCGAGCCCATTGGAATCCGCACCTGCAGCCACATCTAGATCCATAGCATCCACGGGTCCCTGAGACTCCGGTGCAAAAGAGGTCTCCAAATCGAAGCCACTCCCCTTGAAGCTAGGTGCAACAGAGGCACCTCGATATTCCAAAACATCAACGAACGAGGGCGCAACACTCCCAACATCCACATCGGCCTCTTCAAAAACAACAGCCACCTGCAATCCCGCAAACTCATCTCCAAGACCAAGATCCGAAGCAGGCTCCTCAATTTGTGCTGCCTGCCACCAATTGAAAGAATCCAAAGCTGGAAGAACCTTCTCGTCAATCTCGACATCCATTCGTGAGGTCCCTTGCCATCCCTTCACAGCAACCACAATATCACCCTCCTGTACCCACCGGGCAAGTCTAGTGAGCGAGTAAATGCCTCGCTTCACGCGCTCAACCACATACGAAGATCCATCAGCAACGAGTCGCACGGCGAGAACGGTTGGTTCGACTCGGGTGCATAGATCGGTTTCAAGGGCGGGGATATCAGCGACGAAGAGAGCACCGGAATGCGCATCTGAATGCGACCATGACGCGTCTTCTATCCAGGAGAGAGGTAATCTGGAGCGTGGGAGAGCAGTAATGGGTTCGAAGACGAGTGGTTCATCTGATAATGAAGCGGCATGGGCCTGGATGATAGATCCTATTAACAAGTGCTTCTAGGGAGTCTATCTATGTGAAGGAGGGGTTGAAGAATGAAAGTGTATTATGCAAGACATATGAACGCACTCTGATCACTATTGATGTCGTAGATAGCTGTCCAGCAGCGGGGTCGTGTCCGAATTTGCGCTTCTTAGAGGGTGGCTCGACCTCCGGGAGCTTGTTCAGCGCGGATGCATTGAGAGGATCTAGGATGGTTGGAATCACACGCGCCGTCATAGTCGCATTTAGTGGAAGGTGGTCATTATGCGAAAGAATGCAATTAAGAAAAAGGATATGCAAATAAGTGTGAAAAGAGATACGCTGATGCAGTGGTTCATTGATATGGAGGGTTTAAAGTGGGAGAATCACGAACTCGAAATCCTTGGCATGATTTTTGGCGTCACGCGTCGTGGTCAAAGCACTTTAAGATTGTCCCCGCCAAAAATCAGACAAAGACCCAAATGCTCATGCCCTTTTAACCAGATTTACGATTAAAAGCTATTTTGAATTTATTACTATAAACCACAGAAGTTGGAATTATTTGAAATCGTTGAAGTGTTATTGTCATTATTCTAGTGCTAATGTTTAGATTAGCTGCCCGAGCCGCACCGAGGGCTCCAGGGTATAAAAGGCACCAACTCCTATAGTCCCCCTGGAGAGCAAGTAATGGCAATGGTTTAGACATCGCCACACAGGTATCCAAAGAGGGTTATATGATGAAGGTGGTATATGGTTGTTGAAGACTTCGCTCCCAGAAACGCCAGAAAACATCCCGTCCCAGCCGATGAAAGTGGTATCATGTTGAATTTTATCTTCGCCGTAAGTTGCAGGGCAAGCATGCAAGGTAATTAAACAAAGAGGAAACAGTCTGGTTTTTAAACACCAGACTGGAGAGAAAAGGGGGGGTTTTGTCGGTTTAAGTGTATAAGGGTCTATGCACGCGCTTTGAGTTGTTGAAAACAAAGCATTTCTCATCACATTCGTCAAAACGTCTCCAAAGAAACTAAGTGGAAATTAATCCACTTAGAACTTCAGAGCCTTGGGCTTCTCCCAGGAGAACTCCTGGTTGGTGAAGTGACCGTTCTTGGCAGTCTGGAAGTAGATGGGCTTGGCCAGGTCAAGGTCCTTGACAATGACACCAGGGCGGAGATCAAAGTTCTCACGGATGATCTCGACCAGCTCGTCAGAAGACTTGGAGGAAGTACCGTAGGTCTCGACGAAGATGGAGAGGGGCTCGGCAACACCAATGGCGTAGGAGAGCTGGACAAGGGCACGACGGGCAAGCTTGGCGTTAACCAGAGACTTGGCGATCCAACGAGCGACGTAAGCAGCGGAACGGTCGACCTTGGAGTAGTCTTTTCCGGAGAAAGCACCACCACCGTGGGCACCCCAACCACCGTAGGTGTCGACGATGATCTTACGGCCAGTGAGACCGGCATCACCCTGAGGACCACCAATGACGAAACGGCCAGAGGGCTGGAGGTGGTAGACGGTCTTGTCATCGAGGAGCTCGGCGGGGATGACCTTCTTGATAATCTTCTCCTTCAGGACAGCACGGATCTCCTCAGTGGAGACCTCATCGGCGTGCTGAGCAGAGATAACAACAGTGTCAACACGCAGAGGCTTGACGGCACCGTTGTCGTGAGCGTACTCGATGGTGACCTGGGTCTTGGTATCGGGCAGCAACCAGGGGATGGTGCCATCGTTACGGGCAGCCTTCATAGCAGCGTTGAGCTTGTGAGAGAGCAGGATGGTGAGGGGCAGGAGCTCAGGGGTCTCATCGGTAGCATAACCGAACATGATACCCTGGTCACCAGCACCGAGCTTCTCAAGAGCCTCATCGTAGTGAAGACCCTGGGCAATATCGGGAGACTGCTGCTCAATGGCAACCAAGACGTTGCAAGTCTTGTAGTCGAAACCCTTCTCAGAGGCATCGTAACCGATATCCTTGATAGCGCCACGGATGACCTTCTGGTAGTCAAGCTTGGCCTGGGTAGTGATTTCACCGAAGACCATGACCATACCTGGAAAGTGGAGAAGAGATCACGTCAGATTCAGGGGCCATGAGGGACAATTGAGGGGGTAAGGGGGCCGTCAGATTTGACATCACATACCAGTCTTGGTAGCAGTCTCACAAGCAACCTTGGAGAGGGGGTCCTCAGCTAAGCAGGCATCGAGGATGGCATCGGAGACCTGGTCACTACATATGAATAAATTGGTTAGAATTGAGTATTCCAGAGAAAGTTCAGGAGACTTTTCGGGGAAAAGAGGAAAAATAAACTCCCAGGGGGGGAAAAAAAAACTCACGCAATCTTATCGGGGTGACCCTCTCCGACTGACTCGGAGGTGAAGAGGAAAGTACCAGCCTTAGGAGCAACGGAACCCATTGTGAATGATGAAGGGAGAATTAAAGAAAGAGAAAGAAGGATTAGAGAAGAATGGTTGGAAGGAAGAAAAAAAAAAAGGGAAAGAAAAAGAGGGGGGGAATGTATGGGTTTATGTTAGGTTGGAGCGGGGCAGGAAAAGAAAAAATGGGACCCGGACCACCAGTTACCCCCAATCTACATTCGGCTTCCGACCACCTTTCACTTTTTGCCCCAACTGCCATCCTGCGATAACGCCATCTGTGCATACCCGTGCTTCACCGCTTTCACTAGTTCATATTCTATCGGTTTAACAAACACCAATCATTATTGTTATATATTCACCGCCTTGAACCTCCCCCACCGGCAGTGGAAAATTCTCAGTTACCGATAAGCAAGTTCTTTTTTTTTTCTAAGATTGGATAATCATATCCATATTGGAACTGAACCAAACTACTCTAAGAATCGCGTTTGGCAACCATGTCTAAGTTCGGCGTTTTAGTTATGGGCCCTGCCGGGGCAGGCAAGACCACTTTCAGCAATGCTATTATCCAACATCTTCAAACTACGCGTCGAAGCTGCTTCTACGTCAATCTAGACCCCGCCGCCGAAACCTTCACCTACGAACCCGATCTCGACATTCGAGACCTTATCACCTTGGAAGATGTGATGGAAGAGCTTCAACTCGGTCCTAATGGTGGTCTCATCTATTGTTTCGAGTTCCTCCTGCAGAACCTGGAGTTCTTATCCGAAGCTCTCGATCCCTTGAGCGAGGAATACCTCATCATCTTCGATATGCCCGGTCAGATCGAGCTTTACACACACATCCCGCTCCTCCCGTCATTAGTCCAATACCTGTCTCGTCAAGGTCCTCTCAACATCAATCTTTGTGCTGCATACCTTCTAGAGAGCACATTCGTTGTCGACAAGGCCAAGTTCTTCGCCGGCACTTTGAGTGCAATGTCCGCTATGTTGATGCTGGAGATCCCTCACGTCAACATTCTGAGTAAGATGGACCAGGTCAGAGATATGGTGAGCCGCCGCGAGCTCCGACGGTTCACCAATGTCGATGTTGGGTTATTATCAACCGAGGAGGATGACCCGACTGTGACCGCGAACCCCATGGCCAAGGATGCCCTGCTTAGCGGTGGCTCCTTCAAACAACTCAACCGAGCCGTCGCCCAATTGATCGACGACTTCAGTATGGTCTCCTTCCTACAATTGGATGTTCAGGACGAGGACAGTGTTTCGGGCGTTCTAAGCCATATCGACGATGCCATTCAATACCACGAAGCCCAAGAACCCCGAGAGCCGAAGGACGAGCAGGAGGTGAATTACGAAGACGCGTAAATCCTTCGGCGCATTTATTTCTACTTCACTGTTGCCTTAGTTCCTTCGTCGGTGTATTTGCGGGGCTCGGGCGACACCACATTTGAACCCCACCAAACAAAATCAGCCCCGAAACACCGTCATCTTGCATCCGTACAATCCCGTTATGACAGGGATCTTACCTACTTCTTCCGAAATACGAAATACTTCACTTGACGGCTTGTATGATGGAAAATTCCTCATCATGATCACGATGAAAAACACTTTTGATTCAATTGAGACGTGCAGAAAAGTTCCCGCTCGTGGGGCTCATGGGGAATGTCAACGGACCCCACATCAGCTCCTCATTATTCTGCCAGTCTCTCAGACACCAAAGCGCCGTGATATATCAACAGATACCCTAATACGCCGAAAGACCAATAAATCAATCTCATGAGTAATGACATGTCCATCACACCAGTCACAAAAAAAGACCTGTGGAGCCGGAAGGAAAATAAAATAAAAACAATAATTGCCCCAGCCCCGTAACACAGAAAGCAATAGTGTATGTACTCCACTGCCTGCGAGTTACGGAGAAATCATGTTTTCAAAGTACATCAGCACCGACACCGGCACCAAAAATAAAAATAAAAAAAGACACGTCCGAAAAGCACATCCTAGGATACTCCAGGATACTCCATGCCGACCACATCAATCACCTAACTCCAACCACCTCCCTTCTTCCAAGATCCAGTCCCAGCCCCAGATTTCCCTCCAGAACTCGCCGCCGCTCTAGCCTGGAAATCCTGAACAAAACCCATAACAACTCCCCAAATCCAACCCAGATCACGACCCGCATTTTCCACACCAACTGTGTACACATACCAACCCAGACCCAGTACAGAACCCCAGAAGAGGACTTGAAAGGCCAACGTCACCCAAAACATCACAAGGCGACGCATATAATCCAGGAGCTTCAGTGAAAAGAAGAGGATTACCACCATTATGAGCACAGTCATTAGGTCGGGCATTGCGGCGGTGCTTGTTGTTGTGAGGAGGGTGGAGAGCGGGGCGATAAGGTAGGGTTGCACGTAAGCTGTTCGGATGTTGCTTAGATGGGTTGTTATTTGGTCTTGGGTTGTGCTACGGATGTAGGAGACTGTTGGGTGTTGGAGAAATGATTGTATGTTTTCTAGAAATTAGATTATGTGGTTAGTTTATCTTCGCGATTCTTGTGGTAAGTGTGGGTTGGATGTGGAAGTGGGATTTACCTGGAAGAAAATCCATGGCTTCGATGAGCTGGATTCAAGCAGTGATTTAACACTGGGTGTCGATTTGGTGAGGGTATTGGGTGATCTTAGACGCCTTTATAATCTTTTTTGCTTCGTGATTCTTTGAGTTGTTTTTGAGGTGGCTTTGTTTGAGGTTGGAGTTAGGTTGATTTACCTATCTCTGCGATGGACTGAGATATGTATAGTAAATTATGGATAGAGACTTGAAGGAGAAATCTTTTCCAAAACAAAAACCTGTGTGGAAATCAAGGGCTTCAGACTCTATGTAAGGTGTCGCAAACCTTGGAAGGTGGCAGCTGTCGCAGCAACGGATAACAGAATGCAAACAAAACAAACATGGGATATCAATCGATACACCCATATTTACATGGAGACAGCACGACTTGCTATAGTAGAATAGGTAGACACATGTGCAAATCTCCAAACTATCCATATACCTGAGTCTAGACCGTAGTCTGCTCGCTAAAAAACATAATATTTCATATCCATATTAGTTTAACCCCACGCCGTGTCGTACACTTTAACCAAGTCCAAACTTCCGAGTCTGCAGCGCTTTGCGATCACATTCACTCCTTTAGGTCAGTCCCCAACGTGTTCGCCGTCGCCAGGAGCAGTTTATCCGTTTCGTGGTCATCGTGAGGCCGTCGAGTCCCGGCGAGAAGGATCTCGAAAATCGATCGGTGGGTTGCCGCTCACTAGGTAGAATCGAGTCAGAAAGGTCCTAGTACATATATTGGAAAATCTGGAAACGATGACTACATACATTCAAGTGCCCAGGTGCTACTACAGCCGCCGATATTATATGTATCAGAGCGGGCTTCTCTCCAGGGCTCTTACACCGCGATCTACCTAGTAGGTATTCTAACTTCCAAGGTTGGATACCTGGTTAGCCAGATACCGATCTCAACCTGTCTAAACAAGTACCTGAGTAGAATGAAGAAACTTGAAACCATTCGAATATTGAGACAAGGAAATAATGACCCTCGACGGGGTCAGTTCTGTACAAATTGATTATTTATAGATAACCAGTCATGGTCCGTATATACAAGTGTGACCGGAGAAAAGAAAAGCTCCAAATGTAATCCGTAAACGGGGGACGCGTGACACCACGCAATAAAAATCCAAAATATTCCAAAAGAAAAATAAGAAAAAAAGTCTTCCCGGAGACTTGTAGAAGGGAGATAAGATAACTCCAAGATCAAACTCCAAAAGACTGTTCAAGCTCCCAAAATGAGCTGATACAAGTCCAAATGCAGATGCAGATGTGGTGGTATATATGAAAAAGAATGAGAATAAGAATCCAAAATATTACGCGGCAGATAATTTCGTCTCTCTTTGAGATCATGCGTGGCCCAGTAGTGCCTTGAATGCATCACGCTCGGTTTGAATATTCGCCTGAAGGAGGCGGGTCTGACGCAGGGCCTCGTCTCTGTGAGTGGATGAGTTAGTCTCCGCATTCCCGAGACACGACCAGTCAACTTGAAATAGATAAGGCTCGGAGAAAAAAAAATTAAAAACATACCTGTCAGATTGGAGTTGGGCCACATCAACCTGTGTGCGGTTCATTCTTCCTACCACTTCTTCCATCTCCATGTCTGCGTCACGAAGGAGTTTCTCCAGATCCTTGACCCGCTTTTCGAGGGCCTCAACTTGAACAACCTGGATCAGAGGCATGCCTTGGCCGCTTGTGGTTCTATCGAGACGTGGGGAGCGGCTGCTGAAGGGGGCATTGGAGGGTCGTGGGGACAGAGCCACAGCGGTACGAGCACCAGTCTTCATACGGACCAGCTGAGCATTGTGGTTCTCCTTCAGCTGGCGGATCTCCTCCTCGTGCTTGCCCATCTCGTCTTCGGAGTGGTGCTGAGCAAGCAAGAGAGAGTCCTCATACTCCTTCAATCGGTTCTGAAGGTAGTTGATGCGCTCAACAGAGAGGTGTTGGTCTCGCTCACCCTTGTCAATGGCAGATTCCAGACGTCCGCGCAGAGAGTTGTTGGTATGCAACTGTTGCTGCACGTCGTAGGCCATTCGGTCTGTCCGGCCAAATGCAGCCTCCAGTTCGTCTGAAGCTGCGATCGTGGCCTCGACCTGCTTGCGGTCGGCCTGCAGCTGCTTGTAAGCAGAGTCGAGTGAAGAGGAGGTTTCCATTACCTCGGCAAAGCTTTCTTCGTCAGCTTCACCACCTTCGGAAACGACCGAGTCGTGCTCCTGCAGCAGAACTCTGAGCGAGCTAGTCTCTTGCTCCGCACGATCAAGATCCATCTTGAGACCTGCCAAGTTCTTCTCGCACTGCCACTTGCCATCCAGAGCATCTTCGGCTCGGTTACGCAGGTGGTTCACCTCTTCTCGCAGGGTTTGCACATCTCTCTCGTACCCGGGCTTGCGGAGAGGACCAGCCTGCTGAGCACGTTCGAGTTCGATCTCCATGAGACGAGCGCGCTTCTCGTATTCCCGCGCTTGTTGAGCATGGCGATCAAGGAGGCTTCTTAATGTTCGGTGAAGAGCATCGCGTTGAACCTCGATATCTTTTACTTTGTCGACCAAAGAACCTTCGCCGCCGCTCTCGCGATCCTTGCGATCCTTGGAAGCAGCATTCACAGAGTTGGATCGTGACAGTGAACCAGAACGGGCGAGACCGCTTGGCTTGCGAGCAACTGAGTTCGATCTCGAGATTCCGAAAGTCGAGTTTCGCTTGTTCACACCACCTTCCTCTTCCGCGATGGATGCAAATCGTCCATTACTCTGCAATTGTGCCAGTGATGCATTTTCCACCCTTAGCGCTTCAATCTCTTCCATCAGTCGCTGGGTGTCCGGTGAAGGTGCCTGCACCTGTGGTGGTGGTGGTGGTGGGGGTGGTGGCGTTGGGGGCGCTTGCGGCTTGACTTCCCGGAGAATATCACGTTCATTTCGTAATTGCTCCAGCTCTACGCGCATGGCCGTTAATAGATCTTCAAAGTTATCTTTGGACTGTCGCTCTTCGAGCAACTTTCGACGAGTGTCTTCGAGGGCGGTTTCGAGTTCTCGAGTCTTGGATGAGAGATCAGACAAATCGACTCGTTCACGACGGAGCTAAAATCAAGTTAGCAAAAAGCTCAACATTCTGATTAAGATATCTGACATGATATCTTACCTGCTGAACCTGGTTCTCCAAAATCTGAACATGAGACTCGGAGGCTGTGCGCTTCAAACGTTCTTCTTGCAGTTTCTGTGATAGCTCAACTTTCAACTGCGCACGCTCCTGCTCCGCAGCTCGACGAATCTTTCCAATATCCTCTTCCATCCGACCTGCATCAGACGCGGAGCGAACAATGCTAGTACCAGAATCAGAGAAATAGTCACTCGTCCGTCGATTCGTCTCTGGCACTTCAGTCTGAAATCGCTCAATTAAATCCTCCAGCTCCATTTCACGACGAATAGAGCCCGCTAACTCGGAACTAATTTCTCGTAATTCATTTTCCAAGTCCGCAAATTTAGACGCGTACATAACCTCCTGAGCACTCATCCCGCTCACGGAGGGCGTTCGAGCCGGAAGGCCATAGTGAATGGATGACTTGCTGCTATCATATGAAGATGGTTTCATAGGGACGTTTGCGAGAGGAGGCATTGGCGAGGGCATGGGAGAACGGCCACCATCGGAGATCTCCGTGCTAGACGATTCACCACCAGGCGAAGTCTGAGTATTTCCCTTCCAGCCAAAGAAGGAGCTAATTTTATTACCGGGAGTTTTGGGCTGACGGGGATCCGGACCCATGGATAATGGTCGATCGTTTATATCAATTTGTAAAGGAGGTGGCCTGTTGAGAGACGGATGTAGGGCCATAGTCGAGGCGCGCCGTTGAGATGGAGGAGGCGAGGCCAGGACCGGTATAAAAGGCTCGCTCACTAGACGATTATGCAGGGTGGAAGGAGTTCCATGCGTGAACTGTTGCTCATATGATCCGTCATCAAAGTAGTCTTCACCGTCTTCGGAGTCGTCGTCGTGATCCACTACGGAGCTCAGATATGAGACCGGAGCACCGGTATCGATGCGAAGAGGTTGTGCCAGATGTCGTTGACGGGAATATCTGGGGAAGGACGGAGTATGTAAGTGATAGTTCTTCCAAATTCTGGGGAAACCTCGCAGCATGTAGAAACCATATCACCATAGGAGGGATCCTCGGCGGCTAGTTTTGATTCCAATGGTTCTTTCTTCTGCTATTTTTCTTTGGGTTTCACTAGTCTTTGTTCATCATCCCCAAAAAAAGAACCCAGTGATAGAAGAGAAAGAAAAGGGGGGGACAGAATGGTGTGGCATTGACACCATTGGGGATGGGCTCCACGCGTACCTATTGGAATTCCTTGGCGATATAAAGGACGGTTCTTCAGGATGGGACAGGGACAAAGACGACCTGCGATCAAGAATGTCGTCCAGATAATCCTCAGATAGAGGAGAGGGATTTAGAGTAGGAATTGGAATGGCATGGGGTAAAGGTTTCCTTTGGATCAGCGGGGAACTCGCAGAAGCGGGAGAACTGTCTTGGGACGCCATGTCTCAGGAAAGAGCCATCGATCGACGGTCACTCATGCCGATTCGCACGGGTAGAGTTGACACACGCCAATGAAAACCAAAACGGAAAGGATGCTTTAGGGGGGTGAAAGAGGATAGTCGGGGTGGAAAAAAAGGACGGGAATTTGGTTATCCAAAAACTTATTTTAAAAAAAAAAGATTCATTAAATTTAAAAAAAAAAAAATATTAAAATAGAATAAAAAAAAGGGGAATAAAAATATTCCCTTTGCGCGCAAAAGCAAGAAAGCGGGCCCCTTAGAGACTAAAGCAGGAGTAAAAGATAGATGAATTTAATTGGTTTATTAAGTACAAACTGTTCCTGATAGCGCTGCCAAGAAATCGCTCTGGGCCGAGAGATCGACATAAGAACGTGAGAGACAATTAATAGTACTTGAGTATGTATATTGCAATCTGAATGTATTCTCTACTCAGGTTGTACTACATAGTATATCTCAATGACTCGAATGTTCTTCTTTTTTTATTATAATTCATAATAAATCTCTACTATCTAGCAAACTTGAACAGGATCTTCATCAAAAATCAATAGTTTGCCTGTCAATAACCCCCCTTGAGTGTAGACTTCTTTGGACCCGCAATGACCAGGGGTAAATTCAGGGGGTTCCCGAGTTCCGACTGCGTACTTTTAATATGTGTACCGGCCTCCCTTGGTACTTTCTAGGTACTTTTTAGTACTTTGAACTCAAGTGCTCTTTTATATGCAAGGTCTTCTGTGAAAGTTGATCAAATCTTCTAATTTAGGTGTCTTCCCCTCTTCCAGAGTTGTATCTGAGTATCTATCTCCAGCTATGACCTACTCTCACACTACGAGTCCGGGATACTTGCACATCAACCCATACTGATACTAAACTACTTACTTCCAATGTCTGGTTCGGCTTCGTACTACTCGGACTTATGAACACAATTATTTGTGGGTATCATGAACCTAATTCGTGCTTTTTTAAACGCATTCCCCATCGAGATGTCCCAATGAGGCCTTAGATTAAGGGGTTCTCCATCCTCTACACGTAAACCTCCGATCTTATGGACCCCATTTACTTTACTCCGTACTCTATATCGTTGCCCCCTTTTTTTCAGTCTGTCCCTTTCGGCCCGTGCTTCTCATTCTCTAAAGCCAGAACGTGCTGAGGTTCAACTGTAGTAAAGTGGTGTGCCGTGTTCACCCACCAATCATCGGGCCTATCACCGGCGTCTCGCCCTAACACTCGGGCCAGCGCGTGGCCACTGTTTCTTCAACAGGAATGGTCGCCCTGTGCCCTGTTCCTGTTCTTGTCAATGCCCACCTATTAGATCAATATGCTTGCGCAATAGCATCTGGGCATCGCTCGATACGGAAGCTTCCTTCCTGTGCGCTGCCGTGATGAGCGCCAACACCTCTTGGAGCTGAAGATTGTAACACTCTGCTAGATCCTTCTATTCTAACTGGCTTCTTCATATCTAAACTTTCGCACTAACTCAAGAACTCAAGAACACCTGCAGTCTTGCTTCAGCCCCTTCTGTACATACATGACCCATTCCAACCTTTTTAATGTTGTACGTCTGTACCCAATTTTGAGACATGGGGTATACCGTATAGGAACATACATCCGCCTCCACCGTCATTGTACAGGGAAGAAATGTCTCTCCTGAAAGCATGCAGAACACAATCCCTGTGGAGTCTAGTTCATTGACCGCGTCACATTCCAGACCCGTCTGGATCTAGCGTGGGCTTTTTTTTCTTTTCTTTTTCCTCGCGCTCTGATTTAGCGAACTGGGTCCCATCCGTGCGTGTATCCACTTTAGGATCCTGACAGCGCTAACTACTGCACTTCGCTCTCAGAACGAGTTTTGAATTCGTTTAGAACTGAATAACATGAATAACTTGGATCCTGAGGGGGCGGAGACACATAATCCCACTCTTAGCGCTTGTCCAGGTGGTAGTTTGAGAATTTAAAACTTGTGACGCGTGGTGCCCCGGGATGGTGTTACAGGGTTAAGGGGCGGCGGCTATGGCCCTGTTTGTAGGGCTGCTGGGTCCCACCTTCCCAGGTTGTCCTACCCTGTATTAATGTGGCTGTTATAGGGTCAACATTATTGACTTCCAGAGTTGATAGCTCCAAGATTGTTCCAGGTTTCTCTGCAGGTGATCGTGCATGATGCGGTGTACCGAGAGATTAGCATGGACAACATACATAACTGGTTGCGCGTCCAAGTCCAATCGGGTATCACGCCATGCTGAAGCCCTGGGGCGCCACGGTGCAGTCACGGTACTTCAAAGATAGTTGAAGCCTGAGGCTAGGAACAAAGAATTCTGGGCCAGTAGCAGCCCGAGGGCCTTTGAACCTGAGGCTCTTCAGGGCTCAAACAGTCATTGAATGTTTGAATTTGAATGCTCCAGACAAATTGCTGTACTACTATCGAAGAGGACCCAGATCCAGATGATCTAGACTCATCTAGATGGGTCTCCTATTCCGAGTCAGGGATACCCTTACCGCTATCTTTGTCACAGAACGACTCAGAATCAACGCCGAGTCCCTTCAAATATTTTGCAGGGGCCTCACTTTGTCTCCTGTTCTATTAATATAAGTGAGACTCGTCGTCTATTTTGAGTCGGTGGCTAATGGAGAAAATATTTGAAAAATCCAGGTGGATCGGTCTATTTTTACCTCAAAGACGTTGCGATTCTGCAGCCATTTCAACACTATTCAAATGGTGCAGTCCCCCTTACTAGTGCGTTTTGAGAATTAGAGATGAATGAAGGGTCTCGTGTCCACATTTGCACCAGTTGACTCATTTAAAGATGTACGGAGGAACCCCATACTAGTAGTATTTAGGTGAAGGAACCGCCACGAAAATACTAGGAAGAGATTGTGCAACTTTCAATGTTGTTCATGGTGCTCCAGGGCTATTTGCTTCAAAGTTCGGGATATTCGAGTATTTTTGTCCACCAGCACTGCAGCGGATACATGCCAGCCTGTGTGCCGATAACTCCTCAATGGAAGCAGTCTACTGGCACGGGTGTCACAGCACATAATACTACATATCGCGATATATAATAGGCAGAAGTTTCGCCAGGTCAACCTCGATCTGGGGTACCTCTCAGCGGTCCGCATCTAGGTACCTTTAATGACCTTATACGCCGCGGATCCCGACCTTAGTGAGGACGAAGAATCGCCATCGAGTTTGTGCCGGGGTTGCGAAAGGCCGTATGCGCAGTGCTGCTGCCAGGTGAGAGAGTGTCGGCCACTCCAGTTGATGCCACACATTTAGGTATAAATCCCTCTTTACGACACGCCGCGAAGATCGCTTCGATAGTGAATGTCTTGCCGGTGCGGAACTACCGACGAATTAGCAGAGAAGCAGACTCGGAAAATGCTTGAAAGTAAATAAATCAAAAGAAAGAACCGCTTACAGAACTGCTGTCTCACACTGGGCTTCCAGCTTGGAGATTCTTGCATTCTTGTTCTCCAGGAGAGCCTCAGTCTCCTTGTGGTAAAGGGAGTGCGTTTCCGATGCCTTCTTCATGTGTTCTTCACATTTCCTTGGAATGAATTTTGACTGCATAGCTCACCCCTGGTGTCAAAGACTTGAGAATGGTTGGATTCACTTACACTGGATAAATCAGCTGTCTGCGACCAATTGGAGATCCAGAGGAGGTGGTAGATGCCAGTGTTGAAAGAGGTATGGTATGGAAGAGGTATGGAAGAGTAAGTAAAATTGAACTTGAAGTAGTAATAGAGTATATAGGTTAGGGTTGGATGATAAAGATAAAGAGGAATAAAGAAGAAAATATGATTCAAGAATGGTAATAGCTGATGTTGAAACTTCTAAAAAATCATAGATATTGGATGAGATGCTGTGAATAGCTATCACCATACGATCATCCTTAATATCTTACTTCCCTATCTCCTTAACCTTGGAAGAAACCTAGACTAAGGCCACTACCTAGATATATTAGTAGGGCTAAGCTACTACTCTTCTCTTACTTCTCTAATCTCTCTTCTCTCACTTTAAGTTCATCTCTGCCTTACTTCTAGGGCTGTAAATACTTTGAAAGTGCAGTCTTAACTGCCCAAGATCCATTTGGTTCTCAACTAGGTATCCACACAGTACTCAGATAACACCAATACCTAGATTCCAACTTGAAAGTTTATATGTATAATACTCCATGATTCAAATCTTGAATACTCGTCACTTTGGATATAAAATTGAACATATCCCTAAGTATATCAAAATCCAGCATATGACATGGAGACCAAGTACTGGATTTCAACTGCTGCACATGTGTCAATTTTAATAGTTCACTAAGTTTATCAGGTTGATTGTATCTAGCTTCGAAAGTTTTCAAGCTTGCTTCATGAGTCCATCCATGTATTCAAGTTACTACGTTGAACAATCAACCTTCCATGGTTGAAACTGACCCTTGGAACCTTGGAAGCCGTCAGTCTACCGGTGACCAGACAAAAAATTGAAGATATGTATGATACTGAAATTCATGTTACCTAGCACCATAATTAACGTGAGTACATTGCTCGTTATACATGACACATATCGGGAAGCTGGACTCGCGCTAATAAGGAATGAAATCGTAATTCATGCGATCTGAACCAAAAGTTAGAACCATATGTTTGAAATGGAATGATGAACTTGAAGTACATACCAAGGAAATGACTCCAATCTTCATCCTCGCTGAGCTTATTCGCCCAGTACTGCTCGAGGAATTTCAAAGATTGTAGCACATTGGGAATTCGGACAGTCTCATGCAAAGAAGAGAGTAACCTTCGTACCGTATCGCGATCATCCCCGCGCGCCTCACAACCCGCAATAAATAATGGTGTTGTGAGCATCACCCAAGGACTAAGACCAGAGGATGGCCCAATCATTTCCGTGCATTCTAGAATCCGTTGAACAGACTGCTGGACATAGACCGATGTAGTCGGCGTTTTGCGAAGCCGTCTGTGAATTTGTATGAGTGCACTATGCTGGAATGCTTCATTGCATAGCGCAAGCTGCTGTATGCTCTCGACTGTTAATCCCTCCGCAACACCAGGATACAGCTCAGGTTTCGAATTAGCGCCCCGATCCATCAATTGTCGTACAGACAGCTCCAACAATTCAGCCTCATCCTCAACATCACTTTGAATCTCTCCCTCAATAAATCCTTGCCTTGCATCTTGAGGCACATGGTTTCGCCATGCAGCTGCCCCGATTTGTCGAAACACGGCCGCCAAATCGACTGTAAAACCCCAGTAATCATCCAAGTAGTCCGGTGAACCTTGTTGGCTCGCCAACCCCGAAGGTACAAAATCTGAATTGTTCCCAATAGGTGGTCCATTACCCGTAAGTGCTGTCAACGACACGATAGACCAATACCAACGATCCAAGTACCGACGAAACCCAGGCGCAGACCCAACTGAGTTCTCCTCTCCGGTTCTATCAGTCGTTTTCATAATCGCTCTCGCGCCTTCAATATGTGCTCTCCATGAATTCGGGTGTATTGCCCCCGAGTGGACCTCCGCTAAACAAAGTGTCCGCGCCGTTGCCACTAATGCCTCCGAACCCTTCACGGATGGGTCTTGTAGTTCCTTGCGAAAATGCTCTAGACTAAGTGCCATCTGCCGCGCTATATCTGGCGCTGTTTTCACATTCTCGGATGGGTTATGTAGGGCTTGAAGGTGGATTGCTGAGAGGGCTGTAGTGGCGTAGAGGAGTGACGGGGTTTGTAAAGCCATGGGGACTAGCATGCGACAAATATCTTGCTGCATACCAGAATGGCATGCGGTTATTTGGGACGCATCGTTAATGAAATGGTGTAGTAGCGCTTTCTGATCGGGGGATAAGGAAGAGAAGGGGTCAACGGTTTGTGTCAATGCGAGCGTTGGTGATTCGGCCTTGACTGATTGAGGCTTGGATTTGGTTGTGTAGATAAATTCTCCTGGTGAATATTCTGGGAATCTTGTCAGTATTCAGATTATTACTAGATTTATTACTAGATCTCTTGGACCCTTGAGTCCCTTTGTAGCCTCTTTTTTTTCGACATGCACACTTACCAAGTCTTTCCATGCCGCCCTTATCAACGCAGGCCCCGAATCGTGATCGCGAAAATGCCCGCCCTCCCCACTGCAGCTGCATTGCATACTTGCACTGCACACCGGCGGTCGAGCACCGCCCGCAGATCGGTCTTGTCTCATCGCATTTTTGGCGCCGCGATTTACATCTCAAACATCCTGTAAATGATCTCGACATGTGGGCTGGAGAGGATTTAAAGTGGAGTGTGGGTTATGTAGAGAAGAAATGCCGCGGGGAAGATAATCTCCAGGGCTCCGAGTGTGGCGAATTGAAACGGTTCCCGGGGAACTCTCAGGAAAGAGATGTTCATAAAGCTGAAATCTTTTTGATTATGGATATTATAAAACATTTGAGTTTTTTTTCTTCTAATCTTTGGGGAGATAGATAGGCATAAGCATTAGAATTGAGTACCTAATACTTAGTGGGCTCGTGGGGATCCACCGATCAGCGGGTTTTATCAGGACCAGAATGTACCAATAACATTTTGAAGATTTCTCTAAAGTAAACGAGATAAAGAGTATCATGCGCTATGAGCAAAAATACACAGGCTAGACAAGAAGTGTATATGTTCACCTCAATATGGGAAGATCTCAAAAATCCCTTAAGAAAAGAAACAAATACAGAAAGAAAGAAAAACAGACCGCCGCATCTAACCGTCAAAGGTATACCGCAACCACTCACCGACAGCACGCAAACTCTCCCATCGTACAGATTCGTCTTGGTCTGCCATCAATTCCATAACTCGAGTCTTCAGACCGAGACGTTCCATCTGAGTGCGCTTTTCGGGGAGCTCCTTGACCAGGTGTCCAACATCATTACAGGCAATAGCCAAGACCTGCTTGTCATTCTCCCAGCTCTTGGACATGATCTCAGCGAGCTTCTTGGGCAAGGCACCATTACTATCCTCGAGAATTCGGCGGGCATTCTCCTTCCAGAAAGTGGGGTTCTTGTGTGGGGGTGACCAGCGCAAATGGCCGGTCTGTAGTTCGGCAGCATATTCGTCAAAGGTAGTCTGGGTTTTGGTATAATCCTCCAACATGGTAGAAAGGGCTTGGAGGTCTTCGAGAAGATCTTCGTCGGTCAAATGGCGGCCGGAAAGCTTGGTGAGTTGAGCGGGCAGGCGGACAAAGACTGCAACAGGAAGCAAAGTGTTGCGGTTGTTGGAGAGGAGGTTCAGGAGGGTCGCAAGAAGCACTCGGGTAGTCTTCTCTTTCTGGGAAAGTGACAAAAGTTGTGTGTAGAGTTCAATGATTTCATAGTTCCTAGACAAGGTGAGTTATTATCAGACGCATGGACTCGAGGGTGATCAAGAAAGATGCGGGGTCTTACTCTTGCAATTCTTCACCAACAAGTTCACTTTCAAAGGTCAGCTGCCAAACAGCAAGGAGTACACGGTACAGCAACTGGAGGCCAACCCCTCCCGCGAGACCGTTCTCGGTACCCCGCGTACTGCCCCCTGCGGTACCATTCTCCTTGATCCCCGCTGCGGTACGAAGAGTGCCGATGAGAGGATCCAATGTTTCCTTACGGTGATTCCAGAAGATCTCTCGAGATCGCTTAGTCCGGAGTAGCTCCGAGAATCCCTGTACACCAATGTCCTGCAGCCCGCTGTCCTGGTTCTTGGTCAAGGTAGAGAGATAAAGGTATAGCTGCGGAAGAGCCTCATCATCGCGAGGCGCAGGTTTGGACGAGCGCACAAGACTGTGTGACACGAGAGCTGTAAGGAAGGTGGATGTGAGCAGCGGGATAGGGTCCTCGGCATTGGAGGATTGATGCAAGAATGGTAGGAATGGCTTGTAGGGTTCAGGGTGAGAAACGAGTGCATCGGCCAGCGAGGGGACATCTAATAGAACCATATAATCAGCAATCTAATTCCAAGAATTACATTCCTCGAGGTCAGCCACATACCCTGAATCAGGTCCGAGGCCAAAACTAAGATGTATTGAACGATATCTGTCCTCCGGGATGCGGACTCTAGCACACTCTTGCCCTGCGCATCACCAGCAAGCAGACTAGTATAACCAGCAAGGTCGGCTTCTATTGTCTGACAGCGCTGATCCTTGCGCACCTTATCCACAGCCTTGATCTTCTTCAGGTGTTCATCGGTGATGTTACCCGCACGGACCGCACCCTCCCAAGGAATTGGTCGAGCCCGAATGTTATTCTGGAGGGAGCTGAGGTACGTGGGTGGATCCAACGACATGGTGACAAAGAATCTCCAATAGAGAGAGGGAGATCAGTTAGATATGGAGAAGGAGTGAGGTTAAAGGTAGGAGGGAGAAGCTTGGAGGTGGATGACGGAAGCTTGCCAAGACCGACTTGGTCCATCCCAACCGATCGGGATTGATCGTTTCATCTTCCATTACGAGTCTCTCCTTGTCTTCCCTCTTTTATTCCTCTCTAATCTTTCTGTTGCAATTTACAGCGAATTCTCACTTGTGTGTCACTATTTTTGAATAATATTTTACCACCCACACACCTTGTGCGACATTGGTTTGTCAAAGCGGTTGTTGCCTTGAACTTGACTGGCCTCGATTCGACTAGTGGTCTTGAGCTTGTGAAGCCTAAGATTGTCTTTCCTACAATGAATTGATACACTTGAATGCGCCGACGCATATAATACCATCCATCGATCTAAAGAAAGCGAATCGTTTGTCCCATAACCGCCCCCACCAAATTCATGCAACGTGGACACGAACTGTTTACCAAATAATCCGAGTCGCATAAGCTGGCGTGTCTGAGATAATGGCGCAAAACTCTCAAAATCAGTCCAAGCCCAAATGGGGGGGTAGGATCATTCTTTCAACAAGCAGTGGCAGGTGTCGAATCTCGATTGGATCATATTCTGCTCGACGAGGAGGAGAGGCAGAAGAACGCAGCAGCAAATGCGAAGCCTCAAGAGATTGAAATTAAGAATACACCCATTACAAGATCTCCAGCTGGATGTAGGGAAATTCAAATTGCAAATAAGCGGGAAAGTCGCTAACTTGACCTTCCAGCGATCTCACGAAGCTCCTCAAATGCGCGGAGAACCGATCGGCTCCAGGAGCGCCTCGCGCGTGCTATGGTCAAGAACAATCAAAATTCGCAATCCTCACCGAGTCCCTCGTCACCAGCTGCTAGCCCGAGGCCGAGCACCGATATGCGGCGAAGTATGGATATCGATTCCACCCTTGCATCTTCCGCGGAAGTGAGCGAGGATCTTAAGAGTCCTTTTCAGGTTGAAGAGGAAACGGTTTCAGAGACCATCGCGCCGAGGCTCAGCCATGATATGGAAGCATCAATACGGAACTCAATCGATACCGGTGCGCCAGAATCACTACCGCGGGGTTCGAGTGAAGTGGAGGATCTGTCTGCAAGCCTGGAAAAGACTATTGAGCGCGTCGAATTGGAAATTATTGAGGAGCCTAGCAACGATGTATCAGTTGACAGTCCGCGCCAAAGTGCTGAACTACCGGAAGAGGCCGCGTCTGATATTGACAAGACCTCCGAGTCTCAACGACAAGATGAGATCCACGAATACATTGAGCGCATCGATGCACTGCAGTCGAAACTTAAATACCTCGCCAAGGAAGCCGCCGAATCGGCGAAGAATGACGCGGCTAGTGCTTCGCCGGGTAGCGCTAAGAAACAACTCCTAGAAAAAGACGAAAGGATAGCGCTGCTCCTCGAGGAAGGTCAGAAGCTTTCTAAGTCGGAGATGGATCATCGTACTGCTATTAAGAAGCTACGACAACAGCTCGCTGATAACACTAAAGCACAACTGGACATGAAGAAAAAGACCGAGAAGATGGAACGAGAATTGGCCAATACAGAATCCAGAGCCAAGCGCGCTGAGACCGCTGAAAAGCGAGCAACTGACTCTTTGTCGTCACATACAAAAACAACCAAAGAGTTCGATGCGGTATTGAATGAGCGGAACGCACTTAACCACACTGTGTCCGAAATGAAGGCACAGTTAAGTCGAGCTCTTGAGCGCGCAGAGGCTGCAGAGGCTAAGGCTCATTCAGATGCGTTAGACCAAGAGAAGCGCAAAGCGAATGACCTTGAGGAGGAGTTAGCAACTATCAAGATCGAGCGCGATATCAGTGAGGAGAAGGCGAAGAAGGAGATTGCCGAATTAAAGGAGAAGATCGACCAGGAGAAAGAACGTGCTCGTATGCTCGAGGCCGAGTTGAAGGGCGAACAGTCAGTTCTGGAGAGTAAGATGGAAAGCCTTCGGACACGAGCAGAAGAAGCCTCGTCGGGAGCGACGGGAGACACACAGGCCAAAATCTTGCGCCAGATCGAAACTTTGCAGACTCAGTACTCGGCTGCTAGCGAGAACTGGCACAGTCTGGAAGGCTCCTTGCTTTCTCGATTGGCCAATGTCGAAAGGGAGCGAGACGATTTAAGTAAAAAGGAAGGAGACTTGCGGAAGAAGATTCGAGAATTGGTAAGATCAAACCTTTCTTTTCTGCTCATATGCGACTGCCTTGCTTACCATATTTTATAGAACCTAAAATCCAAGAAGTTGGAAGAGGATGTGGAATCCGCGAAAGAGGCGGAGCAAGAGAAAGACCTTAGCCTCGAAGAACACTTGCAGGACATGCAGAAGATGCAGCAGAAACTTGACAAGGCATTGGACGACCTGAGTGCCACCCAGAAAGACCTCATGGAACAAAAGAAGACATTGGATGCGTCGTGGACTCAAAAGATGGAAGAAGAACGAGGCAAATGGCGGGAGCAAGTGATCAGTCTCCAACATCCTCGTGGAGTCTCTCCTGTTCAATCTCTACGACGGTCTAGCAATCTTGACGCCATCCCATCCGGTCTGTCAGACCATCGTTCATCCAGTCGACGATCTTCCACTATGCCCTCCGCTTCGCCGGATATTGGCACTCCGCCGCGACAGAATTCCTATCCCGCATCCATTAATCATGGAACCCTGTCACCTCCCCCGATCAACACCACCACAATTCTGGAGACTCCATCAATCACCTTTGAACCTGATGAGTTTTTTTCGCCTGCCACGCCTGCCACCCCATCCATGTATGGTGGCACCCAGGCACCTCCATCCCGCGGTATCAACGATATCATCTCGGAGTCGACTGTAGGCGCAGGTCCATCTGTACAGCTCGTTGAGCGCATGAGTGCTACCGTGCGTCGTCTGGAAAGCGAGCGCGCGGGCTCCAAGGACGAACTTGTGCGCGTCACTACCCAGCGTGATGAGGCTAGACAACAAGTCGTGGACTTGATGCGAGAGCTCGAAGGAAAGAAAGACTCCGATGTTCGCGTGGAAGAGTTGGATGCTAAGCTTACCGAGCTGGATCAGCGTTACCTGACTACTCTTGAGATGCTGGGTGAAAAGAGCGAACAGGTTGAAGAGCTTCAAGCTGATATTGCTGATTTGAAGAAGATCTACCGAGAGTTGGTGGATAGCACAATGAAATGAAGACGATGAGGATAAGTGTACTGCTAGTATTGCTTGGAGGCTCTACTAGTAGCTTTCTCTCCCCTATGCATTTGAATAGGCATGACTAGCTGTGTTTTATGATTGAGGATTTTGTATATAGATTTCTTCCAGAGGGCAAATGATGAATAGTAGGCCTATTTTACCACTCGGCTATTTGTAGTCTACATGTCGTAGGTAGTATTCTTTCTTCCTAGAGTACAAGGACTTGCAAATCTCTCGCTAGCAGTCACCAGTCACCATCAGTTCTCCAAGACATGATCAAAGCCCAAGAAAGCCACATCAAAAACGTTTCGCATCTCTGGCAATTCCAGTAGGCCCACTTCCGAAGTGGGCTTGGTCAAAAAGTCTTGCATCATTGAACAATGAAGAATGCCTCCACTTGTCAGTTCAGATGAAACATTTAATTCAATGTTGTCGGAAGCACTCTCGGGAACTGACTTCTCAAACCCTGGCAGATCGCTTGGTGGCTGCTTCTGGGTAGTAAAGCTGTCCTGAATCTCGAAAGCCGGGTGTTCAACTCTATCGTCAATAACGAAACGAGAAGGATAGCTCCGATGCAAGCACTGGCTAACTCGCTCGAGATGATCGTATAAGTCCTTTGCTGCTAAATTATTGGAAGCGCTGAGTGTCTTCAGCATTTCGGTCGCTGTCTCTAAAGCTGTTATATCCGTGGCATTATCATGGTGCAAGAGGCTGGACACGATCAAAACAAGCGCCGAAGAGAATATAAAAGCCGGAAATGAGTATCCAAAGATGTCAAGCGATCCATTTGTCCATTCTTCCAAGCAGAGCTTCAACGAGTATTGCGCTGCACGAATACATGCCACGCTTAGAGTTGTGAATGTCTGTTTTGATTCTTGATCAAGTGTCATATTTTCGCCCCGGCTCTCACAAGCTAAATAGTTCAACAACACAGGGCGAATAGCGATTATGACAGACTGAGAGCTGTTAGCATGAGAAGAACGAGTTTCAAACTATTCTCACATACATAATTGAATTGCAAGTGCAGTAAAATGGTATGCTTGGAATGTGGTCTGTTACAGGAGAGTTGCAAATCTTCTGGCAGAGAATTCACCCAATGCCTCAATTGAATCAGAAATTTTTGCTCTCGTTGCAGAAGGCTTTCAGGAGATTTTTTGCGAGTGTAAATCTCTTTTGTAGCACGTCCTGTTATTCTTGCAAGCTCTATGGCCGCAATCTGATACGCCACTTCTGAAAAGTGCTCCTCATATCCTGCACAAGATAGCCTTGATGGGAGATCCACGTGGATATCATCATCATGGATCTGTACTGGAAATCCCAATTTTGATCCCCAGAAGCGATCAAGGATATAAATAGACCACCAGATCCGAACGCGATGTTCTCGCTCTATTGGGCTCAGGTTATGACTCCGTGGGACATTGTAATTCAAGCCCAGGGCTAGACTCAGCCGCAATGCGTTGCCTGTCAGAAGGTAAGATGAGTGAATCCTATTGAGAAACTGACAAAAATATGCCTTAAGACAATCCAGTCAGTGCAATTCTCTATACGAGGATATACGTCTGACGTACCAAAAGAAGCAGGCTCTCAATATGAGCCATGCTGGGTCTTTCTGGGATGATCTGGATGAGATATGAAGCTCGAGCAAAGTATTCGGTACCAGGAACAACTGAAGGGCTGGAGGAACTTTGCCCTATAGAGTACACTTTTCCTACAGCAAATAGAGCAAAATACTTGCACTTGGTGATCGAATTGTTGAAGTTGCCTTTTTCATAGACGTTTCTCAGTCCGTCCAATACTTCTTTTGTTCGGACTAGATGGAATCCGGGATTGATATGACCAAGTGCTGTTCTTACAAGTAATTGAGCATCTGCAAATCTAGGCCAAGGTGTATCAGCTCGGTTCAGCGACGACAGTGTCTCCTCATCAGTATAGTTCCGCGGAGGAATATGCATCGCCAGAGAGTCTGTCGGCCTTAAACATTGGCATAGTTGGGTTGCAAATGCAATACAAGCTGCCTCGTTGATGTAAAGCGGAAGACTTGAGGAATCCTGTGTTTGAAACCATGCTTCGTTCTCGACTAAGTCGGACTGTTGAGTAGAGCTGGCATGATCTGAAGGCCTTGTTATGGTTTCTATTGGGGTTTCTCGGACTCTTTTATCTTTTTCGGCATGAAGCTCCTGACTATCCTGGATCAGTCTCTCCAGATAGCTTCAACTAATATTCAGTAAATTCCAGGTTTCAAATCGTATCGTAGACGGGGTCTTACCTTTCATCAACCCGGATTTTGCGATCCCGATCCGCATACTTGCACTCAGCGGCGCGACCAGTCTTTTGACATCTGGAGCATGGTTTGTCTCCGGAACATTTAATCTTCTGTGCATGGCATCGATAGCATCTGGATGCAATTAGCATGAAGAAATATGTGATGTTAGATAGGTCCTTACGCGATTGATCGCTTCTGGGATCTCACAACCCCTGATCCCTGAGCCCGTCGGGATTCTCTGGGATTCTTCAGAGTTCCCAGGCTTTGAAACTTTGCGCATGATACTTATTCTCCTTCTAAGTAGAGATATCGTCCCATAACCATCAGTGGGATAAAGAGGAATTGTGGATGATGGAGCGGCCAGTTTTCAGTTGGCCGTAGCCAAGCGGATTTACCCGACTTTCTCACTACGGTGTTTTTCAAGTTCGCCGTAGCGTGGGGAATCAAGCGTAAGCATGGTATAAGATAGTCGATTCTTCTGTCAGCTTCAATTTTCCATTGCTCTTTCTTATACAAAATGACCATTGATTATACTTATTCATTTTTCCGGGTCTCCAAATCCGAGGAAATCTATCGATCCGCTCAAAAATACCGAGATCTTCGTTTGCAAGCACTCCAAGTGTCACCGGGGTCATTCGCCTCGACTTATGAAACCGAGTCTGCCTTTACAGATAATGATTGGATAAGCCGCTTAACAGATCCGGGCTATGAGATCTTTATCTCTGCCGCAACATCTCCTCATTACAGCTTGAGTGAGCCGGAATGGGTCGGTCAAGTTACGCTACGTGGCCCTGCTTCTTCACAAGACTTCACTCTACCTGCCGCATCATGTCAGCCACCACAGAAGTCAGATTCAGAGGAGGAACGCTGGCAGATGCTGAGCTTGTTTACACTACCCGAACATCGTGGAAATCGACTTGGTGCAAATCTATGTCGAGAAGCACTTGATTATCTTCGAAACTATCGACTCTCACCACCGAGTATCCACGTTCGCCTCATGGTTAGACCGGAGAATCAGGTCGCAGTGAAGCTATATCGGCGACTAGGTTTCATCGCGGCGGGAAATTGCAACCTTTCCGAGGCTCTGGTTGCGAATGGAGACGGATATCTCTTGCCTAAGGACTTGAGTGCAACGAAATGGTCGACTCGTACAGGATTGATCATGAGTTTGTGGATAACTCGGCATTGACATCTGGAATATTGATGGAAAATGAGTGTGACTCAATATGAAGCATCAGCTTCTTCAATTTTAGATCAATGTTGTACTGCCTCTTTCTATGCTCCATCCATAGGAAGGCCGCTCATGAGAAATATTATGTATACTGAAAGTTCAATCTTGGAAGTTAAATGGATCCATTGTGATGAATTTAACTCCGTATCTGAGCGCCCTCTATTAGTTTAACGCCCTCTTCACATATTATCCACACGCGTGGTTTAGCTTCGTTATAATAAAATCTCCATCCCTGGACCGTTTCTCGCCAGGGACGCTATAGATGAGTCGTTGTAGAGTTTTACTATTACCAGATACCACAACTTGGAACACTGAGAGTAACACTGAGAGTCCGATAGAATTTGAAGAATTGGCGCCCGGGCGACGTTAGATCGTACACGTCAGCGCTGCGGTAGCGTGCATGAAGGGCTTTCCAAGAAGGCGGTTTGCGCGCTATTTGAACTCACATGTGGGGGTAGATACATTAAATCTAAATAAATTCAAAACCGCCAGTGGATTTCAGATGAAAGATTTGACTTCGGATCATCGGATATGAAAAATTCCACTCAGCATTCAGCGACTCCATTATATTCATCAATTGATAATCTGTTGATTTCAGTAGCTTTACAGAGCGAGGATCCTTCAATCCTGCTAGTGGCTCTACCCTGGGCCGGTCAATCAAACTTCCTTGTCGCTGAAATCAGTGGATGGGTCTATCAACTCCAGGTCTCTAGTATAAGCATCTTTGCTGCGGTGTATCAAACGTGCCAGGTAAGATTCAAATGTTTTATTCAAGTTCTTCGCCTCCAAATCATTACCGCTGCGGGTTTCACGGGTACGTACATTCAAGAGGGTTATTGGACGAGCTTTTGGGAGGAATGCATGTCTCGTGGGACTCGGACATCATGATGCACTGATAGTATCAACAGATAATTTCCGGATGTTAGAGATAACATTTGAACCGCTGATTCAATGTTCTATTTAAAAACTTGACTGGCTATGCGAAGGTTGGGGCTCCATTCGTGCTTCTTAGCCTATGAAATACTATGTCACTCCAGCCCCAGATTATCCACTCGAGGTCGGCACTGAAGGCCTAATACAGTGTGATATAGCCATGGGCCATATACTACAACACTGAGTGGCTCGGTGAATGCGGGGATAAATTTGATCAATATGACTCCGAGCCAGACCTACAAATACTGCGAGCAGGAAGGAAGAGTGCCAGTGCCTATATTCCTTGCGTACATTTCGCTCCAAAAAGCGTCTTCTCAGGTTTTAGGTAATAATATTTGAACTGTTCGCACGACTTCCCGACTCGCACTTCCACGGGTGCGGAGTGAGGATGGCCTCGGTTCAAGTTGCAAGTGAACAGTGCGGCATACCCGAATCGGAAGATCAACAGAGTAAGATCGACGTGAATATCTTCTCTGGTTAGTATGACAAGTCGAGTCCTCTTTTTTACAGAAGCTAATGGCAATTACTATCCCAAGTTCAGTTTTACCAAATGTTGCACATATACTAGAGGTTGCGAACGAAGAAGAATCCGCCTGGGCTAAAGCAATGCGGATCAGAGTGCAGAACACCAATGGAGATGAGTAAAGCTATTTTCTTGAGGTTTGTATATTGCATGTGATATAAGAAATTTCCATAGGTAAAAACTGGCTATATGTTACTGACCATTATCAGATCTCTACCGGCATTGAGGGCAAAAATGCTTTGAAAGGAGAATTCGAGTCGACATCAGCAATTTACGCCATCGTCCCCGACTTTTGTCCGAAGCCAATGGCATGGGGCACAGTCCATGACGACCCAGACTCTCATTTCTATCTGTGCAAGTTCTATGAATTCTTTAAAGAACTTGAACCCGACCCTAAGTTGTTCTGTGAGCGGTTGACAAAACTTCACGCAAATCACTCTTCGCCAAATGGACAGTTCGGCTTTCACTGTACAACATACAATGGCAACTTTCCTCAGGATAACACATGGTCTGACAGTTGGGAACCATTTTTCAAACAAGGTCTGAGGCGTATTTTCGAGGTACGAGAGAAAAGGGCTGGATCTGATCCAGAACTTGACGCTCTTCTGCCCACGTTTTTTGAAAAAGTTATTCCAAGGCTCCTCCGGCCCCTTGACACTGGAGACCAAAAAATAAAGCCCTATTTAGTTCACGGAGATCTCTGGTACGGAAACGAAGGTACTATTGACGAGAGCACCAAGGAAGGGATCATTTATGACCCTGCCAGCTTCTGGGCATATAATGAGTGTATGCCATTTCCAAGGTTCTGACTGGTTGAAAAGGAATGAATGAATGAATAAGCTAAATAAAATCATAACAGATGAGCTGGGTAACTGGCGCCCAGTGCGTAACAGATTCACAGAGAAATATTTCCAGGCATACCATTCGTATATACCAAAAGCAAAGCCTCAAGAAGACTATGATGACCAAAATGCCCTTTACGCACTGTAAGACGTCCACCTGTCCACCTGTATAACTTCCAGCAACTTGGACACCTCTGCTTATAAAATTCGTTTTCCCCAGGAGATTCAACCTGGATGCAGCCACTCTTTTTCCGGATCAAGAGATCTATCTATCGATGTAGGTACTAATCTTGAAAAGAACTTGAAATTTGGATCTTTCAAAAATGGTTTTCACTGTCACTGGCAGTTCTCGAATAATACTAACTTCAAGTTGGAATAACCTATAGGGCTAAGGAGGAGATTCAGAACCTGAACAATAAATATTTCGAAGGATATACTCCTGAGATTGCCAATATCTAGTCTAACGCCCAAGTATAACGATTCATCCCAACTTTAACTTCAAATCCATCCGAGTCCGACCCTCCAGATGTCCCGAGGTCCTGATGGGCACCTGGGATGATATTCATTGAGAGCGCTTGAGGCTCAAGTTTTTTTTATTTTGAATCTAGTATTTGCGATTGCCCACAACTGACTGCCAGTGGTGTTGACTGCCAGTGTGCTCTAGATATCTCTTAGTATTACGTACTACTCACATTACTTAGTACTTCAATGTTCATGCACCTGTGTGCAAATTTTGAGATAACTTGAACTTCAAGTTGAACTGTGGCCTTAGACTTTGAAATGTGACCCCCCTATCTTCAACTTTGTACTATGTATACATGGTACTTGAAAGAAATAGTCCGAGGGGAACAGTAAATCTTGGAAAATAATCAATTATTTGGAAAATACGTATTTTCTTCGTAGGAATATTCGCGGAATGGGGATGAGAGATAGCCATTGCTGTCATTATTGGAGAAATTGAGGCAACATACGGAAAAACTACACTAAAATATTACGCTCAAGCGCTGGTTTTACTGGTGCCCGCATGAGCAGCTGTGGAGAATTGATTGATGTACTCTGTACACCCGGGTAATCTTATGCACATTTCGACCGAGTTCAAGCGAGTTTTTTTACGCCAATTTACTAACAATAGCCCCGAGGCCGCATGTGCAGTAATTGGAACAATGCCTGGGTGATATTGGTTAAATGTAGGTAGCTTCGAACCCATGTAATATTATTTACAGTAAAATTGGAGTAATCGAACTAGAATATGACATTTTCCACTCGTACTAGTTGAAAGAATCCTGAGTCATGCACGGTTGATTTAGCGGTCACCCAAGCTCAGCACTTGAGGGCCGCGATCATAAGCTTTCAAGTTCAACCCTGAAAAGGGATTTGTAGTATCAGACAAAGCCTATAATATATCGAACGTGTAGTATATTTTAATCTTCAGGAACAATAGTAGGCTGTTTGCATGTGCACCTGCCAGTGGGCAAATCAAAGATTTGAGAATTAAGAAGAGAATACGGCGTAAAGTGCCCTTCCAATTCTTTTCTTTTTTTCATTTTTCATTTTTCATTTTTCATTTTCTGTATTTCAAGCTTCAAGTTTCAAGTTTGTCTTAGCGTGCATCTGGCGGTAGCTTGAATAGGAGCATGGTCAGCGCATATGTAGGGTGGGGGCGGAGTGGCCGAAGCATCCCTATCCTGTCTATCCATGCCCAGGTGGATGCATAACCCGCACGGTTGAGGTTTTACGAACGATTCCTTAAGTGCAATTATTACATCTCTTTCCTTGAGTGGATTGTGCCAAAATCCCTTTATCAAATCCTTAATGAATCTATCATGGATCAGGTACGTGAAACTTCAAGTCAACGAGGATGTATTAGTACGAGAATATAGGCAGGCCAGATGCAGTTGTTGAGAAGCTCCTTTCTTTAATAGTCACGCAAGAGATTGATAGCCAAAGTGTTATCTCGCCCAGCTACGCAAACGGACTCTGAGGAGACAGGCGAATTCGGTCTCATCACGCTGAATGATCCACCGCTCATAAGCGCGTCGGTGGACATCATCTTCATACATGGCCTTGGTGGTGGGAGCCGGAGAACATGGTCTTACTCGGATAATGTAGACCACTTTTGGCCAAAATCCTGGCTGCCAGTCGACCTTGACTTTCAAGATGTACGCATTCACACCTTTGGCTACAAATCAGACTGGGCCAACAGGCAGCAGAGTGTCCTGAATATTCATGACTTCTCACAGTCACTGATCGGTGGAATGAGGAATGATCCAAGTATATGGCGGGATAAATCTGGTATCATTCTAGTTGGTCACAGCATGGGTGGATGCGTTGCCAAAGAAGCATATATCCTTGCGCGTCAGGATCCTTGTAAGGATTTGGCTGAGTGAATACACGGAATGTTCTTTCTAGGGACACCACACCACGGCTCAGATATGGCAAAAGTGCTGGAGAGCATGCTCATTGTCGCTTGGGGCAAAGACAAGCCATTCGTCACCGATTTGAAGCCCAATTCATCCGCTTTGTCGTTAATCAATGACAGATTTCGTTACGTTGCGACGGATCTGTCTCTATGGACATTTTATGAAACACTGCCTGTTATTGTTGGACCCATCAGCAGAATGGTAGTGAGGAAAGGTGCCGCGATCCTGGGCTACGATAAGGAGTGGATACAGGCGATGCACGCAGATCATCGTCACCTCTGCAAGTTCAACAACCGAAACGATCCCAACTATAAAATACTGCGGAATGCACTCCACTTTGCAGTTGATGAAATCAAGGATTTTCTTCTGAACACATTACCATCATATCTTCCCCTTGGGGCCTCAAATGCCTATACGTCTAACTTCCCATTGAATGAACTCTGCTCTCGTCTGAGATCTTTTCTCAAGGTAGATGATTTCTTTGAAAGTGAGCATGAGACAAATCAGGAGCTCAAAGAACCAGGTTCCTGCCTATGGTTCACAGAAAAGCCATTCTTCACGAAGTGGAAATTGGGTGACGGTCCTCAGATTCTGTGGCTTACTGGGAGACCAGGAACTGGAAAGTCCATTATGGCTAGTCATGTCATCGACCAACTCAATGCCCCAGCTTGTCGGAGCTATTTTTTCTTCGAGCATTCGTCAACAAACAAGTCCACTCTGAGTGACTGCTTCAGGTCTCTTGCGTTTCAAATGACAATGCAAGATGATATGGTTAGGCAAGAGATTATGCAGTTGGAGGACGGAGGAATAGCTTGGGATAAGGGAAATGAGACATCTGTGTGGATGAAGCTGTTTGTTGGAAGAATCTTCAAGTTATCATTCAGAGTTCCACATTTCTGGGTGATTGACGGCCTTGGTAAATGTGCTCATTTTAAAAACCTCTTCTCAAAAAGACTTCTATCAAAGTTAACACACAAAAAGAATCTGCGAGTCTTTTTCACAAGCCGTGGTACAGAGGGAATTGAGCGTGGTATAGCTTCTCTTGGATCCCAGGTTAACCCACAGTTAATGTCAAACACTGATACACTCGATAATATTCGGCTTTTCCTAACCACCAAGCTCAAGGAGCTGAATCGTTTAGAGAGTGACGAGGCCCAAAACAGTATTTGTGAGAAGATACCCAAAAGTCGGCTGGATCTTTTCTCTGGGTTCGTCTGATCTTGCAAGAATTTGTAAATGTTTGGACGGAAGAGGCCATGGATGCTACCTTGAAAGAAGTACCATCTGATTTGAACGATTTGTACAGCAGAATGCTAGAATCAATCGAGATTGACAGAACCAATATTGGTCTTGCCAAGTCTATCCTGACTTGGGTTCTCACAGCATGCCGTCCGTTGACAACAGATGAGCTGCGCTGTGCGGTCAAGCTAGATCTCAACCAAACACTGCAAAATTTGAACAAGGCTATACCGACTATATGTGGACAACTCGTCTTCATTGATCAAGCTGACCATGTACAAATTATACACGAAACAGCGAGGGAATTCCTTCTTGGCAAAGAAATCTGCTCGGAGCTCGCTGTTCAAAAGAAGCAAATTCACACTCATCTCGCGTCTGTTCTTCTACAATACTTGTCAAAAAGTGGCTTCGAGTCCGAGGGATGGAACCATCGAGGTTTAGGGAAGCCAAAAGGGTTCGGGAAGCCTGTTCCTACTACCCTGACCAACTTTGCCCTCGTTGATTACGCTTGCAATTTCTTCTCAGAACACATTTCAAGGGGCTCATCCAAAGATGATGTCTCGATGAACAACATTTGTACCTTCTTAAAGGAAAATAGCGTCCTATTGTGGATAGAGCATATTGCTCAAAGCCACGACTTAAGCAACATCACTCGTGCTGCATTGAACCTTCGCGGATATCTGGGGCGCAGGGCAAAATATGTGCTTCCAACAGACCCGTCAACTAACCTTGTTGAAGGCTGAGTTAACGACCTTATCCGAGTGGCTGCCAAATTTCGAAGCCAACTGAGTTGCTCGTTTCTCCTCATTCAATTCATTACTTGATTCCTCCCCTTTGTCCACCAGATTCAACTATTTCGAGAACTTTTGGAAGATCATCTTCGATCACTGTCAAGGGTTTTCCAGTGGGTACCTGGAATGACTGCTTAAGTTGCATTGACTACATGAGTGGCAAGACAACTGCTGTCAGTCATGGTGATAAATCCTTTGCTGTCGGGTTGTCTACAGGCAATGTCTCGGTATATGACAGTGAATTTCTTCGGCTTGTTTTCTCTCTTGATCACCCGGAACGAGTCAAAATTCTTCAGTTTAGTCAAGATGATCGATATCTTGCCTCCTGTGGTAGCAAATTTGTGGTTGTATGGGGAGCCAAGATCCGGGAGAAAGATGCACTCTTTTCCGTTGCACTCAGTTGCCCTCAGCATTACGTTCCTGGGAAATGATGAACTTTTAGGCGCATTTCGGTCTGGAGAACTGATAAAATGGTTTGTTATCCTTATTTTTCCCCCTTGAAAATACTCTTTCTTCTTCATTTTCACAGATGCTAATGTCTCCCAGGAGTCTCGAGACAGGTCTACAACGCACTATATCTTGGAAATCTTGTGATGACGGTGACGAGAATCAGGGTTTTGTACCACAGCAGTCGCCAATGAGTGTAGCGATTGTCACAGCCACCAGCGATGTTATACTTGCCATTGGCTTCCGTAATTACCCCGTATTCATTTGGAATGCATTCAAGCGACGGGTACAGGGCCAATGCATCGTTGATGCAAACAACGGCATCGATGACATGGTCTTCAATCCGAATCCCGACATTCCAGTCCTAGTTGTGTCGTACAACGATGGCAGATTATGCCTCTTTGACTATACAACCACAGCTTTAGCATTCACATTACAGAACCAACATGCGCGAAGCATTAAATGCTCCGCCGACGGTCGCAGCTTGGCAACAGGTGGCGGCCATGGTATAATTGAGGTCTTTGATTTTCATTGCCACCGAGACGGGAGCTACTGTCTAGCGTCAATCTACCGTGTCAATGTTGGATATGAATCCATCCGCGGTGTTGAATTGAGCTCGGATGGGCTACGCTTCGTCGATATTTGCGACAAACAGTGCCAGGTATGGGCACCCGCCGCCCTGGTCAGAATGGATATTGAGCAAGGGAGTATCAGTGACGCTACAACGGTTGTCAGGAACGATCCGGAGCTTTCAAACACCAGCGATGGTTCAGCATACTCAACTAAGAAGTCCAGCATCTCTGGCGGCTTAGAAAAGACAGATATCACAAGCCCCATTGTCGCGTCTAAAGACGGCCACTTTGTGATCGCAGGCAAGAAAGACGGCACCGTGGCAATTTTTTCCACTGCCACAGGGAACGAAATTGGGTTGTTGTACCAGCACGCACGAGGGGCTTCGATCGTGGCAGTCTCTCTCAATGAGTCCGGCAATTTGATTGTTCCAGCCGATGATTCTGGTCGTATCTTGGCAGGAGAGTTGAAGATGCCAATGCCGCTTGTTGGAAAAGCTCAACCTGAGCAAAGGTTGCCTACCACTCGCATTCTTCTTGATCGTCGCCTAAGCGGTAATGTCAAGAATCTTCTCATAAACCATAGAGCCGACCGTATTTATATGACAGGATATGACGTCAATGAGCTATGGGAATTTCCGTCTGGGAAAGTACTTCTTCGGACAGTCTTAACTCCTGCTCCTGAGGGAAATCCCTCACTCCAGTCATCGGTGCCCTCTCATATCCCCGACACTGATCCCCCTTCATCGAAAGGCATCTCGGAAAACACAACCAGCCTCGCCTCTTCATGTTCCCCTTTCCACCATCCTACTAACCCAGAATGGTTCGTTATTGTGGCTGGAGATCTGTTCCACGCTTTTAAGTGGGCAAAGTTCGAAGAGGTGACACCCCCAGAGGGTCTCCCGCTCAAAACAGCTTTAATGAGCACAGACTCACCACCAAGTCCGAGATCAAACTTCGCTCCACAACCCTACAGCTTCTGGCACTCCTCGGAAAAGACCACCTTCCATATCGGACCCGGTTTTGTTGTTGAGCTTGTAAGATCCTCTTCATCTGCACAACCGCGCCTGTACGTATGGCCAGCCGAATCGTTTGACCCGCACAAAAAAGTGGTACCCGCGCAGTCTACTACATCAACAAAGCTGGAAAGCCTTGGTCGAGATATTCTGGCAGTGCTAGGCTTTGCCGGCACGTCAATGGTGTACCTTGATACGAGCTTATGGATTTGCAGTACCATCTTGCAGCCAATACCTAGCGACAAAATCAGCAGTGTCGACAGTACTCGGCGGCCTCTCTCTGAAACTGATCCTCGAAGTCATTTCTTCGCACTGAGTGAGTGGCCTACCGCGACGGGAGAGTTGAAATGCGCGATGATCCCTAGTCAGGTTGCGTCTCGACAGAGCCACAGCCGAGAATTTGTTTTGTTAGCGGCCACCATCTTGTGGCAGTAAAGGGTGGATTTGAGATCTAGATCCAAGGTTAGGACAAAAAGAAGAATATTGCATGTTTTTTTCGGGTGAAGAAGAAGCATTTGATAATATTAATACCATCTGTAATTTGATTGTTTGGAATGCTCTTAAAGCATCTGTAGATGCATCTGGGACTACATCTATACTAGAAGTTAATTCTCGAGCTTCAATGGTAATATCTGGTCGAGTATAACTGCTCCAGGCAATGAATGAAAATACTAGTAATCGTCCGCCAATTTGGGGGCCTCATTGCTCAATGACTCTCAATGTCGTGAAATTCCAAAGAATCCTGTACAATCTTATATTTCTAACACTTGGAACATATTCGAAGAACAGAAAGAAACCAATTTAAATCTCACTTCCGAATTGCCGCCTGCTAAAAATCAAACTCATTCTAGACATTGGATGAAATTGACTCTAATATGAGGGCACGCGTGAGCAGTTCCATATTTCCTTCAGTTCCAAGGTGCCTTGTTACTCACGGGCTGATCATTTTCTTCGTCAAATATGTCAAAGCCCAAATGAGGACTCGGATTCAAGAATCGTATTGGGCCATGTTCAGAAGACAAGCGATCTATGGTATCGATATCTTCTTGCCGCAGCATCCTGATCTCAAGATTTTCTTGTAAGTGAGCATACTGTGCAGATTTTGGCACTGCTGGTCTTCCTCTCTGTACAAGCCAAGAAAGGCAAACCTGTTTACGAGTCAATTTACTGCTTCCGATCAATGAGTACAAGAGCTCGGATCTTTACCTGGGCTGGTGAAATTTCGCATCTGGCTGCGATTTCTTTGACCTATGATGAGTTAGTACTCGAGCTGCTAGAATTCCTAATTTTCCCCAAGCACTTTCCTTTGGATCTTCAGTTGGAAATGGCTCGTCTGGGTGACCACGAACTACACTAACTGGTCGTTCACCAAGTGGTTGATGAGCCATTGTAAGTATAGCATGTCTGCATGAGAATTCCAAAAGCTCTCGCTGAGGAAAATATATATACAAATAGTTAGAAAACTCTCGGGAATAACTGATGAAGATGGGTCCATACGGATGGATTTCAACCTGATTCACAGCTGGGGTGATATTTGCTACCTCAAGTATTCTTTTGATCTTCAAAATGTTGGAATTCGAAAGCCCTGTGATTGTTGCAATATCAGGGGTTGGGAGATAAATTGAGAGAAAGGATGGGATATGGTACATACCAATTGAGCGAGCCTTACCAGCCTCGACTAGTTGCTCCATTGCCAGCCATGTTTCCGGGTATCTTCTAGATCGGTCATAGTCTATTACAGGCTGCTTCATGAGTTAGAACAGTCCCCGGGTATACCTTACTATTTCTCTAGCCTTCGAGAATATCATACTTTGCCATTACCGCTTGGGTGTCTAATTGTCTGATTGTTTTCACCTGGTCGGTATGCATGAGGAACTGAGTCATGTTAGCTCTTGCTAGAAGAAGGGCATCTCGGGCTTTGGATGGTAGTACAATGCATCAAATATAGGTCAACTTCAAACACTCGAATTAGCTAAATCATTCCCTTTCTTCGTGGAAGTGGAAAGTACCATAGTCCATCTGCAGGTTTCGCAATGAAATTTCCAGTCCTCTCTGAACATCAGCAGGCTCATGCCAGGTTTGAGCTCTGAAACCCCCAATTTTAGTCAAGATTTGACATCAAAGATCTGGTGGATATGAATTCGTGACTTACAGTTTAGACGTCAAAGAAAGCTCATGTCTGGGAATGCCGTTCTCTCTGATAGCTTCACCAACTTCCTTCTCATTACCATATGCATCTGCACAGTCAATATGTCTTTAGCCTAGCTGCAAGGCAAGCTTTACCGCATTCTTTACATTTGAAGAAGCATCGGCACCATAAAAAGTCCCGAGACCGATTGCAGGGACCGCCTTGCCGTTATTTAGAATAAAGGTGTTTGGAGGATCCATAGTATGTCAGTTGTGGTGGGAAAATAGACCTTTGCATACAATCGACATACAATCGACTGATTTGAAACTTGAAGACATGAAGGGGATAAAGGGAATATGGGGCTTTCAAAATGTTCGATTTCTCATTCGGACTTCGGTCCATCTTACCCCGCTCCTACTACCTAGGCTAGTACTTATCGCCCCAGGTGCCGTGTCAACAATCCAGATGTCTATATTTGAGATGGCTATCACACTAGGCGCCAGTTTGATCCTTTACATGGAAACCCAAAAATGATAAATGGACACCCTTCGCCAAATTACATTCATCCGAGTCGTGATTCGTACATATATTCTTTAGGGTTTCACCTGGGCAGGTAAGAAGGTTGGGCTGGCCTGAATTTCGTTCATTTCTACCACTTGAAAATTTGAATCAAAGTACAAACCCCGATTAGGAAATTCTTGATTACATGCCTTAGGTCCTTCTCCCTTCTTTCAAGTTTCCTCATGCTTATCCTAAGCGTAGTTCCTCCCTGAACTTCTTGAACTTGGATACGTCAAAAGCTTTACTGAGATCGGCCATAATATTCTCCCTCCAGGCTTTCAATGAGATCCAATTCAACATTTGAAGTTTGGCCTTTTGTCACTTGATCCACTGCCTAACAATTCTTGTAAACAAAACCCCGTGCCTTTGGAAAGATTGGAAGTAACATGCGGCCTTGCTCGTCCTGACCAAAATGGGATTGGGGATCTTTGTAACTATCCATCACCAACAACAATGCGAGTGGCATATTAGAACGTGTATCCTCTGCCCCAGAAGGCCAGATTATATCTAATAATGTACCGAAAGCGCCATTAACCAGCCCATGCTCTGTCCAAATATTCTTTCTTAGTATTAAGCGACAACCAAGAGCTAGATGTAAGGCATTGGGGAGATTCGCAGCATCGTCATCTGTTGTATTGCGGGCAATATCAGAGCTACTATTATTGTGGCAGTAATGGACAACGTAGGTCTTTCCACTTAGTAGCTGTTTCAAGTCATAGTAGTCCATAGGTACTAGTAGTATGTACTGTGCGCGAGGGTATGCGTTGTCGCTGTCCATGTAGTATATAAAGGTATACGGGCTCGCTGTCGTCTTCTTTGATCAGGGAATTTATATTGAATAATCCCTCCCTGGTAGCCCCTCGGCCATCAAGCGCGATCTATTCTGCAGATTTGCTGGTTGGTGCAAGTAGGGACTGACATTTACGGGTCTTTGAGATCGTAGTGCTGTTGAATAGTCGCCCCGGCTAGATAGATGGATATCGTAAAATTTGTTTCGCAAAGGCTATCGCTTCTTTGGAAAGGTGGTTTCTGCACCTTTGCAAGACTTTCGTGGCGTACGTAACATTTGAATGCCAGGTCTGTTCTTTTTTCGCAAAGTTTTGCGTGCGGTGATCGTTCCGCATTTTCGCCATCCTTTGCTTTCAGCGTTAAGTAAGCACCACATGGTAAAAGCTGTCGCGAACCGACTTATGTACTTCATCTGCGGCGAGAGAGGGGTCATAATTGCCCTTGAGGAATCGTTAGAAAACAGCCTAATCATCTACTGGCGAGGCATACCACCTGGTGTCATATTCAGAACCAGTTGCGAAATTGCCCGCGCCCAAGCCTGGATCGGTATTTAACGAGCTTCTCTCCCTTTCGCTGACTGCGCTTGTTTCGAAATATTGCGCGATGTTGTTGCCCTCTTCCATCTCTCTTCAACGAATAATGCCCTATTAAAAGGTTTCTCCTGTGGAGTGTGTTCGTTCTGATTCTGCCTTCTATCTCCAAAGCCTTCGCTCCAGTCAAAGTATTCACGTCGAAGCAAGACTCCCTATGTGGGATTCATCATGGCTACTATTTGATAATACCATACTGGTATTTTGCTGCAGAATCCGGGTGTTCTCACTCAGTCCATTCAACGACATAAGAATGTTCGTTGATTGAGTCAGCAATCTCTTTGTTCCCCTTTCTCTTTCCCTTTCTCATCCAGGATAAGGGCAAATGAATTCCTCTTGTCTATGCTTTTTCCTGTGTTTCCAAAGGGCGGACTCGTTTTTGCAAAGCACTTTGCATCCCGGTGCACCACACAGAAGTCTCTGGCCTTCATGGCACCATCCAATATGGGCGTCAAGTTCATTATTCTTGGCATAATCAATGTTCCTGACAGTCAGGGTAAGGACATTGTAATCTCGTAGGGTTATAGCCGAGAAAATGGTAGTTCCAGGCTCTGATGCCGTGGCATGTTTCTCCGTTTATCGTAGAATCCTTGTCTTCATCATCCTCAGATTTGCTGTGTCGTTTCCTGTTGTGACTGGACATCTGGAAAGGCCTTTTTGATGCAAGGATAGTGCCACAGCGCTCACATTTGAACCTTTTTCCACCTGGGGGATGCTTCCTTCCAAGGTTCAAGTTTTCCCTTTGAGGTACCTCTCGAACAATGTCCAATAGATGCAATCTTTTTCCTTGCAAGAATAAACTTCTCCACTCTTATCCTGATGAAACCGTTTGGTATGCTCTGTCCGAGATCTCGAAGGAAAAGGCTGCCCAGGTGTGTATGTACTTGTCAACTCTATTCTTCGAATCCTTTTGGTAAGCGAAGCTTATAAATGACGCGCGGACTGACTTGAAGCTACACATCCGTACTCAAAGATGGCCAGTCGGGATAAAGAACCCATTTTTCACCATAGCCTGGACTCGGAGTGGCTCGGGGAGAAGATTATTGGAGCCGTTGGAATGGATTACATTATGTTGGTTTCGGCGAGATGGCTTTAATTCTTTTCAAGTTGATGGATTTCGATGCACTGGCAGCAAGAGATGATCAAAAGTGGACACCCAAGAGGTGTGCGTATATATAGTAGTTGGCTCGTTGGACACGAACTTGAATTTACCTCAGATCCGGACCTCGGGAACTGTGGCAAGGTTCACTGACGACACCTGGGCCTATCCAAGAAAGTTAGAAGGACTCTAAGTTAGAGCAGTTGCTGAGTTCATTTTGAAGGGGGTTTCATTCAAGGGAGAGTAAATGTACATAGTGAGAATATGAATGATCATTGATATTTCCAATTGCTTAGACGTGCGGCTGACCGCCCCGCTTATATCACCTGCAGTTTGCTCAAACAAATTACCTGGGTAAGCTCTAGGTACGTACTGGATTTTTCCAGCCGGGGCTTATCTATTTCAGTTGCTGCCGCTTTAATGAGGGCGCTCAGGCTCAGGCTGAGCAAGTCGACTTATTTTGCGATTTTGGTTTAGCGCCCCCATCGCTCCCCTTGCCGCGGAATGTTCAATGTGCTGAACGGCTCCGGGAAGGGAAGGGCTCGGGCCCTCGAGCACCGGAGAACGTTTTCCACGCTGGATAATCCCCCAGAAGATACAAGGCTGCCATTTCAGTTGTAGGCTCTTATTCATATAACTCATCAAGCTCAGCTGTACCAAAATCTTGCTTCTCATTTTAAATTGAACAGGAACAAGGCCGTGTCACTAGAGAATCAAAAGAAAATGGGCAGCACCGACTGGACAATGAGGGCTGCACAATGGGATCCTACTCAACAAATGGCCGTGGTAAATATCATTCCCTTACCGAAGCCTGGGCCGAACCAAATGCTTGTCAAGATGGCTTCAGCCTCATTATGCCATTCGGACTTGATGTCGATCAACAGACCCAACCTCACCGACCCGTCTGCAATTGGCCATGAAGGTGCTGGCTACGTTTACCAGCTGGGTGCAAACTGCCAGGACAAATGATTCAAAACAGGGGATCCAATAGGATTCCTTTATATCAATGGATGTTGCTTTGAGTGCGAGGGGTGCATGGTGCACAATACTCTGTGTACCAATGGAAACCCAGCGATCGCCGGGTTTGGGGATTTTGGCTTCTTTCAAGAGTATGCCGCTGTGGATTTGCAGGATATTATTCACTTGCCAGAGGCTCTGGATCCAAAGAAAAGCTCGGCCATTTTTTGCGCGGGTATCACTGGTAAGCATATACAGCCTTTCCTCTGCTGCGGTCATGTTAAAAAGAAATGAAAAGCTTTCCATGCTGTCGACGCTTGCGATTTGAAGAAGGCGCAATGGCTTGCAGTTGTCGGAGCTGGGGGTCTGGGCCAGCTTGCTACACAATACGCAAAGGCAATGGGCTTCCAGGTGATCTCGATAGATATTAATGACAATGCACCCCAGGCCTGCGAGGAGCAAGGCGCAGATTTCATAATCAACTCCACATCACAAGCAAACGCATACATCGGAGAGGTGAAGAATCTGACAAGCGGTGGTGTACATGCTGCTGCTGTGTTCAGTGCGGCCACAGTCGCATATAAGGGGGCGCCAGCCTTGATCCGGCCAGGTGGTGTTTTAATGGTAGTCGGTATTCCTGCTGACTCTCTTCAAGCTTCAGCTATGGATCTTGTCATTGGAAATTATCGAATCAGGGCTGAAAGTACCAGCATTCCCCAGAGAATGAAAAAAAAGCAGTGGATTTCACAGCCAAGCATCAAATTTTACCCCAGGTGGAGGTATTGCAAGACGGCCTAGATGGTGTGGATAGGATGATTCGGGAGATGAAAAATGGCCACTCAAGCAAAATAATGACTGTGGTTTTTGAGTAAAGTCATGCATGTGTGTGTAAGCTCGAAGTAAGAATCAATCGAGCCTTGGAATAACATTTGAAGCCATTGATCTGTTTTCAAGTTCACAATCTGCGTCGATTCCCGAGCTATTAATACAATCTTTACTTGATTATCTCTCGAATTCGACGGGAATCTTGGAAGTGTAGTTCGCAAGGTTTCCAAGATTAGCTATAACATTGAAATTATCAATCATGCTAAGGGTTGGCCGCCCAAGCGAGGATCATATATGAATTGAGCATATGTTACTTGGGCACTGATCAAATATACTACTACTAGTAGTAAAAGAGGTGAAGCTCTCTTCTTGATACTATTTACTTCCAAGGTTGGTCAGAAATATAATTTACAGACGAAGAGACGTAAAAGACTTCGAATGTTCAGAGAAAATATATAAGATATATAGGTACCTACTAGTAGTATTTGGTCCTTCTTTCTACTAGTAAATGAAATCGATACTACTGCAAAGCTCCAGGGCTCCTATAGCCAAATGAAGACGTTGGAATAGATGCGCGGATATAGGTTGAAATAAAATAATCGAAAGTGTTGGATTTCAACCTTGAAACAAGCTTAAACTAATCAAAACAGCCTAAACATTTAGTTCAAGCTGTCAACATTGCCAACAAAGCAACATAAAATTGTATCGGGTTAATATTCTAGTAGGTTAAGTTTATCATCACAGTCTTGACTTCAGTGAAGGCCTCCAGCGCATTACGGCCACATTCCCGACCAAGCCCACTCTGTTTGCTTCCGCCGAAGGGAGCATTCAAAAAGCTCAAGCTAACACAGTTCACGCCGACCATGTCCGATTCGAATTCGCTGGCCACACGCATTGCTCTGTTGATGTTCTCAGTAAACACACCCGCCATGAGTCCATACTCGGTTGAATTGGCCTTCTTAATAAACTCTTCTTCCGTCTTGAAAGAATTGAGGATAGAGACTGGACCGAAGATTTCCTGTCGATAGATTTCTGCGTCTGGCTCGACTCTCGTGAAGACCGTTGGCTGGATGAAAAAGCCTTTATCTCCAACGCGTTTTCCACCTGTTAAGAGGGTACCTTGTTGCACACCGCGTTCGATAAAACCAGTGACGCGTCGGAACTGAGCCTCGTCAACCAGGGGGCCCATGAGAGTCTCGTTTTTATCAGGATCTCCGATCGCCTTGGCACGCTCCTCCAATGCTGCTTTATATTTCTCCGAGAATTTGTCAAGAATTCTCTCTTAGACATATACCCTGGATGCTGCAAAGCAAACCTGCCCAGTATTGCTACCAATGGCTCGAACACACCAGTCCACTGCATTTTCCAAGTTGCATTCATCGAATACGACGGCCGGAGACTTGCCACCCAGTTCCAATGTCACCCGTTTAAGATTCGACTCTGCAGCCATTTTCTGAATAAGCTTTCCAGTTGGGATTGATCCAGTGAAGCTGACTTTCCTAATTCTCATATGGCGTGCCAGTAGAGCGCCGGTTTCGCCAGCTCCAGACAACACCTGGAAGACGCCAGGTGGAAAACCGGTCTGTTTGATCAAAGAACCGAGAGCTAGCGCAGCAAAGGGCGTTTTCTCAGATGGCTTCAAGATGAAACAGTTCCCAGTTGCCAAAGCCGGTGCAGCTTTAAGTCCTACTGTACCCATAGGGCCATTCCAAGGTACAATGCCGGCAGTGACTCCCAAAGGCTCAGTTCGGGTGATACGCATGAAAGTATCCTGCTGTGGGTATGCTTCGCCTGCGAATTTATCGATCCAACCGGCGTTATAGCGGAATGCTTCCGCTGCAAGTCCAACTTCGAACTTTCCAAATGCTTCGAACGGGGCCCCGAGCGTGATTCCGGTAAGCTCTGCGAGATCGCGGGAGTGCTGTTCAATGAGTGAGGCAAATTTCAAAAGATATCACGTCGTTCTAGTGCACCCATCGCTTTCCATGTGGGGAAGGCAGCTTCTGCAGCCACCACACCCGCTTCAACATCATCTGCACCGGCGATGGGTACTTTGTCTGAGACGAGGGATCCATCCTTTGGGCTGTAGACAGAGAGTTTTTCCGTATTTTTTGCGTCAACATATTCGTTGTTGGTGAATAATTGACCTGGCAACTTTGAAGTAGAGAAGCCCAGATCAGACTGGGTTTTGATAGAACCCATGGTGGTGAGTAAGATTGCTAGGTAAGATAGGATAATCGAAAAAGTCTATTTCTCGTGTAGTAGGATGGAACGAACTTGATTAAGTTAAATGAATTGAAATCCTCCACATGAATGGACATTCTTACCCTGCCTTTCATCATGCCGAGAAGCGGGGGAATACACTTCGGAAAACATTATCCCGTCTGAATTTGAAATCAAGGGTTCAATGACATCAGATTCCAGCAGATAGGAATGAAGCCCCGCCCATATGCTGATGCATTATTCTGCCTGGGTCAAGTTGAATAAGTCAAAACATGGCATGGTAACTGACGAATAAAGCCGAAAGCAAAGAGGGGGTAGATCGCTCTTCCCATGGGTTGGATCCACTAGGGCGATAATGACCGACATGCATACGCTGCGTAATTGGTTAAATCACACTCGAGATGGGGTATATAGAAAATATCATGATTCAAGATGGTGACAAGAAAGTCAGAATAGCTGAATTCATGACTCGCAGAGTTCAATGCCGATTGCGGGGCCCCGGTATTGGTATTGCGGGGGTGGAGACAGTAGTAGTACAGTAGTGTCTTTGTTCACTTTCTAGAATAGCCAGCAAGTTCCCTTTTCTCTGGTGTTTACTTGCTAACGAAACCTTCAACCCCAAAATCACAAGATAAACAAGTCGTACATCTAGACCAGCCACGATTGCGACGAACAATACAAAGAGATTAACTTCATCTTACTGGTCTTTTCACCGAATGGCAACCACAGAGAAGGCAAATCCTTCCATGGATACAATGAAGTCCGGCACTGATAAGACTTCGAAACGACGACATCGTGCATCCGTTGCCTGTGTCACCTGTCGAGAAAAACGGACGAAATGCGTGGTTCAAAATGGAGAGACTTTGTTCGTCTTGCCTAGAGCTCAAACAAGAATACGTGATTAAAAATGATGACCAGAGGAGAAAGTACATCTTATATTTCAGGCGCTCTGCAAGATACGGTGTTCAAAGCTGACTAATATTTTAGACCTGTTTCAAAGGCATATGTCAATCTGCTGGAGGATCGAATCAATCAATTAGTCTGCGCTTCGGGACAGAGAGAGACGCGGTTCAGCAGAAATACGGAGATTGGCTGATGAGATACCGAGTAGAGAGAATATCCCTACGGAATATTTGGATCCACAGACTGATTTTAATCCCACGAACCTCTCCTTACCAACATTCTCAATACCAGATCCCCCGCCAGAAGCAGAGCCCGAATGCGCCACCCAGAATTTCGCAGAGCCTCTACTCGAGCTGAACTACCCCTCCAAAAACAGCGTTTCTGACAGAAAATCCAAGAGTCCCTCCGGCGGTTCAATCCGCAAGCCGAGTCCGGTCAGCAAGAGGTCTTCTACGGTCCATAAACTTCTGTCCACCAGGGGCCATCTCAGCTTCGACCAACTCGCTGGTCGGCTACACTACTTTGTACCAACAACAAATTGCCATGTGTTATCGGTAACACAACTTCCAGAAGAGGGCTTGAGGCATGTACAGACACAGGGAAGACGAACCCAGCGAATTTTATCAACTTTGTCACAAAACGTGCAGGAGTATTTGATGGGTCTATTTTGGCAATACTACAACCCTGTCATTCACGTTATTGACCGAAAGGCATTTGAAGAGGGAAAGGATTCTGGTGCTGGACCCTTCTACTCTGGTTTCCTCCATATTTATATCCTGGCAGCTGGTTATCGATTTGCAGATAAGCAGCGACCAGACATGCTTAGTCTTACGCTTCCCGACAGGGAGAGTATGCTCCATCGAGAAGCTAAGTATATGTTAGACTACGAGATGGAGCGACCGGGTGGAATTCCGTTTATTGGAGCTCTTTTTCTACTCGGAGATCCGGAAGTTGGCTGTGGTCGAGATAATGTCGGCTGGCTCTATTCTGAAATGGCCTGCCGTTTATGTTTCGACATCGGTCTGCATCTAGATCGCTCTCTGGGCTTCCTGAAAAAGATATTGAAATTGGCCGCCTGACCCTGTGGGCCTGTGTGGTATATGATCGCTACTGAGCACTCTTCCTCCGTCGACCAACAGCACACCTTTCTGAGAAGTTTGACCGGCTGGGAACTAGGCAAATAGAATGCGCGAAAATGAATATCGAGACTCAGGTCTATCAAGCACTAATAGAGGTGATGGAGCTTGCCGGCAAGATTACAGAAATCATGGACAAGGTCTCAAGTCGAAGTACCAACATCGACCGAATGCTTTACCTTCAAATGTCCGCTCTGGATCGAGAGCTCGAAAATTTGTACAAACGCCTACCGCTATCTCTGCAGTACACCGCCGAAAATATTCAAACTGCTCCATTTTCATTTTTTCTGCTCCATCAGCAATATTACTCTGCCACTATACTACTCCATCGCCAATTCGCTCGCTATGATGATATTGTAAATAGTGGCGAGAAAGAGCCGAGGAAACCCAGTGAACCCATACTTGACGCCAGCCACCTGTCAACCTTCTCGCGTGAGACGTGCACAAAATGCGCTGAAAGAATTGCACAGATATTCTGGCAGCATCGACAGAGATTTGACACTAGAAAGATCTTCGTCACGGGTCTACAGCATGCCGGAAATGCGGTCACTGCGCTAGTGGCTGCCATTGCCTCTTCCACAGACCGCCGTTCAAACGACAAGAACATGCGATACCTGGAATGTATCACATTGGCATCGTAAGATATGTCAGAAACCTATCAGCTAGCAGAGAGAATGGCATCTCTTCTGAATGCGGTTCTCCTAGAGCTCCAAGATCTTCATTCGAACAATCATACAATCAGCGTGGTACCTGCCAGGCGAGGAAGCTCTGCAGACCGAGAAGATGAACCTGGTTTCGTTCCTTCAAAGAGAGTACCATCGTCCAATCGTACAAGAATTCGTCAAACACCATTAATCCCATTGAGCTTTGCCGATTATCCGACACAAAAATCACCAGCTATTCCCTCAGCATCTGCACATACACCACAACAACTTTCCGAGAAACACTTAGGCTACAACATAGCCAATGAAGATTTCATAGTCGTTGACACCGACATGGCAGCGATTGAAGGCGCGTGGCCTATGTTTAGTGGCATTGAACCATTTGCAATGGATGAAGACATGGTAAATCACAGCTCACCCTCTGCCTTTCGATCAGTCTGGGCGGGAGCCGACACGCCCTGTTTCACACCACCACCCAACACACAAAATATGAACCGAAGCTTTGTGTCCATAGCTGAGGATTCAGGAGGGATAGATAAGGGTAAGGAGCTAGGGAAAATTGGACCCACAGAGAAATTCAGGGATAATCCTTCAATCCCTGAAAGTAGTATAAGCATGGCAATTCCTGGGTTAGAAAAACCTCCTCCCCTATCTGGCACTCGTAATAATGTAATTCGCACCTACTAGCACACAGAAAATCCTCCCGGGAAGAGCACAATGAATACGCGAGACATGATAAGACACGACGACATATGGACAGAGATCATAAGTTGATCTAACCCAATATCCTTTTCTCTTGCGGCGCGTGTAGACGGCGAAGACGAAATGCTCGGGTTGTCTTTCTTTTTTTTACGGGGTTTCATGTTAGGCCTGAAGTGAGTGTTACTGGTGAAGTCCTGTGCTATTCTGGTGGCCTTGATTCATTCTATGTTTTTATTGCTCGAAATCAGCGAACTTGAACGAAATCGATGTCAATTAAGCGTTCGCCGCCGTTCTCGCAATGTGAGTAGGATGCGATCTAGCTTATTATTGCATGCCGATATTCAATTCTTGGGATAACAGCATACGGTCATTGAATTTTAAACCCCCCTAGGAAGAAACCGCGTTAGTGTGTTGGCCAGAGGTTGACGGTGTATAAAGTTGATGTTACCCATCTGCCACAAGGGCCGAGCCATACATGTAGCTGCTCATAGGCGATGCGAGGAAGGTGATATGATCTGCTATCTCGTCCATGTCCACAATTCTCTTCACTGGCACCTTGGCCCCCTCTCTCTGCATGATCTCTGTATGCATGCTACTACCGACGAGAGGGGTTCGAACATATCCTGGACAAATTGCGTTGATTCTGATGTCCTGAGGTGCATAGGCGATAGCATCCGCTTGCGTTAGACCAACCACGCCATGCTTCGCAGCTGTATAAGAGACCACTGGGACATTTAAAGATGTTCCAATGATACCGTACATTGAGGCTACATTGATGATCACTCCCAAGTTATGTCGGCGGGAAGCAGTAAATCTGGAGAAAAGGGTTATTTCTCAAGAGGTTGAGTATGTCACAGGGTAGTACCTACTCTTCGTACTTCCTTTGCTTTAACATCGCTCTTATCTCAGCCCAACTAGTTGACCAAACACCCGTGAGGTCTATATCGAGCGTACTTTTCCATCCCTCCAGCTCGTGCTCTGCAGACAAAACAGGAGGCCCTGCAATTCCCGCACTGTTGACCGCATAATCAATCCTACCAAGTTGCTTCACGGTATCTGAAATTGCTGTGTTGATGGACGACTCGCTTGTGAAATCAATCCTGCGCGCAATGGCGTTGATGCCAGGGAAATGTGACTTGATGTCGTGGGCTACTTGTTGAGCTGCATCGAGGTTGATGTCAGCCAGGCTCAATTGACGTACCCCATGCCGAGAAAATGAAAGCACGGTGGCTTTTCCAATGCCTATTGTGACAATATCAGTCACTACTGTGCATCAAATTGAGAAATACTGGGTTCTTCAAAGTCCCACCAGATGATGCGCCTGTGATGAAGCCAACTCCTCTTAGCAAAGATCACCATTTCCCTTGCAAAGCAGACAGGTATACTAGTTGCAATTATATCGGAAAGTCTCACCTGAAAACCTCTAATGCCTAGGCCTCTAGTACTAGTATACCGGTACAGTGATATCCCGGCTATCATTTTTCTGGCCCCGCATCCATGAAGTTAGCTTTCTCTTTTCCGTTACTAAATTGGCTAACCAAATGCGACAAGTGGGAAGCAAGATTTAAATATTCATATCATGAAAATCGAGGGTAATTCAAAGCCAAAAGCGTGACACTTATTGGGACCTCCTCCGGTGCAAACTCCGCATTTGGAGCTGCTTTACGGCTCATAGATCAAGGGATGGTCGATCACGTCAAGGGTGTTATTGCTTTGAATCCCTGTACCGTTCATCCCGATGCTGTACCAAGCGACATGAAGGCAAAGTTCACATCGTATGATGAGCATGCCTACGATACTGTGAACACAGCACCTGTTATGCGCGCATTTTGGGATGCTTATGGCGTTTCTCCATCGGATCCTTATGGATCATGTCTGCTTCACCCGAAGATAGGCTTATTGAATAAGGTATACATTGCAGAGTGCTGCCTAGACACTTTACGAGATGATGCAAAACTTATGAAGGAAGTACTGGAACGAGAGCATGTTCAGTTGCGATACAGCTCCTATCCTGGTTATCCCCATTACTCTTGGACTTATCCTTCTAAGCATCTGGATGAACATCGGAAAGGCTTTAATCTTAGTCTTTTGAATGCTCTAAAGTGGGTGAATGGAGAATAGAGAACCTTTATAGTGTACTAGCACGGGTTGGAACCAGAGCAAGCAATTGATCAACTGTTACGTGTCTTCAAAATTATTCCAATCGGAAATGAGGCAGGAGTGCAGTAGGATGCGGGGGCTCTGGGGATGTTCGCCGGCAATCCTTTTCCTGTTGTGATGGGCCCCACATAATAATATTTGAAAGTGAAGGTATGTAGGTTGATATAAATGAAATGAACGCATTGAACATTTGACCAATCTTGTGCTAGATAATAATTCCAAACATCTTCGGACCAAAAGGCCTCACACATACTTTCAAGATTTGACCGTTTCTTCATTAGGTTACTACACAGCATCATGGGCTCAGTTGACGATGCCTACCCTCCAAAGAGGCCGGTTCGTATCGGCGGTGCGAGTGGCGGCTTCACGGATCGCCAGCGCAGCATCCTATCCTTCGCTCGAGATAACGATGTTGACGTAATTATCGGTGATTGGATGAGTGAGATGACGATGCAATGGCATGGCGCAGCCAAAGCTGAATCAGCTCAATCAGGACAAGCTACGCATGGTATCGGAGCTTTTGATCCATCATTCATGGGTACATTTTCGCCGGCCCTCTCCCATCTGCAGCAACGTCGCATCAAAGACGCTGTCAATGCCGGTGCCAGTGAGCCTGATAAACTCGCCGACTTGGTGGTCAAAGCAATTGAAAAGCAAGGTCTCGACCTGAGGTTGCCTGGATTCAAGGCGATGAGGCAATGGATGTCGCTCAAAGACTATTGAAAGAGGGAGAGAATTTTGAGAATATATGTTTTGGTGGAAATCTAAAGGATTGGCCATTTAAGCCAATAGCTGCTCAGTATTACCTGGGCGGAGAAGGTATTGCAGAGGCCTTTCGAGCTGGTGCCGATATTGTTATTTGTGGTAGGGTATCTGATGCCGCACCTGTAATTGGAGCGGCCGTGTGGTGGCATGGCTGGGACCGTAATCGTGACTACGATGCGTTGGCTGGATCGCTCATCGCGGGTCATCTAATCGAATGCTCGAGTTATGTCTGTGGTGGATACTACAGCGGTTTCAAAGATTTGTTCGAAGGATGCGAGAATATTGGGTTTCCTATCGCCGCCATCAACAAGGACGGGACGTTTATTTTGGAAAAGGAGCCGAATACGGGTGGGGAAATGTCAATAGGAACAGCCACGTCTCAGCTTTTGTATGAGGTCCAAGGCCCACGCTACTATGGCTCGGATGTCGTTGCCGTGCTTGAAGGGATTCACATGCAGCAAATCACCAAAGATCAAGTTCTCGTCACCGGCGTCAAGGGAAGCCCACCACCCACCACCACCAAGGTCGGAATCACCGCTCGAGGGGGCTACCAGACAGAATTCCACTATTACATGTATGGACTTGATCTCAAAGAAAAGTTAGATTGGACTGAACGTCAAATTCGGCACAGTATGGGGAAGAATGTCGAGAAATTCTCCTGCCTCAAATTCAGTCTTAATGGATGGTGTCAAGAAGACCCGGAAAACCAGGATGTGGCCACTCTTGATTTCCGGATAAAAATCTCTTGGGTGCCGGTTCAATGCTTGGATTTCAGCGATGGTGCATGGAGAATTTCCTCCAGAGTGTACCGGGTGCAAGTATTGAGAATGACCTACGACAAACGAGTGGCAAGGAATATTTCGAATGCTGGGCTGCATTAATTCCGCAGTCAGAAGTTCCTCACCTGGTGAATCTCCCATGGCTCAATAACAAGATCATTTCGATACCCTCGTCGACGAATTTGGAAGATTATGGGAAAACCTATGATACTAGGCAATGGACCTACGATACTAGGGACCCAATAGATCTGGCATCATTTGGTCCCACTAAGAGAAGACCTCTGGGCTCGGTAGCACTTGGCCGATCAGAAGATAAAGCCTCTGATGCAAACGTTGGATTCTTCGTGAGAAGCGATGATGAGTGGCATTGGCTACGGTCATTACTCACGGTCCCAAAGATGAAAGAATTTTTAGGGCCTTAGTACAATGGGAAGAACGTCGATAGATTTGAAATTCCAGGTCTTCGAGCTGTACATTTCCTGCTCCATGATCACCTTGACCGGGGATGGAGTGCTACGAGTACCTACTATGGGCTGGGAATGGATGTTTGCGAATACCTCAGAGCGAACTATGTTGACATTCCTGTTGTGTTTTTGGAGAGAGGAATAGTCTCCCATCAGCGAAGGCTTCGGGGTTAAGAGATTATGAATATGTACATGTAGCCTGAGAGTAATCAAGTATTTTTAATGTTCCGGTTATTCCATAGTAAACATTTCAATCGAAATTTCACAACTCGTTTCCCATGCGTCGTTCATCATCTACAAGTCCAAGCTCCAGAGCCTCCAAGGTCCGAGTCCTTGAACCTTGGAAGGAAGCACTTATCCGGGCGGGAGCTCCACCTTTTGCCGGCATCTAATGATCCAATGTTCAAGTTGGCACCTGGAGGCAAATAATCCGGGGTACTATACGCCCGACGGCGTCATGCAACAACGCTCGAGAGCACTTGAGCGATCTACATATACCACTGCGGGGTAGCTCGGCCATTTTAACTGCTTGGAAATTATTACCTCTTATTTTCAAGCTTCTACATATAACGATTGCACATTTGAACTTCTTTGTCCGGTGCTAACTTCAAGTTTCAGTTGAAACTAAGATATATCCAACATTTCGGCCCGATGAGACAACCTATTGACGTTGCGTCATTAGAGAAGTATCTCTCTCAACATGTGACGATTGAAACACCCATCTCAGTTACTCAGGTAGGAATACAGTAGCTGAACCCTATGAAGCGATGCGTACGATGATGCTGATATAATTCCATATTGATCTAGTTTGGATTTGGTCAATCCAATCCGACCTATTTAATAAAAGACAAAGCAGGGAAGAAGCTCGTCATGCGAAAAAAGCCACCAGGCCAGTTGATGTCTCGAAGTGCCCACAAAATTGAGCGCGAATACCGCGTCCTCCTCGCTTTGCAAGGAACGAATATTCCAGTACCTCAAGTTTACGGTTTGTGTGAGGATCCAACTGTTATTGGCACGCCATTCTATCTCATGGAATTCTTGGACGGTCGGATATTCGAAGATCCCAGTTTTCCGGAGGTATCACCGCAAGAGAGGAACAAAATGTAAAATCCATGTTGGACGAAATAAAGTCTACAAAAGCTAATAAAGTGAGTGATGTAGGTGGTGCGAGGCGATCACAACGTTGGCAAAGCTCCATACGGTCGACATTGATGCAGTGGGCTTAGGTAGCTACGGGCGCCGATCAGGCTTCTACAATCGCCAGATCAAGACTTGGAAAGAGATTGAAACTGCCCAAAGCGCTGTGGTAGACGTGGATACTAAGATCCCGGTTGGGAGAGTGCCAGGAGCAGGGGAAACGATCGAATTCTTCTCGGGGAGTCAAGGCCCACAAGACCGGGCTTGTCTCATTCATGGAGACTACAAAATTGATAATCTGGTCTATCACAAGACAGAGCCAAGGGTCATTGGTATTCTAGAGTATGTTCACATCAAACCTAAAATCCATTGATGTCTGGCTTGCTAACTGATTAGTTGGGAAATGAGTACAATTGGCCATTCCCTATCCGATATTGCCAATGTTATACAGCCGTGGACTATTCTCTCGATGTCATCCTTTGCTGCCCAGCAGCTTTTACTTCCATTCCAACCAACAGCTGGAATTATGGGCTTGCCATCGATATTGGATTGCCTTGAGTGGTATGCTAGTGTAGCCGGATGGGATCCACAGTCCGAGATGATCTGGGCGGATGCATTCTCGTTATTCCGAATGAGTGCCGTTCGGCAGGGTATAAGTGCCCGTCATGCGACTCGACAGGCTAGTGTAAGTACGGCTGTTGAGATTGGGCGTGGCATGTCTGTCTGTGCCGCGTTGACTTTGAGACTGGTAAGCAAGATGAGGGACATGCAGACTAACGGCCGTGCGCGACTGTGATTGCAGCATAGTCGTTGAAGATTACTTGAGAAAGCTTGACAGGAATTTTCAATTTAAACCGGTAGTATAAATCGAATACATGCATTCAATATTCCACTTCTTTGGGATAAGTTCTGTTTCAAAGCTTGGATTTAAATTTTAGAAAACCTGGTTCTACCCTTGCCATGATCCTGTCTGTAAAGTATGCCGTATGCTCCATCAATTTGCGAACGCACCAACTCAAAGGCAAATGTCATCAATTACCCATCCATTTCACTCTTGTTATTAAAATATGGAAATTTATCAAATAAAATAACAATATGCACTTCTCAATTGCATTCAACTCGGAGTACTTTAGACAATATCCCAACTTAAAGCTTGAATCAGAAGTCAACTACAATAGCGCTCTTCTCTCTTTCTTCAATCGTGCTCTTATTGGCGCCAAATTTCGATCGATAGCAGTCTGGGAGACAATGCCAGTAAATTTGGTAGGTGGTGGTGAAATATTCCATTCTGGAATTACTCGAGTCCCAAAGGCAGTGATTTCTAAAACTGTTCCTCCCTTGTATTGGCCATCTTCCACCAATGTGATCATAGCCTTACCCACTTGAGCTGCGGTGACAGTTTCTGCATCATCTATACTGAATTGTTCCATTCGTTCGGACTGGTCAGTCCAAAGCGGGGTTCTCACCAAACTAAAGCCGATGTTATTAGCGAATATGAACTAAAAACCATGCTTCAAGCCTGGCCTGATATCATACCAAGGGCATATTGCAGTGATCTTAACTCCTTCAAGTTCTTCGCATGGGACCATTGATCGGACGAATCCGGTCACTGCGTGCTTTGATGCACAATAAAGTGGAACAGCGTAGTTCCCCGCTAGCCCCGCAATGGATCCAATTATGCAGACAACACCTCTTTTATCCCTGCTTAAAAGCGCTTGGATTGCTATGCGGGTAAGCTTGATGGGATGGTTCACATTGATGGCAATGGAGTCGTAAGTCTCGTTCTCGGGATCTTGCCAGAAGCTTGACCATTTCTGAATATCATCGGTTAGCAGGTAAAATATCCCAACAGACTTTCTTTTTATAGGTGACCAAGCATACCGGCTCAAAGACTCCAGCTCCAGCAATGTAGATATCCGGTACATCGTTCCAGATGCTCACCGATATTGCGATCAGACCTTTGAGGTCCTTCCAGTTACGTACATCACAAGGCGTAAATGTGATTCTACTAGTTTTTTGGCCTTCTCACCCAACTGTAAATCTGCAATGAGGATCTTGGCTCGTTTGGCATGGGCAAAGCGGATAAATTCAAAACTGATGCCTAACATATGTTGGTATCTTGCAGGACAAGTTGAACATATTTCACATACCAGATCCACCGCCAGTAACTAAGACAATCTTTTCAACAAAGAGAAGTCTCCCGTCATCGTGTGCTTCTTAAGGGCCCTCTGAACCGGAATGACTGCTCCTTGTCAACGACAAAAAAGGTCCACAGGGTTTCGAATAAAATGGAAAGCTGCCGGTGGATAATAACTACTGCGTGATAGTTGAACGATTGAAAAATGGAATTGGAAGAACTTGTTTGATTTGTTATGAGCGTATGGGGGAAGAGAGGAGGGAAGCTCACTCGCTATGAAGCTATTCTCGAGATAAGGTCATGTGACGCCTTGTCAAAATGACCAAACATGCTTCTATCGTCAGCAAAAGCTCATCACTAGTTGTAGGGAAATTGTGATTTACTATTGACAATTCATCATGCAGGGATTGCTTACCCATAATGATGCCGAGTAGTATCGACGATGTGGGGTTATGTAGATGGATCCATTCAGGCTATCGTTAGCCGAAGCTCATCCTGGGCAGCACATCCTGTTGTGGAAAGCCAAGACGATGTGTTATTCAAGGTATTTTTACATCATACTAGTACATCATATTAGACTGATCTGATATTTGTAAAAAAAGGATGTCTGAGGGTCTACTCATGTTCTTTCACCTCTCCCTACAAAGTTTTGCCTAGCTCTGAACAGAAATATGGGTGATTTGCTAATCCCAAGCAATGGGAGTCCGATCAGAAAGGCACAGTACCTTGATGATTTTGATTCTCAAAGACTCAGAAAACCTATTCATACAGAGTGACATATTCGCGTGATCTGTGCTGGTGCGGGCACGTCGGGACTTCTGTTCGCCTATAAGCTGCAGCGGAGCTTCTCCAATTTTGATCTAGTCATCTATGAAAAGAACGAGCAAGTTGGTGGCACTTGGTGGGAGAACAAATATCCAGGGTTTGTTAATGAATAGAAGCTCCGCAAAAAAAATTCAAGTTTCTAATGGTGTTGCAGCTGTGCGTGCGATGTTCCATCTCACAATTACACTTGGTCGTTCGAGCCTAAACTTGACTGGTCCGGCACCTACGCCAGTAGTAAGGAGATCTTCAATTATTTCCACTCGTTCACGGACAAGTATGCACTGCAACACTACTGCCGTATGCGTCATCAAGTTGTAAGCGCCATATGGAATACACAAGAGCACGGGTACCATGTCAAGATTCGTGATTTGAACGCAAACACAGAGATCGACGATTTTTGTGATATCCTCATCAATGCTGGCAGTGTATTGAACTCCTGGCGCTGGCCTGCTATTCCAGGACTAGAGAGTTATAAGGGGAAACTCGTTCACACAGCCAACTGGAATGAATTTCTCGTGTTAGATGGCAAGCATGTTGGGTTGATTGGAAACGGGTAAGTGTAGATCGACAATTTTCCATATCCCCACCCATGAAGAACCTGACAGCTAACAAACAAATTTTCTAGCTCTTCTGGAATTCAAGTTCTTCCTGCCATTCTTCCTCGAGTGAAAGAAGTCACTACCTTTATTCGAGAGCCTACTTGGGTCTCTCCTATTCCCGGTCTCGAGCAACATATCTTTACAGCCGAGGAAAAGGAAGCATTTGCTGCCAAACCTGGGCTCCTCACTCAGTACCGCAAAGATATTGAGAGAGGTATGACCAGTACATTTGGTGTCTTTATGAAAAACACTCACAATCAGAAAGATACAAGAGAATATATGACCAAGCAGATGGAGGACAAATTACGCCCTACCAATTTATAAGGTGTCCCGATTCCTCAATGGTCAGTTGGGTGTCGCCGCATCACGCCAGGTGCGGGCTATCTAGAGTCTTTAGGCGCAGAAAACGTCAATGTTGTGTATGGCAATATTGATGCGGTTACTCCTCTCGGGTGCGTCTCTGGTGGCCGTGAGTACCCTGTGGATGCTTTGATTTGTGCCACTGGATTCGATACAACATTCAGACCCAGGTTTCCAATTATTGGTCCCACGGGAAGTAACTTGCAGGATGAGTGGAAAAATGAGCCACAGCCATACTTCGGTATAGCTGCTGCTGGAATTCCAAACTACCTTATGTTCCTTGGACCCAATAGTCCAGTTGGTAACGGCCCTGTATTATCAGCAATCGGTATGTTTGATCTCTTATTGTAGGAGATGTTATGTTTTTTTAACCTTTCACACAGGAGCACAACCTTTCACACAGAAGCACAAGCCGATTATATGATGAAGCTCATTGATCGCTACCAAACAACGAATATAGCGAGCTTCTCTCCGCGTCCGGAGGCTGTTGCCGACTTTACCGCATACAAGAATCGATTCATGCACGGAACAGTCTGGAAAGATGCATGTCAGTCATGGTACAAGGCCGGTCGGCCAGATGGATCTATCACGGCGTTATGGCCGGGCTCGACTCTACACTATATCGAGGCAACGGATGAAGTGCGCACAGAGGACTGGGAAACTACCTGTTCTGGCAATCGCTTTGACTGGCTAGGAAACGGATATAGTCAGACAGAATGCGACGAAACGGCAGACTGGGCCTATTATATTCGGGGCAAGGATGATGGCGAATACCAAAGTCGTGGCAAGAAGCGACGTATCGCAACAAAGTCGGGAACAGTCAAAGCGGATGCTGGTAACTTCCAAGTATTCCCTAAAATCTAGCTCTAGACAGAGTAGGAACTTGAATGCAACACATATTTAACCCTAGTTCCCATAACCATCATTTCATCAATATGCATGTCAAGCGATTTCAAACATTTGAACGCCGTTGCAAACCTCACGGGTCAAAGTCGGGGCTACAGGTCAAAGCTAGGTGGATGTTAGGTCTATATGATACCAAATAATCGTGCTTGTCCAACGATGGGTGGACCACAGGACTGGAAGCAGGCTCACTAAGCTTGGAAGCCCTGGAACCGGGGCTAAGCTGACTGATCCGCTCACTGAGCCTCCAAGGCTGCCAACTGGGCACATCTATTCATGTACGCCTGAGCCTTACGTAAGGCTCAGTGAGCACCTGGGCAAAAGCGGCGAGAGGGGAAATCCAGTACATAGACACCTGCCCATTTCTTGTCAGCTTAATTATATGACTTCCAAGATTGTTTGTTGGAATAATTAAGCCCGTCTTCTTTCAAATGCGACCACATATGTCATCATACTTGGTGTTTATGATTTGACAAATCGAGGTACTCCCGAGGTCCCTTGCGGGGCAAATGAGGATCGGGTTGCTCAGCCTTATGTGACTTGTCACTTGAATCTCTCAACCTTGGAGGTCTTTTTCTTTTTGAAAACACAAAACAGACCTGTGAACTGAAATATAAAAAAATGGCACCTCTATCCGATCTCCCCGTGGAACTGATCCTGTCAATATGTCAGGAATTCGACAACTTGGACGACGTCTTACGCCTGCGAGCATCCTGCCGTCGCTTGCGATACATAATTGAGAAAGAAGAACATCGTGGTTCGATAGTATCAGTCATTCGAGTAAGCTGCAAATTTACCCAAATTTATTATTCTTCTGACTGACGAATAGAAGCGAAATGTCTATTCCACTGATTCGGGTTATATGTTCAATGCGATTAAAGCTTTGATAGAACAAATCTCAAAATACAACCTAAGCATACCCGATATCATATTGAGATGGGAGGCCATAAAATATTTACAACAGATGCAAGAAGATGAAGAAATAATGCCTGGCAGCTATTCAACATTGGTGGAAGAACTGGTAGTCGACAATGGCTCTTATTGCGAACATTCCCTGCAATGGGCAGCATCAAATGGCATCGCACCGTTGGTTCAACTGATCACCAATAATGTGGATTACTTCACCTTCGTAGACGGCACTATACCCGGTCCATCTTCTCTGGGACTTGCAGCAATATTTGGTCACACACAAGTTGTCCGAATCCTTTTAAATAAGGGATACCCAGTAGACCAAAAAACCGGCATAGATCCCTTGACCCCTCTGGCATACGCAGCTCGCTATCGACATAATGGCGTGGTTGATTTGCTACTCGAAAGAGGCGCTGATATCGAAGCAAAAATGGAAGACGGGGAGACTGCCTTGTGCGTCACGGCTTACTCTGGCAATGCGATCATAGCAAAGAAATTGCTGGCGAATGGTGCCGACATCAGAATAAGGACAACTGAGGGCAAGAACCCGGTGCATATCGCAGCCCGTAATCAAAACGAGGAAGTGCTCTCTTTTCTGCTCGATTGGTGCGCAGAACACGAATGTCAAGATTTGTTAAAGGAACGTGACAACTCCGGGGCTGCGGTGCTACATGAGGTTTGCAAAGGGTGTTGCAATGTCAGTTTTATCGACCGGTTATTTGGTGCTGGAGTGCTGCCTGGTGTTTTCAACCACAACTGGGAAAGCTCATTGATATGGGCCTTGCGCACTGGCTCTGGCCTCCTGGACGCCCCCAGTGGAGGTGAAGATGAGTTCCTCCAGAAGGTAAAGCTACTTTCGAGGGACCCAATTGTGATGAAGATCCCAACAGTACCACAGAACATGCTACCATTGCACTATGCTGCTGAATTAGCAGATTACAGAGTATTTGAGTGGCTTCTTGAACACGGAGGCCGACGCGTTATGAATCACAAGAATGCTTCTGGCGACACTCCTCTTCTAATAGCATTGGACATTTACAATGAGAACGTGATTGAGAGTCTTCTAAGCTCGCAGGGTATCGATATTACACTGCGCAGAAATACACAAGAGACAGCACTTCATTTAGCCGCTCAGGCATGCACATCAAAGGAAATGTCTAGCATCCTCGGAATGGATCCGGCTCTTCTAAACGCGGCTGACCAGGGTGGGCGAACGCCCTTGCTAGGAGCGTTTTCAGCGAGGCGCCTCGATAACTGCGAATATTTGTTGACACAGGGAGCCGACGCATGTATCGCAGATATCACTGGCCAAGACCCTCTCCGCTGGGCATCGGAAGAGACAGAGGAAATTGAATTCCTTCAGCTTCTCTTGGATCGGGACTTGGTCTCCCTTGACCGACAAGGCAACACCCTTCTCCATAAAGCGGTTCGTGGAGTCTCAGTCGATAGAGTCTCGACCCTCCTGGGATCTCCTGATATCAACTTGCACGACCGAAATGCACTTGGCGAGACCGCCTTGCATGTTACTGTACAAAATGGATGTCACGCAGCGACAGATGAAATAGTCCAAATCCTCCTAGAGAATGACAAAGATTGCACACTCGCCGCTCTCCGTAGTAATGGTGGCAAAACTGCTCTCGATTTTGCACTCGAAAGAGGAAGGGGAAACAGCATCGAAATTCTCGTGCAGCCCATGTGGAAGTCCACTGTTGGTATTGAATGGGATTCAGAATCTTTCTGGATCACGAGATGGTCCCACCAACCCTGGTACTCAGATCTACTCCGCATTATTGATACAGCAAGACCCGTGCTCGCAGCCCAAACACAGCAATTGGTTAATGAGTGTGGTGGCCTGTCTTTCACCGTATCCCGAAACACCCCGCAGCAGTTTGTGTGGAGGCAGGACACTGAGAGTTTGTCATATCTTTCTCTTCAAATCCCCCCCGGGCGCCTCTTCTCCTGTCCGACGCCTCGTCTTCACCATGATATCCAATGACCAAGGTAAGATCTCCGTATCTCACGATTATCAATGTACGACTAACATCCTTGCAGGATGGAGTGACCGTCATCCTGTGAATGAAAGAAACGAAGGAAGTTATTGTGGATCCAGGACTTGGTTTGAAGTTGGCATCAGTAGGCCAGACCAAGTCAACCTAGTAACTTCACACCGAGAGATTCAACGCAACATTCACACTAGTGCCCAGAAAAGACTGCACACAGTGATATGGGACATTTCGGATGAGACTCCAGGGCTGAGAGAGTGGCTCAGCAATATTCAGGGTGGTGATCTTCTCCATGTTTATCCCAAGGCTTATCAAGTTGGGTGGAGGAATTGTGTCCACGAGGTAACAGTTACCGTTTTTCACCAGAGGTCCGAATCGGAAGTCTGCTAGTCAGCACTTGAGTAATCCTGGTCTACATTAATTCTGCCCAGGTGTATAGATGAGCCTTTACTTTGCAATCTTGGTGATCATTTCTTGGTTTGAAATTAAAGTTACAAGTCAAACGTACACGTAAATTGAGTCCACGGGTCAATATGGTGTTTCAAATGTTGCCAGTGCAGATCATTATCAAATCACATCTAGCTCGCATTGATAGCTCAGTTGATAGAGCGCACGATTGCTCCGTAGTACTTTCTCGAAACCCGCAAAACAATCGCGAGGTCCCCGGTTATCCTGATGTGAGCACTGCTTTTCATCTAAAATTTTCTTTCCTTCAAAATAGTTGGGACCAAAAGGCCAAAAGTTGAACCTTCTATCACAAGCTCGCATAGCTCAGTTGGTAGAGCGCGCGACTAGTACTGCTATTCTGCGAAGGGATTACCAAGTCAATCGCGAGGTCTCCGGTTCAAATCCGGATGTGAGCATCATTTTTTTTCACACTTGAAACTGCTTTCTGTTGTGGGGATTTCTATTTTTTTTTACCCCTTTTTTGCAAATTTTTACAACATGTTTATCATTGGAACATAGTTCTTCCGGACTGTGCCCCCCATATTTGTCTGGATAGCCAATCAGACCAAATATTTACCTGAAGTATGTAGATACTGCCGGGACGGTTCCAAGGTTGTCTCTCTACTCTTCAGAGAGTTAATTAAATAGTACCATTCTGGGGGAGAGTAATCATAACGAAGAGTCTGGGTGGTCAATGGCGATGCGGTCAATTCAAATGTTTTTTTAATATCTTCATTCACTCGATCAGGCTAGAATCTAGTGACTTATATAGCCTTGAGTCCGCAATGACAGGCCTATAGCACATGTGCAGCCACGCAGTCCAAATTTTAAGAGATGGCTGAAGTGAGAGATAGCCGATATGTATAGTTTTTTTTCTTTCTACTAGTCATATAGGGGTTTTGGCCACATGGCTGTTATAGGGCCCTGCACCTTTAAGAGCATCACGAATATCTCAAACGGGAGATGTGAGAAGTGACCCCTCGAAAACCTATCTGTGCTCCTGATTTCTACAGTGACATGGACCTCGAAACTCCCATCGATGAGTGTCTTTACCATTCAGGCCCAGTTTCTCTCAAGCCCCTCCCTCCGCCATCTGAACCCACCAGCCAGATCAACTGGCCCCGGATGAGTGATATCTTCCACTCCAAGCTTTCAAAGCAAGTTGTCAGGAGCAATTTAAATCATGCGGCGATCGCCCCATCAGCCTCAGCGATCGAAACACTTCAAAGTGAGGGACGGCGTTGCAATATTGACCTTGGGTACCCTCCCGATATTGTGTCTACGAAGAACTTTCCTACAAATCACCAGACTGGACAGCTATTCTGATGGTACTGTACTGGCGAATGTTCCAGCAATCCACGGTCTGGGCTGTCTTCTGTTACCTCCTCCACAAAGGAACGGTCGACCTGGAATGTCTCTTCTTGCCTTTGGACTTTTTTGAGCTCTCACCAAATACACACATCATTACCGACCTGCTCTTGTGCTTTCCGTCTATCCAAGGTATTTGCGAGCAGAGAGCTTCAGATCGCGTACCTCTTCAGACAAGCCCATGGTATTCAGCTATTGAATGGCATTCCTCCTATGCTTCCTCTATACTATAATGAATCTTTCTAACCATTTTATATCTTAGGCTTGCCGCCGTCATCGCACGAAACGGAGCGAACATCCCGGACATTCCTCGGAACAAGCACGATGCGGAAAAGGAGGCAGAGAAGGATTACAATTGTCAAGTGTTTGGTGTCTGGCTCCCTCACGGAATCGGCGAAGACTACGAATTGTGCCGCAAACGCTTGCATGAACATCTTACTCGCGCCAAAGAAATCGCCGATGCCTATGATCAGACACTTGGTGAACAGCATCGTATCATACTGGTTCTTCTCGAGGATGTCGAAGGAACGATGGATGTTGGCAAAATCACTACAGGAGAAGTATCCTGCATTCTCCCTGTTATCCAGATTTTCCCATACGCTGAAGACCTCGAGATGATGGCGATAGAGGATTCAGATACAGAAAGTGAAGGTCAGAAGGACACCATGCCATCTGGTTTCTGGGACTAAGCTACATTGGCTTGGAATGTATGCTCATGAATGATGACCGAAATGCCCAATGGGACTTCTGCGCATAGTTCCATTCTTGCCATAGAGATTTCATTTGTATCAAAACAATCCAATATTCAAGAAAAACGATATCACATGCCTAGCTTTTTCTCCACAAACTCTTTTTTATAACTAAAGGTGGCTACTAGTCACTTCGTATCTAAACCTTGATATAATGGAAATAGTAAAGTACGCATATGCATGTAAGACGGCACGGTGCTTGGGCATGATACAAACCAATGAGAACCACCTACCAACGCACCAATCAACATTTGATGCCCAACTTCAACGGAGATGGGGAACGAAGCACGGACTACTGTCTATGGGATCTAATAACTTGGAGCGGATTTTCCATATAACATAATTTGTTTTTCTCAAGTTTCTATTCACGATTTAATGTGGGAACCACTTGGATTGAGCTCTGGCGGCTATGAATGAACACCCTCGGGCTCGGGATCCCCGATTAGGTGATTCCTTTCATCCCTAGATATCATGGAACCGAAATTCGTAGAATCTTCAAAAAACATCATCCATGCTCTGACGTTCAACCTATGTGGAAGCGTAGAAGTCGTCACGTAGAATGACTTTACAATGACTTATATCCTGTTCCTACAATTTCAAGGTCAGGCTGCGGATCTGATCCCAGCCAATGATGAAATGACCTGGAGCATCAGATGCATTAAAGTGGGGACTTTGGCCATCATGCAGCTGTGTAGCTTCTCGTATAGCTTTCAGTCATGATTGAAGTGGCTGGTAGTAATATTATGTACGGAGAGGCAAGGAGAATATTGATTCATCCCCTTTGATTCAAAAGGTCTGTCGTTTCAGTACTCAGGTGATCAAATCGAAGAAAGGTATTTCTCCCACATGTAGTATGTTCCTTTTTTCCAGCCTCCTGCAGCAACAAAGGCTCGCTTATTACTTCCAAAGTTCAATATTCATCTGAACAATTCCGATATTGATGATCTTCAGTTGACGGAATGTACCATCGTCCCAGCCTCGGGTAACGGATTGGCCACGGCTACGGAATCGGTAATAGGTATCCATTTCAAATTGCCGGGCTCTTTCAGGTTCTATTCGTAGATCTCTCCACTATAAGATTTTGTAGAATCAGTATCTCAACTTCAACTCATTGACCTGTATAGAATTTCCCACCTATCACCGTCGTGATATCCACATTGCCTGAACAGGAAGGCCCCACGGTTATCATGGTCTGAGTCATAAGATCAGCGATGATGAACAAAAGAATCAATGTTGACAAGATGAAAGAAGCTTGGAGTGTTTGAAGGCCTGTTGCTATTGAAGGGTTTCTACAGAGTACAAAGGAACGGATTTGCTGTGGGAAGAGCAAAATTTGACCAGCAAAAAAATTGATTTTCCAAATTAAGGATACTTATTAAGAGTATATACAGGATCCATCTCGTTTTGGTCTATCATAAGAGAGTTATCATCACATCATCAAGTCGTAAGTTGGGAGAATATCGTAGGGTGAAAGTAAGTGGAGAGTTGACCTGGACGGTATGCAGATGTAGTGTCCAGGTGGAAGGTGAAAGGTGTTTCAGGCAGCTTAAGCGGCAATCGGTTGAACAGGGATAGCACACAGGTCCTTGTTCTTGATGGTGTCATCATGGAGGATCTCAGATGATGTGACCAGAGGCTCTTTGTCGTCGGGTGTGATTTGCACAGTGACGATGGTATTGCGTGTCTTTTGCTGGATCTTTGACTCGATCATCTTCTTGTGGTCGTAGTCATCTTCGGATTCGGATTCTGACTCCTCGAATTCAAAGGAGCTCATTTGAGACTTCATATCATTTTCAGTCCAGAGGACAGAGCCGCAGTGGAGGCGAAAGTGAGCCACGCAGCGGCGAAGATCTGGGTCTGGTGCAGTAGCTTCACGGGCCAGTTTCTCCTTGGAGATAACTGTGAGCTTGTATGGAAGAGCGTTGCGGTTTGCCATTGGGGGCCAGCGTTTTTTGGTATATTTTGGAAAATTTGGAAGAGATGGTCGAGGAGAGGGTTTGGCGGGTGTTTCGATGCCAACGGCAACAGTCATCCTGGGGATGACAGGTTTATATAGATGGTGTATATATGGAGGGTTTTGATTCACCTCAGTGGCGAAGTTGAAGAATATGCACGAAATTAAATTGTTTTTTTATGCAATGGTGGAGAAGGCGAGAATTAAAAGGAGGGGGAAAGTTGAAGGGATGAAGAGAAGTTTTATACGGACGGATCTGCAAAAAAGAAAAAGCTATGGGGAAGAGGGCACAAGCCAAGAGCCACGATGGGTCAAAAAAAGAATCTTGCCAGCTGGAGGGTCACCAGGACATATCCCCACTAGGGAATATCCGGGTACCCGTTCTAGACCACGGTCCAGTCTCCTCTATGGCTTGTAATATGTGGGCGCTAAAATGTTTTTTCTCTTTTTTCTTTTTTTCTTTTTTTCTTTTCCTTCAAGAGTCCACAATTTGGGCCTTAGACCTCCCGAATACCCCTCCACTAGTCTACTCCAAGACTAAGGGAATTCAAAATCAAGATTTGATCGAATATCTTCATTCTTCCTAAGTTACTTTCTTGGTTTTTCCACCGGAAAAGGAAATCTAAGAAACTCGGGCTAACTAGGATTCCTTTGGGGGCAAAACGGCTCTGCGATCCCTCGAGCTGTGGGTCATTAGTGGAGATGCCCCAGTTTTATTGATCAGGCGATTCCTCGAAAAATTTTCTTAGTGGAGACCCTGTAGCTTATCTTCCTTGTACGCCCTTATTCAGGCCGAGAATAGCAACTTGGCCGTCGCACGGCAAAAATACAATGCACACTCACGATCTTCCACGGGTTACCGAGTCCGGAAGTCCGAACTACCTCAACATCGTGACGAATCTCGCAGGTAGTACCGTGCACCCAGACATTCTCTACCGACAACGGCGAATAACTGATTCTGGAAAACTTGATTCAACTCTCACTAATTCCGTACAGAGTAGCTCCATAGCTTTTGATGCCCCATGAAGTTCTTCAATTGACAGGCTGGACTCTCTTATAGAACCATGGTTCTCTCGGCTTTCTTTCTTCTTTTATTTTTTTTTCTTTACTACCATGAGAGATTCCACTCCAATTTTGCCCCTGAAAATCAGTCCTATGACTCAGCAACTCTTGGCAAGCCATTCCTTACTCTATCAAGTCTCTCCGTCTCTCCATGGAAGTATCTCTCTGGTCCACTCATCTCCAAAAGGTTCCACGATAAGTTCCACCACAAATTTCATCATTTGCACAGAGATTGAATTATTGTGGTCCCTGGCACTGCCCTCCTCTCCGCATCTCAATTGCCCCATGGCACAACCATTTTTTCTAGAAATTTCACCACCTCGCACGGCCATGTACTTAACACTGAAAACGTGTTCTTTCCCCGCCCCCTCATCGCTAGAAATCGCCACCACTTCTTTGTCAGCTAACCGCCCCAATCACTCGATGAAGAAGTATCATGAGATGTCGTGGCCCCAAAGAGCTCATTTATTGCTCGGCTGATCTTCCTTCACCGCTTGCTAATAATATTGGACGAGACCACTCGATCTCCACCCGCTGCGTTGTCGTCCGCGAACGGGTTCTGCGGATCCGAAATCCGCAACTTTACTAATTCTATTGATCATCACTGTCTAGAGTGCTCCGTAGAGGAGAAGTGGCTAACGGGTGCATTCATACCCCATAAAATGGCGTTTACAAATGGGTCATCTGGAACGCCATTTGAAAACTCTATGGCAGAAATGCAATAGTCACTACGGAGTACATAGTATACGGAGTACATAAGTATGATATGAGGGGTCCTGCATTTTAAGCTCTAGCAGTATGCAGGACGTTGCTGGCATCTCTCTTGGCACCAAATCAAATTAACTGAATATGAAGCACATGATCTTTAATCCCGCGCGGACCACTTTTAGTATTTCTATTTCACTATAATTCCGATCTCTCCGGCCACAAGCGTGCCGCTTTTCCGTTGTCGGTAGTGTAATACTGTTGGACCTTCAAAGCAGCCATGAGAGCAATTATCGCCTCGTCTCAAGCATTAGTGTACGAATGGTGGACGTGTCAAGTCATGCGGGGTGAAAGGGCCTCTTTAATTTGTATACCAACATGAAGGATGTGTTCGCATTTCCAAGCACTCGTGTTCTGCTAGTAGCAAATGCACATGTGCATACTCCAAGTCGGATATACCAGTCGCAGCGTTCAAATGTTGCCACTTGGGCACCTCATATGCATGTAGGAATTTCAAAGAAATATTGCTTCTGATTTCTTTATTGATTTTGACCAATATTTGAATCCAAAAATTGTACTCCGTACCTATTTGTTCAATTTGCAGGCCTGGTCATATCGCGATGCACATGATCAACTACTAGCAAAAAAGTTTCTCCTTTCACGTTTCATCTCAACCTTGGAACCATGAGTATGCACTTTGATCAACAGAGTAAAAATAGCTGAATTTACTAGTCTGCTGCACTAGAAACATCCGAATGCATAGATAGTAATCCAGTTTTCATCAGATGAAACAGACGAGAAGCTGCCTTGGTTTCATTGCCAGTGAGCTGGTCGGTACTATGATATCTGGAGACACACCTGGGATGTATCTATTCTGAAAATGAGTTATGATTTCCAAGAAAAGCCACATGCAAGGCTGGATATCCAGTAATTACAATCTCATTGTCATCTGCCGTTCCGAGTTACTCTACTGCTCTCAATCTTAGCTCAAACTTCCAGTCCTGCGACAGTAAATTTGCAAAGTTCTTAAGATTTTCTATTAATTTACTTTCCTATGGGCATTTTTCTTCTCTCCAGTGGAATAATATTTTGGAAAAAATGTAAAAGGGACGGAGGATGAGGTTCATCCATGGAGCATGAAGAACCTACCCATGGTGGGAGACTTGGAGCTATCTTGAGACTACAAATGCAAGCTTTGAAGACAATGTCTAATTGAGATGAGAGTAAATTGGACAAATATTAAAGCTTTTATCAAATTAGATCGATCCATCCTTCACGCAAGGTGTAGGCCTCTTTGATTGAGAGCCCCCTTCATGATGTAGTAGCATCGCTTTATTTTAGAATCATACGATAGATATATCCGTATCAGTCGTGAGAGTAGCTTCAACTGCCTTTATGTCTGCGCAAAATTAGCCAAAAGCAATAATAGAAGATTGCAGGGATGTTGCAGGTGCAAGGATATGTATGAGTTGTTTTAAAGTCTCTCACATAGCCCCTCGAACCAACTGGCCAATCCCTCATCAGTTGCCTAAGTCCTGGAGATCTTCCGAGTCACGCGAACATCATCAACTTCGGACCAAGTCCTCTGGACCTTCAAGATATTTGCCCTAGATTGTTTGCTTCGCGTCACTTCATACCTATGACTTATCCCCTTCGTTTGCCCCAGGCCTGGGGCATGATATTGAAAAGACTTCTCCTGAAGCTTCTCCCCACTTTCAAGATTTTTTCGTTGTCTGTTGAATATATAATCTTTTTCTAGTAAGTCTTCTATTCCAAATTTTTCTTCATTTATTGGTGCCCAGGTGTGTATGCTCACCGACACTGCCCAGTGTGTGTCCCTTTCTCTCCGCTGCTTTTTGGAGGACAAACTCTCAATATTGCTGGCTGTCGCACCGGTGGTGAAGGTACCATTATGCCATTGGGATCGATCTAGATGAAAAAGGACTGCGAGCAATCTAAGAGACATTTGACACCGATGATGATGCAAAGCAGCATGCTAGACAGGCACATCGAGCCAAAAGTCCTTCCAGAGTAGAGAACTCAAAATCGCCATGCGAAAAGGAGACGGAACAGCACACCTCGCCGGATGATTCTGAGCTTGCTGAAGCACAAAATAGCCCATTAAAATGCGTATACTCATAACACAACCCTTCTTCTAGCAATACCCCCCTCCTTCACCTAGTAGCTAGGTAGAGATGGGTGCTATGGCCTACGAAGTACTGGACAACGACATTTGGTATGCTCACCTGACTCTTGTCCGGTAATCACACTACCTAGGCACTTCGCCGGGATACTTGAATATCTAAAATGAACGGGAAGGAGATTCTCGAGCTTCATTCCCAGGTAAGTATTATCCTTTTAACCTTCACTAAACTAGTATGTAATACTTGTACTAACTAGGCCCCATACTTATAGATTGAATACGGCCATGGCTTGCGCAAGCACACAGAGTTCAAACGTCACTGGAAAGGCCACAAATCACTATTCCTCCAGAATACCCCAGTTTCAATTAAACGCTTCCGATGTTCCGGCATAAATATTTGCCCCCACACAGATCCACGTCTACGAAGCTAAGCATACTGAGGCTTCAGAGAAGGTTTGGAATACACTGATAGCTCAAACACCCTAATCGGTTTCCAGCAGCTTTTTCACTTCATTCTCCTCAACACAGAGGCTCCTGATCAAAAATAATGAACAGAATTGTGGAAGAAGACCATAATGGATAGGGTGCTACTATATTCCGACAAGAAGCGAACAGAACACAAGCCGATCATCACCCAGCCACGCCAATCACCAATCACATTCAACAAGATAAAGACAATATTGCAGAACTTGAAGGACAAAGCCAGAGATCGTTTTGTAGACTGGGACAAGAACCTGAAAGGGACCCTAGCAAAATATAAGCTTCTGGACCTAATCAATTTTGATGTCTACCAACCAACATACGAGATTATACGACGAAGAATCGGGAGAAACGGAGAACTGGCGAGCTTTATCGGCGAATGTTGCAAGATGGATGTGGGAAATTCTCAGTGATAGCCTACAGCTACAAATTGAATGGGGCCATCCGACGATACGATGAAATCTTCAAGCAAATGGACGGAGAAGGCGCCCTTGCAGACATGGAAAGAATCGACAAGATATGGAACATAACCGCTGATGGCCTCCCATTGCTCTCCAAATACGTTGCAAAATACGCACGACACTAAGATCCCAAGATGACGAAAGATCTAGCATCTATGAAGACGGCTCTCAAGAAGAAGGTCAAGACCAACCAGAAGACCATTACTACCAAAGAGGTCGACAGAGTCACCAAGACTTCCCTCAATAATCACAAAATACCTAAGAGGGTATTCTAAACAACCAAGTTTCAATATTCTAAGGATTCCAAAGTCACCAGAACACTAGAGATCAACCTCGTGTTAGTTCCCACACACCCCAAAACCAGCGGCACCAACAGGATGCTTTACAACCACCTCAGCAAAGACACCCTCTTGGTTTCCGGGGCTTCCAAAATGCCCAGGAAGATCAAGAGGTCCACCAAGTGCCCTAATATAGCTCCTCTAATAAGAAAAAAAATAGTATAAAAGGGGTAAAGACTCTCAATATAGCCAAGGTCGTCACTAGCAGGAGCGGACACGGTTAATGTCCCCCGTAAGTGAAAGTATGCGTCGGTCAATCCGCGAGAGGACTCCACAAGACCAGACTCTAGACCTTCCACCTCCTCCAGAGTCCCACCTGGCCAGGACTGGAGATACGGCAGTAGACCGTATCAACTTCTTGGCCTGGCGGGCACGACAGAATGAGAGAGAATGGGAACAACTGCAGGGAGCAGAAGCTCATATTCCCAGCAGCGATTAAGGTATAACTTCGCCCTCCTTATGGGTAAATTGTGCAAACTCTTAAAAATGCAAAACAAAATGGGATAATTAATTTCCACCGCTGAGCCACTACCACTATGAACATTTAACGCCCAATTCCTGAGGTCGTGATGAACATCCATGGATTCACTGCAACGCAAGCTATGCCATTTTCTGAAAGTCTGGCACCTATCTCATTCACACAGCAAATTTTGCATACAGTTCACTCTTTAAAAGCGATAGACAAAGGGTGGAAATTGACGACCTATTTTCAACACTCAAAGATCAGGACAAAACTATGCCACTGTTGACTCCAAGCACTTGAGAGTTTGAAGCTCTAGAGGTCTCTTACATAGGCACTATTTTAATTCGGAAAATTTTTAAGGCTAAAGTATGAATTCTATTCACTTTGTATTGATGTAATAGATGTCAGTGTTGTTAAAGTAGATGCGGTATAGAGGGCTTCACATGCATACTATTCCATTAATCTTGACTCAGTTAGACCAAGACCTGACATTAATTAGTTCATTCTCATACTGAGCATGCTTGTTTAATAATAATTGGTATCGGCTGTCACCTGCACCTAGGAATTAATTAGAGCAAAGCAGCAGGTAATCTGATCTTATCGAATAAACAAGCATTCTCAGATGAAAAGTGCGATGCCCCAGGTACCACCAGGCGGGATCTGAATGATTTGTGCATGACCATGTTCATGATTATTGCTTTCCCCGCCATCAATATGCTCCACGCTGATCTTCACATTTAGTTTACAATAGTTCCAACGCTCTCGACGGGATGTCCTGCATCGCAGCGGATGACTTCTTCAGCGGATCCCGATCTACTGGTCATAGGTTCAGCCCCGCCCCGATGCACGTCGCCTCCCGGCTCCTGTAGCCTGAAACATTCCTAACTCCCACTAATGCATGGACGCGACCGACAACTCCACAGTCTTGAATTACACTAATTGGGTTCAGTTTGGTTCCACTATGGTAATATGGAGGAGGGAAAAAACGGAAATGAGCTGCTGCCGCTGTGGATTATTCCCCCTCTTTTCACCTTGGTACACAAGCTGTCACTAAATCCTCCGTTCCATCCTCGGATGTAAGAACTTAACCCAAAGAGTCGGAGAACATCATGTTGAAGCTTCCGCTTTCTTTAGGTCTGATGCAATGTTACATTTTGTCAATCAAGGACGAAACACGCCACTGTGACTGGTGATTGAAGTTCTTTTGAATTGTAACGATCTGCACGCCATATAGACTGATCGGGTCATCACGCAGGGAGTCCCGGGGCAAGTTGTCTCGGTTAGAAGATGATATTTGCTCAAAATTCAGAGAAATAGAGTTTGGGGTTCAGCGGTTGAGGCTATTCTCAAAGTCTTCATGCATTTTTCATGATACATCAACTTTTTTGGCTTATTCTTTGTTGCCTTATCCGTGCAACTCGTGGCTTTCTCTATCCCGTGGATATCTTCTCCCCGATGCGGAGCAAAGACCCGATATAGAAATCAAAAACACAGGGGAGCATGGGGGGAAATAGGCAGAAGGTTCAACCAGGGCTCTTTGTTCTATGGCTCTGTGACGCGCGTGATGGGCAAAAGCCACATGCCATAGATTCTCCATCAGGTTCTTTTCTCCAATCGAATAAGACTTCATTCCGACTAGGGATTGCCGCTTTCGGCGATAGTATGGTCTGAGAAAGGACCGGAGTCTGCGCCTTTTGAGTAAAGATTGTTGCCTTCAGATTCATCTCAGCAAATCCAAGCAAAGTGTATAGTAAGCCCTATCTTTTTTCTAGTATTGTTTTCTTTTCTTTTTTTGATGAGACTTTTCTCATAATTTGCCACTGGTTCATTGATGCCTTGTGCTGCCGTTGCATTTTGAGGAGCAGGCGCCGGAGTCCCTTACCTGAGTCTTTTGGAATTAGCCCCCAGTTTTCATCCCAAAGAATGTTATGACTCCGCTTGTCAAAATTATCATAGTTAATACATTTGACTGACAAAATGTGGCAAATCCTCATTTAGAGTCATCGACGGATCAAGTCTTACTCCCGTTGAGGCTTCATCGGTACCTGGGTATACTATTCATCTTGCGTAATCAATCTGAATCGGTTAAAGGGGTATGTGATCGAAGAAGGTCTAGAAAACCAAGGTCAGCATAAGTTCATGGAAGCGAAGGGGACAATCGGGATTGGTAAACTGGTAACAGAGAGGTTTAATTTCGTTTCTTCTTTATGATTCCTTGATGCTTGTACAGGGTAGATCCGTGAAGAATGACTCAAATCAGCTCTTCCAAGATGTACTCTTATCAGATAGATGGCCCAGCATTACTGTTTAGCCCGCATGTTGCATTCAAGGGCGTTGGTTGGGCCCTGCGTCGATAGTACGAGGAGCACCTAGTACGAAAGAATCAGTCATTAACCCAATTGGGAGCTGCAGAGTCACCTTGTTTTCTTTTTCGAAAATCCCAGAGTTGCGTTCCCTCTGTACGACGGGAACAGCCATTTGCCGAAGCCGAGCGTGTAAACGGGAGTGCTGCAAGTCGGCTGCTCTGTGAGACCCGGGCGTCCATATAAAAATCCAGGGCTACTATTTCCAGATTTCCGTTTGTACATTACAAAGCCTTGGCCGAAGTGTCGTTTATTGTACGACGAGTCCTGGAGGTACGGAGTATGTCTTGACATCGTACATGGGAGACTGTTTCTTTCGACCCAGAGTCTATCAAAGGAGATCGCGCGTCTAGATTATTTGGAATTGAATCCTATTGCACGCATGGACCGTTGATCTTCTCAAGTGACCGTCTCTAGGTCATCTGCTACTGATTCGAGGAACGCGCTAGACCCAGTATGGTTCCCGTGCAGATTCAGAAACCGACCATTCCGACCCCGGTGAGAGAACCGACATGATTCAGTATACAATCCATGGATTATTATCTTGTACCATCTTGTCATTGCTCTGGATGAATGTCAAAACGTCAAAATTAGTCAAATTAGTCCCTCCTGGACCATATCAGAATGGTCAATGTTCGGCTATCAATTAGAGATCTATGTGCCGTATTCCCCACTAACATGTCCTCATCACCCGTGCCAGTGACTGGCTAGTTCGAAATAGTCATTAGCTGATTTTCGGCTGACAAGATGCGGCCTGAGCTCAGAAGTCAAGAAACCTTGGAACATTGAATTCGCGGCCTTTTTTAGTTCAACGGATTTTACTACCAGGACCCCCTCATTCGTGATCATTACCTTTTTACCGGAGGATTATCGCCCGACAGGAGACCGGCATAAAAGGAAAATTAAAACTTGAAGAGAAAAAAAAAAGCAAAGAAAATACCTCTCTTACATTTAGGCCTTCATTTGCTCGAATCCCGATATAATCCGATTGTGCATTTTTTATCCTTTCTGCGCTTACAGAACTTTGAACTGGGTCCCATGCTCCTGGCTTCTGCAGTATCTGTATAGAGAAGGTTATACCCGTCTTTCAAATGTTCCCTAGAAATCAAAAACATGGATCGGATTTGACTCATAGTCGATCCTGTCCCTATTGATATTTCTAGATATTTCCGTTTTCATGATCTAGTCTCTATATGATTCCATGGTAGTTTTTAAGACACCTCAAGTTACACAATTCCAGGCCAGGCGCGATCCAGAGAGACCCGGGAAACCTATCACAGTGATAGCTTCCCTGGTTGTGTGATGACGGCGTGAAGAGATAAAAACACTCAAGAGAGAGGGGCACGAGGGGATGTGAAGAGGCTTTATAGTCTAGACTTAAAAGTATATATGTTTGATTTTAAGTCCTTTGGAGAAGATCAAAAGAAACTACTGCATTTTCCCCTCCGAGTCTGATAAGATTGAGGTTTTTATTTTTTTTTATTTTTATTTTTATTTTATTTTTCTTCTCTGACTCTGATAAAAGAAGCTTCAACTACAGGAATCCCATGATTGGATCTTTCCTACACTTAAGAGAGTGTTACCGCGACTGAACTTGCTCATTTGTACGACGGTTACTCTTTCCAAAATATCCCCTTGTCCCTTTGAACATCTTTGTGCTTTCCACCTGGGCAGTTCAAAGTCCTTCAGCCTTCCTCAAGTGCTCTTTTTTTTAACGCAGGGTCCATTACTTCTGCCAACCCCATCTCTTATGCGATCGCTGTGCCACCTCGGGAAAATCACACTCCGCTCGAGCCATCAGTAACCTGGTTCCACTACGCAGGTTCTCATTTGTCTTTCGCAACGCCCTGGCCGAACCCTTGGCTTCGCGCCGTACCCGCACCCCTCAGTGGATCAAAAAGAACTTCTTGTCCTCTTTTCCATTTAGATCTGATACCTTTGTGGCATTGTGGACTATACCCGAGGTCCCTGAGTATCCGAGAGTCTGGCACCGTTGAATAATTATTCTTTTTTTCTTGTTTTATTTCTTTTTTTCATTTTGATTTAATTTTTTTTTCTCCCTTTTCTTATTCCTTTTTATTTACTTTATTTTACTCCTTTGGTAGCTTTCTCTCATTCCCCTTCCTGCGGGTGATCCCGATTCCTCCCCGGACTTGATCCACTTCCTCATAACCTGTTTTTGCGTCATATTATACCCATTTTCTTTGTCTGGTCTATTGGCTTGAAGTGTGCATTTATCAATCGATTTTTGACACATTGCTCGATCTATATATACATCTATATATGTATAGATAGCACTTGAAGTCCTTTTTTATACTTGTATATCTTTGGTGGGGCCATTTTCCGACTGATTTGATTTGATATTCTTGTTTTACCCTATTGGATTCTTTTCATTTATCTCTTTTTTTAACCTTTCCAGTCCAATTTCCTCTCAGTTCTTCGCCTATCAAACTCAACTGTTTTTGATCTCCAATTCTCATTCCCGTGACCAATCACGCGACGCATTCCACCTTGACCCCCTTGCACCGGTTTTCTTACTTGAGGGGGATTGTCCACTATTACTGGGAATTTCCCTTGAAAGGCGTGGTGTCCGCGCGTGGGCCACCTTTTATCTTGAATTCCCTTTTGTGATCTGGCCCCCTTATCACTGAAGAACTCGAACGTTCCTTCTTTAAACGTGCCTATACTCACGTGGATCTTGTCGCCTCAGGCTGAGTCAGACATTTATCCTAATTATTCAGGCATCAATATCACTTTCAGGCAACAATCAGGCACTCAATTCAACTCTCACCGCCTCGCCCCTCTCAAAGTCCCAATCTTCCAAGTTGAACACCGGAGAGCTGGTTCACCTTTTACCCGTTGGGATCGTCCATTATTATCCATTCTGCATGCAAGCCTAGTCTACCCGCTCACTTGCGCCACCTCGCGACCTGGTTTCCCATCGGGCGCGTTCTCTCTTCCCCTTCCCTCCGACCAAACGCGCGCCTTCGGCTTCTCGGCCGTCCGATTTTCCAACTATGTATGGCACGCCTCATTCCCTCTCGACGATGAATGGTCTGGGAGAGGTCGTCGACGGTTCCGGTACAATCGACCCGGCGAACCTGAGCAATTCAGGTATGTACTTTTGTTTTACTGGATGAAATGTCTTCATCCTATGCAATTACCCCCATGGTTCCTTCTCTTGCTTGGTATATATACATTTGCGCGAATCTGTTTGACATCTATCATCACCACCTTCCCTATGTTCCTTTGCGCGATATCTCGTGCGCCACCTCGCTGTCGGTCGGCAAGACCATCTACCCATGCCTTTGTGTATTACCCTCATCACCTTCCTCCAGACTGATGCCCCGCCTAGTCTCTGTTCTGCCGGTCCCATCCCCTGCAGAAGCAACCCCCCGTGGCATTAAGCGCACTCGCACTCCAGATCGCAGTGGGAATGGCCATACAGAAGGAGATCAGGATGATGGTACGTGCGCGGCGAGGTGCCATGCTGTTTGTGACGTGTCGTGTTGTATCATGTCAAGTCCTGTATTATTTGTCCCAGCTTTGAATGTCCTTCATCCGCTACCTTCCTCCCTTGCGCCTTCCACGATCGCATTCAGCTAGTTTCATCCTATGGCAGAGTATGCTGACCAACAGTATCCATTGCAGAAGACCAGGGTCGTCGCAAACGCGGCCGTCCGCCCAAGATTCCGAGGGCTAGCTCCAATGACCACCCTGCGCACACTCCGATTCAAACCCCCCAGATGCAATCCCGCCCGCTTCCCCAACATAGTGCCGGATCCCCACCTCTTGCGTCGCCTCCTGATAAGACTACTCCCACTAAATCCCTGGTCAAGGCTCTCCCAACCGTCCGAGATCATACTTCCGATCAGCTCAATGATGAGGGTGACGAGTACATCCCCAAGGAGTTTGACGAAGCGGGAGAAACCAAGGTTGATGCTATGGGATACCTGCAGGGCAGTCGTGACTACAAATGTCGAACCTTCCGTGTGCCGAATCGAGGCACTAAGTTATTCATGTTAGCGACAGAGTGCGCAAGGGTATTGAACTATCGTGACTCGTACCTGTTGTTTAACAAAAACCGGTCTCTTCACAAGATAATCGCATCCCAAATCGAAAAGGATGATTTGATTCAGCAAGACATTCTTCCTTATTCCTACCGATCCCGTCAAATCGCGATTGTCTCTGCCCGGTCTATGTTCCGTCAGTTCGGCAGCCGCGTAATTGTCAATGGTCGGCGAGTACGAGATGACTACTGGGAGAGTAAAGCAAGGAAACAGGGCTTCACGGAAGAAGATCTAGCGGGCGAGAAGCGCCCAGGCGCATCCAAGATTCGAGACGGATCCACTGCCGAGACTACAACGTCTAGCCTGTTACCGGCGCTTCCCCATAACGATGTCATCTTCAGCAATACGATCGAGCCTTTACCAGCGGGTCTTTCCTTGGATGTCTCGGATTCCCCCTCATTTAACCAACTTCCAATGATTCACATGGCCACAACGGAGGATCCGCGACTACGGGAATACAACAGCATTCCTCGAGTGCGCCAAGAGCTGACTGGTCAGACCTACCAGGATCGCAGTCAACCCAGTTCAGGAGCAGAGATCATCAATCAGGCCTCCCACGCTGCCGAATTCAACAAGATTCTTGCGTCACAGCGAAACTTTCGCAAGAAGGGACTGGAGGAGTTCTATTCTAAGCCGCGTGAGGTCCCTGAGACAGAACCACAGTCTACCACTGCCCTTGAGTCAGGTCTTTCTGTGTCACAGCCCATCCAACCTGTCCAAATGCCACCTGCTGGCATTCCCAACCCTGGCCACGCTCAGCACGTCATGCCCCATCAGGCGGCTATGATGCAAGCTCAGCCTACTTTCCCTCAACAACAGCATCAACAGTCTATCGGGCAGTCACCGGTCAGAATGGCACCAGGCATGCGAGCCGATCTCATGCATCAACGATCTAATCCATCCATGTCCGCTGCTGTCGGTCAGCCTCCTTACGGTTATCCTGCTCAGCAACAACCCCAGCAGCAGATGTGGGGTCAACCTCCACCGCAACCACAGCCATCGCCAATGTCCTCTGCTGGTCCACAGGGAGTTGGAATCCCTCAATACGCTCAGCAACTTGCCGCGGCCGCGGCTCAGCAGCAAGCACCATCACCTCTCCACCATGCCCAGCAGCCTCAACAATCACCGCGTAACCAACATCGTCCCCAAGTGCCTCAGATGCCACAGCAGTTTCACCAGATGCAACATCCTCAGGCCCAGCAGCAAGCTATGGGATCCATGGGTTTCCCCGGAGGAAACCCGGCCGCTTACCAAAATATGCAACGTGCGATGTATCCCGCCGGTCAAGGTCCTGGGCCTCAGGCATTTATGGCCGGCAATCCTCAACAAGCCAGCATGGCAATGAGCATGGGTGCAGGTGGTATGCCTGGGTGGCCCGCCGGCCCTGGGGGACCGATGCAACCTGGTCAACCCCAGCCTGGTCAATCGGGCAGCCCACTGGGCGGATGGTCAGGATACTAGATCGTGGTTCGGCGTTACCTAAGATGGGGCGTTCATGTGGGCTTCTTGCATCTGCATCAGACACGCCTTTTTTGAACTTGAGAGTTTTTCTTTCCATTTTCGCTTCAGGCTTCGCTTTCGTGGTCTCCTAGTCGCTACACTCCACTATTTTCTCGTTCATTTTTTTTCTGCCCCTTGCATTGTGACCCTCTCCACCCCTGGACGTGATTTGGTAATTGTAATCTGGGCTACCTTTTTATACCCTTTTTTTCGTGTCTTTGATTAGGTTCGGTCCTTAATTGGCCGAGAAGTATTGTTTTTTTTCTGTCTATTGTTATCCTACCCTTGGGAATACTGCGGCGTTATTCCCGACTTACCTGGCGTTGAGTCTATTGTCAATTTGTTACAGGAATATGAGTGTGTATGTTTCTTTATCATTATCATTATCTCTGGTTGTCTTCCATACATGGTCGATAGAGGGGTTTGTCTGCTACCACGAAATCGGCAATCTGTTTCATGAGGCCGAAACGTACTGATATTCTTTTCCTGCTGATTATGGGTTCCTTGTATTTCCCCCATGATCCTGTTTTATTTCTTCCAAGGTTATGTTCTTGTCCTATGTATTACCTGTCTTCGACCTGGGACTATGTTTGACAAATCTGGCCGTGTCAGCTTTTGTCATATTCTCTCCTCTTCTGCTGTTCATACTTCAATGTGTTACTTTAAGCTGAGCTTGTTACTTGTTACTCTGATATGCCCATTGTCGCGTCCACTCGCTAAAACTAGCTCAAATTGATAATGATGATGCCTTGCTTCATGTTCACATCGCACGTAGACCCACTTCCACGGTCAACTGGTCCATAATAACTGCCAAGAACAAAAAACTTGAATATATGGAGCATGATATCCATAAAAACAAAAAGTAAACGCTCCCGGGAAGGCTCGAACTTCCAACCTCCTGATTAACAGTCAGACGCGCTAGCCAATTGCGCCACGGAAGCTGTTCGTTGTATCCCTGGCAATTTTCTGATGTTATGAGCCTAATCCATCTCTAGCTGTGATTGGAGAAAGGTATGATGAAATATAGGTGATTTTGATGAATGAGATTTCTTATATCTGAGATTAAGATTAAATCTATACTGATCTAAAAAAGAACCTAATTTAAATCTTATATTAGCTAGAAGTAATATAGAGTATACTTAAAGCAATTATACCAGGACTATCACTTATATACACATCCAAAGTAGACAATAATTAAAGCAGCACTTCAGAATCCCCAGATACATATAACCATCAATTATCTTAATTGACTTTGTTTGATGACGCACAATAAATTGCCTCTAAGCATCAAACAGCTTCCGTGGCGCAATTGGCTAGCGCGTCTGACTGTTAATCAGGAGGTTGGAAGTTCGAGCCTTCCCGGGAGCGTTTCTTTTTGTCCCTTTTTGCCCCATTTTTGTGCTTGCTTATCCTTTTAATCCATGTCTGATTTTTGCCTTCTTTTCATTAAATAAGAGGAACCCCTTTTTTTATACTACCAAGGAAATTATCGGCTTATCGAGAGAATAAGGTTTATTCTTCCAAGGTTTCACTGCACTAGGTAGTGCCAGTGTTCAAATATCACGGTTTGTGGATCAAGTTTGGCTTCAAATGGTGGATATATATTTAATCCACACTGTCCAATTGATACCCTGTACATTCGAGTCATCCCTTCAAGTTTCCCTCCGCAAGTGAAGCATTGAATGCTGCGGCACGTCCAACATGATATGGTCCACTCATCAGGTCCGACAATCTCGCCCACGTGCAAATTTGCATGTACAGATGACTCAGAACAAGTCAACCTTGGGAAGCCATCCCGAGGTCACTTGGAACCTTGGAAGGGTTGAAAATCCATGGATCGCGGCAAAGGCCAGGTCCGCACATCATAAACCAGAGATAACATTATGAAAGCAGAAGAAGAAACGAGAAGCATAGATTGATATAATTGCTGTTACCTATCCTCACCTGCAGTTTCTAGGCCGCAAGGAAGTCGGAGGCCGTGGAACTGACATGCGTGATGATGCCGACCTCGGGAGCTAATGACTCGTTTCTGAATGGTCTACATCGGGGCGCGATGGATAGGAGACATGAGCGATGAGATCCGAGATGTTCGAAGAGAGCACTGGATCGAATTCCATGAATGATGATTTGCAGGAAAGAAAAGTGAGCAAGGACCAAAGAAGTATGCAGGAACAGGATGTGAGAGAGAGAGCTACTAGCATGGAAATGGAAGCGTCGCTGGAAGACTATTGATAATACCTATCGACATTGCGCTCCTATTCATACTCTTACTATGTCGGTTAAACAAATTTGAACGTGCAATTTGATCAAATAGTCTCTTGAAAATCCGTGTCTGGGTTACTAGAATTCTAAGGGAGAGGGTAGAAAACTAAGTAAGGAACCGTTCCAGGCCCATTCACATACAGAAAAAAGCCATATAAAGCAAAAAAAGGACATCCCAGGTAATAACTAGCCTCTACCTGGAGGCTGGTACAACCATTTGAATTGATAAGGACCTTTTCTCAGATCTGCATCTCTAACTCTGGTCATGTAGATAGCGCAAAGGCCCACTGGATAGCCTTTGGGGCGCGCTCCCCGATACATGTCTTCCAAGGTTGAACACATGGTCCTCATTGATCGAGGATTTGATATCTTGAATAATCGATATCAAGAAGCCGATTCTGCGTTTAGCCACTCTAGATGAGCTGGGGTACGTTCTCAGCGACGATTGCTCCAAACAATTTGTTTTCAATTCGATGGGAACCAAAGTTCAGTGGTACTTATCTGGTCTAAGTATGCGCGGGGAATTTGGATTGAAATGATTTCCGTTATGGCTTGCGGATGTACATAGAGAATGAATTGGAGGTATTGCTCTGCTGTGCGGCAATTGGGGGTGAAGTAAAGGGAAGTAGAGGGACTGTTGAAGTCGCCCATAGGTAAGCTCACAATGCTTGACAAATCGATACCACCATCATGATAGATGAGACTGGTAGAAGATAGAAGTAACCTTATCAAGAGTCACATTTTCTGTAAGATTAGGCTCCCTGAGACTAAGTTATATCCACTTGGCTGGTAGTCCAAGACCCTGAATACCTAGCCATGCCTGGTTATAGCCCTGAAGCTATTAGACATGTCCTTGTGTAAATTTCAGGATAAATATCAGCTAATACTTATTTTTTTTTTTAGATCTAGAACTGTGATCACGGTTGAGTTAGGGGTGCCTTAAAAAGTAAATCATAGTATGCAGTAACAGAGGGCTATAACAACCCTATAGCCAATGCCCTAATAGAGATAGCAGAAAAGGGGGGGGGGGGGGACCAAAAAAAACCATAAATATTAATTATCTTTCACTTCAGCTATCTCTTACTTTAGTTTTATATATGTAATTACATAGTGATAAAAAGCAATCAGGGGTTAGCTAGGTGGTTAACATTCATTATGGGAAAATGGGGTTTGGCCATGTGGCCCTGAAGTGGTTACTTAACCTTTGAGAAAGCAAAGAAAAAGGTTTAATCCAAGTCGCAACCATAGTCAATATTAGGCGAGAGGATCTTAGTCTCGAGGAATTAGCCTGTATACAACGAACAGCTTCCGTGGCGCAATTGGCTAGCGCGTCTGACTGTTAATCAGGAGGTTGGAAGTTCGAGCCTTCCCGGGAGCGTTTAATTTTGGTATTTTTGTGCTTCAAATTTATTTCAAACCCTTTTTTTATTAGTCTTTTGATCCTCCCTTGCATAGTAAATTAACTACTACAGCCTTGGAATAATCAACATTTGAAACTGTGTAGTGTTTCCAGTAAGATAGAATGAATATTTTTGTATCATCTTTAAAATCAATTTCACATTCATAGATATCTCTATAGTCAACAGGAATTTTACATTATTTATCACAAATCCACCTCACAAGCAATCTATCTAACAATCCGAAGCCAAGCCTAGCAAAGCTCAAACCAATAATTCACAAATATGCAGGGTTCGCACTTAAAAGCTAGTGACCAAGGGGGTACTCACTGGCGCCGCACTCGACTGACAAACACAAGCGGAGACAGAGGTAATAGGAGGCGAAGTGCAGTGAGCATCAACAGTCCAAGTAGAGGTAACAGTACTGGCCTTCTCGTGGACGAGTTTCTCGGCACGAACAAGAACAGGGATAACAGCACCAGTGTTAAGACTGAAAGTACGGTGTCCGACAACTCGCAAGATAGATGAGATCTCACCGGAGTGCGAGGTAACAGAGACAAAAGTATCCTTCTTCACAGAGGCAGAAGTGAAGAAGACCTCGTCGAGAGCCTTGGTGCTACGCTGGTCCTGGGCGTCGCTGGTCTCGGCGGTAACTCCGTTCCAGAGCTCGTCTTGCTCGGCGAAACCGGCCTCAATGGGCCACGAGGGGAACATGTCGTGGATGTAGGTACGGTCGTGACGGTGGTCACAGGTGTGAATGCTGATTCCTTCACGGAAGAGTTCCTTGATCAGGGGCTTGAATTCGGCGCTGCCCTTGGGGAACTTCAGGTCGGTGAAGGTGTAGTTGGCGGTCTGGAGGGTACGAGCCAAAGGACTGACGAAGTAGTTGTCCGGGGTGTGGATGCGTTGCTCGTCGATTTCCTTTTGCCAGAATTTGTGGGCAGTCAGGGCTTGCTCGACACCGTTGTCGGTCAGTTCGGCGTCGTACCAGGTGGCAGTGCCGTTACCGGTGAGCTCGGCCCAGTAGCACTAGTTTTGGGACATTAAATTAGTATTTTATGTAAGCTTTATTGGTAGTGATACATATACTTACGTTCCACGCAGGGGTGCCGTAGTAGGTCTGAGCAGCGTTGTGCCAACCCTCACCGTGACGGCCGAGGAAGAGAACCTTGTACTCGACCTCTCCATTTGACTCATCGTTCAGCTGCTGCACCTGGTTGTAGAAACGCTCCCACTGAGTCATGGATTTGGCATTCTTGAGCTTCTCATCGGCAGGGTAAGTGCGGTTAAGGAGACCGAAGTTGACCGCGGTCTATAGATCCAAAAAAAAATATCTTCATTAGATGACAACCACAAACGACCGGAGATAAGTAAAAATGGGTAAGATTGTCATACATAGTCAAATGTGGAGGCATCAGTCGCGGTCTCATCCTGCAGGAAATAACCAGTCACAGTTGTATAGTTCACGGTGTATGCATGCACTGACGCAGCAAGACCCAACAGGGCCGGAGAGAGAGCCGAAAGCTTCATTTTGTAGGTAAGGATGTGTTTGAGAATGAGTTGAAGTAAAAACTGAAAAGATCGACATCTTCCGGCCTTTTTATGCCTGTTAGGGTGACATGAGCAAATATGTTGTTGCTTTCCCATGTGTTAGGGCCCTGGAATGTTCTCCCCGCAGTGGAGAAGGGCGGAAAGTCCCTGACATCCTATCGAGCGGTACACGTGTCGCATATTTTGGCAGCGGCCTCGCCCGTCCCCGTTTAGGCGTTGTCTGGGCAGGACTAATAGTTATTAGACGCGGCAACAATTCTTCACTTGGCCATGGTTAAATGTTGAAGAATGTTTTTCCATCCAATGGATGGAGTTGTGGAGACCTGTGTCGGCAGTTGTACGCGTGAATCGCTAGAATTTTTCTTAGTTTATACTTTGAGGATTGAAGCTTGGGAAATGAATGCCAAAAAAATAATATCACCGCTTTTTTTGTAGTATATGAGACGAGATCCTGTCAAAGATCGAAATGGTGATAAACAAGGTATAGGTATGGGACAGTATGTATCAAAAATATCCAAATGCTGCCAAATATGCAAGTCCAAAATTCCAATCCAAAGCCAAGCCGGTATCAAAAAATAATGTCAAAACGAAGGTAAGAAAGTAAGGTCGAACCTATGAGGGTTCGCAAGAATTAAATAAGGTCATACCAGACCAATGTGGATCCCAGGCCAATAAACACAATGCGGCTTTGCTCCAAATATGTAAAAAAATCCCTGGTGAAACAACACCGAATAAAGAGACAAGAGAAGAAATAAACAGATGCACAAGGGTAAATAAAAGTGACAGCGGGTCTCCTCGCATGGAGATGGAATAGACAAGCCCCCCCCAATAGGTGTGGGCAAAGGGGTGAAAACAAAATCCAAGAGAAACAACAAAGTTACAGGAAGGACGACACAACACGCTGCGTAGTGGTTCGCCCTAAACCAACAAAAGACACATTTATCGCGGGACATCTCTCATTCATCCATCGAAAGATAGGGGGAAACAAGCCCTCCAATTAAGGGTAGTGATTAGGCGTAGCATTGTTAAAAGTGTACGCCTTAGGCTTGTGGATGGATCCCATCTGCTGAGCTGCAAAACGATGAGTATCCTGTTGGTCGTGGAACTCATGCATCGTAAAGTCAGACGCCTTTCTCTCTCCATCCGTAGAAACAGGCATGTCGGCATCCTCAATTGAGTAAATGAGGGATGGTGAACCAGACACGGCCTCCATGAAGCCATGTCCATGGTGGTCAACAGGCGCATCGTAACCAATAGGAGACACTGTGCTAGAGTGAGGGACCTGAAGACCGGCCTGGAAGTCTGGAGAGGAGAGAGTAGTGCTCTCGGCCCAGCTTCGAGCGGTCATGGGAACTGGGTCACAGGTCACATACTCGGGGAAGCCGTTCATCTGAGCCGGAGCAGACATAGGTGGGGCACCGTTTTGGAAGGGGAATGGAGAGTAGATATCAAGAGGCGTAGTGGGAGGAGATGCAATGTTCACTTGCATGGGCTGAGAAGAGGGGAAGAACTGAGTGTTGGAGTGTGCGGACATGCAGTAGCTGTCTGTGGGTGAAGCTGGCATGAAGTGTTGGAAGTCCTGAGGAGTCAAGGGAGTCGGAGGGGCCAAGGATGATGATGAGACAGATGGCCGCAGCATATCAGCCTTGCTAGACTTCAAGGAGCCTGACTCGGCAAATGTGAAGTTGAGGGGAGATCGCTGGGCAGCGGAAGCCTTACGAACACCAGCGTACCTAGTGTTTAGGTTCTGTGCCGACTTGGTATGCCTCATCGAGTTGCCAGCACCCGAGTTCTGCATACGGCTAGTGGGAGAAAGAGAAGACATTGAAGTCGAAGCTGCTAGGGAGCGAGTGTTGGAAGTACCAATGGCGGCAGGGCGAGGACGCTTACGTCGAGCAGCGAGGTCAAGTTCCTTGCCCGAATCCTTCCATGACGCTCCTCCCTGAGTTGACTGAGTGGGTGTACAGATGCCAATACCCTCCAAAGAGGCTGTGAGAGCGCTAGCCGACTCGCGGCGGGTAACGGAGATATCGGGAGCCTGCATGGACAGGGGGTATTGCATGTTTGTGTAACCCAGACTAGCATCGGGGCTAACGCTGTGCATCATATGTTGATCCTTAGGAGTCTCAACCCAGTCCTCATTTTGAGGGTACTGAGCACCCGCGTACGCATCCACATTGTGGTGCACAGCGTGTGAAGAGCTTGGCAGCTCAGAAAGGGCCTGACTGGTCGGGGGGAACTGGTGACTCTGGGGAGAGGTCCAGTGAGCCGCCTCTTTCACGTCAGGCCAATCCTGGAAAGGCTGGCTCAGAGCTTGGGCCTTGTTCTCAGAGACACTAGGGGCTGCCTTCGGTGGCGCCATCGATGTAGGGGAGATAGCTTCTTCCTCCAACGGGGACTCATGCTTGGAATGCGAGTCTCGTCGTGGAGCGAAGCGATCACGAGCAGCAACTGCAGCGTTCAGTGCTCGCTGCAATGATGCGAAGGTTGCTTCACGGGCAGACTCACTCTTTGTTTTCTGGTGCTTCTTATTCTCCTCGGCCTTTGCATTACCCTCAGCCTTCACAGATTGCGGCTTTGGGGTCGGCGACCTCTCGGGCTCCTCTTTGGGCACCACGGTAGATTGTGACTCTGACGACTGACTAGGACCCTCAGACTTGCGACGAGCAGCCTCCTCAGCCTCAGCCTTAGCTTTTTGCATCTTCTCAAATTCCTCCTGACGTTTTTGTTGCTTTGCCTTGGCGCGTCGATTTTGGAACCAGTTCTATAAGTGAGATCAAAATTAGCCCGGGGAATTCAGCGCATCCATATTTCAAGAACAAAACATACCGCAACGCGAGGTAGACTCAGGTTGGTCTGAGCTGCCAATTGACGCTTAACATTGCTGCTAGGCTTGGGATGAGCTTGGAATTGGTTTTCCAAGGTCTCGACTTGCTCTTTGGTTAACCTTGGGCGAGATAGGTTCTCTGTGTATTCATCGTAGTCCATAATCGGTTGGTGATAGTAGTCGATCATCTCCATAGGAGGGTGAGGGTAGAGATAGCCGTCAATAGGGTGGTGCATCATAGGAGGAGGCACCATAGAAGGATCATAGGCGAGGGTGTGATCCATAGGAAGACCAGAGTGGCCAGGGTAGTTCCATGAGGGATGGATGTAACTCATGATGGCGGATGATGGGGTATAGAATGGAGGGAAAGAATGACGGGGGGAGGGGGCGGAATTAAAGGAAGGGGAAGGGCTGCACAATATAGGGACAGCTCCAAGACACGAGAGGATTATATCATGAGAGGTTTCGGAAAAGGTCGAGAAGCGTGTGATCGGGACCGAGAGTGAATTGGGGGGGATGACCCTGGAAGAGAGGGAATATGGCAAGCAATAAAGAAAAAGAAACTAGCAAACGGACAAGGAGAGACAGAAGTGGGCCAACCAAAAGGAGTGTATGTAAAAAAGAAAAGAAAAGAAAATAATAAAAAAAAGAATGTCAAGAGAGCCACTAAGGATGATGGATGTGAAGAGGAAGAGAGAGAGAAAGAACGAGAGTAATGGGAAAGGGCGGTCTTGACAATGGGCTGTAATGATTGGGTGGAGTATGGGTGGACTAATTAGGAGTAGATTGCTCTTAATACTATCTTCCCCCATATTATATTTTTCTCTGCATGTTGAAAATTACCTATAATAATACCTAAATTACATAGTAAAAATAATTCAAAAAATTCCCAAAAAATAATAATTATTATTATTTAAAAATATTCACCCGGAAAAAAAAACCAGAGAAAAAAAAAACCCAGAGAAATCGGGAGATTTCCTGCGCTCGGGCAACGAGAGATCTGATCGTCTTGACAACTCCCCGGTTAGGGTCAACGTAAGTGATGAAAATGGAATAGTCATGATTTTCCTAATTAAAATAAAAATCAATAAAAATCCCCAAAAAGTATTTTAGAATATTTCCATGAGATTAGGTACCCAATAGTCAGGTTAGAAGAAAATCCTCCTCATTACGTGACTTGTACATACTAAATAACCCGTGGAGTCCGAGTAGCGCTACCGCTCGCGCGGTTCTAGGGGGTGGCGGCCTGGGCTCAGACTGCACAGGGTTCCGGTCTGGAAGGATCACATTATCCACTTAGACCTAGCTAGTATAGGTAACTCCCAAGTTAACTACATCATATCTAACATTTTTTAAGTATGAAATCGGAATACTGGGGAACATTTTCAATGTAAGATTTGATGCTATTAACAGATGAAAATTATGGGATTAAAAAAATGACTTCCTTTAGTTTCTCCTATATTCCCCAAAGTGAGGCGCGGCAGATGATACTCGGCACCTAAGCTAAATGTAGAGAAAATGCTCCCCCCCATTTTGCCCACAGCCCTAAGCAAATTGGATGTCTCCAAAAAAAAAAAATACTATGGTTCTAGCCAATTAAAAGTACGCCTCTGATCAACCGCTGTTTGAGAAAGGATCCACTATGATGTTTATTTTCAGTCACTGTACTCCGGAGTCTCCGTAGTACGTGTTTACCATACGCAATTCTTGACTACCTTTCGACGTTTGACGATAATGACTTCCAGAAGAAAGAATAAAAGTGTAAACAAAGCGTTCCATGGTAAGAAAGACGGCTCGGGAACTGAGTTGAGAGCCCCTGGAGGTACTGAAGTTTGGTTCAACCTATTAGAAGCTAAAGATTGTACAGCTCCGATGTGCTTTGGTCCCTTGATGATGGGGAAAAATAATGACCAAGTTCTCCGTAGATTTTGGGTCTTTTTTCTTTTTTTCTTTTTTTCTTATTTTTCCTTTTCCTTTTCTTTTTTTTTGGATTTTCGTCCCGCCCTTTGGTCAGTTCCTGCATTAGCGTCATGTCTGAGCCCAAGAAAAATCTCTGTAGGCAGAAAAAATAATTAAAAAAGGTTAGTGGAGTCGATATAGGGGCGATGCAAAGAAAATCGTCAGAAGTATCCCACTTTAATAGTACTCCATAGTAATCTTAGTAGGATCTTAGTAGGACGCCTCTATACCTTTTTTTCTAGGCGTGAAGAAGTTTTGGAATTCATGAATTCATGACATGGAGAACAAAGTGGGTCAGGGAAATGAGCATCAAATTCGACCCATCCCTGTAATCTGTCACGGGTGATCCAACATGCATGGCCGTGAAGGAGAGAAGAAGGGGTGGAACCTAAAAGGGAGAGAGAGATAGATAGAAGCTTTAAAATTTTCTTTTTTCATAATTTGAATTTGTTGAACTTTGGTGACTCGTGTATCTTCGAGATGCTTCTTAGTTTCTTAGTACCGGCACCGGGGATCTGGGATGATCAATTGATCGGAGCATGTTCCCCGACAATTCGTCGATTGTACTACTGTACCTGACCATATCGAGGCTCATCTCCCATGATCGCCATATCGATGGGGCCGATGATGTCGTTTCGACACTATTGAGGTTTGAAGCAAGCTGTCTTGTCAGCTATCTGTCAGCTAGATCGTGTCTGGGCATGGAGACAGAGGTCGAAAATCCGCTAAACTTCTTTAGGGATATATGGCAGTGTGCCAAGTGCAACTAAACATCAATAGTCGACAGATCCTGTCGATCACTTTCAGGATCTGCCGAGCTTTGTTTTTTGTTTCTTTTCACCTTGGACCCCTCTTAGGTCCTTCCAGGTCCTGTGATCCGGAGTGACACAATCGTGATTTATTTTTTCTTAATCCCGGTAGTATGGATGGGGGAGGATCCCTTAGTGACGGCGCTAAACGGCTTGAATCTAGAGGCGCCATGCAATTAAGTCACGAGGTTTGATATGCAGTCCCAATCGAGTCGTTCCCCTCTATTCATTGGGGGAATGATGCTATGTCCACTATTTTTTTTTATTTCACCCCCCCTTGTCCAAATTCCTGCAGATAGGTGCAGCAAGCTCTCCTAGCTATCCTCCGTAGCTCCCGAGGGCGTCATAATAGAGTCAAATAAGAACTTGGTTTCTTATTCTTGATACATACCCATGCTTCATGTAAGCTGCTGTGTATCCTGTAGTTTGGATTATCAAACGTTTGATCATGCATCTCATCTCTCAGTTTGATCCGATCTATAACTATAACGGCTATGAGTGCGCGGGGTTTCCCTTTACCGGCATACATCTCTCTTTCATTATTGTTCATAAAACCATGACAGCAAACCGTTGCACAAGAATCCAAGGCCCCAAAAGTCAAAACTATGGAGTCAGTCTGATTCCGGAGAATCCCAATCCTAAAACCTTGATATCGTCGTACAGCCCCAAAGTACGAACCGTGATGTACATGGAATTCACTATCACAGATACTCTGTATGGAGTACCACCCAAGTACCTTACCCTCTTAGTCCTTGGCCCCTCCAACTATACGCGGCCTGATGCAAAAGCCAAGATAGATAATCACTAGAATGAGGGGAAGAGAAACCCCGGCCCAACGGAAGCTTTACCCTAAAACTTGAAGCCACGAGGTACGAGGTCCCACGATGCCCCCTCCTATTAAAATTTCCAAACGTGATCACCTCCTTTTCCTACCGATTCCGGAGCTGGATCTGAGTATGTAGAAACGTATAACGCTCCAATCCAAGGCAAATCGTTTCGATTCAACCAGTAAGATAGATTTTTGAGATTTTTGAGACGAAACGTGAGTGGGGGTGAATCGTGTATCCACACAATCAGGGGGTTATTCCTTTGGGTCTCCTCCCCGGAAACCATTCAAATCTCCAGTTATGGAGTATATACGAAGTTGAAGCCAGACGAGACCGAAAACCTTCACTCTTCGATATCTTGGATAGGCCCCACGCTTGGAATGGAGCAACAACGTGGCCATCGGATCCATGAATGCCCCTCATCAAACCTTGTGCTTGTACTTTCGGAACACACGTCGTGAACACCCAGTTCCGATGATCGTCGTCCTTTTGACAATCTAGGTTAGTAGACGTCTCTGTTCAAAGCTTCACGTGCAGTAGGGGCGCCTATCAGAGTTGCGAATCACATTAATGGAGTAAAAAAAAAACATGAGCAATCGCACAATCACAGTGGAGGGATTTGCAGATTTGCGGGAGGGATTGTGTGTGCTGGCGCTCGCCCCTCTTACTCTTTTCTCTTCTGCCCCACAATGTCAACCAAGCCTCATGATGAGAGAAAGAGGAAAATGTGGACAATTGAAAAAAAAAAATTTACTCTGAGAGATTCACTGGTACGCTAAGATACAGCCCGAAGCTATAGAATACTCCGTGTGCTATGACCCCGGTCTAGTCAAGAATCTCCGAATGCCCCGCAGCAGTATGTTTTAGGGGGGGGGGGGGTAAGAAAGTCCACTAGGGTGATGGTTATGGTGTGCATGTGTGAATCAATCCTCATAGTAGATTCGTTGTTCCTATCTCCGTCATCTCCGTCATCAGGATTAGGGGGGAGATGTGGACAGGATCTACTCTTGACGTGCCCCTGGATTGATCTGCAACGCGTGAATCCCGCACGGATCCCTTGGCCCCATCCGACTATTGATTGGATCTGGAGTGAACCGTTATGGTGGGACAAAAATCTCAAATATCGGAGAGCGAAAGAGAAGAATACAGCCTGAAGAGAATGAGCTTTTCGGAAGTGTTCGAGCCACCGAGTCGGGTCAAATGAAACCCCCCCCCCAAAAATCGATAGTAGAACCGAATTCCCCCCAAACTCCATCTGCTAATTCCCCGAAACCACTTCCTCTTCCCCCATGATCGACATGAAGGGTTCTTTTGTGTGACAGCAGTGACATCGCATCACCTTTTCCCTTTGGGCCGCGAAGTCCTTGGCAACTTGGGGGATCTGAGGATCGACCTCTTCGGAGCACTGATTCCGTCTCCGATCATTAAGTCCCCGCTTTCTCGCCCCAAACTCTTGTGTCATCTACTGCGAACAGGTGATTTCAAGTTGTACTCCATACTTATCATCCCCCTGTAAACTCGGACTGGGCTTTTTCGGTGACAATAGTGTGCTCCGCAGTGGCTGAGGCTGAGTGGTTCCTGCTTAGGTTTGTGTTTTCTTTTCCTCCCTTGTTTTGCTTTTCCCATTCTCTTATGGGGGAAAAAGTGATAGGATCATCTCGAAATGTGACAGATCTTCCGGATCTACCACCTTTGTTCCCATTAACTCCCCCTGATGTGGCTTGGCTGAAGGAACTTGAGTCGAAAATAGCTGTGGCGGTGCGTCACTCCCGTACAGGGATGTCAATTCGGACTCCGTAGAAGTAACATAGATTATGTATTTGTCAAAGGTCCCGGGCAACCAATGACCATTTTAGGACTTCCGTAGAGTAACTTGATGCAAGTAAATGAAGAAAGCCATACATTTGGGACTGTCCGTGACATCCGTTTTCACCCCGGCGCAGGCCCCCTTCGATTGTACTCCCGATGCTGTGGTTCAGATCGGAATCAACAAGAACCAAAGAAAAAAAAACCTGCTCATGTACGTGATAAGGGTGCTCATCCCGCCACTTTCGCCATCACGCATTTGGGAGGTGACCAGGATATGATTCTACAGTAGTTCAGGAAAATCACCAAAAATGGAAAGATGGAAAATCCATGATCTACCAAAGATCTACCTCGATTTGACGATCCGGATCCCCAAGTCTGCAATTCAAATCCCACCGTGACGGAGCCATATCCTGATTGGGATTTTTTTCTCGTATACTTAACCGCCGTGCTGTACGTGATGTACGGAATACGGTGTGCATCAACGCCGGAGCAGAGTATCCCTGATCTAGACATGGATCACTGGGACATCCCAACATCTGGGCTTTCCGTATTATGATGTTCAGGAGTCCTGCACAACTCAACCACTCTCAGGCTTTTCTCTCTCCGAATCCCGTGCGCAGGATGATTCAACAGGTTCAACTTATCTGTCCCCACATCCCTTGCATGATCTCTCCCATCGAGACTTGACTGGCTGCATGAGGGTCTATTAGGGTAGTTGGAAAAGCTCTCTCTCTTTTTCCTATTCTCTCAACCATCCAGAATTCAGTATAGAACACACTCGCCCCTTCCCGAAGATCCGCCGTCGGCAAAACAATATACTTGTAACATTTCAACCCGCTCAATTGCAGCCGCACGGCACAATATACTTTGTTTCCGTGTTGCCCCTCGTGAGAGCGGACCTGTAATAAGTGCAGATGGCTGCAGTCTGTCGGGTGTAATGTACTCTTTGGCGTTTTTTTATCGAGTACAATACGGCTGTCATTACATCCTAGATCCCTGAAATCAGTTTCCATATGTGGGAGTATGTCCTTCCTAATGTTCTGAAAGATGAGCCATGGAGGTTCTTGACTGGTGGATCTTACCTTGGGGGTTGGATCCTAGTCAATTTCAAACTGGGCTTAAGATGCAGATACGTTTCAGCGTGGTCAAACTTGCATGAACAACTGTTCGCAACATGGTTGCTGGGGTTGCCATGTGTGGCTGCGTAATGAAGTCTTGCTGTTTTTTCTTCGGTCATGCTGTAAAGAGCAAATCAGGAACCTTGGAATCCGATCATTATGCCTTGGATACGGAGTACTCGAGTATCTTACTGGATACCAAGTACTACAGTAAATACCGCAAAGATGCATTCAGCGCAATTCATGACCGCCACCGGTGTTTCTTTCATGCCGAGCATGCGAAGTCACCTGAGTAGTGCAGTAGGTCCGACATCTAGATTCATGATGTCCGGTGTCCAAGCTGAATGGAACCTTTTCATAACTCCGAAGTTCGCACATCCGAGTCCGAGATTCCATTGGAACGGATTTTCTGGCTATTATCCCTGCAAATAAGACATGAGAGTCTTTTCCTGCTTCTGCTGCTGTCATCACGCCGGTGCAGCAGGGCGTTTAACAATCTAAGTTTTAGTTTCATGCACTGTCAAAGCTCCTGCTTATCACGTAGGATCTTCTTCCACACCTGGCACACACACACACAGTTGCACACCTTAATCGCTCGTCTTGGGAACGTATTTGGAATACAAATACAAACTTGAGGTCGAGGTCGGCACTTGGTTGCCGATCCGTGAAGGGCGTGAGAAGAGATCCCGAACCCCGTGTGACCCCAACTCCGCCAGTTGGGTTTGGAATCCCGTCATCTAGCACCGACCTTAGTGGTCGGCTTCGGTATGGATGATGATCGGTAGTTCAGGGAATGATAACTCCATTTGATACCATAGGAAAATCCCTCTTTGATATCTGTAAGAGTTACCAGCCGTTTTCTTACGGTGTTTTGTCACCGAGGCCGCCCTTCTACCCCCTGCAGGAACCATCCGTATATGGACTATCAGACAAAGGTACGAGTACTACCTCAATAAGATCCGCAGGACTGGACCTTGGAAGCATGATGACACCGCTTAAAAGTCAAAAGGGTCCCGGGAACAAAAGTACTGTGAAATATTGTGAAACGAGACGAGTGTATAACAACCTCGATCTGGATCTTAGTGTAGTACACATACTTTAGTGCACGTTTTATACAAACTCCAAGTATCTGGTATGGAACTCAGCTCCACTTCTATATTCTATGCTGTGCAACTTCAAGACTGATCTTCAATGGCCCACCACTAGCTGCATCTGGATCTGCATCTGCACCTGCACCCACAACCACCCACCAAACCTTGACCCCTGCAGAGTCCTATTGAAAGGCATTCGCGATCTCAATCTGGACCCGCCCATCCACAACGCCCTTCACCGAGACACTACGCAAGTCTTCCACAATCCAATCCGCCCCAGCCGCCTGAAGCTTTTCCAAAGCGTGCGTCGTCGTCAGCGCAATCACCTTGAACCCAGCTGCTTTTCCAGCTTTGATTCCAGAAGGCGCATCCTCAAACACAACGATGTTTGTTGATTCCTCAATTCCAAGCTTCTTACGGCCGAGCAGGTAGCATCGTGGATCCGGCTTGCCGAGCTCAACGTCCTGAGCGACGACGAGAATCTTGGGTCTGGCGAGCTTCATAACGCCCAGCCAGCCGTCAATAAGGGCTGATGTGCCTGATGTGACGACTCCCCATTTCGCGCCGGAGTCTTCTAGGGCTGCGAGGAGGTCCCGACCTCCGGGGATCTCGACGGCGTCGGAACCGTATTTCTTTGGGATGAGGCCTTCAACGAAGTTGACATCTATTCACGAATGACTAGAATTAGTAAACCTATCTTCCGCGTGATTTTTTCCTTTTCGGAAGTATTCTGGATTGGACTTGTTGTGCAGGAACGTACATTCCCAGTTCGCTTTGCTCTGATCGTATAGTTGCATCACATCGATGCTTCTGCGGCCGTGAGAGGTGGCCAGGATAGTCTTTGGGTCGATGCCGAGCTCGGCACCAATTCTGAAACATGTGTAAGTTATTATTACTGTAGAGTATACCCATTTTTGGGTGTTTTCTTTCAAGGGTATCAGGTACTCACTCGTGCCAGTGCTTGACGATAGCTAGTGGGTCTCTGCGTTAGCATTCCAATTGTATCTACCACCGGTAGCCTCGGATGTTTGACAAACCATCTGTAGAATCCACAATTGTGCCATCGAAATCAGATAGGACACCATCAAAGGTGTGCACCTGCGGGGGCGCAGAGAAGGTGCCTGTCTCGGATGCCATGGTGGGGTGAGATGAAGGCGGGGAATATATTCCGAGGGATAGATTGATTATGGAGGTTGCCAATTGGCAAAATGTGTAAGTTAAGACAAGTTTCAAGATAAAAATGACCTTAAAGTGTGATTCAATTCTATAAGAATGGGAGAAATATCTAGAGAACGAAAGAGCGAGTTATAAGATCTTGAAGTTAACGTCGCCCAAGCGGAATCACTACTAGATCTGGCAGAGATTCCGCCAGTTTGCACTATTTGCACCATTTGTTCTATTTTATCGGCGATCGGCATAACTATTCGCCGCTTATCGAAATATCGCATGTCTTGGCACTCAACTTTTTCGAGGCGGGTTGGAGGAGCGCAATTGTCAGTTTACATCGTTTTTGTTTCTTGGAACTGTAGCAAAAATGGTCAAGAACAACTTTGGTGAGAATTACTTATCTCTATACTGAGAAATCTTTTATCTCAAGACCAAGTCTAACTTTTTCTCGATAAACAGGCAAGAGCTCCAAGCGGGTGCCCGTTCGCCTTCGTCACAAAATTGAAAAGGCCTCAGTTGCCAAGCAGAAGAAGCAGAGAAAGCTCGCAAAGAAGGTGCGTGCAGTATGGCTGGCTGCTGTTGTGCAGAACTGGCGATTACAGGATTTTTGGACAATTTCTCACAATTTTATCTACAGAACCCCGAATGGCGGTCTAAGATTAAGAAGGACCCGGGCATTCCCAGCCTTTTCCCCTTTAAGGACAAGATCCTCCATGACATCGAGGAGAAGAAGCGCATGAAGCAGGAGGAGCAGGAGCGCATTCGTGAGGAGGCCCGCATCCGCCGAGGTGAGGCCAAGCAGGCCAAGGGCGCCAACTCCGAGGGCGTGGATATCGACGAGAACGACCTGATGGACGACGATATGGATCTGGAGGGTGAGGATTCTAATCCCATGGCTGCGCTGCTCGCCTCAGCACGGGCCCGTGCTACCGAATACGATGGCGAGAACGGAAGCGATGACGATATGGAGGATGACGACGACGAGATGGACGAGGACGAAGAGGGTGGCGTGTCTTTCAAAGATATTGATATCCCCGACGTGGTCAACGCAAAGAACCCCACCAAGGAGAGCTCACGGCGTGCCTTTGACAAGGTCTTCAAGTCTGTCACTGATGCTGCGGATGTGGTTCTGTACGTTCTTGATGCTCGCGACCCCGAGGGTACTCGGTCAAAGGAAGTGGAGCGCGAGATCATGGCTGCGGACAACGGCTCTAAGCGTCTCATTCTCATCCTGAACAAGATTGACCTTGTCCCTGCTCCCGTCCTCAAGGCCTGGTTGGTGCACCTGCGCCGTTACTTCCCTACTCTCCCGCTCAAGGCCTCTAGCGGCTCTGGCAATGCACACACCTTCGATCACAAGGAGTTGACTGTCAAGGGTACCTCGGAGACACTGTTCCGTGCCCTCAAGGCCTATGCGGCCAGCAAGCAGCTGAAGCGCTCCGTCTCTGTCGGTGTTATCGGTTACCCCAACGTCGGAAAGTCCTCCGTCATCAACGCTCTTACAGCTCGTCTCAACAAGGGATCCAGCAACGCATGCCCTACTGGTGCTGAGGCTGGTGTGACCACAAACCTGCGTGAGGTCAAGCTCGACAACAAGCTCAAACTCATCGACTCTCCCGGTATTGTCTTCCCTAGCGCCAACGGCAAGACTGGCAAGAAGACCAAGGAGAATGAGCAGGCTCGTCTGGTCCTGCTGAATGCCATCCCCCCCTAAGCACATCGAGGATCCCATTCCTGCCGTCAACCTGCTTGTCAAGCGTCTTTCTCAGTCGGATAACCTCATCGCTAAGATGCTTGAGGTTTATGGCATCACTTCTCTCTTCCCCACTCACGGTGACAAGACCACCGATTTCCTGATCCAGGTGGCCCGCAAGCGCGGACGTCTTGGAAAGGGCGGTGTCCCTAACGTCGAGAGTGCTGCCATGACTGTCATCAACGACTGGAGAGATGGACGTATTCAAGGTTGGGCTACTGCTCCAACCCTCCCCGTGAATGCTGCTCCCGATTCCACTGTGGAAGCCGGTGCTCCTATGGCTGATACTACCCAAGTTGTTACGGAGTGGGCCAAGGAATTCAAGATCGAGGGCCTCTGGGGCAACGGTGCTGGCGATGATGAGGAGATGGCGGAGTAAATGGGTTCTTGAAGTTCTATCTCTTGTCATATCCCGTTACGATTCCAGCTGTTCTCGTTGTCGATTTCAATGGATACCAAAAAGTAGGCGTTTATTTGGTTGTTCTAGTTTTTTTCAATCGAAGCATTTGTCAATATCTTTAGACGAGCGCGAATTATACAATGGAGTTTTAAGTTCTAAGATGAGATCAAAAGTAGTATTGTGTATTTTGATATCAGATGAAATGAGAGAAATGAATACTTAAGACAAAATCAAAGTCATCCCAGTCTCAATCGACTAGTAATACCGATATAGCCCTTCCATACTCAGTACACAGTACCTCTGTAATGTGGCAAGAACTGGAACCCTGCAGTGGAGTCCCCACACCGCGCCAATCCCAACCGCATTGCGCGACGCGGATTTCGCGTTTTCATCCTCTCCATCCAACCTCAACTCAACATTGATTCGACGGTTATCCAAAACAACATTGACCCGGTGGTAGGACTTCGCAGAAATAACCCAGCAGTCTACCACCACCCAATATCCAGTTCTCGATCATATCCAACCTACCCTTACGATCCAACCCGACCGAACATCCTATACCAGACAAGAACAAATTAAGAGGAGCAGGGAATCCGAAAGGAGCAAGGCTCTCATAAAGCTGAAGCAATATGCCTCCTCGCAAATCTACGTCCTCGGTGACGCCCGCCGACCCAGACGACCATTCACAGCTCTCGCCGATGGCGCCGGCAGCAGACAAGCCTGTCACTGCGACTGAGCAACAGATAAAGGCGAGAGCGGAGCTGGGCGTGAGCGTTGATGTAAGCGTATACAGAAAGATAGTGTGTCTGTGAAAGATTCCAAGCTAATATGCTCGTTTTGAATAGGATTATCTTCTCCCTCGCTCGTTAACCATTCGTCTTGCCAAATCGGTTCTCCCACCCAATACTACCATCCAGAAGGATGCTGTGCTGGCTATACAGAAGGCAGCTACGGTTTTTGTCTCCTACCTATCGTCCCAGTATGTCCATATCTACGTTCTATTTCATTTCACTTTTTCATATACCCTGATCGATGCTCCTACACTATCTTGACTTCTCTTCAGCTGGGATGAGGAAGCCTTTACTAATATACTGTACAGTGCCAACGACGCCACCCTGAAACGAACTCTCGCCCCAGCAGACGTCTTCGCCGCGCTTTCGGAACTGGAATTCGATTCCTTCCGCCCCAGACTTGAGCAAGAGCTGGATGCATTCATGGAAATCAAGGCTGGAAAGCGAAAGGCGAAGAAATCGGATGTGAATGGTGCCGCATCTGCTGGTGCTGCTACCGCTGAGGATGTAGAGATGGTTGATAATCCCACGAAGCGGGTGAAGCGGGATTCTGATGGGGCTGAAGCAGTCATGCAGGGGGATGGGGATGGGGATGGTGATGAGACGCAGGAAGAAGAGATCGAGGAGGAGGAAGAACAGGAGCAGGAGGAGGAGGAGGAGGAGGAGGAGGAGGAAGAGGAGACGCAGGATAGAGTCGAGGAGGATATTGATCGGGTTGAGGATCTGGATCAGACTACTAGGCCTATGGATCCGGATGCCGATGAGACGGATGATGATGATGGACCGGCTAGTCAGTTGCGTGATGACTTGGGTCTTGGCTAAGATTGATATAGAGCTTGTTTTGATACTTCAATTGGTTGATTGTTTCTGAGCAGCTGTTTGAGTTGCCGTATAATAGATAATGATAAATGGTTCGATGCGGTTTTCAATCGTTGCTAGCACCTGCATATTGGAACCTTGGAATACCCAGGTCACAGCCTAGGTGAATCCATGTCACGGTAATGCGCATAAAAACCTTGGAACCTGCACATGTGTAGTGTCTGGTGGACTGAATAGAGCGCAGCCCTGGAGGACCACCTGCCCAGGTGGGCATCCATTAATTAGATAAATATATATTTTGTTTGCATTTATGAGAGGAATGGATCAGTATATGTCCTTTATTTCAGAGTCAACCGTGACGCATGAACTATGTAAACTTCAAGTTGGATCTAATCCATCTCAGGCTAGTACCTAGGTATTATATATTCAGTATCATATGGATGATCATGATGCATGTGCACTGGGGCAGATAGAACTACTTCAAGTTCCAAGGTTGAATGCACATGTGAATTCGACATTCAAATTGGAGATAATGTACTACTAACAAGCATATTGAAGAATTACTGGGCAAGAAGTGAACACATGTGCATTTGAAGCGAACAACCCCGAGACAAAGATGCCAGGAGATGAATTCCTACTCTGATTTGAAGAGCACAATTAATCCTAGGTAGTACATCTTAATATTTAACATTTGTCTTGATAACACCCCACCCATGATCAGGAATAAGAAAAATCCCCTTGAAATAAAGGACCACCACGAAACGCCAACGCCACCCATGCATCGAACCGGAGTCTATCATTGGTATCTTGCGAGAAGGACGGAAAAAAAATGACCGACTGCTTCCCAGAGACATTCGGAAGAAGTAGCTAAGTAAAGGACCTTCGAATATGAAGGGACGAAGAAGATGAAAGAGAACAAAGATTAAGATCGGAAATCATAGCGCCGTCTGCAATATGCATCATACCATGATTCAAGGAAAAGAATATGAAGAGTCATGACGGAGGAATAAGGAATATCAAGGATAAAGGAATTCCTTAACTGAGGCATTCAGTAACAGGGGGAGTATCTGTCGCAACGCCCTTGGTGATGTCCGTATCAACCACTTTGGTAAGATTCGGGAACAGACTGACAGGAGTGAGAGCCTTGCCGCCTTTCTTTCCACTAGCTACGGGCGCAGCGACTGATTTGGCCACGGTTCCAAATGTGGTGATAGGCTTGGTAGGCTTTGCGGCCGCGGCCTTGCCGCCTCGCTTTTTAGGAGCAGTGGCAGGTTTACGAACTGCCTTAGGCTTAGCCGGAGCAGTGGTGGCCTTGCCTCGGTTGAGCATGTCGGTGATCTTGGTGCCCTTGCTGGCTGGATTGGCCAACTTGGGTTTGGCAATCTTCTTAGCCGCTGGCTCGGGCTTCTCATCGTGACTGGCAGAAGGCGTGAGGAGGCCAGTCTCTTCGATGGTACGCTTTTTCTTAGGAGTGATGATGACGGAGACATTTTGAGAGTCTGCTTCTGGCTCTGGGGTTTGCTTCTCTCCGAAGACAGGATCTGGCAATAATGATTCGTAAGGGGTGCAGTCATTCCAGTTCTTTAATCCCACCAGATCGGCCACCTGATCCGTATTTCCCTGAACAATCAAATCGAAGCAGTTCTCAAACTCCTTACCAACAGGAGGTTCATTGTTGATAAACATGGTCACACCGTTCTTTCGTGTGCGGATGGTTGTGCACAGACTCTTTACCAGACGTCGGACACCTGGAATCTTCAGACTTGTGCCTGCGACTACTAGAACGCGGGGTCGTGACTTGATATCCGAATTCATCACGGAGGTGATGGCTTCCTCGTCTGGGTTATGCTCATTGTAGAGAACAATTCGTGGACGCAGACGGCCTACACCATGGCTGCGCTGCTCTGCGATGCGGCGATTTCTATCATTCTCGGCACACTGTCCGCACTCCGGGGGATCGGTTTCCAGAAACAAATTGGGTTCGAGATCAGATAGGTGGCGGCATTTCTGGCATACCATTTTTTGGATGCTACCATGAAGCTGAATGGTCACAGGCCATGAACTCTTGATACCAACTGGAAGCGGAATTTGTGTCTGTAAGGGCTCCATAGATGTTTCGATACCATCAATATTCTGAGTATACAGACGTTTTAATCTGTTCTCCTTACCCAGACGGGCGAGCATTTGGTGAAATTTGGTGGGTTTAGTCTTCTCCGACTCAATCTTGAGCGACCGGACCAACTCATGAAAGGGGGCCGTCAAGGCATCGTCTTGGTAGACAGCAGCATCGAACAGTAATTTACCAGAAGCCTTCAAATTGTGTTTTTTCTGCAAAGATTTGAAAAGGCCATCTGTGGAGCGAAAATCCGGAACTATATGCAATGTGTAAGTGGTGTGATCTCTTATAGGTGGAATGCGGCTGGAATAAAACTTACTACCCGCCGAGGTGGAGATGCCGGCACCGGCAATAACGACAATATCTTTTTGATGGCGAAGGGTTTCGACGAGTAATTTAGCCTGATCCTTCTGAGTGTCAGATGATTGTGACAGCTTCAAATACTGTGTAGTGCGTTCTTTTGGTAGTGGGTTGCCTCTCCTCTTTTTCGCGGGAGGGCAGTCTTGGCGGATAGAATCCTCGCCTTCCTGCGAAGACGGCGTCAGGTACCGCGCCGCCGGCTCCGGCGATGATCGCGGTGAAGAAGCTAATGAGCTCATGTCCGAGCAATCTGAAACTTCGAACTCCATGATATGGATGATTTCCCCTGACCAGGTGAACGATGGATGAGTTTAAAGAAACAGAAAGCGTGCCTCGGGAGGTGTGTGCACGCAGGTTCGGAGGGGCCAGGGTAGATGGAACAGAGAATTGAGAGGGGTTAAGGCACTTCCAAATCAGCAATTTGGAGCCTAACAAATTATGAAAATTGAGACGATCCGAGTCATGTAGGACGGAAAAATCAATTACACAAGGTCAATGGGAACTAGACCAGGGAACATTCAATGCTGGAGGAAGAGAGGGTGTAACGAAGGGTTGGAAAGGGGAGAGTTGCAGACGATGAGGTCAGCTGTCGGGGGGATCGATATTATAACAGCTTTGGGATCGGGGACACATTCAATCCACGGGTAAAATCAAAAGGGTAAAAAAAAGAATAATCAGAAAAAAATTAAAATAAGAAAAAAAGGCAACGGGCCGTTTCATCCAAGCTTTGTTATGACCCTATGGCGGAGGATTAAGGATTTTCGTTTTTACGAGGAATGTGGTTGTGAAGAACAACGCAATGATTCCCCTTCAAAACCGTGGTATGTTGGGGAAAAAATGGGATTTGCGGGTCGATGATGCGCTTGGATTCAAAAGTAACATTAAGAACGGATAAAGAAAAGAGAGAAAAAAAGAAAAAAAAGAAAAAGAGAAATGGAACACGAAAAAATAAGATTAGAATTGATATTCATATTCATTCTCGATAGTTACTTGAGTCTACTATGTCTATACAATAAAAGAAGCCCTAACACACCTGATATGTGGGATTCTATTTCGAATCTCGATACCCCGCAAGACTTTTTTTTTTCACTATTTGTTTTCTTTTTCTCGCATTGTTTTCGATCTTATTTTGTGCACCGTAAATTTGCTTGTCGCGGGTGATTTGGATATTACATCGTGGTCACTGATTGGTGGGATGGGATGTGGGGGACTCTTCAGAGTTTTGATTGGTTAGGAATGGTTGGCAGGGCTACCATCACATGACTAGATGACTAAGTCGAGGTCGCGTGCAAACAACACAAACAGATTAAAATTGGTTCAAACAAGAAGAAATTGGGAGTCGATAATACTATAATAAAGGAGACAATAGTATACTATATTGCATTTTAAATTATAGTAATGTATCAATATTTAAATCAATATTTAAAGTTCAAAAAATACAATCATTTCACTACATAGAAGTTGAAACGTCTTTGATTCTTTGATTCTTTAGTTCTTTAGTCCTTTTGGTGTTCGCTTTTCAATTGGTGCGGCTATGACCCTTGGGTCCTTGTTTGCTTTCCCCCTTCTCAAACGGAGCCGCCCGGTCATCGGTCATCAATCAAGGCCGGGCTCTAGATCGTCATCCTAAGTTATGCGGGGCGAAACCACCTTTCCGCAGTTTATATGATCGAATCTTTCAATAAGAATTTCACAGAATGCCATTGATCATGGAGCAAGGCATTAATGTCGATGATCTCTTTGGCGAGTCCGGTTCACTCGAACTGGGCTTGCCCACCGCTCCACCCCAGACCAAAGGTCTAGCACAATGCCAGGATGAGATGCGTCTATTAGGATGCAGACAGTAAGTCAATTTTTTGGAAAACAATTTCTTTTCCAATGCCCTACGAAGTTATACTAGCACAAACATTGAAGTATCCCACTAACACTGCCTGTAGGAAGATTGCCTGGTCCCGAATGGGATGTATCGCATATATCTCCCCAGATGGACTACGAGTTAGTGTTCGCAATTTGAAGTGTGATTCTTCAGATGGGAAATGGGTACTGAGTGAGGAAACTCCCCTCCCGCCTATTACAGATGCCCATGGTGGTCATCCGCTCGTCCATTTATCCTGGAATGAGACTGGTACCGAGATGGCTGTCGTGGACTACCTGGGAAGAATTTCCATTTATTCCCTATCATTTTCATTGAATAGTATCACGGGAGTGCGGCCGGTTCATTATGATTCTGGGGATGACAGTAACCAAATAGTTGGTATGATGTGGCTGAACATCCCCAATCGCTCGGTAAGTGCCATCCCCCCTTTATATTGCTCATCCAAGATATCGACTAATATAGTCATCAGCTTCAATCTTTTCACCAAGCAGCAAAGGTCAATGGCCGATGGGCTTATTCGCCATTTCGTCGCCGCCCAATTGGCCCCTTCCACCCGGCCAATAAAAATGCTCTGATTTGCGTGACCAGAGCAGGCCAAATTCGTCTCCTGTATCAAAATCCAGACAGTAAATGGACGGAACTTCCAGCAGAGTTGAAGAATACCGGCTATTCCGACAGGTTACTGAGCCATGCTTCGATTGTAGCAACTCAAAGTACGATTATCCCATTTACCTCTAAGTATGGAAAAGCTACTAACAAATTCGGTCCCAGATGGTATCATCGTTACGACTTATTCAGTATGCCAAAAAGTCTCCCTTTATCGGGTCAACATCACCTGGAACCCAGACAAATGGGACAACCAGAACCCCAAACCCCCATTTCCGATCCCAACTTTCCGCTTCCAGCATTTCAAGATTGACATGCCGAGTAGCAGCTTGAGCGTTAATCGGGGTGTCGAGGAGCATGTTCAGCAAATGCCGTTCCCCAATCCCATTTATTCCCTCACTCACCTTGAAATAATGCCTGGCCAAATCGATAGCCCGGCAGGATCAACAGCCAGTCCGTGGATTCTGGCAGTATTTTCCAAGCCTCTTCATGCCACACCAGAATACCCAGATCAACAAGGACCTGCGAGTGTGATTGTGCGATGGCAACTAGAGAGCGCCCCTCAGATTTTCCATCCAAAGTTTGACGAAGTAACAGCGAAAAAGAGCAATACGCAAGTCAAGGTATTAATTTCTTACTGCCCACGGAATGTCAAAAATGACTCGCTAATTTATTCTAAAGTCCAAACCTGATCTACGTCGATTGGACGAGATTCATTGCGATAGATATATCATTTCGGTCAACATGGTAGAGCACGGAACTGCTCTTGCAATCACCCACGATGACAGCTCAGTCACATTCTATGACACACGAACAATGTCTGTTCTCAACGGATCGGATGACACCAGTACCGTGACTTGTCTGGCACAAGCAGGCTTCCATTACAACATGGACTCGACAGGTATGTCAGAAGAAAACCTACGTCGAATAAATTCGATACTTATATCTATATTTATAGGTGTCGCCATTGCATTCTCTCCTAATTCTTGCGTTGCCGTTATGCTGGACGCGGAGGGACAAACACATATCAGATCCATGGAACATACGTTTGGCGCTAATGAGGGACTTTACGACGAGAGTATGTCACCATTTCTTTCAGAGATAACCGGATATACCACTAACAAAGAACATAGCCAAATTTTCATCCGCTATTGCGGCACTGACACTTGCCTTTAGTCGTGGCTGTGGATCGGAAGTTAACACAGATGACATTTTCATGGTTGCCCTGAAATTACTCGGACCTGGTATGTCTCAATGCTGTCCATGCTCTCTTTTTCTAGCTAACATGCGTAAAGAAGCACAACAGACTTTCATCAGTGAGGTGTACCGTGCTTTGCCAATTAATTGCAATTTCACGGTCGAAACAGATCAGCTGTTGAAACACCAATATATCCCTCGATGTTTGGGCCTACAAGCTGCCATGGGCTTTAGGGGCAGACTTCAACCTCGCAGCCTCCCGTCAGCTGTTCCATGGGCTATCATTCAGCTTCGTCATGCTGCCATCCTCATTCTATATTTCTTCCAGCATGGAAACAAAGTACAAAGCGAGGTCCATGATCCAGGTGAGCGATTCACGAGGCTCAAGCCCAGTTAAGACTCGAACTATATCGCTAACGAAACACAAAGAGGTGTTAAAAGTGATACTGGGCAACATAAAATGGGTGCTGGACTTCTCACACTGGATCCTGAGTGAGATGTTCGATCTAGCCGATGAATTCGAAAGCATCACAGACCAAGAGGGCTTCATGCAAAAATGTATGTATCCCAACCACAACAACCCTCAATTTCCCACATCAACTCACACAACTACGCAGTAAAAACCGTGAACTCCACCTCCCTCCTAGTTCTCCTCTCAAGCATGTCTCGCGCCTTTCTCCGCTTCGTCTGCCGGGGTCTCCGTGGCGTCCACGCTGGATTCACAAAACTCAATCTTACAGGTCTCCCCATCGACTCAAGAGTTTACTACACAGAGATTTGCCAGACCCTCGAAGCCTCCCCCGTCCGTATAGATGTCTACGAGAAATTCCTAGCAGGCGTTGACTCCGCCGTGAAACACGCCTACCAAGGATCCGGCTTTGGCGACGCCGAACGACCAACACCAGAAAAGGAAGTTCTGGTCAACGCACGTATTCCTCCCGTTCTCGTCACGGCTGTTGCAACCCTTCTTCGACAAACTATCCCATCTCTGAAATCAGAGATCAATCGCAAGGATATTCTTTTGCGAGATTATAGCTGGCTTGGTTTTGGTGATTATCAACGCACAGCTATGTACCGAAAGAATCGCGACGTGGATATCTTGAAGAAAACGCCGCTAAGGCCGCCGCTTGCTGTGGGTAGGAGCGGGAGGGTTATGCCGGCGAAGAAGAGGAGGTGTGTGCGATGCTGTGAGGTTTCTGGGGATTCGGTGTTGCCGAAATCTGTGATGTTCTTTAGGATGGTTGCGAAGTTGAGTCTCTTGCGATCTTGTCCGTGTGGGGGAATGTGGATGCTGGAGTTGGAGTCGGAGTCTGTGGGTGAGAAGGTTGAGGGATCGGGTTACTCGCTGGGTCAGCAGCATGTTGCGAGGACACCGGCTGGGATGCATGTTTAGTTCGATTGGGGTCGTAGAGTTGTTTTCAAGTTGGCATATAGATTCCCATTTTAGTACTACATATTGAACGAGTTTTTTATGGTCAAGGCCTAGATTCTGGGTAGTCAGGAACACACTGGCACTAGCGCAATGAGGGGCCGACTGGGGTCACCGTAGCGATAAAAAGCACTTGGGAGTGTACAACTAGTACAAGAGCGTAATTGATATCTCTAGTTTGAATTCCACCACAGAACTGTTCTAAGATTGAACAGTCTATGCGTAGGGCGTAGGACTTGTAGTCTACTCCGGTAGTATGTCGTGGAAATAGCGATCTACTAGTACACCATGAAATCATAAGACTAGTACTACTAGTATACCATCTATGTGCGATTCATGTCCAGGCACATCTACTCAGAAACCGTCATAATTGAACAATCTAAATCATGTCATGTCAAGAGTCGATTTGCATCCGGCTAAGATACATAATCAAATTCCATTTTTTTTTGGATAAAAAAAAAAGAGAAAATCGACCCTGCCGCGAGGTTTCAGGTCCAAACGTTCACACGTCCTGTTTTATGTGTCCAAGGGCAAGAACCATCTTCCCACTAACTCCAGTTCCGTACTAGTTTTTGACTTAAGCCTATTTATCCGGTCAGCGTCTGTTCGAGATATATGCAGATATATGCAGTGGCAATTCTGATGAAAAAGAGCGCAGTATGCTGTGTTCGACTGGAATTCGTCCTTGATTTGCACCATACCAAGCCCTGTTACACATCCTTGCCGACATGCACTGGGAAATCTCATACCTTAACAGCGTACTTGCGCTGGGGGAAGTGAATCTCGCGCTTGCGCTGGCGCTCGGTGGTGAGGGTAGCCTCGTGCTTGGTGAGTCTGCGGCGCAGCTCACGGGTGAGCTTGGGGCGGAGGTCAAGAGGGAGGTACTTCTTGTTCTTGTAGAACAGACGCAGCTGAGCGCGCTGGTTGGCGTTGATGATGGTCAGGATGCGAGCGATGGACTTGCGGACATCGTGGCTGTAGAAGACAAGAGCCGAGTCAGTATTTGTGAAATTTCAAGATTTCGAGATTTCCAGTCAGAATTTCTCCTTTGCGAGTCGGGTCCATGGGGATTGTGCGCTGGCAGCGGTGTCATTTATTTGAGTGTTGTGTTATCGATAGTTGCCTCCTATATTGTGTGGAGATTTTTTTTTTCGTTGTTGCCGCCCGGTTGCACAACCCCGTCTGGGTTCCGTTTTTCTCTCGCAAGTCGATTTGTAGGAATTAAATTGTCGGGATCGAATACGCACATCCGGTTGGTCTTGGAAGAAGCGCCGCTGGCGATCTTCTGGACGCGGAGCTGGTTAAGCTCGGTCTTCAACTCCTCGAGCTGCTGGGAGAGCTCCTCCTTGTTCTTGCCCCAGAGCTGACCAGCCTTGACCTTGGACGACTAGAAAAAACAGGGTAATCAGTTGTGAGATTCTCGGTGTGGCGGTGGCATCGCGACATACCATGGTGACTGATGTGTGTGCTGGGTTGTCGGCGTTGAGAATTGAAGATGTCCGAGTCGATCAAATTGTGGTTGTGGGACTAGGGCTAAGCGAGTTGGCCGCACTAAACGGAGGCACGTGACAGCCACATTTTCGGGTTGTGCCATTTATATAAGGTGTCCATAATACGAGGCATCAAGGCACTAAGGCACCAAGGGGCCTTCTATATTGGGTTAGCTCAGGCGGTCACTTACGTCGTCTCTCTGCTGCTATTGTCCGGGGTGAAATCCAAGGATTCCAGACCAACTTGAAGATCAAGAGGCTCCGACATTCCTGCAGCTCAGTTCCCATCTCGCCTATCTTACTTTTGTCACCCATGACGTCTACCAGCTCAGGATGGGCGCAACTTCGCCAACAAGCCCGCTCACTAGAGACGCAGGTACTTGATCCCAACCAGACCAAGCTGGTCGTAGTATTGGTCCTATTCTTGCAGAACACTAACACCGAGCTTTTAGACCGACAATTTGTTTCACAGTTACGCACAATTTGCGTCTCTTACAAAGCCCCCACCAGAGCCAACAGAGGAAGAACTACGGATCGAATCCCAGCTTAAAGACCTCCTCGAACGAGTAGGTTCTATACCATGCAACCCCCAAATTTACCGGTAGGCTAATTATATACCAGCGGGACTCTCTGATTGCCCAACTCTCTCGTCTCCTTGATTCAGAAGCTACCCTTACCTCTTCCGCCCTAAAACAGAACAATCTCTCCCGTCACCGCGAAGTCCTCCAGGACCACCGCCGCGAGCTCCAGCGACTGACCTCGGCTATTTCAGAGGCACGCAATCGCGCAAATCTTCTTTCTAATGTTCGCTCCGACATCGATGCCTACCGCGCATCAAACCCCAGTGCCGCGGAAGCTGATTATATGCTTGAGGAGCGCGGCCGAGTTGATAACAGCCATAACATGATGGATGGTGTGCTGAGCCAAGCCTATGCTATCAACGAGAACTTTGGTGTGCAGCGTGAAACTCTAGCCAGCATTAATCGGCGCATTGTTGGGGCTGCCAGTCAGGTCCCAGGCATGAATTATCTGATGAGCAAGATTGGGAGCAAGAAACGCAGAGACGGAATAATCCTCGGCTGTCTTATCGGGGTATGTTTTCTAATGCTGCTCTACTTCCGGTAAGCAGGGCATAACAACTTTTAATATTTCTTCCTTCCTGTCTTTCATTTATATGGACTTTTATTCCTCCTGATACAGCCGTCCAGCGACTTCATGGTTAGTTTTTTGCTTCATCGAGGCGTTCGTGGTTGGGCATCTTTTGAAACCCCCTGTTTAGCAGGAATGATGATAATATTGCACCTGGATTGTGATGGCGTTCAATTGTGCTTTTGTCTTTCTATTATACACATTCTCTTATCTATGTACAAATCCAAACCAGAGACGGGAATCGCAAGGTACCCATTACAATCAGATATTATACAAAACCTTGGACAGCTCACACTGGAACTATAAGTTCGTAGAACTGTCTTTTAGCGGCGAGTAGATGACTGTTTCTCTGCAGCCTTCTGCTCGTCAATCAATTTCTCCAACGCATTATGCATAATCTCCACCTCATCAGGATGCGCCGGTCCACTGCCAGCCCATCGGATGCGGCAATCCGCATCAACAAGATAGACATAGCCGACAAACTTGTTCACCATACCGACAGACTCCTTCATGGTCTCACTGAAACCCTTCTCGACCAAGAAGTACCGAGGGTGTTGTTCAACAGGGAACTTCTTGCGCACGCCACCCAAAAAGCGCTTGACGATCCAGGCCTTCATACGGTTCTCCTCAAAATTAATATCGATTCTTTGCGCAAACTTGGAGTTCTTCGCCAGCAACTCTTTTAGAGCAGGGTTTCTGTCTTCCCCGTTGAAGTTGCCAGTGAATGTTGTTGTCTGTTCCTCGGCCCAAAGACTGCAGAAGAGGTTCACAACACTAACCTTCCCTCTCAGGGTTGATGTGGTATCTTGAGGGTCTTTTGGCGAGGAGAGTGTGATACCTCGCATGTTGGGAAAGTATAGTGCCTTGTCGGCGCGGAAGAGCCGAGGATTCGAGATAAAGGTTTTACCCTTGTGGTATTGTAGGTTGTTCCATTCACGGAAGTAGGGCTTAGCGACTTGTCGTGTTCTGCAATTGAAGAATCTCTTATCAGCTTCAGGCTCTAAGAACTGTCTTTATACAATATTGAACTAGGTGAAACTGCAATTCAACGTACAATTCCTTTCGTCGCGCAATATGCTTGTCATAGTCCACAAAATCATCACGTCGCTGTCTGATTGAGCGATCGTCTTTTCCAGTGTTCTCTCCAACGTGGGGAGGATCTTGTGCGCCAATTGGACGGCTTAGGACCGGAGGTACAAAGTCTGGGTCGCCTGGCTTGGAAGCTGGTGTGGGAGTTGGGGCTGGGTTCTGCTGGAATGGTACTGAGGGCTTTGGGGTTGATTTTGATACGGCATTCTTGCGATCATTCGAGTCATTGGGGGTTCCATTGGTGGCATAGTGGCGTATGGAGCGCAGGGTTGCGACTGATGCAGTGTTTCGAAATTGGGAGCTAAGGCATCGGTTGGTTTGCAGGAGCGCCGGCTCGAGGACCTGGAAGGTGGTTATTGATGACCTCCACATATTGAATAACAATTCCAAGTAGGAGTGCAATACTCGAACCAGGAATGGATGCTATTCAATGAAGTCGGCCGGGTTGCGGCTCGGCTTCGGCATCAAAAGTCCCAAATGGGAAATAGCGGGGTCACGTGGTTAAATACGATATCTCTCTCATTTTATCTGGACTTTATTATAGATTGTTTATTTCAATTTTGAAAATGGAGTTATCAGATCTGTCAAGCTGGACTTGATTTCTGGGGGAAAAATGAATACCATCATCTATGAAATTTGATATCAGAAGAAGAGTTTGGATGCACGGCATGTATATTAGCTTAGGAGACTGGAGTTGCGGCTGTGAGTTGAACTTGAACGAATTCATAGATTTCGCAAAAAAAACACCAAGTTACAAGTAAATGTTTGATCTAAGTGGGAATAAGCTCATTCATACCAGTTGTATAGACAAATGAGACCAATGTAAAAACTTGAACTACAGGCTCCTGACCAGTTGACACTATGTTCTGTGCCTCATACAAAATCGGTTAAATAGGCTTTGTCCCGTGACTTGGTGACACTTTCGCGCGACATCGCGTCCATGGGTGCCTTACCTCGACTTTACTCATTTCTTTTGATCTGAAACCTGCATCGGCATAGATGCCTAGAATTACCCCGTGATTCTTTCTCAACGTGCAGAAAGTTACGATGAGAGAACCTTGGTCGAGTCGCGCCTCCCCATCTGGATACCACACTAAACCACCATGGAGTGGAAGGCGCCTAGCAAGAGAGCCTTCTTTGAAGCTCTCGAGAGATTAGACCAATCAGATGACAGTGATGATGGATATGACTTCTTGAAAACAGTTGCGCCTCTTAGGCCTTCCACTATTTCAAACTCAACTGACGTTGATTTTTCATCTTGCCCGAAGACTTCGTTGCCTGGAACGCTTGCACGCGCAAACACAGATCCAAAATTATTTTCAGATAAGAGACTGAGATCTATCAAGGACAGAGCAGTTGAACTAAATCACCCACGAAGAACCGAGTCGTCTGCCACATCAGAGGTGAGGGGTGTTCAAAGGTCCAATACAACCGGAAGCATGCCTGCGACCAAAAGTGGAGCTCCTGCTTCAAAGAAACGGAAGTCAAACAGCAATAACACAAAGGTGGTGCCTGAAGACCAGCAGATTTTCAAGGAACTTGTCTTTTGTAAGTGGCTCAACTGAAAGATGCAGACTGCTAGCTTTGACTGACTGTCCCAGTCTTCTTTCCCAACAACGATGTATCTCCAGCACGGCGGCTTAGGATCCAGCGTGCTCGGGAGTATGGGGCGCAATGGGCTCTTAGCCTTTCCGAAGAAGTGACACATGTGATTGTGGACAAAGGGTTGCGATACCAGGACCTTCTCAAGCACATCAAATTGGAGATCATTCCTGTGAGTCCTAAGCCTAGAAAATCCTCATATCTGATCTAATAGTATCCAGGAAGGCATCGCTCTCGTCAATGAAACTTACCCGTCCGATTGCATCAGATTCCGCTCGATGCTAAGTTCATCATATGAACGCTTCCGAGTTGATGGAGTCCCAGAGATAGCCGAAAAGGCCAATCCCACCACATGTGCAGAACTAGAGCCGGAAACTCCTGCATCGCTACCTGTCAAGAAATCCAAAAGAGAACTGGAGCAGAGTCAAGAGTCCAGTCAAAAATCCACTGTGGAAAATGACCTTGTAGCACCGTCTGCTGCGCCGGCTCAGGAGATCGATCAAAGTGCGACAAGTCGCGAACGCGATGCTTTGGACGACTTGATCGACGAGTCAAGAGCAATAAGTCACCTGGTAAGGGAAGGGCGAAGTTCATATTAGTTCTTCTTTATCGCTGATAATCATTATTAACCTTTGGACTCCCTCTTTAACTCAGCAGATAAACAATCGGACGACGAGTCTACTGCCTCATCAGACTCTGAACGACACCGGAAGATTCCCGAACTACCTAAAGAAAAGCGGACCAAATCCTGGGCCATGAGCTTCGCATGCATGCAGAAGCCGGATTCCGATGCACCTCGAAACAACCCAAACAAGAGAACCATAGAAATCTTACAACAAATGTCCGATTACTATGAACGAATGGCAGATCACTGGCGCAGTTTTTCTTATCGCAGGGCGATCAACGCTTTGCGCAGACAAACCGAGAAGATTGTTACACGAAAGCAAGCTCGGTCTATTCGCGGTATCGGGGAGCGATTGGCGGATAAGATCGAAGAGATCGTGCTGACAGACCGACTCCGCCAACTTGACAATACGGGCTCCACACCGGAGGACCGAATCGTTCAGGAATTCATTGGCATCTTCGGTGTTGGTCTGATTCAAGCGTATAAATGGTTGGCTCAAGGATTTCGGTCCCTGGAGGACCTCCTGACCAATGCGCAGTTGAGCCCCAACCAGCGTATCGGTGTGGAGCACTACCACGACTTCATGCAGCGAATCCCGCGTAAGGAGGTTGAAGCCCATGGTGTGATTGTTCAGAAGGCCGTCCACTCGATTGATCCAGACATGCAGGTGATCATCGCGGGGTCTTACCGCCGCGGGGCACTGGATTCAGGGGACATCGACGTCCTTATAACGAAGCCTGATACATCCCTGGACCATATCCGATCCCTTATGAATGACCAGGTGATTCCCAAACTATTTGCCGATGGTTTCCTTCAGGTTGGACTTGCAACATCTCGCCAAGATGATCATGATGGATCTAAATGGCATGGGGCATCTACTCTCCCCGGGAGTACGATCCGGCGACGTATCGATCTTCTTTTCGTGCCTGGCGAAGAATTTCGGGCAGCGTTGATTTATTTTACTGGGAATGACATTTTCAATCGCAGTATGCGACTCCTTGCCCATAAAAAAGGGTTATGTTTGAATCAGCGCGGGCTTTATGCAAATGTGCTACGCAACGCGCAGCGGGTGAAGGTCAACCCGGGCCGATTACTGGAGAGTCGGGATGAGCGTCGAATTTTCGCTTTACTAGGAGTGCCGTGGCGACCACCTGAACAGCGAATATGCTAAAAAGAAACTTGAATTAATAGAAATAATAACATGAATTGCTATGAATGATGAGAATAAGAATATTATTGTACTACATTATATAGTAGAATTTCCAAGTATACCGCTTCATGCTCCAAATTCCCACTTAAAACCCAATAGAATCAATTCGTTATGTAGACTCTTCAATTAATTTTTTTTTCTCCCATAGGACGCTCTGTCCCCAAGAAAGTGTGACCTCACCTCATCATTTTCTAATTTTCTCCCACTCTTGTTCTTTTCTTCCCTTCAACATTCACCATCTCTCATTATCCCCTATCTATCTTGACATCATTTCTCTTTTCATCACCGCCTTGGTTTCTTCATCACCGCCTTTTCCTCCACTCATCACCGCCTTGCGTGCGGTGAAGACTTCGTGTTTTCTACCCTTGAGTATTCCCAGACCGCCCTCTACTGCCCCCCCCAGTTTTGCCGCACATCGTGATTGTTTCGAGATATTATTTCTCGAGAGACTCGGGCTCTGCCTGATCTTCAAAGGCTCGAAATCACTTCCGTTACTGGTTGTGGGGTGTTAAGTGTCACCTTCAATCCTTCTCCCTGACCTCTCCTTCCCCCCACTTACACACACCGCGTCTTGTTGTGGTGGAATCCGATCGCGTCCTACCAACCCTCGAACCGAACTCAAAAGACATTTGAATAGCTTAGAAGAGAACTACAATTCCGGCTGAATTATTTTCTCTGGAGACGCGTTCTTAGGCTCGTTCCTTCACATCGCCACCGCTCTCTCTTTTTTGTGTCCCGTTTCCAAAATGGGACGCAAACCAAACCAGCTTATCCTTGAGTTCTTCAACCGAGGCCCCAAGCTTGAGGATTCTAGTAACCGTTACCAACACACCTGCAAGGCGTGTGGCGAACGATTCCCCAAGGGCCGTATTGATAGCCTTACCAATCACCTGGTCAAGAAGTGCCAGGCTATTCCTCTCCGCGACCGTCAGCGTGTATTGTTGCGCCTCCACGAGCTTCCCGATCTGACCGAAGGCGACGGAAACAAGGACGCGACAGGTGGTAAAGGAAAGGGTGATTCGTTCCCAAACCCAAACCGACCCAACTTTGACGGTCTCAACGTTCTGGCTGAAGCTTCCCGACAAGTTGGTGCTTCCGACACCACAAAGCGAGGCGCACAATACGCTCAATCCGTGACTGCCGGTGGAAAGACTGTTGTAGTTGATCCAGCTCTTGAGGATTCCTTTCAGGGACAACAGCAAGGCGATATGAAACAGGAAGATAGTGCCAACGCGCAAGGTATGTGATGCGAAGTTACCACCAATATGGATATAATAGAACGTGATGAACGAGAAACTAACAAACAAACTACAGGGTCTTCTCAAACACCGAACCCCTCTATCCCCGCCCTCCCTAGTCATACCTCAGGCGATCACGCTTCCATGTCTCCTCTCGGCGATAACTCTATGACACCTGAATCTACATCCAACGCTCGCCAGTCGCTGTCAATGATCGCAGCTTCTGCTAATGAGATGGTTCCTCAGGGAGGCCTTTTGGATGGAGATCACCTTGGCGCCGATGGACTTAAGATGAGCCAGTGGAATCACCAGTTGTCGACTCAGGAGCAGCTTCTCTTTGATAGCTTGCAAGAGCACGATCCTACTCTTACTGCGGCCACCCAGCGTGCGGCGTCATACCCCCGACCCATTGCGATGAACCCGAACACCCAGGCAAAGGGCTTTGTGAATGAATTCGGTAACTCAACTAAGCCGGCTAAGCCTAAGGTGCGAGGACGATTCACTGCGGAACGTCGTCGTGAAGTCCAGGAAGTGCGAAAGCGTGGTGCTTGTATTCGCTGCCGCATGTTGAAGAAACCCGTATGGAAGATCATTTCTATGTATATTTAAAATTCGTAACTAACGGTCGTCTCTAGTGTTCCGGAGATACCCCGTGCACTACTTGTGCTAGCGTTGAAAGCGCCCGACTTTGGAAGCACCCGTGTATCCGAACGCGTCTATCTGAAGAGTTCGATCTCTACAATGCGAGTATGTGCTTATTCAACCCCAAATTTTACGATGTACCTGAAACTGATAGCATATAGATCTCCATGCCACCCTTGCTTATCACGATACCCAGGCCCTCCAGAATCAGGTCAAGTTCGAGCACTACCCCGGCCGCATTGAGGCAACCCACATGGAGGAGAGTGGCGTATTCCTTACTATTAGTGGTCTTCAAGGCCACCGAAATTCGGTCGCAGCCTTGGATCCGCAGCTTCAAGGTCTGAGTGAAGATCAGTTTACTGGGGCTTCGCAGGAGATCTACATTCTTGACGATGGCGATGATATTCCCAGCAAGTTGGAAGTCTACATTAAGAAGACCGCCCCGTTCTTCTTTGAACAGGAAAGCTCAAATGTTGTCAAGTCCACCTTGATTCTAGCCTCCGAGTTGGCCCAATCTAAGAAGGTAAGAACCCAAAATTTTGCGCAAGGGAAAAAAGAAAATTTCTTTTACTAACGCCTTCTAGGATACTCTGCTTGAGCGCGCCGTTGAGTTGTGGGTCGCAACATACGTTTTGGTTGACAATGAGCTGGGCTGGAAGACCTACTGCAACCCCACTCTGCCCCCTGCGTCTATGCACTCGCTCTCTCAGCCTAATGATGAAGGTCGTCTGCCTATCGAACAGGTTTCTGATCCTGACTCATATGGCCTCTTGTGCAGTCAGCTTCGTGGTGCCATGGAAAAGCGTGCTATGCAACTCAGCAAGGCCGTCATCAATGATCTTGAGCGCCGCTTGCTTCAGCGCCAGAAGACCGGCTGGTTTGAGACCTTCCTTGTCGCGATTGTTTTGCTGAACTGCGTTGAACGCACTTGCTGGCTCTTCCGTTCCTGGGATAATGAGGATTTCGCACCACGCTGGCCCTTGGACAAGCGTCCCTTGCTCTACTACAACCAGGCCGACCAGTTTTCCGACATCCTGCACATGCTGCTCCGTATGCGAAGCCTTCCCCCCTAAGACTGTGGTTCGTCCCGACAGTGGTGTGTTGCGGGCTATTGATGGTAGTGACGAAAATGCTGTACGCTGGTTCGATATGATTCAAGTCACTCGTATGTTCTCCTGTCTTTACTTTATTATGTCGCGACTTCTACTAACTTATCCTTACAGCTTACTACCTCGAAGAACGGGCCAACTCTCTCTTTGATCCCTCTGACTCCCGTTCTCTTGATCTCCACCATAGTGCGCGTCTCTTGATGCCGACTAATACTTAGATTCATTGCCACGGCATTAATATGGTGCGGTGTATTACGTTGCGGTGCGGTTAGTGCGGTTAGTGCGGTTACTCTCACTTTGCACACACCTGATACACCTCGTCATGTCTATCAATGCTTAAGTCTAGTTAGTACTATGGTGCGGTATGGTCCGGGATAGTGCGGCTAGATGCATATGGGTCTAGTTTTTTTTGGTTTTCACATTGATTTTCTTTATCTTTCGCTTCAGATTCTTGCTCTAACTGGCTGCTGTTACAAAAAGGAACAGAAGGGGTGCACTGATCGATGGTTATCTATCTTTATGGGATCAGTCCTGGTGTTCCAAGGGTTTCTTTGAAGTTTTTTCTATGGCGCTACGGGGTTTTTTTTTCTATTGGCAATCTGATTAGCATTCGATATTTTAATAGTACTCGTATTTGATTGTAACTTTTAGATTTCATATCTCGGTGCTAGTTTGCATTTCGTAAACGAATCTGAGTCCTTAGTCCATACGACTTGGAGCCGTAACCTTGGAAGTCTATAAGTGACAGCTTGGGTGTACTAAAATTCAGTATATGGCCTGTGGTAGCAATGAATCAATGCCTGCGGGTTCTTGGTATACAAAAACTGCCCAGGTGCCCCATTCCAAGGTTATCGTGAGTCATTGAACTTCAAATGCCGAGCCTGTCATCCTCCACAATCTCTGATAGCCCATCATCTCTCAATTGGAGTCACTGATATTCATATCAACAGGAACAATGAGGTACCAAGGAGCTAATGGCATCATAGGCCTCTTTACTACTCGGGTACCGGATTTTTGACCACGCATCATTATTCCAGTTAACCTCTTCCAAGGTTTAGGTTTACAGTTAGCCAATGCTTCTATTTTTCTTCCTTATTCACATACTACCTATGCAAGTTGAACCTCCAAGTTTATACCTAGGTACAAGGGCTGGCAGCAGTGAGCCTACCCCCTTAGGTACTGTAGGTACTTGGATACATAGAGAAGTACCTAAGTAACATTTGAACCATCCATTCATCTAGAGATACGACTAAAAATCCAGTTGAATAGGTACTAAATATGAGTACTTGAATAAATATCAGGCTCATCCCAAGATTGCAATTGATATCTATAGGGTGTCAATTTAACCGAGCTTCATAGCCAAGTCGATACAGGGCTTCCAAGGTTAAGTTCCTAATTTCCTTGCTATAGCACCGTGGTTCGCGACCTCGGGACTTGTCATTGATTACGTGGCAGGACTTGGAAGAACATATTTTTACTTTTTGAAAATTTAACTTGAATTGCTTGTGCGAAACGAACTAGAAGCTTGGAGGCCACCGAGAACTCGAACCCATGACTTTTAAACGTTCTGTAGCTCCTGCAAGCAGAGAAGATATCTTCACCGGAGCTCGAAATCAAAAAGAGAAGAAAAGCAAAGAAATCAATAGAAAGAAGATGCTAAAAGAAAAAACCATAAATCTTCAAGTCCATGAATAGCTAGGCCCACATCGGACTAACAGGCTCAGTTTCACGCGCAGCTTCACGCTCATTGGCATACTCAGTGGCAGCTCTGCGCCAAGCGTCATAATCGAAATATCGCAGACGTCGTGGGCGATTGGTTGGATATGCAGGAGGGTCGTGAAGCGTGAATCCAAGTCGAGTATCGTTGCGAGAAGTGTTATCATTCGCATTCTGATTCCCAAGTCTGCGTTGAGGAGGAGGAGGAGGAGGAGGACGGACCCCGTTTGGACCGCTTGTGGTGTTCTCGAGCTGAGTGGCAGATCCAGTGGCCTCTGGTCCTGCGCTTGGCTCCTCGTCGTTGGACACTGGAGATGGAAGCTGAATTGAGGCTGAGATTGAGGCTGAGCCTTCAATTTGGGATACCAGGACGCAATGGTAGCGTGGCAAGCGAACGGATTGCCAGCTGCAGACAAACTCGCTAGATGATGTTAGGCTGATGAAGATTGTATTTTGGGGAGGATTGAGACAATTCATATTTTGGACACGAATAAAAGGGACATGAAAGGGACTGGTGAGAGTGAATTGGAATTGAAAATGCTGCTCACTTACTAGTTCTGGAGTGATTGCTCCGAGTGCATATTGTCGCTGAGAATATTGAGAAGCTCTCCGATTTGGGTCTCGTTCTCGATGTTTTCGATCATATGGTTGTCCTCTGTCACGCGAAGTCCCGGCTTGTTCTTCCAGACGAAGGCTCCTTGCTCACGTCGATACAGCAGGAGTTTCTTCTTTGCCATGACGGGGGACGTAACGGCAGTGGACGTGGGCGACGACATTGCGGGCGAGGACATGCAGGAGATATCGAGTTCTGGACGTGGAGTGGCAGAGGCTCGAAGTAAGTGGTCTCGCATTGTAGGAGGATGAACTCGGAAGAGTCCTGGGGGAGGACTGGTCGGTTGGAGGTTGGAAGAGTAGAAGGAAGTGAAGGGAGAAGAAGCTGCGGGGCTGATAGGATCGATTGGTGATGAGATAAATGGAAGGACGGTGCTGAGAAGGAGTTGAGATTCTGTAGATGAGAGATATAACGGGACTTGTGTATAAAACGATCCTGTTGAGTAGATGTCAGTAGGAATTTCCCAATATGTCAATTGACGTCTCCCAAGGTTAACACGACAACTTCCTACCTATTAGGTATAGAAAGTACTTACACTCCATCAACACTACTTAGGTACCTAACACTGCATATAATTCAAAGACTGCCTATTTATTTATCTAGGTAGTTAGCTGTTCAATATCAATAATCACTAGATACAACATTTGAACCTTGGAGGTTGTCACGGTCCATCTCATCCGTAGATACCACACACACCCCCGTACCCCATATGCCTAACATTTGAACCTTGGACATCTTAATCCAAAAGCTCCTAATTGTATCAATAAAGAAGTTTTTTTTTCCCATACCGAGTGATATCGATAGGTAGGTAGAGTGGTTGTAATTTTTCGGAATAGCCACCGGTGTGTCGGGGTGAGGGAGAAGGTGATATCTCACAGAGGATCGTCCACACCTGGTCTCAACGACACTATCTTGAGCCAGCCTCGGAAGTAAACTCGACTCAATCATTTGAAATAAGCGAACAGACCTTGCTTTATTGAATGGTCCACTCTGAGCAAGTCTATCTGCTGAAATCTGGAGCGAAGAACATAATGAGAAATAGTCATAATGAATCACATAAGGTCCTCCAGTAGTATCTAAAAGCCTCTTATACGGGCACTACTAACACAGAAAAAGAAGAAGAAAAGAAACATAAGAATTGTACAAATCATGAATGAGAAAACTTTGATACCGAATCCTGGGATTCTGCATGTGTATGCTGCGACTGTATCTGTTCCAGAACAACAGCATAGAATTTCCCTTCTTCCGATGTATCATGGTAAGGGCCAGCAGAAAGAACAGCCCTAGAGTCACATTAGTTCAATTAATCCCAAAACGCGAATAAATCATAGTGAGTCGTGACATACCATCCCTTGAACTTGGGTTGATTAAAAATCTCCGTAAATGCCTTCATGATGCGCAATGGAAGCTCCAAAATAGAAGGCAACTCAGGTCCATCGCCACAAATAGGTAATCCGAGTTTATTAACGGGGAGGTAGACGATCTCCGCAGTGTTTGCAGGATTGCGCGTTTCCTGGAAGATGAGGAGACGGCGAGTAGACATCATGATGTAGAGAAGGGAAATAAAGTTGAGTATGGTGTACAAAATACTCGATAAAGTATCGTGTGATCCTGTCCAGGTGTATTTCTTGTAGTTTTGTATTGGATTTCAATCTGATATCACCTCGGATTGGAGATTGGAGATTGGAGATTGAAGAATGAATGTGGTGCCACTGATTCAAGTTGTAGGTCTCCTATTTGTCGCGCTCAGCGCGAAGCGCACTATTAGACGCGTTAATATTTTGCGACAGACATGCGAATGAAAATGCGATTCTTGCGATCTATTCACCTGGTTTTTTTTGCGACGCTCGGCGCGCGAAAGAGGCTGCTTATCGCGTTTTGATCGGCGCAGACGCGGGGCAGAAAAGGGGGGCAACACGTTTTATGCAGTTGAAGTCGTGGTATGACACAGACTCTGGTGAGGTGATTTGGGATCTTGCGCAGAATGAATACTGGGTATTTCTTGGATTTGCGATTGTGATTTAGTATCGAAGACTCGATCGTCCATAGTGGATCATCGTGTTGATTTCATTTGTTGTGGTCCGAATTTGAAGTGGGGTTGTCTTTGTATGTATTTTGTAGCCCGCAGTGGGATGTCCTGTATATGCAGGATTATCCCCTAGAAGTCTTAGAAGGACCTAGAGGGGCTCAAAGGTCTTTCTAGTACTTATATGTGGATGAAGAATACAAGCATTAATGCAAAAGTCACAATTCATGTCTACCAAGACAGTATCTGTAGGCTAATGAAGAAAACAGAAGAAAAGAACATGGGTCGGTATGAGCGCCGAATCGCAACATCATGAATCAAACATCAATTGTACTGAAAGCAGTCTCAACAATAATGAAAAGGTCATTTGGGTATCATAGCGAAAGATGGAGGTTGAAGAAGGACCAAAAGAGAACATTTACAGGAGCATGATGCCATCGTAGCAGTCATACTGGAGATTCAGTCACAAAGAAACAAAGAAAAAAAGAAAAGAAAAGTAAGACAAAGAATATCAGATCAAGCATCCAGCTCTCCTTCGAGAACTCGGCGTGCTGCATCGAGTCGTCGGCGAAGTACCCGAGCCGCTTTAAGATCGGGATCAGGAGATGTTGTAATGGCCTGAAGATCCATGCAGACGTTGCCCTAGACTAGCAAATAGCTGCTCGAGCATCTGCGTATCATCATCATTGATACCACCAGCTGATGTTGGAGTTACAGAGCCTGGGTATGGACTAGAAGCTGCGCGAACAGTTGAAACAAGTGATGAAACGAGGGATGTTGGTGTTGCAGAGCCGGCAGTGGCAGACGATGAGCGGCCATTCATAAAATACTGGCCCTGAACAGGAGTGGCACTCTCCTCCCGGACTCCACGAGGTGTCTGACTTCGGTCAGTCTCGATGATGGGGTTAGTCTGGCGGCTATGTGATTGTTGATGGCGGAGTTCTAGTAAATGTAAGCTTGAGTTCCGAGTCCAAACAAAAGATGGATATAACATACCATGGTTGAAACGGCGGTCCCAGTACAATAAGTCCTCCTCTTCCTCGGTTATCGGCTCTCCCTCAATTGCAGTGGCGAATGTAGCCACTGTCGAGACAGACATAGCGCTGTTAGTGCGCGAGTGTCGGACTGATCGAGTAGGACGTGTCGTCTCGACCGAGCCCTTGGAACTCTGGCTTGCATGGCGAACATGACGAGAATAGTTGCCAAGTGCACTGTGAAGAATAAAATGCTCATAATCGAACGCATCTTCACGTTCTTCATGTGGTCTAGTATCAACATTCCCGGTCGGGAACTGATCTAGACTTTCAAGATCCTCATCCAACGGTTCGCGCAGAATTTCATCCAAGGCCGCGCGATCGATATCCCCATCGTCAAAGTCACCTTCCTCGGCATCCTCATACATCGTCTCAGCGACTGATTCCCGTCCATCGTGATAGTTATTGGATTGGGATTGGGCATCATGCCAGGATTCCGGAGCCTTTCCGAGGCTTCTCCGGTTATGATCTACAGGGCTCTCCTCTGCACGGCCTGAATTACGCCGCTCATACGTGTGATGCACAGGAGCAAGATGCTCATTTAAGCCCCGGGCGTCTCGAGCATACTCTGAGCTGCCATCTCGTATAGCTGTCGATCCACGGCTACTCCGCCCATCCCTCATCTCCAATCCATTGGAATACCAAGGGTCTGCAGCTGTCAAAGGACTAGGCGTACGCAAGCTTTGTAGACTACGACGGCGCAGATTATCTTCTTGGGTTCGAACCTTGAGGGAAGAGATCTTGATGTGCAGACCCTTCATTTGATACTGTAGATCACGTACCTGCAGCTGAGACTGCGCGCGACTGGGCGGGCCGTATGAACTATACACCGGGCTAAAATCACCCGGTGTAGACTTTGATTCATCGTCCGCCGAAATGCCAAGGCCCATTGGTGAGTGAGAGGGACTGTTATCCTCTTCGGGCACAGGAGAATCCATGGGCGGGGGCGATCGCACTGGTTGCGGAGATTCCACTACACGTGGTCCCTTGATCGATGAGACAGAGGAGCGGTGCGTCAAGTATGCGCGGGTCGGTTCATATCGAAATGACCGCTCGTCATTGTGAAACGAGGAGCTGCTGGCACCCATGGCACTGACAGAGCGCGATGGTTTCTTCGTGTCACCTGTCAGACTTGACTCGGGAGGGAAATTGGTATCACTATGCACGCGCGAGTGTCGGTTGGTCGAGGCATCTTGCGATGCCACGTAGGATTGCCGCCGCAGTAAGGACCCTCGTCGGTCCGTTCGAGAAATAGATCGATACAGTCCTCCAGCTGGTTGATGGGCGCCGAGTGGCTGGATATTTCCTGGTGCTGATGGCGAGGGCGAAGGAGTCAGGCGTACAGACGATCGCGCGCGATTTAGATTACCTTCCATAAGCTATACAACAACGTCAGCATTCCTCGGGATCAAAATCTCCATATATTCACGGCGATGCGCCGATCTTTCCCTCCCTACGTACCGTCAATCGTTTCTTTGCATTTTCCAGAATCCTCTCCGCCTCGCTGCTCAATATCGCAGATGCGAAATCTTCTCCGGGGCCTTTACCCGTCGCCGCGGCCGAGGCAATGGGGCTACTCGTTACAATAGCTTTGGTCTCGGGCGACATTATATCCTGAGGTTTCTCGTTCTCCTTATTCAGACCTGCATTTGTTGCCTCCTTTTGCTTCTCCTCCTGAATTGGCGGTGACACTTCGCGCACAGTTTGGGGAGATGCAATATCCCCCGAGACACGTGCACTCCCCGCACTAACGGTTGAGCTGGAGCTACTCCACGCCGCATTATCCTTGGCATCTGGTGTCATCCCCTGCTCGAATTCTTCCTCCTCTTCAAATCCTCCTGAACGCGCTGGCGACAATTCCTCTCCAATATCCGACAAGCGACGCGGATTGGTCACGTTGAGGTCCTCGTGGGTCCATGCTTGTCGCGAAAATTTTTTCTTGGTCCGATTGCCCGAAGCGCCTAGACTGGAGCTGGCATGGTCTGCGCTATACCGAGCGTTCAGGTTGGAGAGATACACGAGCTGAGAGGGTGGGGAGGGAGTCGAGGATTCGCGTTCATTGCCGTCATACGGCAGGATCATATCCGGGTCTGTCAGAGTTAGGGAGGGCATGAGGGCTGGAGTAGGGCCCTGGGCCATCAACCAGATGAAACAAAAATGGAGGAAACAATGAACAGATTGGAAAGAAGATCACAACCCTGAGTTTTTTACTCGAAGCTGCCCCTAACGGCGGGATTGGATACGGTTTAGCGTGGGATATGATCATTTCCTGATTGGGCGGGAGCTTCATTGTTTACTCAATTGTACTGTGTACATTGAAGATGATGATTCTTATATTAAAAGAAGGTTGAAATTCTATCTAATTGATTAGCTATAGAAAGCTCTAGTTAATGATAATTATTTATTACTAGCTATTCTAATTAAAATAACCCAGTGTTCCATTTCTACACTAACATAACAATGTCTATGTTGAACTACACATAGAGTTTTAGCTCCTCGGTTTAATTACCAGCATCTTTTTATCTTTTTACTCTTGTGGACCTTCTTAGCCTAAATTGTTATGTTTATGCCGAGCTCGCATATCGTCTAGGGTGACTCCCTTGATAACTATGCATGGCCCAAATATTGATGTAAGGCGTGTGTTACGGAGTATGAAGGAGCTCAATATTCAAGGTTCATTTCAAATCGATATAGGTTCGTGGTAAGAAGTAATTGCATGGAACGAACCCCTGAGCTCCGCAGTCTCGACCACGGATTGAGGTCCACTGAGTGGGGAATTTAATTTCAGTCTGAAACCAACTGGAAAATGAGATAAGACGGGGTACGAGCCCAAGTACAGGAGTAGCAAATATACGGTGTATGACTATAGAGAGTCGGAGAAATCTAAATATAACACACTACAAAATATCAACTTCACAGAAAAAGAATATAATTCAAGTTATGCTTTTTGGTCGCGAAACTCCGGGTTATACCTAGATACACATTACAGATGAAACAAAACAGAAAACCCAAGTCATCATCCTCGCTCAAATGCTTACAGCTTCTGCAGCAGCAACTTGGCACCACTGCTAGCCGGGCCGGCCTTCTTGCCCTCTTGACCCGACGCCGAGGCCTGCTCCAGCGCCTTCTTATTCTTCTTCAGAGTCTTGAGCAACTCGCTCTTCTTCTCAAAGTCGTCCGACTCAGCCATCGCGACAATAACGAATGTGTTTGATCCAGTGGCCCACTCCATCACTTCCTCGCGGATCTGCTCGTACAACAGTGTGTGGAAGTTCAATGGAGGCTGCACCTTCTCCACGGTCTTCTCAACTGGGTTGAAGTGTCCACCCTGAACGAGGGACTTGAGCAAACGACCAACAGCGGCGGAGTCACGGGTCTCGGACTTGGTCTTAGCGGCCTCAGCCACGGCAGTGAGAGCGGCGGTCTTGTCACCCTCACCGGAAATGAGGACCTCGCCGATAAATTGGCAACCGAAGGTAGTCTCGAGGAGGTTCTCAGCGCGAGCAGCGATGAACTCGAAAAGAGTTGGCGATGCAGCCTTGACGAGCTCTTGACGACGGATGGCGGGCTCCTTCTTTGAGGTTTCTTTTCGGATCTCACGGACCTCTTGCAGGACAGCGTGATCCTGTTCAGGCAGAAGCCACTTGACGCGGTCGCCGGCAAAGGGGAACAGAATGGGAACACGGGCAGTCAGATCAGTAACCTGGAAGAAGAGCTCCTCGTTGCGGGCTTCTGCGGAGTCGCTCTGGTTCAAGAGCTCGGGGAAAATGGATTTGGAGCTCAGCTTGGTGTCATCAATAACATCGTATGCGGCAAGGAGGACCATGTGGCCGTTGACATCACCAGCCATAGCCTTGACAGTATCTCTGTAGAAACGCAAAAGCAACTTGCGGTCTTTGGCGTTGGCGTAAGCCAGAGTTAAACTCATCAGGCGGGAGCCAGACTTTGTGAAAGCCAAGTTCTTGACCAAATCACCCTCCTCGTCACCCTTGAGCAACTCGATGAACTCGTTCGCTTCAGTACTACCGGGCTTGGTAGCAAGGAAATATTGCAGCATGGCATCGTGCAGCAGAGTGAAACCGGTGGTCTTCTTCTGAACCAGCTGGTTGATCAGCTCGTGCAAAAAGCGCAGAATGGGGGAACGCTTCTCTGGGTGTGCTTCGAGAATCTTGAGAAGGTCGGAAGACTTCTCCTTGTCATCTTGGAAGATGACGAACTCAGGACCGTACCACTCGCGCAGAATTCTTGTGCGCTGCTCCTTGGTAGCGACTGTGCGGTAGATATCATCGAGAATCCAAGAACCTTCAGGGTGACGAATAAGACGCTTGACATGGCCGTAGAACTCCGGAATGATCATGTCCCGTGTCTCCGAGTCACCGTGAACAATCAGCTTTCCAACCAAGAACTTAGCGTAGCGGCTCTGAGCCAGCTCTCTGTAGTGTCCCTTCAATTCCTGGGCGATCAGCTTGCGCTGCTCCAGGTTACCGTACTTCAAGGCTGTCTGAATGACACGAACGGAATCGTGCTTGAAAACGAAGTCCTGAACACGACCAGTAATGATCTCGAAGAGTTCCTTGATCAACTTCTTTCGCTGCTCCAGTGGGACGTGGGACTTGCGGCGCAACTGCTCCCAGAGCTTCTTGGAACGGGCAATGGTATCGGCATTAGGCTTGGCGGCTTTACGCTCTTGTTGAAGGAGCTTCTGCTTGGCGTGGGATTCGCGAGAGGCATTGACATTGGGGTCTAGAAAGAGAAGAAACCGTTAGTTCGTGCGTTCTTCAATTTAGTTTTGTGCTGTGCACAGGGCAGTCAAGAACATACTCCTGTGTTCCTCCGGCTTGCTCTCCTGCTTCTCCTCGCTAGACTCTTCTTCCTTCTCCTCCTCCGCGTCATCACTAGCATCGTCCATCTCGACATCATCCTCAGGAATTTCATCAAGTTCATCAAGGTCGTCGTCTCCAGAATCGGAAACATCATCAATATCGAAGTCATCCTCGGACTCAGACTCCTCCTTCTTGGACTTTTTCTTGGAAGAGGTCTTGTCGCTCTTTCCAGACTTGGAATCCTTCTTTGATGAGGACTTCTTCACTGGCGCAGCGACCTTGGACTTCTTCACGGGTGCGGAGCCCTGCTTGGTCTTGCTCCGCTTTCCATTGCGATCTTCGTTCGCATCGACAGGGCGTTTGAGACCGGCCATTGTGTAAAAATATAGTAGCGACTTTGGCTACTACTCTGGATCCGGTTTAGTGAAAAAGATTGTATGAAAATCCAAGCTGAATATGCTCGGCTTGCTGGTGGATAATTTTTTTGATTTGCGGGCGGAGGAAGTTTTTTTGCCGGTTGTTTGCATGGTTTGCACTGATAAGAGCGACCGAATCGATCAGACGAAAAGATGGATTTATATGGATAAAAAAAATAATGCATATGATAATATTCTCAGTAGGTATGTCATTTCAGTGCAAATACATCCGTGTATCAATTTGCAAATGTAGGGTTTGTCCATCTATAGACAACCTTGTACTGAAGGGTACTGAACTCGACTTAACAGTCTGATCAGCCCGCTCATCCCGTAAATAAGAAGACATGTACAGAATGAGACTCGGAAACATTAAGATGAAAAACAGAATAGCGAAAAAAGCAAGCGAAATATCTTTGATACTTCATATCCTAAAGCAATATCCATTGGAGTCCTTGGACGTCCTAACAGATACTCCCCAGAAGAAGCACAGTGTGCATAGACCCAAAAGTAACCCAGAAACGCCGTCCAAAACCCTCATTAGCACCGTTCATCATTCATGCAGGCCTATTCGTCATTACTCTCTGTTGTAGAGTCTGATGCGGACGGCGTGGGTGCTTGCATATAACCCAACTCCGAACCACCCCCGCTCTGGCCACGCTTTCGCCCGGGAATGTGGAACCCAAATGAAGTAGACGACTTGGTGCCGGATGGCGCCGCATCACCAGACGAATCGCCAAACCGGGCGAAAATGCTCTTTTTCTTAGGTTTGACCTCGTCGTTTAGACCAACTTCCTCGAACATCTCCTCTTCCATGGCCTCGGGCTTTCCAAAGTTCGTGGATCGCATTGCTGGGGATGTGATTCGGGAGAAGCGGGAGTCGAGTGAGGTTCGGGATGGCAGCGCATCGGGGTGCGAAATGGGGGATCGTGCGGAGATATCCTGAATTGAATTAATTGGGAATATAACTCGGTTAGAGAGGTCAAGGGCCTCTGGGTGTAGTGACGCAGGTACATACAAATGACCGCCGGTACGAGTCGAATGACTCGCGCGATATTGAGAATGGTTCGTTTTCATCGACTAGATCGCGATGGTTTGAAGATCGGGTGGAGCCAGGGTATTTGTTCCAGAAACTCTGTTTCTCAGGTGGAGAGGGCTGTGAATGACATCGAGGTTAGTTAAGCCCATTCACAGCTCTATATTAAAGTATTGATCTATCGAGAGTTTCCATACCGGAAGATAGACACCGCTATCGTTCACGACTGTTGGACAGAGCGATTAGCAAAACTTGTGTTGGCCATGGTGCGACAATGGTAGAGAAATTCCGTTCATACCACTCAATTTGTACTCTGGCGGCCTGCAATCCTCGCTTCTGCGAATGGGTGTTGGACCTGGACGTGCGTTGGGCGACAGATGGTTCTCTTCGAAGCCATCCGATTCCCCGCCATTGGGTTGGGGTTTTCGAGTAAGGAAGTTACGGAATGGAGCCATGTTGACTTTGGGGAATGGGTCACGATGGGGTCGGTAGAGAGATAAGTGGAAGTAAAAAGAGATCTCCTTCACATGATCAGACCATGGTTATGTGGGGAGTTGCATGGGGGAGAATGAACCGATCAACCACTCCCGAGCGGGTGTAAGGGCCCCGGTGGGCATGTACGTCATGGCCCCCTTCCTCGATGTGCAATTAAACACATCAATGAAATACTTGACCAAGTTATGGTCCATGAATGGCGCAGCTTTAGCCAATATGGGAGTGGCTCATGCAAATTAACCTTTGTTGGAGTTCGCATCCACAATAAGTACAATTGGAGGATTGGATTGCGCACTTAAGGTTTCCACCAGTTGGACTGTATATACTCGGACCTACATGCGCGGTACTACTCCTTTGATAATTCATTTTGGTGATCGTGTAGCTATTGTGTCCAAGAACGTCATAGATACCGTAGATACATGTATGTACCCCCGCACTCCAGGGCTGCCAGTGTCAACTGAGCACTTGAGAGTTGAGTGTCGTGGAGAGACTTTATTGCTCGTAGTGACATCCCTGTAGCGCAGATCTTTGCCATCCATATGTCTGCTACTTATGGAGTGCACAGTGGCAATATTTTGAGAGTATATTTTCTTATGCACAGGGCCTTTCATGTACCCGGTTTCTTGAGATCCATGTAGTGTGTAGTAGGATGATAGTCTGCGAGCCTTTACGAAGATGTGTTGCTCTCTGCCCAGGTGGTGACCTAGCTGATAAGAGGCTAGATAATACATAGATAAGAGACTATCTGATAAGTATGGAGTATTAAACTAAGGCATAATTGATTTTGATCAGTAATTATGAGAATATTTCAAACTAAATTGTTGGGAGTGTTGCAACTTGCACTGTGGTTATTGAATAATTATCAGTAGGGAAAGGAGGTCATATATTGTTTCGGGGAGGTACATTGTAATCTGTCATGGATAACCTAGTGGAAGGTACACCGCTAAGTCCGCCACCTTGCTTCGGTCACCTGACCAGCATGTACAGGTGCCTGGTACGAACCCTGGGGTCGTCATTTCACTCGCGCGAGTAATCCGCGATGCTGTGAGACGCTAAGCAATGGATGTGACCCTTGAGGGAAGCAATTCTGCAGAGACACTTCCACCCTGGGGTGGCGTCGCCAGAGAACACCGTCCTGTTACAGGGAAATGGGCTGCTTGGTGAAACAACCACACTCTTCTTTTTTTTGTTTTTTCTTTTTTTCAAGCTTCTCTTTCACCTCTCAACTTGCACCATTCCCGATATCATATTTTTTTGATTCTACTGCAGCCAAACACCACCGAATAACTGTTTTAAAAGAGGAGGTAATATTTTTGACAAGAAAATAAAAGTAAGCTATTTTCATAAATACATTATGGGAAGCCTTGGAATAATCTCAAATCATCAACCTTGAATCAGAACTCATATCCATCTCCAGCTGGTGATATTCGTCCGAGGGTTTTTGACTCGATGGTAAGAGATCAATGATGAATGATAGGATATAACCAGTAAAGGTAAATGCAATAACTGTTACAATGTCAGTAAGTAGTTCGAACTTCAAAGCACCGACCCGAAGTACAACCTACCCCATTCAAGGATGGCTGCAGTATCCTTCTGCATATTGCCGCCAGCGGCAATGACTCGGAAGGCCACAATAAAGGCCAACTCAACAATAACGAAAGTAAACTTGATCACGAAGCTGGCCATGAGCATGCGCTTGTTCACGCGACTCGACAGTCGAAGGTAAAAGTAATCAATGCATACTACAGCTGCACTGACCAAGTAGCCCGTCCTGTAACAAGTCAGAGTCATTCCTTCTCCCACTTGACTTCAGTACCAATGCGATGTTGAACTCACATGAAGACAGCCACAAAACTGTCATGTAGCATCAGATGGTCGAGATTGTCAAACACCGACAACATGATCAAGCCGAGGCTCCCAAAGATAGCGAAAAAGAATGAAAGATACATGGAGATATTGTTAACATGCTCTTTATACTGTACGAACTGGTAGAACGTAACATTCATAAAGAGCATCGTGATGAAGCTTCCTATCATGAAGAGCGGCTTCAGCTCTTGCGCTCCGATGTCGGAAATGAACCTATTCTCTGGGTGTGAGCGCCGACCATATCAAATATCAAGTTATCAATACGAACGGAATAGTCTGTCCAGGCTTCATCCTACCAAATGTAGGCTCCCCCGACATGACCCAATGGCCCAACATGGATGAAAGCATAACTAGAGTCAATTCATTAGGATCATGACGTGTTTCCCGCAACTGCCTAGCTTGGTCTCCTTCCACTCACTTAGCCATGTTGACGCCGAGATGACTGGGAAAACCCAGAAGAATTCAATCAGCCTCATGCGGGGTTCGCGCAGCGAAGAAGCTGCCGACCTCGACACGTTGTTGGCAGCAGTATGTTTTGGTGATTGTAACGATCGTGGTGGTTAGGATGAGAGCTAGGTTCAGGTATGGAGGAATTGTTTGGGTGAATTGAATTTGAAGATTCCAAGGTTCTTGTCAGGAACGAGCAAATGACATCGTTTCACAGCCCTTGCATTTATTTGGGAAAATATTAAGGTCACTTGAATGTCGATCCTGATTCAGGTATCTCGTCAGCGATCTGTTTTTTCAATGTTTGTCTCCTCGATGAGCTTTACTGATCGTCTGTCACATCAACCATATGCAGATGATCACATTTCTGATCGTGACAAATAAAATTCAACTCTACACGTAGGGGTCTACAGCGGCTCTATAAATCCCAAAGATTCAACGGTGATATTTTTGTGATCCTCAACTGTTGGAAAATGATCCGGGTTTCAAGGTAGGAATGTAACGATTTCAGCCCGTGTCTAATTTACCCTTCTGGTGTTGTGTAAAGTATGTGGATCGCCGTTAGTAGCCTGGGAGGAATGGACCCCCTTTTCATCTAGGTTAGAAGTTAAATGGACGATCTGTTTTATATGCGACGAATGGAATGTAGGGTGGATACAATGCAAAGCGGGTAACCCCTGTCTCCTTGCTTTTGCGGCTGCACTCCATGTATCTAGCGCATGTTCCATGTTCATGCGCACATGTACTCTTACAGATAATTGTACAATTATTGACTTGGCTAAAAGCCTTGAGGAGAAGCTCGTGAATGGAAAGTCGTGTTCATCGCGTTCATCGTGTTCATCAATTTAAAACTCGAGGGTGATCAAGGTACTAGTATACTACTCCCTATCCCTTATGATATCAAGGCACGCGACAATGTTTCGAGTTCATTGAAGGGAGCCAATCAATGCCATCGGATGGAGTATAGGACCCTCTAAGGGACCGGGGTTTGCCCCTCAGCAAGCAATTGCAGATCAATACAGGAAATGATATTCGCACTCCTTCCTCCACTTACTATGTCATATTTCCAAGGTTCAAGTGCCCCATAGCAGTCTAATCAAGCCGTGACTTCGGAGTACAGAGTTCTCCACTTGTTCATGCTGTTAACCGCCTCAAGGAAATTTAAGCCTTTTTGGGAAACTCCTGCCGGATCTTCAGGAGCAAAATTTTCGCAATCGCTTTCATACCGTCAAGGTTCGGGTGAAGAACAATCCCGCCTCGGAAGAGTGACGACAACGCAAAGCCTCCAACCCAGGGCTCCTTGCTACCAAGAACATGATCTGAGCTAAGCTCGTGGATCGGTACCCTTTCACACCACTCTGACCTCGTGTCTGCGGCTGTAGCAAACGCATTCTGTAAGGCTGACGCTACTTGGCTGTGGTGATCGATTCTCTCTTGGTTAAACGGGATGTCAATAGCAGGTTTCGTAATGGGTCCCAGGATAGCGAGGTATTCCACTAGATAAATGTGTGCGTTTGGGGCTCTTTCGTGTATCGCATCGAGTGTCTCGCCTAATCGTTGAGATAATCCTTCAGGTGTGAGAGGAGTCGACTTCTCTGCCGGCCGACAAAAGATGGACATAATTGGCTTGGCAGCTTGTATGATACAATTAGCCACCATTCCTACAGTAGTGGCCTTCCCAGCATCAAACATCATGTCCCCAATATACCCGATATCATTGCCACCAGCGGTAAGGGTTATGATATCTGCATCGGTGGGTACTGAGAGGATTTGAGGCTCAAACACGTCCTTGGAAAATATGGCATTTTGAGGCGTGGTGGTGATATTCAGCAGCGTTGCGCCAGAAACAGAGAGATCGGTGAGCTCGGCGTCTAGCTCTTTTGCCAGGAGATGTGGGTAGTTTTGTCCGGAGCGCTTTGCGGATAGGGGCGCGACCTGCGGGTTGATACCGGGTCCTGCAGCGAAGGAGCTCCCCAGACTGACGACCCGGAGTTTACTGGGACTGGAGCTCATGGTGATGTGATACACGAGGAATGATTCAAGTTCTGGATTTGATAGGCTGGGTTTAAGTTGGTGGTCGTCGTGTTTTGGCTTGCGTTTTGCGGAAGAGGGATTCGGAGACAGATTTGGATGCCGAAGATCGGTGACAGTGATCACAAATGTTTGCTTTAGTTGTTTGCCTTTCTCGGCGAGAATTCTCGGTTAATCATCCACATCGCTCAACCTTGGAGGTGATGGATATTGCAGAGAGTTTAAATATTCTGCCCAGGCTACGAAATACAATCAATAGAAGAAATGATGACATTGAAGATGCAGATGCATGCCGAACACATTCGGGATCCGACATGGCCCGTTCGGCTACCCGGCGATTGCTACAACCGTTGCTTAGTGCTTACACAGAACATGCTAGAATACAAGATAATCAGGTTGATCATTTGGTTTCATGATGATAAAGATGGGTCAAATTATTTATAGCAATTTAAGGCCGATGCATCTTGCGTGAGATCATCATATAGCCGTCTTGCTCGGTTACTACTAGTAGTCCCGAGGCTTGAGCGCGCTGATCTGGGGGTAGTAGGACTATTGAACATATGAAAACCCCGCAGTATTTCTCTAGAACAATTGAAAATATTTTGAACATCTTATATGTAGCAGTTATATGCTTATTGAAAATGACCGACGCAAAAATATTGAATCCGCCAGGGCCTATGGTTGGGACAGGACCAAAGGATTTGACTTATCCTAGATGGTTTGGTGCGTCTGCCTCATGTATGGCAGTGATGGTTTCTCATCCTTTTGATCTCAGTCAGTGCAGATGAATATCTCATTTTGAATGGTCGCCGATTAACATTCGAGGCAGTCAAAGTACGGATGCAGACAGTGTCAAGTAGTGCCAAGGAGGGATTCATGGTCACTGGATTGCATATCATCAGAAGTGATGGCCCGAGGAGTTTGTACATTGGGGTGAGTTATAGCACCTCTATCTTGGAAGACTATGTATGATCTCGATAGCTGCTAACAGATACCCTTGAATAACTCTCCGCCGGCATCATGAGATCAAGTCGGTAAACCAATCACTGTCAACCGTCATATGCTAATAGAATGGGTTCCAGTGACATATGGAACCTCTCGTATTGCTCTTTACGAAGAAATGAAGCAATCAGCAAAAGAGAGGAATCAGCCTCTCACTATCGCAATGCTAGCATCCATGGCCGCAGTTTCAGGATTTATAGGCGCCATATTTGGCACACCGTCCGACATCGCCAACGTGAGAATGCAAAATGATCGGGCATTACCTATCCAGGATCGGCGAAATTATAAGAACGTCTTCGATGCATGGATTCAAATGAAACGTCTTGAGGGCTGGAAAGCGTTCGTTAAGGGCCTATGGCCGAACTGTTTTCGTTCTGGAACTATGACAGCAAGTCAGCTGGCATCCTATGACGTGTTTAAACGGTTGCTTCATAGGATAAGTAAGACACATGAAGAAAAACCACTAATTCACCTCTCTGCCTCCATTTTGGCTAGTCTGGTGGCGACTTCGGTCTCTAGTCCGATGGATGTGATTCGGACCCAGTTGATGAACTCTTCGAAGAGAATGTCTGTTTTTGAGGTTGTGAGGCATCTTACTCAATCAGAAGGTCTACAATGGGTCTGCCGGGGCTGGACACCTAGTTTCATTCGAATGGGACCACAGACCATCGTAACCTTGGTTATGCTGGAGCAGCATAAGCGGGTTTATCGGATGATTAAGGCTGATTAGAAGAATTTAATGATTTCAGATAAGAAGGCTGCCTGGTATTTCCTTGGGTAAAAACTGAATTCTTAATTTATAAATCGTAATTCATTTTTTTTCTTTTCTTTCAAACGCAGAAGTGGATGCCTTCCATTATTTGTGATCAACAACATCTTTTATGGCACGAGCCACATATGCCACATTGCTCTCATTAAGTCCACTCAGACTCATGCGACCATTGCCCAGCATGTAGATGTGGTAGACCTCTTTCAATCGGTCAACCTGCGCCTTCGACAACCCAGTGTAACTGAACATGCCAATCTGGCGTTCAATGTGAGACCAGTCTCCCTGGGTGTTAATCTTCTCCAACTCAGCTCGAAGTGAGGATCGAACGCCTTGGATTCGCAGTGCCATTGTCTTCACGTCCTTCTCCCACTGCGCAGTAAGATCCGTATCCGAAAGAATGGTATTAACCACTCTGGCCCCAAACAGAGAAGGACATGCGATCACGGCGCGAATCAAGCGGATCAGGTGGGTGTATGCACCCTCTGCAGCGACGGATAGTGGACTGATGAGATGTAGTGCCCCAATGCGCTCCCCATACAGTCCAAAGTTCTTAGAAAAGGACTGGCAGACAAGCATTCCAGCCGGCGGGTTTGTTGTGTTGGACAAAGCGCCAAAGAAGGTGGAGTAAAAGTATCGGATTGCCCAAGCGTCTGCATCAGGGTCACCAGAGGCAAATCCCTGGTATGCGCTGTCAAAGACGACAAAGAGCCGTTTACGCCCAATAACCTCGGCAATTTTCTTCCATTGCTCCTGTGAAGGATCAAGTCCTGTTGGGTTGTGCGCACAAGGGTGTAGGACGACAACATCGTTCTCCTCTCCAGTTTCCAGCGCAGCGATCATTCCATTGAAATTGAAAGAGCAGGCTGAGGAGTTGTAGTAGGGGTAAAGCTTCTGCTTGATTTCCGGGCCTGCGGTCTTCCAAATGAGGTAGTGGTTATCCCAGGTTGGGTCAGAGATGAAGACATTCTTTGGCTGAATATGACGTGCACAAAACAGGGCAGCGAGACTGTTTGCACCTGTTCCTGCTACTGTCTGCACAGTGCGGATGTTTGGGTTCTTCGCTAGCTCCGGGCTGAACATGAGCTCTCGTGCCTTATCATTGAAATGTTTATCGCCTGTGATGGGGAGATATTCGTGATTGGCATTTTGATTATGGAGAACCTCTTCAGCCTGTCATAAATGGGGAGTCAGATGAATCTTTTCATATTTGTATTGCGGTAGAACTTACAGCTCGGACACTAGGCAATACCCAGAGTCGGCATGCTTCATCTCGATAGACGCCTTGGCCGAGGTTCACCTTATCGGGGAATGAATCGGCATTGTAAGCTGCAGTGAGGGCAAAACTCTCAGCCAAAGGCAGTACTGGCAGTTCCTCCAAGCTAAACTGGGCCATTTTGAAATATTTTAGCTAGAGCAAGGGTTGGTGTTGTTAAAGCTGTGAGATGGTGATGGAAGGCGCGTCGCGTTGAAGGAGAAGCAGAACATAAGATGCAAACCTTGGAAAACCACTTGGTTTTAGGCACCCCGCGCCAATCTACTTTGAACGTCACTAAGATCATGATAACACGACTTTATGTTCCGGACTACTATATCGGGAAGCGGCCCTGTTGCCGAAAAGCTACTCGGCAACTTCGCCTTGAGCCGTGTACATACCAATAGAAACCCCTTTTTTATATGGGTTAGTGGGTGGACAATCTAATGCTTATTGAAATCGCTGATCCCAATGGGATTAAGAGTCTTAGAATAAGCCCACTTTGGATATAATCCTGAAGCTGTTGGATATGTCCTTGTGCAAATGTCAACAGACTATATAGATTTTGACTAGAATTTTTCCTCCCAATAAACGCTCAAAGATTGTAGCTGCTGACACGTGCTGGAATCCCGTCAGTTTAAGGGTTGCTACGCTGTCTTTTGGGTTAAATCTCAAAGTGAGTGAGGTTCACATTGAATGCATGTAGGTTTAAAGTGACTGCCCCAGAGGAGGATCTTGATGTGTCCGCTGACCTTGAGCTGCTACTCCTTCCCCGGTGAGTAAATGCGATGCTTTCCAGGTTGTTATGCCCCGGGGCTAGAGAATCAGCTCATTCTCAAGGGTCTGAAGTTCCTCGCCTATAAAACCCTGCTTTGGTGTAAGGGGTCTTAAACACATAGTGGATGGATGAACTCGAATCTTGGAAATGGGCAGAGGTGTATTTCGAAGCCAAAGCTGTATATTTGCTAAATCTAAACCATTAATGTACCTAACATTCTCAAAATAGAACTGTTAAATCAATGGGGCGAAAGTAAGCTTCACTTACATATGCGCCACTGACAATGAGGTGTAATGTTTTGAAGGATCTAAAATAAATTAAAGGTGAAAGATGATTAGAAATCCACTTTTGTCAACTACCCAGGTGGTCATGGTTAATAATAGAAACTAGCAACTACCCAGCAACAGAGGACTTTTGCTTTACTTCATAATCTGAAAAATATTTTCTCCCATAACCAAGAGTCTTTCTTTTGTGAAAACAATGTCAGATTCAGAGCCGACTGGATTTCTGCGAGCCAAAGTATTCCAAGACAGAACCAGGTCGTTTGTGACAAGGATATGTTCATTTTGATCTTGCGAGATCTTAATACTATCGAGTTCGGTGATCGGACATTGTTGCGTGGAAGATCGGACCCAATGGCGGATTGTCATACTGCGGTCATCCTGGTTGATATCGATTGTAATACCGTCAAAAAAGGTGAGTTTTGTAGCCATCCATCAGCATCAATGATTAGCCGATTCATAGACTCAGCCATTCCCACTTCAATTACCAAAGATGCTCCTAATTCGTTAAACTCCCGTGCACTGAATGCCGCATCTGGTTCCTTATACCAATTCTCCAATCGGGTATTCGATGCGCCTTCCGCAACGAACCTTTCATCGGTATCGATATCTGCTAATTCCGTATTGATTATTTTGTTGATTTCTGTGATAGCACGTTCATGGTAACTAGATGGTTTGATACGGATGACAAGAACACCAATAGTGTGGAAAAGATTAAACCTCTCAAATTTCAACTCATTCGATAGTGATTCTGAGATGGACAAACAAGAATCTAGGGGTAAACTGTGGAAAAGAGCGTACTGGTCCCGGGTTTTGTTTGTAAGAAGGTCATCGTGTAGCCTGTTAATAGTGTTTCTTAACTTAAGAGCTGAGACGAATCTATATCTCTGCTGGATAGTGCCTATAAGTCGAAAGAAGTGGTCACTCGCTTTAGCAGAGAAAGATGGGGATGTAGAGTATGGGTCAATTCGGTGGGACGAGTCAGAGTTGGACGACATGTTGGTAATAGAGTGAGAGACAGAGTGAGAGACAGAGTGAGAGACAGAGTGAGAGACAGAGTGAGAGATAGAAAAACAGGAAGTGAGAATTAGTATAAAAAGGAAGTCAGGGTTAATGAGATAGAAAAAAGTAGATAATATTAACATTTGAATATTTACAGTCCACGGGTGTCGTTGATGTAAACGAAAGCCCGAAAAATGATTAATGGACCCCTTCGCTAAATTAGGCTTAGCATGTACACATATAGTACTTGAGGCCTTAGATCTATCACTGGCAGCTTGAAGTTTCTTTCCAAGGCTAGGCATCAATTTATCGTTCTATTCAATTTTCAAGTCACCAAGATAACACGACATTATGTCCCAAACTATATTGGGAAGCGGTCCTGTTCAAATGTTGCCGCCAAACTACTTGGCAACTTGCCACGAGCCGTGATCAACGAGATAGACAGTGCTTGACAATTTGCTTGTACACTTGAACACTGGCAACGAGTTGGCTGACCCCAATCTGCTCATTTTCACCGTGCGCCACCAAAATCGAACCAGGACCGTACAGATACTTCTTATGCTCCCCTTTCAAGCGTGGCGCATCTGTGCCGAATGAAACTGCGATAGTCTCCAGTTCCGGGATATCATGATCCAAATACAGTTCCGGATACATGAATCTCTTTCGAAGCTGCACATGATCATATTTTGACACAGTTTCTTCCACCAGCTTCTCAATCAGGGCCAAGTCATTCGCAACCCGAACAGCACAGAGAGCAGTACATTCGGCCGCTAGGATATTATAGCCAACACCACCAGTAATCTGGCCACAATGGAATGTGGAAGGCCCAATAATATCTGAAGCTGGAAGTTCAAGCTGTTCCAAATCGGCCAAGAGTGTAGTCATGGTAGATATGGCACTGCGTCCTCGCTGCGGGTAACCCGAGTGAGAAGGAATACCTTCACTAACAAGCTCAAAAACAAAATGCCCCTTGTGGCCTACCGCAAGTTTGCCCCCAGTAGGCTCTCCGAATATAACCGCTTCCCAGGTCAATTGCATCGAGTTGGCTGCAAGCATCCCCGGTCCACCTTTCTCTTCTCCAACAACGAACAGAAGAGAGACATCTTCTGGCTGAACTAGGCCTTCAGCTCGAAGTTCCTCAAGTGCGGTTATTTGTGCGGCTAAAGGTCCCTTGTCATCGCATGCACCTCTTCCGTAAATCACATCTGGTGTTTCACGGAGCGGAATGTGTGGGGGGGACGGTGTCCATGTGTGAGGTTAGACAGGTTCGAGTTTTGCGGGAAGAACCTAAGTAGGCGTAGACATTGCACCGAGTGCTGTCAGAACTGATCGGGACTCTTTCAACTGTGTAACCGAGACCTTGGAGATGTTGTTCCAGGAAGATGCCGATGTCATGTTCTTCTTCGCTTGTTGATGGGACTTGCATCAGGCGTCGGAGTAGAGAGACGACCGCTGAGTCTGACATGGTTTCGCATATGATGACCTAGTATTCACTTCAAGATTTCGTATAAAATAGTATAGTCAAACTTCTGAGAAGATATTCTTTAGTAGTAATTGAGTCGGTAACAGGTCTCGGATCAATCTATAGTTGCCGGTGGCTTGATCGGCGTGTAGCCTCTGAGTGTCTGCACGGGTATAGAACCACACAGTCAGTACTTGAAGATAGAAATACTCGAGATTTGATAGTAAATGGAAGAAAGGTGTGTTCAAATCTCTGAAAGTTGTCTTTGTTTGTTCTTCTTGGGGTCGTGAATTTACCGGATCACAATCCCGATTGTGCAGATCTCGGAAACACACCCGCTAGCAGATATTATCAATCTGAACATGAATGTCTTCTGGTTCAATTTGAATGAATAAATGAAATTATGTACATAATGGATGGCACTAAGGGAGGAAGTCGGACCATCATCAACATTGAGTCTAATGTAATAATCAAAGATGCCACGACTTGCTTCGGGAGGAGGAAAAACCTCAAATTTGCTTAAATCAGTTTGAATAAATGAATATGGTATCCCCCAAATTTATCCAATTATGCAGCCAGATTATTGTGATCCAAATAAAAACTCATCACCTAGTTCGCAGGCCAAGTCTCTCAACGTGTGGTCCTCAGGTAGCATTCCATCAGACCACATAAACCCTTTGTCTGCCAGAAAGCTGTCTATCAAGGGGTGATCCAGGGGCACACCATCATTAAACCCCAAAGTAAGCCCCTCCACTTCACGAGGCACATCATTTCCCAAGCTTTCACCCCCGTTCGAAAAAGCCGGGATGCTTGACCCAGCAATGGTAGCTTCTCGCATTTTTCCAACAGTGGCTCTTGTACGTTGGAGTCGTTCATAGTAGTCGCAACTGGGGAGATTGCCGTCCTCCTTCATAGCTCGGAGAATTGTGAATGCATAGGAGACAGCGTCTGACATACCGACATTGGGGTCCATGACTGCAGACATGATCAGGATGAGGGTAGAAGAGAAGATATAGTGCGCGTCAAAGTATCCAAATGATGCTAAGGACCCTTCTATGAAGAGTTTCGACAAGAGAGTATTGGAGGCCCTTGCTGCCTGAACACAACTCTCAGCTAGAGCTAGGGTGGTGGGCGAGAACAGTCGTGGTGGATTTCCTGGGGGACCACCAAGTGAGAATCTATTTTTGAAGAGATAGAGAAGGATAGGCCGCGTGGTTGAAATGACGCATTGATTATAATGAAGATGAAGGCTGACCAGATTACGAGGGATATGCTCTTGTTTCAAGCGTAGAGCTTGCGGCAGCTCTTCGTCCCATTTGCGAAGACTGAGTAGGATTCGATGGACTCGTTGTACGAAAGTCTCTTGCGTTCGCTGAGGAAGACAATAGATATCACTCACTAGTCAAGGTCAGTGCCAGCTGTGATAAAGTTGAGGTACCCAAAGCTCTTACATATTTGGCCTGTGATTTTGGCTAACTTCACATTTGCAATTAGATGAGCAGGATCCGAAAACTCCTCTAACTCAGCACCGTCAAGACCCTCGTTCGTGGGTAGCTTAACGTCAATTACTGAGTCGCTGGCAAGCACCGGAAACCCCAAATTTGAGCTGCATAAACGATCCAGAGTATATAGTGTCCACCAAAGTCGTTTTCGATGCTCTCGTTCAATAGGGGTCAATAAATTATCGGTCGGCAAGGTTCGGTGGAGCCCCAGTCCTAAGGCTATTCGAAGTGCAATACCGCTGTATGTATATGACGATTTAACACGACCGAGGGCATTCGCATAGAAGCTCTAGATAGAAAGTATCAGCACTCCAATCCAATATAGTACGTCGATAGAGCTCATTCACTCACAAACAGAATCATGACCTCGACTTGCTCAACTGAAGGGTTCTCATATAAGTCTTGTAGCAGACCCACCGCTCGAAGAAAATAATCCGTCCCTGGAACATGCTGATCTGAAGTTCTGCGCTTGCGATTTGAGTACATTTCCCCCAGAGCTAGGAGCACATGGAATTTGCACATCCACGCTAGACTGGGAGAGACCTCTCCAGCACACATTCGATCAAGGGTATCAAAGAAAGACCTCTTAAGAACAAGATGATAGTCAAAGCCAATGAACCTTATCGCAATCTCCACCAATAGCCTGGAATGTATTCGATCGGGTAATGTCACGTCGGGTCGAACGAGTCGGTTGAAGATGTCGTGTTGAAAATACGTTGGTGGCCAAGATGCCAGTGGTTGATCTGCATCTTTGTCTACACACTGGAGCAAAGTATCGCCAAATGCAACGCACGAGGCCTCTCCAATGAAGACTGGCTGGGAAGAGGACCGAGCTGCGAGAAAACCATTTGGGGTCTCTAAGAGAGGGTTGGAAACATCCGTGTCCAAGAAGTGTGTTGCTGGTTGGTCTTGATCATTGGGATTTGTATGTGTATCACTGTCAGGTAGTACTTCGATTTCCCCAGGACTCGTAGACACATTTTGTCGATGTTTTTCTTTGAAAGCTTTCAGCTCACTCTCCAGCCTCCTGACATATCTATCGCCCAATGAGTCAGGCTGTGGCTATTCGAGTGAGAGCCGAGACTCGGATTCCAATTGAACATGATACTTACGTCTCAGATACGGAAATCTTGCGATCTCTGGAAGGAAATTCACAATTATCTCGATTTTGCGACATACAACATGCTTGACAAGGTCGACCGCCAGAGCACTTGATTTTCTGCGAGTGACATCGTCGGCATCTATGAGGAGGCAAATGTCAGTACGAGACGCCTAGCTTTTTTCTTTTACAAAAGACTTACGCTACGTAAATACGTCTCTGCCGTTTAGCAGACTGAGAATTGCGAGAAGCCATGAGAAAAAAAAGCGAATGAGAAAAAACAGTACTTTGGCATTGATTGTTATCTGCGGAGAAGCCCCTCAAGAGATAAGAGTGCGGAGAAGACCAGACCCGCGGAGACCTTCCGTGGACCGTGACTACTACAAGATCCTTCCATCTTAGAGAGAATACCGAAAAAATACATCATAGTCGCCTTTTTCAGGCTCACTTTCCAGAACCTCGCCCGATTCCTCGGCCAAGCGGATCCTGGCAGCCCTCTTGTTGTTCACTGCGGTCATTCCTACCATAAGGACTGTGACCATTGCCAATGCGACGACTGCAAGACCTAAGCTAATCGACAGACCCTTGATATAACGAGGAGCGGACTCAGTTGTGAAAATCTGGCCAACTGCTACACCGGCAGTGTTACCAAAACAAAGCGTCATGCCTACCATTGTGGCTCGTTTGAAGTGCCGAGCCGTGTTATCTTGGAGCCACATTAAAGATAGGCCAGTGGTGGGATAAATTCCAAGACCAACAACTGAAAAAAGACTCGTCAGACGCAACTTTTGTATGAAGAGATGCAATAGACTTACCGAAGCACGCAAAGAAGCGAACCTCCAAGTCCTCCACAGATATGAGGATTGCATAACCAATCACCAGACAGAGCAAGGGACCAGCGAGAAAAGGCCCTCGGAGACCTGTTCGGTCGGAGAAATATGCGATAACAAGGAACCAGATCAGGCTGACGATATAAATAGGCACTGTCATCAAGTTCGCCTTCACTCCAGAGTACCCAAGTCCAGAGACGATCTTCGGCAAGAAAGTGGTAAATCCATAAAGCGAGATATCCACGCTGAACTGGTAAATAAATAACGCATACCATTTTGGGTCTGTTAAAGCGCTTAGGGAGTCAGCCCATTGGAATTCTTCATTCTGTCCCCAGTGTGGATCATTGTCGTAGCGAGCCTGCATCATGATCTTTTCTTCGGCACTGAGGAACCACGCAGTCGTGGGATGTTTCGGAAAGAGGAAGAGATAAAGTGGCACAAGGATCGAGGTCATGGCTCCTTCAATGACGAATAGCCATCGCCAGCCTTCCCAACCGTTTGGTCCATTGACCTGCGTCAGGCCATATGCGAGAAGACCACCAAATGCACTAGAGCAGGCACTGAAAGCGAAGATTGCAGCGGAGCGCTTCCCCCGCTCTTCTTTCTTGTATACGAGTGCAATGTACACATTTATGCAAGGGATTAGCCCGGCTTCGAAGAGGCCAGTAAGCAATCTACAGGCGTAAAGACCCTTCCAGTTCTGAATGAACGCTAGAGACTCAAATGTTAGAAAAGACCTGTCATATTTGATGTGCCATACTCACCCATTCCAAGTGTCGTTATTCCCCAGCAGAACGCGCATGTCGAGAGAAGAGGCTTTGGTCCAATAATCTTGAGAAGCACTGCAATGGGACCTTCGAATGGAACATAAGTTGCGTATCTGTATAGCAAGTCTTTATAAGTATCTCCAACATGGCACATGGTATGAACTTTTAAAATTCAAATGGCATAACTTACAGAAGAGTAGTCGCTGTACCGAATTGGTTTCCAACAAGCCCCAGATCGGCTGGCAACCCGGCGGTTTGAGCATTCCCGATATTGCTCCGATCGAGATTTGCCATAAAATAGAAAAGTCCTAGTAGGCCAATCGCAAAGATCTGATGGACGAAAATGTGATTAGTAGAGGGTCCAATTCATCTGCAATGTTCATTATTCACATCGAACTTGCGCATCATCTTTCTCTCCTTGACTGGATCAATGTAGATCTCGGTTGTACCATGACCTATACCAGGCCCACTGATATCGGCCTGGACCTCTTCAGGTGCCTTTACGTCCATTGAAGCTTAGTTTTTGAATAGTCAAAATAATTCCAAGGTTCACAACTGGTGAATGTAAATTTATGTTGCTAATAAGATGAGAATAGGTTTATAACAGAATTTGGATGATAAGCGGGGGATAATGTGTTGTTCCAAGTCTTTTCTTTGTTTTAGTATAACTAGCAAAGCTTGGACACTGAATCTCTCTTTCGCATACCTTCTAGAGAATGTACTGATAGGAGAGATAGCTTGTCAACCGTCTTATCTTCCTACAGCCGGCTGCATTAGATGGATGCCGGGCCAATCGGCTTATCCCTGGGGGCTTGATAAGTAGTGCCTATCAGCAATTTGTCATGTCGATGGCCTTCCCGAGGTAATGTGGCTCAGATAGAATAGTAAGTACCAGGCTTAAGTCTAAAAGACAACATTATCAAGCCCAATTTCAAGTTCACATTCGATATGGATTATTCGACTTTTTCTAGTTCGATCATAGGTCGGCTCGCTGCCGCCACACTCGTCGCAGCGTCAATATGGGCTATATATCAGTCGGTTCCCACACATGAGAAGAGAGAAGAGACCTTGTCCGACCGGGTCGATCGTATTCTGAGAAGCAGCCCTTTGATAGATGGTCATAATGACTTACCATACTTGCTCCGGATTGAGTTGCAAAATCAAATATACAACGATCGATTTCCCTTTCGGGAGGGTATGAGCCCACCTCACTTATCACAAATAACATGGGCTAAATTCTCGCATGTATAGAATTGGCTAGCCATACGGACCTCAAACGTATGAAAGAAGGTCATGTTGGTGGCCAATTTTGGTCAGTATTCATGGAATGCCCAGACACGACAAAACTGGATGATCCCAGTCATATTGTACGCGATACATTAGAGCAGATCGATGTGGCGCGTCGTTTCATTGAAGCAAACCCGGAGCTCAAATTCTGCCTGACACAAGCATCCGCCATTCAAGCCTTCAAAGAAGGTAGAATAGCTTCAATGCTTGGCGCAGAAGGTCTTCATCAAGTGGGGTCATCGATCGCAGTTATCCGTCAACTATGGGATCTGGGTGTACGATACATCACAATCACACATAATTCCGATAATGCTTTTGCAACAGCAGCAGCAACGGTCACTGCCTCAGAGACCGAGTTTGATCCTGGTCTGACTTCATTCGGTGCCCAGGCTATTCTTGAAATGAATCGACTTGGAATGTTAGTGGATTTGTCGCATGCATCTCATCAGACTATGCGACAGGTCATGGATCTTGCACGATCGCCGGTCATATTTAGCCATAGCACATGTTATGAACTGGCAAAGAATTTTCGTAATGCACCGGACGATATCATCAGGTCACTGAAATCAAATGGAGGAGTGCTCATGGTGATGTTTGTCAAACGATTCTTGAATGCGACCGATCCTGATGCGGCTAATATTGAGACTGTGGTGGATCACATCATGCATGTTGTAGAACTGGCAGGTTGGGATCATATTGGCATTGGTGGGGACTTCGATGGAACGATGACCTTGGCTAATGGTATAAATTCTGTCGCTGATTATCCCAAACTGATTGAAGCAGTTATGCGACGAGGTGCGACAGACGAGCAGGTGAAGAAATTGATTGGCGAAAACATCCTTAGGTAAGCGGTCCTTGCTATTACTGCTTCTTCCTTGAGATATTTTATCTTCTGACGCGCTAGACAGAGCATGGAGGCAAAATGAGCGCAATGCAGAACTATTTTCTAAAGAGAGGCCAGTGGAAGCGGTTTGGGAAGGCCGAAGTTGGACGAGATGGAATAATCCTTTGCCAATCATGATTCCTGAAAATCCCGACCGTCTAGCTGCTGAAGACTATCCTTAAATATGTGCCATGAAGAGATTGATAGGTAGCAATTTAGGAATTGCTGTTAGAGAGCCCAGGTTTTTATAAAAGGAACATTTCAAGGTTACTTGATGATGCCAATTATGATTGTTGGATACCTAGCTTCCAAGCTGTTCAAAGTCAAGTCTTCAGGCAGCAAAATTGGGAGTCCCAATGGAAAAGGCATGTCTTCAGTACTTAACCTTAGAAGTGCTCAGTTAGGAAGCTCTGTTAAATAGACACACTGTATCATCCTAATCAGATTAACTTGTGAGCACCCATGACTGCCCAGGTGTGTTCAAATGTTCCCATCCTCTAAGACAGCTATGTTCACATACTTAAGCACTCAGTTAGTAGTGTCTACATTTACCTAGATAGCTGGTGAATGACTCCTCTGTGTATGTAAGTACCTACAGGGTTACCTGGAAGGGAAGGCTAGCTGTCCCATCGGTCCGTTCGACCCGCCAGGGTCTTCAGTCACTTGCGTTCACTGCCGCGTCCTTTCTCGGTCATGAGTTCGTGTCATGGTCAATGCTACAGCGACGGACCCGAAGGTATTCATATCACTTTCATTGAAGATGCTAAAACACCCCAGCAGCCGGATGTGCAAGAAGCTGCCGTTGAGGCTTGTTGGCAGCTTTCCGGTCGAAAGGTACTCAAGGTACTCAGCGGTCACATCAGCCACAATGATATGAAGGTCCAGTTCTCTCTCACATCCTTAAGCATGAGCTGAGAATAGCTGGTATCGGTGCTAAAAGGACCTTTTTTAGGTGAATATTGGATTAAGATTCGCATATTCAAAGGGGGTTGGTTTCCACCTACTAACCGAGTCAGGCTAACAAGTTATGCAGACACAAAGACGTACGCGGGATGTGGGATGATCGGCACACCGGCAATTGAGAGCTGAAATATTCTTCACCCCCAGATTCTGCACGATGCAACATTGTCAATCGCAGGGACCGTGTCTTCTGTAATCGGATCCGATTGTCCTCAGCGGGTCACATTTAACAGAGGGATGATATGATGATATTCCACCCTGAAGGTTCAAGTTTGGTCTAATTTGGTCTGCAGCTGGAATACCTGGAATGATCGAAAATATTTGGCTTGTGTCTTGAACGACATCGGTTATCTACATTGTCGATATGGCGCAAAGGTCTGTAGGAGGTCAAGATCAGAGCAAGCATCGGATCCGACTTCCCCGCAATTTTCAAGTTGTTTTGTTGTTCATTATTGAAATCGGATCGAATCCGGTTGGCTCGGACAACAAACACTCGTTCTCTTGTCTAATCAAGTCGACTACTTCATTGTTAAGCTAATCAGGATGCAACTCTAGTCTGGGGTCGAGCGTTCTACGGGGCAGTTCGTCCCGTCGCAGGTATTATAAGAGCAGAGGCTTCCTCCTGACCTCCGAAGAAACAAGGGACAGTCGAATACCCACCGACACATTTTAGTGGTGAAAAAGTGAGCTTATCATGGCGCCATTTCTGGGCGTACGAGGCTCAAAGCTTCACTTGGCCATATGGATGGAAGCTTGTTTCGGTGTGATGATATTCGGCTATAACCAATCCGCTGCTGGTGAAGTCCTCTCCGACTCGGAATTTAATCTTCAATTCCCACGAATGGTCACTGGAGTCAGAAAACTCCAAAATTCAAGGTGGGATTAGACCATGCAGTTGAATTTGAATATTTGAACTCAGACTAATCATTGATAGGCACTGTCGTCGCATTATACACCTTGTTTGGAGTTTTCGGAGCCCTGGGATGCACATTACTTGGAGATGTCCTGGGCCGTCGGAAAACAATATTTATTGCCAGTGTGGTGCAGGCTGCCGGGGCCATTATCCAATGTTCATCCTTCGCTTTTGCCCAATTCATCGTTGGGCGTATTGTGCTAGGTCTGGGTACTGGAGGTATTAGTATCTGTTTGGCAGTCCGGAGTCTCCAAAGCAGAGAGTCGAGGAGAGCATGTTCCTGCCTTCAGAATATTTTGTGGATCGGGTATTGCATTGGCATTATGGGTTGCCTTTGGGATGTCATATACACAGCCCAGTTCGGTGTCATGGCGCTTCCCTCTGGCTTTCACCATTTTCCTTTCATTCCTTGTCTGCATTTCAATCTTCTCGCTACCCGGGAGCCCTCGATGGCTATGCAAAATGGATCGCTGGGAGGAGGGTCGAGAAATACTTGCGCTTCTATACGATGAAGATCAAAACAGCGAGACCGTGAACAAAGAGATCGAGGATATCAGAATCTCCATAGAGCGAGTAAGTAAGGGAAAACTGGGAGCCTTATTCAAGATGGGTCATCAGAGAACTTTCCACCATGTTGTTATTGCCGCAGTTGCCCAGATCTTCCTGCAGATGACTGGTGTTAACTCGATCACCTATTATGCTCCAACGATTTATCAGCAGCAGCTTCATTTTGCATCGAGCGAATCAGGACTCCTAGCTGCATCATCTCAGTTAGTTCTGATAATTGGTGCAGTTTGTTGTGCCTGGACCGTTGATCGCTTCGGGCGCCGAAAACTTATGATGTTTAGTGCATCAAGCATGGCTATTTGCTTTGCCTTCATCGCTGGGCTGATATCTCAAGAAAATAACCCGGCCGCTTTGAAAGGAGCTGTATTCTTTCTTTATCTTTACTTTTTCGTCTACGTTCTCGGGTTCCTCGGAATCCCGTTCCTCTAGGCCAGTGAAATCGCTCCCACTCACCTCCGAGCGGCGACATGTGGATTGTCCCCTGCGATATCTTGGCTGTTCAACTTCCTGGTTGCTGAAGTCACCCCTGTGGCCTTTGATGATATCGGCTGGAAATATTTCATCGTCTACTGTTGCCTCAATGCATCTTTCGTTCCTGTCATTTATTTCTTCTTTCCAGAGACAGCGAAGCGATCTCTAGAAGAGATTGGAGAAATTTTCGAGGCATCTCAGAATATTTTTGATACCGTGTCTGTTGCGCAAAATCTGCCGAAGAGACATTTATCTGAATTTGTGAGGGACGAGAAAGGACCGAAAGCTGCTCATTTCGAGGCTTGAATAAATTGAAGATTTGACATTTAAATCCTTTTGAAGACTTGCAAGTGAAACTCAGCTTCTAGGGTGGCTTTGAATCCGGGTATCACCTGAGTATCCTTGGAGCTGGGACATCTATCCTTCAAATGCTGCGGTATAACAGTATCCTGTGGTGCGCGCGTTTCTTCAAAAAATCATACAATTTATCTGAAATTCGGATCAAGATCGCACATATTTCTCAGGCGCTAGTGCTGTTTCTTGGCCCCAAGCCCAGCAGTTTGACCATGAGTCGCCCCGTGTCTAATGGAACTTCGGGACACCACCGAAATCGAATACCTATAGAATTTCTTGTTGACGGCATCAGGTTGACACATGTCTATGAACAAGTTGCCCTGAGACAGATTAGAGAACGATGATATATGAAGATCCTCACGCTATGCCATCATTTTGGATGTGCCTCATGTACGTACACCTGGGCGAAAAAGCCGATTAAAGGTCATCGTTTTATCGTGCAACTGTGGCCTAGGTCGATCCAGATCCCTATGAAAAGAAAACTGCCACTCAAGGCTAATTTTGACCAGTAAAGCACCTTAAATGCCGCCATGGTGAATGTCAAGAGAGGCTAGTTCGTAAGATGTCGCAGGTTTTGCGGAAGATATAATAAATGGGGACTATGGCGCCATAACACCACCCCCTCTCCCATATAATGAGAACTTCAAAGAGAGTGGAAATTCAGCGATAATATTTCAAGTTGCGTACAGAGATCTTTAAAGACGAAAGAAAAAATCATTTGAATTTTTTTTTCAAGTTTTCTTTTTGCAATAAATCATTCTATGTGGTGGTATGTTGAATGTAAACAAGATGGATTGGAATGTTATCAATGAAGTTTATTTCAAAGTAAAAGGTAGCTGCATAAGTAATCATAGTAAGAATTGACGTGATCAAGAGGAGCAATGGGGTCATGATCACAAATTATCTATTTAAACCCAGTCTTCTCGGACGTATAGTCAGACATCTGGAGCCTCCAGGCGCATTTCAATCATGACTGAAGACACAGAGGCCAACTCATTGCGAGAGCAGGAGGTTGTGAAGCCAATCAAGTCTTGGAAAGGATACATTTGGGATACTTGGGAGCTGCCTCGCGACCAGCGAAGGTTGCTATTTAAGCTTGATGCATTCGTCTTAACATTTGCATCGGTGGGTTCTACCTAAAAACCCCCGACAAAAAAGAGTGGCAGACTCCTAATCAAAACACAGATCGGATATTTTTTAAAGAACCTGGATCTTCAAAATGTTACCAATGCTTACCTTAGTGGCATGGAAGAAGATCTTGAGATGTATGGTAATCAACTGGTGACCAGTACATCGATCTTTACAGTTGGCTATGTTATTGGACAAATCCCGTGCAATTTGCTATTGACGCGAGTTTCACCCCGATGGGTCATTCCAGCTGTGAGTACTCTCTCTCTAATCCAAGGTTGCCCAAAGGTTCTCATTCCAGTACAAATACTCACACATAGTAGCTTGAGGTTGGCTGGGGAATTTCTACCATGTCTATGTCCAGTGTCAAATCCTACAAGAGCCTTTATGCTCTTCGCTTCCTGGTCGGAATTTTTGAGTAAGTTTTCCTTTCGAATTCAGTTCTTCTCTTCTCCAAGCTGATGTTCTCTGCAACAGATCTGGATTTTACCCTGGTATTCATTACCTCCTTGGGTCATGGTATACGCCACAGGAGATCGGAAAGCGAGCAATGACATTCTGGCTTGCGGGTTCAATCGGCCAACTTTTTAGTGGCTTCCTTCAGGCAGCAGCCTATACCAACCTGGATGGCGTTGAAGGCCGAGCAGGATGGCGATGGCTCTTCATCATCGATGGCATCATTACGATACCACTCGCCTTGGCAGGGTTCATATTCTTCCCTAACCTGCCCCAAAGTGGCCAGAAAACTTGGTGGACAAGTGAAGAGGAGCATATCCTTTCCGTCAAGCGAATGCAGGCGATCGGCAGAGCTGGTAAAGAGCCCTGGTCAATAGCCAAGGCGAAGAGAATTTTCTCCAGCTGGCATACGTACCTTCTTCGTATGATCCCTCCATCCTTGTCTTCCGATTTTAATTTCTTCCACTGACAATATTGTAGCGGCGCTCTACATCGTCTGGAACAACGGATACCCACAGGCCGGTATGGGATATTGGCTGAAGAGCTTTAACGCGACGCCTGCTCCCGTGCCTGGAAAACATTACTCTGTGTCCCAGATCGATAATTGTACGTATATTGAAAATTCACTCAAGATCAAGTGCTAATAGCTTTCTATAGTACCGAATGTTACCATCGCTATATTCGTTGTCATGGCTTTTATTTGGGGTTGGCTCTCCGATGGACCCTTCCGTGGATCGCGTTGGCCCTTCATTTATATCGGTGCTGTCGTCACGGTATGCTCATCCCTCTACCACCCACTTACTGTAGGAAATATTGGAACTAACTCAAAGAATAATAAAGATAATTTTCGATGTTGTGCTACGTCAGATGCCGCTCTATTCAGACATACCTGGTCGCACGGCGGTGTACTGGCTTAGTTTCATTGGAGTAAGTCAAATGAAGTAGCGTCGAGGCTAGCACTTGAGTTAAAGTTACTGATCAAGTTTCTAGACTGGTGCTGGACCATTGATCCTCAGTTGGACCAATGAGATTTGCTCGGCGGATACGGAGAAGCGAGCTATTGTGGTAGCATTATCCAATGATCTTGCTTATGTCGTGCAAGCGGTGGTATGTAATTCAACTCCTCAATCATTTTCGTTCAATTGATAACACCAAATCCAGGCCCCCAACTTTGTATGGAAAACCACGGATTTTCCTGCTGCAAAGAAAGGATATCTCTGGTCTATCATTCTGCAGATACTGTCGAGTAAGTACGTCCTATTGTGGAAAATAAATGATCAAGCTAACCGAAGTTCAAGTTGTCGTGACATTGGCTATCCAATTACTGTTACGGAGAGATAGAAGAAAAGCCGCGAATCTTCAGATCGAAGGCTCAGCTCCTGCTTTGGAAGAGGATTTCTCGTCCGGACAAGCCTCATCTTCTGAACAAGCATCGACGTCGGATTCGGCTTCTATTGATAAGAAAAAGCTTCCCAACACCAATGTCTCAGCTGTGGAATCCACTTCAAGTTGAGTATGGGTATACTTGATAAGACAATGTAAAGCGACTCGAAATACCATGGGAAAGAATACAAGATCTTTTATTATCGGGCTGTATGTAATTTGGTCTAATAAAATGCTGAGCGGGTTATAAGTCTAGTTTGAAATGAAATTGACAGAATTAAGTGGTTTCCCTGTTGAAATAAAAGCTTCCAGATTATCCAGGGTCTGTTTCTCAAAATTGGACCAGCTAGTCCTCGAACAAACGGCAATATGAGGCAAAAGAGTAACCATCCAGTTTTCACATAATTTCTGGTTCACAACAGGCTCATTAGCATGAACATCGAGACCTGCACCCACGACCTTTCTATTTTCAAGTGCCCAAAGCAAAGCGTCTTCATCAATCATTTTTCCTCGAGCAATGTTCACCACTCGCAGACCAGTGCTCTTGGCATTTTCGAATTGTTTACGAGAGAGAAGGTGATGTGTTTGGGAAGTATAGGGTGCAGCAATGACAACACAGTCAACCTCAGTTATCATCTCATCCAGATCAGCACAGAACCGAGCTCCATTCTTAAGTCTAGCTTCGGCATCCTCTTTCCTTCGAGGACCATGATAGGAAATTCTCATCCTCAAAGCTGCCTCGCACTTCTGTGCGATAGAAAGCCCAATATCTCCCATGCCGATTACTCCCAGTATCATCCCCGCTGGGTCCACGGCTTTCAAACCCAGCTCCCGACTTTTGTTCCAGTCATATCTTGCGCACCATTGTGCAAAGCTCAGATAGCGGAATGTTTCAAGCACCAGTGCAAGACCGGTATTGGCTACGGCTTCAGTGCACGCATCGGGTGTATTGCAATACCATATCCCTTTGCTTGTCAGGGCACCGATATCCGCAGCATCGTATCCATGCCCACTACAGCAGATAAGCTTCAGACTTGGCGGATAGTGTGGGACAACATCCGTAGCGAAGAGTCGATGAGAGGCATACGCGCCAGCTTTGAGCCATCCAGTCCGTACGATCGCTGTGATATTGCTGTAGAGCCCACCTGGTTGTAGGCGCGAGATAAACTCTTCAACGCATGTACAGTCGTACTTCAAGATCGACACTTTCTCTGATAGGCTTTCGCGACGAGCTTCGTCGATTTGCTGAACGCTGGATTCAATCAACAGTACATTTGGTTTGGTCATATTGGGATGAATGAGAATTTTTGCGACCTGTTTATCTGATTGTAAACTTGGAAGATTTCCTTTCTTAATTCATTGTCGGTCTATCTTCGGTATCGCCGAGTGTGTGAGTCATCGCCGCGTGGAGCTAATACCTATCGGCTTGCTGGTCAAGTTGCCGGTCAGTTATCTGTAGCCTATCGGGTCGGTAATATCCCGACCGAGTGAAGCAGAGTAAGGAGAGGGGTCATTTATCGCTGATAGAGTCGAAGATGAGCAAAAGTATCGGAATCATGAGCATTATGTTGTATAGGAAATGCGGGGTACTTACCGATTGCTTTAATGCAATGATTCTTGTCAAGGTCAAGTGGCATATAAACAGTTGTCAATCCCTGCTTGAAGTAGCTCAAGTTTATTTCGTTTTGTCTGTATAATTATCACAACAATGGCTAAATCTGGTATTCGTATCGCCATCGACCGAGGTGGTACCTTCACTGATGCATGGGCTCAAATTCCGGGCCACTCCTCCGATATCATATTCAAGGTGCTGTCCGAATGCCGAGATGAGTATGACGATGCGCCCACAGAATGTATTCGTCAGATCCTAGAGATTGCAAATGGATCATCTATACCTCGCGGATTTCTTCTCGATTTGACTCCCGTTGAATCAATCCGAATGGGCACAACCGTCGCCACAAATGCACTTCTTGAAAGAAAAGGCGATCGAGTCGCCTTATTGATCACAAAGGGGTTCCGTGATCTGCTTAAGATCGGAAACCAAGCAAGACCAAATATTTTCGACTTATCGGTTCAACGTCTCACCCAACTTTATGAGACCGTTGTTGAAGTTGATGAGCGCGTCACTATCGAAGGATTCTCAGAAGACCCAGATCCCAAGCAGATCGATGTGAATTCCGATCCGGAACTGCGTTTAGGTTTAACAGGCGAAGTTGTTCGTGTCCTGCGAACTCCGAATCTGGAGGATGTGCGCAAAAGCTTGCTTGGTCTTTGGGATCAAGGATATCGCTCCGTCGCCGTAGCACTCATGCACTCTTATACCTACCAAGAGCATGAGATTGCAGTAGCTGGGCTTGCTCGGGAACTCGGGTTCAAAGTTGCTGTTTCGTATGAGCTTCAGACAATGGCAAAGCTAGTTCCCCGTAGCCAGTCAGCAGTTGCTGATGCTTATCTGTCACCGGTGACCGAAACGTATCTGGATGGCTTTCGAAAAGGGTTCAAGGGTGAACTTAGAGATGAGCATGCAAAGAAAGTCTTCGTTAATCAGTCAGACGGTGGCTTGACATCAATCGCAAATTTCTCGGGCCTCCGTGGCGTATTGAGTGGTCCTGCCGGTGGTGTCGTTGGCATGTCGAGGACATGTTATGATTCAGATGATGGCACTCCAGTGCTTGCATTTGACAGTAAGTTTCCCCAAATGATTCAGTACTAAATCTTACTGACAGTTTCCTAGTGGGTGGTACAAGCACCGATGTTGCTCGATATGCAGGTGCTCTTGAGCACATATTCGAAAGCACCATTGCTCAAGTTACGATTCAAACCCCACAGCTCGATATCAACACAGTCGCAGCCGGTGGCGGATCGATGCTTTTCTGGGAGAATGGATTGTTCAAAGTCGGTCCACACAGTGCTGGAGCTCACCCTGGTCCAGCCTGCTATGGAAGAGGAGGTCCGTTAACGGTGACGGACGCGAACTTATTTCTTGGTAGAATCATTCCAGACTACTTCCCACAGCCATTGGATGCTGAAGTGGTGAAGCAAAAGTTTGCCGATCTTACAGCTGTGATCAACTTTGAAAAAGATGGGTCTTCGCAACTTACCCCTGAGGAGGTCGCAGTTGGATTTCTTTCCATCGCGAACGCGACAATGACCAGACCTATCCGAACTTTGAGCGAGGGTCGTGGCTTTGAGACTGCCGCTCACAATCTTTGTTGTTTTGGTGGAGCTGGTGGTCAACATGCTGTTGCTATTGCGCGAGACCTGGGCATCCAAAGAGCTCTGATCCCAAGATACTCCAGCATTCTTTCTGCCTATGGAATGGCTCTGGCAGATGTTGTTGTTGAAAATCAAGAGCCGGAGGCAACTTCATACACAATGGAAAATATTCCAAGATTAGACGAGCGATTTGAGCGACTGAAAGATGCAGGCGTTGCTGGCCTTATCGCGCAGGGTTTCTCCGAATCTCAAATTCGCCACGAATCGTTCCTGAACATGCGATACCAAGGAAGTGATACAGCACTGATGATCCCGAATCCAGGCACCTTTGCAGACTTTGGAAAAGCATTTTCTGCACGCCACGAACAAGAGTTCGGCTTTACCCAGCCAAGAGAAATTTTGATCGACGATGTTCGTGTTCGAAGTACAGGGAAAGGGATGGATGTTTCACTCTCCAGCCCAACTGCCGAATTGAAGAAACTCATAAACTCACCTCCGGCAACACCAGTTGGACCTGAAAGGAATATCAACGTTTACTTTGAACAGGCTGGTTGGCTTGAGGTGGGACTTTACTCTCTCAAGGACCTCCTTGTTGGTACCCGGATCAATGGACCTGCGATGGTTATCGACAAGACACAAACTATTATCGTGGACCCCGCAAGCACAGCAATCATTTTGCCGGAGCATGTCGTGATTGAAATCACTGACGCGAGCAAACTTGAAATAAACACGAGTGTGGTCGACCCGATTCAGCTGAGCGTTTTTGGACACAGATTCATGAGCGTGGCTGAGCAAATGGGCCAGACCATGCAGAAAACGTCCATTTCAGTCAACATTAAGGAGCGGCTTGATTATTCATGTGCTGTGTTTTCTGGGGATGGTAGCTTGGTAGCTAACGCACCCCACATTCCTGGCCATCTCGGATCCATGAGCTACGCGATCGCATACCAGGCGCGCCGATATAAGCCTGGTGAATTGAAACCCGGCGATGTGCTTCTTAGCAATCACCCTAGCTCTGGCGGTACACACTTACCAGACCTCACTATAACGACACCCGTCTTTGATAGCGATGAAAACCCAACGAAGATTCTGTTCTTTGTCGCAAATCGTGGCCATCATGCTGACATCGGTGGAATTCAACCTGGCTCCATGCCTCCAAATTCCACCGAGTTGTGGCAGGAGGGTGCGGCCGTTGAGTCCTTCAAAATCGTGAAAGAAGGCTTCTTCGATGAAAAGGGACTCATTGAGGTATTGGTAGACATTCCGGCTTCTTATCCAGGATCAAGTGGTACCAGAACCTTGCGTGACAATATTGCAGACCTAAAGGCTGCAATTGCTTCCAACAACAAGGGCATCCATTTGATTCGATCTCTTATCAAGGAATACACTTGGCCTGTCGTCGAGTTCTATATGAAGGCTATTCAAGACAACGCTAGCCAGTCTACACGTGAGCTACTCAAAGTCATCGCTCAAAAGTTTGAAGGCCAGCCTCTTGAAGCAGTGGATTATATTGATGATGGCACGCCATTAGCATTGAAAATCACCATCGATCAGGAGACGGGTAATGCGGACTTTGATTTCACAGGCACTGGGCCTGAACATTTTGGAAACATGAATTGTCCTCCTGCTATCATGTATTCGGGTATTATGGTGAGTGCTTTAAATTCCGAGTGATTCTCATAGAGTTCCACTAACTAGCGAGCAGTACTGTCTCCGATCCATGATCTCCTCCGATATCCCTCTTAACCAGGGATGTCTTAAGCCAATCCGTCTCATCTGTCCACCCAACACTCTCCTGTCACCATCACTTAAAGCAGCAACGGTCGGATCTAATGTGGAAACATCTCAACGCATCGTCGATTTAATTTTCAAAGCATTCCGTGCCGCTGCTGCCTCACAGGGTACCTGCAACAATCTCACATTCGGGTACGGTGGTCGAGACCCCGAGACAGGAGAGGTGATCAAGGGATTCGGGTACTATGAGACTATCGCGGGTGGATCCGGAGCGGGCGCAGACTGGGATGGCGAAAGTGGCGTGCATACTCACATTACAAACACACGAATTTCGGATCCAGAGATTTTCGAAAGGCGTTATCCCGTGATTTTGCACGAGTTCTCCATCCGAGAGGGAAGTGGAGGAGCTGGACGCCATCGCGGAGGTGATGGATGTATCCGTGATATTGAGTTCCGATTACCTATGCAAGTTTCGATTCTATCAGAGCGACGTGTCATCCCACCTTATGGTATGGCAGGAGGTGAAGATGGTGGGCGGGGTGTGAATTTGTGGCTCAGGAAGTACCCAGATGGTACGAGTCGAATGATTAGCTTGGGAGGTAAAGCTACCACTCATATGAATGCCGGTGATCACATTATTGTTCAGACACCTGGTGGTGGTGGGTATGGCCAAGATCCTTTCAAGAAGGATCCTGTTTTCATGGACATTTTCAAGATCCATGAAAAGTTTGTGCCAAGTTCGTCTCTTCTTCGGACACAAGGCAGTCTGGCAGAGAGGCAAGCTACGGCTACTGGAAATTGAGGCAGCAGAGGTTGCAACCAAAGGATCGATGATAATTTAGAGCAGTACAATATTACTAAGAGCAGGTCAACATTCTGATCAAAACTAGTATATAGTAGTCAATAGTATCTCTTCTGTAAGCTCAACCAAATTTGAGTCATAGGATATTGACCTGGGGGAAAGGTCTCAATTGTCGGTCATCAGCCGTTTGAAGGCAGTAGTTACCGAACAACTGAAGAATGAAGTGATATCAGTGAGGTGATAATTTTGGAGAAAATTGACGATGAGTTGCAGGTCAACCATAAGTACATCCTGTATTGCGGGGGAGTCCGGGGCAACTTGCCTAAATTAGTATGCCCCTGACATCCTCTCTATTGTCTTTCGCGGATTTTATCCCGACACAGAAACAAAATACTAGTATTTGCTGTAGATAGACAGTAGTATACCACTTGGTCATGGGATGATTCTGTCCAATATTTCATATAAGGAATTAATGGTTCCAGAATCTTTCAAGTTCAAATGTTTTGGACAACCTGTTGAGTTCTCCTTCTTGGTACTTCCAACCCCACAAAGGTGACTATCACCTAGGACTGGTCGAGCTCATGGGTCAATGCCGAGAAAAATGAGCGTTATAACCCTGGGTTTCATGATCTCTTCTTTCAATTGCCGCCCTCTCATCACAGGCTGCTTTAAGAGAAGTAAAGTTAAAGGAATTGAGAAAATGGCTCAGTCGGGCTGCATCACTTCACATAGCTTACGGTCCTGCAGGGAACATCCTCTTAGTATGAAAAGAGAGAGTTATTGGTTGAGCATGAACATCAGAAGATTTGAAGGTTTTGTGAGCTCTGACCAGGCGCGGGATAGTTGCCATGATCCAGATCTCGGGGTAATTACCCCGTCGAAATATCAGCAGGAGAACTCACCAAATTCTACAAAGAGAAGTGTTCGGCGACTGATTAGTTCTGTTTTGTGGGTCTCTACCCGTTCTCCCCAGATTTTCCCCGCATGACATGAGATCCAGGGCTGAAGTGACGAAAGAGAAGGGAATTATGCTTCATACTGAACTGGACACGAAAAATATAAAAGAGATGCATCGACACGCAGTATCACCCTTTGCCAGGCTGGCTCTTCCCTTTATCCTCATACTTTACATTGCAACTACGAATCATGGAGAACGAAGATGGAACTCCTCGAAATTGGCTTAATAAAGCCAAACAGTCTCGTGCTGGCACCGCTGAACACGATGAGACAATCGTCGGAGAGACGAGCTATATATCTTCAGTCTCTTATGATGGGAGTGGTATTGGAAGCGTGGTGAACAATCCATTTGTATTTGGAGCGGCTGTTCTTGCGTCATTAGGTGGATTCTCCATGGGTTATGATATGGGAGTTATTTCTCTCATCAATAACATGGATCAATTCCATGCTAGATACCCATTTGCCAAGTCATCTTTCGGAGAGGAATTCATGACGGCGATGCTGCTCCTGGGTGCTTTCGTGGGTTGTATCTTCATGCCTTATGCGGCTGACCGTTACTCTCGAAAAATGGCCATCACGGCGTGTGTGGTGATTTTTGATATCGGTGCAATAATCCAAACGGCAGCCCCAAACTATGCAGCTTTGGTTGTTGGTCGATTTATTGGAGGTATCGGAGTCGGTACATTGGCTATGGTAACGTTTCCTTTAACCCCCTCACATTGAATCCGCTAATAAAATAACCTTCTTTTTACCAGGGTGCCCCTTTGTACATTTCAGAGATATCTCCTCCAAAAATCCGTGGAACCTTACTCGTTCTTGAGTCTATCTCTATCACCGGAGGTGTTGTAATTGCCTATTGGATCACATATGGCACCTTGCAGATCCAAAGTGAGGTCTCTTTCCGATTACCATTCGGTCTTCAGATGATCACGGCAACAGCGCTTGGACTGGGAATTCATTTCTTCCCATATTCTCCACGCTGGCTTGCATTGGTTGATCGAAGTGATGATTGCCTTAAAAGCTTGGTAAGACTGCGAGGTCTACCAGAAATCGATGAGAGAGTGCAAGCTGAATTCCATGGTGTAATGGCTGAGGTGAACTTTCAAAAACTGGTTCAGCAAAAGCGACACCCGGGAGCAAGGGGAATTAAACTTGAGATTCTTCAGTGGATGGATTTTTTTTAGTCGAAAAATGTGGAGGAGAACAGTTGTTGGTGTCGGTGTTGGCTTCTTTCAACAATTCTCGGGAATCAACGCCTTCATCTACTACGCACCCACTTTATTCACCTCGGTAAGTCGTTGGCATATTACTAAAGATTTCCTTTCTAACTCATTATTAGCTCGGCCAATCCACCCAACAGTCTCGCATTCTTTCTGGTGTATTCGACTGCCTTCAATTTGTCGCTTCCATTCTCTGCTTCCTAATTATCGACAAGGTCGGTCGGAGACCTTTAGCAATTTGGGGCGCCTTTGGCTCAGCGATTGCATATGGAATTATAGCAGTTCTAGCAGGCCTCTACGAGGATGACTGGCTTAACAACACCGCCGCTGGCTGGGGCTGTGTCGCAATGGCTTTCATCTTCATTATGATCTATGGTGTTTCGTACTCTCCACTCGGCTGGGCGCTTCCATCCGAGGTCTTTTCTACATCCACGCGATCCAAAGGAGTCGCCTTGTCCACTTGTATAATTTGGCTTTCTGACTTTATTATTGGTATTGCTACGCCCAGCATGCTTGATAACATCACCTATGGTACCTATATCTTCTTTGCAGCCATGTGTTTCCTGGCAGGAGTATGGGCATTCTTTTTCGTTCCTGAAACAAGCGGGAAGACCCTTGAGGAGCTGGATGCAGTGTTTGGAGATAGCAGGGGTCAAGAGGAGAGGGATATTGTTGCGGAGGCCATTGGATACCGACCTGATCCTCCAAAGACCACCGTTTAGATTGATGCTTAGTTGGCACTTGCATCCGATTGGGATATCAACTTGAACCTTGGAATACAACCGCTTACGACCTTTGTATATCAGACTTTAACCATTACTAGAAATTTCTTCAATTCATGTCTGATCAATTATGAATATAATTAGTAATTTCTAGCATAGAATTTGCATGCAATTACCATTACCAATAGTCCTCGCTTTTAGTGAGCCGGAAGCAAAAACACTGGCATATATCCATATCCATGATCGATACCCAGTCGCCAAATGAAGCACAGTAAAATGTATCTAATCCACATGATCAACATGAGTAGTGCCAAGACCTTTTCCACCGAAATCAGTGAGAGCTTCTCCGTGTGCCATGTCGCGCTCGAAAATTGCACCAACACAACGAGCTTGGCGATCGCGATATACCCAAATAGTTCTGTCTTTCGAGAATAGGAAATCAATCTCCTCCAACGATTTTCCTGCTGTTTCCTATATGAGAGTCAGCCTTTGTAGCTTGAAAGGGAATTTTTGGCTCCGAGTTACTCACAGGGTAGAGAAAGAAGACAACGATAGCCATCGTAAAGCAGAGAGTCATGAATATTAGATAAAGTTTCCAGCTGCGAGAATTTACAAGTCAATCATTTGCTTTGTACTCAGGATCTCTGGGAATTAATTTTTAGCGGGTGGTTAGTTCACTTACGAGATCTCGTCCATTGCTGTTGGAATGTAAAGGGCAAACCAAAAGTTCTAGATAGCAGACGTCAGTCCAAGTGAAATCGCAATATTGACAATTTCCACCACGACACAACATACCACAAACCAGTTTGTTGCAGATGTCATAGATGTTCCACGTCCACGAGAGCCAGTTGTAAATAGCTCGGGTGGGTAGACCCAGGCAACGCAAGCCCATGTCAACGCAAAACACATAACATAGACATATACAAATGCGATAACGGCATTCGAGGCATTGCCGTTTGTGAAATCGAAATTTGTTTTCTTAGTTAGAGAATCATATACCGGGTTTCCTAAGCCAAGTTAGCAAAGCATTTTTGACCCACAGACTATAGACTCCACCTTTAGTCTTCATGATTGTTCCAATCAACATCATCGCAACCCCCATACCAAATCCTCCAATGACCATAGGAGTACGACGACCCCAGGTATCCATCCAGTACATATTCGGCCAAGTGAAAACGTTCAAAACAGCGCCCTGGATACCGTTTGCTAGAAGCGAGCCGCGGGTTGAGCTGATACCAGCCTGTTCGAAGAGGAACACTGCATAGTACATGATTCTGTAGGCCCTTTTGTATGAGCAAGGTTTCTTGGAGATCAGAAGTGGCCTCGCGATAAGACTTACACATTGACACCGGTAACTTGTTGGAAGAATTGCTGGGCAAGAATTAGATAAACTCATCGATATTTGGTTCCAGCACTCACCACTCCAATACCCAACCAGGTCCGACGGCGATCCTTTCCAACCAACATTTGAATGTAAGATGGAGGCGGGTTCTGTCTCTCCCACTGGATTTTTGCCTCAATCTCCGCTAGCTCAGCTTGCACGAAGGGGTCATTGATATCACCATCCGAGTGCATTCTTGCCAAGGCTTCCAATGCTTTTTCGTGTTCGTCGCGCTGCGCAAGCCATCGAGGAGACTCTGGCATGAAATACATGGTCACGTGTAGAGTGACAGTTGGAATCATTTGTAGTCCAATTGCTAGACGCCATGAAGCATCCCCAGATAAAAAGCTTGAGCCGTACTGAATCCAGAATGCGATGAGAATACCGAAGTTGATACAACATTGCTGAAATGAAACAATCCGGCCGCGAATCCTATCCGCCTCGGTTAGTTGGTCTCTATCACGAACTTGCGAGGATCTTACTTAGGGGGGTGCTATTTCGCTTTGATATAGCGGTACCTATAGTCAGAGGATGTTAGCAATCACTGCATCAACGCGGAAGCTATAAGGCTTGAAGGGGTATGTACCATCATGGCCAAACAACCATTTCCTAATCCATTGATCACACGGCCTGCGACGAGAGCAGTAACACCGTTTGCTGCGGTCGCAACAGCCACTCCTATTGTGAATATCAAAGAGCCCAGCAGAATAGTCTTACGACGGCCAAGTCGATCGGCAAGGAAAGCACCTGTCAGAAGCGATCCGGCAAATGAGCCAGCTTGGATGGATGCAGTGATACCACCTTGGAGGAAATTTCCGGGATAGTTCATATAGACCAGGAATTGAGTCATCGTAAGAATTCCACCTGAGTAATGTCAATCGAAAGTACTCAAGTGCTTCCAGTGTGTTCCTAGTATGTGCCGACTCACTCATTGACCCCGTATCCTAGGAACTGTCAGATTCAAGCCATGGTGCAAAACATCAAATTTATGCACTTACATATCCAAATGCGATACCTCCCGTGCATGGTGCAATGCCATACAGGTACGGTTTCTGCCATTATTAGTGATTTGAACCGTTTACATGCTCAAACTCTGTGTGGCTTACCCACGAGCCGCCCATTTTGACTGTTGTGGGGGGGCTATGCAGCTATGCAGGGACGATATGGTTTATTGAACATCCCTGCTGGGAGCTGGCGAGCTTCCATCCATTTATTATCACCACGAGTCAGGCCGGATAATTTCCCCTCACTGTTCAATATTCGAATGATGATCTGTATACAAATCTGGATGCGGGGCCCCGGATATTTCAGCGCTGTTACCCCCACACGCTGCCCAGGGTCTTACCCATGGTAACCCTGGAAGGCGACTCGATGAGATAAGCCATACAAACAGCCTCGAGCCTGAATCTAGTACGACCTATTGGATAGTACATTGTCGGCCTGGGTCGGGATTGTAATTCCAATGGTGATGAACCACTCCGTACAACTGCAAGCAATGATTGGAAAAACCTTGTGCTAACAGCAACGTTCAAGTACTATATGAGACATCTTCCAGTTATCGTTAGGCCTGGATCTCAAGCCTTTCCCCGGAGAAATTTCTCGATCTTCGCTCGCTTATTGGCACATGTGCTGTGACTGATGTTGGATTCGCGGTCTCATGCTCTCATGCGGGTTCGGGTATTTGACAACAACGCGATCGCGTGACAGGAAATGATCGACATAACACGCGAGAACCAATCATATTTTATCCGTCGGGTATTTGCATCGGAGTATTTTTGGGCCACCTCAGAGTGTTAGGTCGACAATAACAAGCATACGTTGACAAGTGGAGTGGAATGGAGAAGATTAAGAAGGAGAAAGATTCCCTTCTGAAACGACTTTCACCGTGAATTGATGGTTCAGAATGATCAGCCAGAGACCTTCAACACCGCTATCACGGATACTTCCACCCCTCATTCTAGGAGGGGCAGGATTCAGCCACCAGGTATTCCGGAATCCGAGCTCTGCACAGGCATTGGAGGTCTTGAAGCGTGCGTTTCAATTTGGAATAAGAGCAATCGATACCTCCGCATACTACCACCCGTCTGAGATACTGCTTGGCGAGGCGCTCTCCCATCCCGAAATTGCCAATTATTATTCTCGTGATGAATATTTTTTGATGACGAAGGCTGGCCGTATCAGCGCGAATGAGTTTGACTATAGTCCATCATGGATACGGCAGTCAGTACTACGATCTCTCCAGCGCCTCAGAACGGACTACTTAGATGTCGTTTTCTGTCATGATGTCGAGTTCGTCCCAGAGGAAGAAGTCATACAAGCCGTTGGTGTCTTGGTAGACATGGTCAACGAGGGCCACATTCGGTATATTGGAATATCTGGTTATCGCATCGATATTCTCACACGTCTGGCCTACCGTGTCCGAAATGAACTTTCCCGACCGCTGGACATTGTACAAAACTGGGCTCAATTGACCCTTCAAAATGAGAAGTTGGCAGAAAGTCTTCCCACCTTTCAGGATGCTGGAGTCTCTTGCGTGTGCAGCTCTAGTCCCTTGGCAATAGGGTTACTTCGCGAGAATGGTGTACCTGTCGGGGATTTGGGTGACTTTCATCCTGCACCACTTGGTTTGCGGCAAGCGTCGCAATCAGCTGCGACATATGTCCGCTCTCAGGGTGAATCCCTCGCTTCATTGGCACTACGATATGCTATTCGTCGGGCACAGACGGAGTCTTCAGCCGACTTCCGAGTTACAACAATCATGGGGATTACTTCTGTTGTTGAACTGGAAGAAAATCTGGAATCGGCTCGGAAGGTCCTCCTGAGTCCAAAGGGAAACGAGTCATCCTGGTCCTGGCTGGCAGATTTGAATTCTTCTGGAAGCTCAGTGTCTACGAACTTTGATCCTGATGAGAGATTGTGTCTTGAGGTACAAAAGATCCTCGGCTTATGGCGAAACTATAGCTTTCCCAGCCCGGGACATAACTGGGATATTGCCAACAAACGCTTAATCAAAGCGAAAATATAACTTGATTCAAGTGTATAGACCATTTGCAATAGACAGAGTGATGATAATCATTATTCGATAAGAGAATTGAATTTAAAATACATTTCGACATTTGAAGACTGACGTTTAGTAAGATATTTTGTGGTTGGTAGACTTGCTGGCGCAAATGTAGCCGGCGCGACGCATTATTTCAGCCTCTCGATAAACATTGTGTATTCATCCCATACCCTCAAGTCTAATCCACCCCAATTTTGAAGTCAAATCGTTTAAAACGGTAACTTCATGTCGGAAGTTTGATTGAAGCTTAACCGCACTCACCATCTCCACTTCCCCACAACATCGTCTCCGCACCCCTTATTCCGGCTCCTGCTTTTTCTCTTTCTCCGCAATATCGCGTCGTCAGATCGACATGTCGCATCGAAACCAGCCTCGAGTCCTACGGGCCTGTGACTCATGCACACATTCAAAACAGCGCTGTGATGGGCAGCAGCCGTGGTAAGTTGTCCCTTGTATGCCAAATAATAATTGCTGTGCTTATCCTGTTCCCCACAGTCAGCGTTGTACAGAGCGTGATGAATATTGTGACTACACAAAGACAGTCCGGAAACGTGGTCGTCGGCCTCGGTCGGATTCTGTTCGCCTCCTACGAAGAGAACAGCGCTCATCTACCAAGAATGGATCATCACAAGCATTAGCCGCCAGTCCTCCAGATACTGTGGTATCAAAAAACACATCGTCGCCCGATAATCAACCTACTATGAGCCCTATAGATTCTAAAGGGTGCATGGCAGATATTTCTGGGACAGTTTTAGCTGATCACCCCACAAGTTCGACCAGTGGCCATGCTTTCAACCCTCCGATATCTCTTCAGCCTGAGGCATTCAGTGGGCTTCCTCAAGATCGTATTGACAACAATCCACTGGAAACAAATCAATTACCAATTTCACCCACTTATGTACGTCAATTTGAATATTTCTTGCCTTCGAGCAGGTTCTAATTCAACGTTTGAAGATTTCACCCGCGCCGACTAGCCCGTTGCGTACATTTCGTGAACGACCATTGGAAAATATTTCCAATATCTCAACCAATTCCCCTATCAAACAAACATATCGCTGCTTGGACTTGGTTATGCCTCACCTCCAGGGAATACTGACATTGCAAGAAGCCTCGGAGATGCTGGGAATATTCTTCACCGAAGATTCCAACCCTCTCTTCAAATCCACATCTCCTTATATGCTGGCGCAGGTCTTACATCCGTCAACACTGCTTCAGGATCCAAAGACCCGCCCTATTTCTCCAGCTTTGATTGCCGCTGTGCTATTCTGTGTTACACAAACTGCCGACATGAGAATATTTGACACCCCGAGTGCTCGAGAGCGGAAGAGCGTGGGACTATACCGCCTATCGCTGGATCTCCTTCAGTCAGAAGATCCAGACAATTATTTTCGTACCTCCGGTAAGTTCAGGGCTCTGCAAACGGAGATTTAGGATCTAATTTATCGACAAGATGGATGGCAATTTCATTCTCATCCTACAAGCAGGTCTCCAAATAACACACATCCCATTCCGGATGGCCAACCTTCCGGGAAAGCTCTTCTACCAAGGCAGCTGGGCTCAACAGATATCATCCTGGCTGTTGCGATTTTAACGTTGGCAATTTCTGGTGGCCATTACAAGGCGGACTCTCTCAAATGGAAAGAAAAATTAATTCGACTAGTACGGGCTAGTGGACTTAGTATGGAGGATCAGGATATTGATCTAGGGCCGGTATTTTGTGGCCTCTACAATGGCGATGATACTTACAGGCGATGGCTCATTTCCAAAGAAGAGAGGCGACGACTTTTCTGGCTAATCTATGCAATGGATCGCCACTTAGGATTATCTTTTAATATGCGCCTCGGTCTCCCAGATAGCACATTCCGTGTTCGCACTCCATTACCGGAGCATATTTGGAAGTCACTTGACACAGCGGATTTGACATACATTCCTACCTGTGCTCTTGGACCACCGACACAAATCTCAGGATGTGGTTTTTTCGAATACTTCCTACCTTTGGCATCGCTTTTAGGGCATATCATCGATTTGCATCATCATCGCAACCACCCAGTCTTAGGCAATTTTGTTCCTCAAAGTGCAGTGCATCAAATTGAAACTATGATCTCTTTGCGAGAGCAGGAGCTCGAAATGTTAATAGAACAAGGCCAGAGAGTCTACTCGGGCGGCTCCACCACTCATGAATTTGCCCAACGTGATGCCGAACCGTCAATGACAGAGACATTTCCATCTCCCAAAGCAGCTACCCTTTCACAGTCCAATGTAAAATTGGTTCATGTATATAGCACTTACCTGCTCCATGTGTTCCACATCCTACTTCATGGGAAATGGGATCCGATCTCAATGATTGAGGACAAGGACGACTGGATCACGTCGGAATCTTTCCTGATATGTGCCTCGCATGCACTAAGTGCCACTGGGGTAATGTCACAGATTCTGTCTCTGGATCCAGAAATGCTGTTTATGCCATATCTATTTGGTATCTATCTTCTCCAAGGCAGCTTTATCTTACTGCTTTTTGTTGATCGCATGCCGGAACTTGGACCCAACCGATCGGTAGAAGAAGTCTGTGAAACCATCATTCGCGCCCATGAAGTGAGTGTTGTTACACTCGATACAACATTTCAGGTGTGGCTGTGATTTCAGTGCTGCAGGAGAAATATATGACTAACTACGCCTTTAGAAAAACTTTCGGAAAGTTTTCCGATCAATGCTCTATGATGCACAGCAGGCCGGTCCTCATTCATGGGATGAACACAAGGCTCGACGGAGAGAGCTTTTGTCTCTTTATCGCTGGACCCCATTGGCTCATGGCCTCGCCTATTGAAGACTGGATTCCTGAACGAAACTCTTTGGATCCACAAGCCAAGCATGAGCGAGTGCAGAGTTGGGTAAAGGAGCCTGGGTTATCAATATGATTACCCTCGATAAGCCTGTTTGAGCTCCTTTCTATACCCGCAGTGGTAATATCGGGAACCCCGGCTCCGCTCCCGTATTACCTCCCTCAAAACCCGAAATTTCGAATCATCCCCACGGGGTGGGCTTCTGAAAGTGTGATCTACCGATGGCTATGACTTCATATTGGGCATTATTGGACTGCAAGGTATCACCGGACTTCTCAACTGACTCCATATTTTCTTTATCCGGGTATATACCCTCGATCCAAGAACTTGGCATGAAACAGATGTAAGCAGAGACGTCGATAGGAAATAAACTCACCGCGTATTGCTCTGCAGCCTTGAATATCTGTCTCGCTGTAACATATTAGATCTTCATTTTCCTTTGACCGTATTGTGCAGTCGATGCACGTGGTCTTTTATCCAATTATGGTCGGTCTGTCTACTACTCTGGCCACAGACGGGGAAAATGCCACCAAATGGACCATAAAATTGAAGTATAATCAGCCCGTTAGGCTCGCACATGAAATCATGACCGTGGTCACTGGTTATAAAATCCCCACTCCTTCACTACTCCGGCATCCTGATGCAACAGCCAAGTCTGTCTTAACACGTCAGATGAAAATCCACAGCTTGGCCTTTTTGGCATTAAAATAAGAGAAAGAGCACATGTCCAGATTAATGACGAAATACCAAGTCAAGACGAGTATGTATGTACAAGAATCTCCCAATCCTTCTCCCACATGTGTTGACCGACTTCCCTATCTTTCACGGTTGATATAGTGGTTGATTAATAGTGCGAACTACCACCTGGGCAGTCCAGCTGCACATGCAATTTCCGAGCTCTTTTACATGAAAGAAGTTGAATTTTAATCTCCATTGATTCTTCGCAACCAAACTATTCAAAAATTTGGATCAATACTTTGTGCATTCAAATGTTGGAATATGCACTGCGAGGTGGATCGACATACCACTTTACTGATTCCGGTAGGCCACTAAGCTCCCCCTCTTGGCGATACTCCAGGCTAGTCATATCACTCCTACGGTTTACGGAGTGACAGCATAGCCGATAGAGGACCCGGGAAGTGGTAAGCCGCAGCCTCAAGCGTATATACGGAATGGTGCCGAGCCGATAGTCATGATAGTGTGCTCCGCAAGGGTCTTGGCACTAACATAATTCCCGGTTGAACGAATCACCCCGTCAAAAATCGCCTTTTTCAACCACCCTACCTAATTCAAACACCTACTATGTCACCAGCTCGCAGTTTTTCGGCCGAAAAAAAGGTCAAGCAAGAGGGCAAGATCTTATTAGTTCTTAGTGATATTCAAAATGGCCGAATCAAATCTATTCGCGCTGCAGCGAAGCTATATGGCGTGTAAGGTGACTTCCATAGCCATCAAGAATCAATAGCCGAGATCGACCACGGACATGTGAATTTATTAATGGGATAAATAGCTTTTCTAGCCAACGAAGGCCAATCTCATCAGTAGTCCAACCATTATTTGAGACCTCAAATCGCCAGTCTTGTGGTAAGCCATCAAACCAGCTTGCTATAGCAACCTTGGCTTTGAAAATCACACATGGTGGAAATAAATAGCCATCTGCACAGATTGATTCAATTACAGTAACCCATTCACGGTTTCCAGGCTGTAAGATAGCTCGCCGACCATAGTATTCTTGCCGAGTAACAACCTTTTGTGCTGAAATAAGGCCCATTGCAAAGCCTGTCTCATTAAAATTATAAATATCCTCTGGTTGGATACCATTCTCATCAATAACACACTGTACGGTGGTAAACCACTCTCGTAGGGACTTAGGGTCTTCGTTTAGGGCACGTTGGTAATCATAACTTCTTGAGAAGCGTGTCCGAAGCTCATCATGACGTTTAACAAAATTTGAAGACCAATTAACACCAACAGTAGGTGGAGGGTAGTGACCACGTGCAGCCAGGAGGATATTAGCCATTTCTCTTATAGTAGATAGCCTAGGCGCTGCACCACGCATATCCATAGAGATCACCCACTCAGTAAGCGAATCCTCTTCTAGCTGAGTCAATTTATGGCTGTTTGGGCGCTTATCAACGCGTGCTTGGGTGCCATTCACGCGATCGGCTAAGGTTGAGCGTGGTATTTCATATAGCTTCGCTGCAGCGCGAATAGAATCAATTCGGCCATTTTGAATATCGTCAAGGGCTAATAAGATCTTGCCCTCTTGATTGGCATTTCTTTTGGCCGAAATATTGCGAATTGGTGGCATGGTGGGTGTTTGAATTAGGTAGGGTGGTATAAAGACGCGATTTTTGGTGGAGTGTCCGACTCGCTTGTGTGTCCGGGTCGCTTGTGGATTACCATATGAGATGCAGCTAGTAAGCGGGGAAAAGAGAAATATGATTGGTTGATATGCAAGTACAGTGGTTCGTGGAGCACAATTGATATCGATCATCCCTTCGATACTGGGAACGATGAATTGATATTCATGCTTGTGGCTTCTTGGAACTTGAACTCAATTCTTGTCTCTCAATGCATGATTCAATCTCTGTTGTCCGATATATGAATATCAGCGACATGACCGTGCCTTCACCTGACACCTGAGTACTCGTTCAGAGGAATTTTAAAGGGGACACATGTCTTGTTGATTTCAGCTGGAAAAAAACAAAATTACAATTATAAGCTACACATTCCGCTCTCTCAAGCTTCTTTAAAATCTCTCCTCGCAAAAAATGCGCTTTCAGCCATTGGCTATAGGCCTCCTAGCCTCCGCCTCTCTGAGTCCCGTCCTAGGATGTCCGTACTTGGAAGCTCAAGCTGCCAATGCTGCCAATGCTGAACAGGCTAGAGATATTCCCGACAGTCACCCAACTGTGCGTGTGAGTGCACGTAGTGACAAGGCGTCGGGTGACAAGAAAGGTGTTTTCTTTCACAACAGAATTGCACCCGTAACCCAGCACTTGTATATCGCAAATTCAGATGCCACTGATGAGCGTCTTCTACTGGGTAATCTGAGCTCCCACATCGATTATCATGCCTCCTTTTCTCCTGATGGTGAATGGATTGTCTTCACAAGTGAACATAATGGCGATGGAAATGCTGATCTTTATCGGATTCGTCCCAATGGTACCGACCTCGAGGAGCTTATAGTTACACCATCCATTGAAGATTCTGGTGTCATCTCTCCTGATGGTAAGCTGCTTGCCTATGTATTCTCGGCTAATGGCCACAAAGCTAATATCTGGGTCATGAACTTGGAGACCAAGGAGCAATGGAACTTGACCGATACAACCGAGACCAAGAGTGACTCGAACAGCCCCTCTGGAAATTTTGTAAGTGTTTCTCAACATAAGGAAAAACGTATCTTGGCTGACTAAAAGATTGTTTAGATGTCTTTGTGGTCTCCGGATGGAGAATGGATCGCATTTTTCAAGTGATCGCAATACAAACTGGTATCTTGGTAACGCAACAGGCTGGGAACACATACAAGAGACTTCTATCTATGCTATCCGACCTAATGGCAGCGACTTCCTCACCGTTGCCAATAGGACTGGTTATGCTCTTGGATCTCCCAAGTGGTCCTATGATGGCAGTCGTATTGTCTACTATGAGATGACACGACAGAATACTTGATACGTGCACCAGCCAACTATCTCTGGAAGCAGTGACATCGTATCGGTTTATTTTGCTACGGGTAAAGACCGTCAGGTTCATGCCTCAGTGAGTGGCTACGCAATCAATCCACCCTATGTGAGCAGTGATGGCAACATCGGCTATCTTGTCAAGTCGGGCTCATATGAGGGTATCAACTATACAACCTATGATAGTGGTCATCAGTGGTTGGGCAAGACAACTGATAATTCCCCGTCCCTTCGTCAACCATCCTGAAATGCTGATGGCACACAAGTAGTGTTCCAGAAAGATGATGTAAGTTAACTTGTCCCTACTCCAAGAATTCAAACTGACCCGAATTTTCTTTAGTGGCACATCCGTCAAGACGGGAAATCCCTTTACAGCTGGGACGATGACTGGGAGTACCGCTTCATGGATATGATGCCACAGCTGAACAACGCGACCGGTATGTTGACCCTGTCGCAAAAGCAGAATGGGAATACAGCCATCGTCAAGCAAAAGCCGGACGGTTCAGACTACTCGGTAGTCTTCGATCCCTATGAAGACGGCCAAGTTAATGCGTATGGCATTGCAACTGGTAATGCGGGACTCCAGCAGCCTTCTTGGTCTGGTGATGGTGAATGGCTCACCTTTAGTACCGGATGGTGGTTCCAGAATCGCACCACTGATCAGGGATGGGTATACCGGGTACGTGGCAACGGATCCAACTATGAGAAACTTACAGGTGATATCGCCGAGGAGCTTAATGCCGGCTTCTCATCCTTCTCTCCCAATGACAAGAAGATCGTTTACCGAATCATGGGCCCAGTACGACGAGGTCTCCGGGTCCTTGATCTAGAGACGCGTACTCTTCACAATCTCACTGATAAGTGGGACAACATGCCTGGTTGGAGCCCCGATGGAGAGAAGATTGTCTTCACTCGCCGTAACAACTGGACTGAAGCTGTCGACGAAATTACACCATACGATCCCTATGACGTTTGGACTATCCGTCCGAATGGTACCGATGTTACCAGATTGACCACGGCGTTAGGCAATGATGGACATGCCGTTTGGTCTAACGATGGAAAAATTCTTTTCAGCACTTCCCGCTATGGTTTTAGAGGCGAGTCAGCCAACTATGATAACACCTTCCAGCCATATGGTTGCTATGGTCATGGAAAGTGATGGATCTGGGCGACGGCCCATGACGGATAGCTTGTGGGAGGATGCCATGGCTCAATTCGTATTCAATAAGTTTCTAGACTGACGGTCGGAACTTTGAAATCAGTGCTCAAAATTCAAGTTTGAAGGCTTTCAAGTGCTGAACTTGAGTGTCACTGGCAGGGCTGCCAGTGGAAGTTTAGAGAAGTTACATATGCATGTTGATGAAAATATTTGATGAGATATAGATCCAACCAATAGATCTTGCAGTCAACTGGTGTGCTTCTTAAACTTCAAAATAATCACTTGACTACGTGTAAATAAAAAAAAAATTTGAACTCTCAAGTGCTCATGATTATGATCTCTTGCATACGGTCTGACTCCGACCTCGGGAGTCTGGGCGGTAATTCATCAGTTTAATCCATCAGCGTTCTTGACATGCTTGCTTTCATTTTTTTTTCAGCGATTTAAAACATTTCAACAACCAGCCAGGCTGAAATGGATGCAACATACGGAGTAATGTCTGCAGGCATGTCTGTCGGATTATCTGTAATGCCGATACGAGGTGCATATCGCTGGCGCGTTGACAACCACGCTCCAGATGTCCCTGCACAGGGTGCAAATACATCTCCACAGGGATAGAGAAATGGTATTATCATGACGGACTACCAACTCAGTGATCCCTTGCGGCCGACCCCGGAGCGATCGTTTCATATTTCAACTCACTCTTGGTCGACGTGGCGCGCCTTACTTTCCCCCTTTCAGACACATCACTTACCGCGCGCTTGCTGGGACATCAAGGGTATTTTGAATCGAACACCGGAAATACCACAATCAGCCGACGTCCTTGAGAATACCGATAAGAATTTACTACACTTGGAGGGGTCTTCGATGTGGAACATCTCTTCAGATAAAAACCAGGAATGCCATCTTGACCCAATCAAGCAAACATTACCACGGAGGATTTACATTGGACAATCTTCGTCGAGGAGTTGTAATTTGTCAAATCCATATTTCAACAAACATCCTGATTTCGACCAAGAGCTTGAATTGATTGGGAATTATGTTTCAATTTTTGTTCTCGGTTGGTCGTATGTTCTTTCAGTCCGATTGATAGAACTACGCCGAGCAAACCCCGCAGACAAAGTAGTCTACACCGAGAACATGGCGGATTTGAAATAGCCAATCCGGATATAAGTGATGACTATCGGATGTTAGAGCTGGTTTCCGACCAGTTGTTAGGAGGTGTGCCTTTGGAACAGCTACAGGAAAGAACACGTATGGGGGGAAGCGCGCGGAGGGGAAGTCTGCCCCGACACGTCGAGAGCTATCTACCTAGCCACCTTGGTCTGAACTATACAGACCACGTGATCTAACACCAGTTTCCCGAGGTGAGGTGGTGGGCAGCAATTCTCGCAAATGGGCCTGGTTGGCAAGGGTCTCTTTGTCGAGATGGGACAAATTACTTTTCACCATGGGAAATTAATTTGAATGATGACTCTTTTACCATATATCATCAGGCGAAATCCCTCCCTCGAATTCTGCAATCGAGCCCCCATCATCGGCAGAGGCACTAAGATATCTCTTTAACCTAGCACAACAACTTGATGCATTTGATCAAATGATCTGTGGTCTTGCCGCTGCTCTTACACTGCGTTCAGATAATCGATTCGGTGCGCCAATCACTCTACCTCGATTCGTTAATCGACAACGCCCCAGGCAGCATACAGAGCTTCATATTGCGGACTTTGTACCGGAGTTCAACGAGCTTTCTCATTTAATGTTCTTTTCATGCACATCGGTTATGATTGGTTCATGTCTACTTGGTGGACTGTGGGAGCCAGGTATAACTTGCAACCTAACTAGTCAGTGGATAAATGGTGCTACACAGCAGATAATTCCACTTCTGATGGAATCAAAACAAGCTCGCCCTGTTATATTGGCTATATCCGAACGACGATCTCACTTGGCTTCACTGTGGCTAGGTGCTGCGGTTACGGGTCTTCTTCCACAAATATTCCAAGTATCCAAGTCTTGCATTTCGACGAACTATCCAGAAGCTGCCTCATGGTCTACCACGCCCCAATCATTCATGGACCCTTCCCCTCTGGTCATATCACTCATCAAATGAATACCAGGGTATAATATCCCGAGAAGATGAGTTTCGTCTCTTATTCTGGACTGATACTACATCGCGTACGTATGGGAATTTCCCACTGTCCCCAAATCCTCCTGCTGGCCACGTGAATCTCGAGGATACTGCCATTGAAGTCAGGTTGCATTATGGATGTAGCCATAGGGTCAAATTCCGTTGCTGGAAATGGAGATGTCGAGATGAAAAGAGAGTGACCGACTCGGGATTCCAATACCGTCCAGACTTACCTTCCAATCTGTTCAATTCGTTTCCACCGCCATTCTTGGTTTTAGCAGGGCTATTTGTTTCAAAAATGACCAAAGAATCGTTACGGACTATCGTCCCGACGCAATTGGTATGTCGCACGGCCTTGATATTCACCTCTATCTGCGGATCTGTTCTAAATTTTGTTATTGTACGTATAGAGAAGCGCCAGCCTCGTTTTTCCGAGTTGCTTAGCCATACTCTGCCTTTCTCCAAGGATTATGAGAATTGCTGCGTACAAAACAGTTCTGACTGCTTGCGCTTGGATGAGAAAGGCTTGGAATATTACTTTCTCGGCCCTCACGCAGAGGAATCATTCATACGATATGGAAGATGAGTCCAATGAACATCATTCAAAGCTTGCTACACGAGGCTTGTTCTCTTGGATATTGTTCACAGAAGGTACTCGAAAGGGTGAAAAATCAATATGGAATCATGAATGGCTACAGATTTTCCTCAAGAAAGATCTGTTTCCAGAACCAAATGAATCCAACTCCTCTGGTTCGGAAGCTCACGAATCTCATCAAAGACTGGAGTACATTCAGAAATGGCAAGAAGGCATCTCTCCAGAGACTACTTCAGATAGCGAATAGGAGGTCCCATGTGTTTCCACTACTGTGAGTGATAAAATTCCCAGCCAATTAAATTGGCATAATTTTTACTCACTTCATCGCAGATCTTCAAATTTTGATTTTGTTTCATTTTTCTGTGATCACTTTGACAGTTCAAGTTGCCGTGCAGAAATCGCAGGCGTAAATCTCGGACCAGCGCCGAACCTTGGATGTGGCCGAGGACTGGGCCTGAATCGCCCCCAATATAGATTCGGCATTGGAAAATTCTAAATTCTACGCGCCCCACTACTTTCTTCTACTTGCTGCAGAAAAGCGAGCTTATTTGTTTCTGGAAACCGCTTACAATATGTTCCAAGGTTATTTGAGTAGTCACAAATGCCATATGGCATGTCCATCAATTGCCATGTGCAATAACTGTCACAGACCCACAATGCAAACTCAGAATCAAAGCCAAGACTGTGAAACAGACAAATTTTGGAGATGACTCGGCGAATCTTACTGGCAATTAGCAACAGAAACCCATCAAATCACCTCAAGCGCCTTGGCGTTCCATCAACCAAGACGCAGTTCTCAACTGCAAGCACGCCATTTCTGTGTATTTTCGTTATGTAAAAATTTCTTGGTCTTCGAGACCTTCTTCTTTCTTTTCTTCTTGTGACTCTTCAAGACTTGCTTGATTGTAATTTGGGTATAGAACTATCGCGGACTGTCGTGGTTCAAATCCACTCCGAAATGGCGTCCATAAGTTCGAACACAGAGGTGGAATCTCAGAATGAGACACACGCGACCGAGCACGTGGACAATGGAGCGAGATCTCTCTCTATAAGATCGATCTATCGATCTATCCCGTTCCAGATCGCTATTGCTAGCGGTGTCTCTTTCACTGCGCCAGGCATGTGGGATGCCATGAACAATCTTGGAGCTGGTGGTGCAGCAGAACCCTATGCAGTTTCTGCAGCAAATGCCCTGGTTTACGGACTTTTCGCTATTGTCTGTGTTATGGCGGGAGCTATCAACAACCGTATTGGACTTCGTTATGGATTGGTTATTGGAGCAATCGGATACCCGATTTACGGTGCTGGTCTTTACACAAACAACTACTCACCGACCACATGGTTCATGCTTTTCGGTAGTGCATTGTGCGGTATCTCTGCTGGTTTCTTCTGGGCTGCTGAGGCTGCGATTATCATCGGATACCCAAGCCCTAAGGATCGCGCTTTCTACCTTGGTAAGTGGCTACACAACTCCGATTTTTTACAAAATACACATGCTGATTCTGTTGCTATGAATAGCTATCTGGCAGACTGCAAAGGCTTCTGGTCCTATCATTGGTGGTGCAATTAGTCTGGGCCTCAACGCCCAAAAGTCCTCGGCCGGAACCATCAGTGCAGGAACATACATTGTCTTTATTGTCATTATGTGTCTTGGACTTCCCATTGCGCTTTGTCTGAGTCCAGCAGAGAAGGTGCTACGCAAGGACAGAACATTGGTGCTCGTACACAAGCAGGCTACTTGGACAGCGGAGTTCAAGGCAGCCTTCAAGCTGATCGCCACTCGTCGAGTCCTTCTGTTGCTTCCCGCATTCTTCATCAGTTACTTCTACAACGGTTTCCAGAGCACTTTCTTGACCGACTACTTCACCGTTCGGTCGCGTGCTTTCTCCTCATTCTTCACCAACTTCGCCGGCATTGCCTCCTCTTTTTTAATCGCCACCCTTCTCGACCGACAATCGATCCACATCAAGACTCGAGCCAAGATCGCATTCTCCGCCATTGTGATTATACTCTCGGGTACTTGGATCTGGGCTTGCATTCTGCAGAATCAATTCTACAACGCGCCGACCGCACCTGTCTTTGACTGGTTCACAGGTGGATTCGGCAAGTCCTATGCTCTAGTCTTCTTCTGGAATTTCGGAGGCCAGGCTTTCCAGCAATATCTTTACTGGCTCATTGGTCAGTACAGTACCGATATCTCGTCACTCTCATACCACTGCGGTATTCTGAGAGGATTCGAGGCCCTCGGCCAAACCGTTGCTTGGGCGTAAGTTTTCTCCTCTCTTTACTCAAACATAGAAACATTTTTAACGTATCACAGCATGCAATCTGAGGGTAATGCCAACCACTTTGTTAGCATTGGTCTCAACTTTGGTATTACAATCTTGTGTGTTGTTCCCACCTGGATTGTTCTCTCCGAACTCGAACACAGCCACGAAGTGCAAGTCACCGTGGACGACGTGCCTGCGAAGGTACATGATGACGATACCCAAGCTTAATAAATAGGTGAATATTCAACAGCATTCACCATGTATGATGAACTTATAGACAAAACAATATAATTAATTTCAACAATTCTAATCACTTTCCCACATTTGTATATTTTTCAAATTATAAAATAGCATATTGGAGCAATCCATGCGACTTAACTCGTATCAGATCAAAACATCCATAGAAAATCTCTGTAGTATGAGTAGATGAGTGTCTGGAGGAATCGAGGTCAAGAGCCTGAGCGTGATTGTGCAGCCTGAAGTATCAGGCGACAAGTAATCACCCGCATCAAAAATCCTCAAATTTCGCTTATGAACAATTTTTGCCTTGCGTTTGAAATTCCACATATCCAGCGCAGGTCGCTTCAAAACTTTAGGAGAGATCCAGATCTTCTAAAAAATAAATAAATCAAAATGGAAGAACTCCCAATCGAACCCAAAGGCATACTTTGGCGAAATGATTTCATCGACGCCGAGCACGAAGCACGGCTTATCTCAATTTTCCTCAACGAGTTAGAATGGCCCGATCGGCCAGGGCGTATATCACTGCATTATGGCTACACATTCGACTACAAGACATTCGGGCTAGACCCAGACATTCCCTATAAGGAATTTCCCGACTGGCTAAAGCCACTTATTCCAACCACAGAGTCCCGCCCTCCAGAGCAGGTCTGTTTACAATATTACCCGCCTGGCTCGGGGATTCCCCCACATACCGATGCGCATATGGCCTATGATCAGCTCTATGCGTTGTCGCTGGGTGCGCCGACTATTATGCAGTTTCGAAAGGGGGAACGTCGTGTGGATGTTGATCTGGAGCCACGGAGTATGATGCAGATGACTGGGGATTCGCGGTTGCATTGGACTCATACTATTACGAAACGCAAGACCGATACCTTAAAGGATGGTACTGTCAGATTGAGGGAGAAACGGTGGAGTATTACGTACCGATGGGCGAGACTCGAGGGGGAATGTGAATGTGGGAATGTTGATTTGTGTGATGTTGCTCAGCGACGACTTGGTGTTGAGAAGGAGAAACGTTCCGTGAAAAAGTTAGCGGAAAGTTCTGTTGAAGAAACTAGCTCGTCGTGAGGTTTCAAGTTGAATGGAGGATGTGGTGGACTCTTTGGACGATTTTTATGAATGTACATTATGCATAGCATGAGTTAAATGCCAGGTGGGGTTGTCCAGTTGTATCGTCTGGTAACCCGAGGGTCCTTTTTGAATTCAAGTGCATAATATCAACGGTGCCGGCTGTTGAAGGTTGCAGCCATTCATATGTACAGCAACTTGAATTTCCAAGGTGGATTTTCAATGTTCGGCCCTTCTGCCTTTTCCGTTCCAACATTGACGTGCCTACACCTGGTTTATGTTATGACTTCGGGTGTCTGTACTACTGGACCTCGCTGCCGGCGGTGAAGTCTTATCGTTCTTTGACTTGTTTCCCTGTGCCTTTGGATCACTGTGTTCAGATTTGTTTTGTCTTGACAAAGCCTTGTCGGTCCCCTCTCGCATCGCGGTAAATTCGAAAAACGTAGTTGCAGTCTTGGGTGGTTCTGAGTGTCCGAATAGGATATACCGAGGTACAAGAAACTTCGAGTAATTCTGATGATGGAATTGAAATTTGACAGTGATTCTCCTCTCATCTTCGTCGCGGGCCTTGACCGGATGCCACGATTCACTTAAGCTGGTCGGAGCTGTAATCAAAATCCTTTGGCGGAAGTGAGAAGATCGCCCTATAATCATTTGGTCCAAAATGGGGGGGGCTCTTCTTGGAGGAGGCGGAGGAGTGTGAGAGTCATCCTCCAGATTTTGTGGATTCATCGTCACAAATAGGATAACTTGAAGATCAAAATATACTCGGGATACACACACGCATGATCACGTGTGAGATCACCAGTTGGTCATATCCACAGGTGTCTATACAGAAACACTTTTGGTTAGTTACATTACTTTCGAGCTTTCTTCCATGATCCTTGTACTGAGGAGCTTTGTCAGAACAATCAAAGCAATATTGTGTAACAAGTGAGCAGCTTGAGCAACTCACATTCCCGAGATGAATCGATCCTATTCGTGAAATCAGGGCCGGGAAAGGGTTTAGTCCCGACCCACAGGCTACTCGATGGACTAAAATGTGGGGATATCCAGGGCTGCTCCGTAGCCCCGAACTCATTCCAGCTTCTGAACCATCTGGAATACTGGTACGGAGTACAACTCTGCAAATCTACTCCGCCCGAGTCCGTCTGGCCACGGTGGAATCTTCGTCCGAGGGATTTTGATACGCCTATCTTGCGGGATAAAATATCCTACTTGTCCTAGAAAAGAGGGGATGCGACCTCGGGACGCCACAAACCACTTTCAAAGCTATGGATTCTTCACAATCTTTACCCCACCTCAAACCTCAAAGATTGTGTAGGTTTTTATTGCAAGTCAATTTTAACATTACATCTCTCTTCAGAGTGAATAGCAGATGAAAAGATGTTTCGCAAGGTACCTCTCAATTGGGAATACCATACGAATCCGATCCTGGGAGTTCGGTGATCGATTATCGTCCAAGTGAACCGGAGTAGCCGACCTGCATATGACCTGCATTTCATCGTTTTCAACCGAGTACCTTTGCTCTGACCGGCACGATCTAATGCAGGTTTCAATCCTACAGTCTCATAGATATTCAATTCTGACGATCTTTGGTCACGAATTGAAATTTTCTCATAGTCCTGGATTCAAGTTATTCGGTCAGTCATACTCTTTTTGGAAAGATATGCAACTTCCAAGGTTGAATCAGGATGATCCCGCAAGCTTAGCAACATCTTGGCGCTTTTCGTCATTCTTGGCATTCGAGTCGCTGCAATTTCCGAGTGCACGCTATTCGATGCGAAAGGGGCAGACCAATGATATCTCTCAATTAGATTGTGAAATTGTCCGTGTTGGACGCTGTTCCGGCCCGTCGGAGATACGATGCAAGGTCCTGCAAGGCTTGCAGAATCTATCTTCTAGCACGGATCTGCTCGGTGAACAAAGCCCGCATATCAATTCCTCTGAACTTCATCCATGTCACTTGGGATGTACGTTGAACTTCAATAGTGGTCTTTTAGCAATTTTGAATTTGAAACGCCCAGCTCGTGGCAAGGATCAGATTAATCACGCTCTCTGCTTGGGCCCTGCAAAATTGCACCCCAGTGGGGTTGGGGGAGGGGATCAGCACTTTATGTGGGGAACATCAAGCGGGGTGTAGGAAGTCCGCGTCACCAGAATTGGATGGAATATCATTGATTCATTGAAGCAATTATCGCCGACTCGGAGATATGGAATTGGCAAGTATAAAAGGTGGCAGGGAAGGGATATTGGGGACTCACAATTCTTCAGGACTGTTACAGCATCGCATCAATGGCAATGAGAACTTTACTTCTCGGCCTGGCCGTGGTCAGTGCAGTACAGGGCAATGTGATAGGCACCCGAACAAAGGTCGGAAGCCGATCAGGCTCTGCTGTAGCATCTGCAGAATCGCCGACAGTGTATATCGACACATACACAAGCACTGTTCAAGGCAACAGGTCAGAGTACATCAACTCCGTGTACAATTTCAAGGCCATTCCATTTGCTTCAGCTCCAACGGGTGAGTATCGCTGGCGCCACCCACAGCATGTCTCTGGTTGGACAGGAATCCGAGATGCCACCAAGTTTGCACCATCCTGCCCACAGTCCGGATCAACCGATTACAGTGAGGACTGCTTGTACCTGAACATCTGGACTCCAGACACTATCAAACTCAACAACGTGGTGAATAACACCGAAACCGGCATCGGTGTTGTCCCGGCCAATGTCTCTGAGGCATTGCCTGTTTATGTCTTCTTCTATGGCGGACGTTTTGCGAGTGGTTCTGCATCTCAGTCGACATTTGATGGTGCTGGTCTCGCTGCCAAGGGCGTGGTTGTTGTGACTGTCAACTACCGTCTTGGAGCACTGGGCTTCTTGTCGCATCCCGAGTTGAGTGCCACTTCAGGAACCAACTCCTCTGGCAACTATGGATTGGTGGATCAAGAGGCTGCCTTGCACTGGACAAATGAGAACATTGCTTCTTTTGGTGGTGATTACTCACGCATCACCATCGGTGGGCAATCAGCAGGTGCTGCCTCGGCGCTTGACCACCTCAACAATAACCTAGCATCTGGTCTTTTCGAGCAAGTCATCGCTGAGAGTGGTGCAACATATCCCTCCAACCCACTCATTGGTAGCCTTGCGGAGAGCTACCGTGAACTGAGTGTGGCTGAGGAGCAAGGTGTATCATACCTCTCTAGTATCGGCCTCAACAATATTACCGAAGCCCGTGCCGCTTCTGTCGAGCTCTTCTTGGACAGTGGCAACTTGAACGACGAAACTTTCAAAGACACTGTCTTTGCCAACAACTCGGCATACATCGAGCCTCCCCTCTTCAGACCCGTGCTGGACGGATATGTCCTTCCTGCAACTTACCAGGAGATGCTGACCCGCGGAAACCACACCATTGCGCCCGTTTTGACTGGTGGAAATCTGGACGAAAACGGCGCCACTCCTAGCCCCGGCTTCACTGTGGCCAGCTACAAGGCACAGAGCGCGTATGAGTTTGGCAGCGTGGGCTTGGAGGAGGATTACTTCAAGCTGTGGCCTGCCGGCAGCAGTAACGAAAGTGCCGACAACGCCATCAATACATTTTATCAGGACCAGACAAAGGTTTCCATCTGGCGTTGGGCAAGCGAGTACCTAGCCGGTTCTAAGCTTAACGTTTCTATCACTGGAAGCGACGATACATACCAGACTTACACCTACTACTGGACTCATGCTCCTCCCGGTCAAGATAAGGGCGCTTACCATGGCAGTGAGCTTAACTATGCGTTCAACAACTTATATGCCACAGACCTTCCATGGACCTCAGAGGATTACGAGATTGCCGACAAGCTTTCCAGCTACTGGGTGAACTTTATCAGTACTGGTAATCCCAATGGGAAGGGTTTGGCTCACTGGCCTGAGGCTACCGCTGAGATTCCGGTCATCATGGAGGTTGGTGACGCTTGGGAGACTATCGAGGTCGCCAGCGAGGCGAAGATCTCATTCATTGAGAAATGGTTCTCAAAGTGGACTGTCTATTAGTTTTCAATGTACATAAATTACATGAGCTTTTTAGTTAGAATCAATCGGTTTTGATTGCCAATCTACTAAAAGAAATCTTCCATGATGCAATCTTACTCGATATTCGAGTTTTCTCTCACACGTCCATGTTTCGATTTTTATTGTTTTTTATTTGATCGCGTATTAGATCAGAGTAATTCCAAAATCAGACGTATCACATGCCTAAAGCATCATGGATAGAGATGTGGGTTTCTGCCTTATCGTGAGTAGTATCCCTTGTCACCTCCCCACTGATTAGCCGAACATTGCGCACACAAAACATACAGATCCTGAACTTTGGCTAGGCCAGTTATTACTCGTGTAGACTCAGTTGGATAGCTCGGCATGCTTGATTTTGAATATGGATAGACGGTATATGAAAGTGCCTTGATGATGAATGAAGTGGAGAGATGGCCAAAGAAGGGGTCCGGAACCCGTTCAGGTCAGCTCAAAGGTCGGTGTACTTGATCAAATCCCGAACCCAGAACCCAGAAGCAAAAAGTTGAAAACAGTAAATTTACTAACTCCAGAGCTCGAGCGGCTAATCTCCGGTCGTTTTCTCACTCGAAAACCCGTAAAGCGCTCAAACTTTTGTCTCGAAAGCGAGCAAATGAGGTGACACAAAAAGCCAGCAAAACTGAAGCCGTGAAATTAGGTATGCCTCCTACATATGTACTCTCTACAGTTAAAATTCCCAGAGTAGTGAAAGCTGATACTTATTTCAAAGCTTGGAGCCTTGGAAGGCTACCACAGATATCATAATGTAGCTCTCATGTATGGTGTTAGTCACCGTCCTTCAATATTGAATAATAGGTATCATAATCCAATTTATTGTTTTGATCTGAAGTTCTGCCTATACTTCTTTCAGATGACCTGTTTACAAGTAGATTGACTTTACATCTCTGCTCTATCAAATTTTACGGACAAACAGCACTTAAGAGATTAAAGCCGGCGTCGATCCCTGAAGTGTTAGTTTGATGGCACGCCTGAGTCTCCGCATTGCTCGATTTGGCTGAATAAATCGAGGTGCCTGGTCCTGTGCTTCACTTGTTTCTCTCAAACTCATGAACATGTGTGTAGTAGGGGGCCTGATTTTCGTCCCTTCTCCAAAAAATAGCACTATGCATACTCCGTAGAGAGATCTGACCTCGGCTCCTATAGTTATCACTCACGGAACCACTCGGAAGGAAAACTTGGCATACTAGGATTTGAAATCAATTCTAGGATGACTTTTGGACGCCTGATTCATGTTTTCGTGGCTCGAGCTATGTAGAGATAAACCACGTGGGCATTAATTACCACATGCAGACTGTTGAAGTAACACTGCATATGAAATAACTTGGCACGATAGATATAAAAGGTGCATTGAGAAATGGCCCATCTGCAGGTCCAATTTTATGTGATCATTTGTTAAGAAGTTCGAAGGCTTCAGTCATATTATTTTAAACCCACCTGAATCGGATAGAAATTAGAAGATGTCCCTACACATACTCGAGCAAGAAGAAACAGAAATGGTCTACGACCGGTTTGAGCCCATCGACTTGCCAATTAACAAGTCGAATCAGGTGGCTCCTCGCAATTTAGAGCACGCTGATCATACTCCGAGATTTGTCAAAACGACTGCCCGAAAGATTGATTGGAGGACATTGGGGTGTTCATTTGAGGTCAGTCGGTTCTTTGGAAACAAATGATCACTGTCTGAAGCTTTAATTGCTAAATAGCAGCAGCTTCCCATCCTTATGATTCCTGAAGTTCTTCTGAGAAAGACAGGTTCACCTTTCACCAACTATTTTGCGAAACACCTTAGCTGGAAAAAACAAGCGCTGCCATGGATATCGGACGAAAAGATCGAACGCCTAGCCCGCGACGACCTTAAGGCCATGCAACTAGGCTTCCCGGCGCTGGATGATGAAGCTTGTGCTCTAGGACTGGCCGCTTGTTTAACAATTGTGTGTTATGTGGATAGTATCATCGAGGAATTGGAGCCAGAATTGGCGGAGCAGTGCATCCAGAGCTGCTTGGCCATCCTGGACGGTGCTGATTTAGATGAGCAAATTGGTGAGCTCTGTTTCGATAAATTTAGCAGGGCAGGTATAAATTACTCTTCTAACAAACCTTTCTAAGTGAATAATCCTGGCAGTCCCCTTGAACAGGCCGCGACCATATGCTTCGCCTTCTATAGACATATCATCGATATTTTTCGTCCCATGACGGCAAAGACTGTTCTTTTCGATATGAAGGATATGATCGCAGGTCAAGTCCCGGAATTACACTTCAAACAAGGAGAGCTGAACATCAACTCCTATGAGGACTATCTCAGCATTCGGAACAGGACCTTCGGTCTATTGCCTCTGCTCACCATTGCAGAGCACTATCACCTAGCTAAAGACGGCTTGGCAGTTGCATCACCGGATATCGCTTTGCTGAAAAACCAGATCAGTATCATGTGCGTTGGTCAAAATGATGTTGGTGGGTTGGAGAAAGACATTGAACTTTCAAACACATCCAACTCCATCCTGGTATTGGCGATGTTGGCCGGTCGCAAAATCAAGAGGAACGATGACGTGCTGGAGTTTGAGGATATACTTCGCTTATTTGAAGGAAAGAATCATATTTTCGTCAATGACGTGATTGAGACTTGGAGCAGAATTCGTATTTCCTCGAAAGTGGAGACAGAACATCGGTTAAGCGATATGCTCATCACGCTGTCTATCACACACCTGGAGTGGGTTCTTACGAGTTCAAGATATGATATTGAGTCTGTATTGGAAGGAGATTGTGTTGGGAGTTAGATTACTAGTTCGTCTTCCTGGAATTTCAAGTTCCATGGCAACCCTTTGAATCATTCTCAAATTTCCTTTCTCATGATCGTGTTTCTTTCCTGTGAGGACAATGCCTTTTGATGCGACCGGGATAAATCAGCTCAAAATATAATATTCCTGCAATTCAAAAGCATTACTGCTAGGGAACATGGAAGAAGATAGTAGGAGCATTGGGAGAGAAGAAGGGAAAGAGAAGGCGCCAGCGAGGTGAGAGATACTCCTCAGGGCTTCGGGGTCAGATGACTATCCGATCTCACAATTGTTGGAATTTTTCATGAGTCCAATCCACTTGGATTTCCTGAGCACATGCTTACGGAAATGTCGTTCATTTTGGGAGCTCGAGACGAGCCTGAGCGTGGGTCCGTTCAAGTTGATATTAACAGGGGTTCGTATGAAACAGGGGCCACTAGTAGCCCACCAGCCAGGGGTTGTAGACCCACAACGTTCACGGCACATATATGATGAACCAGGTACCCTGTAACCATCATCAAAACTTAAATAGACACCATGACTTATTTCAATCATAATGAAAGAATCTCCAATGACATCTTGATCTTTTCTCACTCTTGTTGTCTTTTTGAATCGCGTTCCTTGATCTTATTGGTGCACTTAGAATATGCCTGTATCCCACGATGTATTTGGTTATGATCAGCATAAGCGCCGACCCTCCGTGCCGCTTGAGGCATAATAGCGATGATTTCGGCGCCACTTGAAACGACGTAGGTGAATTTCCCATGAATAGGTTTCGGAGCTTGGGTCTACCAAGACACTACCGTCCGGCAAAACACTGCCGTGAAGTTTTGATTCTAGGGAAATTAGCGTCCTTGCATGAGTAGCGCTGACATATTAAGGATCGGATTATTCCCCAGTAGGTAACGGTTGTTACCTTTTTGGACGTCTGCCGAAACTCCACAGCTAGGAACAGAGCATAAAATGCGAGTTCTTCGCCCGTTTCAGCGAGCTTGAGCTCAAGCCTTCAAGTTCAAGCTGCAATTTGGTCTGTGACGTGAATTTCTAGCACCATGCAACTGAAAGACCTTCTTCTCGGCCTAGGCTTTGTTTCCAGTGCCTGGGCACAGCTCGCAGATACCTCTGACTACCCCATCGGTCCACTGACTACTTCGGATGAAAAATGGGCGGTCAAAGTCTGTGATATTACCGACTATGGTGCTGTGGCAGATGGAGAGACTGATGCTTCAACCGCTATTGTGGATGCATTCAATGCTTGCTCCTCCGGTGGTGTGGTAAATATCCCATTGGGCACCTTTGCCTTGGAAAACTGGGTCACATTGAGTGGTGGTACTGCCTGGGCTATCAACTTGGAAGGAATCATTGTTCGCACTGGAACTGCTGGCGGCAATATGATTTATATCGAGCACAGTACTGATTTCGAAATTTATTCATCCCGTGGTGAAGGTGCTGTTCAGGGGTATGGCTATGTATTCCACGAGGAAGGGGAGTACGGGCCTCGTATCCTTCGTCTCTATGATGGTGAGAAATACAATATCTTCCTTCAATGCTGATTGATAAATTTGAGTTTGATTTAACTTTTTCACCGGCAGTGACCAGCTTTTCCATCCATGACATTGCACTTGTCGACTCTCCCGCCTTCCACCTAACGCTTGACACTTGCAACCAGGGTGAGGTTTATAACATGATCATCAGAGGAGGAAACGAGGGAGGGCTCGATGGAATAGATCTCTGGGGCTTTCAGCTGCACGTATTCGATGTAAAAATTTGGCCTATTCTAACGTTATCCTAAAGGCTTGTACTAATTTTGGTTGCATAGGTCGAGGTAACAAACAAGGACGAGTGTGTCACTGTGAAGAGTCCGGCGAACCATATCCTTGTTGAGAACATCTATTGTAATTGGTCTGGCGGTTGTGCAATGGGCTCTCTGGGTGTCGATACTGGTAAGTATAAAAAATCCAACCACTTGAATGAAGCAACCCTAACGATGGCCAGATATCACCAAGGTTGTGTACAGCAACATATACACGGTTAACTCAAACCAAATGTTCATGTTCAAGTATGTCTCGTCCCTCTTTTGTTATTTTCTTCGCTTGGTATACAGCAAAACTTACTGTTTTTAGGAGCAACGGTGGTAACGGTTCGGGTAAGAGGACTCATGTATCAAGTCGATGAAACACCCTTCGCTAACAAATGAATTTCAACAGTGACTGACGTAACTCTTCAAAACTTCATTGGACATGAGAACGCCTACTCGCTCTACATTGATGCGTACTGGACAGAAGAAACATTAGCCGCTGGTGACGGTGTGTTGTATAACTCCATCACCTTCAGCAATTGGACCGGCACATGCGCCAATGGCGCTACGCGAGCCCCACTATACGTGTTGTGCCCTTCGACACAGCCCTGCACGAATATCATCATCGAAGACTTCGCCATGTGGACTGAAAGTGGAAGCACAGAGTACTATAAGTGCGCAGATGCCTGGGGCTCGGGCTACTGCTTACATGCGGGATCCGAGCACACTGAGTACGGAACAGTCACCTCGACTTTGACGACTGCTCCATCGGGATACTCCGCTCCTACAATGCCCGGCCAACTTACTGCGGGCCTGGGACTGACTGCATCCATTCCAATTCCAACTGTTCCCAACACTTTCTTCCCGGGAGCTACTCCGGCCACGGCACGAGTCTATGGAAGTTAGTCCGTGGGGGAATTGGCTTTCATTGTTTAATTATCTCCTTCGCTTAAGACTCCTGTGTCCCGCTCATCTGTGATAAACACATCAGATGAAAATCAATTTTTGATATCGGTCTATCTCAGTTTAAACCCAATAATGATCTGAGATCAAGTCCACATGAAACTCCATATGAGCCTAAGAGCGAATTTTCCACTTGCAGAGATTTTCCACACTCTTCGAACGTCATGCGATTTTATCTCAGTGACTCCGTGAGGTCTAGTTGGCATTGGCAATATTCTCCACTCGTGGGGGTACACATAGTCATGCGGTCTCGGCTTGACTCGGAGCAAATTCCTCGGGATTGGAGTCCCGTGTGGAATGAAGGGAGAAGATGGATGAGATACGGGTTCATGTCGAATTATTTTAACATTTCATTCTATTCGGAATTGTTTATATGCTCCATCATTCTCATATCTAGGATAACAAAAGCAGAATACTGATACAGAGCACATTTGAATAAGGTCAGTTCCGACCGCCAACTGGTTGGATCTACCATGGGTGGAGAAACTCAGAACGGCAAGCCGCCGACGACATCGGCAACGCCCATTGTAATTGTGACATTTTAATTAATATCACTAGTGACTTCTCCGCATTATTCTAGCAGAACCAAGCTTTCTAAACAAATGAAAAACATCATATCTTTTCATGCAATCTTGGGGTCCCCAGGAACATCCCAGTTTTTCAAAACTTTCTCCCCTCAGTCTACTCCGTATACAACCCCGAGTCCCCCATGGAACCGGCCCGATCAACCAATAATAAGCTGAGATGAGAACCCCATCCGTGTTTTCTCCGCTTCTCGGACCCTATCAACCGACCTTCAACCGACCAGACTTCCCGTGGTGCAAGCAAAAAATCCCGACGCCAAGGGCAAATCCCCACCGAAATCCCCGCAAATGACGATAATTTTCGCGTGGGGGTCACTGGGGTTTGTACGCAATAAGATTAGCGTGGGGTTGGGGAAGGGCAAGGTTTGGAGTTGAATTTTTCTTAACAAGGGAGGAAAATCTACCCCGGGGGAAATATTTTTTTTTATTTTCTGAGCAGTTAGCTGGGAGAGACGAAAGACACATCATGGCGGACGATATTTCACGAAACAATGCCCATGTTGAGGCTGAGATCGAGAAGGAGAGGATCGAAAATCTTGAACATGTGGCTGAGCAACAGAATGTTCTCCCACACATTGACCCTGCTCGTCGAGTAGTCGTCGAGAAGAGCTTGAAGCGCAAGCTGGATGCACGATGCAGTCTGTTCGTCCTCATCTATATCATGAACTATCTGGATCGCAACAATATCTCGGCAGCTCGCTTGAAAGGTCTGCAGACAGATCTCAACCTCACTGATACCCAGTACTCAACATGCTTGAGTATTCTGTATGTCGGTTATATTCTGATGCAGGTGCCCTCGAACATGTTCATCAATCGCATCCAACGACCTTCGATCTACATTGCTGTCGCGATGACCCTCTGGGGTCTTGTTTCGACTCTCTCTGGAAACGCAAGGAACTTCGGAGACATGGTTGGTATTCGATTCGTCTTGGGTTTTGTTGAGGCAGCTTTCCTTCCTGGCGCTCTCCTCATCCTGTCGAAGTGGTATACCCGCAGGGAGCTGACCACCCGCAATGCCGTCCTTTTCTGCGGCAATCTTATTTCAAACGCCTTTTCCTCTCTCGTTGCTGCCGGTGTCCTGTCCAACATGCAGGGTGTCATGGGCCACGCTGCTTGGCGATGGCTCTTCTGGATTGAAGGCTCTGTCACTATGACCATCGCTATCTCCTCTGCCTTCATTCTGCCCGATCTCCCCACCAACTCACGTGGCTTCACAGAGGAGGAGCTTCTTGTTGCTCAGCTTCGTATTCTAGAGGATGTCGGCGAGGCTGATACCGACTCTGAGAACCAGAGCCCCTTTTCGGGTCTCATTATGGCTTTGAAAGATTTCAAGATTTATCTCATGATGCTTGCTTTTACTGCTTACGTGGTTGGACTGTCATTCAATGCTTTCTTCGTATGTATTCTCCAAAATCGAATCGCTTGGTACTATTTGACTAATATATCCCGCACAGCCCACCCTTACTGGTACACTTGGTTTTGCCTATGTTCCCACCCTACTCATGAGCGCTCCTCCTTGGGTGTTTTCTTGCATCGTCTCCGTCCTCAACGCCTGGCATGCCGACCGAACACAAGAAAAGGTAAGATTCGCATTCTCTGACAGACTACTAGTAAAACATATCTAACTCGCTTACTCAGATCTGGCACATTTACGGCCCAATTCTCATGGGTCTCGTCGGCTTCATTATCAGCATGTCCACTCTGAACGTAGCAGCCCGCTACATCGCCCTTTTCCTTCAGGCAGGATCCTACGCAGGATTCATCGTTTTCTACTCCTGGATCAGCTCATCATTCCCTCGTCCCCCTGCCAAGCGAGCAGTCGCCCTCGCCCTGATCAACGCTTTCAGTCAACTCGGTAACGTCGCGGGATCATACGTGTGGGATCTTTCCGAGAACGGATACCGTAAGAGTTACGGAATCGTGACAGCCATGTATGGAATTACTATTATTGGATTCTGGGGCTTCCGCATGATTCTTGTCAACCTCAATAAGAAGTTGGATGAAAGCGAGACCGCTATGGAGCATGATGGCCAAGCTGGTGGGTCTGACTTTATTGAAAGTACTGATGAATCCCTGCGTGTGCGCAAGGGTTTTAGATACTTGGTTTAGATTAGCCAGTTTATTGGATCGGCTTTGTTTCTTTCTTGCTGTCAATGGGGATACCTCGATTTTTGTTCTGCTGGCTTTTAGCTGGAGTCTACAATTTGTATAACCATTAAGATACGATTTTTGATATAAAGTCACATGATGCGCTATGGACTTTGAATTCTGCTCTTTATTTATCTCACAATGGAATACCCAAAAGCGAGGGTGTCTCCAAACAAAGCGAATAGTGGGGATTCTGAGGCTGTAGCATACTCGTATCTTCAAGCTCGATTAAGTCCATGCACAACCCTTCAACACGCATGCACCTTATGCCCGTGAAATTTCCAACGAAAGATGGACTTTCGAATAAAGGAACTTCATGTTGCCCGGGTTTGTGAATTTTTCTCTGATTTGCCTTTCTTCTCGAGATCGATGAAATCTCTGGTGTGGACGCGTTTTCTCAATAGCGAAAGCCGAGATTCCTTTGTTTTTCACTCTCTAACCCATTCAGCTCGTCATAACCACGGGCCCGGTTGTATTCTTTTCTTTGCATTGCCTTTTCATTCTGATTAAAAGTGCCAAAGACCCTGTTCCAGGTCGTGGAGTCAATATTCTTTCTGTAGCACCCTTTCAACATGCGCTCATCATCTAATTCAAAGGGATTTTCGCCGGCCTCGATAAAGTAGCAACAAAACACCGCCAAGAAACGGGGTCAGGGGTAGAGTAGCCGCAATAGGTAAAGTAAGTTTCGAAGAAGGGTTCGAGATAGAATCTTTGTTTGTAATTGGTGAAAATAATTTCGATCCAGAGTGTACGTGGTTGGTTTCATAGCCCCTTTAATGTGAGATTTATAAGCCCCTCCCTATCTCATTTGGTTGAGAAAAACTTTGATAAGCTGGACAATATAAGTAATCCAAGCCTTCGCTCTCTCAGAATATTTTAAATGTCCAAATAGGAAGCGGGGAGGGTATACAATGAGGAGGTTTATAGTGAGGATTTGTATCCATTACTTAAAACCTTCTCGAGAAGGATGAGTGCTCGTTTGTATATTGACTACTTTCAACGTTCAATTTCTCACGTATATAAAAGGTGCCGGCATACTGTCTGATAGCCTAAATGATTGTTTCTTACTAGGAAGTATTGAGCTGGTCTTATAGATATTCAATTAATCACTAAGCCATGGGTGCTGTATGAATTAGTTCATAAGATACTTTTAATCAACTTCGTTTATATCACAGGGTCGTGGCATAGCGTTAGTGCTCCGGGGGATCCCAAAAGAGGGTGATATTCGAGAAATGTCTGAGCAGCGGTTTTCAATTTATCTTGACTTGGAGCCAAGATAGGTAGTACTTGCATAGCGGATACATCTTGAGTCCGCTCAAGTGATTTACGCGAGTGAGTAAGATTGTTAACACTCGCGAGAGTGTCAGGATATTCTGGTCCTAGAGCTTTCTCACAGCCTTTGAGATCTCTTCGGTGCATAGCTTCAGCCTCCTCGTATTTACCCTGTTGAGCAAGCATAGAACCAAGATTACTAACACTCATAAGAGTATTAGGATATTCTGGTCCTAGAGCGTCCTCGTGTACCCTTATATTTCTAGCAAATAGAGGATTGGCCTCGTCGTACCTCCCGTCACTCTACAGCGAGCTTCTAACCCTCAAAGTAAATCCGATATATTTAAAGTAAAAGCGATGGGACTCTTCACTATTCGTCAAATATAATATATAGGGTAGAGATTCTCTCTATAACCCTTAATTACTATAGTCATCACTAGGGTACAGCTTATCCAATCTTTTTATAGCTAAAGATACCTAACAATTAATAATCTTTTCTTCCCTTATCCAATTCTATATTACCAGATGTACAAGTCTATAAAGACTGAATTTATTCTCATAGGTGTGTTTGCTAATAAAAGAATATATCTTTAAAAAACCTAATATATCTACCCTTTTCTTTACTAAAGATATAGAGAGCAGAATTAACTAAGATATATCTTATGGGTTAATACAACCCATAAACAATAGATAGTCTATTACTAGACTATCTAGTTACTTAATTTACTTAAAAGAGACCCACTAAGTGGTAATTACTAGATTCTGAATTTCAGCGTATCATCCGTCATCCTTAAACTTGTGAGAGAAAGTGCCAGATTAGGGTGGCACCTGGTGGTTAGGTGAATCAGGGAGATATCGGTGACAGGTCAGGTAGTATTTAGTATTTTCCAATACAATAACTAATACTTGAAGAACTTGGAACCCCGGCTCACTGGGGCCCAACTAAATACTGGATGCCCTGCAGTTCGTCGCCTGAGGCGTTCCCATAATCTCGGGATTACCTGGCAAGTACCGTGACAGTGAAACTTGGAGCTGCGCTTCGTTTCGTCTAGGACATCGCCCTTTGGGTGAAGCAATGCGGGGAAAGTGCCTCCTGTAGTTTTATGAGTGATTCAAACTAGACGTGATATAGACTATATATGTCAGTCACAGTATAGCTTAATCTGGACATGTTTTCTTTCAAGACATAGTCAATATCGTCATACTGTCAATTTTGTTAGATTTATATATATAGGGCCGCTCGAAATCAGCTTTACCTAAGTTTTCTCTTCAAAAAGGGTTGAACCTTATATTGCATCACACTACACCTACTGCAGTCAGTCTACCGCTGATCCGGTATTTGAAGGTATTCCAGAACAATCGAAATTAATACACAAAAATAACGATTGTATTCTGTTTTATGCGCTTTCAGTTGGCTAGAACAAGCCCTAGAAAAAGGAAATACATAGCAATTTAGGCATTCCTTAGCTCAGCAGCCTTGATCTTCTGCGATCTGGTCAAGAACCTGTTCTGTGTTATATCGCGAATCATTTTCTGCTTGCATAGAGGGGCCAAAGGCGCCATTATCAAAAGGCGCCACGGTTTATCATGGGCGCCATTGATACAACGGAGTAAAAGGCTTTTTACGAAGTCACCTGATTACTCCTCCGCCTAAGCGGGCGAAGGGATATTTGACTTTAAGGTCGGGGGATGCTAGGATGTTGGGAAATGCACCTTGCTTCGAGTCCCTGCGGTCATTGGAAGGTGTTTATTCCTTGGCGATTTTTAAACTGCACACTGACCAGTGCTCATGGCTCATAACTCGAAGCCAGTCAACGAACTTGTTATCTTCAAAGAAACCTTATGCTACATCATGAATTGGGCATCACTCAAAACTCGTCTGGCTATCTATTAATGACATATACTGCACTAAGCAGATACTTCCAACAAGGATACTTTGTTGAGCACACAGATTATTCGTACAGCACAGCAAGCAAGATGACCAGCAAGATAGGGTGAATGAGCATTGATTCGGCCTAAAAGTTTCCACGAATTGAATAGGAGTACGTAACGTCCAATGGGTATAAAAAAGCGCAATAAGGTAAGAGTGAACGGCTTCTGTAACCCGAAAGAGGATATAAACTTGCAGTACTGTACTGTAATGTACACCCCGATTAAGGGCAAGTAGGTGAGGGACATTGATTCGAAAATGCGAGGAATATGACACTACCCGATGAGCAGGCAATGGCGATCCTTGTTGCGTATACAGCGAAAAGAGAGCGAACGGCTGGGCGATAATCTGAAGGCAACCACAGGAGTTTCAGTCCATTACAGGTTATCCAGGAAAGGTCATCATTCAATCCGTATTCATACTGGTTAGGGATAATGTCGGCTGGCACGGGTGTTGCAGACCCCACTAAACCTATGTCAAATGTACCGGCATTTGTGTGCAGATAATTGGAATTCGCTTTGTCGAATTCAAGGGAGCTTATAAAGCCAGTAGGAAAGGTTGACACGCTTTGGCCGGTGACCGAATCCCAGATCCTAATTGTGTTATCATCGGACGCGGATGCTAGTCGGCGTCCATCTGAAGACCAGGCAATTGAATGAATCCAATCAGTATGTCCCTCGAGAGGAGACACGCTGTGACCAATGGCCAGTTCCCAGATCCTGATTGTGCTATCACTGGACGCCGATGCGAGTCGGCTTCCATTTGGAGACCAGGTAATCGAACTGAGCCAACGACTATGCCCCTTAAGGATCGATACACTGTGGCCTGTAGCTGGGTCCCAGATCCTGACTGTATTATCATCCGACGCTGATGCGAGACGACTTCCATCTGGAGACCAGGCAATCGAACTGACAGAATGCCAGTGTCCCTCGAGAGCGGATACAGTGCGACTGGTGGCTGGATCCCAGACTCTAATTGTGTTATCATCTGACGCTGACGCGAGTCGACTTCCATCTGGAGACCAAGCAATCGAATTGACCGAACGACTATGCCCTTCGAGAGTCGATATATTGTGACTGGTGGTCGGATCCCAGACTTTAACTGTGTTATCGACTGACGCTGATACGAGTCGACTTCCATCTGGAGACCAGGCAATCAAATTGAGTGAATAAATATGCCCCTCGAGGGTCGATATACTATGGCCGGTGGTCGGATCCCAGATTCTAATTGTTTTATCATCTGACGCTGACGCGAGTCGACATCCATTTGGAGACCAGGCAATCGACCTGACCAAATGACTGTGCCCCTCGAGAGTAGATATGCTATAGCCGGTGGTCGGATTCCAGACTCTAACTGTGTTATCATCTGATGCTGATGCGAGTCGGCTTCCATCTGGAGACCAGGCAATCAACCTGACCGAATCACTATGCCCCTTGAGAGTAGACATACAGTGACCAGTAGCTGGGTCCCAGATCTTGACTGTATTATCAGTAGACGCTGATGCGAGTCGACTTTCATCTAGAGGCCAGACAATCGAATTGACCGAATCACTGTGCCCTTCGAGAGTAAACATACAGTGACCACTAGCTGGGTCCCAGATCTTGGCTGTATTATCAGCAGACGCTGATGCGAGTCGGGTTCCATCTGATGACCAGGCAATCGAATTGACCAATTGACTATGTCCCTCAAGCGTTTGAAGACAAAGACTCCAATTTTCATCTACTGCAGGATCATTCAAAATCCAATCTGGTCTCTCCTTCTGAAAAGCTTCTCTTATGAAACTCTTTGTTGGGCTAAAGAGAAGACTTGAGGAATATACCTGTAGAGGACTGCTTTCAATTCCTGCTTTGTGGTATCGAATAAATCTAGAGGCGTCTCGAGCTTGATGTAACAGGGTTTTTGACTCGCTAGCCTCCTGTGAAAGTGGGATTAGTATTCAAATGTTAGAAGAGATGCTCAGCTGTATTTCTCCAAAGTACTTACCATAATCAAACTTTCAAGCCTCTGCATCGCCCGGATCCCATCTGAAACACTCCCCAAAATACTAAGAGCCTCAAGCCAGTGAAGATATTTCTCTTGTAGAAATATCTCCAACAGACGTTTATCATCAAGGGTCACCCGATAGGTTCCATTGCGCTGGCTCTTCTGGAGATGGTCCATCCAATAACAACAAGCGTACTCTGCTGCTGCCAGTGGGTTTGGACTGGGCTCGGTAATATGTTTAGCGGGAAATCCAGTTGATTTGATGTCGAAAATATCACGTCGAAGTGTCCTGAACATCACTTCGAGAGATTGGGTGAAAATTGAATGGTGTCCAGATTCTATGCCTTTTGGGAATAGTTCATTGTTTGCTTCCTGGAGTAGAAACTCCTTTGCGGACTGGTGGACAAAGGAAATAGTATTTTCTCGCAAAGATAGAAAAGATCCACAGATTGCAATAACTTTCCCTAAGAAGAATATGGTCATGCTCCTCGTCATCCGGTAGTTCAATTAGTGGAGCCAATTCATTTATCGTGATTGGCCGTAAGACTGTTAACATGATTGCCAGTATCTTTTTGCAGACCTGGGCATCTTCCGACTCATAGACCTGTTCAATCATTCGACTGTATAGAGCACCTAATCCGGGAGGGAATGAATGTAGCCTCCTAAGCACATTTGTTCGTATCTTGCCAAGATTCTGGCATACCAAGGCCACCCATAGAAAAGTGCCTTCGGAGTTCGATATCAAATGGCGTTCAACAGTATCACGAATTTTATCACTATACCTTTTGGCTTTCGTTAATTCGCGGACTTTATGTTGAATAAATTGATTGACGGCTTCAGACACAGATGCCTCGTTCAGCTCTAATGAGAGCTGAGCTATCTGGTCTGCGTTTTCAAGTCGCTCCGCAATGTCAGGCCAGTTGCGGCTTGACACGATCCATTTGATCTGTGGGTGGGCTGACGACTCTTGAATCACCAAGTCTAGCAGGGAAGAGAGCCCGTATATGCACTCGTCTAGAGCATCAATCACCAAATAAGTCATTCGCAACGTCCGGTCGCTCAAAATATCCCTGAATATGTTCGAGACTGCAATCCACGCATTGACATCCTCGAACACGACCTTCCCAGCATAGTCGTACCGAGCTTGTACATGGGGGAGAATAGATGGCTGCTTTGCGACAAGCAAGTATATCAAACCCCGCAGGACGGACGTGGCGCTGTTGATTCGCATGTCGGTAGCCTGACAGAAAAAGTACGAGATATTCGAATTTTCCCCATACAATCGGGTCAACTCTTCGATGACACCACATAGCAGCATCGTCTTGCCTTTGCCAGGTTCACCTTTGATCCAGAGGAGACGATTTCCCTGGCTGCCATGCCACTGTTTGAATATTTCATTGTCTAGAATCCAGCGATATGACTCTTTGAGTAATCCACCCTTGGTATCCTTGATCCGTTCTTTATCATCGAGAGGATTGGTCGTACGCAGATCCCGAAGGCATGCTTGGTTTAGCGTTTCCGATTGAGCTGATGCGGTTCGCTTTTTAGTCACGGTCTATCAGAGCCACATGCTTCGTTTACTTATCGTGATATTGCCAACGTTGCCGTGTATTACTCCTGCTTGAAATCCGACGTTTGTACCATCGTGTGAAATTGTGGTTGCCATAATTCTGACTCGATGGTTCTGCGTGGAAGGACGCCACGGTTGATCTCCCACCTTCCAGAATACCCCGCTATTAGGTGATCTGCTAGACGGTGGAGCCAACCGTGGTGATTTCATAATCCTCATTACCCCAAGAAGCAGGGTTTCATTTGACTTACCCTTAAGAGGCGTCGATGCGTATATGTAGCTCTATGCTATGCATATTCTCTTAGCCTCGCGGAGAAAATCGCTCCGATTAGAATGATGAACATTGAGCTTTAATGTAGACCGTAGAGTGATGATCGTATCCGTGTTTCTAAGTACAATCCCACCGACTGTGTAATTTATTGATACAAAACATTTCGAATTCATACAGCACGCCAATGTAAAGAAGGAATAGCGTACTTCAAAATAGAGTTCAAGAAAGAACAGAAGAGAACGGACAGGTGAAGCTGTTTTCGAGCGGCCCTGTATTACAAGCACGGCGATGCACCCATGAATTATAAAATCATTTATTAATCGACTTTTGGCGATGTTCTAAAACACAGCTGGCAGATTCTACTGCTTGTCGGTCACGTGGTATCGCGGCTGAGCACAACTTTACGGCTAGCATTCTGACCTACTTCAGCCTGGACTACGTTGCCCATCAGTGATGAATTCAATGATTTTGATGATCACAGCCGAGGGAACCACGTGAGAATCAACAATGAACAAGTATACCTCCCGGTCGGTAGGTTTCACAAGACATTTCCACACCCGGTTAAGCTGACTAATGACTTCTCCTTAGCTTAGAGCGCCCGGAAACTCCACCTGTCCCTCTATCAACCGTTCCGTTCCGTCGCGACCCCGATTTAGTGAACCGTGGGACCAAGCAAGTGCTAGGCCCAGAGTATCCTGATACTCTGACGAGTATAAACAAGCTAGCCCACACAATTAGCTTATTAGGTTAACATAAAGCTATTTTCACATTAATAGCCAAATATATCCAACTCCTCTACTAAAGGTTAGGCCCTAACCACCTATATTGTCAAGGAAGAGAAAGGAAACACTATATTGAGAATCATGCAGATCTATTGCCGTATTGTCTACGGGATTTGGCACCAAGTCCGGCCACACATAGAGGGGGATTCCTGTAGGGCCCGACTTACACAGTTACACTCCTCAAGTGTTAGTCGCTGTATCTAAGTGAACCACCCCCCTCGTACTCTCCCCTTAATATATCTCGCCTAGCCCACAGATGTCACCCTAATCTGACAAGTTCATTACAATTTCATTATATAAAGAGTAAACTTATCCTATAGAAAAATCGCCATTTTATTAAGATATAAGTTAGGCCTCTTAATTAAGTAATTATAAAGGGCTTTAAGTATAATTAGAGTAATACTTCACAGTCAACCACCTTTATTAGCAGGTGCTTTAACACTACCAAAAATCTGTAGATTAGAGGATATCTTTTAAGTAGTACTCCTGTTACAGCTAGTAGCCTTTGCTATCTATAAGATAGATAGGTCTCTGCTATATATTATACTAGAGATAAGCTAATGCTTTAATGAAGCCAAATTTAGCGCCATGTAGATATGGCGATGGGTGATGGAGATCACTGGTGTGAAGTGTAGCACAAAAAATCATTATATCTTCGAGGTGGGGTGGGCAAGGTGTTAAGAGTATTGAAATACAAGCGCATACAGCACATTATAATACACGATACATACTGTAAGGAATAATACAGCCCCCATGGTAGGGGTAGGCTGGAAAAATTCCTAATGTGTATTAGTGTTGCTTGGTAACTAGGGTTCGAGAAACAATTGAAGAGTGTGGGCGGGTGCACCGGTTACAGGACGTACTGTGCCTCATATAAGGAAGACAAAAATGCTTTGAATGATTCTCATGAACGTCCTTCCAAGCGCCCCAAATCGAAGACGCACAAGTCAAAGGATAAGTCGAAGGACAAGTCAAAGTCAAAAAAAGAAATCGAAGAGCAAATCGAAGAAAAAAAATCGAAGTCGAAGTCAAAAGACAAGCTAAAGGATAAACTGAAGACTGCCATGGAGAAGCTTGAAGAATTGAAAGCTAAGATTAAGCAGAGGGGCGTAGATAGTATTTTGGACTCAGATGACTCGGAGGATCCGGTTCTTGAGCCCTTTTACCCGCCAAAGGATTTACCAAAGACCCCAAGGGTAAAATGGGAGTATTATGGTAAACCAATCTTGGATATCAGAAAAGTACCAGAGGGGTGGACTGATGAAGAGCCTGATCTTGACACTGAGTGAGTTTTACAATCCTCGAGATACGAAAATATGGCTGACCATTACTATAGTGACCTTGATGCTCATATTGAACGACGTCACGAGAGGCTTCGTGAGAATGACATGCCTCTGATCTTTGAGGACAGGTTGAGTTATTTGCTGAAGGTCCAAACAAGAGTATGTTTGATGGCCCTTATCAATGATGAATATCCTCCCCATTAACACATTCTAGCGAGTTGATGAAAAAATGGCCGAGACTGAGTTATCCTGCTGCACTCCGACTGGAAGACTTAATTTTTATTCAAAATCATATCAACGAAATCGGTGACCCAAACAAACTTGCCTCCACTGTGAAGGCTATTATCTTCGCCTATAAGTCCGGAATTCTTGAATGGAACCAAGGCCAGGTAGCATATTGGTCGCATGGAATGCAACTCTGTGCTCCCCGACTTTTTTCCTGGGAGGAATTCGGCCAGGTCAATCATAAACACAATGAGTGGGAAGGCTTTTGGGTGGAAGGAGTAAGTTACTGAAGACATCCAGTTTAAGACAACATCCAAGCTAATTAAGCGTCCAGCTTTATGGTCCTGAACCTCTCAGACAATGTTACCTGCATAGAACCTACTGGCCAGCAAAATATAATTCGGCAGAAACGGAGCTTAGGTCTCGTCAGCAGGTATTTTTGGACTCTTAATTGTTCGACCTCTTTGGGGTACATTTACTAAATAATCTTCATCTCTCAGGCTGCATTGGCCATCCAATACCCTAGGTTTATTACAAGGGAGGATGCTCCTTACATGACAGATGTAACTGGATTTTCCACAGTTCCTGTCGACCCACAACCAATGGATGTACCCCGGGGTGGCGAAGAACCACCGACAGCTGAGAATAAAAGAGTCACACTATACCCACGCACTGACCGTGCAGGGCGTGATGAAGCGCAAACAGAAGGGCCCGAACCATACCCGGCACTCACTTTCTGGCTTGACGATGACACCGGAAGTGATACTATGGTGCTTCAGCCGCGTGATCTTGATTTGATACGAGCTAATATTGAGAGAGGGGGACTACCGCGTCCGCCACCGGCCCCTCTTTTGGGTACGGCCCGGTTTAACACAGCCGATGGAGAATCAGTTGTTAACGATATAAGAACACTTGAAGTCAATATGTTTGATAAAAAGGGAAATTCAATGTCACCCGTGTGGGACTGGATAGAATGTGCCGTATCAACGGCGGATCTGGATCATGTTCGACCCTTGAGGCTGTCAGGGCCGTGGGTTAGGCACAGATTTTATACCGGAACGAGCCCAGATGGCACAGGCCGGCTTTATGTTCATGATAGACTGCGAGGTTTTGCAAGAATTAACAGAGTGCATATTGGAGAATCGGGCCTACTCCCACGACATCAGTATCCCCCGCTTGAGCTCGGAGATGACAGCCAGCAAATGATACGACACGTAGCAGATGAACAGAATCGAGCTTCGTCACCGCAACCCATGGAAGACAAGCGTGAATTCCAGCTGCCGCTCAGATTGAAGCAGGCTGAAGAGGAAAGAAAAGATAGAGAGGCCAAAGACGCTGAGGATTCTAGAATTGCAAAACATATTTGAGATATGGAGAGAAGAATTGATGTGGCAAGGATGTCGCTTTTTGAGGCCAGACAGACCCGGCCAACACAGGGGCACGTTGATGATGCAATTCTATCGTTTGCCGGCGCAAAAGAGGAACTTGAATCGGCAAAACTGGCGCTTGAAAAAAGACCGGCTGAAAGAGAATACCAAAGATTGAAAGTACTAGAGAATAATCTAGGTATCATCGCACCTGATGGTTGGGAGGGCCCTGAGTCTTCTTCGGAGGAAGAAGATGACATTCAAATGTCGGGTGGTCCCGAATAAGGCATACATTATCATGGTAGCTGCTGGTCTTTTTAAATTATATCTTGGCTTTTGTTTTGAGTTTCTTGGATGATTATTTCGCTTGAACTTTCAAGTTTCGCTTATGCACATGTGTCTTCTTTTGTATGAACGTCCACGGGTATCTCCTTCAAATGTTTCTAATAGACTTCAAGGGTAGTATGCACATGTGCAAATTGTTGTATAAACTCCAATTTGATGCTACTAGTAGTATGAATATAAGTTTTGTTTGCAAAATTTTATAAATTCAAATGTGTAAGTACGCTGCCAAAAGATTTTTGTCCAACCATCCACCCGAGTCATTAAAGTCATTCGCCTCATTCACCAAAACTTTGAAGCCTTCGAACAAATAGAACTTTAGAAGCAAAATCTATCTACTGTAATTTTTAAACATGTACAAACTCGAAGGTATTTATGCAATGAATTTATATCGCGACGGGGCCGCCGATTCGGTCTTTGGGTCCAGCTCCTTTCCGGCCCACGGCAAAGATGCCAATCACCAGGCCAAGCCCAGCAAATCCAGCTGAGCACCAGAGACCGGTGGAATATTGCTGAGGGAGACCATGTCCCTTCTTAATATCGACCGCTTGGGTGGTTGCGGCGGAGATGGCGAGAGCCACCCCCGATCCAATTTGGAAAGCAGTGTTGAGCTGTCTTCAGTTAGTTGGAGTTCAAAGGCTGGGATTGGATATTGGCTTACCATTCCACCGCATAGGCTTTTTACTTCAACGGGGACGCTTGTCAGGATGGTTGTGCTAGTTGTCACAAAGATGAATGATACAGCAGAAATGCTGATAAGGGATGTAGCGAGAGTGTTGACCCAGCTAAAAAGAATTAGTGGACATTCATGGTAAGACTCTTGGTGAGTAGACGTACAAGTTCTCAGTTTCCGTAGATGTGATCGCACTAGGGATTGGAGCCAAGACTGATAAGAGCAATCCAGTAAGTAGACAGTACTTCGCATTCATATACTCGAGAAGCTTGCCAGTTCCTAATGATACGATAAATCCGATCACGCCCATTGGTAGGAAGCGAATGGCTGTGTCGCCAGCAGACAAATGGTCCACTTTCTGGGCCATCAAGACGATATAGTAAATAATGTTCTGGTAACTTCCATAGCAAGCTGAATTCATTAGTTAGTTGAAATTCATGGTGCTTGATAGTGAAAAAAACTTACTAAAACCGGCGATCCATAACCCAGCAAAGTTTCGAATCTTCCAAAGAGAAAGTGGCATCAGCGGGTTGCTAATATACTTCTCGAACACGATGAAGCCAACAAGAAATGCAACAGCCAATATTAACAGCACAATGACGAACGGAGCATCCCAGCCATATACACCGCCACTAGAAAGGACGAACTGCAGAAGTATCAGGCCGGCAGTTGACAGGACTGCACCAAAGTAATCCATCTTTGCCCGGTCTTTGGTAGCCTCACGATCTTGAGGTAGAACAATCAAGCCCAGGACACCCAGTCCGCCTGTGATTATTGTAATCAAATAGAAAATGTATCTCCATCCGAGAGACGAGGTAAGGAAACCACCGAAGATAAGACCAGCGCAGAATCCGACTGTTCCAGACGCAGCATATATCGATAGTCCTCGAGTTCGGTCGACACCAGTAAAGTAGGAACTGATGATTCCAATGGCGGATGGGACAGTGAGGGATGCTCCGATTCCTTGGATGCCTCGGAAGACCGTGAGTTGGAAGAAGGATTGACCAAAGCCGATGGCGAGCGTCCAGATAGTCAACCAGAAAAGGCCAGTGCAGAGAACTAATTTCCTTCCATATCTGATATTATCAGCAAAAGCTCAATTTGGTTATTTAAAAATGTTTGGGAGCACTTACCGATCGGACAAACATCCAGCCAGTAACAAGAATCCTCCAAATGCCAATGTATATGCGGAGATCATCCATTGTAGGTTTGTGTTGGACACTTTAAACTCTTCTTGGATAGATGCCAAAGCCATATTTGAGCTAGTCATAAAGACATTATCCAGGAATTGGGAGCCTGATGTCACGAAAAGGATCAAAGCTCCTCTCCAGGACCCAAGCCGACCATATTCCGGGGATAGCATCTCCAGCTCAATTTGATCTTTGATTTCTTGGGACGATCCGATCGTTGAGGGGGACTCGCATTCTGGACTCTTAGCAACATAATGAGTATCTTGGATCACAGGGATAGACACGGTAGACTTGAGGTACTCTGGACAATTGTCCCTTGAGTCGACCTGCTGGCCACGAGCTCGACGAAACCAATTAATGAGTGACATTGTTTCTTTAGTTTGTTTCATCTGATTCGAATGACAGAAAAGGATGAATGTTGCTGTCATTTATAAGATCCATGAGAATGACAACTCGAATTCAGATAAATCAAAAAGGGTCTGAACTATGGACCCTGCTCCACTGTTAAAAAGTGGGTAATGACCCTCCAGGGAGCATCCGTAGGTGGGCCATCATCGCACGCAATCAATACCTATGATCGAAGCTTGCACTGCCCGGATTCTCAAGTAATGTATTGGTGACAGATGGCAAGGGTATGTGGAGTGACTGTCCATGTTTCTGATAACAAGGCAAGATGATCGACAGAATGATTGTTTTAAGCGCATTATAGCACGTCCCACTAAAGCTTATACCAAAATACGATAGACATCAATTATAGATCGATTTACAAAAAGCATTGATAGAATAGTCAATATTTTTTTTCTCGTTTCTATTAAAAACTCATCTTTGTGCGCTTCAGAGCAATAAAATTGTATAGTTTAATCTTATTTTTAATGACTCTAACGGTCTGATGTGGTCACTGCGGCTAACCTGCCTCGATTAGCATATGTGGGAAGAAGGGGTTCCTGAGCCAATGATCTACCTTCACATGAGGATAAGATCGGTGAACTGCTAGATTATTCTTATTTGTAATCCTTCAAGATCATCTGTGAAAGGGGTTCGCAGATCATAGATCGCTTGATTTGTTTCACCGGGATCTACAGGGCATAGGGGGTACATAGGCTCCGTACTCCGTACAGATCAGCTCAATGCATCTACTCACAACAGTGGGTCAGTATAATGTCTTTCAACTTGTTTTTGTGAAGGTTTAGAAATCACAAGGCTGGAATAGAAATCCACATGTGCACATTCAATCCTATCCATTCATATGAGATGCGTAAGCCAAGCTATGTGAGAAGGGAAAGTTAGGCGCGTGAAGAAACATGTTAGTAGCACATGGAATGGGGTATGCCCGGAGCTTGCGTAAGAAACTATGTTCCTAATATGATCACCCTAGCGCATGTTCAAGGATAATTTAAGCATTGAGCGGCGTCCTGTCGATCGTTTCACCCTGGAATCTAGTTCGTCATACGGAGTACAGATTAAACTGAGGCTGGAAGTCTTGGATTACGCGGCCATTTTGTTCTCGGGGAAGGGGAACCCCTTTCTCGGCTTGCCGTGTTTTAGAAACAACACCTCCCCGCCTATACAGTACAAAGTTAATGTGGAAGTTCCAGAGTTCCAGAGTTCCAAGGTTATCAATAGGCATGACGTACTCATATGCAAGAGTTATCTTTTGAGATACCAATCTTGATTCGCAATAAGTGAACGTGACACAGATTGCGTGTATGAGAAAGAGGAATGGCAGCTGAAGCTCCAAGTCAGATGGATCTACTCCAATGCTGTACATGTCCATGCACCAACATTGAATCAACATTGAATTAACTCAAGCTCTTCGGGCTAGACTTCCCGTGGCACAGACCCTCGGGATGTTCGGTCGGCTTCCAACTCTATCAAGCCTGCATTAACATGACAACCTTGGGAGCTATTCACATGACTCAAAAGGGGTTGGTGTGAACAATATCCGCATTGACAGTCACAAAGCTGCATTATCATGACTAGAATTGCATCGATTTATGCCAAGCCTCTATTTTTATGACCTTCGGCCCGTTTTTGTGGTTTAACACGAATATGCTTAAAACGGTGTGCGACTCTGCATAAAATTGGTGCTCCAGCAGTGTTTACATGGTCCGAGTGGGACTGAACGCTGGTACAGAGTACATAAATTTCATGTTCTCTATTTTCTATGTATCATAATTCTTGCGATGCAAATTTTCCAATAAATGCGCGTGAGACTTGCCGGAGGGTCTCCCGCACATGTGCAGTTTGTTGATATTCGTCATGGATGTCTCCAGGGCTGCATGTGAATATACAGTTTTTCTTGGTTTCTTGAAGCTCACTGGGTTTTAAGAGTGAGAGACGCTTTTCCATGAGTTCCTTGAATGCCGTGCCTGGCTTAGAAGGTTCGGCATTGGACGCTGACCTCTTACCCCCTGCATATAAGAGATGTGAGAGCTCCAGAGCTTGGGTTGATCTTCTGTAATTCAGCTTCCAATTTTCCGATATCTGGACCCTCATAATGGCTAGAAGAGTAATTTTATCATGGAGAAAGTGACTTCCCAAACCTTGGTTTCTCCGAGAGTACCGACTCATTCTTCCAGATGTCTAGATCTAGAGGTCGATGGTTACCCGACAGAAGAAATCAAGCAAGGCAAGCACTTCCGAGTGAGCATGCGCCCTTTGTGGCGAGTCAAAGGAGATCATATTCCAGCTTAGAGTGGGCCACTGAAAGTTCAAATGTTCGGATAACGGTAACCGACAAGCGAGTCGATACGGCCTCCGAGTTGGAACAGCGCGGGTTTCAAGGCCTAGATCAGTCCGTCCTGCGCTGAGAATGAATAGCCTGAGAAGAAAAAAATTTAAAAAGTTGAAAGATTCAAAAAGCAAAAAAAAAACTCTCCCTCGGGGAATCGAACCCCGGTCTCCCGCGCTTATCGGTGTTAGTGACAAGCGGAAATCATGACCACTAGACCAAGGAAGATGAGATAGTCGAGTTCCACTCGACCACTTGGGGTGGTTGATGCCTGTTTCTCCATTTTTGACATTATGTATCCAACTAATATCCGCCCAGAATAAGCACTTGAGATGGAATAAAGTTCAATTTGTATCAAAAATTGAATTTTGTTCAGTAGTTAAAGGTCAATGACATACACTAGCACCCAAGCTCCTAAATCATGTTATTTCCTTTTTTTATTTCTGAATAGGCTCACTGCTATCCATTTTATCACATTCATGCACGCTCGAGCCATCCAAACTTGAAGTTTGAAAGAGCCGGAAGGGCAGTAACCGAGACTCGGATCAATATATATCTTGAATTTTCAAGATCTCCGCAGCACCCTCCCGAGCCTGAGGTCAACTCAGGCTTCAAATTTCAAGGTCCACTCAATTTGAAGGGATATCAACCTTGTATTCCATGAATCTCCCTAAGAGGCCATGCCATTTCTTCCGTTGGTGCTATTTGAGATTCCATAATGTGTTTTGATAGATCCAGTGTTTGAGGCGGGGTTGGCTTGCCTGATGAAAACCGCAATAAGACAGAAGCAATCTTGTGAAGTGAAGAATTTGTGACTATTAGCTTGCCAACCCTTGATCTCGCATATGCATGTGCTTGCCTGTATCTGTTCAAAGGATCCTCAGGCTTATACGAGATATACCAGATCGATTCTACCGGGAAAAGGATCGGGAAGAGGCTCATGCATTTTCTGTAGCGTGAGTCTTTCAGATATGAAAGATTCTGCGACTGTAGCTCGTGGAATGACTGAGCGGCTATCTCTTCAAAAACAGAATCAGGTCTCCTAGTCGTAATTGGATTTTCCGATTGATTGGGGTTACCATGGTATCTCGTAGGCCTGTCGTCAAGATATCGGAACCATAATGGGTCGTCTTTGGTAAGACAGGTACCCAGATTGACCCATCTCGTAATGATTAATGCGAAACTAAGGTTTACCCTGCAAATTTTGACATGAGAAACTGTGTGACATACTGTACAGATAACAGTGATACCGTTTTTCCGTTTGCATTCGTCACTTAAAAAGGATCTCATCGTGGAGCTGATGAAGTTACCAAATATGCGGCCTGATGTATGTTTGCATAGTTCCAAGCACTTTTGCGGACTCGGAGAGACAAGCGAACTTGAAGATATTGAAGGTCTTGAACAATGCTCAGGAATCAAAGAAGATAAGCTATTTGCCATGAATATGTCTTGCATTCTGACATAGATACCAAGGTACTTAGGAGAAATCATCGCTTCTTGAGAGAATAATGCGATTGTATCCGGGGAGAATGTGCGCACTTGTGTGTATGAGAATGTATCGATACTTATTCCAGCCTGTGCTCCATAAAAGAATCGTCTCATAGCAAGCTTCGCATGGAGAAAGTAAATAGGCTCTATTGAATAATATCGCTCACGATGTGTTCTCATTCTCAGACCCGAGTAGATCCATTTACCTTCACGGATACATGGTAGGGGACAAGCTGAAATCCCTCCAAAGTACGAACTATTGAGTCCGAAAGTTTCGGATCCATCGTACTGATGAAGAATGTGGAAAACATCACAAGCGAGATATCTTGGAAGATCCCGTTCAAATCGTGTCAGTATCGAGAACTTGTCATCTTGGGTGCGAAAAGGCTTGCGACAAACTCGTCTTTGAAGTAACCCAAAAAGCCAACGATTGCACAAAAAAAGACAGATTGTCTCAGCAGTGCCAAGGAAATCACATATGCATAATACTATCTCCGGGGGAAGATTGGTAAAGGTAGTCATGTTGTGGGCGTTAGACCCCGTGGGGTTGGTTTTGGCATGAGCCATCAAAATCATGCAATTGAGGTATGTGAAGGTAGAAGTGTGGAAGAGGAGAAGATGGGAGAATTTGAGATTGGGAATAGATCGAGAGATCGGAGCTATCGATTTAGAATGAGTGCTCTAACCTTGGAACGGAGACAACCAGGGATATGTACTACTATCTATATATAGGACATACTGATTAGACCTCCGATTTACCCAGATACCATGGAAAAACCCTGTAGGTATTGTGGATAGGTAGTAAAGACCTTTAATGATCAAGTAAAACTAGTCCACTGTAAAAAAAAGGAAATATTATTAGGTACCACATTCGACCGTGAGACTTGACCTTGAGACGAAAAAAACCTTAGCCACACGAGAATATGTAGTAACTCAAATCCATCGCACTCATATCTTCCATTAACGCCCTTGGCAGTTCATCTGGAAATGTTTCTTCACTGCTGAACGAGCATTCTTCACGCCATCACAAGCCACAGAAATGGTGGTATGTGCGGTTTCGTTGGATTCTCCAGCCATAATGAGAGTTGCTCCACAAGATTTATTGCTGGTGTGCGTTGGAGATTGCTTTATATTCGTGGCGTGAAGCTGGTTCTTGCAGGTAGTGGAGACCTAGTTCAATGGTTGACAGGGTTTGGTTTCAGGGTAAGACAGCATGGAAGATGATGATAAGTCATCCATGTTGCTAGATACCATAATAGCTCTCGATTGGATTGACCATAGCTTATGCGAGTGCGACAGCTTGCAACAAGTCAATTTATGTAGCATCATCTCCGACGAGTCGAGATATCTAGAGACCTCGATTGGCCAAGGTCCCTCCGAGTATGACACTATCGTTATTTTGACAAAGCAATAGTTGGTCAAGTGTGAATTCGTTATCATCATGATACCATATTTTCATACCCTGAATAGGCCAGAACCTTGCAGTGAGAGAGTGTGATAGTAAGCACAAAAGAGAGCAAGAGTATCAGAGCTCACTATCCATGGATGAACCTGTACATATTTGCCAGGACCTTCAAGTGAGTAGATTGTTGTAGATACTCAAACAAACAATGAATTTGCAACAAAGGGTAGATTTTATGTGAAGCAGTGGAGCTTCACCACCAAGAGGATGTGGAAGGAAGACCATGGGTGATAAATGAAATGATGATTCGGGCCCCTTAAATATCAGGGATACTCATAATATAGCCGGAGTCTGTTTTGAGCTCTGACTTTTTGATTTTCGCATGAAGATTTCCAATGTTTTATCTTCCAACCTTCGAAGTAACTGCCAATCCATAAGGCAGGTGCTACCCTTGGACACCAACTTTTTAATACCCCAAGATTCTTTCGAATGTTCTTGTTCCTTCACATTTATACCTCACTTTTACTTCTTTCACGGTACAACTGCTACCACTCAGTCAGCGACCATGGCATTCTGGGTTGATTGGCAGCTATGGGAAAAGTTAAGCATGGTATGAACCTCAACTTCCTCTACTCTTCTGTCGTTCGTTCACTGACGAGAAAATTCTGAAACTTTAGGTTTTGGGTCTTTTGATAGTACAGCAATCTCCTCATCTTTCCTTAATGAAGCAGCACTGACTAGTTCTTCAGGTTATCGTGGTGACATATGCGTGTTGTGTCCTGGTATACAATCGATGGAGGGTACGCAGATATGCTGCCATTGAGGCACGGCAGAAAGAAGAAGAAGCTGGGCTATACCCAATGTTGAAGGGAGTCGACATACCATTCGGCGCTCGCGCTCTAGAGAGAGGTGTAGAGGTCCCAGGCATTTGGATCTCCAACCAGACTACTCCTACTCCCAGCCCTCGCGTCCCTGGAACACCCATCAGAAGCCGATCGCCAAGTCCGGCTCCAAAACCTTATCCAGTTCGCCCAGGCAGCATGTCATCATCGTTAATGACAGATATCATTGCAAGCAGCTCACAGAATATACCTCCATATGCTCATCATCTGCCCGCACCGGAGATTGACATGCTTGCGGCCAACAACTACCGTTACGAACATTACAGACCTGGTGGGATTTATCCGCCGGCAACCCTGAACAGCATGCCTAAATCGCCCAGAAATTTCCATCGACGAAGTGAAAGCTTTCCCCACGGCGACAAGCGTGCGAGCTTCCCCACTCGACTCTTCCGTCCAACTCACACTCACACGTTGGATGCCAAACGCAGTAGGTCCGGAACTAGCGAGCAGGATTCGGGTCTGGGATCACTTGGTTCTGAGCATGATTCCCGTCCCCCAACTGAACAGCATAAGACTTCACGTATACACAGTAAGCGGAGAGCGTGGTCTGCTGGTAACTTGGGGGAAAGAAACTAACTTGTGTCTCCCAGGAGTCCTTCGCAGACGATCATCGGAGGAATTCAGACGCAGGATGAGCCAGATATTCAACGAGAGAATACATATGAACATGCCCAACGACCAACTCCAATTGAATCCTGGATTGCCAGAGTCTCAGAGACGAACCTTTCGACAATCGATACTTTCAACCTTTCGATCTTGAAAGCGAATCTCAAACTGGGTCCAGCTAGAAAAAACGACAATGAAAAGGGAAGCGGCTGGATACTACACATATGGGACAGGACCAGTAAATACGGCTTAACATGTGCTTGGCTGGAAAAAAATTGTACTATGGCCGACTTGGATTAGTAGCGGTTGATTATGGGTGGGTTGATGGTGGGTGAAGAGAAGCTCGGGTATGAGGCTCTGATGGGGTCCTTTTTTTGTTTCGTTTGAGAGGAGGGGTTGTATTTCTTATAGACCCACAAATGAGATTCGATCAATAGAAATTGAGACGATCTCTCAATATTAGTATAAATACGGAGAAGATTGTGATGATTATACCCAAACGGTGATAGTGTTGTTATTGTTGCCTTGTCGCTTGGTAAACACACCACGTGACCTCGCGACACAATGAACGCGTCCAGTAAGGAAACATTTGGGTTCGTGTAGAGAAGCCTGATTTTGCCACAGACAGAATCTTTGTGGGCCACGGCTGCCTGGTGACTCATTTATCTATTGAAATAGACGTGTTTTCTCTGACCCCGAAGAAAACACTGGACCAAGCTGTACGAATCTTCGTTTGATACCGGAGACACGTGCTCCTCCCTACGAAGAGAGACCCTCGATCTCGACGAGCCGATTGCGATCGCGATTATTACAACAAAGCAGCCTAAAATAAAAAACCCGGAAACATGACCGCAGATACGGAGACCCAGGGCGACTATGATGAGAGTCAACTGCCTGGCCCAGGTGCCCCAACCCCGCTTTCTGCACTGGAGGTGAGAGAGCCCTCAGAAACACCCGTGGACAGGAATAGCACCACGATATAGTCACCGATGAGTATGCTAACTGTGTCATCAGGGAGTTGCAGGCTTGACCGGGAGAGATATTAAGTTGTTTGTGGATGCTGGCTACCACACTGTCGAAGCAATCGCCTACACGTACGTTTGAAGGCACATCTATTCTTATCGCTGCTTACACCTCGAGCTTCGAATATATACTGATTTGATAAAAAATTGCTAGACCAAAGCGATTGCTGGAGCAGATTAAGGGAATCTCCGAACAGAAGGCCACAAAAGTCTTGGTGGAAGGTATGTCACTATGCGCGAGGGAATCCAAAGCCTCTCTGCTGCATAAGCATTGTCTGATAACCCTCCTCTGTATAGCCGCGAAATTAGTGCCCATGGGTTTCACTACGGCCACCGAAATGCACGCCCGACGAAGCGAACTCATATCTATTACAACGGGATCGAAGCGCCTTGACACCCTTCTCGGTGGTGGTATCGAGACTGGTTCAATAACAGAGATATTCGGAGAATTCAGAACGGGTAAAAGTCAGATCTGTCACACGCTCGCAGTCACCTGTCAGTTACCCTTTGACATGGGCGGTGGTGAAGGAAAGTGTCTATACATCGACACAGAGGGAACCTTCCGACCCGTCCGACTCCTTGCCGTGGCACAGAGATTTGGACTTGTGGGAGAGGAAGTTCTGGATAACGTGGCATACGCCCGCGCGTACAACTCGGATCATCAATTGCAACTTTTGAACCAAGCGTCGCAAATGATGTGTGAGACTCGATTCTCGCTGCTTGTGGTTGACTCGGCAACTGCATTGTATCGAACGGATTTCAATGGCCGTGGAGAGTTATCAACACGACAGACCCATCTAGCAAAGTTCATGCGTACACTTCAGCGCTTGGCTGATGAGTTCGGTATTGCAGTTGTTATCACGAACCAGGTTGTGGCCCAGGTTGACGGTGGTCCATCCTCAATGTTCAATCCTGATCCTAAGAAGCCCATCGGTGGTAATATCATTGCCCACGCTAGTACTACCCGTCTTAGCTTGAAGAAGGGTCGTGGTGAAACTCGAATTTGCAAGATCTATGACAGCCCCTGCTTGCCTGAGAGTGACTGTCTCTTTGCCATCAACGAGGATGGTATTGGTGACCCCAATGAGAAAGATGTGGAGAATGATTAAGGGGCTAATGATTCCTTCTTTATGTTATCGCCTATCTTATTCCTTACTATTGACACGATTTTAGTGACTTGACGAGCCTATTCAATATTTCACGGAGAGTATGGACATTGGTGAATTTTCTTTGCCTTTAGACTATCTCATTTTGACAATTGTACTTTAAAATGCACAATCATTGAAAATAAAACATTCAAAATTTCTGCCCTTTAGTATTCCTCTAGACTAGATATGTGAGACTGAGTAAATTAAATAGGATGTATTCCAACCTTGGAAGGTTGCTGATGTCCACCTGGGCAGACATAAGGCGGTAATGTTATTGCGGGTCGACCGCGCGCCAAGACTTTGTTTTTTGAGAGCTCCAGCTTTCCGCCCTGCAACTCTTTCCCGCCTTTAAAGCCATGGTCTGAAACGCCTCTGATCCTTGTGCTGTCCCAGAGCTGTTCACCATGGCGAAGATTTACAAAGATACCAGAGTCGACCTGCGACCGTTCTCACCGACCACAGTCGCCAACATTCAGATTTCTCCCGAGAGTGCGATACGCCGGACACGCTTTTCGATCTCATCAGGTTCCGACCACCACGAAACTCCCGTCGCGAAGGATGAAGATGAATTCGCCAGAAAATATCTAGCGACACAAGGGACAGTCTATTTCCGCAAGCGCAAGACGTATCCGCGAACATTCCTTTGGCGAGTTGTCAATGACAACAAAGTGTTGGAGATTCAATGCGCAGACCTTACCAAGGCCGGCTCAGAGAAGTTCGAATACAATGTGACACTGCGATTGAATTTCCCGGAACAGATTATCCCATCAGGTGTTGCGCTGGCCGACCATGAGGACCATGAGATTCTCAGTGTGTTTGTGATTACAGCCTCGAAACAACTCCACACATTGTCTCTCCGGCCGGAGTTCTTCAGAAGAATCGATTCAATCGATGAAAATGTGTCAGACTGGTGCAAGTCGAGCGTTCCGGCGCCTTTGTCTTTCTCTAATCCTCATCGACTCCATGCGAGCAGCCCACTCGAGCTGTTCATCTCTCTCGATAACGGCGCACTTCTACGACTTACCCGAAGAGCTGGGGACGACGGTACGCTTGTGATGGCTTTGGCATACAGTGTTGGTGATACGAAACTCGTGAAACTGACTTTTGATTTTCATTAGGCTCCCATTGGACCCCTCTGACATTCGATGAACGAACATGGGGTGCTTCGATCCGTGGCCTCGTGAAATGGAATGCACCCTCCTCACTTCGACACAATGGGCGCAACATCGACTTGAATGCCGCCAATGCGATTGCCACGACATCCGACGAGACCTACGTTTTTGCTATCTGTTTGAACCACACATTGAAGATCTGGAATCTGGCAACAAACAAGTTGGCAGCAACAAAGGACCTCCTGGGTCGCCCGATGGATCCGGATACCATACCCTATACCCTGAACCCCGCCGAGACATCGTTCATCCGAGTGTTCAATGCTGAGCGAGCTCTTGATGGAAGCCATCGCTTCTACGTGGTAACATACTCACCATTCGAAGATGGGCGCTTTAAGTTTTGGGCTGTGAAGGGAGGTCTTACATCGGATCTGGTCATTGAAGATCTCTTTGCAGATGCTGTTTTCCGACCAGTGGACCCAGATGTGACTGGCAACATGTTTTGGAGCATTGCAGACTTCCAAGTGAAGCCTATGGATGAAGGCAAGGGAATGGAGCTTTGGGTGCTTTGGAGAAACCATGGTCTGTACCAGCTGTATACCCTCCACTTCGATCTTCAGACAATGGTACAAGATTGGGAAAGGAATTGGGTCTCAACGGCATTTGAAGCACATCGACAAGAACCATTGCCCGCGGCAACCTTGGATGACGTGGTTGATCCGACCGAGAAATGGCTTGAATACCTTTTGCATCCGAACCGCTACCAGCCTGAAGTCCTCGAGACCGCCCTGGCTATCTACCAAGAAGCCCTCAAGCCCCTATCTTCTTCCTCATCTGTGGTTCTGAAGAAGGATAAGTCATTGGCAGAGAGGCTGTGCTCTACCGTTGCGGCGACAGTTTCACTACGCAAGTATGCTGAAGATGAAATGGGATACAGCCGCTACCGCAACGACACAGATGCCAAGTGGCGGCAGTTCTGGCAAGTTGCAGATGACCTCAACAAGCGGAGGTTCGAGCCTGTATCATTGGCTTATGATTCATACTTTGACATGCCATGGCTCCTTCTATCTGACTCTTGTGCTGTTATTCGTGAATGCAACACCACGGAATTACTTTTACACAACTCCGGATCTGAACTCAGTGAGGAGAGGCCGATTATTGTGGATCGCTGGAAGCACCGCAATTTGAGTGCCGAGCTTGGAAACTTGTATGAGCAAGCTTCTTCGTTAATGAAGGTTGCCTCGGATTTCAGGAAACGATTCTCTGCAGAACTTGACGCGGCTTGTCAGGCTGCCCTCGATGTCGAGATCTACAACGAGCCCTCATCGTCTATTACCGACCGCATGGATAGCTTCCGTGAGCGTTGTGAATTTGCGGATCAGATTTCCAATAGGACGTTTGATGGCCTCGTTGCAGCTTTGAATGAGAACCTGGACGCAGAGAACCTCTCCGGAGAGGTCTTCTACGCTATCATCGACACACTCCCTCTTGGATTTAATGGAAAGGACTCAGAACTTCTGTCGACATTCTTTGGGGCGCGAGTACTCGTTAGTGGTGCTTTAGAGACAATTCTTCTCAATCACCGGATGCTCTTTGATCTTTTAATCCTTGTCGCGTTTGTAGACAGTGAGATTGAGCAGGGCGCAGCTTCTACATTTGACGCCGCAGGATTGTTCTCCACTCTCACCGATCTTCTCAAAGAATATGAAATGATGCGCTGGCTCAGCTCCAATGTTCGGAAATGCGCCGATCGACCTGCGAATACAAAGTCCGACGCCTCAACGCCGATATTCTCCTTGAAAGACGCCCAGTCCAAGGTCAAGAACCAGAAGACAGCGACGATTCTTGAGGATCTATTTGTCACGGATATCAAGCCGCGTCAAGCGATTGGATTGCCCCAGAGCTATACTCTCTGTCTGGGCATCCGTGATGTCTTGGCCTGGGTCACCCGCCCAGGCGAAGTGGCTTACCCAAACGCTTTGGCATACATTCAGTGCGATCTCATTGCAAAGAACAACATTGACCTGGCATGGGATTTCCTTCGATTCCAACCCAGTACATCATGGGCTACTTATGTTAAGGGACGTCTGCATGTAGCGATGTCAGAGTTTGACATGGCCGCAATTTACTTCCGAAAGGCAGCATACTTGCTTTGTAAGTTTTGATACATTTTTTTCTACTGTCAAGCATCTAACTAATTGTCTCTAGCGTGTGGCAAGCCCCTGGGCAATCTGCATGAGATGTCGTCTACATTACTGGACCTCGTCTCTGTCAACTCCTTCCATAACGGTATTCCAAAGTACTACCAACATATCCTTTCCGTGTTCGAGAAAGTGCGATCATTCTCACACGTCGCGGACTTTGCCAGCCTGGCGCTGCAGGCTCTCGATTCTGAAGCATTGGCTGAGCAGGACCCTGAGTACGCCATTATGCGCACGGACCTGCTATCCCGATTATTCCATGCATCTCTCAAGACTTGCCAATTCGATCAGGCTTACTCTGCCCTGGCTCGTTACCAGGACCTTGCTCTCCAGAGATCAGCTCTCAGCTCACTCATCTCCAACATCCTCACCGTCTCTGGGCCTGGAGCTACAGGTCTCAAGCAAATTCTCCGTTTTCCCACCTCCCTCGTGCCCAACATCGCTTCTCACATCGACGATATTCTCGTCTCCCTTGCTCGCAAACAAAGTTCCTTCAATTCATGGCTGGACGTTGAAAACAATGAATCCGACAACGCACCGGACTATCACCGCATCTTGCAAGCTTATCGTATTGCCCGCTGCGACTACCGTGGTGCTGCTGAGATAGCATACCGCAATGTCCAGCGTCTTCGCCATGCCCGAGATGCACCATCATCCGCTCTTACCCTCAAATCGAAGGAAGTCGAAGAATATGTGGTTCCCGAAGACGATCCCGAGAGCAAGGAGATCCGACACGAACTCCTGTCCTTGATCAATCTTCTGGCCTCAGTTGATAAGAGCGAGGCTTACATTCTCGTTGAGACTGGCCCACTTCCATCTTCTGGTTCTGTTGGTGACTCATCGCATGCCCGCCCTCGCAGCTCCCACACTGACGAGGACGGTAACGTCTTCATGGAAGATGCAGAGATGGAATCCCCTACAGCCTCCCATAGACGTCGGTCGTCCAATGCTTCCTTCGCATCTTCAGGCCGCCGAGGTAGCCGTTCGTCCATCAGCCTTGGACACAGCGGGGTCTTATTCAAATCAATTACTGAACAACCTCAACAACGCGTAATTGTTACACTCGAGCACTTGCGTCGCGAATACCAATCCGAATTAGATCGCGTCAGTCGCATCGAGCGCGGTGACTGGGAGTTCGGTCTTTTGGACGACGAGGAGGAAGAATTTGATAACGATGAAACGATGGTTCTCTAGTTGAGGATGGCATAGTTGATTTTACACTCTATGAAAATCTTTTTTTTCTTATCGAGGTCTGCTTAAGGCTATAGATGGCTGATACCTGACTTTGATAATCGCTTTTGATATTTTCTTTTATGTTATGTGCAGCTGGAAGTTGACATTCGGTGGAGTTTCAAGCATCATGTCCGAATAGTTTCTTTTTGTTTTATTATAGGATAGTTTTGTGCCAAATCGGATTTCACGTCTTTTTTGTGACTTGGAGCTTTCTTCTCTTCATCCATCCCATCGTGCGGAGTTAATAGTTGCACTTTTTGATATCACACCATCCACAGTCAGGGATATCTCGGATCACAGGGACCTCAGGCTGATAGTATGAGCCACTGCACCCAGCCACTAGGGGCCCGGGCCGAGACTGTTGACTGTGGCAACTGTCCGAGCGCAAGTTGATCTCAATGGCCTATGTGTCGTGCCCCGTAGCCCAAGGCAAATGCTGGAAGTAGCTCCCCCAACACAAATGGGCATAGGCTTTCACCGCAAGAAATTCATCTGCCTACGTTAACTGGTTGCCTACGCTGATAACTTATTTAAGCGCCTTGAGTCCACTGTATAAAAGTCAAGGTGATCTCTCATTTCAGGGGAAGCTCGTGATTATCCACAGATACGGAGTACTCTGCAGCTGCTCCTGTCCCTGCATATCTCATTTTCTGTGTATGTGTGTGCACGCATATGAGCCATGGACTCTATCTCCCCACTCAATACTTCTCCTTGCTTTTTTACCCCTGCAGCAGAAAACAGGAACCGTCCTCAAACCCCTGGAATTATCAGTCAGCCAGTAGTCCCACCAAAGCCCGATGGAAATGAAATTCTGGTTAAACTCCTCATCTTTAATGGTGCTCCTTTCAAAGATCATTGGGCCTATTGGGTGTGCTCTCGTGATGACCCCCCTAATCGGAGTCAAAGTGCATGTCATGGGCGATGTGAGAGCTGGCTTCGAGTTCCAGGCCAAGAGAAGCCACAGTCTGCATTCATCTACCAACCTCCCCTCGAAGCGGGTCCCACTTCAGTGGGTCTCAGCCCATTTCTTTGATGAGGAGGCCATGCTTAATCATGGAATTGAGAATGATGATGATATGCCCATTGGGCCTTTTGAAGTTACTGCCCGACTGGCTGAGCCTCCAGGGAAAACATTGAATACTGTTGATAAAAGGGTAACCAGCAGACTTTTAGAAAGAATTTCATTTCCGGAGTTATGATGCTAATCAAACGAGTCTAGAACATCTCCGAAAGGCCTGTCCGAAGACGAATCATTCAACGAGACTGCCAGACGTGGGTTTGTGAGTCTGCTGATAAGCTTGTCGAAGGTGGGATTTTCAGAGAGGATGTTGCTGCATACCTACGTGCCATCACACAGTGAACGAATTCTGGCATGCTGTAATTCTACAGACTGCCAATGCCCAGACCGGCCTGTCCAGATGTTGTCAGCAAAAGAAATTATTGGCTCATATTGGTAATGACTCCTCCAATCTTCACATATTCTAATAATGGTTATATGGAGCAGTGATGCCATAACTACCGTGTAGTATGCATCACAGGGCTCGGCATATATGCCCTGGTAATAATATCAGAGGCCCTAGGACAGAACGAAGATCATGATCCATCAAGTGCTATCTGCTCAATACTGTACGGAGTATTATTCAAGCTATCGGATAATGCCTCCGTTGGAGATTGTCTGGACCTATGAATTTCGGGAAACCGAATCCTGTTTTTACTGTGCCACATAGTTCAGCCTTGCATCCACACAATCCGGCCCGTCGGCCCTTGGAATGTACGAGCTCCCACCTTTGCTTATATTGCACTATTTCAACGTGATAGCTTATCTCCAGCATTATAGGATGTATCAAGAGGCCATACTAAAGCTAAATGTTAGACGCAGCCAAGTAGAGAAAATACCTTGGCTACATTCTTCTCAAGTTGCAGAAGAAGAGCTCCACGTGGCGCAAGTTATACGTAGAGGGAGCTCCGTGCCGACAGGGGCAGCTTTAGGCAGGAAATTTTTGAAAAACAGGATTATGTAGTCATTCATATAGGATGTGGCCTGTCTGGGCACTGGAATCAGCAACAGAAACACCTGGGCAGTGGCAACGTCCACGCAAAGATGCTGTCAATAGCAGCTCTTTTGGATTATAACTCACTCGTCTTACATTATGGCTATTTCATTTTTGTTGCTGCGATTGGCAGCATCATACTTTATTTTACTTCTGCGCAGATCTCGGATCTCCACTACGCTGACGCGTCATTCATGAGCTTCAGTGCTGTGACGGGAACTGGGCTGAACGTGGTGCGTCTAAACTCCAATCGGCCTTGACTGACTATTACTGTGGCTAATGCTGGATGATATGCATAGGTTGATCTTTCCCTCCTGACTACTGTCCAACAAGCAACCTTGCTTGCCCTGCTCATCCTCGGACATGCGATTCCGCTACTGGGAGTTTCCTCCTCCATACGTGCTTGGGTGTTTTACCATACACTAAAAGATGAATCATATAAAAAGGAAGAGCTAGAGAGAAAAATTGGTATATCTTGTTTGGAGTTCAAGATTTCACAGCTCTTGGATGAGAAGGATGGGACGAAAAACACCACATCCCTTGATATCAAATCCACAGTAGTGGAATCATCTGCGACCTCGACTCTGGATGGCCGAGATCAATTAAGCGAGGCTGGTCAGTGCACCATCATCACCGATTTGACCAATCCAAACCAGATCCAACAGTTGGTCATTGTTGATGAGAAAAGGAACACGCACCCTAAAAACAGGATCCTTTCTCGTCTAGTTGCTCGATCAAGGAAGACAGTTCAATGGACAAGGAACCATTTGAAGCCGAGGTTATCGAGTAACCTCACTAGCTCAGATGGCGTGGAGTGCAGAGCACTTTTATTTCTTGCATTGCTCATTTTCTCTTACTTTTTTCTCTTCCTCTCACTCGGAATCTTGATATTGGGTCTTTGCTTAGACCTTTACCACCCAGATATTCCACGGGCTGATGGTGTCTCACCTATATGGGCAGGCGTTTTCCTTGCTACGTCTGCATTTGTCAATAATGGCATGTCTCTAATTGATGCTAATATGGCACCTTTTCAAAGGAAGTAAGTCATCAAATACGCAAGAATGAACTCCTCTGGACAGATTCTCACCTAACTAGCGCCATTCCACTCCTTGTCTGTGGTTTCTTGATCTCAGCGGGCAATACTCTCTTCCCTTGCTTGTTGCGATTGTATATCTGGGCAATGAGAAAGCTCTCACCCAGGAAGCCCAGTTGGCAGGCTTGGCGCCAAACACTGGATTTCACTCTCATTGAGTCCCAAAATGTTAGTTTGTCAATCTCGAAATAAATAATCGTACACTGACCAGGCATACAGATTTGTTCCTCGTTGTACCCAACTTGGCATACGTGGTTCTTGCTTGGCACAATACTGGTCTTGAATAGCGTTATGTGGGGGGGCTTTTGAGCTTGCTGCTATTCAAGATACGGAAATCAAAGCTTTGCCTGCCGGATACAGAGTCCTCGATGGACTTTTCCAGTCTTTGTGTAGGTCTCCTCTGTTTGGTCGTTTGGGCGCATGTGCTGATCAATTACTTCAAGCTATACGCGGTGGTGGATTCTCCGTTGTATCATTTGACAGGCTGCCACAGAGTCTACTCATTCTCTATGGTATGTTTCTCGTTTTGAAATAATTCCCTCCATCTGGGTCCTAGCTAACAAATTTCTCCTGTAGCTCTGATGATGGTAAGATACTGATTAATAAATAAAGGAGCAACATTCTAATATTTTCTTATGCAGTATCTCTCTGCCTTTCCAGTCTCCGCTGCAATTAGGTACGATAACCCCAGCTCTTTGTACAGCATTATTCTTACGTTGAACAGAAGCGCAGAAGTAGTCACGAGGCTCAAAATGACCGACATGATATCAAAAGAGGACCCTTATTCCAAATCATCATACACAGACAACCCCTATCTCTCCAAACTGGCACGGGGCCGATTCATTTACCACCAAATACGCTCTCAATTCAGCCATGACATATGGTGGCTTTCGCTGACAACCATCGTTATCACCATTGCCGAATCAGATCATTTCAAGTCTGAACCTATTCCCTTTTCTACGTTCAACATCATTTTTGAAGTTGTATCCGCATACAGCTGTGTGGGCGCGAGTATTGGGTATCCCGATAAGACTTATTCTTTTTGCGGTAAATGGCATACTTTTAGCAAGTTGCTGTTGGTAGCGGTCTCTTTGAAAGGAAGACTCCGTGGTGTGTCTATCGCGAGTGCGAGGTCAACGTCATTTTATGAGTCTTGGAAGAAGAGGAGGGATGTTGAGTTGCAGAAAGATCATGATATAGAATTTAATGCAAAATAATATTCCTGCGCTTGATTCTGCGCGTCATGTTAGGCTCTTCTTCAATGTTTTAGTGATCTTCAGCTAGCTTCTGGGCTCTCACTCAGAGTGACTTACTATGTAGAATTTGATGGAAGTGATTTATATTAATAGTAATATCAATATCAGACTCAGAGGGTACAATATGATTTCTCTATGGCAACCTGGGTACTGCGCAGCTCAAGTTACAGGAAAATAAAAAAAAGAAAACAATGTGAGCAGGGACTGAGCCAGGGACTTTTGATTTCGCGATGAATGCGTCAAGTGAGGCATCAAAATGAGCAGGATGATGACAGCTTCAACTTTCAAAAAAACGTAATAAATCCAATAAAATAGATGAAAATATAAAATTAATATCAAAAGAAAGAGCAAAAAGAAAAAGGCTCCGCAGAAGTCTTTCGCATAGTCCGCGGCATGCTTTCTCACGGTGGTGTTCCACTTAGGCAAGTCTCACGCTCGCTGATGCTACTTGACAACCCTCAGTCCCAGCAAACCAGACTTATGGTATCATAGTGTCAAATCAACTCGGGACAGACACGATAGCCCGCATGGCTACTACGATGCGGATGGTTATCTGGACTCCAATTTACCCCTGTAACTGAGAAACCATATTAACGCCAGAATTTACAGGCAGCTTAAGTGCTATTGCCACTTCACTTCTTTGACTTGGAGAGACCTCACTACTACCTACTCTTAACCATCCATGGATTATCTAAAGAGTACTTTTCTTGTTTTTCTATATGAGTACCACACCTACACCTGCCATCAATCATTTTTTTTTTAAAAAAATATACCTACTAGTTTCTAGCCTAGGGTGTAGTATAGGTCTTAAGTTCAAATATTAGATTAGGCTGGACTTTTATGGTATAAAATTGGAAAATTAATTTCGTGGATTTTTATTCAGAACTTGAAACTATTGACACATGGCGCTCAATCGCAGTATATTATAATTATCAACATTTGAACCACTGTTATCTCCATAATCGTATGTGGTGGATGGTCCAGATATGCCGCGTCATTGTGTATCATAGCTAGTAATCTCTTGTTGCCTCATTACTTCCACAATTTATTAAATCCGAGATTTTTTATCAGATCTTAGGCCAAGCATCTACACCATCCAATAACACCATACCCATACCAGAAGCCAAATGTGTCTCCATATGACAGTGTAGGAAAAATGCTCCTGGGTTCACAACCTGATACCGAATAGCAATCCAGGATTCACCAGTCGGGGCAGTTATGAAGGTATCTCGGTAGATTGGAGTATCAAAGAAGCTTTCCGGGGATTCTTCGACTGCGTCTTCAATAGATCCCCAGGTGAACTGCCCCTGGCCTGCACCGATCAAAAATGCTTTGTTGGAGTGTTTGTGGATTGGATGAGGGGGCTGAAGTCGAGTAGGCTCCGGGATCACAAGCTGGAAGACAATATCCACCCAAGTATTATTCTTTGTCTCGATCTTGAGTGTTGAATCAAGTCCGGGCGCTTGTGGGTTGAAAAGGACGGGCTCCATTTCAGCGAGGTTCGCGGGTAGGAAGGTAGAGCCATCTAGAGTCCATTCCCACGATGAGTTGATTCTTCCCAGACTCAGAAGATGGAAATCATCCGCATAGGTGGCTGGTTGGATCTGAGGGTATGGGGGGAGATTGGTGGTGTTTAACTCTATCACAGAAGCTGTGGTGTTGAGACCTCCGTATGTAATGTATGGTGTAGACTCGCGCTGGCTTTCCTCGCCGCCTTTATAGCTGACTGTTGCGAAGCCGGAGATGATCTGATTTCCGTTTCCAGCAGCCCTGATTGTGTAGTTTGCAGGCTCTTGGTCCAATCGGACCATAACAGAATATCGTTCGCCATTATAGATTGGAACAGAATGAGCCAGTTGAGGCTCAATTGATCGCCCGTCCACCTCATAAACATACATCGGGTGCTCATCAATGGATACAGCCAATGCTTTGAGACCCGCGGCACTGATGAAATTGAAGCTAGCCCATTTTTTGTCCGAGTCGACGTTGAAAACCGATGGAGGGCCTTCGCTGGGGACGCAGCCAGAGATGATACCCCCAGGCAACTTGTCGGGATGATGGTCCCAATTACCTTCCAATGTTGGAATAAGAGGATCGCACCTATTGAGTGTCAGAGCTGGTTGTGTTAGAAGGGAGAGCCACAAGACTTACCCCTTGTCCGTTAGTGTTGCATTGATAGCTGCTTTGATTTGCGCCGGTTGCATATCAGTCAACTCCTGAGGATCTTTGCAATACACCGATCCCTGACCATTGATCAGGATACTATCAGAGCAACTGGTAAAGTTAGCCTAGTCTCACGGAGTAGTCTGTCATATCACTTACAAGATGTCATATCCTGACTCTCGCTCAGCTTGCATGTAGGCGTCCGAAGTGAGGTGGTCCCAATCCGACAGAACTACTATTTGAGGGTCCCTTCGTGCTTCTTCCATAGCACTTATTTCGGTCGGGTCATCTGTAATAATCGAAAAGGGCGACTCATTTTCGGCGGATGGTCTGATGACACATTAGCGGAGCCGATGAATCGCGATTATATGCGAACTGACCGTATGTAGATGGCGCCGTATAAGCCATCCATTATTTTTGACTTATCATGCGAATGATACCAGTAAGTTCCATACTGTGTGGCCTGCCAGTTGTACGTATATTTCTGACCAGGAAGTATGCCCCATTGCGAGAGACCCGATACTCCATCGGCCTGCGGTGTGCCCATTTGTCTGAATTGAAGACAATCAAGCCCAAGTTAGTCAACTTTTCGGCGCGCATTTATTTGCTAGGGACGTACTCAATGCCATGGAAGTGAATAGATGTATTGAAAGGTAGGTTATTTGTCACTTCGATCTTATCCGGTCAGTACATGATCTCGAATAGATACAGATGATGGTCTCAAACTCACTATTACATCATCGCCTTCATCGAAGATCAGCGGTGGTCCAGGAAACTGATCATTGATGAACACCATCTCCCGCTCAACGCCATTGGGAGAGCCCCTTTGCCAGGTGAGATCCAAGGCGAAATGAACTTGAGCCGCTTGTGCTAGCGCAATCAAGTCGATAACGCCCAGAGCGAGCCATTTTGTACGCGCCATCATCATCGATTTTCTCGAGATTTTCAGCACTTAATGACGACCAACTGAGCGCTTGCCCCAGTGGACGCGATCCCCGTGTTTTATTGTATTCAACTCATCTTTCTGGAGCCCATTCCTACATACCTGCCAAGCCACAACATAGTTGCAATGTTTACATTCTTTCGTTCGGCCCGTTCGGCAGATCTTGCACAGGCAGCAAAAATATGGTTTCATGACTCGTGGAATTGTGAACGGTAGGAATGAATGGCTGAAATCAGTTATAGGTCTGGACTGAAACTTGGTGGTGGGTGGCTGGCTCCCAGTGCCCCTAGAAAGATTGATATTGATATGCATGCACTGAAAGTCTCCCTGGTGGTTTGACTGTCCAACCTTCCGAACTCAGTCCTTGGGAGGGGGGGTGGGGTTAAATTCCTCTGTGAAATTCGAGTATTGAATTTAACTCTCACTCTAGCTCTCACCCTGTCCTGAGATATCGATTTGTTGTTTATTATGCCCAGGTGGAGATGGATCAATATGCTGAACCCCACCTGGGCACCAGCCTTGGGAGCAAGATGCAAGAATATTATAATTTATCATAGTTTATGTAATTCAGCTCACTAAAATAGTTATTATTTACTCCGTACAGATATCCCCAATATGAAGATATTTCTTCACAGAAATGATGAAATCCCAACCAAACTCATTCTCCTTACGCGTCGCGGAATACGCTGTTGTTGGGGTGAGCTTTGTAAGCTAACGCTTACTGGATGAGGTTGGGGCCGTCTCAATTGTCATCATATGACTTATCACGACCTCAAGTTGCCTGGCCTTTAATAAGAACCTTGGAAGATAAAAAAGAGTGCGAAGTATCAACATTTGAAGGTCAAGTTTCAATCCTCTCTGAAGACTACGTCCTCAAACATGGCTGTTGGTGGGTGTTTTTGCGGAAATGTCCGCATCGAATATACTGGTCAGCCTATTGCGTCGGTGAGACAACCACTCCGAGTCTTGAAAGTATCACTTAGACGTGTGTGAACTGACTTTTTTTTCTCTTTGCTCCTCATCAAAGGCACTATGTCATTGTGAGGATTGCCGCAAACTGACCGGCACACTGTACTCATACAGTCTCGTGATCAATGCCGAAGACTTGAAGGTTACTGGAAGCCCAAAGGCAGTGGCTAAGGTATCGGACGCTGGAAATCACTTAAACAACTTCTTTTGTCCAGACTGCGGTAGGTCATACAATTCTCATCGAGTCATTGAAATTGCGTCTGACGAGCTTCATAGGCACACCTATCTATGGTCACAAAGTTGACTCAGCTGATAAGCCCCTCGGAGTGGTAGTTCTTCGAGCGGGCATTTTTGATAATCCTGAGCTCCTGAGCCAGCGCAAGCCTGTGGCAGAGATTTATACTAAAAACCGCGTAAGCTGGCTTAGTCCCATCGAAGGAGCCGATCAATACCCCGAGGGATTGGCGCTGCCATAGGTCGTTGCGTCGTCATATTCGGAGAATGAGATGAAATGGATATCGTAAAATTGGAAATGCACTGATAAGACTTCCCATTGTAATTTATTGTTTATTTAAGACGGTTTAATGCGAGGCCAATAAACGAAAACTCGAATGCTAGAGACTCGGACTGTCGTGATTCAATAATATTGTAGTCTATCAGGGGCTTTGTCCTGAAATTGTTTACGACACTTAATCATCCAGGCCAGGACAGTTCTCACTAGTCTCTGAAGTGATATCAGTATAGGGAGATGGGTCAGTCCAGATGATGTTAAAGCTATAATCGGATTAGTTTTACACCCTCGACAATATTGAATCTCACAAGGGATATGATCGGACAAAAACATACCTATCATCTGGATAATCAGGAGCATCATCATCACCAAGCTTCTCGACAATATCGGTTAGAGCATCATGCTCCCAGCAAATAAGGATATTTCCCGATCCAGTGTATCCGTCAACAACATCCTTGACACAGCCAGGGTCATCCCGGTCACAAGATGTATCAACAGTCAGACCCAGATCCTCTGCCAGAGGTTCGACTGTGTCGTACGGACGCTGACGGCTGCCATCTATATCGGTCATCAGACACATGATAATCCTTAAACGAATCGAGTCAAAGACGTTTGAGAATCCAAACTGGAAGTCTCCATTGAGAAAAAAAATTCACTAACCACTTTGAGGAGTTTGTGCCATGATATGGCCAATATTGTAGCTGGAGCTCGCACCAAACACGGTCCGCAAGCACTGAGCCCGCTCAAGACCCTCGGAGCTCAGTCCATCTCCATCATCGGGCTTCTCACCATGACGGATGAGATAGACAGTTGGATCAGCAACTGCGAGTGAGGCAGCGGCCAAAAACAAAAGGGAAATAGCCTTGACCATATTGACGGTTGAATCAAGCTTGATTCAATGTTGGAAGGATCTTGGCCTTATTGCTTGAGTTATTGTTAACGAGCTGTGTGAGATGCTTGACTGTTTTATAGTTGAATCTCGCGAATATACTTTACACGATTCAATCGAATGCTACCTTCTCTTGCATCTCGCGGCTTATGCCGATTCCAAGATACCCATACACCGTTTCGATCAGGATGACATGGGTAGTCGTGTGAGTGTGATTCGTTCGGCGATCAGTTAGCTAGGCTTGTCTAGGTAATTGAAGAGAAACCTTGGAATTGCGCCCGCTCCCGCTTTTTACGATCCCGAAGCTTGGCGGGTCTTGGCTATTGAGAGCCTGAGGCTACCAGGCCACTATTTACTATCAGATTTGATTCCAAAGGTTTCTCTTGTCTTTTGAAAAAGAAATTAAATTGGTCTCGTGAATATTCGATTGTTTGTTCACTATGGGGTGTAGGCTCACATCCATCATCATCAGCAGATGGTGTGCAACTTCAAGTTCCCGTTTCCGGGTTTCATGGATCATCTCAAATCCCTCAACATCATTTCAACATCATTTCAACATATTAGACGAAAACATCAACGGAACAATTTCTCGGATTCTTTTACATTCACTCCTGGTCAATCTTGAGTTCAAGTGCGAATTCAAATTGGTGGAAAGTTTCACTATGACTCAATAGAAATGGATTCCAAGTTGATGTTCAAGTGAACCGTGACCGGCGTGAAAATGATATATATCTTCGGAGGAAAACCACACCTACTACCTAGTATGCGTGGACTAGTACGTACTACTACACAACATAGTACCTATAGGGACTAGTAAATATGGGAAGACTCGTGGTTTCCAATGTTGTATTTTTATAATAGTATTAACTTGCACATGTGAGCAAATCTATCATGCATGACTGATGAGGGAACTGGAGAAGATTACATAGTTCAAACACTTTGAATGTTGACTTTATGGAAATTTATGAGTGTCACGGTTGTGGAATTGCCAAGAGGGAAGCGACCGCTGGCAGTTGACACATGTACTAGGATGTGTGCAGACACTGGCATCGGAGCCCGAATATTCAGATTGGACTCCCGATAACTCGAGCATTAGCCCTGGAGAGTCTGACAATACAACACTGAAGTCAGGGTTTTGAGAAAGACGACGAGAAAAGCGCCCACTAGTAGTACCGCCCGTGTACCGTGTCACGCATCATCTGGTGTATCTCGACTTGATTGAAGCTGAGGACTTGAGTGCTGGAGTTACTATGGGACGATTCTACGAGCCCGAGGGAAGGAGAAATCTATGAGGTTGAGTGTTGTAATTTGAAAGTGCAATAAGAAAAATCATCATTTTCGTTAGAAAGAGACTAATGCGCAGTATATCATATTATATCCATCTTAACCAGTCAACAAATTCATAGTAAGTTGAAAAGGGGTTAACGAGAGTCAAGAAAAAAAAGACAAACCACAGTTCGAACCAGAGGCTTGGAAGTCAGACAAACGAGCGTCGAGAATCAATCAAAGAATAATGACAAAATAAGAAAAAAGGCAGAAGTACAAGAACGCCTGGCAACGAACTCTGTATGTTGACGTCGATATGTACCATAAAGACAGTGGATTGGCGCGCCAAACAAAGGCTCAATTTGTGCAGTGCCATAATGTAAAAGAAAAGAGGACAGCGAAAATTGCTGGAAGAAGCCACGTAAGTGGGAACACAAATGAGAAGCTTATTCCGAGTCTTCTGAGGCCATTGCGCTGGCGTAGAGCTTGCTAAAGTGAGACTTGGGTTCTGTTAGTAGCGTGTACGGTTCACCCGTTTCCACGATACGGCCAGCCTCCAGCACCACAATGCGGTCAAAGTCGAGAATGGTATCGAGCTTATGCGCTACAGAGATAATTGTGTGATTACAGAATTTCTCACGGATGACGCGTTGCATGATTTCATCGGTCTTGGTGTCGATGCTGTTCGAGATTTGAGATTAGCAAAATGTCTTGTGTACTGTAAGGGGTGGATAGGGGGAATAGTGGGGCGAGACGCGTTGGTCTGAGCGGGTTATCGCGCTCGGATCAGACAAGTCGCCTATGCAGGGGGTTTGTGGCAGACAGGAACAAGACACAGGTTCCAAAAAAGCAAAAAAAAGTAAATGAAATCAATATGGAAGGAGGCAAACAATCAAAAGTGGAGATTTCCCCTAAGCGAGGAGTGCAAGTGCAAACGTGAGGGGGTAAGACAATAATTGATAGGTGTGTACTCACTTGCTGGTCGCCTCATCGAGAATGAGGATGTTGCCCTGGCGAAGAATTGCTCGTGCTAGGCAGAAGAGCTGCTTCTGGCCGTGAGACAGGTGGATCTCATCGATCTCGGTATCCAAGTCACCTTTCTCTTGGATGGCTGGTAAGAGTTGCACGGTCTTCAATGCAGCTAGAATGTCTTTATCGGTGGAGACGCCGGTTGGGTCGGCATTCAGGCGAACACTGCCCTTGAACAAGAGTGAATCTTGTGACACTCCGTTAATGCGGGATCGAATCTCGGATCTTGGGAGCCGAGAGATATCTTCTCCATCCACCGTAACAACACCGTTTGTCAATTCGATCATGCGGAATATAGTCATAATCATGGAAGTTTTGCCACTGTGTTCATGTAAGCGCAGTCCGATTTGGAATAATAGTCTGGACGGGTATCTTACCTTCCTGTTCGGCCGCAGATGCCGACCTTCTCCCCGGCCTTCACAGATAAAGACACATCGTTGAGAACTGGCTCAGTGGGTCTTGCATAGAGAGTCAGTATTTCAAATGCTTTTAGAAATGAAGGGTGGTGGAGAATCAATAATACCTGTAAGCTGCTGAAACGGAGTGGAAGTTGATAGCACCTTGAGAAGGCCAGTTCGGGGGAATCTCGCCATCTTCACCGGGCAAGTCCTCTGACTCCACTGTACCGGTGAATTCCTTGATGCGTTGAATTGAACCAATGTGGGTCTCCAGATTTGTCCAGAAGGTGACCATGAGTTTGATTGTCTGGCTGAACTGGATCACGTTCAGAAGGGCGATACCCATTGAGCCTGCATTGAAAGAAGTGCCACGAAGGACCACAACCAGAACAACGAGGAGAATGGCAATACCAGCGACTAGCATATCGAGAGATAGAGTCAACCATCTTTGAATAGCAAACATGTAGTAGAACGGGCGTTGGGAGATATCCAGGAGTTCAATGTTCTTCTGTTCCATGCCATGTTGCCAACCAAACGCTCTCAAAGTAACGAGTCCTTGAAGAGAATCGGTGAAGTGAGAGAATAGAGGTGCTTTTGTCTCAAGGTCGAGGTATCGTAGCTGACGAGAAGTTCGGAGATACAGCTTCTGGATAATGAAGAGGGCACCAAGAACAACTGGGAAGGAGATAGCAGCATACTTTGACCCAACTCCGATTAAAGCCATCTGTGCCATGCAGAGGAAGACAGTAGCGATGGTGTTGATAGCGGCGATAGGGAGGTCCATGTCAATAAGCTGCAAGTCTTGACTGAATCTGTTCAGAATGGAGCCACTGTCTGTTGTGGAGAAGAAAAGCATAGGTGCGCTGAGAACAGTAGTCAATAGGCGACGGTGGAAAGACTCGCCAGACCTAGGGACCATGACAATGATCATTTGCCAGGCACCTACAACGAGAGCAATCATGCCAATACAGCCAAGCATTACATAGATTCCAAGATAATATCCAACGCGTTGCCTGGGGTGGGCAGTATCAGACTCTGCCCACCACTCAACCCAGATGCTGGGAAACGAGATGCAGAAGACAAAACCAGCCATGGCAACGAGAAAAACCAGTGTGGGGAACCAACCGATAGCATTGACGTAGTAATGATAAATGCCAAGGTCACCACCGGTTGGGCGATTTTCAGGCTCTGGGTCTAGGTCTTCCTTCTCATTCTCAATCGAATCAAAAGTACTGTAGCTGGGAGAGTCAGAGAACCGCTTGGGCTTGTAATCCCAGTCAGGTGCAGTGAGTCCGAAGCTGGATACGTATCCACCAGTCTTGTTAAGAGCGCTGAAGCTTCCCTGTTCCATCATACGTCCTTGACTATCCAAGACGACAATGACATCGGTGTAAGGTAGGCGTTTCACTATAGAATGTTAGATTAAGGACAATTAACAAAGGGAGAAAAAATCTTACCAGATGAGGAGGCAATGATGATGGAAGTACCAATCTCCTTCAGAAGACCCATGGTTCCAAACAAGTTGTAGAAGATGTTGTTTTCAGTAGTAGCGTCGAGACCGCTCAAGGCGTCATCCAGGATAATAATCTTGCGGCGAGCGTAAACAGCGCGAGCGAGCGCAATACGCTGACTCTGGCCGCCACTGAGAGCAACACCCTTGCTTCCAATAATACTACGATCCCCACGGGGGAATTGTGCAAGGTCCTCTTCAAGCGCACAAGCCTGGACAACAGAAGCATACCATCTAGGGTCGTATCCCGAGAGGGCAACAATACTGTCTTTGATGGTACCATTCATATGCCATGGGGTTTGGTCGCAGAAAGCCACACTTTCAGAAGCCAGTTCGACCTTACCTTCTGTGCAAGGCATTTCACCAAGGAGAGCTTTGAGCAGCGAGGATTTACCACAACCGGAAGGACCAATGATCATAGTAAAGCTTCCACGAGGGACGGTAAAGCTGATGTCCTTCAGAGTGGGTTCCTTCTCAGAATCCCAGGTGAAAGTTGCATTTTGGACCATTGCAGAGTTGGTGGAAGAGGCGGTAGAGATACGCTTAAATGACTCGAGGGAATCAGATGGAGTTGAGGCAATATCCAGATCACCATCTTTGGAAAGCAGCTTGGCCTCACCAAGGTCCTCGAGGGAAGGAAGCATAGGAGCGTGCAGACGCTGGTCACTGTGATCTTCCTTGTCAAGGAACTCTTGAATTCGAGCAAATGAACCAACTGATCCGGCAAATGACATAAGAGCCATGACCAATGTCAACAATGGGTCTGAAAGAAGCGAGAAGAGCGCCAAGGCGGTATAGACTTTGGTGATAGTGAGTGGGCTGCTGGAAACAGCTTCATAAACACCAAATGTGAAGATAGGGGCAAAGATGCGAGTCAACCAGGCTACGAGAGTCAGTATTGATAGAAAGAGGTGATGAAAGTGGATCTCATACCGAATGCCATGTTGTAAACCAGAAGGATACGGAATTTTCTCGAGATATTGATTTCATCAAGACGAAGCCCATGAACAAATTTCATGAATGAGTTCTGCAGTCCGAGCATCTTGACTCCTTTGATTGAGCCCAGCATGCCAGTGGTGGAAGAGATTCGTTTCTCAATAGCTTCGAGCCACTGTGCCTGGCGAGCCACGACAAAGGACATTCCAATAAAAGAGCCGATCAATGCGGCTATTGAGAGTTAGGGTCATGCAATCCATAAGGGCCATTATTGAGGGAAGAACTTACCAAGGGCAACACCAACAGGGACAACACACGAGGTTCCAAGTTGACGATCCAGAAGGTAGATTGCGATTGCAATCTCGCACGAGTTGGCCCACATCTCGTTCATAGTTTGCCAGCCGGTAGTGATTCGCTCCACATCAGCGCTCATGAGAGTCAGAGAATTGGCAGGATCGGCATTGCTGATAGTTGTGTTGGTGGCTTTCTTGTAGAGCATAGTGACCAGGACACCTCGGACCATGGTGATTCCACGGTATGTCATATGCTGGTACTGGCCCATACCAACCTGTGGTTGTTAGTGAATGCTAAAATATGACCATTCTGAAAGACTTACTGCCATGCCGAAGTAAACCAAAGCATAAGCTCCAATAAGACCATATCCGACATTTGTAGTCTCTTGGGTAACCGGCTCGTCGAAGTATGTAAGTGACCTCGTCAAGAGCAAAGGTTGACAAACGTTGAATGCCACCACGGCGGCTCGGGAGGGAATAGCTGCCAGGAGTGGCCATTTCGCAGCCTTGAAGCACTCCCACTGAAGCGAATTTCCAGTCTTGTTTTTGACTATGCAAAGTTAGCTATTAATTCTCCACTCTTCTTTGCCTTAAAGTGTTATTTACCATTCTTCCAGCGCTCCTCGAACATTGTCAACAGTCTCTCAGAGCTAAGCTCTTTGTCCAACGCAAACAAATCCTCTACATTGAGAGTGCTCGTGTAGCCAATTTTGAACAATGGGTTCAGCCAATAAAACATAGCTTGGCTATAAAAACCAGAAGTTGCCTCTGGAGGATAGCCTTGATACTCTTCCTTGAGGATGCGTCGCTTTTCAACAGCCTCCAAGATCACAAGCAAGAGTTTGACGCACATCGCAATTGAGGTGACAGTTGCGATGATATCATTGAAGCTGTTGATAGAGCGAAGCCATAGTGTTCTAGCGTGAGCGGCGTCAAACAGCAGCGTGATAAGGAGGTATGCATTCAAGATGAAGGATGGTCGGACAGATCGAGTGTGTTCCGCGTATGAGAGGACAATCAGAACCAGTGAGCCAATTGTCAGCAAGGCATTAGTCGCCAAAGAGGCTTTGGTTCCATCGGCAGAAGGCAAGGCCCATAGGACAGTTTGGGTGATTTGAAGTCCGAGTAAGAATAACCAAGCAGCCTATGCATTCAGCAGACTGTGATTAGTATCCATCAAGTTCCAGCTGCACCCAAGCATCACATTGGCTTTCGGTGAAATAGAATCAATGAACTCACCAACTTAGACATAAGCAACCATGAATCAACCACCTTTTGCCGTTTTTGTGACAGCTGGTAGATTCGAAAGGGGACAAGTATTATCATTAATGCAATTGGTAGGATTTGCAAAATAGTCTCTTCAAAAAGCAGTGTAAAATCAAATCCTCCGCGACATGAACCGGCCCAAGCCTGCATGGTGTTGTCAACATCATGGCACAAAGGCCCTGTGGAATTTGTTGAAGCCATTGCTACTCTCCTACTACCATCCAGCTGACAAGTTGAAGATGGATCAAGAGAGTAGTTATTGAATTTGGCACCACGAGTTTTGAAGGTGGAGGAGATGTCCAGAAGAAAGCACTACTTGAGGGGCAAAACCTTGGGGTAATGAGTCTAGATCAGATTAATCCGAAATTGTTTTCATGTCCTACTGACGCATCATCCCTCTGCAGGAGCTTACTATCCTGCATCTAGGAGACGAATATCCTCAGCTCCTATAGGAGCTGACCAGGCTATAATGGGTCCCTGCACTAAAGTGGAAATTTGATGCAACGCTCTTACAGTGTTTTTCATTTTCATTCTTTACTGGTTAGCCTCGAGGTCTCTATGGAGATGATTTTATTCTTTGTTTTTTTTCTTTCTCTTTAGCGTCTTATGTGGCACCCTTGCCGAGCTCTCTATTTTTACCACTATCCTTGTAATTAGTTTCCAAGATTCATTCACTAGTAATTCATTTTTCTTTTCTTTTTTTCTACGTATAGAAAAGTTTCTTCATTGCCATTACAATGTATTGTCCGGAGTAGTCCGTGTTTGACACGAATAGTACTGGTTACTATCATCTACTAGTATTAGCTCCCGGACCACCTGTTGTCCTGTCAAGGTTGAGGCCTTATTCCCTTTTCTCCTCTCTCTATTTTTTTTTCATTTCCCCCTTGGGTATGTGGGGGATGCGTTAGTATCAATAGAGCTCGACCCCCTGTTGCAAATCACAAAACGATATCAGGACACCCCTCGACAATTAGGAATCAAAAGCCTCATGATGAGCTCAGCGGATGAGATGCTCAACACGAGGGAGCCAGGTTACCTTGCAGAACAATTTTAACGATGTGCCAATCGTGATGTTGAATTGAAGACGGGCTAAATCTCCCGCACCTATTGGGTTCAGCCCCGTACTTCCCGAAGGTAATACAACCGAGACTTTATGCGAGGAGTTAACTCCATATGTACGATATATGATTTCTGCAGATCCCTTTGACGATCTCTCCTTGGCTCTTTGAAACATCGAATCCGAGCGGAAGCCTTTTACGGAACCTTCCTTGACCGCATAGCCTTGGGGTCTCAAGTCAGACAGTATGATGCCTGAGTCTGCTCGTATGACGAGATAATCGGTGCAGATGCCAATTGGGTGTCAGGTGTACCTGGTAGATTTTGTACTACAGAATCAGCCTCAGCTCTTGGAGAACTCTAATGTCATTTCCTCTTCTGGTTCCCGAGGCCGTAGAAGCCATGCATGGATTCGGACTTGCAGCACTTGAGTGTTAGTATTCGTGTCTCCATGCTTTACCGATGAAGTGGGCGCATTCGTGCCCAGTTTCCGAGGTTTTTCCTTGAGTATTGGGTACAATTGGAGAACTTGAATAATGGACTTTTTTTTTCTTCACGCGTCTGGACTGTGTGTAGACTATCCCACTTGGTACTTCTTGTTTTTTTTTCTTTTTTTGTTCCGTTTCCTTTTGTCGGGATTACTCCGTTTACTCCACCAAGCCCGACTTGGATGGGTTGGATGCTCCACTGGTCGATCCACCTTGTCATGTACGGAGTACGGGATTTGCTTTCCTCCCTCCGCTCGTAAGGAACAAAGTGCGATTCTCGTTAGCGGAATCATTGAGCCAATCAATCCACGCGTTGATGATGTATTCAGGAGTCAGAACCGAGAAATTCTAGTCTAGATGCCCACCGATGGTCGGCGACGGCTGGATGTTGTGGCTGATCATGTTCCATTGTAATTGCGACTGACATGGCAAGACATGCGTAGGGCGACGTGGAAGCCCACCCCGTGGCCCTGTCAGCCAATGCATCAGCTGGAATGCGTACCTACAGCAAGCAAGCCCGCCCAGAAAGCTCGCAAGCGAAGTGCATGCAAGATGACCAGGATACACCTGGTTTTATCCAGCGTGGTTGATGGGTGGCAATTGTGGGATGCACCACCGTACTTTTTACCCCAGAGCCCACTTCCCCTTCCAAGGTTCCCACCTTGTCATCCCTATGGAGTACGGAGTACATGATTCCAAATCCCTTTTCTCCGTTCTCCATCAATATTCGGGCCATTACATCAGGTGGATGAAGATATTTCCCAAAACAGAAGCCAACAAACAAGAAAATTCAATCTTCGATCCGATATGATAAAGATCTTGATTTGACCTGTCAGTGCGATATTTTTAGTGGTTGATCACAATGGACCAGTTCATTACTATTCTGGTGAGCCACTAGTGTACTTAGTGGACGCGGACCCCAACCACCGCGGGAACTAGATGCGTTAGTCTACTCCACGCAGCCAAGGATCAATGGTTCGTTGGCCAAGATGCCCACTTCTATCGGCTCGTTGACCTGTACTCCGTATATTGCTCTAGTTCGCAAGCCCCTCATTCCTTTATACGGCCTGTGGATCGGGATTGATACGGTCTAGAAGCTATTAGCTTGTCAATCAAACAAGCCCTGAACGGGCGGCTTTCTATCCCGCGAAGGACTAACGTCCACAAATTGTTAGTGTGACGCCTCGCGATTTGCCGTGGATGAGGTTAAAGCCTCCACATCCGTGATTTTGCAACCCAACAATGATCCAGTATCGTGTTTGTTTGCTATATGAAGATCACAACCTGCTAAGGAAAGCGGATGAAAAATCCGGGAAAAAGAAACCTGGGTTACCCGCTAGAGGAACATGGATGATTGGTAAGGAGATTCCAAGGTTATGTCACATGGACGGAGAATTGTTCGCGTACAGAGTACAGGATTTACCATACCATGCTTTTTTTTCACTGCCAACCCTACCAGTAGTAAAAAAAATAAAAATAAAAGTGGGAAACAGATATGAATTCACTTTCACACATCGGGGTGGATTACGGGTGGAGTCGAAGGAACAGGATAGACTGCATTTTTTACTTCTCATGGTCAGCACTATTAATTTTTGAAATTGCTATGCATTCATAAAAGTGATGTATCTACTAGGGATAAAAGAAAAGAAAAGGGGGACCCACGTTAGTACTAAAAAGTTGACCCCGATGCCGGAAGATTGGTCACCTAGAGGATAGGTCGATCCCCTGGAAGCGGCCCCCGGCGGATCGACCCGAGATCATCCTCTTAGTGCCCTTGCAGAGCTTGACTCGCGACCACTAGTCGTCGGGCGTATTTTAGTTTGGCGCCACTAACTTGATAAGTCGCACGAAAGTACCTGGTACGCGTCAAAACGTTGCGTCCTCCTGCTATAAACTCGTTTGTGTTACTTGATCACGACTTTAACACTCAAACCTGACCAATTATATTGATTGTCATGGAGACTTCATACCCCTTGAACTCTCAATGTAATCAGCTATACTCATCCGAGGGATTAGTCTGATTATACTATCAACATATGTAGACACGATTCATCGGATCAGATACTCGGAAAGGGATGCAAGATCCAATTGTTGCTTTTTGTCATTTATTTATTTATGTATTTTCTTTTTCTTTTTTATTGAATTATTTAATGTTTTTTCTATTGCGCCATGTGAACCTAAGCGATGGTAACTCTCTCCACCGACTATTCCTTCATTTGTTGTCAATGCAGACGGCTGAGAAGACTCATGTACTCAGCTCTTCAGCAGCGAACACGACCGCGAAATGCAAGACAAATGTAGTCATCGAAGTCCTGAAGGACCGTTTAGCCCCGAGATCCATGCGATTTCACCTCCACTTGAGAGCCCGGTGCGCGGTCAACTCCCTAAAGCGCGTTGTACATCATAGATCTCCCCGTCCCGTATTAGCAAAACCTTGCTGATTCTCATGAACTTATGCTTTGTGCGGAGCACTGACTGCAACATCCGCGAGATGCTTCTCATCTGTAACCCCAGGTGGGAGAGATGAAGGGCTGCCCCAGGTGGAGACTGCCATGTGTGCAGCTTGGGCACAACCAGTAGGTGTAACAATACATTTGAATGTAGAGAGTTTGAGATCTGGTGAAATCAGTATGGACTGAATCCCGCATTGGCGCTGGACCCTACATGTTACAATTGGAGATTCAAGATGAGGGTAATAACATGTCATCCCCCTTCATAGCTTCATGTACCTGTTCTCCATGTTTAAAACCCTACGCACCTTCTAGAAACCGTCATCGTCATCATAATCATCAGCAGATCACTTTGACTAGCCATGAGTTAATGACCCCGTGCATAGGAATGTGAGAAAAATCCCGCGCCATCTGAGATGACTTGAGTGGCGCGGCCCCAATGGCAAGCTCACGGCTGTTGACAGCCTGGCGTGCCTTGCTGAACCACGTTCGAGACTGGATGCCAGGGGTCTTGATCGGGAAATTATCAGTGGACCACACCGGCAAAGTGATCTATGATGCAAATTATTAAAAAAAAAAAAAAAACAAACAAACAAAATCGATACAGAAATTTCCAAGAAATAAAAATTACAATTAACCGGATGAATTATGCATAAGGCGTTATACTATCCTCAGAACATGATACGGCTGCCCTATTCCTGGAGTATTGCTTTTTGTCATTTTTATTTCATCTTACACATAAAATTCCAACTTTGAAAGATCAGACCCACTAAGTATGGGCACTATTCTGGTCTGGCCGCTTAGAGCTATTCTAGTAAGGCTGTCTGACCCGGTTCCACAGAGGCAAATGGTCTCCACTTAGCCCGCACTGGCTCCATGCGCCGCTCTCCAACCCTTTCTCATCGAAATTCGAACTCAATGCAAGGAAGAGATACATGCAAGATTCTGAAATTGCAAGTTTTCCCTCTAGCGTTATTATTGGTGCTTAGATCTCGTATTACTGTAATCCAATACATACAAGGCGTGAACGAGCCGAAGCATGGCCATGCAGCATCTAGTCCCAATGACCAAGAAGCGATGGTGTAACTATTTTGGCTACTAATTGCTAAAGAAAAAAAAATCAAAAATCAAAAATCAAACTACTGTTCCTTTAAAACGAGTGAGACATCCGAGTTCGCGGGACCTATGTCGAAGAGTGACCTCTAATCTGGATCTAATTTATTCGTATCCAACTTAATTCGAGGCTCTTTTCTCACGCTCTCTGTCATTACATCGTCGACTTGAGCGTATTACTTCCCCCCTTAAAAGGTATTTTTGTTTGTTCTAGAGAAAAGGAAAACGCAAAAGGAACAAAATTTGAATTTTGTAATAGAATCATTTTATACAATGGCTCAATCATCTCACTGTTACCTCCCCCGGTTTACTACCACGGTTGATGGACCAAAACGACCGATTTCGATGAAGACGAAATCATCTGCTTCGCAAAATGCGCAGTTATTAACCGCCTGGCACGAGGGACGCTTGAAATCGGTATTGCAGGCCACTTGGGCACTGGTCCTGCATTACTACCTCCGAACCGAGGACATATCCTTCGGCTACCAACATATCGACGGCGATTCCTCTCCCTCCCGAAACCTTGTACAGCAGTCGACTGCTACCCCCATTTCGACAATTCGACTGGCGATTGATGAGAATGACACGATCAACAGAGTTGTGGATAAAGTTCGCAAGGAGGATGAGAGCAATGCGCAGATTGCTGGAGGAATCGTGGAGGCTTCCGACGGCTTCTTGCCATACAATACCATCCTGATGTTGCGTACATACCAAAAGACGTCGGATCCGTCTTTTTCCCAACCAATGTTGGCGATTGCTCTACCAGATCAGGTTCGTAATCGATTCCGACCGGAAATCGAATAAGAGGAGAATTAACTAATGGATTTTTTAGTGCCAAGTTCGTCTCCATGTGAAGGTGTTGCGCCGGGATATCAACATCTTTCTTGAGTGGCGGAATGGGGACATGTCTGGAGAGCAGATGAAGAGTGTCTCCAATATCTTTGAAAACATTCTGACCAAAGTGCTTTCTGCCGAGAACCCCGCTATTACACAGCTTAATTTGTTCTCGGAGAATGACTGGCAGCGAATTCAAAAGTGGAACTCCCACACACCTAAGCTTTACGACCGATGCATTCACGAAGCGATTCACGATCAGGCCGTAAGCGGGCCAGACCGCGAGGCTATTTGTGCTTGGGATGGAAGTCTAACTTATGGCGAACTTGACAAACTCGCCTCGAAGTTGGCATGTCACTTGCGTATGCAGGGTGTTGGCCCTGAAGTTCGAGTGGGTTTGCTCTTCGATAAATCGGTAAGTTTTCGAGCATTCAATCAAAATGAATTTTAGGACTGACTAGTGACAGAAATGGAACGTTGTTGCGATGCTCGCCGTCATGAAGGCTGGCGGTGCTTTCGTCCCACTTGATCCTACACATCCAACCTCCCGCCTGCAGCGTCTGATTGAATCCGTTAAGGCGACGGTTGCGTTGTGCTCTGAGAACAGGGCCGATGTTCTTCGACCTATCGTGAAAACTTTAATTCCTCTGTGCAGCGAGACTATGGATCGTTTGGCGGATCCAGCTGCTGGGGTTGATCTCGCATCTGGTGTCACCAGCCAAAATGCTGCGTACATCTTGTTCACTTCCGGATCCACGGGAGAGCCTAAGGTAAGTTTAGAATTTCAAAAAAATGTGACGAGATTGGAAGAACTGACAAATCTGCAGGGAACCCTGCTGGAACACCGCGCGTTCCTGTCTGGCGCTATGGTTCACGGCCCCGGACTTCTCATTTTCCGGGATTCACGATGTCTGCATTTCGCAGCTCACACTTTTGACGCCAGCTTATCGGAGTCAATAACCCCACTAATTCATGGCGCCTGTGTCTGTATCCCCAGCGAGGAGACACGGCTGAATGATATAGTGGGTTTCATCAATAAAATGCGAGTCACTCAGGCGTGCTTTACCCCGTCTTTCATTGGCTTCATTGACATTGAAAGCGTACCTACATTGGAAAGTCTTGTTTTAGCTGGAGAAGCAATGTCCCAGTCTCAACTGGCGGTCTGGTCCAAAATAAAACTGATCAATGGTTACGGGCCTACGGAAGCCAGTGTTGCGTCAGTGCTAAACACAGGGGTAACACCCGAGACAGACTGCAAAGATATTGGTTTACCTATCGGCGTGAGAATCTGGGTTGTTGATCCTGAAAACCATGATGAACTGGTTCCTGTCGGCTGCCCAGGCGAACTTCTCCTGGAAGGTCCAACACTGGCTCGATGCTACGTCAACAACCCGGAGAAAACAAACGAATCTTTCATTTACGACCCCGCCTGGACGAAGATGGATCGACGAGGAATTACAAATCGCAGATTTTACAAGACTGGAGACCTGGTCAGGTACAATTCGGACAGTGGTTCGCTCAACTATGTTGGTCGGAAAGATACGCAGGTTAAGGTGCATGGACAGCGAATTGAGCTGGGCGAGATTGAGAACCAATTAATTCGGGATTCATTGGTAACCCATTGCTCAGTTCTTTTCCCAAAGGCTGGTTTCTCAAAAGGCAGATTAGCGGCTGTGATTTCTTTCGCGGGATTACTTGCGGAAGAGTCACAGACGGAGCTCGAGCCGCTGCGATTGATTCCTGCCTCCAGGAAGGCTGAATTCATCCCCACAATTCGCGAACAAATCTCTGCACGATTGCCAACTTACATGGTGCCAGCCGTTTGGTTCTGTGTTGAGTCTCTACCCATGTTACCATCCGGGAAACTTGATCGGAAAGGCATCGCGACGTGGGTTACCAGCATGGAAAGCGATCCAGATATTGGAAAGATCATCTCCAGTCCTTCACTTCGGGTGGAGGCATATCAGGCCTCAAACCAAACTGAGGAGGCTCTGGTCGCTGTCTACAGTCGTGTGCTTAATCTTCCCGAAAGTCTTGTTAATCTGAATGAGAGCTTTCTGGCCCTGGGAGGTGATTCTATTGCAGCTATGACCTGCATTGGATTATGCAAGAAGCGGGGAATTGGTCTTTCAGTCCAGGATGTGCTTCGTAGCAGCTCAATTCGCGACCTTGCCACGCGGGCGAAAGCCATTGACCATGGGACAACTTACCAGGAATCTATCGATGAGCCTTTCAATTTGTCTCCGATCCAGGTTTTGCACTTTGGTCTGCGCAAAGAGGGTCAGGGGCACTTCAACCAAGGAATCTTGACACGATTGAACAAGCCCCTCGACGAAAAGACTCTACGCAAAGGTATCGACAAGCTGGTGTCCAGACACTCGATGCTGCGATCCCGGTTTGACAACAGTGGCAATGCTACCGCATCCACTCAGAGAATCACTCGTAATGTGCAGGGTTCATACCGCTGGCGGATGCACACTGTTAACAACATGGAGGAAATCAAGCCACTGGTAGCGGAGAGCCAGTCTTGCATCAACTGCTTCTCTGGTCCACTGCTGGCGGTAGACTACTTCTGCATGGAGGACAGTAATGAATCTCACGTTCTGTCTATGACTGCGCACCATCTTGTTGTTGATATTGTCTCCTGGAAGATCATTCTCGAGGATCTCGAAGATCTGGTCCTCAACCCAAATACTTCTGCATCGGATGCTGGTTCCCTCCCATTCCAGACATGGTGCCGCCTTCAGGAGGAGCATTCAAAGTCCTTACTCACTGAGCGCAAGGCACCAACCAAGCCACTTCCAGCAATTGACTTTGGTTACTGGGGTCTTCAAAACAGCGAGACTACCTACGGCGACGTTGACTGTGCCTCATTCGAGATTGATGAGGCTCATACTCAATCTATTCTTCTAGAATGCCATAAAGCGTTGGAAACCGAGCCCATTGATATCTTCTTGGCATCCATGCTTCACTCTTTCGGTCAGTCGTTCAATGATCGATCACTGCCGGTGATATATAACGAGGGCCATGGGCGTGAAGTGTGGGATCCTTCCATTGACATCTCCCATACTGTTGGATGGTTCACAATTCTGCACCCCATCTTTGTCAATGGGTATACAGCCGATAATGCCATGAACACACTTATACAGGTCAAGGATCTTCGTCGCCAGGTGTCTGACAATGGTCGATCGGATTTCGCCAGTCGAGTCCTCAAGATTGCTGGTCAGGACTGTGGTGATTATCCCCATCCTTTCGAGATGTCATTCAACTACGTCGGTCAGCACCGTGATCTCCAGCGAAAGGACGGTCTTTTCCAACTTGTTGATCAGATGGCTGGTGAGGCTGGACAGGGTAGTGACGCTGCCGATTTCGGTCGTGACACTCCTCGATTCGGTTTATTCGAGATCTCAGCTATGGTTGTCGCTGGCAAGATCCGGTTCACATTTTCCTTCAACAAGTTCATGCAGCATCAGGATAGTATTCACAACTGGGTTTCCAACTGTCAAAAGCAATTGGTTGCCATGTCGGATCAGCTCTCGACCATGGCTCCTCGCCTTACCTTGAGCTCCTTCCCGATGCTATCCTTGGATTACACAAGCCTGGACAAGTTGCTCACGCAGAAGCTACCTGCTCTTGGCATCTCCTCTCCTCGTATTGTTGAGGACATTTATCCTTGTTCTCGCATGCAGCAGGGCATTTTGCTGGGTCAGTCGCGGGATAGTTCGTTTTATGCTGTGCATGATACTTTCGAAATCCATGGCAGTGGATCAACAGCTCCAAATGTCGACCGCCTCGTTGAGGCCTGGAAGCAAGTTGTATCTCATCATGCGATGTTCCGAACGATCTTCGTTGAGAACCTTACACCACGAGACCCATTCTGTCAAGTGGTTCTGAAGGAATACGATGCTACTCCTGTCTTCCTCCAATCAGCCGGTGATAGTGATGTGTTGGCCACCTTTGATGCTCAGGAGCCCAAGAGCTACAAGGATAAAACACCCGCATACCGCTTCACGATTTGTCAGACATCCACGGAGAGACTGTTCTGTCGTATTGAATTGAGCCATGCTGCTATGGATGGAAATTCCATTTCTATCATCCTTCGAGACCTGCAACTCGCATATGTTGGCAGACTGGAGGAAACCCGTCGACCGTTGTTCAAGGACTATATCCGTTTTCTCCAAGATGCGCCTCAGACTGCTAGCATGAACTATTGGAGTTCTTACCTCTCGGATGCCAAGCCCTGCGTCTTCCCAACCCTTCGCGATGGTGAGATGGGTCAGGAGAAGAGCCTTCGGTCTATCCCAGTTAACTTCGTCTCCTTGACTCAGCTGCAAAGCGCTTGTGAAAAGCGTGGAATCACCTTGTCCAATGTCTTCAATGCTGCCTGGGGTCTTACCCTTCGCCTGTTCTGTGGATCCGACGATGTCAGCTTTAGCTACATGGCCTCTCTACGTGATGTGACTGTTGACGGAATCCAAACCGTTGTTGGTCCCGTCATCAACCTCATGATATGTCGCATGAAGCTCTCTAGCGATTCCCGTCTCAGCGATGTCCTGAAGCAGATTCAAGATGATTACATGGAAAGCCTCCCTTTCCGTCACACCTCACTAATCGACATTCAACATGCGTTGAAGCTGTCCGATGTCAACCTGTTCAACTCGGGTGTGTCATACCGTCGTCTTCCGGGCGTGAAGGACGCTATCAGCAGCGATATTGAGTGTGTCGAGGTGGGTTCTATCCACGATCCTGCTGAGTTCCCTGTATTCATCAACATTGAAGCTATGGACACGAAGGCAAGAATTGATCTTAACTACTGGACTACGACTCTTTCCGATGCTCAAGCTCTCAATGTCGCAAATACCTATGTCAAGTGCTTGGAGACAATCATGACCCGAACTGACAGCCCACTCCGCGAACTCGATTTGGTCAATGAGCAGAACAAGTCCGACATTCTCACTTGGAATGGAAAGATGCCCCAAGCCATTCAGAAGTGTGCTCACAAGGTGGTTCAAGAGATTGCTGCCAAGAAGCCTGATGGTCTGGCAGTTACATCTTGGGATGGGTCTTTGACCTACTCTAAGCTTGATCAGTACTCCTCGCGACTTGCCAGCTACCTCATCACTTTCGGAGTCGGTCCCGGAAGCCTCATTCCAACATCGTTTAACAAGTCAGTCTGGAACATTGTCTCTATGCTCGCAATTATGAAGGCGGGAGGTGGTTGTATTCCTGTGGACAGCCCTCAGACGATGACACTCATTAAAAAGTGGGTTGTTGATAATTCCGTCCAGGTCGCTCTAGCCTCGCCTGAAAGGGCCCAGGTACTCGAGGAGAGCATTCCATATGTGGTTCCAGTCAGCGAGTCACTTCTTGAATATCTGAATGATGAGCCTCTTGCTTCCGCTGCCTCGCCCAGTGATGCTGCTTATGTTGCCTTCACATCGGGTACTTCTCAAGCGTCCCGCGCTGTGATTCTAGAGCATTCCTCCATCATGACTAGGGCTGAGGCTTTCGCTTCATCCGTTAAGATCACGGATGTGTCCAGAGTTCTTCAATTCGCAGCTCATACCAGCGACTCGTTTCTCCTCGAGGTTTTTGGTGCATTTGTTCATGGAGCATGCGTTTGTATCCCCGCCGATGCGCATCCCACAACCCTTGCCACATCAATTGAGACTCTTCACGCTAACGTTGCGTGTCTGACCCCGACTGTGGCGAGTTTCATCAACCCCAAGGATGTGCCCGGCCTGAAGACTCTCGCCATGTTTGGCGAAATAACGACCCAGGGCAAAATCGAGACGTGGCAGGTCGAAGACCTCCAGCTGCACAATCTCTATGGAACAGCTGAAACATCGTCAGCTTCATTCCAAATTCCCATGCTGCCTGGGCTTGAGTCTACTATGATCGGAGCTGCTGTATCCAGTGTGTCATGGGTGGTTGACCCGTCGAATTGCCACACCCTGGTACCGGTCGGCGCTGTTGGTGAACTCGTCCTTGAAGGGCCTGTTCTTGGTGCTAATTACCTGGGACAAGAGCAATCGGAGAGTTTCTTCCAAAATCCATCATGGTTGGCTAAAATGGACGGTCACTCTGATGTGAATGCACTCCAATCTCGCAAGTTTTTCAAGACTGGAGATTTGGTTCGGTACAATGCCGATGGCTCCCTTGTGTATGTGGGTCCGAAGAACACAGACCGCGATTATGCTCCTTGTGCCGATCGCCTCCTTGTTGAAGAATGCATCAACAACTTCTTCCGATATGGCCGTCGCTGTATTGTCCAATCATTGCCTCTGGATGGGGAGAGCCGCACCGTCGTTTTCGTGTGTGCTCCCGAATCTACTATCGCAGCATCGGGTGACCGTGTCATCCAGACCTCGGCGCCCGAGTTGAAGGCCACAATTTCCGCCTTGCACATCCATTTGTGTACTAAGATCTCCAGCGGAAAGATTCCAAGTTTATACATCCCCATCTCCGCGATCCCACTTACTCCATTTGGTAAGACCGACTTCCAGAGTTTGGCGGTTGAGATTACCAATCTCTCTACCACCAATGTTCGTTCATTTGAGATCAAGAATTGGACAGGAACGAAGGCTGGGAACAGAATCTCGCACCAGTCTTTCTCCAAGACCAATCTGGATTTCTGGAAAGAGTACCTCGCGGAAATCGAGCCATGCAACTTCCCACTCCTCTCCCAGGAGCCTGGCAAGAAGGGTCGATCCACTCGGACTCTCAACAAGCAGACCATCCAATTGCACGCATTCAGTCGCATGTATGGTGTGTCTGTTGAAAATCTTTTCCAGATTGCTTGGGCCATGGTTCTACGATGCTACACGGCAAATGACGATGTTTGCTTTGGATACTCAGCGTCCGAGACCGATGACTCTGCCTCTGTGGCCATTGCCCGCCTTATGTTGAACAATGATCGCAACATGAATGAGGTTCTGCAGCAAACAAAGACCGACTTTTTAAAGAGCAGAGAGAATTTCGCCGAGCTGACTGTTGTGAAACACCAGTTGGGCCTAGATGATACCGGCGTGTTCAACACTCTTCTCACCTATCGCGCTGTCTCTTCTCTACCAGAGCGTCGAATCCGTGACACTGCTACTTCCAAGCCGTACAATGTTGCTGTTACTGCTCAGGTTTCCAAATCTGTTGCTGAAATTTTGTTCAGCTACTCTACTGATACCTTAACCTCTGTACAAGTGACTCATGTTATCGATACCTTTGACCAGATTCTGAACGACATGATCTCCGTTGATCCTCGAAAGCACACAATTGGTAGCCTTGATTTGATGTCTCCGCGCTCTTGTCGCCAGATTCGTGATTGGAATGCCACCATGCCTCCACGAGTTGAGAAGTGCGCCGATGAACTCATCCAGCAGCAGGCTCTTTTGCATCCCCGCGCTGAAGCCATCTGTTCATGGGACAAGAACTTTACCTATGGACAACTGGAGATTGTGTCCAGTCGGTTAGCCCGCTTCATTACGGCGCTAGGTGTCAAGCCGGAAGTTTTCGTGGTCTTGTGCTTCGAGAAATCCGCGTGGGCGATCGTTGCGCAATTGGCCGTCCTGAAAGCCGGTGGGGCGTTCGTTTCCATCGACCCTTCCCATCCTGAGTCTCGACTCAAGATGTTGGTTGATGAGATTGGTGCCGATTTGGTGCTCTGTTCATCTGATCTCCAGCCAAAGATGGCCAGTCTTTGCAAGAAGGCATTTGCAGTGTCGCAGAAAGGCGTCTCACAGCTTCCCGAATCCCCTCTAGCTTTGCCAGGAAGTCGTCCGTCTCCTAGCAATGCTGCCTATGCTATCTTCACATCTGGAACGACTGGAAAGCCTAAGGCAACTGTTGTTGAGCACATTGCCCTGAGCACGACTGCCATTGCCATGATGGATGCCCTCCATATGAACTCCGGCACGAGGGCCTTGCAGTTCTCTAACTACACCTTTGATGTCAGTGTCCTTGAAATCATGATGACCTTGATGACGGGTGGCTGCGTTTGTGTCCCCAGTGAGGAGGAGCGCATGAACAACCTGGGTGGTGCTATTCGTCGCATGGAAGCCAACTACATGTCATCTCCACCAGCCATAGTCAACACTCTTGAGCCAAAGACTGTGCCGACTCTCAAGACTATCATCACTGGTGGTGAAAAGATGCCCGCCCACCATATCGATCGTTGGCACGACCGCTTTGTTATCAATGCCTATGGTCCTTCAGAAGCCACTGTGGTTGCCACTGTTGGTGTGAAGGTTGACTGGGATGGCAATCGTGTCAATGATGATCCCACCTCTATCGGTACAGCGGCTAACTGCCGAGTCTGGATTGTCGACCCCAATAACTACAACCGCCTGCTTCCAGTTGGTGCAGTTGGTGAGATGCTCCTGGAAGGTAGCAACATTGCTCGTGAATATCTTGGCAACCCCGAGAAGACCAAAGCTGCCTTCGTTGAGGATCCTGTCTGGAGTCACCACACCGGTCTGCATGGAATCTTCAAACGTAGCGACCGTATGTACCGCACTGGCGATCTAGTCCGTTACAACAGTGATGGCACGCTCACGTTCATCTCTCGCAAAGACACTCAGATCAAGTTCAATGGCCAGCGTATTGAACTCGAGGAAATTGAGCACCAGTGCATTCGCTGCCTCCCCAACGGCTCGCAAGTCGCTGTTGACGTCGTTGTCCCTGGAGAGAAGACAGTCGCCAAAGCTCTTGCCGCATTCTTCACTGTTCATGATGGCGACCTTGATCAAGGTGGAGCCAATGACCAATTTGCTCCAACTGTTCCTGGCGCCGATGCCCTTCTGTTGCCCATCTCTGTATCAAATATGGATGCTGTCCAGAAGCTCAAGACATCTCTTCCGGACCATTTACCGCAGAGCATGATGCCCCGTCTTTTCTTTTCCCTCAGAAATCTTCCATTCACCTCTTCCGCCAAAATCGATCGCAGGCGACTGCGTGCCATGGTGCAGAATCTGTCCAAGAACACTCTCAAGTCATACATCACCTTCAACAATGGCGAGCAGAGAAGCCAGGTATCGGATGATGGTATTGAGTCACAGCTTCGAATGCTCTGGGAGAAGACCCTTGATCTTGAGGATGGATCTGTTACAAATGAAGACAGCTTCTTTGCACTCGGTGGCGATTCATTCTCCGCTATGAACCTTGTTGGAGCTGCCCAGGCTCTCGGAATCACTCTCACTGTTGCTGCGATCTTCAAAGCCCCTGTCCTTCTTGAAATGGCTAAGATGTGCACTTCCTCCACAGATGTTGTGGCCACAACCGAGCAGAAATCACTCAACCCGTTCTCGTTGTTGCCGTCTGGTGTCGACCTTGAAGGTCTTATTGATGAGCTAAGTGACGGATGCATTGTTTCAAAAGACGCTATCATCGACGCATATCCCTGCAGTGCTGTCCAAGAGGGTCTCCTTACACTTTCTGTCAAGCAGAATGGAGCATATGTTGCCCAGCCAGCCTTCCGTCTTGCCGACTCCACCGACCTTGATCGTTTCAAGGCAGCTTGGGAACAGACCGTTGCTGATCTTGATATTCTTCGTACTCGAATCATGCATACGGAGGCTATGAACTTCGCCCAGGTCATTCTCAAGGATGATCCAATCTCTTGGGTCCATGCCGAATCATTCGCCGGATTGCCAAATGATTCAATTGAACTTCCTAAGTACAATGGTGGAAGATTAACCGGCTACGCCATCGTTCAGCCCCCGGGTTCCTCGGCTCGCTACTTCGTTTGGTCTGTTCACCACGCCCTCTACGATGGCTGGAGTATTCCTCTTGTGTACCGCCGATTCGAGGAAAACTACAAGGCCTCTTCCGCTAAGGAGCCAGCTACATCTTACGGTCTCTTCATCGAATACCTCAATAACAATAATATGGCTGAATCAGATGCTTTCTGGACTTCTTACCTTGCGGATATCTCCAGCATCCCCTTCCCACACAACAAGAAGGCCGTTCCCGATGCTGTCCGTGCAGGAAACACGCAGCGTCACAGCATCAAGGTTTCCCGACCGGCAAACAGCGTCAACTACACCATCCCTGTGCTTCTGCGTGCTGCATGGGGTATTGTAGTCGCTGCTCATACCGGGTCTGGAGATGTCTGCTTCGGAGAGACCCTATCTGGTCGCAACATCGACTTGCCCGGAGTCGGTGACATTGCGGGTCCCGTTCTGTCTACTGTTCCAACCCGCGTTCAAGTTGATAACGAAATGACTATTGTCCAGTATCTGGAGCGCATGAATCAGTCCACCACTGATATGATTCCTCACCTCCACGCTGGTCTCCAACGAATTCGTCAACTCAGTTCCCACACTGCGACCGGCTGCAACTTCCAGAACTTACTCGTCATTCAACCCACAGAAGGTCAGCTGGATGACAGTATTTGGACTGACGAGAAGCGTGAAACCAGCGAAGACTTTTTCACCCATCCTCTTGTTCTGGAGTGTGGTATTTCCAAGACCGAAATTGTCTTCACTGCCCATCATGATGAGCTCGTTGTCAATGGCTGGCAGACCCAGCGACTGATCGAACAATTCGGTCATGTTCTCAAGCATCTCATGTCCGTTCCAAAGACCAGCAATGACAAGCTCTCCCGTGTTGACATCTCCAGCGCGGAAGACAAGGGCATTATCGCGGAATGGAACAATCGCACACCCCTGGCAATTGAGAAGTGTGTCCATGAGTTCATTCGTGAGAAGTGCATTGAGACTCCCAATGCTCCTGCCGTCTGCGCTTGGGATGGAGAACTTACGTACAAAGAGCTTTGGGACATGGCGTCCGCTTTTGCTAAATACCTTGTGTCTCGAGGAGTTGGCCCTGAAGTCTTTGTTCCGGTCTGCCTTGACAAGTCCGCCTGGGCTATGGTTACCCTCGTCAGCATCCTCATTGCTGGTGGCGCATACATTCCCCTTGATCCGCATCATCCAACCTCCCGCCACGAGGAAATCTTGGCAGATGTTGGAGCCAACATGATTCTTTGCAGTCCAAGCTATATCAGCAGGTATACCAGAGTTGTGAAGACTGTTCTTGCCATTAGCAAGGAAACTCTGAAAGCCTATGGATCGTTACAATCTACAGTCCGAGCTGGTGCTCAGGTCACCCCATCCAACATGGCATACGCGCTCTTCACCTCTGGCAGCACTGGTCGTGCCAAGGGTATCATTGTTGAGCATCGCAACTGCGTCAGTAGTATCTTGGCTTACGCTCCAGTTTGCTACATGGACTCAACCTCGCGAGTCTTCCAGTTTGCATCATTGACCTTTGATGCCGCTATTCTTGAGACCCTGACTGTTCTCATGATTGGTGGTTGCATCTGTGTTCCGAGTGAGGACGAGCGACTCAACGATGTTTCTGGTGCCATTCGGCGCATGAATGTGAATTGGTCTTTCCTGACCCCTGCTATTGCGAGCATCATCGAACCTTCGTCAGTCCCATCAATTAAATACATGGCTGTTGGTGGCGAGTTGGTAGCACAGGAAGTCATTACGAAATGGGTAAACTGCGTGAAATTGATGATAGTCTACGGACCAACCGAGACTGTTGTCTTTGCCACCGTGGACACTGAAGTGACATCTCACCGTGACCCAGCTCGCATTGGTTACGGCATTCCAAGCACACTTACCTGGATCGTGGATGCTGAAGACCATAACAAACTTGCCCCTCTCGGCGCAGTTGGCGAACTCGCTTTGGAGGGTATGTGTTTGGCTCGTGAATACATGAACAATCCTGAAAAGAACGCAGAGTCATTCATTGAAAACCCAACTTGGGGGCAGAAGTTTAAGTCCCACCTCGCCGGCCCAAGGCGTATCTACAAGACCGGTGATCTCTGTTACTACAACACTGATGGATCTATCCAGTACGTCAGTCGCAAGGACCACCAAGTCAAGGTTCATGGCCAAAGAATGGAACTTGGAGAGATTGAACACCGAATTGTCGCGAACACTCTCGTGCGTCATGCTGTTGTGATCTTGCCCAAGGCCGGCCCACTCCAGAAACGATTGGTTACTGTGATGTCCCTTAACAAGATTTCGGCTGACAACAAGCTCATTTCAGACAAGGCTTGCGAACTTATTGATGATGATGACTTTAACAAGGATGGCCTTGCTGACCTGGTTGAGGTCCAAAAGAGTCTCGAATCGCAGCTACCCATCTACATGGTTCCGCAGACTTGGGCTTTGATCAAGAAACTTCCCATGCTTGTTTCCGGAAAGCTTGATCGGAAGAAGATCACTGCTTGGCTTGAGAGTATCGATGATGATTCATACGAGCGTATTATGCAAGCCTACGATGCCATGAAGCGTGGTCCGACCGAGAAGCCGCAGGAGCAAGAAGAAGACAGCTCTCTGAGGATTATCCGTGAAATTTTTTCGCAGGTCCTCAACATTTCTCTGTCCAAGGTTAACGTGGACCGCTCTTTTGTCAGCCTGGGTGAGTTTTGAACTGAAGTTGGTCCCAATTAAAAAGGGTCACGATGCTAACAAAATTGACTAGGCGGCGACAGCATCACCGGCATGGCAGTGATTTCCAGGGCGCGCAAGCAGGGTCTTTGCGTCACCTTGAATGACATACTCCAAAGTCGATCGGTGAAAGAGTTGGCGCAAGCTGCCACTGCTAAAGATTCTGCTCCATCCCATCGCGAGGAGAAGGCTGGGGAAGGCTTCGGTCTATCCCCTGTTCAAAAGATTTACATGAATTGTTCGAGCTCATTCAAGGGTGCGGCCCGCTTCAACCAGAGCATCACGGTGCGCATCTCGCGCAGGGTTGAAGGCGAGGTACTGCGCCGGGCTATCAAGGCTGTCACAAGCCAACACTCTATGTTCCGTGCCCGTTTCAACAAGGGCAAAGATGGTATTTGGCAACAGAAGGCGGTAGCGGTATGTATTATTGAGCTTCATCATCGTACAGCGAACTAACAAAACTCATAGGAGGTCGATGACTCCTATCGCTTCCGGGTTCACTCCGTCAATGACACTCGTGCAATGGTTCCCAAGGTTGCCGACAGCCAATCCTGTCTGGATCCTATCAATGGTCCTATCTTTGCTGCAGACCTCTTCAACTTGCGCACTGGTGGCCAGGTTTTGTTCTTGGTCGCCCATCACCTATGTGTTGACATGGTCTCGTGGCGAATCATCCTCTCAGACCTCGAGGAGATGATTGTCTCTGGCTCTCTCTCCGATGAGAAAGCACTTTCGTTCCAGAGCTGGTGTGTCATGCAGCTTGAACGAGTCAAGGCCCATGATATGGAGTTGGCTCTCCCATTCACTCCAGAACCATCCGATCTATCGTACTGGGGCATGCAGGACTGCTCCAATGTGTACGGGGACATTAAGATGGAGACTTTCAGCTTGACTGAAGCTGCGACTCAATTTATCCTGGATGGATGCCACTCAACCTTCGGCACAGAGCCCGTGGATGTGCTGCTTGCATGCATTATCAACTCCTTCCATCAGGTTTTCGATGATCGCAAGGTGCCCACCATTTACAACGAAGGGCATGGTCGAGAGTCATGGGATTCCCGTGTAGACTTATCCCGAACCGTCGGCTGGTTCACCACAATGGCTCCCTTACTTATTGATGGGGCTCAAGGTAAGTTTTCATTCCATCTGATTCCTTTCATCCCAATATCTAACGCAATCCAGAAAACATCAAGAACATCATCAAGCGTGTCAAGGATACCCGACGCAAGATCGCAGACAATGGTCGGCCTTACTTCGCTAAGAGTATGCTCCAAGCTGGGAGCGAAGACTTCCAGGTTCCCTTGGAGATCCTCTTCAACTATCTCGGTAAGCTACAACAGCTTGAGCGTGAGGACTCCCTTTTCCTTCACCAGGGTAGTGTCTTCGACAGTTCGGATTTCGCAGTCGCTGGCGACATGGGTCCGCAGACCGTTCGATTTGCCCTTTTTGAGGTCTCTGCGATTGTTATCAAGGATCGACTCAACATTGCATTCACCTACAACCGCAACATGCAACGCGAGGGTCAGATCCGCCGATGGATTCTCCAATGCAAGCAGACTTTGGAGAAGGACGTGCTCCAGCTCAAAAATGCAACTCCCGAGCCCACTTTGAGCGACTACCCATTGTTGCCAATCAACTACCAGGGACTACAGATCCTCACCAACAACACTTTCCGCAAGCTTGGCATCCGAAGCAAGCACGAGGTTGAGGATATCTATCCTTGCTCTCCTATGCAGGAGGGTCTCCTGCTCAGTCAGCTCCGCGACCCCAGTGCCTACATTTTCCATACCGTCTTCGAAATGAAGGACGCGCGAACTGACAAGGTTGACGCCGAGCGACTTGCCCGATCTTGGCGCCTGCTCGTTGATCGTCACCCTGTCCTCCGAACTGTCTTCATTGATAGCAGCTATAGTGGTGGATCTTTTGACCAGCTTGTTTTGAAGAAGATCCCTGACAACGTCCTCCGCGTCGAATGTGCCGATGCCCAAGTTCAGGAGAAGCTTGATGCAATTTCCATGCGCGAGCTGAATTCTATGCGACAAGCTAAATTTTCAAATCAATTGACTGTTTGCAAGACTTCAAGCGGCCGAGTTGTCGTCAAGATGGAGATTAACCATGCTATCATCGATGGTGGTGGTGTGGATGTGCTCCTGCGCGACCTGACTATGGCGTATGACCGCCGGCTCCCTGATAGCCCCGGGCCATGCTTCAGTGACTACATCAAGTATATCAAGACCCAAAGCCAAGTCGAAGCACTCAATCACTGGAAGCAGTACCTCAGTGGTGTCAACCCATGCCACCTTTCCCAGACGAACGCCTCTCAGTCTAAGCGCGAGCTGAAGGGAATTTTGATGGACTTCAACCGATACCCCGAGCTACTCAAATTCTGCGAGAAAACATCGGTCACCTTGGCGAACCTCACACTCTCAGCTTGGGCTATTGTCCTCAAACAATTCACCGGATCTGACGATGTCTGCTTTGGTTATCTGTCTGCTGGTCGCGATGCCCCTGTCAATGGTATCCAAGATATGGTTGGCATCTTCATCAACATGCTTTGCTGCCGAGTCCAATTCTCTCCTAAGCAAACTCTCACCGATATTTCCAAGCGAGTCAACGGAGACTATGTTCGCAGCATCCCTCACCAAAGCTGTTCGTTGGCTACTATCCAGCATGAGCTTGGATCGCAGGGCCAGTCTCTGTTCAACACGACTTTGTCGATTCAGAACCACGGAGCCTCTGGAACTAACAAGGAAAAGGGCTTGTCTTTTGATCTTCAGCATGCTCACGATCCTAGTGAGGTGAGTTACTCTCCCCCATCCAACTTACTCCGAAATTTGACTAATCAAGAACAGTACGCGGTCACCGTCAATGCGGATATTTCTCGTGGAGCTGAAGGCATTATGCTCCGATACTGGAACGACATGGTATCGGATGAGCAAGCCCAGTCTCTAGTTGACACCATTGCAAAGGTGTTCACAGGATTCATCGAGGGTCCCAATATGACCATCGCATCATCCAACTTCAACGTTGTGAAGACACCAGGTGCCGGTTGGGATAATCCCCAGGCGACTTTCCAAGAGAAGATGCGATCCAATGCCGATTCTCTGGATGGCGCTGCTATTCAGAAGATTATTGATGATCGTGTGCATGAGATTATCGGTCAGATGCTGAGGGAAGGCAAGTTGATGGTTCCACAGTTTCAGACCTCCGGCCTGTCTAGCTATGGTAACACTGATGATGGAATCGACTCGCCTTACCCATTGGAAGGAGCTCAAGGAGCGGATGACTCGGGTGTTTGTTCAGCGACCTCGCGGTGCAGTGAGGAGGGTATGTTGTCGGCGGATGTGGAGCGAAGACTTTGGAATCTTTGGAGCACTGCCCTGGGCCTGTCACCTAATGTGGTCAGGTACCAGGACAGTTTCTTCAAACTTGGAGGTGACAGCATCACTGCCATGAAGATGGTCAGTGCTGCTCGCGAGGATGGTTTGGTTCTTACTGTTGCAGATGTGTTCAACAATCCCGTCTTTGAAGACATGCTTGCTACTGTTCGGGCTTCCAATGCGACACAGCAGATTTTGGACGCTGATCTCCAGCCCGCACACAAGGAGGTTGAGTCCTTCTCGGATAGCAAGCCAACTACACTTGCACCAACTCCCTCATCTGAAAGTATTACTGTGCTGCGTCCTACAAAGCCAGTGGACGATGCTTCGGTCCAAAGTGGCATTTGCCCCAAGATTGGTGTTTTCAAGGGAGGAATTGCAGATGTTCTTCCCGTGACTGACTTCCAAGCTATGTCGTTGACTGCTACTCTATTCCAGTCCCGCTGGATGTTGAACTACTTTTTCTTGGAAGGAAGCGGTCCCTTGGATCTGCGACGCCTTCGCGAGAGCTGCTTGAAGGTTGTCGATGCATTCGACATCTTGCGTACAGTATTTGTCTGTTTCCATGACCAATTCTTCCAGGTTGTGCTGCGCAAGATCCGTCCAAGCATCTTTGTCTATGAGACTGATAAGGGCCTCGATGAGTTCACCAGCACCCTTCAGCAGCGCGACCGGGAGCATGGTCCGCGTGAGGGTGAACAATATGTGCAGTTCTACGTTGTCAAGAAGAAGGGCAGCGATCTCCACCGCATTATGATCCGACTTTCCCACACTCAGTACGACGGTGTCTGTCTTTCTAAGATCATGTCGGCCATCAAGCTTGGCTACGAGGGTAGCCCTCTTCCTCCTGTTACTCCTTATGCCGGCTATCTTCGTCAGCTTCCGGGAACTATCGGTCCGGATCATTACGACCACTGGACCAACCTCCTCAAGGGCTCTCAAATGACACAGGTGATCCGCCGAAAGGGCACATCCATGTTCCAGAACATTGGCGCATTTACTGAGATCCGCAAGACCATCGAGGTCCCACCAACTGCTCTCGGAAATGTCACTGTCGCAACAGTTATGCAGGCTGCCTGGGCCCTGACTCTCGCCAAGCTGTCAGCTCAACAAGATGTTGTCTTTGGTCTTACCATTAGCGGTCGCAATGCCACAGTTCCCGGCATTGAAAACACGGTCGGACCCTGCGTAAACGTGATCCCTGTCCGCGTCAAGTTCGACGAAAACTGGACTGGCCTTGAGCTGTTCCGATACCTCCAAGACCAGCAGGTCTCCAATATGCCTTATGAATCCGTAGGATTCCGTGAGATCATCAAGCAATGCACCGATTGGCCCGCCTGGACCTACTTCACTACAGCTGTCTTCCACCAGAACGTCGATTACGAAGGCTCCCTGGAACTCGACACCACTAAGTACCGCATGGGTGGTGCTGGTGTCAACGACAACTTTGCAGACCTTACCATGGTTTCTCGCCCTGCGGATGAGCACAATCTCACTGTCACTCTTGGCTACTCCGAAAAGGGACCCGTCCTTCCCGACTTCGCCGAGAAAGTCCTCGACATGGTTTGCGAGACTGCTCAATCTCTTATCGCAAACCCTTCAACTGCCCTTCCATCCCCAAGCATGTTGGTCTCTCTCCCTCCACAAGTCATCGACGACCTCCCTCGTACCACAGACGAGCACTTCCTCAGCGCCCACCTCAAGTCACGCTCCATCGCCGAGCTCCTTGTGCACTCGGATATCCTCTCCCGCTCTTGGAATCAGGTCTTGCCTCCTCGTGATTCAACCAAGACAGTTGACTCAGACGCAGCCGAGAAACCATCTAACCAGGCTGCGTTCCAACTGGACGCATCGTTCTTCGATCTTGGAGGCGACATCTTCAATATGGCGCAGCTCACTTGGCTTCTGGAGCAAGAGGGTCTTAAGGTCCGCCTTGAGGATCTTCTCGAACATCCCTCTTTCTTGGGTCAGATGGCTGTTCTCGCGCTCCACAATGCTAAGCATCAGGAAGACTTCCCAGCCGATTTTGCTACCGGTGCTGTTTCACCTGATCCATCTGTGAGAACTCGATCTGAGAAGAAGAAGACTTGGGAGAAGGCTATGAGTCTGGCGAGAAAGTTGACTCGTCGCAATGGCAATGGCAATAGCAATGGCAATGGAAGCATCGTGTCTAGTAAGGCTTGATCTGGATCAATGCCTTGTTAATCATTTCGGTAATCAAATTGACAATAACAAGCAAAAAGAAAAAAGAAAAGAGAAAAAAGAAATCAAAATGAAGAAAGAAAAGAAGAAGTGATGAAAAAGAAGAAAAAGCAGAAATCAGGTTTGAGTTATTTGGAGCAACGGAGTCTGTTCATTACTATATTGTTTCCTTTTTCTTGTCCATGAATAACGTGCTGTCTTCATCAAAGCTGGATGCATTCATTCTTATCTCTACGATGTTCTCTATGGGGTGTTTATTTCGATTCTTTAGATGGATCTCAACTCGGACTCTCGTTCAATCTCTCTCCTACTCTATTGTCTGTCTAGTTTTTTGTTGTCTCGTGTCTCTTATCTACTATCCCTACATCATGATGTCCACTACTTATAATGGAAACCGGTAACTACCAAACAATTCATTTCCACGTAAGATTCCCGCAGGTCCTAGCACCATAATAGAGAAAGCTATGTACTGAGCAGTTCAGCGCTTGGCTAGGCCGCTCAGTCAACTCAGGCTGTACGTACCCATATCAACCCAATCGGATTAATGTGTAAGCGCACCTACCCGGGCCCAGGTGTGTTAAGCACTTAAGAGTAAGGCCCAGGTAGAATAGAATTAAAATTATATTAACGTTATACATACAACCAGAAGGTCCACTCCCAAAAATCAATATTTGTTGAAGACTATTTGAATAGTTTAAGCACAACCTAGGAACCATTTTTCTCTTGAATAATGATAATGACCTCCTCCTTTGCTAACCCTCCGGCGCTTCACCCCCCAGAGGCCATGGTGGTGTCTAAGCAATCTGAATTACTAGCACTTTAGTAAAATAGCGGGGCAAAGAAGTTATACTTTTATCGCTGCTAGGAATATGGGCTTCTGCTCCCTGCAGTTGTTCCCACTCTCCCTCGTTCTGTCGTGCCCGCCAGGCCAAGAAGTTGACGCGGTCTATCGCCGCATCTCCAGTCCTGGCCGGGCGGGACTCTGGAGGAGGTGGAAGTTCTGGGCTCTGGTCTCGTGGTGTCCTCTCACGGACTGACCGACGTATACCTTCCCGTGCGGGGGACATTGACCGTGTCCGCTCCTGCTGGTGGTGACCTTGGCCATGCTGAGAGTTTATGCGCCTCTTACGCTGTTTGCCTTCCTTATTAGAGGAGCTGTGTTGGGGACTTGGCGGACCTCTTGATCTTCCCGGACATTTTGGAAGCCCCGGAAACCAAGAGGGTGTCCTTCTTCATCTTGGTATCTATTTCTTCAAGGCTGATGTAGGGGCTCACTGCCATTATGCTGGTGCTGGTGTTGTTCCTGTATCATGATAGTTGGCTCCGGTCTATATCCCATCTTTAAGCGACCCCCAAAATCATTCCAAGCGTCTGCTTGGAGCTAGAGAAAATGGACATAATATTAGTTATTAGAATCTTCAATTGAAGAATAAAAAAAAGAGAAAAAAAAAGAAAAAGCAAAAGAGACTTACTCCTCGTAGGGTCTGGCAGAGGATTGTTGAGTGCATACTACATATGAAGATAGTCACACTCAGCAGACCGGTGTGACAGCTGGTTGCAATAGCGACAGCGGTAGTCACACCAATAGTTCGGTGATCAGACAAGTTCCTCTCTTACCTCTCGACGTCGAGGAACTTGAACCTCACACCTAGTTTTGGTGTATCGGTAAAGAGTTAGTTAAAATCCATCAAAAAAGTAATAAGGGAGATCATCAAATACCAGGAACAAGCAGCAAGTAACAAGCAGCAAGGAATGAGGAGCAGATAATAAGCAAGAAGGAATAAGTAATAAGAACCAAGCAACAAGCAACAAGCAACTCGATTCCACTGCAACTGAAGACACCCCAGCATGAGACTATGATGGAGGCCAGGATAATCAGTCTCTTTGAACCATTCACTTTCTCCTGTGCGCTGGTAATTCGAATCAACTGTCCTGCTTCAACAAGCAACAAGCAATAAGCAATGAGGAATAAGGAATAAGGAATAAATAACAGGGAGTAGGGAACAAGTAGCAAGTACTAATCAGCAATAAATAATAAGCCATAAGTGAGCCCTGTAGAAGTAAGAAGTAACAAGCAAGTAAGAAGTACTAATAAGTAACAAGTCCTCATATCATACTTTATATGACACTATAACAGCGAAGTTAGGAAAGGTATATCCCTAGCACTCAAGTTTTTTAATATTAGCAGGGTCTATAGGTAGCTGCCTCTCACTTTAGATATCGATAGGACTGGTAGTTACCTATATGATGTTCGGTTATACTTGGATGGTATTTGATCATCTTTCTTTTGTCAATGTTATATCTTTCTTACTCATGTATTATCTTCTTTGATGGAGTTTAACTCATTCTTTATTCCTTAGCCCCGATACACCAAAACTAGTTTGGGTATGTTTTTGCTTTCAGAAAATTATGACATCTGGAGGTTCCTCACGGCTGAGAGATCAAGAAATCAAGAGAGCAACTTGTCTGATCACTGAACTATTAGTGTGACTGTGCTGTGCTACATACTGCAATAGGCTCTTACACCGCACTGAGGAGTTTGAGCATGTTCAAATGTTCACTTACACTCGAGAATCCTTCTCACCTGTGGCAGTCTCTAAGAGAAGTAAGTCGTTTCAAATGTTTTTATTTCAAGAGTTATTTTATTTCTTTACTTAAGACCATAATAGCTAACATTGATTCCTATTTGTAGCTACAGGCTGAAGCCATTCATTTGGAAGCAATCTTCAAATGGGCTATAGACCCCCCTACGAAGCCCACCAAGCCCACCAACACCAGCAACAACAAGATCCCCAAAACTACCAAAATGCTCAACAGGAGAGACCGAATATACAAGATTATCAGAGGCAACAAGCCCCAAATCCTCCCAACCTACATGAGCAGGATAGAAGACCTCAGCACCGGAATGAAGAACACCATGGTCATCAAAATGAAGAAGAGAATGGTCAGATTCAACAAGACCATCAAGACCATCAACAACAACAAGAAGAAAGAGTCAGAGTGTAGAGACAACAAAATCGACAAGAAGAGCGCCAGAACGCACCAAGACCACACCCTGGTGGTTTTCGTGCTCTCCAAAACCAACAACAAAGACAGGATATCCACCGGGAGAATCATCGTACACAAAGAGATAGATCGCCGTCTCCCAATCAACAGGCCCCACAACGCCCAATGCGCCAAAGGACTCCAGATCTATCTACACGAGGTCAAAGCACTACAACCCCCTTCCCACCAACTCCAAGCAGACGGCCGGCCAGAACCGGTGATGCCGCTGTAGACCGAGCTAACTTTTTAGCTTGGCGGGCGGCGCAGAATGAGTTGGAGTGGGAGCAGGAAATAGCAGCAGAGCTAGAAGCCCCTGCCAGTGGTAATGAAGATAATGGTATGTTCTATTTCACTTTTCTCATATCTACTCAGTGCTAAATCAGATTTCTTAGATACAACGATGGGGTCACCAAATGCCGAGAAAGATTGAAGAGGAGAGGGCACTATTACAATTAACTAATATACTTGTATCATTAATAATTATGTTAATTACTATTAATACCAACTTTAGCCTATTAACAATTAATAGGCCTTACTCTTCAAATGTTACTAGTAGGTACTAAAGTTGGTATCTTGAAATTCTTGAAGTTTAGCTTTAATACAATATTGAAATGAATCATAAGGATAACTTTTGAATTATATGTGTGTTATAAAAGTCGTATATTTACCTTTCCCGCGTTGACGCGTGCATGGACTCAGACCCAACAAATCAATCATAAAACCAAACAAGTATGAAGGGGTATCTTTCAAGTACTCAGTCTAAGTGATACTCAACTCGGTACAAACAAAACAAACAAAGACCCGAGTCGAAATCTCAAATCTCAAATCTAAACCGAACCAGCAGACCACTTTCCACGAGCACGAATCCGCTTTCCGTAAGTATAGAACAAGTACGGAATTGGAATCAAGGCTATAGCGATGAAACCCAGGGTACTGGCTGCCCACGGAACACCAAGATTATGAAACATGGCATTCGTGAAGAGTGGGAATGCACCCGCGAAAATTGAACGCAGGAAAGTGTTCGCGGCGATGGCACTCGCAGCGGTTTTCTGGAAGGTATCAACGAGATAGTTGAGTGCAGCCTGGAAGATAGTGAAGAAGCCGAAACCCATCATCACGGCACCAATGATTGGCGCAATCCAGTGGATATCCTTTGGACTAGTCCAACCAAAGACGAACATGCCAGCTGCGAAGAGAATGGAACCGATCATCATGGGTGGGAGACGAGCTTCAGGAACGGGGCGGTTGTTATTCGCCTTGAAGCGTTTGATGTAGAAACGCTGGTTGGAGAGGTTGACTCCAGCACCGATGAAGATACCGATTAGATAGGCAAGGAAAGGGAGGGCACCGACGACTTGGTTCCAGCCACGAATTTCTTGGAAGACGATTGGGAAAGCGGCGAGACTGAGGTAGAGAATACCGTAGACAAATGAGGCGTATAGAGCTACCAGGAAGCAAATTGGTGTGGCGAGAAGAGCGAATGGGCGGATAAGGTATTTGTTACCGAGCTCTTTGAATGTGACATCCCATTCTTCGTGTCGAGCGTGCAGAGCCCAGTTTCCGGTTTCGAAACGTAGACGACGGGCCTTGTAGACCAGGAGAACCGGTGGGTAACTCTCATCAATAAAGACAAGATCCAGTACAAGGAAAAACATCATCATGATACCAGTAAGCTAGGAGTTGTTAGTTTTTTACTATTCAAGTTCAATAAATGTTGAACAGGAGAAGAGATACTTACATATTGTGTCCATCGCCAACCTAAGTAGCTTTGGCAAATAGCACCACCAACAATAGGTCCCAAAACAGGTCCACCAACGACAGCCATCGCATAACCAACAATCGCAGCTCCACGCTGCTCAGCCGACCAAACATCACTCAACACACCACCAGTATTAGTAACAGGCGCTGCACCAAAGAAGCCCGTAAAGAATCGAGTCAACATAATAGTTTGTAAATCCTTCGCAGCACCTGTTCCGAATGACATAACGGCCGCGATAAAGTACGGCGCTAGCACGGCAGGCTTACGCCCATAAACCTCCGACAACGGAGCCCAGATCAGCGGGCCCAGACCCAACCCGAAAAGTAACAAAGAAGTTCCCAGCGTCGCTACCTCGGTCGATACACCAAATTCATCCGCAACTTGGTCTGTACCCGTAGAGAAAATGGAACTCGCCCACGTCGTGCCCATAGTTGTCATTCCGTATAGAATAGTCGCAACGGCTTTCTTGGTGAATGACCAATTCATCGGTCTATAAGGATCATCGGGGCCATCAAAGTCGACAATATACTCTGTGCTGGTCTTAGTGTTCGAAAGAGGGTGTGTGAACTTGGCGATCTGAGCTGGGTCTCGACTTCGAATGCGCGATACTACTGATTGTGCGCGCTCCTCGAAAACTGAGCGGCCTGATGCTGCGGTGCTTTGTTTCTCCAGTGCTGCAATTGGCTCGGCATTATCGTTGATCTCGTGGTGTTCGTTGCTTATCGAGTGAGTCTCATTATGGGAGCCCGTTTCCTCGCTGGAGTCGTAATTATAGTCATGCTCTGTTCGTTCCGCCATTGCGAAGGCTTGGTAGTATACTCTTCTCTTGATAGAGGAGATACAGTCACAAATGACTCGGAGGCAAGAAAATTATAAGAAAAGAAACTTGGATTTGAATATGCGACAGGTTGAAATTTCTGGTTCCTGGGGAAATTCAAGGTGGAAAATGAATTACCCCCGCGCTAAGATAGAATAGAACTGGCGGGCTTTGAAGATTTCATCCACTCCAAGTTGTCCCGAGATCACCGTAGGTTGAAAAAAGAGCAGGGTCCACGGTGTTGCTGGGTCGCAGCTGTATTAATACTGCTTGACTGGGGCCAGGGATTTCAAACCTAATCAAGCTTCTTAATCTTTTCATCGGACCTCCGACATTGAAGCCGCTTTATCCGGGAGCGCTTGAGAGCTCTGGTTAGATGTGGGGCGTATAGCGTAGTAACCTAGGGTCCGATTTCGGGTTTGGTCAGGGATTAGAGATGATATAGAGCGTCATTGATCGTAGTATTTTGTCTTTTGGACTGATGATAAATCCATGTTGATTCTTGACCATCATGTTTTTACATTTTTTCGAGTGACCCTGTGCTCTTTTTTTTTGAAGATTTTTGCGCCGCTCGGCGTTTGACGTTGACAGCCGAACCTCGATGGGGCACGAGTGGACATGGCAATGTTTCTCTATGGGTCAGCACCCACCAATCGGGCTTAAAGTAAAGAGGGCGAAGCATTTTGCCAACCGTATGCTCGGACTCGTGGAGATCAAGTATATCAGCCCGAAGGCAATATGTACAAGGTAGATGGTAGTCAGGGCAAGAAGGCTTGTCGCCGAGTCACATGATCAATTTTCATATCTAACAACTTGAAGTGAACAAGTCTATATAGGATTCTAAAATGCGATTGATCCAAATCAAAATGGCGGGGAAAAAAGGCAAAACAACTAGAAGGTCTAAAGCCTTCTTATTGTACATAATTCACAGATATGAACCGTAAATGAAAATATGTGCTATCCATCATCATGATCAGGTCGAGTGCGCACTCTCCCACTTACGAATGGCCTCGTTTCCAGCCGTCACTTTCAAACCAATTCGAGCATCCAGCTCATAGCTATCCCATTTAGCTGCTTGTTCCAGATGCTCTTTGCACTGGCGGACCAGCTTCCTCTCGGCCTCTGTGATGGTCGGAGTTTCGGGGTTACCCGATTCGGGTGATCCCCGACCGTTATCCCCGGAGGTAGTCTCAGTAGCTTTATCTTCGGAGGACTGTGATGTCTGCACGGGCTCCGAAGATACATGCAAAGAGACGTAATTGGGGCGCTCCATCCACAAGTTAGCGGCCATCTCGAAGTGCGCAGCGGGGAGGACCCAGTCATCCTTGAGATTGCCCTTGAACACAGATTTCTCATGGTTCAAGACCTTAGTCTTGATTATAGTCTTGGCTTCTTCGTGTCGACGCTGAGATCGGTACACAGCAGCGCGTAGAAGCTCCAGAATAGCCTTTTCCTCGGCTCCTTCACGGGACCAATTCTTGTTTGAGTCACTTTCGCACCATGCGAGTCGGTCCAGGGATTCCTGGAGTTGGCTTTCAGTCATGCGGCTGTGTCCGTTCCAGAAGAAGATCATTTCCTCAATAGGATCCACGCCAATCGCATCCACCAGTGAGACATTCCACTCCTTAGCTCGGGCTTCCCATTTAGCGATCTTGCGAGTGACAAAGACGTCAAATGGAAGTTGACGCGCCATGAACTTCTTCTTGCCTGCCAATGTTGGTGCTTTGCGAAGGTACTCAGTGGCGATCTTAGCATGTTCCTGTGCTTTTTTGGGGTCGTCATTGAGATGTTGTCGGTAAAGTGCAACATGGGATGATCCGGCAATGAAGTAGTACAATGCGTGAGACCAGGAGTTAAGATCCACACACTAAAAGAATCGGTGTTAGCCTATGGCCCTGGGTGCTTCAATTCAACCCCGAAAGATAACCATACCTCAATGAAGGACTCTGCGCACACAACATATTGGTGCAAGAATAAGGCGTTCAAACTCTGCTCAAATACACTAAGGGCCTGCACTTGTTTCAATGGGCTCTTTTTGCTGTTGGCGAGGAGTTCCAATGCACCCTCAAGATTCTTGTTAGCTCCCATCATCCGTGATTCTTCCAACAACCAAAGCTGACTGTTCGGGAAGCGAGAGCGCATGTCGGCCAATAATGCAGTCAATCTCTCTGCCGGATAACCCTCCACGGTGTCCTCGCCCTCGCCCGGAGTCGGATCAGACATGATATCACAGTAACGGACAAATCCATTGTAATACGCCAGCATGGCCAATCCAGCCATAGCACCAATGATGTTATGGAATTTACTCGCTTGCCATAGCATCCTCAAACCGCGCTGCTTATCCCCGTGGAAGCCGATGATAGCAAGCAGCTTGCTGAAGGCTGGAGGAACCATGGAGATAAGAATGAGTAGAATTCCAAAACAGAAGTTAGCACCCGAGTGAATAAAGATGTCGATATCATTCTTGAAGATTTCGGAGTCCGGATCGTGATTGATGTTCGAACCACCGGGTGTGCATGTTCCAGAGACAGGCTCCGAGGGGGTTTCAGAGGCAATATCCAGTCCAGAGACACTTTTCGCGAGTTCGGTGTCCAACGGGGTAACGGATTTGGCAGTCACAGGGGATCCTTTCATCGAAGACGTCCTACTGGTTGGTTCCAGTGATTTCGTACCCGAACTAGCGCTCAACTTGGAGAGATCACTGGATCGTGTAGAGAGGGTTGGGTGCGAGCCACGAGTTTCCATAAACTTCTCTTCCATTTTCATAATGGCATCCAGAGTAATGTATGCCTTGCGAAGTCGATAAAACGCCTTGATACTCTCGGTCAGACTCTCATTCAACACTCCAACCACGGCGCCCATAAGTTGCGCAATGGCCTGGCATAGTGCATACTCTGCGCCGACATTGTAAATCTCAGAGTGAAAAGCATTGGGCGCATTAGCATTATTCTGAGCACGTTGTTGTTCACTGGCGGCGGTAGTCTCAGCTTCGCTTAAACGTTCCGAAGCTGCACAAGGTATCAGAATTAGAACAAAGTAGGTGGAATAGTGTTCCGGTTTCAATGCGAACCTTCTCTCATAATCTCCTGTTCAAATCCCAGAGTTGCTCGAACAAAGGCAACCATACCTCTCCCCAACTAGTATTGAAGGTCAGTTACTGCCATGATGGTTCCAACTACGTCATCTGACACAGCTGAATTTCCCAGATTAAACAAAGAAAAACAAAATTTGAAGAGAACCCACATTGTGAAAGGCTGAATGACCCTTTGCCAGTCCTTCTTCTGCACTATCAACATCATCGTTAAGAATCCATGTTGTCGCTATAGAGAATTTGTTAGTTTCTGTTATGTATGATGGTGGTCCATGCGTCAGAGATAACACGAACCTTTCATCGCCTCATCCACTTCCCCGCTCGTAAAATTCCACGGTCAGCCAGAGCCTCATAATAATTCCATATGAAGGGGAAGAGAGTAAATCCGGGTACTTTGTAGCACAAAGTTGAATCCCAGGTTTAAATCTTGAGAACATACAGTCTTTCAATTCTACCAGTGAATCCAATGACTGGTTAGACGCGTTTGCTGGCTTTTTGCCATAGAGCCAGGACCCCACGCGTAACATGGTGGGATCAGAATCAAATATCCAATATATCAGAAGAAAGAAGAGGAAAAAGAAAAAGAAATGAATATGAATATGAATATGAATATTAGATCGGGATGAGAATCATGGCCAAAGCCGAGAACACAGACGGAACGGGAAGAATGTTAATGGGGCTCCATATGATGCCGGATTTCCGAGAACAGAGAAGAAAAAGGAGATCAAAGGAGATCAAAGATCAAAAGGAATCAGAAAGAGGAGAGCCTGACACTAGAGTGCATGTCAAATTCAAGACTAAGCAGTGGCTGAGTCCTTGGTTCATTTTCTATGGGCTTCGGATTGCCGGTGAATCCGAGAGAGAATGCATAATTCGGGTTTCTAATACGAGTACTAGATTAACTAGACTAGTCATTATTTATATTATTACTAACTTCAAATAATCAAGTTGAACATCCAGGTGAATATTTCAAGTTGTAGGATTTCACTATCTATAACATTATCCTAGTATAATATACAAAGATAACCCTGACCACATACTACATCATAATCACTGTTGTGCTGATCTCTGGGATTTTCTGACTAAGTCAACCCGGTCAAACCTCCGCATAGCTACCACTGACCACTTCTCCCCTCATCATCTTACATCCCCATCCACAACATCATTCAGAGAATATCAGCTTTTCAAAGTACATTTCTCTTCCTTTTGCAGCTTTCAAAATGTCGAATTCTACAGCTCAAGACAAGGTCAACGCCGAACAACCCCCACAGCAACAGAAGCCTCAGGTCCTGGAAGAGGACGACGAGTTCGAGGATTTCCCCGTTGAAGGTACATTGACTTCGCATTCATCTTTTAATCAATATTCAATCTCACAATTTATTTCGGAACATCGCCCGCTAACTGTCGATGTCTCAGATTGGAGCCAGGAGGAAGCAGAGCAGTCCGCCGCTAACGGCGGCAACGAGCACCTGTGGGAAGAGAGCTGGGATGACGATGATGCCGCAGAGGACTTCTCAAAGCAGCTGAAGTAAGTTCATCTTTACCTTTCTCCCAGCTTGCCAGATAGCTAGCTAGCTAGCTATCATCCGACAACTGGAACCACGAGAATCGCTCCATCATCCCCATCCACCCCACCCAGGCATCTATTAATTAAGCATCCTGACACTCTTTCTCGATAGAGAAGAATTGAAGAAAGTCGAAGCATCGAGCTAGACAGATCGAACAAATCAAATAAACCTTGGAACGATAGATGATACGGTCATGCATCTGCCACGGTTCCACTCCCAAATCACTACAACCGCATCGGAATTGATTTCGTGACTCCAGGAGTCTGTCGAGCGCATATCCCATAACTACACTATACCCCCTTCAATCTACTTTTTTTCTTGGGATCTGTGAATCACGCCTAGTTATACCTGGGCCCTTGCCCCTTGGTTGTAATAGGAGCCGATCGAGTGAGAGGGCCAAGTCTTATGTCCTTGACCTGATAATGACATGTCTTGCCGTGGTGGATTTGGAAGTCTTTCATAGTGGAATTAGAAACCTTTACTACTATGTGGATGAATAATGTCACTGGGCTCCCAAGAGTCCCTACCATGCCCCGCTCAATGCCAACTCAAACTTCGTCATTCTTTCTCAGGTTCGACATTATAGTATAGGATCAGTCCTATTTTAGGGCAATAATCTTTGTAGTATGTACAGTATTAGATGCCTTCCCAGCTCCTTTCCATCTAACTCACAATTTCGGTCTCGTAGCTACAGATCCACCACTTAGCTTCTAAACAAACAAGAGGAAACAGAACTATGGTTTTTAAGGGAAAAAATTGAACATTTGTTTTTAAGACGTATCGGCTGTGTACATTACAGTTTCATGATAAACAAAAAGAAATATGGGCGAGCTTCCTATGCACACCAAATTTAAGAAGACTTACTAGAGATAGCAGCAACACCAGGCAGCTCCTTGCCCTCCAGCAGCTCAAGAGAAGCACCACCACCAGTGGAGACGTGAGAGAGTTTGTCCTCAACACCGTACTTAGCAGCAACAGTAGCAGTGTCACCACCACCAATGATGACAATAGCACCAGAGGTAGCAGCCTTGACAGCCGCATCGAGAGTCTTCTCGGTAGCGTTAGCGAAAGGCTTCAGCTCGAAGACACCAGGAGGACCGTTCCAGAGAATGGTCTTGGCCTCAGCAATAGTCTTCTGGTAAAGCTTAACAGACTCAGGACCAACATCCAGACCCATGTAGCCATCGGGGATACCAGTGGCATCGGTAGCAGCGCCGATGGTAGCATCAGCGGAGAACTTGTCAGCAGTGACGTAGTCAACGGGCAAGACAATCTCGACATTGTACTTCTTGGCCTTCTCGACGATGTCACCGACTATCTTGCTGCCGGCTTCGTCGAAGAGAGAGTTACCGATCTTCACGTTCTCAAGGGTCTTCTTGAAGGTGAAGGCCATGGCACCGGTGATGATCAGGCTGTTCACCTTGGGCAGAAGGTTGTCGATCAGCTGGATCTTGTCGGAGACCTTAGCACCACCCAGAATGGCGAGGAATGGACGGGCAGGGCTCTCGAGGGCCTTGGCGAAGTACTCCAGCTCCTTCTTGACGAGGAAACCGGCGGCCTTCTGGGGGGAGCTCGACACCGACCATGGAGCTGTGGGCACGGTGGGCAGTGCCGAAGGCATCGTCTGGGAAGATTGAGTTAGTATATATGGTTAATAGCTAATGGGGACATTCTTTGGCTGAAAGGTGCTATACTTACTGACGTAGACATCACCAAGGGCAGTGAGACCCTTACGGAACTCAGCAACCTTCTCCTTCTCAGCCTTAACCTTCTTGCCCTCGGCATCCTTGGAGCTGCCCTCCTCCTCGGCGTGGAAACGCAGGTTCTCCAACAGAACAATCTGGCCACCGGAGGCCTTGTTGACAGTCTCCTCAACCTGGGGACCGACACAGTCCTCGGTGAAGATAACGCTCTTGCCGAGCAGCTTCTCCAGGACGGGGACAACAGGCTTCAGGCTGTACTTGGGGTTGACCTTGCCGTCAGGACGACCCAGGTGGGACATCAGGACAACAGCCTTAGCACCGTTCTCGATGGCGTACTTGATGGTGGGAAGGGCACCGGCAATGCGCTGAGGGTTGGTGACATTCTTGTTCTCATCGAGAGGGACGTTGAAGTCGACCTGTTTTGGAAAGAGGGTTGTATTAGCAATTGGGGTTTGTTTATTGTATGGAGAGAGGGGGAAGAAAACCCCTCCATGGGAGATTGACTTACTCGGATCAAGACACGCTTGTCCTTAAGGTCGACCTCGGTGATGCTAAGCTTGTTGGAGAGAGACATTGTGTATAGAAGTCTAATGATTAACAATGTTAGATGCAGAGAAGAGCTGAAAAAAAGGGTTGGGTATGGGCTACCTCGATAGACGAAAGTTACGGAGTAGTAAAGAAGGGGAAAATGAATAGTAATAAATGAACTTAATCAGGGCCACGGTGAGTCGCGACAACTAAAGATTGGAGGGGCAGAAGCACTTATGGTGGGGCCCGGTGAGAGTGATATGCCCGCATCCAGTTGATGTTACAACATGTACCTCTTATTGATGTAGATATGGCATGATTCAAATGTTAGTACTTAGACCCAGTATATATTATACTACTGTTCACCAAGTACCTATAGCTGCATCAGTACATCAATTCCATGTAACTCAATCCTCTCGGGCGCTTTTATCGGGCTGATGCGGGACTGATGTCACAGCTTCCGTTTATGCGGAACAGGCCGGACAGTCTGGGGTGTTCGATAGCCTCGGAGTCGGGGAATGCTGGGGAGATCGAAGAATTGGGGCTACTTCATTGGTTGGGCTGGAATTGGACATATCCGCTACATTCATGGAGTGTAGAGGTATTTTCGTGACACGGAAACCCTGCCATTGCAACCATCAGAGAGCACAAAAGCAACATTTGCATTGATAATCCTAAAATTTCGAGCAACCCAGAAAACATGTCGGCAAGAGAAGAAATGTCATGATAAAGTGCAAAAAGCAAAGGAAGAAAAAGAAAGGTGTACCCGAATTATCCCAAGCGACAAATAACGAAAGACCTTTTGAAAATGCAACCTGTTCCTCTGCCATGCGAAAAATCATATCCCCCATGTACAGGAATCCCAATAATCCTGAACCAACCAGAACGCCTGAACCAATAGACCGCAAACGAAAGAAATGTATAGCCCGGAGTGGATCGTGATCGTAAAGATGTCTGTCAAGACGAGTTTAAGACTCCTCAGAGGAGTTGGTGAGTGAGAGGTATGCGGTCCACGCAATACCAATAGATGAGACAAATGGCTAGAGATTTAGTCAGTATAACCAATTCAGTGTCAAGCAGGAGCTCAAGTTTGAGTTCTTACAATCTGGAATTGAATGGGAATAACCCGGAAATTGATTATCTGCACAGCCGGCCAGAGCACAAAGTTGGCTTTGAGAGTTGGCAGGTAAACATCTCGGAATTTTTGTGTTAAAGCTCTCTTTCCTCCACCTTCAGCAATCGTCATGTAGGTGAAGAAACAAGCCAAACCTATTCCAAACAGTCAGCATCATCCCAAGATCCACCCATTGCGACAAAGTAAAGCTTACCAAACGGCGCGAAAATAAATTGATCAAAAGCAACCCGCTTCAAGGCTGGCACAGTCGGATTTGCCTTGGTGAGAGGGAATGCCCTGGATAAGAAACCAAACCACTGGAATTGCACAGGGGCCATGAAGAAACCATACGCCATGAACCGAGTGAGTCGCTCAAAGTCGAATGGTGGCGGCGAACCTATCATATAGCCTAGCTCCCCAGCACTCGACGGTTTCCTCTTATCCAGGTCTGGAATCTCTATAGAGATAAATTCGCTATCTTCTGACGATCGTTGTTGCGAATGAGTGTTGAATGCCGTGATTAACTGCGCAACTGTGTCCGCGACCCCACCAAGCACCTATTGTATCGTCAATCCCCCATCCACTTGTTCAGGTATAATTTGGTTCGAGGGAGGCTCTGTTCTTACCGCGTTGGTGGCCATGGTGGTAAGCACTATATTGCAAGCAAGGTCAGTCACGTCTCATTCTGCAACACCGGGATGGGGCGGAGCTTACCTGGCTTATCAGCATAATAGGTATTGAATTTGGCGGCAAGGCGAGCAGCTATGGCCATTTCGATAAGGAATATGATCGTGTGCAAGAGAGGCTAGAAGGCATGACAGTCCACTGGGTCAGCTATCTTACTACGATCAGGAATGAGACTAGAGGAAGCACACGAGCCGCATATTTGGCTCCATGTCTGCGTTCCTTCTTATCATCACACCATCCCCCGGGGATACATACCACGCGACCGTAGATATATCGGCGGTTCAGTCCATCGAGAACTTTCCGCTTGATGGCGGCAATCATGATGAAGAAAGGAGGTGGCTCTCAACCCTAGAGGTTCGTTTGATGGTAAGATTTCCGGGACAGAGGTGGCTGCGCGCCAGTATGACGCAAATGGCTAGGGAACCGGATCAAGGGAGAGAAAGGGACCGGATAAAATTCCCTCAATATAGTGGAAGTCGATAAGGTGGTAGAAGGTGTAGATGAAATAATTAGAGACCTGATTCACCTTTACCCCAGATCCGAGAATCATTCAGCTCAAAGGTGGAGGATGCGACTCCGCTTATGACTAAAAAGTCACGTTTTGTATGTAACTTGAACTCCGGTGACCTCATTAGCTTAACATGAGCGATTAATGCCCAGGTGCATTACATGTGTCCTATCATATTTTACCTTTATTGTTGGTGCTCCGAGGATTGATTTATTAATAGATATGTTATATTCTCTATTTTACCTATGCTCATGCTCATGCTCATACTCGTACTCATTTTCACTATCAATGTACATGGAGGATTGGTTTCAATCCCACCTGGGCATCCTCCTAGGATCGAGGTTGGTCATCAGCCAAAATATCCGGCAAATCGCGGATATCAGTCGTTTCATTCGTATTTACATCCACAAGTCGTACAGCCTCCAAGTGAAGAGGTCCAGTTGCAAGAGGTAGCAACTTGATTTCAGTGGAGTGACAGGTTCCAGGCAATAGCGGTCTATAGAGAAGAGTTAGCGTCAGATGGGATCGGAATTATGCAAGAAGCAACTAATAAGATCATAAACTCACCCCACTCGGATATCGGTACTTAAGCTGATCAACTCAGCCTCTTGGCCTACCATACTCTTTTGCATGGCATGTACAATGTTGTCATCAGTCACTGCTTCTGCCACATTGTCCTCTTTCCGACTAGAGATAGAAGCAGAAGAGGGACGCGCAACATGACCTCGCGGATCAACACGTTTACGGCGCGGAATGGCCATCAATGCAAATTTACGGGGTATGTTGGATCGATTCACGATGAAAACACCCCAAGAAAATGGTGTTCCAACTTGGACTCTGCTCGGGCCGGAAAAGGAGATTGTAACTCCCACATCTGTAACAGAATAAGCTCGCTCTCGCAAAGAGCTTCGGGCAGCCGTGGCCGCGACAGACTGACCTGACATGGAAAGACTTGTTGGACGATTGTTCCTCTGCAATGCGGTGCTAGGCCCGCCAAATGTAGGGTTTAGCGCCAGTGAGAAGTCCACGTTTGTCTTCCATTCCATAGAGATTCTCGGGTGACAATCGTCGGACAATAGGATCACCGCACCTAAAGAGATGTCCAGCACACTCATCACGGCGGTAGATGACGGATTCGTCTCCGGGCCATACTCTGGGGTGAGTTTGTAAACCAATGTCACATCATCTCTAGGTCGACATGTCAAGGGAAGAGCAAGGCCTGGAACATCTGACATAGACTCGATAGTTCCTTCAGATAGACTGAGTGCTGCTTTATCGAACGAGACTTCACAATTTAGGAAGGGCGTTACCTCAAAATCCAGGCTAGCAACGGTCGTAGGAATGCCCGTGTAAGAGCTGAGTCTTGAGTATCGGATCCTAGCACTTGCTGCAGGAACGACTCGGAATGGATGGCCATGCTGCTGTTGGATATTGTATATGGGGTCTTCGTTGTATGCTGTAGGTACGACACGTAGCAAGCGTGATGCTGGGAGGAATGGATCTTTGTGGGAAGGAGATTTATCTCCTGCCAAGGACTGCAACATATTTGTTGACGCAGGAATAAGAGGCGGGAGGTAATCATCTTCGGGGTCTTCTGTTCGACAGCCTTCTGAAGGGTTTAAAGTTGCTGAGCCAATGAACAAGAGCGAGGGGTGCTGAATGCGGTTGCGAGGGCGTTCTTAGAAATCAGTAAATATTGATCGATATTGCAAATTCAGAATTCCAACTCACTCAAGAAGCTGTCGATGCTCCATATGAGGTAGACATGGTTCCCAGTGCCACCGTCTTCGCCCTCAAACTCATTGAAAATGACTAGTGGCTCCTCATCTGTACTCACAACGCCAGAGAAGATAACCTCCCGAGTAGGTGTTGGATTCTCTGCGACAGATTCCGTCGGGTCTATCGCAAAGACATCTAGCTTAACTTCCAGACGAGGCGCGTAGTGCTTTAGAAGGGCCTCTGTGCAGTCGGAGAGTCGGAGGACAATGCGAACGGGAAGGGTCTCATCTAAAGAGCTTTTTATGAGTAAGATAAGATCGCAAATTGAAGCTGAAGTTAGAAACCCACCAAAGAAAAGAACAGAACGTTGGCGGATTGCGGCCAGCACGGAGGGCAAATCATCGGCACCATCTTCCAATGCGGAGGTCAATGCTCCCTCTAAGTCAAGCCCTGGAGCATGAGGTACAACTGTTTCTAGAACAGCATGTCGCAAAAACTCGCCCGGAATTTCCAGACCAGGCATTGCGACCAAAATGTCCCCTTGGATTCTCTTAATTAGCTCCGGGGAAGTCGCAACAACAACTGGGCGCATTAAAGGAGATACGGGATGATAAGGTGATGATGATGCAAACAATGCAAACTCCAAGCTTGATCTGCGCGCTTCTCTTTTTCCACTTCATTGTCTCATCACCTTCCGCTCTACTGCAACCATGAACTCGATGAATGGTCCAGGTGGTGCCCCAGCTGTATGGCAGGAGGCACGCAATGCAGATGGTAGGGTCTATTACTACAATGTGCAGACGAAAGTCACACAATGGGCCAAACCCGTCGAGTTGATGAACCCCGTTGAGGTTGGTATCCCCAGCTATCACTTTCGTAGCTAGATTTGAGCTAACATTCTGCCTTTACAGCGAGCCCTGGCTGACCAGCCTTGGAAGGAGTACACAACGGATGCAGGCCGGAAGTACTGGTCCAATACGGAGACCAAGCAGAGCACATGGGAGATGCCTGAGGTTTACAAGAATGCGCTGGCACAGGCACCGCCTGCGCCGGTCGCGCCAGTAGCGTAAGTCCGCTATGCTTGATTCTGACTACACAATCCCTAATATCTTTCAGGGCTCCATCTTTTGTCGCAGGTAGCGGCAGCTCCTACCCGCATCAACAACGTGAACGCGATGACTACGATCGAGGCGATCGGGGTGACCGAGGTGACCGAGGATACAACGACCGACGTGGATATGGAAATTTTGAACCGAACAGCATGGTTGCTGCACCAGCATTGGCCACCTCCGAACCCGAGTACGGCTCCGTCGAGGAAGCCGAAGGTGCTTTTATGAAGATGCTCAAGCGACACAACGTGCAGCCGGATTGGACCTGGGAACAGACCATGCGAGTGACGATTAAAGACCCACAATACCGCTCTCTCAAGGATCCACGGGATCGCAAAACTGCTTTTGAGAAATATGCGGTCGAGGTTCGCATGCAGGAGAAGGATCGTGCGAAAGAGAGATTCGCCAAACTCCGAGCAGATTTTAATACCATGCTTCAGCGTCATCCAGAGATCAAGCACTACAGTCGTTGGAAGACAATTCGTCCGATTATCGAGGGAGAGACTACTTTCCGGGCAACAAACGATGAAGATGAAAGACGCCAGCTTTTCGAGGACTATGTTACTGAACTCAAGAAGGCCCATGCAGAGCAACAGGCTGCCACACGAAAGGCCGCTCTGGATGAATTAGTCAAAATTCTGGGCGGTCTAGAACTCGAACCATACACACGTTGGGCTGAGGCTCAAGCCGTTATCGAGTCCAATGACAAGGTGCAGGGTGACCTTAAGTTCAAGGCCCTAACAAAATGTGATCTTTTGAATGCGTTTGAAGACCATATTAAGAATTTGGAACGCACGTTCAACGACGCCCGTCAGGAACAGAAGGCGGCTCGGGCCCGCAAGGAGCGCCACAACCGAGAGAATTTCCTTGAGCTCCTGAAGGAACTGAGATCTCAAGGGAAGATCAAGGCAGGCAGTCAGTGGATGAACATCTGTCCCCTGGTTCAGGAGGATTCCAGGTACCAAGCTATGCTTGGTCAGTCTGGATCTACTCCCCTTGACCTATTCTGGGACATGGTCGAGGAAGAGGAACGCTCACTTCGTGGTCCTCGCAATGATGTGCTGGACGTTCTTGATGTAAGTCAACTACATCGGTAATATCTCTTCTTTTGAATTTTGCTAACAGACATCTTCCACAGGACAAACGCTACGAAGTCACTGCTAAGACCACGTTTGAGGAGTTCAACACTGTGATTGAAGCTGACCGACGCACCTCCAAGATCGACCCCGATATTCTCCAGCTTATCTTCGCCCGCATTCAAGATAAAGCAGTTCGTCGAGATGAAGAAGAAAAACATGCCGCTGATCGTCACCAGCGTCGTGCCGTTGACGCGCTACGCTCACGTATCAAGCGGCTTGAACCCCCAGTTCGCGTCACAGATACATGGGACCAAATCCAGCCTCGCCTAGAAAAGTACGAAGAATACAAGGCTGTTGAGAGCGACGAACTTCGTCAGTCTGCATTTGACAAGCTTATTCGACGCCTCAGAGAAAAGGAGGAAGACATGGAGAAAGACCGTGAGTTGCGTGACCGTGACCGAAATCGCCGAGACTATGATCGTGAATACCGCAGTCGGGGAGAGAGACGTGGTGGCAGCCGTGCCAGTCGCTCACCCGAGCCAGATGCCTATGAAGCAGACCGCCGCAAGGCCCAGGCCGATCGCGAGCGATCCTACCGTACTCGTGACGACCGCGATCGCGACAGAGACCGTGACCGTGATCGCTACCGTGACCGTGGTGACCGGGACCGGGATCGTGACCTTGATCGCCGCCCAGGTCGGGACTTGGACCGCCGCGAAGATGAGCGCGAGCGCCTGTACCGCACTCGCGGTGACCCCCGCGGAGGTCGTGATGAGCTAGACTATGGTGAAACCCGTACTACGGCCAGTGGTGGTGGTGAGCGCAGACGCAGACGAGAAAGCGACGCTGAGAGTGTGGCAAGTCGATCTGCGAAACGATACCGTCGGGAGAGCCGTGAGCGTGAACGCAGCAAGGGCCCACGGCGGGATCGTGCCCGAGAGCGGTCCGCCATTCCTGAACAGGAGATGAAGGACGCCGAAAAGGCTATCCATTCCGGTAGCGAAGAAGGAGAGATTGAAGAGGATTAGAAGATTCAAGGTGTTGTACATCTACAAATGTCATTTACCTAAGCTTGTTGAGCAGTTTACCGATGCATAACACTGAATGTATGGATTCTGTAGTTCTTGAAAGCCTCATGTTCAGTAATATGTATCAGCGCTTCGATGGCTACCAGACTATGTCCTGGTCAATTTGCCTGAAATTGGTGTCATAAATTTACTACCTAGTATTCCAACCTTGAAAGGTTCTTCTCGAGCTCTATGCGGATGTAGCTATAGCTCTGAGGCGGGGGTGCTCGCCCAGCTTCAGGGTTGTCAGGTGGAAAATTACAGGTAATTTAACCACTGAATACAACAATTTGAAATTTATATTTATCAAAATCTCCAGGTACTACATCTTTTCTGTTATTTTCTCCCTTCTGAAGCCTTTGATCTAAACACAATTACTAGAATCAATTTGAGATGGAAACTTCTCCATCCATAAGGGATCAAAATCAAGGCGATCCAATTCCGAGGGCCGATCAAAATGCAAGCTCCGAGCAAAATTCAAGCTCTGATCAAAATACAAGCCCTGATCAAAATCCAAGTCCTGCTCAAGATGAATCCTGGGACCTTCCTCCTCCTCCACCGGCAGTGTACGCATCTCGCGATATTGCCAAAAACCGTTTAAATGAGTTTGCTACGCAACATGGATATTCGATCTCCTTTAAAAGCACATCGAGAAACGGCAGAATCTCGTATATTGGCTGTCATCGCTCTGGAAACAGAACCTCAAAATCGCAAGGCATTCGCTCTAAAACAACTCAGCAAACAGACTGTCGGTTTCAAGCCCGTCGTACTAAGCGTTATGACGACCAGCTCCAATTTACAGTCGACAATCCAAGCCATAACCATCCTGCAACTGCTGAATCAACATTAGTGGCTAATCGAAGATTCCAAATCCGCATGTTTCAGCGATTAATCAAAAGGCTATTTGCTGGACATACGAATCAACAAATTCTTGGTATCATTCGGAGCCGAACTCGCAATGGGGAATACCATCTGTCTGTTCGGGATATCCAAAACTTTCGCACAAGTGAGCGAACTCGCGATCTCGCGGAGCGTTTATATGCTGAGAGTAGAGTTCCATTGAATGAAATACTACCAAACCCGATAACACCACTAGTCAGACCGCCAATATGCAGCAGTGGCACGGACACGATATGATCAGAATATCACCGAACTCGTTCCAGATAACGATGACTCGGAACAACATGTCTTTTCGATTTGACGAATGTCGGAGGGCGTACCATATGCCGTACATGAAATTCTCGCCTGTATTCAATGGTGGTCGGTTCTTGTATGAGAACTTCAAGTTCGAGTCAAGTTTGTGACGGTCCCAGCAGCGCAGATCTGTCTGACAGTACCAAATAACAGTCGACTGGCTCATCTACGCTAGAATTTTACCAGGTAGATGCGCTAGTCAAGGTATCAATTTCGAGGTCAACCCGTGGACGATGATCCTGAATAATACCAATTTTTTTCTGGTCAATTGGTGATTTCAACTTGGAGTTTGATGTTAGAGATATCAGGAAGCACAGGTCCTATATACATCCGACTCCAGGCTAAGAATGGGACATCTGAAAGAACAAATTATGTTTATCCATATTCTGTCAGTTCCAAGGTTATTGATAGGAGCATGAAAGGTTCAAGTTTTTACTAGTACTTGGATAGATAGAATCAAGATAATAGTATACACTATATGTCTTGGGATCATAACAGCATAACATTACTAGTAAGTAAACCTTAGAGTAAGGCAGAGACAAAGGGAACATCTGGAGGATCCCTTATAGTTGAGTAAAGGGGGAGAAAAGTAACATTTGAACAACTCAGCCCTGCTAGCCTAACGGAATAGCGGCGTCAGACTCTAAGAGGACAGATGGATTAGCACTGGCATTTATCAGGATGGTCTGGGTCCTGGTCGGTGGCTGAGTTAGTATACCAGAGGGCGGGCGGGATTCAGCTTCGGCTGGACATAATGATTTTTTTTTTAAATTTTCGAGATTTTTATATAGAATACTTTGAGATTTGCTCTCTCTATCCTTGATCACAAGTTGCCACACCCATGATGAGAATATTCGATATATTGGACTTGAAGATATAAGTTGAGTGTTATACTAGGAAGAAAGGGAAATCATCATTGGAGAAATTATATCAGTAAGAAGAGAAGAGCGAAGTAAGGAATCGATTTAGTATACATATCGTCTACTCAAAGCTCTCGCTTGTATGCTGGGCACCGAATCCTGGATCTCTCACTTTCTTGACCATTTTTAACCCCCTCCTTCTTCCAACCTACAACTCTCTCAACATCTATAAACCTCTTACCTCCAATCGAGATTTTAAAAGTTCATCTAACCTTAACTATGTCAGGTATCTATATATACAGATAATTCCCTCTATTGCTAAATGAAGCCAATGACACTAATGACACTACTTAGACGCCGCCATCATGACCCTGACGACTCTGAAGACCACTCCGTAGTCATTCCTGACCTCAACTTCGGCAAGCCGATCCATCGTGAACCCGGAGATTAGGCTCACTTTCTAAAAGAAACCTTCCTTACTAACTCACGACAAGGAGATAGCAACTTAACGAAGACACTAGATGTACTCCGTGAACTCTATCTGAAGCGAGACCTGGTTCTGAGAGAACATGAGAATTGGGGGCCTAGCGGATTTTTTGGGGCTCTGAACGAAGCCGTTGAGCATGTGGAGTCAGCCTTCTTTTTATCAGAACTCGAAAATCATCAAAAAAATGAGCGAGATATTGAGGGTAATGGCGTGGTGTCAGATGTATCAAGTGAGGCTATTCGCAGCATCTCGCCTCTCCCTTCGATGCGAACCCGATATCAATTTCCCAACTTGATTTCAAAGCCACCGGTTTAATTCCAGCTGTGATAGCTTTTTGATCTCTAAAAAAGGACTTTTTTGGTCGATCTCAAGTGCTCTTCAGCTTGCAGCACTTGAGCCTTGAGCTCACCCAGTGAATCATATTTCCTTCTGCGAATAGTGTGTAGCAGATATGTACATAGCATCCAGTCAAGCTCACAATCGTGAGTCCTGTGCCTCGCAGAATCTGAGCTCCTCTTCTTTCTTTGAAAGTTCTCTCAAATTCCACAAGGCGAGTCAACTCCTAAAAAATGAGTCCAATGTTCATATCCCATTCTCTAGTAGCCAGCCTTGTCTCCGAGTCCTGGTGTATATGTCGGATTTAGGACTTAGGTGAATAATACATTCAGTTCAAAATATTTAGATCATGATCCTTTCATAGTATTTGAATCAAACATTAGAAATAGTAAATCAAGTATAATGTTGGAGCTTACATGTAGTTCAGTGCTTAACTCCGTTGCCCCACCTATTTTTTCTCGCATTTTCACCTTAACCCCGTTGACGTCGCGGAGACCGATCGTATAATTCCTGAAGAGCTTGAATAGTCTCCACTAAATACCATAATCCAATAATGATTAAGAACAGGACCGTCGATGCAGGGAAGGTATCCACTATCAGCCACTCAATTGGGAGGAATTGTTGAAGTATGAAGACATCCGAGTCAGGGAGCCCGCCAGTGGTTATATAAAGAGCCCCTCACTGCCACGGATAACATCATTACCAACAACTCGATTCAACTTCCCTCTCTCATCCGAGTCCTCACAACTCTGAAATCTTTCCAAGGTTTCACTCAATCAACTTACCAGAGACTCAATTGAAAAATATCCATCATGCCTACTCTTGTCGGGAAAGAAGTCGGTGTCACCGGATATGGCACTATGAGTAAGTTTTTGCGCAAACTCATTCCACAACGACAATCGCACTGACTTCAACCCAGGAATTACCTGGAACCCCACCCCACCGACAGAAGAAGTTGCTTTTGAATCTCTCAACAAGACCCTGGAGCTTGGCGCCAACTTCTGGAACGGCGGTGAGCTTTATGGAACCCCCGAGCACAACTCTCTGCACTTGATGAACAAGTACTTTACCAAGTACCCAGAAAATGCCGACAAGGTCGTCCTCAGTATCAAGGGTGGCTTGAAGGCTGGCGCCCTGATTCCAGATGGTTCTGAGGAGAACATTCGTCGCAGTGTAGATGAATGTATCAGGGTACTGGATGGCAAGAAGAAGGTTGATATCTTCGAGTGCGCACGTCAGGACCCTAACTTCACTATTGAGCACACCGTTGAGGTCCTTGCCCAGTGTGTTAAGGAGGGCAAGATTGGGGGAATTGGATTGAGCGAAGTGAACGCCGAGACTATCCGACGCGCGTATGTTCGAGATATGAATATTTTTCAACAAATTCGTGTCTATACATATACTAACTATATTCTGTAGAGCTAAGGTACACCCTATCGCAGCTGTTGAAGTCGAGGTATCCTTGTGGTCCACCGACATCTTCGAAAACGGCATCGCCGAGACCTGCGCTGAACTCAACATCCCCATCGTGGCCTACTCGCCACTGGGTCGGGGTTTCCTGACTGGAACCCTGACCTCGCGATCGGATATCCCGCAGGGTGATTTCCGCTTGTTGGTTCCGCGATTCTCAGAAGAGAATTTTGGGCAAAATATGAAGCTCATCAACGAGGTCAAGAGCCTAGCGTCTCGCAAGGGTCTTGCCCCTGCTCAGGTGGCTTTGGGATGGCTTCTAAGCTTGAGCAACAAGCCTAACATGCCCACCATTATCCCCATCCCAGGAGGTACTACTGTCGACAAGGTTACACAAAACTTGGTTGGAGTCAAGTTGCTTTCTGATGAAGAGCTAGCAGAGGTCGATGCTGTCCTTAAGGAGAACGCTGTTGCTGGAGGACGGTACTAGGATCATGTCTGCTTTATCGTTAGAAAATGGTTCAAAACTTAAAGCAATGAATGACAAATCATTATGTATAAATCAATCAAGAGATCAGATCAAGTGTAGAAGAGTCAACATGCAATCTCACGGGAAATCGAACCCGAGAGTCCAATACGGAGATTGTCTGCATTGCAGAATTCTTCTTTGCGTTCATCAGGGAAGGAGAGTGAATTGTAAGAGGAATAGGGTCAAGAGCATACCTATTGATTACAAATTGATAGAAATGGAGAATTCCAAGGTTGTGTCTATTGTTAATTTTCATTTCCATAGTTGAATACATTGTGTGTGATAGAAGAGGAGGAAGAAAAAAAAAACATGGAAAATCCAAGTTAAGCTAAGACATCCTCACGTGATTCTTGGGGAACCCAACAGCTTCACTGTCTCTCACTTCAGTGGAAACAACAAGTGGAATAAATTCCCGACCCCCCTGGTCCTTGTTTCTGTCTCGACACAACTTTCTTTGTCGCTGACAACCCTTGACTTTAACAATGGCGTCCCGCGATTCCCCCGGTTCCCCCCTTTCATCAGTCGGTACCGCAGATGAGTCCGACCACGAGTCCATCAGACATGAAAGCCGCGCGCAATCCCCATCAGCATCATCGAATATGCCTCCGTCAAAACGACGCCGTACAGGCGTAGCTTCATGGGATCGCAATACTCCTCTTTCCTCTGTCCACGATGACGTCCCTCCTCCAGCTTCGCCCACAGCCTCCATCTCATCCGATAGCTCAGGCGACATCCCAAACTCCCCTAGCCTGGCTGGTCTCCTTGGCAACAATGTGGACGAGGATTACAGCGGTCAAAGTACCGACCAGGTCACTGTATGCCAGTGGGATGGATGCACAGTCGGTGACCTGAGCAACATGGATGGGTTGGTGCAGCACCTCCACAACGAGCACATCGGGAGCCGACAGAAGCGGTACTCCTGCGAGTGGATCGACTGCAGCCGTAAAGGCCAAACACATGCCAGTGCGTACGCTCTTCGAGCTCATATGCGCAGTCATACTCGCGAGAAGCCTTTCTACTGTACTCTACCCGGTATGTTTAACTTGCTCCCTTTCATGCGAATTTACAGACAAATCGGAGGAAGTCGATATCGTCATGCAATTACAATGCATATAAAGAGCATCTTCAGACTAACGTTGTATACTCAGAATGTGACCGCAATTTCACTCGCTCCGATGCCTTGACGAAACATATGCGCTCGGTCCATGAAATCGATTCCCTCCGCCAAGCAGAAGCAAAAGCTCATGCTGCTGCTAATGCCAATTCCACTCCCACTGTCAGTATTGCGCCAAGCGTTACTGGTACACCCGCCTCAAAGCTTCAGCGTATCCGCTTGAAGCTATCGCACCCACACAAAGACGGCGAAGCCGATCATCCAGACCAGATCATTTCGATGAGCGCTGCACCGCTACCAGAACCCGACGTCGAAGATACGATGCCCGAGCTTGGTCCTGAGCTCGGACTCGAACCTCACGAGCTTGCGATGCCGCCGCGCGAGCTGTACAGGTTGCTTCGGCGGCAGATTCACTGGGCGGAGAATGAGGGGTCTGAATTACGTGCAGAATGGGAGCTGCTTCAGCCTAGACGCGAGCGCGCGTGGAGAGAGAAGGATGCCGTGTTCGATGACCTCATTGAGGCTGAACTCAAGCTATTTAATGTTCTGATTGGCGATTCAGATGACGCGAATGTGAACTTGATGACCAGTCTTGAAAGACTTCAACAGCAGCAAGTCTTGTTCACGCGACAGCAGGAGGATCTTAGAGCTAAGTCTGTGGAGATGGATGTGGATGATGCTGCAGCAGTCTAGTTTGACGCATTATTATTAACTCTGATCTCTTTTTACGGAACCTGTTAAGCTTTTATTGATCGGTGTCCATGGCGTTTCTTTTCTTTACATTATGACCAAGGGTTGGAAGGGATGGACAATTGTATGAATAGTTTACTTTTATTTCTATGCTGGATGCTAGCATATTCCCGGTTATCTTTATCAAACTGATTTACGACGGACTTGTCGATATCGATGTCCCTAATACTATCTTATTACGATCTACCAAGTATCTGTGAAAGAAAATAGAGTAAGAAGTCCTGATGAGGACGTTTCATTTATTCTAAAAATAAAACATGGGAGATTGGGCATCACAAATAGTGCTCCAAGCCAGCTGAATGATCTTGTGCAAATACAGAAAAATCAGTCGACGCCGGGTAGCCACACTCCATAGGATACAATGTGCTGAAAAACAAAATGACATCGAGAAATTCCAATGTTGAATCAAAATGGGAAAGGAAGCCGTGGCCTGCTAGAACAGTTTTAATGACTGTATCTGAGCACGTTCGGAGACGAGAAAATTAGACGTGGGCAGATCCAGCTACCCTAGATCTCCAAAGGGTAGAGATCAAGTTTCGCGATCTGCCGAAGGATGGAGGGACAGAGAGAAAGAGAGAAGGAAGAAATAATAAATGGAAAAAAGCCAAAGCTGAAAAGACGAGCAAGGAGATAGAAACTCCGAAAAGAGAACCCCAAACACGCCATGCAAATATCATCTGACGTTCGAATCGTAATCCGAGTCAAATCGAATTCTCCTTCTGTGCTTGTTTTTGGGTAGCGCAAATCATTCGACGCCTTTCGCAATGCCATGCATACAGCTCATTGAATCCGTATGTACTTTCAATGAAATCATTGACTTTTCTTTTTAAAAAAGCGCGGTGAAGTGAGGGAGGGAGGGAAGTGACGTGGATCTGAGAGATAAGAAAAATTGAGATGGGCACTCCCGCCGCTCTTTATGACATGTGTGTTGCCATCTGTAAGGAAGAGTGTGGATGTGGGTGGATGTGCAGAGACGGAGAACTCTATGAGCCGGCAGAGGGCTTCGAGGCATTCTTCGCTTCCTGGACCTTTTGGAACATGGTTTGAAGCTTGGTGCCAGTAACCTCTCTGTTAGGCCAGTAGTTGACCGAAACATAGTCCCTGATTAGAAGGTTAGCAGATGAACGGATGTGTATTGATTAAGAGATATTTCATAGTGAACTTACCACAGGCGTTTTTCCAGAGAGGCCATAGCCTTATCACTGCCCAGAGTTTCACAAATGAACTCGCCAATTTTCATAATGGTGGTTCGAAGCTCGTGAGCCCGTTTAGACTTATCTGGGTAGTTCTTGGCTGTGATCTTGGACACGTTGTCCAGGATGCCTACAATAGGCTTAAACAGCATGAAGGCCATATCTTCCTTCTCTTTGCTCGATCCACCATTCTCTTGAGATTTCCGACGACGAAGCTCGTCAGCGTCAGACGTACGATGTCGAGGACGACCAGCATCATGGCCGGATTTGGGCCGGTCGTGACTGGGGGTGTGACGGTCGTTGCCATCCCGACCAGTATTAGTGTGGGAGCGTTGTCGTGCACGATCAACCTCTCTTTGACCCTTCCGAGATGATGGAGCAGGAGATGCTGACACACTGCCACTGCCAAAACGAGAATTACGCTTGTTGTTTCGGTGATGGTTGTCCACAGCCCGTCTAGCGCTGGCGTTGTTGCCGCTGCTGTATTTGTTCCTCAGAACTGAGAGCAGATACTCCGCTCGGCGAACAAGATGAACAGCGCCAGGAGATTTGGTAGACTTTTCCTCGCCCTGCAAACGTTGGGTCTTCCTTTCCACACGATGCTCCTCTAAGAAGAACTTATCACCGAGACCCAAGTCTGTGTCGTCGCGGATTTGAGTCCACGCACCGAATCCGTGTCGAGCGATACCAACCAAGAGCATACCGTCCTCTCGGGCACCCCAGGGGCAACTGTAGTCTGCTAGTTTCGTGGCCTCTGGAAGACGGAAATTCCTGAAGTCTGCGAGAGAGGTAGTCATATCTCGAACAAGTCGCATATCAGGTGGTCGGTCAACAATGGTCCAGGCATTCAACCGTTTGACACCGTGATGATCAAAAAGAACAGCCTTTTGTTCTTTCTTCGTGAGATTCTTGCCAGATTGCTTGAGAGCCTCCAACTGAGCCAAGTTCTCCTGGACAAGAGATTCGGCCTTCTGAGTCATCTCGTCGAGAGCGGCCTTTACTGTATCCCGATCGCGATTCTGTAACCGAGAATCTTCGAGGATGAGTTCCTCGCAATCCTCCATGGCACCATAACGAAGGAACGCACGAGAAAGAGCCCGGTATTCCTTTTCACCCAAGGGGCGCTTCGGGTCCAGTGAGCTGTTGTCATCGTCGTCATCTTCTTCAATAGCAACTTGAGCTCGAGCTTGTCGCTTTGCCTTGCGCTCCTCCCGTGAATCCCGGGACTGAGTGGCAGCTTGGCGTTTTCGCGGCTGATTCTGCTCGATCACATCTGCAAGATACTTCTCATCTGCTTTGCGCTTCTCCTCCGCCTTGATCTCGTTCAGTTGCTCTTTGGGGATAATGTCATCCCAGCTAAGATCATCCACTTTGATGTCAACGAAATCGAAGGCCTTCAAGAATTCTTCACCACCGTCCGCTTGAATCTGCTCAGTTTCTTCGGTCTGGTGAAGCTCGGCGTTGGCAAGCACAGACTCAATATCAAGCGACTCCAGCTTCTTCTGGTTGTCAGTCTGCTCAAACATCTTCTGGCCACGACGCTTAAGAATGCGAGAAATATCTTCTGTTGAATTGGGTTCACCGAGGACCCGAGACATCTTAGTCTGCATCTCAGAGGCTTCCTTATCAGTGACACCACGTTGGATTGTGATGAACTCCAGTAACAGCTTGTTTCGAGCTCTTTCGATAACTTCTTCTTCGATTGTGTCTTTTGAAACCAGGCGATAGACACTGACAGGGCGGGTCTGTCCAATTCGATGAGCACGAGCCATGGCCTGCAGATCAGCCTGTGGGTTCCAATCCGAGTCAAACAGGACGACTGTATCCGCAGTCATCAAGTTAATTCCAAGACCACCGGCACGCGTGGAGAGAAGGAATGCAAAATCGGTACTTTCGGGGGCATTGTAGTGCTCAATGGCCAAGCGACGAGCAGCTGAAGGAATGGTTCCGTCCAGACGCTGATACTTGTAGTTACGATACTCCATGTATTCACTGAGGATGTTGAGCATGCCAACCATTTGACAGAAAATCAAAACACGATGACCGTCTCTCTTCAGCTTGCCGAGAAGTTGATCCAGCAACATCATCTTTCCACTGCTGGTAATCATAGCGCGCAGGATATCCTCACGTCTGGTGCTTCCTTCAAGAATTCTCGCCTCTGCATTGGGAAACATGAAAGGATGGTTACTGGCTTTCTTCAGTTCCATCATGATATTCAAAAGTGACTGCTTGACTCCCCTGGCACCATCATTGAGTGCAGCGTAATTCTTGGTGAGAATGTTCTTGTAGTACTCCAGCTGAACGTCGGAGAGCTCAACTCGAATGATTTTCTCTGTCTTTGGAGGAAGGTCACTCTCCACCTTGGACTTAGTACGTCGTAGCATGTACGGTTGAATAGCATCTGTCAACTCGGCCAGCTTCTGTGATGCGGCATCAGAGTTGAGATCCATGTCAACATCAACTTGGATCACACCGGGGTTCAGAAAGTCCATGAGAGATGCCAGTTCGGCAAGATTGTTTTGAATTGGTGTACCAGTGATAAGGAGACGGGCTTGACATTTCCACTCGACCAGCTTCATGTAAAGCTGGGAGTCACGATTCTTGAGACGATGGGCCTCGTCAACGGCCATAAACTGCCATTTGAATTGTCCAAGGAATGGGGAGTCATTCATGGCGTACTCATAGGTCGTTAACAGCACGTGGAATTTTGGTCGTTTGGGATTCCCATCAACCATCAATTCATAGTCGCGCAGAACGCTGCGAGCCTTTTCGCTGCCATTGTAAACAACGTAATTCAGGTCCGGTGTCCAGTAATCAAAGGTATCAGCCCATGCAGGCATTGTTGACAAGGGGACAATCACAATGAAAGGACCTTGTTGCCTGCGAACATGTCGCATCCAATTGATGAAAGACACAGTTTGCACGGTCTTACCAAGACCCATCTCATCAGCCAGCACCACGTTACGATCTCGAACCCAATTGAATGCAAGGAAGTTCAAGCCCTTCACTTGGAAGTCTTTCAGCTCGCCATTTTCTAAGAAGCTCGGTGAGGTATGAATAGGTTCGAATGACTTGCGCGTGGCCGGATTTGTTTCCATCTTGTCGGAGACAGGGTGACGAGCAGAACGATCAATGAAGCGGTCAATCTCACGCTGTGCGATCTCACTGACCAGGTCTTCTGGTTCCCAAGTACATGAATCATAGAAGAGACGTTTCCACTTGACAAGATATTCGGTTACGCCATTGTCTTCCCGAACACCAATCACACGCTCAACCTGCTTGTAATCCTCAATGGCCTCAACGTCTCTTTCGCGATCGAGGTTCCACTTTTCACGATCTTCCGGAGGGGCATCTGGGTCATGCTGGAGGCGAAGATCTTCATTGAGGACCTTGCGAACGTAATTATCCACACGACGAGTGCTCCGATAGTTCACAAGTTCTTCATTGGGGACCCAACTGGAATGGTAGTAAGATTGGTCTTGCCACTTAATGTAGAACTCGAAGTCTTGGCGGTCTACGTCCGCGCCATTGGAATCTGAGTCGTCCTTGAGTCGATGATTAAGAACGACATCGACGGCTGGTCGGGTATCTTCTGCGTAGCTGGCAGCCCAGTAATCTGGGCCGAGCTCATCGGCATCCTCCTCAAATATCTCATCATCCTCATCCTCATTGTAATTTGACACTTTGGACGCGTTTCTGGTAGAAAAGCGAACCTCGGAGAGGGATGGTTCCATGCCTGGAGCTTGCTGAAGACGACGACGCCTCGCCTTGTCCGCACGAGCATTTTTCCCACCGTACTCATCATCACTTTCTGTCTCTGAGAACGATGACACAGTAGCTGACCGCGAGGTTTTGGAAGGCTGTTGAGATGGTTCCTTGCGCCGACGCTTCAAGCGCGGCGCAACAGCGTCAGATTCCGAGTCGGATGAGTCCACGAGATGGCGTGTTGTGCGAGCACGACCACTTCGACGCAGTCCGAAGAGATCGGCATTTTGGTTGATGTACTCGCGTTCATCCGGCGGCGATGATTTGCGCTTCATACCTCGATCGCCATTGGGTGATGAAGAGTTTTCACGACTCGACCGATCCATTTCCTCATCACTGTTTTCCATCACGACGTCTTCATCTTCGGCATCAGAAGCTTGAGATTCGGCATCATATGAATCGTCCGCGACATCGGGTTCGGGGGAGGACTCGGAGACAGGATGGGACTCGACAGGTTCGGAGGGGCTTCGTTCGCTTCTCGCAAATGCATCGCTATCTGCTCCGGCGTAGTCGGCAGATGGCGAATGCAAGAAGCCATTTGACATTGTAGATGTAGAAGGAGGTTCTTGACCTGATGGGATCACCATGCTAGATGCTATGACCGAGGGGTCAGTCAGCATTGAAGCTCAATTCAGGCTCGTGGGGATGCTAGGTTTGTGAAGTTGGGTAGAACAGTGATACGCGACTCAATTTGCAGGGATTTGAAGCTAATAGATGGTAGATTGGGGTATGATATCAAGACTTGATGGGCTTTGATGGATTTTGATGCTCAGCCTGATGGACGCGGTCACGACTGAAGCAGGCGCCACGAGGGGATTGACCACGATGAACCATCCAGTAAGAACGAGAACATCACATTTGGGTAATTCGGTTTATCAGATTCCTCCACCTCGTGTAAACCATATGATTTTGGCAATCTTGACAGTGGGTCGATGAACGCGGAGAAGTACCCGGACAAAGGTGCTCTGGCGACATGTTTTGGGAATGCGTTAACACGAAAAGAAAAAAATAATAACTTACACTCCATAGCGTGGTGACCCCAGAAGAGGGGAGACTAAGGTATCAATGTTGTAAAAAAGTAATGGTGGGTGGGGAAGGCGAAGATGCTGGAGATAGAAGACAAGACGAGTGAGGGAGATGAGAGTTGGGGGAGGATGATTCGGGTTTGGTTTGGTTTCCGGGCAAGGATCGACTGCGGGGCCTGAGGGGTCAGGCATTAACTTTCCCGGGCTTACCGATATGGACTAGCGTACTCGCTTCGCGCGTGAACAACTGTCAGTCATGTGATATCAAACGATGACTGGATTAACTATTATTCCGTGACTATTCTCTCAACCAATTAAATCCCTGATAAATAATGCGGGCATCCCTCTGGGCGGTCACTACGTTTTAGCCTGAGGCACCTCAGCCCACAATAAGAAAGAAGAAAGCCTAGTTCATTTCTTGCCCCCGACGCTGCCATTGTTGTCTTCAACTCCGCCAGTTTGAGCCTGCGCAGATACTTGCTGCTCTACTGCAACCGATCAACAGTGTCGTGCAAGTTACGCTCTTGCCTCCCCTCAACGGTCCCTCTTTGAAAATCCCTAGCGCACGCATTCCTTGTTACCCGCTTTTATACCTGACACTGGTTCCTTGAACCGAAGCCGCCGCCATCATGTCTGACAAGCTTACACGGTATGTACTTGATGTCTATGGAGAATCAAGATTCCACTTCTATAAATGCGCGTCGCTAATCAGTTTGCGTCTTGAAGTATTGCTATTATCAACTCGGACAAGGTTCGTTCCAAGTCTACCCCGCTAATGCGATGAAAAAAAACCTCGTTCACAGCCCGCTTACCAAAATTTCCGAACCATTAGTGCAAACCGAAGGTATGAGAAGTCGTATGGGATATCAAAACGAGCTTTATACTGATTTATAACAGAAATGTCGTCAAGAGTGCAAGAAGGCCTGCCCTGTCGTCCGTACCGGTAAACTCTGTATCGAGGTCACCCCCGAGTCGAAGATCGCCTTCATTTCCGAGCGCCTGTGTATTGGTTGCGGTATCTGTCCGAAGAAATGTCCCTTCGGCGCTATTCACATCATCAACTTGCCTACCAACCTGGAGAGCCAGGTCACCCACCGTTACTCGGCCAACAGCTTCAAGCTTCACCGTCTTCCCATGCCCCGCCCTGGACAGGTCCTTGGTCTTGTTGGAACAAACGGTATCGGAAAGAGTACTGCTTTGAAGATTCTCAGTGGAAAGCTCAAGCCTAACCTGGGTCGTTATGATAATCCTCCTGACTGGGAGGAGATCCTGAAGTACTTCCGTGGTTCCGAGTTGCAGAGTCAGTCTTCAAAATATGCGTTCTACAAGGAGTTCAATTTACTAACTTGAGGTAGACTACTTCACCAAGATCCTGGAAGATGACTTGAAGGCTGTCGTGAAGCCTCAGTACGTTGACCAGATTCCTCGCGCCGTGAAGGGACCCGTCAAGGAGGTGCAGGCGCTCATTCAGAGTCGTGCCCAACTTGACAACATGGAGGAGATCATGGATGTTTTGGGTAAGTCAATCGATATAAAAAAAATTGTCCTTGGATTTGGGCTAATTTCTCGCAGAATTGAGACAGGTTGCCGACCGTGATATTAATCACCTTTCCGGTGGTGAGCTGCAGCGTTTTGCCCTTGGTCTGGTCTGTGTCCAGAACGCTGATGTGTAAGTACCTATTCAAGCAAACACCAAGAAAAAGCGGAGCTCGCGTCTGACTTCATCCTAGCTACATGTTTGACGAGCCTTCCTCCTACCTCGATGTCAAGCAGCGTCTGGCTGCTGCTCGTACCATCCGAAGCCTTCTCCGTCCCGATGACTATGTTATTGTTGTGGAGCACGATTTGTCCGTCCTCGATTATCTTTCCGACTTCATCTGTGTTCTTTACGGTCGCCCTGCCGTCTATGGTGTTGTGACTCTGCCTTCCTCTGTCCGTGAGGGTATCAACATCTTCTTGGATGGTCACATCCCCACTGAGAACTTGCGTTTCCGTGAGGAATCTCTCAGCTTCCGTCTGAGCGAGGCTGGTGACGACTTCCTTGCCGACAAGGCCCGTGCCTTCAGCTACCCCAACATGGAGAAGACCCTCGGCAACTTCCACCTCAAGATCGACTCTGGTCGATTCACCGATTCCGAGATTATTGTCATGATGGGTGAGAACGGAACTGGAAAGACTACTTTCTGTAAGATGCTTGCTGGTGCTGAGAAGCCCGACCACGGCTCTTCGATTCCCAAGATGAACATCTCCATGAAGCCCCAGAAGATTACCCCCAAGTTCCAGGGTACTGTGCGTCAACTGTTCTTCAAGCGTATTAAGGCTGCCTTCCTTTCGCCCCAATTCCAGACCGATGTCTACAAGCCCCTTAAGCTTGACGATTTCATTGACCAGGAGGTCCAGAACCTGTCTGGTGGTGAGTTGCAGCGTGTCGCCATTGTCCTGGCTCTGGGTATCCCCGCCGATATCTACCTCATTGACGAGCCTTCTGCCTACCTTGACTCTGAACAGCGTATTATCGCTGCTCGTGTGATTAAGCGTTTCATCATGCACACCAAGAAGACTGCCTTCATCGTCGAGCACGATTTCATCATGGCTACCTACCTTGCTGACCGTGTCATCGTTTTCGACGGTAAGCCCTCCATCGACGCCCACGCCAACACTCCCGAGTCTCTGGTCACTGGCTGCAACAAGTTCCTGCAGAACCTGGATGTCACTTTCCGTCGTGACCCCAACAGTTACCGTCCTCGTATCAACAAGTACCAGAGTCAGATGGACCAGGAGCAGAAGTTGGCAGGCAACTACTACTTCCTGGAGGAGGAGGCCTGAAGAGGGCATCTTCAATGAGCATCATCGTCGCCATCACCGCCGTGATGGCCGCGATTCTGAGCGGCGGCGCAACCGGCGCCGGTTGCGCCGTAGCACAAAAGGGTTCAGGCGGTTAATGGCGTTCCCAGGCGTTTTCAGAGTCCCAGTGCGGATGCAGGGCGAGATGTACTCTCGTGGTGAGGATTCTCCCATGGACAGTGACGAGGATGGTGGTGGCGACGATGATGATCCTGGTGGCAAGAAATTTGGCTAGACAATGGCTCTAACTACCCTTTGGGCAATTCTTCGTCCATCTCTTGGATCATCGTGAGCTCGCCCACCCCTCGTAATCTGCCCTGCAAGCAATTCCACAGGCTCTCCGGTCACTGTTTTACACGCATACCCGGATTTTTTTGGCGGAATCGCCTCCCTGATCTTTTGGTCGGGGATTTTTATTTGCTTGGCATGATTTTCGAAAGGAGTTATTTCATGGTTTCTTAAAAGCTATCGATGACTTCATGAATGATATAGAGATGGAGGTTTTTTTTCTTCAGAAGAATCCGCCATGTGCGGGGGAAAAGTCATTGTTGAACAGCTTATCTTGTACATTGATGCGTTTTTAGACGCATTATTATGGTTATCTCTCAGTTATTGATGATATTTTCTATTCAAGTTCCTACTGAAGTCTTCCATTCAATCTTGTGAGAAATCAAGGATTCTATTCAATCGCTAATCCGATCATCCTGCGAGCTCTGGGCATAGACCTTGATAGCACAGCCAGCCTTGCATCTTATGGCTAAAAAGGCTTGGACTAGATGTGATTAGTAAACTCCCTGCATGGCGGCCCATTATCCAACCCCTGACACCATTGCCCAGGTAGCAGACACCGGAATTTACGAAACAACTTGAAGTATTGCAGTAAAGCCTTTCTCTATTCTTGTTGGAATAGGTTTCGCTGAGCCCCTGGTGATGAAAGAAGCAATCCCGAGGTCTAGTTCTTTGTTCAAACATTTCAATACTTAAGTCACGCCCGGGCGGTGTTGCTACAGCTTCAATCTCACTGGCAACTCCCCACCTGCAACCAAAGTATACCTTCACTAATACTATACCCTGGGGAACAATTAATATCAAGGTCCGAGTCACATTGATCATGGGAACTGTTTTGACCGAGTCACAGTCTACAGAGCTGTATACTTATCCTTTCCCCGAGTTGAAAGAACTTTACTGATTATCAACAGACACAAAGCGATAATTGGATATCTATCAACAATAAACGCCCAGAAATCTGTGACAACTCTACGGGACGAATTGGGGTTGAATGAAGATTATACCGACCAGACACTGCAACAGCTTTCCAAGATACTGAAGAAAAAATGGACTACCAACACACTACTTCAGAGGAGGGTATGAGGAATTCCTTTATACCCAAGTAGTCTATCATTACTAAAATATTCCCAGATCATGGTGCTAGAAAGTCAGGTCGAACAACTAAGCAAAGAACTTGAATCATTGCCTAAATCACAGCCACGCAGCAAGGACCCAGTCAACTGGCTTCCAGTACAGCCAACATATACTTTGCAATCTCACCGAGCTGCAATTACATGTGTGGCATTCCACCCTCGATTCTCCTCTTTGGCATCCAGTTCAGAGGACTGTACCATCAAGATCTGGGATTGGGAGCTCGGTGAACTCGACAAGACCTTTAAAGGACACACCGGAACCATAACAGGGCTTGATTTCGGTGGTCAAAATGACCGCACCATACTTGCCTCCTGCTCTAATGACCTACTAATCAAGATCTGGGATCCTAGCAATAATTACGCGAACATTCGAACTCTCTCAGGACATGATCATTCTGTGTCTTCTATTCGATTTCTCCAGCCGGATCAAAATATCCTTGTCTCAGCTAGCCGTGACTCATCGATTCGTTTATGGGACGTCTCAAGTGGCACCTGCGTGAAAACAATTTCTACATATTGCGACTGGATCCGGGATGTGGCACCTTCGTTCGATGGGAGATGGCTTGTATCTGGTGGTAAAGATCATGATGCAACAATTTGGGATGTTACCACAGGTGCTTCTCAAGCTGTCCTTCGAGGCCATGGAAACTACCTCGAATGCTGTGCTTTTGCTCCCCCAGCCAGCCATCGGTATCTTGCAGCACTAGCAGGCCTTAAACCAGATCCGAAAGTGACACCATCAGCTTTATTTGTTGCTACAGCCGGTCGGGATATGGCGATCAAGCTTTGGCATTCGCACGGTGCCCTGATTAAGACTCTGGTGGGTCATGACGGCTGGGTTCGAGATTTGGTGTTTCATCCAGGCGGAAGATACCTGCTTAGTGTGGGCGATGATCGAGTGTTACGGTGCTGGGATCTGGCTGAGGGGGCAAGGTTGTGGAAGACAATGGAGAATGTGCATGGCGGGTTTGTCAGTTGTATTCGATGGGTGCCTAATGCACCGGGTGATGTTGAAAACCCCAGTTTATCGACGCTTTGTCTGGAAACTAAAAGAGACCCTGGAAGTGAAAGTGGTCAGTCTGAGTTAAGATGTGTTTTGGCTACTGGTAGTGCAGATCGGAAAGTACGCATCTTTACTGCTTAGTTACCAAACCCCATGGGCCTTTGCCTTCAAATGTCGGAGATGGTATCGATTGATATGATTTCACAGATGGGATTGAAATACTAGTACATAATAGTGATGTTTCAGTGGAGAAATCGTTGAAAACAGATGAGCATATCTGAACTACAACTTTCTAAGAGAATTACCTGAAACTCGATTTCCAGTATTATCTCCAAAAACAAAGTAGTTATACAATTGTTAAGCTATAAAATCATCATAGAATAATAACATCACATCACATCATCCAATCCTGTCAAATTATAACTTCTTTTGAAAAAGAAAAATCTCCAAGTCTTCAAATCACCCAAACACAGACATATAACCTCCCAACCGATCACTCATCATCCAGGGTAAGCTCATCGGAGCTATCAACAAAATCGTTAAGCCGATCTGCAACCGCACTGTAAACAGAATCCATGATGAACGGGACATCAGAAGCATGGATCCTGTTTCCACCGTGCCATCCACTTCCAATCTGGATGTTCTCAATCGGTTTGGTATCCTTGTTCTTGTTGATGGAGGTTGTAACGGTCCAGCCATCTATATACTGAGTCGCAGAAGGAGTGGGACTGTATTGCTGGACCTTGGATGGTGTTGCGGCGACTGGTGTCGGAATGACACTCTGTGCTTTACCATGGCTTGCTTGGCTAGTTGGTGTTGCGGCCACTGAAGGGGTGCTTGATGGGACATCCGATGCTCCTGGTGATGGGATGCCTAGCATACCTAGGACGTCGGCAAGGTAGCGCTCAGTATCGGGAATAATTCTCTGTGAGAGTGTTAGAAAGGTTAAGAGAAGCTGGATCGTGCATGGCGTTGACTTACCGGGTCGCGAGGCTCTATCACTGAAGCCCGTTGCGCATCAGTTCGAGTTGCACCCGAATCATGGATTGGAACAGCGTAAACAGTCGTGGCCAAAAGCGCAGTGACCATGGCGAGTGTCCAAGAGGACCCGGATCCGAGAGAAAGCATTTTGATTATGGTTGTTGGATGAAGTTGAGGTCTGAAATTGAATGTTTGAAAAGTGCTGGAGTTACAGCAATGCCAAGGGGGAAGTACACAAGAAGAATAGAGGGTCTCCACACCCGTGGTCGATCAGGATCCACTGGTGATTCATATAGCTTGTTTTCTCAGGAGTTGAAAATTGTTTATCACTTGAAGGGTCCTGTGGAATGAGGGATTGATACAATGAATTCCGGCTCTCGCATACTTTATCCAGTAAACCTAGTGCCTCATATTTTCTAAAACGGCTACATTTAACAACCAATTGAATTTCCCGCTATTTGATTCAATCTAACTATTTTTCAGTTTACTTTGAAGATAAATTTCCCGCTATTGTGGTCTCTTAGGAGACCCTTGATGCGAAACTAGAGATGTCTGTGCACGTCGTTAATCCCTGGAATGACAACCGACATTCCCCGTCCAACCAACGTCAAAACACAACAAAACTCTGAACCTGGTATGTCATCATGACAGTGCCGAGAAGGGGCTCAATCAAAGCTCTATTGCAGTATAGGGAGGGTTGTAATCGGGGGGGGGGGGGGTACTGGGAATGAAGTGTGTTACTCCCCTGAGCCATATTGACGTCGTTTGGTTCTAATTTTAGTCGAGGAGATCTTCAAATGTTGTGTAATAACATTTGAACTTTGGAATATTCTCATCTCTCAAACTACTTAATATATACCTTTTTGGAAAATGAAAACAAAGATATCACAGCGTACGAGGTTGAATATACGACTCGACGATGGATGACAGCAGCCATGCAATGGTAGTGCCAGCCTTTGTATATGACTTCGAGTTCCTGATAAAAAATATCAAACGCCATCATTGAAAGTATAATGGTTCATCCATCTCTAAGACATCATTAGAATCTTCATCTTATCATGATCAAGATTCGAGAAACAAACCTTATCATATGGCTTTGACGAGTCACAGAATCGAAGATCGGTAGCAAGGCGGATAACATTATCCGGATCATGATTGATAGTGGATGCATGGATCTAGAATTACCATTAACTTAGGCACATCAACTAGATGAGGTCAACATACCATGTGAGGCTTATGCAAGACAACATCACCAGCTTCGTAGGCCGAGACCAGCCAACGTCGGCCATGTTCACGGGCAAATTCAGCCGGGAATTCCGACAGCAAGCCCGTTGCCATCATATTCGAATTAAAGGCATTTTTAGCCTCGTCATCACTCATCCCGGCTTCTTTTGCCTTTTTGTAAAATGCCAACTCAAGCTCAACTCCAATGCTATCCCCTGTGACATTGTTAGTATCTATGATCAGTGTAAGTAGAAGCGACGCCGCAACATACCATTTTCCAGATAGATCAGTCCACCACCATTCAACTTGATATCTCCAATAGGAACCCAGGCGGTGATGCTAGTCGGATCGCCGTGGCGCAAGAAGATCTGATCATAGTGTACACCAATCGGCTTGGAGCCGGGAATATTATTCCTTAGCAGTGTACGGCGTAGGTTAAGGGTATCCTTATTCCAACCGGAGAACTTCGCAATGAAGTCGTACAATGCGGGATGGTTGCAGAACTTCTCGGCATACCAGTCCGCGTAGTGAGCGTTTAGAGCAAGGTCGACAAATGCCGCTGCTTGGTCACCACCAGGTCTTCCGTTACCCTCGGCATGTCCTGCGCCAATACCTGGGTAGTCTTCGTGACTCTTGGATGGGTTGAAGATTCCTTCCACAGACTCAGATCCTGGCTTCAGGACACCAGTGGATTGTACTGATGAGAAATATGCGTTGCGAGCTTCGAGGACATCTTCTCGGGGGATGATTTGCTTCAGGAAGAGGTATCCGTCATTATCGTATCGCTTGCGGAGCTCTTCAAGAGGGAGTGAGGGATCAGAGGGGCGGAGGAGGACTGCATTGTCTGAGTTCAAGGGTCCGTCGGTGACTGCAAGGTTGTCTGCTAAGATAGCGACCATTTTGGATTTGTTGCCCAGTTAGTCTGGTAAAAGCACGTATGATTCTTAAGATGAATGGAATAATCACCAGGTCACACTGCATATTTATACCATTTTGAACCGTGACCTTCCAGTATTCTCTTTAATCCTGGACCCCACCATCGCGGGGAACTTGAAGACAAGAAATAAACCCTTCAACCCTCCAACCAGAAGTTAATAATTGTCATACATGCCCCGCTTCTAAGGGTATGTCAGCAGTTCTGTGGTGCTTGTGACTGAATGTTAATTCAACTGATACCCAGACCTCAACAACAAGGGTAACTATCCCCGCTTTGTTGCGGGAATTTATACTAAATTAGGAGCTGAGTGGATCCTAGAGCGCCTCCACAGCGGGGGATAATACCCTTTCCCTTTCAAGTGGGGAGTGTCAGTGGATACAAGTGATTTCATAGTGTTCCTATTCAAATGTTGAACTGGGTCAAGTTCTTCATACTATTGCTCCAGATGTCAGCTTGGACATCTGGACAGGCTTTATTCTTATCCGGGCCCAGGTGATCAAGTGATGAGGATCCAGCGTGTTGGCACATGCGTGAGTTCACCTATCTGACCATCCTAGTAGTAAGTGAACAGGGTAGATATTTCAGATGTTGCATTATTAATTCAAGTTTGTCTCATAGTTTCTCGCTTCAAATCACAGGTGATGCAACATGATCTATACACAACAAAACTAACACCGATATGCTAATGAGAGATATAGCCCCATCATTCGTCTTCCTTCGTCCATTCACTCATGCTCCAAGATGAAACACCATTCTCAATAACCAACTTCATGGTCGAGAAGACAATCTCTTCATACCATTCTCGCCCAGCCGCTCTCGCCTTGGCGTGCCACGGTCCTCGACCACCCAGCCTCGCATCATTTCTATTGCGCCAGATACCTACAAAAAATCATCAATACTTGATCACCAAAGTGAGAACTGGATGAGAGAGTTTTCCACTTACAAGTTGCCAGGTTCTGCCGCTGCTCATTCTTCGTCCCAAACCAATATTTCAACAATCCACCACTTGCGGTAGCTTCCTGGTGCGAGTAGGCATCCAATGCATGCAAATACTCATTATCGATATTTGGCTGTAACCGTGACCGAAAGGACACGACATAGAATGTTTGCGTTGTCCATGTGTGACCCTCATTCTCTGAAAAAGTCTTCAGGAGATCGAAGACTTCGGTCCAGTTGAAAGAGTCTAAGTACTCTGCTGTGGCATAGTCGTTTCGAATAGGCTTGAAATACGCCAATGCAAGAGATAAAAGTCGACTTTGGTCGTCCAGAGTCTTCAAATCGAGAAGATGCGGAGATTCATTATATGGCGAGGCGATTAGACGGGAATCAGTGTCCGAAGATGGATATTGCTGTCCTTCTTTTTGCAATTGCAATTGACGGGATGCTGCAGCTTGGAATTTCAATTCCTCAAAGTCTGATGTTACCAGATCGTGACGAAGAAGACTGTTCAAGGTCTGGTCAGGACTTGATACTTGTTCTTTGTTCAAGTCGAGTTTTGTCGATGTGATTACCGGTTTTTGGATGGGGATTTCTATCGCCATGATTGAATGCGAACGATGCTTTCTGAAATATGAATTTTGTTTAAAGAAAAGAAAGAAAAGAAAAGTCACAGGGTATATGCAAGTGTATATGTATCGACGTGTCTCGATGATGGCCTTGATAATGTTGAAAAAAGATGCTGTACTCGACAACAAGGTGCAAAGGGTATAATGAAAAGGACAAAAGCTTTTCATCTCTTATACCATAAAATGAGCACGCAAGCTCTGCACACCGCTACCATGTTTCTCTATTTGTGCCACATTCCCCCAGATTGCGAAAGACCGGCTAAAGAAATCGGCACTAGCACGCCATATCAAAGTTTGGGTCAGGGATTACGTTGACATTTACTGGTCACTTTTTTCTATATATGCATTTACTAATAGAAATTCATTGATTCGTAGTATCTCTTTGAACTTGAATTGATCTACACGGTGAAAGGGTGACAAATTACTCCACGTGTTTCAGGACAACCCTAATTTTTTTCTGATTTCGAATATTCATCTCAAGTGCTGGATCTGGTACCTGGATCCGTTGCCGCTTTTATGCGTAAATTTTGCAGGTGGCGATATTTCCAAACTTATGGATTACGTGATTTGCTACCAAACTTGAACAGTGATTGAACTTGTTTGAAATTATCTTATTTAATTTATTGTAGATTCTGCATTGTAATTGAGCACATGTGGAAGATGGCAGTAGTATAGAACGGATGAGTTGGATCATCCGACATCTCCAGGGCTAAAGTCATGGATGATCATACTACCTAGTAATATTGAAGTTGAAAATTTCCACACGTACAATCTCACTGGTCAAGATTCGACTGGAATCTGGGTTTTCTGTGGACGGAGTACTCCGTCCAACCCAATAAATCAATCAATAATAGCACATAAAGAAAATATATTCCTCTCAATTGTCGGTGTGTGTACGGAGTAAAGCGGCGAGGTTGATCAGCAACGCCTCGTAGACATTTGAGTAGTGGAGCCCAAGGTTATTCATGTTGAAGTGCAGCTGGTCAAAGGTTGCCCCTGGACCACTGCAAGGTCCTGCATAATACCAAAACGTGTCGCGGTGGCAACTTGAAGTAAGTATTTACCGTAGATCACTGATTAAAAGCGAGAGAAAGACATCTCAAATGAGACCATGTAGCTATCCATATCCAGGGCACATAAATTTTATCATTGGATATTGTCTACTATACAAAAGAGGTATCACATTAACATGAAAGCCAAGCCCCGTCATTGATCATATTTGAACGCCTCCCAAATGCAAATTGCGCAAGCAAAAGAAATATGATAAGCGCATGCAACTATGGCCTAGCGGGAGGTCCCATCTTGCCATTCCCGGTATCCACCTTCTTCTTAGGTGGCAATGTAGGGACCTTAAACCCTTCTTTATCCTTGACTTGCACGCTGCTTTGTCCACCGCCAACCTGGGTGAATGTTCCAGAGTTGAACCATCGGTCCTCCTCGGCCTTGCGCTTGCGATTCAGTTCCGCTTGCACCTTAGGATCAACAAGCTCTAGACCCTGCACCGGTGTGAAAGCAATAGTACTGGCCGTTCCAGCCGAGCCACCGCCCAGAGAAGTTCCAACTCCAGAGCTGCGGAGACCCTTGGATTGGAGAACGCTGGCTGTACCGCTCATACCACCCTGACCAAAACCACGTAGTGAGGAAGCTGTGCCGCTGGATGGTGTGGCTCCTCCCCAGCCCTTATTGTTCTTGCTGAGCTTCGCACGTGTGCGCTGGTCGATTTGTGTAGCACGAATCCGGCCATCGTTCTGTTGACCCAGCATACCCAGACCAACAGTTCCTTCACCAGTGCCGTATCCAACCTCTGATTCTTCCTTACCGAATGCAACCCGGTTCTGAGCCTTGCGCAGTTCGGTCATGGCGATAGCTTCCTTCGCCTTTCGGGCACGCCGACCACCACGCTTTCGGGAAGGCTTGTCGTCAGGTGCTGGGAGAGCCTTCACTCCAGAGTTGGGGGCAGGTTCGGTCAATTTTTCCAGACGCTTGAAGCACTGTTCTTTCAAGTCTTCGCCGAGAGAACCGTCCTTGCTGTAGTTTGATACATCGGCACGAGTAGCCAGAACCATTTTTGCAGAGACAATTCGAATAGCTTGTTTTTTCAGATCATTGGGCACCTCTTGAATGAGTGGTGAGTCGTAGAGGAATCCCTGAGACCGGACTCCATGATTCGTAGCAAAACCCAATCCATCCTGTCGTCTGGATCCCTGTGCACCGAGGTTACAGGCGGGGATCTTAGCCAGTTCGAGTAATCCACCAGTCTGGTTAAGGAACTGCGCAGCGGTTTGGGCTCCGATGAGGGTTGCGAGATTAGGCGCAATTTGATTCACGCGGGATCGGATACTCTCTGTAAGAGCTGTACGCTCACGATCCAATCTGATGATCTTTTCACATGTATCCAGAACCACCTTCAGCTCGGAATCGGTCATCTCACGGCCACGGGTAGTTGTTCCTTCGACTGCCACAACCATCAGAGATGGGCCGTCCAATACGGACTTGAGCGACTCGCCCACCATATCATCTATGGAGTTTGACAGCGCTTTGATATCGTCCAGAGGTCCATTTTTGAGGATACCGACGGTTTTCGCATACTTGATAGGACTCGTGACGAGGGTTTCTAGTTCCGGGAATCGGATAGAGTAGTGGTCGCGTAGAACTTTGTGTAGTCGGGTGAGCTCGTCACCTGTAGTGATCGAACGGTCAAACTCGTTGGTGGGGTCGGCGCCTTCTTTGGATGCGTTTAGCTCTTCATCTTGATCCATGCTTTCATCTTGGTCTTGATCTTGTTCAAGGCCGTCATCCTGGAAGTCTGAATCTTCTTCGAAATCGCGCAGAAGCTCCTCCGCGGTCGACATGGTGACGGTTTATGGAGGCGTAACCTTCCTCGGATATTGAACAACAGAAGTGAGAGGTGTTACTGACGCTGTTGGAAGAAGTCAAGTTTCTTTAGAATGATTTGCGATGCAAAGCGGAAGAAGAGCTGCGCTTAGTCACGCAAGCTAATACGGGTGCGGGTAAAACCCAGATGCGCAGGTTTATCGATTTCAATCGGGAAGTGAACCTGGAGGACCAAGAAGCTATAAATCGCCTTCACCTGTGATAGGGTCTGGGTGTCACAAATTTTTCTTGAGGAAATAGCCTGCATACTCTAGGCTACCCTCATTTCATCTAAATCCCACAAGTGCCGTCAGTTCGACGACCACTTTCCCGAATACATTTCTACTCTCCGGCCGACCTTCTGCAAATTACCATCTTTGATCTCCCCACGAACCCCGATTCCCCCAACCCGCCATAATGGAGGCTTCTCGAGGCCCTCCCCGGGTCAAGAACAAGGCCGCTGCGCCTATCCAGATTTCTGCAGAGCAGCTGCTCCGCGAAGCCGTGGATCGACAAGAGCCTGGTCTGCAAGCCCCGACCCAGCGCTTCGCTGATCTGGAGGAGCTCCACGAGTTCCAGGGTCGCAAGCGCAAGGAATTCGAAGACTATGTGCGTCGAAACCGAATTAACATGAACAACTGGATGCGCTATGCGGCATGGGAATTAGAACAGAAAGAATTCCGTCGCGCGCGATCCATCTTCGAGCGAGCCCTGGACGTCGACTCGACCGCCCCCGTGTTATGGATTCGGTACATTGAAGCTGAGATGAAAACCCGGAACATCAACCATGCTCGCAACTTGCTCGATCGCGCCGTTACTATCCTCCCTCGCGTCGATAAACTCTGGTACAAATATGTCTACATGGAGGAGACCCTGGGTAATATCCCTGGTACCCGGCAAGTCTTTGAGCGGTGGATGGCATGGGAGCCAGAGGAGGGAGCTTGGAGTGCGTACATCAAGTTGGAAAAACGTTATAATGAGTTTGAGCGGGCGCGGGCGATCTACCAGCGATTCACTATTGTGCATCCCGACCCGCGCAATTGGATCAAATGGGCTCGTTTCGAGGAAGAGTCCGGAACGAGTGATCTGGTTCGCGAGGTCTACGGCATTGCTATTGAGACACTGGGAGAAGACTTTATGGACGAGAAGCTCTTCATTGCTTATGCCAAGTTTGAGGCAAAGCTGAAGGAGTATGAGCGTGCTCGAGCAATTTACAAATACGCCCTGGACCGTATGTCCCGATCTAAGTCTATGACTTTGCACAAGGCCTACACAACCTTTGAAAAGCAGTTCGGAGATCGCGAAGGTGTTGAAGATGTGATTCTTTCTAAGCGTCGGGTTCAATATGAAGAGCAGCTGAAGGAGAACCCACGGAATTACGATATATGGTTCGACTTCGCCCGGTTGGAGGAAACCGCTGGCGACGCAGAGAAAGTCCGCGATGTCTACGAGCGTGCCATTGCTCAGATCCCGCCTTCACAAGAAAAGCGCCACTGGCGTCGTTATATCTACCTCTGGATCTTCTACGCTGTATGGGAAGAGATGGAGGCGAAGGATATCTCTCGTGCGCGACAGATCTACCAAGAATGCATCAAGTTGATCCCGCACAAGAAGTTCACTTTCGCAAAGGTGTGGTTGATGAAGGCACAGTTTGAGGTCCGACAAATGGAGCTGCAGACCGCACGGAAGACATTGGGCATGGCTATTGGTGCTTGCCCGAAGGATAAGCTTTTCCGTGGATACATTGAATTGGAGCGACAGCTCTTCGAGTTCGTGCGATGCCGGACCTTGTATGAGAAGCAGATTGAATGGAATTCCTCCAACAGTCAATCCTGGATCCAATATGCGGAACTGGAACGCGGCTTGGATGATCTTGACCGTGCACGTGGTCTTTACGAGTTGGGCATCGAACAACCCACACTGGATATGCCCGAGTTGGTGTGGAAGTCCTACATTGACTTTGAAGAGTACGAAGGCGAGTATGATCGTGTTCGGGCGCTATACGAGCGTCTCCTCTCGAAGACCGATCATGTGAAGGTGTGGATCAACTACGCCCGGTTCGAGATCAACGTACCGGAAGACGAAGAGGAAGAAGAGGAGGAGGAGGAGCGACCCATCAGTGAAGAAGCGAAACAACGAGCTCGTGCCGTCTTCACCCGGGCCCACAAAGTGTTCAAAGACAAGGACCTCAAGGAAGAGGTATGTTTTTACTCCCATTTGCAGCGTATACTATCTGCCTATGAAAATTGTATACTAATCTTTTTTTTCTTTAGCGGGTGGAATTGCTCAATGCCTGGCGATCATTTGAAAACACTCATGGTTCGCCAGAGGATATCGAGAAGATCGAGAAACAGATGCCGCGGCGGGTCAAAAAACGTCGTAAGCTGGAGGATGATCGGTACGAGGAGTACATGGACTACGTGTTCCCAGCAGATGACCAATCGGCGGCCAATCTGTCACGACTGCTCCAGAAGGCACACCAATGGAAACAAGCCCAGGGATAAAAGTTCTGAAGGAGATGTTCGAGTATTTAGTGTGATTCATAATATCCATATTGTTCTGGTACGAAGTATATCTTCAAATTTTGCCCACTATATCATCCTAATCAGATTAGCTTGTAAGTGTCCATGCGTTGACGATATACCTGTACATGTCCTGATGTGTTCACATACTTACTAGGTACTCAGACAGTACTAGTATCATCTACAGGTGCCAGTGACTGAAAGGCTAGCTGCTCATCAAGTTTATACATGTGGACATACTGACATGGTAGTACTAGTAGGCAACTGGCAGCCCTCGGGATAACCTTCCAAGATTGGAATATTTGAAGCTACCCGTGGCCCCGGGGACTAGGTGTGTATCAATACATAGACTGATTCTGCCTCTCTCCTCGGGTATTATACCAGGCGGTGAGTAAGTAAAAGAGATACGGCTAACATCCATGGATGGATTGATCCGAGTCATAGTATAAATCAAACATTTGAATCAATGTTAGCTTTCAAGTCGAATCATGATACGGGACTCCGAACTTGAACTTGAACAGCTGCCACCTGCCAGTGCACATCCATCAATCCATCATGATCATGCCAGTGGACATGATCTGGATGGGCAGTAAATCAAGCACTTGAGATATATACTACGCCATAGTACCGGCATAATAGTACGCCTAGCCATCCATCGGAAGCGCGAACATTTGAACTCCGACTCGGAGCCCGAGTCCAAGTCTTAACTTGAAACTTCAAAACTTGAACCAGGTACATAGTATCAACTACTACTACATATAGTACCTAGGCACCTGTACGTACTGGATTTCCCCCGAAAAGTGGGGCTTTCCTAATCTGGTGACCGCCGCTTTTATGAGGGCGCTCAGGCTCAGGCTCAGTGAGTAGTTTGCAGTCTGGGGCTCAGGCTCACTGAGCGAGTCTGTGAGTCACGTGAGTGCTTAGTGAGTGTTCAGTGATCCTGATCCTGATCATTCGCTGACTCATCGCATTGGCTGACTGGAGGCATCTATTCGGCACCTAAGCTACTTCCTACCTATAACAATAGTAGTATCAATCATCAACCAGGCCCATTAATGTTTTCATCAAGTTCTTGATGGCCCTTCGTTCCCACATGGTCGGCATTCCCTCGTATCTCAATATCCTTAATGTATTATTAGCTCTAGACTATGGCGCATACCCACCATCCTAATCCATGTCTTATTAATCGTCTTGGTTACCAACATAAATAATGCTTAGATCTCCTCCATTTTATCTCCATCATATCTAAGACTTGTTTTCTGAAATGATCATTCTTCATACGAGCTTTATCATTGAGATTCAAATGACATCTTCAGTGTCACCGAGGCTCAATTGAAACATGCAACCGACTCTGAAAAGGAAATTTTCCGCTCCTGGAAAAGAAGATCTTATCAAACGTAGGAAGATAAACCGACAGATACAGAATGGCTATGTGTTTGGCGCCCATGTAAAGGAGGATGCGATCAGAAATAAAGATAAGCGTTTGCCAATAACAAAGGGCATATGCGCACAGATCCTGAAGTCTTAGATGAAGTACGTTTTCATACAACTCTATGTTATAAAATGAGTACTAAACCGGATTATTGATTTGATTACAGATTCGTCAAGAAGTACAATCTCACATAATACGACTTAAGGCCAGGCAGCGCGATTCTAGACCACGTCACTCTTAAAGAGTTCATCCGCTTCTATATACACGATGCAAAAGGAAGGATATGTGAGAATGGTCGACCAGTGATGTCAAGTGTCGTCAACTGCGCAGAAAGGCTTTTTGGTGGATTTGAAGAGAAAATTTCTATCACCATTGTAGAAGAAGATTGGCAGGAAATTTATAATGTGAGTGCGGATTAATAATTTGCGATCTTCTTGTGAGTAAGTTACGCTAATCATGAACAGTGGATCAAGAATACTTTGACCGCAAAAGAAAAAGTGATTAAAGATGTCAAGTCCCTGAGCCTCAAGTTTACAAGAAAGGACTTCTTGAGGATAGTCTCCTCCTTATGGGAAACAGACCATTCTAAGTTTATGCCTGGATTGCTTAAAGTCACGATTTTACTGGCACTTTAACTATATCTGCTCACTGGAGCTAGAATAGGTATATTTATTCCATCTTATGACCAAAGGTTCGAAAGAGGTCTCTGATATAAAGTAGGTGAAGCATCTAGGAATTTTAAAAGGACCTTATGCTAAGGGGTTTGTAGCATATCAAGTTGGTATTTTTTTAATCTTCCAAAGCTCCATGGAGGGTTGATTTCAAGGTGGATTAAGTTTGGCTAAAGAACAATCAAAATGTAAAATATACTGTGTAAGTCAACTACAAGCCATCTTGAGTAACTGCTTAGCTGAATTTTCGCCTTAACAACTACTTTAGTTTTGGGATTGGAATTTGAGACACTAAAAAACCCTAATTTGCCGCTAGCTACATCCTTTTATCTCTTGCTCTCAATCATGGTGCAATTTTTGGGATTGAATCAGTCGAGGATCTAGCCTAGTTTAACCTTTTAGATGGTCCAATTCCTTTGCGTTGGAAAGATAAATATCTGGAAAAGCCTATACTCAGGTATATCATAGCCCAAGGGCCCTATGATATTCCACCCATAAAGACGCTATTCTATGAATATCTTTGGGATATGTTTTCTGCTGTAGGGTATGAAAAAAGAAAAAGACCGATAGTGCATAGTGTTCGAAAAAGTCTCGGCAGTGTTATTAAAGGTCAGTAATCGCTACTTATAATGATAAAAAAGAATACTTAACCAAAACTGGGCTTAGGAAAATATAGATCCGCCTTGGTCTCTCAAATCTATAGATATAAAAGCGCAGACACTTACCTAAAGGATTATGTCCTATACTGTTCCTCTATTAATATTGTTACGGCTATTCTAGACAAAGACCCAGACAAAGATGGAGGGTCGGAGTATATCGAGTATTTTCAAGGATTTGCCAGATATTATAAGCTGGGTTTACTTAGCTTACTTCCCGCTTAAGTTAAGCGCGATATTCTGCAAAGACCTGAACTATTGGAGATAAAAAATCATATTGAGTATCTTCAAATGTAGGGTGGTAACAAGACGACAATCGATTCGGATATCAAAAATTACAAGAAGACTCTCCTATAATACCGGCTATCTGAGCTCAAAGAGTATCAGTAGTCCTGGATAAAAAGAGAAACAAGACCTTAGAGTTCTTGTGAAAGGTAAGAGTGGGGCACCAGCTCGCGAGAATGATGTTTGAACACATGCCCTAGGTCTGATAATGCCGGAAAGCGCTTGAATCGCTACAATGATGTTGTGTATAGAAGAGCTATCATTTAAGAGGATGCTTCTTTTTATGCAAGACTTAAGAAAGTATTGTACTCACTTATGACGTGGTCTATCTTCCAGGTGAGTACTCTGTGAAAGGCCGTTGCCCTGTAAGCACCTATTAAATATCAATTTCAAGGTAAGGATCAATCATATCTATGATTTAGCGATATACGCTTACCTTATTAGCCTCCCCAAAAAGGAGAGAAGCATTTATACTTACTCCTATACTCAGAGACTGATAGCAAATGGCTTATAGGTATCTGAGGACAACCTAAAGTATTATTATGAATGCATGGAATAGGTATTAGTCGATAAATGGACGAACCATTTCCAAGATCACTTCAATATTTGGAACACAAAACATTGTGAGGTCATCACGTATCACCACACTATAATCCGGCCTGTCTACTATCCATTTTGTTTGTGGGGTAGCAGGATCCTAGCCATAGATCGATGTCGCTACTGGCTTAAAGCTAATAAGTTAAGGGAACATCTCAAAGACCAGTATATAAGTCAGCTACAATTTCCAACAAGCGAGCCGATCTGCAGCTGCTCTCAAAATTTTAAGGATGAATGTGATCTTCGACACCATTTGTACGATATACATGGCTTGAACAAGGCTATTTAGCAAAATATCGATCTCCCCAAGGAGAAGGAAAAGAAACGGACAACTAAGAGAAAATAAGAGAAACTTCCATTTTCTCCTGAAACGCAAAAGCAAGTTAGTGGGCGATACAAGACTGTCCGCTTTTCTCATTACATACCTTCGACCTGCGACCCCGAAAAGAGAATATCTTGCGATACCGTTTTACCAATCAGTACATTAAGCACTTCTGTGGCAGATAATATGGATTAATTTGACTGTTTAGGCTCTGTTCAGAGCTCTAAAGCCTCTAGCAGAAGTAGTTCAGTTGCTTATTGCCTCTCTGCAGTGAGCTTACCTATCGAATCACATGCAGAGACCGGGAATAAAATGATTAATCCCAGAGTTCTGGGCTTTGATGAGATAACGGACCAAACAAAGATGATGAGAGACATTCCTATGCAGTTAGAGACCAAAACGAGCCCAGAAGATGGAGCATTCAGGGGCTCTTTGTTTTTGATTACCTCCACTCAGTGTCCCGCTATAGAGTCTACACTCAGGTCTCATTATGATGTTATGGATACTAGTGTTCGGATCATACATTTTCCAGTGCCTTTGAAAGGAGTGGAAAGGAGATCACCAACGGAGGCAGATGAATCGCGTTGGCCTCATGACAGCCTCTGTCCACACGAAGCGACTTTGCAGGGCGATTGTCAGACAGAAATATTGAGGACTTCAAATCGTTCGCCTCCTGAGCTTCAATCAAAGGCCCCTTGCGAAAGACATGAAAAAGCGAATCTTAACGTTCTCCAGATGGGAACTGAGACAAGAGTAGGGAAAAGAGCCCGCACCGTTGAAGACAGTGCGAACGAAGATAAGAAGCGAAGGAAGCTAACCGCGAAAGAGAAACAAAGATTGTGGGACCTCAAGGACAAGAATCTTAAATTGAGGCAAATAGGATCTCAATTTGCGGTAAGCATGGGAGGAATCGGTGCCTTCCCTGAGGATTACTAGGTCGATGGCTAGAGGAGGGCGGTAGAACAGCAGCCATTGAGAGCCCCGACTACCATTCAACAGGACTGAGCATACGATTTTACTTCTTTGGGGTTTTGACCTTCGTTATGTGTCGATAATACATAAGATGGGATTCCTGGAATGGTCTGCAGCGGAGAGATCACATTACAAAATTACGAAAATAAAGCACCGCCATAATTTTGCTGTATTAGTATCTTGTATCAAATAAATTACAGTACTATACAGTGACGGGTCGTACGTATTTGCACCCTCTAAAGTCCCGCTCCATAACCGCCCATACCGCCTTCCTAATTAGATCAAACATTAAGCCATCTTCAGGACGTGACAGAGCGACCGGTCGCAATCCACATTATTGGCTTTTCCTCGTTGCAAAAGTTTAGATTAGAAGTTGCAGTCCTATCTCAGTCGCGATAATAATCAAATAAACTCTGTAACAAACTGTTATTGCGTTAAAAGCACCATTCTCCAATGTAGGCTGGATTTTCCTTTTTGCAGTTGTAAAGCTCGCATGGCATCAAAATTTATCTTGAGGTCTTAGGGCGACAATCAAATTTGATGGAATCATGACTTTGAGATGAGAGTAATTAAATGAGAGTGATGAAATGAGAGTGATGAAATGAGAGTGATGAAATGAGAGTGATGAAATGAGAGTGATGAAATGAGAGTGATGAAATGAGAGTCATAAAATGAGAGTGATGAAATGAGAGTCATAAGTGATCATTTCATGATAGTTCAATCTCGAAAGAATCAATTCTTCAGACCCCTGTTGATTGAAGAATCTTGAGGCCCATCTCTTTGATTAGGTACAACCTGGAGAGGTGGTTCCTTTTGGAATGGACGAATATCTTCCACAATCTCATATCGTGCATCTTATTTTTGAGGTTACTTTGCGAAAAAAGCAAATTGAATTAGCTCCTATTGATGTGTAGTTTGTTTGAGGGAGCCAGATCGGTGGGAGTTATCAAGGACATGCCGCGCGGCTCAATTTCCACACGTTGTTGTATCTAGAAGTAGGATCTCTATATGTATCACACTTGACTCGTCAAGGACTTCGGCTGTAGCGCTAGTTTTGAATCATGTCAGTTCAAGCATGGCTTTTACATCGTGAGGATACTCACCCGCGTAACCAGCTGTTAATTTCGCGAAATTCCATGCGCTTTCACATTTCTGTCGGCTATCATACTTCACTTGCCATGACACTGCAGAATTTGTAATGTCTTCTTCTGCAGGACAGTGCCAGAAGAAGATATCTTTTATGACATACTTATCAACTCCGTGTATAGTACAGTAAGCATCGGGACAGGTCGAAAGAATAGTGATAGCACTGTACCTTTCGAGTTTTTCTGGGTCGAATGTAATTCTGAGAAAGTGTTCCCCCATTGCTTGATGAGCGATTCTGGTGTCAGAGGCTTGTGTGAGGTGCTTTGAGGGAGATGCTGGCGTGAACTTTCCCTTTGGATTCTTTTCGCGTTCTTATGAGCAATTGTAACCTCGCTAGGTGGCGGTGGCAGTGCTAGTGTAGCGATCCATGACCAAATTGAAGACAAATAGCTCGGCTGTAGACAAACTATGAAACCAGATTCCTCTTCGGACTTACAAGTCTTTTTTCCTGTCGACCTACATTTAATGAGGCGGAATGAATCCGACCAGTAGAAGCTTTTTGATTGGCATCCAATACTGAGAGTTACAGAATTACCCCAAGGCTAGTCTCGTCCAAGCTACATATTGTAGTGGGGTACCCTGTCCCCTACTACATATACCGTACGGGTATGATATTTCGGTACTGTTCATTCCTTACGTTATGTTATGTTGTGTTATTGTACGTACAAGATTGGCGTTCGATACTAGAAGACAATACACACTCCTACACATCTCTGATCTGACCCCTACGGGTAGTCCGGACACATTGTCTTTGTTGGTTGGTGTTGTTCTTTCAGTCTAGCTGGATCGACCCGTGTATCTCGAATACACTGCCTCACGGTTCCCCTCTTTAATATGTAAAACGGCTTTACATGTATTTGTGTTTGACCGACGCGAGCGTCACGAGAGTGGTATCCGGAACGCGGAAAGCCTTCTATTCATATGATGTTAAAAAGCTAAGACTGCATCAAGAGTGAAATTCAATTTGCCAGGTTCATCAGAGACTATGAAAGATTATAGTTACATAAATAATGATATGTACAGAATGAGATTCTTCAAAGCAGATAATATCATGGCTGTCAAGATTGGCCCTCAGAAAAAGGCCGCTCTAAATCAAGAACTTTGTTCATTTGCTCCTCGGAGCTTCTCGTAGTGATGGAATTTGGAAATTCAATCTCTCCGCAACTAAGTTCAATACATACGAAAATCATTAGAACTCCCGTGTGGCTTCCTTGAGGGAGGTGACTCCCGGGAGCGATCCATGAGTGTCATTGGGAATCGTGGTGAATGATCTCCATGGAATCCAATAGAATGCAGATCTGGCTCTCAGGAATATTTTCCTCTCCGGATTTTGCTCGTTTAGGCGCAGGGCGTGATTGAGAGATGGGATTAAAATCCCGAAGGAATTGTTAGGGACCTTTAAAATGCGGCATTATCCCACTTTCTTGCTATCAAACTCATCTTGATACAAACCTGTCGACAATCATATCTGTTCATCCAGTCTGCGCAAAATGAACTCTCTGATCACTACCAGCAACAAGAGAAAAGCCGAATCGTCTCTTTTGGGCCCAATGAAGCACCCATGCAGACCTATTTCACCTTCGAGAGATCTGTCGTATGAAGAATTTGAGCTTCTTGATAATCGAACACGAAAGAAGTATTTTGATTCTATGCGCAAATGGACTAATGACTGGGAATCCTTCAAAAAAGCGGGTCCTCGCATTGATATCATGGTCCTTCAACACCACGACAGGGATAATCGCCTGACCTCGGAGGAACAAAGCAATGCCAACAGTGTGGACATGATGCTGAAGGAAATCTGGCGGCTCAAAGGTTTGCCAGTGAATGTAGATTCAGAGCACCGGAGTTCAAGAGCAAACGAACGAAAAACCCGCTGGTATGATGATGACCTTCGATGGAACCAAGACGAGTGTCATTTTGAACTTGAATGCTCCCAGCGACCTTACCGCCATGCCGTGGATATGGATGGGGCATTGAGCCAATATGGGCTTTGCAAACATATATCTTCCTCTCTTCTTTGGTATCGCCTCAATATCTTTACGAAGTCTCCAATTACCACCGATACCGACAATTATAAACAGGCTTGGGATATGCAGTTTCACCATTTGGACGGTGCGAGTACTCTCAGAGTCTGGAATAGCAAGGGAGCCCCCAGAGCAGTCTTCGACGGCTTGGAGAAGTCACAAATTGACGCTCAAAAATTTCTGAATTTCTTGACCATGTTCAAGTTTCCCCATACCTATGACGGAGTGATAGCTGGCACGGTGGCGTAGCGATCAGTTGACGATCTGCCTCCCACTGGGAGCCCGCTTCATAACTTCCAAGCCTTTTCAAACTCAAGTTATATAGTCCTATACAGGCCCTATTCGTTTCAATTCCCAATGCTCCAATTGTCACAATTTATATCGACAAGCGAGAGGTAGGCGACTGTTCTCATTAAATTCAAATACGCTCTAAATCAGTTTCACGTCCTTCTCTCTTTAAACATGGCATTTATGGTTGATCTGCCTTTGAGCTAAATTGTTGGTAGTATCTTGAGTGACCTGGTAAATACATTTCGATTTTACATAAACAGCGAAACTACTCTCCCTAATAAACTTTCATGATCGATAAGGAATATTAGAGAACCTTGTTCCTCCATGCTCTGACGCTAGCGATTTACAGCCCCCTTGCAAAGTCTGCTTCCTCCCCAACGATCCTTTCTTATCCCTCATGCCTCACTGCCAAGACCTCAACGCAGGTCTTTCATTGCTCAGGCCATATTAATTTCAGGGCTATTGTAAATTCCGTGTATTATATTTTATCTAGTACGACAACGTCATTTCTAAACTTTTCTCTGAGGCTGGAGAATCCTCTAATTGGAGGGCAATGGTCGTCACTTGCCTAGAGTGTTCCAAGCTGACATTCCATAGCGCAATCAAAGATGGTAAAACCATTGGAATTCATCGAGATAGAAGGTATTCCAAACTTTCTTGGTTTTGGCGGATATCCATGTTCAATCACTGGGTATGCAGAAACACGCCAAGGTTTGCTCTATCGCTCTTCTCATACTAGGGGTACATACACTCTTTATCATCTTAGGGGTTGGTCGTTCGTAGGTCCCGCAGACATGCTTGATCCAATGATTCTGTTTGTCCTAAGGTCGTTCCCAGTTCAGTCGCATTCTCCTAGCAGCTGATCATTCTACTTACCGATTTTCAAATTATGAATATTGCCGTTTATCACTCCTGATTGTAATCCATGATTAAGACCATTGTGGTTAATGTTAGTCGTCATGGTTGGTGCTCAAGTATTTTGAGAGGATCTCCCAGATTCCGGCCTACCCCGCTCTCAGGTGATGGATCTAGATGCAGAAGAGCTGGAGTACGTCAACCCGATCGCTCGCTTTCTTTTCTTTTTTAGACAGAGATGACTGGTTCCTAAGTGTCACCTCCCATAGTAACCCATATCCCGGTGATGTGAAACACACTGTGTGATGAAACATCCACTACGTACCTACACGTTCTATACCACCTCTTCCAATTCCTACATTGAATAATTGCCCGAGTGACGCAGAAAAAATAATCATTCAGTTTCTTATTCGATCCGTTCGTTCAACCAAAAATTACATAGTGTTGGAGTGGCAGATTACAGATCGGTATATGCCACTACAAAATGTGTTGTTTCCTGCTATGACGCCAAGATCGTCCACAAAAATGTCTATGATTGATAGCAAAGATAATATTGTATAACTTCGAGCATTTTGTTACATATGCTCACTTCTTATTTCATCATCATCATCATATTAGTGGAAAACATACCAATTTTGGTGGAATTCATGGCAGCAGAAAGGTACATAAATGTTCGTTTGCTCCTCGGAGCTTCTCAAAATGATCTCTCCGCAAATAAATTCAATACATTAGAACTCCTGGGAGCTAATTTGATCCACGTAAGCTTTCGTACTTTTCTCAGGGCGTGCGCAGCCACTGTGTTTATATATAAGAGATCGACTCCTTTGAATGGTCATTCCATTCTTTCATTCTCTCAAACATGGAGCTGTCGGCTTGTCAGCTCCTCACCGAAAAGCTGTGGCGCTGTCTTGAAAGCAACGAAGTCAAAACCCATGATCATATGCCATCTGAACTGTCCGGACTGAAGGTACTCGAAGAAAGCTTCTATTATTGTCCTCGAACAGCCAAGCCAAAGGATGAATCTCTCAAGACCAAGCTTTTATGAAGCTCTTCCCCCGCACCTATTCTTGCATTGCTCGACCCAGTCCCATAATCGTCACAAGAATTTTCTCTCATTCCTCCGAATCTCCCAAATTGTCTATCTCCGGACAACATGCCTCACATCTCTCACAGCCTTTTATTCCGAGCTACGGTCATGCAGGAGAAGATCTGGTTGGGGAGTCAGGTCTGAAGGTTAAGAGATGCGGGAAAATAGTAAAAGAGAAAGTACTGGTGATGATTTCAGTATAAAGTCCCAGAAGTAGATGTAAGTTGATGACCAGTAACCACAAGTTGATTTGCTTTTTTAAGATAGATATGCGTCACTTTACATGATAGCCGTCCCGATCAACGTGCATATCATGGTTCAGATATTCCAATGGTTGGTCATGCTCGGCACGCATCAATATTGCTTTGGTGATTTAATCTTGAAGCAATGCCACCCGTATAACTAAGAATCTCGGCCAAGTCGATCAAAAGATCTAAATTACCCGTAATGGTCGGGATCAGAGATATGTCACAATGTCGGAGTGTATATTCTTGAACTAACTGAAATCGCAAAATCGGAGCTAGATACAGGATATATCTGCTGCATTCAGCATTATACTAATATATGATGGACTTCGGCTGGTGGGTCAAGTAGTTAAAAAATGGGACTACTACCCGGTCCTCCGTAGATGCATATCACCTCACTCCGAGTCTACCCTCTTCAAAGTTTCCTCCCTTCCATTAGCCAACGTTCAATTCCTTTCTGCCAATTTCAATAGCCCAAAATTAAATGCTTCCCCCCTTGTAGGCTTGATGTCCGCCACACTCAGCGCTATCAAGACCACGCTTGCTGCAACTGTCTCGAGCAACAATCTCCTCCCGCTTGTATGCTTGATGTCCGCCACACTCGGCGCTATCAAGACCACGCTTGCTGCAGCTGTCTCGAGCAGCAATTGAAGAATATTCAGAGATAGAGGTTAGTGTGCTAGTAGTCAGTTTAAAGAGCAGAGAGAGATACCTCCGGTAGGTGCAGCAAGGCACAGGCATGGCAGAGCGAACAAAATGTAAATCAATCTCATCTTGCGTAACCGTTATCACTGAAATGGAGGATTCAATATTGAATTGCGTGGGTAAGGAGTAGAAAGAAGACAGAATCCTTAAAGGGTGGTTTTCGTCTTTGAACCGGAGTTGGCCTGGACTTTATAGAAAATCAACCCAGAGCAGCAAGCCGCTTATTGATTAGCACGCTATGCTATAGATATTGCTAAAATCAGCGTTCAGCATACACTACCCCACTTTCATACTACTTATCTCCCCTCTTTCTACATATCCCCATGGTATCTCTCTTGTATAAGCAAAAATAGCATATTGTTCTTTAGATACGCCCTTTGAGCTTTGATTACGTATACCTCTCTCGCAGTCCCACATACCTCCTCATTATGCAACCCAGTGAGATCCTTATGCCGCTTGACGCATCGTAACAAGGATAAAGAGATATGAAAGACCTACTACATGAATTTATAATGCTGGGCGAAATAAATGATCAAATCCAGTGTTTGGCGCAGAGTCTAATGCATGATCTAGCAGAACATCGAATGAGAATTCAGGAAATATAATTGCTCGAAGGTAGCAGGAATTATAAAATGCATAGAGCGTAGATAGCAAATGCTCATCTCCGGTGATTCTACCCGAGTTCATATCCTCCGTACGTCCTGTCCAGCCGAGATTCGTTTCTATGACTCAGTGTTTGGCATAGGTCGTATGAGGTATCTACAATGACCGTCGGACTCCGCCACACAGTTTCCTTCTCTCTTCAATCCAACTTACCAGATCTCCGCTTTCGTCATGAAGTTTATAGGTGTAGAAGCAAATTTGCATTCTCCGTAAAAGTGACGTGGCAGACTAGTGGAGAATTTCAAAGTAGTTCTACCTTGAGCTTTGAATGCCTAGTATCTTTACAAGAGCCACAAGTAGAGGATATTGACTTTAAATATATTTCGAAATTAAGACCTGAGAAACTGGTCTTGTACAGAGGAAATGAAAATGATCAAATTCCTGATACATATGGTGGAATGACTAGCTCTTTGTTCAATTCCGGTTTTGATGAGAGACTTCCAGATGTCCACACATCTGAGCAACTTCAAATGTTTAAGCCCCTACGAAAACTTTCGAATGGTAGGATGAAAGAGTAGATATGGATAGCCTCAGGCACTGACATCTGGAAGATAATGAAAAGGGGAAAAGGGCAGATACTCTGGTGGAGGCCATTCAAATGAAAGCCAGCGTAACTTATATCATGATGAATGATTTGCTCCTGGGAGGGTATGGAATCTCCATATTCACGTAAAAGAATCTATACCAGAAAACATATCATTCCTCCCACTGCGCGCGCTTTATCAGGGCGAGTTCCCGCTGATAGTGAAGTTGAATGGGCTTGCTGGAGTAGAAATACTCGTTAAATCCTTTCTCGTTTAGTCTTTCAAGTTGTCACAGGGCATTTCTTACGTAGCTCAGGGTGATAATTAGGATGGCGGATTAAGTCAGGATCATATCCATTAAAACTGTGAGATAAAACCCATCCCTCAATTGACTCCCAATTTGCGCATTTATGCACAACCTCAAAATTCGGCCACGGCTTTGGATAATTTGGAATCCAGTCAAATGTATTGATAGACAAATCCGCGTTGCACATCACATACTGACGTAAGCCTTCTAAACAATGGTCTCCGGGGAGATTAGCTTGACTGGAATGAAGAGGTATTGACCAGTGGCAGGCTCACCTATATGCTGGCCTAGATTTTCCTCCGTCATGTTGTAGTGGTCCTGGTGAATATATCTGCGCACCCACCTCTTTAAGACTCACATTCATCAGCATAAAGTCCTTAGATCTTCCCATTCATCTAATTCTTGAACGCTCACCAAGCAATGCAGTTGATGATAAACATCCAAGGCAGCCATATAGCCAGACCCATCCAACAGTTCAACAGAACTCCGATTGATTTTGTGAAGGGTGTCCTTGTCCACAAGGATGGCGGCGGAGGGATGAAGCAGATTGTTCCATGCTTCTTCGAATTCGGGTCTGGGTGGTCCTTTATACGGATTTGATATCTCAAGTTGATTTTCGAAGGTTCTCACTTCCCACTTCAGCGCCGACGATGCTGGACCTGAGGCTTTCTGTAAGCAATACTTATCAGTTCAACGAATGTTAGACACTCACTGTAGGTTCGGGCAAACTCAGGCCCGTCTGTTTGAGAGCAACGAATTTGTGAATAGCTCCATAAAACGAAGAAAATGGACGTATAACAGGCGAGGATGATGAGATGTATAAACCACGGGGTAGACTGCTTCCAATACCCCCTGTCTTTCTTTGCTATGTGAATATATCTGTTGCTAAACTCTTGTTCTTCATCTACGTCTGGTGAATCGGGCCTTTTTGGGAGAAAAGACTTCTCCTCAATCAAATCATTTTGTAGATTTGCCATTTCTTGTCCACCAGAGTCCTGGAAAGAGCAATATTGGAGCACCAATGCGAATGAAAATAGATTTTTGAAAACCGCTGGAGTCTTCTCGGGGAGTCTAGGATGCGGGACTCTACGCGAGATTCTGTTTATCTCGGAACCCCTCCTACCGTGATTAGTTAGACCATGTATCTACATTAGAGCTGTTGAATACATAAGATGTTGAAGTGCCAATGTGCATAATGTTGCAGGGTGGCGTAGATCCTTCTGTAACGTCGCTAGTGTGGTAAGGCGACACTAAGTTTGCCCCACAATATCTTTGAGGCAGCCACTAACGTAATCCACAAGCGAGTCGGACACGCCACCAAAAATCGCGTCTTTATACCACCCTACCTAATTCAAACACCCACCATGCCACCAATTCGCAATATTTCGGCCAAAAGAAATGCCAATCAAGAGGGCAAGATCTTATTAGCCCTTGACGATATTCAAAATGGCCGAATTGATTCTATTCGCGCTGCAGCGAAGCTATATGAAATACCACGCTCAACCTTAGCCGATCGCGTGAATGGCACCCAAGCACGCGTTGATAAGCGCCCAAACAGCCATAAATTGACTCAGCTAGAAGAGGATTCGCTTACTGAGTGGGTGATCTCTATGGATATGCGTGGTGCAGCGCCTAGGCTATCTACTATAAGAGAAATGGCTAATATCCTCCTGGCTGCACGTGGTCACTACCCTCCACCTACTGTTGGTGTTAATTGGTCTTCAAATTTTGTTAAACGTCATGATGAGCTTCGGACACGCTTCTCAAGAAGTTATGATTACCAACGTGCCCTAAACGAAGACCCTAAGTCCCTACGAGAGTGGTTTACCACCGTACAGTGTGTTATTGATGAGAATGGTATCCAACCAGAGGATATTTATAATTTTAATGAGACAGGCTTTGCAATGGGCCTTATTTCAGCACAAAAGGTTGTTACTCGGCAAGAATACTATGGTCGGCGAACTATCTTACAGCCTGGAAACCGTGAATGGGTTACTGTAATTGAATCAATCTGTGCAGATGGCTATTTACTTCCACCATGTGTGATTTTCAAAGCCAAGGTTGCTATAGCGAGCTGGTTTGATGGCTTACCACAAGACTGGCGATTTGAGGTCTCAAATAATGGTTGGACTACTGATGAGATTGGCCTACGTTGGCTAGAAAAGCTATTTATCCCATCAACAAATTCACGTGTCCGTGGTCGATTTCGGCTATTGATTCTTGATGGCCATGGAAGTCACCTTACACCCCAATTTGACCGAATCTGCACTGAAAACAATATTATCCCACTCTGTATGCCTGCACATTCATCACATCTATTACAGCCATTAGATGTTGGCTGTTTTGCGGTATTAAAACGTGCCTATGGTCGCTTTATAAGTGATCTCGCGCGTACAGGCTATAACCATATCGACAAGCTTGATTTCTTAGCTGATTATCAACGCGCCCGGTTTGAAGCTTTTCAACCTACCAATATTCAGAACAGCTTTCTAGCTACTGGATTACTGCCAATTGATGCAGAAAGGGTGCTTTCTAAGCTGAATATTTCTCTTCGAACACCTACACCACCAGCTAGCCGACCAAGCCGCAGATCTAGTGAATTTACACCCCAAACACCTAGCATTGTGGTTCAGCTACAGAAACAAGCTTTAATGCTTGAAGATCTTCTCAAACAGCGATCAAACAGCCCTCCAAGCCCATCGAAATTGATATTAGATCAAATTATCAAGGGCCACTTATAGCGTTACAGAATACTGCGTTACTAGCACAAGAAAACGCCAATTTACGTGCTAGTAATGAGAAGAAACGGCAGAAGAACAGTCGATCAGCTAGGCAAATACTATGTGATCAGGGCCTAACAGTCGAAGAGGGCTTACAGCTAGCCCGGCAGCTAGAATCGATGGATAGAGCTGCTGGTATCGGACCAGACACACAGGCTGACACGCCTAATCAGCCTAGTCAGCCACGTCCTAAGGCTCCACCAAGGTGTAGTGGGTGTCGAGAGGTTGGCCATCGGATTAATGTATGTAAAAATCGTATTTATAACTGAATTTATTCGTGTTGGGTTGAAATATTTGAATTTAGAGATTTCTAATGGGGTAAGGTGTCCGGCTCGCTTGTGGATTTCGTTAGTCGTAATCAATTATGCAGCTATTTCTGACTACTGCAGTAACACCAGAAGATAAGAACAAGATGCACTGTTTGGATAAGCACAACAGAGCGCTGTCAGAAATACTAGCTATTGCCCGCTCATGAAAGCAAATTGCATTCAGCATTACTCTACAAAGAATTCGAAGAGCTTAGTGGCGCCTGCTCCGTCTATAAGCAAAAGGCCCTCTTAACCCCCACTCTTAGTATTTACACGAGCTTTCAAGCAACATGGGCTTCAACATCAGCTCCCTTGTCGGGGATAAGTTCGAGATCAATCAGGAATACTCTGTGCTGAGCTCCAAAGATCCTGAAGTTATAGAGCCAACCAAGGCTCCGACGTCTTTTTTCGTGCAGAGAAACATCTCGCGATTTGGTGGCTATTCTCAGTTCAAGGTCGTCCTTGTATTTGCCACTATCAGCGTGGCAGCCGCTTTGGCAATGATATTCTTTGCATTCTTAGGATGGAATGTGTGCTCTGCATGCCATCCCCACTATCTTCTGAAGACTCCGGTCCCATCCTGTATGCTTTGGAAGAATATCACCTGAATGAGTCATGAACTTATCAATTTACAGTTGCAAAAAAAATCCGGTATTTTGAGTGGAATCAAACTTATGTTGACCCACCAAGTCCCGAAAGTGATATGACATGGGATAAACTATTGCCTGTATGTTACCTACCACTTACAGACCATGTTTTTAGAGATTGACTGACGGAGTGAGCATAGGACGGACGAGGGTATATTTACGTCGAGAATGGCGCGCAATACGACATGGAACCAGGCGTCATAAAGGAAAGTGGAGAGATATATGGCGTCTCAATGTTCCACCAGATTCACTGCCTCGGTGTCATTCGCCGGGCCTACTATACCTTGGCAATGGGTCTCCAGGATGATGATATTGCGGAATTGAAAGAAACGGCTGAGCAACAACTTCTTAACGAGCATATAGGCCATTGTTTTGATTATCTGAGGCAAGCGTTTGAATGTTCTGCCGATATGACCCTGGAATGGCCGAGAACAGAAAAAGATGGAAGACGCTTTCAAACGGACGGAAGAGGTATTCCTCATGTTTGTACAAATAAGGTAAGCTTCTATATTCTGTAAAGTTCGCTTATTGCCTTGACTTCTCGGGATAATAAATTGCTAATATCATATCTAGGATGCAATTATGGACTTTATGGAGATTTATGGATACCGCGATGCCACGAATCATGATATCGCAGCTTGACTTTATCCATAGCTTCATTGAAAACACCAAACAGGCGCAGCAAAGATGATACTTCAAGTTCAAATCATGTACAGGGGAAGGCCACTGCATAAAGACTCTATTTCTTTCCATTCCGGGCAACTCTCTTGCCACATTTGGCTTCACATAGTCTACGCCTACCGGAGAAAAGTGAATGCAATAGAATAGCTTTTTGTCATATCACTAAGGAATTCCCTCTTATCCACAGCTCTTGGGCATTATATTGCAAGCAGAAGGCGACTTAAATCAATGGAGTGTGATTTCGAATAGTAAAACTGTATAGATCGGGTCTTGCTTCGCTTCAATAGGCTATTTTCCCACCTGGCTGCATTTCATATGACTCCAAGCCCTTTTCGTCTTACTGCAACTGGGATTAGTGACATGAGAGAGAAAAGGAACGCCACAAAAGATGCATAAGACTTCCACATCTAAAGTTAGCACACCGTCGTAACAATTAGGGTCTGTCTCAAAGCGTCCTAATAGGAAACAAGCTAGATACTATCAATTGAAGCGAAGTCTCTCAATCGACTATATGTGGTATCTGGTGTCTGCTGATGTGGTAAGAACGATAAGGAACAATATTTCTTATGAAACGAATCAGGCTAAGAATCCCTCGCGTCATGTCGCAGACGGTATCCTCCGACCAATGAAATCCCCCTCATGTAGAAAACTTGGACTCATATAAAGTCATGCAACTATTTTGAGTTCCTGACACTACCCAGCATCTCTGAGATTAAAAGATTTGATGTCCAGAATACCTAATTTGGGTCGAGTTCCGAAGCAATGCATGATGCACATGTGCGTACCTATACTCCAAACTCATTTTGTGTTTTGTTTGCTCGAAAGTATAAGCCCGATAAGAATTCCAAAAATCCGAAATTGAGGCGGTCGCCCAGCAGAAATTGCTGCGGGAGCAATGCTAAAACGGACTACGACGGTGATCCGTGACGATTTTCAATCGGCCCCCAAAGCGAATCGTAATTGGAACCAAATGAGGGGTCTGCGGGCTCAAAGTATCGATGTGGCGTGTGTTGGAGAGACCAACTGAAATTAGAATATCTTAGCTGCAGGGCCTTTTCAGCTAGTCTTCCGCTAGTTAAAACACAGAGGGCTTTGAAGGATAAATAGCTGATAATACAGTCGGAGTCATGTCACACGGGTAAGAATTGCCGTGGGCGAGCACAAGTAGCTGATATGAACTGAGTAACATTGGAACAGATTATTATATTGTCTGTGGATTTTAGTTGGATAATCTAGAATATTACATTTCTTCTTTCCAAAAAAAAAAAAAGAAAACTGAACAGCTGTCTCACTAGAATATGCATCCATTAACCTATAAGATATCTAGAATTTCTTTATCTACAGTATATCAATGCGAGTTTCTGTCGGCAGATATCTTTACATAGTCCAATCATCACCCTTCTATATTTCCTACTTGAATTTTTTATCAAACTCTCCGAGGTCAACTTTTTACTTAAGTCGTATCGCTTTTGGGTCCTTGAGTTTGTCGCTGTGATAAAAAAAACATACACCAATATGACCGGCGAAATTTTCTCATACAAGTTCTCTGCATTAAAGGACTCCAGGGGTTCCAGGATGGATGACTCTGACCCATACGATCCCCTTTTGGATGACACAGACGACAAATCTTCACACAAAGATGGAAGTAGAATTCCCAGCCGCGTTCGACATCGTTTCTTCATCTTAGGCGGTGGCTTACTACTGGTATCAATCCTAACATTAATCATCGGAGGTGTCAATACTGCTATAATCTCGTCTGTTGCAAACCGTACTCTCAAGATGACCGACGAAGTCACATCTATGCAAGCGGCAACGACAAAAAACAGTCCATATCGGCCCTCAGGAGAATCGACTGGAGATGAATTTGGTCATTGTGGGAAGTCCATTCATGAGGCCCGAGAACTGGGCTGTATCTTCGATCCAATGTCGTGGGCCTGGCAACGACCAGAATGCTACCACGCCGATTTGGTGAATGACTTCCTAGAGAGAATGGATTGGCATTTCTGGCTCAGTAATGAAACTCTCCCATCTGAAGAGGTGCCGCGCGAAGAATGGGAGCGTGGAGACTATACCCTTCTTTGGGGTCCACGTATGTGGCATCAGTTTCACTGTACTTATTCTTGGAGGAAATTCCACGATGCCTTCCGCAATGGAATGCCTATGGATAATGACATTCTGAAACCCGAACACACACTCCACTGCGATAGCGTTTTCCTCCACGACTACGACCCAAAGATCTCGGTTCCGTGCGATCACTTGGAGAGCGGATGCCACACAACAGAGCTTCATGCAGGATTCAATCGTTGCGGTTGGTCTTGAAGGGGCGCTAAAGAGCGGAAGGTTACTGAAGGATAGTTACATAACTATATTCCAGTGCACCAAACTAAGGGGAGAGCTATTAGATAAAGAGCAAGTCACTAGTTTAGCTATGTTCAAGGTGAAAGATAGTGCCAGAACTTGAAACATACCCATTGAGGAAGTGACATATACCGATCAATGAACACATAATTATTTCTCAAATAATTTGATTCAAGACCGAAAGATGAGTTTAATCATATGGTATTGACATGGATGCTGTTAGTGCACTCGATATCCAATACATCTAGGTAATTACAGTGGCCCCAATGCATTCATCGCGTAATACTTAGATTATCGCAGATTATCGCAGATAGCAGCCTGGCTGGAGCGTCGGTTGGCTTAATCAGCCCAATTAGCGTGCAGGCACCTGAGCAATAAAGGACTCCCTACTAATTTCCCCTTCCCCCTTTGTTTCATTGAAATATGCCGTGGAGAAAAGATAAAAAGGAAGCACGACGAGATCATCACAATGCCATCCGAATGCTCGCTCCAAGCTGGCAACAGCTTCGGGGACATGATAGCTCGCGAATGCCGTGTTGGCGTTGATTTCACGCTCTCGTTTCATCTTGTTCCCACAATCGCGTTTCTTATCATCTGCCCTCTTCGATTGCGAATTCTAGCCAGAAGAGATGTGCGAACGAAACCTCACATAATGAGATTGGTAAAACTGGTAAGCCCCGTTTTATACTTACTCGTAGAGCTGAACATGACTTGACGTCCACTTCCCTAGACGACTGCCTTGATTTTCGCCGCGATTCAACTGGCCTTGCTCATCAGCTGGGTAAAGAAAATTCAGCCATACCCCAAGCTCTCTCTAACATCAAGCGCACTGAGTTTGCTAGTGGTAATGGAAATCGTGATTTTGTCATGGATGGAAGATGAGCGGTCTGTCAGGCCATCATCACTCCTCGCCATCTACCTTATCGTCACCTTACTTTTTGATATTGTACAGATCGGAAATTCGTGGCTATCCCACAGGAATTCCTTAATACCGGGGCTCTTTACAGCTTTTGTATCTACAAAAGCAGCGATGTTACTTTTCGAGAGTTTGGGGAAGCAGGAGCACTTGATCGATTCTTATCGAGATCTTTCACGAGAGTCAACAAGCGGAATTGTGAATCGATCATTCATGTGGTGGCTGAACCGCCTGATTTTTGTTGGTTTTCGCTCTACACTCACTGTCGATGATCTTGATCCTCTTGACAAGCCCCTACAGTCCAGCCGAACGGCACAGATGGCACAGAAAGCCTGGGACTTTCGCCAGCGTCCCGAGCGCCGGTTCGAGTTCCCATGGCAAATGATCCGAGCTTTCAAGAGCCCACTCGCTCTTACAATACTTCCACGCCTCTGTTTGATCGGCTTTACCTTCTCGCAGCCCTTCTTGATTACATATATTCTCAAATGGCTTGATGATTCTGGTCGCGTGGGTACTAGTAGCCTAAGTGACGGTTATGGTCTCATCGGGGTCACATCTTTGATTTATCTTGGAATAGCCCTCTCCACTGTGCTTCATGACCGGATGCTTAATAGATTTGTCACGACTTTTCGAGGGGCAGCCTCATTAATGATCTACGACCATGCCTTGCAGACTCCCGATGGAAGCATAGGGGATCGATCTGCTGCCATTACTCTAATAACTACCGACATTGACCGGATCATCAACTGTCTAGTCATCTTAAATGAATACTGGGCGCGGAGCATTGAAGTTGTCATAGGTACTACGCTACTAGCGCGTAGGCTAGGGTGGGTTTGCCTGGTGCCAATAGTGATCGTTATCCGTATGGACTCTTTCCACGACTTAAATGCGCCTACTCCTTACTGACAGTCAATAATAGTATCTAGTGGCGGAAGTATTTACATATCAAAGCACATAGGAGGACATCAAAAAGTATGGATTGATGCTGTGCAGCACCGAATAGCGATCACACGTTCAATGCTGGAGCATATTCAGTCGGTCAAGGGATTGGGCTTAGCTCTAACTTTCATCCAGCTGGTACAAAGGAAAAGGGCTCAAGAAACTCATCAGATGGCCAAATACCGATATAGTATGGTCTGGAAGAATATGGTGCAGAATTTGCCTTGGGCCTTAGCGCCAGCTTTGACCTTCATCATCTACGCTGCTCAGGGGAATGAACTGAATCCTACTAAAGTATTCAGCAGTCTGTCAATTATTACTCTTTTAACTAACCCAGCTTCCAAGCTGTTGAGCGCGATTCCTTCCATAGCAGCATCCACTGGATCCTTTGACAGAATACAAGAATTTCTTTTGTCAGAAAGGCGTCCTCAAGATGCAGCGGATGACCTATTTGGCACAATTGAAGCGGAAACACAATGCAACTCTTTCAATGGTGTATCAGAAACTACCGACCTTCAAAAGCCTGTCATTTCTATGAAAAGCCTCAGTATTCGCCCATCGCCATCGGCAAATTTTGTCTTGAGAGATGTTAGCTTCAAAGTCCCTTTTGGGGTGCTAGTCATCGTCCAAGGGCCAGTTGGATCAGGCAAATCGACCCTTCTTCGGGCTATACTCGGCCAAGCAGTCTGTGAGACAGGGTCAATGGCTTTGACCACTGGAAAGCTTGCCTTCTGTGCGCAAACACCATGGGTTCCAAATGGCACCATCCGCGATGCAATTTGTGGAACTCTTTCAGCATGTTCCGCCAAGGGGTACGAATTTGAGCCAAATTGGTACTCGGCTGTTCTTCACGCATGCGATTTGAATCTGGACCTTGATATACTCCACGACGGAGACAGGACGCGGATTGGAGATGGATCCGGGCAGAGGCTGAGTGTTGGTCAAATGCATCGCGTCGCTCTTGCTCGAGCACTCTACGCTCGTAGGAAGCTTTTACTTCTAGACGACATATTCAGCGCTTTGGACAAGAAAACCAAGATGACGATCATCTCACGTCTTTTTGGAGCCGATGGACTGCTCCGAAAGGCAAATGTGACAGTGATCTTGGTGACACATGAGAGTACGGGCCCCTTCAATATTTCCTTCTGACTATTTTAAGCTAACAAACTTTAAGATCTCCGGATGTTTCCTGCAGATCAGATTTACATTCTTTCGGATGGGTATTTTCGTCGCAAGGAGTCTTCTGAGGGGGATATTTACCAAGGAGTGGCACTTGATGTTGTGGAGACTGAAGAATTTGAGGAATCCCCAGCTTTGGGGCAAGATGACAAAGCTGCCTTGATCTGTGAGGCGAATGAGATTGACGATTTAAAGAGGGCAAGAGGGGACTCAGCCATTTATAAGTATTATTTGCGCTACGTTGGATGGCCCAATGCTGTCATATTTGTTCTCTTCGTGATGATGAATGTCTTTTCTGCTACATACGGTCGTAAGTAAAGTTTCCTTCGGGCAATGTTGTGATACTACTCACATGATGTCTATCAGAAATTTGGCTTGAGCAATGGACTAGTCGTTGCGGGGAGCAGAAAGCACTCTATGTCACGGTTTATCTCCTCCTTGGGATTTGCAACATTGTTGGAAATGGTGGTTATGTTTGGTGAGGGGCTCTAATGTTGCGGCTATAAATTATGGCATGTTACTAATAAGGTGATAGGGCTATCCTCATTCTGATCTCTCCGTCGACGGCGCGCCGACTCCATTATACCGTATTGAAGACTGTTATGATGTACATTGAACTCTTGTTTCATACAGTTGGCTCCACTGCTGACATATAGGAAGGGCAACACCTCAATTCTTAGCGGCTGCTGATATTGGGTCAATCCTCAACAGATTTAGCCAGGATATGACCCTTATAGAAAGTGATTTACCGATCGGCATTTTAATCATGGTCTCAAGTAAGGGCCTCATCGTTTGCCAATCATGAGTCTGGTACTAAGAACTCCAGATCTCTTTTCATCAATTGCCAATGCTGCATTAACTGCGACCGGGTCGAAGTACATGGCAGTGTCCGTGCCTTTTCTAATGGTCGCTCTCTTTCTACTACAGAACTTTTACTTGAAGACATCGCGACAACTTCGCCTTCTGGAACTGGAAAGCCGAAGTCCATTGTACTCTCATCTTCTTAGCACGGTCGAGGGCCTTGCTACCATTCAGGCTTTTGGATGGGAGGCAGAATTTCGAACCGCCAGTTCAAAATTCTTGGATACTACGCAGCGCACTTATTATGTGCTGAATTGCGTTCAGCGTTGGCTAACACTGGTCTTGGATCTCATCGTGGCTGCCGAAGCGATCATTGTTGTCAGCTTGGCTATATGCTTCAAAAATACAACGAGTCTTGGATTTCTTGGAGTATCGCTCAACAGTATTCTTGGTATGCTTTTCTCATACTACTCAAACCCACTGGTACATACTAACATATCCAAAAAGCCTTCAATGGTAGCCTTTCATCTCTCATATCGGGTTGGGCACAATTGGAGATATCTCTAGGCTCCATTTTCCGTGTCAAGGATTTTGAGCTCACAGTACCAAGGGAGACTTCAACTAAGCAAGGTGCTCCTCCCAATTGGCCAAGCCAAGGCGCTATCAAGATCTCGGGGATAACTGCACAATACAAGTAAGTATCCCGCACCTCGAAAAAAAATGTATAAGCCGGCATTACTATTTTTCAAGGTATTGCTTTACTAACCGAGTCACACGCAGTTCTGAGTCAACAGTACTAAGCAACGTCTCTCTGGAATGCTCACCAGGTCAGAAAGTCGGCATCTACGGACGGACCGGGAGGTGAGAATTACCTTCTCATTGATTAATATGACTTCTTGCCCAGGCTAACTTTCTGATGCGCAATAACTTAGTGGAAAGAGCTCTCTGTTATCGACCCTATTGAGTATGCTCACCGTGACCCACGGTTCAATCGTGATCGACGGCATTGATATCGCTACTCTTCACCCTGATCAAGTCCGCGAAAGGCTTATCACCATTTCCCAAACACCATTCATCATGGTTGGCTGTACCGTTCGATTCAATATTGATCCTACCGAAAACATCCCTGATGCAGATATCATCGCGGCTCTTGATCGAGTTGGAATCTGGCATGGTGTACTACTTGAAAGAGGAGGGTTGAATGCTGAAATAACCGACATCCTATCACTATCTCGAGGCGAGCAGCAGTTGCTTCAACTTGCTCGAGCAATGCTGAAACTACAAGCCAGTGATTCCAAGATTCTGTTGGTTGATGAAGGTACCAGCAGCGTCGACATGGAGACTGATGCTCGTATACAAGATCTACTGGAACAGGATCCATTTCGTTCATGCACAATTCTCACAGCCGCACATCGTGTCCACACTCTTTTGAATTATGATCTGGTAATTGGGCTAGAACGAGGAAAGGTGGTAGAGATGGGCCAGCCAACTGTTTTGAGTAAGTTGAAGGATAGCATTTTCAGCACCGCTCATGATTCTAGCCGGTCTTAATTTACCAACGGGATATTCATGGATTGATCCAATCGGACTCATTACACGATTGCTCGCTGGTGATGACGATTATTGTTGTATGGAGATAGGTTTAACGCTCCTGTGTTTTGATTCATCACATGCTCCTAATTATGCCGATCGGAAAGGAGAGGTCGTGTTCCGTGTCCTAGTACACCGTGAGCCCAACCATGATAACCAGCCCAGTCACCATGATCGATTGCATTGGGGAAAATGATGAAGCTGAGGAGCACTTCGAAAGTTCTAAAACCATGGATTATCAGTAAAGTTTCCTGACCGTAAGTTTCAAGGGGCCTTATACCCTCGTTTGCCCATGCACACATGTTCATGAGGCTGAGCGTAACGTCTTCATAAAGCGTAGTGTTGTAAAAGGTTGAGTTGTAGCAATCGTTTTCAATCTTACAAATCTCGGATTGATTCGTAGTTGTGAGCGTGAATGAGGCGTACTCGCACAGGCACTTCGCATGAGACCGCTTTGTACTAGATGCCCCAACCGAGTAGTTGCCACACTTCGCTGTATCAAAGACTGAATCATAGTACTGTTCCCCATAACATGGACGCATGCAACTTTAGAATCCGTCCACCCAAGCATCATAAGAACATGGGGTGTATGCAGCTACACTCAAGCCCAACAGAGCGACAGCAAGAAATATGTGAATCGAGGCCGGACCATGGCTCAAGAGTGGACTAGGAGGGTAGGCAAAGGAAAATTTGACAATAGTAAATGCTCTTATTGTGATGGGGGAAGCTTTTGTCTTAAGAAATGAATCCACAAGCCCCTTCATCGCACTTGGCTACATTCAGATGTCGGCTAATCTGCCGACCAAATTTTCAATTAGACTAAGAATTGATACTACTACCTGCGAGGCAATCAGAGACAGAAACATTGAATTTTTTGGGTCCTTGCTCCAGGGGCTAATATCCACCAACGCGTCTCATTGGTCACCGGAAAAATCGGCAAATGGAATTTAGGGCAGAGCCAAACCCGTGGACCAAGATCGGGAGGCCCGAACATTCAGTGGATCATCCGAAGATTGATTATGCCTAATTAGTAGGAAGGTCCACTGGTAGACCCTAGACCCTTCACTAGTAGCTAGTAAGGTAGGCCAGAAATAATCTGCTCGACTGCATTCCGCGATTGACCTCGGACATTAAGTCTACTAGTAGAATGGTGTGCTTTACGAAACATATGTAATGCACATCTAATATGTAGAGAGGCATTAGGGCGGAGATGGGCCAAAACACGGGCATCCCGAGATCTCCGCCCGGGCGCTCATATCGAAGTGATCAACCTTGGAACTGAACGACAAGATTTTCATATTACGGTGCCAGCTAATTCCAGTTTCAAGTTTGATTCATTCCACCCAAGAGTAGAATATAATGGACAAAATGGTGTATATGGATTGAGCAACAGAATACCCACGGCTGATACATTATTGAGCTGGAATGGACTGACATGAAGACTGAGATACAACCTTGGAATGAACTGTCAACTGGTGGCTACCCTTGCCGGAACTGTCCTTCCAAGGTTTCTGCCGCGGATTATTACTTTCTCAAAAACGCATATACCTCTTCGAGCTGTGACAGCAAGACTAGTGGTACTGTCGTTGATGGTTACTGCTACACCCTCAACTATCCCTGGGCTACACGGAGTGTTGCCAGTGACTCTACCTTTACGAGCGAGTAGTGATCTCAAAACGCTGGAGAATAACTACTATGTGTACATGACGGAGCTCTATCTCAACTCATACCAATTTAAAAACAAGACTGGCACTTACGGTGGAAGTATGGTCATCGGCATTATGCAAACTTCCTTGACTCTGCCGACTTGCTTTTACAACCTCCCTGTCTTCACAGTCGAGACGCAGGAAGAAGACTGCGATGAGAATTTCTATTCATCGCCCTGTTAGATTTATTACAACACTAAGACCGCCGAAATACCCGAGCTTGGTGTCACATGGTTGGCCGCAAACCTGAAGGCCATCTTTGCCGAGAATGTTTGCACTTGCACTGCAGCCGCTCTGTGTGACCGGTACTAGATGTTAATAGACTTGGAGTCTGACCTCCTGCTTAGGCCAAGGGAGGAAGGAGAGAAGGAGGATGACAAAAGTATTGAGAACCCAGTGGCAGCAAGAAGATGAACTTGGAAGCATCAACATTGAATATATCAATGGTATACAGTCCGTGGGCTTACAAATATCCAAGCCACGGGCACTGGTTCAAGTTCGCCTAAATAGTTTCTTTGAATTCCAACCTTGGAAGGTTGGGGTTTAAGACTTACTGACTTTCGATCTTCCAAAGTTCGTTCTTATTATTAGTGAGCATTTAAATATTCAACATTGAAGGATTGCCAGTGCTCGGGACTGCTCGGGCTTAGTGTTGCCCACATGAAGTGCCAGCACTTGAGTGCTTAAGGAGCAGATCTCTATGTACCCAACAACCTTGGAACACATGCGCATGTAATACCCGAGTCGCGGTATAATACCTAGGTACTATATCCCGCGTGCAGTCGGTATCTTTCTAACTCCAGGGCTTGAACCTCAAGTTCAACATTGAAGTTCCAAGATTCAAGTTGGAACAGAGGTCAAATGGAATAACAAGCGTAGCCAAGATTTTATCCATGTATTGATGGATTGAGGTGGTATCAATATATTCAAGTTTCATCTTCAATTGCTCTAGAGATCTTGCTCGACACAAAATCCTTGACATAGCATTCTCGAAGAAAGGTACATATAACACGCCAAATTTAAAGGCCCTTCACCTCATCCCTTTACTATCGTACTGTGTCATGACTTGCAGCTTCAAAGTAGAAATGACCTCCCTTGACCAGCAGATAGTCCAGCAAATTCTCTCCTCCGTCTCTTTTCACGGCTAATCCTGCCTTTTCTAGTCCATCCAATATAGCTTTATCGTTATCTGTGATCATTTGGGTCATTCCCATGCCCAGGGTGCGAACCACAGCAGTTGGGAAAGAGTTTCCCAGAAGATCGGCATCTTCAGTGCTTACTCCTGGAGTGTTCCAGACTGATGTCTAAAACTTTTCCATTGAATCAAGAGAAGTGACGAACATAGACGCACGTTATATCATCGTGACAGCGCCAACTCCATGGTTAACGAAGTCCTGGGCAACGTCATGCGCGGAGGTTCCAGCACCGATGATAGTGACCTTTTTGTTCTGCAGATCCGGGATAGTGGCTGCTGATTTGTGGGCTAAAGTGTGGTAGATCTGGCCCTTGAATAACTCCTCACCAGGGAAGTCAGGGCGAATTGGGATATCAGCAAATGATCCTGTAGCTAGCACGACATGCTTAGGATTGATTTTTTCCACACTGCCATTGCTCTCCAATTCGACTGACCACTGTTGCGTGGAATCATTGTATTCAATATTCTTCGCAAATGTATCATATCGGACTTTGAGACCCAGGGTCTGCTGATAGTGCTCCATCCATTTCAGAATATCTTCCTTGTCGAGATAGCGGGCCGAATCACTCGGGTATTTCAAAAACGGATAGTGGCCCGTTTCAGTCGGCGTGTGCAGGTTGATTGTGTCATATCTCGTTCGCCAAGCATCTCCAACTTGAGAAGCCTTATCCACGATGAGATATTTGAGACCAAGTTCTTGCAGATGAGCTGCAAGGTAAAGTCCCGAATGACCTAAAAGTCGAGTGTGAGTTGTTTATTTCCTCAAAATGCATTGAGTATGGTCGGCTTACCTGCGCCCACAATCAAAACTTGCAGAGAGTCAAGTGAAGCATTGGATTAAGTCTCTGCTTCCTGCTCCTTCAGATGTTCAAGGGTGGTGAAAATAGTCCATGCTTTCCATTGGTCGGGTCCAATACTGGCTAGCCTCAGAACTCCTCTGCCCACACCGACCGATCTAGAATTGTGAACACAGGTTTCACAGGGCCTAACTATGGTATTCAAGCCACAACAGTTGATGGACCGACTTCATTTATCTTCCGTCGCTAGAATACTCAGCAAGCCCTTTCCTCTACAGTATCAAGTTTTGTGGTCAATCGCAAGGTCGGGAATACTCGGATTGTGCTTGCAAGGCGGATGGCTTTGGCAGCAAAGAATGCTTAGGTAAATTGGCCATTTTGACCATCTGATTTATTTCTAGTCACGGGCGAATAATATGAAGATATCAGCCATACCCTTCTACCCTTGCGACGTCTGCGCCAGTTGATACATCTGAACGATAAGAAATCTTCGGGTTTGCTTACTGGTTCTTCCTTCTAAACTGCTTCCATGAAAGTCCATTACTTGTAATTTATAACAAAGATGAAAGATGCCACAGGCCATCCTGCCTCCTCACCATCACCCCGCCACCTAAGGTTATCCAAAGAAATATTTCCGAGTAACCAGGCGCCCAGCGAACTCAACTAATAAAGACTTTTCGGCTAATCCGGAAGGGTAATCCGTACATCGCTTGACGCATCCTTTCGAAGCTCCTCACTGTATAAGACGGTTCATTTCTTCTTCGCTATATTTATCATACAAGGCTTAGCGTAAGATAAGAGCCCTAGACTAGGGTGTTCTCACGGCACATTCTGTACCCAAAAGAGTATCTGGAATCTTCTGATATTTCCAGGCTGAAAAAATCTGAAGTGTGTTTCGTGATATAAAGTTATTCGAAGTGATAGGCCTTGCGTACTTTGAAGCGGCATAACAAGTACATGAGAATGTCGCACCTGCTCATTTCAAATGACATTGAGAGAGTCATGGACTGACTTGGGACTTAAACAACTCGGCATTAAAAGCTGATTCTCAGAAATTTGTGGAAATTCACCGATCAAATTCACCAGTCTAGTGGCGGTGGCCAATTGTTCGATCCGATCATAGTCTCCCATTTGCATATGTAGTGCGAAATGGCTAAAGAAAATGGGGGAAAATAGACTTAAAGGCATTATGTGACTGCCAGAGCATACAAACTACTTTCCGAGGTCGCGGTGGCAAACGGCGCTTAGTGTGTTTCTGAAAACTTGTGTATTCGAGGAATTCGAGGAGAAGACCTTGAACTGTTCCGATTTTTGCGAGATGATCAACTATTGTCTTGAGGAATTAATTGAAATATTAAAGAACCCACGTAGATTTGAGTGCATTCAATTGCAGATTAAATTAATGTAAGTGATCATCTAAAGCGGTTACCGAACTCCAGTGAATGAATTAGCCAGCTGCAGCTGTGAAGTCCAGGGAAGTAATTCAGTCAAGTTTCTCTCTACCTTGAACAGAAATTAATTTAAAAGACCAATTTTAGCAAAACAGTCATGTTGACATCGATACTAAAGTTCTTGTACATGATGTTGGGTTTTCCTAGCTCAGCTCGGTGTCCCGTTTTAATTTTGGATCAAATTGTGCGATTGGCGGAAATTACAAAACAATACCATATGTGTTCCACATTTACGAGACGATGTTGCGCCCTGCCCATGCTGTGGCTGTGTATATTGTATCGTGGCTGTGTGGAAACACGGTATGTATACCATACCAGTCTTGGTTGTTAAAAATCCTTCGCCAGTCTTACCTTCTAATAAGCTCAGACCGAACAATACACCAAAAGCTTATGGATAGGATTTGCTGAAGCCGGAGTGCCTCTTGGATGGACTTACTGCATCGATATTATTGTGTCAACAGGCCCATTCTCAAGTCTCACTAGCTCTGCCGTCTTACGAAATGTATAGAATAGACAGAGTCGATATTAATACATAGATACGAGTAATGAACATGACGCAGATTAGTTCAATTTGGCATTAAGGACACCCTACTTGATACATGTGAGCACTATACTTGTGCTATGAAATTAATAAATTTCAACTCATCATGAATAAGAACAAATGGATGGAGAAAAATCCTCTAGGATACATGAGACATCAATTTTGATCTATATGTCGTAGGTAAAAGCAGCATGAGATGACGAGTAGCTTAGGCCAAATATTACGAGTCGTATAAATATTCCAATTGATCTTCCTTGTCACACCGGCGAGTGTTTTGAAATTCTAAACCATTCTCAGAGCTCGATCTTAATCGTATAGATGATCCTCATCCGCAGCGCATTTACATGTTCCTTTTCGCAGGATAGGAGTCAGCATACTCCGTTGAACAACATTATTGGCTGTTTCCCTTCTTGCTATGATATCTTCGCATCTGTGCTGCATGATTTTGATGGCGAGTCGAAGTGCTACTCGAGAAGGATTGAAATCATGATTATCTACGCCCGAATAATCGGAAACTTGCTCTAGGTATTTCATCACGTTATCCATAAACCCCACAGAAATCTTTATTTGTTCCTTGTGATATTCCTTTCTTTTTGGAGAAGATTCATCGAGACGCCAATTTTCCCTAGCTCTCCTCAGAGCATCTCCCATGCTATGTTCAATGCGAGCTTGGTTTTCGACATCTTCATCAATCGGCGTTGGCTGCCTTGAATCAACCAACTCAGTGACTACAGAAGTAGCAGGTGATGTAGATATAGAAGCGGGTAGAGCAGCCGCGACTAGGTTACTGCGGTGGCGGTGTATGTTTGAATCCAAAGAGTACTCATCAGGGTGAATCTGCAGTCGTTTGGAAGGGGGATGATCTGTTAGATCGAGTCAGTAGACCATAGCTCTTTAGGTGTAGAGTAGAATATTCAAATTACCTGCATTATCTTTTGCATCGGGTAGGAAATGAGATATGGTGGCTCTTCACCTTTTCAAGGGAGTTGAAGACCGGCTGCGTTGTTCTAGATCCATAGTGTGTCAAGACCAAAAGGGATCGTGAAGGCATGAATAGAGCGAGAATGATTCTCGAGAAAGAGGTTCTTTAAGTACACTTTCATCCCCAAATAATGCTGAACGTTCGAATTTGATGATGAAAAACTGAGGGCGGCGTGACACTGCAAACTCGGCTGGTTCCTGGGAACCATGGGTGACATGGCTCAATAAACATCTTGATCACCGCCATTCATAGCTCCTGGGAGATGAAAATCCTCGAATCATCGGTTGTACTTGTACTTGTTCGCATGTTCCTATACCAGTGTAAGCTTCAAGTTTGCGAGTCGGCGACAGGGAAAGTAGACCTACCCAGTACTTGTTGAAGCCAACACCATCGGAGACTTCATCATAGGTCAGAATTGTAGGGGTAAGCAGCCGATCCAAGCCATAGCAACTAGCTTCCTAGGAGCAACTGTGATGGGGCAATTAATTTTTTCGAGCCAGCAAGTAGTTGAGTTGAGAGTTGAGGTGAGTGGCTTCTGGGAGCAAGAATCTACGCAGAGTCTGATAGGCTAGAAATCCTGATTTAGCACTGTTGATTCTCAAGGTGAAACGGAAAATGTGAAATGCCATAGGACTATGCAGCAGGCCATCTCTTTTTAGATGGGAGATTGATTGAAAAGTAGGTCCCCTCATTTGCACTAGCGCCGTGCGTTTTATTCTGGTGGCCAACTCATACTCTTGGCTCTCTTTGGTGTGATTGGTGGGTGAACCACAGGAGTGAGCGCAGGCTCAGTGAGCTCAGGCCCCAGCTCACTGATCGGCTCACTGAGCATGCGCCTGAGCTTACATAAGGCTCAGTGAGCCGATCAGTGAGCCGGAAGCCGTGCTCAGATCTACTCAGTGAGTAAAAGCGGCGACTCAGTGAGCACTAATCCGGAAAGAGCAACCAAAATCCGCCGGGGGAAATCCATTACGTAGGTGCTCAGGTGGCGCCGAAGTGCTAGGTCAACTGGTAGTAGTACGATTCAAATGTTCGTATTATGGATATCATTCTACCACTAGGTACTTCAACCTTGGAAGTTCCAAGGTTATACTCCAGGCTGCCCAGGTGGCACCTGGGCAGTGCACATGTGGTGACTTGCAGCCTCAGAGCGAGAGAAGAGGCCCGGACCCGGGGTTCCACTACTAACTAGCACTTGAGTAGATACTAGTACCTAGTAGTAGCCAAAATGGATCTGGGCATTCGATGGCTAAGAAACTGGATCTCATGCCCATGTGTATGTGCCAGGTGCTTATTGTGAGATACAGATTCTTTCACTGACCGATGTCAACTTCGTGATTTGGCATTTGAACCGTCCTCAAAGATAGAATTTATTACGTGACATGAATATTCAGCTACATAGTAGAGTGGAGCTAATCGTACTCCAGGGCTTCGTAGAGGCCGCCTCACAAGGTGGAGTAGACATAGTGGAGGTACATTATCGACACAGCGGACTGTTTCAGACAATTTTTTCAGGATTCAACTTCAACATTTGAAATGTTCAAGTTCAAGTTACTGCTGGTAGTTCAACTTTGGAAGTTGGTCACGGTGATGGATGATAGCTGGAGGTAGTGATACTAGAGAACAATGAGAAATTATTCATAGGATCATGATATCAGCACTTGAGACCAACATCCGTCATAGCCGGAGCTATGATAATTTATTGACACTAGTAGGAAATAACTGAAATTTGAGATTTGAGATTTTGGGAGGTATTTATCTAATTATTAGGGACTTCTAGAAGGATTCTATAGTATATGTACTACTAGGTAGTAGTAACAGGGCAACTTGAAACTTGAAACTTGCTTATTGAACCATGACCCGGAGTCAATCACACGAGGCAATAGCCGAAGCGCGTTTAAATTGGGGGCCATTTGGGTTCATTTTGCTGCGGAGATGTGAAAAGGATCAACATGAAACAAGCCATGATGAGCCCGTTTATTCCATTTTACTTCTACTTGATTTCTTGTTTTTTTGTTCCGTGGTCGCACCATGCACGAGCCAAGCTGTATCCATGGTTCCATAGTATACCTCAAAATACTCCTGAATAAACATAGGAATATAGACCACTGTGTAGGAGAAGGAGAGTACTCCCTTGCATTATTCTAGGGGCTCATATAGTTTCTTTATGTACCTTCGTACATCGTACAGGAAGAAGTCACTCCCTGTTCGAGGTCAAGGTTCTGTTCCTGAGCACGGACCCACTCAGGGGGGAAGTAGGTAGAGAATTCAGACACATGAGAGGAGTAATAAAGGAGTAACCAGAATGATAGGTTAGTAAATGAGAATAATAATATTATAGAAGATGATAGGAATATGATATAGAGAATATAATAGATCAACTCATACAAAAAAGAATCGAGCGTAAAAGTAAAAAAAGAAAAGAGATTTCGTCATTGAGGATCCATTAGGGGGGGTTGGCGTTCTTTCCCTTTCCCGTTAGGGGGCATATTGTGTCTCACTCCATTTTGCTTCTCTTTCTTCTCCTCTTTGTTTCTTTGTCCCTCATCGTGCTGCGCACTTGCTTTGTTTACTTTGCTCAACTTCCTTCTTTTTTCGCGACGTGTCACTTTCGCTCTTTGTTCACCCCTTGTCTTGTTGTTTCCCCGACGCGTTGAATCCCCCCTCCCCGATTTGACTCCGACTCCGCAATTTGGGAAGACTCGACTCTTTTTTCCCTTCGATACCTCCACTTGGATCTGGTGGATCCAAAAATTCGATCTTACGACACTCGTTTACCTCAAAGATCACAACTCGTGTTCACCCCGCGTGTTGACCCGACGCGTTATCCCCCGATTTGAATAACCTCCCCCAGTCCTTCGAAACCGAAAAAAAAAGACACAGATTTTGACTTGCCGAATGCTGGCCTATTTTTCTTGAGCTCCCCCTCGGGCCGAGATGAGATAGTGCTCTGGTAGTCGTCCATTCTCTACTATCTGGTCCGTCTTGCCGGCTGGCATCCCGCATTCTTTTCTTGTTGGTCTGGTATCATCCTTCTTTTCTTCAAACTTCAACATGACGGTCCCGCAACCCCCTATGACCTTGACTGGTCATTGCTCCGCCGTCCACAATAACACACTTTACGTCTACACCCACAATGGTTTCGCCTCCATCGATCTGCAGGCAAATCAGGTTTGGAAACCACTTTCCCCCGGCGTATCGGTTGAAGGAGCTGCTTGTGTGTCAGCCGCAATTGAGGGCGACACCGAGAACTTGGCATTTTACGTAGTCGGCGGGACCGGCAACTCATCTTCTTATCCTTCTTATTCCGGACTTCAGCGGTACTCTTACCAGGATGGGAATTGGACTACCTTGCCCGGTGATCCCACGGACATGCACAACCGCACTTCTCACGGCGTGGGCTACCTAGAGTCTTCAGGTTCGATCTTGGTATATGGAGGAAGCACAGACAGCGATGAGGCTTCCGAGTCGACCTTCACGATCTCTACGACCTATCCCTACACTATGAACTCGGAGAACAGTCAAGGTGCCCCCGCAGCGGCGGACCCGATGCTCTTGACTTGGAATGAATCGGCAGTGGCTTTGATTGGTGGATCCTCGACAAACACCGACGTCTACATTTATGTCGACCCTACGGGCTGGACAGCTTCTGGTTCGACTCTTTTGTCTGCTATCTCGGAATCCAATCGATGCGCACTCGCTACTGATGATGATGGGAACAAAATCCTGGAAGAATTTGACCTGAATGCGTCACCAAATACCGTCACCAACTACGAATTGATGAAATCAGGACAGGCATTAAGTCCCGCTACGGTGTTGAATTCTTCGTCGACAAAGCGAAGTCTCAGCGATTACCCTTCGTACAACAGCGCGAACGCCCCAACCACGATAAGCACGGATTATTCGGTAGCTCAAAGTAGTAATAACCTGGTCGTTATTTCCGGTGGCAGCGGCAACGATTCCCTATCGATCTTCAACCAAACGAGCAACAGCTGGAAGAATGTAACGGAGCTTTTCTATGGGAGTGGCACACAGAGTGCCCTGCACGGAAGTACGACTACATCCACAACATCTACGACATCTACATCACCCACTGCCACCTCGGCCTCTGCTACTATATCCGCTGCTGCTGCATCTTCTGGTGACTCTGGCGCGAAGGTTGGTGTCATTATTGGTGCAACTCTGGGCAGTTTGTGTGGTGCAATTGTCATCCTGGTCGTCATCCTGTTTCTGCTTCGCCGTGCCAGGCTCAGGAATAACCCAGCCGGTGAAGGAAAGGGCGGAGATGGCAAGGACCGTTTGAGCTTTCAAGATCAAGGCATTGAGCCCCTGGCAGAGGGTGCTTATCCTATGGCCAAGAGCCCCGTCCCCGTTGCCACAATATCAGATGACTCGCTTGCGATCATGACGGGCAAGTATACTGGAGAGAAGTCCCTGCGGCCCCCCCAGTCAAGGCTACGGATATGGATTATCCCGGAATAGCCCAATTTCCACCATCCCGTCTAGCGGCGCGATGCCGTCAAGCATGTATTCCGATGACTCGGACCGATCTGCCGCCGTCGCTGCCGCCGTCGAGGCCATCTCCAGCCCTGGAAACAAGCCTGGAGATCGCACCACTGATGAAGGATGGGGCAAGTACTTTGAGGACAATAGCGCGAACAATCTTGCTGGAATGCAATCCGATCGCTCGACTATCAGCTCCGTGTACACAAAATCCGATTACCGTGGTAGCAGCGCCTGGCCAATGACCAACCTCGCTCCTTTGAATTTCGGCTTCCTCGATCAGCCCACACCTCTTGGCCGTGTTGTCAGTGCCAGTCCTACCACAGAGAATGGAGAGACAACTGGTCGCCGTCTCATTATCCCCGAAAGTCAATCCGCCCGAATATCTAGCGCGGACTCTGTTAGCGTCATCTCTGATGATGACCCCCATGATACCAATTGGACTGGCGCAGCCCACAGCAGCTGGCTTGGACGTCCGACTAGCAGTAACTACAGCACAAGCTTTTACAACAGCAGTAACAACAACCTCCCTGCCACGAACTCTCAGAACTACGCACGCTACTCCAACGGTCGCAAGTCCAGCGTCATAATCCCAGATGACATCGAGGAGCTACCACACCCTGGAACTATGAATTCCGATATGAGTTGGCTCAACCTCAACGCTGATCGTTAACCATTTGAACCATCTCCACCACTTTGGTCACACCATCTATCTCCTACCTCATCTCATCTGTAGACCCACACCCTCTCCCTGTGTGTAGCTTTCTATCTCCAACCCTCTACCATCCCTATCTCTCCTACTGTCGAATCCTGTCTGTTCCTTGCATGGCGTCTCCTGGTCGCGGTGTCCTGTAAAAGTCTCCTTGTCGGTCCCTTCGTTGCATCTCCCTTGCATTTACCTTCTCTGCCTTGTCTGTGTGCGAGCGATTCTTTAGCGATGCCTCACAGTTGCCTTTAGTCGCCTGTTTACTGTCTGTCTTGTCAGTTGTCCATATCGCTCGGTTAACTTCTGCTCTATTGAGCTCGAGTTGATCTCGTTTTGTACATATTCTGAATTATGAATGTATGAGTACCTGGTACTCTGTTCTCCCTCGATATGCCTTACTTCCTTGCATATACCCAAGTGTTTTACTTGGTAGTAGAAGTAGATCTTTTATACATTTGAGACATGATGAAATTTGCTTGCTGGGGTTGCTAGGAGAATTCTGGCTCCCAAGGCTAGCCCTTGGGAGATGTATTTCTCTCTCTAGTCATGATCAAGGTTTCAATTAGACGCTTCAGATCCAGAATCGTCTCTCTCATCTCTTTTATCTCCCCCTTCATGTCATCCATAAAAGATTTGACGTTCTGTTGCCAAGCTTTATCGTCATCTGCCTTACTCTCTGTAATATCACTATCCTCGAGCGCAATCGCGCTCGCGGCGAGCGGTGACAAAGAGTTGATGATATTTTCCTTCTCATTCTTCATCCGAAGTCCTTTAAAAAGCCGTTTCAGTATGCGAGTACGAGACACTGGAAGAGGCGAGGAAAGTAAATGGCTCAGGATCTGGGCAAAATATTCGGCGACCACTTGCCTAAGTGCAGAATGCTTCGAATAATCTGGGTATTTGCTCAAGAAAGATTCTTGGCGGCCAATAGAGGTTGCTAAATAATCAATCAGCTCCATGGTGTCCACATCGCCATCGACTGATATAGCAAGGAGCACCAGCCAGGAAAGCGCTCGTGGTATGAAGCTCCTGCAGTCAAGATCCTCTTCTCGCATCCGTTCAGAGCAGATCACCAATGCAGTATACTCTCTTACCTGGCCCTTGTACTCTGCTAGCCTTCGAAAAGCATGGTCACCAAAGGCACGTAGCATGAAGTCTTGGTACGATGAACTCGCGAGAGCAATAGATCGGGTATGAATGCAGATGGCCAGTAGCTGTAAATCTGAGTCCACAGACAGGGGTAGAAAACTCGATTTTATGCGTAGCAAATTACGTAGCCTCTCTGTAATTCTGATTCTCTGGATGGTGGCGTAGTTTGATTCCCAGGCAGTAGCCCATGCTTGACCTCTTCCATTTTCATCTTCCATCCTAGAACCGTGCGCATCAAAGAATGCAAGAAGATCGAGATCATTGAGGGCGAGAGCCATCTGCTGTGCTGTTCCAAAGGTCCCACCCCGCAAGTTCACATCGGCCCCGAAATTGGAGATCAAGCTAATTGAAACGGCTTTTTGTTTACCAGCAATCGATGCTTGTAATGGTGTACCATAGACGTTGTCCACGCTGTTGATATCTGTCCCTGAAATCATCAAAGAAAAGATGGTCATGTTTCCTAGATAGCAAGCGGTTTGAAGAGGGAAGCCATGCTTGCCTCCCCTAGAGGTGGCGGATGACCCTTGGTCAAGACAGAATTGAACAATATCGGGCATTTCTAAAATGACGGCATAATATGAAGGGTCGGGCTCTTTGGACAATTGGAATGACTCAACAGCATCGAAAACAGAGACCCATCTCCGAAACGTGTCAGAATTTCTCATATGAAACAGACTTTTGATTTTAGCAAGAATCTCGTCTTGGAAGTATTTGTCATTGCACAAGGCTGCGTGCTTTGGCCAGAATTTGCAAGCATAAGTGAGCAATGGGCTACCCTCTGATTCCTCTTTGGTCCAGTTTTTAGAATCCAGGATAATATCCAGGCATTCAGTGCAGATCCTGGAGCTTGCTAGTTGAAGAGACGTCTCACGTGCAATTCTTAGAACATTCTCATCTGTGTTTTCCACATCGTTGCTCTCTTGGTCTGTATGGAGAAACTGCTTGATCCGACGAGATAACTTAAGGCTAAGATAATCTCGAGCCGAGGAATGTGAGAGTGTGACAGTTCCTTCATCGGAAAGAAAGAGGAAATTGCGACAAATTTTTGATATTCGAACCTCAGATACTCCGTCTGTGCTCTCTGCAATATCATCCTGGACCATGAAATAATCATCATGCGTCAGTGGCTTGACTGCTCCAAGTACCCAAAAGGGCGCTCGCTCAGCTTTCAGCTCTGATGAAGATGGCACGGCCTGGTGTTTTGTGAGGGAGGCTTTTCTCGTAAAGGACCTCGTAAATCTGGATAAAGTCCCTTGTAGCCCATTGGAACTCTGCGCTCTTAATTGATTGCCAGTTGGTGTTGATTTCTTTGGCATTGATTTCACTATCTGGATCAAGAACAGCCTTTAGAGTCAGCTCTGCCCATTTGAAACTGGTATAACGTAAGACATTATTAGTGCTTCGTAAAGATTTATGGAAATATCATAGGGGCACACTAACGTTCCTTCTGCCTTCTCTGGGAGGGTTTCGATGATATCCGCGGCTAGGGTCTCGTCGATGAGGTTTGGGCGTTGAACCTGAAACCTACGAAGTTCCCCCTCAACGAACATTTTCATGTCTGGGAAGCTGTCCTTTCCACCAGCCACTGCAGATACACCTCAAGGGAAATAGCGATCAACAGGTACCACATATTGGCTTGAGAACAGAATCTTGAGGTTGTTTGCACGATGATCAATTGTTTGCGAACTGGAGAGAAGTGAAACGAAGGAAGGGAATTCATCCAATCCATCCAGGATGAGAATGGTCTCATCTCGACTGTTGATAACTTCAACCAGCAGCTCAGACGCTTGTTGAAAATCTAGTGGTGTTGGCGACCGCAGCGTTCCCTCTTCCACTGCTCTAGTGAAATAAAGGTCTTCCTCTTCGGCAATCCGGTCACCATTTGGGGATAAAGCAAGCTGCTCTATAAGAGCCCGCAGGAATTTGGTAAGATGCATGTTTTTCCCCGAAGCACTATCCGCAAAGCTGCCGCTGAAGTAGAAAAAGGCGAGGTTTTCAAACGTTTGTTTGACATGATATTGAACAATCGAAACCAGTGATGTTTTCCCTGTCCCAATGACCCCTTGAATCCAGAATTGTCCCTGAGAGCCTTGAATCCAATCTTGAAACTCTGGTGAGTCAAGAAGCCACTTTCCGGGTTCTCGATATTGTGCGCCAAGTTTCTCCCTTGTACTCGCATGCTGATATTCCACATCAACATCATGGACCAGCCATTTCTTGACTCGATCAATATGGTCATCTAATTGTATCTCGCGCAAAGAGTCCAGAATCCCATCAGGTTTCCCAAGAAGCGTTGAGAGGCCAAGAGAAACCGTAAATGGATGGCAGTCTTTATCGGCTTGTTCTACAGCGGATTGTGCCGAAGTCCAGGAATCAGCGGCAAAGGTCCCTCGCAGAGTTCTTTTGAAGGTTGACCTAGCAAAATAACAGGAGGCCTTCATGTAGAATAGAGTGACCTTGCGATAAAGTCTCACCAGAGCTTTCTCAAAAGAAGGATCATGGTTTATGCTCCCAGAAGTGTAATCGCGATCCGATGTCGTGTATCGCGCGGTAATGCGCGTCATGACCTCGATCCCATCAATAGCTATTTGTCTTTCTTTGGTATCATTTGTAATCAACTGGAGCCTATCAGTCATGCCTGTTTATCGGGAACTGGAGATGGCTAGCATACCGGTAGAAGAACACAGACTCCTGCCCATGCGAGTCCCGCATGCTGTGAGGTATCCAATGCCGCCACACTTCCCAGAAAGCCAGAGAACTTTTCCACGATTTGCACAATCGTGGACACTTGCTTTCGAACGTTGAAGATCTCTTTTCCTTTCCACTACAATTTCCACTCCTTACTCTGCATTTCTTCAAGTCGCACGGTCGCAAACTTTCTCATGTGTGCCTCATCACCCACATTGTGCTTGGCCATGATATCCTCGTCAAGTTTGCTAGAGAACCCGGGAAGGGCTTCGTCATAATTAGGAGACAAGTCAGAACCAGATTCTGGTTTGCTTCTGCTCTGTTTCGTTCTCGAGGTTATGTTCTTCGTTGGAGTTGTCATGCAAGAGAATTCCATCCGCCTCTACCAACTTCTAAATTTCTTCATCTTTGTCATTGTCGATCTCTCAGTACGCTCTTTCCCAGAAAGTGAGCTTCTCCGTGGTCTGGATACGAGCAGCCGTATAATCAGTAGAAACGAGCTGTTGAGAAGTCTCGACCTGAAAATGCAAGTTAGATCCGCTCGGAGCGATTTGCATTATTATCGTACAAGGTGATCTGCCAGCACTTTCTCGTTCTTCATGGTTGACTGTTCACCGGTATTGTGCCCAGATTTGGGGATGAGGCTGCTTGTGGCCTCACGCTGCTGGACTCCCGCTTTTTTGGACTTCTTATTGGGGTTTCGTCTGAAATTTAGAAAATGGTGGGCCTTTGTCGCAGCCTGTTCGTCCATCTTGAATTATACAGACTAACCGGTTTCAGATTCAGGTTTCTCAAAGAGAAGCATGTGCCTCCGAGTCGTCCTGAGGGGGAAACGCCTTAAACGTTAATGCTGACCCCGCTAGTACTAGGAGGTCGCCCACTAAGTCACCTGCTCCATGCATATACCCAAGCGCGCATAGGTATATGCCGAGGTGTGCTCACATTTTCTCGGCAAGCCATACTAGTATTCATAAAATACTCAAGTGCTCAGTCAGTGGTATATACTGGTATCCTTTTCAAGCCCTGGAAGCCTGACGCTCATCCGACTCGGAGTTCTTTGCTTTCTTTACACTCTTCCACCCTAACCCGCAACCGAAAACTACAGCAACAGCAGTAGTGCCAGCTACTACATAGAAAACCTCCTTAACACCAACCATATAGGCCATGATCACGCCAGTCACCTTGTCCTGTGGTATAATTGTTCGTATTCCTGATACACCAGCCGATGAAACTGTAGCAGCAGAAACACCGGGAGCATATTTCGGCAAAGCATGATCAAGTCCAATATCAAACGCCGTTTCGGCAAAAGAGAGCAATAGGGATCCGCCGAAGTTCTGACAGAATTTGAGGAAGGCCATGCTAACCGCGATTTGTGATACAGGCACGTTGGTTTGGACTGCTACAAGAGGCTGGTTTGAAATGTCAGTAGCGTCGCTCTTAAACTAAATGAATCAGACATACCATTTGAATAGATAAACCACGCCCCACGCCGGCAATGATTTGATATCCGATCCAGGTTCCAGTATTGGTATTTTTAGTGAATGTACTGATCAACCCGGATCCAACCGCTGCCAGGGCTGTACCGATAACTGACCATGGTAAGTAGTAGCCGAGTCGGGTAACTTATAAAATATTGATTTGAGTCATCTAGGTACCAGTATAAGAAATCAGACATACCGGTAAAGCCAGCCAAAATCCCACAAATCATCTGGCCGAGGATTCTCGGCAGCGTGTAAACTCCACTCAATGTTGGTGTCTTCCCTCGCACACCTTGAAAATAAATCGCAAGGTAGTAGGCTGTTACCACATTATTTGCATAGAGAAAGAATATATTCAGACCACAGCAATAAATTACTCTTTTCTTCACCATCTGGAATGGGATCATCGCAGAATACCCCTTTTTGTATTCCCAGATCAAGAAAACAGCGATATTGCCAGCAGATCCGCAGAATAGGCCGATGATAACTGCACTATTCCAAGGATATGTCGAGCCGCCCCATTGAAGAGCTAGGAGAAACATGATCATAGATGGGGAGAATAGGAGACAGCCCATGATGTCGAGCTCATGAAAAAGAGAAATGAGATTCATCCGCTTATGATCTTCCTTGTTGAGTTTGGGGACTGCTACCCAAAGTAAAGCAGCAACCGCGAATCCGCCTATGGGAAGATTCAGGTAGAAGCCTATGGCAAGTGTGAGAAACTGTTTGTATTCCAAGGTTTATTTTGGGGACTGTTTACACCATCTCCAAGTCGTATATTCTGTCAAGGCACCTCCAATCAATGTTCCGAAGACAACGCCCAACTGACCAACTAAACCGATTAGCATCAACATCATGAAAAAACCCAATCGAGAACTTACATGATCCTGTGATACTAATATACACTGTAATATATGCGGGTTAGTTAAGTTTATGCTGAATTTTAAGGTTCAAGGCAAGCTTACAAGCTCTCTTTTCAAGAGGAACCATGGCAGAAACTATGGTGAGTGCACCATTTCCCACCCCAGCACTGCCCATTCCAGCAACTGCTCTTCCGACTATCAGCATATTAAAGGAGGTAGCAACACCGCATATGAGCGACCCAAGTTCAAAAATACCAATAAAGGCTATGTAAGTGTACTGTGATACAGAATGTCAGTTTTCAGCTTTTGTTTATAGCGAAGAGAAGAACAATTGACCTTGATACTGAAATGAGCATATAACTTTCCCGTAGCAGGCTGAAGAGCAGAGCTTGCGAATTGTAAGTAGACCGGAAGTCAATAGTTAACTTGCGAGAATGAACTCACCTTGTCAACAAGTAAGCAGCTCCATACCATCCGACATCCGGAAGAGAATGAAACTGGTCTGTAATTTTCGGGGTTGCCTTGGTAGTGTAAGTACATCATTCAAGTTCTTGATATGGATCACATTTACCGTAGCAAGTATTGACCCGTCAAGTGTTATGAGAATAGCAGTTAGGGTTACTGCGGACACAAGCGTGGCTAACTTGATCCCAGTGGCATATTGTATATCTTCAATTTCATCAGCAGCGTTAGGCTGATTCAAGTTCTTTTCTGGATCTTGTGAGACAGCATTTTTTGTGGGAACTGTATTAATGCCGCGAGTAGTACTTGTGATCTCCGCGATTGTATTCTCCACCTCAGGGATTCTGTTCTCCACCTTCGCTTCCTCCATCGTGTCTTCGATGATCGGCAGTTTGCAGGTCGTGGATCCCGGGCTTCGGATGGCGGCCCCACGATCGCTTGTTTTTTTAAAGACAATAGATCAACGCAAACTGATCTCTTGGCATTTGACTTGTGAATTTAGGGGGTGAACAGGTGAATATGATAACAAAGAAATTAATTATTTATAGGGGGGGGTTATCATGTGATCTTGAGAATAGTTATGCCTGAACAGGCCCCCAAATGAACCAGGAAAAAAACATATATTATTTTGTTACCTGCTATCTGTCCCGAGTTCTAATACCCAGGCATTACTTACTGATAAGTCCAGCAAGTCTTTTTTGTAACAATTTTTTACTAATGCGATGGCTTCCAAACGGTGGGCACCCACGTGGGGCCATAGGCCCATGTGTGAGCTGTAGTCTGTAGCTATCCCTTTCTTTCCTTCTCTCTCCTGTAACTCCTTCACCCCCCAAATCGTTTGTCCTCATTCTCGAGTTCTGCCCTCATCAGAATGATGTTTGAGGCAGATCAAAGTGAGAATACCCCTCTCCTGGAGACACCTGGACCTCAACAGGGAAGAGTCGGAAGACTGTGCAATGTTCTTCCCCAGTGGACATGGATTCAGTGGAGGGTAACGCTGCTCGCAGCCTTCCTCATGTTCTCCGTCAATTTTGGGCATTTTATGGGGACAGCTCCGCAGCTAGCAATATTCGAGAACGTCATTTGTGAAAACTACAAGCGATCTCTCGGTCGGGAAGCTCCGTATACGACCGTAGAATTCGACAACAATATATGCAAATCAGAGCCCGTGCAGAGTGAACTTGCCTTCCTCCTTGGATGGAAGAACACTCTTGATGTGTTACCAGGTATGAGTTGTTACGTCATCTTTTCAAACAATCACTCACATAAACAGCTCTTATTCTGGCTTTGCCTTATGGTGTTTTGGCCGATAAAGTTGGAAGAAGACCTTTTGTTATTCTTTCTACAGCGGCGACAGCAATCAGTGAATGCTGGCCAAGAGTGATATGTACAGCTCCCCTGGCTTGTGTTTAATTCTGGTATACTGATTATAATAGGCTGGTTCAACTGGCCTCTCCGCCTGGTGTGGTTGACAGGGATGTTTCGAGCGCCCAGAGGCGGTGATCAGTTCGCTACATTCATTCTTATGACTATCATAGCGGACGTACTCAATGAGGAACAGAGGTATTCTGCAACTATTCCAATAAGAAAGATTACATTTATTAATTAGAATTAGAACCGTAGCTTTGTTTCGGTTGGCCTCATTACCTATCATCACTGAAGTGGTGGTAACTCCCATCAGTGCAACTGTTATGAAAATCAGACCCTGGATCCCATTCTTGCTAGGTCCTATAGTTGTCCTTATCGGCGCTGCATTCAGCATCTTGGTTCCGGAAACTATTGACAAATCAAAGACAATACCAACGCCGGAGGAATCTAGTCAAAGGGAAGTTATCGGATCTCTTGCGCCATCAAAACAGAATGCACTTGGCCTTATCACAAGCAAAGCAGAGAAATTCGTCACCGAAACTAAATTTTTGTGGCAAACTCCCAAACGGGTGATCTCCCTTGGTGTTGTTTTTGCCGGAATTCTAGATAAAAGTTCCCTATTTCTGCTCATCCAGTATGCATCTAACAAGTTGCCCTGGACTATTGCCAGGGTAAGCTCTGCATAATAATATAGTGCTCAACAAAACTGACTGTCAGCACAGGCAAGTTATCTTATCTCAATTCGAGGCTGTATGACTCTGGCAACCTTCCTCGGATTCGTCCCGCTGTTGTCTTCCTACCTTACCCGACAATTGCATTACACCACTTTGAAAAAAGACCTCGCTGTCGCAAAGATCGCCGTGGTGGCTGGCTCAATAGGTTACTTTTTGATCTTTCTAGCCTCTGATGCGGCTCTGCTCACTATCGGGTGCCTATCTGTCTCAGTATCTATGCCATTTGTGGTCACCGTTATTAGCATTGCAACTTATTTTACCCCGGCCGAACGTGTCGCCACTTTGTACACAGCCATGTCCGTATCTCAATCCATCGGCATCATCATTGCCGGACCAATATTCGCCAAATTGTATAGTGCAGGTATGCATATTGGGCTTGAGTGGTCAGGTCTCCCTTTCCTTGCTGCTGCATCTCTTTTCCCTGTGATTATGATCCCGCTTCTTTTTCTTGGGCCGGGGTCTTGAATTGGGGGAAAGCGAGTGGGCTCAAGTCCTTATAGAATGAGCTCCATTTGAACTGGAAAGTTAATCATGGCATGGAATCAAAACTAATTGATGAGAAGGATTCATCACTGTCAAAAAGTTTGTATATAAAGGACATGGAGAGAGTGTCAGATGTGTTTCAATTAAATTGAAAACTTTGAGAAACTTGAAGTATCATACATATAAATGGTGTCCATCACTAGGTATAATTCAGTGACAGGGTCATACAGCTGGCTATGGAGTACTCTGAAGATAGATCTAAACAACCGCCAACTCTTCCGCCTCCCAATCATATCCTAACTCGATCTTATCTCCCACCTCCAACTCTCGCCCCAGTCTGCCCTCCAGAGTCTGCACCACAGCAGACAAATCCACCAGCATATTGTATTTCTCATCCACCGGGTCCTCCATCAGTACAGCAAATGGCTGATCCCGCATCTTCGCGCTCTCATAGAACGTGAGATCCGGCCTTGAGGTTGGCTGGAACTCTACCACCAGTGTATCCGGTGCGGTCCAAAGATGATGATGCAGGGCACTCCCATGGGGACCGACCACCGCTTTGACGTTCTGCTGCAAGTAGCGGATCAAGGTCTTCATATCAGGAAAATCATTGTGATTGAAGATCTCGAGTTTCTCATTATTTCCTCTGAAGTCAAGCACAGACCTGATTCCTGCTAGTAAGACATCCTCGTTGATCACCTCTCGGCCCTTGTCACGGGTTAAGCCGTTTGATCGCGTCATATATAGAATCAGATTTCGATCAGACACAGGAACGGGCTTGAGACTGTCAGGCGCTAGTAGCGAAAGTGACGTTTTTGTCAACCGTGGGTGGATTAACGGTGCGCGGCAACCCCAAATAAGTTTTGATGCCACGAAACTCGTGTCACGATGTAGAACATGGTCGGGTGGGTAGCCTAGAGATGACCATAAATCCCGAACGGGCTTGTCACCCTTGCGCCCAGTGTCCCGGTCGGTAGTCACGCGATTGAGCTACAACGCGCATGGCACGGTCCAGGAAGTGCTGCAAGGACCATGAGTCTGGGACATTGGCTAGAAGAACGCTGTCATGTGTAGGTGTGTGACTGCTGGGCAAGGCGTAGGAGGTCGGCGCGAAGCTCGACATGCATGAGTCCATGGTCCATGTGTCAAATGGAGCTGCGGTGGATAATGTCACGTTTTCGAACACCTGGAGGTCAGTCTAGCTCGGTAATTGGTCTGGGTACTTACATAGATCTGACCGTGCTTTTCAGGGTAGCGTAGCCGCGTGTCTAGCTTGTAGGCACGATCCCACAGTAGCCACGTCGTGTTCCACCATTTTTCGGCATCTTGGGGACGAGATGACGCAAATATTGGAGGGGTTATGCTGAGTCCCGGGTAGAGAAGCTCTTCTCCAGCTAACGCATGAGGGAGTGTCTGTGCAAGACATGGTGCATAGTAACTCGGGGTTGCATCGGTGCACTCGGTAAGACGAAGGGGATGAATTGGGTCTTTGCCAGCCCCAGCTAAAGGTTGAATATCGTGCGAGAACTCTATGTGAATGAGTTGACGAGAGTGATGGAAGTTTTTCGCTTCCAGGAAGAGCACAAGGAGGGAGGCAGATAGCGCCATGAACAAGAAGGGGCGGCGCATCATCCTTTGGGAGAATTCTATGATCTGTGATATGTTTGCGGTTCGATATACAACATAGCAGAGGGGCCTTCAGTGATCGCAAATAGTATCATAAAGTCAAACTTGCTATCACACTCAGATCACTCAGTTCACCACAAGTTGGGGGCGCCAGCACCTATTACTCCGGACTCCGTACACAAGGCTCTGCTAATTGGTGATTGAATTCAGGCACGACCGGCCAAGACATGATCTGCAGAATCAGAGCGTCAATAATGAGGCACAGCTGCAGATCATGTCAAACACGAGGATCTGCATTGCCCGAGACGGCTTGCATGTTACCCGAGCTGACACCCCGGGGCCGTGGACCCTGCCCAGCCCTGCCCAGCCCTGCCCAGGAGTGGGTCAACTCCAGGGCTTCAACCCTGGAACATTGGAAGCTCTGAGCGCCCTATTCTAATCTATACCAGTACATCAATCTGTTTCAACATTGAAGTTCGAAATTTACTAGTATATATTCATTGTTTCGGCTACACATATCCGCGACTTCTTTTTAGATAGCCACGCCCATTCTTGGTATTTGGTATTGGTATATCAAAAGCAACCCCTGAAAGTCATTCATTCTAAAATAATATCAAAATAAAAACGGTTCACTACCAGGTAGGCCGTAGATTCATGCAAGAGATATAGAAAATACTCTGAAGCTGCACTAGTGCCCGCAAAGAACCTTCTCCACCTGATACGACCACGCAACTGACCTCCGATCAATATAGCCAGCCATATAGTTCGATGCCAAGACTAGTAACAGCCCCACGATAAATCCTGCAGCCACCCAGGCCAGGAACAAGACATGCCAGGCGGACTCATCCTGCCGGGTCTGCCAAAAGTCCGTTCCCCACAGACTGTGGCAAACCCCCTCCAGGATACGATTCCGCAGGATCATGATGAATAACGGGTGCAGCAGGTAGATCGAGAAGGATATTACTCCTCGGAACTGTGCAAATTTAGGCTCAAGAGAGGCGCGCACTAAGGGAAGATGTCTGAGGGCTCCAACAACGAGTATAGCTCCGATGGCGTGCCAAGCTCGGATGCGGATTTGAGGATCTACATAGAAAAGCAGTGCAAGCTGTGACTGAAACCAGAACTCGGGAGGGAAATTCGGGTCTTGTGGGAGGCAAAGGAGGAAGATGCCAATATTGAAGAGCAGCCCCGGAAGCAAGTTCAGACAGGTTGCGCGAAGTCTGGTGTGATACCGTTTGCCCACTCCAGTGGATGGATACAAACTATTCTCCTTTGCAACGTCAAGCTCGGCGAACATAAGACCTGCCAGGAATGCCGAGATGATGGGTGATCCGAACCAAATGAACACGGCCCCCAGGGAGGCAATAGCCATCAGCCGTACCCAAGCCTTGGCTGATGCGAGGCCAAAGATCACCAAGTAGATAGACAGTGAGCATCGAAACTCATAGGAAATTGTCCACAGCTGGAAGTTGTACCCAGTCACTTGCAAGAATCTAGTAAGATCCAGCGTGGACAGGAATGTCATGGTCAAACAGCTGAGATGGGATCCAAGTGCTGACCACGGTTCCGCTCCAGGGCGTCCTTCTGTCGGGTTACCAGTGTTCCAGTCAATGAGTCCGGCGAAGAGAGCCACGTGAGACAGCAAGCAAGTGGCAAGTACAGGAATGTAGAGTCGAAACCCGCGCCGGAGAACAGAAGACGTCAGTTTCCAATAGAAGTGCATGGGGGCAGCCTCGCGGAGTCGGATAATGGAGATCGACACCGCGTATCCGGAGATCACGAAAAACAGAAGGACCATCGACTGGCCTGCAAAAAAGATACGGAATGGAGGCAGCTGAAACCAATATCGATTTGCCTCCGCGGGGTCGGCCCAGAATGATCGATAAGGGGGCCCATTTCGCCCACCGTGAAGTGAAATCAGGCCACGATGGCAGCCGCAATGCCACGGAGGCCATTTAGTCAGTGCTCTCGCTTGGTGACCGCTGCAGTTAATGCCATAGGTAGGGTATCGGAGGTTTTAGGAGGGAGTGGAAACGTCAAGCAAAAAAAAACAGAATTCCGCGGCCAAGCCAACGGGTTTATGCCCATTGACGGGCAGTGTAATGTACTTTTTACATATGTGCCTTGAAGGATCTGGATATCAAACACTGAACTGCAGGTCAAGACTGATTTGTTTTGATCCGCCACCCGAAGGTCGAATATCATACGTCAACAGTGCATTGGAGAACCTCCTGCCAAGACGGTAAGGTCTTATGTGACAGCAGCCTTCCTGTAGGGGCCGGAGCATTTGATCTACATCCAGCGTAAAGATACTCTGAGAAGACTCGGCAGCTTTGATTGGCATAGGGCATTGGAATAGGGCATTGCTCGTGCTGGTTGCAACTTTCGTATAAGTTTGTTTCAGGCTGCTTGACCAGATATCATATAAAGCAGACACCTGCACTCAGTTAGTCCTTTTTTTGAGCTAAGCGTTTCATTTTACCTTTATGTCATTGAACACCATGTACTATACTCCCAAGCCCCCGAGGCCGCATATTGGCGTTCGCTCTGGTCATCGCTCTGGTCAGGGATTGGTGTCCCTGGCTGAGTAGGCTTTAGATTTTCTTGGCTGCATTGCTGCAGCCGCCATATACGGCTATGGCTTAAACTACCTCGAGCAGCCATTAACCTTCGACATGATACTCAGTATCGTGCTGGCGGAGTATTGTCGGTGGGGAAATAACCAAAGACGCAGGCGTGCGGTGCTGCAGGAAGAGAACGGTCAGCTTGGTCTGGCTGAGAAAGGCAAATCCAGCGAGCAGAGACTAGACTGCGTGGCAGCTGTGGTTGGGTACCGAGAAGAGCCTGCCCTTTGGCGAACAGCACTGAACAGCTATTCTCAAGCACAAAACTGCCGGTTTCTCCTCATATGTATAGACGGAGATGCAGAGGAGGATCGAGAAATGGTGGAAGTGTTTCAAAATGTAAGTACACCGTGCCCGGGCCTTTCAATTGTACTCACACCTCAGTAGTTGTACCCAGAGAAGTCAGCTCTGATACATTTGGATCTGCCCTTGGCAGAGATTGCTATGCAAATGGACCGAGCAAGATCCAGCCAGACCCCAGATACAGACATAATCGCTCAGTGTTGCTCCATTGCGAAAGCGAATCTGGAGAAGAACAATATCAAACTGGTCGGTGACCAGGCAATCACCAGGTTGTGTGTTAGCCAGCCACACATGCACAAGAAGGGTGTTATGTTCACCTCGTTCATCATTTCACTGGTTATTTCAGACATGTTAGATATTGAGTTCCTGTGAACATCGGACTCGGATTCTATCATGATGCCTGATACTTTAACACGCACGATGGCGACCTGTGCTGCAAATCCAGGTATTGGAGGTGCCAGCACAGCACTCACCATTCACAATAGAGAAGACACAGTGATTACCCAGCTTGGAAACGCTGTCTACCTCAATGAACTGTATCTGGCGCGGTCCTTCACCGGTGCGGCTGCCGCAAATGATTGTCAAAGTGGACCATCTGCTGCCTTTCGGTTTAGCGCTGTCAGCGGAGAGTTGCTCGCCTGGTACAAGCAAAATGTTTTCGGTCATTGGATGGTTAGTATATTGTACCTTCAAGTTGCCTTCTATATGCTAAGCCTTTCAGGTTGTAAACGAGGATCGGCACTTGACGACACGCCTTCTCTTGAAAGGATGGAAGGTAGTCTTTGTATCCGACGTGATGACTGCTACCGAGTCACCCACAACATTCCGAAGATGGTTGCTGCAGCAGGTATGTGCACACTCAGAAATGGTCAAATATCATATTGACTCTGCAGGTTTGCTGGGCTCGAGTGGTCCACGTCGAAAGCTTTCACTGACCAGGTGTTTACCTGATGCAATCCCCCATCCTCTTCTTTGCTGCTCTCCGAAGACAGTTTGCAGCCTTTGTCATGCCAGTTATACCTTATTTCTGGCATGCTCCCGTTTCGGTCCTTTTCTCTTCATGATTACTCTTATCGGCTGGGCTTGACGATCACTTACCTCGCACTTCGTAATCATTATCGACCAACAGCTAAGGAGTGGATGTGGAGTCTTCCTGCCAATTTGTTTTATCATTTTCCATTGCCTGTCATCCAAGTATGGAACTTTCTGACCGTGCTCCATAAGGGCCCTACTGCGAGATCGAGAACAGAGGTTGCAAAGCAATCGAAGTTGTGGCTGAAGATTTGGGAAGTGGGATTTTTCATCTTCTGGATGGGGATCCTAGGAGGTGCTGCTGGTCGGTATGTGGCTACCACATTCATGCCAGGATCGGTGGATGTCATAACTTTCATCCTCCTTGGAGTAGTGCCTGTGTGGATTGTGTGTGGATGGTGGATGGTTGTTGCAAAGTGAGAGTGCGAGATTTTTCTAATCACTGCAAGAGAGGAGATGATTAGTGTCCCTCCTGTGACCTAATCTTGACGATTCTTACGAAGTGTCTATAATATAAGTGGCTTTTTCCATCCTCGAGGATAAGAATATCGCCCCAGGGGTTGATCGCTGATAAGCATCATGCTTCATAACTGCCATTCAACTCCAAGAAACACAAAAGAGGTGTCATAGTATGTCCAGTTCCAGCAATATATGGTATGATGTTACATGTCAATTTCATCATCATCATCAAGTAAGGCACCCAGACTCCATCCATTGTTTAGTGCAAGCAGGGCACTAAATATCAAATATCAAGATCACCAAAAAGCCGAAAATTCTGACTCCCATCAAAGCATAGAAAAAGGAATAAAAGATCAAGAGTAGACACTCAATAAAACTTCCCCAACCATGATCCACGCTTCGAAAGTCTCCTAAACTCATTAACAGCCGGACTCACAGGCTTAATTCCGTCCTCAAGGTCTTCATCAATAGTAACAACTCTGGCATACCCTGAGGATTCAGTTCCATCCGCCTTCGCACGAATATAGTAATGCTCATCAGTCTCTTCCATCCCAATGAACCATCTCTCATTCATCTCATTCCCCTCAGGACCACATCCACAAGCGCCTCTAAGTCTTGAACTCTGCGGACTATTAACCGCGAGCGCAAAAAGGTTCTGTGGCTCCGTAAAGTCCGTAACCTGGTGTCCGCGTGCCTCAATGATCATGAAAACCAAGCAACCAGCACTAGTCATGAACGCAAATACAAGGACCACGAAGAAAACGTTTTGCCATCCCTCCGTTCCACCGGATTGATATGCAGCCACCTGTAGCTTCGCCGTAAAGTGCTGGTATACCGGCTCAGGCAGAATATTTTCTGCGACCGTGTAGTTCCATCCTTGAACGAAGGGAGTGTGCTGCGTGCCCAGAATAGCTGTGCAACCCGACATAACCGCTAATGCTTCACTGATAGATGGTAGATCTGGATTCAGTGTGTATGTATTTGTTGAGCTATCGTACGATGGCATCATTTGCATGATTAATCGCTCGTTAGATGCGTCTGAATCCGTAATTCCCGATCCAAGATTGAGCGCGGTCGCCCAGTCGTTTGCGACATTCTTCCAATCGGAAGACCAGTCCCCTTCAACGAAGTTTGAAACTTGCTTGTCATACTGCAGTTTGTTGGAACTATCTTCACAATTTGTGTAAAGTGATGCACCGCTGGATTCTGCGTCGTAGGATGTGGAGCATACACCTGTTAATTTTGCGCGGATCGCGCACATGACATACTCTGGATTTGAGGCTTCGGGCTTTCCGAGAAGGTAGACCGCGTTTGCGGTCAAATAACCGGTTACGTTGATTATTGTGTTGTATTCTTCCGGGTACGTGCCAAAGACTGGTGGCCGTTGACCGTATTTGGGACCAAAGCCGAAAAGTGAGTCCACAACCGTGCTGTTTAGCCAGTCTGGGAACAGCGGGATGCCGGGTCCTGCACTATTACTCCATGTTGTCGAGTTGAAGTTGGCACTACCATCTGGCCAGGTGGTGTATACCATTGGTGCTAGCTCGGATTTGTTCATGCCGGCACACAGTACGTTTATGGCCGGCGAGGGGACGGAGGCTTCGATGCTGTATTTGCCTTCACCGGATGTTGGCTGGGGTTGACATATGCCGTTCTTTTCATCCATTGCCGCGGCGGGAATACCGGTGTGAGGGAAAGCCATCGTGATATTGTTTACCATACGACCCCACACTTTGGATAGTTCGGTGATGTTCTGCAACTCGATCCATGTTCCTGTGATGGTTGTATTATCCCACATTGAGCCCGTCGGCTTTGGTCGGTTGGCCAGCTTGTTTGAGGTGTCGTTCCCACTGGTAAGTAGCGTAGTCCATGATTGGATCCATTGTTGGTAGTTGTGATAAGCTGCGCCAGCATGCTCGATCGAAAGGCATGTATTATTTCTATTGGATGGGTCCATTGCTCCTGGAATGGGTGATTGGCATGTGTCTTTAAGATAGTATTCATTCGCAAAGCTCGCTTGGACTTGTCCCCAGAGGATGGTTGACTTATTTTGACCTGGATTGAGCTTTGGTGATACTGTAAAAGAGATAATATCGGGAATTAGTATTTACAATCTGCAGGTGATGATGATGACAGGTGCGCTGAGACTTACCTAGCGCCTCAGCAGCTGTAGTGTAGAGCATTGCGACGATGGTTGAGGTCAACGCGATGAGACCCAGGAAGGTCATTGCAGAGTATCGCACAGCTTCCCACCGCACAAACATCGATCCCGGCTGCATGATCCACGAGCGCATACTCATATCTGAAATGGTAATGCCGCGAGAATCCTTGGTTAATGCTCGCCGGCTGAGCACTTGACCAATGAACGCGACACATATCGTAACATATGCCAATTCAATCGTTTTGGCAAAGAATGCACAGAGGAGATTGGCCGTAGACGCACTCATTGACAGCCCAGTACCAACAGTCGTCCATCTTGGCTTCACAAACGCGACGATTAGATAAATCCCTGACCATATTGTAGCATACAATGCAAGTATGAACATGGAAATAGGAACCCATCCGAATCGTCGTTGTAGAACTGTCGAGCGACTGGGACAGTTGGGTAGGTGTTTCGACGCAGAGAACCCGGGTGTACCTAGTGGGGTTTTCAGGAAACCCGGTGTATTCGGTTGACTGGATTCACTGGATAAGTAAGAGTCTCGTTTTCCACGGGGAGGAAACGTATGGCCAGAATCGTTGGAGATTCCCAGTCCAACATCTCGAAGAACTTCATCGGTGAAGCTTAAGCTTTCGCTTTCGCGGGAGTTGTAGTGATCTAGAGCATAGGCATAATCGGGCTCAATCGCGGATCCTCTTCGGCCGAGTGGATTCCACGATCGGTTTGGGTGTACTGTGACCAGGTCCTCCTCTTCGGGGAGAAGTGAGAGCTGGGATTCGCGGGACTCAGTCATCGTGGACACACGACAAGGGAGAAACTGATGAAGCTCAAAGAGAAAATGAAGCTTTTGAAGGCATGTTTCCTTCCATGACTCGGATCTCCCCGTTTTAAAAATAACTGAACAGACCAAATATTGAGCTGAAGCCCGGGCGCTGGATTAGAAGCTTGGCGCTCGTAAATGTCGATCCCTATGTGGCTATCAACGCCGGAGTCCGCACTGGGATGTAGCAAACATCTCGATCCTGGTCAAGCTGGGCTTCATGGTACAGGAGCATTGTTTCCCTACCAATATGGAATTTCAGGTGAACCAGATGATATTGATGCTAGCTTTATCTGAATCCAGAAGGATCATTCTGAGAGAGAAAATCGGGGTTGAGGGTCAGTTCTTTCATGATCAAAACACTCTGACCCGGGGGGGCCATGCATGGGGCCAAAAAGAGGGTAAAGTGGAGACTAAAGAACGGGGTTCCCGGGCCTAATTTATGTAGAAACCTTGGAAGAATAAGCCGCATTGAAAGTTATACCAGGAATAGTGAAGTTTGAACAAGTCACTTGAGGCAAATCAGAACAAGTTAAAATAAGCATGGTGAGCCCAGTATATCTGCCTTACCCTTGAGGTGTTGAATTCCCTAATTTGGATATCATCAAAGGTCCACGGGTGTTAAATGAACACCCCCTGTTCATTGTAGATGTGACGCACGTGCCCCAGGGCCCATGTCCCATTAGGCTAAAATAAGGGGGCGTGAGCAAATTGAAAGCGAGAATATAGGATGCACATGTGATGAGAGACAGGTGAAATGGCGACTTTGCTGGTCCCCCAAATACTAGTAAGAGTATTCAGATGTCAACTTAGAGTATGTCTATTGATGTATCTGTTCTCAAGGGGACTTACAATTGAGTTCTATTTAAGATCAATATCAGGCGTCCAGCTAACAGCGCTCGACCCATTATGGTATCATACCTCAAGTGCTGGGTCAGGTGATATAATTCTGCTACTGGTATGTTGATCTGTATCCATATCCCTGAATGTTACCTATATCCTGTAAGCTCCGTTTTTACCTCCGAGACGAACCTGACTGGAACAGTGTTTCTTTTCTCCAGGCCTATATTGAAACAAGAGCATTACCTTGGAATGACTGGTCATTCGGGAACTTGGTCTCAGCGATCCCACTGGTACTACTTTGTCCGATAATATCCTCCGGCAAGTCCTGACCACACAGTGGTTATTCACGAGCACTGCCACTTCTTTTACGTGTCTGCAAGAAAAACCAAAAAAAACGCTTGCCTCTATCGGAAACAGCAGCATTATCATCATACACAGATATCGAATTCATATGCTGATTAACTTTCGGCATCGTCACGGTACGAACCACATTTGGATGCTTGATTTTGATCACTGCAACATATGGGATGAATCCGTTACCGAGCCCCGATGCAATGATATCACTAAATGGAGATGTGATATCCTTTTTTGAAAACGATCCATATTATTCCCTTTCGTTGATGGAAAGTCACTTGAATCAACGGGAAGCTTTTGCCAGCCAATATCTCAAACGGAAAGTTCTTGCATGGAAGAGATAGCAGAGATTGATCAGTGCCGATTGCCTCAAATTTCATCGATCCATGTCACTGTGAGGGCAACCTTGGAAACCCGTTACCAAATCGGCCTTTTTCAAGGGCACAGCCAAGTCCGTGCAAGCAAAGGTGGCTTCTTCGAGAACCCGAGGATTCTGAAGGAAACATGGTAATAGAGGAGTGATTCCACTATCTTGATCTTTTCAAAACCCTCGCTTTCAGTATGTGTCGAGAAGGAGAAATTGAGGAGGACATGAAAATGGCTGTTGTCATGCCTCGGTGGTCACTGCGACGACAAGCAATGGTACCTATTGGTACGTCATGTTATTTTCTTTACTCCGTAGCTCAGTTATCCCCAAATTAATAGGGTCTGAATCCCATGATAGTATTTCTTCCACAATGTGACATTCATGGATACCATCTGCAAATTTTAAAAGCTGAGGTAAACAAGCCCAGTCTTCGAATCTATAATCGACCGACAGATACTACATACATGTTTAATCGGTGATAATTTTATGCCACTGGCGGTGTAAGGTATCTTTTGAACAACCTTGAAATGCTGCCCAGCGAAGCGCTGAGTACTACTAGTGCGTAGGTAGCTTTCCAAACTTCACTACTTAGCGCGGCGCTACGAGCTGTTCACGAGTCCTTGAAATCTTGTATTCAACTTAATCTTGCTAAGGATTACACAGTCATCCTCATGCCTCCATTAGCAGAAACCACACTTCCAGTGGTCCACTGTCCATCAGGAGTGCACAACATACACACCGTACCAGCAACTTCGCTAGTAAAACCCGGTCTCCGACCACCCATCTTTTCCTGAATAAGACGAGCCTGCTCCTCTGAAATTCTCCCCATAGTATCCGGGTCACTGACATCCAATTTGCTTCCAGGGGTGTTATCCTGGAAACCTTGAATATCCTTCCAGAAGGCCTCGCCAGCCAAGAAATACATATCACCAATAACAGGACCAGGGTTCACCGCATTAACCGTCGCACGATCAGCTAACTCACGCGCCCATGTCCGTGTCATAGCTTCCAGCGCAGCTTTGGTTCCACCGTAGATTGACTGACCCACGAATCCCATTGCGGAAGATACACTGGAAATATTGACAATGCGACCGCTGCGGTCGTTGGGTAGGAACGGCGCAACCGCTTGGGTGAGTAGCAATGGAGCGAGGACATTAATTGTGTAGTGCCAGTTGAATAAGTCCGCGTCAATGGGTCCCTTGGCCGCATCGTTCAGGTCTCGGTCAGCGGAAACGCCGGCATTATTGACGAGGATGTCGATCTGCAGCTTCCCGGAGGGGCTGAACTTCTCTTGCGCAGCGCTGAGGATGGCTTTCACCGCTTCATCGGGCTTGTTAAGATCGGCTTGGACGCTTTCGCATTGGATGTTGTGGGCGGTGGCTAGAGAGGTACACAGCTCATTTGTGGGAGCGCGAGAGGACTCGGATGTGAAATTGAGAAGGAGGGAGGCGCCCTTCGAGGCGAGATTGCGGGCAATGGCTTCACCGATTCCTGGGGTGGTTGATGATTAGAGTGGATCTTATCGTTAAATGGGGGGATGCTTACCCCGCGATCCGCCAGTGATGATGGCGAACTTTCCCTCGAGAATGCGATCTGATTTAGTCATTATGAGTGAAGTAGTGAGTTGAATGGACGAAGAGAATCTAAAATTGAAAATCTATGATTTAGAGAAGACGAAGTTGCCAGATGGTCCCTTCTTTGTACTACAACGCAATTTAACCGACAATAGTATTCAGTCCCCGCAGATTCCACTTTGATTCCACTCCCGCGGGGAGAAATTGCCCTTTTAGACTCAAAAAAGGGTAAAAAAGGAGAACATCCGCGGGTAATTAACATTCCCCCTTCTCCATCTCATTTGCACCAATCACCAACCTCACTCTAACCGTACCTTCAATCGCTTAAATTGTTCTGCGTTCTCCTTGATGGCAATTTCAACGGGTAATCGCTCCATACTACTTGCACCAAAGAATCCATGCACCCCCACAGTCCTCGAAAGAACAAACTTCGCGTCCGTTGGGCGTGCAATCGGTCCTCCGTGACATAGAACCAGGATCTCGGGGTTCACCGCAACAGCAGCATCACGAATATCTTGTACAAATTTCACACAGTCCTCAAGCGACCGACCACTTAGTGCTCCAATTGAGCCGGAGGTTGTGAGTCCCGCATGCGCAACGACGACATCTGCGCCTGCCTGAGCCATCTTGACTGCATCCTCGGTGCTAAATACGTAAGGGGTTGTCACGAGACCGAGTTTATGTGCAGTGGCTATCATTTCCACTTCTTGATCATAGCCCATCCCTGTTTCTTCTAGGTTCTGTCGGAACTGCCCATCGATAAGTCCGACTGTGGGAAAATTCTGAACGCCCACAAGGCCGAGTCCTTTTAGCTCCGTGAGAAAGGTGGGCATTTCACGGAATGGATCTGTGCCGCAGACACCGGCTAGAACGGGGGCATTCTGTATAACGGGGAGAACTTCTTGGGCCTGTTCAGTTGTCGTTAGCTTGTTCCGATGCTCGGAGAATATGTTCCTGTCCGCCGGCGGCGTTCAGAACTTGAAGTGGATGTGATGACATGAGTGAATTATGACCATAAGGCGCAATAGACTCACCATCTCCACAACCACTTGATTAGCGTCGGAGTAGGGCATCAAGCCAGCAAGAGAACCACGTCCGGCCATCCGGAATCGACCAGAGTTGTAGATAAGGATGAGATCGGCGCCACCAGCCTCAACTGCTTTGGCCGAGAGGCCGATTCCTATATGAGGTTAAGATTATGAAGACATGTGTAGGATTGTGACATGGTTAGCTTACCAGCACCAGCTCCAACAATAATCGAGCCATCATCGACTGTCTTGCGAAGGCGGGCGATGACTTCGTCCCGGTTGGTTGGACGAGGCATACTTAGTAAGATTTAATCATTTAATCAAGATAGATGGATGTAGAGATATCAGTCTATTATAATCAATCTATCTCGTCGATTTTGACGATCTCTTTATGTCTGAAAGAAGAAAAAAACTGGCACTGAGTATTGAACATGTGGAATGATGGATCTGGTGCTTTTGAGCTGTCACTTCCTACCCCTCACTGCCCCACGAATTACCTCATGCTGCATCTCAGTCCCTCAAGTTGCATGATGACTCGATAACAATGTGAATGAAATCTCTTTGCAATATCGAAATACCTGGTATACTATGGAATAATTCAATTCCACATGCGGACTCGGAGTGAATTTGAATATCGCTAATCGCAAGGTTCAAATTTACTAACCGTGCATGCAGTCCCGTTCGAAATAAATATAAAATAGAATGCTTCAAATTGAAGTTCAAGCCTGAGTTACTATGGTCATAGTACTATATGTTCACTGATATCGATACCATACTAATAATCCCATGTAAAAAGGTCCCTGGGTACTTGAGATGGAAAGAGATTGAAATAGTGACCAAAAATGTTGGTTATTTTGTTGAGAGTTGCCGGATCTTCATCGGACGAAAGTAAAACATGGTTGAATATATACGTAGTGAAGATAAGAGGAAACATAATTGAGGAAGACATTGATTGACGCCCCAAGTGTCAGATTAAGGATCAAAAGGGCTGAAGACTGAAACAGTGTGTACTATGAATTTGATCATCATAACCAGTTAGTTTACATGAGTACTATGCAGAAAAAGAGCCATGGATGGAAATATAGAAGAGCCCTATGGGTATGCTTATTTTATCGATTAGTTTAGAAACAGTGCCTGTGATTAAATCAAGTTCTTGAGTCTATTGATCTTCTATCTGTGACTCGAAACATTCAATGCGTTGATATGGATCTAGTCCAAGGGACTTGATACTTTCTGGAGACGAGCCTCGGGATATCTGTAGGCTCTGCAGACATCGAGCGCGCTTTGCGCACCGTATCAATTGATATTAACATTTGAATAAACTCATGAATGAAAACTGATACTAATTCTTGGTTTGAATTCATACATATGCCAGATCAAGCATTGAAAGTAGCATATGAAGAAGTTATATACAAACCCCTCAATTTCAGCCTGTCTTGGTCATGTCAGCTTGTCACAAGATATCTCCCAGGCTGTGACACCATCCAGCCAGAACGGGAATTATGCTCGCACTTAGGGCTTCGACGGTGTAACGGCAAGATATTGATTGTGAAATGTATTTTTCTGACCCTCGAAAGGATGCTTGGACCAGTATTGGCGAGTTGAGATAAAACGACTGCACTTCAGAGTGAGTGAAGCTTGTCGGATTCTGTATCCGAACAGTAACAGTCTCCTCACCTTTATCCAAGCCGTGGGGTTTCCAGACCCAGACGTCTGGATGTCCTCTGCCATGCAACACTGACAGTGGCAGATGAAATGTGTGTCGTCAGCACTTACTCACGTGGGTTTCTCATCGACCGGTCAACGAGCCATATCTACGACATCCTCGCTGTTCCTCATTCCGGACCCATTTGTGGACTCAATCCTATCATCTCAGCGACTTATTATTCAACGCGTGCTGTGGGCTAATTATATCAGAGTGCATATTCATTCAGCCCTCAAGCACAGCGAAAACGAGCCAACCGTCCATCCAAAACCATTCAAAGACAACCAAACACTCGTGCAAATGCAAGCCAAGAAATTCTATTCATAAGTACCGAAGCCCCCAAGCCACAGCTGTACGTACGGAGTCCACCCCCATGCAGTTATCTAAACTCAGCTCAGGGACCGAAACTCTCCACCACGCAACACGTTCATAGCCGCAATATCGTCTATCCAGCGTATGCAGGGGCTAACCCATGAAGTGTCTATCTAAACGAACTAATCTCCGCTCTAGCAAAACAGAAGCAATTCCGGAAGACGACGTGGAGTGGTTGGTTAACCCACCCACCAACATGACGTCTCGGCTTACGCAGCCCGAGCAGATTCGGCGTGCTAGTCTGTCCACCCTGCGTTGAACAGTACAAGACCCACGCTTGAACTATCGTAACCTGAACGATAGGAACGTATTCAGACATACTCCGCTGGTATCGCTCATTTTAATTAAAGAAAAAGGAAACAAAGCGCAAATATACGTATCGACTCTGCTGCATCATCTCAAAAAGCGAGTCAGCCACTCTGACGACATCTCGCAGTCATAATTCGCTTATACATTACGGAGACATACATGCATGCGTGCGAATGGATACAGACTGCTCTGCCCCTGCGAATCCACACCTCATCCAACTTAGGAACATACCCTGTATCAGTACGGAGTACTGAGCTGCACTGTGCTCCGAACTCCGTCCACTCCACTGCATCATTACAATCCCCAAATAAAAAGATGAAAAAAGAAATCAATCGGCTCCACCTGGCTTCATGCTCATTTACTACCCTTGTTGCCTAGGCTCACGAGCTCCATTTCACCAGGGAACCAAACTAAGCTTCGTACGCAAGAGCTTGGTATACTCCCCATCGGAATCAACACAAGCGAAGAAAAGATCTACTTCATTTTCTGTTCTGAATGTGTCTTTGCGAATACAGGACTCGTCACCTTGTAGATCTGTGTACACAGTAATTCAACCCCAGAAGTCACAGAATCCTCTGTACGCAGGGATGTCGACTTGAAATTGACCTGTGTGTTTTTTTCTTTTCTTTTTCTAGCCCCGCCCCCACTACATCTCGGCCGGACCCTATGTTCTGCTGAACGTGTAGATGCGAAATCTTGGGGCTTCAGTTCGGTTGGAAGATTGATGAGGGGCCTTTTTATTACTATGAGTTCATCTCCAGGATTATTTGGGTACATAGATGGATGCCTAGAGGTATCTGCTTCGTACACGACTTCTTCTTCGGGATTCGCTACCACTGACGGAGAGTCCGTCAGAGCTCCGGATTATACGATTGTATGCATATAGGGTATTGCAGGAAGTCTGCGGTCAAGGCACATACATGCGGATAATTTTGTCAATATCCTCCATGATGAAAGTCCCTGCTTTAGCCGCCATTCGTGCATACTCATTTGTCTCACGTTTACATACTTGTGCTTGCTTGTAACGCTATATGACCTACCCGGGATTTTCTTATGTATCGGATTTCTTTTCCCCCATAGTACAGACAGCGTGGAATCTCCCGAGGTATAATTCAGCGTTGAGCTCTGCCATCAATCGGCCAGCACAAATAAGTGCCCAGGTGGACTTGCGAGATTGAGTGGGTTCATCAGTCCAAATGTTTAAGACCAACCGAACTGCATCGTTTCCATTTTGTCTAGAAAAAAACCCCCCACCGGAGTCAAAATGGGTATGAATAGATCAAAACTCCAAGGTTTATGGAAGCTTGTACTCTTGAATCAACAGGGATTAAAAGAAGTATACATTCGGAGGGATCGAAGGAAACATACGTGGATAGAAATAAATTAATCAAAATTAATCGAAGCGAAAAAAAAAGCCCCAAGTTCGCCGAGAAACTAAATAATTACCGGAGATCCACATCCATGGGATGTGGTATTGTGGCTTGACCTATCTAGCCCCCTGCAGATATCTCAGGCATCGCTGATTTTGTGCCTTCTAATTCTTTTTTTCCCACGCACAGGCTTTTCCATCGGAATGTATACCATACCAATTTGTATGCGTCACAACGTCACTTCATGTCACTTTTGAATGTTTTGTTTGTTTTTCGCCCCTAGGATATCGGTTCTCACAAAACAAGCTTGATTTATTGCTATTTTAGCTTTAACTTCTCACCATCCCTCTAACAATAGAAAAGACCTAGTCGTTCTCATACTCCGTCCCCGAGTCCGTCCTCGCAATATGCCAAGTTTTCACATTTCATGACCCAGTTTGAAGGTTTTAGTCAACGCATGTACCCTCTATGCATCTGGAGTACGTACTCGTACTCGCACATAATTTGGATCAAATGGATGTTCCCACTGTATTTTCTTCATCCTCTTTCCATCAAACTATCGACAGGGTCGTACGTATACCCGTGCCCCGTGTGACGGGGCCTGTCGATCAATTATCCAAGCGAGGATCAGGGTAGTTGGCAGGCGATGACTCAGCGGCAAATTCATGGATCCATATTGGCGCAGGCCTAGATGTGGCGCGGGTTTAATACATGGATGAGATCGTATCCGATACGATACTTTCGTACATTTGAATGCGAGAGCTTGTCTACGGATACATGCATGTAATTCAGAGCTTTGGCTATATTCAAGTTTGGATTTTGTGATCAACCATGGATCGCGGAGATTCTCTGCCAGTGCGTCACTCACTACCAACTGGAGTGACTATTGACTAGTATTGCTATTTTGTTACTTTGCTCCATTTACAGTGCTAGTAACACAAAGGCACGAGTGTTCTATAATTATGCCAGTTATTTTTATCATCAGGCCTACTATCTCCGGCACCAACGGCCGGGATGTCCAACTCTGAGGGTCTCAAGATCCAACAGAACTAGTGATCCCGAACTACGTACGTACACCTGGGGCATCAGGGGTATCAGGGGCCCATCGACAACTTGAACATTCAAGTTATTGACAAGCACTGACACCCATGGACCCAAAATTGAAACTTCCCGCAATGGCCGCAGTCAACATGACATGCGCCACAACGCGACAGTGGAGTGATGCTGTGTGCGGATGACAAGCTTGGTGATGTATGCAGTTTCAGAAGCCGGAATAGAATTCACGATCGGGGGGGAAAAATAAACACCGGCACTTCTTGTGCAGGATCGTCGGTTGGTATGGGACCAAATTATCTGCCGAGTGGCTGGAGCTTCTTAGCGTCAATAGTTTGTGGTGCTCTTTCTTTTTCTAGAAGCTAGGCAGCAGTTCTAAGGATGGAGTGTGGCTGATGAAATAGAAGTTCAATATTCAAGTTCCAAGATCCTGAGCTTGATCGAATGGATGGATGTTGGGGCCAGAATGAAGGATTAGTTAAGCGGGAGGGTTTTGCTGGGTTGCCACGTTTCCTGATATCCACTCATGCTAGGGGTATGATCCATGGATATGCCATTGATTTTTTTTACTCTGGAATGAAATTTTTGGAGGGATCTCGGATAGTCAATCATGATGTTTGCGAGAGTAATTTTATGTACATGTGTATGGTAGGTATTTTACTGATTTAATCGGACTCCAATTGCTGGTACTCTCGTCCAGTTATTCGTTTATCAATCGGACCAATAAATTGACATAATCTCAATTTTCCATCTACATCTCAATAACTAAAACCCCAACCAATGACAGGTGTGGCAAATGATATCAAAAGCAAGTTGGGGTCCAAATCCTCCCAGAGCTTCTTTGAACAGCACCCTGAACCAACACCAACAAGGATTTAATTGCAAGCCACCCCAATCCTGCCGATGGCGTACAGAGGAGATAGTGCAGCAAAAGGCCGCGTGGGCAGGCGTGACCGGTGCAGGAATGGCACCCAGTCGTAAATTAGGAGCTCCATAGCACTAAGCATGATAAGGTAAGGCTCAAAGACGCTGGGACCAGTTGACGCCAACGCTAAGCTATACATGGTCAAAGGAGGGGACTGGCCACGAGTCCCTGCATTCAGGGTTAAATGTATTAATATGTATTGGTACCGTAAGTGGGGTAATAAAAAAATAATGAGCCACAAAAAATTGGAAATGAAAATAAGGGTCCGCTTGAAGGAACCACACTAAAAAGTCCCTGACAAGTCAAACATGTGGCGTAATCTCGCAAGAGTGGTTGACGTACGAATCATGGACATGATGCGAGCACTAGTTGGACTAGTCAGGATAAGCACAGAAGTATAATCGCTGGATCGGGTTTAGTTCAGCCCAGTGGGGGGTGGATATACGTAGACTGCATACGTATGCCCCGTCCAACATTCTCACGGAACAAATCATCGCTCGGCTTGATACACCTTCTGTTCATTTTTTACATGATTTTTTCTTTTCTTTTTTTCGGTACTGTGTACTCAGTACGGAGTAAACCCCTTTCGTTTCTTTACCAGCACGAACCACCTATCCATTTCAGGGTCGAGATCGGGAGATGCAGAAGCTTGGCTGATCGGCATTTTACTTGTGGCTGGCTTATGCCATCGAGGGGCTTCTAGGCGTAAGAATCATGAACACCTGAATGGCTCGGTTTATTTTCTATTTTCTTTTCTTTTCGAAAGAGTTAGGTGTTCTTTCGTGATGGGGAGAGACGTGGGGTCGAGGATTCGTCAACTGGTTCTTCTGTACTCCGTATTCTCAGGAGATTGTAATTTTCACTAGTTTTGACTGCGTGCGTCAAATGACACAAACCTGCCTCGTCAACAGGGCATTTTCATCATTCATACGTCGCCGACTTACGCACGCTGGGCGGAGAGTCCCCGCGCATATAAGTTGAGTGACTCGGGGCGGGGCGGTAGACGCGTACGAGTACGAGGGTTGCACGGGCCAAAAGTGGCTCCCCCCCTGAGCCCTAGGGGCCTGTAAGTTCAGGGATACGCAGCTGAGGGTCATTAGAGGCGATCCCAAGGCTTATCTGTGTTACAGGACATTCCAATTCCCCTCAGTTAATCAATTCAGATCAAATGATTTGCAGTTTTGAACTGGGGGGTTTGTCCTAAGATTATTGATCTGTTCTTTGTGCGAGTTGAATCTCGGTGCAGGATACTATTTAGAGGAAGAAATGCCGTCGATCGGGAGGAACGCGCCACGTTTTTTGTTTTCTGCCAGAAATTTATAGAGGAGTTCATCTGGGGGTAATATCTGATCTGTGTATTTTTTTTATTCTTTTTCCCTGTTATTTTTCTTTTTTCATCCCGTTTTGTTTGACATCGAAATTCAGTACTATACAATGGGCCCTGCAGAATAGCAAAGTAGGAGACGTATGGATGATAGGGCTGCGCAAGCGCCCATTCTTTTGGAGAGAATAATCTCCACCGCCTAAATTTCGGAGCCGGAGGTGAGTTCCCAATCTGGACAGGTGACGAGCGCAACATCATCACCTTACGTACGTCCCCGGACTCCAGCGGCTCGCCCCCAAGCTCTGAATAATGTTGAAAATCTTTGAGATCTTTCAGTTCCTTTTTGAATTCATATCAAATATCATTATACTTCAACATTTGAAGTCAATACGAGAGAAAAAAGTATCATCTATATAACCTTGGAACACCATTAAGGTTGTTCTAATGCGAAGAGGCGAAAAGTCAGGGTAAATACTAGTCCGAACCCAGATGATCAGGGATGGAGTCCCTGCGCCGATTATCGATTATCGTTCCCAGGGTCCATGGAACGGTAAAAAAATGTTCATAATGATGTTGACTTTTTCTCGTACCCTGTTTTATTTTATTTTGACATTATTTTTCAATCTTTTTCTCCAACTTTTCTTTATATCCGTTCACCTGATATGCTTCATTGTACTCTGTATAGTGGAGAATATCGCTTGGGCCAACCGAAGCCCTAGTCTAGTCCTATTGGTAATCTAGACATTGGAGAGAATTAATTGCACATGACAAAGTAAATGTACACCGTAAACCAGAAATTAGGGGATAAGAAATAAAAGTTAAAAAAAACAGAACGGAATATTGCCGTAGAAATCCCGAGAGAAATGAATTTACCAAACTCATGGAGCCCTTCGATCTTTAGCTGACGACTCCCGTCCCCGCCAGGGTCATTATGGGGCGGGCCGGAAGAAACGGAGCCCAACAAAACGGGTCTGCACAGAAACCACCATAGTTCCAGGGGTGGGTTAGAGATCCTGTCGTGTCTCCGATTGGAATAGAACTTCCTCTCATTTTATTTGATTTTCCGTTAATTTTTTATAATAAAATAATTTTTTTTTTTCACTGTCCCGCAATACATACGTATACGTTTGCACTTGGTATTGCCCTGATCCGCCCTTAGACTCCACTCTAACGGCTAGTGCGAGTCCTCTTATGGTATCGAGAATTACATGGAGCTTCTGGGGAGCCTCGCCGAACAGACCCTGGAAGCTTGGCCTTTATTCTGGCATATTTATGTATTTCTTAGTTCCTGAAATGGTTGATCGTAAAAAAAAAATAATAAGAATTTATCTCTTTAACCTTTCCTTGTTTTTTTTTCTCCGACTTCGTCTTCTTCTTCTCTCTCCTACACAACAATTCACCCATACAACGCCTTATCTAACACGAATTTCCTCATCACACCCCTCCACTACGATCTTCTTTTAAGTCTCAACAATCTAGGACTACCGACTATCGCCCTGACAACTTGTGATAAGACTTCCAATCAATCTATCGAAGACATACTTGGCTGTGATCGACTAGGATTTGACAACTTGGGAGGATTTGCTTCTTATCCCCGCGGCCAATCATTTCAGACCAGTGTAACTGCCGTTGAGGATTGTGTCCCCCATGACGTTTCCGAAAAGCAGGGGCGAATAAATTTCAGAGCAAACAAACACACGATCCAGCACGATCTGGAACAAAATAAAGGGAAATTTGTTGGAAAGACGACTCAAGGGAACACCAATACAGACGACATACGCCTAGAGCTATTTTGGCTTTACCCTTGCTACTACGACTATAAACGTCCCGCAGACTGTTGTCCGCCATAACCCAGTCTCATTTGGAAGTATCACGACGGAATTCTTTTTTCTGTCAGGACCCAATTTAAAGGTCCATTTGGGACTCTTTATTCGTGGGCCTCGCCTTCCAATCGACTTTATTATCTAGACCCTGAAGCAACTGCTTCGAGTCTTCCCGGTCTTGCTACTCGCCTGCAGGCCGAAGGTGCCTACTAAAGAGGGCCTAATGTTATCAAACATTTTTCGTGAACCATTGGTGCGTTTATAATGCCGTTAAGGTGGTGGAACGACACGAGGCACAAAGCCCCTCTATGTCTCCTTCTCTCCGTCTTTCCATCCGCTTCCCATCTACATCCTGATCCGTCGGATCACCTCGAATATCTTGGCCCGACCGAGGAGGAGGCACCTTGCAACAAGTTGAGGAAACAACAAGTACTAACGAGTTCTTGTTCACTCTCCAGTATAGCTTCCCAGCCCCGTTAACCCTGCATCGGGGCACAGAGGCAATGTCCGGCAAGAGGCCGAATATAGTGTCGATCCTCAACAATGACGATAATCCATCATTTGCTGTTCGATCCAACCCCAGACTCAGCGGGTCTTCATTACATCCCTCGCACTCTGAGCAACAGCGTCTACCGCCCGTCAGTGACCTGGGCTTTTCGCGCCCGGCTACTTTATCCAAGTCTCCCTCAGCATCTCCCCGAGGACTACGGAATCTTTTCGAACCCGTCAGTGAGAGTGTGCAGCCAACATCACCGAATACTTCAGAAGACTCAACCTATGACTACCTATTAAGCCAACCTTCATCTATCGGCTACCACCCGTACGCTCGGCAGGACCTGCGACGGGATCCGTACCGGTATCCTTCACGAGGACCCGCTGCGCCGCGGACTCCTCCTCAGATTCACTCTTCTACACCATCCGAGAATAAACCTCAGTCTGGCGGTACCAGGGGCACAGGTAGAAAAAACAAGTATCCGTGTCCATACGCCGCTAGTCATGGTTGCACGGCTACATTCACCACCTCGGGCCATGCGGCTCGTCATGGAAAGAAGCATACGGGCGAGAAGAGTGTGCACTGTCCCATTTGCAATAAAGCATTCACTCGCAAGGACAATATGAAGCAACATATCCGCACTCACCGCACACATTCCGATGACATGCGCTCGACGACATCTGAACCGGATTCCGAGACTAGATGGGCTTTGTCTAGACCTGATTCTGGCTATGCCACTTCGACTACTCACCATCGAACAATCAGTCAGGCTACAGATGCTCCTATGCCTCCTCCTACCAGTGGATCGCGACTTCCTTCATGAGATGATGAGAGTTGAGGAGACTCTTGAAGTACCCATCTTTTGTCCCACTGTTTTATACACTAAATCCCGTTACAACACATGACCTCATCCGGCTTCCTCCTACCTCCCGATGCCATCCTCCAAAAGCCAAATCTATTCAAAACCACAACTGCTGTGCGGTGTGGTCATCATTTGTTTTTATAGCGCATTTGCTCCAAGGAGTCTTTTCTTTTCTTTTTTCTTCATCTCATCAATCGTCATATCCATATCCAACTCTATCTCATGGCAGGTCTCAAATCATGAACCTGGAAGAATCACCTCATCGAGAATATCAACATGAATACCTCCGATGCGAAATATGATCTCTTCAATCATCTCCGGACTTCTTCTTTCATCTTTTCTTCTTTTTTCTTATACCATTTCTGTTAATTTCATGCTGTATATCCCATGTACCATTGCATCTGCATCTATTATTCATGCTATGTTATGCATAAACTCAGGGTCAGGAAAGAGTGTCGGACGGAAACCGGGAACTTGGGACCCGAGAGACCCTGGAGTTGAGTTCGAGTTGTTTGTCTGTATAGTACCGAACAAGGAATCCCATGAATGGAATGACCCCGTGTGCGACCGATCTGGCCACACTTTGCAACATTGAAATTGTTTGTTTATGTAGTCTAGTGTTGTAGCGTCACAGTAAGCCATGAGTCCGCCAATCTTGTGTTGACTCGGAGTATTGGTGGGGCTTCCGGGGATTGATCTGTGGAACGTCAATCTCCAGATGTTCAGTGAAAACAACTGGTAGATTCTTACCATATGGCATTTTTCAACTTGATTTTAGAATAGCTGTGGCGGAGCAAGGGTCCTCATCTGTGATCCTCAATGCTAGAGCATTTATAGCCGTGCTGTCAACTGGTGCTGGCTGATGTATGCAATAGAACGTTGAGTGGGAAAATCAAGATATGCCAATACTCGTAATAAATTTCAAATTTTTGGTGAGGCTATGACCACTTCATAGTCCAGGTATCCATGATATGTGTAGTTGGGAAAGCCCATGATGACCGAAAAAAGGTGCCGCTCGACTCAGGGTCCACGGGTCCAGGTCAACCCTTCCATGTTGATATGTGGTGCTCGAATGAATATCCCAAGATGGCTAGGGTTCACTATATCTAGTAGTACACTATACAACAGGCTCCAACCTCCCCAGCCACTACAGTTATAGCCACAATCTCACATCCTTACTATAACAGGGTTGGTGGATCCATCATGAGCGATGTTCCAGAATTCTCCCGCACGGACATCCCTTCTCAAAAGCGCTAGATGGCTTGTCTTCGAGATTAATTTCAATGCAGGATGACGTCTAGCGCCATGACCATGCCATGTCATGGCCAGGACAGTAGCAAATTCCACAGTTATGAGCGCTTTTCCGTAGGATGTGTATTTCCCTCGACATTTCATCCCATTATTTCCCAGTCTCAAGGTTGATGACCGACGTCATCTTGGCGACATGGGTACATTTCTCTTCCCTGAGTTCATATATGAGATGGCTGGCCAGTTCTGGACCTTGCTTTGAAGTTACTTTGTTCTTACTTACTCTTTGAATCAAAGAATATTTGTTCTCCTGCTATTGTTCCAATTAGCATCCACTTTTTGAAGATATCAAAACTACAGAACCACGGATCCAATATTGAAAACCTGGGAATTATCAGCCTTGTGGAGTAAAATTAAGATCAAAGATTGGTCAAAAAGGGGGAATTTGTTGTGTACTTCTGATTCATATTGACATAGATCTACAGTCTCTCATCTTGCTCTCTTTCTCTGTCTCTATCTCTACATCCGGTTCTCTGTTCTCTTTCCCGCCAAGTCTAGCCGCCTTTGATCCCTGCTTGACGTCACGCCACCTTGCCCCGCTGTCAACTTTCTTTCTCTTTCACTCATCATCCCAGTGAACGGTTGATAGTTTCACATTTTGGCACCCTTTTCTCTGAATTCATTTCGCTTCTATCTTTGTGTTTCTTGGTCTTCATAGTGGGCTATGGCTTACTACGATGAGCGTCGTTATCGTGCCCCGCGCGACCGCGCCGCCCGTCCTGTCAGCAGTTATGCGCCGGAGTATTATGACGAGCCTCGCTATGCAAGGTACGATCGGGATGTCTACCCCGAGGATTCTGTTGAAGAAATTCAACGTGAATATCCACCTGGCGATCCCTACGGCTACGAGCGTGGCTATGATTCGCGTCGATCCAGGCGTCCGGTCTATGAGAATGTGAGAAGGTCCTCATCGGTTAGCGGATATGATCCATACTATGATGGTGGTTATTCTCGGTCGCGTCCACACGCGTCTCGATATGATGATCGACGTAAGTTATCATTATATCTCTTTTATGTTGATTGTTTTGTTTATAATTTCACATTCAATACTATTTCAACACTTTTGGTTCGATTTTTTGAAATGTTGCTGACTGAAGTAGGCTCTCGCCGCAAATATGACTCTCCATCGCCTAGCCCATCGCCTCCACGTCAGAGACGTCGCAAATCATTCAGTGAAAAAGCTATGAGTGCCATCGGATTAGGATCTTCATCCAAATACGACAGCGACCGAGGCCGTGATCGCTCATCTTCCCGGCGCCGTCGCTATGACTCTTATTCCCGATCACGCAGTCGCGACCGTGACGATAAAGGCCAGCGTAGCTCCCGCAGTGAACAACGTCTAGCCCAAGCTGCCCGAGCTGCATTAACAGCCGGTGCCGTGGAAGCTTTTCGAGCTCGCAAAGACCCCGGTGAATGGACTGGTGAAAAGGGCAAACGAGTTCTCACTGCCGCTGTGACTGCTGCCGGCACAGATGGACTAGTTGACCGAGACCCCAGAAAGCATGGTAAACGCCATGTCCTAGAGTCTACACTCGCTGGTCTTGCCGCAAGTCACTTCATGAATGGAGGCCGATCTAGCTCTCAAGGTCGGAACGGTCGCAGTGGCCGAGGTCGATCAGCTAGTGGCGGACTCAAAGAACTTGCTGCAACTGGCGTCTTGGCTGCGGCTGGCAAAGAAATCTACGACCGTATTTCCCGGTCGCGATCTCGACCCCGTGGACGGGCAGACTCGGATAGCGAAGATGATCGACGTGGTTCAAAGAAGCGCAGCAAGAGTGTTTCTGAATACATCACCAAGGGCATTTCTGCACTTGGTCTCAGGTGGAGACAGCCATGGCCGGTCAGACGAACGTGACCGAGGCAATCGCCGTCGATCAGACCGTCGCTCCCGACATGACTACGACTCATATTCCGATACCGAATCAGAGAACGACTACCACCGAGACAGAAAAACCAGAGACTCACAACGGAGACAAGACAGCAGAGATTCGAGAGATGTAGGTCAATATCGTTCTATGAACGGAAAGAACCCCTTGCCCCTTAGTGATAGAAGAGCTGCGCCAACTAGTGCGCCGCGTGGAAGTATCGGAGGCGATAACGCGGCGCTTATCAAGAAGGGCCGCAGCAATTCTAGTTCATCGAGTGATTCTGACCTCGGAGACAGTTCTGATGAAAGAGAGAAACACAAGAAGATGCAGCGTGATATGCTGGTTACCGGTGGCCTGGCTACTGTGGCGACTATTCATGCGGCACATAGTGTTCACAGTGGTATTGAGAAACGAAAGAAGCGATTGAAGGAGCTAGAAGAAGGAAAGATTACACCGGAGGAGGCGCGCAAACGAAAGATCAAGGCTAATACGTTGGATGCGGCGAGTGTTGGATTGGCGGCGTTGGGTATCAGAGGTGCTTACAAGGAGTGGCAGGAGGTGAATGAGAAGCGGAAGGAGCATCATGAGTTTCAGAAGGAGTGTGAGGAGCGGGCAAAGAAGAGACTGTTGAAGAGATCGCAGAGTCATGCTACGTCTTCTCGTCACCGTTGGCCTGATGAGATTGAATATCCGTCTTCCCGGAGTTCGCCCCTTGCGCACCAAAGTGCTTCGATTCAACCCCAGATCTCGTACTAGTTTTACTTGTGCATGATTATTTGTCGGGAGGTTTGTTTTTTTCTTTTTTTTTCTGTGCCTTTTTACAAGTTTGGAGGATTGTCTGGTGACTATGAATTTATGATTAATGATGAGACGGCCTTTGAAACTGGGTTAGCGGGGGTATTCCAATACTTTGATGATCTGCTATTGTTTACCTCAGTATGGAAGATTATTTTATTTTTTTTGTCTCAGTTTCTGGCCATAACTTTCACTCTGTATTATCCGTAGAGCTCTGATTATGACAGGTATGTTAATGATGCATCTCATGCATTCTATATGCATTCTGTGCTACGTGTTAGGGCAAGGTGGGGCACACGTATTTCGTATCCATATTTCTCAGGCCACCAAAGAAACTCCGCATTCCGTGCTCCGTGCGTGTCAATATCAAACAAACAATTGTTGATGCAGTCCTCAAGTCCTGTCCTTCTCGAACCGGTTAAACTCAGGAGGAGTTTTCGGACAATTCGGAGTAATTCGAAGTAAAGTACAGGTTGCTTGCAGGGTCCTCTGTGTCTTAACAGTAAATCGGCAGCTTAATGCCCGTTGCCTGCCGATAATTCTGACTAAGCTGTGGCTTCCCCCACCATTGGGTACTAGTACATGTCCGTGCATATAAAATTCTATGCACGTGGAAGTACCAAGCACTCTGGAAGTTTTCCCCTCTAAGATCTGCAAAGTCCCCTCCCTTTTCCCTCTTCTTTCTTCCCTCTTCCATCCCTCTCCCCTATTAATATTCTTGGTTTGTCCCCCCTTCAATCTTACTTTTTCTCTTTCTTCTTCATTCTTACTGACTTTAATTCAGTTTGTATTTCAATTCACACAAAATGTCTGCTCCTGCCCACACATTCAAGGTCGCTGATATCGTATGTGCCCCTCCTGGCCTCAATGGTTTACCTCAATTCGTTTCAATTTCTAACTCCTCCGTTTAGTCCCTGGCTGCCTTTGGTCGCCGGGAGATCGAGCTCTCCGAGGTTGAGATGCCCGGTCTCATGGCCATCCGTGAGAAGTACGGTGCTGACCAGCCCCTCGCCGGTGCCCGTATCGCCGGTTGTCTCCACATGAGTACGTTTTTTTCTGTCCCACCCCCCCTAGCTGAGAAGGAAAAAAAAGCAAAAAACAATCAAAAGCGGGGAAAATTTGAAATCTAATTCCCTCTTAGCCATCCAGACCGCTGTCCTCATCGAGACCCTTACTCACCTCGGTGCTGAGGTCACCTGGACTTCATGCAACATCTTCTCCACCCAGGACCACGCTGCCGCTGCCATTGCTGCCGCCGGTGTCCCCGTCTTCGCCTGGAAGGGTGAGACCGAGGAGGAGTACGAGTGGTGTCTCGAGCAGCAGCTCAAGGCCTTCAAGGATGGCAAGAAGCTCAACCTGATCCTCGATGACGGTGGTGACCTCACCTCCCTCATCCACAAGAAGTTCCCCGAGCAGCTCGAGGACTGCTTCGGTGTCTCCGAGGAGACCACCACCGGTGTTCACCACCTGTACCGTATGCTGAAGGAGGGTGCCCTCAAGGTCCCTGCCATCAACGTCAACGACTGTGTCACCAAGTCCAAGTTCGACAACCTGTACGGTTGCCGTGAGTCCCTCATTGACGGTATCAAGCGTGCCACCGATGTCATGATCGCTGGTAAGATTGCTGTCGTCGCCGGATACGGTGATGTCGGTAAGGGTTGTGCCCAGGCTCTGCACTCCATGGGTGCTCGTGTCATCGTCACCGAGGTTGACCCCATCAACGCCCTCCAGGCTGCTGTCCAGGGTTACGAGGTCACCACCATGGAGGAGGCTGCCTCCGTCGGTCAGATCTTCGTCACCACCACTGGTTGCCGTGACATCCTGGTTGGCCGTCACTTCGAGGCCATGCGCAACGATGCCATCGTTTGCAACATTGGTCACTTCGACATTGAGATCGACGTTGCCTGGTTGAAGGCCAACGCTCAGTCCGTCCAGAACATCAAGCCCCAGGTTGACCGTTACCTCCTCAACGGCAAGCACATCATTCTCCTTGCTGAGGGTCGTCTCGTCAACCTTGGCTGTGCTACCGGTCACTCTTCATTCGTCATGTCCTGCTCTTTCTCCAACCAGGTCCTTGCCCAGATCGCTCTGTACAAGGCTGACGATGCCGCTTTCGGCGCCAAGTACATTGAGTTCGGTACCTCCGGCAAGAAGCCTGTTGGTGTCTACGTTCTGCCCAAGCAGCTGGATGAGCAGGTCGCTCGCTGCCACTTGGACCACGTTAACGCCAAGCTGACTGAGCTGACCCCCGTTCAGGCCGAGTACCTTGGTCTGGAGGTTGCCGGTCCTTTCAAGCCCGAGATCTACCGCTACTAAGCGAAAAACGCAACCACCTCCCTTACTGCACTACTTACATGCAGATAGGGAAGATTTCCAATTGCGTCCGGTATTTTCATTGAATTTTTTCTTCTTCAATCTCTCTTGAGAAATAGACTTTCAACATGATTCGACGATGTTACGATTGGCATTCGGGTTCTTTATCAACTTTGAACTCAAAAGTGGTTGTCCTTCAACGGCATAAAAAGTGGTTTCCACGACTCGGGGTGTGTCTTGTTTGATTTTTATATGGCGTGTGACCGGGATGGTCTTGCATTCAACACTGCGTACGGATAGGCTTTAATTCTTGATACCTGAACTATGCTGCCTGGCCATGACTGGTGCAGCAATGAAATAATGATGCTGTGTGCAAATGGTTTTCCAATTCTCGTAGCTCGTAGCTCAAAGTCAGTAGATACTAGTAACCCCAACCCACCCTCCACAAATCCCATGGATCATCCATTCAGCCAATTGACGCTGATAGTCCACCTCACCTGGGCATCACCGACTCCAGGTTACCCTGGTCTAGTGCAGTGGCACAAAAATACGGAGTACATCTGCACATGCCCCAACTTTAAGTCAGGATTTGTGTTCTTCAGCTCTACCCTCAGGCTGTGATCTAATCGTGAGCTTTGGTTCAATTAGCATCAGTCTGCCTATAAATAATCAAAACGCACCCAGAAGAACATTTGAAGCTATCCTAAGAAACAGACACTCCTCACTTTAATCAAACGAATACAGAGCAAAAGGGCAGACAAAATCCTTCCCTAATCAATTTACGTATACGAACACTCTATCAAAAATCAAAATGCCTTCCCTCTCAGCAATATTTTTCCCATTCATCCTCCTTATTCTGTTTCGCAGTCTCTCTCCCAGCGGACGGCCCGGTACAAGATCGACTAGATAGCCCCGTACAAAACTTCGAAAGGCTTGGATCCAGCGCACTCTGTGAGTACTCCAAGTCTGGTACTAAAAGAATCATGATATCACACCAATCAATGCCACCCGACTAGTATATCCAAATTTTCTTCGGCACGCTAATGTAGAATCCAGGTTCATCACACTACGTCCTCCAACCACAAGATGATAAATGTATCACAGTGGTCGCCAAGTTCCCAGATCTGGGCTACGGTGCAAGAGGACTAGCGAATTTCTATGCATGGAATCCACAGGTGAATAGTCCTAGTTGTGATAATCTCCACGTCGGTCAGCAGTATTGTGTTGGTGCTATGGATTTGGATGTGGTTTGCCCTCTTCGTCGCGGGCGGCTTGGGGACTCGGATCTGGGTGATTGGAGAGATCGTCTCAGCACTTGGAGAGCTCAGGCTGAATAAGGCATACTAAGGGATGGTTCAGGGGTTAAGGCTGAGAGGCTAGTAGCATCCATCGAATCTTTTACCTTGGTATAGGTTTTTTGGTCCACCGTGATGGCAGTTTTTTTCCTGTGCCCCATTACTATGCGAATGCAGAGGCAATCAAGATTGTGTTTATTTGCCTAATTTCACTGAAATACTCTAAAATTCTAATATGCCCTAGTGGGTGGGTTTTTAATTTATTTATTCTACACAAAGCTCAAAACTTGGAGACGTCGAGATGGGATGAAAGTTAAAGTGCAGATTTACGGTCTTGCAGATAGTACCTTGATTGATCTTATTGTCTGATCTGATTTTCAATGGATTCTATCATCCTGGATCAGGATTTGACACATGCCTCCCTTATTATTAACAAGACCAATAGCTTTTACTATGCAATATGTGTGACAAATTATAAGGTTCGTTCGGATTTAGACTCAGTCAACAAATCAAATATCTCTAGATATTGGGTAACACACTCAGCAAGTGAATCTAGCCACGGATTACCTTATATTTCAGGTACCTGAGACACTCAAGGTACATTAGTCCTTCGCTTCAATGCATGGCAGTGGGACATATGCAGACTCCGAGTCAACATATGACGCACCAGCCCCTCATCCCCTCATCTCTGCATAACACCATCCTCTCAGCCCTGGAGTGTAAAACCTTTCTTTCCATCCCATCTTCCCAATCCATTTGGAAATAGTAGTATCTTATAATTCATCCAAACTATAAACCCAAAATTTGTAATTGCATGTTACCATGGCCCATCAGTCCAAACGCACAATCCTCCTCCTCGGCACATGCGACACCAAACTCGCAGAACTCCTCTACACAAAATCCACCCTCGAATCTCAAAACACAACAGTCCTATTAATGGACCTAGGCTGGACTGCGACCTCTAACCCCGAAATCTCCATAACGCAACAAACAATCCTCCACTCTATCCCAGATTCAGACCCAAACTCAAAAATCACCAACCTGAATTCCTTAACCAGGGAAGCATATATAAAAACCATAACCGCACCCGCTATTCGAACCGTCACAGACTTATTCAAGGAATTCTTTATTCATGGAATCCTGGGTATAGGTGGCTCCTGTGGAACAGCTCTATCCACATCAATTATGCGTGATGCTGTTCCAATTGGGTTCCCAAAGTTGATGGTCTCAACTATGGCATCTGGTGATGTCGCACCTTATATCGGTGAAACGGATATCGGGATGATATATTCCATTGTTGATATTGCAGGTCGGAATCGAGTGTTGGATATGGTACTTGGAAATGCCGTTGGAGCGATCACCGGAATGGCGAGGACATATATGGAGCGCCAGCGATTTCATTCCCTTGAACTTGAAACAAAGAAGACTCGAATTGGGATCACCATGTTTGGGGTTACCACGCCAGGTGTCACCGCTGCTAAAGAACACTTGACAAAAGTATTTGGGGAGAAATGTGAGATATTTATCTTTCATGCGACGGGATCTGGGGGACGCGCGATGGAGAGGTTGATTAAAGAGGGTCAGATTGATGCGGTTCTGGATCTCACGACCACGGAGATCGCTGATGAGGTCGTTGGTGGGGTTTTGAGTGCTGGTGAAAATCGACTTCGAGCAGCGACAGAAAGGAATTTGCCCCGGATTGTTAGTGTTGGAGCGTGTGATATGGTGAATTTTGGACCGGCTGAAACTGTTCCTCCCGCATTCTCTGATCAGGGGGCGAAGCGTTTGCTATATCGGCATAATCCCACTGTCACTATTGTGAGGACTACGAAGGAGGAGTGTGTTGAGATTGGAAAATTGATTGCAAGAAATCTTATTGGAAATTGTGGTGAGAACAATGGAGTTGGGTGTAGGACTAAAGTTGTGCTTCCTGTGGGTGGGATTAGTCTGCTTGATGCTCTGGGCCAGGCATTTTGGGACCCTGAGGCGGATGAGGCTTTATTCTCAACATTGGAAGATGGGTTGGCTGGGACTCATATTGAGATCATTCGGGATCAACATAATGTTAATGATCCTGAGTTTGCGATTCGCGTTGTGGATATGTTATGTGATTTAATCAAGGACTGTAAATGAGGCATACCTAGATAATACATTGGGAACACTACTCAACGGATGTTATGATACTATCTCCAAGTAAGAAGTCTGCGAAAATTATATTCTTCTCAAAATTAATTAACATTAGTTGACAGGGCTCTGTCTAGCACTTGTACTTTCAACCCATGTATGAGGCTCCTGTATAATATGCGCCTGACTAGATTGGCTATCTACCTCCCAATCCCTAGTCACTAGAATCTGGGTTTTCTTTTGTAGCGGAAATGAACCAAAATTTAGTTCATTCTTCCCGGGCCTTGACCTAGACTGTGTAGGCGACTGGAGGTTCGATCGCCCGTATGCATTCGCATAGTTGGTGTAGTCAAAGTCTTGGATTCGGAGTCCACTAGATTTCAACCAAGACAAGAATGGCTTGAGTTGGCCCCAGCATGCGGTAATCATGCTTAGACATTGGGAAGTCTCTTGGAGTATAGTCACGTCGCAGTAGGTATATGTAGGGTCCGTTGTGTTTGCGGCCTTGTGGGTGAAAATCAGTTCGGCGAGAACTGCACCAATAACGCTAGCGGATATAGATGTTAGATTGGAAATCAAGTGCAAGGGAGATTTAGACATACAGAAGCCGGGGTAGAAAAAGGCTTGCTATCAAAAGACGCTTTGTTACAGCCGCCTGCACACGATACAGCAGGAGAAATCCTTGAGCGAGAATGAGGAAATCGGTCACGATGTTGAGATGCAGACAAAGTAGCGCCACGCTTCCTGAAGAGACCTTTAGTGCTGAACATTGCGTAAAAAGGCTGAGATGGCTCACAATATTAAAGCATTTCCCATTCCAAAAGTCCCAAGTATTTGGCACGGAGCATTGGAATGCATATCCAAAAATACTGACCACGGCCCAAATACCAGTCACAATCTCAATCAAGAGGGCGAAAAGGTGATCTTTACTAGATGGTGTAAGGCTTCTAATAAAAATGACCAAGGATAACATCGAGAAGCAAAGACTGGCGATGTATAACATGGTGCTCGAGTAGAGGTACTAGGTTGAAAGTTGTGAGATGAATTACCAACGCTACCAGCCATGCAAAATCACCACTTACTTTCATCACAGTGTCAAATTGATGAGTGGATAATTCTTCGAAATGATTTCCATGACCCGCACCAACTGCCATAGAAACACAGATGCTTTGAATTGCACAAAATGTCTGCCAGCTTCATTAGAATGACTTGATAACCAGTGATGTTGTACAGTAGGTAAGCCCCTACCAAAGATGCAATGATAAAACAATCATCTAATGTCAATCTCTTGAATAAACGTAACTTTGTTTCCAGTCGTGCAAGAACGCCTAAAATGACAGTGCTGAACAAGACCCACTTAGTCACATTGACCGCTGGGTCTTTCGTGTTGCCAGCAAATCGAGTATTCATGGCCACTGAATGTAATAATACTGAGGCAATAAAAGTCAGTAGCACAAATACCCAGATGTCAATTTTCAGTCACCCCGGTCGCAATCGACTTTTCTTTTCATTTATGTATATCAGAGTTCAAGTTGTACCTCCCCTTGGCAGCTCTGAAGGGTCCGAGTGTCAGATCCAAACTACATTCCCCGGAATCAACCTCATATTCCAGTGGCGCCAGATTAAAGAAATTAAGACTTGCGCCGAACAAGCCCATCCCACCAAACATGCTAGTCCTTGTCTCAGGCCTGATAGCGCAATCTCAGCTGATATGTATATTCTCACGTCAATAGGTTCAAACATCTTGGTATAAGTGACTTTGCCGCAGTTCGCACGGACCAATCATCCATGTAAAGAAGCCATCACAGTGTGCCTGGGAGTGCTTGAGAACATTAGCTTTGCGCTACTTAATTTTTTCCCCCAAAGAACCATCGCTCACCCCGGGTTCGTGGCTTTGCGTACAAGATAACAGGGTATCCAGTCGTGGGCCTTGTAAACAACCTAGTTTGATATCGGCCCCACCGAAGATGCATGGATTTTGGGGTGATTGGTCTCTGTTGTTCCGCCACAGGAGTATTTCGCCGCGATCGTCGCTATAATCGCGCGATGTGGACCGTGTCTGGCCTGGTCTTTTGTTCCATAGAATCACTGTCGCTGTGTGCTGAACTCGATGCATAATCTTGATTGAATTTATCACGTTTGATCTTCATTGTAACCTGGACCATGCATGGCTTAATCATCGACATGAACGTTTGACAAATTGGACGGCACTCCCTGCCTTCCCCTGTGTTGAAAAAAGAAAGATTTCCTCTCACTATCAGTCTATTTGAAATTCAAGTCATTTGTTTAACTCAAAATGGAGTCCTATGAGATGAAAGATCGTGCTGTTTATAGCGCTCGTGAGGTTGATGGTTTCTCTGCGACTAATCGTGATGATATTCGACTCCAGCGATTGTGTAAGAAGCCAGTACTCAAGGTGAGAGCTGCATGGATTATGAGCTTCACCTCTCCTAGGCTAATGGTACTCCTTTAGAGAAATTTTGGGATTCTTTCTCTTCTTGGATTCAGTTGTACGATTCTTGCTACATGGGAAGGTTTACTTAGCACCTTTGTGGAGCCCTTGGAGAAGTATGTGCTCTTAACCTTTAAATGTTTTCTCACATCGCAGACTAACACTTGGTAGTGGAGGCTCAGCCGGAGCGGTCTACGCTTACATCTTTGCATGGACAGGTACTGGGTGCTGTTTTGTCCTTTTATCGGAGCTCTCTTCAATGTTTGTTCTCTTCCTGCCTCCTGCCTCTGAGATCCTAACATTTATAGGGCGCCTACATCCGGAGGTCAATACCACTGGTGTGCCATGCTCGCACCAATTCACTCGATGAGGTTCCTCAGCTACATAACTGGTATGCTCGACGCTACCATCTCAAATGACAATTGCTGATATTATTAGGTTGGCTTACCACAATTGGCTGGCAAGCTGCATTCGCCTCCGCGAGCTACATGTGCGGCACAGAAATCCAAGGTGTGGTCATCCTTGCTTGGGAGAACTATGATCCGAAAGCATGGCAAGGAACATTGATTGTCTGGTGCTCACTCCTTGTCGCTTTCGGTGCCAACATGATAGGAGGAGAGTTCCTTCCAAGAGCAGAGAGTCTTATTCTAGTTATACATGTCCTGGGATTCTTCGGCATCTTGATCCCTCTGGTCTATATGTCAAACCACAATACTGCCGACAAGGTGTTCCTGGAATTTCTGAACGAAGGGTACTTTGCGACAGATGGCTTGTCTTGGTTTGTTGGAATGACAGGCTGTGTCTTTTCTTTCGCTGGTGGTGATGCGGCCGTTCATGCATGTATCCCATCCCGCTTGCACATTTAGAAGTACTATACTAACTTTTCTAGATGGCTGAGGAAGTGGGAAATGCTGCAGTTGCTATTCCACGAGCTATCCTTCTTTCCGTTGTCATGAATGGTATCCTTGGATTTGCGATGCTGATTGGCGTGCTTTTCTGCCTGGGAGATATCGAACAGGCTTTAGGGACAAAAACAGGGTATCCTTTTATTGAGATCTTCTACCAAGGTACTGGATCTATCCCAGGCACAGTTGGTATGTGCTCAATTGTCCTCATTATCGCTGTGGCCTCCGGAGTCGGTATGCTAGCAGCTACATCTCGTCAATTCTGGTCATTTGCTCGCGACAAGGGAGTTCCAGGATGGCGCCTGTGGAGTCAAGTGAGTTCCTCTGATATATCTGATGTATCCAAATTTTCATTTTCTAACATTGCAAAGGTCTCTTCCCAAAGTCTGCCTCATTACGCGATATACCTCACAATGACAGTAGCCTGGCTATTGGCCCTTATCAACATCGGCTCCGCGGTCGCATTGAACGATGTTGTCTCGTTGGCTGTATCAGCCCTATACCTTTCTTACCTTGTCATTGGAACTTTACTCTTATACCGCCGTTGCAGGGGAGAGATCTCACTATCAAATGAAAATGATGACGTGGCGATCAATGTCCCCGGTGCAAAGCTCGTTTGGGGCCCCTTCCGCGTGCCTGGTATCGGGGGAATCTTGATCAACATCTACGCGGTTATCTACATGATCATTGTCATCTTCTTCAGCTTTTGGCCAAGTAAGATGAACCCCGGCGTTGCGGGCATGGACTACAGTGCTGTGGGTACTGTGGGTACAATCATCTTGGCTGTTGTGTACTATGTTCTACGGGCGCTTCATGTCTACCAGGGACCCATTCTGGAAACTATGATATAGAATTTCTATTTTCTTGGGGGAGAGGAGCTGAACTTGTATGATTCAAGTTAGTCTTGGGGCTGTCTCAGGCTACAGGGACTGCTGTACCAAAGTGGTGCTTTGGGATTTCCACTGAGACCTTTGCAAATGGGTCTCCCGCAGCAAAATCTGTCCCGCATCCCGTCCCGCAAAATCCCAGTGTGATTTTGCGGGACGAAGCGGGATTTCCTGGGATTTCCTGGGATTTTGCGGGAGGCCCAATGGGACGAGCGGGATCCATTTGCAAAGGTCTAGTTTCCACCAAAATTTCTGTCTACTCATTTTGTATTAAGAAAGTATTCACAAAAAAAAGATCTTATAAAATTCTGGAAAATTTGACTCATATGTCATCTTTCATTGATAGAAGTAGACTTGTAGTATCTATTCAATGTACATCCAACTTGAAGTTGTAATCTCGGAACCCCCTAGTACACATATCGGAATCGCAAATTCTTCCGATCTGTGACATTCTCAAGTTGAAACTCAGTCTGCATAACACCTTCTGGTTGCTTCTCTGAAGTCGGAGTCTCATATGGTATATCCATCTTATCCCTGCGGCTATTCTGCCATTTGAGATAAAACATCAGAGCAAAGCAATCAGCCACACAAATAACAAGACAGATGATAATTGCCAAGAACCCGCTCTGATATTTTGTTAGTTATCGTCGCTCTTGAGTTGGAGCTCAATGTTTTGCCTACCTGATATTTTGGTGCTTGATCGGCAAAGAAAAGTTGAGGGCCGACGATATTTCCTGCACAGTACATGATGAAGTATATAGCGCTAACCGTAGCTCTCTTCGTGAAACCGCCGACATTTGAACTGATCATTGCCAAGGATACGGGCATGGCAGCGGAATATATGCCCATGATGAGCAGACCGCCATACTTGGCAGCAATGTTTGGTCCGGCGTAGACAAGGGCGCTGCCTAGGATACTGTAGGATGTTTATCTTAGCGTGAAAATTATACAAATATCGAGGGAATAATTTCATACCCAAGCAAGAACATGACAGCCATGACAATGCATCTGCTATTTTGCACTTTGGATGAGATAAAACCACTATGTTCATACGACGAGGTTAGTACCATGAATAATCAATATGGCCTTGGGCGACTCACGACATGAAAACAAAAACACAAACAATAACACCACCTGGAAGACCCATTAGCAGGGTATGGAAGGTATCGAAGCCAAAGCCCTCGAGGACTAGACTATTGAACTAATAATTTTTAGTTAGAGCAATTGGAGCTTAGCAATGGTATCCATACTGTCGTGAAGCCTCCATTTGCGACATCGCATGCGAAAATCATTATAGCGAGCAGCCAGGTCTGAACATCCGTCAAGGCTTCGAAGATTTGCGCCTGATCAATTTCTGTATTCTTGAATCCAGCTTTGTTATCCTTGAGGCGCTCCATTGCAATCAGCCTCTCTCGCTCAGTAAGGAATTTTGCGTCGGCAGGGGAGTCAGGTAGTCGGAGTAGCATGACTATGCCGAATAGAAACGTAATAATCCCGAAGATAATGAACAGCCACTTTGAGAAACTCGAGATTAGTATCATTCAACAAAAACGGAGGATGGGTCTCTTACCTGCCATGATTCAAGTTTGCTTTTAATGTGAATAATACCAGAAGCGATAAGATTTCCAAAAATTAGTGAAAGTGAGTTTCCACAAAACCATATACCCGCACGAAGAGGTTGTTCAGAAGTACGGTACCAAAGAGATGTTAGAAGTGTGAAGCCAGGGGAAAGACTCGCTTCTGCACATCCAAGGAAGAATCGAGTCACCATGAAAGTGGCAAATTCTTTTGTCGCTGCATGACAGGCAAGAATGATTGCCCATAACATGAAGGTGACCGCAAGATATTTTCCAAGGGGGAATTTGACCATGAGTAGTGAAGCTGGATATCTGTCGATGTCACGGCTGTTAGGAGGCACACGACTGAATATGGCTTATGTACGTACGAGAAAAAGAGGTATCCAAAGTAGAAGACACTAGAGGTCCAGCTGTATTGTGTGCCCACCAAGTGAAGGTCTTGCTCGAGTCCCATTATAGCGCCATAGTTGAGAGTCTGTTTATCCAGGAATGCCATGGTGTAGGCAAAGATCATGATTGGAAGGATCCTAATAGAACCTAAGTTAGCACTTCAGTGTTTCCTGTGTCTGATTATTTGCAATGCAACGCACGTGGAGTCAATCTTTCTGACCAGTTTCCTTTCTTCCTCGGGAGAGAACTGTGGTGAGGATTGAAGTCGCTCAAGAGCTCCATTATCGACGCTTTGGCAGTCCGCTTCTTGGGTCTCCCGGCTCCCTTTGATCTCGATATTTGAATCGCTCATATTTTGAGAGATAATAAACAATGTCACTGGTGAAATGCTGAGATCGAAGAGTACATTCTACGCCATGATACCCAGATAAATGCTTTTATTTATACAATCCGCCTCAATATCATCTAGACACCTTATCATTGCCACTTGATATCAGGAAAGAAGGGGTGCATAATCCCCGCAATCTTTGCTTTTAATGTCTGATAACGCCTATTCTCATATTGATCTCGGCAAGACGTTATTGGTTGTATCGGCACGGCAGGCGATGGCTTGGCAGGATAGACCTTGAGTTGAATAATCGGCAAGCTCTCTCTGCCTAGGTGCAGGATCTAGTTCATACTGATTGGTGGTTTCGTCAATTCAGCTTCTTTAGCTCAGATAATAGAGGCGAGCTTACTCCATCGGATTTTGTCGGGAAAAGCTATGGCTAAAAGTTGCATGTGTCTAGCACACGAGCTCTTGAGTCAGGTAATGATAAAATTCTATTGCGGTATGACTACTGCGAGTAACTACTGCTAGTGATCCGAAGAATTTCCCTATCACTCCTGGTTGAAGTTACTCTTGACTGCCTCGGCAAATTTATCGTCAACTAGCAGCTGACATGCCACGACTGCCATTCCCGCGGCGCAAGCGATAGCCCGCTCGTGTCCTTCAGATGAGCCCGCTCCATTGGTAAACTGAGGGGTATGATTGACGCCTTCGGTTGGGATGCAAAAGATACCATGGAAACCAGGTACAACATAAGAGACATTTCCTGAGACTAGTGTTAGTGAAATTTACGAGGTCAATGAGTCTAGTAGAACTTACCCATGTCAGTGGATGCACCGGCAAGAGCCCCCTTTTGCCCGGAATTATCGAGAAGAGTGTGGTGACCCATCGCTCTCATTGCCGAGACGTAGCTTTCGCAGATAGGGATATTGCTCTTCAGGTCGTCGTAAGAAGGTCCCCTATAATGAAAATCAATCGCCTCTCCTTCCACTAAAATGAGTTAAATGCGTCTATCGACATACCATTCGAAATCAACCTTGCAGCCTGTTGCAGTAGCCGCGGCTTCGAAACACTTGATAACCCTCTCAGTCAAAGGCTTGAGAGTCTTCTTGTTTGGCGATCTAATATAGTAGTCCACAGTAGCGGACATCGGGATAATATTTGGTCGATCTCCTCCATTCTTGATAACTCCATGGACTTTCTGCGTCGGCAGAATCTGTTGGCGCAGCATGGATATATTGACATAGGCTGATACAACTGCGTCAAGTGCATTGATACCCTCCCAAGGTGCAGCAGCAGCGTGGGCGGGCTTGCCAGTGAAGGTCACTTGGACTTTGTCATTGGCGAGGTAACCTCCTTCTATCACGGTTGCCATACTTAAGAGCGAAGGATTTCCGGGAGACATTGGAATGGGATGCACCATCAGACAGGCATCAACGTCCTTGTATGCTCCATTGTCAATAAGCTTGACTTTACCACCACCGGACTCTTCAGCCGGAGTGCCAAGCAGACGAACGGTAAATCCTGAAACGGACAAGCTATCAGCCTGGGCTTTCATAGCTTCACAAGTAGCGATAAATGCAGCAATAGAGCTGGTGGCTATCAGGTTATGGCCACAGGCATGACCAATACCTGGGAGAGCATCATATTCAGCATTGAAGACCACAACTCGACCCCCGTTGCCGAAGGTGTACTCGACTTCAAGAGCAGTTTCAACACCATAAGCTTTTCGCTGAACTTTGTATCCAGACTGAAGAGTTTCAAAGATTTCGCAAATATTGTTGTGTGCTTCATATTCTGCGTAAGCTAGCTCTGGGTTGGACCAAATCTATAACAAGTCAGTTCCAATATTCTAGTTGGTCTTTCACATTCCAGTCCACGGCGATGATCATACTTTGTGGTTTATCTCCCTCAATTTCGAATCATACCGGCGAAGTGCCTCTTGCACGGTATCAAGGAACACTCTTTGAGATTCGGGTACATGCATCCTGGTTGATTTGGTGATCTGATTGGGTTCGGCCAAGCGTGAGGGTTTGTTCTAAAGGCGCCATGTGTGGACCTTCCACCATTTTTATATGGCGGAAACATCGGCATTGGAAATAAATCCGATAACCAGTGCCTGAATCCCACTCAAACTCATTCTCTTATCATAGAATATTCGGCTACAACGCCTCGGCACCGCTTGGAATTGCTAGATTGGAATCTGCCGATATAGCCAATCGGCAACTCGCAGTCTCCACTCGGCAGATAAGGTCGTGTTCTTCTCTGGCCTCCACTTTCCCCTCAACGTGCATTTCGTTTCCCATTGTCACCTTCTCCCGTAATAGGCCCATAGTCCCTGTTTCTATGAGCTAAATACCCCGGATTTGGGCGCCTCAAGTTCCCCTAACCGAGCGGGTCGGATTTTTTTGGGGACCAGATGTAGCCGCGACGGCTAGAAAGCTCGGCACTATGCATAAACTGGGGAAGACGCGTTCTAAGACAGGTAAAGATCCACATTCCTTTTGTCTTACCGTGCCCTCTTTTCCTTGGGCTAATGTTAGCGTGTAGGTTGTCGAACTTGTCGAGTTCGCAAGGTAAAATGCGATGAGGAGAAACACCCCGTGCCAGGCGGAGAGCCTCAATGTACGCGATGTAAAGCTGCGCGCATCCATTGTGAATGGAAGGGCGCACCTATTCCGCGAAAGTCAGCAACAAACTCCTCATCTAAGAAAGGCCGAGAAGAATCTCAGCCCGCAGAAACACCTGGAGAGTCAAGCAAGGCAGTTGCCAAACCGCCTCACACTAACAACCAACAACTGGTCGCCCCCACCCAGCAACCGACCTTACTTCCATTGCAGCGATTCAATGGGAGTAATAGCGACCAAAGCGTAACTGCAGCCAATTCCTTGACTCTATCGGGATTTGACCGAGAATGTCTCAACTATCTTCAAAATTCGACACTGGTGGTCCTTCTTGGAAAGCACTGGCCATGGTCGGCGGTTTCTTATACCTACCACAAAATTGCTGTAAAAGAACCGATGGTGATGAGCATGATACTTGCTAGCACCGCCAAAGAGATACATCGATCCCGTCTCTATGACCAAGATGTTCTGCCCAGTTCTTCACCAAATAATGAGTCTAGAGTGCAGGATGGATCAATGCATTACGGTCGAGCGCTATCGAGTCTGCGCCACGCTCTCAAACAAGACGTGAAATCACCACAGAAGATAGAGGCTATCTTTATCACTCTTTGGCTCATGATTGACTACGAAAATCGATTCGGTAGTGGGGCAACTGCAATCAACATTCACATACGCGGCATTGAAACAATCCTTTATAATCATATTGTGCCTCTCATACAAGATCAAGGGTCAGACAAGGCCCTCCCATCCCAAGCAATATCATCGCCAACACCTACAGTTGATGGAACATCTCCCTCACAATCAAGTCAAGAAGCGCAAGTTATCAATCCTCCATTGACACCAGAAACGACCTCGCCAATGCTTTACCACCATCCTAATTCATTAGAGACATTGCGATGTACATCCGTGCCGCTTTTCCTGCTTTGGACCTTATACTTTTTTACACCTGCAGCTCTGTTCTTTGGTCCTGGAACGGCGCGGCTGGACACTAGCATCTTTCAATTCTTCCTGGGTGCTGAAACCCCGGGCGCTGGACCCTTGTCATTGCCAGAACTGTACCGAATCAGCAGGCAATCCCCTGCTCGCTTCTGGGGTGACGTGTACCCAGTGTCTGCCCGATTAGATGACATGGAAAATCTTCCCGGCCTCACACTGTACCACCGAAGCCATGTGATACAATTCAAAATAACCGAAATGTTCAAACAGGGGCCTCAAGTGGAGAGTACGACGGGGATGGTGTCACCATACCAATGTCTCATCGACGAGATAAACACACTTTCTATTGTATGACAAACCCCGGATTTTATCTCCGTCCACTTACCAACTCTAACTTTAACTTGACTTCAGGAACACGATTCGCTACTCACCTCTGCTAAATCAACACCATCCTGCGAATCAGTCGGTGGTGACCGCCGCGTCATGGAGACAATTTACTGGGCATCTATCACTTTTTACAGCACAATGGTCTATTTCCATCTCTGCTTTCAGGATATACTGAACAATAGCCCGGAGACTTACGTCCGTGGCGAACTTATGTCTCTCAAAACTGCAGTATCTCATGTCCTGGAGCTGAGTCTCAAGCTGCATCGCAGCCGGCCACGCCTTATGGTGAGAATCACTTGGCCGTTGTTTATTGCTGGCATTGCAACGTCCGATCAGATCTATCAAGATTGGGTCTCGATTCGGCTGCGAGAATTGGGTCGATATGGACAGAATTATGGGCGGATCAGCCAGCGATATGATGAGATTATTCAGGGTTGTCATCCCTATGCATATGACCGACAAGGACACTTTCTGAGTTGTTAGATACCAATTTTTACATACAGACTTTGCATGAATAACCCCGGGTCTGAAGAGCATTTCCCTCACCTTTCAAAAATTGAGTCATAACTCTTTCTTTACCCAGGTCATTTCTTGGAGTTTAGATGAGAAAAACAAATCCCCTAACCAGCTTGTTAGCCCACTCATCCCGGATCGTACCGGCCACAGTCGGTAGATCTTTGTTGGTCTGGCTGAGATACCATTTCAAAATAAACAACTCTGCGAAGAGAGAATCAGGAAGTAAGCATTAATATGCGCAATAACTTGAAGGTATTAGAGGGGTGTTTAGTATCACGTGGGATTTTAGCGGCGCTTATATGTCTGCCAGCGCGAGAAAAGGTACACGCCACGTCTCATCACACCTGCTACTCAAAATCCGAAATTCTAGTACACGGCACAACTATCCTGCCTAAATTCCAGTTGAAACTACCATGATTGACCCCAATGACAGATTCTGGGCTGATGGCCAGTCCTATTTCGGCGCGAGTGACAATCCCCAAACTGAATTTCAGTGCGATGTCTGGGATTGGGATTAACTGCGCATGGTCAAAATCAAGGGGACCGCCAAGCTGTTCAAAGAAGACCAAGATATAGAACTTTCGATCTTTGCGCCATTTGCCGATTACCTCTCTCCTGAAGTTCGCTCTATCACCGTCGATGATGATGGTCTTCTTATCGGAGTTTCGACAGATTCAGGAGAGGACAATAGTCCATATGTTGCATATCCACCCTTAGCAATCTGTGACACCCTTTCTTATTGTCGGAAAATTCAGAAATCTGAGTTACAAGAGCTCGATCGGCTTGGTCCATTTGTTGATCTTGTGTCCTATAAGGATGAGGGCGGGACGCCTCACAAGGTTGTTTTCAAGTTCAATGTGATGGATAAGCCGCTCAGACTACAAATGGCCTGGGACGAAATCAATATTCTAAGCCTTTTACCGCCACATCCTAATATACTACCATTTGACCGTATTGTGGTCGAAGGAGAAGAATCCAGGGTGCTTGGCTTTACAACGCGGTATATCCCAGGTCAAACGCTGGACAATCCAAAAATCCCATTCCGGTTTGAATGGTTGCAACAGCTCACTCAAGTGGTGGATTTTCTCAATTTGGAATTAGGGATTATGCATCAAGATATTGCTCCTCGGAACCTTCTTATCGATGCCGAGACTGAAAAGATTCTCCTTTTCGACTTTGACCGTGCTGCATCCGGAAAGAAAAACTTATCTAATGGTCCAGACGATGTGACTGCCGTTGCATTCACTCTTTATAAGCTCATTACAAATCACGAGTCCTTCTCGCATATCCCTCATTGGGATCGAACTATACATCGGGTTCAAAATATTTCTGAGTGGCCGAGTCACCGCCCCTTAGATGCTAAAGTGGCCAAATTTCGCAACTTCTTGAATGAATGGATAGAAACACGATCTGATGGGGATATGAAGCGATATCTCAATGCACCACGTCGATTCACATGGCCGGACCGGCCTGAAGCGTCTGAGTACAGTGTACCATTCCAGTTGGGCACATTCACAGATGGCAAACCATATATGACAACGGGTCCTCGATCTAGAAGAACCGCAATGAAGTTGGGCAGTATTGCTTTCGCTGGGAACGACCCCCACAGAGCCGGTTGTTGAAAAAGGCCGAGTAATCCATGATATACAAAGTCGCAAGAGTATACATACTACAAAAAATCTGACCACCCGTATGCTCGGCACGGAGCTTTCAGCCATGTTGAGTCCTTAGGATGCTGAAATATGGCGTTTGTGCATACTAGTGATATAGTGTTTTTCTTAAGGGGGTACTTTTGTCCCAATGAGTACTAGTAAGCAGGTTATATTTTGGTCTCAAGTTCAAGTGCACGCTTAGTAGAGGCGGGGTAGTAATGACCTCGGGAGTCATGACCAACTTGAAGAGTTCAAGTTATGATTGCAAATATTCGTAGGAGATAACACAATCAAGAGATTCAAGTTGATATCAAACATTTTTGATTGAGGAGCTTCGGGCTTTGAACTCGGAACTCCGACGCCTAGCCGCTAACTACCTATAACGTAATTCCCGGTCTCGCCGTACACCCCATCAAAAATCACGTCCATCTACCTACCTACCTACTTCAAACATCTACCATGCCACCAATTCGCTCTGAATCTCGGCAGAAATTAATCAACCAAGAGGGCAAGATCCTATTGGCACTGGAAGATTTAAAAAATTGCCGTATCACCACTCTCCGTGCAGCAGCGAAGCTCTACAATATACCCCATACAACGCTAGTCGACCGCGTAAATGGCGTACAAGCACGCGTTGATCAACGCCTACCTAGCTATAAATTGACACAGCTTGAGGAATATTCGCTTACTGAATGGATAATATCTATGGATACACGTGGCGCAGCTCCTAGGCCATCTACTGTAAGAGATATGGCCAATATTCTACTAGCTGCGCGTGGTAGCCATCCCCCACCTACAGTCGGCAAGAATTGGCCATCAACCTTTATCAATCGACGTGATGAGATTCGAACACGTGTCTCTAGACGATATGACTACCAACCTGCCCTAAACGAAGCCCCCAAATCAATTCAAGCATGGTTTACAACTGTACAACAAGTTATCGATGAGAACGGGATCCAACCCGAAGATATCTACAACTTTGATGAGACAGGCTTTGCAATGGGCCTTATTTCAACACAGATAGTTGTTACTCGGCAGGAATACTACGGTCGGCGATCTATTCTACAGCCTGGAAACCGTGAATGGGTTACTGCAATTGAATCAATCTGTGCAGATGGCTATTCATTACCACCATGTGTGATCTTTAAAGGCAAGGTTGCAGTAGCAAGCTGGTTTGATAATCTACCATCTGACTGGCGATTTGAAGTCTCAGCTAATGGCTGGACTACTGATGAGATTGGTCTACGTTGGCTAAAAAAGCTATTCATCCCATCAACAAATTCACGTGTCCGTGGTCGCTTTCGGCTATTGATTCTTGATGGCCATGGAAGCCATCTTACACCCGAATTTGACCGAATCTGCTCAGAGAATGATATTATTCCACTCTGTATGCCACCACATTCTTCACATCTTTTACAGCCCCTAGATGTTGGCTGTTTTTCTGTGTTGAAAATTGCCTATGGTCGCTTTATAAGTGATCTTGCACGTACAGGCTATAACCATATCGACAAGCTTGATTTCTTAGCTGATTTCCAACGTGCACGGGCTGAGGCATTTCGGCCGAATACTATCCAAAATAGCTTTTTAGCTACTGGATTAGTTCCAATTGATGCAGAAAGAGTTCTCTCCAAATTGAATATTTCTCTTCGAACACCTACACCACCAGGTAGCCGACCAAGCAGCAGATCTAGTCAATTTTCACCTAAAACACCTAGAACTGTGGTTCAGCTTCAGAAGCAAGCTTCAATGCTTAAAGATCTCCTAAAACAGCGATCAAACAGCCCTCCAAGCCCGTCAAAATTGATGCTAGATCAAATTATCAAAGGGCATTCGATAGCACTACATAACACTGCGCTACTAGCTCAAGAAAACGCCAATTTACGCGCAGCGAACGAGAAGAAACGACAGAAGCGCAGTCGATCCGCTAGACAGATACCATGTGAACAGGGTTTGACTGTTGAAGAAGGCCTACAGCTACTTACACAGCTGGATTTGCCAGTGGAACCACCTGTGGTTGAATCACACACCCAGGTTGAACTGCCTGTTCAGCCGAATCAGCCAGCGCCTAGGGCTCAGCCTAGGTGTAGTGGGTGTCGAGAGGTTGGACATCGAATTAATGTATGTAAAAATCGTATTTATAACTGAATTTATTGGTGTTGGGTTAAAATATTTGAATTTTAAAAATTCTAGTGGGGTAGAGTGTACGGCGAGACCGGGTGTACGGCGAGACCGGGAACTACGTTAATGAGTCAACCTGAGTCAACTTCAGTCACTCCCTAATTAGGCTTAAACTGCGAGTTCATGGCTTCTCTCTGTCAAATTTACTGAGTAGCTACAATCTAAATGATAATGCAATACTTTAGAGCTGCAAACATGAATACTATTTATACCAACCGATTTCCATTCTTAATTCCTAGAAGTTTTCAGTGATCAAGATTCAAGACCAAACAATGTCAACACAAGCACAATCCCCGTTCCCACCCGGGTTCGCTATCTCAACTTCACGCTTACGCATCGTTCCATTCGACCCTGACAATCAAGAGCACTGCGAATTCCTCGTCCGCTTGTGGAACACAGAGCTGTTCATCAAATCTTGTGGCGCCACCGGTATCCGAGATGCCGCAAGCGCATCGAAATTCATCCGTAACCGTGTGCTCGGGGACTACGAATATCAAAAACATGGCATTTTCCTAGTACTGCTCTACGATGAAGAAACAAAGACTACAGCTCCGATCGGCACAGCCTCCCTTATGAAAGGCAGGCCTCCTGGTGCGCATTACCTGACGCCGGATATCGGCTACGCTATTTTACCCGAGATGAATGGAAAGGGGTACGCGACCGAGGCGGCGAAAGGACTGATCGACTATGCGAGGACGGACCTTGGAATTGAAGGTGTCTTTGGACTTTGTGATTCGAAAAACATGCATAGTCGCAGGGTTCTTGAGAAGATTGGCATGGATTTCAGAGGAATTGCCGAGTTGACGGTGTTTGGCAATGCTTTGAGCGCTGTTTATACTTTGCCAGGGATGGATCAGGATCTGGGTGTTTATGGAATGACTGAGACAATGCAAAAATAACCTAAAAGGCAGACATGATCATTCCTGGCTTTGAATCATACCATCTTCGAGGTTTTTTGTCTAAGCATGATGCACAGTGTTAGGGTTCTGTCTCAAGTCTCATATCATATGTGGGGAAGCTTCTGTTCTTCCCCTTCCTGTGTACCCAAATACATGTATACAAGGAAATAAATAATAAATATCAATTTTTTACATCGAAATATTATTCTTGATTATTCATCACTTCATATCATGGCATTTCATCATATATCGTATCGTGTTGTGTAGGAGGTATCAGAAAATCGTTTGGTAGATTAGTAGGCAGTTGATTCATCTCAGCCCAACGGCGAACTTTTTCAAAGTTCTTACATCGATGCTGGGTGTTAAAGTCAACATATGGCTCTGGGTTCTCAGGGTAGATCCACACTTGACCAAAAACACCAGTATCGATCGTACACATGAGCTGCTGTCGAAGAATATCGAGGCAGTGTGCTGTACGCCTGTGTTAACTAGATATGACCAACAAAGATATACGAGACAAATACCTACAAACATGGTGTCGAACAATGTAATCACCATTGCTGAAGGCTCCCTCGCCTTTGGAATGGTAATACTCATAGTTGTAGTATAAAGACTGTCGGAGAAGATCCTGAGCCGAGTTAGATATGAAGGCTGAGACTTGAGATTAGTTTAACTTACCAAGCAATGCAAATGATGAAGACCCTCAACATTGGCTGGAAACCCTCCCCCATATTTTGGGTTAATCTTGACCTGATCTGATGCTATACCCGAGTCCTGAGCATCTTCAGGTGCTACTCGAATGGCCCGGTCTATGAAAATGAGTCATGAGTAAGTCGAAAAGGAGGTTGGTAATTCGGCGAAAGATTTGAGCTTACAATTCACTCCAAGAGACTCCCAAGCAGCGTCGACTTCAGGGCTTGCATCTTGCCGAAAGATATTCTCTTTAAGTAGGGAACCATTGAACTTCTGAGTGATATACTCAACTCCAGGTTCTTTTAATACAGGCGCTGTTTGCTGGAGTCAGTATATAGTAACTGTCGAGGGTTGAGTGACCGTGACTGACTCACAGTACTGAGAAACATGGTAAGCACATAGACTGTCTAGATCACCACGGCAGAAGAACCCAACCAAAGCACCACTCATGAAAAAGACGCATATAGCAAGGAAGCGAAAGAAAATCATTGCAAATTGGCCGCAAGGACTGAAACTTTGGTTTTGAATCCATGGTAAACCCTCTTCTTCCACTAACAGGCGCTCTTCAGACCCCTTATCCAGATTCTTCAGCTCGGAAGATTTGCCCCCAATCATTATAAAACTTTGTCGAAGAATAGAACCCGCTAAATGATTCAAAGCTGCAAAAGGAAAAAGACAGTGCGCAGTGCATGAGTAAGACTTCAAAGTGACTAGGGACGGATTAAACTTCTCTTGAGTTGAATCGTTGTTAGACCGCCAGTTCTTCGAAATGTCGCACAATTTGAAGAACCCAGCCTGACTACTCCAGGGCTATCCCTCACTCGAGATGTTACTAACAATAGGAGCTCGGGCATCGTGGATGTTTCCCCTGCATGTCTTACATATGGTGTCGTCCAATGACAAACATTTAGTCTAGATGATCATAGGAGGCCTAAAGCTATCTCAAGGGGCTGGGTGCACACAATGAAAATCAACATGGATAGAAACAAGCATATACGGATTTGCCGTCGTAAGCAAACTCTTGTCAATACACCCAAGTGCTTTTGATCTGCACATCCGAGGCCCGGGTGATCATCTGAAATGTGGTTAAGCCCCTTCCGGTGCGATCTGCACTGCCAGCACGCTATTACCGCTGATCTTAATGCGAGGTTCATCAACAATGTCCAAGCGTAGTATAGGAAGACATGAAACGCGAGGGTACTTTTTCAAACATCATGTTCGCTCACGGCCTTCTGAAGTCATCGTGCGTTCTCAAAATGCCGATTTACCGTCAATTGTCCCAAGGCAGAATGATTCTTGGCCACACGTTGAGCTCGGCCCCTTGCAGTCGTGCCCTAATCCTCTGCTCAACTCCATGATGTGATGGTTTACTGAGCTCAGAAAATACCCTCAAAGCTGGAGAGAGCTCAGCAGAGGTTCGAGCACTTGAATCAAATACGTAATAATAACTTTCAATATCGAGTCTATTCATCTCAGCTCGACTATAAATACAAGTCTATCAGACGGATCAGGACTTTCATCTCATCAGGCAAAGCGACTCTCAAGATTCTCAGGATCCCAAGAGTCTGCAAAAATCAAATCCCACAACTTTCAAGATTTTCGATTATAAGACAAACTCATTCCAATATGCGCTACTCTTTGATCAATGGCATACTCCTCCTGGCTGTCTCGCCACTGACCGCGCTCGCCCTCCCGGTCGACCCCAATGACCAGTCTGGTGTCTGGGACCCCAGTGGTCAGTACCGCAGGGGTCACTATGTGAATGGCCAATTTGTTCCTAATTCTGGATCCGAATACAACAATGGCCAGTGGAATAATGGCCAGAACAATAATGACGGCCAGTACCAGAATGGCGAGTACAACAACGGTCAATACAACAACGACCAGTATAACAATGGCCAGTACGGCAATAAAAATGTCAACACCGAATACAATAACGGTGAATACAACGACAACGGCGAGTACAACCGCTACCAGCGCCGTGGCATGAGCGCCCGTCCCTTTGGCAATGGTCGTCCCCACGTCGGTATTCCTGGCGCTGGTATCCCCGGCCTGAATGCTCGCAGCTGGCCCTATGACAGCAACCAGCAAGGTGGCTGGACCAATGACAATGGCCAGTGGCACTCCAACAACGACCAGAATGGTTGGACTGGTGCCAATGGTCAGTGGCACTCGAACACTCAGAACGACCAGAATGGCTGGTACGACAACAACGGCCAGTGGCATGCTAACGCGAAGCGAGGTATTGGGCTTCCTGGCGTCGGTCTTCCTGGTGTCCATGGCGTTCCCACTGGTAACGACCGATTGGAAAATGCTGCTGCGTCTGCTCTCCACGTCCGCTGGAACCGCCCCGAGAACTACGATGGAAACGATGGCTACTACAACAATGATGGCGACTATAACAATGATGGCTACTCTCACAACAGTGAGAGCGAGCGCGAGCGTGAACGCGAGGAAGACCGTGAAGACAACCGTGAGGATGCTGCCGATGCCGCTCAGGCTGCCACCTCTGTGATCAACAACCTGAAGGCTCGCAACTACCCCAACGATGAGTACCATAACGGTGAGTACAACAACAACGGCTATTACCAGAATGGTGAAGGGGAGCATGAGCATGAGCGGGAAGAGGATCGCGAGGAAGATCGCGAGACGGCCGCCGATGTCACCTCCACCGTCCTTAACGGACTGAAGGCTCGTGAGAGCAGCAATGAAGACGCGATGTACAGCACTGGCTACCACGACGACATTCATGGTCGCAACGGCCGTGAGGCTATTGCTAATGTCCTGACATCGACCCCTACCGTTCCTGTTCCCGTCAAGCGCTGGTGGCCATTCGCTTCTGGCTTCAACCGCAACAACGACAACTACAACAACGACGAAAATGACAACTATGGCTACCAGGACAAGTGCAAGAGCAATGACGAGGAAGACCGCTCTGGCTGGGATTGTCGCCATGACTGGGACGCTAACCGCCACTCCACTCCTACTCCTCGTGTCTGGGCTCGCAACTACCCCAACGACCAGTACAGCTCGAACTACCCCCAGGCTACCCCTGGTGTTCAGAATGGAAACTATTACAGCTACAAGAACTACGGCTCTTACCAGAACTACCCTACCAATGGCCAGACTCAGGACCAGAACCTCAAGGCCGCTGGTGGTGAGCAGCAGTAAACGAGAGATTTGATGGTAGATTGGTCGATGATCCATTTCGGTACGTTCATCGCTCTTCTCATATACAACACACCACTTACTCATTTTTCAGAGAGGATCGCACGCACGCAGGAGTTGGATGATTTTCATGCAAGTGATGATTGTTTAATGATATCACGAACTGTATACGCTCTTTACTTTGTTATTTGGCTTAGATTTCGGGTGGCTTTCATCGTAAATGTTAGCTACAGCAGGTAGTTTAGAAATGAAATGCAATAAATTGATGCAAAAGACTCTCAGGATTAGGCGTATGTAGATCCAAGGTCACCCCATCTGATATTCGAGAACGTCACTGAAGTACCTGGATACTTCGCTTCAATGAGAGTTGGATTTCCTTCAGTACTGTTACAAGGCCCAGCACTGCCACTGTCCAACCAATTCATATAAGCCCCAGAGTCATTCCAGATGCTGAAAATTAAAACCATGCCTCGACCGATAGCCTTGCCAACCTGCTTCAAACCTCCCATACTCTGGAAATAGCTCGCAGAGCCCGAGCAATACTCATTTGTGATCGAGTCCGTCTCAACACCAGAAACATCCACGACAGCATTCTGGATAACTTTGTTATCCTGGACATATAACCGGCGGATCTCAGTCAATGAGCCCTGCGATGTATGATCATCCGTGATGAATTGTGTCACAACTGTAAATACTCTCGTCGTATCGACCACCTTTCTATATCCATAATACCCAGTATCACCCAGGGCATAAGGATTAAACCCACACCCGGACTCATCGCAAACCCCAGAACTTCCACATTGATCCCCCGTACATTCATACAACCCCGAAATATTGCACGCATGCGGCGTCAAAGCCGTAGCCCGCGCATTAGCCTCCCAGAGATCCATCTCGCTACAACAAGATCCCTTCCCAGCAATATTAGCCACACCATTAATCCACGGATCATCTGAGCACTGCGCATCACAGTACCCAGTTCCATACTGTGCGCCCGCAGGATTCAGAGCTCCCCGGCCGCCAGACTCCGCCATCTCAGCCAAATACAACGCGCCGTTCATACCGCAAACAAGCGATGAGACATTCACATCGAAACTGATCTCTTGGTTCAGTAAGCGAAGCATGTCGTAGTTGCGCCCACTCTCATCAAGTAAATATACACGCGGTGTTACAGCGCTCCATGTTCCGTCAGTCTCGAGATATTGATGCATAATAAGACTACCGCCCTGCGTCTGTACACCGTGTGCTGCGTAATCTGCACCCTCGAGAACGCAGTTCTCGGCGCAGGATTCCTGTGTTGCGCAGAGTATTGGGTTTAATCCTGTGTCCCAGGATCCACATGATACGCTGCTGTTTCCCTTTTCGTGGAGTGGGTGTGAGAGAGCATCGAGGACGACGGAGGTGTCTTGTGGGATGCAACCTGCTTCTGTTGTACATTTCCAAGTTTGGAGCTTAGGGTGAATTTCAGGGATTTTGCCGATTTGTTGAGCGGTTGTGAGGTGGATTATACCTCCTACTAAGAGGAGGAAACGCGCCATGTTTATGTAGTTCGCGTTCAAGTTGAGATGAATGATAGTAAATTTTCGGATTAATGATCTCGGATTCTCAGTTTCCGGTTAACATGCTTGTTCTTGTATTTCAATTGTGAATTCCTTTGCAATGGTCATATTTTGGAAGGCGCTGGCTTCAATTAATAGTGAGAAGGGGTGTGATATTAGGCTTAAAAGGGGACTCGGAACTAGAAGACACATCACAAAAATGAAAGTGAAATCCCCCTTTTCATTGCTTTCACCCGAAGACCCGGAATGGCCAAGGAGCTATTGAATTGGAATGTGAGAATCGCATTGCTCTGTTTACTCCGAATCTTCTTCTCCGCATTTCGGCCCTGAAGAATTTAGCCGCTGATACTGCAAGTTGACAACTTTCCACCAGTGGTAGCAACGCAGATAAAGTAGTATGTTTCAAGGGTCCCCTGCACTAAAGCCACTTTTCTCTTTTTGATACGGAGCATTGAGAGTTCAAATAATGATTTAGCCGTTCGGTTATTGATGATACTACGCAGGACGGATTACATTGATTGTGATCGTCGGTGAGGCTGGCCAGGGGTAGTGGCGCGAGTCATTACCATGTGAAGCTTGGCAAAGATCAGTCGACTTTCATAATTCATGCAGGTAATACGTGCTAGTAATTGTTCGAAATTAGAGTGGTAAGTTAAGTTTTCAAATAGATTATTGCTCAAAGAGTGACTGAGAGTGAGATAGCAATTCTGCAGCAACGCAAGAACCATGTTAAATGGTGATCAGTAACAATCAGTGACATGCCATGTTGGATGGCTTGAAATAAGGAACAAAAAAGTAAAAAGCGCATGCGTTTACTATTGTGCAGCTAGCTGAGCTTAATAGTCATCGCCGCGACTAATGACTTCTTTGCCAGATTGGCCCAGCAAGATGGTCTAAGACGGAATTAGAACAGTGAACACTAGCGATGAGGAGACACAACATACATGTTCAAACTGGGCAGAGTAAGAGCCTTCGATGTCCATCAGGGGTGGATAGTGGTCGACGACTCCTTGGGAAATGAGGTAGTTCATCTGTGAAAAATTAATACGACATTCCATTCAATTGTATCACGGGGAGTACTTACGCCGGCAAGATACCGGTCTACCCCGAGACGTTCAAGATAACGACGACAGAAAACAATCGTGCCGAAGTTATCGTTGATGGTCTTGTACAGAGATCGGGCTGAAGCAAGAGGGGTCATCACTCTTTTCGGAGCCTTATAACTCTTGCCGTACCCATAGACGCCAGGCTAAACATTCAATGTCAGAGTGCAGGTTTTCTTCGTGAAAGGGGAGAGTTGCTCAACATACACCGTCTACTGTACGTCCTCTTCCTGTAGATCCAAATGTCTCGACAGCAAAAACTTCGCCTTCTTCCATTTTGGTCTGGTTCTTCGTTCGCACGAAGGGAATGGATTTCCCTCCATGGATCTGGTATTGCCTGATATTGTGGCCACTGAGATCTCGTACCGCTTTGACTGGATACGTTTGACCTCTGATCTCCACTTCATAGCTTTCCATGGCCTCTTGGATGGCAGCGCTTACATCGCTGATTCGGACGTCGATACCAGCATTCTGGTCAAGAGATTAGTTGTTGTTTTGAGGATAGGCTACAGGTTCATCTCACCTTGATACCGGTGTTTGTCGCATCCTTAACTGCAGCAAGCAGATTGTCATATGTTGGATCAAATGACATAGTGAAGGCACTGTCAACAATCCAACCATTGATGTGGACACCAAAGTCCACTTTCATGACATCACTTTTTTGCAAGATAACATCTTTCTGGCCTGGGTTCGGTGTGTAATGCGCAACGCAATTATTTACCGCAAGTCCAGTCGGGAATCCCATTCCAGACACAAGACAACCTCCCGTCTCAAGGCCGGGGTTATCGAGCAGCGCTCTCACGCCATCATCAATACCATCAGCAATCTCTCTGAGAGTCTGGCCAGGTCTGACGTTGTCTTGAGTCCATCGCCGAACCTGACGATGAATCTCGGCGGCTTTACGATAGTTCGTGAGCCATGTCTTGTCCTGGACGGAACGGCGAGAATCGTAGCGAGCTTCCTCAGCGGTGGTGCGAGCCGTATTGTCGACCACGGCCTCATAGTTCTGCATTTCTCCACTCGGGTACTGCTCATTGCGGAATATGGTAGTCAGAGGGATACGTGGAGGCGACGACTGCTTGATGGTCGTCTTCTTCTTGGACTTCTTTCTTTTCTTCTTCTTTGAAGCGTCTGTTGGGGCGGGTTGGGGCGTTAGCGACTCGGTAACAGCCCCAGGCTGATTGTCGCCGTCGTCGTCATCGCTGTCCCCGTCACCCAAACTTCCATCACCATCGCGGGAGAGATGAACTCCTCGCGGTTCTCCACCAGTAGCGGCAGACTTGTTTGAGTTGGACGGGTCATCTATTCCAAGGTTAGTTGGGGAATATTACGGGGTATATGGAGTTGCATCGAAACTTACTACCGCCATTCTGGCTCTCGTTCTCAGCTGTCTTGGAGCCCATTTCCACATGAAGTAATTTATGTTGTCACGCGAGATTAGGATAAGGAGAAAAGATAAACGGCCCCTCGGAGGGTCCTTCTGTGGAGACGGAGAGCGGTGTGGGGCCACTTAGAGCAGATCATGATATGTATAGAGGCAATTCTTGAGGCTAATTAGGCGAAATGATGGAAATTGTGAGATAGTTTACAGGTATTGATAGAGTCTGCGGGTTCTTGGCTCGGATCTCAGCCTATTATGAACATGTTGGAGTCTTCATCATAATTTCCTGCATGTTTTCCAGAGACCTCCAGATGATGTAACAATCTACAAGTCTTCACGCCGCGCTTTGCGCGACACTGACAGTGTACATAGCAGCGAGCATTTGAAAATTGGAAAGATACTATGTCCCCAGCACTCAAGTGTTTAGCCAGGTGTGTTCACATACATAAGTACAGGGCTCAGTCCGAGTCAGTAGCATCTATTATAGAGGTGACTGAGGACCGACCTCTCTTTCAAGTTGTATGTAGGTACCTAGTATAGGGTTACCTACAAGGTTATATACATGTTTATCTACAGGCACTTAGCTGGAAGTTTATCTGAAAGGGAAGTTAGCTGATATGTTGTTGGATATAGGCAACTGGTATGTAGCCCTGTAAGATGTAGTCTATCCTCCCGAGGTCGGGTATCAAGATTCAAGACAGACGGGTGAATAAAAGTGCAGGAACCCAAGTAGTAAAAGAGGTCTACAGTGATCCGAATTCATATGAACATCTTAAGATTCAAAGTGCACTATTGTGAGCAGCCATTAATTGCTTAATGATACCAAATGGATTATTGTACTGTGCTTGCTTACCACAGTCTGATACCAGTCCGAGTCTGAGGGGCGATTCAGTCTCCAGATGTCTAGTGATGTAGTACCATTTAGAGCTCTATCCTGATCAAGTTCGAGCTTTAGTAGACTGCTAAAGTCTTATGAACAGCTTTCTTCTCTAGAATGGTGCAATTTTGCTGATTTCTACCCACAGCAAACTGTGCTCGCAGGTTTGTATTTCTGTCAATGCTTCGCGGGCATGGGGGTGAAAGATTCCAAGTACTTGAAGATATCCAGCCTCATGTATGGATTCCAATGTTCAAAATAGTACATTTGTCGCCTTTCAAACGTGGCCAGATCATATCAAATGCAGGTGAGACCAGTTGACCCAATAAGAGCTTGATCTTTCAGGCTGAGGCTGAAAACGTCAGGCATATATGCCTGCTAACAAGGCTCGGGGGATTTTGGGATATATCACACCATCTTATTGCCCGTGGTCAATAGTAAAATGATAGATGAAGTTGGGCAGGAAATAAATAATAATAATAAAAACAGCTTGAATGGTGCATAATGATGTAGACTTGAGCTGTGAAGTGGAACTGGAAACAATGAGCAAACCAGATCGGCAGAGATCAGTCGGCAGTACCATCACCGCCCGCCCGCTGGGCCCGCACTTTCATCAATTCCACCACCACCAGCCCTCCCATTATTAGCGACTCTTCCTGACCTCCGAGAGCTGACCGCGAATATCTATCCCTTTCAATATCTAATACCTGCACTGCGCAGTCAGACAAGTAAAGGGGTTACAGCACCCCGGGGTTGATCAACCAATCTCTGCGGCTGTCACCTACCCCTCGACTCCGCGCAAACACCGAGAACGGATACTGAGACGGACCTCTAAACCGCCAAAATGATGGAGGATTTCAACAGCGAGACAGACAGCGACTATACAAGCTACTGGCGAGACTGGGTACGTTATTGGTGGATGGGTTGCGATAGGACACTTTTTTTGCCCCGCAGATGGGTCCTCCCGGTTGTGGTTGAAGACCTGCGGTCGAAGCCTTCGCATTTGAGATCACCCTGCATCGCACTATGGAGGAATTGGAGAACGAAAATATGACTCTATGATCTCTCTTCATACCTCCTGCAGGGGAACTCTCTTTGCCAGGATCATCAGCCTTAATTCACCTTAGATCTGGCTATTTCTATGATGTTTATGAACGAAGACAGCTAACATTTGTCTCTATTTCAGTTTGTTTCGTCACGGGGAAACGAATACTTCTGTGAAATCGATGAAGACTACCTGACAGACCGATTCAACCTGACGGGTCTTAACACCGAGGTCCCATACTATCAATATGCGCTGGACCTTGTGACCGACGTCTTTGACCTTGATGCGGATGATGATCTACGCGAGCAGATTGAGAAGTCCGCTCGCCATCTGTATGGCCTGGTTCACGCACGCTATATTGTTACTACCCGCGGTTTGGCCAAAATGGTATGTCTTACATCTAGACCCGTCACTGTAATGTGCCAAGCATGGTGAGCTGATATAATCAAAACAGCTTGATAAATACAAGAAGCTCGACTTTGGAAAATGCCCACGGGTGATATGCGATGGCCACCCTCTTCTGCCAATGGGCCAGTCTGATCTCCCCAGTATGACTACCGTTAAGCTCTACTGTCCCAAGTGCGAGGACATCTACAACCCCAAATCTTCCCGACATGCCTCAATTGACGGTGCTTACTTCGGCACCTCCTTCCACTCCATTCTTTTCCAAGTCTACCCGGCATTGAACCCCGAAAAGAGCTTGCGTCGTTATGAGCCCCGTATTTACGGCTTCAAGGTTCACGCCGCTGCTGCTCTGGCGCGCTGGCAAGATAGCCACCGAGAGGACCTCCACTGGCGTCTAGGTGAATTTGATATGGCGCATAGGTTCATCGAGGAAAGCGAAAGTGAAGATGAGGATGCCTTTGAGTATGGTGAACAGGCTCCTGAGGCAAAGGTCGAGAAAGTAGCCGGGGATGCGGCATCCGGTCGCATGGATCTTGGCAACTGATTGCACCACCGCACTGGATCTTTTTATGGGCAAATTCGGCGCAATGAAGGATTTCCTAGGATTTGATCACCCGTTCTATGGGTTAACGAATAATGGCGTTCTCCGGCCTGACTGGCCTACCTCCGACTGTATCTACATCAATCCTCCGTCTCCCCAAGGAATTCTGAAATGAAGGAGATCGATACTTTCTTATCGTATTTTTTTAGAGTTCTTTAACTTAGTCAATGATTATTCACACTTCTTTACTATGCAACGCTTGAGCCCCCCAGAACCTTGGGCTCTGGTGCCAGGCCCATCTTCTGCAACTCGACAAATGCGTATTTGATTGCCCGAGCCAGCTCCTCTCCTTGACTCCATATTTCATCATGGCCACCCTCGAGAGACAACATTTGTACCCGCCTCTCGCGAGTGGACAACTCCCGCACCGGGATCTGAGCTGGCTTCTGTTCCCATCCTCGCAAAGCCTCTTTCATTTCCAACATCTGGCCCTCGTCCACGAGTCCATCATCCTTAGAATGGGCTAGCACGACTAATCTCCCAGTTTTCCAGCCACCCTCCACGCCCCGCGACCCAACCATCTGCGCCGGTGACACGCCATCCCAAAGCATCACATCATTCCCAAATGCCCCTTCAATGAACTCCCTGTATGCCCCAATCTCCCGGTGCGCATCCTGTAGTCTCCGTAGATCGTATATCCCCGCCACACCCACTATCGCTGCTGGTTGCGCCGACAGCTTCGGCGGTAATGGTCCGGGAGACATAGAGACCTGCTCCGCGCCCGCACCGTCGTCATTCGCACCTCCACTGAACGACTGCTCGCTATGACTTGCAACAGCACCCATAACAGCTTGGAAAGCCAAAGTAGCGCCACAGCTATGCCCAACGAGAATATATCGGGGACCGAAGTTATAGGTATTCTGCAAAAATGCCAATGCAGCCTCAACGTCACGGATATGGTCCGGATGCTTTGCATTGCGGAATTCCTTGGCCGGGGTTTCTAGTTCATCTTGCGGGTGGTTGGGGTGTGCGCTTAGTCTGTAGGAGATTGAAGCAATGCCGGAGATAGGAAGTCCGGGGGAGCTACGCAGGATCTTCGAGGTGGCATCGAATGAATCGGATTTTATAGTTGGATCACGCCACGCACCACCGTGTATATAGCTATTTCACGGGCCATGCGGTTAGTTATTAGGCCATCTTATTCGTGGTGTAGCTTCGATATTCCAGCGAACTCTGGTGGGGTTGCGATACATCACCCAGTAGCCATCTGGATTGGTGTCTAATAGTGTCACAGATATGGTTTGGAGAACATGGGATCGCCCGTATGTGACGATTCTTTTCCCTGGCTGAGCTTGTTGGGAGCTCATCTTGGACTTGGGATGAATGCCAGTGCAGGACTCGGAGAGACTGATATTGGGCTGATAATGATATAGATAGTAGACGATAGCGGGAAGCGGGACAATCGCCGTGTTATGACTAAGGGTCAAGCAATTGGGTACAAATTTGAGTACATGAATATCGTGTCTTAAAGAAGAAAAGAAGTAGAATAGAAACTGGGAATATTCGGAGTATATTTTTATGTGACTATTTAAATTTCAATGCTAGTATCGGTATCAGATATACAACGCAGGTTGTTGTCCTCAGGCACAATGCGGAGTTGAAGTTGCGGCGAGGGATACGTTATGATACTGTAATACCCCTCAATCTTTGAGCCGTTTGGTGCAGGGACCTTGTAATTTGATACGCACTTACCATACCACGCTAAACCGTAATAGGACCACCCGTTTGAATTGTTCTCACACAAACCGATCTTCCCCATCAAAGAGACTCTCAACCCACTCTCCCCAGTGCAACTAGCTTTCAATATGGCCGAGTATGTATCATGGAATGCTGTCACTTAGACCGCTTGACTAATGTGAAATCTTAGAGCACAAGCCCCTCTCGTGGCCGTCAAGGTCGAGGCCCTGGTACGATCCCCTCCAAATCTTGAAAATCTGGCCTAGCCCTCGCCAGCGAGAAATACTCATGCCCTATGTTATAGGTGGTGATGAAAATCATCAAGCACTGCAACCAGACCTTCCCCACTACCGCGACCGGTTCCCTCGTTGGTATGGACATCGACAACACCCTCGAGATCACCAACTCTTTCAACTTCCCCGTAGTTGATGTGCCCACCGAGTCGCACTTCGACAATGCCGCCCCAAACCCTGCTGCCGCCGCTCCCGTGCTAAGGCCAACGCCGCTTACCAGGCTGAGATGATTCGCATGGTGCGCGAGGTCAATGTTGACGCCAACAACGTCGGATGGTACACCAGCGCCAACATGGGCAACTTCGTCAACATGAACGTGATTGAGAACCAATTCTACTACCAGAAGGAGATGAACGAGCGAACAGTCGCGCTGGTCCACGATGTCAGCCGTAGCGCCCAGGGTGCCCTCAGCCTGCGTGCTTTCCGCCTTTCCGCCAAGTTCATTGAGGCTTTCAAGGAGAACAAGTTCAACTCCGAGGAGTATGTGGCGCTCTTTTTTATACCCTTTTCCAAAAGAAGAGGCTACGGAATTTCCTTTACTGACTGCGACACAGGCTGCAAAAGTCTAACCTCCGCTACCAAGACATCTTCGACGAGCTCCCCGTCGAGATCCACAACTCCCACCTGATCACTTCCTTCATTCACCAGCTGCAGACCCCCAAGAATGCTCCTACCGACCTTCCCGCCTCCCTCGCTGCTCTTGAGGCCAGCCCCTTCTCTCAATCCTCCGTTCTCTCTCCCAACCTTGACAACCTGTCTCTCAGCATCGACCCCTTCCTCGAGAAGAACTGCGACCTCCTCCTGGAGAGCATCGAGAACCACAACACCGAGGTCAACAACTACCAGTACTACCAGCGTGTTCTGGGTCGCGAGCAGCAGAAGATCAACAACTGGAAGCAGAAGCGCACCCAGGAGAACGCCACCCGCGCCACCCTCAAGCAGCCCCTCCTGCCCGAGGACGAGTGGCAGCGTCTTTTCAAGCTCCCCGCCGAGCCCAGTCGGTTGGAGAGCATGCTCAACACCCGCCAGGTGGAGCAGTTCTCGCGCCAGGTCGACAGCTTTGTCTCGTCGACTACCGGCAAGATGTTCGCTGTTAAGGGCAACCTGCTGCCCGGTGAGACTGCGAAATAGATGGGTGTGGACCTGAGGCTTTTGGGATTGCATGACCTTATTACGGCGTAGGGAGGGAAAATGTTCCTTGGATGTTTATACGACTTCCTCTTTTTTTTCTTATTTTGTATTCGTGACGTTTCGAGTCCTTTTTTTCTTGTCTAATTTTTGACATATCTGGACTCAGAGCTGTTCATAGAAAACAATGACTTTGTCTAGACATGAAATATTTATTTGCACGCTACCTTATATCAAATATATACTTCTGCTTTTTACTACCAGTTGACAGCTATGTAGATCTATCGCCCCCTTTTAGCCCTAATCTACAGGGTATGATCTGTCATGTGACCTATATTCTATGACTTCATCGATAGTGACAACATTACAATGAGTCGTAGTATAATCAGGGCAGTACATCTGGAGGAATCAGGTTGGTCCTTCACGAGATGTCTTTTCAGGCTGTCATTCATCTTAAGTCAACTCCACATCATTCAACAACTATCGTGCGATGTATAATAGTCATACGGACATCTGGATTGTGAGTATCCACTTTAGATCTATAACCAAACTGCATGTCAACTTGAACTTGGACTTGAAGGAGAATGAGCACCTCTGCCCAAAATGAATTTTCATTTCAAGCTCAAATAACATACTAACGAGCCCCAAACATTTTATTTAGGCCGGTGCATTTGCAGCGGTTGTGGTCGATTTCATCGTCTACCCTTTTGACACCCTGAAAACACGCGTCCAGTCTCCAAATTATGAGCGTGTCTTCAAAGATCCACGGACAGGTGCCGTGAAGCGCAATATATTATTCCGAGGTTTATACCAAGGCGTTTGGAGTGTTGTTTTTTCAACTATTCCATCTTGTGAGTGCAAGTTGTGAGAATTCAAGTTTTCCACCTGCACTGGCACCTTCATATATATTTCTTCAAATCTTACTAGCCTGGAGCTTGCACCATGATCCTTCAAGTTCAAGTCGGAATTTCAAGCCCATGATATACTATCCTAGTAGCTGCCAGTGCTTACTACCTAGGTAGTAGCCCTGGAGCCCTGGAGTATCTATGGACGTACCACACATGTGCATTACTAACAACCTCCAGCAGGAGCCTTTTTTACAACATACGAAGCTGTTAAATATGCCTCCTACAACTCCTCCAGAAACCCCCAAGGGGCCAGCCCAACAATTCAGACATCCCGCTCAACACTACGTCTTCCATTCGACCATTCTCTGCCTGCACCAGTAATCCACGCCATCGCATCTTCATCCGCAGAGATGGTCTCATGTCTCATGCTCACGCCAGCAGAGGTTCTGAAACAAAACGCTCAGATGGTCAATACTTCTACTTCACCCGCATCCTCTAATACTACCTCGAAACATCAAAACACAAACGCTATGCGCGAAGTTCTTTCAAAATTCAAATCTCAACCATGGCGTCTATGGAGTGGCTATACCGCTCTTGTTGGTCGCAATCTCCCATTTACAGGACTGCAATTCCCGATGTTTGAGTTTGTGCGTTCGCGTGTTATTGACTGGAGAAGAAGACGGAAGACACAGAAACACATCCTGTCAGGGGAAACAAGGAAGACACCCTCCTCAGTGCAACGAGATGAGTTGGTTGAACGGACTTTGTTGACTGGTCTTTCGGCAGCTGTATCGGGGACCGTCTCTTCTTTTGTTACGACGCCCATTGATGTCGTGAAGACGCGAGTCATGCTTTCTGCTACTGATATCCCTCATCAGCCTGAGCATGGGTCCAAATCTGATTATAGAACCGCAGAAGAGCGGCCCACAGGGAAGAAGATGGAAAGGCCGCCTACGAAAGGCACCTGGGATATTGGGAAAGAGATATTTCGGAATGAGGGGCTGAGAGGATTGTTCAAAGGGGGTGCTATTCGGTCTGGCTGGACAGCTATCTCTTTGAGTTTATATCTTAGTCTATACGAAGGCGGGCGGATGTTCTTAGAGAACCGACGGAAGGAGATGGAGGGCATAAGTCCTGGTACTTGATATGAAGAGCAAATTTAAACACGAGATATCTAGACATTGAAAGCTTTTAGACTCTGGTTGTGGATGTGAAAGAAATAATTCCGAGTCACACCTGTGATTTTGAATTTAAAATGGTCTTTAATGACTTCTCACATCTCTGTGCCTATACAGATGTCTATCGATAAAGCTATACCGGGAATCTGAAGATAATTATATGTGGGAATTCAACTTGAAATTTTGAGCACTTCATATCTTTCAATCATATTCAAATGTTGCATGTCATGGAATCATTTCGTATCTGTCGTAAAGACGGCCAAAGTTTGAGGCCAAGACTTTCATAGAAAAGAGAAGGAAACACATCAAGGGGAATATTCATCACAAAATCAAAAAAGAAAAGAGAAGGAAACAAATACAGAACCGCCAGCACCATGATAGTCAAACAAGAAGGGGAGGGGAGAGAAGGGGGAACAGAAAAGTGAAATAGATACAGCCAGGCCATGATACTCAGTTTCACACGAGTGAAGGATGTATATGTTGATCGTATTTTAAAAGTTTGCAAGCTTGCGCAGCCAACTTGACTTCTTGGTTCCAGAGCTTGGAGGAGCATCTTGACGACTTCCACGGGATCGCATACCACGGTCTCGTTCATAGTCTCCGCTACCTGAGCTGCTCTTCGGATCACGGCGCGATTCTCGACGACGAGAACGCGTGTCATCAATTTCTTCGTCGGGAATATCTCCGTATTTAGCACGACGACGGGCTCTGCGACGGACCGCACGACGAGCTTCCTCGTCAGAGGAGAGCGAGTGAGCGTTTAAGCCCTCAGCAGCAGCGGCAGCAGCAGCAGGAGGCATATCAATGAAGGTAGGGACGAGTTGTGGAGGCTCTGGTGGTTCATCGGCTTGAGAGTAGACCCAGGAAGATGTCTTATCCTTTGGTCTGCCGAGAAGGCCACCAGTCATAGCAGGTTCGGGGTATTCGTCAATAATAGGTCTGGGCCTGCGACGGGTCTTCGAGTCATCTGTACGTGAGCCCCGACGACGTTCATCAGGGTAGAGATTTACGGGCTCTTCAGCACGTGAACGACGCCGTCTGGCTTGCGCGGCCATCTCCTCGTCCCGAAGGTCCCGAAGTCGACGACGTTCGCGTCTCTCTGCAGCTCTGGCTTCGGCTTCGGCAGCGGCCTCCGCTTCACGGGCTGCTTGTTCTTCGCGTGCGCGACGTTCTTCCCGTGCAGCGCGGCGGATACGTCGTCTCTCTTCTTCCTCTGCCAGTTCCCGGTCTCGTTGCTCGCGTGCTCTTTCTTTCTCTCTGCGTCTCGCACGACGTTCCTCGGCTTCTCGTACCTCTTCGAAATCACGCGTGTCAGACGGAGCTTGTCGAGATGAGCGTTTTGCTCGTCTGGCAGCTCTACGGGCTTCTGCATCTTCAGGTTCTATCTCGAAAGCGGCGGCGCCAGCGAAATCAGTAGCGAACCCCTCTGCATCTGTATCTGGTCTAACAGATCGACGGCGACGGTCTCGGTCATCACGGCGTGCTGCTCGTCGAGGATCATCGCGTTCGGGTTCGGTCATGTACCGATACTCATCGTCGCGGTACGAGCGGGATTTACGTCGATCAGGCATTTCTGGTCGAGTGTTCTTTCTCAAAGACCCAAAGAGACCCATCAAACCACCAGACTCTTGCTTCTTTGGCGGAGCAGTATTTGCACGCTTCAAGCGTCGATCCCTTGGGTCTCTGGGCGTATCGACAAGCACACCGTCATCTGGACCAGATGGACCTTGGTCAGCATCAACCATAACGGCGTCGTCGTATTCGGGCCTCGGGCGTGACTATGAGAAATTGGTTAGAAGTGCGGTCAAGGTAAGGTTAGATCAGAGTTATTCACCTCTTTCCGTGACCTGCGTTTGGATGGTGCAGATCCCTTAGAGCTGTCTTTAGGTGATTGACCCTCGGCGTCTTCCACATCAACCATGACCAAGTCATCATCATCAATTACGTACGGGTCTCGAGGGGCTAAAGGTACAATTAGGCTTCGGACGTTAGCGTGGGATGTAAATTATGAGCTTACCTGACTTTCGTCTCTCTGTCCGTGGACGTTCACGCTGCTTCGATTTGGAAGCGCTCATGCCCATCAACTTAGCTGCCTTATCGGGCATCTCACGTCGCTCACGTCTCTCATCTGGAGAGGGTGATAGCATGGCGTCCTCGTCTACTGATGGCCTTCGAGATACCGGTCTAGAAGCTGATTTTGATGTGGGCGGCTTACGTGTTGACTTTGTCCGTGCAGATGGCGGAGTACCAAGAATGAAATTGGAAATGGCGGTGGCACGCTGCTGTTTGGAGGCGCGTGCTTCACGTTCTCGTTGTTTATCGCGGTCTGATGTCGATGATTTCTCCAGATCTTGCTCAGGCTCCTTTGGTCGAGACTTGGTGGCCTTTGGTCGTACGGCTGCAGCAGGGCGCTCTTCTCGAGTGAATTCCTTTTTCCGGGATTCCTTGGTCTTCGAAGATTTCTTTTCCTTGGGTAGTGCCTTAGGAGGCTCTTCTTCTTGCGGAGCTTCTGCTTCCTCGGGCTCTACCACCTCGGGCTCCGCTACTGGCTCTGGCTCTGGTTCCGGTTCTGGTGCTGCCTCGGGCTCAGACTCGGGCTCTGGTGCTGGTTCCGGCTCAGGCTCCTTCGGTGGTTTAGCCTCCTTCTTGCTTGATTTCTTTGGAGGTGGTGCTGCACCCCAGAAACTACCCCAGCCAGAGGAGGTAGTGGTGCGTTCCGCACGGGGGCGCTCCTTTTTTGAGAATTTGGTAGGCTTTGGTTCCGGTTCCTCAGGGGGAGGTGTTGGCGGCGCACCGTCATCAGCCGCATCAACTGGATCAGCTGCCTCCGCAGCCTCAGGTTCAGGTGCAGGCTCAAGTTCGGGCTCAGGTTGAGATTCAGGTTCCGGAGCTGGGGGCTCTTCTGGTGGTGGTGGCGCAGCAAATTCCTTGGCGGCAGCGGCTGCTGCTTGGGCCTTCTTATACTTCTTCAGCTCCTTCTTACTCATCTTGGAAAGATCAGGTTCCGGCTCAGGTTCAGGTTCAGGCTCTTGTACTACTTCAGGCTCAGGTTCTGGTTCTGGTTCTGGCTCGGGTTCCGGTTCTGGCTCGGGTTCCGGTTCTGGCTCTGGTTCAGCAGGAGGCTCATCTGGGAAACTGCCAGGAACCGAGTCTCTGGAAAGTTCTCTGTCCTCATCGGGGTCTCTTTTAGACTTGGACTTTTTCTTTGGCTCTTCTACAGGTGGTTCTGGCTCAGGAATGACTTCTGGTTCAGGTGCAGGTTCAGCTTCAACCTTCTTCTCCTTGGACTTGGATTTGGAAGTCTTTGCCTCGAGTTTTTCCCTTCTGTTTTGTTCCAGAACCTTGATACGCTCAGCGACCGAAAGCTTGGCCTTGGCCTTGGGCTTTTCTGGCTCTGGTTCCGGTTCCGGCTCTGGCTCATGCTCAGGCTCAGGCTCTGGTTCCGGCTCAGGCTCTGGTTCAACTTCAGGTTCAGCAGGAGGGTCGTCTTCAACGTCGATCAAAAGGTCTTCCTCCTGAGGAGGCTCCTCCTTCTTCGACTTGGTCTTGGCTGCTGATCCACCAGTAAGAGTTGCCCAGAAACCCTTTGCCGCGGGCTTTTCTTCCTTTGAAGCCTCAATAGCTTTGGTCTTTTTGTTCTTAGAACCCTTGGGAGCCAGCTCCGCCCATATGTCGTCGGCGCCTTCATTAAATGTTTCGGGCTCTGGAGAATAGCTCTGAGGTGGAGGCGTGGGGGCACGCGGTGGGGGCTCTTCGGCCTTCTTCTTCTTCTTTGTTTTGGTAGCACCCCATACTCCCAGGGTTCCCCAACCATCGTCTTCAACTGGCATTTCAGGTTCGGCTGCTGGCGCAGGCTCCGGGTCAGTTTGAGGCTCTGGTTCGGGTTCAGGCTCAGGCTCAGGCTCAGGCTTCAGTTCGGGTTCGGGTTCAGGTTGAATTTCTGGCTCGGGCTCGGGCTCGGGTGGCTTGTCAGAAGGAAGTAGGAATCCATCTTTTCCAGGAATGGGAAGACCTTTCCGCGTTAATGTTTTTTCTCTCTTCTTCCTGTCCTTGGAGGAGAGGTTGTGCCAATTATCATAAAGAGGATCAAGAGGTTCCGCGGGCTCAGTTTCCGGCTCCGGCTCTGGTTCAGGTTCAGGTTCAGGTTCAGGCTCTGGCTCTGGCTCGGGTATAACTTCAGGTTCAACCACAGGCTCCGGTTCAGGTTCAGGTTCCTTGCCCTTTTTCTTCTTCTCCTTGACAGGGACATCCCAGCTACCCCAGTCATCTCCATTTTTGGCGGGTTCCGGAATAGGATCCTCAATGAGTGGTTCTGGATCCTTGGACTTTTTCTTCTTGTCGGCTGTTCCCCAACTACCCATCCAATCATCCTCGGCAGGGGGGTCGGGTGCAGGTAATGGATCAGCCAGAAGATCGATCTTCTTCTTCTTTTTGTCCTTTTTACTTGGGACATTCCAGGACCAGTCATTGGATGCTTCCCGTGCCTTTTTGGCCTCTTCTTCCTCCTTGGCCTTCTGTTCCGCCTCCTCTTGGGCTTTTCTTTCCTCTTCTTTGATTTCTTTGGCAAGGCGCTCTTCTTCCTCTTTAACAAGGCGCTCCTCCTCTTCTTTAGCAGCTAGTGCTTCTTCCTTGGCCTTCCTCTTCTCCTCCCTGGCCTGAGCTCTAGCCTCGGCCGCTGCTTGTGCTTCCTTTACCTTTTTCTCCCACTCTTTCTTGGCCTTTCGCTTCTCCTTGCTGTTCAGACTGAGGTACCAGGTTTCTTGGGTGATGTCTTTTATAGGTTCAGGTTCAGGTTCAGATTCCTCCTCAGGCTCGGGTTCCGGTGGTGCTGGTGCTTCTGGTATAGGTTCAGGTTCGGGTTCGGGTTCCTGTTCCAATATGTTCATTTTCTTTTTATCCTTGGACGCACTGCCCAAGCACCCCAATCATCTTCAGGCTTGGATTCGGAAGGAGGAGGTCCCAGGTCACCAAAATCAAACCCACCGGGAGCTTTTGAAGATTTGTTCTTCCCAGTTGCCCATGGATTAAGATCTTTGGACTCTTCCTTCGGCGCAGACTCACCGATGCCTCCAAGCCAACCAGCACCACCCGCACCACCCTTACTGCCAGTATTCCAGTCTTTGCCCCAGCCGCCGAAACTGAAACCAGTCCCGCCGGTCTTAGGACCTGTGTCGAAGCTTAAATCCAGCTGTGGCGCCGCATCGTTCAAGCCGACCTCCTGGAATTCATCTACCGCAGGCTCATCCTGTTATCCAGGTCAGTTGATCGTGGTAAATCACAATTAAGAAGTAAGTCAGTGATTTTCGTACCTTGCCTTTCTTCTTCTTTCCAGCCGATGTAAAGGCCCAATCATCACCAGCCCCATCTCCTTCATCAGCCCAGCTGAGATTAGGAGCAGCAGCAGCTTCGGCAGCCTTCTTCTCCTCTTCTTCTTTAGCAAGGCGCTCTTCTTCCTCTTTAGCAAGACGCTCCTCTTCCTCCTCTTCCTCTTGCTTTTTAGTCTTCTTTTTGGACCCCGCTGTAGCCCAATCATCCCAGCCATCGTCACCACCTCCGTCGCCTCCACCACCACCATCTCCACCATTCCCTGCCCCATCACCATTCGAGGGATCATCTCCAGCCCCATCTGATGGTGCATTTTCTTCCGGCGGAGGAGGAGGAGGAGGGGCCGGAGGGGTCGGCGCAGCCTGTTTCTTAGGTGCGGCTCCCTTCTTCTTTTTGTGTTCGCGTACACCTATCGCACTCTCAAAGTCCAGATCTATGTAATTCCTCCGATCCTCAAAAAGATCAGACGAATTACCAGCCGGCCTCGATTTCGATTTCTGGGCTAGTGCTGGAATCATCACAGGCAGAGATATCTTTCCGCACTGTGCTCGCTCCTCCGTCTCATATCCTGGCGGTAAATCCTTCACGGCATCATCGTAGGACGGTGGAGGCAGGGTGTACAAGGGTAGCGCAGGAGACCGGAAACTCAGTTTGGGATTGGTCCTGGCGTCTGTCTCAACGACCAGCTGACGCTGACTGTGTCCATTCTGACACTGAACCATATCGGTTTCCCGTTGGCCCAGTACCAGTAATTTCCACACGTCATCCACGAGTATATCCACCGTATCTTCCCAGCATAGTTGGAGAGTCCCCGCACTATGGACGGAATCCACCTGCACAATGCTGGCGCATTCGCTGTACTGAGGACTTGCGACTGTCGCCATGACGAATTTCCTTTTGACGGATTTATATATGCTCACTTAATAGTGACTCCGGGCCTTCGTGGCTGTTGGGGAGGAACACATGGGGTAATCGTCCGGGCTGTGGTTGATCCCACTGCGATGAGTCAAGGATGCGAATACAAATATAGTCTTGCTAGTCGGCCGCAATAGGAATAGCAATCAAGGGATCGATTTAAGGCAATTTTTTCGAGTGTAAAACGGTGTAAAGAGCAAACAAAAAAGACACGATAGCCACCCTGCACGACCGGCGCGATTTCGGTGCTGTGAGCTCGATTCGGATAGCGTTGGCGATAGACGATAGGGATATTTGGATAGGATTCGAGTCAGGAGGATTAGTCTGTTCTTCTGTAGAATATAATAGTCGTATCTCCTAGAAATAATCAGAGACCAGCATCGAAGAATAGAGAATAGAGAGAAGCAAGAAAAGAGGAGGAGGCAGGGATGGAACGGGGCGGTGGGCGATCATCACATACTGTACTACTACTTATACTCTCAACGTTCTTTCCCTCCAGATACACTTCAACTTTTGCAACTTTCTCAATATGAATGCGCTTGAATATCTTCACAGATGAATCCTTCAATGATGCATAAGAAGATTGAAGCTGATGAACGCCTGTTCGGGGCGATCCGAGGAAACCAGCCCCAGAAAAAAAAAGCTAAAAAAAAAAAAAATCTCCAAAACTGGATGGCTGGGATGAATAACTCGATTATATTCCGAAGTACATCTACATTGGAATCTCCGAGTCTAAAAGGACTTGAAATCTCTGTTTCGCGTCTTCCTACAGATCCTCCGCATATTGTCACACTTATATGCGCACTGATATGCGGTATATGCGCAACGTACAGGATGCAGCACACGGCTCAGACCACTTAACCCGTCATCCGCCTATCGATAACCATTCTCCCCCTCCATCGGGGAATCTTACGAGGCCCCTGCTCCAAGCAGGGGATGGTTTAAAATCTCTACTTCCCTGGTTATATACATGTACTATGTACTATGCACACCGTGATACTATTCTTGATCTTTTACTCTCTCTTTTTGATACTTGATATAGTTTCTTCACCGCAATAAAATGTAAACAACCCCTCATTCGAGTCATTCCATGGATTCCACTAGTTATGTACCGTGGATGCCCGACTAGCGGGTATGCCCGCATTAAGTATACTCGGAGTAATCATTTCAATGTTCTATAATAAAGTACTGTTTACTAATGAATGCAGGGACAACGATCTAGCTACGTGCAGGAACTCGTTCTGGGTAATTAGCTAGGCCTTTATTTTTTCAATGTACCAGTACAATACGTGATTGATATCCATTCCTCTATATCGTATCCTTGACTTGATCCCTTTGAATCCCTTCCAACCCCTATCTAGGAGGCCCTGATTTCCAGTGAAAAAATTTTCAGCTCTCCAATTGACAGATTTGCCACAGGTGAAACCCTCTGCAGAGGATTCAGAGCCACTTTGGGCTGCGCTGCACGCCAGACACCTCGTTTTACTCACCGCCACTTTGTAGTGAAATCCACTGGTGCGGGGGAATGAGAGTCCGGACTCCGCTGTGGAGGGGTCCTCAATACTGATAAAGACTCAATCGAATACTATGCAGATTTTTCGGAGATCAGATCGGAAGACAGTGGAATCTCGTAAAAGTTGCATCGTAGTTCAATTGTTATAAAGGAGTAGTGCGGAGTAGAAAAGTTGAATGTCGATACTGTAGGAGGGGAAAGTGGGGAAGGTACAGAATGGGTGGTATTAAAATAGACACGCAAGCTACAATACAGGACAAAAGAAATATCAGGGAATCGAGCGAGATGGGATATGGGGGAAGACAGGAAAACAGAAAAAAAAATAAACACAATACCCAATCCATTAATCCATTGGTCTTTTTCCAGGGCTCTGAGAAACCCATTCCCTTATCTAAAACACCACACTACTAGGTACCGCCAAAACTACAGGTAAGGAAATGTGCTCGCGTGAGCTTACTCCACCTTGGTGGTTTTCGGGGGCACACCATACGCTTCCTGGTGCTCACGAGTGTATCGCTCACGGTCCTGGAGAGCCAGCTTGTGGAAGCGCTGGTAAAATAATCAGCATATGAACACTACAATGGAGACCTGGTTACTTGATGTGTTCAACTTACCTCCTTCTCGGACTCTGTCAGGTTCTTCCACTCGTTGGCAGTGCGGACGGAAATCTCCGCCACCTGCATGTGCTTGAAATCCCCGGATCCAGTGCGCTCTCTCGAGAAAATCAGGTATGAGGACAAAGGTCGCTTAACCAATCGGTCATCCTTCAGCAGAGAGCAGGTCTTGCCGAGTTTCTTCGCAAGCCGGCGACGGGCCTCGTTGGCGTCCTTGATCTGAGCCGGGGTGTGCGAAAGGATCCATGAAGCGTAGGCGGCTTCATTTGAAGCGCGATTCTGATCGGCTTGGATTGTGTATCGCTAGGATATCGTCTGTTAGCATTGGGACGAACAGCAATATTATTCGCAGAGATGCATGGGGGTTGCAGGCAAGATACCTCGAATTCATATGAAGGCATCTCCTTGACGAACTTCACTGTAGCCGCGAAGTTCTCGTTCTGGGTCTTCTTCTCGTCTCGGACTTCTGAGATCTTGTCCTGCAAGGCAAGGGTATGAGCTCTTTGAGGGAGCTTCTTCGGGGCCTCGAGGGAAGCTTCCTTGAGCTGTTTGATGAGATCCCGCTCAGCTTTCTTGGCCTTAGCCTCCTTTTGCTTCTCGGTCAATTGGCGCTTAGGCTTAGGCTTCGTCTCCTTCTTTGCGGTGGTGCTCTTGCGCTTGCCATCGGTGGTCTTGGTGGCTTTCTTGGTCTCTGTGGAGGTAGTCTGAGTCGCAAAGCCATTCGATTGCTGGGTAGTAGTTGTAGACAAGACTCCGACGCGGGAAGTAGTCAACCGAGGGACACTCGACAAAGAAAGTTGTCGAAATTGGTTCTGCACTGCGATCACACGACTAGGACGAGACAAGACATCACCGAGGTTGAGGTGTCGCAGAATGCCTGCACGGCCGGCCAACTGTGAAGCCATAGTGTACTTGTGGTATCCTTAGTGTAGGGTATGCAATTCGAAGCGGGGAAGCTCTGGCAGCAAATTCCACGAGAGAATGATATCAAAATAAAGAAGCAAATCAGGCGGTAAGGATCTATCCTGACGCAAGCGGTGGCTGGGGTCGAAGGGGTCGCGTCCGAGCTTCGTTTGGAACTTTCCGTTTTGGGCCTAGCATACATCATATGGCACGTGACAGCGATCACTCCAAGTTGACGGCGAAAATAGCTTCAACAAACACTTGCATATCTTTGGGCCCACTCTGCCTTTTTCTTCGAGCACAAGAATTGGGAATCAACTGACCGACTAGTGAGCGCTGTATGCTACTCTGGTGTTATCGCGCAAGGGTTCATTGCTCCGAAAACTGAATTCTTTTTCCCGGTGCTCTTGAGTTTCAGTAATCCTCACACATCGTTGGCCTGCAAGAATGGCTCGCCACGGGGATACTCGCTCACCATCTCCTGTAGGCAGCACATACTCTTCATCCAAGCACGGTCGCAGAGACAATGACCGCTTTGATCGAAACCGGCGGGATGAAGGACGCGGCTATCGTCGATCCCGCAGCCCAGATGTACGTGGACCACAACGCTCATACAATGGACCTCCAGTTCGTTCTAATCAAATTGAACCTATTCAGCGCCGATTCCGTGATCGTGACCTTGGACGAGACAGAGACAGCGGCTACCGAAGGCGAGACCGTTCCTTAGATCGCCGCGATGAAGATACATACCGACCCAACCGCAGAGAACGATCTCGAGACCGTCGACGGTCCAAGGATAGAGATGATTATCGCCGGCGCAGCCGGGATAGAGAATACCGACCCAGGCGAGATGATTCACGCGACCGCGACCGCAGGCGCCTGAGATGATTCTGCTGATATAAAACCCAAATCTAGACGGGAAGATAGTCGTGACCGTGGCGTGATTCGACGTTCGAGATCGGGTACCCGTGAGGTATGTTATACAAAGATTCTTGCTTTGCGACCTCATTCAGATCATATGCCTAACGTTGGTCTACAGCCATCTAAACCATCAACCCCCGCACCCGCGCCCGCCGCGCAGACAGACGAGCAGAAGAAAGCCGAGCGACTTGCTAAGCTACAAGCATGGAAAGAGAAGCAAGCGGCGGAGCGAGAACGCAAACAACGCGAGCAAGCTGCTGCCGGTCCTCGAGAGATTTTGGACGCGATTGATCGAAAATCAGTTGCTTCCCCCGCTGTTGGATCGCCTCAAACATCCGCCACCCCTGTTGATTCCCCCGCCCCAACTCCATACCCTGGGAAATTCGACCCGAAGGCAATTGCAAAGAATGCGACGAACTCATCGGCATCACCGGCTGTGCTTGGAATCGATGTGCCTGTTCCTGGCGCTGCACAGGCTCCGACAAAACCCTCAAAACTCCCATCCGTCCCAGCCCCCGCCTCTGCTCCCTTGAAGCCGAAAGGAAATGTCAGCGGATTCGGACTGGGAGCGAAGCAGGCTTCTGATAAGGACAAATCAACAGCCACTCGGACATTGGGCTTCGATGAGGAGGAAACTACACGCAAGAAGCTTGAGAGACTTCCTACCCCACCGTTGGATGATGGCAAGGATAATGGAGTGGAGGACGCCGCTGACGATGATGTCGATATGCAAGATGACGAGACGGAAGAAGATGCGGCTGCTGCTGCGCGTGCGGCGGCAGAACGACGAGAAGAGCGCTTGCAGAGTGCCATTCAGTCAGAGGGCGATGGCAAGTCTGAATCCCAAACAAATGGTGATGTTCAGATGACAGACGCAGCAGTGCAGCCAGCCGAACCGGAAAGTAACCAGATGGATGTAGACGAGGAAGAGGACCCCTTGGATGCGTTCATGTCAGGCTTAACGGAAATGGCACCACCTAAGAAGAAAACATTTGGGTCGAAGTTCTACAAGAAGAAAGAGCAACAGCAACCTCAAGCAATGTTCGGTGACGAGGAAGACGTTACCATCACAGCTGTCGGAGAAGATGACGCTGGTGATGTCCTAGCCATTGCCAATAAAAAGAAGAAGAAGGAGATTCCTGCCATTGACCATGCAAAGGTCGAGTATGAGTCCTTTAGAAAAAAGTTCTATCACGAGCCATCCGATCTTGCAGGAATGAGCGAGGAAGAGGCTGCTAACTTGCGACTTGAACTGGATGGAATCAAGGTTCGGGGTTCAGACATCCCCAAACCAGTTCAGAAATGGGCACAGTGCGGTCTGGGTGTTCAGACGCTTGATGTTGTTGAGCGACTTGGCTTTGAGAATCTCACATCTATTCAATCACAAGCGATTCCCTCCATTATGTCCGGCCGTGATGTGATTGGTGTTGCGAAGACCGGTTCAGGAAAAACTATGGCATTCTTGATTCCAATGTTCCGGCACATCAAGGATCAACGGCCCCTCGATAATATGGAGGGCCCAATCGGTCTTGTCATGACACCGACGCGTGAACTGGCTACTCAGATCCACAAAGACTGCAAGCCTTTCTTGAAAGCTCTTGGTCTTCGTGCAGTCTGTGCATATGGCGGTGCGCCCATCAAGGATCAGATTTCCGAGCTCAAGCGGGGTGCAGAGATTGTCGTATGTACTCCTGGGCGCATGATCGATCTTCTTGCCGCAAATGCAGGACGAGTCACCAATTTACGGCGAGTCACTTATGTGGTTCTTGACGAGGCGGACCGCATGTTCGACATGGGTTTTGAGCCCCAGGTTGTGAAGATCATGACCAACGTCAGACCTGATCGCCAGACTGTCCTTTTCTCGGCCACATTCCCCAAAAACATGGAGGCCTTAGCCCGAAAGACGCTGAAGAAGCCGGTAGAAATCACTGTTGGCGGAAAGAGTGTTGTGGCTCCTGAGATCACTCAGATTGTCGAGGTCCGCAATGAGGATCAGAAGTTCTTCCGTCTACTTGAATTGCTGGGCAATTTGTATTCAGATGATGCCAATGAGGATGCGCGATCGCTGATTTTCGTAGATCGTCAAGAATCAGCCGACAATCTCCTCAAGGAGCTCATGCGCAAGGGCTACCCTTGCATGTCCATCCACGGTGGTAAGGATCAAATTGATCGTGATTCCACTATTCAAGATTTCAAGGCAGGTATCTTCCCCGTTTTGATCGCCACTTCCGTTGCGGCGCGTGGTTTGGATGTGAAGCAACTTAAACTTGTCGTCAATTATGACGCGCCCAACCATTTGGAGGATTATGTTCATCGTGCTGGTCGAACCGGTCGTGCTGGAAACACCGGAACTGCTGTCACCTTCCTCACGGATCAGCAAGAACGGTACTCCGTGGATATTGCCAAGGCGTTGAAGCAAAGTGGCCAGGAGATTCCTGAACCTGTTCAGAAGCTGGTGGATGCCTTCATGGAGAAGGTCAAGGCTGGCAAAGAAAGGGCTGGCGCCTCTGGATTCGGTGGAAAGGGTCTCGAGCGTCTCGATCAGGAGCGCGAGTCAGCGCGTAACCGCGAGCGTCGCACCTACAAGACTGGCGAGGAAGGTGATGAGGAGGAGGAGAAGGAAGAAAAGACAGCCCAGGATGAAGAACGCTTCAATAAGGCTCTCTCCTCTATTCAATCTGCCGCTGCTCCAGCACCTCCTCCTCAGCTTGTGGGTGTGCCTAAGGGCATCGACCTGGATGGCAAGATCACAGTACACAGGACAGAGAAGCCCGCCGATGATGGATCTAAGAACGCACTTGACAAGGTCGGCTCTGCCGTCGCTGATATCCACGCTCGTTTGAGCCGAGCTGGTGTAATGAGATCTGGAGTTCCCATCGACAACCGTGGCCCAGACGCAGGCGCGTTCCATGCCACCCTTGAGATCAACGATTTCCCCCGTAAGTTCCTATTCCACTGTCCAGATATTCATATAAAACCACACATACTAATCCTTTACTACAGAGAAAGCTCGTTGGGCCGTTACCAACCGTACAAATGTCGCCAAGATCCTGGAATCGACTGGAACATCCATCACAACGAAGGGCAATTTCTACGCCTCCGGCAAAGAACCCGCTACGGGCGAAGCACCCAAGCTGTACATCTTGGTCGAGGGCGAAACAGAAATTACCGTTACGAATGCTATGCGTGAGCTGATGCGTCTATTGAAAGAGGGTACGATTGCTGCTGCCGATAGCGATGCTCGTGCTCCTACAACCGGTCGCTATAATGTCGTTTAGCGTCGTTTGAACGTTTGTTTTTCTCATTTGTTTCGGATTGGAAAGAGTAGAGCCGTTTTTGGTTCATGATATCTTTCCATAAATCGTCATGTATGCGGTAACTACCAGGCTGTACAATAATCTTGGATCAGAAATACTATGTCCAGACGTGACATTGATGCATACATACCCTACCATCCTAGCACTGTGTCTTTCTCACCTTAGAATCAATCTCTACCTGCCAGTGGGTACGTATGAGTGTGAACGAGCTACAGCGTTTATCCTTCCAAGTTCTAAGAGATGCGAACTTCTTGACATACCGTTCTGTTCTACTTCAAGTTCCCACCATGTCCATAGTAGATTTGCACGTTTTGAAATAAACACGTATGACATGAATATTATTCATTGCCTCTAAGCTAGATGCCAAATTAAGGCCAATAAAGTATAATCTCTAAATCCGAGATTCGATTTGAATTCAGGTCCAGAGAACGGAAGTCTGGACCAGGAGAACCATTTTTCATCTCTGGTTCTCATAACAAAACACAAGAAAAGAACCGAATATGTCAATAACGCGATAACTCCAAGGAAAATCCCAAATCGAGGCCCGCTTCAGTGAGCCATCAACGCCCAGCCCCATTGCGCCGATTCATTCCGTTTTGGGATCGTGAGTAATAGGTGGGAGGGTGTATAGATATCATGATATTTAGATCAGATTGTTCGGTATTGGGATGTGGTAATTGATCGGGGTTCAAGTTGAAGTCGTTATACCATCGTGAAAGGGGTCATGGTGAAGTGGTCAGGGCTTGGAGAGAGAAGCATAGAGGATGAGTCTTTGTGTGTTGTGCGTTGGTGGCGTTTTAATTGGTCTAAGGACATTGGCGTTAGTAAATTATTAAAACTCAGGAAATTTTTTGTTAAGGATATTCAAGACATACCGGGTCGAGTAAAACTCTTCGTGCAACCAGGATAGGTGCATTTGTGTTTGCGTTCCCCATGCGCTGCAACATGTTAGTGTTGGTTCTTTCGATCTTTCGATAATTTAGGAATACTAGCACGTACTCAATCTATGGCTTGACATATTTGAAGAGTCTCCGGTCTCGAAGTTGCATCCGGGCCAAGTACATTTGAAGGGCTTTTCACCTGTATGAGTGCGCGAATGCGTTTCTGTTTTGTTAGATGCTTCGTTCATCTCCCAAGTATAGAATGTGACTTACTCAGTTCACTGCTATCGGTGAATGTCTTGCCACAATCCTTGCACTTGTACGGCTTGTCGCCGCGATGACTGCGCTCGTGTCGGTCGAGGGTCGCTTGGCGAGCAAAAGACTTTCCGCAGACAGAGCAGCAGAAATTTTTATCTATGGAACCAGCACAGTTAGTTTCATTAATATACAAAAAAAGAAAAAAAGAAATATTGTAAAAATGCAAAACTTACAGTTGCTGTGTGTCAGGAAATGACCCTGCAATTTAGACTTCTGTGAGAACGGCTCATTGGGGCGATGGCACCCAGTCCAGCAACAGTAATAGCCATTTCCCTTGGCTCCATCAACGGTGCTCATATGGCTAGCGACAAGATGATCCTGAAGAGCGCCAGCAGTACCAAAAGCAGCACCGCAAGTCGCCCGGATCCCATTCAAATTTGTTGTCCATTTGCAGATGTGCACGTCTTTGTCCTCGGCTGAAAATTCAGGGGTAGTCAAAACTGAAGACACACCCCCGTCCAGCGGCGGTGGCGTTTCTCCGGGGCTAGAAAGGAAATGCGAGCTAATGCTTGATCGGGACTGTCGAGAGTAGGGAGAATAGGGGTGGGCGTGGTGGTGATGACTTCGGCATCGCTGATGATGATGCCGATGGGGGCCATGGCCAAGGTTAATATTCAAGTCATTGGGGTTCTTAAAATGGTCATGGCCGTGGTCATGCACATGATGATGCTCGGGGTGGGGTTGGAAGCAGCCCAGGGGGTCAGATAAGTTGTTCTTAGGGAGGTCGAGGGTATTTGAGATTGTTTGACCGTGAGGGAAGTGAGGATCACTTTGGACTGTAAAGTCCGGACAAACCCCAAGCAGCTGAAAGACATCGTTAGGGTTGACATCCGCCTGAGTGGGGAGCTGTTGGATCGGAAAGATGCCCTGCAAATCTTTCTGGAAATCATGGCACTCAAAATGACTCGCGACATTTTGCTCGCAATGAGTGGCATGCGCTTGATACGATGACAAGAAATCTTGATGGTAACATGGATCTATGATCCCCGGCAAAGTATGATCAGAAAATTTCCCCGTTTCGCTAATAGCATTTTGCGGAACTGAGCTTGGTGGCAATATCCCCGGTGTGTCTAACGATAGAGGTGTATTGAGGCCGAAGAACGAGTCAAACTCACAATTCTGCGCCTCAAGTGTGTCACAGCAGTGGTCTTCGAAGCAAACAGGGTCTGTGCTTTCGCAATGATCCTCGTCACACTGGGCATCTTCACAGTGATTATCGTCGCAATGAGCAACAGAACAGACAGTGGAAGTATCGCAGTCCACAAAGCCGTCGCATGCTGAACCGCATTCTAGCGAGCAGTCATCCACATCACAGCATGCCTCATCCACCTCGCAATGGGCAGCATTAAGCGCCGTGTTATGCGCCTGGTTCGAGCAGTTCCACTCAGACCGAGACTGTCCACCTGCGGCAGTAAACTCATCCTTGCCATCAATATGGAACCCCTCCCAACGGCACTCGAGACAAAAGTCACCTCCTTGGGGTTGAGGAGTCATCGTGCGTATGATTCAGGTACGAAATATCCAAAAATGGAATAAGGGAACAAGGAACGGGGAGAGGGAAGAAGGTTGGAACGGAATAGAGTTAAATCTAGCTCACACCACAGCCAGGTATAATATATCCAAGGAAGATGGGGAACAGACAGTGGAAGAACCAAGAGGAATGTGCGACGACAAAGTGGGATTGGTCTGGCTACGCCAGGTACAATCTTTCCTGCAGCAGGAAATCACGTAACCGGTCAAAGGCCAACGCCGCCACTCTTCTCCCCGTAGTGCTAATCCACTATGGGGTCAACTAGAGAAGCCTCAGGAACGAATCAACACCAGTTTCCACTTTCTATACAAGAGACCCTCCACAACGGGCGATAATCTCAGATTTGTGACATATGCTAGGACCGCGGAAGTGGTCTGTAGCGTCAGACCGAGGAGGGGGATCAACGGCGCAATCGGAGATTTGGCGAACAATCGTGCAGGATGGGAATTCCAAAATCCAGAATGAGGACCTTGGAAGTCATAGAAAAAGTAATAACCGGCTTCGAACTGAGAGGGGGCGCTACACTCCTAGAATTCTAAGAAGTATCGTGGGGACCTTTGGGACGACGGAGATGGTGAGGACCTTGGGGGTTAGGCGTCATGATTTTTGGACGAATTGCAGCACCGCAGTTGGCAAGCGGTCACGCTGGAAACTTTATCGATATTGATCCATAGTCGCAGGTAATCCGCCTGCATTCAAATTATGGGTATATTCTGCGGGGAGATGCTCCGATAAAGAAGAATTGAATCTCTTTACCATTTTTTCTCTTTCTCTGTTCTCGATGACTAACCGGGAAAAATGGATCCAAGGAGCGATCTGCCCCGCTGACCTGCAAATGATTCTAGGGTTTGAACCGAAGCTTAATGGTCGTGAAATGAAATATCCTTGGTCTCATTCGAGTCGCGGATATCTGGCGACAAGTAATTAACCAATCGATTAGTATCAATGGCAATTATGAAGTCGATAGATGCACCTGGGCATCTATAGATCGAACTTCGATTGCTGACGTAACTCCACGTGCCCCGGATTGCCGATAGCTTATCGGTCGCAAACAAGTCAAACATCTCAAACATCTCAAACAACCCGACGTTGCGACGGCACTAACCACTGCAAAGCACCTGGTCACAATCTGTCATTTAACAGCCTGGAAAGGACTACATTGCTTATCTCCAGATCCGATGATTTTGATCTAATCATAAACCTTATCACTGCAAAAATTGAGCATTTCATCCGATTCTCTTGCATTTCAATCCCAAGGCATCCTCCAATCCCAGGAGTCAGGACTACCCCAACCTCCAACCCCCACATCCTCCTCCCCCGCACCATCGAAATGGGTAATATCTGCTCCCGCTCCTCAAACAATGACCCAGATGCCTTTGCTGGCCCAGGCCACGTAGTTGGCACCTCCCCAAATTCAAACCCTGCTCCGCGCGCCTCCGTCCCTACTAAAACAAACTGGAAGTCCACGCCCGGCCGGACCGTTGGTGAGAGTGCAGCAAGCGGAGTGCAGGGAGGTGCAGATGAGGCGCGGTCCAATGCAGCAATTGCAGCACAGGTGAGAACTCAATTTAAAGGGCTATGACACGGTATTGTCGCGTGGCATTATAATCTAACACTGGAGGTCAGAAACGAGCGGACACCGCGTCCTCGGCGAACAAAGGAAAGCTAGGTGCCAAGTTGGCGGCTGATAAGGCGAAGACGCAGAATCAGACACTGAACGAAGCTAGTCAGGATGAGCGAGCTGCACGGGACGCGGACAAGGCTGCCGAGGCCAGGCAATGGTCGTAAATAGCGCGGTCCTTTTCGGTTGGTCTTTTCATGGGAGTTTGGGATTTTTATTTCACTTCTTCTCCAAGCGCTTCATAGCGTTATTGTTATTGTATACTCTTCTTGTTTCTTAGCTTATACCTCGCTGGGCAGAACTTTCTATATTGCAAGGTTTCTGTACCAAGGCTGCCTTACAAGCACTTTGCGCCACGCACCCGAGTCTCCGGATGCTAATGGAAGTCATATTGTCTAATACTCTTACTATCTATATTCGAATATTGACTTTCTCTAGGCGATTGACAGTGAGAAGGTATATTCACTACGCAACGCACAAGTGGTCCGAGTGACCAACCCCACATCCGAGTCCATGTCACCACATGTGCAGGTTATTAAAATATTATCTCCTAGTCCAATACTCCAAAGCTCCTACCTATGTGTTTGCACGGCGCCTTTTGTATTCAGATGCCGAGTAACTATACTAGCATTTCAGCTATACATATGCACCACTGGCAAGTCTCAACAAAGTTCAAGTAACAACCAAAGCTTTCAGGGTTCTACTCCTCCATAGCCCTCTCCTCCAAATGCTCAACAGCATTCCTCAATTCCCTAACCCTCTGCCCAACTCTCCTTCTCACTTCCTCCCTCACAGCTACCTCAACATTCTGAGGCTCAAATCCCGTATCAACGACTCTGCCCTCTCCCTCTTCTTGTCCCTCACTCAAAATAACCGATTCCCCACTGAGAAGCTTCGATCCACTCAGCTTCTCCCCAGAGCGTAGCAGGATCCCCGTATCTTCATCACCTGGCTTGTGGGTATACAAGAAATAAGTAGCGCAGAGGTCATTCAGCGCATCGCGCGCAGAATCTCGATCCGAAGCAGCGTAGATGGTTCCGCCATCTGTGCTTTCTGTTGCGATTTCGAATTCGTCTTTGGCTATTTCGTAAAGATCTTGTAGTTCTTCGATTACAGCATCGGCTGTTGGGAGATTTTTGTTGCTGTTGCCGTATAGTCTGGATTGTTGGAGTTGCAGATTCAAGTTACTGCGTGGTGATGCGTTTAGGGATCTCTGTTCGGGAGAGAGAGAGGTTGGTCTGAGGGTTTGAATTGGGAAGTTCTTGGTGGTGCATTGAACAGATTGGAAGCGTCCCGTGGTTAGACTGGATAAGCCCCGTGGTGCTGTCGGGGTGTGGGAGCTTAATCGGGCATCTTGAAGGGCGCGGAGATGGAAAGTAAATGTCCTGGAGCGTATTGGAAGAAATGCCATTTTGAGAGTTTTTGGGGTCAATTGTATCTTATTGCAGTGAGAACGCAATTTGGAATGGATTTTCTCAGAGCTTGAGTTGGGAAATGCATGTTCAAGTTGAGAGTCTTGAGCTCCTCTGGTAGACTACAGCTATGATGTAATATCACGTGCTGGCAGTCGCGATGACAAATGTCATTGTTTGAGGATTTTCTCTTTCTCTAAGAAAAAGAAGTAATATATACTGGAATTCGTCAAGTTTCAAGTTTATCCAAGGTGTGATAGAGAGATATACAGGGCTGATAAGAGACATGGAAGAATGAAAGGAATAAGGAGTACTTATAGTAGTGAATGGATCCCGCAGCTGCCATGGCCCATGGACTATAGTACTAGTAGTAGACTCCAGAGCTGATACCTAGGTACCTAGGTACCTAGCACAGACTTTGGTACTATGTAGTATCTGCTGCCAGTACCCCCTGGCAGTGCCAGTGCTTCGGGTTGAAATAATTTTGATATGCTATTCTTGGGTTTCTGAGTCTACGCATACGACTTTTGTGAAATATCGCTGTTAGCTGATCGGTATACAAGATGCAGAGAAAGATTTTCAAGGTGTTCAATAAATTCTGTACTATCGCCAGGATAACAGAGAGAAGTGACCAAAAGAAATAAAATGTAGAGAGTGGAGTGGTATCGGCGCTGTCATCATAAATCGGCTTCTACCAGGATAGCCAAATAGAAAAACCAAACAATCAAAAAGAAAATCATTACAAAGGAAGAAAGGACAGGGAATGAGAGGTCCGGCGGCATCAATTACCGTCGCGCCTGGTCACACTCGGCCAAGAATCTATAAATGCCTTGCACACCATCATACTCTAGCACGCTCTGAGACGGACAAGCGCTGGAGTCAAGGACATCTGGGAAGAAAGCACGATCTCCAAGTTCACTGATGTTAATACTAGAGTATGCCGATTGTGGCGAGGTCCACGGATTCTCACAGAACAACTCATTGTCATCGAAGCTAATCGCATTGCCAGAGTCTTGCGACTTTCGAGAAATTGGGCTGCTCTCCGGTGTAAGCATAGCGTGCCAGTCTAGCTCCGAAGTAGCCGCATGATATGGATTTGCGGGCTTCTCGAAGTAGTAATCGGTATCAGAGGACGGGGCAACACTAGGGGCGAATGGAAATAGCAATGCTAGATCAGCACCCGTGCGAAAATCAAAGTCTTCGTCCTGTACAACACGACCTCGCTGCACGCCGACCTCATCGCAGAGGCGCTCGACTGTCTCGGCGTCATAACCAGGGAAGTGTACGCGGATGGTTGATTTATCATGAAGAAGGATCGGAAGATCACCTAATGAAGAGAGACGCTTGAGATCATTCAAGATAGTAGCGAATTCCTTCAGGGCACGAGCAAAGTCACCAGAGAGCATATCCATAAGTCCATCGGACTGGAGTGTCTGAGCGGCAACAGCGCCATTCTCCTTGTTGAGACCAGCGAAGACACCGAGGGCAGTGATGGTGGGAGAAAGCTGGAAGTCAATGTGCGAGCCAGGGGCGGTACGAGGAATAGCCGTCATCTTCCGGCCAGCCTGGTCTTGAATAGCACTAACAGCCTTGTACCGCTTTTCACCCGTGTGGGGATCAATGCCATCAAAACGGACCTTTTGTCCCGAAAGGAAAAACGCCCGGACCCCCTGCGACACATTCTGAATGACCTGAGCTGGAGCCGCGGGTCCATGAGAGAAGTACCGAGCTCCACCGAAACGGCCAGCGCCGAAGGCATATCCGCTCGCTGTGCGACTCAATGTACCGCCAGTTAGGTTGGGACGAAGAGTCGAGGCAAACGGAGCACGTGCAGTGAGGCGGCTGATGCTTGAAGCGATGCGAGTAGCCTTGTAACCACTGACATCTGCTTGGGCACCACGAACGGCGGAGACGAAGGCTCCAGCAGCCCGAGTCGAGAAATGACGACTGCGGGCCTGGCGAATAGCTGCGGCGCGGCTGATAGGTTGCCCGGTGTTAATGCGGGCATAGACTGGTTGATAACGCAAGGCAGAAGTTTGGGTTGGTTCGGGTAATTTGGCCCGTATGGCCTTGGAGGCCTTCTCATAGGCAAACCTGGGATGGGATTAGCTATGAGTCACAAGATTAGGCGGTGCTATTTCGGGATATCGTACCTTGCTGCCCTCCATATTTTGGGAAGCAGCAGGTGCCCACTGGGAGGCGCCATACTGATGGTTCAACTGAAGAGTATAGATGCTTATACTGGGTAGCACAAGGAGGAGTATGGAGGAGAGAAGAGGTTGCTTATCAGTGGGCCTAAGGCAGCCTCCCCCGGTGGCGAATGAGGCAGTGCATAGCCACAAATAGTTTAGCCTGTTTACCTAATACGGTTAGAGCGTTTCCATTGGACGATCATTGTATCAATCTGTATGGTCCATGTTGTGCTGCGTAGCACACAGTATGGATTATATGGTTGATGAGGTACTGATGTAAAGTGGTTGAAAGAAGTGATAAGAGTAAAACTTGTAGCCCAAGGTGGGATGAAAAGTTTGGGTAAGGTGCAACTTGCAACTTGAAGTCACCGGGACATACAATGTAGATAGTGCATAGTGAGCATACCTACTAATAGGCTACTATAACATTCCCTTTGGGGCTCTCTTCACTCATCGAGCAGGTATTGAGTCTCTTTTTAATAAGATAGGCCATCACTTGAAATACCCAAGAAATGCTCTGTCGATCTTCTGGGGCACCGTTCCTCACTCTTGTATACACTAGGAACTTGAACTTGAGGAAAAGCGACACTACCAGTTGGACTCGTCCCATCTAGTCTCCCCAGAGACTCCGCCAAACCAGTATTGAGTCAACAAAGTCATATTTTCTATCGCTTCCAAGCTTTCCTTCGGGAGATCATACCACCACTTGGTGGCGCGGATGATGTGTGGGTCGCTACGTCTAGTGATTACTAGTAGGAATGATGTAGCATCGACAAGAGAATAGTGGAAGCGTTATCTTGCCTAAGGATCGTAAAAAAGTAGATTTCATCAATGGAAGTCATCTCTAAATTCTTTTGGTATCTAAAAACCCATGTCTCATAAAAAATGTCAAGCCGTTCAGGGTATATCCAAATTTACTCATCATCGCCAAAGAAAACCTTGACAGGCAACCAAGCGTCACCGCAAACCTTGAAGCGGTCCTTCAGGTTATCAAGCTGGTTAATTTCCTCAGCAGTCAAATTCCAGCCATCGATCTCGTAGTTGCCCTCAATGCGAGACTTGCTAACAGACTTGGGAATAACACTCCAGCCCTTCTGGATACCCCAGACAAGCAGGACCTGCTGAGGAGTCTTGCCCTTGTTCTCGGCAATCTTCAGGAGAGTAGAATCCTTGTAAAGAGGGGAGTTGGTGGAGCCAAGGCAGGAGTAGCCGGTGGAGTGGATGCCCTTAGAGGTGTTGTAGGCGACCAGCTTGGGAGAGGGGTTGTTGGGGTGAAGCTCAATCTGGTTAACGGCGGGAACGATCTTGGTGGTAGGGTCGTTCAGAAGCTTTTCCAGGTTCTGGATGCCGAAGTTGGAAACACCGATGTTGCGGACCTTGCCAGTGGCAGGGAGCTTCTGCACCTCTTGCCTACAAATATGTAATTAGCAATTGAATTTGAGGATAATTATATAGGATTACCACTTACCAGGTCTTGATGAAGTTCCAGTCGGGAAGGTGCTTGGACTTGTCTGCAGGGTCGGTCGAGCTGGGCCAGTGAACGAGGTAGAGATCAACGTAGTCGACGCCCAGGTCCTTGAGGGAGGAGTTGATTCCATCCTCCACACGGTGGTGCCAGGTGTTGTCGAGCTTGGTGGTGATCCAGATCTCCTCGCGGGGCACGCCGGAGTCCTTAATACCAGCACCAACCTCAGCCTCGTTGCCATAGGCAAGGGCAGTGTCAATATGGCGGTAACCCTTCAGCAGAGCGTTCTTGACAGCCTCACGAACCTCATTGGGCTTAGACTGCCAAGTACCCAGGCCAATGGCGGGGATCTTGGCACCGGTGTTGAGGGTGTAGGTCTTTCTGTTGGTGACAAGTTAGATATTGTAAATTTGAAGTGAGACAAGTGATATGGTTATTCAAGAGAGCTTACTGAGTGTGCTGGTTAGACATTTTGAAATGAAGATGGGTGAATGAAGTTCAAAGATTATCAAGTGGGAATTGGAGACTTTTATATCAGAGTGGCGGAATATTGCGAATAAAGTGGGCAGGTCCAAGCTATGATGTCGTGGCAGTGGTGCCCCTCCTTACAGAATGTGGGGGGATAAGACTAAGGTTACATTTCCTACTCATTATTGATCACATTATTAAGAGTTTACATTATAATATGAATATCATTTCCTTATTCCAGGAAGAATTCATGTTCAGATAGAACTTGTTTCAAACTATGATGTATATAATCAGGAACAATCGAGTAAAGACAGGGATTATCGATCTGGTTCATTTCCCGGCTAAATGCAAGTTCTTTTTGTCCTGCATTGATCCCCTGTTCTTTACCCAATTATATCACCCAATATTGACCCACCAACTATCTCAACCAGCTTCATCTTACACCCTGGCAACATCATTTCCAGAAACTTCGACTTCAATTTATCCCCTCGGTTCAATCTTCCCGATACTCCTCTCTCCTCAATCCCGTTACTGTAACTGGTCCACAGCGGATAATTATACGCTCCACCCGCATTATACCCGAGACCGGATTCCGACTTATTACGCGCTCGGGAAAAAAGAAACTCATCAACTGACCCCAAATTTCCCCAACCGCTGTCGTCATGTCTTCGGGATTCGTATCAGCCGGAACAAACGAGCAACCCATTGAGCGGGACGATGAATGGTTAAAGGCACAACAAGAGCTGGAGGAGGAGCGTCGACGCAAGGCGGAAATCGGCAAGCAAAATGACGGGAAGAGTCTATTTGAAGTTCTGCAACAGAACAAAAGTGAGCTTTTTCTCCATGATGACACTGGATAAGCTCTTCATGAGCTACACGGATACATCCAGCAGGACTTGGAGGTAAGGTTCTTGGCGGCTAACATGTTAGGGTGATTTCCTCCTCGGCGCGTAGTGGCGAAGCAGGATCAATTCGAAGAGAAAATGCGACTGAAGAACCAGTTCCGATCGCTGGATGACGATGAGGTGGAATTCTTGGATTCAGTGCTCGAGTCGACGCGGGCGCAGGAGGCTGCTGTGAAGAAGGATACCGCGGACCAGCTCGAGGCGTTTCGCAAGCAGCGGGAAGAGGCGGAGAAATCAGCCTTGGGTCCTACCTCGTCGGAGGTCACCCCTGCCGAGGAGGAGGAATGGACGATACCGGCGCGCAAGAGACGGCGTGAGAAAAAGGATTTGCTGCTCCCTGGTAAGAGGCGCAAGTCCTCCGGTGCCGAGGCTATTTCTCCGCAGGAGAAGTCCCCCGAAAAGCCCGGTCAGGGTAGTGAATCCGCTGCGAAGGCTGAAAATGCCTCGAAGCCTATACCAAATACAGCGAACGCGAAGGCCCCTGCTGTCTCTGCAAAGCCTGCGTCTGCCGGTCCGGATGCGTCAAAGGCTGCAGAGAAGCCTGCTGCTAAGCCAGCCTTGGGACTGGTTGGCTATGGATCTGACTCCGATCCAGAATAAGACGGTAATTTCGCAAAATACTGCATTTAATGGACTTGTCGGCGTATAATCTATTTCTGGTGGGATATCCACTACTCCGACTCTACAAGGGTTGCTAAAAGTCAGTATTTCAAGGGTTGTTTCAGCATTGTGAAGACATACTATGTGTTCAATATTTGATTAATGGATATCAATACTACTAAGAACCACTAAATGGAATAGTAGTCTTTTGAACAAATTCCCAGCCACCCTTGCATACTCAACCAACTTCAAGTTGAAGTTGAACACCACGCCCATGTGCAATCTACTCATAATGCACAGCATTCTGCTTAACCTCCTGCTCCTCAACCTTCCGCTCCAAATCATGCGGCAAGTAGTCCTCCTTCCTTGAACTAGGTACAATCCACGGTGCATGAGAGAACATGTAATTCATCTCCTCAAGCGGCACCTTCTTCGTCTCTGGCAACAGTGCATAGAAGAAGAGCGCATTCGTGAAATTGCAAATCACGAAAAGGAAGTAATACCGGTAGTGAATACTTCCCATGGCAATTGGCGTAACCTGACCAATCATAGTGTTAAATGCGAACGAAGTCATGGTCGCAATAGATACACCCTTGGACCGAGTCCTCGTGTCGAATACTTCGGCAGGGATGATCCAAGACAGTGGGCCGCATGTTGCGCTGAATGAGAAATTGTATAGCCAGGTCATGATGATGAAGGCCCAGTGAGCACCTGTGCTGTTGGTGGTGGGTGGGAATTTGGCTAACAACACAGTCGCAATAATGAATGTTACCATGTTGCCTAAGTTTCCACCGATCAGGGTCCAGCGACGACCGAAACGGTCGATGAACAGGATGCAAAGGAATTGGGCGATCAGGGCGATGATGGAGTTGATTGCTTGATAACGTAGAGTGGCTTCACCAGAAATACCAATTTGCTCGTAGATTGTCACGGAGTAGTATCTGGACGGTGAATCAGCATCTTGTTTCCAACCCTGGGAAAGTTTACTCTTACTGGATGGCAGATACTCCAGTCATTTGAACAGAGGCTTGAAGGGCACAGCAGAGGAATAGACGTCGGAAAGAGGACCTGTTCTTGAAGAGTTCGACGTATGATTTGGCCTCATGCTCGTGTTCAAAGGTGATACTCTCTTGAATTTGAGAGTATTCCGCTTGAACCCAAGGGTCATTTTCATCTCCATGAGCATGAAGTTTGGCCAGAGTTCGAAGACCATCTTCCGAACGACCGTGGTCAATGAGCCAACGGGGTGACTGGAAAGATTTAGTAAGATAGTCATAGATTCAGACAAGCTGGAGTCTCACCTCAGGAAAGAACATGATCAGTAGACCGAGAAGCACAGCGGGCAACATTTGTAAACCCAGTGGTAGTTGCCACTGAGCGTCGTTGGTAGAAGAGAACCCAATGTAGGTACCATATGAGATCCAAGAAGCACACAGAGCTCCCACACCAAGCATAAATTGTTGGAGTGCGGTGACTCGTCCACGGATGCTTGGGTGGCAGATCTCGGCTTGGTAAAGTGGGATCACCATGGTAAGAAAACCAACTCTGTACAAGAAGTGTTAGCTATCTATCTCTCATCGTTATACTTAGACGACAACTTCTATCAGCAGGTGTAGATACATACCCAACGCCTGCGAAAAACCGTCCACTATATAGGAAAGCGAGGGTTCGTGCTCCAGTCTGTAGACCCCCTCCTAGACAGAAGAGTAGACATCCCAGCGAGATTGTCTTTCGTCGACCAAAGTAGTCGCCACTTGGTCCTCCAAATCCAGCACCGAAGAATGCACCAGTTGTGAACATAGAAACCACAAGTCCACTAGAAATCTGTCAGTCTTGATCTGAGCTCGAAGCATAGTATCCTGTATAGTCTCGCAAACCTTTGTGTCGAATTAGCAGCAAACTTTGAAGTAAAAGAGTCACAGACAATGACCTCCGCAATTACACCGAGATCATCTTGATTCAATGTTAGATATTTTATTTCCAAGTAAATGACCTTGTAGAATGGGTACATACATCCGTAAAGGAATGAACCGAGAGAGGCGAAGACGCCTACCAGAAACTACATTTGATGCAATAATTAGTGATAAAACAAGCATGTTGGGACAGAAGACAAACCTGGTACCACGCAGGTGAGAGACGCATGATGAATCACCCAAATTTCCCTTCAAAATACAAATAACTTGAATGGACCCACGATATTATGGGGATCTCCACAAGGGTCTCATTTTTGCGGGGAAGCACGTCGCTCTATATACACCCAACCTCGGAACCTCCATGATCGCATCCCACAAGGAAACATTTGAACTCGAATGAGCCTTTACGACTCGGAGAAACTTCCAAAAGCCAAGAGTTTAAACTCTATGATCATGAACCTCGACGATTTAACCGAGCTTCAACCACGTCCTCATCCCCGCAAAAAGACCCCAAATTTAGCTCGGCAACAAAGTTATTTAACCTTCGACATATTGTACCCTAGCGCTCATTGGACCCTGTATCTTGAAACATCAAGCGACAGCCTAGATGAGCCTGGAGCTATGGGACTGGGGCCATGTGGCTTACTGCCAGATCTGCATCATGATTGATGGAAGATCTCATTGATCCTTGGCGACCCATCTCATCGCCTGATTAACCTATCAAGACATTAACAGAACTCATGAAAGCTTCGATATTGGTCCGTTCTCAAGTCCTTAATGAATATTCATGCTATCCCGCAACAGGATACGCGTCGTTTAACCAGACTGGTTTACTATTGGGCTCGGGATGGTGAACCCGGAGCTACGCGTTCCATTTACTTGCCCCGCAGGAGATTTACCACATCAAGGGAATCACGCAGAAGGAGGGGAAATAAATTCGCTTGAAGATGACCTCTATTGGTCTTGAATTTTCTTTGGCGCTTTACTGTGACCTATTTATTTTTGGCTTTGATTTCCTGAATACTATAACTGAGCTAAACTCTCTTAATAGTCTTCAGCCACACGATAAATCGGGTTTGAAGCACTTCCTATATAGTAGAGAGACCTATAGCAATATCTGACATCGGGATTTCTTTCACACTATTCACCATGACCTCCTTTACCAAATTGAGCGACCAGGATACGCCTGTCATCTCTGTTCATCCTTCTCGGCCAGTCTCAAAGATTAATCCGAACATCTATGCCGGTTTCACCGAGTAAGTCAATAATATCCCATGAATGACCGTGACTCCAGATTTACATGTTTGACTCTGTACTAATTAAAAACAGGCACATGGGAAGATGTATCTACGGTGGTATTTATGAGCCAGGTAGCCCTCTCGCAGATGAAAATGGATTTCGCAAAGATGTCCTCGAAGCTCTGAAAGAGCTTGATATCCCTGTTGTTCGGTACCCCGGTGGAAACTTCTGTGCCACCTATCACTGGTTGGATGGTGTTGGTCCTAAGGAGCAGCGTCCATCTCGGTAAGCGTAAGTGTCAGAGTATATAATGAATATCATGCTAATGCATCCAGACCGGAACTCGCCTGGCTCGGCACTGAGACGAATCAATTTGGAACGGATGAATTCATGAAATGGTGTGAGGTTCTTGGAACTGAGCCTTATCTTTGCTTTAACTTTGGAACTGGTACACTTGATGAAGGTAAGTGATTGCTGTATCATCTATCGCGATTGTATTGGTATTGATAATTTACAGCACTGGGATGGTTGGAGTATTGCAATGGCACCAGAGACACATACTATGCCAACTTGCGACGGAAGAATGGCCGAGAGGAGCCTTATAATGTATTTTGTCCCATGATCTATTTTTTCGGACGAGAAGCTAAATATTTTCAGGTTAAATATTGGGCTCTTGGAAATGAGACCTGGGGACCCTGGCAGGTAGAGCAAGCAACAAAGGAATCGTATGCTCACAAGGCAGTGCAATGGGCTAAGGGTATTTCAACCTCCGTGATCCTTATTTCATGACACCAAGTATATTGACTGGTACTACAGCTCTCAAACTGCTTGACCCCAGTATTGTCCTCATTCTCTGTGGTCAAGATGGGACAGCCTCATGGGACTACTATACTCTCAACAAATGTCTTCTTCCAGCACACTCAGCACTATCCACCAGTGCTGTTCCTTTAATTGATATGCACAGCATCCATATGTACACCTGCTCCTCGGAGCATCTCCCCAACGCAACAGCCCCACGAGCCGCTGAGCGTGCAATCGAAATCACATCATCCCTAATCGACCTTGCCCGCATTGAAAATGGTGTCCCACCGTCCCAGCCCCGCCCGACTATCTGCTTCGACGAATGGAACGTATGGGATCCCATCCGCGCAGAGGGAAGCCTAGGCGCAGAAGAGAATTACACTCTTTCAGACGCACTCGCCGTCGCCGTCTGGCTAAATGTTTTCATTCGCAAGAGCCGTGATGTAGGCATGGCTTGTATTGCACAAAGCGTTAATGTTATCTCGCCGCTTATGACAACCAAGGAGAAGACTATCAAGCAGACAACTTGGTGGCCTCTGTACCTTTTCTCGAAGTTCATGCGTGGATCTACAATTACGTCGCATGTTGCTTGTGGCACCTATGAAGGCGAGACTGCGCCAAAGTGGCTTCGTGGAACTGTTGATACTCCTTGGCTAGATGTTAGTGCTGCGCTTGGAGATGATGGCTTTGCTAATCTGGCTGTGGTGAATATTCATGAGAGCCAGGATTTTGAGACCATTCTTGAGGGTGTTGCCAGTAATGCGCAGGTCTTTACTGTTACGGGTAATCATGTCGCAGCTTCGAATATGAAGGCTCAGGAAGAGGTTGGTGTGAAGGAGTCTGTGTGGAATGGGGCTGGGAAGTATGTGTTCCCTAAGCTTTCCTTGACTTTGCTTAGATGGAAGCCGGAGTAAATTTCCAGTTTTCTATTTGGTTGTACCGCGATTATAGACTACATACTAAGTTGATGGGCTGACAAATTCAATAAATTCCGAGAAATTGAAAATTAAAATTAAAAATCATGATCGACGTGTACTATCATTTCTTTGCTATTGGCAATCCATAACGCGATTTCATGATCTAGCCGTAGTTCACATCCTTGACAGTGCCATCAGGACCAAGGTGAATATTCAATCTGAGCACCAGTTAGCACTCATAGCTTCCAAATTATGTACTCGATATCTGGCAGGATTCTCAACACATACCTGTTTGGCTGGTGATCCATAGTCTTCATGGCATCATGTTCCAGAATACGGTGAGACTCAGGAAGGTCTGTCTTGGCGAACATCTATCCGGACAAGATACGATTAGCCATCATTCATTTTCAAGTTGAAGCTCAAATGAGAAAATTCTGACTCACCGTCTCATTGGTAGACGAATCACTGATCTTCTTGCCCATCAGCTTGTTGACCCACTCGGACTTATCGCCCATGGTGGAGTTGATACCCGGAACGACGAGAGGCATGATTTGTTTTTGTTTGAGACTGGCGGTTCTTCGTAGGAAGTGGTAGTTTATTGTGAGTGAAGTGAGGTTTGAAGTTGATAAAGTTGAAACTTGAATTTATCCACTACGTCAAGAAACATTTGAATATTTTGCGTGAGGCACTTATATATGGGATGAAGTACGGCCGATGACGTAGGTGATGATAAGAGCCCCCTCAGTCTAACTACAGGATTAGTCATTTTTACCGACATCTATGATGGATGCCTAGCAAGAAACTCGGACAATATTAATTAAAATGATCGGCGATGACGGAGTTAAGCAAAGATTAATTATTTCAAGTTTGCCCATGTTGGGTTGGGCGTGTTGCGCATCAGTGATACTAGAGTACTGATAGTCGGATGATTCCAGCGGCAGGTGAAATGCAATTTGAGCATCATGATTTGAACATTGAAGATTCAACCTGAAGTTCTGGGACCCAGGTCAACTAGTTCTCGCATGCAAGTGCTGGAAGAGCTAGTGATTTCTCATCTTGATATTGAAGCCCAAATGGATGCTCAAATTAAAGGAATCGGAGTTCTGCCACATGGGTAGTGACTCATTGATATATCATAGCTCTTTCAGGCTGCACTGTTCAACTGCCAGGTGCACATCCATGTCGGCCGCTTATATATTTCAAATACCGTATTTGGTGCCAAATACTGTGTGGAATACTGTACAAAGACGATATGAGTATTCCAAGGTTCGTTTGAGTATTTGATCAACTACGGTATTTGGTGAAATACTATATTCGAAAAATGCCTCGGGGGCAAACTTTTGACGCGTCGTGAGATAACAAACCACAAAAAACCATTTAACAAATATGTAGGAACTTTAGCACATTTAACCGAGAGGCCGTTTCAATGTTCAAAAAATCCACCTGGGTTCTCTATAGTGCAATTAGATGATTCAAGCCTCTTAATAAGAATGGACGCAACAGGAGTAAAATGGCCTATGCACGATGTAACTTGAACCTTTTACAGACTCGGAATACTGCAGGGGACAAGAGTACCGACTCTGTGGACTGCTACTATCTACTCCCGAGGCCCGCACTCCAACTTGAACTTTTCTAGAAGCGACCTCGGGAACTTCAGATGTCTACTAACCGAATTCAGAGTTATAGGACTCCTGCAAGATCCTGCAGCTGCAAGTGGGGATATATTAAGAGATAGTACATAGTGATTTTGGTATAAACTGCGACTGCAACTTGAAGATCACATGGCCTCACGACCTCGCCTACCTACTAGGACTAGTACTAGATAGTCTTTCCGAACTACAGCCCCGGGGCCTCAGATATACCCTAAGTCATCGGGGAATATTCCAACCTTGGAAGGTTTCTCCGCCAATGTTCTGAGTCCTACCCCAGGTAGCATGCTATCAGTACTAGTAGTGTCAGAATTAAGCAAATTCAAGAAATTGAACCTTTATGCGAAGTATAACGAAATAAGCATTGTACTCCCGACCAAATGCCATGTGGCCATGATTCAATGCCAGTGTTTATTTCAATTTATTCTAGGACATCTGGAGTAACTTCCAAATTTCTGATTTTCGATTGATACCTATGGTTAATTCAAAATTTATTCAATATTACTACCTAGGTACATTCCACATTTCCAACTTCAAATGTTGGTTCAATTACTTCAAGTTCGAAATATTAGAACCAGGGGGGCCAAGGGCACCCCCGGACTCACACGCCAAAGTGGGGCTGATAGGTAACCTCTAGTTGCGTACGCAGTATTTTGATTATTTCTTAGTTATTTTTTTCTATATCATTTGCTTATTCTACATTTCCAAGGTTCTCTGCCATAGGATCATTGAACAACTTGAAGCTCATGGAACACAATATCCATAGAATAAGTACTAGTAACCTGTAATATCTATTTTTCCATATCTTAACCAGGAGTAGTATCCATAGGCCGGACCTTGGAATATTATATGATATTAATGATATTAAACCTGTTTTCCAACCCTACTTGTATGAATTTAAGCGGTCAAAAAGCTGGATGAGCGGCAAGCCCGAAAGGATTTCTTCCTCGAGAGCCAAAGGGACGCTAAAATAAAAACTAGATCTTGATGCTACCTAGTTATTGTTGAGACCAAATATGATCTCTTGTGTACTAGTAGTTATCTCCTTTGATACCTACTTATCCCTCTTCTTTCTAAAGCACAGTTCCCCCCACATTTACCCTATAAATAGGCTTATATTTCCTTTAAAACTGATATTTTAAAAAGTCTCATTCTACCCATCAACCAAGCTCTTCAGAATATTACACATATACTCCGAGTCGGTAGAACATTTGAACACCATGCGTCTCAACATTTTACCTACTTTTACTCTTCTCGCATTGAGCCACTTCTCATTTACAGTGACTGCAAATTCTGGCTATGCAGCAACTTGCAATAGTATAGAACTTTGCGATAAAGTAGACTGCGGATGTTTCGTGATCAGTGGTGATTGTGAACAGGAGGATACTGTTTACACCGTCAACGTGAATCTTCACCTTGGAATCTGTTTCGGGAATGAGAACGGTGTACTTGTTGGTCAACTCAAGTAAGTTATATTGAGTACATGTACCTTGAACATTTTTGAATGTTTGGATTATTTACTTACTAGTAACTTGAAATAGTGGAGAATTTGGTAATTCTTGTGAGGATATGACTCTCAGTGGCACTACCCTTAGTGGCAAGTGCAAAAATGATGCTGGAGATTATATTGATGCGTCAATTGACATGGGTGATTATTCTCTATCTATATGTGGTGGATGTCTTTGCTAATGATGATAAATATTAAATTTGATAGATGATTATATCGGGAACGTCAATGGTGGACTGTGGTGTTGGAACAACTACGGGGAAGCATGTACTGCGACGTCATACTAGTATACCTATACTACTATATCCATCTATGGATGCACAGGGTGTAACTTGAATACATACCTACTAGGCTTATGGTTTTTCAAATGTTCAACGATGTTCATTCAACCTTAGAAAGTTGTAGGATTACTTCAGAATCAAAACGTTATTCAAGTGCTACATATAGGTACTAGACCTTGGGAGCTATCCTAGTAGCAAAAGATGTTATAACTTCAAATGTTGGACTCCCGAGGTCGTATGTTCAAATGATTCCTTTTCAGAACTATTTCCAAGATTAATAGGACTGCCCTTCATGGTTATACTCAATCAACCATAGCCCACTATCAATAGCTGATATGAATTCTCGAATAGGAACTTTAGGTAGCACATTTAACCGAGAGGCCATTTTGTAAAGAATCCACCTTGGTGCTCTACAGTACAATTAAATGATTTAAAAAAGATGAGCACCCCAGGAACGGATTCCGGAGTGCACATTCATGCGAAGTGGCCTATTGAAGATGTGACTTGAACCATTCACCCACTAGCAGGATACTACAGGGTACAAGAATGTGGACTCTGTGGACTGCTACTCCGCACTCCAATTTTTCTAGTAAGAGAACTCAACCCCGATTCAGAGTTATTTCGCTCCTGCAAGATCCTGCGGCTGCAAGATAGATTAAGAGGTAGTAATTTGGGTATAGACTGCCGACTGCGAGATCACAGGGCCTTTCGACCTCGATTAACTAAATTACTAGTAGATACCCTTTCGGTACCACGGCCCCGGGGGTGTACCCTAACATTTGAAGTAACCTTGGAATATTCCAAGGTTTCTCCGGCTTCATAGCTAGCACGTTATTCTACCCTGGGTAGCATGCTATCAGCAGTTTCAAAATTAAGCAAATTTAAGAATTCATGTAGTGAGAAGTATAACGAAATAAGCCTTCTACTCCCCATGTGGCCATGATTTATTTATTCTCGGAATGACTCCAGGGCTTCCACTGGCAGGGTTCGATTGATAGCTATGGTCCCGGGCATTTAGTTCAAATTTTATTAATATTGACCATATTTCAATTCAAACATTCAATGTTTGAACCTTATGTAGAAGATAAGTTACAAAATATTAGAACCAGCACTTGAGGGGCCCGGGGGCCAAGGACGCCTCCCGCACAGACTCCCTGGTCCAAGCTGGGCCTGATAGCCATACTACATAGTTGCGTCCGCAGTACGGAGTACGTAAAGATATGGAATAACCTTGGACGTGCACATGTACTCCGTACTAGTATCGTATATGGGCGTTGGAGTTGGGAATAATAATACCATAAATAGAGGACTCAAGTTCTGGGAAAGTCGATAGATTTAGAAGAGCTGTCTTGAATTAATTACGACAAGATTTGATGTATTGGGGGATGACAGGATATGATCGAAATCAGATTCACCAGTTAGCAGTTACACCCAGATTTTTATCTCAAGCCCTCCTTCCAATACCTCTTGTGGTTTATCTACCGCGACTCCGTATCTTGGCCGTATCTTGATATAGGCGTAAATAACAGCCTAGAAATAGATTGTGTATTCAAGTCGTATGACTTGAACATGTTTCTAGAATGCCGATCTTGCAAACAAGCCAAACAAAGGGCGAGAAACCGTCTGGTCTTTCCACCAAGTAGTCCAGATGTCCGAACTTCTCGATAAACATAAGACGAAATCAGTATTTTGTTACAGTATAGTGAGTGATACTAGTGTTTTCTCCAGGGCTAGTTCGTAAATAACTTCCAAGGTTGAATACTCTATAAGCGACTGACATTTGATAGGCTCTGACTAGTGCAATACTAGTACTGGTAGATATACATCATCATTATATACTAGTGATGCAATGCCTTCAAGTTTGCCTTCAAGTTCATATCAATGACGACTCGGGGTCACGGCACCTAGTACTTGAATTTAAAGATATCAACTTTGGAAATCATAATCACCGAAGCAGCTGAGAGCCCCAGATCTAGTACTAGTGTTCCCAAGCACGCCTGCAACCTTGGAAAGTATACATGACTTAATTGAGTGTCGCTCGCGTTTGTGGCGTATCCACTATACTTCACATGTGCAAACATCATTTTTGAATTGTGTATTTGACTTCTTTCAAATGTTCTGGAATCAACCTTGGAATTATGGTCCGAATTCAAGATTTTGAGGGGATGCAATACTCCCGCGATGGGACTCCAGCTGAGAAACAAGACTACACCTACTTCAATCAGCAATATGCGACCTCAACTCACGAGGATGATCACAGCATGTACCCAGATCTCATCGTTCAGCCGAAGCGAGACGAAGACGTCATCCAGACTGTGAACTGGGCCAGAGAGAACAAAGTCGCTATCGCCATCAAGAGTGGTGGTCACCAGTACAGCGGTGCATCGTCTACCAGTGGCAAGAACATTCAGATCGACCTCAGCAACACATACAAGGACTTGATGGTTCTGAATACCCGCGACCCCGTTCACCAGGATAGAGCACTGGTATACGTTGGCGTCAGCAATCAACTCAAGGACTTCAACTCATACCTCAAGCACAACCAACTATTTGTCCCCCACGGACAGTGCGCTTATGTATGTCTGGGTGGTCATGGTCAGACTGGTGGGTATGGCCAACTTGGCCGTAGCTTTGGCCTTTTCGGCGATCACATCATAACCATCCGTATGGTCTGTCATGACGGTGTCATTCGAGACATCTCTAAGAGGAACGAGACCGAACTTTTGTACGCCATACTTGGGGGCAGTCCAGGTAATTTTGGCATCATCACGCACTATATTGTCGAGGTATATCAAGCCAAGAGTTATATGGGGAGAGTTTCCGGTCCAAATGGATTCAAGGGGCCGCATGGTATTAAAGGACTCTGGATCTACTCTCCGGAAGTCCTCAAAAATCTGCTTACTACAGTCGCACAAATGGCTGACGATAGTAATGTCCCGCGAGGCTTTGATCTCTGTGTGAGCGTCCTCAGTACCGACTTTCCCATCACGATGCTATTTCCCACATTGAAAAATGCTGGCGAATGGGAACGCATTCGAAATAAGATCAAGGGAGCCCTCGCAGATAAGTTCCTTGACTGGCTGGATGGCAGCTTCCCAGCCGTCATCGTGCTCTATGCGCAGTGGTGCCCAACCAGTAAGGATGACAAGTATGACGATAGTGTTGATGAATGGTTTAACAAGTTTCGGGCCTTGAAGGGTTTATTTGAAAACGAAACCCTGCTCATCCACGAGCTCGAAGAGGACATGTCTCAAATGACTGGAAGATGGATTTTTCCCAAGCAGCGAGAGTTTGATCTCCCTTACGTCAAGCGAACCTACTCTACGAACTCGAAGACTCTCGAAAAAGACGGCTGGGTCGAAAATGTGGTTCATCGCATCGACTTGATCTATAACCCGCACCACTTGCTCGATAGTAACCCGGGAGACATGGAGTACGAAGTCTACACACATTGCAAGCTTTCAGTGCAGATCCAATGCTATGGAGGCGACAATTCACTTTTCTTTTTAAACAAGGATAACGGCACCTCTTACAGCTGGAGGGACTCATCGGTTGTCCAGACGCTAGACTGCTTTCATGATACGGGTGAGAAGTATAAAGGGTATGCCGAAAGATGGCAGGCCAAGAATGACTCCATTATGGTTGGTCCCTCGAGCCCTTTTAGCAAGCAGGACAGACGTTTGCTCTGGGGGTCTTACGGTGACTGGGACCTGGGGAAGCAGGAGATCTGGAAATGTTATTATGAGGATGCGGACAAGTACCAGAGACTGGGTATGGCAAGGGGTAAGGCTGATCCAAACGGTACCTTCACTGCAAACCCGTTCGCTGTTTCGGCTATTGCAACCAGGAACATTTGAACTGTAAGATTTTTCGTTCACTGCTGAATCCATGTCTCAGGCTCGACATGGCACGTATGCACGGGTGTAGCAGTCTCAAGTGGTCTAGGCGAAATTGTACACATGGAGAAAATCAAATTTGGATCGACTGTAAGGAGAGTATTCAATGTTTACGAAGAGTTACGCGACTCTATTATGAATGGGAAAAAGGATTTGAAAAAAACTTCATTGTTGACATTGAGAAAGCTTCTGCACTAGATTCAATCCACATGCCAGCACCAAGAAATTTTCCCACATCAAAGAAGAAATCAAGGATAAAGCACCTTTCAGACCTCCTCGACACCCACCAGCACCAGCCGACCGAAGTCAGACGCCGAGAACTGGTAAAGATCATCACCACTCCCTGGACACGAAAAGCAGACACTGTAAACAGCACGCGTGACACGTCGAGTCGGAAGTAAAAAGGTTTCACTTTAGGGCATCGAGGACATAGAAGTCATCAGCAAGGGTGGAGATTCTGTGGCTCTTTTAAAGAGCTTAGAAGTGGGACGTCTACTCTAAAGTGATTCTTTGAACTGTAGCAGAAAAAGGTCAGTAAAAAGTCCTGAGAGAGGTGGTTGACCTGTATGGGGGTGGGAGAACATACGTAGAGTCGCTTGAAGAAAAGAAAACCTTGGAGGGAAAAGTTTCTTTATATACCCTACGGTGGATACCATATGACTGACTAAGCGACCCACCTTGTTTGCTCTGTTTGTTTTGTTTACTCGGCATATTCCACTGCACTAGTTACCGTTAGTTCAATTATTTGACCAAAAGAAGAAATTTTCAAGATCTCATTATGTAAATTATTAGAAAAAGCTCTTAAGGAATATTCCGCTTGCTCTCTGGCTGCATGACATCCATCATTGGTCCGATGTACTTCTTCCTAGCCCGGAATACCCAATCTATTATCAATAATATGCAGACTCCAAGAAAAACAGGACCTGACCAGTTCATATTAGCAGCTGTGACAGGTATCTCTGTAGGGAAGGGAACGAAAATGCAGACGAAGATGCCGAAAGCCAGCGCAAAAACATTGATCGCCATGCCATACCGTCCCAGATTCCAAGGTCCAAACTGGATTGGCCCTCGACTGGTATCTAATCGCCGGATGATCATCATGACGATCGGAATAAGATATGAGACGTAGAGAGAGCTGGTCGAAAGAGCAAGAATGGCACTCAGAGCAGTCTCTGACGCGGCGTTAATTGTAGAGAGAATGACGACTGCGGCACACACAAGGTAAATCGCGCGTTTTGGCACGCGCTGATTGCGGTCGATCTGTCGAGACGTTAGATATGGCCAAATGATAGTAGATAGGCGGCCCCGAAGCTCAGTGTGGACTTACATGGGCAAAATAGTTAGAGAACGGGAGTCCGCCATCGCGAGCGAAAGCCCAAGTAAGCCGTGAGACAGATGCAACCACACCAGTATTGGACACCATTCCAATGAGAGAGATACCAGTTTGCATAGCAGTGGCGGCGCCTACGGATTGTGTAGAGCTCTTGAAGATCCCAATCATCGGGTAAATATATTGCGGGTTCAATGCGTCTTCCACACTGTTGAGGCAGAACAGTATAACAAGCACGAAGACAAAGGCCATCAAGCCGTTGAGAGCGATGGTTTGGATCAAGATGCGAGGGATAACGACTGCCGGATTGCGAACTTCCTCACTCATGTGAATTGCTCCATCAAATCCTAGAAAAAAATGACTTATTAGTATGCAGATGAAAGTATGGAGATGTTGGTCATAGCTCAGTTTACTCACCCAGAAAACAATATGTTACTACCAACATCCCAAGACACCAAGCAACACCATGTGACTGCCATCCCTCTTCCCCTACCATCAGCTCAGTAAAGACAAACGATGAGGTACTTCGGCGAGACAAGAGGACCAGAGGAATGCAAATTGCAATGAAGAAGGTAATGTGCATAATACCCCCAAGCATCTGTAAGGCCGGCATGATCTTGATTCCATAGATGTTGATAAAGCCGGCAGAAAGGACAATCGCCCACATGAGAAGTGTGCCATGCCATTGCTTAGGATTATAGTCCGAATTATTCAATAGAACCATTCCTTGAATCTGGGTTGCCATCAAGTAACAAATACTTGCGACTGCAGCCTGCCATCCGAAAACAGTAATCCAACCCTGCATCCAGGTAGTGAAAGCGCGAATCTTGGGTGGTGCTAGAACGGCTGTCCAGTGGTATTGTGCCCCTGCTCGGGGGCAAATCGATGCTAGCTCAGCGAGCGACATGGCCATCGCCATTGTTCCTATTATTGATAGCACCATGCCCCAGACGAGGCCTGCTGGACCGCCATTCAGAAGACCAGACGCGAAGCTGCTGTGTGGATGTGAGCTAACTTGGGTGAATCTGCTTGAACGTCCTCAGTGCTTACTTCGCAATAGACTCCCATGAAGATAGTAAAATAAGTGATAGTGACAGCATTGAAAGAGATCCAAATTTTCGCTAACAAGAATTTGTGAGTGTTACTTTACTGCCATCCGTTTCCAAGTCTTTTACTCAAACAAACTTACCTCCAAATTCTTCCTACTTGACCTTGATGTGGAAACACCGCCATGATATCCACCATCTGAGCCTGAACGAGCATGCGACACGCTGACCTGAACTGACTTGGCAGCCATTTGGCCCATTTCGATGCCGTGACTCGCCATAATGACGAGAGACTTCTCAGGAGCACTCAGAACACTGGTGTAAATCTGACGCAACCGAGGTATGGGTGTTCTTAAACGGCAAAATGCAATGTCATATGTACCAGTGAGCACGTCAATAATTGATATCGAATTCCACGTGCTTGGCCCATGCAAATGCAAACTAATTGTCCAGCCTCAAGAAAAAAAAAGAAGCTCAATTCCCTACCAAGAGCCGGATTTGGTGGAATCTCCACCTTATCGGACCATGCGCACGAGCTCCTGACTATTTTGGCCTTAGAGGCTCCCTGATACGTACAAAATCCACAAAACAGGGCTTAATCAATCGCGTATTCTGATTCGCAAATGACAAGAATGGTGCAAGCCACGCATGTGTTCCAAGTATCAAGAGATTCTGATTCGATGGCGGGAGTTAGATCTAGAGGTCCACTTCTCGCTCATCGGGGTATCTCCTCCGCGTCGGGGCCACCGTCACTCCCGAGGTTCCACCTTTGATAGCCCAGAATGCGGGAGAATAAGCCCATTCTGATTCTGAAACATGGCTTGGACTATTGTCTCCTCGGGTTGAAAGGAATAATTAAAGACAATTTAGTTCAGCTTATAACGAGCTAGTGACCACCCTTGTTACGGAGCAATGTTCTCCTTGTTCATTTCTGGCCTAAATCGCTATCTTGGAGACCGAAATCGGCATTTGGTAGGGCCAAGCGAACGCCAAAGTTAATAACTTTGACTTTGAGCTTACGTCTCCTAAAAGCCATCTAGCCATGCGATAAATGGGGAACACACAGACCCTCAGGAGGAGAACCTTTGGACCCCTGTTACCGCTGCACGCCACTCCAAGCACTCCGGCCGGAGTCCGGCGAAATTTCAGATATCAACGGCGCAAGATAAAGGAATAAAAAGATCTTGGGTCTTGCCAATAAGATTCCATTGTTCTTTGGTACGAACGGACGATGGAAAAGAAAACTGCAGTTCCTCCGAATAGTCTGGTACCCTGGACGAGCGCTATCAGTATACAGGGATATTCTCGACTACTTTCTTGTCATTAAAGTTCAGGGGCATAGTGGTATGAGGTAACATGGTCTAACGCTTGTTAGACGACATTGCCACGGGCCTGTCAAATATACGCGACCCGCCGATCTGCGGGCTGCCATCCATTTTTGTTTCTGGAGTTCCTAGAATACCAATTGTGGGATTATCTTGTCGCATTTTGTGATGGCGGGCACCCTGCCTCCGCTTTTTGCTATATCTGATGAGGATCATGGCGGATATGTGGCTGTCGCAGTTTATACTCTCTTGGTATTGAGTATCTTTGTGGTGGTCACTCGATTGACCTCTAGATGGTATATCGGTCGCGTGATCCATTCAGATGATATTTTGCTAGGAGCATCCGCAGTGAGTTTCTCGCTATACCTAGGTATTGTCACTGAAGGCATTCAAAATTGCTAATTGATTGCTACGACCTATAGCTATGCGGTCTATTGCAGAGTGTTTTTGTTCAACTTGCGATTTCAGATGGACTCGGCAAGAAACGGTCCACAATCACGAATCATGCATTTATTCAGTTTCTCAAGGTATGGAACAGTGCGACTATTCCCTTTGCTTTCAATGAACAGAGACTGACTTGGTGGTTTTCCTATAGCATGAATACGCCGCACAGATCCTCCTCATCATAACGATAACGCTTAGCAAACTCTCGTCCGGGCTGCTCTTCCAGAGTACAATGACATCGCGCGGGTATACATGGGCAAATGGAGCTTTGATGGTTATTATTGTTGCATGGGCTCTTGGCACTATCCTCGCTCTAGGCCTGCGATGTTCTATGCCAACTCCATGGAAATGGAGTTCGTCTGGCCAATGTATCAACCAGGTAGGCTCCTGAATCCAGGATTTCATACCAATGACTCTCAATGAACATCTATTCTAACTCTGTTCCTAGGAAGCACTGTATCAGTCAATTGCAGCCTTGAACATCAGTACAGATGTCGCACTTGTAGTGCTTCCGTGCATTTTGCTCCGCAATGTGCAGCTGTCTCGATGGAAACGATTCCGAATCATGGCACTTATCGCTAGCAAGCTAATGTGAGATGTCTTCATCTAAAAACATAATATGGTTTCTTTACTAATAGCATGCAGGGTCTGCGCTGCTACCGGAGTTGAGATTCATCACATTCTTCTTATGCTCCAGTCATCCGATGTTACATGTGAGTTTAACAAAAAAATAATCCTCCAAATACCGTATTCTAATTTGATGATAAGGGGCCAGTACCAACTCTACTGTATGGGACCAGTAAGTAATTTGGAAATTATTCTTTCCACCGAATTTGACAGCCAAACTAACAGTATAACTCAGAGCGATGATGAACCTCAGCATTATCACAACTGCTCTTCCATCCCTGGGTCGTCTGGTTGTGGAACTTCAACCAAATGTCTACGCGTTCAAAATCCACGATGACCGTACAGAAGGACCTTCCAAAACGAATACTTACATTTCATCCAAGAGGAAATCGCATCCGGGGGATCCGCCTCTAAGCCCAGGAACATCAGTACTGGTAACCAGTGGATGGCGGGAATCATACAGAGATGATACTGAAAGCGTGGAGGGTCTAGTCAACCAACCAAATGTGATCCAACAAACGATCCACTTCGAGGTTCACTAAATTTATAGGAAAAAAACGACGATACGATACTTGATGTCACTTCTGTACATATTCAGTCTCAATTCAGCTCTTTACTTATGTCTCTTAGAAATACATGAGCCCACTTATTTCCAATCTACCACAGTCGATTCTTCTTTGCATCTCTTTTCCTCTTCTCACAGAGTGTAAGATAGGAAGTCAGAGTAATCAGACTAAATTTATCACCATATGTCATCAAAATTTCCAATGAACCATGTTGGCCTGAAGCCGAATTCACATTGTGTGCAATAGCTGCCACATTCCCCGTAAGCTCATCCACCAATTTCCAATCGGAGGAACATTTCCAAACAAAAGGCCGAGGACTCGTCAAGCTGAGCCCAGAGATACCTAGTGGATTCGCATTCCGTACTTTTGCCATGAAACGGAACTGTTCAAAGATCGAAGTCTCAGGGTCCATAGCCGACCACCAAAGTGTCGACCTATCGCCAAATGAATCCTTCGTAACGGCCATATCTACAGAACATGTCTTTTCTCTGAATTCACAGGAAGCGAGTTCCGTCTTTTTGGTTGGTTCTTTGCCGCGGTAGAAGATCAAATCTGGTTTGAGACTCCATTCATGTGGTTGGACCTTTATTCCGAGCTCGTTGTCGTGCTCAGATGTTATGCGGTATTCGCGCTCTAAGAACCCGATGTGGAATATGACGGGGTTCAATCTTGTACTCGCCGATGTCGCTGCGGGAGTTGCCGGATCGTGTGGGAGATAAGGTGGTGGTGGTTCATAGAATGCGGCCATGTTGAAATTGGAGCTTGAAAAATGTGCAAAAATGAGGAATTTCTAAAGTGATTTTTTTTTGGTTGGATTTCGGAATGTTCAATGGATCAATGTGATTTCAAGTTCTAACTTCTTATGGAGCCTGGTCCCTTCGGACCCTTCAAGCCGGATCTCCATCCCAAAATGCAACATGGACCATCGATCAATGATTATATAATCCTTTATGGAGCTAACGCTCAAGCGAGGCACCATTGATGAACTAGTAGTACAGTGGGTATTCTGTACAGGATACGGGCTCAATTAAGAAGGTCTAAGTGATAAGATGTAGGTTTATTCTAAGTTATGGTTAGAATTACTTTAATTTTGATTCTTGATTATATTGGATCAATGAAGCCTTGGCATCATCTTGGCATGGAACCATGGAAGATAAATGGAACACGGAGTATGTACTTGGTATAAATGTACCAGTTGACTCGTGATGAAATCTCTAAGTCCTGAAAAAATTTGACTTAAAGCGATGGATCGGACTACATAATAGCGCGATAGAGCCTGCTGTTTTAATTTAGTCGAGGAAAATACACCAGGGCTTGAGATTTTCGGTTTTTAGACTTGGCAACTGTTGCAGATTCTGGTGTAGAAGATTCGCGGATTCACTTCCCGAAAAACTTTTCTCTTGGAGGAAAGTAAACACAACGCAAGGAGGATGAAGTTCAACACTTTTTTTCAGAGGTTGGGAATACCATTGAACATAAAGGCCACAAGGTGGAGCTCCTTAAAGACAAATGCAATAGTATTGCCCTTGTAATCCTCTCGCAAGTCTGTGAAATTGGACTCGGAGTTATCGCCCTGAAATTTGCGTGGGAGCGCCAGTATCTTTTTGTTGTCATGGAGGATCCATTCCCCTGAGCCGTCGAGTGTATAGAAGGGCTCTTCTACCCAGGAGTCATCGGAGGAGAATTGCAAGTGTCGGACCAGAAATGGTCGGCCTTTTAATATCCACTGAGTCTCGCCCGTAGATATCACACGGATAGAGACCTCCCCGACATCCCATCCAACTGCTATTCTGGTATCTTGGGTTGAAAATGCGATGCAAGCTGGTCTCCCATCATGTTTGAACGAAAGCTTCTTAGTTTGGCCACGATTGTTCTCCAATACATCCACCCCTGTATCAAAGCCGATGGCCAACATCTTGGAATGATGAGACAGAGTTGCACAAAGGAGTTCCTCAGATAAGTAAGTTTCAAGTTCAATTTCCCCAGTTTCCACGCACCAAACTATAACGGAACCAGTCCAAGAAGTTGGTAGGTCGGGGTCATCAATATTAAGGTGTCTCGAGCAAATCATGACCCGTGTTCCGTCAGCGGAGAATTCAGCACCGAGACTGGGTGTCATATTCGAGTTGATTAGTGCAATTCCAAAATTCGTGGCATGTCTCGCAGTCTGGTGGAGATGCCACGGTGTACTATCTTCACAGAGCTCCCAAATCTCGATGAGAAGCTCACAATATTTGATATGATGGGACTCAAGAGTACTAGGATCACGTCCTCCAAATTTGTCAATAATGGCAATTCTTGTTCCACTCGAGGAAACGGCCACTGCTACAGTGTCCCACCTTCCTAAGCTTGTAGGGACAACGGTGCCTTTTGTAAGATGTGGTATCTCAGTCATCAGGCTCCATATCCATAGCCCTTGCTTTCCTTTCCATTCAATGCCGTCTTTTTCCCCGTCCATTTGATGTGAAATTCCCTGGAATACAAGGCCATGGCTGCTGTCAAGCTTCCAGTATGTCCCATATTTGGAAAGCGAAGCTACATCTTCTTTCACAAGATCCAAAATGTGAATATAACCTTTAGGGGCCGAATGTTCAAAAGAACCTTTGTTCCATCGACGTTGAGTGAAAGTAGACCAGAGAATTTGTCCATGCGAAGGACATGTGGCTGCGCAGGATCAAGTACCTGGACACAATGAGAGGCACCAGTAAGGATTCTGTTACTCTGAGGGAGCAAAGCCAGAGCGAAAGAGAAGTTAGGGGTATTGAGGGGAGTAGACCAATTGATTGGAATCCAGGTCCCATAGCTCAAAAGAACGATAACTCATAGAGTATACGAGTTTGCTTCCATCAGATGAAATAGTCAAATTCCAGATTGGACCCTTACCAAAACATCGAATATCGTGTTCTTTGTCATTTTCGATGTCACGGACTTTGATCAGTGGTCCTCCTAATGCACTATTCCGGTCAAACTGAAGGGCAACTTTGGTTTCTGATACCGCAACATTCCATATCGATCCTTTTTCATCGGGGAATTTCCAAATGCGTCTGATGCTTCTTGTATCAGAGTTTCCAATGTATGCACAGTTTTTTTCAAAGAGTGCTATCACTTTCCAATCCGTGGAAATGGATATCTGAAATTCTTCCCATGTCGAACCATTTTCTGGTTCCAATGAAAAATCTCTGTTCTGGGGATTGCCACAGTTAAATTCGAATTTCCAGCGATTGAAGTCTCCCAAAGAAAGTAAATTGAGCTCTTCCTGTGGGAATCTTGTCAAAGCTTTTCCTGTTATCAGACTCCAGCCTTTTAGTCTCAATTCCCCTTGGGCTATCCTATACTCTGGATCAAACAAAGCATACAGTTCAGTTCCAGCTGGAGAGAACCTGAGATAATTCCCGGCTTGACTGAAGCTTCTTTGATTCATAACATGTTCTAATTTGCCAGTCACCAAATTCCAGACGTGGATTCCGTACTTGGTAAAAGCCGCTGCCAATTTCTCGTCATTTGATACCGCGACAGTATGAATATGGCCGTCAGATGCGAAACTCTGTTCTTGCGAGTCCCAATCACGCTCCATGATAGGGGATTTACGCAGCCACGCCGGGAAGTGGCTCGAGAATTCCTTTTTCATAAGGCTATTTGTGGGTGTGAAAATGGCTGCCATGTAGTAAACCTGGAGAGGTGCTTCTTCAATAGTCGGTCGATGATAAAGAATAAAGCGATGAGCGTCCTTGACGAAGCTTTCAAGATCTGACTGCTCCAAACTCTGATTTTCGTCTAGCTATGCACGCAATCTCATAAGAATAATTTATAAATTAACTCACCGATGCGAGAATCTTCAAATTTGCAAGTCCATTGACCGCATCATCGATTCTTCCGATGATGGCAAGAGTCTCAACCCAATGTAAAAGATACTCATGGAGAAAATCAAGAATTCTCTTGTTATCTCCAGTTTTGAATAATTTGCTTGCTGCTTCTGTCAAATGAGAGACCCAATACTGCGAACAATACTGGATAACATGAGGGACCTTATGTGGGTCCATTTCAGAGATGAGTGTTCCTGGGTGATATCGGTGCATATTCTCTTCCAGTCCGCTCGATAGATGCCTGAAGCAGTTTTCAAATGAATTTTTGTGAGCCTCGCTTTCATCTATAAAAAACCTCATATCTTGACATCTCTCTGGATTCACAAGGAAGTCACGGAATGAAAGATGAAACAGTCGAATTGAGGTCTGTCGGTCTTGAGCAACGATCAAAACGGACAGTAGATGACTCAGTATGAAATTTATCTCTCTTGTATTCAGACCAAGCATGGTCTCCATGTCGCGCACGTTCATTGGCTCTTTGGAAACAAGTATAGTCCCTATAACCATGGGATATATTTTAGCAAATCTGGTCTTGTCTGGACCTGCTGCAGCTGCAGATGCGGAGTGAAGTAAAAGACTGAACATGTTGTCAAGAGGATTGTTATCGTTCATCGTTCTTTTTGCCTCGAGAAACTCTTGCAGTGTGTCTTCTGGAAATTTTCCCAGCTGGAGATAGCGACATGCAGGAGCCGCAGCGATGAACAAATTTCCACTCCATTGTAGAAGTTCCTGGATCTGGCTCTCTTCAGGCCATGGCTCCAACTATTTTGATATTGAAATTTTGGTAAGACTATCTCTGACGTACTTAGAGATATCGTCCCTTGTATCTATCTCTTTCTCCAATGATAGTTGAGTCACATCTGGCTTTCCTTCAAGCTGCTGTAAGATGTAGTCCTCATTTCGACTAGTCAGAAAGATCCTCAGATGAATTCGCAAACAGACGAATTAATTCAGGAACAGCTGTAGTTCCTTTGCATTCATCCAGAGCATCTATGACAACCACCAAAATAAGCGGCACCAATAACGATGCTCCGAGAGCTTGGAGGGGCCGAAGAATTAAATGATCCCATTGATCCTTGAGAGACTTGGATCGCAAGTCCTCATATTTGGGAAGACTTCGAAATAAGCATTCATTAAATCCAGAGACCTTTGCAGCAAGATCGAGGGCAAGAGTCGAAAAGAAGTTCTCGGATTTAGCCCGCTCGTCATGAACTCGGGAAAAGAAAAAGCTGGCTCCTAGCTGTCCCTTCTTATCAAGCTCATGCCCAATGGTACGAGCGACTGTTGATTTTCCAGTGCAGCCATGCCGCTCAACCAAAAGACACGATTTGCATCCATACTTGCGTCATGTATCCAAGCTCTAATGTTTTCCAATGTGTTTGCTCTGGTATCTTTGAAGCATGAAGGAAGAAGCTCACCATCCACAGTGGCATCAAACGCTGCAGATTTCACTCGGTGGAGACCTTTGATGACATTTTCTTTTGAAAGATCCTGTACTATGGTAAGCTAGGAGATCTGGCACTGTTTAGTATATGATGAAAAATTATACCTTGACATTTTTGTGTACTTCGTTCATTCGATCCATGATCTCTTTGAAGTTGCTTCTGGGTGGTACCAATTGGCGATCAACATCAACTATCGTGACGCTGTCCATCATTTGCAAAGTCTTCAAAGCATCACCCGAAATCTCCTGAATTTTTGAGAAGTTTCCCAGTGATGTAGAGGGAATATCCTGAATCGCTCGTCGAAATTTGTTGTGCGAATAATGATCCATGAGGTCAATTTGACGCTCAAGTATTTCTTTATACAGCTCAATAGTTTGGTCTCTGAGCTGGCTGTGGAGCTTTCGAATGTGATCAGAGGCTCCAAATCTTTCCTCTGGATTTTCAGATAGATCATAGGTAACCTCAATAGCACGGTATTGAATAAGGAGAGTTGAAATGCCATCCAAATCATTGAGAGCATCGTCAGTTTGCGATAACGCGGTGGAGAGGATCTAGATAGTAAGGATCATTAGAGAGCCACTTCTTCCTAATTACCTTTTTCTTCGTAATCTTCAGACGACTTCATGTACTTACTAGTAAGAGGGCAGTGATGCCACCCCAAGCAAGGCTGGCATGAGTCTCGGAAGCTACAGCCGCTGTAATTATGTCCTTGTAGCTGAGAATGGTCCTGATCACCTTCATAGCTCCATCCCTGATCTGCAAGACTTCACCATTCCGAAGCTTCAACTTCAATCTAGAATCTTTGATGTCATTTATTTTTTGCTTTACTGCATCTTGCAGTTCTTCTGGCGTTTTCTCATCCCCATCATTGACCTGTCTCTGGAGCCGATCCAATCGCTGCTTATCGATTTTGGCATGAGCCGCTTCCCAAAGCCCTTTCCCTATGGAGGAAACTCTTGCTTTTTCCGCTCTTGCGGCTCGCTCTTCGTCAGTAAAAATCGTTTTGATGGGCTCGTTTTTTCCGTCCGGTTCTCGGGGCTCGCTAGAGGACGCATCGATTTGCTGGGCTCTCGAAGAGAGGGATGGGTTTGCTTCTACATTCTTTGAGTCCTGGTCAGCATGGGTTTGTTCAAAAAGAACCTTAGAGTAGGATCACGTACTGGGCGATGCATCCTGCGAGGCTCTGGAGTCTGGACGTTTTGTTATGATTAATCTGGACTGCCACTGCGGGGGTTTGACCAGACTATCTCAAGGATAGGTCTGGGTATAGAATAGAAAGGGAACCATTCTGGCAAAGGCAAAGTCGGCAAACCCCTTAGAAATTACTAGTATGTTAGGCATACCCTCCAATATTGCCAGGCGCTTATGTAGAGACAACTTAAGCCTCCGCCCCCCCCCCCTGCTGTAATCTATGGAGCACTAGGTATCTGCAGGGCTGGATACCTGTGGGCCCTATGAATTATCGGTAAAAATAACCTGACATTAACGATATAAAGCCATGAAGTCTGCATTATGATTGGCTATTCGAGTTGCTAGCCAGTGGTTATTGTAAAACTAGTTACTGGGAAGATATGCGCCCGGCGGGTGGGCTATGCAGGTGCTTTTGTTTAGCTGGCTCAGCCTTTCTAAGGAACGCTCTACGGAGTAGAGTGAGGCAGTGTACGCTACATTCACATATGGGGGAACGTATCGACTGACAAGGCTGGCATTACCCAATAATCGGCCAGTGGGCATGGCTTCTGCGAGGTACACTCACTGATCCGGTCTCCGTACAAAACGTGCAGTACTCGGATACCTAGTATGATACAAGAACAACGTCGTGATAGCAGCTATGCTTGTTCCTGAGTGATCCAGATCTGCTCTGCCATCTGCTCCAAACTCTCCCGGGCAAAAGTGAGGTCACACTCAGTCGACTTGGGCTTTTTTGGTCGGAGGTACAGATCCTCAAATGAAATTGTGAGATTTTCAGTTATCTTGTGCGGACTTTTCTTGTTGGGACTCCTGGTGATTTCGATTTTTCCGGTGGGAAATGGAATTGGATCGGCTCGATTAGGTCGGCGATGTAGATTCCATCTTTGGATTTTTATCTTATAGCCCCTAGAGATTGAAACTGTGATCATAACTTTGACATCTCCATCCGACTCATCTACCCAAAAGATGATATCCTCCATCAGGTGCGATATGGGTTCTGACAACTTAATCTCAACAACCAGAATTGGCCACTTCCAACTTTTTCCACATGGGAGTTCTTCCCGTGGAAGCTTCAATGAACCGTCCGGCCTTATCATGCGACCCTCGCAGTTATCTCGCATCTTTCCACAGACCGATGCAGAAACTGTTGATAATATGAGAGTTTCCGATTGGCGCAACCAAGTGTCAGTGATGTAACCAAATGCAGCACACGCTACAGCGTGTATGCAGGACGGTATTTCGATAACCACCATAGACTGTTGCGGATCATAAGATTTACAACATTTCCGCAGAAGATCCTCCCTAGAATTGGTAAAGTGTTTGTCGAAGGTACGTTCATCGACTGAGGTTATAACCATATAGAAATCTTACCTTATGCCCTCATATTTGTCAAGCTCCTGATTGATAAATTGACAGCATTGCTCTTCTCCAATAAACTGTAAAACCGGTGCTTTCGCTGGAGGTTTGTACATGTTGCGAGTTGATCGTGGGGGTTGAAGTCTCGTAGAATAGAATGCAACTCCGAGTCTGGGACTTGACGAGAGAAATTCCAAATGTGGCACATACTACTAGATGTATGTAGAAGCAAACAGCCCATGAGGTTCTCATGACCACGAGGAAATTAATGACCTCATCCCATGTGACATCGGCTACAAGTAAGGACTGACAGCTCTGAGTCTATGTCATGATTTATCACCACCTCCAGGTTTAAGCACTCATCGCACACCACGTACTCCAAATTATACACAATGTTTAAATGGAGTTTTGGACCGTATATTATGATTGCAGATTGAACAATGGTACCACTAGTAGAAGCTACGGATGCGAACCAAGCATGAATGTATACTATCATGATGGATTGATGCTCCCAGGTACTAGGTACCAGTTCTCATCCCTAGTGCCAGTGACATCTACAGCTGAATGGTTACCTACTCCTCTACCTACCCATGTATGTGACCTTGGAAGTACTCAAGTGGTTAAAGGGTTAGTAACTTGAAGTATCTCAAATGCTAAGAGGCCCCGGGAGTCGCTCACTGGCAGGATCAAATCTAGAAGAAGACTCGGAGTCGTGCCTGCTACTTCTGGCCTTGGTCCCTTTTAGATCTACATTTGTGTTTATATTTGTCTTCTCCATGATTATTACATCCTTTTATCTTGCAACGCCAACAAAATCTGCAGATTGAATAGAATCAGCCCTCGCTTCTTGTTGAATGACCCGGAAAGCCCAATTTTGTGAAAATTCCAGCGCAATTCGGTCCATCATCACTTCAGCAAGCAACCACTATACCAATTTCCTCGAAATGAGAAACTACGGATTCTCCAAACCAAAGGCCTCCAGTTGGTCTTATGCCAATAAAGCATCGATTGCCGTCGCAAGTATCCTCGGAACCCTGACTTTCTTCGGCATCGTCTTCCTGGCAGTATGGTGCATCAAAAGAGCACGAGCCCGACGCCTCCGCAAAATTCGAAACGAAAGCCAAGATCTTTTCTGTCAATCTACTCTCACTTTAACCGACGATACGAGCAAGACTCTTGACACATTCCTCATGGAAGACGTTCAACCAGAACGCACATCCCTCATGTTCAGTCGCAGCCGTTCGCCTTCTTTCACATTTGTCGTTGAGGAAAGTAATCGCCAGAGCCCCGTGAATGGACTATATCGTGCAAGCTATGATGCCTCCTCAAACAATATCAGCAAACTAGACTCTCTGACAACAGTCTCAACTGATATTTCTCTACCGAGCATGATGGTCTCACCTCTCACACAGACAACATCAAACAACTCGGACAAACCCACTTCTCCAATTTGTCTTTCCAGGGCCTCTACTGTGACAACTTCACCTAGGTCATCGGCACTCTGGGTAACTACATCTGCTTCATCAACTAATACTGCTAGTACTGCATCGAGAAGCATGGAATCGAGCTCGATATTCGGTTCGCAAGAACCGGTCAGCTCAAGAACCTCGCAGTTTGCGCCATCATCGAATATCTTGCTCAGTCCTGCTAGTTCTCTTGTTCGTTCGACTACGTCTAATACATCGGGAGCTTCGCCCTCATCGAATATCTTGCCTAGTCCTGCCAGCTCTCTTGTTCGTTCGACTATGTCGACTACTTCGGGAGCTCCGAGTCGTTACGCTGGTTATAATGCTAGACACTCTGCGCCGCCCTTGGGTCATCCTCCTCCGGCTGGGTCTAGAAGAGTGCAGGTCATGTCTCATCGGCAAAGTCCCTCGGCTGTCCAGTCGCCTATGCAGTTATCATCTAACAATTCGGGTCAGTCGTCACAAGTATGATTTATGTTTTGAGTACTGGTTTTTCTTGTTTTGAATGCCAGTGGTGTAATGGTTTTCAAGTTGATGGACGCTTTCCGTCCGGAGATGATAAATATTGTGATTCAAGTTGAAGGCAGTGGCGGACAACAGGAAAGCCGTCGGCTGAGAAAATGGAGTTTGTTTTACTTCCAGTAAAGTTTTGAATGTGGAACTTCAATTGATGTTGATACTGTTTCGCTTTGCAAAAATAATATCCTGCAGGTTTATCCCCTATGACCTCTTGACGATTGCTTTTACTATGTAGGGTAGTAGTATGTGGTGACAGATTTTAGCATACTAATAATCTTAAGCTTCATGGTCATCATTTATTAGGCAGGCTATTAACTATCTGGGCAAAGGAAGTAAGGTATCATAGATGTATCAAGATCACTCCAAGGTTGATCCTTCGATGCCAGTGGTAAATTGCAGACTATCGTGGAATATGTGTGTAAGGATAATGAGAAGGGTACAACGCCCATTTACGCCAGCGCCTTGGAGCAATCGTGAACAATCCGAAATGGGGAGGGGGGAAGCAAGGAACCAAGCAAAAGGAAACATTGAGGGGATAATGAAACCAGGAACACATGTCCGTCATGAAATATACAAAATTCAACACACTCGCTCGGAACCCGCAGGTATTCGCTGCAATCAAATCTATGAGAAACATGGTTGAGTGGAAACACTCGGGTATCATGATTTCATCTCTCGCACGGTGCGTAGGCAACGCTCCATACGTTTGCCGCGCTCTTTTTCACGGACGAGAGTGTTCTTCACGAAATCTCGGATTGCTTCACGCCCCACTTTCTCGCGCCAGGTTGTCCAGCCGGCTAGTTCGCCGACAACGACATCTTTGTTCCATGATATCTCCGTCGCCAGGCGAGCTGACTCGGCTTCGCCCGTTTGAATCTTTTGTTCAAGATCGCGGACAGACTTTTGTCGTGACTCTTCAAAGCCTGGAAGGTTGATATTGAACTTGCGAGGGAGTGATGATGAAATAAGAGAGGAGCGGTTTCGTGAAACATTGCGGTTTGTGGAGGTGAGATCTGAAATAAGGGATAAAGGACGAGAGAGGGATGTGAGAACGGCCGCGGTGGTGTTGTCGATAGCAGTAAGCACAGCGAGATAGTGGAGAAGTGGGGAGGAATCGGAGTTGGAGGTGGAAAGACAAGCACCATAACGAGTGAAGGCATCTATGTATGATTGTGGAAGCGCATTCGTGGGCTCTTTGAGCGTTGAGAGGATAGGTGCGCAGAGGGCAACAGCATCCGCGCAATCCGAAACGCTATTGTGTAGCGCGTGTCCACGGCGGATCAGACTGCGGGTGTTGACATGTACACCACGGACCATGTCCTGTGCATGGGATACAAATTGCTCTGTGTCCCGCATACCCTCGAGGGAGATTGGCGAAAACTCATCGGCAATGGTTTCGGTCAGCACAGCTGCTTTGCTGCGAGATCGATCCGCCATCATCTCTGGCTGTAGTTCTGGAACAAGGAAGAACTCCCAAAGCATTTCATGGGTAGAAAATGTCGGGTGAGTTAGAAGAGCTTTCAGGAAACGATCAAGCTTTTCTTGGAGGTCGTGAAGCACAGATCGAGATGGCTTAGAGTGGATTTGGAATGGGTTCCGAAAATCGGATAGAGATGGTACATAGGAGGCAGGATGCTCGACTGAAAGCCATTTCGCTAGGTTTTCAAAATCTTGAAAGCTTCGCCGACATGTCGTAACAGTGTATGTTGTTGACCCGTAACGGGGTGATAATGGCTCTGATGGAGTATGTGGAGCACCGGACTTGAGAATGAACCGCACAGTTGCGTCTTCGACGAAGAAAGATCGCACCACAGTAGTAACACGACCTGACGGGTCACCCAAAGCCGATGGCGGATGCGATAGTAGAATCAAATCATCGATTCTATTTCGAACCTCGTCGTCTTTGGCAAGCTCGACCGCTGTCAATCCACGGGATTCCTTTACATGTACATCCACTCTTGGATCCAAGAACAGGATTCGCACTTGGTCCACGCGCCCATATTTGCTTGCCATCATCAGCGGTGTAAATTTCTTGTCGTTGGTGGCGTTGGGATCGCAATCACACTGTTGAAGGATGCGTGTAGTTATTTCAGGATCACCCACGATGTGTAGCAATGTATTGCCCTTGATGTCAACATGATCATCAAGTTGAAGAGGTTTTCCATTGCCTTGCGCTTTCTGTGCTGCTGTCAAGGCAGACTGAACCATAATCTTGTACTCTGGATGATCATATGACCGACAGAGCGCGAAGAGTGGTGTCTGCCCATGTTTGTCTCTCTGTCGCCAGGGAAGAAGACCTCCAAGCCGGGCCAGAAGTGAAGGCGTGCTAAAAAGATAATGACCCACAGTTCGACCATGGACATCCGACTTTGTCAAGTACGCTGCAATCACGCTATGATCTGTCTTGCTGAAAAGAAAGTCTAGAATGATTTCAACAATCTCACTATGTGCAAGCTGCACGGCTGCATTGAGCAAAGTGGTACCATCCGCATTTGTGTCTTCAAGAATATCCTCCAACGGATAATATTCTTCAAGACTCAACAGATACTTAAGCGCCTCCGTTTGACGGCTTTCCACGGCCATCATAGGTATTGAATCACCCGCTGGATCTTGGGTTTTTGTCAAAGTTTCAATAGAACTATCACCTTCGATGCCACTTGCCATAGATCCAATAGTAGTGGTTCTAGAAAGGAAAGAAACAGCTGATGACTCTGACAAACTGCGGACATCCATAGAAACCTTCTTCACAGGCCGAGTAAAGTCTATGACAGTGGACGGACCATTCCAGGTTTGGAATGGAAAGACGTGAGACAGGGGCGGTGCTTCAGATGGAGGGCCATCAACTGCCGATTCACCATTTGTGAACACTGGGTTGCTATAGACAGACGACGTCTCAAAAGGCGACTCCTCTGGCTCCTCGGAGCTGTCTGTTTGGAAAAGTACCGATTTGCGCTCAGGTTCGCGAGGAATGGCTTCATCAATAGATTCATGATCTCCATTTGGTTCCAAGATACTCTTCATATCTGAAACACGACCCCCTTTTGTAGCTTGCCACAGCCGTCGGTTTCGCACACTTGCGCGCCGGAGACCAGCTGAGTCTGTGACTAGATACATCAAGACTGCTTCAAATGTGCTGAGTGCGTAGCCCATCTCGCCGCTATCGACATCATCAATGTAGATGAAGTGTTGCATGTAAAGCAAGCGGGCTTGCAAATGACGAATTTGTGACCGGATAACGACAACCAGCAGCAATGAAACCAATACATCCGCATTGATTGTTATTGGCGATCGACCTTTCTCGGATCCCAGTCCATCCACTTGATTGTAACTGCCGGGGAAAGAGATCACTTTGACAGTCTCCAGCAGTGTGTTAAGCATTTCATGGGGACTTTTGGCATCGCCCATCTTGCGAAATTCTTCCACACCGCGGCCCAGCCGACGAATCAGTTCTCTTTTCCCTTCACGCCCTCCTTCAACGCTGATCCCAACTTGGGTTACATCGATGCTTTCCATGTATCGAATCCTAGAATCTAATTCCGAATCTTCAGGTTGTCGGAAGGCACATAGACGAGGAAATAGGAGAGGCTCATGAACTTGCTCAGCAACATAGCGCTCAATAAGCCGCTCGACGAGTGGACCAGTGAGATCGGTTGTCGCACCAAGAAGAGATAATTGCTGCTTATCGACCAATCTAAAGAGGTCAATTGCAGCAGTCACCGCAGTCTCTAGGCTCCGCCGCATAAGATCTTCGTCATCTTCAAAATATTCCTCTGAGTTAAATGGCAGGCGTCCGCGACGAGATGACCAGCTGCGAACGGATGAACTCTCGTCCACCAAAGTCTCCGCGCGGGACATTTTGTGATCGGGTTCGCTTCCAGATGCAGAGGGCGAACGCGATGGAGGAGGAGGCAGCGGCTTCCCAAGCTCCTTGCCAAATTCGCGAAATAGCCGTTCTAGACCAGGTTGCATTTGCTTTGCAATCATTGGGAAATTGGCCAGTAACTCGCCAAGTGATTTGATTTCTTGCTTCGCTGGTGTATTATCTCCATTTGTACTCTTTCTATCCCGAGGAGGCAATTCCACGCGCTTGACAGTTGTACCTGGGACGACGGCAGGAATTATTCTGGCTGGATCGAAGGTTCCGATCAACGGGCGAGAGATGTAATATATGAGCCATGGTCGCGATTCGCTGGACGATGTGTTATTGTAGTATAATGCGTCAGACAAAAGCTGGGCCTGAGTGAGTGACTTAAAGCCTAATAGATCCACGAGTTAGCATCAGTAAACCATCCGGGGTTCAACAATTTCCCCACCTTTGTTACTGTATACCGAGTTCTCTTTGATAATGACCGTTCTTCCATTGAATGTTGTGACCTGTTTTGCTTTCCCTCTATTATCTCGGACGTTTAATTCCTCCTTTCCATCCTTTGAGCCCGTGATGAGCGGGATCCGCAACACATGACTGCCTAGAAATTCTTCCGACGCGACTAGATCCGAGTAGTAAAGGCTAGACTCTCTGTCCCGCGAGCCGACCAGGCAATCTGTAGTAGGAACAAGAAGTACCTGGATTATTCGAATTAGGATCAATCGGCCTCCCGCTATCGATTCAGATGATCATAGCTCTACTTACATGATTCTCCACGGGTGTACACTGCCCCGGAACAGTGCTTCGGAAGAAGGCACGGAGGAAGGGATTTAGAGGGTGCATCCAAACGGTTTTGGACGGCCCGGTAGATAATATTCAGGAATCATCAAGGTCGTGGGGATCAGTTTGTTGAAGCTTGGGGAAACAAGGTTGTATGGACTAGTCGTTTCGCGGGGAAGAGCTCCGGCGCATTCGAATGCAGGCAACAGTTGATGACTTCACGAAGCCGAGGTTCACCCGTCAGAGCGGCCCGGACGACACAGAAGACCAAAAATCAATTCGCAGAATGACACGATAAAAGAATCAAGAAAAGCGCATGAAACTGGAACACGGTTGTAAGTAGGGAAGTTCGAGAACGTGATCGCTGCGGGAGCTGATTCCACGCTATACCTGCTTGGGTAATTCAGGGCCTCTTAGTCAACTGGTCAATACTGACAAATGTTGGAGTGATATCTCATCATCTACATTGAATATCCAAACTATACGGAGGTATGAATTGAGAATTGTGGATTGAAAATTTTAAATTGTTATTGTACAGTATATGGAATCATAGTAGGAAGCTATATCAGGGTAGTAGGATTCCCTGTGGTTCTCTGACCAAGCTGTCCTCCAATACAAGCATCCCGCGTGGATATGCAACAAGTCACAGAAACTCCCTCAAGCAAGACAAGATAAGAACCAAATACAACTGAGTCTTTCCCCTTAACCCAGTCTGCGAACCTTGCGGCTACGAGTACCACCGAACTTGAGACGAGTCGAATCGGTCACTCGGCTGACCAGTCCACGAATGTGACGACCCTCGTTTCCAAGAAGTACCTTGGTGAAAGCCTCTCGGCCCTTTCCGAAGCCACGGTAAACGATCTCAAGTCGCTTCAGCTCCATCAGCAATCCACGTTCCTTGATCTGGGTCATCACGTGGGCCGACAGTTGATACGCCGGGTCGAAGCCACCACGGCCAGCCTTGCGGAAGCCAATTTGACCGGCACCAATAGAGAAAATAGGAGATCCATTGGGCCGTGTCAAAGTGATGATAGTGTTGTGTTTGTGGGTGAAGACGTGCATGTGGTGAGGAGGGGCGCGGTCCGCGTAGGGGTTTTTCATCATATCGGCCTCGAGGCTCTCAGCTAGTCTGGCATAATCGGAGCTGACACGGGAATTGGAGGAGCCATCCTGCATCATCTTTGTAATAGCGGACAATGGTGACGAATCGCCGGAGCTCTGGGGGTTGCGGTTGAGGATTTGGCTCTCGATCGAGGACTTGCGGTCCTTAAGGCCGGCGCTGACATTTGGCGTGGACGAGATCGAGCGAACAGTCTGGAAGCTGACAGCCCGGTTCTGAGATTGCCGACATACTGAAGGCAGGTGCTTGGCGAGTGTGTTCATGCAAAAGGAATTCATCGCGGCGATATGGTGCCGGGTTTGTCGGCGACAAAGACCACGCGGTGGAGTAATGAGGGATATAGGGACAACTCCAATACCTTTTTAGTATTGAAAAAAAGCGACACACAAATTCCCGGAGGATCAATTGCCTTAAAGAATCCGTGACAGGCCGGGGTAGAGGTGTAGCCGTGATCGGAGACAGAGGCGGAAAAGGGAAACACTGGAAGTTTTTCGAAGTCTTGGCAATCTTGACTTTTTCCCCTACTCACATCTCTCTTTCCCGGTCCAACCTCATTCTTCAACTTTACCCCGAACTATCCGGGCTGGGCTGGATTAATACTACTTTTACTCTTTTACTCTCTTCCTAATACCTCTTCCTTTTCTCCTTCGATCCCAGAGCATGATTTCTAACAAGATGTCCTCTGCCGCGCGCGCGGCCACCATGCGGTCTCACGCTCCGGTCCTCAGAACCGTCCAGGGCTCTCGGGCCGTGTCATACTCGGCTCTGCCGATGCAGAGTTCGAAGCTGACCTCTAGCCAAAGGAGCGCTCTTCAGCACACTCACCTCCCCTCTCAGCTCGTTTCGCCGTTTGCCGCTCTTCCCTTGACTCGATCTTTCCACGCAGGCAATTCCTTGTTCCAACAGCAGAAGGAGGAGAAGAAGACTGAGGAGAAGGGTGAGGAGGCCAAGTCTGAATCCAAAGAGCAGGAGAAGGAAGGCGAGGAGGGAGATAAGAAGGAGAAGAAAGAAGAGGCTCCTCCCCCGCCACCTCATGGAGACAAGTCCCCGTGGCAAGTGTTCCGTGACACCCTTCAGACCGAATTCAAGGCTTCTAAGGAGTGGAATGAATCAACTAAGGCTCTGGCATCCTCCGCTCATCAGTTCTCAGAGAATGAGAACATTAAGCGTGCACGTGAGGCCTACCAGGCTGCTTCGGGAGCAGCCACTACCCGCACTGGTGCGGCTCTTAAGTCTACCGGAGAGGTCATTGGAAAGGGTGCATCCTGGACTTGGAACACTCCAGTGGTGAAGGGTGTGCGTAAGGGTGTCAATGCCACTGGTGCGGGTCTCGAGAAGGCCACCCGACCTGTGCGTGAGACTGAGGCTTACAAGAGCGTGAAGGATGCCATTGATGATGGTAGCAGCTCTCGCTACGGTGGATGGATTGAGAAGGAGGAGCGTCGCAAGCGTCGTGAAGAGTGGGAGGCTAAGGCTGGAGGCAAGCCCAAGCTTGAGCGAATGGAGGAAGATCCTGAGTAAGTTTTTGCTGCATGTCGGTTTCAGGTTCTGTGACTAACCTACATCAGGGCCGGTACCAACGTTACCCTCCACAAGGATGCTGCTTGGAAGGAATCCTGGCGCACCTTCCGTGACTCCAACCCCATGATGCAGAAGCTGTTCACCGCACGCGAGGCTTACGAGGAGTCTGAGAACCCACTTATCAGCACTGCGCGCAGCATTACTGACCGTATCGGTGGCTTCTTTGCCGAGAATGAGACCGCTCAGGTTGTCAAGAAGTTCCGCGAAATCGACCCCAACTTCCAGATGGAGGAGTTCCTGCGCGAGCTGCGTGAGTACATGCTCCCCGAGGTTCTTGACGCCTATGTCAAGGGTGACATCGAGACTCTGAAGCTTTGGCTTTCCGATGCTCAGTACTCCGTTTACGCCGCTCTTTCCAAGCAGTACACCACCGCTGGTCTCCGCTCGGATGGCCGTATTCTGGATGTTCGTGGTGTTGACGTTTCCCACGCCCGTCTGTTGGACCCTGGTGACATCCCCGTCTTTGTTGTCACTTGCCGTGCCCAGGAGGTCCACGTTTACCGTAACGTGAAGACTGGCAAGCTTGCCGCCGGTATGGAGGATAAGGTCCAATTGGTCACATATGCTATTGGCATGACCCGAATCCCCGAGGAAGTCAACAACCCTGAGACCCGTGGTTGGAGACTGATTGAGCTGCAGAAGGCTGCTCGCGACTACATCTAAGGCGGCAGGCTGTCTTTTTTCTTCGGTGTGCAACCGACTTCTCAGTCCTTTTATCCAATCCCCTTGAAACTCTTCACCCATTCAACCTTTACCCCTCGTCCTCTCGACTGTACAATATGATTGTTCTATACTAGGCCAGGTGGAATTGGCGCTTTTCCTACGGTTATGTCTGTTCAAGTGACCGGTTGTTTTCCTTCATGTATTAATGTTCACTTTTTTTCCTTTCTCATCTGTCTCTCTGTTACTTGCGGCCTTGTCAAGGCTCTCCACCAAATTCCCTCTGGTTGAACAGAAAAAACAACTGTCCATCCCCTCCATAGACTCGGGCTACAGCTGCATGTGGGATTTTAGCTGGTCTGATGGCATTTGGGCTTGAGGTGTTTTGCGGCGTTTTTCTCATTGCATTTTATTTCTTCTTCACTCTCCCCTCGACACTGTCTGATCTGCATGTGGGCCGTTTATATCGGTCATTGAGATTTCGGTTGGCCGTGATGCGATTAGATCGAGCTATTCAAACAAGAATAACCGATCCTGTCGCATTCAGGCCGTGTAAATATACTATCAACGGAGACGTATCTGTTTCAAGTTCTACCCTCGGTCCGTCATCTCAGTAGTAGTCATCCAGATGGATGCAATAATCAAGCTTAAACGTATTAGACTATTCTATAAGATGAGAATCCTAGTAAAACTGAGCGCAAAGTAAAGATCAAAGTAGAAATGATTTGTGTCTAAAGAAAGCGCTCGCCCCAATATCATCAGATCGTGTCTTTTTGAAGTTATCCATCAAGTCATTCAATCCATGAACCCAAAGTTTACTGTTGACCGCGTCCAGCACCGCCACCGCCACCCATCATGTTACGAGCCCTAGAAATAGTTAGTATCAGCACCTTACACAATATATAATATCAGGGGCTGCTTACATCTCAGCAAGGTTGGGGTCGCTCATCAGGCTAGACATATCGGGCATACCGCCGCCCTGGCCAAAGTTCTCAGCCATCTGGCGAAGACGAGGGTTGTTCATCAGGTTGCCCAGCATATCGGGGTTGCTCATAAGGTTTTGAGCCATGCTAGAAAACATAGGGTTGCTCATCAAAGAACCCAAGTCAGGCATACCACCACCGCCACCACCACCCATCATACCGGCAAGAGCCGACAGGTCGGGCATACCACCGGCACCACGAGAGGCACCAGGAGCAGTGTCCAGCTCCTCAGAGGGGGGCTCAGGGGCACGGCTGGCCTCCTCAATCTTGCGCGATGAGGTCTCAAGACCACGCTTCATGGCATCACTGCCACCGTTGCCCTCAGCCTCAATACCCTTCTCGTAAGCCTCCTTAGCGGCATGGTAGTCACCCATATCGAAACGGGCGAGACCCAGACGGCTCCAGGCCTTGGAGTACTTGGGGTCGACGGCAACAGCGAGCTCGGCATCCTCGGCGGCCTTCTCGTGCTGGTTAGAGGCGGAGTAGGCAGCAGCGCGGTTGGAAAGGTAGATAGGGTTGCCGGGGGCGATCTCCAGGGCCTTGCTGTACTGCTCAACAGCACCAGCATAGTCCTTGCGGGACATCAGGGCGTTACCCTCAGACTTCAGCTTGTCGGACTCAGCGGTGGGCGCACCAGCCTTGGGCTTCTCCTCCTGGGCGCTAGCACTGTCGGCCTGAGGGGTAGACTTGTTGCGCAACTTCTCGTAGACGCTGTAGATGCTGGCGAGGGACTGTCCCCCGAGCGCCTCCTTAACGGCGGCCTCATCGGTGGGGTCAACCTGGAATGTATCGGCAATACAGGACTGGGCGATCTCGATTGACTCGGCATCGTCGGCGGTCAGAGTGCCATCCTTGAGGCTGGAGCCAAGGAAGTCAATGATGGCCAAAGCCAGGCGCTTCTTGCTCTCTGTGGGGGCCTACACGTAATGCGGTTAGCACATTTCACTGAGAATAGACAATACCAGACATATCCTCACCATGATATCAATAAACCCAAGTAAAATGATGTTCAGAGAATACAGGACACGTTAACTTGCGTTTGAGGGGGAAAGAAAAAACAGTTGAATGCGGGGAGCTTGTCGCACGTGATGCCGCCTATCGTCCCCGTTGGACTGTTTAGATCTTCAGCAACTTCACCTAGAGCATTCGAGTATCTTCTCTCTTTTAATTCATTACACAATAGTGGAACTCCAATCGCATTTGCTCTCTGTCGAAATGACTCCATGTGAGCTCCACTGCCAGTCATAATAGCCCCCTGTCCAATCCGGGAGCCATGTATTGGCCTAATGGAGTCCCCCGGGTTTACGCCATCAACGGCCCCGACATTTCCGAGATCTCCTATGATGAGGATCGCCAACATATCCCTCCTTCTCCAGATCAGCGCAGCTCATTAGAGAATAGTTCTGATGCTACAGAGAGCTCAGAGGTGCCAGTCAGCGAGGCAAATGAGCCAATCACTGAACCCCGGACCCAAAAGGATCACCCGAAATGGGAGAGTGAAGCTATCAATGGCCTATGCGTTTCTCGGTCTGGTCACATATTTGCGACTATAACTGAGTCTTCAACTTCACTATGGCAAACCAGAGTATGTACCCCATGAGCCCTTAGTAAAGTCGTCTTTTTGGCTCTAGAGCTTAGATGCTAATGCGCCCCATAGCCAACCGCAGTTGTTGCTGCGTTAGTACGGTCCTTCTCTTCGCTGGAAATTTACGGATCTAATGTGGCACTTTTGATGCATCCGGATTCGTCAATATTGGTTGTTCAGACTCTAAATGGATACCTTCTCACATACACAGTCGCATCCGACCCAGCAACACGAGTCTACCAACAGCGGTTCGATCATTCAACGCATCCACGTCGCCAACAGCTCGCGCACTTCTCTGCGGTCGAAGAATCCAATGTTGTTGGAGACATCAGTATCAGGTTCCGAATGGCAATCAAGATTGAATCTGGGATTGTCAAGGCGCTGGCGCTGGATCAGGAGCTGGTTGTTGCTACAGTTAAACCACCGGCCGTACAGTGTATTCGGTGGAATCGCGATGCAAGTGGACCCCAGACTACATCTGAAATGCTGAATCGCATTCTGGGAACACCAAAAGATGTCTCAATCTCGGATATGGTTTATGATCGCGCCATGAACCTATTAATATGGCTTACAAGTAATGGTCAGGCGTATGCTGTGCAACGAGCAGCCAGGAGTCAGTCTGATTCTGAAGCGCCGAAGAAGCTCTTCCATGGACATTGTTTCCATGATCCTAAGGATGAGGGAGAGAAAGCAGTCAAGGTCACAGTGAACGCGCGATTTTCTCTGCTGACGGTCAACTGTGCAAATGGCGAGATTCTGGTTTACACAGCCAAAGACTATACAGGAAATGTACCACTTTCTCAGAAGCTACAACTACCAGCATCGCCTACAACTACAGGAGCATTGACATTTATGAGCTATTCGCCGGACGGATACTGTCTCTTTGCTGGCTTTGAGAATGGTTGGACAACGTGGAGTGTCTTTGGAAAGCCGGGAGGAAATAGCTTCACTGTTGATGTCTCTTTGGCGAAGTCAAATGAAGAGAGTTGGCTAACTGGTGTCTCGAGTGGCTGCTGGATTGGCGGTGGATCCGATATCATTCTGTCGGGACAAAATGATCGGCGTCTCTGGATTCTGGAGACGGCCCGCAGCGCTTTAACGGGCTGCTTTTCCGCTGCTAATCTTGCTCGGGGATTGTTGCAAACGGGAACAGAATTTATTCTGTATCGGGGTCATGACTTGCCTGAATTGATGACTATCTCGGGCAAAGATTCTCTTTGGCATCATGCTCAATATCCACCTGCATACCTCCATTCCCAGTGGCCCATCCGGTCATGTGTCGTGTCTCAAGATGGGCGGTATGTTGCCATTGCTGGTCGAAGAGGGTTGGCCCATTATAGTGTCAACAGTGGCCGGTGGAAGGTGTTTGAGGATTCCAAAATAGAGAATTCGTTCGCTGTTCGCGGCGGTATGTGCTGGTATGGTCATATATTGATCGCCGCTGTGGAAAGCGACGGATCGTATGAGGTAAGTGCTATTAGAGCGAAACAAACGTCCAAAGCTAATGATTAATCCAGCTGCGTCTTTACTCCCGCGAGGCGCCATTGAATAATAATTCGATGATGTTTATCGAGTATCTTCCATCCCCTGTGGTGTTCATCGGTCCGTCTGGAGAAGACTCTCTCCTGGTCTACACCTACGACAACATTCTATACCACTATATCATCAACGCCACCCAACCGCAAATCACTATTGTTCCTGTGGGACAAATTGCGTTCAATGGCATTGTACGAGCTCCAACTCGTGTTAGAGCGATTAGCTGGGTCTTGCCCGAGGAACAAATGCGTATGTTTCACCAACTTTTCGTATTCACTGCCGAGGTTCTGACACTATACAGGAAACGGTGATCCTTCGCAGGATGTTAAGGTAGCATCTGTCATTCTTCTAGTGGACGGCAATCTAGTTCTATTGCAGCCCACGGTAACGGATTCAGGCGATCTCAAATACGACATGCGGGTCATTTCCCACGATGTGGAATATTACATATTGATGCGCGATCAGCTCTCCTTCAATTTCTCGCCTCAAGTTGACGAATCCCTTCCAGCCAGTCCCTCTGTCGAGCTGGCTCTTGGGTCGTCTCATAGCACTCTATCGCTTCGAGACTCCCTATGGATGTTCCGCGGGCAAGATCTTTTGGCATGGAACGATGTGCATGATATTCTGCAGCAAGAGACGGTGCCGGCACCACTCAATATACCCCTGGACTTCTATCCTCTCTCGGTGCTATTGAACAAAGGCATTGTACTGGGAGTAGAATCCGAAATGATGCAGCGACGAGACGTCACATTCACCAGCCTGAAGTTTGCCATCCGAGTATGATCCACCCTCACCTCTGTCATTTTTTATCAGTGACATTATGAAAAAAAGTATGTCTAACATATTCATCTAGACCCATCTCTTCCTCCCATACTTCCTCCAATACAGCCTTATCAACCTCGGCACTCCAGCCACCCTCTCTCTCTGCCGACACTTCTCTCACCTTTCATACTTTGCACACGGATTAGAAATCCTACTTCATCACGTCCTTGACGATGAAGTAGATAATCAGAGTCGCGCCAACAAATCCGATGTTCCAATCCTCCGTGAGGGCCCTCTTCTCCCCACTGTCATCACCTTCCTCCAGGCATCTCTTCCAACACGCGAATACCTCGACATCGTTGTACAATGTACCCGGAAAACCGAGCTCCGGTCCTGGCGTACCCTCTTCGCCTACCTACCTCCACCAAAGGACCTCTTTGAACAAGCCCTAAAACTCGACGCCCTCAAAACAGCCGTCGGGTATCTCCTAGTCCTCCAAGCCTTCGAAGACGAGGACCATGGTAACGACGGCCGCATAGAGGAATACGTCGTACGTCTTATCGGACTAGCCTCACAAAAGGGTGACTGGGAACTCTGTGGCGAATTAGCCAGGTTCTTAATTGCTCTCGATGCCTCGGGTGAAATGCTGCAGCGTGCTATTGGCCGCGTAGGACTACGTTCCTGGACCTCGAGGAACGGGAGCAATTCCGGATTCGGATCGAGATCTGGCTCAGCGGCTGGTGTTAAGGGACTAGGACTTAGTCTTCCTGTGCGTACCCCGTCCTGGTCATCTCTCTCTCCGACGGGCTCGGGGTCAATGTCTCCGAGCAATGCTCGAGATGGGAATGTTTCGGATGAATATCCCCATTCAATAGATAGTCGAGACGATATTTAAGTTATTAATCTCCTCCTGGACATTTGTGCCGCTTTCAATGTTTATTCCCAACTTGTATATTTTTGTCACTTTACTCTCAGATGGAACGTAGATATACATCTACATATTGATGCCACTTTCGGAGCCCAACTTCTACTTACTACTGGTATCACCTCCAAATTGAACTTGAAGTTCATCCTTCAAGTTATAACACACATCATGCAATTCAATATTTTATACCAATCATCAGGAAATCCTGGAAATCATCATATAAGGGTAAATCAAAACCCAAATCTCATAACCATCATAAGCACCCCACACACCTCACACCTTCAAGCCATCTAATCCAACTGCATCTTCCAAAGTCCATCTCCAAGATAATGACCCTCATCCATAACAACACCCTTGCCCTTACTCTTCATCTCCTCTGTTCCAACCTTCAAAGCACCAACAAGACAAACTTCCTCCTTGCCCTCGGCCTTAATAGCAACAACCTGTCCAGCCTCCAACGCATTCTCCGCATCGGGTAACCGGCCACCAGGAGATGTCAAACCCGGTGCCATGAGTGCCGCGCCGGAAAGAACGAAACGGATGGCGCCACGGTCGATTTGGATGGTTGGGAGAGCGGATGGGAAAGCGTGAACGAGACGGAGATGGGGAATTGGGGGACCGTCGAAGGGTTGGAAGAAGAGGGGAGTGGAATCTATTGTGTAGAGGGTAACGCGGTCTGGACTGCGGGTTGATTATTGTTAGTGGATCTTTTCTCGTGGTTTGATTGTATGGGATTCAGGATGAAATATATTCTTGGGATGAAGGTTGTAGGTTGTATAATAGTTGATTGGAATACTTCACGTACAGTTTGACGGCCTCAAGAGATGCTTTCTTGGGGAGGATTTCCTCGATATATGGCTCGAATCCGGGGTATGTCTCCAGCAGCTTTTGGCGCAGACCTCGCTGCACGGAGGACTTGACCTTGGAGCGGTTGCTCGATGGGATACTGGACGGTGGTTAGCTGATACAGTGCTTTGTGCTTATAACCTTTCTTTGCAATGTCGAGTCCCTGAAGTGGTCATGGCGTGGTGGCAGGGTAGTAGTTCCAATCCACTTCTGTTATGTTTCCATCTTTCTTGCTTCAGCTGGAGCTGGTAGAGCTTGCAATTTTGCGGCTCGGATTTGGGACCATTGTGCTTGGTTTAAGGGATTGACTGGGTGGGTGTGGTGTGGATGTTCGAGATGGAAGATCAGAATATTCTTTCAGCCTTAACTTACTCTTTCTTAAACATGATGGCGTGCTGTAGGAGAGCGGTTGATATGTATCGGGCTGTATCAAGGTGAAGTGGGATGCGCGGGGAGGTCATGTGATGATATGGATAAGTGTCGTCAACTGGTGTATGAACTGGTGTATGAAGTGATCAAAGTTCAAAAGAGAGCAACAGTGGAACCTTTGGAACTTGGAAGCATTCAGTGTACTTTGGATTGTAGGTCTAAATTTACAGGGAAAGTTTTGGAGATAAAAAAAATATATATAGCTTCAAGTGTTCATGAATTGATTTGTTTCAATATTGGTATATCTAGCTCTTGGCAGCACCGGCCTTGATGAGGAGGATGTCACCATCCTCAACAACGTAGTCCTTGCCCTTGGTCATGATCTTACCGGCAGCCTTGACTGCGGCTTCGTCACCAAGCTCCTTCAGCATGGCGTAGTTGTAGACAATAGCCTGAATGAAGGTCTTCTCAAAGTCACCGTGAATAACACCAGCGGCCTGAGGAGCCTTGATACCCTTGCGGATAGTCCACTGGCGAACCTCATCGGTACCAGTGGTGAAGAAGCTGCCAAGGTTCAGAGCCTGACGCATGGTAACAATGACCTTGGGCAGACCAGACTTGGTGCCAAGCTTCTTGCACTCCTCCTCGGCGGCAACGTCGTCCTGCATAAGGGCCAGACGTTCCTCGAAGCAAGCAGAGATTGGCAGAATGGGGTTACCAGGAGAGTGCTCCTTGATCCAGGCAAACAGGCTGGGGAGGTACTTGTTCTTCTGGCGGATGTAATCCTTCTCGCTCAGGTTGACCAAGTACACAACGGGCTTAGCAGTGAGGAGGAACAGAGGGTTGATGACCTCGACCTATAACCATTTGAGTCAGTAAGGAATCAAAATGGATTGAGTAATTTGACTGTGCAAGACAAAAGAACTCCAATTCTTTTTCAGACAAGGATTTTATTTCAATATGTCCTCAACGTGATATAAAATGGGACATTTTCAACGAGCTGGGTTATATTCGAGCTATGCTCTTATTCATCATATAAAGAATTGGAGTTCCAATGCGGTGGAGGTGGTTGGGTGGGAAACGGGAGCAGGGATTTGATAAAACATACCTCCTTGGGGCTCCAGTCACCGTTGCGGATATCCTTGCCATCCTTCAGCCACTCAAGGATTTTGGCGGTGGTAGCCTCCTCCTCCTTGAGCTTCTTCATCTCCAGTGACTGACCACCACGGCGAGTCTGCTTGCCAAGGCCCTCGAGAGCCTTCTCGACGAACTCGATATCCTTGATGCGAAGCTCCTCACTGATGATAGTCAGATCACGGACAGGGTCGACATCACCCTCGACGTGAATAATTTCAGCATCGTCGAAGCAACGAACAACCTGGAAGATGGCATCAACAGCACGGATGTGGGACAAGAAAGAGTTACCCAGACCAGCACCAGTCGAGGCACCACGGGTCAGACCGGCAATATCATACACGGTCAAGTTGGCGGGAACCACAGACTTGGGCTTGTACTGTTCGCACAGCCAGTCGAATCGCTCATCAGGAACAATGACACGGGCCTCCTCGGGATCGATGGTAGCATAAGGGAAGTTGGCTGGGTTACCCAGAGTAGACTTGGTAATGGACTGGAACAGAGTCGACTTTCCGACGTTCGCAAGACCAACCTAAATCATGATGAGTTAGTATCTAAAGAGCATAGTATATAAAATGCAGAATATGTATTTCAATGGAAAAAGTCCATGGTGAAGTGTGAAGGAAAAGTGAAAGGGGAAGGAGAGGAAGAGGGAAGGGGGTGGTTTAAATAGTTTTTGTGTGGACTTAAAAAGTGGACTGTGCTGTGAAAAAAAAAACGCGAAAAATTTCACAGGGACAAGTGGGGACATTGCTCACATACGATACCACTCTTCAAGTTGTTTCCAGGACGGCCCAGCAGGACCTTTTCCTGAACTTGCGCCTTCTTGGGAGGCATTTTATTCGATTTCTTCTTGGAGTAAAAACGATAGAAGACCTTGGGAAGTGGGAGGTGGGGGGGATGGACCAAGGCGGAAGCGGCAAGACTCGCGCGCGGTGAAAGCAGAACCAGCTGCGGATCGATCAACGATACGAAGGAAAAAGACGGAGGAGTTGAGGAGAGACGTTGTGGCGGTACCCACCAAAAGGAGGGTCAGAGATCAATTGAGATGGCAATTGATCAAAAGAAATAGAAAATAATGAGAGTAAAAGAGTGATCTTTTGTTCTTTGAATTGTATCTTGTTGTTCTTATCTACAGAAGAAAACATGTCATCACAATTTTCTGCCCGTTTTCTCTGACCGCCTCACGTGAAGCTTGCTGCCCTTGACGTCACTGCTTACTCCATAGTACACACTTACACCACATCGTACATACTGCATAATGCAGGGGGGTTTATAAATCCACCTTTTGTGATAGTGATTTATGGGTAAGGAATATATAATAGAAGCTGAGTCTTCGGAAGAATGTATGATGCTTTTAGCTCCGTGCATATCAAAGTATAATACAAATACATCACCCTAATCGGATATTGGAATATCGGAATTTGAAAACCAGGGTAGGAAAAGAAGACATAAGTAAAAGCAAATAGAACCCACCCCAGCCAACCCCGGAAAAATAAGCACTCATGAAACGCCAGGATAAAGCAGGAATTCATACGGAATAACCGGACGGACCAGGTTCATCATAGATCCATCGCATCGGCATCTGCTCTGCTATCCACCATATCCAACAATTTGGCATACGGAACAGTCACACGTTGGAGTTCACGGTATTTGCCTGGGAAATGTCAGTATAAGACAGTGTTAATGAATAAGAGAGAGAGAGAATAAATATACCAAGAGCAAGAATCACCTCCTTCAGTAAAGTCTCCCGCGGCCAGCCACACAGATCTTCTGATCCTTCACGCCAGTTACGGCCCTCACGCTCATTAGCCTGGAGCTTAGATACGACATCCGAACCTTCTTCATCCTCAAATAGTCCACCGATTAGCCCCTTGAGCAGCTCCTCTACCTTCAATTTGAGTCCCTCTGCACCGATGCGCTTGGCATACATGTTCAGGTATAGACGGAACTCCTCCTTCGCGCCCAGAGAGAGCGCAGCAGCCATGCGGTTCTCTAGATGAGCAATCGAAACCGTGGATTCAAAGGTTTCGTAGCCCTCACGAGAGAGCAGAACTTTGATGAGTCGTTGAAGGAAGTATGCACGGCCACGAAGAAGAGTCTCATTGGTGGTATTACGCTCCAAGAAGGGAATGATGCCTGCCGACACCGCAGCTTTGGCGTCTTTGGTGTCTTGTTGTGCGTCTCGGGCCTGTAGATTGCCCACGGGCGCTTCGGTAGAGTTCCAGTATTGACTGCCAACAGCCCACCACGCTTCAGAAACTCGTTGCCACGTGTACATTGATGGTGAGTACGAGTAGCCTTCGCCATTTGTCAATGACACGACAATTCGACCTTCTGAGTTGATCCTGGCGTTCGTGACAGCGGGAACATTTGTGGGATTGGCACCCATGACGTAGATAGCGGCATCGAGAACAGGCTGTAAAGAGACGGGAGGGTGGGGAGAAGAGAGGTGCTTCACGTTCCAGACATAGCACATGCCTACGGAAGAAATGCAGAGAATCCATGGGCCATTGCATTCGAGAATCACAGGCTGTGCTTCCAGAACCAGGGCACTCACTAAACGACGACCAGCAGGAGTCCAGAGATAGACCGAACCATCCTCACAGGCAGCCGCCCACATGCTTTGGTTTCCCGTGACCAGTAAAACAGACTTAGGCAGGAAGTCTTGCCATAATGGCTGCTCGCCACGGAAAAGGGTAAGACGGACTGGTTCCCGATCCACAGCCCGGCCAGTCAGACTAGCTGGGGAAGGATTCCGAGCTTCAAAAACAACATCGACGCGAGACTTGGTGCTTGAATCTCCTCCACCAGGAGCAGGCGGCTCTGTAGGCTTTCCGGTAGAATCAAGGGCACGCAAGATATGACTTCGAAGCTTGGGCACTGCAAGTCGGAGTTGACTGACAGACATGCAAGGGTTTACGACTGCAGGTCGAATGAATTCAGGAGTAGGTTGTTGGCCCGCTGGAGCAGATTGTGTTTGAGCAGGAAGCAGCCCATCGGGAGTATTGGCCATGATGGGTGTTGCGCCGTTTTGACTTGCAACTGCGACACGTTTTTCCGTTTGTCCCTCCTCGTCACCGTCAATTTGAGCGAGCTTTCGCTTGTTTCCAAGGAGTAAAGCAGCCAGACCACCTTTGGGCAAACCGTCAAACGGTTTTGAGAGATCAACGATGGAAGTTGGCGCGTCACCTTTCACTTGACTACTCACTGAAGCCATCAGGCGAGCTTGTGGTAAAGAAGACTCTCCACCACCGGCTCCAGAAACAAGTAAAGGAGCAATACGTTTTCTGCCGTCTTTTGTGTATGTCGGACGTTGCTTAAGCCTTTCTAGCTTAGCAAGGTATGGGTCTGGCTTTTCGGGCTCACTTGCGGCGGGGGTTGACGTGGTTCCATTCGTTTGCGTCTTCGCAGGTTCTGGATTGGGAGAAGAGGCTTTGGCAGGAGTTGTGCCATTTGGTGGCTGGGTTGTAGTTCCTCCATTCACAGCGGCAGCTTCCGCGCCGTCACCCATAAGTGCCCCCATGCGGCCTTCAACACCCTTGATCTCACCAGCTTTGCTCTTCTCTTCGAGTAACAAACCGTCGGTGGTCTCCGTGATACCGGCGCCCTTACGGTTCGTTCCAAACTTAGTCAATGACTTTTCGTTCTCTTCCATCTCGGTTGCGTAGCCTAGCTCGCCTTCCTCAAAACGGACTGCCAAAATGGTCCCGTCCAATGCAGTGGCATAAAGACATTTGCCATCTGGACTCCAGGCGAGATCTGAAATTGACTTGGCGGCCATCTCTTGGGCTACCACCATCGGGCGAGCATTACTTGTGATCCAGACACTTAAGGACTTATCAGCACCCGCACAGGCAATAACGGTGATATGGGCCTGTGCACCATTTCCCTGGCTATCGGCTGATTGCTTCTGAGGTGGCTCGCGAGAGTAAAGTCGTGGAGAAAATGAGCAAACTTCAACAGGAGCTTCATGGCCAATGAGATTGATATCACCATCCCATGAGCCACGATTGATAATAGCTACCGAGCTGACAGGTCCATTGACTGCATTTGCCGCAGCAATATGCATACCATCTGGTGACCAAGAGCATCGTCGGAAGTAAGCTGTTAAAGGGGAGTTGGCGAAAGGTGCTGTGATGGTCTGCTCCAAGACAAAGTTGTTCATCTGATCATGAGATGTAGAATTTGGTGCTGGAGAAGTAAATCGGAAAATACGGACAGTACGATCGTCACTAGCCGTTGCGAAGTACTTGTTGGCAGGGTCGAAAGTAATACCCTTCACATGACTCTGGTGTACAGCTATTGTTTTCAACTTCTCGAAAGTGTGTCCTGACCAAACAACGACCTTTGAGTCCAGTCCCACGGATACAAGAATCGAGGAATCATGCGACCATCCTAGATCCTGAACATCGTTGTCGTGGCCGATCAATCGTCGGATCGTACGCCAGTTCTCAACTGGTGGTGCTTCGTCCGAACCTACATATCGTTTCATCCCAATTAGCCTCTTACCCCTCAGCACTCCACCCAACCATATATAACCATATTTACCTACCAAACGTTGATGTGTGGGTCGGAGGATTCGCATCAAGTGTGTAAACGCAAACAATCTTATCATCCGCCCCTGAAGCAAGGTATTTTCCATTGGGTGAGAATCGAACCGTGTGGATTGTGCCGGAGTGATTGCTCATCGATGCAAGTTGTTTCGGTTTGCTAGCGAATTCCGCAGTTCCGGTATTGTAGATGGCCTCGGTAGACCAAATGCGCACGTAGCCATCTACATCACAAGAAAATTCAAAGTCAGTCGCTATCTTTCGACGTTCCCAGTAGTGTATTGCTGGCCCGACTCTGCTCCTCTCGACCCCGCAACGACCCTGCTGCTTTATTTGACCTCGTTCCAAGCTTACCTCCTGCTGCAGTCACCAATCTCTTCCCATCTGGCGAAACGTCGCAACTGTAAACCTCGAAGTCTTTCCGTTCACCTGTTTAATTGTATATAATGATCAGCTACTGTTTTCGTACGATGAAAGAAGCTTTTGTTTCTTGTGCACTCAATGAAGCACCAATATTAGCGTCAAAAAGGAGATACAATCAACTTTAAATTGTAGACCCGCGTACCTCCATGGGTAAGCCAGACTGGCTTAATGATGTGCATGGCGCAAAATAGTCGGAGTGCGCCACTCCCTCAAGACACTCAAATAGTGTAAATTATTCGCGTTTTGGTCGGATTTCTGACCGGGAAATCAAGTTCCTTAAGAAGCGAAGGGTTGGCAAACGAGCGGAGCCGTAATTCGTGGTCGGGTAAGAAGGTCAGGTGTTAATCGTAAAGGACATCGCCGAGAGAAAGTGTCCTGATCAGCCTCCTCTAGGTGGTTTCTGTGGGATCTCGCAACTGTAACGAAGATGAAGCCCGATGATCGACGATGTTGAATGTGAAGGTGGATGTTGCGGGATACAAGGGGAGATGCTAATCAGGGCGCGAAATCGAAAAGTCGCGATCTCCAGATTTGGTGGCCCGAGCTCCCTTGCGCGTTATCCAGGCGGAGTATCTAGTATTCGCTACGCATCAAGTTGAAGTACATCATAGCTTCAAGTTGATATTAATCAAAGTTTAATCATAGATTGTCATTATATTACGTATCTATTTAGAATACTACGAAATATTATTAACATTGGAAAGAATATAAATGAAATTTATACTAGTAGTAGATCATGCTATTGGTACCTATACTCCTAGGAAGACTATAGTATAGTAAAACACTCCAATGCCAATTATACTAGTAGCACTCAACTAAAATTCAACTGGACTCCTATATCTTCGCCTTAATTACCCCCTTCTCATGCTTCTTAGCAGAAGGTATAATCTGGGCAACATGTTGACTAACAGCAATCAACTCCAATCTTTCATCACACAAAAGAATCTCCATATCCATCCTCCCATCCATAATACTCTTAACCTCCGTCCTCAAATAAAGCCACCGAGCACCAGAGACCGGAAGATTCTTCTTAATCTCCGTCGACATGGAAAGCGTCACATTGATAGTCTGCGTAATGGGTTCCATAGACCCATCATCCTCTAACGCCCTCCAATTCTCCTGTCCCAGTACACGAGCCTGTCTCTGCTTATCTGCAAACTCAAGCGTAGCAGCAATACTACCCATTGGTAACTTCTTCCCGGGTATATGGGGAAAGAAGTTTTCCTGTACTGGGAAGCTCATGTCGATGGCGAATTGAATCATCTCTGTTGTCCAGAGCGCCTTTTCTTCTTCATGCGCGGGGCAGGATCCTTGTGGGAGACAGTCCCAGCCTGGTAGAATCCATTGCTCTGTATATTTTATTTCAGATGACCAGAATACTGGGATGAAGTTTCGGGCGTAGGAATGGGCATGTCGGAAGCCAATTTTATGGAAAGCTGTTTGGTAAGATGTCCATTCGGGATCTTGATCGGCTTCTAGCTTGGCGAGATCTACTGGATGGGTGAGGCTATTTTCCAGCCTGTTTGTAGACTGATTCCTGGTATTTTGAAATTTGAAAGCCTGTGTAAGCTGCATCAGTACTGCTTTCCCGGACCTGGATAGTTGTGGGTAGTCCTACCAGATATCTGCAGATGCAGCAATCTTCCCGAATTGAAATGTCTCGCGTAGCTGCATTTCAACTGGCTTAGTTGCGATGATTGGACGATAGAACTGAACCAACGAATTTCGGATATCCGTTTGCGAGCGCAAGGTCTCATGCTTAGATGCATGGACGACGGCATATTTGGTCATAAGGCAAGCTACATAGCCTCCACAACTTACTGAATTCTTTTGTTAGATAATATGCCTGGATTTTGGTCGCCGAGGATAGAAAAGTGGCTGAAATCACAACCCTGCTCCAAATGCAATATCTGTGGAAAGTGAAGGAGAGAATTGATTCCCTGAAGGGGAGATGCCCAAAGCAGTAGATAGACTGGTTGGTAACTTGTCTGACATTTTTATCTGAATGTTCTGAATGTAATATGAATCGTTCATCGGATGTGCTTGGTCTGAAAACAAGGGTTTATATCCGCAGGATTAACCAGTGACGTCTGCCGTCCCGAGGTTACCTAGTAGGTTGGCCCCCACGAGTGCACATGCGTATGTACTAGGTAGTATTTCATCCTGTCAATACCAAGCTCGGACTAATCCTTAGATTTATCTGAATTTGAACTTGAGATCATTTGAATGCAGTCTCGCAAATGTAGCTGACGCCTGGGTTAATACGGTTTCCCCATACGATTGCCCCATAAACGCAGCTCTCAAGGAAGAGCCTCATGTTGCTGCACATAAAATGAGGGACACCCCATTAAGAGGAATATGACATAGGCTAATTAGGCTCACCATATCTTTCAAGGACCGATTGAGATAATTTCTGCTACACGCTATCATACAGGTGATGTCTTTTCAGGTCCTTTTCTGTCCTCATCCTGGCCTCAGTGCCCGCGATCCCTATGTACACATACAGATGGGAGCTCAATTGAGTCCCGCACCGCCAGAGTAGAAGTTCCCATCTGACTCCCAGAGAAATGCTTCCGAGTCAAGAAAAAAACACACACACATAAGAAATGAGAGTGGAATGATAAAGAGATAAGAGTGGAGGAAGCCATACAGTACAGCCGGTGGATCATGACTGGATGGAACAGATGTAGATTGAGTAACAGCTCGCTTGCCTCAAAGACGTAGTAATAGACGTAGCTGATACTTCTTACTCCTTGACTCGTTGGCTGGCCTCATCGAAGGATTTCAAGACACTCTCGGTAACCTCGTTGGGCAAAGCTTCCGTCTCAACACCCTCAGTCTCAAGTTGGGTCTGGTTCTGTGTCTCGCTGGGAGCAGACTTCTCGGACTCCGGAGCACCAATAGCCTTAGCAGCAATGCTTCTAGCCTGACTCTCACTGACCTTTCCGTAAACAGCCATAGCACTGGCAATCATACCACCGATATCACCAACATTACCCGGTACAACAACCGATGTACCCTCCTTAGCCAACTTGGAGAACGCCTCGACATACTTCTCAGCAACGCTCAAGCTAATAGCGCTCTGAGCATTCTCCTGACCTTCTTGAATAGCCTTCGCAACGGCCTCAATACCCCGAGCGGTAGCTTGTGCCTTCAGCTGAATAGCCTCAGACTCACCAGTCGCCAGATTAATCGCCTCGGCGCGCAGAGCTTCCGAAGCAAGGATAACGGATTGCTTTCGTCCCTCGGCAATATTGATTGCGCTCTGGCGCTGACCCTCTGAGTCGAGGATCTCGGCACGCTTGGATCGTTCTGCGGTAACTTGGCGATGCATAGCTGCCACAACGCCGTCCGGCGCGTGGATATCCCTGATCTCGTATCGCAGACATACAACACCCCAGTCTTGAGCGGCTTCGTTGATCGCTTGTGTGATATTTGTGTTGAGTGTGGCACGCTCCTTGAGGACGTGATCGAGGGTCAACTGACCGATCTCGGATCGCATGGTTGTCTGTGCAAGTTGGGAGATGGCGTATTCCGCATCCTCAACGCCGTAGCTATAACAAAAGCATCAGTTCATCAACCCATTCCAGCGCCAATTATATAAATCAACGGATATAATGTTGACGAGTCGTAGTCTTACCTAGCCTTGTATGCATCAAAAACTCGTGTGTAGAGTACACCATCTAGCTCCAACGTAACATTATCCGCGGTGATTGCATTCTGGCTCGGTATCTCCAGCGCGGACTCCTTTAAGCTCTTAACATAGGCAATGCGGTCGAGAAATGGGACAAGAATGGCAAGACCAGGCTCAAGGATCCGGTGGAACTTGCCCATGCGCTCAACGATCCATGCTGTCTGCTGCGGCACGAATCGCACAATCGTGTTTGCGGGGAGTGTGGGTCGACTCGTAAAGTAGGTGGTGGGAGTACCAGAGGGTTGATTGTGAGATGCAGTAGAAGTACCTCCGAATTGGGTAAATAGAGACTCGGGGGCAAGGTTGCGATTCGAATTTGAGAGTGCTCGGCTTTGTGTCGTGGTCAGGCGTGTCCGGGTAACTGGTCGTGGGAGGCGACTCTGCTGTGCTAGCAGGTTTGTGCCTCGGGATCGAAGAATCCTTGATGTTTGTCTGGATGCGCCCTCCATTTTGAGTGGGTATATGATGTAGAGGGAGCGGTTTGAGGGGGAAGAGGTGAAGGAGTCAGCTGGTCTCTGAGCTCGGAAACCAGTCGGGGAAGTTGCTCCGTTTGCCTTATTTTTGCCTGAGGCAGCAAGTTACTCCAGACGTTCAAAGATGCGGGCCACCCGGAGCGGAGGAATAACATTAGGTACTGGGTATTTGTTCTCGAACAGGGGTGTTTAAATAGATATTGGTTTACATTCCCTTGGGTTCTTAAGAGAAATGCTTATTGGTATGTAGGTACAAGAATAGGCCTAAACCCTGATTATTACCTATTAGAATATCTTTGAGTAAAAAGAGAAAGAGGAAAAATAATAATAGTAGGTAGAAATAGAAAAAAGAAGGATGAATAAAAGAAAAAAAGCTTGACCGGTGCAGGGCTTGAACCAACGACCTTGAGATTTGCTGGAGAAATTGTTAGTGAAAAGTTCGGATAATAGGTGAGTTTCAGAGTGACATACGAATCTCACGCTCTACCAACTGAGCTAACCAGCCAATTACATTTCACAGCAGGCCAGTGATTATAGATAGCGTATTTCAGGACTTGCTATAGCTTATCTAGGTAACTATAATAACTTACAAGATTGGTTTATAGGTTCTTAAGATAAATCTAGACTTATTGGTATATATCTAGGTATAAGCCTAAACCGTGATCATTACCTATTTACATATCTTTAAGTAAAAAAGAAAGGGGGGGAAATAATAATAGCAGGTATATAGGATATAAATTTACATAAAATATAAATTAAAAAAATAAAAAAAAGAATGACCGGTGCAGGGCTTGAACCAACGACCTTGAGATTTGCTAGAGAAATTGTTAGTGAAAAGTTCAGGTGATAGGTGAGTTCCAGAGTGACATACGAATCTCACGCTCTACCAACTGAGCTAACCAGCCACTGGTTGGTAAATCCGTCAGAATAACGGTATATACTCCAAGATACCATAACCCTGGTATAGTATAAAAAAGATATAGTCTTTAACCCCTAACTTAAATTAAATACTTTTGATTTAATAAGGGAATAAGTCTGAATTTTTATTTCATTAAAAACACAACCTCCATCTAGACAGGGCTTAGATTAAGAGCAGGCAGTCTTTGTATGTAACGGTCCTTGTCCATAGAACGTTTGAAATTACATTACCCTACTTCACGTCCAACCCGTCAATCTTTGAATTGTTTACTCAAAAATAACATTATGAACACATGAATTTCGTTTTATGAATCTTGTGAACCTCTCAGCTTTTAGTCAAAGCTTAATCGGATTGTGTTCCAGGTCCGTCCTCATCCTCGCCCTCTTCTCGCAGCCACTTTCTAGACTTGTCCCGATTATGTTGAATCAAGTTCCCATTATCATCAGTATATCCACCGCCAATAAACCCGTTGAGAAAAGGATATTGCCCGCATATCAATGTTGAGTGTTTTTGAACCAAGACATAACGCCGGGGTCTCTTAGCAATCTGAACAATGTGATCTCCGTTCAAAGCATCCATGAGTCCATTTGCTTAACAGGCCGCCCTTTCTCCATTTGCAGAGGGATACTGGACTTCCATCTCAGTTGTTCGAGTCTCTAAGGCTGATACGAATGGCCAAGCGCGAGCCAGGGTCCTCTAGTTTAGCATCCAAGGCCCATATTGATTCTACTAATCTTCTCTCTTTATAGACAAAGAAATATTCCGCAGAGGAGCCTAAGACACAAAATCTTCCCATTCATACAATAATCTATATAATACCTATTTTCACATGCTTTTCCCTTCTTCCAGGACTGGGTTTTCACAACTACATATTCAGGTACATAGATATCCAAATCTAGGGTGCCTAGAAAAACAATCTGTCATCATGATTCAGTCTCTCCATTGTGTGGAGAAGAACAAGGACTCCACGGTGCCTTCCTCTCCGCATTAGTAGGTAGATTGGCACTCCACGGCTCCCGAGGTCCCAGTCTACCTAGGTATACGAACGAGATGGAAATACTTTTCTTTCTAATATATCCATCCAATACTAGCCTTTTAACCTTGGAAGTACTTATTTTCAACTTAACCTTGGAAATTTTTACCAGTGTATCAGGGAAGTTCATAACCAAACAAAAAACATTTCTCATTATGCATTTACCGCATTCACTGCACCTCACAGCAGTACTCCAGCTGATCCTGTAAACCAGGTTTTATGAACAACATTTAACATTGATACGCCTATCGCAGCTCCAGCTGCAACCCTAACAAAAAACGCCCGGCATCCCGATGGTAACAAAGAAGAGAAAGAAGAAAATTCCGCACTAAGCCGCACTTTTCGGAAAATGACCTGAAGTAGACGCCACTGGTGACATGTAAAGAGAGTGTCACTCTGAGAGCCGTATGTAGATAACGTAATCGAAGAAATTCCACTGCAGGGAATAGGATGGGAAAGAGGATAGGTGGTCATTCAATACTTTTGTTTTCATTGTTGTCTGAACCATTGCTTCGCTCTTGATCGATGTAGAGTCATGCTGATCAACTTGAAACTGGCTAATATGTGGGCGTCAAGATGAACCGCATAGACACTTCAACTGCATAAGAATAGAAGTAGAAAAACTTCCCGGATGGAGGAGGAACGCAGAATGTCTATGATCAGAAGAAAAAAAAAGAGCACAACTGAATCATTTTTTAGGCCTGAACCACCACAGAAACAGGCATCGAAAAGTAGGGGGAATATCACCCATAAGATCATGCCAGGACTCCGGAGCATTTTGGAGAAAGTCCATGAATGGAAACATGACAAATTTGACGGGAAAAAAAAACATGGGAAAAATAAAATAGATGAGAAACGCCGAGGCTGCAGAAAGACGGGGTTGAGAATAAGACCCATCATGGTGCAATGGAAATATGACCACTCGGGTTTCTAAAACGGAAAAGAGTCGAGAATGCATGCAATAGAAACCTTTTTGAACACAACAATGCTGGTCATGACGTAGCGCAAAGCAATAAAAGATAAAGAAGATGAAGCAAATAAAAAATGAATCCCAGAAAACATATTCAAAAGTGGAACAATGGATAGTGATCGATCGGTTATGGGAATTTCGATAATGGTCGTCTCCATTGAGTACCGAACTTGCGGTTGAAAACATCGCGAACACGGGCGTAATTGCAGTGATCCAATTCTCGGGCAAAAACTGCAGACGACAGCATTTCAAAGATTTTATCGCGAGGTTTCAGCAGCTCATTGTAGCACAAGCCCGCCATATCATCAAGAACTTCATCGGGAAATCGACGATGACGGGTTAAAGAAGAACGGTAAAATTCAAGAAGAAGATTGAATCCATTGTCGATGTGTCGTGTGAAAAGATCATCAAGGGCTGAACGCCTAAATTCATTGTACATTTGCGAATCGAATTTGATCATCAAGGCCTCAGCCCAGGTTTGGTAGCGAGCTGGATCCTCCTGGAAAGGATCACCAATAGAAGACCACACCGGTGTGGCTTGAATCTCAGAACTTCGATTTTGAGGGGAATAATGTTGATCATGCAGATAAGCAGGCTTGTTTTGCGTATGGAAGCTCCTTCCATTCTGCTCGACCAGATGTTGACTTTGTTTATAGGGTGGTCTGTTGTTTGAATGAACGTAAGAGTAAGAGTTGCTCGGGCGACGCATCCTGCGCTCCCCATCAAATCTAATAGTTAGGGAAGAAAGGTAGTCAGCTGGCTGTTAATCGAAGATTTAAAGACTCAAGGCAACAAATTTGATCATACCCAGACTGCTGTCTCGTTAATACAGGTGGTGAGGGATGGGGGGGTCGGTTGTCGGGAATCTATTCGGCGCGCTGAGCCAGGATTGTCAATAACTGCGATTTGAAATTGAACGAAGTCAGGATAAGGGGATGCCAGTCCGGGGTGGGCTCTAGGCGAGGGGAAATAATCCTTGGGGGTCCCTACATTGGCAATTTCATTCTGCGCCGAAGGCAAAAACTCTGGGGCAGTAGACGAAAGGGATGTCTGAAGATTGCTGTGGCCGGTACCGTTGGGGATGAATTGTTGTGATCCGGGGTTGATGGAAGAACCATTTGAAACAGCGTCGGCGTGGTTGTTGAGGGGAACGTTCTCATCGTTCTTTGCGGACTGTGCAGGAGCAGCACCGTCATGTTGAGCAGCAGCATCGCGTTGGTCGTAGGGCAAGACCCATTGAGACCATCTCTCACGAGGACGCAGGCGGTCAATGCCATCCTCACCAGTCTGGATCTCCACGTTGCGAAGTTGGCGGGCGACGTGGCGCAGAAGCTCAAAGTCCTCGGTCATGCACTTGACACGCTTAAAGCTGGCAATCACATTGAGAGGAACAAATCCTTGAGAATCCATCTGACGGCGAAGGAACATGTCCTTGCACATGTTATCAACGGAGAAGTAGTACTCCAGTTGCATGGAAAGCATGGACATGAGAGAGTAGGGCTCCATATACTGTTGGAAGGGGACGGCACTCATAGGACCGGGGTTCACACCCTGGTAAGGGTACATGGTGTTGATATCAGCAGGGAAGGGGTAGACACCACCGTACACACCAGCCGAGGCAGGCAATGAGGGCGAACGGATGGGCATCCGGTTGGGCTGCTGAGAGCCGTTAGGCACGTTGTGCTGGGATCGTTGGCGGTCGTTGAAGCCAAAGTTCTTGGGAACAAAGTTGTTTCCAACGTTGCCGAACTGGGAGTTCTGGCCTCCGAATCCTCCTGAGTAAGGACCCCCACGGCCCCGGTTGGAACGGCCTCCGCGTTGCTCCCGGTTGAACTCCTGGAAGCCACCAGGACCAGCACCTTCGCGGTTAATGTCGGCTGACTTGGAACCAGACTCGAAGCGGCGGTCATTGTTGCGGGGCGCAGCCTGGGGATCAACAGTCAAGTTACCACCTTTGCCATTGCGAGAATCATTGTTCCGGTTGAACTGCTTTCCATCACGGGGAGCGCGACTAGCGTTCTCGGTGCCGTTTGCTTGCTTTCCATTCGCGACAGCCGCCTCTTCAGTGCGGGGAGCCCGGTTGTTCCGCTCAGCGGCTTGAGCCTTACGTCCCTCGGCGGCGTTCGCGTCAGTGCTGGTGGAGCGACGAGGTTGTGCGGGGAGAGATGTGGCACGGTTAGTGTTGGCTTCGTTACGACCACGGTCTCCAGAGGCCTGCTTGCCGGTAGCGGTAGGAGTAGCCTGACCAGAAGCAGCCTTGTCGCCGGCTGGAGCACCGGCACCATGGGCTCCACCACGACCACCATCGCGTCCGCCACGAGCGGGTCTTCGACCACCTCCTCCACGGCCAGCGGAGGGGAGGGGGGTGTTGAAGACAGCTGTGGGGACATAGTTAACGGGCATCCACTTCTCCTTGCCGTGAGGTCGCATGACTGGGCTCTTCTCGGTCTTCTCAGTCTTGTCAGTCTTCTCTTGGGCCTTCTTCTTGTCTTCGCCAATGGCGACCTGCGGTGTAGGCCATGATGAGGCATCTTCGACAGGAGGCAGTGCACCATCTCGGCCCTTGCCGTCAGCCTTCTTGGTCTTGTTGCTTTCTTGGGCACCATCGGCCGACTTCTTCTTGGAGGTCTTCACAGAATCTTGCTGGTTTTCCTCAGTTGCTTTCCCAGAAGCAGACTTATCAGACTCAGGGACTGGTGAAGTCTTGGCTTTAGCCTCTTGGGCCTCTTTCCGTTGTTGCCAGATGTTGACTGTTGGAAGAGGAGCCGCCTTCAGCTCCTTTGGTGGGGTGTTCTTCTCGGCCTTGTCCGATTTTCCAGCCTTTTCTTTGGTCTCCTCAGAGCCGTTCTCAGTCTTTTCAGTCTTCTCGGCCTTGGTATCAGCCTGAACCTGCTTCTCGGATGATGCATCTGGGGTCCCGTTGGAGGTATTTGAGGAATCACCCTCTTTGGTCGGTGTGGTGGTGGAACGGACGCTCGGAGATGAAGTCCTGGAATGAGGCACCTTGGATCTGGCCTTGCTGGTCACAGTAGTGAATTCACCTTCTGGGTCAACACTAGAAACCACCTTCTCGGTCTCCTGTGGGGTATCCGGCTCGGAGGTTGTGGGCACCGACTCTGCGGAGACATTGTTGGTCTGCTCTTCCGGCTTGAAATCGGTTTTCTCGGGCTCTGTAGAAACCGCCTTGGTGGCTACTGGTGTCTCGGACACGCCCTTCGCAGCTTGCGCGTAGCTGAATGTAGGCATTTTGGGTGTAGAGAGCTAAAGCTCAATCAGACAAAAAACTGGCTGAAGTATGATGTGGTAAGTTCCGTTCGGAGTCACAGCCGATTTATGCTGTGGAACGGATATTTCCTTCAGCGAGCCTGGAGAGTTCAAATCAACGCCCACGCGCGAGATATCTCCGGCACCGTATCAAATCGGGAGGGGAAAAATAAGTCCCACTTTCTTGTACCCCCACTTCGTGACAGCACTTTGGTTCTCAGAAGAGTCTCTCTCACACGGAGATTTCACTGAAACGGCGTATGTATTCGAAAAAGACACAACCGAGAAGTCGTGTCTTGGAATGTGATCGTATGACTAGGTATTGGTGTCTAGACCGCAAATCGCATCGATGAGACGTCGGTTTCGTAGAGGAGCCGGATGGCAACGAGGCAAGGAAAATATGCAGAGAAAAGATTGGCGACCGAAAGTGTCACGCGTGATTTCAGCGACAAAGAATAGGCGCCGCCTGATCAATGTCGTCTCAGAGAATCAGAAGTAAAGGCCGAACGGCGGGAAAAGGTCGAAATATCACAACAACTTGATTTTCTCTGTTGCGGTAGAAATATCCACCTCAGTTCAGACTTAGTAAGGTCCAAATAGTCGAAGAAATTTAGAGTGCACGTCGACGATATTAACGCACAGGGATGTTAAATCGACTGGGTCAGTCAAACTAAACCTGCAGTTCCTTAAAAAAAAAATGATCCCTTGTAGAAATCGTAGGACAGTCGACGCGAATCGCACGTGACGGTCAAATCAGAGTCGACAAGGAGGTAGAAAGAAGAAACGGTAGGAATTTTCGAACGGGACTCCAGTCGCGAGTTGAAGGTCCGGGGAGGGAAGATGTCGGAGTACTTTCGCACGAGACAAACGGTTTCACACTCGGAGGGAAATTCGCTAGTGGAGCACGAGTCTAGAAGGGACTCAGCACCGTCGAATCAAAAATCGAAAACAAGGGAGGAATGGAAAGTGAGGAACGGACACCCGAGAGAGGGGGGTAAGAGGGGAGGATGGTGAGGGTAAGAGGAGCAAGAACGCAAAATTATTATTTTGGGTAATAATCAGGGCAAATGATTATTGGCAGCCAAATGGTAGCGGGGGCTTTTTTTTCTTACCTTACACAAGGTCAATGGGATACTTGACGTAAAAAAAATTTCCAGAAAAGAAAAAAAAATAATAATCAAAAATTCTGGAAATATTTAATCAATGAGAGAAATCAATTTTACCTGTGTACCCCAGTTGTGGAATTTCGCATAAAAAAATCTGTTATGGAGTGGATGGAGCCCAGCGGATTAATCCCTCGGTGCCGGACGCACAAATATAAGTGCTTGGAACTTGTAACTTGGAACTCATTGGGGATTTGTACGACGGGGACTCAAAGTCACTTTGATCCTGTTTAAGTTCGAATGCTACTGATGTTCTACATATAAGATATTTACAGAATCTCGACGAGGTTATCAGAATCATAGCTTATTATATGTCGATGATTGAACTTCAATCTTGTACAGATTTCTAATTTGGGTTTAGCGTGATTCAGAGTACTCATGTATTGACATTACCAAAGTGACAATACCTTAATACAGTCATCCACGGGTGGATTTATACACTTCCAAGCTTGATGGAGTCAACTGGTACAATGTGTGAACAACATGATTTGAATGAAAAAGGCTAGAATCTCACGGAGAATATAGACTATATCCAAGTACTACATGGATAGCTGAAGTGACAAGGAATGGTACATAGAGAGATCCAATCGTAACCCCAGGGATAAAGTTCCCTCTGCTCAGGGTCCTTCCAGGAAGGCCTGGAATGGGGCAGGATCCAACCAATGGAATGATAGTAGGTACAAATTCAATTCAGTGGTACTACGAGTAATATGTATGAACTTGAAGTATTCCTATACAGAGGGATATCAAGATCTGATAAAGTATTTATTAGATGTATAACCTCAAAAATTCAAGTTGAAGATTCAAGTTACCAAGGTGGGGACCGGGCGTGGAAGTGCCTTGTATGTACATATTTACCCTGGACAGCATTTGAGTATGCGCCTAGTACTAGAAACTTGAACATGGATTCTTGAACTACTAATACACAGGGATCACCACCTGGGCAGGCTAGATACGTGTGTACTCCATATAACTTGGAGTACTACTAGTAAGAGTACCTAGGTAGGTATCATTCATCCGGCGTCATAGGCATTCAACTTGAAGCTCCAGGCTTCATCTGAGAACAAAATTGTAGAATCAAATCGTATTGCGGGGTCCACTTCCAAGTCCACGATTGGTCCCTGGGGCATACATCCGTCTAAGATTTACCTGACGCGGTGCAACGGGAAGTCAATTCGCTTTTAATTCAAATCACTCGGCCCAAATGTACTCTCAAGGTTGTGCTTCAGGCTTCAAGGGTCCCCCTCTAAAATTCAAGGTATCATGGCATATACTTTCAAATGTTATCCCATAATTTTTATCCAGGTATCATCAGATGTACTACTATTTCACCAAATTATACAGGCGGAAATCACAGCCAACACGGTAATCTCCCCAAGCGCTTTCTTCTTCCGCACAGTTCATTCGGCCGGATATATGGAAATCCTCGGGTACCTGACTGGGCCCGTAACATTTAAATGGAGCCCTCGACTACATGCGTAATAGATGTGTAATAGTAATACCATGAACCGTCGGAACTTTGGAACACACACGTACAAAACTTGAGATCCATCAACGGTGCAGGATTCCTAGTCTAATGACTCTAGTACTAGTATTATGCACTTAATACTCCGTGCTGATTGGTTCTCTCCCATACTAGTGTACATACTGTACCCATTTCTTTCCGTTCGAGTTCTCGTACTTCCCAGATGTCATGCCAAGGGCCCGCTACAGCTCTAAATGATTCATCCCCCATGGCGGTTCTGTGCGACCGAAGAATGTGAAATGTGATATACTAGGTCCTGTTAACACGTGATATCCTTGCAAGGAGTCGAGGCCAATATTATACATGTTCCATGGGGCTAGCCCTGGAGATTACTACTCATTTCCCCCTTTTAGTTTCGACTCGGAGACGATCATTGCTGATCGCACGTTAATGTGACCTGTTTCCTATTTTACCTATCTCTTTCTCAATAGGAGTACTCCGTATACTCATAAGACTACACATTCGGCAGAGAACAATTAGGGCTGAGGGCACGCGGAATCCGTCGGGATGGAGTGGAGTATGTAATCAGAATACATCGGTGGAATAAGGGACCACTTGGAAATGTCCTTGTAACGTGCCCAGGTGGATATGGCCCTCCAAAGCTGGTTCGGCGGTCATTACTAACACTCGCACAAAACCCAATTGACAAATTTTACTTCACCGCTCTATATACCGCCTTTTATTAATACTGTTATACGGAGTACACTCCATGATTTGTGCAAAAGGCATTTTGGAACTGGCAGAAACCTTGGAATTGGATTACAGTATTATGTAATTCCAAGGTTCAGTGCACGGGGTTCACGGGTTCACGGGTACGGAGTACAACGGAATGATTTAATTTTAGTCTTGAGATCGTGATCTGATATATTATCGGGAAAATATTTTAACAGCTGGTATGGAGTAGTAAAAACTGGACATTGAAACAACCCCTGGAGGTGCTTTTGTATGTATGTACAGGTAAGGACCAAGGTTGTGTATGTTAGCCTTCAGGGCTAGTTCAATGATATCAACTTCCAAGGTTGGAAACGACTTGAATTGAATGTTCCGACTCGGACTCATAAAGTATGTCCGTTTATTTTCTCTTTTTTTTCAAATTTTATTTTTGATCAATATCAATAATTCAATTTATAGTAATATCTATAATGTTAAAGATTCGGTGTTCGATGCATACTACTAGTAAATTTTAGTGGAACCTGCCCAAGTGGGGGAGCTCTATACCCCGCTAATAGAAGTAGATATACAACTTGAACTTGGACAAGAACTTGAGAGTTCCAGGTATGTATGTACTCCGAGTTTCAACTTCAAGTTTATATGTAGTAGTATGTACTCGTAGTATGTACAATACTACTATGAGGGGACTACCTAGGTACTCAGGTAGTACTAGTAGATTCTAGCAGCTCACCTACCTTCAGCCCAAAGTCTTTCAGCCTAAAAAAAATACGGCGTCTTACTAGTACATCATGCTGAATGTAACCGATGACCCCGCCAATATCTCTGAGCTATTCTCACTAGTACCTTTTGAACTTTTTTTTTGTCCATTGGTCCCAAAGTTTTGATATTTTTCGTAGTTTAAACAGAAAGCTTGCATAGCTCCACCTAAACAGCTGCAAAGCAATCATGCCTATGTTTACGTACCCGAGCCTTCAGGAGCAACCCCATCTGACTCGCATGATCCGCCTCTTGCCTCACTCGAGAAATGATGCCCCAATTGAGTGCAAGCTGTTCAATTACAACTTGTCAGAAGGAGGTGGTCGTGCCCATATGTATGAGGCACTTTCATATTGTTGGCAAAGTAACATTAGGTCGGAGACAGTGATATTAAATGAGTGTTCTCTCTCCATTACCAAGAATCTCCATACTGCACTCTCATATCTCCGTGATCGCCAACTTGAGAGAATTCTGTGGATTGATGCGATTTGTATCAACCAAGATGATAGCGATGAAAAGTGCAAACAGATTCCACTTATGCGTATGATCTATGCACAGGCTGGTCAAGTGATTGTCTGGCTTGGAGATGTCACAGACAATGGTGACCAAGCATTGAGCAAGATTCAGCATCTTGCAGAGGCTAGTTGTGTACAGATGGTGTCTAACATCGCAGAGGACTATTACAGTTGTTTGAAATTACTGCAACGTGATTGGTTTCATCGCATTTGGGTATGAAATTGGGATAACAAGGTTTCCAAGCATTGGAATATCACACTAATCAGTTATCATAGGTGCTCCAAGAAGTTGGTGTCGCTAGATCTATCTGGATTATGTGTGGATCTATTCAACTGAGTGGGCATGCTTTCTGTGAAGGTCTCATCAAAATGAGTCTTCCGTCTGATCTTTTGGCCTACATCAGTCCGGTCGTATATCTCATAAAACTTGCACTCTTGCGATGCAAATTTGAGATTGATCCACATGGGGACCTGTCAATGGGAGAGTTGATTGGCATGTACCGAAATCATTGCGCAACTGAGTCTCATGATAAAGTATATGCTTTGCTAGGTCTGGCTCAGAGTGATGATACTAGTTCATCTGATTTGCTGCCAAATTATGGAATGCCATGGCATGAGGTTTTCAGAAACGTTACAAAACACATCTTTCCTGGGAGCTCTGTTCAGACATGGGTGGATACAGATTTTGCTGTCATCAAAGGCAAGGGATGGATCCTAGGCTACATTCATGAAATTGAAAAGCGAGAACTTTTAAACGGCCAACAAAGGTTTTCGGTCGACTTCACGGCAACCGCCAGGGTCCTCGGTTATAAGAGAGAGTGGGCGTTCGAATGGGAGCTACAAACAGGAGGAGAGGGGATCAAGGAGGGCGACATCATCTGTCTTTTGCAAGGTGGATCAATGCCTAGCATTATCAGACTATGCAATGATCACTTCACGCTGGTTTTTCCAGCAGTGAGACCTCCAACGAGGGATCAGACAATAGCCCCAAGCACTCTGCTGCAAAATCGTCGTGACCCAGGCGGGCTGCATGAAGTCCTTCTGGTGTTGAGGATACCGGTAACTGGAGATCAGGCAGAGCTGGAATCTTCACTAAAGCTTTTGGAGAAGGTACCAAACTACCTGGAATCGCAACTGGAAATCGAGGTCAGGCTCGATCAAATAGCCTCCATGGTGTTGGACATTGCTACACGGGGCCAAAAGAAGAAAAATGACACCAGCTCGTACAGAGCAGCGATAAGGAACAATGTTCTTAACCGGGGAAATGAAATGCCAATCGTTGACTTACTTGAAGTCACAACCAGAGATGATGCACGTTGTGGAAGTGCTATGATCGAACTGCTCAGCCAATATCAAGCTGAAAGTCGCCTCATCTCAGAAGAGGTTGTTATGAGAGCTGCAGAAATCACAGATTATGGAGGGTATGGTGCATTTGAATTACTGTTCCAAATTCAACATGACACTATTCCAGTTTCTGAGGATGTGGTCAAGGCCGTTGCGACAAATACTGGAGATGATGCCTATCTCGCCATGGAACTGCTCTTCCAACATCGAGGAGAGGCCCTACCAATTTCTGAGGATGTTGTCAAAGCAGCTGCTCAAAACACGGGGCAGTCTGGATATAAAATCATGAGGCTTCTCTTACAACATCGAGGGGACAGCCTCCCAATATCTGAAGATGTGGTTATGGCGGTTGCAGAGAATTTTGGTTATAATCGTGGGTTTGGCCACAGTTCAGGCGCGATTATGGAGGTTCTGCTCCAATACCGAGGCGAAGGCCTTCCAATCTCTGTGGATGTGTTGAACCTACTCATACGGTATAGAGGTCAACACGGATGTGACATGATAACGCTTCTGACTAAGTACCAAACAGATGGTCGTTTTGTCACTGAATCCGTGGTTAAGACTGTTTTAATGAATATCGGAGACGATGTGCATCAAACCATGGAGGCTCTTCTCCAATATCACGGCAAAGCGCTTCCAGTATCCGAAGATATGATCCGGTTGGCTATCGAAAACGATGGATACCGCACTGCTGAGATCTTAGATATCATGTACCAAGGCCGAGGAAACAGTCTCCAAATTTCCGAGGATATGGTCATAGTGGCGGCAAAGAATACCAACACCAGCGATAAAGTCATTGACGTACTTCTAACGCATCAAAAGGAGAGCCTTCCAATTTCTGAGAATGTGGTTAAGGCCGTAGTGATGAATACTGGACATTGTGTTTATCGAACCATGGAGCTACTCTTTCAGCACCGAAAAGGTCTTCCAATCTCCGAAGATGTGGTCAAAGGAGCTGCAGGAAATACTGGACATTATGCTTCTCGAAACATGGAACTACTCTTCCAACACTGCAAAAGTCTTCCAATTTCTGAAAATGTGGTCAAATCAGCTGCGGAGAATACTGGCAGATGTGCGTCTGAGATAATGCGACTACTCTTTCAAAACCAAGAAGATCTTCTGATTTCTGAAGATGTGGTCAAAGCAACTGTAACAAACAGTGGGAGCCACGCACATGCAATCATGACAGTCCTCTTCCAACACCGAGGGGAAAGTCTTCCAGTTTCGGAAGAAGCGGTAAGAATGGCTGCAGAAAATGAAGTTTATTCCAGTGAGAAGATTCTGGAAGTACTTTTCCAACATCGAGGAGAATGTCTTCCAGTCTCTGAAAATGTGGTGAAGGCAGCGGCGGGAAATCGTGGACCCAATGGGTATGAGATCATGGAATTACTCGTTCGACACCGAGGAGAGCATCTTCCAGTCTCTAATGATGTGTTCATGATAGCGGCAGGAAATGATGGAGGTTATGCAAAAATGATTATGGAAAGCCTTCTTCAAACCCGAGGTAAAGGGTTCCCAGTTTGTGAACTTGATGTAGTCATGGCAGTTGTAAAGTCGACGGATTCCATGACAGATCAAACTTTGGAATTGCTCTTTCAACACCAAGGGAAGAGCCTTCCGATCTCTGAGGATGTGGTGAAGGTGGCTGCGGAAAATACCAGGATGGGGGGGTAAAATTTTCGAAGTACTTTCGAAACATCGCCAAGGGAGTCTTCCGGTTTCCAAGGCAGCGGTAATCGGAGCTATAGGAAACTATCAACATGGGTCTCAAATAGTCAGGGCGCTTTTACGACATAGAGCCAGTGCTTTCCCAATCTCTGAAGATATTCTCAAGACAGCAGCTGGGAAAAGTGGGGAAGATGGGCATAAGGTGATGGAAACACTCTTCGAATTCCAAGAGGACAGCCTTCAGATCTCTGAAGATGTTGTCCAGGTGGCTGCAGACAACACTGAGAACGGCTATGAGATTTTCAGAATACTCTTTGAGCACCGTGGAAGTAATCTTCACCTCCCTAGAGATGTGGTTAAAACGCTTGCTCAGAGAACTGGGTGGGGAGAGTATAGAATGCTGCAATTAATCTCAAAATATCAAACCCAAAGCCTTCTAGTCAATGAAGAAGTGCTTATGATGGCGGCAGAGAATGAGAGCAATGGGGGAGAAATCATGAAACTACTATTTCAAGACAGCAAAGAGGATCTTCCAGTGACTGAAAGTGTTCTTATGGCCGCGGTGGCAAATACACGCTGTGGAGACGAATGCATCGAAACATTCTTTCGGTATCAAGGAGATGGCCTTCAAATCTCTGAAATGGTTCTTATTGCAGCGGCGGCAAATCTCTCATACACTGGACGCCGGTGTCTGGAATTATTTTTCCAAAGTCGGGGACAGAGCCTTCAAGTTTCTGTCGATGTTGTGATTGTAGCTGCGAGCAACAGGCTAGCCGGGCACAGAGTCATGGAAGTACTCTTCCAATATCAAGGACAGAACCTTCCAGTATCTGAGGATGTTGTCAGGACTGCGACAGGGAACCATGGAGAAGATGGATATAAGATCGTGAAATTACTCATCCAACAGCGAGGACAGAATCTTCCAGTCTCTGAGGGTGTCGTCAAAGCTGCCGCGGGAAATCCTGGAAAATTTGGATATAAGATCATGAGATTACTCTCCCGATACCAAGGGGAGAACCTTCCAATGTCCGAAGACATAGTCAAGGCAGCTGCAAAGAACACTGGAGAGCATGGACATGAGATAATGAAAACAGTCCTCAAGCATCAAAGGCAGAGCCTATCTTACAAGCAGTTTTGAGCCTTGGAACCTTGAAGTTGCTCGGAGTGGTATGGAGGTGAATAAATTTTCTGATGCACATGGATCAAGTAGAGATTAAATTTTAACGCACAATATCCGCAGGTATTACTAGTCGTACTCTTTGGAATTTCGTTCTCTCTCAATGATGTTTCTCCAGGGCTCTGGGCGTAGCATAAACTTGAATTGATTAAAGGTGTGGAATAAAGAATGAAATTTCAAATGGTATCAAGTCCCATACACGCGACAACTCCACGCTTCTATAGATCCCAAAACGAAATATCAATATCCTTTTTTACCAATGTCGAACACTCACAAGCACTTGCTCACGCGCATCCAGCTCAAGAGACCCTGTCGGCACAACTCCAAAGCCCAGGCGAGTCAAGACTTGCCACACCAATTTTCGTTTTAGGTTCTCGCGAACAGAGATCTTCTCTAGCGCATCAGATCCATTGAAATATTTCAAAAACGATGGCCAGAACTTCTGCAGTAGAGACTGGAGTTCCTTCGGCGAGATGTCTGGACTTGTACCCTCTAGAAGCGAGGTATCTCTCGGCCTATCAGGGAAACGAGCAAGGATCTCATCTAACCATCGGGATTCAAGTGGAGATGCACGATGTGGAGATAAAATCAATGATGACATCCGTAGAGCAGTGGATCGGTCTAGGAGTTTGTGTGAGGTGCGGAGTTGTGCGTGCGGGTCATTACGTCCAGGTATCGGCGTTTCATCTCCACTACCATGGCTGGACAGCGAGGATGAAGAGGATGAACTATCGTCATCATCGCTGTCTGTGTCGTCAACTATGTTATTTGGACTGCTTTTAGCAAGGTAGCGATCCACTTCTTCTTTGCGAAGGGCCATTTCTACCGCCATTTTGATTTCGGGTGTCACTTTGATGCGAGCGAACGTGCGCAATTGAGTGACCCATCCGCCGCGAAGAAGCCAGGCGAGGATAGAAAAGTAAGTGTCTTTGTGGTCCTTGCTGGGAATAAAGCTTGCGTACGGGCGAGGAGTGCCGCTGAGAGCTGAGAGCATCTTGGGTAGACTGGGAAGCGTGGGAAACGCAGTCTGATAGGCAATAGTAGCAATTTCCAGTTTACTCAAATCGCAGTTGGGAGAGACAATGTATGTATCTCGTTGGTGAATTGGGGGAATAGCCCGAGCTCGCCGCCAATATACCAGGTGGCTCGCTAGCATTTGGATGGTGGAAAGTGGGATTCCTGAAGATGCTGAAATTTGGGCAAATGACTTTGTTGGCTTTGAGCAGCGAATGTAATGTGCCAATGCCGATGAAAGAGTACCACCAGATGCCTCAACGTCCTTAATGATAGCAGCTTCGCTATCTAGTAGGAGTAAAGCAAAGTGTTTTGCGAGAACTTGATGAGGCGCATTATTTTCGTCAGCTCCAGGCTCATCGACTGGTGTTGCACTGTCTGCGGTTGTTAACCAGAGACCTGGGTATGATTTGTCTGCAGGGCCAGCGAGGTACGGCGTGGATGTTAGCGGAGGGATTTGTAGCGAGATGGAAACATCGGGGCTGAGTGAGACAGAGGCAATCTTAGATGCAGATATACTGGTGTACACTGTGTAAATCGCCCTTGCTAAAGAGGACTGATTGATCAAGTCGGAGTAAAGATTGTGCATCGATGTTTCTAGACAAAATATGTTAGCTGAGGCCCCATAGCAGTGAATTGAGAGATAACATACTTGACTCTCGAGCTTTCCTCCGTACAGACAAGATGTGTTGTGATTCTTTCCAAACATAGTCTGTCCGTGCCTGCTCCCATTTCAAGGCTTTGGCAAACTTCTTGATGGCATTCTCATAGATCTCCTTAACACGACCCGAGTACTCGAGTAAAGGCGGATCCATCACAAAGACAACATTAAACATAGTCATGTGGTCCTTATCTTCTGGGTCAAGAGAATCATCCGATTGTTTCCCCAGCTTGGCACTAGCAGCAGAATGACGCTTGGTATCAGTTGGTGAGAGCGTCAACTCAGTGATAGTAGCAATGCTAGCTCCCATATCAGGCGAACCAACTCCATCTTCATCCTCAGCACCTTCAAGATTCTCATTATGACCCAGCTCCCCACCATCCCACTCCGAGTTCTGCTTCTTCTTTTTCTTCTTGCGTCGTTGCTTGCGCCATGTTCCATCCTCTCGCACAAAAACAGGCCACCCGATAAGCGCAAGATCGTTAATTCCCACCTCAAACCGCCGTTTATGCCACGATCTAGACGGACTTAACAGCTTTTCCCATACGCTACCCGGTAATCCCAGAAGTGACTCCCAAGGTGGTCGCGACGATCCCCCAGGGCCATCTCTATCTGACGCCCCATCCTCCTCAGGATCAGACCCAGCACCACCCCGCTTGCGAAGCGATGAGCCCCGACCCGATCCCAAAGACCCAGGTCGCTGTAGCTCTGTGGCACCAGTACCAGGCGACCCAGAAACAGGTAATATATCATCGACGATCCCAAAGTTACTCGCCCGCCTCCCTAGTAACGAGCCCGGTCCGGACGGGTAACTTGCATTCGGACCTAGGCTCGAACCCTGTGTAGGATTCTGGTTCTCGCGCTCTCGCTCATCCTCTTCTTCGTCTGAACTTAATCCGCTATCTTCGCTGGAACTGGAATCTGTATTCTTTGCGCCTTGTCGGTTGCGTGTGCGCGAAATGCGTCGCCCGCCCTTCGTGGTTGTCTTGAGTCGGTTCTCGCTGAGTGGATTCGGAGGGTAGTGGAAGACCAGTCGGGGTCCGGTACGTGATCGCACAATTAGGATTATGGCCACCAGGCATGGATCTGGTGGCCGGGCGATTGACGACATTGGAGTTGGTGATCGACTGAGCGATCGGGGTTGGAGTTGGAGTTGGAGCTGGGGAGCTTAGGTTGGCTTCTGTGGGCGGAACCCGGTTTCCCCGCATGCAAGAGAGCCAATTGTGAAGTTTATCTGCTGAGCATCCAGAATTACTACGGGTTGTATAAAATAATTTATGATTTTGTTTGGGTCGATTATTTGAGTGTAGATTTTTAATTTTTGCTGGGTATATTACAATTTGTATGTACAATGTTCGTTATCAACGCCTGGAAGAATGCGCAGGTTTCCCTTTTGGATGGGCTGGTTCCTTCGATATCGTACAATCATCCATTCACGTTTTCATCCCCTTCAAGCTTTGTTGTCGGTTGATGATGATGCATCTGATGAGTTTGTAGCGGGGGAACTGCTTTTTTCCTGGTCATCCTTGAATACAAGTCCAAGGTTCTTGAAGTTATCGGGTGCCATCAGGTTCCTATTGGGGTGTTCCATGTCAGCAATCGGTCCATCAAGTATATCCGTCTAATTTATGGGCTCTTCAAAATGAAAATCCATAGCTCATATGAGCGAGTAAAATCCGGGACGAAGGTGTAGCGTACTTGTCCATCCGGCAGGCAAGGTATTCCTTTGCTAATCGACGGCATGCCTCATCGTTTGTGCCTCGGTTCAACTTGATGCATTTTAAGTAACCAGAAATAATATGCTTGCATTCTCCTATGCAATGATCGATTATTAGCGGTGCTGCTTGGGTACATTCGTGAGGAGGGTATCGTTGGCTAACCTTCATGGTCGAGGGGAAAGCTACCGCGCTCAGGCCTACAAATTCAATCAATCGGTCAGTCAATGGTCGAATCAATACAAAACACATGAGGAATTGAAAGTAATGAGCCTTTCATGGCTCCATGTGAAGGGAATGTATGAATAAAGATTCGGACGAGGACGAGGACTCACGGTGAGGGCTTGTAGTTCACTGAACCACCTCCAGGGGCACCGAAACTCATTGTGAGATGTTTGACGCTGTATTCCGGTAATAAATCACCGCAAAATGAGACTTGAAGTGGCGTTGAGAGGGCGTATTGGAAGCACAAGATGTCGCCTCGAAAGCTCAAGCCGCGAGATAAATTAAACAAACGAGACAAACACTGTCTCGGCCAATCAGAAGCGCAGAATGCGGCCGATGATGTAGTCAGACCAGTCGAACGAGGACTAGAGCTGCATTCATGAGCGAATCAGTGGGAGATAGACGGTCTGTGTTCCGTCAACATCCAATCATTATATTGGCTTTCATGTTTGACTGTTTTGCTGGATTTCAATGCAATTTTGTTTCCTGTTTGTTCCTGTTCTCTACTCCTCCCACTCTCTACTATATATACTGCCAGTTATCCGTCCCATCTTTGACTAGTATATCATCCAACTCAACTCACTTAATACTACCCATTGCAGTGCTTGAGAAAAAAAACTATACTCTCAGACTACTCCCGACTCGGAGTCAAACCTAAAGATCCAAACTACTAGTACAGACTACTAGTAGAACATATCCCATCAAAATGCCGATGTATGTCATCCATTCAAGTTGAATCAAGACAAACTTCCATTACCACATGGGCATTTGAAGGGAGTGCCAGTGTTTTCAAACTTGAAAAAATAGTCCAGTCACAAATACGATACTTAATCCATACTGACAACGAATATTTGGATAGGAAACTCGACGGAAGTTGTCAGTGTGGTGGCGTCGAATTCAGCCTCCAGTCGCAAACACCAGTTCCCTACCAACTATGCGCCTGTAGCATCTGCCGCAAAGTAGGCGGATACATGGGTGCCGTGAATCTAGGCGGCATTGCTGACAGTCTGAAAGTGCTCAAGGGCAAAGATCTTATCAAGTAAGTACCAAGACCCACTGGCAGACATGGACTCATGTAGGGCAGCTTAGATCTAACATGCATGACAGAAAGTACCGCGCGATCAAGGACCGCGGAACCCCAAATGAGGAACTATGCTCCTCTGAACGCAATTTCTGCTCTAATTGCAGTACCATGCTCTGGCTATGGGATCACCACTGGCCGGAACTGATCCATCCATTTGCATCGGCTATTGATACCGAGCTGCCTACTCCGGATGAAATGATTTGTGTTATGGCTGGGTCGAAACCTGCATGGGCTCGATGGCCCGAGGGGAAGAAGAGTGTGTATGAGACTTATAATGGTGATGTTAGTATTGAGGGGTGGCATAAGCAGCATGGTCTGTTTGTTGAGTGATGCTTCCATGGGTCTTGACCAATATAGTATGCTTCCTATTTTGCTCAGAGTCTTGAGTCATGATAGTCATTATTAAACCTAGGAATGCATTGATTTAGTTCCAGATGCTTGCAAACATTTGAATGTGCGAAAATGTAGCATTCAAGCACCTGAAATGCGACCAGTGTCACTGGCACACCATGACAGTATACTTCCTAGCCTGCCGAATCGCCAACTGGTTGCGAGACAATACGGAACCAACTTGAAATCAGGTCAATCACGCCAGGCCGACTTTTAAACAGGCAACCAAAGGAAAGTCAAGTCTTTACATACGGTGCGATGAACTGATTAAATGCAAGATGGATTGCAATCTACGTCCACGACTACATGAGATAGAAAAAAGCAAGAAATTCTTGGAAGAAAAAAAAATCAATTAAAAACTATATGAAGGGTATCAAGGGTATAAAGTAAATCTGCATTGCAGGTTAGCAACAGAACACAATATGTAATGAGTGATATTGTGTGGGTAAGAGAATTGGTCAGTTCTCCAAGGTGAAATTTTTGTATCTTCAAAGTGTTTTAAGAAAGAACACAGCGAAAAAATTTGGGTTCATCAGGCAATAGGGGGTTGAATTCATCAAGTCAAAAACTCACCATCAAGATCAAGTCTGGAAACTACAACAGACAGCGAGATTCTAAAATTGATCAGAGTCAGCGACAGCACTCAGAAAAAATGCAAGCTTGATTCGTAAGATCAAAAACATGATGTCTATGTCAGGCTAGAAGCCCATTCGTCAGCATACGACTCCGAAATGAAGATCGATCAGGGTAAGCTCACCTCATTAAATCAGAATTTTTGTTTAATGTTCATTTCCGAATAAATTCGGATCAAACAGTGTGAATATCAAGTATCATCATAATAGATGTGACCATGTTGTAGGGGATGCAAAAAAAGAAGAGAGTGAATAGAATACCTAGTCACAGAGTTAGATTGATATCCATGACAAGTCTTTTGATGACTTCAAAACAATAATGTTTAAGGGCAAGAGTCAGGTGACGAATTCTCAACAAGTAGTCCACCAAACCCACATCCACAGAGTTTGTACGCTCTGTTTTTTATGGATGAGGGTTGATGTATACGTTATGTCCGCCCGTTCGTTCAAATTTCTTCATGCAAGGCACAGGGCGCAAGAGATGGGAATGATTCATGAGGGAATTGAATTTACCTAATCAGCAGTGAGTTAGCATAAGGTACGCCAATAAAGCTGATGCAAGTAACAAGAAGAGTTGCAACGAGGTCAGACAAGGCTGAAACTTAATTTTGACAAGATTCCACATGATAACTTAAGTTCGAGGAATGCCATTGCATTGTCACGATATCATCATTCGAAGCAGGGGGAGTGTGAAGAAAGAGAGAATTGTAGTCTTACCTTTTAGAAAATATTTGGGCAAAGCGAGGCCGACAACAAGCATTAATTGTCTACCTCGCGGTGCGAGCCAGCATTATGCTGTGAGCTCAAAGGAAGCATGATGAAGAGAAATGAGAGCCAAGGGCGCTCACTTTTCCCACCAGCTTGAAAAGAAAAACAAAAAAAGCTCTGGGAGCTGAGAAGCTTCAGAGATGCACAGGCAGGAAGGAAAGAAAAAATTTTATGGGTGGAGCGCGAAATTTAAATGGTCAGACTCTGTAGGGCGGTGTACAGGAGCTAAACGCGCAGTTTGTCTGCGCGTCAAACAGTCCCACTATCAACTCCACTCTATCACGGTGAGTCCAATCATCTTGAGCTTTCCAAGATCGTCAACGATTCGAATGGCTTCTTTAACAATCGCGAGACTAACGTTCGATATAATCGTAATTGCAAGAGGCCTCAGTGACACACCGCGACCATTTGGCTCGAGCCAGCACATCTAGGTGGTAAAAAGGCCTCGGATGTTTGGTTGGAGGGACTCGGACAGTCCAAGCTTCAGAAGCTCTTACTGGGAGCTGTGTCTGAAGAACCAGCCCTGCTAGATTTTTTCGACCATGCTAGCCTCGAAGAAGCTCGAAGTATTGCCAGTGACGAGACATGCGGTACTGTGCGAATGGCGGATCTCATATTCGCCAGCGTATTGTATGTCCTACACTTCATTAAGTGTGGCTGTCGTAATAAGCCATCGCCTCAGATAGTAGACAAAGACGTATTGTGACAATTGAAAAATCATGATGCATGCTGTTCAATGTTCGTAATGGACAGTCAAAAGAAGCAGTATGTTGGGAAAGTGTTGTCATGAACGCCGGGGCTGCACACATAGGTAGGCGGCCTTCCCTCTGTGAGATACTCGATCCTGGTGCCATCCAAGGTAGATTCATTATATTGAGAATAAAGTCCTTTTACTCGGAAAGTTCCTCGATCAAATGAGAGATAAACGCCTCGTGCGGGTCTTGTCTCATTAAGACGTCATTCGTGCGGTTGACATTGCCAATGACCATACCATCATCGGCTTGTAGACAATCATCCATCTTCTTACAAACACACCATTTGAAATACCTCAGGCTTTCAAAACAGTTTAAGTCATGGCTACAAAATTCAAGCTCAACACAGGTGCCGAGATCCCGGCAATTGGCTTTGGTACATGGCAAGACGCACATGCTCAAGAAGAAGCGGTGCTAGAAGCGATAAAGGCGGGCTATCGACATATAGATACCGCGCGAGTGTAAGAAATCATTCAAAAAGTACACCGGAAACTGCATGGAATAATTCATTTGAATCTCGATTACAGTTACGGAACCGAAAAGGCCGTCGGCGCAGCCATCAAAAAGAGCGGCATCCCACGAGAGGAACTCTTCATCACCACAAAACTCTGGAATAATAAACACCACCCAGAAGATGTGGAACCCGCGCTCCAAGACTCGCTGGATGATTTGGGCCTTGAGTATGTGGACTTGTTCCTCATGCACTGGCCCGTTGCTTGGAAACGCGGCGACAATCTATTTCCCAAACAGAATGGTAAAGCAGCAATGGAAGATGTTGAAGTCGTCTATGTATGTGGTCAAATATCCACACCCTTGAATCATTTACTAACATTTATGCTTGCTGCAAGACCTATAGAGCGATGGAGAAACTACTCAAAACCGGAAAGACCAAAGCGATAGGCGTCTCGAACTTCTCCAAGGCGGAACTGGAGAAGTTACTCGACAAAACGTGGGTTGTTCCAGCTGTGCATCAGATGGAATGTCATCCATGGTTACAGCAACGAGATTTTACTGAATGGCATCGGCAAAAGGGCATCCACGTTACGCATTATTCGCCATTTGGCAATCAGAATGCATTCTACGGGATTAAAGCTGGTTTTGGGAAATTGATTGAAGAGCCTGTCTTGATTGAAATTGGAGAACCGTATGGAAAAAGTGCTGCTCAGATTACTCTTGGTAAGCTGCAAACTTCAATACATCTTAGCCAACTGATACTAGAGCTAATTCGTCGTTTATGTAGCTTGGGGAGTTTCGCAAGGACATTCTGTTCTTCCCAAATCTAAGACACCCTCCCGGATCAAGTCCAATCTGGAAGGAGATTTCAAGTTGAGCCCACAGGATATGAAGAGGATTAATGGAATCAACAGAAAAGTGCGATTTAACGATAGTAGTGGTGAGTTCGGACGAGACTTCTTTGAGGACTTGGAGGATAAGACGGGATAGATTGGTTTTTATTCAGATTTATAATAAATCAGAAGAAGTATGATCTAATCAGATTAAACATATTTTCTTTCATCCTACATATATTACTAGATTAATTCTGTGAACACTAGTAGTAGTCCAACATAAGTGTGATAGTTGTATGTATATGCCTTAACCAGAGCTCATGACGTCATGGGAATAACCAAACCAGGGAGGCTTCAAATCCTCGAGCTTTATCCTTACCATTTCAGTTCACGAATTTTCTGCTAAAATTGACGATCTATAATATTGTGATGGCATCTGCCAAACATGGATTTGCCTTGGTCACTCCTGCATCAAGGGGTCTAGGCTTTGCTTTTGCTCAGCAATTGTTAGCAAAGACCCAACTCCCAGTCGTGGCAACAGCACGCAAGAATTGTGCAGACCTCCGCGATAAATTACTTTCTAGTGAAGGATTACCTCAGGATGCAGAGCAAAGACTTCGTGTACTTGAGGTTGACGTGACGGGTACGTGTAATGCAATGCAATCTTCAACAAGATCGAATCTAATCAAGGGATTGATCAGACGAAACCACAATATCATCAATGGCAGATACAATACGCCAAGATTATCCCAAAACTCCACTTCGGATAGCGTTGGCCATTCCTGGAATCTTACATGTAGAGAAATCTCCAGCACAGATTGGTGCCGAAAGTGCTCTACACAGTTTCCAAGTCAATGCCCTTGGCCCATTGTTATTGATGAAACATCTCTCTCCATTTCTCCCAACAAAATCCTCACCTGAATTTCCCATTTCCGAAAACCCGGAATCAGATAATGAGCTAAAACTACCCTCACATGCAATTTATGCTATGATGGCAGCCCGTGTGGGCTCGATTTCGGATAACAATTCCGGAGGCTGGTATTCATACCGAGCAAGCAAAGCATCTGTATATCAGATTGCAAAGACATTCGATCTCTATCTTCGTGGAAGATGTGCTGAAAAAGCATTGGCTGTGGCTTTACATCCTGGCACTGTGCGTACAGATTTTACAAAAGAGTTTTGGAGTGGTCGAGAGATGCTCGAACCTTTGGATTCCGCATATCGTATTCTACAGTTCCTCGCTGGAATGCCAGCTGGCTCTAAGGATGGCAGAGGGAGATGCTGGGACTGGAAGGGCGAGGAGGTTTTACCATGATTCGATACACCAAATCTTTATTTTGTGGGACGAAACAATCAATCTGTTTCTATCGACGCCTCTGTACTAGTATGATAACGATCTGATTTTATGCCATACATCTGGAAGTATAATATTGGAGAGGTTGCTTCACTATACTTGATTAATTCAATACAAACGAGGCTCTAGTTTTCCCAATGCATGAGTGTATTCGGCCATGTTTGGTACTGGCAAGTATAGATTTGGTGAGGTAAGGCCTGGAGGTCACAGTCCAAGGTTGTAGCCTGGCGCATTTAGGTAGAACGATTGATATCAACTTGAAAGAGCTAAAATCAGAATTTGACGCAGACTTCCTGCATAGAGTGTTTGAAGTGCCGACCAGAAAAAATATCACTCATTTCCGCCCCTGGGGCTTGACGTTTTGAATGCATCATGATGTGAAGGGCTTCAGTTGGGGTGCTAAAATTGTAAACCTTGAAATAAGCCATGAACTTGAATCTACAGGTATAACTTGTGATAAGAATCAATAGGCTGCCTCTGGTAGTAACTAGCTACATGCGAAGGTACTGTGAATTTCCCCTGGCCAGATGTACTTCCGGCCCCAATCTCGAGCAACCAACGGGTTAGATTAACCCATGTGATGCTCGAGTTTAACTGGTTGCTCAAGGCGTCATCAATCTTTGGCATCATCTATTGTCGTTTTATTCAATAGTTGCTCGTGGGTGTGAGCATTTGAGGGGTAATTTACCGGAAGCGGAAAGACTTGCATGGGCTCGAGTGTAGGGAGGGGCTTAGCATATGCAGCTGGACCCGCAATCGCTATCCAATTAAGTTATCAACTTGAAAGTGATGAGACCAAAAATAAAACAATACATGCTATCTGAGGAAAGCTAGTAGCGAGGTTGCCTTCCAAGAATCCAGTATTAGTACTACTGTACTCCGTACTCTGTATACATAGATTGCCCAGATACCGTGGCCTGCATGGCGTTAGTACTTTCTACAGAGTATCTACCACCAAATTTCTGCGCCTGAGGTACGCCAGCTGCCTTTATGGCACATTAAGCAGCCGAGCGTCCGGTTTTTCGTTTCCCCCCCTGACTTCATTCGAGTGCCAACGCCCACTGTACCTGGCCATTTTGCAGGCAAAACTACACCAATTCATTCTATCAATTCAAACAAGACACTGTGCGATTGCCTCAAGTGTTTACAACTTAACTTCTCCCTTCAAAAAATAGAAGAGAATTATTGCTTCAATCATATGATTAATTCAGATTCCATGTATAGATCCTGTTATACATAGAGGCATGTTTATGGGCAACAGAAGCCTCTGAGCCAACTTTGAATATACAAACTGGCCTTCTCCTAGTGCTGAAATAGCTCACACACTGTTTTAGGAACCTAAGAACTCACATCATATCTCGAGACTAACTATCCTTTGTGTCATACTTTGAAAGTGTTTGATTAGATTTCTCACCTTAATCACGCCGTTTGATGGGGATATCATACTGCACATGTGTCAGTACCATGTGAGTGGCCTGCATTGATCCTTATGATAACCTGGATACTGCCTACAAAGGGGACATATGGATATTTTGATTTCATGCTATAACAGTTTTGAAAATGTCTGCTTTTTCCTTACTCGAAATCTCACACTTGCACTACGATTCTCAGATGTAAGTGTCTCTGAAATTCCCCAGACGAAGGATTCAAATGTTACCGATCAAATTACCACATCTCCGAGTCGTGACATAGAAACCGAAACTTCAGGCTGCTAATAATTGAGTGTACGTAGGTAGTCCAATATCACGTTCGATACTCGAAAACATATTGTGAAATAAAGAAAATTCATTAAATATGGTCCTATCGTCTGCATGAGATCCCGTTAAGAAATTCCTGTACCCTAGGGAAAAGCAAAAGAAATGGAATCAAGAACGGTGATACAACTGGAAAAGAAAACAAAAGAACACATTCGTATCAAATCCAATGTCACGCCGATCCATGCCCAATGGCAACCATGCTGAAACCAACACTAAGGCGCCCAGATGTCCTCTCAAGATTTAGACACCCGGCTTATTTAAAAAAAGCTCTCAGTAGTAGCCCAAGTCTGTACATCTGTACAGAAAACCTGCCTCAGAATCCTTGGATCCGACAGTGTTTTAACAACGGTGTTCCTTGTATTTGTCCTTTCGGCCAAATCCTCTTCCGCAGACCTTGCACTTAAACTTATCTGGAGAGGTGTGCTTTGCTCTGATATGTCGTAACAAACAACTCTCTCGGGAGAAAGAGTCGGTATAGTCGCAACCCTCCCAACGACATTTGAACTGCTCAATATGAAGCATATCGTCCATAGCGTTGAAGCTAGAGCTGCTACTTAACTGGCATCAGCAAACAGGTCACTTTAATACAAAACGATTGAAAAAGGTACCTACCCTGCATGTGACTCTCCATATGTTTGAAGAGAATGCTGATCATGAGGCAAGATTTGAAGATAATTGCCATGACCTGCGCCGTTCATCCCCTCAAACCCCAATCTGGAGTCAACCCCCGTGAACGATGAACCCCGAGAAAGAGCGAAGCTTCGGTCGGAACCCGGGAATGATGGTCCTCGAGAAAGGGCAGGGCTCTGTTCGAATCCTGTGAGCGATGGTTCGCGCGACAAACCGAGACCTTGGGACCGCCCCAGAGGAAGACCGCCGGCACCAAAACCGTTCATATTGATACCGAGTGATGGGATTTGAGTTGAAAAGGCAGAGTCGACTGTATCCAAGTGGAGCTGCGGTGGGTTCTGGATGGCCTGGTAGTGACCATCCATCATCATGAATGGAGCACCGGGATCGCCAGTCACCCCCCAACCTTGAGTCGAGGATGTCTGATAGTTTTGTTGAGGATACGGAGGATACATGGCCAGAGAAAGAGGTGGAGGAAGCTCTGCCACCGTTGCTGCTACCCACGGTCGCATGGAGCGAGCACGTTCGTTGGAATGGGAACTGAGGCCTTGGGGATCCATGGTGTGCTAATCCGTGCTTTTCTGGGAATTTATTGAAGATATGGAACTTTTTGGATTACATGGAATTTCAGTTGCTACTTGGGTGATATGAAGGAGATTAGGAGGTGTTCTAACATGATATACTGATCTGAGAGCAACAGACGATGATGTGTCCGGGGTTCAAAGGTTATTTCAATGCCCGAAGCACCCCATCCCAACGTGGCTGAGCACCTATCATTGATTGAGACTCTTCTTGAAAACAGAATTTGATACGCTGGCTCTGACATTCTTGACGCTAGATTTCCCTCGTCCCTGAAAAAAATTGTTGTGTCCAGTCTGATTCACTGCTGCTCCGCCCGCCATGAACTTCCTCCCGCGGTCTAGCTGCTGACGTATCTGGCGCCGTGGGATTACCTTGTTTGGATATTGATACTGGAAGCAGGGCTCACAGGTTGTCCAATACTGTTGAATATTGTGTGCCAAACGAATCAATTCTTCCAAGGTTTCGACCAAAATGGACAAAATGGATCATTGAATTACCTGAGTGTTGCTAGAATAATCACTGTTGATACTTCACTTTTGTTTTATTTCTTTTTCAGCAAAGACTATAAACTTCAAGCTTTCAGGTTTTTGGAGCTTCATTAATAAACCAGTGGCACAAAAGAAAAATAAAATACATTTACAGAGGTGTCATGTGCAGTTTCTCTAAGATTGAGGATTCATTTTCTTGGATACTGTCGATCCAAAGATTTCAGTCAAAAGTACCTATCATTTATTCATAAAAAGGATTACGGAAGTTCCCGAGAGCGATGAGGAGTGTGGAAAGGGGCAGTGTAGTTGGTAGGCTGTGGAATTAGGCCCAAATTACCATGGGCACAAGAAACATCCTGGATGGGACCGGAATCACGCCTATGCAAACCTACCAAATGGGAGGCAAACCGTGACAGCGCATCGACGTAGCATGAAGGCAACCGGATTCCAAGGCTGGCTTCTTGTGATGTTCCATAATGTTGCGATAGTCTGAGGGACCGAGCGGCAGTTGTTCACGCAGAGTGGCATTTCAATCTTGCTGGTGGTCTCTCCGCGTCACCGGCGGAGCGGACGTCGAAGTCGTAGAGCCTCCTTCGGGTTGAACCGGATGTTACGATTAGATCACAGCCCAATACTACGCTTGACTTGCTGGCAATGATGGAAATTATAAGACAGCCGCCGGCGGATAACAATAATTGCTTACATGTAATAATATGAGTCTAATTATTCGAATATTGTTAATGGGTGCGAGTCATATCATGATCCAAGAACAACAAAAGTACATCGACAACTGACTCAGTGGAAGGCACATCTATACCTCTACGAGTGGGTAAAACAGCTCAAATGGGACAGCAAAGTTGCCCAGGTGGAGCATTTGATCCAGTACTCCGTACTTCATGTTTGGTATCTCCACTAGCCGAGGAATCCTTTGAATAGTGAAAATTGAGCAAGCTGCCTTGGGGCCGAGAAAATAGTCCATGGATAGAAAATCATGCAAGACATATGAAGAGACTGATATAGAGAGAGACTTCGAGTAAAGTGTTTGGATTGGCCTGGTGCGGGGGTGGGAAATGTTCAATGTTCGAAATATTCGGATTTTTCTTGTTCGAATGGGATCGTGCATGGGTTTTTAGGCGGCCAGGGTAAAGGCGTGGGCTTCTTTTCCGCCCCAGAGAAGTCTTGCAATAGCAATAAGCCCAATGAAATTGGATGAGTTGATTTATCGAGGTGAGTCTCGCAATCTAGGAGTGGACGTTGCATGAAGCATGGACGCAGGAGTGCGGGGAGACCAATCATACAAGTTTAAATAGCGAGAGAATAGTCCGAATGCAGAAGGTGATTATGCGCTGGGTTCAGCTGGTCACCTACAGTACTTTTCGAAATCAGTTATACCGCCGGATCTCATGACCTACATATGAAAATCAATTATCACTAAAGTCCGGGGTGACTGCTCCGAGTCACCTCTCACGTGTTTCCAAGGTTTGCACAGAAATCTAACCGCAATCCCTACATCAGAGCACCCAATGATGTGGCCCATGTGGGAGATCAGACCACTGTAGTCACCTGATCCCCATAGAGTCTCTCCTCGCTGGCGCCCTCTCTGTCTCCTCTTCTCTCCCCATGCCCATCATCTCTTGCCAGGTCCCCTAGCGAATGAATATTCCACAAACGTAACTTTTCGTATAACTGCGTCACTGATTGAATGCTCCTTCCGGCAAAAATTTTGAATCCCCTGGACAAACCATGCTTCAAGTTGTCAACAGACCGACAACCGAGATTACGACGGAAGATGATGAAACTATTTGCCAACCACCTCCTTATACACCTATTCATAACGGCCAGACAGTCATTCTTTCGGTGGGCCAGGGATGTATACTGACTGCTCTAGGAATAAAGGAGGTTAGAATAAGGCCAAGGGAGGATAGTAATCAGCAGAAATGGAAAGTTGAAACAAAAAAAGGGCGCTTTGGCTTCCGAAATCTATGCAGCGGCTTGCTTCTTGGCGCACATTTCTTCGGAAATGTCTTTGCTGGCAAGCTGCAGCTCAATGATTGGGAATTATTCACCTTGCATCCAGTTGATGGCGGCTATGTGTTTGAATTATGGAATTACTGGGCTTACAGTAATGGCTTCCTTGTGAGAAAATCTCTCACTGATTTTCTTCAAATTTCGACCGAAGAGGGTTACTGCAGCCCTATCAATATTGAAATTACCAAAGCTTGAAGGAGCTTGAAAGGTTGAAGAGTAATGGGCGCAACTTGGATGGTATGTCTTACTTTGTATTGCTCAATTGTGTAGCGCTTGGTGGATGACGACCAAAAGGAGAAAAGCAGTCTGAAAAGTGGAAGCAGATTTCGCTAATGACTATAATTTGATATAGTACACGAAAATTAATCTGAAGGCTCATAATATTGCTAAATCATACGGCCAAGTGATCTATGTGATGGTCACTGGTCATGACTCATAAGAAGCTCGCCCAAGCAGAGAGATCTAGTAATTCTTTTTTTTTTCCGGATCGTCAAACCTGCATGCCGAAAATGTCCCTTAGCACTGTCTTTTTTTGCCCCGATCATATTGATACATCTATCCAGACTTACAGGAAATAGTGACTTGTGGGTCGTCATGAATTTTCTGTAAGATGAATGTCGGAAGTAAAATTAAGCTTGAAGCTTGAAGTTTGAAGTAAAATAAGATAAACCAAAATATCCATAGAATATATGGAGCTAATCAAATTAGGATACCGGATAAATAGTAATTCCATTATTAGACAATCCACCTTGCATGGATTCAACTCCGCATGCCTTCTTTCACTACTTCACACACCTTTTTCATTCCAGAAAACTTGCACAGCGCCTAACTACAATTTAAACGAGCAGCCATATTATCGGAATACCATATTATTTCCCAAAATGCTTCGACGCCCACGCGATACTCAGCCCGACTCAATAACTACCGAATTAAGTCATACTTGCACCCCTTCCGGTGTATCCATGGGGGCCGTTCGCAATGACATATTTGGGAGTCCCGATCGTGATTAATGTAAGATGGCTACATATTTTCCAAAGGCCATATAATATAATGACTGAAGTTCAGACTACATCGATTGTTGTGGACGATAAGGACTATGACTCAGCATGCCAAAAGTTGAAGGACGCTGGATTCAGAGTAACAGTCCCTGATCGCAGGCCTGCTCCTGAAATTTTCGATGCTCTTCCAGACCCCGAAGAGGCTCTGCGACTCGTTAACAAAGAATACGAGCGCTTGGACCAATCCACCGCATTATTTGATTATCCGGTCAACCATGAGCTAGATGGGGGTCTCAAAGTCAACTTACTGCCAAATTCTTTTGCACATCTCCCGATACCTACTATCAGTGCAGAGTCAGAACAAAATTCATCCAAACTGTCAGAAAAATACGATGTGTATGACAATGTCTTTCACCCACATGAATCAGCGCTAGTGGAAAGTTTTGTGAAAGGTGCTATTGATGACGAGAATCATGGGGGTCTAGACTGGGGTCAATCACTGCCAACTTGGGTGGCGATGATGGCGGCATATCTGGAAGTTAATAATGATATTCTGGATGACTGCTCAGATCAACAAGCGGTTGAATGGTTCAGTGTGAAATATGGGCGCAAACATGAGGAGAAATTTGGGCCCTGGGACAGACGAGTCTCAAAGCGACTGGGATCTGGCAAAGAGATGCCTGTTAATATGAGAGGCACCTCTTTGTCCAACTGAGCCCCTCCGGAATATTCGACGCTGGATTTTCTTTTGTCATAGACAAAAGCAGGAGTTGATGACATTTACGTGTTACGAATTGAACGTGGATATTGCATAAAGTGTTACCAACAGTTACCGTACTACTTGGAAAAGAATAAGAAATTGCGCTCTTCGATCGAGCAATAATTATCGAAATTGAAAAGATAGATGCCAAGAAGGATGATTAAACAAAGTACTTGGAAGAAAATGACGACTAATGTGACGAGATACCGAGTGCGATTCTCATACCATTAGCCAAAGACAACCTTGCATTTGATAGTTCCACTGAGACGGCTTCGCAACGCCGGCATCTCCTCCAGAAGACTCGTCAGCGCGGCTTGAAGCTCCTGATCGGAATCAAAATCGAGCTCTGGCAGACCAGGTCGAGCATATCGCAAAAGGTTGACAACATCTTGCAAATCGATTTGAGATTTGAAGCCCTGTCGTTGATACCGCGATAGGATCTTCTCCCGCATGATCCACTCAGCACTAAAGAACTTAACAGGCCGGCCCTTCACCACCCGCGTCAGCCGTGAGGCTTTCTTGAGGTTATATTGACGTCGTTGCGGCCAAGAAGCCTGATCGAAGACCTCTAGTTCCACAATGCTTGTTGTACCATCGGGGGGAGATTAAGCTTGTAGCCCGGGATAGGGTGTCCTAACTGAAGTATTTGTTGGAAGTCGCCCGGGAAGGTAGTAATCAGCTTTTCGGTGAGCTTGTCTGCGGTGATCGATTGGTGATCTACATGGACGACCATGTCCACGTCTTGGGTCGCTCGCTCGGGTGTTGACGCTATGAGACAGACGGCGGCGCCTCCCATAATGGCATAATCGATTTGTAGCGAGTCAAGCCTCTGGGCAAGTACCGAGACAACTTCTTCGAGGTGGACTTGACGAAGAGGAGCCATGGTAAATATATGAAGCACTGAGGATCAGTGGGAAGAATTAGTTTCAAAGTGGAGGATGATTTGAATAAGTGATTGAAGTCTCACATAAACTGTTTGGTATTCAGTCTAAAGATTGGATCTTGGAATAGATCTGATAAATCCTGAAGACAATATTTCTTTAGGACCAAACGGAAACCCAGAAACGACAATAAGTGCAGGAGTAGTCAGAATGTGCAAAGACTGAGAGCGACAGACTGTAGGCTTAAATAGAAATTACCGCAGCATTTGAGCACGCCTAGAATTCCAGATTAGCAAGGAAAATGACAGGGATCATTCAGCCTACGGGTCTTGTACACTAGCGGGGTTTTCTGTTCGCCTATTGAAAGTACATAGGAGCTACTTAGCCAAGCACATATAAGATCCGGTAAGCAGTGACCCTCCAAGGTTGGAATGCATAATTCTGGCTTGATACATGCTATTATGATAGGCTAGTTACATGTAACTTATTAAAAATGAAGTTTTTCACTCAAAATAGAGAATTATAGTCAACCTTGAGTTTATCTGTCCTGATACAGACCCAATTGAGCCTCATTCAAATCACGGGGTTTAGTGTAACAAGAGGCGCAGGTAGCTCCACACCCCTCCCTGCCCATCAGACCAACGCATTAATGCGGAAGCGTTGGAAGTTTCCATCGTAATTTCATCCGGGTTTAAAAATTTCTGATTTTATGTGACAATATGAATTTCAACGTAAATTCTCTATTTGTTAAGTAAATTCCCATGTTCAAATGTTTTGAATATTCATAGTCAGGTTTGTACAGAAAAGGGCGGCTAGTCAAGAGTTTCATGTGGACGCCCCTCACATGTGCACCTACAAGGAGTCCCGGAAGGCCGAGTGACTCAAGGCATTCGTAGATGCAAGCGGTAAAAATGGACGCTAGCCTGGACCATCTTGATCTACCATCCAATGAATCCATGTTCTAATATTTCATGCCACACTTGATCCCAGGAAACGCCATCTCCTTCCAAGGCTAATTTATTTGCTATTCAATGATTCTACGTCTATTTTATGAGACTGAGTGTAAAGGGTATCACACTTGAGTGTTGGGTGTTTTCTGAGTAGCTCAGCCGGGCGGCTCCACGGCTTGCGTCACCACCATTAATCCCCTGCCAATTGAAGCCAAAGCTTACCCGTGATCATGCAAGCCATCAGTTTAGATCCCATGGGAATCCGTTTCGAGTTCTCCACCGAGATTATTGAGCCAAAAAGGTTCTTCCAAGCTTGCTTCGCGAAATTCGAAAGGGCCTGGTTAAACTCGGAGTTCAACTTGAAGTTGGCAGCACTGGGCCATGCTGGGAATGTAGGCTGGATCCGTTGGAAGATCCAGGTTTAATCCCGATTACATATGTTGTTAAAGACTGATCGAACATTCTTGCCGTAAATCGAGGTATGAATGATGCCAATACATATGTGTATACACATCTTTGTGATATGGTTGAAAAGCCGAGTCAGGCTCTATCTAGTGCATATAAGAATAATGTTTTTCCAAAATTTGGTTTCTTCAGACCTGGCGGATGGAGTTTGTGTACCGGTAGCTTAGGAGCCTGAGGGATTGACAAGTGCCCAGTTGTGGAGCAAAGTGGAGTACTGAGACCTTACCCAATCAGGACTAGCGTGAGAACAACCTTAAATGAACCCACACGCACTAGGCCTAATACGGATAGTCTCCACTGCCCAGGTGGTGTCTCTCGGTGTTCCAAGGTTGAATTCAAATGTTTCTTGTAGCACTGAGACCTCGGGATTATTGATAATTTGAATTAATGAATTAATGGATGTTTGTAATCAGTCATGACTATACACACACACAATGTTCAGAAGTAAAGACTCCCGAGGTCAGGAGCTATGCCTAGTAATCCGAGTCTTCGTATTGAGAAACAATCTTTTCTAAACCCTTGACCACATCATCATATATCGTACGGAGCAACCCGTCATCTCGCAGATCTTGACTCAAGGCTTCAAAGGCACAAAGGATACATCGTCGTGTAATGTTGTGCAAATCGATACCACCGTCCTCAAGGGTTTGCTCTTGCCATTTCTGAGCGGTGTTAAATCGCGTGAACTCGGTCTCTGCCCCATCAGGGCCAAGATAGAGACCATGAAAAGGCAAAGACTCGATATTTTTTTTCCAAACCAGAGCTCCAGGATAAGTACACCTAGTGAGAAAATGGCCGCTTTGGATTCATCATAAATTTCTTTTTGGAATGGCTTTTTTAGCCTTTGTAACGGAGACTCTCTGGGCGCTCGTAAACTCGCAAACTAACAAAGGGAAATTCATTTCGATCGTACCACTCAACCGTCTCAGAAAACGAATATCCTTTTTGCTCCAGTCATGGCTTAGCCACGGACCAGGACTTAGTTGTAATAATGCCCGAGCAAGGATTAAGGCGATGCTGAGTCGTCGATGGCGGGAAAATTGACTAACTGAAGCTGGTGTACTCACCGCCGGTGAGGTATCTTTAAAGTTTCTGAACAAAGAGTCCAGAGTGGCTAGTTGAGGGGAATCGGAAATAGGGAGTGCCTCGTGAACCACTGATCGCAGAATATGGTATCGTCCATCTTTATCGCTCAACACACCTATGCTCGTTTGGTCGGTCCGAATATTTCGAAGCGAGGAGCATATATCTGAGATTGGCACGAAATCTGTCTGTAAAGATGAGGCGTTTGATGTTTTTCGAGTACTCTCAGTAGATACTGAGCTAAATAATGTACCGGAAAAAGATAAAGTGCGACTGGTCGCAGTAGAACGCTTGCGTGCAGCTTGACTGGTGCTTCCCTGTTCTGATGCCTTACCTGGACTAGTACTCTTCACAGACCCTTCAGATTCTGCAGTAGTGATTCCGGGGCCCACAAGCATTTCCGCGGCAATGGCGTAGAGAATGTAATGCGGACAGTGATCAGGCTTGAGGCTATTAGACCACTGGCCAGCAGTCATTGGAAAGAAAATATTGAGCTTGAGCGGTTCACCACTGTCATCACTGGCGTATTGTTCCGAGTCTTGTTTTGTGTACGGAGATATGAGAAGTTCTGCCGAGTGGCTTTTTGAACATTCACATCCGAGGGCGATGTTCAATGCGGCATGTAGACTCGCAGCTTGTTCACAAATCTGCTGAAAGACACAGGGTAGACGTGTCTTCCTCCTGTGTCGCTGTGGTTGTAACTCGTCACTATTACCTAAAAGCTTGCTCATGTCTCCATTACACTGTTTGAGGGTACTCAGCAACTTTTGCCGTCGCCCTTTACTCAGCGTCAAGGTGAATCTTTTATATTCTTTGTGCAGAAATGACCTGAGCCAGACTATTGGCTCGTTAGATTTTAATATCCAAGTCTCTCAAGACGAAAACGAACCTTTTCTTGTAATGGTTGAATCTTTGTTTCCAATTTCTGGAGTGCCTCATGAAAGGTCTCAACGCTTTCCATGTAGCAAGAATACTCCATTTCACCTGGTAGACGTCGGCGGAGGGCAACCTCTAACCGAGGGTCCTTCCAAAGGGGATCATGGGGGTTATTCATCATCTTTGCCATCTCATGGTCAGACTGCACTGTGAGTGACAGAAGTTTCTGAATATTCTGGTAAAAGAAGAGTCTCTGTATATTCAGAGCATTCTGAAACATCTTGAACTCCTTCTCATACCGAATCCATTCCTTCATCGACTCCACACTGGACCCATAATGCTCCAGACCTGAAATCACTAATGGGAAGATCGCCAGAACCAAACCAGCGATTTCGAAGCCAGACATAGTTTAGGTCATGGATGAATACTCAAAAAAGAAAATGTGCACTAATCAAAATGTTGAGATCGTGGTAAATCATTTTCGCATGGAGAATTTTGGACGAGGAGGGCGGCATTTCCGAAAGATTTATGCTTCCTGAGTTGGGCACTGGCTCAAATGATATTCCAAGTTCATTTGTTGATACAAACAGGGATGTTCAGCCGCTTATGCATGATGATGGCCCCGGGGGTTTTGCCACACACACACGCCCGGGTGAAACGACCTGTCCCTCGCCCTCACCTAACCCCGCATTTACAAAAACCCTCATTGCGTGTCTGTCGATTTTCAGCCTCAAAATGGGTCAGATCATAACAACTGAATGGCAAACCAAAGCACAGAACAAGAGAGCAAGCTTGCGAGCGTCGATTCCAGAAGAATGGAGATTGGATCAGGAAATTCTAGATCGAGCTTCCAAGCAGCGAGATCTCACCGGGCAATATATTCAACAATATCTTGAACCTGAAGAAATCGCTATCATCGGCCATGATTCCACCACCATTGTGGAAAATATCCGGAACAAGAAGTGGACTTCCTTACAAGTGGCGAAGGCGTTTTGCAAAACTGCCGCGATATCTCAGCAGCTGGTAAGAACTCCACCTGGGATTTTGATATTATGATTACATAACTCTGATTCTGCATTACCAAGAACAACTGTCTTCACGAAATTTTTATCTCTCAGGCACTTCAGCGGGCCGAAGAGCTTGATGCTTATCTTGAGACCCATGGTACCACTGTGGGCCCCCTCCACGGGCTGCCGATCAGCCTGAAGGACCAGTTCTATGTGAAAGGGATTCCTACTAGCATGGGATATATTGGCTGGCTTGACACTTATGAAGGTGATTCCAACCCAAAGCTTGTGCACAAAGTAGAAAGTCAGATTGTCGGTGAGCTTCTCAGTCTGGGCGCGGTCTTATATTGCAAGGTTTGTCTGCCAGCCCGAATACCCTTTGAATGTCCACCAATTTATGAATTTTATTTTACAGACAAGCCTTCCACAAAGTCTACTTGTAGGATCCCATGCTCCTTGATGAGATATATGCTACTAATATCTTTCTTAGTTTGGTGAAACTGTCAACAATATTATCGGTCAAACTTTGAACCCAGTGAACCAGAACTTATCATGTGGTGGATCCTCCGGAGGTAGAGCCTCTCTGATCTTTTATCTTGTTATCATTATTTCCTAGCTGCTAACTATCTGATCAGGAGAGGGTGCATTACAGGCCCTTCGAGGAAGTTCGGTCGGTCTGGGAACTGACATTGGTGAGTCTAGCATCTTTCATGGCATAGCTGAGGCTGATGATTTTGAAGGCGGCTCGGTGCGAATTCCGGCAGCATTCTGTGGCACATTTTCTCTTAAACCGACACATGACCGTCTCTCTTACCGGAATGTGGCAAACGTTGTATGTGTGGCCTAATTACTTTAGTTTACCTGCTAACAAACTTCATGGAGATCCCTGGAGAAACGACTTATCCATCTTCGGTGGGTGTGATGGGGACATCGATTGATGCACTGCGCCTGGTATTGTCTTCTATTCTATCCACAGAGCCTTGGCTGCGCGATCCCGTAGTGGTGCCTATCCCATGGCGTGAGAAAATAGCAGAAGAAACTCTCGCACGATCCGATGGTAGCACTCCCTTGAAGCTCGGAATTTTCTGGACAGATGACTGGGTTACACCTCATCCACCGGTTCAGAGAGCATTGCGCCTAATTGTCAAAGCAGTCAAAGGAGCGGGCCACAAGGTATGTGGACTATTCATACCACAATAAATTCTAACCACTCAGCTTTCATTGATCGCAGGTGGTGGAGTGGACTCCTCCAAGTCAAAAGACCGCAAAACGCGTGCATGTATGTGGTTGAACCCATATACGCCTCAACTATCTGCTAACTTGATTAGGTGAGCTTCTTGAAAGCCGATAGTGGTTACGATATCAACAAGCAACTCGCCTTATCTGGAGAACCTCTCATCCCACAGCTTCGCGACTCATTCACACTCCACAAGCCGATGTCATTGCTAGAATATCAGGCGCTGACCACTGAAGGACGAGACTACGAAGCAGCGTATTCTGACTACTGGAACTCCACTTCTGTAGATGACGGTAAGAGAACTCCAAATCCTGAGAGATCCAGAGAAGTTGTCTAAATAAGCAAAGGACAAATCGTCGATGCGGTAATCATGCCGGTTGCCCCCCCATGCCGCGGTGATTCCAGGAAAATACTATCACACAGGTAAGTTTGCGAGACTCAATTTGCGCTATGTGATGACTTACCGTGATATAGCATACTCTGAAGCAATCAACCTTATGGACTATAGTGCTGTAGTCATTCCAGTCACAAAAGCAGATAAGGAAATAGATCAAGCGGACAAAACGTACGAACCCTTGAACGATCTAGACGCGCAGAACTGGGAAGCATGTAAGCACCCCCAGAGCTTCTCGAGAAGTTTTTAGCTTGATATACTAATGATTTGGATTGTTAAGATGAGCCGGAAATTTACCACGGTGCACCTGTGGGGCTGCAGATTGTGGCACGGAAGTATGAAGAGGAGAAGGTCTGGGCAATTGGGAAGATAGTTTCTCAATGTCTTGAGGGTGCTACCGCATGAGTTGAGTGGTCAATTTATTTAATGCACCGAAAGGACACAGAATGAAAACGAAAGAAAGTGCAGGAAGAAAACCATGAAGCGCCACATGTATGAGAGAATTATAGCCATATGATTTCTCTATACACATAGTCCTCTCTCCAAATTGAACTCTTTCATTTCAAACATCCACAATCTGCATATAATCAATTTCTATGGTATAGCATTAGTCTCAGTGAGCATCTGAACGATCTCGATCCAGCCATTCTCATTCGCAATCTCAAGAGCTGTGCGGTTCATGGGACTCCTTGGCCGCAAATCAGCACCCCAGCGGAGCAATAAAGAGACAATCTCCACATGACCCTGCTGGCAACCTAACATCAGGGGAGTCCATCCAGGCGGAGATGGAGGTGCCCTTCCACCCATGCGACGTTTTGTGAACTTTGGCACCCAAGATGGATTGGGTGATGCTCCCGCATCCAAAAGAAGCTTCACAATCTTGGTATGCCCAGAAGCAGCTGCAAGAAGCAAAGGGGGTCTCATCATGCTGGGAGCATTCCTCTACCCTTGCGCTAAACCGCAACAGTAACTGTACACCGTCCAAGTCTCCCTGATAGCAACAGTGCATCAGCGGAGTCCAATAATGGGAGGGTTTTGATTCGGGATCTGCCTCATGTTTCAGTAAGCAACGCATAATTCCGTGGAAGCCTCGTTGTGTTGCCTCGATGAGTGCGGTGGAATGATCGGGAGAGACGTGATTGACATCTGCTCCGTGGGAAACCAGTAAGTCAACCATCTTTCGGTTATTGTCCTTGACTACATGCATGAGAACAGTGTAGTTTTTGTGATCAGTCGCGTGGATATTTGCGCCGTTTTCGAGAAGAAGTTTGACCATCTGATAATAGTTTCGGGATGCAGCAACCATCAGCATAGTCTTCCCATCGCTTGAGACAATTTCTGTATCGATCTCCACGGTCCCATGTTTTTGAATATATCGTCGTACAGAGTCCAAATTGTTCATATACACATCTCTCATGACTGAACTACACTGGGAATCATCAATGAGGCTGGTCGGCGCAGACTGAGGTTCCGAGTCTTCACTGTGCTGCTCGCTTAGTTGCAATTTCTTGCTGTATACAGCTTGGAAAAGCCGAGCCTTGTGAATGTTTGCACCATGCTCGATGATGACTTGCGATATTGAGGGATATCCCGCGTGTGCTGCGATGTCCAGAGCTCTATAGCCTTCATTGTTGGCAATGTTTACGTCGGCGCCTCCCATCAGAAGTTGCTCCACGGCTGCGAGGTTTCCTTGACCAGCTGCAAGTATAAAAGGTGTGATGCCACCTTTGGACTTAGCATTGATAATCTCGGTGACACTCCCCAGTGCTGCGAATGTGATTTGGAAAATTCCACCTGGTCGGACTCGGCAGCGTAATGCAGAAGGGTTCTTGAATGACTATCTTTCAACCATAGCCGACGGGAGTCTAATTTCAGAAAGTTGCTGTATCTCTGAAATTCCCTCGATCGAATATACTGAATCCCATTATGGATGTCTCCAGATTCTCCACCATAGATTGGGTCAGTGCGGTCTGTTGTTGATTCGTGCTCCTATAGTGAGCTCATCAGCAACAATTCAGAATGAATAGTGAGACTTGGCTTCTGCTGCATAAACTCACAGTCAAACAGTGTTGAAACCAATTCCATCCTCCGAGTCCCTTGGGCTTCCTCAAAAGTCTCCATCCTTGGCATGAATCGCACCATCCCTCCCACCAACCGGCCCCCTTTGTAATTTCTTGGACCTTTGACGGCCTTGGAAGAGGAATGCCACTTGATGGGATTCCATGCAAATAGGTTAAGTGGTATTTGTATGTTTCATCGTGAATATTGACCCAGTGTCCGATCGAACAACGTCCACAGAAACCTTGCTTGGAAGTGTCATTGCCACGAACCCACCCAGGGGTGTACAAATCACCGCCAAACATTGACTCTTCTCTTCGCGGTATGAGATCCGGATCATCGTTTTCTAAATCGGCAATAGGGGGTGTGAAGTCATGAGGTGGCTGCCATCCCAGAGCTAACGGTGGTGTTGACTTCGATATATCAGGATTGAAGGAGGTCAGCTCCCGAGCAAGCACATCAATGATCTCATTCATTGGCGCTAATGAAATCCCCTCGGAACTGGAATCTCCTTGCTTAGAATTATTGTCTCTCAGATCGTCTTGCAGTTCACTTTCGCTTGATATATTTTCCTCGCCATCTTGAAGAAGGGGCCGAGGAAGCACCAAAAGTGCTAACTGCTCCAAGTGATGCCCCAGATGGGATCGGAACTTTGCAAGTGTTACTGTCATAGTGCTATCAGAATCCCCAGTACGAGCTCTTAGAGTCGCTTCGTAGTCACAAAGCGGACAAGCAGATGCAGGAATATGCGCGAGGGGCTGGCTAGCAATGGCTAACACGGATGCGTGATCTATATGTTTCAGCGAGTCGCGATGGGACCTCTCTGTGTGTGATTTCAGATCATGCGATTTAGTGGAGAGCTCTCCACAGAAAGGACAGGACCATTATCTGCGATGTACTTCCATCTCATGATGAAACAAATCAAGGTGAGAATCGAAAAGCGGCGTTGCGCAATTCTCAAAAGTGCAAACGTAGGCAGAAAGATCTTCGTAGACATGTTTCCTGTGTAATCTCTTAGTCTGATTCTCTGGAAACTATGACATGGTCTAGTTCTTACATCCATGAGTCCCCACCACTTAAGGTGACGATCGTGAAGCAGAGCGGGCATTCAAATGGCCTGCCATCAGCTGACTCACGTGGAGGCCGAGGAAGTAGCCTAAACGGCTGAAAAACACGAGAAGACATAGAGAAAAGACAAGTTACTCTCAGAAAGTGTGTCACGTATATCTGAGTCGTGGGTTTGGTAGGGATGCATTTGACTGCGGAGAGTTGTCGCCTCTGTCGTGGAGATTCTTGAAGGAATTTGCAAAGTTGATACAAGAAACCCCGAATCCTTCATTTGAGCCGGGATCTCTGTCTCAGTTACAGACTGCAAATTGACTGAATCGTGACGCGAAACCCCGGCGGTTATTTTGGAATGGTGTCGTTTCCGATAAGACAGCCACTGTCGACGTTGTGCATTTGCTTTCCCCAATTTATCCAGCAGCGCTCGGTTTTGTGAAGCGTGTGGAAAGCACTGCTCAACATGTGAGATGTCAAATCGAGTGTCATATTCCTTTTCTCTGGACGATCTGGCAAATTTATTGCGACGACTGGAGTTATATATCAGGATGGATTACGTCAGAAGACTGCCAATAGTGTCTTGGATGATCACTTGTCGCTGACTGCACTCCGTAACAAGGATAGGAACTTTGCCAGGAGTTGGGGATATGTCATCCTGTTCATCGCTGGTGGATGAAGTACTCAAGTCCTCGTCTGAATTGTCATCACCTTCATACCATGTAACTTGTTCTCTTTCGCCAGTGACCAAGGATTTTGCTATATGATACCACCTCTGTCAATACCCCTGCACCATGAAACATGATATCATGAGTACATACAGATCTCCAAAGATGAACGCAACTCTCTTAATAACCGCGAAATTTCAATACGGAGGTCACTTTGGCGCACGCGGTAGTCAAGCGATGATTTATTTTTCTGAAAGGCCCAAGATTCTCAGCCCACATTCGAAAAGGCGCCGATGCATCGGTAAATTCATTGTGTGAGAATTCCTGTAGAGGTTTCTCATTACTACTGTCTTCCAACAAGACAAGTTGTCTTTTGATGCTTGAGAAAACGGTCTTGCACGCAGATGATAAGTCTGCGATGCTAGTCAGGCCAGTCATTATTTACCTTCCTTTGATAATATCTCATTGATGCTCTGAGTATATGAAGAGTAGAATTATTTTCTCTAAGGCTGAGATCATGGGAAGAAGTACTTCTACCCCTCCTCGTCAACTACCCAATGAGGACAATCCTGCTGCTCGGGCGCATATGCATGAACTCATTAGTACTGAACAAAGTAATATATGAATTCGAACGAGACTGAATTGACAAGAAACACGCTTGACACTATCTATCTATCTACCTATCTAAATAATGAAAACTCATATTCATATACCCATTGCCAATGGAAATCAAAAACTGAACGCATTTAAACCCCCTTTGTAAAACATCCTTAGTTCATCTTAACCTTCAACCTGACACGCTTCAAGTTCTAGATATTTCCTCACATATTCATTCCAATATTCATGGCCCTGTGTCCTTCAACGCCAAAGTACTCGCCCTAAAATCAAGGAAATGATAACCGTCCTCGTGTTACTCCTGCTAGTCTCAAGAGAAAGTTTGCAGAACCCAAGATTGAACCACAATAAGAAGCGTTTTGTGCATCTAAGCATGTTCATTCAAGAATAGTCATCTTTCATACCTCCCTTCCTAACTATTCTTGTCACCAACTGCTAGTGCTCTTCTCTGAAGCTCTTCATTCTTCTTGTCCTTTATTCCTCCTGCTTTTCTTCTCCTTTTTCTTCACTTCTTTTTCTTGCTTCTTCTTACGCCTCCTCTCGCGCCTCTCCTCGTTTGTCTCCGTCTTTTTCCCGATTTTTGAAGGACTCGATAGGAGACCTTTGAATTGACTAGCGAGGCTCGACCGTGTTGAAGAAGCGCCATCAGGCTTGGGCTCAGCAGGCTTAGACTCATCAGGCTTAGGCTCATCCGGCTTAGGCTCATCCGGCTTAGGCTCTTCCGGCTTAGGCTCTTCCTCGACCTTCTTCTCACTATGCTTGCTGCCCTTACTTCCACTCCGACTCCGACTTCGGCTCCGGTTCCGGCTGTTTGCCCTTGCAACCATCAAATCTTTCAACAATCCCTCCATGCTGCAGCTCTCAACCAATTGGTTTGTGTGGTCATACCAGTTCAGAGTCATTGTGCCCGTCTTATCTCCAGGTAGCCCTACCCTCCATAATCCCTTCCCAGCACTGATAGCTGGAGGATTATATGCAACGCCTACTACATCGGTACTCTGTAGGGCAGATCCATCGCTGCCATTGAATCTGAGCTCTAACCTTCCAACCTTGTCGCGTTCCACGCCCCACTCCTCCTCAGTAAAATCCGGCAGAGGTTCACGTTGGCCCTCTGGTCTCTTTGGCGTATCGACATCAGTTTGACCATCCTCGACTTTCCTGACTGGGTCCACGAATTCTGGGTGTGGTTGAGCTTGTCCCGAGTTAATTCGACGATAGCCGAAAAGGTATGACTGGGATTCATTTCTCTGACTCTTGAATTCAGATTCGTCGAATAGTCCAGTGTGTAGGTCATCCAAAAATGCCCAGTCGCGTCGTCCTTTGGCCATACAGTGATAGTGACCTTCCTGATGGGATTCTCCATTGTGTAGACCCACCCAAAACAGCTCATAATAACAGGTCAACTCGTCCTCCTCCCTCTTCGAGCGGAATCCCCTTCTCCCACCCTGCTTAGCCAAACGTGGATCAAAAAAGGCCTTGTCTAGTCGTAAATCCTTGTTATAGCGGATCAGCTTCCTGATTTTTCGTGCCCGACCTGCTACCACATCGATTCGGTTGAGATGCAACATTAGACATTCAGGTGGCTCCCGAACCCGTTCGCACTCTTCTCGTTGACATTCACATTCCTCGCAGGCGGCTTGCATATTAGTTTTCGCAAAATACTGGTAAAATGCGAACTCTATCGTGGAAGGCTGATAGCTTGAACCCGTCCCCGGATGTGGACTGAACGCCATTCCCTCTGCGGGAAGAACCGGTGCGTGAACATCGCTAGGGAATTGAAGATGCAACATTGGCGTCTGTGAATTAATGTAGCGAGGAGATGCCTGACATGGGCGCTTCAGAAGTCCTGTCAGTCCCCGTGTACAAGTCCTCACGGTGACTGTCTGCGTATAGAAAATACGATCGAAATTGAGTATAGCATCAGCACTTCAAGTTATTTCAATTAGCTCTATGTTCAAGTAGGAAATCAGACTGGGGAAAGCCTTGAGGCTAAAGGGGCAAGTCATACATGGTAGGATCTATGTCATTACGAAGCTGTCCCAAGAATTCCGGCCAAAACTCCAGGGTGTCCTGCTGTCCAACGAAATTTCCTGTTCCATTATCCCATTGACTCCAAACCCGGTTCCACAATCTGGTGAAATACCTCGAGTAATGATGTTCCGAAACATCTCTCCAGTTTGTCTTCCTCACCGTCTGATATTCGGTCCAGTAAGTGACATACAATCCGGTAAAGAGACATAAGAGACATGGTTGTCCATTAATCCTTTCACACCAAGCACCACTTCCTTCCACCTCTTCCTTAGGAAGGTGTCTTCCCATAACATAGTCCTCCAGCCAAGCTGTAAACGCTGGCAAATGTAGAAGCATTTGAACCATCACATTGCGGTAACATCGATCGGAATCGTTGGGAAATCCATAATCAGATCTTGGTACTTCTGGGAAGTTCACTGGCCATAGACGACCTTTGCTAATATCATACTTTTGATCTCAATTAGCTTGGACTCTGGACTGGTTCTTGGTTGAAATCATGGATCTGCTTACCTTATCACTGAGTTCAAGCTGATCATCCTCGGGTACAGGTGCGAGAGAAGACATTTTGTGTATCGGGTTTGCACGCGCCGAAGCCCTGGAGCGAAATCGATGTATCACAGGTGTTCTCTCAAGGGGATGGAATATCAGGTCACAATATTGTCAACTCTTGAATTTTGAGAAACACTTTTGAGTTGCTGGGGTGATTCTTGAAAAAGACGAGATGAAAAATTGATTCGAAATTAATGACCAAGTTGTTCCAAGTACTTGAGATTTATATTTGATGCCAAGATGGTGAATGGTAATCGTGCCTTCCTCTTTGCATTGCTCCTAAATCTTTATCTGCCAACAAATTAATCAAAGAGACAACATTTGAACTTCATCCTTTCTCTTTCAAGGAAAATTCAAGACTCTGAAACAAGTAGTTCCCTTTGTCATAGCGAGTCTCTCTTCTACCATCTCCCTTCAAAATGACCAAATTCCCTCAGAGAAAAGGAACTGATGGAGAAATCTCAAAGACTTAGAAAATCCTCAACTCATGGTAGGCTGTCCATCAAAGAGTCTAAAGAAAATGCATATTTAGAGTCATCTTTATCGGTATTTTCTTTTCACATCGTCTGCGCTGACCGGTGTTTCCCTCGGTTCATCGTCATGGACAAAGCGACGATAATGCCTCTCTCCTCACCAGACTCTGCATCTCCTCCTAACAAAGAACATCAAAAGAATCTGACCTAACTCGAAGACTCGATGCGTTTACAGAGTCAATGAGCTAGATCGCCCTTTGGTTAGTATTTTCGGATCTTGTAAATTGTCGATTCTTTCTCTCGAGCTGCCTTCTCTATCGACTCTTCCATTGACACTAGATGGAATTTCAAAGTGACGATTTCATCAACAAGCAACATGCAAAATCTTGATAGAACACTAGTAAGCGCACTACATCCTCTGTCAAAGCTACTCTATGCACGCCAAGTTCAAGTTTCAATGTTAGTTTTACTTTTAGTTAGCATTTGGAGTAGATCCACAAAACAATTCTTTCTGGAACCATAGTAAGTCTATCCTTGGAAAGAATTCTGATCAAGGGTTTCATATCCATGTCTTCCTCTGGTGGTTTGTTCCTGATATGGATAGCACATGTGTGTTCTCATTCAAAATGTTGATGGCAAATAGAATTTCGTAGCGTCGGAGTGTGGGGGTAACATAATGCTTGGATACAGCCAATTCATTCGAATCATTAAACATAGGCATTTGAATATCATAAGTAATCATCTCGACGCCTTACAGACTAATCCATCGGCCCATCCAGGTGTCTACAACTGACTTCGCTTCATCCACTAAGCCAAGATCAAGCAACAATTGTGTCGTTCCACGGACAGCCGAGTCCAACGCCGAAAAAATCCATGCATGCGTATAACTCGTATGCTCACCAATGAAGATGGTCTTGAACTCTGTCTGATAGTATGCTGGCAGGTAAAGCTCTTGCTGGCCAACCAGTGGATCGGCCCACGCACCCGCTTGATCCGGATCAACAGCCCAGCATTGTCGATCGTAGATACCCGTGAACTGCTCAGCGGCAATATCACCATGGAACTCAACAATGGCACGCTGAACAAGAGCAACATGTGCTTCATCTGAGAGAGAAACGACGGATCGGGCTTCTGTACCAGATATATAAGACGCTAGGATGACACCGGGTCCGGTGCCGTTGATGTTATAGGATGGGTAACAAACATCACCCACTCCAGATACATCAACCGCTCCACAGCCACCGTAGATCGGAGCATCGAGGTGTTCCCAGAATCGCGTCCTGTACATCAGAGCCATCTTGCAAGCGGGGTCATAATTCAAGGTAGAGATGGCACGGCTGAGAAGAGACGAGTATCGTGGAAGGCCCCAGATTCTGACTCTGCCAAATGGAACTGCGACCACGGCATAGTCAAAGTCCAGAGTTTCAGGCTTCATCTGCAGTGGATCCTCACGCCATGCGATAGCAATCTTCCCAGATGTCTCGTTCCACTGTAGACCTTCGATTGTGCGGTTGAGTGTAAGTCTCGACTCAACGTGTGGGAAGAAAGCACGGGGGAGTGACTCAAGACCCTGATCGATTGTGTGCCATTCTGTTGCGGCAAAGTAAACATCATCGTAGAAGTCGCCCCAGATGGGGGTGTCAGTTGTTCCAGCAACATAGTCACTGATGTTGGAATTCACTCCGAGGGCATATTTGAGGTATCCCCACTCGGACCAGTGGAACATGCCATCCTCAAGTGCCTGTTTGTGGGCCTTGTACATATTTCGTGCGATACTCCGAATGGTTGAAATTTTATCAAGTTTGGTGTAATTATCAAAGGCGGCCTCGGCATCTGATACAGCTGTCGCGTTGGATGAGGGTGCAGTGTAGACTAGGGATGAGTTGGCTGACACTTCAGCATTGGTTGGGATTCGGCCATCCGGTAGTCGGTCACCACCTGAGTCGGCAGGGAGATTGGGTCCATTCTCATACCAGGGGATGAAGTTGACTTGAAGCTCAGGGTTACCGGCATTCATCTTATTGAGAACGTGACCGAGTTGAAATACCATGCGGTGGTCCATGATTTGTAAGGTCTCATTGGTGTCACTGTACGTAATGCTGACTGGGAAACGCATAGGGCCCATCTCTTGATACTGATATTGATCTGGGCGACTGTTGTTGAGATATTTGGTGCGAATACGCCCACCAATTCGCTCGGAAGATTCGAAGATATGCCAGTTGTGAATACCGACTGATTCGAGGAGATGACTTGTCATTAATCCGGACATGCCACCACCAAGAATCGCAACGGACGTATCCTTTGCTTTGGCGATGAAAGCGTCGCTATTTTTCTTTGACTTCATATAGGCGACGCCATCGAACCAAGGACCCTCCATATCTGCGACATCTGCAATACTTTCACGTCTCTTGAGAGGCTTCGAGACTTGGATAGGTGATGAGCGTCCCAACAATACTTCCCCAGAGAATGCATGGATACAGTTCGCGGGTGGGGCATCAGAAGGGGTAATCCAGACGAATCTCCCTGGTTGCTCATGACGCTTCACGTATACGCTACCAATCTCATGATGGCTGTATATCGGATGGTCTTTTCCACAGTCACCATATACAATATGCAGAGGTCCTTCAAAGTCGTCATCGAATTCAACATGGATGTTATGGAGTGAGCCGGCGGTCACACTCAAATCACGAAACCGAACTGTATCTCGTTTCACAACCCCAGCAAGACTGAGGCTGGATAAAGATAGTCCAAGCAGGATATAGTTGAGAGGCTCCCTCATCACTACTGTTTGATTCTTGATGGAATGGAATAAGGTGTGCGATTCATCCACAATTGCGTCAAAATTGGCTCATTTTATAGTTCTCAGCACAGATGATTGAATGCTACCACGATATCATTTCCTCACAGCATTGCCTATCAAGAAGCAAAATACTACACTATCCTCGCCTTATCATGCCAGTGAGTTCATTCCTTCTTCGTACAATCTTGGAATGAATACTTATCTCTAAGCGACACTATGATAAGGTCCTTGGGGTATGGAAGCCATTAGTAACCGTCGGGCTTTCCGACGGTGGTATACATAATTTCTGTCACTGAAGGGCGTGAGTCCGCAGAATCTATACCCACAGGCAAGACTAAACGAGTTAACAACGTCCTGGGATTCGCTCAAGTAGCCAAGAGATTGTTATCAGCGGTACCTTGCGAGACACCTTATCGAAAAAAGCTTGGCTATGAGATACTAGAAAGAGGGGAAGTCAATGGTTATCAGTTGCGTACATTGACCGACATCCGACGTGGTTGGAGCCCTAGAGTCTGATGCTGTATTAGTAAAGCTGGGGTGGAATATCCGGGGGATAACATATAGATAAGCTGGCCTCCGAACGCCCATCCACGTTCTGCCAGTAGGCACGTTGTCTGTTATCAATGCTCTTTGGATACCGGAAGCGTAGACAGCTTCCTATTTAGAACAAGATCTCCGCTAATCAAAAGAATGCGCCATGACTCGTCAACTCGCATAATACGACGCGGGTCGGCACCGCACCTTGGCATGGTGCTTATCTCGGATATATAATGTTGGTAACTGCCGCGATGGACTCGGATGAAGTGAAGTGTGGGGTTCGGAGATTTCACCAGCCGAGCATAAGTCGGAGTTAGTCATCGCATGTCAAATTATGCATTTGTTGAGATCATGCAGATCGAGATATAGCATTCAAATGGCGGCTCGGAGCAACTCCGTTATCCCCGGGCAGACTCGATGGTCAGTGCTCGGAATCACATATGCCCAACGCTACCAAGAAGCATTGTAGCTGCCTGGAAATGCTAGTTCTGAGACTGTAACCAAAGCAAGTCGACGCTCCCATCGAATCTGTTGGAAGATGGCGGATCTCTGGACAATCGGTCATCTCAAGACAAGAATCAAATTCAACTTGAACCCAGATCAGAACCCATCCGAGGAGCCTGACTGACTCCAACCTCAAGAATTGTCCAGAAATGAAGAGATCACACATGAATCAGAACAGATCTCACAATAAGCGTAAATTGACTTTCTATCAACGCCACCCAAGCGTTGGCATCGTCTAGGCAAGCCCATTCAGAGCGCCTTGGAACCTTCTTATATGTCTCCCAAGCACCACACCTATAAAGGCGAGGTATCCGACATGCAGCCGACTCAAGATCTCCCAAGTTCCTCGGGTCTTTCTTGCATCTTTTGTAGTTTCGCGGGGGAGAACCCAATTTTGGGAGCTCAAGTGATTATCCCCCGCATTTCTTCCCCACAAGGGCCACAACCCCGGACCCGCTCTGTTCCTTTTAGGCAGGACGGGATGGTATGGCTTTGCTCCCACAAATGACATCTCTTCAATGCTGTTTCTGCAAGGAACATGTTGCTGCGATCTGGATCTGTTTCAAAAAATTTACCTTGGCGTTGGGGCCATCGTGGAGTTGCTCCGGGGTAGGTCTTGTGCTGTGCTTGAGTGGAAGAAGCTAGGACGCCTGAGTTGCATTTGATAGAAATAAAAGATCGACGCATTATAAAATAGATCATCCCATTTCGTATCAATTCACCACCGCAAAGAAAGATCGAGATTATTCTTTGGGGCCACCTGCGGCCACCTGCGGCTACCTTTCTTTATTTTTTCCTCTTCTCTGCCAACCTTCTTCCTTTTTTATATCTTTTTTCTCTACGATCTTCCCTTCTTCAACTACACTCCGAATCCATTTTCTCAACATGACCGATGATAACAACAGCGACAAGCAGGATGTCTCCGCCGTCGAGATGCTACGTCGTATCCAGACAGCGGAGAGTGTCCTCCTTCCCATCCCACGCGACGCCTTTGAGAAGCTGTATCTCAGCCCGAAGCTGCCAGCAGCTGGTAATCTGCGACGAACTTTTGGTAACCCGACTCCGATCTCGCTGATGGGCTTCTTGCTTGCTGCAACTCCCGGTGCAATGCAGACCTTGGGTTGGCGTGGCTCTGGTGGTAACGGAGGGGCTATACTGTAAGTGCTATACCTCTTACTTTCACTTTACTTAAACTGGAAAACTGACTCTCATTGACACGTTAGGCCTGTCTTCATTTTCTTCGGCGGTATGGTCCAGATCCTCGGTGGTCTTGGAGAATGGATTATTGGAAATACATTCTCCTGTGCCCTCTTTTTCACATATGGAACCTTTTGGATTGTTCAAGGCACGACTCAGATGCCATTCTTCGGCGTTGGCACCAATTACTCTGCTACAGGCAATACAATTGAGGGAGCAAAGACACCAGAATATGCCGCTACCGTTGGTATGTTCTATGATCCTTTATACATTCAATTGCTGGCGTTCGACCGCTAACAGGCTAGGTCTTTACTACGTGATCCTCTCTATCTTGACATTCGTCTACCTGATCTGCTCTATTCGGACAAATTTTTGTCTTTTCCTCGCCTTGTTCCTTCTCGTCATTTGCTTTGCCTTGACGGCGGCTACTTTTTTCCAATCGGCTTTGGGAAATCTTGCCCGGCTGCTAAGTTGCAGCAGGTGCGTGTTTACATATTATCTTTGATTGTTGTGGATTGAGAAATATACTGACTTCAATAGGCTGCTGGTGCATTCAACTTGGCCCTTTGTATCCCAATTTGGCATATCTTTATCGCACAGATGCTCGAGGCAGTTGATTTCCCCTTTGAACTTCCGGTGGGCGACTTGAGCACCGTCGTACTGGGAAGATCCCAGAGAAAGAAGCGCGAGGCCGAAACCTAGCTTGCATGGATGCATCCATTCATCCATCGATCTCATCATCGATTTATCACGGACAGATCTCCAGCCACAAATCCATCGATCTCATGGATATATCATTGATCTACGGCAAACAATGATCTTATTGCGAACATCTTACGGCGTTTACGGCCTCCGGCCCCAGTGATTTAACCTCAGTGATTTAACAACAAAAAGGATAAAAAAAATGGAGAAAAAGTTATTCATATATTCATGGCCTGCGTAGCATCGTAAGAGTAGTCTATGTTCTATAGAATGAGTGAATCACCAGCTCTATTAGCGCCATCCTCCTACTCGACCCTCATCCCACCGCGCCTTGGCTTCCTTCCTCGATGCTAACTTTGAAGCTTCCGCTCGTACACGACGGACCCAATCTGTAATTTCCTTCTCCGTCGCACGCCCATGATGTTCTTCGTCTAGGAAACTCTCCTCCACAGCTTGGCACACCGCCTCTTGTTCCGCGATCGCCGCACTGAGTCGTTGGTATAATCCCTTCGGCGACCAAGGAGCTAATGCTGTATCCATTTCGGTTTGCTTCTTGCGCCATGAAACCTCGAGTGACTGGTGCTGGAGAAGCATTGTTTCCGTGGAGGCTCGGACTTCTGAAATGTGGTTCTGCATTTCAAGGACGCGCGAGGCGAGTTCCTTGTTTACTTGAAGGAGAGACTCGAGGCTTTCTTGGCGGGCGGTGTGGGAGGGGTGTTGGCTTGCAAGGGCGGAGATTAGGCTTGGATCTTGGAGGATTGATTGAAGGTCCACGGTCCTATGTTTGTCAGTAATCTTGCTGCTACTCGGTGCTCAGATGGGGTTCTTACGACTTGTCCTTGACCTCTTCCGGCAGCCACCCTTCCTCAATTGTCGGGGGCGCGGGGAGAGGGGCTTGTTGAGGGTATGGTGATTGCTGGGCGCTTGTCATTTGCGCGTCTGGACGGTAGCCAGAGGGTATAGGTTGTTGAGGCGCTGGCATGGATGGGTTCTGAGGAGTGCCTCCGCGGCTTGCTTCGTGGCTACTTGGTTTGGGTGGAGGAGGTGGAGGTGTGTCAGCGTTCAGAGCTGGGTTGATCATAGTGGGAGTTGAGTAAAAGGATGATTGTGTGGGATAGGGCGACACTGGTTGAGACATGATGTGCTATATACTGGTGTAGATGTAGACGTAGTTGCAGTTGGAGTAGATAATGTGGGGTTGGAGATTGCAGATGCCTTAGCTTGGCACCTACATAATGCCGTCAACTGGCGACACTATATACGGAATTCTAAGCTTAAGAAATCGCGAATGAACAACAATTTATTTCGCAAGTCGTAGATGTCAAATGTTCATATCATCGTATTATTTACACCAGGTGCATATTGCATCTCTCAGAACGCCTTGTGCTCATACCCACAAGTTGTTCGAGAGAGAAACGAGGTAACTTCAAATCGCAGCTTTAATCGGCGCTACTCAGTCCTCTGCCTGGATTCCCGACCAGCTGCATTCGTAGTTGAGCTGCCGATAGCCTCCATAACAAGCTCGCGCAGCTCATTCTGAGTCGCCTCGCTCTCGAAATCATCACGAGCAGCCAGCTCATCAATTCGTCTTTTGAATTCAGGATCCACCTCAGCCTCACCAGCGGTTGCTTCCTCCTCTGACATGGTACCAACGTTGACCTGCATATTCCCAGGGATCGGCGGCGGGGCGTTCAATGGCCCATCGGGCGAGTCTGTCGAGGCGGCGGGAGGGAGGCCAATAACTTCACGGAGATAAGCGGAGACTTTGGGATTCTCATCATCGGCTTCCATCTTCTCATGGGCCTTGAGGGCTTCAAAGTTCATTCTCTTATAATCCACTCCGAGTTCCTCAACTAGACACCGGGCAACCCTGGGTTCTTCCGCCACGAATAAACATGTCTCGCCATCTTCATCCAGGAGGTTGACATTCACATTGAATTCCTTCACAAGGGCGCGGAGAAGATCGAGATGACCGTAGGATGCAGCGGCATGTAGGAGTGAATAGCCATGCTCATCTTGGCACGAGGCGATTGCAGGGGTAGATCGTAATAGCTCCAATAGCGCGGCAGGATTGTCGCTAGCGAGGAGGTAGGGGTTAGGTTGGGCCATGTCGCAATATGAGTCACACGAGAAGAGTCAAAACAAAGAAACCTTGGAATACGATGAAGCCAAAAAAGAATGAGTATAATTTCAAGATGGATTGGGTGGGGTAGAAGATGGAAATTTCTGGGAGAAAAAAAAAGTCGCGATAATGATAAGAGAAAGTCCGTCTTTTCCTATTTGGTTCCCCGCACCATGACACATTTCTTTCATGGTTGTGACTCTTTCCTGTTTTCACTTTTCACATCACTGAGCGACCAAATTTAAACGGTAAGATCCCCACAGAAATAATAAGGCATCGAGTCAGTCATTTTCGGCCTTACGCTTCTTCCTACCTTATCAACCTCATCCGGGTTCTCCCCCACTCGTGCCCCTCCATCATTCCTCGCGCGATTTCGATCCAACCACCGTGATTTCGACGACCTCAATCATGAAGTTCGTGGACTCTGTGGTGTCTCAGGACCCTTCAGTGGTCAAGGAGCTGGTTCATAACTTGGAGGAGGCTCGGAAAATGAGTAACGGAGAGAAGAAGCGCGCATTCACCTGCAAAAAGTCAACATTCACGGTTCACTGTACCCAAAATGTCACAGTTGACTCATGGAAATTCATGGACTGGGATTACAGACGTCCTGATCTTCCAACCTATGCCCGTGGTCTTTTCACTACCCGACTAAAGAGTGGCATCCCCGAGATTGCGGTACGTGGATACGATAAGTTTTTCAACGTGGAGGAAGTCAACGACACACGCTGGAGGAATATCGAGACAAATACTCAGGGTCCTTACGAGCTCAGTGTGAAGGAAAATGGCTGTATCATTTTCATTGCTGGACTCGAGGATGACAAGTTGCTGGTGTGCAGCAAGCATTCTACTGGACTCCGTCCGGATGTGCAGGTCAGCCACGCCATGGCTGGTGAGCAATGGGTAGAACATCATGTCAAGGCAGTCAACAAATCAACCAAAGATCTTGCGCGAACACTACGAGAAAACAATCTTACCGCGGTTGGAGAGCTTTGCGATGACAGCTTCGAGGAACATGTTCTGGCATATGATGAGGTTGCGGCCGGTATCTACCTCCATGGTCTCAATCACAATGTACCTCAATTCTCCACCCTCCCTAGTGAAGAGGTACACAAATTTGCCGATGAATGGGGCTTTAAGAAAGCCAAGTTCGTGACCTACAATAAGATCGACGACGTAAAGCAGTTCCTGGAAGAATGTGCTGAGACCGGTACCTGGGACGGCCGTGAGACGGAAGGCTTTGTGGTCCGATGCAAGATGAGCAATGGTGAAAAGGGACCTGTGCATGATTGGTTCTTCAAATACAAGTTTGAAGAGCCATACCTTATGTACCGTCAGTGGCGCGAATGTACCAAAGCTGTGATCGGGGGCAAGCTACTCAAAATCAAAAAGCATGAGAAGATCACCGAGGAGTATCTTCAATTTGCACGAAGACAATTCATGAAGAACCCAAATCTCACTAAAGAGTACAACCTAAACCATGGAATCATTTCCCTGCGTGAAGATTTCTTGAAGGAGCGAGGTCTGAAAGGCTCGGAGATCATCGCAATGGAGGCCAAGGAAACAGGCAAGGGAGTTGAGACTGTGAACAATGTCATTATTGCCCCCATTGCTTCCCTCGGCTGTGGAAAAACAACCGTGGCTCTTGCTCTGGTTCATCTCTTTGGATGGGGTCATATCCAGAACGACAGTATCCCCAAGCAGAAGAACAAGCCAAAGAAGTTTGCATTCGAAATTACCCAAGAACTGGCTATTAAGCCAGTGGTAATTGCGGACCGCAACAGCCACCAGCGACGAGAGCGCAAGCAGCTGATGGAGGATGTCTACCCTGTCATTCCGAATGCGCAGTTCGTTGCTCTTCATTATGTGCACGAGCCGAAGCATGAGCTGTTTTCCGCCATCAAGGAAGTCACCCGTAAGCGAGTCTTGGAGCGTGGTGATAATCACCAGACTATTCGAGCTGCCACAAAAAACCGGGAGGAGACCATTGGTATTATGGATGGCTTTTTGAGCCGCTTTGAGGGTATTGATACTACCCGAGATCCAGATGAGAACTTTGACCTTGTGATCGACTTGGATGTCTGCGCTTCCTCCAGGCAGAACCTTGAGACTATTGTTCTTGCTTTGCATCGCGCATTCCCCAGAGTAGTCACTCGTGTTCCTTCAGCTGAGGAACTCGATGCTGCAATCAGCGCGTCTTTGAACGAATACAAGGTTCAAATGGACCTGAGTTCGGGATATTCCTCCCAGAATAAGAAAGAGAAGCCGCCAAAGGCGCCGAAAGCTGACCAAGGTGCTACACTCGCACCAGCTCTCTTAGCTCGCAAAATTGAGTTTTTCCAAATCGCTCTCGACCCTCATGATGTCCTATCTCCTCTTCATGCTCTCTTCACCCCCGATACCCCTCCAGAAGTCTCACGTCTGTACAACCAGCTGGCGAAGCAGCGTCGGGTCCAGAATGCTTTCCATGTCACTCTTATCCATCGTGCCGCGAGGGAAGATCGATCTGACGTCTGGTCTCACTACACCAGACATTACATCGACAACCTCACATTCAATCCTGTTCCGGACCCTGTTCAAAAGCCACCAACTCTTGGCAATGCTCAGGTTCGTCTAGAGCGTCTTGTCTGGGATGATCGCGTCATGGCATTTGTCGTTCGCATTCTTTCCACTGATGAGTCTTCTGATTCTGAAGAGGGATCAGTTCTGCCTTGTGCTAATGTCATTCCTCACATTACCATTGGCACTGCTTCGGCTGATATCAAGCCAAAAGAAAGCAATGACCTTCTTGCTCGCTGGTTGGAACATGGATCTGGTGGTGATACTGGAATCTATGAAGCTGAAGTCAAAGGTGTGAAGCTGGTGGAAGGGACAGTTGGATTGACTATGATGCGCGGAAAGTATTAGGCTCACATGCGACTCACCTTCAAACAAAAGTTAGCTAGATACCCTTTCCTGTTACATAGCTTATTTTGTCAGCTCAGTCGGTGGATATTATGACCATTGAGAGAAAAAAGCAAAGCATGATATACAATCTCTATTCATTATTCTTCTATATTGAAATCATATAGTCTACTTTCCAAAAACTGTACTAGGAAAGAAAAAAGAATCAACGGAGATGCGCGACTAATTTAGCACCAAAAACCTTTCCTTCGCGCAACAAATTTAATCCAACACTCAAATTATCCAATCCGCCCTCGATTTCCCTAAGTGGTGGAGGTCTAAGGAGCTTGGAGGTCACCGGTAAAGATGCATAAAACCTGCGCAAGGCAGCAGTATCAGATGGTACCTTGCCGAACTTGGGTCCAAATGGTGCAAGCCATTGAAATTCCTCCCCAAGGGCAGTATACGCCAACAAGAAGTCCACCTTGACGCCATCCAAATCCTTCTTTCCTGGGTCCAGAAGTGTGACGACCCATCCGCGGCTCTTGCGAACAACATCAGCACAGAACTCCGTTGAAGAGCCCTGTGAATAACAATCCATCGCTCGATCAATATTCGGATAGACCCGAATAATATCCTCGACGGCAGTCGGTGATTGATAATCAAACACATCGTCAGCACCGTACTCCTTAACAAGATCATGAGACCTTGATGAGGCAGTAGTTACAACTGTCAGACCTGCAAGTTTTGCCAGTTGAATCGCGAACAGCCCAGCCGCTGTAGCACCAGAATATATGAGGATCGGTGTATTTGAGCGACCCTCCTCCTCGCCTCCATCAATCCATGGAACGCCAAGTCGAGTGTTCAAGGCTAACATAGCAGTGACAGCTGACACTCCAAACGTAGCTGCCTCCTCATCGCTGATAGATGATGGAACTTTCCAGACAAAGTCTCCAGGGACCTTGACATACTCTGCGAAAGAACCTCGATCGGTATATAGTCCACCATGGGTTACCCCTGCGACCCTATCGCCAACTGCCCAGTTTCCTGGGGCGTTGGCCCCCACGAGTGCAACAGTACCGGCATAGTCACATCCAATAACAGCACCTCGAGGAGAGAGTATATCGATGTGTTTGAAATCTGTAGGATTGAGGGCGACGCATGTCACTTGGACGAGAATTTCATTTTCTCCTATTTTCGGCACAGGAATAGTTGCAAGCTTGACGCCGTCACCAGAAGCATATCCACATGCATAGTTTGATAAACGAGTAATGAATGAGCGATTGCCAACAAGGGCGTTCATTGATTTGGGGATTTCGATGCCCATTGTGTAGATGTGTGTTTCAAGGACCAAATCCCCCTTGAGAAGAGATTGCTCTGGATACGAAGTCTGTGCACATGGGATAAGACTCGATAGAAATAGTCGACTCAAAATCTACATAGCACTTGAGTGCATGTGTGATTGAAGCATGTGAAATGCTGCTCTCTTGCTTTATATGGTCTAGTACCTATAACTCTACTTTAATATCCACTCGGTGCTCCTATCCAGATGTCATTCCGATAATCACGTTGATCCCGACCTCGGCACGCTCACTCGGTATGGTGTGACATCTCGTCCCGACCCTGGACAAGGAGTTTCGTCCGATGCTGTTTCTTACAATTAATATTCAAATTTTCAGATGTTTATTCAGGAAATTATTTTCAGATATGCCGAGTTAAGTGATCCAGGGATGGTTCATGCACAAATCGGGTGGTTCGATCGGATTTGAGTTTGGCATTACGTCCTACACTCTGAATCAGACTGAATGGGAGGTTGAATTATGGAAATAGATCGGAACAAAACACTTCATATATGCATAAATCCGGAATGCGCCTAAATTATCCTGGTATTTATCCAAATATTTTATTTGAGGTGTTGAAGTGAAGAGTTTGTTCCATGGTTGTAGTTGACAGTACCCGATGAAGGCATGGGCCCAGGTGCTACCTAGATTATTCGATGAAGGGACTACTACCATAAATCAGAAATCTATCCCTTTCCTAATTCCATTCCTCACTTTGGGTCTTCAATTTTATCATCATGGGGTCGAGCGTTAATGCTCTCTCCCGCCACTCCTTCGTATCATGAGTCGCCTTCTTGCGTACCTGCTCTTCATATTCCTCTGTGCCAACACGTTGGTTGCGTCAAAGGAAGTAGCAATTAATCCACGAGAAACCTTTCCATGCTATGTGAATCTTCCTTTGCGATTTCTGCTTCTTGACTCGATGCTGATACTTCCAGGTGGACTGTGCCTACCAAAGCCTAGCGGAGATTGGCTGCTCTACCTCCGATATTCATTGTCGATGTACCAACAAGAGGGTCAATACTTTGATCTCAAACTGCATTGTGACAAGTTGCTCTCTCGAAGACGCACTCGGTTCGTGATAACCCCTCCCATTTGATGTCCCCTCCACTAAGTGTGTATTATTTTCAGATGCGGCGAAGTCATGGGCAAACCAGTGCGATGAGCCACACAACAACCATCATTCAGCGTTAAGAGCAGCGGCAGTCGGCAGTGGTGTTGCCGGTACTTGCATTGTGATATTTCGCGTGGTATCGCGATTATACACTGATCAACGCCTTTGGTGGGATGATTGGAGTCATATTGTGGCAGGGGTATGCTATCTCCAATTTGAATAATTTGCATGGGTGTTGCTGATTTATGAAGATATTCACCATTGCACTTACAATACTCAGCAATCTTTGTATGTACCACAATTTCCTTCACGGCATTCTAACTACTAGCAGGATAGTCTCACTAACATGAATCTCCAGGTATAACCGATGGATTGGGATATCATCTATATGATATTGAATCCTCATCTCTATCTCAAATACGAGACTTGATACTTTGGTGTCAGTTCTCCATCCCTTCAACTTGAAGCCAATCTAATACTTTCTTCATTAGACTATCTTTGCGAAATATTCTGGCTGCTAGTGATATACTTTATCAAAATGTCCATCCTCTTCCTCTATCTTCGAATATTCCCAGAGCTCCTCAGCTTCCGATATTATGTGATTGGAACAATGATCTTCGTCACTCTTTCAGTGGTTATTTTGACGCCCATGGCAATCTTGCAATGCGTTCCCATAGATGCAATCTGGAGCTTCAGTCGCGGCGATGCAAGATGTCTCAGCATATCAGGAGTCGCATATGCAAGTGCAGCAGTGAACATCGCAACTGAAGTTATCATTTTGATACTCCCAGTACCGTTACTTCGGACTCTTCGAACATCAACAACCCAAAAAATTGCGCTATACATGCTATTCGGATGTGGGATAATGTAAGCCTCAGTAAAACTCCGATCTTGAGACAATTCGAGTGATCGATACTGACCCTTTCCCAGAGTTATTGCGGTTGCATCAGCGCGAATCCCCAGCTTAAGCCATGTCGAAGACACCCATGATCCGACTTTTTTGAACGCAGGTGTTGTATACTGGACTGCTGCAGAAACGGCCGTGGCCCATTTATGTGCGGCTGCCCTAGCTATACGCCCGCTCTATGTCTCATTGCGTGATTTACTACGTCGACGGAGAGCAAGATCTGACTCAGGTACTCCTTTTCCAAAGCCGTCTGGGGGCTCTCTACAACAGTCTAATTCTAGGGATGAATCCGGCTCTCATGGAGAGCATCCTTTACAGGGTCCTGATTTAGAGGATTGTGTTTTCAATCCTACTGAGAAATTGGAAGCCGATGCTGTATAGTGTATAGTATAGACTAGCCCAATTAGGGTGTTCGACACCTAATGAATATGGCATCAACATGCCCCAACAAAAACAGTTTTCGATAAGCCCATCACATCTCAACCCATTACATAGAATACCGCATCTGAGTTTCAATAGAACGTTTTCAACAACTGGGATTCTTAACCTTTGCACTCGTTTCCTCCTAAATTCTCATCTGATCATCAGATGAATGATCCCATAATGGACACCAACTACGACGTGATCATTGTCGGTGCCGGTCTCTCAGGAATCAATGCTGCGTATCGCCTGCAATCTCAATTTCCCGATCTTCGCTATGCAATTCTGGAAGCTCGTGAGAATCTAGGCGGTACTTGGGATTTCTTCAAATATCCTGGTATCCGATCAGACTCTCCTCTCCTTACCTATGGCTACTCTTGGCACCACTGGAATAAAGATCATCTTCTCGGCGAGGGCTCGGAGATTCTACAGTATATGGACGATGCGGCCACGGAGCACAACATCAAAGAAAAAATCTTATTCAAGCATCGTCTCTTTGGCGCAGAGTGGTCTTCACTAAACCAGTCCTGGTCTCTGAATGTCCATCGAGACGGAGGAACAAAAACCTTCTCAGCCCGCTTCTTAGTCCTGGGAACAGGTTACTACAACTATGAACAAGCCCTGGAAGCAAATATCCCCGGAATAGAAAAGTTCCAAGGCCAAGTCATCCACCCACAATTCTGGCCTGAGAGTCTCGACTACGCAAACAAGAAAATCGTCGTGATCGGTAGCGGCGCTACAGCTATAACGCTCATTCCCAAACTTGCCGCAAAAGCAGAAGTGACAATGCTCCAGCGCAGTCCTTCATACGTTATGTCTATTCAAAACAAAGCCAAGAAAACCTGGCTTCACTACATTCTACCTGATTCCATGCGATACAAGTTCGAGCGTATGCGATCTTTGTTTATAACCCGTCTATTCGTCCTTCTTTGTCGCGCTTATCCCGATTTCTCGATATGGCTCATCAAGAAAGGTGTTACAAAACTTCTCCCTGAAAATATCCCCTATGATCCGCATTTCAAGCCTAGCTATATTCCATGGGAACAACGTTTCTGTGTCTGTCCCGATGGTGATTTCTTCGACTCTTTACGAAGTGGTCGTGCGAATATTAAAACGGATACCATTAAGAGCATTACATCAGATGGAATCGAACTAAATTCCGGAGATAAACTTGACGCTGATATCATCGTCACTGCTACGGGTCTCTCCATGCTCTTCGCTGGTGGGACTTCGTTCGTGATTGACAGAGTCCCATACGTCGCTTCGGAGAAGTTTGCGTGGCGTGGAATGATGCTCCAGGATCTTCCGAACGCGGCATATCTCTTCGGATATACGAATGCTTCGTGGACGCCTGGTGTGGATGCGACTTCGGTGTTTTTTTGTCGTCTGTTAAAGGAGATGAAGAGGCTTGGTATGGCTGTTGCGGTTCCTAGGCTTGGTTTGAAGGATGCGCAGGATATCAAACCCAGGAAAATGTTTGGCTTGACTTCGACTTACGTGGCAAAGGCTGAAGGTATTTTACCTAAAGCTGGTGATCGCGCGCCCTGGTTACCTAGGGAGAGTTATTTTCAGGATTGGAAATTTGCGAAAAGCGGCAGCTTGGAGGGGCTAGAGTTGGTTAGCGAGAAGGCTTAATGAACTTGTTAGTGGCATTTTGTGATGAGAGTATCATTATTGGATAGTATATATTCATACATACACGATTTTCGGATCTAAACTACCTTATGCTGGTTTCCCTGAAGATTTTTGCGTTCTGCTCGTGCAGGCGCCAACCCCAACGAGGGAGAGTCGATCTGCTGGGTGCGCATAGTGGGGGAACTTGTAAAGCAAGAATAGATCTTCAAGCTTTAGGAGGATTCAGTGAGAGCTACGGTGTCTTTGATGCTTCATGGCAGCCTTCGAGTTGCTCACGCTGCTTGACCAGTTCAACCTTGGAAGGTCTTGTTAAGTGGGAGACTAGTAGTGTGACGAACATCATCTTACAGGAAAGACTTAGCGTCTTGCTAGAGAGTGGTGACTTAAATGTATTCACGGCTTGGACTAGGAACTAGGAGCACTCCTGATATAAGTGGTAGTATTTCTAAAGTGCTGGGTATATGACCCCTTATTATAAAACAGCTTCCAACATCCTTCTATTCCCAAGGCAAAATTGATTACATATACAAGAAAGGTGATAGTCATAACGCGCAAAATCCATGCAGAGATAGATAATGATTCTCGCCGACATGTCCAAAACCATTCAGACCAGCCAGTTTCGCAGGTAACGTATCACGTACGGCAGGGTGCCACTTCAACTGGTCATCCAGGCAGACACGCGCGAGGCACCGAAACGTCCCATGTATTGCAGACCCGTGCTGCCCATGGGGAAGTAACTGACGAGGTACCAGACCAAGGCGGCGAGCTGGAAGATGGAGGAGATCAGGGTAAGGATAAGGCTTTGGAGCTATATGGTCACGTTAGCCAAATGATGTTTCACGCGGCAACGGAGGCTCAAAATAGTCCACAAGTGAACACAGCGGGGATGAGTGATGCGGATCAATACGTCCATGGAGGGACGCGCGCCGGGAAGAGTGAGACGTGGATTCAGAATACCATGGGCGTCTGGGCTGTCGTTTTCGTGATACCATGAGGCAAACTGAAGTCGCTCAAGGTTTTGGCGCAGCACCTTGGTTGCACGAAAACGACTAGCCTAGGGTGATATTGATCCTCACCCCGCATCCTCAGTCCGCAAGACCTAGCTGCCGGCGTAACAGTCTGAGTCATGTAGCACTGAGAGATAGAGGGCAAGAACGCAAGATTCCCCTTTTCCCCGACGTGCTGTACAACCAGCTGGAGTACAAGAACGTGAATGTGTGTGTGTGGAGTTGATAATGATCGACAAAGAATGATATCAAACTGATAAGAGACTTACCCCGATAGCAAAATACAGTGTGAGTGCGATCGATCCGAAATAAGCGGCTGTGAAGGGCAACCGTGGTCCCGAGATCAAATGCTTAGCGTAGGACCAGGGTCCCATGAGGACAGCCCATGATAGTAAAAACAGGACTGAGCCGACAGACCATCTATTAAAAACAGCATTCTGTTAGCATACAGATATCAAAGGGCGGCCTTGTTTTGAATGAGCTTGGCGTGAGGCGCAGAATTTTGTATCTCGACAAATCAAACTACACTAGTAAGACTGTGAAATCGCACATGGTCCGAGCCCTAGTCCACTCATGACCAGGATACTGAAATCTCGGGATTTGACTGGCCGGAACAGAGCCCGGAGAAGGGCTGAACATATATGTGGAAGGGTGGGTGGGGTTGAGAAAGACACAAACTGCAGCTGAAGTATGAAAAGAAAAAAAAACACTCGAAGACAACTTACAGAATGGCAAATTTCCGAGGCTTGAGCGTGAGTACGGGAAATAGGAAGAAGCAGATCATGAAGCACACAGCAGCGCCCAAGTTACAAGCACCGAAAATGAGCATTCGATCCCATCGACTCACTAGGTAGGATTCTCGTTAGTGTCCGTCCACAGTATCATCCTCCTCTCGGATCACAACCACAAAGACAAGCATAGCCATGATGAAATTCCCGACGCAGGAACTACAATCTCATCACCTGGACCAAGGCAGAACCCAGTCGGGACGATCATAGATGGGTCACGGGATACACGAGAATAAAAGGGAAAGGGGAATAAAAATGAAATAAAAATAAAAAATAAAAAAGATTGGAGCGAGACTAAGGGAAAAACCAAGAGGAAGTTGAAATCACAAGAATGCTTACATGCAAAAAACCCTTCTTCCTCTTCTCGGCGATTGGCTGCTGGCAAGGGCGCGCCTGGGCCATCATTATGAGTGGGTAGCTGAACATAGCCACCCTGTCCAAACGGATTCAATGACTGCAGGCGCGACAAAATTGGAGTATCAGAGGAAGCACTGGTGCGGACAGGGAAGTCCGGGTCTCTACGCGACCAACCCAGCGAGTTGACCGAGTCGCGAAACGAGTTGTTTGCCATGACGAACGCCGGCTAAGTAATCGAAGCACTGGAATGAGAGAGGGGAAATGTATTTCCAATTGAAAGACAGAGCGGAATCGTGCACGGCCGCTTCTGCAGACAAGGCCAGTGGGCCAAGAAGTCAAGAGTGGGAAAAACGTATGCAGGGACTATGCACGATGAAGTGCAGATGATCTGCGCCGGGTGATGAGCTGATCCTAAGAGGATTGGCTGCAGAGTGGGGACTAAATGAAGCCAACGGAGGAGCAGATGACGCCCACGCCGAATACGGATTCGGCTTCCCCCTAAAAGCCTGCCTACCGGGCTCGTCTCGAGTCGAGTTCACGGTTTTCGCGGTCAGAGTTAGAAGATCGAGCCCTAAAAAAGGTCGATGGCAATATTCACCAATCGAGAATGGTGTGCAACTTTGTTGATCCAAGGCAAGATGATCCAAAACCTTATGGGTGATCCACCCGCTTTCCAAATAGTGGATTCTTGCCTTGTTGCTCTCTGGCACGCACCGGAGTGTCGGAACCTGCAATGATATTCAGAAATCCGAACTTTCTATCCTTCCGTTTTTTTTCTCACTCTCAGTCTAGTGAATTTAGTTCACTAAACAGAATCAGGATTTAAAAGTCGGAGCAGGTCGCGGCACAAGCGGGATCGTAAGCTGGGGAGTATACGTCAACGGACGCGGCGGAGTTTCAAGCGGGGACGTTGAATTCGAACACGATCTTTGAGGGGTCTATCACAGCGAGAGCTATGATTGGATGTAGAAGCGCTACACTATCTGTGGGAGGAGGGTAGAGAGTCGTAGATCAAGCCGGATGACGAGTTGGCGTGGAGCTACAGATGCGACCAGCCCAGATCGGCGCTGAATGAGAGATGTCAGATGATGCACTCATTCGGACCGAGCTAGGGTTTAAAAGAGGAATTATTGAAAATTATTTTTGGGGGGTACATACCTTTGGGAACGGGGAGAGGGGGGGGGAAATAATAGTTGAAGGGGGGTGAGTGAAGGTTGGAAGTTTGGATCCCCAGACTAAACCATAAGCAGTAGGAACACACGGACCACATCTCCGCATCTCCACTATGTAGTTTGTACCATGGATAATTTAGTATGTAGTATGAAGTATGAAATTGAAGCTATTATGAATAACACTAATGAGAATGTACTTTTTTTAATTACGCGCATGCCGAAGGATTTAATTTACAGTAGTGACTAGCACTGATAATCTCGAGAAATAATATCTGAAAATCAACTCCATATTAAAAAGCAAATCCCGAGATCACTAACATAGTAACATCTATATTCCATATTAGTCGACTATTATGATATTCATAGAGGCACCAGCATTTTTTAATAATCAAATACTATTATCAGCCATGTAAATCATACTTGTATACTATATTGCTTTTTTCAACACTCCTTTTCATGGGCTCGGTTTCAGAATCCAAAATAGGATCCAGTTCAGCCCAGGTACTTTGTAGACTCGTATTCATTATTAATGGAACTTCTCCATAACTTTGGAACTCGTCATGGTGTCGATCCCTTGATGATCTTTTGGTTGGTGCACACCCTGTTGACGATCGTGTATGGACACTCTATATTAGTCTGCAGAAAACCATCGTCTTTATAGTCTAGGCGGCTCCATAGTCGTATCAGACCCCTCTTTAAGGAAGTTTTTAAGAGTCGACGTTGCACTTTACCTTTAATATTTGAACGTCGTTACCCGTATGTGCGACTTGAATTTGTCCGAATGCTGTATGGAGATATGGATATATGGACCTTTGGGTCCTTGGGTAACATTGGCAGCTACAATACTTGGAACCTTTTTTCCCACTTCCCACTTACTAGTAGTATGATTTTATGGGCATTTATTACTTTTTCTTTTACTTCAAATATTCATCATAATTGTTCCATGTTATGCCCGACGCACATGAATGCATGAATGTCTGCGGCATGGACCGTCGGCGACGTCATGTCAGGGCCCTGTGCACTGCATGAAAGAGAAAGTACCTTCGGTTATAAAGGATTGAATGTTGGTTTCAGCCCAAGTCAAACAGAAACAAAATCCAACTAAGTAAGAGATGCCTCCTTGCGTCAACCGTGGATGCTCGGCGATACCCTCCGAACCTTGACGGGACGGGACGTGTAAAGAAGATCCACGACTCTTCTTTTTCTAGTCTTTCATAGTGTTTCTTAGTATCTCTTAGTGTGTAGTATTTATTTCATAGTCTTTGGTTATATTATTCCCGTTGCGGAGATCGCCCCATTTGAACATGCATATGCCGAACTACGAAATCGTACATCGTTGATAGGTGGATATCTACTCGGTTTCTTACCCCCCCCCCCCTTCTTGGTGGCTTAGATACATTCCATGATATGGAAAGTTTGGCGATGTGGCTCAGTCTACTACAGAGAATCAGAAAGAAAAAAAAACAGGTTCGTTCAAAATGTTCTATAAAGGTGTGGTATCTTCTATAGTCTTATTGGTTTATCATCTCAGACACATTCCAGTCCCTCCAATCGTGTGCTGCCGCCACATTCTTGAGATCGTGCCTCGACAAAAGGTGTGCCTCCAGTACCACACCGGGAGGCGACAGGTTGTTATCGGGTTGCGCTGGAGCCTGAACACACGGACCAAGAAAGAATCATTTATTATTTTTATCATTTTTAGCATTTTTATCATTTATAATCTCAAAAGTTCGGAGTGACGCGGAAAGAAACAGAGCACGGTCCAAGCTCCCATCGCCCCCAATATGATCGCCACCGCTCTGCACGACATTTTCAGACCACACCACGCACTGATCTCGTTGATAAAGTTGATAGGGCTTACGAGAATGACGCTTTTGTATTTCTATTTTTTTTTTCAGATCCGACGCCCTGAAAAGATTTTTTTTATCTTTATCTTCATACTTCACTTAGTCTTTCTAATGTCTTGGTTGCAGGTTATATTCTCCGGATGATGCGTCTCATGTTCTTTTCGAACGGATTGTCGATCTCCTCCAACTCCGGTCTCATTACACTCGGAAGTGCTCGAATCAAATTAATTATTGATTTGAGTAGTAGGGAAAACTGAACCATAACCAGATTACAGACACATCTCTGCATACCGGGCGGAGATCGCCCTCTTTCCCATCACATCCACGAGGTCTTATTGGGGGATCTCTACTACCAACTTTTCACCCCCTCTCACCCTCGGAGAGACTAATGCATATTCACTGATAGATTAGGGTTTCCTTTAGACATAACTGGTTCTACCCGCTTTTCCTAGAATGCCTTGCTATGCTCTGTCTGTAACCATGTTCATCTGATACATTCTTCTGGCCTGTGCATCCAAGACCTTTCGAGTATATCACCTTTTTTTTCTTAGTTGTTTTTTATTTTTATTCTTATTTTTTATTTATTTATTGTTTTCTAATTTTTCTTCTGAGTCATGAATCCGATACAGGTGACAAACATCTACGGTATCATGGGATAGGCACGTTAACTAAATCCGGCTGTATCACCCTTCCCCCCTTCGTCCAAGTTTCGCTCTTTTAGGAGAGTTTGAACCATCTGGGTCATTTCTTACATAGCTTCTATCATCATCCTCGTTTTTTATTTCTGAAAATATATATGAATATATGAATAAACAATAAATAAAAAAATAAAATAAGTATAGGAGGCTCGGGGGTTTACCGTTGCCACCCCTCACCCTCCTTTACTGTTTACTTCTCCCACACCACAAGGACGATGAATCCCCCCCCAAAAGAGTAATCATAAAATTTAAAATAAATCAACATTTTGAAAAAAAGCTCCCAAACCAAGGCACGATATGTCCGATGCCGACCGGCAAGCCTCATCGATTCCCACCGATCGACGGGCTGCATGACCGATGTTGTAATATATCAAATGAGAAGGCGAGGGGGCTCGAGTTCTTAAAGTCTCCATCTCCTCGATCTTTTTCTTCCTGCAAGTGCTTTTCCTTTCTGCACCTACGGCTGCTGCGTTGTCACTCCATCACTGGTTTCTCGTATCCGCGCCCCATCTTCAAGCCTCATGATTCGTACAGCCAACAGAGTGGATCAGCTAGACTTACTTCCGTGAGTTAACCCCTACGCAGGTACGTTGCCTTCTACCCGGGCTTCTACCCTTTGGTGGGAGAGATCTTGTTTCCTTATTGCCCTGGTCAGGATGGGTGGTTCCTGCATTGCTGCCTACTGCTTCGCCCCAGTAGCCACGTGTAGGGGCTCTGCGGTTATTGACGTGGAAGCTGCATTACATTAATTCATTAATCTATTTACTCCATACTGATATCTTGATAGACCTTGACATTCAACTACTACGAGTAGAAGGTTGGATCATCACTGCCAGCGGCACTGTCATATCATCCTGATATATAGTATCAAGTTCAAGTTGATCAGGTAAGATCTATACTTCCTTAAAGTGCTTTCAACGTCTTTGTCTTATTATTATCCTATTTGCATCCAATTTTTATTGTTTTATTTTATTTCTATTTCCCCTGCTTTGTCTATACAAAAAAACAAGGATTACGTGTTTCGTGTCCTTGACAATCTTGGAAGTTCAAGTTCGTATTGCATTGCAATCCGAGCGTGGGTCTGAGAGTCTAAGAGTCTGAGAGTCTCCATTTATATACTGGGGGAATCAAACAGAATCAAACTGTTCAAACATTCAAACTTCACCGCCCCCTCTCTCTCCACCGCTTCTTCCAAGGTTTCCCCGCTCTCCACCTGTTGTTGATCTGGATTGTTTTGTTTTTGAATCGAGAGAGAGAGAGTAATCCAGAGAATGGAACTTGACTTCATCTTTGGTGGTCTTGTCATCAACTCTCTTACTCCCCTCGATTTCTAACTTACCCGTGCTTATCTACTTTCAATCCCGACCTTATTTTTCTTTCTGACATTTGCCCCCCCCCCCTTCTTTTTTTTTTATAAGACACTTTGCCAATCAGTTCATCTTAGTGCAACTGACTCATTGAGAATCTTCTTTATAGTGATCTTCTTTGGACTATCTTCCCCTTGTTCTTGATTGTTTCATTCCCCAGTTTACTCGGGACCCTCCGATCTGCAATCTCCCCGGACAATTTGTTCCCCGATCCCGTCGACTCATCCCACTTGTATCTTTGGGACCCAGCAGTTTTTTCCCCTGTCTGGTTCTCACCGCAAAGATCAAGAGTCGACTTGTTCTCTCCTATCACTGCGCAGAAAGGTAAAATACCTCATTTCTTATCTTCTATATGTCTCTTTTTTGTCATGGGGGCCATCTCAGTTGCCTCATTGCGCCTTGCCGACGCAGCGCATTCTCATTTGCCGACTCATCCAGTCTACGCCCCCTTCCGCGGTGAAACCAACCAACGCTAACTTTTTTTTTGCTGGCATTCAATAGATTCTCAAATCGCGCATCCTCATTCTCGCTATCATTAACGGCTGCCTGAAATTGGGCTATCCGTATCATCTATCTAGAGAGGGTCAGTAAACTTAAGACGCGACGACTTTCTCTTCTACACCTCGCCAACCCCGCGCTGCCCCACAATCTCCATCCACATCCCTTGGTGTCCACGAAAATGGTAGAAGCAAGTCTCTACATCAAACACGAATCTGACGATCACAGCAATCCTTTCATGATGTCTCATTCCGGCTACTCGATGGCCAACCATTTTGGAACCCCTAATAATGATGGGGTAGACCCTTCAGATTTGACCATGCAGCAGGGCGGCTTTATGCCTTACTCCTATGGTTCACAGCAGAACATGTCGTCCAGCTTCAACTTCGGTAACTCCGGTATCGACACCGATGAACTCTTGGACTTGGAGATTAGCGCCCCCAACGGAGGCCAGCGCAACGACATGAACTACATGCACGACCAGTCTGCAGGAGGTATCGCCATGAGTCACCAAAGCCAGATGTCACACCTTTACTCCAACACTCCGGATAATGCCCCAATGGCCAGCCCCTTCGTCCAGAACAGCTTCAACTACGAACACTACCGGATGAACCAGCAGAACCCTCATATACAACACGCCAGTTCGTTTGACCAGAACTACATGGGCGCCAAGAACCGCCCCAGCCTCCAAAGCATGGATCGGACCTCCTCGGATGCCCGTAGCCCCATGACCCCCAAGACTCCTGCGCTGGGTTCTTTAAATTTGGGTACACCGGAGTCCGGCAGTTTCCCTGGCCAGCCGATTCGCACAACAGGTTTACAGCACCGACACCAGAAGACCCTGTCAAACCAATGGGATGGAACCCCAACAAGTGCTCAATCATACGTGGACTCTCCAATTTCGTCACCTCCTCAACATCACCATGCCGGCATTTCAGAAATCCTCAAGTCTGGAAAACATGCCTCTCTCCCTGCCAAGGTTGATAATCACATGCCCGGTAGCAACCAAGATCTAGAATCTCAAGAGGCTAAGCGACGCCGTCGTCGTGCCTCTCACAACCTGGTTGAGCGCCGCCGTCGCGACAATATCAATGAGCGCATTCAAGATCTCTCTCACTTGGTTCCGCAGCACCGACTGGAAGATGACAAGGTGCGCAAGCAACTTGTGAACAATAGCGCACTATCTATGGCTGGTGCCAGTGCAAACGCCGCTACTTCACTTCTGGCTGGTGGCAATGGACGACGTGCCACACCCGGCAACATCACCATGGGTCTTCCCATTGAAGAGAAGGAGAAGGGTCCCAATAAGGGAGATATTCTCAATGGAGCTGTCAGCTGGACACGCGATCTTATGTGGGCCTTGCATGTTAAGTACCAGCAAGAGGCTGAGCTAGCTGAGATGATCAGCAACCTCGGTGGTACTTGGCCATTCGAGCCCACTGAAGAGGAGAAGCGCATGCGCAGCGAAATTGTCGATGCGCTAGAGAAGAATGACCCCAACTCATTCAGCTACACTCGTGGTCCAGGAAGTGGACTTCGTGTCCCTAAGCATACCAATCTCGCTGGTGACCCAGTGCAAGGTGGCGAAGGACTCACACCACCAAATCTGAGCCCTCAATTCCACAGTGGGTCTAGCAGCGCCAATGGCGTGCCCGGTCAGCCTCAGTTTTGGAACAGTGCCGGCCATGCCGCTCTGAGTTTCAAGGAAGAGGATGAGTACGGAATGGATATGAATTAAATTGCGTCTTTTTCTCTTGGACCACATGTTGCATACTTGGCGTCTAAGAGAGGAATGGCGTATCATGGATGAGGGCCATAGCCTCTCGAGGAGTATTATTTCCTTTTTGCATGTCTTTACTGTTTATCATGTTGCATTTTGATATTCTGATGTTCTTTATGAACACGATTTGCTTTGCTTTTACAACGTGTTTTACTTTGACTTTTCTTGCCGAATCGGGTAATGATGGTGTCCTATATCTAGGACGTTAACCAGAGGTTATAGAGGGTTGGCCATGGTTTTCTTAACTTGCTACGGCCGGAGCCTCGATTCAGATTCAGTTTCAGTTTGGGCATTGTTCTCTCAGATCGATACGTGGTGTTTCGTTTGATTATTTTTTATTATCCCATCGATACCCCGATTTCCTTTCCACTGACAGTTTATCTTTACATGTTCATTGCATTATCAGTATTACAACATGACTTTTTGACCTTTGAACTCCCGTTCGGGTACTTATTTTCAGTTTTTGACTTCAAGTTGTCTTTCTATTGATCGCTACATGCTCCAGTTAACGAGTACCGTGTGCGGTCCTTCAGCCCTTCCAGAGTTGGCCCTAATTCCACCCTACTTCTCACACTTAGCTCTCCCCGTTGTCATTTACATTCCTCAATCTTTGCATTTCGCTTGGCGGTTTGGTCGGATCTTTGTGTTTTGCATAGTCGAGGCAACAATTGATGGCTATCTCATTTACATCTGGCTCACACTGACATCTTCCAACTACTACTACAAAGGATCTGTATCAAAGTAGAAACGTGCTATAGTTCACATATCGTAGACTACTATCAAAAGTGATTACTCTCAGTACATCATCCTTGCAACATTTTTGGATTGTCAGCTTCCCCCTGCTGCTCATTCCAACTTGACGTTTGTCAAACATCCTGTTCAAGTTGAAGATGTCAGGTGGTCTATCCTTGGGGTATTTATATCAACTTTCTCTCTCCTTCTCTTTTCTTTTCTTCATACACTCTCTTCCCCCCTCCCGGCACGGGGGAGGCCAAATTGATTTTGAGGGTCTCAAATCCCTCGCATGAGATCTATATCGCCCTTGCGATACCCTCAGTTCGAACTTCTGATACCTCGAAATGGCATATTGAGAGTTCTAAAATCCAACTAGGATTCGCTCTCCGCATGATCCTATCTATGTGTCTGTGTAGGCAAAGCCGGGTTTTCTCTCTCGCTTTATGTCCTAAGATGAAAAGGTCTCATTTAGAGCCTTCGCTGAGTACCAGAAGGCATCGCTGCTGACCTGGAGAGAATATTAGCAAACCGGGATATGCAGGTGAGTTCATAATATCATCAGAATAATGAGAACACCTCCACTGACTCTGCTCAACAGTTTCGATATGTATACTACAGGCCCAGCTGACAGAGTGGCAATATCGATCCGCATTTCGATTTAGAGAGATTTGAAACTATGGTTGACCCGGTCCACATCTCTCTGTACAGCAAAATGTCAAGATGATTGGTGTTGAATGCATCAATCACTATTCCAGCCCCAGTACCGCCAAAAGATACCTTATACCAACTCATATCGCTCTCGGTGACAGAATGGGAAATTAAGTATGCATCCTTCTCCACCTACGACCGGAATAAGAGCTACTACCACCATTGTCGAGAGACGCATTACGAACCAACCTATTCCTCGGTTGAGTTGATTCGCCAACGTCAAAGAGTCATCTATTCCATGATCTCTCGGGTACAATTGTTTTACCAGGAAAGGTTTACATTCAGCGAAGTGGATGCCAACCATTTAGGTAATCCAGCCTATTCACCATATTTGAGGTAAAATATCCAGGTTTGCTGATCCGATCGTATATGCAGGGCGTTTGAATACCAATTTTCCTACGCCGAATGAGGTTGAATTAATTTTCTCACCTGCAAAATCCTACAAAAGGTGAAAGAAATTTCCAAATCCGGGTGGAAGGACCGGAGTTTAATTTCGGACATGCTGTTGAAAGGAAGTGGTGCTGCCAATTACCCAAGATATCAATGGATGAAGATCCGGCTCTGTCAGTGATTAATTCGCCCAATATCATGAAACCAAGATACGTTCCGAGCTTCTTGGGTACTCACCTGACTCCAGTCAGTCATCATATAAAAGACAGGGTGGACCACAAAAGGAGTCGCATTGAAATCAGCAAAAGCAGAACCTGGCTATTTCTCGCGATCTCCAGGCGCAGAGGACGACATTGGGGCACTAAGAGTGCTCGTGTGGTGTCTATCAAATTACAAATCTTACCACCTGAGTTGAGTGGAACGTGACTGAACGTCAATATAAGTGGTCTGGAATACCAGAAACTAGCAAGATTAAAAAGCTAGAGTCCATGAAGCTCCCGGTTCGTCAATTTCAAAAAGAAACGGGTCCAAGAAAGATGATCCAATAACAAAACTAACTATGCCTACCAGAACGCTATAAGCTTATAAAAAGACTTCTCTCCTTCACAAGAGATCGACAATGGAAAATGAGACCTTGAGTAGTAGTCAGTCCGCCGCGATGCAACCCGATTTAATCCCCACTCCATGCAGTGACGGATTTAAATACTGTTCTGGTTGTCGTGGTGAATTGACCAAATCCTCTCACCATCACTATGTGGTGAAAATTCAGTAGGAACTGATCAATCGCCGATGGTTCCTTTGTAGGAGAGAAGACCGGATCGAAATATCATTCAACCAGTAACAAAAGGCCCACAGATCAGAAGCCGTCCGCAAATATTCACCTACAGCTAAGCCCGGGAATCAGACTGGAGTGACCAGATGCGACTGCTATTACCATGGGGTAAATGCTGCCTGGCGTTTCCCTAATGACCCTTGCGTGTGGAAGCTCTGTGTTCATGGAAATTTGGGTGGGCGCTTCGAGAATAGAACGCAGCGACAAGCTCAGCATAAGCCCGCAAATGCCGAGAGATCTCAACCCCCCAGTGCCTAAAGGATATTATATTCCAAACCCAAATGAGCTCTAGCTATTTTCGGCTTCTGCGTGCAAAATACATGACCAAGGGAGGCCAAGGGTGCCAGCGAGAAAAGGTTACCCAATAACAAACGAAGCCCGAGCTTGTGGTTCGTGATTTAATACAGAATACGGTTTTGTATGAATCGTCACAACGAAGACAAAGGCATAGAAATCTAATTGAAGCTTCCTAGCTTCGTGAACATGTGATTTCATGTCTTCTGCTCCAAACGATATGTTATGAATTTGAAGAAACTTTATGTGTCGGGGACTGAGAGAGGAGAGCCCCATAAAACCTTATTCCGAACCGCTATAGCCGCCCGCCATACTTCACTCCGGGGGTCCACCAGCGCAGCGACTGGCCGACCATCCTGAAACTCCTGCACATTGGATCATTGTGGCCTTCATTGGAAGCACAAAAAGATTGCCGAAAACACTTTGAATAGCAAATCTATATTGGCAGAAAAGACATTTGACACCAACGATGAAGCTTGGCGACTTGTCCGACCCGCTTTTCTGAGTGGTTTTATCGAGAGTCTCTTAAACCGAGCGCTTAAGCTATTTCCAGGCCAGTTTTAGTGCTGGTCCTGGCATTCATAATGAGTTCAGATTCCTTAGAGCTCGGGCCGTTGCCCTCCTATCATTCTTCATCTACGAGTGATATGGAGGAACCAATTGATCTAACGTGGACATAACAATGAATTGGAAAGTCCATCGGACAGCTTACAAAAGAAGGGCTTTTCAGCGCGGCCAAGAAATCCTCAGCCAGAAATCACTTTCAATAACCGCTTTTGTCGAGAGGTCCAGGACGGCGATGGGCGATTTCCTTCATGCAACAGTCTATTGACACTACCGCTACTATCAGATGAGGGCAGAGCAGAAGTATTCGATGAAACCAGTACCTTTCATGGTGATGCCTGCCTGTCCCGGGAAGACTAGTTGAGCCAGCCGATTATCAGGGGCTAATCATCTTCATCGACCTTAAAGTCGGACGTCTACAAAACCCAAAAAGAATCGCAAGCAACAGCACCGGAGTCGAAAGCCTCGATGACGTCGCGACCGACTTGAGTCTCTCGAACCCTCAAAGGATACAGAGAGTTCACTACTTCAGCTATGCAACTCGAATACAGAGACTCGAAATGGGACCCCCTTTTCGAGATAGGAACCTCAATCTTTCAAAACTGCCAAAATCGATCGAACGCAAAAGGGAAGAAGGCATAGGAAAGCTGGAGCGATGGTGGCTAGGCATTTCATCTTGGAAAAAGACGATCAACCCATATCTTCACCGTATTTGCCCCCACAGTCGTGAAATGCACCTCTGCCCAATTTGAAGCAAGCGTCTCGCACGACGAAGAGTTCCGCTCTAAAGGGTTTACGCTTTATCGGGGAGCTTGTATCCTGGAGTGGGTTTGATCATGAAGTAGATGAGGCGCTCAACAGACATCGCTTGCGTGAAACAATTCAAGTGTCATGGTGGAAAACAAGACACGGAAGACTGTGACTTTGCGAAAGGAGAGATCACCGACGAACTTATCTCGGAAGGCATTGGCGCAACGAGATCCAGTTAGAAAAGAAAAAGCCATCATTATCACTAAAGGCGAGCTGAAGATATGAAGCGCAGGAGCCAGTTTCCCTCAGCGATCCTTAAAAGTGGCTCCTCCACACAGCATATGCGCAAGATCCACCAATGTCGAAGTTCAAAAACGACCCATACATCGCGCTCTCTCTCTCTTTCGTTTCAAAAAAGAGCAGCAAACGACCGCGCATTACAAAATGTCAGATGATAACCCAAGCTATTCACAGGCTAGACGCGCACGGTCTGGAAATTCATACAAAAAGATGGGTCAAAAAAGAGAGGTTTTAGCAGAACTGGCCAGTGCGGAGCTGCTCTATTATTGGCTGAAGACAACTTATGAGTCGCTTCTATACGTCTAGTTCCTTCTTTTTACACTTTTTACTTTTGTATCGCAGTTCACTAAAACACAGAAGAGCGGATAGAGCCAAGGATACACGAAAGACTGAGTTCAAGCCTAAGAGGTAGGGATTACCCATCGAGAGGAAAATGGAAGCAATGCGGCACTGACAGATTTCTCAAGTGCACACTCATTAGCTCGTCCTGAGCATAGGTCCATACTAAGCAAGAACAAGCCAAAGACTACCGAGGTGACTCAAAGTAGTGAAGATGATATTCCCGGATTGCTGCCCGGTGCTTAGTACGAATGAGCCTTCTCAACTGGACAGCAGATCTGATGAGCAGAGTCATGACAAATTTGTCAGCCTCATACTAAAAGAGCCCTGGACTATCGAACCATCGACATGTTTAAAGGATCTTCTCTGAGTTGTCACTGAGTTCATAACTGGGTTCAGCCATTTTCAGAACTTTCAAAACATGCTCAACTCCTCACATTACTTTCACACATATGCAGAATTTACTTACTAGGAAGTCTCGAACCGTTAGTGCCGGATCTCAAGTGACCAGCGGATTGTCCTTCTACCGGATACACAAAGTACTACAATTTCAGATTTCCTTGGAAATGAGAGCATATCTGTTAGTCCACCTCTTCCTGATCGTGATCAGATTGCCTTATTTAAGGAACTGTCAGATATGCGAGCACAAGCTGATATCAAAACTTGCTTGGACTATGCGGCGCGACAAACAGCAATGTACCCTTAAAAAGCAGGGAATACCAGGCCTTGAAGGTTGCCATATCATCCCATAAGCCCGTGCGCGCGAAACTAAGTCGAAGTATCTTAAGTTGTTTTGGGGACTAGAGGAAGCGCACGACCTATCCTAGCGAAGGATGGCCAAACTAACATGTGAATAACTTGATCGTATTACCTGGATACGTCCGACTGTTGGGACCAGTGCCTTCGCGAGTTCCATCCAATTGAGATGGACCTCCTAGAACCGGGGAAACGCTCTGGATCTACCAGGCATTGATTCTCTTTTACGAAACGGGAATGAGGAGAATTGTTGAGATTATCAAATTCTTGCGATGGCCGCAACAAATGTGCAGGCAGACACGTTCCGAAGTCAATCGATCTGAATATGAAGAAAGGCGCCCATCGAAGTGGAGAGAAGAGTCCAAGCTCTTTGAATGTTCTTGTGGCATGTTTATAGCAAGATCGTCGATCAAAAACACTTGGATCCCCTTCCCAAGTCCTTCCTGCACATCTTGCCACCACGGGTTTGACAAGCCTTTTCAGTTGATCACCATTCTGATCTTCACTAAGGCTCTATACAGGAAGGTGCCTGCAACAACCACCAACTTGCACCCTGTGACGCCCTGATCGGCTCTAGGGAGGATTTCACACCTGGATCGCCTTTAAGCGTCCTGAGTGGAGTCTTGGGACGAATAAAGTACCGATCAGTGGTCCATCTATCTCGGACCATGGCTATTGCCCGAGAACGTGATCTCGAGTCCTGAAGTCATGCACCTCGCATTCAAATAATTTCTTGCTACTACCCATGCCCAGTGGGTTCTACTTTGGAGGTGAAATACACTTATCCATCCCACGACTTGAGCTTTTTAGGAATCGTGTTCCTGTGTCAAGTCATTGATGATATGATGGTAATGACGGAGAAACTAGAAGACAATTGAATTACGTCAGAGATTAGAATGAAAACAGAATGGTCTAACAATCAAGACAACTGAGGGAAGATCTTTTTTCATTTAGGACAATTTAATAAGTATTCTAAGAAACTATGAAACACTCTCCGGTTTTCTCATCAATAGCAAAGATCAGTCCTCCGGGATTTGAGCTGCGCAATCACATCCACATCATAGGGTTCTCTAATCTTCAATATAGTTGGACTCGAAGACTCAGCAAACCCCAAAGTAAGCCGATCTAGAGTCTCTATATCAAATTTCTTCAAGATATCTTTCGGAGTCGATGAATTCAATGCCTCGGTTTGCTCCCCTCCAAGAATAGAAACAAGAAAAAGAGCAGATCCGTAAACTCTGCTCAACTGCTTCAGTGCTGAAAGACACTGCAAAAGACCCTTGAGACCTGATCGCTCTATCTCAGCATCTCCGGTACACATCCGCTGGATATGAATGATTCCCGCGCGTAGAATCATTGGAACACTGCTGCATGGTAGGTAGTGTATCAGGTGCTTTTGACAGAGATCATGAGCCACTTCTGTCATTTCGACTGCCCCACTGAGAACCGGGCTCTCGGATGTACTTAGTGAGAGTTGACGTGGACTGTCAGAGTCTTCAGATAGGAATTCCAGCTGCCGGTGTACTGTGCTGTGTATGTCATTGTAAGCCATCCATAGCCATGCACAGTGTATGTGGAAGATGAGTTCACCGTCGTTGGGTGGGAGGAAGTGCTTTGGTTGGAACTTGATTTTGGACGGTAGCTCTTCACGCCATGTTTGGAGACCTTCTTTCGACGCCAGAAGACTCTCTTTCCGAGACTCAGCATGACTGGGACTACCAACAGGTCTTTTCTTCTGTGCGTCCCAGGAAAACATATCATCCCGGATACAGCGACAAAGCTTGATTTTCTCAATGAATATGCATCCGAGTGATTCGCGATTTGCTTTATAACATCCACCAGCGTACCCTCTGAATGATTGAAGATTGAATATACCCAAACTTTCAGCAGTCGGAACATCCATTGGGAGATAGACTTCATTTTTGATAAGTGGTGGCTGCTGTAACCCGAATGCAATCATTCTGTCGCGAGTGAATATACTCCACCATAGAAGACTATGGAACTTTTGAGAAGAATCTCCTACTAGTAGTTTTGATGACTCAAGATGGAGACTAATTTTGCATGCAAGTGATATACACACGCTGATCCAGTGTCTCCCGTCTTTGTTCCGCTGCGGGTTCTCGTACCAATATGTCATGAGTAGAAGGCTCTGCACAATAGCGAGCTCATCATCCTCACTATCAAAATCGTGAAGCGTCTGCAAAGTATTAGTCCACGCCCTTCCAAAAACCTTTTTGCCAATATTGATTATATCTCTTACCCTAGCTCTTTCAAAAAGAATTTCCAATGCATTTCGCCGAGACAGGAACCCGGCGGCGTAGAGATGCTTCAAGTCAACAAAGAACGCTCCAGCAAACATGACAGCCTGAAATAAAAGCAGACTTATTCCATCCTGCCCATTACTCCCCACATGACTGTTGAAGATAGCATCCGAGAAGACATTAAGATCCAAAAACGGCATATGAGGATGAACATGCCGAATATAAGCCTTCAGAATCTCCTCACGCAATGCAGCAGGCGGAATATCAAGCGCACCCTTCCGTATCAGGAAGTTCAAATCCTCAGCCTGAATCTTGGAAGAAGGAGGCTTCAGATATGAAGGCAAAAGCGTGTTATACGGCGCCAAGCACCACGTCGGTCCCAGGAGACGGTGAACCTCACATAGTAAATTGTCCAACGGTAGAGTGGAGAGAACGGCCGGAGTTTCGACCATTCCTGGTGTCGTTCTTAATCGTTTATGGGCCCGTTCACTCATTTTAGCGATCCTGGTTGTGTGCATGTGGGTTCATGCCAGTGTTTTGGACTCAGGGTCGGCTGGGATTATTCCTCGGTAAGAATGCTGAGCTCGGTCCCTCTCGGCTGGCTCCGAACTGCGGGGATAAGGTGGTCTGATTGATCCTTCGGTGAGAAATGCGAAAATAAATATGGGGAATGAAAGATAATTTCGAAGTTTCAGCGTTTGTTCCTTATTAGCGCGATCATGTTTGTATGGTGAGACGTATAGTCGCGCTGCATTGAGCATGTGCTAACTCCTACTACGCAAGATTGATGATAATCCCCACATGGGCATAACTATTGGAAGCTGGAACTCCAATTTGAAAGGAACAGGTATTTTTCATAATCTAGAAAACTCAATTCAATTGAGTGTATAAGAAATTCATATCACCATCAATCATGTTCGACCCGTAATAGAAAGCAAGTCTATAAGAGCCATTGGGACTCTAGTCTAAATCTAACTCAAGTGCTCTGCCTCAATCAGGGCCACACTCAGATTTGAACGGAAGTCACGGCTACTGAAACCAGCCTTGAAGGTGAATTCACCAGTGGGAATACGCCAGTCCTGAGCGACAACATCCCAGTAACTCACATCTCTGCGCATCAAATCAAAGGTGACCGTTTTCTTCTGTCCAGGTCGGAGCCACACTTTATCAAACCCACGAAGCTGATTAGGTGGAGTACCAGCCGGGGTTGATGAGGGAAACTCGACATAGAGTTGTGGTACAGAGAACCCAGGGACATCTCCGGTGTTGGATATCTCGGCCTCGATTGTGTAAACAGTCTCCCAGAGAGCTGGGTTACCGCCAGGCTGAACGGTCTGCTTCTTGGGAACAGCAGTCAAGTTCTTTGCGGGGGCAGAACTGGCCTTCAGATTGTTCAAGTTGTAGGTAGTGTAGCTTAAGCCAAATCCGAACTCGTAGCGCACGGAAATGTTGTGCGCGTCAAAGTATCGGTATCCAACCTCAAGATCCTCATCAAACCAGCTCTGCCAGTCGTAAGTGCCATTGGTCTGCACGTCTGTGGTCAATGGTGCGTTGTAATCAGAATCGTTGTATGCAATCACGTAAGGGAGCTTGGCGGATGGATTGACGTCTCCATAGAGCACATCTGCGATCGCGTTTCCGGCCTCCTCGCCAGGATAGTGTTGGGCGAGAATAGCAGTAACATTCTCATTATCGGCGAAGGGCATGGTATTGATACCACCTGAATTGGTAACCACAATGGTGTTGTTGCAGAACTTCGCAACTGCTTCTACGACGGCATTGGCGTTCCAGTCCAGCTCCAAGTAGCTTCGGTCTTCACCTTCCGCTGAGTAAGACTTGAGGAAAACGAGGCAAGCATCTGGGTGTTGGGGAATTGCCAGAGCAGAGAGGCCGGTATCAACAATTTGAGTGTTGTTCAAGTAAGCTTGGACTAGAGAACCATCTTTGCGGGCGCGAGCACTGATAGCCTCCAGGGGATTGGACAAACAGGTGAATCGACAAGCGCCGGAGCTTCCCGAGTTTGCAAGTACACCGAATTCAAAATTGCCAATAGTGTCTGGACCCTGGGTCAAGGGACCAGCATCGTTGCCGGCAATGATAATATTGCGAGGCTTACGAAGTGGGAGGGCGTTCTTCTCATTCTTCAGGAGGACAGTAGAGGCTGCTCCATGTTGACGGATCATAGCACTGTGGTTACCTCGCACATCACGATTACTGGGTCCAGTAAAGTTCCACTTGTAAATCCAGGTATCAGGAGCTGAGTCAACGTTTAGTGGGCCGACTGAGGAGTCAACACTGGGGTAGTTCTTCTCCTGTCCAAGCCAGAAGTACGGCGTCATGATACGAACAATCATGTCATCCAGGCGATCCATACTAACAGTTCCATTGTGAACTGCCTCAGTCAGATTCTTGCCGAAGTAAGAACCCTCTGTCCACAATTCACCATAGACTGTAAATCCACCGGGCATGGTCATATCCATACCGCTCTCAATAGATGAAACACCGCTGTGAGTCGCACCCCAGTCTGACATGACATAACCTTGGAACCCAAGCTCACCCTTCAAAAGATGGTTTAGGACGTAGGAGTTCTGGCAAGAATGGGAACCATTCACACGGTTGTAAGAGCACATCGCACTAGCGACACGAGCACGAACCGCGTTCGCAAACGGCCACATATAAATCTCATGAAGGGTTCGGTCATTCAAGTTGGAGGAAACTGAGTCCTGAATATAAGTGGTAGCATTGGCATCCGGGGCATATGTAGGATTTCGTTGGGTTTCCTGCTCATATGCGATGAAATGCTTCGCATTGGCTTGAACACCAGCATCTTGCATTCCGAGAATAGTTTCCTCCATGCAAACACCGGTCAAATAGGGATCGGCTGCGAAGCCTTCCCATGTCCGACCATTGTAGGGGCTGCGGCCCAGGGGTCCACCAATGGGACCAAGGATAACGTGAGATCCCTTCGCTTTGTGTTCCTCAGCCAGTGCATTGGCTCTATCATATAGTAAATTGCGATCCCAGCTAGCGGCTGCCGAGACACCACTAATGAAAACGCTGGAATAACTGCCTTCCTCTACGCATTGTGGTCCATTTTGTAGACAGAGACCACTGAAGTTGAGACGAGGAATTGGCAGTACATTGCCAACACAGGGGCCTGGTTGACCAGTCGCCATCCAGGCTTTCTCCTCAGTTGTGAGTTTGTTAACCCATTGCTTCGCTTTCTTCAGGGCCGTTTCCCAGCCACCAGTGCCGTTTATCTTGGCTGTTTTGTATCAGTGATCTAGTACCTTGCTGAGTGATGAGAGGACAATATTTACTTACGCGAAGGATAAGATGCGGGAGAGTGACCGTATGGGCTTAGGATAGTGGTGTTGAGAGGCTGCACATAGCTGAAAGCAGCGCCTGGATGGTCAATGGGAGCGTTTGGGCAGACTTCCGATCCAAAAGAGGGAGCTGCCAATAGAAGCCATGCTCCTAGTAAAGCCTTGGGTGGTATCATTTTGATACAAGAATCTCGAGGCCTTTCGGTTTAAACTGAACAGAAGCAGGAGCATTCGACAGGGATTGACGGAGGCATTACCCCTCACTTAAATAGGCCTGTTTTCATGGTATCATTTTCCCATTTCCCACCCCAGATGGCTCGGGTTCCACCTCTGGGGTGCTTCGGCCCACAATCGGCGGGATAAGAAGCCTCGTGCCGGGGTCGTCCCCATGGGAAAAGAAGTGAGAGATCGGCAAGCCAAGCGAAGCCACCGTTGAGTTTTCTGTGAGATCTTTAAGCTTCGACATGAGAATACACGGTTTGCCGAATATCAGGAATCTACGGAGTGTTATTCTTGGACATTTCGGGATACCGAGTTCTTTGTTCAATATACCGAGTGCGGTAGCAGTCTGAGAGACACATAGTATGCTGCCCAGGCGATGCCTCATTCCTGTCTGGGGACTACCGGGGTTCTCTGGCAATGTGGAGCAACTTTCTCCCACATTTGCACTAAATGTTTGCAACACTAGTATGAAATGTGATGTCGAAGGATCCTGGAAGTGACGTGGGAGTACTTCTGGTCTATGGAGTCCCGGATCAACTTCGGCTAAATCCACAGGCTTGATTCGGCAATTTCCATGCCCGATATTCAAAACCACGGAGTTCAGGCCTATATTGTGAATTGAAATGATATCATGGCGTAAATAATGATAATATTTGGTCTACTGATTGGTACAAATCTTATGTTGATCTTAGCGCTAGGCGGTTTACCTTCCTAATCAAGATCAGTCGGAGACACCCCGAGATTCACCCACGGAAATTTTCCCCACAACATCACACCCCACGGAGAGACGGCTTTGCACTCTCGGGACCGATATGCCGAACGGACTACTAGTACATACTGTAGCTGATTCTTTCCATTAATACTGAGCGAGGACCCTGATTAGCCTATTCATAACAGCAGGAGCTTAGGTGGCCGACGGGTTAGCATAAGGGGTCGGTTCAAGTTATACGCCTAGAGCCTAAAGGGAAGTAGAAGTAGGCAACTAGGCTCTGGCAGATAATAAGTGAGAACCTGGTAACCTTGGAATGAATTTCAGATTAGGACACCCAGGCCTGGAAGAAGTACAACATTTAAAGCTTGAGCTAAGTAGTATGACTTTGTCAGTCTGATCAGAGTACAGAGGTCTATAACGGCCACGCGGCCAAATCCCATATTGCGCCGCCTGGAGCACATTTCACTAGTATCACCATACCAAGTGTTTAAATTTCAAATAGTACTACGGGTACTACTAATACCTAGTAGTAGAGCCCATGGATTCAATGTTTGTGGCAAATCTGTGGCGCTCAACATCATCATGATAACATTTGAAATATCATTGTAATTTCTAATGACCTTCTAAAAATTCAAGTAATCCCCCTCAAGTGATTTTACCATCTCTCTCATCAACTGAGGCTTTGGGGTATTGAATTGGGTTCTCTTTCATCTGATCCTGATTGTTATATGCCCCAAGTCATACATCCCAATGGCACCAGTGGATCCTAATACGGGACCTTCAACCGAATCAGTACCCCTTCCTCCAGTGGTAGACCACAAGATCATCGTTAAACCACACAATCATCCGGAGTCCCTTCCAACAAATACCGGGGAGAAAATATCAGAGCCTGGGTCGACTGGAAAGCCTACTGGGAATGAAGCAACACAACCTATTCATGGCGCAGCTCTGATCAGACCAACTGCATATCCAATATCAGCCCCGGATGTCCCTCTTGAATGCGACTTAACAAGTCATGAGCCTAAAGAACCATCCACAGAAAACCAGCTTCAAAAAATCCCTGATATCGAAACTCCAGATGAACCGTTGGATGAAGGAGCACTACCGAGAGCTGTGAGTTATTTCGTGATTCAACCTGATCAGGCTGATCTTCCAAAGAACTCTGCAAATATCCGTGATGTATAAATCTCCATCACAACCCAGTACGATAAAAATGGATTTTTGGATGACAATGGCTATCTTGTTGAGATAGGAGATGATGGAAAACCAACATCACTAGGTGATGCTACCCTCTTCACAGCATTAGCTGTTGTCGCTTTGGCGACTGGGAACCATAAACCAGATGGATGGGAAACGCACGCCAACGCAAACATAACAGGGTTTCTCAATGTGCTTCTTGAGAAGAGTTGGGGGAAAACCGATTTCGTTCCTAAGGGTCAAATCTCGAAAGGAGAGGATCACCCTATTCGCCATCCAAATTTCCTGGAATGGGATAAAGCGGGTCGAAGCAGTTATAGACCCTTATCGAAAGATTCCTTTGGTTCGATCGTCGAAGCTTGTTATTATTCATACAGTGGTCCAAATAGCTCTGCAGAAGTCCGAAATCTTGCCCAAACTCTGCTTACGAAGTGGCTTAATTATCTGAGTGAACATAGGTGGATGTTACATACAAATTGGAGTGGAACTGAACTTGAAGAAGTCACTTATAATAGTGAGACTCTTGAGAAAGAGAATCAGAAACTCACGGTTGATGGGTTCATGCTTTGGCCTCATGAGTTATATGCTTTAAAGGATTGCGCGCTCTCCCTCTCTGTTTCGCAGTCCATCCCAATCCCTTACCTCGATTCGGTGCTTGCATTGCAAAGTGTCCTCGAGAAGGGATTTCCAGATTTCGTGACGAAGCTTTCAAATAGTTTCGCGGAGGCTCTTGATACTATCCTTGGTTACTTAAATTATGGTCAAACGTTTGATTATAAAGTCATCCCTCGCTGGCGTCGAAGTGCAGTTAAGGGGAAGTTCAGGTTGGGCATTGATGCGAATCAAAAAAAAGGTCATCTTGCAATCTTTTGAAGCAGCTTTCAAGAGCCTCTTTTTGAATAATGCTGCGATGTTCCGCGATATTTCCATGCTCAAACTTGGATTTTCGACCACAATCACGAAATGTATTGAGCGGATATTAGGTTTATTCCCTCTTGAATTCAAGCATTTCTCGGTCCTGGATTACATTCAATCACTGTTCAAGCAGATGCTTCCCTGGTTTGATCCCGAGATTCTTACTGAATTTTATGCCTTCGCCAAGGTGGCTTTCTATACCATGTTTTCCAAAAAGGACTCCGATATTGGGTACACGGTGTGGAGCTTCATAATTGTGTCCGAGTGTCGACCAGTCCTGATCTATTGGCTCCTCCCACTAGTGTCAGGTGTTTTTGAGTTAATCTCTTCCCGTGGAAATCCGAATGGCATATGGGCGTGGATAGCTCATAAGAAGAGTGTTCTCGAGGACCAGATTCACGTTTTCGAGAATAGCCACATCAACCAATGGAAGTACTATGCGTATACGAAGAACTACTCTCAGTGGCTTAAAGAGGATGTGAACGCAAATCCTGACCAACATAATCCCGGCTCCTCGCGATTGGACTACCTTCTCTTACATGGACTTGTTGAAAAAGGAGTACCGATGCCAGGCAAGCGCGCAGAACTAGATCTGAAGATCTTGTGGGCGGGATTCAAAGCATGCATTCAAGCAATGATCGATGATGCCGTGGCGAAATTCAAAGAACTTGGGAAACTCGAGCGACAATTCGTCGACTTGGCTGGTAATACCGTGTTGGAAGTTATCAGCCAGGTTGAGGGATTTTCACGAAGTATCTGGAAAGCAGGGAAACAAACAAGCCGATTATTACATCATCTTGCTGGCGAGGTTGCATACATGGCTTGGGACGCAGTGAGCGGATCGCTGACACATTTTATGAGATGGTCAAAGGCTCAAGCAGATCTCACAATGAAACTCGAAGACCTCGTTGACTTCCAGCTGAGAGATGTTCTAAGCGGATCGAAGGCTGTATGGAAGTGGGCGAACGGTGCACTTGATAGCTTCGTTGGGTATGCCATCACATCCATTAATGGAACTGTGGCGGATCTGCAAAATTGGACTGTCAAGCAAATTCGCTCGGCTGAGGGTGTGCTGAAACAGTGGACTAAGGTTTCTGGGACTTTGCTGTCTTATGCGGTTTGGAATAATGCGTCTGGACAAGGTCTTGCGAAAGCAGGGAGTATGATTCTTCATGATATCAAGGATCCCTCAGGTCCACTCAGAGAGTGGATTTTTGAGGCTGGAATTGGGTTGAAATCTTTCAGGGCGTGGAGTAAATCCACGGATGATTTGGGGGCAAATGCCCAAAATATATGTAAAGTGAGTTTATTATGTTACACTCTGCTGTCCCATAGTATTGATATCACTCACTGAATTTCCTTTTTCAGAATGCCGTACGGGATGCAGTCGGTGGACTCACGCTGATTGAAAAGGATGGAGAACGACTGATCCGCAGATTGGTCTTCTCTAGTTCAACACCTGAAGGCATAGCAAAGTCGGCACAGTGTGTGATGTACCAATTTCGCTCGTTGGATGCCAAAATAGAGCAATGGGACATCGACGAAGCAGGAACAAAGCTGTACCGGATATGGGTGAATTCGACCCTGGAAGGGGTGGCCCCAGCAGAGAACTTGCTGAAGAGTGTGGAAAGAAGTGATGGTGGAAAGTTCATCATCCGAAGTTTCAAAGATGGATTGGAGTTTGGTGGACAAGTTGTGGATAAGTTTGGACATGAATTGGAGAAGATCGGCAAAGGTATTGGGAAAGGTGCTCAGGATGTTATAGGAGCAATTGGGGGAGCCCTTGGAGGGATACATCTATGAGCACTAGCCTTCGCAACTTGAATTTACAATAAAGTCTATAATAGTAGGACGAAAATATACCATTAGATAAACAGCATTGCTGAAATGCGATCTTCTCTATCCATCTAGCAGCCATATGCTCTATTCTGCCTGGTGGTACAGTGCACCGAAACAAAGAAAAACAGGTCCAAATTTGACAGGCTCGACGTGGTCTATTGAGTCCTTCAAGACTCGATAGAATGAGCAATTTGCAAAGCAGGGTATATAGAAACCATCGTATCGGTGAGATCAATCCAGGTGTTAACAGAATAGACAACCCCAATTGACTCAAAAGATACACAATGTATACTTTTGTAGAGTGAAGGAAAAGTTTGAGATGAACGAGTTTACTCGTCGCGCATCTTGCGGAAGAAGTCCATCATACCAGTGAAGACGACCAGCAAGATACCACCACCGGGTCCGAGACGCAGGACCTTAGGAATGAAACCCTTGTACAGGGCGCCGAAGCCCTCCTCCTTCATGACGGTGCCAACGGCAGGCCAAGCCCAGTTGTACTTGGGGGTCTGGCCGGCGACCTTGGTGGTGTTCTGGATACGGGACTTAACAACGTCCATGGGGGTGTTGAGAAGGGTACCAGCAACACCACCAATGGAACCAGCAATCAAGTCATTGCGAGTCTGCTGACCCTTGTTGCCGGGCTCGGGCTTGGGCAGCTGAGCACGGACCTGGAAGATACAGCCGAAGTAACCAGCGTTCCAGAGAATGTGACGCCACAGGGTAGACTCGAGACCGTTGTACATGGCCATAGGACCCTCGGTCTGGACAATCTTCTTAACAACATCCAGCATGCCGTTGTACTTACCAGCAGAGGCCTTGTCCTGCAGACGAATCTTGACCAGCTCGAAGGGAACAACAACGAAGGCCTCGGTGGCACCGGCAGTGGCACCGGTCAGGGTAGCCAGACCCTGGGTCTGCTTCTCAACGCCGAACAGGTTACGGTAGAAAGAACCCCAGCTGTCGTTGGCAGCGAACTTGGTCGCACGCTTAGGAGCCTCCATCAGAATGGGCGCGGAAATACCACGGTAAAGACGGGAGAAACTGTGTTTCGGTGTACGGATTAGCATTAGTCGATAGTCTCGGACACAATGCCGATCATGGCAGCGACCTATGGTGCGATAAAGACTAACCCCTCAGTCTTGATGATCTTCTTGAAGCAGTCGACCATGCCATTGTAGTGCTCGGCACCAGCGACCGGGGCTCCGGTCTGCAGCTGACTGTGTGGAGATGAGATGTTAGTGTCGTGTGCTGCATTCGGCAATTCTCCGATCGGGGAAGATCGTGCTTACACTCGAGTCTTGACCACGTCCAATGGGTACCTGTAGAGAGCGCATTGTTAGTTAAAGTCATCGAAGGTGTTTAATGACTAGATCAAGTCCAAATTTCGAGGAATCTTGCGTCGGGACCGTGCAGATGGGATGGAAGCGGAATCATACATAACCAGGATCTGTTCGTGCGGGGATACACATTAGTCACTGAACACATGCGGAGATAAAACAAGGGTACGCATATAGCTTTGGAAATCAAATTTCCATTGCAAATAGAGCTCATTCATACCTCAGAGACACCGGCCACCGCACCGGCGGCGAATTGGTAAACGAAGGGGAGGGGCTGCTGCGGCTTGTCGGACATGATGGCGGCTAGGTTGACCTGCAAGGATCAGTGTAAGTGGGAGTGATTAAAGAGAAGATCAAGATGAATATGAAGCCACGTTAAGACAGCTATCAAGATCCAAGTAAATATTAATATTAGGGTTAAAAAATGAAAAATGACCTACCAAGTGTGATGATACGAAGAAACACAGAAGTGATGTCGGCGAGGGTCGGAACCTTGACAGGAACGAACAGCCGGGTATTACTAACACTGATAAGTCCCCGTGGGGATTTCGATTTTCCACTTATACAATAACTCTTAACCACACCACCACCATACTATTAAACACATAATAATCATTGAATTCACCCTCAATTTCCTTCCTTCACTCTTTGCTGTCGCTTGTTCCTTCACAATTGTAGTCTTGGATGCAGGAGCTGTACAGCTTCCTCCACAAGTCCAATCTAATGGACAGCATCCACCGCCCGCGGTATCGGCGCAGCTAAACCAGCCCTTGGCGCATTTACCCGTAATCTCAGTTCCACCTGTCGTCACCGGCTCAATAATCGTCACTCCGTTAGAAATGAACGTTGTGGAACGTGTCTTAGGACATGAAGTCGTATCGCAGTCTCGTCCAGTCTGACAACAACCACCTTGGTAAACAGCTGAACAGGCATAGAATCCTGTGGGACAGACATTCACGCGAGTAGTTGTTGTATGAGTGGAGGTACTTCGGCCTGTAGGTCGGGCAGGCGGTGCGAGACTATTTGCAGTGCTAGTGTTGCACGTACTCGAGGAACTTGGAGGATTCTGAGGGACAGTCGAGTATGTCTTTGTAGAGAGTATGACTGTAGAATGGACTGTGACTGTGATCACAGATACGAAGGCGCCTATTCAGGGTAGAATGGTTAGACAGTGTGCTTATGACAAAAGCAAATATCGAATATTTTGAGGCTAGACAATACTCACAGCCACCAGGAACACAATGGTATCCAGCGATGCAACAACCGCCTCCCAATGCCTCAGAGCAAGTTGTCCAGGGACTCGGACATTGTCCGACCACATTCGAACATCTTTGTCCATTCGGACAGCATCCCACATCGCCTGATCCTGTATCCTTCACGTGTTGACATGTATCACCAGTACTGCAGCACCGATCAGATCGTCCAATCGACTCGCAAGCATAAGTCCCAGTAGGGCACTTAAAGTCTCTGGGTCCAAATAGACTCCTGCGGTTTGCTTCCCAAGGAAATGAAGGCTGAAAAGGGAATGATCTTGGAATTAAGATATCTGACGAGGCCTGCTCTTCGACCTTGGAAGAGTTGCTAAATGATGTTTGGTCCTCGTCCAAACCACGGTCTGATAGGCCCTGTGAGTCGTCGACAAAGCTCCAATAATCCAGAAAGAACTTTTCCCCCTCATCGTGGCTCATTTTGCGCACGCCATGAACAGGCGTTTCTGATAGCCTGAATTCGATATCAGCATTGTAGGAGAGACTTTCTGGCGACTGTAGGGTGGTTGTAGCTGTATTCGCGTCATGATCCGATTCCAGAGAAGATCTTGAGTCTTGGTTCATGGAAAAGACTGTAGGTGGGAGGATGAGCAATGAAAACAGGCAGCTTTTGAACTGCATTTCGGCGTTTGTTGACCAAAAGGGTAAAATCAAAACATGGATTGATCGGATGTATGACAGAGACTGAGAGGGTTAGTAGTAAGAAGGGATATCTGAATCTTGTGAGCTGTGGTTACCTCTTAGCTCAGAGTTGATCCGATATTCGACAAAAAAGAGAAAAAGTGTGTTGCACAAAGGGTTAGGCGATTGTCTTGGATTGTTGGTCTTGTTTGGGACCAGACTGATGGTTGACTTGATGGCTCACATGCGGCAAACCTGGTCAGGTTTGCACATGCCGCTTAAAATATTGAGATTTATGGAACAGCAAACTCAAGATAAAAGCATTATGGTCTCATTTTTGATCACTGTCAACATGATGGATCATTTTCTTGGATATGAAGTAGAAGTACTTTCTATGGGTGTCAATGATATCCGCCTGACTAGGAATGAAAGGAAAAGTTTAGGAATTGAAAATTCAATTAACTAGTACACTAAAAACACAAGATATTACCCGGGCTCCAACTCCACGCTGCGCGAATGAAAAATCTGGGAAACAGACCACTGAAGTGGCAGGGTATCGTCAATGATGACAGGCAATGCAGGGGTACATGGGAAAGGAAACACGCCGCAGGAATAATCGGGAAAATGCCATGAGATGGGCCCTTCGTAAAATGAAAAACACACGCAAAAGGCAAATCACAAAACAGAAAACATGGGAACATCAAATCGGAATCAAAATGAATCATGAGATGAATCGGGTTCTTAGATAGATCCTGGTTCCGGTTGGCTCTCGCCGTCCGTAGACTCATGAAGACTGGTCACTTCCTCTGCGCTGGTAACATTCACGGCTTGCTCGTCTTCAGTTGCTGCATCAGTAGAGGCAGCTTCGTCTTCGGGTTTCTCTTCAGCGGCTGCTGCAGCTGCAGCCTCCGCCTCTGCTTTCTCCATCTCCGCATTGCGGGCCTGCTGTCGATCCCAGACCTCCTTTCGAATGCGATCATCTTTGGCATTTCGGAGTCGCTCAGCTTCCTCAACACCACCACTCTTCTTCAATTTGCCCTCTTCCACAAAGGCGCCAAGCTCCTTCTGGAAGAGACCAATACGTCGGGTCTCCAGCTCAATCTTTCGAGCCTTCTCGGCTCGCTCAATGGCCTCAATGCGGCTTTCGTGGTTAGGCTGTAGGGCGCGAACTTCACCGAGAAGATCATCCTTGGCCTTCATAGGGTCGACAGTGGGATCAATTCCAAGGGTCCGGGAGGCGGCACGCAAAGTTGGTGCACCGGGAATACCGTTGGCCTTCTCCATAGCCTGTTCCTTGGTCGCTTGCTCGACCAAAGCGAAAGTCTGCGCAGCCTTCTCAAGATCGTCTTGCAAGTCGGCAGCCAAGTCTTCCTGCATAGTCAACTGATCACGCTCCTCGCAGACCAACTGCAATTCTTTCTCCCAGATCTTGGTCCAGATAGGCTTCTCGCGACCAAGGAAGTCTTGCATTTTCTTAATCTCTTTCATGACATTGCTGATGTCTCGGCTCACGCCCTCTAACTGTCTTGGAAGGGGTCGCACGCCACGTGTAACCACATCCTTGCGAAGATCTTCAACCAAGTCCTGGAGATCGTCCACTCGTGCGACCAGTCGTTCAGATTCGTCCGCAAGTTCTTTCTTGCCGGTATTGACACGGGCGCGACCGGCATCGCCCTCATAGGTTGGCACTGCGACATCCTCGGCGGCAGTCTTGACTTGACTTGCTTTCTCCCGAACAGCGCTCATCGAACTAGCAACATCGGCAGTGAAGTTTGAATAGGTTTGGCGCAGAACAGCGAGGTCCCGGCGTAGGCTTTGGAGCTCTGCAATCTGATTCCCAGTTGCTACAATAGGTGCCTTTGCTGTGTCAGAGCCGCTAGCACTTGAGTTGGGTGTCGAGGGAGTGGAGGCCAGGCGAGCCATTTCTTTGGCGGTTTCGAGCTGGCGGTCGGAGACTCGTTGGATGGCCTTACCCTGACCTGCCAGAGACTCTTTCACACTTTCGACCAATGCGCGGACGCCCACGAAACTGTCATCGAAATGCTTTTTGACTTCATCCAGATTATCCACATTCAGGACAAGGACTGAGCGGTCCTTAACATCGTTCAAATCTTCCAATTCATGACGAATACCGGAAATTGGGTCTTGAATGTAAATTTCAGGCAAATCTGCGCCATTGTTATGCGTGTTCCAGGCAAATTTTTCAATGAAAGCAAGTTGGAGGCGACCAATGGTAAGAGCAGCAATGCCCTCAGTCAAGACATACTTCTTGATCTTAGTCTTGTACTGCAAAAACAGCGTCAATTCCTTTCCTGGGGATGGCTGTTCCGTCGAATACTGGGGAACTGAGGGAGGAGTGGCGATATTGGCTGGTTCTAGGCGAGATGCTCTCGGTGTCTCTGGGCGCATCCCAGCAGCAGGACTAGCACTCTTCTCGGGATCAAACGCGTCACCTAGAGAGGGCCTCTTTGGTGGCTGTGGGAAGACAGGAGCTTCTTCAGTTTCGGGGAGTCCCTCAGCATCATCCTTGGCTGGTTTTTCAGGCTTTTGTCTGCTGGATTGAGGAGCCTCCGCATCTTCATTTCCAACTTCAACAACGGTTTGCGGGGAGGACTCATTTGATTCCTCCTGCACTGCCTGAGGAACAGCAGCCGCAACCTGCGCATGTCCGGTTTTGGAACTTTCTTGCAGACTTTTAGAAGACCGTTGTCGGGTATGCGTGTATGATCCCCGCAGACGGACAGCATTGAGTGATTCACGAACATCTCGGCCACGGTTAGGCACTGGGGAGTTCTGGGTGGGGAGAACAGGAACCCCGTTTGACGAAGTTCCCAGGTGCTTTTGGATTTGATATGCGGAGAAACGGCGCGAAGCTCGTCGTTCCAGCTCTCCACTTCGCTGCAAAGCACCAAGCGCATCATCTTGCTTAGGAGGTGGTGGAGGGGCTGGGAAGTTGGGAGGAGCTGAGGGTGGTAGGTGAGAATTGGGTGTAGCTTCCAGCGATGGCTGGGTCAGGGTTTGTTGGGCCTCTCGTCTTGATGCATCCCGGTCTGCATAAGTGCGCGCATCGCTTGGCACAGGTGGAGAAGTGCGATGTACCGTCTGTGGGTCCTCGAGAGATCCGTTGCTACCGTAACGACGTCCAGACCTTCTTGGGGATTGGACATTGGGCTGGGAAGACGCGGTCGACTGGGGCAGAGTAGAAGCAACGGTCTCCTCATACAGTTGACCCATATTGCTCTGGCTCGTGGTGGCAATGCTCCCTGTGCTGGCCTGTCGTCCAGGAAGTCCACGGGCCTCTTCTCTCTGTCGCTGTGTTCGAAGGCGTGCCTGCTTCTTCTTCAAGCCATGCAGTAAAGTGATAATGATATCACGGATCTGAGGCAGGTATTTATCCAAACTTGTTGCAGATGCATCCTGACTAAGAGTATCTTCCAGGATTGTGCGCAAAACATCTGGAACGGGACCCAAATCACTTGTTTCAACCCCGATGGCATTGAAGGCGCGACATGCCAGGTTAAACTCATACCCCAGGCGCACATACACGTCGGACACTTCAGTTTCGGAAGCCTGCTTTCGTGACCATTGTGTTAATGATTCAAGGAGTTGTTTGGTTGCCACGAGTAGATGGGTCACGCTTTTTTCGATTTGTGAGATCTGTCTATCAGCCTATATCGAGCAGAAAGCGAGAGTATGGTTAGCTGATTTGCGACCTTAACCTAACACACACAAATCACTTACCCCAGACCTGCTCGCTTGTGCGCGACCAGATGTGGATGAACTACGACCTGAAGGAGAAGCCATAACATCAACTTCGTCCCCTTGGAAAGTGACGAGGTTGTTATTTCCAACAAGTCGTTTGTTGACACTGATAAGCGATGACGGGGAGGGGAGAAAGAGAGAGACCCAGCCTCCCGCCTTCGGACGGAATATACTGCCGTGAGTGTTGGGCGGTGAGGCAGTGACGGCTCCATTCATGTGCCCCAGGTAGCTAACCTTGGATTAAGGCCATCACCTGGAATTACTAGGTGTAAGTTGATGTATGGTAAGTAAACCTATGGTTTCAAAACAGTTCCAAGGTTTGGGACAAGATCTATATCCATGGATGGAAATTATCAAAATAGACCTCCGGATATTCATATGTATTGGATTCGGACAATTCCTTCAAGTTCAGATGAATAGATTAGATTTTTAACCAATTTAGGATGATATGTGCATATACCTGCTGTATAGGGTGTAATACAATCCGGGCGCGTACAGGTCACACTATTCTGCATGATTCTACAATAGATCTCCAGGCCTATTGGATCTGCGGCATACATGTATAGCACATTAGTGTCTAACTTGGTTAGCTTCAGGTAGCCCTCGGCAACTCCCGTTCTTACCTTTACCCACTTCTTTTGGTGGCCTTTCCAGAATTCTTCTTTACGAAAGATATATTGATCACAGAATCAGGCTTGTCCTTTTGGGATGTGTTGAATGGGATGAATGGGATGAATATTTCCATGTAGATAATTTTTTCGCTTTCTGGCGCAGAAATAAGAAATACATAGAGTAGCATATGATCTTTAGGAGTCTACGGGATAGAATATTCTAATATTGGGCGTCACCGTTCGTTATCCTGCAGGGCGCCTCGCTTATTCCCACTGGCAACATAGTGTATGATGATAGGTAGAAAAAAGACAGCTGTGAGAAAATTACGCACATTACTGAAGTTGTATTATTGGGTTCACAGAAAAAAGAAATATCTGTGGTTTAAAATATTCTAAAGAATAGTAATGCTCGTCCAAGTTCTTATTCTTATTGGCTTTGTTTAGCACCCTACTGCAACACTTGTCTCATTTCAACACGGTTGGATGAGTATTCTAATTTTAAAATATCCCTTGCAACTTGAACTTCCAAGTTTAGAATATATGTAGTGCTCTTCACTAATACTCCCTCTACTCTTCTGTTTTCAAATATTATTAAAGAACATCATATTTTGATCGGCAAAAGGTTAGATCCAATAATCGGATAATTAATCCCTGGCCCACTTCAGGTATACTGTACTCCACATAGAGTACCCATGACCCAATCTACCACCCACCAACTTCAAACATGAAACTAGGTATTCCATGCCAACTTGAAAATATTCAAATTTGAAGAAATACCCAGCTCTTTGCACTTGTCATTTCCTCTGCAGAATATACAATAGAAGTCAATACTACAACTCAACTTATTTTTTTTCCATATCCTGGTACTCTGAGTCCGAGGCACAGTGCCAGTGTTAATATATACATTTGGCCTTAGGCTCATCCTTAGAATGTAGTAGTAGTACCGACTCGGAGCCTCAGGTTGTCAACATAAGCTATTCATCCACTGGCATGGATGTAAATTGCCCAGGTGTAGGGTGCAAAGACCTAAGAGACGGGTGATCAAGTGCACACATGCATGTGGAATGATGAATTGACCTTGGAATGAACGAGTGCTCCGGGGCTGTGTGTATGTATTGGTGTCGGAAATCGGAAATGATACAACAAAAGAAAACCAAAACAGAGGATATCTGCCAGCCCTGGAGATGATTTGTCTCGAAACATGTCAATTCAAATCATAAAATTTGTACCCGTGGACATATTGCTCTTGCGAGATCAGGATAGCAACTTGAAGCCGAGAAACATAATTGACCGAGATAAATTGATCATACGCGAGCCAGATCGAGGTCCTTATCGGCCAACTTTTTTTTGAACGTGAATCGCAACTAAAACCATGGCGGAATCTTAGAAGAGGAATACATTAGTATAGACACATGTTCAAATATCGAATGTTGTGTTGAAATGCGTTGGACACCTGCACCTGGTGGTCTATATTATTGCCAACAGAGCCTCTGAGGCTAGTACATTGGGAGACTCATGGATAATATCAACAATGATAGACATAAACTGGACGGCACAACCTGCAAGACAAACCAACATATAATGATTTGAAGTGCTTCAAAATATGGCGGATATGGAGCGGTCAGGGTTGCTCCAAGAAAGGCCCATTCGGCGTTGAGCTGCCTGCAAACCCATCAAGATCCCCAAGCGAGACACCATGTGACCTTTCGACTTCAATACATCGGGCTACATCAGGTTCTATCGCTGTTACAAGCCCTGCAGAACCCATTACCTATTATCACTCTTAATAATGAGCACTCCAGAACCTTGGAAATGGGTCAGTAACACGCCCCAGCCGGAGCATAGGAGTTGGACTACGTCCGAGTTGTCGCTTCGTTCGCACCCGTGAACTCTTCAGGCCGTGATGCCAGGTGCTGATTCCAATAAACATGTTCAGATCAACCTTGCTTATCAATGATGTGGACTTCGCATTGCTAGTGCTTGCTAGTAGATGCTGTTTCTGTTTCATGGGAGGGGTAGCGGTTAAGCTTGGGTTGCACTGTGATGGAAATTGAAATAATTGGATCTAGTCATTTTTCACTATTACTACTAGTAGCCGCCCAGATGTTCCTGGTGGCTATACTATGGATCATTATATAGTATAGGGATTCTAATATGGAGGGAGGTTCACATGTGTATGTACTGCCAGTGGTGGAATCCACCCGTGGGGTGGCAGTGTATTGATAATACACAGATTAATACATCGATACGGTTTAGTATTGTTAAGAATTGGACTGGGGTCGGGACCCAAAATATATAAAGCCAAGCTAAACCCCGTAGTGACAGCAAGAAATACTATGACTCTAAACTTCGATAAGTGTGTATGACGTCTGTCTGAAAATTTAAGATCCTAACAGAATTCTCATCTCAGTGAAGTTTTCAAGTGATAAAAATATATAAACGTAGAAATTAATAATCATTTGTGATCAATAAATTAGCGAGGTTTACAAAGCTCAAGCATTACATCAATCACCCCGGGCCCCATACATGCCGATTTGGGGGGAGGATCCCGCACCAGGGTCGCACCCAGTACCGTACATTACCAACTTCTCCCACCTGACTTGCCTTTTTCCCCAAAACAATTCCCCTTTGAATCCCCCCTCCCCTCCAGGTCTCACACCTCGACCTTTCCCAACCTTCCATTGATCCTCCCACTTTGTGTGTGTGGTCTTGCTTCTACTCTCGTTTCTCCCCCTCCTTCCATCCCCGTCCTTATTGCGCAGGCGGTGTGAGGTGGCCGAGTGCCTCATCGACGCGGACCTTCCCGTGTGAAGTTCCACGACCGCCAGCCTGCCCTGACTTGATCATCCAAGTCAATCAATGGCTTCCACTCTCAACTCCGTGCCAGCTGCTAACAGCTCATCTGGCAATGCTGTTAACTCACAGAATCCTGGTCGTCCCTCACTGAGGTCCAGCGCCAGCGCTAAGGGGGATGGCCGCCGCCAATCTGGCAGCCCCGGAGATGGTGGTCAGCGGTATGTTCCTCCCTTCAAGAGCTTCTTGTCCCCCCCCACATCAGCGGTCTCCGCTAGTCCCAACAGCCCACTTTCACTTTTGTTTCCCCGCGCATCTGAGAGCAAGTGAGATGAGGATGAAGGTCGCATTTTCTTCTTGCCCTGATCCCTCGATGTATAATATGCACGTGCCCTCCTGTGTCTCTGTGTTGGCTAGCTAGACGCGCGATCAGGCATTGGGTTCTTATCAACAACCAATTGCAAATCGCGGGTTTCAGTCTGCGATTTGATTCTCTATTTCCATGTCTCACTTTTCTTCCATGATTCTCCGTTGCACCTACTGACCAAAGCATGTTCTACTGCATAGGCGCACAAATTCCCACAAGGCCTGGACCCAAGGGACCAACCCCATCACCCAACGCTCCTCACACGCTTCGTCCAACGGAAACATGTCTCGACAGTCAGGCTCTCCTCGGCCGAACCAAAAGGAGTCGAACACCCCCGAAAACCACGCTCATGACCGCCTGGTCTTCTTATTCGCCAGTTTTATTGTATGATCGATTTTTCGATCGTGGATACTACACAAGAGTTACTAACATGTATTTCAGGGCCTGCACACCGCTATAACCACAAAGAACGGGGACAAGTATACAGGTATCTTTTCTTCTTCAACCTTGGAACCCAGCGAGTCATCCTTCTCCCTCAAGATGGTGCAACGTGCCTCAGACGATAATCAGTCCAAGACAAATGGCGTGAGCCAGGCCGCCAGTCCATACCTAGGTACTGGGATTGATCACGCTATGGCTTTTGATATCAGAGATATTGCCGATATCTCTGTACCGAATGTTGTCCCGGCACAGGTCTCTGTCAAGGAATCAAATGGTAAGAAACAAGCTAACTGGATTCGGTGTTTATATATATCCTTGCTAATGTGGTTCCTTTTTAGGAACGGCCGGATTCAGAACTGACACTGATATCTCCGGACACCTTGCGGTCCGCGAGCGCACACTGCAACGTTGGGAACCAGCTGAGACGGATATTGACTTGTCCCTGGAAAGTGCCGCTGGCAACTCCTCCGGCTGGGATCAGTTCGAGGCGAATGAGCGTCTCTTTGGTGCAAAGACGAACTACGACGAGAACATTTACACGACTGTCCTCGATCGCTCAGACCCAGCTTTCCGCCAGAAGCAAGTTGAGGCTGCCCGGATTGCCCGCGAGATTGAAGGAACCGATGTTGATAATCCCCATATGCGCGAGGAAAGAGGTCTCGTGGCTCCAGCCACTGGTGACGACGACGAAGAGGCCAAGTACAGCGGTGTTCAGCGCGAGAACAAGGCTTTCCCACCACTTCTTTCTGGACAGCCAAACAAGTACACACCCCCAGGACGCCGACAGGCAGGCGGCCCTGCGCCTCCAGCCAAGCAACCCGTATCTGCCACCACCACTCCCACTCCAGCAGTGCCTCAGGCGAAAGAGGCGAAAGAGCAAGTTGCCCCGGTTGAGAAGCAACAGACACCGGCACCCATCAAACCTTCTACCGAAGTTGAACAAAAGCCCGTTCCCGCCAATCTGCCTCCAACTCCTCTTCCGACTGCAGCCCCCGCTGCAAAGCGCCCGATCCCTGAAAATGCGACTGCGAATGTCGAAACTGAAGTTCTTGATCATTTCCGTCAGTTCGCAAACAACGAGAAATTGAAAATGCAAGAACGTCGCCGCAATCAAGCCTCTTACGACCGGACTATCAAGTTGAATGAGTTGATGAAGTTCTCCAAGAACTTCAAGCTGTCGACACCCGTTCCCAAAGATTTAGTACCTATATTGGCCAAGGATCCTCACAAACAAGAGGCCATCATCCAACGTGCTCACACGCAAGGAGACGTCAAACCTCCCACCAAAGTTACAGCCCAGGTTGCCGAGCAGAAGTCCGCAGCACGTGCTCCTGTGCCAACTGGACCAATCACGCCTGCTGCACCTTCCGATCGCCAGAATTTCCGTGGCCGACAAGGGTATCTCCCCACTGGTCCACTTGCTGGGCCAAGTGGCCGCTTTCCCCAGCAGCAGCAAATGCAGCCCGGTCGCCCAGGTACAGGTACTCTGAGTGGCCGTCTGGCCGACAATCTACAGCAACGGAAGGGAGGCATCTCGACGGCCCCTGTTTCGGCGCCCATGCCTATTCAAGATGCTCGTGGACCTCCTACTGGACCTGCCAGTGACCAACCACGAGTAACCAGCCCTGTGAAATCACAGACGACACTCAACCTATCTGCTGCATCGAAGTTTAACGTTCGCGCCATGGAGTTCAAGCCCAACCCGGCTGCTAGCACATTTACCCCCGGTGGTCCTTCTACTGGAGCACCTGCTGCCAGCCCGCGTGCTTTCTCGCGAAATCGCTCAATCTCACGGGCGACGACTCCGTCTGCATTCTTCGGAGTCCGGAAGCCACTCCCCATCTCGGAACGACCATCTATTGATGATCAGTTCAACCCGATCAAGCGCATGAAGAAGGAGAGCGGAGACTCTACTGAGAAGCCCTTCATTTTCAACGGTGGTATCCCGCCGCCATACAAAACCCTGCCAACGTGGGATGTCCCCGAAGGTAATGAGGAAAAGACTTATGATCAGATGTTCAAGGTTCCCTTGGCCGTGCCTACAGTTTCTCCCCAAGGTCGCCCTGCGTCCAACAACCCCCACTTGCCTCAGCAACATCAGATGTCCTTCCAGTTCCAGCAGGGCAACCCAGGCATGCCAGCCTCGTCTGGGCCTCCCAATGGTCCACATGTCCATCACCCTGGCCCTCATGTGGATGAACACCATCATCGCATGCAACTTTCTGCATCCTCGTCTCAGGTCTTCCCGTCACCTCGTATGCAGCAAAGCCATTTGGGATATCCTTCCCCTATGGCGCCTCCAGCGCAGCTCGCGTTCGGGCAGCCGATGCCACAATTTTATGGAGGCCCGCAGCCAGGAGGTCATATGAGACATTATCAAGGTAATCATGGACCGCAATTCGTTAACCCCCAAATGGGAGCTCCTATGATGGTACAGCAACCCTCCAACGGTCCTTATATGGGAGTTCCCCAGGGAATGTCGCCGTACAATCCCCAGATGCAGATGTACTCTCCTTCTCCTGGCCACGCCTACCCTCAGCACGCACCGGCTCAGCCACACAGCGGCTACCCCAGTCCGAGCCGTGGCGCCCCGATGATGATGCACCAAAACTCGCAATCGGGCCAGCCACCTCAGCCCATGATGTTCATGTCTCCTGGCCAACCTGGGTACGGTGGACAGCAACCAGGCCATGGTTAGTATTATCGAACTACTACACCCACTTTTCGCATTGTTTCTGATTGTCGTCTTTTTTTCTCTTTATTTCAGCACCCCCTGGACGCGGCGGTTATCCCCAGCAACAGGCTCATTTCTCCTCGAGCCCTCACCAAGCCCATCATTTCCCTCCGAACCAACAACGTGCGCCCGGCAACAATTTCAACCAAGTACCTCAGATACCCCCTCAAATGGCTTCCAATACTCCTGCCAACTCCGGATCTGGAGCACACCCCGGGGAGGCTACAGATGAAGGCAAATGAAGTGCGTAGTCTGTGGCCAAACCGCGTAGCGCCTCCCCTTTCTGTCAATAATCGTCACCTCGCTTTTGTGACCAGGCGATAATGATGTACGCCAATGGCAATCCTTGTTTTGTCAAACCACCTAGCCTGAACCATCCTGGCTCTCGTCCTCCCTGCTCACTATGATACTTACGTACTGGTGGTGCATTACGTGATGATGCATGCATTTATGAGTTTTGACAGGTATGTTCTTGCTTTTCATATCATGTCATCCCCGACTTTTACTCTAATTACCATTAGCTGCGACGAGTCAACTGACTTATTGTGTGTCTAGCTGTCGTATGACTGGCGTACATGCTAGCCGTACATGCTAGCCAAATATCTAGCACAGCCACTGCCATTGCTATCCGACGAGGCGGCACGTCGCCTCCATATTGCCTGCCTTGCCCATTTTATCGTACCGTTGGCATGGCGAATGGTCTATCAAGATTTGCATTTCTTTCCGGTATTCCCTTTGCTTTTTATTTTCTCGCTTTTTTTCTTCTTTTGGCTGTTGATCCGGAGTGTCTTCCGGCGCATTGGAGAGGACGTTATTAGTCAGCGATAGGCCGTCTTATGCCCTATTCTTAGGCGATTGAGAGGAGAGTTTCTGTGGCTACCCGGTGGGTGTTGCAGCTGAGCAGTGGATGAAGCATAAGTATGGGGAAGAGAATAGGTGGTTGCTAGCTCTACGAGATGCCAATAAGATGATTTATTCCGGCTTATATCTAAGAGCACTACATCGTAGATTCTATCAGAATATCTATTAATTCTATCATGATGAGTAAACTTCAACATATTTCAACGAATCCGTAAGATTATGCCCTAATGTCATGAATATGCCCCTATTGCTGGAGTTAGCCTTATTTCTACCAGTGAAACAGAACATGAAACCACAGATAGTATTGCAGTTTATCTCCTCAGGTCTTTTCAGTTTCATAGAGTCTTCATTCTAGTCCCAGACAAACACTCTCATATCAATGTGATAGAGTGTCCTTGTCAGGTCTTTGGTGTCAGACCTTTTACCAGGATAACATCATCGGAGACGCAACAGAGTCGCTAGGTTGTGTCAGAAGGGTGCTTAACTTACATATCATCTTGAGATAGAGTCAATAAATGCATAGCCATGGATATAGCTTAGTAGTAAGAATACAAGTGGGGAGGCCAGAGGTCACAATACCTCGGAGAATGTCGAAGTAACAGAAAAATGGTTGACTGAACGCGGTGGCCCGCACCACACCAAATAACGCCCCGCAATCCACTCCAGCTCAACATACCCCCGATCTCCCCTATCGCAGTACCGCTCTAACGAATCTACACGCATACGGTCCTTACCTCCCTCTCCAAATCGACTATTCCTAGCCTTGAGCCTATCGGGCCTCACAAATAACCCCCACGACACACCGAACCGGGACAAGCCCAGTCCTCCGTGTCCAGCTATGGACTTCCTCAAATCCGCCGTCGCATCCGCGATCGCAAAGGGGAGCTCACTCCCCTTTTCTCTGGGTGATAGAGTCGATATCGGAGACTCAATCTGGACCTTGCATAACGGTACGAAACGGGTAGGGCAGCTCTGTTGATATCTAGTGTTAGCGACTAGCTTGAACAACATCGCTGATGGGAACTTATTTGTGATAGGATGATAGCTCGGCGTGCAGTGTCTTCACATTTGATATCGCGGCGAATAAGTCACGTCTTCCTCTGGCAAAGAATGCGGTGCGCAAATCTAGGACTTTGCGCCATCCGGGTGTGATTAAGGTTTTGGATACAATTGAGGTATGTGCACTTGTGCTTCTACTCCTCTGCTCTCTTTGCTCTGGATAGGCAGAGGAAGTTTAATTTGGCTATGGATATGAATACTAATTTGATGTCCTAGACCGAGTCGACTCTCTATATTGTTACCGAACGAGTCGTTCCGCTGTCGTGGCAAGTTAAGCGAAGGAGTCTGAGTGAGGAAACAGCGAAATGGGGTCTCTATGCTATTTCGGTAAGGGGTACTTGATTTTAAGCCTGAGATGGAACCAATTCTGACTCGTTCATCGTGTTTCTAGTCTACTCTCAAATTCGTCAACGGAGATGCCTCATCTGTCCATGGTGCTGTGCGCGCCTCGTCGGTCTACACAAGTGAAAGCGGAGAGTGGAAGCTAGGTGGATTTGACGTTCTAAGCTCTATGAAGGAGGACGATGCAATTATATATGTGAGTTTTGGTCAATTGGGAATACTTGTCAGTTTGGAATACTGATGATATTTAGACATACGGAAGCATCGTCCCTGATGCGGCCCGTTATACTCCTCCTGAGGTAGCTAAAGGTGGCTGGGAGGTTATAAAGGGTCACCCTTTGGCAGCAGTTGATGCTTATGGAATTGGAGTCTTGATTTTTGAGGTCTTTAATGGTTCATTCTCTGGTGATCAGATTGGAAAGACCACAAATATTCCCCCAAGTATGCATCAGAGCTATAAGCGTCTCTGTACAGCTAACCCCAAGCTTCGTTTGAGTCCTGCGCAATTTTTGGAGCAGGGCAAGAGGCATGGTGGATTCTTTCAGACGTCTTTGATTCGGTTGACAGAGGATATTGACAGCTTGGGTCTTAAGACTGATGCCGAGCGAGAGGAATTCATTAAGTATGTTTTCTTCCTGGTTCCTTTAAGTGACAGCGCTAACTATGAATAGTGAACTCGATAATTTGTCTGATGACTTCCCTGAAGATTTCTTCAAAATGAAGGTCCTCCCTGAATTGCTAAAATCCGTTGAGTTTGGGGGCGGTGGTCCCAAAGTCTTGAGTGCTACATTGAAGATTGGTGCCAAACTTTCAGCAGATGAGTTCAATGCGAAGTTGACGCCTGTTGTTGTGCGTCTTTTCGGTAACCCTGATCGGGCACTCCGTGTCTGCTTACTGGACAACCTACCCTTGATGATTGATAATCTTCCTCAGAAAATTGTCAATGACAAGATTTTCCCTCAGATGGTGAGCTTGTATGCATCTTTAAGGGTGAAGACTTGCTAACATTATTTATTAGACTTCTGGTTTCACCGATATTGCCCCGGTAGTCCGAGAGCAGACTGTCAAAGCTGTGCTTTCGGTTATCAACAAACTGAGTGATCGAGTGATCAATGGAGAGCTTCTGAAATTTTTGGCTCGAACTGCTAATGATGAGCAACCTGGGATCCGAACGAACACTACAATCTGTCTTGGAAAGATTGCCAAAAACTTGGGAACAGGCGTAAGTACCAGCGATTTACGAATGACTCATTGATACTGACAATTATTTAGACTCGATCGAAGGTTCTTGTCGCTGCCTTTTCAAGAGCTATCCGTGACCCATTTGTACATGGCCGTAATGCTGGCTTGCTTGCCTTGGGTGCTACGATTGATGTCTTTACCGAGGACGATTGTGCTACGAAGATTCTCCCCGCAATTTGTCCAGCATTGTTGGATAAGGAGAAGTCAGTACCAATCATATCCCCTCACGGTTCTATCAGCTAACCTCTTGCAGACTTGTTCGAGACCAAGCAAACAAGACCCTGGATCTATACCTCCAGCGAGTCCGAAAAGTCGGCAGGACGATGGCAGACAGTGTGCTTCCACCCGTTACCACTGCCGAAGCTGCTACTGAGCCCAGCAAGTCTGCCGCTCGAATTGGCACATCCAATGATAACTCCTGGGCAGGATGGGCAATTTCGTCATTCACAAACAAGATTGCTGCCGCGAATGGCGAAATTGAGCCTACCGCCAGTGTCACCAAACCCGCCGAATCCGACAGTACCCGGTCTGCATCTGTGCCCCGCCCCACTAAATCATCTCCTTCTGCACAATTAGACCTCCCCAAACAGAACTTACGCCCCGTTGCCCAGCCACTAGGTCGGTCGTTATCTGACCGCCCTCCTCCGACTGCATATGAACCCCCGGAGGAAGAGGACGATGCTCTAGATGCGTGGGGTGCTATGGATGATGATGACGAAAAGGATGTGGACCCTTTCACAGCAGCTGTGGCTTCTCCAAACTCCTCATCCCCTGATCCGTCCACAACAAACAACTCCTCTACGGTTCCCTATGACGATGGCGGTGAACCCGACTTTGCCGGATGGTTGGCAGCCAAGAGTCAAGCTAAGACCAAGAACCCCTTACCCAAGGGTCTAGGCAAAGTGGGATCTACTCCATCAGCTGCTACTAAACCCTCAGTCAAGCCACGTGTCGTGCCAGCTCCAGCCAACAAGATAGATACCAAGCCCAAGGACGAAGATGAAGATGACGGATGGGGAGATGCGTGGGATTAGTGGCCCGACTTCCGGTTTTTTCCCCTCCCTAGCACGGTCAATTGCGGATTTATTTCTCTCTTATTCGAGAAATTGTACATATGCATGGTACGAATTATCGGGCAACAAGAAAAATAGTGGATAGAGCGGGTCTTTGGAAGGTTCCTTAACGAATAATTTAATATGCATGGTGTTGGTCGATCTCACGGATTCAGCCCTATGGCCCCCGGCTAATATCTTCCTTTTTTCTACCCCGCTATTTAGCCCAGTAACGCTGGCCCCAAATTTCCCCCTGGGATATTATGTGACATTGTCAATTTTTCTGACCTTCTTTATAACTTCATCTTTCCCCCCCCTATACTTATTATAGTGGAGTTCAGTACCTATTACTCGATTCGGTTGCATTCTGTCGTAATCCGCGGGTTCCGTGCTTATCTTATCGGGTACCTCCGCCTTTCTCAACCACTCTCACTCGGACTCCTCAAGTTTCCGACTCCTGAGTGTCTTTAAGGACTTTGGGATGTGGTGGCGTGGATGATCGAGTCAAGGAGTAAGAGAATCCACCCTCGAGAATAGTGTCTATGCCAAGCTTTGTGCACTGACAATCCCTTAGGCATCATAATCTTGCTGCCTTCGAACTGCGAGTGAACCTTATTGTCTTATCGCGGCATGGCTGGGCAGTGACAGCATACCTGAGCTATTCTCCGACAACACGAGACCATTTTGATCGGGGATTAGGTCTATTTTTCCATTTCTGTGCGGGGATTGAAAAAATAATTGTCAAAATGGACCAGGAAGAAGCCCCACCGCCGCCTTACTCTGCTGTCGATCCTTTACTGCCGCCGGCGAATAATAGCAGTGGGGATGCTCAGTCGACATCAGGTCCTGTGCGTGAACATGTCGCAGAGTTACCAGCTGCCGGTAGCTCCCGGATTGTGGACCTTCCTCCATCGACAACCCCTGCTATTGTGCCAACCAATTTTACATCTGCGGTAGCTTACTTCGAGGAGAGGCTCCCATTGGTATCAGATGACAATCGCGGCATTTTGCACCACCACATGACGATATATCCCCGCAGCCAGAGCAAGGATTTCCCTCGAAGGCCGCGCTGTTGGGCATCTCGACGGGATGAAATTACTCAACAAGACTGGGATACCTTCCTTCGTTATCTATTTCCCCCACACCTGGGATTAGCCGCGGCCTCACAGCAATTACATCCTCACGTAAGGGCAGAGATACAGCGAGATCGTAAGGATCGACCACAGGAACCGGATGAACAGCGGCGTGCGCGTATTATGGCCGTGGTTGATGAGTGGAATCAATGCTTCTTTGAACCTCGAGCTGCGGGTATCGTCTCTGTCTATATTGGAGAAGCGGATGGGGCGCCTGAATCTGCCTTGTGTCCTCGTTGCTATCCTGCCGCAACGAAAGCTACACAGGGTACTACTACTAGTAGTGCGTCACCATCGGTTGAAGGGCAATCATCACCATGGAGCTCGAGTACACCATCTCCAGTTCCAGGCCAGCATGCTCAATCTCCAGGGTGGCCGTTCGTCCCAGGACCGTATGGAATCCCACCTGGCCCTGTACCGTATGGCACGCCATACGGCGTTCCCCCAGGTCCTATGCACCAACAACCTCCACCACCGGGAGCAGCGCCTTGGCAATACCCTTATCCTTATGCTCACGCCCCAAATTCAGGCGGTGGGACATCCAAGAGCGGTCCATTCGGCTGGATCTCCAACATAACAGCACAAGCACAGAAATACGGAGAGCGATTCGCAGAGCAGGCGCAGCATTATGGTGATCAAATCAGTGCGCAAGCTATGCAATATGGCCGACAGGTCGAGGAACATGCCAGATGGGTTGAAGAACAAGCTCGGTTCAGCCGAAAATACAATACCTATGCGCCAGGCGGATACGGTCCACGTCCTCCTTGGCTTCCTGCTCAGACGGGCACGCCACCTGCTGCTCAAACCGCTCCGGTTGAACTCGATTCATTAGCTGTTCGTCCAACCAGTACACAGTCTGCACCAGTTCAAACCAGTACATATTTCGTCCCAGTTCAACCACAAACCTCCGCTCAAACGCGAAGCTCAGTCCAGGTGCAGAGCTTACCACAGACTCAAACGCTACCCCAGACCCAAAGTTCACCCCGACCGCAAAGCTTGGTTCAAACCGAAACCCGTAACCTGGACGAAGACAAAGATCATACCGCGACTGAGAGTTCTCGTCGCGACTCAGTTGACTCTATCGCATCTGATGGCTCACTCAGCTCCTTCCACTCTTTATCCTCATGCTCTGATCTCGACGCCTCCGATTTGGCCAAAGTTCGCACTCAGCTCCAGTCTTTGAATTACTGCCACGATAGGGTTCTATACGATGCGGCTGTCGATCTCCGTGATCAACTCGATGTTCTCAAGGTTTCTCGTCGTGAAGCCCGGTCTTCTGGCCGTCCAAGCTGGGGACGTGGCCAAGGCCGTCAAGGATCTCAAGCACGAGACCACACTGATTGGGGCCGATGGGACTCTCCTGAGGCGCAACAGCGTCAGGATAGAGAGAAGAAAGCCATGAAGGAAGAGTTACGGGCTACAAGGAAGGCTTTTCGCGAGGTCGTTCGCAGAGCTCGTGAAGAGCAGCACGAATCAAGGCGAGTTCGCAAGAAGCGTCAGCGAAAGGAAGGGAAAAACAAGTCTGTTGATAAGGGTAATACCGTGTCCAAGGACCAGGTCGCCTTGGATCAACGCTTGAGTAGTCTTTCCTTGAGCCAGCAACAGACTGCTCACCCCGTCCGGGCTCAGACCGATTCCGCTGGCTATAACTATGCAGCTCACCCTGCACCTGTGCGTGCTGATACTAGCTCGGTAATCAGCAGTGCCAGCTCAATTCATGCTCGCTCGTCTTCCCAGACAAGCACGACCGAGCCTCCTGCAGAGGGTACAGATCGGAAGAGCATGTCAGGAGCGCAGAGACTTCGTGACAAGTTGAAATCACGTTCTGCCAAGAAACAGCAGCAGTCAAGTACTGCCGAACCTGAGTCTAAAAATGGCGAGTCCAGATCGTGGAAGAAGAACGATTGAGTTGTATCTTTATTTCTTGGATCATATTTCATTTTCTTCACAAGTGACATACACTGCATGTGCATATATTGAACGGCAGTCCTCGGACAAGCCCATGACGTTACGAGTCAATTGCATTGGAATGATTTACTCATTTTGTTTTTGTATTGTACATCCATATCATTCGGCGTACATAGTCTAGAAGTGCAGACATTGGATATCTTGCCAAAAGCTCACAAAATCCACTCAATCTAAATAATCTTCAATCTCATGCACCTCGAATCTGACCTTGTCACATTAAAGACCAAATCAAAGTAACATGTAGAGAGAACGTATCTCGTCAACCACTGTTTTCGATCAATTTATGATTGCTGCGACTCATTTCTCTCAACGAGATCACCAACACCGAGTCCACGTCCAACCTTAACCTTGACCATTCGCTCCTGATCCTTGCTATCATCCTTCTTTCCAAGCTCACCGACAGCCTCACCCTCATCCTGGGTCTCATCGGTCTTCTCATTCTTCTCATTCTCCTTGTCCCGCGCCTCAATGGCTTTCCAGTCCAGCCACATACTCTGCAAGTTAAGACGCATGGCGTACGCATCTTCTCCATCGGCATAGTACTTGCTCTCGATCTTCTCAACCTCGAAGCCCAGAGTATCACGGTAAAGACGGAGCGCAGCGGTGTTGGAAACACGAACGTGCAGGGAAACGTAATTGGCGCGATGAGATTCAGCCATTGCTCGTTCTGTACCTTATATTAGCAACTGGGGAACTCCAAACCCTCAAAAATAAAACTCCGCAAGTTTTGATAAAGGTATACATACGACTCATGCGCATCAATCGCTCCGCAATTCCTAATCTTCGATGCGTCCGCATAACACTCAAACTAGTAATATGACCATGCTGCATGCCATCCGAAGGCTCTTCCTCCATCTTTGCAAGCACATATCCCACAACCTTAGGATACTGGCCTGACAGATCACCGCCGGCCTTTCCACCTCCAGCCTTGTAGCCGCCCTTAGGACGCACTACGGCGACGAAGCTCAGCTGCGGCCATGTGAGCGCATGGTACAGGTAGTATTTCAGGAAGTAGTTCTCGGGGAGATTGGTGATGTTGCAGGTTTGGATTGATGGAAGGAGGTCGATGTACGACGGGTACGAGCTTAAGGGGACAATGTCAACCATTTTGATGGTGATGGTGGTTTGTTCCTGTGGATTTGAGGTGGGGTGTGAGCGTGGTCGGAGTTGGATTTCGTATTGCCATTCTGCGTGGTCGTCACCGCTATGTACACCGCCTGGTGGTTTTTACTCCAGTTGGCGAACTTCTTTGCATCAGCCATGAATATGAATCCATTGAGATTGTTATGGAATTTTGATTTGATGAATTTTTGGGCCAACATATTCAGTTCATTATTTCGTTGTTTTCAGACTAACTCAAGCAATACCAAACATTTTCTCATATCCATATCAGGGATCAAATTGGCACCTTTCCTTGCCGCCATATCATCAATCGATCATAAAATAATTGATGGTTCATACGGCGCAGGTGTATGACTATCAATCGTTCCATTCCAGCAGTATCGCTTGAAGCAACGCGCACAGGCCTCTGGGACCTGTGTCTTCGTCCTATCAAAAGATCGACTAAGGACCGCACAGCCTACACAAGTCGTCCATTCGGCATCCAGCGTGCCATTCGCCTGAGTAGCAACATTGAAGCCATTCGTAATCATGTCATCTCGGGCAGAGGCAGTGTAGTGTGTCTGCAACTCTGTAATATTGGACATGTATGTGATAGGGTGGTTGGGTAGGTAGACAATCAACGGGGCTGGAACGGTCAAGTTGGAGCTGTTACAGCCGAAGAATGATGGACCAGCATTCAGACCCAGGTTCAGGAAGGTGTTGACATCTGGTACTGAGGGAAATGAGGTGTCATTTGCTAGGTCGACTAGACTGCGCTCATATGCGTCCCCGAGAGTTGTACCGTTCGGCCATAAGTTCCCGGTTGTCCTGGCAGAGTCGACGGCGAAGATCACATCCACGTTACGCTTTCGCTGGATAAGTGGATTGAATGGAATGTTTTGACCGTCTTCGCCGCCATCTACGAGTGTAAGTCGCTTATCCTCCGCAAATGGTGATGTGTCGGGGTTGTATTGGTAGAAGGGGTTTGGATCAAAGGCTGAAGCTCCAGCCAGTGTGGCATTGGTTGTGTTAAGAGCGAAGATGACTTCTTTCATAACGTATTCGACTCCCTCTGCCATTTCGGCACCGGAAGTAGTATTGGTTGAGAGGAGGCTCATTTCGTATTCGAGAATCGCGATAATGTCGTCCCCGTCCTCGTTCCAGATATCGCTTGATGTGCCAGTTATAAAGCCCGCGTTATCAAAACCACGGACGCAGGTCTCATTATCTGGGACTTTTCCGTCGACGAACCGGGTGCCTAGGTATTCCAAAGGTGCGAACCCGTATATAGAGTTATCGTAGGTACCAAACTCCCATGGTGTTACCTCGTAGATGGGCTCTGACATGGTAGGATCTGACTCGACATCGGAGAAAGATTGTCCGTCCAGAACTACCAGTGGCAATGGTAGATCAGCCTCTTGGAAAGCCTGATTTTTCGAAATGGAGGACCAAGCAATATCGACTCCGCCATGGCTGGCATTGAAAAAGTAATAGCCTTGCATCCGGCCCCTGAGAATTCGGTCAGTTGCGTGCTATGAAATATAGGGAGAGGTTATTATTACCAAATATCTGGATCACTAACGGTGAAGCCCGCGGCTTTCTTGGCGTGGATTTGAGTGGTCAAGTTGCCCCAAAATTCGGTTGTTGTCATGCTGGTTGGACCAGAAAAGAAGTTCTCAGATGAGAAGTCCCAGAAATCTTCCTGCAATGCTGTGACCGACGTCAAATTGTTGATATAGATCGAGCCGAGGAACCAAGACCCGCCACTGAGGGCTGAAAAATAGGTGCTTGACTGCAGCAAACCACCAAGCTGACCCTTGCCCAGTGTATCCTCAGTGCGACTATCGAAGGCCTTGAAAGCACCAGCACCATTCAAAGCTGCTGCTAGACCACCGCCAGAGATTGCAAAGCCAATGGTCGGTAAATCTGCGGTATCTTCCGCGTGGCTTTCGATATAAGCCAATGCGTCGAAATCGTCAATTTCCACATGACCGAAAAACTGCTTCAGGCCTGAGTTTGTCTTCTCACGTCGCTTCTCCAGCCATGATCTTTCCTCGGGAGAGATGCTGGTTGCAGCGCGAATACTGGGTCGGTTTATTGGACAGGTGACATTGACTGGTGCGTAGCCGTTATGGGAATTGCGATGGGCGCGAGAATTCAACCCCGTGCTTCGTACCACTGCTGGTTTGATAATTGGGGCAGGACTGGCAATGGCAACTAGGTGGACGGTTTATCAATATTTGGACAGCGAAGAAGAGCTCGGCAGCGGTGCCATGGTAATCAATTTAAGAGAAAGAAAAAGAAAAACAACAACTTACAAGGCAGGAAGCCCAAAGCAATAGGTTCGGTGAACCTCATAATTCAACACAGGCTTAAGCGAACTGATGGCTCTCAGGCATAAGAGCTATTATCATGTCTGTCCTTCGGGGAAAACACTCATATTTGAGCTTGGCGAAAAGGCTTGTGTTTGCGAAGGTGACATCAATTGAACCCCGCATGGTTTAGGCCGTATATGAGATACAAAGACAACTGTTGACTGCGGAGCCTAAGTGGATACATACAAAAATGGGTAGCATCGCGACCGAATGATATCTTGGGCCTGTTCAGGTCCTTGATCTCAGATCAAGGCTTAGCACATGCACTAATGCATGCTGCGCAAGCGATTGAGAACGTTGAACAAAGAGAAGGGTCAACCCCTGTAGTCGAGTGGACCATGATCCACACCGGCGCAGCTAGACTTTGGGGAAGTAGGACATGCGCTATGTTCGAAGCAGGATGTACCGCGAGCCGGACAAGGCTGAGCCGCCAGGGGATAGACATATTCGAACCTTTTTATCTTCGGAGATACCGGGTGCAGTATGTACGGAGTACGAAGTACGATGAGCAGTGTTATCCCAAACAAAGAATCCCAGCGGCTCCACCAGCTGTCGGGTCGTCGGATGTGATGGCAAGTTCCTCTTTGAACTAGGGCGCTTGCGGGTACTTGCTCCGATTTAATTGCCTGATACTCTTTGGGTACCAAGGAGGAAAATTTAGACTTAGCACCTGGATAGGTAGTAGTCTTTCTTCAGTATACTAGAAATAATTGCGTAGCAAAATCAGCCCCTGTTGCCATATCAAAGAAGACAATAAGGAACGATTTTGTGCTCCGCGAGCATTAGGCGTCCGCCTCCGCAACTTAAGTCCGAGTGATCGACCACTAATTAGCCAGCCACTCCCGGTTCCAGGGCTGCGCCAATCCGCGCAAGCAGCTATGAGTGCTATTGGTCTTGAGAATGGGTTGGGTGCAGGGTCACCGTTGCCTGGGAAACTTTTGTTTGAGTGGATCGAGGACGAAAAACTCCCATGTATTCTAGGGAGTTTTTGCTAGGATGCAGCATACTCCGTGATCAACTATTCAATAACTGTGCCCAAGACTGAAAGTGAAGCATTGAGGTGGATCCAGTAGGTACCCGCTCGTCCGGCCAAAACCTTGGAATTGCGGGAAGAAATATTTTCTGGGATACCGCCTGGGTTCCTATGGGATGCCGATGGGATGCCGGTGGGATAAGCTAGCTGAAAACAACTTGAATATTCATTTAATGCCATAGACAGAAATTGTAATGACCTTGAATTTGATTTATCGGATTCCTTTGAGAATGATAAAGTGAGCTAGAGCCGCCCAAAATTAGCATCATATCCATTGAAATCCTCCTTGGTGTGATGCAAATGCTCCCGCTTGAGAAATCCAACGATCTTCGCAGTCCTCTGAATTTTCCCCATTGGAAACTTGGTCAAGATTAAATATGCCTGGGAGAGAGAATTGTAGGTCTCGAAGAGAGAGAAGACACTCGTCCGGCGATTTTAATCCACCACGGGGTCGAAACCCAGACTCATCTTCCAACAGAATTCCAGGGTCGTTCACTTGAGCATGTTGACAAACTTTGTAAAGAGCCAAATTAAATTGCTTGACCTCCTGAATCCGAAATGGGCTGCATACTCCTTGTTCACTCTCTGAAAGATATTGATCGTGTATCGACGGGTAATAAAACATATCTCTTTTGAGACAGGTCCGCGCCAGACTGAATAGAAGTCGAGATGGCATTTCAGGCAAAACATGTTGCAACTGGAGATTCAAGATATCGCTTGTTAGAAGGGAAAATATAAGTTGGATTAGAATGCCTTGGTAGGTTTCAAGTGGCCATGGTCCGCCTTCCGGCGCCAGAATCTCCTGGAGTTGCATTTCGGACTCGTCTTGATCTGATATGTCCCATTTATCCTGCAGGTCAATTAGCGATCATAGCTTGTTTGACTTTGATAAGGTATTAATCCTACTCTTTGCTCCAAAATCGATGTAGTTAATCTTTGGTGTAAGTCTTTCGCCAATCCTTGCGAAGTACTATCCTGCATTACCCATAGTCCCATCATCACCACGGAGTGTACAAGAAATGGCGGTTTTTTATCAGCATTGAATGTCGTGGGATTGATAAAGGGCCAATTTGGATGAAACTTCTCAAAGTAAGCCTCGATGCACGGTTGAATCTGTGGCATACCCTCAATTGATTCCAGCCCTGGCATTGGAGACAAGTCCATTGGAAGAAAGTGCGACGGATTCAAGTGGTCCGGTTCTCCAGAGAGGAGCGGACTAGGTGGATGCTCAGGTTCTGTCCTAGCTCTCCGCTCTTGTCCTCGCACGCTTTCTCCATAGGAGCAGAACATTTCACGCTGCGAGCACGCCTGACATGGGGTCTGTCCATCACATTTTGACCTTCGGGACCGGCAGAAGGTACATGCTCGCGCTGTACGGGAGAGTTGTAAGTCTCTGTTCCTATGCTGTGTGCGGGAATGCTGTCGAAGAGCATCATTTCTGGAAAATGTACGGTCACAGAAGGGACACTCGAAAGACTGCACTTGACTGTGCCGTTTGGCATGTCGAGTCAGATGGTATTTGTGTCGATAGGCTAAGCCACAGCCAGGGAAGTCGCAGACAAAAGGGGCGTCGTTTCCTGCCATGAGAAAGATTGCCACTAGGTGGGCAGTCGCTAGATCAAGATGAATGCTTTTTTCAAATGGCCGATCGAGAAAGAATGCGTATATAGAAGTAGAAAATGTCAACTGGTAGATATGGGATACCGGGTAAAATTTGGGATACCGAGATTATGGAAGTGGGATATATGGGATGCCGATGGGATAGCGAAAACCCATAATAATTTTAATGTTCCAAATTGCCAACTCACACGGGTTTGACGTGTGCCTCAGGCAACCTTTGACCTCCACCAAATAGACAAGCCCACGCCCACGTTCTGTTGAAGAAACGCAGCCTATTATAATATACCACAAATGACTCAAATGACTTCTTAACCTTCCAAGGTTCACATGAGTACGTTCAAATGTTATCTTGAACACTTTCTCGGAGGCCGAAATCGCACCACCTCCACCTATATGAACTATTCCGTCCTCTTGCCTACAACATCAATTCCGAGTTTTCATATAACAATTTGAAATGCCTGATTACAATTGACAACTTTCATATTTTCCATGAGAATTTGAGTGAAAAATAATTCCTTGTAATTGCGAATGATCGAAGTCTTTCAATCACACCTGGATATGGGTTCACGAACCAGACAGCTTATCTCACCCAGGGCTACTAGTTACCTGTATGCGACTATATAGTAGTTTGACTATCTTACTAGCACTATTTATTCTAAATTTGCTATTTTTCGAGCTGGGAAATTGATGAAATAAACGTAGTCCACGGGTGATGATTGCGTTGGCTCAGCTCCGATCAATCAAACTCATGGAGGATATGAACCACTAGATATAGCCTTCGTTCACAACTTAAAACTACCAAGCATAGATTATCAGATTCAAAGATTCTAAAGAACGATAAGGATAGACATTGAACTACGATAGATATAAAGGCACTCAAATTATCTGCCCGTATATACTAGATCCACACTACCCTCAGTATCGCGCAGCAGGGCTTCATACCGATATGCCTTCATCGTGGGCCCCTTAATATTTTCCAATCCTGTACACGCATCGTACCTTCATACGTGCACAACGGAATTCTCGTCTGGCTTTCTGACAGGACTGGGGCCCTCCGACGCCCTCTATCAAAAGCTCATAGATGTCCACGTCGGCCGTTTAAGGCTGACATCTCGAGACAGCGGGATCCATCGTGGAATCGGTAATTTTGGCAGCGTCGGATCTGGATTTGGTGCTATGGACGGGAAAGCCTAGAGTCGAGGCTCTAAAAACGGTCGGTGGTACTGTATGGATTGGCAGGTGAGTTTGAAAGAGTATTGAAGGAGTATTGAAGGACGAGTTGATGTTGATTCATAGCCAGTCGGTCTCGTGGAGATGAGGTACGGGTTTAAACCCTGGCTTAAATCCCAAGGGTCGCCTGCGGTTAGTGCTGCATGGGAGCAGTGAGTAGCTCCACATACTTTAGAACATCAGTGACTGAAGAACTGTCAGTGCTCCTGCTAGCCCGGTGCTTGGAAAGTTTGAAAAACGATAAACGCCGACACATGTGTAGTAGAAAGAGACTGATCGAAGTCGTTACTTGACAATCCCCTTCTATGTACCGGTTTTCCATTAAACATTTTGATAAGAGCATGGATGACGTACCCCCTTGTCAATGCAGCCCATAGATTACCCTGTAAATCGTGCACGAGATCTCAATGCGCCCGTGGTCTCTGTTGGGATTTGATATTAAACTGGACACATCCGCTCATCACTGCTTGTCGCCGGTATAATTGGTCGGCAGGACACTCCGGTTGAGGAGGGGGGGGCTATGTATAATGAATTCTACAAATCACCATGATCTACATCGGCTAGCGCATCCTGATCTCTTGAGACGCGGCTTGACATACTCGGAAGGAGTCTAGGTTACCAGGAATGGTGATGATCGTTTCTCCGGCGGATAAAGGAACTCTGAGTCCATTTTGCGGGGATATTTGACTTCAAGCTAGGATACATGTTCTGGGGTGGGTGGCCCAAATGCATTGAAGAGTAGATCAATGATCAAATGATTAATCCACGTAGAGTTGTCGTATGGCCGCTTCATCCAATGGTGTATTCGAGCCCTTTCCCGGGTCGATTATTGACTCCTCTGACCTTGTACTGACTGATGATGAGGGAGATGGACACTGGGACTCATCCGGCGGGTCTTTGCTGGCCCCGTGCGTATTTTCAGTGATCCATTTGTCCACCGAGTGATCGTTGCACCGAGCATGATTGAGGAGTTCGTTTTGGAGAGACCAGACTTCGCGCCTCAATGCATCCACTTGCGCTACTAATGAGTCTCGTTTCGCCGTTTCATTCTGCAGCACCTCTTGGATATGATTATATAGTCGCTCCTCCTCTTGGGAGCATAGATCTCCGGCGCTGCTTCCTTCATGTGGAGTGGCCAAGATGATGTCTTGTTCCGAGCCGTAGGTTTTTGATTGAGAGGCTGGGTTGGAGGAACTTGAATCCGCAGAATGTGAAATATTTTGAGCAGTCGTTCTTCTGAGTGCCATTATGGGATCAAATAGTGGTAGACATGGTCATAGTCCGATATCACATCATATAAGGGGAAAGAGGCTGAACTCAGGAGGTCAGTAAGTTTTTTGAAAATTTGGGCTCCAGATTGAGGATTGATCATTACCTTTTATCCTTCATCCATTCAAATTATTTTGAAACAATCTAGTCCATTCATGACGTTCTCCTTTCCGATGCCCCGTAATTGGGATTGATGTGGAGGGGTGTCTTCGAATAGCAGAAACACGGATTTTATATCCACTCCCAGTTTGCCTTGCAACCCACGGCCCGAGCACCGTCAAGCCCTCAGCTGGAGTTGGCCTTACCGTAAGCCGTATTTGTAATGTTATCAGATCTGAGTCAGGAAATATGAATGTGCGCTGACTGAATTCCGCAGTATTTCAGCCCTGGAGTGCCCCGTTGAATATGCCAGTGCTCTTATGCAGGTGGACCCGAAGTTCTGGTTTCACGATAGTTCTGGATCTTAATTCCGCCAAAGAAAAAGAGAACAAGATTATACGCTTGCCTTAATTCAAGCTAGTTGACATGAGGTCAAGATTTTGTTTGCTAGTATGTCTCGACTTGATCTCCCTCTTAAATTCGCCAAATATGAAATATCTCCGTGTTGTCCTACATTGTTGAACGACATTACCCCTCCATCACTAAGTGGATCTAGTGGACCCCAATATCTAGCGTTTATCTCCAATTTCCAAGCCTTTCTTACTCCGATGACTCACTTAAGGGGAAAGATCGTTTAAGATTAAAAAAAATTAAGCTTAACGATCTCTAAAAATCAGATCAAAGAAAACAAAAGCCGCAAAAAATTGAAGATGGCCGAAAATCCGCTATCCAACATTCTTAAAGCCACGTCTCTGGACCTATCGCCGTACGAAGACCTATACAAGTACTTCCACACCAATCCAGAACTCTCTCTGCTGGAAAAAGCCACCTCCGAGAAAATAGCATCTCACCTATCTCAATGGAATGCCTATGAAATTCACCAAAACATAGGAGGCTACGGCCTGGTCGGAGTCCTGCGCAATGGACCAGGAAAGACCATCCTCCTCCGCGCCGATATGGACGCTCTCCCTGTAAAGGAAATCACAGGACTTCCTTACGCAAGTACCAAACGCATGGCCGATTACTCCGGTATGGAACAACCTGTCATGCACGCCTGTGGTCACGATATGCATATTACATGTCTCCTCGCCGCCGCCGAGCTTCTCGCCAAAACAACCTCTCAATGGAGCGGTACTCTCCTAGTCCTCTTCCAACCAAATGAAGAGCGTGGAGCAGGCGCACAAGCCATGGTAGATGACGGACTGTATGAGAAACTCCCAGTACCCGACTACTGTTTCGGTCAACACGTTATGCGCCTTCGCGCTGGACAAATTGGGCTTAGAAACGGAACCATCATGGCTGCTGCGGATAGCATGAAAATCACTGTATTTGGTCGTGGTGGACATGGCTCACTTCCTCATAACGCTATTGATCCCGCGCTCCTTGCGGCGCATATTGTGGTTCGATTACAAGGGATCGTGAGTCGTGAGATTGATCCTACGGATTTGGGTGTCCTCACTGTAGGAAGTTTACATGTTGGACAAGCGGAGAATGTTATCTCGGATCAAGCGGAAATCGGATTGGATTTTCGTACTGTCAAACTGGAGACGAGACAGAAGATTATTGAGGCGATTAAGAGGATTATTACGGCGGAGTGTGTTGCTAGTGGCTCTCCTAAGCCTCCTATCTTTACTCCCACGCGTCGCTTTCCACCCACGGATAATGATGACTTGGCTACAAATCTGTTGAAGGGTGCTTTCGGGGATCACTTTGGGGTGAATTTTGATCCTGATACGCCGAGATCGAATGTTAGTGAGGACTTCTCGACACTGGGTCTTTGTAGAGGGATTCCTTGTGGGTTTTGGTTTCTTGGAGGTATTGAGCAGGGTCTCTGGGATAGAGTCCAGGGCGGCTCTGAGGAGGAGATTCCATCGAACCATTCGGCGCTTTTCGCGCCTGCTATTCAACCTACCATGAGGTCAGGCGTTGATGCCCTCTGTCTTGCGGCTTTAACGTTCCTAAAGAAGGAATAGATTCGATGAAGATTTTGGGTAGTATAATTTGTGATATCTAATTTATCGTTCATACACCGTCCGACCGTACCAAAAGTTCACAGAATGACAGGTCAAAAAGAAATGATTATATCAAGCGCTGTGCCCATGGGCAGTCATATGCAAGATTGGAGTAAAATAATTGCAAGTCGTTATGTCGTGGGATCAGAACGCTGACAGGAAAAACTGTACACCTGCAGCGACCAGCATCAGAGTTGATACGCTGGACATAGAAACACCATGCACGGCAGCTGATGCAGTACCGCAGCAGGATTGGTTGTTGAAAGTGACGTTGTTCATCTCGGCGGCTACCTCGAAGACGGAGCCGTTGAAGTTGCCATCGTTATAGTAATCAACGAGCAGGAAGTTGGGAGGACGATCCCATTTTTCTATAAATATCGTTAGGATTGATTGTTACATGCATATAAACCGTATAGTAGCACTCACCAGTGCACTCTCGGGCCATTGTGCCCAGACTACCAGTAGCATTGTAGGCATTGGTCTCGCTGATCACAGCAGTATTGGGAATGAGCAGATCAATTGAGCCAAAGCTCAACTCAATGTTCAGGTTATGGTTAGCCATATACATTCGCTTCTTCGCCTGCGCAACGGTGATATCTCCCGGTCGCTGCTCTGTACAAGGGAAGGAGCGGTTTGTGGGAGAGAACGGCGTCTCCCACATTTGAGAGAACTCATCCATCAACCACGGGTACGCGGTCTGGTTGGCTTGGTAGTCCATGAAGAGGACCGCCCGCTTACCCGAGATAATCATCTCAGATAGAGTGGGCCAGTCATCAAGACCCATGGGGATCTTAGATGGAGTATACACATAATCATACAGGCCAGAGGACTGGATCGCGGGGACGAAGTGGCTCGGCGAGACGTAGTCATAGTTACCCATCAGAATGGTCACTACATCGTAGGGGTTTTCGCGGATCCACTTCGTCACCGTGGTGAGATAGTCCTCCAGAGTGCCTACATCAAGCAGTGAGCATGAGGTATGGCAGAGCTCCATAGTACCATTCTGGTTATGGGCCTGGAATTGCACTATTCGAGGATATGGTTAGCGCGTGGAATTCCCAGGTCGTAATGATTGGAATGAAGGTCTTACGCATGCGAATTCCATCGTCCAGTTGGTACTTCACAGTGAATTCCTGGTTCGCGGCTGCATTGCCTTTCCGCACGAATGGACTATTATGAGCGGCGACCATGGTGATGTTGGAGTAGCTGCGCTCGCAGTACTCGGCATATCCGTTACATGGGCGAGTATTGGTCGCTATCGCGGATGTACTCGTCGATGTAGCTGTGGCATTCATAGTGGTATTGCTCCCCAAAGTGGTAGTCCCGCCGCCGCCGACCAGCACTGTGACAGAGTTATGGGTTGTTGTATAACTGCTGGTGGAATTGCCCGTCGTTGCGGATGCGTTTTGGGTAATTGTGCTGGTGAGATCGTGGCCATCGGCGAGAGTGATTGTGGTACTATAGATCTCATAGGAACCAGTGGGAACCACGGAGCTGGGGTCTGTGACCGTGGTCGCATCGCTCAGGGCCAGGGACGAGGTACTGGACTCAGTGGTCGAAGCGGTTGTGGTCGAATCAGTGGTCGAATCAGTAGTAGTTGTATCATCAGCGACGGCCACTCCTGCGAGGAGGGCGAGCACTAGTGACCACCGCATTGCGAGGAGTTGATGGTTAGAGAAAAGGGAACTTGCATTTAATTTTTGGGGAAGGGTTTCCCCCAAGACCCCCGAAACCCTGCACTGATTTGCCTAAGGGTTTACAGTGGAGACTGGGCCGACCACCAAGGGGTCTAGGGGAGTCTAAGGAGTAATTGGTGGAGTCAATCGCCCATGGATGACGTTTGACGCCACCGTCGATGGGTCGATTGACCAATAATTTATAAATAAGTAATGGATTGGATATCAGATCCTGGTCAACTTCCTTGCTATTGTACCTTGTAAATTAGGACCTTCCAAGCATAGTAGGTAGAGCGTAGATATTTCAATTTCTATGACAACATTGATGATCCTGATGAACTGGTTAATATGATTGTTTACTATGTTCTAGCATCACCCCTGAGTCCCTGAAATTTTAATCCATATTTATTCCTATATGACTCGAATTGACTCAAAGGATATAAGAATCAATTGATAATATTTTTTTTCTCTTCATAACATTCTCCTTGATTGTTTGACCCCCCCTTAAGTCTCATGATCGGCGCTACACTAGCGCTCAGCCACTGACGATCGCACGGGAAGAGAGCTCATGGGTGGAGCTGATTCACATAATGCTAAACGTTAATGGTAAAAAAACTGAAAAAGAAAAAAGAAATTTTCAAGAACTTGAAGAGGGGAAAATATGCGTCGTCATTGCTTAAATCTGGGAACCTGGAGTACCGAGGAAACCCTGATACACTCCCGGATTTTCTCTCCTTTCAACTTCCCCCATCCTACAACCTACACAGTTCCTCCAACTTATCTGCCTAACTATGGCCGATGGGACGGAGACTGTCAAGGGCAGACGCAGACTGCCGTTCTTCCGCAGTACCCGACCCGATCGGCCCATTGCACGTCGTCGTGAATCAACCGTCCATTGGCACCGAGGAATACGTTCATTCCTTTATCTGATCGCTTGGATCTTTTTGGTGCTGGTCGAGATCGGAAATCTCTATAATAAACCTGTACTACGTGATACTTACTTCCTTTACTTGGACCTCTCCAACATTATCCCGGTCTCGGTACCCAATTCCGTCCTTATCAACTCCATTGCCCGATCAATTGGCCTCCACGATTTCTACCAGGTTGGATTGTGGAACTTTTGTGAGGGATATGATGATGAGGGTATCACGCATTGCTCCAAGCCGGAGACCTTGTACGCCTTTAACCCGGTGAAAATCCTTCTCAATGAACTCTTGTCTGGAGCTAGTAGTAAGTCTAGACCCTCGCTATTTGTCTTCCCCCTGGTCTGGTTGAGGTGGCTGTGAAGCTCTTGGCGATTCTGGGGAACCCCTATCAAGCTCGTTCTAATCATGGTTGCCTGAAACAGTTGCGTTACCTTCCAGCATCACCAGCCCCCCTCAATCTTGCCAGAGTCGCGTCACGATGGATGTTCGGCATTTTCTTGGCTGCTGCGGTTCTCAATTTTATTATGATCTTCCTCAGCCCCTTGGCGGTCTCCTCTCGTCCGCCACAGGCTATTAAATACCTGGTGGGGAAGGATGGCCAGATCGTCGACACAGTCACCAACGGGGACGCCGCTGACGCTCCACAGGGCGGCCGACTGCCCCACCGACGGCGGACATTTTTTCTGCTTCGGTCATTCCCATTTCTTATCCTGACATTTTTCACCGCCCTCCTAACTATTGTTGGATCCGTCGTTGCGACTGTTATGTTTGTCATTTTCGCCAACGTTTTCGAAAATGCGGATGAGAGCTTGAATATTAAGGCCCATGTTGGCACCCAGATGTTCGCTTTTATGTGGGTTGCTTCGGCGTTCAGTCTCTTTGGCTTTGTCGTGCAATTCGGCTCCTGCTGTGCCGCCTGTTGCGGTGGCCACAAGGCCCGCAAGAAGTTGAAGCAGGATGGTGTCAATATCCATGAGAAGAACGCTTTTGTGAAGAGACGCTCAAGTTCGCATGAACGTCCACAAGAGCCCGTGGAGCCTCATGCAGTGTCCACCGAATACTGAGCTACCCCCAAACCTAATTGTGGCTCAGCTAGATTTGATTCTTTTTGTTGAATTTTGGGTTTGTGGATATATTTAAATCTACGAAGTGAACGATCTTGACCAGCATTGAAGCTGGTGTTTACTATTTTGATTGGACCAAAAATATGCAATAGTTTATATATAGATCCGTCCTGCCATACATATACAGTGTTTTCAAATGTTATTTTGTTTCATGAACAAGTCTCCACATGTGCATCACCTTCAAGTTCAAAATGTTCCAAGGTTAGTAGCATCATGGTGCTAGTACATGTTCAATGTTGGACTACTATGTAGTACGGAGTACCAGACAAGAGTGACTTCCAAGGCCAGACAACTGGACATCTGGATGCACTACTATGTAGTAGGACTATGTACTAGCATAGTAGGTAGCCTTGGAACTTGCACCACACATGGATTCTGATGTGCATGCAGGATTGAACATCTGAAGGAACGTTGAGGCCAACTAGTATTAATATTTCATGTTGTGTCCGGGATGAGGGTCCCGGGAATCTGCTACAATAAAATACTCGACGTCCCTGTCTCGGAGTGAGCATCCTGTCCATCTACATCATTGATCCTCCTAGGGAAACAGAGCCATTCTCTGGCTCAATGTCCGCTAAGGTGAAGTGTGTTTCCTCCTCTACTTGAAAAATTAGAAAACGAATAAGTAGCCTAGCATGGGTAAGAAGTACGTACCGCTGAGGAATTGCAAAATATTCAACACTGGCAAAGCAAGAACCCTCAATGGAAGAATCCGACCGAACCCCCATTCTGCTTCATTTCCTATCACTTCAACTGGGGGAAATCCAAACGATTGAGTCTGCTGCAGTACAAAAAAAACAGCAGCCTGAGCTCAAAGGAGCAAAATAAACAATGAACCCTCGAGTCGCGTCGGTTGCCCAGTATGACACCCATTTGGGCGGGTTTCGGATAACCGAACCGCATAGAGCCAGCAGAGAGACGATGAATGCCACTCCAAACATTGTGAGTCTCAATAATGTGCGAAACCATCTATGTTAAAGATCATTCTTCCATGAGCGATACATGTCATGGGCGCAGAAGCGCTGATGTCTTCACCAGTGGATCTGAGTTTCCATTTTACGACGATAATTGACTCGACCAGCATAGCCGGAGGGAGAAGACCAATGCAAATGGTTAATAATACCAACCTGCAAGTTCCCATCCATCTGTTGTTGAGGAAGTATTTCTGTAGAACAAGGACACTCAGAGGATATGCTGATGTTGATGATGTCGCTAGGGAAGAAATAATCCGTCCGTAGTAAATCGGTATAGAATCAAGTTTCATTATCCCGATTACTTGGATTGATAAAGCGACAAGGATATGCTGGTCACTTAATCCGAGTAGAAGTTCTCGGGATATTATAGTCCATCGTTCTCGCGTTTTCTGCTCATTTGGTAGCAGACGATCTATTAGACTCAGAATAGAGCCGTGAACTCCGTCAGGTTGGTTCATGGCTTCGATTGTAAGAATTATGAGGGATATAATGAAGGATGCGATAAAAGCGGCTATAAATGAGATCATAACCTGGAATCAATTAGCGCTGACGTCCGGGTAGTACATTTGGGTTGTCTCTCTCATACCCCGATACCTGCGATGTCCGAGTTAGCGGATACAGCTGTGAGAGCTGTACAGTTCAATCCACCCATATTGATGCCTATGAGGTTGATGATGAGAATGTGACATGAGAATGATCATGATGTGTAGAGTCATAAATTTTGGAATAAGGCTGAGTTGTTGGAACACATGTTTGAACATGGTTTATGCAAAGCTGCCTGCCTTTAGCCCCTCCAACTTCACTCTATTGGTCGATTGTACTGCAGGCTATTAGCTGCGCGGGGGCTTAAGCTCTCCGTCACGGTAGCCTTCATTTCTTCCATGCATATTCTTAGAATGGTTGTAGATTATGCCAGAATTTTCCTTGAAATCTTTCCAATGGATCCGAGTGTAGTAGCGATAGAGAGTAGGTAATTTTTGGATGGAAATCCTCGATATTGAATTTCTGCGAGACTGTCGGGATCATCCTGTTTGGATTCTAGAGCCCCGGGACTCCCCAAAGTCACAAGGCTATCTTAGATGTGAAATAGATACTAGTAGATTCAAGTTGGATACTTTTCCTCGCATCATGCCTAAGTGTACACTATGCCAATGGTTACAACTCATGGACTCCGTCTTACCAGCAATTTAAATTTTCTTATACAGTGGAGTTGGGGAAGGGGATATGTGCTCTATTGTGAACAGGTTAATACGAAAGAAAATTCGAAGAATATCTGTAGATTGCAATGGAAGAGATGAGATGGACGTCAAATCGAAACTGCCGCAGTGATAAGTTCTTGCGGTCAGAGAGTTCTGCTCGGCATCGCGACTCCTACAAAGGCTCTAGTATTTTGAAATGGACTAGATCGCGGGCCCCGGGTCGGGCAGAAAAACTTCATAATACAGCCTGAAACTGGCCGCAGTTGACACCTGGGAGCATTGGGTTCGAGCCTCAGACTTCCTTTCCGATCGTCAGAACAGATGCTGCCCTCCGCCCTATTCAAAGATGTGGACTACGTTATGTTGGTGGGGGGGGACTGTTGCGACTCTCGGAATATCATTATCTTTGCCTCTTTATTAAAACATTGATATCGATGATATCATCCTCGCACAAAGTTGTGGCAATTCACGCAATTCCTACTATAAGTCAACTCTCAAACCCCGATCATTCAGTTTTGTGAATGGATTCCATAGACACCTGGATCCAAAATCACGCATTTCATTCAAACTAATTGCCGGAAAACTCCTCTTGTGACAACGAACGAGGCTGTAGATGGATCTACTGTTTATAGAAGGTTTAATCTTTGAATTTCCGTGTAAGGATCTATTCTGTGCAGGTTTATAATGGCTTTCCTTTATCAAATTCGCATCGCATCTCAGTGTCTATACATCCCCTTCATCATGCCGTCTCCCTCCATGAACATTCATGAACAAGACTCAGATCTCCATATAATGATGACCCTGGAGTAGACGCCTTTGAATCCCTCATTTATCGTTCGCAACAACCCAGCCCTGGAGTGGATCATCCCCTTGCCCATCCCGCCAAAATGAAAAAGAAGAAACTCAGAGTGGAATGATAAGTCTATGATAGAGTGTGACATTGGAGAGATTTGAGGCTATAATGGATACATACAGGAGTGCTCTATCCAGATGTCGCATCATAGCCACTCAACCTATTGCAAACATCTCCAAGTCCCCTGTCGGTGTTTTATTTGATACGAGCACTATCTCCCTTAGGAGCGGTTCCAAATGGTAATGTAGTGATCTCCGATGAGAATGGCAGTACATCTTACTGACCTTATCAATCCAAGTTTAGTGATGTTTCCAATATTATCTTCTCCATGCTCGATTCTTCGCGTTGCATCCCACACTAGCGCCTGACGTATACAACGCGTGGTCACTTTACCCACCATAGGCATCGGAGAACAACCAAATACAGAGGGACATTTGGCTTACATTGCGGTGTATCACAAGATTCAAAATTTTGCGAATCCCTGAGAGTGGAACTCTGATTGGCGGTATGTCATTCTTCTACATAATACCACCCTACCGCAAGACCAAACACCAAAGAACAACTCTTAAGGCTGGAAGCCATGAAATGGATTGTACAATGTCGTGAGTCCTCCACTTCCCTTGAGTAGTCACCATGGGCATCTTTGAAACCATGACTAATTACATTATAGGCTTCCAACCAAGCTTGTCAATCCAACTTCCGTTGACAACAACCAATTGGAATACAACCGAGTGAGGAGGAAGATCCAACTTAGGGCGCAGGCGCAATTCAGAGTCAGTGGTGGCCCCCCCTCTTCAAAGTAATTGATATTTACTTTCTAATGTCCGCGATAGAACTTCCTTGAACCACACACCCAGCAGATTTCGTGCTAGAGGATCACCAGGCTGATATAATTCAGACCACTGTGCCCTCAAGGATGATAGCTATCGCCGTGTCTGTAAAAGTTCTACTCCTCAAGCTTCCCCACAATACAGGTCATTCTTTGTATGTTCTGTTCCCAACAGGTTATGGGTCCCCTCATCCCACTGAGAACATACGAGCAAGAAAAATTTTACACCACCAAAGTACTCTACGTCTCTGGCTCTGATGTCGAGCCAAAACAGCAGTTAAGAAAAAAGCCTCATCATTGATTAGCCGGCTTTTACTGAAAACAAACACGAAAGCCCATGGTTGCTCTCCAAGTAACTATGTTGAACAACCTCACTGAACCAGACCCTGATGGATGGGGAAGAGCAGTATTCGGACGAGCCGCGTATCAGACACAAGCTGTCTCTCTTCCTACTACCTCCATAACGTTCACCAAAATTCGAATGACCCTACACAGGGATAAGGTCAAGAACCACTTCCAAGATTGGGACATAGTCCTCCGACAAACACTGGGAAGAGATGAACTCCAAGATCTTATCAATATGAAGATCCCTCACCACAAAGAATCAGTAAAAGGCAGAAAATTGGAGAGCAATGTCAGGAAAATTTGCCGAATGCTGTTGGACAACATCATCAACGAATTCCAAACTCTTTCCCACAATAAGCTGCCTTCTTCATAGGTTCAGTTCCCAACAGCTTGGCCTGCACCAGCACAGACAGTAATGGCCACACTCATGAACAACGCAAAATTCGTGAATAAGGACCTCATCAGGTGAAACTTGAAGAGTGGAGTGAAAGCGGAGTAAAGCTATCTCAATTAAGCTGCAAGTCATCTCAGTTCATTAAAAGTTGTCCATATTAAGTCATCAGCCATTGAAAAAAAGAATCAATATGGTTGCTGCCAACAACAACGACGTCTATAACTGATTAGGAAAGATGTTTCGTACTGGAAGCTCCAGGGACCAGGTGGATTACCTGCGAACAAAAACAGTTATCTCAATCAAGCTGAGACTCGGAGAAACTAGCTACCAACCAGAAATTCTGAGAGTGGGACAAGATTGGAGAACTTTGGTGCCATTATCGCTACGAATATGCTTCTTGATATCATCGAAAACGGCCACAGACTGATGCAGTGAACGGTGACAACTATGTGACCCTCTTACTTATTGTGGCCAAATTGCTAAGAGATAAAATATTTCCAAGGTTAACAATCTACACCGAAAGTCGATTTTCATTTTCTTTGCTTAAATCCTTTGCCTAGAAATCAGATTCCTCATTTTCATTTTGGCCAGGGAGGAGAGACACAGGAGATGTTCACTCTTGAAGGACTCTCAACAGAAACTTGAAGGGAAAAAAAGAAAGGCGTGCTGAAAACATTGAAGATTGTTATAATCAATGTACTAGAAAACATTTGAATTCTGTGAATTGTAAATCATGGATATATGGATGAGGCGTTTAGGTGCATGCAGACTCCAATGTGTTTGTAGTGTTTGCAGTGTTTGTGTTTGTTGTGAAAAAGAGCGAGATATCTCACTCTTCAATCTTGTTCTCACCGCCTACCTCATTTGCTGAATTAACATCCTGCACGTGACAATGGAGGCAGAACTTGAGGCTAATCAGCCTCCGCCTGGTCCTGGAGTTGAGGCTCCCGAACCTCCACTTCGTCGCCGCCCTCCTCTTCCCACCGTTGAGGTGACACAAGAGCTCAGAGATAGAATTGCCACCTGGTTCTACTACAAAAGCATCATGAGCGTCATCCTAACTACCGGTACGTCTCAAAGCTCAGCGTTATCCCCGCATTATGGCCAAAGCTAGACTAACATGCACCCATATACAGCGGGGTATGATCATACCATTCGGTAAGCTAAGACTATTTGAAGCCTTGATTTTCTTCAATTCAGACTTCATGATCCATCATTCCCTAGCTTCAACCGGTCGAATACTAACTGCTTGCCGTGTCCCAGCTTTTGGGAAGCTCTGTCGGGTATCTGTTCACGAACTATCCAGCACCCTGATTCTCAGGTCAATCGCCTGTGTATCACCCCCGATAAACGCTTTCTCGCTGCCGCTGGTCATAACAATGTCAAGCTTTATGATATCAAGTCCACCAATCCCAACCCTGTTATGACTTTCGAAGGTCACACCACCAACATCACCGGAGTCGCATTTCACTGTGAGGGTAAATGGATGGTCACTAGCTCTGAAGATGGTACTGTCAAAGTTTGGGATACTCGTACTGGAAGCTTGCAGCGCAACTACGTTCACCGAGCTCCGGTCAATGATGTCGTCATCCACCCAAACCAGGGTGAGCTGATTAGTGGTGATCGCGCGGGCATGGTTCGTGTCTGGGATCTGGGCGAGAGCGTGTGCACCCACCAATTGATTCCTGAGGATGACACCGCAGTTCTGAGCGTTAGCGTCGCCAGTGATGGCTCCTTGCTCTGCGCTGGAAACAAGAAGGTGCGGCCACACTCCCTATGTTGTGTTCTCCATTCCTAACTAAGCTTTCATTTAGGGAAACGTCTACATCTGGCGTATGGTCCAGACCGACGAAGCTACTCGAATCATTCCAGTTTGCACCTTCCAGGCACACAAGGATTACCTCACCCGCGTTCTTCTGTCTCCCGATGTCAAGCACCTGGCCACTTGCTCCGCCGACCACACAGCCAAGGTGTGGAACCTTGACCCAGAATACGCACCTGCCAAGGTTGCTATTAAGGAATGGAATGAAAAACAGGCCCAGAAGGAAACAACTGAGGAAAATGGCGAGCCCAGCGCAGCGGCCGTTCAGGCGCAGCAAGGCGCCGAGTTGATGAACCAAGCTCGGGATCTGTTGCGTATCTTTGATACGCCCCAGCAAGATCGCGAGTTGCTCCGCATCTCAGACAACGCCCCCCGCACCGAAACCCCTCAGCAGACCTTCACTCCGCAACCCGATGGACCACCAATGGACCCTGCGAATGGCACCCTCTTCCTTGAGGCTACCCTCACAACTCATCAACGTTGGGTTTGGGACTGTGCCTTCTCCGCCGACTCGGCCTATCTCGTTACTGTCTCGAGTGATCATTACGCTCGCCTTTGGGAGCTGAGCACTGGCAACATCATTCGCCAGTACAGTGGTCACCACCGTGGCGCTGTCTGCGTTGCACTGAATGACTACTCTGAGCCCCGTTAAAGTGCGACACCTGTGCCCGATCCCGGTCTAATGGCGTTTATCCCCTATTTTCATTCATAGCATGGCGTAAAGGTGGGACTTGGGTTTTACTTATCTTTTTTTTCTTTCACCTGAGGGTGTTTTCTTCGGCTTTCCCTAGCTTGGATTTGCCCATTTTTAGTTTATTTCATTTCTGCGGATTCAAGATACCACTAGCCGATGAGGTGATAGCAGCTTTACATCTAGTTCTCATTTGACTAGAAATGAATCATTTGATTTTCATTATTCAAGTTTATTCCTTCGCTACTCGAACACCACTCGACATCCCCGTACCATATTATGTATGCCAATCGATGTCTACTATAGCTCTCCTAGGCTTAGAATCTAGTTCCTGAAATTGAAGTCCCTTTTATATGTCAGACTGGGTACATGCATAGTCATCGCTAGAAATATACCATAGTAGACGAAGTCAATGCCTGCCTGTACCAACTTGAACATCAAGAGAAAACATACAAAGAAGTGAATGCAGTTCCAATCTAAACGAAAATATCATATACTGAGTTGCGAACAAACTCGGAGCCTTAAGAATATACTAACATTGCTAAATGGAATTTGCAGGCTCAAAACCGAATTCAAACGACCGCAAACCAGGTCACGCTGACAACAACATCCAGTCCCCGCTCCTCAGCACCAGGGTACTTGAATGTCCACATGCCATCCCGGTTGACATCCCAGAAAGCACCAGAGGCAGAGTGCATCCCGCGCTTGCCGGCGTTGTTCTGTGCTCCGTCCGCAGCGGCAGTCTTGTCGATAACGCCCTGTTGCACGATGGTGCTGTTTACGGTGAAGCGGTAAGGAGCGGGCTTGGAGGAGTCGGAGGGGCTGGTGGCGGCGATAAGGGCTTTCAGGACAGTGTTCTGGATTTGTTAGTATGGTCATGATAGGAGCTCAAGGTAGCGGTGAGGAATTCGTACGATAATCTGTGAGTTCCAGTCGCCAACCACAGCGTGGTCATATTCGGTGGTAGAGCTTAGAGCAGCATCGCAGGCCTGGATAAATGTTTTGTAAGTAATTGCATTGTTGATGTTTGTTGTTGTGGGTCTGTATTTGGATTCGAGGTACGTACATCGGAGGTGATCTTGGTCAACTCGGGAATCGAGATGGGCTAAAAGATAGCATGATCAGTTGAATTGTCCATTGTTTGTTGGAGTACTCGAGGCAATGCTTCTGGATCGCTCGAGTGCGGATATTGGAATCGTTCATACCGATGCAGGTGCGGAGCCGTCAACAGCCATTGTGAATGAGGTATGTGGGTAGAGTATTTCGAGTTTTGAAGCTAGTCATCCGTTAGTCACAAGTATATCTTCCTTCTGCTCTGGTCTCTTATTTGCGATTGTGAACGGAATTAGTGATGGGCGCGTCTTGGGCAGAATGGGGGTTGATAGATGGGTCATTGTCCAGGCTTCGAGAGAGAGATTCAGGAGTGCAGGTGAGGAGTATCTGGAGGTACTCACTAAAGCTCAAATTCAGGCCGAGACCGATTAACGAGGACTGGAATTGAGGGTGGACTGAGGAGTGATTGTTTGGGGAGGGTGGCATCATCGCGTGGGCGTTGCGGGTTCTGGTTGGTCGAGTAGGTGGGGCTTAAGTAAGCTCGTATCTATAACTCGTCGATCTCCTTTTTCTTTGTTTTTTTTTGACGATCATAGATCTTCTCGATCTATTGTGATGCTCTTGGGATTGAAGTTAGTTCTTTGTTCGATCGGATCCTTTTACATAATATTTCAGATCTCATTGGGCTCAGTTTTCGGTGCCTGGTGCCTCAAAGGTCCTTTGACGTGAGCTTATCAAAAGCAAAGAAGGAACTCGCCGTATAGAAGATGGGCTCTGGAGTATAACTGACAGTTCTCCATTATTAAAGTCCATTTCTACTGTGAAACATCCTGGTTCACAAGATCCTGCCATCGTTTGTCCAGGTGAGTGGCCAAAGTAAGACCACTAGGTATCCTCCTATTGTACTCGCTCGTGACAGTGGAAGATCGATAGTACGACTCCACGTTGAATCCAGTCATTTACGAATGACGTTCTTACCAAATACTGGAGTTCAAGAGATGGAATCCATATTGTGAGTGCGAAATACTGAGATGAATATGTATCATTTAGCCAGGAGATTTGTAGGATTGACCTATTCATGAACGACCCAATGTTGTATTAAACCTTTTGTCCAACACTGGCAACGTCACGGTTCAGATGACACAGCACTCAAGAGTCTAAGGCTATTAATATTCAACCTTGAGAAGACACATCTGTCTCTCCTGTCCGATAAATCAGCCGTCGAGGCCACACGTGCATGAAATTGTTTCTCTTTCTCCCTTCAAGTTCATTGAGTACCGCTTTGTCTGTTGCACGTTTAGTGAGATCCAAGATTCGATGAGAAGCTCCAACGTTCAATTTGGATTCAAAAAATGGTGAAAATAGCACGCGAATGACTTGTGATATTTATCTATAAATACCGGGTTGGAAGTTCATCAAGCTTTTAATGTCATAAGGGCTTCCAACCGCATATTCGAATGTAACTCGGGCCCGCCACCTGGGCACCCCGCTTCTTGATACTAACTATACGGGTAGTAGTTTGAGTATAGCTTCAAATTCTAAGTTTAGCTAGTACTATTTTGCATGAATTCTGAATTTCTTTTATACATAGTCCATTATTCAAATTTTCGTGAAATGCTGAAAATCATTACTGAATATAGACCTGTTCCGACGCGAGGAGCACTAGATGTCCAAGGTGGGGGAGGTAGGAAAGTGGGTGAATGTCGGCCAAATGACACGTTATGAAGTGGGAAATTATCTATGCACATGTGGAGATTTTTTATGGAGCTCATACTTCTACTTTGTATGTGTGAGTCGATAATTAGCGTCTGGTTTATAAAATTCAATGTTAACATCTCAAGGGTAACTTGCGCACTACAGACTTCGGTCCGGATGTCTACAGCTTTGTGCATGCCACCTGAAATTCCGACTTGCTATATACATACGATGTTGTTATCTCCGGGACCAAATATAAGTCCGATAATTCAATCTGAGACTTTGTCGTCTTAAAGTTTATTGCTTCCAGATTTTGGAGCATGCTGCTCATACATGTCAGGCAGAATCGTGGACAAAATAGCCATCTCCTCAGCAGCGTGCTGCATCAATGCAAATGGGAACTCGCGAGGAAGTGCAGCTTTTCTCTCCTCTGCGGATAGTCCTGGAATATCACCCAGCCAGAACCGCGAGCGCATCCGAATACCATCTGGCTCAACTTTGATCAAGTGGATCAAATGACCACCATAGACAACCTCTCCCGTTGTATCATTCCAATTGCCAACCTTGCCACAGATGGCCGTTGAGTAACCTGCGGTTTGAAAATCTGTCTTCCAAGTTGGACCAAAATATTCACTCGGGTCGCGAAATGAAATCTTGAGTTTGGCAAGGTTCTTCCCAATGTATTCGTGAACAAGATGGTGACCACCGATATAGGTGCTGCTGTTGTCGCGGGGTCCTCCCAATCGGAGAAGACATGATCGCGAGGATGCCAAAGCTTGTACTGCTCGGTGTTGTGGATCCAGCCAAACCACCAGTCTATCATAGCACCAGTCGAGGCTTTCATATATGTAGAGGCTGCGATATGATGATGGCCATCCTCAGTGACTGCTACACCAGCCTCCATAGGCAGGTAGGGGTTCTCAAGCAGAAGCTTAGCATCTGATAGTCTTAGACCGGATTGAAGCGTGGTTGGTGTCGCCATAATGTTGAGAATGTATGATAGATATGGATCCGGGAGATAGTATGAATTTTAATCGTAGGGAAATGCCTGGGTTGTTAATCTGTTTAAGTAATTTTGAGCTGCAAGCTCTCGGAGCTCGCGCATGCCCGTAGTACCTGGTGGGGAACGTGGGGAAGAATTATTGAGAGGGGTCGCCATCTTGTTCTCGGGAATCTGAGGGTTCTCTGAATCATCTTCACGAAGACATTGTGTGTATAATACCAGTATAAACAGGAATTACGGAAATAGCCCCACAAACAGTTATCCGAATGTATCCGACAAAATCGAACCAAAGTAAACATCTGAAGCTTCAGATGAGTATGGAGCTTTGATCTAAAACCTTCAAAGATTTCTATCACAAGGCTGTCGCTAATATTGATGATGTTCCATCGTTTAGAGACTAGTATGAATAAATCACCTAGGCAGTATAGTAATTAGTAGATAGGTCCTAAGAAGAACCTAAGATTCTTCTGTCTGCCTAATAAATGCTCGTGCTTATCTGCAGCATTCACAATCAGTTGTTCCTTGTACTCAAATGTTTAATGGACATTCGAAAGTACCACACATGTGCAGATCATAGAGAAAATGCCGTTTCTTGTTAAATCAGAATGCGTGGTTGCTGTAGCGAGTGCGTTGGTATGAGGAATCTGAGGATAAGTAGTGGATGTAGCCGGGCCGCTGCGAAGAGCCCCCAATCTCGTGCTTTCTCGCCCCCAACTGCAACTTGAACATGTGTGGGCTCTCCATCCCCTACTAATTATAACATTCGAAGGCACTGAGTCAAATATAATGGCGGTGTAAAAAGCGGTAGTCTACAAGATGGCATAAATTCTACGATCATCAAACAACACAAACATACCGAGAAAATCACTGCCGTTGAAATAAGGCAAAATGGAAACTCACTTTGTTTACTTCACGTAGTCGAAGAGTCGGAAAATAAGTCTAGCCTGATTGGGTCCAAATTGCGATGCCTGCATACATTCATTCTAGCCTGAATCATTAGCGCGCCAGGGGATGATGTGGATCGTGAGGATTCTGCGGGTTGACGTTGGTTTCTCGCAGAATAAGCCAGGATAGGTAACGGGTGAGAAGCTAAGGTCAACACTATCAAGACATACTTAAGATGCCACATTTGGCTTTGAAAATTTTGATTCATAGAGAAATGGTTTTTTTAAACTGGACAGGTAATTTCCCTTGTATATTTATTATTTTCAATCCTTGTTCGTTTCATTTTCAGCAATGGCAGCTGCATATCAAGCGCCCCACAATCACACTATAGACTCTGCACTACCACCTTATACTCTGACACACCCAACTTCAGCTGGTGACCAGAAGGGATCTGTGCTATTCCAAGATAATAATCCATACCAAGGTTCCGTATCAACTGCTCAGTGTGAGGTTCGATTATATCCAGTGTCGCAATCGACCTCGTCAACGCCTTATCCACAATATAACAACCAACAAGCATGGCAACATCCACAACATAACCGAAGTGCATCTCAGGCACAATACTCTCCGAGTCAATCGTACCCTGAGCAAGACTATTCTCAGCCATACTCACAGTATGGTCCACAGCCTACCTATAATTCTTCACCTCGGTATCCTCAACAATACTCGCAACAACGGACGCAACGGTACCCACAATCTTATCTGGGGCAATATCCCCATCAGTACTCGCAGCAGTACACACAGCCATATCAGCCAGGATATCAGCAGGGCTATTCACAGCAGTATCAGCAGTCATACCGACAACAATATCCCCAGCAATACCAAAATAGGTACCAAAATGTTGCATATCAACAATATCCTCGAAACAATGCCTATCCACAGGAAGACGATAGCACCTTTGAGCAAAATTCATCAATCCGATCAGAAAAATATGGGAAACGCCCCTGTGTCATCCCTCGTACGAAAACTCAGGTCCAAACCAATCAGTCCAACCACTAACGACGACAACAACTACAGAGGTCTCAAACGTCTTCGGTGGCTCATTCTTCAGTCCATTCGTGCGCGCCCGAGCCCCAGAACTAGAAGAAACATGGCCAATAACTGAAACGGAATTCCTTAAATTCCTCGATGACCTGAACGAGTCCTTCATCGCCAATCCAGCATTACAAGCCGCGGACGGAATCAGGAATCTCCTCGGCTTCGCTCCGTCCGCTACACTACAAATTGTCGGGGGAAGCATGAAACTGGCTGCGGAATTGGGAACAGTTGCCGCGTCGAAGATCCGAACAAAGAAATACATGAAGAAGGCGAACGCGGAAATTTTTGAACCCAAGGGTCTGCATGCGAGATTGTGCAAAACTGAGAAAATGCTGGCAATGGCTGGTTTGCCTAATGATAAGAATTTATTTATGCCAACTGCGCCTACGCCGCTTGGACCGGGAACACAGAATGTGCCGCAACCTCCACCAGGTGAGGATATTAAAATGGTTATCAGGAAGCGGATGGCTGCTTTGGGTGATAATTTTATGCCTTTTTCTCTTGATAATGTTGCGCCGCCTGCTGAGCAGAAGAGTTGGATGAAGAAGATGGGGCAGAAGGCTGCTGCTGATGCTGAGAAGGAGCAATTGAATAAGATGCATGGATTGTCGGATAGAAAGGATGTTGAGGAGGAACAAGAAAAAGTGCAGAAGGTTCAGAGGAAGATCAATGATCTGTTATACAGGATGCAGAGCATGAATCCTAGTACTAAGGATTATAGGAAAAAGCAGGAGGATTTGAGGAGGGATATGGGTGACCTCAATAAAGATCTACGGGATGCTGAGCGGGATTTACAGAAGGAGTTGAATAAGGCTATGGGTAAGGATGGGGAGCTGCAGGCTAAGATGAAGAAAGATGGTGGGAAGAAGCAAGCGAAGGAGGCGAACAAAATCTTGTGGCTCGTTATTGCTGACAAGAAGGCCTTCACCGAGGGCGATGATGATTGGGATTCGGATGATGGGAAAGGATCTGATCAGAAAGGTATGAGTGTAAAGCAGTCTGGAAGTGGTCGAAGTATTGGAACGGAAGAAAAGAAGTCACGCCGCTGGTGGAGTAAGAAATGATCTCAGTTCTTCAGTTTGGCATTAGATCTTATGCATTTGGTCACTCTAAATCAAGTTAGGTACAGATTTCACGAGTTACCGACACCGTGACTTGTGGTATCTTGGTCCTTAGAGCTAGTTTCTGCTTGATAACTGCTTCCGGCCAGTGTTCTTTTCTTAATTGTCCAACCTCAAATCCATGTCGAGAATTCATAGCTGCCATCAACTTCAACAGCCATGGCCTGACGCCATCCCTGTCCCCATCTAGGTGGAAGAACGCAATATTCAACGGGAAAAGAAGCATAAACGCCCCGACGCTTCGTAGTGATGTTTGCATATTAAAGTGTGCCATCCGACAGATCTCTACAGCAACATCATGTCGATTACCCTCCATTGGTAAAAGTGGAAGAGTTATAGGGTCAGGTTGCTGTATATAGGCTATCTCTACTCCAGCACGCTGAAGAGCCTTCATCGCGATTAATCTGGCAACACTATAGTTCATAAGCTCCGTGGCGCGGGGACGCTCATCGAACCATAGAACTTGATCAAAGGGTGTCCAGGAGGGAATATATGAGAATTGGTCGGGATCTAAGTCGACAACCGGGACAAGGTATACGGAGTCGGAGAATCGCTGCTCCCAGCGCCAGCGCCAGGCGTAAGCAGCTTCGAGCATGTCGAACGTGCGCTGAATGTGACCTGCTTTGAATTCCTCCCGTCCTGGTACACTTGGATCCCATGCATCGAGATGATCCATGTCTTCGATAACTCCTGGAGCATGAACGAGAAAGTCGAAGACTTCTTCGACCGGAATTTTGGAATTGAGACCCCGAATCTCCCATGGGATTGTTTTCCATCTCGGGTCCTCCAGAAAACAGCGTTTTCGTTGAGTGACGCAAGCGACAGTCTAAATCACATCAGTAAGTGGAGATAAAAATAGGATGGACGTACTTACGATGAGAGCTCTGAGCAGCCCCAGCAAAGCATGGCCTACTCCAACCTGGTGGCGGTGCGGACCTCTTAAAGCAGTCTGTTTCATGGTTAGAACATGACACAGCAATGAAAGAATAGCAGACTTACCAATCTAGCCATTCCATTATAGTGACTTATCCAAGCCGACGGGTCTGTGAAGGTGATCAATTCATATATTGACATGCAGACTATGCCAAGCAGCACCTCGTCCTCAAAGACGCCTCTCGGGTCTTGAAGCTGAGTTTGCAGCACCACCAGAGCGCGAGAGTAATACTTTTTACTCTTCGCCAAGAGTATTGGCGCTCCACTCATTTTACCGAAGAAAGCTGTCGCTAGAGCTCGAAATGAGCTGAAATTCAGTACACTGTCCTCTTCTTTCACTCCCAAAAGCGCCATAATCCATCCGGCTGAGTGCGGTGAGTGTGGGTTCTCATGCCAAGTGAACAATCTATCGACAAGATTTTTCTCAAAGACGAGTTGCTCATCCCATGGCGGATTAACTCTCAAGGGCAGGAATGGCTCCTCTATGAAGTCTTGTTGTGCCATCATCGTGTCATCCACAAATATGATGCTGGCCGGGCTCGACGCCTGGGTACTTGGAGAGCGCTTTCTGGCGACTTTATCTGTCACATCGTGAAATTCCGCAAACTGGACATATCCTTCGCAAGTTTTACCCGCCTTGTAACATCGTTGACAAGTGGGTTTTCCCTCGTCTATCGTGCGTTAGCCGAGGCGCGTTATTCGCGTTCTGGATAAACCACATACCACATTTGACTCTGCGTTTTCGGCATGTTTTACAGCCTTTGCTTCGACCACCCACGCCGACCATGTTGTAAATCCTGATGTCAGATTGAATGGGATTTGTGGGGTTGAGGAGGGATGTTCATGGGGTTCAGAGGGAAATCAAGCCTAGTGGACCCGTTGGGCCAATGAGGGATGTTGATCGGCAGGGCTGAGGGGGGCCGTGTTTAATGACGAAGTCCTCAAGATGAAATGAGGTAATGGACGTGAGGCGGAAGTAACTAGATCCCTGCTAACAGATAGTCCATCCTCCGTGCTTTCGTTCTCATCCAATCGAGTTTCAAATCGACTGTTGGATATGGGATTTAGTGCCCAACAAACTACTATACGGAAGGATCTAATTAACCAGGAAATGTGGAAATGAGTCAAAGCTCTGGGGCGGCCCCAGTTATGAGTTAAAAAATTGTGGATATTATCTTGTCCGTCCAAGCTTGATTTGGGTCATCGATGGTATGTAGTAGTGGTGCTCCGAGTCATGCGCGGCCTTAATCTAGTATGTGTACTTGAACCCAGGCAAGTTCCCGATCACTAGTTCTCCTCGATCCACTTTCTTGTTCAAGATATAGAACCGGATGGAAAGCAGCATAACCAGGATAATAATCAGGACTGATAGCCCAACACAGGTCAGAATGCCTGGATGGTACCCTGGTGCGTCTTGGGTTCTAAAAATAAGTGAGCCTGTCAACCCCCCTGAAGCTCCAAGACCCACCAATACTGCACTAGCAAATGCACGCTTCCATTGGCCTCGAATGTTATTTTCCTGGATTTCTAATCAATAAATTGGCTATCGCCTCGGAGAAATTCAGACTTACCTGGTATGCCATGGCTGCTGGGATATTAGCATTACATCCCATAGTGGTAAGAAAGGCTCCAACCATGCGAGGCGCAACCCCTGAAAAGAAATGAGTACTAAACCTGAATTTGACGAAGGATTAGACTTACTAAAAGGGGAAGTCCAGTAATGGTAACAAGTGCGTTGAAAATCAGGATAGGACCCCTGATATGATATTTGTCTCCAATCCACGACGTGATCACCATCAGAATACCCGCTGCCGCATACGGAGGGGCATATAGGCACAATGAAGTGCCTTCCGAAAGTCCCATCCCTTTTTTCATAAATCGTGGGCAGGAAAAATGTAACAGCGTAGGCTGTCGTGGTGCAGGAGAAATATGTGAAGCCAGATCCTCAAATATTGATGTCGAGGCCGGCTGCAAGGTACTTTCTCACATTGAAAGGCTCAAGAAGAACATCACCTCGATCTTTTTCGATTCTTCGAAGAATAAAATCGTACTCGTCATTCGACAGGAAGTTGCGCTTGTTTGATTTTATCCGATCGGGGAAGTCGACGAGAATGAACCAGCCGACCGTGGCGATGGCACAGGTGATAAGACCTTGAATGATGAGGATCCAGCGCCATGCTGAGAGGCCTTGGAGGCCATTCTATAAGCTGTGAGAAATCATTCACGTCATTTTGATAGACTTGTCACTTACCATGAAGGTAATACCGTATGACAGAATTCCTGTGAATGCTGATGCCACACATCCCAGCAGATAGAAGATCGCATATCGTTGTTGGATGTCATACCGAGTGTACCAAGTCGAGATAAGGTAGACTCACGCTGCGAAAAATCCAGCTTCGAGAGCACCGATGATAATTCGTATTCCGACTAACTGGGGCCACTCCTTGACGAAGCCACCAGATAACTATACTTGTGAGTTTACCGTTCATGTGATGGGTAATCAAGCAACACATCATGAGACTTACCATCACAGCACCCCAGACAAAACAAACTCCGGACAGATACTTCACAGGACCGATCTTACGAACCAGAATGGGACCAAATATCTGAAGGCAAATATATGGCGGGAAGAAAGAGACAGCGATTTTGTTCTTCAAGTTTGATCTGTGAGCAGGTAGGATGCATATTGTTTGTCTGGAATGGTAGCTTACATATCTGTTTCCGATCAAGTGAAGCTCCTTTTCCATACCTGCCACTGCAGCAGAGCCCGGATTTCCTCGATCGATAAGGCAGACGCAGTGCATAAACCCCAACATTAAGATCAATCGGATATCAACTCGATGAATGATCTTTCGCTGGTCCTTATAGGAGTATACAGGGTCATTATCAATGTGCTCCAGAGTGGGTTTCTGAGACTCGACAGCCTCCACATTGTTCTGTAAGTCCAGCTTTCTATCCTTGTCCGTCATTGAAGATAGAAAATCCGATTCGCTAGGTTGATATGAGATAGAACATGAATTGAAGTGTAGGCATGAGAGGTAGGTCTACACAAATATAAAGAAACTTGAGAGCATCATGATGCTCCGTGTTCCATGCAGGCAGTGTGGTGAAAAATGCGCCAATATGTTGCAATTGTCCCTTCCAAGCCCTGACAAAGTTTCTTTGAAGACAGCTTGACACTGCCCAGGTGATAGTGTGGGGTAATGAGCGCGATCTGTAACTCTTCAAGCCATGGCTTTTATTATCTCAGCTATTATTGGGTACTCAGGATCTTGCTCCCCGCATTCCTGTCAAGCATCCTTCGGCGTATCGGCGTTAATTTTTATGAGAGACTCGTCGACAATTCTGCTATCGCCGATAGTAATATTGAGCAAGAAAACAAATAGAGAACCAGCAAGCTCAGGAATCGAACCCAGGACCTTCAAAATCAGAAATGCGTGAATAGCGTCAACAGCCTCACTTGATACATCCATCCCTAAAACATAATCCCTTCTATCTCCTTCAATTATCTTTATTTTGAGGACCTGAAAAATGGAATAGAAAGAGAAAAGCTAATAGTATATAATAAGTAGAAAATTAAAAAATCAAAAAAAAAAAATCATTATCCCTAGCCGTAGCTAGATGCCCTCCCGCCCGCAGGTATTTTCTCTGCCACTGAAACCAGGCCCGGCATACCTAAATCCAGTACCTTTGTCCCCGTCGAGTCTGGGTCGCCGACCGCTCTAAGCCGCTAGGCCAAGCAGGGCAGAGATATTACCTGGGGAAGCCTTTCACTCAAATTTATGGGAACTCTGGTTCCTTGAATGGTGTTTAACCAGTTAACTCTCCACTTTCGAGTATAATCCTTAAATTTCGATATCGGAAAAAAAAATGAAAAAAGGTTTCGTTTTAAATAATCAAGGAAAGGAGAATTCCTCTTTTCACGATCCCGTGTATATCATGTTTTCGCCTCTGGCTGGGAGGTGATATCCATGCCTGGCTCCCGGCTTATGGCTTATCAACAAACCACTGGCAGCACTGGCATTGTACACTAAACATGTGAACCATACAACAACTGTAAACCCCCAAATCTCGCGCAATTAATAGACTTTATGAGATCAGTCAATGATTTCACAATTGAAATCCCATTGGCTGTTCTCTAAACCATGACCTTGAAGCTCCGAACGTTGAACTAGCTTAACGCCGAAATCCGATGGACCTCACCTTGAAGGAGAGTGCCTCAGCAATCACTAACATGAATTTCTATAAAAACAGCTATGTCGCAATACCAGTGGCATCTTACAACATTGATCTGATATCAATAGATAACTACAAATTGAACCTACTGATTGTCGGTTTGCACTTGAAGTTTTCCACATTCAACCCTCGCAACCTCTTCACAATGCCGCCTACCGTACGCCAACACTCCTCGGGCTCTCTCGATGCATTCGAACCTGTTATGGTGACTCCGGTGATCGGAAACGAATTCACCAAGGGTAATTGCAACATCGTGGATGATATTCTGAATGCTCCAAACGCCGACGAGCGTGTCCGTGATCTCGCTATCATGAGTAAGTTGCCCATCCCAGAATACTATACAACATATTAGTACCACATGCTAATAATTCTGGATGAAGTCGCCGAGCGTGGCGTTGTATTCTTTCGAGCCCAGGATAATCTCACAAATGACCTCCAAAAAGAACTCATTCTCCGCATGGGCCATTTAACCGGTCGTCCCGCTGACCATGGCCTCCACATTCACCCAGTGACCAACGATGCGCGCGAATTCGGAGACCCAGACCCCGCCATCAGCACAATCAATTCGGAAGGTCGCAAGAAGCTCTACAAGGACTCCGATTATACGCGCATGGCTGCTGTGTGGCACAGTGATATCGCATTTGAAGATGCGCCCGCCGATTTCTCTTCTTTGAGATTAGTACAACTCCCCAAAACTGGTGGTGATACACTTTGGGCTTCTGGATATGAGATCTATGATCGGATCAGCAAGCCTTATCAGAAGTTCTTGGAGTCATTGACTGCCACTTATGATGGTGTGGGATTCAGAAGAATGGCCGAGTCGGGGAAGTTTGAGTTATATGCTGGTGAAAGAGGTGCACCGGTTAATATTGGACCAAAGCTTTGTGCTGAACATCCGGTATGTTGAGTTGCTTCTTCAGGATTAAACTCCTAGACTAACATATTCTAGGTGGTACGAACTAATCCGATTACTGGGTGGAAATCTATCTTCGCAGTTGGTAAGTAAAGTTGATACCTTATCAAGAAGCACCCATTTACTTATTTTCCTGATTAGGATCTTTCCCATCGAAAATCAATGGCTTGAACCGCAAAGAGAGTGCTACCATGCTACAGTGGTTCAACGATCTTATAACATTTGGTCATGATCTCCAAGTCCGCTTCAGATGGAACGATGCAAATGATATCGGTTTGTATACATATACACTTCTCTTATAGTCTAAAATAAGCTGATCCTATTTTACAGCCATCTGGGATAACAGAAGTGTCTTCCATACTGCAACTGGAGATCACGAAGGATTTGGCCCTCGAAGTGGCAACCGAGCTGTTGGCGTGGGAGAGGTACCCTACTTTGATCCGTCCAGCAAATCCCGACGTGAAGATTTAGGAATCATGAATGATCTAGCTCCCTGCCATTTTTAAACATTCTGATGAGCTCAGGCTGTAAATAGGGAAATGAAAGGAGCTTGTCTTTCTGGTAATGAGTGAGGTTACGCTATTGATTCAGCAAAAGCTGCATATCTATTCCAATTTTGAATAAATTTTATGCTACCATTGTAAGATCTGGTTTGAATGGTCCGAGAGATGGTTTCAAGTTCATATTTGTCGGGACTGGCTAGTGCCAAGTAACATCCATGGAGGTGCCACAAGTGGTGTTAGGGAACCCTCAACAACGCCCGAAACGAAAAAGGTACATCGTCCTGGATGTGTCCTCAAAAAAGGTCGAAGATAGTAAAGGCAAAGAAAAACAGAAGGGTCAAAGGAGGGAAAGTGGAAAGCTATCAGGAGCGGGGAACTGATAATTCTCTCTTACCCCTGGATGAGTTGTTCGGTAGAACTCGCTCGACTTTAGGGGAGTAAGTTCGATGCATTAGAGGAACGACTAGATCTCCACTCTCCATTTTCCGACGGTTTTTCACACGTAAAAACTCTATCTCGATGTTATAAATTGCGTAAGTCTCTGTCTCGACGGCAGGATTCCACTCGGCTGGCCAAAACCATGGAGAGTCATGATGAGAAAAAAAAACCTCACCCTCGATGTTTTAATCATAATTCTTGGGCGGCATTGTCTCCCCCCTTGCTGTCTTGCCAGTCCACTCCAGACACTTGGGTCTTCTCATAGGAAGACGCACCTGGGGATTTGGCCTCAACCACAGCATTAAGAGCTGTTTGTTCCACCTCGCCATACCACACGGTATGAGCAGACTTTCCAGTGTCCTTGCACTCATTGCCAAAGTATTTGTTTATCGAGCTGATGACCCATGTACTTTAAGTTTCACGCAAAGACCGAGCGGACTGCGTGCCCTCCTCGAAGCAAACATGGTTTCGGGCATAGAGCAGAAGCGTATTCAGATATCTCCTCGTGTTTCCTCCGGAGCAAATAGTATTTACCTGCTGCAAACAATCCGATCCGTTTTTTGTTCACTTCTCCTGCATTAGAGAGTAGCTCGGGATCAAATTGTGTTCCGGGTAACTAGCCATTCATGTAGCCATAGATGCGATCCAGGTTCTTCGCTTTTTTGAGATATTTGCGAGTACTGTGTCTCTTTGACTCTCTAGAGCTCAGTATCATTGCGACTGTCATCTAGTACAAGCCAGCAGCTGGTCCTCTGAAAGCGAACTGATGAGGCTTTCTTGGTTGATGATCTTTGCTGTCTCTTTGCCGATTATTCGAACTTGTCGAAGTCATACACGACCGCATTTTTCGAAAATGAAATGCATCAGGCTTCAGGAACTTGAGTCATAGTTGATAGTCGGTGTGCGTCTATCGTGTAGAGGGGTGGAGCCTTTGGATTAACAAGCCATAACCCAGCACCAAGATGCTGAGAATGTGATACCAGGATTGACCAGGACTTTAAATTTTGTTCGCGGTGGGTTTGAGGCTGGCTCTGCTGTAACGCTGACAGGATTGTCTACCAGATGTAGCCATCACCATTTGTAGAGTGGCGTCCTGGTACGCTCTCTCCAGGATGCGCTCATCAAAGAGACCTTTCTTTCGCCATCTGGTGTTTCTCTAGGCTTATAAAATTGGGGATATCGTCCATGAAGAGGATTTGGTGGTTTTTGAGCATCTGGAGTTTTTTGTTACTTGAACGAATCCTCCCGATCAAAGGGACCCCTATCCGTCATCTCTGCCCGCAGAGTCGAGGGCATTGGCCAACTTGGTGTCATTAACGCCAAATTTTAAATAGCTGACATAGGTATGTTCGTTCTCGAATACCTAAATCTTGGCCAACACCAAATTGACCGACTGTGAAATCCCTAGCGCCCTTGAGGGTATCACCAACTTTGTCCTGATTTTCCAGACTTTGTCGCAGCGGTATATTGCCCGCCACAGAGGAAGCATTAGTCCTTGTAGATAAAGAAGAAAGGAATTCCGAAAGCTAGGGCAAATGGAGCAGGCGAGGTTGGTGCCCGATCTTGTTATCATCGGCAGGGTTGAAGGCCTTCAAGTGGACCAACGCTTGCCCCTCTGAATTTGGGGCACTTTCTTCAGTGTTGATAATGAGGTAAATTTGTGGTGGTCTCCTGCTTTGGTGCTTTTTCGCCTTCTTTAGCAAACCAATGGTCAAGACCGAATCGACATTGGAAATGAAGGACCGGGATTTGGCATGTGGTCTCAATTTTCTCTTCTTCATATTTTCGGTAGACTCTCATGTATAGATCTAGCAGAACATTTCGATGCCAATTCTTCGGAGTCTGTAGCGCAGTCTGAGTCCACAGAGCCTTCAGCTAACCTGTGAAGTCATTGTATTTGAAACGGCGATGAGAAAAGGGAGGTGAAAAGAAAGTTAGGAGATACACTTAGGTACACCGTCCACACCTCCTACGTAGTTATACGCAGGCTGTAAAACGTGACATATCGCTCGTGTATTTTTCAGTTCCCTCTTCTCCATGCGTCTTTCAACTTCCAAGATTTTGTATCACTCTCCATGGCGTTTTCATTCTGCCCACAACCTTGAGGTCTCCACAGGTATTCACATGAGAGACATAATCTCTCAACTTTGGAAAGATTTTGAATAGTGATCGCTTTCTCTATTCTGGACTGCGAATCAATTGTAAGGAAACATCGATTTGGTCGAAGACTCTTGAGTCATATCTCAAATCACCAGTATCTTTGACGCGGTTCCGACTGCAAGGTTAATTTTAGCTTGACAGGCTGGACCGTTCGGTGAGATGTTGATAAAACCTGCTTCTCTGATATCAGAAAGATGGGTGCATATTGAAGATCCAAGGAGCTTACCGAAACATCGTACCCGTTTTTTAGACACGGGGATGTTCTGGAGGAATGGTGATGTGTGTCCTGACCAGTGCCCTGTCCAGCTGCGTTTAAACTCTCTGTATCTCGCGTATAACTGTCCATATTCGATCTATCCATAATGAACTAGTTAATATTAGTCTTTCTTGCTTCAAATGGCTCTTACTATACCGGTGAGTTTAGTATAGGAATCTCCCTCTTGGAAATTTCAAAGAAATTCACATCATTTCCTTGTTGGCCCATCAAAAGACTCGTTTTATCGTTAGAAGTATAGTAGCATCTATCTTTCTCGAGTGTTTCTCGTCAACCATGATTTCAACCGGATCGTTTCCAGTCATTTTGACTGATGAAACCGGCACGAAGTTTTTCATGGATTGAGCGATGAGGTGGCGGAGCTCAACTCCAGGCAGAAACCCTAGGGCAAGATAGACTGCCGTCGTAGGATGTTTCCTAATGCGCTGTCTGCATGTTGTTTCATTGACTCGGCATGACATGCATGACCCTCCTACCACATTCCACCCATAATCCGTCGGGCCTGTTGTAGAAGTTGACCTCTCTCCACAGGAATAATTATTCCAGTGCTGCTCTTCTTCCTTTCTGTTGTCCCTTAAGTCAGGCGTACTTCAGATCGGCGAATGATTTTGCTCTTCAAGTTCAGATATCCTGTAAATCAGTCAGATCATGATTCCCATTCCCGCGGGCTTGATGAGTTCTTTCAAACCTGAACAGAGATCAGGGACTCCGATTCCGTTATGTCGTGGCCCCTTATCGACTCCCGATGGCATTGTTCTAGTTGAACGTCGCGATATATCTGAAACACCATGGTAGGTAGGGATCTAGATCATCCGCTTCATAGCCCCGCATAGCTCACGAACATGTTGAGAGTTCGAGTCCTGCGGTTGATATGGACCGTGCAGAATATCGGGAGGCTGTGTATATGTTCTTTTGGAGTTCGGTGTTGGTCCCTAGAAAGTAAATACGTTAGCTTATACTTCGGCGATGTCAGGTTTAAATGGTTGATGAATCACTTACTAGGCTTTTTGGGTCCCAGACTCGACCGCCGGTAATCGATCATGGTTTTCCAGTTTGTCTTCCATTTTGACAACATCAATCACAGGAGCCGTCGTAGCAGTGGAATTTCTTCAAGGGTAGCCAAAGCACATTGCTCTAGAGTCAGCACCCATATATAGCATGAGCTTTTTTGGTCGGCTGTTCTTGTTTGTAGCTGTATGCCTTAGCCTTGAAGATAGTGTAAGATGGAGAAACTGAGAGTTGAGGGTGTGGAATGCAAGAAGGAGTAAGAGTGCCAAGGTTGAAGATTTGGATGTAGTCGGTTGATGAAAGAAGGAAGAATGAAGAAGACAGGAGCAAGAGGAGGTGGAGTTTAAATAGGTTTGCTAAATAGATACCGAGTAGGTACAAAGGTTGCTCAACACTACTAGTAGCAATAGCAACCAAAAAGAGTGTATGAATACTTAGAGCAAGATTTCTCGGACTGGCAATATGTAAGAACTTGAGATCAATTAATTCATGCACCAAGCCAGAATAGCCCAACGCGGGTATATTCAAGCTCTCTCCGATTATATTATGATAGTTGAAGGGTTATACGAGTAGTGAGTTAAGGCTCTAAGCTCATACCAAGAGATTCGCCAAAGAGATTCCATTCGGAATTAAGGTAATCGCATATCCTATCAAGCTGACAGGAAATGAACTTGAGAGGGAGAATATTGACCTCTCTTGGTTGGTTTCTTGGTACAGTCCATTCACAATCACTTGAAATAAGTTTAATTTGTGAACTCATTCTCAAAGTTACGCATAAAACGCATTGACAGGTGAAAGTGGTGATTTATAGATTCCATGCGCCCTCTTCCAAAAACGATGTGTCAATCTCAGTTGCCCAGATGTTTTCCGAGAAAGCACCGTGGAAGGTGGTGTCCAGCATATCTGTATGGTCTCCGCTAAAAAGACTTTGTAGATTGGAAGGTAATCCTGGGATGTCTGAGAAGATATCCGCTATTTGGAAATCATAAAGCTCAGATCCCATTCCTTGTGGCTGACCATGATGAGAAGGATGCATGTGGGTTTCCACCCCTGTGATGGAGTCTGGAGTAGTAACAGAATGTGAAAATTGATTATTTTGTGCTTGCAGATGAGGAGGGACACCAGTATCATGTGATGGAACAGTCTGGTATGCAGCCTCAACGTACTCCATTGCTCGATTTATGACGGTCTCAAGCCCATCTCGGTATTTCTTCAGTTTCGGGTTCCTTTCCGCCATGACGGAAAGTGTGGATGAACATGCCCGAATATCGTTTGACACTGCAGGGGACCAGAGACTAGGACTTCGGAAAAGACAAAAGCTTGAAAGAAGTTAGCAGATGCTCTTATGTATGTGTCTAGGTCAACCTACCACATAGTAAGTCCTGCCATGAACACAGAATTGACAAGCAAGAATGAATGACCCGATGAATCTCTTTGATGAAGCTTTTTGAAGAGCTGACACATTTGACCTGATGCAAATAAACATGTGCTGATGAGTTTATCCTGCGGGGGAAGTATAGTGAGAAAAGGCTGCAAGAGGATTCGAACTGAATTGTTCCAATGCATCAGCACAAAGTCCTCTTCAGCCAGATCCAGCGAAGGAAGTGTTTCTTTGAACTCTTGTAACATTGACATGAGTGGAGGGACTTCGGGGAGCAAGATGGAATTTTGCTTATCAACGCGATAGATGCGGGTTTGTATCTGCGATACTATTCTTTGCAATCCTATCGATGCAATGAATCTCCCTAGAGTTGGCTTATGCTGCTGAGAACGAGTGCTGGGATAGTATTTGTTAATTTTTTCAAAAGCCTCGTCACTGTCGATTGCATCATCGACGTTATACGGGGATTTAGTGTCGATCTCCTCTTCCATGATGCTAAATGGTCGACCTAGAGACCAAGCAGTGTGTCTTTCGATGAGATAGACACTCCAAAAAAGGCGACGCTGTAACTGGGCTTCGTAGGGCCGTAGAGCTTTGTATCGCATCTCTCTATGGAGTCCAAAATCGACACAGGCTCTCATTGCTAGACCAATCATGTACCAGACACTAGAGTTTGACGTTGATCGAAGGTTGTATAGTACCATTAGTAACATTGCTTCTATACTGGCAATGGAAATTGACTCTCTCAGTGTTGGATCGAACTGGAGGGCTGTCACTAGAAATGCATTCGGCGGTGTCGATTCATATGTTTGAGTCATTTTTAGGATAGCTGCACCAATCGCATATACCATGAATATTCTGAATTGACCAAATTGCTCATCGGGATTTGTGCCAGCTTCTTTATGTCTTCGAGCGTGTAAGCCAAGGATCTCATTGCGATCTAAGAACGGAAGACGGATGTGCATATTCTTGAAATAGGCATCCAGGATGCGAGAGCCGATTTCATCGTCGGGTGGAGGTGCTTTAACATGATCACCATTCTGTAGCGATGAATCTTGCGTCTGATTATTGGAGTTCACAGGAAGCAACTTCCCCACGACTGTATCCTGGATCATTCGGTTGACGTTCTCTACCATGGAGACTCCTGATGTCGGCCCAAGATATTGTTGATCTTCATTTAACCCGTGACCGAGTGTCAAGAATCGAACGACTCCATCTAAGTGATGGAATTTGGTTGACTTCCAACGAGAAGACTGCTGCCTGGCTGTTATATCAGGTTGTTCGGAATTATCCCGACCGGCGATGCTATTGACTTCCAGAGCAGCCAGTTGATCTTCAAGCAGCTCAATTCGGCGTACGAGAGCCCCCTTCGACATAGCATGGTGCCATGATGGTGCGCTCTCACTGCGTGAACAGGACTCGCTGGCATTTTCGCAATTGGTACATGTTGGGAAGCCCACGCATTTCTGTTTGCGCCGATGGCATCGTCGACAGGATATTGGAATGCGCTTCCGAATTTTTGACTGGGTGTCCATAGGCGGGAGCTGGGTTCAAAAAAATTGCAAATTTGAGGTTATTGAACGGTTTCCCCGCAATATCAAGGATTCAAGGTGTAGGCCGAGGAGTAGCTGTTTAAGTTTTGTGTTGGTGCACGATGGTGGAGTAACGGGGTCTAAGCACGCCATCCGCGAATGATTTGCGACATATTAATATCAAGCTATGGATGGACTCAAAGTCAACATGGCAATAGTATTGAATGGAAAGTCAGCTTTGTCAAGACTCAAGACAGCTGGCTTGGATCTGTTTGTGCAGGGGCTTCCGTGATTTGCCGAGGATTGTGGAATAAGGGAAGAATAATGAAGACTTGGAGTAAGAAATGTGTGAGATATCATGATGCGGTCAAGTTCTTATGTTATTCCACTTTGAAGGTATACCTAGGTATTTCTATCAAAATTGTAGGTGAAGCCACAGGTGTACAACCTTTAAGTGGTCGTCGTCAACTGGTTCAGAGAAGTTGTTTGTTTGCGCCTAAACTGTAAGGCATCCAGTATCATCAGATCAAATGTGGAGAATTTGACATTTTCATCCTCGTCTATCTTGACCATATCATGCAAGAAAAGTCTTCAGAGATTTAAATAATTTTTAAACTATTAATCTCCCTCCAGAATGTACTTGAAACTGACTATCTCGTATCTCGTCGCTAAAAAGAACCGGTAGTTGACACCGACATTCCCCTATATTAGATGCAGCGTTGCATTAAACTAGCTTCTGGGCGTTGGGCATCACGGAATGTGCTAGAATAGCATGTTTGAGAATGGTACTTGCAATAAGAGATCCCAAACTAGCTTGAATAAACCAAGTGATGAAGCTCTTTTCCTGGTCGAATATTTAATTCAAGGTTGAACATGGTCATTTTCATGGATAGAGCTCAACATGTGAATAGAGACACAAATACTTAGATACTTCCCCTTCTCCAAGTACTTTCTTCAAGTACTCCGTACTTCTCCTTCAAACCTTTTACAATGTTTCTCAAGGCTAGACCTCAATAGAACACGGGAACTGGTAGATCTAACCGAGGCCTGAACTTGTCAATATTTGGTCATTTCCTCCAATGGAATGGGTTCCTGTGGGGTTCTGGGTCTACAAAACCGGTTTCCCACGCGAGCCTCGCTTCTGTCATAATTTCCTACGGAGTAACACTATCTGGGGGAAATCTTCAGTGCTTCACATCGTAACAAAAAAAATATATATCACATATTAGCAGGAAATGCTCGTGGGTGATTTCGATGAATCGATCAGGCTCTCTCGCCTACCATCTGCCACCGTGTGATGCTGAGCGTAGAAGAATCCAGGAATTATCTAGGTGCGTCTTCAAATGTTACTAGTAAAGTTGTTAAGGTTCCTGTCGATCCAATGCTGACCATTACCATAATAGGTACTATTGTACCCTGGATCGACCACCATGCCCAAATTCAAAGAATGGCCATGACGGTGACAAGAGCGAGGCTCCAAAGGGTGATGAACAACCAACTGGTGCGATCTTGTCCGCCGATATCACACTCACAGCATTAGCGCAACTCGGTGTACTTCGTATGGGATGCGAACGCTCTTTTGTATCGATCATTGATGGCGATAATCAACACATCATCGCGGAAGCCACTGCTTCAATCTCGATTCGGAATATAGATCAACACCTCCCCGACGATGGAATCTACCTTGGTGCCCGGACGCTCGACTTGGTTTGGGGAGTCTGTCCTCATACTGTTGGCCTCTTCACCGGCCAGGACCTTTCATCCATTATCGACACACCCAACGTGACTGCCAACCAGACTCGATACATCATTCGCGATTTCACCAAGGAGGACTGTTTCAAGGATCGACCTTATGTTCGGGAGTGGCCATACATGCGGTTCTATGCAGAAGTGCCTTTGTACAGTCCCTCTGGATATGTACTTGGGTCATTCTGCGTTGTCGACAATAAACCACGGGACGAATTTGGGGATGCGGATGTCGACACTTTGCAGGAGTTATCCGATGCCATTGCACACCATCTTGAAAATACCCGGATCGTGCACTATCATAGCCGCGCTGAACGACTCGTCAAAGGATTAACGACTTTCGTCAAGGATTACGCCGACTTCGATCCACGGGAGGCTTCGAGTAATCATCTGATTCAATCGACTACACAAGCTGCCAATGCTGGGGAATTAATCGGTGGCGAACAGAGACCAGCGGATTCGTCCCCAGTAGGAGCAAGTACCAGCAGTACTGTTCTTTCCAGTCCATTTGAAGAGCCCTCGCCGATGTTTTTCACTGGTCCAGCTTCGGGGAGCACTGATCTCTCGTCCATGAACTCCAATCTGTCAGATCGCCAGTTCCCAAGCCCTGGCGAAGAAAAATCACTTTATGAGGTCTTGAACTCTGGAGCCATAGCTGCTAACTCTGTTCCTGAGAATACTTCTGCGGTATCATTGACAGACAGTATACCCTTGTCCGATCGCATCGGAACGATATTTAGTCGCGCGAGTGTTCTCTTAAAACAGTCCATGAATCTTGACGGTGTCACATTTCTGGATGCAAGCCGGACAAACCCTTCTTTGTTAGTATTTTGAGTAATAGAATAAAGAAAAGATTCTAATACCTAACTCTAGTCTCCCCTCTGCTCAGCAAGATGGCTGGGAACCCCTGCCGAAATCCGCCACCACGCCTTCATTCCCAGCAGGCCCACTTTCGAGTCCGATGAGCCCCTTGACCAATGCAACAAATGAGCCGAAAACGCCATGTCAGGTTTTGGGATCATCTTTGAGAAAGTCTCCAGTACAGGGTCTTGACAAGGATGATCAGCTAGTAGTTCCGGAACACTTACTCGATACATTGGTCACGCATTTTCCACAGGGACAAATTTTCAACCTCGCTGAGCAGAATGATGCGGATGATTATTGGGGTCAAGATGGCAGCAATATTGACACCGAGGACCCGTCAAAGAATTTCGAAAAGATCTCCCTAAGCCTGGCCAAAATCATTCCCAGTGCCAAATCAGTTTTGTTCTTCCCCTTGTGGGATTATCATAAATCACGATGGATGGCAGGAACTCTTGTATGGACTCGGGATAGTCGTCGACCACTTGAAATGGAAGAGCTGCACTATTTCAAGGTCTTTGGGGACTCTATCGTATCTGAGATTTCTCGAGTACACTGGAGTACGACAGAAAAGTCAAAGTTCGACTTCATCTCATCTGTTAGTCATGAGCTCCGCTCGCCATTACATGGCATACTCGCCAGCGCTGAGTTACTGCACTCCACCCCTCTCTTACCTGCCCAAGAGGAGATGGTCAAGATGATCGAATCGTCTGGACTTACCTTGCTTGACACCACTGATCACCTGTGAGTATTCCTACCCTAAATGACTCAACAATAACCACTAACACTGTACCAGTTTGGACTTTTGCAAGATCAACAATCTGACGCAAACGAAGACCAATCGGAAGAAACGCAGTAAAGCTGAACAGTCGAGTCTAGTCTCTGACTTCTACCTCGACCAGCTTATCGAAGAGGTCACGGATATTCTGTATACTGGGCAAAAGGTCCAGATCATCGGTACTGGGGATATTAATGATGCATCTTCCCAAGGCTCTATCCACGACGATACAGAGATGTCCGTTGTGGTGCGTGTTGAGCAGTCTCAGCACTGGAATGTTCGTTCTCAGGCTGGAGCTTGGCGAAGAATTGTAATGAATCTGCTTGGAAACTCCATCAAGTGGACCAAGAAAGGCTTTGTGGAAGTTTCACTCTCGCGATCTCGACGCTTGTCCGATACACAATCCTTTATTGCCCAACTTACTTTAACTGACACGGGTAGCGGCATTGCGCCTGACTTCTTAAGGCACAAGCTGTTTTCGCCTTTCACGCAGGAGGACTCCCTTGCTGAAGGTGTTGGACTCGGTCTCAGCATTGTACGCCTTCTAGTAGCTTCGCTTGATGGACATATCAATGTGAAGAGTGAACTCGGTGTCGGAACACAGGTCGATGTCTTCATTCCGGTGCAATATGTCTCAGCTCCTGCAGAGAGCAATCACCAGGATTTTCCGGATCCCTCCCAAGATCCCTCCCCGCGCCGTCAGGCCTGTTTGGTTGCTTTTAATGAATATCCAGACTTAAAAGAAACGCCAACGGGTCTTTTGACAGCCGAAGCAAAACGCAAATTATCTATTCAGAGTACCCTGGCTGATATCTTTATGTCTCGATTTGGGTTGGGTGTCTCCCTGGCTGAGTCTCTGGATAAAATACAGGGTGATGTTGACATTGCTGTGATTGAAGAGGAGACACTGCAAACTGAGATCAGTGACCGTCACTCATTGGAGGGTCTTGCATCGACTTATGGTGTAAAATTCTTTATTGTTCTTGGGAACAAGTTTTCCATTCTTGACGATGCCGTTGGATCTAACTTTGTTCGCGTGTCGCAACCGTATGTATCACCCACAAGGTTGATCACCATTTCCTAACATTGAATAGATTCGCACCACGGAAGATCCAAGGAGCCGTACAAAAAGCTTTGGAGTTTCTCAAATCTCCCAATAGGAGTGAACTCATTCCTCAACCGGACCCTATTCCCTCTGAGAAGACCCTTCCAATTCGTCAACCCACTGAATCAGATACGAAGGAAGAAGACGAAATGACTCCAAAGTCCCCTATAGTTGAACTAACCTCGCCTCCTCTCGAAATCACACAACCATCTTCATCAACACAAACAAAGACCCTCAACGTCCTTGTTGTCGACGATAACAACATCAACCTCAAGGTGAGATCTCAATCCCCCGGTCCCAAGTTTCATACAAAAAACTAACCCTCAAAATTCTATAGATCATGGCAACATTCATGCGAAAGATCGGGTGCACATATGACACAGCATCAAACGGTCTCATCGCTCTGGAAAAATACATGGCCTCCACAAAGCCATACGACTACGTTCTAATGGGCAAGTTATACCTCACCTGCGTGGTTTCAGTTTCCCACCTCCTGCTAATGACATGCAGATATATCAATGCCCGTAATGGATGGCCTCGTATCCACCAGTAAAATCCGCCAGTATGAAAAAGAGAAGGGTATTACCCCTTCTTGCATCATGGCTGTCACTGGCGTTGCTTCCGACGCAATGCACCAACAGGCTTTAGCGGCCGGGGTAAATGACTACTTAATCAAACCACTCTCGCTTACGGAACTGAAGAGAATTATTGGGACTTGATGATACCATTGAATACGATTGGCGAATAGGAGTCTTTTTTTTCGTTCTAGCGAGAGGCAGTTGTATGTACATGCGCAAGCAATAAGCCACTTTTAATCATATTTATCACATTTATCACATGAAATTCATTTCTCAGTAGTTCAAGTTACCAGTGCCTAGATCGGTAAATTTATGGAATCAAGGTTGATGTGACTGCTCCGGCCTCTGAGCTCCAAGTATAGTCCCCCAAATACCAAGTGCAACAGCCAACATGGCCAAAAGAATAGGCTGAAGTATACACACCCCCTTAGCCTGAGAAATCGCACCGATAAAAAACGGAAAAACAGCACCCCCACCCATCGACAAAGCCGCCGCAAACCCAATCGCAGCAATATGTAAATCCTTAGGTAAAAGCCGTGTGGCAACAACGACAACACCGGGGAATATCGTCCCCAAGAAAAATCCAACAAGGGATACTGAAACAGCTGAGACGAAGAAGTCCGGCACAAGCCAGAATACAAACTCTAGTGCCATGGCTAGAACGAGGTATAGAGCTATAGATAGCTTCTGGCCAACACGCGGAGAAACGAATCCTAATACGAATCGTCCAACTGTGATACCGAGCCAGAACCCCGTTTCGGTCATTCCAGATGCGAAGGCACTACCGTGTCGTATATTCGTCATGAAGAGAACGACCCAGCCGCCGATTGATACTTCGATCCCACCATATAAGAAAAGGAATATGGCGCTTATCCAGGTCACTCTGTATGTAAGCGAAAGACGAGTTTGAGAAAATGTACCGCCTGAACCTCTGGTTCGTGTGCTTAGGTTTTCTATTCGGTACTTGGATCCTGATTCAGTCCAGAATGCTGCTGCTGAGTATGCCAGCTCGATGGCGGCAGCTCCGATCTGAAGTATGTCAGCTTTGGTAACTAGAGTAAAGTGAATTCAACATGAACTTACCATCAGGTAATAGAATTTGTACCATTCCCAATTCGCTTTTGTTATTAGACTTGTAGCGATGAGAGGGCTGATAGTTGCTCCCACTCCGAAGAATCCATGGAAAAAGCCGAGGACTTCGTTAAAATTTGCCATGTTTCCTATCCACACGTTCCATGCTGCATTTTGCAGGCCACTGCCGAACCCAACAAATATGTACGTGATCACCAACACTGGAAATGGTGGATGTATGGATATGATGATGAAGGTGAATAGATGACAAGCTGGACCGATGACTGCGATTCCGCGTCGACCCAATCGTTCGTGAATTGCATGGTTCAGAATGGCTGATATAGCATACCCACGAAAGGAGATAGGAAGATAAGAGAGATTATGGTATAGGTTTGATGATAGTATAGTTCGAGCTAAATGGTTGTCATTTGATATTCCTGGCTATGTGGGTACTCATATCAAAGTCGGAGAGGATGCACTCACGTAGGGGATTATCGCTCCATATGCAGCATCATTAGCACCCATCACAAAGGAAGAAAGAAATGTGGCTGTGAGCCTCCATATCATGGTCTTCGATTCGTTCCATCGTGGTGCAATGTTCACGGCATGTAGAGGTGGGGCATCATCAGGGTTCTGAGTAACTTCGGTATGCTCTGGGGGCTCTCGTGGGATATCTGATTGGGATCCTGTTGAGGAGGCTAGAACAGCAGGGCTGGGTTGGGGTAGTTCAGGCTCGATAGTAATGCTCATTTTGAGTAAAGGTGGCCTTGTATCTCAAACCTTGCAAGTTGGTGAAAGCGCAGACTATGAAGTTGATAATCAGATGCGGGGAATACGAGTCGAAGCCCCTCCTCAGATGCTCGTATTGAGTAGGTAGTATATTCATGCTACTACTAATGAATGGGTGGCCTTATTCTCCCAATATAAGAACAAAGATCAATTTGCAGATGCCAATGTTGATAGTGAGGAAATACTATGTATACGATAAATAATATGATCCCCTTTATTATGACTCGTTTCGACTGGAACTTGAAGAAATCATACCCCCCATACTACATACTGCCCAGGTGAAGAATAGATACCACATGGATGTATTATGTACTAGTATAACTAGTAGTTGGAAGTATTCTCCAGCCTTGGAAACAATGTGAGGCTGTATGTACTATAAACCTTTCTAGATACAACCTAGCCGACTATTTCCTAGTATGTCCACGGGTACCAACATTGAGATCATCATCGGCCCCTCTTATTCCAACTTTAATTTTCTAGTTCAAGTTAAGGCCTTGAATCCTGCCCGGAGGATTAATAATATTACCCTATTACCAGCTTACATATCCAAGAAAATGCCCAGTGCCAAGTTGAAACTAGCCTAAATACGCCATTGACGTGTAGTTGGTGTGGGGCGACGTACGTCGACAAACCGGGTTATGTTTCCAATGCTGATCTCTGTTTTCTGCATTAGTTTGTTGAGTTGATGATTCTTGCAGGTCGCCAAGGCTTGGCTCTGTGTAGGGCTGACGCCTCTATGAAGCATTTTGAATGAAAACCAGGCTTAGGTTGCATTCATACCCTCAGGGCTGAGGTGAAGCGTTGAGGTGGGATGTTGTTATGCAGTAAGGACTTCAAGCAGTTGTTGTTTGGGTGAAGTAAGTTTCAAAACTGGACCGTCGGATATATTTGGACGAAAGGAAACCAAGACTATTGCGTTAGCCCTTGAAATCTACGGTATATGCAATGTAGACTGAGTCAAAAAAACTCGCTAAGACGAGAATAAATTTAGCTCGTGATCACGATGATACAGAGATACCTATATACAAGCTAGAGAGCGCCACCGAAGCACAAAATTTGAAGCAACGCAAAGCGAGAAGATCAAAACAAGGATCGGGACTTGCGCTGCATGCCTCGGAAGAAGCCGGAACGTAAGGATTGAATAGAAAACAATGAACCGGATTCCAGATGTGAAATTGCGCCACTGCCTACAATGGACATTTGAATGTGAAACGACAGGTGAGTGTGACAAGTGGGCGTGATAAGAAGAAAACAGGAGGTATTTAGGAGGTTGAGGGAGGTGTTACGGTAGCTTAGAGAATAGAAACAAGTGATTTGATGAGATGGTCTGCATTGTGTAGCAGAGGATGAGGTGGGGCATCTATTCCTGTCCAAATCCAAGGGTCTCCTCCACGGCGATGGACATTTTATGTTCCAGGGCCTCGTGAGTCTTGTAAGGTGGCAGATCAAGACGGTTGAAGCTAGATGAAGTCAGCGGGTTATGTCATAATGAATGGAAACTGAAGCGGGCCATACCAGGTGTGAGACTTAGGGGAGAGCAGCAGGATCGCCAGACTTCTCAATAGTGAATCGTCGAGGTCCATCGGAACCTTGGAGATCCTTGAAACCGTTGACAGGGATACGGGAGGTTCCAGTAGTGAACTGAAGCAGACGAGACTTCTGCTCCGCATCCCATGTGCGAACGATCTTCCAGAAGTTTTGGATAACTTCATCCTGCTCCTGGTAACCGCGGTAATCGGTGTGCTTCTTCCAGTCGTCCACGTCGATATCGGCAATACCACCAATAAGCAACTCCAATTCTCGCTCATCAAACACATTAACAAGATCAGGGGGAATTAATTCGTTGAATCCAGACATAAAAGCATTGAATTGTTCCTCCACCCGCTTCATAATCTTCCACTCGGTAACCAACCTACATAGGTCAGTACTTGTTTATATACTTCCAGATAAAGGCGACTTACTCAATGTATTGTGGCTTGTTCTCATTGGTGACGGGGATATCCCGACCACCGGGTATCAAGTCAATGGTGCGACGCTCACCGAACTTCTCATCATCGACTGAGAATGTAAGCTCGATAATACCTTCGATATCATTATCCCTGGAATGTATTGTTAATTGATACATCAAATGCGGGCCATCGGGGAAGCGGTCTTACAAAGTCCATGCTAAGTTGCGATGGAGATCTTCATCCACACCTTCCATATCTTGCAGGGTAACCTTCTTGCGGAGCATCATCTTGTAGAATGCACCAATGAAGAATGAATCTAGGAAACGACGATGGAAAATGGCCAGGCCAACAACTCGGCCAATGAACTTGAAATAATTGAGATGCTCGGGGTTGACACCAGAGTGGGGATTAATCTGCAGGGTATAATTATCGTGGGCGGAGTATTCGAAGAGACAGTAGAAAGGATTGAACATTTCGTGGGAAAGGAGGAAGAAGAATTCACTGTACACATGTCAGTAGAGGTTTCAATAGGATGCCACAATTGGGGAAAACATACCGAGAAAGACCACCGTAGTCAAGACCGTCTTCACCGTCGAACTTGATCATCAAGCGCTTCTTCAGGTCGGACGCACTCTGTCGCATAATCTCGGCGTACGAGTCCTCGAATATATTATTACGGCGGACCTTAACATGACATTGTCCGGACATAATCCGCAGAGCAGGTTGAGACCGGAAGTAGATAAGCTTGCGGCGGAAGTCACGCTTATACTGTGGAACACCTTGATCCAACGAAGAAGGCAGACGAGGGTCATCCCAAGTCGTGGTCTTGGTGTTGTGGTCCACAAAGTAAACACGAGCAGTGTTCGTCAGACGCATTTCCCATCCACTGGGCAGAGGGCCCAGTTGAGAGACAGGCTGTTGCTGAATCGTAGTATTATTTCCACCCTGGTTCTGGTTCTGGCCATACATACGGATATACTGCTGGCGACGGGGGTCGACCCATGTTGTGGTGCGGGTATTATGATCAACAAAATATGACCGACCTTCAGGGGTATTTCGCTGTTCCCATCCTGGTGGAAGCTCACCAGTGCCTGCAGTGGTGGCCCCCGTTGCCATCATCGAAACAGCATTTGCGTGGGATCCTGGGGCAGCGGCAGATGGAGGCGCTGCGGAAGGAACTTGAACACCAGGGGGTGGTGTTTGTGGCTGCTGGGAATCCGGCAAATTGGGGGGAACTGGCGCCAGTTCGGTCCTCCGGGAGCATTCGGCTCTGATGAGCCCGACGTTCGAGCTGCATATTTGCCTCACGCTGACTTCGATGGGCGGATTCGTTGTAGTTAGCCGAAGGCCGCGACCAAGTAGTGGTGCGTGTATTGTGATCCACGTAGTAGGTGCGACCCAAGCCATCCTCTCGTCGTTCCCAACCTGCGGGCAGGCGACCCTGGCTGTCTTCAAACGAACTGAGGTTGGTTCGAGACGCAGCACTAGCACTAGGGGGAGCGGCGGAGCCGTTCAAAGCGGGAGAGGCGGCCGGCCCGCCAGAAGTCGAAGGGGTGCGGTTATTCAACGACAGGTTCGACATAGCCGCAGCCATTTGTCCATCACTTTGGCTAGGACCAGCCTGCGATGAGGGAGTCGGCGATACGACTTGCGGGACGAGACCACTAGAGGTTGAGGCTTGGGCGTTTTGCGGGCGCTGAGAACCGCCATTCTGATTGGGATGGGTGGTAGTAAGGTTTGTTGAAAGATTAATGATCAACTTGCCATGGACAATGAGGTTATCATTGGATTTTTTGAGGTCGCGAGTGAGCATCTCTGTTATATCAGGTTAGTTCCATTCAATCGCGCGCGGGGATCCCACGGGTTCCACCACAACGTACCATCACCTCCCATCTGAAGATCAATGACATCGCCGATGCGAACATTGATGACACCGAGAAAGCCCTGATCCTTCTTCTTAAATTTCTTCTGGTCGAAAATCTGGATTGCAAGAATGCTGTCCTCGTTCACCTTCCTATATCCATGATCACCGCCGTTAATAACGCTCTCTTCCTCGATCTCCTGACCAAGTGGGGCATCGTCACATACAAGTCGAAAGGTTCATTCCAGTAAGGGTTCAAAGTCTTCTTAATCACGGAGGTGGTGTGAGTTTGCTCGCCGCCGACCGTAGCTACGGCGAATGGATCAGGAAAGCCTAGAGCGAATAAGTCAGTTGGACCCCCGCTTGGGGCCGAACCACGTAACTGCCGAGTGGGAAATGACATACGGAAGACATCGCGTTTGTAGAGACCGTCCGCCGCAATAACTGTAGAAGTGAAACCCAAGAATGTCAGTTTTTCAATTTTCTGTATATCCTAACAGACCCCGCAAGGTCCCGCTTCTTGCGAGAGGAACAAGCAATCTTACTCGTGACTCGGAGATTTGCCTGACTGTAACGTGGGCAGGTTAGCATTGGTAAAGTAAAATGGGAATAAATGAGAATTCTCCCGAAGTTGCATGCGCTTTTAAGTAGGAGAGGAGGATCAAGACTAGGAGACATACGCAGGTAGATTGGAAGCCATGGTGGTTCTGGTTGCTTTTCACAGCACACCGGTTCGAAGAGGCCGATCAATCAAGGCCGATAGGAACACGGCGCGCGCATCCAGGGGAAGCGGGGGAATCGCGGTATCGTCAAATCGCCCACCAGAATTAACGTCACGAGGGTGAAGTGACCGGTATGAAAGTGGGTGGGTGGAGAGAGAGGGGGTGAGGAATGGAGAAATTTGGAGGAGAGAGGGAAGAGGGAGGGAAGGGTTGGGCGTAATTCACTTTGCGGGATGGTATGGCGTAAGTACTCCCACCACGTATTTACTATGTGTTTGGTACTTAGACAATACTTTGGCTTGGGGCTGAGCATCTGAGCCCCGGGAGATCGTCTATAACTTTGAATTATTAATTGATTTTTTTCAAATATGATCTAGATATGATTTTATGATATATTATTTTACTCTTGTCTCGTATATTTCTTTTAATTTCTCTTATTCTATCAAGCCATAAGTCATATAGTGTACGTAATCTGGGTTTTCAAGGCGGGTGGCGATCAGGGAATTGATTAGGTATATGGTACTTCAAGTACTAAATGCACTAAGGTCAAAGCTAAGACCTAGGCAGCTAGATTTACTAGCAGGAGATTCCAATGTTAGAATTACACTAAGTAAACTAGATATGGACCTACACTACTTGCTTATCATATTTATCAGACTAAACCAGAATTGCTCTATTGGTACTTATTTGCCAGAAATATCCAATTACTCACAATCGCTGAGTCTCTCAGCAAACAACTCTCGTTCGACTATCAGCTATGGTACATATCCATTACGAGGAAAGAGAGAAAGGGGGGGAAAAGAAGAGAAAAAAAAAGAAACAAATTACCCCAACTCCGATGTTCCACCCCCCAAACCCAAGGTGAAACCCCATTGCATATCTTTTTTTGAAGCCCGAATGCCATGCGCGACATTCGGAGGAGTGGGGGGGCTGGGCCCAGCCTGTCCCTGTCAGTAGCAAGGGAACTGGGCTCCAGAAAATTGTCCAAAGGGTGCAGGCCTACTGAGCCTGCATTTGCTCAGCCACGCGCTTAGTATGGCGCAAAGCCACGTCCACGGCTGCCGCGATAGGCACCCCGGTAGCCTCGGAAGACACCGCGACCACCGCGGCCACGGCCACGACCACCGCGGCCCCGGGTCATGCCAGGCAGATTGGTGCGCTTAGGAGTCACCTATAGGGAAGATAAGTTAGCATGAACTGGATCTGAAATGAAAGAAGAATATATCAATTTCACCTTTAGGTTACGACCACGAAACACACTCTCGTTCAGAACCAGGGCCTGCGCGACAAGGCTGGGCTCTGCAAATTCTACATAAGCATAGCTATTGATTTATCAGTCAGCATGCTGCTATCATATGGAATACAAGGTAATTTAACGAACCCCTTGGGCTGGCCGGAGAACTTGTCCAGCAGGATTGTGACACGGTTGATAGAGCCACAGCTTTGGAAGTGCGCTTGGATCTCCTCAGGCGAAGCACCATAATCAACGTTTCCAACGAAAATGCTGCGAGCGTCCACATCCTCTTTGTTCTCGGCGAACTCTGAGGACTGCTGTTCAAGGGTGTTTTGCATGTCGCGCAGCTTTTCGGCTTCAGATTCCATCTCAGCAACGCGTCTCTTCATGGCGGCAATCTCCTCCTATACAGAAAAATATTAGGTCAGTGGATATGATCGTGAACAAAAGGGAGTGGCTGTGATCTGCTGAATTATATGGGATCACGAAGAGCATATCGCACGTTACATACCTCCTCATCAATACCCTCCTGGTGGGGAAGCTGCTCCTCCTTCATCTCCATTCCTTCGGTCGCCATTGTGTATGCTGAAGAACAAAGGGAATGCAGGCTGCTGCAACAAAAGCTGATGAGGTTTGAGATTGAGGGTAGAAAGGCGACAGAACGATCTGGTAGTTAGGCGGAAGGATGCAGGCAAAAATGTTCAAAGGAAGATGAAACTGGCCAGCAGATGGAAGAAAAGATCAAAAAGAACAAGCCAGGACTTAAACGATGTCCATTCACTGAGGTGGGATCTTTGCGGGGCGGAGTAGAGTCGCGATGGGAGATTATTCAGTTTCCTGGACTCACGCTTACCGCTTTGGGACTAGTGCGGATAGCTGTGACTAGCTGTGTGATGGGGCTTTGTTCAGTTCCTCCGGGAGGGAGTACAGAGTAACTGGTACTGCTCGAGGTCTCCAGAACAATTCTGGGTTCTTTAATCTATGAATTATCTTTATAATAGATCAAATAAACTGTTATTTGTCAATATTGATCATATATGACGTATTTGCGCTGCTATTTAAGATCTAGCATTTAGGTAGACGTCAGGTCATATAGGAATGGAGATCTCAATTATAGATTCAATCATAATGAGCTTCTGACTGTGAAGCTCAAGTTGGAAGAATAGTTCATAAAATAGGGCAGATGCATAAGTGATAAGACAAATATTAAGCGCATTTCCAGGTAATATGGATTGAATTAATTGTACTAGCTCAAGGTATCAAACAGTTGTAATGAGAAAGCATGGAATCCAAGCTGAACAAAACAGTGGCCAGGGGATAGGAGTAGAAGAGGCTATTGACATGGATCGAAGAGTAAAGAGAGAGAGGGGGAGATGATTGTGTTGAAGACCAAAGGCAATGATTATGAGACAGGGGCATGGTTCTTGCGGAAAGAGACCTTCTCTACTGAGACATTTTCAACCCCATTGGCATCGGTCTTGAGCTGATAAACATAGAGCACAAGGACATCACCTTGAATCTGTTATATAGATTAGACAAAGTTCATTCATAATAGATCAAACAACTCAAAGATATCACTCACGTCCATCAGGCAGAAGCTGGGTGTAGGTTCTTCTCCCTCGGGCGCATATCCTGAAGTCATTGCACCAGTGGCACTGCCAGGGTTGATGAAGAAGCGGCCTTCCATCTCAAACGCCTCAAAGCGATGAGTGCCGCCCCAGAGCAATACGTCCACATCCATCTGCCGGGCTGCGATCAGCAGGGCATCAGCGTCGCCGGGAGGGATCACGGTATGGCCATGCGTGAATCCGATGCGCAAACTGCCATGGTTCACAATCTTGGAGAGCGGGAGGTTTGGAGAGTCAACATCGTAATCACCCTTGACCATCTGCAGGTCTGGCGCTACTCCACGTAGGAATTCATAGGTCTCGCGGTCAGTGAGGTTGCCTAAACATAAGATCTGGCCAATCTTGCCGGGAGTAAGGAGTTTGCGGAACTATAATGATTAGCGACAGTAGGTCTCAGAGGAAAGAGAAACTAGCTTCATACTTTGGGTGGGAGATCCTGGGAGCGACATGTCGCATTAGCTCTGGGTTCTGTTTTGGTTATCTTGGAGCTTATGCGGGTAGACTCACGGGGGCTCGGTCGGGGATGAACAAATCCCCAATAACCAACACTAGACGGGCAGTCATCTTGGAATTTCTGTAATTGATGGAGAGGGAGAGAGAGGCGCGAATGTATTTTCAATTGTCGCGACTGAGATACTGCACGCGTGGTCCCGTACCTCCGAACCTATGCTATGGCGGCATACAACATGGAGCTTCGCGGGGAAGCCACGTCAAAGCCCTATACCCTACTAACCCAATAAGGTAATGCTTATCAGTGAGGTGCTTATCGCTGAATGACTAACCAGCTGACTCATAATATAGTTATGCATCTCCGAGAACCTTGAAATGTCGGATGGCCTTCCGATCATTGTGTTAGTTCTGTAGCACATTGGTTCATTGCACCGAATCTCTCGACCGATTCATATCGGCTGCACCAGTCCAATCGAGAAACAATAGCAATATAACTCTGTCCAGCCTTCTACGGAGGTCGCCGTGGTGGAATACGGGATCATACATAGACAGTGAACTACAGCGCAAAGTCCAGACTGGAATCGTGGAGAAGATCATGATTAGGATGATTCTATATGTGGAATTGATGTCAGTCTGCCATAGTACAATATAGACTCTGTGTATGAATTTCAAGCAAATACTATCACTTGAGTACCAGCACTTTCATTTCTAGTAGGCTCACGGTAGTTCCAGATGTCCAAGGTTGTTATAGAGTAGCACTAGTCCAATAATCTACTGACGATTTCTGAAATATCAGTACATAGTAGTAGAACAGTAGGTTCATACATAGCCTTGAGACAAAAGAACGAACCAATTGATCAAATCCACGGAAGAACACTCTCGGTGTGAAGAATAGAGACTACTGCGTAGATTCTCCATGGAATCACGGCGGTAGTCGGTAGGCCCCGGCCGTCAGCCCCCGTGATGAACACCACCATCCAAACTGTTGGGGATGAACGAGGAATTTGAGAACTTTCATAAATATCTCCCCGCCCCAGATCTTCTACAGTTTCTTTAATCTTTATCAATCAATTGATTCATCTCAGGTGTTTCTCGAAGTAATATACTCTTAACTCTCTCTACGTCGTCGACCAATCCCAACCGCTCTCGTCTCCCCCTATCGGCGGCGATCCCCGATACTTGCATTATCCCTCGGGAACCCTCCTTCAATCAAGTAACCCAAGGTCCTAACCCCGCGGCTGCCCCGCCGTAAATCGGAAAAGCTGGCGCCCTCTACACAGCAACGTCTCAGCCTGATCTCCAGACACCTGGACCAGCGCTTGCCGTTGCCGAACTTGAATACTCCCTTCTCGACCGAGAGAAGCTCTCTACCTCCTGACGATATCGAATATAAACCCATCGATCGCACCATCCCAGACCCTCCTGCTACTCCCTCCAAGCCCACCATGTCTGCTCAAGCTCCTCACAACACTTTGCTCATCCCGGGCCCCATTGAATTCGACGATGCCGTACTGCAGTCGATGGCCCACTATGCGTGAGTCACCTTCTTTTGAAAGATGAGATTCATCAATCGCTGTCTCAGAAATGCAAACTAACCATGTTCTTTACCTAGTGAGAGCCATGTGGCTCCCGGCTTCGTCAAGGTCTTCGGTGAGACCTTGACTCTGGTTCGCAAGCTGTTCCAGTCCACCAACCCCGCCGCACAGCCCTTTATTATCTCCGGAAGTGGTACTCTGGGCTGGGATCTCGTCGCTGCCAACCTGATTGAGAGGGGCGAGAACGCTTTGGTCCTGAACACTGGCTACTTTGGTGATTCTTTCGGCCAATGTTTGGAGACATACGGCGCCCAGGTGACACAGCTGCGGGCACCCATTGGCGACCGCCCCTCTCTGGAACAGATCGAGCAGGCCTTGAAGGAGAAGCCCTACAAGCTTATCACCATCACTCACGTCGACACCTCCACCGGTGTTCTGAGCGATGTCAAGGGCGTTGCCCAGCTTGTCCGCCGCGTCAGCCCAGAGACTCTTGTCATCGTTGACGGTGTCTGCAGTGTCGGCTCGGAGGAAATTGCCTTTGATGAGTGGGACCTCGATGCCGTTGTCACCGCTAGCCAGAAGGCCATCGGCTGCCCTCCCGGTCTCAGCATTGTCATGACCTCCGGCCGCGCCATCCAGCGCGCTACTACCCGCCAGACCCTGCCTGGTGCCTACTACGCCTCCATCGCTAATTGGCTCCCCATTATGCAGAACTACGAGAACAACAAGCCCTCGTACTTCGCCACCCCTCCTACCCAGCTCATCCACGCCTTGCACACTACCCTCAGCCAGATCACTGCTCGTCCCATGGCTGAGCGCTTCGCTATCCACACCAAGGTCTCCGACGCTGTCAAGGCTGCCGTCGCTGAGCTCGGTCTCCAGCAGCTGGCTCCTAACCCAGATGCCCAGGCTCACGGCATGACTGCCATGTACCTGCCCGCTGGTCTCGCTCCCCCTGATGTGCTCCCCGGTTTGCTGAAGCGCGGTGTCATTTTCGCAGCTGGTCTGCACAAGGAGATTGCTACCAGGTACATTCGCTTTGGGCACATGGGTGTCAGTGTGACTGATGCCAACCGTGGGGACATTGACAACGCCCTGGCGGCGCTGAAGGAGGCTCTTGCCGAGGCTAAGCAGGCTAAGGGACTGTAAAGAACATGTCGATTGAACAAATATTAAATTAAAATGTCGCATAGAATTTACAAATGAATGACTTGAATGTACATGTTACGATGCTTTGTTCCTTTCAGCTGTAGGCTTAGATGTTGGGATCAATATGGCTCCATTAGTATATGGTACATCTATGATGCTTCAATCGCACTTGAAAAGCTGTAATGTAGTTCATTTTAGATAGCAGTATATATGTACATTCTCGACCTAGCTGACTTCATGGAGAAAAAAAAACATCGAGGTGAGCCCTAGCATTCCCACTGCCGATCTTGATAGGATAAGAAATACACAAAATGGAAGCCAGAGACTGTTATCAGACAAGTATGCTCACCAGACTTCATCTGGAATGTACTACTAGTAGTCGGGTACTTGTCACTTTGCACCATGAACTTATTCTAACATCAATATGATATGCTAAAGCCCACAAGTCAAGCGCCACTGGCAAGAATGTCATGTTCGGCTACATTAACCGAGCTTGAACTGGTAGATAGCTACGGCAACTCCCGACCACTTTAAAGAATGTCAGACCGGTAGAAGGTTTGCATCGAAATAGCAACATTCTGAATGGTAGGGATATGCTAGTCATGGATCTCCACACTATGTTCTATGCATCTTCCATGTAGTGTGTTCAATACTCCGGAGTATAGACCCATGCGGAAGTTAAACCCACTTCTACCACATGTGCAGAAGACTTCTAGGGCCGGATATGGTATCTACTGCTCTCCATTATGGAATCTGGGGAAACCTTATGAGCTTTTGACTGGCAAAAAGTAGCGAATATAGAAGAATGTATACCGATGCCAAGCTATAGGACAAAAGACTCATATCTCTCTGGTTGCGATAGAATGAGACTAAATAGCCATATACTACCTCTGACAAACTTCCATTTTATTACTCAAGTGCTAAAATATTACAGCACACGCAAACTTGAAGCTCATACCCAGATTCAAGATGCGTCCCCAGCTTTCCAGAATTCCTCTCCTGCTTGCCATATCGGCCTCACTTGCAACCGCTCAAGGTGGAACTGTCAAATGTGCAGCCCAGCCGTAAGCCCATCCTTTCTCAATTCATTAGATCTATTACAGAGCCATCATTTGAATGTTAATTATTGTACTAAACTTCGGAATAGAGTCGTAGATAACTGCCTCCAAACTATGAACTTCGAACTCGAAAACTGCAATCCCGGCGATTGGGATTGTCAATGCTCTAGTAGCACGAATATTGTCAGGTATTTGAATCCACACGCATCGCATCCTTCTATCCTTCATCTAAGACTCCTCATGTTCCCTGCCACACAAATACTGACGTATCTCGTTGACAGCTGCTACAACAACTGCCCCGATCACCCAGATAGACAACCAGCTCAACAGCTTAAGCAACAATACTGTTTAAACGCCAAAGTCTACGGAACCATGTTCCAAACCGCGTCCAAGGTCTCAACAGCTACCGCCCCTTGGCCTTCTATATCCTCCAGCTCTGCCGCGGATTCAACTGCGACAAGTACACATGCAGCTGGAGAAACTCACACAGATTCCTCAGCTGCTAGTCCTACAAAGTCCCTTGCTGAATTGCAGGCTTCGGCATCACCGTCAGAGGGCGTTGCCGCTGCCTACTCTGCGGGCTATTTTCTCGCTTTCTTGGGATTGGGGTTAGGTGTTATGCTTTGATTGATAGAGGTTCCGAGGGTGTGTGGGGATATGATACACCTTGCAATGTCTAGATTGTGTCACGCATACTATTTTGACTCGTTATTACATCATGCCTACTCATTGTAAAGTAACTGTGCATTGTGGAGAAAGGTTATGATTCATCCTCTGGGAGACCTCCATATCCAAGATGTAACCCACCATCATACAACCTCGCTTTGAACTACCCATTAAATCAGTCAGATCTGGATGAGGAAATAGCATCAAATTTGGAATCATGCATTTCTTATCGACTTGAGATCGAATCCGGTATCGGCATCTATTTTTATGGACATCCCTTGCTTTTGCCGTCAATGCTGTACAGGGATACATACTAGCCCCCAGTTTTCTCAACCAGTGCTGTAAAGCGAACCATTATCGACCAGTCAATGGGTAGTACTGCACCTGAGAATGTAACTGGGGGCCTGATTACCTTTGTATGTTTATGGAACAAGATCCGCTCCAATTTTGAACCTTGAGTATCGTGCACCACCGTGCATGCGAGGCTCCGGTTTCATCAAATCAGCTTGTTTCACTTCCTGCAAAGTACGAAGACTCTGAAACAAGACCTATTCTATTTGATTAACCAAATGTAGACCCGGTGCCTTGTTCCACGCACATGACTTATCATAGCTGCATCTTGTCTCTAGCGAGTTCAAGTTTGTTCAAATCCGCCCCATCAAGTGGTCCGACTAATTTAAATCACTGTTAAACGTTCTCGAGCCCGCCTTGATGTCCTAAATTCCAGCCCACGTGTCGATAAATCATGAGCTCTTCAGAAGTTGTACCACGTCGAGACATCATATTCGTAGCCGTCACTAATACATTATGTGTTGGCACCATAATCCTCCTCATTTTACGGGTCTACACCTACTTTTACATTGTCCGAAAGAGGGGCGGCAATGCCCTGCTATGGGCGTTTGTCGCTTGGGTACGTCTACTCCAGATTCTCACAGGCGTTTGCCCTGAGTGTTTGATTCCTAGATCATTGCATTTCCCTGTATGATGATCTATGACTATGGCACCTTCGCTCTAGATGACCCATCTCGAAACTCGTATAGATTTGCAGCATTCAGTGTCACACTCCTATCTGTTGCGTTCGCCAGAGTTGGGATACTCATGTACATCTTCCAGTTGCAGAGTCAGGTATACAATAGTCTCATTAAACGAAGCCTGCTGGCTATTGTGCTTCTGAATGTGAGTATAAGCGATCGGAGGCTACAACTTCGAATACTGTGGATTTATTCAGCTAACAAAACATTGTTTCTCACTGCGATAACGTACATTGTATTGTCGTTGATCTTCGTCGCATGTGTTGAGGAAGAGGGTCTTGAGCAGATAATAACATGTCCAACTAATGCTTCCTTGGTTTGGATATTCGTTGCTGCTGGTGGTATGTTCAACTCTCCTTCAATCCCTCCCTTCAGAACAGCCTTGAGCATCTGGAGCGTCGGAGAGCCTATGACTCGCTCAGTTTTCCTGCATCGATATACTAATATTTGATTCTATCTAGCATGGAGCGCGATTACCGATTTAATTCTCTTACTGTACCCCGGTTATCTGATCTGGAATCTTCAATTACGACGAAAGCACAAGGTCGTCATCTCTATCCTGATGGGTCTTGGTATCCTCGCGACGATATTTGCGGTGGGGAAGATTATTGACTACGGTACTTCGCACGGAGGCAAACGTTAGTCTTTCCAAGTCCCTGTAGATGATCCCGAACTCTACTAATACCATAACAGGCGATCCTCATCTAGGAAACATTTTTCATATGGTAGAGGTGTGGGTGCTACTGATAGCATCTAGTGCGGCCCCTCTATGGCCTCTTGTGAGGCAACTCGATAACTTGAAGGACTCGAAAGACTCAGATGATTCTGAAAAGGAGCCAATGGGTGGGGAATCATGACATTAAATGAAAGATGTTTCAGGGCGAGGAGCTAGGAAGGAAACAGATAAATAAATACAATCATCTTAAATACCGACATTGAGATTGAGATGAACTATTGCTCTCATTTAATCTTTCGCTTCTTCTCCTCCTGTACTCTACCCACATCAGATCTCCTCTTCCTTAAGTTCCTCCCTGCTTGGACTTCACCAGCTGCCTTTTCCTCAACCACCTCGTCAAGCTTCACCGTCTCAGGTTCAGCATCATCAGGAATCCCAGCCACACTACCATCAACCTGAAATCCCGAAACATCAATATTGTGAAGCACATAAGCAACCTTCTCGATATCATTCTGAGAAACAGGCTCCTGTCCCGCCTCCAGACCCTCGTTTAATCGGCGATGTAGCGTATTACTCGCATCCCAGAGCTCCCGATACTCGTTAAGGGTATACCTCACCTTCAACACAACAGGCGAAGGCTTCAGGTTGGTAAACCCAGACTTCACATCCTTCTCTGAGGCATTATCCTCGATCTTAGGATACGCCTGTAAACAAAGCCAAAGGAAAGCATCATCACTATAAAACGGCACCTGTCTGCTTGTATCACTGCAACCCGTCATGATGGAAAGAATCAACGATGCTGTCGCAGGACCAACACCACGAAGAGGCTGGAGTGCATCTAGACTAGCCTGTGGGAATTCCTCGGAGTCTGCTTTTGGAAGTGCAGATAAGGCAGCAGATACACAACTTGAAACCAAGGGTTCAGCGTTGGACCTTATTAATCCCATTAGCATGGGACGGGAGTGACCATGTGTGCTGTTATTATTAGTTTATTACATGACTAGAATAAGATCTCAATCAAGGATAACTCACATCTTCCACTCCATAATACTAACAGCTTCATCCTTGCTTAGGACACTCCCCTTCTTCACCTGTCGCGAAGCAATACCCTTGGACATATCCTCATACCGCCAGCGATCAAGTTCAAGGAACTTATCAAGATCAGCATCGATGCGCGTCTGTACATCTGGATCAGTGGTCTTTGACTCTTCAGCAGGGCGCTTTTTTGAGCCCTTTGTTTTGGACTTCGATTGGGCTTTCTGAGTTATTTTTCGGCGGTGGATATGAGACACGGTTTGAGGATAGCATTGTAATAGTTGGTGGAAGAGTGGAAGTGTTATTTTGTCTGGATTGAAGAGGTCTTGGTCTTGGGTTGGCTTTGCCTCTGTGGAGGATTTGAGTTTTCCCATTTTGGTTGATCTTGGTGGATTGAGATTGATGTTTATGTTGATAGTAGGTTATTGTAGGAGGTAATTGGTATTGATGGAATCTTCCAAGGTTGATCGTGTTGGAATGGGATTGTCGCGAAACTGATCGCGATGCGATGTGAGTGAGGCTTATCGCGATAAGGAATGGTATTATTGGCGTCACAATGGTATTGTGTAGGTACTGATTGGGCGTGAATGTTGTAACTTACGGTATCGTGGTACATCACGAATGTTGCCCAAAGCAGCCTGGAGCTCCAGCAGCTCAAACACTTTGAACTTAGGACTTCAACTTGATGCTAGATAAATGAATTCACAGGGTAAGATAGAAATTTTAAAGCTGAGAATTTCATTGCATAATCGAAGTAGGGTATCAAAGTACCACTACGCTAATCTATGCAAGCCACATTTTGGTCAATTTCACACCTATGTACAAATCCCACGGCCGTGAAAAAGGGTTCATTAAACAGAATATCAAATACAGCATCATGAAGAAAAGTCATCATCTCCGTCAACCATCATCAAGATGGTTCGTGGACCCAAACAACTCGCCCGGTGTCCCCTTTGGACATAACATTAAAAAGACTGAAGAGGTAACCACTGTCGAGGGAGAAAGAAAAACAAAAACAGCTAAGAATATGGTAATCTGGTCATCATAGACTCGGTGCAGAAAAGAAGAGGGGAGTAAGAGTGAGCCATAGAGATATCAAATTTGACGATCGGTGAAATGGTCCACGGTCAACGCTGACGACAGGTGTTGTGGGATTTTATTGTTTTATGATTTTATGGCTTTTTTTGTGGGTAGGTTCACTTGCGACCGTTCTCCCGATTTTTCTTAGATGGATCCTCAGAAGGGTGGTAGAAGTTCACCGGACCGTGCTTCGCAGGCTTAGAAAGCGGAGGTAGATGATCGAGCATGGGGTTGAATGGTTGCTCATCGTGACTGCGATCGTTGAAAGAAGGCATTGTCGGAAGGTGATTGGGTCGGCCTTGCTTCATGGATTTGGGAAGTGGCGGGGTGGTCTGAGGCATGGATGTCTTCAAGGAAGGACCGGGCTTAGACTCGGTAGGAGCAGACGGGGCAGTGGAACGCTCATCATCCTGAACTTCAATATGTCGGAACTCTTCTTCATCATCACCAGCCTCCGAGGAGTCGGGACTGTCGGAGTCTGAGGCAGCTTCGTAGTCATCTTCATCATCGCTAACCAGACTAGGAGCCTGGTTCGACTCTATCGTGTTGGGGCTAAGATGAGCCGGGTGGTCTATGACATCGTGAGGTGTATTCATAGGAGAACACGCCTGGCTAGCAGAAGGTAGAGAGGAAAGGTGAGGCAGATAAGAAGTCGAGTGGTGAGATTGAGACCGAGTCGGGGTCATCTCTTCAGGCAACTGAAGAACCTTTCTACTTTCAGTTCGATCCATCGCAGCCTGGGCAGTAGGCATTCGCATGGGCTGTCGCGCCGCGCGAGGACCTTGCTGCCCGAAAAACTCCTGAGGTGTCTTGGTGGCGGAACGAGTTGGTCCATCAAAGTCGAATTCACCGTCGGAAAGAAAGGTCAAGTCAAGAGGCGTCGTCGCATCTTCTACCATTTTATCCAGATTCAAACCCAAACCACGCTGCCTCGTCAAAGCAGAGAGATGAGGAGTCGCCGCTGAGGCCGTGAAGTCCGGGTTAGGGGCCTTGACAGAATCAAGTCGTCGGCGTTTACTAGAGACGCTACCCCGAGGAGTCGACATGGCGGATGGGGACGAGTTGATCGAAGGTTTGCTGGGAGATGCTGATTCCCTCACGGGAGAATTCATGGCCGACGAGGTCGTTGGCAGCTCAGCACGAATCAACGGGTGAACATATCCCGGGGTCGAGACACTGGCAGTCGATTCAGAATGGGTGCTAATCACGGCACCAGAGCTATCGAGCTCAACAGGCTCACCCGATGCCACAGCAGCAGCCTCATGGCTCGCAAAGTTCCGGTTGTGGGCGATACGACAGTGATTGATGAAACCTTGAGTACTCGAAAAGTTATCGCGTTTGCAATCAAGACAAACCAACTTGACAAGCAGCTGATCCGACTTGCGTCGAATGAGCATCGGACCAGCCTTCTCCTTGACGATGGGGTAGCCACTCGGTAGCGACTGCAGTCTCGAGCCAGTTACGCCTCGCTGCGGACGCGTCTTCCCAGCTAGGGCACTAAAATCCATCGGGTTTCCACGTGTAGAGCGACCCTCCACCAACGGGAATCCGGAGCCCGGTGTGCCCGGCTGAGCAAACTCCATCTCTCCTCCATCGAATCGAGGGTCCGGCAGAAGCCATCGCGCATAGTGACGTGAGTATGGACCATCAGTAACACCCCACGACGCCGGGGACATCGGTGCTGGGCCATTTCCAGGAACCAACACTGACGCGCCCGTGCCAGAGCTGACATCGGGAGAAATACCCGTAACATTAGATCCTGGGTATGGGATCTCTCTGCAACGGCGCAACTGTTCGAGCGCGACTTGACATTTGGCGATTTCTTGGTCGATAAGACGGAGTTCGTTATGCTTCAGCAAGACCTCAAGACTCAACTGCGCGGTCAAATTATCGCGAAGGAGATCCACCTCCACGGTGGAACCGGCAGCTGGCACAGGAGGACGTGTAGGTGTCGTGGGCATCGTGGATTGCGCAGGCGATGCGATCGAGTCTGAGGGTGAACAAGATGGAGAGGGAGTTGGCTGGGGGGAAACATTGTAAACGTTTACCTCAGTGCACAACTTCTGGGCGACAGGCGCATCGGCCGGGGAACCAGAGCGCTTTCGTTTCAGCGGCAACGACATCGTGTTGACAGCCGCTGCGGCTGCAGCCGCCGCCGAGCAGTTGGGCGCCAGCATGACTTCCTCTATCTTGTTCCCTCCGATCGCAGGCCAGGGTAACAGGCGAAACATGCCATGCGAGAATGGAATAATGGAATTTCCTCAATAGAATTGTACCAATTAATTCGCTTTGACTCGAGTGTCCATATGTTAAATTCTTTTTTTTGTCCTTCCTGTGTTTTTTTTTCTTTATATGGAAATTAAAAATAAATAGCGGTGAATGGGGTGAGAATGAAGAACAACCCTCTTAGAAAAGGGAGAAGGAATGGACGTCGACGAACTGGGGTCGTGCGACCGTGTCAAGTTAGAAGAGCCAAAGACGAATTACGATAAAGTGGCAAATCTATTATTAAGGAATTTCAGGGGAGAAAAGAAAGAGAATAGAAAAGGAAAAAAAAAAAAGGAAAAAAAGGGATCAAAAGGCAACAAAGAGTAGAAAGGAGAAAAACCAATATACTGGAGAAAGGGGGATTTGGGAGGGGGGCGGAGCATGATGTGATTCTCTGACGTGGAAACCCTGCCCTTTTTTAAGACACGTCATGTTTTGGGCGTTTGATGTATACTATACGGACTAGATATCCTATGTATCACATTTAATTGATACAGGGAATAAGTAATTTTTATTTCATTTCTATTACTATTTTACTATTTATTTTACTGTTACTATACATAAATCCCTTTCTTATTATAATATTATTATAAATTCTCGGATGTTTGCGGCTGTTCACTTCATGTTCCATAAGGTTATGGTCTGGACCTCATCTAGGTAATATAGTGATTGGGCACTTATCCTAATTAGGGAGACCGTAGGGTAATGGGGCAAAGCAAATCACATCTCTTATCCATATCAGAGTTGTTGGTGACCAACACTGTTCTGATGGTGACTGGTGCTTTTCGCCTAGTTGCATCCATTTAGCGCTGAACATTCTCAGAATCATATGGAATCACATCGAATTTGGACCCAATCCTTGAGCCTCTCCCACTAGTAGTAGCCACTAGGAAGTAGAATTCACTAGTATTGACCATCAAAGTCTGGGCAGATCGAGTCTAGACAGATCAGGCAGATTAGTAAAATAGAACTAGGTAGAAATAGGGGTCTGAGCACATGAACTACCTCGGATTCATGTTGAGTAATCGGATACTCGTAATCGGACATATCTGCCCCAGGTGGAGCGAATCATGATTCAGTGGATACCTCAGGTGCATATGCAGCCTTAGGCATCATTGAAACCTTAGGCAGACATTTCTTTTTAGGATGAACCTTGGAAGTCCATATAGGGTTAACTTCCAATGGAATATCCCACTAACCTAACATGCTGGAGTAGGGACACTCTCATAGTAAACTCCAAGTCGATCATCTGTTCGGACTTCCCGACTTCACTGGTGCTCCCCACCACATTTCCTCATTGCTTGGTTCCCGTCTGGAAAGTCCGGGCGAATCACCACCACCATAAATCGCCACAACTGGAGCTCCACCGGGTATTCTCCAGTTCGGCAAAAAAGTAAACAGTCACATGGTCTTCCTAGTGTCGAGCTATATCATCATTTGGTCAGGGTTATCCGAGATGTAATCTAATTCACCTCCACATTTGCGGGGAATATGGGGTACTGCTCGGATTGTGGGGAACCCCGGCAAAAAAAACTACACACACAATCCCCCCAACAACAGGTATAAAATGAACCCAGTACCAACAGTGAAAATGGCATTTCTACAGACAAATTGGAAATCCTCAGATCAATTCTTACCATGAGGTCCTCCCACTCCCTCCTCGCCTTACTAGGCCTCACAGCCCCCGTCTTCTCAAGACCAACTAAAGTCTCTCAAAACTACATCGACTGGCGCACTTTCCACGGCTATGGCGCCAATCTCGGTGGTTGGTTAGAACAAGAATCAACAATTGACACCTACTGGTGGGATAAGGAGTGTGAGGGTGGAACAGACCTCTGCGATCTCGGCGAATGGGGTCTATGCGAGTATCTCGGCTCCGAATGCCCTGCAGTCTTTGAACACCGCTACGCAACATACATCACCACATCTGATATCGACAAGCTCGCCAGTGCTGGTGTCTCCGTCCTCCGTATCCCAACTACCTACGCAGCCTGGATCGATTTCCCAGGCTCACAATTCTACCATGGTAATCAGCAGCACTACCTGCGCGAAATCGCTACATACGCTATTGAAACCTACGACATGCATATCCTCGTCGACATCCACTCCCTTCCTGGTGGAACCAATGGATTGGATATCGGTGAAGCTACTGGTCACTGGGGCTGGTGGTGGAATGAGACCAACTTGGATTGGTCCATGCGTGCTGTCGATGCTGTTATCGACTTCGTGCAGCACTCTGGATACCCACAATCATACACTATCGAACCGATCAACGAGCCGGCTGATAACCATAACTTCTCAGATTTCGGAACGGCTGCTGCGCTTTCCGAGCATGGTGCTGCTTGGTTGCTGAAGTATATCCACCAGGTTATTGACCATGTTGAGAAGGTCAACCCCAAGATCCCCGTCATGTTCCAGGGAAGCTTTAAGACTGAGATGTACTGGTCGCCTCATTTCAAGAAGGACACGAACCTGGTCTTTGATCTCCACCATTATTATTATCAGTATGATAATTCGACCTCGCTTAACGTGCCAGAGTTTATCTGTGCGGATGCGAAGGTTAGTGCTGGTGATGGCAAGTTCCCAACTTTCGTTGGTGAGTGGGCGATGGAGACCGGTGCGAATAACTCGTTGGAATTGAGAGAACGAAATCTTAAGGCTGGTATTTCCGCCTTCGGTCAGTACACACGTGGATCCTCGTACTGGACCGGGAAGTTCTTGAGTAACTCTACTGTTGAGGGTGAGGGTGATAAGCAGAGCTACTGGGACTTTGAGGAGTTCATTGATCTGGGTTACTTGAAGGGACAGGTCGAGATCCCGAATTACTGTTCTTAGTGTATGAGATGTGTGAGATGACTTTGAGATACTCGGAATGTTGTATATAATTCATAAATTTTTCTAATAGAGAATATATGGTTGAATGATTCGGATATCATGCTTTCGTTACCTTGAATCCACCGGGCATCTGATTTTGGAACACGCCGGTATGGTCGTATTTCTTTGCAACACGGAGAATCTCATTGAAGTTCTCTTCTCTATAGCTCCTCAAAGGATTTTGACTCTTATCCGCATAGTTGAGATAGAGGTACGGATGGTCCTGACCAACACTCTCAGCGTATGCGCGAACCTGAGCGATAATTTGGTTACCCGCATATCGGATGAGCGAATCATCCTTAATATCATCCCAAGAGAGGAACAGTAAGTAAACTTTAATCGTCAGTATTTGCCTTCTCCATTTTTGGGTGGTTTGATCTCACCTAGATGATTCTTCTTCATCCGATCAATTCCTAGCACATTTCCTCCATTCATCTCTTTGCCCTTCTGTCCAAATAACGCAGGGAACGGCTGTAGGAAACTAATAATGTTCCAATCCGTACTCTGCATATATGGCTTAGCCTCCTCGACAAGCTCTCCCTGCGTATCAACCAGCTTCTGCATCACCCGCTCATCATTCCCAAATGTAAGCGTCAGAAGAATTACCCGCTGTCCTGACGGAGGCGATGTCTCCATCATCAAGTCATAAATATCTGCAAATCGCGTCGAACTCGAGATACTAGGGATCTCCAAGAACTCCCGGAAGGGCTCGGGATTCTCTACAGGAATCAAATACTGGGGTCCTGTCCCCGCAATCGTCGTGCCAAGTAAAGAGGAGTATTGCCATAAACTGACCAGGCAGGCATTGGGATCTTCCTCGACCCTATCAGTAAAGTTGACCAGAGCTGAGATCTGCTGTTGGACTGTCGACATGTCGTGTAGAATTATCCCGCTCCATAAATCTCCTTGCTCGAATGTGCGGATGTTTATCTTGGTGATTATGCCGAAATTATTCGAGCCACCTTTCTGGGCGCGGAATAAGTCGGCGTTGATCTCGCTGTTTGCATTAATTATTTCGCCGTTAGAGAGAACGAGTTCGATATTTTCTATGTTGTCGCAGACGAAGCCATCTCGTGCAGTGAAAAATGATAGTCCACCTACATAATGTGAGATTTTATTCAAAAAATAGAATTACTCTTGATCTCTCAAATTTACGGTGATGAGAGAGGGTATTCTGCTTACCACCTGTGACCAAACCACCAACACCTAGTGTATCGGATCGACCACCAGTAGCGGTAACACCGAATTCTTTCAAGGTGGTATAAACCGATGCCCACCGTGCACCAGCCATAATTGACGCTGTCGAGTTCTCGGGATGGTATATCGTTGAGTTCATCATTGACATATCAATCGTTACCCCATCTTGGATTCCTGCTGCCCCAGCCCATGTTGTATGTCCACCACTTCGAACTGCGAATTGGCATTGCGGTGAACCGTCATCTTCCTCAACGAGAATTTTTACAGCCTGCGAAACTTCATCTGCAGAGCGTGGTTGAAAATGCAAGCAGGATATAGACGGGCATTAACAGCGTAGTGAGAATGTATGGACTCCGTATAGAGAGGATTGGAAGGGAGTAAAAGGTTTGAGTAGAGAGGTGAGTTATATAGAGCCGTGCACTGTAGAGACGTTAGCTGGGTCTTGAGGTTCAAGCCGGTACATGTCGTGGGGGATATGTACACAAGTTGAGTTTGTCACTGGCGATATCTCTTGTACAGCACTGAAAAGTGCGATCATATTAGAAGAAACCTTCATCTTCGCGATGAGCTCCGTGAAAGATGAAGAATGAGCGGAGTGAGCAGCACGAAAATGTATTGAAAATCAACACACTGTGCGATTGCACGTTCAAGATTGTAAGTGGTTACCGAGACTCTATCATCCTTCTCATCCATTGACATTCTAGCTGTATTAAGCAATGGATCAGGATCTTTCAAGCTGGAACCCCCCACCAAAAACCCAAATCCGGTTCCAGCGGTGAGGGGCTTATCAAGTGAATTCCAAGGTTTTGCGTGAGATTACTCCACATGGTCTGATCAGAACATTTGAATGTGGTCTGCTAGTGCAGACTAACATGTGGCATGAGCTGGCATGAGTTCCCGCCACGGCTTGTGGAAATAGAAGCCAGTGATTCGGATTGGACAGGATTATCCGACTAAAGCAGTTGGGACGTAAGTTCCTTGTCAATGTGTGGAAAGTGGATCTCGGATGCACTAGCGTATGTGGCCGGGTATTTGGCGGGCTATAGCGGGTACACAGGCACATCGGAGTTTTGAGTTGATGAGTTGTTCTAGTAAGACCTCGGAAGCTATGTAAGGGGTTTGGAAGATTTATGGGCTCAGGTTTTTGCGATTCGTCCGAGGTGAAGTAAACCCCAAGGCTTCAAATTTCCTAGCTTGAAAGTTGGAATGTTGGGACTTGGCACCGGAAGATATATACTGTCGTGATGCTCTAGATGGATGTCCGATATCGAAGTTCAAATTTTTGGAGTACTTCCAAGGTTTAAGCACTTCAAGTTTAAATGCTGGATTGAGGCTGATTCGAGGCTTAGTATACTCAAGTGATGATTCAAGTTGTGCATGTGGTAAACTTAGCACTGGCAGCACTCGAGTGCATAGGAATATCAATTCAAGTTGATCTCTCCAGTACCTCTTCCAACTTGAAGTTTCATTGCTTTTTATAAAAAGCACCTGGGCAGGGTATTTGGCGTTTTTTATACCATATATGTAGTAGTTAGTACTATAATGTTAATCAAGTCACTTCATCATTGTTCGAGCCCTGTGGAAGGTAGTATCTACATACAATGCATAGGTAGGTTCGTGTACTACTTAGTAGTTTCATAGTTCAGTTCTGCATCTCTCGTTCTGTAAAGTCAAATAAGTCCAATAAATAATAATTACTAGCATTGTCTCTCACTTGATAGGTTTCAACACGCATGATAATACATAACATTTGAATGCAGCTGACATTAACTGGTTTGGTTCGAAAGGTGGACTTTGAACGATTTGCGGAATATTTGAATGGTACCACCTGTCATTTTCTCAATTATTCTAAAAGAATAATGTATCAATACATACCTAGTTAGTATGTACAGTAGTAGGTAGTATGTAGTAGGTATGATGACATGGGGGCTAGAAAGTGGGGAACAGTCACATGAGGACCAGGGAACCATCCAACGCCCCCCGCCATTTCATCCATTTAGCTTTCCAGATCGTCGTGCCCACCATGGACTTACTCGATCGTTTGGAACTGCTCCCCACTGAGATCATCTGTTTTATAATTGATTCTCTAGATTTTGTGGGCCTGGAATCTCTCTTGGTACTCTCACCACGTGTCCTCGCAATCTTCAACCGGGATGCCATCTCTATCACAGAGACCATCATATCATCATGTCCTGTCACCAGAAAATTAAATGCCATTTTTCGAGAAGTCGCCTTAATCCACACTCCCTCCATTCACGTCGATTCCATAAAGGATTATGACTTACAATACCATTGTGTCACCGTGGAAGCCTTTCGCCGGAGATTGAAAGGCGTAAGCTCTTCAGATATACGATTGGTCATGCGGGATATGATATGTGTGGCTGCCCACATTCAGACACTCGCATGCACCTGCCTCAATATAATGCGACAGAACTTACACTGCGTCGCCAGCGTCAATCCTCTCTTACCCGAAACAGCGGTGAGCGCGGCATCAAGACAACCATCCTGGATCGAGGAGCTTCGAGTATACCGAGCCCTTTGGAGCTTGAAGAGCGTTTCAAATATCGCAAAAGCTGCAAAGGGTATATGGGTTCCCACTTGGAACTCTACAGATCTTCGTTGGGGAGGTTGGAATTGGCATCCCCGGGAGCAGACCTTTATCCAGGAGTGGTTCTCAAGAAGAATGGCTTTTTTCCTGCTCCAGGAAGTTTGGGCCATTTCAGATGTCCTCGCCTTGATTCCAGCACCAGATACGAATAATGCGTCTCTCAAAATACCTCCATCGTTCTGTAAGGATGAGATATACGGCAAATTAAAATATAAAACCACATGGTCTCCCACACCATGTCCTCTTAATACAGACACAGAAAAAATCTGGCACCAAGACATTGACTCTTGCTACAAAGAGCCGTTACAGTGGAATGATTGGCGGGCAGTTCGAGGACCACTCATGAGGAGAAAAAGAGGAGAGGACAGGCCTATCTTTACAGGGGACTATGGGCCTTTTAATATGATTGGAATTTTTATATGGGACAGCGCAAGGATGTTTGACTTAGGACTGTCTATTGAACGATTTCCTATTCAGGTGACATTGGAAGGAAAAGTAGTTGTATTGAGTGATCATTCAGAACCGAGCAGGAAGAAAAGGATGCTGGAGTTACGAACGCTACGCGAAAGATGGGCCTCCTTACTTCCAAGGGACGATTCCCCCGTTACGATGCAGTCTCCTATGAAATGTATTAACTTTACTTGAATGCAGATCACTATCTATTCCATTTTAAACAGGAGCAGAACAGTCCCAGACCCTGTCTCAATAGATGGGTCTTCATCTTCGGTAACCCCCAATGCCTCCAGGCTGTTTCACTGCTTTGATAATCTGTGCAACGCAGTCACTGTCTGTGCCCATCAGATTTCGGTATGCCTCTCTCCACCGGATCACCATACTAGTCGCGCCCAGGCTTTCCGGCAGTTCATTCACAGTTCTCCATTCGGATCCATAAAAAAAGATATCACCATCCGTAAGAACGCCATCTCGATCCCATTCCATTCGAGTAAACTTCGTCTTCGGAAAGGCGCTCGCTACCTTGTGGTTGCCAGTGTCCCATTGGGAGTAAGAGATTATCACAGTACTGAGCAGAAAGTTGATTTTCAGGAAGATCATATGAGAAAAGGCATCTTTCGAGGCGAGAGAGAGCCCCTTGAACATCTTCGGCATTGGGAGTTGAGGGATCTGAATCAAGTTAGCTGAATGCTTCCTTAAGGTAGTTTGATAATACCCACGGCAGTACAGAGACGAGTGTGTCCATAAAGCAACAGAGCCACCAGATTTAACGATGCGAGCAGCCTCGACCCAGAATCCTGACATAACAAACCCATGTGCCTATGTGTTATTAGTATTATAGTCTCAGAAACAGTGACTTATTCAGAATTTGGGACAAAAGTTCATACTGCCATATCAGCTGTAACCAAATCAACACCACCGTTCTCCCGAGCTGCTGGTAATGCCTCGTTAATCGCATGACCAAGATTCTCCGCTCGAGAGATCACGTATGTGATAGGTCAGTCAAGTGCGGTTTTTCCTCCTAGTTGTCGAGCCTTTTTTATCATCTGTATTCCTGAATCCAGGCCTATGACTTCGCCAAATGAGGTTGCTAATAGTCTTGTCGCGTTGCCCGAACCGCATCCAATATCTGCCAGGACACTCAGATCGCCTCCCGTGTTTAGGTGATGCCGGATAATGATTCTGTGTAGTTTCTCCGCGTAGATACTGCTACCGCTTTGTTTGGCATATTTGTAAGCCTGGGTAGTGGTATAGGCTGTGGATATTGTGTCTTGCTGAGTCGACATTCAGAGCGGCTTTCGGAAGTGCAAAGCAAGGCTTGAGACTTGAAAATGTGTGTGTGTGTGTGTGTGTGTGTGTAAATTTGAGGCTTGCAAGCGTAAAGCAAGTATGAGAAAGATATGAAGTGGAGGTAAAGTAACTGCGAGAAAAGGAAATCTGTAAGGCCCGGTTGATAACGAGATGAGAAAAGGGTAAGGTCTGTTGAAAGAAGACTATTAGAAACATTCCGAGTCCCTTAATCCGTGGCGTAAGTGTTCCATATCTGATAGATGGACATATCATTCAGTTTAGTGGTTAGAGAGATGCTCTGTGGATCAGCTCGTCGTAGTCCCTGGATTTGACATAGTTATCAGGTGCGGCGCTGGGGTCAAGGTGTTCAATGCATATAGCCTTAGAATAGTGCTGTATCTGACTGTACGCATATAGAAGTTCCTTATGAGATACTGCACTATTGAAGTATAGTCTTGTCGATATAGGGAGGGGACCTCGATGAGCTACCGCAAGACATGGTAGGGAAGAATTGTAAGCAAGATATCACCGCCAAATGTCACCATAAAATTTGAGGAACGACGTCTCCATAAAGGGATTGGTTGCAGGGTGTAAAGGAAAAAGGGAATACGTATAGAGACACAAATAAAAGAGGGAAGAAGTTAGCACACTGAGGTAAACCAGAAAGGATATAAGGCCCATTGCTAGTAATGCAATGGGCAAGGGAAAACAGAAAGGAAGAAATAAAATCACACAAGATATCATTCCCTTTTATACCCATATTAACAGCCAGATTCTAAGGTTATCATTACAGTAAAGTGAAGTAAGAGGTAAAATGAAGTGAGAGGTAAAGTAAGGTATGAGATCAAGTAAGGTAAGAGATACAAAGCTATAATTCTTAGTAGACTTTCTTTTAAAGATAAAATAAGATATAGAAGTATATAGATATAAGCTAAATAACTCTTACCATATATAACTATTTAGTTAGTAGGGTTAATAATATAAAGACAGAACTTAAAGTATTAAAATGGTACTTTGTTGTTTATTCTATCTGCCTTGATCTTTTTATAGTTATTAATAACGTCTAGTTACTAGTAATTATTTTTGATTAATTTAGCCATACACTTACTGAGTAAAATAGAGTAAAGTCAATCAAAACCTTGGAATAAAGTTCAAGTTGTGTCCTGGTATATATGCTGATCGGGAGTTAAGATGAAGTACTAGTATAAGAATAAATATCTTCCAGTTCTTATATTGAGAGTCTCTATAGTACAAATCAAACATCAATATTATCCGATACCTTAGCTGAATCAGGATGTTTTTTCTCGCGTGTCATAATCTTTTGAATAAAATCAATCCCAAATCCAGTCCATAATGTCAATGCAATAACGAAGACCAGGCCACTGGCCCATCCATGTGTTTTTGAGAAAGTTGGTGCATCCCCACTGGGAAACTGATACTGTTGAAATGGAATCACAACTGCTGATCCAAGGCTGACCATGAAAGCCATGACGAATGCTCTAAGCTGTGGGTCATTTGCGCACGAGATATTCACAGAGGCAGCCAGAAGGGGTGTATAGCATCCATAGCAACCAGTCAAAATGAAAGCAGCCATCTTCAGTCCCTTCGGTGCAGGCCAAGCTGTGAAGACTGCATAACAGAATGTCAATAGACACCCAACAGCGAAGAAGACAGGACCTCGACGACCAATTTTATCTGCAACAATACCCGTACCAACCATGAAAGCAAAGTTGATCGCCCCCATTGATGTGGGAATGTTGTTGATCTGGGGAACCGAGTATGTCCCGAGAGCCTTCAGCCACAGTTCGAAATATTGCATAACATATGATCCTGCTGTCAAGGACCAGAATGCGTATGCGATGGAGAAGGCATATAGCTGCCAGGACTGAAAAATACGCTTCAGAACAGTGAGGTCCAGTTTCCCAACTGGCGTGCGACCCTCCTCTTCAATTCGCTGACGAGCCCGGTTCTTCTCCCACTCCGTTAAATAGAAGGCAGTCGTGGTCTGCGGCGTATCGGGATAGAAGATCAAACCATATATCACGACCGGAATTGCGAGAATAAAGTCGAAGATGAACAGCCATCTCCAAGCTGAGAGACCTCCCTTACCCTCCATTCCATCGAAAAGTGCGGATTGCAAGTACCCAGAGAACATCTGGCCAAGGACACCAGACATCACGAAGAGACCACTTCGAGATGCCATTTCCGAGCGCTTATACCAACATCCAAGCACGTACTGAATTCCTGGCCAAGCTGCAGACTCAGCTAGACCAACACAAAATCTCAGTCCATAGAACTGGGACGCGGTATTGCACTTGAAAAGAAATAGAACGAAGAGGGACCAAACGAATAAACAACTGGGTAACCAGATCCGTGGGCGAACAACAGTCAAAACAATATTGCTAATCGGCCCACCGATGATCACTCCAATACTGAAATAAGTGTTCATCCAACTCAATTGATTCCCAGGTCCGAAACCAAGATCTTCCTCCATGCCTGAGACGTATGCATTGCTGATATTTGTTTGATCGAGGTACTTGATGAAGAAGCAGAGGCAGCTATAGCTGAGAAGAAACCAATCGAGCTTGAAAATGAGCTTTTTGTCGGCTTTGGATGTGCCTGGGTCGTGCCAATGGAACCATTTTTTCTTTGCTTCAGTCTTATCGAATGCTATGCCTGAGTCGTCTTGACTATGAATCGATTCTGTTGTGTCGTGTTTATCATCGTGTCTCTCCTTAGCCCGAGCCTGATCATTTGTTGAAGAGGCAGTGCCTACTGCCTTGTTGATCTCGAGATCTTTCATGGAACTCGCCATGGTGAATTGTGGATAGGCCGACAAATCCAGATCGTGGGAAACTCATTGTTTAAAAATTCGGATTGAGTCCGCCATATCTTGAATAGACTAGTATCTAGCCGCAGCTGTGGCGTATCACGATGAAGAATTCAGAATTATGCATATCACGACATTTGCTGTTATATTGACGTGGAGCCCTTGTGAGGGGAAACTGAGATCTTTTCCTGATTCAGGTTAGTTTACGGCGTGGGGCCGACAACGGGAGATAATCGTACTTTTGACACTCACATACTGAGATCAGTGAGATATCTGACTCTACGAGAGATTTCCAAGGTCGCTCAATAAAGCTTGTTCTTACATTTTAATCAAGTTCATCTGGAGTAATCAACATTATGGTGGAATACGTCCCTATCAATGGAGCTCAGCTGGCATACAGATTGATCGGCCCAGAAGATGCACCGCTAATCATTACTCTTCATGGTGGTCGAGGGTTCGGTAAAAGATCTTTGATTCCTTTCATCTGTTACGGAACTTTCTGACTTGACTTTTTCTTGCAAGCTTAAGGAGACCATCAATCTGATTTCAAAGCGTATTCACCGCTATCCACGAAATATCGAGTACTATCCTTTGATTACCGAGGACATGGCCAAAGCTCACGAACAGAGCCTTATACATTTCATCAGCTTGTTGAGGATATCGAGGCATTGAGATTCTTCTTTGCTGATGATAAGCAATGTATCATTTGTGGTGGTAGCTTTGGCGGATACCTGGCGCAGCAGTATGTCATCACCTACCCTGACAAGGTATCGCACTTGATTCTACGAGGAACTGCTCCTTCATATCATCGTAAGTCATTATTTAACACTCTTTCACTATTTGTTAGGTCTTCATATGCTAATATTCAATATAGATGAAGAAATGGCAATCCAAACACTAGAACAACGCGCCTCCAGAGCCCCAAGTTTCTCAATCAATTTCCTACGAGAAAAGGTCTTCGGTCGATTCGAGAGTGACCTCGAATTCCAGCTCGTCATGTTTGCCGCAGCATCGCTATACAGCGAACACTTTGATGCAGAAGCCGCACTCAAGAACAACCTCTCGACAGTATTTTACGCCAAGGCACATAGTAAGTGCCTTACCCGGTATGCTGAACAGCCCCACTAACTTCAGAAGATGATCTTTACTCGGAGACGGAAAAGTACTTCGACTACAGGAACCAGCTACACTTGATAACCGCAGCTACTCTTGTCATTGTTGGTGAGCGAGATTGGATCTGTCCGCCTGATCAGTCTAAGGATATTGCTGCAAGAATTCCGAATGCGGACTTGAATATCGTTCCCAATGCTAATCACTCAGTTCATTTGGAGAAGAACGATGAGGTCATTGGGTTAATTCAATCGTATTTAGATTAGTTTCTCTTCGGTTGACTGCAGGATACTTTTGGAGTGCTAGTATGAGGCTTTTCGGCTTCATACTGTAGCATTCACGTGGCACTAATAGTACAATATTGATATCTCCTAAGGTGCCATATTAAATTATTAGGCAAATTCCATCAAATAAAAGAAATTTGACCATTCAGGATCAATATTATCACTAATTTATTCCAAAGTCAATTTGTATCTTTCGCGGGGTTAACTAACACTGTGGGCGGGGTATCGGTACTCCTCCGACCTGAATTCCCACTTAGAGATCATTTGCAATGTCGCCCCCACGAGATAGCAATATGTACCTGGGAGAAACTTAACCACATATCATACAGTATAAACACTATCTGCAGCTTGCCGATCTGCTATTCTCCGACTGGCTCTTGCGACGCCTCTCGCATATCACACAGTCGCGATGGCCATACCTGATATTAACATCTCAATTGGTATGTGACTCAAAATTCCTCGAGAACGAGCAGATCTAACCTAGCTTATAGATCGTGGAGGCACATTCTGTGATGTCCTAGTCCAGGTCCCTGGACGAGAAGACCTTGTGTTCAAATTACTCTCTGAGGATCCACAGAACTATCGTGATGCACCAACAGAAGCAATTCGCAGGGCATTGGAGACTATTGAAGGGCACGCGATACCCATCGGGCAAAAGCTAGATGGCTCAAGGATAGTATCTTGTCGCATTGGTACGACCATAGCGACGAATGCTTTGCTTGAAGGGAAAGGTCGGGAGTTTGCCTTTGTCGCTACGAAAGGCTTCAAGGATGTCTGCGTTATTGATGATCAGACTCGTCCGAAGTTATTTGATCTGAATGTCAGAAAGCTTCCTGCGTTGCATGCAGTATCCGTTGAGATTGATGAACGTGTCACTGTCGAAGACTATGATCTTAATCCATTCCCTCTTGACAAGTCAGCAGAAATCACTGATCCTGCGTTGTCAAAGACTCCGAGTGGGGAGGTTGTTCGGATTTTGAAACCTTTGGATCCAGACAACGTTCGAACAGTTCTCAGTGAGCTCCGATCGGCGGGTCATACTTCGGTAGCTATCTCACTCATGCATTCGTATTTAAAGAGCGACCATGAAGATCAGGTTGCAAAGATTGCGACGGAGATGGGATTCGAGCACATTACTAAAGCATCAGATGTTAGCCCTGTCATCAAATATCTCCAGCGCAGCAGCTCAGCCTGTTCCGAGGCTTATTTGTATCCTATTGTGAAGGATTATGTGTCAGCATTTCAGGCTGGCTTCAGTCATCTACCACGGCGTGTGGAATTTATGGGTTCAGATGGAGGTCTCAGAGAAGCCTCAAAGTTCCGTGGAAATGAGGCTCTGCTCAGTGGCCCTGCTGGAGGAGTCGTGGGTATTGCACAGACATGTTATGACGTCTCAGATGGAACCCCTGTTCTGGGTTTTGATATGGGCGGAACAAGCACGGATGTCTGTCGTTATGATGGAAAGTATGACTATCTGACAGAGACCACGGTCGCTGGTCGAAAGATCACTGTTCCGATGCTGAATATCGCGACTGTCGCAGCTGGCGGTGGCTCAATGTTATTTGCACGCCATGGTCTCTTTGTTGTTGGCCCGGAGAGTGCAGGCGCCCATCCAGGACCAGCATGCTATCGAAAAGGAGGGTCACTTACGGTGACTGACGCAAATCTATTTCTTGGTAGATTGGTCTTGTCTTCTTTCCCAGCGATCTTTGGTCCAGAGGCCAACCAACATCTGGATTATGAGGTCACGAAAAAGAAATTCAACGAAATCACACGTGAGGTAAACGAACAGACAGGTCAAGACCTCACCCCTGAACAGGTTGCATCGGGCTTCCTTAATGTCGCAAATGAAACAATGACTCGACCTATGCGAAATGCGACTGAGGTCCGTGGCTTTGCGCCCAGTCGCCATACTTTGATTAGTTTTGGAGGAGCAGGTGGCCAACACGCATGCTCAATTGCCAATAAGCTTGGAATTTCCAGGATTCTTATTCACAAGCATTCTTCGCTCTTGTCGGCTGTTGGCATCTCCCAAGCTGATCTGCAAGTTGAAAAGACTTTGCCGTCTACCGGCTTCTTTCATTTTGATGAGCTTGAGATTATTAGAGCTCGGATAGACACGCTCAAGACGCAGGCTCAAGAAGAACTCCTTTCCCAGGGAGCAGATGCATCGACTCTTGTCTTTGAGGAGTCTTTGAGCATGAGATATGCGGGCACTGACACAAACATCGCCATTCCAAAACCTGGGGATGAAGATTACGGAAAGTCATTTGAAACCATTCATCTCAGGGAGTTTGCCTTCAAGCTTGAAAGGAAAATCTATGTCGATGCAATCAAAGTCCGCGGTGTTGGTCGAATGGGTATTTCCACGAAGACCGAATCGCCATATCCGCTGCTAGATTCGCTTAAGAAAGCTCGCAAGGATGTCATCCAGAGTGAAGTTACACAGCCAGTATTCATCAATGGTACATGGCGAGATGTTCCTATCTTCAAATTGAACTCTGTAGAGAGGCCCAGTCAGTGTCAAGGCCCAGCCTTGTTGATTGATGCCACTCAAACGATTTTTGTTGAACCTGACTTCGACGCTTACCTTCTGCCAGACCATCTGGTACTAGAGAGAACGGTGAAGGATGTCACTCAGGCTACCAATGAAAAAGAATCAGAAACCATTGATCCGATTAAGCTGTCCATCTTGTCTCATCGCTTCATGTCAATTGCTGAGCAGATGGGACACACTCTTCAACGCACATCCATTTCAACAAGTATCAAAGAGCGTCTTGACTTTTCATGTGCGATATTCTCTCGAGATGGAAAGCTAGTCGCCAATGCACCACACATTCCAATCCATTTAGGAAGCATGCAATACGCGATTCAATATCAACATCGTTTATGGGGAGATAAACTCAAGCCAGGTGATGTTCTTTTGAGCAACCATCCTGAATGTGGTGGAACTCACCTTCCAGACTTGACTGTCATTACTCCTGTGTTTGTCGATGGAAAGTCGAGTGTTGCTTTCTACGTTGCAGCTCGAGGACACCACACCGATATCGGTGGTCTGGGCATTACATCCATGATGCCAGGTTCGAAGGAGCTTTGGGAAGAGGGATTCAACGTTCGATCGATGAAAATAGTCGACAGTGGAAACTTCCTCGAGGAAGACGTAAGAAAGGCCTTCCTAGCTGCTGGTGACTTTCCTGGATGCAGTCCAACGCGCCGACTAGATGATAACATATCCGACATCAAAGCGCAAATATCAGCTAACCAACGTGGAATCTTACTATTGCAGAATCTCTGCAATGAGTTTGGCTTTAAATCAGTTGTTCATAATATGAACGCTATCCAAATGAACGCTGAGCTGGCTGTTCGAGATTACCTTAAGAGAGTGTCTCGTTCTAAATCAATGCCCTTGACAGCTAGTGATCATTTCGATGATGGGACGGTCATCAAAGTCTCTATCTCGATTGATGAGAACGGTGGAGCAGTCTTTGATTTCGCAGGCACTGGTCCTCAGATGTGGGGGAACTACAATTGTCCCATCTCCATCACTCATTCAGCGGTCATCTACTGTATTCGCTGTCTAGTCGATACTGATATCCCTCTGAACGATGGCTGCCTCGCCCCAATCGATATTCAAATCCCAAGTGGATCCGTTTTACGGCCCAGTGCTTCCGTGGCAATTTGTGGCAGCACACTCGCCAGTCAACGAGTTATCGATACAATTCTTAGAGCATTTGAGTGCTGTGCTGCCTTTTCCGGTTGCGCAAATAGCTTTGGGTGGGGATTGGGTGGGAAAAATCCCCATACAGGTGCTATTGAACCTGGATGGAGCTATGGTGAGACTGTCGGGGGAGGTTGCGGTGCAGGACCCAATTGGCATGGTGAACATGCTATTCAGGCTCATTCCACGAATACAAAGATCACAGATGCAGAGGTCGTGGAGAAACGTACTCCTGTTATTATCAGGAGGCATGCAATCAACCCTGACACGGGAGGAAATGGTCAATACCGAGGTGGGAATGGTGCGGTGCGTGAGATTGAGGCGAGAGTACCACTAAAGTTCAGTATTCTCAGTGATCGTCGTGTGTTTACGCCGTATGGAATGAATGGTGGATACCCGGGTCAAGTGGGGAAGAATTATGCGTTCAAATGGAATGAGGACCGAACGGGGTTGGAAAGAATGTCACTGGGTGGAAAGGCTGCGCTTTCGTTGGAGGCTGGTGAGATTATGCAAGTAAACAGTCCTGGTGGTGGAGGATGGGGCTCTCCAGAGTAAATTAATTAGATTATATAGACAATAGAAGAAGCATTCAAGATGATCACTTCTATTGAACAAGGCGGACTTCGATGTTTAATCTTGTTAACTCCGAGTCGCAAGACTGCAGGTGTCTTTCTTCGCATATACATCAGTGTTGTCTGCCATGTAGATCTTGGGATTGGTTATTTATCCCATTTTACATGAGAATCAGTAGACCAAGAACTCTCTTCAAGTATATCAGAAATCTCTTCCTTGATCTTCACATAACCCTCGTCTTCCACAGATCCAAACTTATTAATCATATTATGACTTGCACTGATCACAATATATGACGAGTTGATCTGTGATGAAGATGCATCCTATTAAGCCAAAATGTTAGTCATGATATTCTTCAATACCTCGATCCCTTCTTTTCACGTACTCCTTTTTCTTCTTTTTGTATCGCCTCTTGACCATTGCGAGGTGTAACATAGACATTTCGATATTTGGCACTGTTTGATAGGTACTGATTCAACACACTCAGCAGCCATTTTGCTTCTTTGAAAATATCGCTGTTCTCTTGATCCGATCCCTCTACACTTTTCAGATATTTGCTCATGCCATGAGTGCTTATTCCCAGTTCAGTGGTATCAAAGAAGAATATTCCCCGGGTGGAAGCACTGATAACATCAAGGCGACTAGCAGGGCGCTCACGCTCTAAATCCGAGAATACCAGAGCCTGCGAAGATTTAATATCAGAATATTTCAGTAGCTTCGGGAGTCCACTTACACTTTTGACTATGCTACCGCCGAGACTGTGAGCCATGAAGATGATCGGCCGAGTTTGCGTCTAACCCGGGCCGATTGTAAGTACCCGGCGGATAAATAATAATGGAAATTCATTTTATGTCAGATTTTGGAGTGATGTGTTCTCTTACCTTGGTCATCTCTCTCAGTCTATACAGGTCCAGCACTAATTTCTCAGACAGGTTCTGTAAAGAGTGTTGTTCTTGTCCAGGACCAGATGATGCATTATAACCCCAGCTCATAATTCTGCTATTAGGTATATCTTGACTTAATAAGCTTCGAAGCCAATTCACACCATCAGGCGTTGTCCATGACTTCTCTCTGTGTCCACCCAGTCCGTGAACAGCAACGATACTGTGGACATTAGCTTAGCTCTTTTCCATATCAAAAGATGTACATACTCGACCTTTGGAGCTGGCCCGACATGAAACAGTTTAAAACCATCGTCCGGTTTTTCTACCACAAGCACAGGTTGGACCTTTGCGAAGTTAGTTCGAGAGCAGATCATCCGAGGTAGTGGAGCATACGCTTTTTGGTCCATTTGATTGGTCTTGTGGTCGCTTGAAGGGCCATAACCATTTCAATGGCGCTTTTTCAAATATTCCCATTTTTCATAACCGGAATTCTGGCGTTTGATCACAATTAGATTCTCTTCGAAGGTCAATTTATCATCATGACTCGGAACATTTTGAAGCTGTTCAAGTGAAGGTTTGGGGGCCAAAAATATACATCATAATCACGTGTAGTCATAATTATGCATTACATAATCAATGCTTGTGAGCATAAATTTCATTTTGAGCTTCAACATCCCCACTTGGGATGATTACTCAATAGTATTTCAAATATGTCATTGGATGAAGGAAACCCATCTGAGGTAGCAGAGAACCCCTCTGCTCCTGCGGCCGGATCTGCGGACTCTAAAATCAACCATGCCGCCTCGATCAACTATTGGAACAGTGTTGCTAGCACTTCAAGTGAGATGCTAGGCATGCTAGGCACTTACCCCTGGTACACACGTATTGAACTACTAGGATCCAAGACCTTCTTAACGAAAGTCCGTCGACTGGTCCCATCTCTTCCTCAAAGTGGAAAACTCGGTTTGGGCGTGGACTGCGGAGCCGGCGTTGGACGTGTAACCGAAGGCTTCCTAAGGCATGCGTGTGAAGTTGTGGACGCAGTTGAGCCCGTTGAGAAATTCACCAATGTCTTGGCTGAGAGCAAGCTCAAAAAGGATGGTGTGGTGGGTGATATCTACACCGTTGGTCTGGAGAACTGGAATCCACAAAAGAAGTACGACTTGATCTGGGTTCAATGGTGTGTTGGGCATTTGACAGATACACAATTGACTGAGTTCATTATGAGGTGTCGGAACTCCTTGACAGAAACTGGAATTATGGTCATCAAGGAGAATCTGTCTACCGATTTCCAGGACCAAGATATGTACGACGACTTGGATAGCAGTGTCACAAGGACAGACGCGAAGTTCAAGCAGTTGTTCGCTGCTGCTGGAATGGATGTCATTAAGTCAGAGATTCAGACTGGATTCCCTAAACAGTTCAAACTCCTTCCTGTCAAATCCTATGCACTGCGACCAAACATGAAGGCGTGATTTCGAATTCTCCCGAAAAATCCACCATGCATATTATATTCCTGTGAAGGAACACCGAATTTCAACTCCGCATGTCTCCACCGCGCAGATTTAATTTCCTCTCTTATTCGAGGGGATTTGAATTTCCAACCCGAGATTGAGCGATGCCTTATCCGATGCATCTGCTGAAAGGGCTATGGCGGTGGTGCCTGGGTCCAGATACGAAGCGATTTTATTTCGACAAAGGCTGTCTCTGAAGCAAAGGCGAAGGAAACGAAGGCATCATGCCTCTTTCCTGTTATTAAAGCATGGGCCGCATGGGCCATGCCTATACACATACCGATACCTGAGACATTGTCATTCAATCTCATTTTTGCAATCTCTCCAAGTCACGAACTCGGCGGCACATTTTGATTTTCCTATTCTACTACGTGTGCCGAAGTTTCCAACCTCTCAGGCTTTTACTAGACAGTTCAAAGGTTTGGGATAATCATATTTGATATTGATACTGATAACGAACATTGAAATACAAATATTTGCGATCATGTCAATCCTTTCTGGTATATCCGACAAACGCAGTGTGTCACATTACAATAACTTATCCTGGAACAACTGACCAATGGCCAGTATTATTATGGAACTTGAACTTCAGTTCCCCAGACTGCCTAAGCTGTTCCGGGTCAACGTAAACACACATCCCAACATCCGGGCCCTGTATGAAAAAGACCCGACAAATCATATAAATTTCCGAATAATTAGAAGCCTCATTCTTTCTGTGCATTTCGCCCATCTGGATACCGTTAGGAGCTGTGAATTACCGACATTCATACAAAATTTACTTACTTCTTCAAATTGATGCCTGCTCATGTAAAATGGAATCTTCGGTGGCCCTGCTGTGGTCTTGACTTCGATGAAGTACTTTGGACGTCGGTTCATCCATTTCATGGGATCAAGATAGCCATTCAATATTAACAAGGCTGTAAAGAGTCCCTCATCGTAGACAATATCTACTGTCTCCGATCCATGCCATGGTTGAATATTAGTGTGTGTGCTGTGTATCTTGACATGGTGTCGAATAGTGCTCGGCCAGTTGTGATACCCCCAGTTTGGAAGGGATAGGCCACGAGGAAGGTCGAAGACCTGTATCAAGTTAGTGAATTAGTATGAAACAAGACCTGTCTTTGAAGATCAGGGGCCGTATACGTACATAAAGTTCTCCTGCTGCCCCAATCTTACAGTCCCTTTCACTGTTGCTTTGGCTATTGCTAGCCCTGGCATGAAATTTTCGCTTGAGTTCAACTCCAGGGAAGCCTTCATAAAAATTTTGATGTGCGTTCTACGGTAGTAGTTGTCTTCTTGCACTCTTATTGAGATCTCCTCTGGAAGGGAAGTTGGTCAATCGTGCAAGTGGGACGACACGATTGAGAATATGCTTGTACCATTGATTTTCCACATTTTCCACTAACGAAAAGCCTTCAATTTCAAGATGTTGTCTGAACAGATCTGCATCTTTGCTGGATGGAGATTTGGTAGTTATCTTTTTAGTGGAATGATTGGGAATCGGCGATGAAGGTTGGTCATCCTGAAAATTAGAGTAATAGCCAGTATATCTAGACTGTGGGAGATTTCCGGTTTTGTTTGTTTCACAAGTATGAGGTTTTTCTGAGATCTTTTCTGAAGACAGACTTTTTTCAGTATTTTGGTATGGAGCATCATTTTTTGTCATTTCAAGACCTGTGACTCCATTTGAAACTTTCCTGTCAATTGAGATGTCAACTTCCATCACTCCCTCTTTTTTTCAAAAGTGATTTTATCTGGGAAGCGTTCATTTCCAATATCTGCACCATTAAGCTCAACAATTTCCCTATGTGGGGAATATGGACAAAATCCCCCATGAGCCATTGGGCAAGCTCCCTTGGGAGTAAATCACAAAAACAGTACTCTTGTTCTCTGATATCATCGGGAATGTAAACATTGAGACGAGATCTGTCTTCGTCGATGTGTATTTCTGCAACATTTCCCTTGGCCTTAATCACCTTACCATCTTGAATGATGCACAGAGAAGTAAAAATGTTGTCTGCCACGTGAATAGTAGCGTTTTGAAGTAAGCTAAAGAGCTTTAGTTCGTCGGCTTGGTATCTTGGGCTATTGAATGTTCCCGCAACACTGAAAAGTAATAAAAATTAGCCTTATTCCTCAATTTTTGGAATTCCACTTACCGGAGGATTGCATGAGCTTTATCCTTGAAGTCACGGCATCACCTGTGTTGAGTTGGTTGTGGAGTCCAAGGTCTATTCTTGCCCAAGACAGACCCCGATCACTTAAGACAATCGGAGAGATAGCGAGAAGAGAGGCCAGCCCATTTAAAAAAAGGCTTCTAGATCCCAGACTTCCCTTGCAGTGAAGTCCAGGATTTTGATCACTTTTCCAAATTCGGATGCTAAACTCTCAGAATCCCCGATAGCAAATTGCACAGAAGCCAATTCAATGGCCTTCGTTCCATTAGGGTTGACAACAGGAAAAATGGGATTTTGCATGAGAGGCTCTGGATCAATATATCGTGTTTCGTGGAGAGGAATGTATTAAGAGATCGTATTTTTGCCTTAATCTCGTTTATCCCTGCTTGTGCGTTGATTTCCAGGAGATCATCGTAAACCATCTGGATTGTAAGCGGTTGAACCCCTAAACTCTCGATAAAGAAGCCCTTTAGTTCTTCATGATACTCGTTCAGTGCAACCTTCCCGGGCTGCTCTATGGTACTCGACCATAAGCATTCAGAGGGTTTGTACCAGCCAGGCTGTGAATGTTTGGTTGCAAGGACGAGGCTCTCATCTTCGAATATCCTTCTAGGACGGATGGTCAGTATTTATAACAAGCCATATTACACATATACAGAACCAGGCTTACTTAAGTGTCTCAGGCTCAACGGGCAAACCACCAATGTGGTGAAGATATTTGTAAAAACCAGAAACCACAGCAAAGTCATGGGAGTGTTGCTCCCTCTGAAGCATGAGCTCACTCATCAAGTCAGACCAGGATATCGGTCTTATGTCCAAAATTTGAGTCAAGAGAAAAGAAATGGATGGCACTTGAGATTTATCAATCAGTGACTGACAGATTGGCTCAAGTAGCCTTTTTCTCATCATCTCATCTGGTCCTTGCCATGAACAATCTCCGGGATAAAGCCATGAGGCTCTATATGAACCACCCTCGACAGGGTCAAAAGCGAATATGTACTCTTCCCTTTGAAAGAATAACCTGAAAATTATATTAGGAGCCACTCCGATCATATTTCTGATATTTCTGTGATCACTTACTTAATAACTTGAAGTTCCTTCAACTTCCAGTTACACCCAGCACGAAAAAACTTGGTATTGATGGCACTGTAGAGCCTCAAAATGCGACTAGGGTCCTCGATATGACCTGACTTGTCGTTTGAAATCTTTATCCATTTTAGAATATCAAGCAGAAACTCGATATTATTATGCATTTTCACCCCAAGCTCAGTGTGAAGAACCAACCATGAGTTTATCTCAGCCACATCTGATACCTTCTCTAGCTTCAAGAAAGGAAATACCTCATCTTTCTCCATGAACTGTGAGCATATTTCTTTTAGATACGGAAATGGGAGATATGTCTCATCAAGTCGGCATTTTTGCTGAGGTTTGGTATGACAAAGTTGACTTGCATCTGTTTCCTGAAGCATACGCTTTATTGAATCATCATGCAATCCTTTTGTGCCCCGAGAATCCCAAACATGTTTTAACCCCTTGAGAATTCTTTGTGGTTGACGCTCAACTAGTTCGTTCCAGGCATCAGGGAGATCTTGACCTTCCTTGGTGATAAGAGTCGTGTCTGTCTCTTGTGATGTTTCCTGAAGACCCTTCAGGTCCTGACCTTCATTGGTAATAAGTTTCTGTTCTGTCTCTTTCGATGTTTTCTTAAACTTCTTCCTTCCTCGTAGCCATCGCCATTCAATCAACAGATTTTTACCTGTCTTAGGTATACCGATGTATGTCGGTGATAACTTGAATGCCTTAATGATCTCTCGACCTAAGCAGATAGACCGAGATTTCTCCGAGTCTGCGGAGATTCGCCTTCCTGCCACTCAACAATAATTCGATCAGCATAGAATTTGAAGCAAATCAAAGGTTGTTCCTCCTTTCCTTTTATATTGGCATTTGGAAGCAACGCGACTGCGTTGCTACTGCAGATGTTATTGATGATTTGTTCAAGTTGATCGAGGAAATACTGAAGAAAGCCGTATTTAAGGATGGGATTCATCACGTTCTTTTTTTCTTGTTTGTTGGTGGTCATTTTGGTTAACTTGTTGTGTAAAATAGTATCTGGAAGGATGCATGAGTCAAGAGTGTCTTAAATAATTACAACTTGAGGTTGCTTACTATTCCAAGGTTGTGATACTATTCCTATAATGTCTATGTTCAATCCCAAAGGTCTCGGCAATTCTCTGTTGGGTTTAGTGATAGAACTATGACCATGGGTATGTAGCTTGAAGTTGCTAAAAAGGAACCGGAACTCGGACTTCGATTACTCTATACTAGCCTGGAGTACTAGATGGTAATTTGAATCTCATCCATGGTTAGGATTAGAGGGCACCGTACTAGTAGCAAAACTACTCCGAGTCAGATTAATCAACTTGAAGCAGGCAATGAATTTCCATACTCAAGAGCTGCTACTACTAGTAGAACCAGATACCAGGAAGGAATATGAATCAAAATCAACTAGTAAAAGAGGGGGGTATGTACGTCCATTCGCCATTAAACAATACAAATGCTATTACAATAAAAACTGCGTGGGAGCCTTGTAGCTTCGTTCATCGTCCATATATCCTCCGTGGATCCATTCCTTTTTTTTGTCGTTTTTGTCTTGACCTCGCTTCTAATAAACATAAAACTCCCTTTACACCTACATGCGCATTCCATGGTTACAAAGGTGAAGATCATGATTCGATTTCACCTCGACGAAGAGCCAGTAGTGCCCGAACATCCGTAACATATTGCAACGCCTCAAGCATGGGAATTAAGTGCAGCAAACCGTTATCCGTAGGGTCGTTGATCCACCCCTCAATGGGGATCGCATTGTCTAAAATACTGTCAGTGGATATGAAGGAAACATAAATCTGGCTCAAGTAGTCTCACCCTCATGGAAGATGTAGCTCATTGGACTGTTATCCAAGATCATCACTTTGCTGAGATCCGGTTCCACAGAACTAAGGTCTTTGATGTAGGCGCCGTTGCGGAGCGTGCAGTGCTGTCGGTAGTACCGGGCCTGGAAGTACTTGCGTTCTTGTTCGAGCCAGTCGATTACAGGGTCGGCGTACTCCTGCACACTCGCTGTGAAGATCACGAGCTTGTACCACTTGGAAATCTTGCGCAGGAAATCGTCACAGTGTGGTCGCTTATGCACATAGTATAAGATAGGATGCTGAGGACCAATAGTGGCTTGCGGGCCTCCGGGAGACAAAGCAGTGGTCGTAGGCATGGAAAGCTTCACTTCAACCATGTGTCCGCTGGACATACGACCGCCCTTGGCGAGCGAATGGATAAGTGTCTCATCAAGATCTAGCACCAAGGTTTTCTGAGGGAGTCTAGCATTTCGAGGCGCCGCTGTATATGAAGGCAATCGTGGAGGTAGAAGAGGTCGCGGCGGAGATGGTGAATGTGGGTATTTCGTAATGCGATGAACGGACGGGGACATGGGAGATTTCAAGCTGTCCAGGCTGACAGCCTGTACTCGATTCACACCCTCCGGCATTGGTGGGCCAAAATCGGCGCTTTGAGTTCTTCGTTGTCTCTGGCGCTGAAGCGTTTCCTCGTTATGTAGCTTGATTCGTATAGACCGACGTGGCGTACTTTCATCAGGACTAGGTTCTAAACTAGGTTCCGCTTTATCAGGTCGACTCTTGCTGCTTGTAAGAGCCTTAACATTTCTTCGTTCTGTGTCAGATTCGGACGTCGTGGATAGGATCGATTCTCGTGAGGTCTGTGGTTTCAACTTGCGGGTGGAGGCACTTCTTCGCCTATTCCCTACTCGAATGGATGGCGCTTTATCCGGCCGGTTTCTCGAGTTGGCAGGAGTTCGCCAAATCTTCCTCACCGGAGCGAGGAGCGAATAACGACCCTCGTCGTTTTGGAAGCATTGAGCAACGTATACTCCGGGGGCAGCAAGTGTTGACAGAATGAAGCGGATCGTTTCGGCAATCGCATCAAAGATGCGCCTTGTGAAGAGTCGCCAAGTGCTTTTAGTCACGATGGGGCCATCGTGTAAGGTACCATGCAATAAAGGTGTCTTCTCATCAAACGAATGTACCGTCTCTTCTTCGTCGCCGTCTGCTAATGATGCGGAGCCGTCGTAGCCTCTCTCCGGGACGAGACTAGAGCGAAAATTATCCTCACTGTATGATCGAAATTTGGCGAGATCGCCTGGCGGGAGCGCCCGCCGTTTCTCACTCTGAGACTGCGATCGTGGACGTGAAGAGCTGGAGGACTGGCCAATGACTCGCGATGACAAGATGTTCAATGAGTTCATCTTCCAACGGAGCCCACGGGAGATACGGGCGCGCGGGTTCTAAAAGACACGGAGATGGATGAGTGAATGGTCAAACTCGGATTCTTTGGTTCGTGGAGCATGATAGAATATCGGTATGATCGGAGATTGTCAAGGGGGAGGGGGCATCGTAGGGAGGCGTAAGCTAGACAACAGTTATGGGTTCTACCGACCTCGATGCGCCAGTCACCCGTTTGCCTCGGATGTAATTCCGCACTACCCCGGGTATTCTACCGTGAGCACAAAAGAGGAATAGCGAACTGCAAGAAAACAAAGCAAAGGATGAAAGAATCCAGATCGCAATAGAGACGCGACGAAAAGGAGAGGAAGGGACGAAGTGTGGGGAAGCGGACAAAGGACGTGACGGCAGAAAATCGGGTTTGCCCACTTTGCTTCTTCCCTTCTTTGGATATCTTTCTTCAAACTACACGGAATTCGACTCGGAAAAGATAGAGGGACTGAGGATTGATTTCAGAAGTATGTGTATCATCTGAATTACTTATTCCTGCAGAATCGCCAGTCTAACTTCACCAGCAGGTTTTCGACTTTGAATATCTCATCCCACCTTCCGCAATGCCGTCAACGGCTTTAGCCCTGACACCGGGCCTGGCGTCCTTCTTGAAATCCCTCAAGACAAACCCGATTGATACTTCTATTGAAAATTTGGTCTCGTAGGTTTCCTTCTTCAACCTGTGTGAGGATTCTCGAAGCTAACTCGACCTTTTTCTGCTTAGGCTGCTCAAACGACGCCAAATCCGTCATTCTCGATCATGCGCCACAGCAACTGCCTACTTGCTCCTCCGAGTAGTCTCAGCATGTCGTACCTCTGAATCTGCCAGGCTCATTGAGCGTGTGCAGAGCGTTGGTAGACGTCTCATGGCGGCCCAGCCGCGCGAGATGGTAGTGGGGAACATTGTGCGACGAGTCCTCGGCCTTATCCGTGACGAGGCGGAAGATGACCGCGAAGCTGAGTTCGCATTGAGCGAAGCAGGATCTGAAAGCCAGCCACAAACTCCTCGTGCTTTTGACGGTTAGTTTCCATTCTTCAAGCTAGTCTTTTTGCCTTTTTGTCGCATTACCTTTGTGCCTCGATGTTGTGACTCATAACCTTTGAACAGATTCATCCTTGCCTTTGGATCGTGATATGCTTGGTCTCCGCGGCGAAGGCGCAGAACGGTCTACCTCGCGACCTCCCTTAACATCCATGTTCAGTCTTCTTTCCCACCCCGAACCCGAACACTCCCTCCCCAGTACCCCGGGTACCCAGTCGCCAAATGGCCGTTTGTTCAGCCCTGGTCAAAGCAAGGATGTACGAGCTGAGGTCTTGGAGGGTATCAACGAGATCATTGATGAGTTGGGTCAGGTAGATGACCAGATTGCCGCTTATGCGTTGGACCACATCCACTCCAACGAAATCATCCTCACACACACCTCCTCCACAACAGTACAGAAGTTCTTGCTGAAGGCTGCTGCAAAGCGCAAGTTCACTGTTATCATTGCTGAATCATTCCCGAACAACCACGAGGCTACACATGCTACTATCAGTGGCACTAGCCTCGGTGATGATGAGAATCTGACCTTCGACTCTTTCCAAAAACCTTTGATTGCTCACGGCATTACCGTGATCCTTATTCCTGACTCTGCCGTCTTCGCCCTAATGTCCCGTGTCAACAAGGTCATTCTGGGAACTCACTCCGTCCTGGCTAACGGTGGCCTGGTTGCTTCTGCCGGTACTCGTGTTATTGCTCGCGCTGCCAAGGTCCACCAGACCCCTGTGGTTGTTGTCAGCGGTGTCTACAAATTAAGCCCCGTTTATCCATTCGACTTTGACTCTCTCATTGAGTATGGTGATGCCAGCAAGGTTCTGCCCTATGAGGATGGAGATCTCGTCGACAAGATCGATGTGCAGAACCCCATTTACGACTATGTCCCAGCGGAACTGATCGATCTCTACATCACAAACTTGTAAGTGAAATCGTCCTTCCAACACCTCGGGTTTTCGTGATGTACTTTTACTAATATCTCCGTTTTACAGAGGTGGCCATGCCCCAACATATCTCTACCGTATTGTGTCCGATCACTACCGAAAGGAGGATATCAGCTTTTAGGCTATTAGAGATAACGTGGAAAACAGTTGGCAAAGGTCTTCTTAAATCAAGACTTGGATATGAAACCTTTGGCCAATACTGGAAACGATACCCGAAAAATTATGTGCGATGATTGTTATGTGGGTCAACTGGTGTTGATTAATCCTATCTCCGTAGTTGAGGTATATATATCAGGCATAAATCGACGCGAAATGAAGCGCAAACTCGAAGTTTAACCGAAATTAAGTTGTAGAAAGATGTAAATCAATACTATCATAGACCTCTTTCAAATGTTATTACTTCAAACTTGAATTGGTATCACTCGCGTTCGGACTCGGATTTAGTAACAAGTTGAACGTCTAGATAGCCCGTCATAGTACATAGTCTGCAACTTGAACTTGAACTTGAACTGCCCACCTGGGCAGGTCAACTGGTGTGAAATCTCCACTTTCCAGATGTCCTAACAGCCCTGAAGCACACCTGGGCACCTTTTCCAAGGGTTGAAATCAATGTAAATTCTGGGGTCATTTCCAAGGTTTAGAGGTGTGCACACCACATTTGCAGGACCCGTGGACAGCTGGAGGGCTGGCATGAAATTGAGGTGGAAAGGGCCCGGGTCCAGCAAATAATATTACGGCATAAAGTACGGAGTATCCAGAGTCAGATACTGCCCAGGTGGAATTATACGTAGTCTGGATGTCGGTCCTCAGGCTCGAGCCCTGGGCCCGCTCGTGCCTGGATAGCACAATTTGAAGGGCCCCGGAGTCGCGACTTGTCCAAATCGCGTTTATGCTTAAATATTGGGATGAATACGGTCCCACTTACATCTACACAGCTGTGTACGGAGTAGATCACATCTGAATGGAAAGGGCATTGCCCGGGTATTAAGATCATAGCGCCATTGTTTTTTGGAATTGTATCAAATCATTGTAATTCGCACGCAATCCCAGACGAAAGCCCGCCCGGGTGATATTTCCCAAAAAAAAAATTCTCATGAAATCCAGGCGCTTATGAGGCGGGCTTTCTGTCCGACACCGATGCTACTCCTCCAACCCCTGCATTTTGCTTTTTTGGAGCTCTTTGCTTAAGAGCGGGGCTTCTCCTTCTTCTCCTTCCACAGAGCGAGCAGACCGACACCAGAGACCTTGACGACCTTGAAACGGACACCAGGAATATCACCCTTGGCCTTGCCCTTGCGACCGAAACCAGCCAGGAGAACCTCGTCGTTCTCGTCGATGAAGTTCAAGCAACCGTCATTGGGGACTAGTAGAGAGGTGAATATGTTAGCGACTTGTATTCGTGTTTGTGTAGAAGCGATGGATGCCATTTCAATTCCGAAATAATTGAATCTCATGCAAATCCACGCATTCCATCAGGAGTATAGTTGTTGGGCACCCACCGAAAGCAGCGACCTTCTTGCCGTTCTTGATCAGCTGGACCTTGACACACTTGCGAATGGCGGAGTTGGGCTGCTTGGCCTCAACACCGACCTTCTCAAGAACGATACCCTTGGCGTGGGAAGCACCACCGAAGGGAGAGGACTTGTAGGCGGTACCGAGAAGGCGCTTCTTGAAGTGCAGATCAGCCCAACGCTGATCCTTGCGGTGAGCCTCGAGCTTGCGGGCGGCGTTCAGACCACGGGGCTTTCCTTTACCCATATTGTCGGATTATGCTTGACGGTCAACTATGACGAGATCGGCGTTAGTATATCGGTTTGTTCTTGTAATTCTGGCGCTTGATTGTGTCCGGGAGGTGATTCGATTGTGTTTTCGATGAAGTGTAGGTGAAAGTAGAAGAGCGAGAGTCTGGCCAATTTTCTGTGCGCAGGACGAGGTGGTTGACGGCGTCCTTTTTTGTTGTTTTTTCCTCACAGAAAATAATCCCAGGTGCTCTTCTCTAATGTGATGAGGAGAGGGATAACGGTATACGTACCGACTGAAATGGGTGTTGTTGGGTCGTGGGGTGTCGAAAAGTCGAAGGTTTCGGAATTGCCTTGAACGCCAGCGACTCGCTTGCTTGGGACGGCTTCCCCCGTGACTTTGTGCGCTTGCCCTAAGCGAGTCACCTGACTCCGCTAACCCCCCAAATATTGGATTATGTCATACTTCCCGGATAACTCTGATAAGCCTTATCGATAACGCTATCGTCCGCGTGGAGCTTCTTCCAATGTTGCTTCTCTGACCTCACTGTCAAGTACAGAGTACCGTTACAATCTTGATCTTCAAAGATTACACAGGGTAGCAATGAGCTCGTTAAAGAAGCTTCCAAGCACACAAAGGCTACCGCCGCCAGCTTTATTCCAAGGTCCTCCATTCCATGATGCTTCGAATATCTCCCTCTCAGTTCCTCCTGCTTCAGCGCTTGCAACACCATCTGGTAGCCAACCTCCGCCCCTTGATCGCCAGCCACGCAGCAGTGCGCGTGTCAATCCTGGAAACCGCAACACACTATCTCCTTTTCTCTCAAGACGTTCTTCCAAAAACGATGTGGACGGATCAGACGCTATCTGGCAGGAGATGCAAAGCGCCTTGTCCGAAGTTGAATTGAGCGCCGTAACCAGCGAACACGTATTCGGTGAGAAACACGCAGAAGCATTAGAGGATCTGCGCATGAAACAGTTGAAACTCGCCCAGGCCTGGGGACGCAGCGAGGCAGATGACGAGGTTGTGGATTCGAGTCGCAATACAGTTGAAGGAGATGCCGCAGCTCGACACCAAGCCCCAGGGGCAGATACAAGCAATGATGCGCCGTCGCATGAGCAGGATCCTATAAGAGAACGTGTTTCATACCATACGTTGGATGAAGAAACCGAGAAGGATATTATGCTTGCTCGGAAAAGGCGGGAGGCGAATGACCGGTACTTTGATCGTGTTAACCAAGGGGTGTTGGATGTGGTTGCCAAGCTTGAAGAGGTCTCGCAGGCGATGCGCACGGTTGAGCGGGAAAGCAAAGATATTTGGAGTGATACGGAAAGTGTCATGACAGCGGAACCCTCATCTGCTTAGCGTGTTGAATTCGCGGACTACCTACTAGGTGGTTGTTAACGCCGTTATGATCAGCGCCGGACGCCGTATATCAATTCATAATTCGCATGGCTATGAAGCGTAAAATTCCATAGCCACTGGATTGCATATCTAATTAGCGAAATCAATGCATCAAAGATATTCCATTCAAACACATAAAACCAAGGGGTATCCAAACTCCAGTGCTAGCAATGCAAGTCCACTAATAATACACCATCAAGACAGAACATAACCTCTCAAGTGATACAGTTTTCAAACACCGCTCATTCCTTCTTGAAGAGATCCCTGGCTGTTGTCCAGCTATGCACTGCTGTATCTCTGATATCCTCCCATCGAGTCTCATGCGCCTTCCGGGCGAGTTTCTCAACTTCTTGGTTCCACCGATGCTTCAAGACCTCCTTCATAGTAATCTCCTCCTCCTTCTTGGAATGTCTGTCTTCAATGCGGCGGGGAACATCTGCGGGAGCAAAGCGACGGTCATATACGCCAGCGGAGGAGGCGAGCCAGCTGATCTGATCAACTTGTTCCCGGATTACTCGGCGTTGTTCCAACCGGTTAGTGCGGTGGACTTGTATAGTGATGTACAGGACCGAGCTAGTAAGGGCAAAACCGCTGAACTATCCGATTCCAGGAAATATTAGCAAATCTCTCGTCGCAGGGAGTATTGCATTGCCTTGACATACAAATCCAGCGAAGAACCCCATTGCGCTTATTTGGTGTGCGAGGGTAGTTTGTGTTCAGGCTCTCTTGCGCTCGTCAATATGACTATTGAATAGTCGTAGGATAATATTTTAAGAATCGCGATAACAATGAATTGTTCACTGAAGTAATACAGTTCCTGAGTTAGTCGAAAAGTTGAAGTTGGCCAAGGCGGTAGCAGATCTCCGATTGGCCGTGACCCAACGTCGAATCTTTTGCCCGGAACTTGTCCCTGTCGTTATCAAAACCACCGCAATAGATTCCCACCAATTTGAACCGGAGAACCTTTTATTAAGTCTCCTGTATCAATTGGGATTTCATTTTTCTATTTCCATCTTAATACCTTTTTCTACCGACTCGCAATCATGGCTGGCGGCGGAGGAAAATACAGACACCTGGGTCGCAAGTCCTCGCATCGACAGGCTTTGCTCCGTAACTTGGTTACCTCCCTCTTCGAGAACGAGTCAATTACAACAACATGGCACAAGGCCAAGGAAGCTCAGCGGTTGGCGGACAAATTGATCACACTGGGCAAGAAGAACACTGAGGCGAGCCGGAGACGGGCATTGGAGATTTTCTACGTACGTGAACTAATCTTTAGCATGAGTTCTTTTTCTGCATGAAATGTTCTTAGGAATCTCACTAACACTACATAGAAACCCCATGATATCCTTCCTAAACTCTTCGGTCCCCTCCGTGAACGCTACGCCGAGCGCCCCGGTGGCTACACCCGCGTTCTCCGTGTCGAGCCGAAACAGAAATACGAGTTCTTCTCCGTCGCTAAGGGTAACAAGAGTGCTGCTCCCATACGCAAACCACATGATCAGGCCCCTTCCGCAATTCTGGAGCTTGTCGACGGTCCAAAGGATATGCGATTTGCCATGACGGCTCGCACTGTTGCGCGCCAGCGTGAGCGCGGTGTCGAGGAGTTAAACGATCTTACATCATTGAACGTACAAAAGGTGACCCGATTCCGGAAGGGTGGCATGGAGGCTCTGGAAAGTGCGATCTCCAAGTTGAAGATTTCTAAGACTGCTAAGGGAGATCCGGAGGTTGATTCATCAAGGGGAAACTAGGATTAAGTCTCTCTTGACTTTGCTTCCTCATTCTGTGCTATATTGACCCCGCTGTGAATGATCAGTGGGTTGTCGTTTCTGTCTGTTTCCATAGGAGTTTTGTTTCTGGCATTTTTGTCTTCGCTTCTGCGCCCATGTGACATAGCCTGTGTACAGTATAAAATATTTCGATACCTTTTTATTATCTAGATTCTGTGCTATTTAGATTGGGTACCATATGCCTTGTACTGGGCTTGTAGCATTTTCAAGTTGTAAGATATCATTATACTACCATGGTAACCTCAACGGATGCGGGCTGGTCTGGAGGAGTGTGTCAGTCAACAGTGTCCGAGTCAGTATAGAAAAATTTCCCTTACCTTTCATCAGGTCAGCAAAAAGCATGTTGTCCTCGTTGATCAACGGGGCACCTATCATCCACGGAATTAGCACTGATACAGAAGTAAGGTCCCCAACACTTATGGGATGAATCACCTGAAAACAAAAGAGAGTATGAAGTCCCGGATGGTTCAGCAGAGACCGAGTGAATCCAATCGGGTTCTACACCACTTCCCTTGCGAAACCAGTACACACGCTTGGGGAGGAGACTCCTGTCCTCGACCAAGTATCGACCTAAGTACCAGCAGTTGCTCTCAAGGCGCCCGTCCGTCAAGGTGAAAACTGCTGCATCTGGACCAAACGATGCTTGGATTTGGTCTTCGCCGTTGTCGTTGACTGGCGCAACTGCTTGGCCGTTGATTTTGATTTGGAAAGGTCCTTTGATAGATGACATGGTGTTTTAAGGGGTTTGTTTGGGGCAAGTTGTACAGTGCTCGATGTTTTCAAGGCATCTCGGGGATGTCTCTGCCTGAAGGTATGAGACACCAAGGAAATGATCTACAGCTAATCGTCATTGTGCATGGCTATCCTGGCAGTGTTTCATGATTACCTTGCTGTGGTATGCTGGTTTCAAATGAATGACGATCTTTAATATAGTCCTAGGATACATACTACCGTGACATAGTGGACTGCTATGGTAACTCACGATTTATCCGATATAGTGCTAGTACTTGACAATAGCAGAGTTGAACAGATCCCAAGAAAACAAATAATCATGATTTCAACATACATAATTATACCATAGATGAATCATACCTAGGTCTTTAGGTCAACCAGTTACCATCTGCATCTTCCCAGCCAAACTCCTGCTTCGTCCAACCCTTGATTGTTTGCTCGCCATCTCTTTCTCCTGCCAAAGTGGATATATGGTCTGCCAATCGAATCCGAGCAATTGTAGTATGAGCTTCATTTATTTCCTCCATCTCCGCCTGGGTAAGTGTCACAAGATGAATGTTCTCCTCAATACGACTGAGAGAGCTGCTCTTAGGAATCACGCAGATCTCTCGCTGAACTGCCCACGACAGAGCCAGGCCTCCTGTGGAACATCCATGATTTGCTGCAATCCGCTTGAAGAGTGGATGTGCCAGGATCTCATTAGCTTTAGGCGTATGTTCACCTCCACCACCCAAAGTACTGGTCACTCGTTACTATGTCATTCGGTCCAGAGTATGAGATTATGGAGAGGAACATCACCTACCTCCAGCTTATCACTCGAATACCCTTCTCATGACAGTACGGAACGAGTTTCAAATTAGGATTGAAAGCATGTAACTCAACCTGATTAACAACAGGAACGATAGTAGCAACCGCCAGCACTTCATCAAGTAACTTCTGCGTGAAGTTACTAACGCCAATAGCTTTGCAACGGGATCCAACACACTTCTCCATAAGTTTCCACGTCTCAACAAAGGTAGGACTCGCTGTGATTGGTAAAAGGTTCCACTCATCCCCATCAGCTGCAGAAGGCCAGTGCATAAGGAAGATATCAATATAGTCCAGGCCTAATGCGTCGAGGGAAATTTGTAATGCGTGCAACGGGTCATGATGCCACTCGCTTGGGAACTTCGTAACAACTGTAATCTCGCTACGGGGGATTCCGGACTCTCGAACTGCTTCGCCAACGGCTGGCTCGACGCCATAAGATTGGGCTGTGTCGATTAAGCGGTAACCGGCGCGTAGAGCGTAGATTATGGAGTCTCGTACGTCTTGGTGCTTATTCCTGATTCCTAATCCTGGTTCGGTAGTATGTGTTATTAGTATACTAGTCAGAGGATAATATTCAATGTTTGATCTCACCTTGCCATGTCCCCAGACCAACAGCGGGAATAGTCATTCCTGTGCTTGTTTAGCAGGAGACTCCTCGTATATGGAGTGTGGATTGCAGACCATTGTTCAGTGGAAATACAGTAGTGCATGGTCTCTTCTCGGTCATTTCAGAAAAATGATGGACCTCTCAGTATAAATCTAGATTAACGATGACAGTCGAATCTTGAACAAAGGGCAAATTAGCAAGAATCGCTTTACTGGGCCAAATGATACTAAATAGTAAAGGTTTGATGTTGTGGAACATCTAACCCCTCTAACACCGTGAATTGTGACTTCATATTGTCCCACATTTCCAATTATTTGACCAATCCATAAGGCCAAATCTGAGGATCTCAGGAATACAATCCCTGTTGAAATGATCATACCACTGGCAGTATTCTCTCATCATTTGTCCATGATTTGTCACAAATGTCCTAAGTCCGAGTCTCCGAACTACTTCACGATGAGACAGCTGGTGATAAATCAACTCATGTCACTACCTAAAGTGATGAATACTCGATCCGCTAATCAATTTAATACTCTCATTTTATAGGGACTCTTTGAGCTGTCTCTTAGTAGTGTGAGAGATCACATAGAGAGTTTGTACTTGTCGCTCACTGGGTATGAGCTATCTGCTTAAAGTGTCAACTGAGAATCAGTCTATACTTAAACAGGTCTTAATTTTCCTTATTGCACACCTGGACATGTGATATCATAATCTATTTTTGATAGAGTCACAAGCTATTATAGCTACTAAAATTGCCTAGGTTGTGCTAGTATACTACCCAAATTCGGAATGCAGGATGCGCTTTACGCTGATACGACAATCATTTCTTCATATATCAATCACTACTAGTATCATGTACGTGCGTGCCTCTAAAAAGCTGCCCATCCATATTCACCCAGCTATTTTTGGAGATAGTTCTCTTGTACCTGGTTTTCTCGTGATCGTCTCCAAGTCCATGCCGACACTCTTCCTCGTTCACTGAAGTGGTTACAACGAAGCCCTGTGACACGGTTTTGAATCTCCTCCATTACGACGTGTTCAGCCTGAAAAGCAACCAGTGCCTGATCTACAACAATGGAAAAGGGGAGGTGCCCATCAATATCTATTCTGGAGGTGCTTGTCAAGATGATGGGTACAGAATGCCAGCCGCCTACGCTAGCAGGATGTGTAGTAAAGGGAGGAATAGAAATGCGGCTCGAATGACCAACCAGCATTATCCGACCAATACTCACAGATCTCATTAGTCCCAAATATGAACAATTTAATGTTACTGCTACTCTGGGGCCCCAGAATCTCAGTGGATCTCCCCCGCCTACCCCATAGGCGATATCCGGCAACCGAGGCAGACGCCTCAATCACAAGTTCCCAAGTTCTGAAGATCCCCACGCTAGACAAGCCTAACCTCCCAACAATGTTTAAATGGGTCTTGAGCCTTGAGATGTCTTTGATGATTCGTTTAAGTCTGATAAAGTTCTTCCATGAACCTCGTATGTGTCATAAGTGGCGATCCTTCACATGCACACAGTTCATAGTAGCCTGTTGACCCACTATATCAAGTATAAGAATCCCATATCTGCTGGTAAACTGGACAATCTTTGCGAGTAATATCTCTGAGTGACAGTGACAACCTTCAAAATGTCACAGCCCGCACAGAAACCCACTCATACTCGCAACCCCCAAGATTCCATGGTATCAACCTGGCGTCATGACCAGTCCCAATGGACCTTCTGGCACTGGATGATCGAACTTCTGGGCCTCCACCTCATAGATTTAGACAGACCAGTGCCAATCTTCTCTGAGAGTGACAAAATTCCCGCAGTACGCGAATGGACTCTTCACCTCTGGATCCTCCTCCACGCCTCCATCCCTCTGGTTCTCCACCACATCTACGTCTCCTACACAAACTCAACCCTCAACCTCCTAGCCACATTCGCCCTATATTCCACCGCATTCAAACTAAATGGAATCCACGAAATGCACATAATGCGTCGTCTAGGACAGATATACGGCTTCCTAGACGGTGACAAGCACCCACGAGACGAAATCCCAAATATAGGCGTTGGGAAAGTCATCCGAGAACTAATCTCCACCTCGACTTTTCGAATCATCATGGCTATCTACCTAACCTATACGCCTACTCTTTCACCATCTTCCTTAAGTTGGAAATGTTTACCCCTTGAGATAGGGCTGTACAGTATTACAGTTGATTTCTGGTTCTACTGGTACCACCGTCTTATGCATTCTACAAACTCGTTATGGAAATTCCACCGAAGACACCATCTGACCAAACATCCAAACCCCTTACTCTCGGCCTACGCGGATCATGAACAGGAGTTTATGGATATTACAGGTATCCCACTTCTAGCGTATACGACTTTGAAGGTTCTTGGGTTACCGATGGGATTCTATGAGTGGTGGATTTGTTTTCAGTATATTGCTTTTTCAGAATTTATTGGTCATAGTGGACTTAGGATTCATGGTGGTGCGCCTTCAACACTGAATTGGGTGTTAGAGTTCTTTGATGCGGAGTTGGTTATTGAGGATCATGATTTACATCATCGATATGGATGGAGGAAGAGTCATAATTATGGGAAACAGACTAGATTGTGGGATCGGGTTTTTGGGACTTGTCATCAAAGAATTGAGAGTGTCAAGGAGAATGTGGATTATAAGAATCGGGTTACTATGCCGATTTTTTGAATGGGATTGGAACTGGTGATGATTTATGATGAACGATTGATGTTGATTTTTGTACTTGATATAGGAGTGCATTGAATTATTTGTTTTGCTGAACCTCTATCTAATCCTCTGCGTCAATCCACATCAAAATACCCTTCTTATCTGAACGCATATCCCCAGTTGGAAGTACTCGTAGGGTCTTGTTGAAATAAGTATCCACAACCACAAGCTGAGGCTGGATCCAGAGTCCGCGTTTCGCTGCTAGAATATTATACCGCACGGTATGACGGCTGAGTGGGACCAGCTGGACCACCGTGGTCTTGGGTCCGCTGAAAGCAAAGTGCTCACTAGCTTCCATCATCAAGTTGAATGTAAGGAAATGCGTGGATGGGTTTTCGAGTGTGTACTCAAGATGCGCAAGACCCGACATGGTGGTTGATTGAGAGGCCGAGGCAAGGACTCGTGGTTCACCCATCGGCACTACAAAGCGAGGGACCTCGAGAATAGTGGTGGTTTTGTCGTTTGAATCACCCTCGTTGGCAGATGCACGGTGCCAGACTATCTCCAAGGCGAAGTTGACTGCCGATGGACGGCGGTCACCCAGTGTGAGCTTTTGGAGATCGACACAGAAGTTTGACTCGCGAAGTTCCTCGGCGGCAATTTGCGGCGTCTCGGGACTAACTAGAGTCTCGGACTCGACGTTGCAGACGGCACCTCCGCTCAGGCTGAGGAGTTTCAAAGACATGTGATCTATCACGAGAGGTTCCAGTGCAAAGGAAACCAATTTGGAGTTGAGACACCATTTCTGCAGTAAACCACTGGGCTTAGCTAAGGAGTCCTCTCCAACCAAGTCATCCTCAACTGAGAAGAAATCAGGCCATGGTTTGGAATGGACCCGGGGCAGGAACTCGTAGTTGGCTTCGAATGGTCGGATAAACGACAGCTCGACACTGACTGTCTTAATGATAGGAGTTTGCACATCGGACAGAAGGTGATATACTGCTGAAACCTCAAGCGTATGTTTCGCCGCCTCTTGAGTATCACCGAGAACAACAGTAAGATCTTGATTGGAAGCACGCTCCATAGCTCCAACAGATCTTTTAATGAAATGAGAGGGCCCTTCAGTTGGTGAGCTTGTGCCTGATTCTACAGGGTCCACAGCTGGATCTGCATCCAGCCATTCGAGCTTGGTAGTAGACTCGGGGCTACCAAACAACCTGACCTCCGCTGAGATATTAACAGCCTCGTCTTCTTCGTTGTGAAATCCGATTTTCAAAGCCACACGTTCATTCGTGTAGTAGGTACTCTTGAGGTTAGGCGTAGAGATGCGAATCTTGGGCGGCTTGGGCATGATCTTGCACTTTCCGGTGTCTCGATCTTTTCCAATTCTTCGCCGAGCCGGGCCCTTCTTGGTTTGCTGCCACCAATAGGACTCCCGAGTGGTGTGCTCTGTGATAACATATGTGAGATCGAACTTCTCCTCTTCTAAAATCATCGCGATCGAAGCAACCTGGGCTTCTCCAGCTTCGCGTGGAATGCATGTGAGGTTGAAGACCTTCATTTGAGAAGGCCCTATTGTCAGATCTGCAACTCCGACTAAAGTGGCCAGCCCACCAGTTGGGGACTGGAGGACTGAGTCATCTGGAGTACTGGGTTCACGGAGTGATATTGATGAAATGCAACACGGACTAGTAGTGTCAGAGTTCTGGTTTTGATCGGACTGAAGCCTGACGGGACGAAGACATCCCTCGAATCCAAGTTTCACTTGGGACAGTCTTATAGGAGATGAAGACTTTTGGGCACAGGATGAGATGAGGAGTTGAGCCTGTAGCGGCTCACCGACATTGCCCTCCGGGTTCTCAAAGACAAGAGATGCGGTCACTAGAAAAATAATTAATCACGAAGTTGACTTTTTTTACTGAGTAGGGTAGGACTCACGGCCAGTCATAACATCCTCAGCACGAAGGACCACAGATGGTTTGGGCTTGTCAGTGGAAACATCTTCAAGACTCTTTTGTATGTCATAGCGCGAGGTGGATCTTGATGGCAAGGCTGTTTACAATCAGTACTAGCACTTATTTTTATAAAGTGGCGACCTACTGTTGTTTAGAAGCTCCCAGTCCACCTGTAATACTGTCTCGCTCTTTTGTAATTTGAGAGCAGATTCCCTTAACGCCCAGCCATAGTTCTCCAACAAGGACCACCACCCTGACCGCCGCCAGGTCAGGGTGGACCATCGTGGCTGAAGAACGTCGTATGCTTCTGACCAAGAACCATTTCGCATGTATTCTTCGGCGAGCTCTAGGCTCAATTGCTCTGCCTTTCGAATTTGACTGCGCTTGGAGAATTCCTCAAGTGAATCTTTCAAGGTGCTTAAAATCATATTTGAGTGATCAAAGCCAGTCTTACCAGGTTGAGATTCAATGTGTGGCTCTGGAGCAAGATATGAATCGTACAAGTATGATTTACTGGCTACTTGGGAGGCAGGTGATTGACCAGGAGATAGCCGGTCCTCGTCGGGAATCAACTGTGCGAGGGCTCGGCGGCGCATGGTATGCTTTGCTGAGCGGTGCAGCCAGTATCCTTCATGGTGTAAATGTTCCCATGGGCTGACCAGTTCTCCACTAGGAATGGCCTTCTCGGGTACATTGAAGATCGAGGATGTCTCGGACGCAGATTGCTCCGGTGAGGGAAGAGATGCCCCCGCACGGCGAATGAGCTCAGCCATCATCATGGACCATCTTGCCTCCCACGCCTCCCATCCGTAATTCTTGCTTCCTTTACCTCTTCGGTTGACGATGTCCTGCGTGCGAAGACGATGATCAACCCAAAAGCGTGTCGCAGCCGTCGTTTGGTTCGTCCATAATAGGCACCGAATGATACGGATAGCAAGGGCATCACCCAGAAGTCGTGCATCGTTAAATCGAGGATCCCAGCCTGCGATATTTTCAAACACCTCCTGTCCAAATAATGTGTCATATGCACTCTCGTAATTTCGACACGCAGCATCCATCTCCTGACGAAATTCTGCGAAGATTCCAAGCTTAAATTCATATCTTACATTCCATCCCTGAAACGATAACGTCTGCGAAGTTCCGCTTGTTGGCGGTGCCGTTGGAGGAGGGATATTACCGCGGTTGCGCTTGCGCCGAGCATGCTTCGACAAGTCCCGATAGTATTCGACCACCGAGGGTTGCAGCAGCGAGAAAAGCGAGGTTGCGAATTCTGTCAATTCGGAAGATGTCGCGTCAGGAGGGATAACAAAGATCGATTTCTGATCCAGATTTGTAGATCGTCGAATTGCTGCTATCCGATCATCAATTTCCCCCGCAAGGCCTCCGTCGCCGTCTTCTGAGATTAAGACCACCAAAAAGCGCGTTTTGAATCCCGACGAAGACCATTCCTTTTTCAGGCTGTTTATTTCAATTTTCAATTGATTATCTCGCAGCGAGTTCATATTGGGATCCAGGGAAAAGGGGAAGAAGTTGATCACCGCAGCTGGGACCAGGTTTCGGTGCTTGGTCACCCAAGCTGGAGTAAGAAGGCCATCGGGGAAAGTGGGCGAGCCGGGAGATAGGGGAGAGATGGGAGAATGAAGGACATATGGGACGTTGGAAGCGGGGATCTTGGTATCTGGATCACTGGAGGGGCTCGTTGGAGCCGAACTCTCTGGAGGGGCTGCTTTCTGCGGGGGGAGTTGATAAGACTAGGAGATCTGTGAGCATGGTACTTCTTGATATTGGAGCTTTATATGAAGTACTAACACGACCGATGCTCTTTATTTTATAGCCTATCTGGTGAGCAGTTCCGCTTGCATTGATGGTCGATCTCCAGGGGTTTTGGGTACCATCTTGTTCCAACAGCACACTCCGCAATTGTTCCGCGACGGTTCCGCTTAATGATGGGAAATCCGAGAATATCTTAGGTCCCGTTTCTAAAAGAGGATAATCCAATGCTGTTCCTTTGTCCTCTTCTGCATCCGCCTCCAGTCCAGAAAGTAGGACTAGAGGCAGGTTGTGGTTGATGTAGGCTTCGGGGTATGCGTCCATTGCGGACAAAGATACTCTATGAGGCCGGTCACCGCATATCCGGTTCAGGGACACAGGTTTTTGGATGATTAAATTGAAGTTTTGGAGGTAGTATTGGAAAAGAGGATGTATTATTTCAAATGATCATCGTCAAGTCCAGATGTCAATAAAGTGACGATAAGTGTTACTGCCAGGTCTAGGCGGTGAGTCCCCACATTGTTCATGTTTGATGGACCATGGTTGCTAACAACATAGTATACTACCTAGGTAGATTGATTGATATTGATTATAGTACCCAAATGTTTGTTCAAACTACTTCAAGTTCAATGTTTGAGTTGATTAAGAAATATAATATAGGAAAACATATCAACATTTGAACTTCTACTATTCCTAACTCCGAGTCCGAGCCCTGGAGTCAGATCCAGATATATATCGGGACCCTCATCTCATGCCCCACTAGTGTATAGGACTGAACCCTGGTCCTACTAGTAGTACTATAGACCTCTTTTACTACTTGGGTTCCTGCACTTTTATTCACCGACTGTCTTAATACCCGAGGAGAACCTACAGTTTATCCCTAGGGCTACCAATTGCCTATATCCAACAATATAACAGCTAACCTTCCCTTCCAGATAACCCTCCAGCTAACCCTGTAGGTACCTACACACAAATGGGGGTCGGTCATCAGTCACATGTAGATGCTACTCCAGGGCTGACTCGGACTGAGCCCTGTACTTAAGTAGTATGTGAACACACCTGCCAGTGGCCAAGCACTTGAGTATTGGGGACATATCTTCCCAACTTCAAATGCTCGCTGCTATGTACAGTACACCTGGGCACATGTTAACAGTGCCGCGCGAAGCGCGGCGTGAGAACTTGGATATACACATGTACAGAGTACATAGTACCTAGATAGTGGTATAAACATACACTACTATTTCGAGTGTTTGAGGTCATGGTGTACAATTTTCGGCTAGGAGAGTTGGGATGAAAGTCAACTTCCAAGGTTGAAGATACTAATACTGTATTCAAACATTTGAATGGTCTACACTACATAATATGAACTTGAAGCTCAGGGTTATACTATCAACTGGTCATATCAGAACATTCCAGGTGTCAATCCCACGTGGAGCAGAATGAACTTAAACTTATGCATATAACATATGATATAATCTGGAGTACATATTACTTCATACTACTATATTCTATATCTACTTTCTCTCAGCATGATCAATACCCAAATTAGTCGTCGTTCGGGAAATTGGGATCCATCAGTGGAGCAGCGAAGCGCAAACGCTAAAAAAAAACTTCCTCCGATCATCATTCAAATGGTCCCTCTTGTTCCTCGTTTGCATATCCCACATTCCTTTATTGATTCCTCACGTTCCTTACCTTCTCTTATTTGAGATTCAACCCTTTTAACCCAGTCTTTCTCCCTGTTGAATCGCCCTCTCTCTCTCCCCGATTCTCATCATCTCCTTATCAGCATCTGCGCGCGATCCCGCCCCACGTCTATCCGAAAAGTAAGGGGGAAAAGCGACTATTACGAGCCTTCGTGACGAACCGCGGACTGCGCGCATATCTTTCATATTCTTCCAAGGTTTCTCTCTGCAGGAAAGATCATGCGCGTTTCCTCCCGCAATCATTAAAAAAAGCCCTGCATAATTCCGTTCATGTTGATCCTGGCCAAACCCTGAGTCGACACTATCCCTCGAACTATTGAAATTCGTCATGCAGCTGAACGATAGTGCGCCGGCACTCAAACCGGCCGAGTCAGCCCTGCTGAGCCGCCGCCGCCGTCGCAAGTCGCTGCCTCTGCGTGGTCAAACAGCTGGTAATTCGGCCGATCCAACCTCGCCCGAACTCATCTCGTCGCTGATCTCCTCCCTTTCCACTATCTCCGTGCCCCTGAACTCTCATTTCGATAACGTGCCCCGGATCGACTCCAAGGACTCGTCTGATCCCGGCTTGCCCGAGGTACCACACACGGCACCCTGCTTCACTATCCCCCCCATCCCAGCAGAATGGCTTCGGATTGAGCTTTGGTACTCATCTGGAGGAACCCGAACTCGAGCACGGCCCATTCTTGCATCCGGATGATGCTGCAACATCGCCTGTCATTCGCATGGCCAGAGGCCCCTCATCGCCTAAAGCCCCTTTATCGCCCCGTTCGCCAAAATTCAAACCATTCAGTAAACAACCCGAGTCATCTCCCCGGCCCGCATCGAGGGACTCCTATTCTTCGGTAAGGGCCGCCCCGGAGGACACTGCTTTCGGGACCATCAGTACAGAGCCGGGTCCTCGTCTATCCACAGCGGTCAGTATCGCCTCCAACAGCTCGGCCGGCCGGACCAAGAGTCTCAAGGGTCAATTCAGTCTGCTTAAGAAATCATCTTCGAAGGAGCTCTTCGGCGACAAGGAAAGTCAGCTAGAGCGACTGAGAAAGACAAGCAGTCTGAACAATATTCCTCGTAGCCGAGCTAGCCTGCGCTCCATGCATTCAATGGCGGATGTTGCCGAGGAGGGTGGTCTCAAGGGTTCAAGTGATGGTCTGCAGGCAAGCACACCTCCTACAAAGGAGCATCCGTCCGTCGAGAATATCCCGGAAGATGAAAACCCTGGTGGGATCGGAAGTGGCAGAATTATTCCCACACGCGACTCTTCCCTACGACACCGCCACAGTCAGTCCTCTGGGAAGCGGAGGTCTGCTCGCCATAGTCGATTCCCGTCTACGGCCAGCAGAGAATCGTACGCCGAGAATGGATTGCCCGGCACTAGTAATGACGCGGAACAGGTGACGCGACGGATCCAAGAGTTAAAGGATCAACAACAGCGCATCAAGACTGAGCTTGAAGTAGATGATGCTCCGGCAAAGTCTACCAAGGGTACCCCGGCGAAGCAACCGAAGACTCCACGCAGCACTAGCCGGGTTGACCAAAACCGTGGAGCCACGGATGGAGCAGCTGATATGGATGATAGCGCGCCGTCGCCGTCTGTGATGACCGGTAAAAATCGCTCTGGAAAATCCGGGCCCTTGGCATCGAAGCCTACGAATTTCCCGCCCCAGATGCCCAAGTCGGTGTCGGATAAGCTTGACGACAAATCACGATATAGAAAATCCTTGGAGCCCGTTACGCCTACGAGAAGCCACCGTCGATCTCCTTCGGGTCCCAGTATTGGAGGACGAACCTCAATCACCAACGAGCGACCATCGAGTGCTGATTCAATCGACCTGGCTGTTGAGGACTATGTCTTTTCTCCAAAGTTGACTCAGAAGGTGGCGCATCCTGCTACAGGTCGCATAATCGCATTTTCTGAAGTTGGCAACCCCAAGGGCCATGTTGTTCTTTGTTGTCTCGGCATGGGATTGACCCGATATCTCCCCGCATTTTATGACGAATTGGCCCGTACTCTTAACTTGAGACTGGTGACATTGGACCGCCCTGGCGTTGGTGAAAGCGGGCCACACCAACTTGACGAACCAAGCAACCCTCTCAGCTGGCCTGGTAAGTCGTGGAACACTTGAGCATAGCATGTTGATACTAACCACATCCTCAGATGATGTCGCTATTGTTTGTAACTATTTACGAGTTACTAAATTTTCTATCCTGGCCCACTCTGCCGGAGCTATTTATGCCCTCGCTACGGCCCTTCGAATTCCACAACATATCCGAGGACGCATTCACCTTCTTGCTCCTTGGATTCCTCCATCTCAACTTTCCACCATCGGCTCCCAAAAGGAACCAGCTCCAACTCATGCCGTGCCATACTCCCAGCGGATCCTACGTGCCCTCCCAGCCTCTCTCCTCAAGGTGGCTAACACCAGTTTCATGAGCGCCACTAGCGCAAGCATCACGACCAGTCTGCCCAAGTCCCCCAAGCGAGCCAAGCGGAAGGCCGTTAAAGAAGCGCCCCCTGCAGACAACGATTATGTCGCACAGGATATCGCCGAGGCCAAGTCTCAAAGTGAGAACCCTGGGCAGTTAAGTGGAGCGAAGCTTTCCAACGTTTCTTCATTCCGCAAGAGTGACGCCACGCTTGGATCACGGGCCAAGTCTCCCGAAGAAGAGCGCGAAAGACAACAAGACTACGATACTCGTCTCACACACAAGATCTGGGAACTTGCCACGGCCAATGCCAACCCGGCTGTCGATCTGTTGATCTGCCTGGAACGACGACAAACCATTGGCTTCCGCTATGTTGACATTACCCGCTCCGTCGTGATCCACCACGGCAGCAAAGACACCCGCGTTCCTGTCGATAATGTGCAATGGCTGGGTAAGACTATGCGTCGATGCGAGGTGCGAATCCTCGACGGCGAAGGTCACGGTCTCATGGCTTCAGCCAGTGTGATGGGCAGTGTTCTTACGGAGATTGCCAAAGAATGGGAAGACTGGACTACCATTGTCCAGGGTAAACGCCGAGCCACTGCTTCACACTCTACTCGACCCAGTCTTTCGATCCCAACCTGATTGATCTATGATCAGATGATATGCATCTGCTTCCATCTCTATTCCTATCCTGCGTTACGTTCCACGCACACATCGGCCCTGGGCCATACCACCCCTACCTAATCACCTTCATTTTAACACTTATCAGCACAGCTGGCTCTGTGAACCTCTGCGCATTTGTTATGCCCACCCCCCGTTACCTTACCCGACACAATACCTAAACCTAATAGTGGCCGATGTACGCCCGTCTATGGATTCACACGTGGAGATGTCTCCCGATCAAAACATCCGTGTATTTAGCATAATACCCATTACAGCTAGTTTGAATTAATCTTCCATACTCCCAGTTCTTAATTATCTATGTAAATAACTGCCAGTGCCAAGCATCGCTCAGACGGAGGTGTGTCCCGCATTCAGGGATGACTAGTACGCAACCCCTTAACAAAAGCCCTCGAGTACTTTTCCTAGCTGCCCCTGAATGCGAGGATTCACCAATTATCATTTCCCCTGACATTTAATGAGCGCTTCCACAATTTTCTATATTTATCATTCATATTCTTCGAAGCTTCATCTCAATATTTGATTCGTCGGATTATCAACTGCGGAGCTAATCACCGATAATCTCTTCTTGGCGCGCGGGTACGACTGTCACGTTGTCTACAACTCGCGTGTACATAGACAAGATCTAGCCCTTTACCTCTTCTTTTCTTCCTTTTCCGATTCCTGCAACAAACATACATCATGCCTTCACCAAGACGGGCTCGATTAATCGCCCTTGCGATAATCGCAATCCTAGTCCTAACATTCTACTACTCGGTACGTACGATCAGCGACAGACCTCCAACCCACTATATGCACGTGCGGAGTCCCGAATCCCGATACTAATACTATGGATAGGGCGAGGGAAGCAGTATCCAAAACCAACAGTTCTACAAATCTACATTGGAAGCTATGAAGGCCAAGGAGGATGCGAAGCAGGTGGCGAAAGAAGCGCTCAAGGTTAAACCGGCCGATGTGGAGAAGGCGGCTGTTCCTGTTGCCAATGTTGCGAGTGAGGAGATGGAGGAGATTCCTATTGCGGGGAGGACGAAGATGACTGTTCCCAAGAAACAAGAGGCTTTGGGTTCTGAGCAGGTTGTACCTGTACCTGCCTCCGGGTCTGGATCTGGAGTTGGATCTGGATCGAGTTCCGAGTCGGAAACAAAGAAGACCGAGGAGGAAGAGGAGGAGGAAGAGAAATTGGACGCGAAGGCTGAGTTGAATGATATTCTCAAGCGCGCACCAAGTTTGTCAACTCGATTTAACTGTGTCTTGAATTCCGCTAATATGTTTCAGTTATCATCTTCTCGAAATCATACTGTCCTTACAGCAAGAAAGCGAAGCATATCCTCCTGGAAGGATACACCATCTCGCCGAAACCCTTCGTCATCGAATTAGATCAACATCCTATCGGAGCGGATCTCCAGGCCCTACTGGCTCAGAATACGGGTCGTCGTACCGTGCCGAATATCCTGGTCAATGGGAAGAGTATTGGTGGCGGTGATGACATCGCGGCGTTGGATCAGAGTGATGATCTTGCGTCGACGTTGAAGCAGTATGGTGGGAAGTGGATTTCGGATATTACTCGTGGTCCTCCGAAGCATGAGTGAGCCCTGGATAGTCCCGTCTTTTTTTTTTGTGTTTCTGCTTGAGGTGGGCTTGGTAATTCCCCGGTGTTGGTGATTGGCGTTTTATATCCATTTGATATTGTATATACCGGTGATTGCATGTGGGTTTCAAGCTGTGACCTGGGTTGGTAACTCAGGTGTGTGATGTACGTATACCAAGATTGGTTCAAGTTCAAATTGAGTCATTGAATTCCGTGGCTCCAAGGTTATAGTAGGCCCTATATACACTAGCTCCGAGTCTCGCTCGGAGCAGTTGACATGTTAGAATTACTATGTTGTATGGATATGAGTGCGTTCTATATCAATAAGCATCGAGAGGGCCTCCAGGGCTGGATATCACTACATATGAGCACAGTCACAGTGTGAGAGGGGGAGAGGGAAATAAAAAGAAAGAAAAGGACATCCCCAGCACATTTCACATATTTCTATGCTAATACTAAGCACTACCTAATTAGGCAGTCAACAGGCCAGGGTTTGCAGGTAGCCCATCCGTGTGACTTGATAACTCTTTGAAGGCGAAAGCGACATAATCGAAGCTTTTCGTACAAGAAACCCAAAAGCTTGCTCGTAGGGTGTTCTTTGTTTTTTGATGATTGTAGTAATGTCAATGATGATAAGTTTTCCTAATGGGATATGAGGACTGATCAGATCAAGATCAGATGTTGATCTCATCTCCAGCTCTCCAGTGGCTCGTGGCTAGGTCCGCGGGTGGATCCTGGAGCGTCCGGGCGCAAGTGGAACCCTTACCTAATCCAAATATCACGTGTTGATAAAGAATGATGACTAACGATAAGAAACCCTACGCTAACCCGATTCAAGGCTAAGCGACGCACAATCCCGTGACGTGCAATTTCGCTCCACCAACAACTCCAACCCGAAATTTGATCCTCCCGACATCGACAATTCACCCCCTCGGCCAACACCAACCCACGCAGTCAAGATGCGGTACATTCACTCCGAGGAACGGCTGCCCATTCCGGACAATGGTGAGCATACGACTTTTTTCTGTTTTCGAGAATCCCAGGGAATTGTGAGAGGGTTGTGGGAGGCGCGCACTATTCATGGGGATCATGAATAGACGAATTTCTCGACGAGGATAATCTTCATCGGAAGACGCCCAACAACACCCAGGATTAAGAGGAGGAATATCTGCGATTTTTTGTTCCCGTCTGTACCAGCAGGGACCTACTGGACGAAAATTGCACGATCTTCAATTTGCGCACATTTCAAGATTCAAAATGGACCGCAGGCTGATTCGGTTTCTCTCTAATCTACAGTGAAGGTTCACATTCGTTCGCGCACTGTGACCGTCGAGGGTCCCCGTGGCAAGCTCGTCAAGGACCTCTCCCACATTGCCGTCACCTTCGGCCGTCCTGAGCCCAACGTCATCTCCATCGAGCTGCACCACGGTGCTCGCAAGGGTGTTGCTACCCTCCGTACCGTCCGCACCCTCATCAACAACCTGATCATCGGTGTTACCCGCGGTTTCCTCTACAAGATGCGTTACGTCTACGCTCACTTTCCCATCAACGTGAACATTGAGAAGAACGCTGAGACCGGCCGCGCTGAGGTTGAGATCCGGTATGTGCAGATGTGATCTTGGCTAGCATTGACTAGTCATGGGTTCCTGGAATGGAATCTGGTCTTGTACATCGATACTAACATCTTTCAGTAACTTCCTCGGTGAGAAGTACGTCCGCCGCGTGACTGCCCAGGCTGGTGTTGAGATCGCTCCCTCCGCCAACGTTAAGGATGAGCTCCAGCTCTCCGGTAACTCCCTCGAGGGTGTCTCCCAGAGCGCTGCCGACATCCAGCAGATCTGCCGTGTCCGTAACAAGGATATCCGTAAGGTATGTGAAGCAGCCACTCAATTCTTACTACGTTTTTTCTTTATACTGATTACCTTCTAGTTCTTGGACGGTCTGTACGTGTCGGAGAAGGGCAACATTATTCAGGAGTAAAGAATGACGCTTGATGGGTTTTCGGGTGTCCGGGAGAGCTTCTTTTTAATTTCGCCTACTTGCATATAGGGAAGCAAAGCGAAATCACAAAAATCAAACGACTTGCAAATTCATGATCTTCATGTTGATGAGTAGATTGGACCTGTAAATCCGTATGGAGTATTCAAAGATTTGAAGATTGTAATGAATTCAAGGTGGGACGTATTGAGTGGATTCTCATAGAACAGTCTCAAAGGTTCCGGCCGACTTGAACTTCAACTTCCCCAGTTCCCCTCGAGTAGACCCACCTCAAATCTACCTTGTCTGTTTGATCCAATTCTTCAGATTGATACTCTGATTTACTAAGAGAGTTCTGTCATTTCTTTTTTCTCATTCCTTTTTCTTTCCCATTCTTGATTCCCGCATGCGCGTGACGCAGAATAGCATGTGAAAGCCCCAGTCTCCCCGAGTTCTCCCCGTTAAAGCTGGACCTCTTCACCTCTCACTATGAGGTCTTGGTGGCTCAAGATGTGGAGTATATTCACAGCCATATTCAGTATGATACTAGATGTTGCCCAATTCTGGAAAAATGTGAGTCGAGGTCGGCGCGGGGTTTAGCACAGTACCGCGGACGCACTGACAAGCTAATAGAAGTTCCTCTCATGGTGGAACTCCAAGTCTCCTCAATCACGACTTTTTCATACTCTGGAAACAGCACAAAGCTATGAGCACTGGGAAGGAGCCGCATTTGAGCTGGATGAAATTCTTAATAAAGACCTCTGGTGTGTGCTACTAGTAGTATTTGGATGATGTTCTTCCAAGTCATCTCAACTAATATCTATGATAGGCGCCAAAATAATATCAGCAGACACTATGATCATCGTCTAATCCTGGGTCGATTAGAAGCACTTATGCTCGCGCGAGAGAACGAGAATATTCAAACTCTTGTTAATCTACTCCGCTCAGGACTCGTGCGTAATCTGGGCAATATCACTTCTACGAAGTTGTTCACGCACGCCTACGCGGGTACTAAACTTCTTATCGATGATTATATTACCCAGGTTGCTTTATCAATTCAATATGTTACATCCCTCCAGCCTGTGCCGGGTCATGCAAATGGCTTTACCTCTCAGGCAAAGCTGGAACTGTTGCATGATACACGACAAGCCTTTGGGCGTACGACTCTGCTGCTACAAGGCGGGTCGGTATTTGGGTTGTGCCATCTAGGCGTTGTCAAGGCATTGCATTTGCAGGGTCTCTTACCACGTATTATCACTGGCACTGCTACTGGTGCAATGATCGCGGCTCTTGTCGGGATTCATCCAGAAAGTGAACTGCTTGCCCTGCTCGATGGGGATACGATTGACCTTTCGGCTTTTGATCGGCGGAAAGGTTATTCGAATGGGAAATCGGGTGATGACAAGACTGATAATTGGGTCCGAAGATTCTTTCGTCGGGCGAAGCGCTTCCTGCGCACTGGTCACTTATTTGATATGGAATTGCTGGAGGAGTGTGTGCGGGCGAACGTTGGAGATCTGACATTTGAAGAAGCGTATGCCCGGTCAAAGCGGATCTTGAATATCACTATAGCCACTGCGGGTAAGACGGGTACCCCGAATTTACTCAACTACCTGACAGCTCCGAATGTGGTAAGTTGCCTCCCCTTTGTTCCCATCCTATATATTGATCTGACATCAAACAGTTGATCTGGTCTGCCGCCGCCGCTTCTAATGCTTCCTCTTTCTCCGCCCGCTCTTCTCCAGTCATCATCTACTGCAAAGATGAAACAGGATCAATCGTCCCATGGCAACACGCCCAAGACGCAGTCTTCCAACCCTGGCGACACGTCCACTACAATGAAGGCGAATCCCCGCTTGCGCGAATCGCGGAACTTTTCAACGTGAACCACTTCATCGTCTCCCAAGCAAGACCATACCTAATCCCATTCCTACGCTCTGAACTTAATCTCCTAGACCGTCGCCAAACAGGCTGGAACAATCTTACTCGATCCCTGACACGATTAATCCTAGTTGAGCTACGCCACCGTCTCAGACAACTGGATTACATAGGCCTTCTGCCTGGGTATATCAGTCGTCTTTTAATCGATGAAATCATCCCCGGTCCGAACCTTACTTTGGTACCTGATCTCAGTTTCTCGGATCTGGGGAGACTTTTTCAGCAACCTACTAGGGAACAAGTTGTTGAATGGACCTTGAAGGGAGAGCGAGGGGTTTGGCCTGCTGTTAGTGCTTTAAAGGTGAGGGAAGCTATTGAGATCGAGTTGGATCGCGGGTATCAGATTGTTAGGAGGAGGAGACCGAGTGATCAGGCGCTTCCGGCTCCGGTTTATCATTTTTATAACGAGGAGGTCCCAAGGAAGAGGAGAGTTGGTGAGAACGAAGATGAGAAGGGGAATGGGGGTCAGGATGAATTACTTCAAACTGATGGAGAGTAGTTGTAATGTTAGAAAGGATTCATTTGCATTTCTATGGCTATATCGCTATGATGAATGGGATTTTTGTTACAGTTACAGGACTATCTTACAAAAGTGGAATCAGATTTCGGTTTTATCTATACTACTACATGTACCAGCCAACTGCTAGTAACCTTGGAAACAACTACGTATAAGCGGAACTAAGGTACCCAAATAGCAATGAAAATTCAAGTTGGATTGAATTCAATTAGCAAGAGCTACCATTCATTGATCCCACGCGTTCCATCAAGGTATCACAACCTTGGAAATTCGCACGCCTTGCATCCGTCGCTCAAACTCCAAATCAAAACCATAATGCGTGGGATCAAGTATTTCGATCCAGAAGACTCCCATGGTGGGATCGACTACTGCCACTCAGAAGATCCGGAGTTGGACTTGGAAGCAGGAAGAGTGTAAACCGAATCCCCTTTGTCATTGTTGTAATAGGTGCTTCCATTGGGGTTCGAGTAGTAGTAGGAGCCGTCACTATAATCGTTAGTACCTTATTTGGATTTGATTTCTTGTAGCTCCTCTTCGGCTGGTTTGGTATTCCAGTTGGTCAGATTGAGAACTTACGTGTTGGAGTAGTGGTAACTGTTGGAGTAGTGGTAACTGTTGGAGTTTGAGACATTGGCGCCGTAGTCACGGGCACAGTAGTGATTTCCCTGTTCTTATTAGCTGACTGTTGTGGTGAGGAAGATTGGACACGCTGGGATTGGTATTGTTTTTATGCTTGGTCTGAGTGCAGGTCATACCTGGGTGTTCGTGCCGGAGCTCCGGAGTTAGAGCTGGAGGAGGGTCCAGTGTAAGTGGAGCTTCCACTGCCACTGTTGTAGTAGGTGCTTCCATTGGGGTTGGAGTAGTAGTAGGAGCCGTTACTATACTCGAGTTAACACTTAATTCAATGCCAGAGTCAGGTAGCAAGATTGAGAACTAACGTGTTGGAGTAGTGGTGGCTGTTCTAGTTTGAGGCGCTGGAGCCATAGTCACGGGCACAGTAGTGGTTTCCCTGTTCTTGTCAGCTGTGTTGTTGTGGTGGGTATTTGACATAGTGGGGTGAGGTTCTGAGATTGTTTTGATTCTTGATCTGAGTGTGGGATATGTACCTGGCTGTTTGTGCCGGAGCTCTTGTAGCTGTATCCCTCTCCAGAAGGCATGGTGGTGGAAGTAGGTGTTGAGGTGTGGTGTGGTGTGTGTGTAGAAGGTGACATGGTGAGGAAGAAGAGAGACGACACGGGTGAAGTGGGGTTTAAAAGGCACGAACCAAATTTGAGATGAATCATGACAGCACCTATGTGGGCAGATAAGATGAATTGCGTATTTGACTTCTACTATTGTTTAATTGGAGTTCTATGTAGTACTAGTACGATGGATTGGGATAAGCGTGCATAATTTTAGACATCCAAGGATACGATCTACAACCTTGGAAATAATGTACCTCCTTCTCCCGTAGTATTCACGATCTATCATAATCTTTACTGAAACTTGAAGGATCGAAGGATTCGATCTGAGAATTATTTAAGACTGCTTAGGTGATGTAAGAATGATCAGGGCTAATCTCAACGAAGTATAATACTAGCTATCAGATATTGAACCTTGGATCCTAATGTTTAACTTGAGCAAATTCAGTACCAGAGCGGGGCGTCTTTCACTCCAGATGCCAGAAACCCGTTCATTCTCACTAACTTGGGAGTATAAATCCTATAAATATTCATTGGATCCTCTCTCACCGCCGATTCTGATTCTGATTCAACTAGTAGTTCAATCTGGATATATCCATTTCGTCCTTTTGCCATCCTGCGGGGCTCCGTTTTTGGACTAGACGCGGGGTGGTACGTTTTAGTACTAGTCTCCAGGGCTGTTGGTATGATACGAAGTAGGTAGATATAGCTGAATTTAGTTTATTTGGTATCTGGTACCTCCAGGAGCATGAAATCAACATTGAATGTTTAAAGGTATTCGAAATCTTCCAGACTAAAAAGTCTACAACGCATCCGACTCTGGAGGCCCCTTATAATCTATATCAAGTCAGCATGAATGATTTCATCTCAGGAGGTAAAAGGGAGAACTCACGTTTCCTCGCATAAACAAGATACCAAATTGCCGAAATAGCCATAAACCCCACAAAAACAACTGACGCATAATTCATCGAGGTAGCTGTAACAGGTAACGCAGTCGGCATACTAAATAATACCAGCTCAAACGCTATCCAAGCAAGCGCAACCACGTTCACAAAGTAGCCTGACACATTCCCACAATTCCATGGCGCATTCTTCACCTCTTCACGTCCATTCAACAGGCTCAACGAAATCGGAATTGCGTATCCCGCTGCTAACGCTATCACGCCTACCGAAACGAAGGCTGTGAATGCACTTGAACTTCCCAGATTAATTAACCCCAGTAACATCTGGATCACTGTTAACAGTATTAATGACCATACTGGAACACCAAGGCCTGGGTGAACGTGTGCCCAGATTTGTGAGAGTGGAAGTGCATCGTCTCGCGCAGCAGCCCAGGTACACCGTGATGCTGCGACGGTTATACTGATTGAACAGAAAAGTGTAATCACCAATACCAGAAACACGAGTCCAAGTCCACCACCTGGTGATCCCATCACTTGGTGTAAGATATAAGGTAGTGCCTGTCCACCTGGCGAATTGATAATATCTTCCAATGGAGGAAGAGTAAAGCATAGCGGAATCACGAAGAATAAGCCCGCGATCCCACCAACAGGGATACTAAGTGCTATAGCACGAGGTACTTTCGTAGCGGGGTGCGCACATTCTTCAGCCATCGAGGAGATCATACCAATAGCCGAGAATGTATATGCTGGTGGTAACAATCCTATAAAGAACGTAAACCTTCCCCATCCGGAGAAACTCTTATCATAGTGCGATAGAGCCCAGGATGCACTGTGTCGACCTGCATCTGCTTTCACGGATACGGCAATGAGGATTACCACGATGGTAAGGGCTGTCCAAGTCGCACAGGCGATATCGACTTGAGGGAGGTATCGGTTTGCGAAGGTGCAGATAATTAACGAGCCCAGGCAAACAGCGTAGAATATTAAAAGGAGTTGCCAGGAATTAGCAGTCCAGTCCGGATGGTACATTGATATAGTTGCGGAGACCAGGGATGCGAATCCGAAATTAACAGATAATGTAATTGTCCAGTTCCCGATTAACCAGATCCAAGCATTAATAAATGAAATCGTTGTCTTGGATGATCGGGCAATCTGGAATGACCAGTAATATGGTCCTGCAGAGGTTGGGTAGCGAGAGGCTAGTTCGGCGAGTGATAAAGCGATACATTGATCGAGAAGACATACCACAATCCAGCCGATGAAGATTGATAATGGTCCACCGCCATAAATCGCGCTTAGAAATGGACTCCCTTCTCCATAGGGTATTGCGGCTATGGCGAGCGTTTGGAATAAAAGTGTGATCACTGATCGGTTGCGTTGCATCTCTTGCTTGTATCCTAACCGATCTAGTTCTTCGCGTTCGCGGACGCTGGAGATTTCGCCGGTTTCATGGTCGTGTGAAGTATCAAGTGGAGAGATCTTCTCACTTAGGGACTCGAGGGTTGACATTTTGCAATTGCCGAGTACAGCAGTTAAGTGAAAGATTGAGAGTGAGGTCAAGTCCTAGGTTCTTGTAAAGAACGAAGGGGTCGTGACGTAGAGTATGCACTTGGACAGCGTTGTATGTGGAATTTGAACTTCAAGTTGAACCCAACAAAAAACGTCAATTCAATAGAAAGAACGGAAAAAGCAAAAAGTGATCGCAAAAAGTAATCACGGCCTTACCGAGACATCCATGCATTATATCGCATCAATTAACTCTGCACTTCCCCTCTTGAGTCTGTAAATCTACTGGTCGCACAGGGCACCAGAATGTTAGATCAAGGTCACACTACAGTATAAGTGTAGATCTCATACTCATCCTGGTGAGACTAATTTTTTGGAGATAAGCTTCAGATTAAGGTCTCCGCAGCTGGATCCTGCATACTAATTAGGAATCTTATACGGATATCAGCGGGGTCGATGCGATCCGAGGATATACTCTACTCTTTAGCAAACATTCAATGTTTGATATCAATTCAGACCGAGTTTAGATATCTCTCAGACATCTCTCACTAAAGTCACTACGTGCTTATCCCTAGCAGGGATATTTCTTTGTTCATCTCAAGTCGGTGTGATAGACACTCGCACTGTACATACCCAAGCTGTCAAACTGAATTAGAATTCAGCATGGCTAAGATAAGAATGAGTTTAAACCGTAAGTAGTAAGGGAATACGACTGAGCTTTGAGTTGCTAATCCCTATCAGGCAAGTTGATGCGTGGGGCTAATCTCTGCGTTAGTTACATAGTTGAATTGAATAAACATTAGAACATTGACATAGAATATGAGGTATCAAATAAAGAAATAACAGTGAAGAATATGTTTTTACACGCAGTTACAATTATTGGGCAGTTGACGGACGTCTAGAATGGCCTTGCGCATCCTGGCGAATATCTTGACGCGAGATCCGAGAGCGAAGACTGTGTCGGGAAGATGGAGGTGGCGCAGTAGCTGCCAATGGAGGAACTATAATCATGTTAGCGATTGGACTAAATTTATTCCGCAGAGTGTAGAGTTCGGGGTACTTACTGCTGAATCCATAACCCTCGGTAGTTCCCTTCCGGTCGTGGGGATCGATCTCCACTCGAATAGACACATCCAATCCACCATACATACTACTCAAACTGAACCCATCGGCGGCCTTGTGCTTGGTACCAGCACCAACCTCACCCTTGTGAAGAGGCGAGTGACCATCCTTGGGTAGGTGCTCCAGTTTGGCACTCTCAACCTCGACAGCTGTGCCGTTGGCAGCCGGGGCTTCAACCTCGGTCAGGATCGCAAAGTTACGAGATGGCATGGTAACCTTATTCCATGTCGCACTCTTCTCCTGGCCTCCGGGTTGCTCATCAAACATCTTCATCAAGGTTTCATCACAGGTGCGGTCCAGATGATGAATCTTGTTCCGGCGAGCCAGCAGGTTAGCTACAGCCTTGGGAGGAGGCTTGTTGGTGATGGCACTACTGATCACGTTGACAATGTACCGATGGTCATTCTCTCCAGCCAGATTTAATTTAGAGTGAGAGTAGAATCGTCCGATGGCTGCCAAGTGGACATCACCACCGAGGATCGTCACACGAACCGAGTTGGCGCGGGCAAGCTCTTGAAGACGCTGGATAAGCATCTTTCGCTCGCGCTTGTGTTGACGGGCGGTGTAATGATCGTCCAGATCATCCAGCAAGTCAACCTGTCCATCAAACTCGTTGAATAGACCCCCCCGCGACACCGAATCGCTTATTCAGAAGACGAATCGGGGCGATGATAGGCGATGTGAGAATGTTCTCCAACCATGCCAGACGCGGGTATGCGATCGGAACACCGAGCAGAACAACCAAATGCTTGATATCCCCGTCGGCCGCAGCGATCTCCTCCTCCAGTCGCTGGAAGATGATGTCATAGGTATCCTCGTAGTTCACCTGGTGCCGGGTGCGCTCTGTGCGGGCATCCAGTCCCACAAACGCAATGCGCTTTCCGAACCGCATGTACAGACTACGGCTGCGTTCCTCCACATAGGGACCTGGACGCTTACCGATGATCCAGCTGTCATCCTCAACCTGGTTCTCCAAGACGTAAGTGTCCTCCACCTGGCGTGGGTCCACACCAGATGTGCCATTAACAGCGTGCATAGTCTGGGGCGCATCAGTGGTGAAAGTCGACTTGGGAGGAGCAATGTGATGCTGGAACAAGCAGTAGTACTTAAACGCGACACCGCCAATACCACGGAAGACGGCACACTTCATGAAATGATCCGTGTACGATCCAAATCCATCAATGATATCGTGATCGTCCCAGATATTCACCTGAGGGATACGACCATTGGCAGCTCGGAAAGGCTCGGTGTTGTACCAGCGAACATAATTAGCATAGTAGTAATCGTCACAGTCGGCGCGCATCTGGTTATTGAAATCATGGGTTCGGCGCTTGTGCGGGTTCCCAATAGCAGTCCACGGTTTCAAGGGACCATCAACTCGGATCCCATCATTATAGATCTGGTCACCACCACCAACCATAACATGGAAAGGCTTTTCTCCGTGAACGCGCAAAGCATCATTCCAGAGATTAGGTCCGACCCAAGCTTCCATATCAGTTCCAACGGAGAACCCATTGCACGAGTGGAACATGATGCGCATGGATTGCTCCTCTGCGGGAACAACAAAATTCCAGGGGCTATTGACCTGCTCGCCTGATTCATTGTATAATCCTGGGATCTCATATTCCCAGCGCGCCTCGTAAGACTCGACCGGTACTTCCAATGAGAATCGCCAAAAGGCCTTGTGGGGATCTTCGTAGAGCTTGAGACCGTCGATGGTTTGGTTTGCTTGGGACTGGGATTGGGAATGACCCTCGGAGATGGGACCCAGTTGGTGTAAGTGTAGCTGTGGTTGATCCTGACCGGGCTTGGTGACGATCAAGACACTTCCGATCCACAGGGCGGCGGAATCATAATGCATGTTCTTGAGGTTGATTAAAGGACCGGAGATGAGTTCGAAGCGGTCGGACCCGGACTGCGCAACCGGAGCTGTGTCATTGGAGTGGACTCCTATGAGATGTCATATTAGCTATTAGTTACCGCATGCGCCGGTTATATTTTCTTTTGTTTGTACGAGGCGCTGAGCTGTTGTGCGCATCTCGGGGAATTTGAGGTGAATTTCAACAATGAGTCAAACTTACCATTAGGAACTGCGGAGTCAGCCATTGGTAAAAGATTGAGGCGATTCGCAAAAGCGCCGGGGGTATCGAGTAGGATTAAAGGGGGAGTAACAGGGAGTTGGGGGAAGTGGAGGTCTTATTCTCCTTGGAAAAGGGAATGTAAGATTAGGCAGACTTGGCCAACTGTAGGGCTACAAGGCTGAGAAAAAGAACGTAAGGAATTGAAATAAATAATGAGAAATGAGAAAACCAAGGAATATGAAGCGAGATTGGATGCAGATCGGAGTAAAAGAGACCAAACTCCACCAAGTCCACCAAGTCCACCGAGTCCACTGAACTACATGACGCCCGCCAAGACCCACGTCTTTCTTCTCCATTATAAACCCTGTGATGAGCCACCTCGCGCCACATAAACCGGTTTTAGAGGTATGCTGATTGGTGAAAGGAAGTGGCGGTGCAGATATACTCTGTAGCTTCGATCCATGGTCAGAGTAAGTGGTCTCTCTAGTCGAGTCCTTGCATTGCTTTTTGCGTAATGATCGGAGATGAGCGATGTGTTCTGCAGGCTACGTGTTCATTCGTGCAGGAGATCAGGAGATCAGGAGATCCTCGAGTATACTACTCATGCCTCCTACATGTACTCCATACATATTAAGCTGATGAAAGAAAAAGAAAAAGAAATGATCTATTGTCTTGGCTGTTGTGATCCACTCGGATTCGGCGTAGACCAGGTTAAAATATTGATTGAGATGAACATGTTACCACTAGGTCGCGATATATGATTGGCAGTGATCTAGTAAATCTAGTTATTATGATATCCAAATCTTGATTAAAACATGGAATATTGAATAATGTAAAATAATAAAGACTATGGAGTGCAGAGTGTTCCAAGGGTAACGGAAGTCGCGGAGCCCTAGAGTCTCTAAAGCGCTTGGCATGACAACAAACAACTCATGCACAGTGATGTACATCTGGGCATGTACCATGAGTTCAGTTCAATGTTGGCCTTGGAATCATGCTGCCTATTCATTCTATAATATCTATTTCATATAAAATTTTAATGACGAGTATGAATTTTTGTAAAAGGGATAAGGTTCCCATTAATTCCAAGGTTAATTTATACCAGGGTCATGTATACCAGCATCGATCCTATGTATAATATCTAGTCTTAGCTTATGTGTATATTAAGCACCCAATGGAACCTTAGAACTACTACTAGTACCTGTTAGATATGTGCCTATAGCCCTAGAGAGATCGTGTTCTGACTTTTCTTCCAAGGTTCTCCTTCCTCAGAATCACAGCCTTAGCCCGTAGAACTAATAGTGATATACTAAGAAGTAAAAAAGAAGTAAAGGAGGAGTAAAAGACAAGTAAAAGACAAGTAAGAGAGAAGTAAGAGAGAGCCAACTGGGTAGCTACATAAAAATTGACTAGTAATCCTCTCTGATCTATGATTAAAACTGAATACACAATACTCTACCTAGGTACCATGCGGGAGGTCTGGGGGATTTGAACATGCCCCTAACACAGTGTAGACACTATTCGAAATAAAATATATGTTGAAAAATTAAAGAGCGGTACCACTGCGTTGGTCCGGAACATATTTTAGCGGTCTAATATATATCTTAGGGTTAAAGTATTAGGCAAATCCTAAGATTATTTTAGATGAGAAAACGTTTTGGACCAGAAAACATTTCGGGGAGAAAAAACCGGTACACCCTCATACAGGCCAATTTCAGTCTGGTAACTTTCATCTATATAGCTTCATACTTTATACCTTCCTTCATTATTCAGGAATTCACAGTATATCTTTTTTCTTTTGATCTACAGGGGAATTAAACCCAGGACCTACAATCTACAGTTTACAGACTACAATTCACAATTTATAAGGCTTTACAAGCTACATTTTACAACACTACAGCTATACCTAGGTACAAAGTAGTACATATTAAAAGAGCTCTCTAGTTTAATTAATTTATATTCTTAAAGCACTCTAAGGTTCTTAAGTGGCCTACCTCTGCCGTAAATGTCGATATATGTAAGTTTCAATGCAAGAAAGTTGTTACATATAACACAGAACGGGAAGGTGAAGATTTTTCATGCCAAATATCTTGTAATGTTGATATCAATTCACCTCCAGGGCCGGATTTCAATGTTGGCGGACCTCGGGACTCTTAGGTAGGAATTGCACGACTCTTGTACTTGCGGTACACTGGCAAGTCACCCCAAGACAGGGTTGAATCCCGACTTTTGGCATTCTTCTGAACAACGTCCTCTCCTACCACTCTCAGACTTTCAAATGGCACCTCATTGAGATCAGTCACGTAAACGTGCGCCTTAAGTTTGCCCTGGTGCGAAGGTCAATGTGCAATGCCATGCGTCTGGCCTTGTCACGTTATTAGCGGTTGGTGAGAGCTGGGTGGTGGTATTATGAAAGGTGCCCCTGTCAAATAATTCAAATGTTAGTCCTAGATGATGTTCTGATTAAATGTGAAAAAGGCTCTACTATGAAAACTTGAACATTTGAACCTTGGAAGTACTAGTAAAGGTATATAGCCTCATACATACAAGATTCGGACACTGGGTTTCTTTATTATTTTCGCAGACGCCACAACCACGTTCCCTGTGACTTTTTTCAGCCGGCTCAATTCACATTCATAGGCTTTTGCATCTTCCAGTAGGGTTTTGATTGCCCCTGGGCCCCATAAAACATTTATCCCATCAATCTTACCGACATAAGAGTCGGCGGGGATCTTATTTGCGAAGTCAAAAGACATGCTGGCAGGAAGTAAGAAGAGATAAGGTCTGAATGGAGAAAGTATGGATAGTAGGGAGAATGGGAATGGAGAAGGTGTGAACGGAGAAGGTGTGAATAGATATCTGGAGGGAGTAGAAAGAGAGAATTTGAATGGTATTGGACATAAGTTGATATGGACGAGAGAAGTTGAATGATATTGATGAGATCTGAGTCTCTAGATGTCTTTGTAGGTAGAGGTAGTAGAATAGAGAATAATTTTGATATTGGAAAGATTCAAGTTCAAGTTTGAAAGAGCCTAGGTATTGATGATCAAATTCCTCAGCCGGTAAAACAATAGATGAATGCTCAGGTATTAGACTCAGAGATAGTAGGAGTACCTTCAGATGTCCATCCCTACTGTGTATGGATGTAGTATATGGTAACATTGGTAAGTAACAAGTTGAAGCCTCACCGGCAGCACCAGCACTTTGGACAAAGATCTCAAACCTCGCTCAGGTTTCATATTTCCCTCCGAGTCTGCAACACATTTATATTATGCATATATATATAGAGCATACAAAGTCATTCAATGTTGATGATCAATATCTATCTAGATATGTACTAGTAGACGCCATCATGACCATTCATCTGAACTTGAAATCTTCCCCAATTCGTCTTAATCTTGAAGGCTGATGGTATGGACAGTTCCACTATATCTATCTGGCCATTGAAGCAATGTAAGAGAGACTAGCGTCTTCAAGTTAAATTCTTCTTCAAAGCCGTCAGCGTTCAAAGCTCGGGGATATCTGGGTATTTTCTATGATTAGATTCAAATGTTCGAAAAAAAAGACTCCTTGGTGCTTCGAACGTTCTTGAAGAAGAAAGGTACATACCTACCTAGGTAGTTGCCTCTAGAGTATGACATCTGGAGTCTGTTTGAATGGGGTGGTATTTCCAGTTCCGAGAAAAGGTGATTCGAACCTCCAGGGCTTTCAACGCTTCAAGGTTGGAAAGTGGTTCAAACTTGAAATAAACCACATCTATCACCTCAATTGCTTGAACCTTCCCTGAAAGCAGTATACACCTGGGCAATACAGCTAAGCTGTACCTGTGGACCTAGCCATCTGCGCAGTTACTAATAGCACAGTGGGTCCTCCAAAATATACTGAGTATTATATCATTATCAATATCATGATGCATGCCGCGGCCCATCTGACAGAGGGCTATGTAACCGCGTTCAGGAGCATACTACCTAGTACTTACACTTGTTCCAAGGTTTATTATTTATTATTTGTTATCTCTTATATAGACGGTCACCTGCATAATTACAATATCTAGAAAAGCGGGCGGTGGGATGAGGCACCATAGTCTCTCTTTGTCTAATCTTGATCTATCATCTCTCCACCTGCCCGCAGATCGTGACTCCGATTCGTGAGACCTCCAGCCTTGAACAGTCGACCTTCACCTTGAATATCCACTTCCAGTCTACCTGTCATCAGCACCTGTTCATCTAAAATGGCGAGTGCTGAGATACCCCCCGAAAACACGGATGACTTTGGTGATGTCGTCGATAATTTCAATGATGAAGCAGAACTCGAAGAATACGCTGAGCCATGGTGTCGATACGACATAGAGGATAACCCAGATGTCCTCTACCCCATTTACCTCGGAGAAATACTCAACGAGCGGTACCTGATTGAACACAAACTCGGCTTTGGTGGTGGCTCCACTGGATGGCATTTGACATGCAGGAGAAAAAAAGATGTCGCCCTGAAAGGCATGGCTCTAGGAGAATGGGCCGATAACGAAGCCGGAATCCAGGATGAAGTTATCAAATCGGTACAAGATACATCGCACTTGGTTCTGGCCACTGATACTTTTCTGGGTCCCCGAGATGATCAAAGTTACCACCGAGTCTTGGTCTTCCCTATGAAAGGGCCATCTATTCGCACATTCGCATTGCAAAAGACTCCCATGGCGGCTCGCATATCTGCTGCAAAACAAATATTGGAGACAGTTGCAAGTTTACATGACGCTGGAATCATGCACCGCGGTAAGTTGCAATTCTGGTATGTCGCCTCTGATATGACTAAAAGGAAATACCAGATCTCAATGCAAGGAACTGTATGTGGGGAATCAAATCCACCGATGGTCTAAGTAGAACTGCCAAGTATGAATTACTTGGTCGACCATTGAAAGAGACTATCCCCTGTGTCGATCTCTGGAAAAAAGGCGAACTCGTAAGCAATGCCGAAGTTCCAGATGACTTTCGCACAGACGAATTCTACCTCTGTGATTTTGGTCTCGCCAAAAAAGTCGGGGATCTAAGCACTCAAAGCGGTTACCCACCTGCGGAATATTGCTCTTCAGAACGATTTCATCGGCATGAGCCAAGCTTCGCATGCGATATGTGGAGTTATATGGCTATCTTCGGCATGCTATACATTGCATACCCTCCGTTTTTTAAAATTGATGGTGGAATTATAAGTAATATGGTCCAAACCCTAGGTCCATTGCCAGAGAAGTGGAAAGATCATTCAAATGGAGTGGTGCACTGGATGCATGGTATGAGCAGTCTCTGGCTTCGCTACATACTGGTCGCCTGGAGAGTCTTGTGGAGAAAGTTGCTCGTCTTCGTTTTGATGCTGATCCCATCGAGCGGGAACTTGCGATATCGATCATGATAAAAGTTTTTATCTAAGAGCCTGAAAGACGACTCACCGCAAGAGAGCTTTTGAATGACCCTGAGTGGAGGCCCTTATGGATCGGTATGGATGTTGAGGCCGAGGAGAGATTGTATTTACAATTCATGACATGCTACGAGCCTACGACCTACATTAAGCCTCATCTAATTTTTTTTTTTTAATATCCAACATACTAGAAATATGAAATTTACCTTCTCAGTCTAAATACAAACATTTCAGACGTCCATTTTATCTTCTAACCGTGTTACACCAAGGACTCGTCACACTAACTTGACTCGCATAAGCCATAAACCTTGGAATTCAACTTCCCGTCCATCCAGATCAGCCCCACCAAAGCTCCCGTTCAAGTTTACAAACCTCACCTCAGCTCCACGCTCCCATAACCAACTGAGTCCAATTTAAATCCTCCGCAGTGCGTGAAACTCGCTGTTAATCATGGCTATCGAACCTCTCTCAATATCCCCCACCGCCTTCGCTGAAGCAATCACCGAACTCCCCATCTCAGCACTGTACAACAAAGTCTTTGAACTCCGAAACTCGATTGCGCATCTCCACCGCTCGAATTCTGAACTCCGGCTCTTTGTGCTCGAGTCGACGGAGTCTGAGCAGGATAAGAAAGAGTTGGGGGAATATATCACTGAGAATGAGGGTGTTATTGTCTCTATGAATGAACGGGTCGCATTGTTGAGAACTGAGGTTGAGAGGAGGGGCCAGGAATGGATTGAGGAGAAGGTGAAGGTGGATCAGGATCAGGATGCTGATGGAGAAGTACCTGGGACTGGGACTGGCCATGGGAATGTTAATGGGGACTCAGCAGCCCCGGGGGGATTCTACCCAGGATACACAAGAGGACGGAGTTTATCTTTGAAGCACGAAGACTACGACATACAATTACGATTAAATGAGCCTGGATGGATCACCTGGAAGAAATGCAAGATGTATTGTAAAGTATATCACACCGCATGCTAAATGCTCATAGCCCATCGGGCTTATCATCGGCAGACTCGTTCCAATTTGCCCTCAACAGAAACATAAAAATAAACAGTCGTCAACGCCAGGTTGATGATCAAGTAGGAAAAAAAGTATTTGAGAAAAATTTAACAAACGTGAAATGAAAATGCTCGCTCATGCTCCGAATATCACTTAGATCGAGGCTTGTGCCCAATGTCCACCATTGAGTGCCTCGGGAGGTACACGCTGCTGTTTAATAAACAGATCAATCAAAGGCTGCATGGGCTCCATCTCCTTATCCGAGACCAACTGGTAGTACTTGGCCACTGTGACAAAGTGAACGAAGCACATGTTCAAGATATCGTGCTTGTTGATGTGCCAGAATGGGTTCAACCAGTGAGCATGGTACAGATGCGCGTAGCAGCGGAACATCTGCTTCATGATACCCTGGCAATCCTTGTAGAATGTCTGAGGGAAACCACTTGACTTGCCGACCCAGTCATCGGTGCCGTTACCAGTGGTGCCTGGCGCGGCGCCTTCTGAGGGGGGAGCTCCAGCGGCGGCAGCTGCATCCTTCAAGGCGGAGGTCTCGGGGATACCGTTCACTTTCTCGGTAGGGAACATGACTGGGTCATGGATCTTGCTGACAATCCACTTCTCGACGCGGTTGATGAACTTGGGAGCCGAGATCTTGGCGGCGCGGCCATCGACGAGCCAAGTGTAGGTCAGTCTATAGAGTAGTATATTAGTTCCATGAACCCTCGTTCGCACTCGCATTATTCCACATACCGTCCAGCAGACATAGTCGGACATGTGCTCTCATTACAAATGGACACGCCAGTCACACTGTTGACCTCCTGGATCACCTGGAGCATACCATGAAGCAGACGGTATTGCTCAACAACTACATCCCATATATCAGCATTATCCTCCGACTTGCATATGCCTTATCGATTATGCTTACTCTGATGAGCTAGCCATTCGCCCAGCTCCACATTCTTAGGACAAGCACACAGGGTCAAGAAGTTACCCCTCACATTCAAAGGGGCATACTTCTCCTGAAAGAAGTACTTGGGAGCATCGGCGTCATTTCCGGCGAGGTTATCAACGGTCAAACTGTTCGACAGCGAAGGCGAGTTGGACATGGTGCCGGATCGAGGGTCTTGAGGTGCTTGTGCAGGACTTTTAGGGGGGGTTGTTCTTGTTATTTCCTCCCCTGCCAAACCCTTGGCGACTGAATAATTAAAGGGCGGATTAGCAATAGGTCCGGGGGGCGGGGGGGGGGAAGGGGTGTTTTGGGTCAGCGTCCTAGGGTGTGGAAAGTGAAACAGAATAAAAGCTTGGGAAGAAAGGAGAGCATCAAGAAAAAGACCAGGGGTATGTTTAGACTTTGGAATCGGGAATGTTATTTTGTGATGTGGCGCTGTGCTTTCAGATGCATTGTATATGAGGGGGAATATTGTGAGACCGTAATATGGAGGGGGGGTAATTCCAAGGTTCAATAATGTACATCACCAGGCTTCAGTGAATTTCTGGTTCGACTTACACACTCTGAAAGAAAGTAGCCATTGTTGATAATGTCGAATGATATATATAAAATACTCAATTCAATTCCCCCAACTTGGAGCTCGAGTGAATAAGAAACGGTGAAAGACGGCCATTCATTAACCCCCCTGGTCCCACTTAGCCCCATTCGGCCCGGGTACGGATTATCATATTTATCCGCCAGATCCCCGAATATCGCGATTATAATAGCTTTAGCTTTGTCTCTCTTCTATAACAACATAACACCATTCTCAATTGATCCGTGTGGTGCGATTTAACACCACCTTCAACAGAGAATCCCCATGTCTTCCGATGATGAGTCTGTCCACCGCCCAGGTCGCAGAGGCGGCCAGAGTCCCATGGGCGACGACCATGATTCTGACAATGGGAACCAGAGCCCATTTGGAGCTGGAGATGATGATAACGATGCTGATCTGTTTGGATCTGACGGGGATGACGATAGAATTGACAATGAGTAGGTCACAAAGAACACTAGTTGGAATCACAATGATACTAACTTATCTTAGTCGACCTCCCCGTACTCTAGATGACGAGCAGCTGGACTCTGGAGATGATGAGAACCGCCATGATCGTACTGAAGATCGCATGGATGAGGCCGACGATTATGGGTACCCGGAGACAGTCAATATCATGGACATGGGCCTTGCGCGTGCGCCAGTACCCGAGACCAATGATGGCCAGGTAAGAACAAACCATTCGTCTTTTTATGATTTCTGTCTAATTGAGTTCTAGGTCTATACTATGCGAGTCCCCGAATTTCTCTCGATCGAAGCCGAAGAGTTCAACCCTCAGACCTACGTTGCGCCTGCATACTCTACCGCCGCTACATCACTCTGCTGGCGCAAAGATCCCAAGGATGGTTCCCTGATCCAGTCAAATGCACGCTTCATCCGCTGGAATGACGGTTCCATGACCTTGCAGCTTGCGTCCTCCCCTCTTGAGCAATACCGCCTCGTTACCAAACCCCTAGTCCCTCTCAACAAGGCCGGAGAATACGATACAAAGCTCGACTCCCACGTTTACCTCGGTGCTGCGATTGAAACCGCCTCTATCTTCCGATTGACTTCACATGTTACACACGGTCTGACTGTTCTCCCGACTACCTTGGAAACAGATGACGCGGTCCTGAAGCTCCAGGCTTCCTTGGCTGCTGCTGCTCGTGGTAGTAAGCAGACTGCTGATGGCTCTTTGCCGGTTATCGATATGAAGGAAGATCCAGAGATGGCCTCCAGGAAGGCCGAGATGCTGGAACGTGAGGCCATGCGTGCTGAGCGCCGTCGTCAACAGCTTGCGGATCGCGAGGCTGATCGTGGTCAGAAAAGAGCAGCACCTGTTCCTCGTGCGGCTATTGGTCTTCTTGGCGCTCTTGAGACTGAAGGCATGCTGGGTAGTCGTCCTCGTGCTAAGCCTCGTCGTGTTAACCGTCGTGGCGAGATCAACACAGATGATGAGGAGGACTACGGTCGTGGTGGCCGGACTCGTGAGGATGAGTATGATGAGGACGATGGCTTCCTGGTTGGTAGTGACGAGGATATTGAGGAAGATGCCGACGATGACGATGACGAGGTTGAGCTGGAAGATGAGGATATGGATGCTGAGGGTGAGGTTGATGAGGAGGTTGCTCCTAAGGCATCTCGCAGCAGACCCTCAGAACCAGAGGCTCGTGCTGGTACACCTCCAGCTCGTAAGAAGCATCGTTATGTGGTGGATGACGAGGACTCTGATGAGTGATCTCTTGCCTTTTCCCTTCTTCTCATACATTTTTATTCTCATTTGATCTGTACATGGCCTGGCGTCAAGTCTCTGGGGGTGGGCATTCGATTTGATTCTTTTTGAGCTTTTTAACAAGTCATTTTCGATACCAAAAAATTTAATGAAACGTTTTTGAATCATCGATGATCTCCATTTAACTAGTATGCGAGCATGGAAGCTATATCATGGAATGTTAACATTGAAGTGTAGATTGATCGTGGTATATAAGCAGTAAACCCCATGAAATAACCCCAATGCGCCAAAAATACAATAAACCCCATTCCAAATATCATTACTTATTCGTTTCCATGCGTTATACCAGTCAGATCAGTCCCTCCAGGAAATTCATGTGGCTCAAAGTTGAATTTCGAGATGACTGCCCTTGCACTCCCAACAACTCGGAAACAAAGTAACTCCTTTTCTTCCTTTCTTTCACAATCGTCTCCATTCATCACGTGCCCAACTCCAGCTTGTAATGGATTGTTAGGACATGGATGATTACCCGGCTGATGCCATCGACGTTGCCGATTCTCAACCTCGTTGATAAGAGCTAGCAACGCCGGCTGATTCTTGCACCGAGCCTGGACACTCGGGTCGACGGGTCCGCCGATGACAGCCCGGCGTACAATCTGTCGCAACCAGCTATTCCACTGCTGAGCGGGATCTTCACTTTGAAGAACAAAGGAAATATAGTCCTGTGGTGCAGACTGCATGCCTAGTTCGACGGGATCGCTCTGATAAACCCGGAACCAGGCGTCTGCGACAACAGTTAAGAGCGTACCACAGAACATAACATTTTGAAGACCCGAGGCAAAGTTCTTGGGACAGGATTCACAGCGGATGATATCTTGGGCTGTTCGAGCGGCGATATAAAGAGAGCAAAGGGTATGGTTCGTGACAGGGAAAGAGGCAATAGAGGATATATGGCTTAGGCAGAGATATAGGTAGGAGAGACATGTACATTGAGGGACGGTGGGGTCTGAATTAGGAGATTGCGGGGTGAGTGGCATGGAGAGGAGGTCGGAGATGTTAGTTGAAGATGTGAAGGGCATGGCTGATGATTGAGATACAGTTGAGAAATCTGGCCAAGGGCTGGAGGATGGAGGGATTGGGAGGTTGGGATTTTTTGGTCTGTCTGAACGTTCATGGTCATGCGAGCCCGTATACAGGTCTGGTTGGGCCGAGGGCGAGCGACTTTGGGATTGCCAGAAGAGCTGGGGGCATAGATGGTGTGCATCTGATGCTGCGATAGGATCTGGAGCTATATTGAATGATTCTGGTGGTGTCTTTTCTGGACTGGGCCATATGTTTTCATTTGATTGTGTAGAGAAACTGGGCGCCTCATCGTCTGCGCGAGCTCGTTTCTTGGGTCGACCCATGGGTTTTTGTATGGAGTAATTGCAAGAAATACACTGCTTTAAGCAGCGGGAGCACCCACTAGGCTCACCGGAGCATTTCAACTTGCGTTTTCCTGAATATCAATTTATGATCAGCATAGATCTAGCATGTCATCATACTTGGCCACTCACTGCATTCATCGCAAGCCGCATGTCGTTTTGGTTCCAAGTTCGCCGTTGATATATCAGGTCGCGCAGATATCCCCGAGTCCGTCATGACTTGTGAATCAATTTAACATTCCAATATTTTCAAGATCAAATTATAAATTGGTAATCTTGCATGAAAGCATTCAACATTGGAAATCATCGATATACGATAAGATTGGGGGGCAGTCATGTGGGCGGTGAGCGGAGTCGACAGAAAAGAAGAAAAAAAAATCGCGGAAGAAACAACCCAAGCTCCACGGCAATCATGGTCGCCAGAACAGCCTCTAAAAAGCGCAAGGCGGTGACTCGCGATGTGGAGGAGGAGGCCGGAGTATTCTCCGGTGATGAATTGAGTTCAGAGAACCTCGATGGCGCTCTGTCAGATAACGACAATGATCTTTCTGAGGGCGAGGACGACAGCGGCTCCGAAGGCGACTCCGAAGTCGAGTTGATTGACGATTTCAGCGACGAAGAAGAGGATGAGGATGAATTGGACAGCGATGAAATTCCCTCGGACGTTGAGGAGCAGCCGAAACTATCCTCCAAGAACCTCGACGAGCCCAATGTTCGCATCGTGAAAGACGCCAATGGAAACGAACGCTACCTGTACGACGAAATCAACCCGGACGACAACTCAGACTACTCCGAAGCCGAAGAAAACGCCAACACTATCGGTGATATTCCTCTGACATTCTACGACCAGTACCCTCACATTGGTTACAACATCAATGGAAAGAAGATTATGCGCCCGGCTAAGGGTGAAGCGCTGGATGCCCTGCTCGACAGCATTGAGATCCCCAAGGGCTGGACCGGTCTGACTGATCCTTCCACTGGAAAGCCATTGAACCTGAGCCAGGATGAATTGGAGCTGTTGAAGAAGGTGCAGATGAACGAAATAACCAGCGAGGGCTTTGACCAGTATGAGCCATTGGTGGAATACTTCTCTAGCCAGAAGGAGATCATGCCTCTGAGTGCTGCTCCTGAGCCCAAGCGCCGATTCGTTCCATCCAAGCACGAAGCCAAGCGTGTGATGAAGATTGTGAAGGCCATCCGTGAGGGCCGCATTCTTCCTTACAAGGCCCCCGAGGACCGCGAGGATCAGGATGAAGAGCTGGTTAACTACGACTTGTGGGCTGACGAGGCTGAGCGACCGGATCACCCTATGCACATCCCAGCGCCCAAACTGCCTCCGCCTGGCTACGAAGAGAGTTACCACCCACCTCAAGAATATCTTCCCGATAAGAAGGAGCGTAAGGAGTGGGAGCAGACTGACCCTGAAGATCGTGAGAAGGACTTCTTGCCCAATGACTACGGTTCTCTTCGTCGGGTTCCTGGTTACGACAACTTTGTTCAGGAGAAGTTTGAGCGCTGTCTGGATCTCTACCTTGCACCCCGTGTGCGCCGCAGCAAGTTGAACATCGACCCCGAGAGCTTGCTTCCTAAGCTTCCCAGCCCCGAAGAACTCAAGCCCTTCCCTACAACATGTGCGACAGTCTTCCGTGGTCACAAGGGCCGTGTTCGCTCGCTCGCTGTGGACCCAACTGGAATCTGGCTTGCAACTGGTGGTGATGATGGTACCGTTCGCGTTTGGGAACTCCTGACTGGTCGTCAACTCTGGAGCGTCAAGGTCAGCGATGAGGACGCTGTGAATGTCGTCCGCTGGCGCCCTGGTAAGGATGCTATCGTTCTTGCCATTGCCTCTGGAGACGATATTTTCCTTGCCGTGCCCCCGATTGCCGACCCCGAGATTGAGAAGAACAGTCTGGATCTTCTTGATGCCGGTTGGGGTTACGCTGCCTCCGCCCCTGCCCCCGTTGGCGCCGAAGCAAACAAGGTCAACAAGCCTGTCCAATGGATCCGACCCTCGTCTGCTCTCGCCGAAGCCGGTGTTTGCGTTGTTATTCCTCTCCGCTACGTGCCCAAGTCTATCTCTTGGCACCGCCGTGGTGACTACTTCGTCAGTGTCTGCTCAGGCGCCTCGACCCCAGCCTCAGTCGCCATCTCCATCCACACTCTCTCCAAGCACCTCACCCAGTTCCCCTTCCGCCGCCGTCTCAAGGGTGGTGGTCCCCCACAGACCGCCCACTTCCACCCCTCAAAACCCATTCTCTTCGTGGCCAACCAGCGCTCCATCCGTGCCTATGATCTTTCACGACAACTGCTGGTCAAGATCCTGCAGCCCGGTGCGCGCTGGATCTCCTCTTTCGATATCCACCCCACTTCCTCTACTGCCTCCGGTGGCGACAACATAATTGTTGGTTCCTACGACCGTCGCCTGCTCTGGCACGATCTCGACCTCTCGCAGCGTCCTTACAAGACTCTCCGTTATCACCGCAAGGCTATCCGTGCCGTCAAGTTCCACCCTGGTGGTCGCTACCCGCTCTTCGCTGATGCTAGTGATGATGGTTCTTTGCAGATCTTCCACGGTAGCGTTACGGGTGATATGCTCAGCAATGCTACTATTGTTCCTCTTAAGGTGCTTAAGGGTCACAAGATTACTGGCGAGCTGGGTGTTTTGGATATCGACTGGCACCCTCGTGAAGCCTGGTGTGTTAGTGCCGGTGCCGATGGTACATGTCGCTTGTGGATGTAATTATTGGGGGGTTTTGTGCATGATATATTTCCTTACTTATGTCCTTGATGGCGTTTCTTTGTTTGTGCATAGTCTTTTTATAGCCTATACTATGTCTAAAAGTGTTCAATCTTTAATCCGATCTTTATCATATAGTTTTAGTGAGTGTTTGTATCATCCTTGTAGCCCGGGAGGCTGCGATTCTGTGCCCAGGTGGCAACCGGCAATTATTACTACTAGTAGTATGTCTTGCGAGTACGATGTTCCAATTGACCAGACTGATAGCGGTCCAAAGTTTGACATCCTCACGTTTGGAGATTAAAGATTCAAGGGTAAGGGACTTAAAGACGATCTACGGCTAAGCAGGGCTCAGTAGGAACAACTGGAATATTGCAAAATTTACATATTGCTTCATGTTCATAAATCGACTGCAATGCAATAATCACAAGCCTGAGGGTATCTATATCCATGTCTACCCACATAACAACCAACGCTCTATACAGCATCATCATTCAGGTGGTCTCAAACCGCACCACCATCCCAATTCCTGCGCAATTTCTCATACTTCTTCAGATCAGTAACACTAGGTCGAACGAATGACCTCGCAGCTACAAAGTCCTCAATCTTAATAGTATCACGACGCTTAATAGCCAAGTAACCAGCACGGCGTAACAAGCTGCCCAGATCCGCACCACTGAATCCCTCGCATTCCTCTGCAAGTCTGCGCAGTTCCTCATTGAACTCAACGGGTAAGTTCCGGACCAAAGTCTGCAGAATCTCGGCACGCTCCAGTGGTGAGGGAAGGTTAACGAAGAGGAGGGTCTCCAGACGACCTGGACGAAGCATGGCTGGGTCAATAATGTCGGGCCGGTTAGTAGCGGCAATGACATAGATTCCCTGGCGAGTGCCTAAACCGTCAAGTTCGGTGAGAAGGGTGTTAACGACACGTGCTGAGGCTTCGGAGAGCGCATCGTCACGACGGGGTACAAGAGCGTCTAATTCATCGAAGAAGATAACACAGGGAATAGAGGAGCGAGCGCGAACGAAAACTTGACGGACGGCACGCTCAGATTCACCGACGAACTTGTTCAGTAGCTCTGGACCCTTGACGCTGATGAAATTGGCGCGAGACTCGTTGGCCACGGCCTTGGCAAGCAGTGTCTTACCGCAACCTGGAGGTCCCCAAAGGAGAACACCGGTTGGCGCGGTGATACCGACCTTTTCGTAAATGTCGGGGTTCCGGATTGGCTCCACAATCGCAGTACAGAGTTCATCGCGCACACCACCCAGAGCACCGATATCTGCCCATGTTGTGTCGGGAATGGTAGCGAAGCCTTCACGCTTGGAAGAGGGTTGGATCTTAGGAAGTGCAGTGAAGAAGTCTGCGTTTGAGACGTGCACGGTCTCTGCTTCGTCGCCGATGGGGTTCTCTTTTGCGTGTGTGATTAAACGACGAAGTTCTTTAACCCTGGGGCTGATCTCGTCCTCCCCTTCAATTTCCATCTCCTCGCCGCTGTTGGACTTGAGGATGTCTAGGTATCGTTTAATGGCAGCTGATCCTGCGGTGGAGACAAGGTCGTTAAGGTCAGCACCGACGAAACCAGGTGTTCGCTTGGCCAGTGTCTTAAAGTCAAGGTCATCAGCTAATTCCATCTTCCGGGTCAAGGCTCGGAGAATCAGCTCTCGGACTGGCTCAGAGGGAACGGTCATATTAATTTCCTTATCGAAACGGCCTCCACGACGCAATGCGGCATCTAAGCTGTCTGGACGGTTGGTAGCTGCCAGAACAATGACGGGCTTTCCGTCGGTCTTCTCAAGAGCAATCTCGTCCATGCAGGTCAGAAGCTGGGCGACAATTCTCTTCTCCATTTCTCTTTGGGCACTCTCTCGCTTCGGTGTAATAGCATCGATTTCATCAATGAAGATCAGGCAAGGTGCAAGTCGCTTGGCCTCATCGAAGTGTTCTCGTAAAGCCTTCTCGGATTCACCCGACATGCCGGATACGATTGAGGGAGCTGAGATCGAGATGAAAGGCACACCCAGCTCTGCTGCGAATGCGTTGGCGATCATAGTCTTACCGCAACCAGGAGGACCATGCAGCAAGACTCCACGCGGCGGTTGTACGTTTGAAGAGAGGTAAACCTGTGGGCGAGTCATGGGCAGAATAACCAGGTCACCCAGTTCCTGTACCACATCGTCCAGACCACCCAAATCCGCCAGACTAACATGTGTTGGCGGGGACCGATCGACTGCGGAGTCTGCTTTGCGTCGTTTGGATGCTGATTCTCCGCCGTCTCTTCTTCTCTTCGAGGAACCTGACTCAGATTTCTTAGAGGACGCCGGTTTCGGGGTATTCCACATGCCGACAATGCTCTGGTTCACGCCATTGGGCTCCTATGAAATATTATCAGCCTGAAAACCAACACTCAGGCTACCCAGCATTGTGACATACAGTAGCAGGTGGCTCCTCAAGTCCCTCAAAGTCTCCCTCCACAGACTCCTCATCTTCGTCTCCCATATCGGCCTTAATAACTTCCAGTACTCGCTCCACACTGTCCTCTAGTAACTTCTTCGGCTTGCGGTTCAGACTTGAGTTCGATTTTTTGATCTGCTCGTAAATCGCAGAAGGTGAAAGACGAATGCGACTGGCGTCGGGTTGGTCGTCAATAATTTTGCGCACGACCTGGTAGACCTAGAAACCACTGTCAATTGATTTCCCCTTTAAACATATTTATAATGATCTTACCTCACGGTCTAGACCCTGACTTAGGGTCGGTCTTCCTCCACGATTCCTAGGCATGTTTGTAGTTGCGATAGCAAAGAAGAAAAAAAAATTGGGGAAAAAGCGGAAAGATGAGATTTAGCCGTGATTTTCGGGGTTAGCGGCCATGGCGGTGGAACTTCCCCCACGTCATTAACGAAATCAATGTTTCTATCCTACATTATAATGCGATATGGGAAACACAAGCAGTTCACAGAAGATTTCATCTCAGGATCGGTAAGTTTGAGATCCATAACAATTATTCCTCTTTGGAGTCTTGGAGGCCCTGCATTATGGCAGAATTCCCCTCACGAGACCCCTCCTTCAAACACTCCACTATGACTCCATGGCAACTGATAGCTGATTATTGAAATCAATAGAGCGATCCTCGATCTCAAGAACCAGCGCGATAAGCTAAAGCAGTATCGGAAACGTATTACGGTCTTAACTGACCGCGAAACCGAAATCGCAAAGGAATGTCTGGCGCAGAATGATCGACGACGAGCGCTGCTTGCGCTACGACGCAAGAAATACCAGGAGTCTCTTTTGGATAAGACCGATGGCCAACTCGCACAGCTGGAGCAACTAGCAAGTCAGGTGGAATTTGCACTGGTGCAGAAGGACGTGCTCTTTGGCTTGCAGCAGGGTACCGAGGTGCTCAAGGCTATCAACAAAGAGATGGGTGGGATTGAGGGCGTGGAACGATTGATGGGAGAGACAGAGGAAGCACGCGCTTATCAAGAGGTATGGAAAGCTACTACTTTCTCTACTATGATGCCTCTGGAATCAACTGACGGGACTCGATTACAGGAAATCAGTCAGATGCTCGAAGGCAACCTGTCCAACCAAGACGAGGACGATGTGGAAGAGGAACTGGAGGCTTTACAGCGCGAGGTCGCAGGTCCACAAGCTGCACCGAATTTACCAAATGCCCCAACCAACGCTTTACCTACACCGGAAGAGGTCGAGACCCCGGAGGAGCCAAGAAGGGCAAAAACAAAGACAAGAACAGCTGCACTAGCTGCGTAGTTGCTTCATCTTGAACTGGGTATAATTTGCATGACTTTGATCATAACACTGCATGGCGTTGGTGGTTTCTTGTGAACTTATGCACATTGTTTTGCTCATCATTCATAATCATTGCGTGTAGAAATCGTTAATACATTGAAGTTGAAGTTGAAATCGCCTTCCCATAAAAAGAAAAAGAAAAAAAAAGAATACAACCCGAAGCCCCAGGGTATCTTCAAGAATCAATTCAAAGTCTACTGACCAGGCATAACACGGCCTCCGAGACCACTAACACCTGGGATAGCGACATGGTCACTAGGATTGGCCGCCGCTTCGTAGAGGAAGCTCACAGGCTCCCGGTTCAGTGCCATAAATTGACCTTTGAATCCAATGTAGCCGACCTTGGTAACATCTTCATCTCCGTCGCTCCAGTTATCTTCAAAGAAAAGGGTGATCGAAGTGGTAGTGTTCCAGTGGGCGCGATTCAAAGGCAGCTCAAAGACATCAGCTCCGGCTTGGGGCTGTGGGACTTCAATGGTTTGAGTTGGGGAGAGTTCCGAAGCGGAGGGAAAGTCAAGGTCATCACGGTTCTTGAATAGTTTTACTGTCTTGGGTGCGGAGGAGGTTGGGGCTGTGTAGATGAGCAGAGAGTGAAGTTTGACTTGGCCCGTAAATCTAGTTTGTTATATTACGTTAGTTATAGTTTGAGCAATGTACGTGCGCCCGTGCTTTTTGTGTATCCGACAATGAGGGGCATAGCGGGGTAGTCAAATTTCGCAGGGAATAAACAATAACAAAGAAACTGATCAGAATTGAAGAATTGAATTGATTGTATAGTACTAACGGAATAAACATGAGGAGTTGCTCATCGGCATCACTCTCGAGCTCAGGCTTGTCATTCATTCGTTCAGCCCAAGTCTTTCGAACAATTGCAGCGCCACCTTGAGGAGTAGACTCTAGTCAAGAATGTTAGTAAATGCTCGATCACAGGTTTTCATATTGAGCTTGCTGCCCAGCAGAGACTTACCGTTCAAGGTGTTGATCATATCAAAGTCAATCTGCGAATAAAGAAGAGACTGGATAGCAGGGGTGATGTCGTTGGAATGATCATGCTCTGCATGGCAGTGCCCGCCATGGCCATTATCGTGGTGATCGTGACCAGACATGGTGAGTGATTTATCAAGTAAGTTGTGGAAAAAAGAACTCGAAGTAGATGTGAAGATGAAAGAAATGAAAAGCGGAAATCTCCCCGCATCCCGTGACATAGATCTACATTGCCTAGTAGATCTCATAGTAGATCTCACTCAAGCCATACATAGATATTATAGACAACTTGAAGGATATAGTTTATAGAATTATAAATATGAAGCTGAGTATACTGTGATATTGCATACCTATTAATGAGTAGTATGAAGAATTTTATGTTTTGCATTCATCAGTTCAACGCCTGGGTATCTTTGGATTTCTATTCTGGTTTGAACTAAGTCAAGTCACCTTATAATATTCAGGTGCATATTCCAAGAGATAATTCTTTTCAATCTTGGTAATGTCGCGGATGTATGTCTTGTCGCCTGTTTGCATGATTTCATGAAAAATCACCCAGTCTGCTTTGCGATTCTAAGAAAATGTTAGTAACATCCTCGAAAGGCACCTGGGAAGTTATATAAACTACACTTACAAACATCAAAGAACTAGGGTGAGCATGCAAGGTGAGGCCCCCGCTGACTGTCTTGAAAGTTCCATCTGGCTGCATCTTAGCAGCATGGGCAAAATAGCCGGTAGTAAGACATCGTTGAATCTGCTCTGGTTGTCTACTCGTATCAACAGTTTGTTGACGAGATAGAGTCTCATCAATCTGGATACCAAAGCGCTCAAGATATCGCTTCAATTGACCCCGAATGCTAACTGCTCGTTGCATTGCACGGTAGTTCAGAAGGTGCTCACGGCACCATTTGGAGTCCTTCTTGCCCTTGGTCACAAATGCCTGGTATACATTTAGGTAGGTAAGGTGATCACCTTCCTCGACGGCGAACTTGCGCCGGTGGCTTTCTGCGGCCTTCTTGTTGTCATGGCTCTGGACCCAGACTGTCCCTTGAAGACTGACCATGGCTGCAATGGAAAGCATCTCACTGAGACAGTTGAATGTGGGTGCTGCAAGTAGCACCTTCGCCATCATAGGATCAACTGCAAGCTCTGCCATACGCATACCAAGTGGTTTAGTAAGTTTGGCATAGTCATCCACTGCACCCAGGGAGAATAAAAGTTCAAAGGCTCGGATCACCAGCTCTGCTGGGGGCGATGTTAAGAAATCAAATCGGACGATGTTATCAATTCCCAAGGCCTTGAGGTGCATAACAATGGGAGCAAGATTTGATCGCTGAATTTCAGGAATGGTCGCTTCCGGGAGTTGTTCATAAGTTTGTTCTGTGTAGAGGCGAAAGCACTTGCCAGGCCTGGTTCTTCCCGCTCGGCCAGCACGTTGGGTGGCAGATGCTTTTGAGATGGGCACTGCCGTTAATGTTTCAATGCCGGTGCTGGGATTGTATGCTCGAAGTTTGGCAAAGCCACAGTCGATAACATAAACAATCCCGTCAATTGTCACTGATGCCTCTGCAATATTGGTTGAAACAATCACCTTACGTGAGTTTTCACTAGTTGGCTCAAACACGTACATTTGCTGTTCGGTGGTTAGACCGGCATACAGCGGCAATGGGACCAAAGAGGGAGATTTTGGATGAAGGTCGGCCGCCCGCTCAGATATCAATTGAATTGCTCGATCAATCTCTTCACGGCCAGTGAGGAAGACAAGAATGTCGCCTTCTGATTCTTGAGTGTGGATATCGAATACGGTCTTGACGGCTCTCTCCACATAGTCCTCTGCAGCTGATTCAAGGAACAACGTATCAACCGGATACATCCTGCCCTCCAGGCTAATGATTCTTCCAATGCTTCCACCCAGCTCAGCGGGATCTGCGTCGGGATGATACTCATCGCCTGCAAAAAATCTCAGAAAATCCTCTGCCTGAAGTGTTGCACTACTTATAATAATGCGAAGCTCGGGGCGCTTTTTTCTAATTTTCTTGAGGATTCCAAGTAGGACATCCGTACTCAAAGACCTCTCATGGGCCTCATCGACCATGATCACGGAATACCTTGATAACAGTGGATCAACAAGTGCTTCTCTGAGCAGCATTCCATCTGTGAGAAACTTGACTCTGGTTTCAGCAGAAGTAAGGTCCTCAAACCGAATTGAGTAGCCTACTGCCTCTCCGACCTTACAGCGCATCTCCTCCGCAACTCTTGTGGCAACTGTGGTGGCAGCCACGCGACGGGGCTATATAAGAGTATTTAGCAAGATCCCATTCAATTCATTCTAAATTTTTTACATACCTGAGTGACAGCAATGAGCTTTCCATCTTCACACCAACCTGCCTGATCAAGATACTGGGGGAGTTGTGTTGTTTTTCCACTGCCCGTCTGGCCTACCACAATAGTGACCGGGTATTTCTCAACCAAATAAAGAAGACTTGCTTTGTGTCTTGCAATAGGTAAAAGTGCAGCTGGTTTATACAACGCTGGAATGAAGGAGGTCGACAACTCCTGCTCTGTTGTCATTTTTGCTTTTTTTGCCCCGATGAAAATTAAGACTGTAGATTGTTGCTTAACATGCCAGATCACGCATAGATGTAATAATAAGAAACCATGCTGAATATCCTCTATCGAGATAATTGATCATGGTAAGAATATGTGGTGATGTACCAGTAAGATTCCAGTATAAAAGCTCCCGCTGAATTCATCACGTGCACCATGTCACTTGTTTGGAGCTTCCCCGATTTATCTGCCTGCGCCACGTTCTACACTTCTTATATCTACAGGCAACAACTTTCTTTCATTTCAAGTTCGTCTGCTTTCACCATTTCAAATATTGATCTGAACTCGCAAACACCATCCAAGATGCCCGACGAGGAGAAAACCGTAGGTGGTCATTTCTATCTGCAGCTATGAAGGAGAAGGCTTACAATTATCAGTCTACTCCCAGTAAACCTTCGGTTGCGCCGAACAGCCCTAGAGCCGAGTCGCCGACTACTGCGCGCCCCCCTAGACTTCGACGATGAGCCCCAGGAGAGCGGCGTGCTCACAGTCAACAACACTCCATCCCAGCAGACCGCCACTGAAGCTACCCTCGCTGCCCCGCCTAAGCCTCCCCGGCCTTTGAGTCCCAAGCAGCATGCGGAGAACACACTCACAGAGGCTTTCCCTACAATTGATACATCGGTTGTCAAGGCTGTGCTGACAGCAAGCAATTGGAATGTCGAGCGAGCATTTAACGCACTCCTCGGTTCGTGCACTATGCGCTTCGGATGAATATACGTGGGGACTATAAACTAACGTCTACAGGTATGACCGACCCTACTGCGCAGGAGGATATGGTTCCTCCCCCGAAGCCACCTCGTCCCACTCAACGACAGGCCACTTCTACCACCCAGAGACAAATGGAATCCGACGAAATGTATGCGCGCCAACTGGCTGAGCACTACAACTCCCGCCGCGGACCGTTCCAAGAGTGGCAGAACGACCCTCGGTATAACCAGTCACGAGGAAGACAAGAAGAGGAGGAGGAAAAGGAATATAGCTTTTTTGATGGTAATTATTGCCTGTTGGTCCTTGAATAAGTTTATAAGAACTGACAGAGTGGGCTCATAGATGATTTGCCGGTGATTCGTGAGAATCTGCGCAAGGGATTCTTGGAGACACAGTCCAAAGTGAACTCATGGGTCACAAACTTCAAGAAGAGACTGGATGGTGATGATCTGGATGAGGAGCCCAACCAAGATCGCGAGCAACAAGCAGCGTACGGGCGTCCGCGACGAAGCGGCGATACGAGCCGTCGCAGTGGAGATAGAGAGCGCTATGATGCAGACCCACAGGTGCTAGGAGATGACTTCTCTGCTCTTGAACTGAGAGACTCTGAAGGTATAACATGCCCCTTCTCCAGATCTGCTTTGTATCCAACTAACACTACGTCAGCTCCTCCGCCCCGTCCTCCTCGCCCTCTGGCCAACACAGATTTCAAGAAAACATCGTCGCCATCCCCCGATCGACGAAAGGTATCATTCCAGGATGGACCACCCACCGAGATCGATACCGGACGCAATGTTCCCAGCGGCAGCAAGTCCAGCAAGTGGCAGCCCTTGGCAACAGTGGACCCATCCCCAGTAGCGGAGAACGACCCCTTTAGCCTGGGCGATAGTGATGATGAGAAGGAGACCAAGCCTAAGGAGCAACCCACTGTTGCAGAGAGTGACCAACTCAAGAATGCGACAGCTGAGGCCATGTCTGCTGAAATTGGCTCGAAAGAGAAGGACGATAAGGCCGAATCCTCAAAGTAATGTGTGGATGGTTATTTGATCCTTTCCTTATGGTATTCTTTTCCTTTTACTCGACCTGGCTTTATTTTCATGATTTTCAAATCTCTTAGCCTTCATGATTCCCATTGATAGCCCTAGGGCTTACAATGCCCGATATTACACCAGACACATGTGTTTCTAGTTAATGATATTGAAAGAAAGTAGTCAATTTCATAATTTGAATATCATTAAAAGGATAGTTAAACAAGGGTATCTTTCAGATAGATCACATAGACCATTCAACGCCGGAATCCAGAGCCACAAATGGTGGAAGAGTCGTAGAATTGTCAACACTGGTCTACTGACCACGATTGACAGTTGCTGCCTCTTTGCGCAAATCTTTGATCACCGCCTATACCAGAAAATCATTAGTTCAAATCACTTGCTTAGGCGAAGACAAACCTGCCGAGTGATTCATACCGCAAGAGCATCAGGATTAACACCATTTTCAATCAAGGACACACAGAGAGACAGTTCAGTCCGGTTCAAATTGGTATTCTAGAGCAGTTAGAATCAGTTCGATTGGTTGGCACTAGCATAACATCTGGATATCTGAATTCTGGGCATCTCGATGAGAGGTTGCAGGAGGTATTAAGGTGACACACCAGTATTTTAGAGATATCCTCTAGAATATCGATGACATCTCGCGCTGCCTGGCGCTTGTTATCAGCGTCGGTGGGCATGAGGTCGGTTTCACTGGTTCTCTGTTACTGGGATGCGAGATGATGTTGATGCCGAAGTGACAAGTTTGTTGGGGTGGGCGGAACCCACCGCGTTCGCCCACATGTGCAGTCTTAGTGGCCGTGACCTATCTATATGCCGAATGTTGGACAAAATCAATAATGATTTTGTATATTGTTTGTTTTATATTAGACTCATTTGGTGCCCAGGTGAGGATTTTTCTGGCGATTTTTAACTAATATTGAGCATATTTTATCTTATGTGTTCTCTATGGCACGTTCAGTTGCGTACTAATCTCGCCTCGAGTCCTATAACGAGGACTCTAGGAGTCTGCCAAAAAAAACACTAGTAAGTCTAGTATGTACTCTGGCACTCACTATCATAGAGTTGAGACGAGTTCATATTAATTACCAGGACCCCTTATATCCATCCATATGAGCTTAGATGGGGGTACTTCCCCTTGTTTTGGTCCAAGGGCACTCTCCTTGAAGATACCGTGCACAAGTATAGCCTCTGAGGACTTAGAGTAATCTAAGATCGACCAAATGTCAATCCCGTTACAGCTCCACTCAGACTTAAAATGATTAACTGAAATTAGACTAATTAAACAATATCACTAGGAATGTCAACTGGTGTAGGATAGTTCTGCCTTAGGCACCAAGGGCATTGCCGAACAAATCCTGCAAACCATCACCTTCACCATACAACTGCCTCACTGCGCCTCTGTCAAACCTGAGAATTCTTTCTTAAATTATAACTCCGCATCCAATTTTAAGAGTGGCGTGTTTCATTCGCTCAAACAACTTTGTGTCACGTTGGAATGAACTGGGATCTTAACGGCGCGATCAAGAATGCCACCAACATTAACCTTCTCGGACATTCATTCCTTGAAAAGGAACGAGGCAATAGAAATTCTTACCCAGATATCGCGTATCGAGAAGAAGACATTCCCCACCAATGAGGCATTCGCCTTTGGAGAAGAATTGTGGAGAAAGAAGCCCAACACGCGAGTACTATACGCGACTCAAACCAGGGAGGGCAGTAAACCAGAGCTTATCGCCTATGGAGTGTATGTGCGCCAGAAGGGCGTTGCTCTCCTACACAAGGTCTGCGTGATAGAAGCCTGTCGACGACAGGGTGTTGGGCAGCAACTTATGTCCTACATTCAAGAGCGCCTGCGAAAGGAGGGCTGCCACTACATTCAACTGTGGGTAGACAAGGCCAGGGAACCTGCCCGGGCATTATATCAGCGTGGTGGATTCAAGGAGCAAGAGGAGATCCCTGACTACTATGCCCCTGGTCGGACGGGGATTCGAATGATCCTAGACTTGGAACGTGATGGGTGAAAGCCACCTGCAGCTATCCGAAGCCTGGCGGCATACCATACTGTAGTAGAACGTTTGGATCTGTTCTCCTACTCTTCTAGACACGACACGGTTCCTTGCCTGGTAGGCTCTTTGGAAATGTGACGAGGGGCAAGAAATCATGGGAGTGGTTGGGTCCTATACTCCTTGGCTGCAGAAGGAGCTACCCCTTGCTGCTTGAAACGTGAGCCCGAAGCTCCGACGCGCTGTCCCCATTCCCGGCTGTCACTTTGCACTCTGTTGCATACTTCGGTGACGTCGAGCATATCCAGGCATGGCTACACGCGAAGGGCATGCCTTGAATGGCTCCCTATCAGTCCCTTTGGCACGAGAGGGAGCGGATCTCCTTCCAAGAGATCATGGAGACGTTTCTTTCTCATCTTTGCTTTCTGTCTCTTTTCATCGTCGTGTTTCTATCTACCTGCGATTCTGAGTGCTTCTTCTTGGTTTGAATTGATCGTGTGAATTGGGGTAATTCTTGTCTTTCGTCGTGCCCGCTATACACAGTCTTATGGACTTGCTCCGGGCACCTCGATCAGACATGGCGCTTTTTCTTATTATTGTCCTGGCATTTGTATCCGCCGTTAATGCCGCGGCGCTTACAGCGAACTATCCCATCAATTCGCAATTACCTCCAGTTGCGCGAGTCTCCCAGCTCTTTCGATTTGTGTTCGCCGGTAGCACGTTCGCCAACTCAGACTCAGACACCAAGTATTCACTCTCAAATGCTCCATCGTGGCTGTCAGTGGACAGTGGCAGTCGCACACTTTCTGGAACTCCAGAATCCGGCGACACGGGCGCTAAGACGTTCAAACTGAACGCATCTAAGGGATCGGAGTCGGACAGCATGGATGTTACCCTTATTATAACTGCAGACGAGGGACCCACCGAGGGAAAGCCTCTTATACAACAGCTCGAAGCTATCGGCCCAGTATCCTACCCATCTACGCTTTTCATTCACCCCGGACGCCCATTTGCGATTGAATTCGACTCGGTCACTTTTCAGAATACTCATCCTTCAACGATATACTATGGCACTTCACCTAATAATGCCCCACTGCCATCGTGGATTAGCTTCGATCCTGCTGCTCTCAAATTCGTTGGAAATACACCACCTTTTCCAGGATCCGGGTCACAGGCTTTTACATTCCAACTCATTGCATCGGACGTGGCAGGATATAGCGCCGCTAATATGACCTTCCAACTTGTGATCGGCCCTCATATACTTGCATTCAATGAAACGGTGCAGGTATTCAACCTCACCAGAGGCGACAAGTTTACCAGCCCAGACTTCCAAAGTTTACTCTCCCTGGACGGTTCGCCGGTTTCGAGCTCAGACATGACGAAGATCGAGGCTAATCTGCCTGATTGGTTGTCCATCGATAATAAGACGCTTTCCCTGAGTGGCACACCTCCAAAGAATGCTATCAATCAGAATATCACTCTTACAATCACCGACAGCTACTACGATCAGGCGGATCTTATGGTGCGCTTGGATTTCCTGGAGCTATTCCTTGAGTCTGTTGAGGGTTGCGAAGCAACTATTGGCGAGGACTTTGAGTTCGTTTTCAACCAATTCACTGTAACGGACAACTCAGTGCAGCTCGATGTCAGTCTACCTGAAGACCTATCATCATGGTTGACCTACTTCCCGGATAATAAAACGCTATATGGCCATGTGCCGTCCGGTATGAAGCCGCAGAAGTTCAACATGTCTTTGACAGCGCACCAGGGCAATACAGAGGATGCGCATAATTTCGAACTAGATGTGCTCGAACCAGCTGATACTCATTCGAGCTCTGGGGATCCATTCTCGGACCAGTCTGGTCACTCTCATAAGAAGGCCGGGGTGATAGCCATATCAGTGGTGATCCCAGTTGTGGTAATCTTAAGCTTGATGATTCTCTTTCTCTGCTGGCGTCGCCGAAGAAAGACTATTACCGTGGAAGAGGGCGATGCGCAGGGCAAATCACCACCGCCGCGTCCTGCAAGGCCCGATATGCCCAACTGCCAGCCTGGCGGTACTGAAAGGGCCATACGAGACGACAACTCCGAAGACTGGGTGAGCAATATCTCTCCTACCTCGGATCTTCCCAAGTTGGAACTCGGACCTACGTGGAATGTTGCATCATTCGAGAAGCCACAGGATTCGATGGAGCCTATTCCAGCACCCAACCCACCACCACGGTCTCCCAAGCGAAGTGCCTTTGTGCCACTGCGAGATTCTATCATTGAGGAAGACAAACCGCTTGCGCGGTCTCCTGGCAAGAAACAAAGTAATCGTCTCTCCCATACAAACAGTCCTCCGGTACGGCGTCGCCGTTCTACCAGACGTGAGCCGTTGAAGACAATACAACCTCGGGCGATGAAGCGCGAGTCCGTGCAGTCATCTCGTTCCAAACGATACTCGAAGCGATCCAGCGGAATTTCCTCCGTTGCCTCTGGGTTACCAGTGCGTCTAAGCGGCGCTGGTCATGGTGCTGGTGGATTCGGTCCTCTTGGCCATGGGGTGGTCCACATGTCATGGCAAAACAAAAGAGGGTCAATGATGAGCGATGAGAACAGCATGATGAACATTGCACCACTATTTCCTCGACCCCCTGCCGCCGGCCGAATGAGACATAGCATAACATCCAGTATCCCCGAAAAGCGAGTTACACTACGTGCTGTGGAACCTGATGAATCTACCATCTCGGAAGCCGACTCCCTAGAGGCATTCGTGCACAGTCGAGCAAAGCACCGCAACTCCGCCAACCCACTTTTTTCTGCTCAGATCAGCCGTCGCACTTCTTCTGGTCTCCGTGCGCTGGACCGTGCACGCAGCATCCGGAGCCGCGCAGACACGGTATCTGTATCAACATTCACCGATGAATACCGACAATCTATTCAAGAACGCCCTCACTCTACTGCACTTTCTGTTTCTGAATACGGGGATGAGAACCGCATGTCTCATTACCAGACCGTTCAGCCACCCCACAACCTGTTCCCATTGGCTGAAGGAGGCAGTCAGAGTCAGCTGAGCTTGGCGCAAGATTACCGCGGTGTCATCTCTCCTCTTCCTCGATTCTGGAGTGAGAATAGCTTGAGCAGTGCTCGGCATGTGGACTCTGGGAATTACTCGAAGCCCGGTGAGGGATCAGCTATGCATCTTAGCTCATCCATTGTTTCTGATCTTGATGAGCATCTTTCGAGGAAGGCTAGTCCTCACAAGAACTCGAATAATCCGTTCTTGAACCCAACACTGGCCCGGCCATCCCCGATTCGCGATTTGAGTCATCGAGGGCTTCCTGTTGCTAGCAGTGGGGAGTTAGCATTTGTTTAGTTTAGTTCTGTCTGGCCTTTTTTTCAAGCATCTCATTGATTGTCTTACATTGTGGTTCAATTTTGTTTTGGAGTTTTGGGCATAACATGATATCCATTGGGTTTTTGATAGCTCTGTGGACTACTAGGTAGTCTTAGTTTAGTGATCCTGAATAGCACTGTTTGCAAATATTGCAATAATTCAAGTGGGCCTAGATCTATTGATAGAATCCAACAAAGGCTTAGCTGCATAGTACTAATAGTAATAGTGTAGAGTGACTGTGCATAGTGCATCCCTCGCATACTATTACTGAACTCCTAATGCTTCACCGGAGATGATTTCCCTTGTATGGTCTCATACAGAATTCAGATGCCCCAGATTCCTTAATGAAAAAATTACAGGGATTCTAACATTATAGTGATATTTGTACTTATTATTAGTGATTTTAATTTAATCTAATATATGTCTTATTTGTCTTATTATCACCTCTATTCCTCATATTAGCCTATTTCTTTGGGCATCTACTAGGCAGTCAAGCACACGACTTGTATGTAATGTCACGGGAAATCTCTGCCTGGCAGAAACACGATCTCACCAAAATCCTTTTTTCTCTCCTTTTCTTCTAGATTTCCTCCTTTCTCTTTATATTTTAAATTCACTTTTCATCTCTTCATCTTCTACTGTATTTTCCTCTTTTTCCCTTGATTCATCTTCCCCCAGAAGCCCTAGATCGTCATTGTTCCCCACTCGGCAGGCGACTTATCGCGGGACCCAGAAACGCGAAAGACCTTCCTCACCTGACCTTGTTCCTTTCTCCTCTCCCACTCTCATCTACTTCACTCCGATTTCCCTCCCCCCTCTGTATTTCCAATCCGTGCCATTATGGGTCAGACCTTATCGGAACCCGTGGTTGAGAAGGTGAGCTTCAATTTTCCTTGCCCCTCCCCAAACCCCCTTTGCCTTTTTCCCCAATCCGAGGCACATCAGCCACATCAGCCCTCCCCCCCCCCCCGGACTCCCCGCCCACATATCTCCCCGATCTGGATCTCAGACTCGATATCTGGTTCTTGAGCTTGGATTCTATCTTGTTGATATTGAATCGGGCGCAATTCCCTACTTAGAAATGTCTGATTTCTTGAGGTGGAATCCGATATGCGGGGTCCGCTGACTTGGAGGGGCTGAGATCGCTTCGGCAAGAGGCCCTCGAGAACCCAGAATTTCGCCCCCAAGAATACTGAGATTTATCTATCATATTGAAAACTTCGTGGATTTCGTTTCAGAGACCTGGTTTAACTAATTATTTTTCTCTTGATTTAGGTGTCTTCCGAGGGCGAAGATGACTGCTGCTTGTACGGTGTCTCTGCCATGCAAGGATGGCGAATTAGCATGGAAGATGCCCACGCCGCCGTCCTCGATCTTCAAGCGAAGTACTCCAACAAGGATGGCAAACCGACAGATCCGGCCGAACGTCTAGCCTTCTTTGGTGTTTACGATGGTCACGGTGGTGATAAGGTTGCGCTGTTTGCTGGAGAACACCTCCACCGAATTGTGGCGAAGCAGGATGCTTTTGCCAAGGGAGATATTGAGCAGGCTATGAAGGATGGTTTCCTGGCTACTGACCGGGCCATTTTGGAAGGTTAGTCTTTGTGTTGATTTGGGTTATATAGAGCCCTTTTCTTCGTCTGTGCGGTCCTCTTCATTTGAATAGTTTAACTGATTGCGGGTGTGTGTGATACAGATCCTAGATATGAAGAAGAAGTGTCTGGCTGCACTGCTTCAACTAGCATTATCTCAAAGCACAAGATCTGGGTGGTATGTACACAGTGTTTAGGATGGTGAATGAGCAAATACTGACATGAGCAGGCCAATGCTGGTGATTCCCGCTCAGTTCTGGGTGTGAAGGGCCGTGCTAAGCCACTCTCATATGATCACAAGCCCCAGAACGAAGGTCAGTTTATAACGGGAGCAATCTCTCATGTCAATTGCTAACACCCAGATAGGCGAGAAGGCCCGTATTACTGCAGCCGGTGGTTTCGTCGACTTTGGCCGAGTTAACGGCAACTTGGCCCTATCCCGTGCCATTGGAGATTTCGAGTTTAAGAAGAGTGCCGAGTTGTCTCCTGAGCAGCAGATCGTGACCGCGTACCCCGATGTGACCATGCATGAAGTGACTGAGGATGATGAATTCCTCGTTATTGCCTGTGACGGTACGTTATACCCTCAAATGTCTCTTTTGAACTAATCTCATATACCTCCCATTATCTAGGTATCTGGGACTGCCAGTCCTCTCAGGCCGTGGTCGAGTTTGTGCGACGAGGAATTGCTGCCAAGCAGGACCTATACCGGATTTGCGAGAACATGATGGATAACTGTCTGGCTTCCAATAGCGAGACCGGTGGTGTTGGATGTGATAACATGACTATGACTATCATCGGATTGCTGAATGGCAAGACCAAGGAGGAATGGTACAACCAAATTGCAGAGCGGGTTGCGAGCGGAGACGGCCCTTGTGCTCCGCCCGAGTACGGCAAGTCTCACGAGGAACCCGAAGGAAGCCCCTCTTCGTGCTGACGGTCAGAGTTGCGCACAGCCGAATTCCGAGGCCCCGGGATCCGGAACCAGTTTGAGGATCAGCTCGATGACTATGACTTGGAGATGGATCGTTCGCGGGCTTTCAATGAACGTGCGGGTCGGATCATTCTGTTGGGAGATGGCACCGAGGTCATTCCGGATCATAATGAGGAGGAGTTGTTCGACCAGACAGAAGATCAGGATCTGGTTAACCAGGTGCACCCAACTGATTCAATTCGGAATGATCGTGAAGCCACCCCTGGACCTCAAAGCAAGAACGATGCCTCTCAAATATCCGAGTCCCCGGCTTCCACTGACGACAAGGACAAGTCGACGTAGTTTGTTTTTCTCTTTGGATCCTTTGCCCACCCTTAGCAACGACTTTGTTCCCTGTCCTCTTGTTTTGGCTGTTTGAATTTCCCTCTCCTTTCCTATTGTCCTCCTCCTTGTTTCGACTTACCTCCCACCGTTGTCTCCGCCCTTTTTTCACGCCTTTTCTTTTTATTTTTCTCTCTAGTTATCTTCGGGTTGTCTTTTTGAGCTCCTCTTATTCAGGTGCCCACCTTGGGGATGGATTCGGGTCAATGTGAAATGGGAACAAAGAAATGGGAAAGGGAAGAGACAACATGGGGTTTGAAGATGGATTAAGGCCCTTTGCCGGGAGCCATGGGCCTTTGATGAGCACGTCCTGTCTTTGATTTTTATTATGCCTTCACACCCACGAGATACCGCAGAAAATGCCCCCGCTATTGACGAACCATTACACGTTTTTCTTCTTTGCTCTCAAGTTCCTACCTAGAAATGATTTGGAGGAACTGACCAGACTGGAATGTGCCTGGATTATATGAGCTGAAGGAGAAGAATTCCCTGGATGTTCTAAGGTAGACCTGTTTATTAGCAGAGGAGTTCCGGGAGATGGTGTGTCCTACTATACAATGATCCTTTGATGGAGTATCAGGAGAGAATATAGGATACTAAATACTCTATCTACTTTTATCAGCATTTTAAATGCTCTATATAGTATAGTATAGTATATAATAGATATAACTAGTAGACTTGATAGACTTGACCAGATCTACAAGGATCATCTAGTACCAAGTTACGCCCCCACTCTTTTCTCTATGATCCCCAATAAGAAAATTACCCCCTAACCGGTTCAACCCGCTTCTACTTTTTCTCTAGCTAAGCTCCTTCCAAGGTTCTTCTCTCTACTTCAAGTCCAAAACAAAAAATGTCTTCTACCTCTCCAGCTGGTAAGCGCAAACGAAGCGCCTCACATCTCCCTATCCCTCAACCTACCACCGACATTCAACCCTCTTCACGCGACGCGTCCGGCGAAGAAGGCGAAGACTCAACCGGTCCATCCAATGCGCTCCCTAAATCCAAGAAGCATGATGTTACTCCTCACAAACGCGCCCGCAAAAGCTCTGGAGATGACTCGGCTGTGACGAATGGCGTCGCTGATGCCATGAACAAGGAGGATCCCCGGGGAACCCTCGGAGACTACCTTGGCTTCGTCTGATATTGAAAACTTCCCCAGATCTCGTCCTGGTCTGCATATTGAGTTGCCCTCCGATCAGGATTCTATGCCTCCGCCGCAACGTGGTGTCTTGCAGGACCCCGTTGGATATAAGACGAACCCGCCGCCGGTGGGTAGGCCGGTTCGTGTTTATGCGGATGGTGTCTTTGATCTGTTTCATCTTGGGTATGTTACTGGATTGATTGTTTTTTTTGTGCAATGGATTTGGATGGAATTTGAATACTTGGGATTTAAAAGTTTGACGGCATGATGGGAATCAGGGTTTCTCTGATGGTGTTGAAGTTGCTATAGGTGGCCAGATGCTAACAATCTTCCAGTCATATGAGACAGCTTGAACAGGCTAAGAACGCCTTCCCCGATACCTACCTCATTGTTGGAGTCACCGGTGACGAGGAAACACACCTCCGTAAGGGTCTTACTGTCCTGAGCGGTGCCGAGCGAGCCGAGACCATCCGGCACTGCAAGTGGGTGGATGAGGTTATCCCCAACTGTCCCTGGGTAGTGACTCCGGATTTCCTGTCGGAGCACCAGATCGACTATGTTGCCCACGACGATCTACCATACCAGGCTGCGGAGGGTGATGATATTTACGAGCCTATTAAGGCTCAGGGCAAGTTCCTGGTTACCCAGCGAACGGAGGGAGTCAGCACGACTGGCATTATCACTCGGTGAGATCTCAATCAAATCATTACGATCTTACCGTAGTGTCGATTATACTGACAATCGATCTCTACTAGCATCGTCCGTGATTACGATCAATACATCTCCCGCCAATTCAAACGCGGCGCATCCCGCCAGGAACTCAACGTCAGTTGGTTAAAGAAGAACGAGTTGGAAATCAAGCGTCATGTCGTGGAACTCCGCGACAACATCAAAAACAACTGGACCATGACCGGTCAGGAACTTGGTCGCGAACTGCGCCAAATCTGGCAGAACTCTCGACCTAGTTCCCCAGCCCCGAGTACCCGGAACAGCGTGGACTACGGTAGTGCCCGTGGACCTCTTGCTAGTCCGACTGGTGGGGCTAAATCACATCTGTCGAGGGTGGAGGCATTGAACCGTCCCGATAGTCCTATGGGTGGTGCGCGCAATGAAGACTTTGCGACTGGCTACAGCCTAGGATTGATCGGGGGGAGTTCGAGCATGGGTGAGTCTGAGTCCTACTTACGAGATTATGAATCCCTGCTAACTGAGTACAGATGATGCGTAGTCGTCAATCCCTTCAGGAACCTCCTAGCCAGATGCACTCACCCACAGAAGAGGAAGAACCTGGTTCGGAACAGAACGGGTTCGAAGAAGAGCCTCGTGGACGTGTCAAGGCTTAGATATAACTCAAGTGATATATCTATGGATCTGGATCCTATTGCATTTTTCTCATCGCTATCGCTTCTTGCATTCGGTTCATGTCTTATACTTTGATCTTTCCCCAAATTGCTGGCGATGTTTTTTGGTGTTGGGCGTTTTTCTTCTTCCCTAATATTCTGAGCCTTTTGTTCTCTTGGATTCAAAGTCGGTGCACTGTCACTTCAACTTACTGAGTACCTGTGTGGTTGACTGTTCTGGATTATATACACGTTTAGTTCTTTTCGTCCTTTCGGCTATGGCTTGGATTGAGTCGGTTCGAATCTAGATTGGGATAATGCAAAAGCTTGGGTTTGGCTTTAAGTATTGTATAGATTAGATTTTGCTTCGGATGTTGGTTAATGTCAACTGGTTTTGGAAGTCAGACTGGTGGTGCTACATCCATGGATATTATATGATAGTATCAAGTTGTGCACATGTGTTGAGTGAAGTTTCTTTTATTCCAAATAACTGGATAATCTTTCAAAAAATGGATAAACAAAATGACTCGGATTTATCATGAATGACCGTGGGCTCGGGCTCTTTTTAGCTGACGGAGTCTTCCCTGCATTGACCGAGTGCAGCTCCTTCAAGTTCAGCTGGTTTTGCCTTCTCTTGCATCCGATGTCTATATCGAACAATGGAGGGCCGAGTTCTCTTCCTTCTCCTTTCTTAACTGGTCCATCATATGAATGAATACATAATTATGCCTGGGTAGCCCCTGGTTCTTGTTCCTGACTTGTTCCTGTTGGGGATCACGAGCAATTTGCGCCTCTGACTGCGGTGTGTTGATCCCAGATTGACGCTCTTTGCTTTCTTAGGTCTCTTGCACCAGCCCACAATCTGTATTACTCGATGTGGAAAGAATTGACCAGCTGCAACATAAGTTCCGAGTTCGAGGCCGACTCGGAATTTTCTTCTAACGGGCAATAGTTGGGCAGTATCTCGTCCAAAAATGATCCACGCGGTCTTCACGGCAATTATGAACAACTGCGTCCATGTATTTGCCTAATCAATCTGCGCTGATTCAACTGTGTGTGACGAAAATGTAGTAAGTGTATGATCTTGTTCATCGGAGATATAAAATACCTTACTAGTGAGTGCCATGATGGCAGGGTTTCCGACGTAAATCGAGGATGATTTCGACAATCGGTGAGCCCCAACAGATCTCGATTCCATCAATTTCCCCCACAAAGGAATCGGCCGGGATGCCGTTTGGGAAGTCAAACGTCCGTGGCATGATGTCAGTTGGTATGAGAGAGTTGATAGGTATGGAGGATGTTGAAATGGAGGATGTAAAGATTCTAAGTTATAAGATGCACATGTGAGTAACTAAGAAATAAAAACAGGCTGTAAAGCCCGAGGAGAAAGCGCAAAAAGCGATGGTTCAGTTGACTGCTGAGGCAACGCAGCAGGGCAAAGGACATTCTACCTACCTGTATCGGTGCAACCGAATTTCCTATGATGAAGTTAATACTAAGATCTTGGAATTCATCATAGAGGTGGAAACAGGAAAACCATGAGCATGAGGATTGTTTACTCACCCCAATCATGGAGCGCTTTTTCTTGCGCTTCACTGCTTCACTGCTTCACTGCTGACGGAATATATGAATGGAAGCATATTTGTAACACCGCATTTTCCCTGTAGACTGCAAATTTGAGTGTTTCGTTCCCTTAGTTTCCAGTCCACCTTGATTCAAGGCCTGCGCGCATTGCTTAAAACACCCTTTTGCTAGTCATGATTAGCATATTGATAGAAGTATGAATGCTTGGAATGAGGAGCTTACTAAAAGGCAAGCGAGTTGTAAGTCGTATGACATTGATTAGCTTCTACCTGTGGTCAGGATTTTGGTTGATGGTGGTGACCCTGCATAGTGTAAGACGAATCGAAACCATAGCCATGATGGTGATGATTACCGTGTAGACATGTAGACGCGAAAAGTTGGGGGTTGATAAGGAAAGATTGACTGCGATTAGAAGTGTGTAATAGGTGTCAACACCATTGGTCTCAAGGTGCCATGTTTGCGCATAGACTAAGTGTGTGTTGATTTCTAGCTCTTCTCTTAAGCTAAGGTTACCCTACATAGATGAAGTGTACCACCTGGGCATCACTACTATGTAAGTGAACTACCTCTCACATTCACTAGTTTCAACTCTCTTCAGTGCAACACTTGATTTCAATTCCCATAATAAATACCATAGTACATGGCAGTTGACTCTGACAGTTAAAAGAAAAAAGAATACAGGGCTCTGAACTAAGAATCTCTAGTAAGGCTTAGCTCTGCCATGTGCAGTGCAGCTTTGCGACATACACATGCAGTTTCTTCAGAAATCCCTTCAGCCTTTTCCCCTCCAAACGCACGGAATCCTGCTTCCCAATAGTCCCACAGCTCACGTGAAACAATACCTTCCCATTTATACAGAGGAAGGTCTGCTGTTTTGGTGGGCTCCTCGGGTTCCCGGGTCAAGAACTCAAGTTCTGCTTTCTGGAAGATGATCTCTCTGGAATGTTCGATCCACTGTGCGGCTGCACAGATTTGATAGTCCTGAGTCTCCCATTCACGAGTTCTGTACATCTCATGGGATAATCGTTCTTCGAAAGCGTAACGCAGGGCTATTATAGCAAAGCTGATCCATCTTTCTGTGGTGGAATGGGTCAACCAATTTGGCAGGCCCGTAAACCCCGACTGGAGGAGCCGCGCCGAGAGTGCAAAGAAGTTGATTCCTTGCTCGGTCGGGTCAAAGGCGCAAGAGTCGGAAGTCCCTATTGAAGCATTAGTTATGCTGATAATTCTGTCAAATGAGTATAGACTGGTTCTTACCGTCCCACTCATCCCACCAACATACTCCTATGAAAGGCAAATCTGCCCAAATGCGAGCCTTTGCCTACAGTCGGTCCGCTTAGTTAGTTTGATTTGACAAAGACTTGAAGCTAAGACTGACACTCACCGTCTCCCAACCGTTGAATTCCTCTGATGGCAACAATGTCAATTCTCTGATCAAGGAAACCAGTTTCTCCTGTGATGGGTGTTGATAAGGAATTTGCTTGCAAATAATTGTAAAGAAGACCCAGATCTCCCTCAAGTAGCTTTCTGGTTCCTCAACATCCTCCTCACCCCAGGCCTCCCGCTTAATAGGAGTAAGCTCATTTATCTGAAAAGCCGCTTCAGTGAGGGACATATGGCTGGCTGGCTGCAGGAAGTCGTTGATTATAGCGAAATTATTTTGCTCGATGAGCCAGGGGTCATCGTCTTCTTGAGACTTGAGGCGAAAATTAAGCGTTGCAGTCATTTTAGTGGATAAGAGTAATAATCCGAGCAGTGGATGAAGGAAGATTCATTGATTAAATTTGAAGAAAACTCAAGCACTTGAGTGCTTGAAGATTTGCGCCGGTACGTGAATCTATACAGAACTAATAAGAGGAACTGCCTAAGGGTGCGGGCCATGTATCAAATCGCGCGCGCTTCAACTTGAAACACTCACCTGGGCAAGTGCTGCGTTAACATTTGAACATAAGTCGAAGGATTTTAGCCTCTGGTCTATTTAAAAGTATAAGATACATATTGTGTATCTCACCTTACCTTTTATTAATCTTAAATCTGTTCTAAACTGTAATATTGTAGTGTCTTTAGTTTATCAAGCGAATAGCATCAAATTTAGATTGTTAGACTTCTAATCTCGATCTGAGCATGTATGAGTCTTTCCAGGCTGCAATGGGTATCGTCAATATAATCAACCTTGGAATATAAGGAAAAAAAGAACTTCATCCAGGTCCTAGGTATTTCACTCAGCAGTAATCAACCTTGGCCCAGTAACATCACGACTTTCCTCCCTCAAAGCCTCCAACGCACAAGCTAACTTGAAATCCTTTAATCCTAACTCCATCTCCCCCAACTCAACACCCATTTTCGAACACATAATCATCCTCAACTGATCCCTCAAGATCCCCGCATCCCTCACCAACTCCCCTTCAATGACTCCCTTAACCACAGGATCACATCTCGCTGTAACCGCCATCTCAAACGCATCCAATCCCCTCACACTGAGCAACGGTAAAACCCACGCTTCAGTGAGTATCAAGGGAATCCGTTGTCCCGCAACAACAACGACTCCTCCACCCCCTCTGGTCCCAGTAAACCTCCCAAGATCAATACTTAATCCCAGTTCCCGTAATCCAGTCATACCAGAAACCACAGCCCAGAACTCAGTCCATAACGCATCACTATGCGTGTGTGCGTATATTGATCCTTTATGATCTTGTCCTGATAAAGGTTGCCAAACAGGCATCCATTGGACTGATAATCGTCGAATCGTATTAAGTAACACTGGTCCGATCGATGAGGCAAACGCAATAAATGTATATAGATCATCCACGTCAAATGTATTTTGTCGATAAAGTAGATCGATACTTTCAGCATAGATAGCCCGACAACTAAGTAGTAGACCTAGGCTACTAGAACTCAGATTTGATGGAAGTGAGGTATGTGTATGTGGATAAAGTAGATCGGATTGTGCATGTCCTGATCCTGGTGCCGTGGGATTCTGGATTCGCCATCGTGCAGCTGTTGCGGGACAGCAGTTTCGGTGTTGAGTTAAAGAGGTAGAGTGACTGCAGCGAACGTGACGGATTTTGTTCTTTACCGTTACGAGGCGAAGGGTTTCGGCGCCAAAGACGTAGCTCCAGATCATTTGACGAATCTCGGGTGGGAGTTTGGAAAGGAGATTACATTCTGCTTGGGGATGGGCTGGGAGTGAGAGATTTGGTGAAATTGATTCTTGGATTGGTGAACAGATCTTGCGCTCTTGGATTAAAGTGCGGATTGTATCTTGCCATCGTCGACCTGTAGAATAATAGTGGAAGATTGAGTAGGGGTCTCGGACGACCCAGGCGTCAAAGTGGCGCATTTTGACTCGGTGTGGCTGGAGTATAGAGTATAGAGTCAATGCTATCAATGTTCTATTGCATCTTTACTCTGTATGAACTGAATTGCGGGGAATCGATATCCACAAAAGAAAAATGGGGCAGTGGGCTTTTAATACTCCACATTATGAAGTCTTCTTTAATCTCCATAATAAATCCAATCAAAGAACTCGGGCAAACCCGGATTATGCTGCAACGTTATGACGTCGGGAAGACAGATGCGGACATAAGGAGGAGTAAAGTAGGAGGAGAGTACTCCGGATTAGAACTATTACTAGGTAGTAAACTAGTAAATACCACTACTGCACACTACGCGTCAGATAATGATCTGTGCGTTCTTAAACCCAGAGCTTCATTGTTGCTTCAAGCTTACACAGAGAAAGAACTCAATGCATCTCTACTACTACTATACTCGTGTCTCATTGAGCGCCTCCTCATCACCATCCTTGAATTGCGGCTGATCATCCTCCTCCACCACTGAATCCGGCTCCGATCGTCCCTCCTGCAGGAGCGCCACATAAATCGCACAGGCCAGGATGAGCACTGACCCCGCCGCACTCACTGGAGACAGTGTACTCCCCCCACACCACCTTATCATAAAACACCGCAAATACCATCTGCGTATACACCATGCTTGTCGCCCGCGATCCTTGTCCTGCTTTACTCGAGGCAACTTCCCGAGGAGGAACGTAGGATAACCCAGCGGTTAACAGGAACTGGAGTAAGAATCCACAAACACCAAGTCCGGCCAGAAGTGTCCACTCGATCACTGTGGTTGGGACTCGAAATGGGATCCAAGGGGTAATCATCGCTGCCAATGAGATGATTGTTGTCACACTGGAAAAATATGTTACCGATACGAGGGGGTGTGCTCGTTTTCCAATCATTCGGATAGAAGTGTAAGCGCCTGCTGCACCGAGAACTCCAATAAACGCGACGATCGTCGCGAAGATATGTTGAGTGGAGTCACTACCAGGACGAGCTGACTCCTCTCCGGTTTCTGTGTTATCACGAGTACGGAATGGTCGTGCGATCAGTACCACACCCGCTAGTGAAACTAGTGCTGCGAGTTGCTGTCGCTTAGAGAATGTTTCGCCTGGTATTAACAATGAACAGGCATAGCAAGTTAATATCGGTGCGAGGAAGGTCACAACGGTTGCTTCAGCCAGCTCAAGGTATTGAACTGAGTAGTACATCCCGTATACACCCAGAAACCCGCATACAGCGCGAGTAATAAGAAGGCCTAGTACTTCGCTTGTACCGAATGGTGAGGGTACACGTGCGTACCACATGTAAATGTAGCTTGCTAGTGCGGTGATAGACATTCGGGCGAATAGAATCTGTCTGAGTTAGTAAGAATATTGCAGGGATGTGGAATCAGCCGCGATTTCAGTACTAGTGCCAGCACTCGAACGCAACTTGGGCTTTGCTAGATTCTTGCACTGTCACGATACCCGTACAGAGTACAGCACTATCCATCGCACTGACTACCATGAACATTTCAAACCCACCTGAAAAGGATGCATGGAGCTTTGAATCTCCAATAACTGCGTCATAACATTCATAGATGCTCCAAACGCCTGCGCAAGGAGCACTAAGAACATCCCCTTATTCCGTAACCAGAAAACTCGAAGTTTCGCCTGCCATGCATGCCGCGGCCTAGCAGCCTCCGCTACCTCTTCCCATTCACCATCGGCTAAAGGACGCGGCTCGTATTCTACTAGCGATGGTCGCGAAGACACACGCGAGCATTCGTCATCGTGGTAGGGCTCGATCGGCAGGGGTGCGTCCGGGTGGTCGTCGGTTGAATTTGAATCCGGTGGGGCGGATTGAGACATGAAGATTTTTGTAGAACCGAACCCTGGTATGACAGGGTAGGTACTAAGGCGGAATTGATATATAGGATACTTTTGGAATAAAGAAATAACCCTCGAATTGGGGAGGGGTGGAATATAAGGTGAATATGGATTACCTATAAGATCATATCGGTGAGAAGTTCTCATGACAAGTGGATCCTGGATCATCGGTCTGATGATCATTATGACTCTGATCTTATAAATTCAATTTATTCAGCTTTAGGCATCTGTATGTACTTTCAACTCTGTGTTACATTTAGTACATTTTCATTTACATATTCAAGTCGCAAGGCGTGTCGATCTCTACATAAAACGACATACATAGCTGCCTACATAGTAGCCTACAGGTACTCTGTAGAGTCTGGATCAACTCACTGTAATAACAAAAGTACACCAGATGATGGATCTACATAACTAGCAAAATCGTGCATATATACAACACCGTGACTGAATCCTTCAAACAAATGTAAAGGTATCACCCCCCTTCTCTCGCAACATATTCCCCACACGAGATGTTCCCACCACACGTTCCAACTTCATCGCATCCCATTTAGAAAATAACACTCGCACACCTCCCTCCGCAGCTTCAACTAACTCCGCAGGATCAAGTCCTAAGTAACCCACAATCTCACAGTAAAATGTCGGGTTCTCAGGCAACCCATACATAATCACGCGTTTCACTCCGCGGATCTGATACCGGCGGAAATGGTGAGCGCGCTCAGTGTACAGCAAAACCGAGTGTCGTCCATTCATGAAATGGCTTCGCGCCCGAGACATATCTCGTGTCTCGGTGTACTCGGAGATCGCGCTGAACGAAACATTCGTCGTTTGAGCCGAGGTGGCGAAGTGGTTGCGCACGCGCACGAAATCCAGGTACGAGGGGATGAAGATCAGCGTGCCTGCGCTGCCTGCACCGCGTCCTGTGATGTTCTTCACTAGAGTAGATAGTACTGTTGTCGTAAAGTGCTTGAATCGCGCATCCGGGTCTTTCGCGGGTGAGAGACTGTCGACTCGGGAGAAGGTCTGTTTCACTGAAATTGGCAATGGAAGCTCGGTGATAGCTCCGGCGTATACTGGGGTAATCTTGATTCGGCCAGAAGCGTTGCGCATTTGGCTGGAGAAAAGAGAGTTGATCTCGGGTGTGATAAATGAGGAGAGCATGATTGTCTGTCGTACGTAGCGCGCTTGGTCGTCCAGGTACCAGTTGCGTACGCGGCTGAAGTCGCAGCCGTGGGTTTCCTTGGGTTGCAGGTTCAGGTGCTGGAAGATGTAGGACATGTGGTCCCAGTTTTGCATGAGAAGGGCATCGGCGTGGTCCACGATAACCACTTCAATTGATGAGAGGAAGTCATAGTCTCGCTTTTTGGCGCTGTTTGGGGTTAGCAGTGTCCTAGAGTTCATCACTAGTAGGGTGGTAGCACTTACTCAGCCTGGTCCAGAATTGTTCGCAATCCCAGTGGACTAGCCAGAATCACATCTGAGCTGTAGAATTGTGCGAAATACTTCACCGTCTTACGGGTGAATTTCAATCCCAGTCGGAACATATCGTCATTGTTACCGCCGAACAACTCCAGTGCATCCTCGGTCTTGTGGTTCCATCCTTCGTCGGACGCAGAGAATGTATCAGTGAACCGTTTCTTGTTCTCCTGCTGGTCGGCATGGTAGAACTTAGTGATCGAGTTGACAACCCGCACGCAAGCCTGTCGAGTCGGAAGAATATACAGGACCTTGGGTCGGGTAAATCCTTGGTCTCGGCACTCAACATCTGTGTCGGGGTCCTTGGCTAGACGGGCATTGTTCTTGAGGACCTGGTCTCGGGTTTTGATGAGATGGTTGACTGTGTGGAGGGCCATGACGTCGCGCATAGCGTCTGCAGTATCTGTGGAGCGGGCGCCATAGAGAACATCCTGGTAGTCGAATACATATGGTGCGATATTCTGGGCGGAGCTGTGGATGGTTGGGAGGAACTCGGCAGCGCGTGGCTTCAGCTTGTTCTTGATCTGATATTTGTTAGCTTAGAATTCATATCTCATATTAGCAGAGGTCATACCTTAAGATTGGCTGTGGTCTTCATCGCAGGGAGTAGTGAGACCCTATCGCCAGTATCAGGGACTGTGCGCACCAGTCGCATACCATCCACTTCCTTCTTTGCCGAGGCCCATTTGTTGGCATCAACTTGCTTCGCTTGCTTGGTAAGTTCTGTGCCTTCTCCAATGTTGAAGTGCTTCTCAAATGGCCCAGTCGCATCATCATCCTCATCATCCTGGCCCTGTTCATCTTCTTCTTGCTCATCGTCTGATGGCAATTGAGTCTCCAGCGCATCGTCCTCTACTTCTTCTTCCTCCTGCTCTGACTCGTCATCCTCCTCATCGACTGCACCCGGCGCATCTGACTTCTCGTCGGTAATCTTTCTCCGTTTCCGAGCTGGTCCCTTCGAATCCGTATTGGCGTGCAACAATTGAAGCAATTCGTTGTATGGGCGAGCTGTAGATTTCTCCTCCTCTTCATCACTAGAAGACTCATCATCCATCATAGTATCATCTTCAACATTATCCTCCACTGGACTGTTGCTTTCTTCGCCGGAGGATTCATCCGACCTGCACAAGTTAGCTACTTCCTCTAAGCTATGTACCAGGATGATAGACTCACTCAACCTCATGTAATCGCGAAGAGGTAAAACCTCCACGACCGCGACCACGACCACGACCACGACCTGGTCCTCCTCGATTTCCGCGACCTCTTGATCCGCCTCTTCCTCTAAAAGGCATGATGAATTGTAGTTGGTAGTGGTGGTTTACATGTAATTATAATTTTTTTTCTTCAATGTCAAATTCAAGGTCCGTTGCTTATCTTATCTTAGCGCGAAAATTCCCACACACAAAGAATCGGAACCCAACACGACCAAGTAACTCCACTCTGCAAAGGAAAAATTGTCCCTCCGAAGTCTCCAAGATCGTGAGAGTGTGACCCGTATTCAATTTACCCTTTTCCTTCCCCCTCAATTATCCCCCCCATCATGGCCGACTCTTTCCTGCACCTTGCCCGTCCTTTGGGCCCCGTCTCTGTGGGGACCGCTCCCACCACTGCCCCTCTGAACGTGGTGATCCAGCCGCAGGTATGTATCTCCCCAATGATGTTAGGGCCTAACCTCCCACCTGGCGCTAACTGATTTCCCTTCTAGGCTATCTTCTCTATTCTCGACCATTCGCTTCGCCGTAACGCCGATCAGGAACGTGTCATCGGAACACTGCTGGGAACACGATCGGAAGATGGAGGCGAGGTTGAAGTGCGCTCCGCGTTTGCCGTGGGCCACTCCGAGGCTGAGGATCAGGTCGAGGTCGATATGGAATACCACAAGCAGATGCTCGCCCTGCACTTGAAGGCCAACCCGCGCGAGGTTCTCGTCGGTTGGTACGCCACCGCTTCCGAGCTCAACACTTTCTCCGCCTTGATCCAGAACTTCTACAGCGGTCAGGGTGATGGCACATGGCCTCACCCCGCTGTTCACCTTACTGTCTCTACCGAGGCTGGCAAGGACCTCGAGACCCGTGCTTATATCTCCGCCCCCGTTGGTGTCACCGCTGAGCGGGCCGCCGACAGCGCCGCTTTCATTCCTGTTCCCTACGAGCTCCGATACGGCGAGGCCGACAAGAGTGGTCTTGAGGCTATTGCCAATGCGAAGGATTCTGAGGAGCGCTCAACTTCCGTCACTACTGATGTTGAGGCTTTGGAGCGTGCGATTGAGGAGGTCATCGCTATGATTGACCGTGTTTCACGATACGTCGAGTCTGTTATTGATGAGGAGGCTCCTGCTTCTACTGCTATGGGCCAGTTCCTGCTGAATGCTCTTGCCCTTGCTCCTAAGGTTGAGCCCGCTGATATTGAGCGTGACTTGTATGTTACCTTTTCTCCCCCATACTATGTTAATTTTCATACTAACTCGCAATTAGCAACAACCACATCCAGGATGTCCTGGTTGTTTCTTACCTCGCCAACACCATCCGCACACAGATGGAGCTGTCTAACCGACTAGCAACTGCTCAGCTTACCCTGGGCGGCGGCGAGGCCGCTAAGGAGGGTGGTGAAGGCCAGCGCAACAACAACAACAACCAGCGTAAGGGTGGTCGTAATCAACGTCAGGACCGTGCCCCTACCGAGGAGGCCCGCGCATAGACAGTTATGACAGAGAAAAAAAACGATGCATGATATGATTCTCGTGAAGCTACCACTTCGATGTTTCTTATGTCTCGAGTCCTTATGGGTATTTTATATGTTTTCTATTTCCGTTCAATTTTTTTTTCCTTTCGACCTCGGGAGACATTCGAGAGATACAATTCGGTTTTTCTGAGATATACAATCCTCTGCATTCTCTCAGCGTGGCTCTGATAGCCTTGACAAAAGCAATGTGGCGCATTGGTGTGATCTGCTTTGCAGTCAGATCATTTGAGGAGGTCCTGCGTATGCAGGGTGGAGTTGCAGACTATGTTAAGAGGATATCCCATATCCCGGGTATGTCCCGGTTTCACGAAGTCGCATCTTACTTGGGCGCGGCGTTTAGTTATGATGAAATGGACATAAAATGTTAGACCTGAAGTGTTGTAGTAGTACCTTATCAAGGTAGCATGCCCAGGTCAATGAGATTGAGAACAGATATTTATCTGTTCTATATCAATGGACCCTGATATCCACTTAAATTACTCTAGTATACTTAGTAGATCAGGATGATCTTCTTTAGACTCATAATATCAGACTGACTGAACTCGGCCCTTCTAGGTGGAATCGGTTTCAAGGGAACTATATCAATTTTCAAAATACTGGACCAGATGGGTTCTAAGTTCTAACTATACTAAAAATATGGACTGTTCCTGCTGGCTTTTGGGTATGTTCATCAATCTCCATGTACCACTCAACGCACCACAATCCCCTTCATGCTTCCCTCATCCCTCCACTTCTCAATAACATCTATCCAATTCTCAATCCCCCACCCCCAAACACTAGACCGTGCCAAAATCATCCTCTTCTCGGGTGGCACCTTCTCGATATCCCCCTCTAGGTTAAGGTACCCCGGCGTACACCCAGCCATTACACCAAAAGGTGCTGAACGCATTATAACCTGCATCGCCCACTCCTCCGTCGCCTCCACAGACGGCGCAACAGCAAACTTAGCACCCTTAGCCCGGCGATTACATTCAGCCAAAATATATGCAGTGTGCTTGGCGAGTTCGTCCAGGTTGAACCGGTAGTTCCCACTAGTGGATGCTTGTTGTGGCCCGGATAGAAACAAATTTGGGAACTTAGCATCAAGGACCCCGTGTAGTGTTGCTGGACCTTTCACAGCCCATTCCTCACTCAAGGATACCCCGTTCACGCCGATCATAGTCATGTTGGCTTTTTCGGCTGGCGATCCAGAGGGTGGAGCTTGGTATCCTGTTGCGAAAATGATCACATCCACGTTATATTTCCGATCTCCTATTATCAGTCCTTCGGGCTTGATCTCGTCGACTCCTTTGCCGTCGGTATCGATCAGTGTCACGTTGGTCCGATTGAATGCCTGCAAATAGTCGTCGTGAAATGCAGGTCGTTTGCACCAGGTTGGATACCAGGGTTTGAGTTTCTCGGCGATGATGGGATCGTGCACTTGCTGATCCACACGAGCTCGGATACGATTCTGGCGTGGTGTATCCAGTTCGATTAACCGTGCTCTGTATGCTGGAATTTCATCTGGTGTCATTGGTCCATTTGGATGACCCGTCAAACCAAGTAAACCAGGTGCGCGAGTCCATCCATCATTGACCAGGTTAATAGCCGGTTTCTCGGTCTCGTCAAGCACAAGATGACGATGGAAGTTCTTGATCCTCGCTCGCTGCCATCCAGGACCACTCGCAACATGTTGATGGAACCACTCGATATCAGTCTTTCGTTGATCCCGAGTATCAACCGCAGATGGTGTCCGCTGGACAACATATAAATGTTTGCACCACTTCGCAAGAATAGGTACAATCTGCACGGCTGTAGCACCAGTCCCGATAATTGCAACTCTCTTCCCTTTCAACTTATGAAGTGATAGATCCTTCTCCGATCCACCAGTAATTTCATAATCCCACCTCGATGAATGAAACATCTTTCCCTTGAATTCCAGCAACCCCGGAATAAGAGGCAACTTAGGCGAATGAAGTACACCGGACGCGAGAACCACGAAGCTAGCTCGAATCTGCATCTCTGTTCCGCGTTGAACAAGGTCAACAGCCCATTCCTTCTCATCCTCATCCCAGACTATCTTCGTTGCAGTAGTCTGGAACACAGCACTTGATGTTAATCCCCATTTCTGCGCAACGGTCTCTGCGTACGAACGAATCTCAGATCCGTATGCGTATTTGTGGCGTGGGATATATCCTGTTTCTTCGAGGTAGGGTAGATACATGTGACTCTCGATATCACACATCAGTCCTGGATACCGATTCCAGTACCATGTCCCACCGAAGGAACCAGCTGCGTCGATTATGCGAATCTTGGCCGCTGGAATTTTGCTGATTGTAATGATTCGGATCGCGTTTTGGAGTCCGCCCCATCCTGCGCCGATTATGAGAACCGAGGTACGCTTTGAGGGGAATTTGGTCTCTAGGGACCCTGTGTTACCGAGATCTACCCAGGGATCCTTAGAGAATTGAGAGTATGGATTGGAGGAAATTGGCGATGGGGTTGAACTGAGATTGGAGGGCTCGATGTATTGAGCGTTGCCGTCCTTGCGGAGGCGTTTTTTTCTTTCGGCTTCATAGCGCGCTGTTATGTTGAGTAGTTCTTGAAGACTCGGAGTCAACTCTGCTCGTGAGCGACTTGGGTTGGTATTGATGTTCGCCATGGCCAGGTGTGGTCCGTGTGGAACCCGGTATATACTAGCTGACTCGGAGTGTGTGAAGATGGTAAAAGAGGAAACTACAGGTGTCTGCGTTTACTCTTAATTTATAGGTCAGAGATTCAGCAAGTAGTCTACAGAAACCTTACTCTTCACCTGGGCAATTCTACCTACTACACCTTGCACATGTGGCAGTATACCTGCTTAAGAGCGGCCCACCCTAATGATTCTGCCGCAAATATCGACTTCAATGTAAGCAGGCTGTCATAACACATGATTGGAAAATCTCTTATGGCAAATCTCTTGTAAGGCTGATGTAAGTACAATATAGAATTCTAGAAGCTGCCTATATCTAGGGCCACTCTTAGGCAGGCATTCGTATACTGTAATAGGTATGGAACGTCAGAGGGTTGGGCCGCGTTTCAGAAGACGGTGGAAATATTTTGCCGTAACGTCCATAGATTGAAAATTCCAATCTCAAAATTTCCTAACCAACCTACCAACTATAGTTTTTTTTTTGGCCGTGAACCTTTACCACCGGTGAGCCTTTTCAAAACAATGGATTCTGAATCTGCAGGTAAGCTCACGAAATATCTGGCGGAGCATTTTCAATGAACTAATAATATTCCAGCATGGCCCATGGCCGACGAGTCTCTGGCGCAGGAGCTTCTGAATATCCTCCAGCAAGGTACTCATTCGCGACAAGTCAAGAAGGGAGCAAACGAGGGTAAGCTAACTTCATTTCCTGTTTGCTGATCATGGCTGACTCTCCTTATTAGCTACGAAGGCAGTTAATCGTGGCGTTGCCGAGCTCGTCATCATGGCCGGTGATGCTTCTCCCCTTGCTATCGTGATGCATCTCCCCCTCCTCTGCGAAGATAAGAACGTTCCATATGTATTCGTTCCTAGCAAGGTCGCTCTTGGACGTGCATGTGGCGTGAGCCGATCTATTATCGCTGCCAGTATCAATACCAACGAGGCTAGTGATCTGGCTTCCCAAATTCAGGAGCTTAAGCTCAAGGTGGAGAGACTCATGATCTGATATCGTGTCTCGAAAACCCAATGTTTTGAGTTTATGCGCTTGGGACTCTTATCTTCCTGATGGAGGTTGTCTAAGTCTTCGGGGTCTCTTATGTAGTGGCCTAACCACGTCGTGCCTAGCTTGATGCGCTTTTTGCAAATACAATCCATGATGATCTGCGCCCTTAATTGGACTGCGGACCTATTTCAAACATATCACCTTGGTCACAAGTCATTGAATAAGAGTACACATAGTGAATTAACTGACTGAATAGTAATTTCTTCCGTCTATATAGTTAAAATGTGAGTACATATGTAAGTGCTATACCCACCTGGGTATCCATCGGCGGCATGCAGCCTGATTAGATCATCTAATTAGTGCCTCGTTAAGTCTACATAGTCCATGGAACCATTACAAAATGGTTGATACAATAAACCGTTCCAGATGTTCTTATAAAATCACAAATAGACTCTCCAAGTCAGTATGTGTATAGTATGTGCATCAATATCAGATCAAAGGTACAGTCTATCTCAACATCAAATCATCCCATAACCATAAACGTAGCCATCCCAACCACTGCTCCAATTAAAACAACAGTCAAGATCCCAGCTCCTGCCTTATCCGCAGTTGAGACAATGGTCGAACTAGTGTCGGTGGTATTATCCTCATTCTGTCCAGCATTAACATTGCTCGTACTATTTCCACCCGTCGTAGATGTAACAGGCGCAGCATCATTGGATCCATTCATCCACTGTAGCATCTGAACACTGAACACATTGCTAGCGCTGATCTCCTCTTCCATGCCCATCCAACCATCCCATTCTTCGGTGTACCATCGCACGCCACAGGTATTATTGCTATATCCTGTACAGGACTTCGCGGCGCCTGCAGCGGAGGATTGAAGTTTCGCGAGGATCCTGTCGTACAATGATGGGATAAGAAGGGCGGTGTTGGCTAGCCAGGAGACAACAAGTCCCTTGAAGAGGATCTCGTTATCGTTGCAGATCTCGGTGGGCTCACATTCGAAATCTTCCATGATGTAGTTGTTTGCCTCGGTGAAGAATTCACTGAAGAGTGTGTCCATGAGCCCGGTTGTACAATTGAGCCAGTACTCATCTTGGGTCTAATCAGTGTTAGAATTTACCCTGTGGTGTACTCCGTAGATGCCCGGGGGTACTGGTATTACTCACCTGAGCATACAGATATGCACATCCACCCATATAAATCCCATAGTTATAACTCCACTGTGTCGCATCTCCATTGGCGCATTCTTCTTGACCATTTGTGGAATCGGCGATCGTCCATGTCTTATTATTAACCAGTGGAACCGAGCACGACCATTCGTAGCTCTTCTGAGCCCATGTTAAGTATTCCGTGTCGTTGGTGTATCGATATAGTCGTGCTGCAAGTTGAAAGAACCCACCATTGGAAACGGCATTCTTCAAATAATATCCACTCCCCTCATAACTATAGATCTGCCACCGTAGTCCTCCACCACACATCGTTGTATCCCATCGATCCTTCTGTGTATTGAACACGCCCTGTGCGAGTGAAAGCCAAGAGAATCCGGTGGCGCGATCGGGGAATTTGTATTCGACTGCTGTCATTGCTGCGAGGCCCCAGAACATTTGATCATCGTTGCCCTGCAATCATTTCAAGATTAGTTTACTGAATAATCATCATCATGGTTGACACATACCAAGAAACTACTATAGTTGGCTGGCATATAATCTCCATTGGTCCCGCTTTGCCATTGCAAGGCTACACTGAGCTCATCGTTGTAGTAGTCATCGCCCACAAAGTGCCAATAGTTCAGAAGAGCCATCAATAGTGCAGACCCTTCCCACCATTTCGTTGGAAATGCACCTGGAATCCCGCCAGTGTCGTTTCCCGTATAATATGTCATCATCGCATAGGTCGCGATATTGGCGGCATTGCTGATGGAATCTGTAGCCCCTGATTAGTAAAAACAACATGGGAATAGGTACCTAGGTACCTCATCTCCAACCTGAATGGAGGTTGTTACCTTGACTGCTAACATCAAGATCGATAGCCAATGCCCTTTGTCCAAGTCCCAGGATATTCAAGAACAGGCATATTGACCTGAAGATCTGCATGATTTATCCTGGAATGAACGAAGCGGATCGATGCCAAGAGGGGCCAAGAGAGAGGGGATCAAGTTAAAGTGAAGTCGTGGAGCTGCCAAGGCAAAACTTATCCAGACCTGGAAGTTTATGGAGTTTTCCAACGGATATTCATATTCTGGGCAAAAAAAAATATATATAAAAATAAAGAAACCTGGGGGATGATGGGAGAAGAACCCCGCCAGCCCTGGAGCCTGCTCATTCTTGCTCGGCTCACAGGGCCCTGAATGGGATTTGTGATAGACTCTGTACCAAGTGGATCCTGGCGCAGTTTAAGGGTCTTTATGACTGGTGCAACAGGGTCTGAACTCCACTTGTTCTGACCAATATTGAATGTTTTGGATGATTTGATCCAACAGGATAAATTAGTTCTAGGTAAGAGAGTGAGTCCTGTGTTACATTATTAGATGGTTAATGGGGGTTTTAGATGCTATTTCTGTTGGATATGAACAAGTTATGGCCACTGGCATCGTATATTATTATGTCTCATATCCATGGATATTAATAACCTTGGAACTTTTCTTTCAAGTTATGATTGGATTCTCGTATCAGGGCTTGCACATGTGGTGGGTACCTGAACACCCAAATATTGAATTAATTGGTTCATTTATAATAAATCCTCCAATGGTTCCACGTAAAAACGGCATCTCATGGGTACCTGGCCTTGGCCTTTGCTTATGTTGTAAGCTCAATGCTTAGCCCCGGGACTGTGCGGGTAAAAAGTGCGAAGTAGAACTCACGAGTCACAAGCTGTGTTTGCAATTTTAACCGCCAATTCCCGGGGTCCAAGTTCATTAATTAACAGATGTAATATGGGATCAATCTTCTGACCGTGTTCACGGGGTCTTTGTCTAGCTCTGTGAAACTCAATCCTTTATGTATTGAATTTGCCGTAGGCGCTGGTGGCAATGGCTGATATCTCTAGAACGCATGTTTCAGTGGTTCCACATCCAGGTGCACTTTCTCTGTGGTTGGGACATATGAAGTATCTCGCCCTCACCATCTCAGAGTTCCGAGATCTTATCTTTCTGGTGAATCTTTCTTGTTTTAATGCATCCATTTGCATGACATAGAAAATCTCAACATGAAAGGCAGCCTATAAGTTCTCGCGAATGGTTTCGTATTCGTATAATGGAACCTTGGAAGTTTCCGGGGTCCGAGGCCCTTTGTTCGATTTCGACCTGGTTAAAAAGACGTTGCCAAATTCTCACGACTCAAACATCGAGGTGTCTCTCTCTGGCTCATCAGGTTCCTCGAGATTCACGTTTGATGGGTTCAAGTCCTCGATAGCAGCCATTCTGGTCATACTTCAAGTTTTTGCTTGGACTAGCTGAAACTTGAAGTGAGCCTGGAAAAAATTTAGTGACCTATTGAAAAATGAAAGACTGCGTGTTTTTGTTGCTTGACTCACTGAGCATATGGGAAAGGGAAAGTTCGGCGCGCGCGAGAGAGAGGAAATTTGAAAGGTAGAGCTACGTGCAGACCACATGACCCTTAGGGATTTATCTGATATTTTTGTTTGTAGAAACCATTAAGGATGAGGACTTTCGGTAAGATCAAGTCCACGCGGCGGCGAGGACAATGGGACTCCTGAGGGGACGGTATTATACCTATCTTGGTACAATGAGGTAGCCCGTCGCCAAGTTTCAAAGCTAGGTATTCCTCAAGTGCTTGCTGGTGACCAGTGCCTTCTTTCAGAATGAAGATTAGACTGTGACAAGCTAATCCACAAGCTCGAGATTCCAAGGTCCCAACATTGCACTCGTAAGTCATTATCAGCCCCGCTCACTTGAAGCCAGCACCGGGGGATCTTCATTAGATTACTAGTAACCCTGAGGTAGAATTAGTGACCTTTGAATTTGTTCATTTTTGATTGAGAGCTTCGCAGGCAGAGTATCGGTTTCACTTGATTGAGAATCCCAGGAAAATACCAAGATTTAATGCCTTGCCAATCCCAGCCACCTCTGACGCGCTCATGCGCTACCCATGCATAATATTTGAACCAAGCAAATGGAAAATCACTGAATGGCAAACAATTTACTTGTACACATCACCATGAGCAACCCTTGGAAGCCGCCTTATGATCCTAGTTACAAGCGACCTAGGTATTCGTCGCCTCGTTCAACGAGCGCATAATTGGAATCGCCTTGATAGGGCGTTTAGCTGCATAGAATATCAGAAAGACAGGGGATTTATTGGCACAAGACATATACCAAGACTCATATCACATTTCACAATTCATCTGGCTAATAAACCCTGTATCAAGAGACCAGTGCGGGGTTGAGCTACCTTTCGCCCCAGAACACGTTGCTCGGTACCCCGGTCCTGCTGCCTGCATATGCAAGACAACTCAGCGCGGCACGGACCTAGAGGTTCAAGCGCTCGAGTGCTCAATATTGAGGCTGATATGGGAATCTGCGAATACTCTGCTATTCCCCAACTGCAAATATGAAATTGATGGCATCGGTTTACGTGCTTAGGAGAAGACTGCGGAAATATTATAAATAGGGACATAATTGCCCTACTTTAAGTTGTTTTCATTCCCATCGATCTCAATCAACCCTTTTGTCACATTTTGTTCTGATCCAATATGTCTACAACTCAAACAAAAACCCAACCAACACCCGTCTCCATCAAGGTGGAACCCAAGAATGACTTTCTCAATAAAATCATTGACAATTTCAACCAACTCACTCGCGATCCCGACTTCCAGAAAGCATCTGCAACCTATGTACAGGTCAAGGAGCAGCAAGAACAAATCCGACTTCGAGATGAAAAGCTCACAAGGTTGCAAAATGATATGAAAATCATGAAAGAGAAAGAAATAGTTACGATCAGTCAACTGTCCGAAGTGAATCAAACTCTCACCACTCAAAAGGACGCTGCGGACAAAAAAAATGAAGCTCTGCAAAAAGAGGCTACAGAAAGAGAAAAATCCACGAGTGAGATGACCCGACGGATTCAACAGCTTCAGGAACAGGTACAAGCACGACTCTCGGAGAAAGATAAAAAGGAGCTTGAGATGAAAGACATGGAAAAGAAACATTCCGGTTCCCTTGATGATCTTCAAAAGAAGCTCAAAAAGGGAGAGGTCTTGATCGAGGGATTGAACGCTACGAATGCAAATCTTACAACTCTTCTTAATGCTGAAAAGGCGAAGAGTGGCTCTCTTGAGGAAGAGAAGAAGTCTCTCGATCAAACAATGAAATCGACTCAGGGTCAACTTGAAAAATTCAATACCTTTGTTGTAAAATCTCCTCAGGTTGAGGAACAATCAATGTTGGTTTCCCCAGTAGTAATGTGTATGTGCTGCATTTACTGACTTGGTTCCAGCATTAAAAATTTTTCGAACCTCTGGAACTTTGCGGCGAAAGAGCTCTGGGTTGTGCTGCAACAAGATTTGAATTTTGAGAATCTCAGAGTGTGTCATCCCATCCCTTTTCCATACAACTCTCAGTTGACAAGTTGAAACTAACATTCATGCCAGAATGATGACACATCCTGGAAGAAATTCATCTCAGCTACTAATACTGCCACCCGAGATCCCACCCATGGACAGTCCATCCCACTATGTGCCTCGAATTCCGATAGTGCCAAGGGAATGCGCCTGGCTCTGATGTTGTCTATTCTATCCAGAGCGATTGACAAAGAGATCTTCCAACCAAGCTACTTCCCATCTGAGACTGGTCATCTCAGGACAAGCTTAAGCAAACTCGTGGATAGTGATCACAAAAAAGAGCAGTTTTATCGCTCTGTCTTGCTCTCTATTGATCGGGATGGTCAGGAAGCCGAACTCAAATCTAGAGCCAAGACTGTGGTTCATAACGTATCTTACTATCTCTTTGAGCTTCTCTCCACCACACAGTACGGTGAGCTTAAAGAGAGAATTGAGAATATTGTTCAGAGCGCTATCAAGGTCTGGCGTCCTATTCAACATGCTCCGAAAAAATATGAGACAGAATTCGATTCAGATGATTGGAGCCATGAAGACGATGCTTTATTCCAGTTTCCCGTGGGTAATCCGGATCAAATTGGCGCTGAACAGTCGAGTCATCATCTTCTTGTTATCTTCCCAGGACTATACTCCTTTGAGCCTGAGTCCTTCATTTTGGCGCCTGTCATTCCGCTCATGAGCTCGCAGAAATTCTGTGTGGCCGCTACGCAAGAACTGAGGGAAGAAGCCCGGGGACTATCTAGCCCTGTGACTAAACAATCCAAGACCAAAAGAAAGAACTCGATTGCTCAGTCAAATGTGCCAACTTTTTTAGGGAAACACTCCTCCGGAGCTTCCGGCAACTAAGGAAACATCAGCCACGTCGAGTAACGAGGTTCAAGCCCTCTTCGGGGAGTTTCTATGGGTGATATATGCTTATTGATCTGTATGATTGTTGATATTTTGTTTCAAGTTGTCCCTTGAGCTTGAGTTTTGCGTGACTGCGCTTTCTTGTATTACTTATTTGCTGTTGATCAGGGCCAGAATGTTGATAGTATATGAATGGAAGTTGGATATTGAAATTCGTGACTTTTCATGTCAATAAAGACCGAACTACATTGACTGCGCTTTAAGGCTAAATTTGTCTGATGTTAGCTAGGGTTATTGACTTGAATTTTCTAGTCACTTGGATTAAATCTCAATTCCGCTCTTTGTTAACAATAGGCAAGACTCCTGTCCAAGGCTGCCCATGCCCAGGTGCTGAAGGGCTCCAGCCCTGGAGGGCTGAATCGGATATTACTAATCCGGGGCCGAATGGATAAAGTTGCGGGTATCCCCACTACACTACGCCTTCCGTCGACAGTCTCCATGTACTCCGAAGAAGAGCATCGGATTAAGGGGATGAGAAGCCCTGGAGTCGATGCCAGCATCAATGGATTCTACCCGGTGATCGCATTGATAACGTATGGGGATTGATATCTTGACTGGTTATTTTACTGACCATAGCAAAAGATAAGGCCAAGCGGATATTAGTGCCGCTCCTTGCCGCGGTGGAAAAGAGCATAGATAGAGGGTATTGAGTGGCGTTGATAAGAGTACCCCGGTGATCTTGATTCAGTGCCATTCTTAGGTAGATACCTCTGTGTTCTCGTAGTCACTGCACATGTGAGTAGTAAAGAGCCACTACGGTCTTGGACTCGGAGAACATCTTTATATTATGCCGCAATGTTGAGTTGAATGGATCACACGAGCTACATATCATGGGACAAAAAGTAGCAATCCAATTTGTCACCTGGGCACAATGCGACCTCTGGAGTAATTACACTTAAAATAGATTTATCATTTATAGTGCCAGTACCAAGTCTCTGATCAAAATCTTTCTTCCACATGTGAATACTATATAATGCCTAGGTCTCCTTTTTACTCCTGCTAGTCGTATACAGCGGAATACCCCGCGTATGTTATCCGAGGTCCGAGTCTTTTCAACCAGAATTGTATAAGATGAAAGCTGATTTTATGCAGGATATCTTGGATATTCGTATTTCATCTAGCTTGTGATTTAGAATTGGCTTCATTTGGAATCCACGCCCTTGGGAGTAATAAATTGTGTTATTCCGAATACATAAGTTATTCCGATTCCAAGGTTCGGAATAGATTTGGTCAAGTGATCACGACTACTCCGTGCATTCCGAAGTATACCCAGATATAATCGACAATCAAGTCACATATAACAATGTATTAATATATGATAGAAGCATTGAATAGAATTATATTTTTCATTTCGACATTCATAATATAAAAATAAATTAAGAATAAAGAATAAAGAATAAGAATATAACGATATAGACGTGGAAAAGTCATTTGCTCCGGAGTATAGTTGACCAATCACGGGTATCGGCATTCGCCTTACCGACATCAGCATATTTTAATCGACTCCGATCCGCCACTTCATGTTTTTCTCTTTTTTCAACATTTAACATAACCAACAAAACATTCCTTTACCAGGCAATATGTCGTTCTCCAACCTGGTCTCAGATATCGCATTCCGCGATTCCAACGCAGATGAGCGTGGTTCCACGATCTCCCACGCTCAATCCCGCGCCGCTCGTTCCTACGCGAGTACCACTGCGACCAGTGTTAGCATCTCTGGCGATATTTCCAGTCAACTTCATGCTGGATACAGCCACCCGTTGACACGATCATGGCAAGCAGAGAGACAATTAACCAAGGTGAGTCCCTCAACCCCCCCAATTCCAGTGCTTGATTCCTAACATCCCTAGGAAATGCTTATCTACCCCCTCTTCATCACCGACAACCCGGATGAACAAACCCCCATCCCCTCGCTCCCTAATCAATACCGTTTCGGTATCAACCGTCTCGTCCCTTTTCTCTCCCCCCTCATCCGAAAGGGTCTCCGCTCCGTAATCCTCTTCGGAGTCCCCCTTGCACCCAACCGCAAAAGACGCCCTCGGCACAGCAGCAGATGACCCCGCCGGTCCTGTCATCTCCGCAATTCGTCTGCTTCGCGCTCGTTTCCCAAACCTGTACATTAACACCGATGTCTGTCTCTGTGAATACACTTCCCACGGTCACTGCGGTATCCTCCGCGAAGACGGAAGTCTGGATAACGCCCAATCCGTCGACCGCATCTCCGACGTTGCGCTCGCATACGCAGTTGCAGGTGCGCACTGTGTCGCGCCCTCTGATATGAACGATGGTCGTGTCCGCGCTATCAAACTCAAGCTCATTGAAGCCGGTCTTGCGCATCGCGTTCTGCTCATGTCATATAGTGCTAAGTTCAGTGGTTGTCTTTACGGTCCTTTCCGTGATGCCGCGGGCTCTTGTCCTTCTTTTGGTGATAGAAAATGTTACCAACTCCCCCCTGGTGGTCGGGGTCTCGCGAGACGCGCTATTCAGAGAGATATGAATGAAGGTGCTGATATCATTATGGTTAAACCTGCTAGTCAGTATCTCGATATTATTCGTGATGCTAAGGACCTTGCGCAGGATATGCCTGTTGCGGCGTATCAGGTTAGTGGAGAGTTTGCGATGATTCATGCTGGTGCAAAGGCTGGTGTCTTTGATTTGAAGGCTATGGCTTTTGAGAGTACTGAAGGTATTCTCAGAGCTGGAGCTGGAATTGTGGTTACTTACTTTACTCCGGAGTTTCTGGATTGGTTGTAATCTGTTTAAGATTGACTCGCATTTTTTGTACAATTTGCGATTGTTTGATTTTCTGAGCCTGAGGTTCGGATGTTTGAGTCTTGATTGACTTCCCTACATTTCTTCACATTTCATCAGGATCATATTGGCCATTCTGCTCAGACTGGTTACATGATGATACCCCCTACCAGATCGATACCCCTCTGACTTTTTTGTTTTGTTTTTTCTCGGCGTTTAAAAGACCATTTGAAAATATCTATGTGTTCTTATCTAGATGTACGCGACCAGATAATCTCAGCTCTTTGTTCAATTTTATCATTCAAAATTTGGATCACTATAACCATTCCTGGTCTTATTAGACACCTTCAACTTGAGGCTACTATGTCTATTCTGGACTGACTTGTGGATCTGATGCTGAATCGTATCATCAACTGAAATTGAAAGATTATGTACTACATGACAACTCGCCTTGCTCCGGTCCCCTTCCCTAGGGAAGATAATCCTCGAGCGCCATAGAACCATGTACCGTAGAAATAGAAAGCGAGAAGAAAGAAAAAGATATAAAGAAAATAAAACAGAGCCAAAGAAAAGAAAAAGAAAAGAACAAGTCAAGCAAATAAGAAAAATCAAACATAAGTCTGGGAATCATAAAACCGTGTGCAAACATCTCATCCTTTCACCATCTCATCTCACATATAATTCGGCTTGAACCCTTGAAACCCGTAAGGTACTACATCACTTTTAACAATCTCCCCTGGAGCAATATACGCTCCTCGGCCCAGAGTCACGCCGGGGTAAATGGTGCTCCCAGCACCGATATAACAATCTTCCATGATTCGTACCCGACGACCCTCGTATCGACTCTGCGTACCTTTACGCTCTTGCATACTGGAATGCGCCATAGAGGTAAGGATGGTAACATTGGATCCAATCCACGTATGAGCGCCCACAAAAATATAGCAGTCGTCGATAAACACACAGTTATGTGAGATCATCACATCTTCGCCGATACTCAGGTGTCCGTAGTGACACGTAAAGGGGGATTCCACAATTGCGCCAGGTCCAATGCTAGGAGCAGGACGACGCATAGTTGGGGATGAGATTCCAGAGGATCCGGGTGGTTTGAGAATGGATGTTGGTTGGGGAGCGAGGATTTCCTTTAATAGTCTGTTTTGTTCCTTGGAGCTTAGCCCATTGAGTGGGTTACAAGCATTGTTGAATCGCGCGAGTGCGCGTCGACATCGATCTCGTTCTTCGACTAGTTGCACATCGAAGGGTCGGTAGAGATCGCCCTTGATCATCTTGTCCATTTCTGTATCGTCGTTTGGCACGGGCCGAGCCGAGAGCTGATTTTCAATACTCAATGCCATCCGCGCTTGGACCTGCGGGCTGTTGGTATCCATTGTGGCGGTGGCTGCGGGAACTGGTGGTGCTGTCGCTCCTTGGAACAGAATAGGCATGCTTGATTTTGGTGGGGGTCCGTGAGGGATCTCTCGCATTGGGGGCACGACCGGGTAATCTGGTTTGGGTGCTGTCTCCCGAGGAGTAAGTTCATGGAGTGATGGAACTTCGCGATACTCCGGTGGCTTCGGTATATGCTCTGATGGATATGTAGGGGGGTGGGGAGTATTTGTCCATGTTGTTCGCTTTGGCCAGCAGGTTGCGCTGTTATCGGTGGGACTGGTATTGTATTGCGCGGCAGATCGCTGCGGCTCCTCTTCCACCACGATTGGTCGCATTTTCCGGGAATTGATGTGTTCGGTCAATTGTTGGTCATGCTGATTGTCGGGGATATACTGGGGGCTCATTTCGGGATACCCTTCTTTCGATTGCAATGGAACCGGGGTCTTGGAGGTTGAAGGCTTCTGCCATGTACTTCGCGACGAGTACCCTTCACATAAAAATCCCCCTCTAAGACAATTATTACCTGATTTAACAATGTTAGCCGCAGAGCCTCTTTTTTTTTCCACGTCGTATCTAATTCCACCGCGCATTATTGTGGGGGAAGAGGGGATACGGGGCCGCCCTTCTTGTTTTTTTTTCTTTTGGGATTATGGTGGATTCAACTCACATGCTGGGTGTTGCTCATCACATTTCTTTTTTCGGCGTCGACAAGTCATGCAGCCAGTCTTAGTCCGGTTGCTAAAGACCCGCTTGCGCTTGGGCGCCACCTGCACTGCCGTCGTCGGGCGCTCCGAGGAATACGCTGGTGACGAGGCGGGCTGCGCCGTGGGGGCGGGGTTCGAACGGGCCGCGTTCAAGCTTCGATGATTCGGGTCCTGGGAATGCGCCTCTCGTTGAAGAGCATCCGCCAGTTGAGCATCAGATGCATCGATCTGTTGGGCCCGTTGCGCTTGATTAACCAACTGGGTATCATATTCCGGCCATGGGCCATTCCCGGGGGGCTGGGAGCCTTCCTGGGGATCCGACCGGCCGGACAAATGGGGCACTGGTTCATTATCTGAGACAGATCCCGAACCCGCCCCGCTGTATGTTGGAGGACCACTGAAGTCCGTAGCATGGCTGAGGGAGCTCCTGCCTGTGCCTTCTGGTTCTGATGGATGTCGCGATTCCTGTTCGCCCGACTCAGATCTCTTGCGCTTATGGGTATGAGCGGAGGCCCCCCGGTGGAGATGACCTTAATCCTCGATCCTCGGGGGTATGTTCCTCTCGCTCTGAGATATCCTGTCTTGGTTGATCCCGCGCATCTAAGCTGGGTCGATCTGATGAAATGACATGCGCCACGTTGACCGCGGTAGTGACGGATGATTCCTTGCCATTGACTGCTGTAAATCGGGAGGGACTGTGTTCAGGTCCTGGCTCTGCACCGGAGTCGTGGCTACTCATGACTGGTGCAGATGCAATGGCTGTCATTTTCGATGCGTCAACTGGGTGGTTTTTGTCTCACCCCGATGTATTGTCGCAAAGTCTTTTTGTTTTTTTGTCTGTCTTACACCGCGGAGAGAATAGTAAAAAGGGAAAAACGGGACAAAAGAAAAAAAAAAAGAAAAGAAAAAAAGACAATGTCTCTCTCAGTGACCTCGAGGATGCGCCGGGGGACACGGTCTTTGTCTTCCGCAGACGCGCGCGGGAAGTTGCCGAGATTCAACACGAGCGGCTTGTTCAGAACTCCCGCGCTTAGGATCAATGGGGGTATTCTGTGTTTTGGAGGAACTCTTTGAAAGGGAATTTCTTTGAGAATGCGATGACAGGAAGAGTGAAACTTCCTGAGATAGATCGCGTTAACCTCGTCTCGGTGTCGTCTGAGCGTCGTCTGGGGTGGGGCGCTCGAGGTGCGGGTTGGGATCAGTGCCCGAGGCTAAGACCTCTCACCCAGAAAGGGGAACAAAATTTATTAATAATAAAGGAATGAATTGGGGGGAAAGTAAAAGGGGGAACAAGGGGAAGGGAGAAAGGTGAGAGAAAAGGGAAAAAAGGAAAGGGAAAAAGGAAGAGGGGCTAATAATATAGAGAGTTCCTATAAGAGAGACTACAAGTAACCAGAAGGGAATAAGACTAGTTAATAAGAGGGAAATACAGTGTAAAGAGGGAAAGAGGGAAAAAAAGAGGGAAAGAGCGTGTGTGTGGGAGAGAGAAGCCGCCCTTCCCTTTCTATCTTATTTTCCCATCTACATACTCTTTAAGAGTCTCTATTAAATCATGTCTTCTTCTAACGCCCCCAATGGCCCCCAAGTTTACAAAGTTGAGGGATGAAAAAAAAATCCCTCCCCCCTCCTCCACCTCCCTCCCTTTTTATTTTTCCTTTTTTCCCCCCTAGGTTTGGGTGGAAAAGGAACGGATGATGTTGGCGCGCGAGATCGGCAAGGACGGCGTCACACCATCTACCAATCGGAAGACACAGGCGCCATGAAGAGAGTGAAAGTGCGCGGGTCTGAGACACCCATCATTTCCCAGGCGACCGGGAGCGATAATGGCGCGCGTTCCCAGGCGCCCCGTGTGTCCATGCAAAGTCGAGGTAGAGTGGGGCGCGCAAGTTTTGGGCGGCTTCGGTCTTTCTGTAAGTGGACGCGATTCCACATTCGCCATTGGCGCCGCGTGGGCGCATTGGGCGGTTATGCATCGCTTATCAGCTGGTCACCCTCCGCGCGCTGCACTGGCTGACTCTAGTCACCTAGTCACATCCTAGTGTGTTTTTGGTCTCCCCTCCATTATCTCTCTCTTTTTAATCCTTTTTCCCCATAATTTTTATTTTAGATTATTATGATCTGATTTTTTAGTATATTATAGAATAAAATTAAATTTATAGTATTAACTATATATGATGTAGTATAGTCTTCTCTTTATTGTTTGTAGTACTGGGTACGGAGTAATGGGCGGGGAGGGGGGGGGATCGCTTGGTCGCTTTCTCTCTAGTGGGAACTCTCTTTTCGTCCCCCGGTCCCAACCTTGGAAATACCCCTGCAACAAAGAGGGGGCTGTGGGAAAAAAAAAGAAATATCAAAAATAAAATATTAAAATATTCCCAAAAAATCTGAAATCCGAAAATACCGAGAAAATTGAAATTGGTAAATCGACTCGACCACACTCCTGGGTTCGGAGCTTGGGAAGGTCTGGCCCTGCCCCACTAGAGTATATGTACGTAGTTTGTAGTAGTCAACTGTTCACCTTATATGCACATGTGCAGTCTAAGGCTGAATAATGCCTTGAACATTATACCTTGGTAACATTGGATCATTCATATCTAGGTGGAAAATATACATAATAAGAGTTGTTAAAATAAAGATTTCAGACTATTATTGAATCACGTAGTTCCAAGGTTAAATACTCAAGTGTGCTACCTACTTCCAAGGTTAGTGCCTAATACACTCAGTTAAGTCTGCCAGTTGCCCAGGTGGTGGACCGGGAGGTTATAGCTACGCTGACTAAGATCCCGAGTCCCTCACAACACAATCAACGGCAACGCGCTTCACCGCCAGTGTCAATGAGAGCTCTTCTCGACTTCCCTCTTAGAGCCTCTTGCGGTCGATCGCCTCTTGCGTCCCTTCAAAGTTGATCAAAGCTTTGACTGGCTTATTCCACATCTCTTCAAGTCCAGAATTATTCAACCCCTCCAACATTTCTACCTTACCCCACCAGTCCTCCTCCCCTAACCTAACCGGTTCTTATTCTTCCACCCCTCTCTTCCTTTTCCCCTCTTCCATCTCCGACCTGTGACGTGGGTGTATCGGTCTCTGCCAATTCTTTTTTTTAGACCCCCCTCGTCGATCGCCTCTCTTTTCTTTTTCACTTTCCCCTACCTTTTTGTCAGCGGGGAGGGATTGTTGTGACGCCTGCGTCATCCCGGCGACTTCGCCAATCTCTGCGGCGCCATGTCTGTTTCTGTACAAGAGCTGGACAACACGGTCCGCGCCTTCTTTGAAGGCAAGGGCGACGTGGTAAGTCTTCATGCAAATCTCTGATACCCCTCTCCGGATGGCCAAACTAACCTGGCGCAGCAAAAACAAGCCCAGCAGACCCTCACCGAAGTAAGCCTTTGTCTATCCACGATGCGATACCTCGCCCCATAATACTCACCCGTTCATTTAGTTCAAACAAAACCCTGATGCCTGGGTCACTGTCGGAAACATCCTGCAGGAGGCGACATATCCCCAGACCAAATGTACGTGTTGAATATGAGACGAAGTAGTTTGGCTATGCCATGGATGTGTAAATACTGATCAATCCTAGACATCGCCCTCCAAGTCCTCGACGATGTGATCATGACCCGATGGAAAGTGCTTCCAAGAGATCAGTGTCAAGGTATTGAATTCTCTTTTCTCCGTGTTTTCCATTCTTCGTTTCTTTTGATCTTCTCCTCTCCCCGTCCCGGTCTAACAAGCTCTATTTCTTAGGAATCCGAAATTTCATTGTCAACTTCATCATCGAAAACTCCGGCTCAGAGGAGAAACTGCGAACCGAGCGCGCGTTCTTGAACAAATTGAACCTGGTCTTGGTCTCCATCCTGAAGCAGGAATGGCCTCACAACTGGCCTACCTTCATCAACGAGATTATCTCCTCCTGCCACTCCAGTCTCTCCATCTGTGAAAACAACATGGCAATTCTGCGTCTCTTGTCCGAGGAGGTCTTCGACTTTTCGCAAGACCAGATGACATCGGTCAAGGCCCGGAACTTGAAAACCTCCATGACCCAGGAGTTCGCCTCGATCTTCCAACTTTGTTCCGAGGTTCTGAACACTGCCAACCAGCCATCTTTGGTGAAGGCCACCCTCGAAACCCTACTGCGCTTCCTCAACTGGATCCCATTGGGCTACATCTTCGAAACCCCCATCATCAACACACTTCTCACCCGATTCTTGGGCGTCCCCGAATTCCGCAACGTCACCTTGAAGTGTCTGACCGAGATTGGTGGTCTGCAAATTGGCGCCCCGTACAACTATGACGAAAGACTCGTTCATATGTTTACGGAGACATTGGAATCCGTCTCCAGCGTCATTCCCTTGACCTTGGACCTCAAGGAGACCTACGCGCAGAGCAACAGCAGAGACCAGGAGTTTGTGGCCAATTTAGCTCTCTTCTTGTCCAGTTTCTTCAGTGCTCACTTGGACGTAAGTTGTCTTGTTCTTTTTTGACCTTGTTATCCCACGCCCATGTGCTAATAAAAACCTAGCTCATCGAGAAACTGCCCAACCAAGATTATCTCACCCACGCCCACTTCTACCTGATTCGCGTCAGCCAGATTGAGGACCGAGAGGTCTTCAAGATTTGCTTAGATTACTGGACCCGACTGGTGCAGGAACTCTACGAAGAGATGCAACAACTCCCCATTACCGACATCAACCCGCTCGTCTCGATGGGTGTGAGTGGTTTGGCAAACGGCGGTGCCCCTCACCCCAGCACTCTCGCCAACTACCCCCTCCGCAAGCACAAGTACGAAAAGGTTCTCACAAACCTCCGTCAGGTCATGATTGAGAAGATGGTTCGTCCTGAGGAGGTGTTGATTGTGGAGAATGACGAGGGCGAGATCGTCCGTGAGTTTGTCAAGGAGAGTGACACCATTCAGCTCTACAAGACTATCCGAGAGTGTCTGGTTTACCTCACCCACTTGGATGTCGTGGACACAGAGAACATCATGATCGATAAGCTGGGCAAGCAGGTGGACGGATCGGAATGGTCTTGGGTGAACTGCAACACCCTGTGCTGGGCGATTGGTTCGATCTCCGGAGCCATGAATGAGGAGACCGAGAAGCGTTTCCTTGTTACTGTGATCAAGGATCTGCTTGGTCTGACCGAGCAGAAGCGTGGAAAGGACAACAAGGCCGTGGTGGCAAGTAATATTATGTACATTGTGGGCCAGTACCCTCGGTTCTTGAAGGCGCACTGGAAGTTCCTGAAGACCGTGGTGAACAAGCTCTTTGAGTTCATGCACGAGACACACGAGGGTGTCCAGGACATGGCTTGCGATACGTTCATCAAGATCGCCAACAAGTGTCGACGACACTTTGTGGCTTTGCAGCCCGGCGAGAATGAGCCCTTCATTGAGGAGATCGTTCGCAACATGCGGAAGATCACCATGGACCTTTCCCCACAGCAGATTCACACCTTTTACGAGGCTTGTGGTTACATGATCTCTGCCCAGGGTCAGAAGGGTCTGCAAGATCGACTCATTGAGAACTTGATGGCTCTTCCCAACACAGCCTGGGACCAGATCATTGCCCAGGCTAACCAGAATGCTGCCATTCTCCAGGATGGCAACACGATCAAGATTATCGGTAATATCATGAAGACTAATGTTGCCGCTTGCTCATCAATTGGAACCTACTTCTACTCCCAAATTGGCCGCATCTACCACGACATGTTGAACATGTACCGTGCGTCCAGTCAACTAATCAATGATGCGGTGGCCAGTGATGGTAAGCCCTTTTTTTCTCAAGATTGGTGCCTTTTTAGTATACTGACATTATAACAGGACAAATTGCCCCCAAGACACCTAAAGTCCGCGGCCTTCGAACCATCAAGAAGGAGATTCTGAAGCTTATCGACACTTATGTGGAGAAGTCAGATGATCTTGAGATGGTTAACGCCAACATGGTGCCACCTCTCCTTGAGGCAGTTCTCATCGATTACCACCGAAATGTGCCGGATGCACGCGAGGCGGAAGTCTTGAATGTGATGACAACAATCATTCACAAGCTCCACGTATGTAGTCCCTGACGCTTCCATTGACCCCGTGTTAGTCTATTTAGTGTTTAACTAACTGTTTCTACAGAACCTCATGGAGGACAAGATTCCGGCTATTATGGATAGCGTGTTCACCTGCACGCTGGAGATGATCAACAAGGACTTCCACGAGTACCCTGAACATCGCGTTCAGTTCTTCAAGCTGCTCCAGGCGATCAACTTGTACTGCTTCCAAGCTCTGCTGAAGCTGGATGCTTCTCAGTTCAAGTTTGTCATCGACTCCTGCATGTGGGCGTCGAAGCACGACAACCGGGAGGTGGAGAACACCGGTCTCACCATGTGTCTGGAGTTGATGAACAACATGGCCGAGACTGATGTTCAGACCACAACCATTTTCTTCCGCCAATTCTACATCCCCATTCTCCAGGATGTTTTCTTTGTTCTCACTGACAGTGATCACAAGGCGGGTATGTGAACATTCTCACCCCATTTCCAATCTCTACTGGGCTAAGTGCTAACCCAATTCTTCAGGCTTCAAATCCCAGGCCATGCTTCTGTCTCGCATGTTCTACTTTATTGAATCTGGAAAGATTTCTGAGCCTATCTACACCTCTGAACAGGCTCCTGCGGGCACCTCCAACAAGGATTTTGTGCAGCAATATGTGGCCAACTTGCTTCAGAATGCATTCAAGAATCTGCAAGAGTATGTCAATATTCACCCCCGCGAACTATGCACTTACTAACTTTATTGCAGAGTGCAAATCCAGCAATTTGTCATCGGATTGTTCGCCTACACTGAAGATCTTAACAAGTTCAAGACTCATCTGCGTGACTTCCTGATCTCACTGAAGGAGTTCTCCGACGACAATGCCGAGCTTTACGCCGAAGAGCGCGAACAGGCTGTCCGGGATGCACAGACTGCGGAGCGCAACCGCGCGATGAAGGTTGGAGGCTTGCTGAAGCCTTCTGAGATGGACCAGGAGGATGAACTGTGACTTGATCAGGAACTGCGCTCAGAGTTTCCCCAATCCGCATCGACTCGCTCAACTGAGAACGCCCCGTTCAAGTCTAAAAATGATGGACTTGATGGTTGGGATCTCTATGAGCTTTAGATGATGGGTGAACCAGCTCGCGTAAGCTGGAGTTGGGAAAGCACATGCATACAAGATAGATTCAATTTTTGCAGCTCTTTTGCAGCTCTTTTGCTTTCTTGAGTCAATATTGTGGTGAACTTGATCATGCCAAAATTTAGCCGTTTTCTACTCTGGACTTGCCTCTGGTGGGGGGCGATCATGTTTAATATCTCTTAAGATAGCTTTCTTCTCACTAGTTTATCAATTAAAATGAACTTTCTTGAGAATTCCAGTGGTTTATAGTGTAACTAGTAATCAACCTATATAGCATCTATATGCTAAGAACCTGGGCATTCATACTATGGTACTATTCAAAGGCGGTGAGCTATTCTCATCGTTAATCGTCACTTATCAGCCCAACCTCAAAGAAATCAAAAAAATCCAATTCTCCAACTTCCCTTTCAAATCATCTCTTGATATTTGATTCAAACCACTACAATGTCTCAAACACGCCAACCACAAAACTCTCACCTTCACTCAAGTACCCAAACCTCCCGTGATTCATCCACCGTTCGACTCACTGGAACCCTGCGGTTGAGGGGCGAGGAAACACCTGCATCCACTGATGAACCGCCCGCCCGACGAATTCGCTGGAGTGAAGATGTGATTGATAATGAAGGAATGGGAAAGAAGAGTTCAAAAGGTATATTATTCCTCCTGTTCCATGATATTTTTAGACTGTTCTACCATCCATTGAGTCCTTGTAATGCTAACCGATATTTAGTATGCTGCATATACCACAAAGCTCGCCCAGTAGGCGAAAGCTCTTCAGAAGAATCCTCCTCAGACTCCTCAGACGATTCCGATTCCGATTCCGATATCAATTATAGTAAAGCGCGCTCGTCGAATAACCATAACCATCGCGGACGAGATACCGATTCGGGCGAAGGTCCTTCTCAGGAATGTCGTGGTCATGGTCATGGTCATTCTCATACCAGGAAGGTGAAGAGAAAGCCTAGTCCCAATGCTTATGAGAAGATGCCGAAGTCTAAGTCTAAGAATTAAGTCTGGATTCTGGAGTCTGGATTTGCTGGGTTATACATCTTCAAGATTGGTTTATCATATGATTTAGTGATTGCATGGTTATGAGCGAGCTGATTAGGAGTTATGGTTCAACTCTTTATATTCTGATTAAAAGATAATGAAATGAATGTTATTTCTAACGACAATGGGTATCTGTATCGACTGTAACAGTTTAAGATGTAAATGAATGAATATTAGACATGCCCTTGGCTACACCATCATACTTCTCCTTCGAGCTGCTACTCTCGTCTCGCGACGGTAGCTTTCGGAATTCTTCCAGTCTGGCGAATCATCCGCTTCGAAGGAACTGTCTGTTTGTATGAACGATGAACTTGTGGCTGGGGATTGCTTTTTCAAGGAAACGGTCTCGGATAATCGTTGCGAAGGTTCACGGGTACTCTTTGGGTTCGAAGAGTGTCGTCGAGATTGTCTTCTTCGGGAAACAGTCTCTGATAATTGGTAGCCATCAACTCGCGAAGTATTCATCGGGTTGGAAGTGGAGTCGTCTATCTCATTCCTAGCTGGACAAGGACTATGTGTTGGCCTTTCTCCGTTATCCGCATCACCCGAGTCAAGTTGGAAACTGGATGATCGGCGTGATCCATTCTTCCCAACTGCGTCAATGAACCCCTCTGTTGGGCGACGCATCTTGGCTCGAAGGTTGGGCTCTGCATAGCTAACTACCGCACCTCGACGCCGTGAAGATCGGGATGTGGATGCGTCATCGGAACTGTCGATGGAGGTCGTTTGGACAATTGGTGAGTCCTTTGGTAAGACTAGGATTGGTTGATCCACGGACAATTGAGAATGCTTCTCTGTTTGGGCATCCACTGTACGAGGACGACGTGCTGCCTGACTCAAGCTCCTTTCGGGTTTCTCTACCATCTTTGATTTCTGTGGCGAGACGGTGTTTTCGTCGCATCTTGACTGGGAGATCTTCTTGTCCGGATGCAATGATGCACGGGCTTTCTTGGGTGAGTTCAGATTTAAATTTGCGCTCTCTGTGGAATTGGTTAGTATCGTGAGTTTGAGATAGACATTGTCAAGATGCAGCCTTACTTGGTTCAAGAACCTTCCGTTTCATAGTTCCAGCCGCTGATCCTCGTCGTATGCTCACGGGAGCCTTGATTGGCGACAAGGCTCGATCTTCAAGCCCTAGGTCTAACGTGGTGGATTTTTGAGGACTTTGAATATGTCGGCTAAATTGGAATTCGTCGCTTTCTGAAACCACATCTGACAACGCCCCGTCCTCATCCGGGCTGAATTTGCGTTTGGACCCTGACTTCGTGGGTCGTTTTGTTTCGCCACTCAAAAGTGTGTTGGCCTCATTGGTAGGGATTGTCGGGTCTGCTTTCTTTTTCTTCTTGCGCGTCTCAAGGGTGGGGGGAAGGAATGGATCGGGACTGGCGGGTTCCTCGAGGGGGATGTTTGATAGGGGTTCGTGCTTCTTCGGGCTGGGTGTAGGGCTGTCGATGCCAGGAGATTTTTCTGATAATTCGAGGTGCAGGACTGGCTGCTCTGGAGTGGAGTCTGACCGAACGAGATTCTGGATCTCTTGTGTTCTGCACGAATTAGAAGGAGTCGAGATTATTTTAAAGTATAATTGACTTACTCAAAGGTTCTTCGAGGGTAATATTTGTCCTCTAGAATGGCAGGTAGTCTTCCGTCGTCCACGCCATTCTCCAAATCCATCGGCTGCGGTCGTGCTTCCGCCACTTTTGGGCGCTCGTGGTCGGGTTTGTCAAGCTTGGTCGCTTTCCGAGGCAGCATGCCCAGTTCAGATGCAAGATCGTTCAACTCTGCCAACTTCGTGTCGAGTCGCGACTTGATATCATAGATGCCCGAGTGCAAAGTTTTCGCTGCCGCCAATCGCTCCGTCTCTTGGGTCAAATTGATTACTTCCTGGCGCAATGACACGTTCTCGGCCAGAAGATGCGAAACTTCTGATTCTAAGCTGCGGATACGAAGAGATTGCATGGAGTTGACTCTTGCGATTTCTCGGTTCTGTCGCACAAATCGTCGCTTGACTAGAGCGAACGAGTTAGTTGATCCCAATCGTAATGTAGATTTTTTTTCTCCTCCCCCCTGACTTGCACTTACGGGCTTCGATTGACTCTGCGGGAGCCGTATAATCGTTGAGCCTCGCCATGATGGGTTATGACCACCGGGTGGAACAGAAGGCTCGCGACGATCAAGATTGTGAAATGTGAAACTCCTTAGTATGTGCTCCCGTAGTGTAAACACCATTGTTGATGTTTGGCCATATTAGGACTAGTGCATAGCTGAGTCCCGTGATTTTCTGTTTGTCGTGTTTGTTTTGCGACCCCCGCTGAAACATACTAAACAAACATTCAAACATTGAAGAGAGCCATCTACAGAAACGCCAGGAACAAACCCCAAGTCACTAACAAGAGGGGTAAAAAAAAAAGAAAGAATAATCAAACTTTCTTTTCTATTTTACCTTTTACTCAATCCACAACAACTGACACTGATCGTCATGGCCTACTCGTCGCGACCAACATCCATGCTTCCTGGCGGGAGTCGTCAGCCCCAGCCATCATCAGCTCTATCCACTCGCATTGCTGCCAAAAAAGCCGAGCTTGAGAATCTCCGCCAATTGCGCGATTTGAGCGGCACCCTCGCTATGCAAATGCAAGCTCTTGAGAGTAAGATAGCCACGTTGAAGGACGGAACCGAAGGTAAGGGTCCTTGCTCATTCTTTTTTTTTTCAACAACCGCAACAGTACCCGACTAATTCTAATTCCCATCTAGCCGTTGCATGCGTTCTTGCCAATTGGGACAATGTCCTCCGAGCTATCAGTCTCGCATCCAGTAAGCATTGCATATAGCTTATCAGTTAAAGATTTCACTAACGGAATGCAGAGAAAGCTGGTGGGCTGCATGACCCGGGTCAAGCCGAAGATCCTCCGAGCTTGCCAGCCACCTTGGTTCGCATCCCTGACCAAAGCTGAGTGAAACACAAAAAATAAAATGATGATTATTATCAATGGGACCCGGGGGGCGCCCACGTTTTTTCGATAATTGCGAAACTTACCCGGAACACGCATACCTTTACCCCTCTTTACGCACTTTATGTCTCTAATCAGTTACTCTATGGGTCCTAGAGTACTCTAATGCTCCATACTTTAAAGAAGATATCAGGACAAGGTCAATGATAAGGAGATTTACAGTGGCCAATATTAGAGGGGGAAATCAATTCCCCCTAAAGCCAAGGATCTTCGACCAGGTTCTCCTGGGGGCAAAAAAGACTATGTAACGCAGCACGAGCCTATGTCAAAGTTTCTACATATGTATGATATGTTTTAATTCTATTTACTTTTTTCTTCTATTTTGATTTTGATTTTGATTCATTTTATTTTAATTTTAATTATTTGAAAGTTACTCTAGAGTAATGAAAATCTTCCCCGCATTTTTGAAGGGGCATTCTCGCGTGACCTAAACATAAAATGCCGCTAAGATTAAGATGGATCAAAATGGATCAGAATGGAAATGACAGAGAGAGGGGTGCATTAAACTAGTGAGTTTAAGCATGAAAAAGTACGGGAGGAGACCATCGGGGAGAGTCATGGAGAGTACCTTGGATTAATAGTGTAAGTACCTTCATAAGTACCTAGGTACCTGAAGTACCTGAAAAGTTGCCAGGGTTCTTGAGAACCTTGATAGTAAATAGTGCCCAGGTAATATCTCCAATTAAAAACCTTACAACCAACCAACTACACTTCGATCTTCAATCACAATTTCCTCATCGGAATCTTTGCATCTCTGCAGCAATGAAATAACCCATCTGGGATGGTCACCCTTTCTTATTCGCCCACCATCTTTCCAGTGATCAGGCACACGAAGTGAACGCTCAGGCCTCAGATGATGCAGATGACGGGCTTGAGGGGATTGCACTGAACCAATAACCTTTGGATTCAAGTGGAGACTGTCGATGGTTGCCCGTTCCAGGTTCCTGCAGCTCGCATAATTCGCTCGCTCAGAATGAGGTTGACTGCGGTTTTTGCCTTAAGCGCCCGAGCCACGCCATAATGGCCCCCGCAATGTATCCTCGTCCGACTCTCTAATAGGTTGACTAAGGTTGACTATCCAGCCCAGGTGGTCATGGCACCCTGTGGCATGATGGGTTGCTCTTACCTGGTGGAGCCCGGATGAGGTGATTTTCAATGTCGTTAGATGAGGATATTTTGGCCCATCCATACCTTCAAATAACTTCATCTTCCCACCCCCCACCCACTATAATTCTACACATCCACTTTTCCATCTCTCCACAACCATCTATCACTTCTTTGCTTATTTTTGCAAAATAACCAATTTCTCATAATCCAACCATAACCATGTCTACAGAATGGTCTTTGGATTTCTGTCTCGCCTGTGACAGGCAGACCATGGGCGGTCCTTACTGCTCTCAATCTTGTCGTCTCGCTGAACTCGATCGTCCGGCCCCTGAAGATGACTCCTCTCAAAAACCTTCGCACTCGCGATCCTCCTCTATCGAATCTCAACCACAAACCCGTTCGGCTCGCAGTCTATCGGCCTCATCATCTCAAACTTCTCTCTCCTCGCTGCGGAGTCATTCCTCCAACGCTGCCCTCTCCGATCATCTTCAAGATGAACTACGAGACTACGCTAGCTCATTCGATACTGTTCGAGACCTCAAGCGACGATTGACTACTTCTTAATACGATCATACACACCTCTCTGTCATCCCGACTGACTCATCCCGTCGGAAAACTCTGCCTCTCAGCGACATTGCATATTTCGGACAAAAACACACTCAGGCGTATTGCTTCCAAAAAAGGGACTGGATTATTGGAATCCCACCTCGCTCTTCACTTCACGAACCTTATACCCCCCTTGTCTTTTTACCTCTCCACTATGATACATGGTTACTGGCTATCTGTGATACACGGCGTTGGATCTAATGGGGATAAACCGGACCAAATTGTTTGTATTCTGGTGTTTCTGTATTCTGTTTTTCATATTCTTTTATTCTTGTTGCAACTCTCAAATTCTATGATACGCGGATACAGAATGTAGATTAATCAATTGAATGGCTAAATAGCCTCCTGAACAGAAAGATTTTTTTTTTCTGAATTCTAGTCCTTGATCCTTGATTCTTTCCAAATATCACAATGACTCAATAATCCACTTGTGGAGATCCAAATCGGGTCTCCACTTTGAAGCTGATCGTTCCGTGGCATCACTCCTCCTCCTCCCAAGCCACCACGTTCATGAGAGTCTCCACTTTGAAGGGGAAAAAATGACATAATATCTTTCCCTTCCCTCGCACTCATTCGTCATATCCCATTTGCGTGCCTCTCTCTTTCTTTATGATTGAACCAACACTTTCCCCAACGCCACTGGATCTTTGGGCACAAATCGCACCTGATACCTTTGTGGAATAGCCACCAAACTACTCGGATCCGAACATCCTCGAACTGGGTGCCAATCCGTATCATCGTGCGGTTCAATTCGGAAACTATTCAGCGTCCGCATAAACACTAGGTAAAGTTCGCGGTTTGCAAGTAAGGAGCCTGCACACATCCGGTATCCCATCCCATACGTAAATAATGGTGCATCAGGTTGCTCTAACCAGCGCTCCGGTCGGAATGACTCTGGATCTGTCCAGATTTCGGGATCTAATTATTTGTTATTATTAGTGCAGCTTGATTGGATTGTGTGACGATATCTTACCCATATTGCAGGCCCATGCATTTAAGAAAAATACTGTTCCCTTAAGGATCACTATTCCTTGATAGGTTATATCCCGAATTGATGTACGAGGTAGAGCCAGTCGGAGCACAGTAAAATATCTACGATAAAAAAGAAAATTTGTCAGTGCATCCGTGATGGAGGGTTTCAACACCAGATTTGGATGATGATGTGGAACCTACCGGAGACATTCCCGAACCAAAGCTGCAACATAGGCGCATTTTTGATCGTCGTCCGATGAACACATGGGCTCATCCTGGCCATACATTTCCGCAATGGCCTTGGCAGCCTTATCTTGGACATCGGGGCGTTGTGATAGAAGCCCTATGCTCCATGCGACTAGTGTGGTTACTGTATCCAGACCTCCAGATAACATCGTTAGACTAATCGAGGTAAGTTCTTCGGTGTTTAACTTGGCTTCCTTGTCCAGAATCACATTCGCTTGAATGCACGGCTTGTGGGTCCCTTTCTCCATTCGATCGTCTAGATCGCGATTCAGTGATCCTAGGTACCGATCACGTCGGATTCGCATCTCTGCTGCCTTGGCGGAGTTCGTGCTAAATGGGTTCAATCGTAGAAGTGGAATGTAGTCTTGAAGGTTACCGGTTGTACTGCGGAATTTGCTGATCTCTTCCTCAACGTGCGTGATCTCGTCGAAAAGTTCTTCTTCTTGTGAGGCAATTCGAACACCCCAGTTTAATGTTAAGGCGAGACTGAGACTCAGACGCTGGATCATAGGCATCGGATCGACGGGACTCTTGCCGCTTTTGCCATATCGGAATAGTTCCTCCACGAAGGCTCTCGATTCAACTTCGAGGTGCGAGACGTAGGAATCAACGGAGGGTCGGTTCAGTGCAGATGCGGCTCCCTTGCGGCGACGCTTCAGGGAATCGCTGTAGGGTGATGTGCCGATGGTAGTACCTGCAGTATTGGAAACGATCTAAAATTGTCAGCACAGTCCATAAAGCTTACTTGTCGGTATCAGCTGAAGTCAGATTCTTGACACACCTTATGGAAGGTATAAAACTCCGGTCGCGAACTCAAAGCTTGAGCGTTCTGTCCAAAAAGCACCTTCGCAGATGCAGCTGAGTTAACCACCACGACGGGAACATTCCCCAGCTGGATCTGGTAAACAGCTCCAAACTTCTTAGACCAGATCCGGTACTGCTCTGCTGCGTTGACTCGAATCTGATATAGGTTTCCAATTAATGGGAATCCGCGTGGTCCTCCCATGCCCTTAACACGGGCGGAGGAACGAATGAATTCATTGAGAATGATGTAGAGGATTGGTACAACCAGAACTGAGATACCGAGTGAGTGCCATGGATACTGGATCACGGTGCCTTTTAAGGCTAGGACTGTCGATGCGGTCGCCATAGTATGTCTGGGTACTGTGTAGTTGTACTACCCAGAGTTCGAGTTGATGAATAGGTAGTAATTACTTCTCATCGGTCCCATCATATATACTGTCACGGTCCGGTAAGAGTTCATGGATGCAGTGTCATGATGGAACATTTCCGTAGTCATCTACTCTGGATTTCCTCCTATAGGTTCCTATGTAAAGATGTAATACTGGGGGTTACCCCACACTCTTCCCCAGCTTAACCCTGTCATTCACAACCGAGTGCCGGACGGAATTATGCCGCACTCTCGGAAATATTGCGCAATGCTCATCATTCCAAGGGTGATATTTTAATATTAGACCTAGTCGGTAGTACTTTCGAGGATCCTTCAAATGTTATGTTTATTCCCTCCAGGGCTATTCTCATATGAAACGCTTCTAAGGTAGGTATGTACTATTTGGTACGAGAAGTTCAAGTTGACTGAGGTCAACGAACTTGAAGTTCAACCTTGGAAATTCTTATATATCACTATTACTACATACCACCTAGTATCTCCAGGGCCGTTGGTGTAGCTAGGTACCTCCCGAGGCCCAGAGCTATGTAATATTCTCAGCTCTGGCAAGCATAGGTACTATCACTGCCACTGGCAGTGCCAGCTGGCCCAGGTGCTGGCAACCCTGGAGCCCTGGAGGTGGCAGTATCCATATACACATGCATATTCAAGATATGTACCACACTGTTGCAAGTCTGGATGATAATTATCTAAATGATATTGGCTGTAATCAGACCAGCCACGGATCTTCAAGCAGCTGCTTTGCGGTCTTACGCTCTTCTGGCAGCCATCTAAGCATGGACCTGAGAAAACAAAGGAAGGATTCCTTCTCGGTGTCAGAAAGTCGTTTCTCTAGAATTTCCAGGGAAATGGGTGGTACAACCGCATCTTCATGGGCAACCCAAGCGCCTACAAAAATACCAACTTAAGTTAGTCGAAATGAAAAGCAGGGCCGAGGGCGCTTACCATTGTGACTGAAGCATTGACCAGTTGTTTCACTGCGTTGAACAAATTCAATTGGCGGTGGCCCAATTAATGCAACCATTAATGCCAGATGTTTGAATGGGTCGTGGTTACCATTATCATCAAAGATATCTCCAAATAGATGACACCCTTCAAAGAGGTCCCAAATCTAACCCCTTTAGTACAATAATCAAAAGAGTACCTTAAGCGTTACTTACTAGAGTTCCTAAGTTCCAAATATCAGCAGCACTTCCCCAAGCCATCTCAAAAATGATCTCTGGAGCTCTATAGATATTTGGTTGTATAAAAGGACCAGACTCATGTGTCTTCCCAATTCTTGCCTCTCCAAAATCACAAAGAATAGGTAGACCAAAGCTCTTCCCTTTTGAGGGTTGGCGGAACTGTCAACTTTGGTATATAGTGCGAAAGTCATCTATCTTTTTTTGAGGGCTTGGTTGTCTGATTTCTTCATTTGCAAAATCAGCTAACATCCTGTTATCCTCTAGACTAAGCATTAGATTATCAGTCTTTAGATCTATTTCAAATTTAGCTACTATTTTCCTATTGGAGTTTAAGGGAAATGACTCGGAGAGAAATAATACCTGTGTGAGTGATGTTGGCTTCTGTATGTAAAAAGTCCAGCGCCAATAGTAATCGTCGCAATGTCATTTTTAGAAGGGGTAAGTCAAAGGGTCTTGGATTTAGTCTCATCATTTCAAGAAGAGTCATATGCATCGGCTGAAGGACCAGGCAACGGTGTTTCCCAGCATGGCCATGAAGCTCGAAGGAGTCATAAAGCTCTCGGATTAGAGATTGTCCTGGGTGGCTGGATTTTATTTTCGCGAGGTGCTCGTAAACCTTGAACTCGCGGTCGGTTGCAGTGGGGAATTTCCGCAGCGATGTAGACACCTTCAGCACGACATATCTCTGGCTTCTGGGAAACATTAGCAGTGACGATTTCTACACTTTGATGACAACATACCGAATATCGTGACATAGCCAACTCGTTGAATACGCTCCGAAGCCAAGCTTCCCTGTGACCCTGTACCTGTCATTGAATACATCTCCAATGTGCACAGGGTAAAACTGTTCCATGTCATAGTGAGGTAACGTCTCCTCATCGACCGGCCGTTCTAGTGGCAATCTGACGAATGACCTTTGAGAGATGCCTTGAGAGGAGCGCAGGGCTGTCCTAAGTACAGATCTGAAGACGCCCAAGCGTGGAGCCATGTCTGTTGTTCGTGTCAGGAGGTTGTTCACGCTTGGCTTGGCAAGACTCGGGGAATGTTGTTATTTCCGCCTGAGGCAACTTCAACGTTGAGCAACTGTAATATATGAGAGGAACCTGAAGGATATAGTTAATTCAGGTCACCTGTGTTGAAATTCCATACTAAAGCATCTGTACATCTACGATATACATATACCTATTCTTTTCTGTGAACTTACTACTCAAGTACCGTCAACTGGTATAATGGATGTAATATATGAGAGGAATGGCTTTTTGGTTTACTAGTAGTGACTAAGGCAGTGATACTGGAACCTTGGAAGTCTGTTTTATCATCACACACTTCAAGTTCTGACTTTATTTCCAGAAAACAAAAACCCAATGGTATAGCACACACATGAAATATTCATCGGATCAACAGTGGTAAACCAACCTTCACTTTCCACCTACCCGTGGACGGTACTATCAAGCTGTCTCACACCAGTTGACCGCCGACAGAGCCACTAGCAATTCCACATGACCCTTCCAAGGTTATTAGGCTATTGGCGGGTATAAAAAAGGGTAAGACATTAAGGGATTTGATTTGAACACCTGGGCAAGGGCGCCGCCACTGACAGGCAAACCTTCTTCATTCACTCAAATGATTTCTTTTTTTTCTCTTTCAGCATACCACAATGCAGCTCCACTGTGCTCCGCTCCACTGGCAGAGCTTTCCCGTGACCCGTGGCGATGTTAGGGGATTTTCATGACCCACAGCTTGGCCAGTGCTGAATTATTGCATTGCAATGTGATTAATTTCTATAGCTCAAGTTTTAAATGGGACTGTAAGACAGTGATTATACCCAGGTGGATTAGTGTTAATAGAACCAGATATCAATATTATGACCTAGTATGATATCAATTGATGTGTTCCAAGGCTCAATTGCTAACAAGGCATATTCACATGTGCAGGTGGATTAAATCCGGGTTTGGAGAACCAGTTCTCATTTCTGGTTCATTCTCAGTTCTCCTTGACAAGAACAGTGGATCTTACGGAGTCTACGCCCCTGAAAACCGGGGCCGCGATCGTAGTGGATCTGAGCCGCAGTCAGCTGCCCATGCAGAGATTTGCGGGCTAGACCAGACTATGATTGATCGGCAGATTAATGTTGGTAGATTAATCTATTGAAATGATATCTGTATACGGAATAAACAGAATTTTATCCCGTATTTATCGAATATCTGTATATGGAGTAGTCTGTAGATATGGATTAGATCAATAGGTAGTACAGTGTACAGTGTATGTCTACATAGAGTAGATGTTTGTAGATCAAAACCGGATTAAGGGCCAAAAGCAGGGCAAACTCGAATTACATAGAGCTTTGACATCAGATCATCGACGTATCCATGTCTATTATACTATATGGATAAAAGTAGTCTAATACATTCTAGATTTTTTTTATACATTCTATTCTTCCATACATATATTAATTTATACTATAATCTATATATAAATATCTATATTATAGGTGCAAAATCTTATCCAGAAAATTCTGTCTGGTCACATGCAATCGGGGTGGGAATCCGACCTGGATCGTCCCGAGTCTCTAATTGGTGGGAATATACCACAGCTGACCAAGCTACCATAAACTCCACTTACCAAATGACGCATCGTGTTTGAACCCGGTTTAATCACCGCTTTGGAAGGTATCCCGAATTCTTATCCTTGGCTTAATCCCTTACTCTCCGCTCTACATTCTCCTCATCTTACATTCTCTCATCATCCTCATATTCGCGTCCTTGAGTCGCATTTACTCCAATTGGGACTATTCCTCTGTGAATATCTATTAATCTCTATTTTAAACGCGTCTTCCAAAATACATAGGCACTAATGGCCGCTCGTCACTCACGCAACTTCCTGCGACCGCTGCTCTATACTTCAGCGGCTGCCGCCGCTGGAGCGGGCATTCTCTACATCTCCTACCGTCCACGAAATATCCCCGGTCTCGAAGCCCCTGCCGTTCCTCCACCAGGTTACCATGAGGGTAAACTGGTGCCCCCGAACTTCCCTAAGATCAAATCCCGTCTGGAACAGATTCAGGACTTAAAGCGCAGTCAGGATGAGGAGGAATATGATTTGTTGGTCATTGGTGCTGGTGCGACCGGTTCAGGTATTGCTTTGGATGCTGCCACACGAGGACTGAAGGTTGCCGTGGTTGAGCGTGATGATTTCAGTGCTGGAACTAGTAGCAAGTCTACCAAGTTGGTGCACGGTGGTGTCCGATACTTGGAGAAGGCCTTTTGGGAATTGGACTACAACCAGTTAGTGATCCCAAACAAAGATCTGAAGACTTGGGTGAATGAACACATGTGTGGATTTGGTTACTAACCAGGGACACATCAGATACAAGCTGGTGAAGGAGGCTCTCCGTGAGCGCAAATATTTCTTGAACACAGCTCCTCATTTGTCACAATGGCTACCCATTATGGTGCCACTCCAGAAATGGTGGCAAGCTCCTTATTTCTGGGCAGGTTGCAAGGCCTATGATCTCTTGGCTGGTTCCGAGGGTATTGAGACCTCATACTTCCTTACCAAGAGTAAGGCAATTGATGCTTTTCCCATGCTCAAGCGGGACAATGTCCTCGGAGCAATGGTTTACTATGGTCAGTGGTTTCAGAAATATTTGTTGAAAGATTGCTAACAGATGAAAGATGGTGCACACAACGACTCTCGAATGAATGTTTCATTGGGCATGACCGCTGCCTTGTATGGCAGCACTGTGGTCAACCACATGGAAGTTACCGGTCTTACCAAGGATGCCTCTGGAAAGTTAAATGGTGCTGTCTTGAAGGATGTGATTCCCGGTAAGGATGGTGAGGAGACCCAGGAATTCAAGATTCGGGCCAAGGGTATCATCAACGCCACTGGACCATTCACCGACTCCATCCGCCAGATGGATGAGCCCCAGACCAAGGAGATTGTCGCTCCTAGCTCTGGTGTTCACATCATTCTCCCCGGATACTACAGCCCTTCAAACATGGGTCTGATTGACCCAGCCACATCAGACGGTCGTGTCATCTTCTTCTTGCCCTGGCAGGGAAACACCATTGCTGGTACTACTGATGCCCCCGCTGAGATTTCCCGCAACCCCGAACCATCTGAGAAGGATATCAGCTGGATTCTGAACGAGATCCGCGGCTACCTCGCTCCAGACATCAAGGTCGACCGAAGTGATGTCCTGGCTGCTTGGTCCGGTATCCGTCCTTTGGTGCGTGACCCTGCTAAGACCAGCTCGCAAGCTCTGGTCCGCAACCACCTGATCTCCGTTTCTGCCTCTGGTCTCTTGACCTGTGCCGGTGGTAAATGGACTACCTACCGCCAGATGGCCGAGGAGGCCGTTGACGAGGCTATCGATGTGTTCAGACTCAAGCCCGGCCAGGTGAACGCAGTGCCTGATATCAGTGGTGTCGGCGGTAGCGGACTGGTTGCTGATGGTGCCGTTCTGGACGGTAGCTGTCAGACCCACCAGGTTCGCCTGATCGGTGCTCACGGTTTCTCCAAGACCCTGTTCATCAACCTTATTCAGCACTTTGGCCTTGAGACCGATGTCGCCAAGCATCTGACCGAGTCATACGGAGACCGTGCCTGGCAGGTTGCTGCTCTTTCCTCCCCCACTAACGCCCGATTCCCTGTGCGCGGCCAGCGTATCTCAACCCTGTACCCCTTCATCGATGGTGAGGTCCGCTACGCCGTCCGCCACGAATATGCTCAAACCGCCGTCGATGTCATCGCTCGTCGTACCCGTCTGGCTTTCTTGAACGCCGAGGCCGCTCTGGAAGCGCTTCCCAACGTCATTGATCTGATGGGCGAGGAGTTGAACTGGAGCGCTCACCGCAAGGATGTGGAGTGGAACGACTCTGTCTCATACCTCCGGTCTATGGGTCTTTCCAAGGCCTTCCAGGGTATGTCCCGTCGAGAGGTCATGAATGGTCGTGTGAGGGATGTGGATGAGGTGGAGCACATGTCTGTGGTTCGAACTGGTAAGCGGCCTAAATTAAAATCCCCGTAGCTCTTTTATACTTTATTAACAAATTTTTTTTAGAACCACCGGCGGACATCCTGAAGAGCGACGCTGTCACTACCCCTGCGGCTGTCAGTGTCAACGCTGCTGCATCTGCCAACTAGATGTGAAATATAGAATCTTGTACAAATAGAAATGTCTTAGTTTATTACTGTTTATCAATTTCCTTTTGAGTCAATTACATGAGCGGGCAAGCACGACCCGGATGGTTCCAAATGTGGTTCTTATCTTTTTTCAATGTTCCAGGTTCACTTACTTCCAACTCCATTTCTTGTACTCTTAGTGACACATTTCTTTGCATTCTTTCTCTCATTTCATCATGACTTCTGTATCTGATGGAACTGGATATCCTTCCAAGACCCAGTTCACAGAGCTGGAGTTAGGTGCATCCGAGGTCAAAGATGAAGGCTCCCTGCCCAGCCAGGATCCATTTGGTGACGAGACCAATGTTGGGATGAAATACAGAACGATGACTTGGTGGTCAGTGAAGTTTGGATTTCCTGGCCAGGGTCCGATATTAACCCTGCATCTAGGCAAGCCGGCATGAGTTGGTTATACCTCACCACTACTCGCTTTGCATGTTACTAAGAAGTCAACAGTCATGATTGCGGAGACGATTTCACTTGGGATTCTTGCGTTGCCCAAGGCACTTTCAACTCTCGGTCCTTTGCCGTATGTAGCGCCTTTGATGTAGTTCCATGACTGCCGCTGACCTACTTCTAGGGGTGTTACCGCCATTCTGGGAATCGGACTCGTTTCGACATATACCGGTTATACGATCGGTCAGCTGAAGGAACGATTTATGCATATTCATAGTATGGCGGATGCTGGCGATCTCTTGTTTGGAAGCCCGGGTCGTCGACTCTTCGGAATTGCACAGTTACTCTTTTTCGTCTTTATAATGGGGAGTCATATTTTGACGTTCTCTATCATGATGAACGTCTTGACCGAGCATTCCAATTGCACAATTCTGTATGCATCAATCGGCGTCCTTGTCTCGTTCATTTTGACTCTCCCGCGTCGCCTTGAACGATTATCTCATCTCTCGCCCATTAGCTTCGTAAGCATTATCGGTGCCGTTCTCGTGAGCATGGTTGGAGTCACTGTTGGACGACACTCGCCTAGTTTACAGGCTTTATCGACGGTTCCAACGGTGCATGATACCTGTCTTGCTATTGCAAATATCGTTTTCGCATATGCAGGACATGTTGCCTTCTTTACTCTTTTCTCGGAGTTGCGAGATATCAAAGATTTTCCCAAGGCTCTTGCGCTTCTCCAAACTTGTGAGATGGTTCTGTATACCGTCACGGCTATTGTCATCTATGCATACGTGGGCCAGGAAGTCACATCTCCAGCTCTGAACTCAGCGGCAGAGCTGTTTCGCAAGCTCTCCTATGGGATTGCAATTCCGACGGTATGTATTCGGAATGTTTGTCGTAGTTGAACACTAACAAATCCATAGATCGTCATCGGAGGTGTGGTGAATGCACATGTGGCAGTCAAGTTCATTTATGTGCACCTATTTCGGGGTACCAATGCGATGCATGCCCAATCTTGGAGCGCCCGGCTTAGTTGGTCGGCAATCAGCGCAGTCTTGTGGATCATATCATGGATCATTGCGGAGTCACTTCCTGTGTTCAATGACGTACTTGGACTTGCAGTATGTATGTCCGGAAAAGACCAAGTGCGCAGCTAATCATTCTTGCAGAGTTCCTTATTTGCCAGTTGGTTCTCGTTCGGTCTCCCCGGCATGTTTTGGCTCTATTTGAACCGAAGTTGTTGGTTCATGACTCGGCGACAGATAGCTCTGTTTTCGGTGAACATGTTATTGCTTTTCCTAGCGATAATTATTGTATGTTACAAGCCCGTTCAGTGTCACCGAGACTAACATCTTCTATAGTGTTTTATCGGGATTTATTCCTCTGTTCGATCGATTTACATAAACTTGGTTATGGGGGCTGGAGGCGGCAGCTTCTCGTGTGCAGACAACTCGCGCTGAGACTGAATTATTCTTATGATGTACACGTCAGCAGTCGAGTTCGGGTCAGGAAATATTCATTTATGATTCTGTTGACACCAGTTGTGAACATGCAGGTTGCATGGAGGTCAGTGTATGGAGAGTTCTCAGAAATACACAGCTCAGTCAAGGTAGTCGAAGGTGTATGAAAAGTTGTATTATATCATAGCGCAGCAAATTGATCATTCAAGTTGTCAATTGGTTCGATCTCTTCGTGTATTAGGTTGGAGCCTGAGAATCAGAGTCGGAATGGATGAAACCATATCTCCTCGGATACTCGAGGCATTCTGCATTGATATACTAGTGACCTGGACTGCACCTGGGCATGGGCATGTGCAAGGGCCCAGTACTAAGTGCTACACCTCGGTAGTAGCCGGATTTATTAATAGTAGTCTCGTAATATCAGTTATTAATCTCATGTATCGTGACATATTACTTTAGCTTCACCCTAATTGCTAGTTTCAGTACTAACAATTTAGATGCATAATTCGGATATATGCGTTTCAAGTTCATACTACTAGTTACTACTAGTTACTACTAATTACTACTAGTACATAATCGTACTAATCGTATATATCGTATCACGCTACGACCGGAGAACAGCTTATCCTTATCCACATCAGCCGAGCCACTCGGAAAATAGCGACTGGGTCCAAGATGCGTGTCATTAGCTCTCCCCGCGTGCACGGGTAAATTGGTGATCTGGTATATCATGGTGAGATATTCGAGCTCTACATTTGAACATTTTTATATACATGCATGAGATATTATTTACATTTTTCCCTTCCAAATATCCTTCTCCTGGAATCTCATAGAATCCGTACTTTATAGCCATGCGGAGATACCCTGCTTGATGCATGGGGTCCCGACTTAGACAGGGGTTCATCTTTTTGACTCCTAACGAATCATTATACCCCCATTACCGCTAGAAGCGCAACGGTTTGTGTCACCTTTATTCCTCCGGTGGAATTGTTCCGCCCATGTGTCGAATCCCTGGAGGATATGGGACTAAGACTGAGCTGAGACAAGGTTCTTTGTTCTTCTTGTTCTGATAGGTGTCGGTTCATCAGAATCAATGTCATAGAACCCTGAAAATATGCAAGTATACCCATCAAGGGCTACTTAGTTTTTTGCCCCTCCATCAGCTCATCGGCCTCTTCAGCTTGCATGCATATTGAAAGCTGGTCTAGTGGCGAAAAGAAAAGAAAACAAAAAATGGGGAAAAAAAGTTGGTAGGTTTTTTTTGGGAGGGGTTTTATTTCTTGCCCCCCACTTCAGCATTTGATGCTCCGTGTGTATTGTTCCAAAATCGTGTCACGGCTCGTTGAGCGATTGTTGTACCCCGGAAGCGTTCAAGGAAATAATTGAATAATGCGAACTCGTCCCGGTTTAACACGTAGGTATCTGGTTCGGCTTGAAGTCGACTCCATAGATCTGTGATTGCTGCCTCGAGAACCATAGTGGTTTGTGTATCCACTGTTCCATTTTCACAGTTTCGGGCGCGCTCTAAGGCTTGTCGAATTGCAGCTTGCTCTGAGGAGTTTGGCATGGTGTATATATTTTTGCGGAAGACTTCAATGTTGATTCGTGAGGGGTTGGAAGAATGTCCAAGTCGATGCAGATTCCCAAGGATTTGAAATTTGTCTGAGGGAATGCAACGATTGCCCAGGTAGAATAGGTGGCGTAAACAAGAGAAGTATTATACCACATACGACCAAAGGGGAAAAATCAACCCTTTTCAATCATGAGATGGAGCCGAAGTGGAGAAAAGGGAAGAAAGAGAAAGGGGGCCAGAGAAAATAAAAATAATAATAATAAATATTGAGAGAGAAACTCGGCCTAGTAAAGCCGAGATTATCGGAAGTAATGAAAATGAATTTTTAGTTCATATTTTATTTTCTGTTGCACAAAGGTAAGGTACTAATCGGCGATCATGCCGAGTCGTAGAGAACCGGAAGAAAGGTAAAATTATAAATAAAGCGAAATTCGTCCTCATCGGCCGAGGGGGTATGAAGGGGGAAATCGGGATAGACTTTTGAGAAAGAAAAAAAAAGCATATCTCAAAAAGCAAAGCCCGCGAAGGGCGAGTGGGGTGGTTTGTTCATCGGGGCTCGGGCTCGCCCGCAAGGCGTAGGCGTAACGGTTTTCGAAATGACACTAGGGATCGAATATGGATCGAGACGAGGACCAGTATGATGAAGCTGATTCGTCGATACCAGAAAGTATAGGGTTCAAGGGACATATCGCTTAAAGCCTTTTAGATTAGAGGCGCCATTAGAGGAATCGCTCATGTTATAGTACCCGAACCTGGTTATCCAGTCCGGTGCGTCAGTTGAGTGGAGAACTCTGGACTCCGTTCCGGAATGCATTGGGTGAGGCTCCTCTGGGATCTTCCGGAATTTCCTCGATCACATCGGTGGCGTTGTTTCAAGTTGTTGTATATGGTGTAGTAATGTAAGTAATGTAGTGTGAGGTGGTTGTTGTGGTGTTGTGTGTCTGTAGTGTTTGAGATGTTTGTCTTCTAACACTCACTCTCCCTCCCTCTCCCTTCCACTGGAATACTTCGACTTCAAATGTTTCTGATTTATCTTGACTCATGTCAGATTGATTCATAAGCGGGGCTCGGCAGTTCAGGAGTCAGTGTCGATCGAGTTATGTCGATCTTTTTTTCTTTTATTTTTTTTTCCCATTCCGGTGGAGATTATATTATAAACGGAGTACTTCCATGTACTCCGTAACTTCGTACATTTGTACGTAGTACTCCGTACTCCGTATACTTCATGGCGTTCGGAATATCACATCGGGGATTCAACGGAGATTCGGGGAAGATTCCATTGCCGCGTCGTCACTCGCAGGATCTGTGGATTAAAGTCCCATGTATGAAAGGTCTATTCATGGAGACTTACTCCGCTCTTTATCATCTTCCCTTCTCTGAATCTCCCCCTTCTCCTATAATGGAGAAGAAGGTTCTCGTTCTCTCTCAAGAGACCCATTGATCTCGCGCTTCCCGGTCCGTTTCAAAATGTCTCTGGTACAAACGCGATCGATGGAGCCGCCCCGTTAAGGTTAGGGCTGTCCAGGTGGATGAAATCCCGATATCATAATCACACCATATTCAAATTGGCGAGACTATCGGGAAATGAACAAATCAGCGGAAATGAGGGATGAGCTGTTGCTATTTAGTGGCTTCTGGTTCTGACTTTCTCGCACGAAAGGGAAAAAAAAAGAATTTTTCAAAATTTCTCAAATTCAAAATAAAGGGGGATTTGGTGGAGTTATGCAACCCTTGAAGCTTTGCACCAGAGAAGCTAAAGCCCAGACGGGATATTGCGCCGGAATTGAAGTCCATTTGCTTTCCCCACGTCCCGTCGAACTAGACTCTCAATGCCGCAATAAAGCGGTTTGTCCTTGGTGGAGAAATTGAAAAATGGCCTCATACCGATTTACCGATGATGCTAATAACGGATTTCAGGATTCAGGAACTCGGCAGCTTCCAAGGTTTGAAGGTCTCCACACGCAACTCTAATGCGTAAGTGAACTGTGGCCCTTATCAACTTGCAGGGCGAAATGAATTAGACCAGAGTCAAAATTTGAATTGGCTTGTGAATTGAAATTGGGTTTCGTCATCATCACTAACGGCATTCGAGCTAATATTTGGAGGTAACCTTTCGCTAAGGGACTGTCAGGACTGGTCAGGACTCAGACCGGTCAGACTTGACAGGGCTGGATGATATAAAGACGGAGTATTCCGAGTGAGTTACTCCGTAACGAATACGAAATGGATCTCATATGATATGAAGTGGACTCGCAAAGGTTTCGGATCATGATGTGTTATCTCTTGCGGTTGAAATCTCGGGTGGGTGGTGGTTGCACCCGTGAACTGAAACGACTTGAGGTTGGAGAACGGGAGAGTGAACAATCTCGGGAAGAGAAAAGTCTCGGGAAGAAGCTGGTCAAAGCTGGTCATGCAGATTTTGAAGGGATACTTTCTCCCAAAGTTTGTGCCCTCGGAAGATCCCCGATATCTACTGCGCTTTCCCGACCTGTGCTTTCCCGAGCAAGTCAGCCGAGATCTACTTAGTATCTCTATAAAGGAGGCTCTATGGTATATCATACACCAGTGACTGGAGATACTTTATAGTAACGACAATGGAATCCAGACTTGTCTCCTTCTAACTTCGATGTTGGCACATGCGTAGATACGACTTAACTCATGATCTTGCAGCAACACTTGTAACCTTCAACCCAGTTCCCTATATAGAACCTTCTAACAGTTTGATGCAAATATGCACACATTTATATCGGAATATTGAATTGATAATTGATAATTGCTTATAACTATATGAGATAAATCACAGATTCAATTCTCTATACTACACATCGGATCTATATGTGCTGACTAAGACATGTCACTTTTCCCCACGAAAAGATTCAAGTTTCTCACAATCAGGTCAACGTACTCAGCGCGCATCATGGTCTATTACTTTACCTCCAATGTGGTCAGCCCGGCGGCCTTTATCTACGTCGGCAAGGACAAGTTCGAAAGTATGTGTCCCACATCCTGGGAGTGAGAAACATACCTAACCAGTCTCGGCAGATGAGTCTTTAATTGAATTTGGATTGGAGTCGGATGTTTGGTAGGTGATCACTCAATTTTTATGCAGATTTTCAAACAGCTAATCTGTCTCACAGGGTCGGTCCCCTTGCGCATTCCCAATGATCCCCGCAGTCCCTCTAACCGTACCAGTTCCACGTCGATAACCTTTCCAGCGCGCACGTCTATGTACGACTTCGAGAAGGCGAAACATGGGAGCAGATCCCAGAGAAGCTTTTGGAGGACTGCGCACAATTGACCAAGGCGAACTCGATTGAAGGTTCGATTATACCGTCGCATATAGTACGAGTCCACGACTGACGATGCTTGTACAGGAAACAAGAAAGACAATATCACCATTATCTACACACCCTGGGCCAATCTCCAGAAGGATGGATCGATGGCTACAGGACAGGTCTCATTCCACAACCCCAAACTTGTCAAGAAGGTTCTTGTCCGCGTCCGCGAAAACCCTATCGTCAACCGACTCAATAAAACCCGTGTCGAGAAGTTCCCTGATCTGAGAGCGGAGAAGGAGGAGTACCTCAAGAAGAAGCGCAATGATGAACGGAAGGTTCGTGATCAGCAGAAGGAAAAGGATAAGTTGGAGAAGAGGGAGCGTGAGCAGTTGAAGTGGCAGAAGGCTCATGCTTATGATGATATGTTCAGTGAGGAAAACATGGAGGCCAGCAATAACCAAAATCGGGATGCGGATTTCCTTGATGACTTTATGTGAGACTGTACATTTTACAGGCTGAGCTGAGTTTAGATGGATATGAAGATATGAATCTATGATATCAAGTACATTGTTCTGGTTTCGAGTCTTGGTTATACTACCATCTGATATTTTATAGTAATTGAAAGTGAAGCCTGGACGAGTGGGTGTTTACATGTGACTTGAGTATTAATTTCTTCCAAGGACACTTCAGTAGTCTTACCTAGGTGCAATTCTTCAAGTTTAATTGCACCTGGGCACTTGTGTTAACAACAAAAGCTTGCATGAACCTATACTAGGTACATATGTCGTATCACTAGTAGTTAGCGTGGATTGCTTAACAGATAAGCAGAAATTTCGAGTTTCAATATTTCCAAGAGAATATTAAGTATACATCTGAAACTAATTACAGATCTAATAAAACCATTGCGAATGCATAGATCATCGTTGACATTACTGTGTCAGATAGATTAATCATCGCGACGGGGCGGAAAGTCCCCCCCCCCCCAGCCGCCAAGTGGAGAGGTGTTGACAGCTTCCCTGTTCTCCAATTCATCCCGGGTTCATCTCTGACCACCAACCACAATATGCCCGGTGAAAACTCTCAATCCGCTTTAGGTGCGCGCATGGATCTCCCTTTTCCAAATGACATTTAACTCACTACCCCCCCTCGGCGATCCCAGGCGCGAAATCAAAGAAGTCAAAGAAGAAGGCCGCGACAGCCAAGGACAATGCTCAGACCACTGAGTCCGTACCCCGCGGGGACTCCGAAAATGCAGAGACCGCAAAGGTATACTCGTCCTCGTCGCCGCTTCTTACTATAAACCGCATTCCTAACGACTATGCACAGACCGATCCTAATGAAATAGGCAACGATGAAAACCCCTCCGCTGATGCCCCTCAACCTGATACCACTGAGACCACCGACGAAAATGCACAGAATGATTCTTCGAACGGCTCTAAAACTGTTATCGGCGCGCATAAGGATTCCGATGATGCCCCCGCGACGGACGCTGAGCCTAATGATCGCTTCGATGCATTGGTCCGAGACCGAGACTCCCTACGGGCGGAAGTCATTGATATGCGCAAATCGTTGGAAGAGATCCAGTCCAAGCATAAGGATGATATGGAGGCATTGCAACAGAAATTGGGCGACTCAGAGACTAAGAAAGAGCAGGCGGAGGCACAGTTTCAGATGCTTTTGGAACGTGTAAATACAATCAAGTCTCAACTAGGACAACGGCTGAAGGAGGACGAGGTATGTACATGGATGGAATTGATGAAGTTTTATTGGAGGCTTGCTCACATCTTTACAGGAAGAACTATCCCAAGCCAGATCCCAGATCGAGGACCTCGAGGATGAGAACGCAAACTTGAAGTCACAGCTTGACTCGAAGTCTTCGGAGCTGACCGAGGTCTCGGATGAATCGAAACAGAAATCTAAGGAGATCAACACGCTTCGAGATCGTACCACTTTGTCACAGCAGAATTGGCTGAAGGAGAAGGACGGATTAATCGAGCAGGAAGCTTACCTGCAATCCGAGTTCGAACAAGCCAAGGAAGCTATGCATAATTGGGAGATCCTTGCGATGGAAGAACGATCTATTAGAGAGAACTTGGGTGAGAAGGTCGTTGATCTGGAAGAACAGTTGGGTAGTCTTCGTGATGCCTATGAAAAAGTATCGGGAGAACGCGATGGCCAACAATCCACTGTTGATGGTCTTCAGCGTGCTTTGCAGGAGATTCAAGCTGCGCGGAAACAGGAGCTTCGTGAGCTGGTAGAAAGCTCAGATACTCAACTGGAAGAGCTTAGGCGATCTCTACGAGAGGCACAGCAACAGGCTAGTGATGCGGATAAGAACCTTCACACTGCGCAAGAGGAGATCGAGCGAGTGCGTCCGTTCGAGAAGGAGGTAAAGGAAAAGAACCTTCTTATTGGGAAATTGAGACATGAAGCTGTCACGCTGAATGATCACCTTACCAAGGCTTTGCGATTCTTGAAGAAGGGCAAGGCGGAAGATAATGTTGACAGGTGGGTTTTCTTCATCAGAATATCCCTGAAAAGCCATGTACTAACTTGACCAGAAATATCGTTACAAACCACTTCCTGCACTTCCTCGCACTGGATCGATCAGACCCCAAGAAGTTCCAAATTTTACAACTCATCGCCGCTCTTCTAGGCTGGGATGATGGTAAGTTGCTCCACTGTATGCACTACGGAACCGAGATCCAATACTTACAATTTCTAGAACAACGTGAACAAGCCGGTTTAGCTAGACCTGGTACCTCAAACCAGCCAGGTAAACTACGCGTCCCTGGAACTCCACTGCGCACACCGAGCACACCTAATCTCGCTGGATTCATGGACAATGGAGGATCCGCTACCAAGGAGGGACTAGCCGAACTCTGGTCGGATTTCTTGGATCGGGAGGCTGAAGAGAAGCAGATGAACTCCATGAGGAGAGGTAGCCATCCTGGTCCGGCTAAATCATAGTTCTTGGTTTAATATCCCAGGCGTTTGTACTTTGGTAGTCTTCATCTAGACGGAATCGACATAGATTGGCATTGCCTCTCATTTGCATTGTACTTTCCAATCGGTTTGACTTAGTTAGAGCTTGACACAGTATGGCGGAGTTTCATCTGGATTGTTGTATGTTACATTGATCATCTTGGAAGTATGTAGTACACGTAACTGTAGTATTAAACCGGAATCAACAAGTTCTCATGAGGGATAATTAAGCTAGGTACATAGAAGACCAAATAGCAGCGCTGGATGCCAGACACTTTTCCCCGGAAGTAGAAATGATAAAAAAGAAAAAAAACCCCGATTCTCATCTGAAGGGTTTACACAGAATGTGGTAAAAGCAACGCAAAGAGAAAAACTGGGATATCTGCAAGGCTGGTGTCGAAAGAGACGAAAATTTTCTGAATGATGTTGTGTCCAGAGGCCAATTACCGTTTCACATCACTCAATTCACCAAAGATGGAGTATTTGCAACGCCATTCTTGGGCATCTAGTATCCGTTCATGGCCCCACGTTGAGAGTTGCGGCTGAGCTCACGGTCGGCTGAGGGACTGATGGGACGACCACCGGTGTGGCCGGCAGCGCTGCTCTCCTTGAGAGCCAACAGCTGCTTAGCACGGAAAGTTTCGTAGTGGATCTGGCTAGTGGTCTCGACCAGATCCTGGAGGTGGGTGCGGGTCAAGAAGTTGCGCAAGTAAACGAACTCGCAGTGGTTCTCATCCTCGACGTTGATGACACCCCAGCGGTTCTGACGGCCACGGACCTGCTTGCCGTTGACGACGATGGTCTTCTCACTACCGACAACGGAGAAGGGGATAATGTCCTGGAATGATGTTAGTTATCCGTGCAAATTTGCAGTGCTGATCTCGATCCGTACCTTGATCTGCGCATTGATAGCTCGCTCCTCATCATCAAGCTCGTCATTCTCGTAGGGGTACATCTTCAGGTGGTGGAAGGCGAACTCCTCCTTGATGCGCTCCTTGAAGGCCTGACGCTCCTCCAGGGTAAGGGAGTCGGACTTGGCGATGACGGGAACGACATTGACGACGTCGGAAAGTTTCTTCAGAACAACGATATCAATGGGCTTGAGACTATGATGGGGGTCAGTGGGGGTTTGATTCATTTCTGGGGATAGGTGAGGCTCACGCATGGCCGGAGGGCTGGATGAAGAACAGACAGCAGTGAATACGGGTATCTTGGATGTAACGCTCACGCTGAGCAGTGAGTTCCTTGCGGAGGTAGGCGGAGTGCTGATCCTTGATGTACTTGACAATGGGATCCCAACTGGAGACATGTTAGTATATGATCGGGCTGTAAGATGTAAATCTCGTGATATTCATACCAACGGTCGTTATTGACCTGGTCTCCGTATCCGGGAGTGTCAACAATGTTCAGGCGAAGACGAACACCGTTCTCCTCAATAACTAGTCAAGTTGTGAGCTATTGATATCCCCGCTCGACCCATATCCATAATAAACATACTGTGCGAAACGGTCTGGATCTCGGTGGTGGAGCGCACGGGCTCATTGGGGGTAAGACGACCCTTGGAGTCGATCAGGTGGGACGCGAAGATGGTGTTGACCAGGGTAGATTTGCCCAGACCGGTTTGACCTTGTATAGGGTGTCAGCATGATTGATTGAGCTTCAATAAACAAAGCTTGGTGATAACAAGATCTGTATTTTTAAGATCTGGAGCTGCACATACCAACACACATAACATTGAACTGAAAGCCGCGCTTCAACAGCTTACGCTCAATCTGCGAGGTGATGCTGTCAAAACCGACATGACTGTGGGGGAAGACGGTGGGCTGCTGAGCCGAAGCAGCAGTGGTAGCGGCAGCCATTGTGTAAAAAACGGGGAGGGATTAAGAAAGGTAGAGAGAGAGGGAGGAATGAATGAACAAGAAGAGAACAGAAACGAGAACGAGAGTGATAGAGATTCCCCAGAAAAGAGACAAACCAGGTAACAATCAGGTGAAGCCCCTTAAGTTGTTCTTTCCTATCGAACAACTCAGGGGTGGACGCTATACCCGATTGGGGTTAGCGTATAGAGTCGCAAACTGATTTTCTTTTTGGGAACGAACCATCCTGGGGAGGCTCTTGATACCTCTCAATACTTCAATTCCACTCCATCAACTCCCAACAACTTCACAATGGCCTTGTCCATGATGTCGCCGCTCTCTAGAGCCGTTCCTCAACTACCTCGATTCGGTTTACTCGCCACTGCAATCTCCCTGCCTTCCATCTCCGTGACTATTCCGCCATTCCTCTCCGATCTCTGGGACTCAGTCCTCCGTGCGGTTCCCAAGAAGAAGACCTCGCACATGAAGAAGCGCCATCGTCAAATGGCTGGAAAGGCCCTGAAGGATGTTGAGAATCTGAACAAGTGTCCCGGCTGTGGTCAAGTCAAGCGGGCTCATCTGTTGTGTCCCCACTGTGTGAATGGTACGTGGAGTCTCGACCCTCGGAGCCTTGAAGAAGGTTTTGCGCAGATCAGTGGTGGCGTTGATGGTGTCTATGGTGCAGCGGAGGAATATCAATGGCGTAAAATAATCAATTGCTAACTTGGGGAAACAGAAATTAAGCAGTCGTGGAAGACGGCCCAGACCGCATGAAGTCACGATGACAATGTGAGATATCTCGAATGATGACTTCAATCGACTGGCGGAGTGCGATTATCCTACAGAGCGAACCTGGATAAAACGCACTGCGCATTGTGTATTTGTATAGCTTATTTCTTTCGTTATTGGGGATCTGCAGATTATTGATCTGCTGCATGGCACTTGGCGTCTGGTACATATATGGGTGAAAAAACCTGAATTATGCCCAAGGGTTCTACTGAACTCGAAATTTTATTTCAAATTTTCAATTCTACAATATTAAAAAGACAATAATCACCCAAGGTATGGCCTATGTATCACCTGCGAAATGTGCAGCTTGAATGTTTGCTATGATATTGAGTGGTTGCCCAGGTGGTTTCTGTCGTTCCCCGTAGTACTCCATACAACGCTATCCCAAAAGCTTAGGCGGAGAACAACCTCAAGCTAAACTGCCAACAATATTCCCAAGGCGGGCACCCAAGGCAGATAGACGTCATATTTCACGCCATGGATCCCACAACTACGCGCGGTTCTACGGTCATCCCGCCGTCCTGACATAACAATGGTAAATATTGGAACCAAAAACGCACCTGGCAATATATATTTGATGAGATCACCTGGCTAATAATCAACAGTCTAAGCAATACATCTTATTGGGTTCCGCTACTAATGGTGCGCAATTATCAAGTTGCAAAAAGTAAGAGCTAACGCGAAGCCTCTAGCGCATCCCGCGGATATTTTCTCTCTGGCAGTAACGAACAAGCAACTGTTATCTGCATCAGGATCGCCCGCCTTGAAAGTCCATTCCATCACAGATCCAGAGTTCCCACTGGTCCAATCGATTGATGGAGCTCACCCGCTGGGCTGTCACCATGTGGTCACTGATGGTTCAGGCACTCGAGCAGTCAGTGCAGGTTTTGCCAGTGACTTGAAGGTCTGGTCCTGTGTGGACGGCCATTGGTCTGCAGATGAGGCTGCCACAGGTGTGTTATAGCTCAAGATAGCTCCAATGACGTGAGAGATGCTGACTGAATGTGTAGCCAACCTTGCGAATGCTAGAGTGTGGGCAATCGCCTTGTCATATGATGGCTTCTACCTGGCAGGCGTGAGTTCAAATGGTAATATCGGTGTATGGGATCTGGCTGGCGGCGAGCAAATTCGAAACCATGAGACCAAGAACAGCTTTGGTCTTTGTATTGATTTAGTATGTCTTCGAAGAAAGCACTGCTATGTCATTGATTACTGACAGGTATAGTCACCGAATGGTCGATTGATTGCTAGCGGTCATGAAAATGGTGCTGTTTATGTCTTCAGCACCGAGTCGGGCCGTATGCCATACTCTGTGACAGGTATGTCAATTCGATAGCCATGCCCTATTTTAACCCAACCTGACAATTCTACAGGCTTGGTCAAACCCGTTCGAGCGGTGTCATTCTCACCTGGAAGTAGAATCCTGGCCGCAGCGGGCAACTCCAAAGTGATTCTCCTGTATGATACCGCCTCTGGTGAACAGATCGGAACCCTGTCTGGTCATGACGCCTGGGTGGTGTCTCTTTCGTGGAGTTTCACTGGTGAATATCTTCTCAGCAGGTATTTAACAAAAGTCTCACTGCTTGACCAAACCGAATATCTAACATTGTCCACAGCTCATACGATGGAAAAATCAAGGTCTGGAACATTGAGACCAAGACCTGTGTTAACACCCAGGCTCAGAACGACCAGGTGGTATGGAGCGCGAAGTGGTTCGTGAAGAGCGGAAATGGAAAGTCTGACGCTTTCGCAATGGGCGGCGCAGACAAGAATCTCCTTTTCTACCGCGAGGCCTCGGGTTAAGTTTAACCCAGGCGTTTCTGTACTCGTAGTTTTACAACCTTGGAAGTGATGATGAAAATTAACGCACTGATGGCCTGCGTAAGAAAATTCATGAAATGAACGTCATATGAAAAAAATAATCATACTAAACCCATTCTTTCTTCAATTCATCGTCTCAACAAATAATTTGCGCATGCGCTTAAGGAAAGCCCCAAAGTCCCGGTCCTCGTTGACAAGTTCTACTTCACGTTCCAAAGCTTCCCGGTCCACCTTGGGTCGTGTATGGAAAACCTCGTAATCACGACTAGCGGTCCCAAGCTCAAACCAGGCTTCGGTCTCCCAATCCTTCTCCACTATGTGGCTGTAAACAAACTTCAAGCGATCGTCTCGCCCCGCCCCTTCAATCCGTAAACAGAGGTAGTCCTGCCAAAATTCCAGCTCTGGATTATTCAGACGAGATTGCGCATCCAGTTGTTTTGCGTGGGCTTTTTGTGCTTCTAGTCGTTGGTTGATAGCCTTCTGGGTCTCTGCGATTTGCTGCTTGAGACGGTCGCGCTTCGTGAGTCGTGAATCGCGCTCCATAGTGACTGTAGAGATGGCCGCGTGCATTTCAGCAGCCTCTGCTGCTTCTTTCTGGAGAGTCTGCTCATGTGTTTGGGATTTCAAGTTCAGGATTTCAATATCACGTTGTCGCATTCGCTCATCCTCTGTATTCTAGTCAATATCGCGCCATAACACCCCCGTCATTCTTGGCGGTCCCAACGCACCTTGTAATTCTGCGAGATTGATGTGGAACTGGTTTCGTTCCTCGAGAACTTGTTTGCGGCCTCGTTCGATAAATGCGTCGAATTTCGCGGTGAAATGGGCCATGCGATTGCGTAGGTCCTCGAATCCGAAGTTGATGTTGGGTAGGGAATCAGCCATGGATGGCGCATCTGCGGAGGCCAAAGGTGGGCGCATGCCGCTCGTTGAGAGCGATGGTTCAAATGAAGATGTCATTGTGATTGAGAGGAATTCTGCGTTCTGGATTGATCAGATGTAAAGCAGAATATGAAGATGCTAAGGGTAAACGCGAAGTTGAAGTTGTTTGGGTTGCGGCGCAACGGAGCTTATCGATAAGCGCTCCAAAAACCTTCGCCAATTCTTCATACTGTAATTCGATCTATCTGCACTGAAGAGCTTCTCTTCGTGCTTGATTGAACCCAATTAATCTTTTACATACCCGACATGATCTGGCCAGATTTGGCGCATATTGCAAGACGCAAATCAAGATCCGATGGATGAGCATACTAGCAGTGCTCTACACTATGGGCACGTTGGAAGACCGATCTACCTCCCAGAAACCAGAACATGGAGCTTCGAACGATCATTTATCCGAGCTCCCGATCTAGAATACACGGGTACAACGAAGACTATCATAGCCTCGCCTTCGAGAACCGCCCAAGCTACTCTCTTCGGTCCGTACGGTCGACCACTCAATGCGAACTCCATTCCCCATGCGCTTCCGGAATTGGGAGTACCCTGGTCCTCCATTGACGGGCATGCAGCTTCCAAGTTGATCGCGAGAACCAATGAACTCTATGATCCACGTGCTTCTACCCTTCTGGATTTGGGTTATGCGCTTGATGTTGGAAAGCAGAATGGAATCGTATCTATTGCAGCGGCTGTGACCGGAGAGTCTAGGAATATCATTTCATTACGAGTGATAGCCGAAGAAACCACAGAATTGCCACTCGATGAACTCTCAGTAAAAGTCCCAGCAATTGGCGACGCGGAAGTCACGGAGTGGTCGACACAAGGCGCACGGATCCGACAAATCTGTTTCTCCCAGCCAGCGCAAGATGAGGAGGATAAAGCAACCTGGATGGCTGCTCGCCTTCCCGAATCTATCACAATATTCCGGCCGTTATATCTCCAAGATCCGGCGCCGATGCATCTTCATCATGATGACCCTGCGTTGCTCCCATTGTCACTGCGCAACTCCCGCCTAGATGCCAACCCAGTGGTGGAGATTCTCAGCTCGCATACTGGCGGATTCACGCACGCTGATATTGCATTCAACCCTTGGTATCAACGGCAGATAGCTATTCTTGATACGAGGGGTAATTGGAGTCTCTGGGAGATTCAAACTAAGCGTCACCGACGAAAGGCTGATGGGCTTGCCCTCCCTGGCCGAAAAGGTTCGTTACCATCAATTGATCAGGAGGATGTCAACGCTGCCAGACATGACGGCTGGGGGTCTATCCAGTGGATTGTTGATTACTCAACCCTTATTGTTGCTGATCGTCGATGTGTGATGATCTTTCGGGTGGAAGGAGATGAAGTTCGTACCCGGGCTGTCGAATTGAAATTGGGGAGGCAGTCAGAATGGGTTCTCGAGGTGCGACGAAGTGTGAAGAATGCATCACAGTTTTATGTTCTCACAACAACTCGATTGATTTTGTTTGATATGAGAACGGCACGAGAAGATGAAGAGGGGGTTAGACTGCCTCTGCAGTATTCGCTTGCCTGGCGTCATTTCCGAGACACTGAAGACACTTCCATGCGGCTTAGTGAACTATCTCTCAGAGGAGGTAAGTAATCTACCAGGTCTATGGAAGTCCATTACTGACTGAAACAGGTTTATACCTCATTTTGTATTCCAGACTCAACGAACTTGTTCAGGTTTACCCATGTCCTGTTGTTAATGATACCCAGACGGATCCAATCGAGGTTTCAGATCCGTTTTTGTTGTGTATGCCACTAATCGAGAAAAAGAATATTCTCGACGAAAAGCCAGGACGTTACTCGACGTTTGTGTTCAGAGAAGTGAACTATTCCCCGGTCCCGAGGCAACAAATTACACTCCTGATATGAGCCTTGTTAAGCTCTTCTGGACAGACTCGTCTCTCGGTGTTCATGAATCTCTTTTCAAGAACCTATTGAGCAGCTCAGAGGAGTTGGAGATGGATGACGAGCTAGATGACCGAACAGTTCTTCGTGCAAATGAGCCTCACACCTTGGACACAGACTGGGTAGATGAAGACGATGATTTCGTTGTCAATGACTGGCACGAATCCGTCATGGCCCGAAGGGCTGCATGGAAACCCGGCTTCCCGACTTCATTAGCTGAAGATCTGAGTTGGACTATGAACTGGACACCTGTGTATAAACTCGCCTTGGTTAATGTACTTCGCGGCACCAATCACCTTGATGACGAGGAACCTCGGACTACCTTGAATCAAATCATTGAGGATGTGGAGAGTGGGAAACTTTTGGAATTGGATGATTGGCAGAACAGCGAGACGATGTAAGTGTGGAACTGTACGATCCCGCTTTTTTTCTTAGCTAATTCATTTCCAGGTTTGAAATTGCCGGTGGTCGTCCGGTTTCAATGGATATTGAACAGAATTCTATTGAATTGAAACATCTTGTCTCGACAGTTCTTCCTGAGAATACTGATGCTCAACCTCAGTTCATGATCGTGCCTCTACGCTTCTCAAATCTATTCCCAGGCATGCCGATAGCCCACCCAGAGAGGCAATCGGATCTCGACTTCGGATATACCTATGATCGAATGGTGGATGAGTGGCTTACCAAACTTTCTCTCGAAATTCCCAATCAGACACGTCTAATGAAAGGGAGAACTGTGCGCGGTATTGCTCTGGATATTCTTTTATCACGCCTCATTCGAATTTCCACCGACTCTACGAGACTCGCAGCATCACAATTCCAAGAGAACGAGACACCCGCAAAGCAAGAACCGACGGATTCTCAAGATTTCGATCTAGGGATGGCATCTTCCCAGCTCGCCTCAAGCCAGGGTACTGTAGTAGGCCACCGCAGTAGCCAGCTACGCAGCGGGACCAAAGGTGCACTTCCATCTTACAGCAGTCTTGCTGCATTCACAACATTCAAACCACCCCGTCCACAGCCTCGAAACGTGGCAAGTCTACTCTCGCACTGGGATCTAGGTGCAGACCCATCGACTTATGAATGGCAAAAGGCGTCCCAGTCACAGAACGCAGAGTCCTCACAGATGGGTCCTCCAGGCACACCACAGCGCCGAGCACGTAAGAAGCGCTCTCAACAGACACTCAATGTCGAAAGACCAGTTCAATCACTAACACCCACCGCTCCAACTCTTCGAGCATGGGGCAGTCAACCTAATCACTCGATGTTGGTGAGTAGTCAGCCTACCGTGGATGATCTGCCCATGACTCAGACTGAGCGTGGACAATTTGGAACACGTGAAGTGACCAAGAGCAGCAAGGCGAAGAAGAAAAGACGAGCAGGAGGTTTTTAGTCTGGTTTATTGTATATACTGTGGATCATCTTGAAGATATCAGATACCCGATCATGACTACAACTTTTCTAAAACATCTAGATTCTTGCAAGCCTAAGGTTGTAATTGACAAATACTACTACTAATATTAATTATTATTCAACACTCCATATAAATACTTTTATCACTAATACCTAGGTAATCATATCAGCACTTACTATCTACTAGGCAATGGTATAGTGATATCCATTATGAAGCGGGGGACCTGAACCCAATGGCGAAAATAACTCAAGGGATGAACCACATGTGCACACAATGTGAGATTATAAATCCATCTCACCCTTCCAAGCTATTTAATAAATCTAAATCTGTCACTTTCTACTTTATATCCCCTATACAATATCTTATCATCAGCATTTGATTTGTACCGTTTTCACACTGCTAATACTATAAGCGGCTACTCCATCGGGAATTTATTATCTGATTTCTTCTCTCCGCGCCCCGCCTCTCTTAAACACAACACCACCAAAATGTCAGACCACGAATACAAATTCAACGTAGCTATGAGCTGTGGTGGATGCTCTGGAGCTGTTGAACGAATCCTGAAAAAATTAGAAGGTATGTACCTGCACTTCCTCTCCTCCTCTCCCTCGAGTTTACAAGTTCCCACGTGGCTAACTGCTTGCTCTTAGGTGTCAAGTCCTTCGACGTTAGCCTCGAATCCCAGACTGCTACTATCGCTACCGAGCCCAGCCTATCCTACGATACTGTTTTGGCGGCTATTAAGAAGACAGGGAAGGCTGTGAAGAGTGGAGAGGCAGATGGTCAGGCTATGAGTGTTGAATAAAGTCGCATTCGGTACATGTCTCGATCGAAGTTCTGATTTGGTCGACTTGAATATCTACATTTGAGTGGTTAGGACTATGTGACTATGGGCTTCTTGGTTATAGCGCAATATACCTTCAATTTTTGCATCCCTTGAATTATTACTCTGGTATAGGCTATAGGCTATATGGAAAGAAAGTGCAGTAGCAGTACTGATAAAGGTGGTAGTACAAGTGGATATGTGGTTTATTTCTAACTCGTAGACAATGACAGCATTTTATTGACCTCCTATGAACGCAGACGTTCTAAGAATATGCAGATGGGTATCATGGACAAAGAGACAAAGGCAGATGCAAGGTCCGAGATTGTCAAAGGAAAAGAAAATCATCACTGCCATAATAGAAAAGGAAAAAAGAGCATGCCGTAAAACTTTCTTAATCAACAATCACCACTGGCCTGCCATCAGCCTGAGATATGGAATATTGTGGTGGTTGGGATTCAACTCGTTGCACATAAATTGGGCGGTTCTGTTCTACCATTTGGAACGCCCGGGGATCATGAACGCGTCTGTCGCAGGTTAGCTCCGGGGGACTGAATGTGAGTAAGATTTTTTCAGCCAACTTACCGCGCATTACTGAGCCCACTGCCAGGTCGTCTTTCGCGAGGAGGGATACGTCCATGAGGCTGGCGGCTTCCTGGAGTACTCTCCGGATGATGGGGTATCTGGTGATGAGCAGATGTTTGTACCACTCGCACAGTAGGGAGCTGGCGTTGCTCCGAAGGGGCTCGAGGCTGTGAAAGATCCTGGGCATGTTGGTCGGGAATCCGGGTCCGGATAGGCTGGTGACTGGGCTGGTGACGCGGGTGCTCGATGAAATAGTCCAGCGGACGAGACTCACGCACATCGACAGAACGAACAAAACCATCGGCATACTGTTTTCCGGAGGCGGGATCATGGACCAGGGGACGGTCACCATCAATACGTGGATTCCAGGTAGTAGGACGGGGCTCCTCAACCTTTGATTGTCGGACATGGTCCATGCGGGGGCTACGATCAACAAAGTAAGGTGCCCGAAGCTCAGGGCGAGAGGTGGGATCCACTGCGGCTCTGTATGAACGATCCCCAGAAATACCCATAGCGGCACCTACTCCAGAAGAGGGCGGCATGTTTGTATGCACAGGGACATAGCTCATTGGGTCAATGACACGCGGGCGATCCATTTCTCGTCGAGTACTTAGATTGACCTGTGACGTGAAGGGGGCAGATGGCCTTTCACGCTGGTGACCTATCAGTAAAGAGTGCTCCGCTGGAGGAAGATAATCCCGACGGAGAGATTGTTGCACATCCTGCGAGCGGTGCTCAGATCCCAGACCATCGACGCTGCGATATTGGACTCTATTTTGTTCTTCTGAAATAGTGACAGGGATAGACATTCCAATAGGTCTCACATCCCGGGGGACATAATGAGAATCATGCTGGAGACCAGGATAATAGGCCAATCTTCTTCTCTTAGAAGTTTGATCATCCGGGCTACCGGGACCAGAAACATTGCCATAGGTCTCTCCAGAGGGGTGACCTGGGGTTACAGAACGAAGCGACATTCGTTTCGTCATATGCTCTAAGCGGGTATCTGCACGTCGTTTTTCCAATGGCCACGGGCCTTCGATGGATGGTAGAACGTGATCCTGAGGATATGCACCAGATCTCGCTTGAGAAGACATAGCAGTCTCAGTCCTAGGTCCAAGACCAGGTCCAAGTTGTCCCTTGATGCCATGTGTGAATTCTTGAGGTCCGCCTGGGAATAAGGGCGCATTAATCTTCTCGCCAGCTGGTGGCATATAATTTCTTTCGGGTCGCGTTGACTCCACCATGAATTGAGGTTTACCTTGATGAGTGGCACTGACACTTCGTGGGTCCGAAATTTGGACATCATGTGGTTTCTGCATAGTTAGTACCTGAGGCCTTCCACTCATCCCAAACTGAGGGAATGGGCGCTGTTGTTGTTGGCTTTCCAATGGAGCACGCCTTTCAGTAATACCTACGTGGTTTGAAGTGGCCATTAGTGGTCGCAAAACCGGTATTTCACCAGAAGGGGGTCCAGAAAAGATCCTAGGGTTGTTGGGTTCCATTGGGTGTGTGGGAGGGAGTTCCCGACGTCTGGCAGGCACCGGCGGATTTTCTTGAACGACAGTTGATCGGTTGGCATATCGTGGACTTTGCTGTTCAATAGGGGCATCGCCGGGTTGAGGCTGTTCAGTATCCTGTGCCTCGGCTCGATATCTACTCAAAGCACGGTTCCAGGCTTGGTATCTGCTAAATCCACGACGATCGATGGTCCTTTTGGCGGGCATCTTGGTAAAAACACGGAATCCAGCTGCAACTTCCTCGGAGAACTCCCGGGCGGGATCCTGATTGGAAACAGCTTCGGCACTGATCGGCTGGGTCTGGATCTCGTGAGTCCTAGGAGTGTTCGATAGAATTACCACACTCTCGTCCCGAGTGTCTGAGGCAGTGACTGTCTCATCATCCGTCTCACTATCATCGTCATCATCGGATATGACGATCACCTCACGGAAGACATCTTCTAACTCGGCCTGACCGTTCTCATCGTCACCACGCCACGCAACCACCTTGGCTAGGGTAGGTTGCTCGACAGCGGATCTGGCGTCATGAAATGACCCCTGCTTGAGAAGACGATCATAATCAGTGTAGAGGTGACGAACATGTGCCACTACCGCCAGTTGTGCTCGGCGAGCCAAAGGTAATTCTGATGCAGTTCCAACTTTGCGTTGACCCTGACATCGTCGATGTCAGGCAACCCCGATCTTACAGTTTGTTTGAGTCACGAATGGGACATACCTTTTGAAACGAAGTTTTGATAATTTGCCAGAGGTCTTTGTCCGGGATATTAGGAAATAAGTCTTTGATAGTATCCCTTGCCTCTGTATTGATCACTTCTTGAGAAGCTTCAGGGTCAGATGATGGGCGATTGGCAAGGCTGCCCAAGGTGTGGAAGGGTACTGCCTTCCCCGAGCTGGTGAGATACAGCCCAAGTTCTGAGCAAACTGCAGCAACTACTGTACTCGGGAAGTGATACCCTATCCGATGGACATGTTGGGACAGATTATGCGTATGCAAATGGGGGGTAGTCTAAAACCTGTAAGCAGCGTTCTCTTGGATCCAGATTGATTTGCACTTACCGAGACAGCATAGATCTGGATATTTTCTTTCCTGCACCGCTCCTTACAAGCTGTTGTGAGGTGCGGATTTCCAGCTGGAATGAAAGTATAACCAGTGGGGGCCTTCGCCTCGAAGCATATCTAAGCTAAAGTGAGATTTTTGCTCCGCAGGGGAGAGTGGAGAAATACCTACCACACTTCGAAGCTTCTTCTTCTCCTGGGTCACCGATTCCATAATAACCTTGTGCTTTCGAGCTCTTCTCTGGATGGCCCGACTAGGAGCGCGCCAGGCCGCAGCCGAAGCAGCTCTCCTCACGACTCGGGCCATTCTTTTTTCTTTTTTTTCCACGGTTGGTAGTCAAAAACATACCAAGAGGAAGAGTTTCAACACATGGTTCTGATCCAAGGAGCGTGGGGAGATGTGGAGGATCGGAGAAGTAAGGATGGGGCGGTCAGGTCATATAAAAACTACCACTTTTTTTTCTAGGTCGAGACCCAAGTGTACAAAAGTTCAAGGAAATCCCCGAATATTAGATATCATAAATGGAGCCAGCTCACATAGATGAACTGGGGAGGTTTCAAAAGATAAGAAAATAAAGAGAAGGATTTCCCGAATCCTTAACTCTTTTTAAATGTGAAATATCAAAAATAAAATAAGAGGGAAGAAAATATCAAAAAAAATAGGAAGGTTGGGATGGTGTACGAGGTAAATTGTGAAGTGTTGCGGCCCAAAGTCACCTGCTTCATCCAGGTAAAGTGGGGCCTGAGGCTGCAGCTTCATCACTTCAGGCTTTACTTACTCCGTATTTCTCCACTCCCCAATCTTCACCAATCTTGATAGTGTTTTTACCTTCGAGTTTCTTTATTCTGGGAAAATACAATATGACGTCCTCTCAAGTCGTTCATGCATACCGAAATCTTTACCGACAGGCTCTTAAAGCGATTCGTTATTCTACTCCTGCTCGCCATGTCTTACGATCCACCATGCGGACTGCCTTTCGCTCAACCAACGAATTTGATCCCTCCAAGATCGCCAACACATTGCGCTTTTTGGAACGAGCTACCGAAACTCGTGGTCTGGAACATAAAATCCTGAGGAACATGATGATAGCAAGATATTGGGAAGCCCCTCAGAATGTCAAAGAGTCACGCGTGTAAGGTGGCCCCATCGTTACAACGGAAGAAAAAAAGGACTAGTTGTCTGACTTGGTCGCAGATTAAAAGTTCTAGGTCTCGGTAAAGTAGAGAACCGAATACGCAAACATGCCTATGATCACTATAAACAAACCCTCGAACGCCTAAATGAAAGCTTGGGGACGTGCCTGAAGTGAGGAGAGACAAAAGATCCACTGCCGTTCCGATTCGCTGCACTCCAGATCCTCCGTCAGGCTCCCGTACGTCGCCTTGGGCATAAATTTTGAACGGGGCGCCAAAGCAGCTCTCCCAAAGTGGGAATGGACCCGGGTTTCATTCTCTTCTCAATCTACAAGGGTGTTTCCTCTCCACTCGCCCCGGATTTGGTTGGATATGATCATCTATTGTCATTAAGGTCGGTGATACCCCATTCTTTTTTCGGGTTAGCCCTGCATTATTACAACCTCAACCGAGGTAGCAGATGACGTAAAATCTATCGGGATATCCTTTTACAATCATGCCAGATCACCATGATTGGAAGTAACTCCTTGCTCTGGATCACGTTGTTCTCCCACAGATGGTACGAGAGCTATGCGTCCTGAGGTGTGGATGAGATTAAAATATCAATCTGATATCCGAAGACACCGATATTATCCTTAAATACTCACCGCACCCTATTATACTACATATATGGAGTAGAATTATACGTAATTGTCTGGCACGAGATCATCCAGGTCTACACTGGTTTACGTGGACCCTTGTTACGTACGTTATGAAATCCAAGTCATGAATAAGTTCCAAATGTACTACTAATCAATTTACAACATACTACCCCAACTAATAAGTCCAATTCTTTGTTCTTCGCCCCCTCATCTATATTCATGTATCCATGTAGTCTAGACCCGTTGATATACATAGATCCTTGTCAATAATTCGGCTCCCGTAAAAGTGGATGATTCAGCACAGCTCCGACGTCACATGCCAAATCCCCAAACTTCATGTTACTCGATCTTCATTGAGCTTCAAGTTTTGAGGCTGTGAATATTCATTTTTTTAACCTGATTTTTATTTCTCTTACATAGTATTTCTTATGGTGTTGTTGCTAGATGTGACTCTCAGCCCTTCATGAGTAGCTTCATCTCTTCGCTGTTCACTAACCTCGGACTTCTCAATCGGGAACCTCCCCGCCACTCTCAGCTTCAACAATCCGACTCCCCTCCAAGCGGACCAACAAAGCCTTCCTCACACATCCATGTCGACCATATTTCGGGTCACACATTCCTAGATTCTGTCGAGTCTGAATCGGTCATCGGAGATGCAGGGACATTACCCAGTCCTCCTTTCTTCACAACCCTACCTAAAGACATGGATGGCCTCACTTCCGACTTGGAGGCCACACGACGAATGCCTCAGAATGCCTCGATAACTAGTGAATCTGGAGACGTTCTTAGAAACAATACACTTGAGGGCGAGAGAGACAATACCTCGACCAGCGAGGTGCACATACAACCTGACGATGGCGAATTGGCAGAACTACCGAATCACCTCGCCGATAACGACTCTATACCAAGGCAGGAAACAACGAACGGGCTTCAAACCAACCAGGCTCAACCGTTTAATCTAGCTGACCTGAGTCAGATGTCATTACCAGCGGATGATGGCATGAGATGCCTCAGGAACAAAATACATGCTATCCGGGACCTGGATCTAGGGAACAATGAAAAGGCAAGAATGGTCCACGATTTGATGACAGAAAACTATAAGTCTTCTCGGCCAATTCCACTCACGTCTCCAACGTTACCATCGTCAAACCTGGACCCGCCCCTCAGTCCTTTATCACCCGCTGGGAAATTACCAGACCCCACTCCAATGAGCCCGACGCTGCCAGAGTCTGACTACCAGGATGAAGAAGTGTTTTCAGTCTCGGAGGAAGATTTACAGCCCACATATGTACCAAAAATAGAGTCCGAATCGCCTGACTCGCCTGTGGCCGAGACAGGCGACGAGGATCCGGATACCGAAGAGTTAGACGGGGCGCAGCTAGGTTGTCAGCACTATATGCGAAATGTAAAGCTCCAGTGCTTCACCTGTAAGAAATGGGCTCCGTGTCGCTTTTGCCACGATGAAACTGAAGATCATCATTTGATCCGCCGAGAAACGAAAAATATGCTGTGTATGTTGTGTGGGCATCCGCAGCCTGCAGACCAGAATTGCAGGCAGTGCGGCGAGCAGAGTGCGCAATACTATTGCGATATCTGCAAACTCTGGGATAACGACGGGAAAAAGAGCATCTATCATTGTAACGATTGTGGTATATGTCGGATTGGACAGGGACTTGGGAAGGACTTTTTTCATTGCAAAGTAAGCAACTACAACTCCAAGATCACAAACTGAAAATACTGACCCTCTTCAGACATGCTGCGTTTGTCTTCCCATCTCGATCGAAGATACCCACCGATGCATCGAGAGATCTACCCAGTGCGACTGTCCTATTTGCGGAGACTACATGTTCACTTCCCCGGAAACTGTTGTGGTGATGCGATGTGGCCATAGCATTCATAATAAATGCCTGGGAGAATATTCCAAGAGCTCCTTTCGTTGTCCGATCTGTAGTAAAACTATCACCAACATGGAGTCGACATTTCGAAATCTGGATCGGACCATCGAAAGCCAGCCTATGCCCAGCGAGTTCAAAGACACCAACGGACTGATTTATTGCAATGACTGTGGTGCAAAATCAGTGGTCAAATATCATTGGCTTGGCTTGAAATGTGATTTGTGAGTTGAGTCAAATCTCTTCTTTAATGAAGTGGAAACTAATGAACCCAGATGTGAGTCTTACAATACCGCCCAAATTCGACTGCTACAGGGAGATGTCTCTGCTGTGCTTGAGGAAGAAGGCGTCAACGATCCTCCGGCTCGAGCCCGAGCAGCATCCTTGAGTACGGGCGAGGATGCGACTGCATCACTAGCAGCACTGCACCTCAGTGCGAACCCGGCACCTCAGGCCCGACTCGGCGTATCATCGGCTGGTGGGTCAGATCAAAGACATATCTCTTACAATATGACTCGTGGTCGAGCAATTTCGCCCGTTGTTAGCAATTATTTTGGTCTCCCCACAGAGCGGGAATCGGAGAAACCTTCCTCTATGCCATTCTTTGGAAGCATGTCTCGAACGGACAACGATACCGATTTTGGCGCATTGAACTTTTTAAGCAAGAAGCTTCGAGACCACTATGGATTCCTTGCAGGTGATACAGCAGTGGAGGGGGTGTTAGAGGCAGACGAGGAAGATGAAGATGAAGAGGATGAGGAAGAAGAGGAGGATGATGATGATGTTGATGCAGAGTCTTCAACCTCCTCGGTCCCAGGCGAGCAAGAAGAAAATGAAGAGGACGAAGACGAAATTGACATTTTTGGCCATCGATGATTGTCACGAAGTTTTGCGTGATCACCGAAATGATACATACCAGCAATTGAATTGCTGGACTACACCATTTTTCAGTCTTTTTGGAAAATTGATCCATCAGAAATTCCAAATATCACATACTTGTTTCCAACACTGGTCCACAGCCCACTCCTGTACTGGACACACTGGACACACTGGATATTGGCGGGAGGCACCACTTTTGGATCGTGCTTTCAATGATACTTGGGCCAGAATCTATACAATTCCGTGAACAGTTGGATCGCACTTTGGACATTGCGACTTGGAGCCCTTGAGCTGTCCTCACCATCTAAGCCTACCACGAGTATGGCACATGCATATTTTCAATTTAGCACTCGCATTAGCATCGCGATGGGACGAGCGTATGCATTACAATTCCAATATCATTCCGTTTTTTTGGTTTCCATAAAATATCACTTTTTCATATGAGTCTTCTTCTTAGTCCGAATCCCAGACACATACTGTCTCTATCGCTACTAGTAGTACTACCTGAGTAGTAGTATATAGTATTGATAACTTCAGGTTCAGTTCTAGGCTTAGCTTGTCACATCTGTGGACATGTAAATTAAAATTCTTCCACCAGTGACTCCATTAAAATTGTGTTGATTGAAACAAGACAAGAAGCAAATGCCATATAAATGGCCCGCGCTGGTATAGGCCGAAGTATCATCTGATCTAGTACGTATTAGTGATTATTCCTAGGGGCTTATAACTCATACATATTAAACTCAATATTTCTAAAAGTGAGAACTTAATCGGATGTTTAGATTAAATTCATAATAGCAGTCTATCTTAACTTGAATCTACAGATCTCAAGTCGAGCTACTAGTACCCCCACCGGAGGGACCCCACCGGAGTCTTCCCCTTCGGGTCTCCCACTCGGAGTAGATGCTCTCCAGGTATACACCGGAGTACATCATGATCCTCAGGTTTCTCAAACCCCGGGAACAGTTACACGGGATCGCTCCATCTCCGACATGCAGTTCCGACGAGGGGTTCCTGATCCGATACTTAAGAAATCATAGCTTGCAAAGAATCCGAAAAAAACCCTTTTCTCTTCTCAAAATCAACTCAATATCGAATCTTCACCTACAAAATCATGAGTTACCCACAAGAGAGTTTTGGTGCAACTACATTCGCACCAGGGTCATTCTGGGCCCGGAGACGTGAGGTGGTTCGGGTTCAGACTCTTCGACACCAGCTTCACATGCTCAAACAGACAGGCAGATATGATGCCTTTAAACTGAAGTGGCATCCTAGCTACTCAGATCCACCTACCTCCTATCCCATTCCTAATCATCAATTTTGGGACTCTGATGTGGCGAAGTGGATTGAAGGCGCGTGCTACTTACTCATAGATCACTTTGATGCTGAGATTGACGCCGCTGTGAAGGAGATGGTGAGCATGATTCAAGGAGCACAACACCCAGATGGATATCTGAATATCCATTACTCTGTTGTGGAACCTGGAAAACGCTTTACTAACCTGCGAGATATGCATGAACTGTAATTACCACCTTGATACATGCTTGATTTTATGTATAGGGCTAACATGTCTTTGGCAGGTATAATGCAGGCCATCTCATCGAGGCTGCACTCGCACACCATCTTTATTACAAAAATTTCGATCTGTTATCACCGATCCTCAAGTATGTGGATCTTCTAGCTTTAACTTTCGGTAATAAACAGGACCAGATTAATGGATATCCTGGTCATCCGGAGATTGAGCTCGCTTTGTTACGTCTGTACAAACTGTCTGCAGATCCCAAACATCTTCAATTAGCTCAATTCTTCATTGAAGAGAGAGGTAATTCCAAAGGCGGCGCAAAGCAACGTCATTTCTATGATGTTGAAGCTGAAGCTCGTGGTGAAAGTGAGCATGAGTCTCCGGTGTACTATCCTGCTCCAAGAAGTTACTGGTATGATTTCAGATATCTACGTGAAGTGATATAAATAGCTTACGAAATTTCTACAGGTATCAGCAAGCGCATGTGCCTATTGTCGACCAAGAGACAATTGAGGGCCATTCTGTTCGCGCTATGTACCTACTCACAGCCGTAGCAGATTTGGTGCGGATCTGCTCACCTGAGAGTTATACTGGGACAAAGTTCTTGCCAGTTATACAGAGACTCTGGTCTAACATGGTTGAGAAGAAGTCTTATGTGACCGGTGGTATTGGGGCCATGAAACAATGGGAAGGCTTTGGGCTTGATTACTTCTTACCCCAGGGTACTGATGAGGGGGGCTGTTATGCAGAGACCTGTGCTACTATTGGAGTTATGATGTTCGCTGAACGTTTATTACAGGTAACTTTTCCTATATGTTGAAATCATTTATGGATGGGCCTCCCGCTAACGAAATCAGATCGATCTGGATAGCCATTATGCAAATATCATGGAGCTCTGTCTTTATAATGCAGTACTCACTGGTATGAGTCTGGACGGCAAGGCCTTCACTTATGTGAACCAGCTGGCATCTTCAGAGAAAGATATCTCTCAGCGTTTTGAGTGGTTTGAGTGTGCTTGTTGTCCGCCTAATGTCACTCGTACCTTGGGTTTTCTTGGAGGATATCTCTGGAGTCACACGGTGAAGGAGCAAAGTGCCGTGGTCAATGTGCATCTGTACTCAGCAGCAACTCTGAAAATCAACACGGGAGTCTCCACTATGGTGATCAGCCAAAAGACGGATTGGCCGTGGAGTGGTGATGTGAATTTTGATATCCACACTGAGGGACCGGCTGTTGACCTGGAATTACGGTTGAGAATCCCCGGCTGGGCAAAATCATGGAAGGTATGTCTATACATACGACTCACGAGTCTCTATTTTCTATTCTCAAGCTAATACCAATTCTCCCAGATCACTCCTTCTCCTGAGCGATTGGACGTTCGAAATGGATATCTATTCTTGAATTCAGAGTGGTTACAAGCAAACCCGCAGTTTCAACTATCTTGCCCCATGCAACCCCTTCTAGTCCGACCCAATCCGTTGACATTACAACCGGTGGTATATGTTACACGAGGACCAATTGTCTACTGTGTTGAAGATGTTGATCATCCCTGGGAAAAGGAGCATTTTAAGGTAGGTCAACTGACGATACCTGACCTTATTCTAGTAAAGTCCATACTGACCGATTAAGAAAACAATCTTCGACCCCAGTACACCTCTACGAGAAGAGGTACGAACACAGCCGGATTCTTACGTTGCCATCATCGCTGAGAGCGGAGCCGTGGGCGAGCTGGATACGTTGCCTTGGAACCGAAAAATCGTAGCAGATTCTCACAATGAGAGTGCTGGAGAGCTACGTGACTTGTGTTTTATCCCATACTACCTTCGGGCCAATCGAGGCGGGAATGGGCATATGAGAGTGGGATTGAGAGAAAAATCGTTTTAGTACTGACTTTTTGGTTTGAATGTATCATGGTGATTTGGCGTTTTACGGTTAAAATGAATAGCCCATGTCAATTCACTGATAATAGTACTGGTATAGACTTGGTACAATGGTAGATTATTCAATCCTAGAAGAATCGCCTGATTCAGTCGACTTCATCTCACCGTTCAATATTGTTTCTTACGTCCTGTTCACTCCTCGGAGGTTTGAATGATGTTTCATGTGAAATGGTGATCTATCGAAATAGTGACCTCAGTTCTAAAAATCATCACTGAGCTTCACGCGGCAATGTAAACAACGACCTAAATTTTGAAAAATAAAATTCTGTGAAAAAGTTGTTTTTGGTGGTCTTGAACTCTTAGTATTTCAATGAATTAAAAATTGTTTGAATATATAGAACTTGCAATATTGATATGCGATGCTCATACTCATCGTCAACTGGTCAACAGTCAAATTGTATTAATGTTCTCCGCTCTGCTCTGCACTGCTCTGCACGTGACATTCTATGGTTGCAGCTCTCTCCGCGCGCTTCGTCATTCGCGGATAAGCAATCCCTTTGCCGATTGTGAGATTTGCTCTTTTCCACTTCTTTTCCACTTCAACTTCCATTCTTTAAGCACTGTCAATATTCTAAAATTCATTTCCCCTGTCAAACCTCCAGCCTTAACCCAAACACCATACCAACGTGCCTGATCCCAGCAGTCGCATCGCAGACTCGCTGCTATGGCGACTCAAGCGGCGTTAATCGCTGATACCATTATTGGGATGAAGAGGGCATTGCGAAGAGAACAAGATGGTATGTTGAAATTGACTACCAGTCTGTTTGAATCGTCCTGCTGATATTTGTCTCTCATAGATTCCGGCCCCGATGATCCTATCATGCAGCCTACGAACCGTGGCAATAAAATGAAAGCAAACGCCAAATATGTTCGAGAGGGGGCGATGGGATATATCAATTCTAAGGAGTTTTACAGAGAGGTATGTTGTGCATTGCAAAATGATTTTCCTCGAGGCCGTGTGTGGCGACTTGAAAGATCCAAAAAACTGATGCATACTTTCTTTTTTGGTCAATAGAAGATCGAGCACGCTGGCTATACTCGTCATATTCTGCAGCGCAATCCCATTCGCTATGACTCAGAAGGAGAGGAACTCGATGAGGAGGATGAAGATTCTGAGGCTGACACCGCAGCCGCCGAAGAGAATCCATTCTCGGGAATTGCACTAGAGAGTCGGTTACCCAGCTCCAGCTAGAATTACTTCAGGGCTGTATACTGACTTGTCCACTTTTTGCAGCACTCTTATGTCCTTTGAAACATCCGTCCGAACTTCCAAACCATCCTTCGCTGTCCCAACCATACACTTCACAGGCCTTAGAGCAGATGACAAAAGCGGTCGAAGAGAAATTGCGTCAGGAACGGGCTCTCTTATGGCGTGCTCGAAATTTGCATCGACAATTCCTGGGCGATGGTGGATGGATGCCGTGCGGTGATGTCGAGTCTCTCGATGACCGCTTCATCTTTGAGCCGAAAATGGCACACCACTCTCATAACAGATCTGGGGATCCGCAGGAGCCGAATCATACCAGTACCTCTGGTAGCGGTTATCTGAATGGAGTTCAAGATGCATCACCTACAACGTCCACCAGAGAACCCCACTCAAGACAGAATGGGACTGAGAGCGAGATTCAGGCCATGGAAAATGATGTGGAGATGGCAGAGGCATCAACAGACTCTAGGGAAAGAGAAATAGCGAATGCCGAGCCTGGGGCACTAAATACGGCATTGAAATCCGAAGACATGGATGCCGCTGTCAATGATCTCCCACCACACCCCAAGGGCGCAGACGACTCTCAAAACCAAGGGAGTGACTATTTCCAATCCAACTCTAATGACAGGCATGAAGATATGGATACCACTGGTGATGGCGATAGGCACGATGTCAACGCCGATCCCAACAACCAGCACGATGAAGCCGAGTACGATGCAGATATGCAAGACGGCTCTTCGCCAGAGCCACCACGGCGTATGACTACTCGTGCCCAGGCCAATGCCACCAACCCCCAAGATGATGAGAATGGATCTCCCATGTCTCCGGCCGATACAGCAGGTAGCCTTCCGGCCCCGCACCCATTATTCCTGATTCCTGATAATGTTCGACCAGATGCGAACTTCGGTCTCCCTGCTACGGAGGCAGAAGAAACTCGCCGTCTGCTCTGGTCCTACATACAGAAACAAGAAGAAACAGTGCGTGGGTTTGAGCATATGCTTGACTCTTTACTGCGGGCTTGTCACATGAAGGCCGACGTACTGGAATGGTGCAAGGCAGAGGGTCATGTGGGCGAGATGAGTGATGGTGAAGATTGGTATGATCGAGAGAAATGGGGTTTAGCTGAGGGTGAGGATCTCAAGAAGGGAACCGACGAGGATGAGGTTGAGACTGTGGATGATACCCGAACTGCAGCTAAACGAGGCCGTGGACGACGAGCTTAGTGTTCTCGTCCCTTTCCCGGTTCTTCTGTTTTAAATCCTTTTTGTTCTTGATCATAGCGTGGTGTTGGTGGAAATACCTAGTCTTCGGTTTTTGAGGGGCACAGCCAGGTGGCTTATGTATTGACTGATGTTGGTGTCAATATACCCTTGAATAAAATACATACTCTTTTCTCTTCTTCTCATTGTGTCAAATTTGGCTCCTACTTTGAAATATTCTGAATGATGTTACTTATCAAGATTCCAAGGTTACTCGTCGGTGTCACATGCAGTATGCTAGACCCTTACTCTGCTTTTGATATTGGTCAACCATGACTTGGACTTCGAATCTCCGCTTATATTCCAAGGTTGCAAGAATCGGACCTGCTTCTACCAGTGCGTTGAATTAATTCTCTCCATTAGAAGAAGTTGTGGTGTGGGGTGGTATCCAGAACTACGACTACTGGTCCTCAGTCTACTACCTAATACCATTCCTTTGTTCCGTTATACCGGGCTTAACTATAGGATGAAGATAGACCCAGCCACCCTATAATTATTTGTTTTTCCCCTCATAACCGCCCTTTACAGAGCCGACCAAGGAATATAGGGAATGTCCTAATTCGATAAGACGAGCCAGTATATCCGAAATTTGCCCGGGCTCGACTCTCGAGTAGGTATACACACGAGATCCAGTCAAACAAGGCAGATAACATGTTTTCCTATTTCCGTAAGAAGCGCAAAAATGGGCGTTGGGTAACTATATACCGCGAAGATATGATCATAGCCGTTTTCTACCTATCAAGAGAGTCATCTACTGCGATACACATCACAGCCATAATGGGATTATAAACATTTGAAACAAACGACTATCAGTACTACCCAGTAGGTGGATGGGCAGAACCTACCACACCACGACACATACATACTAAACTCTCTTAACGCCCAAAGAGAGGAAGAGACCAAGTTACTGGTATCTCAAGTACTATAGGCGCCTAGGTAGCATAAAGCTCAAGATGTCAGTGCTTGTGTTCAGATGTTTGATAGTTGACTCATACATAGGTAGTGCGTAGTTCGGACGACTGATTCTACAACATTGGGCTTCTCGCTAGTGCTCATGGTTCTCGTTCTCAAGACAAGAGCGTAGAAAATCCAACAGTGGGGGTAAATCATTAGATTCCCCATTCAAGGCTATAGATGGACCCTTTCTCTTATAGAAAGGGGCTTCAAATTATGGCGGCCAGAAGCCAGAGCCCTGGAGTATTCCCAATCTATAATAGCCACGATCTTCAAAGTCTCTGGATCCACCATAATATTATGTTGTGCGAAGTCGTTGTGGCAGAAAACGTACTCCGGAGCTTCGATTTTCTTCCTCGGCAATACATCATGCTGGGCCTTGCCAATGCTCGCCAAAGTGGTATCATAAATCCAGAGGGTCCCCCAGTTGTAGACGACTTAATCTCACGGAGAGTGGCTAGGTGTTGCTCAATTTCAGGCCAAACCTGTTCCTTTTCCTCTTCCGGTAGATTATCCATCGTCACACCAGAAACCCTTTCCATAATCAGAGAACAGGCCTCATCAACCATTAAGGCCCATACAACCTTGGTACAGGAATGTTGCTAACTTGGCGGATGAATTGTAGAGTTGCTGCTTCGTTCCGGAGTCTTTCTATCCCAAACCATGGGATCACGGTTTCCCCGTCTGGACAAATTGGCCACTCGCTGGGACGTAGAGTTCGCTTAACCATCAAATCTTGGGTAAGATAGTACTCCCTCTCATTTGTCCGCCAAGTGCACTCTGGTATCGCCTTGTCTATGTACTCTGGTGTCGCCTCGTCTGCCGTTTCGGGTAGAGGATCCATATTGGCTATAGTGAATTAATAGGCTGGACAAACTATGGAGGGAGCTGAAGGGCCCAAAGCTGAGAGAAAGAGAAAATATGGCCATACCGCTCGCGGACTACTGCTTCCTTATATCTTTCCAGGGTCAGAATTACACTGCATGGGGGTCACTAGGTACGCCCCAGTCTCAGCCCAAATTCCCAACACGATTTAACCGTGTTCTTTGCTTCTGGCTGCCTCATGGTTTGACAATCCCTGTCAATATTAGGCAAAGTAAATCACAGAATAAAAACTATTCACTCCTGAACGAATACAGACTAATAATTCAGGAGTGAAGCAAACAATACATAACAACACATTGGAAATCTCTTGAAGATTCATTGTCATGCTGGCCAAAATCAACGGATATATGTGCACTGCAGCAAACTGGTGCCCGTGAGATATAGGAGTCTACTCAGGTGCTTCTGTTACCAAAAGTGGTAATCGGAGTTCGAAGTTCTAAAAGAAGAAATCATGATTCCAGATGATCCGAGTTATTTCACACCTTTACATGCATGTGTATTCAATCCAGAGACTCAGAGCTATGTCCGTCAAAGCGTTGTCAGGATGTGCCGATATCCGTCAACCCTAAAACAACATCAACTTATTGCCGCATATCCGTGAACAAATGAGAGTAACGTCATAGTCGGCGGATCTGAAATGCGAGAACCGACATAACTCATCTATATATGTAAGTCAATCATGATATTGTTTCATTCAAAAAAACATTCATCATACTCATCCTATCTCTTTACAAACTCCATTCGACATCATGTCTAAGATCGACGTCCACCACCACTTCTATCCCCGGTCTTCACCGAAGGTAACTTAACCCTTCAAGTTTCAATTCAAAATGTTGATAGCCACATATAAACATTCTAATATCTATCTTAGCCCTCAAAAGAGCCGGCGGCGATCCATCTGGCTGGTTCATCCCAGACTGGACTCTACAGGCAGATCAAGAACTTAACACCAAAATCGGTACCGGTACATCAATCCTATCTATGACCGCACCAGGTGCATGTATCGAAAAAGATCCAGTCGCAGCCGCAACTCTAGCCCGAACATCAAATGAGCATGCGGCAAATATTCGAGACAATCATCCGAAATCCTACGGCTTCTTTGCATCTCTTCCATCTCTACTAGATACAGATGCCTGCTTAACAGAGATTACATACAGTCTTGATGTCCTGAAAGCAGATGGAGTCATTATTTTTACTCGTTATGGTGATGATAATTATTATATTGGACATCCGGATTTTACTCCGATCTGGGAAGAGTTGAATCGTCGACATGCCCTGGTTTTCGTGCATCCTACTCACGCGGTTGATACGGCTCTTGTGAATTCAAATCTCCCACAACCTATGTTCGATTATCCGCATGAAACAGGTCGCACAGCTATGGATCTTATCACTCGTGGTACGCTGAGGAAGTTTCCGGATGTGAAGATTATTCTTTCGCATGCTGGTGGGACTCTTCCTTGGTTGATAAATCGTCCGGCAACTATGTTGCCATATACATCAGTTGATATTGCTCTTTCGACAAAAGAGATTCTCGATGAAGCGCGCAAATTCTACTTTGACACTGCGCTTTCAAGCGCTCATGTTATGTTGGATCTGCTGTATAAGATTGCGGACCCAGACCATGTGCTTTTTGGTTGTGATTTTCCTAATGCCCCCGTTCCGAGTATATCAGTGTTTACGGAGCAGTTTGATTCTTATAAGCATGAGGGGATGGATCATGTGAAGCTTACAAGAAGGAATGCGTTGAGGATTCTTCCGAGGCTCGACTTGCAGGAGAGATTATCTGAGTAGCTTTGCTTTTCTCTGGTGTTTCCTATAAATTGATATTGGTTAAGTAACTGGAATTTTAATTTAGAATATACAGTTTTTATTGATGTAAAGGCTTTATAATTTGTCATAACTGTTTTCGAGTTTTTTTGGGTTTTTTGGATAACAATACATGGAGTTAGAGTACATGAGAGTAAAAATACAGAGCACTGGAGAGATAGATGCTCATACATCTCATCCTCATCACCATATTGATCCCGATATCAATATCCGCCGTGTCAACCTCATTCCCATATTGATACCCTCCTCATAACCATATTCCAATACCCATATCAATATCCTTCTCCTCACCACCATATTGCGTCTCCATGACGATATTTCATCCCCATATCAATGTTTCCATCCGCAGATAAATGTTTTCATCCCACCCTCAATAGTTCCAAATCCTCAATCAAATGATAATCCCAGCGGCAATTTGAAAATAGCAAATATCACCAAAATCAACCTTATCAGCCCCATGGTATCGATAAACCGGCTCTTTCACCTCATAGAGTCGAAACATTCTTCCTCCAGGAACACGCACGTAAATACTAGTTCCAAGCTGTTTGCCACGCTCCCAAAGCTTCTGTCGAGGACCCTGAAGCCAGAGCCAAAAATCAGGCGTAGGAGTAAAATCCAGATTCACGCGGCGGAGTCTCGGATGAGTCTCAGGACTATGGTGGGAAGAACTCCTTCACAGGACCAAAAAGCTCGTCCCACTGCCGTTCAGGCCAAAACATGTCCAGTGGTTGATCACGTAGTTCGAGGTTCTCAAGGGAGCTGGGGAGATTCTCTGCGAGACTTTTGCGGTTATAACCGCCGCCTGTCAGGTAAACAGCTGGTACATTGAGAGAAACCAGCTTTGGGAATTGCTTGAAGAATCCGGGGGTGAACTTCAGCTTCGAGGCGGGAACTCCGAGATGTTCTAAATGCACACTCTGGTACCACAGGGCCAAACTGAAATATGAAAGATGCGAGGGTCGGAATGAGAATTTCTCGAGATTTGGTGCGATGCTCTTGAGTCCTTCTTCTATGGCGCGCGCACTGGACCAGGCTTCGAAAGGGAAGGTGTAAGATAGTCCCAGACTCAATTCTCGAAGGTTTTTCATGTTCATCAAAAGAAATTTCATGTCGTAAGTATTCATATGTCCTCCTTCCACATGGAAAGAGAGGATATTTTTCATTGTGTTTTCTCGCATCTTGTTTGCCTTGGAAATTTCCTGCGTGAGAATGGGACTGCCCATCCAAAGTGAAAGTGCTTGCAAAGCAGGTAAGAAGAAAAACCCGGTAAATTGATATGGGTTGTGCTGTCGACGAACATGCGGATCATGAAAAGGATTGTACACGGCATCATAGTTGGGTCTGATGCGAGCGCTGGTAACTCCGTATTCAATCCAGGAGAGATGTTCAAATTTGGACAAGGTCCCCGCGGGTGCGGTTAACATGGCATGTTTGAGCATCATGCCTGGCCAGCCGCTGTAGATCACGAAGCTGCAGTCGAGAGAGAGGCGTCGCAGATTAGGAAGTTGAGATATCAACAGAGTTGCAAAGAGATACGGATCACCCCTCTGCATGTTATGCTTCCATCCTGAAATGTCCGGCATATTTGATCGTTCTAAAATTTGTTGGCAGAAAAGGTAAGCACTGCGGTAACCGCGAGGAGAGTTGATCAGGCTTTCGTTTGCTCGAGTGTGTGAAGAGAACAAGCGAGAGTCCTCTAGAGGAACGGTAAAGTCAACGCGCTGAATCAATGCAAGTAGCTCTGGATGAGCCTCAACTGTGCGAAAAAGATTAAGTAGACGGCGTAAGGGATTCCGATTCCAGTTCCAAATGAGGTTTCGATACAGATGAGGCTTTGTATTCTCGTGCATCGATCGACAGACCTTAGAGAGGGAGTTGAGGTCTGAGGGCTGCAGATAGTCCAGAATCATGAACCAACAGTCCATAGGCAGGCCGTTGAAAGGCAAAGCACGAGTCGACATCTTGTCCAACGTCGATGGTATGTAAAAAGTGGGAAACGAAAGGAGTGACAGAGTAGTTGGAAATGTAGTTGGCATGTAGTTGAGACAGTATGAACGGTCTCTCAGGAACGTTGGGGGTGAGTCGCGATGGAGATGAAGGGTGGGAATAGAAACAAGGAGCGTGAAGGAAAGACACAAGGAGCGTGAAGGAAACAAAGCCTTTAAAAAGAGTGACTGAAAGTGGGAGTAGGCTTCATGATAGAATCATGAATTGGTGCCTGAGTAGGTAGAAGTAGACGACGAGGTAACAACAACGCGAAGTGACGCGACGAATAAATGACGCGACTCTTGTCGTTGTCGAGTGGAAAGTGACTGGCTCGCTTATTTCTGATGCCTTGACCCAATCAATATAAGACCCAAAACCCCCATTGAATACAGTTTCCATGCCCTTCAATAAACAATGTTCAAACGAGAATGACATAGTCAAGGTTAATGTGATCAATAGCAACCGAGTAGACATGAAATGCAAAAAAAAGTAATATTGGAACACAAATAGCCAACTGATAATGATTAATTTTATTTTTGAAGCTAACCAGAGTCGAATAACATACAATTCCTCATCACTAGGCCGAGGTCTCCAAACAAAGATATGGCTGGGAATACGCCTATTATATACGGGAAGCAATAGGAGCGTCGGGATCAAAGGGTTGTCGCAATGGGCGTTCTTTTGGAGTCGCGTAGGGGAAAGAATAAGGAGTATCGAGGAGCTGAGAGTTGAGCTTCCTCGCCGGTGTGCTTGGTCATAAGACGGGAGCAAATGTCTATCGTTTACTTTTGTACTCCCAGCATCGTTGAAGATTTGGAAGGGTCCGTGTGCTGGGTTCTCGTTTCGTCTGGAAGGTCCCATCCATGACTGGATGATGGGGTCCAGGTTTAATATCTCGGCATACATGCCTGAAATGTGTCTGTGTGGGCGGTGGATGTTGAAAGTTCCGACCCTATTGTCCATGAAGTAGACTACTGCTTCTTGCCGCCTTGCTTCTTAGCGTGCTCACGCTCACGCTTCGCATAGATCTCGGCAGTGAAGGGGCTAGATTTTCATGATTAGCATGAGGTTTCATAGTTATTGGGAGGATATTCAAACTTACTCTTCCCATTGCAAAGCAAACCAGTACAGAACAAAGACTTCGGCAGTCAAGAGAAGACCCGCCACTTTGCCCTTGTAAAGTGCGACTCCCAGGAAGTTCATGGTGCTGCCCCAGTACATCGGCGAGCCTGTCACATTGAATGGAAAGCCAGTAACCGGGGCATCCATGAGAATTCCGAAGTAATCACCCAAGTAGGTGCCAGTGATACCAAGAGCCCACATGCTGGAAAGAACCAAGACAGAACCGGTCGCAAACAGAATACCGCCGATAATGGGCTGATGCACCGGAGCGTAGAATGGCTGCTCATCCAGAGCAAGCTGGTAGATATGATCACGGAGGATACCTATCGAGAAAATGGCGAATGCAAGAGCATAGCATCCCTTGTAGGCGCCTCCAAAAATTCTAGTCAAGATATGGTTGTTGTACTCTGGTGGTGGTTAGCCGAGAGATAAAGATACGTGGCCCGTGATCTGGATAGTAAAGTCATCGACTCACCTGCACGAGCAACAATACTATTGAGAATTAGTTTCTTTTCCTTCTATATGACAGTCGGGACACTACTTACTTCCAGAAAACTGGGTTGAACGCAATTGTGGCCGCAGAGACTGCAAGGGTCAGTTCCCGCATCACATGCAAAATGCGGAGAAAGCAGTTCATCACCGAGAGACACAGTGATACATACCGAGGAGAGTAGTCGACGATAAGTCGACAAAATCAGTAAGAGTGGCCATGGTACGAGGTGCTAGGAAAGGACTTTGAGAAAGGGGAAAGAAAAACAATGAGTGGAAGAGTAGAAGAGTAGAAGGAAGTAGAAAGGGAAAATGCGGGTTAGAACAAGCTTAAGTAAACAAAGTGACGTTTTCTCTCCAGGTCACGGGATTCTATCTGCAATCTTGATCGATCTTGTGCCTTTCTTCTTCTACACTTTAACGCTTCATTTATTTGTCGCTACTGTCTCACTTCCACTTAAAGCTGACCACCATCAGTGTATGCAGTTTCCATTCACGAGTTAACCTATTCGTCCCCCCGTCAATGCCGAATCGAGCTACCCCCTCCTAATCTACGCCGACGGGCCGTCATGAGACGTGGAGCTCTCATGCGTATCAGGGGAGAATGGCCCTTCACCGTCGAGAATTACTCCTAGCTGGTTTCACCGGATTCGTTGCTTGGGGATATGCAGTACATTGGTTACCGGTCCTGCGTTGGCTGGGATATGCGCTAGCCCTCGGTGTGGCCCTATCCTCCGCCAGTTTCCTTGCGTTGGTTATTTTGACAACAAGAAATCGAATTGAAAGGCCCACTAGCTCAAAACAAGTGTTGGCAGCATTTCTCAAACCAGAGAACTGGCGAAAGGAGCTTTCAAATGCGCGCAAGACCACACGATACCGACCGCGGCCCCTCTATCCACAATCCTTTGTTGTCTCTGAAGGGCTCGACGAGCTTTTGTCCCTAGTGACCCGAGATTTCATCTCATCTTGGTACCACAATGTTAGCCCTAGTCCAACATTTGCGAACGAAATCGACCGAGTAATACGTGTTGCACTCGAGAACCTTCGAGATAGACTGTTAGCCGAAGACCTGATTTCGTTGGTTGTATCGCGGGTATTTCCCATAATAACCTCCCACCTCAAAGAATTCGATGTCGCCGAGCGGTCAGTTCGCGGCCGCAATCTTAATCGAAATGTAACCGAGTCAGAGGAGCTGGACTTGGCGATTGCCAACAAGTTTCGCGAGGGCCGTCTTCACCCGGCAGTTGGCCTGCACTCGGCTGACCAGAAGACCCTACAGCAAGAATACTTGCGCAAAATTGCTACCGGGCTACTTCCTCAGCTATTTCCAGAGGGTGTGCTTAAGAGCAGAATTGTCTCGGTCTTGATTCGTGAGATCATTGCATGCGCAATTCTGGTCCCAGTCGCGACGGCCCTGTCCGATCCCGACACATGGAATCAGCTGATGGAGGCATATGGACGCACGACTTTACAGGATCGAAAGACTGTTCGAAAACTACGCGCTGCGCTCGACGAGCATGCATCTCCTGCTCCCAAGTCGAAGCACGGGCAAGCGTTTCCCAAACTCTCAGCGCATGATTCGGAAAGAGCCTTTGAGCGTTTTGTACGGGCCATCAGACGTTGCAATAACCTGTCCGATGCGCGTCGGTTTCGAGCACTGGTTTCTAGCCAGCTAAAAAGAGAAAGTATGGTCGAGGGACAAGACCAGGTCTATCTCAGGCGGCTAGAAACAGGGAAAAGAGTTCTGGACCAAAAGGTCGCCAAGCTATCTCTGCCAGGACAGGCGCCCCCTGTAGCTCCTGTGGCAAGTAAACATGTGCGTCATGGTAGTACCTCCTCTGTGCGCGAGTCATCGCTGGCCGATGTGCTGCACAGTGCATGTGGCTTGTCCTATTTCATGGAATTCATGGATCGGCAACAAATGATGTCAATGGTCCAATTCTGGATCGTAGTCGACGGCTTTCGAAACCCCTTAGAAGATGACTTTGGAGACGAGACTTCGTCCAGTTCAATAACCTGGACAACTGCAGATAGAAATGATTTGGCGCTTCTCAGTCAAACTTATCTTTCCAAATCGGAGCTGAAGGTCTCGGAAGAATCTCGACGGGCAGTCAAGACATTCCTGAGTGCAGGGAAACGTGCAACGCCTGAGCAGTATCGAAAAGCTCGGACAGTGGTTTTGACGACCCAGTCGTCCGTGCTGGAACGCATGGAGAGTAATTTCTACCCCAAATTCAAGGAATCTGACCTTTACTGGAAATATCTCGCGGCCGATGAAGCCTCGCAAACTCAAGCCCCACCACGCCCTCCATCTCCAGTGGCAGCCCCGGCTGGGCCTCGCGAACGAAGACCCCTTCCACCTCTTATGGTACGAACGGCCTCGCAGCCAGCGAGTAGACCTTCAAAGGATCTGCGTAGAGCGGCTGTTTCATCCGGTGATGTTCGGGGCATGGGCAAAATCTTTGACGACAACGATTCACTTCGACGATCTATGGACTCTGAACGATCTCTACCTCTTTTTGATGAAGATTACGACACTGATCAACTTGCAATGTCCACTCACAGCTTGGGCAAGGACTCACAAAACGGCGACAATGAGATGACCCAAAGCACTGTTCTTGAGACCATGGAGGCTGCTCTCAATGACATCATTATCAATGAACCGAAGAACACTGGTTCGGAGGATCTGAAGGACAGCGATGTATCTCTCCTCGGGATAAACCGTTCGGAAAATCCCTCTCGTCCTTTATTTGATGCCCCGCGAGGTGACGGACCTGCCAGCGAGAAAGCAAAGAAAAGCATTGCATCTCTGGGATTGGTTGATCATGCCTCTCGACTTGGTGTTTTCGATGACGATCTCTTTCCAGACCAGCAGAAATTCATCGAGGATGAATACGAAGAACCAATTGGTGGCGAGGAAAGAGACCCAGCTGATGAAGTGCACGAAGCTGCCCCTGGTGATCTTGGTCTCACCGAGGCGATTGAAGTACTGACAGCGGAGATTGATAAGCTGACTGCTCAAGACTCGGTTCTTGAGGCATTGACACGAAAGGCCGAGCTAACCAACAACACGGCCGAATTGAGAATTCTACGCAAGTCCAAGGCCAGCATTGAGCGCGAAATCAATCGCAAGGAAATGCAGCGACAGCAGTATATCATTCAGGAGAGTGACAACAGTCTTTATGGCCGTTCTACAACACGCATAAAGTCGATCATGGTTGGCAGGGAAGAGGACGGCCGAGAGTTTGCTATGTGTAAGCAGCCTTTACATTTATTCTTGATCAAGTCCTGATCCAAGAACTCTGCTCACTCTCGCCCTTAGATGTCGTCGAGGTTCAACGGAATGCCGGTGAACAAATGCCAGCTGCTTCTTGGGCAGTTCCTCGCCGCTACAGCGAATTCCACGAACTCCATCAGAAACTACGAATGAGTTATCCATCCGTTCGACACTTAGAATTCCCTCGTCGGCGCGTAGTCATGAAACTTCAGAAAGAATTTCTCCAAAAACGCCGCCAAGCCCTCGAGGCCTACATCCAAAAACTACTTCTCCTCCCAGAAGTCTGTCGCAGTCGCGATTTACGTGCCTTTCTCTCGCAGAGGGCAATTCTCCCTCAACAAGACAACAGCTCACGAAACACTGATGCCGACGCAAAGGATCTGGTCACAAGGATCTACAATTCCGTCGCAGACGGCATGGACGATTTCCTCGGTAACTTTGGCGTCCTCGACCAGTTATCTACCGCAGGCCAAAACCTCATCTCAGCCGCAACGAACCAAGTCAACGTCAGTATTAGTCTAGCTCATGATCCTGCGCTAGCTACCGAAGACGCCGTTACAACCGCCGAAGCCGAAGCCGAGCTAAACGCATTCGAAGATCGAGAACTAGAGCCTTTCATCAAACCGATCTGCGATCTCTTCCTAGAAGCTTTCGAACTAAACCGTGGTAACAACTGGCTCCGTGGCCGCGCCGTGGTCGTCGTTCTGCATCAACTTCTCGGAGGAACTATCGAGCGCAAAGTTCGTGATGGAGTTCGTTCCGTTCTACAGGAAGACTCGGTGTCACGATACATCAAGATTGCGAAAGATAGTCTATGGCCTGATGGTGTCTTGCGCAAATTCCTCCCTCGATCCATGGCTGATCGTCATAAAAGTCGCACAGAAGCTACTGTTGTCTTAGCTACGCTCATCCCTGATCTGGCCGGCAATGTTGTTGGTCGTGCGAATGCCCAGGCGGCTGCTAGAAGGATCTTTGCGACTCTGAATAATAAACCGCTTAACACTCATCTGGCGTTTACGCTTCTGGATGAAATTGTTTTGGTTCTTTTTGGTAGTCGGGAACCTGGTCGTTCTCGCTTACCCGCCTGACCTGTTCAATGGTTTTATGAAGCCATGACATGATTGATCTCTAAATTTCGTTCCTTTTGTTTATTCTTGGGTACTTAGCATTAGCATTAGCCCGCACTTTGTTTTACGTCTTGAACTTGATGCCTGTAATTTCTGTTCCAAGGTCACGATTAGGTACATACTCATAATATTATTGACATGATAAAATATTTCAGACGACAGTACTCCTCCAGCTCCGAGTATTTGATTTTTCTCCTTATTATACTCTTAGCTTTACTTTCTGGTGTCTTTCAGTGAGACTGGAGGATCAAGCTAATAAGCGGGTTGTGGGCCCAAGTGGATACGCTCTAACATCCACCTGGGCTGGGCATTCTTGATCCACGTACATACTACGAAGCACATACTACATTTCACAGATTCAATATTAAAATTGATTGATTCGAGGGCTAAAGAATGAAGAGATGAAAACCATCTGATCCCACTCAGATCAAATAAGGAGTATAACTCCTGAAGTCCTTGAAGTCATAGAAAGACCGTAAAAGTGGGTAAGGAAAATACACAGCGAGATAAATGACGAAGATAAAAAGGCTCAATTTCACCCCGCGCCCTCTTAATTCTTGCTTCTACTTCCCGAAACCAGGAGAAACGCGCAATTGCAGAGCAGCCGATCGGGAATCCCGTAGGATAAGGTAGGAGAAAGGCTAAAAGATCAGAAGGGGTTAAGAAGAAAAAGCGCAATAGAGAGGAGAGGGAGTCGACCCTTGTCGTTTCTGGTTGTTAAGGAATACGCAGCAAACGCAGAAATCCAGAAGAAAGGGGTTGCCTTCGAGTCTCACAGAGACATATAGGCTGAATGGGGACAATCTATGCCTCCTCCTTCTTCTTCTTTTTGGACTTCTTATCGCTGGATTGCGGGATACCGGCGCTTGATTTTTGGTGCACGATTAGGCGAGTCCAGCATTCTTCTTTATCCCACTCGAAACCTGCGAGGTAGGGTTTATCCAGCTCGTCGTCCGCCTGGAAGAATTAGTATAATGGATTGGAAGAGAGGGAAGTGGGGAAAGAGAACTGACCTTCTTTTTGAATTGCTTGTAGATCGCATCTAGGGCGTCCTTTATTGTGACTCCCTTCATGTTTCGAGCAGTGACCTCGAGTCCGAGGGGGAAGTGCAAGTCAATCTTCTTGACTGGGGGATTGATGAGGAGAAGTTTGAGGATGTCCTTGTCCTCAATGGTGTTTGGTGAGGTGTTGAGTTTCCTGAGATTGTTAGTAAAATGAAGTGAGAGATGAGGACCATGATACTCACCACCCGGTCTTTTGAGTTTCGATGGGGAGAGTGATCTCGATCTTCTGCTCCTCTGTTGATTATTAGTTAATTGTCTGAGCTATGAACAGAAAATTAAAGCCTTACCCAGGTCCTTGATGCTCCAGACATTAGGGGCGGCAACAGAAGAGTTTCGCTTGGACTTCTTCTTGACCTCAGTTTCTGTAGTTTCCGTGGTTGCCGAAGGCTTCTCATCTGATAAAGACAAGCCAGCGATGGCGGAATCAACTTTGGTTAAAGGGGCAGACATGGTGATGGTTGGGATCAGTAGAGATGATGGAAGAAAGGGGAAGGAAGAAGGGGAAGAAGTAGAGATAGTGAGAGGGGGGAAGAGCGAAGAGCAGGTGACCTTGAGAGCGGGGGTTCCAAGGTTGCAAGTCTAGGATGTCATTCCATACTATTATGGACTGAGCTATGTACCTCTGTTACTCTTATATCTCTATTACTTACTCTACTCATACTTGTACTTGTGGTCATGTTCATACTACACTCTCTCATAGATCCAATGAATCACGATTACTCAAAATAGAATCTCGTTCCTTGAACCCCTCGATTGACCCAGCGGGCTAACTCATGAAGTCCAGCGGTTCTCGTATTTTCAGAAATGTACACGGCATCCCCGGATCACACGAGCAACTGACATCAGGGGGCATAAGAGTGGGCCAATCTGGATGCTGCACCCCGCATTCTACTCCACCCGACTTTATTTTTGCGCCATCATCAATTGACCATTAATTGAGTATGTGCTCAAAATGAAACTTCCTTTGAATCGAGTATTAATATCTTATGTTCCAGATTCTATCACAGATATATCACGGTATTTTCTTTTCCGGATTGTGTGGATGAATTACAAATGGTGAAACCATCTTCATAGATCACCTGACTCGGAGTATCAGCCAACCGAACATGCCATCCCTTGACCCCAGAATGACATTGGGTGATCCTACTAGGAGGACTCTATGGTCATAATACGCGGGGATCAATTGATGTTGATTGAACTGCTCTCATATCCGACTGCTTCCATACCTCATAAAGTTGGTGACGATCCTCTTATGGGTCCTGGTGGATCATTCCCCACATCGGGTGAGAGGCCCAAGCCACATTATGATGCCGGCATATTGAAGAGTATCTACACCCTCGACCACCGAGTCTCTTTCTTCGACTCTCTGGAATGTAATAGCAACAAAGAGTGATCGTACTCGCAGTTGAACGGAAATTGAGGGTTATTGTCTACCGAAAACGGTCTTTTTTGTATAGTAGGTTTGTCCCCAGACTTTTCTAACTTTAGTGGATCCAATAGGACCATTGTTCTTCGAGTCAATGACCATATGGAACGGAATACCCCGGATCTCAGTTCATTATTACTCAAGGCCTTATGGGTCTCAGCTCCATTAATTGCTCATCTCAGGCTGGTTTGTATGGGAACCCTAATGGGACACAAGGTATTCATTCAAAAGTATCTCGATTTTTCATCGAACATTTCTGGAATTTGATTTGCGAAAAAGACACCGATATCGAAAGTTGACGTGATTCAACGGCGGCGCAAATAATTGATAAACTGCATCATAGCCACGAACGACTGGTAGCCAATTAAAAATGACCACATATACACAATCATTCGGGTCCAAATATCGAAATCGAGCACGTAGTCTATATCTATGATCAGTATTTACCCATAACCTGTGGGGAAACATACTTTGCTTTTGGTTGGCGATCAATCGGTTGGCTGTAACAGAAAAGCAACGACAATTAGCCGCCAGTTCCTCAAGCGTTAGATGGAAGATACCATCGGAATCGGGTGCGGAAAAACAACAGATAGGATCTTCGTTCTATCATGGTACCCAAGTGTTAGTTCACTCATATAGGTTCTTGATGACCTGTACACGAGAGGAGATTCTTGACAGGCTGTGTTGTAACATTGTATCCTAGCCTTGACATTCGTCGGAATCGCTAGTGAATGAGGGAACGGAGTCGCGTATCGGGCTCTTTGAGCTGACTTGATCAGGTGCTTAGGGTCCGGTGTGTCCAATTTGAGCTCTCCCATTCGCGCCTCTCATGGACAAGGTCATATCAGGTGAAAACGAATGTTGACTTACGGCGTCATTTGCCAAGGCCAGTGAGGCGAAGAGAGAAATCAGGAAAGCAATCATTATGATGGAGATGATAATGGTGCTGATGGTTGATTGATGGTTAGAGATGAAGGAGGGATGGAGGTAAAGGAGAGAGGGGAGTAGGAAGTTGTTGACAGTGTTAACATCGCTGCCTTTCCTATTTAGGCGACAGCGAAATCAATACCTAGGTCCTGTCTTCCTCTCTCTATAACTTCCAAGGTTCTCTCTGCCAGTCCACGGGTGTTGTCGAATATTAAAATCAAAATCAACTGACCAAGATCTCGCAATTACCATCAGTACTCCAGTTTGACAATTCAACTCACAAGAATCAGCTTCCAGCTGTCAGGTCTTAATTCTCATAGTGTTCAAGTTATCATGGGCCCCACGCACCGACTAATGCATGCTAACATTGCACAAGACATTTCAAGTTTAGAGCTGATCTTTCAATGTTCTTTGATAAACAACTACCTAGGCAGAGCTCGAGAAGAGTTCAAATTCCGGTCATGGCTGGCTACTAGTTTAATATGTATAATCCAAGTAATAGTAATATCACATATAAATTTTTGATGTTTTTGCAAGCTTATATGTATTTCCAAGTTGTTACTAAAAATGCACCTGGTCCTGAAAATGATCGCCATTTGCTCATTGAGACCAGTCAATCTCCCCATAGGGGATATTGACGTGCTTCAGCAGGCATAGTATACTCTTCTTCCATTTCCAATGTCTGACAAGGCTCAGACTGCTTGCAGGGAACACTGCAACATTTCCCATGTCCTTCCTCTCGCAGGTACTTTTCAAGAATGTACTTTTCATGAGAGTACGAGATATACCACAAGTTCATATCGAGCTCAAAATAACACATATGAGTTTTGTATCGGTGATTGAAAAGATAAGACAGGTTGCGGGAGCTCAGCTTGTTAAACGATAGGCGCGACGTGAGGTTAAAATATTGGGGGATTTCAAAAATTTGTTGCCTTCGGTGTCTTTCTAGCACCACGCGCTGATTCGCTGTGCATCAACCACAACGGGTCGCTTTTACTCAGCCTGGGACCCAAATTGACCCATCTTGTAAAGATGATAGCGGTTTTGGAACCGAACTTGAGTATCTGAAGTCTGGCATCTGTATTGCACTCATGACACATAAACTCGAAGGTCCTTTCCTCCGGGTAGCTGTCGAACAATAACTGAGGCGTGGTACAAGACACCTCTCGTAACTCTTGTGACTACATAATTCAAGATACAAAGAAGGATGCATTTTTTTGTCCGTGTCAGTGAATGGGTTCATTTCAATCAGGATTGATCTTTTCTCGTGGTCGAAAAATAGAATATCTTGCATCCGAACATGGAGACCCACAGGCATGTCGGAGATCTGGGTGTCGATTGCGAAAAGCGATATGATATCTGGAGTAACTGAATTTTCTGGGAACTGGCGGACTTACGTATATGAAAGAGATTCAGGAATTATTCCAAATTTAGGCCCATGGTAGAACCTTTTCATGGCAAGTTTCAAGTGGAGGAAAGAGATAGTGTATTCTGAGTATAAAGGAGTCCTGTGGGTTCTCATACATAAACCTGTACTTCCAAGTCTATCAATATGAGCACAGGGAAGTTTGCACGTTCTTTCATGGTCAAGTCCACTGATACCAAAGCAGTCAGTTCCATCATGACGATGAAATACGCAGCAAAATTCACAAGCGAAGTACCCTGGGAGGTCTCGCTCTAGCCGGGTCAATATTGAGATCTTGGGACAAGGTATGCGCTTTGTTTGTCTCTGAATAATGTCGAGGAATCTGCGACTGCAAAGAGACAGACAGACCAAATTGACTGGTGAAAGAAACCAGATATCGACAGGACTAGCTCAGGGGGGGATTTTGGTAAGCGGAGCTAGCTTTGAAGGGGGTATATTGATCATCGAGTAGGTCACGGTATAATCGGACGTTTCTTCAAGTTCTGGGCGCTTTAGCCATAGGCTAATATAATACCACAAACACGACATATTTAAAAAATTCACAGTGACTGAAAAGTGAGGAGTTTTCTTTGAAGAAGAATAAGAGACTCGGAGGAACCAACTTGGATTTATTTGTAGGGGAGTAATAAATGGAATGTATGATTTAGGACAAGTCGCATAGCCTTCAAGTTGTAGGAATCTACGGTCTATCCATGGTTAGGTAGAAACTTAGAAAACCTATGTAAGTACATCAGAGACTTGGTAGGATTTCAAGATTTTGAGTCCTCCGAGTCCTAATACGGTGTCAGCCTTAACCTTGGGAATACTAGTATGTAGTACATAGTACTAGTACTGGACCTATAGCGGCCATCATAATGTCGCCCAAGTCCTGTAGAAACTTGAGACATTTGAAAAAAAGAGAAAGAGAAATAGAAAGAGAAACTTGAAACCCGCACAACTTAGCTACTATCTCTCACTTGTCTATCATTTACTTTAGATATCTCTCACTTTAGCCTTATATATTATTAAAGTTTTTATTTCATGATAGTAAAGCAACGAACAGCGAGCTAGGGAGCCAAAATTCATCATACTAGTACGTACTATATGTAGGATTCAACATTTGAAATGTTTGAATGGGGTTCAAGTTCAACTTGAAGTTCGGCCGTGCCAGTGGCTGTTATACTACTAGTAGGTGTAGTAGTAGTAGTACCTGGCAGTATATAGTTCTACTAGCCTCTAGTAGTATTTCGCATAGTAGTACTATATTAGTAGTAGCAGATACATAGTAGCCTACCAAGGTTATGTATGTCAGTACCTAAATAGGTACTTAAAGGAGTAGGTAACCATGTACCTACAGGTAATACTAACTGAATATTCAAATACTATTAGAGAATATGAAAACACCTCTGCTCCGGATAGTAGGGCTCATAGTTTAAATCCCATATAGGAAGGCGGTGAATGCTATTTTTCTGCCTCTGCGTCGCGCATCTCGATCACTACGAGTTTCCGCGCAGTCATTTTTCCAGCTCTCATACGCTGCTCCCAGCACCCTGTCTCCGCCTTCCACACATTTCTCTTGAGACTCGGGTGCAGCTTCGAAAGTTGCCTTTTTTTCTCTTCCGAAGCCTCTCATACCTTCTCACCCAACCTCAAACCCACCACAGGAGCTCTCGATGTCCCTCTTTGGTAGTGCCGCTGCTGCGCCGGCGTCGTCGGCTGGTGCGACGAATACCACTGGTGATATCTCGAAAGATGTCCCCCTCAACCAACCCCCAGAGGACAGCATCTCGGACATGCGGTTCTCGCCTACAAGTGAACATTTGGCCGTCGCCTCGTGGGACAACAAGGTCCGCATCTATGAGATTGGCTCGAGTGGTCAGAGTGAAGGAAAAGCTATGCTCAATTTGGATGGTCCTGCCTTGAACTGCTGCTGGTCTCCGGTAATATCTGTCTTATAGCTTCTTATAGCTCTCCAAATATCTCATACTTATCGCATCTGCTAACACTCTTTTCTAGGACGGAACCAAGGTCGTTGGTGCAGGTGCTGACAATATGGCGAAATTGCTCGATCTCGGTGCTGGTAGCACAACTCCTGTCCCTGTCGCGAAACACGATGCCCCGATTCGAAGCTGTCACATGTTCCCCAACCCCTCAGTAGGAGGTTCACCGCTCCTGGTAACTGGCTCTTGGGATAAGACTGTCAAATACTGGGATCTGCGACAACAGAATCCCATCGCCAACATCGATTGCCAAGAACGCGTGTACACAATGGACGTGAAGAACAAGCTCCTGGTTATCGGTACAGCGGACCGCTACATCAACATTGTCAACCTTGACAACCCTACCAAATTCTACAAGACTATGCAATCCCCCCTTAAGTGGCAGACGCGGGTAGTCAGCTGCTTCACCGATGCGTCTGGTTTCGCCGTTGGCAGTATCGAAGGTCGCTGTGCCATCCAGTACGTCGAGGAGAAGGACTCTGCCTCCAATTTCTCCTTCAAGTGTCACCGTGAAAATCCCCCAACCTCTCGCGATACCTGCAACATCTACTCCGTCAACTCTATCTGCTTCCACCCCGTTCACGGTACTTTCAGCACTGCTGGTAGTGATGGAACTTTCCATTTTTGGGATAAGGATGCTAAGCATCGTCTGAAGGGTTACCCGGCTGTTGGTGGACCTATCTCGAGCACTGCTTTCAACCGTGATGGTTCTATCTTCGCCTACGCTGTTAGCTATGACTGGAGCAAGGGTTACTCGGCCAATACTCAGGGCGCTCAGAATAAGATTATGCTTCATCCTGTGGGCGCGGACGAAACTAAACCCAGACCAAACCCTCGCAAGCGATGATCGGTGAGCGATGTTTGCAGGATTCTGTGGGAATGGGGTTCAATTCTGGATTGGTTTTTTCCCAGGACTTTCGTGGAGCGATTGGCGCTACGAGCATTAATGAAACTTTTGTCATACCGGCGTGTGTATTGTTTAAAATCGAATTGCAATGGATCTTTTGAAATGGCTCTTGACTGGACTTATTAGATAGAATAAAAGGTCATAAGTTGACTACTCTAGCTGATCTTGACTGGTAATCTTGACATGGAGCCACCTGGGCACTACGTAGATTGTTCACAAGTAGACTCAACTCCAGGTCTCATCCATTTTACCTCAGCCTTGTATGGCCAACCTTGGGAAGATCACACTAAACAAGACTAATACTGTACCAGTGCCAAGTAAGTCGTAGAGCTACTGAATTCGAACCATAGACAAGCGTAAGCAAAAGTTAAATGCAAGAATTCCATCCAAACACCATTCTCGTAGATTCATGTGTATGATAGACATATCAGTCGTACATCAAGTATATCAAGTCCAGTCCCACCTCATCCCATGACCATGACCCGACCATACCCAAAACCCAACCACTCCAACCTCAATGCTAAGTCAATGCTATACCAGAATTGATCTACGATGTAGGAAGAGTAACCTGCGCAACTCCATCGGCGATCTTCTGCACGGCCTCATCCTGAGATCCCTCAGCAGTAACGCTAGGGCTCTCAGCACCACCCTTGGCGGTAGCCTCGACACCACCAGGGGCCTTAGCCTTCTTCTCCTTCTTCTTAGCCTTGTTGGCAGCCTTCTTGGCAGCAATCTTAGCGGCCTCCTCGGCCTTCTTGGCGCGCTCAGCTTGAGAACCACCAAACAGCTCACGCCACTCATCGGCCTTCTTGGGGTCGATACGCGAGAAGAGGTATGCGGCCTTGCCGATCTTGTGTCCGGCCTTGATGCTCTCGGGCTTCCATCCATCCTTGAGGCTCTCAAGGGAAGGAATCAACAGAGCAGGGACATTCAGCTGCTCGAGGATTGACCTGGAAGTGGCGGGCATGTAAGGAGAGAAGACAGCAGAGAGGAGGTGAATCAGGTTCAGAACGGCTCCGACGACGGCGGCAGCACGCTCGGGCTCGTTGGCGATCAGAGCGTTGTCCAGACGGTTAGCCTGGATCAGACCGTTACCAGCTTCGGCGATACGCATGGCGGTGGAAACACCAGCGCGGAGGTGAACTCCCTCCATCTCTTCAATGTACTGGCGCAGAGAGCCAGTAACCTCCTCCAAGAAGGGGTTGAAGCTCTCGGGGATGGTGAACTCAGGAATAACGGAACCGTAAGAGGCAGCGACGAGTTTGACAACTCGGTTGACGAGGTTACCCAGCTTGGCGAGCAGCTCGCTGTTGTTGGCGTCCACGAATGAGCGCCATTCGAAGAATGTGTCGCCAGTCTCAGGACGGTTCTTAAGCAGGTAGTAACGCCAGACATCAGGGGGCACACCGGTCTCTCTAGCGTTGGTGCCGAAGACACCAATTCCTCGGGACTTGCTAAACTTGCCACCCTCATATTGAAGGTACTCGGTAGCACTGAGGTGGTGGTTCATGGTCCAGACATCACGGGTACCCAGCTGGGTAGCGGGGAAGATGACACTGTGGAAAGGCACATTGTCCTTACCCAGGAACTGGTACAGTTGCACCTCCTCGGGGTTGCGCCACCAAAGCTCCCAGTCCTGGGTGTAGTTGGCTGTGATGGAGGGGTATCCGATACAAGCCTCAAACCACACGTAAAGCACCTTGTTCATGAAGTCCTCCTTGTTCTCGAATCGATCCAGCGGGACGGGAACACCCCACTTGAGATCACGAGTAATACCACGGTCCTTCAGTCCCTCCTTCAACCATGACTCGGTAATAATACGGGAGTTCTTGGGCCATTCACCCTTAGCAATTGACTCATTGGCCCACTTCTCAACCTCGGGCTGGAGCTTGTCCAGAAGCAGGTGAATGTGTTTTGTCTCACGGCGCACGGGGGTAGCTCCGTCAAGCTTGCAGCGCGGCTTGATGAGGTCGAAGGGATCGAGGAGATGACCACACTTGTCGCACTGGTCTCCGCGCGCATCGTCGTAGTGGCAGCGAGGGCACTCACCCTCGACATATCGGTCAGCCAGGAACGAGCCGTGCTGTTCACAGAAGGGCTGCTCGGCGGTGCGCTCCGCGAGGAATCCATTATCTTGGAGTCGGTTGAAGATAGCCTGAGAGATCTCGGTGTGTTTTGAAGTAGGGGTACGACCAAAGTGGTCGAATCCAATATCGAACCATTTGTAAACTTCCTGGTGGATCTTGTTGTATTTTGCGCAAAGCTCCTCCGGGCTCATCTTCTCCTCCAGGGCCTTGGTCTCAGTTGCGGTACCATACTCGTCCGTTCCACAGATGTATAGTGTTGACCGGCCACAGGCCTTGTGGTATCTATAAAAAGAAATTGAATGTTAGTTCGAGCCTCTAGACTCAAAGAATGTAGTGGGGTTAGATGGTGTTGACTCATACCTCGAGAAGACATCAGCACTCAACACGGAGCCGATCACGTTGCCGAGATGGGGCACATTGTTCACATATGGCAATGCGCTAGTAATGAGGATATTCCGCTCGCCCTTCTTGGGCAGGATAGGATTGGAAGCCATATTGTGGGATGTAGATGAGAAAGATGGAGGGGAAAGCGGAAAATCGAAAAAAGTGGGCTTTATCAGCTCGTGACATCCGCCCCGCATATCAAAAATTCCCTTTACATCTTTTTTTCTTTGACTCATCGATTTACATTGACCCCCTTGCTTTCGGATCTTTATCATTCTTACGAGGATGGACTCAAATCTACTAGACAGTCTCCTTGATTTGGAGGAACAATTCTACAATGAGGGTTATCAGCTAGGTGTCGCCGATGGTGCTGAAGCGGGCTACACGGAAGGCAGTGTCTTCGCTGTGGAGAAGGGATTTGAGAAATTCGTCGAAATGGGACGGCTGTATGGGAAAGCCCTTGTCTGGGCCCAGCGGCTAGCAGATTCCAAACAGGATGGAACATCCCAGGTCACACCTGAAGTCACTCAGCCAGATGCCTTATCTCTGGACCCGTCGATATGCAAAGAGATGCCCAAGATTCCAGCCCATAGTGCTCGTCTAGCACGAAACCTGGCTACCCTGCTGGAGCTTGTTGATCCGGCTTCACTGGATATGAGTAACACCGAGGATGCTGTGAATGATGTTGATGAGCGATTGAAAGGTGCGGCGGTGAAAGCTAAGCTTATTCAACGAGCTATGGGGGGAGAGCGAAGAATCATCGAGTGCGCAGTCCAATGCTAGGGATGTTTCAAAGCCTGGAGATGGAACTGGAAGTATCGAAGATATCAGTTCATTGAACATTCGCCATTGATCCAATAGCTGTATTCGATCGGCTCTCACCTCGTGTTGCCATGCCCCATTTGCAAACGATCCGACTCGGAACTGCCGGAGCTCTTATGCAGAGCTCTTACGATCGATAGTTCAGACAGCAGGACATTCTGTGGAATGCTCTCAAGCTCTACTTTCCACCAATTCTATGGTGGTCAGCTTGAATGCGTTTGTTCTTGGGCAAACCTATATACCCAGAGCGAGCTACACAGCTACTAGTACATCCCATACTAAGTCTTCCACGAGCGGATGGTCAATATATCCAAGTCTCTTTCCGTTCTCTCAATTATCAAAACGGATAGACTGTGTGACAGGACACTGTGGGCAAACCTTTGAAGGGATAAAACTATTCATTGCCAGCTTAACGGCAAATCAAATAGCGCCAACTGGTCAAATCATGTGCACTCAGTACCTAGTCCGACACCTGAGCATACTTCACATACTTGGTTTCAAGTTCCGAACGAGTCTTAATTAGTACAAAAATTTGAATGAAACTCATCGTCAGCAATCATTTGAGAACTCTCGTTACTGTTATTCAATTAGATTTCAAAAATTTGAAGCTTGAAATATGGTAGTATTCTCTTTCTATTCAAGATCATGCATAGCTCATTACATCAAGTAAATATTGGTAATCGTTATAACTTTTGATTTCTTACTTTTGAGTCACATTGAACAATTACTCCAAGCTGCGAATAGCCATAGCCAAGGCACCCTCCTTGGTCTTGTGGCCACCAATGAATCCGCTAGCGTGGACAAAGATAGCACCCTCAGGCAGCTTCGCCTGGCCCGCCTTCTCAGCCTCAGAAGCCAGAACGCCATCCAAGTCCTGGTCACGCACTCCGCGCCAGGCCTCAGGGAGAGGCTTGCGCGAGACGAAGCTACCCTCAGACTCAGAAACGCATTGCACGCGCCACTTAGAATCCTCAGCAGCGCTTTCGGGGTACAGAACATAGTAAACCTCGGAGCTAGCATCGGCTTGCTCGAAGTTGTACAGGTGCTCCTTCCAGGAACACCACCCTGCGGGAAAACGATGATACGGCCAGAGGAGTGAACCTCCTTGCGCGACTGGTACGCATCGCCAACGATGGTACGGGCTGGCAACCAAGAGTTGCAAGCGTGGTGCAGCTTGCGAGCGAAGACGTTACCGATCAGAGTGCTAGCACGACCGAATAGACTGTCCTCATCTTGGGGCTCGCCGGCTGGGCTGGTGGGGTCTGGGTTGTTCATGTCGCCGACAATGGAGGCAAGAGTGACGCCACCATCCTTGAAGCGCTTCTGCAGGTTGGCGGCAGAGATAGCAGCCGGTTCGTAGGCGGAGATACCGTTGTCATTGGCATCAATAGCTTCGATGAAGTCAGTGTAGAGCTTCTCGTACAGAAGGTCGACATCGGGGTGGTCCTGAGGTTGGGAGAGAGATTGGGCAATAATGGCTCGGCCAAAGTGCATGTAAACCAGACCAGCGGAGGAAAGCTTAGTGTTGTGCTGGGGGAAGGTGGTGTCGAAGGTGCGCTGGTGGTGATCATAGCGGTTGGTCTCAGCATCGTAGACACCACCCACATCGACCACAGTGTGGCAGGTTTCCAGCTGGGCAGGATCGCGAGTGCGGATCAACGGGGATCCAGCATAGCTGGGCAACAGGCGGAGCAGATAAACTGCTAGAGCCTCATCAGCATGGAAGTGGCCGCTATGGTTGAGAGCTTGTTAGTTACTTTTTTTTTTTACTAGAGTCGAGCAAGCTTGGTCTCTCAAGGAAGAACACACTTGTGAGTCCCGATCAAGGGAGCAGTCTTGAGCTTCTTTGCAGCGGTTTCAGCCATTTTGAAGAAAGAACGGAATCTGAGCATAAAACTGAGTCCAAAGATTCCGATTATGATTTGCTTGAAGCTGGCTGGTCCAGCTTATCAGCGGGGGGCATTCTATATCGGGAAATCAGGGCTGGGGGGTTTGAAATATCATGTGATCTGATGACAAACAGCTACCTAGCATGTGACTGATGATGAAACAATGATGTCAAAACACTACGCCTTGTTTCATCCCAAAGCATGTTAGCTCAGGGGAAGAACACGTGATATCATGTGATCAAACAAACCAAACAAACCAAACTAACAAATTCAAGTTCCATATGCATTGGGCGATAAACGAGGATATCATGATGGTATTCTTTTTTTTCTCTTTATATTCTTTATATATTCCATTGTTACTTTCTCATTAAGAGAGATATATCCTATTGATAGCCTTTACTATAACTATCAAAATTATACTTCTATTGTCATTCTCTCTCTATGACAGAATATAACGCTCTGACCGCCGAGCCACGACCCTAGTACAACATCACACCTTATAGTACATGTGTAGTGTAATCTCTAAGAACAAAAAGAACTTCAATTTGGATCTAAGAAAGTGAAAAATTTATTCTTTTATTTTTATTCACTCTATTTGATTTCTATTTTCTTAGATTCAGATGTTTTTTTGATCCTTTCATACTATCTTATTACATTCTTTCTCTTACATAGAGAGAGAGACCTTCCCCCCCTTGCCCACGTGAAATCCTGCGATAAGCTCGAGAAGAGAAAAACGAAAATAAAAAAAAAATAACCCGCTCGTGTGCCTCTTCTCCCCTCCTTTCCCTCTACTCACATCTTCAACACCTTTATCCTCACGCGCTCTCGCGCGTCCACTTCTCTAATGTGGCTCTTTCGAGTCTTCTCATCGGCCATCTTCTTGGCCGTCACTGTCTCCTCCATCCCGCTGGCCTTTGACGTGGGCGGGAAGACCTGCGGTCTGGCCTTTTCGCTATCCCTAGCAACTTTCTACTTTCTCTACTCCCTTTTGCGCGTTACCACGCCAGTCTCCTCCAACGTTCGCTCGTCGCTTATCACTGTCGTTCGGTCTACGCAATGGCTCCTCATTCCGATCTTATTGATTTGGGCGCTCAACCGTTTCTCCGTCGATCCGGAAAATAACAGTGAATGGGTGGAGCGCACCTTTAGCGGGACCCGTGCGCAGGATACTTCCATCCAAGAGTGGCTCTTTGGTCGCGGTGGCCTGGTTGAATCTGTCACCTTGGGAAACTGGGATCGACTGCTGCGATGGTCCACTCCGGTGTTCCAGCTGGCTGAGGGGTTCTGTAGTCTGTTGGTCATTCAAGCGGCTGGTCAAATCACCCGATGGCTGGTGAATCGTGGTGGGCGCAGCGATAGCTGGATGGTATGTTTATCTCTCTTTTCTTGTTGCGCATCATCGAAACTTCCGACACTAACTCTGACTCCCAGATCGGTCTCCTCGTTCTATCTGCTACCATCATCTCCAGCTCCGTCTATTTCCTCTGGCGCGTTCTGCAATTCCCTGAGATCTCCAATGTAGATGCTGCCCTTATCGGAGTCTCGATTACCTGTGCGGTCATTCTCTGTGCTTGGGGAATCGGCAGTGGGCGGGGAAATCCAGTGGAGAGCTCTCTACTCTTCGCCTACATTGTCCTTTGCATCTACCAGATCTTCACGGACTACCAGCCATCGTACCCTGTGGAGCAAGTCCCGTCTCCTTCCCAGGCCGGCGACTTTCCCCCGCTTCCACCGATCTTCATGGCATCATACACGACTCTCATGCATGCTCTATCACTCTTGCCCTCGATTATCCATGCTGGATTCAATGTGATCACTGCTGTTTTCAGTGCCGTCACTCCATCGGTTCTAATTTCGCTGGCTTATCGACTACTTGTCCTCTACGCATCAACACGGATCATTCCAGCTGTACGTGAGTCTGGGGCCCGTGCGCTGTCCCAAGAGGCTTCTTTAGAGGACTCTGATGGTGCTGGTCAAGTTCTAGCCTTCCTGAGCTACTTTTCACCATCTATCCTCATCGCGGTTTATACCAGCCTTTTGATGCAACACTTCTCGTCCACTTCACAGGCAATGGGAGGTAGCGGCGAGTGGTGGAGTGTCCAAGGTGCTGGAGGCGGCAATCTCTGGCGCTGGATCAACCTGGCCTGCACCACAGCGCTTTACGCTGTTGAGCTCTGGCTTGGAGAACATAATGATCTCGATAACGGACTAGCTGGTCATTGGAAAACGGATTGAAACCGTACAGGCCTATAGAGTGATCGAGTGGAGGCTGATTTTTGGTATCTCCCATCAAAGATTATAATTTCACTGATCTCCCTTGACAACTGATTGATCTATTCTCCTGGGTTTGAAATTACTTTAAATCCAAGGGACCTGGCAAAGATATCTGCCCTAAACCCCGCAACTGGGTATATTCATCCGGCTACCCTGAGTCCCTTCTCGAAGAGCTAGTCGAGAAATCCGAAATCCGCCCGAGGCCATGTGCCGCTAGTCTCACTTTCGGAGATCATTTGCTTATCTGTCGCCTTGTAATTCATGGTGACCTCGCCTTGCCTCTTTCCAGATGCTATAAATGAGCCTTTCATGGAATACCACACCTGGCCCCAAGGCTCTTGCTCCTCGTCATGTATATCTCGCCTTCATGTTCCAAGAGCCCCTTCAAAAGAACTACCCCCTTGCTTTAGCCTCTACTTTGAGTCCCCTGACGACTTCGTCCTTGTGTTTTCCTTCTTGTTCTTTCTCATGACCCCATGATACCAGCTGCAGTTCCTTGCTATTGCATTAGCTTCCACCACTTCACGTCTGCTACTTATACCCTTGCCCACCATCTTGGCTTAACTACTTCTTTCCTGGCCTATGAACCTGCTCTTTTCCTCTCTCCGTAGTGTCCCACTTGCTTCCAATCTCTGTACATAAGATCCTGGATTCATCGGTTTATCTAGTGGTGTTGTCTGCACCGTGCTTCAATTAGAGAGATCTCTTATTGTCTTATGATTGACTTTTCTAAAGTAGATCTACTAGTACAAACTCCAAGTCCGTTTACCAGTATTGAGGATGGTGGTCACATAAACTGAGAATGATATGATGGATGACTATTCTGCATAAATCAAGGAAAGGGGGAAACCATGGGAATGAATACAAAATAGAATGCAAATATAGACCAGTAAACGCGATGACGAAACTAATCAATGTAGAAAAGCCAAGGAAAAACCAATGCCAACGCGCTGATGTTCCATGGGGATCAATCGACTTGACTTGATCTTTCTTTTCATAAGAAAGATTAAGTCAGTCAAACTTGAGGCCGTAAACCCATTCCACTCCAAAGTCCTTTTATCCTTTTTCGCTCTTTTTTTGATAATTTGTAAAAATGTCATCCTGCATCCTGCATCCTGGTCCTGTCCCGCAGTGTACCTCACCCCCGAGAAAGTCCCCATAGCGCCAGGCTTTTGAACATCCAGCATATAAGAGGTGGTAAAAAAAGAAAGAAAGAAAAAAGAAAGCAAATCCTTCCCAAACACATATGGAGATTGTTAAAAGAAAATCAATATCAAAGAAAAAACAAGAAAATAAAATAAAACCCATGAGATATCCATGCAATGCATCAATTTATCGGTGACTCAACTCAATAGAATCACCGATGAATGGGAACTCCCTCCCGAGCAGGTGGAGGACTCACACTCGGTTCCTTAGGCTCCTTATCCTGGGAATCAGGTCCAGTTGAACCCTCACTAAGACTAGAATTCCGGTGCAGGTACCCCTCTTTAATGGGGCTACGGCTCTGGAATCCGATGGAGCCGGGGTGTCCGCTCAGACTGCCGGGGATCTGTTGACCACCTTGAGCACTAATGCTACCACCGTTACCGGTAGCAGCGGCGGGGTTGTTGGCTCCGGGAGAGGTTGCGGTGAGGTGTGGAATGTTTTCGGGGACTGGGTGGCGGGATCCGATGTTGGTTACGCCGACATCTGAGGCCTTGCCGGCCTTGCTGAGAGCGTAATCTCCAGAGTCGAAGTATTTACGCTCCTATAGAGAATAAGAAGAGAAGGATTAGTGTTTTGTTGGTGTAGGATAGGAAATAGTTGAGGTGGGGGAATAATATAGAACGATGCACGAATGATGGAAATCGCCGCTAATGGTATAGGGGTGGGATCTTACCTTCAGCTTGTTCTGCAGAACATCTTTCTTGTTGGGCATCTTGCCATACATGCGGAATAGACGTTGCTCATCTGGGCTCAGAGACTAGTGGAAATGAGTACTCCATTCTGGAAGGAGGGGCATGTAGTTCGAGGACTCACGCTGATATCGACCTTATTCTGTTGATGAGGATTCATGATGGGCAAGATTGTTGAATTTGAAGAATGAAGAGAGAGAAAAAAACAAATAGATTTGGGGGGAAGAAATCCAGGAGCTTTTTAAAGGGAGGAGGAAGTGGAGAGAGAGAAAGAAAGTTGGGTGCTCGATTTATCGATAACGACTATCCGCGCCCGATGTGAAGAAACTCTCTAAAATGACTAGACTGATTGGTCTCTGTTTTATTTCCACTGAGTATTTTATGGTGATAATTCTTACATATTAAAATAATGTATAAATAGATTTCAATATTGCTAAATAAGAACAAGATATCTATTATTTTGTGGAAGGGAGAAATAAGTACTCATTTTCATTACAACCAGCACTGTACGTCATCAAAACCAGAGCTTCGCCATCTACTATTCACTCAAAGATAATATGCCCATGTGGACAACAATGAACATTTGAACATTTGAAACAGAGATAGAAAAAAAGAACCAAGGGAACCTTACAAGATACAGATCTCTTAACCCATGCATCTCCCTCTCATGAAATCGCTACATTCGCACAAAGAGTTCTACAAATGACCTCGATAAGTGTGGGACCGCAATCCTCTACCAGATTTCCCTCATGATTTTCCCGCAATTTGGCAATTTTTTTTTCTTTCAACCCCAGATTCCTCAACCCCGCCATGACTGATCAGAAGACCAGGGCCTTTGTGGTCGAACACCTAGATCCCGAACTGGGTCCGTGGTCCGCGTTGGAATATGCTTGCATTGCTCGCGAATCGCACGACCGCGGGGCTCGGTTCCTTCTGAGCTCTGTGCCTGCCGAGCTGCAAATGCCCGCTGACCTTGCTGCTACCCGTGGACTGGAGGTCGAGCAGCGTAGTGTCGAGGATGTCTTTGCGCATTGCAAGGAGAGAGTTTGTCTATTGGATCCTTCTGCTACTGTGGAATTGAGCCCCGAGGATGGTGACAACTTTGATGTGTTTTTGTTCGGTGGTATTCTCGGTATGTATGAATATTCACTTGCCCAGGTGGTACCCCGCGGATCATCCTGGGAACTTGAATTTAACCTTGAACTTATGTGGAAATTGTGGGCTAACTTAATGGCTATTAGGTGATGATCCCCCACGAGGTAGGACATTCGAATGAATGGAGAACAGAAACAAGAAACTAACATTTTAGACCGTACTTCTGAACTCCGCAAAAAGGGCTATGTTGGTCGACGTCTTGGTCCTAAGCAGATGACCACTGATACCGCTGTGCGAGTAACTCGCATGGTCGTACATGAGAAAAGTATTTGATCCGCACTGTCATTCAAGTTCTCATTGGTCTGGTAGTTAACCAGCATTTAGTCCCATTGGAGAAGATCAACTATGTTGATTACCCCGAAATTCTGATCAACCAACATGAGCGTACTGAGATGCCCTTTCGCTATGTGACAGATGAGAATGGAGAACCAATCATGCCCGCAGTAAGTGAAGCCCCTGAAAGACATTAATAATTAATAGGATTGTCTGACTGGATTAGGGGATGGTGGATCTGATTAAAAATGATGCCGACAAGGACGTTGGTGATCTTTTCTAAACTGGTTTAATCCTGAAAAACTATTATATAGTCCAGAAAAGAATAAAATAATTCGGCAATTCCCACTTATACTAATACTCCAGAGCCAATGTCGTAGTCTTTATCATCATGATGATGTACTAAGTACATGTAACGGTCTGAAGTATCAACTTGGTTTCAGACTTAAACGCCCATCTTAGGGGTAATGATAGTACATGTGCCAAGTAAATCCATTCTAACTAAATATAGAGGATATCCGAAGTAAGCGTACTCGCATTACAATCCCCCCCCCCCCCGTACTCGTACTAATAGTTAAAATGCGCTCAATGATCCACATCTATATAGTCACTAAAAGAGTAATGGGGCACTTGAATAATGCATGGGGCTGGTGGCGGCTAAAGTATTGTACTTGTATAGTATTGATCATTCGGGTAATTATACACACTTCACCGGTGTATTATTTGTATCTTGGAGTAATATAAATACCATATATAATACATGACGGTCCAGGCCACGCCAGCAAACCCGCTTTGTTCCGCTACTCTTCGAGTCCCTTTCCACTTTTCTACTTCACTCATATCCCTTGATATTTAAGCGAGAAGGGTCGATCTCTCCTATTGCCGTCTTTCGTTCGAACTCCCCTTCATCCTTCGCCATCCTTTTCGGATTCCGATGATCGCTTGATCCCGTCATCTTACGTCCGTGACGGACCTCTCGATAACCCACCTAAGCGCTTCCTTCACTGGAAGGCGTTAACCTGAACGAATACAATAAGGCGAAGCTGTCAGCCCTGGACACTCTTTTAGGATGCTTTTCGTGCCCTCGCTCCCTCGTTCCAAGAGGGGCGGGGCCCTGGCCATGCTATCATGGTCCGCCTCCTTGGTACTAGGCCCAACGCTCGCTGCGGCTGCTTCAGCCGCCGATTACTATGTTCATGATTTACCAGGAGCTCCGGAAGGACCTCTCTTGAAGATGCACGCTGGGTAAGTTTCTAATCAATCTGTACTGTGCCCAGAGAGGGGTTTGCGCCTAACTAAAATCAACTCATTAGACACATCGAGGTCGACCCCGAGACGAACGGCAACCTTTTCTTCTGGCATTACGAGAACAGGCATATCGCGAATCGCCAGCGCACTGTCATCTGGTTGAATGGTGGACCCGGATGTAGTTCTATGGACGGTGCCTTGATGGAAGTTGGCCCGTATCGACTCAAGGATGACCACACTTTGGAATATAACAAAGGATCGTGGGATGAATTCGCCAACTTGCTCTTTGTTGATCAACCTGTCGGCACTGGCTTCAGCTATGCGAACACAAATAGCTATCTGCATGAACTGGATGCCATGTCAGCACATTTTATGATTTTCTTGGAGCGCTTCTTTGAACTGTTTCCCGAATATGAGAGAGATGACGTACGTGGCCCCCAAATGTTTCAAAGGAAACTCACCACTGTTAGGAATTCGCGAAACTGACAGTTTGATTGATAGATATATATCGCTGGTGAATCTTACGCGGGTCAACATATTCCCTACATCGCCAAGGCTATCAAGGAGCGCAACAAGGATGCCGAAACAGATGGACGACAGAAATGGCCGCTGAAGGGTCTTCTCATCGGAAATGGCTGGATTTCACCGGAGCAATACCCCTCATATTTCGAGTTTGCTGAACGTGAGGGCATCATTGAAAAGGGATCGGCTGTATACGAGAAAGTTGAGGCTCAGAACAAGATCTGCCTGTCCAAGTTGGAGACCCCTGGTGCCAAGAACCAGGTCAATATTCGAGAGTGCGAGGATGTTCTGCAAGGCATGCTCCAATATGCCCAGTTCGACGGCCAGTGTGTCAATGTATACGACATCCGGCTGCGGGACTCCTGGCCTTCATGTGGCATGAACTGGCCCCCAGATCTGACTTTCATGGAACCATACCTCCGGCGTGATGATGTGGTCAAGGCGCTGAATATTAACCCCGCAAAGATGACTGGTTGGCAGGAATGCTCGGGTGGTGTGAGCAAGGCATTCTCAGCTAAGAACTCCCAAGCTGCTGGCACGTTGATTCCTGGTCTGATTGAATCTGGAGTCGAGGTTCTTCTGTTCAGTGGTGACAAGGACCTCATCTGCAACCATATTGGAACGGAGACATACATTCATAGCCTGAAGTGGAAGGGCGCTACGGGTTTCGAGACTGCACCAGGTGTCTGGGCTCCTCGTCATGACTGGACTTTCGAAGGTGAACCGGCTGGTATTTACCAACATGCCCGTAACTTGACCTACGTCTTGTTCTACAATGCTAGCCATATGGTTCCCTTTGATGCCCCTCGCCAGACCCGTGATATGCTTGACCGCTTCATGAATGTCGACATCGCTAGCATCGGTGGACGTCCTGCCGACTCGCGTATCGATGGCGAGAAACTGCCCCAAACTTCTGTTGGTGGTCACCCCAACAGCACCCTCGCTGAGCAGGAAGAATTGCAGAAGATCAAGGCAACTGAGATGCACGCCTACACCAAGTCCGGCGAGGCCATCCTCGTGGTTGTTATTATTGGTGTCAGTATCTGGGGATTCTTTATCTGGCGCAGTCGCCGGGGCCACAAGGGGTACCTCGGTGTTAACGAGCGGGATATGGATATGCGTGCTGGGTCTGTCCTGGATCGCTTCCATAACAAGCATTCGCGTGGCGATATCGAAGCTGGTGACTTTGACGAGTCAGAGCTAGATGAGCTGCATTCGCCTGGTCTTGAGCGAGACCAATATGCTGTTGGTGATGTTAGCGATGAGGAGGACCATCGTGCGGACTCTCAGCCCATCGCAAATGGCCATGATGCTCGCAACCCGTTATGATACGAATCGTCCCAATGATTCTGTGTGATGTATTCCATGTTTGAATCTATTTTCGATTTCTCCATTGTTTTAACTTTTCAAGTTTCCTTTTGCTCCTTGCCCATGTTCCTTTATCTGGCTGGGTTACTTGGGATATGCATTTGTACAAAGGCGTATACTTCTGGATCTCCGATAGACTCAAATCAATTCTATGATTTTTCAAGTTGACTTCCAAGTTGATCCTTGGGTATAATCGATGCAGTGTATTTTATGCTCACCACCGTAGTGTCATTCTATATGACTATCATGTAAATATGACTTCGGTCCTTATGTATACATGTTCATCCGTGCAGTGTCCACACCTTAACGCTGCCATCATCTGCGGTTGTAACCAATACCTCCTCATCTCCGTCAGATCCACGGTCTGCTCGCTTAGCCCAGGCAGCGTGGTTAATCTCATATATACCATGTGCACCGTCCACCACCGCAAGAATTGCCCACTCTGTTTGCAGTAGAGTCTTACCCTCCGCAGACTCAGTCTCCATGGCATCCGAGTCAGTCGAGCGAACAACCCGTTCCTCGTAAACGACAATTCGTCCATCCGCACCAACAGATGCTAGAAGACCAGTGCGACGACTCCAAGCAACAGCATATACCGGCAACTCATGCGCATGGGGCAGTGTCGCATCTTCATCCCATGTCTCATCCCCACCCGAAGGTCGAATAATACTCGGGATACCAGTAGTAGCCGAAGACATCTCACCAGGTTGCATCATCTGCTTAGGAAGACGTCTCCAGATCCGAACAGTGCGATCATCCGAGCAAGAAACCAATCTAGGTCCAGAAAGCGCATGCTGGTCCCGCCATTGATTTCTTAAACCCTCGACATCGACACCCTCAGCTGGCAAGATCTTAGGCGCGGATTCCGTTCCCTCCCAATCAACAAACCAAACCGTCCCTTCATGCTTCTTTATACATGCGACTTGGCCCCAATCGTCTAGATCTTCCCGCCAAAGTCGAATTGTATCGTCGTATCCACCACTAGCGAGACACTCTTCAACTGGGTGCCACGCTACACTTTTCACATCTCCACCATGCTCTTGCAATACCGCAACAGTCTCAAAGTTGTTATCGCCATCATCCAGATCTTCCCAGATCCAAATAGACTTATCGCGTGCACAAGTCGCTAGTAACATTCCAGATGGTGACCACGAAACTGATTTCACTTCGCTGTCGTGTCCATCTAGTAGAACTGCGAATCGCCACTCTTCTTCCTCTCCATCTTCGGTTGTCTCTGCATTCGCATTGGACTCTCCGTTTTCTCCAACTCCCCATCCCTCGGAATTCTCGCTACGTCCGTAGCTATCCCATCGTCTCCAGATTCCAACAGTCGCATCAAAGCTACCAGTAGCTAGCACGCTCTCGCCTTGGATATGAGGTTTCCAGGCACAAGTTCGAACACTGCGCTTATGGCCGCCGGTAATGGTGGAAAGGAGTTTGAAGTTTTGCAGTGAGTATACGCGGACCGTCTTGTCGGAGCTGCAGGTTGCGACGATAGGTAAGGTGGGGTGGGGTGCTGTGAGCCATGTTCGCTCCAGAGATGGCGGAGTTAGATCTGAGAGGAGGGTGAGGGTTGGTTTGGCCATGATATAGAAATTATCCCCAGTAGGAATTAAGGATTGAGGGGAGGTAGAAGAGGGTTGAGAATTGGTGGCGGAGGGGAAATTTTAAGTGAGGTTGATACTAGGTATGTGGGGTTACGATTAGATATCGAGATATCGATATGCATAATTTTAATCTCATTATCTACATACGTGACTAGTAGATGAGATTAATATGAGATTGATCCAATTTGATTCAAGTGATCTGTATTCTGTCCAACGCCTACAATTCTTATTGTCATATACATTCCATATCCCAGTCCTGCCAATCTGCCTGTATCAAGCACAATCAAATGCCCAAAGACCAAAATCAGAACAAACAAAACGCAGAAAATGATGAACACCACTCAGAACCATGATATTAATGAAGAACAAAGAAAAATCAAACATGCAATCTTATGAAACGCCATTACTGTGAAGAAACGCCTTCATCATATATGCCCTCATAAACTGTCCCATGGCAAAGCCAATCTACTTCGCGCACTTTCTCTAACTCCTCCACCAGCTGTCCCACCTCACTCACAAACTCGGGCATTCCTGCACCGGCCAGACTTTGACTAGCCGTAGTCGTCGCACGTACTCTCTCCGAAGCACTGGAAGCACTCAGTCGGGAGAGGACATGACTGCGAAGTCGAGAGAGAATCAGCCGAGCTACCGGGTCGGTGAAACTAGATGCGAGGGATGCATTTCCAGAAGACTCGGAGTTCAAATCTCTAGAAGATGATGATCTATCAGAAGAAACCTCGTATTGCACATGGAGGGCATTGTGCGGTGTGGCCGCGGTGCTTGCGGAGGCGACAGGTGCGAGTACTCGGCGGATTGTGGCGGCAAGTTGGGCACTCGCAGCCGGTGGCATGGGATGGGTTGATTCCAAGATAGACTGTACACGGTCCGCACGAATTTCATTGAAGTCTAGGGAAAGAATGCGATCCGCCTCGGGCTTCCATTGCGATCGGGCATCACGCTTCAGCAGATTCTTAGCAGTCAGCAGGATCGATGCTGTGGCTACGATCTGGAAGACCCTGGCATGCAGGCGCTCCAGTCGTTGGTGATCCAGGGCTAAGGTCTCAGGGATCAAGTCCTCTGATACAGTGGCATTGCTGAACACAAGGTCTGCGAGACCGTGGGCATAGACTTTCGTGGTAGATGGACGGGGTTCTCCGTGGATATTCTCTGGATCTCGCTTCTTCATCTCATCAACGATAATCTTTCGATAGGTGCGCCAGAATCGTCGAGTCTTTCCCAGAGAAATTGAGCCATCAGCAACTCCCCGCTCGAATGTGCGCTGTTCATACCCTGGCGCTTCTTGAATCAACTGTGGTGCAGCCATCTGAATCATGAAGTTGGTATGATCGAGAGAGAGCAGATCGATGATGCTCATTAATCTCGCCAACCGGTCAATAGCATCGCCTGAAGTATCGGCTGCAAATGCCGTCACCACGGGATCACGGTATGGTGCACAAAGTTGAGGAAGAATATTGTTCATAAAATCAAAGAAATTATCATACGAGAAAGACCCAGCCTTGCACTGGCTCTCCACTAGCTTTGGATCCAAGACCTCGCTGATGAGCACATATAGAGAATTACCCGGACGCAGGGAGCGCAGCAGACGGTCTTGGATCACAGTGGCCATGGAGACTGTCCAGGCTGTTCCTTGCCCGGCTTCAACATCTTGCCTCATCTGTTCGCACATATGCTCCATAATCCGCTTCCGCGGCTCGGCATATGACGATTCTTCGATTTTGAATTCCTTATTCAGGAGAAGCTCATGTACCAATACCCGGTTCTCAGGCAGAGCTGTGAGTATCTTGGTAAATTGCTCATGCGGGGAAGACCGTTGTTTGTCCAGCTCCTGCAAGACTGCAGCCTCAACATTGTTGAAAGACTCGCTGATAGGAGATGTAACGCTCTCCGTCAAAACATCAGTCGACGATGTTGCGACCTCTGCAGACCGAGGAATAGCCTGCTTAGAAGCAGACCGCTTTCGTTCACGTTTGGCCTTCTTAAGTGCATCCCGAACCATCTGCATGGCACGGTCTGAGCCTGCAAGGCGCTTAAGTCGGGCCAAAAGGAGAATCTGATTCTGTCGAATACCTTCTCGGTAGTCCTCTGCCACGCCACCAGCCGTATCATCCTTAACCGTTTGCCAAATCATTTCCAGTTCGACAAATTGGGCAAGCATGATCTCGATTAGGACTGTTGAATCGTGGGACTTCCAAGCATGAAACGCTGAGAAGAAGACATTGTGCGTTTCACATAATATTTGAAGATCCGCGGTGATTACAGTGGGTGAGCAGCAGCCCGATGACAATAGTGCAGCAACCTGATCAAAGGCTACCAGGAGTTCCCGCGCCTTGGAAATCAGGTCTTGCTCCTGTTCACCGTCCCCGCTCATGACCTCGGTTGGATGGGTGACGATGAGATAGCTGCTGAGGAACGTACGCACAGCGCCTCGTTCACCCAAAGCCCCGCCTTCCAAATCGTTCAGACCACACAAGCGAAGGACTTTGCTCATGGTATCAAGTACGTCCTTGTTTGAGACGAAACGACCAACTTCTTCAAATGGCATCTCCCGAATCCGATCAACTGATAGATTAAGGGTTCGGAATTCTCCCATTACTTTCTTCGCATGATGAGTTCTCCAAACTCGTTGGATCTTTCGAACAGCCGCATCTCGAGTAAGCGATTTAGTCACTGCGCGTGCCATCTTCTTCTCCTCCGCAGCTGGTAAACTGCTAGTACGCTGACGCCGATGGGTTTGCTGATAAAGAGCTCGCCGTTTTTCAGCCTCGACGAATTTCTCTTCCAATTCCAACCTCTGGCGCGCGTATTCCGCAGCTTTCTTCTCCCGCTGATCCTCAGCCTTCTTCTTAGCCCGCTTGACCTGTTCCTCGCACTTGGCGGTAATACCGGCCAGCAGACGTTCCCGGGCTTGTTGGGCAGCCAAAGCCCGTTCTTCAATTTGCAAGTTCCTGGTAGCCGCCTTTGCTAGGGCGGCACGTAATCTGACCTTCTCAGCGTGCAGGGCACGATCAGCCAGCCGTGCCTTGCGTGATTCAAGGATAGATGTACGCCGGAGGTGTTGAGCAATGTGGTCCGTGCTTGATGTGCCATGAGAGGATGCGTTCGAGTGGTGGGAATGTAGGGACGAAACGGAGCTTCTTCGCGACGAGGCGGCGGACGAGCGTCGTACCTTGCTGCTTCGGCGGTAGAATCGGGCAGCGATATGAGGTGGAAGAGTCAGTGGAAGAGTTGCGTCATCAGATAGCATTTCCACATCAGGCTCGGTCATAGAATCCGGGGATAGAGGCGTTGGTCCTGCATCGGGAAGTTGGATTTCTATATCGGAGTTGCGACGCATCATTGTCTAGCCAAGTGGGCACCACTACTGTGGCAGGGTGTTCGGCGGGGCACAACTGATAAGCGATTAGGCGAGGCTATATAGATTTTCCTGTATAGATTCCTCTACACACCTGTGTATCGTCGTGTGCTGAACAGGATTCCAGCTTCAAACAAGAGAATATGTGTACGTTTAGGCCTCAAAGGAGGGACCGGAGGAGCATGCTCTTGCTAAGGTGGCCGGGGTTGCGGAGGGATCCCGTGCTTTGTTTCAAAGTTGGAAGAAGGAGGACTTAGTTCATTTTGGCAGGGAGTAAAGGAGTGATAAAAAGCGACTAAGGGAACGAAAACCGACAGTTCTCCAGGGGATCACGACAGCAGGAGCTGTTGTTGCTGACCAGATGGAATCTAATGGCCGCAAGCAGAAAGACGTCAACGGAGCTTAGCTAAGCGGGCCTCGTGGTGCAAGGAGGTCTTTTCCCTGCTACATACACCTAATATTTAATGCTAGGATCTTATTTCCGGTCTGTTTTCGGCTGATTTACGCGTTGGTCGAGTGTTTCTATATTGAAAGCTAAGAACGTCCTAGGTACGTCATGTTATATGCAGGAATGACCAAATCCATGTGATTGATAATCAGCAGGATATCTCCAGGGCTGTCCAGGTGTATACTGAGTGCACATGGTCGAGTACTTGAATTGACTACTAGAATTGATGCCAAATAAAATTCAGGTAGATTATCACAATTTTTGTGGTTCTAGATATATCAAGTACTACAGAAGGTAACTTGAAGTGGACGGAATTTATGGTAGTATCCTGAATCCAGGGGTTCGCGATATACATAACCTTCACGCGTCACAAGACCCACATGCACTATAAGTACTATTAAGCACTGGCACCGTGACTTGAGGGCACTACTAGCACTTGAGTAACTAGCCTAAACTTATAACTTGAATTTTGTATTTTACATACTACCTAGTTAGTGCTTCAAAAATTCAAGCTCATAAGAACTTTAACATTTTGAAGGTTATAATTTAAGGGGATAACCTATATAGGCCTAAAAAGAGGCCTCTTTTACTACTTGGGTGCCTGCACTCGTATTGACCGCCCTGAGGAGAGGGGCAGAATCAGCCTACTATCCCCAGGCCATAGGGCTGCCCAGGTGCCAGTTGGCTATACCCAACTTTAAATATGTAGCGGCTAGCCTTCCTTCCACTCCAGGTAACCCCGTAGGTACTTACATACAAAGAGGTGTAGGTCACCGGTCACATGTAGATACTCCTGACTGAGCCCTGTCCAGGTATACTTAAGTATGTGAACATCTCAAGTGCTCTGTCTGAGAGGATGTGAATACACCTAGCCAAGCACTTCCCGAGGTCAGTGCTGGGGATATTGATGCCTTTCCCAATTTCGCTGCTATAGTTGTTGGACCTCAGGACCACGCCCACTGGCAGGTGGTCCACACGTTCCCTGTAGATATCCCCTTCACTCTCTCCTACGTATGACACACAGATGCACACATGCAGATATTCCATCACGTCCTCCATCCCTTCTGACAATAGTGCCGCGGGCGTGAGGACTTGTAGTGTTACTACTCAAGTGCTTAACAGTGCTAATAAATATGTATGACTTGGTTCTTTGAGGCCCCAGGTCATTCGTATACTTCAAAGTTAAAAGACAAACTACATACTTCTTCGTAACGTCCGATAATATAAAGTTTACGACGAAAGGTAAGGAAGATAAGTCAAGACAATGAATATGTAGATTCAGAGTTGCTAATGACGAGTTTCACTCCCGGCTCCCAACATTGAATCGCTTTGCAGTTTGGAACTGTACAATGCTGGCATGCAGGTAACTTTAGGTGCCCGTTCTAACGACCAAAACGAGCCATCACCAATCTTCATGGCCAAGTCATAGGCCGAATGCACAGAAAAGAGAGAGAAATGAACAAAACAAGCGTCATGCTTAGTTTGTTTTTGATTCGGTATTACCACCAGAAACCACAAGTGGCCCATTCTTGGCTCCGACAATGCCGTTGGTGTATGGCGTGGTGGGCATCGTATTGGATCCTGCGCGGTGCTTCACGTCAAACTCAGAGGGCACTTCAGACGGAGGAGGTTTTGGTGGGAGGTGAGAGGGTGTGCCCCATTTGGCGATTGAATCGCGAGTGTTTGGATGAGGAGGACGTGCTGGGTTACTGTGGTCTGGGTTACTGTGGTTCAGGTTCCTGTTAAATGCAGGATCTCCATAGCCAGACCATTGACCCTGAGCCGTGGGTGCCATATTGTTGTATGGTGGCAGTGGATGCTGCATACCCTTCATTGGATGACGGGGTGCGGCAGTTCCGGGGACAAATGAGCGAGTCTGGGGGGTTGAAGTGAGATCTAGCCAGATTACCAGCCATGTTAGGTCCATTGGGAGCTTGAAGTCCAGGATTCAAATGCTGCCCTGGATATTGAGCGTAGGGATAGGATGCCATGTTGGGAGCCATAGGCTGAGAAGGAGGGGGATAGTTTGGCCAATGAGCTGGAGGTTGCTGACTACGCTGAGGCTGAGGCGGAGGAGCCTGTTGATAGTTTGCTGGATAACCCTGCGGACTCCAACCGGGAGTTTGAGGATATGGACCAGACTGGGGGATGGCAAAGTTGTTCATAGCTGGAGAAGATTTGGTGGATGGTTGTTGACCTATCATTCCAGGCTGCTGATTGATTGACGCATACCCAGAGTATGGTGATTGCTGCGGCATATTTCCCCCCTGCCACGCCGGCCCATTGTTAGGCATCTGCGGTGACATAGCCATCTGATACTGCGGCACGTTGTTCATAGGCATATTTCCTCCAGGATACATCGCATTGTTCCCACCTGAAGGCACATAGCCATTAGTTGGTGGTGCCACGCCTGGTCCAACCAGGTAAGGTACCTGGCTATTGTATCCTTCCCCAACAGAAGGTCCATTGGCTCCAGGATATTGGGCTGGGCTATTGTTGTATGGCACTCCAGGATAGTAGGCATTGAACTGAGACCGAGCTTCGAACCCATCGTCGTGGGGGGTACGTTGTCGATTGTTCTTCTTGCGTCCGGTCGTGGAGCTAGAGCGTGACATGTTGGCATTCGAATCGCCACTAGCTGGATCCGATTTGGCGGCGTCGGGAAAGTCGCGGAAAATCCGCTCACGAGCCTGGGCGTATTTGGCCTCGCGTTCCTCCCTGGTCAACGCTAAGCGATCCTTGGCTGGGGTACCCGCCGAGGAGCCTGAATCTTGACCGTCGCCAACTTCGGAGGGAGCTTTTGATGGGACAGATGAGCTTGCAGCCACGCTGCCTTCTGTGGAAGGACGTTCGCCGTCTGTTCGGCGCATGATCTTCATAGCAGGAAGAGTCAGCGGTGGAGTCGTGTTAGTAGCAGCGTGTACTTCAGACAAAGGTGTAGGACTGCTGAATATTAGCTCAAAATCGACAACATCATAGAGGGAAAAAGGAAGATATGGAGTTGACTTACAGACGGCAAAAGGGCGTCCGATGAAGTCGAACTGATGTTACATTGTTGTCCACAAAGTGTGTGAGGTGGTAGTAATCACCCAATTTATGTGCAAGAAGCCGTCCAAATGCATTTGATGGCGGAAGTTCTAGTGAATCGTCACTGGCGGGGAGAAAAGAGATATTAAACACTGAGTAGAGAGTGGGGCTCAAGTTAGACCGTAAGACATACCTGTCATCTCTGATAAAAGAGCGTATTTTCTCCTCCAACTGAAGTATCAAGAGCCGATCCTTCGGAGATTTCATTGCCTCCAGCAATTTCGTATCGGGTTCAAGAGGGAATGTATTGAGGTTTGGGTTGTCTTGCAAAGTGCCAGGATCGACATGAACCACAAAATTATTGGCTACCGAGTCTGGAGGGATCACGACAGCCCCTCGTTGGTTCCCACTAGTGAAAGGGGGCCCAGGCACTGGGAGAATCCCACGCGGCCGTGGAATATTGCCATCTCGGAAGTTGTCTCGGAAAGCACGAGCCCCAGCCTCAGAGCCTGTGACAGAGTTGGGTGCTCCAGATGCATGCCCGGAGAGAGATTCTTCTTCATCAATAGCTTGCACACTAGCACTGTCATCAGGTCGGACAGAGTCTTTCTCGTCCATAGCAAAAGTCGTGACTGAGGCCAAGCTTTTGGAGTCGAAGTTGGTCATTTTTGTGGATGAACTAGAAAGGTGGGTGCGATCATCATCGAAATAGGTATCTCGTTTAAGCAGTCCACTTTCTTGGCCATCAAATGAGGATGTTGACTCTGCACGGTCTTTGTTGAGGTTGATATCAATATCCTGCATTGTTCTTCCAAGAGAATCAACAAGAGGATCGCCTAGATGGCTCTCTGGCTGAATTGTGTTCAAAGGATGGGAATCAGGCAAAGATGCCCTGGCTTCGAGTGATGGCGGATAATTCGGTAAAGGTCCTGGCTGATTACCACTCATATTGGGCATGGAGGGGGATTGGGAACTATTGCGCGCGGGCATAGCAGCGATCTGATAGCGGGTAATTAGCACTGAATATCCAAAGTTCACTCAAGACATGACGAACCTTTGCAAAGGAGAAATGACTATCTCCCTGCGATGTACCCGTTGATCCCATGATTGTTGTAAAGTTCCCACTGTGAGGGTTGAAGGATTCCTAGAAGAATAGAAATCAAGTCGATGCGATGCCAAAATTACCAAATCTTGGGCAAAATTATCGAGAAGAAGCTGGCGATTGAACCGAAATGATGTGACTGTAGAGTATCGCTTCACACAAGCCCAAAAAGAAAGACATATCTTAGGTAGAGGGCCTTCGCCATGGGGAAGAAAAGCTGGGAGATAACAGACGTCAGCAAATTATTACAAAAAGAAAACCAGAATACATCTCAAAATGTACCCAAATAGTGGGAGAAAAGTGAGAGTGACCAACAAGAAGTGGATCTTACACAATGTCAGAGCTGGTTCATGGTCAGAGCGATAAAGACCTCGAATTGAGATGGACCACGGGTTTTGGTCCGAAGAAGTGAGAAATATGTGAGAACCCCAAGGTCTATGACCACAGTTCTCCTAGTTTCAATTCTGGAGGAATCCCTAAACGGTGAAAAATAGGGACGAAGAAGGAGCGTTGGAAGGTCATAATTCTGAATCTTCAACGCCCGAAGAGTTTCAGTGGGCAATTTAATTGCCGCGCCCGACCGCCTCTACCGCGCGCCTGGAATTTCCTTCAACAGGCGCGAAACTTGTGAAGCGATTAATCCAAACTGTGACTAGTGACTAGGGGGGGGTTGATCGATTCTTTGATCTGGCTTAGAAGTCATTCTTACTTTGAAAAACTTATCTTGAACTCTTTCATATTCCTAAACCCTACACTATGAATCGTTATCGAAATGCCCCAAACCTCAGAGGTCCTAGCAAAGCCTCGGCGACTACAGTATGCCAAAAATGTCTAAAACGAGATATGTTCTCCTCAATATCTACTTTGAAATGGTCTTGTACTGACTTTGACATACGTCATTATAGCTATGAATGCAAGGCGACAGCACAAGAGCGTCCATACATATCGCGACCGTCACGAACTCAGCAATTGCAAAACCCACGGTTAATGCCTAAACTATCGACAGAGGTCCCAGATGACCATGTGCGCACGTATGTGACTACTCTATCTGTTTTTTTGGAGTCCTTTTCAACACTCATCGATACTTTGTGCTCATGATCTCAAGCTGATATATTACTAGCAATGGCGTGGCCGATGAGATACTGGCCAAGCGGGAAGAAGAGCGTGGCCGCAGGAGAGACCAAGATAATACAGATCGTCATGGTCGTTCTCCAAAGCGAGCAAGATCTGTTTCATCTCATTCTACCCATTCAGTCGCCACAATATCCACAACCCGCTCTGCATCCGCATCACCTGATCGTGATCGCAAGCAAAGTGGACATGCTAAAGATCGTCAACCCAAAGTCTCGCCTCCTCCCGGGAAAAACCGCAAGAGAAGATACAGCGATTCTGGCGATAGCCTTAGTGGATCTTCTTATTCATCAGGTGCCAGTCATCGTTCTAGGTCACGAGAGTGGGCCGAAGATAGAAACATCCGGCGTCGTCGCCGCGAGAGCAGCCCGGAAGAACGTGGAAGACATCGAGACTCCCGTAAAGCTCGAGACAATCCACGCAGTCGCAGTATAAATAAGAGCCAAATCACAAAGGAACGACGGTCCATGACCCCGAATCCCGGGCATGACCGCTCTGAACAGCGGTCCTACCGGGATCGACATGATCCTTCTGCTCAGCCAACACGACCCAAACAAGAATCTCGAGCTCGCCCAGGTCCACCTCGAGAGCGCAGTATGAGCCCATATAGCAGGCGCCTTGCTTTGACACAGACTATGAATATTTCTCGTTGATCGAACGAAGCCTTATGATTTTTTTTTTTTGCTTTGGAAAATTGGGATTTATTTTCATTTCCTGAATGCAGTTGAACTGCGTCCCCGATCTTCACGATTCCATCTTGAATCAGTTGTATTATTAGCATACATATCCATACACCCCAATGTGCAGGTTCATTTCCAACGCCCCGTTCAAGTCTCTGAGATACTCCCACTTTTTGGGCTAATTGGACGTCAGATTCATAACAAAATCACAAAGGCGCATTTATTTGGATATTCAGTAGTGATGAAAAGGAGAAAACACAAGAAAAGCAGAAGAACTAGAAGTCATGTCCGAACCTCTGCAATATAGGGTATCATTTTCAAGGTCAAATCAGTCTTCGTCTTCAGCCTCTTTTTCGCGAAGATGAATCCCCTCCACCAGCATCTGTCCCTCAATACCAACTTCCTCTCCATCCTCTCCATTGGACTTCGCTCCACGTTCCCTAGCTTCCCGCTGCGCATTCTCTATCCGTTGACGAACAAGACGGGCAATAGCATTCTCCGTCCTCACATTCAGCGTCTTGAGCTTCTCGTCCAAATCTCGCCGCAAGTCCCAGTTGGGTTTCTTCGGTTGTAATTTGAATAGATCAATAGGTTGATCGGCTTCCTCTTCCTTCTGAGCAATTTCTTTCACAGCATCGGCGATCTGGGCGGCCTGGGTTTCCACAGTCACTTGGCCCTCTTGTGGACCTTGCTCAAAGCCCAGCTTTGGCCCGCGAGTCTCGGCATCGTAATTACGCCCAGATAAAAATTTGTTGGTTTCTGAAGGAATATCGGAGGGTTCTGAGGCATCTGCGCCCAGGTCTGAGGTGTCTGGTTCGGGCTTTTTGCGCTTTAAAGCTGCGAGCTTGGCAAGACGAGCTTTGCGGTCATTGGAAGCAGCATCCAATGAGGCTTGGTTGGAGGACATTGTTGGAGAGATATTTAATAGAAGTGTAAAAAGGTGAGACCGGTTTAGTATGTTTAATTGGTAAAGAAGAGGGTTGAACAAAGCCGCCAAAGTCCTCCGTAGCTTTGGAAAAAAGTTGGAGAGTTGACAATGTTGCGGCGATAACGGGGAGAAGAACGCGCCACACACTAGCCACAGCAAAATCGGGGAACCTGCGCTCCAACCTTTCCGCGCTTCTTTAAACTACTCAACTTTTTTTTTTCTATTTGTCGCAACATAACCCTTTCTACCTTGTTTTTACTACGATTGATTGTGAACTACGAATGCTCCATGTCGATCGCCACAAATCGCTGAATGTCACTGTGTTCACGCCGAATCGCTCACCCCCGGTTTAACGGGCTGTTGACGGCGCAATATGGCAGTCCTGGTCAATCATATCGGAAATTGAGAGACCTGAATTATACATATGGAGCTTGCCATGTGTCTACAGATGCGTCAATTGGTAACCACATAACCGGGGAAGATGATGCGGCATCGGCCACAATGGAACCTAGGTTTAGCCCTGGTCTACTCCAAGGTCTTACTTCGAAGCCCAAGAAAATCCCGATCAACAGTCGTACTACTCGGGGGCGACGGCTCAGAAATCCCGTTTCTCGGAAACCATCATCCCTTCGATCTTCATCCAGCAGATCATTATCATTGAAGCAAGTTGAACGAGTCCTTCATGAACAAGGCGCCAACCCCAGTATGGCCGGTCGTTTGGTTGGCCCAATGAAGATCGCGGTCGAAACCGAAGCACAAAACAGATTAATTACGGAGGATCAGATGAAAATGGCAATGACAATCCGGGCGAATTCTCTGTACTCTCGACCGCTGGCCCTCGTCCAGTGGAAAGCCATGTACAAGGAGGTCTATAAAGCCAAACACTACCAGCGTGAAATTGAAAACAAACGTGTCATGATGGCTCTAGGAAAAGAAGGAGAGGCGCTCCTTGCAAAGTTACAAGAAGATTGCCATGGTAAATTTCGAAACAAGTGGCGACGCATGTCCTGGCAAGAGAGGGGCTTTGCCTGGCAACGTTTAGCCATCTGGCTGATGCAGAATGATCCGAAACTGCTGATGGAGTTTCTTATCGTCACGATAGAGGACCAGAGGAGACCAAATTTCACCATGCTTATCGATTGTCTGTTGTATTTGGATCGTTTCCATTATGCGGACTGGCTGCAGGATTGGAGGTACGGTACCTGGACTTACCAGTCCTTTATCGAATTAGTCCTTCATCCAGATTACTGGCCCATACTCTCACTACCTCATAAAGGTATACGTTTGTATATCCGCCGTGCAAGATCCGAAGCCGTGCTTTTGGGCTTTGAAACTGTCCAAAAAAGAAACATCACGATGAGACCTGAAACCGCACTCTGCTTCATGTGGCGATTTACCGAGTTCAAGGACGTGGATAGAGCGCTCCAGGCACTGGAATTTATCCCCAAACTTGAAGACCCTGATTTCGATCTGAACTCAGAAGGCGTGAACCGACATTGCTGCAAGCTTCTCACTCTAGATACCGTCGAAGACAATGCAGGCGAGCGCAACTTCAAGATTCTGCCGCGACTTTTGGAGATGGGGGTTAAACCAGACCGGGATATGCTCAACGTTGTCCTTTCTAATGCCTTCAAAGCGGATCATCAGTTGGGAGGAGATATTCTTCACTTCATGAAGAGCCATAACTACAAACTTGACTCCTACAGCTACCTCACACTTTTGAATGACGCTGTCACTCGTGGGGACCGCGCTCGCATTGAGGCCTTCGTACGTGAAATTACAGCGCAAGAAGATCTACGCAAGAATCCTTGGATTGCCAGCAAGATATTCCATTCGCATTACATTTTTACCGTCAAGCACATGGATGCCGATGCCGACCCTTCAGGCATATTCTATTCAATGCTTGACATTTATAACAACGTCCACGATATCATCCCTCTCAGAGAGCTTACTGTCGTCCCTCCCCGTTATGTAACTCGGTCTGGGGATGACAAAATTCCTCCCTCCCCAGTCGCCTTGTATCTCATTCTGGCTACTTATTTCCGCTGTCAGAACCGTCTGTTGAATGTACAGCGCATTTACGGGCGTTTCCGTGAACTTGCCGCTGAGGGCCATCCTTCCATTGCTCCTTTGGTGGAGACTGACCACACCTATAATGAATTCCTCATCGCCTTCCGCAACAGTCCTCGTGGCTTAAGATCATGTGTGCAACTTGTTGAAGATATGCTCCACTCCTCAAATATCATAGACCAGAATGGCAAGGCCATCATCGCGGCGAAACCCACTGTGCGCACCTGGACCTTGCTTATGAGTGCTTTCATCTACAACAGGCAACCTAGTGGAGCAAGCAAAATCCGAGAGATGATGGATAAGCATCATGTCAGGTTCAACGACGTGACATGGAATCACATCATCAATGGCTATGCCAACGCCCAGAAAATCCCCGAGACAGCGCGTGCGATTCAAGAGATGGAGAGCGCTGGGTTCTCTATCGATCCCTACACAATGAAGAGCCTGCGTTATCTTCGTGATCCTGAGCGACTTTGGGTAGCCATTGAAGAGCTGGATGAGAGTGCTTCTAAGGTGCCTCAAGCTGTTGTCACTCTCTCGGACTCTGAGTCACCTGCTGCTGGCAAAAAGCAGCAGTATGAACAGCTCATTGAGGACGGACTGGAGAAGTTGGGCACCAAGCTGAAGCCCAAACTGTGACATGGATACCCATTTGTTTTTTTCTCATTTCTTGTATCAACCCCTTCTGTATCATAGATTATCTTATTTTGAATAGGCCTTGGGCTGGCCTGGGGATTTCAGCATTGGTTATGCGAATCTTATGTTTAATTCGGCTCTCATGTACTGTACATAGAATCATTATAGAAAGTCGCCATACGCTTGAAGAAAAATTTTCATAAAAACTGAAAGAAAAAAAGCCTCCGAGTAAACACCTTTCTCGTTTAGCCATCTTCGTTCATTCTGTTTAGTTCCAACATCCACTCTTAGCTTCGAGTCAGAAGTCAACTCGAGAAACTTAACCACCGATCAACATGGAAACCTGCAAATTGAAGTGATATCTCGTAAGCTTTCATCCTCCTTCCAAATGAGTGATAGGTGTGAGTCTTACTGCCATCAGAAAGCAGCATATGCTAACATATGGACTGAGTCGTTCTCCGATACGTGCGCATTTCCAGAATATCCCAAACAGCCTACATCAATCAGCTTCTTCCCACTTTCAATTTTCCCCTCTCTTCCATCACACCTTCGTCGGCCAAGTCTGAGCCCTTGGAAATCGCGTGGGGGTCCTTACCCGTTCTGGTTGCGATCCATGATTCCGGGCATGATCGAGTGCGCATAGGTGCTGGTGCAGATAAGCAAGAGAATCACCAATACAAGTGATTGGAGATTGAACAAGGCCGTCTACATAAGTATCATAGTTAGCAATGACGTCGTGTGCGATATGCCAGGTGTACAACAAGTATGCTGATATGGAATAGCCTGAACAGCTCCAAATCTCAACCTCTCGCAGGTGCGATTAGCTCAAAGCGCGCAATAAACATACCATATTGAATCACAGCTGGGCCCTTCGTCCTCCTAGAAACAAAAAAAACAGATCGAATTCGAGCTGCAAAGTGGAAGAAGTAGGTTGCTTAGTCGTCGTTGGGTCCCCCATTACATTCTGCCCATCATGCCCGCCAAACGCACGGACCACCGGGGAAGAGGTGTGCTCCGCCTCCGGTTGACGATGCCTCGTCCTCCTAGCTCTACTCATAGCTCGGGATCATCTCGTGACCCTCGTTGTCCGTCAGAATCGAGACCAAGTGAATTACAGCCATTCACTCAGGGACAGGGTTCTCAGCTGTCGGCCCCATCTGAGTCCTTCACTGCACAGCCAACCGACTTCTTGCATTATTATCAACGCGCCTGGACCCCTCCCCCGACTACCACTCCTACTCTCCCTCCTCCGACATCTGTTCCTAAAACCTCATCAACTCGCTCTAAACGTCCTCCTCGCAAACCCGCCAAACCCGCCAAACCCGCCAAACCCACAATGGCCGAACCAAGAGCCCGTGCCGCTCGGCACAAAGGCCAGATGAACTTCCCATCTGAGCGTAAGTCCCTGTGCAAGTTTCCAACATTCATTCCATCCAAAATCTAATAACCTTCTAGTTAAATTTTTCCTTCTCGCCTACGGTGATCCAAGCCCACACGCTCCATACATTGCAGAACCCCTCCCAGAAACAATCCGCGTTCTCGACGAGATCGTCACAGACTTTATCCTCGAACTCTGCCACGGTGCGGCGCAGGTCGCGCACCATGCACGACGACAAAAGATCAAGGTCGATGATTTCCGATTCGCGCTGCGCCGGGATCCGAATAAGCTGGGTCGTGTACAGGAACTCTTACGTATGGAGCGTGAGCTGAAAGAAGCGCGAAAGGCATTCGATCAGAATGATGATCAGGTTGCTAAGGATGCCGGGAAGAAAGCCCCCGCCGCAGAAGTTGAGGAGGTTGATAACAATGATATGGCTTCTGTTACGGGCAAGAAAAGCAAGGGTAAAGGGAAGAGAGCTGCTGGGACAAGGAGAGGGTCTGATGCTACTGAAGAATCAGTCTCTAAGAAGAGAAAGACTACTTGATTTTTGTTTTTCAGTTGAGAAGTCTTGAGCTTCTCGTTTTGCTGCATAGTGGAAACTTCATTATTGGCGTTCTCTGATTATGTTAATGGGTTATGGCGCACAGGAGTTATGGTGGAACATATGTGACTTGAAATACCCATGGAAATAGATTGGAATTGAATTTGTTTGTCCTTTTGCATTCTGATACTCCGGGATAGCCCTAATGTCTATCAGAGTAGGTACCTCTACTACGAGAAAAACCGACAGGCTCAAGTGCTTCTATAATCTCACTTTCTCAAAATTTCAAAGTTTCAGCATAGATGGCACTGATGGAGCGTCTAGTGCCAGTGAATGCCGAAATTCTATATGGATAATATCCGAGTCCCCTCGCCGTCAGGCGATTCTTACTAAATTCACATGTGCAATGTTGAAAAATTGAATTTAGTAGTGTAGCATCATGTCTCTTTTTGGCATGATACTAATCTCAAATTTCAAATTTCCTTCATAGGTTTCTGTATAATGATGGTAAATGGATCATAAATAACACCTCAAACTGTCTTCCTCTTCTTCCTATCCACGCGTTGAACTGAATTGATATACGGAGTCCAATCTGGAATATCCTTTGATAGCATTGGTGGCCGAGAATTATATGCTATGTAAGACTAAAACTAACAAAATTCATGGCTTTGAAAGGACTGAATCCTTCAAAGTCTTCCATTGCCAGTGCGACAAATAAAAATCAAATCATTGGTCTATCAGAGACTCATTAAACAGCCCTGGAGCTAAGTACCTGGGGGCCAAATATTCCAATGATCCTATACATCCACTTCACTGTTATCGAGCCAGTAAAATTCATTCACCGAATCTTTTATTGGCTACGTGATCTTAGACCGCTTCAACGGCTAAGCTATGAGCCCCTTGTTCGAATTTGAAAGTGCGCATTGGCAGTTTAATGCAGGCCCATCGACATCAGCGCTTAATCCCTGTTTCGATGTACGTCACACTACAACTAGGCTCAGCTTATAGCCTAATTTAAATACGCGGCCCCAGGATTCTCTGAACCAGGAGGATTTCCCCCCTCTCGATGATCTTGGTGCGGAGTAAACCATGACATTACTCGCTACACTGGTCAAATTGGCCATCCCCTCACTTTTGACGGCTCTGGGCTATGGAGTATATTGCACTTACCAACACCGGTGCCAAATAAATGAGTTGCGCAAAAAAGGCATCGTAAGTCAAGACTGATCCTATGTGAGTCGGATTGCAATGGAGTCACACCGTCGTTAACTGATTATTAAACTCTTCTAGCCCATGCCAAAATGGAATTGGTTCACGGGTCACCTTCTCGTCCTCCAAGAATATGTTGACCGTCTACCACCCGATGGCAATGTGCAACTTGCCATTCAAACCCTAGCGTTGGAGAAATATGCCGATACCGAAGTCTTTCTCATGGACACTTGGCCCGTTTATCCACCATTCTATATGGTCTTCGATCCACAAACAGCTTATCAAGTTTCGAACAAGTATAACCTGCCTAAGCTTCCACTGCACCTCAAATTCATGCATCCAATCACAGGTGGGCCAAGTCTTCACGGTATGAATCATGAGGAATGGAGATATTGGCGTGCTATCTTCAACCCCGGATTTAGTGGTGGTAGTATGATGGATCTTGTACCCGCGGTGGTAGATTCGGTTCAGGTATTCTGCGATATACTACGTGAGAACGTTGGATCAAAGGACCCAGTTCAGTTGAGCGGCTTAACAACACGATTGACGATGGAAATCATTCTGAAAGTGAGCTTGTGAGTTGATTCCCCATTTACGCCAGACCTACATATAGACCCAATACTAATTTAATGTAAAGGGATATGGACTCGAATCATCAGCGCGTGGAGCATCCGATTTCAATTTCATTGCGAAAGATTTTGGCATGGCATTCTTTTTGGGATCCACGTGTACTCATCAATCCTGTTCGACCATTTGTTCAAAAATATCATAGCAAGCTCATTGATATGTCTATCAGGAAAGAGCTTGAGAAGAGATTCATCGAAATGAAACAGGACCAGGTACAGACGCAGGAAGAGGGAAAACCAAAGGCGGCCTCTAAAAGAGGGAAATCTGTTATTGCACTTGCCTTGGAGGCCTATCTTGCTGATCCTAAGAGTGGTGAAGCAAAGAATGTCGGAGAGACAAGTGTGTTGGATGAGCATTTCGCCAAATATGCCTCTTATCAAATCCGCCTCTTTCTTTTCGCAGGAAGCGACACAACCTCAAGCACCATTTCCTACGTCTACCATCTCCTTTCCAAAAATCATGATGTCCTTCGTCAAGTGCGAGAAGAGCACGATCGTGTTTTTGGAAGCGACCCCTCAGCTGCTGGTCAACAGATCAAATCTGACCCAACTCTTCTGAATGATTGTCCTCTCACACTCGCAGTAATCAAAGAGACCCTTCGGCTTTTCCCTCCTGCATCGACGAGTCGAGGAGAGTTAACAGATACACAGGCTACTCTAACAGATCGACACGGCAACTTGTACCCTATTGACTATGTTGGCGCTAATATCCTTCACCCCGCCTGTCACTTAAATCCTCGTGCCTGGCCAAGAGCAAGGGAGTTCCTTCCAGAAAGGTGGCTTGTGGAAGCAGGACACGAACTATACCCAGTCCAAGGTGCATGGCGCCCATTCGAGCACGGCCCTCGCAATTGTATCGGGCAAACACTTGTGTATAATGAGATACGCGTGGTTCTCGCGATGAGCTTGAGATCCTTTGACATCTCGCCGGCTTATGATGAGTGGGATACACTTAAGCTGCAGAGGGAGGGGCTGGTGAGTCGGTTGACTCGACGGTTTGGAAAGGAGGTTCCTAATACTCTTAATGGTGAGAGAGCCTACCAAACTGAGCTGGCTGGTTATCCAAAAGATGACTACCCATGTCGCATTGAATTGCGTAGTCCATCAGTCTGAGTATTTTCAAACACTATGGAAAGATATCATTGCAAGGATGAGAAGTGGCCTTGGAACTGTTATTCATACATGGAAAAAGACTCAGGTTATGATATCATAATATAGTGTTGTACATAACACCAAGCCTCAAATGATTTGATTATTCCAAGTGCGCAGTAACAGCCGAAACGTCCCTCGTACCCCTAGATCGCTGAGTCCTGGTGCATGCTTCCTCATACCTAGTAGGTAAGAGCCCACAATACAATTATGCGTTTCATTATCTATTGCAAAAAGCCCTGGAGGGATCCATGGTATATTTCAAGGGGCTATTTCTTATTTTGATACCTAGGTACCTAGTATATCAAAACTGCCGGTCACCAACGGCTATACCCTTAGAACAAAGATGCATAGTCCCAGTCCTTCAGCACGGCAATCTCTTCATCCCACCATGTCTGAAAAGCCAGAAGCCGCTGAGTTCTCTCATGAGCTATTTCCCTCCCAGTCTCTGTTTTCATCAAACCCTCAAGCTTCACTAGCTTGTGAGAAAAGAGATCACGCGAGTCCTGCATATTGCGGTTCTTTGCTCCACTAAACGTAAAGGTACGTCCAATTCCTGCTGCTCCAATAGAGTCAAGACGATCGGCATCCTTTGAGTTACCTGCAATCAGAGCAAAGTCCAAAATTGATAATAGGGTGAGGATGGAAAAAGCAGAGAGGATGGAAAAAGCAGAGAGGATGGAAAAAGCAGAGAGGATAGACAAATCGCCACTCCTTTATAGCACGAACATACCTGTACAATAGCCAGCTCTGGTATTTCCTTGATAGCATCCTGGACTGCCTGAAGGTTCTTGATTTCTGAGGAATATGAAACCCCTGTGCATATCTTTTGGACCTTCTCTGCGAATATGATATTTTCAGGAGAGTTCTCCACCTTGGATATGATGAGTTCCTGCACCATTTTGGTGATATCCTGGCCTGTTGGCATCAAAGGTTTAGCTAGAATTTCATTTCTATCATGATAAAAGTAGCAGTAAAGTCGGCCAATAAATGTATTTATGACTGAATGTCGTATGCGGGTGCATATTTGGAACTGAAGATTTCATACCAGGTTTGGAGTATTTTTGATCGCCAACATCATGAAGAAGAGCACCAAAGAAAATTAGAGCAAAATCATATGCAACTTCAGGATGTCGCTTCTGTTCACCCATCGTAACCTCATGTGCATTTTTCAGAACACGCTGGTAGGTTTCAATATATGGTCCAATATTAGTAAATTTGGCCTCTGTCTACTCAAAGTTGCCAGTAAACTTACCTGGATGTGAGTCATGTCGTGAGAGCCGTCAAAATTGTTCATATAATCTGTGACTTCCACCTGAAGCTCCTTGAAAAGCTTTGCTCGACTTTCTGTGCTTGGTCCTTCCATTTTGTTTGTTGATTCGAATGCCTGTCTGAGATATGGAACTTGAAGATGAGGACTCGGAACTAAACGAGAATGGCACATAAAAGGTTGGTAGGAACACAGTACATTTTGAAGGGATCTGACAGACTTAAACTTCTCAAGATACGAGACCCGTATAAGGCTAATATAGGTGGGGGTTTAGCGAGGTACCTACATAGTACCATAGGTCAAGATTTTATCGTGATTGATTGAGCATCATAACATTTGAACTCGTTCAAACTGCCCTGGTGCCCATGCTCAACAAAAAACTGTAAGGATTTTGGGTGATCCCACGTAATATTCATCGCATTAGGAGGACAAGGATGCCTAGTATGACCAGGACGCAAAGACCTAGCACGAAGCGGGGTTGTCTGGCCTTGTCACGAAGTCAGCGAAGTGCATATTCGACTCAACCGATTTAGCAATATTGTACTGACAGCAATGAGTCACATCCCATCATCATATTCACATTGCAGCCCTGGAGCGAGAGACACCGTTCTCAAAAGAGAGTTTCTTTGCCTTGCGCATAGGTAGTAGGTACATCCGTGGACCGTACTACAAAGTATTCGCAAATCCATATGGATCCAGTCACCCGTTATAACATTTTGAATCCAACTCGTGATTATTTGTTTCGAGGTCTATTCAAATGTTCCAATTTTCTGACCTTTCAATGGTATCCCAAGTGCTAGGGAAAAGGAAACGCTATATTTGGATTCTCTAGTAGAATTATCAATCCCAAGAGCTACGATGGATTTCATACTCAACTGGAGCCAGTCTACTAGACTCTGCACATGCGGCTCGTCCCTATCTGTAACCGGATTTGTGATGATCAGTAGTAATCCAGAGTTTAATCAATATACTATATATACACCCAAGTCTCTCCCTCAAAGGAAATCACCCTTTGTGAAGCGGGAACTATAGCCACTAGCACGGTTCACCATATCTCGACGCTGAGAACTAGAAATCTTAGATGCAAGGCCCATATCCTTTTCTCGGTCAAAGGCACGAGCCGATGGATCATCTTCTGCTTCCTCGCGCTCGGCTTGTGGCTTTTCCAAACGACTTGCTTTTCCAGTGCGATCCTGATCAGAAGAGAGCAATGTTAGTTCAAACTGTCCTCTCTCCCTAGCTAATGCGGTCAATCACTCACGTTAAATTTTTTGATTTTCTCCCCCATGGATTGAGCCTGAGCTTGAGCTTGACTGCTGCGGGACTGAGAAGGCGGATTCGAATTATTAGAAGGGTTTCCTATCCCCATGACCTGGTCCCCGATTCGTCGCATTCTCTCTTCGGGGGTCTCAGTCCATGATGAATCGACATTCTTGGAAGTCGTTGTCCGTGCAGATTTCCCAGTCTGAAATTTGCGATTGCGTAATTGTGTAGGATCAATTTTATTGGCCCAGTCACTTTGCTCAGGCGGATTCAGCATCCATTGATCTCGCTGGGTCTCAGCCTGTTCGCTCTTTGGTACGGTGGAATTGGTCGAGGGTTGTAAAGGTTGCTCGTTCTTAACAGCAACACCGTTTGGCGGAGGTAGACTGGGTCCGAAATCATCATCACTGTCTGAATCGCTGTCTTCTGCGGAGGAGGTTTTAGAATCGGAGGGTTGCGCAGCGGGAGGTAATGAAGGACCAAGGACTCTCTTCTTCAGAGGACCTGGATTATCTTTGTGATCATCGATCTTTCGTTTTTCTGACTCCATTATGAGATGATTTAAGTAAGATGAGGAATAGAATGTAGGATGTAGAATCGCAAGACAAAAAGATGGTCGGAGATGACGCTGATCAAACGAGTCAAACAAGCCAAACTAGTCAAACAACCTTATCTTATCAGCGCTGATGTCATCTTATCGATTACCTTATCACCTCGACTTTATCTTCGGTGTGTGTTGGGAATCTGTATCCTGTACTCCTCTCTCTGAACCCCTGCTACTTGTCCTTATACACAGTCTTATCACATACTTCAAATCTCAATCTCACCCCATACTCTCATATTGATTGGTATCTCTCTTTCGTTTTTTTTTGTCAATATCATAACTGAAACCCACTCTCCTAAGTGACTGAAATCCCCGATCTGGGTCACAACATCCCACCCCGCTCCAAAAATAATGGTTGTGTGGACCAACTAGATCCTGGTCAGAATTTTGCAATATCGGAGCATGGTGCTCTGGGAGTGAGGAAGATTGTGTGGAATTGAAAATGGGCTTTCAGACACCAGGATCTCAGTCACCATGGAACCCCCCCATCTGGACCGATAAATGAGCTGGAGGCCGGCACAACCTCGACCCCCGAACCACCACTTGGAAATAGTAACCAGCAAGGAGAAATGGGTGCACTGGGAAAAGAGAGTGTATCATCACCTGAACGCCCTAAGAAATTTTTGGTGCAACCCATTGAGACTTCTTCGCGAAGCTCCAAACCTTCATCAACCAGCGCAGATACTGCCAATAAAGTCACTTCCACAAGTTCTTCAACTCCTTCATTAGAGAATGAAAATGGGGATCGGCTTGGGGACCAGCCTCGTCGGCGAATTTTGCCTCAGCCCATTGAGACCTCCACAACCAGCCGCCATGGGCCATCGCGACCGCAAGAACAACCACAGAACCCAGCTCTTGTGACTTCTAGTCCAAGAAGATTCAAGCCGGATTTGATTGCAACAGATTATAGGTCTGTCAAGGGAAAGGATATGAACGATTCTCATGGGTTCAATACTCAAGAAATACCTTTAGAGAAATCAAATCTTGACTCTCGATTGAATGTTCGACGAAATACCTTCCCTTATCTTTCTGACTCTCCTTTCTCATACACAAATCTGCTCCGTCGTCAGGAGGTCCGCAGACATTCATTCCGTGTTCCCGATCTCCCATCAATCCCATCAAATAGTAGTGAAGGTTCTGATGGAACTCCTGGATCCCCCTTGACATCGTCATCCCAGACTAAGCAGTTACTGGAGAATTTTTTCGATAAGCCAGATACGCCAATGCGAGGGGCCTATGATGGTGAACTTTCTGAGTACCTCTCATCACTTGCTGCTCGTTCGGAGCAATGGCAACTGAAAGAGCAGACATTAGCGGCCTTTCCCAACGAACAGGTCTACGAACCCGTGGATCATTTCGCTGCCGATGAGGAAGATGGAGATTCAGAAGATCAAAAATCCCTTTACCCACGAGCAACGGACCATCTCAAGTCTCGGCGACAATCATCTGCCGATCTATCCTGGGAGTTGGAGTACATGCGTCAACATAAGGAGGAAGCAGAACAACGGCTGAGGGCGATGGGTACATCGCGTGCTAAAAGACGCCTGCTGCATCATCAACCGTCTAACCCAAAACCTCTTGGGCCGAGTCCTCCAATGCTCGGGGGTGACATTGTTTTGCCCTGGAGTGATTCTCCAGAGGGAACATTGAGTGAGAATACGGGCACAGATAAGCGGGAACCTACATCTGAAGATCGTTGCACTGACTGTGGGGGTTTATGGTGTGCGGCCACGGAAGGAGATGGAGGGCGAGGAGCAGGTCTTTGGATGGGTACCTGTCAAAAGAATGGAGACTCAGAGCAAGAATCCCACTTCTTTTCTGGAATCATGACTCCCATGATGCGAGATGACGAGAGCGATTCTGGTCCCAACGTTCAAGTCACCCCTGAACCGAGTTCACCAACTATGAAAGATCCAATCGGTCTAGGACTGAGCACAGGCCCGAGCCTTTCAAAGACTATAAGTGATGAATTTAATGATACCTTTGTCACCCAAATATACAACTATCTCTCTTTGGGCTATCCCTGTGTGGCGCGGGACTATGATCAGGAACTGAGTCGAATATCAGGGATACCCGTGGATGATCTACGGCGAGATGATCAACATACAAATGCTCGAGGTTATGTGGTTGCTCCCGAAGAGGACCGGACAGTAGAAGCCTGTACACGCTGGAAGGCTCTTCGTCTTTACATTCGGGAGTGGGCTCGACAACAACCTAATATGGCGGAGGAGGAGACGGGATTAGAGTCTTGGGGCATGCGTGAACGAAGAGGCAGTTGGGCGATTTGAATATACAAGATGTTTGGTCATTTTAAGAATTTGTTCTGTTCTGTTCTGTTATTTTTCTTCGCATTTGTACTTATTACTACTTCATAGCATACATACCCGAGCGGTGTCATAATTTCTTCGATCAAATTCAACTTAACACGAACTTAATACATATAATCCCCAAGAACGATTCAAATGTTGTGTTGACTGATATAAAGACATACAAGCACTTGAGAGAATGTATAAGGTTATATCATGAATCACCTAGCGCCCACAGTTGGCGCGTGGGCGGCTGGCTGCTCCTTTCAGTCCCCTTCAGGGCAATCTGGGGCATACTATCATCCAGCATCACCCACCCGAATATTGAGCCCGTGTAGCAAAAAGCACAGTTTAACATTTACTCCACACAAGTATCAAGCTTTATTGATATGATTAATTCATTCATTTTCTTAATGGAAATGTATTGGTTATTTTTCCCCGTCGTGATTGAGTTTTTGAAAAAAAAAAAAAAAAAAAAACAGACTTCATGGTTGGTTCTCTTGATCTGGTGTCAAAAAAAGAAGTAAGGGAAAGAAGAAGAAAGAAAAAAGACAAAAAGATAAGGCTGCGGTCCTATATAGGTCCAGCTTGCTAATCTTTTAACCAAGTAAGACCTCGATCGGGCCTGGCCGTGGGAAGCCAGCTTACTTGGATTTGTACTGCCCTTGACCTCTTGTGACCCTGCTACTTCGACTGGACGTCTCCAGACTTCAGCAGTTGGGTCGAATCTCGCGGCCGGATAAGAGCAGGTCATTCTCACCCTCCATCATGCGACGACTCCACAAACCCTCTTTCGCCCGGGCTTTTATGCAACATCATTAGCTCGCCTTGGCCTAGCTGAAAACGTGGACTCTTGGCACTTGTCTATCCACTACCCATAATTGGCTAGATGATCGGTGAGGCTAAAGATCGGTGAGGCTAAATTGGCCTGAAGCGCAACATCAGACTGCATATTGTATGCAATAGCGCGGTCCAGCTGCATTTGAGCAGCTTGTGAGATTGCTGCACCGAAGAAATCGGGAACGGACTTGCTGAGCTGCAGGGCTGATCAAACTTCTCCTCACATTTCTTGGCTAAGAGAGAGATATCACACCACAGAGAAAAAGAGACAATATTTGGGAAGGCCTTCAGCCGGCGTTTCAGTAATATACATAGGGTCGTCTAGAATTTAACATCAGTTTCCAAGTTTCCATAGTTCGATGCCGTTGCTTATTAAGATACAGCTCCTGTTGAGAACCAGCCTTGTTAATCGCTGAAAACCGCCTCGTTCCATACTGCTTTTGTATGAAACATTTTGAAGATGACGCGTCGTATTCATGGATGCAGGTGGTATGGTGTGCTCACCATTAAGGCGTTACTGCAATTTCTCGGGCTTCCAGTCCTGTTTGGCCGCCTAGCTGGCGCAGGCATCGTTTCTCTCGCATCCAGATCCCCTCTCTTTAACAGCTCCCCTATGTAGAACTCCATAGATTCGATGTTTTCTGGGCAATAACAAGCAACAAGAATACTGGAGGCTTTCAAGAGATCCTGCTTGAGCCTCCATTGAGTCTCTTTTCTCAACTTTCTTATTTTGCGAAATCATCTCTGATGAACGCACTCGCTCGGGTAGGGAAAAAGGATACAAAGGCCAAACAACCTCTGAGGCTAGGGTGCTGCAAACACTTTGTTATAGCTACTGCACATGTGGGGCTTTTTCCAAAGAGAGGAAGAGAATGATGGCCCGCAGATGTTTCTGTATATCCCTGCACCTTCTTTCTACAAGTCTCATATTGCAGTTCAAACTTTAAGCCAACAACAGCCTGTAAGCTGTAACCATAGCGAATTCATTTACTCCTCAAGCTTAGTTCAAATGTTCTATCAAGATGCAAGTTTCCTTGTTTCTACAGCGAGTCCCCCATATGGTATTTTTGCAATATGACAATACGTTAAAGCTTCGACATCGAAATTTTTAGAGCAAACTCAAACTTTGTGGCATTCTATGCATCTATGGGCCTGAATTACCGAAGGGGAACCAAATTGATTGATAGAAGACTTGAGAAGACTTGGTGAACAAAGAGTAAAGAGTGTGGGAGACAATGGGCATGTTGAATACCCACCTGGGGACAAGAGAGGGGCCAAGGGGTATGCTCGAGAACCCTCAGCAAAGTTGCCTCGACCCAGAATCACTATAGATACATAGCAATAGGGCACTGAAACAACCAAAGAGAGAGGGTTAGAAGTAAGTTGCCGCTTTCGCCGACAAATTTATGCAAACATACCATCCTATTCAGCCGCAGATCTCGCAAGGGCAAAGTTCTGCCCTTCCAAAACTGACAGCGCACCACCAACAAGATGAAAGCTTCCGGTGACCAAAATCTACATCTCTCTACCTCCACTGCCAATTTTTCTCACGTAGTCAATGGCGTCTTCGATTGAGGGCAGTGCTGCAACGTCTGTACTCGGATCCATATCATGCCAAGCGGCTGCCAATTCTCTCTGCAATTTGAGGCTCCGAAGTGCACTCGGATCCGTCTTCCGGTTGACGAAGTCTTTTTACTAACACCAATTGTTAATGTCTCTTACGATCCGTCTAATGGAGTCTTTGAAACGTGGCAACTTTGTATAAATTTCCTTTGTGGGTAACATTTGTGCAGAACAAGGCATGCTGAAAAGTGAACTTAAAGTGATTGTATATGGTATGATGAACGACTTTCAGAAGTGAAACAGCATCTTGTGTTGACTGTTGATTGAAAATAAGCACGTGTGGAAGCTCACTGTATATGGAAATTTAGTATGTGTAGGTAAAATGATGGCAAATGTAACATAGTGACTAACTTTCCCTTTGAAACCTGCCCAAATCAGGAGCACGCTACTCCCAGGCTCTCCTCTGTATGCGCACCATCGAGATGCCAATTTTGCTTCCCGGTTTTTAGGTTCTCGCATTGCTCTCTCTACACCACACCCTTGAGGCCCTGAACAAATTGTTCAGGAAGTGCCTCCAGGCTATGGTCAGTTGCAAACCCCAAGCCTTTCCAGTATAGTAAATGAAAGTTTGACAGCCAACGAGGCATTCTTCCTTTGGAAATCTTCTGCTGGTTTGATGTCAACATTTTGAAGTAGAGAACCAATCTCAACTGTGGTAAGTTCGACATGTTTTTCTGCTGCCCGTTGATTGAGTACCTCCATGGCCTCAGGTACCTGTTTGACTGTGAAAGCTAGGCAACCCTGCTTAGAGATTTCAGCTTTATGCCATGCTATCCTGTCAATGGTATCACCAAGTGCAGCAACATGGTCAATCCCAAGGCTAGTGATACCAGTAACTGCTGGCTGTTCAACAACATTTGTTGAGTCTAGCTCACCCCCAACTCCAACTTCATAGATAGCTACGTCAACATCTTCTCTCAAAAAGACATGGAACAACATCAATGTCAGAAATCAGAAATATGTCGGTTTAACAGCAGGGTCAAGGCCTTCTTGGATAGCCGAAGATTCGAGAGCATTCCAGACTTCAAAGAAATACCTCGTAAATTGTTCCTCAGATATTGGCTCGGAATTGATTCAAATTCTCTCACGTACGGCAACAGGGTGAGGTGAGGTATAAAGTCCAATTTTCGCGAGGTGTCTCATGCGACTTGTGGTATTGTTGATGGATTGAGTTGACAAAAGCGCACGTTGTACCTTTGCTTTTTGTGCCGGCAACATGGACGATATTGAGGCGGTTAAGATCGCTGGTCTGAGATACATATTTCAGTGAGCTTTCAAATGTTGCCGTGAAGAATTGCTGGAGATACTCACGGCATAGCCAAGGCGGCATATCCACTGTCGCATCTGCTCTACAACAGAGCCATCGATTTTCTGGTCCAACCGTCTGCGTTCCTGTAAACTTTGAACCCTTGTTGCGTGCTATTCAACAGCTGCACCGCATCCTGTCTGTAGTCAATATTAAATCTTTCCTTAATATCTTGACAGGTCCCATACATCATAAGTTGGCTCTCCTGCTGTTCCATCCATCGCATAGGTCCGGTCAAAGTTGCGGCAATTGGTGTATTTTCGAAAAGGTAAAGGAAAGGACGTTCGCCTGATTGATCCTCTGCAGCGTACTGTTAGCTCTGGGATGACTTTTGCACACAGAATGTCAGCCCTTAATATTCCCATGTCAACGACTCCGAGACACTTTTTTGTCCCTAGAACCCCTCTTTTAATGGTTCACCAGCCCCACAAAAAGTTCCGGTCCGCCCGATCCGTGGCGTCCCTGTGACCCATAGTAAGACAGCACGTATTTGTTATAGTGCTCCAACCAGAACGTGTTTTTCAAAAATCGAGAAAGATCGCCTGCAGATCCGTTGGTTCTGAGACTGGGCTTACGGTCCACGGGTGCATGCGTTAGCGCTTACATGTATTGACCAGTCACGCTAGACCTGCCCAGGTGGCCACCCGGGCACTCAATGATGACCTCTTGTTGGGCTGCTAAGGCCATGTCCCCTGTCTCTTCTTATCTCAAGTGGTAGCTGAGACTTAAAAATATAATACCCCTCAAAAAATCCTTTCGAACAAAATTGCCTTGCGCATCGTTCCACCTCCATTTCCATTGTGATCTTACTGTATTTCATCTCCAATCGATCACATAGCAGGCCATCGTCATGGACCAAGTTGCTCAGTATGGAGTCACGACACTCTACGAGCCGGCCCACTCCGACGATGTTCTCTACAAATAAGGTCTCATTTCATTAGTCCTTAGTTCCAACGGACTCCCTTTCTCGCGACCCGACTACTTCTTCCTAGTTCTGGGCCTTTAATCAATAAAATGTGCCCTCTATGGCTGTTTGAATCACTCAATCGAATTTCAATGTCACTAATATCGCTCTAGTCTTGTGGCTGTTCACGGACTGAATGGTGACGCATTTGAAACGTGGACACACAAGCAAACCGGGGTAATGTGGTTAAGAGACTTATTGCCAAAAGAATTGCCCGACCTTCGAATCATGACCTACGGCTATAATGCTAAATTCCGCAACTTTACCGGCCATCAAGATCTGAGGAACATTGCTATGAAGTTGCTCTCTGAGCTCGCCGACTTGTGAAAGACTGGAAATGTGAGATCGTTCCCTAACTACTCCGGAATAAGATTAATTTTGTAGGAGCTCAGTAGGCCTGTGGTATTTGTCTGTCACAGCCTGGGTGGAATCGTTGTTGAAAAGGTCGAGTTTGAGCATTCTTTGAGCACTTTCACATCCCTAACTTGCTGTAGGCGCTTCTGGTTCGATGCCCCGAAGAACAGATCAGAGTCCAGAATGCGACATACGGGATTATATTCCTAGGTAGGTCAATCCCTATCCCTTGTTAGAATGAGCGGGTTTAATGAGCGTAGCAACACCTCACAGCGGAAGTGCTGTTGCGAACAACGGAAGAGCCATCGCGAACATTATCCAAGCCTGCTCTCCGTTTAGACCCGCTCGAGGACTGTTAGGCTCGCTTCGGAAAGATTCCAAAGTATTATTCGAAATCACTGAAGATTTTGTGGAAAAGTTATCAAACCTATAGATCGTAGCTTTTTTTGAGATGGAGATGACTAGTTTCGGTATCTTCAAGCGCCTTGTACGTTTCCACAATTTGCGTTTTGCCGGCGAAATCTGACCACATTTTCAGGTTGTGGAGCAACGCTCAGCTATCCTCAACGTGCCCAACGAGATTCCAATTGGGCAATTCGCTGATCATCGAGATATTGCGCGATTCTCTTCCACGAAATATCATAATTACAGACCTGTGATCACGCGTCTTCTCAAATTCAGGCAAGATATCACCAAGAAGCTCGCGTCAATCACTAGCGGCTCTCGATTTGCCGAATGTATTCTTCCCGTCCCTTCGTTCAATGGCATTTATTAACAATGCTATAGCCCCCAAAGGGGATGTCGAATCAATATTTGAGGTGCCGTTTGATAAATGCGTCTCATTCCGAGGAAGAGAACAACTTCTTGAGACAATGGAAACATACTTCAACCAATCCATTTGTGGGAAGCCATTGGTATACGCATTGACAGGACTTTCTATTTTTCCTGTCCTGATATAGGAGCTAAATCGGCTAGTGTTTATACAGGAGGTGCCGGTAAGACCCACAGTGCCTTGCAATACGCTCTCCGAAACCGTTTCAAATATACAAATGGCGTGGTTTATTTCAATGCGAGTTCAAATACGACGCTCATTGCCGACTTCCACCGTGTATACGACCTTTTGAGCTTGGGTAGTGCTTCAAACAAAGTAGACTTTCTCAGACAATGGTTCTCCAAACCGAAAAACTACAACTGGCTGATGATTTTCGATGGTGCCGATGATTTGGAATCGGTTCGCCTCTCGAGATACTTCCCCAGTTGTCCTTGGGACCACATCATAGTCACAAGCCAAGACCAGGCTGCTGTCGGTCTTGTTGCTCCAGCCGGGCAGGCAATTGAGCCCCTTGAAGAAAAAGCCGCCATTGGGCTGCTTCTTGAAAAGGCAGCTCTTAGTGAACCTTCTTTGGATGATATCAAACAAGCGACTACCATAGTACACAGTCTGGGATGTCTTCCGTTGGCTGTTGACCAAGCAGGTGCGTTTATTCGGAGGCGGGGGAGGTCTTTGAAAGACTACCATCGTCTTTTCGAGGACAAATAGTACGAGGTTCTGAACACCACACCTGGCATAAGCGGCTATGAGAAGACAGTTGCAACAGCCTGGGAACTCAATTTTCGCCAACTTGAGAAAGATGCCTCCGAAGCCTCACACCTTCTTATCCTATTCTCCTTTCTTGAGGCTGGAGTGATATCGGAATCGATGCTCCTCAGAGGGTGCTCTCCCAAGAAGGTTTGGGGTCGCAATGGTGAGATGGCAGAGGTTAGTCCCGCCGAGGCAGGGCTGGATTCAGAACTTGTCACCCTTCTCAACAATGAAATGCAACTTGATAACGCAATTGAACAACTCCTTGCATTCTCATTGATTGAAAGTGCCAATTCCGTTCATGAAAGAAGAGCGTTTTCAGTTCACCCTCTTGTTCAACATTGTGCATCAAACTGAGTTCCCTTGAAAATTCGTGAAAAATGGCGGGCCCAAGCTATACTATTAGTCGCTCATGCTTTTCCATTCAATGTTTACGTTGACGAAGAGTAAGTGGATTGTTTAAACTCCCTCAGGATCCATGCTAATCTCATTCTCTAGTTTTGGCAATGTTGGACGCGAAATGTTCGCTCATGTTCCGCGCATACTGAAAAAGTTTGACCAACTTGGACCTGATTGCAGCCAATACTCTAGGGTCAAGCAAGCACTTTGTGTGTTATTAATTTCCGCTGCAAGGTTTCATTACAACCCCTGGAAGCGTGAATGCATTCACAGAATCAAGGGTCTCCTAAATGACAAGCATGACTCTTACCTAAAAGCGCAGGCGGTCTTCACGGATGCTCTTGTCCGGTGGTACCGTGCATTGGGCATCGTGGAGAGGTCCGGATGGACCGAAGGGTTCAATCATGGGGTTATCCTGTTCTCTATTGCTCAAGTGCTCATTCGAACTGGGAAGCTTGTTGAATGCCATTCTGCTCTTGAGAATGCACAAAAGAGCCTGGCCGCTGAAGAGCGAAAATACTGGATCGTGGGTCTTGGCTCTTACTGGTACGATTATGTTGTGACTTCACTCGGCAAGGCTGGTCCAAGCCCCGTGGTCATGCGAGACAAAGAAGTAAACGATGCTCTTATCAATCAAATCTTTGGTCGGGGAGAAACAAATGCATCTTTGCAGAGAATGGCTGATGGGCTCTAGGGTTGGCATGGAATGCTATTGCGTTATAATGATGCAGCTGGAAGCATGTCTTTACATTACACCACACTAATCCATCCATTGAGGATATCCCACCCATAATATGAAAGTTGTGATGAGTGTAATGATGTAGAACTAGGGTCGATGGATTGATTGATTAGAATGAAATGCGCATGGAAGGGATTCATGGCTTGTCAAAACCCTTACAACCCATGAACTTCCTCCTCTTATCTTCCTCTCCTTACTTCCACTGTCTTCTTCAGAATAGCACTTAATCGATTATTCCTTTTAACTGGCCTGCCTCGAAGGTCATGTATGTGATTGATGGCATATATGGAAAGGGAAATGCCATGGCTACCGTGGGCACTGATATATACGGATGGGGAATTCAAAGTCATTTCGCAATGCCGACTCAAAATTTTGACATCCGTCCCGAGAACCCTCTTTATCCATGCATGAAACCGGGGAGGTTCAGATGTCTTTCAATGCTTGCTCCCGTTCACAGTGAAAAATGCTACGGTAATTTGCAAGCACATATTAATCCGCTGAAAGCAAAGATGTAAGGCTCAGGGTGTATCATGATCCCATTGACCAGACCTTCCTACTATTTGTCCATATAGAATCACTATTTTTATGGCCTAGGGCAAGCCTATCGGAAGGAAGGGTACAGGCTAATAGTTTGTGTCTGGTTTGTGGCTCTAGTTCAGCTGAGAGGGTCAGGGCGTGGATGTTGCGTGACGGAGGTAAAAGCCACCTGCTCTGACTTGATTCAAATGTTTCCCGCCCTGCTATTGCGCACCCCTACCACCCCTTGCTCACCTTCGCTCGCTCAACGCTAAAGCGGCATTCACTCTATTCTTAATAGCGAGAGACACACCCAAATACTCGCCGCAGATAAGCCATACGCCCATCCAATGGGTGACCACATAAAATCCCAGGCTTTTTGTACATCTCAGTTTGACAATACTTTTGATTCGTCAGGAGAATTACCCTTTGCTACCCTGCTCCTTACCTGGGCGGCTCCTTCGTTTGAACGCCACTAAGCCACTCTCTGCTTCACCTACCTGCATCTGAAGCGTTGACGTTGCCCCCCTAACTTGTCTCAGGCGATCATTCCCATTTGCCAACTCAGCCCCCATTTTTGCTTTTTTGGGTGGTCAGAGTGGCGGGGCCAGATTCATTCTGAACTGAAAGGACCTATGAAAAATTACATTATCTGTGGTAAAGGCGACCCCATGGTCTTGTTTCTCTTCTCTAGGGAGAGTGAGATTTTTGACGGCAAAGACTAAGGAGAGGTAGGGATAGATAAAATAGAAACCGCTGAAATTTCTGGAGAGTAGTAGATCCAGCACTGTCAGGGAAACGCAACCAAATTCGACCCGTTAGAACATCTATCTATTCAACCCCACAATAGACCGGGCCTTGATGATCTCCCAACACGGACCCATTATTTCAGATGACGCAAGTTCCAGGGCGTAGCCCGTTCTGATGAATAGTCCGACAACAGCACCAACGCGGAAGTTCTTAGTTCCTAGCGCTCTTCGCTCACCACTTCCTCCAACACTCCTATAGGACCTATCATGCGTGGCCTACCTCTTCAACTTCACTCTTTGTCGAACACCCTGATTCATTCCAAGAGAGTAATTGGACAATGGAAAGTAAGGTACGCATCTCGGAACTAGCTGTCTGTGGCCTTTCCGGTCACCCGTTGCATTAAATATACGATCACCTGTTCCTGATACCATACAGAACAAAGTACTGAGGCCTCCGTTTTCCTTTCGAGTGTCAAATACAGACAATCTTTCCGTCCATGCCCATCGAGTTCCTACTACAAATGGAGCCCTTTCACTGCCAAAAGATGCCGCGGGCATTGTCCCCCAAGATCCCAGCCAAAATAGCCCCTTGAAACCACCAACAAATTCCCCTGCGAGTATCAGTCAACACTTTACTGCAAATGACAATCAAAGACCCCTCACAGGGGAGGTCCAGCCGCAACTGAAAGGCACACCTGTAGCTGGTTCCTCTTCCGAGTCTGTCTCACTGGGCAACTTGCCGACTATATCCCGGGATAAAAACCACCGGGTCTTTTTGGTAACAGAAGATATAGAGAGGTACCTGAAGCGCGATTTGGACCACACTAGGCTCAACAAAATACATCAGCATCTTTGGATGGCCGGGAGACCCCTAAATGCCAGGCCGATACACCGACTGAAGATGATGGGGTACGATATCCTCCTAACAGAGCAGGCGGACCTCCACCTTCTCAAGTTTTCAAACAAGTTCTTCATCAAGCCGCTCCCAGATTATATGCTATGCTCCATGTTCTGGGACAAATATCTCTGCGAATCGGAGGAGCTTCATAAATCCGCTTGTGGGATCTTACTCTCCTATATTTGGTTGATTTGCTCTCCTTTTGACTTAAATTTAGGTCAAAAGCTAAATCTTCTCCCGTGTGACATAACGTGGACCTGGTGGAAAAGTTTTGTGGCAGAATTTCTCTCCCATATCGATGCAAATACGCTCAACCAGGTCAACAAACGCTACCACTTCGGCGAGCTTCGACTAGGAAGAATCAATTCCATATACAGGATCCGATTCTTCTCCACACACTTCATTCGCGGCTATTTGTACGGCTACAACCGCTATGCAGTCTTTTTTCAGAGGAATTTTGCCTGGATACTCATCGTATTGGTATACTTCTCCCTCGTACTCTCGGCGATGCAGGTTGGCGCCACTGTACCACCACTGAACACGAACCATGCCTTTCAGCAGGCTTCCTACGGCTTTGCGGTCTTCTCAATTGTCACTGTGGCTGCAGTTGTGTGCTTTGTGGGAGTCTTGTTCGCTGCAACTTTCTTGATAAATATGGTACTGGCTATTTCACACGAGAAGATGAAGAGGCGAGACCGGGATATTCTCGCTCAAGAAAGCGAGGGAACAGCTAAGGCCTAGTTTACAATATTCAGAGAAGAGGAATGAATCTCAGCAGAATTAATAACACGTCCCTCGCATCTGAAAGCCCCATCAAAAACATCGTATTCCTAGCTCAGATCAACTTGAAAGATTCCAAGAAGCCCACGAAGGTATCTGGCGCACCCGAATGTCAATTTGTACGAGAATCTAAATATCACCAAAGCAGAAGCTCCTACTACTGAGGGCCCACGAGTATTTCACGGCTCTGGTAACTATCGACCTGCTACTTCAGCCTGGGGGGGATAGAAACGAAGTATTTGATGATAGGAAAGAAACTAGTTTATACTAGCATTCCTGAGTCCTCACCATTAAGAGCTTCCTGGAAGCACTATACTTGGAAATATGGTAGCTCTCTCCGTATTATAACGGCAATAGCCTTACTGAGAGCCGGTCAAAATATGCCTGAAATTCCTGCACGTGTGGGAGGCAAAGGCTTATGTACTGTGTCGTGCATAGAGTGTTCTTCTTTATATATCAAAACCTTCAAATGTTAGTCCAATTCATGAACTTGAGATACTCAGATGATTTAAGATATCATACCACTAATATTGGACCCGTCTGGATTGGTCATATTGAACTCTGGTACAGAGGTTAGTGGATACTTTTTCAACCGAAATAACAAAAATATCAAAAACATATAACAGCATATCTAAGGTTGCGGTCTTCTAGCGCCCACGTATTGGGCTTGCTGGTATCACTTAAAGAAATAACTTGAAATATTAAGCATGAGCCGGGCGAAAAACAATGTAGGCGCTTGAGACCAGGGTACGCCATAGCTTGAGGAGCTCCTAAGCACCTGTAGCTGTCGTCGCAGCTTAGTTGGTAGAAAATAGAGCTGAATCAGAATTGTCTCTTGATCAAGACGAGGCTGAGAAACTTGTCTTCTCCTGGTCCCGAGGGCTTTACGGACATCTCAATACCCTGGTATCATTGGCTTAATGAGTGTCATACCAGCCACTACTTCATATTCGTGAAGTAGATAGATCAGCTCGCGAAATATGTCCATTTTCAAAGCGGGATTAAGCCACGATCCTCGAGGCTAGGCCCTGCACATGTGCTTAGCCAGGGCAATGCCTCAGCTGAGATCCACGCAACACCCCGCCGCGTGAAGTCCTCCATGATCTCTCATGTCTCACGAGAAAAGTGAACGATAACCCTTAAGTAAACGAGGCTACAGAGTCAACTTTATACTTTTGGATTGGTGGTCAAATATATTCTACGATCTTGCTTGTCTTTGCGTAAATGGCTGAACAGTCGTGCCGTCCCGAGGTATATCCAGTACTACTCAAAGTAACAGTAATTACAGTCATCCTGCGGCTGTTGCATCATACTATTCTACTCAAGTGCTAGCAGCGAAGTCCTTCGGTAGAATATCTCGATCTAGTAAATAATAGTACAACGTCTCCTTTAGTGCAGCGATCAAAAGCTCACATGTGCATGTCTTGAGCTATTGATTATTATGCTCTTCAGCTCTGGGTGTAGGCATATCTTGTTCTTTAGTCAAATTCGTGATTTCAAAGGCATAAATTGCGGTATAAGTACCTAATTAGGATATATAGGAGGTATATCAGCACCATAGAGTAAGCAAGAGGAGACGCGTTAGGAGATTATTTTTATCTTTAAGTGTATAGGGACACGAGGCACCTAGGTAGTGTATGGGCGGTATGGGCGGTGTACGGAGTAGGCAGCGAAGGAATGGCGGCAAGGAGGCGGGTTCCCAAACTTTCCGACCGTCATTGTACCACACTCGACTCCAGGGCTACAACTTGGGTACGACCCGGGAGTTGTATTGGAACAAAGGCCAAGGCTGAATCAAGGCACCACAAACTCCTTACAACATTAGAAGCGCGACCCCAAGGTGACATACACTTGCATAAAGCAATTATAGCTCTTTTTTAGGGGCTGTTCTGCTCTAGTATTCTCTTGTTTTAATTTTCTTCTTCACATATTGATTCACCGCTTCTATTGCCAAGTCCCTTCTTGACTCCCATCCACCCAGTAGCAAAATATGAAAGGTCTCCAATGTCTTCAGGAGCTCCGGCCCACCATTACCGAAGTCCTCAATATCTCTGGGGCCGCTGGTGCTTCTATTGGAGTTATACAAGGAAATGAAGTCTATACTGCAGCGTTCGGAAATCGTGACCTCCTAAGTGGCCTTGAACCGGACGAGAACACCATATATCACCTCGCGTCATTGTCGAAGAGCTTCACAGCAGCTGGAATCGGCATTCTTGTGGATGACAACAAGCTTAGCTGGGACCAAAAGGTTTCCGACATCCTACCGTGTTTCTAGCATTTCGACCCCCAGATACAAAAGGAGAGCACGGTCATGGACTTCCTGTCACACCGGACGGGCTTGGCAACTAAGAATGCCCTATGGAAACAGGATGGGCCTGAGCTTTTACTAGAGCAAGGGGATACGATCGCATTGACATCCTACCTCGAGGTCGTGGAGCCCTTTCGCTCCAAGTGGCTGTATAACAACTGGGGCTACGACATCGGTTCGCACATCACTGAGCAAGCCTCCCAAATGTCGTGGGGCTCCTTCTTGCGTGAACGAATTCTGACTCCTCTGGGATTGAACAATACGCATACCTCTGTCGATGTGCCTGATGAGAACTACGCGAGGGGATATATGCCGGACCTGTATGGCCGGCTTACAGATGTAGGGCGGCCGATGATTGGGGAGGGAACAGTCCAACAGGGGTCGAATGGTGTGAAAAGTACTGTGTCGGACTTGCTCAAATATTATAAAGCCATTCTCGGCGCCTGGAAGGCAGAGACGACTGCAACCCCGTCATCATCGCCCCTGAAGAACGTCCGGGACCTATTGACAGGACAAATTCCGCTGGATCCAGATTCCAAGGCCGGGCAATGGTACGGGCCGGGCTGGGCCATTGCAGAGCTACCAGCGCCGTTGCGAGCCATGGGAACCAACCCGATGTTCGTGTCTGCTATGCCTCTTGTGGGTAAAGGCACCGCGAAGAAACAGATTGTCTGGTACCATAACGGTAGCCTGGTCGGCCTCTTCAGCTCTGTCCACATTCTTCCAGAGAGTGACACGATCATCGTCGTTCTAGGCCTTCAAGGATGACCGAGGCCCTGTCATCCATACATTCCCAAATTCGAGCGGTTCCATCCCCCGATGCGAACGCCAGCCGACCGTCGGACGAGAACACGATGCAGTGGATCCCATCTAAGTGTCCTCGCAGTATACGATGGAGTTTCCCTGTTGCAGAGTGCCAGAGCCGGACCGTCTTGTCCTCGGATGCCGATGCTAGTAACTGGCCGTCTGGTGAGAATGCAACACGCCAAACTGACCCAGAATGGTCATTCAGCGTCATGCAATCTTCCGTATTTTCTTCCATTGACTGTGGCGAAAACCTTTGCGAGACCTTTTGCGCCGGGATTTGGTCTCGGACGAAACGCCGGGGGTTTGTGCCTTCCATCTGGTCAGCACGACTTCCAATTTCTCAATTTCTTGACCAGCGGAAGGGTGTCGATTCTGTCGCTCCCTCACAAAGGTTCGGCGTGTTGATTCGTTCTTCTGGGGGCGGGGCTCGCGTGCCTTCTGCGACAGCCACGACATTTCCAGCGCCCTCTCTGCGGAAATGCGCTCTTCAGGCCGTGGGGTGATCAGACGTCGGACGAACTCCATGCCATCGGCCCCTATTCTACCATGAAGCGCGACGCCCGGGAAAGGCTTTTGGCCTTGGTAGAATCGGTCTTTGTCACCCTGCGTTTGGAAAGGCACAATTTTGAAGATGAGCTGGTAGACGACACACCCGAGAGACCAAATGTCGACTGACTTGTCGTATAACGAGGTGGATCGTTCGGGATCGCTGATTTCGGGGGCTTCATAGTGCGGTGTCCCCACCTGCGTGTGGAACTGGGTCTCCCCTGGCCGTGCTCTCTTGCTGATACCGAAGTCCCCCAGCTTGACCCACCAGCTGCGGGAGTCCGGGGGCTTGGCGGCAACGAATATATTCTTTGGCTTGAGGTCGCGATGCGCAAAGTCTAGCCTGTGCATGATGCGGAGCCCCTGGAGTACATCTGTTGTAATCTCCTCTACTTCATTCTCAGGGATCGTCAGCTGCATATGCTGGCTCAGATCCCCAAGGGGGAAATACTCCGTCGTCAGGTAGAGCGCTGATGGGTCCTCAAACCACCCGATGAACCGGACCAGGACTTCCTGCTGCTGGTGCTGGTGCTTAGCGAGGTCGGTCAGTGCTATCAGCTCCTTGTGGTAGTCCACTGCGGCCTCATCGCGATCCATCCGACTTTTGACGACGATTTTGAGGGCTCTCATCTGTTCCGTCCCGCGGGCCTGTTGAAGAACGACATCACCGAAGGCACTGCTACCCAACAACCGTCGAGTGTCCCATAGCCTCTCGACCTTTTGTGGGAGGATATCCCGAGCCCGGTCGGAAAAGCACTTTGTCTCGATCGTGCCATTTTCAGTCGCCAGGGCATCCAGGCGGAAAAATTCCAGAGGTCTCTGGATTCATCTCTATCTCCCGAACGTCGAGTCCCCGGACCCATTGTGTGAAGAATCTATGGTTGAGCAAAATTGCCGGCACAGCGCAAGCCAAGGCAGTCAGTCAGCTGGTCGCTGATAGGTTTGAGAAGCAATGAATATTGGCGGTAATATCGGAGCGTAAAGCAACCTAAATCCCTCTTGAGTGCTGGGCGGTAAAGGTCCTGAAGGGGATGAAGAGTAAGGCGGCAATAGCAGTTCCCCAACGAATCAAAAGCAAAAAGCAAAAAGCAAAAAGCAAACATTTGAAAACGTAAGTCAGGATTCGCATGTGGTCACCTAGTACTATACTACATAGCAAGGTACATTAGGCATGCTAGCTGTCTAGATAGGCGCCCTGCTTGACTCACAATGTATGAATCACACCGTCGTATGTGCTTGATAAGTCGAGATATAGGATCATAGTGAGTGTGTACTGCCTTCGCCTTGTTAATCAAGAGGAGACGTCTTTCCATCTGGGCTGGAGGTTTGCCAACCTTGGAAGCGGATGAGAAGGCCTGGAATGCTAATGGTATATAATTTTTTATTCATGTGATGGTAACAACATGCAGTGTAGGGTCAACAAGGCACAATGACCTTGAAATAATGCAAGTCGTCTACTTTTAGTAAACCCAGAGACTGCATGTGAGAGTGTGTTCCAGGTTTCTTGATCCTGCTGAGTTTGCAGTCTGATTGCGCAACGAGATCTTTGTAAAACTTCAAATGTTGGAGGATAGGAGGCTCAACTGAATCAACCCGCCGTGCCAATCACAGGTGTACTCCCCAGTCTCCTCATTGGAATCCAGCTTACCAACACCGCTAATCCAGCCAGTGCAATCCCAAACGCCCATGATATCTTAATACCCTTCAAATAAGCTAGTACGATCAGAGGTATCTGAGACTGCGGAAATACTTGTCGGATCTCGGTCGCGCCGGTGGCGAAGACAGACGCTGGGGAGACAGAGGCACCGTACATAGTCAAGCCGGCGACAAGCTGGTTGTCGAAAATACTCTGTGCAGCGGAAACAGACAAGGCACCACTAATCAGTTGAAAGACTAGGTAGCTTATTATTAGCATGTAAGTTCGTGGCAAGGCCGAACGACATGGAATGGAAACTCGTACATAAAACCATAGACGTCACGACAGGGATGTCCACCGCATCCACCAAGCTCTGGCATGCCATCACGGGAATCTGGATACTGAGTCCAACCCCAACTCCTACCAGGATTTGATACCCGATGTACTCCCCAGTAGAAGGGTTGAGGCCCATCGTGTAAAGCATACCTGCACCGATGGTTAAGATGGCAGATCCTACCACGAGGAAGAGCTGAAATCGACCCTTGGAGTATTTCAGAAGGGTTCCACTAAGGCTGGGTTTTGATGGTCAGTAATTTTCAACTTGCTCAATATGCACACAAGATAACTTTACAGCTGGCGAGCATCAGCGGGAGATTGCGAATGCCACTTCCCATCGGCGAGACATTCGCGATATCCTGGAAATACTCAGGAAGATTTTAAATGAGCAGAAAGTTGGATGAGTTGAGGCTATGCATCGTTATTTTAGGCAAGTCCAGATGTCTTTCGTCAGAAAACACAAGGGGCAGACATACAAGAAGATAAACACGCAGCATACAGTGATCTCACGATGCCGTAGGAACCGTGCCACTAGAAGTGCATTCTCACCTTGCATCCACTGGTCAATAATAAACACGACAGTGAGTAAAACCCATGCAATCAGCGTCCCTATTACCCGTGATGCACTCCACGCATCCTGGACGCCGCCCCATTGGAGGGCCAAGCAATAACAAACCATGGCACATAGAATGGTGAGAAGCCCAAGAGGGTCCATCTGCAATAGAATATCCCTCCATGACGCCGGCGAGGGCTTATGACGACCAGGGGCATGGAAGAAGAATATTAGTATGAGAAGCACAGTTCCACCAACGGGCAGATTAATGTAGAAGCTGTATGGACCGAGAAGTGGATGTTAACAACTGTGAGTCTTCGTAATAAGCACTTGAGAGTTATAATGGTCATAACGTACCACCAACGCCATGAGGCCTTGTCCGTGAACACTCCCCTAGCAATGGACCACAAACACTGGCAAAGCTGAACACGGCACCCAACAGACCCAGGTACACGGGGACCTGTGTAGGCTTGACGATCAGCGCGGTGACGATATATACGCCGCCAGTGATGCCCGCACCGCCCAGTTCTGTGATAGCGCGACCAATTATGAAGATGATATTATTCTGCGCAACACCTGGACTTGGCTCAGCTTTGGCTGAGTCGTAAATACTGATGAAAATGAGAGCATACCCGCAATGAGACTGCCTGTCTCAAACAGTGCGACGGAAACAAAGAAAGTTGTCTTGAGAGGAAAATACTTGTAGGCCTTGCCCCAAAGAGACTAAAAGCAGGCCAATGTTAAAAAAAGGCCGATGCATACTAACCCACGGTATCAATGCTATGAAATTCATCTGTGAGTTTTGGGATCGCCGTCGATACAATGTTCTACACCAGTTAGACCTTACATTTACTCTCATATTCAGAGGTAAGGAAGATTTACCATGTCCAAGGCAACCTGGAAATTAACCACTAGTGAGTCTTCAGCCTATCATCCAAAATTTTGGTGGTGCGTGGCTTTACCAAAAACATTCCCAACAGGAGTGCAGTCATCACCAGGAACAGCCGTACGCCCGTCAGATGGTCTGATTTCTCCTCCAAGAGCCCCTGAGCAAGCTCCTGAACTGGTGGCAGTTTTTCATTGTGTTTTTCTCCCTCGGGATTTTCTTCAGGAGCCATGATACAAGATCGGTTAGGTATACAGTATGTAGTAGAATGATAAAAAAGCGGCCCACTTAAGTCCGGCCGAAGGAAAGCTTTATTGACGAAGATTTAAAGGATAAGGGGTCAAATACGGGCTTATTTGCGTTTCACGACCAATGCTGGAGCCACCGTGAATTACTTGGTCACTTCATCGGCTTTGACCGTGGAGGCGATTACCCTAGTGAAGGGAACTGCAGAGGACATCCACACTTTGCTGCAGCCACTCTTCCTCTATCTCAACCAGTTTAATGTGACCCAAGCTGCGTACATCATCAACTCAACTACTTCTACCGACTTCTTATCACACTATCTTCGGTATTTTGGCCCATTGCCCGATGGTGCATACGCCACAGCCAAATTGATTGGTGGTCGTCTGGTCCCTCGGTCAACGTTACAAGATTCGTCTAGCCTCTCGGACTTGATGACCCTGATCCAAGATATAACAGTTTCCACCTCATTTTATGTTGTCGGCTTTGCAGTCAATCTCTCCATCACTGCAACCAGGAATCCTGTGGCGTCCAACGCAGTACTTGCTGCCTGGCGTGACGCGGGAGTGTCGCTCATCCTGCCCTCCGTGTGGAATTTCACCATACCTCGCTCCGTCGAAGTTCAGCGTGAATTACAGCTGACCAATGATCTGGAGCCACAATTACGCGAGCTTACCCCGGGCAGTGGGGGTTATCTCAATGAGGCCAATTTTATGTTGCGAACCTGGAAAGAAGATTTTTATGGCATCAACTACGACAGTTTACGCGCAATCAAGAAGAAATACGATCCGGAAGATTTGTTCTATGCGCACAGTGCTGTGGGTAGTGATGTCTGGAAGGTGGCGGAGGATAAGCGTCTATGTCGAGCGTAGAATAAACGTTGGAACTAGACAAATCGCGGTGATAGAGGGGGGAGGGGGGACTCGGAGTAGATAGTCCAGTTCGCTAGGCTTCTATTTTAGAACTTTATTTTCAACCTGTTTCCTCAATTTCCCAGGCTTTTGAAAGGGATATACGTTGACATATAGATAAAGTAATTTATCATCTGTTTAGAATATTGAATTCTGGAGAACTACATAGAAATGAGGGATAGTATTTAGATAGTATTTAGATCCTGCCCAGTTGGGCGGAAATATGGATAGAACCAAGTATTCAAGTTACTCTAATACATGATTCTCACCAGGGGAACTGGGTGCCATCCCAAATGCGCAGCTGAGCACCAATTGACTCGCGGGTTCCTTCATCAATCGCATTCACAATACCACCGACACTCTCCTCGACCGTCTGGAAGGCCTTCTCGAGGCCGACGGCTCGTGCACCGGCATTGCCCATGTCAGTTTGGGGTAAGCTGTAAATATGTTAGTATATTTAAGGCGTATTGTTTAATAGAGAGAGAAGGTGAAATGAGGAGGGAGAATAAGTCACATACCCAGGATCCGCAACGAAGCTCACAAACTCTTCATTCTCGAAATGAATCTTGCGCACGATCCAGTGTAGAATTGCCTTGCTGGGGCCGTACGCCGCACACGGGTATGGGCGCTGTTCCATGCCACCGATACTACCCAGCGGACTACCAACTCCAACAAAAGTGGGCTTCTCGCTTTTCTTGAGCAGAGGGTAGACAGCTTGGTAAAGATAGATGGGGCCAAAACCGTTCACCTCTACGTGCTTGCGCAACACAGGAATGGATACTTCATGCACGGTCGAGAAGTCCTTGCTGATACCGGCGTTAGCAATGACCACGTCGAGGTGGTGAATGCCATGTTCATTGATCAAGGTCTCCACAGCAGCTTCTGGGTCGGTTGGAGATGTAGATTCAATCTTCACAGTAATGAGGTGCGAGGACTCTCCCTTAGGGAGAGACTGCAGCGATTGGGATGAAGCACCAGCGGGTTCACGAACCGCCGCGATAATGGTGTTGTTTGGACGAGCGAGGAATTTTTCGACGAGGCCACGGCCGATTCCGCGGCTGGCGCCAGTAATGAGATAGATAGTGTTGGGCATAGTAGCTATGGTGGCTATTGGTCATCTTGTTTGTGATAGAGATGGCGAAGTTGAACCGCCATTGGGGGCTACCTAAATATGCTTTTAGTAGGTGATTTCTAAACAGATTTGGGACAGCAGGATTTGATTTCTAACAACATTAGATGATTTCTAATAACGCCATCAGGCTGACAAATTTTATTTGGACAAAGATCTGTTAGATCACGTGGTCTGTATAGTTCAGACCAAGGTGGCTAGGTAGATAGCTCTCGACGTGTCGGGGCAGACTTCCCCTCCGCGCTCCCCCCCCCATACGTGTTCTTTCCTGTAGCTGTTCCAAAGGCACACCTCCTAACAAGATCAGGAGAGGGGTAGAAGCAGACTAATCTTTAAAACTTGAAACTGATTCACAAACAAAGAGCCGCCAGGTCATGTCATGGCGGTGTTCTCCGTACAGGTGCAGCCTGCAGGTGGTTCTGACTGCAGTAATTACGGTATAATCAAACCCTGGACCCTGCCCAAGTGGATCCTTCCAAGCATGTGTAGGGCGGTATGTAATGTAATATTGATATCGGGTAAATTTCAAACGTAATTATAATTTACAGTCTCAGAGTCCTGAAGTAATCCAAGGTTATCAATATCAGAGCCCTGGAGAGGGCAAGTGTTCTCCTCCAGCTCATCCAAAAATGATTATTCGCATTCTGTCCCTCCATGGAATGGGCACCAATGCTCGTATTTTCGCCGCCCAAACAGCACAATTCCGCAGTCTTCTAGCTCGAAATTATGAATTTGTCTTCGTGGATGGCATGATTGAGTGCGATCCAGCGCCCGAAGTCTCAAACAGTTTTGAGGGGCCGTACCTAAGCTGGTATCACAGTCCCAGTACTGCCGCAGTTGCTGTCGCTCATGAAGCTGTGTACAAGGCAATAGACGAACAAGGTCCGTTCGACGCCGTTTTGGGCTTTAGCCAGGTATTTAGACTTCTATTCGTTGCCCACGTCTACTCACTGACAATTGTTTCCATGTTCTAATCATATAAAAATCACCCAGGGTGCCGCTGTCGCCGCATCCTTGCTCGTCCACGCTCAGATCATGGACCAGAAACCTCCTTTTCAGGCCGCCATCTTTATTGGTTCGCCGCTTCCCTTCTCGCTCAGTGTGAACTACGGTATAGACACTCGTACATACTTTGGCATTGCCGCTTCCTCGCCCAGTCGGCCCGGTGCACTCATGCAAATACCCGACTACCTAGTAACGGATCCTGCGTATTTGAAGGGCGATAAGGGGAATAAGGAAGTCTTCTATCAGATGTTTCATGCTACTGTTGACCCTTACCGCATCGGCATCCCGACAGCCCATGTGTATGGACTGCAGGATCAGTGGTATCGCCACAGCATGGACGTAGTGCAGCTATGTGATCGTGTAACGGTTGTAGAGCATGGTGATGGTCATGGCGTGCCAGGAGAGTACAGTGAAGAATTTGCCGATGCGGTTGAGACAGTGATGATTGGGATTGGGAGGTAGTCGCGCGTCTCGGAAAACGTTCAAACCGGCGTAACATATGAACTTTGATGTGGAGGTTGAAGCGTTTAGGTTTCGGCCTGAAAGCTTGACTTCGAAGGTTGTTTATACGTTCAATGTTTACATATTTCCAAAGTTTTCTTTTTTTAAGACAGTCAACCTTGAAAGAAATATGTTGGACAAAAAGTCTCTTCCAATTTTGCGTTAAATATGCTCTATGATTTAACTTCAACGAAAGAAATCCAGTGAACTAGTGGAAGATTGCGAGTACTACTAGTAGTAATTGCGGGGAGAAAGAAATACGAAGTGGGGAAATACAACCTTGGAACCCGTCCACGGTCCTGATACTTGCTTGTTAAGCAACATTTTGAACATTTGAAAGCATAATATATCCATGTATTCCGCTTATTCCTTTCATCTCCCCTCCAAGTCTCAAGTGCTGTCTTCACCCTCTCCACTACCCATTATATAAATTCCTCTCATTTGTATATCATGTCCACCATCCTCGTTACTGGGGCCACTGGCCTACAAGGTGGAGCGACAGCTCGCCATCTCCTGGCCCGAGGAATGCGGGTCCACGCATTAGTTCGGACAAAGCAAAGCGCTGCCGCACTTGACCTACACGCTCGCGGTGCTGTGCTAGTTGAAGGCAATTTCGATGAGCCCGAGCAGCTCAAGGCTGCCTGCAAGAACACAACTGCAGTATTTCTGAATGTGTCGCCCTCATTCCGGGGCGACGGCGCGGAGCTACGGCAAGCAAGTAATGTCATACGTGCAGCTCGTGCTGTCAGTACCGTCACAACACTCGTTTACACAAGTGTCTGCGCCATCGATCAACGCGAGCAATTTCCTGGATGGACCGATGGAAACATGTCTGGTCTAATGAAGGGATATTTTGAGAGCAAGGCTGCTATCGAGGAGCTCGTGCGTTCTGCTGGCTTTATGTATTGGACAATCCTTCATCCTCCCGTCTATATGACAAACTATCTTCTTCCTAGCGTGAGAGGATACTTCCCTGAACTGGCCAAGTCCCGTACTCTCCGTACAGCTATGGCGGTGGAGAAAAGAACAATGCTTATCAACCCAGACGATATCGGACGCATTGCTGCCAGTGTCCTTATAGCGCCAAATCAGTTCTCGCATCGTGCTGTGGATATTGGTGGCGAGGCATTGACAGCGCAGCAAATAGCAGACGCTATTTTCGAAGTGAGCGGGCGCGAGATTGTGGTCGATCATATCATCCCCAGGTTGAAGCGCAGTTATGGTTCTGGGAGCGACAGGATAAGTTCGACCCGCTGGAACTGGAGGCTGAGTTTGGGATCAAATTGACCAAGTTCAAGGAGTTCTTGGTTTTGGATAAAGAGCTGGTGAGGCAGACGTTTGGCTAGATAAACTTGGTCAAGTTCATATTCGTTCTGTGGTATGCATACGTATGGAAGATAAATCAATTTCAGGAACTAAGCTATATTCCTTTACCCGTCTCTCATTTTCTTTCTCTTTGATGGTTCCCCTAAGACGAGTTTATTTAACAATGACTCTCACTCCTTTCGTTCCATCCGCCGGCATCGGCACAAAAAGCTCCCTTGCCATATCCACCACCTCCCTTCCTGTCTCCCATAGCTCCATATCGACTCTTCGAAACAATGTCGCCAGTCCAATATAGATCTCCGCCTGTGCCATATTCATCCCGAGACACATACGCGGCCCGCGCCCAAAAGGCACCAGATACTGGCCTAGGGGCCGGCCATTCGGAGCGACCGGCTCACCCAACCACCGAGCAGGCCGAAATTTATCAGGATCGGGGAATATACTGGTGGTCCCTGGAACGTTCAGCTCGTTGCAGGCTTCAAGTCAGGTGGAGAAGACTCTGCACACAAGTGAAGCTGGCCGGAGAATACTACATACTATCCAAAACCCTCCGCTCCTCGTTATTGCCTGCTTGTTCTCCATCATTGCTCTTGGAGCTTTGGTGTGGCTTCTACGTTTTGAAAAGCTCAGAAGGAACTTCTCGTGGCTGATCAACAAAATCCTTGTGTGAGTTCAATATCAACCCGGAGAGGACGCAGAGATAGAAGATTCTGACATACAGATAGGCCTCGTACTCTTAATGCTACAGCTGGGCTTCTGACTACTCTGATCAGCGTCTATACCTCAAAAGGAGGGGACTGGTCAGTGATGGCTATAATGACCATCGCAGTTACTGGCACGACCCTGTTAGTATCCGCAACCTTCCTTGCGGTATATAAATTCTACAAGTTGGACCCACTGGCCCGCAAGGATAGGGGCATCAGACGTCGCTGGTATTATAAGATCTCATCTGTTGGATAATACGAACGGGATACGAGTGGTCGGAGCGCAAGGGTTTTCTTCTGACTGAGGTGGACAAATTCTCGTTCTGACCTTAGGAGCTGTTAAATTGCGGACTGGATTATGCTGATTAATGTGCCAATCTTTGTATCTCGCCGGATCTGAGCCGCTCGGTTTGTTTTTGCAGGTATGGGAGTCCAGTGGAGCCAATGATATTGGCTAAGTTAGGATAATAGAATAAAAAAGATGTTCCTTATAAGTACTAGAATGTTTTTCACTTCAGCGTATGATACGTACATCTATCACCTTACAAGCGAGAAGGAATTTACTATGCTCTCTTCCATCTCGCACGCTATATAGCATTTAAACAGTGCTTGCAAGCTATTTCCTACATTCTTATCTGCATCATGAGATACATATTGCTCCACGCGCAGATCAGATTCGATCAACAATGAAAGCCAATTCCTAACAGCATCCTCTCTCAGAAAGCTGTACTTGACGTAAGAATAACCGGCGAGGCCGTGAGAGTAGCCATAAGCTTGTCTTGAGACTGCATGAAATGGAGGGTTCTCAAAAATGATGTTAAACTCCACAAGAGTTTCTCACAAGTTGTCAACGAGCCCACTGTCACCGAGGCCGATGTTTTTTGACTGCCGCAATTTGATGGGGATTTCGTTGATGAGCTCATCCAAAAGTAGCAAAAGGTCTTATATTGATACAAAGCTCACCATTGCCTATTTAATAAGGATAGTATTATCCTCAATAAAACCCACCATCTCTCAAGCTCTTGAGAACATAAATAGGCCAATCACCCCCGGCACTATTCAGTAAAGATACATCCACAAAGTCCGTCCAAATGTCAGGCCAAGGAGGAATCGGCAAGAGCGGCAATTCACGCCCGAACGCACCAAATCGTCATGAAAAACTTCGAGACATGGAGGAGGCAGCGGTGAACGGGTCACTCCATCACCAAAAAACTCAATCTGCAATGCAGCAGGCGTCTGTGTCCCAGCCCAATAAAAATGTGCAGGAACCCATGGACGAAACTCCGGACCAAGCGCAGTTTGATGAACACGAAGCTTCCAGTGGTGGTACACAAGTATACAACAGCCAGGCGGTCATGCCGTCCATAGAGACGGACAGTACTCATGGGATTGAACTACAGCTAATGGAACCAAGGAATTCCGCTGAAGCTCATCAACATGAAGGACGCCCTTCACAAGCCAGAGTGGACCAACCAAGTCAAGAAGTCTCTGGACTGACACAAAAACTCCGCTGTCTAGCAGTTATTGGGCCTCTTGGTCAAAGAAGCCAGGGTGCTTTTCAAGATGAATTTTCACATCTCCCTGTAGACGGATGGGGAGTTTACAGAAAGTTGTCCTTTGTGATCCTATAACAGGGCCCGGCTTCTGCTGTCAGGTTTGTTTTCAAATATAGGGCTGGCTACATGAACAAGAAATTACCCTGCATTTCCAATGATGATTTATATATTACCTCAATCCACTACAAAGACTTTTGCGGCAGGAAATTCTTCCGATACACATGGGAGAATGTCGTCGAGATTGTTGGAGTCGCTGCCGAAGAACGGAAAACCTACGTTTCCTATAAGAAGAACGAAGAACCCAGGTTTTTGGGTGAAAATTGAATGACAAGACTTGGATGAAGCAGATTTCAACAAGGTCGTCAACGGTTATTCGTGGATTCCAGTCAAAGGCTTGGTACGGCTTTGTGGTGGGCGAGAGGCAGCGATGGCCAAAATCCAGGAGGTTTGGCACATTCAAGAGGAAGGATATCTTGAATTGGTGAAAAAGAATCCGGGAAGGCCCAACTATGAACGATCGCCCACACCATGCCCGTTGATCGTCTCCGTAAGCCCGGGCCGTCAGCGACGAGCTACTTCTCGCTTGAACACACCCGGCGTCACAGTGTCTCCGCCAGAGAGATGGGACTCTACTACTCCCGCACCTTCCCGACGTAATGGAGCGACTGGTATTGAGGATCAGCGGGACCAGCGATCCTCACTTGCTCCACCAGACCCCACTTCTGCCCCTGGTCGGCCTCGAGACTCTAATCGGATCGCGTCTTACTCTCCGGGGCCTATAATCCAAATAAATATAGAAGAATTCATGGCAAAAATGGCAAGAAAAGAAAATTGGGATCAAAAGAGTGCAGCGGAGCGGAAGATAGCGGAAGCGAGGGCCCAGGCTCTGTTTGAGATGCTTCAGGAAGGAGTGTGACCGAGAGGAGTGATCAGGGCTGAGAACCTGGCAAAGAATAAGATTTGAGTTGATTTTTGGTACTTCCATTTTTTGGTCTTCATGCGTCATTCTCTGATTGGATTTGTTCTTGGACTTGGATTTCAGAGGGGAAGTATACACACAGGCGATGTAGGTGATTAAATAGTCAAATAGTTCGTTCCAGTAGAGAATACAGTCATTCTACTAATCAGCTCATCTGTCATAAGTAGTATGGAGATTGCGATATGTGGGATAATAGGTATCTTTGCGTAGTAGCAATGCATACTTAATCTACAAAAATGATCGAATATGCAGGCTTCAGTGGGCTTGTCTGAGCCGATTTTATTCTACAATAAAGGCGTACCCGATGTACTGTCTTTGAAGTTTAATGAGCAACGGATCGGATAAGTGAAGAGCTTCGGGCTCATCGGTATATTCCTGGAAAAGACAGAGCTCCTGGGGCCTCTGCGTCACTCAGCTTATATACGTATCAATGAGATTGAATATAAGTCCTAGGTTCGCCAAGTATTCTACGTCCTTCTTTGCACATTGGCACATGTCATTCTAAAAGCCTCGCTGCCAAAATACTTCATCAACTACCAATCAAACTTTGATACATATCTGTATTCTAAATAGAAGATCATTATGGTATCGCATCAAGTCTCAACAACATGGAAACTCCAAAGTGCTCCTGTAGGTCATTGATCAGATTTTTCCCTCCATTCCTGCGAAGAAGCTGTGAAATACTAAGTTTGCACCACATATTATGATAAAATCGCACATTTTCGATTCCTTAAGATGTGTCAAATACTGTCATTCCTTCAGGATCTCAGTGTGCTCTTTCAATATTACAATGTACTCAGTATGTTTAAGATATGGTTTCTGATTTCTTGACTGTACTGTAGTGGACGGACAACGTTTGATGATTTTCTGAGCCGTCATGTCCTTAATAAACCAAATTGAGGATGACTCGACCTTTTTGGTCCCTGCTGAGTATAACCGTGCAATGTTGTCTCAAAATACCTTCCACCGAAAACCAGATGTGCGGCATTGGTAAAGTGGCTATCTTGTCGAGAATTGTTGCTTCAGAAATCAAAATCATCGATACAAAATCAAGCCACGCATACCACAACTGGAGCCGCCACTATCTGAATAACAGCTTTTCCTCCCTCATACGCCACATTTGCAACAAACAAAACAGGAACAGCAGCGGTCAACACAATAGCACCAGCTCTAAGCTTCAAACCCTTAGCCAGTTTTTCTTGAGTTTCTTTCCTCTTCCCCGCCCTGTATGGAATGGCGTCTCTTGCTTAGGTATGGCTTTTGGTACAGACACTAGGAAATCGTGTTCTCGGGGCTTTAGTATGGATATGTGGGGAGAGGTCTTTGGAAGAGGATCTCTAGCGCGCTCTGTATAGGGTGGGGTGAGCTAATCCTGTAGTCCTGGCATTTTGTTTTGCTTAAGTTTTTGCTTTTGTGGTTGTTTGATGAATAACAGATGGCGTGGTGAGATCGGAAAGGTCGAGGGTTTATCCCGCTATTTATAGGCTCTAGAATTTCAACAGGAAGCGGACATTGCTTCCCAAAGAAGCAGGGGCAGTAATGAAAACGGTTAATGTCGTTCAAGTTTGCGTGTTTCTCATTGACCTATGTGGCAAAACCACGATCCCCTTGCAGGAAGGTGAGAGTGAAACTGAGATAAATTTCAATTGGCTCCACATCGCAATCTATGTCCTTGCGAGCATCATTGGCGCGGGGCTGTGGTTTCAGAGATTGAGAATCTATAGGAGTTTGGATGTTTGGTCGCTGACCAAAAATTGTGCCTTTGTGGCCAGATGGCGAAATGATCAGACCCAAGCATCCCCGATCCATCACAAGTAGGCACTGGGCTCCTGGGACTGCTCAGCGGTCTCATTGTCATTTTCTTCTGTCACCCTATTAAGATGCCAGATTCTAGCAAAATATTCTGACAAAGCGTCCTGTGATTTGTCTCCAGGACCAGTGGAGCCTCTCGCGGTGTGTTATGACTGACACCCCATCTTGCAATAGATTGCTTCTCATGATTGGGAGGGGTTGAGCTGTCAGACTACGCTAATTCAACAAACAACACTTGAAAGTGGCAATGAGTTTTTCGATCTCATATTCCCAGGATCAAAAAGCTTCTAGAACCCACATTTGTCAGTTCTGTTTGCGCATCAAGAAATCGATTTAAATTCACGATTGATTAAATGCTCCACGTGCTTTCTCAACTTTATTATTCTCCAAATACTGTACCCTCAGCGAATACTGTTTAGTTCATGGACTTCCAGCCAAGCTGCTTGACAGGTTTGTTCATATCTTGACAAGGTTTTCTTACTCAGTCTATGTTTCGTACAGTACATATGTATCAGATGGTGTTTCTATAGAGAAAGCAACTTTCTAGATGGTGACGAAATAATAGTTCTTGATACAGTAGTTTTCGAAATTAGTTTTACCTCTACACCTTCTTTGATTGATTCATAAACTCTTTGCTGAAACACACTAGTCTTGAAGTAGTATAGTGGCTGATCAACCATCCCTAGACCGCTTCACAAAGTAAACATTGTATTTTGCATGACATAAGTAACCGTTTGGAAATGTATTTTACACGAAACTTCTATATAGTACGTCCCGAAACTGATGCAACCACCTATATGTACTCTTTGAGTGATGCTGTCTAACGAGGCTCATATATTAACCCCGCCTTTCGTTCTCTCCCATCTCTCCATTAGAAAATCGGACAAGCCTACCATGGTTAGTGTACATAATTCACGGAACCGTCGGGCTGATTGCATTGACGCCTCATGGCGCCTACTTCGACCTCACTGCCCCTCCTCGATAATATTTGGATTTTCCCACGCCACCGTATTAATCCACCATATTCTTATCTAGTTCACTCATTTCCAGACAACTTATAAGATTATCACTATGTTGCTGAATGTAACTTCCTTAGGCAGCGGGCATAATCCGGCTACGCAAACCATCCCGGAAGCCGACGTTATTTAGTGGAATATAGAAGATTTCTACGCTCAATGTCCATTCTACGACGGGATTCATTGACTTTGAGGCAGCGAAACCTTCCACAATGGATGGTGACCACCATTGTCCTTTATTTGGTATATGCAAAGATGCGATATTGTAAGATAAATCCAGATAGTGACGCAGATATCAGAATGTAAAGGAAATTGGTTTACTATAAAAGGATAATCAGAGAAATTCATGCACGGACTTAGAGTAGTCACCGATTGTACAATGACGCTATAGGCCGTCCAGCGAAAGGCCCTGAGAAATTCCAGGACGATAGGAAAAGTTGACGAGCCTTGGAGGGGAAGACCAAGGGTACAGGGTAGCGGTTTTTGATTTGGAGATACCAAAATCCTTACGCCTACAGTTTTCGGCCACTTGGTGGCACCGCTCTACCTTAGCGCGCAGTGCGAAAAACTACTACGTACCTAGTGGCTTGCTGACCACCGTGAGCTATTGTAAGAGCCAACGTCAAACTTATTTCTATCTTAGCTACACTCTACCTTACATATGCTCACTCAGTTGCTGTTTTTATGTCCCTTGGTTTTATTACTATCTCAGCTGCACGTTTAGCGCTGTGTTACACCAGATATGAAACATATCTACTAATCCACTTATGCTGTGGCAGTGATGCGTTTGTCCTCAGGAGGTATAGGTGCTGCTTTGTTTGGAGCGGGGTAGCCTTTCTCCCAGAAAATTGTTCATAAGCCCATTCAAGGCCATATTTCGATCAAATTCCAAGTTCTCAGCGCAAGCTTTTGACATCATTATCATTCTAGAATTACACAACCGGCACTCAGTTTCAAAATGCCACGCAAGGGATGCAAAGCTGCGAAATTATGGTCGCTACACCCAGAGCTTCACGACGACGTAGCTCAGTTATTAGACAAGGAAGGGCTTCAAATAGACTTCTTTGACGCCGATGACGAGGAAAGTAACATTTAGGAACGGGACACAAACGTAATGGGTCGATTTATATGCCAAAACAGCGGATGTTACTCCAGTGGTTGGTCGAGCAAAAAAGTCGCGATTACGATTCGCATGTACTCTCTACCGCGATATAATGCACGAGTATATCATCAGCGATACAGAAATTGTAGAGTAGTTGGTCGGTTAGTCCTGGATACCGGGTGCTATACGGAGAGAGTGATATACTGGCTGAAAAAGTGGAATGGAATTGAGGTACTGCCGCCCAGGTTTTCTGCCAGAGCAGAGGACTGTACGATAGTGAGTTGTGTGAAGGGTGTAGAGTTGGTCATTGCCCTAACTCGAATGGGGATTTAGTATTGGTGCTAGCGAGGTAAGTTTGGTACTAAGAGTTCTTATATAGTAATTAACTCTTCTAGGTTGTCTATCTGAGCGCTCTAAGGCATCCCATTCTTGGTACGCAGGCTATCCTCGATCTGAAAATCCTTGGACCAATTATCCAGACCAAGTGGCCACAGCTTTGAGATGAAACTACCAGAGTCGACACTTCAACAAGATTGATCAGCAACCAAGTGTTACTCCTTGATCCCTGGTTTCTGGTGTATATTTGGGGAGCAAAAAGCAAAACAGGACAAGCGGCTGGGAATAGGCGATCGTGCCAGATCATCAAAACAGTGATTCTATGCATCTCTATGGAAAATTACAGTATTATTACACTAGCCCAATAATTATGGTATTGCTATTACGGTACATTTTTGCCGACACTATAAACGCGGTGATCAAAAGCAGATTAGTACTAGCATTTCGGATCCTTCTTTCCGGGAATTAAGTTAAAAGAGTTTTTGGTAAAGCTGATTTCGAAACCTACTGTAACCCACCTCACTTTTATAGCAGCATCACCTTGACAGCACATGCCGGGCGTCGGAACGTATGCCCAGTGGCGGGCTTCTGATAAAACATGCGAGACAGTTCACAGGCATTGTCAGAACACTTTGCTAGAATCCAGTATCTGAATAGGGCATGGGATGAGAATCACAGTCAGACCTTGCTTCCTAGCACTCCCAGGAGCCTGAGGCCTGCTTGCGGGGGTGCTAGAATGCTATAATGTTTGTTTCCTGCCTGATTTGTCCAAACCGGTGGGTTGGAGATTGGGAGGTATAGCAATGTGCAGGCTGGATTGAATAAACCGTCATTTATGAGGTAATTGCCACAGATGATGGGTCTTTGCATACGCATGCTTTGAGAAACTACCGGAAGCCATTCTTGCTCCTGGGAGCACGTGTGGAGCTCAGCCTACTTCGTAACGTACCCATCTCCCCTTTCGACCAGCGATTCCGATGCCTCATAGATGAGGTTGAAAGACGATATAGAGGGCTAGGCGGCCACAGCATTTCATTTAGTCTTGGGATAAAGTCTTGAATCCAAAATGTAAAATGTGGAATGTGTTGATTGATCACCGAGTTTATTTTCAGTGGCGGTGATTCATCAATGTTTGGTGAGGCCGAACGTTGAACCATGAGAACGAAACCAGAAAAGAATAACTCACAAAAATCACTTTTAACCTTCATAAAAATGATATAAATTCGCTTTGCTTCTTGCAAATTGTTTCTTGTGTGAGCTCTGAGATCGAATTGCCAGCACCTGAGCAACACCATGGAATATGTTTGGAATGGTTCGTATGGCCTGCCTCTGTGACTTATTTTTGTTGATAACCCATTAGAAAATGATTTTGATCTCGATCTCCACCAGATTTGGGAAGAGTCTGATCTACCAGCACCGCCTCCGTGCCTCGCGACAGAGTTTGACGAGACCAAGCCCGAAAGCCCGCATGCGGAAAAGACCATGCACATCGCGTGCAAGATCCCACTGTGGAATGCTTATTCTACTCCAACAACAAGAGCAATCATGCTTTCCGGTGGATGGGGCCGAGCCCACTGCTTCTCTCGACAAAGCCCGAGGATATCTTCGTCTACATTTCAGCCTTCTTGTCAGAGGAAATAGGCTGGTTGGAAGTTTGCCTTGCACAGCTGGATCTATTTACCAGAGGCGTGGTGGACGAGCATCTGTTCTTCATCCCTCGGATAGAAACAGCGTCCTGGAAGTCTCAGCACATACGACAAGAGATACTTGGCATTGTATTGTAATATTATACCTATTGTAGTTAGACTACCACTGACCCGGTATTTTTCCGTATTCCATGACACTGGTGACTATACGGATAAAAATAGGCCTTGTATTCCGTTGTGCGGGCTTTCTGCGATCTGCGGTAGAAGATCTAGAACACTCCTTGCAAACTAAGCAAACAATGTCGCTGGTCTGCCCACCGCTGCATCTTCAATTCTCACGATCAGTCAATTCCTCTATGTCAGGTAAAATCTGGCGGATGGGGAAAGGACATAAGCAGATTGGAGAAAAAAAGAACAGAACTGGTGCGGTATATTTTTCACGTGTTCGTTATCTGCCCTAGTCAAACTTGCAGTCCTGACTGATTCCATCACCTGTTGAACCTGGACGTTGATTCTTCGCTTTCCCATCAAGCTAAAGGAAGGTGATGAAAGCTTTCAATTTTGATAGCTGCTCTCCAAATCCTATGGTGGCAGGCTTTGCATTGATTCTTAGGTTGCCAGCTCAGCTCTCTCCGGCTGGAGGCCCAGTGCCTATATTGGATAACAGTGAAGCTTGTCTCGTAATTCAAAGTATGTCTTTTCAAGGTAGATAGGTAACTCTTCCTGACTTTCAACCGAATCAATCAAGTTTCCTGGCCAACCGAATGGAGTTTTCGAGTGCGTGAACAAAATACTGAGTTTCTCGATTGACAACTCTTCGTATTCCTTGCATCCATCCTGTGGGAGGACTCTAATTTGAGAAACTGTGGTGCCAACGATCAAGCTCATGAGCTCTGTGACAAAAGAAGGGCTCAATTCCATTCCGCTCAATGCTCGACAGAAAATTCTCCCACTCGCTTTGGCTTAAGATTTTGCGATTTCCTGAACGGCTTGGCGGCGCTCATTCGGCGCAAGAAAGTTGCTTGTTAACCAACCCAGGGCTCTTGTGCTTTTCATCGAGAAGGCTGCGTTGAGTAGGTTGATTTTTGCAAAGGATCCGTCCGGCACATAGCTTTCTTCGAAGAGATCTTACATAACTGGTGTAGGGTCAAGACCTTTACCAACAGAGGACTCAATGTACCCAATTGTGGCCATAAGACACCGAGTATAAAGCTGCTCATGCCTAGTATAGCTAGAGAGCAGGATCATTTTCAGAGTTTGAAAAGCTTCCTTCGGCAAATCGGCTAGCTGACAGTCATCCACATATAGCTTCTCATAAGAGTGCATATCGAAGAAAGGTATGTAGCTTTGCCTTTCTTTAATTGATGAGGACACAAGTTCAATATAAGGGCAAGTCAGGTGAGAAGGAGTTTGAATGATTCTGGCAGTTTTAGGTCGTTGAAAGTCTAGATTTCCACGGCTGCAAGAGAAAAGTGCACGGATTGCTAGGCCAAATCAACCTTTTATAGCAATTTTCTTGGACGTAACCCGGGAAAGAACATTCTACCTCGTTCCCAATCGGTCACCCTCTCCTTTTCTCTATACATTTCCAAAAAGAATTGTCCCTGATTCACGTACAGGAGACTGTGGAACCTCCAAGTTACTTAAACCTCAAAAAGGGACCTTTTTGGGTGCCAATGATTACTAGAGAAAAACTACAAATCTCCCTCAGAATCAGTCTTCGCCCTTAAGAGTCATCCATATAAAGCTTAAAATAAAACGGATTTAGTTCATGTAGCATCTTTCTAGAAATCTATGATTTTGACAATCCATACACTCTCGGGTAGTAGGTAATCCAGAAATTCTGCATAGAACTAGCACGGTTGAGATATTCCCAATTTTCTTTTTAAACTAAGATTAACTACTGAGCTCCATGGCTTCGGCCTAGGGTCAGGATTTTGACCATCATAATGTATAGTACTAATTATCCTACACATATGCAATTGACGCATGATGTAAAGCTTAGAAGTACATATATACTATTTGCTTGTACATACTATACTATGTAGTACATACAAATATAACTCAGAGCTAGGTCCTGGCCAGCCCTTCATACCAAGATTGGTCAAATAGACTTACCAGGTTCAGGGCTGGGGCTATCAAGCTGACAGGCTCGGAAGATGAGTGATACAATTCCATGCACCAAAAGAACTCACCCTCTGAGCACGTGCCAATTAGCATTGGGTAGAGTCTTGCCACCTTGGCTCTCACTTAGCGTCCTGTGTTTCCAGTAATCCAAAATTTCCCTTCCAATCCAAAAGTATCACAAGCTGGGCAAAAGCAGTTTTTGAGGAGCTGGGAACTCCTATATTCTTGAGCATATCGATCAGATGGCTGTGAATCTCCCTTAACATGCTGGTATATTGATTTGCAGAAAATCTAGGATCAGTCGAAAGGACGAGCTGGATCTCTGCAAGTTGGAAACGACAACTCTCTCGGTGGAGAAACTGCTTGCAAGCTTTGCTAAGTTCATCGTCGATCGGAATAAATGCTTCGTCTACAACAATAGAATGGTTAGCTAGAATGAGGATTTCTGTATGGCTGGTTGTTGAGGTAACACAAGATAAAGGCATCTTGAATGGCTCTTACCAGATGAGACAGCTAGGAAAGCACTAGGATTTTCGGGTAAATCTCCAACCCATGCAGCTATGCAGCAGAGCTCAACTTTCAAAGCCACAAACATATCTACTGAAAATTTCTCCTTCAGAACGTGTCTAATTTCTTCAAAGCAGAACCTGTTTGTATCACGTGGGAATAATTCATAGCAGGCGGCGGTCAGTTGACAGTGAACCGGGATAAAGCTGTGCTCGTCACTAGTCCCCGAGACTATCAATATGACATCGAATTCTAGGTTGAGTCAACATGGTCCACGGGTATAGTCCAGAGTTATATATCCCGAGTTAATTTTTCATACGTCCATCCATCTTCCATATACCCGGAATTTTGTCCGCCTCTTGGTATAGCAACATCGAAAAGGTATCCATTTGAAATTTCGCTAGTAAGCTTGAAGGTTTAACTTGAAGCCCTGGATTTCTCTTCAATCTTTAGTCTCAGTCAGGACACTCTTTGAAAATATATAGCTCGAATCCCGAGGTCACTGGCACCAAACTCTCAAATATGACCAGTTGACTTTACCTAGTGAGGTGGGGAACGTAGTGGTGTGTAGTCAAAATACACGCGTAGAGATAACCATAATATGCATCAACAAATACCACCAAACCATGTACTAGGTGTAGCCTGAGAGACTAACCCCTAGGGTCAAGTGAAAGAGGTGTAGAAGTGTGTATTCCTACTCGTGTCCTGCGCCACTATTATGGTACGGTATTGTACATGAAGACATCTTTGGTGTACCGCGGTCACGTGTAGTGGGAAGAGACTTCTTCCCCACTACACTAGGTAGGTCACATATAAAACGCGACCTATACAACACTTGAGATTTCTTTTTCGTCCATTTTCTTTTAGAGAGATAGCCCACAGCTGGGCTCAGTTGGAAAGGTAGTTATACTTCATTGATAAGTTGAATGATATGAATCAGCAAATCTATCATGTCAAGAGTGGTGATAGACTTTTCTCTCAGTAGCTCTCCTATATAGGCCAACCTCTCATCATACCTAGGCACCCATACTAGTGTAGTATTATCTTACCCTTGCCTAGGTATAGTATCATAAAGTCACTTTCTCATAACTGGAATCATGCTGGGCCGCCTCCGGTCCATTCAATGCGGCGTATTTGGCGGCTCTGATCTTTTGTGAAAGATCGCGGATTTGGCCATCCCGGAATTGAACCTTCTTGTGGATTGACATCTCATTGAAATGATCCGGTGTATTGCTGTGCTAGGTCTTGGACTCGTGCTTCCTTTCGGGACAGAAGCGAAACTGGCATTTTTGGGGTATCGTGGGATTCGTCTTGAAAAAGTGGATTCGGCCTTTTTAAAACGCGAGGTGGAGCTTTGATTGCAAAGCTGAGATGGAGTCTCGCTCCGTTGAGATTGGTTTCTGAGTTCATGATTGAGAAAGAGTGAAGGTGGATGGAGGTCTCTCAATCAGAAGGGATTCATACCTTATATCAGATAAAACAACTTGAAGTGCGGGAAGCGTTTGATTTAGAATTGTGTATTTCAACCCGCTCTGGACTAACTAGGGAAGAGAGAAACGCTCTACGCGATGCATCCAAACTTCAAAGGGTGCATAGGTTGATTCGGCTTCAATGGATCAAACCATCTAGGCACTAACAGAATTCTAGCTATACCGGGATGACCCGTAAGCGTACCTTTAATTGGGAGATGCATAGGACTTTGTGAAAAATTTCGGACCTATAAGAGCTGGAAATCTTGTATGTACAACCTCAGAACATAACATAAGGAAAATACAATTTAGTCAATTTCAATGTAATATGTATAGGAACACTGTTCCCTACTACACTAGGTAGAGTCTCCCATCGCCTGATACAGCTTAAATGCCAGACGGACTACCAAGCACTTAGTTTCCTTCATACTCCATTCATGCCCATTCCCCCCATCAGCATAGGCCTTCATAAGTTGCTCCTTAGTTTTCTATTCACTCTCTGGCGTGGAAGGTATGGATACTTGATTGTGGTCGCAGATAAAGATAAATAGGAGTGTTGTGACGGCTTTGCTCGGCTTCATGGTGTTATTATTGAGCACTGTACTAGTTATGCATTTGTCATGGAACGCTGTCACTCCATACACATTCCTTGCTTTTTCAAGTGGAGACTCCTCTGTCTCCATTTTAGTCATCTCCAGATCTTGTGACATTATGCTTTCGCTCTCGTCACTGGCTTTTTTTATAACCATGATTCCTGAGAAGCATCGATCAAATGATGGGAGCCATTTGATCTCGATGAGGGGATGTCGAGTGAGCTTGGTAGGAATCTTGATTGCTTTGTTAAAGCCCTCGGCGATCAAGAGAGAAGCTTCGCTGAAGTTTTGTTCGATATCTGAGTAATCTGAGGACTGCCTTCGCTTGAAGACAGTTGAGTAAATTGAAACATTGCTCATTGAGGGGGAAGGAGTCTCTCTTATAATTCTTCCTCTTGTTCAGTGTACTCTCCTTAAAATTTCCATATGCTAAGCAAAAAAGGATACTCAGACTTATTTACCAAACTAGACTTATCTTAGGAATTCAATAAGCAGGGTATTTGAGTTAATTAAAACTTATGGTCAGCATTTCCTAAGATCCCTCCCTTTTTCAATACATAGGGGAGTCTTTGAAAAATGTGAACAATTAATACCTTAATGTCTAACAGCAACTTGAAACTAATTAAGAAACCACTCAGGCTCTTTTTGAGATGTTTTCATTCATTATTCCAATGAAAAGGTCAAGATCTCTCAAAACAGGAAGCAATTTAGATAACAAAAACTTGAGCTCGATGACTAGAAGTGTCAAACAAATCATGAAGCTCTTTAATAGATCCCTCCTTAGAGATTCTATAAAAACTAGGTGTTGAAAGACTAATAACCCATTTTCCAGTAGCTCTGCCATTAGAATAGGTTGGCTTCAATCCATCCAGGATTACTTCTTGGTAGGGTTTTCCTGCTTGATCTCTGGTGATACCAAGAGCAGCCTGACCTTCGAGTTGGTACTCATCCAGTATATCCTAAGGTATCAAAACTCTATGATGTATAGCAATTACCAGACCAGTTAAGTACTAATAATCAGTATAGGCTGGTCCAGACTTATATTATTACCATATAACTTCTTAGACGTTCCTTCCAAAATCGGCTTGTAGTGTATAGTAGGGCAAATTTATGGCTATAAATAGATAAAGATAGGCTGTCGGTATAGGCTGACTAGGGTTAAGCCACATAAATCTCTCTATACATTCTTTACGAAGCTTAGGTAACGGATTTGCAAAAAATCCATCGGAATCAGTAAGAACCAGGACTATCACATCAGCAATTGACTTAAGTTTTAACAGGTAGAGAAAGGTATTCTTACTTTCTGGAATTTGCTATAACATGAAACAGTCTATTTTATATTGAGAGCAGGGTGACCGATGTATTCTTGTTTGTAAGAAATGATCCAACTTTATATATCCTTTTCCTTTATCTCATCCGATATCTTATCCTGTTTGAAAATCCTTTTGAGATATAAAGAGCAGACAAGGATAAAAATAATGATATACTAAGCCACAATTATCCAGAGAATCCAAATCACGTGGTTGTCAAGAAAGTCCCAACTTGAAATCAACATCTTAAGTCGATGATTTTTTGTCTAGATGATGTATTAATGGCACCAGGCGCAAAATAGCAAATTTCAGGATACTAGTTATCCTATATATACTATCTCTGGAATCTCTGGATTTTTATTCATGTGGGTTTATATGTATATATATATATATATGGATCTACTATGATTCAGATATTTCTTCTTATATTCAACCTTTTCTAGTAGTTCAAAAGCTTGAATGATATTACTGTATAGGTATTCCTATTGGTTAGGAATATATGTAGAGATTATAATAAACATATATTCGAACTTAAAGAAGAAATTGAATACTACTATTAATATTCAAGAAGAGCTTTCATACATTCATAAACTTCGATCCCCAATATATCAGATTTATTTCGGAGTTCTGTCACAAGCTCCTTTCCTTTGGAATATTCAAGAATACCTGCAATTTATAGGCGTATAAACAGGGAAGGCTCACATCCATATTCAAGAAGCCTCAACACAAGAAGAGTATATTATAGCTTTTTTGTTCCTTCTTCGTCGATATTGCACCTTAAGTCTAGCAATTCTTCGGTCAACATCAGAGGTGCATATCCTATTTTATTCAGAAGAAACCTCCTCACAGCTGATAATGATGGAGAGCTTGAGGATTCTAGCTTGAAACACTCGATAATATACTCTTTGACAGATTTATAGTTAATGACAATCAAATTGCCCTCCTCCTTAGTAGCTGCAAGTGTCAATTAGTCAACTTCAATCTTATATAGGATGAACGTATATACACCAAATCTGTAAGAAACTTTCCAGGCGATCATGGTCGTTAACATAAGACATCTTTAAGTACTTTACTTTAACTTATACACCTAGTGTTAAAAATTTAGACTTATGAGCATTTAGAAACAGCGAAACATATTTTTTATAGTAAGTAGCATCTAGGGGATTTTGAGCTGGTCTCTGCTGGATCTCTGAGCAGGTATAATATAAAAGTAGAAGAAGTCATCCAGATCAAAGTAGCTATACCACCAGACTAGCTTCGCCACTTTATAGAAGTACTTAATTTCAAGTTACTATATATTAGTTCATCTTATAAACGCCATAGAAATCTAAAAATATCTAATGACTATCAAACATAACTCTTTCTTACAGTAAGACTTAGTAAAAGATCCTAGCTCTAGTAAAAGAATTTTAAATAAAAGAATAAACAACAAGACTATTAGGATATTATTTATCATTCTCTTATAGCCATATAATCCAGGGTGTTCTTATCCAGGTCCTATATAAGAACTTTGTCTCTTTTCATCTCTTCCAATTTTTATTCAATATATTCATCTATTAAGTCATACTCCTCTGGTTATAAGAGATTAAATCTCTCCTTCTATATATCGTAGAAACGACTGGTATAACTTTGCCTTCTAGGCCAAAAGAATCGCTGGTCAATCTTCTGCCAGTATATTCTGTTAAATGCAAAACCATCTCTTACAGCCAAAAAAAATATAACGATATAGTATTAAATATAGTAGCCGCCAGTAGTAGTTATAGCTTTAGAAATATCTTAAGCTAAATAAGCTTATTTATATATAGAAGAATAGTAAGACAAAAACTATAGCATTCACAAATCTTAACGCTTGTCGGTAAGTTTAGTCAAGTGCGATATATAAAATATTGATTACCAAGCCCTGGGATATTATTTGAGCTTTTCTGATGTGGATTATCTCTCTAAAGACTAATTTATCTGCTTTGGATATTTTTTTCTTTCGTAATAGCTCCGATATTACCCGTAGATCAGGATTTGTTAAATTACAAAAAGTACGAGCAGAGATTTTGATTCGAGAGACTGTAAGTAAAATTAGCCATATGCCTGACCTATAGAAACAACCCCCTATCTGATTGTGAGTGATTTTCATTTATATTTAAAGCAAGAACCTCCAGCCACTCTTACTAAATATTGCGGAAGACACTTTTTGGTAAGGCATAAAGGCCCTTTTTATAATATATCTTAACGCTAACTAAATCGTTAAGATAGAGAAGTTTAGGCGGAAGTATTGCTAAATATTTATCTTCCAGGGACAGATTCGCCTAAAAATTGATCAGCACTGCCTTTAACTGGTTATTTTCCATCTCTCCAGGCCAGAACAGTGGAGATTTCGCCAGAAATGAAGATAAAGTATCTATACGATCATGATTACCCTAAGTGTTAATAGACTAGTGGTTTTCTATATTGGATATTATCGAAAAGTAGAAACAGAGAAATACAATATATACCCTGCTTCCCATCCGTCGTTTTGGTCGATTATAGTATTCTTGCTATAGGCCGAATTTTGCTAGCTCCGAGGGGCTCTATATAAGAACAGCCAGAAGATAGTTTAACTATATCCAAAGCTCTATAGTTAATATTGATGGAAGCAAACTTATACTTATCAAGCAATCTTATGATATAAAAATACGTCGCCTCTTCCGGAAAAAATTAGACTGCTATTACGGTTCGGTCTATATGATAATATTAGGTAGCTTATTTCCTTTTTTAACACTAGATATAGTTATGTAGAGATAACTTAGTATTAAAATGGCTTAAGATATAGTATAATTAATAGGTATAACAAATCTAGGAACCCGGTAAGATAATACTAGGCTTATACTATTTATCTTAATAATAAAATTAGCTGATAGGGTCTAATATGATCTTAAATAAGTGTTATATTAATAGAGGTTTGACGATTATGGAGAACACTATCAGGTGAAGAATACAGTAAGCCAGAGGAATAGATCAAAATATTTTGCACCTAACTCAGAAGAGGCTAAGGAGCGTTGAGATAAGTATTAGACTCTAGGAATTCCATCTAACTTAGGAAGTATAATTTCCCTCCTGTGGTATGCCGACCAAAATCTAACAATATTCTGTGATAGAGTATTTCTAAGAGCTTTTATCTCATCTAGTAGAGTACTCGCACCCCCCTCATTCACCAGATAGTCACACTTATCAAATACTTCAGGAAAGCGGACCTCTTTAAGGTCAAGAACAGTCACATTACCGCTGGTGGTAAACATAAAATTAACAATTTTTTGATCCTAGTAAACAGCGCCGCATTTGGTTAATAAATCGAATACCTCTCTTAACAAAACTTCCAAAGTATTGTAATCGATATGGTTATCAAGGTTAGATGCAAGGTCATATAGAGATAAGCCACCTTCGTCTGAAAGAACCAGGGCCGGGTATCTGTTATAGATTACTTGGCTATAGAGCTTTGGTATAACACATCCTTAAAGCTCTAAGAGTTTTTCATAAGCTACTCGCTTATCTTAGAAGCAATTTTCCCATCCATCCTTCTGTTGCTTTATGATAACTGTATTTACATGCGGTGGAATTGGCGATTGATATAAACCAGACTCAAGTTCAAGGCGGTATACTGTGCGCCGGATCTTGAGTAAATCGATCCTTCTCGCAAAGAGGGGTTGATGATTGAGAAACAGGATCTATAGCTATGAGTAGGTTGTATTACTTTGTGGTATCTGTCTTACCTCCGAGTGGCTTGTAAGGGGTGAGGTTGAAGTCATTAAGGATGTATCAATGAAAACACAACACTAGGTATGGGCGGTTACGTTGCGAATAAATAGAGCTTCAGTCCGCATTAATCAGGTGATATGGGAATCGGCAAGGGGTAAGAGGCACGTACACCGCCTGCTGACATTAACGCTCCCAGGCGGCCAGCCACTCAGACAAAAACAAGTAAATGCGATCCATGCTAACCTTGTAAACTCATGTCCTGATTATTCAAGCTTGACATGGTGACTGCTTAATCAATTTTGTTTTTCCCGTGCCCTGACTACGACTTTACTAAAAACACAAATCTTAAATAGACTGTATAATACTGAAGGATTTCCTGTCCCCTTGAAATACCACGGCGACTAAACAATTTCTCATCCTCCTTCCCCTCATCCTTTCCGTTTTTACACATGGTTAGGCTTATTTTGTAATATATATGGAATATGTTTGGAAAAACTGTATTTTTAGCCCCTTAGAACAAAGTGTGCGTGATATAGTACGGGTCTCAGACAATTTGTAGGTAAAAAAAAGAAAAAAAAAACAAGAATTTGACTTCACATGAAAGAAAGGAACAAGACGCAGTAAATATATCCATGGATGACATCTGCAGGCATATAGGCGGCGAATGTAGAGTTATCCTAGGGGGTGGGTAGTAAGGAAACAATTCCGGGTGTCATTAGCAATTGTCCGGTCTTGGTCAACCCATAGTTACCCAGTACCCGATTATTAAGACCATCCCTCGTCGATCTTCTGTACGCGTGATTCGGAATACACGTCTCAGACGTGGATGATGACGGAAGAGTCAACCAGCTGCATCAATCCATTTTGGACGTCCTGAGTACCATGAATAGTGTCGCTCGTAGCCGTCGATGATGTCCAGGTCCAAAGATCTCGGGATTGGGGGATTGTGGGTTCGGTCCACGTCCAGTGTGGCGGAACGGCGCATCCAACCTTCTGCAGCCTGCCTATACAGGCTGTACTGTATAGTACACGGATTTTCTGTATACGGATCAGGTTCTCGAGGAATTACGCAGCAGTCCACTTCGCAATTTGGCTCCTTAAGGTGATCTCGATCTGATGCACGAAATCGAAGGATAAGGGCATTATTCATATCGAATGCAAAGACATGAGTGCACTTGTATTGAAATGCATACCTTGACGTGGTTAACAGGGCTCATAAACAAAGATCAGTAGATACTTACGCCCTAAGTTCTTTGCCAAGACGAAGAGTTTTTGATCTCGGGCGAGTTTCACTTGCGGACTCCAAGTTGGCAAGATGCTCTAGAGCCATGTTGGAAGTTGATCCAGTATGCCGAATGACAGCTGCTGCCGCTTTGAAGTTTTTTCATACTCCTCAAGTGCAACAGCAGCATATGTTGAATAAGCGACCGATCGAGCTCAGCCAAGCTTGAATGCCTCCAGTTTCATACTCAAGTGTAACAGCAACCCCTGTTTAACAAGCGACGGATAGAGCTTAGCCAATTAAATACCTGATTCCTTGAATCAGATCTAACATGAGGTTGATTTAAAGTTGCATCATGATTATATTTTATCGTCTTTAAGTATCTTGGAACTAATCCATTTCAATAAATACTACTATCAACTTGTGTAGCTAGGTATATTTTAAAATACTAGTAGATGTCACCTTAAGCTAGACCTGGTCCGATCAAGTGTTCTGTAAAAAATTAATTATGCGCTAGAAGTCCTTATATGTTTATTCCACTCCGACTTTGATGGACTGTCTTGTCGCGAAAGGGACGGCTTTGAGAGTATGAGGGGAGGTTGACCGCGATGCCGAGGTTTACTATGTCCTACAGTGTGCCCAAGGATCGGCAGTTCTAATGTTCCTCAAAACTGCTGACCTTTCCGTAGACTTTTCTAAGTATGTATATTCCGCTATTGGGTATTAAAAATCTAGAGTCATAGCTCCTCTAAGTGTTACAAAGTATAGATTGAACTGTTAAAGCAGGTGATTTGTGCGGTCCCGTGCAACTGCATTTTCAGGAATAACAATAATCCGCCGGTATGTCAAATCGGTGACATGTGACAGACTAACCAATTTCAGATGCAAGCATTGCTTGGGACCAAGAATAGGTGGTTCCCCTAGGAGCAGTCATGCATTAACCGACGAACTGAAGAGTGAAAGACTAGTACCAACCTATGATTTCATCGGAAGATACAGAGTGTTCAACGACGCTCTTGCTGCACTGAAGAAAGGGCTGATTACCTGCTTTCCCTCAGTGCACCCCTAATCGTGGTGAGCCAAAATGCCGTTGAAGGTGGGTTTTGTAGAAGAGATTTGTGCTGAGATTATTCATATAGTCTAAAGTAGGCGCATGTATCCTGATATGATCGGGCATGATGGGAGCAAAAGTATCGGTCCATGGCTTGCTAGAAAGTGCTGAGGAAGACTCATTGAATAACGGGCGTGGCGTGAATGTTTGTAAAAGATCGACAACTCGCAGTGACATCTTCGGCGAAAAGAACTCGAAACACAGTGTTCTAGAGGTGAAGTGGCTTTGCAGGGGAAGGATAATGGACACGTCAGCACTCTGCCCAGGTGGATGAGAAGGAGGGGAAGGCTACATTCGCATTGGTCTGTATGCGGGTACAAAACAGTACCTAAATAATATTCAGGCTATTCAGGTTGTGAGCCTGAATATGGCCTGAACGCCCTGAATAGTAGGGCGGCAAGGGCAGTTTCCCGGACAAATCAAAAAAAGCTGGTGAGCACAAACATACAACAGTCAGGATTCGCATGTGGTCACCCACCATACTACTAACTGACCGGCGTGTGGCTTAAACGCGGACAGTAGTCTGGTGGGTGCCGCCGGGGTGAGAAAAGGGTGAGCGCTGCTTTAGCTCTACGTCATCGGGGGTGAGAAGGGGTGATGACCGGGTGAGAATAACCCCTGCGTCGTGTGACCCCGCACCGACTCTTTCAGGTGAGCTGAAGCTGGAATATAATTGGTCCATGTGCCTCTCACTGAAACAACGGGTCTCATAGTATCTGCACTTCGCCACAGTTCGAAGCGATATACCGGAAGGGTATATACTGATCCAGCAAATGTGCTGCGCCATGCCACACCACTATGATCCGATAACGTAATCCACGGTTGAACGGATCACTCCGAACACCATACTAAATATGATTTTTTGTAACTCCATATCTCAACGTTCAAGATAGATCGTATAGTCCTAAGGTAGCTTAGTGCTAAAAATATTATACTAGGTATTTAAGCATAAAAAGTGCTTGACACAAAAGATCGCGATCGATCCCAGCGAACTTGCATAAGCGGCAGAATCCACACCGCCTATGCCTATCTCAATAGCTTATCCGTCCCCGTTGTAAGGTGCACTGGCCGGACCATCTCATTTACACGTATGATTGATACCATCAGCACCCTCTATATCATGCATGTATAAGGTCACTACTACTCCCCTCGATCATATGATGATACAATGATGCAATGGCCGACAACAGTTCTCCCGATTACAAAAGTCTCTATCTACAAGAGAAAGAGAGACGAGAACAAGCCGAAGCGCGACAGAAGCAAGCCGAAGCGCGACAGAAGCAAGCCGAAGATGAAGCTGGAATAGAGAAAGAGCGTAACCGATCGCTAACCTTCATGGAACTCATACGCCATGGCCATGACCTACTCTCAAGACCGCTTAGAATCAGAACACCCTCTCGCTCGACTACAGGGACAATACCTCCTCCTACCGGAAAGTACTGCCCGGTGCGACTAGAACCATGGACAAATTGCGCACTTGAACAGCAAGAAATCTACGATGCTGTATGCAAATACCTCCAGCCAACCAAGGAAGCCCCGTCACGGTTACCTACGTCCTTGATCACCCTTGAAGCTGATGCCCGACGATTTTGCCTCGACCCAATGCACAGCGAACAGAGCGTCGAGAGCTACGAGCGAATTGCAGTAGAAGGTCATGTCCGCGATATAGTCGCGGAGCTATGCAAAATTGATGCTGCCCGTAACGACTTTAGCCTCGGTGATGGAATCTGGTTCGACAATCACAAGAACTCTCTTGATCATGATGAATGTGTAGAAGCGGATTTACATCAATCATCAAGTATACACAATCCAAAACCTGATCAGTTCTGTATCCATCGGGTTAATGGGAATACCTCTACCCTCCTTACCACAGTTGAATACAAGCCACCTCACAAGCTTCCCACTGAAGCCCTTCGTATAGGGCTTCGACCAATGGACTTATGGAGGGAATTGGTTTGTTCAAAAAAAATACCACAGGAAGAAGCAAGCAAATTGAAGTACAACATTGAAAAACTTGCCTGCTCCGCTCTTGTCCAAGAGTATCATGTAATGATCCAGGAAGGTCTTCAGTATTCTTGGTTAACGAACGGGATTGCTCGTGTCCTTCTTCGCATTCCTTACGACGAACCTGGTACATTACAATATTTTTTCTGTGACCCAAACGGAGAATTGAAGGGCGAAATCCGACAAAATTTTCAAGAGCCAAAAACCTCAATTGCACGCGTCCTTTGTCTTTGCCTAATGGCATTTCGTGCGCCTCTACGTGACCATGAATGGAGAAATAACGCACGCTCGAAGCTCCCTCTCTGGACAACCAGTTTCGACCATACTCGTTCTCAGATTCCTAGTCTAGAACTACAGCAACTGCCTTTACACTCCGATAGTACTGATTATGCCAGCCCTGAATCAACTGTGGATCCAAGTCCCGACTATCAAGCGGGTCCTTATCCACTAGATCACCCAACAAAAAAAGGTCGCCGAGCTACGAGATCTCAAGCTGGGTGTGCGCTCCCAACTACGCGGTACCGCTCGCAATCACCAGACTCTTCCGGCTCTGAGCCGAATCAAGCCCCCGGGCGTAAACGAGGCTTCAATCAAGTTGGGTCTTCGCCATCTGCCCAACAAACGGCACGTGAAAATCGTACCAGACATAGCCAGGGAAGCCAGTCCCGCGATGCGCAATTTTGTACACAAAGATGTTTACTTGGGCTACAGAATGGCCATATTCTAGACGAGTCTTGTCCAAACGCAACGCTTCATCGCCAGGGTACAGGTGACCTAAAACACCCTATCACTGCAGACGAATTAATGCATTCATTAAAAGCGCAATTGGATGAGAACATTGATCGTTGTGTATCACTTGGAAGTTGCGGGCAGTCTGGAGCGCCGTTCAAACTAACCTGCGCCATATATGGCTACACCGTCATTGGAAAGGGAACCACGTCGTCCTTATGGAGAGAAGTCTCCCGCGAAGCACAGGCGTACCGAATTTTGCAGAAGGCTCAAGCATCTGCTGTACCTGTCTTCCTCGGTGCAATCAATCTAGCGAAAATTTACTTTCTTCATGGGGCTGGAGATATTCGCCACATGCTTGTCATGGCCTGGGGAGGCGAAAGCATAGCAACGATGGAACTGAAGCCATGGCTTCGTAAAGAAATTCATAAATCGGAGAATGAAATCAAAGCTTTGGGGATTATCCATGAGGATCTTTGGTGTGGCATTGATGAGGGCCTTCGGTCTGGCAATATTCTCTGGAACGAGGAACTCAGGCGGGCGCTGATAATTGACTTTCACCGCTGTACATTAAAACGTCGGTCAATTCAAAAAAGGCCACAACCAGCGAAGAGGCGGCCGTATCAGACAGAGTCGGCGTATTCCAAGCGTTTACGAGTTTTGTGAGTGGCGGTGTTGATCAACGATATACTATGACAACAGCCAGAGAATCGGATTGGCCAGGGATGGAGAATGATTAAAGCTGTGTTAAGACGCATAATAGGAATCAAAGATAGTGACAATATTTTGGAGCTAAGGATCCCTCAATTTGGCAAATAGCTTAATCTCATACGCGAGAAATGCACCGTTCTATATAGCAATATTTCTTGATCAGCTAACCCAAATCAAACCACCCCGCGTGCGATTTCTTAGTCGGTAAAGGAAACCGATGTCATTTAGATAGCTGGCATAGTTTTTATGAATGTTCGGACAAATTCCGCAACTGGGAGAATACCTTTATTATTCTGAAATTAAAATAGATGAACTCCATGGAGCGCTTGGACACAATGCTAGATGCAAATTCTTCACGAAGCATCGATCTTTCGAAACGTTGTATTGTACACATGACTTATAGATAACACCACCGCCTGTCATTCGGATATATATATTTCCGTTTCCGTACGGCACCATTTTCGGTGCCCGCGTTTCACCCCGCTCAATGGTTCAAGTATTGTTATATAACCCGCCGTGTTGATTTTCGTCAAATCTATCGACCAAAAGATTATATTTTGGGTCCGTGATTCTCTTCTCCCAACCTTCATTATACTAACGTTTCCACGTTAAACAGCCAGTCCCTCACTTCAGTTGGCCCGGCCGCAATGCCTTAAGACGACGATCAGTCCAGAAGATAAGATAGTCAGAATCTGGGATCTAGCCACTGGCCAGAGCATGTTTACTCTTAAGGGGCATAGCGATTTAGTCAATTCAGTCACCTGGTCATATGAGGGGGGGCCAACTTGCATCAGCATCGAGGGATAAGATAGTCAGGATCTGGGATTAAGCCACTGGTCAAAACGTGTCTACCCTTGAGGGGCATGGTGATTGGGTCAGCAATATTGCATGGTCATGTGATAGAAGCCAACTGTCAGAATAAAGGCTTATTCAGCAGCATGTGGCACCCAATGGGGTCCAATTGTACAGATGTGTGTATGTGTGTTCAATTCTGCTAAATCTAAGAGGTAAAAATACAGTGTAGGTTTACGTAATCTCAGGCAGTAAGGCCTCTATCCGACATAGATCCGTGGTCACGTGCTGTCAGGTGCTCCTTGCCTAACTGTCATACAGTATTAACCAGTATATGTCGAGACGGTAAGTAACAGGCCATATCTAGCTCCCGTTGGTGCCTGGGGCACCAACGTAGCCCTGCGCCCCTCTGGGCCGTGCGTCCACCGGTTGTCCGTACTTGGACCGGCCGTCAACTGATTGGATCATAGCTGCTCCTGGGAGGTCCCTCCGTAGTGGGCCCGTAACAAGGAAGCTATATATACGATTAGGGAGTTATATGTCCTACTATGGGTTATGTGCTGGGCCGTACGATCTTGATCACGTGTGTATGGGGGCGTACGTGGGGGTTTATCGGTATGTGGGGGTTTATCGGAAGACCTGATGAACCCTTGTCCTTTGTCATCTGTTGGGTATGATCGTACAGGTGAATGGCTTGGGCTTGTTGAGGCTTGACAAGCCCTTTGTCACAGGCTGAATCCCTGAAAGAGTACAGGCAAGGCCTGTACAAAGCTCAACCATCCACGTGACCCATAACATTCCTCCTCTTCCTTGACGAATCGTGCCCGAAGTCTACTTCTTCTCCTTAAGCTTCTTTTTGTACACAGTTCGTGGTCCGAGTAGATTGAATCAAGTCCGCTTCTGCCCTTCACACCCTTGTTGGGTTCAACCTGTTACATTCCCCACTATAATAAGTAGGTAATCACCACTAAGGTAAAATTTTCGCTACAGCTTAAGAGCACCCAACAAAAATTTAAATAAAATAGATAGAACTGATAAAATAAATCCACAAAGACAAAAAGATAAAAAGAAAATGACCAGACCCGGGCTCGATCCGAGGACCTTATCGGAATAAGAAGTCATGTGACTTGTTAACGATACGTGATAACCAACTACACCATCCGGCCAATTGATATTGGGAGGTGGAGATTTTGGCATCATGGACCAAGGCTTTCTTTGCCATCCACAATGTGGAGCCAAGGACTACCGAACCCGTAAATGGTTTAGTCTTGAGACTCTGTGGACAGCCGACAAGAATTCACTTGCACGTATTGATTCCAATTCCAAATTGGATGAGGTTTATTGCAAATAAAATATCTGATACGGTGGCGTAAGCCCTTTTGAATCAAGATTGTCAAGCTTCCACCTGGGCAGCCTCGGAAAAGGAATTGGTTGGAAATATAGAGAGTGCAACATGGATAGGATAATATATATCTGTTATATGGGCACCATCAAGCTTACAGATTCACAGAACCTCCTGTAAAAGGCGCCAATCGGGCATCTCTTGACATTCTATCACGCAGTTCTTACCGACACCTGAATTATGACAACCTTGGCATTATCACAATGTATCCATGTGCCCAGGTGTTCCCAATAGTCATCGACAAGCTTACGCGATAAACCAGCGAACTATCAACAGAGATAACATTACTAAAACAAAGAGAGGCATCTACCGGCAAGCGTCCGCTCTGCAATCATAACAACGTTCGCCAGACCCTCTTTGGTGAGTGAATCAGTCCAGGGACGCAAACCGACTCCGCCGTTGTCCTGTGCGAGTGGATGGGTTCATCTCTGCCTGAATGTAATCAAACCTTCTATACACCTGTGGAAGGAAGTATGATGTAATGTCTATCTCGCCATTCTTGATCGCAAATGCGAAGAACGCCTGTAACCCACGCCGTGTCCGTAGTTCTTCCTCCGGGACCATTCCTCGCAACAGGTTCATGTATGCCCTTGCATCGCGTTCCTGGCCACGGCGCTGCAGAAAGCCAGTAACCGCCTCGATTCCAACCAGGTCGCTTGACGCGTGCTTGCTCACATCTACCTGTAGTTTGACGTGTGAGACGGTGTACTTGGGGTGGATGTCAAAATAGAAGGTCACGCCACTCGTGTTCAGATTAGACAGAGCAGCAGTACCATCACCATTCGCAATGAGAAGAGAAGGGGCCTCGGTGGAAGTGGGGAAGTCGGGGCTCAAGCCTTTCAGTCCGTACCATAGCTCGCGAAGCTGGGCAAGTGACTTGGCAGACTCTGGCTTGCGACCGCCCAGGGTCATGACGGCGGCAATGTGGTCGAAAGAGGTATTGCTTGTTGTGACGTACACCTTGAACCGGGAGGTTTCCGGTTTGCAGCAGTCAATGGCTGTGGTGCCCAGTACAGTGAGGTAGCTTCCGTGAGGGTCGGTCTCAATGAAGTCGCGGACGGTGTTAAGACAGTCTAGGGATACATCGGCCCCATAGGCATCCCTCATTGCGTTAGGGAATATGGTGCTCATGAGCTCGCTGACCTGGCCAGGGGCTCGCGTCATCAAGCCTGCCATGAAATCGACCGTACCGGACTCACCCGGCGACCACTCTAGGCCAACAAGCATCGAAGAGCCTGCAACCTCGCGAGTCGCCTCATCTGTCAGGGTAGGCCGGATGTGGGCGGCAAATTTCCATACAAGGTCAAGGGAGGTTGTGGGTAGGATCTTGCCGAGCTCCCACAGCATCTCCTTGTTCGCGATTTCGTTCAACGGGTCCGCTGCGGTTCCTGTTAGGTTGCCTATGGGCTCGACGTAGTGGCGGATCAAAGGTTTGCTGTTAATGCCAGTGCCCCATCGCCAGCTATATCCAATTGGACTACCATCTCCGACTCCGGGGGCAACACGGCTTCTGAACGAGGGGTCTCCTGAAGTGGGCTTGGGGCCGAGGCGCGGGACAACGACGAAGCGGTAGAAGAGAAGAAGTTCAGCCTGGCGCTGCTCCGAGTATCCTGCCTCATGCATCATCCTTGCGACATGGCGGCCGGTGACCTTCCACCAGAAAACCTCGTGCTCGTTTCCTTCTGGGAGAAAAGCGAGAGACCGTGTTAAAGACTCGAAGCTGTGCTTCGGAATCGAATAGGGCCACCTGTCTAGTAGTCAGTGCGTGCTCCTGAGTGGATGAAGAGGCCAGAATATAGGAAATTGTAAGAGAGAAGTATCATTAAACACCTGAGTATCGATGGTTCCGCCTTTTTCAATACCATCAAAGGTCTTGTCGCCGCTAAGAGAAGATTTGTCGTCAAACACAGGATGGGGAGACATTGTATCCAAGTGTTTCTTCCTATGTTGGCTTTGTAAGGGAAAACAATTCAATATTGACTTGGACAGCTCGGTGAACTTAGTTTTCTACCTACCAAATAGTATACTTGAGCGACGGCACTGATAACTGTCTTTTGTATCGAATTCTGCTCGGCTTTTAACCAAGGTTGCGGATTTTGATCGAGAAGTCCGAATTCGGTTCGGATTTTGTGCACCCTGCCAGATAAAATCAGATCTCTATGCACTATTACTAAAAGCCACCAGTAAAGAGTGAAAATGTTGCAATGGACTTTATCCAGTGTGGACGAAGTTTCCGGACGCAATCTTGCCTTGGTCGAGGATTGTAGCTTAATTGAGCTGAGACCCGACGAACCTAACCGGTGTGCAAGAGCTGTGAGAGCGACAACTGTAAGGCTTTGCGGCCTGTGTGAAAAGAAGCCAGTGTGAATATAACCTGTAGATCGGAGATCAACCACCCTTGCGTGATAATAGGGCTGATTGCTCCAATGCGTTCGTCGCCATATTTGCTGGCTGCAAGGATGAAGACAACTACCATTCTGGATACTGGAGCCTACATAGATAGGAGCATACATCAACCAAAATCTCCAGCTCACATTCACTTTCTTAATGGCACTTGACTAACCGGGCTAAATAGAAAAAGGTGGCCGTACAGCTCAGAAAGAACGGTTACACTCGAGACAACTTTGTATGTGCAGTATTGCGACCGCTCTCATCGAAACTATCAATAAATAGATAGAAAATGTGCAGAATAAGATCAGACATCTGTTATAACCTTGTCAAGGACGTAAAAATGAGCTTGGCACTGGCTGGGTTGTCTACAGTACCCTACGATTCCTATAAATAGAGCGAGTCCAGCTAGTTTATATCGAAAGTAAACGAAAGGAACGATAAAAGGATAGCTGACATTGCATCAATAAGAATAGAGAAGCCCCCAATTGCAAACTTCCCAGTTCTTATGTCATGAATACAGGTTGCAAGATAGACGGACTTCTTGCAAAGCACTGATTATTATATACGTTTGGGATGATAAATTATCACGAGCCTGAGAAGTGTGGTGCCTCAGGCATCCGGCGGTTCGCCGCTTCACAGCTGATCTGCAAGATCAGCAATAATTTCCTGTCTCATACATTCGACAATCAGGCTGAGATACTATAATGCTTGTATGTCAAGTGAAGCGTTCTCTACCAGCTCATGCTATATTATGTTCGCACATAAATAGTGGGATCAATTCCCTCTAGTTCTAGATTGCAAGCAATCCGAATTCATTCCCTGACCAATCCATGTTCGGAGGAGTAAAGTCGAGCTCCCCATAACCGCAACATAAATAAATACTACTTACTCTATACTCTGTAACCATATAATAGTTATAGTTACTGAATATATATACTAACATACTTAGAGAGTAGGTAAGTAGATAGATAGTAATATATGATATCGCAACTAGGCCTGATGTCAAATACAATATTCGGAAGTGTTTTATTTTCACCCGCTCTTTGGAAGCCTACGTACATTATCTTAATACATATTATATCATGTTTACCAATACGTATATACACTATTGAGATAAAAAAGATTTTCCATTAGGCGTTGCTGCTCAATACTTACAATTACTTGAAAACTTCATACAGGGAAAGACAAAAAAAAAAGGCAAAAGGTATCTTACTAGACAAAAGTATACTGCAAACACAGTCGGACACCCTTGGGACAGTCTGATCAACAATGCTGCTCCAGCCAACCCTTCATTTCACCAATAGTTGGATACTCAAGGAACAGTGAACTCTTGATCTCCATACCGAGCTCGGAGCGGAACTTCTCAGATAGAACCAGCGACATGGGCGAGTCGATACCCAACTGGACAAAGGTAGCTTCGGGAGTTAAATCGGCTCTGTCAAGACTCGTCTCAGTCGCGATAATATCTAGGCATTGACTGACCAGTCCAGAGTCGGTCGTAGTGACTGACTCGGCTAGTGTTGCTGTGTCCGGTGTCGTTGAACCTATACTCGATGTCCCGCCTTGTATGAGCTTGGTTGCGGACATATAATCGGTGTGGCCACGTTGAGGAACGGTCATCTCTACAAGAGGAGTAAGTGGCTCTGGTACCACAGGAGCGAAAACCTTGTTGGCATTAACATCGGCACGAGCTGTGTTCCTGGGCTTCTCTTGTCGGAAAGGGAGGATGGTCGCCTCCGTGACTTTGACTTGCGGAGGGGGTGCAAGGGCATCAGTCCCGGGAGATGACGACGTTGGCGAGAAGAAGCGATCCATCAGCAGACGTGGCACGCGACGGAATCCGATCTGGCCTACCATGCCCACGACTTTGCCATCCTGCAGGATGTACACGTCGCCTGCGTACATGCTCCCGGCATCGACAGGAAGAGGAAACATGCGAACATAGCTCTGATACTGGGCACCAGCCTCAAGTGGCTTCAACAAGCGAAAGCTCTCGCAGCCGGGTGTCACGTAGAAATAGTCGCGCGTGTTGGAGGCATCGCTACCGTTCATGATCAAGCCTGCCAGATGGCAGACACTGTCGATCCAATGCGGGGGGGGGGTGTGCCAGGTGCCGTGGCGCTCAACCGACAGTCTCACATCGGCTACAGCCTCATAGTGGTGCAGGATCACGCTGTCCATGCCGCGGTACCGGTCGGCGTAGTCGACGACGTTCTTGAAGAGCGTGTATGCCAGAGGCTTGGAGAGCCGGCTCGCCGTGCCCTCGGTAGCCATGTCGCGGAGTGTCTCAATACGGCCTTGCACGAGATGGGTGACTCGCGCCCACTCCGCTTGCCACACATCGGGGTCCTCGAATCGGACAGTTGCTGAAGCAAATGCCTCGGCGGCGCGCTCGCCTGTCTCGCCGCTGACGTTGTACCATGACAGGGACATGGACTGGGTGACCAGGTCAAGATGGGCGTGGAGAGCGAGAGGCTGCGAGCTCCCTTTGGACTTGTTGGCCACCTGCGCATGAAGGACCTCGAAGTTGCCGACATTCATATGCACGTCCTGGACCTGAGGGACAAGTAGACGGTACAGATACTCTCCCACGGACATTGCCATGTCTGTCCAAATGGACGAGGTTGCCACACCGCAGTTGTTCATCTTGTGTCCATGGACAGCGTCGAGGAATTCGGGATGCTGCATATCGGAGATAACATGAAGGGTGGCGGTTGTGGCTTCGACCGTCTCACCTGTGATCTGGTGAATGAGAGACGTGCGCAGAGCCGATGAGGAGGATATTCCGGCTGCCCTATTATTTCCAGTTGCTCCAACGCCGTACTTGAGGAGCGCTTTATCCAGGGTCCAAGTACCAATGTAAGGGATCCAGTAGTCCGTCTCATTCCAGCTGTACTTGGGAAGATGCAACAACGAGTACATCTGCTCGTGAGGCCGGAAATAGTCATTCCAGCATGGCGTAAAACCGCCCAGATGCATTGTGACCAGACTCTTGGCGACGGTCGTCAGGTTATCTTCATTCCGATGACAAGAGGAAACCATGCGCGCCTGGGGAAGCAGTTTGCGCACAAAGCCCGTGCAGATTGGATGGGGTCCAACTTCCACCCACAGTGTCTTGTCATCGACCATCCCCAGTTGCTGACCGGACTGGATGGCGGCAGCAAAGTCTACAGCATTTCGAGTTTGTCGGCGAATGTAATTGGCATTGATTGTCTTGCCATCGAACACAGCAATTCCAAGCAGCGTTGAGAGAACTGGGATGCTGGGGGCCTTGAAGGGAATTCCCCGGGCCAACGACTCAAGCTCGTCCAGCATGGCGTCGTCCATCTGCACGGTATGGAATGCATAGGGGATGTCGAGCAGCACGCACTTGTAGCTGTAGATCTCCAGTGTCTGGCGAATCGTGTCCATGGCATCTCTGGTTCCGCCCAGGACGGTGTCTTGGTGCGTGTTCCGGCATGATACCTCGTATTGCACTTGACAGGCAGCATCTCTTATCACTCGCTCGATGTCAGTGGGGGATGCCAGTACTGAAAGCATCGCGTGGGTACCGGGGGTGCACCGCTCTTCAATCAATTGAGCACGCCGACCAACAAGATACAGTGCGTCAGCGGCGGACAAAATACCCGCAACGGTGAAGGCTGCGAATTCACCTAGACTGTGTCCGATCACAGCGCTGGGCTGGATGCCGAGGAGGGTCCAGAAGTAAGCAAGGGCAATCTCGAGGACCACCACGCTGAGCTGACTGCGGACTGGTGAGTTGGCCTCATCATCCTCCGCGCTGCCATCAATGACCGGGACGACAGAGGGAAAGCCCAGCCGCTGCACCAGCCGGTCGAGCTGCAGAACCTGCATGCGGAAAGGAGGGAAGTCGGCGAAAAGTTCCTGGCCAATACCACGGTAGAACGCACCCTGGCCCGTGAAGGTGAAGACGACTGAACCAGGATCGAGCGGGATAGGACGGATACCAGTGAATGTTGTTTTGCTTTCCAGAGAGGAGCGGAGAAACTTCTGCAGTCCAGCGACAGTGGACACGCAAGTGGCCACTCGGAGACTATGGTGGATGCGACGCGCGCAGGTCGTGTATGACAAGTCGGCAAGTTCTGTTTCTGGGTGCTGCTCTAGGTAGGATAGAAGATTCTCCATATTTGCCTCGAGGGATTTCTTGCTCTTGGCCGAGAGAGTGATCGTGTGCGTCAGACGATCACCTGTGCTGCGACTGCTGCCATCGATCTTCTGTTTCTTCTGGGGTGCATCCTCCAGCAACAGCGAGGTGTTGCCCCCATGTGCGCCGAAGGAATTGACTAGCGCCACCCGCTTCTTGCCCGGCAACCTTGGCCATGCCGTCATGGTCATGGGTAGGAAAGCATTGCGTCGTTCGAGTTTCTTGGGGATGGCCGGGTTGATCTCCGTCTTGATGCCAATGTGCGCGGGGATCTGGTCCTTCTGGTACATCAGCAGCACTTTGATCAGCGAGGCAATGCCGGCAGCCGCCTCGCCGTGTCCAATGTTGCTTTTGACAGCCCCCAGGTGCAGCTGCTGATCAGGACGACGACGTGGCGCAAGAGGCGCAAACACATCCAAGACTGATTCGGACTCGATAGAATCGCCAGCCTGGGTGCCCGTGCCATGCAGCTCGATATAGCTCACATCGAGGGGATTGACCCCGGCCTTGGTGAGTACCTGGCGATAGTTGTCCTTCTGGGCTCCTGCATGTGGGTGTGTGATCGAGATAGCTTCAGCGGAATGGTTGGTGTTGGCAGACAGCACCACGGCCAGGATGTTGTCGTTATCTGCATCGGCATCTTCCAACCGCTTGATCACCACAGATCCCACCCCATCTGCGCGGCAATACCCATCGGCGTCCATGTCCCAGACCTTACACTGGCCCGTTTTCGACAGGAAGTAAGCGTTGCACAGCCCGGCATAGTTGTCTGGATCAGTAATTATATTGAGTCCGCCCGCAAGGACGGTGTCGGCCTCTCCTGCCCAGAGAGCTGAGCAGGCGGCGTGCACGGCAGCCATTGAGCTAGAGCACGCAGTATCAATATTGAATGATGGGCCGGAGAACTTGAAAAAGTAATTGATGCGGCCATTGGCAAAGGCACGTTCTCCACCGGGTACTGCGTAGGTGCCGATATTCTGTGAGGCATTCAGTTCGCGCCAGTCATCACTCGCCTGGCCATAGAAGGTCCCAAAACGTGATGGACGAGAAGATGCTATGCGGCCGGGAACAATACCGGCCATTTCAATAGCTTCATACGCGGTGACGAGCGCAAGTCGTTGCATGGGGTCTGTTTGCTCAGCCTGTTACAGAAGGTCAACTGGTGGATGTCCTAGTCAACTTCGGCAGGGTTTGAAAAGAAAAGAAAGAAAAAACTACATACCTCTCGCGGAGACATTTTGAAGAAGCTGGCATCAAAGAAACCAGGCCGATCGATGAAATTCCCATATGGGGTCTGCGTAGCATTCTCAATCTTGCCGGTAGGGTCATGGTGCGTCTCGAGGTCGAATCGATCCGCCGGCACAACCGTATGGGTATCACGACATTTCTCAAGCAGCTCCCAGAAAAGTTCGGGGTCGTTTGCGCCGCCTGGCAAGCGGCAGGCCATGCCGACGATGGCCAGTTTTGCACCCGCAAAGGAACTAGGACGTTGGGCGCCAAATTCCTTGTATATCCAGTCAACCATGTCGCGCCGGGAGACCTCTAGGGAGGGAAAGGTGGTCTCGATGGCTTGCAGAATGCCCTTCATGACAAGAGACGTGCGAAATGTGTCAACCTGGCATTGCATGGTGGTGGAGGACATGGCACCAGTGTGATCCAGGATTCCTGCTGTGACCTTGTCCAAGTAGATGGTCCCTGTTAGCAGCTCTGTGCCGATCTCCAGGAATAGCTCCTGGGCAGTGCTGGCGGCGAACGGTTTGCCTGTTCGTGACGAGAGAAGAGGCAAACGGACTGGGCGTGAGCGAGGGATAACGGACTCGGAAATGTTGGTGACAAAGTGAATATCCTCTTGGGTGTACAGGTGTTTCGCGTGACACAATCCATCGTAGACCGGAAGGGGTAGCGATTTAGAGTAGCGAAGGTCGTGTGAGTGCTGAAAGGCGGTTTTAAGGCGCGAGGGTGGCCCACTGACACTAACGGAGGCCTTGTCTGCGGCGCTAACAAAGACCTTGGAGATCTCTGGATTCCCCGACTCTGCATTGAACCGTGACAGCTCGTCTTGAATGACCTTTGAGGACATTCCTGTGACGACGTGAGCCCAGCTTTGGAGCGCTCCATCTGGCTGAGGTGCTTCGAGCTTGCGACTCACTTCACCCACGTAGACCCCGATTCGGAAGGAAATCCGTAAGCTCTCGGCGCCATTCTTTACCACTTCTGCAAGGCTGGTGGAAAGAGCCACGGCGGCGCCGGCAAAGAGGCCAATGCTGAGGCCGGCAAGCGTGGTGTGCTTGGGGTCCAAGTTCAACTCGACATCTTCAGCTTCGTGGTGCCTATATTCAAAAAACAGAGGAAAGCTTTGGTTAGTCCGGTTGATCCGATCCGATCTATAAATCACAGGAAATAAGATGATGAATTACCCGATAAGCATGCCGAGTTGAAGCACAATCAGCAGGGCACTTTCCATCGCAGCTCCCAGAGCTCCGGCGCGAAAGTCCCCGTGTTCAACCAGGGTGAGGACTGTATCAAAATGAGGGATCTGATCCTTCAGTACCTGTGAAAGTTTCGAGATCTCCTGCTTGAGAACCAATGTGGACTCATCTAGAAAGGCAGCCAGTAATCTGAACCGTCTGTCCTTGCCGTGCTGGACGAAACGGCGAAATAGATCTTTCAAATCATCATTGGGGAACTCATTACCGAAGAACAGAAGTTTTACAGAAGTGCTCTCCTGAATCGTGTCCATTGGTGTGGATTGATGCATCTTGTATTATGAGGATCCTGTCGAAAGGTGAAGAGCGAAGTAAATAGCAATCAAAGAACAGTAAAAAAAAAAGAAAATTGATAGAATCGGTTGTAGTCCTATAATGGCAACTGTGTCCAAATCCGAATGAATCAAGGCTGATATCCCTTCAAGTTATAGTTGGCCCGTTTCTGCACTGTAATTTTATAGACAGGATACGTGAGGACCACCGCCAAAATGCTACTTAGGGCCGCGGCTTTTGAGACGGGCTTGGCTGGCAGTAAGGAAGTGCCCAATAGTCCGCCGGACTCAGTCCTAACAGCGTAAAATCCAGCGAGCATTGAAGGTAGGTATCAAAAGCCGGAAGGATCTCGACAGAGTGGGCAGAATGAATGCCCGGACGCTATCTGGTAGCTTTCACCTATCAAAGATGATTGATTGCAGATTAGAATCTAGTTGCCAGGATCTTACCTGCTATAGATCGAGGTTATCAATCTATCCTCTACAATCTACCGTCTGTCCATGGTCACTTGGCTCGGCTGCAGGATAATCCACCCGATTCTCGTCGATCGTGCGAACTCCTGAAACACTTGCCATATTAGCACTAGCTTATGTTGCAATTTCCTCTCTGAATCTTGAGTCTGGTATTCGTGGAAGCGAAGAAGACGAACCCCGCATTGACTCTTATCGTCCCATATGGTAGACCCCCAATCCCTATTCTCAACTATATCAACCCTTTTAGTCTAATCAGACCCCGAATTATTTACGTACGTTTTGGTTTCTGGAACGCATTCCTGCTAGGCACTTCTGTCTAGGGGAACAAAGGCTCCATCAACAATGTATTTTTGACAGATCGCAGAAACATGAGCCAATGGACCCCTTCTTTCCCTTCCCTCTTCTCTCATGTTCTCTCAATATGCGATGGTAGGCTGATAGCCAGTCATTCACAGAAGATTTTTTCAACCCACAATAAGCTTTGCTGGATTACTACCAAGAGTCAACTTAACGAGAGAGATCGTTGAAGGAGAAATGAACGAATGGGATTTTGAAGGGAAAGGGTCCGTGAGGGTGAGGGTGTACGGGGATCAAATCCGAAGAAGTAAAAAAAAGCAAAGGAATACGTACTCATCTGAACTAGTCCCTAAAAGGCGTCTCCTCAAAAGCCACGGCCGGCCGGGCCGGTGTTGATGGTTGCAGTCTTGCAGCCTTGCAGGCCAGCGCGGCTATACTTTACTCCGATATCTGCATTTAAAGCAACAGTTGGGCCCATTCACACAGTACAAGGCCACGTGGACCTTCAGTGATTAATGTACTTAACAGGAACTAACTAACCGCATCCTGTTTGGGTTGGTTGGGCACCCAAAAGTCCATCTACCCTTCTCGGCGATGATTCATTGAATATGAACCAGAACAAAACTGATAGAACCAGATGTCGCATAAAATACGACCCTACCATTCCTACAACATTATAGCTATGTTGCCAGAAAGTAGTGTCGAGACACCTTTTTGGCTCAGTGGCTATCCGCGCGGAAGACCCACACGGTCCACAGTATCCATCTTTCGGGAATTGCCGTTGTCGTCGTGGGAAATGTGCTCTCTAACCTCGCAACGCTTGATCGCTAGGATGTAGGAACACTCTGGATCTGAACTATCGCCAGGAATCTTTTCAAACTCGAAGCTTGTCCAGTTACTCGAAATGTGCGTTGCTCTGGATTCGGGGCCGAAAATGGGAGTCGGTTCGAGGTACGTATAGCTTCTTTTTGCCGAGCCACTAGATTGACACTATTTCTGACATGCATAGCCGACATTACACCCACGGGGGCGCTTTGCCTGCCCTGTTGGGGTCCAACAGCCTTGGGCCTTTTTTGTTTCTGTCTGTCCTGGAAGTATTCCCAGTGGAAAGATGCGACATGGCTAGTTATCTAGCTGACGGAATACAGAGGAATGATATTCTTTACGTGGCTATGTACTGTAGTGGGGAGCCTGGTCCCTCACTACTGGTATCATACCGGGTGTTACATTCTTTACATTTCGGTATTATTTGTATCTTAGGTTATGTCATTGCAAGTACAAGAATGGCGCTTGTTACTAGACAGCAATACACACTCCTACATATCTCTGACCTGACCCTAGGGGTAGTCCACGCGCGCACTACGTCTCAGTTGGTGTTGTTCTTTCAGTCCAGCTGGATCGACCCGTGTACCTTCGAGTACACAGCCTCACGGTTCCCCTCTTCAGTACATACCGACCTATATCAAAACAACTCTACCACCGTCTGGATGCTCCACAATGACCTGCAGGAGGCTTTCCCAGGATCTATATCCTTGACACTATCTGCACGGGATCTCAAATTATCTACCCCGCGGTTAAAGAGGGGGGGTAATCTAAGTAATCTGTTAATAAGAAGGCTAGATGTCGGCGTCTGGGAAAAACAGAATCAAGCCTTCGACAAATATTACTTTTTCAAGCGTAAACTATCTCTGAGTTCAGTCGATCATTCATGGATAACAGCTCTGCAAGCATGGCCGACGGAAGAGGCTTGGTAATCCAGCAGAACGAGCACCAGCAAGTTGACCCGGCTATTCCGCAACTCAGCTGTGCCAGTTGCCGTGATCGCAAACTGAAGTGTGACAAGCTAGATCCTTGCACCAACTGCACAGCCTCGGGGCTCGTCTGCATCTCGATCTACCGGCCGCGACTACGACGGGGTCGGCATGCGCGACGCTCAGGCCAACAGTCATCACCGCCACCGGCCATCAATCGAGAGCAAGTGTATGCCCGGAGTGCTGCTGAGGACACGGCTGTGAATAAAAATCTTACCGAGCGGGTCTGTCGGCTTGAGAGCCTTGTCCAGACCGTGGGATCGGTGACGACAAGTGCGGATATGCGCCATCGAGAGCTAGTAAGTAAAGCCAAGGGTGATTGTGGTTGACAAGAAGAGACGCTAAACCGTCTCATAGTCAGAGCCTGGGGTGAATTCTGACGTATGGCCCGTCACTTCTGCGCCATTAAGCCCTACGCTTTCCAGGAGCACTAAGAAACGAGGTCTCTCCAATTCCAATTCCCTCTGGGTAGACTTGGTTCAGGAGGTAAGATGCATCAATGCGAATCACAAGGCGGCTGCATATTCGTCCTTGATAGCCATCATTCTAACCCGAATTTTACCGCTGCCACAGCGATCTCAACTGCGAGACGCCATGGGTTTGGCTTCAGATGAAATGGACAGCGAAGGCAATCTCCCCCCCTATGCAGGCCGACCTTGCTGCCGATAGTGGTATAAGCGCTCTAGGCTTGTTCGACACAGTTGATCCATTCGCACCCAGACAGGTTCAGATACTGTGCGAGGATCGGGGAGCTGTTCGTCAGCTATGTCAGATTTACCTGCAAAACGTGGATCCGATCATTAAAATCCTCCATCGACCGTCGCTGGGGAAGTGGATGATACAAGGAGAGAGATATCTGGACTATCCCGAAGAACATCCAGCGGTCAATGCTTTGGCCTCGGCCGTGTTTTACTCGGCCGCCAACAGCATGACGGAGAACCAGTGTCAATCGATATTCCATACCAGCAAATCCAGTTTCGTAATGGCCTATCGAGGAAGATGTGAGGTCGCAGTCGAGAAATCGGGTCTATTGACTACTCGCGATATAACTACTCTGAAGGCGTTCATTTTATACCTTGTAAGCACTCTTTCTTTTTTCTTTCTTTAATAGCCCTAATACATAACGTGATCTCACCGCGACAAATTCCAGACCAGCAGAAGCTCCGAAGATAAAAGTGTGGCTATTTGGACACTAGTCGCACTCGCAGTCAGGATAGCAAAGGCCCTCAACTTGCACCAGGACCAGGGCGAGAACTTCTTCGAACAGCAGATGCGAAAGCGACTCTGGCTGACCATTTGCCTGATCGATCTTCAGGCATCTTTTGCCCAATCGTCCGAACCACTCATCAGTCATAAGGAGGTGGAATCCGCTCTAATTCATATCTGACATATTAATGACTCCGATATGAATCCATCCACGACTGATTCTATAGCTGACCGTGAAGGGCTCACTGATACCACATTTGCCCTTATCACGTACCATGTACAAGTCGCTGGGCGTCTGCTGAACTTTCCAGATGTCGAACCAACATTTTGTAACAGCAATGGTAGCCATGGTGGTAGCAGCAGCAGCAGCGTGACATCAGTCTCATCTGTCACGATAATGAACGACCAGAAAGCCCGGAAGCAGCACGTCCGACGATTCAAACAAGAAGCACTCGAACTTCTAGGTTTCTGTGGTCCTGAATCCTCACCATACGCCTGGTTTACATGGCATGGCACACAATGTCTGCTCGCCGCGGTGCGTCTCTCCGAACTACGTCCATTGTCTCGCTCAGTGATGGGAAACCAGGCCCCACCTCTCCCATCCGGAGTTGAAGCAGGAGACACGGAGCTGCTCCGCCAGGCATTGCACAACCTCGAAAAGGCACAACTGATCTGCAACGATCCACGGGGTGAGGGCTTTCGCTGGTATATCACCATCCCACGAGCCGCCCTTGTCGCCAGCGTTGCCGAGTGCTATCTGTGTACCGACAAGGTTCTCCTTCGACGCGCTTGGCCGGTTATTGAGGCTTCGTATCGGCATCACGAGGCTGTTTTACGACAGAGCGGTGAAGCGGTGCAGGGCTCTTTACCACAGATGATGCGCCAGACCCGTGAGAAGCTAGCTCCGCTTCTGCATGGAGATCATCCTATCAATGGGATTCAGAGTCTTGGTATGGCTGGCAATGGTAGTAGCAACAGCTCGACCACCCAGAGTTTGCATCCCACAGAAGCCCCCCTACGAAGGCCCAATACAGCTCCTCCCTCCAAAGAGACTGCAATTGATGCGACGGGCTCCGATATGACCTTTGAGGCAGGCTTTGCGGCGGCGACATCAACTCAGCTACCTCCGCGGCAGACGTGGGATTCGACCTCCTTCTTAACGAAGGGCCAGCCTATGTTGACTGCTCCTCCACTACCTACCACCACTGCAGGCTGGTGTCATCCGCTCTCTTCGTCGGACGTGCTAGGGCCCTCTTGGACGATGGGGCAAGAGGAGGAGGATATGGGGTGTTTTTAGTTTCTGCTCTGTTCCTTTTCTTCTCTCTTTCTCTCTCTTCAGGAGAGTACTCTATTTTACGTTAGAATTTATTGCGCATAATATATACACCATTCGTTGCTCGCTTACACCCGCTTTCGATATGAATCCTAAATTGTAGGAGTAGCTCTCCTCGGAACTCGGATAGCTCTAATCAGATAAAACTGCACTCTCCTCTCTTCATGATGTAGGTACATCCTCTAAATCTCTCTAAAGTTTGAGTGTTTGATTATGAAATTCCAACTCCATGTCCTAGGAGTGAGTGACTCCTCTAACAAAACAAATATAACATGAGTTGTTTCACTTACTCCTCTTGTAAATCTTCTTCAAAAACTCCTCAAAAACATTCTTCTTCAACCCCTGACTCTCATCCACTTCTTCGATCCTCGACCTAATCTCCACCACTTTCCTCTCATCGTATTCTAAATACGCCCTCTCCAACCCCATCTGGTCATAAAGTTCCTTGATCTTCGTCACATACTCTTCAACTTTACTGTGCTTGCGACCGTAATTCTCCTCCAGAACCTTCCTCTGCTCAGGTGTACATCTCTTCAAAGCCTGATTCACAAGCCAGGAACACTTATTATCCTGGATATCTGTCCCGATTTTACCCAATACCATCGGGTCGGCGAAATTGTCCAGGTAGTCGTCCTGGATTTGAAAATATTCGCCCATGGAGGTGAGGATGTCCTTAGCTTGTGAGAGATTAAGTGGTGTTGCCCGACTGGTGTATAATAAGGACAGAGCGACAGACAGGTAGAAGCTGTAATAGGATGTCTTGTAGGTCATAATCTGGGTGTATCTCTCGAGATTAAAATTATCTAGGTTGACTTGGTCTGATGGTACGGTGAGCATATCGCAGCATTGGCCCAGTTCAACCTGAAGAGTTACTTCGTGGATTAATTCTAACATATCGATCTAACAAACGCAGACGAACAGTTAGAAGAAAAGTCTATTAGCAATAGAGAATTTAGTGTATAGTTCACATATGCAGGATGATTCCGAAAATATTTCCTCAAAAGCACATAAATCGCACTCTCCAACATCGGCCCATCATTCACAGCAGTCATGCCCACCTCGGGCATCCGATACCAACATGGCTGCCCCCTTCGAGTCTCCGAGACGTCCATAATATCATCCAGTACGAGCATCATTCCTTGCAGTAGCTCGATCATCCATCCCAGTGTCGCGCTTTGGAAGTATTCTTCTTTCGTCAGGTCGCGACCTAGGAGGAGCTGTATGGTGTCGATTACGGAGAGACCGCGGTTGCATTTTCCACCCATAGTATTATGGACGAGGGACTAATTGTCTCGTTGGTATTTGATATATATAGAGAGAGAGAGACAATGCCTACCTTTTCGAACCATTGCCATACTTCGATGGGAAGTTGGTACTGCTCACAACATTGCTTTCGGAGGTCTTCCACCAGTGCAGGGAAGACAGCCTCAAATTTTTTCAGGGAAGCAGGCATTTCTGATTCTGAGACGGACTGTTTTGTTTTTCAGGAAGATTTTGATTTTCGATCCTTTTGTAGGGTCCTGATATTTTTATACAGAGGATTCGTGCATAGAGCGAACAGCCACAATTCAGCTATAGTGAAGTCAGTAGACAATAGATGGATGAAACCTTCCTGAGAAACCTTATATGAATGGTTTAATTTATAGTGGGAATGAGTCACAGATAGGCAGAGAAAATAATGTAAAATCCGGTCAGGGGTCTGAGGTATCGTATATCTGCCCGTTGTGGCATGCACCGGGTTTTAACGATTCTTGCTGCAGCATTTTCGTTTGTAGCGTTTCGTGACTTAAGCAAACCCAGTTAGATCCTAGATATTATTGGATAGGAGATGCGAATATACAATGACACCAAGTCTCCGTCGCTACTTTAAATATACATATCAATGCTGACAATACATTGAAGAAAGAGATGTGGTTTGAGACAGACTAAGCCTAAATCTAATCAGCGATATGATTGATCCCAAAACGTCCAATCCGCAGACCCAAGATTAAAATTATTCTCCCCAAAATCCAATTTGGCTCCATCCAAACTCGCAAAAATATCTTCCAGCGAGGGGGACAAGCTCTCTTCTGTCACTGCATCGTTCGTGATATTGTCATCGTTGTCGTCGTTGCCGTTAGGGTTGCTGGTATTGTTGTAATCGGCACTCCCTTTTATCTTCGGTTTCGTCTCACGGTACAAGGAGCGCAGCGTCGTGATGAAGGCCGGCTCAGCGGGGCAATCATAATCGCTGGGTGAATTTGCTGCCCAAGCCTTAAGCGTTAATTTCCCCACGGCGATGTGAAGAGCTCCCCCTTTTCTCGCCTCGAGAATTTCCGGATGATTAGAATAGATTTCTCCCATCTTCCTCCAAGTGGTATCCAGTTCGGCACTAGATAGAAATCCAACCTTGGCCAGACTGGTCAGCATACACAAGAGTGCATCCCAGAGGAAGAAGGCCTTGATTTGCCATTGAAAATTTTTCATATTGGGGTTACTGCAGAGAACGATGTCGGTATCTAGAATCGTCTGCGCTAGATGAAAGAGCTCTCTCCTTTCCCGATCATCGATGTTGGCCCGCTTCTTCATTCGATTGCGCAGTCGCACCGCATTGGCCGCCGACCTAGCGATCCCCAGCGTCAGGAAGTGGAGTGGGTTCACTATATCACAGTATCGCAGATACTTGGCTTCGATGATCCCCAGGACCCGGTCTATGGCACTCTCCAGTTCCGTACTGGCGCGGAATTGAATCGAGGCGCCGACTTCCTTCATCCGCACACCTGTTCGTGTGTAGAAATTGGACATTTCCGTCCTCGTCAGACAGAAGATCATCTCCGAAGCACCTTCCTGCTCAAAAGGCTGCTGTGTCATGCCGGGATAGATCTGGTCATCGTTGATATTCAACGGCTGTTTGGTATCCCAACTATCTGGGGCCAAGGCAATCCCCGTGCCTGAAACCTGGCCCGCGTAGCCTTCCAAGGGGAGAAGCTGCCAGAAGAGCCGACGCCGAATCTCAACATCAAAAGGGGGCAAACCAAGACTCTCACCGTCGCGATGAAGCCCCATGCGCTGCGCAATCCGGACTGCAACGCCCGTCAAAATCCAAAACGTATGCGGATCCATTTGCGTGCGCATCGCAACCAGAAAAAGGACAAGGGCCTGCAGAACCGGCATTTCAGTAGTCTTCAGCCACGATGCATTGACCAGTGCCTGTTGAAATGCATTTCGATAAAGCAACATCAGCGGCGTGCGTGACTGACTGAATTCCTGCACGCAGTCCTCGTCTGTCATGGAGAACACTGCGGAATGGTAGATGGCAAAGAGCAGACACTCATTTGCTTTGGAGGCTGTGGCCGGTTGCTGGGAGGCGATCTCTACCATGTTGGTGGTCGTAGGGATATGCAGTATTTTGCAAAGAGGTTCAACGTTGTGAACATGTACCGTCCAGAGCTTCATCGCATCCACGTGACTGGGATAATATTGGCCCAAACTCTGCAAACCCCCCCAGCAGCGCACCCGAGATCGGATCTTCAGTCAGTGAGCCGGGCCCGATCGCTGTTGGATCGTGTTCTTCCTCTTCTTCCTCGTGTTCAGAGATTTCCCGCATGTCGACTTCTTCCGCATCGAGCCAGAGGCTGCTGTCAATATACCGCGATTTGCCATCCCCGGACAGCAGTTTTCCGGTCGTCCCCGCGTCGGATTGATTGCTATTGCTAGCCTGGAGAGGGAGATGGCTGAGTTCCGGCGTGCTCTGGAGGCTCTTTTTGGCGATGATGTCGATATTGTTGTTGTTGCGGTAGGAAGAAGGCCCTGCCGCCATCGTTGCATCTGCTGGAGTCAAAATGCCATGTTCCTGAAACATCTGTTCGCATCGCGCCAAGCGCTTATGCTCATCCATGTCAACGCGCTTTCGTTTGCACGCTCGCGCCGCCGGTGGCTGGTAGATGCATTCTAACTTGGCTTTACCACAGCTCAAGCATGCTGGAACGCTTCTGTCGCATTTGACTTTTCGGCGTACGCAGGGTTGGCAGGTGAATGGCATGACACTAGGAGGGGCCGAGTCAATTCTACTCTGGCTTGGTGCTGGAGCAATTATCACAGGCCGATCATGCATGGCGGGTTTCTGATTTGGACACCATATATGTAATTTGTTTTCTTTTTGTCTCTTTTGTGCTGCTTCCTTGCATCTTCATAGTTGGGAGATGATCATTGAATGGTGAATGAGTCGTCGCCACGCGTCGTCAGTCGTTGCAAGGTCGGGGGCTCACGTCCCACGTGCTACGCCATAGATGCCCCACTCACCGAAAGGCGCATGTACATACATATTGTATTGTAAGGGGGAAATCGCCTACTGGCGAGGTCTCTGATTGGGTGGAAGGAAGCTGGTGTACATTCATTTGGGATATAGTCTCTATCTGCTAAATATAGCTGCGGGCTTCCCCAGTTCAGTATTTAGTTATATACTACGAGAACTCGGAAAGCTTCGACTGTTGGGAGTAAGAGGACATTCGAGTAGAGCCATGTCTAGTATGAATATTACATCTTTTTCGTGTACTGGGACCCTGTTAAAACAGTGATGACGGCCCCGGTCGGTTGAAAGCCAGTGCCCATCACCAAGGAGGCTTAACCCGGTAAATCCCCCTCCTTTCCCTCCTGCTCGGCTTTTAACCAGTCCTTCATGCATGACTAGTACTTCGAAGCTGGTCGTGGAGTTTGGCAGGCGGCTTTTTTTATAGAGATCACCATAAGAGGAATAAATGATCTGTTCCTCCCCTGCAGATGGTCCTCTCTCATCGCCTACACATCCTTCGTCGTCCACTATTTTCATCACCGTCAGCAGTGAATGGAGAAGGGAAAAGAGGCCTCATTAGACACACATGGCTCCCATCTTGATCATCGGAGCAGGCCTTTCAGGGGTCACCACCGCCCGAATACTCACCAACAGCGGCATTCCGAACATCGTATTCGAGGCATCTGCTCCAGACCGCAGCCAGGGATTTGCTATTAGTCTGCGTGACTGGGGCTATTCAGCACTGCTGGATGGACTGGGAGGCCTCCCTCTCCGCAGTCTAATAAAAGCAGTTGCTCCCGACCGCTACATCGGGGTGGAAATGGCTGGATCGATCAGGCATTGCGTGATAATTCTACCGGTGAGGTATTGGTCGCGCCCAGCCCGGCGAGCAAGCAGACGATCGTGCGCGCCAATCGCAATGCGCTGCGGGCTTGGATTACGGACTGTGGGGAGGAGGAACTGGATGTTAGGTACGGACACAAGCTCAAAAGTATTCAGGGGACGGCGGGGGATATGACTGCCGTGTTCGAGAATGGGGCCCGCCACCACGGCGTTCTGGTGGTGGCAGCTGATGGTGTGCACTCCACCGGTATGTATAGTCTGACTGTAATCCTCCAGGTCCATCCGACTGCTAGTATTTTACTTAAGCTGAGTTATACAGTTCGGTCCCTGATTCTCCCACACCTTGTCCCAGAAGTTGTTCCCGTAGTGGTATATCACGGCAAATTCCAGCTCACCCGCGAGGATTTCAACTCTCTCATCAAGCCCCTCATCGGCGACTCAAATATTCTCGCCGGCGTGGGCGATGGCTTCAACACCCCCATCACTATCTGCAACATCACCAAGACGCACGTGCACCTCGACTGGTCCTACTCACGACCTGCCTCTGGCGAAAACGACCCGCTACTCCGAGCCAACGCGTCGATAGAAGAGGCGAAGGAAATTTCTCGGGCTCTGCTGGACGAACTAGCAATGCGGAAATTGGCGGATCCCTGGGGGGCAATTCCTAAATCCCGAGGCTATCCAGACGCACTCAGTCTTCCACTGGATTAGCCGGTGTGTCTCTATGGCCATCGACGATACCCAGCGGGGTACCAAGCAGGGAGTTGTCTTTGTCGGAGATTCCTGGCACGCAATGCCCATTTTTGGAGGTGAGGGCGGAAACCACGCCCTCGTGGATGGCGTCGAGCTTGCTGCCGTGCTTGGTGAAAACCTTGGAGATTTGAACAAGGCTGTCTCGAATTATTATGACGGTGCGTGGAAACGGTGCCAGGAGGCAGTCAGGAGGTCAAGAGGGCGATTCTATGTGTTACACAGACCCATAGCTGAGTGGCAGGAAATTGCACAGAGAAGAAACGGAGAGCCAATGACTGGGGTTTGAGATGGGGTGTATTTACATTATACAGCATGTTTGGCAATGGATTTGGGCTTCTTTTCACTGCAGCAATCCCATATTTGCCAACTTGCCACGTTCAATGAACTTCCAACATATCGACATGTATAACTTAGCCAAGTATATACATCCACGAGAGTGATTAAGACGGAGAACTGACATTATGGGCTATGGAATTCTTCTCTAGAAAAGAGGTAAACGGGTTCATGTACGGCTAAGGTATTGACCTCGTGAAAATGCAGAGAATGTGCAAGACAGACTTGGAACGTGCAAGACAGACAACGTGCAAGACAGACAACCAAGGCAAAAAGGTGCAAGAGAAAACGTGCAACCTTGGAAAGACAGCAAAATAACAGATCCTATCAAATAATTCACAGAGGTCTAGGTTCTCATCCATCTCAGTCGGAATCTGGCTGCACTTCACGGACCGACAACCCAAACCACTTCCTCTTCATCGGCTCCCCCGGTTCAAACCCAACTTTTCGATCCTCGGCTAGTTTCCACAAGACCTGGGTCAGAAAGGGCGCAAAAGCCTTCTCGACGAAATCGACCGGTACATCGCCATAGATAGACTGGACGATCTCTGCCAACGTCATACCACCGCCCTTGCCCTTTCCTACTACCTGCGGCACACTCACTGAGGACTCAACAATCCTATTCTGTGATAGCGTCGAGAATACCTGCTGAATTCGAAACTCCTTGTGTGTAATGTACTCCTGCATCTTAGCCGACATATCTTCGATTTTGGCTCCGTGCGCTGGGTAGCCTGTTGTACAGCGCAGCGCAGCCATCCGCACCAGACTCTTCATGTACATTGCAAGGTCCTGGATGACCGAGTATCCATGACCAAGCACGTTGTCGCCCGTGAACAGCGCATTCTCCTCCTCCAGGACGAAGCACATATGGTCCACCGCGTGACCAGGCGTGAATATAGCTCGCAAGGTGGCGCCCTCGATGGCGAAAACCTGTCCATCAACGAGGCCATTTTGGCCGCGATCGGGTTGGTTTTTGTACACTCTCGAAGCCAGTTCCGTGTTGTAGGCGACGAGGTCAGCGACACCGCCGGTGTGGTCTCCATGCCAGTGCGTCAGCAGAATGTGTGAGATCTCAAGCTGATGGTCCCGAACAAGTTGCACCACTCTTTCAATCCAGCATGGCAGACCCTGGAAAACGAAGGTAGTCAGAACAGATTGGATAGTATAAGTTCGAAAAGAAATACAAAAGGTCCCCAACCTACCTCGCCGGTATCAATAATAATCCTAGATCTACCGGTCCCTACAAGATAGGTATTGGTACCTTGTAACTGCGTGAGACCCGGATTCCCTCCCATTACGCGCACAACTCGATCGGTTATGTGTTCAATGTCATTTAGAGGAGGTAACTGGGCTTCTTGACCGGCAAGGTATTCATACCATACAGACTGGTCGAAGGGAATTCTCATCGCCATTGTGTGGTCGGATGGGTAATTGGAGATTGCATACAACAGAGCGAGTGGATGGCTCTTAAGAGACACAATACAGAGTCGGGGACTCCGCAGAACGTTTTCTTCTTTCTCTTCCCCTAAAGGATCCTGCCTTTTACGGGGGTAATGGGTCTCGGAAATTAACCCGTATCCGGATTTTGACCATACACTATACGCAAGTTTATACTTGCAATCCATAAACCCCGAAACTATGGCCGACTCCGTGTTCGGTTGTAAAAGGTATGGTAACAGGTATGGTGGCAGGTCCGTTCAGACTGAGACTATAGGTAGAAGCTCTCATCCCCTCGTGCTTGTACCTTTCAAAGAAACAACGCAACCTCATTCCTATCGATCCCTGGAAGCATATCAAACAATGACCGAATCAACCTCCACCATCATCCTCAACAAAGAAGACATAGCCGCAGAAGTCGTCTACAAACCCTGGGACCTCTTCGTCTACGAGATCTGGGTCCTGGGCATTGTCAGCACCTGGGCCTGGGGCTGCGCCACCGACGAGTACCTCCTCCCTCAATTCCGATCCAACGTGGGTAAGAACCACCTCGACATCGGGACTGGAACCGGCTACTACCTCCGCAGGGGCCAGATTCCAGCCTCAACCCAACTCACCCTATTAGACAAGGAACAGCCTGCGCTGGAAGTGGGTCTCAAACGGTGTGGCCGATCGGATGCCCAAGGAGTGATCGCGGACATTCTACATCCGCTGCCTTTGCCGGAGAAAAAGTTTGATTCGGTCTCTCTGTACTACCTTCTACATTGTATTCCAGCTACGGTGGAGGAGAAGTGTGCGATTTTCGCGAATATCAAGCGTAACATGACCCCCGATGGTGTTATCCATGGTGCCAATGTGTTGGGTAAAGGGATCAGAAAGGATAGTTCGTTCGCGGCTTATATTCGACGGGGTGTTCTGAGAGCCGGGATCTTCCATAATCTGGATGACAACGCCTATGATTTTGAGCATGCGTTGAGGCAAAACTTTGAAGAGGTTGAAGCAGCGGTTGTTGGGTCCGTCTTCATGTTTCGTGCTGCAAAGCCGAAGTACGATTTATAGGATTGAGTTATATGTATATGAATTTCCAACCAGCGAAGAACCGACAAAGGAGGGCTTCTATGCTAATTCTTGTGCAGGGAATCACTGATAGAAGCACAGGAAGATAAAGAATACAGCTCTTGATTTGCAGAAGTTGCGAAAGGGAGTAGGTCGCGCCAATTAATAGGGGGATCAGCTAGATTTCTCAGCGTGTCAAATATGTATAAGGTGGCCTTTTATCGTTAGCTGTTTTGATTTTCATCCTAGGCTCCTACATAGTGAACTAGATCTACTATACATAAACTAGTCGTATTCTGGAGCCTATATAACAGAGAATTACGTACTGTATCTTGTGATTATACAAATTACGGCACAGTTATGCTTAGGGCTACAGTTACAAATTCCGGGGTCAGCGTTGATCTATATATGGCTGTTTTTACGAGATTGGTTTAAACATAAACTCGAGTCACACTCGTTGCTGTAAGCAATCAAGCATACTTGAATGTTACTCCATGAATATGGACTCCTTCAACTACGTGCTTCTTCCTCCGGAGCACTGTCTCTAATCTGTACTTGAAAGGGGATTTAGACAGAAGAAGAGAATTCTGCGTGGCTTCGGCATCGCTAATGATTGGACCCGGAAAATACTGTAGGAACCACCTCCGATTGGCTCCAGTGAGCATTGAGGAAAGGGCTGCGACTCGGGCCCGAATCCTTTTCAGCCCCTCCGATTGGCTCCGAGTTTGACCTATAGCGAAATTCGACTCTTGACAGGGTAATAAATTGGAATAAATAGAAAAGAAAGCCCCGAGGAAGGAAACAGGAGAGAAAGAAAGCGCGAAGAAAACAGGTCAGAACGAACCAATCCATTACACAGGAAACCTGTCCATCATGAGCAAATCAGAATACGTTCCCTCCCAGTCGGAGGCCCATTCATCCACATATTCGAAAGAGCGAGACCTCGAGACGGGCACACTTACGCAGCGTGATACAGATTCTGCAAGCATCATCTCCAGAGATCTCAACCTTGTTACATGGGATGGGCCAGACGACCCCGAAAACCCCAAAAATTGGCCGTCAAACGTCAAATGGCACTACACCTTGGCCGTCTCGGTCTTCACCTTCATCTCCCCAGTCTCATCAGCCATGGTCGCCCCGGCGCTGGACAAGCTTGGAAAGGACCTCCACATGACGAGCAAGATCGAAATCGACCTGGCGCTTTCGATCTTTGTGCTAGCCTACGCGATTGGTCCTTTGGTCTTTGGCCCTGCCTCCGAGGTGTATGGTCGCGTGCGCCTCTTTCAGTTCAGCAATCTATGGTATCTGGCGTGGAACCTTGGCTGTGGCTTTGCGCAGACACCGGCCGAGTTTTTTGTCTTCCGCTTTCTTGCTGGTCTCGGTGGAAGCGCTCCGTTGGCCCTGGGTGGTGGAGCGATCAGGTAAGACAGACAACGAAATCAAGAACTTACCCTTTCCTTGAGCTAATCCCGTCCTCGTCCAGTGATGTTTGGCATGCAGAGCATCGCGGAAAAGCCATGGGTATCTACACCTTAGCGCCAATCTTGGGTCCAGTTATTGGACCGATTGCCGGGGGCTTCATTGCCCAATATAGCACATGGCGCTGGGTCTTCTGGTCCTCCAGCGCTTCGGCCGTTGCCATCCAGGTCGTCGGCTTGATCTGGCTACGCGAGTCCCACCCAGCCACCCTTCTGAAATGGAAGAGGAACCGTCTGGCCAAAGAGACCGGGAACGACCAACTGCACACGGGCGAAAAAGTCGAGACCCTCCTCCAGAAGATCCGAGGCGCCATGATTCGACCAGTCCGCATGATCACGACGCAACCCATCATCGCAGTCACCGCAGTATACATGGGCTACCTCTTTGGCATCTCGTATCTGATGGTGACCACCTTTCCAGATGTTTGGGCAGGCTGGTACGGCGAAAGCGAAGGGATTGCTGGACTCAACTACATCTCGATTGCCATCGGCTCCTTTGCGGGTCTCTTCCTCAACGTGCTGTACATTGACCGGATCTACCGAAATCTTAAGGCGAAGAATGGCAATGTGGGTTGCCCCGAATTCCGCATGCCCACCATGTTCATCGGGTCGTTCATCTTTACCGTTGGCCTCTTCTGGTACGGATGGAGCGTGCAGGGCCATGTGCATTGGATTATGCCCAATATTGGCGTGGTGATCTTCGCTGCCGGCACCATGGGATGTCTGCAGGGGATGCAGATGTATATTGTCGATTGCTACACCACTTACGCAGCCAGTGCCATGTCCGCTTGTGCTCTCCTTCGCAGCCTAGCTGGCTTTGGGTTTCCCCTTTTCGCTCCTTATTTATACTCAGACTTGGGCTATGGATGGGGGACCAGTGTATTGGCCTTTATCAGTATCGCAATTGGTATCCCGGCTCCAATTATCTTCTGGAAGTATGGAGCTCAGCTTCGTGCTATGTCAACATATGCCAGTGGTTGAGTGTGGTTGCGAGTTGGCTGGCTGATGGAGGTGTCTGGCAAGAAATCTACATTCTCGTTCGATTAAGAGGCACTGTCTGATATATTTTGGTTGATATAAACTATTTCGCATGCCTTTTTTATAGACTGGCACGATATCTATGTAGAGGATATGATTGTTTCTGTAATAATTCTGCACAAGCAATAACAAAACACTGCTCTTTATTAAGTCCCATTCTCTATCATCCCTTCAATGTGAGTAAATACGCCACCAAAACACAATATATAAACACCCCTTGAGCTCCTATGGTAAGCTTTTATGGATTCTTATTGTAGTAGGGACCACGTGAGAGGATTGATTGGATGATATTTTGGGAGGTTAGTCTCGGAAATTGACCACTACCCTTTAGGGGCTAAAATCCGCAAAAGCCACAAGGAGTGCTCTTAGTGCTTTTTTGGATGTGAACTCAAGTCTGCGTATTATTTCTTATTCAGGTTTTACCTCCTTGCCTATAGAAGTAAAGTCTGTACAAACGCCTTTCTTATAGAATGTCTCAAAACCCAGGGAGCTCGTCTTGAGTGCATCGAAAGAAAAAGAAAGGAAGAAAAAAGTGCTTTCCCACATTTTACTCTACCCGTCTTACCACACCATACAATAGCTTCTACTACCTGGTCTATCTCTATTCCATACCCTCCCAGCTAAATATTATGTTCCTTGCACTGTTATACGGAGTTACCATGCTCCTTTTCCTTCTCCTATGGACCTTGTTACGCAATGCCCTCGAACCCGGTCTTGTTGACATCCCGGGCCCTTTTATCGCAAAGTTCACCGACCTCTGGCGTCTTTACAAGGTTTGGCAATGGAAATTCAAGGAAGATCTCCCTTCCTTGCATCAGAAATACAACTCAACTGTGATTCGTGTGGGGCCGAAGATGATCAGCTGTTCTGATCCAAAGGCTGTAGAGTTGATTTATGGATTTCACACTAAGTTTAAGAAGGTGAGAATCAGAAAAAGACGGAAGAAGGAAAACAATGGCAAAGAAGGAAATCTGGAATTTCTTTTCTGGCTCTCATTCGAGCAAAACACTGACAAAGAATTCTTATGATAGTCTGATATGGTCAAAGCCATGGCACCGGTGTATAAGGGCAAGAAACAGCCGATGATGTTTGCAGCGGCTGATAACAAAACCCATGCCCGAATTCGAAGACCGGTTGCTGGAGCCTATGCCATGACAAATATCATCTATGTAAGTATGTGTGGCAAAAAGGCTGCACTTTGCTTTCTTACCCTCCCTATATCGATCCGTAAAACTTTTGGGCTAATACTAGCAACTCAGCAGTTTGAGCCTTTTGTCGATGAAAACACGAAACTATTCTATGCCAAGATGGAGGAGCTTTTCATCCAGCCCAAGAAACCTTGTGATTTACACAATTGGGTGCAATACTGTGAGTACTTTTCCTTTTTTTCTTTCTCAGTTACTGACATCCAACTCCAGTTGCGTTTGATGTGGTCTTGCAGATGACCATGAGTCGTAATCTGGGCTTCTTAAAGGTAGGTGGAGATGTTGACGGTGTCTTGAAGCAACTACAGAAGGACTTGGATTACCGGGGAATCGTAAGTCAAAGAATGAATAATGATGGCGCATAATGGCCTTTGATGCTCCTTTTGACCGAATGGCTAATAAACACGACAATAGGCCCTGGCAATGCCTATTATTGATCGAATCTGTCGATTAAACCCAGTCAGCAGGTTTTTTAAGCCAAATCAATCCGCACAATTCGCCATACGCTGTCGACGTATTCTGAAGGATCGCCTTGATGAAGGAAAAACCAGCACAGATACAGGGAAGGAGAGCCATAGTCAAGGAAGACCGCATAATTTCGCGCACCGCTTCCTGGAGGCGCAACGAAAGGACCCCAGCATCTCTGATGGGCAATTGATCGGTTATGTTCAAGCAAACCTCGTCGCTGGCAGTGATACAACAGCCATTGTCCTACGCAGCGCTATCTACTATGCCCTCAAAAACCCGTGGATCCACAAGCGAATCATCGAGGAATTGGACTCAAAATACCAGGGTACATTCCCTGTCCCCTTCCGCGTGGCTCGGTTCGAGCTCCCATTCTGTGCGGCGGTTGTCCGTGAGGCTATGCGTATGCACTTCGCTTTCATTGGCATGATGGAACGGGAGACTCCGGCGGGGGGTGTGGAGTTGCCTGACGGGCGCAGACTTCCTGGCGGCGTGGTGATTGGGATGCACGGCGACCTCATCGGGCGCGACAAGGGCATCTTTGGTGACGATGCTGATGAGTTTAATCCTTGCCGTTGGCTGCAGCAGCCCAACGAGCAGAATGAGCAGTCTGAAGCCCGTCTTAAGGTGATGAATGCTCACGATCTTGCATTTGGACATGGCCCTTGTGGTTGCATTGGAAAAAATGTTGCGGAGATGGAAATCTACAAGTTTATCCCTACATTTTTTGGGCTTCTGGAGGCGAGTTTAGTTTCTTTCTATGCAAAACTTTTTAGTATCTCCCAGTTCGCACTGACACGTTTGTTAGCCACAATTCGTTCGCCCGGAAGAGCCTTGGAAAGTCCGCCAGCTTTTCCGTCTACAAGCAGTCGGGCATGGATATGTATCTGAACTGGAGAGAGGGGAAGAGCTTGCGGAGTCTCGAGAAATAGGCAGTGAGAATAGACTAGACGATAGCTGATCGTAATATACAATCCAAAAAGCCTGATTTCAAAATTCCGGTAGCTGTTTATTGTATCATTATTTGACTGGGTGGCGCAATTATATGCAGTAGAGTAGAGGGGCCAAGAGAGATATTATACAGTTCCTTTAGCTGTTATACTCCATAGTATCACCCCTTTCCAGCATAGATATTATCAGATTACATTTATCTTAGAAGAACCTAAGGATGGTATAGCAGTTATACCCGTCTCCATAGTTAGGGTAGTGTAGAAGGCATTGGAATGACTGTATAGATCGATTCGATTAAACAGTGGGAAAAAAATGGCGAGACAATTGATTATGGGTTTAAATACAAAAACAACGAAACTCTTGATTATTCCCAGAAGCCCCGTCAGGACACAGTAACTACCGCGATAATGGGAAACCTTACCATACCCTCTGCTACAACCTTGGAATATCTAGCCACTGCACTGATTGGGGAAGTCTGGCTTTAACCCCCGTACCCCTGCTATTCCGCTTCATGGGTGGATCCGGCGCACACTAGCGCTCAGTTTCCGAAACCCTCAATCTAGATCGGGCTTTGACGATTGGGTTCTAGCCATTAAACCCGATCTTGCTTTTAGACCAAATAGAGGCCGAAGCAGTCTAGTTTTCCAGAACCCGGCTTGCCTTAACCCGGAAACACGCATGGCTTGAAGTAAATACGGTTTATTTTCATCCCTTTATAGCATCGATGATTTCACCCTTCCACTCAACTCTTCTCCCCCGTAGCAGATATACACAGTCTCTTCGCAAAACATGGATCGCACCGTTTTCACAGAGATATGCCAACGTCTCCCTTCATCGCCTCTATTCCTTCTGGTTTCTGCTTTGGCTCTGTACTTCTTTGGAGAAGCCATTTACAATCTTTACTGGCATCCTCTTGCCAAAGTGCCGGGGCCGTTCACCTGCCGCATCAGCAAGCTACCATAGGTATGTGTATGACCTAACTCTTCTCCTCCAGAATAGTTTCTGATGACTGAACTGATATGTAACTAGGATTACTGGCAATGGATCGGTCGCCTTCCACAGCATACCGCTAAGGTTCACGCCAAATATGGCGACATTGTCCGCTTGGCCCCCAATGAACTTAGCTTCGCCAACCCTCAAGCCTGGACCGATATTTACGCCAAACTGCCTGGAAAAGAGCAATGGCCGAGGAACCCACGCAGGGTACCTCAGGGTAAGAATGGGCTCAAGAGTATGATGAATACCGCCGGCAGTGACCATGCCCGATTTCGTCGATTGCTCAATCACGCCTTCTCGGAGAAAGGACTCCAGAAGCAGCAGGGGTTGATCACCAAGTACATTGATCTATTCATTAAGCGTGTCGATGAGTTTGCGCAGACCGGTGAACCGGTGGACCTCACTAAGTGGTATTAACAAGACCCCGACACCGCATGCATATCGAAATCAGTTCAACTAACTTTTCGTAGGTTCGGCATGGTGGGCTTCGACATCATCAGCGACTTAGGCTGGAGTGAAACTTTCAACTGTGTCAAAAGAGGAGAGCCACATAGCTGGGTAGACAGCCACAACTCCCCTCGGTTGTTTTCGACCAGGACCCGCTTGCTGACCTTTGTATATTTTCTACTCTTTCCAGATGAAAACCTTTGTCGGTACAGCATTCGATACGCAACTGAAATTCCTCTTCCGCGAACACGGCTTACTTTGGCTCGCTCCATTCTTAATTCCAATGCGCCTCCAGCTCAGCCGGTTCGAGAACTTCAAATACGCCCGCCAAAGAGTCGAAGACCGAATTCAAAATGGCGGCATCCGCGGCGATTTCTGGGACCGCATCGCAATCAAGAGCGCCGACGACAATGCCAGTGGAGAGGGCCTAACCAAGGAAGAAATGATCGTGGCAGCCGTGACTCTTGTGGGGACTGGTTCAGAGACCATCTCCACCGTGCTGGCGGGTCTGGTGTACTTCCTGGGCACTAATCATTACGCCATGAAGAAGTTGGTGCAGGAGATTCGAACTTCCTTTGCCTCCCCTGCCGAGATCAATCTTGTCTCTGTCCATAAGTTGACGTATCTCACGGCTTGCTTGAACGAGACGATGCGTTTGTATCCCCCCCGTTGTGACGATGCTTTGGCGTGTTCCGCCAAAGGGAGGAACCACAGCGTGTGGCCTCTTCATCCCAGAAGGAGTAAGTACAGGGAACGGCTATGCCCAGTAGAAGATTGAGTTATTAACACCTACTACTACAGACTGCGGTCAACATGTCATTTGGCGGAATTGCCCAAAATCCCGCCTACTTCCATCGACCTGGCGAATACTGTCCTGAGCGTTTCATGCCGAACCCCCCCGGCTGAGTTCGCCCATGACAACAAAGCGGCTTTCCATCCGTTCAGCATGGGCGCTTTCAACGTAAGGATATCCAAGTTACTTTTCTCATCGATAGGCACGAAGAACGTGCTAACATATATAGTGTCTTGGCCAAAACCTGGCCCAAGCGGAGGCACGTCTGATCATGGCAAAGTTATTATGGCACTATGACCTCGAGCATGGTCAAAAGACACCGGTTGATTGGCTTGATCAGAAGTCCTTTGCGGTCTTCAGCAAGAAAGAGCTCTATGTGAGGTTTACCCGAGGCCAAAACTTGCCTCCCAACTAGGTATTTCTTCCACGAGCTATTTCTTCGACAGCGAATCGCTCAAGGGCAGAGGAACGAGGTTGGTTGGAGACTGTCGCTATGAAAAGCCGAGCAGACGGCAGTGTTCGACGGGTAGAAGTGATGGCGTAGAAGAGCTCAGGTGATTGCTTCGTTCAAGTCGTGTAGCCTGCTAGGTTAACGTAACCCGTAAGCGAGCGGGTCATGTAAGCGGGCGGGTCACCCACCAAATTTCCGACCGCGAAACACAACTCGCGATCTTCAACCAGCAACCATGCCACCCAAGCGCACTATTTCGGCCGAAAAATCAGCAAATCAAGAGGGCAGGGTATTACTTGCTATTGAGGCTTTGAAAAACGACGAGATCCCCTCTATACGCGAAGCGGCACGTCGATTTGATATACCTCTTACTACGCTACAACGACGCCTAGCAGGCCACCTACCTCGGTCTACTACACGCGCAAATAGTCATAAATTGACCCAATTAGAAGAGGATTCGCTCCGTAAATGGATACTCTCTATGGATACGCGGGGTGCAGCACCTACACAGCCTATGGTGCGAGAGATGGCAAATCTATTGCTTGCAAAGCGTGGAGAGACCACCCTACAGACAGTTGGGACCAAATGGGTATATAACTATATCCAACGCACACCTGAGCTTGCTACACGTCTATCACGTCGATATGAATATAAGCGTGCTTTGTGTGAAGATCCAGCTACTATAACGGAGTGGTTTAACCGTGTACAGCAAGCTATTCTCACATATGGTATCCTTAATGAGGATATTTATAACTTTGATGAGACTGGCTTTGCTATGGGTATGACAAGTACATCCCATGTTGTTACACGTGCTGAGTACTATGGAAGAAGACGCCTTCTTACATCAGGAAATCGTGAGTGGGTTACTGCTATTGAGACAATCAACAGTCGGGGATGGGCACTGCCACCATATATCATCTTTAAAGCAAAGATGTTTAACCAAGCCTGGTTTTCGGCCGAAGCCCTACCATCTGATTGGCAATTAGATGTTAGTGATAATGGCTGGACTACCAATCAACTCACATTAAACTGGCTCCAGAATCACTTTTTACCGCTTACAAATAAGCGTGTAGTAGGGAAGTGGCGGCTTTTGATTATGGATGGTCATGGTAGCCACTTGACACCTGAATTTGATCAAATATGCGAGGAAAACCATGTTTTACCATTATGCATGCCAGCCCATTCTTCCCATCTTCTTCAACCTCTTGATGTTGGGTGTTTTGGTGTGATAAAGCATACCTATGGGCAGGCTATCCAGCAGAAGCTTCGATATGGCACACACCACATTGATAAGCTTGATTTTCTTGCTATATACCTATCTATCCGGGACCAAGCTTATAAGCCAGCTACAATTTCAAATAGCTTCTTAGCAGCTGGCTTAGTTCCGCTTAGCTCGCAGCAGGTGCTTGAGAAGCTTGATATAAAGCTACGTACACCTACACCACCCCCTAGTAGTGGAAGCAGCAACTTTACCCCCCCCATACACCATATAAGCCTACCGATATCCGACGACAGGCTTCATCAATTAAAAGGCTATTAAAGCAACGGTCATATACACCTCCCAGCCCAGCTAAAGAAGCGCTTGAGCAGCTGATTAAGGGATGTGAGATTGCTATGCATAACGGCGCATTTCTCGCTCATGAAATTGAGCAATTACGCGCTGGGAATGGGCGGCAGGCACGTAAGCGTACCCTACCTAATAGGCAGATGGCTAATAAGGGCGGAATGACTGTGAGCGAGGCAAGCCAGCGTATACAGAAGGAGGATGATATAGTAGAAGCAGAGCGGGTGGTAGATGCAGAGCGGCGGGAAGCTCGAAAAAACGGCTACTGGGAGAGCGTTGCCAAAGTGTACGAATTGTGGAAATATCGGACATAAAAGAAACACTTGTACTAATTAGGATAGATGTTATTTTGATTATTTATTTTTGTTGCTGCTTGAATAATAGTATAAAATATATATGGGTGGTAGGTAGCTGACCCGCCCGCTTACATGACCCGCTCGCTTACGGGTTACGTTATCCAAAAGCCTAAAGGCCGTAAGGGAAATACCCAAAAATACAACGCCAAAATGCATAATTTATGCAGTAGCAAAGTCTGGGCATGTTTGCTCTGTTTGTGACCCAAATGGGTACCCATGGGTTGGGTCGGGTCCAAGGGAAAAACCCAAAACCCAGGCCTGGGTCTAAGATTTGGACCCAAACCCAACCCAATGGTGGGTTGGGTCGGGTTGGGTCTTGGGTCGGGTGGGTTTTGGAGAAGTCTAATCCTTCATCCACATCTACATCGACAACGACATCTTCCACCAGCTGCAGCTCTGAATCAACGGTTACCGACTACTGGGTCTCCTGTGATTCTACATCATGCTCAACCACAAGTACCGCTACGGTCACAGGATGCGATGTGACAGCATCTACGACAACAACGGGTCTCTACTGTAGGGCCACCACCTTCAGCGATATCTGGTCCGCTGATGATCAAGGTCAGAACGGCGCTCAATACTCCACTAGCAGCACGGCAACTGTTCCTGAGGAGGTTGTTGCAGCCGGTACCACCTATATTGCTGGTTCCGACGGGGCCGTCACACTCGGCAATGGCGATGACATTACTGTCCCTACCAGCGTCGCAGGTACAACTACCGTTACCCTTGGTACAGTTGTTGCTACAATTGACCCCGCCTAAGTGACTATCGTTGCGGTTGTTTACACCACAGAAATGGCCAGTACTTCAACCACATCTAAATCCACTACCTCTACGTCTAAGTCTGAGACTACAACATCCACGACTACCAAGAAGACTACTACCAGTACTACCACAACAGTCTCAATCCCGACTGCCACTGAGTTTTGTGCGAAGTATGTCATTCCAAACGAAGACACCTTATTAGACAAGTATGGTTCCAAGTACAATCAATTTATCTTCGCTATGTGGGGTATCCAGTGGCCGGAAGCAGACCATGTTGAAACCGATATTGAAGGCTTCTTGGCGAATTGTGGTGTGACAGCAGATACCCATGTTTCGGTTGACACTGCGGAATGGGTACAGTAGCAATGTGGAATAACGGCGAGGAGTACGTTCTCACCTCATGTGTCAAAGAAAGTATCAAGACTTTGGGTGGCGGTACACCCGACTGCGAGTGGATTTACGACACCTCAGAAGATGTGTCCTACAGTGCCAAGGACTCAGCAGAAGCCGAGATGACTTGGATTTATAACAACGACAAATCTGTGATCTCAGCGCCATATCCTCTGGCGACATGAGCAGTTTGATTTGAAATCTGATCTTATATTCTCAACAATCAGTCAAATTTCTCTTCCCAATCTTTTCTTTACATTTTTTCTCCCAAACCTTGAACTATTCCCTTTTCAAAAACAAACCCATTCACTCAACCTTGTCTTTTCCTTGTACCTTTTTGTATCCTTGGCTCATGACTGTTCCGAATAGTTTACACAATTCCCATCATCTTCCTTTGAGAATTTACCCTACTGCTTGAAATCGTGTGTACCAGTAAGAACTTGAAGACTAACGTGCTAGTTCCTTATTGTATGATTAATTTTCAACATGAATGGCTCTACGTGCCAACTCAAACCATTGATCTCAAACTTGAATTAGTTCCCTCGATTTTTCCTCCCCAGCCCTGGAGACTCTCCACATTACTTTAGCGACGATCGGGTAGTCGGATGTGGATTGAATATTCCACCCCGGGAGGTGAGGTAGTTCAAACCGATCTTCAATCTTGAGCTCGCAACCATGGACTTTTGATTACAAAAGAGCACTTAAGATCAATGTGTTATGCTCTCTATCTCAAATGTGCATCAACTCTCTTTACATGTGTGTATACCCGTCAATGGCAGCCTATGAGTCTTTAGCAGAATTTATAATGGGAAAGTGGACTTCAAAGTAGATAAGAAGCAGATCTCAACCAACTAATCATTACGCAAGTGGCTGAGAAAACTCCCTTTACAAGGAGGACCGATGTCATTTCTGGATTAGAAAAAAGCTTAGCAAAGAAAGGCTTTGATCAAAACCTTGTCAACCATATTGTTTGCTTGTTTAGTGTGGGGTGGAGAACGGAAATGATCGGGAGGGATCGGGATTCGGGATGGATCCGAACTACCCGAACTAACCTTGGAACAATCCAGATGTCTGTTAAAATTACAAGAAGCACCACTTTAACTCCTCATATACATGTACTCAACTTTGACCCTGTAGTGAGATTCGAACATGAAATTGAAATCTGCTTTGTGTAGTATGCGGCAATTTCCTGCTGCCTGATTCAAGTTTTTCGTTGATTTTTCCTGTTACGTGTACAAGTTAGTGCGAAGTTTAGCCCCATGATACTATTACGTGTAAGCTCAGGCTACAACTTGAAATATTTTGGGGGCGATGATGCCCAGGTGGTAGTAAGGATATAAAATACTGGGCCTTTCTACCACTTCCAAGCTTGAGTGCTATTTAATTCCTTTGCTAACTTGAAAAGCACCTATTCACAATGGACTGCCTTTTCGAGATTGCTCGTTTTTTTTGTCTATCCGATCTGATCATTTTCAACGGCCTTGCATACTTTTCTTCTTCTCCAAAGCCTCATGAGGATATATTCTTGGCGAATCTTGCCACGGGCTTCTTCTTGATCGTCCTTTTTGGATGGTCAGCCATAACCAGCCAAACGGCTTCAAATAAACTTGTACGAGACCGCTACAACTGGATCCAGCCTTCAGGCAGTGGATTTAAAACTCGATTTTGATATGTGGAGCAAACTGACGTTCAATCTTTTTAAGCGGATTTTTGTTGCAACTTGCGCCTGTGTGTCAATGGCAATCCATCTGAGATCTATTTCAAAAAACGTCATTGGCTACTAGTACAGACTTTAGCCTTTGTCTATCTGGCGGTAATGGCGATGTTGGAATTGCTTTATGAGATAAGGTGATTGGGAATGCGTGAAGGCAAGGGAGGAAAACTGGAAATTGGGTATTTGGAGCCACTGGCATCAACTGGGAATGCAATACTGCGGTAGTCTAGTTTCAAGTTATCCCCTTAGCCACTAGATGTCTTGAAAAATGCCATATACTTAATCCTGCTAAATTTGTGAAGGCCTGGAATGATAAAAATGTTTCACACCTAGGAAGTGGCCGTGTTTACCTGAGTAGTGAATCAAATAGACTAGCTGTGTGTTTCTCCGAGTTTAAGGCGCCTTAATCTCTCTATACTACCTGGGTAAGGATCCAGCCGAAAGTTATACCATAATGGGACAATCATCTCAGAATTTCATGGAGTATTACATTATCGCTTCTTTGATCACCTTGAACTACGATATCATGTCTCACGAGATACTCCGTGGTACTCCATGCATATCGTGACCTCCCAGTCTGTGATGCATAACCTAGCTGATGATACACTCTTCCAAGGTTACCTAGTCCCTACCTACTTAAGTGCTACTGGTAAAATATATAAGATGTGACCCCACAATTTGCATGCGATAAGTCATGAGTGTCAGCTTCGGATGTTGTCCCTGGAAGGACAATACGATACACTAGGCCCCTGAAAAGCAAGGCTCCGAAGTGGGTCAACCGGGGCTCGCTTGCCCGGGTGGCTGAGAGTGCAAAGCCCCAGCCTTGTATCATTCCAAGGTTCCAAATTGGCCCCAAGTACTATGCACCTATAAGGCTTAGCGTGATTTTTGGCACAGGCCACTTTAGGCAACATGATAAAGGACGCGCGGTTCCAATCCTTTTCAATTCCTTTTTCTAAAAAAACAAAAACTTATTTGTGCTATACCTGGTAGAAATTGCTCATTTTTTAGGTATCCGGTCTTATCATTTTCAAAGGTCTTGCCTACCATGCGTCTACTCCCAGGCCTCCTGACGATCTACCTTTGGGGGATATTAGTGCAGGCTTCATCTTGGTCACAATCTATCGATTCTCAACCAACACCCCATGCAAACAAACGGGCTCAAATCAGCTCGAATAAGACTGATATAACTGGATTCCACCTGCAGGCAGGTGCATTCACAATCGATCATGTCAAAGTTGAGCGAACTCAAGTTGGAATTTGTGAGCGGGTTCCATTTGGAACTGAAGCCTGTCGTTCGATTATAGGCTATCTAGTTTCTTTTACAGAATTCACGGGCGAGGCTATCAGGGAATTATATGGTGAAGATTCCTGTAACGCTATGCTTGGAACCTATGAGTCTCTCTCCTGGTTCTACCACTCCTCCGGCCGAGACTGCAATAGAAAATGGCAGCGGACTCTTATCACCAATGCAATCAAAGAGTATCTCAAAGATACTGATGTTGACAGGTTTCGCGGCACTGAATGTCTTCGTCTGGACGAGGGAGGGGCGATGGATGGATGCGTGAAACTCGGTCCTACAGCAAGCTTTTCATCCAAGCCCTACTGTGACTCTCATTCTGAGCTTTAGCCATTGTCTATATGGCAGTGATGGCGATATCGGAAATGTTCGATGAGACATGGGTAAGGTGGATGAGGTGGATTGAGAATTGGCAAGGGAAAGGGAAGAGAAAACAACCGGAAACCGGGTATTTGGATGAACCGGGAATGGAATACTCGGGCTTGCATGTTTATATTTCTCAATTTTGTTAGAGAGGGTCTGTATATGCACTCAGGCTGATGAACATCGGTTTCTTAGACTGGGGTAACCAGGGATGCTAGTCAAGTTATGAATTCTCCCTTAATTCAAGTTGCCCTTCCATTCTCATGCGACGATGGTTCCTGCATTCTCATGATCTCTCAATTTCAAGATTATTCGAATGTGGTTGAAGCCTAATTTCGATCCCTCCTCCTGAGCTAGCAGATGCGCAATCTTTACTATATTTTTGATCTTTCTGCCATTAAGATCCTGACCGGAGACTGACTCGAGTTCAGCCTCAGATAACCGCTGAATGCCCTTGTCATTGGTGAATTGTCTCCAAATATGGCATCTTGAATTTCCGGTCAGTTCTGGGTAACGAATTGAAAGATGAATTCGGGAGTCAAAAGCAGGGTCGATGCATGCTTCACGATTGGTTGTCAAGAAGAGAATTCCCTATCCGAGATGATGTTAGTCATGCGGTATCTTATCCCAAGAGAAATCGAACTCCCACCTCGTAGTATTCCAAAAGTCGTAGGAAAACAGTAACCAGTTCGTTTCGTGCCAAGTCAGTGGTGTCCCGAGCTTCCATAAAAACATCTGCTTCATCCAGTAGGATGATGGCACCCCATCTAGGAATCATTTTCAGGATATCCCGGAGTGAACTTTCCACCTTCCCTACGGTTGTTCCAAGGTCAACGGCACTGAGAGTGTAAAGTGGCACTTTCATAACCTCCGCGACACTCTTAGCAGTAAGCGTTTTACCCACTCCAGGAGGTCCTTTAAGAAGCATGATTATACCTCGACCTTTACCCTTGATAAAATCATCAAAGTTATCACGACTATTCGATTGGGCGCGAGTAAAGCCAAGAATAAGTCTTTTGAGATCCTGTTGGCCATGTGGCAAGACCAAAGTATCGAAGGCATTCGAATTCCACACAATCTCCTTCACACAATCAATAAAGAACTCCAGCCACATCTTGTCTTTCAGAGAGAAGCCACGAAGAACAGGAGTGGAGATGATCAGTTGTGTATCAGACAAAGATCCGAATGATATCTCTTCCTCCATCCCATCAGTGGGATTACTGAGGGATCCTGGATGAGGAACAGGTTCACCATCAAAGTTGGGCACGTAGATTTGGTGTGGATTTGATGGATATATCTTATTAGGATCACCACTCCTCTTGAGACGTCTTTTATTCTCCTGCTCTAGCAGCATTAGTTAAAATGAGTAGTCACTCAGGATTCTCGGCACAGGAGGCTGGGATGATCTCTTTGGGAACGTAATTTCTCCATCTGGATTGAACATATTGAACGCTTCTCCGTCAATGGCAACTCGACTATCGATCTTAAACTTGATATCGCGCTTAAGCTTCTGAGAATAGCCCTTTGCAAGACCCTCATAGTACTTATAGTGGTACCCTTTGTGACTTTTCCAGAGCTTACCTCGTAGAGTAAGTTCAGTGCATATCTCAGCCTTGCTCTTGTGATAGACAAGTGGAAAGACAGGGAGATCCATGATAGCTGATGTGCCCTTGTATGGTTGAATGCAAAGCTGTTGGTATCAGTATCCAAAACTTATGCCGTCACTGTCTATGTAACGGGTAGTTATCAGGAAATCCCCTTAGTCGGGGTTGGGGTCAAAGTCGCCGGAGAGGAAAAGAAAAGCACGTTGACAATCATCGATTACCGAGTAAATAACTTTTCCCGGTTCAAAAAGCGCCCAGATGAGTTTATGTGTCATTACAGCACTCTTAAGTAGGTCGCTTATCTCTGATATGAGATCAGATAGCTCCTCCTTCAGGATGCCGTAGAGCAAGTCGACATGAGATTTAACCTTGGGATCTTTAATGTTGTCTCTCTCCTGACAGAGATTGTCCCACCTGTGAATGACGGTTCAAAATGGCTCTTGAACTCCACCCTAGTGAGGGTAAATGTAAGCCCTGGATAACCCTTCATCACCTTGGCAAGAAAATCTTTCAAGGGCTGGCTTTGAATGACAATAGAATCCATCTCGAAACTTCTCCTTCCATCATAACACTTGACTTTGCGTATAGCCATGGCCTTCTGTCCTGAAATTGTATACTCACCTGCTTTGTAAACATCCTTGGGCTGATCTTCCGACTATGAACTGCAGCCTCTCTCGTCAGGCGCGGTTTGATAGAGGTAGTGTGCACCGCAAAACGAACCAGGCTCGGCATCCTGACTGGGCTCGGGCATTCAATCTGGCAAAGTTAGCCTAGGATTCCCTTTCATATTCAAGCTACCTTACCAGGAGAATTGCGATCCATTTTTGGTTGAAGGATAAGTGGGGTTTTGAAGGAGGGTCGAAGTTGACCTTTGAGAGCTGGGAATGGGAGAATGTAAGTTTGACCTTTTGGAACTGAGAATGAGTGAAGGACAAACCTTATAAGGACAAGGTCAAATGGTTGAAGTGAGATAAAAATATTTACACAGAGAGAGAGGAGGAAACTTCAGCCCCTCATTGCATCTCACATGTACATGCACCTAAAGGTACAAACAACGAGATGTACACAGCCGCTCTACCACCAATAAAATAAGCCTAGTCCAGGCCAATTCCTAAAGATATGATATAAATATGGCATTTACCTCACATTCAATTAAATTACCGCCCTTTGGCTGCCCAACCGTCATCCATGATCCTTGTCCGGATGTCGTGGCACTACTGGGACTCCATACCAGCCTCCCACATTGTTAGACTCGTAACTATGCACGCCCCGTATATGACTTCAACGTGCAGCAAACAAGTCTGGGACTGCGACTATTATCCTGCCACGTCGCTGTGGTTACACATTATTGCGGCTGATTGCGGCTCCTAATTTCCCAGTGAAAAATCACGCAACCTAGATATAGCGCTTATGCTTGCCGATCATTGTTACCTCGGTTTGAATACGGGTCTGGCTCGATCAACGATAGGAATAAATGATAAGTTTCATTGGGCCAAGACTCTGGATACTTAATCAACTACTATGTAGTACATATGGCTGCTTTGGATTGCGGGAACCTTTCTAAAACAGTGATTTGCGACCGGCTATCCATTCAACCTTACAAATGTCATTGGATATTGAAAATTACATATAGGTGAGACTACGCAGGGGTATAGGTGCCAGGGGTTCATATCAATTAATTTACAACTTCAGTACAATTTCGGCCTGGATTGGTGCTTGATTTATACACCGCCCTGGCCACCGCTCTTACAGTAATCTGTATTAAACATGCCTACCACTTCATTCAATCTCTAGCCCTAGAGGGCTATTCCACACGCCGATAAGGTTAATCACTGTGACCTCAAGACCAGAAGAATTCTCCAGATCTCGACAGCCCGAATGTGGAAACAAATAATATTTGTGCCATCTTCAGTTCTTTGTTTGAATATAGTCCTTGTCAATGCGAGCAAGCCAATCCTCAAAGGAGATGACTTCATCTCCAACCGGCACCATTCGAGGCGAGGTGAGCTTGGCAGACTCATCCATCTGGGGAGCGTGAAGGAATTGATGTGTGTTATTACAAACTGAAAACGGAAGCGCGTTCAGTTCGATCTTCTGAGCACACTCTTTTTCGAAATGGGCGTCGATGCAATCCTGACACCACTGCGTCTCCTCCGAAACAGGCCAAGAGCGATTGCACTCGCCATCGCAAGCAACCGATTGCGCCCCGCCAAAATTTAATGCAATGAGCGCCCGGGTCGCCAGAGCGTGAGTCATATCCCCAAAGGCGATGAACACCGACAAGAGCTGGTTGTAAGCGGGGAGGTCGTTGCTTTCATCGTCGTCAGAGAGTATATCCAGACTAAGGTGCACAATTTCTCGAGCAATCTGCTTTGCCTGCACCTTGTTACCCTGTTTCCAGTGATAGCGAGCAACGTAGACCCTCGGAGAAATGAGGACATCTGCCTCAGGAACACCTTCGGGAAGAAGCGTTTCAATTTCCTTGAGATAGGTCGACACGGCCTCGGCATCGGATCCGGACATAGCGGCCTTTTGCAAGTAATAAGGCGCAATACAGCTGATTATCAAAGACAAGAGATATGGGTCTGCATGTTCGAGAGCCTGACGCCAATGTTGAACCGCTCTGGACGAGCCGTTCTGCAGTGCATGAGCTGCTCGCCCGCAGTGGTAACGGAGATTGCATAGCGTTGCGCGCTCTCCGCGCTCATCAACAAGTTGAATCGAGCGCTCATAGGCCGACACGATGAATTCTAGCTGCTCTGAATGAAGAGCCGCCCGCAAAATTGTTTTATGGGGGAATGCTTTACCACCACCTGCGGCAATTAATTCAGCTAGACCCTGTAGCTGGTCCGTGGATTTCTCATCCACCTTTCGCAGAATCGTGATAATGTCTGACCATTGCTCTTGTTTAGCGAAGCATTGTAGACACTTGATTACGCGACCGTAGTCAGTGAAATCGACCTCCACTGCTCTGATCCAGAAATTGATGGCGGCATCAGTTTGCTTTTCTTGCCAGCTGAGCTCCGCAAGAATAAACAGCATCTTGGCGAGTCCCACGCGCTCGAGATTGGATCGCTTCCATTTTCCGCTGGACTCGAGGGTATCTGCAGCAGGCTTCAAGATAGCGAGGCCATCGTGAGGTTCGATCAGAATAGACAAAAGAGTGGACGCTCTCCAGTTCTTTGGATCCATTTCCAAAGCTTGCCGGGCTCGGCCCTGCGCCTCCTCCTTGTGTCTGTAGATTTGTAGAATGCTGCCAATTTGCGTGTGCCACAACGAATCCTTCTGCGCCTTCAATACTCCCTTACACCACTGCTCGACCTGTTCAATTTGTTCCACGGAACCAACTTTGTGCAAGTTGTCATTGAGTTCAAACTATTTGTCATCGTTAGCAAGGTCCCAACCAGTCATTACATAGGAATAAAAATACAACTGACCTTCTTTAGGAAGCTCGTGATAAATCGAAAGGCATCCAATGTCAGTGGTAAGAAATGAGGCTTTTGGACCAGATGAATGGCCATCAGCTTCGCAGCTGGACTCAGCAATGCTCGGTGGCCTTCCACTTGAACCAGACCATTAACCCAATCCCGTTCTTCACTGCCAATTTCCAACATGACCGCTGTGTCATTCAACCAGCGAAGAATGAGCTTGGCGTTGGCATCACTGAGCATAAATTCCCGGCCGATTTGGCGTTGTTTAGTCGAGGGACCAGGTAGCTCATCATTGTTGAGCGCGATATCGATGGAGGCGGGATTCATGAAGAGTTTGATCAGATGAGGCCCAAACAACTTCTTGTATTCAATATCGACAAGCGCTAGGTTGACAGCGGACAGATGTTGTGCGAAATTACTTCTCGCATACGATAAGAGATCTGCACTCGGTTGCTCTGTCTCCCCCGTGAGCAGGCGCAGGCAAGTGAGCGCCATCTTGGCCTCCTCGATGTGCGGTTCGTTCTTGTAGATTCGGTTACTCCGACTCTGCTTTTTGCTTTCAAGAAACTTCTCGAATTCTAACTTGCTGTATGTCTCTTGTGGACAAACTGTGGAGAGAAAATGCTTGACCATGGCCAGCTCACCTGGTGAGACCACTGCCTCTGTGCCATCTTGTCCTTCCGCCTGTGCAGGAGAACCACATTTATCAGGGATAGATTCTTCAACTTCTGGAGCCCGGAAAGTTATTTCACCCTTATTGGTAATCTTGAACAGAGGGTATTTCTCTTTGATCTTATCCGCTAGCGTCAAGAGAGACAGTTCTCCAACTGCCGCATACAAAGCCGCGGTCATCTGTCTCTCCGTCAAGATTTCGCGATAGCGTCGAATCCAGATAATGATCTCATTGATCTCAGAGATTTCTGTCTCGGAGCAGTTTTGGTTGAGACCTTCCATTTCCTTCTTGATTTGCGCAGCACGTCCTTCACCTGCGTTCTTCAAGGCATTCGTAATATCGGAGATATACTCTCGCTTGCTGATGTCGTCAAGAGCCAGGTTGATTCGGAAATAGTCACCAGTGGTTGCTTGATAGAGTTCATCGCAAATCCTGGCTCTTAGCTCTGTAATTCCCGGGCGTGTCCTATCACTTAAGGCGATCATGGAATCCATTCTCGACCGAATAACAATTTCCACGTCCGTTCGACTCTTGGAGCTAATGGGGATAGAATTTAAAGAGACACCATCCACAGTTGCCAGCTGCTGGGAACACTCAGAGTCGACAGTGAGAAGTACTCGGACGCGTTGATTCACATTTAGAGCAGACGCCCGTCTTAGGAAACGCAGCATGCCTTCTCCCATCTTACCACTCAGTCCATCGATAACAATATAGAACAGGACGTTCATATCGAGTAGATCGGGGTTTTCAAACAGGAGTTCGCTGGAGATAGAAGCCGGGTCGATCTCTTGGGTCTCGGCACAGATCTTCGCCACTGACTTCTTGTAGTGTCTTTCAGCCTGGGTGAACTGCCAGACAACGGATTTGGCCGCAGTTTCGAGATTGCTTGCGTTTTTCACAGCATCCCGTGCTGTCCCTTCAAAGAAGTAATACGCAGTGGAAACTCTGGGACCCGTGTCTGTGATCGATTTCTTGTGCAGAAGATGTTGGATGATCGCCGAGGCCAGAAAGCTCTTGCCGGTACCATTGCCTCCTTCAATTGCGAGGATGTTCGCTGCGGACTGCCCTGTCTCCCAACTGGCAAATTCCGGTTCATTCAAGATCCACTGACCTGTCTCCGGCAGTCTTTGATTTAAATATTCTCGATATCGAATGCGCCAGGGTGTAGCCGGCTGCCCTGCGAACCCCAGCGCCTGCTTTATGACGTTTTCGCTATCGATCTCCTTCTCCTTAGCCTGCATCTCCGTGATGACGCCCTCCACTCGCTTGGTCGTATCCAATCCTTCGCGGGCCGCATCGGCTGCCTGGCGAGAAGAGAGGAACGTCTGTGCGGACACCAGATTGCGCTCTCGGTTGACGAGTTTGGCCATTTCTCCCAATAGAGGTTGAACCCCATCGTCTGCCAGAAACATGACCTTGAATGCCATTTTGACTTTTTGACCCGCTGAGTAGCGCAGGCTTAGGGCCGCGTCACAGACTCTCACAAATAAGTCCAATTGCTGGGCCGCCAACCTGAGCAATTTTGCATCCATTTTCCCCTCAACGTAGTAGGGGAGACGATTTAAGTAGTCTGTACATTCTTCAAAAAGCTCACCCAATCCGTCGAATGCACCCTGGTAGCCCTCATACGCATCAATCAGAAAGCTGATGGCGTTATAGCACTGTGCTGCTGGTGCAAAGACCTATTATTCGGTCAGTCATATTCAAGGCGACAAACCAATAAACGAGCAGAGTAGGAAAGGGGATAGCTACCTGCGATGCGGCATCCGAGACGAATCCACCAACCTTCTTGATGACCGTCAGGGTATTACCGAAACACTTCTTTACTGTGTCCTTCTTACCCGGCTTCTTTTTATCAAGGTTGTCTAGGACTTCGCCGATGTCCATGTTTTCATTGACTGGTTTGTTCTCTCGCCTCGCTAGATCCTTCACCCGATCCTGAATCTTAGCCCAGAGCTCCATCAGCTCTGCGTCCATCTCCGGGACATCTGGATGTAGCGTTACATCTTTGCATTCGCTGTCGGGACTTCGAACTATATCTGTCGCTGGTCCATTCGACTGTGCTTGCCCCGGCTCACCGAGTGGTGAAACAAGATGCGTTACCGGTGTTTTTTCAATCGGTTCTTGTGAAGAACTCTTCTCCGGTTGAGCTTTTTCCGCAGGTGGTGGGACCACAGCCCCCTGGTCCTTCTTGCTCCTGAAGCGACGGAAATGCATGGCCGGGACTAATGGTTTGTGAAGAACCTCACTAGGAAAGGCAACAAGTGGACATGGGGGTGGTTTTTCTTCCCTTTAGAGCTGGGGAGCCCAGTCCTAGCCAGCCACGCACGCCATTCTGTATCGATCGACAAACTGGTGGATGGTGCTAATGCACAGAAGTGGAGTCCATGATGGAGACATCGGTTACCACAATTGGCAGGTCGACTTGATGATCAAAAAGATACGAAACAACGTGGATCAATAATATGAGTTGAGGGGAATAAGAGGGGACATGTTTTCATATTTCAAGTTTTCGCCGTTCACAGGTTTAATACTGTAAACTGGTCAACTGGTATATTCCAGCATTTGTGTCCCAATTGTTTACAACGCGGCCGTGCCCTGGCGCGGTAGAGGCGGTCCAGCCAACATATGAATGGGCTTAAAGGACCCGTAGGGTTTCAGAATTTTTGAATCGTCACTGTATTGGCCTGAGTGATCGCATCTTACACACTATTTGAACATAACTACCTATGCGCGTGTATGTACTTCCAATTTGACAAATCACTGGGAAAAAATATCCGATAAGCCTCCAGGGCTTCTCCACTGTTGCGCGTCGTCGGCATTCTGCTCATTCCACATGTGCAGTGTTAAACTTGGATCTGAAAACATCCTATTTTCGAATATTCCCCCATATTGAAAGTCGCTTAATCTTCTTAGAAACTGTCTAATACAACCTCTTCTTCTTCACCAGGCATCAAACTCTCAGGTACCATAACTGAGGTGTCCTTACAAAATACAAATGAATCAGTATTAGCCGTTTCGTAAGAGATAAAGAAGGGGGAAATACGAACAACGGTGTTTTCGCTTTTGAAATGCTCTACCTCGCGAACGGCTTGAATGCTTCGCTTTGTGGGCTTGATGGAGATCGTCTCAACTGTTGTGACCTGGAGGTCCGAGGGTAGGGTGTTCTGCTTAGTGGATTGGTCCGCCACGGACTTTGGCTGCTCCTGCTTCTGCTCGGAAGACATGATAACGAAGAAAATTAAGGTGGTTATAACTGGAGATGAATGGAGTTGAAAGGGAATAAAGGGCCGAGAGATGTGATCCATTATAAATAAGATTATTTGTGGTTCCTGTGGCGCTAGCTGTGAACTCCGAGTCCGAGTCCCAGCATCTTGGAGATCTTCATCCAGATGCAGGTGTTCCATCTAGGAAGGTGGGTAAACCATTCCCCACAACCTTCGAATCTCATCTGAAGCGCCCATCATTTGTTAATCTCCAGTTTTATGACGTTATGGGTGATTGAGAACTTAGAAAGGGGCTGGCTACAGTCTTTGCACTTTGGCTAACGTCAACCTTGCAATGCGGTCCACATGCCCAACTAGGAAAGTGATCATCTCCTATCACGTGTAGTGTAAATACCGTATAGTCCTACGGTGTAAAGTGGCATTAAAAAAGTTTCTATCACAGTTTCTACCACTGATACACTCATTTTCTGCTAGGTGATTCAATAAGTTTGAAACTCCTAACGTTGAATTTAGAGATCATTTTTTGACTAATATTACACTTGAAATGTAGGAATGCTGAATTATACGTTCGAATGTTCTATGCGTGAAATAAAGCCGTGGGCCTTTCGGCACTTCAAGTTCAATTCAACCCCTAACTCCCGAGGTCGGAAGGACTAGTACGCGTTACAACACCCGCAGTTTGATTAGCACGATGCTCACTATCGACATTAAATGAAATTCACTCTCAACCACGTCGGACGGAAAGAGTATCAGTTTCAAATGTTTTCTTGTCTAAGCGCGATTCATTTGAGACGATGCTCATACCTAGTCACTCCTTGTCTGATAGCAGGGATATAAATATTTTCGTCTAATGTAAAGTTCGGAGTAATACCAACTGCCTAGCTGAGTAGTCTAACTATACCAGGGCCAAGATATCAAAATGAAAATTTAATTCTATGATTTCTCCCTAGTACTAGACTCAGCTGCAATTCAAATTGCTAGAATATTCGGATATACAATCTTGGGAATTGATGGGTAAATGAAATATTGTGTAAACTCCGGTAGCTTCAATAGTCTTCTGCCTGCTCTTTGACGCTGTAGGCCGTGAATTCCGCCAGATACGTACGCGCTGGAATCAACACCGCGATCGGGAAACCTCCATAATCCGGATTGTCATTCGGCATCATCACAACTTCACTACCACGAAGCTCATCGCCATTTAGCATACGGAGCGTGGATAAATTTCCATCTGCATCTACCGTCTTTTTCTCCGCCGACAGAATACCTGTGAAAGTGGTACCCGGTGTGGTGTTGCGGAAGGAAACCTGAAAGCCCCAGCCGATGAGGAGGAATTTTGCATTTCCCTGGTAAATCACGATACCATTACCAGGGCCAGGCTTGCCAAAGACGAAGGATCGCTCAATATTTATCTCCCATTCATCGAAGTTCTTGATCCAGTGCGTGAGTGCTTGTATTTGCGCAGTCAAGTGGTCCAACTCATCGAAGAAAAAGCCCATCATGTGCTCAGGTCGAGTCGCCTGCGCCTTAAGAATATGCTTGCTAATTGAACCTAGAAGCTTATATACTTTTGTCATATCGCTGGATGATGCTGATAAGGTATCAATGCCAAATGGTGAGCAGCCGATGGCCGCGTATTCAGTGTATGCCAGCATCATCCGTCGAACCCCCTTGCTGTCTCGTCGTTGTTCCGGAACGAATAGGATATTATTGTTATGGCGATACTGCTGACATATGTACGTATAATTGTGCAGGTAGAGGTCCGGGGCGATGAAATCGATGGAGGGTGCATTGTGTTGCCAGATATCCAATACGTGAGGGCAGGCTCCGCCAGATGGGTACACGCCTGGGTTGGCGCTGCCGCCAGCGACAGTTTCGGCCTCGGCGGGCAAATTCACTCCAGCTGTATCCAGGACTGCAGGATCATTGAAATTCAACCATACATTCGAGTACATGGGAATGTTGTACTCCATTTTCCCAGCAGCAGCTACGTGTTCAACGTATTTTGAGAATGCGTGGGCCATAAAGGTCTCATTCGCCTCCACGCCATCCCCAAAGACCTCTTGCCACGTAGAATTCATGACCGCTTTGGTTTTTATGTCAGGGAATCGCTTCATGAAGGTTGGATGTAGGCTCCGATCAGATTGTGCAAGGAATTGCACTAGATCAAGAGGTACAGGCTTCTGGAATTCTTCGTCTGCAAGATGGGACCGATCCCTGGAGTCCCCGAGAAGACCAGTTTCATTTTCGACCTGAACCATGATGACGGTGCTGTGCGCCTCGTCATATGATTTCAGATGCTTCATTAAAGCCGCAAATGCCTTGGCATCGGCCTCCCATGAATTGTGACAGAATGGACTCAAGAGATTCAAAGTTCGTGCATTGGCACCAGTTGAGTCCCGGAAATGGGCTCTGGTAAATCGCTTGACATCCTGTTTGACCCAAGCCGGAACATAACTGCTGAGACCATTTTTAAAGCTGCCAAACCATAGCAACACCAATTTTTTTCTGTATTGGCGGGCTTCCCGAATCAAATTATCGAGTTTATCGAAACAGAACTGGCCCTCCACAGGTTCGATCATTTCCCAGGTCACCGCACCCAATAGGGTATTCACATTCATCGCCTTCATATTGCTCCATACCATGCTCATATATAGCGGGCTAGATAGGGATGAATTGTGTAGTTCGCCTGCGAGCATGGGAAAAGGCTCGTCATCCACGATGAGCTGATGTGAGGTTTTGGGGTTTTCCGCAGATGCGGTATTGGGAGTGTGCTTGTCGACATCTTGGTGAAATGATTATTTTGGGTTTTAATGTGGGATAGCGATAATTGGCAGGAGTTCGTAAGGCCACTAATTAAAACATATGGCTTTTTATTTCGACCCGCATACCCAGTGTTGTGAATTGTAGAGCGAGAGTCACATATGGATAAAATCCACCGTGTGCTTTGTCCGTCCACTGTGGAGGCAGGAGAGGAATAAAGTGGACAGGGGTGGCGCGGGGGAGTGGGAGGTCGGGAAAATTATAGCCGATGAAGAAGAAACCAGAGTCATAGAAAGATAAACAAAAGCGATAAGAATCCCTCTCAAAGCAATATTGTTGCTCGCTTGGATCTACCACCCGACTTGTTGCTCATGCTTCCAATGTTAGTCTCTACCAATCTGTACCCTGGGCACAGTCCCGTTACTCTTCAAGTTTTTCCCGATCTCACCATTCAAGGGACTAGCGGCCCCGCCAATGTTATAAATTTCCTGGGCTTGAAATATGCATCTATATCGGCACGTTTTCGTGAGGCAGTGCCCACTGGCAGCCTCAAAACACATACTGGTGAAATCGACGCCACACAGTACGGACCGCGTTGTGCCCAATGGGTGATGCCCGCCCTGGATTCAGTGCAGGAGAGTTTTTCGGGATACAATCCACCTTCCAAGCTTCCTGATTCGGAGTTCGATTGCTTTGTCGTGAACGTGTACACTCCACCGGATGGATTGCAGAAAAACGAACGCTTGCTTCCTGTCCTGGTACAGATTCATGGTGGCGCACTCTCGTTGGGGGACGGTAACTCTATGGCCGGTAAGGGAATTACGCTGTATTCATCCATGGATGTTTGGGCCAGATAGAGCTAATAGCTATCTTATATGTAGATGGAAACGCACTCGTCCGACACGGAATCGATCATGGAAAGCCCTTTATATTCGCCTCATTCAATTACAGGCTGGGACTATTTGAATTCCTGAACTCAGATGAGCTGGTCAATGATGCAAAAACTCAGAGAGAGACTGGTTATCGTTGCTTGGGCTTTCATGATCAGCGGCTGGCATTGCACTGGGTAAGTACGATTCTTTCTTCCACAACCATCACCTCCCCCTTGCCCTGGCGTTGAAAGTACACGTGGACCCCAGCTAATGTATCGGACTGAATAGATTCAAGAAAATATTCACCTATTTGGTGGAGACTCCCAGAATATCACCGTAGCTGGTGAGTCGGCCAGCGATCTGTCAACGCTTGTACATACCAAAACTGCGATCCCAATTTTCCAGCGTGCCATTATCATGTCGCCGCCAAGTTGGCCTTTTCAAACCCCCGAAAGGCGCAAGAAAAGTTCAATGAGTATGTCTTCCGGTGTAGTCTGCCGCTATCTACTTCTGCGGAAGCCAAAATTGAGGCTCTTCGTCATGCTTCCGTGGAGCAGATGGTGGCCCTGCTAGGTCATCCAGCCGTATCTGCAACGTATGATGAATCTTTCTTCGGATCCAAGTACGAAGGTCTCACTTGTGAGCAGATGAGGACGCATAGCTGGTTGGGAAAGTTGGTGGTTGGCTGGACCAAGGATGAAATGGCTCTATGGAGTCTGGTATGGCGGAAACTCAACACTTCACAGATCATAGCAAAGATTACCAGCACAGTTCCGGATCCTGACTTCGCAGAAGAGATCCTCAGTAGCTATGGATTCTCAGAAGAAATGGAAGATGCAGCAGCGCTTCAACAAATGATCCAACTGGGTACCGACTCCCTCTTCACAGGTCCTCCCCTCCTGACAGCAAAACTCAGTCCTGGTCCTGTGAGCGTGTATAGGTTTGATGAGATAGATATGGATCCTGAGAGCAAGATGAAGGGCTACTCTCCCCATGGGTTTGATTGCAATTCCTTTTTCCGACTACCCTCCGCAGTAGGACCGACTGCATCAACCAGTGCGAGGAAAACAGCTGACGCCATGGCAGACATGGTATTTGACATTACTTACGACCAAGAGCCTTGGCTATCAATGGAAACTACTAATGATGTTCCGAAATTCCAGCCCATGGTGTTCAGAGATGGCCTGTCTGGACCATATCCCATTGATGGGCTCGATCGGGTGGCGCGGTTGACTTCAGATCAACGGCGGCACGACATGTTCACTGAGATAGGCCATCTTTTTGTTGCTACAAGTTCCATTTTTGGATAATCCAGTATGCATGATGTTGAAGTCTTGAATATAATTCTACCCGACCAGGTCTGAACCTTGAAACTCAATTTCTCCAGTAGTATGTAGATCCGAGTCCTCATTTTTCACTTGGGCAAATTTCCTTCTTCCACAGGCATTTTTAACAAGATGATTCTTTGAATGTTCATCCATGAATGAAATCCGCCATAAATATAAAAGCTATAAGATAGATGTCTGGGTTATCTCTTGATTACGAGCGCTGCTCATTTCAAGGCAGCGCACTCGGTGTATGCAGCAGAGCACAAACCACCACCACAACTTGAACCCCGGAGCGAGCTCAGCTCGTAAATATCGACTTGAGGAGCCTAGTATATGGGTTCCCCACTACACTATAGTCGGAGAAAGACAGTTAACTTTGTCATTTCAATAGCTGGATTCGGGATAAGCCTCAGGTCGCTCACTTCGGAATTCATACAAGGGGAAGTCGACTGAGAACTTGGAACTTCACTGTAAACCCCGGGACTCTCATGATCGGATATGCCCCATGTGGAGTATGGAAATCCGGATTACGGGGTAGACGCCGTGCATCTTCGCTCGCGATGAAGCATCCCGAGATAGAATTGAACGCGCGTTGCGTGGAGCAGGTCTCTAGACACTTAGTTCTCCAGAATCTCTCATCTCTTAGGTTTAGGCCTAATGTGGCCCACTTCAGTTCAATTTATCGCTAAATAACAAGATGTTTTTGATTACAGCTAATAGCAGGATAGGAAGGTCGCTCAGGCCGCACGCCACACGTGCTTCTTGGCTCCGAATACGCGTATAGAGGTCTTATGATCCCACGAGGGAAGTGCCCGCTGGGATGATCCATTAATGTGACATTTGGAAAGGTCTTGAAATACATAAATGTTAAAAGTCAATTTGGGTTCCCCGTCCACTTTTTTCTGGGGAATGTTCATGCGGGGAAAGTGGATTGCCTCCATTTGACCCTTAATTGGATCTAAAGAAATGTTTATACAGTTTTCATCCAACACTCTACCTTTGTGGTCCGCTACAAATATGCCAGTGCTACGCTGAAAAGAAGACAAGCAGACTCTCTTTCCACGATCACAAAATGTCTAGTGACAACAAAACCCTCAGCTCTGAGCACGTGGAAAGCATCTCGCCTGCAAAGGGCGATCAAGCTGCCGATGCAGCCCACCGAGCAATGTTGATCGTTGACAGCGAGATGAAAATGAGCCTGGGTGCCAATATCCTCCTGCATAAAAGGGCATTCTTTTACTGTGCGAACCCCGGTGGACCCTTGCCATTCGATAGATGTTGACATTTCTCGACAGGTATTTGTGCTAGCACAGCTTCGGTGTTGTTTGGTTATGATTCCGTTGTCAATGGCGCCTCAGTCGCCATGCCCGCGTTCTTCATATACTTTGGTGCTGTGGACTCTTCTGGATACTATATCCCCTCAATGTGGTCTTCGCTTTGGGGCGCCATGTCTGTCCTCCTACAGGCAGCAGGTGCTTTCTTTGCTGGTTATACTGCCGATAGATATGGTCGCAAATGGGCAGTTTGTACATTTGCATCACTCACAGTTGTTGGAACAGCAGTCCAATTCACCGCCGTCAGCCGTGGTGCATTCCTTGCCGGGAAAACGATCAATGGTTACGGCATTGGTGCTGCCGTAGCCGCTGCGACAACTTACGCATCGGAGGTTAGAGAAACAAGTTCATTTCTCACGCTGCGTATGCTTACCGAGTCAGATTGCCCCTCTCAAGCTTCGAGCCCCCGTTCAACAAGCGCTGGTCATTGGTGGCATTTTCATCCTTGGACTAGGAATGGGCATTATTCGCATAGTTGTCCCGAATGTACACGAGTCGAGCTTCCGAACTGTGTTTGCCTTGCAGTGGATTTTTGCAGCTATAGCCACCGTCTCATTCGCGATCGTTCCCGAGTATGTTCTACCTATTACATAGTTTGGTATAGTATCGCCGTTGACAAGATTGAAGCTGCCCGCAAAGCCATGACGAGACTATACGGTGAGAACGCCGTCGAAAAGCGTTTGGCTCTTTTAACCAAGGAAATTCGTGAAGAAAAGTGGACAGAGAGCGGGGAGTCCGATTCTTACGGGGAGGGCTTCAAAGAAAACAACCTTCGGAGAACACTGACTGTGATATTTATTTACACAGCATCCAACTTCGGAGGGACTTGATTCCTATACAATGCGCTCTAATTCCTAGTCATCGCTGGTCTTGCTGCCATTCATTTCTTCGACATCTCCATCGGTGGATTTGGCCTCTCCATTATCATCATCATCACTACCTGGGCATTCGAGGGCAAGTTTCAACATCGCAATGCTTTCATTCTGGGCTGCGTTATCAATTGCGTCTTCATGATGACGATCGGAGCCCTCTATTATGTACCTGGGACTGGCGCCCTTTGGGGAATTGCTGTATTGATGTACGGTCCATGCCAAAGTTTCTTGAAAAATCTTTTCTCACTAAATGCTGATATATGCTTTCTAGGAATGTGCTCATTGGGTTGCAGTCCAGTCTCTTGCAAGGCATGGCTTACCCAATTGCCGCCGAGGTATCCAAATACAAGTTGCGAGCAAAGACTCTCTCTATTGGTAACATTTCACAGACCCTACTCGCTTGGGTTTTTGATTTCGTCACGCCATACATGTTTAATGTTGATTCTGGGGACCTACTTTCTCGCACAGGATTTGTCTTTGGCTCTTTTAGCTTTGTTCTGCTCTTTGCCGCCTACTTTATTGTGCCCGAAACAGGAAACCTCACTGCTGAAGCAATTGATGCGGCCTTTGAAATGAAGGCACCTGCGCGCAAATTCCAAAATCTCCCTCGCGGCGCGACTGAATTCCAACGTGCCCCGGAAATTTGAGAATGCTGCACTCCTGACTAATTCGCTTATTGATTTTCTCGTTACTGAGTTCCATATCACTAAAATGTCCTTAAGTGTGTGCATATTGTGCAGTCAGAGGAATTTCTTTTGTACAGCGGCGGAATGAGATTGCTTCACGTTTCCTTTGAATATAAAATACATCAAAAATCAAATGTAATCAATTATCTTATTCAACCCAATTAATGTGTGAACTTGAAAAAAAGTCAAGAAGCACCGAGACTAGCCCGCATCGGAAATTTACCCGATTCTAGCGATATTAATGCCCTGTGGTGAGTCTAGAGTGTGGACCCCGGGGCAATTCAAGTTCCAGTACTCCGTATGCGGTATGCGGTAAGAGTGGGGTATGGGGTAAACCTGGTTCAAGTTTCCCATGTTCAATTCTCCCTCCACCTCTGCCTCTAGACAATCACCACCAAGCTGCAAACATGCGAATCGCATTACAGACCAATGATCGCCGGAGATCCACCCGGGCACGAGACTCACCTCCTTTCGCTTGCCAATCCTGCAAGAAGACCTTTTCTCGAGTAGAGAATTTGACGCGGCACGCGGAGACTCGTACGTATACCTGCTAACCGCCCTAATTTACCTACCATTGAAATGTTTTTCCCTTGGCAGACAAAACTACCGCAAAGTTTATCTGCAGAGTCTGCCAAAGAGGATTTACTCGAAGGTGGGTGGTTGACCTCAAATCCCTGCACATAAACGCTCCATTTCGCGTCAACTACAGGGGGCCCGGATTCTAGTCTCGCAGCTTAATACCAATGTCTGCTTCTGGGAAGAAGAGCCTGAATACTTGGCTGAAGTTTCCTTTTTTCCCTTCTTTTTTTAGTCCAGTCACAGTTGCGTGGCCCACTGCTGACAGTTTGGCATCGATTTATCAGCGATATTCTGAAACGGCACCGAAAAGTCCATTCGCTATCCCCAAATGATGGAGTGACACAATAAGTGACCTCGGAGTCTATCTGTAATAATGATGAAGGGTTATATGAGCCTCATGTGCAAGATAATTCTGCGACATCCACCGAGGTTGGAACGCAATTGTACCCCCAAATCTCTGCTACATTTGATTTGGATAATACACCTGCAACCGATCAAAACCTCGGGCCATCTAGCGAGTTAGCTACAACGCATACCTCTTCGCAATTCGGAAACGATGATACAGTTGGTTCTACAACCCGTCCATCTAACTGGTCGACGAATATGCCGAGAGATTCCTTGCCAGATGATTCAATTCATTACCCAGTGTGGACTGCAAATTGTTATGGTGGCTATGGCGAGTGGTCTTTTGACCCTGATTTTTCCTGGATCTTAGATATGTCTTCAATGGATAATATGGCCATGCAGAGATGGCACCAGTCAACTCTGAGAACTGCCAATATTCCTCAATCACAGGCTCCATCGTGCCTCCACGCAAACGGCGATGGCGAAGACAACCAGCTCCCTGATAATGAACGTCTCACAGATAATGCCCTTGATGAGAACGAGAATCATCGAATAGTTCAAGACTTCCTACCCAGAGGTTTTGAGCCAACAGCCCCACTTAGACCTGACTCTCGGTCCTGGGTTCAGCGAGAAGAAATTGTTTCATCTAGTATGCGGTCGAGGCATGCGCGCTCTCTATACTGCATCATGGACTCTCAAACTCGAACCAGATTGATGGCGACGTTAACCGATAATTCCAAATTCTAGCCGTAGGGTGAATACTTTCCACTCAATAAGTCCGTCTTTCCGGACTTGGATACTTTAAACCATTTCCTTGCCCTTTTCTTCGAGGATATTGATGTCCGGTTTCCTATAATCCACCGACCAACCTTTTTGCCTATAACCGCTCCACCCTTTCTCCTTCTTTCCATGATACTGCTAGGCTCTATGCACTCTAGGACCAACTATGGAAAGTTTACTGCCATATATCTAAGACCTATTACCGCTATCTTTTCCGGGTTGCAAATTATGGATGTCTGGTTTGTAAGTTCAAGACCTTTTATTTCGATAAACTTGTAAAAATCAATTCGTCGCTGATTCAACTGTTCTTCCCTAGTTCCACCCAACCGACAATATAATCACATTGCTTTGTTTATGCATCTGTGCTGCATGGTGTGGACAGAAAGCCGCGTTCGAGTATGCAGAGGGTACTCGAGGATTTCTTGTAACTGCTTGTCGTCACATTAGATTATTTGACTGTCGCCAAGTTCCACTCTCGGATAGTTTGCGACAACCACGCTCTTTACGAGCTAAAGTTCACGATACGTGGAAGTCATGGATTATGCTAGAGCAGCGGAAGCGTTTAGCCCTCTCTGTCCATGTGAGCTCTATTCAACTTGCACATGAGAACGGAAATTGACGTGATCTGTCCAGATGTTTGACCTACACTTTCCTGCACTATTCCAGATCCAACAGTATATCCCCAAGGCTGAAGCTGTAAACTTGGTGCTACCTTGCGATGGATTATATTGGGAGGCCAACTCCTCAGAACAGTGGAAGGTTCTGCTCGGTCCAGCGGAGATGCCTTCATCTATATACTTCATGGTTCCTATGGACACTTGTCTTCTATATCCTTTCCTCGGACAGAAACCACCATATGCGCCAATTGACTCATTCGGCAAGACCTTCCTGATGTATGCAATGTTCTCCCAGATTTTTGAATGGAGACAGTCAATGAACCTTGTGGTGCACTCCACCTTCATTCGAGGTCCAGATTGCAATAAACCAGGTGAAGGCTTAATCGAGCGCCAAGTCTGGCTTCGAAAAGCTCTCCGTGCCTGGCTTGAAAATTACCATGACACAGACTCTGACCGCGGCAACCGATCCCCAGCCCTTCCAGCGGCGCTATTGCTCAACCTTCTGGCTATGATATATTTGGAGATGACTATTTCCCATCTCCACACTTTTTTTCGCGCGCTCCGGTCGGGATGAAGATATAGACCTGGCTGAGCAATCTTTACGCATTTGGTGTCAAAACTCAGACTCGATTCAAACGACCAAAAAGGTCCACGAGATGCTGGAGCTGGCGCACCAAACGATCGAAAATGGGAGGGATAAAAATTTCTTTTTGAAGTATCTATGTCACTACTCACCGGAGGGCTTGTATGCTGGATGTACGAGAAGTTGGGAGGTTCATTACCAGCTAGAATTGAGGTACGAGATCTGCAAGATACAAATTCCACTTCACATCGCATTGAAAGAAAATACTAAAATTTGAATGTGGATTCATTCAGTTCCTCAAGGCCAGCGAAGCGCTTGAAAATTTGACAGGCTGGGGAATATCTGCTAAATTTGCTGAAATCATGAAGAGATTTATCAAGTAATATCTCCGCGATTTCTTTCAAAATATACTATAAGCTTATCGGGCCGGAATTAATAGTAATTGATGATAGTTCTGTTTCATTATTCAAAGCTCCCAATATCGTTCCGCTAGGACTTTTTCAAGAAATGAGGTAGGTGCCGGTAGTCAACTGGTCGACAGTGCCAGTGACTGACAGGTGTTTCTTAATACCACCTTGGTGATTCAACTTGAACTTTTTCCAACCTTAGGAGGTCCGTTCGTTTTCGTATCATGATGGCATATCTATTATTCAACGTATTGGTGCACTCTGTTTCCTTGCTCATTTTGTCTTATCCGCCTTTGGTCGGCAAGGATCAAAGAATGAGTGAGACTACCCGAGGAGATCGTAGAGCGGAGTAATCTGCAATAATAAACTTGAATCCTGCAAGATCGATGCCACCTGGGCACGGGTACCAAATACGCTTGGAAAATGTCACCGATTAGTCCCGAGGTCGCAATGGACGGTGGACGGTGTACGGCGCACCTGCCAGTGAGCATTTATCCCTTTATTCTCCAAAATTCAATGAGAAATACTTGGATAATCATTTTCGCCACTCACTTGAATATACAACCGCACTTTGAAGTATGGTCAATATCGAGAAAGTCTGGTTCGAGCATCACGAACCCAACGCCATTGGAATTGGGGAATCCGCACCACGTATCTCATGGACGATTGTAGGCGATGATAAAAGTTGGGAGCAAGCCAGCTATGAACTTCAAATCAAGCGTGATGGTCAAGAAACAGAGTCCGTGGTGGTTGAGTCAACCGAATCGCGACTCGTACCTTGGCCCGGCCAGGTATTAAGCTCGCGGGAGCACGCAACAATACGCGTGCGAGTGACCAGCAATCTCGGAGTCGTTAGTGAATGGTCAGATGTCTTCATAGTAGAGGCAGGCATTCTATTCCCAGGGCATTGGGAATGTCTCCTCATTGAGCCCAACGACCCCACCGAAACATCGCCTCAAAAACATCGCTCAGTCACCTTCCGACGTCGCTTTTCCTTGCCAAATAATTCTGATATTGCTCGAGCGCGTCTATACATCTCGGCACATGGAATATATGAGTCCCGAGTCAATAATTCTCGTGTAGGGGATCATGTCCTTGCACCTGGCTGGACCGCTTATCAAGAAAGGCTTCAGTACCAGACCTTCGATATCAGTAATCAAGTATGTGTCGATCAGGAGAACGAGATTGAGGTTGATGTGGGAGAGGGATGGTTTTGCGGATCACTCGCTTTCATTCGCAGGAGTAATATCTATGGTAATCATCTGGGGTTAATTGCCATGATGATTGTTGAACTCGAAAATGGAGAGAGCTTCCATCTGAACACTGATGAATCATGGACTTGGGCTCATGGAAGAATTCTCGATTCTGGGCTCCTTGATGGCGAAACATACGACTTTGGTCAGGTTTCATCACCCTGCAAGTCAGTACAAGTCCACAAATGTCCCTCATTTACTCGTCTAGTTGCTCCTGATGGCCCACCAATTCGCGAAACACAAAAGCTTGAAGTCGAAAGGATAATTGTTTCTCCAACCGGGCGGTCGATCCTTGACTTCGGGCAGAATTTTGTGGGTTATATCAAGGTGGAGCGAGTCTCTGGATCGGCTGGCACGACCATTCAGTTCCGTTTTGCGGAGGTGCTAGAAAATGGGGAAATTGGAGTTTGTCCCTTGTGATCGGCCAAATGCCTAGACACCCTCATCCTTGATGTAGGAGGCCCTACTACGTGGCAACCGAAGTTTACATTTCACGGCTTTCGTTATGTCGAAGTGAGTGGATGGCCAGCGGGATCGTCCCTCAAAAAAGAAGATTTTATTGGCATCGTCATTCATTCTGATATGGATTGCACTGGCCATTTCCGTTGCTCGAACCCTCTGCTTAACATGTTACATGAAAATATTGTTTGGAGCATGAAAGGGAATTTTGTCGGGATTCCAACAGACTGTCCTCAGCGTGACGAACGACTTGGCTGGACAGGGGATATCAATGTTCTCGGTACCACCGCCAGCTACCTCTTCGACGTTACTGGTATGTTGGCATCATGGATGAAGAACTTGCTAGTTGAACAAAACGCTGCAGGGGGAGTCGTACCTCTCGTAATCCCTCACATCCTAGGCGATTCTGGCCCAGGAAGAGGCAATTTGGGGTGATGTCACGATCATGCTACCTTGGACCTTATATCAAGCCACTGGAGATCAAGAGCTCTTGTTACGGCATTATGAGAGCATGAAATCCTGGCTCAAAGCTATCCCTCGTTCATCCACCGGATTATGGAAGTACGACGGGTACAAATTAGCCGACTGGCTAGACCCCAGTGCCCCGGCTGAAGCGCCAGCAAATGCCATGACAGACATGTATTTAGTATGCGATTTATTCTTGGTTCACGCTACATCTTTGATGACGCAAATATCTGCCGCGTTGAGCAAGTACAGTGCAGAAATCAAGTACTGAAAAGAGGCGAGGCAGCTCAGGCAAGCGTTTGAAACTGAATATGTCACTCCTGCTGGTCGCCTCGCATGTGACACTCAGACTGCATACGCCCTCGCCATACAATTTGATCTGTTCTCATCTACAGAAAAGACGAGGCACACTGCTGAACGCCTTTCTCTTCTGGTCCGCCAACGGAGCAGGTTCAAGATGTCCACTGGCTTCGCAGGAACGCCCTTTCTAGGCCATGCTCTAAGTAAGGTCGATATGTCCAATGTCTTCTACCGCATGTTACTCCATCGTGTGTGTCCTAGCTGGCTATTTCCCGTCACTATGGGCGCAACGACAGTCTGGGAACGTTGGGACAGTATGCTTTTCGGACGGATCGGTCATCCCTGGTGAAATTACCAGTTTTAATCACTATGCATTCGGATCTGTCGCCAGTTGGATATATCAAACCATCTGTGGCCTCAAAAACATCGAGCCTGGGTGGAGGACATTCCAGGTTGAGCCTGTCCCTGGCGGCGCTCGGCGATGGGCTGAGGCTGATCATCGGAGTGCGTATGGATACTGCCGTGTTCATTGGGAGATCAGGAAAAGCACAACCGAGCCCGAAGAACAATTCTGGCTGGAGGTGGTTGTTCCACCTAATACAAAATGTCATATTCGGCTGCCAGGATCAACGTATTTGGTTGTTGTAGGATCAGGAAGAGTGGAATTGGAAACAGCTTACCATCCTCAACAATGGCCGGCAAGAGCGGTACTACCCCCATTCAGCCCATCCAACGATGAGCTTCCAAAGATGAAGTTCTAGAGAAAGATTGATAAAAATCTCGATAATGCCAAAAGTTCAAGAATTAAAATTGAAGAATCCCCTCTTTCCCGAGAATTGGGCAGGTAAATAGTGGCTTGTGGCTAGGCATGGGCCGCATGGTGGGGAGAGGGCTCATTTACACTGTAAGGGAATACTCTGCATTTACGAAGAATAAGACTTCCTATCAATTATTTGACGTCTGCAACCTCTGATCCATAGCTTGGAAAATCAACATGCATTTTCCTGTATAGTCTGGATGTATTGATCGTAAGCCTATGCAAGTCTTTGCTAAAAAGGTAGATCCATAGTCCCAGCATACGGTGCATACATGCTTGAGGTATCCTAACATACATGCACCCCCACACAAAGATTTTATGCCTTGGCAGTGAGTAAAAGAAAATAGAAGGAGCATTCAAATTCTTATTTGGAGGAGGTTCCAAGGTTATGGAGATAAATCCTGGCTGGCCTATTATTAGACAGAGTATGTATGAATTGAGTCTCGCGAGATAAAATGCCGGGACTCAGACTCGGACTTTAAAAATATCAAACCACGTGGATATCATTTCACATTGATTTGGCACTGAAAACTGGCAGGGGCAATCGTGATATCAATAACTTGAACGCCCACTGATAGGTGGTCGCTAAAATGTTCTATACAACTCGGAAGTTAAATAATCAGACATGACACTAGCAAATATCCCATACATGTTCATGGCATCCTAGCGCATCTCAATCACACATCCTAACATTGTACCATCCAACTCCAGCCGAAGGAGTACACATGTCGACTCGGGAGAGAACATTGTGTCTAGATTCATGTTTTTACCGGCTGTCGCCTTTCCATCTCAACTTAGAACCACCATGTTCTAAACGAGGTCAAATGCTTCCTGTTAGTGAGGCTGACTTTGTTTGAATCATTAGAAGCTTACCATTATCAGCTACTGCACATGTAGGACTGTTTCGGTCATCTGGCACACTCTCAGATAAATTATTATGATATGAGATGATATAAATGTCTGTTTGAATGATCAATCGATCTCAAGTGCTATTCCCAAAAGCAACATTGCCATCTTCAATGTTCAAATTTGACGACTGACTTGTAGCAATACGAGTGTGGAGGGAACTAGTACCTACTCCTTTGGCACTACTATGCGAAGAATTTGATATTAAGTTGATTTAGATCAGCCACCTCTAAAGGGCGCTCGAATGCGAAAGCCTAGCCATCATTCCCTATATATTTTAAGGCTGACTCTTATTGACCTTGTCTTACTACCTAGATACTAGGTAGTAATGATAGCTGCAGATGTCCCTATTGCATTCGTGCCCGGTCACTCGCTTTCACCATCAACGATCCCTTGAGGTCACTAATACCGACGCTAACCTGGTCGGGGAGCTTGCCATAGAATAGCCCATCCTCAACATCTTGCTGCTCTTTTTCATTCACCAATTGAAAGGAGAATCTCGCTAAAAGAGTAGCGGTCGTCTTGTAAATAACCGTCAATGCGAGCGATTTGCCAATACATTGTCGCCCACCAGCTCCAAAGTGCATGAGTAGCTTTCCCAACTCGTCGTTTGCCTCATCTTCCCATCTTGAAGGGTGGAAGCAGTTGTGATCATCTCCCCAAATTTTTGGGTTATGGTGAAACGCTTGGTTGCAAATCGCAACGGAGGTCTAATGTCATATACCTCCATGAGTACCGCATCAAATAGGACGATTAGAATTGATTTGGACTTACACCAACTGGCACCAAATTTCCTTCCAAGACAATTCCCTCACTTTGTGTTACTCTTCTGGCCAAAGGCATAGTAAAGGCTGGTGAGATGCGAAAACTTTCCTTGATACAGTTTCGAAAATATGGGAGCTTTGTATCAACCGCTGATCTCGAGTAGACATCAGCTCCTGGCGTCATAGGTGGCAATTGTAAGTCAATTTCCGCAATAGCCTTATCCAAAACCTCTTTGTTATGAAGCAAATTATAGAACAGAAGTATCATAGTGGCACTTGGAGGGTGAATGCCGGCAATTCTGCATTCAGGTTAATTATTTTTGAAATGTGTATCAATCATCAAATGGAACGCTGATTAATTGAGGTGGATACTTACAGAAACCCAAATGTCTCTGCGGCCAGGTTAGCCTCATTGAGCTTATTCTCAAGATCACTATCCTTCAAGCCAATGATGCGTGAAAGGATATCTTTTCGCTCTGTGCATTGCTCGTTCAACATCGCGACCAGCCGATTTTTGACAATTTTCTTTGCCTCCAGGAAATAACCGAGCATATTACGGAATGACATCCAGCTCCGAGGATGAGGAAAAAGGAGCAAAAATATGGATAATATAGGCTGTAATGTTGGCCATGAACCAATTGCGGCACTCCATAAAGATATAGTATGGTCATCAGGCAAGGCATCTACCGAATTTCCTTTTTGGATACCTAGATCCTCGCCATACATGAGATCCGATATCGCGTCACACACAAAATGATATATTGTCTTTTTCAAATCGAATGATTTTCCATCGCGACAATGTCCTTCAATATTCTCAATCAGGCGATGAGTGTGAAAATCCAAGATCGGCTCATAGGTTTCCACAGCCTGTGGGGAAAATGCTTTAAGGAGTACACGACGGCGTACCGCATGATCCTATATTGCTCAAGTTAGAAATATTTTTTTCTCAAAGATGGAAGAGAACATATTGGCATGGGCTATATACAGCTTGATTTCGTTGGTTGAAAAGATTCGGATCGTGCGGTTGTCCAAAGGCGTTGTAATATTCTGTCTTTGGCATTGTTTTATGCCCGCGAACATATACAGTTTGAACTGCGTCCTTGCAAGTGACACTGAGCTTATCTGGTCCATATCTCACAATAGGTCCATATTTCGCATGGAGGCGAGTTAAGCGGTAAGGTTGCTTTCCAGTCAGCCATTCCCTCACTTGCCAGACATCGGTCAAAGAGGCGAGGAAGGGTCCGGGATAACGTGCGAGTGGATGCCAAAATCGTTGATAGGAGATATAAACAGTCAATAGAAAGACTAGCACAGTGACTATCTTCTCGTTAGTCCCGAATGAGACTGAACGAAGTAGAGCTTCGAGATTGAGAGATTCTTTCATGGAGCTTGACGTTATGCTGTATAAAATTGATCAGAAGTGTGATCATGGGGCATAAAAATTTTCGATAAGACTTATAGAACACAATTCCTCCTTAAAGACTCTTAGCAGAGTTCAAAATTTTACTAGTAACTTGATTTGAGAGAATGATTTTTCAAAACCTTCCGCGTGAACGGACTCTACGGAGTATGGTGGTGGGGTTCCCCGAGATCTGCGTCTCAACTTCTACTCTATGGTATTACTATTGGCTTGGCAAAGCCGACACAAAGAACAAGTAAGTACTTTCGACAAACCTGCCACTTGATGAGACTTCTGTTCACTAGTAACGGAGACCCCGCAAAATCTCCAAAATTCAAGCCACCGGGAAGTGGGACAAAGACTCGAGGAAATGTGGAGAAGGTAGACCTTGAGCTCGAAGCTTCGTTATCGTCCAGTCAACCCCACATGAGGTGAAATCCTAAAAATTTATCTTGAAACCGGCGGTAAGCCGAATATAGATGCTAGAGAGGAGAGAAAAATGTGTGGAGATGGTATGGAGAAGGAAGAAAGGGAAGCAGTACTTGGGGGTCTATCACTTGAGGGCTACTAGGTACTACATTTGGAAATCAAAAACATGTCCCAAATAGAACACGCCTCTGAAAGGGTACAGGCCCTCCTTTCTTTCCAGGCCAGTTTTTCTCAAAGTACTATGTTTTTGCATAAACCAACTACTATGAAATACCAGAAGAGAGATACTAGGTTTGAGTGAAATATTGAATTGTTTGTAAGATATGTAATTGTAAGAATCCATTTTCCATATAATGCACCATTGCTAGTACTTAGGCACTTGCAAGTCATTCTATTGGGCATAGAAAGAGTCCTTGGGATTTTACAACAGCTATACAAAACGCGGCTTCGCAACACTCGACGCTCTATTGAGGGGTGCGAGTGTCTCCCTGGCAGCTCTAACCTCGTGAAGAATGGTCGAGGCTCGTTCTTCATTGCGAGGAATAAAACGAACATTGAAAGGCTCCGGCCTCATATTCTCAGACTGGCTAAAGGCAAAGATGTCAAATTTTTCCTCGCGACCCTGCATGATTAAATTAGTTCAGTGTTCATGTATTCGATGGGGAGTTTTGATCATACATCTTGCATCAAGGCGGGCTTCATCTCAAAGGACCATAGAAGCCGAGCAAAGGTTAGAAAGAGGCCCTGTTCTGCCAGAGGCTGGCCACTGCATTGACGCCGGCCCCAACCAAATGCGCTATGTCCCTTTTTATTAGGGAATGGTCGTCTTTCTTCTAGGAACCGATCAGGATTGAATTGATCCGGTTCTGGAAAATCTTGTTCGTTGCGATGGATACTCCAGACATTTCCTGCAATCCATGTTCCCTTTGGGATGTTATAGCCGTCGTAGACGTCGTCTTGGATTGGAGCATGTGGGATCCCTCCTAGGATAGTGACTGTTCGCCACCGAAGACTTTCACTAACGAGAGCCGCACAATAAGGCAGGCTTTCCTTGTCCGTCCAGTCTGGCATACAATTTTGACCAACTACTTGGTCTATCTCTTCAAAAGCCTTTCTTTGCACATCTGGAAATGCACACATGGCAAATATAAAGCTCAAGGTAGTACTGGCTGTAGTGTCGACCCCTCCACCAATTAAATTTCCAGTCAAGAATGCTATCTCATCATCGCTCAGATTAGACTCTTTCTGCTCCTGGATCAGCATTGTTGAAAAATTTGGCAATGAAGTCTCAGAGGCACCTTCATGCGCCAGAGATGTGAAGAATGCTTTGAGTTGAACACTGCTATCTTTCATGGTTCTGGCTAGAGGATAGACAATCTTTGGTAGGTTGAGGAGGAATGGAATTGATTCCATAATGAATAATCCCGGGATAGCCATGTCAACGCCTTCCATAAACTTCAGAGCAACTTTGGCAACCGTGTCATCCATCCTATCGATGCGTCGGCCGAATCCGACACTTGAGACAACCGAGACGGAATATCGTTCAATTGCCTTGACATAGTCTTCAGGTCTCTCAAGTAGATCACCGATGAGAATTTTGATTTCGTTATCTTGGATAGGTTGGTGGTTTCGAACAGCTTGCGACCCAACCACATTATGCATAAGTCGACGGTGGTGGCGCCACATATCTCCATAAGGAAGCACGGCCTGGTCATATGCAGTCGCATCCCGTGAGTCCCCGAGCATTGTCATTTCCGGCCGAGAGGAATATATATTTGACCTTTTGTCAAGGATCTCAGAGATAGACCAGGCATCATGAAAAAATATCATCGGCCTATGACCTCGCCAAATCGTGATGGTGGAGCTTTTATATTTCTTGGATTGCTCGTCCATCCACAGCCATGGACGGGGAAGCTTCACTTGAAAGTGATTCCCAACAAGTGGCCAGGGGAAAGGGCCGGGTGGAAGCTTTTGACGTAGCCTCAGGATTCGAATGTAGTCTCCAAGAAAGTAAAGGATGGATAAGAGAAGTATATATAAAACAGCATCGGCCATAAAGCGGGGAACGGATGAACCTCTCAGTATGGGTTGTGGATTGATGAGAAACGCGACCATGGTTAGCACTTTCAAGGTAATCAAGAGACAAAGAAAAAGTGAAAGTGAATACGCATGAACGAGATGAAGTTGACAAGGTTGGTAGTGCGTGATTACCAGTTAAGAGTATGTGCAATTTCAAAATGACGTATATGCGAGAAGAAAAGCGAAAAACGGGTCTTCAAAACATTGAATGTTCAAGTTTTCATCCACTTGAATGTTTCTCACTTGGGTAGTCAACCGTTGATGAGGTATAGATACATTTTCCTTAAGCTTCGAACATGATTTGATTGTTCTCCCCTCACTGTGGCGTTGCGGGGAACTCCACATCTATCACGGATATATGTATCGGCTACCCCACAATTCAATGTCACTTTTCATTCAACCTTGGAAGTTTACAAAGCTCAGGATACCCCAGGATTCCAAGGTTTGAATCCTCCCCCACATTATCCGCACCTAGTGGCTGAATTTTGACTTGAATATAAATCCGTCGGGAAACAATCTAAATCCGGTTTCAAGTTCATCCATTTCATTTTTTCACTACGTAAAGTGCATCCTGTTACAACCACTTACTCTCGAGCTCAACACATCAATCTATTTAACATGGAAAATACGACCGGAAATATCTCCATCATCCAAAAGGATATCTCCTCATTGAGACATCCTCAGGCTCGCTACAATGGGCTGAATCCTGGTTCGGTCGTTCTAGACAAGGGTTCCCAAAAGACGCCGCGCTCTCGGCCCCTGCAGGTCGATACCATATGGGAGAGAGACATCATAGTGTCACTCAGAGATGGAATCCAGCTTCGCGCTGATATATTCCGTCCCCAGAATGCAACTGAAAAGATACCCATTCTTCTTGTTTGGACCCCCTATGGAAAGTCCGGAACTGGTGAGTAGTGTTCCTCACATACATTAATTCTTCACTATATTCTCCATTAATTTCAATGTTCTAACATAGGTTGTTAGGAATGTTCTCTATGGAGCTTGTCCAGGCACGTGATGGGATTCCAGAAGAGATGCTGAGTGGATATGAGTGCTTTGAAGGCCCAGATCCAGCGGAATGGAATTTACATCAATATGCGGTCGCTCATGTAGATGCAAGAGGATGCTTCAAGTCACAAGGTGATCACGTGTATGTTCAACTGGAATCTATAAAGTATATCCACATGTCCAATCCAATGCTAAAAGAGAGGCAGATGGCATGGAACAACTGAGGGCCTTGATGGCTACGATACTATTGAGTTCCTGAGTCAATTTGAATGGAGCAACGGGCGTGTCGCTTTGATAGGAAACTCATGGCTAGCCACTTCGCAGTGGTTTATTGCGGCTGAGCGTCCACCGCACCTCGCCTGTATCCTGCCTTTGGAGGGCTTGAGTGATGTATATCGTGAGACACTTTGCCGTGGTGGTGTTCCATATTTGCCTTTCTGGACATTTTTGCGGGATAATGGACTCTATGGTATTTGAACTTCCTGTTTCCGACTCCTGTTATGCAACCCATGAGGTACAAATGGACTGATCTGTGCAGGCGAGAATAAGCAAGAAGACGTAATTGCCATGGTGGAGAGACACCCGCTCATGAATAAGTACTGGGAAGATAAACGAGCCAAGGCTCACCTGATCGAGGTGCCTGCGTACGTTCTCGCGAGTATGTCCACGGGATTACATACTGTCGGATCAACAAGATGCTTTGAAGATATACCCCATCAAAATAAGTGGTAAGTACTTTTCTCATTCGTGCTTCTCTGAAATAATTTTCTGCATAAGACGACTTAATCGAAAAAACAAAAAGGTTACGTCTTAATCCGACCCAGGAGTGGCATGACCTCTATCAACCTGAGACCGTGTCTGATTTAAAGGGTTTCCTTGAGCATTTCATGAAGGACGTCAAAAATGGCTGGGAACAGATGCCAAGGGCACGGATATCTGTTCTTAGATTCAATCAGGTATATATTTCATTTCTCCTCGTCGTCCTATCTATTGTGGTATACTGAGGCTAACAGCTCAGTCACCATTGGTCAATATCCCATTCTCCAGTTGGCCTCCCGAGAAGACTGTGTATGAGAGATACTACCTCGCAGATGATGACGTGCTCCATCAACGTAATTCTTCAGAAATCGGAAGTGTTTCATATCAAAGTGATGTACCTGCCATGCAGATGGATAATGACAGTGAGGAGGTAATGTTCAAACACACATTTACTCAGAAGACGACGGTGGTTGGTTCTTCCAAGGCCATTCTTTTCATGTCATGCCCAGACCATGACGATCTTGACATCTTCGTTCAACTGCGGAAACTCGATCGCAACGGTAAAGTACTCCAGAACATCAACATTCCTCTTCAAGATCTTGGCGTAAAGTCGGATGAGGTGGATGATATCAATGTACTGAAGTACTTGGGACCAACTGGTGTGCTCAGAGCCAGTCATAGAGCCCTTGATACCCATCTATCGAAACCACATTGGCCGATGCACGACCATGCAAACCCGAGAAAAATTACACCCGGCCAGGTGGTGCGAGTGGAGATAGGTATATGGCCAGCGGCTATACAGTTTGAAGCTGGAGAAGGCATTTCTCTTAAAGTGTCGGGTCATCAGATGATCTTGGCTGAATTTGCTCCGCTTCGTGGTTTGTTCAAGAATGGGAACAAGGGCAGACATGTAGTGCATTTTGGAGGTGATTTCGCTAGTCATATTTTGATTCCCACGGTATCTTTTTAAAGCTGCATAATCAATGTACCTGGAAGATAATCTTATGAACATAGCTCCTTGAGATAAGTGAGTTCAATAATACACAAAATTATAGCCAGGCTGTAGCTGGGAGGGACTGGAATAGAGGAGTAATCTTTGATTTTTCATTGGGGCACTTCCGAGTCCGAATTTCTCATGGCCCTAGCCGGAGACGAATGGTTGAGGACTGCACAGGTGCATCTAATCATACCCTCTCGAAGAGTAGGCCACCCTGTTCGAGAACCAACTATCTGGAGGAACTCCTTCCACAAACGCTCTGGACTTCCTTGGTTTGATAGTATCCCAACCCCCGTGACATAAAGATGGATACCCGACCCGGTTTGAACCCAGCGTTCTCGGAGGGTTGGATCATGATACTGGTCAATCCTGAGGAGTGTTGCGGGAGGTTGGAGTAGGGAGGTTTCTTTATGTGCGTTGAGCTCTGCGCATTGGAAGCGTGTGAAGACCCATAGGTATGAAACAGCAATCAACAAACAGAAGGAATGATAGTACGCAGTACTGGTAGTGGATCGGATTTCACTGATGAGTGTCCCTGCATGGACGACACATTCCCGCGAGAGCACTGGATTATCGCGCATCCAATCGACTAGGCAAGATTCTGCAGCTGCCGCCTCTTCTTCCGACGCGTACCATCCTGAGGAAGCGTAAAGCTGTTTCCTTGAGACATGCCTCAGAATCTCAAGTAAGTGGTAAAAGGTATTTCTGTTATCCGGATTGCCAGAGAATGAGGACAGCGAGAATGGATCTGGGGCTAGAAGTTTATACTTCCAATCTAGTCTCCTGTAGGATAGTAATAAGCGTCGACTATTTGAAGATGCCCCTTGATCCTGGGCGTTGAAGTCGGAAAGAGCACAAGATTGAGATGTGTGTATGGCTCGACTTTCTTCCACAAATAGAACAGCAAGTAGAACCAGCTTATTAAATTGTGATAGTTGCTGCAGTACGTCATTTAATGCCCAATTCATGCAGAATATCTGGTTTAGGCTCATTGGCTCCGATTGGCCTAAAACTTGTTAGCCATGAATGCTTTAAGGCCGGGGAATCGAGATTGACCATTCAAAAGATCTGAAAAACTGCCCCATTGATCTTCGTTGCGCGTTTTCCACAGAATATCGGACGAAGGAAGCTTTTGTCCGTAATCCCCTGCAGTAAATGAAATGTCGACTCCCAAGAAGATGAATGACAAGCAGTCCACGACTAAAACAAGTAATGTCAATTTTCATGAAATAGTGTAGCGAACATTCGACCGGGAAGTTCTGGAAAGCAATACAAATCATGAATCAACTTACTAGCAAAACAGTATGCCAGCCGTCTTGCCGACTCGCAACGAATCCAGGACTGCCATTGATTTTGGGATTGAACATTGTTCATCTCTGTAGATAACAGGCAATCTTTATTTGTAGACGATAGGACAAATCGCCGCATGAGTGTAGCTAGCCAGGCTCTATATGCTAGCAAATTCACAGCATTATCTTTAAAACCTGTAAACATTAGGTCGACAACCAAGAGCAAGGCACACTGGGCCAAAACCATTGTGTCATATCCCCGGGATTTCAAGGCCTATGGCTCGGTTAGTTAATTCGAAATGGAGGTGAAACGGCAACTAGCGATCAAGTGCAACATACATCAATTGGAATGGAGAGTCTCAGTAGCTCTGTAAGCATCGAGGCATACTTATATCGTTTAGAAGCCTTAGTATATTGGCATCCAACGGATGCCACAGCCAGGGCGAGGATCCAGGGGGTATCATTCTGCTCCAATAACGACGGATGAATAAACGACAATTGTTCATCAAAATACTCATAATACAGTTGAATAAAAGAATTGAAAACAGAACATTGCGGAAAGGGAAATGCCTTGAATCGAGGATCCGCCTGTTGGGCGTAGAACGCAAGAATAATTTGGTATGCATCATCCAGATTCGTTCTGACGTGACAAAAGTTCTCCGCCACGGCGATATCATCATCACTCAGTTTTGCAGCGAGTAGATGGGTGGAATTTGATGTTGCTGCCAGGCCATGACGCTGCTCTCGCTGTTGATTCAGTGCGGAAGCCCCCCCTTTCCGGTGTCGAAGGCTCTTCTGTACGCAACAGACCCTCGTGGCTTTGTGGAATAAAGGCACCTGAGACAAAAGGGAGCGGAAAGTAATCTAATTGAGTTGCTGATTCCAGCGCCGAATGGTCAAGCCCTGGATAGCTTTCGGGGAAGAAAGAGGCGTAGTCGAGCGTCCAGGGGAAGTCGGCGTACACGTTCAGACCCGCCCATGAGACGTTGTCACTAGCCAGAAAAGCGACTTGGCCAACCTGCAGTTCATGAGAAGTACTCGGGTTTAATTGGAAATTCGAGTGATCAGATGGTAATTGTCCGGCCGGCGATGAGATTTGTACAGCATCGCCCACGATACTGGTGGTTGGTACATCAGAGTCTGACTCATGCGCTTGGTTTTGCCAATCTTCAAGACGAGATAATCGGCCATTGGAGAGTCGATTGGGGTTACGGTTTCGTTGAACACAATTGCGGCCTCTGTCCTGACACCGGTCACAGGGATTTCCGCCGCTGCATTTCACCTTGTCTTTGGAGCAACCTTGACAAGCACCAGCGCCTCTTGTGCGAGCAAGTAGTCCTTGAGCTTCAGTACCATGTATTGCAACATGGCGAGATAGCGTATCCCTTCAATATAATTTTATAAGCATGAAGTTTCCCGGTCAAGGTGCCAATCAAATGCTGAAAACTCACCGCCGTGAGAAGGATCGGGAACATAGGGGGGCAGGCGTACGGGCGCGCTCCCGAATGACGGCGAAGATGACGCTCAAGATGCTCGCGTCGAGTGAATTTCTCTTGGCAATAGTTACATTCCATACCAAAATAATGCAGCACAGCCTGTAGCCTGGACTGAATAATGCGTCTTACCCTGACTTAGAGGGGAAGTTGTAACTTGAAGTGTTGAGGCGGAAACTGGCGGCAAACCCCACAATTTCCCCACATTTTACCTGACCATTTTAGAACGCCACAGGGATGAAGGTATCTGGAGGTGCAGACCCCTCAAACCGCGGGGCCCAGAAATTTAATTGAGCGTTCAACTAGAGATGGGTTTCGTGAAATTTGATAGGTTATCCTACATTACCGGCCTCAACTCGGACTTCTTTACTACTACGTAACTAGACTCGAATCTCGATGGAACATTGAAGACAAAATGAAAACAAGGATAAAAGGAGTAATACACATCTGCATGTACTATTTACACGAATCTAAAGGCCATACGGGACATCTGTCATGAATAAATATACACATTCGGATAAAATATATCGCTTGCAGAGTTACAGATGGGAAGAAGATGCAGTTCCTGACCAATCCGACTGCTGCTTGTCTGAAGATTGCATAAACGGCAGGCGAAGAATAGCAGAGATGAAGGGTAAGCAAATTTTGCTAGCAATTGAGATAGACTTGCCCAAAACTCCATCAAAGTCCAACGTCTATCAATAGGGGAGCAAGTTAGTGCATCTGTGCTTGAATTTTCAGTAGAGGTTCTGTTCATGCGACCCTTACCGGCATTGAGACTCCTCCACTTTTCCAAACCCAGTTGAAAGAACGCTCAATCATGGCAGCCTCATATTTATCACAGGCCAGTGAGATTTCCTTGGTCTTCGGTGAGGATCCACTTAAGGCTATATCGTTCAGTTCGAGCAAATGTGGGAGAATATCGGCGCAGTCATGCATTGCTTGGTTTCCGCCCATGCCACTATTGGGTTGAAGACAGTTGTTAGCCCAATTACGTTTGACTATGTGTTGTGCAACTAGCTTTGAGGATTCAAAATTCATACCGATTGGGTTGCATGGCGTGAACTGCATCACCTAAAAGCCAGACTCGAGCATGGCCTTTTCCTGGCTCTCCTCCATGACTCGTCTGTCGAAGTTGTGATCTCCAATTTTTATCTGGCTTGTTACTGGCTCGCAAAGCTGTAACATAGATGTCGCTCGATTCCTCGTCATCTTGACCTGTCTCAAGGAGAGTTTGACTATATTCCAGAATAATAGCATTTTGTCAGTAATTCTTCTCTCAATTGAAATGCGGTTGTGACTGACAAATCAGGGGCCCAGTCCTTGATCATTTCAAGACAAAACTTGAGGCGATCCGGAACATCCTTATAATTATCGTATTCCTTGGATAGAACCTTTGGGATATTCAATCCCCAGTAGAACGAGGCATCGGCCTCGTCGTAATCAACACCGTTATTGGCCGTCTGGTTTTGATCGCGCTTTGCGGGTTTGTACACTATAAACCATGTCAGTGGGACTTTCCGATCTGGTAGTCACTGCATCTTACAAGCATAAAAAAATGAGATCCCGTTAGAAAATACCAGGACGGGACCCTTTTGAACTTGTGCCGGGAGTTTGTCGAGTCGATCCCTGGGGAGCTTTCCTTTGGATAAGAAAGACCAGTGAGAGTCAATGTTGACTATGTTTTCCAGACCAAGTGCTTTGTTTACTCGAGAGCCGCTTCCATCCGCCCCAATCAGGATATCGCATTCATCAGATGTGCCATCAGCAAAGAGAACCTTTACCTTCTCATCAGCACCAGAGGCGTCACGGATGATCTCAAAAGTAGAGAATGCCTTATCGTAGTGAGCATTGCCGCGCGGTTTCACCGGGTCAAGAAGTAAATTTCGACAAGTTACCCGGTTGATCGCGAAAGATTTGGAATACGTAGGCAAAGTAGTCAAATCAAGGATTGACTGGAACTTCGTGGAGTACAAACATGGAGCTGCACCTTCTGACGAAGCGGTCTGTCCAAATCTTTCGATAATCTTTTTTAAATCCTCATCTGCAAGACATGCCTTGAAGCCGGTAATCGCGGAGTCTCCTAGACGAATCTGATAGCCCTCTCGCTTACTATTCTCCGGGTCTCGCTCGTAAATAGAGAAAGTGACATTGTTTTTGAGAAGTCCGTTGGCTAGCAAAGCACCTGCGAGGCCAGCGCCAATGATAACAACCTTGAATGGAGCTGGCTCCGACATCTTCGGCACGAGCTGGGGTAAGGGGATGGTTTCTGTTAAGAGCTTTGCTTGGTCCCAAAGATTTGAGAGGCAAGTCTTACAAAATATTTCTTTTTCTCTCTCAAAGCCCTTGAATTCTGCTTAAATCTGTCACCTACCGCTATTGTGCGTCACATTATCTTGGTAATAAGTATTGGAAGGCTGGATGTCCTCGTGATCGACATTCCCTCCACCTTGCTCCGTTGCGGGGAGCCGATGCTGCAATATTCCAATATTACCAAATTTATTCGGAAACCCCCACCGGCACCGGCTCTCCACCAGTCAATTCAATTTTTGGATATGTTGACTACACTCCGCGTCTTCTTCTTGGTCTCTAACATTAGAAAAAAGAAATATCCTTTTTCTCATTCGAATTGGTATCCCATAAATTGGTCTTTCAACGCAGCTATCTGAGTACGAAAAATTCATTTGAATGCTCAAAGGGACATAATCTAATCATGACAAATGATACCACACTTGAATATTTTGGTACATGACCTGAATCAATTTATATTTGAATATTCTTTTATCTAATTACAATATTTCCAGGTGCCACAACATTCCGCCTCCGGGCAGCGGGCTTGGCAATCTTCCACGATACATGGTTGGATCGGCCATCACGGATGCCAAAGTGGTTAGATATCAACTCCGTAACTGAAGCGGATTACATTCTTATATCACACGCCCATTTTGACCAGTAATTGATCTCTCATTTCAGTTTGTTTACACACAATTATTAACTCTTCATAAGTCTTCCTGGTGCCGACAAAATTGCCTTAAATACAGGCGCCATCATCATCGCCAACTGTGAGGCAATCAACAGACTTCGGGATAAAGGTGTTCCAGACGATCAACTTGTCCCAGTCTCTGGAGGTGAGCGTATTCCATTGTTCACCAAGGATGTGCGTGATGCGGCAAAATCTGGACAAGTCGCTCTGCGCGCTGGCCCTCCCGGGGCACCTGCCGAGCCTCATCATTCGCTAGCTGTGGCGGATGTTCATATCTGGCCAAGTCTTCACTGCCTTATCCCTGGCACCCACGATACACTACCAGATATATTCGACTCTGGTACCGAGTATGCCGGAAGTGCAACGCCATATGATGGTACTTTAGACATCACTCGCGGGATGAAGTACGGGTTGTTCAGATTGAAGGAGATTATCGGAGAACAAAACATGGATAAAGATACAAGATCTTTCACAGATTGGATGGAGGATAAAAATGAGAACGTGATGTCTGCGTGTGATGGAGGGCAACTGTTGTTCAACGTGTTAATCGGGGGTAAGCAAGGGGGAAAGTCTAAAAACGTTTTATTCAACGGGCATCTCGGCGCGTATGAGGGTATTGTGAAGGAAATTCGACCAAAACCCGATATCGCAGTGCTGGGCATTGCTGGAAGGGCAAACCTGAATGGGAGACCATTTGACGGATCCGCAGCCATGTTTGCCACGAAATTGGTCAAGTGGATGGGAGAGCCGGAAAGAGTCATCTGGTGTTTGCATGATGAATGGTAAGTTTCCATGAAATGAGTCAGAGGGTGCTGCTTGGTGGCTAACCGGATTGACGTAGTCTCATAAAACCCTACCGGGTTGATACGACAGCTGCAACGCAAGCCGTAGAGGCGGATACGAGATCAAAAGTAATGGATCTGCAACATGGCCAGTTGTATAGCCTATTTTCTGAAGGGCCGTAGAGTGTGCTCTATAACCAGAAATTCGAGGTGGATTGCACATGTGGGCGAGAAGAAGTTACAAAACCAAGGAAGCAACAGAAAAAGTAATGTAAACGTTCAGTCATCAACTTGGACATTCAAAAATACCATACTCAAGTCTCCAGCAGCAAACTTGGAAGATATCTTTTCATGCCTCAAATGCTCCATCTGGTAAGATTCCATCAAGTTACTTACCCTGGGATAAAAAGGACCTCATCCATTCAATTTTCAGATGTTTATATTGCCTCCACAGCGTAAGCAATTTCTCCGCAGATGCTCCTTACATTCCAAGGTTGCTAGGTTCAAACTCTCCTTCCAAAGACATATACTAAAATGTAACGCGGCAAGTTGGATTACCTGGAATTCCATTATGTACCAAGAGCCAGGGAAAAAAATACAAAAAACAAAAACATACAACAGTCAGGATTCGCATGTGGTCACCCACCATACTACTAACTGACCGGCGTGTGGCTTAAGTACGGCTGAGCGGACGGGAAGCCCTGTTCTCCACACCCTGTGGTCGTATGTACTAGGTGGATGTAGATTTTGGACTATATAGAGCCTGAGTGTTAGACAACACAAGAGAGATAGAGAGTAGGGACGACTTGATCATTTTTGAAGATGATAATGACCGTGGGAAGCTAATAAAAACCAGTGCCATCATAGGTATGTTGATGCTTGGAAAATGTCATAGTAACAATTGGAATGATCCCACCAGTAGAATATCAGAAAGGCTTTTGTGAATAGCTTAACCTTGGAAGTGCTTGTGAAAACTTGAATTTGAACATTAGAGCTGTGTTGCCCAGATCGGTGGCAATGGTACATATTCAAACTAGATAATCATACTAATTCAAGTTCAAGGAAAAACAAAGACTCGGAAAGATGTTGTAAACCTTGGAAGCCCGGGGCCTGGAGCCAAAACTGAACATTAGTCATTCATTCCTATCGCTCTTCTACTACTTGTACAAATGTCTTTTTCACAGTCACTCCAGGGGGTTGTCCGTATGAAGCCACTGGCCTGAGCTCAGGATTCAAAGCCTCCTGGCTACCGTTGTCGTCTGCAAAATTGTTTGACCGCGGTGACGAAACGGTGTTAATCACGAGTTTGCCACTGCCCGCATCTATGTCAGGCCGCCAATAGCTTGGGTCATCACTTTCTTTCACACGATTGCTCTTGAAGCTATACAGCGGGTAGCTGACTGTTTTTCTTCCTTGTTTTCGCGCATTTCGTCCATACGAAATACTTCCATCCAGCAGCCAACGGAATAAGGGACGAAGGGTGATAAGGCTCCCAGCGATAATTCCAAGGCCTGTTTCGATGATAGACCAAATAGCAATTTGATAAGTGGAATCTTTGAATCAGAAAACCGAAGAAGGTAGAAGATCATTAGTACAAGGTCCGATCTAACATCAGCGATAAAGGGGATTGTATCACAGACTGTGTAAATCTAAAATACAACTTGAAAGGTCACTCACATAGGAAATCTGAATCAGCATAGTAATGCAAAAATGGAAGTCGAATCACCACAGCCACACTTGCACTAGTAAAAATCAGCCTTTGACCATTTAGCGCGTCAAAGGGGACAAAATTACTCACATGGCCCCCAAGCTCAAAATACTGCCAACTGCTACTTTTGTTCTTTGGTTCATCTGCAAATTCCAGACCAAAATGATTGGCAATATTCCAAGGGTGAAATCACAAATTATCGTGAGGGAACTGTAAAGATAGGCAATATCAAGCAAAATTTTGACGCTCAGACATGTCCCAGAGCCTGCTGAAGGATCTGCTTGATCCCAGAAGTATGATATTGGGTGACAGTCGAGAAGCAAGACAAGCCAGAACATGAGAGCAATGATGATAGCAAGACCAATGACTGCATACAGTATCATTCGATGTAGCTTTTTGACTGTCAACCGGAGTAGTGCAAGCGCAATAGATACCTTTGCAACAACGGATGCCCATAGATATAGCATCTGACCAAGCCACCACCACTATAAAGATCTGATTAAAAAATTACACATTCAAAAATAGGGTGAACATTGAAGACAAATGGCGTACAAGGAGTGCTCTTTTATATAACTCCAGGTTTTTGAAATCGGTTTCAGTGTGACCAATGCCATCCTTTGACCCAATCATGCAACATGTACCTAATACGATGAACAAAGCCTGTGAGAGATAAGTTAGAACACAAAATATACCAAGTGTATTTGAACCTCCGAAGCAAGAATACCAACGCTGCAACCATCAGAGTATCATCCCAACCGAAGGCCCGGACAATATACATGCGCACGAAGACTCTCAACGAGACAGTGATAAAAGACAGGACCATCATCACGATTGAAACGGTAAAGATGGCCAAACTCCGACCCACGAGGGGCATCGAAGAGGCCATTTCGAAATTTCAATGATCTCCTTCTGCCTCCTGTTCTACTGCATTGAGATATCGTTGCTCAATGCCCGCCTGGCCAAATTGTGACAGGAAGTACTTTATCCACTCGCAAGGAGAATAAGAAGCTCGAAATTGGTCGAAAGGGGAAAAAGAGGAGAAAAAGAAAATTCTCAATCTCACGGAGAACGGAAGACGAGATATAAGCGATGCGGCTGGGCAACACATAACATCTCAAGCCGACGGCGCAACCACGCAATGGCATAGGGGCGTGAAGTGGAGTTCCACAGATCTCCGCCTCAACCCTTTCACTGATCGATTAAGTTGCTGAAGGCGATGGACGGGACGCATTGTAACAGATATTCTGATCTCAGGCAAACGTCCGTGTACTAAAATCTGCTAGGCCCCACTTTGTGGAGTAAATCGGCAATCTTTTGTCTGGGCTCGTGAGACGGAGGGAAATCCATCCAGTTAAAAAGCGCGACATCTCCACATTGGAGAACACTATTGGGGCCAGGATCGGGATATTTTTCCCGGAAGGGGTACGGCATTGAGATTTTAATCTATTCCGCCGAGATCTAAACGAACGCCCAGAACACAAATATCCCGCAAGAAGCATAGTGTATAGAGAACAATAAGAGCTAGTGATTCTCCATTTCAAAAGTACGGAGTACGGAGAAAAATTAGTCGAGCTGAGATGAAACAATACCTTTTTGCCGAACTCCAAAGAGGAGCTTGAAACATCATCCGCCGGATGACATATAATTGCCAGTGATTTATACCTATTGATATCTATTATTGCCCAGGCACTTGAGGTGGCCAATCCATCATCCTCAACTATAACATTGAAAACTGGACATCTAATTATCTTGCGTACAACATTTGCACGATCCGTATGGGCAATCTTGGAATACATGTCATGTGGGAATAGAGGGGGTGTAAGCTAGCCCAGACTGTATTTCTATTGCTTGGTTTGTGGCCATCAATTAGCCTATGAGCCCGGATACCAGATTCGAATGCTCTACTCCGGACGAGTACTTGATTTCACAGTTTGATAACCTCAAGGCTCACAATTGACTTGATATTTGCACTATAAGTTCCACTTTTATGTCGTATCCGGTACATACGACCACAGGGTGTGGAGAACAGGGCTTCCCGTCCGCTCAGCCGTACTTAAGCCACACGCCGGTCAGTTAGTAGTATGGTGGGTGACCACATGCGAATCCTGACTGTTGTATGTTTTTGGTTTTTCCCTCTTTCTCCTGGCTCTTGATGAGGGAATTCCAGGCAATCCCTTCACCTGAATCCCCTCTTTTTCATCCCCAACGGAACACTCACAATTGCATCTGGGTGGGAATTAGCTACTAGTACTTTGATAATAACTTGAACATATTCCAAGGCATTCCAAGCTTGTCTGTCTTCAAGTTGTCAACAAAAGAAGACACCACTATAATGATGCCATTGATATGTAGAGGGTAGGTCCTAGGGGTGCAAATCGTGATGGCTCACTACATAAGCAGGAATAAAAAACCTCTAGGGCTTGGAAACCTTCCAGGTTAGGATGGAAGGTGCCCAAGTGCCAACGAATTGATGGATCAAATTAGCCAACAAGAGCAGAGCGATGTATTGGTTCCCATTAGTCTGACTGATTCCTATTGTTTGATCAATTGAATCTTCAAATCTTCTTACCCCAGATTCAAGGCTCATTCGAGTCCCTCCTCTGATGCTAGCAGGATAAGAAAGAGAATGTGCAGTTAAATTGATGTGATAAGGTTGCTATGATATATGCTCAGCCTAATTCCTTCAGAACATCGACTTTACGGCCATCACTTGGCTGGGTTTCGTCGGGTAGGTCGACCGGTCCATGAGCAACCGTTCCACCTGAAATAACCCGAATGCGAAAGACGGGCTTTTCTCCAGAAGTCTTCATGCATTCATGGTGATATTTCCCACCGCTGCTTGACTTGTTGTCACCGTGTGCTCTGTGCCAGCGTCCAACAGGGTCCCCGTAGCAATTGAGATTTCCATACTGGATATGCTCAGCGTAGTCTGCTAATGTTGCCTTTTTATCCAGCTCACGCTTTCCCTTTGCCTGCAAGAAAACAATTAGCGGGGGAGGACAAACGCTTCAAGTGAGGATAGCCGACCATATTGGGATTCTATTTGGTAAATGTAATCTGCTGGCAAGTGCCAATCCGCAGCAACAGAAAAAGCTTCCAGTGAACAGGTCCCGAGGTCGACTGGAGGATAAAGATAAAGGAAGCCCTTCAAGTTATTTTGCAAATATATAGGTAATGTTTGTTTGTCTAGATGTCGGCGAGAATTCGACTCTTTGGTGCCGTCAGGCTTTGTACGGGAACTGGGAATGGCATTAGAAACTTGCAATGTTTGAATTCAATGGAGTGTGATCTTACCTCGTCCACAGATAGCTAAGCAAAAATTTACTCTATCAAATAGCCGCAAGGATACTTGGACGTATGGAAGACCTGGTTTGATCTTGGAGTTGAATTAAGAATGGAGAGCAAGGAAAGTAGGGAAATTCCACTGAGTATTTATGTTTAATAGACAGACAGTATTCCTATCCAGACAGGGATGGGATTTAGTGCTCATCACATCCAGATGTACTATTAAAAGTAAGATACATGAGTACTCCTTATATACATTCGATCTAGAATAAACTGCCCAGGCTCACTCAACCGTAGGATCGGCAGAAAGACCCACCGAAAGGGGCATTGCCGCACTGCCAAAAGCCACCATCGACCAAAAACGCAATTTATAGAATTCAATCAAGACCAATTAAAGCTCTACAGAGATTCGAGGGCTTCCTGGCGGCTGTTGATTGATTATCAGTGCTTTTAGGGATATGAAACATTTGGATACATAGAATGAAACTTGGTAAGATAAGATCATCCTGAGATCAAGTGCCGAGTTTCATCTTGCTGAGCTGGGTAGCTCAGAACCAAATAGACGCATGTTTCTCCATACTCCGTATATTAATCCGAGTCCACCTTGGCATGTATATGGGCAAGTTTCACTACGCGCTGCGAATTGCTTCCTTAGGCAGCGTGGTGGGCTAGGCGCCCTTGGCTGAAAGCAGTGTGTTGCAGGCCGTCACTTGGCTCCCTAATTGGCCAACTCCAAACTTCCAGGCACCCCGCCAAAAACTATCCTAGTTCAGAACTTCGGACTGCCCTTTACACAGACTCTACCATCACTCCTCAGATCCTCTATATCCAGCCAGCAAATTATTCTCTCGGCCAAAATGGACCAGAAAGAATCCTAGTGGGTAAAATCCCCGTCGAAATCACCACGAAATGCTAATAATCATCGCAGTGAATGTCTATATGTGGTTAGGAATATGATTAAACTGCATCTGGAAGCCCGGAATGATGAGAAATCAGCAACCGCAGATGCGACAGTCATCAGTGTCTTTGAGCCTTTTACTTTATCCTCTGTGTTGATTGTTTGAATAAGTGAAAGTCTTCGATCGGCGGTTTGCTACTCAGCTTCAAAAAGACGAAAAACTTCAACCTTGGACAGCCATTATCCAGAAAGATTATCATCATTTGTTCGCGATAGTGGCGCTGAAGGTTTCTTGTTGCGCTCAATAATGATGGTGACGTCGCAAAGCAGGATGAGCCATGGAATAAAGTCCAGGAAGAGGCATATCTGCATGATCATCTCTTAGATCTATACAAGACAGAACTTATGGTCTACAATTTACTGAAGGATTTACAAGGGAAAGATATTCCTGGTTTGTTTGCCACTGTTCTCATACCAGGAACTGATACAGATATACTAGAACCAGTCACTCAAGGCTTTCCTGGGATTCTTTCAAAACATATTGAAGGATTTCCTTTGACTAATATCGCTCATCACGCTCCAAAGGAAACCTGGCAATCTATCTGTGATGAAGCTATCAGGATTCTTCATTTACTGGGCGATCGGGGAATTCTCAATGAGGATGTTAAAACCAGGAGCTTCATCGTCAATCTGGATTCCGAACAGCCAAAAAATTCAAAGTGACTATGATCGACTTTGCGCTCTGCAAATTCCGGGAAGATTATAAAGACGAACAGGAGTGGAGTGAATCGAAGGCCATACAAGAAGAAGAAGAGGCAATTGGACTCATCATGCGAGATAAACTTAACGGCGGATTTGTGTATCAACGATCGGAGCGATACAAAAAGCCAGCTAGTTACTACGAATGAAATTTGAATTCAAGTTATTTTGGGAGATGGCCAAACGGTCTTTATTGTCTCATTATATAGCACTGGCAGTCAACACTTGAACTCAAACCCTGGAGTAAAGACCCCAGCACACAGCGAGGTTGGAAAGAACATAGCGTGTGAGTTTACTAGTAGTATCTTTCATTGAAAGAAGCTCTCAGCAAGTTGATGCCAATGGTATGGACTAAGTTGAGTATTCATATCACCGCTAAAAGAATTATAGCCGCTTGCAGTGCCTAGCCTTAGGTTCTAAATCAGTTTCTCTGTGTAAAATGTGGAAGCAAATTTCGAGTTTGAGTATTTATCTCTACTATCCCTTGCCATCATGAAACAAGCAGATTTGCAATATTCTGGGTCTCCTTAAAATGTTCGCGACAATGGAAGGTGGATCTAATAAAATGTGCAATATGAACCGAGATTTGGATCTACACACCAGTCATCTGGAGACAGCCGGGCACGATCCAAAAGAGTTTGGTAATTCAACCCGTCGATGTTTTTGATCTCTGTATTAGCGTTTCGCGCACAAAGTATCCCGATTGTCTCCATTTTGATATTCCGAGCGGCCTTGTGAAAAGAGGTCTCACGGGTGCACGCATCTCGAACATTGATCGAAGCGTGGGCATTCAGAAGAACGTTGATACCATCTACCCATCCCTTGGCTGCAGCCAAGTGTAGCGCCGTCATATCTTCCGCCATTAAAGCATCAGGATCAGCCCCACTCAACAAGAGTAGCCTCAAGATTATTGGCTCTGGCCGCAACGTGCAACGGAGCAGTCCCTGGAGCGTAAGGTTCGGAGAGAGCGGGAAGATCGAGTAAAGTTCCATGCTCGAGCAATAACTGGAGTATATCAATTGGTTTACCGTTTACTGCTTCATGTATCGGTGCCCAACCCTCATGAAACGTCAGCTAGGTAAAAAAAGCAACAGATTGGGAGGTTAAACCGACATGATTATAGCTTCGAGCATTCAAGTCCGCTCCGTTTTTTAGCAGCAATTTTACCGTTCTTGGATCGTTTTCCATGCATGCTTCCTGTAAGGCGGTCCAACCAGCGCTGTTTCTGGCGTTTGGATTTGCACCATACTGCAGTAAAAGCTCTAGAATAATAGCATGCTTTCCAGGCATAGCCCAATGTATGGGAAATCTACCGCTGGTCATTGCAGACCGCTGGTTGATCTTGTTTACCAGACGATAGTAGCTCAGGCTGTACTGTCGGATATTTGGTATAGCTCCCTGGACCAGCAGAAACCTTGTAACCTCTGCGTCTCCAAGCTCGGCCGCTATTGAAAGCGCGGTGCGTCCAGTACGAGGATCCTGAGCATCGATGTCGACATGACTCAAAATTATCTCTATTATAACCAGGGAGCCTCGTCGTATCGCGTACAAAAGTTCCTTAACGTATCTCGGATCAGGAGTGGCCTTTCTTGTGTGCAATAACGAAGCGAGCGAGGACGACGTTGCAGTATTCGAAAGCTGCTCAACGTATTCGATAATTAAAAATCCAGCATCATCATTGAATTTGCGCTTTTGTTCTGGAACTGAGGCTTCTGAGTCGGTATCACCAGCATTATTATCAAGTTTCTCGTTTCCCGTATGTGAGACAGGGAGGTCTTTGGTCATCATTATCGAGGTTCTGAAGGAGAGAAGACTTGCAAATGTTAGTGGTTAAATTTGTGCAGAACAACGTAGGATCAATTTCAAGTACACAAAGTGTTAGATTCCCCATGGCATCCGAGAACATTCCCTTTGTAATTTGAAAGCGCGAGATGGAGGCAAATATCCCGCCTCTATTGAAGTACCACGAAACAGACCCACTTTAAATGCGTAGGATACGATGAATCTTTGAATTACCTTCTAGATTCTGAGCGAAGGAGGTTTCGGGCTGAAAGTGCCTTTCAAGCCTCTGCTGAATCTGAAGGCAGTCCTGATGACAATTTTCGATGGGATCAAGCAGATCATTTAAAGCTTGTCTAAGCTGAGAGTCTCCATCAATAACTTCTCGTACATCTGGAGATTCTAGAGCTGTCTTCAAATTTTTCAGTAGCATGTTAAAGTTTTTTCACGTCACGATTGATGCTCAATATCTCGCGTGGAGCGTCTCTGATTGTAGTGAAAAACTGGTAAAGTTTCAATGAAGCTGTAAGTGAGGTTTCTGCCAGTGCCGATATAGAATAGACCGTCCCAACAGCTTCCAGAGCCATTTTATTGCTCACTCGTAGCTAAGAACTACTAGTAAGAAGCGATTCTAGGTTAATATATCACACCAGTCCTTAACCTCGGAACTTTATCAAACAGGAGAATTGACGAAGAGTTGCCAATCTTGGACTTGTTTTGATTCCGAACGGAATCTTGCAAGTCACAATCGTAATAGTCGAGAAGAACTCGTGTCAGGATTCGAAACTCTACCTCATGCGTCAGAGGGGTTAAAACCCTTGGAAGTACCAATTCAGCTGAGTGGGGTTTTGAGCGGGGTCTTATGCTTAGAGAAATGCACAGACCTGGAGGCTCAATGAACAGCAAACCGCCTCTAAGTAGTAATACTAGCAATATGTAGGAGTGATCCACTCCTAGTGAATACCATTTCTGAGTCTCAAACTATGTACGTGTGGGTGTTTTTGTAATTCATTTACCCTGCCCATCACCGAACCTTCGAAGTGATATGCAGACACTCCACTCGATCGCCGCATCCTTTTGGACAAATTAATCATCTAAGCTTGACGCAAGCTGAGAACTTCAAAAGAATCAGTCGTCAGCTTTTCGGAATCACGGTGAAAAAAGCCTGAGAAGAGATTTGATTACTGCAAAGTTCACGCCCATACCTCCCGAGGCGATCTTCCCTATCAATTCACTCCTCGGCTCCGTTGAGACCTTTCTGAACGGCATTTAATGCTCAAATATACAACTTACGCCAAGCCACTTGCTTGCGTCGATTGAGGATTCTAATTCCCACTCATTTCGGTGGATTATTTGCCTTGATTGACATTTCTGATTCATAAAGCTTGCGCTAAGCAACTTGGTTGATCTCGGTGTTCACATCATCACCTCAGTCCATACCATTATGGCTTCCAACTTGATCTCAGTTTAGTCACTGCATGGCTGGACCTAACCTCCCTAACGTCCCCCGGAGGGGCTCTAATACAGAGGTAGTGGCACAGGAAAGCAGCATGACCGTCTAGAGCACAGCTACACAATCTTGCTGCGTCGCACTGATCTTCAAAAGTTGCGGACGATATTCAGGTGGGTGCGAGGGCGGCGAGCCGCTCACACTAAATTCATGGACGGTATGTGACCACCACCTTAGACATGCTGTTGTATTGTTTGCATTTTTTGATCCTCTTTCCGACATTCAAAAATCAGGAGTCATGGCCTATAGAGGCTATCTTTCTGATCAAACTTCAGCAGAGATCCTTCCGACCGAAAATGACATCAAGATGAAGATTTGTTTTCATACTACTAGTATTTACCATTCATTCACATACCATCCAGAGATGGAAGAAATTCCACTTTTCTCAAATTAAGCTTAGTTCGGTAGTTTTGAATAGCTCTTTTTGAAAATGAATTACACGGCTATTGCTTGGTCCTCGCCCGGTGATGGTTTCCAAGGTTGATGGCTTGGGCTCTTGCCTCGGTACTGATCTGTTACGGTGTAGCCGCATAAAAATGGCCGGTTTATATACATATCTCTTCTCATTCAATCCTTCAACAACTGTTTTCATATTTGTGTACTAGTACCAGTTGACAGCTTTGGTGTCTTATCGCTGCCTAGTCTAGTAGTTGCCTATATACAGTGGAGAATCCTAAGATTACGTTTACTTGAATGCAATTTGAGGAATCTGAGATCTCATATTCAACTATTTTCCTGAAAGGCTTCAAAACGACTGTGCCTTTCCATACCCTCAACTCTCAGGTAGATTGTGTAGTAGATTCCTCTTGTAGATCTCTTGTCGTTCAAACTCTCCAAGGAGTACCAATAGTGAGACCTTTGGGCCCAATCACTCCACGGTATGACCTCCGGGACAAATAGCAAGGAAAAGTCGCTTCAGAATATCCTTCTGGGGACCATCAGGAAGCCCATTGATGTCGCGCTTCACCAAAGGTACATAATGGAGAAACAGACACATGTCAAGGAGACCCCGAATGTCCGAATCCTGATCGTGGGTCATAGGGAGATGCATGAAAATTTGCTCATAGAGCACCATTCGTTGGACCAAGCCGTCATGGCACAGTCTCTCCAGGCATGCGTTAACCACGACGCAGTTGTCATTTGCCACGTGAAGACCAGAGAGTCGGTGAATAGCCCACATGAGTGAGCGGTGATTGCTTTCCAGGGTCGCTCCGTTGATGTCGTTGACCACCTCGAGGTAACGGGGCTCCAGAGTAGAAGGCAGCAACATATCAGTATGCAGCGGACGCGGGACATGCGTGAATGGGCCTTGGGCCAAGGGGGAATCCGGGCGAGGAAGTAAAGATTCAGGAATCACAAGGTTCTCCCCATGGGCTGAGGTACCCTCAGGGTGCACGTGGGAGGCATCTTGGTGGCTGGTGTTGGAACTCATCGTCTAGGATGAAGGATATTGTTTAGATGAGTCTGTCTGAATAAATATCCCGAGATGGGGGAAGAGATACTCACCAAAGGAATCAAAGATTTCTGATTCTTTCTGACTCTGAGGGGAGTTGTAGTGGAGAGGGGACAGTGGAAGGATGAGGAGAGGGAAGAAGGGAAGTGATGGAAGTGATGGAACAAAGAACAAAGGCCAAACCAGGGGAAGAAAAGATTTGATCGCTGCCTAAGAGTATTCAAATTGGACGGAATGGAGTAGAATGATGTTGACGATTTTAACCCTGTTAGCCCTCTCTCTTGAGATCAAATGGATTGGATTTACCACTATTACAAGTGTATATGTATCCATATCACCTAAGTAGGTTAATAAAAAGTCTTCTAGAGACCTTTTTCTTGTGGTAGTCTCCTTGAGCTCTCCTTTTTGTGACGTTTATAGGATATTTACTTCAATCTTCACTATAATGCCAGTGAGAGCTTTGGGGCTCATATTGGCCCAAGGCGATGCGCCTACTACAGCCTTCTAATAAATCATCAAGAAGTTTATACCCTCTGTCAGGCTTTTTCAAGCATATTAAGCACTATAAAAATGAAAATTATTTCATAATGTTTTTTTTTTCATTTCTTTATCTGTGGTTTTCTCTTCGTACACATTTCACTTATACAGATATCTTCATGGCTTGAATGTCCATCACTATCATGACTAGTATAATTCCAGGCCCACTACCTATTTATGTGTTCTAAGGTTGCCTTGGTAATATTGTTTGCCTAATTGAATGAATGGATGTGTGTGTGTGTGTGTGTGTCAGTGTGAGGGAAGGTGATATCTAAGGACGAGATCAGATGGTATACACCCACCTGGTATCAACAGAGTTGACAGAGCATTTTAATCCTTCAAATTTTCACAATATCACGAGCTAGCCATTGGCTAAACCTCGGTTTTGGGCTACTACCGTCTATAATTCCTGTGAAATACTCCCCAGAGTACCCATCATCTTCCATATCTGAGACACCGCATCGCCAAAATGGCCCAATTGTCAGAATAGATCCATTCCATGAAATGAATTTTCCCCCAATTTTACTTGAACTGATATATGCCAGGTCTCTAAAGCATCGTCACTCTTTGAAGGGCCCTCCCTAGTGAAGGAAGCAGCATGGCAAGACAAACTCAATTCCTCGTGCTGCCAATGCTTTGCAGTCCGTGAAAGATGATGTTGCCAGCAACAGACAGATCCTATGCCCTTGCATGCCTTGTGACCAAAGGAAGTTTAGTAAATACGACAACAGTGTGTACAGAATAGGACTTCCCGTCATTTTCGACGTCCAACAGGTACTTAAGCCATAGTCCGGTCAGTTAACTTTACAAATTCTCGGAATTAACGCGTTTACAATAAGAATCTATGCCGCTAAAGGTAGCAGGAAAATCTGACACCCCGTACCCTATAATAATTCCATTCAGTCATGAGCAATACTATTGTATTATTGTCCAAAAATGCATCCTCGAATGCTAAGTTTTCCAACTTTGTACGCAGATTCCCGATCGCGATGAAAGGGCCGATTCTAGCTCTGCCAATAGGTTGCCCACTTACTCTGCCCCTTGACAACTTCCACGAACTCCCGTGCAACAACACGATCAGTTTGCTCTGATGGATGCAAATCGTCATACCACATATAACTGTCTCGAACAGCATCAGAGTCGCAAGGAGATCCACAACGGTGTATGGAGCTGGTAACGTTGTATGGAACCGTGCCATTCAAGTAATTTGCAGGATTTTCCCAGACGTCCGTTATCTAAAGATCCAATGTTAGTGACAATAGTCTCAGGAATTATTCATCAGATGAATGATCAAAGGCTTTTCGTACTAAAGAATGAAGATCATAGATAGCAAAGCTACTATCCGGATATCTGTTGGCGATCCGCAGCGAATAAGGAGTTTGATACTTGTATACGGCATTCACCATAGTAGCATATTCGCGTATCTTCTCGCTTGACTGGGTGATATTGGCATCGTAATCAGACTTCCACGTCCAATACTCTCCTACAGGCAAGCCACCATTTTGTGGCGTCGCAAACTCGGGCGTCAACTCCAGAGGAACCACATTCATCAGCACAAAATTGCGTGCACCAATGGCGTGAAGCCGATCCAGCTGTGTGTAAACACAGTCGGTAAAGTATGTAAGTGGCATGCCCCTTGGCTGGACTTCAGTGAGAAACCCGTCATAGCCGAGGTCATTGGTGCCGATCCAGATGGCATATACCGTCTCATCTGCGTGGTTGATGAGCGCCGTCTTGCCAGTCGTCTTGTTCACGAAGCTATTGTCCGAAAGAAAGGTAGGCATTTGATCTTGCTTGATTCCATTTCTTACTGTCTGCATGGTGATCGAATCACATACTGCCCCAGACACAGCATAGTCGTAGAGGTTCACGCCCGAGTATTGTTGAACATAGCTGGGCCATGCCCAGCCGCCATCCGCTTCGGATGAAGACTATTATGGATACGATAGCTCAGTCAGCTAAATGTTCTGACGTATATGTAACTTGGATTGCTCCTGTGACAAAGTCTCCGGGGCTCATCTGAGGAAATTATTATTCTTACCTGCGCTGCAACAGGTGGAGTGTACGAATGCACACCATCGTCGGTATAACTATCACCGAATATGACAAGTGACGAGAACTTGTTCACCAGCCCTTGCGATCGCTTAACTGGAGTACAAACCACCGTGTCGGGTGCTAGAGAGATGATGAGTGCAGCAAGTGCAGCAAATGCAGACTTTACGGAGGTCATAGTCGTATAATTCAATGATGTATTCGGGAGAAAGGATGAATTACACTGTTGATTATGGAATAGACTTGACCACAGTTCCAAGGTTGAGATTCAGATTCAGCGACCATAGCTTCATTATAAGACAATCCGTGTTTATGATGGTCTCCATGGTTGGTGGAGAATTGCAATGAGACCTTGCCAACAGGTGCGGAGAAATGATCTGATCCTACTCATTATCATGGATGTGGGGTATTCGAGGTCTGAAGAATAAATTAGCTTGCGGGGTATATGCATGGTTCCCATCTTTAGGCTAAGTTCTTGTCTCCTTGATAACCGAGAAAATTTTTCAAAGATCATCCATCATTAGTGGGAATTCCAAGGTTCTTAGCCTATTTACATTTGGACGTTGCTCGCTTGGAATAAATGGTTGAAGTATCCCCCTTGGAGTTAGTCGGTGCTATTAACAAAGTGGTGACAGAGAATCGGGTAATGTTGTCAAGCTGAATTGGGTTGGGGTGACATGCTTTGTAAACCCCTCTTGCAAATCAAGCACTTGAGGCCTGTAGAAGACAAATTTTGGCAGGGGTTGCGGCACCATTGACCTATTACTAGTAGTACACGTGTCTAGGGGCCAGCGGTTCCAAGGTTATAGATAGTATAAATGGTGAGAAGGTAGGTAAGATGATCTCAGGCGGCGACTGAATATGACTTCAAATGTTACAAGTAATGCCCTGAATAGCACTTTTATCAGGACCCACTTATCAAAGGATAAATATCTTTCTAATACTAGTTGATCTCAGGACTGCCAATTGGTGATGACTTCTATTGAAAAGAATCTAAAGTTGTTAACAGTGGAACCTTGACTTTCCATATACTCTTTATTTTACTATCAGGTCCATTTTCAAGCCATTGTAAGTACATACGACCACAGGGTGTGGAGAACAGGGCTTCCCGTCCGCTCAGCCGTACTTAAGCCACACGCCGGTCAGTTAGTAGTATGGTGGGTGACCACATGCGAATCCTGACTGTTGTATGTTTCTCGATTTTTTTTTTCCTTTTTGCTGCCCAGAAGTCTTATTGCTGGCAGACTCTTAGCTCACATCACACACAGCCTTTGACTCCAACTCGAAATTCTAGTCCTCTGGTATAACATTTGAACACATTCGAATGCAAAAATACTTATTCGGCGTGTCGAATCTAAAGCTCATTCTGATAATAAACAATATCCCCAGGCCAGTCTTGCGTCTCACTGATATTGAATTCAATGATGAGGGATATCCATTGTGCTTTCTATGCGCAGAAAAAGTCAGATAGGCGGGCACGCGAAGGGGATTATCGAAAACCTACTGTGATAGTATGCCCGAACGCTTCTCTGGTCTTCGGCTCCCACCCTTCTGGAAAGCGCTCCTCACTGAGAAAGACGCGCAGGTCTTTGACATCGCCACCGAAAATCGAGTAAATCAGTTCGCCGCCCCCAGAGCCTAATGTAAAAGAGGAGTAAGCTAGGCGTTATCACTGAAACAATGAGTTACCTACCAATAAACTCGTGAAGGAAGTTCCCCGTCATTGAGTATTGGCCATTGCTGCGTTTGCACTCGGCGCGGCGATTACCGGAGGCGTTTGAAATGTCACCAATTGAGAGGGATACTCCGTTTGACGAGTAGGTGAGGAACCTCTCCACGAGATCGGGGTGCGGGTAGCCTTGGTCGGGGCAAAAGGCGATGTCAGGGCGAGTGATCGAGGCATCGTGTTGGACAACCTGGAAGACTAAAATTCAGCAGCATGGCCAGGATTTGAAATGGATATATGTATTTGTATTCCCCTACTCACGTTCAATGCATTGAGATCATGCAAATCAATCCAACCTCGTCCTTGGTCGAGCAGTTTAGCAGAGGCAGTGAGTTGGTCGGCAAGTGTTGGTGAAAGGTTAAATGCGTGCTGGATTGCATATGAAAGCTGGCCATAGGTGATTTTTCTGCCATCGTGGGGCAAGATATCTAAACCATACGCATTAGTCAACAAGAGTTCGCAAAGAGATTTCGCTATACGCACTATGGTTGGCAAGGCAGTTGAGTCTATGGAGAAGAACATGCGTGTTAGAAATGAAACTTGAAAATCCGGCGGACATACATACCCGGGACACGGGGATCGGCTCTCTTTGCCTTGGGTTGGGGGTAGGAATTTCGGCCATATCCCACCATGGCCTGGATGGCCAAGAGGCACAACGCTTCCAACGCGACGACTGGGGCGGAAAAGGTTTGCGGTCTATATAATATTGTGTCAGTTTTAGCAACAGGTTCACGCAGCGCGAAGCGAAAAAAAAAATTTGAGAAGGAGCACTAACAAGATAGAATATGTCCCGAATTTCGAGCCAGATAGCAAACCAGATCCAAGGAGAAAGGGCAATCAATCCATTAAAAGCGCGTGAAAATATACCGATGACAGTAGTGAGGAAGTTGACCATATTGGGCAAACACCCAATGAAGGAGAATTTTGGGTGTTAAAAAAAGATGAGGATATGTTGGAAGAGACCATGCCACAATCCTAAGCTTTTTGTGATAGTTGCGATCTCAACCCTCTAGCAGGATATGAACCTAGATATAAAAATGTGGCAGCGAGACTTCCTATCGTAGACGTCTTATATGATTTAAAAATAGATGTGTCTTATTACATATGCGCTCGGTCGCGTTTCAGCTGTAGTGGCAAGGTCTGCCGCTTCTTCTGTATCATTTTGGGTAGGTCGAAGAAGCCATATATAACAGTCATTTTCAGCAAATATCCCACGTTCGGTAATATAAACAGAAAATTAGAATTTCCAGCCAGCCTTAATACAGGATATTGAAGTTTTTGGGACATCTGGCTCGAAAGTACGATTTGAGGCGTTTCTCGTTTGTGACGTGGCTTGTAGACTGGCAAAACAGGCTGGAAGTCCCGACCGGTTATCCTCACCCGAAATTAAAGAGATACAAAAGCGACAACAAAACGACATCGCGTCGATAAAAAGGCCACAAATTTCGATCTGCTTCTTTCTATCCAAGTGGACTAAGTTTCGGCAACCCCGCGAATTATTCACCTGCGAAGGATGGTGAAGCTCCGTGTGTGTTGACCTAAGGCGGCCTAGATGATACAAACCATAGAGGTTTCAAGATTCAGAACATGCACCGAAAACGGAGTTCCCTTCACGAGGACAGGGTCTTCATCTAGCAGGATCAAGCAGAATTATTTCAAGGAAAAAGTGCGATTGAGAGCAGGTTGAAATGCTCTCCGTGACTACTACACCAGAGTCGCAGATTGATGTAAGATTAAATACAAAAAAAAAAAAGGAAACTCAGCATTTATCTGTAAATTATCACTTCATGCCCTAGCACATACTTATAAAGTTAGCAAGATTCTCACTATTGTATGAAGGAATGCATGGAACGACAAAGATGGATTCGGGTTATCTCACCTGATCTTAGCCTTCAAGGAAGGTATATTCAGTTCGCTGATCTTATAGCGAGGCTCGGTGACGTGGAAGCCAAGATAGCCGCGGACATAAGCCATTGCAATCTTAGATACCTCCGGATCACTAACCAATGTGGCTTTGATACGATGAATTCTTGCGTGAAGCTCATCGACAAGACGATTCAAACATTCCACCACAGAGATCTTTTCTGCTTGAACTCGATGATAGACATAACCATCATGCTCAGAAGATAAAATTGCTTCCTTGTAAAACGAGAAAAGGTCGTTTGTGTGGTTAGTGAAATCGCATAGGTCTGGCGCGGCTTGGATAAACAAATTCAGAGCTTTGTCATAACCAGCGCAAACATCTTTGGATGCTGCGAAGTAAACAAAGGGCTCTGGGTTACCTGTCATCCATCTGAAATAATGAGGGAAAGCCGAGGACTTCTGAAGATGAGAGAATTTTCCCATCTTTCCATCCTCCAGGGCAGTGGAGTCCATGTGATTAATCAAACCAATCACGGCTCTGTTCGCAATGAACTCCAGGTAATGTTCGTCCAATTCTTTGAAAAGAGCCGCGCACCCTTGAAATGGTTTTGGCATAGGCCTATTTTCGAGGAGGTTTTGGCGGAATCGCAGCATGTCGCTTCTGCCTTGCACGGAATTGGTATCATCCAGAACAAAGAAATATGCCGTGTATAAACCAGTAAGACGGCGAAGCTCGGGGGGTTGGAAAGGATAGAACTGCCGGGACACCAAGGCTCCTCGTACCGCATGGATCATTGCATTCTTTTCATCAACACCCTCTTCCAGAAGTTGCTTGAAGATATATTCCTCAATCAGGGCATCGTTGTTGGGTTGAACGTCAATATTGACGCCTTGAACGAATCTTTCGATTATCTGGGCAAATTGATGGGCAGAAATTGAGGTATCGGTACCACAGGGGGTGGATTTGACGTTACCCATTGCGTTGAGGTAATGTTAGGTAAAAATTGAGAATATGAAATGATTAATCAATTGATTGATTGATTGTTCGCAATTTCCTGATAGTAGTTTCGAAGTTTTGCAGTCCCAGGAAAGGTTTCGCATATTTATAATTATTTCAACTACCAAGGTCCTAGTTGGCATAGTAGTAGTAGATGCTAGTATCTCTCTCAGATCCCAACGCTGCTTTTGGCTCTAGTCCAATCATAATTTTAACTTCTTGACGCCACTTCTGAAGCATATGATGCAGCTCTCAACTACTTGAAGAGTGGACATATCATTTTGCATTATCAGCATCCATTCTAGGGCCACAAGGTTCATGATAGTTCATCAGCGAATTCTCATGCAGCATTGGTGTAACCATTGTCCATTTTCCATAATTTTCTTGCTAGTGCTACTTTCGATCCAGTTGGAATCCCCATTTAAATACTCTATAGAAGGTTAGATCAATTAGATCAACGGTCGTAGTTATGGTCAGGCAAATTTTGATTTATTTATATTCAAGTTGGCAAGGTGTGACATAGATGTTTCGATTCTAGGTCTAGCTGGGTAACAACTCCGAGTCCTGATCCTATACTCCTCCGGGCGATACCTACTGAACGGTCACAACTCAAGAATCGTTGCAGCCTAGCTTCAGAAGTTTTAAGCCAAGCAAGGAATTTTCTGTATCTGTCGATAGCAGTAAGCTACCACTGGCTTTTTCTGATAGGAAGAAATATGCTGATAGGATGTGCTTTGATCATCATACTTGCGTTTTCGTCTCAAGTTGGCTCTCTGCCGAGCAGCGCAGTTGCATAATTTTGAGATTTTTATAAAACGTTGATGCAATTATATATTATCCCTTTGATGCAAAATCCTCCATTCGGAATACAAAACTTATCATCATTATCTTGAAAGCCCTATAGATCGATGATAGACTTCCACATCATCTAATCTGGTCGAAGATCTCCACTCAAATCCCAGATTTGGATCCAGTTTCGTCCAATCTGAAATTTAAGTTGTGGGATTCCTCATCAAACAGGTTATAGCCTTGGAAGAAGGTGTGAGTGGAAAGGCAGTCGAGCAGGCAAATTTCGAGTGGTAATTGACCCGCCACAACACATTTGGGCAATTTCTTGAATATCACCAAAAAGCCTACATCTAGCAAATTTTGAAAAGTATCCAATTTCTCTTTTTCTTGAAAATTCATGGTTTTAGGATCAAATTGTATCTGTGTGTGCGCATGGGGGGGGGGTGTATTGAAGTCAATTTTCTTGGTCAGATAGGACCTGCAGCTAATATATCATATGTGTGTGTATGAAAATGAGATGACGTGGAATATGCACTGGTACTTGTATTCTGGTCAGTTTCATATAGTATATCATAGGCCCGTAAGGGTGTCTGAAAAGCAGGGATAGATAGCAGACCGCTTCCTCTGCATGTCCTTAATGCATAGGATTCTTAGACTTCGAGTGCACTTGTGGATGCATGGTGTGTAACAGGAAGAAATTGATCGGTTCTATATGGGAGACCTATAACAACTCCACATTTGGGCACCACCATTGATCAAACGGATTAATTCATGTGTTGTTGAAGGAGGTAACACAGTCTTGGAATTTATGTACCCTTGCAGTAATTAGCAGCTTTTGGATACAATTCAGTCATAGATTGCTGTATCAAATTGAATCCTGTACTTGAGGCCTTTGTCTTGTCTTTTGAATCATCCTTATCATTCTCCATTAGGAAACTAGTAAGATTTTTTTATTGCCTTCGTAAGGACATTGGCAAGATTGAAAATTTTGAAGGTAATGCTCCAGGGCTAGGAATAACGATATAGATATAGTCTTTTGGGATCACCTCCCTCAATAGCATTATCTCGATCCCAGTGCTACGGTCTGGATGGAGCAAAATTAAAATGTGGCTCATTCTGAGTGGCAATCACTACGGGTAAATGTGAATAATTTCAAAATGGTGGTTAATGTCGATTCCAACCTTGGAAACAAATCGATGCGTACTAGTACGGAGATGAACCAGAAAATCCTTGAACCATACTGAGAATTTGTTGTTCTAAATACAGAATGATATGCAAAATGAGTGAATTGAGAGTGCTGGATCAGCAGTTGATGCCGACCTCCAGGGCTCCAGGACTCCATGGAATGATAATGTTGCAGTGTTGACAGAGGCTAGTGAAATCAACCTCCAATTTCTCTGAAATTTAAGAGTAAATGTCATTGACTCAGTAGACTGTTGCCCAAGTTATTCTTAGAAAAGAACACTGAAGTCCACCATACCTCCTACCTAAAGTTTCCGATTATTTCCCAGGAGACTTCTGACGGAGCGTGATCCAGACATCGATCCATGATGCAATCCCACCATGGAGCACAAATTTTGCGGCGGGTTTTTCAGAAACCTGTTCGAAGCGGTAGCGACGAAGGAACTGGCCGGTCATAATTAATTTTTACTCTTGATATAACCCCGGGGGGACTATCACATACCTGCAACGGGGCCTTGAACAATTCCATGGTTGCAATATCCTTTCCTAGACAAGCTCGGCTTCCATAGCCAAAAGTGAAATCATACTTCTTGAACAATTTTGCCCGTTCTGGATTCAGCCAGCGGTCAGGGCAGAAGTCCTCCGCATCTTCACCCTATAAGGCATGATCTTGATGGACAATCCATGAATTGGCCGCGACTTCTGTTCCAGGGGGGACAAAAGTCCCGTAGAGGTCGGCGCCTGGTGCAGAGACATAACGGGGGAGAATGGTAGAGCCAGGTGGACTGAGACGCATAGTTTCGTATATACAAGCAGCATAATATGGGAGGTGCTCGGTAACTTCACTATACTGAGCCACCTGGGAGATAAGACCACTTTGAGCTGCTGATTCAATCTCTGCATCAAACGCTTGTAAACATGTGGATTCTTGAGAAGGTATTGTACTAAGCCTTGAAAAACGGATGCGATAGTATCTGCGCCTGCGGTCAAGACAATCAAAAGCTCTGCACGAATGACTCCGTCATCTAGAGGCTTATCATCTTCGGTTCTGGCGTTGATAAGAAATTGAAGAAAATCGGTTTTATCAATAGGCTTGCTCATCTTGACATCTTCTAGGCGCTTGTCGATCAATTTATCACGGAAGCGCAGAAGGACACCCATACCCGAGTCATCAGTGGACTTTGCAACGAGATATTTCTTCAAAAATGTGGTCTTGATCCAATTTGTGAGGTGATGGAGGCGACCAAGAAGCCCAAACATCGTAAACCCCTGATGAAGGCTTCGGATAAGGTTTGCGACGTCCTTACCTTGCTCGATAAATCCAAAAGGAACACCGTACCCAACTTCACTGATCACATCATAGGCTAGGTACCTATTTCTCGGAGTCTTGTCAGAAAGAGATATATCAAGGAGATTCAAGCCTAAATGTTAAAGCACTTACACAGACCACCATGAAAAGTCAAATGCATCACCTGTTTCAGCGAATTTGTTGTCTAGTTGGCTTAGCCAATCACCGATTCTATGATCCATTAAGAGCTCTAGCTTTTTCATATTGGAGAACTTATACTATAAAATCGTCAGTTGGAGCCCTGGAGATGTTGTTTCACAATGGAATTTTCATTTACCAGTCCTGCAATATGCTTTCTCAATGCAGCATGTTCCTTGTGTGGTCTTATGTTGAACATAGCTTCGGGATCCCCAAAAGTCCCAGTAGTATAGAACTCCGTTTTGTCTGCACTGCGGTGGTAGAACTCTGGAAGCTTCAAGGGATCATTAAATAGCAAAAGTGTTGGAGTGATCCGCACAACAGGTCCTAGATATTGGTCTTGATGAGCAATCCTTCTACTACAAAACGAGACAATGGCTTCTGAACATGTAAGAAACGATAGAATGCTTACCATATTTCTTTTTCAAAGCATATAGTATGGGTAGCTCAGTATCTCTCACATTATGCCACGCGATCCAAAGCCTGGTCACACTAGCCCAGAAGGGGCCAGGGAATCCTGACAAAGGATGAAAGAAACGATAATGAATAACCTGATAGATAGATCGAAGTCCAATATATGCGAAAATAAGAAGGATAAAATTGGTCGCATTTATCTTGGATAAAAGTTCCTCTCGAGTCGCAAACTCCATTGCTGTAATTGGTTGACTTTTTGGAAGTTGGAGGACTTGTAGATATCAATATCTTTCCAGAATGTCATATGGTTTCGATTTTGCTTGAGGATTGCAGCCTACATAAATTGGGCTACGAGTCGCAATAAGTAATATTCAGGCAATACATGTACTTAAACAATTGACATCTATACAAGAAAAAGAAATATAGATCAACAAAATTGGGCCTCATGAAGATTGAAACTTTTGAGAAACTTGGAATTTGATTCCAAGTTGCCACCTTCATGCAGATGTCGCCCGCGGGCAACATTCGAAAGCATGAGCCCAGCTGATAATAAGAGCTTTAATATCCCAACTCGAACGCATAAATATTGATACACAGAGATTTTCATGGTTGGAGAAACTCAAGAATGATGGTAACGATTCAGGTGCAACTTGGATATAGGACCTCAAGTTTGGAGTAAGGGTTATCTGTGGAGTAACATGCATGTATATGGAATTGGAAACTTTTTCTTGGGCTCAAAGCCTGTGCGAAAAGACTCCTGAAGGCTATATCTGCTCATATGTATAGTGGGCCAAGTTTGATAGGCAAGGTGGATGATGATGGAAAGTGTGCTACTCCAAGGCTGCACATGTGTGTTGTAGTTCTTAGTACAATGTGATCTGATAAAATTTCCTTAATACCGTGACCTATCTAACCTGTTAGTGACATAAAGAAGTAAGATCTCAAATCACGCACCGGATACAGCTTGGCCAGTAGATGAATCAATGACATCTGGAATATGTATATTCTGGCCTGTTCTTATAAAAGAATTACAGGCTATACAACCACCATAATGCACTGGCAGGTAGAGATCGTATGTCCGTATAGATATAAGTCTATATAGGAATGGATTTACTTCTTTTGGGAATCTGCATCACCAATTCCACCATCAGACAGGGTGTTATCTCGCGATAGATATCAGCTATTGCTACCCGACGAAAACATTGAATGAACCGAATAGCATCGAACCTTCAATGTTACTCGGCATATCCAGGGAAAGGCTGATCTGATAAGTAGTACCACATATGCAAGAGACAGTTTTCAGATGTTTAAGCATGATTTTCTCTGAGAATCAGTTCGATTCGAACTCTGCATTCGATAATTTCTACTTTGAGGAAGACCATCCCCGCCACCCGACATACATAGACTGAAGTATGGTGTAATTGAAAGTCTATACATATGCAATGTGACATATTTGGCAATGAAAAGAGAGAGCGCGTGCGTGGAATGATGCATGTGTTGCTACTATCTTCGAGGGAGAGGTAGTCGCCTATTCCCCATGACAAAAGCCGATCTGGTCAATCAGTCCGTATCATGAAAGCAACTCAGGATTCAATTAAGACTACTTTTAATAACAAATAGGCCGTGGGAGGCTACACGGGAGTTTTCAAATGCAGAAATAGAGCCTGCTTGTACGGGTTTTACAGAGCCGGCGGTGGAGATGCTGATTTTCTGTCTCCGCCAAGAGCATCAGGGATAATCGGGTGAACAAAATATTGCTGTTTATTGAAAGGTTTTTATAGTATTGATATCTCACAATCCATCAGAATATGTCCTTATTGACTATAGGAACGGACTTTATTCCGCAACGAGACCGACATGGGGAACCGGACTTTTTTCTTTCTCTCCCGCGCGCCATCCATGCCGGGAATAAAGTGCAAGCCAGAAGACACGTATCGACTTAGAAGTGGCGCAGTCGGAATCATGTGGAGAAGATTCATGTACTTCAAGTAGACACCTCTGAATTCGGGCTCTAGACACTGGCGGTACTCTTGAGAATTCACCGTAGCCGGAATAAGCGAATTGCTTACTAGTTCCATGGCCAGGGTATCCATAGTGATTGTCATCTGTGAAGCAGTATCGAAAAGGCCAGGCGACTTTGACTTATTCGCAGCCATGAGGGTAGCAGTAGAGCCATATGTGTTCGCCATAATATCTCGCCATCTAGCTCGACATTCAGAATCAGATCGAATTGTCTTGCTGAATTTGGGATCCTTCTTGTCAAGATATTGAACAAGGTATTGTTGTAGAAGACATTTTTCCATAAAGGCTATAATGTCTGCAGAAACATTCTCTTTTCGAAGACCATCCAACATTTCAGCAAGAGAATTTCCCAGAAGACGAAACTCTCCATCCAACAAATGCTGCGGGGGAATGGCGACGTCTTCTGGGATGGTGGAAAACGCAATGTATATGTGTTTCCAGTAGTCATCCACCATAGACCTGTCCCAGTGTGCCCACCACTGGATTGCATCACGCATAGAGTGAGCCGCGAGGTCATCTATCGAAATACCGACCGTGTCCGAAGATAAGGAATAGTCTTTCGTGTGGAAAGAAGCAGTTACCTCCGTAACACTCCTGATCATACTATGCAGGTTCTCAGCTGCTCTATGCGGACTCGAGTCAGAAGATGCTTTTCTCAGGTCTGCTATAACAGATGCCAGGTTCAAGACATCTGCTTCTGGAAAAGCTTTGTATCTTTCTTTGAGAGATAATGCGACCTGGTGGGAGTCACCGCTTTGGTGAAGAAGCTTTGTATGGGGACTATCAAAGTTGTCCAAGTAGTCTTGCGGGGAGTAGAGATAAGAAGTCATGATGTGAGAGCGGAATTTGGCTCGTACGTCTTTCGCTGGAGATTTCAATACAGCTAATGAAGTTTTCACGATGAATAATTCTAATCACAAGGAGTTTCTGAGAGTGATTTATAGGGTTTAAAGCTATTTTCAACAGTAAATTTGTGCATTACATGGCAAGAGGCATCTGAAAGTTTACAGGCCTCCTAGGAGTATCCTAGCCTGAGGAGCTAAGTTTGGGAAATTCGCACGACAGATACATACTAGTAAATTCAAGTGATGATCATCAGAGGTCACATGTGCACCTGGACATCTTCGAGTGACAAGTGATTTCCGGTCCATGCACGCAGCTCAATAGTATTTGAATCATATTCAAGTTCAAATTCTTTAGCTGCCCAACTTCCCAGTCCTGGAGATTGAGGACTCGGAAGTGAAACTTGGAAGGCCACAGTGACACTGCATATGCAGGCAATCAGGTACACCTACATAAACTTTGTATGAAATTTTGGAACTTGAATCCACATGTGCATGGAAAGAGCTGGGATTACTTCAAGTTCCTACAATGTCTTCCAAGGTTGGTGCACCGTGCAGAAAATACATGGATACATCATGATGGATGTGCCCACGTGGATACCTACTGGTATTGACAGATGCGAGTCCTGCTCAGATTAAATTTCAAAATTCAACAAAAAGATTTCAACACGGCTTTGGAGTATGTAGCTCCTAACAAATCCACTCAAGTGCTGCATCATGATGTTCTGGAAACCTTGGAATATATATCCAAACCATCCAGATCACCTGGGCATTCGACTCCCGAGGTCGGAACGTGCGTATTTGCCACGCACTAACTTTGGAAATTTCAAAGTTTTGTGTAACTACCAGCTTCACTCGGAGTGCATTCAAACTTGAACATTTGAATGTTTATTTTGCCATCAGTAAGGGTCATTATCTAACATTTGAATGGCACAGTTGTGTAACTACAATCCGAAAGTGGTTGCCTACTCCGAGTCCTTCAAATGTTTTGTATGAGAGGTCAGGAAGTCTTGTGATAACAGCCCTAGAGCACTGTTCCAAATATTTAACTGCATTATCTCATGCCTAGACGCCCACACGTGCAGATTAAACGTCCATTAATCCAAGAAATATAAGTATTAATGACTGAGCGACCTTGGAAGTCTACAGGTTCAGTTTCATAGATTTTCATGCTTCATAGCCGAGCCTGGAGTCTTGAACTTGATCATTTGAATTTATAGCTCGAAAGGTACTACGCCAGGCAATGAATATCGTTACAAAGAGCATAGAGCCTACCCGGAGAACTGATTTTGAGGCCATATTGCCTTCAATTAAATTTGACATCCTCGAATATATCAACCGGCAAAATTTACCTCGAGAAGTTACCACAAAATTTGAAAAGGTACATTGATTGAAGTATACTCCCAAAATATCCGTTCAAGACCTCTGAGTTAATTGATTGTCCATTTGCAGTGTTTGCAGTATAACCTGCAAGGCGGAAAGCTGAATAGAGGACTCTCGGTCCCAGATTCTGGCAGCATTCTCTTAGGACGAGCAATTGATGATCACGAATTCAAAGCTCTTACTACGTTGGGATGGCTGACGGAGATTCTCCAAGCATTCTTCCTGGTCCACGACGACATTATGGATAACTCCTTCACTCGGCGGGGTCAACCCTGCTGGTTTCGACAGCCAGACACAGGAATTATGGCTGTTAACGATGGTGTTTTGTTAGAGTCATCCATCTTTCTCATCCTCAAGTCTCAGTTCAGCACCCACCCGTCATATTTGCGTCTGATGGAGGTCTTTCATGAAGCCTCTTTTCATACACAGCTGGGCCAGCTATGCGATATGATCACAGCTTCTGAGGACAGGGTAGACTTGGATAAATTTTCTATGGAGAGATATGAGTCCATTGTCCAGTACAAGACCTCTTATTATAGCTTTTACCTTCCTGTTGCGTTGTCTTTGTATTGGCTTGAGCTAGATACGCCTTTGAATCTACAGCAAACTCATCAGATAATGATGAGAATGGGGCACTACTTCCAGGTACAGGACGACTACCTCGATGTTTTCGGAAATAGCAGCCTTACCGGCAAAATTGGCACAGATATCTCGGACAACAAGTGCACTTGGCTCGTCAACAAAGCACTCCTCTTGGCGACAGAAGAGCAACATCGTCTTTTATATGCAAACTATGGCCAAAAGAACAAGGCCTGCGAGGCTAGAGTTAGAGGGGTTTTTGATGAGCTTTTTCTTGAGGAAATATATAAGGAATTTGAAGATATGGTTGTTCAGGAGCTTCAGGATATGATCGCAGCTGTTGATGAGAAAGAAGGTTTATGTCAACAGCTTTTCACTGTTTTTCTATCCAAGATCTGTCAACGAACTATCTAATGAAAGTCAGGAGTTTAGACTAAAATGAACATCTTACTCTCTTTTCCCAAGTCTCCAAATTTTTCTCAATCGCGAAAGATGAAGTGCATGTGCACAGTTTATTATTTTCCATGCAATTTTACTATTACCCTATTTTTTTCTCCCGTTACTGTTTGGCTTTGAGTTGCTATAAATAGTATTTATTCTCCTCTTCTGGGTCTGTTTCTTGGGGATTTGCCGATCATCCAGCAAAACTCTGCAAATTTCAGCCCCGGGGTCCACGGGCAGTACGATTCCAAGAGTGGAGTCAGACGAGACCCCGACGCACCCTGAGATTCGGGGCCGGCCCCTGCTGATCAATGCGGTCATTGTCAGGCAAAAAAGCTTTAACAAGTTTAGCACGACTTCGTTGGCCCTTCCTTTAGCTAATCCGGCAGAGATGATCATGGGGCCATCCGAGATTGGAAATCAATTTCATGTCATTCATCTGGAATTTCGGTTTCTAGATGATCAAAAATGAAATATGGGACTGATGTAATTGAATAGTTTGTCGAGAACATCCTCCGGGAACTAGCATAAATAGCGAGATATCCGGAACCCAGACTCAGAACTATCATCCATCTTCTCCTCCCAAGTTGCAACAAGAGCATTCAGGCTTAAACTCTCGAATTTCGAAAAGAAAAGAAAAAACTCCATCTCAAGAAAAGTCACATCCAAAGAATTTACAGCAATCAGAATGAGATTCCTTAACATTCTCCTCGTCGCCGCTCTCGGGGCTGCTGTTCAAGTTGCTGGTGTTGCTGTTCCATTTGATATGAATGGCGAGTGTTGGAGTATGATACCTTGTGTTCTTCGGAAAAGAGCTTCATATGCTAACATTCGATTCAATTCTCTTCTGCTAGATCCCCTCTTTTGCACCCTCAGTGACGAGTGCTGTTCTGGATATGAATGTTCACCCGTGGGCGACGCAAAAATGTGTGTATAAAAAGGCAATGACTAGGGTGAGAACATCTTTGTCTGGTCCTTCGCTTCTGGTATGAATCTCTTCCTCGCTATTGTGAGGCCGTTTAAAGAAACATTTGCTCTTTTTCTTCAGAGCTTTTCAGATTTCCAGGGCTAATATGTTATCTTTTTAAGGGAAAGCGAGTGGACCGAAATGCGCAAATGACAATTGTCGCAATCGCCTGATCTAGTTATGATCCTCACATAAACATGACTTTCTTTTTTGTCTCTTTTTCGATTATTTCAGCGGATAGACATGCATACCACATTCTTTTATCAGCACCAATCTACCTATACATAGCCATATTTTTAGGATTTGACTTGATGCCAAGAACGAACCTGACAGACAATCAACGTTCGTGAAATAAAACTGTGTTTATTTTCGGTTATTAAAATGGACCATAGAACTGATAGAGTAAGTGTTAGGAGTGATAGTTTGATCAGCTCTCAGAAGATGGTCTTTTTGTTGTCTCATCTCCTGAGCTAGTAGAAGTCAATAGAGCTTTGGAATTTATTTACATCGTCAATTAGGAAGTGTCAGTAAGCTTCCTAGAACACAAAAAATGCAAAAAACAAAAACATACAACAGTCAGGATTCGCATGTGGTCACCCACCATACTACTAACTGACCGGCGTGTGGCTTAAGTACGGCTGAGCGGACGGGAAGCCCTGTTCTCCACACCCTGTGGTCGTATGTACTTGGATTCACAAGATAGAGAAGTATATTGAAATTAAGTGCTGGTCACTTCTTTTTGATGGGATAGATACTTCGTGACGCCAGAGCTAGCGTTATATGGAGCAGAATTTTTTCTGTCCAATCATCTTGCTTAGGTATAAATTTAAGTTGGAATAATTTTTTTCAATTTTACACAATTTCAACAAATACCTTCAATTTTGATTCCTCAAGGGGAATTTGTCACTTAAAATAGATTCTCAAATGTGAGGATGGCGACTTACGTCGAGCGCGCCTAATCCATTTCGAGAACTAAGCTGGTGCATGGGAGTATATAGCGTAGAGAATAGAGCTTCCTACTTGGCCGCAGCTAAGAGAGTACCAGTAGAGATCTCGCATCCAGCAGAGATATTCTTCAAGTTCTGATACCACACAGACTATCAACTTTTTTTTGTTGATCAGCTGTTTCACTAAGGACCCAAAACCCGAATACCACTTTTCTGGCTTCTCTGGAGTCTCGCCACGGAGTAGAAAGTTGACAAGTATTGGAAAAAATAGCTTGGCATCTCTATTACGATTTTTAGAGGTATCACAACAATCGCTGCGCATATGTATGCACAATGCCGAGTGATTGTAACCAAAAATATGTCTTCAAAGGAACGGTGAAGAATCTCAATGTATTGTTTAATGTGAATTTCAACCTTAAAAATGTTATTTTGGTATCGGGAATTATGGTTAGATACAGACCTCACGCGATAAACGAAATTATCCCAGCTCTGACACTGATTTCGACAATACCACCAAAGCCGCCCAGACGGAGTTTTCTGTCGATCAAATCAATGCGCCTTGAGTTCGCCAGTAAATAAGTTTGCTTTGATACTATTCCTCCGATATCCGATTTATTCCTTTGTTGAGCTATTTTGCTAGGATTGAAATTGAATCATGAAAGCAGAAGTTATCATGGAAAAAAGCGAGATAACACTATTTTTCTTCTTATCAAATCATCAGAGGTTATTTTCTTATCCCTTCAACAAACTCTGTAATCAATTATATTTCAGACTTTCAAAGTTCGATAGAATCTTTTTCGGGGATGTAATACTAGAAAATTGTTGGTTCAGCGAATATACGTAGGAATATTAGGGAGATCGGAAGATAGCTATGGAGTCTACTCTCTCACACTAGCATATTTCTCAATACTTAAAGAGAGAATTATGTCAACCAAGTCAATAGGATTATAAGACTAAAGCTTCTTCATCACCTTATGATAGGCTTGGTAAATATGCTCTTATTTAATGAGAAAGCAAGGGTGGATGATCGATAAAAAATACGTCAATAATCAAGTTCTTCATTCCCCGCGCCAGCATCGTCTCAACTCCAGATTCAGCAGCCTTCTTTTCAAAACGTTGCCTCCAGATTTCCATGCCACAACTGTAAGGACTTCGTTTGATAAGCGGTATCACTCGTCGTCGTCTGCAGCAAATGCCTCGAGGATTCTCTTTCCTTCTTGTACGTCGTCGTTATCCCATGGCTCAAGCCCAAACAAGAACATAAAGTTGGCCCAGCTCCCATAGGTCTTCACAATAGCCCGTTCGGCCGAGGTAAGAGGTGGTTCTGCCAGGTGAAATTCCACGGTTAGTTATACGCCATTACTCACTTTGGGGGAGCTCCCAGGTCACATACAGAGTGAGTTATAGGAAGGTATATTGCTCTGTAGATATACAAAAGCAATATCGGGGCTCAGATCAAGACAACTGTTTCGGTGTGAAATTAAGATAATAGAGTTGAGATAAGAGATGTAAGTGGAGCCATAGCGCCAGTCTAGTATTTTAAAATACCAATAAAATACCACATATCAAACAAAAGACGCCTAGGCAGCCCTGGAGGTTTTATATAGTATTTAAACAGTATTTTACTGAAAATGGTATTTATATAGTATTTTAGAATTTTAAGTATTTCATGAAAGACAGTATTTCATATTTGACATGTTATGATGTTGACAATTTCGAAATTGTTGATGTTTATTCTTTAGTGTTGAAGGTAGTTTTTATTTTAACTAGTTGGTTATATAGACTTGAAAATCTTTTTATTTATATTTCCAAGGTTATTTTAGACATGTTAAGGTTGAAAGGTTTAGTTCTAAAGGTCTTATAACTAGGCTTTTAGCCCTATTGGGAATGCTGAGTAATCTAGCCTTAGTAATATAATAATAACGTCGGTTCAACTCCTAAGCAGAGCAAATAAACCTTGGAATATAAATATGTCAAGTAAATATATAAGGTAAATACGTAAATAAAAACACGTAAGGTAAAATATAGATATAAAAAAAATATTATTATTATTATTTTTAAAATATTAGAACATTGAACTACCCTACCCCTAAATTTACGGTATTTCAAGACATATAGCAGGCGGCATGGAGAAAGAAGTGGGGAACTGCCAGTGAGAAGGAACAAGGTGCGGAACCTTGAGAGGTACCGCGCCGGGCGGTGGGTTCAAGTTGACATCTGGAATCGTTATGTGCACATGTGGGTAAACATTTCAAAGTCAATATGCAGGGCCAAATTCAAGTTTTTGGAGCAAGATATGTAAACGGTATAAGGACATCTGGAAGAAGATGGGAAGATTGAGGTCAAATATATCCTAAGGGAATATCATGCTACCTACTCCATGCCATAGATAAATCTGATTACCAAGAAATCGGTCTGAAGTACCTAGGTATTTAGATGCTTTCTGCAAATATGGGATTTAATGAGAGAAGAGAATATTTAAAGAGTCAAGAAAGCTAGCTAATATAAATCTCTTGCGGACAAAGGCCATTCAACGGTCAACTTAAACTATATATAAATTTGGAAAGCTTTGCAGGTTGAACCAACCTTGGAAGGTGTAACCTGAACAACCTGGGAAACATTTGAATCTATCAATTAAGGTATTGATTCTCTGGGATAGCCTTGGAGAGGAATCTAGGTTCAACTCAAGACAGATCTGGAAAATCATGAACATTCAAACATTGAAACATTGAAACTAATGGGAAATCTGAATACATGAAAATCAAATCAGTGCGGACCGGTGCAGAGAACTTCAAGTCGAATATACTATCAACCTCAACTGTGAGAAACTTAAAATCAGTATAGAATCTCCGAACCTTGGCTTCAAGATCAGTTTCAAGGTTCAAGTTCTAATTTTAATTTCAAATATCAGAAGACCTTGATTCTGCTCGAGGAGGTACAGGTCTATTTGTAATAAGATCACTTCTCTCCACATCGCTAATTACTTTAGGATTAATAAATTAAGCAGGAACGCTCTTATCAGCCTTATATTGTATAAACCGGTTAATAAGGCTTAGGCGTTCCTCTTTTTCAGACTAGGAACCATAGGGAGCAAGGTATTGTGGCTATCGGCTATCTTCAGGGTAGTGTGTTTATCAGGGGAAGTCATGTAATAGTAAAATTTCCTAAAATACCCTTCGTCTAACCAGGGATTATCTTGGGTTCCAGGGACTCCAAAAGAAGAAGGGTTTGCTTGATAATCCATGGTGTCAATCCGACACGGTAACTGAATCTATGGACCTATCCTGTGTCTGTTTGTGTTAAGTATAGTACCCTTGAGTTCAATGATTGGACTTAGAAGATTTCTACCAATACTATGGAAATCTTCAGTTGTGACAATCCGTATTAGATCTTAGTTTGGCCCTGCGATAAGATCGAGGTCGTCTTGGTAAATTAAAATATCCATACACCCAGTGTCATACAAAAACTCAAATTCTGTCCACCAATTCCGTCCAGGAAGACGAAGTACAATATTATACTAGATATCCATATTAGGGACTAGAGACTTTAAGTTGAAGACAATTAATATTTGGCTATAACTAACTAGAACTATAGGTTGTTCAAATTAAGGATATTCCAAGGCTGCTTACAGAATTAGTTAAATTCTTATACGGAGTACAAGGCGAGATCAAGCTCAAACTTACCAATCTATTCTTCAAGCTCAATAACTAGTAAGGTTTAATGTTAGAAAACATATACCCACTGGCATGGAGACTTAAAGTTCCAAGGTTGAATCAATGATATTAATGATGTGATTCAAGAGTTACATACCCCTTCTACCCAAAAACTTTCAGATCTATTACAGGCATTGTTAATTGCTTCAAATTCATCCCAACTAAATAGTCTAGGTTGGGAAAGCTACTGCCCTCCTGACCAGTATGTTACAAGTCCAGCAGTCCAATCCAAAGATTTCCTCCGATATACAGCTAGAATCGCCTGGATATTAGCAACTTGGCTTGTAAAGCCTTTCTCCTGAAGGGCGAGTTTAGTCTCTCGAAGATATGCTATTCTTTAATGGTAGACTCGCTCAAATTCTGGCTTTCTGATCTTTGAATATTTATAATAGTAATATTAGCCTCAAAGTAGAGAAAGACAATTAACCTTAAAACATTATCTTAGAACCTTATAGCAGTGCATTGTTTTCTGCTTCAAGCCGCTTAAGACGTTCCTCAAAGAACAAAGGCATAATATTTTCCTTAATTCTTTCCTTATATCGCTGAATCTGACCATGCAGATCACTAAATATATAAATAGCTAGTTGGTTTTGTCTGTATATAAATATTTTATATGTAGGAAAGAATATTATGTTAAATCCAAATCAGGCTCTCTCGTATCCCATTCTATTTCAATAAGCTTTAAAATATCGGTTAACGGCTCCTGTCCCTTATAATTCCATCTTGGTCGGCGTGGAGGCCGCTTGCTTTTGTCTTTTCGCGGTTGTACGATTTTTCCAGCCTTCCTATAAGCATCAAAATATGATTTGTGCAAATCGAGATCTTCAAATTTAGATACTTCCGCTCTGTAGGATCCCAAGGTAACCCTCCAAGGTCTATCTCAGAGCCGTCATCGGAACATATCTCTATCTTTTCTGATGTTTCTCCCTTTTTCTTGCCAGACTTTTCTCTCTTTTTTGATTTTTTCTTATTCTTTTTCACTCCATCCTGGGTTTCGACTGGCTTCTGTTTCGCATGTTAACTTCCAAATGTTGATAACTTGCCAGGCCCATTGGATTAGACCTGTAAGACTGGTCGATAGGCATCCTACTGGCCTAATAGCGAACCCTAGGCGGTCATTTTGGTATATCTATAGACTAAGTGGTTTTCAGACTTTTCTACTTTAAACTTCCCTATCCAAGGGATTTTACTCGTATTTCAATTATTTCATATCTATCTATCAGATTTGATCAAGACTTGTCGTCAAAGAAAGAGAATAGCACAAAGAATGGAATATGCCTATATAAAAATAGACATATTTGATGATTTAAGTAGTTATATGATAAAGAGTAACACGTATAACTCGATCATTAAAAGAATGATCAAAGCACTGAAGAGAACTAAAAAAGAAACATCACCATATAAGCTCATATATATACAAATCCACAGATAAAGACGTTCGAAGAAGCAGAAAGACACAAGGGCTATATATAAGAGCTTGATTCGAAGTCTCATCTTTCAATGCTCCTAGAAAAAAGCCTTAAACAAGATAGCGTAGGGTTGGGCTATCACAAGACTTAGACCCATTGAATTTGATGTTTTTATATCAATAAAAATTGATCTCCTACAGAGGATTCCACAGCAAACCCGTAGCCACTCTATGCGTTTTATGGATTCTTTGTAAGAATCATCTCAGCTTTTATTTTATCTTAGACGCCAAAGATATCCATCAGAGCTTTAAGAACCTTGACTTGGATTATTTAGAGCCATGTTTAAGCAAAAGCATTGATAAGACATTTTTGTTTTGATTAGAGCTAAAAATAGGATTAATATAAATTGCTGGGCAGAGGCTCTGAAGGGATGAAAGGGTTAGGTGATGCTTGAAGCTGCGAGTGCTTTTATGCCAAACGCGGCGAGGTTCTTGAATGTTGGATTGGAACTTAGAGACTACTTCTTTGTGCTCAAATTGCGCCATATGAAAAAAAAAATCTCTTTCAAGAAAATGAAGCTTGAATCTCCAAAACCACATATCACTTCATATCTGAACTTGAGCGGTACTATAATCACAGGCGCTCAGCCTACTTCTAAATTTATATGAATATAAAAAGAAAATTAGTCCGAGAATTCGTGGGTTTGCATGAGATTCATTAGAGGAACGATATAGAATTGTGGATTGTGCTCCTAGGAGGAGAAACAGATGCTAGCATTAAAGATACAAAGGAAAAAATCAAAAACATATAACAGTCAGGATTCGCATGTGGTCACCCACCATACTACTAACTGACCGGCGTGTGGCTTAAACGCGGACAGTAGTCGGGTGCCTGTCGCCCGGGTGAGAAGGGGTGAGAGCCGCTTTAGCCTGACGTCATCGGGGGTGAGAAGGGGTGAGTGTGCAATAGACGGGGTGAGAGACGGGTGAGTGCGGGTGAGAATCACCCTACGTCGTGTGACCCCGCACTGACCCTGTCAGCTGAGCTGGAGCTGGATTATGATTGGGCCAAATGCCTCTCCCTGAAACAACAGATCTCATAGGATCTGCACTTCGCCACAATTTAAAGCGGTTACACCATAAAGCAATTGGTATTGTTCCAGCTACTACTATATACCTCATTAAATTTTACACAAATTCCATATATCGCTTTTTTGACTTCTTGTGCTGATACCTAGGGTTTTAATAACAAAATTAATCTAGTAGAGATTTTGTTGTAAGCCTGAGCAGGCCTGCTCAGCAGGGATATAATATAAATCACATGATAAAATTCGAGTTGTGTTTCTACAAACTGGTATTTAGTTTGTCCCTCCTCAGAGTCCCAAAATCTTCCTAGCTACAATGTGGAAGGCATCAACTGCTGTATCAGCACCCACAACCCTCTTATTTTGCACATCCATCCTGTATTTTAGAAAACACATCTCAAGTACTGTTCAATGATCCCATTGGTCTATCTCCGTACTAGTGCGTACAGCTTTCCTCGGAATCGACAACAAGCCCCTCGTCGGGTTCAACCCGTTACACGATGGGGCCCCATGGGTTTTTATTAGGGCCCCATCGGTGAAGAAAAAACCCATTTACTGCATAAATCCAGACTTGGCATACATAGCTCAGCTTATTCAGCAGAAACTCTACATAATTTTAGCATATTTCCCTTAGTTTGTCCTGATGATAGTCTTATAAATGACCCATTAATCTATCAAAAATAGTTAGTAAATCGAAAGGCGCTTTATAGTTCTCTAGAATGTAGAAGTAAGGTTCTAAAGTTGTACATAATATGTTGGCTATCGTGAGATATTTTAGCAGTAATTCAATCTCATACTATCGAAAGCGTACCTATCCCCAACAATCTTTAGAGGCCTCACGAGTGGGAAGCTCAAGAAAATAATATGGGTATTAAAACTTCTTAAGGTGAACCTTGGGCGGTAGGGGAAATCTAGGATATCGTAAAATAACCAATGCCACACTGTGCACTTGTTCTAGGAATTTTTTCTCGGGCTTCATATCTAGTCTTGTATTCACGGTAGTACTATAAATAGTGTCAGCAAAAGTCAGGATCAATAGGTCACATGACCTTAGATGCCTGATTTTCCTGGGATCAAAGGGCCCTTCCTGCCCTTTCTGGTCTGAAAAAGATGGAATGATTATGTCATCCCGCAATTCAACATTGTTTTGATCTGATTATTATTCTAATGTGATAGATCAGTTTTCCCCTCTTTTATAAGAAGGAAGTGCATGTTTGATTTCAAAGAATGCAGTGCTCGCGTTCCGATGAAAGGTCTAGGAATCCGAAATAATCGAGTCCTTTCATCTCATCTTGCAACCATTGATCCCAACAACGGGGCTCGGGTTGCGGATCTTCTCGGACGAGAGAAGATGATCTTTGATCTGATAGATCAGATCAAAACAATATCATTCATTCCACAACAGAAATGTTTGATCGTGGGATGAATTAGCCAGCATAACCTTTGGACCAAAGGGCCACTTTCATCCCAGAAATTCAGGCATACAATCAGCCTGAATTGCTGACAATATATTATTATTATAACTATTAATATAGTAACTAGATAAGAGTAGTATGATAAGGTACTTAAGCTTTGATGAGGAGACTGACCTAGGAGAACTAACCTAAAGTCTCTAGGGGAGGGTAGAATACTTAGATATATCAATCCTATAAGCTTAGGCACTATATAGGGGAGATATCTCCTAATTTCTATTAAGGTCCATGTGTTACGGACCCACTACGGAGGAATCTCCTAGGAGCAACTACGAACCAATCAGTTGGCTGTCGGACCCAGAAAGGGGCAGAAGGCCACTTGAGGCCTCAGGCACCCACGAGGGCCACATTCAGCCTACTATCCGCCGTCTGAGAGAATACTCCATTATTGAACGGGACGGTTCGCAAGAGGCCATTTCTGGCCTCCCCGGCACAAACCATAATTGTACCCGATTCCAACTACGACAAAGGTGCACGTGACCAGCACGTGACCAAGGGACTATTCCAACAATAGATCCCATGCATGGATAGGACGAGGTCCCATCCCACGATGGGATGGGATCGGATCACACTGACGGATGAGACCCGGTCCCATCGGGCAATAGGACGGACTAGATATATAAGAACACTCATTACCCATCACGTATTTAGTTCTTCGCGATTATTTACTCATTGTTATTGGACTCTACAAATACGACTCAGATTGACACCTTTGCTTGGAATCACATCTCAACCTAAGCGGACAAACCACCAACCAGTTGGGGAGCTCACTTGTGATAACCTCACTCGTGACTGACTAACTGGCGACCCCCTGATCAAGCATTACCGTGCAAGGATCCCTATAGACTCGAGCCCGTGTAAGGCCCGGACGGCTACGGTACAGTTGCAGGATAACGGCTTGCGGTAAGTATCGACACACGTTTGTGTATACTCACGTTGCTTGACAGCCGGTTCGTAACACTAAGGTTTTAATAAGTAAACTCTAATATAATTCTTAAGAGATTTAAGAGGTTTATCATATAATTTAATTAGATATTTTATTCTAGGTATCTTAAATTTAGAAGTATCAAAATTTATAAAGGAAATAATACTAGATTAGGGTAGTACCTATAAGATAGGCAGAATATAATAAATAATCAAGTCAATGATATTCCAAAAGTAATTTCTATATTTAATAGAGATTGATACTTGAAAGAGACTGATTTATAGGTAAATCAGGACTAATTTTATATCCTTTTGTTTCAGATATAATTAAATCATTATTATATATCTTTGATGTCAAGTCGGATATTCGGTCCTTGATTCCTTTGGAAAAGAGATCCTTTCATGTATAATAGATGATTCATAGACCTTGGGATTAAGATAATTCTTTTATCTTATTTTGCCGTGACAATCTACAAACAGCCCTGTTTGGAGGAGTCCCCTAGGATAGTATTATAATTAGGGATAAGCTAATATCTAAATGGGCCATATAGTAAAATATGGTCGGAGTGATATAAATGAAAAGTTTGGTTCCCATAGTTAAGAATGGAACCACAGGCTGGAGTGAGGCTCACCCGGCCTACCCCCATTAGATAGGAGCCGCGCTTTGGACGTGGCGCAGCTCGCCCGTGTGCGCAGCTCGCCCGTGAATTACGTTATAGAAGAGAGTTTATTATGTTATTAATATTTGTTATATTCAAGTTTATAGTGTTGTTAGTTAGTTATCGTTTGTTCTGTGATAGTAGATTATCAGACCACCTTCACTACTTCCATCCACCCTGGTTCTCCTTCTTTACCTCCGCTACCCTCAGTGGCGTGCCTGTAGCTCTTTCTTTCCATTGTTCGCAGACATGGCTATAGAACTAAGGACCGTTCCCCTCTTCACTAAGTAAAATTTATGGCGCTAGTTAGTGCAAATAAGTAGGCCTACTCCAGGGCTTAGAAATCAATCTCCTATATAGAAAGAGATAGCTTGGTACACTTGGCCACGTATGGCTATTCATATTTTATGTTTCATCACTACTATAAGATCAGTAGTATGAGCTCAAGATTCCTGGCCTATCAAACTCTCTATACATTTTTATTCCCAGAAGCCACTCGCCTCAACTCAATTACTTACCGACTCAAAGAAATCAATTGCCCCGTGACAGTGACTCCTAGGAAGTAAGTTGCAATGCCTTAGAACGGCTGCCTCATCTTTATTTATCAGGAGCTACAAAAGGGAGTGATCCATCTACAGTAGATCCATGGATATTCAATATGTCCAAATGTCCGATCTTGGGTATCGAGGAAGATTTATCATGTTGAAAGCAAATAAATTCACCAACAAGATGAATCTATAATCAAATTTGCATTGGCCCCGTCGATCAAATGAATGGGACCACATAAGTGGCCTATATATTCTGCGGAAGATGAATCTAGGACCCCCTCTGCACTCTTTGCCGCATTGCCTGAGTCTGTATAGCCGCGCAAATCCTTTCTCCCAAACCATTTGCCACGTCTAGCGCCGTGTGGTCCTCAAAATCCCGGATGAGAACATTGACCTCCGCTTCTAGAAGCAGATTCACGACTGACTCATGTCCATTCATCGCAGCACGATGCAGTGGTGTCTGCCCGTGGTCATCACGCGCATTGACAAACGCAACGTTGATCAGTTCGTCCACTGCTTTAGCATGTCCCTCTTCTGCGGCCAGGTGAAGCGGAGTGGACCCATCCCGAAGACGAGTCAGATCAGGGTTTGCCCCCTTCTGCACAAGTAAAGCGATGAGTTCAGCATGTCCAGTTTCTGCGGCCTCATGCAGACAGGTCTGCTGCATGTCGCTGATGGCGTTGAGGTCGGCATTGTAGTCGATGAGATGTTTGACTATGGCAAGATTACCCTGTTTGGCGGCGAGGGAGAGCGCGTTCATTTGCCAGTATGACAGCGCCTGCAGCGGCATTTGCGGAATTTTGCGCAGGATAAGCTTGACCATCCCCTCATGGCCGCCCTTCACTGCTTGCATAAGAAAGGTACTCGGAATGCTGTGTGCATTGCTCTCGAATGTCTGCAAGCCCCAAGCGACCGCTTTAATGAAGCCCTCGCGATTCTCAGGGGCCCATTTCTCCATGACTCGAACCAAATGGTTGTCCTGGTGGAAGGCAAGGGCGCCCAGGTCAATTAAACAACTAAAGAATGCCTCGTCACCCCCCTCAGTCTCGGAAGGGAAGTTCGGTAGTGCTTGGTCCCACTTCTCTAGGAAATGATTGACATGATTTGGGATGGCGTCGATCAATGCCTCCACGATCTTTTCATAGCCGGCCCTAGCAGCATAATGGGCAGGCATGAAAAGTTCCTTGTCCAGGCGATTGGCGATTGCCCCGCTACCCAGCAATTTCTTGACAACGTCAAAATGACCCCTCATGGAGGCCATATGAAGCGCTGTTTTACCCTGGAGGTCTTGATAGTCTAGCACGGTAGAGGCTTCAGGAACGCGTTCCAGGAGGCTCTCAAGAACTAGTAATCTGCCGTACTCGGCCGCTAAATGGAAAACTGTATGTCCTCCACGGTTCCTCTGGGCCAGGTCTGGTCTGTCGCCTTTGGTCTCCAGTAATATATGGGCTACTGTATCATATCCAGCAGCAATAGCATCATGCAAAGGTGTGTTTTCGTCACAGTTCCCTCGCATTTGCGCACCTGCCTTAATCAGCGCCTCCACCAACACAGGTCTGTTCTTTCCAACTGCCAGATGAAGTGGTGTGCAGGACCACTTGTCCAGGGCATGGAGCTCAGGACCAGCTGAGATGAGAATTTCGAGAATTTCCAGACTTGGCTGTTCAGCCGCGTAATGCAAGGGGGTCTGGCCCAGGCTGTCGGTCAAATCTATCGGGGATTGTGCCGAGATAAGTTGCTTCACAGTTTGTAATGATCCTGAGCAGACTGCCAGATGCAGAGGACTTCTTTGCATATCGTCCTGTGCGTTTAGGGCGGACTGATCGAGAGCAAACTTACTTAGATCATCACCAGCCTCCGCGGCCCAGTGGAGCGCACTGCGACCCCAGAGCCGTTGGGCTTCGCGGGACATATAGTCGCCACGGACCTCCGGTTGTGCGCTCTGGAGCAATATAACGGTGCTTGTCCTTCCGTACTGTTGTGAACACACCAGAGGGGTTCTTTTGCGAAGGTCGCAACATCGGACGGAAGCACCAAAGTCCAAAAGTTTGGCAACAACACCATCGAAGCCTTGACTCGCAGCAATATGGAGTGCTGTCTGCTCATTCCATGCTCGTTCATGAAGATCTTGCTTTGTGTGAGGCTCTAGAAATGGCTGGATGATATCCAATCTGCCCGTTTGGATCGCGCAGAGAAAGGATCCATCGTTCGGTTTAGCGCCAGCTTTGAGTAACAATTCCAGGGCCCCAAGGTTCTGCGTTACAGCTGCTAATAGAAGGGCCGTCCGCCCATGGTTGTCGCGGACGTCTAGGGGGATCTTGCAATCGATGAGCTGTTTGATCAAAGCTAGCGTTGGAGCAGGTTGATCTGAGGTTCGAAAGATGGCACAGTGGAGAGCAGTTCCTCCTTCCCCGTCGAGGGCCTCCAGGTCGGCACCATTATCGACCAAAAACTTGATTATATCTTCCTGACCCTCTCGTAGATATGCTGCTGCATTGTGGAGGACAGATCGACCCACCCAATCCGGTAGGTTCTGATCTATCTTTGTGCGAGTGAGGAGCATCCGAACTATTTCCATATGGCCCTTCATAGCGGCAAATCGCAGCGGGGTCCGCTTCCACTCATCAAGCCTCGCTGCATCTGTGCCTGCTGAGAGCAAGCGGTCTACCACTTCAACATGGCCATTGCCTGCTGGCTTGAAAAGAGGTGTTTCCTTTCTGCGATCCAGGCGTTTGGACTGGTACTAACTAACACTTATGCAAGATATATGAATTTGGTAGTATTTCTATCCCTTGGAACCGAATAACAGAGAGCGTAACAGAGGTATCGAATTGAAAAACCAGATTATTTAGCCAAAACTATGCAGCCTGGTGTAGCAGTAAGGCCAACAAAAGTACTGCCAAAGCAAAAAATATCCAAACATGAACACCCATCAATGTATCATCCCCCATTGTATCGCGGAAAATGCGCTCACTCACTACCTTCGCACTTGCTAAACTGACAGGAACACCAGCACCAGGATGCGTGCTTGCACCGACAAAGTACAGTCCGCCGAAGTCAGGGTGCTTCACCTTAGGTCGGAAGCTGAGCACATTGAAGAAAGAATGAGAAAGACCCAGGATTGCGCCGCGATCAAGGTTGAACTTTGATTGCCAACTGACAGGCGTCTCAACCGATTCATGTAGGAGACTTTCGCGTAGGCCTGTTGCTCCTGTGCGAGCCTCGATTGTCTCAAACACAACATTCCGGGCGCGAGCGACCAATGATTCCCAGTCTTGAGGGTTCAGTGAATCGTCTGTGAGGTGGCCCACAGGCACCAGCACGACCACAGCATCCTTTCCCTCGGGCGCAGCTGAAGGGTCGATTCGACTCGGGACGTTGACATAGAATGATGGATCAGTGGGGAGTTTGTGTCGATGGAAGATAGCGTCAAAGCTTTCTTTGTATTCTTCGGCCAGGAAGACATTGTGGACTTGTAGCTCGTGTATTATTCTGTCGAAGGACCAGAAGAATGATATGCTGCTGCATGATGCCGGTCGCTTTGTCAAGCTTTTCGCGTACGGAGTAAGTGGTAGCAGGTTGTTATAGGCGTAGACAAGATCGGCATTGATAACTATTGTGTCGGCTAGAAGTTCCTCGCCTGATTTGAGACGTACTCCTTGGGCTTTGCCTTTGGATATGATTATTGATGCGATCTCAGTATTCAGTCGAAACTTAACGCCTAAACGTTTTCCAACGTTCCCGATGGCTTCTAAGACCTACAATCGTGAGTCAGAACTTGAAGGAGTCAATTCCAGTTAGAATGAGATAAATCTTAGAGCTAGCGAGGGAACAGAATGCAAAGGCGAGTAGTGGCGTGTGAACTATGTCTTTCAACTCACCTTGACAAAGCCTCCCTCCGGGTAAAGGATTCCATGTGCTAACTCTGTGTATTGAAGAAGAGAGTATGTTCCAGGTGCCTCAAACGGATTCATGCCGAGATACATGCTAGCAAAGGTGAATGCTCTGCGAATTTTGTCTGATTTGAAATATCGCTTGATGCGACTCCACATACTCTCGAAAGGATGAAGAGACAGCAATGACCAAACAAGCTCCGGTCGCATCATAGCGAATATGTTAGGGAAGTCTTTTGTCAAAACATGCTCCAATGAGAGAGCATAATGTTGTCCGGACTCTTTCAGAAATTCGAAAAAATTGTGAAGGCCATCTGGACCTTCGTGCTTCTCTATTTGAGCTTTCATCTTGGTGAGATCAGTGGACATTTCCAGGAAATCATGGTCCGCAAACCAGATGCGATAATTTGGCTCGCATTTGAAAAGTTTGACATTTTCTTGTTCCAGTGAGGTGTCAAGGTCAAGAAAGGTCTGGTAGAATATCTGGGGCATAAGCAAAAGTGATGGCCCTTGATCGAATCTCTGAAGCGTCATTAGTATTGACACTACATTTTCAGGACGCGTCCATAATCGTCTACGGCGTTCAACGTACGTAGTCTTTATGATGAACAAGGGAGCATCTCCCTCCCAAGAACTCATTTTTCTCAACAACAGTGACTTCATATCCGGCCTTGGCTAGCCTGGCAGCCGTAGCTATGCCTCCCGCGCCGGCGCCTAGCAAGAATGAGCACAAGGTGCGGTCGAAGATTACAGGATACACGTACCAACAATAATCGCGCTACGACGAGCCATATTTTCGGAGAGTTGTGGAATAATTCAAATTCGGGGAAGTCTAGAAATATAATTTGATCAAAACAAGTCCAATGACCAGGTGCCTATCACCGCAATCGATCCCGCTAACCCCGGAACCTTAGAAGATCGGATCGGATCCAGGGATGTCAGGTATTCGTCATGTGTATTTTTCTTTGCTTTTTGTACCATACTATACAGCTTGGATACTTCATGCACATGGCTCACGGCTTGGAAGAATTATGTACTATTGATGCAGACTATCACGCGCTAGCCGATTCCCAAACATGTTTACTTTCAAATCAAGGTCATGAAAATGACCCCGCTGTTATTGTTAACGAGGGGAGGGTAAAACCTGAATTTTTCTCCTGCGTGCAGGGTCTAACTTCCAACTTGAAAACTTCTGTTTCTGAATATCTACTTTCAAGTAGTTTCACTCGCGCGCAAATTTCACCCGTGGCTTTAGCTTGGTCTTTGCTTGCTGGAATCCCCGGGTTAAGTCTCAAAAAAATAAATCTCAGGAAATCTATGCAGAACACATATCCCACCAAGCGCGCGACAGCCTCCGCCATAGAGGCACTCTAAGTTTGCCGTTAGTCTTACTAAGAGCTCCCTGCCGTCTCTTGCGAACCATTTTCCCAATCATCATGTAGCTCTCAACCGTCGTTTTGACGGGTCCACGAGCTTCTATCGGTAGCTGAGCAATTGCTGCAACGTTCAAGTCGTGAAGGCCCTCTGCTTTCTTAATCATGCGTTCTTCTAGCACCGCCAACTTGGAATCATCTGGATTTGCGATAACATCCCGTGGGCGCAATCCTTCGTTCTCAAGCCAGAAAGTGGGAATATAAACTCGCGCTATTGCTGCGTCGCGTTTGATATCTCGAGCGATGTTGACGCATTGGAGCGCTTGGCCCATATTTTGGCCAGCCTCAATAATCCGACTGCGGTCTTCCTCGGATGTAGCTGTAGTAAAGTGGCCGAAGATCAATTCGAGAAGAGAGGATGCGACCGTGCCAGCCACTCGATAGGCGTATAGGTCTAAATCGGATTCCGATGTGATTGGGAACTCATTCTTCTCTGCGCAAAATCCCAGATCCATTTCGAAGCCGCGAAGGAGCTCAAGTAAGGGTTTTATAGTCAACCGCGAAGTCGGTAGTAGTGCAATCGAAGAGATGAGCGGCGATAGCCGCTTCTTTTGAAACGCACCATATTCAGCATCCAAATACTCGTATAGTGGCTTTCCAAGATTTTTGTTAGAAAAGTGCCAGTAAAGGACTTGGGAGGCCTCCTTGATATTAGCCTTGGCTGTCTCTTTGTCGGGGGCTTCGTCGACCAAGTCATCAATGACTCTGCAGAAAGAGTATCTGCGTCGCGTGTCAGTTTCACGCATCCAAATTTTGAATTTGTTCAAAGGATCCTCACAGGAGTATGAGATCGATTCTTAATCGGCCCTGGAACATCGCGCTTCCCAGATACATGCTTTGACTTTTCTCAGCTAGTCTATCAATAGCAATACTGAGACCCTCTAAAAAGCCAAGATCTAGGGATCTTTGTCGACGTGTCATGTAGTTCCATACGACCTGTTGAAACGACTGTGACTTGTTGTGACCGGGGGCAGCTATGGCATCTTCATATTCTGCGATAGCAATTGCATGGTCCATCGTAACAAAGCCCAAAACAACCATCACATTGGTCATCAGAAAGAATAATGCTTCTCTGAACGGTAATACCATCAGTTTCAGCGAGGTTGCGATCGTCGAGGTCCTGGACTTACTCCACATCGAGGTAGCCTCCGAACTGTAAATCCAATTTCGTTCCTGGCTCAATAACCCAGGTTCCTCGTTGCAGCGAAAGAAAGTCGACCATCCACAAGTATACAGTTGGGAGTAGAATTGAGATGAGTATTGGCTTTTTGGGTAGTGCAAGGAGAAAGCTCCCACCAAAGAACCTGGGCCGATATTCATTAGCATTGCGCACTTGTATTTCAATGCATTGGGACATACCATTGGAATGCTATCACAGGGAGTGCCCATCCCATGATAAGGCCCATGTAAGTTAGTTCATTCCCAACCCAGATGCATGCTGCCGCAGCGGCGATTCCACCTGATAGAACCAGCGGCACGAAATTCATAGATGAGTTAATGAATTTCGGCAGGAGATACACTGGTAGTACAAGGCGTTTATGTAGAATCATGTACAAGAGGCCGGTGAGATAAGTCTGGATGATAAAGAAGAACACCTCCTCTATGGGAATTTTGAATATCGTGACGCCGACCACGGCATCGTCGGGATAAGTCCAGATGCGATTTCGAATCAAATATGAATCCCATGGTATTGTGGCAATGACAGCAATCTGTAATTATTAACACATTGACAAACAGAAAGGGAAGCGAAAGCTCACTGTGATTAGTGTGAATATTTTCAAGATCTCCGTCCTCGTGAAGAACGGCCAATAAGCCACAGTCAGCAAAGCAGCTGGTGGAATGGTCCACGTAAAATGCCTGCAGAGCTATCAGAATCGCGATTTATAATTTTTGGATCACTTTTGAAGCGTACACAAGCCAGTAGTCCAAGCCCATGTTGGGATGCGGTCTCTCTCAGCAACGCTGTTGCCGGATCTTCGCGGGTGGTCCAGGTTATTACCAAGGGAGAAGGTGAAGAGTGAGAGTCCAATTAACACCCGACCGCGTCATTTTACTTGCCTTTTGCTGTGTCTCTTCAAACCATCCCATCAGCATCAGTCGGGCATGGTATTTCGGATTCCGGGCTCTAATCTGACTGTATCTTCGTGATCCTTGCTTGCAGCAGGCTGAGAAGTTGGAACAGGTTTAGCAACATGCCCAGCCCGGGTCCATCGCGGGTTCATTTTCCGACTCCGGGACAACTGGTACGTAAAGAATGTATTACAAAAACGGTACAGGCCCTGGAATAAATAAATCCTGCCTGTCTTACTCGGTCAAGGTAAGCGTCCATAAATTCCTACTCATCGTGACGAATGACTTTGGGAAGATTCCGCACGATGCATTACAGTATCAAACCTTGGAAGTTCCAAGGTTTAGATCGGTCGATCGCGATCGATCGATCAGGTAGAACCGATACATCCCACATTCAAGTTTAGCTCGTTCTCGTTCTCGTTCCCGGGTTCAATCATCGTTCATGCAAGAGCTCTCTGATAGCCTCAATTGCAACTTGGGATGAATGACGTCTTCATTGCAATCTTGCCGGCTTTGTAAGGGTATCAGCCGCCCGTGTACACCCTTAAAGAGCCATAATAACGTTCAAAGATATTCAACTATTATGCCTTAATCTGAGGTCACATACACATGCCCATATATGTCTGACTCATTGCGTACCCACCCCGCTATATGTTCTATTAGCGCTTAGATGTCCACGGGTGCGCCTAGAGTTGTAGCTAGAGGTGTACAGACACCGTCGCCCAGGATAAGGCCTTGAAAAACTTGCAGATCCGATTCTTCGTGTAAAAATTTGAAGCACTTGAGGCTTCTATGTTCGAAATCGGATTTGACTTATTAGATAATTTTAATGAAAAATGTATGAAATAACCTTGGAACCGGCAGGATGGTTAGTGACACCATTTTTTAGATAGACAGGACCGCTCAAGGTCGCACACTCAGAGATGTGAGGCTCAATACAGCACAACAGCAACCACTGGCACCAGCCCATTCCAAGGTTTCTGCTGAGGAGCCCTGGAATCTTCCCTCTTCCTTCCCCACCATTCAAATGTTATAGAGGGATGATAGAGCGACCACCCCAGTAGATATTCCAACCACCCCTAGACCCACTCATTCCCTAAATAGGTCGAATTACCATATGTTTGCCCTGTTTGCATACCCCATCTAAAATTCTGGCCCTTTTTTCTGCCGGTCGGTACAAAGTACTAGTCCAAGCCTGCTTTTCCTATATAGTATATGTCTTTTATGAGAGCTATAAAGTCCTCTATAATCAAGAAAGAGTTTATAATAACTAGGAGATAGCTAACACTAGCTAAGAAAGACTAATACCAGGGAAGAAGGGTCTTACTAACCCATGAAATCCTTCACCATGGTCAAAAAAAAAAGGGGGAGTGAAGCCATAGAAGGCATTATAGAGATCTACTTTCTTATAGTTAATAACTTAAAGAAGAGACTTAGAAATAGGCCTACATACTACTCCGTAGATTAAAGGTATATAGTAAAGTGGAACTTATAAAAATCAAAACAGTCTGGTAGAGTCCCGGTGGTGCACCTGGGACTTGGATGTATCTTTTTTGACCGCCTACACACCGCCTTGTAAGTGGGTCTGGGGGTGGTTGGAATATCCACAGGGGTGGTTGCTCTATCATCCCTCATGTTATATACCAGTATGGAGACTATCTGTAGACTGCAGGATTTCTCCTTGGTATTACCTGGCCATGCCCAAGGTACCATACGCCATCCCTCCCCGAAATGTAAACCCCCGAAAAGTGAAATCCTGCGCCACTGGCAATTATCAACCGACCATTCCGTTGACCACTTGCGGGTGCGGTGTGTGGCATTTGACCTAAGCTTATTCCCGTCCCACCTGGGCAGCAGAATCCCATCGGAACGGTCCAGATGTCTGTTGTGGGAGCGATTGACCTTCCCCTGTGAATTGCGGAGTAAAAGGTGCATATGAGCCCTGTCGGGGAGTGGAACCCGGTCGGACATCACGGATTCACGGGCGCCTATCTATGAGAGATAGTCAACTGGTTTCCAAGGTTGTTAGAAGGTCCATCAATGGATGAATGTTCAGCGGAGAAGCCCTGGAGGCACATGGGATAGGTAGTAGACCTCTTCCAATATTGAAGGCTGCCCAGGTGTAATTATGTAGGTAACTTGAAATATCTTATAGACCTCTTTTCCTACTCGGTTTGCGGTGTTTTTTTCCGTAATCCGTGCGTGGGCCAGTACGGTACTTTTGGTTTTGTTCGGTGCGCTTTGTTTTAAATACCGTATTAAAAATACCCTGGCAGAACCCTAGAATCGGATGGGATTCTACCTATGATGAGTTGAAGACCTGGCACCTTCCCTTCTAGATGACCCTTCAGGTAACCCTGTAGGTAACCATGTAGGTACTTATGTATCGATATGTGTAGGTTAACAGTCACCTATAGATACTACTGGCTATGTATTTACTAAGTATGTCAGTATATCTATATGCCTAAGAGGATAAGGATATCATGGTGAGCACACCTAGGTATGTGCACTGGCAGGTATGCCACATAGGCGCTTGCAAGTTACTCCAGACATCTTATTAGAATAACATAGGGCTTCTTCAGGCAGCCTAAGTACTTGAATACCGAGGTTATACCTTTCCGAGTCCCAATTTCACTGCTACAGAGCCGCGCGACACGCGGCGTGAGGACTTGTGAAATATCTTACTAGGTAAGCAATACCTAGCAGCGGAACTTGGAATAGCAACATTTGAACTTGACAGTCAAATCAGACACTTGCCTACTAGGCGGGCATCTGGATCATAGATGCAGACCTCCAGGTGCAAGAAGGGGTTTATTCAACCTCCGTCTTGCTCATAGGAACGGTCTCACTGATAGATACTTAACTTCAAACGCCCGACACATAGCAATGCAGCTTAAGAGAGACCGGACATACGCAACCGCTCAGCAATGGCAGGATCCGCTCGATGCAATTCGAGCGTCTACAGCGCCGGCTTTCCTAACAAGAAATCCACATTCAAATTGCGTTTAACGTAAAAGGCAGCTCTGAAGACCCGGGGCTCGCCCTCCAATGTCCCATGGATTTTCTCATTGTTCATTGCTTGCAATCACGTGGCCCAAGTATAGCTACGCCTCCGCCGACCCGAGCGAATGTGCTGTCGCGTTTGTGTTCAATCACCACGGCACTCAGATTTAGTCACTAAACGTGGCGTAAAATCACATTTGTTTGCTCGAAGCAACCAACACAGAATTTGTTTGGGAGAGAAGGGATAAGAATCCACAGCATTGTGCGATACTGGTCTCTGTGCATGAAGTGGAAAAGGAGGCCTCATTTCGCCGGGAGTGCAATAATTTAAGGGAACATCTAGACATGTGACTCGACTGCCCTCACAAGGTGGCTAGTGGCAATGTGCACGCGAAATCAATGTGCTTCATTTAATACGACAGGCCAGGCATATTGGCATCCCTTAGTCTGGAAAGGAGCGATTTCCTACGCTTGAGAGCAGTGGTGCGCGATGGATTTTTTTAATGCTACGATAGTAGCTGGGAAGATCATATGCTTAGATGAGTAAAACGCTGAAGCAAAGATTATATACAGCACTAACCAACGGAATCGCGAAAAGACCGAAGATCACAAAGTTAACTAAACGCTTTAAACAATTCACATTTGCAGGTATGGAGTTCACACTCCTCAACAAACCGCAACAGGCGCTACCTGATCCCAATTCTCCAAGATCTCCCTCACGCGAGGACTCTCGGAGATGGCCAGCACCTGCTCAAAGTAACTCTTACTCAACTCGAACGGCCGCGCCGTCAAGTTAGGAATGTATTTCCCGACCAGCTTCTCCGGTCGCACCATGTGCTCGGAGATGGCCTTGCTTAGGCTGCGGCGGAAGGTGTCGACGCCCGGGCGGAGGAGACTGCTGTGGAAGGGCACGTTGACCTTCAAGGGGATCGTGGCTTTGGCGCGCTGCAGCTCCAGCGGGGTCGGTTTGATGTCTGTCTGGGCGAGACAGCTTTGGATGATATCGGGTATGGCGGCTTTCAGGGTGTCCATGGAGGCGAGTAGTTTTGGATGGGCTACCAGGTGGTCGAAGACACCTGCTAGGCAGTCTAAGCTTCGAAGCTGTTATGGAGTGGTTAGTCACTTGATATTTGAGGAGAGGGATTGGGCTGCACATACATCACCGGCGCACACGTATTGGGTGGATTTCACGTTGAAGTTGACGATCTCGCAGAGTCCTCCGGTTGCACCCTCGACTGTCTTGACGATGTCGCATAGATCGGATTCTTTGAGGTCTGGATACTTGTCAGTACTGGGGGTCTATATCGTTACTGTTATTATGAGGTGCACATACTCTTTGACACCCGACTCGGGTTGGCAGCGACCATGGAGTAATCCCGGCCGGAATGGTCCAGCTCGATCGACTTTTGCATCGTCAAGCCTCGGTAGAATACGGTGGCCGTGACGCCCTCGAGGGTGAAGATCTCCCCCATGGCTGCCAGGGCAGAGTACTCGCCCAGCGAGTGGCCTGCGTAGCAGCTGTCCTCGTTGATCAGCCCGCGGGCCCGCATGTCTTCGATGCGCGCCAGCTCCATGACCACCAGCGAGGGCTGCGTGAAGATCGTCTCGTGCAATAGCCCGCCGGTGGAGGTGTAGGTGAAGAAGCGCGTAGTCGGGGTGATCTCGCTGAAGGCGCGCACCGCTTCGATCTCGCCCCGGGCGTTGACCACCTCGAAGTCCAGGTCGATGTAGTTGTCCCGGATGGCCTTGCCGCGGCGACCCCCGAAGTGCACCGTGTACTCCTTGGGATTGTTGCGCACGATCTTAAGAATGGAGACCCCGTACGTGTTGACGAAGAACCTTTCCGCCGTGTCCCAGACATG